GTAGACCCTGCCTATTTAACATCGGTTCGATACTATACTAATTACTAGTCGGTATGTCGGTAGACTCGCGGCTGTTAGACATTGCTCCTATCGCTACTATAGGTGACCCTATTTAACCCGCGGCCGATAGCGTCGCGGCTATCGGTAACATAGTTATAGCATACCTTAACGACAACACATTCGACCACTTCGAAGATCCTACGCTTTTGCTATAGAATGTCTTCGCCTATACGGCATTCTAAGGAACGACACATCGCTCTTTAACATGCAGGCAAATCGAGGTTCTCGCTACCCTAATACCCCTAAAAATAGGACCGAACTACCTAGCACGAATGTAATACATCCTACGCGAGTCACCCTACTTTAATTATAATACGGATGGCTCGGCCCTCCCTACGGGCGGGATTAGGTCGTTGCATCTAGCCGAATTAGCTCGGATACTTACATAGGTGCCGTTAGATAAGGCATTCCCGAATACCTTCGCCTAACGAGCAAGATCTACGTATGACCTTCTCGTAACCGTTACTAGATATAGTAACCCGCTACCGCACAGCAAGCATACATTAGCGTCCTACGGACTAAAGCTCAAATTCGACTAGGAGTTAACATTCCTCGCTAATTAGCCTCCTCTTAGAGCGGCAGACGTTAACACTCTACTTGCTCCTAGTTAGTAGGATCATACCGAGGCGGTGACCGCATAACAGGTATGCCTATCTAATTCTAGATGTATAGAGGGACTTCTTTAACGATTAGAGGCTCTTAACCAAAACGCGAATGAACATTAACGAGCAAATGTTACTATCGTCTATAGCGGCATAGATAGTCTAACATCTAACCCGCTGTCGTAGTGCTACCTACGTAATCGTTTCCCTAACATCACCTTTATACTAGGTATTCGGCTACTAGAAGACGACAACTATAGCGTTATCCGATCATTCGCATTCGCACACTTAGACCGACATAATGCTATTAGATAGGCAGTGTACTCTGTCGATGTCTTGTCATGTCTGTACCCCCTATTAAGAGGAGAGTGTTCTCGCTCTATTTACGCATACCCCGATAACATGGCTCTTATCTCTTACGACAGTAACACGATTAATGCCTACAAACAGTTCATTACGATTTAATTAGCATCACATCGTTAGAGGCGCGTAAGGTAGGCAGCTGTTAGATAGTAGGGCCCAACATACCGTCACGTCTCTTTAAGCTCTAGTAATTAGGGGTAGCATATCAGAATATCAAATCCTTAGGTTCACTCTATACATCTTAGTCGTATGCTAATTAATTGATTGATTGATTAATTGATTGTTTGTTTAATTCATTGTCACATTAATTAATTCATTATCCGATCCTAGTAGCTACGTATGCCGCTTATACTAGATATGTACGTTCTAAATTCTACTACCTTATACTATACTATATTTTTCGTACCTTTTTATATATATTAAGGATCTATTCTACCTTATATTTAAATTCCCTATTAATAATTATAGGTAAGGGTATTTCCTCTAGTATTATAACGCCTTCCTAGTTATAGTAGGGTTTAAGTAGAGAAACATAGAATACTTTATAGATACGCTACGAAGCTAGTAGGGCTAGGTAATATACTTATTAGCCTATAGCCTTAAGTACCTTAAATAGTCCTATAAAGTAATATATTATCTTATAACTAGGTTTATAGATCTTTAGGTTCTTATCTAGTATGTAACTTGTTAAGGCTCTACTAAGAACAGTAGGAGATAAATAAGAGGAGAGAGACTATAGTAACTAGGATACATAGTCACCTACACTACTAAGGCAATAGAGAAACTTAGTTACCTATTACTGCTATAGCAACAAGGATACACAGCTATACATACACATTACTAAGGCAACTAGGATACTTAGTAACTTATACAACTATAGAAATAGAGACATATAGTTACCTATTTCCACCCTTTAGACAACTAAACCTACTTAGGCAATTTCGCCTTAGTTAAGTACCTTTAGAAATCTATCCCTTCCGCTAATACACACCTTTAGCATATAATAAGTTAACTTATAACTAACACATTAGAAATTACAACACGACAATAGAAAGAGAGTTTAATTGCAACTACAACTATAACATCTTTATAAGAAGTTGAAAATAGTGCAGTCCTAGCACACTTAAAGGAGTTGTAACTCTGTTACAATTCGGTAAGGTTCTGTTGCAGATAGGTCTATAATAGGCTACAACAAGTAAGGGAATAATAAGGTTAGCTTAGCATCCTAACGCCTTAGTAGAGCAGGATGTTCTTAATAGATTGCGCCCGTAGATACTCTTCTTCTCTTTAATCAATTAATTATAGCCATATACTATTAGCTCGCTTTCGTTAGCAAAGGTCGCGTCTCTACCTTCAGTTAATTCTATAGGCTCTAGGATTACTTCCTACCACTAGCTAGAGTATCTTATGTACCCGTTGCACGACTTATTTTAACTAGTTATGAGCCCGGGTTTTGCATAATCCCGGAACCTATGTAACTTGTTAAGGCTCCACTAAGAACAGTAGGAGATAAACAAGAGGAGAGAGACTATAGCAACTAGGATACATAGTTACCTATTACTACTAAGGCAATAGAGAAACTTAGTCACCTATTACTGCTATAGCAACAAGGATACATAGCTATACACACACATTACTAAGGCAACTAGGATACTTAGTAACCTACACAACTGTAGAAACAGAGACACATAGTTACCCATTTCTACCTTTTAGACAACTAAATCTACTTAGGCAATTTCGCCTTAGTTAAGTACCTTTAGAAATCCATCCCTTTCGCTAATATACACCTTTAGCATACAACAAGTTAACTTGCAACTAACACATTAGAAATTGCAACACAACAATAGAAAGAGAGCTTAATTGCAACTATAACTACAACATCTTTATAAGATGGATTTAGTAGACAACTACACAATGTCTAAACACTAAAGGGTAGCAACCCTAGGTAGAGACAATATAGACAAATGGTTCATGTAGATAAGAGACTAGCTTAAAGCTAAAGGGGTCTTCTAGACTATAGAGGGTACATCTACACCCCCTATAACACCTCCTACACTAGCATCTATTATAGATAGTGTAAAGAACATTTCCCTCTAGGATCTACCTATTAGTAGAACAAATAATGTTGCACTCTTTAGACAAAAGGATGTAAAGGCTAGATACTACATTAGATTATCTCTAAATGAATTTGACCTTAAATTAGTTAAAGAGGAAGAGACTTCTAAAGCTATCTAGGAGAGACTCTAGAAGAAGTATAAGACAAGACTTGCATCTATAGGTAGACAATACCTAGTTGAATTCTCTACATTTAAGATTGATGCATCTACTTTAATTAATGCTACCTAGCAACAAATTAATACCCTAGGCAAGAAGGTTATTAAACAAAGACCTAAGTTGAAATCTCTTAACTCAATTAAGTCTAGAATTTAGCAACTACTTATAGCACTACCTATCGAGTATGCTACATACAAAGCAGGAATTAATGCTAGAGGAAAAGTTAATCCTAAAGAAGTCCTACTCATTCTAAATAAGGTATAGGCAACTATTAATCTAGAGGCTGCCTACTATGCAAAGAAGCCTTACTAGAACAATAAGTCTTCTTTCTAGAACAAATCTTCTTTCTAGAAGAGAGATGTACCTACTAGAGCAAGGAGTCCTTTATAGAGAGATAGATAGAGCTATTATCTATGTAGTGCACCTAATTACTAGATGAAGTCCTACAACTACATCTCTATAGTTAAGGCTTATAGCAGAAAGCTTCGAAGAGAGCATCTAGACAACAAGAAGTTAAGTAAGCAGATATCTTCTTAAGGAACTAAAGTTGCAAGACTAAACAAGGAAATTAAATACCTAAAGAAATCTGTTAAATAGTTGCAGGGAAGCAAGTTTACTAAGGCTCATCTTGTAACATAGACTAAATTAGAATCATCTAATTCTGGTTTAGACAGCCTATCTAGAAGTGATTAAGAAGAACTAGAAGTTAAATTCGTAAACTTAAGCAAGGAAAATGTTAGTACTATAACAGTAGACTGCTAGATATCCGACTCTAGCGCAAGTTCTTACATAACTAATAATTCCTCTCTCTTTAGTGAACCTCCTATAACTATAAGACGAACAACAATCGCTGTTAGCGGAGGGAAACTCTTTTTAATAAAGAAAGGAGTTATAGATGTAATAGACCGTAGAGGAGGGAGATTTAGATTAAAGGATGTTTTGCTTGTTCCTAAACTTAGAGTAAATCTGCTTTCTAGGAGAAAATTGTGTAAAGCCGGTTTAAAAGGCAGCTTTAATTTATAGAACATGTACTACCTTAATAAGGATAGTAACATTGTTCTACATGCAAAAGAGAGAGGAGGAATCTATATCCTAGATTCTATCTCACTAAAGCTAGCTTAGACAAAATCAAATCCACAGGCTTTTATAGCAACTTAGTCCTAACTAGATGATCTACTTAAAACAGATGTTGTAGTACCTGCAACAATTACACCTAAGGCTCTACCTTCTATTTAAGAAGAAGAAGTTAAAAGTGAATCTAATGCTAATGCTTCTAATAAGAGAGATGTTAACAACTACATGCTATATTACCGGAGATTTACCTACCTTAGATCTACAAAGATTGCAAACCTACATAAGGTCACAACTATAGCTAAACTAGTCAAAGTTGTTAAGCACACATGCTAGACTTGCACACTAACAAAATTCCATAAGTTAAAAGGCAAGGTATTAGCTAGAAAAGAACACCCCCTAGAAAGGGTATCTATTAATATATGTGGACTATTCCCTACCTCTAGAGAAGGCTTTACCTAGGTAATGGTTATTAAAGATGACTATATAAGAATGTCCTAGATGATCCCTATTAAAGAGAGAAAGGAATGCCCTAATAAGCTTATAACCTAGAAGACTTAAGTTAAGAGATAGTCTAGACATCTTCTTAAGAGTGTTAGACTTAATAATGNCCCACAATGTCGGACCTTAACTCGTGGGAAGACTCGCCCGATGCCCAGCAGGACCAGGACCTGTCCAGACAGGCCCAGCAGAGCCTGAACATGGGCGCCCAACAACAACAGCAGCAGCCTCAGCAGCAAAGAGGTGGTAACTTCCACCCCGGCATGGGCAGCTTCCAGCCCGGAGCCGCCGCCTTCAACCCCGGTCAGGCCTTCTTCAACCCTGGTCAGGGCTACGGACAACAATCCTACGGTGGCTACGGACAGCAGTACGGCCAGTATGGTCAACAGCAGCAGTACAACCAGTACGGCAACCAGGGCTACGGTCAACAAGGCTACGGCCAGCAGCAATACTCTCAATACGGCCAGCAAGGATACGGACAACAATACAACCAGTCTTACCAACAACCCGCCCAGCAACAGCAACAGCGCCAAGTGCCTGTTATTGCTAAGAGAGGAGACCAAACCGCCGCACCTAAGCCCGCCGCTGATGCACCCAAGGCCGCCGTCAAGACTCTCTCGCTCAGCGCCTCGGACACTGGTGCTTCGGCCCCCAAGGTTGAGAAGACTGGTGGAACAAAGGTCCTGAGCTTGGGCACTCCCGCAGCCCCCAAGGTCGAGAAGACCGCTGGCACAAAGGTCCTATCGCTCAACGCCGAGCCCGCTAAGCCTGCGACAGCCAAGGAGACTGTCAACAAAGCTGAGGCTGGTGCCGGAAAGGCCGTCACCGCCGCTAAGGCCCTGGAGAAGACTGGCAACTCGCCCGCTGCCTCATCCGGCCGTACCTCCCCTACCCCCTCCTCCGGTCGTAGCTCGCCCACCCCCGCTGAGAAGCGTGCCGAAGCACGTCAGGCCGATTTGGTCGCCGCAGAGCAGGCTGCCGATGTTGATGAGGAGACTCTCAAAGACATGTACGGCAAGGAGCACGTCAACGTCATCTTCTTGGGCCACGTCGATGCTGGAAAGTCAACTCTCGGTGGTTCCATTCTCTACGCCACCGGCATGGTCGACGAACGTACCATGGAGAAGTACAAGCGTGATGCTAAGGAGGCCGGAAGAGAGACATGGTACCTGTCATGGGCTCTCGATTTGACCAAGGAGGAGCGTTCCAAGGGTAAAACTGTCGAAGTCGGAAAGGGTTTCTTCGAGACTGAGAAGCGTCGTTACACCATTCTGGATGCCCCCGGTCACAAGACATTTGTGCCCAACATGATCGGTGGTGCCTCGCAGGCTGATGTCGGTGTTCTCGTCATTTCCGCCAGAAAGGGTGAGTACGAGACTGGTTTCGAGAAGGGTGGTCAGACCCGTGAGCACGCCGTCTTGGCCAAGACTCAGGGTGTCAACAAGCTCATCGTTGCCGTCAACAAGATGGACGACCCTACTGTCGAGTGGAGCGAGGAGCGTTACAAGGAGTGTACCGGCAAGCTCGGCCAGTTCTTGAAGGGTGTTGGCTACAACCCCAAGACTGACCTGCAATTCATGCCCATCTCCGCCCAGACCACTCTCGGTATTAAGAATGCCGTCCCCAAGGACGTTGCCCCCTGGAACGATGCCCCTTCGCTTCTCGACTACCTGGACAGCATGCAAGCTTTGGAGCGTAAGCTCAACGCTCCTTTCCTCATGCCCGTTGCCGCCAAGTACCGTGACTTGGGTACCATGATCGAGGGCAAGATCGAGTCTGGTGTTATCAAGAAGGACATGAAGTACTTGATGATGCCTAACCGCGTTGAGACCACCATCTCGGCTCTTTACGGCGAGACTGAAGACGAGATCCCCAACGCCACATGTGGTGACCAGATTCGTCTGCGTATCAAGGGAATTGAAGAAGAAGACATCATGCCCGGTTTCGTGCTTTGCTCACCCCGCCGCCCCGTCAACTGTGTTACCACCTTCGAAGCACAAATTGTTCTCCTTGACATCAAGTCTATTCTCTCCGCTGGTTTCAACTGTGTCATGCACGGTAAGCTTATTAGAACCATGTTACAAGAAGCAATCACTAACAAACAATCCAGTGCACGCCGCTACAGAAGAAGTTACCTTCGAGGCTCTCCTTCACAAACTCGAGAAGGGTACCGGCAGAAAATCCAAGAAAGCACCCGGCTTCGCCACCAAGGGTATGAGCATCATCGCCCGCCTGAAGGTCACCGGCAGCGTCGGTGGTGTCTGTATCGAGACCTTCGCCGAATACCCCACCCTCGGTAGATTCACCCTCCGTGATCAGGGTCAGACCATTGCCATCGGCAAGGTCACCAAGCTCATCAACGAGGACGCTGCTTAAACGGCTACTACCGCTGGAGTTAGACAAAAGGGCTTTCCCTGCCGTTTTGCACTTTTTGATACCATGACGAAGAATAGGGAGAGTGAGTAAGGGGATCAAAAGGATCCCATCTTATGAGCTTAGGATATACAAAAGCAANGTGACTATATAAGTACTTCTCTCTCTTTCTCTCCCTCCCTCTCCTCTACACTCCACTCCACTCTCACGCCCGCATCCGCGCCCACCGCCGTCCCCGTTCCTGGACCAAGAATTTGTCCGTGGACAATTCACGCTCTCTGCGAGCGCAAAACCCAACAAATCAGCACAGTATTTGTCCGTGGACAAATAAGCCTCGAATTTGCCAGTATCTCGGTCATCAACTGCACTTTTCTGCGGACGATTCAGCAACACAAATCGTGTTCTTTGTCCGTGGACAATCTACGTCCATACTGCATGCATCTTTACCCGACCAAGGCACATCCAAATACAGTACTCTCCACAACATTCGCCGCACTTCATCATGGCGCCCAAGAAAAACAAGCCATCTAAGCCATCCAAGGCGCCCAAGACAACCAAGGCGCCCAAAACAACCAAGCCCAAAGCAAGCACTTCCAAAGCCAAAGCCAAAGCCAAAGTTCCAGCCGAGGAAGAGGAAGAGGAAGATGAATCTGAACAGAAGAGTCTGGAACAGCACATTGCAACCGAAGCGCAGATGAAGAGAGCACGAGACAAGGGCATCAAAGGCGTATACGTTATTGAACCCACAGCTTCCGCGTTCGACACTCCAAGCCAACAAACCGTGGGATACCTGCACCTTGACAACACTCTGGATTATTGGGAGTTGATGGAGGAAGGACAGGAGATTTTCGACTCCCTGGAGATCTTCCAGACGGACAACCGTCAATTTGGATTTCATTGCTCGATAAACGTCAAGGGCTCAAGTGCAGCCGAGGACGCTGCAAAGGATGATACTCAGGATGGAACTTCACCACCCACGCACACCGTTCAAGTCAGGGTTAAGCAGATCTTCGATGCTATCAAGAGCGAGGATGACGAACTGCTAGCTCTGCTTGGCCGACCATTGCCATTACCATCAAACACGGACAATCTGTCATCTAAGTCGCTCACTCGTGCGGTCTGGTCTTATGTCGTTCAAATGCATCAGAATATGCAGCTCGCCTCGCACTTGTTCGATTTCGGACAGGAGCCGCCCGGCCCTCAGGATCTCAATGCACCTCAATCGGAAACAAAGCTTGGGTATTCCATTGAAGACTGGCACCGTTCTTATGTTTTGATCCGTTCGCACCAGAAGGCTTTCCACAACAGTAGCAGAGAAAGCAAAGCCGGCACAAAACATTCCAAGGCAGCAATTATTCCGGCCTTTATCAGCAAGGATGATATCGATGGTGTCCAAACCGAGACAGACAAGCAAACTGCACTGGTCAAAGACGATGTGCAAATGAGAAAGATCGCCGAGAACGCTGATGAAGTGGATCTTTGGTATCTGCAAGATCTCAACAGCGACAGCGATTCAGAGGAAGAGGAAGAGGATCGTCAGAAGCGCAAAGACGAGGCGTTCGCTAGTCTTGAGGCAAAGCTGGGAAGTCGTGTAGGAAACGAAGCCACCAAAGGTCGCGCTAAGCTGGAGGAAGGTGAACTTATGGCACAGTTGCAGCGAATCGGAAATCGTTGCAAGGTCAAGTACGAGCAACGGGTCGAATCCGAATCTACAACCCAGATCAATGATCTCACCGACAAGTCACTTCTTGAAAGCGAGACCTTCGGAAACGACGAGACAGAAAAGGTCGAAAGCCGAGAAGAGTTTTGGGCGCGCAATCGTCAACTCAACCGCGCTTACGCCCCCAGAACTGGATACAAGAAGGCATGCGCTCTGTTAAGAATTGATCCCGTCGACCCCCGTCTCAAGGGATCCAACGTACAACTAACACCATGGCAACCTGAGGCCGTGGTTTACATGGATATGATGGTACGTATAACAAATAATCAGCATCACAGTTGTCCAGGGACAAAAGGCGTTGAAACAAGCAAGATTGTCCACGGACAAAAAGTCAAAATTTGTCCGTGGACAATCTTGCTTGTTTCTTCATACGTTTTTGTCCATGGACAACCTTGCTCTTTGCTACAGTTTTTGTCCGTGGACAAATCGGAGCTCATCTACTACCGTAACAAGCCAATGCTAATTGTAAACAGGAACGCAGTATTATCCGATCATCAATCAATGCCGACGATGTTGGTCTCGGAAAGACTGTCCAGGCTTTGAGCCACATCACCTACCAGGCTATGGTCACCAAAGCAGCTATGAAATCTTCGAAAAAGGTCAAATGCAAGCCCACTCTGATTTTGTACCCTTCCACCGCATCCAATGTGTGGACAAAGGAGCTTCGCAAGAGATTCCCCAATCTCACCTGGATCCTTTTCCAGGGAAGTGAGTCTACAAACAAGAAACTGGATCGCCCGCATACCATTGGTACCAAAGCATCAGATCTTGTGGAGCTTCTGGACAGCCTGGACGAAAAGAACCCAAAAACCGCATCGACCGTCATATTGACATCTCTTACCACCGCGCAGAGGAGACTGTTGACCTGGCAGAAGACTTCGACATACTCAACCAAGAAAGGCAAGCAAAAGGCAGTCACTGTCTCTGAAACCACCGAGGACGACAACGAAGATGAAGTGGGGGAGCTTGACGATCAGACAATCGAATCCATTCAGCTTTTCGAAGGTGTTCATGACAGATTTGCCAGGGTCATTATAGACGAAGCACACAAACTCAAGTCGTACAAGACTCTAAGTTTCCAACTGGTCAAGAAGATAGGAGGCCCTAAAGTCATGTTTACCGCGACACCGATGATCAACCGACCTATCGATCTTCATGGCTTACTTTTGCTCGCCTGGGAACCAGAATGGGCTCTGCCTGACCAGGAAATCATTACTCTGGAGGAATATCAAAAAGCCGACAAGGAAATGCAAGAGTCTATCACCGCTACAAACATTCACGAGAAGGCCAAAGACTTCGCCTGGATCCTAGATCCCGAATCTTATGCCTACCATGCCGGGGGCCATGGAGAAAGTCAGATGCCTGCACATGTTGCTGCTATCATCCTCCCACCCATCCTGCGCTTGATTCAGTTTCGACGCACAAAGGCAGACTTTGTTCAAGACCACGGTCTGGAAGGAGAGCCGTACTTGATCGGGTCGGATCTCAAGGCTTTCAAGATCATCACCGTAGAGCTCACTCCTTCGCCCAGACAAGGTTACATGATCAAACAACTCAACAAGGAGTTGATGCCCATCTTGATCAAAGGTGCGGATCAGGAGACAAAGGAGGGCTATCTGAACGGCTCCGTTTGTCAACGCTTCTTCCACGCCAATGTTCACCCATATTCAGAGAGAATATACAAGCGCAAAGGAAAGATCACAGCCAAGATTGTCGACACCTGGTATGATCCTGGAGACCAAGGAGCGACATTCTTCTACGAGAACACAAAACTCGAAGCAAACAACTCTGCTCCGAGAGACCGTGCATCACTCAGTTGGAGTATCGCGTACGATTCGGCGAAGCTCCAATTCCTAGCACGTGTTGTCCACCACGTTTGCTTCATAAAGAAGAAGAAGTTGCTCATATTCGTGGACTGGCCTTTCAACCTCTGGCTTGTTCTCATGTTTCTTGAGGGTGCCCTAGGCATACCGTGCTTAACAATTCAGGCCAGCCATACCAACGTTGAGCGTGGTGAGATTGAAACAATGTTCAATGACAGTGATCATGCGGCCAAGTGTCTCATTGCCTCCATCAGAACGACAGGAACCGCCTTGAACCTCCAAGAGCAGTGTGCCGATACTGTAATGCTGGATTTGCCCGCAAATGAGAACATGAAGGTCCAGGCTCTAGGAAGGACTTATCGCCTTGGTCAGCGCGAAGAGGTCACTATGTGGATTCTAACACTCAACGGTTCGTACGATCAACTCCAACAGTCCAGAGCTGCTCGCAAATTCGTCGCACAAATTGCAGGTCAATCCGGCTTGCAAGCTAGCCCCGAAAACCAGGAGGCATATCTTGCTGCAAGAAAAGTGATTGGTCTTGGTTTGAAGGACCTCTGCTCAAGACAAGCAAACAACAAGGGTGAATATGACGACGAAGAAAAGGAGTACGTGAAGCGCAGATTCGAAAACTCCCTTCTCTATCCTGCTTGTCGCTCTTTGTACCGAGACCAGTTTGGCCTCCGCACTGATCGTCATTTCTGGCATTCGAAAAAGGACCTCGAAGCCAAGGACTACCTTCCTGGAGAGGTCAAGTATGGCGAGGCTTATCAAGGAGTGGACAAGAAGTTTTCTGGTACGTGAAACACTGCAAATTGTCCACAGACAAATTTTCAGGTTTTGTCCACGGACAATTTAGGCTCGATGCTAACTCTTTTTCAGGATATCTGCAGCAGGCTTTGAACGAGGTCGGTATCATCGAAGCTGCCAAAGAGTTCTTCCGCCGTAAGGAGAATGCTACCCTTGGTGAAGAAACCGCACAGTTCGGTCCTATGCAAGGTACGTTACAGCCACTTACAGTCAATCGTGTATAGCTACTGACACTCGCAGCCGGACTCACATTTGATACCATGTGGGCTGAAGAAGAAGAGCGCCTCGATCAAATCGCAGAAGATTACAACAACAGCAAGAAGGCTCAACGCAAGCACGCCAGAGCAGTTCTGAAGTTCAACCATGCTGAGAATCTTAAACGTCTCAAGTCTAGCTTCATCCCGGATAGCGATGATGAGGACAGCGCAGACGATGATGAGGACGATGATGAGGACGATGATGAGGACGATGATGAGGACGATGATGAGGACGACGATGAGGACGACGATGAGGACGACGATTTCGAGAGCCAGATCGGTAGTCCAGAGCCAGAGGAAGAATTCGTGACTCCTCCAGAGTCTGAAGATCTGACTCAGCAGGGTCCTGAGCTGGACATTGACTCTCAAGCACCCGACGAGCCTGCTCCCGAAATTGCAATCCCAGAGACAGAGGATCGCAAGCGCTCCGCAACTGAACAGTTGGACGAGCCTGAACCCAAGAAGATCAAGGTAGAACCGCACTCGCCCATGGTGAAGTATGGTTGGACAAAGGAGAAGGCCATGGAGGTCGACGACTACGAAAACCCCGATATCCTCTCGGCTGCCTACGAATCCAAGATCCCCGACGACTACAACGAGGTAGACGGCAAGGTCAGGGATCCGTCGGATCTATAAGTAAAGGACGTGGAGGTTTTGGCATATCAGAAGTCGCATGGACATGTGAATACAGGCCCATGGGAGCAACAGGATCGAATACTTAAATAGCTCTGAATGTCTTTTTTCCTCTACCATTTTGTCTATCGACGACTATCTGTACAGAACCCCTGCAAATTGTCCGCGGACAAAACTTCGTATATTTGTCCGCGGACAATCTAGTCTTGTTCTGTATATACTTGATTATGTTTTGTCTGTGGACAATTAAGGCTGATCTCGATTAGGATGCAAACATCGAATTGTTAAATATGAAGAGCTGAGACATGTTTCAACTAGCTAATACAGCAACGTGTGGCCTGAAAGCAAGCGATCTTTGGATGTTAGCGATGCTCTGGTTGTCATGCTGGACCAATCATGTCATCTCTCGTTCCTACTTTTCCTTCCCATGGTATCCAGCTCACACTCAAGACTTAGAGCCATAAGTCTTCACCTTGCACAACTTGACGTGCGCATCCTTCTCCCGAGGAGTGAACCTTAGCTTACAGATGAAGCAGCGAACACTGCCAGTGGTATGCTGCTTCTCGTGTTTCACAAGGTCAGTGGCGCGCTTTCCTGTCCTATCGTAGAAACATCTCTCATCGATGCAATGAGTACGGCTGTAGATCGAATCGTCGCTGCGGAATTCACAGAATTCTATGGCATGTCTGGTGTGCCATTGGTTGGAGCCGTGCCTCATGCCGCAAAGCATACACGTAGATGTTCCAGTGGTGTGTCCTAAGACATGGTTCGGGTTTGCGCCTCTGCTCATGGCTTGAGAGAATCCGCAGAAAGGGACCGGACACCTCCACATGTAGCCGGTGATACCCTTGTTGCACCGGGCAATGTGATTCTCAAGGTCGCGAACTTCCCCAAAGCTTTTCTCGGGGAATGGGCATGCTTCGTTCGGGCAAACAAACCGTCTCTGTTCTTTGATCAACAGTCTCCTCTCCTTGTCGTTGGCGGCGCGGGCAGCGCTATCCGGTGGCGAGGGCATGTACAGCGGGTCCTCCAGTCTCCTGGCGGCTCTATCTTCCCGGCTCATGGTAGTAGGTCTGTCTTCCGGCTCCATGACACCGAGTCTGCCTGGTGGTGCCCATCCCTCATTCATTGGGCTGTGTCCCTCCGTGCCAGTCCATGGTCTGGGTGTCGGCTTTGACTGCATCCACGGCCAAAGATTGTACTGCAAGAGCTGACGATCTCTCTTCATATCGGCGCTGAATCTACCAAGTGCGGAAGTGAGAAGAGCTTCAACTTGATGTATGCGGGCGACAATGGTTTCGCCTTCAGCGGTATTGCGGGCAAAGGGCTTGATACGGGACAAGGTACCCCAATGATAGACGACGGTCTCGGTTTCGGGATCGACGCTTTGTCTGAACTTGTGAAATCTAGATCCCTCTGCTGCACTGTAGGATTGTCAGTCCACGTTGTCTGGGGATGATCAGTTGGCAACTCACGCTCTCTTCGATTTCTTGTCGTTTTCATGATCAGCACGCCTGCCTTTCTGGCCTTTGACTCCGAAAGTACATCCCGACTTGATGATGAACTCGATGAGCTGGCCTTGCTTGTTGTACTTTTTGCCGAGACAGAAGTAGTGACCATCGTCGTCAGTGTCGACCCATTGGATGGCTAACAACTCCTCTTCTTCCGGCGGAGAGGGACGGTTGAACATGTCAACGACCTCTGGCACGAGGCAATTGAAAGCGAATTCGGTGTCCGCCGTGGAGTCGAACGGCAACATAGCTTTGAGATACTGAGTGCTGAGGGGAGTCGTCTGCATCAGTTCCGACTGGTACTTCCACTTTCCGGTGAAATCACTGATATCTCGGTCCTGTGTAGCCTGCTTGGACCAATCCGCGCTGGTTTTGAATCCCAACGCAGCCCAGGAGGGATTCATCGGTGGCATCGTAGCGGATGCTCGATGGAAGGGAAAGGGAAAACTTGAATAGTTGTTGTAGATGGAGTAGAGAGACAGAAGAACGGACTGGAAAGTTGGATGGAGAGCGGGGGTGGTGTCTCTTGGTTGAGGAAGGAGGCACCTTCCACGTTGGTGAGCAGCCGTCCGCCATGGCGAAGATCCAAGATTGTCCACGGACAAAATGTTTTAAAAGAGGCAGGAATGTCCATGGACAAATTGCTTCCCCGCTGGTCATCCCTGAAATGGTCGTCCCCAAATCGGTCATCCCCAACTTGATTTCTCATACCTTCCGTCTGGCTGCTCATTGTGACTGAAGCGTGATTACTCTCAGAATGTATGTCGATTGTCCACGGACAAATGTTCTCCCCGTTTTTCCTGGGTCTGCGGGCCTACCGCGGCCCCACTGGCAGAGAATATTGAGGGAGAGGAGAGAAAGGGCAGAAGAGGGAATATTTATACCTCAATTCGATCACGTGACATGCGTGTTGCTTGCCAGGTTTTCTGTCCGCACGCCTTTCTCGTGACTATGAGCTTGTGACAACACGGCTGATAGACCAGTAGATATGCTCGGAATGACATCCCTTGTAGTATATCTCGTGCGGTAGATGGCTCGCCGTGGCCGGGGCTTCATCACAATCTTCATTACGAAGGAGAAACGAATCTTATCTCATCTCTTATTCTGGGGAAGATATCAAGGTATGACGGAAGCAGCACTAAGAGCTGTTGACCTGAGAGATGCAGAAGAGAAAGGGAAAGTAGATCCGCGTGTGAGAATACGCATTTAACAATGTCGTGAACGAACCCAAGTGATCGAGAGAGCCAAGATTCGGCACTCTCATACTGTGCTCACGGGCGCTCGATACAGAGTCCGAATCATCCGATGCGATGCAGAGTATCCTTCCTCCCCGTGTGCAGAACCTTGTCACACGCATGCTGTAGAAATGCACAATGTTTTTCAGATCAGTGCAGCCTTCCACGGAGAGTGTGAAAGTCAGCGCCTCTCAGTGGAAAGCTGCACTGGTCTGAACAGTATTGTGCATTCCTCCAGTCCGGACAGCCTTGATTGCGGTCGCGAGAAATGGCTTAAAAGTGACAAAATTTAGCACCTGGGGAGGCCAAACCCTCAAATTCCCCAAGCAGAGATACAATTGTACAATTACCACCCACAGATATTCTGGTGGACGCTCCCCTATTGGAACTCATTTCTGCATTTCCACATCTGAGTCTTGACGGCTCCGAGTGCTGGGGGAACTCACATAAAAGTATGCCAGTCCTTGGCAGATGTTGGATAATATTTTATGGACGCCTGATGTGGAATTCTAGTCGAACTCGGTCTTAGCACTCTACCTCGGCCGAGGCCTTCTCAAATATTGATCCGAGACCAGTGCTGGGGGTGATTTCATAGAATCCGAGTCTCTAGAGAACAACTCCAAGCATCACCCCTTCTGTATTTGCATGATCATGTTGCTTGTCAGGTCGACATACGTGCAATCGCAGTATGGGGAGCAGCGGACGTCTCTAGCGCCTTCCGCAATGGGAAAGTTATTGCTTGATCGTTGTGTCTCCAGCTATCCACCATGCTTTATAGATCAATTGCGCCTTCGCGTAAGAATTAAATAGATGCACGCTACTCGACACGTTTGATGCAACCTGACTGAGTGAAAGGAACATACTCGACAGTATTGCTGATGACATATGTATTTTGACCGAAAGAATTGGCGATAATAGCTTATGGAAAGACGATGCGCAATTATCGATGCAAAATGGATATACGGACAAGCAACGAAGTGTCAATAGAGTCTATCGAAAGCGATGCATGCATGATGCACACGAGTCTCTACCTGGTTTGCTACTGCGTAAGATGTAGGCAGCTATCCGGATGGCGGGAGTCGGCAGACAAACGTAGGTGGATGGCCAAGTACTTTTTCCTTTGTCATTCAGCTCTTGGCTCAAACGAAGAGGCGTTACTGAAGAAGAATAGCAGTGGATGTGAGCGGTTAGTATAGACCTGGGCGAAGCAGTATGACTGAGACTCTATAGGAAAATTAAGGATAGGCAATATCGGAATTGTATGCGGAGATGTCGGTATGTGTAGGGTCATGCAGGGATTTTGGCTGCAAGGTCGCGATGCATGTGAAAGTGATGGATGTGACGAAGCGTGGACCACTCATGGTCAAGGCGCACGCAACGGTGGTGCAGTTGGCGCCCCTTTCAGTCTCAAAGCGGGTCTCTAGTGTGGTGATTATTGTGGGAGGGTGATTTGAATATGTCTAAGGATCCTGAAAACATTGACGTCCACGACTGCCAAAGACGACGAGGTGGGAACAAGATCTGATCAGTTTGCGTGGCAGCGAACATCGAGCAGTCGAAAGGGGCACGCACATCGACGACGTCGGCAGCCCACACGATCAACGCAGCTGGTCCGAGGCTTCAAGCATTCATTGATCATCAATTGCCCTCGCCATTGCCATTGCCAGACGACGCCCTCGACACGACACGACCCGACACGATATATACATTATTGCCCCCAGACGTCATGCGCTGAACAGAAACAACCAACAGGAGCCTCAGGAGACGACAGCATGCTCCGTACCGGCGCAGCGCACGCCGGCGACGCAAACCAGCCTCGACAACAACAGCAGCAACACTACAACGAACGCTATGATCTGTCACGCGCCCGCTCGCCAGGCGGAGATTCGGTTCTGACTGTCCGCATTCCTGGCCACCAGCACCAACATCAACACCAGCAGGAAGACACGAGTCGGCGGGGTAGCGTAATCCACGGCCGGGGCCCCTCAGACTCGTCACATTGGTCGCATACCGACAAACACGCAAATGGCCTGGCCAACCTGAATCGTTGGTCCCATTCGACCGCCTCTAGCATCGCTTCCATCGATGTACCGCCAACAGTAGTCAAGCAACAGCAGCACTCGCACGCTCACGCCTTCTCGAACACCTCAAACCACGGCTTCCACACCGGCTCCATCTGGGCTCGTCGCAATGTCTCTGATGCCCAAATGTCTCCCGAGGACGTATCGCCACGCTCAGTCGCACACCAACGCCCTCAAGCCATGCAGAGCCCCGAATACCATCGTCGCCGCGTCCCTCGCTTCGAGAAGCCCCTGCCGCCACGCATGTCCATTTCGAACCACTCCCCGAACGACGATGTCCAATTGACCGCTGCTACCTTCACCCCCTCGAGCGCTGGTCTTCTCACTCCCAACAGCTACGCCAACTCAGACTACTTTGGGAGTACCGCTTCGAGTAGCTACGACAAGTCTCCGCAGGCTCTGCCACCTCGCACTTCGTCGCGCCAAAACGGCTCCATGCCTAGATACGATGTCAGTCCTGTCGACAGTACTTCAGGCAGGGGCCGAGATAAGGACAAGAAGACAATGCTCTCAAAAGCCTTGGAGAAGGCAAATACCGCCGTCTTACTCGACAATGCCATGAATTATGAAGGCGCTCTCGAAGCATACCAGGACGCTTGTCGATTGCTGGAGCACGTTTTGGATCGCACTTCAACCCCCGATGATCGCAGGAAACTTGACGCTATCCGCGACACGTATACCATTCGCATCGAAGAGTTGTTGCAGATTCAACTAACCACCCAGGCTACGCGGCGGGACAAGCAACTCCCGCCAAGACCCATGAGCAACGAATCTATGATTTCCGCTATATCTTCTCCGGACCGCAACTCGGCCATAATCGAGACAGCCACCTTGACTCGTATCATTGATGCCCCACCTTCGGCAGGCAATTCGGCTTTGCCCTCGCCCATTGATGGCCCGCCTACCTCGTTCTTAGCCGTCTCGCCTGCCCAAGGTCCGCGAACCTCCTTCTTGACCAGTGCTATCCAAGAGGTAGAAGGGACATCCGCCCCTGGTGCCTTCTTAGGCCCTCTGTGGGAGCGTGAAAGGTCCAGATCTCCTTTTAGAGATTCCACAATCAGTCATGAAACTGCTCGCCCTTATGATGCATTAGAACCCGCTCTGATGCCACGACCGTTGACTCCTCGAGGACATGACGAGTCTGACGAATCCTTTGAGCTCGACTCAAGGCCCGTCACGGCTGAATCTCAAGAAAACAATAAGAGTGCAGACCCTGTATCTTGGCTGGACACGATAGATGAATCTGGCTCATCTGGCTCGCCGTCCAACACCACAACATCTACGCGCTCGCCCTCTTCTTCAGTACACGAGCGTTCGCCTGTGAGAGGAGTACACCGAAGGGACCTCAGCACTGCCCTCAGTCATGCCAGCTTGGACTTTGACGCTGCCTTTGATGCAGCGGTTGAGGCTGCCTACGAAGATGGCTACGAAGTCGACAATGATTTCCTTGCGGACCCTGTCATGACCCAGGAAAATCATCCTTTGTCGGGACTCGATCTCAGTGTGCCTCCACCTGCATCAGACCAATACCACGGCTTCGGTGGCGACAGCCAGCTTGATGACGACGAAGCAGAAGAAGAAAGAATCCTGGCAGATATTACGAACGACTATATAGATCACGGCTTCGACTTCGATATTCAATCCAAGTCTGCTTTGCCGCGGCAGTCAGATTCAAGCACATATTCCGGCCGCACATATCAAAGTTCGCAGGTGTCCAACCGAACGACTGCAGGCACCTCGTTGTCAACTGTTGCTGAGAATGTTGTCTCCAAACACACGCCAACTTCATCTTTAGCAACCGACATCTCCAAGACCTCCCCCGAGCAGATCAGTGGGGCCCAGCAAACCACTACTCCAAGTCGACGCACTGCTGGTACAAACTTCAAACAGCTCAAGATCGAAACTTCACGCAAGCCCACTCTCAGGTCGCGTGGCTATACGAATACTGAACCTAAGGAGACTACTGATGTTGCTGGTGCAGACGATGAAGAGGATGCGGATCGTCGAATCTCAGAGGTTCCTAGTTTACGTCGTGTGGAAGCAGCTCTTGCTTCGCCTTACCACATGCGATCTGCTACCTCAGACACTGCAACGTCTATGTCATTAGACAGTTTGCCAGAGAATCCGGATGCTTTGAACAGCAGCTATCGTTCACCAAGACCAAGACTTTTCCGTGGAAGGAACAAATCTTCACTCAGTCTCCGGGACACAGGCTTCATCTCCGAGGAGACTGATACTGCCCCAGCTTCACCTATGTCGGCCTTCCCGACAAACGGAGAAGCACCACCTTTCAGAAGGTACATCACACCACCTGGGGGCTCAATATCTATTACACGCACAGAGTCGGTCTCAGGAGGCCATCACATCTTTGACAGCTTTCTTAACCCACCTAATCAACCCCCTTCTCCTGGAGCAGATGATTCGTATTCACCTTCATCCTTAGAACCTTGCCCGGAGCCAACATTATTACGACCTTTCTGGATGCTTCGCTGTATTTCGAGTGTCATTAATCAACCTCGCGGCGGTTTCTTGACCACTCGTCTTTTCGTCCCTCGTCAGATTTGGCTGAATCGCAGCATCAAGCTCAAAAGTGTTGAAGACAAGATTGCCAATTGCGACCTTTTGACTGCCGCCTTGGGAAAGTTGTCCAAGGTCGATACTTATGATGCTGATGCTGTGTTGGAAGAGCTCCAAGGCTTTGAGGAGGTGATGGAACGCGTGCAAGCTGTGCTCATCAAGCGTCTGGGCAATGAAGTTGGTGTGCAAGGCGTCAGTGCACTCTTCAAGGACGCACCTGTCGCAATCGATAGCACAGGCACAACTGCCGATGCTCGCGAACCAAAGCCCAACAAGAGCTATCTCAGTTCATGGCGCAAGCTTCGTGGAAAGAACTCGACAGGCGGTGTCACCATTCCTTTGAGCAGCAGCCGTACGGACAAGGAGGTTGCCAACATGGCTAGCGTGCCGATGACCAGTTTCGTGCCGATTGACAAGCGCACCGCGCACAAGCACACTGCGTCTAAGGACAGTGGCTCCTTCGAAGGTCCACACAAAGAGTACATGAACAGCGTATCTCGACTGTGTGAGGCCGCACAAGTACTCGGTAAGTTTTTCTTGTTGTTGTTCTATCACACCTGTACTAACGATCTCAAAGACCAAGTCGCCCGTCAAGTCGAGGACCCAGGCCTCAAGCATTCATCGCCTACCCACATCGGCCTCGAACTCAGTACCCGTCATGCCGCAGAGTTCTTTGGTTTCTACGTTTGCAGATTTATACTCAGCGACATCACTCTGCTGATGGACAAGTATGTCAAGAGAAGTACAGAGTGGGTCATTGCATGATCATCGCCTGTCTCCTCTGGCGTATTCCGATCCACTTGAGAGAAAATATCTCTCGTGAACCTTTTGCATTCTTTGCATTTCGCACTCTGCATTGCATTTTCCGCTGTGCTGCATCTCACCTTGTACAACACGAGATAAGCAAGCCATCATTGTTCTTGTTTCTGGCATCGTTTTTCTGTTGGAAGCATACCCAAAAAGGTCATACGTGACCTTTTACTGTCTTGTCTTTTCATGTTCTGCTTTTCTGCGAATTTGTCACGTTGTTTTTTTGGATCTAATACCATGGAGAAAGGGGGCAACAGAAAAAGGCGTCCTACCTATGAAAGAATGAAGTTCCAAGAAAAGGCCTTTTAGATGAATTATTCCCCACTGGTCCTGAATTAATATGCATTTGTTTTTCTTCTTCATTGTTTGGTCTTTCGTGGTTTTATCACGAATCTCGAGGATTAGGTGCGCTCAGATGTTTACACAAGTGTAGATCGATGCTTGTTAGTGTCTTCGACACCGATCTCTATCATCGCATAGTCTCCTTGCACAGTGGCCCATAAAATGCAGCATATTTCTCAAGTCAACCTCAGTGCCCAGCAACAATGCGTCTTCTCTTGCCTTGACCTCTTCAAGGCCTCGAAGGCTATTGCATGCGACTCTAAATGCCATAATATTCTGATGGCTAGTGTATTCATCGGTAAGCTTAAGACGATGCTCACTGGCGTGCAACATCTTGAGATGAAGTCTTCTTTCTCTTCTGCCGGTTCTCTCTCATGTTGGAGTTTGCTCTCGTCCTACTAGAGCATGCCATACGGCAAGACGACGCTGACAACGACACGGTGGTCCGGAGGGTGAGTGTTTCAATGTTGTTACCAATGTACACCGTCCGATCTCGGAGCTCACCAATGCGTGAGAACAGCCAGCTAAGAAGCATGCCCGAGAAGTTGAGAGTTCGGTGCAGGGGCAGAGTCGGAAGGAGACATTCATTGGGGTATATTTCTCGTCGAGCTACGGAGGCACTTACTTAATCTCGCGGTGTGGATTAAGTTGCTGTCGTTGTTCGAATCGACAAAGGCGCCCCAGACTAAGCGTTAATACGCAGTCGTCGGTGTTGAGCCACGAACCATTGTGAGCGCCAGAGCTTTAGCCGCTAAAGTTCTTGGCAAGGTTACAACTTCACTTAGGGGAAAGGACCTCTCTTACAACTTCACTTAGGAGAAATATTCTGGCTTCACGGTCCGCTTTACGTTATGGTCTATTTCAAAAGGCCACGAAGATGATTTCAACGGGTCAGCTGCGCTTATTGAAAAACTCGCTCATTCCCTTTCTTCCCATCTCTTTGTTCCATCTCTATCCTCCTCTGTGAAGTCCGCTGTCTCCATCCGCACATTTTCACCTTAGTCCACCTATATTCTTCACCTATCGTCACTAGCATATTCCTTTGAGTCCTCACTTGCAATGGACGCTCCCACTCTCCAACCCAAGTTCCTTCCTTCCCGCAACGAGCTGGGCCTCGTTGCCGTGGGCTTCTGCGGAGGCCAGGTGAGTGAAAATCGGATCCGTCTAGCCATTGGCAATTCTGACATGATCGACAGGGCAAGTCTGGCGTCGATGCTGCACCTATGGCTCTGATCGAGTCCGGTCTTGTTGAGCAGCTGAGAGAAGAGCTCGAGTTCAACGTACACTACGACGGCGAGGTGCACCAATACTCCGACATCATGCCCAAGGAAGACCCCGACTACCGCAACATGAAGAACCCTCGCGCCGTCAGTGCCGTCACACGTAAGCTCAGCGAGCAAGTCTACGAGCACGCACGCCAGGGCCGCTTCGTCCTGACCCTCGGTGGTGACCACTCCATCGCTATTGGCACCATTTCCGGTACAGCTAAGGCTATCAGAGAAAGAACTGGCAGAGAGATGGCTGTCATCTGGGTCGATGCACACGCCGACATCAACACTCCCGAGACTTCGGACAGTGGAAACATCCACGGCATGCCCGTTGCTTTCCTGACCGGCCTGGCCAAGGAGGACAAGGAGGACTGCTTCGGCTGGATCAAGGACGACCAGCGCGTCAGCGTCAAGAAGCTCGTCTACATTGGTCTGAGAGACATTGACCGCGGCGAGAAGAAGATCCTCCGTGAGCACAACATCAAGGCCTTCTCCATGCACGACATCGACAGGTAAGTTTTGTCTTTCTTTTCCATGCGGAACCACCATGCTAATCCCTCTTACATAGATACGGTATTGGCAAGGTCATGGACATGGCTCTGGGCTGGATTGGTAGCGACACCCCCATCCACTTGTCCTTCGACATTGACTCTCTCGACCCCATGTGGGCACCTAGTACCGGCACCCCTGTCCGTGGTGGTCTGACTCTGCGTGAGGGTGACTTCATCGCCGAGTGCGTACACGAGACTGGCAGCCTTGTCGCCTTGGACTTGGTCGAGGTCAACCCCAGCCTTGAGGCCCACGGTGCTAGTGAGACCGTTCGTGCCGGTATCTCCATCGTCCGTTGTGGTCTCGGTGACACTCTGCTCTAAGCACTTGACAGATGCTGAGTGTTCATTTGGTGTCGCAAAAGCGTGAAAATGGCTGCGGTCGATTTAGCGTTGGCGTTGGCGCTGATATTATGTATTACGGTTTTGATTTTCTAGAGCGATACCTAGTCATGGGGCTTCAATGGCCAGTCTCTTTCTTCATTGCGCGCAAGCTACCTCTACTCCTTATCGTTGTGTGGTGATTGGACAATTAATTCATCATACGAACATGGCTTGTCCATGGACAATTAAGGCTTAGGAGTTTGTCCATGGACAACTAAGGCTATCATCCATCATCGCTGGCTGCTCTTTATCCTTATTCGCGTCACTGCTATTGGATACATCGGATGCCAGCACAGCAATGCCCGATCATGCACGCGGCCAGATTCTACCAATCCACTGGAAAGCCTCTCGTTGCACAGAACCAACATTCGTCCACCCACAATTCTTTGCTCCCTCTTGATAATTACGTTCTTGTAATCATCCATCACTTGTCATCTTTCGCACCATTCTAAGCAGCAAAGTACTTTCGGGCCAGGATACACCAAACACACATAGCTAGAACAACAGTTTACTTGCGAGCTGTGTCAAACAGTAAGGAGCTGAGGTTGAAGCATTTAATCAGAAGGGAGATCTACGGCTGAAGCGCCGCTCGTGCGCCAGAATGGTGGGTTTGACTGCCCCTCTTTTGACCCCATCAAGGACTATCGCTAGAACCAACATAGCCTACTACCAACAGTACACCAACATCGCTGTCATTGCCGGTCTCGCCCATCTTGACCCCATCTACTTCGGCGGAAGAGGCCTCTACTGAATTTCCTCCACATAACGAAGCTGGCAGAAAAGTTTCGCAATCAGGATCGGAAGCATGGTCAGATATAGATGAAGGCCTCTCAGCCCTACCGACAGAGATTACCCCGACAGACAAACGCGAAAGCCAGCAGACAAATGTACAACGCGTGCCATTCAAGGTCACGAAGACTGGACGACGCTCGTCAACAGAAGCGATGCTGACGAAACGACATGGTCCTCGTAAAGTGCCTGATGATGTCTCTCGCTCCAAAAAGTCCATACTACGCGATACTACACCATCACAACTCTCTGAAGCTACAGGAGTATCGGAGAGATCTAGTGGAAGTGACAGAACACTGAGACAGGAGTCTTTTCCACCAATGGAGACCGAACAATCAGACATGCCTCCGCAAGAACATGTTCGGCAGCAAGCACCACCTGGAGGACCAGGTCAGCAATGGGCCCCTATATCGCCGGAAAGTCTCGAGGGACATGAACGACCAATCCAGCCTTATCAACACGTTCCTCAAACACATTGGTTCGGTCCTCCAACTCCTGAAAGTGCTGGTAGACCACCTTTGTGGAGAGGTGATGGCTCGGCTTCCTTGCCATCTCCTCAGTCCCTGCGTTCGGGGTATGGCTCGCCTGGTATCCCCGAGACTCCATCGTCTCGACCAACTACCTCTACACTTCCAAACACTTCTTGGAGTGGTCAGCAAGGTGAAGATTCTTGGAATCGAGCTGCCGGTCAGCCTATACCTCCTCAAGTTCGTTCAGGCGTATCTCTCTTTCAACAACCGCAATCGATGATGGCCCAAAGACAAGGTCCATTGCCCCAAAGCCCTCAGTCTAATGTTAGACTCGAAGATCAAGTGGAAGCTCTCCGTGATCATATTGCATCTCAACAGAGGCCTGTGGGCCCAAACTATGGCGGCCCCGTACCTGGCTCGGGACCATACTGGCAGCAACGCCAAATGTATCCCGCAAGTCCACAGGTACAACGAGCCAGTTTTTCGCACGACAACGGGCAGGGCCTACGACAAATGCGGCCACATCAAGCTGGAATACCATCACCAGCTCCGACAGCTTCGAGTTTTCCAGACCTTCAGAAGACTACACTGGAAGGCTATGAGCTTCTGGCAGCCAAGCTGACGGACGGTTCCACTGGAGCGAGACCAATGTATCGTAGTTTCGAGCAACTGCACCACCGATTGCTTCTATACCTACAAGACGAGATATGTGAATACGAGGAAGAGCTGCGAAACCTCGATGAATGGATTTCTCAGGTTGGCCAAGCCACTTCTGACGGCAAATCGAGACAGGCCTCCAGGCGTGCGGAAGCTCGACTCACGCCTGCAGACAGCGAGTTGATGTTCAGGCGCAAGTTTGTGCTAGGAGAGATATTCGTCAAGCTGGAAAGATACCGTGAGTATTGCTCGATGAAACTTTGGATATTTGCTGATACTGCTAGATCGTGCTCTTGAACACTATCGTAATGCATCTAAAGATCTGCAAAGGCCACAGGAAGCAGAAATTGCACGTTATCGCCAGTGGATGGAGACTCACCGTCCCGTTGAGATGGCAGAAGCAGCCTTCCTCAAACACGAGAAAGATTTGTTTGTACTTCCACGTAAGAAGGTCGAAGTGTCGGCTGTGTCAGCGACGACAGCATCGCTACCGCTTATGCTACTCTTACCGTTCATGGCTTTCGCGGTGATGTCCAACTTCCTCTGCAGAATCCTTGCAATCTTCGCATGCAGTATGGGTCAGTGGGCACTTTGCTCAGTCATGGACGTCAGACATATTCTGACTGCCCGCGAGTGGCTGTTCGCTGCCGGCATGTAAGTACAATCAGCTCGTCATGATCCCAGATGCAGAGCGCTGATTTGTTGTTTCCACAGATATGTGGCTTTCATGACATTAGTTGCGGCCGTTGCTCATTGATTCAGGGCAAGATAGAAGAGATAAACGAGAGCACAGCTCGTGGAGAACAAAAGATGGAGAGGGCTCGCAAGCAAATGCTCGCTTAAACGTGGAGGGGTGCAGGCAAATCACGAGCGACGGTTTCAGGTGGGCGCTAGCAAAGTGTTTCAGAGCAATATTTGGGAATGCCGCGGTTTTTGAAATCCTTCTGCCGCACTCGTGCTCCAGAATCGGTTGCGGCTTAGGTTGGTTGAGACACGATCGGTTCTCTGCCGGAGATCTTCAATTGCAATTTTGGAATTTCTACGGCATGATGAGGAAGGCAGAGTCAGAGAGAGCATGCTTGGTGGTTGCACGGTCAAGCCCCTGACCGTGCGACCCTGATCAACACGTTGCAGCAGAGATCTGCAAGCCGCATGCGGACTAGGCACGGATTGATGGAGAAGGAAAGAATCAAGCAACGGAGTCAGATGCAGGCCAGTGCTCGTGGACAAGAAAGACGTGAGCCAAGTCGCAGAATATTGCGAGCGACCAAAGGCGGCTCTCGAAACCGCAGAATTGCCTGTTTATCCCATGTCGTGCAACTATCGATAGATTAAAAGCGCAGGCTTGGAAGATAAGGCGAGCGCCGTGGACACTGAAAAGCCCTCCTCGCTTCTGCTGAGAGAGGTGATGATTGAGTTTTTGTCAGTACCAACAAGGCTGGCCTTTCCAATGCGTAGACGTTAACGTCGAGAAGTGGTCGGCCAGTAGCTAGCACATTGTAGGGCGTTGCGGTGCCGCGGGCTGGAAGCAGAAGCGGAAGCGATTCAAAGTTTAAGGTTGCTCCCAGCATAGGGGCCCATAGAAAAGACAACCCCTAGGGACGTGCAAGGGTAGATAGAGTCAGGGTTGTGCTACATGATGGGTTTGAGACAGGTCAGAAGGTTCAACGAAGCATCTTGCATCTTGCTGCTGCTCTTGCATTCCTCTGCTTCACCTCTTCCAAGCAGTGCCCTCACAACGACGAAAGCGAGACGTGGAATGCCAGTTGAGCACGTGTAATCATTTGACGGTTGATTGCAGCGAAGAAGCATCGGGAACCCGAGCAACCCGAAGCGCCAATTGATCCTAAAGCTGATCTGATCTTCGACTTCCAGCGGCAGGGCCAAAGAGGCAGCAGCACTTTGTCCAAAGCGGACAGTGGCACTTCTGCTATATCGCGCGCCCAAGAGCCGTCTTTTCGCTCTCTACCCACACTCTCTTTATTACCGACCGTCGGCTTTGACTGCCTTTGGTTCCCTGCGCTCCGAGACACAACAAAGAGGGCAATCAATAACCTGCGGCCAAACGAACTGACGTCCTGTCCCCCTCTCCATCCGACTAATCGATTGTCGCTCCTTTCATGTCGGTCGCAACACTGCATGCGCCATCGCGGGCTTCTACATCATCGTCTTCATCCTACCTGCCCATGGTCGGCCGACAGAACACGCGCTCTTCTCACGATGGCGCCAGGTCAACGCGCACCTCGAAGCGCTATTCCATGACAGCCTTGTATCTGTCTATGAATGCGAACCCGCGCGAACTCGAGATTGAAGATGATCTTGCACGCGGTAAGCTCTTTGTACTCCATCAGCACCCACCTCAGTCACTGACAACCGAACAGCCCAGAAGGTGCTCCGCGACCTCAAATCAAAGATCTCGTCGCAGTCCAAGAAGAACTTTGTACTGGAGAAGGATGTGCGATACCTCGACTCGAGAATTGCCTTGCTCGTGCAGAATCGCATGGCTTTGGAAGAGGTGGGTCTTGAAGCCTGTCTCGCCTTTCTCCAGCCCGACTGACACCTAGACAGCGCAACGAAGTAGCCGATCATTTAGACGAGTCCGACGAACTTACAGAGGGTGCATTCCCCAACGACGACAAGACGCAGAAATATGGCAACCTGTTGTTCCTACTCCAATCCGAGCCGAAACACATCGCTCACTTGTGTCGTCTGGTCACGCTGGCCGAGATCGATCAATTGCTACAGACAGTCATGTTCACCATCTACGGAAACCAGTACGAGAGCCGTGAAGAGCACTTGCTGCTCACCATGTTCCAGGTCGGTCCAGAACAATCTGCCACACACAACCAATCAACCAGCTGACCTGTTTACCTTGCAGTCTGTTCTCACCTACCAATTCGACAACACGCCTGATTATTCATCCCTTCTCCGTGCCAATACCCCCGTCTCCCGCATGATGACGACCTACACTCGCAGAGGTCCGGGTCAAGGATACTTGAAGACGGTTCTATCCGAACAAATCAACTATGTTACCAGCAAGCTGCGCGACGTCGACCTCGAGATCAACCCGCTCAAAGTATACGAGACTATGATGGCCGAGCGTGCCTCAATCCGCGGCTCTACGTCGAGTCTCCCTCCCGGTGGCATCACGGCCGAAGAGGCTGCTGCAAATCCTCAAGTCCAAGCCATCATCAGCCGCAGGGTCGGCCAATTGATTCAGCTTGCCAACTACTTCCTCGACACGATTGTCAACAACCTGGACGAGACGCCTTACGGTATTCGATGGATATGCAAGCAGATTAGGAGTCTCTCGAGGAGAAAGTACCCGGATGCACACGACCAGACCATTTGCACCTTGATTGGTGGTTTCTTCTTCCTGCGCTTCATCAACCCTGCAATAGTCACTCCCAGGTCTTATATGCTTATTGAGCAGAACCCCGCCGAGAACCCTAAGCGCACTCTTACCTTGGTACGTCGATGAGATGTCTGAAATCAGGAGACTGAATACTGACTGAGCAATTTCTAGGTCGCAAAGATGCTCCAGAACCTGGCTAATAAGCCCTCCTACGCCAAAGAACCGTACATGTCCGTACTCCAGCCTTTCATCCAACAAAACAAAGAACGCATGAATAAGTTTCTGCTTGATTTGTGCGAGGTTCAAGACTTTTACGAGACGCTGGAAATGGACAACTACGTCGCTCTGTCCAAGAAGGACCTCGAGTTGCCCATCTCGCTCAATGAAGTTTACGCTATGCACGCACTTCTCGAAAAGCACACCCAGGAACTGGTAGTAAGAGACGAAGGCTCGCACTTGAAGATTCTCTTGCAAGATCTGGGTCCAGCACCAGCACAACTTCCAAGGAAAGAGAACCGTGCAATCAACCTTCCGTTGTACAGCAAGTGGGAGACGGCACTGGACGACCTGACGGCCGCGCTCGACATCACTCAAGAGGAGGTCTTCTTTATGGAGGCAAAGTCGACATTCGTCATGATCCTACGCTCCTTGCCCGCCAACGCAGTCGTTGCACGACGACCACTTCGTCTTGACAGAGTCGCCGAAGCAGCTGCCACCACAAAGAATGACTCGGTCATGGTGCGCAAGGGTATCCGTAGCATGGAGTTGCTGAGCCAATTGAACGATATGGGCATGATCGACAAAGCAGACAACTACGCTTCTTTGCGCGACGAGGTCGAGCAAGAATTAAATCACCTCGGTTCGTTGAAGGAGAAAGTCATTACTGAGAGTCAAAAACTTGAGGAAGTTTACCAGACAATACGGGATCACAACGCATACCTTGTCGGCCAGCTTGAGACATACAAGTCATACTTGCACAACGTCAGAGGCCAATCTGAGGGCACCACGAAGCGTGTGCAAAACCAGAAGGTTCTCGGCCCATACAAGTTCACACACGCTCAACTGGAGAAGGAAGGCGTGATTCAAAGGAGTAATGTGCCTCCGAATCGACAAGCGAACATCTATTTCAACATGACCAGCCCGAGCCCAGGAACATTTATCATCTCCTTGCACTACAAGGGTAGGTCGAGTCACATGCCATCCATCAAACATGAGTTAACAATATCACAGGCAGAAATCGTGGACTCCTGGAGCTCGATCTAAAACTCGACGATTTGCTCGAGATGCAAAAGGACAGCCAAGAAGATCTTGATCTCGAATACGTCCAGTTCAACGTTTCGAAGCTGCTCGTCCATCTCAACAAGAAGTTCGCACGGAAACGAGGCTGGTAGATGCAGTCGTCGATCCTGTTCGTCTTCTGAGTCTAATCTGAACATGACGGAAAACAACGATATAGATGTCTATGGCTTTTCTTCTCAAAGCAGGCATGGGACATGAGGTATGTGGGGCGCAAATCTAAGGGCAGGCGTGGACGGTTATTTTTTCCCTTTTTTTCTTTTCCACTTCGAGTGCGTTTTTGGATTCTGAGATACCCTTTTATTCTCTTTTACAAGAAGAGAAGTAATGGAGGAGCAGCAGCGGGCGGAAGCCGAGGAGGACTGTGAGCATGCGTGTTTGCATTTCGGACCTCCATCTATGGAGAGCAAAGGAGGAGAGAGTCAGTGCAAAGACTATCAGTGTCTTTTACTGGCAGAGGAGGGATTCTGATTCTGATTCTGATTCTTATCATGGCATTACCGGGCGGGTTCCTGGTCTTTTTATATTCATCTTCGGGGCATTCGAATTTACCTTTTCATCTCGACGCAAGCATGGTCTTCTTATCAACGACAGTGAACTGATCGGACGTACTGCGTATACAGTGATAACATACCGAGGAGCGATTAGGTGATCTGCATGGGAATGATAAAAGGTATGATGCATTATGGTGAAACGGCCTGAGTCACATGGCTTGGTGCGGGCGGAGCCAAGGCATGACGGTTCGGCGATAATCGCTCCGTATCTGTCCTACCATTCAACCTCGAGGCCTCCCTTCTGCCTATCCGTCTCCTCCTTGCTATTCCTGTGATTCATACGCTTTCACACTTCAGAGTGTTGGTCCTTTGCTTCCTCCCTTGTCTTCCACGTGTTGAGTCTATATATCTCCAGCGTTCGAGCAACATCTCCAAGCACATCAATTGCCAACCCCGCAAAAGCACGATAGCAACCATGTCGTCGTCGATAGCCATCCCCAAGCGCAAGCAGCCCAGTACTGACAGCTCTGGTTTCGCTTCTTCATCTTCGTCGTCCCCTTATCCGAGCTGGGCCAACAACGCTCCATTCTCACCCTCATCTCTGGCCTCGACGTCGGCTTCCCCGTCCTCGGCCTCGACTCCGTCATCCATGACCCGATACGCCGAAAGAAGGCCCTCGCTGCTCGGTATGTCCGGAACAAGTCTGATCAAGTCTGCTGTTGCTAAGTAGTGTGCAGGTGACTCGCTCTCCAAGTCCGAGTACACTGTCGTCAACATTGGCGGACCCGAGGCTCCTCGTCTGGTAAGAACATCAAGGTGTTCTTTCACCCGACCGATGCTGACAAGCTTGCACCAGATCACATGTATCAAAACATCCCAGGGCTTCGACTGGAACCAGGGTACGTGAAATGCAGCTCCCGTCCACCTCACATCTGTCTGACTTCGAATATAGAGATCTTCCTCCCATCCTATCTCGACTACGACTCGACCGGCCTCGAGCACAGACCTGACCCTGTACACAACATCCATCTTACCGACGAGGAGGCCGCCGCCATCTTCCCTAAATAAAGGAGCAACAGCAACAACTACAATACAACGATACTGAGAAACATGATGATGATAATGGAATATTGGCGTTATGGATAAGGGGAAGCACAAGGCACACATACGGGATACCGAGGTTTTGTTTTCTAGTTTTCTTGTTCTCCTACAACGCATGGAGTTTACATCTTTTGGAGGCTACCATGCAGACGGTCAGGTATATATAAGGCTCTCAAGGCAAAGCGAAGCACAGAGGGCGCTACGGAAGAAGGGCAGTGCTGATTTCGGACGGACGGGCTCCTTTAGCATTACCGGCTAGCTTATAGAATGGGTCTGAATTGATTTCCTCTTTTTCTCTTTTACTTGACAGCCAGCAACTGTTTATCTCGCAGCTTGTCCACGTACGCAAGCGCTCGAATGTGTCGTTCATGCACGCCGAGGTCGGGCATCGTTTTGGTACCATGATGGCGTCTCTCGGCGATAAGCCTCACGATAAGCAAACACGAATACCCCGCATGATCATAGCGTCTTGGCACGAAGCCGCCGTCTCCACATGCATCCCCGTCACTTTTGTCTCTTCCCGGTCGCGCAGCTGTTTCAAAAGTAAACAATTCAAAGAAAACACACCTTATTGCCGCGCGACCACATCCACGAAACCCACACCTTACCAAACACCACACGCGTGCGATCAATCTATCACTTCTCCAGCTCATCACATACCCACCACATTCACACGCGCAACATCACGTAAAGACAATGGAAACCACCCACCGCAAAATCGAACTCCAATCCCCTCTCGACCTAATCTACCTCCGCAACAACACCACCTCCACCGCCCGCGAAAAGCTCGACCTCCATTTCCCTCCCTCCGCCGCCCCCGAATCCGCTTCCGACGATGTATTGCGATCACGCGTTGAAGAATTGGTGCAACAATACATCAGCAAAGTGTTTGAAAATGCAGGACCCAATTTGGCGGTAAATGGGTTGGAGGGCAAGGAGATGGAAGAGGCGATGAGGGTGGCTGAGATGGGTAGGGATGGTGAGTTGCTTTTTGCGCACTTGATATGAGAAGGTGTGAGGAAGGGACAAGGATGATGGGCTAATCATTGATGTGCAAATGCAGAATTGGAACCCTATGATTCGAAACTACAGACGAAATTGTTGAATCTTTCCGCAAAGATTGAAAACTTGACGTTGCAACTCGCCAATCTGCGACGAACGGCTCCGGCGCAGGCGGCTGCTTCTTATGCTGCTGGTCTGGAGAAGGAAGAGAAAGAATTTGAAGAGGCGAGACAAAGAGCTGAAGAGCAGAGGAAGAGGATGTTGGAAGAGGAGGGTGTGCAGTTGGGCACGGAAGGCGTCAGAGATTGGGAAGAGGCGGAGAGAAATTGGGAACAAGCTACAAAAGGCTTGGTCGATATCAAGGAGAAGATTGGAGAGACTGGAGCGAGGTTGGTGCAGGCTAGAGATGCTGCCGCATATCTGGATCAAGTTGGCAAGTGATTGTCTCGAAAGTTCAATATCGTTTTCGCATTCTTTTGGGTGGTTTGGTCTTCGCGGTCGAGGTCCATGGCGTTTGGTGGTTTGGCTGTTCTTGGGCGATACCCCTTTTCTGCAGTCATAGAGACTCTTTACTTAGTTGGAGCATTTCTGCTGAATGATATGATATTTGTTTTTCTTCCATCGACCCTCGGTTTGCTACTTAAGATAGGTATGCATTGTAGGGAGGCAAGACTTGCGCGTAGACACACAGAGTAAGGCACATTATCGGACCAAAAACGATGCTGTTAAACAGATCATATTGAGAGGCTAACGTGCATTGCGATAAATGCTCCACGTTCGAACAGACTACACCCTCTAGCTTGTCCACTCCAAAGCTTCCCTCTTTCCTGGGTAGTTCTGGTTGTTGGCCCATGCGCTCTGTGCTCTGACAATTGCACTGCCCGTTGTCAAGGTTCGGATGGTGCTGTTGCGCTGGATGATGTTTTGTGACGTGAGGTCGTGACCATACATCTGGAAGTGTGTAAGTATGACTATTCCTTGTACTCGACTCTTCTTAGGGAGCTCACAGAAACAGCAGAAGACAGGCTCTGGAGGGCTTGGTAGACTGGTTGGTTCAGCTCAGAGTGGAAGAGACGACCACGACGTTGGACGGTATCAGCGAGATAGAGCACTGAGTCGACGTACTGAGAGGGTCAGCTTATGTCCAATACTCGCCTTGCAATATGGTGCCATACGTTGAAGTAGGCTTCATTGAAGGTAATGTTTGCAACGCCTGGAGAGGACTGCAACATGTCAACAAGGCTCTCAATGATGAATTGAGAACAAGACATGACGAACGATATTGGACATCATCAACGAATCAGCTCCTTGAATAGCGGCGGTGACTTGAGAGACCAGATCCGATGTGTTCTGAGGATCGTCAATTGATGTTCGCTGATCAAGACCTGCAATGCTCACAAGATACGCTGTGCCATTCAGAGAAGCGAAAATGGTGTCCGCGGTACTGGAAGCGAGGCCCTTGATGTGGATTGCATCTGTAATCGCATCGGCACGGACGAAGCAGAAGAGGGTGGAGATGATCAGGATGAAGTTGATAAGAAAAAGCTGCATAGTGTAACAAGGGTATCGGAATAAAAGTATGATCTTCTGCAGGTGATGATCAGGGTTCGAAGGTTTGGTACAGGTACGAGGTCTCGTGCTGCTTCGGTTACAGGGCTAGTTGATGTCGGTTCAGGTGACTAGAAAAGAAATAGGACAATGGAAATTGGTATGGATAATGGGAGGTCGTGTTGCGAGAATGACGATACGAAAGTCGCAAGACAAGAGCAGAAAATTCCCATTCTCCAAGCGTACCCAGGTGACAGGAAGGTACGATACTGACTTACTTCCGCGACATTGCGAGACGCGTCGCTGCCTCAACTGCAGCACATGCTCGTTCAATATTTGGTTCATGGCAAGGACGACCTTGGGGCACAGAGGCTCTCGAACGTCGCTTGCAAATGATCTTCTTGAGCTGCATCCAAGCGAGATCTGATCAACAGACGCCTTTCTACGCGAAGTGCACTTCAAATTCGCGGCAATTGGTCGCGATGAGAAGGTCTTGGCTGTAATACGGAAGGTCATTCGACGAGGGCAAGCTCACCCTATTTATTTAATGCCAACCGAGGGGATCAAGCTTTTGCTGCATGACATGGCATTGCGCCCGAGATGCAGATTGCAGAGGGTTTTCAAGGTGCCGGCTTCCGAGGCGCATGGCGGCTGGCTCTTTGATCATCTTTCCTCATCAGACCGCATCAATGACCATTGCAGACGTATTTGCCGCGTTTGCGGCTCTGAAGTTCTGTTCATGTAAATATGTCGTTACCGCCTCCATTTCTCTTAGGAGCTGAGTGTGCTCTTTCCCCTTCTTGATCTTCGTTTTTAGCGTTTCACCCCATTCCTCGGAAAGCTTCCACCCGTTTCGTGATCACTCGTTTATCGTACATGTACGACATCATCAGGCGAGAAAGCTAGAAAGAAGGAACCATCGCCTTCAAGTGCTCAGTCTGCTTGGCGCAAGAGGAATAAAAGTCGGTGGAGGTTCCTACTGTTGTTTCTACAAACGATACCTGAGAATTGCCGTCACCATGATGCCTTTTGTGTGGTTGGCAGCCGCCACTTTAATTGGTGTCTACATTTACAACTACTATCGTTGCTTCGCCCGCAACCTCGCCGCAGCCAAACAATCGGGTCTGCCCTACGTTGTAGCACCAGTCTATGGGTTCAATCGTTTCTGGCTCGTAACACACAGGCTTTGGATTCCGCTGTTGGAGAAATTCCCCAAATCTTGGACAGATCCGTGGTTACAGTACGTCCGCATCTAGGTCACACTGCAGCAATGTATACCTGTCTTACGGTGCAGACATGAGCTGACCCTTTTCCAGGTTCCTGGATCCTGAATGGACTTGGCTATTGAGACGTGAGCCATTCAAGGCTATCGGTAGTGACATCTTCATTGTGTGCTCTCCAGGAAAGAACGCATTGTTCGTAGCCGATCCCGAGGCAACAACACAGATCGTTACCCGACGCAATGACTTCCCCAAGCCAATTGAAATCTACGGCTCTGTGGATCTCTTTGGCAAGAACGTGGTGAGTACAGAAGGCTCGATCTGGCGCCACCATCGCAAGATCACTTCTCCACCATTTACCGAGAAGAACAATCATCTTGTGTGGCAGGAGAGTCTGCATCAGGCACAGAGCATGATGGCTTCTCTGGTTGGTAAGAACTCCGAGGGTAAGGGCACTGTGACAGACATCGCTGCCGCCACTATGCGGTTGAGTTTGCATATCATCAGTCGTGCTGGCTTTGGCAGACGTCTGCTGTGGCCGCATGAAGAACTCGAGGAGAATGGCCAAGCTGGTGTGGTACCGCAAGGTCACACAATGACCTACAAGGATGCATTGAGCACGCTATTGGAGAACATCATCGCTGTGATGCTGCTCCCCAAGTGGTTTCTTGGTAAGCAATTGTTTGACAAGTGTAGCAAAGCACTCGAAGCTAACTGAGGCTTGAAGTAAACTCACCCATCAAGCAAAATAAGGTCGCCTACGAATCTTTCACCGAGTGGGGCAAGTATATGCGTGAAATGTACCTTGAGAAGAGGGCGGAGGTTCAAGCAGGCGAGAAGCGTGAGGGTATGGACCTTATGGGAGCGCTCGTGAGTGGCGCTGGTATCAAACCGGATCAAGACCCAGAGAAGGCCGACAAACAACTCCTCACTGACGACGAGATTTTGGGAAATGCTTTCGTCTTCATCCTGGCAGGTCATGAGACCACAGCAAACACGTTGCACTTCGCCATGCTATACCTGGCCATGAATTGGTCTACGCAAAAACTTCTTCAAGACGATTTGGACGAAATCTTTGGTGACCGACCGATTGACCAATGGGACTACGAGCAGGACGTTCCCAAGTTATTTGGCGGCATGTGTGGTGCAGTCATGAACGAGGAGCTTCGTCTGATCCCCCCTGTCGTCGGCATTCCCAAATGCACACTCAAGGACTCACCTCAACCACTGACACTTTCTGGCCGTCGTGTTATCGTACCAGAAGGTACTGCAGTAACTCTGATCACGGTCGCCTCTCACCGCAACCCGAAACACTGGCCTACCCTTTGCGGTCCAAATGCCTCAGAGGCCGAAATCGAAAAAGACCTGGCATCATGGAAACCGCAGCGATGGATTTTGGACCCCTCAAAGTCGAACTCGACAGCAGCACAAAAACACGCACAGCAAAATGCACACTCCGATTCGGAAGAGGATATCGGCGGTCCTCAATCCTCGGATACTTCATCTCATCTCTTCAGCCCTGAACGTGGAGCCTTCATCCCCTTTTCAGAAGGCTACCGCGCATGTCTAGGTCGTCGTTTCGCTCAAGTCGAGGTTCTCGCTGTACTCGCAGCTATTTTCCGCGAATACAGTGTTGAGCTGGACTTGGACAAGTACGCCAGCGATGAAGAGCTTGCAGCCACGGACGAAGCATTGAGGAGGTCAACTTGGGACAAGGCCAAGTCTACAGCGGAGAATCTGCTCCAGCATGGCATGGGAACTATCATCACAATTCAGATGCGCACGGGCAAGGTGCCTGTCAAGTTCGTCAAGAGGGGAAGTGAGAAGTACAAGTACGATTGATTGGATGGAGTAGTAGCATGCTCGTATTTAGCGTATCACAAGTCTCTGGCGAATCGCACAAGGTGCGCCCAACATTTCTACATGTCAACAAGTCATAGAGTATTTCCGATCGCCGGAATCTGATTCGCAAATATTGGTCTTTTGAAGTCTTGTAAGATGTGCCCTGCCAATTTGAGCAAGTCAATGTTGTTAGTCTTGTCACCCTGTCTCGGATATCATGTCGACGACAACCCACGCCAACGAGCCACTACGACATCATGAGACTTATCATGGCAAAGAGACATGATCTAGTATCGGTCGAGTACGTTTTGCCTACCTCTCATCCACTGCAGCCGCTGCTATCCAATACTTTCGTATATCTCTGCATCAATTCCAAGATACGGTTGAGCATCGCACACTTCTACTGCTAGACAGCACAAATCACCATGCCACTTCTCTTTCCAACCATTTCACCTCATCTATACCTGTGTTTTCTGACAAGGTTGTCTCACCTCTGTAGATGATATGGAATGTGGAGCTGATGAATGTGGAAAAGCATTTCGGTGATTGTGTAGTGAGTTGACTCGAGAGCCACACGCCAAACGCACGCGAGGTCCATGCATAACACATTAACGATCATCATGCAAAACATCACGCATATCGATCTCAAAACGAGGAAGCGTTGAACCTAAACCTTGCCATATTATAAAAAGTCAAAAGATTCCACGATGGTGCGGATGGAGAGAAGACACGAGATCATAAAACAAAACGATTTGAACTTTTTAGAAAAATGCGCACAAGACTGTCAAAAGAGACGCGTAGTGAAGGGAGCGAAAGGGGTGGAGTTTGGGGTCTATGTTGTTTCCTTTTTGTTGTTGTGTTGTGATGTGTGTTGTTTGTCATTACAAAGAGACCATTTGCGTTTCCCCCAAGAGGTGAAAGATCCCTTTTTTTCTTTCCTTCTCCTCCTCCTCCTCATAGCTCCTCTTCCTTCTTCCATTCACAACCGCTTGGCACCAGCACAATGCTTTTCATCAACCATCATCATGCTTCAACCCCAGAAGAGCCGGAGGAAAAAAGAGGAAAAAAGCAAAAACAAAAAATCAGAATGCAGAAGACAGCAAAAACGCAATGAGATGTGTGATAGCAAAGAAGAAAAAACAATGTTCTGAAATCCAAACACAAAGGGGAGAACCGGTTATGCCGTCTGTGGTCTCCCTCATTCCGCTTTATGAAATGAAACATCATTCATCATAAAGTTATTTGTTCGTCATCATGGGTGTCGTTATAGAGTCAAGGAGAGATGAAAGCGCAAAAACACAGAAAGGAAGGAAAAAAGCGAAAAGACCTCAAAAAAGAAGGGAGGCATTAGAAAAACACAGCAAGGAGAAAGGAAAAATGCAGTGAGAATGAACAGATGAAAGTTCCAAGGCAATCTCATCGGTGTCCGGCGAGAACGGAGCGAGGGCGCCCGATTCCAGCACTGCCTTCGCGGACGGTCTTTCTTCGCTTGAGGCCGTCCGAGTCTTCGTTATAGCGATCTTCGACGTCGTCGTCGCGCATACGCTTTTGCATGCCGTTCACACCAGGATATCCTTGAGACCCGTAGGCGTGGCTGGGTTGTCCGTAGATTTCGGAACCGTTGGGTGCATTGCGGTTGTCACTCATAACGCTGAACAAGTTGGACTGGAGCTGTTGAGGGCGCTGGGGAGTAGAGTATCCAGCGTGGTAGCTGTTGGTCGTACGAGGAGTTGCACCGCCAGAGGCCTTGTGGTGAGGCGAGCCAGTCATGTCCGAAGACATATGTGTCTGATCACTGTGCAGAGATGCAGTTGTGGCAGGCGTGGCATATGCGTATGAAGCACGGTTTCCACCGTAAGGACCAGAGGCGTGAGTGTATTCACCCTCGTGCTCACCCTCGGCATCGTCGTGTGCAGAGTTGTGGTTAGCGTAACCGTCCTGAGGCTTCTGATCTACGGCGTGGTCGGCTTCAGCACCGCCGCGAGCGGGAGGAGCCATTTCATTCTTAATGTAAGGGCTGGGCTGGAGCTGACCATAGCGGGGACCATACTGAGGCGGCTGCTGGGAGGGGGCCGAATAAAGTTGGCGAGCACCATCGTATGCTTGACTGGTCTGGTAAGGGGGCATGCTGTGCATAGCACTTCCTGGAGGGGTGGTGGCAGGAGTAGTAGGCACAGATCTCGCGTTGTTCATGTTGGTGTCAATGGCAAGGGCCTGTTGAGAAGGTTGCTGTTGCTGCATAGTCGAAGGGGGCTGGGCGCTCCACTGGTAGGAGCCTTCCGAGCTACCAATTCCCATCATGCTGGAGGCACTGGTAGGAGGAGTGGGGAAAGTGTGAGCCCTGTCGAGATTGGGTCTTCCAGCGTTCGGGTGAGGCGCGAGCGAATGCGGCGGCTGAGGCATGGCCATGGAATGCGCATGAGGCATAGTGGGCGGCTGGCTTACAGGCGCTCTCATATAGTCCTCGGGGCGTCTGCGGTCACCAGGAACCACCGAAGTAGCACCACCAATGCTCTGTCTAGCATTGTTTGAGGGGTGATAGAGCAGAGCACCAATGTTGTGCACGAACAGAGGATAAAGCTTTTCGGTAATCTTCTCCTTGTTGGCAAATTCAAGAGCGCGATCAAAGGGGATCCAGACTCCCTTCAAATGCATGGGTCCAATCTTGACCACATGTCTGTTCTTCTCGCTCTTGAGAATACCATCGCGGCGACCGCGAGTCATGCCAGCCACATTGAGCAACTTTGTTCCGTTGATCATGTGGTTATCTTCGCGTCTTGCCACACAGATACCATTTGCCTCGACTTGGAAGCAAAGGCTTCCCTCGTCTTCCCAGAGTGTAGCAGTCACTCTAGGCTTCATGCCAGGAGGCGCAACTTGTCCTGTGGTGTCAAATGTCGCACCCGAGTACTGTCCTTGAGCAGAGCTGGGCGAAACACTGTTTGCAAGTGCTGGAGAAAATGTCAGTTATGGTCATGAACAAGCACCACTTTGGCGCGCAACTTACTAGGAAGAGGTAACTGCGATTGAGGCACCATTTGGGAGCCCAAACCACCTGCCGAGGGGTGGTGGAGAGGAGCGAGGCCATTGGTGTAGTATTGAGAGTACGACGAAGGCGATGAACCATAGGGATGAGGCTGGCTCGAGATGGGCTGTGGTTGGTGGTAGTTGGCGTAGTGAGAAAGGCCTGACGGAGGAGCCGAAGAGGGGATGCTGCTAGACATGTGGCTCTGGCTCACATCCATGTAAGGCTGGGTCTGATTCATGCTGATACAAGAAGTGCTGTTATGGTCGTAACTCGTGATAGGGATGGATTGGCCGTGCAGTCCGGATTGAACACTGTCTCTGCGATAGGCGGGGGTGTGGTCGGGCGAGGGTGTCTTGAGGCCGGTGCTGTATGCGCCGTGGAAGGAGGAGGAGTAGGTGGTAGCTGTGTCGGCGCCGCAAACAGGCTCTGCTGAAGTGATGGAGCTTCCTCTTGGAGATGAACCCACAGACGGGAAGGTCTGGAGTTGGGAGAGGGCTGGCAAACGCTCAGCAGTCGAGGTGGCTTGCAAGATGTTGGATGGTTGATACCACTGGTCGTCGAACCCGCGCGCTGAAACGTGAGAGATGGATGGTAGAGCCAGTTTGTCTGTTGTTGACGAAGAAGATGCTGCTCAAAAGAAGCACCTCCTATCGATAATCCTTGTTGGACTAGGATGAAGCGAGTGTGGAGTGGTTACGAAAGAACCACGAGAGTCGGCGAGAGGATTGAAGCCAAGGTCAAGACGTCAATTGAGTGGTGACTGGATCAATTGGACCTCGAAGCTAAACAAAGCAGTATCGCAAACAGGTCGTGATATGACTTGAATCAGGGGAGACGCGTGCGCGAGGTGATTCAGAGTGCCGGTCGTTAATGTCGTAAGCTTGAGCTCGGGTGAACAGACGACGAGCAGTAGTACGGCGAGAGAAAAGTCGCAAGCACGCACTAATCAAACGTCTATAGCTTTGAGTGCAGAATGCAAAAGCAGAATACTTTTGCGGAGGATGCACAAAAATGTGGTCAAAACGAATAAATTGTCCTTGAATGGTCGTAAAAAGGTCGTGTCGTAGCAGTTCGTAGGTCGTGGACAGAAACACGCTGCAGGGCGACGGGACGGGTTAGCGACTATGTGTGTGTGTGGATGATGTGTGGTGGAGGTGGAGGTGGTTGAGGTAAGGCAAGGTGAAAGCATGCAGGTGCATCGGCAACGGACAAGCAGCAGATAGAAGTAGCTGGAGACACACACCTCGTAGTTAGTCTAGCTGCAGGAGTGCATGAAAGACGAACGCGAACGAGAAAAAGGGCGTGGAGCAGCCCTCAGATAGATAGTATTAGAACAGGCCGGAGCTCTTCTGCAAAGAGGTTGGGGTCTATCCGAGGAGGAAGGCGCCCGTTAGCGCAAGGCCGGAGCAGCGTGCACGATTCGGTGAGACTAAGAAGGTGCAGGGGTCTTTGGCGGCTAGGCCGTTTAAACTTGTCCCTCGCGAGCGGGGATCTGCTTGGCGTGGTCGCCGACGGCTGGGTAAAATGCTGTTTATCCCCTGGCCTAACTAGCAACTAGGCGGGAGACAAAGGAGGAGGCACAGCCGTAAGCAGCACGTGTTGGGAAGGGCAAGACGTAGGAGATGATCTAATTCTGGCCACCTCCGTAGCTCTCCCTGCTTTGCGTGACTTGAGAGAGGGAAAGAGGAGAGAGCGAAACGAGACATACATAGATAGGCACACACATGGACTCACCACTCACGAAGCTTTCTGGATGAGGCTCGCCGTCCCGTGTCGGTATTGCAACCAAGTACCCACGTATTCACGGGGAAAGCAGGTCAGCAGAACGCGCCGGGATGAAGATGCTGCGGAGCTCTGCAGCAAACAGCGGCCCGACGCGATGTGCAGACGGACGCTGGTTGGCTAGCAGCGGCGTGGGTGCTTAACGTCGTTGAGGTGGGTGGGGAAAAGGCGCGATATGTGGCGTTATCCGGAATGCGGACCCACCCTCACGAAGCAAAGTCGCGCTGGGATCGTGGATGATTGACGATGATCATGGCATCAAGAGAAACCCACGAGTGGGCAGAGCAGGAACCGTTTTCCGCGGCACGCAAGTGCAAGCTTTCCTCCATCCTCGCTCGCTGCTGCTCGATTTGCGCCTCCCCGAAAGGGTTAGGGCAGGCCGTCCCAGAGAGAGGGTTGATATTTTTCTAGACCTCGACATGGCTTTTGGTGGCAGAGGAAACATGATGACTTTCCTCTGCGGAACGGGTGCGCACTCGTGGGCAGAGAGTGAATATTCTTGTCCATCGGGTCATGCTTAATCTATTACTCCCAAATTCCACAAATTGAGCATTACTCGTGCGGTGGATCGGCGTCTCGATTCTGCGATCTCTTGTCTCTTGGTGCGATTGTTCTGCTTGACAGATTGCAGGCGGAGAGGTCGGAGCAGTTGTGGTTGTGTGAAACGCACCGAACCGGTCGAGATTGTTGAAACGGGCATGGCCAACACCTAAACAAAGGTAGCGCCTCTACTTGCACCACAGACGCCAATCGCTCAGAGATAAGCGCCTCCACTGGCACAAGCATGACGGCTGGCTTTGATTCCATGTCAGATGGCGTGGGCCAGCAAGACTCTGCCAACGATTGGCAGCTTTATCGCCGCAAAAGCAAGTGTATCAAGTCACTTGTCAAGCTACGTACATGACAGCACATGGGAGCTTGGTCCTGTCAAGAAATCCAGCTCCCAGCACTTCTACAACTGCCAACTTGTTCATCATGCAGAGCGAGTCATATGCAAAAAGATAGATGGAGAATGTGTGGAGTCCAGCATGTCTAGCCGATACGGATCCAGGATCCCAGGCAGACGCTACACTTGGTGTCTCCTTTCCGCCTCCAAGAATCCATGATGACGCTCCCGCAGGGAGCATGTCAATCTGCCCTGCAAAACGTTGGTCCGCCAGCTTGTCCCGAGAACTTGGTCGTCCTCATCTCTGGTCCTCGACCCGGTCATTGTGTGATACCGCACGGATCCCAGATGTAACAACGGCACTAACAGCGGCACTAGGCATCGGGTGCGCCGCCTGAGTTGCGCCATCTGAATAGCGTCTGAGACTGGCTCGACTCTTCCCGCTCCGCCTGCATGACGCGAGTGCGCGAACGATCTCCGCTTCAGTGCAGTTTACTGCAAAAGCCACGAGAAACTTTGTCTGTCCAGCACCTCTGATGATCTGAAACTGCCTGCTCGCAATGCGGCCATGAACGGACAAAAGCTTGTTCTCATTCCTCGCCAACACTTGAATCCACAAGTCCATTGAGAAGCGAACGATGAGCCTAGGAGCAAGAGTAGTCGCGACTAAAGGAGATAGTGAGCTGATTGGTCCAGCAGACGGCTCCAATGAACAGCTGCCACATCATCAATCAGGCTTATCCTCCACTCCCAAGCCCTTAGCCCAAGCCACCGTGCTAGAAAACAGAGCTGCTTGTCCCTTGCAGAGCCAACCGTTTTCCCAGGCCGCAGATTCGTGCGGAATCATCTGCCCCGAGATGTCTCTTTTCCTTCTACTCGACCGTGCCACCTCCCAGTCGTCTGACGACTCTGGGCGAATTTGATTGAGCAGGAGGCCCAACGAACCCCTGTATCTGCGTATATTGCTGGTCCGAAAGAGGAAGAATGAGAAGCATGCGATTCCGGATCAGCGAGATGTGGTCTCTCACCGCCATTACTCGTGAACAAGCTCCCGGAAAGCCGATGACCAAGACGGCAGGGAGGACTGGCTCCCAAACTCAATGTGTCAGGGCAAGTAATTGGTGAGGTGCTCGGCTACTAGAGGTTTAGGTGAACGGGTCTCTTTGCTGAGTTAACTTAGCACTGCTAGCAGTTACACCTTGCCGTGTCTCAGTTGTTAACAAGCGACGGTGGACCTTGACAATTTTGACATCTGTAAGCAATGTTAGCGGACCATTGTTTCGACTCTTCTCTGCGTGAGCGTTCTATCCATGAAACAATCCACGAACGACCGGATTGACAAGGCGTGCAGCGGAACCTACTGCGCCTAAACCCCACAGACGCAGCATGACAGACATGCATACGATGAGTTTAAAAAAGTAGATGAGATGTTCGATCCTTTAGAACGAGTGTGTCTATTCGGTGCAGAAACTAGATTGCGGTTCCCGTCTACGGAAGGAGTTTTGGTGGGAAAATCACAAGCCAGCCCGGCTGCACGGACGAAGGCCGGAGAGAATTTCAATAGTTGGTGGGTATGGTGAGGATGGCCGTCGAAGAAGTGACTATTTGCAACCCCTGAGAGGGGCTTTGCCGACCGTACGTCCGTACTTTGTTGAAGTACCAAAGACTTGTCAATGAAACAATAGCGGCAATGTGGCCAGGCCTTGCATGGGCTTCGATGCAAGGCTTCCAGGCTGCAGGAGAGCACATGGGCAGTGGCATGATTCGGGAGATTTGGCAGGCCTTGTATATGCAAAGGTATATGCGATGATATCTAGTGGATTTGTAGTCTCTTAAAAATTGCACACTGTTCAGGAGATCGCAGTGGCTTCTAAAGCACGAAAGACGTTGATCTTCGCATTCCGAGTGAGTCCGGGCCATCACAGAGCAAATGTATGGCAGACGCAAAGAAGAAAGCGTGGGAAGTTCATCAAGCTCTGACGAACTTGGTATGTGTGCCAGTTATGACAGCGGCGGCGCGCTGACCGTCCTGGACTTTGAAGATATTGACCTTGGTAAAGGCCAACGACCCACCGACCTTGTCGGCGATACCCTCGATCTCTATCTCGTCACCTTCCTTGGCAGAACTCTGGTAGGTGACATGAATGTCGACACTGACACCAGTCTTCTCGCGCAAGTCCCACGAAGCAATAGCCATACCGCCCATCCAGTCTACGATGGTGGCAGAAACCGAGCCATGGATGCCTCCTTTTGAGTTCATGTGATTCTGGGTCAAGGGCAAGCGGCATAGCACATGTCCCTTGGACGCCGAGACGACACGCACTGGAGTGAGCAGGAAGGCATAGATGGGACTGCCTGGTAGATTGTTGGTGATGAGCTTCTCAATATGAGCATGCTCAGCCGACTTTTCTGAGGCCATGATGCAGAGACTACACGGGTCAGTGATTGCTGTGGTGTTGGTGTGGATGTTGATGCAAGAAGGCAAAGCAGCAGAGGTGCAAGAAAAAAGTAGAGTCGAAATGTGAGACATGGCCGGGTGAACTGTGGTGCCGATAGGGCTGATGAGCGTCATAGGCCAAAGTTAGCTTCACAACGAGGGGCAGCTGCCAGCATGCACGTTGGCAGGCACGTCGCTGCATGCAGGGCTGCTCTGCTTGGACAAGCGCTCAATCGCCGACCTCCAGCTTAGTAGAGACAACCAGCCTTCATCTTTAGTTCTTCAATCTTCAAGGTCGACCTGCAGACCATCGCCAGCGTGACTTTGCCAAGACGAGAGACGACATAACGGATAGCTTCGAGCTGCAGACACGTTGGCGCGAATCGCTTCTTTGATCAACCGTGTGCTGAAGCCACTTGCATACCCTCCAACTGCCCCTTCACCCTCGCGCCACCCGTCGCGAACTCCCGTCTGGTCGAGAGACAACTCTCCTGCCCGTCGGGCCGAGGGCAGCAACATGTCTACACCTGAGAACCAATCCTACCTGGCCGCCGGCATCAACAAGCTGTCCCCCTGGGGTACTCGTGCTGGTAGCCCGGTCACCAAACAGCAAGATGCTCCTGAGCAATCCTCTGGCGACATTGGCCTCAAGCAACAGCGTGGAGGAGACCACAAAGTCAGCCATAGACACCGTCTGAGTCTGAAGCGCTATCCTCGAGACTGCCCACCCCTGCGTGTCCAGTGGTTCTTCGCTGTCGACATACCAAAGCGGAAACCCATCTACTCCGACAAGCCTCTGGGCAAACCAGAAGGTGTTGAAGCTCCTAAAGCTCTTCCAAAAAAGTACGCTCCTTTCTCCAAGAAGGACTCGCGTGCCATCGAGACCGCCTTCCACAACTTATCAAAGGAGGAGGATGCTGCCGAAAGGAGAGAACTCGAGAATTCCGAGGACATAACAGATACACAACATCTTGGACTCAAGTCCCATCACGATTCCGCCAAAGTGCCCGTCAACGAAGACTACCTTTTCGATGTGGACGTTGAAGAGAGGGAGCTGGCTCCTGCTTATTGGCTGGGTCCGGTCTACGAAGTTCGTCGAGGAACGTGGTTCTATCAGGGTTTGTGCTGAACGTATAGGAGAACTAATCGATCCTGACTAACAGTATGACAGAGGGTGCCGTTCAGAAGCCTTGCGATGAAAACCTGGCTGCTCAGCTGGAAGAACAATACCTGAAAGCCACACCGTGGAGATGGAAGAAACAAGAGCCGACAAGGTCCGCTTCACAATCTCGCTCTGCCACTTCGTCACCCCTGGCCTCCAAAGGATCTCTTCCTAATCTTCGAGACCAGAACACTAAAGATGCTGAGGATCCACAATCAGCTCACCGTGTTCAAACGTATCGCCTTTTTGGCCCGCACTCAAATTCCGTCGTGACTTATCAAGACACCACGACTGCATGGATCTTGACTGATGACTTTATAAGTCGGATGAGCAGTGGTGTTTATAGACGCTTTGCTGGAGGCGCTCATTACGCTGGTATCAAGGTCACACGTGGTTACGTCGTTCAAGCCAAGAAGGCCGAAGACAAAGATCCGAAGGCGGACCCAGACGCTGCTTCTAAGCCCGCTACAGTAGATGTGTCTTCCAAAGAGTCTGGCAAAGGCAAATCACCTGCTGCAGAGGGTGGAAACAAACAGGACAGTCTTCATGCTGAAATTGCAAGTCCTGAATCGGAAAAACATCGGCAAACTCTGGAGCAACAGATGAACTCTCTCGTTAATGCCGGCCAAGAAGACCCTCAAAAGCAGGAGGAAGAGGTCCGGAAGCGTGACGAGAAGGAAATCCAGGATGACTACCGTGACAGAGAAGGAGAGCAACAAGATCGAGAGATCGAGCATCTTCTTCTGGTCACTCATGGTATAGGTCAGCGACTAGGCCTACGCATGGAGTCCGTAAACTTCGTGCATGACGTTACGACTCTACGAAAGACACTCAAAGCAGTCTATGGCGAAAGTGCTGACCTGCAGGCGCTGAACTCGGAAGTTGAATCTTTGCCTAAGAACTGCAGGATCCAGGTGCTGCCAATTAACTGGAGACACAAGCTGGACTTCCCCAACCGTGCCCTTAAGCACAACCGAAAGGAACATGATCTCGCGTTCGGTGGGTTCGGTGAGGAGGAGGACTACCCCAATCTTGATAACATCTCGGTTGAGGGCGTACCTGCGGTTCGAAACCTCATCACAGATCTGGCTCTGGATATTCTGCTGTATCAGAGTCCAGCATACAAAGATGCCATCGCAACTATTGTGCTTGAAGAGTGTAACCGGATTTACAAGCTGTTTTGCGAACGCAATCCTTCGTTCAAAGGAAAGGTCAGCTTGGTTGGTCACTCCTTGGGATCTGCCATCATGTTCGATATCTTGTGTCTGCAGGAGAAGCATGAAGCTCAGCAAAGGGTCTCTAGCAAGGCTACACGCAATCCAATGAAGCTGGACTTTGAGGTCGAGGACTTCTACGCCCTTGGATCGCCGATCGGCCTTTTCCAAATGCTCAAAGGCCGCACGATTGCTGCCCGAGATGCGGGACAGAGTAACAACAAGTCCAGGGAATCTTCGTCGAACGCCTTCCTCGGCTCCTCGTCCTCAAGCTCCGACAATCTGACGGGTATGGGCACGCAGAATTCTGACCTGCCTGTTTCCTCGCCAAAATGCAGACAGGTCTTCAACATTTTCCATCCTACGGATCCTATCAGTTATCGCATTGAGCCTCTGATCTCTCCTGCCATGTCGTCTCTCAAGCCACAGCCACTGCCCTACACAAAGCGAGGCATTTTCAGTACCGCGACTGGTCAGGGTCTTACAGGTATTGGCGCTCGTGTTGGCCAGAGCGTTTCTGGCCTTTGGTCAAGTTTCAGCTCTGGCATAGCAAGCAGTCTGCTGAACCGCAGTCTTGGATTCACGGCTGAAGATGCAGGCAAACTTGGAGGGCCCGCAGGTATCAGCCAATCTCGCACTCCACTATCACTTGGCGCAGGAACAAACGTAGCAGGAGGTATAGTCCCCACAGCGCCATCTACGAACACCAAGATCGACAAGGTCGACGGGGACATGAAAGAGAAACTGGCTAGTGATGCTCAGAGAGCAGACGAAGCTGGAGAACGGCCACCAACCCTCATCGACGCTGAATTGGAGACACTATATGCGGGCTTCCAGAATACACGAAAAAGTGCACAGGGTGATCTGGATCACGACATGGCGGAGAGTGAAAGAGCAGAAGCGGAAGAGCGTGGACGTAAGCTGAAGAAAGAAGAGGCCAAGGTTCGAGCATTGAACTCGAACGGAAGAGTCGATTATAGCATCCAAGAGTAAGTGGGAAAGCTGCTCCTCAGTACCAAGCATGGCTAATACGAGACATAGGGGTGCCTTCGACATCTCGCTAATCGCGGCAGTAGCTTCGCATCTTTCTTACTGGGCGGATGAAGATGTGAATCACTTCATGATATCGCAACTTCTGTCCAGGCAGAGAACAGTGCGAAAGTCAAGCAGTTACCAGAATATGAAGACTTAAAGGTATCAAACCGACAAGCGACCACTACCGGGCCAGCCATGCCACACACCGCCCAATTCGACGGCCAGCTGTTCGGCGCTTCTTCCCTGGCCATCCCGTAGGCTTCTGATGTCGACCTTGCCTGTCTGGTCTTCTCTCATGATACCCAAAGATGCGGCTTGCTGGTAGACCAAAGCAGGGAATTCCATCTCAGGCAACTGGGACGCAAGCAGCAACAACAGCCAAGCAACCTCACGACTGTTTCCTGCAACTGCAGCGTGGAGACCAGATTGCATGTCGCCAATGGGATCCTGGTAGCGCAGAACCTCGTCCATAGATTTCTTGGGAACCGGAGGCTCGTCGTCCATGTCATCGTCGTCCGAGTCGGGCTCGTTGCAGCTCTTCAACAAATCTACAACAGCAGAAACGTCGCCTTCGCGACAGAGCTCGAGGAAAGCGCGGCTGATCCTATCTTCAGGGTATGCGTGTAGGTAAGCCTCCTCGGTCAAGATAGGCAGGATGTCGAGGTTTTCTTGTACACCGCCTTCGTTGTGCAAGGTACATAGGAGTTGTTGGCCTCCGTTGGGGCCTGGTGTGAGTAGGGACTGGTGGCATGAAGGACATTCGGTGATCTGGTATTCATCGATCAAGCATTGCCTGTATTTTGTGAAAAATGGTTAGATAGAATATAGAGTTGTATACATGGAATGTGTCGATACCAATGAAAGTGGCAGCCACAGTGAAGAGCTACATCGTCCGGGACAGTGTGAGAGTTCTGAGCTGCAGCAGCGCTGGACGAGCCAGCTCCCATGGACACATCTTCGTCGTCCGAGTAGTCAACCTCGAGAGTGAGGGGGTTTTGGCACTTTGAGCACGACATTCTGAGACAAAGAGTTGTTGTATAGCTACGGAAGCTTCTACCTGGCTCGAACAAAAACTCACATCCCAGTCCTCGTTTCCCCACAGTAAAAAAGAGACAGAACTGACGTAGCAGACGCATCGGATAGGCAACCACGGTGGGCACGGGCCACGATAAACAGTGTTCCTGCCTTGTTTCCTTTTGCACAAAGAAAGGGCAAACGAGTTGGAGCACGAGCTTCTACCTACCTTTACCTTCTAGACCACACCACCAACGATCCTTGTCGCATCTCTGCAGTCATGGCTGACGACGAATATGCCTACCTGCAGCCGGAGTTTGATCCCAGCTCTCTCACTGTGCCCCGCCTGCGCTCTATCCTGGTTGCCCATAACGTCGCCTATCCTTCGTCAGCAAAGAAGTCGGATCTGATCGCCATCTTCAACTCGAACGTCGCTCCTCAGGCAAGAAAGATACTCAACGTCCAGTCTCGCACTGTGCGCTCAACAAGAGGCATAGTCGACGTGCCCTCTAGCCAGTCCAGCACCGGCGACAACGACGACGACGACGAGGGAAGTGCCGACGACAACATTACGGTCACTGCAACTCCAGCAAGACGGACTACTAGGCGCACTGTCATGCGACCGGCTGCCGAGGACATTGTTGCGCCAACTCCTCGCTCGACCAGGAAGTCTTTTGCTTCGACAAGTGCTCGCCGTGCTTCTAGCAAGCATGCCACTGTCGAGCCTGAGCCCACTCCTAGACGTCCCGTCAGGTCTTCTTTCCCGAGCGAACCTCCACAACCCGTCTATCGCGACCAAGGCGCAGATTCGCCATTCTCCAAAGACAACCCTTTCCAGAGTGGAAGCTCTCCGCCGTCGGCTTTTCGTAGCAAGAGTGGAGATCGAAGACGCACTACGATCGGCCCTTCAGCTGATAGAGAGAGAAGAAAAAGCAGGGATGGCAGACGCAGAACCGATGGCTTCTACCGCCAGGAGGAAGACGATACAGCCGTTTCCAGGATGCCTGTCTCTCGCGTGAAGGTCGAGCCAGAGTATGAGGAAGAGTACGATCAGATGGTTGCTGGCGAGGAATTTACCCCGGAAGAGCAACATGATCTAATCAAGGCCCAAGAAGAAAACCCACGCACCGCCCTCAGTCGTGTTCCTCGCAAAAGAAGACCGAGGTCCGGCGCTGCCAAAGCCGCTCCCTGGACCATATTGCTCACCATGCTTGTGGGTGTTGCTGCTGTCTGGCGCCAGGAGAAGGTTAAGGTCGGCTTCTGCGGTATTGGCGAGCCATCCACAGCCTTGGCTGGTGTGCAGATCCCCGAGTGGGCTTCGTTCTTGCAGCCAGAATGTGAGCCGTGTCCCATGCATGCTGAATGCAGGGAGAACCTTCACATCGTCTGCGATGACGGATTTGTGCCTGTTTTACATCCCCTCGCGCTTGGTGGTCTAGTTCCTGTACCGCCAACTTGCGAACCGGACAGCGATAAGCTTCGTAAGATCACAGCCTTGACAAACCATGCTGTCGAGACTGTTCTTCGCAAGGCCAATGCTGCATATGAGTGCGGCGAGACCAAGACTCCTTATGTTAGCGAGCCGGACCTCAAGACAACCATCACGAAGAAGGGTAAAAACATGAAAGATATCTTCGAGTTGATTGACCAAGCGATCAATGATGTTCCCAAGCGCGACGAGGTCAAAACCAAAGTTGATTCGTAAGTCATATTTCTGTTCACACTCAATGTTTTGTTTGAGTTATGCATCATCAGGCTTACGTGAAGTGTTGACTAACAGACCCGCCTTCGGTACAACAGACAAACCTCTGTCCGCTCCTTCCGCAGCAACTCTCTTGCAGCCGTCTCCTTCAAATGCGCCCTCAAACGATCCGTTCGCCTCACGATTAGACAGCATCTTCGCGAACTTGTAGGCGCCATGTTGCTTTGCTTAGCGGCTATTTATGGCCAGCGTACAATCTCAAAAAGCCGCTCGACCTCAACACAGGCGAAGCGTCTGGCAGGTCTGGCTCTCGACAAGCTCGCTGCACAGGCAAGCTTGCACGCTCAAGATCCCGTCGGTTACCCGGAACCCTTGATAAGTATGGTCGCCCTACGAGACGACGTGCTTCGTGATGAGTTCCGTGCACAAGAACGCAACAGAATTTGGACGGCTGTGCAGAAATTGGTTGAGGGTAACGCCAATGTCAGAACTATGGTACGCGAGGGCCGCACAGGAGATGTTAGCAGAATGTGGGAATGGATTGGTGCAGTCTACCGCATTGAAGCAGGCTCGGCACGCCAGAGCCCAGCAGTTGGCAAGATCACGACTCCGGGAAGGTTGGATGATGGCATAGCATCTGGCAGCGGAATGGAGATTGAGAAGCGCAAGTGGGAGGAATCAAGACCTTATTATTGATTTTGGTACGAAGTTAGAAGGATTCCATAGCTAGATAGTGATGGTTGCCAACAGCGGCAGGTATCAAAGAAAGCTTCGTTCCCATCAACCTTCAGAAGTCAACATCGGATGTGCACTTCTAACCCAGCGATATTTATGCGAGACTGTACAGACGGCACCTCTTCACCCAGCTAGAAATATCAGTCACAATCTTCATCTGAAATCATACCCTGTGAGACGCAAGCAACGAGATGCACAAATATTCTGAAGCAAGGTCGTTTCCAGGCCTGACGGGGTGCACAAACGTGCATAAGTCGCCAAGCATGATGCACGGACGGTTGATCCACGGCTTTTAGCGAGCACACTGAATTTGGGTGGAGGAGTGGGATTTTGAACAACGCGCGCGAAGAACGATTTCCTCTCTACACCCAGCGACTCACCCCAATCCGTCAAAATGGTAAGAGCCATGTTATTCTGTACGCCGTGTCTTTCGAAGCAACCACCGCAACCATTTTCGACTCGACCGAGGCTGTATCTTGATCCCGTCCCTTCTCCGACCGAAAAGCGCACGCCACCGCATACGAGCTCTGAACAGCCGACAAACACTCTGATCCTGCGCCGCTCTCGCCCTTCTCGAACAAGACCTTGAAACGCCGTATATCGCAATCACACAGGACGAAAGAGACGATGAGAAACAACGGACACCCCGAGATCAGCCCTGGCCGAGCGAGAACGACAGTTGCAACAAAAAGACACGGCGCACAACTGAACAGACCCCCTTGAACAATTGCTGATCGAGGCGCTTTCCAGGTCAACGTTCCCAAGACTCGCCGCACTTACTGCAAGGGCAAGGACTGCAAGAAGCACACCCAGCACAAGGTCACCCAGTACAAGGCTGGCAAGGTACGGATGGCGCCCTTGAGATGAGATACATTGGCGACAGGAACTCATATATTTTACAGGCTTCCCTTTTCGCCCAGGGTAAGCGTCGTTACGACCGTAAGCAGTCGGGTTACGGTGGTCAGACCAAGCCCGTCTTCCACAAGAAGGCCAAGACCACCAAGAAGGTTGTCCTGAGACTGGAGTGCACACAATGCAAGACCAAGGCACAGCTCGCCCTTAAGCGTTGCAAGCACTTCGAGCTTGGGTATGTTTTGCTGTTCCCGGTCACTCGTCCACCAGATACTGACCTACATTCCTTCACAGTGGTGACAAGAAGACCAAGGGTGCCGCTCTCGTCTTCTAAGCGCATTTTGTGTATTCTGGCAACGTTGCTGGGCTGGTGCTTCTTCAATGGAATATCATCATCGTCAACACGGAGTAAGCGAAGGGCTGGGACGAGTCACGCATTTCGACTTGGGGTTGCTTTTACTCCTTTGGTCCGCCACGGCGAAATGACAAAAAGTCGGGTGGAAAGAGCGCGAAAAGAAAACGATTACAAAAATCATTGCCTTTCAGCTACAACAGCCTTCGTGCCAACTTCGATGTCTTCATGAACCACTTTCTCGAATTCATTTCCTCGACTGTCCGTTTCATGTGAAGTCCTGATTATCAAATGGATGCTGTACACTTCGGTATCTTGACTACTTGTACCTTCGAGCCGCCTCAAGTCAGTACCAACAAACCAACAATCACTTCGGGGTTTAGCCCGGCATGTTCATTATTCCATTCGATAGGTGACTGTATAACACCTCCCCATGTGTTATAAACCGTCACATCGAGCCATCTCCCGCGACCACACCTGAAGGTATCCGGCCTGAATACATGCACAGTGTGTTTGAGATGATAACGGTCGTCCGCAAGAGAAACATTAACTGGCACGCTCTCAGTGGACGCCATCTAAAACGCAGCAAGAACAATGCATTTCTATAGCTTCACGCGGAGGCAGGATGATGCCTGAGGTGTCAAAGACGGTTGCTCGAGGACAAATGCTTACCCCGCACTTCCAGTTCCGAGCCGTTCTTGCAGACAACTCCATCTATCTCCTCTTGTCCTCGTGCCGCATCACGTTTCGCAAGAAGTGCCTGAATGCCGAGACTACCAAGCACATTCATGACGTGCTCTGGCACTCTAAAATCAATGTTATGTCATGATAGGTCAGGCACGCATACAAATAGTTAGCAGGCCTTCGAGGTAGGTCAATCGTGTTTTCTATTCTCTGCACTCGTGAACCAATCGTCATCATGTTGTCGACTCTTCTTACTGCAGCTGGCTTGCTGCCTCTACTTGTCTCAAGTCAGCAACTTATTCAAGATCCGGGTAAGGCCGGCCCGGAGCTCGAACTTGTTCATCTGTACTACGATCAATGGCCGACAGGTATTGCTGTATCCTCGACTGGCCGCAAGTTCTCGAACTACCCTGGTGGTCTGGACAAGAATAACACCAACAATGGCTCCAATGGCAAATATACGGTTGCTGAGCTGACCGGAAACTCGATTGAGGCGCCTTATCCTAATGCCGATTGGAACAGCCCTCCAGGAGGAGGTATGTCGAACTTGTCAAGTTGTACAGTGCATTGACTGATTTTGGAAGCTATCAACTATACCACAACACCCCCGACGGGTGCCAACTACCAAAACCACTTCATCGGTGTACAAAGCGTTGTCACTGACTCCCTCGACCGCCTTTGGGTTCTTGATACAGGTCGAGTTCAGCACACTGACGGCACGATTGTCGAGGCCACTGTCGGTGGACCCAAGTTGGTTGGTATCGATCTATCGAACAACACTGTCTTCCAGACTATTGTTTTCCCTGCCTCCGTCGCCCCTGGAGACAGCTATCTCAACGACGTCCGCTTCGACTTGCGTCCAAACATCACAGCCAGTGGCAAGGGCGTCGCCTACATCACAGATTCTTCCATCGAAGGGCGTACAGGCCTTGTTATAGTCGATCTCGGAACTGGTGAATCATGGCGTCATCTACAGGGCTCCGAGTATGTTACATCAGCAACCCAGTTCCTTGCTTATATCTGGGGCGTACCCTTCTATGCTTTCCAGGCCGGTCAGCCTCTGAGCTTCCAGGGCTTCGGTGCTGATGGTATTGGTCTTTCTGCTGATGGCGAGGATCTCTACTTCGGTGGTGTCGGAAAGAGATACCTATACTCGATCCCAACTGCCAGACTGCGTGACAACGGTCAATTCTCGGAAGCGCTTGCTCAGGCATCCGTTGTCAGCCGTGGTCAAAAGGGTGTTTCGGATGGATATGAGACTGACACTAATGGTTACATCTACCATGGAAATGCTGAGCAGAACGCCATCAGCTTCTACAACCCTGTCAACGGAACTAACTCCTTGTTCGTGCGTGACCCTCGCCTCAACTGGGTCGACACGGTAAGCACTTTACATTTCTCCTCGGTTGGAACTTTTGCTGACATGGTTTCTCAGATGAGCACTGGTACTGATGGCTACCTTTACTTCACGAACAATCAGCTCGCCTTCAGTCCTCTCGTCTGGCCCGGTACCGACAGGAGACAGCGTCCCTTCTCCCTATTCCGTGCCAAGTTGCCCAACAACGGCACCAAGCCATTGCTGCGTTAAAGTGCCTGGTTCGATCGTTAATGTCGGGCAGATCCAAATGAGGCGACTGGATGTATGATGGGTGAGAGCTGGGCTCTGTAATCGATAGCTTATTCCGCAATACATCTACTTGAGCAGTCTTGCTCACAAACAATTCTCCAAGATATCAGTGGTTTATGATATGCTTCTTAGAAATATTCGAAAATGTGTGACCGCTTCCGTAGTTGGGAAGTCACTGCTGAGATGACATCCTCGTCCAGAATCACGACTTCTCGTGTTCCGCTAACATGTGTCTTCATCGACAGTGACAGTCTTGAGTGCTTTATAAGAGCACTGCTTTCTGCTCCCCGAGTTGTTCAGTGGTGACAAGTCGGGATGTTCTGGCAAATGGAAGGTGTTGCTCGCGTACTGTACGTTACACCTTACCACGACCGCAACTTCTCTTCTGCGAAGACAGCTCCTGCCTCACCGACCATGAAGTACAGTCTTGGTCAACTTCTGTCAGCATGTGTCTTCACGATGATGACGTGTGAGTATGGCTTTGAAAGAGTAAGGCGCAGATCTCTGACTTACTCCTTTCGCTCAGCTGAATCACCATTTTCATCTCTTCTGCGATAAGCATGACCACTGTCTCGTCATCACCACAGACACGTTCTTCCATACCTTCCTTCTCTAGAAGAAAGTCCTCGTCGCCGAGACTTCTTCAGGCGGTCAGTGCATTACGCTGGGTGAATGCGTCACTCGCCCACGCACGATCCGGAGTAATTTCTCCAACACCTTCTGGTGAGCTTGAACGACCATCCATCATCCGACACTGTACACGTGTTATTGGTGTTTCCATCGCAGATGTCTGATATCTGATGTCTTGCAACACGTCGGATGTGGGCTTGCTGTTCGCTGTCAGTTCCATCTGACCCTTTGCGATGATTTCCTCAACACGTGGACCTCGACCATCGCACGTGTCAGGGTATGTTCGTTCCTTCTCTTCTGTTCTTCCTTCCCACTTCCTTCTTACTTACGCTTTCAACCTCACTGCTTCCTTGCTCTTCTGCGGTCAGGACTTCATACCGGACTTTTCTTGAACGGGCTTCTGTTTTGTATCAGCGACCGCATGCTCGAAATGATGCTTGTTCGTCAGCATCTTTTGTCCGTACACTGCAGCGGCCCTTCCAGTGAGCAGGGCCGCTTGAAAGGGCTTGTTCATCTCCCATGGCCTTGACAGACTGAAAGACGTGCGAGACGTGACAATCTTTTGGTGGTCGAGATATCTGGTTATTTTCCAGGATTCGAGAGATTTCTTCAACCAACGACTGACTGACGACACTACTTTCTACCTTACATCAGCCATCAACTTTCGCCTTCTCTTTCCTGGGGGTCCGTGTTCAGCTCCACAAGGGTGAGTGTCACAGAACCAGAGGAGCTTCAAGCAGTGTGGATGTTAAATGGCATGGAATAGTTAGAATATTAGAATATTCCACTCAAAATCGGTGAAATATTTCACTCTATTGGCATGGAATAGAATCAGCTAATCGAGTAGAATATTCCAACATTTCAACTAATAACTTACTGTCGTCGTCGTCGTCGTCGTCGTCGTCGTCGTCGTCGTCGTAGTTTAAAGTATTAGCTAGGGTTAACCGAGCAGCAACTTTAAGGCAATTTAGCACTCGTAGGAGACTAGTGGTTGCCGTGCCAAAAATCCTCGCTTAGGTCATGCGAATTCTGACGCGTTTAATTAGCTAGATCTAATCTCGGAGATCAGATCGGAAGCTCCGATTAGTCTAGCTACGCGAAGCGACGCGTCGAGTTCGTGTCGGATACTAGCTATCTTTTCCTCGTAAGACTTCCTCTCCTCCTTCCTATACTAACTACCCTAACTATTTCTCGACTCTCTTAAATTAACTGCTAAGTCTCTAGTTACTTTCCTATTGCATTTAGCACGTTAAAGAACCCTAACACTAACCTTTATACTATGTATTCCTCTGCTAGTTAAGACACTAACTACCTAGAATTATAGAGCTAGCTATACGTCTAATGTCTCGATAGGTAGCTCCTTCGCGCGGCTAAATAGAGTACGCTCTACGTATACGCTACTCGTAATAAGAGGGTTAGAGTACCTAAAGCTAAATACTAGAACTTAGAGGGTTATATAGAGAGCATCTTCGTTAAAGATTAAGTCTCTAAAGCCTCTAAAGCCTCTAAATCTAATACTAATACGGACTAACCTCTAATACCGATACCTCGACCCTCGAAGTAATAACGTACGACTACCGCTACGCCTCCCTCTCCTTCTCTTACTCCGTCCCTTACTTCTAACGATACTATTAATAAACTAGAGCCTATATATTAACGCCCTTGTAAAGTTACTATTACCCGTAGCAATTTAGAGCAGCTCTAGGCCTATATAAGAGCTCGTCGCGCTAGCAAACTAGAGCGCGAGGGTAAGAAGAAGGTCTAGTATTGCTATTATAAGAATAAGGACTATCCTTATAGGTACTCGACTACTAACTACGAGAATATTAGGTTACATCTTAGAAATAAGCACGTATAGAACCCTATTAGATCGCTTCTACGCATCGTATTAGTAGCAGTTCCTCGAGCCTCTTACCTTCTTAATAATATTAATAGAGCTACTTTAAATAAGCGCCTAATCGACTATATTACCTTAAGTAATATCCCCTTCTGTACTACTAGTAATAAGAAGCTCTATACCTTACTTAATAAGGTGTTTCCTAGCGTATCTAAGCTACTAATTAAGACGTATTACTTAGTAGCTAGGCATATTAAAAAATAATACGATTTCTATAAGGATTAGCTTAAGGCTCTACTCGCAACCTTACGGTTAGTAATCTACTTTACTTACGATGCTTAGACTACGAACTACGGTAGTTATAAGCTACTTAGTATTATAGCTTAGTTTGTCGCACTAGATAGTATGTTAAGTAAGGCTCTACTCGCTCTATACGAACTACCTGTCGGTTATGCTAGTAAGCACTACGTACCTCTATTCTTTTAGACTATTGTCGACTATAATATCGAGCAAAGGATTAGCTATATTACCTCTAATAATGCTACCTATAACGACACTATAATGAAGCACCTTACTACCTTATTTTGCGAGCGCTTATTAGTCGACTAGGACCCTATTTAGCATAGAACTCGGCGATGCTTCGGCTATTAGATTAATCTAGCTAGTTAAGCGTTTATGTCTACGAGCTTAGAGGAAGCTATTACTACTATAATTGCTAAGAGCTAGGACCTATTAGAGGCCATTGCTAAAATTAGCTAGGGCACTAGAATTGCTAACTATAAGGCTATCAACTACCTTTGCAAGTTCTTTAAGTAGGTTATAAAGTTAGCTCGTCGTTGTCGTAAGTTTAAAGTAACTACTAGCCTCGCACCTATACTTAATAATACGACGAGGTAGAACAGCTAGCTAGCTATAATTAAGCGAGGGCTTAGATGCCAAGTAACTATACGCTCTATATAGCACGCTAATAAGAACATAGAACAAACTACCTTAAAATAACGCTATTAGCAGTTCCTTAAGGCCCTCGTCAAGTTTATAGAGCCTCTATAATAAGTTACTAAGTTATGCAAAGGCGACGATGCAACTCTTAACTAAGTAAGAATCCCCGACCTAAAATTTGGCCATATCCTTACTAAAATCTGCAATAATTTAGGCACTAACATTTTTATAGGTCCTAATGTCGATAGATTTTCTTAGAAAGCATTATAACTAGTCTATCGTCCGCTATAGCTTAGATCTAGTCCTTACTACTACTATACGCACTAGTCGCTTTACTCTTAATAAGTAGTAGGCCATTAACAACTATACGCTAGCGTATACCGCTACCCTCCTCCTCTATCTAACCTTCCGCGAAGCTTATATTATAACGCATTAGCCTTAGTTATAGCGAGCTCTAGCTATTGCTGCCGCTCGCGCTCTCTAGTTAGCGAGCTATAAGGATAAGATTAAACCCCTCTAAATAGGGTTATTATAAGAGGAGGAACAACTAAGCAAGCTAGCTATGTAGCAGGCTTCTATATAGTATATAACATTAGTTTAGGTTTATAAGGAGTTTGTCTACTTTACGAAGTTACTACTAGTGCTAACGAAGGACCCTATTAAGTAGTAGCTTAAACCGACGTAACAATAGAACTATCCTAACCTCTCGCATATGGCTATTAACGTACTCTCTATTAATCTAATGTCTGCTAAGTTAGAGACTCGGAGGGTGTTTAGTAGCTATAGAAGGACCCTCTTATAGGACCGAGCTTAGCTCTCTACCGCTAACCTTAGCTATATCGAGTGTCTTAAGAACTGGCAGAAGAACCTCTACTTTAAAAGGGTCGAGTTCGCGGTCGAGGAGGTGTCAGAACAGGAAGCCATATAACAGGAAGCTATACAGGAGGAGGAAGGACAGGGTCACAGCGACGACGACGACGAGGGTGGAATTGGCATCATTCCATTGATTACATAGCATAGAATAGAATAATTAGTCAGCAAGGTGGAATGGCATGGAATAATGGCCAGATTTCAAAGATTCCATGTAACATCCACACTGGCTTCAAGAACGGTCATACAAAAGTCGAACCCGGCTCCAGGAAGTTGCGCTCTGGTCGCCTCCACCAACAAGAAGTTCTACCATAACAGCAAAATCGTTCACGCCAGCAGCGAAAATACTTGCCGTGAGGTCGACAATAAGGCCGAGCACCACTCAACTATCTGGACCTGCGATAGCACCGTCCGCTTCCACACTGCATGTCTTCATCGATCCTGCAGCAGACAACCTCGACTGCAAAAGTGCCATAAATTGTGACACTGAGCCACTCAAGGTCGACAGCTGTCACACTCTTGCCCGTCGGTTCTCTTGCCTGTCCATAGCTATGGTCCGTGGTAAAAACTCCAGTCCTTCATCTTCGGTGCTCGCGTCCTGGCCACTGGTAGACAGCAGCAACTGCCTGATTTACGTCATCTCATTGCAATATCAGTTGGGTGGACATCCCAACAGCGACAATGCTCAGGTGAGGGCATACCTCAATCCATGCTCGGTACCGTCCGGACCTTTCGTTGCTCATGGTAGAGATGTTTCAGTGATGCTTCCTTCGAGACTCCAGATTAAGCTGCGCGACCATCAGTCATTCGCATTTACCCACTGCGATGCCAGGAATTGAGGTATCTGCAGACCTCGAATAACTTTGGAGTAACTCCAAGCTTGCTCTCTATAGGTGTACATAACCCTCAAGCATTGTCGTAGCCATGTGGTACTGGTTTATGTCTCGACATACCTTGTGTAGGGGGTGACCCGGACTACCCTCAGGATCTTCGCCTGATCTTCGGCAGTAGAGTCGGAGATTAGAAAGACCGACGACGCCAGCCCCCTTGGGATAGAGTATGAGGTCCCTGCCAAGTTGGCGCGTCGCGTCTTCCACATCTCTTCGAGTCTATGAAGGTGGACATGCGTGTCACAACCTCAAACACCTATCAATTGTAGGTCTGTTACCAGTCAGCGGTACATCTGTTTACCATGGCTCGCCGAAGGTACACTTCCTACATTCAGAGGCCGGATAGCGACGACTCTGATGCCGAAGAGCACATTTTTGTGGGAGGGAAACCTTCGGTCGATGGTGGTGTGAGAAAGAGGGTGGGCGATATACGCTTTTGGCTCGAAGATAGGGAGAACAGATGTGCCCAAGGAGAGCGCCATCAAGTCAATGCTTCTGCCAGCGAATCCGATCATAACAAAGACGCTCAGAATTCGACCCTTGCGAAGACCACCACGACCCTTAAGCCAAAGCGAAGGAATACAACCACACCCAGACGTATTCTCTCGCACGTCGAGAGTAAATCTATCCTCAAGCTTTGTGTAGCTGCTTTGTGCTGACATTGCTCTTTCAGTCACGGCCCCTGCTGCGCGCAAACTTCACAACCCCCCTACTCAGTTTGTCACGCAGCAATCTTCGCCGCCAATCGACGAACCACCCCTTCGTCCCGCTTCACCAGCCATGCCACCCAAGAAGAAGAAGATGGCAGAGGCTCCATCTACTGCTCGCATATCCAAGAAGGGTGCTGGCTCCTCCACAGCAGCCAGTGCGCTTCCACCCCTGGCCGCGCCTGATCTCCCTACTCGCCGATCTCGACGTACTACCGTGCTTGTCAACTACGCCGAACCTGAAGTCGAGGATCCCGTTGCCGAAGTGTCTCACCGCGGTCAGCGCAGATCATACGTCCAATCTGAAGACGACTACTCGGAGTTAGAGACTCGAGGGTCAATGTCTTCCACCATGTCACTGGGCGAATCCACCACCTCCTCTGTTGAGAACACATCCGATGAGACTGAATCAGAGCATGGAACTGCCTCCAAGAAGGCAAGGGCCAACAACGGACGCGCTCGCAAGCCTGCACAGTCAGCGGCTGGCACTGACACCCCGGTCGAGGGGGAGGAAGCTGTCAATGTACCTGGCCAAAAGGTCAAGGCGTCCAGAAAGTCCAAGTCGAACATGAAGAACCTTGCCTCCAACCAACCCAAGGCCGTCAACAAGAAGGCACAACCAATGTCAGATATTGGCGACATATTTTCCGACATAACCAACAAGTCGTCCAAGCCGATTGTTCGTGATCCAGAGCTGAACGATGACGAGCCCGAGATCATTGATCACATCACCGAACGCACGTACAAGGATGTGCTGGACCATCTGGGTGGTCGTCGTCTTCGGGTTGCTACTATGTGTTCAGGCACCGAGAGCCCTCTTCTCGCCTTGGAGATGATTTCAGAGGCCAGCAAGAGCCTGGGTCTGGCTGAACTGGAGTACGAATCTGTGTTCAGTGCCGAGATCGTGCCGTTCAAACAGGCTTACATTGAACGCAACTTTCACCCACCCATCATCTTCAGGGATATCACAGAGATCACCCACAGCAAGGATGGCCAAGCCACCACTGCATACGGCGCCAAGGTCGATATCCCTGGTAACGTTGACATAGTCATTGCTGGTACCGCTTGCGTTGACTTTTCGAACCTCAACAACAATCAGAAGGGTCTCGCAGACCGAGGAGAATCAGGTGATACGTTTACTGCCGTTCTGAAGTACGCCGAGAAGTATCGCCCAGCAATGCTCGTGCTGGAGAATGTCTTCGGCGCACCATGGGATGACATGCTGGCCAGATATGAGGCGATAGGCTACCTATCAGCTGGTGTCTTGGTTGACACGAAGAACTTTTATCTCCCTCAGACTCGTCAGCGCGGCTACATGGTCTGTTACGACAAGGAGAGAATCCACGCTAGCGAGGCTGAGAACCAGCCCATGGAGGAATTGATGAAGAGAACGTTCTACGAACGCATGCAAGATTTCCGACGACACGCCAGCTCTCCTGTGTCGGAATTTCTTCTGTCGAACGATGATGCGATTGTCATTCGTTCGAAGCAGCGCATGGCTCGACAGTCAGCGCTTGATAGTACACTCAGGGATGTCGACTGGGCCAAGTGCGAGATCCGACACATCAAATATCGCAAGACCATGAACCTTGGAATCGCTAGGCCTTTGACAGAATGGCAGGAGAGCGGTACGCTTGTTCTTCCCGAAAACTGTGACCTTGACTGGTTCCGCAAGCAAGTGGAGAGGGTGTGGGATTTCATCGACATGTCATTTCTTCGCAGGGCCGTCACAATTCACAAGAAGCCGACCATTAAATCGAAGCCGAGAAAGAATGCGAATAAGCCGAAGACAAAGAACGCGATAAATCCCGAGACGAAGGACTCTGAAACGTCGAGTCCAGAGACAAAGTCTGTTCCTGGTTACGATGGCCAATACAAGACGCGAGTGTGGGACGTTTCCCAGAACATCGACCGTTTCACCGATACCGCTCCTTTCGGCATCGCTCCTTGCCTAACACCTTCTGGCAACTTCTATCTTCCTGATCGAGGCGGTCCTTTGACGCACTCTGAGTGCTTGATTTTGCAGGGGTTGCCTCTTGGCAGAATCTCGTTCACCACTGAGACAGAACGTAACGTCCAGGATCTTGCCGGAAACGCGATGAGTACCACGGTTGTTGGTTCTGCCATCTTGTCCGCCCTCATCTCAGGCTTCGAGATTCTAGACAAGCCGTCTCATGCTCAGTCTGGAAACGAAAACAGCGTGTTCGAAACCAGAATTACTGCAGACGAAGAGCTTGGACCGTTCCAGTCAACCTCTCAGGCAGCTTTGCACAAGATCGACATGCAGAAGCTACTGGAGGCTGCCGCCAAATCAGCTAGTATGTGCGTCTGTGAAGGTCAAGTTGGTACGACTGAAAAGCCTATCCAGACATGCAGCGGTTGCGGCCATACCTCATGCATAGCTTGCGGTATAAAACCCAGTCACGAGTATCACACTCTTCCGAATTCCGACCGGGAGCACCCCGAACATTTCATTCGAGAGTGGAGGTCTCAAATCCCCATGCTCGTCCAATTTGTCGGCATCCAGCATGTTCTTCGTATCGTTGAAGAAGCACTCAAGGTTCCTGGTGGTAACACCAAGAAGTACGACAAGGAGAGGAGCTTGAAGAAACAATATGCCAACGCAGTTGCCGACGCCGTCCAAACTCCTCTTACCTTCAGTGGCTTCAGAAGGGCATCTTCGTGGATCCTCACCTATGAGTCGAACTTCGCCCGCCTCGAACTGGTATTGAACTCTAAGCATCCGAAGTGGAAGCTATACGCCAAGCCTTCCAACGCTCTTCAAGGCGACAATGAGGTGCGCACTTTCCTGGAAGAGCCCATTGCTACCACCCAAGCGCTCGGAGATTCTTTCCTAGGCGCCAAATGGCAGTGGCGCGTCTTTGAGCTTGCCACAAATTCAATACGCCAGCTCACTATCGAAGGCGTCTCCGAGGAAGGAGAAGAGGGAAAAGTTCCATCATGGGCTGCCCGACTTGGTCTCCCCAAACATCTGCATGAGCAAGTCTGGACCGAACTAGATGTTACTGTTCTGAGCCCACCTCTTCCCGATGGTGTTGACATTGAGGGACGCTACAGACTTCTACAAAACTGTGGCACCGCTTGCGAGTCTTTGTACAAGCGTACACAGCCTCCTAGCAACACCAAAATGTTCTTGTTTCTCGATCCTGCACGCATTGGCAATCCCAAGGACGACGGCTTTGTCTTCGCGTCTGATCCCTCAAAGATACAATATGATCAAGTCAGAGAGGTTGTTGCTAGACTCGATGCAAAGTGGCGGCCCGAGAATTTGACTAAGCTGAACGCTTCTCCCCAAGTCGCGGTTTATCTCAATGGAGGATCGGCGGAAGAAAACTCTTGTTCCCTCGCTGCTCTGGACGTGAGCTCCTCAATCTGTCTGAATGAAAACTCTCTGCTCAACTCCGAATGCAAGTCTACCAAGGCTGTGGCCACCCTTCAGTTCGACCTGCCCTCTTCGGTAGATGACAAGTCTTTGGCGCGCTTCCAAGGTCTTCAGAGCATTGCTCCCGACAACAAGGCTTTCTTCCAGACTTTCGGATGGGCCATGGAGCCACTCCGTCAGAACCATTGTTTTTCAGGCGCTCATGATCTGCATGGCGACGTTGAATGCACGGATTGTGCACCTACTCTGCCTGAGGTACGTTGGCGAATCTTCATGAATGGGACAAAGGCTCCCGAGCTCCGCGCCTACGAGGACCCTGAGACCGCCAGAAGGTACGAGAAGGCAATCAAGGAGCGTCCTGAGCCGTTTTTGATCGAAAGTGATCTCAGAGGAAAATCAGTCACATTGAAAGTTGAAATCAACATCCTCACATTGTGCGAGAGAGCTGTCGGAAAGCTCAGCCGATTGACAGATATTCCTGGTTCTGTTTCATGGAATCTTGACACGAACTGGCTTGACGAGGCTGCTGAAAACTTGCCTGCCTTTATTCTGCGCAACAACAGGAACGAGGACGAGTCCGCTGATGGCATGCTTCAGAACAACACTGAGCTGTTCCCCATTCAAAAGAAATCTCTCACCTGGATGAAGAATCAAGAAAGGGATTCCGGTCAAGTGTTTGATCTCAAGGAGACAGAGGAGGCTCTTTTGCCCTACCTAGGTTGGCGCCTTGAAGCTCAAGCTTCCGCCAGGGTTCACGTCAAGGGTGGCATTCTTGCCGATCATGCTGGATTCGGAAAGACGGTCACTTCACTTGCACTCATTCAATCAGAATTCAGCGAAAAGAGCAGCGCAGACCATATCAAGGCTGGCATGAGAAATCTATCAATTGACATCGAGGAAGATGGCAAGCAAGTGAAGCTGCACAAGCTCGCTGCTACGCTTGTCATATGCCCCCCTAACCTCGTCCACCAATGGGAAGGTGAGATCGAGCTACTTCTTGGCAGGGAGTACAGCAGTGATCGTCTTGTGGTGATCAACAAGGCCGATGAACTCATCAAGAAGACCGTGGAGGAATTTGAGGCCGCGAGGATAATCCTTGTGAGTAACAAGGTGCTCTCAAGTAAGAGATACAGAGACCATCTTGCCATGTTTGCCGCGATTCCTGAGTACAATGGTAACAAATCCCGAGCTCTTCAGTCATGGCTCAAGGACGCCGCTTCTCGCGCACAGAAGCATCTCCAGATGCGCAAGGAAGTTGACAGCGAACTTTTCAAGCAGCAACTCAAGAAGCGGTATGAGGATATTTTGAACGACCAGAAATACCGCGAGTTCGCTGAACAGTCCAAGCGCGTCAAGGGAAAACAATATCTGGTCCAACAGGAAAAGATGTCCGGGAAGCTCAAGTATGCAGAGATCGAGCTGCTCAAGAACGAACAGCTGGATACCACCAACGCTCCGGAGTGTGCTCTTTTGCATATGTTTCATTTCAACCGCTTAATAGTGGACGAGTTCTCGTACTCTGAGGGTGATGATCTTGTTGCTTACTGCAGCTTGACGGCAGACAAGCGCTGGGCGCTTTCAGCCACCCCCAGAATGAAGGATACCTACGATGTTTCTAGGATGGCCCGTTTCCTCGATTTGAATTTGCCCATCGGAGCAAGTGCACCTGGCCTCTTGTCGAATGCGAACATGACGGCTTTGCGTAAGGACATGACCAACCTGGAGCAATTTGAGACCTTCCGCGAGCTACCTTCACGAACTTCGCAAGAGAAGATCCATACCCTTGCACAAGACTTCTTGAACACATTCGTTCGACAGAACGTTCTGGCATTTGACGATAAGCCTTACAGAGACATCATCGTTCCAGTTGTATTGCACGCCGACCATCGTCTAGTCTACACAGATCTGTCGCAGAAGCTAAACTCGCAGGACATGCGAATTCGCAAGGGAGACTTCAAGGGCAGACTGAGAGTTATGCCTGGTTTGTCCACTGCTGAGGAAGCTCTTGTGAGCACGGCCGCGATCTTCGATCCCAAGAAGCGACTGCTTACAGTCGACGAGAACACAAAGGCCACAAAGGCTCCCAAGCCATCTCGTAGAAAGGCCAACGAACTTGACGACGACCAATCCTCAGATGCTGGCGAACAGACGACTTGTGACCTTACTGTGGAGAGTGTCATCAACGATGTGGGCCTAGGTCTAGAAGCACTATCGAAGCAACGCGAGACCGACCACAAGGAAGCCAGGGATGTTCTCAAGGCGAGTCTCAAGAAATGTTCCAAGAGAGCTCAGGACGCCAAGCTCAAGGATTTCGAAGAATGGCTTCAGAACATTGTGTCGACCAAGTCGTTGGGAGATTGGTCTGTAACTAAGGAGGTCGTCAAAATGTCCGGATTATCGCTGTCAAAACTCGGCATTGAGTCTGCAGAGACATGTGCGAGTGATGAAGCCTCTCTTTCGGCCCCCGAGGACGATAACACGACTGGTGCTCAGAAGAGTGCAAAGCGAAAGCGCTCTGAGATTGAAGTCGCCTCCAAAGACACTGAAGGTGAGGTCGATGAGGGCGATGGCATCACTGCTGATGCGGAGGATGCCAAGGAATCTGGCAAACTGAAGACACTCAAGGATGCCATGAGCATCGCCATCAGAGATGTCAGATCTTACCTCAACGCCGAGAGAACCCTTCGCTTCGTCAAACACGCCGAGCAGCATGTGCATAGTCGCCATGACCCTTCGAAACGCTTAACTTGCAATGTTGAAAATTGTAAGGGTGCCGTCACAGACGCCGATGACCTTGATGTGTCGGCAGTATGCGGTCACGTCTTGTGTGCAGACTGTATCGACGATAGCAGAAAACAACTTGGCATTTGTCCTGTCAGTGTGTGTGGCAAGGAGGTTCATTCTTTCAATCTTCTCCGCCTCGGCAAGCTTGGAGACTCAGTGAAGAGCGCATACGGCAACAAGGTGGAGAAAGTCATCCAATTACTCAAGACTGTTGTCCCTGAGGATGACCAGGTCATCCTGTTCGTGCAGTTTGAAGATCAGATTAAAGAGTTGACCAACGCTCTTGAGAGCGAGTCCATCACATACTACAAGACCAACCAGGATACTGGCATAACCCTCCGGCAATTCCAAGCCCACAACGACAACGAGGCCGAGCATATCAACAGAAAGAAGGTGCTGATTCTGAATTCAGACAGCGAGTCTGCCGCTGGCGCAAACTTGACCGGTGCCAACCACGTCATCTTTTTCAGCCCCCTGATCAAGACAACACAATATGAGTACGAGGCCCAGATGGCACAAGCCATCGGTCGTGTGCGCCGTCATAAGCAGAATAAGCCCATCTTTGTCTACCGCATCGTCGCTCTTGACACAATCGACGTCGACATTCTCGAGCACCGTGAGCGCAATACCAAAGTCTTGGAAGAGATGCAAGAATCCGACACCTCCCAGATGCAAGTCGACGGCACTGACTTTGAAGGCGCCTATAAGAAGTCGGGCCAGGCCAAACCTTACGTGCCCGACAAGATGCAGCTCATCCGCGATGTGGATGGCAAGATCAAGCTCATGCCCCGCAAGATGCTGCTCGCTTTTGGAAAGGGAAACAAGGCCATCTTTGAGACCGAAAAGCGCATCATGGGATATGAGAAGTTCAACAACCTTCTTAAGTTCTCCAGAGCCTTTACTCAGGATGATTGATTGCCCCTCATCACAACACTTTGACCTTTTTTGACTTTTCTTTGCACCAACACGAGAGAACGCTTTTGGTCTCCATCAAGAAGGGGCTTTTTCTTCTTTGAACGACACCTTTTCTTGATTCGTTCTGTTTTCCTGTTTTCCTCACCAGCAACACCACCACAGCATGAATTATCACGGCACCACAGCATTCACAGTCTGTTTTTTTTCTTTCTTGTTTTCTTGAGGGTCTTTGAAAGGGCATGTGCATCACAGCAAGGGAGTTTAATTTGGGTTAACCGGGGAGCGCGAAAAGAGCATACATTAGAGTTGAATGATAGGCATGAGCACGACAGGAAAAAATAATGATCAACGACACAAAAACACATAGATAGACAAAAAAAAAAGCAACGTCAGAGTTATACAAAACATGTTCGGGCCTTGAGTGATGTCGTGATTGTAGTCATATGAGTGAAAGAGTAGGGTATGGTGGGTGCAGATGGAGATGCCAAACGTAGGTATGTCTTGATAAAGGAGGATCGTCGTTTCGAGCCGGCCGAACTCAGCCGCATTGTTCACCTTCTGAGCCCTCATCATTAGCTACACCTGTCAACCTCAACCTCGAATACGTGTGTCTCGACACTCAAAAGAATCTCTAGATGCTGCCTGAACATATTTAAATCATGTCATGAGTTGTGGCTTTCAATCTATCTTGACGATCTGCTTCGACGTGGAAAGAAAGTAGAGCACCTGCATGAACGACTCGTGAAACACTGTAGATGAATCCTTGACGGATGCGAGCCTATAAGAGACACAAGTCCCGCACTCGTGTGAATCTCCTCGCACTTTCTTCTTCAACACCTCAATCAAACACCACGAAATATCATGGGCAGACAAGAGACCATCCAAATACACCCCATGTGCTGGGAAGATGAGCCTGACACGCAGGCAATCTCACTGAGCGCCTTCGACCATCTCATGCCCCGCATCTATGTTTTGATAGCTCTTGTCTTCGCTCTTGATGCTTCTGTCAATACATCGGAGATCATTGAACATCTCAAAGCTGGATTAGAAATCACCGTGGCTCAGTTTCCTGCTCTGGCGGGAACATTGCAGACGAATGAGAAAGATGGTAGTCTATGGGTGGAGAGGAAGAAAGAAAATACAGTGGATATGATTGTCAACTGGCAGAATGGAGAGGAAGATACTGAATGGCCGACTTATCGAGAGTTGGCAAGGAGAGGATTTCCTGCTGCCATGTTGGAGGGAGATAAATTGCTTCCTCGAGCCGTGACGGCCAAGCAGCTCTTCCGAGGTGATAACGATGAGAAAGATACACCTGTTTCCACCTTCCAAGTCAACTTCATCAGGGGCGGTTTGATTCTGGGCATTGGTGTTCATCATTCCGTCTCTGATGGACCTGGCTGCGATGGCTTTCTATCTCAATGGGCGGAAAACACTCGTGCTATCAAGGACGGAAACCGTCTTCCTCGCTTCAACCCAATGAACCTCGATCGCTCACGTCTAAACTCAACCGCCACGCCAACTACCACACGCATGCAAGAGTTGAGCGAAAAACTCCCTGCTTTCCGTCTCGTCAAAGAGCCACCCACACTATCTGAAAGTTTCATCATGCCCTCTTTCTCACCAACAATGTACCACTTCCACAAGCAGAGATGCGAGCGATTGAAAAACGATTGCAAACCTTCAAATCCAGATGCATGGGTTTCAACCTACGACTGCATAATGGCAGTTCTCTGGCGCGCAACCACCCGCGCCAAAATCCCCATGCTCACACCAGACATGGACAAGAAAATCAATCTCACCCATGCTGTCAACAATCGCAAGATCCTAGATCCGCCACTGCCGGATAGATATCTGGGTAATGCGGTTTCGTTGGCTCAAGTCACGCCCACAGCTATCAAAGATGTTATTGCGGAAGATGCACTCCCTGCTATCGCTCTCGCAATACGCAGTTCGATCTCTAGGATAACACCACAGAGTATCCAGGATTTAGCAGAATGGGTGGCAGGGACAGAAAACAAGTCACATATCAGCATCAATGTCGACGCATTTCTAGGAATGGATCTAGCTGCGACAAGTTGGCAGCAAATGACTTCATACACACAGCAGGACTTTGGATTTGGAGTGCCCAAGGCTGTGAGGTTTCCGAAGCCGGATTGGGAGGGGTATGTTTTTGTGTATCCGGAGAGGGAGGAAGGTGTGGAGGTTTGTGTGCTGCTTGAGGATGCATGTCAGGGGAGGTTGAGGGAGGATGAGGAGTTAGGGAGGTATGCTAGTTTGATGGAGTGAATGGTTGGTTTTATTTGGGTAGAGACTGTGGTATGTAGGGAGGAATAACAGACTAAGGATATTGGATGATGATTGCTTTTCCTTAACGCATGACTGTTCCTCTCTCTTGCAGATGAATTGTAGAAAAAAACGAGCTGTACAATGCGCGATGCTTTTCAGGACATGTATTGCGACAGTGAGAACGTGCCAAGCAGACCAAACATCAGGGCTCAAAGAATGCAGCAGCCATGTATGCTTCGAACATGTGTTCATCGACATGAGCAATGGCGGCTAGGCGAATCAGATGTTGCCTTGCACATGTACTATTAGCTTGGATGGTAGATGCACATTGTTATCTAGACTCACTGTGCAGAGATGATATCAAGGTACTCGAAAATGTACCCCGGAGGAATCAGGAAACGGCCAGATAACCCAGGCATGGTGATCAGCCGATCAGCTTTGCGCTGCTTATCCAGAAGTGAGTACTTCCTCTTGCCAGTCTCCAGATAGCGGAGGTCCTCGTCACAGTAGCAGGGATAACAGTAATCCTTGTCGCAATTTCCTGAGGGTCGACAGCATTTGTCAGTACCGCATATTGATCCTGCTGTCAAGGAATTGGCGGATATGTAGTGTGACGGTAGTTGCTTGAGTAGTGTGAAAGGTGTTTCGTGAGGTGTTATCAAGAATGGTGTCTTAAGAGGCGGCTCCACATACTCGGGTGGTTCATCGGAGGCCCAGGCTGACGAGGAGGCGAGTTTCTCAAGCCTTGAAGGTGACATAGTCTGATACATAGCGATAGCTTCGTAGTGGCTTGAGGCAAGCAGGGCGACAAGCGCCATAAGGAGCCAGATAAATTTTTTAATAAGAGCCATGGTGCTTTTGAGATGTTGAGAATGAGAAAAGAGCACTCTCAGTGGACGTGACTCTGGATTTGAATAGCATCGTCCATTTTGGCAGTCATTCTCTTGTGAGTTCTGGAAGGTGAGAGTCGACTCGCAGCTTCCAATGCTGAGTAAAGAGGATGCTGGCTTTCATAACAGAGAGGATCGATTGCAGCGACTAGCTGCGAACACCGACTTCCTCTCGCCAGAACACTCCAGGAGTTGCATCTGGAAGGCAAAAAAAGCTCTTGCTGAATGAAAGCATGTCAGGCAACTTTTCTTTTCATGGATCACCTAACTTGATTGAAAGCATGGTGCGAGGAAAGTGCTCAAGTGAACGAGGGAGGCTCACGGGCGGTCGGTGCTCGGGCCGAGACATGGCCGACTGTAGTCCGTGCTCAGAGCATCCCCAGATTCCAAACCATCTCAAAATGGCTTTGCTCATGACGAGAGATCAAAGTTGAACCTTTCTTGTAACACACCAAAGACACCGAACTCATGGCGCATACTTCACCAATGGCCCTCGACAGGCGGGTATCGCCCTCGCCGCCGCCTCAGCCTCTGTCCAAGAGAGACAAAAGACGCAACAACATTACGGACAAGCTATCGGACATGATCCAGACCTTCACGCAGGACCAGCACCAACACTACCGTGCACAGCTGCAGGCTATCCAGGTCGACATGACGATGATCCTGAGAGCGAATCCTTACGAGAACAGACCTCTGGACGATTCGGCCGAAGATGTCGAGCAGGAGATTGAGAATGTCACTGGCGGCAGCTTGCCAAACACGGACGCTGCTGTCAAGGACTACCTCGCTCTGGCCGGCAAGCGCTACCACGAATACGTCCAGCAGATCAACCACGCCCTGGAGCAACGCGACGCTGATCTGACTGCTCTACAAGTACGTTGACATGGCTTGCGACGGGCCGCCGCGACCAAGACTAACTCTCTCCCTCTCAGAACCGGTACGATGCAGCCGTGGCCGAGTTAGAAAAGAGCTCGAGTTACAAAGTCCAGGTTGCACAGCGCGAGCACCTGGAACTGGCGACAACGGTGCGAAGCCGTCTGATCAACAGTGTCACCAAGAAGCGCGACAAGCTGCTGCGCGAAAAGGAGCAGCTCGACATTGCAGACAACTCGGCCCTGTTCTTCCATCCCAGCCAGTTCACTGTCAACATCCCCCAGAGCCCCGGCGGTATCCAGAGCAACCGTAAGACGCGCCACACTCGCCATCGCGTTGGCGAAGCCGAAGAAGAACGCCAGAGAAAGCGCAAGGCCCCGGCCGACGAAGAGGCCACCGATTCGCCTGCCCCGTCCTTCCGTCCCCTGCAGAACGACACCAACGGTGCAAGCTCGCCCTTCCACGATGCCCGCACGAAGACTCTCTACACCCAATACGAAGCACCCGCCTTCTCAATCGATCGTCTGTTCACAGAGAAAGAGTTGAATCACGCAACTGTTGTCGCCCAGCTCGCAACCCACCACTTCTTCCACCAGCCCCAAACCAATCACCAGAACCCCGAAAACCCTCCTTCGCTCGCCTCAGTTGACGGTGCTGCCGATGCCGTTACCGGGCCGCCTGCCATCACCGCCGAGATCGACGACATTGTCTCGACTCAACCCAACGGTTCACCACCGCCCACACAAGCACCAGAGATGGAGCGTAATATCTCCCACCATGCTACACGTGGTGCTACAAGAGCCAACCCCCTGGCCGCCCTCTCAGAAGCCGCTGCTCTGACCTCGACTACCACAAATCCCTTCGTACCTGTTCTGATCCCTATCACAAAAACCGACAAGGGCGCACCCACCCCTCCTGGTGTGAGCGCTGGCGAAGTCGACAGCGATATTGCGCTCATGCTTAGAGAGGATGACGCCCCCACATCAAACCCAGAACAAGACGAGAATCTCAGCAACCTCCAACAAATACGCGAACGTCTGCTCGAGCAGGCCTGCCAAACCACAAACGGCGTCGCACCATTCCGACTTCCAATACTCGAGACTGGCCCCGCAGCCATTAGTGGTGGTGTGAACAGAATCCCTCCATATGGCTTCGCAGATCCAGAGTCTCTGCGCTTTGCACTCAGAAATGGCGCTGGTGTTGGCACCGCTGCTGCCCCTCCGCCAGCACCTATTGTCAATGGCAATATTGCTGCTCTTACGGCTGCTCCTGCCAGCGTCATTGGCGCTGCCATACCTATGAGCAGAACAACAAGCTATGCTGGTAGTGAGGCTGGTGCTGCTAGCGAGGCCGGCGGCGTAGGCATGCGGAGAGTCAGGAGCAGATTCGGTTGATCTGTCTTCCTTGATACTCAACTTTCTCTTTCTTGCTGTCACGACCTCTTGAACACAGTCCAAAGCGACTTTAGCCCGATTTCTTGGAGCATTTTCACACGGCGTTTCTGCTATTCGTCTATTGTTAGGTCCACCAGAACAGTCCCAACTAATTCTTCACCGTCCCAAGCTCTAGCATAGAACATGACTTCTCCACATCTGCAGTGAACAAACGTAAGAGCTTCGGTCTACATCATGCCGAGGTCAAGTGATGAAGATCCCTCGAACCCCGTCGGACCTCCAAGCAATCTCGTGTTGTCGTGCTGTCCAGAAGCCCTGCACAAGGAGGCCGGTCTAGCTGCTCTTTTCCAGCATAGTGACGAACAAATGTCAAGTCCTCCAATCAATATCTTAGGGCTAACCAATATGGTGGGCTATGGTGCATAACAGCAGAAGGCGGGGCATGGAGTGATCTGATGCGGGGATCCTCATCTTTTGCTCCTCAATCCCTCAGATAATTTTTCCGTCGACAACAAAGCCTCTTCTTCTTGATCGAATTGCATACTTTGTTGCTTCGAATTAGCCTGTATAGGGATCAGCAATGCATGATGACTTCGGACTTGGTGCCTGGCATGCGTCTAAGCGATCGTGTCCAAGATTTCCAGCGAGGCCAGGCAGTGCTGTAGATTGAGTATAAACCTCTTCCATCTCTCTTTCCATTTCGTGCTTCGTCTTTCGTTCCTAGAGAAAGAGAAGTTCACGCAGTCATGGTCCGTCTCTCTACCACCAGCCTGGCATTAGCTGGTCTGAGCATTGCTCAAGCACAATCAAATTCGTCTTTGGTCAATGCCATCTACAAAGATGCATCTCAATCTGTCGATGCAAGAGTTGAGAACCTCGTATCTCTAATGACCTTGGAAGAGAAGATGGCTCAATTGATGCAAGGTAAGTCATCTCTCGTGCACTCCTTCAGGAGCCCATGACTGACCTCCCTTCACAGGTGACATCTCCAATTGGCTCAACACGACTTCCGGTGAATACAACCAGACCGGTCTTGAGTTCAACTTCGAGAACCGTGGTGGCATGTTCTATGTCGGCTACCCAATCACCTGGGATTGGCTTGCAGAAGGCATCAAAGTCGGCCAGGACTACGCCGTCAACAACACTCGCCTTGGTATCCCGGCCATTGTCCAGACTGAAGGTATTCACGGCTTCCTGATCGGAAATGCGACAATCTTCAACTCGCCAATTGCTCAGGCTTGCTCGTTCAACCGTGAGCTTCAACGTCAAATGGGCGAACAGATCGCCATCGAGGCTGCTACTCTCGGTGTCACCCAGCTCTTTGCTCCCCTGGCTGATCTTGCACGCGAACTACGCTATGGTCGTGTTGAAGAGACCTATGGTGAGGATGGTTATTTGGCTGGCGAGATGGCCTACAACTATATTGTTGGTTGTCAAGGTCAAAATGTCTCGGCTATGGTCAAGCACTTTGCTGCCTACTCCGAGCCGGAAGGAGGTCTCAACACTGCACCTGTTCATGGTGGTGAGCGTGAGCTGCGTACTACTTGGCTACCCCCTTTCCACAGAGCCATCATTGATGGTGGTGCTTATTCTATCATGTCTGCCTACCATGCTTATGATGGCATTCCGGCCGTGGCTGACTACTTTATGCTCACTGAGATCTTGCGCAACGAGTGGGGTGAGCATGAATCTTATGACTCTTCTGATACTCCTTGACTGACGTTTGCTAGGCTACAAGTACTTTGTATCGAGTGATGCTGGTGCTACTGATCGTTTGTTCAAGAACTTCCTGACCTGTGGTGTCAACGACTTCGAATGTGTCACCGAGCAATGCTTGACCGCAGGAAACGATGTTGAGGTAGGTCACGATGTTTTGCTTTTACGGAGCCTTGACTGACGAAACACATAGATGGGTGGTGGTTCTTTCAACTTCCGGGCTATCCCAAGTCTCATTGGCAACAAGACTATCGACATCAGCGTTGTCGATGAGGCTGTTGCTAGAGTTCTGAGAGTCAAGTTCCAGATGGGTCTGTTCGAGAATCCCAACCCTGCTGCTCCTAAGGACCAGTGGAACAGCCTGATCAACAATGCTGCCGCCAAGAAGCTTGCTCGTGACCTTGATGCAGAGTCAATTGTGCTTCTTCAAAATCCTAACAAGACACTTCCTCTCAGCAAGACCGACAAGATCGCTGTCATTGGTCCCATGGCCTCCGGTTTCATGAACTACGGCGACTATGTTGTGTACCAGTCGCAGTACAGAGGTGTCGAGTACCTTCAGGGCATCCAGAATGCTGTCGGTCCTTCCGCCAATGCTACTGTTTCTTATGCCAAGGGTGTTGAGAGATGGTCGACCGATGAGTCTGGCATTCCTGAGGCTGTCGATGCTGCCAAAAAGGCTGATGTGGCTGTCGTTATTGTTGGTACTTGGTCCAGAGATCAGCGTGAGCTGTGGCAAGGATTGAACGCTACCACTGGAGAGCATATCGATGAGAGGTAAGTTGTCAAGACAGAGTGATGACAGAACCGTACTGACTCCATGTAGTGACCTGAGCCTTGTTGGCGCACAGAGAGCTCTTGTCAAGGCTGTCATTGACACAGGAAAGCCCACCGTGGTCGTCTTCTCTTCAGGCAAGCCTCTCACTGAAGACTGGATCTCGAACACCACAGCGTCTCTCGTCCAACAATTCTACCCTGGCGAGGAAGGAGGTAACGCCTTGGCAGACATCCTATTCGGCAAAGTCAACCCATCTGGCAAACTCTCCGTTTCCTTCCCTCACGACGTAGGCACTCTTCCTGCCTACTATGACTTCCTGAACAGTGGTAGACCCACCTACCCTGGATACGTCGGCGGAGATGGAAACCTCTACTTTGGCTCCAGCTATATCTTGAACACTCCTGTACCTTGGTTCCCCTTCGGCTATGGTCTCTCATACACCTCTTTCGACTACAGCAACGTAACACTCTCCTCGTCGCAAGTCTCCGCGACCGACTCCATCACCGCCACTGTTCACGTCACCAACAACGGCACTTATGATGGAGCCGAGGTTGTTCAACTTTACGTCAAGGATCTGGTAGCCAGTGTTACCGTTCCTAACATCCAACTCAAGGGCTTCGAGAAGGTGTTTATCAAGGCTGGAGAGACTGCTGAGGTTGTAATTCCGCTGGAGATCAGTGACATTGGTCTCTGGAACAAGAGCATGGATTACGTGGTTGAGCCTGGCAACTTTACTGTCTTCATCGGCAGTAGCTCTGCTGACTTCCGTACTAATGCTACTTTGACGGTGGTGTAATTGTTTGATGGGTGGGACGATAGGCAGAGTTGAGATTTATGATAGTCATGAATGAATGAGATGTTCGACTTTGCTTGCAGATTAGAAAGTTGTTCAAAGTGCCAGAGTGTTTTCGGGTGTAGCTGTAGAAATCACGATTTATTCTTAGCCCATCATCATGTCCAGTGAGAGTCGTGTCAAGCAGTTCAACTCCAAAATGCGATCGTCAATCTTGTCGCCAACCCTCGTCGTTGCCGAAGCCTAAACCTCGGTTGATTGAGGAGCAGGGCAACGGATCGATTTCGGTGTATCGGACCTTCCTCCCATACAAAACCAATTTGGATGTGCTTGTTCACGGTCATGCGTTATCTACGGCTCGCTTGCAGTCTTCCTATCTCATGCCGGAACAGCTGTCTCCATGACCAACGAGGAAGGAATGGCGGTGGCAGGGAAAAGAGGGGTCATCGATTGACTTTAGCCACGGCTGATTCTCGGTCGGCATCCAGGGCCGCAGTTCCTTCAACATCCGTGGAGCCTTGGTCTTTCCCATCGCGTGCTCATTGGAATTGAGATGCTAGGAAGCCGAAACAGTTCCTGCCGCAGATGGTGTGGAGTCAGAACCGGTGGTTTCTTGAGCTTGCCCTGTCCCTTTTCCAGGCTGATTGTTAATACAATGACACGTGCAAACATTGGACAGCTTCACTGCTTGAATCAAATCATGTAGGATTTGAAAGTATAAGAGCGTTGTTCCTGCCTTTGTGCCACGTCACTTCCTCTTGACCATAACCTTTTTATTGCTGCTTTCTTTGATACCCAATCGCTTGATAGATATACATCATGGCTTCCATAGATGTAGAGGATGTGCTCTCGAAGCTCACAGAGAGGGAGAAGATTTCATTGCTCGCAGGTACATTCACGAAAACACTCGCGGCTTCAACAACGATCTTCTGTTTCTAATCACAAAATCTCAGGAATTGACTTCTGGCACACTCAACCTATTCCCAAACATGGCGTTCCCTCACTTCGACTCTCAGATGGACCCAATGGTGTCCGCGGCACTCGCTTCTTCAACGGCGCGCCAGCAGCTTGCTTCCCCTGCGGCACCGCCCTAGGCGCAACTTTCGACACCGCTCTCCTCGAGGAAGCCGGCCGCCTGATGGGCCAAGAGGCTCTCGCAAAAGGCGCCCATGTAATCCTCGGTCCTACAATAAACATGCAGCGCTCACCCCTCGGCGGCCGCGGCTTTGAATCCATCGGCGAAGACCCTGTACTAGCTGGTTTGGGATCCGCAGCTCTCGTGAAGGGAATGCAGGAGAACGGCGTGGTGGCTACTATCAAGCATTTCGTGGGTAACGATCAGGAGCATGAGCGTAACAGGGTAGATTCCATCGTTACCGAGAGAGCGTTGAGGGAGATCTACCTGATGCCTTTCCAATTGGCCGTGAGAGATGCTTACCCCAAGTCTTTTATGACTGCGTACAACAAGATCAACGGCACGCATGTTAGCGAGAACACCAGAATCTTAAAGGATATCTTGAGAGGAGAGTGGGGATGGAAGGGCTTGGTCATGTGAGTTTGAGCTCGGGATTTACTTGATGGAAAGCATGCTGATTGTCATATCAAAGGTCGGACTGGTTTGGTGTATACTCAACATCTAAGTCTATCATCGCTGGCCTGGATCTGGAGATGCCTGGTCCCACTCGATTCAGAGGAGAAGCCCTGGTCCACGCCTCGACCGCAAACAAGATTCCCGCTGGCGTCATCGATGAGAGAGCAAGACAAGTGCTGGAGCTGGTCAACGAGTGCGCTGCATCAGGCGTTAAGGAGAATGCTGAGGAGACTACCAACGACACACCGGAAACATCAGCTTTGCTGCGCAGACTTGCTGCCGAATCAATCGTGTTGATGAAGAATGAGGGTGACATCTTGCCGCTCAAGAAGGACAAGAAGATTCTGGTCATTGGTCCCAACGCAAAGGCCGCGACCTACTGTGGTGGCGGTTCTGCTTCTCTACGACCTTACTACGCCATCACTCCTTACGAAGGCATTGTGAACAAGGTCGGCGAAGACAACGTCGACTTCAGTATCGGCGCCTACTCTCACAAGGAAATGCCCAGCTTGGGAGCAGAATGGAGAACAACAGCCGGTGAGGATGGCGAGCATGGAGCACTCTTCAAAGCCTACAATGAACCTCCGGAGGACAAGAAGCGCGAATGTGTGGACGTCCTTGGACCTTTCACAAGCACATCTATGATGTTCATGGACTACAAGAACCCGAAACTCAAGTCTGGACTCTGGTACGCTGATATCGAGGCATACTATACAGCCGACAGAGACGGCGACTATGAACTCGGTGTCTGTGTGTACGGATCAGCCAAGGTCTACATCAATGATGAGCTCGTTCTCGACATCACCGAGAACCAACGTCAAGGTTCTGCCTTCTTCGGTCTCGGTACCGATGAAGACATCTGCGCCGTACCCATGAAGAAGGGACAGACCTACCACGTTCGTCTGGAGTTTGCTAGCGCACCCACCAGCAAGTTGACGGGAGGTAGTGTCGACTTCGGTGGCGGTGCTGTTCGTATCGGAGGTGCCTGGAAGATTGACGCTGATGAGGAAGTTCGCCGTGCCGCCGAGCTCGCAAAGTCGGCTGATCAGGTCCTCGTCTGCGCAGGTCTTAACATGGACTGGGAGAGTGAAGGATTCGACAGACCAGACATGAAGCTACCGGGTCATCTAGACCGCCTCATCTCTGCAGTTGCAGAGGCCAACCCTCGCACAGCAGTTGTACTTCAGAGTGGCACTCCAGTCGAGATGCCCTGGTTGAGCAAGATCCCTGCTGTACTTCAAGCCTGGTACGGTGGTAACGAAACCGGCAACGGTATCGCAGATGTCGTCTTCGGCGATGTCAACCCCTGCGGTAAGACTTCGCTGTCTTTCCCGATCAAGAATGAAGACAACCCTGCATTCCTCAACTACCGCTCCGAAGCCGGTAGAGTACTATATGGCGAGGATGTCTACGTTGGATATCGCTACTACGATACTCTTGGTCGCCCCGTCGCTTTCCCCTTCGGTCACGGTCTCTCCTACACAAGCTTCAGCTTCGCCTCGCTCCAAATCCAAACATCCTCGGACGATCTCACCGCCAAAGTCACCATCAAGAACACAGGCAAGGTCTCAGGTGCACAGGTCGCACAACTCTACATCTCACCCCTCTCACCCTCCATCCGCCGCCCCACAAAAGAGCTCAAAGCCTTCAACAAGGTCTTCTTGCAACCTGGAGAAGAAGAGGTTGTTGAATTGAAGGAATCTCTGAAGTACGCCACCAGTTTCTGGGACGAGAGCAGAAATGCATGGGTCAGTGAGAAGGGTAAATACAAGGTCATCGTCTCTGATAGCAGTGCTATCGGCGAGGGTGCTGTTGAGGAGACTTTTGAGGTCGAGAAGACGAAGTGGTGGAATGGGCTCTAGATTATTTTGCTCTTCCAGGTTACTCTCCCAGGTTACTTTTCAGGTAGGTTTTGGGATTGATAGATTCATCAATTTTACTTCTCCATGATCAAATTTTGAGGACGAAGTGCAGATGGGCTTTCTGGTGATACAGCATGAAAAGGTTGTACCGTTGCCGTATCTCAATGCCAGCGCCGGCCTCAAAATATATCTATCAAAATGCACAATGAGATTGAGATATGGAGACTTGTCCACTGAGAGTCATCCACCCCTCATCATTCCAGTGGACATGCCTCTGGTCCCGAAAAACACTATGCATTTTGATGTGTATAATCTACAAGGATAGGTGTAGTGGGGATGTATATTTGCGATACCCCTTTTCCTTACCCTGCCCCTATGTCTCCTGCTACCCTGCATAGATCTCCCATCTCCTGAGCACTGCTCATACAACCCATCAAAATGCACAGATGAATTCAGATCGGGATGGTTGTCCAGTGAGAGCGATGATGTCTTTACACTCTCACTGGACTTTTAAGCACAGATATCGAAAAGCATTATTGCATTAATTCAGCTAAACTTTCAAGCCATGTATATATCCGGGATCATTCATTTAGACCCTTATTCTCCTTGCAACCCCTCCACTCCCCTATTCTCACACCCTCCCATCACCTCCTCCACTTCCTCCACTCCTTCCCCAAAGCAACCCTACCAGCAGCATTACACGCGTTGTCAAACCACACGCTTCCCCTGACATAACCCACCACTTCATCCAATGCACTTCTCTGCCCATCTTCGTCTTCTTTTCCCACAGCTTCAGTGGCGTCGATGGTGCTCCATTGATCTTCTTCCTCTTGCTCAAAGACTGCGCGGAGGTCGATGGGGAAGGGAAGGTCCAGGGAGCCGAGGATTGTGCAGTTGGAAGGGATGGCTGATTGGCGGGAGGGGATGGTAGGGGGGAAGTGGGTGCGTGGGTGGTATGGGTGCCAGATTTCTGCTTCTGCTTCTGTGATGGAGGTGGTAGAGGGGGTAGAAGCAGCAGCAGCAGCAGCGGCAGATTTCTCCAACTTATGCATACGTTGTGCATACCTCATCTCCACACCAGGAGTCCTAAAACGAACATAATATTCCAACCACGTCATCTCCTCACCGTAGTCCAATCCCAACTCCACAGGTTCCGGCAGCTTTGGCTTTTCTTTTTCAGCGGCGGCGAGGGCGTTGGCGCGAACCACCATTTGATTGAGCTGTCTTCTTGTGTCCGCGAAAAACAGGGCGTACGACATTGATTCGGATTCGCCCGGGTGTTTGAGTTTGGCGTCGAGTTCGGTGGCGAGGTAGATGATGGATTCGAGGTTTGGGGGAGGGAGGCCGGGGATATCGGGGGTGTGGGAGGAGATGTAATGGTGGTATCGGTCGTTTAGTTTTTCCAAGATGTGGGAGGATTGTTGTGTGGCGGTGAGGGCGGGGAAAGAAGGGTGCTTGAACATGTTGACGAGATAGGTGAAGAAGGAGTGGTGTCTTTTTTGTCTAAGCGCCCAGAGGTCGGAGTCGAGACGGTTGGCGATTTGTTTTGCTGAGCGGGCTTCTGCTTCGTCGTTGGGAAGAGGTGGGATGGCTTTGAAGATGATCTGAGCCTTGGGGAGAAGGCGTTGGATGTCGTCTTCCAACTTGGCGAAGTCGGCAGTCTTGTTGTGCAGACAGCGGACGAGTAGAGTGGGGATGGGCTTGTTGTCTTCAGTACTGGCCGAGCAGTGCGCGTACATCAGACAAGGTGTAAACTGCACCCACGCATTCAATTGCTTTCTGAAGCGTTGCAGTCCAGCAGGTAGAGGCGACAGTCCTGCTTCTACTGCCACAGGCTCAGAGATCTCAAAACGCTCTCTCGAAGTCATGAGGGCGCGATCGTAGATCTCGACGACAAGCTTTTGCATGAACTCGTCCTTTCTGCAGTTTGCGAGTTTCTTCCAGATGACTTTTACAGCAGAGGTGAAATGATCAGGGTGTCCAGTCGCCGAGATGGAGATGACTGGGTAACGATACTGAGGCTTGATGTTGGGATTGTGGCGTGTGAAGCAATGGCATTCGAGAAATTTTAGGTTGAGAGCGTAAAGTTCTTTCTCGACGAGCTGGGAAGAAGCAATGACACTGTGGATATAGACGAGAGCGGGCTGGGCAGGGTGTACTTTGTAGTCATACGGGTGTTCGAGGAGAGGTGGGTAACTCTTGTGGTACTGGTCGCGATGCAGGATGTAAGTTTGGATTGGCATGGGACCATCCATCGATGCCATCGTCGACGAGGTCATGTTCGACTTCGAACGTGGATGTCGATGCGTTTGCGATGCGACTGCTTTGATGACAGAACAGAAAAACACAACGCTGCTGACGAATTGTCGGAAAACCAAGAGATAAAAGAAGATTGAGAGTTGTGCTGTCAAACCGAAAACCAGAAAGCTTAGGTAATGGAAGAAATAGTCATATGGCTTGGCCAGCGAGCGACTCATCATAATCAAACGACTCACACGGGCTCGGCGACATCATCGTCGAATTGGGCGACAACACTATCAATGAACTGAGCAAAGACACCATAGTCGAAATCGTCGACAAGATTATTCCCTAACTCGTCGACAATATTGTATTCGGACTCATCAACAAGATCATGGTCGAACACGACGGCGACGTTATGGTCGAAATTCTCATCAACATGATGGTCGAACCCAGCGAAGGTATCATGGTCGGACTCGTCAGTAGTGTCAAGATCGAATCCGACGACAACATTCTCGACGATATCATGATCGAAATCCTGGACGACAGCATTGATTTCGCTACCTGGTTCAAGTTTCCGAAGGCGATAGCGGATGCGTCATAAACAAGACTGAAATAGAATGACTACAACACGTGAGCGATCCATCCATTACTTGCGACCAACAGCCAGAACAGCAGTACCAGAAAGCACATATGCGCCATTCTCGTTCACCTCGCATTGTTCTTTGACCACCTGGATAAACTGCTTCTCCGCCTCCTGCACGCCGGCATCATCCAAATCATCAGTGATCCAAGAGACAGCAGGATTGCCACTATTCATGAAAAAGTGCGACCAAGCTTCGAGATTAGGAATCACAATTGGAGCTTGAGTGTATTCAGTGTGGATGTCTCTGAATTTTGCGTTGGCCAACTGTTGTTCGATGCCTTCAACACTAGCCCATTGAACAGGGAATTGAGGCATCGCAGGGACAGGCTTGCCGAGGGGAGGAAAAATACGCTCGGCAGCGATGGCGAGACATTCCATCCATGCCATTCTGGCCCAGGATGAGCAAGCCATTACACCGTTTTGACTCAACACGCGATAGGATTCAGCGACGGCTTTGGCAGGATTCTCGGTCATGAAGAAGACGAGATTTGCGATTATGTGCGAAACGGACTCGTCGAGAACAGGTCGCATGTCGGTGGCATCTAGGACTAGAGGCGTGACACGGGTCCAAAGATCTCTTTCGTGACCAACAGACAGCTCGGCGAGTTTGGTCTTACGTAGTTGAGATACGAGACGAACCATACCGATGCTGAAATCGCCGGCCAGAAGTTGAGTAGCGGTGTCAATGTTGGCAGAGTGGGTGTCAATAATTTGGGCAGTGGCTGCTCCGGGACCACAGCCAACATCGAGAATGGCCGATGCCGTGCTCAGAGGTGTAAGTGTGTCGAGCAGCTCGATCAAGCGCTGTATTGGTATGCTTGTAGGACTTTTCGAAGAATGTTGGGCATACGAAGCTGATGTCTTGTCCCAATCAGCAGAGCTGACTTTGAGCATGGGAGTCGTGGTCGTGGTAGAAGACATCTTGATGTGAAGTGGGAGACTGAACTTTAGTAGAACTAAACTGCGTAGTAAGAACATAAAAGAAGACCAAGAATCAGCAGGCGGACAACCGATGACTTATACCTGTCGGCTCGGAAACATTACATCAAGGTGATAAAAGCATGCGGCTGACCTGTAAGTGATGCGGCGACTTCTGAGGAGTTTCCGGAGACATATCTCGGAGACTTCTGGTGGTCGCAGGAAGGAGCCATGCAGACGGATGAACTTCAGTCCACGCCCGAGACGCCACATCCAATCGTCTGGCTGTGGCTGTAGAGAATCGTCTGATTCGGATAGATGTTTTGACGAAAGGATCTTGACATGAGTTCGTTGATCCTGTCGTCAGCATGGCTTCGCGAAGGAAGCTCAGTGATATGACTATTGATCAAAAGCCCAACTGCGGATACGTGGCAAACATAGTGATATCCCACCTAAGCTATTCTAGTCGTACAGCATTGGAACTCAGCATGTTCTGATACATCATGATGTTCGTCTTTCTCAAGGAGTTCGAGAGGGCTCCCACATCTCCAACATGAACCGAACCTTCGCCAAGCCCAAGACGCACAGACCCCAATCCTCCGCCATCATCAATCGCATCTCAAAGTCCAGCCAAAAGCCGCCAAAAGAATCGACAATAATCTACCACAGGCACCATGGCCAAGAAAGGTGCGCAATCCTCTTGTTTGAGCATAAGATGTTCAGCGACTGATCCACACCAATAGCAAAGTCACGCACCATCGCGGTGCGCATCATCTCCATGGCCTTGACCGGTTACTACAAGACTCTTATCCGACCTCGCCAACATAGACCTTTGAGCATGCTCAAGTACGACCCTGTTGGTATGTGATTGCCTCTCATCTGGATGCGACACGTCGAAGAAAAGAGATGGAGGAAGGAAGAGAAAGAGAAGGGTTCTACACTGGCGTGGCGCATTCGTGCGCGGATACAGAACATGTGGAAGTCTAAAGAGACAAGAGCTAACGGATTGCATACAGTCAAGAAGAAGGTTCTCTTCCTCGAGGCAAAGCGCGGTGGTTCGAAGTAGTCGAGCCAAACGAACTGAGAAACGACCGATTGCGACACCATCTGTTGCAGCCAATCTGTCTGGACCCGCCGTCATACCGTAGCCGCATCCTGTCGTCTCTCCAGTCGCTCTATTTTCGCCCTTCGAGGCTACCAGGTTCACTTTTTTCGGAGTCAGGGAAGGGCATGGGCACGGCGTTTTTGCGTTCCCACATCATCAGCAGAAAGATGCCATACCAGGCCATGTATAAACTGTATCATAAATCATACAATCTTCCCGTCGAAGCCATGTGCTTTCCCTCTCGACCCAGCCATTCTCAAGCAATCTCTCTCAGCAAAGCGACAGTCTTACAGCCACTCTCTTCCTGAACGACTGCGTCCGTGCAGTTTGTTCAATGATACCGTCATGAAATACTCTTCATGTGCTCCGAAGCAAAACCTCCCCCATCTCTCATCATCGCCGTCTCCGCACTATCCACGGCGAGTAGCGCGTGGACTTTCAATCTCGTCGTTGAAGCGACTCACCATATTCTGCTCCTTGTCTGTGCCCAATTGTCAGTCGTGTCAAATATAGCCAACCTCTCATCTGACTTACTTGTTCTGCCAGAACGACGTCTCGGAGGACCAGGTGTGCCTGCTCCCTGCATCGAGGGCGATGCCTTACTCTGTGAGCTACTCTTGGCTGTGGTCTGAGAGCGGCGAGGTGTGGAAGCAATGCTGCGCTGACTGGAAGACAGGGTAGATGTCGAGGCTTCGGTGCGAACTCTCTTGTTGCTCTTTGTGCTTTGAGCTGCAGGTCGCTTTGCTGGACTCAAGCTGCCGCGGCCAGAGCTGCTGGGCACTGCGTAGTCGTCGTCATCATCGTCTCCATCTGCGTAGCTCACGCGTTTTCCTTTGCCCTTGCCGCTGCCTCCAGGTTTGAAGTTGTGAGGTCCGCTGCTCAATGCCGACATCTTCTTTTGTTGAGAACTCATGGTGGCTCCTTTAGCTAGTCTGCCCATGGAAGGGAGCGCTCCGGCTTTGCTCTGTGATCTTGACTGGCTCTCAGGTCTTGGTGTGAGCTTCCTTCCCACGCCTTGAAGATTTCTGCCTGTCTTCATAGGCGTCTCGTAGCCAGGCTGTGATGAGTCAATCGATTCGTGCTGTGCACTGAGGTCAAGTGACTGTTGGTCTTGTGCACTGAGATCGAGCGACTGCTGCTGTTCCTGCAGGCCGAGGTCCAAGGAATTTTGTCCCTGCTGTGTGTTGAGCTTCAGGGCACTCATACCCAGAGATTGCTGTTGCGAGGCGTTGATGCTATTTCTGCTTTGCGATACCTGCATCTCAGTCTGTGCGGCTTTTGCGTACGTTTCATCAAGCTCCTCGGCTTCACTCAGAGACGATGAAGACTTCTGAGAATGAGACTCAAAGTTCGTCCTTATCTGCGGTCGACTTCTGACTCCTTCAGCATCCAGAATCTCCTGAGAGCCGAGACTGAGTGCGTTTCGAGATTCGGATTGAGAGGTGCCTGGCCTGGAGGTTGGTTTGGCAAACTGCAATTGCGAATTGTCCATGTCGAGCATCTCGTCGTCGCCATCTTGGTGAGGATCATTGAGACCAGCGGCGTGATGGCTGCTAGCTTTAGGTTTGCTGTAAGGCCCAAATATTGATGAGCCCGTCCCTCTTGGCTGTGTGCTCTCGGGAACATCACTCTGAATTGCCTCAGTGGAAGTGACTGGGCTGGTGGGCTTCGAGACAGAGCGAGAACCTCTGTTGACAGCTCTTCTGGCCTTTTTGGCAGGCGAGAGAGACGTCTGAGCGTCAACACCTTCTTGTGACTGAGACTCAGATTGAGAGTTCGCAACTTCGACAACACTTGGGGCAGTCTTTGCGTTGTTCTGCTTCAGTTTCTCGATGTCCAAGTCCTTTTGGCCGACAATCGCCTGCTGCTGGTTGAAACGTTCGTCAGTCTCCTTGACGCGATTGTTGGCACCCTCCAAGCTTTGACGGAGGTCTTCAATCTCCTTCTGTCGGTCCTCGGCTTCTTCTTTGTTGCGCTTCTCAAGATCAACGAGTTTGGTGTCGACAGCACGTTTGGCAGAGTCAGCTTCACTCAAGCGAGTCTCCATGACTTTGAGCTGATCTTTCGCCTCTTGTGACTTGCGTGTCGCATTCTCCTCGTGGGCCTTGTTATTTGCTTGACTGGAGCGGGTAGCCTCCTTGAGCTTTTGCTGCAGTGATTCGACAGTGCTTTGAGTGTCCGTGTTCGACTTTTTGAGACGGTTGATCTGAGAATCCTTCTCGTCTAGCTTTCTCTGCTGTTCCTGCGCAGAGTTTCGAATTGACTGAAGTGCCTCCTGAAGTTGTCGCTGCAGGTTCTCAACTTGACCGCGTGCTACGGTGCTCTCATTATCAAGGCGTTTGATCTCAGCATCCTTGTGCTTTACCTCATCAGACCAGGATGCAAGACTGCGGTCGCCGAATTCTTGCTTCAGGCGTTCGAGTTCTGACTGTAGATCTCGGACAGTGTTCTCTTTGGCGACGAGTGCTAGGTCGACCTCTTCCTTCTTCTTCTCTTGTCTAAGCTTTTGGTTGCCAAAGTTGACGGCAAGCTTGCGGGCTTGGGCGTGAGCTTCTGCGATGGCTTCGTCGATCTGCTGCTTGGCCTTTTGAAAGTCAGTAATCTGGTCAAGTCAGAGTTGAGACGGGGTGCCTACCTTTGCCTCGATTTTTGTTCTCTCCACGCTGAGGTCAGGGGCAATGGACCGGGCCTCCTCAAGGCGTTTGGTGGTCTCTTTGAATTGACCCTTGCTGCAAGTCAGTATGGATAGAAAACATTGATCGTGTGTCGACTCACCTGTAGCTCTGCCTTTTCACGTTGCAGAGTCTTCTTCTGCTCATTTATCGATGCGATGGCAGCCATGCTCTCGGCCTTTTCGCTCTTCAGCTTCTCGATATCTTGCTTCAGCTTGCCTTCCGCGGTCGTGAGCGCCGATAGCTTGACTTTGTTCTCCTCTGCGGAAGCCTTCTCTGACTGCAAGACGGTTTGAGAAGCTTGTAGCTCCTGGATCTTTTGCTTGAGCAGAGCTTCATCGTTGTTCTTCTGTTCCATGTCGGCCTCCAGCTTGCTGACTTTCTCAGTGCTCTCCTCAAGCTTCTGCTTTTCCTGGCTGATACTTTCACGTAAGACAGCATTCTTCTCTGCAAGATCTTCTCGGTCTTTGAACCCTGATTTGATCTCTTCGAGTAGCGCGACGATTTTGCTCTCGGTTTTGGTGTGAGTTTCTGCTTGGGCATTGATCGCTTCAGTTTTGGTCGCCTTTGTGTCTTCAATGTGCTTCTGGAAGCTAGACATCTGTTAGCATATGGCTTTGAGCGACCTCTATGAAAAACTTACCCCGAAGAGAGCTGATCAATGGACATTTTGATCTTCTCGGTGTCTGTGCCGGAAGAACGGACTGATTCAGACAAAGTCGCGTATTCTTTCTTCATCGACTCCGCATGCTCGCGCGAGAAAGTGGCACTCGCGGAAGCACCCTGTTCGATCAGAATCTTGAACTCGCTCAGCTGCTCGCTGAGTTTACTGGTGCGTCCATTGAAAGTTTCATCGCTGGACTTCTTCTCCTGCTGGAGATCCTGGAGGCGCTTGTCGAAAGCGGCTTGACGCTCCTTTTCCTGAGCCAGTATTCTGGATGTCTTATCAAGACGTCTTTGGAGATCAGACTTGTCCTTCTTCAGGGCATTGATGAAGGTCCTGCAGTCCTGGAGCATGCCCAAGGTTTTGACCCGCAGATGATTGATCTTCTCCAGACCTTGATCCGAGACCTTTGTGGCTGCGTCCAGATTGGTGTCAAGTTGAGTTTTGAGTTGTGCAAACTCCCTATCGTACCTAGCCTTGGCCTTCTGTATCGCCTTCATGTCGTGACCAAAGCCATTGAAAGCCAAGATAACTGTCTTGAGTTTTGCAGAGAAGCCAGCATACTTTTCGAGACTAGTTTTGAGCTCTGCACACTCGCTTTGGAGGCTCAAATTGTGCTGGCTGGCGTGTTCCAGCTCGGCCTGCTTGGCTGCAAGTTCTTTCACCCAACTTCGCTTCTCCTCCACACGCTCTTGTTCTTTGATGAAATCAGCAAGCTGATACAACTCCGCAGCAGTGTATGGTACAGATCCAAGTCTCAACTTGGATGTTGTCTTCCGTGCAGTGAGGCCGGACGGGGTTGGCTTCGTCTTCCTTTTCGTCACTCTTATCGAGCCAGAGCGGTCAGTGACTCCACGTAGAGACTGCTGATTAGGTGGAATTGTGTCAGGTGGAGTTGGAAGTTGCTGCGCCCCAATGACATCGTCGGGGGGTTCTTGAGTGGCACTGGTTTCAGTATCCGGCGGGGTTGTCTGAGGCTTCTCTGCAGGCTGAGACTCCTCGGCGGACTGCTGATCCTTGACAGGCTGGTGACCTACGCCAGCATGCTCATCATCCAGAGGGTGCTTGCCCTCAAGATGGTGTTCGACTTGGAAGTTTGCAGCGCGAATTCCAGGATGTTCGGCATGTACGACAGAACTGAGATCTTCATCTTCGGGCAGGCCGTTTGAAGTCAGATCCTGCATTACGACGTCGTTATGACTGGTCCACGAGGCTTCCGGCTGAACTTGGACCTCTTCCTCAATGTCCGAATGCTGCTGCTCAGTACAGGGAGAGGGAGACATCGCTGCTGTCAACACGCCAGTAGGGCTGGCTGGTGCCTCTCTGGTGATAACGAAGATGTCATTGGTGTCAGATTCGAGAACCGAAACAGGAACAGGATCTGCAATTATGGTCTCTTCGACAACGTTGTTACTCTCCAAGGTAGGCTGTAATGTCGAGGTGTGGTTGGCAGTGGCAACCGTTTTCTTGAGGACGGGACTTTTGGCTATCTGTATATCGGAACGCGACAGGTCGATAGTGGTACCGTGTGAAACGGGACTGTGGTACAAGTCAACATCATGCAAAAAATCGTCTCGAGAGAACGCTTACCTTCTGCGTCTGCATTGCTTTTGACTCTGCACAGAAGAGCGATCTGGACGATGACGACCCTTCGAGGGTGCGCGAGCTCTCGGTGCAGCTTTATGGATCTGCGAACTGGGCACAGTCTGAAACAGCTGTGATTGCACATCTTCCCTGGACTCGGCAGGGGCTTCGAGGTTCAGTGTCAGCCAGGAACCCAACCAAGTGACGATGGATCTCAAACCTTGAGGAATAGGAGTAACGGAACGCTCTTCGCGGACGCTGAGAGCCGAACTTTGATGTTCTTGGTTTGATTTCTCGAAAGAGGCAGAAGGTACAGGCTGACTTGATTGACTTGATTGACTTGGTTGACTTGATTGACTAGATTGGCTTGACTGAGTTGGTTGGTTCGGCTGCGCTTTCTGGAGAAGGCTTCTTGGTGCGTTCATCTTGAAAGGATTGAAACCTTCAGAGATCGGATCAGCAGCAGGCTTCGAGATTGTTCTGGTCGTAATATCAAGCTCGACGGCGGAGGGGGTTGCGGTCAGCTTGTTGATGAGGTCAACATCATCGTGATTAATGTCGTCAGTCATTTCGCTCGCTCTGCTGCTAGGCCTGCTTGTTGCATGGAGGCTATCAGATCTTGAATGAGGACGTAAGGCCACGTCTGTGCCGGACTTGGTGGGAACACTGGTAGTGCGCTTGTCTTCATGATAAGACGACTCAAAGGGATCATCCGAAGAATCGACTCTAGTCATCTGGCTGAGATGGCTTGATCTTTGACTCGGCTCAGGCATGACAGCGATCGGATGAGTTGTAGGCCTCAAACGATGGAATTGAAGAAAGTGGCGAAACGGGTGTGTGTGGAGTGGAGGGGAGAGTGGGAGAAGGAAGGGAGAAGCCTTGAGACTACGAGATAGAGCCAGTCGTGCCTTCCTGGGCAAGAGGCTTCGGGAGGAAGGAGCAGTCCACTCGCAGCGTGACCTACCGACTGCAGTCGACACAACTTCTGACTGGAACTCATGGCAAACCTTCGAGGCACAGGCAAGCCTTCTTGTCCCGGATGAACCAGACAGTACGTAAAGTACCTAGAGTACTGTTCAAGACATGTCCCCTTTTCACACCTGTTGAGGCAAGGCGACATCTGCCTCCATCTGACTTCTATCAGAGTACAAGGTGATTCCACGCACTCGAGTTCGATGCTTTATTTATATTTTGCTACGTGAAGGGACTTTAAGGTAGTGATGCTTGTGGAAGACGAGGCCGAAGTTGGAGAGGGCTTAGAGAAGGAAGAAAGACAAGTGTTGGCTTGGCAGGGCAGAGCCGCAACTCCGCGTCTCCTCCGTGATGGTCTGTCATGAACTATAAACATTGTACAACATGCGTATATTTCCGTGATTGGTGCCGATTGGTCCTAACGCGCTATACGAAGGCTTTCCTGATCTGGCTACGCTCGATATAAAAGAGGTCCATAATGGCCGACCCACTGTATGAACTCCTGGCACCGTACTTCGACCGACCATCAACAACGTCCACATCCGAAGCGATACCCCTACCCACCGATCCTACTACCAATGCCTATCTGGCACGACTACCAACCCTCTCGCTACAATCGCTGACCACGACCGAATCATCATACCTCAATGCAGCAACTCAGTCGTCTCTACGCTCCTTGCAGGCCCTGTCCAAACGTTCGCATCGCTCTGTCATTACCGCAACCGACCATCTCTCCAACCTTTCCGCCCTTCTTCCCTCGCTTTACACCCGCTCAAAAGAGCTAGGAGATGCATTACCACAACTAGAAACTGCCGCCACCAACTTTGCGACAAAATATGACAGAGCTGCCGAGAATGCCGTCCTCGACCGCCGAAAAAGAGCTATGCTGCTGAGCAGGAATGTGGACAGGGTCAGCGATGTTATGGAGCTGCCAACATTATTGTCCACCGCTATCAATTCTTCGTCTGCCGCTGTCACCCAAGGCACAGGTGGTGCTGCTGCTTCTGGCTATGCATCTGCTCTCGACTTGCATGCTCACGTCAAGCGTTTAAGAACACTATACCCAGACTCCGACCTGGTAGGCGATATTTCTCGGCAGGCCGATGACGAGATCCAGAATCTCATTACCGTCCTGATAAACGGTCTTCAAAATCCCTCGCTCAAACTCGCCGGAGCAATGAGAATGATTGGCTGGCTCCGCAGAGTCGCTCCCGAGCTCGCCGACGACACTTATGGTAGTCTCCACGGGCAGACAAAGGGCAGGTCTTTGGGTGCTGCTACAGGTGAGGGTTCATTGAGTGCGCTCTTCTTGGTGTGTAGGCTAGGTACACTACGACGGACACTTGACGCACTAGATCCTCTGAAAGACCTGGCAGATCAAGAGGCACTTCGTCGCTTCGAGAGCAGAGATCGGCAGGAGACCTGGATTGGTGGAGCTCAAACCGAGCGCTACTTGAAGAGATATGTCGAGGTATTCCGTGAACAGAGTTTCGGCATCATTTCCATGTACAAAAGCATCTTCCCCTCAGCATTACCGATACCTGGACTAGCTGGAGCTGATATAACTTCGCCTACTGGAACGCCAATTCAGACTCCAACTATCTCAGAGAGCACTTCAACGCCTTTCTTCGAAGCTGAGGACGACAAGACCCCTTCGGCACTTGCAACTTTCGCACCACATCTAGTAGACATGCTTTCTGAAAGACTACGCACCTACATGCCAAACATCTCCGAAAGATCTTCGAGAGACAGCCTGCTAACTCAGGTGTTGTATTGCGCAGGCTCTCTGGGCAGATTGGGTGCAGACTTTGGTATGATGCTTGCCTTGTTGGAAGATGAATTGAACGAGGAAGGTGAAGCTGGCAAGCCAGAAGAGACAGACGAGGACGATCACGAATGGGTTCAAGTTATGAAAAAGCACAGGGTACAGGCTAGTCGATTAGAACTACTGGCAAGTGGTGTTGGCTCTGGGCGGAAGACAAGTACCAGTCTTGATTATTCCCGCAGACCTTCCGCCGTTCCCGGCTAGAGAATGACAGATGACAGCGTGCAGACGTATGTTTGCCAGCCCCCTCAGTCTTGCATCTTGTTTGGTCGAGATTTGCCGTGTTTGCCGATCTGTTTGAGAATGTAGACAGCCGCATCACCGCGTGATTAGTGTGTTTCCCCCAAGAGTGCTCGTTCCCACGACAAACAGGTACTGAGGACGAGATCAAGAACAATTATTACAGAGACAAGATGGATCTTTCTTGGCTACTCGGCGTGCATGACTCCTTCAACTTGGCAGTGGAGGTTTTGATGGAGTTTCAAAAAGTGGCTGGTGCAAGCGGGAGTGGCTTGCATGGGGGAGCCGTTGGCGCAAGCCAAATCCATGATCCGCGTCATGTTTCCAGAAAATCACCGAAGAGTTCCTTTTTCTTCAACACCATCCGAGCAGCGTGAGGACATGGACTATCAAAGATAGCAATTTGCGTCGTCGAGTCCGCATTGATTACTGACAACAAACTGATCTCGGCGCACATGCAAGACTGCGATGCTCTGTAACACGAGTTTCATCGTCTGAAGATGATAATCATCTTATACAAGTCTAAGCTGGGGAAGGTGGGTCGAAGAAGTAGGGATGCGCATGTCCATCGTTTGTCTGCCGCGCGGCCATGGGCGACTGCATTCTGCGCGGTATCGATATGAAAAACTCCGTCTCAGACACGCGGAAAGCAGGATAAGGTGACGCGGTCATTAGGTGCGTGGCCAAGTTGTCTTGCTCCGATACTCGTCACCCAAGAACCGATTCCGCCTATCCGATCTTGCTATTATTCTCCGCCCCTGCCTTCTATTGTGGTTTTTGTGATTGTACCCTGCCCGAAAAAACACAATTGTTTGCGCGCCAACTCGCTTGCCCAACACATGATCTAGGATTTGCTTTCCACGTCTGTTTGTAACCACAACACAACAAGCTCCTCATTGATATATGCTCGCCTGAATCATCTTATACGACGGCACGAGCTGCTACATTTACCCCACAATCATGATGAAAGGACTCACCGCTCTGGCACTGGCTGGTCTTTTCCATGGCTCCACGATAGCTCATGATGTAGGAGCGGAAGCATATTTCGACCCTGGCGATGGCGAGGCATGGGAATTGAACTATGGCTATTACCCATATCGATCTTACCAGACCACCGACCTCATCTCGCCACAATTCAGGACGTTAGTCGACTCTCCTGAATGCCATGACGACCGACATGTGTTTTTCACTCCTCGAGGATTCTCTATTGAAGCCCCTGGCCCCATGATTGTGGATAGTCATGGCGACCTTATCTGGGCAAAGAGTACTGAAGGACAGGCATACGACTTGACGGTACAAGAATACAAAGGTGAACAGTATTTGACGTACTGGGTTGGTGATGATCGAGTTCGAGGTCATGGTGCTGGCGATTATTACATGGTATGCGACCCTTCTACCAACCTCGTCATTCAACTGCTAACATTTCAAAGCTCAACACTGGTTACCAAGAAGTGCACAAAATCTCGGCTTTGCACGGCATGGCAGCCGACCTCCATGAACTCGTAATCACACCCCAAGGCACGGCATTGCTCACTGTCTACGAAGTGTACCAACACGACTTGAGCGAGCTTCGTAACTTCGAGGACTGGGAGGAAGACCCTCATTACATCTGGGACAGCCTCTTCCAAGAGATCGACATTGAGACCAACGAGCTTCTTTTCCAATGGCGCGCATCAGACCACTACTCTATCAACGAGACATTCAAATCGATCGGAGGCACAGGTACCAAGAACGACCCCTTCGACTGGTATCACATCAATTCGGTCGAGAAGGATGAGTTCGACAACTATCTTATCTCCGCACGCTATACACATACCGTGACTTACATCAACGGAACCTCTGGCGACATCATCTGGGTTCTTGGTGGCAAGCGCAACATGTTCAAGGACCTCGACGGTGGATTTGCTACCAATTTCGCCTGGCAACACGATGCTCGGTTGCACTCCAAGACTGAGTTTCCTGAACTCTTCCGAGACGACATTGCGCTCTTTGGTGCTGACAAAGAGAAGAACGGTGTCACAAAGCAACTAGTCACACTCTTTGACAACAGCGCAGAAGACATTGAGCATACTCTGGACTCTTCTCGCGGATTGATGCTCGAGGTTACATATCCTTCTGCTCACCTACCACGACCCCAGCCTGCCGTTGATCTTGTCCGACGCAATGCCGCTGACGCACAAGATGATCAGTATTCAGTGAAAATAATCAGATCCTACAACCATCCTCAAGGCCCCCTATCAAGCAGTCAAGGATCGCTGCAAGTGCTTCCTTCTGAGGATGATCACAAAGATTCAAAAGTGTTCGTCGGCTATGGATACAATGCTCTGTTTTCCGAATACAGCGCAGATGGCACTCTGCTTTGCGACAACCATTTCGCAACCAATTACTCATGGGGCAGAGGCGAGGTTCAGTCGTATCGTGCTTTCAAATTTGCTTGGACTGGTCGTCCTGTTGATCCTCCTAGTGCTTTGCTTTCGAGCGATGGCCAAATTTACGTCAGTTGGAACGGAGCTACCGAAGTCAAAGGCTGGACCCTTCAACACACTCGTACATTCCCTGCAGCCGAAAATGCTTGGGAGAATGTCCTTCAGATTGACAAGACTGGCTTCGAGACAGCAATCAACATTGAGGACGAAGAGCTTCTGCGTTACATTCGTGTCAAGGCTGTCGACCAAAATGGCGTGATGTTGGGAGTATCCAGAGAGATTGACATGGGCTGGAGCGCTGGCCTGGCAAGCTCCATGACCCAGCTCAATACTGTCGATGTCGCTCCTATTAAGTTGATCATGCTCATCTGCGTCAACGTCATCATCTTATTTGTTCTTTACGAACTATGCAGACGTCTCTTTACATGGCGCCAAACCAGAAAGTGGCGACAGAGAAGGGGTATCCGCTTGCCCTCTGACGCCTGAGGTCCATTTTCCTTTTTATATTGCATGTTCTGGTGCATGGACGGAGTTCGGTTCGTCATATTTTTTGCTCCATTCTTGAACTTTCTAACGCGAATACCCATTTCCTTTGTTGAGCTGTCGATAGACAAGATAATCCTATCCGCACTTTTTATGATGAATAGACAAAACTGCCCAACATCCTTGTCCAAACCCTCTTAAGCTTCGTCTTCCTTGTGAGGCTTGGCATAGACCTGTCGAAAGGCAGGGTGGTTATCGTCTAAGTGTGATCGTCTAAAGGGAGCGTATGAAGATGTCTCCACTGCATATGCGCCACTCGCGGCAAGAAATATGCATGTTGATAGTGGGGCTAAGAATGTCCGTCAGTAGACTGAGAGCTGAGTACATTGAGCATACCCAGTACTAATATTGTGCTTCTTTCGGTCTAGTCGATCATGATACTGAATTTGGCTTGTTTGCATCAGGCAACGCGCCGAGCTGCTCCTTCCGTGCAGCTACTTCCTTGATATTTCTGCAGTCCTCGTAGCCTTTAGGCATCACCTCGTTCCAGTCCGCCTTCGCGTAGCACGCATTGCACATATAGCTTTCAGAATCGAACCACCACATCTTCATGCCTCCAAACCGCGTGTATTCGCAGCCTTCACAGTAGTGTTTCGTGGGCTCAGAAAGCACAAGAGGACGACGAGACTTCCAAGGCAGTTCCTCACGAAACCACACATACCTATTACACCACATATGGAGAAGTCTTGCTCGGCGGAAGCTCTCACGAGCATAAGTCTTTTCCTTTTGAACACGTAGCTTGGCACAATGTTCTGGATCTTTTCGTCGCTGCCTCATATACGCTCGGGTTTTTTCAACGTAGACTTTGTGCTTCTCGGGATCAAGGCGTAATTGGTCGTATCTCGCTCTGGATATCTGGTTGACTGGACAAGAGGAAAAGTAGCGCAGAGGTGTCGAATTCCATGGCGAATTTGCCAGTCGACCGCCCGATTTGAAAAATCTCGAAAGCATCGTCGCGATGATGTTTGAGACGATGTTCAGACAATGAGACGATATGAGTGTAGAAATTGACGAAGTAGTACTCGAGTAGTATGTCTAACCGCTGACAATCATTAGCTGACTTGTCGTTGTGACACGGCCGTCAAGCGTCCCACCAGATTTGCATTTTGCAGCAGAGTGTCGCCTTCCGGTGAGGTTCTGTGAGGATTGTGTTTGCAACGATGCGAAGGTTCGTGTTGTTTCACGGTCGCCGATTGCGCAGTTCGTGTTCAGCCAAAAGTAGTAAGTCGATGCGATTGACAAAAGACTTGGCCTTACAAACAAAAAATTGGCTTGAGCACTGGAATCTATGAGAAACCATCTGTCAGTCTTAAGTTATCAGTTCGAGAGTGTTCTTTGACTCCTCGGTAAAGACCAAAGGATCCATCTTCTCGTGTTTCTCAGATGGCCGTGTATCAAACTCGTGAACCAAGACGACCAGGCTTGGATATATGGCCATACCAAGCCGCAGCTCGCCTAATTAGCGGCAAATCGTTCGAAGCCTCTTGACAGGGCTGACTTGTCAATCGAAGGGCGCGCCCTCTCAAGAGTCACAGTCATCTGGCTTGTCTAGGTACTCAACGGTAAGCAAAAGTCAATGATCTGACATCCTTCTCTGTTTCCCTATTATCCATATGGGTCGCACGCCCTACGCTTTCCGTTTCCATCGCTCTTGACATTCTGTGCATTTTTCCTCTCGATTGTATGCCCTTTCAACATGTCGGCCTTGCCAATCATGCAAGAGGAAGCCGACCTTGGCGAATTCTTCGACTTCCAGAACGCCGTCTCGGATGGTGGTAGCATGCAGACTAGTGCGGTTGCTGACCTGGATCATCTTTCTCATACTGCCGAGAGGTCAGCTCATCAACAGGTTACTCATGTATAATATCTAATATCAAGCTTAGCGGTCACTACAACGAGGCCACCGACCCTGCTCTTGGTCACAAGGAAGCAGAAGCTTCAGACTACAGCAACTTCTCAAAATGGATACCCAGGTTCATTCAGCCTGACGAGCCTTGCACTTACTGTCGAGACCGCAAGCTCAACTGCTATCTGAGTTATGGCAAGGTTACTTGTACTGCCTGCGTACGTCCCAGTGAGATCTCCTTTACTCCTATGTTCCGCGCTAATCCCGTTCGTTTGAAGGATACGCTCTTCAGACCTTGCAGCTTCGTCAAGTCTCGTACCCAAGATGCTTACCAAGTGCCTGAAGGGGAGTCGGCAATGGGTCTTGTCGACACCTTGCATCCAGTTATTGAGGATTGCTGTCAAGAACAGGGAGAACTTACCGGTGTCCGATCTCTCAAATCGATGCCGGATGCGTCGAAGAAGTCTAACAGCCGCTTCTCTAAAGCTGCCGTGAAGGTGCTAAGAAACTGGTTGGATGAACATCAGAGCAACCCCTACCCAACCGAGGACGAAAAAGAACAGCTGGGTCGCACCACTGGACTACGAGTTGCTCAAATCAACACATGGCTTGCCAATGCTCGTCGTAGAGGCAAGGCTGGCATCAAGAACAAGGCTACTATGGACGGGTTGCCACAATCAACCACAACCTCGATACCGCCAACCGCCGCGATTGGTATCCCTGGCTCCACGGAAATTGAGGTCAACAAGTGGAGTGATATGAACCCTCTTGAGCGATGGAAGCACTCGCCACCAAGCAACGAACCTGCTCCCTTCAATGCTATTGCCGACGCTTTGGACAGACGAGATCTGCCTGACTTCGCAGCGGAAGAATCAAGCTCCCCGTCCACTTTGGGCTGGCAGGGCCTTGGTTCAAGTCGCGATGACTCGAGATCCTCAAACCGAAGAGCAGCATCTGTAACATCTCTAGAGAAATCTACCTCTAACTCTGCTGCGTCGTCTGCAGCTTGGTCGGGCTCACGCGAGTCCTGGGGATCATACAGCTCGTTTGGAAGCAGTCTTAACGGCAGGAAGGAGCGAAGACGACGACGCAAGGTACCCGGCACTACTCTGAGGAAGCCATCGAACGACAAGAACGCCAAAAAAGACAGGATCTACCAGTGTACCTTCTGCACAGATACGTTCACGACAAAGTACGACTGGCAACGCCACGAGAAGACCTTGCATCTTTCTCTAGAGAAATACATATGCTGCCCCTTGGGCCCTGAAACACTGGATCCTGCGACAGGGAAGACCATCTGCGCTTATTGCTGTGAGTCTGAGCCGTCGAAAGATCACATTGAGTCACACAACCACCGCCAGTGTCTAGACAAAGGCTTCGAGGGACGGACATTCTACCGTAAAGATCATCTGCGACAACATCTCCGACTCGTGCATGAATCTAAGCTGCTGCCGCACATGGAAGGCTGGAAGACGAATCTCACCAATGTCAACAGCAGATGTGGCTTTTGCAACCAGCGCTTCAGTATATGGTCCGAGCGCAACGATCATCTGGCCGCGCACTTCAAGAGCGGTGCTAGGATGAGTGATTGGAAAGGTTGTCGGGGTCTCGATCCGCCCATCGCCGCACTTGTCAACAGCGCCATGCCGCCATACCTCATCGGCATGGAGACCGACTCAGTAAACCCCTTTACTGCAACAGACCCGACGAGATGTATGACCGTCCAGTCACATCTGGAAAATGGTGGCGCTCCGACCACATGTTGGGAGATCTTGACTGTACGCCTCGGAAAGTTTGCAAAGGATCAAACGGATAGGGGCGTCATCCTCACCGACGAGATGTTGCAGAGCGCAGCACGACGCATCCTTTATGATTCAGATGATGCTTGGGACAACACGGCTGCTGACAACCCTGAGTGGCTGGATCTATTCAAAAGAGCTCATGCGCTCGATTATATCCCGACAGAGGTCTCGGGCATAGGCAAGAACATTCCGGAAGACCTCGAAATCTACACGGATCTTGGTATGCGGATCCCTTTCAGTGTTCAATTGGCCCGTGGGATGACGCCCGGCTATCCACCAGCTGGCTTGCCAGAGATCGGACAAGCAGAGGGGCATCTGGACGGCTTAACAACGACGCTACCGCAAGATCAGGCTTACCGTCCACGGCTACGCCCAGTTGTCCATAACGACTCGACTTCCGGCAGATCGTCCTTCTCGCACGCCTCGGCGCAATACGACTTTAGTTCCGCCACACCAGCAACGTTCCAAAGTCAAGGTTCGACACCTCTACAGCTCGACACACCTCAAGAGATGGGAACAGGCGACTGCTTGGATGCAGACATCGACGCTTTCTTAGCAGAAGCAGGCTACCAAGCCCCGCATCAAGCCAATGCGGGTGACCTGGCCCGACAACAAAACGCCATGATATCCCAACAATACGGCCTAGACAACTCATTGACACCGGAGCGAGCACAACAGCAACTCGCTGAGTTGAACGCTGCGATGGCTGTACTCACCGAACAAGCCGTACTTTGCGAAATGCCAGTGGCCAACCAATATACGAATAACATGGACTACAACAATCTCGGTATGGATGCAGAGTTCTCGGATTTGATGAACTCAACATCAACAACAACACCAAGCTATGACGGTCTCTCCGCCCCCGCATGGGAGGATAAAAATCAATATTTCACGAGTGCAGGACAGGAGTCTGGGCTATTGGCGACGGATATGACGATGCAAGATTTGGATATGAATGATATACAGTTTGGAGATATGGATTTTAGCATGGGCTTCCAATAGTTGGAGTGTAGATTTTACGAAGTCAAAGGAATACAAATTTTTCGGTTCAAGATTGTTCAATCCTCATGGCAGATTATCATCGTTTCTTCGTGGGCAGGTGCAATGGTTATCTTGGCATACGTATATCGACAGTCTCGGACTTCAGCTCTTCGATCGTGGTTGCTTCCAATATTCCCAAGCAGCATTCAACATGGCACTCTTTGCATTATGCTGCACGGCAGACATTCCGAGCGAAGTAGATCGTGGCTTCCTTTCGTTGTGAGGTCAACACTAACTTTTTCAATAAGAAACTCAACAAATTCCTCCATGAGACCTATCGCAATAGCAGCAAGATGGATTGTCAACCAAGTCTCTTTCTCATCTCGTCTTTGAATGATCTTAATGCAAGTCAAGAACTCATCGCGAGTCAAACACCTGTGCAACCATTCTCGTCGCCCTTTCTCGGCCAGTCTGCAGAGGACACAGCAAAACTCCTTCAGTCACACATTAACAAGTTGCCAACCTCTAACCTCCACCCAACTCTCCTCGTCATCCTAGACGAAGAATCAATATTCTCGGATTCTGGTCTTATTGTCCAGATCAAAAATAGCGTTGTACATTCTGTACGCGTACATTTTGACACGATCAATGCGGAGTTGATCAGGATTATGATGATCACTTTCGATATCAAGGAGACTCAAGGGCTTGTAGGGGAAAATGGTGTGTTTAGGACGAAGCCGCCGGATGAGAGTAAGAAGGGGAGACCTGCGCCGAGGAAGAAGTTAGGTTGAACTGTTCCTTAGGATCAGAGTCTGGTTTTTCTTCTTGAGCTTAACATATACGCTGCAGCACTTCTGATAAGTCTCGTGTGCGTGTTCAGATGAGGCGGCAGACAGCAAACGATTGAGCAAAATGTTAGCCTTCGATTACAGTGGTTGGTCGTTGCTGCCTGAGCAAGACTAATGGACAAAACATACAGCAGCAGGGATTCCCACGTGGTCACCCACCGTAGTACTAATCTGCCGTTCAACTGCTTATGTATGGCAGAGCGGACGGGATGCCCAGTTTTCAGCTGACTGTGGCCGTATGTGCTTGTTTCTCAGATTTGTCAAAATATAATGACCTGAAACCATTTGCTATTCTGTAGTGAAATCGCCTATCGAGCAGAGGCGTTCGGCACGTCGATATATTTGGGTTTGCGGTGAGTCTGAATTAGATAGTGAGCGAGAGACCAGGCGTGGCTTTCAAGCTCGCCCCAATGTTGGCTGCCGAGAACAAATGCTCTTGCTGTTATTGTTTCCGATGGCCGAGGCATGAAGGGATGCTCGGTCTCGTGGTAAAATGAGGCTTGATCAAAAGCTTCGCGAAAAGCTTTCCCCTCGTTTTTGCTCCGTTCTTCCCGCATCCTCCGGCAGGCCAAATTATTGCCGAACCCTGGCTCCTTCACGCCCAACTCAAGCCCAACTCGCGCCACTGTTCTTTCTTCGACCACATGCATTGGAAGTTCAAGCGTCGCTTCTGATGCTCGGGACTGTTTCAAGTGTCCTCGGCTACAAGACACGTCGAGGCAGACACTGCCAGCTGCACTTCTTGTCGTGAAGCTGGTCTCCTGCCCTAAACCTTCGCGGGACAAACATTGCACTCTTCGCGAGAGCAATGATCAGCATGCGGAAACAGATCACTTCAACCGTGAGAATACTCCGAGCACGGAGACACTATTTCAAGGCGACGGATGAATAGGTGAGCTAAAAGCTGCTAAAAACGACTGTCATATTGCAAGTGATATGCATTCTAATATACTGTTTGTGGCCAGAGAGCGGGGGCAAGCCTCTAGCGAAGCTCTCGTAATTCGCCTCGTGACAAGTACGATGGGAAGTCTGAAAAGACGTTCTGACAAAGATGTTGCTACGTACGCAGGGAGGAGGCAAAGGTACTCAGTTTGTGCCTGATCTTGCATCTGTGAAGTGTGCTTGCTTCACCAGTACAATATGTCAGTACACTCAGCCATGAGAGTAGTCGTATGCTGTTGGTCTTGTTTGATGCTTGGTAAGATGCCGTCCAAGACAACCCCGGAAAGATCGCGAGGCTTGACTGCGGCCCGAGGGACGTGGAGAAACGTGTTGCTGTGTGGGGAAGGTGATTGCCTGTTCCTGACACACTTCGACAATCATCCGTGTGATCGGAATCAACATGCAATGCATAGACGGTCTCGACTTCCCCTTACCCCCGCCGGAAGAATCGTATGGGGAACTGCGGGGGCATGTCACTACACGGACTCTTGTAGGTAATCATGGCTAACATCAGAGCGCTGTCGGCGAAATGCTTAACGATATGGCAAGTCTTAGCTGGACTTGGTCATGAGGCTAGTTGAAGCCTCTCTCGAAGCAAGGACCGGTCAGTATAATCATCCTTATATTCCCGCCGGATCACGGTAGATATCAGGATGAGTTCAAACGCTTTGCCTTGACATACTTGTGGATACCACGGCCTCTTGGAAGTTCTCCATCTCGACACTGGAATATAAATATAGAGGACAAGGACATCTCTCAATTTACAAGCAACTCCTCTCACACTCTTACACTTACAGCCAGCTTCTCTACAAAGAACTCTGCCATCACTCAAACATGCGCTCAAAGTCGAACATTGCCATTGGCCTCGCTGCCACTGGATCTCTGGTTGCCGCAGCTCCTTGTGATCTTTACAAAAATGGCGGTACACCCTGCGTAGCTGCTCACGGTACTACTCGCGCCTTGTACGATGCCTACACTGGTCCTCTTTACCAGATCAAACGCGGTTCTGATGGAACCACTGCGGACATCTCGCCTCTCTCTGCCGGAGGTGTAGCCAACGCAGCCGCTCAAGACTCTTTCTGCAAAAGCACCACCTGTCTCATTACCATCATCTACGACCAATCTGGCCGTGCAAACCACTTGTACCAGGCTCCCAAGGGTGCTTTCAGCGGACCGGACGTCAACGGCAACGACAACTTGGCGAGTGCTATCGGTGCTCCCGTCACTCTGAACGGCAAGAAGGCATACGGTGTTTTCGTCAGCCCCGGAACTGGTTACAGAAACGACGAAGTCAGCGGCACAGCTACTGGCGACCAGCCCGAGGGCATGTACGCCGTCCTTGATGGCACTCATTACAACGATGCCTGCTGCTTCGATTACGGAAATGCCGAGGTCAGCAACACTGACACTGGCAATGGTCACATGGAGGCCATCTACTATGGCAACAACACCATTTGGGGAACTGGATCTGGATCTGGCCCATGGCTCATGGCTGATCTTGAGAACGGTCTGTTCTCTGGCCAGAGCCCTGCTCAAAACACTGCCGATCCCTCCATCTACAACAGATTCTTCACCGGTATGGTGAAGGGAAAGCCCAACCAGTGGGCTCTCCGCGGAGGCAATGCCGCCTCAGGGGCTTTGTCGACCTACTACAGCGGCGCCAGACCCACCGTCGGTGGCTATAACCCGATGAGTCTCGAGGGTGCCATCATCCTTGGCATCGGTGGTGATAACAGCAATGGCGCTCAGGGCACATTCTACGAGGGAGTCATGACTTCGGGCTACCCATCCGACTCTGTCGAGGCCTCAGTTCAGGCTAACATCGTTGCTGCTAAGTACGCTACTACCTCGCTCAACACTGCCCCTCTCACCGTGGGCAACAAGGTTTCCATCAAGGTTACCACCCCCGGATACGACACCCGCTACCTCGCCCACTCCGGCGCCACTGTCAACACCCAAGTTGTCTCCTCATCCAGCGCCACCGCCTTGAAGCAACAATCCAGCTGGACTGTCCGTACCGGTCTCGGTAACAGCGACTGCTACTCCTTTGAATCCGTCGACACCCCCGGAAGCTTCATCAGACACTACAACTTCGTCCTCCAGCTTAACAAGAACGACAACACCAAGGCTTTCAAGGAAGACGCCACTTTCTGCTCTCAGACCGGTCTTGCCACTGGTAACACCATCAGATCGTGGAGCTACCCTGCCAAGTTCTTCCGTCACTACAACAATGTCGGTTACATTGCCTCCAACGGTGGTGTCCACGACTTTGACTCTGCTACTGGCTTCAACAATGATGTCAGCTTTGTTGTTGGCACCAGCTTTGCTTAAATCTCGAAAAGTGAAAAAGTATGTTTTATGAGACGAGTATATGAATGATTTGCGACGAGGTTTGGAGTTTGTAGCCTTTTTGTTTTGTGCACAGTTTGTAGCTTTTGGAGATATCAGAAAGTTTTATCATCAAACAAGGACGACTATCTCTATTCTTCCTTTGACGTTGTGATTTGAGTGTTCACACGATGCAAATTTAGCAGGCAAAAGCCCACAGTGAGGTTGAAATCCCGTAGTAATGTGTCGAGCAACAATGGGAAGGCATGATCCTCTTCGAAAGCAAGGCTGTGTCTTGTGCAAAGACAAGAACAGTTTTTTCTCTGAATACGCGCCCTGACCAACCTCTTGATTTCTGTCTCGCAACAGCGTTTTCTGCAAGTTCCAGTGCTGAAATAATCTCCGTACCATCGCAGGCATATCAGTCCCAGAGGCGCGCATTTCTCTTACTCCTGACTTGCACGTGTCTGATTAATCGCCCTGCACACAGAAGCAACGATTGGCAACAAATCTTCTCTCACTGCCGTTTAAAACGAGATCCCAGTTCATGACGACGATAACAGTCGACTATATAGGCACATAGTAATTGATGGAAGGAGGTTGAGATCAATCCGCAGATCGACACTGAAGCCTTTCCGGGAGGATTCCACAACCATGCCCAATTAGGCAACCAGCGCGACGCAGGAACAATGGTTGGACGAATTTCAGGAAGCTCGGAAGACATCGAAAACACAGCCTGACGCGAAGCAGACTTGATTCGGAAACCTGTCCATGGTAGAAGGCAGTGATTGTTGACATGCTGACGACGCATCAGATGAGATGCAAGGTATAAGAAGGGCAGCAATTCGTAGAGAATGTTTCTGCCATACTCACAAGAGAACCTCTACTCATCTACATTCCGCATCAAATATTCTATGATGCATGCTTCCTCTCTCTGCCTTGCCTTCGCTGCAATCAGCACAATGGCACTGCCGACCCGAGAGGACAGTTCAAATGTTTCGCTCTCTGATCCAAACTACGGTCCCATTTCTGGAGAATCGAGAACATACGTCGACTACAACCAGACAGCCGCGCCATTCCCAGGAAACATTACCGGTGCGGCCATACCCACCGAGACTGGGCCTCCAGGACCCGACGACCTTCTCTTCCAGAACCTGCTCAGCGCGGAGTGGGCCATTTTCAACTTCTATCAGCAAGGCGTCGAGGCATTCAATCAATCATCCTTTACCAATCTCGGCTTACCCAACATGACATACATCGTGTAATCAACATCCGAGACAACGAGGCTGGTCATCTGCGTATCTTCCAAGATAGTATCAGTGCCACGAGCGTCAAGCCTGGACCTTGCACTTACGACTATGGCTTCAACAACGCTTCCACTTGGCTGGCGCTCCAGGTTGTCCTCGAGTTGAGCAGCATGGCATTCTTGACCGGTCTGGTCAGGGAGGCTGAGCTCAAGGACACCATGAGCGCTCTTGTCGCCATCGCAGAAGTAGAATCTCGACACAACACATGGGCATTGATCGACATCTTCGACATCAATCCTTTCTCCGGTCCTGCCGATACGGTCTTCCCGTATGCAAACGAGATACTCGATCTCACCAATCGATACATGGTGCCTGGTAGCTGTCCTGCTGCAAACCCAGTGTATCCATCGCCTAGGCAGAAGCTACCTGCAACAACGGCTGTCGTTGAGAAAGCAAATGGAATAGTCGAGTTCGAGTTTACTGATGCTGGTAACCAGCCTGATTGGTATTGGCAGCAGAAGGATAGACAGTACTATGCTGTCTACTTCCATGGCGTCCACAACATGACTATGCCTTTCGATACCAAGACCAATCAGTCTGCTCATCCGACTATGTTCGATACTGGAGAGGGTATGATTGTTGCGGTGATTGCGAATGAAGTCGGTGCTCCTAGTTTGGATAGTGTTGTGGCGGGTCCGGCGTTGATAATTGAGCAGCCGTCATTCTCCTAGATTTGGCTTAGATGGGGAAGGCTTGGTCTGGAGGGTTTATGATTGTAGTCGTCTCTATGTAGACGAACCAATGGGCAACAGTCTTCTCTGCAATCGCACCTGTGCTTGATGAGTTATGAATATGAAAAGAGGAAGGAAGCACCGGTGAGAGGCTCTTATCATCTGTAGGGCTGAGACGGCAGTCGGCAATGCGGGCCGGACCCTGGATCCGAGCATCGTCATGGGCTTCCAGCGTGGACTCGGGACTTTGATCTTCTCTTGATTCCTGCATCACGCAAGAGCATCCAGGACCAAACAATTTTTAGCACCCTACAGACGCCACTTGACCATACTCCAACCCTTCTCCCTCTCGCCAACACCCTTGCTGCCCTTTACATCGGCGTAAAAGCCACCAAGCACGCCACCCTTTTCCACAAAAGAGGCCCCTCCATCTCGCGACACACATCATGTCGACTTCATCACCAGTACCGCGTTTCGGTTCGCCGGGCGGGACCTCGTCTTCAGCTCTCCTCCTCGGTCGGCAATACAAGCAGATGCAAAACGACAAGGACCTCCCCGGCATCAGCTGCGGTCTGATCGACAACAACGTCTTTTCGTGGGAGGTCATGCTCATGCTACCCGACGAGAGCGGCGGTCTCTACGGCGGTGGCTGCTTCAGATCGAGACTCGACTTCCCCCCAGAGTACCCGCACATGCCGCCAAAGATGAAGTTTGTCACTCCCATCTGGCACCCGAATAGTGAGTTCTCTTTCCTTCGTATCGTTGCACTCTCTGCCTCCGTCCTACAATTGCTGACAATGCACCCAACAGTCTATGAAAGCGGCGAAGTTTGCATCTCCATCCTGCATCCTCCGGAAGAAGACAAGTACGGCTACGAATCCGCCGCCGAACGCTGGTCCCCCGTCCAAACCCCCGAGACCATCCTCCTCTCCGTCATCAGCATGCTCTCATCACCAAACGACGAATCACCCGCAAACATCGAGGCCGGCAAACAATGGCGCGAGGATCCGGCTTCTTTCAAGAAGAAGGTCAGAAGATGCGTGAGGGACTCCCAGGAGAGTGCTTGGGATTAAGCCTACAATTCTGCTATCATGGAACAGGCGTATATCATGAGCCTGGCGCTCAATGGGGTCAACTTTTTCTTCTTCTCGCTTCTCTCTTTTCTGTATGGTGCATTGGCGTGGACTATTCTTTTCCTTGCTTATATTGTTACCTTCTTTGCTGCATCAAACCACACGTCTTTCTATCCGGTTCGAGCTCATCCTTTCTATTCCGTCGATGGTCTCAGCAAAATCGATACCGCTGCTAAGTTGTTCCATATACCTCCGCTAACGAACGAGCCCCACCTTGATGGTGTCACAAAGCCTTTTTCTCCATGACACACGTGGGCTTGTTGGAGATGAGATTCATCCAAAGACGCCACGTATTGTTCGACACTCGTAACATGCATATCATCTTGGTATAAAGGTGTAAGATGCCGTCTCTGACAATATGTAGAGCGGTCATCTAAACAATTCGCTATCTGATTGACAGGGTCGCTTTTGATGCCAAGACATAATGGTCAGGTGTATCACCCTGTCTCAAACTTCGATCTCAAACAGAATCGCCATGGATCGTATCTTGCGTGATCTAAGTTGCGAGATAGTTTAATGGAGTTATATTCAAGCACATAATGTCATTAAACGCCTCTAATAACCTCCTACGAACGATATTGGTATTGATCATCGCCGAGCTCTGTTAATCGCATCTGAATCTCTAGTACTACGAGAACACGCAACACTGATCGTAGAAGCGAACCGTCAATCTCACTTCTTTGAGCGCAGTTACACTACTCCAAAGGAAGTCTTCAAGACTCTCATCCTCTCTAATAATTCGCGGTCTCTTGTCTGCCTCGAAAGACCACCAAAGGTCCGGAGTAGGCAGGCGGGGATGCGAGCAAAGGCGGGGTAGAAAGATAAACCTCAGCAAAGTATGTCACACGCGCAGTCGTGGAGATGTACACCATATTGACTAAATCCAGACCAATCTGTCGAGACAGCACGCTAGATGAGCCTTTACTCACTACTGTTCTGAACTTTCGATCTGTTATGCACATTTACAGCTCATGTGCCACCACCCGGCGCTCGAGAGGAAGGGCAGCAAGTGACAAACTTTGAGAGCCAGACTTCCGGGGGAAACACCGTGATGGGCACGACATGCCGAGATAGGCAGCTCCGATGTATGCAGCTTATCTTTCCCAACCCCCCTGCTGCCTGTCCCTGTCCCTGTCACGAGGCAACCGTTTTAAGTTGCACCACATATCTAGCCTCCGATCATAAGAAGAGCTTCTAACCTCCGACCTCTTTTCCCGACTTCTCTATTCTCCTTGTGTTGTGTGTTCGTCCTTTCCCAATCTCTCGCTACATACTTCGGACACTGTTGTGAGGCATAAAAGATGGGTGGTGCAGAGTCTGTTCCTAGAGAGAGGCCTCAGCAGAGGTCGTCGAGAATGGATCTGCTGGCGTTGCAGGAGAAGTATGATGCCTTCCGTATCACTGAAGACCGTGAGACCGACAGCATGATTGTCGAGCGAAATGTTCAGTATGAGAACAGAGGTAAGAAGCTTCCAACAGCTAGCACAGCTTCCATACGCGAGCATTCCAGTTAGAGCAAGCACTGACATGAGTACCAAACAGACCACATCGGCCAGCGTCAAACACACGTCTCTGGTGCCAAAACCGAGGCCCTTATCCATACTATCCTACAAGACCCCAAGAACCGTCTAGCTCTATCAGCGTTGTCAACCGCCAATCCAGCAACAGTGCTCGAGAAGCCTGCCGCCATCCTCAAAGACACACAGACCTTCAACGTCGCCATCCCATTCGAAGGAGCACCAATCACAAATCAACGCAGCTCAGGCAGATGTTGGATCTTCGCCGCCACAAACGTCTTCCGCGTCGCCATCATGAAGAAATACAATATCGAGAAGTTCGAGTTGAGTCAAGCTTACCTTTTCTTCTGGGATAAAGTTGAGAAGAGCAATTTCTTCCTCGAGAGTATTCTGGAGACGGCTGATCTGCCTGTTGATGATCGTCTTGTTGCTACTTTGATGAGTCAGCCTGTTAGTGATGGTGGGCAGTGGTCCATGATCCAGAATTTGGTCGAGAAGTATGGGTTGGTGCCGCAAACGCTCTACCCGGACTCGTTCAACGCTCAGAACTCGGCTGTGATGGATCGTCTGCTGACGACAAAGCTGAGAGAGGACGCACTGCGTCTGAGGGCACTCAAGAACTCTGGCTCTAGCACTGCAGCGACTTCTGTTGCAGCCGCAAAAGAACAGATGATGCAGGACATTGTTAGGATCTTGACGCTTACTCTGGGCCGCCCTCCCTCATCATACACCAAGTTTACCTGGGAGTTCTACGACAAAGCGCACAAGCTGAAGACAGTCAAGGTGTCACCCAAGGAGTTCGCAGGCGGCTTGAACGACACCCATGGACTGCGTGCACTTGGTGGAACTGATGTCCACAGCCTATTCAGTCTGGTCAATGACCCTCGCAACGAGTACAACAGGCTGCTGACCGTTGATTTCCTCACCAACGTTTCAGGCGGAGAGTACGTGACCTACGTGAACGTCGACAAGCCAGTCTGGAAGAAAGGTGCCATTGAGATGCTGAAGAAAGGCTGGCCTGTGTTCTTCGGGTCCGACGTCGGCAAGTTCAGTGACTCCAAGCTGGGTATCATGGATCCTGATCTCGTCGACTACGAACTCGGCTTCAACGTGAAGCTGGGTATGTCCAAGGCCGAAAGACTGACAGCCGGCGAGAGCGCTATGACCCATGCCATGGTACTGACAGCCGTGCACCTGTCGCCTTCCGGAGAGCCAATCCGCTGGCGTGTCGAAAACTCGTGGAGCGAAAATGCTGGTACCGACGGCTACTTCGTCATGTCTGACAAGTGGATGGACGAGGTAAGTTTGCTGCAAACCTGAGTTATTGGACATGTGTGTGCTGATCAAACGTTCCATTTCCAGTTCTGCTACCAAGTTGTTGTAGATCCCAGCTGTGTCAGCCAGGAAGTCAGAGATATACTCAAGCAAGACCCGAAGGTGCTACCACTGTGGGATCCTATGGGCGTCCTGGCATAGAGTAGACGACCCGAGTCGATCAGAACCGATCTACCCAGTTGGAACCATAAAGAGGGATGCTTTTTTCGAAACCGGCGCTCACCACTTGAAAGTAACGACTCGGTACGCTCCTGGTGTACAACACTCGCCTCTTGAACAGATCATGTCTTGTGCTGACCCTAGAGCAAGCTCTGCTGGGATGAAGAAGTTCGGTTCCAATGCAATATTTCGCGATCTGTTAGTTGCCTCTCGTCGATCATACACAGCAATATAGTATAAGAGATAACGAATTCATGTATTTTGTACTCAAAATGGTATGTTGAATACGATCGACGAGCTCCGAGTTCTTGGTTGACCAGTTCGGGTAATCGAGTAGAAAAGCTGTTACAACAGCTGTAACGCTGTACGGGAAAGGTGTTTCGTAGCCTTGGGCATGTGTAAGCACGGGACCTGCATGATGTTTGATCCTCTTGAACGGGTGCTTGCGGATGTTTGCTTCACTTATACAGCGGGATCCTGCAGAGTCCGGGAATTGTACAAAGCAGAAGACCTTCGGATGACAGCCGTTCGTATCACGTATCCCCCGTATTGCCCCAACAGCAAAGGCTCCAAGCCCACCACGTGGGAATACGAGGTGCTATCGTGTGGTCCAAACATTAAGCTTATACTGTTTATTGGATAGAAAAAAGCTGAAGAGACAACTTTTGCTCTGTTGTAGCAGGAATGCAAGCTGACCCTTACACTCTTGTTGGAAGAATGGACTCGTCAATTACAGACAGTCGCGTCCCGAGTCGGTCGATCACTCGAATCGATTCCTTGCGACTATCAATCATTGTCGACGCGTCCACGCAGCCAAACTCCGAAGTCACAAGGCTCTTCGAGACGAAGCCGAAATCGATAAGGTGGGTGTTGCAGTCGCGGCGTGACAGATGCTCGCAACAGGGTGACATCCGCTGATCGCTATTGGGAAGCCGTTTCAGGAGAACGAGCGAGTCGCAGTGAGAATAGAGTAGTCAGGACCCAGGGACCACGCGAGTCAAAGGTCGAGACGGTGAAGCTCGTTGTTGCTGTGAAATTGCATCGTCAACGGGTTACGAAAGAGGGACGACGCATGCTTTGACGGCCTTCGCTGCGGTCGATTATTGCACAAGGTTCTCCTGCACTCCTGCATGAAAGATGCACCCAGAGTTCTGTGGGGATCGTGGCGCTCCCGCACGGTGGATGGCTTGAAGCTTATCTCGCTGTTAACCGGAACCGAGACTGCTAACCTCCGTTCATGGGAAAAATAAAGCGTCTTGAAAGTAGCAAGCATGATCGCATCCAGCCACCTTGAGCTTGAAGGTGTATGATGGTTTGAGCGGGCGAGTTTCCACGATCCCATGCAAACAAATTGGCATGAATAGCGATTGACATGTCTAGTTCTAGAAAAGTGTTGAATATGGGAAAATTGGCATGGATGCACACTCGCCTCTTGCCAAGAAGCTATGTTCTTGTGCCGGCCGCGCAACAGATCCGCGTCACAATTGTGAAACGGTTTCGCAGTGATTACCTGGCACGGCCAAGAGTCATGGATGTTCAAACAACGACATGGCGTTCAACGTCGAAAGAGGCACTAGAAGTGGGGATGTGGGCTTCTCCTGACCTCCAAAGGGGGCCCTAGGCGGATTGAGTGCAGCCCTTGATAAACACTGCACTGCCCACGCAACCAAGGCGGCTAAGTGAAATACCTACGCCATTGCACCTTCCTTTCCGCAGCCACTTCTTGCTTGCCAATCTTGCCTTGTCTCTCCCCACTCCCGTTCCATTACGACGCTTAGCCGGCCAGTCTTTCTTTCAAAACATTGAGCTTGCCCTGTTGAAAGTCCCTCCCGTCCTTTTCTTCATCCAAACATACCGACATAATACGCCTGTCCATTCGCACCTCCTTCAATCGACCATATCTTAATACCCACACCACCGCTACAATGGCTTACGCAAACCTACCTTACACACCCAAGCCCATTACGGACATCTTCACGGCCGACACCGACATTGATCGCAGAAAGTGCGAGCGTGTCGTCCCCATGCGGGTTCTCGCTCTTGGTCTTGGACGTACTGGAACTGCCTGTAAGTCACTCAACATTCGCTCTCATCGAGCCAGCTCCTGACATGCAATCTCAGCTCTCCGCACCGCCCTCAAGGAGCTCGGCTTCGACGACTGCTACCACATGATGTCCGCCTCGGTCGAGAACCCCCCTGACTGCTTGATGTGGCAGGACGCCTTTGCCGCGAAATACGATGGCGTTGGCAAATTTGGTCGCGAGGAGTGGGACAAACTCCTTGGACATTGCCAAGCCGTCTGCGATTGGCCTGCCGTTGCGTTCGCCAAGGAGCTTATCGAGGCCTACCCCGAGGCCAAGGTTCTCGTCACCACTCGCAACGTCGACACATGGCACGCCTCTACCTTGAAGACTGTTGACTGGCGCGCAAACGACCCGGAGCTCAAGATGGTCTCGAGATTCGACTGGGGATCCGGCCTCTACCAACCCATGTTGCGCAAGTTCTGGGACGTCTTCTTTGGTGGTGACTTTGAAAAGAATGGAAAGCAGAGATACATCGACTACTACGAGGAGATCAGATCTCTCGTTCCCAAGGAGAACCTTCTCGAGTACAGAATGGGTGAGGGTTGGGAGCCCCTTTGCGACTTCCTCGAAGTACCTGTCCCCGAGGGCAAGAAGTTCCCTCACACCAACGACACCGATGGTTTCGTCGACCGCTGCCGTGCCCGCAACCGCGCTCAGATGATGAACGTTGCTTTCCGTGCTCTGGTCGTTGGCGGTAGTGTCGCTGCCACAGCATTCAGTGCTGCCATGACCATTCGTCGCTTTGTCGGCTCAAGAGGATCTCTTCTGGCCTAAGCACTTTCATCTTTCATTTTCTTGTTCTCTACAGTCGATTTTATGGTTGCAATGAGCGTTCTGGGAGCATTAACAAAAGGTGGCGTTTTCGGCCGGCATGGCTCGAGGTTCTGATTCGATTCTATGGAGCAAGGTTTCCTTTCGATGGCACTTTTTGGAGAGTGTACTTGGGCATATGGGGTTTACCATAGAAGCATTATTGTTGTTCTGGGTCCGCTTTGACTTCATCGGTCAGGCAGGTGTACAAATTTCTACCTTTCAAATCAAAATCATCAACAATACTCAAGTTGTTCGCATTCGCAATCATCCAGCCACCCGGCATCATAGTCGCTCAATCTCGAAAGATCCCGCAGTACAGTAGCTTGTCTCAAAGTCGAATTGTGATCGCGCCCAACCACTGGTCCCGACTCAGAAAATAATTATCCGAGATACACAATCTTTCCAGCCTCCTTCGTCATCGATGTGCACACGACACACAGCTTTGCCAACCACCAGAGATATAATCTTGCATCGGACTCCGAAGGGAGTAAAGCCGGTTCCCTGGTCACCAGTACTATGAACAGGGAATAGTTACACGGCTGGTAACTAACCTCATGGCCCGCCAGACATGCAGCAAGGAGTTGTCATCAACAACAACAGCGGTGGAGCGGAGCTCCGCTGTGCTTCCAAGCCGTGTGAAGCAAGCAATCTACAGACAATCTAATCGATCGCCATGGAATTGTTTTGGTTGAGAGCACGAGCGTTTTACATTTTCCAATTCCCTGCCTCTGCCATCAGTGGCGCCTTTCTTGTTGACAGAAGAGTAAAATCTCTTCTCGTCTGGTTCGCAGAACAGACTTGACACAGCGGGTGGCTTTGTGTCCTCAGGACGAAACTGCGGCAGGGCTTAGCGAAAAGTATGCATTACTCGTAGATGATGTGGCGCTGGCGCGAGGAGCAAGTCCCGAGAGAAGGGGGAATTTCCACTCGGGTAGTCAGAACATGTTTGCCGAAGCCGGAGGAAGCTGCTTGACAGGAGGCGTCATGATTCAGGTTTGCTGATCTTGCTTCACAGTTTGATGCTCTTTCGCTAGTTTGGCCATGTTGTACAACGGTCAAAGCAGTTGTATTACCATTCCAGCGAGTCCGTTCCAACGATCCCACGACTCTTTGCCGTGCAACGGTGTGTCTACGTATGTTGGTGAGAAATACTGAAACTCCTTCGTTAAAGAATCGATCTTGCAAGCCCTGGAAAGATAGTGCCAAGACGTGTTTGAGTCTCCTGCCGCGTGGAGGGATGGAGAAGTAGAGCCCTAAAACAGCAGCAACAACAAAGACCAATCTCATCACCAGATCATCTACTGTTATTCTATTCGAAATCATGCAATGCAAGAGGCGGCCAAAGCGGTCAGTGGTCTTGCAGAGGACCATACAAGTGGCGTTCGACCCTGCGCGGCAAGTCGAGCGCTTGACAGAATTTCTGTGAGGTTCAAACATTCTCCACGTCGAATCACAATTGCTGGACCGACTGCCGCACCACTGCATGCTGGGACCCACGATCTCTTCTTCCGCCATGCATCCATGCTCTGCCCCTAGCTGGACCGTGTGTGCATCTTTACTTCCTTGCGGGTCCCTTGGCAATTGTACCTCTTGGATCCCGTGTAGATAGACCATCGCTGCCCCAGACCGGACGCCGTTGCATTGAACGTCGTCTCCCTATCCCTTTTGCTTAACGGCTTCTCGCGCTTACTCTTGATTACAATAATTGTCCGAGTACCCCTCTGTTTTTGCAGCATTTTATCATCCAACTGCTTTTCGTTCCTTGAACAGATTACCAAACGGCCTGTGGCCGTTCGCAAAACCACCTAATTCTCACCATCTTCACAAACATGCTTTCATTGCGAATTCTATCTTCAGCACTGCTGCTGGCAGGATCAGCATTCGCAGGTCTGGACAATGAGACCAGTCCCACACATGTCTTCAGATCGGTAAGTGGAATCGCATGACGTAGAGGCACGCGACTCTGTCGTAGTCTTACAACACAACTATCACTAGCAGGCCACTGATTAGTATTTGCAAACAGAGGCCAGACTTGCATGCACCCATGCTTGAGATGACCCTTTTAAGGCCGGAGCTGGTCGCGCCAGGATACATAATGCTCGCACCATACCGAAACGTGGATCCGGGACCGTATATTTACGACAACTGGGGACAACTAGTCTGGTCCGGCGCTGGTTCGAGCGGACCCAAGACTGCCCACGCACCGCATACCTGCGACTACAAGGGAGAAGAACATCTTTGCTACTTCCAAGGAGAACAACACCAAGGCTTCGCTCGAGGTCATGGAGTCATCATGGACAAACACTATCGCATCGTCAAGACAGTCGAAAGCTCTGGAGCAGGCGCATCGAGCGACATGCACGAATTCAGATTGACACCATACTCGAATGGTACCACCGCTCTCATGACTGTCTACCAACCGAGACAATACGACTTGACGACCAACCCGAAGTTTCAAATCCAGAATGGCATGGGTTGGATCGTTGAGGGTGTCTTCCAAGAGATTGAGATCGATACTGGCAGAGTGGTGTTTGAGTGGAGAAGTACGGATCATCTCGATCCCAGCTTGACCTACACATTTCCTGGAAGAACAGACACGTCAGGAAATGGTCTGACCGAAAAGACTCCTTGGGATTATTTCCACATCAACTCTATCGACAAGAATCAGGACGGCGACTACCTGATCTCGGCCAGACACATGGCTGCAATTTACAAACTGTCCGGTGTAGACGGATCAATCATGTGGGAGATGGGTGGTGCAAACCCAACTTTCCACCAGACCAATTTCAACTTCTCTTCTCAGCATCACGCTCGCTGGGTCAGTGAGAATGAGACCCACACAATCTTGACCTTCTACGACAACGCCAGCAATGGCTTCAACAGAACAGACAAATTTTCTCACGGTTATGTCGTATCAATCGACCACATTGCAAACACTGCAACTATGATCAAGGAATATGGCGCTCCTGAATCCTCTGGTGGCATGCTTTCCGGATCTCAGGGTAACATGCAGATCCTTCCCAATGGCAACGTCCATCTTGGTTGGGGCGAGCACCCTTACTTCAGCGAGCACACAGCAGATGGATCGGCTGTCATGTACGCAAAGGTCGCATATCGCGCAAGTAACGTCATGATTTACCGCTCGCACAAGTTTCCCTGGGTCGGTCAGCCATTGACCAAGCCTGCTCTCTGGACATATTCCAAGACTAACGATGAGAAATCTGGCATGGTCTTTTATGTATCCTGGAATGGTGCGACCGAAATCGCATCTTGGAACTTCTATGCCAGTGCGAACAGAAGCGGACCTTTCAACTTGGTTGGAAACACCAAGAAGACTGGATTCGAGACGACCATGCGCTACAATAATGTTACGACTTGGGGCTTCGCCGAGGCTCTGGACAAGGACGGAAATGCTCTCGAGCGCAGTGTCATCCAGAAGACCTTTGTACCAAGCGTCACACTTCGCGATTTCTGTGATGAGTGGGCTTGCGGAAAGGCCGAGCCAATTCGTGATGAGGACGCTCACTACGATCCCTACAGCCAAGTCAAGGCTGAGTACCTGAGCAACAACCGCGGTTTCAACACAAGCGCATACTATGCCGAGCTGCCTGAGACTGCCGCAGAGCATGAAGCTGCAGAGACAGAGATCAAGGCACAACACCAGCGAGCTGTCAAGGCTAGAATGTTGGTCGGTGTTCTTGGTGTCACCGCTGGTATCGGATTCGCAATTTTCGTCCTAATCCTTGCCCGCAAGCAAATATCAGGCGCCATGCCCATCTCTTTCGTCAGGAGAGTCTCTGATGTCAGAGATGCCATCAGCGCAAAGCTTCTGGGCAAAAAGTACATTCAGGTCGATGAAGAAGAGAAGTTCTCTGATCGATCATAAATTCTCCTCATTTCTTATGTCCTGTCTTTTTATCTTTCCTTTTCTCATTTCCTGTCATATATCCAAAGCGAGCATTGGGTGGAGTTTTTTGGGATGGACGAAAATTGCAATTTTCGAACCATATGCTTTTTTCACAGACATTGCTCAGCGAGTTCTGAGATCTGTATATACCATGATACCAAGAGTGCTCTCTTTGTGAGAGGCTCATCTGACCAAGTCAGTCAGCAATATAAAAAGACAACGATCTACATACCAAATCAATTATTGTACCCTCCACGTCTACTTTGTTACACATATTCTGAAACCTCAAACCCTGAAGTCCTGAAACCTGAACCATGACTTTTAACCCCGATAGCTACAAGGTCACGAATCATGATCGACCTTTTGGAGTGGCCCCTGAAAGTCCTGTCGACGGCATCGGATGGAGCTCGCACACATGCTGTATGCAGAGGAAATGGAAGAGAGCGATGCCGATTATGCCGCTGGCCGGCGCGGCGCGGCGGTTGGCCGGGACAGGTAGATATCAGATAGGGAGGAGTTTGTTTGGCTTTACCGGTGGAGGGCACATGCATCGTGGCTGAGTCCAACATCACACAAGGCGACAACGCCTACGGTTCAACAAAGGCGTGTCGGCACACGTTTTTCAGCGGGTAGCGGAGCACTGGCAGCGGAAATTCCCTACAAAGGCGGCGCGGCGGTTGGGTTCGGCGTGGGAATAGCAGCGGTGGTGGCTTCCTCCAAGCTTGCGAATGAGCAAACGTCTCGTCGGCAAAGCGCATTGAAACAGAGGCATGAGTGGTACGAGTACTACCGAGCCTCAGTGATGAATCGATTATATAGCATCGTACACGTATTGGAGGAGGGCGTGGCGTATGGAAGTTTCAGGCGACTGCCCCTTCTAGCGAGCTTCTATTGTCCCTCAGGACTCAGAAGACTCGATAAGCATGAAATTGGGAGAGGTGTTTCGAGGAGGGGCAGCGGAAGTAGGGCTTCTTGAGCGGACATGGGGCGGTGCTTTGTGTAGCCCCACTTCTGATATCCACGAGCTTGACACGGCGAGCAACAGTCGTCTGCAGATGCGCGGCCGAAAAGGCTTGGCGAGGTGGAAGAAAGATGAACAGGTTACAGATCAAAATGTATCAAGGTCGTTCTTGGCCGGACTGGAAGTTTGAAGATCATTTCTGACATTTGTTTCTCTTGTATACTTCAATTCTACCACCAGTCCGTATCCCTAACTGCCATCTATTGGAAGCACGAGGAATACGAGAAAGTGAAGCTCGTGTTCTCGGCACGTCATAAGCGGCGTCACTAGAAATCGTGGGACAAGAAAGTCGAAGCAGCATTGCGTGTTTGCTATGCACCGGCATCAGTACAAGTCTGGCCATCTTCGCCAACGATCAGGTCACCAGAATGCCGAACCAGGACGACCCGAGCGCGACGGCACAGGCTCGCCATTCGGATCACCCTACATAAGGGAAGAGGAGGAGAGTTACTTTGAGCGCCAAATACCACAACAGGATGGGCCAAGCAGCGGCCCCACGACACCACGCACCCTCGAGGCCGGCAGTGGCCTCACTCCTGGTCCCGTCGTGTCGCCCAGTCCCGGCACACCGTCCAAGCCAGCAATGCCGACGCGGTCATCATCGTTGAAACCATACCAACTGAAGACGGATGTCGTGCGGGCGGCCCAACTGCCAGAAGGCGCGACAACACCGCTGGATAACCTTCCTACGCCAGGACTGGTGACATATCCCCCGGAACCTGCGACATGGAGGAACATGCCCAACAAAGGCCAACTCGCGCTATTGGCAGCGAGTCGATTCGTCGACTTCTTCCAGATGGCAGCACTACAAACGTACATGGTACATCAGCTCAAGAGCTTCGATCGCAGCCAGCCAGACTCTGTCATATCGCATCAGGCCGGTATGTTACAAGGCAGTTTCACAGCGGCGCAAATCATCACGAGTATCCTCTGGGGTCGCGCAGCAGATCAGCCAGGAGTAGGCAGGAAACTGGTACTCAACATTGGAATGATTGGTACTGCAATTGGTTGCATTGGCGTAGGCTTCAGTACCAGCTTCCACCAGGCTGTTGTCTGGAGAGTGCTGAGTGGAGCCATCAACGGCACTGTGGGAGCGGCTAGAACAATGGTTGCTGAATGTACAGACAAGCGATGGCATCCTCGTGCCTTCCTACTCCTCCCTGCTGCTTTCAATGTCGCCAATGTCTTGGGTCCGAGTAAGTCGCAAGCTCGCCAATCGTAGACTTCTCGAATGCTAATCTCTGTAACAATAGTCCTTAGCGGTCTTCTCGCCGATCCCTTTATTTCGTATCCCCATTTGTTCGGTCCCAACTCGACCTTCGGTGGTGCAGAAGGCATCGCCTGGATGAAGAATCATCCTTACGCCGCCCCCAACCTCCTTTGCAGTCTGCTACTCGTAATCGAAGCCCTACTCTGCACCTTCTTCCTCGACGAAACACTGAAAGGCTTCACCGAAGTCGATGTCGCCGCCTTCAACCCCGTAACCATCGCAAAAGGCATCTGGAGCCGTCTCACTGAAGCAAAGAACAAAGGATACAAGTTGGTTGGCGAGACTGCCATGGCAAGGAGAGGTCTCTTGTCTGGACGCGAGGAAGGAAGCATCGAACTCGATCGCATTGCTGATGCAAACGAGCTTCGCGAAAGACAAGACTCCCATGCTACTCGCCCTATGCAACGTTTGCCTTTCCGTCGTGTTTGGACACCGAATGTTTGCTGGACTCTGCTCTCCATTGCCATCTTCGACTTCCACATGGGCGCTTTCTCAACTCTCTGGATCCTCTTCCTCTCCACTTCTCGCGAGTTCGTGCCTGGAAACAGCACAGACGGCAAGCCACAAAAGCAAGAACGTGGTGCCTTCAAATTTGGAGGTGGTCTTGCCTTCCCACCCCCTACAATCGGTCTCGCCATGGCCATCATCGGCTTTGTAGGCATCATCCTACAGTTCGTCCTATACCCACGCGCCAACGCACGCTTTGGCCTCATGCGCTGTTTCCGCTCTTCACTCTTCCTCTTTCCCCTAGCATATTTCCTGGCACCATATATCGCACTCATGCCCTCGGATTCTGCATCCCCAGCCCCAGCATCAGGATTCTGGATCTGGCTCGGTATCGGCGGTGTAGTATTACTCCAAGTTGCCGCCCGCACATTCGCCCTCCCTGCCTCTATCTTACTGCTCAACAACAGCTCTCCTCATCCTTCTGTCCTCGCCACAATCCATGGTTTAGGTCAAGCTGATTCTGCGGCGTTCAGAACCATCGGACCTATTCTTTCTGCCTCTTGGTACGGCACTTGGCTTGAACGAGGAGTGGTCGGAATGGCGTGGTGGTATGTCGCTGCCATTTCCGCTCTGGGCACCGCAGCGAGCTTCAAAGTCAGGAATGGAAATGGGCATGAGATTTTATTGCCGGGAGAAGAGGAGAGGGCTGATGAGCAAGGACAGGTTTCTAGAGGTCCTGCTGCTGCTGAATCGACGAGGAAGTAATTTTCTTGAGTCGGTGCAAGGTGGTTCTTTTTGGACATCTTGGGAGCGAAGGGGGAGATTGTCGATATTAGCGGTTGTATAGAAAAGTGTTTGTTTAGCCTTATCATTAATACATACCCACCTGTCTCCATCTCTTCTCTGCTACTACACTTTGCAGTCGCTGCCTTTCATCAATCACTGCAAAGCCACCACCCGTTTGCCCATGCGAGAAGGTCACGGCAGGTAGGATCGGTGACCTAAACAGTAGATCATAGTCACGAACTACGAATACATTTACAGTCGATGCAACTTCTCCCAAGCCGGTCAACGCTGTCGCGCAGATTGGCAGGCAGGCAGCGTGCAGCGACATCGAAGAAAGGGGTAGGTCTACGGGTACAAGGGTGTTGGAAAGCAAGGGATTAGTAGTCTTGTAGAAGTCACATCTATGCAACATACCGCGGGTGTACCAGAATCTCATGAATAGGTAAAAAGGCTCGCGGTGCAAAGTTGACGCTGTGTAGCGGGTAGTAGTGACATCAAAGGCAGCAGCGTCTCTATGAGTGCAAGAGCCACGAAAGCGATCGTCGGCGACCCGCAGAGCAATCATTATAACAAAGCAGAGATCTCCGACGGCGGTAGAGTAGCACGATTTCCATTAACCGCTTTGCAGCGACAGGTATAGGTCAAGTGGACCGACCTTCGCGGACGCGAGTATGGGACAAAGTTTTCAGTGATGAGACAATCGGACGACACTTCTACTGACAGCACCCAAAAATCTCCCCTATCCACCCTACTCCCACCACCTTCGTTCACATAAGTGTATCTCTGCCTGCTTTCCGAAAGCATTAATGCCCCCCTCATCGCCCTCGCGGATAGGTCGTCTTGGGGAGTTGGTATGTCGACCTGTGTCTCGAAGTCTCCGTACCTCTCGCTATTGCCCCCGTCGTTGATAGACCGCGCTAGTTGTATCTTCTTGTTTCAACATTCTCGGCTCCAAGCCGCTGAGGGGGCTGGATGTGCTGTGATAGGAGGTTCTCAGCGCTACACCAGAATATGTAAGAAGTTGGAGAGGAGTGAGTATGATGTCTGATCGTACCTTCCTTGATGTTTTTTTTTTCTTTTCTGATGAGTGTGGTCTTTGAGATTCTTCCTCTCTTCTCAAGACATTCCTATCGAAACAGGCTAGGCGTGACCTCACTGAGAGAGGGGGTGGGTGATATGGCTGTCTGCGATCGTTTATGAATAGATGTTGACTGTCGCTTGTCGACGCTAAGGGATTCGATGAACTTGCTCATGAGGATCCCTTTGTTTGCTGTCCCAACTCTTTGATGTCAAAATCGACCTCTTTGTCGACAGGTGTTGCTTTGATCTCGATTATCATTTTCCCTTTGACCAAGCGTCTTCTTTGTACCCAGACAAGAACCATATAGCCCGAACATCGCCCATGCCTTGCAACACCCCACTCAGCACCCCTCCAAATCCACCAACGTAACAAACAACACTAACAATGTCCGAACCAGGCTTCTGCACAAACTGCGACGACTACTCCGAAGACCCCCTGATCCCTCTTCCCTGCCGCTGCCTCTGGTGCTCAACTTGCATAACCACCTCTTTCACCCTCGCCAGAGCAGAAGAACATTATCCACCCCGTTGTTGCTCAAAGCTCAATTTTACTAACCTCAAGAAGCACCTCTCTGCTGATCTGATCGCAGACCTCGAGACCAAATTCACAGTCTACGAGACCCCTGGCCACCTCCGCGTCTTCTGCGCTCACAAGAATTGTCTAAAATTCATTCCTATCAGTGGAGTAAATGGCGATATCGCAACATGCCCTTCCTGCTCCCAGAAGACTTGCAAAAAATGCAAGGATGTCTATCATGAGGGCGAGTGTGGCGTAGATCAAAATCTGCAAAAGACGCTGGAGCTTTGTAAAGATGAGAACTACAAGCAGTGCAAGAGTTGTGGTGAGATGGTTGAGAGAAATGGAGGTCAAGGTAGGAGTGAAGGATGTCCGCACATGAAATGCCCTTGTGGGTATAAATTCTGCGCTCATTGTGGTGGAAATGAGTGGCATTGGAATAAGTGCCTGGAGAAGAAGTAGATTCGCACGCTGTCGAAAGCCTAGAAGGCGTGAAGATAGAGACGTGACGGTGAGTATGGTATGCGTATTTCGCGTTAGAGATACTTATCTCACTTCTGATCTCTGGCTACTATGATGACGCGTAGAGATTAGTCAAGTGTTCAAGGCGGCGACGTGACGTGCTGAGCGTGTCAAGTCACGCGTACGACAACCAGTGCAAAAGAAAAGCCTAGAGCAGAGCTCGAACCGCGACTCTGTGGTATAAAATACATCGCGTCTTCAAAGCTTACCTGTCCCCCTTTCAAAAGTGATATACCGCAATAACACCAACAACACCACCACCAAGTGATACCCCCGATATCTAGGAGACACCCTGGGCAAAAATCTCACCGATGCTCTCCAATAATAGGAAGCACCTCGGGCAAAAAAACCCACTCGGGAACACTTTCCTTCCTCTGTTCCTCAAACATCAGGCAGTGTAATTCTTCAAGCGACGCTGACACGTGGTCATGATCGTGGGCGTTCCGAGTTTCAAACAGTAATACCACTCGGCCACCGCACCGGAGGTGCGACTTGGATGAAGGACAAATTAGCAAGGCCGTATATAAAGGTAGAGATAATCATATCGTCATGTGTCTCCTTTCACTCGCACTCTTCTCTCCAGTGATGTCCTTGTTTTGATTTCTTTCTTCGATAGTGTTGATTTACTTTCTGTTCATCCCAGATGGCAGATCCCAAGTCTCCAGTCATGTTGCCAGTGTTCTTGTTGTGTGTGCCTTCTGGGTCTTACTTCTTTATACCACTTGGCGTCCGGCTCCATGGTCGATTCTGGTAATTTTCCATCATCCTCGCCTTGCTTTCCTCTTTTTGTATCGTTCCAAGTGATGCTGACGATAGATTCTCTCGTATGTTCTGGATCCTGGATAGGCACGATGCGCAACCCACGATCGAAAAATGGACAGTAATCAGTTGTCTTCCTTGAATCTACGCAACCATCAGCAAAAGATTCAGACACGCTTCCCTCTGCTCACATACCCATGACCGCAAGCAGGGCACTTGTAGAAGATAGTGCTACCCTCATCTGCGCCTCTTGTCTGGACGTCGCGGAACTTCAACTTGTCGTGATCGCACTTGGGGCATGCCTTTGAGGTCGTAGCCCAGGTGTCGCGATCTTCGGCGGTCAAGATCTGTACGTTGGAGCGCTTGTCACGGAGGCGGGATGGGAACGCTGTAGGCTTGCTAACGGTTTTCTGAGAGGCTGGCCAATTGTCTGTTCACATCAGCGTGCCGCTTTCTTCATCTGCTCAAGCAGGAACATACTGCTGTTCTGCTTGAAGCAAATATCGCACTTGATCAAGAGCTGTTCCGGCGGGTGTCTATCCAGAAGACTGCCGCAGTCTTCACAAAAGAGGAGGGTTCCTACGAGCGCCATTGTGGAACGAGCGTAATACTGAAACGATGTTGATGCAAGACGAAGGTAGAGGACTGTCGCAGCGGCGCTGTAGTGATATGGTGCCGCTCATTGTTACACAAGGCGTCTGCTCGGCGCTTGCAGTCACTATCACTTGTCAGTGCTACAGAGATTTCACCCTGCACTCCATGTGCTAGACACGTGGTGAAAATCCTTCCTCTGATCTTTGGGGGCCATCTGGTTGACGAATCGATATTCTCTTGGTAGAAGTCACTGCGTACACTCAGTCAGAGCATAAGATGGCGAGAGGTTCACGAATCCAACGGCGATGATCAACCGGATCCACGGTGTTCCAGGAGCTGTCTTTTTCTGGTCTGTCTAGAGCCTGCAAACGACTACGCCAGTCCTGGAGTGATCTCAGCCATCGCAAAGGCTGATCTTCGAGACCAGGGGTGAATCAATACTGATACACGTCTGTGTTCCGAAGAGCTTGATGTGCGTGGAGGTAGAGTCTGCCCGAAAACGAAGCAGTGTCCGGTATAGAGGGTCACTGAACACAGTGGGTTAGGCGGCACTGGCTTCGAGAGCCGTGTACTGTTGCTTGGACCTTGTTCTCCTCGTTGGTCACGATGGGGTGCCACGACGGCTATTGCCTGAATCGGGATCCTGGCACATTGATGGACAACTAGTTGTGTGTACTGATGGAGTAGGATGGGTTTTCGATCAGAAGAGACATGTGTAGAAGTCCAGTCATGCCGACAGATGACTGTAGTAACCAGTCTTGCCGTGGTCAAAGTACAAAGAGTAAAAAGCTATTGAAGCCGCAAGGAATGTCATTGTCGCACGTTGTTGAAAACTGCCGTCTATTGTTCAAGCGTTTGAGGCTGCCTGCAAACCCGCGAGGTCCAGAGTCGAAGCTTGGCACAACCAAAATACATCGCACACCTCAAAAAACACAAAAAGACAATCTTGCATGGCTCGCGCCTGCTAAATTCATGAACCTGACCCGACTTGAACGGATGACCTTGTGGAATTACCTAATTGAGACTGGAATCACACGCGCTACCGCTGCGCCACAGGTCCATTGAGAGAAGAATCCGAGAAGATGAATTATTCAAGTCTGAGCTGCAGATACTGAAGTCCGTGCGTGGATGGAGTCCGTGCGCAAATGTCTGGCTTTCCACGCCTTGGCGTCACTCAACTCCGCGTCTAGCTTGAAGAGCCGAGCCCTCTTTGCTTTCCGTCTCCAGACAGTCCATAAAATGGAAGATAGTCACGGCAATGTAGAGAATTTGACCTGGGCTACGATATGAAAAGTTCTACAGACTCCCCCTACTAAGCAAGTTCTGATTTCTATGGTCTCATCTTCACGGCTTCCTGACCCAAGGACTGACAACCATACCATGTCTACCTTCACCGATACTCCACTACCCGAAAGTGTATGTTTTCCGTCTGCTTCAACTGCAGTCTCTTGGATTCCGCTGCTCGGCTGTACCGAGCAACCTTGAGATGAACTTATCCTTGTTCTTCCCTCCATCTTCATCTTAGCACAGTGCAGCTCGCCATCGTAAAAGAATGACCAAGATACCATCGTCCTACTCCTCATCTCGCGACCTCTCTGCTTATCTACACCTTTTTCGACGGGAAGTGGTCTACAATCAAATTCATCAGTACAGTGGCATCAGCAGGATATGACACATACGATTTAGGATTGCGATGTTTGTGGGTGGATCATTCGGCTCAGCAACATGAACAACACGAATAACATCTCCATCGGTGATATCGGCCTACACAAGTCAATTTCAAACCCTCCGACACATTCTCTACTTTTGCGCTTACTGTCTCTGGCGTATCGCTCGAATGCAGCCATTTCTTTCCCCAATGATGCCACCACATCTCACCCCTCGGCTGAATCTGTCCAAGCTGCTGGCGAGAGCGCAAAACGACCAAATTGACGTCCCAGCTACCTCCGCTGGCGTCTGCGGGGTGTACTTTCAGGACTACTAGCTGAGGTCCGAGTTCGTGATTTGGTTCTGATTCAAACATCTGGGGAACCTCGAAGGCCAGGCGCTTGGGGTGATCATCTTGTTTGGCGGATACATCTCCAGTCTGGGTGTTCTTCTCGTTCTCGATCATGGAAGGAGGTTCAAACACTGCATTTGATGGAGCTTTGATGGAACGTGGAGGTCTGTTCTCCTTGGATGAACTCGACGAGTCGCGTGAAGATTCGGACATGCTCATGCTTGTGTCGGTCAACTCATCAGGGCGGGAGAGGAGATGCTCTTCAGATGTATCTGGCATCTGTTCACGAGATCTGTCCATGGATTCTTCAGAGGACGATGAATCGATGTCCATCGCGTATTTGATGAGCGATCCGAGAAACTCATGGCTGCAGAGAAGATTATATAGCTTCATCTGTTTGCTTGCACCAGAAAGCCATCATGCAGAAGATCCTTCTGGCGGAAACCATAGCATAAAGACAAATCTAGCAAGTTCTGTATCAGTGCATCGCTTTCTTCAAATTCTAGATTGGGCACAACGATCATGTTGATTGATGTCTCAATGGATGGACGCGATCTGTGTATACACTTGTGCTTTTCCACGGCTAAGACACAAAAGATCTGCCTGTGCTCCCAAACAAGGAATTAGGAGAAAGCTTTTCTCAAGCATTCCATCTGCTGTACTGTCAAATCAATTGACACAGCAACCAAATCCCCCATTCATGTTCTCATGTCTTTCGTAATCCATCTCCTTCCCATTACCTCTTCCTCCTAAAAAGTCTCCATCGACATCAAGCGATCCCAGCACTTCTCAACGCCCTTTCCAACCTCTGAATCTCCTGCACACGATCACCATTTTCCGTGTCGAGACTGTCGACTTCATGACCATCGATATCTTCATCTTCGTCATCGTCATCATGTATACGGTTTGCTTGTTCTTCCTCCCAAGCCCTGACTCGCATCTGTTGTTGATACCGCACAGCTCTTTGACGATGACGACGTCTTCTGCGGTGAAAGATGTGCTGTGTTTGAAAATCAGTAACACAAACAAAACGAACAGAGCAGCAGATGAAGAAAGGAAGGAAGTAAAAGAGATACTCACACAACATCCATGCCGATGCACACACAGCATAAACATGACGAAGAAGATCAGAAACGATATCAGGACGTAAGCCTCCAGCACAGCTGTGACGGGTGTAGTATATTGTCCCATATACCTGCTTGCCCCAAAAATACACCCATCAGTATTTTCATCTCCTCTCACGTGCGATGCTCCGAGTAAACAACTTACCAAGGCAATTTTTCGTGATTGCTGATAAAAGTGGAGTTGTTGAAGGTGGTCGAATTGTTGTCGTTGGTAAAGTTGACATATGAGGCATTTGTTTCAAAGCTAACATTGCGTCCTTCGCCGGTGGAGGGGTTCGTGATGATGTGCATGGCGTTCGTTGTTGGGATGGTGAAGGTATAAGCGGATTTTAGGTAAGAGATCTGCAAGGGGTAAGACTGCGGCGTTGGTGATACGGATTTGGAAGGATGGAAAGAGGCATTTATGTACCATGTTTCTTCTCGTGGTCATACAATATCAAGGCGAGCACAATTGTGTCGCGCAACACACATACGCAAGACTGAGTATTGTGTGGAGTTGAGAGAATAGCAGTTGAGATTGGACTTTGGTTTGTTCTCGCAGGACACTCACAATGCGAAAAGTCCAGTATTCTTCCATCATCGTTATCATTGTTCCTTGTTATTACAATCGCTTCCTTTGCACTCCCCATTAATTCACATGCGCGCGTTGATTTTATGCTTTGTCCCAAGGAAGAGAGAATGTGCCAACCCAGTCCTCGACCTCCTTTCTCAGCTGGACGACCTCGGTGATCTCCTCGCCTTCGCCGACATATTCTCGGAAGGCGTTCACACTGCCAGGGTTCTTACGACCAGCCTTCTCAGCTGCATCCTTTGCGACGCCGTCCAATCTGCGGGTAATCTCGACAGCGCGGTGAACGACATCAGCGACACGCTTGAAGTCCTCGGGCTGGAAACCACGAGTGGTCATGGCCGGGGTGCCCATACGAAGACCACCGGGCTTCATGGCTGACTTGTCACCAGGTACAGTGTTCTTGTTGGCAGCAACACCAACGAGCTCGAGAATACGCTCAACACGAGCACCATCAATGTTCTTGTCCTTGAGGTCGACCAGGACCAAGTGGTTGTCGGTACCGCCAGAGACGATTGTGTAGCCAAGACCGCCCTTGTCCTTTGTGTTTCCGAGACGAGATGCAAAGGCCTTTGCGTTGTCAAGAACTGTCTGTTGGTACTGCTTGAACTCGGATGACTGAGCCTGTTGCAAGGCGACAGCCAATGCGGTGATGGTGTGATTGTGAGGACCACCTTGATGGCCAGGGAAGACTGATGAGTTGATAGGGCCTTCGAGGTCGTACATGATCTCATTGCCCTTCTTGTCGGCGCTTCTCACACCCTTGCGGAAGAAGATCATGGCACCACGGGGACCGCGGAGAGACTTGTGTGTAGTGGTGGTGACAACGTCCGAGTAGTCGAAGGGCGAGGGGATGACGCCACCAGCGACGAGACCAGAGATGTGAGCCATGTCGGAAAGGAGGTATGAGCCAACGTTGTCGGCAACGACGCGGAACTTCTTGTAGTCAATCAGTCTGCTGTATGCCGATGTACCAGCGATGATGATCTTGGGACGGTAGAGCATAGCCAGCTCTTGCAGCTTGGTGTAGTCAATCAGGCCGGTCTTCTCGTCGAGTCTGTATGGGAGCGTCTCAAAGTACTTTGAGATGGCCGAGATCTTTTTGGTAGGTGTCTGGTAGCCGTGCGACAAGTGGCCGCCGTGGGGGAGGTCGAGACCCATGATACGGTCGTGAGCATTGAGGAGGGCCGAGTAGGCGTAGAGGTTGGCGGGTGATCCGGACAGGGCTGTAAGTTTTGTGAGCTGATGGCACCGAGACTGACTGTGTGGATGCAAGCGTACGCTGGACGTTGACGCCCCATTTCTCGGGGTCGAGACGGAACGCCTGGAGTGCTCTCTGCTGACAGAGTCTCTCGGCCTCGTCAATGTGCTCGTTTCCACCGTAGTATCTGGCTCCGGGGTAACCTTCCGAGTACTTGTCTGTTTCGGTCAGTCTAGGAGCATGATTGATATGACAGGAGGCTGCCCACTTTGCATGACACTGCCCAAGGCATCCAGTACTGCTTGCGATGTGAAGTTCTCGGAAGGAATCAGGTTGATAAAGTGCTTTTGCCTCCTCTTCTCCTAGTCGGGCATTAGTATCGCGTATATCGGCGGCGTTGGACGTGTCGGACCTTTTGAATGATGTTGTAGACGGTAGGATCGGCTTCCTCAAGGTCGGCCGAGAGCAGCTTGTATACAGGTCAGCCATGTCTTGTTGTTGGACGTGTCGTGGCGCGCTGATGGTCGTCTACCTTCTGCTGTCCCTCGATGGACAAAGCACGGCGTGCTTGCACTTGCAAGGGGCGGCATGTTTCAGCAATCGGCCTCCTACATGTGCGCGACGCACGCAACAGCGACGTCGTCCTCAAGGCTTGCATTGTGTGTTGGTTGACAAGAGCAACTGCCAAACTCTCGACTGTCGACTGTCGACATCACTCACGACTCACGACTCACCTCCGCCCATCATCCCACTCCCGCGACATCGACTTCTTTATCGAGTTAGCGCCCGGTGGCTCGTGCGCTCCTTCCCACGCAACGCCTATTTCAAGGGCACCTGCCTTGGATCCTCTTTCCCTCTTTACACAACTAAATCCAAGATGATGAGATGACTTATCTGGCAGACAATCTCACTCGTTTGGCTTCTGTCAGACGACGTGGGTGTTGCTGAGACGTCTGGGGTCCCAAACCACCATTTTTGCAGGCGATTTTCGTACTTCCTGATTGGAAGGTTGTGTTTCGTGTCAACTTCTCAACTCCTCGACGGCACTGTCTTCGATATCCTTATACAGAAATCACATCATCATTTTCAATCACTTCCAATTCCCATCTCAGGTTTTTACGTGAGGCTAGTGTTTATCTGAAAGCTTGGATCTTTTGTCTCGATTGGGCTATCTAGGCCTCTCGTCCTTTGTCGGTTTGCGCGTACCTGTCGAGCGCGTCATGCAACTGCCCAAACACACCACCATGCCAGCTTCTTAGTGCCTCCCACTCGGCCTGTGGAAGAGACTTGCTCGCCATACGCAGCCACCCGCCAATGATCAGGTCTGCATAACTAGCTTTGTTGCCCAGTATGAATGGTCCGCTCTTGTCCTTTTTCAAAAACATGGACAATCCCTCCAGATTCTTCTCAAAGGTAGACAGCACCTTCTCACGCTGCTCGCCCACGCATGCAAATGCGTCAAACGAAGGGACGCCGGCGCGCTTGACAAAGACTTGCTTGCCAGCTGGCTCCAAGAGCATGCCTTGTAACATGAGGATAACGTGAGCTGAGAACACTGCATCCACGTTCTTGTTGAATCGTGCATACTCCTCATAATCTCCTCTGCGCATTTCTGACAATGGAACTCCTGATGCTTGCTCCGTGAATTCATAGTCGAGTTTCTGTTCTGGGAACAACTCTCCAGAGCCAGAGTCGGGATATGTCTTCTGCAGGTACACAGCGATATCGAATGAATCGCCGACTGCCTCATCGGTGTTGGGATCTGTGATGATAGGTAGAGTGTAATAGTCACTGCCATCGCCAAATTTTCGGCATGCAGGAACCTTCACGCTTCGGCGGACCTTTTCCACGTCTGGCAGAGGCACCCAAATTGTGCTGTAAGGGACGCCCTTGAAGTTGAGAGCCAATCGCGACTTCCATGGATTGGGAGCGCAGTTTGTCGATTCTCGAGGTGCTTTGAACGCTATATCGTAGAAAAGGACAGGTTCGGCGGAAGTGGAAGACATCGTGATGTGAGCAGAGAGGTCGGTCTTGGGTACCGTGACTGTGATGCGAATGAGGTGAACTATGATATCTTTGAAGGCTCAAGAAGGGTGGAGTTCGAAGCTGGCGGTTGGGAGTTGAGAAAAATAGCTTCTAGGTAGAAGAAGGGATTGCGAGTACTTTATGTGCTACTCCAGAGCCCAGCTCAACTTCACGGTATACCAATTTGAGTCACCGTCGCTGGCGGCTGCGTCACACACGTCAAAGGATACGAATACGAGTGTACGAATACGATGTCTTCGATGAGGGCCTCACCATGTCAAAACACATAGGCGGCAACCGCAATAGGTACATTCCCGATATCTGATATGTTTCTCACCGATCATCCAAATCGCTGTTCATCTCTGACTCTACATACAATGATAAGTGTGTAAGTTGTTCTATATCTCTGCTGCGTCGTGCTCGTCCAATGGTCGAATTTGCATTGAGCCACGACGCAGAACAGCAGCACTGTTGCTGGTCAACGATCGTGTTGTAGGTAAGAACTCGAGGTGAACATGTTAGGAAGGTATTCCTGGCTAAGACATTACTCCTGGTAATATTCTGTAGGTATGCATACAAATACTGTCTAAAGTAGTCACGAAGTATTGCCAGTCCTGCGATCAATTTGATGGAGGCGGAACCGTCTCCGCCCTCAGTATCAGCATAAACAACGTCTGTAACAGTGTCGAAAATCCTTTGGATCTCGATCTGTCAAGCGCACCAGGACCATCGCGAATTCGGGTGCTCGCTTCAGATCGGATCAAGTCTTTCCCAGAGATCCGCAAGGGATCCTACTCCGTATGTACCGCATCAGCAAACCGTTCCGTTGTTGCTGCGCCGCCGTATGTGCCTTTCGCGTTCCGAATCCTGCGTTACCTCGAGTCATTTGCAAATTGGCGTGCCTCGCAAATCTTGAGACTTTGATGGCTGCGGCTACTTACGCCGCCCCCTGCCGTTCGCCAAACAATCAAAAATTAAAACCATCCCAAAAAAAAATCTCAAACGTTTGAGGGTCTGGAGTCATGTCCCTTCGCTAACTTTGAATGTCGTCAATGCTCTGTGGTTCGGCAGTTAGTTACGTCGTCGCAAGCTCCTATCTCAAACTCAGAGTTGTACACCAAAGTTCATCCGCTAGCACCTAGCTGTTTTCAGTATGCCCTACCGAGCATCAACGTTCCGAGCATGTCCTTTGACTCTATACAGCGAGGACCACACCCAATAAACACAAGCTTTCACTAGGTAATTTCCATCGCGGGGCTGACTTATACATGTGCATGGTGTTTGCCCGTGGGCGGAGTACGAGTCGCTTCTCTCGATCATCACATCGTTTCTGTTCTTCCCTTTAAAACAGCCCTGTGCCGCTTTCTTTTATTCTGTTCCGTTTACAGTCTCTTCCCTTGCAACATTTATCACCTACTGTCCCATACCGTTCCAAACAACCCCTTCATATTTCGGATACTCTGTGTCTTGATCAATACCAACAAACATTTGACACCCATACTGCAATTCTGCTACCAAACGATGGCTCCTGTCAGCAAAGCCCGGAAAGCACAAGCCAATGCAACCAAACCCTCATCACAAGACATCGATGCACATAAAAGCTCAGATATGACTGGATCCGACCTGGACTTGTATGTCGACGATAGGGATGTATATTCTCAGAACTCGTTGAAACGCAAGCGATCAACATCACCTCCATCCACTCCAACACTCTCGGCTGGAATGGACAGCGACTCTGCTTCGAGTTGCAGCTCTCTCGAACTCAGCCCAAGGCATCAATATCTACCACCTATGACTTTGACCATCGACGTCCCCCAAGGTCACCAAGGACCCTTGGTAGTAAACCTCGATATCAACTCCCTGCTGGCTCAGGCTCAATCTCAAATACGCCCACTTCCAACATGCCTCTCTCGTTCCCATTCGAGCGCCGACTCAGGTTACTCCAGTACTGCAAGCGTTACATCTGAGATCAGCAAGCCCGATACCACTTCGAAACGCAGTTTTCTGGATCTGCCTGCTGAGATACGCAACCAGATCTATCGCCTTGCATTTGTTTCAGAGGAGAAGCTGGACTTCGCATATCCTAACAACTTCAGCCGATCTTCAGCCCTCCTCCAGACTTGTCGTCAGGTTCATGAGGAAGGCCGCAGTATTCTGTACTCCGAGAACACCTTCTATTTTCAACGTCGCAAGAAGGAGCGTGCTGTTCGCTGGACCACTGACGTTTACGAGATTGGTTACAAGGACATTCGATTCTTCCTCAGGAGTATTGGCCTCGCCAACGTCGGTCTACTTCGTCATGTCATCGTGATGTTCGAGGATGCTCAGCCTTCTATGAATACCCACCTCAAGGATGCCGACGAACGCAGATTTACGAACGATAAGGATCTGATGGATACACTACGCATGCTGGGCGACCATGCTATGCTCAAGACTTTAGATCTGTGCTTCCAAGGGAGAAGAACTTTCTATAACCGGGACGAGTCTGAATTCATTGCACACCTTACTCGCATCAAGGCAGATCAGGTCAAATGCATCAACAACCCTGATACCCCCTTTTCCAACTGGAAAGGTCTCTCTAAAATCGGCTCAGCAGATGCAGGCCGCCTCATCCATGAGATGACACGACGAGTCACCATCTTCCGATGATTCAAACTTGAGGTGGGACCGAGCAATAAATTATTCGTCGGATCTCGAACCGCACTCGGGAGACAATTTTTTACGACATGACCATTGTATGGTGCCCCTTCACTTGCCGCGTTCAGACCAGCGTTGCATTTCATGTTTTTTTTTTCTTACTCTTGTTCCATGACAAATGTCACTATCACGACAGAGCGTTGTTTGAGAAGGAGTCAAAATATCTGCTTTTTGTTATCAATACCCGGTGCTTGGATGACAGGAGACAAGCATCAACGGACCTCAGGCGAATGGGATGCCTTCGAGTCAAGGATTTATCGGCAGTTCTAACGAAATTATGACAATGTAAAAGGATTGCCTTCCAGGCCCTTTCTAAAAAATGATGTTCTGACGTCCATACGTCTCACGATTCGTACTTCATTGTCAAACCTTTGCTTACACGACATGACATGACTCCATCGTCTCAGCAAGCGATTCAGACCTCCATCAGTGTGGCCGCGAATCTCCACTTCGCGTCTGTCTTGCGTCGCTCTGGGTTGCTTGTCAGCCTGCTGCATATCCATGAATCGTAATCTGGCTGTTCAATATAGCCTGTCATCACGACCACAGTCTAGTGATCCTTCTTCCAGATATATGTCGCGCAATTACTTGCGGAGTGAAAGTGGGTTGCTTACAGGGCAAAGCGGAGACGCCCTGTGAGAAGTTCGCGACTCGCTGTCGCTGTCCTTGCTGTCGATCTGCCTTTCCGCAGCATCTCCGCCCGCTGTTCCATCGGAACCGGCCGACGATGGGTGAGTCTCTGACTCGGCGCCGTGGTGGTACTTTTGTATCTCGCAAGACCAACCCTCACCAGCAGCGGATAGTACCGAGCACGAACACGTCCGGCTCAAAGTTAAGACGACGATGCTTCTTCTCAGGCGGCCTGCCTATTTGAGAGAAACTCAGACCGGGACTCCCAACATCGTCGCTCTCACGGTCCGGGTCGAGCACCACCTTGTCACATCTCTCAGCAATATCGGTCGTCGCGACCCCTTGCATCCCGCGAGTCCCATCGTCAGCCTCATAATTACCATGGTCATGGACGACATCTCATGATTCGCAGGGTCGGCTCGACAGGTTCTGTTTACGAGTCAGAGGCACAAGCTGTTTTACCCCATGAATCGTGCCCTGTAGGGGTGCTTATTGGTTTCTCCAACCGACGGCCCGCCGCCGCCCCAGTTCCTTGTGTTTTACTGTATGCTCCCACATACTGCGACGACCCCTGATTCAATAGACCGATGACAGTTGAATGCTTACAAAGCCCTATCTTCTTCTTATTCAGATATCGCTGACAGAGAAGACAGGAAGGTCGAGTCAATAGATGATGAATTATTACAACGAGTCGTTGTTATAACACAATCGTTCTATTTGTTGATATTCTGCACGGGCAGACATGCAACGCCAGCGACCGTGGAGATGTCGCAACAAAACCACCAGATCGATCATTGTATTAAGCTTTCTGCGCAGACGTGTCACCCACCGTCCAGTCTCTGTTGGCAACATCCCATACCACTCCCCATCGGTGGTCACTTTCCTACATGTCCTAATAAAGTTTACCGTCCTGTTCACCACCCGCATTCCTGGGACCATCCCACATGCCCCGTTGGCAGAGATTCACATGCATAAAGTCGATCCGGCAGCGCTCGTCAACCGAAATCACCACCGCGCTTGAAAGCTTATGGACATGACAGGTGTTGCACCTCGGTATGATCCTTGAACCCGTTGATGTACAAAATCACGGTGCGCATGTTACTGTACAAGCTTTTGAACTCGGTGACATTCTGCGCAGGCCAGTACGAACCCTTGCAACATCGTATTTGAGACGCCATTCGGACCATTTCTACAACAGAGTTCTGTTGATAAACCATGGCATCCTCAGTCTTTCGCAATGCCACAACGATCAGCTCAAGGAGACCATTGCGAACACGAGAACTCTGCTCACTTGCTCGATACACTTTGCTTCAATCTTCAGCCGCAGTTTTCCTTTAAGCCGAAATCTCCTTTGTGTGCTCGCATGACGACGGTTTTTTGATGTCGCGTGCGGCCCGAGACACTTCTGTGCTTCGACGTTGGATTTACCGTCACTCGCCTACACGACTCGGCTCATCTCTTTGATGATGATGAACACCGCTTCACCTGGTGGTTCTGGAGCATCGTTCATCTTCCACTCGGTGATACATGTCGCTTGAAACGCTCGAGGACCGTGTTTGTACTTACGTCGTACCATGGTCGGAGCGAGTGCGTCGCTCTCAATTAGCTGGACCCATGCCCTATTCCAGCGCCGATTATGGAATAGAAGATCGCGGTCCACGTGTAAGGAGAAGATCAGTATCAATGCTTCTCCGCTACTGTTGCAGATGCTACACGTTTTACAAGCGAGACTTGACGGCTGTAGACACTCGCTCTTGAATCGCACATCTCCACAGTTGTGGGTTGTCAACACCTTCCATGTCAATAATGAGAAGTCTGTGAGTTGCTTCTTTGTATTCAAGTTTTGACTTGGTTGTGGTCGGTCGTCCTTACTCATCCATCCCGCTCCTCCACTTCCCGGGCTTCTGACTTCTTGATTCATGCGTGCATTGCCACAACCCACGAGTCAATCCTACATGCCAAATCAAGTGTCTCTTTCCACTGGTCCTCGACTCGTCCGTTCCTTCTACCTGATCTTGGGCATGGCTTGCATTAGTTCAATGGAGTTGGCGATGTCACCAGTTGATCCGCAAGAGGGCAAGATGAGGGGAAATTGCTGCACTTCATTATCAACTAAGATCTTATCTTTCATGACTCTCATCTCGATCATCTCCTACGACCGACTACTCAAACATAAACATAACAGAATGGTCCGGCGGTCGTGCTAAGCGCATCCCTGATCAAGATACTCTCAGCATTGACACCCAAATCAATGACATCGTCCAATCTAGTGTTTCTAGACGGCGGGCTGTTGTTTAACGTGATGGTGCCAGCCAGTGAGTTGTTGCCATTGACACTGCTTCTGCTAGCAGGATCCTGGTTCTGCCAAATCCACCAGGTGCGGTCGATTTGTGCGTGATGGAGCCAGAACCATGGGTCACCAGGAGAAGAGAAGATATCGGCTCCCTGTTTTTCATGATTAGCTATTTGACATCTTGATTGATCTCGTTTACTTACAGGATCGCCTCCAGCAAAGAAGTGACCTGCTGTGTGTACTCCGAGAAGGCCTGCTGGAAAGTCGCCTTGCATGGTTGTCTGGAAGTCACCGATATAGTTATTTTCTCTGATTAGATCGGTGCTGTTGGCATCTGTCGAGGCGATGCTGGCAGCATATACACCAATATCACGGCGGAGGCAGCGAGGATTGTAGCCGAGGCCATCAGGACGAGGGTTCGGGGTTATGTCGTCAAAAACAGGTGCGAGAGGGCCGAGATTGACGGTCATGTTCCTGAATGGTCCCGAGGTAACGCAGCCACCTCCAGAGCCTGCAGGCAACTGAATGAAAGGAGTGGCAACACTCGGGATAGAAGCACCAGTGTGGTTTCTGTACTCGCCATTTCCAGAGATAGAGTAATCACTGCCATCGAAGATTGGAGAGTTGAGCAAGTCTTCGGCGTATTTGCCCCAGTTTGCGTAAGGGATATATCCCTTGTAACCACATTCGTTACGAAGAGCCTCTTCGAAGGTGTAGACGTAGTAACGGTGCCAGCTGAGGAAGTTTCCAGTACCATGGATGGTCAATGTTTGATTGATGTGAGTCGCAAGGAAATCATCGTAGCGAGACTTTGCACCGGGAGCGATGCTTCCACTTCTTGCAGGCTTCGATTGAAGACACAGAACTGCATCCGTGTACTTCTTCTTGTTTGATCTGGATAGCGAGCTCCTGGGAGACATCGTCAGCGCATTTCATTGTCGAGCCTACGGGTGTAGACGTACCATTCTTGACGTTTGACGGCGTTGTCCAAGCTGCAAGAGTTCTGACCACGGTTCTTGTGCAGATAAGTCTTCAATTTTGTCATGCCATGGTCGTTAAGCTTGTCTGTTCCAGAAGTTGAGGCCGGAGTGAATGCACTAGCGCTCACGCATAGCAGAGAGGTCGCAGCCCCCAGAAGAGAAATGTGCATTTTGTTCCCGATTTCTTGCAAAGGCCGAGAGAACTGAGAGACAAAGGTGCAGAGGATCAGCGAGAGACGGGAGTCGATGTTATATAGTTCAACAGGTAGTTCATATAGGAAATGGATATCTGCCGGGCCAATATATAGTAGTATGGAGGGCTGACTGTACGCGTCAAGTAGCTTCCGAATCTACCATTCAATCCTACATGATATGCCGTTTGTCAAAGCGAACTCTCAATTGACATGGCAATCCCGAGCACACTATCCAATCGTTCCCAATACCTCGACCTGCGGGTAGTTGTTGGGCGAAACGAGGCTGTGTAACCAAGGCCAGTCGCAGGAACAAATCCCCAAAGAACGAAGAGCAATATGGTTAAACTGCGGAAGGAAGACAAGCGAGGAATATTTAATCAAAATCCCAAGGCCTCGATTCAATCTGCGTACCCATCAAGGCAAAGATTGGCCAGAAATTAAGGTTCACATATTGGCACGTGTGTCCGAAGAAGCCTTGTGGCAGATCATGTTCACCGCTTGCTGCTTGTTATCTTGTATCCTGATGCTGCTGTCTTTATGCATATCCATCCAGCTCATCTGTCGTCAAAAGAGCTACCTATGTTGAGCCCTCTGCGTAAACAGACTGCGTCTGGAAATCTCGTCGTTAGCGAACTTCGGGCTGGATAGGTCATGAAACCCTACTGCTGATAGTCCCTTGCGAGCTATTGAGCGGCAAATCAGGTTTTTAGCCAGCTCCCCGTGTGCTGAACTCTTACGACGCGTATAGCTGTAGAAATACACAGTCCATGCCATGTTAGAGGTAGCCCCATGGCCAGATAACCACTTTGCAAGCGTAGGCAAACCAATAATTCACTGCCGAAGGCCATCTCAATTGTGTTTCACTGAAAGATAGATGCTCAGTCGCACGACAGCATGTAATCTTTCCAGAGGTTTGGTGACTCTTGGTGTGCATATTGTTGTAGAGCGAAGGTGCGACACAAGAGGAAGTGCCTAGCATACTCCAGTGCTTGGAGATATTCGACGTCTATGGACTAACACCCATGACAGGGAAACCAGAGTGCGAGACAAGAACCAGAATCTTACTGTCAATTATGATATATCGAGCTTTAGTGGCTACAGTGTCATTGTCAGCCTATGCGTAAGCTAGTTCCCGACGATCTCTCCAGCTGGTACATGGATTGAATCGCCAAACTCCACGGTATCGCATCCCAAAGACATAGTTGATGATGTAAGGTACGAAGAATGGTACAGCTGGAAAGTTGTGAATTCCGTCCTCGTACTTCCTGTCTGCAGTGCCGAACACCAGAGGTGCGATTCGATACTAATAGAGAGTCAGTAATTTGAGATGTGGACGGACAGAGATGTTACTGACATTGTCAGTTGCCATCAAGCTCTTCTCCAGTCGACCGTAAGCTTGTTTGACTCTCTTGCTGTCGTACTTATCCAATCCTCGAAGTGTCTCGATCTCATCGTGAAGGTGTTTAACGAGTGGTTCCGCAAAGTCTTGCACTAGACTCCTCAACTTTGCTCCATCGTAGTCTTTAGGTGGGCAGGTCTTGCAATAGTCGTAAAACTTATCGAATCCCGGAGTAAAGGCACGATGCTGTTCTACATTCTGTTCCATGACTCCTTTGACGTTGGTGACGTTCTCAATATCTGGAAAGAATATTTCTTCCTCAGCATCGTGGTGGTGATGCATGCTCTCGCTCCAACACTGGCAGTAGATCAGGAAATCTCGGGCAACGACCGTATCGTTTGCTGGTAGGTTCGGTGCTTGAAGGTAAATTGAGTTGAGGCCTCTAATGATGCCGTTGTGAGCAAGTGCCATTTGAGTTGCTACGTAGTATGCCGCGTGGGAAGACTAAAAATCGAGCTTCATGTAAGACAGGGATACCTCTTGAAGTGTAAGCTGACGTACGTCTTGCGAAAATGGTTTCGTGTTGATCAACGAATATGGCTGGTCGGCCCACGGACGTGACATGATTGCGATGTTGGTGATAAGATTGCAGTGTCTTCACATGGCGGACATTGGGATATATATCTCACATCGTTTCGGGTAGCAGATCGTCGTGAGCCTCTGCACTTTGAACTCCTTCGATAAGAAACATAGAGTCGCTGACCAACGCATAGTTGATGCGAGGTGATCGGGGAATGTTTTGGCCGGTGGCTTTTGTTTCTTGACCCCGCTTCCTTCCTTCCTTCCTTCCTTCCTTCCTTCCTGTCTCCAGCACCTGTTGCAGGCGTCGATCCGAGTTCATCGTTTCTCAATTGATGCGCTGTGACTGCGACCGGTTGGATCATCAAAGTCACATCGCTTTGCATACTCAGCCATCCCGGAGTATCGCTCTAAGCCAAACACCGAGACTTTAAGTGGCTCTTTGAGAAGCCAGATGCAACACATTCCGGCTTCTGAGAAAACGCGGCCGGCCGAGTTTCTGACTGCCCGAGCTTGGTGCCTGGCATGAAGATCAATCCGAGAGCGTTATTTATATATTTCCAGCTGATCCCAGCAGTATCATTATCACTACACAAGAATTAGCACGTTGAATTGAAAACAAACATGAAGATCCTCCTCATTGGCGCGACCGGAAATCTTGGTCTGCGACTCGTTGCAGCACTCCTCACCCACGGCCACATCGTAATCGCATATGTCCGCTCTCCAAGAAAGCTCGAACTCCTACTCCCATCGAATGTTTACAGCCAGATCATCGTTGTAGAGGGTGACGCTACGAACACGGCTCTGATCAAAGGGACCATCTTGGAGAACGATTGTGATGCTGTCGTCAATACCGCTGGTGTAGCCGCGATGGCGCCCTGGAACAAAAGCGACCTGCCGGAGATCTTCTCTGCAGTACTCAAAGCTGTACAACAAGCCGGGTCAGAAAGAAAAGAACCACTGAGAGTATGGTTTTTGGCAGGCTTAGGGGTGTTGCATTTCCCAGGAACCAACACCATGCTTTCGAACTAGTAAGTCGAGAGTGCTCTATCCTTTGGTCAAGTCAGGAGATTGACGCTCGAAGTGTGCCCATTTTCCTGGAGCACCGCCAGAATATAAGACTGCTGAGAGCCCTGCCACCTCACTCCGTTGATTGGTCTCTACTGTGCCCGAGCACGATGACACCCGAGAACCTGGAGATCAGCGTGCCGACAAAGACGTCCGGCAAATTGACCGCCTGTGCCACAACTCCTCCGATGTGGATGGACTCATGGTTGAAATACATTCCATTCTTCGGAAAGGTGATTTTAGCTGCCATGAATGCTTCTAGGTATGACACCACCTTGGAGCAGAACGCTGAGTTCATTGCGAGCGATCTTGAGGACCGGGACAGTCGTTGGATCGGTGTCCCAGTGGGAATCATTGATGCAAAAAAGTGATCCTTTGGGCTTGATCTTTCAAAAAAGTAGTCGAGTTAAGGTTCCGATATCAATGAGACATGATATATATGGCACTGCCTTTTTCCTGTGCTTGATGCACTTACAGCAATGTGTCGCTGACAGGTTTGGACGGTCGGGATATCTTCGCTCAGTCATAATGAAGGAATTCCTTCTGTCGCAACTATATTTTAGTGTAGAGTGCCGATGTGATGTTGGCGTTGTTGTGTATGCTTCGGCTTCCTGTGTGCTGGGGATCATCACTCAAATTGCACAATGGTATACAGAACTGGAGCTGGATCCAGAGAGAAATAGTTGAGCAGTCACTCTCCATCGATGACGCGTTCTCGTTCAAACATTGTGCATTTTGCTGTACGCAAAACACTGCGTCGGTGGAAGTCTGAGAACTGGTAGATTGGGTTGTAGGGTTGCTTTTTAGGCGATTTTGCCAAGGATGCCTGACTCAGTGGGGGCCTTTCTCTCAGTAATTTGACCAATTATCTGTCATTCTTCGCGCCACCACCAGAACAACTCTCTTTGCACCACACAACTGTGGGTTGGATCTCGTATCCAACCCATGGATTCTTCTGGTCTCAATCTTACCAGCAGCAACATTGTAGGAAACCTCGTGGTGTTGCCTGGCCAGAGGCCGGTTTCGAACTGCCGTATCGTATTTACAACGTGAGTCGGCACATTATTTCCCATGGTCAACGCCTCTAAATCTCCTCGGAGCCTCATACTTGTGTGGTGAGTTGATGGCATCTCAGTCTTCATACGCTCGCGAGCGAATAGCTGACCATAGGCACAATGGCACAAACGCACTAGGTTCTAGTACTCGTATTCTCCTACAAGTATATCGAATCCCGCATCCTAGAATAGCAGGTCGGACTCAGAACATGGTAGCCAGAAGCGCCAGTAATTTCCACGTTCAATAGTTAGCCGCTAGCTTTGCTATCCCCGGACTCGCCCGTCGACAAAGGATGACCTAACACAATTTTACAAGGTCCGCAGTCTCGCTCTGGCCGTTTGTTGATTGCTACCGAGTAGGTACATATGTAAATACCTTCCACCTCGTTTCTTTATCGTTCAACTCACAAATCGATTCGTACTCTTAATTCTTAATCTTTCATTCTTATCATTTGCTTCCGGCACTCCACACTCGTTCAACCAACCAATCACATCCACAGCAAATATGCGTGTCGCCGCTCCTTCTTTGGCTCTTGCCCTTGCGCAGACTTCTGTCGCTGCTACCGTTCCTCAGCTCGAGGCTCGCCAGTCTGCCTGCAGTGACGTTCACATCTTCCTTGCTAAGGGCAATAACGAGCCCTACCCCGGACGTCAGGGCAAGCTCGTAAACGCCATTTGCGATGGTCTTGACAACTGCGACTATGAGGACATCCTTTTCTACAACCCCGTTGAATCTTCTTTCTGTGCATCCGTAGAGGAGGGTGTTGCCAACGGCATTGCCCAGCTCTCCAGCTACAATGCCAGATGCCCCGACACCAAGCTGGTCATCAGCGGTTACTCTCAGGGTTCCCAGATTGTTAGCGACATCCTCGGCGGTGGTTTCGGAACTTTTTTCCAGGGTTGCACCACTAAGCCCTCCCCTAACCTTGATGTTAACTCTCAAGTCGGCAAGAAGGTCGTCGCTGTCACCACCTTCGGTAACACCAGACACACTGCCAACCAGCCCTACAACCAGTTCAGCGGCTCTTCCGGAAACGGTATCTTCCCTCGCCCTGCCTACCAGTTGGCCAACCTCGCAACCTGGACTGCCAAGTACCACGACTACTGTGTCGCTGAGGACCCCATCTGCGCAGGTGGTGATAACGTGGAGGACCACTTGAACTACTTCGATCTCTATAGCGAAGTTGCCGCATCTTGGGTCAAGGAGCAGGTCAAGGCCGCCGATGTCGTTGTTTCAAGCACCATCGTCTCCCCTAGCAGCACCTTCACCTCAGTCGCCACTGTCCCTACCGACAAGGCCGTCCCCACCACTTTCTCCTACAGCAACAACACTGCCACCGCTCCCCAGGTCACCAACTCTGCCGCTCTCTCCTCCATCCAGTCCGAGGTTCTTCCCATCCCCACTGCCGACACAACCGTGACCGTCACCGTTGACTGCGCTTCCGTCGACACCTCCGCCATCGCCTCGTGGACCTCTGCCTTCGCCGCAACTGCCGTTGTCAGCCAGAGCGTCGCTGCCTCTGCAACTGGCGCTGCTGCCACCACCGGTTCCTCTGGATCCAAGTCTTCCAGCGCCCCCAACGGCACCCACACTCTTATGCCTTACACTGGTGCCGCAAGCTCCATGTCTGGCGCTGTCACCGGCTCCCTTGCCATTGTCCTCTTGGGCGCTTTCGCCATGGTTCTCTAATAAGTTCCAGACCAAACTACTTTTTCGTATCTGTAAATATTCTTTCGTCTGTCTACATGTATCATGGCAGTCTGTTTCCATAAAATTCTAATGACCTTTTCTTACTCGTTCAATCAAATGAGCCTTCTACCTACCATCTTGAGCATCATAAAACTGTGGAATGTTGAATCTGAGAGCGAGATGATTGATAGTAGCTGTGATCCATCGACATGACAGAACGCAAATTCAGGACTGGATTGCTGGTCTCGAACCTTCCCATGTGCTACGAGTAGACTTTGTTACATTGAGTCCCAAGCTATAGCGATGCAAATTGATCTACTCATCAAAATGCACGATGGTATTGTACAACAGCACATCATGCACCGAGAGCGTATTAGTTAGCGCCTCTCTGCGGACGACTATACCGGTCCGAGAAATATCGTGCATGTTCACAGGCTAAAAACCCGAGGTGTGGCCGCGGGAGATATCTAGAAGTGACAGAGCACACAATGAAGGAGTGCTCTTTAGGGTTGTTCGATGGAATGCATCACATTCCCAAGTAACATGTATTATTGGGCTTGGGAAACAAGCACATACGGCCACAGTCAGCTGAAAACTGGGCATCCCGTCCGCTCTGCCATACATAAGCAGTTGAACGGCAGATTAGTACTACGGTGGGTGACCACGTGGGAATCCCTGCTGCTGTATGTTTTGTTCCGCATCGTCTTTTTGCTCGGACATCACTACTACACACTTGACAGCTTCCAAGACGAGTGTAATTTTGCGGTAGCCTCCTGTATGTTTTGTAGGACATTGCTGTATGACTGTGTTTGTGTGATTGCTGTAAGTTCTATCTGTCAATCTTTCGTGAAATGCTCTCTCTACATACACAGTTGGGTGTGCAAATCTCTCAACGATTGGCAACAATATCCGCACTGATCTTCTCAGCCAATCCATACACAGTCGAGATAGGATGACCAGGAGGCAACAGCGCAAACGCCGAAGCATCAACAACACGCAAATTCTCAACTCCAATAACACGTGCCTTACTATCCACAACAGCCATGGTATCATTGGTGCGTCCCATCTTGCAAGTTGCCGCTGCGTGCCAATTCATGAAGAAGGTGTTTCGGATGTATTCAAGAATTTGTGCGTCCGTGACGACCGACTCGCCGGGTGCGACTTCACTGCCTAGTCTGATGGGTGCGAGAGCAGGAGATGCGAGGATCTCTCTCGCTCGTTTCAATGCTTGAATGGCTAGTTCGACGTCGGCTGGATTGGTCAACCATTGTGGGTCGATGATAGGAGGGTCGAGCATCGAATTTGATTGCAGAGAGACCGAGCCACGGGAGAGGGGGCTGACAGGAATGACGACGAATGTTCCATAGCCGTGGAAGTCTGATTCGTAGATGGAAGCGACTTCGTACTCAATTTCTGGCCAGTCCGAGGGGAAGGTGGCAAGTTGGTCGCGTGCGGTCGAGGTCATGTTGGCGCGGTAGTTGTCAGGAAGCTTTTCCCAGCCAATATAATCAGCGCCATAGGAACCGTACATTGACACTGCAGGTACGGTATGGAAGCCATCGAGCTGCTCTTGATTGTATGTCTCGTTTTTGAGAGTGTTGAAACCAACCACGTCGACTTTGTATGTGACTTCCATATCGACGTGATCCCACATGTTTTGGCCAACACCAGGGCGATCAGCAACCACGGAGATATTGTGCTGTTGAAGTTGTGCGGCGGGTCCGATACCAGAAACCATTAGCAGTTGAGGCGACTGGAAGGCACCAGCAGAGAGCACAACTTCTTTGCGAGCAGTCAACACATAGTCAAGTCTTCCACTGCGTACTAGCACGCCTGTTGCAGTCTTGTTCTCCGAGAACAGAACCTGGAGAGCTAGGGAGTGCGTGTACACCTTCAAATTCGTGCGATTACTGTTCAAAGCGGCATCCAGGTAAGATGTCGCGGATGTCTCGCGCTCGTTGGAGATTGGGTTCAGGGCTTGAGGAGCATATTGAGATCCCAAAAGTTGGCCATTGCTGAAAGTTGTGATATTGGCAAATCCGAGATACTGGAATGCTTTTTGGGCCCACGATGAGAACGGTAATGCAAAGTTCGAATGGGACACACGCAGCGGTCCTCCAGTGGGGCTGAAATCAAGCGCATCAGATGAGGGCTGAGGCACGGTTGCATTTGCCGCTCTGATGCCATTCGGCACTGTATAGTTGACACCCTTGGCAAAGTATGGCAACCACTGGTCAAAGGTGTACGAGTCGTCTCCAACAAGATCTGCCCACTCCTGGTAAGAGGCGACTGTGCCACGGTTATACACATTGGCGTTGAGTGCAGAAGATCCACCCAAAGTCTTTCCTCGAGCATAGTGCAAAGTCCGGTTGTTCGCTCCGGGCTGCGGTGTAGTAACAAAGCCCCAGTCTATCAAAGGATCCGATAGCGGATTATTAATGCTTGCAAACTCAGAATTGTAAGCAGGCGTTACACTCTTGTTGCCGGCTTCGAGCTGATAGAATCCTCCAGCTTCCACTACAGCCACTGTGTGTGTGTTATCCTCAGCCAGACGCATTGCTACCGCAAGACCGGCGGCACCACCACCGACGACAACGTAATCGAAACTTGCATTTCCAGGTATACCGAAAGAATCGCCATTTCCAATATCGAAGGGAGTGCCATAGTAAGTCGATGCAGAATCCGCAAGGCCAGACCTCACGCCTGCCACCAGGGCGAAGAGAAATTGCCGAGTGAAGAACATGTCGAATCTCGTGGTCGCAACAGCTCAAATGAACATTGAGGCTCCCCCAAATACATATACGCAAAAAGAAGAATATGTCATGACGAAGCTCGACCACTCTTCCAAATCAAACAACTTACGATATGGAGTAAACTCACCAATGACGACGGAAACGGTAGAAAGATCAAGATAGACTCCAGGTGATGGCGTAAATCCCAAGGCTTTACCCCGATCTTTAGAAAGTCGCAACTCTTTTTGGCTGTTGCATGAGGAAACACGGTCCCAGCTCTCTCGAGATCTCTAACGTTCCTGCCTCCGGCGTCGGTCCTCGACTCCGAGATGTTTCTATGACGTCAATCTTGACCGCATAGCCCGCGGCCTTGTTCTTTAACGGAAACCTTAGCACATATAGATGGAGATAGTATATAACATGCATTCTTCGTATGTTCGAAACAGAGGAGATAGGGCCCCTTAATGGAAACGGAGGGTTTTCTGGAAACAAGCAGCACAACGTACTCTTATTAGAGCAAAGACCCATTGCAGAAAGCATCATGCGTCTCCGCCGCTATAAAAGTGAAATTTTCTAGCATATAGTCCAAATAGTAGAAGCAATATCGTTTTCCATGGGAGAAAAAGTGATCGAGGGTATGACCCTGCCTGTCAGATACCCCTTCCATCGGTTCTTCCAAAATGACCCAGAAGCTATTTGTCGATGTGGAGATTGTACATTCCTATCCACACCTGACTTTATACAGAGGGTAGTACATGTCGAGTAGCTTCCTCATCATGTAAAGATTGCTCTCTTCAAACATCGACTGCGCACTTTTGCAGTCCGCCTGATCACAAGAACACAAATATGAGAGAAAGAGCGAAATTGAAAAAGGTACGCTGAGACGTGGAGTAGAACGAAAGTGACAATTACTAATAATTAATTCTATACAACGAAAGAAGAAAGAGAGCAAGAGACTTTGGGTAGTTCGTGAGATCAAGAAAGGATATCATGTGGTGTTCATCCTAGGAGGTTAGATTCAATCTCATCAGTATCCGCGAGCTTGTTTCTTGGCTTGGATGCGTGAAATGTCTGGATGCTCCTTGCCAATGTGGATGAGGAGGAACGAGAGTTGTTTCCACGGTCCGCACGCGCACTGTGGTTGCGGACATCTGAAGATTTTTGGGTTGGGGAATTGTCCTGGGTGGCTCCCCGCCACATGTACGCTGAGTTTCGAGAACATTTTCCGTAGTGGGCCGGTAGTGGGACAAATCGGACAGATCTCGAGCTTGGCGTGTCTTGTGCTTTTGACGTGGTTGTCGAATTGGATCTGAGTGCCAAAATCCCACGTACATTGAGTGCCATCTTCAATGGCTTTGTCGCATCGCAAATAAGCGGGGTCGCTTGGAGGCGCTGGCGTAGGAACTGCTGGATCATGAGGGGGCACGATAGAAGAAGTCGACCCAGCGGTGGTAGAAGAACTCGACCCAGCGGTGGTAGAAGAACTCGACCCCGCGATGGGGCCGGAGCTTCTGAGACGTCGCGGCAAGTTCTCCGTGTACGTAGCACGAGATCCATTGTCCGGGGCGTTTGGATTTGGCGTGCTCGAATTGGCCATGAAGATGGTCAAGTTGAGTGGGTGCACGCCATTCAAGTACGAGCCGACGTTCTATGAGGGTCCACCTGGGGCGAGTACGGAATCCAGTACGCTAAACAGATTGTCTCTGTCGGCAGCAGTCGCGCCTTCCCAGCCGCCCAAATCATCATCATCAGTCATCATGGCGTCGCCGTCTGCTTCTTTGGTGTCCAGGGGTTCGTGATGGTCGCCATTCGTTAATGCCATGGGTGTATCGACCATTTCCATCTCCACATCACCCATTATTTCTTCGCCGAGGAAGGGGTCGAGACGAAGGCGGGTATCGTCCAGGCGTAGTGACATGCGCACTTCATCCAGACTGAGTGGTTCTCTTCGTGTCAAAGCCTCCTGCTCACAAGGCAAGAAGCCTGCAGCACTCCTGCCAAGCTGACCTCGATCTATGGCTTCTTCCTCTCTGCGCATCTGAGCTCGGAACTTTGCAGTGATTGGACCCAAGTCTCCAGGGGCGTTGCTACGTGTGGTCGAGAACCAAGCCGTGAGTTTCTCTTTGATGAAGGTTTCGGTGGCAACTTCGACAAGCTCTGCTATGGCCTGCAGAGCGGCGGATGTCATTGGTACAGCGGACAAGCCCACGCCTTCTTCGTAGCATATGGGCTCAATACGGGCTTGAATGTCAGCTCGTGAGGGGAAGTCTAGCGTCTCCGAGGCCAAGGGCACGGCATATCGCCTTCGAATCTCCAGATCCCAATTTGTTTTGCTAAGAGAGGTTGCTGTGGTGGGTATGGCGTCTGGTATTTGGGAGGAAGTGATGGGTACTGTGAGGGCAGTCGCGTAGGTGGCATTCTCGTGCAGAGGGCCGGATGGTGGTACGGCAGCGAGGTTATCCTTTGCACTCTTTATCCTCCTTCTGTCACGAGCGGATAGAGCCATGACTTCGCGTTTTAATCTTTCCTCGGCCTTGTCACCACCGCCCTGTGAGACAGACTTGTTTGCACTGGCCGAGGCCGGGGCATCGGTAGCGAGTACCCATGATGCGACGGGTTCTGGAGGAGGATCGCGGTAGATGTTGGAGTGTATTGCACCGAAGATCTTGTTGTGTAGATGGACTGTCGAGACGAGTGCACCGTTGTATGATACGCTCGGAGCGTATGAGAGGAGTCGATCCGTGACTTGGGACAATTCGGCCTGGTTGAGTTTTCCTGGGGTCGAGATGGTCAGCACATGTATGGAAGGTATGAAAGAAGCAGGTGAAGAGTGGGTACCCAAGAAGAAGGAAGACAAGGTCGTCTTGTATTCTGGCCATGATTCACCAATAGCAGCCTTCAGGGCAGTGAACATGGGTTCCGTGTCGATACGTGGCACGCCCATACGCATCGTCGAGGGCGTCTGCATCTTGGAGTCGGCCGACTCGATGCGCGAAAGGTCGGGGCCGTCCATTGTGGATCGATCGAGTGCGGTCGTCTTGACTCTGCTATGGCTATGCGACGCGACTGTGGCTGTTGTGCAAGTCTCTGTGCCGCTTCTCTCACTTTGACCCACTCATAGTCGGTGTCGTTTGATTCGGTGAGCGTACGCGACAATAGAAATACTGATAATACAATGCTGTTGGCTTGTTGTTGTTGGCCAGTTGTGTCTCCTTTTGAAGCCATCTGCCACGACTCCGCGAACTGATGTCTGGAGAAAGCAACCGCGGCTCTGCGGCCCGTTGACGCTGCCACGACTCCGTTGCACTTCACTTGATGAACTCCTTCCTCTGCCAACTTCTTGGACAAGACAGCTGTCGCTCGTTCCTTCTGCAGTACACCGGGCAATACATCCAAGTTCCAAACGGTCGGTCGATTCCTCAACGGTATTGCCTAACTACTCGAGTACAAAATCTCCTCCACTTGGCTTGAGCCAGACCATATCTTGTCCCAAATCATCAACACCTTCCCTGATTCCCCTTCTCAAATCTATGCTTGCCTAATCCCGCTCTCGTTCCATCCATACAAAAAGTCAAAGCCACTCGCTCAAATGCTAAAAAGTCTTGAATATCATAAATCTTTCCGAAAAAGCCTCGAGTCCGCTGTTACCCGACAAGCGCTAATCCAGCTCCGTCATGAACGCCGACACCCTCTCCAAGTCGTCAACCTCTATCCACTGCCATTCCTCGCTATGATTCACCTCTTCTAGACGCATACGTCCATGACTGTCAATTGGGTCCTCGGGATGTACTATCACGCTGGCTCCGATGGCTGCTGTCTGGTGTCGATTGCTCATCGGGAGCTGGTATCTGAGAACTCCTCGAAGAATGAGTTCGAAGGGGTATTGAAGTACCCTCTCCCATCGCTCTGACCCTCCACTCTCGGTCTTGTTGCCAGGATGCCCAAGACGAAGTTCACCCAGGGAATAGTGTGTGTGTCGTTTGATAGGTGATCCCTCAAAACATAGGGCTTGGTCGAAATGTAGTATCCTTCCGAGGAGCATCGTCTGTGAGTCGCCTTCAATGGGATCCGTACCCTTGTCGACACCCGAGCCTGCGTGCCAGTGACCGTGTTCGTCCTGCCATGGGGTACCGCCAGCTTCTCCACTGGCGGCCAATCTTCTTCGCTGCGCTGTCGCTAGTGCAGTGCCGTCGTCTCTGCCAATGGGGTTGACATACTTGCTCTTCGCAAATATGTTGACATCCATATCCGTCACAGTAACGCTTAGGATGTTGGGATTTACAGCGCCGACTAGCAGGTCCAGCATGATTTCTTGCTCGCTTGCCAAGACGTTCTGAATCTTGTCCACATGGAAGTTGGTCAAGGGTTTGTTAAACATGACCAGCAATCCAACAGCACCCATGGCCACCATCATAACAACCAAAAGACCGAGGATGAAACCTCCGACTCGGCTGAATCTAGATCTTGGCTCTCTGACGCCGTAGTAGTCAATTGAGCGCATGCTGTTGTCGCTGTTATAGCGTCTGCTGTAAACTCGTTGACCTCTCGGTGTCCTGACGCTTCCTAGCATAGGCGTGCGCTCGTCATCTGCGCCTTCTCCTTCGTAGTCAAGATGTGAACCGTCATTCTTCCTGCCAAACAAGCCCGAAGATCGATGTTGGCCACTTTGAACACTGCGTGGTGTACCCGGCCGTGAAGGGGCCCGCTCAGAAACGGACAATGTGGTGCTGCGCAGCTTGGAGGCCTGCGTGAACGGCGAGTCTTGGTTGTCATATAGCGAAGCACGACTGCTGCCGCCAGAACGACCGAATCTACCGATATGTCTGGCGTGGTGTGCTCGAACGGTACCATCGCCCATGGCCTCCGGGCTGTCCAAGACGCTATATGGATTGTTAGAGAATTTCATACTCCGCTTTCCTGCAATACGGTGGTCGCCGTAAGGCCGCATTCCATGGCGGAAGTCGCTTTGGCTATGGAGAGATGTTCCGCTCGGTGTTCGTGAATGATGTCGACTGGCTCTGTGTTGTGGTTCCGGCGGGTTTGACTCGTAGACAAACGTCTCGTCCGAATCTGATGAGTTGGCCTGGTCGACGGCGCTTGCAACTCTGGCTTCGAAGATGTCGGCCTTGGACGAGGCTGAACGAATGGATGCGTTAGTATTGTGTGATGGTACATAGGTTAGAGCAGCGCGACGGAAAGCAGAAACGCGACGAGGCGAGTGAGCAAAAGACGATTCTGAACGCGTATCTTCGTAATCATCGGCGGACTCGGACTGGGGTTCGCCAGAAGATGTAGGTATGTTTCTGCGACGGGAAGAAAACGAAGCAACAGACGAACGATGATGCAAATGCAATGGGGGATTAAACACACCCGTTCCGTTGTTAATCGAGGGCGCCTTGCGAGTCGCCCTCTTCCTCTCCTTTCTTGGTCGAATGGTCTCGGTGCTTGGCTTCATGCGTAACGAGCCTCCTAGATCGGGTCTCCCCAGGGTAGAGCGGTCGATGGTGGCTATCTGCGATTGAGGAATAGAGCTGACGGTTTCGGTTTCGACGGTCATGTTTCGAGTTCCTTCTCCAGAACGCGATTTGTTGGAGCCAAGTCCCGGATATGCTGATTTGAGTGCAGCAACATTTTTGGGACGAATCGTCGAGCTCTGACTTGTTCTTCGACCTCGACCGTCACTCATGTTAGCGTCGCTCTCGCTTTCTGCGAGTTTGGATGAGGATTCTCCATTGTTATCTTTCGGTTTACCACGGACAGTCGGAGGCCCGTCATCATCGGATTGAGCCTTGGTCCTGCACGTCACGTAAGCTTATGCGTCGTATGCCAATTATACCAACATGAAGATACCCTTTCGAGTCGGTGCTACCATTGGGCGCTATGTTTTCGACAACAGTCTCGAGAACAGGCCTTGGACCACTTGGACCTCTTGATGGAGCCTTGGGGCCTGGTGGTGGTTGTAGCTGGATAGGCTCCTCCCTAAGCCCGTCGCTCAAGATAGTATTTTCTGATGGGGTCGATGAGGGTTCAACGACAATCGAAGGAGGAGCAGGCTTCTGGTTCTGTGTCAAGGCAGAGTTCCTGCGAGAGCGAGCAGACGAAGGAGGAGGAGACTTGAGACGAGGTGATGGGGGCGCAAAGGTTGGAGTGTTCTCGCCAGACGCAAGTGGGCGTTTCTGGGCGGTGAGTCTAGTCACTGCGTCTGTGACTGAGTTGGGCGACTGAGCAGGCTGTGCCTGTTGGAGTTGCGGAATGCTGGCAGCCGAGAGGGCACGTTGGATGGCAGCGGCTGAAGGGACAGTGGAAGTGGGCGTAGACAGGGCCGGGGTGCGGTGAGGACTGGTGTCGTGGCTGCTCTGGCGGGAGCGCAGGACGCCGGCTCTGTTCTGGACCGACGAGGCTGGAGGAGTGCCGTGCTGGCGCATGGCAGAGCGCACCGGCGAAGGGTTCCTCGAGGAGCGGGGGCTTTCCGAGGGAGCAAAGGTCGCTGAGGCTTGCTTCCGGAGGGTGGGTATCGAGGATATCGAGGTGGATGAGGCGTGTCGCACAGTGACAGGGCTGCTGTCTCTGCTGGATGCGCTCCGGGGCGCTTCGTGGGCGTCGGCCATTGCCTTGTGCCTTGTAGTGGTCGAGTTTAAATCAAGCTTCAGAGACGGGAGTCACGCAAGACGGCATCTGCATGTTGTGTTTGCGACACTCAATTTGCAGCAACGACTTTGAACGTGGAGAAGCCGGGGTTGCTGACTTCGTCGCTGAAGTGGATGCAGAAGCAAAAGCAAAAAGCCTAGGCAGATGCGAGGGCGCCGCCAGGGGGTGAGAAAGCGAGTCCAAGTGCTGCAATCAAGGCCGTGGAAACCATGTCATAATGCCGTCGAATGTGCCAAGATCCATCAGCCATCAGCCATCGCTTCCTTGTATCCGCACTTCGACCAATTTTCCAGAACAATTCAATCTTGCCTTAGGGCTGCTTGCACAAAACTATAATTGATAATCCCGTACTCTGCATACAACAATTGCTTCTCTGCATCGTGGCGCTCTCCTTGTCCGACCGAGCCTCACTCATCCATCTCTCCCGAGATCTATTCTCAAAATACAAAACAAACAGCGCCTTCCAAGTTTGGGAAGAACAATCACCCAGTCGACAAACACAATGCACAAGCACAAGCCATGTTTCAGTGTTTCAGCATATCAGAATCGATGAATTGTCGCCATATCAGCTACGCGCCTAATCTCCCCTTGCCTGTGGTCCCCATGAATGCTGCCGCCTTGTAACTCGTAACATGTGCTCCCATGCCACTTTGAACGCCTACGCCACTACGTGGTCAACGACTATACGCTCGCTGTGAAAGTCCAAGAAAAAAGCCATTTATCCCATGATCAACGCCATTTGGTATTTCGCGACCCCGTGAGCAAAATCAATAGACCAATCGCCGAGCAATGGTGAATAACAAAAGTTGTGCTGAGAAAACAAAAACAGAAATGCCCAAAGTATCCTTCTCCTCGACGATGCTCATCCATCGTCACCAGAATAGAGATAGAAGAGCAGCAAAAAGAAAAAAGAGAAGAGAAATAAAAAGGTTGAGAAGATGGAATCCGTGGTTCCTGGGAATCAATCGTGCCGTCGTTACTGATACAAGTTTGATGTTGCGTGAGTGTTTGGTCATGCTCACTGCTTGAGTAGCAGGATTGCTTGCATTTCGTTGGCCATGAAAAGTGTGGCTTCTGTTGCCACGTCTGTCCTGTTGGCCTGTTTTGTTGGTGTAAAGGGTCTGTTACCCTCGTTCTTTGACATTATTAGATGTCAACCATGTCGATGTCGTGACCAGCATTGAGGACATCATCTGCCGGCCCCCAGTTGCCCTCATAAATCGTGGCGCCTGCCCGTCTCCTTTGCTCGACCCACTGCACTCCACCGCAGTTGAGAAGCTCGTTAATGACCGGTCTTTGCTCAGGAGATGGGCAAATCATCCACTCGACCACTTTGTCCAGAGCCTCGCTGTCGTTGGGGTCAATCATGAAGTTGGGTGGCTGCGCCAGCTCACGTCTTCGGTGTGTGCCCCCAGTAGGCTGATTGCCCATGTCCATGTCGTCGTCGAAACGAATAGTCTCTTCGTTGTCATCAATCATAGGCTCGCCAGACTCATATCTGGGAAGACTATTCTCCGAGCTCCAAGTAAGGCTGGGAACGTCACTGAGGTCGCCGCTGCGTAGTCTCTGCCAGTGCAAGCCATTGTCGGGAAGTACGATGTTTCCAGCGATCTCAAGCATGATCATGCCCAGGGAGAAGATGTCAGCGGGCTTGTCGAATTTGCCAGAGAGCACTTCGGGACCGATGTATTCACGGTCGCCCTCTCCCTCAATGTGTCTGGGTGCAGGCCATGTCGTAGCCATGCCGAAGTCTGCAATCTTCAGGACTCCTTCCCAGTCAATCAGCACATTGGCTGGCTTGAGGTCAAGATGGATAAATCCTGCATCATGAATGCATTTGACGCCCTGTAACAACACGTTAGTATAGATAATAATAAGAACTTCTTGGATATGTACATACCTGAGACATCTCAAGCAGGATCTTCCAGATGCGGAAGTCGTCCAATCGGCCCTTGAAACCAGTCTGAGTAAGGAAGTCCTTGAGGTTGCCGTTCTCGCAGAACTCGGTTTGAATATAAAGATGGTTCTTCGATTCCCACGAATCGCAGAGATCGAGAATGTGTTCGTTACCACGAAGAGCCTGGAGGACGTGGACTTCTCTCATCTTGTTCTCACGGTCCTTGACGCCAAGGTATGGCTTCTTCGACTTTTTGACAGCCCAAACATTTCCAAGCTTGCGAGTGACGCCATGGCGAGCAGCTGGACTGCCAACAACTGGCTTAGAGACACGATAGACCTGAGAAAACTCGCCCAGACCAATGGCCTGGACACTCTCGAAACGGGACGTCAGGGCTGTGTCGACATCGTTGGCAAAGAAACCAGACACCGAGGCTCCAAAGGCACCAGGGCCAATGCTTGCACCAAAGTTCATGCCCGAGTCTCGTGGTCCAGTGGGTGTAGCAGGAGGGAAACTGTTTGAGCTTTGGAGGCCGCTCATACCAAACAAAACTGGTCCGCGGTGTTCGCCGGAGATAGACAGGCCGCTGGGATCCGGAGGGGTGAAGCTCTCCTGAGGAGTCTGCGGTGGGAGATTCGTATCCGTAAAGCTGGATCGGCTAGATGGTGTGACTGCTAATAGTTGCTTTGCTTCAGCATCTCCTGCAGATGAGGTAGAAGAAGAAGAAAAAGAAGGAAATTCCCGACACCGAAGAGTAAGAGGAGATGGGCAAGATTTACGATGAGATTGCCGGAGGCTCATGGCTTGTTCAAATGAAGGAGAAGATGGCGAGCCACATGGAGTGATAGTAAGAGATGGAGTCGACGCCCCACTTGTCTTTGACTCCGAAGCAGGAGTAGTTGAGGAAATATACTTACAGTCATTTGCTGGCTGCTGATCCTCTGAGGTGGGTGGGTTGAATGTGTCAGGTGCAATTGACGATCTGCGTCCAAACAGGGAGCTTCGCAAGCTGTTTCCCTTGCCCTTGGATGTTGGTCGGATGGTGGTAGATCCGGATGAAGCGGCTTTGGTGGGAGTGGGCGGCATCTCATCGCCGCTTGCTTGCACGTCCATATGAACAGAAGGCGATTTGGAGAGGTCCTCATCAGTAATACTGAGGAAGCTGCTACGTCGGTTTGACTTTCCCGAGGAGCAGCCGAGACCAAAGATGTTGACGCCTTTTCCGAACGATTCAGGGGATGCTTGGACTGGATGGGGACTCCAAGGAGTAGTGGGAGAACCAAACTCGTGAAGCGGACGAGAGAACTTGCCAAAATTGGCTGCAGGAGCTGGGGTGCCTCCACCGAGGTGAGGCAGCATGGTCTTTTTCGAGGGCGTGTCAGGCATGTTCATGCTGCTACCAAATGAAGACTGGGGAAGGTCGACATTTCGATTACGCTTAGAGATCAAGCCGGTCGACATAAAAGCCTGAGGCAATGGCTTTGCCATCTTGTAGGCTTCCGGCGTCTCGAACGAATCGCTCGAGCCACTCGAGTCGGTGTGTGGCTTTGGTCTGAGCGCTCCGATAGGCAGACTCTTGGAAAAGCCGGGGTAAGGTCTAGAGAACTGTGGCTTTTTCGGCGATAGACGTGGCGTGTCCTCACCAAGGCTTGATGCTGAACTTGATGGGCTCAGTGCTTTGGAGAGTGGGTGAGGTTTCGGTGCTGAACGAGAAATGGCCTTCTGTTCAGGGGGAGGAAGGTGGATCAAGGGTTCAAGACCACGAAGCGGCAGCGAGCCATCAAGAGACATTCTAGCCCGTGCCTTTGAGTGGCCACTCGGTGACTCGCTCAAGTCTGAGAAAGGCCTGGCACGAGGTGCTCCAACTACTCGTTGCTGGAGAGTGGTCCTTCGGAGGCTGAAAGGCTTGTTGCGTTGAGGAGATCTTTGACGCACAGGCGATACGGAAGTAGGCTCATCGTCGCTGAAGCCATTGTTGGCGCCTTCGAAGGCCTGCTCGAAGACATCGAAGTCAACACCGAGAGAGGCGCTATGCAAACTACGTCGCTTGGCTCTGGGACTACCAAGGTTGACCTGATCGAGATTCATAACCCCATCGCTGCGCTTCAGGGGACTTGATTTTGCCGGAGTTCCACTCATGGCCAATGACAAGCTGTTGCGGCCTTTGAGGAAATCGAACTTGATGGGTTCATCGTCGACTTCGAAGCGAGTGTCGCGGGGCACTTCCAGATGTCTTGAGGTGGGTGATGTCAGATATGCGTTCTCTTGGTCGCCGGGAGTGGGTTGTTGAGTTAGTTCCATGGCTACTGTGTTGGCCTGGCTGCTGGCGTCACTCAAAGCGCGTCTCAAAGTGTGTGGTGTCTCTTTGCGCGCATTGGCGCGAACAGGGGCGTTCCGTCGCAGCAACAACTTGTTCTTGAGGGACGAATCGGCGCCAGTGTTTGCACTTAGTGCACGCGATAGACCAGAGCGAGGAGGAGACTTCTTGGGAGACCTGGAGACGAGATGGTAACGCGACGGCTTCGAGGGAGAACGCGACAAGGAGCGTCGGATTTGTTTGATAGAGGGAAACGCGTCGATAGAGTATTGAGAGTGGGTCGGCGAAAGCATATGCAGAGTTCCTCCAGCTGAGCGGTGGGGAGAGTATTCGAAGTCCATGGCCACAATGACGGTTGGTCTGGGAGGACGGGGCGGCACGAAGCGCGTTTGAGGTGGACGCTGAAGGTTTGTATGTAGATGGAAGAGCTTGTGTCGCGAAGCGAGACGGTTGACAGAGCTAGGTTGCCATCAACACGCTTGACTCGAGTCTGGGTGAGGGCGTGTGCAGGACGGATGCGACAGATGCGACAGATGCGATCGGCGGCGCGGCAGTCAGGTGTACCACGACACGCAGACGGTTGTTGGATAGAGGATAGGTGTGGAATCAGGAAAACGGCGATCGCAGGAGGTCGAGTAATGATGGAAATTAGCGACGTTGTGGTGCTGAGGTCGTCTTCGATTTGGGTGCTTCGAAATGTAAACAAGGGTATGCGCGTTCGGTTCGAGTGGAGAAGATGTCGGGCGGCTTTGTTGACAGCTCGGAGTTCTTTTTCTTGCTTTGCTGGAATGTCGTAGAACTGGAATCACAAAGTCGAGCACTTTCGGGCGGGAAGGAAGAATGCGAGATGGAAGTCGTGAAATGGACGAGTATCTAGGAAGTCGCGAAGGCGCGGCTTTCGGGGCAGACACACAGACCTGGAAGGAAGGCGCTGCCTGCCAGCCACGCACAGGCCGCATTGCAGCTTTCTCTTCAACTGGCAACAATGCTCTGAACCCACTACTCGCACTGGCGCCTATGTGCATAACTACCTAACGGACACGATGACGACCAATTTCTTTTGACACCTTGCGAACTCTGGTCCGCCTGCTTCAGACACGTCAAATGTCCTGCTCAGAGGCCCCAATGAGCTGAGCTCTCAGTCGCCAAGACCGACTCCATGTGTTTACACAACAACATCGGAATCAAAACAAAGCGCTCTGTATAAGTAATTGCTTTTATGTTAATGACACATTGCCATGAACATCCTCTCCTTTCACAACCTTAGTACATTAGCTAGTTGAACCACTGTACATCACCGGCTCGCTATGCACTAGCCACATTATTCGTCTACCGTCCAGCCTCCAGCTGGACGATTCATTGCCGTTGGCCCCCCTGCTGTGTTCATAAGCTCCCCAACTACAACATGTCCGAGGGGGCAGCTAAATCGAGTTATGACTTAGCGCCAGAGTTCACATGATGGAATTGCTGGGACTAGCTAAGCAACTTCCTTCCCACTATTCAAGACGATGTGTGTTTCACCGCCTTGGACAAGACTTGCCCGCTTCCCGCTTGGAAATTGAAGTTGCAAGACTCCTCTCGATCTTGCACAATGGCCATTGTCGATTGTCTATTTATACAACATACACTCGATTGTCTGAAACCAGGAGGCTGCTCTGGCATAACGGTCATGGAAGGGGATGAAGTTAATGCCGTACCGTTTGCGAGATGGCTGTACATCAACGTTGTACCAATACCCTGGGGTGGTTCCCCCTTCAGCTTTGGTTGACTCGAGTGGGTTTTCCCTGTTTATACAAAGGCCTAGCTATGTAGCTGCATAGTTGGCGTGCAATTGAATCCAGGGCAACCACGAGGAAAAGGGGGGGCTCTGCGGATTCACTGTCCGTACATATCTCCTCAATACTCTTGACCGGCTGACTCGCAATCCACATCTCGTGCTTGTCCACTCCTCAACGTTTCGCTCATAATCTCTGCTTCTGACTCGGGATGCCACCTCTGACTACACCGAGCACAACAGAGCACATGTTCCTGCCGATATCCTAGCCAGCTCAAACCCATCATGGTGGCTTTTTTTTTGTTATTTCCGAGTCCCGATGACCACGATCACCCTCGTGGACAGAAAAGTTCATGGCGCGAACGCCGCGCCTAGGCATCAAAAGGCGAAGGTAAACCCACGAACCCACTTCCCTCCCCCAGACCGCACCGTGCGCCCCTGTCACTCCTTGTGCTTTGCTCACCGCTGCCGGCTCCTCGATGCAGGTCCCAGACGACCTGCAGCCGATCTTAAAGACAACCCTAGATTCTGTGGACCATCTGGTCGGCCTTACTGCAATGCCCAGTTCAACATCCGCGAGCAAGAGATGAGAAGGACAAGCCACGATCATCTGACGAATCTCATAGGATTGAAGCCTCATGAACAACTCAAATACAGATATTGCTGTTGTCGTGGACATTGGAGCTAGGTATCCTCGATACTTTGTTTACCAGTGCCTCTCTCCGCTTCTCATGAAACGTGGATAAAAAGTTACACAGCTTTTAGCATAATGTCAATCATAAACTCTATCTTATGCTGATCACCGACCATTAGTGATACCCGCAACCTTGAGTGTGGGGGTTGCAGATTCGAGAGGTCGAGCTTTCGAATTAGGCATCAAGGCAAGCATGCAGTAGTCACTCTGATGCTACAAGCCCACAAGGCGGTGCAAGGAGCATTGTTCAGGAGAGTTGGCGGCTCTGGTTGCCACAGCATCGCAGCCACACAGAAACCTGACAGCTACTCTTTCCTGGTTTGCTGCTAGGAGGTGGAAAGTGACAGTACTGTTCTTACGTGTTGCCTGTCGTCGCCTCATGCTAGTGACACATGTTGCTATAGAGTTGACACAAGGTCTAGCGGCATCAATGCATAGACTCGACTGGAAATGGGCAGAATTTAGAGAGAGTTATACACAACCATGCTCTCAGTGGACGCTGCTTTGGTTTGACAGGTTTGGGAATGTTGATAGCTACGTTCAGACAGACTCGCCATTATGGGACACCTGCGCTTGTTTAGGAGATTGCATGCTCGCTTTCAATTGCCATTCTTCTCTTTGCAGACCTCATCGCGATATCAAAAGGTCCATGCCTCGTTTCCTTACTCCAGATGATTTTCCTGTCAGCTATCATTCATATGATCCTCCAAGCCACCCAAGACATTCATCTCGATCTCGAAGGATGCACCTTCCTTACCATATACCTGGCTTTCATTCTTGCGCAATTTCAGATTGGCGGGTTGCAGGTAAATTGTTCTCCGCCATCGCCGTTGCCTGTGGAAAGTCGTTCGGTACGGACCGAGCATCTTCCGTGACGGAGGATTGTTTTGGACAATTTAACACAGCCCTATCCTCTCATCCGCTATGCATACCGAATCGTGTTTGATGATGGAGTGACCGCATGGGTATACACGTTAGCATCTGGAAGACGCCATTTCATCCCCGACATTTGACGTCCAACGACACCATGCGTGGTACGACAGACGCATGACTCCTGATGCCCGTATCTAGGTCCGAGTACGGATACGGTATTGATAATAATCTTGATCCTGAATCGTGGTCGGAGCCTCAGCTATGCATGTTGATATCGATCAAACGTCGCTCTTCTTCTTGCCCTGATTCCGGAGTCTGGATTTGCGGATGCCCTCTTCGACCTTGTCCTTACGCCAGGTACAGACTTCAGCAAATTCGCACATCCGACACTTGAAAGCCTCTTCGATCTCCACACCCTTCGGCATCCGTTCGCCGTTCCACCAAGCCATTGTCTTCTTCAGGTAGGCGTCTAGTACATCAGAATCGTACGCAAAGGTCTTCGATCCGATGACAGAGCCGCTGCCGGATGCCCTGAATTCGGCCCTCAAAACATCACCGATGGGAGACGGTGATGATGGCTTATTGGAAAATGGTATGGTGAGCTGAAACTCCGATATCATCAAACTCCAGAGTTTGTCAAGGCTGTTGTGGGCGAGCAGCTCATCGATCGGGTCCTGTCCCTCATGAACAGGCAAGTCTGAGTGTTCAACCGATCCACTGTGTAAATCGGTTTCGATGCTTCCCAATTGAGCAATAAACATGTCGCTAAACGAGGCACTGCTATCGACGCTATAACGAGTGAAGACTTGCTCAGCAGGTACCGAGTTCGAAGCAAGTAGTGAAAGCATCCGGTGGTACATCATCAGCTGCATCGAGGTCGGTCGGAACGAGGCCTCGCCCTTTGGCATGCTTCTCGAACCACGAGTCTTGACGTCCGTGATGTAAATCCTGCGATTGTGATGTGGGTTTCCAAGCCATGCGCTGTCGTCGGTTTCGGCTTTTTGAGATCCAGTAAAGAAAGTATTCAAATTTGTCTGACTCTCGGGAACGACCTTTTGCTTCTTTGGCCTCCCTCGCTTGGGTGCTTTGGTTTCTTCTCTCTTCTGAATAATGTCCGCCTCGAAATCTTCATCGGGGCAATCGTAACTGAGCTCGTCGATAATGCCGTTGACGACCTGACCTTCGATGACAGCCCAAGTTTCAAATTCACGAGCCATTCCAGTCGTCCTGAGCATACGTAGATTTTGTATAATGTTCCAGATCCGCAAGCCAAAGGCATCCTCTTTCGTCTCAACGTCCACAGAAATAGCCTTTTGTACTTGGGCTCCAGTAGCTTTGTGTACTGATGCACTCACAGTGTCCACGGCGACTGGCTCGAGCTTTCCCTTCTCCAGGACTTGGTGTATCAGACCTCCAACAACGTCCAAAGGCACTGCGGTACGCTTCTCTTGGTCGAGTGCCTTTTGCACGACCTGCTGGACCGTGTCGATTGGCACAACTGCCTTCAACTCTTCTTTAAGAATCCTCTCGACAAGTAGCTTTATCGTGTCAACAGGCAGAACCGTAGCAGCTTGCTCTTCAAGAACCTTGTGAACCGAGGAGCCCTGCTTCATGGCTGCGGTTCGTCGGACTCTTCCATATTTGGTCAAGCTGTACCAGTATTGCAGCTCGCACCAGGCAGGTGATACGATATCGGTTACGGAGAGATTCTTCTTGGGTGGGGTGCGAAAGCGGTCAATCGGGGATCGTGGGTCCAAGGGATCTGGTTGTTCGGGACCAGTGTCTACTTCACGCGATGGCACTGACAGACGGGCTGCATCTGGACGAGCTGTAAAACGCTGTCGTCAGCGGTCAGCCCAAATGTACGGCCACAGGAAGAGTGGCTTACGGGAGAAAGATGTACGATTCTGCTCGTCGTATTCGATCTCGATTGAAGCTTCACCGACGGGACCATCACGAGAGACCATCTCGAAGACGACGCCCTCATCGTCGACATATTTGCGCCTAGTGCCTCTGGCGAAAGGCGACAAAGAGAGCGTGCCCGGCAGGTCTTCAACATTGTTGGTTACCGAGGCAGAGGGCTGCGATACGGCTTCGGTGAGGAGGATTGAGAGGGTGGCTTCGTCGTCTGTTCCAAAGTCGGATCCATAGTCGCTTTCTTTGCCATCGTCTAACGTGACGTCCTGGCCAGTCATGATGCCTTCGTCATCATTGTTGGTGGCAATCGACTGAGTGATGTTGGGTTGCACAATTCCTGCAACACGAGAGCTGACCAGGTGGACTTGTGTGTATATGTCCCTTGCGCCTGCCGGTACTCAGTAATGCTCGTTTGCGCGATTGAACAATTGCTTTTTGCCGATTCCTCTGTTGCTCTTGCCGTCTAGAGGTAGATTTAATTCGAAGCACAGAAGCTTTCCTAGAGAACGTGCGCTGCAATGGAGCGCAGTGGAGGTCCGCCTTGATGTTCTATAGTGGACATGTTTGCGGTCTATATCAAATGACGCCAACCACGCGCTCGCGTCTTCCATCTCACGTCCATTCAACTTCTCTCAGCGGAATTGAACATTGTCAAAAAGATGCCTCCTCAGTTGTCCAAGAAGCGTGCCAGCAAGGCTGATGATTACAACTCTGACGACGGTTTCGTCGAAGACGCTCCCAAATCAAACAAGCGTGCCAAAACCAGCCAGCCAATCTCCAAAGACAAGCAACTTGATGACGATGGCAACCCTTACTGGGAGGTATGCTATAGCGCACATGGTACCTATAAATCAGATACTGACCTTTTCAAATAGCTTTCTGGAAAGCGTCGTGTCACTCTCTCAGAGTTCAAGAAGATGCACCTGGTTAGTACATTCCTCTATTGGAAAATTGTGACAAGTCGAATCCTCATGCACATCTACAGATCAACGTCCGCGAGTACTACGAGAAAGACGGAAAGATGCTTCCTGGAAAAAAGGTATGCAGTTGATTTTTCTGCCGTTTCTGCAATGCCAGCTAACCTATCCAGGGCATTTCTCTTTCTTTGGAACAATTCTCGGCTTTCCTCGAGGTTCTTCCTGAAATCGAAGCAGCTCTCAAGTCTAAGGGTCAAGAGCTCCCTCGTCCAAACTACGCCTCAGAGGGTCCTTCGATTGCCGCTGAGTCGGAACAAGAGGAATTCGAGACTGAGACCGCCGACGTTGAACCAGAGACGAAGACCGACACTTCATCCAACAAGCTCGACAAGTTCAAATACGGCAAGAAGAACCATGAGGCCACGAGTGATGAAGAGGATTGAAACTTTGTCTGAGCAGCAACTCACTTCACCAAGAACAATGAGCGAGCGTGTTGACTCGTCGCTTGACGCTAAAACGAGGCCATGGTATACACAAAGAGATGATGGCCCATGATATGATTACGACTTTGCTTTTTTACTCGAGATACCCATTAGAATGATAAGCAAACATGCTGACAAGCTCTTTCCAATTGGAGTAGCATTTCCAGAGAATAAGACCAATCTCTTGCTTTTTATGTTACTATGTCGTCTGAGTTTTGAAGTACACGCCTATTCCTCCTCTGCGTTTAGATCACAAAGCAACCGCACCCGGTTTATTCGGCTCAGAAGGATCCGGATCAGACACCACCCCACGCCTAATGTACCCCGCGCGGGGCCCCAAACGCATCACGACAATCATCTCACATCGATCTTCAAGCGGAAACGCTCCGTCAACCATCAATACTCGAGTACAAGACATCAGGTACTACATCACTTGAGCCGCTTGCCTCGGCAGCCTCCAGCTATTTTGTTTTCCAATCTCATACCGGAGTTATCGGACCTCATGTTTCCTTTGCGTCGTATACGCTTCCCCTCTTTCACACCTACGCAAGCCTCGTTGCCGTTATAGCAAGCGTAGCCGGATGTAGACATGTCAACGCGTCTTCTTTCAAGCCTGATGCTTGTGATGTCTTCTTGGTGAGCTTGTTTTCACATTCCCCTTGCCTAAACCTACGCGACCACAAGGTAGGTCCTGACAGATAACGTTGAAGTAAGAAGCAACTCAGGCTATTCGGTGTAGTGTCGAACTTCAAAACCACGCTTCTTCTTGTACTTTCTCAGTCCGTCACTTGCAACCGTAAACGGCAGGTACTGGTGTGTCGATCTGGAGACCCCGGAGAGGGACATCTCATTCCAAGCCACGCTGCATGTATGCAGGAGCATCGATCCTCGCGAGGCGAACACGGTTGGAAGGCCGAGAGATCCGGTATGTCTCATTTACCACTTGCCGTCTCGCAGCGGTCGATGAGACGAGCTCATTATTACGATGGAGTAAGTATTGCTGCTGGTAACCTCGGCAAGGGAATGGTATATGAGGACGTTCTTACCCTTGTTGTTGTGATGTGTCGAACCCATTTGACTTTTCTGAGCTATTGAACAGCTCCAAAACTATAACAGTCATGTCGGACTTGTCACATGTTCAACGACTTCACACGAATGATCTCGAGTTGGGAGCAACGGAGGTATGTATCACTCTTGTCTCTAAATTGCTCCCTTTCTGACCATCTACAAGGCAATTCAAAAACATTACGAACGCCATGTCGTCTCTACCAAGGCTGTCTCTCAGCGTAAACTAGACTTCGAACGAGCGAGACCAAGATGGCTTCGTGAGATGATGGCTGAAGCGTACGTGGTACATCGGCACGAGCCAACATCCAACAGACGTCGTTCAATCCTTAAATCATGGTGTATCTCGATCATCTCAACGCAAAAGCCTTGGGGAGGATTGTGAGCTATCGTCGAGAGTCCTTCTCTGTCATAACCTGGCAAGGCTCTCTTGGTCATGGCACCCAACTGCTCATGTCTATGCCTTGTAATGATCAGAGGAACAGTTCCGTCTACTGTCTGTCGAGCTTGTGCTGACTCTGTTTCACATTTCAGGACTGGAGTCTTCTTCTACGTCTATCCTGGCATTGCTTCAACTGCGTCTTTTCTGCTCAATGAAACCAATCCTGCATTCGGAAGTCTGCTTCAAGTCGGATTTGCATTCGGCTTCGGTATCGCCTTTGCTATCATCACTTGTGGTTCGACCTCGGGAGGGCAAGTACTTCATCTCCACTTACATGCCTCAATCTAACATCGTCATAGTCACTTCAATCCAGCCATGACGATCTGCTTTGCAACTTGGCAAGGCTTTCCCTGGAAAAAGGTTCCCTACTACATCTTCGCCCAAATCTTCGGTGCCTTCATGGCCGGTCTTTTCGTCTATGGCCAATATCATGAACAAATAGTCGCCTACTCTGCTGCAACCATCGCAGCAGGAAAAGGCACAGTCTTCAACGGCGGACCTGCAAGCATCTTCTGCTCCTTCCCCGGTGAAACACAAACAAATCTCGGATACCTCTTCATGATCGAGTTTTTCGTCGACTCATACATCGGTATCATTATCTGGGCTTGTCTGGACCCTGCCAATCCTTTCGTATCTCCTCAAGCCGCTCCTTGGGCCATCGGTAAGTCATAATATCCCAAATTGGTATACCAGTCCCAAAATCCACCCTCCAAAATTTGGCCGATGGTATACCAACCCCCCTCCCACTCAACAACCCTACTGACTGTATTTTATGCCTCGCATACTCTACTATGGTATGGTCGTTCGCGGACATCACAATAAGCACAAACATGGCCCGTGACCTCGGCACCCGCCTCGTCGCCCTAATCTTCTTCGGCCGCGAAGCCTTCACCTACCACTCCTACTCCTGGATCTCCATCCTCGTCAACATACCCGCCACCCTCTTCGCCACAGCCTACTACGAAATGCTCATGCGAGACAGCTTGCAAAAAATAGGTAAAGGGGCCGCCGTTCACGAACACGGAGAAGAAGGCTTGAATTTGCATTTGACCAAGAGTGGTATTTCTGGGCAGCAACAGGGGCCCTTGAGTCCTGGGATGCAGAAGGTGTTTAGTTTGGGGTCGCAGGGGAGTACGTTGCATGAGGGACATAAAATGGAGCCGGGGTTTTCGTTGGCGGCGGAGAATCGTACTAATGGGGGCATTTGAGAGGGGTATGTAGACGGTCGAGAGAGCCTGCTAAGAGTGATGGGAGCATGGTAAAACTGAGTCGAGTATTGAAACGCACAGATTGGCTTGAGTCCAGACTTATATACAGCTTTGAACAGATGAAATGTCAGTTTTGAGCCTCCCCATTTGACATCGCATTAGCCATATCGCTGTTTGGAGAAGTCAAAGAGTCGCTACCTCCAGTAAGTTTGACACTCAATGTTCAAGACTCATATGCTCACACTCGGGCAACTATGATAGCTCGCCGAGGACCTAAGTGACCATGTTCGTTCCTGCGATCTAATCGGACAATAAACGTGCAGCAACAGCGCAACAATATTTGATGCGACTAACGAGAACGATCAGTTTCGAACACGAGAATGATGAGTAAGACAAGTCGATGAGAAGTGTATGAGATGGATGCAAAGCGCGTTCGTTCTTCCTTTTCGCGCACCAACGAAATATTACTAGCTATTGTACAATGTTTTGTTCCCTTCCCCCTTCCTAATCACTCCGCGAAAAAAGAATGCTAATGACAAGATCCGAACTGATACACCGAAACTAATACCCAAGGCTGCAGCAATCGGAAAGCGATTGATGGACAGAGTGACCGCGGAATCGAGTTGGAGTGGTGGAGCGCGGTGTGAGTGTTAGTGCGATGCTTGAGCGGGCTTGTTGCCGGCGAGCGCCGAAGCCGTGTCCTCTCTTTTCGTTGATGATAAAGAGTTACAGAGTCATGGACGTGGCTAAACTCTCAGCAAGAAAACAATGATTCTCTTGCATAAGCTTTGTATCGAGTGTAGACGTCGAATTCCGTCTGTGAACCCGTGTCGATTACTGGTCGGGCATGGCGGCAAGCTTTCTGGCAATCAGTGTCTGGAGCAGCTCCAAACTCTTACGCTGCTGCGCCAAGCTTTGCTCTGTGTGTTGATCCGATGCGGGAGGTGAGGGTGGGCCTGTCGTGTCCGATGACTTGGCCTCCTTCTCAGCTTCGATCATTTGCGCAACTACATCAGCTGGCGCCTCAGCCTGGTAGATAGAGTCAGTCACGGTGTTCAAAAGCTGTTCAAGAAGCTGTGTCTTACAATGAGGGTGGTGAGCAGACCACTGACTTGGTCACCGTTGAAGTCGAGGTCGGCTTGCTGATTGGCAAGACCGACAAGATCGAGAGCAGTACGCTGTTCCACGAAAGAGCGACGGAAGAAATCGGTTTGTTCCATCGCCCTTCTCTTGTTGGGGCGAGAGTAAGCCTGAGGATTGCTGTAGTACTGTTCAGCTGCTCGGCCACTGAGAAGTTGTTAGAACAAGATTTGTCGAATCGCAGTGCAAACAGCTTACCGTCTGACTCTGTCAATGAAGTCGAGCTTGATACCCTTCTCAGGTAGGCGATAAACAACTCCAGAGACATCGACTTCCTCAAATTCGGAATCATCGTCGCTCGAGTCATTGGCTATCTCAATCACACCATCGTTGACGAAGTCACGATTGAGTGCAGTGTCAACAACCTTTGCACCACGAGGTCTGCGCATGTGTATTCTTCGTTCCCTCTGGAACTGGCGGTCAGCAAGACGAGGCACTTCCATCGCGCGAAGCGCGTGATCGGCATGCAACGGGCAAAGCCAGTCACGGATCTTTCTGCCAGTATGATCGCGATAAGGAGCATTGGCAAGAGGTGGGTCGAGACAATCAAGATGCCAGTGAGCGCTACACTGATCACAAGTGATAATCTCGCGTCGACCAAGAGATGACAGCGAGCAGTTGTAGCACAAGATAGCCTGACCTTTAGCATCCTTTGTCTTGAAGTGGTCAGGCAGCTCATCATATCCGGCACCTCTTCTGTAACAAACGTCAGTAAATCTTTCGGAGTCATATCGCTTGCACGAGGTCTGTTAAACAACAAGCGTTTCTGGTGCTTGGTTCCAATCTCATGCGCATCGACTTACCGAGTCTTTGTAGCGAGCTGCTCTACGAACTTGCCGTCCTTAGCGGTAGCGACACCATCAAAGTATTCGCGAATGTCCTGAGGGAGTACGAAGTTTGACGGGTTACGCTTATCAAGGTTGAGAAGCAACGCAGCGAAGAGGCCACGAGAATGTCTCTGGGGCTGTGCGCGCTTCGCTGTACAGCCAAAACAGTACCATGCCTCATTCAACTCAGGCGCATCTTGACTCAAGGGAGGATCAAGGCAATGGAGATGAAACGAGCTATCGCAACCATCGCAGCAAAGAAGGAATCCGCTGGTATTGCAAGCTGTGCAATAGTCGTTGTTGTCGGACTGAAGAAGGGGTGTTAGCGAAGGACTTTTGCAGCAAATTTTCATGGTAGACGTGGTCGAGATGCAACAAGCATGACGAATATGTAAGTAGGGGAGAGATCACGAATGTGCACAGATGGAGGCCTGCAGGAAGTTCGTACCTCTTCGTTCACATCAGGCCCGCCGGGGCTGGCTCTCCGGCTAGTTCCGTCCTCGTCAGCACTCTGCCCCGGTGCTTGCTTTTTGACTGGCCTGCGCGCAAAATTGTGGTTAGCATTTTGATAACCGTAGTCTCTGATACGCGGAAGAGTAGAACCGCTCAATATACTGCGCGTAGTTCCAGAGATGGGAGAGACGTACGAGTTTTTGGTTTTGGCCTTCTTCTTGAAGAGCTTGGCAGGCATGCTGGTTCTCTTTGGCGTATTTCTACGAGATGTAGACGAGAGCGGTGACGAGACTTCGGTCAAAGACGATGCAGCATCTGCAGAAATGTCTCTGCTGCGCGCATCACTTGCAGTGAGTTGCACGGGTGGCACCATCAAGTTTTTGTGCACCTTGGGGATGGCGGATAAATCTGGTCGTACGTGGCTTTCTTCAGTGGGAGCGTCTCGGTTGACAGTCTCGTCGAGTTTCTGCTTCTTTGCTTGGAACTGCCGGTCATCCTCGTCGTTTCCGGCTTCCATGGACGAGCGCTTACCAGAGCCGTTTGTGTCTACGGGAGCCGCAAGCGTTGTTGGGGCCACAGTCGAACGGGGCGGATAGGGAGGTGGAGAATAATGTGGTGCCATTAGTGCTTGAGGTTCAGGGGTTTCTTCGATTGAGGTGAGTGATGAAAGAGACGAAGAGCTCGAGACGCTAGATGCGCGCGGCTTGGTTTTGGCTGGAAGAGGTGCTGGTGAGTCAACCGGCTTGCTGACGGCTTTCGTGTTTTTCGTCATTTTAAGTGAAATCTTCGGTTTACGTGGAACAGCCTGATTTTCGATAGAAGGGCGCGGAACCATTTCGGGAGCTGGTGAAGAGGTTCGTTTGATCTCACTCGGCAACTTCTTTTTCATAGCAGTTTCTTTGGCCTTGATCTTCTTTTTGGCCTGATTGATGTGCTCTCTAAAAACGGCAATCTCACCTGGCGTAGAGGTCTGATCGAGAATACCCTTCAATAAATGTACCAGACGCGGGTCTGAGAAACTTTCCAGATAAACGTCTTGAATGGCGAGACCAAGAATTTTGTTCCCAACCTCCATGGATTTTCTCACTGCAGCTTTCACAACATTGTGGAGATTGCGCTGGTCTGGGTCAGACGGTATCGGAACCACCCGATCGAATGCTTTCAAGTGACGAATGACTTCCTCCTTTGGCAAGGGGTTTGGTGGATGCCTGGCAGAAGCGGTGGGAGCACTAGAAGCAGGAGGAGCAACAGGAGGGGCAACTGGTGTGGCTGAAGCGACAGGGGTAGCAACAGATGAGGGCACAGGGGTCTCAGAGGCCGTGACCGAAGGCGTAGTGGGTTTTGGCGAAGCAGTTGACTTGGCGTTGATAGCAGCTGAGCGAGAGAGACGGGCCTTTGCAGGCTTCTTGGAGGGGCGTGGCGTGTAGTCATCGTCACGCTCATCATCAACAATGACCAGAGGTTGCTCGGGCAGGACTTCCATGGGGGCAGGAGTTGTTTCTGGAGTAGCCTGATTGGAAGCAGTGGCCATGGGATTGGCTAGGGACTTGTTCAGAGCGTTCTTTCTGGGACCGTCTGGCTTCACCCTGCCTCTGACCTTTGCTGTCGGCCGGCTACCCAGAGCCTGCATGTCTTCGAGCACTCCGTAGGGGCCTCCACCATGGTCCTCAAAACTCGGGATGGGCGATGCGAGTGGCGGTTCTATCCAGTCCTGGGTAGAGACATTCGGAGCAGGAGGCTGGGCGACACTGCGGTTTTGGCCTGACGCTGCGGTCGATGCACGGGGGCTCCGGTTCCTGCTCCTGGTCGACGGCGTCGAATCCATTTTATTTTATAGCTCTTTCTAGGCCAGAGATGCCTCTTTTCTTAGATGCGGCGGTACAGTATTCGGTTCGGTGGAAGTCGCGATGTTGGGTAGGGAGGCAGGTACGTCGAATCTGAAGCGTGCGAAAGCCGTGACGCCTACGACTTTTTTCTGGTCGCGTAGAAACACCCTCTCCAGACGCCGAATCGCTCTCGCTCTTGCTTAAAGGATTGTTCTTCGTGTCCGGCTCGCTCACTCTCCACTTCGAGGCCTCACTGCGACCTATGTGTGCTGTGTCGAGGCGTGTGGCTTCAAGGAATCTCATCGCCGTGCCAAGGGGAGCCAAACACCCAGCCCCTTCTTCAACAGTCTTTCATCATCATCACACACCACCTTCACGTTATCACTTGTTCCCAGTCTGTCTGCTAACTTGTCTGACGTGATGCGTAATATTGCTAAGGGCTGAGTATGAACACTCATATCTGACTTCGATTTGCTTTCGACTAGTGCCTGGCATGCCATCTCTGACTTCCCCCTCGAGCCATAAGCACCTTCAACTCGTGTCTTGCCCTGCTGTTCATGCGTTGAGCCTGTCATCCTACTGCATCTCCACCATGAGAGATTTTTCAGTATGGCTGCTCAGCCTCGATCAGAAGCTTTCATCCTTGAACATTTTTGTGTCCCTTGGTAGGAACTTATGCCTCGGTGGTCTCAGCCTTCTTGGCGCTGGTCTTCTTCTTCTTGTTCTTGTTCTTCGAGTCCTTAGCAAGAGGCTGCTCAAGAATCTTCAGGACCTCCTCGTCGGTGATCTTCTTGTCGGTCTTGAACTTGGTAAGGTCAGGAGTGGGGGGTGCACTCAGGCGGCTGATACCGTTCTTGGTGACGGCTGTTTTCTAGATTAGAGAATTGTACCACTTTTTTGGAACATCACGCAAACTTACCAACAGTGGTGAACAGACGGCTGACAGCCTCGTTGTCCTTGTCACCGATAACCTCGTACTGGCGGAGGACGCCACCACGGACACATTCGACGACACCGACCTTTCCGGCGCGCTCGTCTTCCAGCTGGCGGAGAGAGAAGGGGAAAGTACCGAACTTCTTGACAACCTCGGAAAGAGTGGCTCTCGAGCTGGGTCTCTTCAGGCCGTAGGTAGTGGTGGTGCGGCGGTGAAGAGTGGCACGGTTGCCCAGAGACTTGACCTTGCCGGTACCCAAGCTGACACCCATCTCGACACCCCAGGCCTCGCCGACCTCGGGGAGACCATCGCCTCTGACGCCCTCGCCAGGAGCCAAGATGATCTTCTTCTTGCCCTCAATCTCGTTTCTCTCGAATTGCCAGCAGGTGGTGTTCTCGACCAGGTTGCAGTCGTAGCTCTTGACGACCTTCTCGAGGAGCTGGGTGATCTTGCCCTGGCTGTAGGGCTTCTGGGCACGTGCCTTGGCAATCTCCTCTTCGGAGCCAGAGGCGAGGGTACCAGGAGGGAGCATGGTTCTCAGAAGGAGTTCGTTGGCGTAGTAAGTGGCAAGGGCGAGATCGGCCTGGCGGCCCTCGAGTTCGCCGTTGGTCGAGGAGACGACGATTGAGTCGCAGACGATGGCACCAAAGCCGTCAATCTGAGCACCAAGCTGGATCTTGACGCACTCGCCAGCCTTGAGCTCGACGGCGGCCTCCTCAGCGTCGCTCTTGAGGGGAGTGTAGGGGGTGACAAAGGCGCTCGGCGAGACGGTGGTGGGGTGGGCGACACCCTTAGCGATCTTCTTGCCCTTGTAGACCTTGGCAATCTCCTCGTCAAGGAGCTGGTCGCCCTTCTCACAGACGTCGACGATCTTGGCGCCCTCAGTGCACCATCCTTGAACACATGTCAGTCTTCAGTCGCCTGTTGTTTGCGGTCACGCCATGTACCTGTCACGGCCTCCAGAACCTTCTGAGAGATCTGAGCGGCGGTCTTGTACTTGGTGAGGCTAGTGTCGACGTCAGCGTATGTCACTTTCGAGGGCAGTCGGGGATTGGGCCGTACGTGTCTGGGTTGTTCAGACTGTAGTCTACTCGCAAAGTCAATTAGCTTCTGATTATTCCAGCATTCGACATCATGTCGGGGTTGCGCCTACCAATCTCAGCTGATTCGGTGGCCATTTTGAAGATCTGGTTTGGATTCAAATAGATCTAGGGAATATGTAAAGAGGTGTGTAAGAGTTTTGACGTTGTCGCAGAAGGAACTTCGGTGGTTGCGGTGCACAGCTCAATTTCGGCGCCTGTGCGGGGCAGCAGAATCAGCTTCGTCATTGCCATTTCTACCACCCTCTTCGCACTGTGTTTCCATGAGCTGATGCACGAATGGCAGCTTGAACTTTGGCCAGGGTAGCTCATGTCCGCCTAGCTACAGAAGACCTGTTTCATTGTACAGGTCACTGACATATCACTACACTCACAACCTACATTGCAGCTTGCCGAACCCTGGGCTGTATCTTACCTTCACTATCAAGCATACACATGTGCCAGAGACAGGAGACTCATTTGAATCAATAAAGCGAATACGACCGTACATGTTGATTCTGCCCGTGCTATGTTTTGTGGTTGGTTATTGACATGCGGCGACACCTCAGTCAGTTCAAATGGGAATAGATTGACAGGGGCACAAATCATAGAATCCAGGGACCAAGAGTTTCTACTTATTGATAGTACTTTGGGCAGATGTTTGACGGGTGATTGTCTCATAAAGTACCAAGCCGAAGCAACTGAACCATGTATGAGTAGCTACAGTACCTACACTAGGAATTTATTACTGTTTGCACGCACTACCTATTTGTAGAAGACACAAGGACGTGTTTCAACGAGCTACAATAATTCTACTCACTTTGAGTCGTGCTATACATAACCCAATTTGCTACACAAGGCAGCTGAAGCTCCACTTAACAATCACTCACATCGTAGGAAGGCTCTCTGGTTACAAAACAAGGAGAGCAGTGCCATTACGACAAAATGACTGCTCACTTGCTTCACGGCTTGTTTGTTCACTTTGTTGAGCCAAGCCATGGAAGCGCGTTGGCTCTTAAAGAACGTCAAGGCTGCCTACAAAACGTCTGACAAACTAATTCGCTCTCAAGTCCAGAACGTGGTGCTGGAACTATCGAACGATCGGGGGGATGGACCAAACGTCGGTGCGCGTTGGGTACCCACGTCACTCGCGCCTACTTTGTAGAATCTTCCAAACTGATTGTTATCAAAACCTGCTCACATACACATTAAAAGGATAACAGTATGGGTCAATCGGTGCACTTTTGACTTTTCTATTCTTCTTGACCCCCACGACTTTACAACCTGCCCGGGACACCCGCGGAAACAGCAGAAACAGCTCAAATTGCGGTGTAATCACCTGGAAATAGCAGAGGTATGTACAGCGACTTCAGCCTCACCCATCATCTTTGCCTTGAGATCGCAGTGCTTTGGTCGTACGAACCAACAATCTGATCTGTACTCGCACGATCTCACGGAATGGAAGCGGCGAGCGCATGTCCCATGTTCGTCTATGTGGGATGCTGACCAACTGCTTAGCTGTTATAATTCTACCCCCCAGGACCACCATGGCAAACCGCCCTCCCAACCCGCGACTTGGCTCAATCAACCCGGTTTTTGACCCAAAGAACAGTGAAATTCCCGTGACCCCGGCTGTTGACACTACTGGACGTACTTCTTTCTTCCAGACCCAACAGATCTCTTCCCCTGAAGTGGCCTCGCCTGAAGGTATTGAGTAGACAGCATCAGTGTCAAAATACAGTCAAATAACTCGTGTACAGGTCAAAACGATGGTGCTGGAGAAGACGTCCTTCGTCGTCTGAGCTTAAGAGGACATCAACAACCTACTGACCAAGCCGATACTGACCCAAAGCTTGCCCACCCCAGCTTGAACCTGAGCGGTCAAGTGATCAGTGCTTTCTTCACGGTACCTTACAAGATCGGCTATGCTCAAGGATCAGACTGGGATCTTGCGTCTCGTAGAGGTACCTCCGCACTATTCGATTCATTCGCCCATCTCTCATCAAACGGATCTCCATGGAACCACACGCTTGTTGGCTGGACTGGAGAGATTCAGCCAAAGACTCGCAACGGGGTTTTCATGGACGAGAACAATGTGTCTTCCATGAACGTCGCACCTCTCAACAAGGCATCTGCGCCTATTCCCGTCGATGCTCATGTTCCGGCGCCAGAGCCCGGTTCCACCGAAGGCATGAGAATCACCAAAGAGGATCGTCAGAAGCTGGAACGCATCCTCGACCGCGATCCTCAGGGCAGAACCTTGCCTGTCTGGTTGCCGGACGAGATGGACGGCGATGTGGCAGTCATGAAGGACCAAGCTAGATGGCGCCGCTACGCCGAGCACGAGCTGTACACTCTGTTCCACTACAAGCAAAACGAGCCTACCGATGGTCGTGCTATCCGCAAAGCTTGGGCTGACTACTTCCGTCTGAACAAGGCCTTCGCGGATGCCATCTGCTCGACATACAAGCCTGGAGACGTTGTGCTCATTCACGACTACCATCTGCTCCTACTTCCAGGACTTCTCCGTCAGCGCATCCCGAACATCTACATCGGTTTCTACCTTCACGTACCTTTCCCCAGTAGTGAGTTCTACCGTTGCTTGAGCAGAAGAAAGGATATTCTGGAGGGTGTCCTCGGCGCCAACATGATTGGTTTCCAAGCTTTCAGCTACTCGCGTCACTTCTCATCGTGCTGCACCAGAGTGCTCGGATTCGATTCTTCGGCCAACGGGGTCGATGCTTACGGAGCTCATGTAGCTGTGGAAGTACTCCCTATTGGTATCAACGCCGCTAAGACTCATGAGATGGCTTTCAATGATGCTGCTGTTGATGAGAAGATTGCCGGTATCAGAGAACTGTATGCTGGCAAGAAGATCATTGTTGGTCGTGATCGTTTGGACTCTGTTCGTGGTGTTGCACAAAAGCTGCAAGCATACGAAATCTTCTTGGAGCGTCACCCCGAGTGGCATGACAAGGTTGTGTTGATCCAGGTAACCAGCCCGACCAGTGTGGAGGACAAGGAAGAAGGCACGGATAGGACCGCGAATAAGATTTCCGACCTGGTTGCCAGAATCAACGGCACCTACGGATCTCTAAGCTTCACCCCAGTTCAGCATTACCCTCAGTACTTGTCAAGAGAGGAATACTTTGCGCTCCTTCGTATTGCTGACGTCGGACTGATCACCAGTGTTCGTGACGGAATGAACACTACTGCTCTCGAGTATGTCATTTGCCAAAAGGACAACCATGGTCCTTTGATCATCTCGGAATTCTCGGGAACTGCTGGCAGCTTAGGCAATGCTACACACATCAACCCCTGGGACCTTGGAGGCACAGCAGACGAGATTCATCACGCCTTGGTCATGGACCCCAAGCAAAAGTACGAGATGCACAAGAAGTTGTACAGAAATGTCACAACCAACACTGTGCAGACATGGACGAGCAACTACGTCAAGCGTCTGCTCACCAACCTCACGTCGTTCAACCAAGCATTCGTGACCCCAGTCTTGGATAAGACCAAACTGCTCAGCCAATACCGCCAGTCTGAGAAGCGCTTGTTCATGTTTGACTATGACGGAACATTGACGCCCATCGTCAAGGATCCCCAGGCCGCCATTCCTTCCGACCGCGTTATTCGTACCCTCAAGACACTGGCTTCGGATCCCCGCAATGCTGTCTGGATCATCAGTGGCCGTGATCAGGCGTTCCTGGATGAGTGGATGGGTCACATCACGGAGCTCGGACTCAGTGCTGAGCACGGCAGCTTCCTCCGCAAGCCCAAGAGCGATACTTGGGAGAACTTGACCGAAAAGGAGGACATGTCTTGGCAACAGAAGGTCATTGACACTTTCCAGCACTACACTGAACGTACCCAGGGCAGTTTCATCGAGCGCAAAAAGATTGCTTTGACCTGGCACTACCGCCGCGCAGACCCTGACTGGGGAGTGCACCAGGCTCGTGAATGCCGTAAGCAGTTGGAGAACACTGTTGCCAAGGAGTACGACGTCGAGGTTATGCCAGGCAAAGCCAACCTGGAGGTCCGCCCCAAGTTCGTCAACAAGGGAGAGATTGCCAAACGTCTGGTTGAGGAGTACGGGCATGAGAAGGGCATGGCACCAGAGTTCGTTTTGTGTTTGGGAGACGACTTCACCGATGAAGGTATGTATCGACTCGCATTCCTTGCACACAAGGCTGAAAGCTAACATCGACATTGCAGACATGTTCAGATCACTCAGCAACTCCAAACTCCCCAAGGAGCACGTCTTCTCAGTGACAGTTGGCGCAAGCTCGAAACAGACTCTGGCTAGCTGGCACTTGCTCGAACCGATGGATGTCATCTCAGCTGTTGCCATGCTCAACGGCAATGTCGATGCACCCAATGTCGGGCCTGCCTCAGTGGTAGAGGGCAGTGTTCCCGAAACACGCAGCGGATAGATGTGAATGAAGAGCTAGAAGGATTTCTCTTGGTACACTCGGCGTAGAGGTAGAGCTTCATAGGCATGGGAAGGATGGCTTTCACGGGCGAGGTAAATGCAAGACATGGCAATCGTTGTAACTTTCAGGCATTAGTATTTTCGTAGAGAAAGCGCCATTATTCACAATGGAAGAATGGTAGACATTTCGGCAGTAGCATTCAAAATCTGCTAAAGATACCGGTCGCTTTGTTTCACGCGCCGTTGGGAATCTAGCGACAACGTGTTTTTGATGGTGGCTTGCCCAGACTTTGGTCGAGAATCTCAGAACAGCAACCAGTGGCGAGGGCAGGGAATTGGAGAAGGCGTAAAGGAAGCAGAAGACTGGCAGATGGCATGTTGATAGATGGGCCTGAATCGTCGATAGTGACAAAAGACAGGCAAGGTGAGAAGTCCCTCTCGATGCAAGATGGTAGGAGCATCTTGTCTCCACATGGACCCCTCGTTAACATGACTCGGCTCTTGACACGCACAGATCGTCGCTCGGTTATGCAGGCTCAGGGCGGAGCAAGATCCTATCCGGGAAGGCACTACCAACGAAACCCTTATCCATGCCCTTCGTTTCCCCTCTGGCCCTCTCCGACTTTCTGTTGTTTTTCCGACCTTCAATCTCTCCCACCAGGCCAACGTCACTCTCTTTTATAACCGACCCCCAATTCCTGCAGCCACCTTACGACCCTGACTCTGCTGTCAACATCCACTCGTTTCACCATTGATTGAACGTCCAACTCGTCATTCCCTCTACCAACTCCGCTGTCTACACACGTGCTCTTCTCGACCCTCTTACGACAAGATCTTGCCATAACAGCTCGCCCTTGAACCTCTACTTTCGATCTACTAGTCAACACAATCACTCAAACCTACCCGTCATCTTCCCACTGCATCAAGCCGTGTCAATACCGACAAACACACCGCCTTTCAAGAAACAAACACACACAAGAGCAACAATGGGTTTCATGGACTCTATTCGCGCAAAGGTTGAGCTCTACCGTCTCGAACAACGCTATGCTCGTCGTGACAAGCGCGCCACTACCACGTTCAACGCACGATACGTCGACGGCGAGTACATCTTCCAAGACTCGCCTGGCAGTCCGACCGGTAGCACAGGCTCGTGGCAACACAGCACCAGCTCTTCCAAGCGCAGTCCGGCTGTCAAGGTCAAGGAGCTCATGTCCAAGAGTGTGAGGTGATCAGACAATACTTCCACTCTTCCTTGCATGACCTTCTTCCTTCATTCCTCTTGTTCCATATCCGGCTTGCATCTTGGTGTTCTTTTTCTTCTCGGCGGCGCTTCCCTCAAAAGTGGATGGAGTTTTGTGTCTTTCTTACCTTCTTGGGCTGAATGAGAACGGGCTATTCTCTTCTTCAACCACCTCATTCGTTTGTTACTCCTTTTTTCTTTCCTACTCATGTTTACATCTGCTTCACGATTCCTGGGTGGCTTCCTTGTCTTTCTTTTCTGTCCCAAACAGCTACCTGTGGCTTCACGGCTTTTCTCTGATTCACGAATCATCATATCTTCTTCTTCTTCTTCTCTTACATATACTTGTTATGAACTCTTCGAGATGAACTCTCATCAGATTCACGACTATCAAACCCCTTATCGATTACCCCTCTATCGCGTTCGCGTTAGGCTTTTGTGACCGTTAATATCTAGGCCCGAGCCTTGGGAGCTGACAACGGCCAACAAGCGTCAGGGTCACTCCCCTGACAAGCAACAACTGATCACCACCCCTTCCTATATTGTCACCGCTTGTTTGCTTTTACTCTGAGCTAGTCGGTGTAATTGGATATGGAAGCGTTGATCTTGAACATCAACTTTTGTATTGTGTTAGCTCCTGATTGTCGAAATATACCAAACCTTGATTTCTGGAAACAGCTGCCTGCCACGTAGACAGGATCCCTGCTTTTAGTTTGCGGCGATGTGTTGATGGATCATCTGTCAAGTAGACTAGCATGACTACAAGCGCCGTCAAAGAGGAAGGGAAGCGTTCAGTCAGATGACGTAGAGAAACGATGATGAGATGATGTATGCATTGGCGAGAAAAGGGGAAAAAGGTATCATTCAACATCTATACAGAAACGAACAAACAAAAAAAAAAAAACAGAAAGATAGGTGTAAAAGACTTCGCCAAAAGTCCATGATGCAAATGCGAGGAAGTAGCAAATGCTCTGATTGTTCCTTTCCTCTACGGGATGACTGCAGAAAGAGAAAGAGAGACCCTGAAGGCTACCCTCAATTGCTCCTTCCTTCGCTGACCCATAGTGCCTCGTGCCTCCAAAGCAAAGCACGTCGATGATGCGAGAAAAGATGCGACTGGTGTACGCTAAATTGTATTGGTGGTCATCATCACTTGGGTCTCATGGCCATTGACCCAACAGTGGCAGGCGTGGGTGTCTTTTGTCCATCACTCTGCTGCTGCGAAGTGCCCGCCGCTTGACCTCCAGTTGGTGCGTACATGGACTCCTGATTGAGCACATCTTGAGACAGCTTATTGGCTTCTTTTTGCAAATTTGGTATCGTCTTCGGGACTTGGTTGAGATATCCTTCGAGCATTTGCTTGAGCAGGTTGGCGCGTACCGGCTTTGACATGTAATTGTTCACTGGGAAGTACGGTTAGCACGAGTTGAACGACGTGGGAAGGGGTGAGAGTAAGACTTACTTCCGGCTTCGAGGCATTTTTCCTTGTCGCCACGGATTGCGGAAGCGGTCATGGCGATGACCAGGACTTCGCGTACGACGGGGTCAGGATGCTTTCGGATTTCTCTCGTGGCGTTGTAGCCGTCAAGGACAGGCATTTGTACGTCCATGAGCACCAGGTGGTAAGGTGTACCTGCCTTGCTCGCTGCTGCAAGTGCGTCAACCGCTTGCTGTCCGTCTCCGTAAGCTTCACATCCAAACCCAAGCTTCCTCACTATCTTGACGGCAATAGTCTGATTGACAATGTTATCCTCTGCTATGCAGATACGTAGCTTGTCTCGAGGGATGTGAGCCAAGCTAATGTAGGAAGACTTGAGTTTATCGGCCTCGCTTGGTTGGTACATGGCTGCAAGAGAATCCACAGGTGGTCCAAGGGCCCCCTTCTCAGCACCAGGCCTGATCTTCTGGAAGGGAATGGAGAAGGCGACTGTGGTTCCGACGCCAAGTTCAGACTCCATCCAAATCCTGCCATGGAAGACCTTCTCGATGATGGCCTTGCAGATGGAGAGACCGAGGCCAGTACCACCATAGCTACGTGCAGTGCTGCTGTCGGCCTGACTGAAAGGCTGGAAGAGCTTCTTTCTTTGCTCTTCTGTGATTCCAATACCAGTGTCCTGTACACTGCAGGTAACCTGAACAGTGGATTCGGTTTCGTGCTCGACGAATGCCCTGACTGTGACTGTGCCCTTCGCTGTGAACTTGTACGCGTTACTGAGCAGATTCATGAAAATCTGGTGCAGGCGGACAGGATCGCTCATGACAAGCATGTTCGGGTCCATCTCTAGCTTCTCGACAGTTTGCAGTCCTCTTTCAAGATTGGTGTACGACAGAGCTCTAACAACTTCAGAGATAGTCTGGGTCAGGGACAATTGAACCGAGTACACGGCCATCTTGTCCGCTTCGAGTTTGCTGAAGTCCAGAATGTCGTTGATGACCGAGAGCAAAGTGTCAGCACACACACGAATGCTGTCGGCATAGCCTTCTTGTTCGTTGTTGAGACCACTTCCTTTGAGAAGTTCAGACATGCCGATGACACCGTTCAGAGGAGTACGCAGCTCGTGGGAAACGTTGGCCAAGAACATTGCTTTTGCCTTTGCTGCCTCTTCCTTGAGCCTGACCATTTCCATTGCTTTAGCTTCTGCAAGCTTGGCTTTTCTCTCAGCTTCGCGGGCTTGGTCGAGTGCTTGTTTCTGTACTTCGAGCATGGAGGAGTTGCTGGCTGAGACTTTCTCAACCTTCTTGAAGAGCAATGCGTTGGCAATCGAAATCGAGATCTGGTTGACAAGGAGGCGGAGGACGGTGATGTTACGCTGAGATAGAGAGTTCGGAGGTCCTTCGATGTATATTGAGCCGAGAAGGGTGTTGTCTCCATGCAGGATGGGCAACGCAATAACAGCTTTGCCGTCGGGGAACTTCTGTCGCCATGACGCAGGCATGTTCGCAAAGCGCTCGTCGTCGAGAACATTGCGTAGGAAGAGCTCTTCTTTGAAGCGCAAGACGTAGAAGGTTATTTGCTTGGACAACGGATCATCAATCTCGCCGATGGGTTGGCCAACATTACCTTGATAAGAAACATCAGGACCGCCTACGGCAGCCACGTTCCAGCCAACTTCATCTGAATTCACCACAAGGCCGCAAAGAGCGGCTCCGGTGCTGTCGACAATGATGTTCGTCAACTTCGCTAGCAACTTATCGACTCTCAGCTCCGAAGACAGCACTTGCGATGATTCCAGGATACTTGCAAGGTCGATCATATCGAGACCAACCGCAGAGAACCCACCTTGGAGATCATGCTGGTTTTCATGCTGATGGGGGACTGTGTTCGCGCTAGGAGTCAGCCAGGCTTGCGTCCTATCATCGGATGTCTGAGGGGCTTCGTTCTGTACCATGGAGAACGAAATGTTTTCATTCTCCACGGTCTGAGTGCCTGCCTCGGCCGTCGTGAAGTTTCTCGAACCGAGCAGCAAAAATTCGTGTTTCTCAGAAATGTGGTCCGCTTTCGCGGTCGCAGAGATACGGCGGTAGGCAGAAATAGAGTCTCGGATCATTGAGCGGGCTGGACGAGTTGCTCCTTTACGAGAAAGGTAATCTCCATACAGCTCATAACACATAGCCTCATCCGACAAAAGACCATGAACAATGGTGTGATCAATGGCAGCCTCGTAGGAAAGAGTCGCGTCATCAGAGCGCTTTTCGATGTCGGCAATTTCTGCGCGAAGAAGGTGCAGCCAGACAGCAAAGTTAGACTCGTTAACTCGACTCACGGTCTCGATCTTTTGCTTGAACTTGTGAATGTTCTCAAGGACTATTCGGCGATCTGAACAGTTGGGTTCTTCCCTCAACTTTGCAATCATGGCCATCGAGATATAGAAATAGTCGTAATAGGCATGTCGCATACACCATACACTGGAAATGGATTCCAAGGCAGAGTCACCGAGCTCGAGAGCCTCTTTCCAGTATCCGAATCTGTACAAGATTGCAATCCTGTAGCTGTTGTAGAAGAACAAAGGCCGTACCGCAGCAGTAGAGTGTGACTGTATGAACTCGACGTACTGTTTCGATTGGTGAGAACTGTCGTCGAAGATCGTCTCTGCTTGCCGCCAGTTGGTCTTTCCCTGAAGAGCTGATATCCATTGGCGTACGCTAGTCAAAAACACTCCTCCGCGCAAGTCTTGTGGCCATTCAGGGAAGTTGTCGTAGCATTCCTGGACAAAGGCGTTGACTTCATCAAAATTATGGGAGGACCACAGCTTGTACGCGGACATCACGCCGGCACTAAGCAAGTGGACCAACCGGTCGCCAGCCAGAATGGTTGCTTCCATGCCACGTTCCAAGACTGGAATCTGATCTTCGATATCGCTCACAAAGTGCCCCAGGAAGAGGCTGTGGAGAGTGACGCCGCGGCCAATCGTATACGAGTCCGTGTCGAAGAGATCGAAGAGCTTCAAGGCTGTGTTGCCGAGTTCCAGGCCCTCTTCCACCATCTCAAAGCGGCCGATGGAAATAGAGGCCAGGTGGATGAAACCTACTGCAATCTGTGGAAAAAGACCACGCTGCAGGAAAACCCTCATCATCTTCAATGTCAGATAGTAGAACAACAAGGAGTCAGTCCAGAACGCTGCCGACAACAATTCGACTAGGACGCCTCCTATTGTGAAGAGATCTCGATCGATGGGTGCGTCTCTTCCCTCGAATAATTGTCTGTCTGAGACCTTGACGAGTTTCACGATTTCGTAGAACTCCTTGTCGCATTCCTCGTAGGTTGTGTCGACGATCTCGATACCGAGGTCTTCCAGAGCTCGTTTCATGTTCAAGAAAGCTATATGCGAATCTCCCTTTTGTGCATGCATTCGACTCTGTATTATGAAAGCCGGTGTCTTGTCGGCGGCGACCTTCGCGTTGCTCATGATCTCCTTGAGTATGATCTCAGCCTCCTCGAAGAACCCAAGATACCAGTAAGAAGCGGCTGCCTTAGTCATGAGCGTCAATGTTTCTTGGTAAGAACCGTCAGGAGTGTCATCGTTCCAAGGATCATCAGGAAGCAGCATCAAGCAGTGCTGGAAAAAGTACAGTGATATGGATCTTGCTCCTTGCTCTCGTGCCGTTTCTGCTGCTTGATAAAGAAGGTCTCGGAAGGGAGCCTTGGCAAGACTAGGTCGAATCTGAATGGCCTCGACTGAGTTGCAAATATGTCTTGCTTGGTCGAATAAGTGCTGAGTGGGTTTGGTGGCACTATCATAAGGGTCGTGGTACATCATCGAGGCACAGATGATGTAGTTCATTTCCGACTTTATACAGTTGCTGGCGAGGAGCTCAGCAGCCTGCATGTACCGATCGTGAGAGAACCTGAATTTATCCTCGTCTTCCGTCGCCACTATTATGTAGGCACTGATGGCGTCTTGTAATCCAGTTACAGGGTCCCTCTTTAGTGGTAGGTACTCGTCCTTCGATTGCTTTGAGCAGTCGCAACTCATGACTCTCTTCACGAGGGTAAACGAGAACGTGTTGCCGATGAAACTAGCCCAGGCAAGCACCGATTTGCAGTCCTCTGACAGATCTTTTAAACGCTTTACAAGGTAGTTGTTCGTAGAGAATTCATTAGCATCAGGCGAGGCGAATTCGTCAAAAGTCTTGTCGAGGTCGAATTCCCACTGCGATGAACGCCATGAGTAGTATATGCAATGTTTCCGATAGCAAGTGTCGAGCATTTCCCGGACAAAGAACGGGTTACCGTGAGTAGCTTGCTGAATTACGGCAGCTAGGGGTAGAACGTACTCGGGTGAACGATGCAGAGTAATTGCCACGTATTTGGCAGTCTCTTCCTCCGTGAAAGGTTTCAAGTCGATTTTTGTCGCCTTTTCGAGTAGGGGACGAAGCTTCAAAGGCAATGCTTCCTCGTCACGGTAGGTAAGGACTAGGACCACAGGTATCTTGGCCTGAACAATGCTAGTCAATAGGTCAATGCTTTCCTCGTCAGCGAACTGCAAATCGTCAAGCGTTATGCATATGAATTTCTGCAGAGCTAATAGTCGCAGCACGTCAAGGAAGGTGCGAACGAAGCGGTTCGACTTGCTGGAGTTACTGCCTCCTGCTCTGAGCCAGTCTGAAGCCGTATCTCCTTGACTGCCACACTTCTCACGAGGCACCCGTAGCGCGGCAGAATCCGAACTCAGAGAGCCCTGGTGGGTGGGAAACTGAGAGAGCAACCACGGCGGGAGGTCCAAGAAGCCTGAAAGGAAGCTCCAGTAAGGCTTGATATATGTGCGAATATTGTCGTGGAATGGAGTAGATACGTCACCCTCAGAGAAAATCTGTCGAAATAGGGAGCTCATCACCCTGACCACGGGCTCGAAGGGTGCACGCTTAACCTGATCGAACTTTGCACTTGCGTAATAGCCGTATTTCCTCGACATGTTTTGGACGTCAAGTAACAACGAGCTCTTACCGAGACCTGCGGCACCACTGAGGCATAGCAGTTCGGTATGGCCAATCTGCTTGAGTCGTTGGGCCGTGCGGAGCGCAGAAGTCTCGGACTGAGCAGTGAACGAATTTGACACAGTCGACCGTTGGCTGTTCTCAAGGTTGTAGACGGACGGCCTGCTCTCCAATGACGGTTTGTGCTCTAGATCAGCGCCAGTGTGAGCTACAATACTTTCTTGTGAGCTATGCTCATGTTGCTGCTTCAAGATGTGGTTCCTATCCAGAGGGAGAGAAAGCTTGGGTTCCTGGTCCATGCCGGAACCGGTACTTTCAGACATGACTTCTTCCAGGATACCACTTTCATGCCGTTCGCCGGTGGGAGTTGATGTCGTGGAATGTGAGCTTAAGCTATAAAGGCCTTTCTTGGAGCTTGAGATGGCTTGAGCAGCGCGCCACGCCGAGTTCTCTATAACGTCAAGAATGAGTTTGCGTTGATCTTCCCGTCCGATTTGCGAATTTGGTAGGTTGAAGAAGCAAGAGACATCCTTAGCACCGAGCTTGAAAGACTCTAGCGCGTTAGCATCCCCTTCCGAGAGTAGCCTCTTTATTTCAAGTAGATCGTGCTTCAAGCCTGATGATGACTGGTATCGATCGTTCATCTTCTTCTGTGTCATCCTCTGTATCACGTTTGAAATTATCGCCGGTACGTCGTGCCGTACACTGTCAACTGGAGGGATGCGACGTGATAATAGATTCTGCATAATCTCGAGAGGGTTACCTCCGCTGTATGCGGGAATTCCAGTCAGCATGGTCCAGAACAAGATACCAAGGGAGTATATGTCCGTCCGCGTGTCCGGCTCGGCAGGCATGCGTCCAGTTTGTTCTGGCGCGATGAACTGAAGACGGTTTTCAACACCAGCTTCGGAGGTCAGTGAGCTCCAACCAGCAGATGTAAGACCGTTTTCGAATGACCTAGCACCAGATCCGAAGTTGATTAGGCGTACGGTGCGGTGCTCTTTGCTGAAGTGGAAGGCATCGCCGCGAAGCTCCCCGTGCACCAGCTCCCTGCTGTGATGCAAAATCTCACAACATTCCGTCGAACCAATAGCGAAATCCAAGAAAAGATGGATAGGAAGAAGCTCCGGGGTAAATGTTTGCTCGAACTCGGGGTTTCCGCGTGGACTGATGGGCGAAGTAGGAAGCTGAGCACGGCGCAGACTTGGACCAAACTCGACAAGCTCTTTCATGTAGTCGCCGCCACTGTCAGGGGCACGAGCAATAAAGGCGACGAGACTGACATCACCTGGTTGACGTACTGGTAGTCTGCGAAACTCGACAGGGTCTATGAAATGGCGGCATTCCGGGTCATCCTCTGCCTTGAGTCTCTTCGCAAGACCAAACTCGCGCTCGAGACGTGTTGTGTGGCGAGAGATGCGAGCGACAACATCATAGCCTTGTTGCGCATCGGATGGGCTTCGTTCACTCTCTTTGTCTTTGTTTTTGTCTGCTTCGCGGTCCTTTCGGCGGTCTCTGCTACCAGTTCTACTTGAAGGTTTGCTCGATTTGCGATCGACGGGTTGTGAAGCACGACGGTATCCATGGACGTGCCAGTTGTCGTAGGACTGTACTCCGGCGTCAGTAAATGGACGTTTGGATGATAAACTAGCAGCCCTATAACATACGGAGTGGAATGGAGCGATGGTGTCGTCCCAATCGTAAGCAGGAGCCTCAGTTCGCAATCGCTCGAAGAGGCGGGCAACCAAGAACTGCATGTCCAGTTCCGACTTGACTCTGGCCTCCAACATGTCTAGCGCTTTCGGGGCCCTAATCGTGGCCGTCGCAGTCGTCTACAGAGTCATGGAAAGAACGAGGGTCTGTCGCAAAGCAAAAACGCATGCAACAAACAGTTCGCTGCAGCAGATCTTTGGAGAAAGCAACCAACAAGCAACTCGCAAGTTCCAACAACGCGACAGATCTGTCCCCACAAGGCTGTTCCTTGACGTAGTTGCCGCCCCTTCATCCACTACCCAAACCTAATGCACATTCCCAATCCGTACTAATTAATGCTTTTTGATCCTCTATGAACTACTATCCCTCTTATCACCACTACACATGCGCTGTTGCACTTTCTCTTGCTTATATATATTCCCCTCTGTTATCGCGATGAGTGGTGCAGAAGCGCACGCCGAATACAGTACTCAGGAGCCGCCTAGTCAAAGCGGTACCTAGCTCATGATGCCGCCATTGATCGACGATTGGCTTCGGGACCAGTGCCTCTTCAGACTCCTCCGCGTCCCTGTTTCTCACCACTCTTCCCACTTCTGACCGCTCTCAGCTTGAGTCAACTTCTATTCCGTGACCCCTTTTGAACACACGTTGCAATCTGCCACTCGAGAGAAGACCCCGCGATCAAATTTTCGGTCGACCTTTGTCACCTCGAAGGGTACTCAGTCGCGTCACAAACCGTTGGTCGTGACAGAGGGCAGATACGGGAAAAAACCTAGGACAAAGGCTAGCGAAATGATGCGATTTAGCGATTACTCAACCATCTCCCGTATGCCAAAGTCTGTTACTCCTACAGCTGACCAAATGCACGATGGTTTCACAAACGAGAGCAATGTTCATGGAGAGAGAAAAAGGCTTGATCTAAATTCGAAAATTCGCATGGCTTCATGAATATTACTATACAATCTTACAAAGTGTATCTCATCTTGAACGGGTCGTGAAATCAGAAAATCTAAAGGAACATGAACATGGCGGCTCCAAGTGCGGCAACCAGAGCCAAAGAACTCTGTGCACCAACAACATCCTTGTTCTTGAATCCAGCAGCCATGCTCTTGCCAGTCTGGTTGGCAGAAGCGTTGACAGCTGAGGGAGAGTCTCCAAGACCGAAGGGTAGGCCTTGGTAGCCGAAAGTCAGGTTCTGAGCAATCGACTGATTGTAGCACTGTCCGTTGGCAATGTCCAAGTTGCTGAGATCATCGGGGTTCAAGAAGAACATGTACTTCTGCTGGTTCAAGTTCTTGAAACCGCTGGTATCGTAGGGGAACTTGTCGCCAGAGTCTGTGCCACTGGTGTTGCGCAAGAAGATGCACTGGACTTGGTCAGGGAAGTCGGTTGCCATTTGAGGGTAGTCCTTCATGACATCTGGTTTTTGATTAGTATCTTGCATAATGAAATACGATCAATAGGCACATACCGCTGTTACTTGTGTCGGCGACGAGAATGAACTTTCTCTGAGGGAAAGTCTCGAAGACCTTGGTGAGAAGGAACTTGCGGATGGAGAGGGTTGCCGAAACATCCGAGAAGTTGAGAGGGCGGGTATCGAACGAGCCACCAGGGTAATGGGAGTAGGTGAAGTTCTGTATTTGTGATTAGCATGTGTTATTCGTGTGCTTGGGAGAAGTCAATCATACCATGTAAGCTCTGGTGACTTGCTCAGGGGTAGTGGTCAGGTAGTGGAAGTGGGTGTTGGGAAGACTTCTGCTCCAGTTGGCGTAGATATCAGGCATGTTCTCCCAAGGAACGTATTCCTTTGCAAAAGAGTTGAGCAGACCCTGGGAGGGCTCGTAGATCTTGGTGATACGAAGAATATCATCAATATCACTGACGACGGTAAGACCGGTAGTGGGAACAAGGTATGCAGTGGAATTGCCAATGGAAGCACCCTCGACGTGAGTGTTCAAACGCTGAACCTCGTTGGTCTCGTTTCCAGCCATAAGGCCATCACTGTTGATAGGCACGAAAACATCGAAGTCACCCTCGACGGTGGTGTTGTAAGGGAGAGTGATGGTCTGGTTGCCTCCACTGGGAGTAACCGCACCGCCACCACCTGGCTCACCAGAGGAGCCTTGCGACGCGGCAGGGTCAAGGTGGATTGGCGAAACGGCTACATCACCTTGCTGAATGACGAAGATAGATGCAGTAACATTTCGTGCTCTGTCTGCCTGATCCTGAGGAAGTTCTCCAACAGAAGTGTCCACGAGGAAGATGTTGGCCAAACGGTTCAGGTCCTGGGTAGAGGTGTTGGGCTGCTTGTACACATTTCCGTGGAATCTCACGTTCCAGCCAGACTCGGTCCAGTTGGCGTAAGGGTCAAGGTTAAGGACCTGAGTCGGCAACGCATCTACCTGGCTATCGTCAAGGCCGAGCGAGGAAACAACAGCGTCTCCGGTAGGGAAGCCCTGGAAGAAATTTGGTACACCAGATGCGACCCATGAAGGGAGGTCCGAGCCAAGTCCACCAAGGATTGAGCCAATGTCCGACTGGACATCGTCGATGAGACCGCGACGGTATCTCTCAGTGCGCGACGGGTGCGAGTCGACGGGCGATCCGGTTACACGGGGTGCCTGAGGTTCTCCATGAACCACGCGACGAGGTGTAGGTGCCGGCGAGGCATTAGTGAGGGTGTACAGAGATGCTTGAAGCAGGGCTCCGTAAGCCAAAGAGGAACGCATTGTTGCCGCGGAGGCTAAGGAAGCTTGGCCTTGCTTGTGTTCGAGAAGGACGCGTCGATGGAAAGATTGTCTCTAGGAGGAACGACTGTGATATCGATATTAGGGGTGGAAGTGTTCAAGTAGACACGCGACGAGCAACAAGAGCCAGGAGCTGAAGCGACGATCCAAAAAGTGCTGAAGAGAAGATCCCGTGTATATAAACAACGGACGCCGCCAGCCGCACCCCGTGGATCCCTGATTTCTATGCTCCTGTGACGTAGACCGGCAGAATTCATGCACATCACTTCCAGCCTGTTGCTGAGCCCGCGGACCTCGTGCATGACCAACATCGAACATCTTTTCTGGTTCTGAAATCTGGTTTCTGAAACTCCATCTCGGATCTCGGGTTTTTGACTTCTCACTTACTCGAGTACAGGCAAAATGATGTTCATGGAATCCTCGTGAAACGCTTTGGTCAGAGGCGGTGGAGGGGACCCGTATTCAGCGCACGCCCTTCTCCTTTGTCCAGTGGCTGGAACCTACCTGACAATCCCAATCGGACTCGTCCTTCGAGAGCGCTCGGCGAATGAATTAGGTAGGCTCCCTTGACTTTTGGATATATGGCCATTGTCTCATGTCGACGGCAGCTTATATTGACCTTCTTTATGGTGGAGATTGAAACGCGAAACGCGCCAAGCGAAGATCCTCCAGCAATTACTGCTGCCTCAATTAGAAACGTGTATATCATTCCAGAATTTCCAACCAAGCATAGGCGAGTGACTATCTTGTCCCGTCGAAAGAAATCATGGCACTGTCACCTGTGATCATATTCGAGCCCGGAAAGCATGATTATCTTATACCCGCATTTGCGTTTATCCATGAGGACTGCGTCGAAACAGACTATACTCTAGCAACATTCCATCCACCTTTCCACCACAAGGACCCATGCACACCGGATGAGAGGGTCCTCAAGTACTGGCAGAACAATGCTGCAAAGGCAGCAGATGAAGAGAAAGTCATCTTCATGCAGATGGTCGGCGGAGAACTGGCAGGTTATGTCGCTCTAGGAAGCCAAGCATGCGAAACAGGTCCATTTAGAGGAAGTGTTGAGAAGTTGCTAGTCAGTCCACGATACAGACGAATGGGCATTGCGAAGCGTCTCATGGCAAAGCTGGAAGAAGTGGCACTGTCAAGAGGAACGACGTTGCTGGTAAGATGAGTGCTTTTCTGTTGTTGGTCTAGCTAAAAACTGACTGCACATAAGTCTCTCGATACCGAGGCCGGTAGTCCAGCAGAAGGCATTTACCCTCGACTTGGTTATACTCGGCTTGGAGCAATCCCGAGATATGGTGTGTCTCCTAAGGACAGACGTTTGGTTGATGAAGTCTTCTTTTACAAGGATCTCAGGTCAATATAGAGTGGACTGAACCCCAAAAGGTGGAAACAAGTCCAGATGCTGAAAGGTGAAGAAGTGGGGTCATGCAAGGAATAAATGTACATGGAATCTTGAGAGCGAAAAGGATGGATCATGACTTGGAAATAGTGACCTTGCCATCGCTCTCCACTGTTGCGTAGCTGAGCTTGGTCGGGGCAGGAGGGGTAGAAGGAGAAGCGTCAGTGACGGCAGGAGTGACTGGCTTTCCGGCCTGCAGCACGCCGGCAGGAGTATCGGCAGCCTCGTTAACATCACGAGCAGTAAAGGCGTCGGTCAACTTGGCACCTCTTGACTGTAAAAGGATGTTGGCAGGTCCCTGGAATCGGAGGAACATCTGCAAAGAGAGCGGGTTAGTGGTGATACAGACAGGTCAAGGAGAGATGATGGCGATAACTTACTCTATCTCCCCATATTGAGCGACGAGCCCAGGTACGGATGGTGAACAAAGTATTGGCCACGACCCGCCAGACATTTGATTGACGGACGACCTTGAAGAACCTGGTATCGGGTAGGTATGAGAAGGCATTGGGAATCTGCAGGCGCAGGTTCGATGACTTGAAGCGGTAAGGCTGAGGGGCGTGTTGCATGATGCTATAAGCAATGACATTGCTAGGGTGGACAATGTACTCCTCGCCAGACTTCAGGGCGAGCTGATAGACCTGACCCTTGCCTGACAAGCAGAGAAGTCCACGGCCAGTAACGCGAGAACTGCCCCAGTGCGCAATGCTCATCGAGGTGTTGATCTGAGGCTTGATGGAGAGAGTGTGACCAGTCCAGGCAAGAAGAGCATTTCTCTGGGCGATCATCCAGTCAAGGCGACCATCGAGGTGGATAACAGAGAAAGTGGTAAGAGGAGACTTGGACGAGATCAAAGCGGTATAGGGAGCGGTCGAGGTGACTTTTTGGTAGAGGAAAGGGATTCCGAAGGCGGCACGGCGGAAAGGTTCGAGGACGGAAAGAGAAGAAACAGTGCTCTCAGCATCGCCGTGGAAGCCAACGAGGGAGCCTTTGCGGGTATAAAGGTTCTGCGATGCAGAGATGGATGCCGAAAGAAGAGAGAAAGGGCTGCCGAGGACCTCGAATTGGGCATCTGGCTTGGGTTAGCAAGTGGAGAGACAAGTTTGCGCATGACACGGGAGTAGATACCAGGAGCAGTGCTGTCGGCGGCAGCAGAGGCGACGGTGGGATTGGTCGACGATGGAGTGGCCGCGATCTGTACGAATCGTCGCGGCGATGAGCGCAAGACGTCGCATGGCTGAGTGCGACGGAGCAGCTCTTGCGCACGGCAGCGCATTGCGATAGACATTGCGCAATTGGCGATATAGTGTCGTCGACAGTGCTGGGAACTATCTTCTTCTTCTTCTTCCTTACACAGCTGCACCTGCCAACTCTCTCCGCCTTGGACGCGTGCCTTCCCGAAGCCGAAAGGTCCAAGGTGACGTGCTGTCCGTGCGAGCTTCATTCATGTCATTTGGTCCCACTCTCCGCTCTTATCAATCTTCCTTCTAGCAATCAATTGTCCCATCTCGTCGTCCGTAGCCCGATTGTCTGTTTGTTCGCGTTTGCTCCATCTCGGCGACCCGAACTCTGCATCAAACTTGCATCAACTCCGTATATCTCTTTCTTCTCACGAGAAGCTGGCCATCATGGTGTTTTGAGCTGTTGAACCCCCACCAACCATACACGACTCCCTTCGCCTTAGCACACTAGGTCATGTCGGCCACTTGTGCCCTTCGAGGCATCTATACTTGCCATAGACTGGCCCATCCCTCACGAACCTTCTCCCGTATCTCGACCTGCCAGAAAAGCATCCGCCCCAATGTCCGCGTCTTCACCACCTCGCCATGGCGCTGCAAAGACGACTCTCGTGCCAAAAATGTTCCGTCTGAGATCAAGGTCGAAGCTGCTGAAGCTACCAAGACTCCCACTGTGCAGCAAGAGAAGGCCACTGGTCCAGCCAAACAACCCACGCTGCTAGCCGAGCAGACCGTCTCCAACAAGGAACAGCGCAAGGCTGATTGGGCTATTATCAAGGACATGGTCCGCTACCTATGGCCAAAGGATGATTTTGGTACTCGTTTCAGAGTCGGCCTGTCCGTCGCACTCCTCGTAGGCGCAAAGGTAATTATCCATCATCTTCTTTCGACAGTGTGCCGTAGTATTAATGGCATCCAAGGTTTTGAACGTCCAAGTCCCCTTCTATTTCAAATCCATCGTAGATTCCATGAACATAGACTTTGCTGCTGTTGGCGGCACTGCTGTCACCGTCGCTGGCGCCACCATCTTCGCCTGTAAGACCTTCCGTTATCCACCAATAAGCATCCTCCTCTAATCCGTGTTCAGACGGTGCTACTAGAATAGGTGCTGCTGTCTTCCAAGAGATTCGCAACGCAGTCTTCGCCAGTGTAGCCCAGAAAGCTATTCGCCGGGTCGCTGCCACTGTCTTTGATCACCTTCTCAAGCTGGATCTGAACTTCCACTTATCGAGACAGACTGGTGGTCTAACCAGAGCTATCGATCGAGGAACAAAGGGTATTAGTTTCCTCTTGCAGTCAATGGTCTTCCATATCATCCCTACTGCGCTTGAGATCTCGTTAGTCTGCGGTATCCTAGTAAGTCTGTCCCAACATGTCGTCCATGTATTGGTTTAACATTCGCAGACGTGGCAATATGGATTCAAATTCGCCCTCATCACAGCTGCCACCATGGTCGGCTACTCCGCCTTCACAATCTTGACAACATCGTGGAGGACGAAGTTCCGCAAGGCCGCCAATGCAGCTGACAACAAGGGAGCAACGGTCGCAGTAGACTCGCTGATCAACTACGAGACCGTAAAATACTTCAACAACGAGCGCTATGAAGTCGGACGCTACGACGCCGCTCTTCGCAACTACCAGGACGCATCCATCAAGGTTGCTACTTCGCTCGCCTTCCTCAACAGTGGACAGAACCTAATCTTCTCGAGCGCTTTGACGGCTATGATGTACTACGGCGCTGACGGCGTTGCTACCGGCCAACTTACTGTTGGCGATCTTGTCATGATTAACCAACTCGTCTTCCAGCTCTCGGTGCCTCTGAACTTCCTCGGCTCCGTATACCGCGAACTCAGACAAAGTCTGCTTGACATGGAGACACTTTTCAACCTTCAGAAGGTCAACGTGGCTATCAAGGAACCCGAGAATGCCAAGCCTCTGATGCTTACAGGTGGTGGTATCAAGTTCGAGAATGTCTCTTTCGGCTACCGCCCTGATAGACCCATTCTCCGCAATCTCAACCTTGAAATCCCTGCTGGCAAGAAGATTGCCATCGTTGGTCCCAGTGGATGTGGCAAGTCGACCATTCTTCGTCTACTGTTTAGATCTTACGACGTTCAAGGTGGCAGAATCTTGATTGATGGACAAGACATTCGCGATGTTCAGATTGAGAGTCTTCGTAAAGCCATTGGTGTTGTGCCGCAAGACACACCTCTGTTCAATGACACCATCGAGCACAACCTCAGATACGGTGATCTTGAAGCTCCTTCTGAGAAGGTCGAAGCAGCTGCAAAGCGTGCTAAGGTCCACGATATTATTCAGAAGTTCCCTGACAAGTACGCCACCATGGTGGGTGAGCGTGGTATGATGATCTCAGGTGGTGAGAAGCAACGTTTGGCCATTGCCAGACTGCTGCTCAAAGACCCACCTTTCCTGTTCTTTGATGAAGCAACATCTGCCCTTGACACGCATACAGAGCAGGCACTTCTGGGCAACATTAACAGTATCCTCAAAGAGAAGGCTCGAACAAGCATTTTCGTTGCTCACAGACTCCGCACAATCTACGATTCCGACATTATCATCGTCTTGAAGGATGGCGATGTAGCAGAGCAAGGTACACACGAGCGCCTTGTTGATAGTGGAGGTGTCTACTCTGAATTGTGGAGTGCTCAGGAAATGCTCTTCATCGATGAAGAGCAGGAGAAATCCGAGGAGAAGAAGAAGCAGGAGAAGAAGAGGAAATAAATCTACACACTGTGGACATATGAAATTATGTCATTGTATATACTGTAAACTAGATGGATGCCTGAAAATGCCTCTGATGATCTCCATAAACTGCCTGATTTTAGATTGGGCGAAATCCTTCCAGCTCAACACGTTCTTGGCGGTCGCATGACTTCCACCTTCCTGTCTTGTGTCGTAAATAAAAGTATTGGAAGGTCCGACCTGCTAAACTTGACCAAAAAATACAATGTTTACATCATGGAAGCAAATCCTCCATCTTACGGACAAGCCACTGCGGTGAACGCATGGGATCTCATTGCCGAATACATCCCCTCATCGGACCTCTGCTCCGCCGCCTCGGTATGTCAGCAGTGGCATGCAACATTCGCGCCGCATCTTTGGGGTAATCCTGCTTCTCATTTTGGAGACGAAAATGACAAAGTCTATGGTGAGTAACATGCATGCGCTATAAGCATCGAGACATCCTCCAACATCGTCCTGCTCCTACACGGCAATACTTATGTTCCACACTAGTTGCCCTTACTCGATTCATTCGCACTCTCCCTTGGGCCAGAAGAACTGTTAGATCATTAACACATACACTTCACCTTCCCCCAGCGCATGCGGAAATCTACAACGGACCTAGCGATGACTGGCTTCGTGAAGTACTCGAAGGTCTCCCAAATCTCCAGTCATTGGTCGTTCGTGGCTTGCCTTTCTTCGACCATGCAGCTCTGAATGCACTCAAGTATACACGACTTTCGAGCAACAGAAAACAACTGGCCCAAGCTCAGACACCTTTCGGTCTGCGATTACTTGACGCGTCAAGATGCAGTAATGTTACTGCGATTGGACTGCAACAAGCCCTTAGACGTTTTGACTCACTCCTCTATCTTGATCTTTCGTGGACTTATCCCGCAAAGAGTCCCGAAGTCCTTCGGGGTCTGAGCCAGTTCCGCGGTCTGCAAGTCTTGAAGCTTCGAGGAATATCACTCAAAGACGACGATGTGCTTGTTCTGGCAAATGCAATCAAGACTCGGGTTAGAAGCTTGGATCTACGAAACAATCAGCTGACGGACAGGAGTGTGCGTATTCTACTACAGCTGTGCTTCACGCTCCCACCCAGGAAGGACAATGATGGCCAAGTCATGTCTCCCTCACTCCTACCGTATCTGGGTGCTGAGATGCTTGCGATTTACCGAGGAGCTAATTTCGAAGCTTTCCTAAGAAACGAGTTCACAGACAAGTTTGTCGGACGTCTTGCCATTGAGGACGCCCCAGAGAGTGGCATTACTCATCTCTATCTCTCGGATAATCAGTTCACTGTCGAGGGATTATCTGGGCTCGTCAGATCTGGAAGATTACATGTCCTCGATGCTGGAAGCCTCTTGCCTGCAATGGTCGCACACGACGGATCCTTCAGCATGGAGTTTCCTAGTTTGGCCAAGCTGGCTCCTGTGTTAGCTGAATCTGCCAGTCACAGTTTGACGTATCTAAGGATCGACCACAGTCTGGTAACCAAAGAAGCGCCGAGGTCACAAGAGGGAAGTGTTGAGCCGACTCCAAGATATTGTGAACTCGCGGATACCTCAAATTACCCAGCGGGAGTCGCTGAATTGAGTCATGACACTGAGGTGTTTGAGCTCATGGGAGATACCTCTTTTGCAGCAGAGGTATCTGGAGATACTGCTGTCCCTATTGTGGTGAGTCCAACAGCCGACACCAAGTCTACCGGAGACTTCCGGCAAAGACGAAGTGGCAGTCAAGATCTGCCCATACCCGTCGATGCAGAACAGATGAATGAGAACGGTCTACACGTAGCATCAATTGAACGAGAACACGATGAGGCAACGGCAGCTGTGGACAGATCTTTGACACCGAGCCCAGTTGTTTCCTTCCGCGGTCGAAGTCGCAGCTACTCCTCGGTCGTCGATGAGCGCAAGTTTCGGGTGCAAACATCCTTGACGCAGGCCAGAGGCTTTCATCCTGGTATACTGCCTCATATGACTACCTTGATTCTGACAGAAGTTCCATCATCTTCTCCAACACTAGACACACCAAACAGACTGATCTCTTTCATACGTTCGTGCGGTGAAGAGACTGCTCTGGCAAAACTTCAGGCTAGACTAGACTGGACATTGCCGCCAGGCCGACGAACAAGCTGTTCTCACCAGAAGGAGCTCGTACGGAAATCATTTGCCCTCGAACAGGTCATTCTCGAAGTCGCGCCACAGAGCATGGACCAGAAGAAAAGAGATGCCGCTAGTGCTTGGAGACATCGAGGCACTAAGTCAGTGACGCAAGATCAGGATAGTGAGGCTCTATGGGCAGCCTCCCAGACAGACTTTTCTTTCTTCGGCGAAGGCGAGACCAACAGCCTTGACTCTTTCTTGGAGCCAGCACGGCCACCGCCTATGAGCATCATGTCTGGCATGGAGGTTTCTGTTGACCAACCATCACCACAATATCAGCGTTTACAGAACCAGTCGGCTCAGGAGACGCAAGTACCACAAGTCGATGTCATTTCGGAGATCTCAAAGTTCAGGAAGTCGACCAAGTCCAAGTATCAGGCTCGCGTCGCTGCTGGGGAGAAAGATCCGGAAGTCGACGGGTTTTGGGAGGGCAACATCAAGGTCATCAGAAGGCCTCACAATGTGGATCCAAAGCATGAAGACGATGAGGTATGGGCTGACTACTATGGCAATCGTTTTTCGAATGGCTATCTTTATCGCTAGCACGTCAAACGATAACCCGAGAGTCTCAAGTCAGTGACAGAGAGTGTCACCCTGTCTACAGTTTTATGTGACGCGTCTTCGACCTTCTCAAGTGTCCAGAATATAGTTGTTCGTATCATGAAGCCTACACGCAAGTACAAATGACGTGAGTACCTTCAATGTCTCCGTAGGTTCTTTATTATTGTTCATCATAATCAAATCTCATCCTGTCCGTGTCATCATGATCCTCCAACAGTCAACCTTCGCAAGCCAATTCGCTACTCCTTTCGTTCTCTCGATAAACAAAACATCAAGCGGTAATCCTATCAATGCCTTCTACATATCGAACGTTAGCAAAGGCACCTCCCCCAATGCCATCGCCAAAAAAGCACTCACAGCATGGCTCAAATCATTGCACCTGCTTTCCTCCCGTTGGACTCGATGTCGACACCATAGCAACAGATGATGGTTTCTCAGACGCAGTGGCAGTGGCAGTGGCAGCTCCACCAGACAAATTCTGATAAATAGCTATACCCACAGCAGACCCCCCAATCCCGATAACCGCATTGATGAGTTTTTGACTTGCCGATGACATGATCTTTTCCCCTCCAATCACCTTTTTTGTGTTTCGTGATGAATAGCTGTAGTGTAGATGTTGAAAATGTGTTGTTGGGTAGGGGGGTTGGCGACGTTTATATAGTGGCGTTTTTGAATATTTATATGCCTCATTCCTTTTCAGGCAGATATCTATATTCAGGTTTTTAGTGGGAGGGAGGCGTCTTTTCGGCAGTATGACGGATTATGGAGGCGTGTGTCAGGATCGAAGTGGTCACGAGTGACTCAGAGTAGAAGAGCCGAACAACCGACGACGATGAAGAGCTCGCAGTCTTCGAGGGGGCAACGGTTCATAGCTGTCGAAAATCACAGTGTTTTTTAGATTGTAGTCTACATCTTCTGAGAGCGTGGTAGTCATGCGCTCTCACCGGCGCAAAACTGTCTTGCTTTCCCAGAAGACAATCGCCACATGAGAGAAGTAAGGGGAAATTGGGTAGTTGTGATTATGCGCAAAGCAGCAAAAAACTAGCTATCAAAGAAGCAGAAGGGACGGCAAAAGCCAAAAAAGCGCCGCTCGCCCTTGTATGTAGAGAAGAGCAAGAAAACAGTCGTGTTCTCATTAGAAAGCAAGAAAAAAAGACAAGGGGCAAATGGGGAATTGTGGGCAAAAAGCAAGATGATGGTGGTTGGAATAAAACAAGGGGTATGGGTATGGGCATGGGTATCAACGTCTCTTCTTGCTGCTGCTGCCAGCACCGTCACCGAGAAGGTCACCAGTAAGGCGCTTGAAAATGCCTCCGGCAAGGCCTTTGCCACTGAGTAGGTCCTCGATCTTGTCAGCAAGAGGGTCTTCGCCTCGTTCTGGCACCTTTCTGCCTTCTGGATCAAAGCGAGGTGGCAATTCAACGGTCTCGCTGGAGTTGACGCTGTCTGGCGAGCCTGTGCGATGTGCTGATGGATCGCGAGATCTACGACGTCTGTGATGGCGATGCTGGTGTTGATCGTTGGTGTCGTCGTTATGTTCATGCTCATTTTGGTCTTCGTCGTGGTAGCGATGGCGTCTGCGTCTTCTTCGCTTGTGCTCTGTCTCTGTAGTACCGTTGCTACTCAACTCGCTTCTGGTTCTGATTCTGTCGTCGTTTCCGTCGCTCTCCGAATAATCTGTCTCTGGGGGTTTCCTCTTCGCTTCCGGTGAATTCATGCCTTCACTCGGCGGGACGTTGAACTGAACGCTCTTTTTGTTTATACCATCTGCAGAATTGTTAGCCGGAGTTCAAATCATTCAAAAAAGTTGGCAGATAGGGGAAGTGATGGCAAGGAAGGGACACAGGGGACGAGGCAGTACAAAAGCCGAACCACCCACCAGAAGCTGAGTCGTGTGCATCAGAAGGAGGAGTCGAACTCACGTGTTCTGGACCCGGCCTGCCGCGATTGTCGCCAGCATAGCGCGTGTCACCAGCAAAGGTCTCGTTGGCAGGAGGATACCCCAGATTGGGATCAGGGCTGGCATAGCGTTCGTCATGTCGGCCACGAGGGACACCAGCGGCACCGGGAGGTGGTGGATAATCGGCAGGATTATAGGGTGGGTATTCGTGTGGGGGATAGTCGGGCTGACGTCCGTAATTGTCTGTGGGTGGGGGTGGGAAAGAGTTGGTGGCGGGATAGTAGTCCTGGCTTTGAGGAGTGGGAGGGTAGGCAGCATTGGCACCCATTGGTGGCGGCGAGTATGGTCTGTCGTGTGCATACATGTCTTCCTCTTCTTCGCGACCTGCGACAAACTGTTAGTTGCTTGGTGTATGCGATTGCGTTATTCTGAACTCACGTCTGCGGTCACGATCGCGATCACGGTCTCTGTCTCGGTCTGATCTCCTACGTTCATCCCGTTTGCCCAGCTCGTGTGCAGCTACAGCGGCGACTCCAGCGGCGGCAGCACCCTCGGCCAAACCTCTAGTCCGACTGCGGCTTCTCGATCTGGAGCGACTCGATCTGTCGTGTCTGCGTCTGTCGGGACTCAACGAAGCAGAACTACCTCTGCGTCTGCGTCTGTACTCTGCGGGTGCTTCCTCGTAGCGTCGGTTCGGGTAGATCGGATCGTCGCCATATTCTATAAGCGCGGGATCACTCGAAGCTCTACGCAAACGAGGTTCGTCATCAGGGTAGGGGACAGATCTGCTGCGAGATCTGCTACGAGATCTGGACCTGGCACGTCCAGGCTCGGATGCGTCGTCTCTCACGGCTTCTTTGCGAGCCTTACTTCGCTCGTACAAGCCGGCGACGGCAGCACCACCCAGTCCTGCGGCAGCAATCGGCACACCTGTACGGATTCTGCTCTTGGAGCGAGATTTCTTGCCACCTCTTGAACGACTGCGAACACGGTCCAGGATTCCGGCGGCTGCAGCGGTTGCAAGGCCTGCCTGAGCAATACGACGGTTGCGGTGTTCGGGATCGCGATGCTTGCTTTCGCTTCTGCTTCTGGGTCTGGCATCCAAAGGGGGAGGGACACTACCGACCGAGGCACGGCGTCTTCTAGATCTGCTGCGACGTGTTGGTGGCACTTCGTTGTTAACGATTACCGTTTCCTTGTTTCCTCTGTTTCGGAGAGCGTATGCTGCAAGCGCGCCGACGGCGGCTACTGTACCAACTTTGGCCAAAGTACGTGCGCGAGAACGACTCCTACTTCGACTCTTGCTGCGATGGCGACGGCGTCTTTCACGACGGCTGGAACGATGCGAACGATCGGTGGAAACTGATCTTGAGCGTGAACTTCGCATGTGACTTCTGGCACGGCTCAGTGCTTCGGCACCAACAGCACCCAATGCAGCGCCGCCCAAAAGTTGACGACCACGGTGACCGGACTCATCTCCTTGTTTTCGGCGGTGATGGCGTAGAATCTCGGCGGCTCCAAGACCGGCTATGGCGCCTTCGGCTAGGTGACGGCGGTGGTGAGGTGAGTGATCGCGCGAGCCGCCGTTGCGTTCTGTGCGAGTGATGACGATATCCTCGTCGCTGCTGTAGCGGTCGTCGGCATAATTGGACGCTGAATCCCGAGGGTCAACATCGTGTCTGTAATCACGCTCATCATAGAAGTCCTCACCACCGCCTCCACGACGCGGGCCTCGATCAACTGCTCGAGTCGTGCGTTCGTAGTAGTAGTCTTCGTCATCCCTTCTCCTCTGTGCATCGTCGTATTGTGGCTCTTGTTGAAGTACGACGGGTTGACGAGGGGCTTCCTTGATGATGATGGGCTGTGGGTCCTGGCGTATGATGATGGGCTGCGGCTGATAATATTCGGTCGAGCGAGTGTATCTTTCAAGGTCCCATTGATCGCGGCGAGGAGGCTCACGTTCTACTTCCCGTTCATAACGGAATTCGCGTACTCGATCAGGAGGGGAGGGCGCACGCTCAACATTTCTTTCGTAGCGGACGATTTCTCTTGGGGCCTCCCTTTCGCGGGTGCGGTACTCGAGATCGCGGTCGTATCTGGGAGCTTGTTCGCGGTCGCGCTTGATGACGATCTGTTTCTCGTAGGTATCCTCTTCTTCAAATGCGCGGTCGGGGACTCGATAGCGGCGGACAGTCGTGTATGTGCGCGGTTCGTCGCGATCTTTGTAGATGACCGACATGATGACGGCGCAGGTCCGGAGACGGCAGTTTGGTACTGGCCGTTAGGATCCGCGGTCGACAAAACGGGTGGAGCGGATGGTGGAGGTGAACGCTGGAGAGGGCGTGGGGAAACAGGTCGACAAGCAACTGTAAATGAACTAAACGAAAGTGCAAGTGTGAGGCTAAGCAGGCTGAAGAGTAAGATTATGCAAAGCCAGGCAACCAGGCGCGGACGAGTGCAATCTGCTGCGACCAAGGGACTCCCGACGGTGGTGGCTGGTGATCACCCAGCCCACCTTCCTTCCCTCCTTCCTTCTTCACTTGAAAGCGGTGACGTCTGTTCCACGTGCACGCATTCAAACAAGCAGGCACGCAGTTCACACGAGAGAGAACCAGATCTTGTCAAACTACGACAAATAAACTTCTTTGATGTTGCTGCCCAAACATCACAAGGTTTGACAGGAAACAGAATGCCATGGCAATTCAAGCCATCGTTGGGTCACTTCTGTCAAAGCCGAAGCCTGATTTTTGACCCCTCCTTCCCCAAACCTGCACCTGCCCATTCGTCGGATAGCCAGTTAAATGCATGCTGACGTCTCGATTCCCCTTCTCGTCGTAGCATTCTGCATGTGACGCGCCAAGTGACTCCAAGAGAGACTTCTGATTTTGATGGGCATTACTCTTCATAAATGTTGATATATACATACAGAGGCGACGCTCTCTGTTGAGTCTATGGGCCGGTTTCTCTATCGATCTTGAACTCAGGAAGCCCGCTCTGTTCTGACGAGCGTGTGCCTATCTCCTCTAGTGCTGCCCAGATCTCCGGATATCTCTCCTTAGCCCAAGCCTCGACGATTCCCTTTTTGATATGACCTGGAGCGGCGTTGTACAAAGATCCAATTCTGTCAATGTGTCAGCTCTCATCTCGATGGAACCGTATAACCGAACTTACATGAGAGTGTCCATGTCGAGTCCCTGCTGAGCATGTGCCTCCTCTAGCAAATCGATGGCGCCTTTCACGTCTCCATTGCCTACAAGCGCTCCTGCATAGCTAGCCCAAAGAGGTTGGTCGAGTTCAATCCCAGTGCGACTCAACTTTGTCCATATCAGTCGTGCCTTCTCGTCGCCCCATGGAGCATCTTCGCATGCTCGCATCGCAAGGTGGATACTGTTGATGTTCGGTCCTTCACGACTCGAAGCAATCTCGTCCCAGAAACCTAGCGCTGTCCTAGGTGATTCGCAAAGAGTATAGGCCTGCATGAGTGCGTTGTGAAGATTTGTATTCGGCTCGATGTTGAAGTCCAGTTTGAGTTGATTGTGCACAACTTCCAGACTCTCCTCATCTTTCAACTTTCCGATTCCAGATAAACATGCGACGTAAGTATCGATAGTGGGAATGATGTCTTGACGGGTGTGCGATCGCATATGGTTGAAGACATGCACTGCCATGTCCGGACGCTGGCGCCTGAAGAACTCATTCATGATGCTCTCACGCTGCTCCCTGGTTGTGTCATCGAAGACTTGTTTGAGGATGATGTAGGTGTCCCATGCTTGGGCTGTTGTCGTCGAAGGCTTGAGGCAGTAGTCGATGAGGGTGCTCTGTACAGATGCGCGCCCAGCCATGTCGAAGCCATAGACGTGAGTGTTAAGGAGATCAATGACATCGTGTACCTCATCGCGTGAAAGATGCAACACCGATAGTGCGGATACTGTTTCGGGTTCGAAATAAGCTTGCCGGTCTGACAAATCTGCTGCGACGTTCATGATGCTTTCAAAGTCTTGACGACCAGAAGTGCACATGGCACGGATGAGCTCGTTGACGACGATAACGTCTTGATTTTTCGAGAGATCCTGAGCTTGCAGATGCTTGTACACAGTCAGAGCACCGTCTACATCTTTGACAACGAGACGGTATCGCATTTGGTAGATGAGTGTCAGTGCATTTGGCTGAATATTTCTTGACTTGCCTAGGGCGATGAATCGCTCAGCAAGATAAGGATCTTTTCGGTCAACCGCCACCTTGACTAATTTATTCAAGGTAGAAGTGTCGGGAACTCGCCATTCTGCTTCAGGGAGAGATTGATTCGCACGTTCCATGACACTTATCATGCGATCAATCTCATCAGCACCTTTACCTGTTCCAGCAGCCCATTGGAAGATCAGATCCCATTGATACTTTGTTGGCGTCCCTGCAGTTATGTCCTTTACGATGAGTTTTCCCAAATTCGTGTTTGATGTTCGCATGCCCAGGTCAATTAATGCCCTTTGTAGGAGCTCAAGCCTCGAATCAAAGTCCTGCTCCTTACATTTGTTGTACCATTCGGAGGCCTTGTCAACATTTTGCTGGGAGATGTAGAATCTTGTAATCACTTCATGAGCGAATACTTGAGGACCTTCAGCAGAAGTTTCATTCATGATCGCGAGAGTGCGAAGAAGCTCGACCTCGTTTTTCTCGGCCGAAAAGCCTTTGAAGATTGACCCCCATAGACTCTTAATTTCCGTGGATTGGAGTGGAGAGTGCGTTTGCTTTGTGAATTGAATGAGTTCGTCTCTGGCAGTCAAAGTGCCTCCAGTAGCGCATAGAGCATTGACATAAGCCACAAAGAATTTGGTTTTTGGGAGACGACCGTCTAGGACTTTGCTCTGACAGAGCGCACGATATAAGATGTCGATGATCTCACGGTGAAGGGAAGAATCGGCATGGGCGTCATGATCGAAGACTTGGAGCCATTCGTAGAAAACAGAAGGACCCAGGTGTGAGAAGGATTCGGCTTCAGCCAGATAGTTCAGACTGCGAAGAAGATGGCGTGCTTGAATATCGGGTATGTAGCGAGTCGAGGTTTTCCGGTCTCTCTTGTGACTGAAAAAGACCGTGACAGCCTTCAGGACATCATCTGGAGGTGGCAGCCTGGCACTGAGTCTCTCCATCTTTGAATATTCCATCATCTTTTCCAGACCTGGAGCCATCCTAGGTTCCGAGGTAACACGTTGAGGTTTCTTGAAGATATTGAAAAAGGAGCGTCGCTGAGCCCTCGGGAGGGCTTGGATATCCGGCAGACATGATGGGAGGTATTGGCGTGGACGAAGACAACCGCGGTGTGCTATGGGTTCGCTAGCTAGCAATTTGCGAAAGACGACGCGATTGAGGTGGGAGCGCATGCCGGGGTGCGAAACGGGCGTATTAGTCGTGAAGAGCGAAAGAGAGAGACATGTACAAGAAGAGAAAGGCGCAAGTAAAGCAGGATACAAAGAAGATCAAGTGCGGCTATGTGATTCGAATACTCGAAGCTGTTGCGGCGTTTGGCACTTTCTCCATGCTCTTGCTGCTCTTAAAGTCTCGGTTTTCCCCGTCCGGCCTTCAATTGCGGCCAACTTTTGAACCTCCGAAGCAGACAAGGCAGTTCACGTCAGCATATACCAATTACACAACATCACACCATGTCTGTCATACGTCCCTTCTCACGAGCGGCTGCTCGTACTGGCTCCTCCTCCTACACACGCTGTGTGCGCACATTCACCTCGTCAACTCCGCGCGCCGATGAGTCCGAGCCCAAACGAAATGGCGTTTTTGAGGGTATGTACGGGAGTATGAATCTTGTAGCTCATTCAGCTCATTCTTCCAGGCCTGCTAGACACGTTCAAGACCGACAACAACAATGCGCGCCCGAGAGTTCCACAGTACGGACGACCAACCAACAGGCGTGGAGAGATCACCAAGAACGACCCTTACAAGCTGCTTCAACAGAACTTCCAGGACGTTAGAAAAAGTGCATCTAACAACGCCGAAAGTCTGGCTGCCGCGAATGAGATTGTTGAATACGAGAGACAAATGACGCGCAAATGGAAGGATGGAGATGTCTACGCACCTCACGACCTGAGCGGCGTCGAGATGAGCAAATGGAGCAAGGGTCAGCCAAAGGGCAGGCCAAAGAAGGACGTCTTTGATATGCTGAAGATCAACCCTCTGAACCACTACTGGGTATGTTTCCCCTCACACAAGTACACTACGGACGCTCGACTGACGCTGCTAGAATTTCTCCATGATGTCTGAGTTTATGACCGAGATGGGCAGGATCAAGCATTCCAAGGACACAGGATTGAGACCGGTGAACCAAAGGAAGGTGGCCAAAGCCGTCAGAAGAGCAATTGGCCTTGGTCTGATGCCTAGTGTGCACAGGCATCCTGAGATCTTGCAACCAAGAGGATCTCTTGGTCGATAGAGGGTGATCCAATCTTTGTACAAGTACATATATAACTTTACACTTCATTTCATCGAGTGATAAAAAACAAGGTCACATTATCGATATACAAAACATCACCAAGGAGCACGATTGTAATGAAGACAGGATTGCCAGGAATATACAATAATCTATACAACTGAATAGATCAGGCATTCTCTGTTCCTATTTGAAAAGAGAGAAATTGGATCTCAGCATCATGGTAGCAACTCCCGGTACAGATGTGGCTTAAATGCTGGTCAACGAAGAGGACTCTATGTAGGTCAGCGTCACGTGAACTGGGGCGTTTTGAGAGCATCTGATTGGCTGGGTGAAGCTGACCACTCAATCGGGCGGCGGATCGAAGTCGAAGTCGAAGTTGGACTCTTGACGACTTGGTTTGGAGATCGCATCTTGACCCAATTCACATACCACCACCTCACCCCCTCGACACAATGGCATCTAAGCTCGCCCCCATGGCTTTCAGAAGCAGCAGCAGAGCTCTGCGCGTCTTCGCCAGACAACAATCGCGCCGCTCGTTCGCCGTCTCTTCCGTCTCCCGCAGCGACTCGCTCTTCGTCGTATGTCCAATCGCCGCCCACCTCGCCAGTCCTCTCTAACGACTACCTCACAGCACCGCGATTCACCAGAGAACAACCTCGACGTCCCTTTCACTTTCAACGCTCAGAATGAGAAGCTCATTGAGGAAGTCCTCAGCCGATACCCTTCGCAATACAAGAAGGCCGCCGTTATGCCCCTCCTCGACCTTGGTCAGCGCCAGCACGGTTTCTGCAGCATCAGTGTCATGAACGAGGTCGCCCGCAGATTGGAAATGCCCCCGATGCGTGTCTACGAAGTCGCTACTTTCTACACCATGTACAACAGAGAGCCCGTCGGCCGTTACCACGTCCAATGCTGCACCACCGTACGTTTACGCCATGCCAAAACCTGGGCATTTGCAGAAACTAACACTTTGTAGACCCCCTGTCAACTCAGAGGATCCGACGGCGTCATGAAGGCTATTGAGGACGAGCTGAAGATTCACCACGGCGAGACCACCGAGGACAAGCTCTTCACCTTCACCGAGGTCGAATGTTTGGGTGCATGCGCCAACGCCCCCATGGTGCAAATCAACGACGACTACTACGAGGATCTGACTCCCGAGACAACAAAATCCCTGCTCAAGGCTCTTAGGGAAGCTGCACAAAAGGCCGGTGCAAGTGGACAGGCTTCTGGTCTTGCTGGCGAGGCTGGAAAGGCTGAGGGAGCTGGAGGTTCTGGCACCGCCATCCCCGAGCAGGGCAGAACCTACGCTGCACAGGGCGTCAAGCTTCCTTCTCCCGGTCCCCTCAGCGGCCGCAAGACCTGCGAGCCCGCTCAGGGTTTGACCAGCTTGAACAGCGAGATGTGGGGTAATGAGAAGCTCAGAACCGACGGCGCTCTCGACTAGATGCTTCTTAGAATGTACAGTATGTTTCTACCGTTATTTTGATTCCCAAGGCGTTGTAATGTCAAGCCTGTCTTTTTCTTTTCTCACAAGATTACACCGAAGTTACATCCAAAAGACTGCTCCAAACACTTTTTGACAAGAGCTGCTGTTGGTTATGAGAGGTGATTCGATCGCATCCGATATCGCCTTCATGAGTTCCTGCTGGTTCGTTTGGTAACCGACTCCAGACTCATCATTGCTCTTTCCTCAAGAGGAGTATCTCACTTCACAAGGATTAAATGAAGGGTGTCAAGTAAAACCCATCGCAAGTTCATCGCGGCCAAACACATGTAGGTAGAGAACAGACGGGTTCAGGGGTTCGGCACAAGCTGGAGACCGGTCTTTTGATATACCATAGCGCCAGGATAGGCAACTGCCAAATTCGCAACCACCTTCAGAAGGCGCGACTCCGTCCAAACACCGCTTCACTTTTGTTATCATAGAAACCGCGCTAGCGATCGGCGTCCTTCATCATTTACACACTCGTTTTCTCTGTCTTCCAATCGTCTCCAAAACACTATACCTCTTTCTTCCAACCTTTACCAGCACGAAACGAACAACATGAAGCTCCCCAGTCTTGCCTCTGTCTACCTTGTCTTCGGCCTTGCCCATGGCGCTGCCCTGAGCGAGAAGGTTCTTGGTATGTCAACCCAACATCTCAAGTGTACCATTCAATGTTGACGATCTATAGTCGAGGCCCACTCTCAGATCACGGGCAATGCCTCCGCTGTCCTGGGCTGGCAGCTTGCCGGCTCTCAGCAGAGCATGGCCCCTCTTCAGATGGGATGCAAGGACATCACCTCTCTCGGCCATGGCAACTGGATCTCCGTCGGTCTCGACTCTGACGTGATTGAGGGTAGATATGCCCCAAGTCAGACTGCTAAAACCGGCAATACTGATTATGATTCATAGACGTCTTCTGCACCGCTGCAAGTGCTCCTTCCAACGCTTCTGCCACTGCCCTTGCCGAGATCAAGCTTTCAGTCACCGACATCTTCATCACTCAACTCCTCAACGCCTTTGGTGACAACAACGAGGCCAGTGCCCAGTGGCTCTGCAAGAACTTCAACTACACCACCATGAACGACGAGCTGGCTCTCGACTCTGGCCGTGTCGGTCGCGCCTTCTGCCTGGACCGCCCTTACGGTACCGATTGGGTCAACCCCACCCACGAGGTCGACATCGTTGCCGACCCTCGCATCTACGACTTGGCCTCTTACCTTGCTGCCATTCTCTACACTTTCAGCGCCTCTTCTCCCACCGAGCGCTGGGTCATGTGCGAGCAGTACCACTACATGGCTCAGGCTCAGCTCAAGCTCGGCATCAACTCGAACATTGTTCGCGAGGAGCTCTGCGTCGACCACGACATTCCTCTGATGACTGCCCACCTTGTTCAGACCAAGATGGCTGGCTCGTCCACCAACATCTTCGAGCAGCAGCTTATCGTTGCTACCGACGCTGCTGGTGATGAGAAGAAGATGACTTGGCTGTGCGAGAACATCGAGCACCGCGACCTTGGTCTTCTCGGCATGACTCCTTCCAACAGCTTGTTCTGCTTGGTCTAGATTGGATTGAGAAGCAAGTCTCTGCACTTTCGTCTCCATCACCTTGTCCATCACGACCTCGCTTGTACGCCCTTGATGGGCTGTCACATCTTCAAGAGTGTTTAGTCATGGGACATGGGATGCTATCTTCTCACTTGGTCAGATAATATCGTATAATTGGTCTCACATCGGATAGATAGATCAATGACATCAAAAGTCCAAATCAATGAAACCAAATTCCCATTCCAGTCTCTCTTGACTCTTCCCTTGATGTTTCATGAGTGCCTGTCTCTTACGTCGTGACGACTGACCTCAACACTTTACTGCGAAAGCAACCGGAACATGCTTGATATCCATCGGAGATGAAGTTCATGATATGCTTTCTCTCTACTCCAACTTTGGATACAACTATCTCGGAGAGATGGATAATATCAGTGACGTCAGACCATCAACATGACGTTCCACGTTCTCAGAGTACGGTACCACCTTCTTTTTCCAAAAGACCTCACCTCTCGAAGATATTACTCCAATACAAATCCCCCAAAAGCCTTCCTTCCTGGGCCCCACACCTCAAATCAACATCACACCATGCCATCACAAAGACAAGCCATCCATGCATCTTCAGCACCAAAGCCCAATGGCAATTACTCCCATGTAGTACGCGAGGGCAATACATTACATATAGGTAATTAAAGCAAAACGAGCATCCCAAATACCCAACCCACCCCAATCCTATATTCTAGATCCTTTTGTATATATCCAGAGTTGAGAAATGCTGATTTGATGTGGGGAAAAAGCTGGTTGGATGGGTGATGATCCAACTACTGGTGATATCGTCCCGGGAGGTATAGAAGCACAAACGGTTCGTTTGACATTCATTCATTCATTCATCCATCCCCTCCTATACCTACCATCCCTCATCCCCCCCTATACCTCCTCCTCCTCATATACCTCCTCCCATCCTAACATCCCCCACCCCAAGCATCGCGCAATCCTCAACATAAAAGCCTGCCTCCTCGCCGCAAACTCCTCCCTGGACAAAATCGTCCGCAGAAGAATATACCTCATGAAAATGTCCGATTTCCGCAAAGTGGATGAGATATGGGCCGAATATTTCGAGGAACCGTATCCCGTGAGCACGTGCGTGCAAGTTTCGGGTTTGGCCAAGGAGGGCGCGTTGGTGGAGTTGGAAGTTGTGGCGCAGGCGTGAAGATAAGAAGAAGGGTTGGGTGGTGGTGGTGACCGAAAAAGAAAATACGGAAATCATTGTGGATGAATAGGAGAAAGTGGTGGTTGGGATGGTGTATGATTGTTTTTCATTCTCTACTTTGTTGTGTTGTGGATGAGATATTTATGAAGGAAGAAGCAGATGGTATATACTATAGTGGGGAGAACGGAGGGTAACGAGAAAGGAGGCACAAGACGGTGCGAGGCTGGGGGACAGAGAAGCATAAAATACCAAGTGTCGCACGACGAACACATTAGAAAGCCATCTTCATGCAATAAAGTAGAGACATACCTTGACCTGATGATTTACAAGTCTCAAAAAAAAAATAGAAAAAAATGAGCACCATGGGAAGGAATCGAACCCCCGACCTCCTCGGATCTAGACTGACACGGCGTTGAGTAACAACGAATGACTGCGCACGTGTTAAGACCACGGGTGTGTTGGACCACTACACTACCACGGCTGAGAACTTGTAAGGGTTAGAATATTATAAAATATAAAGGTTGCGTGTGACAGGCGGCGATGAGCCTGGTGGCAAGATGAAGAGGTTGATTGAGTTAGTTGTTGGTCAGCTGCGAGCTTTACTTTCATAAGGCGCGGGGACGAGATGCGCCTGAGGTATCAAGACATCCATGCGTGAGACGAGTATGTGGTGACGCAAGGCTGTTGATTAAGATGTATCGTTGAGACTACTTACAGATATTGTCCATTCGTGTAGTGCTCCTTTGCAAAGCATGTTCACGCGCGTATTGTCGATGGAGCGACAAATTTGGTATCGTATGTAGTGGTGCTGAGAATGCTTCGATCTTCCATTAATGTCATGCTTCTCTTCTGTCGTTCCTCGATCATGTTTTTGAGTCGACGCAAGGTGTTTAGCTCTCGTTGTCGGAAGGCAGTGCGCTCAAGGACGAAGCATCACTCTGATCGGCCTCTTCTTCCTTCTTCGCCTTCTTGCCCTTCTTTGCTGGGACCGCCTTGCCAAAGTTGAGTTTTGTCTGTTTAGCCTTTGTCTTTTCCTCCTTCTCCTTGACTTTGGTCGTCTTCTTCTCGACTTGTTCGGCAATTCTGTTGCGTTCGACCGCACCCATCTTTTGCAGTCTGTCCTCGATTTCTTTGAACTCTTCGCTCTCGACATCCATGCCGACAAGATTTTCGAGCAGCTTGATTTCTCTGGCCCAGATGCCCTTGTCCTCCATGTCTTTGCCCTTAGCATCTTTCTGGAGGTTGCCGTCTTCGTCGCGAACCTCGATGGGAGTCTCGAGGACCATGGGTAGACCAATGACACGCTCGTCGTTCATGATGGCGTGGAAGCCGCGGAGGCCTAAGAAGCCAGTGCCAATGTTGGCATGCAGATCTCTATGACTCGAGAAGGGGGCTTTGCTGTCGTTGAGATGAAGAGCACGCAAATACTTCATACCGACAGTCTCGTTGAAGTCGGACATGGTCTTCTGAACCGTCTCAGGGGTACGCAGATCGTAACCGCCAGCAAAGGCATGGCATGTATCTAGACACACACCGACGCGAGACTTGTCTTCTACTAGCTCAATGACATCGCGCAAATCTTCAAAGGTCGAGCCAATGACATTGCCACCAGCGGCCATGTTCTCGAGCAAAGTGACAACTTTGGAAGTCTCCTTGTGAGCACGGTTGAGATTGCCAGCCAAGTGGGCAATAGCAGCAGCACGGTCACCGCCAACACTGTTTCCAGGATGGAAGTTGTACAGGGCGATACCGAGCTTCTCGCAGCGCTTCAAGTCATCGAGAAAGGAGTCGTATGCTTGTTTAGTACGCTCAGGATCGGTATGCGCTAGGTTTACCAGATATGAGCCGTGAGGAACAACGTGCTTGTTCTGGTCAAAGTCGTGCTTGTTGCAGTTCTCGTGGAAGTTGATTGAGTGAGTTTCGTCGAGAGGAGGGTTTGCCCACTTCCTTTGGGATTTGAGGAAGAGAGCAAAGGCATTTGCGCCGATGTGAATTGCGTTTTGGACAGCATTTGGGGGGCCTCCAGCGGCCGAGACATGAGCACCGATGAAGAGCTTGTGACCGACTGTACGTGCAGCCAAGGGCATCGCTTCAGCTTCCTTCCCTTCCTTGGTCTTACGCTTTCGTACAACCTTGGCCTTGGTTGGTGGGGCGTCGACAGTGGTAGTTTCAGCTTCCTGGGTCTCTTCGATGACCTTCTTCGACTTCCTGGCTTTCTTGGGTGATGGCTCAACCTCTTCCTCGACCTTGGCAGCTTTACGTTGACGGGTCTTCTTGACAGGAGCAGGCCTCTCTTCAATGTCGTTCTCTCCCTCCGACTCTTCTTTGACTTGTTGCTTGACGTTGCGCTTGCGCTTGGTTCCTCTAGTTCCTTTGGGAGCAGTGTCGGCGACGGCAGTCTCTGGAGCGTCGGATACGACAGATGACAAGGCGGATGATTCTTCACTGGCAGCTCTAGCCTTCGATGGACGAGCCATATTTGTACTTCAATGGTTGTGACGAGGTCGAATTGATGCCAAGTTTGGTGGATGGCTTGGATGGGCAACAAGGTTGGACGAGACCCTGGAGATGGCGCTTATCGATAAGCTTTTGGTCGATGCCAAAATTTCCATCTTCTCTCCTCCGCGCCTCCGCACCTTCCCTATACCACTATACAAGTCAAGATGCCCAAATCAGCAAGAAAGAACAACGGCAGTGGCGTGTCAAAGAGCGACCCCTATGCTGGCGCCGCCTCGCGCAAAAAGGGCCATGCCGCCAACAACGTCTTCAAGTTCAACACGGATCTCGGTCAGCATATTCTCAAGAACCCCGGTGTCGCCCAGGCCATCGTCGACAAGGCCGACCTGAAGCAGTCAGATGTATGTCTTCGATTGTCCATCCGAGTTGCATAGCCCTTCTGACGCTCTTACAGATTGTCCTCGAAGTCGGACCCGGTACCGGTAACTTGACGACCAAGATCCTGGAAAAGGCCAAAAAGGTCATCGCCTGCGAAGCCGATCCCCGAATGGCTGCCGAGATCACAAAGCGTTTTCAAGGAACTCCTGCCCAAAAGAGACTCGAAATCATCCTCGGAGATGTGCTCAAGCACCCACAACTACCCTACTTCGACGTCTGCATCTCAAACACCCCCTACCAGATTTCCTCGCCCTTGACCTTCAGACTCTTGGCCTTGAGTCCCGCTCCTCGCTCATGCGTACTCATGTTCCAACGTGAATTTGCCATGCGTCTGTTCGCTCAACCTGGAACAAAGCTATACTCGAGATTGTCTGTCAACGCTCAAATGTGGGCTAAAATCAGCCACGTTATGAAGGTCGGAAAGAACAACTTCAATCCTCCTCCTCAAGTTGAGAGTGATGTCGTCAAGATTGTGCCCAAGGTCCCGCGTCCACAGATCAGCTACGACGAGTGGGATGGTCTTCTGCGCATTTGCTTTGTCCGTAAGAACCGTACTCTTCGTAGTGGCTTCTTGGGCACCACCAGTGTCATGGAGATGCTCGAGTCCAACTACCGCACCTACTGCGCTCAGAACAACATCGTACTGGATGATGGTCCGCTGGACCCTGCAGATGCCGCTATGGACACAGATATGGCTGCCGATGAACAGGATGACGAAATGGAGGCTATCATGGATGTTGACGATGAGGATGATGTTCCCGACTTCTTCAGAGAGGAGGCAGACAAAAAGGCAAAGAAGCTGCTAGGCAACCCCAACCGCAAGAAGAAGGGCAAGGTGTCTGAGCTTGTGCGCCAGAAGGTCACAAAGGTGCTCATCGAGACAACCGAACTCTGCGAGAAGCGTGCCAGAATGTGTGACGAGGGTGACTTCTTGAAGTTGTTGTACGCCTTCAACCAGGAAGGTATTCACTTCAGCTAGTCTTTGAACATTACAAAAGCATATGGGAGGTTAAGCATGGCGTATTTGGAGTTCAGCTGGAGGATTCAATATTTCGTTTTCGCAAAGATACCCGACAAGAAGAGACAATCCATTCTACAATATCTTGTATTTTCCTCCATCCTTTGATTTGCCCATTGATTCGATATTTCCTAACCACATGCATGTTTTATGCAGATTTTGACCCAAAGAACGCCACGCTGATAAATACAAATCAAACCCGAGAAGTGGTACAACCGGCAAGAGCTGTTTAAAGCAAGTCAAAGTCGTCCAACTTGTCGCGGTATCTGTGGATAGTCCTCTTGATCTTGGACGAATCAACCCAAGTCACAAAGTCCTCCATATTCCTCGTAACCAAGAAGGCCGGATCAGTGACGACCTCGGTACCCACTCTGACCTGACCACCTTCAATAAAAGTGGTCGCGGCCTTGAGATCAGGAGCCATTTGGAGTCTTGTGAGGATGACGTTTAGACGTCTGCGGGCGAAGGCTGAAACGGTGACTTTGTTCTCGACGGCGGAGAGTTTGCTGCGTTCGCTGAGGATGGCCATGTCGTAGAGTTTGTCGAGGAGTTTCTTTTCTGTCGAGAGGCGGTAGGCGTTGTCCGGGGGCAGCATTGTGAGGCGGTGGGCTAGTTGGCGGAGTTGACCACAGAGACGGTTGTATGAGGTGTAGTCTTCGGGCTTTTGGATCATGTACTGTATGCGCCTTTGTTAGTATTGCGATTTCCATGATCAGGAAAAGAAGAAGAACGTACGCGGCGGACTACATCGTTTTGTCTGATGGTGCCTTGTTTCGTGTCGGCCTTGAAGAAGTCGACCTTGCGGAGGAGCTTGTGCTCATGGTGCTTGAGTTGTCTAACCATGATGTGCTGGTTGCTATGCTATTTGCGATGCGACAAGATGGCGCCTCTCGGAGTTGGAGTTGCAGAGAAAGGCTTCCTTGTCGATAGGGCTGAGATAATTTCTGCCAGCTCTGCGTTGCGGGCCGAAGGCGGTCATCGGATCGGCCCGCAATCAAGAGTCACCGTCCGAGTCATCGGCATGTGCTCATCTTTTTTGTTTCCGAGCTCATTGTTTGCTTTCTTCTAGTCAATTCTACATACAACAAGATGCCGACAGTACACCTCCTGGACTACGTGGCTGGCAACATCCGATCGCTGGTCAATGCCATCGAGAAGGTCGGCTACCAGGTCGAATGGATCAAGTCACCTGAAGATGTGCAAAAGGCAGAGGTACTGCCCCTCCAACCCCACCAATGCGTCTTCCCAACCGCGTTAGGGACTGATATAACTGACAGGCTCCCTAGAAACTCATCCTCCCCGGAGTAGGTCACTTTGGTCACTGCCTCAGCCAATTCAACAACTCTGGATATGTCGAGCCCATCAAGAAGCACATCGCCGCTGGTAAGCCCTTCATGGGCGTCTGTGTCGGTCTACAAGCTCTGTTTGAAGGCTCAGAGGAGAACTCGGAGGTGCCTGGTCTTGGTCTGATCCCTGGCCGTCTGGAAAGATTCGACGACTCGGACAAGAGTGTGCCTCACATTGGCTGGAACTCAGCAAACACTGCTTCGGAACAAGGCCTGGACGCGAACCAGAGTCTTTACGGCATGCGTCCCGACAGCAAATACTACTACGTCCACTCATACGCCAAGATGTACGAACCCGGTGTTCTCGAGAAGGCCGGCTGGTCTGTAGCCACCGCCCGCTACGGCAACCAAGAATTCGTCGGAGCTGTCGCAAAGGACAATGTCCTGGTCACCCAATTCCACCCCGAGAAGAGTGGTGCAGCAGGTCTCCGCGTTCTCAAGGCCTTCCTGGAAGGCGACCGTCTCTCTACCCTCCCCCAAACACCCTCCGCCTCAACAACAAAAGAAGGCCTTACCCGCCGCATCATTGCCTGCCTTGACGTCCGCACAAACGATTCAGGCGACCTCGTAGTAACAAAAGGCGACCAATACGACGTCCGTGAAAAGGAGGAAGGTGCCGCTGTCCGCAACCTCGGCAAGCCTGTTTCCATGGCCCAGAAATACTACGAACAAGGTGCCGACGAAGTCACTTTCCTAAACATCACCTCCTTCCGCGAAACTCCTCTCAAAGACCAACCTATGCTTGAGATTCTCCGTCAAGCTTCATCAACCGTCTTCGTTCCCCTCACAATCGGCGGCGGCATCCGCGACACAAAGGACCCAGAGACCGGCAAAGTTGTCCCAGCCCTGGAGGTCGCAACACTCTACTTCAAATCCGGCGCCGACAAAGTAAGCATAGGCTCCGACGCCGTAACCGCCGCCCAAGAATACTACGCCGCCAATAAAACACTCTCCGGCAAAACCGCAATCGAAACAATCAGCAACGCCTATGGTGTTCAAGCCGTCGTCGTGTCCGTCGACCCCCGCCGCATCTACGTCAACAGCCCCGAAGACACGACTCACGCCGTGCTCAAAACACCCTACCCCGGCCCCAACGGGGAGCAATACTGCTGGTATGCATGCACCATCCACGGCGGCCGCAGCACTTCCGACCTCGACGTCATTCAACTCTGCACAGCAGTGGAAGCCATGGGCTGTGGAGAAATCCTCCTAAACTGCATCGACAAAGACGGCACGAACTCCGGCTTCGACCTGGAACTCGTAAAGTCGGTCAAAGCGGCCATCAAGATCCCTGTTATTGCGAGCAGTGGTGCCGGAAACGCCGGTCACTTCAAAGAGGTATTCGATCAGACGACTGTCGACGCTGCGCTGGGGGCTGGCATGTTCCACAGGGGAGAATGGACTGTGAGACAAGTCAAGGAGGAATTGGAAAAGGATGGTTTGTTGATTAGGAGATTTGAAGATGAGATTTAAGAGGACGGGTTGAGTTTGGTTTTCTGGTCTGCATAAGGAAGAGAGGTAGATTAAGCGTATGTCCATGCATATTTTCACGTTCAACAAGATTGTCATGAAGAATGTTAAAAAAGAAGGGTGTCAAGAAGAACAAGCATAATAAGCACCTAGTATGTGAGACTCCAACTAATTCAGGATGGGCGGAAAGGGTTCGTATTTGGTCAGGCTGTTTTTATAGCACTCTAACCTTTTTTCATCGGGTATGATATTGTAAAGACTACGGAAGGAGCGGATGAAGCAAAGCCGCGGTCCAGAGTTCTTTGCTCGAGATTGCTATGTTACAAGTATGCGGTAGCAGCATTACTTCCTCCTTATTTACCCCCTTAACTCCTCCTTACTCCCTCTATCATCAACCGTCTACATTCCTCCTCCGCTGATCATCTCCTCCATTCGATGAACAATCAACCACAACACATCTCAACGCTTACACACCTTCTTATGTTCCTTCCAATCGGCCTTCTGACAAGCATGATTACAATACTTGACCTTTTCACACCTCGTACAAGCCTTCAAACCGGAAAACTTGATGCTTCCACAATGCCCGCAAATATCGCGAGGGGCGGCGGGAGTTTGAGAAGACGTGCTGTTGGGGAGTTTATCCATCATCATAGCCACCATGTAAGGAATAGCATGGATGATAGGGATAGCAACGCGAGTGGCAAAGTCAGCCAGAGGTTTAAAATCCGGTGGCAGGTGGTTTGTATCTTGTCCGTTTCCGCAAGTGCAGATGGGTGATCTGCAGGCGAAGGTGGACAGGGGGATTGTGTTTGTGGTGTTGATTTTGTATTCGCAGGTTTCCTTGTGTTCCCATGTGCGGCAGCGCTCGACGGTTGCGGGGATCAGGTGTTTCCAAAGTATCATTTCTTCTCTGGCCGTATCGATTAGCTCTTTGCGGTTGGCGTTGAGAGTGGGTTGGACGAGTCCGCTTTTGGCGACCTCGGGGGTCAATGGCACGACGAATGCGTCCAGGAAGATGGAGCCCGAGTCTCGGTCGTGGTGTATGGCGTTGGAGATGATGAATGCGTCCACTTTGTCGCCCTCGGTCAAGACGTAGAGGCGGAATATCTTGCCGGGGTAACGGGGATGGAGGCCGACAAGACCCATGAATAGCAGTGGCAAGCCTTCTCTCAACTTCAACATGGCGGGTTTGCGCGAGTAGTCCATGTCCGATAAGTTCAAGGCACGGTCTGCTCGAGTGGATGCCGTGGCGAACATGCCTTCCAGCCATAAATGGTCGACTGGTAGCTTGATCAAGGGCTGGCGATCGATATCTACACGTCCCATGCCCCATGCCAGGAAGTCACCAGTCCCGTTTTGATCGATGACAGGGAAAGGGTTCATGGCATAGCCACCAATCTCAATGGAGTTCGAAGTAGGAGCGCTCAACTCGATGGACACGGGGTTGCGAGTAAGTTTAGCCTTCATGCCATTGATCGGGTATGGAAAGGCGATACGATGGGTGAGCTGTTCAAGAGAAAGCTCCATAACACATGGCGAGATTTGACTGATCTCGATTGCGGTGCCTTTCTTGAGAGCGTGGCTTGTCTCCAAGTTTGGTGCAAAGGCTTTGGTGGCTGTGATTGATTGCACGGTGCAATCGTTCTTGAGTTGTACCACCCATGAGATGGTTTCAGCGGACTCTGTAGTAGAATTAGGGCCATCATCACTGCCTTTGTTACTAATTTCGGGTGCCGGCTTCTCCTCCGAGACTTGAAAGTCGCCGTCGATGCTGTCAATACACATGGCGGAATTTTGTGTAGGTTGTGCGGTCGCTGATACGGCCTTAGTAGGTGCTCGAGCGAAGATTTTGACATGGTTGCTGTCCAGATTTGCTGTAAAAACTTGGGTGCGGAACCCAAGATGGAGTGAATACTGGACAGTGTCGAATGAGGCGTTGCTGTTGACTACCAGACCAAGACAAACGTCCTTTCTGTTTCCAACAAGCAGAGGCCACGTTGGAACAGCACAAGTAACAATCAAGTCTGACATACCCGACCAACCCAGAGGGTCTTCGTCAATGGTTATATCGCCGTTAGCAGCGGGGGCTTCCTTGAGACGTCCAAAAAAGGTGTCAATCGCATAGAAGTTGAAGTCATCGAACAATTGATCATTGAAAACGGTAAGACGTAGGCCAGGCGTGCCAACTTGATCCGCAGGGCGATCAGTGAAGATACGCAGCTTAGATCTCGGGACAACAAGGGCGACATGAACGATCGCCGGCAAGTCGTCGCTTCCCAGCATGCCACTCTCGTCACGAGATCTCGTTCTGCCATACGGAGTCATCTGCCCTCTCGGGTCTGCCCTCAGCAATGGCACATCCCAAAGGCCAGTCTGATGGAAGTGGAGATACAGCTCCTGCATTCCGTTGGATCCCAGGATCAGCGTTCGGTCATTCTCAATTGACTCCATGAGTGCGTCGATGCAAGCTTTCCAGTCGGTCTGTACAGTTCTCTTTGCTGCTGCCACAAGAGTAACAAGTGAAAGCCTAGAGTAGAAGAACCGATCGCCAGCCAAGGGACGATTCATCTTGCGCAGCATTACTGCGTTGCGAATACTGGTATCTTCTGCTTCACGGAACATAGAAAGATAAGCCTGTTTGAAGAAACTAGCAAGTTCTTGAGGGTTGATCCGGAGCAAAGGGAAAGGCTTGCAAGGCCCGTCTCTCAATAATTCTCTGTCGCCATGAAACGCGCTGCGAAAAGGAATACGCAGACGCAGTTGCGCCAGACATCCTGTTGTGGGTGGGCAAACTCTGTCGAAGATCTCTTCGCTTTCGAACGAGTCGGTCGTAGTGTCAAGGATGTGGCCCATAGGCGTAACGCCTAGCAACAGCGAGATAGTTGTGACATTAGCATGAAGTAGGGTTACCAGAGTCGATTCATGCTTCTCGGCTGCCTGCAAAAGGGTTTCGAAGTAAAGGATAGAACATGGGGCATGTTTCAGTAGAGGTGTTACTGCAGGGAGGACGTTCAAGATGCCGTGGTAATCGATGATGTTGGAGGTATCGATTATGTCGAACTGGCTGGTAAGAGTCGGTTCCAGTAGCAGCTGAGTTGCGCACCATGGCTTGGTGTAGCGATGCGTATCAGCAGGCAAAGTGGGAGAGCCACGAAGATCTTGCAAGGCATGAGCAAAGTTAATAGCCTCGCCAGTGTGGCACATGACGCTGACAGATTTCGACTTGACACAGAGAGTGAAGCTGCGACACCAGTCGAAAAATTGCGATTTGGCCAGTTTTGCCAACACATCCATGCTTGTTGGCACGGACTGAGTGGAGCTGAATGCCTCCGCAAGATGATAGCCGATCAAGGGCTCAACGCCATATGGGACAGCGAACTCGGTTGGACAAGTCGGGGAACCGGATATGAGGGGGTTCACGCAGCCGCCATTCTCGCGACGTAGCATAGCAACATCGTCGAAGTTGCCTGCTACAACTCCAGTCTTCCAGAATTCGTGCAAGGCTTGGTTCATCGAGTCAACAGACTCCAGGCTGTGGGCGCCTGCTGAGCGCATACCGTGCGACGTAACTCTGGCTGTTCTACCATTGATATGCCAGTCTCCAACATGAAGAGAGGCGATACTTTGTCGGACTTGCTGATCTTGATCGGTTGTACGCAACTCAGAGTATGAGTTCCAGAAAGAGCGGATCTCCATCAATGTCGACTCACTAGAGAAGTGAAAGACAGATCCAAAGGGCGATTGCAGCCAAGTTTCCAGGCTTCCAGACGCGGCTCGGAGGTGGCTGACATGTTGCTTCACAAAGGTGAGGTCATCCTGAGTAATGAAGAGATGATAGTAGATCCTCCAAAGCCTGCTCAATAGATCATAGTCGGCATCGCCGGCGTCGAGAGAAAGTGTCTGGATCGCGCTCAAAAGGAATATGTTTCGAGCTGTTATGTGTCAGTCACATGCAGGAAGTGGAATTTATCACGTTCAGGATTACTTACCAAAAACAGCAGGGTTGAGGTCGCAAACGGTGAAGTTGAAGTTGCATCCGTTGCCTTTGTGTTCAGACCAGAGGGAGAACAGGAGGTTGCGCGCATCGCCACAGCCAAGCGCGAGTATGTCGACATTATCGCTATTCGAAGGGCGATAGTCGCGCAGGAAATTAACAGCAGGCGTATTGCCGAAAGGGTAGAAGTGGCCTTTTGCAAGGTCCACGACAGTAGGCGTAAGCATTGCGGTTGCTTGACTGAGGATGTGGCCAGAAAAGTGTCGGGGGAGAAGGGGATCAACTTATATGCGGCGTGTTCTTTGATGAGATTGCCCGTGTTGTCGAGAGGAGTTGGTGAAAGTGAAGCGTTTGCTGAAACCGCTTTGATAGTGCGCATCAGAAGGGGTTGGGAAGCTGTGAAAATGTCTCTGGCAATGCCGCTGATTCCAAAAATCATCTTGTCTTCTGACAAGCTAACAAGCCCAACGCCTGGCATGCTGAGATGCTGTATCCTTGTACGATGTGAACACCGTGAGAATTTGTAATCTCACGCCCTCTCTGTGGACATGCCACCAATAACGAAAACCACCTGCCTTTTGACAAACCGCTACACCCAATGCCTGGCGGGCTGAAATGTCCTCCAATATGAACATTGTGACAATGAGACAAGATTCAAGCTTCGGGACACTATACAAGGTCTTCCAACTCAAAGCTCAAATCATCACACACCGATCGCAGTCGTACTTGGTAGAGACTGAGCAGCGAGCACCTCAATGGTTTTCTCCATGGAGGCGAGCGATATTTACGCCGCTATTGAGATGGCTCTACCGTGTCGTTGACGGGTCGTAGAGCAAGCGATATGCTCGTAGGGACGCTGTGTTTGATGTCGTTGCACGCTGCTTGTCGACAAACTGCATCACGACCCCTTATCGGCTCTGTGAGATGTCGTATAGTTGTAACGAGTTCATGGACGTGAGTACGACTTATTCTACATGTCGCCGGAGCCTGTGTGTGAGCACATATGCCAATGACACTTGCGACTTCGCGGGTGTCCTTTCTTTTTCCACTTGCATCTGTACTCAAGTGAATCCTTGTTTACTTGCCAAATACATTTCGTGGTCGGTCGGTGCAGATCAAAAAAGGAGAGTTTTGGTCTCTGGAGTCTCTTCCATCTATGAGAGTCTTGATGAAAGCTCTGTAGTCATTCATCATATGCCTCTTTTGCAATAGAAGCTGGAGCTCTAAAGTGGAAGTCGCGTTGCGTTGGAACGAAAAGTTTGCCCGAGCTTCCGCCAAATTGTCGGCGCTTTCCGTCAAACTCATCATCGCCTTTCTGAGTCCGAACAATACTTAAGGATCATTCTGCAAATTCTTCAGATAGGCTATCACATATCAGATCAGGCATCTGCTACATTTCTAGCATATTGATCTTCCTCGTGTAATTTTTGTTACGAAAGAAGTATACTAAGAAGAATATTTGACTAGTCATGGTGCATGAAACGGTCACATTTGTTAGGTCGAACTGCTTGATAACCACCTGATCTTGTATGAAACGAAATGACTATGCAAATCACAGAAGGAAGCGATGTGTAGAAAAACTGAGTATAGCAATCATTCCTTGAAAGAGCTATCTTGTAAGTGATGACTACCACTAGCTTCCTTGCTCCGCCATCTAAAAGCTGTTCTATGTAAGTTGTGATCTATCTTCTTCGTGGTATGAAAAATGTACCGCTGAGCTTTCAACGCTTGCACTCCTTCTTGTGTGTCTTCCAAGCTGCCTTCTGACAAGTATGATTGCAGTACTTGACCTTTTCGCAACGAGTGCAGGCCTTCAGACCCGGCTTGATTGTGCGGCAGTGACCACAGGCATCCATATTAGAAGCATCCGGGGCGTTGGAAGACGGAATGAGCGGCTGCTGCTGCTGGCGCTGTTCTAAGCGAGCAGTCTGCATTTCATCAGTGAGCCGATACATGGATTCCTGCGAGGTCATGGATTCGAGATAAGGAACAGCAGACATCGCCGGGATAGCGATGCGAGTGGCAAAGCGGGCGATGTCTCGAAAGTCACTGGACATCTTCGAGACGTCCTTGCCCAAGCCGCAATCGCAGATAGAAGCCTTGCTTGGCTTAGTCTTCCACTTGCAGTTTTCGACATGCTCCCAAGACCGACAACGCTCAACCAGAGCAGGAATAAGAGACTGCCACAATTTTATGTCTTCTGCATCAGCGTTGATTACTAGGCTGTGATGGTTGATGTTGGGGCTCAAGATTGCCTGGAACGACTTGTGCGCAATTAGGTCGCGAGTGGCAGGCATGTAGAAAGCATCCAAGAAGACCGACCCGGTGTCACGATCATGACGGAGCGCGTTAGCAATGATGAAGAACTGGTAAGTTGATTCGTCTTTCAACATAAACAAACGAACCTTGTTGCCAGGACTGTCAGGATGAAGACCTACAGAGCCGAGACACATTTGACGAATCACTTCCTTTGCCTGAATCAGAGGTGGAATATGGTTGACGCATGTACGTTCCCTCTCACTCAGCGCCATGCTGAAAAGGGGCTGTAGAAATGCGAGAGTGGAAATTGAGGCCATAACCTGGGGTTGAAGATCAGGGTTGACGCGACCCATCCCCCAAGCCATAACGCTGCCACCATGACTGACCACAGGGAAGGAATCATGCTTGAAGCCACCGGGCTGAAGAGCGTTAGACGTAGGAGCGCTGATCTCGATCCACGAGGACTTGCGTGCAATTCTTATCTTGCAGGCGGCGCCGTCCACCGGGAATGGAAGGACAAACCCTTTCGGGCTCTGCAAATCACCAATGGTAGCCATGAAAACGCATGGAGAGATTTGCAAGATCGCCACTGTCGCTCCATCTTTCAAAGCCTTGCTCTCTCTAGAGCAGTTTGCATAATTGTTGGTGACCCTGATGCATTGTACAGTACCGTCTCTTTGAAGAGCCACGGCAGCAGAAATGGGTGGAGCTATCTCAGTGGATAGTGTCGCTCTGTGGTTGGAAGGCAGGTTTCCATCGTTACGACCAAGCTCAGAGCTGGGCGCGTGAGCCAGAACATGAACGTGCTTGCTTTCGAGGTTTGCTGTGAACACTCTCATGAGAACACCGAGTTTCTTGGTGTACTGCATAGTAGCTGGTGAAGTGTTGACTGAGAGTGAGATGTTAAGGTCCTTGCGACGGTCTAGCAGCAGAGACCAGGTAGGTACAGGACAGGTGACGATAAGGTCAGCCTCTCCAGCCCAGCCTTGATGGTCTTCAAAGACTTGTGCCTTATCGTCAATCTCCTCAAGCTTGCCGAAGAAAGTGTCGATAGCATAGAAACAGTTCTCGAACTTCATCCCATTGGACAAGGATAAGTGAAGTCCAGGCGTACCGACTTTTTCCACGGGCTGCTCGGTGAAGACAACGAGGCTTCTCCTAGGCACAACTAGAGCGATGTGAACAATTGCTGGGAGATTGTGCTTTCCGAGCAGACCAGATTCGCCGGGAGGTCGCATTCTGCCCCATGGATTCAACTGGGCTCTAGGCTCAACCATGAATGTCTCAGCACTCCAAAGATCACTCGCATGGAGGTGCAAGTAGAGCTCTTGGAGACTACTAGAGCTTATCATAAGCGAGCGATTGTTTTCGATCATGCTCACGAGCTCTCCAATGCAAACTTTCCAGTCTGTAGAGATCGTTCTTTTAGCAGTGGCCAACAGTGCGACGATAGATAAGCGTGAACAGAAACCAAGATCGTTGACCAAAGGCGTGGCCATCATTCGCTTCAGCACTTCCAGTTTTATGCTAATATCCTCTGATTCTCGAAACATGGCTAGATATACCTGCATGAAATAGGCAGCAAGCTCGTGAGGATCCATATTCAGGCGGTATGAAGCCGACCCGCCGCTGCCATGCATCAGCTTTAGCACTTCAAGATCGCCTTGAGCCGCACGCCTCCATGGCAGACGCATACGGTACTGCTTTTGCCGACCTTTTCCAAGAGACATTTCAAGAAGGTGCTCGATATGCGTGGAGTCCGTCATGGTTCCTAACAGGTACCCAACAGGAGCAACACCGAACACGAGAGATGACATCGTAACGTCCGAGTGCAGGACGGTACTCAAGAAGTTTTGTGACTCCTCCGCCCCCTGTAGAAGACTCTCGGTGTACAGAACTGAACCACAGACTTCAGACAACAGAGGAACGATGGCTGGTAAAAGGCTCAAGATACCGACGTGGTCGATGACATTCGAAGTGTCGATGACGTGGTATGCGGTGAACAATGTAGATGGTAGGCTGAGAGGAACAGCACTCCAGGGCTTGACGTAGTGGCGGGTCAGAGGAGATAGAGTATCAGAGCCTTTGATAGCCTGCAAGGCATGGGCAAAGTTGATAGCTTCGCCGCAATGGTGCATGATGTTGATCGTCCTAGATGCAACACAAGATATGAAAGTTTGACACCACTTGGAGAACTGAGACTTGAGGAGAAGTGCAAGAGATTCCATGCCAACGTCCGCTGCCTGGGAAGCAAGATCGAAGTGCTCGGCCAGATGGAAGCCAAGAAGGGGGTCGGAGCCATAGTGCACGTTGTATTTGCTCGAAGGGACCGGGGAAATTGCCATCAGAGGATTGACTCTACCACCGCCATCCTGGCTGAGTGCAGAGACGTCCCTTCTATTGCCAGCTACAACGCCGGTCCTCCAGAAGGCATGGAAAGCATCGTTAAGTTGAGGAGTTGCCCAGAGGCCGTGGGCTCCAGCGGAACGCACCCCATGGCCCACAATGCTCGGTCTACTCTCGCTGGTATTGTAGTGAGTGTCAAAGACGAGGTTGATCGCATGTCTAGACTCAGAATCTTCCTGTGAGCTTCTCGTTTGAGCATATGACAACCAGATGCGGCGCACTTCGGTCAAAGTAGCCTCAGTCGTGAACTTGAGGTATGCTCCAAAAGGGGACTGGTTCCAGATTAGAAGACTTTCTGAGGCGGTGTGGAGTTGTCTGGCATGTTCCTGGATGAACGCAAGGTCGGTACTGGTCACGTAGAAGTGGTAGTATGCTCTCCACAAGCGCTCGATTTGCTCCGTTTGCTTAGGTGGTGCAGATTTGGCATTACAGGCAACAGCTGTCAGAAGGAACACGTTGCGGGCTATTTAGATGATTAGCATGAATGACTAGGGCGAGACCCCATACGGGCTCGGCTGGGGCAGAAATTGGATAGTTTTTTTACCTAACACAGCAGGGTCTGAATCGCACGCGGTGAAGTCGAAAGTGTATTCAGCCCCTTGGTTAGACCAGAGGGTAAACAGAATGTTTCGAACGTCGCCGCATCCAATTGCAAGTACCTTGACCGCGTCATGTGGACGGTAGTCGCGCAATAGGTTGGCAGCAGGCGTGTTACCTATCGGATAGAAAAACGACTTGAGATTGACATACGTCGGAGTAAGCATGATTTCGATCTTGAAGAATTAGGAAGGGACGAAGAAGGTGCGACTACTTATGTTGAGTTGAGCAAAGTGCTTGCTTCGTTTGCTCGTCTCAAACAAGTGACAAGACAGACCTTTATAGAGTACGCTGGAAACCGCGGCTACACCCTAGACCCATCAACGTCCATCCAATCTCATATTGCCTCGTCGCAGTCGTACAATAAGCTTTGAGAACAGTCTGGTCGCCCAGTCTCAAAGGCATTTCAGATTTCCACGGCCAGGTGGTCCCATTCATATGTACCTGTGCCGGAAGATGCTTGTACTCATTAGATCAATCTCATGGCTCTGTGAACAAGAATAGCTAGCACGTATGATGAAATTTGACGTCGAACTACATGGCCTTCGTTTGATGAGCTGTCAATGAACTTCATGCAAACTGAGCTCCGTATGGAGAATGAAAAGTTTGCCCGGAGTTTTGCCAGTCCCTCGGCTTTTCGGTCAAACTTCAACCAAAGGTCTGCTCAATCGACATCCCACTCGATCTGAACACTCTCGTCGACCTGACTAAGCTTCTGCGCGCGCATACAAGGCCTACAAACCACAATGCTAGACCAAGACTATGCCAAATACTGCTGTTGGGCGTGCTGCCAAGACATCTTCTGCAGGAACACACGCGAGATGTTCGCGACTTGAGGAACGCGTCCGCACCGTCCAAAACACATGATCCGAACCATGAGATGTCGTCTCTCTTTGGAAGTAAACTACTGCTGATCAAGGTCTCCATTTCTAGTTGGCCTGGTGGCTGGCCGCCCAGTCTATTGCAGACGCAAGACCGGCAAGGATGCTGTGCCACCGTCGCGTTGGACCACATGATCCTTCTGCATCAACCTTGCATCAGCTAGGTCCGGTTATTCTCCCCGCATAACAGTGTCTTGAATGTTTACACGGTCAGGCGAGAGTGTCCGGGGTTCCTCTACTCTCACCGATATGTCTAACATAATATGTCCATTACTGCATCATCATGACTACTTTCTTGGGGCGCTATCGATTATGTATAACTCGCTCTCCTCAGACCGAGACTGGGGATCAAACAGTAGGACCTCAAGACCATGGCAGTTCTTCAATCCCGTTGTACAGCGGCCTTCTCAGCGTAGGCATGTTGCGGGGACCAAAGTCGCGTTAACCTGCGCAAGGTGAAACCAATCACTTTAGGCAGAATACGCTTTCCTGACAAGGTATTCGGTCAACAGACACCTACCAACCCGAACCATTCTCGAGAACTTACCGGAAATGCGAATCTAGGTATAATAGTTGGTCCTTCCAGCCGCGGTCATGGCACACTTCTCGTACACATTTTCTCCTCACAGAACCGTATCTTGTGGAACCCACAAATCGTAACAATGCGGCTTGCTCCAAAGCAAAGATACTTTGGCTTCAAGGGAGGATGGCTGGTGTTTTGGATCACTGTCGCTTGTGCAACAGACATGACACTGTTTGGCTATGATCAGGTGAGCATAAGTCTTGAAAGCGCATACAAAGCAATTGCAGCTAATCGCTGTTCTGCTAGGGCGTCTTCTCTGGTGTTGTCGTTAGCGACGACTTTCTCGAACTGCACAACCTTGTTGGGCCTTCGAAGACCAAAGTCTTGTCTACTGTTGCTGCGATCTACGATGTGGGCTGCTTCATAGGGGCAATCATAGCCTTCACCGTCGGTGAGAGACTCGGACGAAAGAAGACCATTATTCTCGGTACCGCAATTATGTCCATCGGAGTGATTTTAAAGACTAGCTCATTCAGCTTACCACAAATGTTCGTGGGACGCGTCATTCTTGGTATTGGCAATGGTATCAACACTGCAACTGCTCCTATCTGGCAAACCGAGACAGCACCAGCCCGGCTGAGAGGAAAGCTCGTTATACTGGAAATGATGACGAACGTCGGCGGATTTATGATTGTGAACTGGATCAACTACGGATTGAGCTTTGTCGCCGGCTCAATCCAATGGAGACTGCCTCTGGCGTTGCAGTTCATCTTCATCTTTGTCTTGTTTGCTACAGTTCCTTGGCTTCCCGAGTCTCCACGGTGGCTTATTGCTCATGGCCACGAAGTAGAGGCGATTCAAATTCTGGCCGATCTTGAAAACAAGTCCACGGACCATGCCTTCATCGTTGCACAGCATCAGGAGATCGTCTATGGTGTCCAGTATGAACGCGAACACTCGATAAAATGGAGGGACCTTCTTCGTGGTCGCACCGAGGATGGAACAAAAAGTGCTCGTCGTCTACTTCTTGGAGCTGGTACGCAATTCTTCCAGCAGTTCGGAGGCATCAACATCATGTCGTACTATACCCCGACGATCATGATTACCTACGTTGGTCTAAGTAACTCTATGGCACGACTGTTATCGGCTTGCAACGCCGTCTCATATTTCATCTTCGCTGGCGTCGCAGTACTCTTCGTCGAGCGCCTTGGCCGGAGATCTCTGATGATGATATCGACATTCCTGCAGCTTGTTGCTTTCCTCTGCATCTCAATCCTTCTGAAATATGCTATGGCTAATGGTAGTACCGAATGTGCCAAAGCCGCCATTTTCTTTTTCTTCTTCTACAACATCGCCTTTGCTGTGGGTATGCTCGGCGTGCCTTGGCTATATCCTACGGAGATCAATAGCTTACCAATGCGAACAAAAGGCGCTGCAGTAGCAACAGCGACGAACTGGATCACAAACTTTGTCATAGTCGAGATCACGCCGATTGGCTTTCAAAATCTTGGATGGAAGTTCTGGCCTATTTGGGTAGTGACCAATGCTCTCTTCCTACCCATCATCTACCTACTCTTTCCAGAAACCTCCTCTCGGACTCTCGAAGACCTGGATGCATACTTCCGATCCGACCCAAGCTTGATCGTCGTCGGAGACAAGGATGCCATCTCTAGCAAGAGACCTCTGAAGTATATCGAAAAAGAGAACGATGAGGTTCATAGAGTGGAGGAACAGGACGCTGGAGTCAGAGAGCGAACCAGCAAGGTCGATCTTATTGTTGATGTAGAAGCCCGGCATCACGAGGTCGGCAAGATTCAGTAAAGTCACTCGGAATCAGCACGCAGGAGCATGAGGATGATGGACTTGGGGTATGATCTGCTAGCGTGGGGAAGTTCTTTTCGTTGGTTGCACATACAAAGCATCTTGCTTGTTCTACGCAGTCTTATAGCCTTATCTCCCTTGTGTCACCTAATCAGAGATCATGTTCCACAGATCGCGAAAACAGCTTTCGATACAGTGGAAGAAGGTGCTGATGGCGAAAAGGCTCCCGAAAGCCGGGTCAGGGTCTGCCTCCAAAAGCACTCCCGAGGAGCCGCACCCCGCAATCATCATCCGGTCGATCAACATCTCGTCATCGGAACAAGGCAAGAGCGAGTCTGACATATCACCTACGACTTCATGCATATGTAGACAAACTTTGTAGCTCCGCATACAAAAACTGCTACAATCGCTTCCTCATGGCGGTCCCTTCCTCCGAACAATCGCAACTCTCGCAACCATTGTCCCCCCCGAAGATGATCGCAACTAATCTCACCACTGTCTTCAACACTCTCATTACAGGATTACATATCCTTCACTACAACGGAGTCCTGGATGCGTATGGCCATATTTCTGTCCGCAACCCAAACAATGGCTCGAACTTCTTCATGTCTCGCAACCTTGCTCCTGCTCTGGTCGCAAATAGCAGCGACTTGGTCGAATACTTCGTCGAAGATGCTGCTCCAGTTGATCCGAATGCTCCTTCTGGCTTCATCGAACGCTATATACACAGCGAGCTGTACAAGCGCTTTCCAAGCATCAACAGTGTCGTCCACAGCCACTCGCCGCAAGTCGTTCCGTACAGCTTCAGCGGCGTTCCGCTGCGTCCGTGTATCCATATGGCAGGTTTCTTGGGTATGGAGTGGGACTGAACGCTATCTTGTGTATGCTCACCTAACTGTTTGATGCTAGGCGAAACCGTTCCCAACTTCGACATCTCACAACACTACCAAGCTGGTGACAATCAAGATCTTCTAATCCGCTCGCAGCGTTTGGGTGCGGCTTTTGCAGCAGAATTCTCTTCTAATCACACCTTGCCAAATGCGACTCAGACCGGAGCCGACTATGCAGTAGTGCTGATGCAGAATCACGGCTTTACCACCGTAGCCTCGAGCATCGAGCTCGCCGTCATGCAAGCAGTCTACACGCAAGTCAATGCAGGTATTCAGACTACGGCCTTGACAATTCAAAACGCGAATCCGAACAGGAGCCAACAAGGCCTAGCGTTCCTGACTACACAGCAGACAGTAGAGTCGTGGACAACGATGCAGGGTACATCAGATCGACCCTGGGGCTTGTGGACCCACGAGGTCCAATCTTCTAACCTGTACCAGAACCTTCTGGATCCGAATCAGACTGAGTCTGCTTCGCCTGTGCTCTGAACCCGTCGGACTTTGATGGAAGCCGGTGTAGCTCCCTGGTCCAATTAGTTTTCTTTCACAATCTATGTCTTGAACTGTAGTCTCCTAGCTTGGTCATCTGGGCAGCTGGGCTCAATCTCAAAAAACCTCAAGAAATCTCATGCATTGTCGAGCTTCGGTTTTTGTTTCGGTGTCTGAAAACTTGGAACCATCACGTCAGAGTAGGAACGACATGTGCAATATTCAATTCCATTTCGTGTAACATTGTATGCTTGTTCCAGTCTTGTGTTGCCTACCTGCCAGGAGCACGATCTGACGTTCGTCATGTTGCCAACATGGTGCCGTTCCCAACGGTATTACTTGCTGTCGTGCACATTGTGATTACCAACCGAGCGATCTCACAAGCACTAATCAAACATCATCGGGGTCGCAGGGGAGATCCAGACATTGGCTTGACTTGAGTCTTCGGTCTACGTGGCTCACTTGGTCAATAATAATCACCGAAATCAAATCTCACGGAAGCTGTCCGAAAAGGACGGAGGTCGACCGTGGCGGCTAAATACTTAGCCGAGAAGATGCCTCAATATTAATGGAGTCGATGTTCCTCTCCATCAACAAGCAAAAGTCTCGAGCAACTTTCACGACGGTGCTCTCTCAAAACGTGATCATCGATTTCGCGGCGAAGTTACTGGCGTCAGAACATCTCGAACGAATTCACTCAGCACAGCTGGAAAACCAAGACACTCTCCACCCCGATGCTGCTTTCTTCAGCCTGGCATCAGTCTGACAATTCCAATTCCCGTCAGACGCCGTAAATTACACCAAACGTGTGATCTGGCCTGACCACGACTCGAGGCACTTGGACTCCTCAATCTCTGTCCTGGACCACCCCGTCACGGTGGTACCATTGCAAGGTCCGTTGACGTCCACTCAGACACACGGCCGTGCGTCATACGCGTATTGGCGATCATCTCGCGCCGACTCCGGACAGGATCTGTTTGCATCAACCTCCGGATCTTCCCGCACGAAATCGGTTTGTCGCAGCCAAATCTCTCTTTTCAGAAAGATGGTTAGCGCAGGCGCAGATGCGAATACGCAGATGCCTCAATGAAAGGGATCGCAGCAGATCAAGCATCGAGCTGTCGCTAAGTTACGCATTTGTCGATTGATGGTACATGTGTTTTTAGCTCAGCTCGAAAGCGTGCCGCTATCCATCGCTGCTCAGAGATGATCGCACTGTTGAGTCAACAACAGTCCGTCTCTTGGATTCTGGATATTCCCACAACGATGTCGGACGGAGTTGTGTTTGACCGCCTTTGGCGATGAATCAGCTACGAAGTGACGTTACATCGAATCTCACACGCGGCTCTGGACATAACGTGGCCAGGTTCGTCACGACGTTGACCGTTTTCTGGATCTAGGGCTTCGAAGCTCGGCAAATCGCGGCTGCCGAGATCTAACGAGTCTAAAATCAACTTCAGGCGAGTTGGCGGTGGCTTTTATCAAGCACGAGCCCTAAACTTCGGGCCAAAGTCGTGCTTTCGGGGTAAACTTCCTCCAGCTTTCGACCGTTTCTCCTTTTTGATCGGCCATGGCTTGCAAAAGCACGCATTGAGTTGACGAGTGACTCGTTGATGGTTCACGGCTTGCGGATGTGTCTTCTACCGCAGTGGTTCCCGAACAACATCCGCCTTTAAGGACACTGGCAGCGAGGAATACGGTGAGTACTGGTGTAATACGGGAACACGTCTCAATTAAGGTTTGCCATTGCCGTGTTAAGGGTAAGGGTGTCTGTCAACCACGCGATCTTTATGACAGTCAAAAGTTATGAGAGTGGTATGCTTCTTATTCAATGAGGGAAGCCTTGCATTGCCAGATCGTCTCTATATGTGCCTGTAACCTATCTATATCACGCGACGAGATCCGCATCGGAATGTACTTGCATCTAACCTCCTGGTTGGTGGAAGTTCCAACGGGAATTCGGCCGTTTGGAGAAATTTATCTCCCGATGTGATGCTACACGTACCCCGAATCTCCAAATTCTAGCGTCAATCTCCAGCCAGTGGGTCTCAGCCCTGCCTTTCTGAGTTTGGCAATTCCGCGCGCATGCTTACTATGGAACTACAATACGACTGACATGGGTCTAGGGCGTGGAAAGCCAGCGTTTGAGAATCTTTCCTAATTCTAGTATGACCTTTATGTTTATTTGCTAACCCCCCTTCTTTCCCTAGCAGACAACCTTCCTCTCACCTCATGGACATTTCATCCTGACTGTCGACCTTGGGATCAAAAGTAGCAAACACGATACCCCATGAGAGCTTCCGATTCCACACGAAACAGACGCCAGCTCTCATAGCTCTCCCCACCTCTACACAACAATGTCGTCCTCGAATCTCTACCGACCACTCAGGCTGGGCAAATATGAGCTCAAGCATCGCGTTGTTATGGCGCCTCTCACCAGACTCTTCACAGATGAGAACCACGTTCAACCGCCGTTAGCGGTAGAATACTATGCCCAGCGCGCTTCCGAAGGTGGTCTTGTCATTGCTGAAGCTACTGTTGTGTCTTTAGAACTCGGAGGCGGCAAGCATACTCCTGGTATCTGGACGCGTCAACAGATTGCACGGTGGAGAGAGATCACAGACGCCGTGCACGCCAATGGAGCCCACATCTTCCTCTCGATCGACTCTCTCGAACCTTTGGCAGACGCAGCTCTCTCGGCAGATAACAGAGGCCGCCAGTCCAGCGAAATCAACGACGGCCTGTCCCTCAAGAGGTGCGACTCACCTTCCGAATCACTCCCCCATGTATTGGACGAAGAAGAAGTCAAGTCGACGACCAGAGCATTCGTTCAGGCAGCAAGAAATGCCATGGCCGCTGGGTTCGACGGTGTCGAGGTTGGTGCCAACGGGTACTTCATCTACCAGTCCTTGCACCGGCACACAGATAAGTATGGCGGCCATGTCGAGAGTCGTGTCCGATTCGCCCTTGAGGTGACAACCGCGATCGCGGATGCCATAGGTGCTGACCGGGTTGGGTTCCGCATGAATCCTTCTAGCGCTTTCCGCATGTCCAGCCTTGCGCCCGAGTTCTCTTGCCTTACCCAGAAGCTGAGGGAGCTCAAGCTGGCTTACATCCACATCATCAAGTCGCATGCCATCACCAACCTCGAATGCGACAAGTACGAAGGTATTAAGCCTTTCCTCGCCATCTGGGGTCAGTCCTCGCCCGTCCTTATCGCTGGAGATTTCACACCCGATTCAGCTAAAAGCGCCCTCGATACCGAATACCCCAATAGCGACGTTGCTCTAGTTTTTGGTCAACACTTCCTGGCAGTGCAAGAAGCAAAATCATCGGGCAGCCCTCTAGGCTCACAGATTTCAGAGCTCAGGAGCCTGAACGCCAGCTTTTACACTGGTTTTGTATGAGGAGGATCATATTGCTGTCGATTCAACAGACCGAGGGCGTTGAAGCATTGGTCTGGCTCGACTCAGGATGAATAACGAATGCTGGAGTCGGGCATCCACCATGACATGCGCATCGCGGTCCATGACTCTGCAACAAGCACAGCCGTTAGCCGCCATCTAGCTTTCCCAACGGTCTCGGTCCGACACTCATATGTCCTTGAGAAACTCCGTTCGCGAATGTAGACAATGGAGACTTCAAAGAAAGATCCGCATGCGAAAGGGAAGGACGTTGGCCGTGTTGGACGATATCATCAACACACGCAACAAGCCTTGAAAACTTGAGCCGCGCTGTGCACACGGCATTGCATCATAGGGCCATTAGATTCCGGGAGAGGTGAACCGATTGTGGCTCTTTGCAATGACTGGTACTGCTAGAGGCAAGCACTACAACATCAATCGCTCCGCAAGTAACAAGGACTACGATCGCTCTGGCTCTTACAGCTCTCAGTCCGGCTTCTCTTGGAAAACACAGGGCTCCACGCTGCCTATTCAGGGACTTTCGAGAATACTTTTTCAACGAGCACCTCGACTCAAATAGTCTCCTTGGCCATGACAACTTCCTAGACAGATTGTAGAATTTTGACGAATACAGGGTCAATCGTTCTCCAAGTGGACTGTTTTTGCAACTCCACGTCAAAGTATGCTCAGCCGACACAACCGATCTGCCATGGCTTGACTTCAAAAATCCTACCATTTGCAGCGCTTGATTGTAAGCCATCATCAAGAGCACATCATATCCATTCAAGGAGCAACACGCCGACTATGTTCTTGTAACCACTAGTCGATCTCGGTCGGACGAATTCCGTTCAATTTCCCTAAATCAAACTCCGTCCGCCGGAAACCAAAATCCGTACATATCGGGATGTCCTGCATTTCTCCTTCAAGCCCCACCACCTGCATGAATTAAAGTACACTGTGATACCCCTTCCCTCCGAAAGCTGAAATTCAGCTCGATCACGTTGAAAGTGCCGGGTTGTTGACAAGCAGGTGGAACTGGACGGCATAGGCGTAATATGCAATCAAGCTGCACTCTACGCAAGGATGATATTTGAGACAGTTTCAGTAGTGTTGCAAAGCTTGGATCCACCTGTTCTTGTTGGCAGCCGTGATTGGGATTCGTAGTGAGGTGATGCGATCGATGTATAAGGGTACCGTGGAATCAAAACATGCGAAAGCGTCTTAAAGGGCTTTACGGAAGCGTATTGCATTCTAGATCCCCAGCAAACCTTCGCACATGTTGCTTGTGACATGGAATTGAGCCAAGCAAGAATTCGTAGGCGATTCTGTCTATGCTCTTCTTCGATGGCTAGCTAGTCCACACAGTTCTCAGGTATTGTGCCCTCAATTTCGTGTCCCTATACGGTAGAACCAGTGCGTTCTATCTCGTTAGTAATACTAAGGCCTTCCACGGCGACGCTCCGAATAGTTGCTATACTAGCGAGCTCTGCTTCATAGTGAGAGAAGTCTTCGAAGAGTAGCAAAGTCCCGTGTTCATTCTTACGTAGCTCTACGACTTTGAATAATTTAACCCTAGACCTTAATCATCCGCCATGTACACACAGTACTCACTCCTCGTGAGTATCCGCGATGCTTAGCGACCTATTTTACTACCTCCTACTGATTTCTGGCGACGGGGTTTCGCTCTTGCGCAAGAACGACATCTCCGCTCGTTTGTCTTCGTCGCCTTCCAACGTATCATCAAGATACTGCTTGAACTCCCCGGAAATGTCGGCCACTTGCGCAATATGGTCTTTCTCCAATTTGATCTTGCCTTCTGAGTCTTTGTGACATTCGAACTCAGCCAAGCCCACAGCCGTCTGGAAGACTAGTATGCCTGTTAGACCAAATCCTCGCCTCCATAACAGCAGGTACTTACTGTTGCGTATCTCACGCCCGTTGAGGTTCAGCCGCTTGATCTCGTTGCTTTCAATATACTTTCGGGTCTCCCTCATTACCCGCATCTTGTCCCCTCGCTCTGCCTCCAATTTTTTGATGAAATTCGTCCAGATGCGCAGACGATCGTCGTCAGACAGCGCTTTATAGTGGAGCTTGACATGGATGCGGGACACGAAGGCGTCGTCGAAGGCACCCACGCGGTTGGTGGTCAAAAAAAGGATACCTTCATAATATTCGAGTGCTCGAAGAAACCCTGGAATTGATCAGTCATTCATGCTCATGCCACGGGATCAGCTGCATTTTAACGCACCGGCGACGAGGCCGTTCCTGGTAAGGTCACTTATAGACCGTCGCTCCAGATAAATGTCAGCTTCGTCTATGAGTAAGATCGCTCCCCAGCTCTTCGCCCGTGTGAAGTGATGCTGCAGATTACCCTCCACCGCTTCAGCCGTTGTTCCAATGTCGCTGGTGGAAAGCGTCATCAAGGGTCGACGTGCGTACTCGGAAATACATTCTTTACCATGTCAGTCTTCACAAGACGCTAGCAGTGTATTGTGATCACATGGTAGAGGGAAACACACCTGCAGTGTAGGTCTTCCCTACTCCTGGTCGCCCATGGAGTAAGAAGATTTGGCTGTTGCCCTTTTCTTTGACATAATCCGCCGACCATGGCTCAGAATGTTGACTTTCATCTTCCATATCTTGCCGCATGAAGCTCTTGGACAAAGATTTGAGTAGGGTGATACGTTTGGGATCCATGACCAAGGTGTTGATCATGTCATGAGCGAATTGAGGCGGATGCAAATTGGATACATCGACCAGTTCTGCAGTTCGAGTAAGCATTGTAAGTCGGCCTCAATCTTATTGTTTATCAAGCTTACTCCACGAACGAAACTTGAACATGTAACAGTACACGACTTGTGGGCATAGAAAGTACATGTGATTGTCAAGATTGCTGACTTCCCCTGGGATGATGTTGTCGTAGCGACCGAAATCTCCATCACCTTCGATCAAGTCCGGTCGGTCATCCGAGAATTCGTTCAGATAGACAGGGGCATCGACCATGACTTGACCTTCCAACTGTGCAGTTATGTTAGTGGGATAAGGCAACAATAAAATAGTCGAAGTCTTACCCGATGAAAAGGGTACTCCATAACATTGCCGCTGTGTTGGAAAACACTTGTCTTCAGGATGTCAACAAAGCGTTTTCCTTGAATCTCCAGATACTGCCGCAAGTTTGTACCATCATCCAGAGGAGATGAGTGTTCCATTGGTAGGACCGACAATCTCGAGAGCTCCATTTCACCATTAAAGCGATCAATTTCAACCCGAGAAGAACAGCGCCCAAGCTTGTAGCCATCAAAACGCAGATTCCAGAGCTTGATAGTCAACTCAACGGGTATATTGAACATGTCCTCATCATCTTCTTCGTATGTAACGCTCTCCACGACAGCCCCGTCGCGATTGACAACGCCAGATCGTTGCGTAGAAGATGTCCGAAGCACACTTACGTCTGTCCCAGGTCTGAGAAGGACCCATAGCATGTTCCATGTGACGAATCCTCTCTTCCGACGCTCAATTTCCTCGAGGACTGGGGGCATGATTCTCTCGTCTGCGTAAGCAAGAAGACGCCCGAGATGTTCTGAAATCCGAGTAGTCTCCTCATCGGCAACGTCCATTCCTTGTCTTCCATGCTTCTCATGGTAGGCGCGCAACTCATCGTAATGGTTTGCGATGGGTGCGTATGGCTCACTGACCTCGACGGTTGGTCGAGACAGGTCGAAGCCTGGATAGTACGTCACAACTTTCTGCAGAGCGCGAATGATTGTCTGTGATCGGACGGTGATGGTGTGTTTCGGCTGGCCAAACACTGGAGGTGGACCTGACAGTAGTCCCCCTCGTCTGAAACGAGCTTCGTCGTAAGCCGTGAAGTGAATGGCGGACCTATAATGAGCCACGACATCGAATATGGCCTTGCTCTGGTCAAGATCACCCCCCACAGAGACAATGGGATCATAAGAAGTCTGAACATACAGAAGGTCATCTTTGTCCCTCAAATCCATGTAGACATTTTTGTATTCCACGAAAACACCAGTTTCCGGCGACAAGGGCTTGGAGTTGTCGGAAGAGGAGACGGAGGACGAAGAGTCACCCTTCTCCGAGGCCAAGTCATCGTCGCGATCGCCAGGCCTTTCCTCATGTCCGGCAATGCTATCTGATTCTGAAGATCTAGGCTTTTCGGCTTTGTTTTGCTCCAGCAGTGGTGCAGCTTTAGCGCTGTCGCCAACCTCTGCATCACCATCAACACTGTTGCTGGATGCATCATTTGTCGGCCCTATCCTCGCATCAGTGGACCGGGGTCTTCCGATGTCCGCTTTGGCGTCCTCTAGATGCGCCTTTTCACGAGGACTAGTTTCTTCGGCGGCAGACATGTATCCTGAATCTTCGACAGTTTCTTCGCATTTGGGGCAATGGAAATGAAATGAGTAGCTTATGCGGTGTCTTCTTCCAGCACAAGCCTGAGCATGGCCATCGTCGACGGTGTTCATTGGCTTTCGGGGTTCCTGATCACTGTCGGGCTCACCAAGAGATGCCTGAATGTCTGATACGGTGTCCTGTATCAGGTGCTCGTCGGTCTTCTCGTCAGCGACACCCCGAGAATCAAAGTTGGTATGTTCCAGGTCGTCATCCGCGATGTTGCTATTCGATACAGTGGTCAAGCTATCATCCGAAGGTGTCTGCCTGTCGTGGTCGGCTTCATTCGTTGCACCCGTCATAGTGTCTGCGATATCGAAATGTGGAACAGAACGACTTGCCACTTCAGTATCGAAAAGGAGCGGCACTTGTGAGACGAGTCAAGATGTTCATCATGCTTAGCAGGACCCTGAATTTATGGATTGCGTACATGGGAGAGGCCCCATATGGCGAGATTGCAACCGGTGAAGCGCCTCAGCGCATGAGCTCGTCAACTAACCGATCCAACATAAGCGGATTAAGCCATGCAGCACCTCTGCAGGCCAGGATAAGCACGTCCAATAACGAGTGCATATACCTCGACGGGCGTGAGGAGCAAGAAGTAGTACACGTTGGGCCGAGTGGTCGTCTCGGGGCCACAGTCCCGGATTCCGGCCAGCTCAGTACGTGATGAGCCGGTATGGCATTTTTCGCTGGCATGCCCTAATCTTATGCCATATCCTGGCCTTTTGAGTGGAACGTTACACCTGTATCGTATATAGCGATTGGGTGCCTCTCTCTTAGCAGTTTTGGTATGATTGGGGTGTAGTGGGGTCGCATAGCGCCTCCGCCGATAAGCAATGTCCATCAATAAACTTGTCGTTTGTTGCATCTTTTGATTTCGTAGAGTAGGGCAAGGCTACTGTACCAATATTGATGTGGCGTATATGGGTCAGCGACCAGCTATAGTGCTGACGCGAGGCGCAAGGGCTGTGCGCTGTCGTCCCTAGTATGTCCATATAATCGTCTCTGGACAATGTAATGCAGTGATGTTGGAGCAAGCAGACAAACCCTATGCCTTTTACAAACGACGACGAGGAGCCAAAAGCGCTGGTGAGAAGTTTCAGTGCTCAAATTGCGGCGTCTTACGATCCCAAAGATGCTTCGAACAGCACGCTGCGTGGGATCATCGCAGGAGATTATGATCGAGCGCGATCCAGTCATGGAGAAGATAAGAACTGGGAAAGGCACTTCAAAAAATGGTCGCCAGTGGCTACCAAGTGAGTTTCCATCCCATACGGCAACCAACGCATTTAACAACGAGACATAGCGGAAGTGGTAGCTATTTGCTGAGGCCTGCAGCCGTGAAGCTGAGTGTGTCATGGGCTCGATTCAGAGAGAAAGTCCCGAACAAGGAGGCGGCGTCTTGGCAGCATCGCGCGCCGGATTTCAAAGATGTATTCGATTTGATGAACAATATCAGCACTGAATTCGAGGACAAACGCAAACGAGGACCGACCGGGCTCATTAACAGGTACTTCCGGCAATCATGCGAGCAGCTGAAGGCCCATGATACCCTGCTCAGTATCCTACCCGAGGGGAGTGAGTACGTGTCTCTGTTTACTGGCGTTCTGAAATCCATCATCAAGGTGAGTGAGCTCATCGGCGGCATGTATTTAGATACGCGCAAGCTGATACCGCTCAGGCTTCTTGTAACCATGAAGAAGTATGTGCTGCGTTCGCACGTTCATGGGCAGAAATTACAGAAAAAGTCTCGCTGGTAGAGGACATTCTTGGTTTGTTACCGACGGAGAAGAACCAGGAGCTCATGATGAGCTTATACGCCAACATTTTCTCGTATTTGAGCAGCGCGCTCGATTGGTATCTTCTGGCACCCTGGAAGCGTGCTGTCAAGGCGTTCAATCAGGATCTCTACAAGGAGCATGAGGATCAGATCATAAGTATATGCAAGAGCGCACAAGAAATCAAAGACCGTGCACTGGTTGGAAGCGTAGCGCAACTACGTGACATCCAGTATAATCTTGCGGATCTCAAAAAACTCTTTGAACAAGACCAGCAACGGAAACGCCTAGACATCCCGGAACTACGACGCCAGTCAAAGCTTGACCTGGAAGGTTTCATCTCAAGCCACTTCAAAGGAGCTTTGCAACAAATCGCCGAAGACGCTCTTATTGGAGCCAACCTCCGACTCCACGGCGGGAATGGCAACACCACTGGTGGAAGCAACATGCCGGCGATCAAGTTTTCAGCTATCGAGGAGCGACAACGCCAAACAGTTTCCAGATTTCCTGCCAATCTACAAAAGTTCGTTGACAAAAGCCGATTCAGACTATTCTCGCATTCCGCAGCGTCCAATATGCCAGTAGTTATTGCTATGCGACTGCAAAAATGGGCCACAGGCGACAACTCTGCAATCATCTCACTTTCTGGAACGAATGCCTATGCTGATATCCGGACGCCGGATTCGCTCAGCAGCGTAGCGGCGAATCTGATTGCTTTCGCCGACCTCGCAAAACTGCCGGTCGTGTCATACTTCTGCACGCTCGCTACTCCTGGCGACTTGAAATCTTCTCAGACTCGAGAGACGCACGCTCTGATCGCGCTGGTCTACGCTTTAATCTGGCAGCTTGTCGAGCTAATTCCGGTTGAGACAAAGGTAGATGTGGATCTCAGCGCTGAACGATTTCGCCTGCTCGATGGGACAACGGATACCTTCTCCGAAGCTCTAGATCTTCTGCGTGATACCTTCCAATTTGCACCGCACTTACTATATTGCGTGATTGATGGACTGCATTGGCTCGATGACAGGTCTACGCGAACTCTTCTGGACAGCTTCGTGAGCTTGTTGCTGGATATAACCCGCAGTGGCGATGCTCAAGAACACCAGATCAAGATCGTCTTGACTACTGCAGGGCCTGCCCGCGCGTTGTTGAGAAGTCGGCTTCCACGAATAGACCAGATCACGCTTGGGTCACCTTGAATGCGACATCGTTGGAGATTTGGACCGAGTCTCGCAAAGCATGACATTGTTGACAAGCAGGCTGCGGGAAAGCTCTACATACCACACCTATCGTTCGTTGGTTTCGTGGACACTATACTTGTAGACAGACATTAATCAACCTGATCATAGCCACCATTGTAATGGGTACGTGCAGCTTAGGAATAAAGCTGATAGGCACTGGTAGATGGCGAGTCGATAACGCACCTTCAACAAGTTCACTAGGTGAATTCTGGGAGTGCTCAGATGTCTAGGGAAGCCAAAGCAGTTGACCCATTGGCTGTGAGCTCTGTAGCCTCCCAGGTGACCAGCCGAGAAGTGAATGCCTGGTAGGGTGCGTCACTCATCTCCCTGCTTCCTATATTGCACTTCGCTTGCGTAGCGCTGGGCTATCAGCCCGCATGAACACAAGAATTCGTAGGCGATAACGCATGGTTGTGTTTTCCGATGATGACACCCGTGGACACTGCTATCCAAATGCTCCAGCAAAACAGTGGATTGAGCAACAGTCGTCTACTGAGAATAGTGGCCCAGATGGTTGTCTAATGTCTGCGAATCAAAAGAGATGCAAAACATACAGCAGCAGGGATTCCCACGTGGTCACCCACCGTAGTACTAATCTGCCGTTCAACTGCTTATGTATGGCAGAGCGGACGGGATGCCCAGTTTTCAGCTGACTGTGGCCGTATGTGAAAGAGCCGAGATTCCAACACAATATATTGTCTGACAACTATTGTATCCGTCATCCGCGACGGAGTCATCGGTGTCTCAAAGACTCGCGCCGAAGCAGTCGCGTTGCGTCTTCGGGAACCTCAATCATCTTTACAACATCCACGTCCTGAAGGAGGATCGCCTCGTTACAGCAAGGAGTCTTACGCATCCAGTCACAAAATCTTATCAGCCAACTCTAGGTCTTCCTCCATGATGTATGTTGCTATTGCGACGACAAAATAGGCAGGTGAGTACACCGACTGAGCTAGGCGTTCTGTTCTCGAAATCCTACGCAGCCACTGGATAAGACAACCGAGCTCTCGACTGTGTCACACGCCTAGTTTCCACCTCGTTGGTTCGCCAGCTATTTTTGCATGCGTTCGGGTCCTTATGTACGTTCTCGAAGCTTGCCTTATTGGTTCAAGGGCCGCATCCCCCTCTCGTCTGCTCGTGGCCATTGGCTATTAAGCTTGTCTTTCTTAGCACGCGAGATAAGCATTGCCTGTCTTGAGCGCCCAGCCGTGCGGCATATTGTTGCGCTGATCGCGAGACCTGGCAACAAGGATGCGTAGGAATTACTGTCGCCAGACGCGCCGTGAAGGTACATAATCATGTAGGACGTACCGCTCGAACTCTTGAAGCTCCACCTCGGTCTGAACTTCTTAGAGTATGGTATTCTATCAATTGGAAGTCAAGATTCGAATCACTAACCAGAATCTAGGTTACTTCATCCTGTAGTCATCACATACCGAGCCGCTAGTATGTCTATCATGGCCTCAGGATCAACAAAGTCCCACGGGCTGTCCAAGAGCGCACGCAGCGGCATCATAGCTGCAGTAGTCATCATCGTCGGCCTTTTCTTGCTCTTGATTGTCTGGTTTCTATGGCGCAACCGCAAGCTGAAGTACACCGAATCCTTGGCAGACGCAAATGCCGAAGAGGGAATCAGATCGTGGCCGACCAAGTGGCCCACAAGAAAGACTGCTGGAGCAGACGCATCATCAAGAAACGCTACATACAGACACGGTGAGGCGGTCGAGCTCGCCCCTCCGTCTTATGATGTTGCTCAACCATTGCCAACATACGAGCCGCCACAATCAAATCAAGGTCGACCGGAATCTTATGAACTGGCAACAATGCCACGCGGACATGAGACGATCCGCCAGGGTGTGTAGTGTTGTGTGTTCTTCTTGCCACGCCTTCCTCCCTTCCTCCTGTACAATAGCTCCACCTTTCCTTGACTTGCCGCAAGAGCTCATGACCACTCGCACGAACACAACTGTTGACCTGATATCTGAACCTATCCTCCATCGTTAACTTCCTTGGAGTGGCTCATCTAAGTACAGTCTGATCTCATTATCATGCTCTTCCATCCTCTTGGATTCAAGTTGGCAACAGATTTCCGACCATGCGCAACCTACAGCCGGTAGAATGGGTTAAATTCTGCAAGTCAAGGCAGTCGCGCCACAATCAACATATTCCCAGTACGTCCCTAATGAATTACTCGTCAATATTCTTCTGGATGTTTCGGACCTTCGTCTCTTTTCAGTATGGGTGGAGACTGTATGAAGGGAGCATTCGAAATTCCCTTGATGCACGGACAGTGCTTGCGACCACATTTTTTCCGATATTGAGCTTGTAGTATAGATGAACCGGTCATAAGATATCGCTCGTGAATCAATGTTCACTACCTGAGATCGACTTTTTTTAGTGCACGGATATGGCTGTTTTGAGGCGAAGGCCTCGTCGTGCATGGCCAAGACAATACAGCTTGGATGTAGCCACGGGACGATGACTTGGTACTACGATTGATGTGTTCTGTGAAAGACTGCTGAAACCTACAATTCAGATCCTCTGTTCGTGTGCTTCGACTGTGCTGATCATTTTATCGAGGTTTCCTATTTGAGTTTCGTGCAGGCTATATCAAAATGAAAGCGTGTTGCGATACTTGGTTGAGACTCTCTGGCACCAGAAGTCGCGACCTCCATCGAAGTACAATTATATCTCCCGCACAAGGCTGAGAACGCAGCTACGCTGCTAATACGCCTGCATGACGATGCATAAGATAACAAGGCGGGGCCAGCTGAAGCAAAGACTTCAGCCAGTCCATGCTATGGTTCACTTTGTGTCGGAAACACACATCATCAGTTCTTCCTCGTCCACAACAACGCGCACTGGCTAAATCGCGTTATCCTTGAATCAACTGCCAACATGTTTGGAACAGCCAACGTGCCGTTTGTCGAAAGACAAGTTGTCTCAATAGGCTCGGCGTTCACGATACCTACGCAACTGATCACGTCCGTGGTCACTGAAACTGCATCCGGTACGAACAGTCTGGCTCCTGTCACCGTGGTTTTGACGTCTGTCATTCGTCCATCAACCACTACTGCTCTTAGGTCTGCATCATCCTCCGCACCTCTCTTCACATCAACCCTTACATCAACGTTGTCGCTTCTCCCCTTGACGACAATCTTCACACCACCGGCACCTTGCCACCTGCGACCTTTCACGTTAACAGCATCGAGCAACACGTCGCTGGGTGTATGGCGATACCATAACGACTCCGCAGATCCCTGTTATCCGCCTTTGTGGGCAACAGCGAAGACAAACTATTACCGACCCGGAGCGTGTCCAAGCGGCCACGCCTACGTTAGACTCGCCTTGGGCGGACCCATCTCTTCCCAGTATACGTCGGTCAACTGCTGTCCCAGGTGAGTCCACCTCGGTAGATGTGAGGATTGAAGAGGCTAATACGATCGTCTAGTGGCATGGACCTTGTGGACACAGAGTGCCACACTACGATAACTACACCGACTTATGCGCTGATGCCAGATCTCGAGACTTTTTCCATTACCAAGTTTCCGTTCATCGGTGTCGCTACGGCGTTGAACGTGGTATGGGTTTCGGAGGACCTGGACTTGTTTACGCCTAAATCTGCTCCGGCAACTGGAGTCGCGAACATGGTAGTCGTCAAGACAGCATCCTCTTCGCCGAAAGAACTTTCGAGTGGCTCAAAGGCCGGCACTGGAGTCGGTGTGGCTCTTGGATGTCTCGTGCTGGTAGGTGTAATGATATTCTTCGTCCTCCGGGTTCGCAAGAGACGCGCTAGGCGAGCTGCATCTACTGCACCGGACGATGTGGATTCCAAGCCAGAACTCTCCGGAGACTCGACGGTGTCAAGCAAAGCTGTTCATGAGCTTAATGGTCAAAAAGAGGCCGGGGAGATGGAGGCCGATGCGATGTTTCCCGAATTGGCGCATCTCATCAAGAGTTCAGAGCTTGAGGTGCCTCATCAAGTTCACGAGCTGCCTTGATACTTCTCTGAGTTCGAAAGTGTGTGACTTGCCCACACAATCACGCGTCGTAACGAACGCGTGTCTGGAATAATATTTCCCAGGTGGCTGGGATAAAGTTGGCGCAAGGTTCGTGTCGGCCGAGGCTGGCGGACGGACCATGTCAGATGTATGGGGGACGACCCTGATCGTGATAATCTCCTTCTTTTGTCTCGACGATGACTGGATATGTGTGATGTTCTCTGACCTATACCTTGTACGGTGTATCAATGAGAGACCTATACATATGCTAGATTGGTTCGGCCGTAGTTTGACCTTGTTGTTGGTTCCCAATCATGAAAATTATGTTTGACATGATTTATCATCACAAATCTGGATGCTTGCTTCACGCTTTCCTGCAAGCAACACACTTTGGACAATATCTCGAACGAAAATACGTATGATTTAATTAGAACTCACTATGGTTTCAGAGTTTCACGTCGCTGGAAACTGGTCGGTCAATCCATGGATAGGGTGAACAAGTAGTATGCATACGATTCATCTATGCTTGCCGCCTTTTCTCTGCCTGAGTTCATGTTCCTTCTTCGGATCTTTCTTCTCAATGACCCAAGTATCCATGACTTGTTTTGTTTCGACTTTCTTTCCTTCAACCTGTTTTGCCTCCTTAATACGTCTGATATAACCCATGTAGATGGCAACTTCGGCAATAGCGACAGTACCGCTGCCAAACATGCTCAAGGCCATGCGTTGAGGAACACTCCAATGACGAGCAGCGATCCATATAGCGACGCTACACGCAATGATGGATACAAGGACGTTGATGATGAGTGCCAGTTGCCGATTTACGTCTGTGAAGGTCACCTCGTCATCTTCGTCTTCTTTGTTTATACGAGCGGGTTCAGGGATGGATGTTGTAGGGTTGATCATGCGTTGATATGCAATGTTCTCTTCTTCTCTGCGAAGTCGAGCCATCAAAGCAGTGTACTCAGCAGTCTATTTGCAGAGTGTTAGCAAGGAGCGATTGCGACAGAGGCCATGGAAACGTATACATACCGGCTGAGGCTTCGGTTTTGGAGGGGGCACATAGATGTTCGCCCCCTTGAGCAGTGCATCAAGACGAAAGTCATTCTTGTTAGGAATATCAGTCTCGCGCAGGCATCGCGCAACTTGGATCAGTTGAGCATGAGATACAGGGGCTCCGATGGTGGGCTCGCTCAGGGAGGGGTCGCTCGTCGAGACATGATCTTTCTCGCCCGGCAGCTGATTATAGAGCTCAACAGCAGATTTGGCAGCGGGCGTGAGGGTCAATAGGACCATGAGGGCGAAGTGGAGAAAGTCGATGATGCTGGTCACTATCGCATATCTTGAAGTCGAGCTCGGGCCACCAAGACTCCAGGAAAAAGCGCGCTCCAATGATGGTTGGATGGAGTTTGGTCAGAAACAGAAGTTACGCCCACACGAAACGATTGGCCACCAACGCTCTTTCCCTTGATATTCCGGCCTTTCTTTCCCAGTGCAATTGGAGTTACAGCGGGAGTCTGTTTGTTTGCGCAGTCTGCTTTGTGGAAGATGAGCGCTCCCCGAGCTCGAGCATCGGCGCTCGCCATGACCTCTCGCCCACCGTCATACCGATCCTCATGTTCCAAATTCGCACACCTCCCGCCGCCGCGCCCACGATCAATACAAGCATGCGTGCCTTTGCAACGGCGGCATCAGTCGTCGGTCGCCGCTGCCATCCAGACGGCCAAGCACATGTTCAGCAATGCCGCGCCTTCACCAATCGGCATTGATCCTCTGCAGAGTGTCGCCAAAGAGCTCAAGTTCTTGACGGGAAACATCCAGCAATTACTCGGCTCTGGCCACCCCATGCTGGATACTGTCGCCAAATACTACACCCAGTCAGAGGGCAAGTACGTGCGACCCATGCTGGTCCTGCTCATGTCACAAGCCACCGCCTTGACTGTCAAGCAAGACCGATCAACTCCCGCCGCCCTCGATGTCGACTCGCCCATGTCACCCTCAGCCGTCCTCGCCGATGCCAACCCCTCGTCCCCTCTGACCTCTCCACCCGCTGTCGAGGACACCTCAGACACCTCTGTCCTTCCTTCGCAACGTCGCCTCGCCGAAATCACCGAACTCATCCACACTGCCTCTCTCCTCCACGACGATGTCATTGACAACTCCGTCTCACGCCGTTCTGCTCCTTCTGCCAACATCCAGTTTGGTAACAAGATGGCCGTTCTTGCTGGCGATTTCATGCTCGGCCGTGCCTCCGTTGCTCTCGCCCGTTTGAGAGACCCCGAAGTCACTGAGCTTCTCGCTACCGTCATCGCCAACTTGATTGAGGGTGAATTCATGCAGCTGCGCAACACTGCCTCGGATGAGAAGCACCCTGCATACAGCCAAGAGACAATGGAATACTATCTGCAAAAGACTTACCTCAAGTCGGCTTCGCTTATCAGCAAGTCAACGAGAGCCGCTGCAATCTTGGGTAACTGCTCTCCAGATGTTGTAGAAGCTGCCTACAGCTACGGAAAGAACCTTGGTCTGGCCTTCCAGCTTGTTGACGATATGCTGGATTACACCGTCAGCGGAGCCGAGCTCGGCAAGCCTGCTGGTGCCGACCTGGAATTAGGTCTGGCTACCGCCCCTCTGCTTTTCGCATGGAAAGACAACAAGGAGCTTGGTACCCTTGTCGGCAGACGATTTGCCGAGCAGGGCGACGTGCAAAAAGTGAGTTCACACTACGTCCAAATCATGAAGCAACGCGTATTGACAGTTTCCAGGCACACGACCTCGTCATCAAGAGCAACGGCATCGAGCAGACTCGCGCCATGGCTGAAGACTATATCAACAAGGCTCGTGAAGCCATCGCTTTCTTCCCCGAGAGCCAGGCCAAGGCCGGCCTCCTGGACATGTGTACAAAAGTTTTGCAGAGGAGAAAGTAGGCGTATATATAAACATCTCCTCTTTGTATATTATATGGGACTGAAAAAAGAGCAATGTACTTTTACCCATCTCTCTATCTTCTCGAAAGCATCTCCACGTGAGGCACAGTCTTTATTTCCGGCTTACGAGGCCTCCCTGGGGATAGACTGAACTCTCTGGACTCTGGAGTCTTTATCTAGGTACTGCCGAAAGGGCCGATTGAGATGGCCGAACCGGATACGCACTTGGATACAGTATCCTGGTTATTAGCCATGATCCAACAGAAGCCTCAAGATGCCACGCCAGGATATCCCCAATGAGGACACGGCCTTAAACCACAGATGTCAGAAGTACGGAGATCTTGTTCATATATCTCGTGCAGTTCTCGAAGCTAAGCTTTGTCAAGCACTTCATCCCACAACGCCAAGTTAACCTTTGGCATTGCTTGGCCACGTCGAAAATACCACTCGACAGATCCATTTCTTTTACTTTGCCAACACATGTTGATGAGAAAGTCGTACATGCAAGCCCCTCGCGATAGCCTCGTGCAACTATACTAGGTATACCTCAGCCCAAAGTCGATTGACCAGTCAGAGGCGGATATGACGGAATTCTCAATACCCCACTGTGCTACCCCGTGGCTGATCTACGTCTCCATGTCTCGAAGAAGCGGAGGTTTGCGTGGAGAACGGGTCCCACTAAAATCGATTTTGACCCACCGACACGCCCCGGCAAAAAGCACCAATGTGCTACACTTACGCCATTCGTAGTCTGCATGACCATGATCGGCAGAGCGGCATAACCATGCTTCGGCGAAGCAACGGTGAGTATGTCAGAGTATGATGAAGGGTGTTTAAAGATAAGTTCCTGCCTCTGTGTTTGAAACAACTTGCTTTCGCGTTCCCTCTTTCGCCTCTCCTCCCCACACCAATCCCAAGATGGGCCTCTTTAAGAAGGACACCGAGGGTGTCGATCCTCAACAACCTCAAAACGACATCGCACACGAGAAAGATTTGGAAAAGAATTTCGAAGATGTACAATTAGAGCAAAGGCAGGCCTCAGTCGACAATGGTGGCTCAGCACCGTTTATCGACCCCGTCATCGAGAAGCGTGTCATTCGCAAACTGGACTGGCATTTGGTACCTCTGCTCATGGCACTCTACCTGCTCGCTTTCCTCGATCGCTCGAATATCGGCAATGCGAAAATTGCTGGTATGAAAGACGCATTGAACCTCACCGACGATCGCTACTCCTGGCTTTTGACCATCTTCTACATTTCGTATATCCTTTTCCAATTTCAAGTCCTTGGCTGGAAGAGATTCCCTCCTCACATTTGGGCCGCATGGGCAATCTTTGGATGGTACGTACTTGATGGGCTGTCGAGTGACATCGGCATTTGATCTGCAGTCGGTAAATTCTAGATGAGGAGACAGCTAATAGAGCATAGGGGTGTGATCTCGAGTTGTCAAGCCGTAGTAACTACTTGGGAGGGAGAGATGGTTCTTAGATTCTTGCTCGGTGTCTTTGAGGCAGCTTTTGGACCTGGTGTCCCTTACCTGTTGTCATTCTTCTATCTGCGTCATGAAGTCGGTTTCCGCAGCGGTATTTTCCTTGCTGGTATGTTTCCGAAGTCTCACGACATATATATCACCACTGATGGTTGGATAGCTGCACCCCTCGCAACATGTTTCGCTGGAGCTCTCGCATACGGTATCACATCTGGAAAAGCATCCATCCCGAACTGGAAGCTTCTTTTCCTCGTCGAAGGTCTTCCCACTTTGGCAATGGTTCCAATCGCATACTTCTTCCTTCCCGACAGCCCTCAGAAGGCCAAATTCTTGACCGAGGACGAGAAGCGCGTTGCGATTGCAAGAGGTGTTCGTCAAACTGGAACAACCGAGCGTGTTGGTCGCATCAAGTTCAGGGATGTCGGTCTGACCTTCATCGATCCGAAAGCCATCTGCACGGCATTGATGTACTTCTCATGCAATGTGTCGTTCTCGTCGCTGCCAGTGTTCCTTCCCACGATTCTGGAAGAGATGGGCTTTGAATCTATCACTGCTCAAGGTCTTTCCGCACCACCATACTTTTTGAGTTTCTTAATCACCATCGCCTCTGCATACATCGCAGACAAGACTCAACAGCGCGGACTGACCATCATCATTCTGTCCATCGTCGGAGGTGTCGGTTATGTCATGCTCGCCACGACAACAGGTACCGGACCTCGTTACGCAGGTGTCTTCCTCGCAGCATCTGGAGTCTTCCCCTGTATTGCCAACATCCTTCCCTGGGTCACCAACAACCAAGGTAACGATGATCGCCGTGGTGCCGCATTTGTCCTCCTCAACTTCATCGGACAATGCGGTCCTCTGCTTGGAACACGTATCTACAACGATGCACCTTTCTACGTCAAGGGCCAGAGTATTTGCGCTGCATTCATGTTCTTCAACGGTATCCTGGCTTTGTCGTTGCGTACGCTTCTGGCTTATGAGAATCGCAAGCTAGACAAGCAGTACGGCACCATTGAGGAGCAGAAGAACAGAATTGCCTCGACCGAGGGATCCAAGGAAGCAGGCATTGAAGCCAATACCGGTGTCGAGAACTTCGGTCCTATGTATCGTTACGTCTTATAGGCGAACGTGGCCTGGTTTAGTTTCTAGCTTCTTAGCAATAATGTCATGACATGAACATATATGACCTCCTTATACCTTCACTCGCTGTTGGAGTTCGCTAAGTGACATGAGTACAGAGAAATGCTCAGTACTTTGGTCGTCTCTTCAACACCTCGGGCTGACAGTTTTGTCTCGGCATGTATCACTGTACCTAAGCCACTCAAAGCCCCTCTCAACGTTCACCCTAGCATGACTCGACCCACCTCCCTCGCGCATCCCTTCCCATAACATTCTCGACTCTTTGCTTCAACTCAAAAACTCCGGTCAAGAGTCGCGGACATGTTGTCCGAGATGTCCAGGTTTTGGCGACGCCTGACAAACAAGCTCTGCTGCATGCGGGACGACGACGAAGAGGTCACTGAAATGGTTATTGTAAGTTTGCGATCCCGATACGAGGTTTCGCTGGGTGGTGTTTTAACAGAGATGCACAGGGGGAGCCTTTTGGCGTTCAGAAGAACGATGTGGTTGTTGAGGACGGTGTTCTCTTGCTGGCTTCTCCGCCTGCTGTTTGAAGGTGGTCGGTGCTCTATCGATACCACTTCCACGTATGTTTTCTTTTTCCACCACGTGCTCATGTCTTTTTCAACTGACACCATTCTTCAAGACAAATCAACTCATCCCACTTTGGCAAAAGAGATCACAGCGCAGGCACGCTCAAATCAGCGAATGCAAGTCAAGGTTGGCGGCGGCCGCTCGGGCAGATCAAATGCGACCGAGATCTTGGATGATGTCAAGATGATCGTCAGGGAAGGAGACGATCGTCAGCCTCAACCCTTGACAAAAAAGCACACCCTCTGCCAACCTCGTTCAACCATCCTGCTATAACCACAAGCGGGCAAAGCATGAGTTCGACGGTTTCTTCACAACACTTCAACTCCGCCTTCAACACGAACATCCATGACTTATCACAAAGGAAAGATCGCGCTAGACAGAAAAGAGCCCCGGGGCAGATCGATTCCATCTTCGCATCTCCGCAAGTAGTCTGCAAATCACAACCTTTTCATCCTCTTGTATCATGTTTGATCTCTCAGCCCTGCAACGCTTTCCCCAACAATGAACCCTGCACTGCAAATCAAGATGCATCGTTGACTGTTTAGGTCAAAGCATAGAGGTCCCAGCTCTTCCTCTAGATAGACTCCGATCTGGCGCGTCATGTCAGCGTACAGGTAGTATATAACTTGGTTTGCTCATGGGACATCTCCCAGATAGCCTCCGCATTTTCCAATCTTCTGCTCCAAATACTCTGATCGCAATGTCCAGTTCATTCAAAGTAGTCGAACACCATACTCCCTGTCAAAGCATCAGGGAGTATCCTCAAGCAACCTCGACATATCAAGAAGAAGTGCTATACCTCAGTGCAAAACAATACATTCCTCTCAATCGTACACCCCAAGAAGGAGATGTAACGATACTGGCAGCTCACGCGTCGGCATTCCCCAAAGAGCTCTATGAACCATTATGGGAGGATCTACTCAAGCAGAGTAAAAAGGCCGGTTATGGCATCCGAAGCATATGGATGGCAGATGTGGCCAACCAAGGCGCATCTTACGTGCTCAACGAAGGTAAAACAGGAAATGACCGTAAGTAGTGGCCCCTTCCTGCTCTCGAGGTAGGAGACGATGTTCTGACAAACAGTATAGCCAACTACGCCGACCATGCCCGCGACCTCCTCTGTCTGATCAACACACACCGCTCCGAGTTCACCCGCCCAATAATCGGCGTTGGCCACAGCATGGGCACAATCTCCCTCTCCCTCCTCGCACAAATGCATCCTCGTCTTCTCACATCCATCGTCATGCTCGACGCAATAATCGTTCACAAACCTCTACCAGCTTGGGTGCCCATGACCCGCATGCCATCTTTTCGAAGAGACCTCTGGCCCTCTCGTCAAGCAGCAGAGGCAGCATTCCGCAAAAACGTCTTGTTGAAGCCTTTTGATCCTCGCGTGGTGGACAAGATCTTGCAACACAGTATACGACCCACACCGACACTACTATATCCGGAAAAAGAAGGGGAAAACAAAAAAGGAGAGCAGAGTTATACCTTGACGACTCCGAAACATCAAGAAGCCCTTTCAATCGCCCGCCCGAATTACGAACATGTCGATTGGATCAACAAGCCTGATATAAAGGCAAGACACACACATCCAGATATATGGCCTTGTGCTCCTTATATGCCTCCATTCTACAAATCTGAAGGTAGAACTGCTTGGATGTTCCTTCCTTACTTACGGCCTTCAGTGCTTTGGCTCTACGGTACAAAATCCTACACTATGGATCCAATCGAACGCAGCGAGAAAATGAAGCGTACAGGCACCGAATGGAATGGCTCCGGCGGCGCGGCAATGGGAAGAGTGAAGGAGGAATTCATCGAAGATACCGGACATTTCTTGTGTTTTGAGAAGATCAAGGAGACGGCCGAAAAAGTGTCAGAATGGTTGGATAGTGAGGTTAAGATCTGGAAAGATTTGGAAAGGGTGACGATTGATAAGAATTGGCATGAAAAAGATGTGGTGGGCAGACAGTGTATGGACGAGAACTGGTTGAAGGGCGTCAAAGCTTGGAAGGGAGACGCAGCTATGCCTTTGAGTAAGCTCTGATGCATCAAGCAGGAGAAATGACTTGGTTCTTGACATGCAACCTCCATTCTGACCGACGCTTGAATAAGTGGATGAAGTGAGGAGCGAGCCAAAAATCAGCCGCGCAATTGCCAAATCTATAGGCAAAAGATTACATTCACAAATCTTGCCTCCATCGTTCCTTCCAGAACCAAGTCTTCGTTCACACACCAAGTCATTTCAACCAGACCGTCTACAAACTACGTCCACACCACTGCACCGACCAACAAGTAAGTCTCCACTCCAATCGTCAACCTCGCCTCGCCGGCGCAACTGATTCGAACCAAAGAGAAAAGCCATCGCAACCATGTCCCTCATCACCCGCGAAGATCTCCCTCTCGCCATCATCTACTTCTTTCTCAGCTTCTACCACCAACCTCTCGCCTACCTCTTTCTCGGCCTCCGCATCCTCTACTCCATCTTCTCTGGCCCTGACGACTCAAGCAAGAAACAACCAACAGCAACAACAACCTCTCACTCCTCCTCTTTCTTCTCCATCGACCCCGAATTCATCGCCCTGGGCTTGATCTACCACTACCTGATCGATCTGGGCTTGTATTGGACTGCTGGATTCTTTGCGCTTAGGATGATTTATGTTGCGCTGATTTCTGAGGACGAGGTGAAGGAGGTTAAGAGGTTTAAGGTTTATCCTGATTGGAAGGATGAGAGGAGGTGGCATTATGTGGATGTTGGGGAGGAGTTGGGGTGGAAGGGGTGGTGGGATAGGGAGGGTGGGTATCATCGTTTGAGATGATGGATTCACTTCTGCGTTTCAGTGAGAGAAGATGGTGAATTAGTTGAGATGATGCGAGGGCAAGGGAGATGAAGTCTGACAAGGAGGACGGACTGTATGGATGCTGGCAGGAGCTGAGGGTTTGTTGCTTACTTGACAGGCGGCATATCGTTGCTGGATGGCTAGCTTTGACTTCGAATTATACGAGAATCAAAACATCGCTTCGCTTCTCGGTCGACAAAGTTGAAACAGTGAAGAAGTATATAGCTACATTATCTGGAGAGGCGGACCACCTTCTACACTCCAGCTCATCGCAGCTTCCGCCTGAAAATACAAACCTACCCAACAACGGTGACTGTAACCAGTTCAATTTCAGTCAGAAACACTTCTACACCACATCAAGCACGCGCATAAGTCTATCGCAAAGTACACCATCCTCACAAATCGCACAACTCATCAAACTAACACAACAACCCAGCCCCAATGATCCAAAAACACCCACACAAAGACCCCTTCGCCCAAACCCACCTCCTCAATCTCCCTCAAGCAGAACCACCAGCCTTGACCGAAGAAGAAACATACGCCATCCAAGACCAACTCCAACTCTGGATGCATCAAACCACCCCCACCCACACCACAAACTTCCAATCACGCGCACGAAACATGCTAATAGCATACCTCTATCTCCTCGCCTGGGTCCTCTTCTTCACAACTCTCTTCACCTGCTGGTACAGAAGATGCAAGGATAGAGAGAGAAAGAGGGCAGCAGCTAAGAAGAAAAATGAGGAGGGATGGAAAAAGCATGTTTATAAGGTTTATGTGAAGTCTATGGGTTCAGGGGAAGTGGTATTGGGAGAATTTGCTTGTTGAGGATGATAGAGCTGGTTATTGGTATGATGAGGGTGGATATCATTGGTTTGACTGAGTGGAAGAGGAAGAGTTGTATCGCTAAAAGTAGTGTTGATGTCTTTGCAACACATAAACACCTTGTGCAGATATCGAGATTGAAAATTCACTTAGGCACCGAATCACTGCACTTCTTCATTTAGAACTTCGCATTAAGAAGAAGTTAACATAGTTCAAGCGCATTCGATCCAATCTTGGCCCAAGATATCTCGACACCATAACAACGACACACGCGTAAGCATTGATCTACAATGTACGTTGCTCTTTTCTATCGCACAAACCAATCTTATGACCTGACATGCTGATACCAGATAGCAGCAAACATGGCCGACGCGAACGGTCAGATCGAAAACACCGACGCGATAATCCTCTCGATCATCTTCTGCCTCATCTTCTGCCTTGTTTGGTGCACCTCCTGTTGTCAACCCCGCGAGAAGCCCATGACCGACGAGGAATTGAAAAAGCACGTCTACAGGGTCTACTGGGAGCCCACCGACAAGAGAATGTGGTATTACGAGAACAGACTCGCCGTTCCTGACAGGCTTGGCTATTGGGATGGTGATGGAAACTACCACTGGCGTCACTGAATGGAGCTACCTATCTTCGAGCACCGATAACACCACTACGTAGTGCCTCACCTTGTCTTTGATGCGGCTGCCCCAAGGCATCAGAAAGATCCGGTGCGTGGTTGAGCAGATGAGTGTTACGAAGATATAAGAGCGATCGTTTCTTCCAGCATGAAATGGCTTGGGAAATGGAGTTACAGAGAGAGCGATGGGTAAGGATAATAATTCGTTTATCAAGCTGCCTTTCAATTAAGCAACTCCTCCTTCGGTCCAAAACGAGACGTTTACTCTGTCTGTTATTGTGTATTGAGACAGCTCCTTTGACTTCCTTCGTCTTCGCAGCACCCATTGCTCCATAATTCCTTCTTCCTAGTCATGGGCAGAATGTCATCAAAGCAAGGCCATTTGCTTGCTTTGACGTTTCGTCGTAGTCGTTCGACATATTTGTTGTAAGATGTATGATCGGTGACAGCATTATCAAAAAACCAGCTCAGTGGATTAGTCTTTAGCTTCTCCCTTAGCTTTGGCCTCGGCTCTCATAACCGCCAGCTTCGAAAATGTCAGTGACTTGATCTTGGAGCGTGGGGATACTTCGAGTCGCTGTTGCTCAAGCGTTTCAGACAACTAATCCAAGTCGCTCGAGTGCGGCTCTGGATCAAAAGGCAGGTTGACACCGTTCTCGCTTTGAGGTGGATCGCTGGTCGCATGCGAGGTGATGTCGTTCTCCTCGCCAACGTTATTCTCGCCAGAGGTGATGCCGAAAGAATCAGGGTTGTAAACTTCCATATCTTGTACAGCTGGCACCCACTGAGCGACGACAGGATCAATACCATGCATAAAGCGGTTCAGCCTACAGGCACCTTTACCACTTGAGCCGCCGCACTTTTCGCGGAAGCAGATATGTCCCATGTTGCAGTTCTTGAAGCGGCAGTCTCCTTTGCGACCGCACGGATAATCATGAACCATATGTTTGAGGACGAGCTTGATGCCATCAGAGATAGGGCTGTGGTCAAACCCACAGCTTTCTTGTCCTTTCTTGCAGTATCCTTTTAGTTGGTGTTCATTGCAAAGCTTTTGCTGAGTAACTCGAGCATTGTAAGCTTTCCAGTCCTCGCTGGTTGGTGTTTGTAGGTAAAAGTCCAACCTATGGCCGTCTTTGTTGACGGGGACAAGATTGGCGTTCTCCGGTGATTGTCTGGGTAGAGCAACAGAGGGTTGCACATGTGACATAGATGGAGAGGCTGGAGGGAATGCAGAAGAGCCATATCCCGGAGATGTTAGTGGCATACCGGACAACGGAGAGTCGACACCCGTACTACTAGGTACCGGAGTGTTGTAACTGGCCGGCGGTGGAAAGAACGATGATTGTATAGAGTTTCTATGAGCAAACTCACGACCAGAGGTGTGCTCATTCGGACGCCACGAGTCTCCTCCGGTCGAGTGCGACTTCTTGCAGCCGTTTCCGAACTTGCAAGTGCCTCGTAGGTAATGTGTACAGATGGGTGTGCTGGGAGGAGCAGATCCAGAATGACCGTTGGACATAGCCATAGATTGCGAGGAGGCTGGAGGAGGTTTGTTAGGACGTCGAGCTTCCAAACCATCAAGAGGGTTGTTATGGAACAGGCCATTGAGACTGTCAATATTGAGACCAAGGCGGTTGAACTCAGGGCTGAACGACGATCCATGGACAAGTGTGATCTTGTCGTTCTTGCCAATATAAGGAGTCAGGAGATTCAAGTAGCCGGTATCGTGACAACCGGCAAAGAATATGTGTTTACACTGGTTGTTCTCGATGAACAGACGGAACATCTCGCGGATCTTGTTGTCCGCATTTTCTTTCTTGTCACCTGCATCCACAAAGTCGAAGAGGTCGTGAGCACGCGTGAAGTTGGAACAGAAAGGACTCAGCGAGCGTGCCTCGTTTCCGGCGAGACCTGCACGTGCGAGAGTCTTGGACAGGCCAGCAAGATTGGTGTATGCGCGGACCATGACTTTGCAGTTCTCATACTCACGGCCATATCGTGAGAGCCGGTCTCGAATGGTGTCATGGAGGAGGTTAGCTGCTCTCACACCACCTTCGGCACCACCTTTGATAAGAGAATCTTCGAACTGTGCACCGTCAGTAACGCAGTATTTCAAGAAGGCTTGAAGGTCAAAGACTCACAACATAGCCATCGGCGTCGACGAGAACGAGCACAAAAGGATTGCGCTCTTGACCGCGGGCGAGCTTCTTGTACTTTTCGCGTGACTCCTTCTCCTCTTCGTAGTCACTGCGCAAAGTACGATAATCTTCAAGAAGTTGACCGTATGAGAGGGTCAGTTCTTCTAGCGCATCTTGGCGAGCCTTTGTCGAGATGTTGAAGTTGGCGAGTTGGCCCTCCAGCTTGCTGAGTTCTGTCTCAGCAAGCATGGTGGTGGATGACAATTTTGATGCGCGTGAGGAAGGCGCGATGAATGTCGAATAGCGAGTTGTGAGATGTTCAAGCGGTGAACCAAAGACTCGACAAAGCTCGATTGGCTTGCGAGCCACAAGTTTTGATTGTTGCCGACTCTCTTGAACGAGCAAGTAAACCTTAAGTGTCGAACATCAAGATAGAACTGGGGATAGCCGTTGGAAAATTCGAGATGTAAGCGCGGAGTGGAGCTGCAGCCTGAACATCACGTGCATCTAATCTAGAGCATATTACCTTCGCGAGATGACAGCATCACGAGTCTGACTGGATCAGTGAGAACTACATGTGCTGCCCACCGAGCATATGAACAGGACTGGAAGACACGATTAGTCTGATAAAAGCACAAAGGAGCTTTAGAGTGTGACAGACCTACAAGACAAAGACTTGTTTCAAACCCAAGCACGCGAGTCAACATTCTAGATTCATACCTTGATGCGAGGTAGAGAACAGGAAACACAAGTGGTATTTTGGCAAAGAAAAAAAGAAGTTTTTGGATCACATTGCCCTCATTGCATAAAACCGATGTACATGCAAAACTGATGCCTGCACTGATCCATTCGGTCCCCGGTATATTTCGCACGCCAGAACGTAAGCCCACGAAGAGAGAACACCATTCGAACCGAGAGCACCGCCGTAACGGACTTGTGCGTTTTTCAGATATCATCAAGCCACGCCGTGACATTGTCTCGTTTATGCCTTCTTCTCCTCGTCGTCGGCAGCGAAAGCGAGTCTCTTCTGCTCGACACGCTCCTGTCTGCGCTCGCGGGCGGCCTTGGTCTTGGCACGCTTGGCGTCCATCTCCTCCTTGAGCTTGGCCTCACGGGCCTTCTCGGCCTTAGCCTTGTGGATCTGCGATGTGTGTTAGAAGAGTGCGAGTATGCGGAGGTAGGTCGGGCGAAACGTACGTGCTCAACGAGAGCGCGCTTGTGCTTGAAGGTGTTACCCTTGCTCAGGTGGTAGAGCTCGTGGTAGAGGTGCTTGTCGATCTTGCCGGAGGCGCGGTACTTGACCAACAGGCGACGGAGAACGCGCTGGCGGCGCATCCAGACGACTTGGCTGTGGACAGACTATCAGTGTCTGCTCGGGGTGGTGTGGTCGTAGGTGGAGCAGCCATACCTGGGCATACGGGCGTCCTTGGTACCCTTTCTCTTACCGAAACCACGGTGGCGACCGAGGCGGCGAGCGGCGTTCAGCTCACGGGCGCGGGAGCGCGAGTGCATGGTGACGGGCTTGCGGATGATGAGGCCATCGGAGACGAGCTTGCGGATGGTCTGGCGGGAGTTGGCGTTGGAGATCTCGTTGACCTCGTTGGGGTCGAGCCAGATCTTTCTCTTGCCGCAGCCAACAACGGAGGCGGCCAGGCGCTTCTGGGTGCGAAGGTTGACCCTGTAGCAGACGCATGTCAGTGCCTGTTATGCTGGGTCATGTTGTGTGATGATTTTTGCCGCCCGGAGGAGCGCTGATAAGAAGAGTCGACAGGTGTATGTGGATGGCGTAGGACGACGAGGTTTTTTCAGAATTGGGCGGTCGACACTCTCTCCGGACGGCGGTTCGCTGATACTGACATTTTGACGGGTATGGAGGGTTGCTGTCGTTAGTGATGGGTAGCCGTCGCTCTCGTCCAGAAGAAAAGCTCGCAAGACGTCGAAGAAGCGGCAAGAGCGGAGTAGAAATCACGTGCTCCTGCCAAAGCAAACACAAAATTGAGCTTCGTCAGTGTGAACGCCGGCTTTTGTCCGGCTTTTCGCTTGGCGATGCTTTCCACTCCCCGCTTTGGCTGTCGCGACCTCCTTGCTTGCACGATGATATCTTTTACTGGTCTGGAGTACTGAGTATGAGCATTCCAGTCCTTCAGATGTTGTCAATGCATTCATGCGCTTTCATCTCATGGTGTTCCTTGGTCTTGCAGGTTCAATTCTTCTTCCTCTGGCAAATCTGATCATCATCGGACCACCTCGATTCATGAATCATCTGAACCTAACCGCTACGGACAAAGCAAATATACACACCATCTTGCCGTGCCCTCGTCATATCTTGTCACTTGACCACCTCCTATCATAATCTGGTCCCGGCCGATCGCAGATATCTGATGGCAACCTTCAGCACATAGAACAATAATATGGTCTGGCTCCCCTCCTCGATGTTGGCACTATGTTTCCGCGCTGTAGGAAGGGACCTACTAACCCGCGACTGCACCCACATTGGTCTTTGATACGTCTGCTCAGGTCCACCACCTCAACATCTGGAGTATAAGATATCCGGCAGGCCAATTTCTGTCGGCGTTAATGCATGGCCAAGTTAAGACACATGCTGTGACGACAAGACTCATCCAAATTCCCGTAGCCACTTCCTGTGGTATGCGATGATGCAGTAAGCGGTTCCTCGAAGAGAAGAAGCCCATAGCGCAATTCCGTGCATACCAGTAGGTTGTGTAAGCCAAGGTAGATTCGTCTCTTCAGCCTCTCCATGTTTCTTAGAAAAATCCATCGCTATACAAGTTCATGAACCACCGACCTCCCTACGTGCTAATATCGATCTTGGCAACTTTCTGGTCGCGGAAGAGCGACCTTCTCACGTGCTATACCGCGCTCTTGGCGGTCTGTGGAAATGCTTCCGCCCACTGTCGATATTCAAGTGACGGATACTTAACGACGTCGCAACGCCGAGATCTTTTTAACCACGACATCACCGCCGTGACACATCGTCGACAACGGTACACTAAGATGCAGAATCACGTAATGTCGCAACAATTTAATGTGGCAATGAGCAGCTCCACGTTCGCCCAGTTCGCCCTCTACCACGGCACCTTCACGTCCGCCCAGTACCCCGGCCCCCTCTTGTTCGGCGTCCGCCCCTCGCGCAATACTGTCGTTAAGGTAAGTCGAGCACTATGGCGCACGATCTAAACACTATTGACCTTTCCATCCGCAGAAGCCAGAGCAGAAGCCAAAGCGCAAGAGAGCCCCGCGCAAGACCGCCCCCCGCCAGGCTAAGAAAGCCGAGATCAGGGATGTTCCCTTTCCCTTCTTGGAACTCCCGGCTGAGATTCGTGTAATGATCTACAAGCACCTGCTTGTCGAGTCTTCAGTCGAGCTCAGTTACAGAACCGGCGGACAGGGAAAAGGCCTTTCACGCGGTTGCTTGACCAAAGTGCCTGGCAAACACGGTCGCGCTGGGCATGACAGCTGGGTCACGTTCAAACCCAAGCATGAGCACGACAAGCCGACTCCCCTTCAGCCTGCAATCTTGCGCGTTTGCAAGTTCATCCGCGCCGAGGCCACCCCCCTCCTCTACGATCAAACCTTCTATTTTGAGAATCCTCTCGCTCTCAAGAGATTCCTCGCCCGCATCACTCCGTCCACCCTCAGTCTTCTACGCAAGATCGTCATCCGCGGTTGGGCAGAACGTAACATTCCCTGCTGGGTTAACGCGCTTGCCCTGGCTTTCGCCATGTTGACCACTGCGCACAATCTCGAGAGCGTCCGCTTCGACCGCAAAGTCAGCGGATCTTCTGACCAAGGTTTCTGGGACCAACGTAGATTCCCCGAGTACCTGCAGCACCTCGCTGTGGAGGACCTCAAATTCTGGATCCAGTATGTCAACTCCACGGGTGGCAAGAAGGCCGCAGAGATCTTGAGCTTCAGCGACATCAACTTCGGCTCCCAGGATGAGATCGAGAACGACTACAAGGTCATTGAAGAGCGCAAGAAGGTGTTCTTCAAGGAACTTCAGCTCGAGTAGATCCTTCTCGCAATCATCACCAGTTCGAAGCTGTCGTGATTGCGTTTGAGGGTCGACAACACATCTCTCCGACATGGTACGACGAATGGGGTATTGAGGCGTGCTTTGCCTTCACGGACGGAGTTTTGAGGTCATGATTGCCACGATGGACAATCATTCGGACAGACACAGGCATTCGGGGGCGCGAACTTGCTTTTCCTTTCTATTCACACATGCAAGCTCGACAAACATTATTGTCGACGAGGCATACAGGCACACAAATGAGTCGTGCAAAATAGTCACTATACCCATGCGAGCGTTGAAATTAAAGAAAATTGCTTTCCCATATTCGTATCTCTTTTGTTCATGTGTGTGTATTGTCTTGATCTCAAATATGCTTGCCTGTTGTGATTGTGTTTTGATGAACGTGCTCTCGTCGTCGTTTTCGTTTTCGTCGAGCGGTGTTGGTATGGAGCCGTCGAAAACGATCTCGAAGTTTTACGATGCGACTGACTGCCCTTGTTGTTCTCACCGGACATGCTTGCGATTCTAGAAAACATTGTGCATTGTGATAGCTATCGAGAAGGAAGATCTCAAAACTGAGATGACTGTGGATAAGGTTACACTCTACATCAGAGGTTATACAAGACTTTCTACGAGAATCTTATACAAGGTCGTGCTGCTTCATCCTCTACACGGAGCATTGGTGTTGTCTATATAATGTCGTTGTACTTTCTGAAGTACGTCCGGCGAGGATGAAGGTTTTTCCTAACATCAACGGGCACGCAACGCAAGCCTCTCAAATGCAGTTTGCATCTCGACAGCTTCATCATGAGTGGAGCATGAGGGTGGAACGACAGGGTAGATGGGCCTTTGTGCACGGGCATGGATTGCATGAACGAAACGTACACTGCGTGAACCATGACCTGGTTTGACTCGAAAAAATATCAGCTGTGCGATGTCAAAAGAGAGCGGTGTCCACAATCGCGTAGACACTCGCTTGATAGAAAGTCAGGGGTGAGACGGTATTTCTGAAGTCGGTCTGCACACCTTAACGGCTTTAACCCCCTGAAGTGGATCGCTGACTCGTGGGCATCGACGTGATGGTCTCTTTGGCACTACGCATGTTCTTGTAGTATTTCAATGCCTCCGATCACTGTTTGAGAGCAAAAGACCAGAAAGAGGGAGGTAGAAGTCCCAAGAGCGACAATGACATTGGCGGCCAGGGTGTCAGAGCCGACTGACTCCTATGACCAACCAAGTAATCGATCGTGAGACTCGAACAGACCATGGCGATTTGGAATGTCTTGCCATCCTGGAAGAGTCTCGACAAGGTATTCTGAAGCAAGAGATGTGTAATAATAGGCAAGGCCTGCCTCCCAAGGCACATCCCGCAGTCCGAAGCGGGAACTGAAAATAGACTTAGCTGGAGCTGCGTTTGACCACCATGTTTCAAGTGCTTATAGCAGACCGAAGCACCACAACAAGCCTATAGTCAAGCAAGAGCGACGTCTTGAATAGATGAAGGGTTGGATTAGGCCTGGTATTGGGCCTGCATTAGCTGACGATGAGTAAGGATAGATATCAATCGTAAGTTCGCCGGAACGGATTTATCTGCCGTGACAAGTCAAACACATGTCCGACAGCAAGAGACCAGGGACCCGACGTGTGTGGCTGAGCGATGGGTCTGGTGGAGCAGAACGTGCAAAATCGATCTTACAGCGGGAGTGGGTTGCGTGAACGGGAGTTCCCCTTTCACAAGCCTCTATGAACTCCTATTACACAGGGGATAGCTGTAGTGTATCGTATATGCATAGTGGCGAGCTGATATGCAGCAGGAACAAAAAGCGCACACGAAATGAGACGTTGTCTTTGCAACGTTTTTGACGTTCGACTGGGCGTCCGGGTTGTTATGACAGTACGGAAAGGCGGATGATGGAGCGTCGACGATGACCAGGAAACAGAAGTGTGACAGCTTGGATCAGACATTGAACCGCAAGTGCAAAGATCTACTCTCGGCGCGGCTGATTGACAGTCAAGGGAGATCAGGGTGGTGTGCATGCTGTATGGAAGATAAGGGGACGTCGTCTCATGTTGTGTCTCTGGAGATTGCATGGAGCCCGTGCTCGCCAATGGGAGCCCGGCCAGCTGGGTTAGTTCGTGGCTAGCGCGGTTTCTCCAGATTTTGATGGTCGTCGCAGCGTCGCATCATTTTGCGAGGCGCTTCACAAAGACTTTACCAAGTCACCGAGGGGACGGTTGGACGACGGTTGTGTAATTGCTGCTCTTTTCTCTTCTTCTTCACCTTAATCCGAATTGCTCTTCACAGTCGTTGCAACGTTGTCCCTCTTTTATCGACGTCCGCTGTGTCCGCCTGGTGCTAACCTGCTTTCGCTCATTTTAATTCTGTTTATCACGCGCCGAACGGTCTGGTCACCACGTCTCATATACCAAACATTCCTCGTCGCGCACGCCTCCGTTTCTTGCTTGTTGTCGATTCTTCGCAGGCGACCACCCACACACTCGTTTTCAACCTTGCTGCCGATTACTCGACGTTTCACTCTTTTCCATCAACCATCCGTCCACTACTAACCAACAGCCCATAATCACATTAATCCGTTCTTCGCCATGCATCTCAAACTCAAACCTCACCGCCACGTCGCAAGCAGACTGCACAAGCGTGATGACCCTCCAACTTTGGATTCTGATGTTCTTGAAGAATCCCTCGACAAACGCGCAAACGATGTTGCGACAGTCTTCTCAGTTGTCTATGTGACGGCCTCTGCCACCTTCTCTGGACCTACAGCCGGCTTTGTTACTCTCGGAGCCGATTCTACAACCACAGCAAAGGCATCTAAGCCCACAGCTGCGAGCAACGGAGACAATGACGATGACAACACAACCACAGCAAAAGCCAAGCAGACGACGACAGCATCAGCAAAGTCCAGCTCTGCTACATCCACATCTTCCAGCAAGGTCACAAGCACATTATCACCGACCGCAAAGTCAACCGCCACAACACTTTCTTCCTCGTCCTCTTCGTCAACACTCGTCTCATCTTCATTGGCCGTCCTTACCTCTTCTGCCGCTGTATCTTCTACGATCGCAACTTCATCAATCAACTCATCCGCCGCAAAAGCTCAAGCAACATCTTCAAGTTCAGCCTCGTCATCGGCCGTGGCAGATGCAAGCTCAAGTGGTATGAGCACGGGCGCAAAAGCCGGTATCGCTCTCATGGTCATCTGTGTCATTGGTGTATGCGCTGGTCTTGCATACTTCTTTATCCGCAAGAAGAAAGCTCAGCAGAAACAAGCTATCGGCATGGAGAGACTCGACGATGAGAAGAAGGGCTTCATGGCTCAAAGCCCAAGCACTATGACTATTCCTCAACCTCCTCCTCAAACACATAGCAGCGGCCCTGCACCACGAGTCAGTTACCGTCCTGGTTCTCAGTTCTCTGCCAGTGTCCTTGGAGATGCTGAGAAGGCTGCTGCCGGGGCCGCTGCCGGTGTCATGGCTGGTAGAAATAGCGACCCGTCCAACCCTTTCGGCATTCACGCTCAAACCGTCGACGCTCAATCAAGGGATGTCATCTCGCCTATTCCTGAGGAGCGTTCATTGAGCCCACCTGTCGAGCTTCAGGGCAGTCCTGTACCCAGCCCCACTGCGGCTAGCTTCAACGTCAATTCCCCTGTAACTCCTGGCGCCGAGGTCAAGGCCGAGGTTGGCATGGCTTCTGTCGTACCTGTAGCAGCTCTATCTGGTGCTGCTCCTGGTGCTGTTATCGCCGACCCTCCTGGTAGCACTGTCCACCGTGTCCAGCTTGAGTTCAAGCCGTCCATGGATGATGAGCTCGAACTCAAGGTTGGTCAAATTGTGAGAGTCTTGCATGAGTACGACGATGGTTGGGTAAGCTGAATCCGCTCAATGAAAGCGTGTGATCTATATGCTAACACAATGCAGGCTCTCTGCATCCGTATGGACCGCTCTCAGCAAGGTGTTGCACCTAGGACTTGTCTTTCCAAGCTGCCGCTGAAGCCCAGACCTATGGGACCTCCTCCCGGTGCCAAGAATGGACCTCCTCGTGCTGTCCCTCGCCCTGGTCAAGGTCTTATGGGTCCTCCTCCGAGACCCATTCCCGGTGCCAAAGTCCGTCAAAACTCGTCATCGTCTCAAGGCTCTGCCGTATCTCAACCCCGCCGCCCTTCAATCCAGCCTTCCAAGCAGTCATCTCCAACGCTAGCTGAGCAAGCCCAATCACGCCAACGAAGCATGTCTGTCGCTGCATCCCCCACCAAAGCTCCCAGACAAACCGAGCAGCAGCGTGCAGTATCAGCCGCTGAAGCTCACAGTCGCAGCGCTTCTATGGGCACTGCATCAAGCGCCGAAAAGTCTTCAACCGCTTCTGGTGCGACTACCCCTCTTGGAGTACCTGCAAGGAAGCCAGTTCCTGGCCAAGCTCTCTAATCCTAATGAACACTGCCTTTTATCAAACCAACGATTAGCATGCAACACGTAGACACGCGACAATCACGCTCGAAGGAAGAAACTCAAGGAACAGACCCACCGCAGCGAGCGAGCACAAAGAGAACACAAGCGCCTTTTCAGTTCACAAATACCCTTTTTCGTTTTGTTGATTCTCCTTGTTCTTTTCTTTTCTTCAAGGTTGGAAATATTCTTATTGGAGAGGGATGCCACTGCATCGTCGTTCTTCTTTTCTATTCACTTAGCTCATTTACTGTCGTTCGCTGAACAATTTTCCTTTTCTCATCATGATAGCATTACGAAGGCCCAGAGCCAGTAATGTTTTGTATGTAGACTACCTTTATCGAAAGCATCAAAAACTGCCGATTCCCACTCTATCACACATTTTCGTGGTTTACGTGTGAACGAATGTCTTGCTGCACCACTTGACCAACATTGGATCAATATCAACCTACTCATGTCATTGTTGATCAGAATCTCCTTTGTCTCTGTCTGAAAAGCGACCGTCAAAGAAAGCAAGAAGTGGACCTCCACCACCTCGCACAGACCACCTCCAACCCGCATCCGCATCCGACTTTCGCGATTCTCGAACCAAGAGACGCATATTCGCAGCGCGTAACAACACACGCAACGAAACACGTCCTCTTCCCACAAACTGGCAGTGAAAAAAATCCCGACAATGGCCACCACACCAACACTCGACCAATTCCTGCAAGAAATAAACCGCATCACCAGCTCCAAAGACTCGGCCCAACTATCCCAATACCTGGTCATCGAGCCCCCCTTCGCAACATCCTACACGACAATAATCTCCGAACTGCGACGTGTGTTTCCCAAAGCCAATGGCAACAACAACAACAACGCCAACAGCAAAAATGACGATGCTTTGGAAAAGAAAATCGTCAGGGCGGTGAAGATTATCGATGGAGGAGATGATATGGAAGTTGCGGCGTGGACCGCCTTTGCGAGGTTTATGGTCTTGTATTTTGGATTCTTGAGGGATGTGGATGTGGGAAATTTGCTCGAGACTTATAATTTGTTGAGTGAGCTTTTGCAGTAAGTTTGGGTTTTTGACGGGAGGGTTGTTGGTGGGTTTCTGATGGGTGTTGGTATGCATGCCATACTCATGCTATCAAAAGGAACACCAGAGAAGAAGAAAAAAACATCAAAATCTTTCATGATCACATTTACTAATATCATAAAAAACAGAAAAGCAATCTCGGCACTCCAAAATCAAACCCACGGCATAATCATCCTGGACACCGTAGTTTCATACTCCCGCATGTTCGCCCGCCTCGCCATGGGCCTAGACAAACAACCCCAACTAATCGCCCACCTGACCACAAAATCAAACTCCTCAGCAGGAGGAGGCGGCGGCGGCGACGACTCTGGCCCCCGCGAAACCCTCCCCGAGCGTGCCGCAAACACAATCCGCTACGCCTTCGTCGCTTGCCTAAACGACCGCACCGGCTCCTCCTCCACCGGCCTCTCCCCCACCGGTGCACCCGAAAGCAAAAGACGCGGCATCTACACCCTCGCAAACCTCTGCTTGAAAATCCTCTTCGCGTGTAGGAAAACCAGAGGAGCTGCTCAGATTTTCGAAAACATCTTTGTGCAGAGTCCGCCGTTGAGTGCGTATCCTAAAGCCCAGAGGTGTATGTATTTGTATTATTTGGGCAGGTTTTTGTGGGCGAATGGGCATGCGTACAGGGCGCAAAAGGCGTTGCAGAAGGCGTTCGATGAGTGTCATTCGCAGTGTTTGCAGCAGAGGAGGTTGATCTTGATTTTCTTGATCGCGGCGAATATGGTGTGTGGAAGATTGCCCTCGCAGCAATTATTCAACAGACCAGAGGCGGCAGGCTTGAGAGAAAGATTTGGACCGCTGTGCAAGTACATCGCGCAGGGCAATATCGTGGGGTTCAGGAGGCATTTGGATATCGGGTCTGAACACTACGCTTGGTTCTCGGGTTACAGGTTGGATTTGCAGTTGAGGAACAGGTGTGAGGTTTTTGTTTGGCGGTCTATCTGTCGCAAAACCTTCATTCTATATGGTGACCCAGGAAACCCAGAGGCTCGCAAGGCTCCTACCTTCGACTTGAAGGACGTGCTTGCTATCTTCCGCTGGCAGGAAACCATCTATGCCACACCGCCTGGAGCCACTCAACCCGACAACTACATCGATCCGGACTTCGTCGGCATGGTGGACGAACCGACCGGAGAGGACGCTCTCGATCTCCCCGACATGAACAACATACACTCCAAGATGACAGCGCTCATCCATCAAGGCTTGCTCGGTGGCTACATATCGTTCTCGAGAGAGAAGTTTGCAATCCAGGGTGCAAAGCTCAAGGGAGCATTGGCAGCTGGTTTCCCGAATGCTTGGAAGACCATCGAAGCACGAGCCGACGCCGAGGTGCCTGGCTGGAAACTGGAAACCAGTGCACCAACACACGCAGGCGGAGTCGTAAGGCTGAGCGGAGTACGACCGGTGGGACTCTCTTAGGAAGAGGGTGACATTGATTTCGTCTCCCCAGTAGATGACAAGTTCGGCATTTCGGAAAAAGCAAAATCGACTTCTGCATAGCGTATTGGATGGAGTATCGGAAGGTCGTCTTTGGTAGAGTTGGTTGCATAGCATTTGATACCCTTTGTTTTTTGGTGTTGTTCAATCGAAATTGGTGTCAAGCTTGTGTCAGCGCCTCATGAACTCCCTCACATCCCAGACCAAGACTCGCTCGTCCCAAGCGCAGGTGGCGCACCATCCCTCTGCGCCGAAAAGGCACCAGTCAACGCCCATGGCAAACTCGGTGTGACGGTCCATACGTCCCATCTCACGAGCACCTTGTCCTGTGGGTATGTTCATCTTTGCGTGATCCACACCCATAGCGCTGCCATCAGTCCAGACGCGACATGACATGTCATAACTAGCGCTGAGCAAGACATCGCTCAAGTGTGGACTCCAACTAATCTTTCTGACAGCATATTCGTGGCCTGGCAAGACAGCCATGGGTCCACTTGGTTGTCTGATGTCGAAGGTACGAATCATACCATCAACACCAGCCGTTGCGACAATTGTATCTCTGTATTTGTTCCAATCGTGCGTCAAGCATTCGGTCGGTCCAACGCTGGTAGGTGTGAAGTTTGCGGGGGTCATCTTTGGAGGGGCGTGGATGGGTATGGCGAGGGTTAAGTGGTTCGAGGCACTTGCGGGAGTTCGTAAGTCCCATACTCGGAGGTGGGAGTCTCTGGCGACGGCGGTGATGATGTCGGGATTGTGAGGAGAGAACTGGGCCGAGTAGACACATGAGTGCACGGGTAGTGTGAGGAGCGACGTCTTGGACTCGGGATTCCAGATCTTGACAGTGCCATCCCAACTGCTGCTGAGGAAAGTTGTCTTGTGGCCCAGGTTCCAATGCACCGAGAAGACCTCTCGGCCATGTTCAGACCAACTGGCAATGGGAAACTCGCCGAGGTTGATGTCAAAGAGCTTGACACTGCCATCGCCACCAGCAGTCAAGAGTTGGTTCTCGTGTGATTCTGACCACGCTGTGTCGAAGAGGCAATCTTGGGTTTCGAAGAACTTCTCGCAGACGATGCCGCGGTCGGTGAGATTGAGGATGAAGAGGCGGCCATTGCCTACGAGCCCAAAATTGGCGCCGGCACTCACACAGAGCCTGCTATCGAAGAAGGGCGAGTACTTGACGGCATAAGGATTGAAGCCTGCTGTTCGGAATTCAAGCATGGCTGCTATTGGATGACGAGAGGGTGCAGAGGAGTACACTCGGGGTACTTATGTCGGTGCTGTTATCGCAAGTGCATCCCTTGACTGCAGTCCGACCGGCTTGCGAGAGGGAGGGTGGTGTCGGGTAGCAATTTCGATAGAGTGGTATTGTTGTTCACACCTTCAACACCCCACCTTCCTCCACACAGCCGTGAAGCAGCTCCAGCTCTGTTGCGTGACGCACCTTCCTGCACGCCTGCAAGCAATCTTTGGCCGAAGCCGAGGTCCCGGGCTTGCATGGAGCGTCCGTGCCCTTTCCACAATCCACTCTGCCGGGCTCTGTCCGACGCGTCGCCAACAGCACACCGTGTGTTGTTCGTGCGTCTCTTGGAACCAGATCGTGAACAACCATGCGGTTCGGAGCTTACCTGTCCCATGGATGCCTTCATATCGAAGAAGCGAAGACGCATCTCTGATGTGTCTTCTCCATCTGCCCGAACCGGTCAGCAACATGATCACGAGGAGACCACCGAGATGAAGCTTGCTCTGCTTGCATCCCTGCACCCCGATATTACCCAAGACACCTTACTTGAGGCCTTACTCTCTGAAGATGGCCAAGTAGATAAGGCTTCCGATAGCCTGGCAGATAGAGCCACGTCCCTGGGTCCTCCGAAGAGAGCCAAAACCGTGGGTCACCAATCCACTCTGGGCAATCTCATCCGCGCTGCCGGGGGTGAGCTTCTCTCGTCGAGACCTCTTACCAAGAAAGGCAAGACTCTTTTTCTTTACAGCCCCAAGGATATTGAAACACATACACCTTGTTCCATTATCCACAATTTCCTTCCTGCTCACGAAGCCAATGCCTTGCTTGAGGAGCTGCTGCATGAGTCAAAGACATTCGAAAAAGAGACGTTTCAGCTCTTTGATCGTACTGTTGAAAGCCCGCATACCATGTCTTTCTATGTCGACAGCTTTAAGGAAGTCGAAGAGCAGAAGACAACCTACGTCTACAATGGGAGTCAAATCAAAGACATTCGACAAACACCTTCAAAAATGCTGTCTGCCTCTGCAAAGGTGCGTCGAGCTGTCAATCTCGAAATACAGCGCCGCATAGCACAGTTTTATCCTGATGGTAAGAAATTGAGATATCAAGACCCCAAAGAATGGAAACCAAATACTGCCTTTGTAAATTGCTATGACGGGCCCAAGGAGAGTGTTGGTTATCACTCTGACCAGCTGACATACCTCGGGCCTCGCGCTGTCATTGGCAGTCTCTCTCTAGGAGTGGCTCGAGAATTTCGAGTTCGCAAGATTGTTCCAAGAGATGTCAATGACGAATCCGAGGATGCAGGTGCAGCAGACTCGCAAGGCCAAATATCGATCCACCTACCTCACAACTCTCTGCTTGTCATGCATGCCGAAATGCAAGAGACATGGAAACACTCGATTGCTCCAACCACCGCCATTGACCCACATCCTATTGCTGGCAACAAGCGAATCAACGTCACCTACAGATACTACAAACCAAACTTCCATCCGAAATTCACACCGAGATGCCACTGCAAGATACCTACAGTCCTCAGATGCGTACAAAAGAAGTCTGAAAACTTGGGCCGATACATGTGGATGTGTCATGCCAGCTACACACCTGGTCAAAAAGGCTGCACCTTCTTCAAATGGGCCGAGTTTGATGATGATGGCGAGCCTCCATGGAAGGACATCGTAGAGCAATCTACAGGTGTTTCAAAATGGCATGTTTGACTTGCCCGCAGCTTTGCAAAGAGAGAATCTATCGTCACATCACAGTTGACCAAGACGAAATCTTTGGCTTCCGCATCAACAATGCCGGCTTCTTTGCAAAATACGGCTATCCTTGGCTCTATCGACAGGAAGATGAGACTGATGATCGTCTGTTCGGCCTAATTGCGACAAACAACTTGCTCGATGTGAAAGAAGCTTTGATTGATATCGAGCCTTAGAAGGAAGCCATTCGATGCTCATACAAAAGGCTTTGCGTACCAAGTAGAAGTTTCTGATCTGGTCTAGTGACAAACAAGACCTTCGATGAATTGATCGTCATTGTGGTAGAGCGGGTATACAGATACAGCTCTCTGCACTGTGTAATCTCAGTCTTGCATCCCAGCACTCTTCATAGAGTCCCCCCTCCCATATTATCTGCCAGCTGGTATCATGGCTACTGATACATCAGACTCGATGCCTTCAGGCTTGGCTCCAGGCTCGGCCCTTCAAGACTTCGCTTCTCAAGATCCAGCGTCTGGCACAGCTCCTCAGGATTCAACTTTTCAGAGCTCGGCTCCCTCACAACCTACCCCGCCCCCTCCCTTCTATCCTCCTCTCTTCACCATCGGCGATGGAGATGTCGTCATATCGATCATGCCTGGACCCAAGAATGAGATTCGTGTCTCGAGCACTCTTCTTGGCGAAAAATCGCACGTCTTCTCTGCAATGCTCTCCTCAAGATGGGACTACAACAAACGCACAGTCGAAGAAGTGTGCTTAGCCGACGGCACGTCCAGTCAAGTCAGACGTTTTGAGCTTGTCTTCGACAACAATGGGTCCTATCTACTCGGCAAGGTATGTTCGTTATCCAGTGTACGAGATCCTCTATCAAAGACACTGACGAACTCAATAAGGCTACTTCGGAGAATGCTCATAGGAGAAGAGCTATTGCCCTAGCTACGATCGAAGGGGCTGTTTACAGATCCTTCATTGAGAAATCACTGTGCCACACCAAGTTCGGCCTCCCATACTCAGAAAGAGAGTGGAGGATGGTCATGGCCATCAACTACCTTTGCTTCGCCATGCTATTCGAACTACCTCTAGAGCACACATCCGTTCAGAGAAACATCCTTGATGCCAAGCAAATGATTGCAATGGGATACCCCGCAAGGGTTACGTGTATTATCTTTCGTATGCTTGAATGGATAGACTACTACGGAGTTCTGTATTCCATACGCCACAAGTTTGCACTCTTGATCATACACATGGTGCCCCAAAAGGAGATTAATGAGCACAAGCTCGCATACCTACGTCTCGCATCACTGCTCCGCGATACTGACCTCTTAGCACACCTGGCCGACAACGACTTGCTATTCGGTGAATCCCTGGTCTCGCAGTGCGGATCACTCGAAAATCGTTATGGAGTGAAACGCTGGCTTGTCGAATGTGAAAGAAGCCTATACGTTTTGCACGACATATCCTGGGACCTCCTTGGCACTCCCAGAAGATCTGAAGGCGTAGAGTTCTCCGCCCCTGCACCTCGTGCAGCATGTCAGCGCTGGTATGAGTGGATGCTGCAGCTTCGCGAAGAGGCATCGCTCCACCAGCTCTTCACCGACCTCACGTGGTCTCATGCTGGCGCGCTAGACCTGCCGCTCGCGCTCCTCCCACCCGCTAGAGCTGCTCTCTTCACTGGCTTCACTGGCTTCGGTATTGCGAACTCGCACCCGCAACTCACTCAAGTTGAAGTCAACAATGCCGAACAGCTGATGAGAACTTGGACTGCTTCTGCCCTTGATCAGATCCGGGCACACGTGGATAAGGCCCATGTCAGGGGTGGCTTTAGGCTCAACTACGACACCTTCTTCGAGCGTTCCAAATGTCCTTGGGACTATCGCCGGAATGAGAGTCCCACGGATATTGATGACATTCTTTTGAGTCAACTCGTGGTGAACAACAGTTTGAGTGATCTGATCGGTCATTGAAACAGTGCTTGACTCATCTCATGATCGTCGCTTCAATGATAGAAACCACTTTTTGTTATAAATCACATCTGTACACTCTCATTGGAGCTTGGGATTGAACAAAAAAGGATCGTGCATTTTCACCGTGACGTAGCTTGTGCTGCTTCCTCGTGAGAGCTTCAAAAGACAATAATGCAAATGCAAAGTGAATCTGAGTCTGGTGAACTTCCTTGAGCCTCTGAAATCCTTGGAGAACCCGTAGCTGCGCTTTCCCTGCAATTGAGATTTGCGATTCGAATTATCTGGTGAAATATGGAAGCGACGACAGTCTTGCAACTATCAAGATGCGATCTCGGGAACTGACATGCATGAAAGTAAGTGGCATGCAGTCGGCAATATCTCTATTGAAGCCAATGGTCCGCCCCGGACACCATAACCGCGAGCGGATATCTGCAGATATCGAACTTACACCGGTCTTTACTGCGGTTCTCTGTGATAGTATAGTCTCTGATGCTATTGTTACTATTGAGCTATTGTCGGCGACTCAAAAGTTTTGCCTTTAAAGTCTCCCTCCTTTCCTCTTTCCACCCTTCCTCCTTTCATCGTTCCTCTATCACCTACTATCCACAAAAAGTCTGACTTTCACTCTACCCTTTATACGCCTTCACACTACTACTGAACCTCCATCATACAAAGTCCGCCACACAATATCAACTGCCACTTTCTACGGGAAACCTTCCATAGTCTACCATCAGCCATGGCCGACGTAAAGTCAACACCATCACTTACGGCTCCGGCCTCTCAGCTATCTTACACTGCTGTCACCTCGCTATCAACGTCTGCGGCTCCAGCATCGCAATCGTCGTCTGCAGACTCTACCTCGCAAACACCATCGGCAGCTTCGGTCTCAACACACCCTCTTGTACACTTGAAGGATGCAGACGTTGAGATCTCAATCTTGCCAGGTGCTAAAAACGACTTCTTCCTTCCCAGCACCCTTCTCAAGAACGCATCACCCTATTTCGCTGGTCGACTCTCGGACAACTGGGTTGAAGGAACACTTACTGGCCGAACAACTACCTTGAGCGATGGCACCGTATGCCCCATCAAGCGGTTCGAACTAGTGTTTGACAAGGATGGGCCTATGATCGTGGCCAAAGTGAGTTTCTGGAAGTTCTCCCTATCGTTATGCAGAGAGAAGCTAATGTGTGCGAACAGCCCGTTACCAGATCTCCCTACTTGCGCAGAGCAGTCGCCATGAATACAATCAATAGCTCTGACTACTGGATCGAGTTCAGAAAGTCGTTGTGTCATGATCCGGTCCCACGCCTGGGGTGGGGGGTATATGAAAGCCCCGATGTTCAGTGGAGAACAGACATCGCAATCAATCTGTTTGGCTTTGCTATGCTCTGCAAACTGCCTTTGGATCACAAAGTCATCTTCGAACACATCCAACATGTCAAATTAAGGAGTCTCAAAGTTGGAATGACTTGCTTCATCCACCGCATGGTCCAATGGATTGAGTTCTACGGAGTTCTGGAGGCTGTACGCCGACAGTTCGGCGAGCTCATCAGATACATCGTTCCTGAAGCAGAAATTATCTTCTTTCCACTTGCATACCTGCGCCTTGCCGCATTGCTCCAAGACAAGGAGCTTTTGGCAATTCCACTTACTAGTAGCCGATTACTTTGTGGCCTAGAAAAGGTTATCAAGTACACCTCTATCGACCTCAGTCTAGGCTTCATGCCATGGCTCATCGCATATCAAAGGAGTGTCTCTGACCTCCACGCCTTGACTTGGGTGCTCATGAACGTTTCCGATATCCAAGGTGGCGTTTCAGCATCTGTCGAAGCACGTCGTACGGCAAAAGCATACTGGATCAGCACATTAGTGCTACAGAAGACATCACGCATCATTAACCACGATTTGGCCCTAACTCACACCAGCATGCTCAACTTGCCGCTTGCTATACTCTCCGACAGGAAAAACACTCTTATGGGAGGGTTCAGCTCAACCTCACCCACGCACATAACGGAGTCTGAAATCCTTGAGGTAGAAGCTTTGCTACTATCTTGGATGGCTTCGGCTCAAGAGATAGCCCATGGACACATGACCGTCACCAGTTCTCCTGACGAGAAGCTCGAGTTCAAGATCAATGCGAAGAAGATCCTCAAAGACTCGGGCTATCCGTGGGAGTTCCGTGACTTTGACAGCGAACCACGATACCATGACGATATTCTGCTCCAAGAACTGATACTCGGAAATCTTGAAGGCCATGGCGACAGCATATACTACGGAGAGCGTTTCGAGTACGGAGGAAGTCGTAGAGCTTGATTCTGATGGCTACAACCCGGTCTGGTCACCCATGGTTCGAAGTACTAAGGCCATGGTTTCTCGTCGTGAGAAAAGAGATTTGAAAATCGTTAGAGATACTGATCTCTTAAACGTTACTCGGTGCATATTGAACCGTTCGATTCGATACAGAGAGGATACTGCGTTGGCAATTATAGCCCAGGATGCAGAGTTAGACAGAGCTTCCTTATTTGACATTCGAATAAAATTGATTACAGTGTCCTTCCGATATTTTCCTTGATTTCTTGCCGTGAAAGTGCAGTAATTCAACCTTATGCAACTAACTATGTTTCATCCATCATCAATATCCAATTCCGTTACGTGATCTTACTGCATAAAGTATACATCTCCCCCTAGAGCCTGGAGAAACCACCTACACTGATTACAATGCAGTAAAGCAGTATTACTATCTGAAAAGTTTGTAAATCCAATCAAGAGCAAAAAGAAAAGACCAAGCATCGTATGGGGAACAAGACATTACATTCGTTCATTCCTCAACCATTTCTCTCATATAGAACTACCAATCACCCATTCTACCTATGGTACTGAACATTATTATCGCTAATCAACTTGATACCCTCCGCTCTCCAAGTATCAGGCTCGGCATGACTGGTTACATTAGCATCAAACACCATATTCTGCGGCTTATCAACACTATACACCGGCCAAGCGGGCAAACTCGAATTCACCCCCTTGTCAAACCCATTAGGATCCAAATCATGCACAAAAGTGACCCAACTCTTGCTCATGAAGTCAGAAAGTTCGGTGAAGGCGGAAGATTTGTTTGCAAAGGGAGGGATGGCGTAGCCTAAGCCTTGGAGGTTGTTGAACACAAAGGCCACTTCTTGGAAATGTGCGACGTAGTCGGAGCCGGTGGGGATGGCGTTGAAGCGGTAGGAGTAGGCGGATACGTTGTTGGCGGCCCAGGTTTCGCAGGTCTTGCGGCGGTTGGCGATGAAGACTTCGTCGCCGAAGTAGGCGGCTGAGGCGCGGTAGTAGGGGCCGTAGGCTGGGCCGAGGGAAGTGACGTTTTGGCCTAGTTCTTCGGTTGAGGGGATGAGGTAGTCTTGGGCGCCGGAAGTGTAGACGCGGAGTAAGTCATCGACGAGGTCGGGAGTCAGGCCCCATTGTGTGTTGCTGGTGGTGTTGAGGTAGACTTCGAGGTCGGCGGTGCTGTTGATTCCGTTGGGGCTGAATGAAACACCTTCGTCGCTGTTGGCGCCGTCGATGATGGGGACGTGGACGAAAGCTCCCTCTGCGAGTTGCTCGCTACCGTAGCGAGCGATGAAGTCGCCATCGAGAGCAGGGTTCCAGCGGCTGTTGAACTCGGTGGTGTTCAGGATGTTGTTGAGAACAAACAGTGGCAGGGCACGAAGACAATCCAGAGTGCTAGTGGCATTTCCACAACCGGCTGCCTTGGTGAGGGCGGCGTACTTGGGCTGGTATTCACTGTTACAATCATCAGTGATAGACTTTAGGGGTACCATGAAGTTTGGACTTACGCAGAGGTGTTCAGAGCACCATAGGCGATTGGGTTTCCAGACTCCATGATTGCACCACGGAAGAGCTTGTCGTCACGTCCGTTGAACGCAGTCAGCTGGAAACCAACGGAAGCAGCTCCGGCAGATTCACCCATGATCGTGACCTTCTTAGGATCAGCACCGAAAGCAGCACCGTTCTCTTGAAGCCAGTGCAAAGCTAGACGCTGGTCCTTGAGACCGATGTTGGTCTGACCAGCACCAGCAACTTCGTCGCCGTTGAGGAATCCGAAAGGTCCAAGTCTGTAGGCGATGCTGGCGGCCATGATCGGTTTACCAATCTTGACAGAGTTCTCGATCAGGAAGGTCAGGTTGTATCTACGATCAACTGCTCCACCCATATACTTCATCGTTGTTAGTACTCGTAAGATTGTCGATGGGAATAGTATATGGTGAAATACTTACAAATCCACCACCGTGGATCCAGACTACCATAGGTAGGCTCTGGTTCTCGTAGCCAGAAGGTCGGACGACATTAAGGTAGAGGCAGTCCTCGCTTTGTTGATAGCCAATCTGATCACCGCCGTAACCAATGCATTCCTGTTCTCCGTATTAGTACCGACTCAGGGTTCATGCATTGTATCAACATACAAAGGCATAGTTTGTCGCCGGAAGAGCACCAGTCCAGGAAAGATTCAGTGTCTCGGGGTTGGCGAAACGAAGTTGCTCAATCGGAGGCTGTGCGAAAGGGACACCAAGGAAGAAGTCCTGGTTGTATTGGCTGTTGTGTACACCATAGTATGAACCATTCTTCAGGTTGACGACAGGTGCTCCAACAGGTGCCCGGCGTAGTAGAGAAGGGGCGGCTGAGGCGACAGAGGCCACGAGCGGTAGCAAAGACCAAGAGGGATGCATATTAGACTCGAGTGGCAGGTCCTATGTCTTGCTTGGAGAAGTAACACAGATACCTACATTGAAGCGGCACTCTACTCTTATACTAAACCCATGTCCTCGCTGCGACTTACCGTTACATTGTACCGAAGGTAACTTTGACGGCCGGCAATGGGTGGCCGGCCCACAGCACACCGTGCAGCAAAATATTGCACCTGGAAGTCCGTGATGAGGCAGAGAATCTTGAATGATGGAGCGGGGCTTTGCTGGGGAAAGGTGGAGTGCAGAGGGTCCGTGGCAGACCACTATGCCCATTAAGGAAGGATATGTCCTGGGGAAACGTGGGCACTAGGCCAAGAACATGTTAAGATGTACAGCCATCTTAGCCGACAAGAACGCCGCCGCCCGCCTTTCGCAAAAGATGCATCCGAATTGTCATGACGTCGGACATGGTGAGTCAGCTGGAGATATTTGATGAAGATGGAGATGCGTGGAGACGCGGTGGGGATCGGATGAGGGTGCACTGCGGAGTTTGACCTCGATTCCATACAATCAGGCCTTCTACTGTGGACGCTAAGTTGAAGAGACCAAGCTGTGCCTAGCATACCCAGCATACATCTTGTCAGAGTTTCATCCGAACACGGCACTGTGACCGATGGATCTTGCGATCTGCCGATATACTCAGTGATCTGTTGTAGAAGAAGGTGCCGCGTGTTTGGATATATGACTACTCCTTATAGAGGCTCAGATTGCTGTTTACCGGGGTGACATCGTCTATGCGCATGTATGCCAGAACGATCAAAGCACTCGTTGGGCGTCTGCGTATATTGCTAACCAAAGTGCTGACAAGTCGAGCTCAAAAATATGTGAGGCACAATTGTTCATGGCAAATGCCTTTTTGTAGCATCCTTGACCTTCTGGTTGAGAGAAACATAGATCTCGGATGCTGTTTTTCGTTCTGAGGCTGCATCTGGCTTGACCCTCTTGATGTGTATGATGAAAAGATGTCTGAGATCGAGCATAATGTCCCACGGCAAGTGTGCCTTCATTGATAATGTACAAAGTTTATACAAACGTTTTTCCCGCGTCCAGTTTATCTTCCTGCAAGCATGTTGGCGATGGAGCTCCAGTACTTGGGAGTGACAGTCTTCTGAATCTCTTCGCTCGAGAGCCACTTGAACTCCTTGTCGCCGTAGGCGTTGGCTTTCAGGTCGGCCTGACCAGCCATGATACGTGCCTTCATGAAGAAGGTACGCTCGCCCACCTCCTCAACATTCTTCTCTGAGTTGGTAATGGTCTTCTTGAAGTTGCCGGAGTAGTGGCCGATGGGGGCATTTCCGACGACCCATGTGTTCATGTTGATGCCTCCTGCTTGGACGAGGATACGCTCGGCAGCCTAAACTTGTCAGAATGGAAACTTTCCTTCTTCGCTGTCGTCTTCAACTAACCTGGTCCAGACCCTCAGGGCCCTTGATTTGGTCCTCGGGAAATCTCCAAACACCATTCTTGTTCTTGACCAGCAAGTACAAGGTTCTGTCGAGCAATCTGTTCAAGCTGGTCTGATCACCCTTCTGGTCCTCCTCTGTAACTCTGGGCAATGGCCGTTGTACAACAATGTCCTGACTGGTTTCTCTCTTGACTCCTGCTTCGCCATCGGTTCCCTCAGCATCTCTAATCAGAGCCTCGACTTGCGACTCGGGCTCGCTCGTCTTGTCGTTGACGAGAACCTCGTCGTTCCAACCTGACTCGCTGTATGCGTTGTAGACACCGATGTCACGGGCAGGGGTCTGCCTCAACTTCATCTTGCGCTTCCATTCGCGGTCGCCTGGCGTTCCTTTCTTGTAGTAGAAGTAGCGGGTGAAGGGGAGTGCCAGACGTTCGTTCAATCGTTTTTGGTAGAGGAAGAAGGCTTTCTCGAAGGGGTGGAGAGCGCGTGTGAGAACGGGAGGTCGTGATAGTACTACGCCAGTGCGTAGTTGATATGCTGGTCGGACGGCAGGAGAGCCAGAAGCATCCTGAGATTGCGACGAAGTCGAGGCTGCAGGGGCGACAGCTGCTGCAGTGGATGCTGATCGGTATTGAGATATCCGCGAGAGGCAAGAGTTGCATACAGATTCTGGTGTCGTGCGTGCTAAGCTAGGTCAGAATAACTAATTCTCGCACAAGATCGATTGCGAAGACTCACTCGATGACACGACTAGCTGCCTGGCGGTTCTTTGGCCTGCGTTCATGGTGATATGCTGGCTTCAAGACTTGCGCTCCAAACCGCCATTCGACTTCGAGAAACATTTCGAGAGAGACGATTTGCCAAGTCTGGCTGACGGTCTGTGCTTTGCTTCTCTACAAAACTCCTCCGCTCCTTCCTCAACTTTCCTCTTTTCTTCTTCAGACGTCTCTTATCACCAATTGCCTCGATTCCTCAACCGCATATTGACCATTGTTAAGACGTCGAGATCGAAATCGCAGAACTTTTTTCGCTAGCCGTGGCTTTCAAACGAATCCGAGCCTCAGTTAGATAGCTTTCTGCCACAAATTCATCCGTATACGTGATTTTTTTTTTTACATGAATCCTCGATGTTCCAAATGGCACTTGGGTGGATTCCGGGTTACAATCCTGCTAGTGACTACTTCCACGAGCTCTCTGTGTCCTACATCTTACATTGCCGTGGTGTTTCGAGCCTGAACAACGCCTGAAGCACGCATACTATGTCGTCAAGTCGGATTCGCTGAGAGCGTGACCCTGACTCGTTCACCGCATGCATCATATCCCTGTTCTTCATCGAGATATGGACCGTGGGTTTGCACTGAGCAAACAGTTTCTGGATGGTCTGATTTTATCACAGGGTTAAAAGCAAGAAAAGGGTGGCCACCTGGGATTGATTGCTTGATATGCCGTAGCAACCGACCAAACACTGCACTTCTGTCCCGTGCTGGACAGATGCAACCGAAGAGCACAATCTGAACAACACCTTACGCAGAACTGCTCAAATATATATCGTTGAAGAAGACACCATACGCATGCTAATGAGGAAAACGGCGATTTGAGAAGCGCACAATATACACTCTATGAATACGAAAGTCACGACAGTAATGGTGATGGAGGAGCAGTCAAGGTCCGGACCGTGACAGAGGGTCCAAGCGGGCGGAGTGGCTTGATAGCCGAACTTACGACTGGGCGGTCATCGTCATGTGTGATTTCCAGGGACATGGACTTTGGCCAGAGCATCTGCATCTGCCATGCGCGCCTTCCCCTTCTTCTGCAATGCAACTTCCGCAATGTGCAGTCTGACCTGATCTCACAATATCCTTAGCCTTCTCATCCATGGACCAGCAGTAGCACACTGCATGCATGACATCTCCTTTGTCGCAGCCACTAGCATTGTTGTAATCCATTCACCACACGCTTCGAGTCGCAACCTTTACCACAACCCCCGGCAACATGGCCGAGTGAGTCTTTTACTCATGTTGGTAGCTCTGACTTTTTGCTGACAAGATGACTCAGGTATGGCTTCCTCATGGCTGGCGGGCTGGCCACGCCTACCTCGAGTCACGTCCGCTCTGCTACGCCCTCACCCAACACGACTAGATCAGATTCTCCGACTCTAACCAAGGCCAAATCTGCCTCGCATTTGTCTACCATGAAAACCTTCTCAACACCACCTCGAGGCCGCTCCAACTTCGACAACGATTCCGATTACCTCAACACCATTCCCGACCCACGAACGCCGAGTCCAAACCCACAGCGTACAAGTCCAGCAGAAGACTCGCAAGACCAGCATCCCGACCTTAGTAATGAAGTTGCTATGCTCAGCACAAAACTCATCAACGCAATCAATTATCAAACCAATTTGGATGATTCGTTACAACACACTCGTCATGAGCTGGAAGCTGCCAGACAGCGCATAGCTCAGCTGGAGCAAGAGACACAAAAACACAAGGACATGGTGTCGAGCGGTGCCCTCGTCAACAAGGCCGAGGTGGACTCTCTCAAACAAGAATTGACAGAATCGCAAAAGCAAAGAGATATCGCAGAGAAGGGCAGGAAGGAGATGGAAGTCGAGCTCGAGGGTCTGACTAGTGCTTTGTTCGAGGAAGCCAATACTGTAAGGAGCAAAGTTCCGGTCTGTGTGTCTTCGTTGCTGACTTTGACTAGATGGTGGCCGCTGCACGCAAAGATGCTGAAGCTGTCGAACGCAAAAACGCACAGCTAAGGGCACAACTCAACGACACAGAGCTTCTGTTGGCTTCGCAGCAAGAACAGCTCCATGATCTCAAAAACGTCATGGAGAAGATGACCGAGGACAGAGACCGAGATCGCGACGAGACAGACACCTTGCCTCGTTCTTCGACCGCGCCATCAACTCCTGGCGTAGACTCCTCCAAAATGAGCACCATGTTCGACTCCCTTCCCTTCTCACCGAATGCTACAAACTTCGGCGACATCCCTCCGGACCAGCCTCTCCGATTCTCGCATCTCATTACTCCGGTCATGCGTAACGATGTGGTTGCTCACGTTGAGTTTGCAGATTTGCTCAAGTCTGCCAGACCAGCCGCACACACCCATTCACGCAACTCGTCGAGCATTGGTTCAAGCGTATTTGTTGCTTCCGCCTCTTCATCTTCGCCTAACATTCCTGGCTCTTTCAGTTCCGGTGCGGCAGCATCACCACGCGAGACGTCGTTCCAAGCATCGGTACCACCGCTGAAAGATAGCAAATTCTACAAGAGATGTCTTGTCGAGGATGTGGAACCCACATTGCGTCTTGACCTAGCGCCAGGACTTTCATGGCTTGCTCGACGTACAGTGATTGGCGCCGTGACCGGAGGAACTCTGGTAGTGGAACCGTTCATACCGCAATCACGCTTTTATGCGAACGCTTACGCTTGCGCGCTATGTGGAGAATCTCGCCGAACAGACGCGCATGCTCGTCGCCATCGCTTCCGTACTAGTGAAGACGAGAATGCACAAAGATACCCCTTGTGTGAATTCTGCTTAGGTCGCGTCCGAGCGACAGGCGATTTCTTAGGATTTTTAAGAATGGTCCGCGACGGACTCTGGAGAGCAGCTACCGAAGAAGACATCAAGACTGCCTGGGAGGAGAGTGTGCGCTTGAGAGAGAAGATGTTCTGGGCCAGACTGGGAGGTGGTGTGGTTCCGGCAAATGCCAGAGAACCCAGCCCAACTGGAACACAGCGCCGTGGAGATGGAAGATCTTTGCGAAGAAACAGCACTGAATCGAGTATCCCGCGTTTCTCTAGAGACTCGGAATCGGTGGAAAGCGTCCACTCAAAGGCCTTGGAAGTGCCGAAGCTGAACGAGCCGCGACCTCCGAGCCGCAACAATAGCAGATCGACTCATAACCTTAGCGAAGGCAGCACGACTTCGCTTCAGACGTCGGAAAGTTCGGACACGAGAGATTTTGCAGATGCACAGAGCGAAGTGGATCATGCTCTACACACTCCGACCGGTCCAATCATCACCGAGGAGACGTCTGGTGAACCGGTCGAATTGCAGACGTCGAGGCTAGGACAAGAAGATGGAGCGAAAGATAGCACTGATATGCCTGCGGATACGACTCTACCTGCGCCAAATGTGCAAAAAGAAAACCAAGCTCCTACAACAGAGACGGAAAAGGAGAACCAAGCTCCCGCAGTAGACGTGGAAACGGAGAAAGAGAACCACGCACTCGAAGAAAAGTCGATGCAGCCAGAGATGCCTGGATCTTTCGATTAAGGCATTACACCCCCCTTTATTGTTTGTATACCCATGGGAAAAAGAAACAGCCCCCCTTGCATGACTTTGCATGAGACACAAGGAAACCACACGATACAAGTATATATGTAACAATCACTCGAGTCCATGTGGATTTGAACTTTGTGACCTTTTTCTCTCGCATCCTCTCTGATCTTCTTTCATGCTTCGATTGTGTTCGTGAAAAAGAAACGCCATCTGATGCATTTGATTTCTTGTTTGCTTGCTTGCTTGCTGGACTATGCGCATATACGGCAGTAAAACACCACATCACTCCCGCCTTCCATTCCCATTTCATGTAAAACAGTCATTTTTCCATCTGTATATGTGTACGATGATGCATCTAGTAAATCCCCTGTGTACGGTATTGAAACGTGTCATAACTGTCGTCCTCAAAGTCAGCAATTGTCTCCATCAACAGAGGTGTGGTATCAATCAAAGAAAGAGGGAAAGGGGAGGTAGACTCACAGCCTGGTATAATAACTTCCCGCGCTCTTGGCCACGAGCTCTTCAACCCAAACCCCAGCCTCCTCTTTACTCTTCTCCAACACAAATCTCGCCCGGAGCGCGGCGACAACATTAACCACACCGCCAGAATAACAAGGCATTCTGCTTTCCCTGCCCATCAACTCCACGAGCATGACTATTCTTTCGGCTTCTCTCCTCAAAGCTTGGAAAGCATCTTTCATGTGGAGTTTGAATTTCTTGAACGCAGGGGAGTCCAAGCCGCCGAGCACGTCGATGTATTCTTGGGTTAGTTTGAAGGGGGCGGCTTCGAAACCCATGCTGCCAGGTGTGTTTGAAAGCATGAAGCCGAAATCGATGTGCACGATGTGGCCGGTGTTGTCGATGAGAATGTTACCGTTGTGGCGGTCTTTGAGTTGTAGGATATAGCTTATCACACTATACGCCGCCAAACTCTTCGCAAAGTTGTCGACGGCGAAAGCATACGAGGAAGATTCTGGTGCACCAAAGGTTTTTACAAAGTGGTCGTAGAGGGTGGCCATGCGTTTCTTGGGGTTAGTGCCGGCGGAGATGGAAGAGAGGGTTAACGAGCGTTTGAGTGAGTGCAGGGATACGCCATTGGTGATAGTCTCGATGAGACCGGAGGATTCGCCTGTTACAAGGATGCGCATGTTTTTGACCCAGACGTCGCATTCGGCTTCGGCCCAGATTTTGGAGCAGACGGCGATGAGCTGGCATGCAAAAGCTTCTTGACGGAGATCTGCTCCGGTCTTGACGATCATGGAGATCAGGTCCCAGTTCTTCATCCAGCCATAAGGTGAAGATCGGCGGATGCGTTCTTTCTTCATCTCCCAGGCTTCACCAAAGGTCGCTGCTGAGGGATCGTCACGATCGCCTTTACGTTGGACACCTCCTGTTTTGATATCGTTCTCCATACGAGCGGCACCTGCGTTCGAGCTCAGGTTCGGGTCTGCGTCAGCAGCTTCCAAGGCGGGATCCTCAATGTCAGCTGGCTCAGCGTGCGAACCAATGTTGTTTGCATTGGCCATGATAGCGTCGAAGTTGGTCGCGTGTGCGGTGTCATCCGTATAGAAGCTTTGCTCTTCTAGACTTTGCATACTGGCGATGATTCTCGCTTTGATAGCAGCGACCTCAGCTTTCGGCCTTTTCGAACTGCTTAGGTCGAGTTGAGACAGCATTGATGAGGCAGCTCGCATGTGGGTCGCCAGAGCAGTGAAATCAGGTTGATCAGGTGCTTGCGAGCGGCCAGCCGCTCCAGCAAAAGGAGAAGGACTCACAGATCTGCTTAGTGGGAGATCTGAAGTTCTAGGGGTAGTAAGGCTTAATGATGACAAGGTACTTACACCGCTGGATAGTCGCGGGAGTTCCCTCAGCATAGCGGCGTTAGAAGGAGTGTGTGATCTAGAAATGTTACGAGGAGTCTCGCGTCCATCCAAATCTTGCAGCAATGCAGGACTAGCTAAATCCCCAGTTGCAGGTTCGAAAACGCTGTCATTTTCGACCGGGGCCTCATTCTGGTAGCGAGCAGATTCTCGTGAAGCATCAGTAATGTCGAACAGGCGACGCTTAGGTTTCCCTTTCTCGAGAATCAGCTTGGTGAGAAGCTGTGTGTTCTGGTCAGATTCTGGATCGAAATCGAAATCTTCACGCAAAACCTCGACCATCAAAAGATAGGGTACTCTTTCAGCACTGTTCAGACTAGTTGCCTCAGCAGGATTCAGCCTGACGATACGATGATGTTGGCTGCGACTCGCACTACCATCTGGAAGAGTGGCAGGACAAAGCAGGGGCACATCGACCTCAGCGGGTAGGTCTTGAGCGATCAGAGCCAGCTCAGCACGAAGAGCACTCAGTCTAGCAGGCTTCGGTACAGCAACTAAACGGTTTGAGATATCCTCAAGAGCGCTCAGAAATTGTGTTTGACTTCGGAAGTAGTTTGAGCGAAGCATGCGAACTTTCTGCGAACGCGACATGTTTGCCAGATTGATGGCCTTGCTACTAGCAGAATGACGGCGGACAGAGTGTTCAGTATGCTGGCGAGTGAGACGCGGCGGCTCAGGAGCAGGTTGTGAGGGAAGGTCGGGTAGAGATGATGTGCTCGCGAAAGCTTGGTTGTTTGTAGTTGCGCGCAGAGCCTCTGCCATGGCACGATTGCCAGGCGAATCTTTCGTAGGTGTCGGGGCATCCTTGACAAGCATTGACATGGGCCGTGATGGTCTTCTCGGGGTCGAGGCAGCTGGAGGAGTCGAGGCATCCTTGGACGATTGCGGCGGAGGACGGGGTCTTCGCGTACGGCCAGGGGCGCCTGACACGGTATGACTTCTAGACAAGCGTTGTGGTTGTACATTATCGGATATCGTCTCTTCAACAGGTCGCGGTCTCCTGGCTTGTGCGATGGCCAGCGGACCAGCATGACGTGGTAAGAATGGCGCGGCTATGGCACCGAGTACGAGACTCGACAACAGTGTGACTGGCAAGACATTCTCGGTAATCTTCTCTCGCCGGACGGGCTCGGATGAACCAAACACGATGCGTTGGACTCGGTTGTAGATGCGGCGGCATGTCTTGAATGGGTTCGAGGTGGGAGTTTGGGCGAGGTCTCGGAGGTATGTTTGTAGGAGCCAGAAGGTCTAGAAGAAGCATGAGTAAAGGTGAGCTCTGCGAGGAAGGAGCGTCGTACCAAAAGTGCGCCATTCACCGACTCTTCGCATAGGTCTAGGATGAACTCCTCGAGCGCCATGCTTTCGTTGTCCAGCGACATGACCAGGTGGCATAGCTGCGGCAAGAAGAACTCAATGTCTTCATAGCTGAATTGTCGCAGCCTTGAGCAGAGTACGTATTGGATTCCAACATGGTCGGCATATCGAGCCAGATAGGCCACAGTCAACGACGGGTCCCTGTTGAAGTGTTCCGACTCGATGAAGCGCTCGAGCAAGTTCCAACTCATCGAGACCAGATATATGCCCAACAATCACTGAGCATATTACTCCAGTTCCAGGTAAGCGAGTGTCGTACGACTATACGGAAGTTCCTTGTATACCGCAAGAAGACACCGAGGCTCTTTGGTCGCAACTTGCGTCTGCTTAGCTTGTGCTTCAGGGTCTCCATCTCGGATCCACCTTCTCCTGACTCCTCCGCCCGCCCATTTACTTTGCCTCACAACAACATCGTCACCGTCATGTACTTGTATTAACCGTTGTTGCTGTTGTACAATACGAATCTCCCTAATTTATCCTCAATTCATCAACCCCTATCTCCCTCCGCTACATCTCGACATTGTATGCCATGGCAAATGTATATGGCGGAGAAGACCGATACGAGTACGAGCAAAGCGACTTTCCCGAGTAGCATAACTACCCCTCTTCCTCGAAATCATTCCTGCAAGCTGCTCATGCCTATATTGTCCTGCAACGAGACATTGTCTTCTTTACCCGCTCTACCCCACCTCTGTGATTCATTCCATTACTGCCTCAATCCACGCCTGCATACAGATCGACCACGATGTTGATGATGGCAACGATGATCTCGGCTGCAATCAACACAATCACGATCCACTCCAAGTATTCGCCTGGTCAATTTGTTAGCTCGCTGCATCCTGACAAGCCATCTTTCATCACTTACCATGTGAATGTGTCAACTGGTCCTTCAACACGGCCAACAAATCCGCAATGACATCCAATCGCTCTGTCAATAGACTAACTCTCTGATCCATCTCCAGATAACTTCTGACTGCCTGGTAGACTGGGTCAAGTTGCGGTTCCGCCCACATGAGTTCCGGCGCATCCAGCACTGATCCCTGAAGATGGATGTTGATTCGTAAAATGAACAGTTCTCCGATCTGCATGTTGATCTCTTTGCGCGACATGTTGACTTTGCCTGTTAATGCGATCTGCGCCGGGATCTCCTTGTTGACATCGATAGTGTTGTCCACCAAGTCCTCGTATAGTGAAGTCTGTACCATAGATTAGTCTCTCGTCTTTGCTTGTAACTCCAAGTGTACCAACCTTTGTGCTCTGTGCCAAAGCGTGACTGATGGCCAGCTTTGTCATGTAGTTCTTCTTCTCTCTCAGACTGATAAAGTCATTGTAGATTCGAGCCTGGTATTCCTTGGTGTAGTAGAAGTTGAAGTTTTCTTGTTGGATGTCGTCCTTTGATAACTTCTCAGTCTCAAACTTGGCGAGCTCTTTCAAGAACTTTTGCTCGTGCTGGACCGACATGCCCCATATCACAACGACTCCGTATTCGAAGCAGAAGACCTCGGGAACGTGTACCGTCGTATCGAAGTCTGGTGTATCGTTGTGGGGCATGATGAGGGCCTCACTCGAAGTGGTTGCCTCGTGGTTATCCATGATGGCCGATTCTCCATTCTGAGCTTGCAGGTCCAACAAATCTTCCCGTCTCCTCTCAGCATTGCCTTCTACCTCGATCGCACTGTCGGAGAATCTACGTTGAGCAGTAGAATGTACGGCTTTGGCATCGTCTATTTGCGGATCGGATTTGGCGTTGTATTGGTATGGGGTGTATATGCATTCGTCGAATTGTTTTGGAGCGGCCTTCTTAAGTTTGCGTCCTTTGAGGAAGCGCAATAGATCTTCCATGCGATATGAGCTGGCGGTACAGTATGCCGTGACACGAGGCAGCTTGTCTCTATCATCCTTGCCCAGCCTTGCGGCATCGCGACGGGCAGTGGGATCCTTTATCCTGGTGAATTGCGAGTAGACATCGCGACCACTCTCTTCATCCGGACCTTCGTCGCCATGTTCCGGATTCGGTAGGAGTTTCAGCTTCTGTGCTGTTCTTGTTGTGCGTTGGGGGCCGATTTTGGGGAGAATGCTGGGCACTATTGACAATGGCGCGCCTTGACTATTTCTTCTGCGGAGTTTGCTGTTCAGAGCCGAGAGCATGGGCTGGCTGCCATCCCTCGGCGGAGTGTTCAAGGTAGCGACTGAGCCTGTGGAATGTGCGGATGCCGAAGGGAACATGGGTCTACGGGTGGGAGGGCTGCTCGTTGCAATGGTCGGATTGAAAGTGACGCTGCGAGCAGGTCGATCGGGCTTCTTGCCCAGGAGGGGAGTGAATTCGGCCGTCGTCGCCATGATGTGTATAGATCGTGTGTCGTTGTGGTGGAGCGTTCGGCGGTATACTCGAGTATAAAGACGCGCCTAGCTCTTCCGGTATGAAAGGTCGAAAATGACAAGAGCAAGCAAATCAAGGCACAATCGTCTTGGACGTCACACCAAGCACGCCGTTCCGTCGAGGCTGGGCGTCGCAACTTCCACTTCTTTTCTTTAAATCTGATGTCATCACAATGTGTCCGAGCTCTGTATATATTAATTCACCTTTATTCCCACCTTCACTGCATCATACTACCGTGTCAAAAATATGTTTCTTTGGTTGCGATAGATGTTTTACACATGTTCTATACAACTCTAGTATCTGCGTCCATATCGTCGTCTACCTTGCTATTTCCAAGCCTCAGCATTATCCCATGATGGAAGTACATATGGGATATTGTCAGGAGCATGTTCAGGAAGCTTATCGGTAATCAACTTCATCAATTCCCTGTAGATGATTTCGTATCCCTCAGGATTGAGATGAAGTCCGTCATGCAGCATGTTCGCAAGTGTCTGGTTCTGCTCAATCTCACTCGACCCGGGCAATGGATCGCCCTCTTTCCAACCGGCTTCCTTCATGAACGCGGCCCAGACGTCGAGTACAGGGAGACTGAACTCCTTACCAAGTTGACGGACTGCCTCTGCGTACTTGGCTGTGTTGGAGGCGGTGCGTCTCATGACGTTAATGCCATTGGTCTTGTCGTGCGCAAGTGCCTTTCTCTCCTCAATTGGAGGTGGAGTAAGCAGGATGAGCTGAGGCTTATGTGCCTGGAGCGTGGGATGGTTGATGATATTTGTCAAGTTGCTCTTGTACTGCTCGAGATCGACAGTTTGCGAGAATCCGGGAGTATTGGGAAGTCGAGCATCATTGGCTCCCAAGAAGATGGTCTGCAGATCTCATTGAGTTGTCATTCTCCTATCGGATGGCGAGAGACTGACCATTAAGCGGATACGACCCTGTTCAGGAGTTGGGAGGACACGAGGCAGGACACTCAAAGCCTGGGTGGTGTTGTACCCACTGATGGTATAATGTTAGGACGAGTAACATATCGAGCACCGAGCATAGCATACCTAAAGCCTCTGTTGATCACATCAAGACGACGGATGTACGCTGTGATCAATTAATGAGCTACATATAAGATATCTAACACAAGATGCATACCATCTTGAAGTGCTGGTGTCCAGGCGAAGCCCTTTGCTTGACTGGCAGACTGTTGCGTGATTGAATCACCAAACAAGACGAATTGCTCCATGCTGAATCTTGTCGAGGAAGGTTTAGAGACGAAACAAGCAGGGAGATACAAGACACTAGCGCGATGATATGGCAGTTGTGGAGAGAAGTGGAGTTACTATACGACGGGATTTGGCGGCTCATCGGATAAACAGACGGAGGAATTGCCTATCACTTATCTCGGTCCTTAGCACCGAATTGTTTCAGGCCATGATGGCGATGGGCTTGGCCTGTATACGAGTACAAAGGAGCCGCGTCTTAGACTGTATACTTCATGCGACGACGGTAGGGGCGAAGTCGGTAGAAAAGGAGAAGTAGCTGTGGACAGAAAACGACATGTAGGACGAGATATGGAGGTGAGGTCCAAGAGCTGTCCAGTCACACCGCTCAGAGGGCGCTTGGCACGGCAAGCGCAGGGTCTCGAAGCTTAATCATGAGGGTCATCTGCACATTTAGAACAGGCGTGCAGCAAGAAGCGTAGAAAAACATGAGCGGCTTTGACGATTGGCAGCTTGAGCGATAAGCCAGGAGTGCCCCTTGAGACGTCCTTCATGTCATGAGCCCCCCGGATCGAGTCCGAATGATCATCTGCCAAGGCTCCACTGGCCCATCGCGTCAGAGGGCACAGTGAATAGTCAGGTAGCGACTCGAGGATAGCCAGCGGTCAAGGGGCCACTGATTCTTACTCATCTCCGGACTGTGGCCTACATCTTGTCCAACACCCTCGAAGCTGCTGCATCTCGGCAGACATGGTGCTTCCTCGTACATATATGCACATGCAATAACTTTCTTAACCCCTAATGCCGAAATCTGTAGCCTCGCACTATGCGTACGACGCAGACGCCTTTGACGATGATGACACGCCGGGCACTCCCAGGAGTAGCAGAGGCAGCACCATCAGACGACATGGGAGACGCCTCGCATCCGACTGGGACTTGAAGAGCCGCCTTCCCTCACGACTAATTCTCGATGATCACGCTTCCTTGCTGGACAACCCTGATGGCCGACCCTCATACCGCGCTGTTGCATCAGCACCGCAATCGCCGAGAAAGACTTTCAAGAGACGGAATAGCGCCCCAGGCAGTGAACGACGTTCGGGGACCCTAGGTTCGCGAGTCGCAAAAGCTCTTGGAGCCGAAGCGAATATTGTCGAAGGTATGCATTGTGTCTCGTGAGCCCTGCTGCCTGACTCTCATTGACTTTGACCGCAGAGGACAACCAGCAAAAGTTATCCGATTCCATCTACTACGACGACCGCGTGTGGTACGATCAATACACGAGTACCGACTGGGTACAGGACAGCATAAGCGATGCCTTCCGCTTGAAAGAGTTGCGTAGCCGTAAAGGCTTCAGGGGCAGGGCCGAGGGCTTGTTCGATTCCGCCCAGGGCTGGATACTGGTCGCCCTGATTGGATGTGTCACTGCTGGAATCGCTTATATTGTCGACGTCTCGGAGTCTGTCATCTTCGATTTAAAGACGGGATACTGTTCTCATGCATGGTACTACGGAAAGAAAAGCTGCTGTGGAGGCGCCAGTACCTGCGACCAATGGTCTCGCTGGTCATTGCATCTTACCCCTGGCCCAGAGGAGAACGGATGGTTCGACTATGCGGCTTTCGTCTTCTGGGTGATATTCCTGTCTATAGCAGCTTGTCTGATCACCCTACAGACAAAGACTGTTATCAGCTCAGCCATTAGTCTATCTACACTCGACGAGAACCTCGCAGCGCAAGCCCCGGCTTCCGGCGAAGCGAGAAAAGACAGTATTGGAAGTCCCATGGGTCGCTTTGCCAAAGCCGCGCAACGGCCTCCGATGGTCTACTATCCTGCCGCAGGAAGTGGTGTGGCTGAGGTAAAAGTCATTCTCAGTGGTTTCATCATCCGCGGATATCTGGGTCTCCGAACTCTTATATTCAAGACTTTGGGATTGATCTTGAGTGTTGCTTCTGGTCTCTCACTTGGCAAAGAGGGTCCTTTTGTTCACATCGCCACCTGTGTTGGCAATGTAGCATGTCGTATGTTCGAAAAGTACCACGTTAATGACGCCAAGCGACGAGAGATTCTTAGTGCTAGTGCCGCAAGTGGCGTTGCTGTTGCATTTGGCTCTCCAATCGGTGGTGTTCTCTTCAGCTTGGAGGAAGTCAGCTACTACTTTCCTCCGAAGACATTGTTCAGAACTTTCTTCTGCTGTATCGTAAGTCCGCTTGTTTGTCCGGTTCTGGAAGAAAGGCTAATCCGCATATCCACAGGCTGCAGCGTTGTCTCTAAAGTTCCTTAATCCCTACGGAACTAACAAGATTGTCCTCTTCGAAGTTCGCTATTTGACAGATTGGCAGTTCTTCGAGATGATCATCTTTATACTTCTGGGCGTCCTCGGCGGTACTCTCGGAGCACTGTTCATCAAGGCTTCTCGTCTTTGGGCAACTACATTCAGGCGTATCCCTAGTATCAAGAAGTACCCGGTGCTCGAAGTTTTCATAGTCGCTCTGGTCACCGGACTCGTCAGCTTCTGGAACAGATACACGCGGATCCCTGTCTCAGAGCTGTTATTTGAGCTGGCAAGTCCTTGTAACAGCTTCAGCTCTTCCGGTTATGGTCTCTGTCCTACTGAGGAAAATATTCCCAATGTTATTGGATACCTCTGCATAGCATTCGTCATCAAGTCAGCACTAACAGTGGTGACCTTTGGTATCAAACTGCCAGCAGGTATATATGTGCCATCGATGGTGGTCGGTGGCCTTCTGGGACGTATTGTTGGTCACACAGTACAGTTTCTTACTTTGAAGTATCCACAACTTGAGATTTTCGGCAACTGCCCTGCGAATGGTAATCCGGAATCTTGCGTCGTGCCAGGCGTATACGCTCTTGTTGCAGCTGGAGCTACGATGACTGGTGTAACGAGACTTTCAGTCACTTTGGCAGTCATTCTATTCGAGCTGACCGGTTCTTTGGAGCACGTTCTTCCTTTCTCGATTGGTGTTCTGGTATCGAAATGGACAGCTGATGCGTTGGAGCCTCTGAGTATCTATGTGAGTTGTCTGTTGCTAATCACAAATCCGAATCCGGCTAACACAATCAACAGGATCTACTCACCGACATGAACTCCTACCCATACCTCGATGCCAAATCCCACCCACCTTTCCTCGGCGACCTTGGCGATATAACTCACGAACCCAACCCAAAGCGTCTCATCGACATTTCCTCATCTCCCTTTGTCCACTCCCATCAGCTTCGCGCCAAACTCGAATACATGCACATGGCCGGTGAATTAGATGGCGGTCTGCCAATTATCAAAAATGACGTTCTCGTCGGCATAATCCCCGGCCCCGATCTCGAATTCGCCCTCGACCATCTCAGCGAAGACGATGCAGAAAACGCAATGTGCTATCTCGGTCGCCCAGCCTCGCGTTACTCTGCGGATTCCGGCTCTCCATCCGAATCCATGAACATCCTCGAGTCATCTGATGCAGAAATCGGGCGTGGGTTGCGCGACGGCGAGTTGGACTTTTCCTCATGTGTGGATCCATCACCTATGGCTTTGGATATCAAGTCTCCGCTTGAATTAGTCTTTGAGTGTTTTTCGAAGCTCGGGTTGAGGTATATCTGTGTTTTGGATGGGGGTAAATTCAAGGGATTGGTGCATAAGAAGGCGTTTGTGCGTTATGTCAAGGAATTGGAGCATCAGGAGAGGAAGGGGGAGCATTGATCTTTGGATTTCAACACCTCGGTGTTTCGTTTTGATCTGATACACAAACGCAATGATGATGGAGGGAAGAGAAGTAGAAGAGGACGACTAGGCAACATGAATTAATGAATTTCGAGATTTTACTGTGAACATTTAAGATACGACCATGTGGCTACGCTAAACGTGAAACAACCAGACAAGCATAACCATACACACATTAGTTCATCAAACCCAACCCCCCATCTCACCAACACTCCTAATACCCCTGCTGCTTTCTCCATTTCCCCTCCCACCCAGGAAAATAAGGATACTCATCCAACGTCTGCACCTCCCACCCCTCTTCCACAACACCTTTTCTCACCTGCTCCCTCTCCATCTCCTCCAACGCAGGCACAACCACATGCTCCGTATGCCACGTCCCCTTATACTCCATCAATTCCCTCTTCCCTTCTCTGATCACTTTCAACAGCAAACCGGGTATATACGCTTCCTCCGCAAAGGAAGCCACCGGTGTGAATAGGCATTTGAAATTGAACACCACGGCGCCGGAGAGGGGCAGGCGGCGCAGGGTTTGCCAATCTACGCGCAGGTTTGTGCGGGAGAGAGGGAGAGAAGGGTCCTGGTGGTCTCGCAGGGAGAAGTGGGGGTGGGAGGGTGGCATGAAGAGGGGTTCGTCTATTTCCAAACCCCAGGAACCTCGTTGGATTGGTTTGTCTGTGGGGAGTTTGGCGAAGAATCTGTAATGCGTGACGTGACATATATCAGTACTGGTTTTGGATGTGTGCAAAGAAGTAGAGAAATAGCGGCAAAAGGGGAAAGGGGAGGAAAGAGATGGAACACACCTATCCATTGAAAATTCCATCTTTTCCTTGTAATCGGGAATAGGCTTGTGGATATCCTTGAGATCCATGCCGATTTTACTGGCGACACTCCAGCCCAGACTACTGCAAACAACACCGGCTCTGAAACTATAATATCCCGTCTCTGGATTCCTCAACACGATAGCAAAGTCTTCAGGGATATTGTTCAACAACACCTCTAAAGGATCCATCTCTTTGAGATTTGTAGTTGTGTTGAGGATGTTATTGTGGAAGAGGAGGTTGCGGGCATCGATGGAGAAGTGGGCAGGGTATCGAGAGCAGAGGAATTGCAAACACATTTCCATGAGTTCTTTACATGCGATTTCCGAACCGGGCAGGGATTGGAGAATTTCTGAGCCGTGGGCGGTGTAAAGGTCTTGTCGTTGTTTTATACGTGAGGTGTAGGTTTTGTCTAGTTCGAGCCACCAGTCTGGTTCGAGTTTTTTGTATGCTTTTGAGAGAGAAGATTGTATTAGATGGTGTGTGCTGGGATAGGAGCAGAGGATGGAGGGTTTGACTTACACATTGTTTGGTGGTAGGCCCAGCGGATTGGTCGGTAGGGTCTAGCCATGGCGGTGTTGATGTTGAAATCGGTACAAGGTTTGGGCAGAGGGACACCACTGAGGGTGGCGTAATCTGGGAAGTTGCCCAATGCCTTGATTTCTTCCACGGTGAAACCAGTAGGGGTAGAGTATTTCTTGTATTCGGGAGCCAGCACATTGCGATCGTCTGGGAGAGGCTTGTCGGTGTTGTGAGGTAGTTCACTCAAGCCCTTGCCAGACTTTCCTCCGACACTGAATCTACTATCTGCGATTTCCGCGAGGGCAGGACGTCTGCAGGGAGGAATTGTGTCTTTGTATTCTTGACCAGGAGGAAGGGTATATTTCTCGGATAGTTCTCGTTTTGCTGGAGATGGAGATCTTGGAGGAGTCCATGATGGTCTACGTTGGAAATTGAGACCGAATCTGCTGGAAAGCAAGGCCCTTTGCTTCTCGTTCAGGGCGAAATATGATACAGTGATGATCACGAAGGTGATGCCAAGTATAGACAAGTAGAGACTCGCCATGCTTGTGGCTGCCAAGGAATATGGGTTTGAGATAAGAGATATACAACAGCCACAGCAGCGGCTATGAGACTGAATTGATGTAGTCAAACAAGAAGCAGGTACTTAGGATACACACAACTCTTATATGCAGTCTGATAGGAAGATTGAAACGAGATAGGTTCCGAGAGCGGAGAGAGACGGCGTAGTATGGCAGGAGGTCACGACTGTACCGACTTACCTTGCCTGATTTAGGGCCATGTACGTAGCAAGCCATCTCCAGTATCTATTGGAGGAGCAGCTCCAGTGCAAGGAGATAAGTGAGATAAGTCAGTCGTATCAGCAGGACCATCTGGGAATGGAAGTCCCGGCCTTGGCATACACTTCGCGGGGTTGCGAACGGCGGCAGCGAGGGGTCCAATCCCAAGCTCTGGACTTTTCGTCTCGAGAAAGATAAGGAAGTCAAAAAACAACATTCGAATCATGGGTGACGCAGATCTTGAACAGGTAAGTAAACACGACCATGATTGTGAAGCCTTGTCAGGAACAGATGATCTGACTTGGCGGTCTAGATTAGGCGTGCGCGCCTGCAAGAGATGCAGCAGCAGCAGGGCCAGTCGGGCGGTCAGGGTGGTGAGCAAGAGCAGAAGCAGCAGCGCGAAGGTGAGAGAGTGACATATGCTAGCTTCATATGTTACAGTGACTGATGTTGTGTTGCTACAGCCGAAGCACGCGCAAGCATTCTGTCGCAAATCCTCGAACCCGATGCCGCAGACCGTCTAGGACGTATCCGCCTCGTCAAGCAATCGCGCGCCGAAGATGTCGAGAACAGACTCATCATGCTGGCACGCAGTGGTCAACTCAAACAAAAGATCAGCGAGGCCCAACTCAAGGACATTCTGGCCGCCATGTCAGAGCAGCAAGAGAAGAAGGAGACTGTCAAGGTCTCGAGAAGAAAGGGAGGCTGGGATGATGATGATCTTGAGGATCTGTTGAACAGCGATTGAGCAGCCAACGTATGCTTTTCCGATCTCCTTCGACCTTACGGCGCCCGCCTCCTCGACCATCCGGAATCACCCATCAACAAAACCGAACACGCGACCACGAACAAATCTGTCGATTGCATCCGCCTGCATAGTCATACATGCCATCCCATCGAGCCGATGCTCTACCAAAAGATACCATACTTGAATCGAACATAAGAGCCTTGATCCAGTAATTCAGATATTCAAAATCTTGCTCCAGCGATGCGCCCTCCTTCTTCAGTCCTGATTTTTTGTGACATCCGGAAGCAAGAGCTTGGTGAAACTGGCGAGATTCATGAACGAGGCGAACGTTTCGACGAGAAGTAGAAACAAGAGTAGCCATTTCGCAAAGAAGGTCAGTCTCACACTGTCTATTTATTCGCTCGCACTTCTGAACAAGTAATCATATTCATTTCACTCTTACGTCTATGTGAGTCCTTAATTATACGCTGGAATATCAATCAACACATGTTCAACAACATCACCAAACGGATCAAACCGTCAAACAAACAGCAAAGCATCTCTAGCACTAGGCATGCACACCTGGCCGACGATATGACTTAACAGAAGGCACGATAGTTCCAACACCAGTCTGCTTTTACACCATTGCCCGACAGCCAATCACCAAACCCTCTCAACCTACCAAAACTACCTCAAACAAACCCTCTTCCCACGCGGCATTTCCAACCATTATATACCAAAAAGTTCTATCCTCTTTCAACAAGCAAATAAGCCGTGGTAGTGTAGTGGTTCAACACACCCGTGGTCTTAACACGACGCAGTCATTCGTTGTTACTCAACGTCGTGTCAGTCTAGATCCGAGGAGGTCGCGGATGGTGCTTTTCTTTTTTGCAAAACTGCTGTGTCTGTTGTTCGTTTTTGTTCGTCGCGTATCCAGTGTCCTGGTTCTTCGGTCGTTTTTGTCTTTGCTCTAGTGATTACCCTCGCTCTTGCAACAATACTTCTGCCTACTTCTTATTCCTCTGTTGTCGCTCACTGTAATCTTCGAGAGAGTTTCTTGATTGTGCTCGATCGTAAGTCTTACTCTGATGGGCTTGTGTTCACACCGCCGTTTCAACCACGATGCTCTTTGCCATATCCCTACCTGAATATTGTTCCATCATGTGCTTTTATTAACACGACACTATGTGCTTCTACTAACATCGCCACTACTATTCGTATCCCACTACGTTCGTCGAAACTATATATACGACATCTGCAATCCACTGTAATATCTCCCTCATAAGTTACAAATATCCTCCTTAACATGACAACATGGTTGCGATAATCCCCCTTTGCAAAATAGCAATCTAGCTTCAGTGAAAGATTGGGTAATCCTATACAGTGGCTTTTCAGTTTCTTCCATGATAGTAATGTGAGAATATGTGAGATTCTGAACAGAGGTTATAGAAAGGAGGTATAGGCAGTTGGGCATTGAGAAGAAGAAGAAGATATCGAGTTTTCTGAGCAGACATGTAATGCCATGCTATGCCATGTTATGCCATTTCATTTGTTTACCAAAAATACCTACTTTCCCCTTTTCATCACGGGCGAGTGCGGGACTTTATACAAGACGTTTATTGAAGCTCTTCCGTGTAAAGAACTTCGAGAGCACTGAAAATAAACCACGAGGGAAGTTCGCCGACGACGAGTGGCCGAATGAGAAGGTCTGGCAGAGGTTGGCGGCGTCAACACATGATGTCACCCACAAGCAGCCGAGAAGCAAATGTGCAAAATAAGGTAGGCGAGGAGAGTAATAAGAGAGGTTATGAGAATTGAAAACCGAACAAAGTGCTGGGTTTGTGAAAGATAAAAAAGTGTCCGGAGGTGGTGATGTTTTAGTGATGGAAATAATGATAGAAAATAAAAAGACGAGGAATTACAAAAATTGGTTGTCCAGATCTTAGGGAGGCTTGGAAATGTTGCTCTCTCTCTGTTTCCTGAGGGGGGGAACATGGAAAGCGAAATCCTCCCCTAAAACGAACTCCTCCTCCAATGGCCATTTCCACTTTCTTTGGGACACTGGCCTCTCTGATACTGTTCGTGAACACTTTCTCCTGTCTCGTTACAGGTCGTTGTCTCTGCCAGCTTGATCTGGCAATCGCGTTCGCTTCGTGTATGATGTTCTTTCCAAAGCATAATCTTGAACGCGCGTCTTTCGTTTAGAAGTCGGGGAAGAGGCGGCCGTGTCTGGAGAAGAAGAGAGTCAGTTGGTGCATGTCAGATGCGAAATTAGGATAGACTTACTGGTCATCGCCCGTGTTTCCATATGCTTCAGTCTCTTCGGGGTACTTGTCGAACAGACTGGCATCACCTTGACCACCCTTGACTGGGGGCACGTAAGGAGCATCTATATCCTTCTTGGCCAGTCTCTCCCAGGTGACCTCGGCGAACCAAGGGTGTTGCATGACATCCTTGCTGCCACCGTGCAAGTTACCAAGACGCTTGGTCAGATCGTGGGTGATGAGCTTGCTCAAAAGATCTTGAGCATCGGGGTGGACGTATGGAGGGTACTTGACTCTTCCGCGAAGAATGTTCTCGTAAATCTTGAGGGGACTGCCCGAGTCCCAGAAAGGTGTGAAACCGCAAAGCATTTCGAAGATGAGGATACCGAGCGACCACCTGGAAAAGCTTGTTAGTAGGAAGAATGGAGAGAGGCGGAAAGAAGCAAACTCACCAATCAACAGACTTGTTGTAACCCTTGGATGAAACGACCTCGGGAGCCAGGTAATCTGGAGTACCACAAAGAGTCCAGGTAATGTCAGGAACCTCCTTTGCGAAACCGAAATCGGTAATTTTGAGATGACCGTGTCTGTCGAGCAGCAAGTTCTCGGGCTTCAAATCACGGTAGATGATGTCCATCGAGTGCAAGTAGTCGAGAGCGAGCGTGACCTCGGCGGCGTAGAACTTAGCAACGGGGTTGGGGAATCTCTGCGCATTGGATTAGCCTTGTCGCAATGAGTCGGAGATGCAGATATGGACTCACTTGAGACTTGCGCAGCAAACTGAAGAGCTCACCACCCTCGATAAAGTCCATGACCATGTACAGGTTCTTGGAGTCCTGGAAAGTTCCCCAGAGCGTGATCAAGAAAGGATGCTTGACCTTCTGCAGCATGCGACGCTCGTCGTTGGTGTGCTCGACTTGCTTCATCTTGACGACTTGTTGCTTTTTGAGCACCTTGACGGCGTAGAAGCGCTGGTTATGCTTGGACTGGACCAGGTGGACACGTCCGAAACTGCCGGTACCAAGAGTGCGGTTGATGGTAAAGTCACTGAGCGTGTACTTGCCCTTTGTCTCGCGCACAGGGTTGCTGGTGGTCTTGGGCTTCTCCATGGCACCATTGGCCATGTAGGCAGAGTCGTGAGGGTTGTTGGGCTGTGCTGATGGTTGATTGATGAGGTTTTGGATGCTAGCAGCATTCTGCTGCTGCGAGGGCTGTGGTTGGGCTGGCTGTTGTTGCTGGTAGGCTTGCTGCGGCTGCTGAATGTGCGGTTGGGCCTGCTGTTGCTGGATGGGGTATGATTGTTGATGCTGCATGGGCTCGGGCGACTTCTGTTGGTCTTGCTTGCTGTGGGCAGACTGAGGAGGAGTCAATTCGGTCGAGGGAAGCGACGACTGAGGTTGGGCTTGAGATTGCGCAGGGGCTGTCGACGCTGCAGCTGAAGCACCAGTGGGAGCCCTGGATAAAGCGGGGCTCTGCTCCTTTTGCTGGGCCTGGGAAGCGCTGGTGGTATGGCTGAGCTTGGTGGGTGAGGTGGGCGACGCAAAGGTGCCCTTGACGGGGGACGTGGGCGAGGAGAGGTCGTCCTTGGTCTTCTTCTTCTTAAGGAAGCCGAGCGATGGCATTGTGTGAGATGGTGCTGCAAGTAACTCCGCGCCCCGCAGCTGTGCTGGAACAAAGCGTCTGAGACTCCGTGTCCTAATTTACCACAATGACGATGCAAAAGCCCGCCAATGGAAGTAGATCGACGCGAGCTGACTCTGTCCGGTTCACTGCAAGATGGCGCTGCTGTAGGGATGGCGTTGCCGATTCTAGGTGATGGTGATGGATAACAAGGTGCTGAAGCTGGAGCTGAAGCTGTGCGAGAGAGGTGAAGGAAAGCGAGATCAACCACAGAGTTAACTCTCCAGCAAGGAACTAAAGAGCTAGTGGAGCCTCTCGACAACGTCCGTTATGCGCGCATCCAGACTCGCTCAAAGGCAATGAGATCGTTGGAATGCGGGTACCACCGACAGGCTTGTGCTCGTATCAGAGATGGTCAATATCACAACTGTTCACATGCGTTTGACTCGACGGGACTGCAGCTTCTACACCATTGACAAGTTCATCAAGCTGTCTCTGTGCATGAGCTTCTCTTTACCCTGTCCAATTCATCCCTGCCCCTACCCGCCCGGTCTCATGACGACGTGGCCGAAACCCTCCATGTTTCCTTCTTCCCTCCACCCCGCAGCAATCAATTCGGCCGTTCGCGGCAAAGCCCCCGATCCGTCTCCCATTTCGTCTCGAGCTTTGCAACTTCGTCGACTAGGGAACAGCGATGTCTCAAGCCCCGTCTGTCCGTTTCACGTCCGCACCATGAATTGCCCTGAATATCGATGCCACCTACTCGCATCCCAACACCCTGCCCACGGAATAGATGCTTCCAAAAAGAACGGGGTTGCTTCTGTAGTGAAAACGATCTGAAGAGGTCCAAGCTTGCCCTTGTATGGTACCATCTTCCACTGCCAATAATACCATTTGTTATTCTACCCGCGTTGCTTATTGGGGGATCTCTTGCCAACCGTTCAACTATTGAACTTGCCCATCCTATTCCATGATCCTACATGTTGAATCCCACCTGCTGCTTCCTTCCTGCCATTTTCGAGCCTGATTGCCTTTTGTCGATCGGCCGAGGCCAAGCTACCACACCGCGCTTATTCTCTGTTGCTCGAACTGCTCGTTCCTCTTTGCAGCAAATTTTATACAGTGCGTCAGTCAATGTGGACAACCTATAGATTCACGAGTACTCGTATGCAAATGAAATTGTCATCAAGGTTGGGGGCAGTACAAGGCCAATGTTCAAAAAGTCCTATGTACAGTGCTAGCTCTACCAAGGCTATTGTTCGGGAGGAACATTTCAAGGCCTTTTTTTGACGTGAACCGAAACGGGTCGTGCCGCTGTTGAGAGCATTGCTTGACTGCTCACTATAACCTTGTCAGCAAATTATTCTATATATTCCAAGTGCTCCAGGCATGCCACATCACCCTGACAGGGAAGGCTCAAACATGTGGAGGCTCAAGAGGAAGAAGGACATACATGACTGAGCGTAAGAAACTCCTTTCTGGAATGATCAAATGAGATGAAGTTTCCTTTCTATACGGGGCTATCATCAGCCAAATGTAATGGTATATCTGTAGTGGGCACGCCAAAAGCTGCAGAAGACTTACCTGTGACAAGCAAATGCTCAATCGCATCACCCTATCGATCCTCACCTTGTTGGTACTGGGAAGCTCAAGAAGACGAGTTTCCTCGTCGTGTCTCTCGTCAAACCAGCCAGACACGAAATAATCCCGACACCACACCAAGCCACGCAGCAGGTAGTCTTCAGGCAATGGCTTTATAGCACCTTGCAGGAAGCTACCTCTTCGACCTGCATCCGCGACTCGGTCGTCGATAGGTTCGGTCTTGATGAAACTGTTTAGGTAGGCGACAATCTTCGCCCAGGGAATGCAATTCAGTACTTTTGAAACCAGGGCGGCTGGTCCGACCGCCAGGTTGTAGATGCTCCAGAGAAAAGCCAAGATGGTATGTACATGAGGGAGGACGTTGAAGTCTTTTTCTCGCGATAGAACCAGTGCGAATGTGTTTGAAAGGAGGTAGAGGGAGTCATCCAGTGTAGAATCAGTTATTGGTTTTCCAGAATCCTGTTGCAGATGCGTCTCAGCCGAAGGATTCAAGTGTATATCGACTGTCTCCATTACCTGTATCCCTTTTCTGTAAGCTTTTGATAAATGACTCTCAAAGTAGCCATAGCCAAAACACGCTGAGATGTTAGTAACGGCAATAAAGACGCCATGATCTTTCCACTTGAGTGCGTGTCGACGAATTTGGGTGTCGAGTCGTAGGTGATATGTAGAGACAACGACAGATAGCTGCGGCCCACAAGCTCGAGGTCTTGAAGCCAGCATCTTCGCATGCAGACAAAGGAACATGGAATCTGTTCCGTCCACATACGGTATCACTGCCCGTTCGGGCTCGACCTTCGCCAGTGGTGATAACAACGAAGAAAGAGACTCCATGGCAGACTCGAACGGCTGAACACAGGTCAACGCTCGGCAATAAAAGTATGCTTGCTGGATCACGTTCGGTCGCGCCAGTATGCCCAAGTGATGGTACAGTCTGCCCACATCTGGATTCCTGTTTGACGTCTTTGAATACCAATCACGAGCCACACCGCCCCATATTTCACGATCTCTCATGTCTAACTCTTCAACCGCCATTCTGTACCGCGCCAAGTCTCCGAGGCATTCGATCCAAGTATCTTCGAATGACGGGACTGTTTCATAGAGCAAAGCGACCGTTTGATAAGCCACATAGATGAACTGAAGCATGTAGTCAAGCGAATCTGGCAGACGACGTCGTAGTACTTCCAGAAACGAATGGATACCATGCTTCCACATTCGGGCCGGCATAGAATATTTGGTGGCCAGCTTTCGTAGAGAGGAACTGGTTGAGGGGTGCTGCGACGCAGACAAAAAGTCATGGTGTTCGTATAGCAAAGTTCGATGCACTGCAAATAGTGCCTGCCATTGATCAAAAGAAAGGTTCCCACTCGCGCTCACATGTGCATTATCCAGCTTGATGCATTTCGCTTCGACCATAACTAATGCAGCATAGATACCTTTGATTTCTGCTGTGAACTCATCTTGTGACATCAGCTCTGTTTGTCGCAGAGATCTTGGCCCATTCAGTCCTGGTATTGACTGCGCAATGTCGAGATATAGTTTCTCCGTCGGACGACGACGGCGCTTCAAGCCTTCTGAGAATGCCTCGGGTGTTCGCGGATCTTCTGGATCTGGGAACAACGAACGTCCTTCCGTAGCGCTGATTGATGCGTCGCTTGTCAATGGGGGGCACGCTGCGCAGTCTTCGGGAGTACTCTTCTTGATGTATTTCGATGCTGCGCAAGAAGTCCTGATGGCGATCCCTCTGTCGTAGTCTTTCGGATACATTGCCGTCACATCCGCAGCGCAAACTTCTGAGCTTGCCGGACGCTTTTTCGAGACTGGGCTCACCCTGGGTTCTGGATATATGGCCATTCTTTCATCAGCGTGTTCCAAGGATAATCGACCAAGTCTTGTGGCTGCCGTCGTATCGGATGGCGCTACTCGGAATGATGGAACTCGATTTTTTGTAGTCTTCATTTCGGCAGGAACTTTCAATGTTGGACCGGGTTTTGTGCGCTTCTGTGGTGACTTGCGGCCTGGGTCTTGGGCCCTAGAGCAAGTCAATCGAGTTGTTTCGAATTTTGGTCAAAGGAAGTGACCTAGGGATGTCTGCTCTAGTCAAGCTCTGGGTTGGATGGGGCTTGACACATACGGATAGACTGATAAGGCATTGCTGTGGAAGGGAGAAGTTATCCATTCTCCATCTTTGTTGTACGCTTTTCCCAAATCATGGTTCGACTTCGGATGCGCTCGCAGCGCACGAAGGCCATCATAGAATTCGGTTTCCTCCCCAATCTCGATACAACAAGAATCAAAAGAAGGCTTCAGTGGATCGCGGATTCGGCAGTGTAAGGATTCATGTGGATCCGCCATCACTATTAATTGATAGGAGATGTAGTTGCGACGTGGGAGACAGGCTTCTTAGCAGACTCATTCGTTTGTCCTGCTTCGGGTATTCCAATACAATATCGAAAAAGGCTGATTTCATGGAGATACAATTGTCAGTAATTACGCGGTAGACAGAGTGCGACGTGGCATCGACAAAGTTTCCACGTCACACAAGGTTGACCTGACACACGGGCACTCACCACGAACGGCCGAGAGAAAACTGGCGATAAAGACAGTGAGCAACCCAACAAGTACATGGTAGAGCAGGGGAATTGTTTATATGTGTGCACCGATAGTTGACTGGTCAACTCTTAATTTTCCAGGCAGACACACTAAGACGTATACCTGGTGGCTTGCTAAGGCAGGCAGACATGGTTTCCGAAGGATCGTCAAATCACGCCAAGATGCACCCAAGTGGGCGGGGTCTATGATATTCTATTGGACTTTTAAGAGGACTTTCTTCTGCACCGGTGTCATGTTCCTGAGTCGAAACGAAATATAACCTGCCGCATCTGCCTGTGCGACGTGAGATTGTTTCTTCAGCTCGTCTTTATCGCTTTTTAAGAACAATATCCAGAGGATGGAAGATCATGCGCATATTGTGCTGCCTTACGCCAGCCGGTCATGCAGCTTGTCACTGGTCACGCCATGGTTTACTTAGTCAAGTTTCAAGAGCGGCTACGAGCAAGTTGTGGTCCGAAGGGACGTTGGTAGTAATGGAGTGATCACAATGCATACATCTCTGGCAAAGCACGGTCTCACCGCACCTCTTTTTGATGACGAGGCAGCGTGACCATCCATTCCCGGCTCAAAGCCAGTCAAGTTTTCATGTCCGGTCAAACCTGTAGCATGTTACAGATCAGCCTTGATGAATAGCCTAACAATAATAAGTAAGCCGCAAGATCGTGGACAGTCTGCTGTGCAGCCGGGATCTTGTTTGCGCACAAGCACATCTGGAGCTCCGCGTCTGTGCATGTACTGCCATGGTAGTGCAGTTTTCAGGTGATCTGCTAACACATGCGTGAATATGGTTGCACACGAGGTGTCGCGATCCATCATGCACCTCGTCCGTCTCGGACGTCTTCGCAACGAGTCACGAAGTTCAATGTCGCCCTTCCCTGCAATATGTGTTGGAACCAACAAAATATGAGGATATCCGACAAGTAACCTTCAAGTAGAGCCAATATTTGCTCAAGAGACATGTACCGACTACCTGATGGTCTAAGGCGGACTTTCTTGCCTTCACCTGCGACGAATCGTTTCCTGGATTGTCCAGCTCATCATGTGAAGGCAACCTCTTCGAAGACGATCGCACGAGTTCTCATCACGGCAGCCAGTTCCAGAACGAAGTGCTGTAAGATGACTATGTTCGTCACGATATGGCTTAAAGTGGCTTCTCTGCTTTCGGGATCATCGCTGTCTCCCGTAGAAGCATGGGCCGTCGATCCTGCTGCGTACTCGAAAATCGTATTCTGCTCTGAGAGTTGGCCAGGATTGAAACGGATCTTGCTTCTCAGCATTTGCGCTTCGTTCTGTTTGGACTCGGTTTGTACTGAGAGATTCTCAGCTGGCCAACTCTCTTCCTCTGGCGACTCCGGCGGTGGTGGTCTGAATATTGAGTTCTGTTGCTGGCTCTGGGGTGTTTGCGGCAGAGAGCTAGATCTTGGCGGCACGCTTGACAAGGACCCATCTCTCACTCTCGCAGGCGTCGAAGAGCGGGAGATACTCGACTCACGCGATGATGATCTCTGCCTTGATCCTGCTTGAAGACGCTGTATCTGGCGGTTTTCGGTTGGCCGTGATGATTCGGTCGACTGCCTGTTGGAATTGGTAGAAACTTTGGGCTGAGTGATTAACTCCTCCCGACCAGCTCCACCCAATATTGCGACACGTTTCTCAATCAGATAATCAAGGATTGGGATATCAAGACGTATGCGATCGACCTGACCTCTCAAGGCGCGCAAAGTCGATGGCAATAGTGGGTCTTGAGAATCTTCTCGTCGCTGCTGCGAGTACACGGACTGCAGCAGACGGAGACTTGCAGCTTCTTCTTCGTCTAGACTAGAGTTGTCGAACGTCGGCTCAAGTGATGTCGCTTGATATTCTGTCCTCGGCACAGCAAGCCAACCATCAAGACCTACGTTCGCACATGACGCTAGACAAATTGTTGCTTCGGTCAAGGCGAGGTTGACGTCTACACTATTGGTCAAAAATGATCCAAAAAGATCGGTAATGGACTGGATGTAAGGATCGTGAGACAAGACCTTCAGGACGGAGGACTCTTCGGCAGTTTTGTTCGCCAATTGAACTTCGAGAGGAACAGTGATATCCTGGCAGGCGGTGGCATACGCCTCATCAACGTCAGGTTCACCACCAAGGTCAGTGGCGATCTGAACCAGACTATCAGTCTCGATGCAAAGCGCTTGAATGGTCCTCTTTTCTTCTGCTGATAGTGTTGACTTCGATTGCAGAAGAGTAGGTGTGGTATATTTGCGGTGCCTTGTCAGCATAACAGACGAAAGCTTCATAGCAGCAACGACTGTCTGAGGATTCTGGGATCTGACACCGTTGAGTATGAGATCGACCAGACTGAACAACGTAGGCTCAAATTTGTCTTCGTCACTTTGAGACTGAGATAACAACATAAGAGTGCTCTGCCGTCTTTGAACAGTAGGTGAAATAGGCTCCGACTGGGCATCGGGAATAGCCAAGAGATATTGTAGTATTAATCGCGTCAGATCGGGATGATCTAGAGATTCGAAGATGTTTGTGAGATAAGTGAGGACAGCGACGGAGGAACCCCCGTCAGTGTCAGAAGACTGAAGTAGTGACGGATATAAGAGTTGTTGCAGGAAGAGGATACGGAAATGGTCGAGAAGAGTAGTCTTGACACTTTCTGATTTGCAGTGTTCAAGAACATCTTGCCAGAAGGCAAGGTGTGATAGGAAGGTGGCCATGTGTGTAGCGTGTGTCGGTGAGAAGATGCTTTCAGTTGATGAAGTTTGCTGAGCGTCGACGTAGTCGGATAGAGCAAGAATCATGGGAAGACGATCATGGTCGTGTAGTATCGATAGCTCACGGCTCAGTTGACTGTACAGAGCTCCAAGACCCGAGGCCATCAGGGTTGGTAGGTCGCTTTCGATGATCCAATCTTCCAGGTGGGTAGAGTTGGAGACAGCCTCGAAGATGTAGAGCAGGCCAGTGCGAGCAAAGTCGCCGATGCGGCCATCATGGTGTATACGGTCGATCAAGAGGTAGCACAAGGGGAAGTCGTCCTTCTGAGTCTGGCCAGCGAAGTGATTGGGGTCTTTCTGCGAATCGTCCTTGGTGGCCGAGGACGAGAACCAGACTCCCAGGATGTTCGGTTGAATGCGAATTTTTGCAACGACAGCAAACAGTAGTTCGACTACATCGGCCTCGATGTCTTCTCCGTAGACGCCTGAGTTTGAGTCGATGACACGCAGAGCGAAGCGCATGAAGGATCTGGCAAAGGCGGCCGAGGCGACAAAATCTTCATCCTCGCTCTCGAGCAAGAGACTGAATAGAAGAGTGGCTTGGCGTACAAGGCGTTCATCGCGAGAAGTCGAAGCGGCACGAGCGACGACGCTGTAGACTTGGGAGGATTGGGCGAAGTTGAGACAGAGGTGTGGAGCAGGAGTACGGCTCTCTTCGGCGAGTAATGCGGTGATCTTCTGGAGGGAGGAATAGAGCTGGTCAAGGGCAGGGCCATGCGAGGCCAGGGTCTGCGGACGGCCACATAGTTGTAGGATGGGATTGTATGCTCGGCGGAATCGTTGTAGGCGTTGTTGCGGACTGGACGCTGCTGCCGTGGCAGACTTGTTGTTGCTCACGCCGCCAATGAGTTTCGTCCACTACGCAAGAGCAGTCAGCAAGCTGGGAGCAGAAGAGGACGCCAGGCCGAGTCACTCACAAAGTCCATGGAAAGTCTGCTGAAGGCCAGGTCGACTTTCTTCTTGACTGCTCGTGACTGCTTCAGCTTGTTTGCATGTGAATCTGAAACGGCAGGGGCTCGAAAGCACAAGCCATTTCCCCGGATTCCGATCATCGCTGACGTACATGGGAAAGTCTCCCGAGGTCGGTCAATCGCATACCGATATCATTGCATGTGCCTTTTTGCCTCATCTTGTACATCCTACCTTTCTTTTGTCATTTTGCTTATCTCTGTTCTGTTCCCACTATCCTAATCCGATACCCTTCCTTCCGTCATGGGCACTCTGACGGCTGAGATGCCTCGCTTGCCCGAGTATTGCGACCATAAACTACCTACCTCATGTCGCCTATCTTCGATCCCGAACTGCTGTGCTTGCGCTGATGAGCGACCACACCAATCGAGTTATTCGACCTATGTTGATGGTGTTGGTTTCGTCGCCAGGGGTGCCCGCTGGGATCGCTACTGTTGGCCTTGTTCCCGTACCAACATCTGTTCCATCCTGCCCAAGCTCGTTGCTAATTCCATACAGAGTTCTGGAGAAATCGTGTCGCTCAAACCAACCTACTCCCTACGCAAACTCGTATCCCTCAAACACCCGATCAGTCAGACTTCCTAGAACGATGGTACCAATTCTACAATGGCTATCGTACAGTCTCTCGCCATGATGGTGCCGAAGAAAGAGTTGCTGTCTTGGGCGAACGCTTCAGAGATGTCTCTCCCGGTCGTCTTCCGAGAACTTTGGACGAGCTAAGAGCTGGTCAAGAACGGAGTAATGCAGACCAGCCCCAGCACGTCGAAGTCATAAGAGATGAAGCTCCAGAAGGCCCTTCCCTTGAAGCTGTTCTCGATCAAATGTTTGACGAGGCTGAAGATGAACGACAGGAGGCCGACCAAGATCCTCCAGCTCTCATACACGCGCCATTTACATTCAACTCAAATGACAGCAGCAACAACTCTCGCGTCGCAGGCCAGGTTATGAGGCCTGCCCCATCAAGAAATCCTGAGTATCAGGCTCGTAGGATCTCAGCTCTCAGAAGAGAATTGCTTCGTATGAGAAATGGCATTGAGCGTGTCATATCTGGTCTTAGAGATCTAGGCGAGCCTATTCCCGATCATTCAGAGACCACTACTCGTCTCTCTGACCTGGGCAGGTCCCTCGAAGTCATGTCGGTCAGAGACTCGCCTTTATCAAGACAGTCAGATTCTGCGAGTCGTGAGTCACGCGCTCCTATAGTAGGCTCTGTCTATCGCGACCCTGAACTGGTCAACGTTCAACAACGCTTCGATGAAGCTCAGAGACAGCTCGAGCAAGCTCAGAGGTTCCGCGATCAATCAGCGATAGAATTCCAGCTCGCCCAGGCCAGCCAAACAGAGACGTCGGAGATCTTAGAGGGTGCAGAACTCGACCTGACTGAGCATAGAGAGCAGGTCTCTCAACTTCGTCGTGAACAGCGCACTGCTGAAAACTACGCTCGCCTTTTTGGTTCGCGTGAAGATATGGAAATTCAAGGTGCCGACTACGAAAGTCCTATCGGTGGATTGTTCACGCGAGCCTGGGACCGTTTCAGAGCTGCCGAGGGGGTCAGACAAGATGAGAGAACTTTGCGACAAGTCTTGGAGCATGAACAAATGGCCACCGGACCCTTGTTTTCCGGCAATAATGCAGAACCGAATCCAGCTGCCGACACTGTCTACGAGGACCGCTTGAACGAATATTACACTATGCTCAGGCAGCAAGACTGGACACAAAACAATAGAGAGAACACAGCAAACATTGGCACTGCTACTGACTCGAACCTTCCAAATGTTGAGGCGTCGGTCTCAGAGGCAGCGACACAGGCAACAGAGCCTTCGACCGAACCCGAATCATCCCAACAGATGACCACACTGGAAAGACTTTTGCGCAATACTCCTGAGCCGCAAAGAAGCTCTATCATCGCTCGAATGGAGCAGAATGGAACGGCTGCGGCTCTCCAACACCCTGACACTGGCAATACCATCGACGTCTGGCGACGTTTGCGCGATGCTTACGCACCCTTCCGTGGGAACTGGGAAGAAGAAAGTGAATCATCGGAAGATGAGGATCGTGCTAGAGGAGGCCTTGACGCGGAAGACTCTGGTCGCCCTGAGCCCAAGGAAGATGTTGACATGACACTCAAATTGGACTGCAAGATCTGCTACACCCAAACTGCCGATACTGCTTGTCTACCTTGTGGTCACTTGGTAATGTGTCAATGGTGCAGTGCACAGCATTCGCCTGTCATGCAACACGACAGAACAAGGCCACGTAAACCCGCCAACTGCCCAGTCTGTCGTAAGAAGATCAAGCAGAAGGTGCGCATTTACCGAGCGTGATCCACTCACACAGCAGACAAGACATTATTGACTAGGTACACGACATGTCGATAGCACGCTATAGAAACACAGCCGCTGTCTGGTCATCAATTTCAATGCCACTGTTGGCCAGTTCCTGATCGGTAACGTCCCCACATCCGTGCAACCTGTTGGTTCGAGATAGGCTTGCGTGTTCCATCGAGGCCAACGGTGAGTAATTGTCTCCACCACACGATCATTCATGCTTCATCAGCTGGTGGAGTAACAAGAACATGCTTCAGGGGCGCTCGGCAATGTTTCCTTCTAGACCGAGGAAGCTTTGTGGAACAGAATGTGGCGCACTCGGCCGAGCTCCCTTCCTCGTAAATTCTGGAAGGTAAAGCGACTTTAGCCGGGAGAATAGTCAGACTTAGAAAGACTTAAAAGAGAAGACAAGAGCCCTCGAGCACTTGAGAACATCTTGATCTGTTTGGACTACATTGACAACAGCAACACAATGGCAAACGAAAAGACGCTTCTTTCTGAGCTTCGTGCTCGTAGTGCAGTTGATTGTGATACCCTGGACGTGGAAGGTATGGCTTATATACATATTCAGACACCTAATGGTATTGCCATACTCACTTTATAACATCATAGTCGCCAAAGCATTGGGTCCCTTTGTTGATTGTACATCCAACCAGGTGAGAAAACATCAAGTGCGTCGACCAAAAGATTTCGATGCTGACATGAACATCACCAGGCCATCGTCAACGTCGAGTTGCAGAAACCCGAGAATGAGTCCCTCATCATCGAGTCAATTCAATTGGCCAAGCAGATGTACGAGCAGTATGCCTCTGAAGCAACTTTCGAGCAATTCGCCACAGAAGTCATGGTAAGCCAATCCGTATCAACAATATCAACACCTCAAATCTAACCACCTCCAAAAGGCAGTCAAACTCTCGGCAAGAATGATCCCTTACCTCGTCGGCCGCGCTCTCATCCAAACAAATCCCTACAATGCCTACTCCACCGCCGCCACAATCGCAAACGCCAAACGCATCATTGCAATTTACAAGACTGTGCTGCCATCTCACCCAAGCAACCGCGTCTGCATCAAAATCCCAAGCACTTGGGAAGGCATTGCCGCATGCAAAGTACTTGAGAGCGATGGTATCGTCACTCTAGCCACCACACTCTTCAGCTTAGAACAAGCAGCAGCAGCAGCACAAGCCAGATGCTCCTACATTGCCCCCTACGTCAACGAATTACCCGTACATTTCGTCCCTGGGTAAGCAACCCCCTCACTCCCAATTTCCTCCTCAATAGATGGTGTAGTACTAATCTGCAGCAAACAGCCACATCGACAACGACAAAGGCTTCACCCTAACCCGGTCCTGCCAAAACCTCTACACCCGCATCAACGCCAAAACCCTCGTCATGCCCGCCTCGTTGATTTCTGTGGCTGAATGTTTGCAAGTAAGCGGTGCCCACCACATCACCATTTCACCTCCTCTTCTTGCCGCTTTGGCCGCCACTCCCGCCCCTGCTATTTCTTCTACCTCCGCACCATTGTTTTTCGATCAAGTGGTACAAGGTGAGGAAGTGGGAGATGAGAAATTGATGGAAGATGTGAGGGAAGAGGCAAAATATAGGATCAGGTATACTAGACTCAAAGGTGGGCAAGCGGAGAAGAAATTGGTGGATGCGATTAATATTTTTGCGGATTGTCAGGATGGTAGTGAGGAGTTGGTGAAGAGATATTCTAAGTAGAGAGGTGTGTGGGATTTGGTAGATATGTATATTGTACATCTCGATGGAGGCTGCCTCTCATGTTGCGAGACTCGTGCATTGGTTACACACGGAGAGATCAGAAAAGGCAGACGCTGATGAAAACATTGACTCGCGTGGGAAGGTGTAGACAAGGAATACGGACAGAACAGAAGCAGTGCGACTCCCTTGCCTGTTTGTAGATATGAACCAGAGCAACAAGAGATAGAAGAATATACAGCCATACACTCATAAACCATTCAACATACCTCACCTCCTACCTCACTCTCAAATTACCCAACCACCTCCCACCCCCTCTACCAACCCACCCAGCCACAGCAACAGCAACCACCCCCACCACCCCCACAACACCCAAAACCTCATTACTAACAATCGACTCCTCCCTAACCCTCCCAATCCTACTCTCCCCCTTCCCCTCCAAACCCCCCTTCCCATCCCCCTCAATCTCATAGTCCTTCCAATCCACTTTCCCAGTAATCTCTTGATACTCCACAACATTTCCACTCCAATTATTAGTAATCAAACCATCATCGTTTTTATACCAGCTCTGACAATTCGGGTCCGCGAAAGCGGAGTTTTGGAGTTCGCGTTGGAGTCGGGAGTTGAATTCGATCATGCGGGAGGATTTGGGTCGGATGGAGAGGGAGAGGTTTTGTTTTCTGGCGGAGAGGATGGGGCAGATCAGGGCGTTGATGTAGCGGGATTGGGCTTCTATCATGAGGATTATGGAGTTGTGGCCGAGGTTTGTGTTTGGGCCGTAGAGCATGCCGACTACGACGACACACGCCACAGAGTCAGTAGATGCTAAACGAAGAAGGAGAGAGGAAGGGGGAGAAAAACATAAGAACAAAACTCACAATTCGGCATGTCCTCCACGGTGATCCCATAAAGAGCCTTTGCACCTCCTTTCCAAACTTCAGAGAGAGGTTTTCCGGCATACCCTCTCATCTCAATCGGATGCATGAAATCCAAAGTTTCGAACCCCGTGGCGCAAATGATGAGGTCGTAATCATCAACTCTTCCACCCTCAACTTCAATTCCAGAATTTGTGATGGCGGAGATCTTATCGGTGATCAGGTGAACATGCTCCTTTGTCAAAGTTGGATAATAATCATCACTGATGATAATCCTCTTACACCCTGGATTGTAATTCGGCTGCAACTTCTTCTTCATTTCTTCATCGTCGCCGAAAGCAGTATCCAGCATTTGTTTGTTCAGGGTGCGGATCTCTTCTGCTCCTAGCGAGGAAGTATCGCCGATGATGTGGTAGAAGGATTCGCGGAAATCCATCTGGAGGGCGCGTTTTCGCCACATCAAGGGAGGAACGTACTTGAAGAGACTTCTTGTCCAAGAGTGGATGGGAGCGTCCAGGCGGGGGGTCAGCCAGTTGGGTGTGCGTTGGTAGATTCCTACTTTTGCTGCGACTTTTGCGATTTCTGGGATTATTTGGACGGCGGTGGCGCCTGTAGTTGTTGTCATTGGATGAAGATCTATGGGCTGATGGATTTGATAAACATACCATTGCCGATGATAGCGATCTTCTTGTCTTTCAAGTCGTAACTCCAATCCCAACGAGCAGAATGCATAAGCTTGCCTTGGAACTCCTTCAACCCAGGAATCTGTGGCCACTTGGGTACATTCAATTGTCCCACAGCACTAACCAGGAAATCGGCACTGATATCGTACTCAGGGTTAAACTCAGCATCTTTACTCCCCTTCGCAGTGCTGACATGTATCCTCCATTTCTTTGCTTCGTCATCCCAAGTTGCATTTTCTACAGTGGTGTTGAAGCGAACGTGTTGGTATAGATTATACTCCTGTGCCACGCCCATCAGGTAGGATAGAATTTCCTCTTGACCCGGGTATTCGCGTGTCCAGGCATGATTTTGGGCGAATGAGTAGGAGTAGAGTTGGGACCAGACGTCACAGCAAGCGCCGGGGTATTTGTTGTCGTGCCAGGTACCGCCTACGCCGCTGCTCTTTTCGAGGATGATGAAGTTTTTGCAGTTGTTTTGTTTGACGAGATCGATAGCTGTGCACATGCCTGACGGTGCAAGTCAATGAATGATATTCTACAAGGGTAACGATGATTTGGATTTACCTGATATGCCTGCACCTATGATGACTACTGCTGCATTGGCATGGTCTTTGTTTCCAATTGGTACTTCGGGCCAGGGTTTATCTCCAATCATGATTTCTTGAGTACGAACGAGTTGAAGTCAAGCTCTGTTGTTTGTGATAGAAAGCAGAGTTCAATGTGAAAAGGGTAAGAGGCATCGTCGAATATGTATCGCGTGCCTCTTCGGATGTCAAACACCCGGACAGTGACATCTCTTCGGACAACCTGCCTTCATTGCAGCAACGATGTATTCACGAACGGATCGTCAACCTTGGTTTCCTATGGTGGTGTCAAAGAAGGTGGGGGTGAGGGTCTGAAGAAGAGGGGTTTGCCTTGTGTCCCCTCATTGAAGCCTCGGTCTTCCGAAAATGGTAATTTGTGATCTTGAATCTGGTGACACGACAACGAGAGATGTAGATTTACATTAGAAGTTTGTAATATGCATACATGAGATCCGGCATTCGAGTCATATTGTACTGACATTGTTTGTCGGAAGAGTTGCTGTTTCCAGATACCTGGCCAGGTCTGCCAAGAAACGACGTGGAAGATACCTACTCCCCTCGTACACGACATCTTCTCAAGCCTTCGACTTTAGTTTCTCAAGGAAATTTTCAGGAGCAGGTCCATCAATCATGAGAGGAAGCTCTGGATCGCCCTTCTCGCGATAACTCGTGTATCCAGGTCTTTGGACAACTCGTTTGAGGTAGGCCAAGATGTTGCTGTATGCGCTGAGGTCGATGCTGTAAAAGGTACGCATTGTGGTAAGAGTAAAGACAGTCATGATGTCGGCAGCAGTGAACTCCTCGCCTGCTAGCCACTCTTTGGTGCGACCTAGACGACCGTCGACATGACGAAGGTAAAGATCCAGCTTTCCTTGATAGCGCTTTGCAGTGTCGTTGGATGAGTCGACACCGGCAGCTTTAATGCTCATGAGACGACTCACAGCTGGCTGTAAGGTTCCGTTGGAGAAGGCGAACCAGTAGACATAGTCGGCGTAGTTTGGATGCGATGGTGGCAGAGCCAGGCGACCATCTCCGTGCTTGTGGATGATGTACTCGACACAAGCGGCGGATTCTCCCATGGTCAGGTCGCCATCTTGGATGACGGGAGCGGAACCAATCTCATAGAGATCTTTGATAGCCTGAGGAGAGAACATAGGATCACGGTTGTGTAGCTTCAAGTCGTATTTGATCTCCAGCTCCTCGCAAAGCCAGACGATTCTCTCGGATTGAGAGACGCGCATATGATGTACGGTAAGCATGGTAATCGATTTGATGTAGGTTGAGTTGTAGTTGTGAGAAAGATGAAAGATGAATCATGAAAATAATGGATGGTAAATTGTCGACTATATACTCTAGACCTATTCGTACTCTGACGTCGTGGACGGTATCGGTAGAAAGTTTAGATGGTGGATGATGTCGCATGGGGATTGCTGATTTGGAAGGAAGGTGCCAAGGCGGGGGTTTGGACAGCGAGCGACAGCGGATGACAGGGAGGGAAGGAAGCTTGAACCATCACCATCATCTCTGTACTTTACATCCATCGAACCTGTCCAATATACAACATCACGATGGCCCCTCCAGGTGCGCATCCCATGGACAACCCAAGAGCGAACAACTGCTGACGACAGACACGACAGAAGCAACCCAGAACACGCCGCTCGCGCCATCAGTAGAAAAGGCCTACTATCGCAAGTGCATAGAGCTTAAGCGCCGATTGAATGATGTCGAAGAAGCCAACGATGCTGCACGCCAGCGCAAGGCTCGTCTGAACAGAGCCATCATGAAGATGCGCCTCGAACGCGCCTTTCTTCTCGAACAACTAGCAAAGCGCCTACAAAACACTCCCGATGGTACCGACAAGATCAAAATCGACAAGATTACAAACAGCGACTAGATGTCGAGAATGCTAGGCTGGATATGCGGCCTGGAAAACACAGGCACAGATGCTATCGACGACCCCGTGAAGAGAGAAGACTTCCTTGAACCCTACATCGAACAAGAACCCGACTATGAATTGTACCCGAATAATGGCAATTTCCCCACTGCCACGGTCTTGCCCGACGGAACTCCCGTACGCCGTCTTCCTTGGGAACGGTCATTTTGACAACACACGCATCCTACCGCTGTGATCCGACAAAGCTACGAAAGCTTCACATTTGGCATTTCACCACTCTACCATCTTATACCCATGACATGGCCGTCATCCATCCATCATTCTATGGACATGGCTCTGTGGCTTGCCTTCGGTCTGATCGCACATGCTATACACCGCACGAACCACCGCTGGAACCAACCTCTACACGATAATAAAGAGCGCCTGTTCGAGTCGTACGCGCCTTCAATCATACCCAACTTTATGTGATCCTTGGCGTCATTCGAAGATACTCTTCGAGCTGGAGATCGTGGTGGTGTACAAGGCTTCAAAAAGACGGAGCTGTCTTCGAGCCATTGGAGTGGAGATTATCCTACTTCCCTGTTATCATGGATCTATTGTTATACTCGCTTTTCCACTTGTTGTTCATCTTCCGCAACGAGCCATTCTTTTTCGTCGGCTTCCCAAAGGCCCTGCCCTCGTATGCCTTTATGGAACCTTATGAAGCCAAGATGAGGAACACCCTTCGGTAGCAACTTAGTACTCTTAATGTCAAGTCCAGCCGCATCGGCTATCATTTCCGCTTGCTCCTTGAGTTCTTGCAAAGATTCCGTGCTCTCTATCACCTCCAGTACTTCTTTGTGTTCACTCCATGGCTTCGCTCTCAGCAGGTATTCAGCATTGGTCTTGCTAACACTCTTTGCTTCCGATATTTGCAAACACGCCGTCAACACTTGGGTCAATGCGGCTTGGGCCAAATCCGGACTGAACAGATGATTTGGAATCTCGTCTGGCTCCGTGCTGTGGCCGAAGGGATCGAGCGGTTTCAATAGCGTTCCCTTTGGATATATGAATTTTTGCAGGTACAGTTGAGCCAATGTGATATTCGCCGGCAAGTAATGATTCAAAGAAGCCAATTTCAACCATTGACACGCGAGGTCAATCCGCATCTGGGGCGTTTTTCCAAAAGCATCATGATGGTGTATATTGGTTTTTGGGTCCAAGTTGATGTTAGGAGAATTGAAGTAATGCGCAAAGCCGTGCAACTTTTCCATGAAAGATTTTGGAGGTTGGGGCGGTTCGGCGGGGGAGTTTGCGTAGTATTCTCCCAATTCGTGGGCGGCTTTGTAGTGGCCAGAGGCGGCGGCTTTTGTCATGTTGTAGAGCCAGTCGTGGGTATGTTGGTTCCCGGCCATGTGGAAATCGAGGCGGGCGAGGTTGAAGTAGGCCATCGGGTCATCCTTTTCTAGTCCGCACATGTATGCTTTCATGGCTTTGACGTTTTCTCCTCGTGTGACGTGGAGGTAGGCTAGTTCGATCCAGGGGGATGAGAGTTCGTCCTGAAGTTCGGAGTATTTGTCTTGTGTGGTTGATGGCTTCGGATTCATGATGATCTTGAGAGCGCGGTTGTAGAGCGCCGTGGCTTGTTCGATGAGGCCGTTGTGTCGGGCTACGTTTGCTTCCATGACTATAGCGCGTACGTTGCCTGCTTTTGATATGTTGCGTAGGCGTTCCAGTGCGAACATGGCGGTTCGAGTTCTCAAGACGCCTGGTTTCGTCGCATCCTGTCGCAAGCAAGATGCTACGACTTGAATTGTAGCTTCGGCATGTCCGCTCTCAGAGCAGAGTGTGACCAACTCTCTGCCTGTCCTTGCACACCCTGCTCCTCCCTTGTTGCGTAGGATGAATGAAAGGCCGTAGACGTCGTCTAATGACATGTGGTGAATGTCCTCCATGAGCTTGATGGTCGTTTTGAACTCTGCGGCTGCATCGCCATTGTTGCTCCTCGTGTTGACACGCCAGCTGAGCAGGAATCTTGCTTGGTTGTCGGTCATGAGCATGGCAGCCTCCTTGGTGGTCTCGGCATACAGGGCCCTCTCGTCAGCTGTCAGAGGCGTCACTTTTCTGTTTCGCTTCTCTTGTTCGGCGATAAAATCGTCTCTTTTCTGCCGCGCCATGTCCATCTCGACCTTCTCTTGGTGTGTCAATACGACCGGTTGCTTGCGTCTGTCCTTGTATCGTAGATTCGGCGCCATTCGTCCTCGGGACGCAGCTCGTTTTTGGCTGCTGAAAGCGATGAGTTCGGCGGCCAGTATGCGCCGCGGCGCTCGCGTGCCTGTGGCGAGTAGCGATTGCAAAGACATGATGGATATGTGTGGACTCGGCCACTGAAGTAGTTGATTGACACCAGTAGGTTCCTTGAAGCGAGAAAGTGTATTCTTGGTCAGAATTGATGATGGTTCGGAAGCTCGAATGTCTTGTGACGTCCTTATGAAAGGGTTCAAACGGGCATCTCCAACTTTTATAAATTTTATGCACAATCTAAACAACGATCAGATCAATTTACAGATTTTTCCTCGCTATGACTTTGATAGACAGTGTCGTGCTCGATGAGTGCGGAAATAACTATACCGTCCTTGGCTACCGGTATTGAGCCCGTTACTCGCGACAATCAAGGTCTCCTCGAGCAAATGGACATGCACGATTCGCGGACACAGCAGCAGCCCGTGCAAGCAGTGGCATCCCAACCAAGCCTCCATCAAAGACATGATAGCGCGGTCTCTCGAAACATTCCCCAGGAGAGTCGGATCCTCCACCGAAATCACCCCAACGAACCCACAGCATCTGGTGTTCTACCAGATCCACAGTCACAACATCCTCATGGCGGTTCCATGGCCCAGAGACATGATCAATCCACCAGGAGACCAGACACTGCTTCATCTCGGACTTTCCATTCTCTCTCGACCAAAGAAGCTCATATTGCCCACTCTGCGGCCAAACATGTCGAGATTGCGTTTGTGACCAGATTGGACGCCAAGTTCGAACATTCTCACGAGTCGTCCCTTAAAATGATATCTCAGCTGCACAATGTCGACATCAAAGTCAACAAGATGCAGACGAAAGTCAACAGTGTGGATGTAAAGGTTGACAACGCGACTTTGGACCTCCAAAGTATGAACTCGAAACTGGATAGTCTTGTGAATGTTCTTACAGGACTGCCGTCATTGATGACCACAATGCTTGCCAATTTGCCCAAAAGCGATAGCTCTTCATGTTCTTGCAACAATCGCCGTTCGGATCCACTGGCCAGGACGGAAACACCGTCGAACAGCTCGAGGCAAGAGCTTGTCCGTCAGCCTGAGCGACAGCTTGTCTTGAGCGATGACGAACAGGTTTCTGCTCAAAGTGCTTCTGAAGGCACATTCAGACAACGCCTCGACTTTATCGCTAAGAAAATGGCCAATTCGGACATGACACACAGTGCTCTTCTCAGCATGCTCGCTGAAGAGCTCAGATCCATCAAAGGAGAGCTTGCGAAGCAGGATCTCAAGCAGTTTCGTAAAGAAATAAGACAGGATCTCGACGGGTTCCGCGATGAAGTCGAGGATAACCTCAAGGAAATCCGTGCAAAGATGGTGGAGAATCAGCACACCAATCAAAATCTTCAGGGGGGAATTATGCAGGGGCTCGATGCGTTACGCAGAGAAGCGAAGAAACACCTTGAAGTGACTCAAGGACTAAAGCAGGATCTTGAAACTGTCGGCAAGGGGTTAAAACAAGATCTCAAGATCTTCCGGACAGAGATGCAGAAGGAAATCAAGACCTCCAGGACAGCAATAAAACAGGACGTCGGCAATGCCTTTGGGCAAGTGAAGCAAGATCTTGAATCTTTCCGCCAAGGGATGGAAGAGAAGCTCGAATGGTCCCAAGAAGACTTGAACGAACTTGCAAAATCTCAAAAAGGGATCAGGCAAGGTCTAGAGCTTTTTCGTGGAGAGGCGAAGCAGCACCTCGATGCATCACAGAAAGTTATGAGGCAGGACCTCAAATCTGTTGGAGTAACACTGAAGCAAGATGCCCAGACGCTCAATGGAAAACTGGAGCAGGACCTTCAGGCGTTCCGAAGAGCGTACGACCAAAATATATCTGACACTGATTGTCGGCTTGATCGATGCTTGGTGAACCAAGTTAATACGGACAGTGCGCTTAGACGTTCAGAAGAATGGTTCAAGAAGCAAATCTCCAGTAGCGGCGAAGTTCTGAAGAGCTTGGAAGAAACCGTAATCACAAGGTTGCTCCCGAAGGATGAAAAGGTTCGGGATGCGGAGGAAACCTCACCTGCGTTCTGCTTTTCGAAGCTTGTCAGAGTCGACCAGAAACCACAGACTCCCATCTCTGGATCCCATCTCAAAGCTGGAAACGAATTGGCCGCCCTCGAACAAGTCCAGAGCACACAGATCTTTGATCTGGACGGACAATCCAAAGGAGACACTGTGAAATCTCGTTCTCTCACTGCTGGTACGATTCAGACGTACATGGAGATGTTACCTCTGGTCTTCTCTGATATGCGTGATATGAAGAAAGATGTCTCTGGACTGACGCGCCATATCAGTCACATAAGACAGGTGCAGGAGAATCCTGCATCGCGTCAGGGGGCTCGAGCACGATGCTCAACTGTACCAGTACATCAGGCTCCCAACATGGAGCTTAGCTGCACGCCCCTCAGTCCAGAGTCAATTTATACCATGGAGATGCTCCCTGAACCACCTCGGAAAGACGAGGGGAACGGTTCCTGGCCGGCAGCAACTCATGAGCTACTTTATGCCAACGGAACCGTAGGGAATAAAGACGAAAACCAATCGATACACCCAGACCTAAGGCTTGTAGGTGCATACAGTAAGGGGACGGGTCTAGAAGCGACGAATGTCGAAGACGCAGAACACGTAAATACGACTGAGACGATGGTGTGCGCAAAGACATACGAAGGCGCTTTTGGTGAAGTGCGTTCGCCTTTGGGAGGAGAGAAGACAAGAACTAAGCAAAAGATTACGACCTCCTGCAAAACACCGGACCCAGGATTCAAGTACAAACTCAGAGATGCTAATCAAGCACCACAGCAGTTGCTATCGAAGAAGAAGAAGCGACAGTCTGGATCCAAGAATGTTTTGATGTCCAAGCAGAGACTCTCGATCTCCAGGACACCGGCTACAGCCAATAGTGATGTTGATTACGCACGTGGCCAAAAGGTCCAGAAGCGAAAGCGTGAGGAGCCAGAAGTTGCATGTTCTCGAGCAGAGCTAATGCAGCAACGAGAGCATACGTGGCGCAAAAAACAGAAGAAGTTGTAAATAATCTCGTCCTCATGCAAGCTGGTTCGTAACGTTTGTGCATGTCTATAGCCGATAATAGTACCGTACCAGTGTTCCAGTAAACGTCTTGAATACAAACAAATCGTCTGGGTCGTCCTTGTACACGGCAAGAGACCGAGACCGTGGGCGGCTATTGAGACATTGACAATGCGGCAGAAGCCTGTTTTTTGGCGAGACGTGTGTACAATGACACCTAAGGATCCAAGAACCAGGGGTCTAAACAGGAATTACTTGTGCTCCTTCCCCGCTTGGCCATCTCAAGGTACATGACACTATCAACGGTATTGGACGTCTGCACCAAGGTGTGTAAATTGGACCGTCAATGAGGCTAGAAGTCACCCAAGCTTGAGACACTCATAGAAATACGAGATGCTCAACTTGGTATGCAATATCAAGATTCAAATGATGGAGGAAACGGCTGGGCCACGAACATGTTCAGATAGGGCGAGATGCGGCTCTGGGGTCCGCTCGGATTGGCCCGGAACTGTGGAGGTGACGTTGTTAGCGTAGCCAAGATCCACCCCCCACATGCAACTTGCGAGACGATCGCCAGCGCGGGACGAGCAACAGAGAGACATGAGCAACGGCGGTTTTGATGTCGAGGTTTAGCTAACCAAAGGGGGCGCTATGTTGTGTGTGTACAGTGTGCGATGCCTCGAGCTCCTTCGATCGGTGCGTAACGGTCAGGGGCCGGGGAAGCACACAGAGCAACAGCTGGGCGTAGAAAGAGGATGGTTGAGGGCATGTATGCATCACGCCGTGGCCCCAACCATTCCGTCTCTTGAACAAGCTCCAAGTATTATCTCCACTCCGCATTCCTGGTTTTTCTTGTGATCGTGCGCGCAACTTCCTGCTGTTTCGCGACCTCGTTTTGCATCTTCGCATCTTTGTTTCCTCGATTGCTGTCTGGTCCAGTATCTATCTTGCCATTACTCGAGTTTCTGAAACCAGGACTCGGCCTCAATCCTTACCCTTGGCGATCTCCAGATACGTCACAGTGAGAGAGTTGCAAGCTTTGGTCACCGCGGGCTCACGCCATCTCACACATAGTCGGGGAAGGCGAAGCGCTCGACCAGGTCCACCTGCCTCCGCAAGAGTGAAATCATATCGAGAATCGGTACGTATTTCTTATACCTTCGATACCCCTCGTTTACCACGGAATATCAACCCGTCAAACCTCTCCTGAGTTCCCATCTGAACCTATCAAATCTCCTACTTCACTATACATCATTCTTCGAATACAAACAACGAAACTGACATCATGGCGTCGACTTCAGCCTCTAGATCGGAAAAACAAGCATCGAACCACCTCCAAGCACCAGTTTTCGTCGACAAACCAGGTCGACAATCGCCAAGGCCAAGTTTCACATCCAGCAGGCCTTCGTGGATCGGAAAACAGCACCTGCCTCGATCAATCACTCCCGAAATTCCAACCATGGCGCAGAAGCACGAGATCCACTACAGCCATCCTGGCCTTCAGCCCCCAGTGTTCATTGCAGGTTCCATGTGCGAGCCCGAATGGGAGCCTATCGAGATGACACACAAGGAGAAGGAAGATGGTGAGCTCGACTTTGAGCATGAGTTTAGAGCAGAGCCAGGAGAATACCAATACAAGTTCAGACTCGGTCCTGGTGACTGGTGGGTCCTCGACGAGAGCAAACCAACTGGTAAGCAAAGCCATGTCAGAGTCTGAAGAGACCACATACTGACACGTATTGCAGTCGATGATGGAACAGGAAATCGAAACAATATGATTGTTGTGGAGCCGAAATCCTCGAACGTCAACGAATCTCACGAAACACCAATCTCATCGAATGCTCAAGAAGAGGACGTTCCTGCTGCTACACACATTACGGATACCCATGCCAAACAGAACGCCTCTGTCATTGATCGGGAGGATGAGGACGATGATGACATTCCGGAGAGCGAGAAGAATCTTTTCAGGCATGAGACTGTGCAGGTCGCCAATGGTACTGGCGAGAGTGATCACGAGGACGAGCATGTTGAGGTTGACGAGGACGACCAAGACGAAGAGCCGCCGCTCCTCGAGCACGAAGCTGGTCCATTCGAGCGTGTGGACAGCCAGCACGTCACGCCCTTCAAGTCTGATAAATTCACCTTCGAAGATCCATCGGAACACGCAATCGAGGCCGACGACGATTTCGCCGATGACGAGCGTGACGCCCCGCCACTCTTCAGACACGAAACTGGAGCAGCAAACGACGTCGACCCCGACGAGGCTCCTCTCTTCCGTCACGAGAGCATGTCGTCTCCGATTGACTCCATGTCAGCGAGTTCGCTTTCGCCCACCTCGCCCACTTCTCGCAAGCAACGCAAGCTCGACCTCGAGGACGTCAACGATCCTTCTCTGGAACCTTTCCCGGTCGACGAAGCTGGCATCCAGGCACGCATTCAGCGTGTTGCAACTCGCCGTCGCGAGGATGAAGTTGTGTTTGAGGGAACTCCTCCTTCGCCCTCTCTAGCTCAGACGAAGTCCTTCTCACCTCAGGCCGCTCCCACTCTTCCCCACAACGAGTCTAGTGATCTGAGCCATCTTGATGCCATCGATGAAACGGAAGAGACAGACGAGGAAGTCTACAAGCCCGTGAGCAAGCCTGTTGAGAAGAAGGACTCGGTTATGCAACCTGTTCCAATTAACATCAAGGTTCAAGATGTATCTGAGCTCGACAACAACCCTGCATTCACGGATGTTGCTGATGTCTCTAACCGTGGCCCGCCAACACCGCCTATGACACCCACAGAGCATGCTAGATCTAAGGCTGCTCTCCACGATGGAGCGGCCGATGTACACGAGGTATCTGATCGCGTTGGAAGCCCACGCTCCCGAAAGGACAACGCCACAGACCACATTGCCAACCGTCCTTCGCCTTCGGAGACTGCTAAGCCTTCCACTAAAGCCTCGGCGAAGCCAGAGAAGAAGATTGAGCCAGAGAACAGCTTGGCATCAAACTTGTGTATTTGGTTTATCGGTCTTTGTGGAGGCAAAGGTCGCGCAGCGTAAGTCTACGAGCATCTCCAGAACTTAAAATGTTACTAACCAATCATATAGTGGTGTTGCAATTGCCATGAGCGTTGCAGCAGCTGCATTCGCCATGAACACCCGCTCGGCTTAAGTGCTTTCGAAGTATCTTCAAGATTGCACCTATACGTCAACAGACTCTATATCCTTCTCCTTTGTCATTTCTTATGTCTACCATACTCCATAATCGGTTCTTCTCATACAGCGGGCGCAAGACATGGGGCCAGGAATGGTTTTTAACGAAGCATATGGTTACGGCTTGCTCTCATCACATTCAATAATGCAATGACGATGAGGAGAATGCTGCCGGTGCACACGCAGGCGGACGAGCATCAAAGATGGTCATCGAAGCTAGGATGGCGTTTCGCTTAATTTGTTCTCTACCCTCAGTCTCAATTCATATTTTTCAAGGGCTCTCTTTGCTCTATCTTACTACTCAACAAGGCTTCCTTGAGCGTTGGCGAGAAGTAATAGCTTGTGCTTTGACGTTGGTGAAAGAGACCTTGATGATAAGCGGAGGTCGCCGAGGAAATACAAGCAACAAGCCCGAAACTTCAGCGATGAGAAGAAGAAATCGATTTTCGATCAGCAAGCAAAATGGAAGATTTCGAGGCGCCCAATCCCGAGGGCCAATCCCTGTTGATTCACAGCTCCGATTTATGAAGAATAATAGCCATGAGCAATACATTAGAAAGCGGCTGAGGTTCTAGACGAGAATTGGTTTGGCTGCTGCCCTAACGGGCATTTTTTATCAACGGTAGGAGCTCCGGCGCCCGCTTTCTCGTGTCTGAGCTTCACCCCACTTTGATAGCTCGATCTTGGTAATCACGCCCATGATCAGGTGTGCTCTCTGATGAGCATGTTATCTCCGCTCATAGACTGATGTACCAGGCCAGTGAGACTTGATCAAGTGTATCCGCATTTGTGCGTTGTGTTTATAGCATGTGCGGATCCAACGCAACTCCAGTGGGTTAATCACGGATAGACCGCTGTTCGCCGAAGGCAGGGGGCGTGTGACGTGTGGGCGTATCTACCAGCATCTATAGCACCACCGGAGATACGGTCGATAGCTGGTTTATCAATCGCTGTCAGAAGCGGGAAAGAGCGCGCTGTCACGGATCATATTTTCCATGGAGACGCTGGGGTTCTGCCCGCATGTTCTCTGCAGTGCCGGAGATCAATCTTTAGACTCATAAATAGGAAGGAGCCGCCCTTTCTGGGTTTCCGTCTTCCTCGTCCAATCCCAACACCTTTTTTGTTCCATCTAGCAAACATCAAGATGTTGTCCAAGTCTCTCGTTGCATTGTCCCTCCTCTCGTCTTCCGTTTCGGCGGAGACAGTCTTGGGAGTGTATATGTTCCACAGACATGGTGATCGCACTCCCAAGGCATTGGCCCCGGCCAACTTGACCGACCTCGGTTACCAGCAGGTCTACTCCTCTGGCGACTACTACCGCAGTCGCTACATTGACTCAGATGCCGACCACAAGATCTTGGGCATGAACACCGACATTGTCAAGCAATCGCAAATCAGTGCTTCTGCTCCTTCTGACACTGGTGAATATCTCCGCGGAAAAGTACGACTAGCAGCTCTTCTGACTCATTTATAGTTCTCCAGAACTCTGCTACTGGTTTCTTGCAAGGACTGTACCCTCCTGTCGGCATTTCATTGGGCACTCAAACCCTTCGCAACGGCTCAAATGTCACAGCACCTCTCAATGGATACCAACTGATTCCCTTGGCTCTCACTACTAGCGGTTCTGGCAGCGAAGACAACGGCTGGCTTCAGGCTGCTTCTGGATGCGCTTCTGCTGTAAGCAGCTCCAACGAGTACTTCTCCACCTCTGAATACACCGATCTTCTCTCCAGCACTCAGGACTTCTACAACCAGCTCATTCCCGTCGTCAACGGTACCTTCAGCACGAGCCAGATCAGCTTCAAGAACGCTTATACCAGTGAGTTGTGAATACATGGTTATCTGGCAAATGCTGACATGTCATGTCCAGTCTTTGATCTGATCAACGTTGCCGAGATCCACAATGCCACCATCAATTCATCCGATGTCCTCACCAGCGATGTCCTTTTCCAGATCCGCACTCTGGCCGACACTCACGAATGGAACCTTGCCTTCAACGCATCTGACAACGCACGCGCCATTGCTGGCAAGGTTCTTGCCGCAGAAATCGTTGAGTTCCTGAACAACACCATCGAAACTCAAGGCAAGAGCAAGTTCGGTGTTCAATTCGGCGCCTACGGCACCTTTGCTTCTTTCTTCGGTCTTGCAGACTTGCCCGTCACTAACCCTGACTTCTACGGTGTCACCGATTACGCTTCGTCCATGACTTTCGAGCTGGTCACCAACGCTTCTACCTCGCCTTTCCCTGCTGCCGATGACATCTCTGTTCGTTTCCTGTTCCACAACGGTACTACCAACTCCAGCAGCCCTCCTACCGCTTACCCTCTCTTCGGTACTGGTAATGAGCTTATCGCCTGGAACGACTTTGTTACCGGCATGGACAAGTTCAGCGTTGGCGACACCAAGTCTTGGTGCACCGCTTGCGGCAACACCACTGGCACTTGTGCTGCTTACGCTCCTGCTTCTAGTTCCGGCTCTGGAAGCAATGATGTTACCGCCCAGAGCAAGAGCGGTAACGGTTTGAGCCCTGTTATCAACGGCGTCATTGGCGCCATGGTCACTCTGGCTGTCATTCTTGGTCTCGAGGCTTTGATCCTCTTGGTCGGTGGAATGAGAGTCGTCAGCAAGAAGCGTCTTGCTCAGTCTGCTGCTCCTATGGAGACCGTGACCGGCGGCAAGGCTGCTTAGACGGGTTTCTCTCATGCCCAGCGGTGTTGGGATACGAAAAGATTTATGAGTTTTATATTAATTAGTTCATATAGTCACGACATATATGACAGCTTATGACGGCCATCCTGCGATCCTGCGATCCCTTGCGTATGACGCGTGAATATACCGCTTGTCCAGATAGGAGGCATCGGCTCTCCGATCCTGCTTATTCCAGACTTACTCGCCCGACATGATTTCCACTTACAGATCGCGTGAAATTAGGAGCACACCACGTCACGCCTGCCGACGATCTTCAGATCGGTTCATGTTTATTGCCAGTTCTTTTCTGCCCTTCGTTTTTATTTCACCTCATGTATCGCTGGCACCCCGGCCTCGAAATAAATCTTGAACTCAAAAACCTACTCCCGAGAAACCGGTCCCCAGAGAGGCCCAGACACCTTTCACTACCACCCCCTCCGATGTGGAAAGTGTCTTTACTGTCAGGCGCTCCAATTCTAGGAAACTTTTCGAAAAGTCACGGATCGTCGAGGAGGAGGATGAGATGATCCTTCAATTAGTAAAGAATTGAACCATGTCGGAACAAGCTCTTACCCACAGGATCGCCGACAAAGCCATTGAGAATCAACACTATAGCATGCATGTTTACCATCAACCATATATCCAATGGACAATCAGCTTGGCTTTGTGTCATCTTATCTCTCTCTCTGGATATTCACACCAATATCAAACTCATCTTGCGTTTTGATGGCTGTTTCGACAACCAACCTGCGCCCGGGAGATACCAAGCAAGCTGTCTGAGCGTATCCAAAGTGGATGATTTCAATCAACATGGGAGACGGCGAGAGGTCAGGAACAGATCCTAGAGGCAGGCGTAATTCAACCTTTCTTACAAGCAGCGATAGCGAAAGGTGAAGCAAGCAAGTCGTGCATAATCGCTCTTGTAAGGACATTCCACTACGGTGACACCCTCGGATTCAAATGGGGCCTTTGAGGGACTACCACAGTGTTCACTTCGTACACGAATTGATGCTATAGCGGACTCGGAAGACTCGGCCTCTGAGATTTCAGAGCATTCAGCCTATACATACCTAAGCATGGAGCCTATCGACCTTGACAGACTAGCAAGACTGGTTAAATCTGACGATCGTTACCTTTCTTTTGCGACGATGTCTATACGAGTTGATGTGCTCCTCCATCCATCCAGCGACAGGTACCAAACTCGTCTTGAAAGGACATCCAACTTGATGAAATTCCCGCCGACTCCGAATGGGGATCTATACCGCTACCTACGCGAAGCCATACGAGTATAGCGGACTCGGAAAACTCGGCCTCTACTCTTCACACTTGGACACTGTTTTGATCTCTCCCAGGCGCAGATTGTTCATCGAAATAGTTGTCAAAAGGCAAGATGATTTTTGTGTTGGTGTGGATGTCCAGAGAGAAGAGGGGCCGTAGACCACACTACATCCGGGACGGGGTGAATGACATTTTCAATGCTACTGTAATGGATTATATCATGTCTATCGTCACGCATTAATGTGACTTTGTTCTCGCCCTCGCCCTTGCCCTTGCCCCTTGTTCTCGCCCTCGCTCTAGTCCTTGCCCTCGCTCTCGTCCTTTCCTCGCCCTCGTCCTCGCCCCTTATCCTCGTCCCCTCGCCCTCGTCCTAGCTCTCGTCCTTGCCGAGCAATGTAAGCGAAATATGTTGTAAGCTATTCTCTCCGTATCTCTCCCTCTAATGCGTCTCGATTGCTTACAGCTCAAGGAATCATATCGTCGTCGTCCTTCTCGGCAGCTAGCGCCTTTCCACAGCCAAGGGTTGCCTGCTTTAGGCCCTTCTTGTTGGCATTCTTGCCCTTAGGCATAAGGGCCTTTACGATTTTAAATCTTGCCATTAGCTTCGTAGCTGTAGGTAGTAGTGTAGTCTATAGCGTAGGTTGTAGTGTAGGTATAGGTGCGAGGGCGGGCACCGGTACGAGTGTAGGGGCTGGTGTAGGTTTGAAGAAAGGCGTAGGTGTAATAGGCCTAGCCGGTGCGTCGCTCTCGATGACGGCCTTGATAGGCGCTCCCGGGCCATCTCTCTTTCTAGCGGCTTTCGAGCCTTTTCTAGGCTTGAGAACAGCCTCTGAAATATCGACGCCTTTTGCCTCGTATGTCGCTTGTCTTTTCCATAACGTAGATATAGCCACAAAAAAGCTGAGCCGGCACCGAACTCCCTCTCGCCTGTTATCCCTTGCAACCTTGGCTGCAAAAAGGCAGGATGCTTTTAATGATCAAGTACATGTCCTTTGAGAGCGATACTGGAGTAACCCCTGAGAGAAACTTTCGACGGCATCGGATGGAGAGCGATCTCTTTGGACCTACATCAAGACTAAAAACACATTGTGCCTTTTGACTGATGTGTTGCCAGGGGACTTGCTAGGTTAAGAGCTCGGTTCTGATACAATTCCTGTGCCCCTGTATTCGCAAAGGCTCTATGTCTAGGTATGTCAAGGTATGTATAGGCCGAGTGCTTCAAGATCTTAGAGGCTAAGTCTTCGAAATCTGCTATAGTGTGGCTTCTGTGGTAGTTCTCAAAGCCCCGTTCTTCGGCTTCCGAGGTTGTTACCGCAGTGAAATGTCATCACAAGACGATTATTAATCTCTAAACGCCACAAGCGTCAGAGAAGAGCACAAAGGAAAGCGTAAGGGACGCGAATGAGAATGAGAGAAAGTGTCAAACGAGAGAAGGAACGGTGACATGATAAGACGACATTTGAGATGCCACTTCAATGAAGAAGGATATATACAGTTTCTGATCTATCGCAGTATACAAAGGATAAAGATCATTTGAGCGTAAGGAAAGCATGTACCGCATTATAGACAAGACTTTTTTTTGAAATCTCCTTTCCTTCCTGTACAGTTTTGGAACTCCTCTTTCCAAAATGGCAGAATGAACAGCGCGGCATATCCAAGGGATATTGGCAAAACCAAAACAATGAAACGGGTATCAACAAGAATAACAATAACAAATCCGGGGATATCTCAGAAGATGGGAAAATAGAAAGAGGTAAAGAGGAAAGAGTCGGAAGAGAGTCGTGGGTCGTCGTTAAGTTAGCAAGCAGAAGTTGCTTCTTTCAGGACTCCTCGGCGAGAAGCTCGTCTCCAGTCTCGCGCCATTCGCGACTGCGATCGTTGAGACGTCGGGTACCGGGGACACGTGTGGCCCATAGGCTTTCTGCTGGAGTGCGCATGGTGAATCCGCGCTGACTGCTGATAACGCCAATAGCTTGCAAAACAGCTTTGCGGCTGTCACGGCCAAATACGGCAGGGTGGTTAATCCACTCCAGAGATGATGCGAGCTCAGTGTCGAGTGCTGACATGATATCTGCGTCAATCCCAGCGGCAGGGGTGAAAGGACTGAGAGGTTCAAGACGAGGGGGAGTGGGAGTACGTCTCGGCTCCATGGATAACGGAGTGCCCATGAACATGGGAGGTGGAGGAAGAGGGCCTGTAGGTGGTCCCGACGGCAATTGGTCTGTTCCGTTACTGTGGATACTTGCTGTAGGGGTGGGTGGCAGCCGGGCTGTCGGTGGCGCTGAAGGGGGTGGAAGAGGAGGCAGCCCGCCCTTGCCAAGACCCTTCAAAATGCTGCGAGTCTCGGTGAGCAGATGAGAAGCTCTTTCATGCTGGCCTCTTGAGACCAATGTCAAAGCTCTGGTAAGCATGTCAGATGTGAGCAGCTCCATGCGACGTTGAACGACCGAAGGATGAGGCGGAATCGGGGGGGAGACTGTGCGGCTCATCGATGCCTTCTTCGAGACCGGAGGTAGCATGGTGATTGCGAGAAGCGATGGACGGGGCAGCTGAGAGACATTGCCTTCGCGAAGGATATCGCCCCAAGCAAGATCAGCTTGGATGAGTGGAACCTCCTCAACAGATACTGGGCGCATGTCGTCCTGTTCAAGAGGCCCACCTAGAGCCTCAAGTCCAGAAACAATCGTCTCCCAAGGATCTTGCAAATCTTGCTCGGGAGTTGAGTTGTCGGGTGAGATGGCCAGTTGCACAAGAATGTCTATACGCGCGTTAGTATTGATGCTGCGAAGGAAATGAAGTCGGCGTTCAGCTTACCTCTCTTGTCTCCAAAGCGCAAATCACCCAATGAGGCCTCAGCATCACGACCGGTGGCACGCTTTGTTATCTGGAGGGCACCGCTAATTTTGACAAATTTGGCAGGTGAACCTTCTGGCAGGCGCAGTTTCAGTTTAGCGTTCTGATGTGAAACGCTTTGCAAGGATCCCAGACAGCCAGCTACGCATTCACGAAGCATCATCCAATCTTTGACATATGTGTATGTTGCTTTCGTGCGCGTGGACAACTCAATCATCGTGTCGGGTTTATGTGTAAGTCCTAGACCGAACGAATGAATGGCGATTCTGCGGATTGTTAGCTTTTGTCGATTTTGGGTATGTTTCAAGTTGAGATAGGCTTACTTTGCGGCTTCGGCGCGCGAGACGACAAAATCAACGCTCTCGATGTCGGATGTTGTGGAATCGCTAATGAGCATGATTCCCGAGATTGGGTTTGCAGCCTTCCTCTGCATAAGAAGATCCATTGCTACGTTTGCACCGTCTACCACATCAGCACGCAGACTCTTTTGTCCGATTGGCTTGATGGCTTCGAAAACTCTAGACCAACCATTCCAAGTTTTGGATGTCATGCCTACAACAGGCATGCTACCTCCACTGGAACCGTAGGTGACGAGACCCATGCGGTCCTGCTCGCCAAGATTGTTGACAAGGAATCGCAAGACGTCGCGAAGAAGAGAAATCTTGAGGCCCTGCATGGATGAAGAGATGGGTACAACAACGACAATATCCAGAGGGACATGCATGGCGGCAGGGAGTCTGAAGCCTTGTGTACCACGGAAAGTAGGGCTGGTGTATTCTGTAGGTGCGGTGTAGGCGGACTTGGCGGCACCGTAAGACGAGGGAATCGAGGAACGTCTTCCTCCTCTTGATGCCAAATCGTCTTCATCGGTACCTGAAGTTTCGAGATCTTCATCGCTTTCAGACAGCTCAAGGCTGTTGATACTGATCAAAGCGCGTCTCCAGATGTCTAGTTGCGATCTGTCGCGGAATTGGAGGTGGAAGTGCGGTAGCTCGGCGACTGAGAGGTTCAAAGTGAGTATGTCATGCTCAGGCACAAACTGGACCTGCTTCAAGTGTCTCTTGATCAAGATCGAACCCTTGAGGGTGCACTTCGTTCTCATCTTTGCGGATTCAGAGGCAGTCTCCCACTGATGTTGTGGTTTCTTCTCCTTGATGCAGATGAGCATTTCTGTAAAGAGGTAGCACTCCAGATCTTGCCATGACTGGCGGTCCTTGCCTACGCGGATGGTACCATGAAGCAAAAGTCTGCCAAATCTGTGAAACTTGTAAGTTTGAGTTAATTAGGACAGCTTGAACATGCTTACCTTGAGAAATCAAGTCCATGCCAATTGTCCACCTTGGTGTGCAGGTCTTCGGTGACACGGTCTAGAACATGCGAAGGGGTGTGAGGAAGGTCAAACTGTCTTTGCGGTTCGGGCGAGCGAGGTATTGACATGGCATCGGTGTTGTCGGCTGCTAGGGACATGATGTCTTCGACATCGGCGCGCCATTTTCCGTCGACAACTTCGACTGTGACCAAACAAGTCAAGCTTTGTTGTTGGCGGCTTCGGTTCAGAGTCGGAAACTCGGTGCGTACGGTGACGGTGGGAGCAGGTATAGGATTCTTGACGTTTGGTCGTGGACTGGGAATATCGGCGGCGATGGACTGAAGGTCGTATTCGATCCTTCGGTTGTGAGACTCGTCGGTTGCCTGACTGTTGTTTCTCCCATGCTGGCGCGACTCGACTGATCTAGTCTGAACGCTGTTATTGTGTGTATTGTGCGTGTTAACGCTGTTATTGTGCTGGTGAGAGCGAGTAAAGCTGGCTTGGGTCGGCGGGCGTGGGCTCGGGTCCTGGATGGCGGTTTGGACCGAGGTGTGGTGGCTGTGATGGGGTTGACGAGGCGGATCGTCCCAAGGCGTCGGGGTATTATCAGAGTCCCGTGTGCGGTCGCGCAAGTCGGGGCTGTTTGTGCTGCGGTTGTTGACCAGGTTGTTCAATTTTGCTGCAAGAGATTAGTTACCGACAGAGTGGTCGTGTTGCACGGTCAGTGTTACCAAAGTTTAGGTTGCCGCCCCGGCTGGTGTCGAGCCCCAATGGAGCGTTACACGAAGGACATTCCTGGGACTCAAACTCCTTTATAAACTCGTAGAAGCAGGCTTCGTGGGCGACATGGCCACACGACAGCTGCAGGATGCGCTCTCCGCGCAGCGTGTGTTCCAGCGGCTCTTCGCATGCAGCGCACTCTGTGCCGATCAGGGTGCGTTCGCGTCGAGACTTTGGGCCCGTCGCATCGATCATGGCGCCGAGTTCGTCTTGCTTCTCCTGGAAGCGCACAGTCGACGTCGAGGTCGAGGCGGTGGTCGGCTGCTTCTTCAGACGAGAGGTGGTCGGACGGTCATGCAGCCCTCTGAGCGAGGCGAAGCGTCTGGTCGTCTTTGAGTTGGGCGTCGACGTGGTTGCGGTTGTGTCGAGCGGACTCGTCGTGTGTAGGTGGCTGCTCCTCGAGGATGGACGGAAGACAGACGCAAAATTGACAGGCGCCGAGTGTTGAGGGCCGGCCATGTCCATGTACCAGAGTGCTTGCAATGACGAACAAGCAGCTGGTCTGAGGTGCCGATAGTATGAGCGAGGGCATTTCCCAGAACTGTGCCCTCTGAATCGACAACAACGCTTTGGCCGCAACGGCCTTCCACGCTTAAGGGTCTCGAAAATCAACCTAATTTGATCCACTCCGAGCCCGACAAATTTACACCCTCAATCTCAACCCTCCCCTGTCTTGGATACACTGCCTCGCCTATTGCCCATCGTGATTCGTGAAGCCTCTGTCTGTCTCTGATATTATGCAGCTGTCTCTCAATCTCGCATTGCTCGCTGCTTGCCTGCAGACCATCCCAATATTGGTTATATTCCATGCCTTTTCCATTTATCCAACGGCCCAGCTAGACCGTTGGTATCAGAAACATCAACGAAACGCTCTTCCAACTTCTCACCCAGCTTTCTGCTTTTGTCATGATGCCGAGTCCCACTCTTCCACTTCTCCGTTTCTGTTTGTGCTCTGCTCCACCATGCACTCCGACTGCCAGGACCCGCGGCTGCCACGAGTCGCTAACTCCAAGTCTGTCCTTAGCTTAGCCCTGTGCAGATTGCCATAACTCTTCCCCGACCTTCGTCTCGCTCTAACCTGCCGTCTGTCTCATCCAGATGGCTGTCTTCCCTGTCACGCGAACACTTCGACCAAGCAGACATGACTTGTCTCGCTACCCTATGCTCATCCTTATTACAAGAGAGACTTGCTCCTCCACCAGCTCGACTGTCAATCACCAGTCGTCCATTCAGGCACCACCAGGTCCTTGGAGATGGCTTCCGTATCAGCTAGCCACTTATACTTCGGTCTGTCTGAACTCTCAATCTTCCCACAAACCCTGTCCCGTCTCCCACGCGATGCCATGCTCTGCCATCGTCTTTGCCCTGCTCATCAAGCCGTCGCTGCTCAATTTCTCCCTCCTGCGTGATTGGACGTCGTCATTCTCTTTCGCCAGAAACCGGTTAACATCCGATCCCATATGAAGTGCATCGCGTCGACATATGATGTGCCGTGTGCTCGCCATCGTTCATCTACCTGGCAATACATACCCTCTATTTCAATCCTGTCAGCCCACTCGCCTGATGTGCCACTTTCGTTTCAAAAGACTGGCAAACTTAACCTACAGCTGGTACATCCTCATATTCATCCTCCTGTCGCTTATCTGATCTTCGACCTCGAATCCTCCATCGCGGGTTGCCTGTTTGGCCACCACCGCAGGCACGTCGTCTACAGAGTTTGCGATCCTTCTTTCTAGAAGGCTCAAGCCGTCAGTCTCCGCCTGCAAGGTTTCCGACATGCTTTACAATAGGGTACACAGCCACGAGGCAGCCGAGATCAACTTTCCCCGGCTTTTGGATCGCATGCTTTGCTGCTTCGTGTTTTATCGCGGATTCATGAATTGCCATAGAACTCGAGTTAGGTATGGACATAGGCTTCATGTTCACCACAAACAGCGTCCTTGCTATGGGTGTCTAAGTTGATATGGACAGCTCAAAGAACCATACGGCCGTGATCTCTTACAATGCCACAAAGACGCCATGAAAGTTTGGTCCCCTCAATGATACGTCTCGAAGACAGTTTACCATCTTCCATCAGGGCTTACGGCCGGTGATCATCGACACTGGTTTCTGAACCACGGACATGGAAGAGGCAAGGAGCCTCACCTCAAGCATGGCGCCATTGTTCACGGAACTTCCGAAGTTCTCCACGATCTACTCCCAAGCTAGATCTTCGTTCGACATCATGGAGTTCTTCGGTAGTTGTAAGAAAGGTCGAAGGATTTCTGGAGATTACAGCGCGCCACGGCTGCGTAGGATCATGAATCAAGAACGCGCACAAGTCTCGTTAACCATAACCTAAAGCTGTTAGAGGGCAGACTCTGTTTAAGGTACGCTAATAAGGTCCATCTGGCTAAACTTTTGCAAGAAAGTCGAGTTGTTTAGGCGCGAAGTGGTCAACGACTTTCAAACGGCTGCCATGCATCGGGACACGCGATGCTCGATGCTAGTGCTACATGACTCTTTCCCTCCACCGCTTGACACGAGTTCAGTCGCGCAATTCCGCAGAGGCTGCCTGAACTGCATGCATAGTAAGAGTCAAAGATCCACGACTAGAAAAATCTGTACAGGAACCCTTCTGCAGAACCCTTGGCTTGGGACTGATGATGATGCCGAAAGCAGCTGGAGGCGCGGCGGCTGCGTCGATCTCCCGCGTCGAGCCCTGAATCTTGCATATCTCTATGCACAATATGTACACGTCCAACTTTTGCTACCTGCCCGTGTGCTAAACTTTGTTACGCGCACCTTGTAGAGATGCACAATGTTTTCAATATCTCTGAATTCGTCCGCAGAGAGGCGCTGAGTATCACACTCTCAGTGGAGGGCTGCATTGATCTTAAAATCATTGTGCATTTCTACAGACTAAATAAACCCGGGCATGGCCGTGGGATATGGCTAGAAGTGACAGAATTTAGCACACGGGGAGGTACCTCTTCAAACTTGCTTCATGTCGGTGCATCGCCCGAGAGCTGCTCGGCGCGTGCTCGGATCTTCTTGGACATGTACTTGGGTACGAGGCTGCAAGCTTGTTGATCTGGCCGGACATATGACGGTCTCGACAGCGTGACTGCACCTGGATCTACACGCAACCTTGGTGGTCTTGACAGCTGCAAAACTCTACTCAAGTTACACCGTCGGAACGGAAGCATATTCCCTGAATCTGACATAGAAGAGTGCGTGTCATACTGCAGGAGAACACACTACTTATATCTAGATCATGTATAACCTTATGTCGTTTCCAAATAGTTACGATCGACTCGTTTCATGTTTTCTTGTTGCCAAAAAGTATGTGACTTTTCAAGCAGCGCGTGAGACTTACAAGATAGGTGAAATGGACCGATAGGAAGCAGGACGATCCAGATGCTCTTGTAAACCATGATCACTGCCAAGGGTGAGCCGTGTGTGCCCTAGGGGTCGGTGGTCCAGACGATGTTTTGAAGTGGCAGTCTATGTTACGTGAATTAGCCTTGTGCATGCAAGAACATTGAATCGAGCTTTCGGTCGCGTTGCCAGAACAACTCGTATTTACCACACCAAGTGCATTTGCGAAGACTGGTTTTGAGCTGTCACTATTATTGAGAACAGCACATTGTATCATTGCGATATGATCCGAAAGGAATAGATGAAAGTCGAGCCAGGGTGACGACCACGGCATGTGCCGCCAAGACCCGAGCACAGCCAATCACAGTCCAGTAAGCTCAAACTTCCAAAGCGCCGAACAACTCTGCCTCTCGAAACATAACACAACTTGAATCGTAAATACACGATAGGATGGAAAGAAGAAACGAGGCTTTTCAGAAAGTATGTAGCACTATGCCAATCCAAGTATACACGTCGTTCTTACCATGTGCAGCTCAAACCAATATGCATCGCTCTCAGTCAATCAACATTAGCATTTGCAGGCAACCATAAAAATGTCGACAGCATCATTCAATCTCTTGAAAGATTATCAAGAATCCTGGAAGAAATTGCGACTCGACCAGACACCTTTGATCACAAGTTAGCCGATTATGTCTTCTTTCCCATCTCACAGGTTCTCAAAGCCAGCCGGGATCTTCCTGTGCAGGCCATGGAAGCATGTTTGCGATGTCTCTCCGTTCTCATCTCCAAAGGCTGGTCGGGCAAGATCGATCCGAACCTGAGTGGCCAACTATTGATCTTCTTGACTCTCACTTGCGACACATCTGGAAAGACGGTGCCTACAGGGCTTGCCACAGACGAGCTTCGCGCGGCTGGGTTCAATTGCATGCAAGCACTCTTCGATTCTTTGAGAACGACTTCTGCGGGAAAGTCCTCTCTGGTCGCGACCGCGAATGTTCCTTCTCTAGGACATGCTGTCTCAGTGGTCCTCGAAGGTGTTGTCAGTGGAGAATCATTCCAGGTTCAACTAGCAGCAGCAGAAGCTTTACAGGCCCTGGTGGCTTGCATAGATGATCTTGAAGTACTGTCAAGCTTCTTACCGGGTATCGTTTCCTCATGGACCATGGCACTCACACCTGCTACCAAGGGCCGTCGACACTGGAGAGTCCTTGTGGCCGGCTTATACACTGTCGAGTCGCTTCTGCGATCACTTCTCAATGATAGCGTGGTCGATCAGTTGTCTTCAGCAGAAAGGAAGACAGTTGTCAAGGATCATAAACCAACAAAGCTGGACAGTAGCTGGGTGAAAGCCACGGCAGCGCAATTGAAAGTCGCAATAGCGAACATCAATAGGCTACGCACACACGAACGCCCAGAAGTACAAGAAGCTGCTCTTGACTTCAATCTAACATTGCTCTCCGAATGCAGCCATGCGTTGGAAGAATCCTGCGCTTTGGCAGCAGAAACAATCTTGCTTCTGATACAGGGAGATTCGAATGCATCCTACAGGGACAAGATTGCGAATCTGGCACAGAACAACACCAAGATCTCAGAACTTCTGTCGACGGCATTTCGTAACGAACAACTCTCGCTGGTACGAATAATGCAATCAAATGATGATCAAGCGAAAGAGCGATCGCTCGGAAAGCTCTTTGGCGCATATACAATACTCGCTGGCACTGAGGTCGACATGTCGATCATCTCAAGGATGTTGGGCACTGGTCTGAAGGACAGTGTGACGACAGTCTTACAACATTCGGTTGACCAAAAAGCAAAGACCTCCAGAGTCACACCGGTCACTATTTCAGACATGACCTTACAAACAAGTCAAAAGTCGTTGATCTTCACATCACCACTGGCAGAGTATAAGACTCAGGAGGTTATGTTGGACCATGTTGGTCAGATGCTCAAGAAGCTTAAAGCAGCTCAACCATCGTTGGGACTTGCCTCAGACCTCATGCCAGCTTTGAGAACGTCGGAGAAGACCACCCAAGTCGCCACTTTCTGGCTGATACTCCAGGACCTCCAAAACACCAACGACCAAGTTGATGGCTTTATGAACGATATGCTCGTCGGCGGACTCTACTCGAAGGATCAATCTGTGTCACTGAGAGAACAACTGTACTCGTTCTCCTTAGAAGTGCTAGAGGACGACGACACAGTGGACTGGAGACTCAAGAGTCTTGCTCTTGAAGCCGTCGCGTTACACGCACAGCGATATGGCGTTGAGTTCAAAGACGAGCTTGTGGAAGCTCTCTACCCTATTCTTCACCACCTCGGATCGGAGTCAGGGTATGTGCGAAACCACGCAATGACATGTCTGAACATTGTGGCGGATTCATGTGGTTACGCAGATGCCGGCGAGCTCATTGTGTCGAACGTTGACTACCTCGTCAATGCTGTAGCTTTGAAGCTCAACGCATTCGATGTCTCACCACAAGGACCTCAAGTTTTGCTCATGATGGTGAGGCTGGCTGGACCATCACTCTTGCCTTATCTGGAAGACACACTCGAGAGTATCTTTGCAGCGCTGGAAGACTATCACGGATACACAACTCTGGTCGAGCTTCTGTTTGCAGTTCTTCGAACGATGGCCGAAGAAGGAGTCAAGTCTCCTATGTTGTCCATCACGAATGGACAAGAGGCACCAAAGAAAGACACAAGCCGCTGGAAGCCAGCAGATCTCGCTGAGCTTGTCGGGATCATCAAAGGACTTTCTCGCAAACCAGTCGATGTCTTAGATCCTCCGACAAGCCTGCTTGACCCCGGAGACGATGCTACTCCAGAAGACCAACTCGAGGAACCAGAAGAACCCTCAGAATCCACACCCCCAGCGCCAAAAACCTACAACCTCCTCCTGAAAATCACCCAACTGACCCAACACTACCTCTCCTCCTCCTCCCCCGCCCTTCGCACTTCCCTCTTCTCTCTCATCCGCACGACCATCCCCGCCCTCGCCAAACACGAAAACTCCTTTTTACCTCTGGTAAATACGCTCTGGCCAGAAGTAACGTCCCGCCTCTTCGACTCCGAAGCATTCATCGTAGCCGGTTCTCTCAACATCATCGCTACAATGTGCGAACATGCAGGCACATTTATGCGTACGAGAATTGACTCGCTGTGGCCTGAATTACTATCTCTGCATCGCAAACTGAGCAGAGAAATCACATCAGGGATGTCGAAATCTCAACAGCAAAAACAACAAGAACAACAACAGAATACACAAGCTTTGATAACAAGGAACCTGGAACTAGGTTATGTGGACACGTCAACCAAACAACTATGGCATAGTCTTGAGGATTTGCTGGTTGTGATTGTCAAGGATGTTGAAGTTGACGCTGAGAAATTCGATGATGTGCTTAGGATGTTGGCGCCGATTGCTGGGTTGGATGAGGGAAAGAGAAGTGTGCTAGAGGAGTTTAATGGGGATGCGGTGTGGTTGGCTGAGTTTAGGACCAAGCCGAGGGAGTTGAATGTGCCGAATAGTTCGAGGTTTGCTTTTGCTCAGGCTGTTTAGGTGGAGATAGGTGCTCAAGAAGCAGAATAGAACAGTGCCTTGATACAGATGCGAGGAAGACACGAGTGAATGTGATGCGTAGACGATAAATGAAGGAGCGGTTTGGCCTTGTCGTTGTTTCCTTGATGAGTTGCGAGGTGTCAGATTGACTCTGTGCATGGGAAAGCCCGCTTTGCTTTGGCAAGTACTACCATTATCAATAGCGAAGTGGCATTGGCAGTCATAACACAAAGTCTCGCACACGGAAGGAAGAGCACGTGCAAATGGAAACAAGGACGTGTCAAGAAAGCAGAATGTGTATAAAAGGAATCTATCGGATGAAAGGTATACCAGTACCGACCCTCTCACGGTAACGTTGATAATCAGCACCAAAGAACTTGACCAAATCTTCCTCCTCGTCTGTGAACACAAAGTCAGCGAAACAATTCCGTCCAAACAACACAGAGGTAATGACATACTCTGAATCCTGTCCTTGAAGAAGAACCACAAAACAACCAAATAAGCAAAACTGCAAATCTTATTTCCAACCAAAATCTGCGTGCCGATGGCAAAGAAGAAGTATCCAAAGTAGCTGGGATGGCGGAAGTAAGAGTATAAGCCCCAAGTCACCAGCACATGATCATTCTTCTTGCTCTTTGCAGGGATGTGGTTGAAACTGACACCCGCCTGTGCCATGGCGATACTGCGGACAGTTTGTCCTCCGATTACCAACAACAAGCCCAAGCCAATTGTGTATTTATTGCTGTAGAGATCTTGCAACTCGGGGAAGAAGAGGGAGGTGACGATGATTTCGATGATGGCGGAGACGTGGGCGGTGAGGTAGGCGGCACCGTTTGAGAGGAGGAGGTAGCTGGAGACTTTGGCATTGTAAGTATTCCAGCGGGCGGTGGTGAAGAACTCGAGGAAGTGGAAGAGTGACAATGTCGCAATGAACTCTGTGAGTCGCCAGATGCGCTGGCCGGAGTAGACGAGGTAGATGGTGCCGAACAAGCCGGTCGAGAGACTTATGCCCAAACAGAAGGCGTGAAGAGAAATCGACGCGAGAGAGCGAGAGCCTCCGGGATAGATGGTAGGGTCGACGACTACAGAAGATGCGCGCGATGCTGTTGCTGGACCATTGCTGCTCCCTGTTGGCGAGATGGGAGTGGGTAGAGAGATGTTCGGGTCGCCTTGGTGTTCCATCTTTGCGTTGCTGTGTATGGACAAGATGGCAACACACACGGCGGCGCCGAATAAACAAGACCAAAGGTGGTCGAGGGACAGAGTGCCAAACTTCCGGAATGCGCATGAACAATATCAATGTCCAGGGTCTCCCCGCATCATCCCTGAATGCGTCAGCCTTGGCAGGAACCAATCACCTTGATTTCAAACTCCGACGAACAAAGACATATATACCGAACGTTGTTTTACCATCATGCCTATTTCGGAGAACAAGGCCAGATCTCTTAGGGGCGAGCTTTATCATGCATTCACTCCTGAATTGGTGGCAGAACGCCGTCGTTGTGCTCGTGCTTGCACCAAATACAACAAAGCAGGAGAAGATGAGACTATGACTAGAAGACGCCAGGTGGAGTTATGGAAAGAGTAAGCATGACATTTCAATTTTGATCCCTGTGTATTCCTTTAAGAACAAAATGCTTGGACATGGAGCTCAGACACTCGACAGCGTAGTCGGAGACACCAGACCTCTTCCTCCTCGCAAGGAAGGTAGCACAGAAGCCGATGATGAAGAGCTACTTGGCTCTGAGCCTTGGGTTGAGGCTCCCTTCCACGCCGACTATGGTACCAACGTCCGTCTCGGAGAGGGCGTCTTTATCAACTTCAATTGCACTATCATTGACACGTGTCTTGTTTCCATCGGCTCAAGAACCTTGTTGGCACCAAACGTGAGCCTGTACTCCGGCACTCACCCTCTTGATCCCGACCTGCGAAACGGAACCAACGGTCCAGAGTCTGGAAAGCCAATCACAATCGAGGAGGATGTGTGGATTGGTGGTAACGTAACCATCTGCCCTGGTGTCACCGTTGGACGTGGCAGCACTGTAGGCGCCGGGAGCGTTGTCACGAAGGTGAGTTGTACCACGTCCCACATACTCTCATTGAGAAAGACGTGTGCTGATACCTGTGCTCCAGAATGTGGCGCCATACACGGTTGTGGCAGGAAACCCAGCAAAGGTTATCAAGCAAGTGCCGAGAAATACCACTACCGAGGAGGAGAGAGCAGATATTCGAAGAATCGCGGACGCTGCTTGAGCTCAAGACGGAGAGACCGAGTTTGCAGATGCTCTAGATCGCATAAGGATCTCGTTGCTTCGCTGGCGCGGTGATAGAGAATATCTTGATAGGAACTGCAGTCGAATGGAAAAGAGATGTTTGCTGCTCCATGGGGATCAAAGGATAATCCACCTCATGGACATTGAACTCGTTGTGTGCTAGATGGAAGTTTCAGCTGTCGAGAAACATTACATGATCAGTTGTGAAACGTACCACAAGCATACTCGAAAGCGGCAAAAGTGTCACTGTTCCGGATAGTCGCCGATATGATGATTTGCACATGAGGCCAGACTTCGAACATGTCTCTCATGGTCGACACCAAAGCAGGTATGACTGCCTTGTCGTATGTCTAGAGTATAATCAGTAGCGTACCACTGGATCTTGCCGATGTGTTACTTACCACGTCAGCACCAAGCACAAGATCGCAGGAGAACGATGGGTCTTTCTCAAACATCCATGATCCTTTCAAAGCTCGACCCCACCAAAGCACTCCAATGTCCATGGCATCCTTGACATCGTTGAAGGCAGCATTTTCGTGTAGAGCCTGAACGACACCTTCGTCACCATCAGTGGCTACTACTTGAGAAGCACCAAGATGACTAGCGCACAGGATGGACAATAGCCCTGTCCCAGCACCAAGCTCAATCACTCTCTTGCCCTTTATGCTCGCGATCAATTCGGGCGTTGAGATGAGGTATGAGGAAAGATGAAGTGCCGCCTCCCAAGTACGCAAACCGGTAGTACCTGCACCCGAGATAACTGCACGATTCTCTAGTAGCTTCAATTCTGGCTCTTTATCCAGTGAGGGAGAATCTTCAGACAGAGGCGTATAGGTCACCCAGTTCCTCTGTTGAGCGGCAGTAGCATCATCCGGCATGGGGGAAAACATGAGTTCAGCCAAGGTGGACATGAGGTTGTCTGATATTTCCTGATCACATAGAAAAGACAAAGCATCAGAAAACAGGGAAGATAGGAAAGGAGACCAGAACACGCTTACATCTTCTTCTGGATCTACAATAGAGTTTTCAATCTTAGACATGAGCGGCTTCAAAATAAGGAGACGATATCTCTCTGGAGGTAGGAAGCGAGAGACATCGTCTGTTTGGAAGAGATGCTCGTATATCCATTCTTGTGCTTGGGAAGAGCGAAGTGTTTCTGAGGAAGGCCAAGCCAAATTCTGAGCGTCGAGAAGCTGCAGATATTGCCTGCGGAACAGACGAATCTGGCGCAGCGCTTCTTCTGAAAGCGATCCTTGGGTCATGATGAGTACATGTGAATGTTGTCAAACCACAGAAACTTCACTGAAGTGACGATCGAGCGCAGTATTAAAAAATAAATGCACAAAAAGTCGAAGGGAAGGAGCGGCTCGACGTCGGAGAAGCACGCTAGCAGGCCGGAGCACGGACCACGCACACAGAGGCAGGCTGGCTTGTCGAATTTGCGCGGCGTCTTTGAGGATTCTTCTTTTGCTTTGCTTGAGACGACAATTCAACTTCGACGACCATCGATCCCATCCCCATACCGCAAAAATGGCCGACGCTCAAGTTACTCTGCGCACGCGCAAGTTCATCCGCAACCCCCTGCTCGCCCGTAAGCAGATGGTCGTGTGAGTCTCTTCGCCCCCCCAACCGCTAGAGCACCGACGCAGCCGCCGCCGACCGCCAGTCTATCATGCCATGGAAACGAGGAAGAGGAGGATCATCACACCTGCACGATATTCAACATTGCGACGCAATGTGTGGAAGGATCTGTGATATGAAGAGAATTTTCACGACTCGTATCTCGTATCACATGGCAGGCAGACTGGAGGTTGACGGTGGTAGCTGAGGCAGCCGGCACAATTGATCTCCTCTATATTGAGATCCGAGTACTGACGAGGGATTCTTCCTCAATACAGTGATGTCCTCCACCCCAACCGTCCCAACGTCTCCAAGGACGAGCTCCGTCAGAAGCTCTCCGAGCTCTACAAGGCCGACAAGGACCAGGTCTCCGTCTTCGGTTTCCGCACCCAGTACGGTGGTGGCAAGTCCACTGGCTTCGCTCTCATCTACGACTCCAACGAGGCCATGAAGAAGTTCGAGCCCCACTACCGTCTGGTCCGTGTTGGCATGGCCACCAAGATCGAGAAGGCCTCCAGACAGCAGCGTACGTGGAGAGAATCCCAAACTTGTCAAGTTTCCAATACTGACCCATACCACAGGCAAGCAACGCAAGAACCGCATGAAGACCCTCACCGGTACCGCCAAGGTCAAGGGTGCCAAGACCAAGAAGGACAAATAAGCGCATCGCCTTGTTTTCCTGGAGTGGTCTGTCGTGTGTCGTTTACGCCGGATGTGGAAAAATGTTGTTTTGGCTGTGGAACATGGTATTCGCAACAACCCCAACACACATCGGCGCGCACTGTCTTCAATACCCGGCCTTCTAAAAGATACCACCACTTGTATCATGCTGCTACAGTGGTCATGGATGGGGATGAAAATGGCGTCCGGTTCTTAGCTTTTCGTAGTCTACACCCCCTACTCGAAAAGTACGATCATCAAAAAGTCCAGTCTTTGTCTCGTTTTATTCTGTCACATCATCTTTCGTGTTCCTTGTAGTTTACAGTATACTTGAACTCGTAAACAATTCAGCCTTCCTTGACCTCAGAATAACTTTCACGATATACTATGTTGCTTCTTTCAAACTAACCTACACCTCCTTCGGAATCATACATCTATGGTCTCTTGATCTTGTACAACTGTAAGTTTAACACGTCCTCGACGCTCACAAATATCAAATGCCATCATTGAACAAGACGTTACCAGTCTGATTCAAAAAGTTCGTTTCACCATCACAACCTCTCTAGAGTGTTTTCGTCCAGTTTGTTCTCGACTTTGGATATAGATTGACATTTGTCCAATCATGCATTGTTTATTGCACGACCCCCTATTCGTATTAAGAGATGTTTCACTTTGAGATGGATATCGAGATTCGAGTGATGGGTGATCATAATCATTAGGGATGTCATTTCTTGTGCTTGGGTTTATGCTAGTGTCTCCATCAAGGAGCAATGGTGGGTGCAGATGTGGTCGTAGAAGGCCCAGGTGCAGCTACAGCAATAGGAGCAACATGAGCCACAGGAGCAACAGCGGCCATAGGAGCAGCAACTGATGCCCCGACTGGCGCAGCAACAGGAGCAACACCCTCCTTCCCACCCTCCTCACTCTTAACTTCCTTCTCCTTCACCACCTCCTTCCTAACAACCCGTCCAGTAACAAAACACTCCGGCACACCTCTAGCCACTCTCCCCATGACACCCTCTCCCAAAATGCCCATCCAGCAATCCCACCCTTGCCCTCCCCATCTACATCCTCCAGCACTAACCCTTTGAAGCGCTTTATAAGCCTCCAACCCCTGATACGCAATCCCCGTCTTTGGATCTCTGAATTTCGCCGGTTTTGCAGTAATCGCACAAACAGGTTTTGGAGGCGGGGGAGGTAAGAACTCCTTCTTCTTTGCGGACTTGGAGGTGAGATATTTGGCTTCTTGGGGGGTGAGGTGGGGTAGAGCGTCAGGGATGAAGACGCTGGAGAGGAGAGTCGAAGTTGCGGTTGACCTTTTGCTTGATGGGGCGGGAGGAGGGAGGATGGAGGGATCGAGTTCGGGGAAGGCTTCGAGGATTACTAGAGAGCGTTGGGCTTGTTCGCGAATTAGAGGGATGGGTGGCGGTTGTGGTGTGGTGGTCTCTGGTTGTTGGGCTTGTGGGTATATGTCGAATGGTGTTGGTTGTGATGGGGTGTCTGCTGGTTGTACCGAAGGAGCCTGAGGGAGAGGAGCTTGGGGATGATCGGTGATCGTTGTTTGTTGAGATTGCTCAGGCACAGGTGTTTGCTGAGGTTGTGTCTGAACAGGCGCTGTCTCTGCTGTTTGTGTTTGAGTAGCAGGTACCGGAGTAGGGGTTTGTAATGATGGATCATTCTTCTTCTGTGCAGTAGCCTCTGGTGATTGAGAAGCCCAGTAGTGGATGCCATCCAAGAACGACGGTGACTTTTGGTCAGGAGCGGGAGTAGGCTGCGCCGTGTTTGGCTCAGATACTTTCTCCTCAGGCGCCTTGTCCCCAGAAGGCCTTCCCTCAGCAACCTTTTCCTCAGCAGACTTCTGCTCGCCTTGTGGTTCCACTGGTTTCTCAGCACCTCCTACTGCATCCGGCAATGTCTCCTCAGTCGTCTCGATCGTGTTCTTCGGAGACATCGCCTGCTCCTTTTCCAAGGCCAAGACTTCATCCGTTGGTTGTTCTGGCCGTGGAATAGTCGTCGCTTCAGATGTTGCGTCTACCATGACCGTATCTTCGGTATGTTCGGCGTCTGCTGGCACATGTACCGGCTTGTCTCCTTGTGCGTCTGATTGAGTTGGCGTCTTGTCGGCATCGGTGGTAGGAGGTTGTGAAGGTGTGTCCGTGGATACGACTTCTGCGGCAGGCTTCGGTTTGCTTTCAACGACAGGTTCGATCCTAGGCTGATGGACGCGCTTGACCTTGATTTTTTCCCCTTCCCAGACGACCGAACCACTCCAGTACCTGAAGACGGGACCTTCCAGTTGTCTGTCTCTCAAGGCTTCCAGTCTCCTTTGTTGAGCGATTTGGCGCTCTTCCTCGGCCTTCTCCCAGCGATTGAGTGTCCTGCTGTTTTCTTTCTCCACCTTAAGAGCTCTCTTCATACGGTCCTCCTGAGTGAGGGCAGGAACGGCAGCAGCGGCCTTCTTCTCGGCAGCGATCTTCATAAGCTCGTGAGCCTTCTCTGAGCGCTTCTGACTCTCCTTCAGCTTTGCCTCTGTCTGTTCCTTGTTCGCGACGGTCTGGCGACGTCTGGATTGACGTGTTGGCGCATCGTCGAGTGTTGGAAGCCAGGATATGCGTTCGGACTTCTTGCGCGGACGGGGCGCGAGTAGCGAGTTTGTAGCAGCAAGTCTTTGGCGTTTCATGAGAGGATTGAGTGGCATGTTGGCAAAGTCGTTGGCCTTGCGCTTCTTCTTGCGTGCCTCTGCGCGTTCGGCCTTCTGTAGCTCTTTCTCTCCCTGTAGTTCCTCATCCTGGCCGTCGCGTGGTGGACCGTCGTCGTCCGAATCATCACTGGATCCAAAGGCGACATCTTCGGTGTCTGATAGTTGGTAGTCCAGTTGATCGGTTTCGTCTTCGGCTAGTAGGTCATTTCGTACGTCTTCGTCTTCGAGATGTTGCATGAGAAACTGCATGCGGTTTCCCGCCGTCGCTCTTTTGGCGCGGCCATGGACCAGCAGCTCCTCAGAAGGAGCTTCATTTTCCGGTTCTTGCGACATGGCAGAATGGTAATTGCGATGTCGACATGGAAGGAGCATCGAAACATTGTCAGGGCACATGTGTTCAAGCGTCCGTGCATCCCCGCCATCATGGTCAAAGGATTCTTTTTTTTGTTGCCCAATCTTCGTCACTTTCCATACAAGACAACAGACTGTCAAAATGCCTCCTCGCAAGTTGTGAGTATCTGACGTGCGAGAAACGCCTCGGTCAACTTCTAACACTTTCATAGCGACAAGAAGAATGCGACCACGTTCGCCCTGGTCCACCGTGCCCAAAACGACCCTCTCATCAACGATGCCGACGCTCCGAACATGGTCTTCGCCGAATTGAGAGGCCCCCAGTATGCAAAGAACAGACGCAAGATCAAGGAGCGTGGCGACCTGGAAGATGAGTTCGGAACAGAATACAAGCCCAACGAGGGCGAGGCCGCCGAGCACGGCGTTTACTTCGACGATACCCAGTACGATTACATGCAACATTTGCGCGACCTGGGCTCTGGAGGTGGTGCGGCCACTTGGGTCGAAGCTCCCTCAGCCAAGAACAAGAATAAGGGAAAGATGAGCCTGGAAGACGCCCTTCGCGGCATGGACGTCAAGGACGACGACTTGCAGAGTTACGGAGGAGAGAGTGTCGCTTCATCAAGAAGTCTGATGCCCGATGACATGCTGCCCAGCGACTTTGTCCGCAAGACCACCTACCAGGACATGCAAAACGTACCCGATGCTATTGCTGGCTTCCAGCCCGACATGGACCCTCGCCTGCGTGAAGCCCTCGAGGCCCTGGAGGACGAGGCTTACGTTGATGATGAGGACGACTTCTTCGGCGAACTCACAGGCGACGCTGAGGAGCTCGACCGTGATGACTTTGAGGATCTCCAATTCGATGAGGAAGAGGGCAACGCTTATGTCGACGACGACGATGAAGGCTGGCAATCAGACGACACTATCAAGGCTGGAGAAGGAAAGGGCGAGAACCTACCACCACCTGCAGACACCGCCGCTCCTCCACCATCAGATCCGAGCGAGGGTGCCTGGATGGAAGAGTTCACCAAGTTCAAGCAAGACGTCAAGGCTGCCAAAGCCCTGCCTAAGAAGCCTGTTCAGGCAGCTCCTTCAGAAATACAATCTGTCAACACCGGTCTATCTTCTCTGGCATCAGGTCGCCGCAAGAAGCGCAAGGGTGCTATGACCTCAACCTCTGGCTACTCCATGTCCTCTTCCGCTCTCGTTCGCACAGACGCTCAAAGTCTGCTAGACCAGAGATTCGACAAGATCGAAGAAGCTTACGCCGAAGACGACTTTGACGATTACGGTTCCCAATTCGATGATGCAGAGTCCATGGCTTCTGGCATGACTGGAATGTCTCACGCTTCAGCCATCAGCTCTTACTCACGAGCCACCGATTCAGAAGCACCCAACCTCGTCCGCACCGATTTCGACAGTATCATGGACGGTTTCCTTGCTGGTCACTCTCGCGCCGGCAACCGTGGTCGTCACATCAAGAAGTCAGGATTCCAGACTGGTATGGAGCAGCTTGATGAGATCCGCTTCGGACTGGGTCCTGCTCGTCTAGGCAAGTCTGCTCGTGCTCAAAGCAATCGTCATCAATAGTCGGCTCTGCACAACTTGATCTTGTTACTTGTTAGCGTGGCGTTTGGGAAAAGGTATGGACCACAAAAAGGGACCATAAGCGTAGCATCATCTATATCACGATACAACATGTCAATTCAATTGTCTAGAAGCTACAGATTGAGCCTTAGAACGAATGAGGAGTGCGTAAACAGATTCCGAACTTACCAACCCGCGGGAGAGCTATCTGATCTGGGAGTGGCTGCTCGTTCCACATGGAAAATTTGCAAAATCATGAAGGCTGCTGACGAAACATGCTTCGCATCAGCCCCTTTAGCTCAGTTGGTAGAGCGCGGCACTAGTAATGCCGAGGTCGCCGGTTCGACTCCGTCAGGGGGCACTGATCTTTTGCCCTCCAGCCCTGCCCTTTTGCCTGGCCGAACGGAGATGACATACCGGACGACCAGCCCGACAGCCATCAAGAGATAGAGTTCAGAACCAAGACCAAGCTTGACCTTATCGTCCAACATCGTGATAGCAGTTGAGGTGGCTAGTGCCATGTAACGACCTCATTCTCCATGTGATGCTTTGACGGCGGGGAAGTTTGCTGTATTGTTGTACGGCCGATTCTTTTGGTCAGACCACCAGTAGCAATTTGTGTTGGGAGAGGCGGTTCTTTGTGCTCTTTCTTGCGAACGCGCAATGATCTGTGAATTTGGAGGACCAGAACCTCCAATGTATCCCAGTACCTGGGACAGAGTTTCAATCGTGTGAAGCTTTTGCTGACAGCCGCAAGGAGGTACCGCAGGGTTCTACCTTCTGCTATCCGGATGTAATGGCAGAATAATGACCAGGACTCGAGCCAGGTTTGGTCTGTGATCGTCAGCATTCTCCGCATGTTTCTTTGGGGGAACCGGAGTGCAGTGGAGATAACCGTTGTCAATGAAGTCCGTGCTCTGACTTGCTTGCATGTTGCATATCCAGCACCAGCCTTTTCCCTCTCCGCCGGGATCTCACCTGGAAAAGTTACAGCCACAACTTGGAAGACTTGGATGCGGTTATGCGCGGCCGGTAGATCCTAGCAACACGCCCAGCGACGATTCGCTGGCATCGGGTGGACAAGATCCGCCCGTGCAGTCGTGCCGCTCTTTTGGTCCAAATCCAACCACCTTCTTTGAGACAGTTGTGGAGTTGAAGAGAGCAAGTCTTGAATCCGGCGAGCGGCAAGAACTCTATCTAAGCCAAACAGGCAGTCCGGCGCTCATCGCTCTGCATGCTTACTCGACCTTAGAGTTCTCGCATGCATTCATCTACACGTATGCCCGCGGGTCTCGTCCTGCTTGATTCGATCTCATGAATGCAGGCATATCGCCTTTACGATATATAGGTAACGCGAGCGTCCGCTGTCTTTGCATCGTTTCGCGACGAGGCAGGCTCCTTTGCTACCCCTCTATCAATTGTCTCTCAAACTACCACATATTCAGCTTAGAGTTTCTAGAGCGCCATGGTTTAGTTCCTTGTCACCATCCCGAAACAAAAGCATGATACTCGACGACAGTGATCATATTTATCCTCGCCGTGCCCAGAACGAGTGATTTCCTCGTTGTTGCGTGTTTCCTGCATAGCCTGCCCCTCTTCTGCGCATGCCATTTTCGAAACAGTGAAGGAAGAAGCGGCTGAGAAAGCAAAACGTCAGCACGAACTGCCTAACCAAAATCGAAGTGCTGAGTTTCTCAGTCGCAGCTTCCTCCTGTTGCGACAATGGATCCTTCCAGTGTCTCAAATTCAACATTGTGTACGTGGAACTGTATCTACCACTCCCATGTTCGACCATCGCTAACCAAGCATCACAGCGAATCGAATCGACAATGTACTGCCTCTTGCTCCGGTCCTCACGCCTGCATTCGGCGTCGCTGGTGCCATCCTTATCATCACTGGATCAGCATTCTGCTTCGTTGGCAAAAACAGCCAATCGTTCGTTTGTTCACCACTTGACCATTGTTTGCTTGCTAATCAATGATTGCAGACTATATGGTTTACTGAGTTGGACCTACTCTTTCGGTCTTGGTGTAACCGTATGCATTCTGCCTTTCTGGTACCACCGCCAGCGCTGACTTGGCAACAGGTGCTTGTCCTCGAGACCGCGAATCTGCCGGTGTCCCATGGAATTCAGGGCGCATATCTAGTGGCTATCGTCTTGCCAGCTCTCATCCTCGGTGCTGTCGTCTCACTGCTTTCCGCTGACAGTGCCGAATGGTTCGGCGGATTTATAGGAGGGTTCTGCATCGCTATGTGGTTCGAATTGCTACGATCTGGAGGCCTCATACAATCTCAGCTGGTCGCGATATGGATTGTGCTCGCCTCTCTCGTTGGTTGCGCATGCACATTCGGGGCCACATTCGGGGCAAAAAAAAGTTGGCCTCATGCCGTATCTTCAGCATTTGCTGGAGCAACCGCAATTGTGCTAGGTGTAGATTGTTTCAGTCGTGCTGGTTTGAAGGAGTTTTGGGTGTACACCTGGCGTGAGTCGGTCTTCGAATACACATGAGTTGATACTGAACTGTACAGGCTTCAGGAACGATGATATCTTTTCCTATCCTACCACCGACTATCCCCTGACCAGAGGCATCAAGGCGGAGCTAGGTTGTCTAATGGTCTTGTTTGTTTTTGGTCTCATATCTCAGTACAAGCTCTACACTCCGTCATCCATCAAAAAGATATTGCCAGAGCGTCTACACGGCAGACGAGGTAGTGATATTGAAGCTCCGAACGAGATGTATGACATGGGCACTCGCAGCTGCGTTGAAGTACCTCAAGGGGAGAAGAAGACTCCAAATGTCGAACAGACACAGGTTTACCCAGACTCTCCACGACAGGCTGGCCACCGAAGGTCTCATGGCGCGGCAAACTGCATACGGAACAGACCAGACTCTGATGCTCGGACGCTGGTGGCGACAAATGATGAACAACACCACGATGACGAGATCTCTCCTGTTGAAGTCCCCGCAGACAACACAGAATCAAATTCGGCTTTATTCTACATCCGCACTTTGCGTCCAACCTCGCATCCCCCTCGACCTATTATTCCACACTCAGATGACGGGCTTGAATCTGAACCATCCTCAGATGGAATCGCTCTGGTTCCATTCAACTCGACCAGAACTTCATTGCCTTTTCTCTCGGATAGGGTTAGTTCCACAGCCTTGTCTCGTATGCTGCAGGATACAGAAGACAGCGAAGGACATGGGAAAATCAATGCTCTTACCACACCCAAAGAGTTCCAACTGGACTTGTTTTCGTGGGAGCAGACTTCTGGAGACGACGATGGCGATAGAAAATCCGCTCAGGAATCGATTCAACACTCCGATCACGAGTCTGATTCAAAGCCACGTGTCCAACGAGAAGGCACGAACGAGCAACGTCAAGAGTCAGAGAGTGTATTGCAGAGTCCAAAATTGCCGGAGGCTAAATCTCGAGGCCGCAAAAGCAGTGGTAGCCATGTCCGCAAACTTTCTGAGATGGAAGATGAGAGGAAAAAAGAAGTCATGGAAAGAACAAACGAGTGGTGTAAGACAGTGGTTCCGGTAGAGCCAGAGTTGAGAGCTTCATCCGCAGATGAAGACACCCCAAGCCTTTGGTCAGGCTTCGAGGGCACGCACACAACAGACAGCATCGTTGATTTGACGGCTGGTAAGGGTCCAACAGCACCGCGGCTACCAGAATCTGCTCTCGTACGAGCAAGTCCCCTTAAGCAGAAGAAGCGCAGATCTAGACGCGTCTCAGTCGTCGAAGGAAAGACCGCCATACTACCTGCACCAGTCATATCAGCACGCGTACATGAGCGTAATTTATCCCTTCCGCTGCTCAATACCGCTGCCAACCTTCTGGACCATCGGGAGAAGACGTTAGGACAAAGAAGGAAGCATAAATCGTACACGCATGAGTTGGCGGTAGACGGTTCCGCAGGCCATGTCGCCATGAAGAACTTCCACAGTGTCGGATGGGCTCCTCCTGAAGAGGATGACATGACACTGGCGGAAAGGCGAGCAAGCCTTCAAGCGGCAAGAACAATGAGCAGCGGTCAGGTGTCCACGGTATCGTCCCACGTGCCCTACACTCCAAACAGCACACGTGTTCAATCGACCGCAAGAACAACTCCCATCGCATCCTCGCCTGCGCATCCTCCGTTTATCACCACCGCCTTCCCGCTGCGTGGCGCTTATCCCCCGCCACCAGGAGGTGAACTCACTCCCGTACCTCCGTACCGATATGCAATCCCGTCATCGGTTCCAAATGGCATAAACACCGCTACTTGCTTCGACAACATACCTCAACCTACTATACAGGAGAATGGTTTACCCACCCCACATACTCCACGCATACGTAGCGTTCCAGTCCAAGGAGCTGCGTCTACTTTGGTCAACCAGATTGAAGAGCAGGAGAAGTGCCTCAAACAGCAAAAGGAGGATCGAGAGAAAGCTGCACAGAAAGCCGTCGAAGACACCGCAAAGGCCAGGAAAGCGGTAGAAACCCAGCGACTCAGAACAATACAAATGGAGCAAATGCTGCGTAGTGGAAAGTATGAGGATGCTCATCGGGAAAATCTCAGAAAGATGCAAAGAAAGGCCACAGAAAATGCAAACAAGGCTGGCTGAACACGACTGAAAAGGACAAGAAAAAAAATCATAGCATTTATTGTATGAAGAAGAGCGAGCGTTGACCACACTTTCGTTTACAATCATTGCTGGAGATTGCAATGCAGGCGTTTATGTTTCTTTTTTTTTCTTTTTCTTTTTCTTTTTTCCTTTTCCTTTGTTCATATGGGTAATATCTTCGGATTTGGGGAGGACAGACACGAATACCACGAAAGAACGATGCGATGATGCCGGATGAGAACAACACTTTTCCTTTCGATAATTTTCAACTCAATACGAAAACACAACTCAACATTGTGTCAGTTACTCGCTTCTTTAGACTTCTCTTTGCTTCATTATCATGTGTATTGCTGTTCAACATCTAAGCCTTCTCTCCTACTTGATTCTTTCATCTTTTTCGTTTTGTATGATAGCTTGTTTCGTTTTAGCGGATCTGGTGTTGGCTGCTCTTTCCTTGTAGATTGGACATTGCTGTTCTCTTTGTATGTCCGGTCGTTCTCTCCTCGTGTGAGATTTTAATCACTTGTTCTTCTTTTCTAAAAGACGAGTGTTCAAAACGCCCTCTTCTCGTTCTTTGAGTGCTTGGTGGGGACATGATAGCAAGTATACAGTGTATCCAGACAGGCAGGTAGGTAAGAATGACTAGCATTACAACAACAACGGCGACCTGTAAAAGTACAATGATGTTACAAACCCCAACGAACAATAAACACCACAAGACCAACGCAATGCAACGCTAATGCGATCAAAACTTTTGCATCAACAATACACATCCGCCCCTTTAAGCCATCCAATTCCTTCCGAATCCAGACTTTCAAGCCTCGACCCACGGACAACATACATCTACGAAGACATTTTCTTCCTAATCGAGCCAGAAATATGTCTCAATATCTTCGGACTTTTATGCTGTTCAATACCCACAGCACTGGTTCTCCTCTCCGAGAGCCCTTCACTTTTCAACTCTTTGCCTTCCTGCAATGCTTCGAACTGTGCAGGTGCGATGGAGAAGTCCATGTCTGCGTGCTCTCTAGCCTCTGCGGTCATTGGTCGTGTAGAGCTGCGACCTAATGTGCTTCCACCTTCTGAAAAGCTGTGTTTGCTGTACTCAGGGCGAGAAGATGGGGGAGGAGTGGAGACAACACGTTGACCGGTTCTAGGGCGGGCTGAGCCTGGACGTGAGGATGAGGCTGAGGAACGAGAGGAGCGGCTGGAGTTGAATGGAGATGATATCTTGCCCATGAACGACCCGAGGCGACTCTGACTGGTCTTACGTCTCAGTGAGCCTTGCGGATCGGCGGACTGAGGCCTAGGTGATGCGACACCAGGGGACTCTGAGCGAGTAGGTGCGTACGTCTCGACGTTACGCCATAGGTGAGCGTTACGGTCGCCTTGTAGGTAGTCGTTCGAGGTTACCGAGCGCAAGGGTCTATGGCGTACAGAAGCAGGGCTCTGGGCCGCGCTGTGCAGACGATCGATCTGTTCCGACATCTCCTCGAAGCGCTCAGGGCCAATGCTTAGATCTGAATCCAGCATTTCCTTCTCTCCAAGCAGTTCGGCGATTTTCTTGTCATATTCGTCGCTCAGTGCCTGGAATTGCGACTGGTGCTGACGCTGAATCTGCGACCTCCGATTGGCCAATCGCTCCGCGTGCTCAGAGACCAAGCGTGTCTCTTCGATTTGAAGCTCGTCAACATGGCCCTCGTGCGGAACAGGTACCATTTTCTTGATGCCAGTATCAACCGGTTGGGTGTAACTGGCTCTCAGCTTACTACGAGCAGCGTCGAGCTCTGTAGTATGTTGTAATTCGAGCCGCTCCTCACGCTGAGACTTCTCGTCAACCATGGCCTCAAACTTCTGCTGGTAATCATGGTTGAGCTGCTCTCGGGCTTGCTCCAGGTGGTCGACGTGCTCTCTAATCCTCTGAGTGAACAGCAGCTCCCCAGCAGTGATCACCTTACTCATATCAGAGAAATCTGAATCCGAGTGAGCAAAGTAGTCGGCGCCAGACCGCTGGCTCACGCCACCAACTGAAGTGGACCTGCTGTAAGGCACAGACTTGTTCAGGGGCGTAACTGGTCTCAGGAGACCTTGTCCTTGTTGCTTGCTAAGCGCTGCGTTCTCTGCTAGCGTTTCTTGGAGTTGCGCTTCGAGGGTCTTGAGCTTCAAGTCTGAATCAGTACCGTTGTCGACCAGGCTTTGCTTGGTTTGTTCTAACTCAATGGTAAGGTTCTCCAGTCGAGAGGCCAGAATATCGAACTCTTTTGAGCTGTCGTCCTTGTCAGAGGTTAATTGCGCAATGGTATGGGCGGCTTCTTGTCGTTCGCTCTCCACGGAGGCTAGTCTTGCTTCCAGTTCTTGCTCCTCAATCAGTCTCTTATTCAATGTCGTACGTGTCTCTTCCTCTGTCACGATACGTCTCTCTTCTTCTAGCGCGACCTGTCGTTGTCTCTCATTTTCCATCTCCCTCCTCAACACGTCCAGCTCCCCAAGTAGACTCTGCCTCTCCTCAGTGAGTTTCTGCATTCCTGCTTCCATCTGCTCCAGCTTTTGATTGGTAGTCTGGAGCTCCCCCTTTAACCCTTCGATCGCAGCTTCGTGCTCTGCCTTAGCCTCAGCTAATTGTCGGCCCCGTTCTTGCGTCTCTTGGACACTATTCTCTTGAGCCCTTGCTTCTACTTCTGTCAGTCTTTGCTTCTCTTGCTGGAGCTCTTCTTGCAGGGTTTGTTGCACACGCACGGCCGATGATTGGTTTTCTTTCTTCTCTTCCTCCAGTTTGGCAAGTTGTTGCTCGTATGATTGTACGGATTGGAGTCGGTGATCTTTGTCTTGTTGACGGACGGAGGCGATGTCCTCTTCATGGCTCTGCTTCAGCTGCGCGATTTTCATGTCTGCTTCTTCCTGGGTAGTGGTTAGCAGTTGTTGGACCTTCGCTAGTTCTTGCGAATGGTCCGATGCCATATCTGTAAGTCTGGTCACAGTTTCGCCGGCTTGAACCTCAAGAGCTGATTTATGACTGGCTTCCAACTGCTCCATGCGGGACTGCAACTCCGCTTGAGTCTTCTCAGCAGTTTGCTGTAACTCGGAAAGTTTTTCCTCATGAAGGGCGTTGGTCTCGGAGAGCTTGGCGTCTCTTTCGGTAGCATGACTGCTAAGGTCCTTCTCATGTTGTTGACGTAGGTCGTCCAGTTGAGACTGCACCTTAGCCTGTGCTTCCTCCGCGGCATGATGAGCATCGGCAACTGCCTGCTCATGGGTGCTCTTCATCTCGGTGATCTGGGCGTCTTTATTGGCGGTATGGTCATCGAGCTCCTTCCTGTGCTGTTGGCGTAGATTCTCCAGCTGTGTCTCCATCTCGCTTGCTTTGGCTTGCTCCACTTCTTCACGGACCGTGGTCAGGTGTGTCTCGTGGGTGCGCTTAACTTCAGACAGCTTCTCATCGGCTCCAACGGTATAATTGTCCAGTTCCTTCTGGTGCACTTGACGGAGGTTGTCCAATTGCGTCTGCATTTCACCGTCCTTGTCTTGCTCCACTTCCTCACGCACCTTTGAGAGCTGCGATTGGTGGGAAAGCTTGAGTTCAGATAGTTTCTCTTCGGCTTCAGCAGCGTGGCTGCCGATCGCCTTATCATGCTGCTGGCGTAAGTTGTCGAGCTGTGTCTCCATCTCATCGTTCTTGGCTTGCTCAGCCTCTGTGCGAACCACAGACAATTGGTCCTCGTGTGAACGCTTGAGTTCGGCAATCTTCTTTTCAGACTCGAATGTCTGAGACTTGAGTTCGTCCTGGTGATTCTGGCCGAGTGCCTCGATTTGAGCTTGCAGGTTGTCGTGCTTTGCTTGAGCGTCGTTCTGCACCGTGGTAGCTTCCTGGCGAAGGCTTTCAATTACCTTGTGAGCCTGTTGAGTTTCTGCGGATTTGTTCTCCACTTGCTCGCGCAGGGTAGACAACTCGGCCTCATTATCGATATGAAGTTTGCTCAGCTGCTCGTTGAGCTCCTCAACTTGTTTCTCGACAATCTGTCGAGCTTCGGCGGAGCGCTGTTCGTAAAGTTGAACGGTCTCGTCAAGCTTGCTACGATGGGCGGCTTCCAGGTCTCTGATCTCTTGCTGATGCTTCTCGATAGCTTGGGCGGAGGTATTCTCTGACGTCTTGTAAGCCTCGTCGAGTTGTGCGCGATGTTTCTCCTTCAACTCGTCGACTTCGTGCTGATGCTTCTGGGCAACTTCGGCGGAAGTTCTCTCTGAAACCTTGCGCGCCTCGACAAGCTGAGCGTTATGCTTCGTTGTGAGGACCTTGATCTCTTCCTGGTGCTTCTGGGCGGTGTCAGAGGAAGCAGATTCAGATGTCTTATGGGCCTTCTCAAGCTCGGCAATATGCTTCGCCTTCAGTTCATCAATTTGCTGCTGGTGCTTCTGATTAGCATCTGCAGAGGAAGTCTCTGACGCCTTCTGCGCTTCTTCGAGCTGAACACTGTGCTGAGCTTTCAGGTCCTCAATTTGCTGCTTATGTTTCTGCATAATTTGAGTAGAAGTGGTCTCTGATGTCTTACGGACCTCGTCTAGCTCAGCGCGATGTTTGGACTCGAGATCTTCAATCTTCTGTGTGTGCTTCTTGGTAATATCAGCAGAAGTAGCCTCTGATGCTTCTTGAGCCTCAGCAAGCTGGGTACGATGCTTGATCTCGAGGTCCTTGATCTCTGCCTGATACTTCTGAGCAGCGTCGGCTGAGGCAGATTCAGATGTTGTCTTTGCCTCATCGAGCTTCCCGAGAAGCTTGGTTTCGGTGTCTCTGAGAGCAGCGCGGTGAGTCTCTTCAAGCTGTCGAAGACGGTCCTCGTGACGCTTTTCAAGCTCAGTACGTAGAACACCGAGGTTCTTCACGTGGTTGGTCTTGATGTCCTTGAGTGCAGAGATCTGGGCGTCTTCAAGCTGTCGGATGTGGTCCTCGTGCTTCTTGTCAAGCTCACTGTGAAGGGTTTCGAGCTTCTTCGATTGTTCGTCTTCAGATGCTTGGAGTCTTTGTTCGTGTTTGGCCTCGATTTCGCGGAGTTGCTTTGAATGCTCCGCTTGGGCTTCGGCCACCGAGTTCTCAGCAATCTTAGCCTTCTCAGACGCTACTTCGATTTCTGATTGATGCTCCTGTTGGAAGCGTTCGAGTTGCTGCTTCAGTTCAGCCTGCGATTTTTCGGCCTCTTCCTTGTGGCTACGAAGACGATCCTCATGCTGCCGTCCCAAGACTTCCAACTGCTTCTGCAGCGCATTCTGGGCTGTGCTGGCCTCCTCATTGTGCTTTCGGAGCCTTTCTTCGTACTCTGCCTTCACAGCATCCATTTGCTTCTTGAGCGTGCTCTGTTCATCTTTGGCATCCTTGATCGCGCTCTCGAGCTGCACTTTGTGTTCGTCACCAAGCTTCTGGAGTTGCTGTGCAGTCTCCTCTCTGGCAATGTCGATAGCTTCTTGGCGCTGTTGCTGTTCAGATATGATTCGTGCCTCGTGAGTCTTCGTTAGATCCTGGATTTCGTTTTCGTGCTTGGCCTTAGTGGATGCGAGTTCCTTGTTGGTCGATTCAAAGTTTTTCCGGGCTTCTTGAACTTGACATGTCAGATCGTTCTGTACCTCGACGACGCGCTTCTCAGATTCGCTTGCACGACGCTCAGCGTCATCGGCGGCTTTTCTGCTTTCCTGCTGGAGACGGCGCTCTTCCTGAACTTGTGCTTCAAGTTGGCTTCGAGCCTCAACACCCTTCTCCTCGTAGCGGTTCTTGATGGCGGTGAGCATTGACTTGTGGCTTTCTGCAGCATCTTTGAGGCGCTTCTCCAGTGCAGCATAGGCTGATTCGTGTGCTTGCTTGACAGACTCAAGACTCTCGACATGTTTCTTCTCGCGTTCGTCTTGCTCAGAACGAGCCGCTTGGATCTGACGATCAGCTTCCTCCTTGGCTTGCTTCAGCTCGGTCTCTTGGGTTGCTATGGCGAATTTCCTTTCATCAAGCTGACGCTCGAGCTCAGTGATTGCGGAGCCATGAGCTTGCTTGATCTCGGCGATTTCTACTGCCGATCGGTCGGTAGAGATGTTCAACGCGTCTTCATGCTCCTGATGCAACTTTCTTATCGCCTCTGCATGATCGCGATCTGCTTGCATTCTGCTAGCTTCATTGGACCTTTCAGCCTCAGAGAGTTTCTCAGTGGCCTTTTGCAGTGCCTCCGAAATGTCTGTGAGTTCCTTCTCCTTGGCTGCGCGTAAATCGTCTAGTCGTTTCTGAGATTTTTCAAGGTGTGTCGACACTTGCGAGAGCTCTTGTTCAACCTGGTCTTTGGACTGACGCAGTGCCTCGTGCTCCTTCGATGCGGAAGACGCCTGCTCGCGGGAGGATACTAGCTCCTGTTCGACCTGAAGTTTTGATTCGCGCAACTGCTCAAGCTCATGCGCAGCCTCAGAAGCTCGCTGTTGAGAAGTAGTGAGCTGTTGCTGAATATCATCCTTGGACTTTCGAAGTTCCTTGATCTCTTCTGACAGAGAAGACACTTTGGCACGGAAGAGGGTCAAGAGTCTCTCGACTTCGTCCTTAGATTGCTGAAGCTGGGTAACATTCTGGGACAGAGCAGTCGTCTTCGCTTCGGAGGAAGCCAGGTTTTGCTCAACGTCGCTCTTTGCTTGACGAAGCTGTTCGAGCTCTCTGCCAGATCTGGATGCTTCTTCCTGCAAGACTGCCAACTTCTGCTCGATGTCCTTAGTGATCTGACGCAAGTCTTGGAGCTCTGTTGAGGTTGATGAAGCCTCTTTGCGAGAAATGACTAGTTGTTGCTCAACTTCTTGCTTGGACTGACGCAACGACTCAATCTCCTTGACAGAAGATGATGCCTGCTCCTGAGTGAATTTCAATTCCTTTTCGATGCTGCTCTTAGATTCACGGAGATGCTCGAGCTCTTGTTTTGAAGACGTGACTTCTTCTTTGAGCGAGATCAATTGTTGTTCAATCTCAAGCTTGGACTGGCGCAACTGATTGAGCTCCTCATTGAGTGACGATGCATTGTCTTGAGAAGTGGCCAATTGCAATTCAATCTCTGATATGCGTGCTCTGCTCTGATCATCGGCTTCCTCTCTCTGCTTGGCCTCCTTGATAGACTTTGCAAGCTTTCCAGCAACCTCTGCAAGTCTCGTTTTCAACGCGCTGTCTGACTCTGCTGCATGTTGACGTACGGTAGCCAGATCGTTGACAACGGCCTCATGCTGTTGTTTCAATTCATCGTGGACCTTTTGAGCATGTGTCTTGTGGTTGTCCAGTTGGCGCGCATGGTCATCTTGAGCTTTCGAAAGCTCTGACCGGATGTTGTCGAGCTCCTTGGCCTTGCTGGAAAGAGAGACTTCAATTGATCTCTGAGCCTCAGTGTGCTGATCAAGCGCTTGCTCGAGCTTGTGGACGGCGTCTTGTCTCTCCTTTTGGGTGGAAGAGAGTTGTGTCTTGGTATCGTCAAGCTCAGCGACAACGCTAGCCTTTTCACCCTTCAGTGACTGCAACTCTTCTTCAACCTTGCGCTTCTCTGCTTCGTACCCGGCGGTTGCGCTCTCCAATGCCTGAGTAGCTGCAATGAGCTGCTTCTCCAGGTCGGTGGCCTTCTGCTTGAAGGTTGCGAGTTCGGCGTCGATGTCGGCCTTGGACGATTTCAAGTTGTTCAAAGCCTGGTCTGCCTCCTGCTGCCTGGCTTGGCTGTCCTGGATGGTACTCTGAAGGCTCTCGGCGGCTTGCACGTTGGCTTCTTGGAGAGCGGCAACTTCCTTCGACTTGTCATCCAGAGAGACACGAAGCGAGGCTTCTAGTTCTGCAAGGCTCTTGATCTGAGACTTTGCTTCTGCGGCAGTGGCCAAGGCTTCGGCAATATTCTGTTCCAACTCTTGAATCTTGTCGTTGGCAGCTTGCAAAGAGGTATTGAGGCTCTCCTTATCCTTCTCGGCAGCCTTGGATGCCTCCTCAAGGTTACGAAGCGACTCGTTGGCCTCTTCGTAAAGTTTCTGGTACTTGGTGGTGTCCTCACGCAGCTGTGACAACTGGCTCTGGCTCTCCTCTTTCTCTGCGGCCAATGCCTTGTTCTTCGACACGAGTTCCTCCAGGGATTGCTTGATCTGATCCCGATGTACCTGACCTTCCTCCAGCTCTTTTGACAATTGGCTCAGCTGAGCAGCGACAGCCTCCTTCTCTTCAATCAAGATGTCGATGCGGTTCTCAGCGTTCTCCAGCCATTCTTCTCTTTCGCGCTTGACTTTCTCGAGCTCTTCCCGGACCTGAGCGAGTTCTTGCAAATGTCGGTCGTGTGCTCTTGCGAGGTCCACATCTGTGAAGGATTCATCTTCTGAATCAGGACTGGCGGGCCGGCTGGGATCTCTTGAGATGCGTATCCTCTTCTGGAGGGTTTCGAGTTCTTTGAGGATGTATTCTTGGGTGATGTTTGCGTGGAAGGCCCTTCGAAAGACTTGGTGGCTGATGTTGGAGCCGGAAGACAATCGGACGAGCTCCTTGATACGTTCTACATCTCCTGAGAGAGCGGAAGGAGCTACCGGCGACCCATTGGCACCATCGGTTGGCGATGATGACATGACCCTTGTGTCGTAGTAATGAGATTAGTTGCGATGCTCGAACCAACCAGAAATCATAACGAACGCTAAGACGCAAATGCAACAATTGCAACAAGTCAATTCAGAGAGGAATATATACAGAGGGGAGAGAAAGCATGACCTGGCGTGACAAACAGGAAATTGAACAAATTCAGGCCGCATGCTCGATTCAGGGTCCGTCCACAAGTCCGACGCTGCCCGAAGCTTTGGCTGTTCACCGCTCTCAAATCGAGACAACAAACATGGATTCAACCACTGCGCTGAAACGACCGCCTTGACAAACAACAAAATCTTTTGTTTCCATCTTCTATGCCCACGTTGTAAATGCATAAACTCGTCGATCGTGCACCGACCTCCTGCAGCCACACCGCCGCACCTGCATCGTCCATGTTGAAGCCTCAACCCTCTCGCTATGAAGTCATACCGCTCAAACGTTTTGCAAGAGAACTTCTTCTGTTTCTCGAAACACCAAAACCACCACATCGCTTGATGTCAAAAGTCTCGGAAAATTTATTTTCTGATCTCAGCAGCGCGCTGAGACCTTGACATCGAGAATGCCTTGAGCAAATGCTCTTCCTCCAAGCACAACGACATCCACATCGAACGCCATGAAAATGCACGGAATAACTTTGCAACAGCGACCGTCCGCTAAGAGTCAAGATTGAGACTGCACTCTGATTCCCTCTTCTCTTTTCCTCTTCTTCTCACCTCCCAAGATACGACGATGGCCTGGTTGACTACCATCAAAAGGGACGAAGTTTTATTGGAATGATGACTGCTCATTGAGAGCCGAATTTCGTGTCTACGTAAAAGTGTGTCTTCCATACTATTACACGTTTTCGCACCCATCTTTTTTATACGATGCTGGATTCGGTCTTTTCCTTTTTCGACTTTCCGAACGACATCAAGCGGTTGTAAGCTCCGGGGATACCCATCCACTCTTCGTTGATAGGACTCTCTCCGGTGAACATAAGAAGGTCGTACAAGAAGCCGCCAAAGACGCAACCGAAGAACGGCGATACCATAGGGATCCTGGACCTGGTCAGCATACATCAAGGATCTAGCGCTTAATCAACAAACCAAAAGTAATATCCTCCTGCAGACCAGACGCCATGGCCATATCCTAGGAAGTACGACATGAGGCGAGGACCGAAATCTCTGGCCAGGTTGATGGCATAGCCTGTTTCCCATCCCCAGCAAGCTCCGATACCGAAGATGATAAAGAAAAGGCCTAGTGGTGTAAGGTTGCCCGAGCCAAGGTTAGAATCCTGTCGAGGAAAATGTCAGTACTTTTTTCTTATCTTCTTTTCGATCGTCTTTGCGACTCAAAGGAGTTGTTCTTACATCTTTCAACGCGAAGATAAGAACTAAGCAACGTTTATTAGTACGTTTAACACATATCGACGTTGTTGGGAAGAAGCTTACACATGAGAAGTGCACTGGCGATGAATTCTGAGAAGAACATGCCCGTCCGCGTCATGAATTCGGCCGGATATGTGCAGAAGATACCGGCTGTGGAGTTCTCGCCGCCAACTGTTCGAATGCCGGCACCTCCTTCGTATGTGTCGATAGCTGATTTGTAGTTTGCATATACAACGCCGGATGCACAGCTACACAGGCATGTTAGCAACAGCCGGATATACTGGACGATATCATGGACCTACAATGCACCAAGGACCTGAGCCAACATATAGATAGGGAACTTCTTCCATGGGAACTTTCGGAAGACGCAACTGGAGAAGGTGACCGCGGGGTTGAGATGGGCTCCGCTCTTACCTCCAGCGTAGACACCCAGCATCACACCAATGCTATCACGTTGTCAGCGAAAGCGACGATCAAAAGGTTCATGGAGGACCTACCCCCAGCCCCAACTGATGGATTGGTAGTCTCCATTCTTGCCTCTACTCAGGACAACTTGAGCTACGACACCATCACCGAACATAAGGATGATGAATGTTCCAATGAACTCGGAGAAGGCGTCTTGCAAGCTCAATCGGATTCTAGGCCAAAGGAACTTCGGATCCGTTTTATCAAGAGCGGCAGCAGTCGGTGAACGGTTCAGTGGCACACCCTGTTCGACGAACTTGGGTTGAGACGCAACAGTATCATCCGAGTCGGCACGGTTGTGCTCGATGTGAGAAATCTCCAGGTCGGAGAGCTTGTCGGAAAACACATCAGAATGTTTGACGTCTGACATAATGGATGGTTGGATGAATAAGATCAAGTGAAGAATAGGAAGAAGATGCTCGACAAGATGATCAAAACAATCATTGTGCTCTGGGGAGAGCCTTTATTAATGGTCTGACACTACGATCACCTTTTTGCTTTCTCGATCCAATCCCGCCTCCCTGTCTTGGATCTGATCCCACGCAACAATACCCTTGGTAGTTCGGCAGTCGGACATGAGAGCACAAGTCACGCTATCATCACAGACCTAACCAGTCTAACCACTCAGCTTGAAGCGAACCGGATGCCGTTACAAATACGCCGTTGCTTTGATGGCAGGTACTGTACCTTGACCGCGGCTTGACTCCTGCGAAGTAAGCCACTGCCCAGCTGCTTCCCTGCAGGATTCCAGAGTGTTCACTGTGCCGACGGCTTCCAGGTGGAAAAAGCAGCCAGGAACTCCTGTACCTCCCCTCAACGTTGTTACCCCGCTGTGAGAACTTACGGCGCAACCAGTACCACTGTTTACAGTCTCAAGATCTTGTGAGATCTCGTAAGATCTCGCCTCTGACGAACTCTACAAGACATGCCCAGAAAGCAACAGTCCGCAATGAGGAGTACTCCAACAAGGCAGTGCTCGTACAGGTGAAATCTCGCTTGTCGAAAGCTAGAGCCCCGTCAATGATTACTCGCCCGTGCTTCCGGTCTCTCCGCTACTACGGACATATCACCGATGCTCGAAGACCCCAACTGCAGTAGGCATACCAAACTAGAGCGGTCGTCCAGAGAGAGTCAACGCTTAGACTTGCATCCTTTGAGCCTGGGGCCGTTTAGTCGTGCCTCCCATCAGCCCCCACGCTCGTCAGACATGAACACGTACACAATGCTACCGTAACCGCGGCGGGCTGTTTACAGCCTACAGGCATTGGTCAGAGCGGATTGAGTCCGCTGGGCGCCTAGTGTCTATACCGGGTAGGCATGGTTAGGCAAAAGTACGTATACTTTGGTGGCGTTTTGACGCCACAGCTCCATACAACGCGGCAACGCCGACTAAGTTAGGTATAATCGCGCTTCGGCGGACGTTTGCGGCTTGTACGACTCGTGAATTGACGGCGGTGTTGTCGGCAACATTCACCAAACCTAATACCCTATATCCACATCTGCAAATACGGTTGCTAATTGCCTTTTCATAACAACTAAATTACGGTTCGGAGGTCGCGTGTGACCATGGGGAAGCCGGAATGGAGGTCAGAAAGGGGTCCCTCTTACTCTCTCGCTGGATACGGCCGGACGTCGTGTCTTACAGGATCCTCCTTGGTACTTTCGTGATCAACAGAGCGATTTTGGACCTGGACAATCGCCCAGAATTTGCGGCTTAAACAGACTGAAGTTCGAAATGATCGTCGTACCTCGGTCCAGCCCGAATGGAACGTCTGGGGAATGACATGGGGTTAGTGTGAGTTTATCAGATCGGGAGATGAAAAACCGGATTCTCTGATAAATTCAAGAATTGATATGCGTAACTCGACGGAGAGAACACCTTGGCCGTGGCGCTAAAGGCTGGGGGACATGTGATTGTCGCAATATTATCCTATTCTAGCTACACCATGCACGACCCCGCAACGTTACTTGAGCTACTTGAGCAAGGAGTCAGTGTGTACATAGACCTTGTACTAGAGGAAGCGTCTCGAAGCCATTGGCATCCGTCCATCAATGCGGGGCTCCAAGCGCACGGATGGGCCATGTCTTGGAAATTTTGAAGGATTCTGCTGAGACGCAAGCATCACGAATGTTGTTGCCGGGACACGTAGGAAGGTATTTACGGCAAGTAGCTTTGATTCTGAGGTCCAGTCCCCCTCGGACCTCGCGATAGGAGATGTGGAGGCTGAAGGGACGGCCTCGAGATTTTCCGTGTTGGCAGGCACGTGGAAGGTACGTGCCGGTACTTAAGTATACTCGCACCTGCCCAAGATCTTCGAAGCTGTCATCCAAAAGCCAGAGTCTATTGTTTTCCACCTCCGCTCGTCTCTCCCTCAAACAGCACATCATGGCCGAGTTCATTGGTAGCATTGATCAAGGAACCACCAGCTCCAGGTTTCTGATCTTCAACAAGAACGGAGAGCCTGTTGCTTCCCATCAAGAAGTATGTTATCAGCAGCTAGTCCCCGAGCTCGAGCAAGTGAACTGACTGTCAACAGGAATTCTCTCAAATCTACCCTCAGCCCGGATGGCATGAACATGATCCTGAGGAGATTGTCTCTTCCGTACACAGCTGTATCGAGGGCGCAGTAGAAGCTTTCAAGAAGGATGGCAACTCAGTCGACAGCATCAAGGCCATTGGCATCACAAACCGTGAGACAAACCATCTCATTGACTTTGTGAGCATGTCACTAACCAACATGTAGAGCGCGAGACCACCGTTGTTTGGGACATCGAGTCAGGAGAGGCACTTTATAACGCCATTGTCTGGACAGACACCCGTTCCCAAGCTATCGTCAAGGAGTTGAAGTCACGAAAAGGCGCCGACGAGTTGATGCAAAAGTGTGGTCTTCCTCTGTCCACCTACCCCAGTGTGACCAAGCTTCTATGGCTGCTCAAGAACGAGCCCAAGGTGAAGGAGGCATACGAGAAGGGCACTCTTGCATTCGGAACCATTGATGCATGGCTCGTTTACAAGCTCAACGGACACGAGAAGAGAGTCTTCGTTTCTGACCCCACCAATGCGTCGCGCACCATGTTCATGGATATCCACACACTCAAGTACAACCCCGAGCTTATCGCTTTCTTCGGCGACGATGAGTTCGACCTCTCCAACATTCACATGCCCGACATCGTCAAGTCCTCTGACGCAAAGGCCTACGGTACCATCAACTCAGGAGTCCTCTCCGGTTTCAGCCTCACCGGCTGTTTGGGTGACCAGTCTGCCGCCCTGGTAGGACAAAAAGGATTCGATGCAGGCAGTGCAAAGAACACGTAAGTTGAGCTTATGCGGTGTCACATAACAGCAAACTAACAAAGAGAAAAGATACGGCACAGGTTCATTCATCTTGTACAACACCGGCAGCAAGCCCGTCATCTCTACCCACGGCCTTCTTACCACTGTTGCTTACGACTTTGACGGAACACCAAGCTACGCTCTCGAGGGATCTATCGCGGTCGCAGGCTCAGGTGTCAAGTTCTTGATGAACAACTTGGGTTTCAGCTTCGACTCACACAAGATCACCGAGCTCGCAGGCACCGTTGAGAACAACGGCGGCTTGGTCTTCGTCACAGCCTTCAGCGGTCTCTTCGCACCTTACTGGATCACCGATACCCAAGGTACCATCTTCGGTATCACCCAACATACTCAAAGAGGACACATCGCTCGCGCCACACTCGAGGCTGTCTGCTACCAGACAAAGGCCGTACTAGACGCCATGGAGAAGGACAGCGGTCACCCTCTCCAAGAGCTCAAGGTTGACGGTGGCATGTCAAACAGCGAACTGTGCATGCAAATTCAAGCCGACATTCTCGCCGAGAACAAGATCCCCATCGTCAGACCCAAGATGCGTGAGACCACCGCTCTTGGTGCCGCCATCGCTGCCGGTTTCGCCGCAGGTGTCTGGAAGAACTTTGACGAGTTGAAGGAGATCAACACCACTGGACAGACAGTCTTCGAGGCCAAGATGGACACCAAGGACAGTGCCAAGATGGTCAAGCGCTGGGAGAGAGCAGTCAACATGTGCCGAGGATGGCTTGCTGACGACGAGTGATTGAGCCTCGGGCTCTCACAAAGAAACGCTTCTCACGGTCTCATCCCTCATTTCTTTCTCCAATCTTCCAGTTTTGAATCGCAGCGCTTCGGCAGCTGCTTAGATACCATGAATAAACTTCAATTTTCAATTCATGCAACTTGACCAACGTGTGTGATATTTAGCGACAGCCAAAAGTGTCTTAACTACGAGTTCCCTGCCGGACTCGAGCGGCTGGTCAAAAAATCAATTTAACCCCAGATCTCATGAAACTTTGACAGCATGTGATGCACATCTAACGGGGAGCTGAATGGGTACGTAGAAGACCGAACAGATCCTGATGTTCTTCCTGTGATTGTTCCTGGTTCCAAATCTGCCCCATTAAACCCAAACTGCCCTGCTCGTCAACATCAACCTTAACCCCAGATCAGTCAAACTCTCCCCAGTTTTTATCAAAAGTCAAATGGAACCATGTGCTCATACCGGGTGCGTATTCAGCTGGAGCCAAGATATGGCGTTTAGTAAACAGTTTTCGAACCATAGCCATCAGCCACCATCAGTCGTGTACATTCGCCCCGGCACCCTGACAGCAAGGTTTCCACATCTCTTGAACTCCTGATATTTGTACCGAAACACAGACGGTTTTGCCGTACACGCTTTCATGATCACGCAACAGCATCTGCCGAGACGTCAAGGTACCAAACACCATCGGTTTCTTGACAGCAAAGTTTATTTTCTGAGTATGTCCGAGATTCACGGCTTCCATGAGTCAACGGTATGGTGGTATGTTTGGCAGCCGAAGATAGCCGGATCATTTGTTTGTCCGATGATTGTCTCGCACCTCTGCGTCTTGTCTTGTTCTTGTCTTTGCTCTACGGCTTCATTTTTCAAATCTACCGAGGTAGGCATTGTCTTGACCATGTGCTAGAGACCGTTGTCTGTATACGACAAGGAGAGATAGATTTATATCTGGCGAACAGATGGTTCACATTTATCCGAAGAGATCAATGAATCAGATGGAGTTCTAATATGCTTTGTCCTGCCTTATTGGCATCCCCTTGCCACGTCTTGGTTTCGATCTACCGAGGTGTCAGTTATATACGAACCATACCGTTCGACACGTTTTTCATTTGTGTCTAGGGGAGAATATGGTTGTGTCTGACGATCAGGTGGTTCGATGCATCCAAAAGAATAAACATCTTCGCCTGACTGATCACCTTACTACCTTCAAACTCCGGCACTTCCGGTGAGTGTATGTCGGTATACCACGGCTAGACGAATCAGTGATGACTCTCTGATGCTTTACCCTGCCTTACTCTTCTTTGCCCAATCATATCTTGCCCTACATCCTCGGTCTCTAGCCTACCGAGGTGATCCATAGTATACCTGTACAGCAAACGGTCTCTAGCACATACACTTTCTTCACAAGGAGAGATAAAGTTACATCTGGCAGTTGAGCACCCCATCCCTCCGGATAAATAAATTAGACATTGCTTCGAGATGGTTTGCTATGCCTCGCTATTTTGCCCCGAGTTAATCTTTAAACCTACCGAGCCGTTGGGCGTTTTGCGGAAGGGGGAGACACAGGGTTTTGGATGATTCATGTGATCGGTAGTGACGTTGCGGTATAGCCCTGGCATGCTTGGAGGTTAGAGAGAGAGCACTTCCATATAAGGAGCTTGTCGCCGACGAGGATACCGAGGCTTGATATCCAGAATCTGGTTATTGTTAGATTATGATATCGATATCTAAAAACTAGATTATAGTGTTTAAGTCTAGAGTATTAGATTAATCTGCTAAGATAGTGCTAATTAAAAGTCATCCGTGGTAGTATTCGCAACTGTAGTTTTTAGATCATCTGTTGTTTGTCAAAACATGACTTCAATTGCGGATTGAACGTGCCCGGTGCCGAAACTCGATTCTGTGTCGTGCCTTCCCCTCGACGACCATAGGAGCTGATCAGTCTCACCGAGCAGGTTACTATGGGTGCTCATTCGTAAGTTACAGTTGTTCATGGAGTGGTTCCGAGGAAGACGCATGATAGAGACGAAAAGTGAGGAGATCGATGTCGTGAAAATGTTGCTAACGGTATCACCCTGTCATCGTCCGACAACTTCCTTCAGCCCTCTCATGCAGTAGATATACCAGGTAAGTGAGAGAGAAGATCTTTTGTATTCTAGAAGTCGTGTTGTTATCCATCAACGCATCAATTCTATCTCAAATCACGATACTTTGCCTCCTCCTTCATCCTTTCCTCCACAAGCTTGATAACCTTTGCATCATAGACGTCCTCAGGTGTCTTGTCACCCTTGAGCACCAACTTCTCATGCTGCATAACTTCATCCTTGGTCATCAAGACCAAATCCTTGATTTGCAGGTTCGAGCTCTTTTGACCCTGGATTGAAGAGTCAATAAAATCGGTCTCGGGTTTGCGCCAGCGTGTGAGTGCAAGACGACTGGCAAGACCGCTGACTGCACTTCGACCGCGGTAGATTTCTTCGACAGTGTAGCCGACGTCTTCGGCGGTGATGGGGATGCGGAGACCAATGGGATCGTGAGACATGTGGCGGGCGACGCGCTCCTCGGAGCCTTGCAAACTGGCTAGAATGCCATCGTACATCTTATCCCTAGATTTCGAAGAGAGATATTCATGGGGGTAACCACTGATGGCCAACATCACGTGATTGGCAACGCAGAGACCAAAGATAGCAGGCATGGTTCCGAGCACGGGCAAGATTCTGACTCTGAACTCTGGAAGTACACCGAGTTCGCCGACGCTGCCTTTTGCATGTTCTTCGTCCGAGAGGGGGAGGAGTTGTGCCTTTCCAGGTGCGGTCTTTTCGCTGGAGAAGACGACGGGGATGCCGTCTTTGACGCCCTTTGCACGAAGTCTGCGGCGAGTGGAGCGGGAGAGAGGGTCGTCTGTGCTGTTTGAGATGTCGCCGATGAAGACACGTGTGGGATCGGATTTGCAGCCTGCACCCATGGAAGAAATGACTTTAATGTTGTGCTTGTGGCAGTAGGCGAGGAGGTCAACTTTGCTTTCGATGTTGTCAATAGCGTCGATTACGAAGTCGGGCTTGTGGCCATCTGCCCATGGTGCCAATTGGGCTTCTGCCGTTGAGCCGACGAAGAGTTCGTTTCTGCAGTCGAAGTGTGTCCAGGGTGTGATTTGTTCGAGGCGTTTGCGTAGACAGTGTACCTTTGGTGTTCCGACATCCGCAAGAGTGGCCACGGCGTGTCTGTTCAGGGAAGAAAGAGTGACTTGATCAAAGTCAATGATTCGTAGTCTTCCAGCTCCAGATCTAGCAAGAGCAGCCGCAGCGTGAGAGCCTACACCACCTACTCCAACAATGATGATGAATGCGTTTCGAAGTTTCTTCAAGCCGTCATCAGTAAGGAAGACGCGGTTACGTGCCAATTGTTCTAGGATCAGATCTATACACTCTCAGTCAGAATAATGCTCGTTTACCATATTAAAGATACCCACCTTCATCATAATCTCCCAAACGTGCCCTTGTAGCCAGAGCAGCACTTCTTTCATCCTCCTTTGTTGATTTTGAAGCATCTTGCACAGCACCACCGAAATCGTTTATCTATCAATTCATCAGTATCCCATCAAAAACTCCACATCAAAGTAAAACATACTCTTACGACATTCTCATCTTTATCGAGATCTGGAATCGAGCTCTTGAGGTCAGAAACTCGATATTGTTGCTTCGCCTTTTGCAAACCCAAAATCGCACTTCCAACCAGCAGTCCTGAGGCGACTGCGGTGGCTGCCAACTGCAGGTTATGTGACGACCTGACTTGGTCTACCCAGGATGACATCCTGCCTTTCCAATTGCGTTACACAAAAAAGTAGATATCCAGAGATAAAAAGATGGAAAGGGCACGTGAAGCCAGAAGCAGCGACTTTCGCATGTGGCTGTTTGTGGCTGATGCATCCAAAGTCACATGTCAAAGCTGTGGCGCTTTTCGAGGCTAGTGAAGTCGATAAGATCTTACATCCTCGAGTCCTCCTTTCACACAACAAGAAACCCGATACCAAGAATTGACAAGCAGTGGTAAGTACTCTATTTCTTTCGTCTTCGTGTTCAAGAGATAGTGCCGTATACTGACGTCGCTCTTGTTTCAGCATGATTCCCAATGCCGAGAAACAATCACACATCTACAGTCCCAAGCCATGCAGCATGCCGCGCTCTCGGGTCTCCCCAAGAAAACGTGGTGTGCAAAGCAACCCGGCGCACATGACTGAAAGAACGAACAGAGATCGTAAGGGATGATTGCGCATCTTGCCCATCACTTTCGGGTTTCCTTTCCTTTCTCTTTTTTCCACCTTTTCCATCATTTTTCTCATCATTCCTTTTCCACAAAACTTGTTGTTCGACGTCTTTTTTTTTTTTGGATCTGGATCTTGGAGAACACGGATTTGCGCAAAGAAAGGGGAAGTGAGAGAGGCGTGTTTAGCATTTCAAGGCGCTGCTTGACGATATCACATCTCACTCGAGCCAGAGATAGTTGGTCGGGTCCTTCTACCCTATGGGAGTTGGATCTACATCGACTCGGCAATGAGAATGAAAACAAATTGATAGTTTTCAATCGGATGGCGCTGGCTCCGTCTTTCTTGCGTTTCCTGGACGGCACGCCTTCGAGTTCTCTGCACAGACCTCAGAAGCGAAGATGCTTGCAACAACTAGGTTTGGGGAGGATATGAGAGAAGGAAGGGAGGGCAAGGGGAGGAGAACCAGTCGTCCTGTGATGATCATTACAAAAGCCAAAATTGACATGGCAGCCCGCTCGTTCACCCGAGATCTGTGGTTGTCACTGTGAGAACATTGGAGAGACTCAAATCTGAGGACACAAAAAAGACTGAGAAATGGTTGAGTTGGAAATGATGTAAGGAATATATGTAGTAGAGGCGCTTTTTTTGCTAGTGTATTTCAATCCAGCAAGCCTGCATTTTCTGAAGACACTTTTTTTCTTCGACAACGATAAAACAGAAACTGAACATGACAGAGCAGAAATAGAGGCCCTCTCAAAATCTGTCTCGTCTTCTGTTTGCGCGGAAGACAGTGTATCCAACGTATGCACCAGTTACGGCCAGACCGAACAGGACAAACTTCAAAAAGAACCAGCCCCAGCCACCACCCTCCTTCTTGCGGTACTGATTCGGCTTGTATGCGTTCTTGCTGTAGTCCTTGGGTGTACCTGCGGCACCACTAGGGCTGTACAGGTTCTTGGTCTCGACCTTGATGATGTCGTGGTTGTCGGAAAGCTCGCCAGTCTCGGCAGAGAAACCGAGGTAGGTGACGCCAGGAAGCTTGACACCAGGAACTTCGAAGCAGGGGGTCCACTCGTCTTCCTTCTTGTACATCAACTCGAGGGTGAGGGACTTCTCCTGGAAGTAGGTAATACGGGCCTTGGTGGGGGTGTTCGCATTACGGAGACCGCGTGCCTGGGCAGAATGTCAGTATGAGTTGAGCAAATGGTCTGCAGTGGCAGAGAAGATACCGAGCAACCAGCGAGCTCGTTGGCCTTGCCATCGTGTCCTTGGTCGTAGGTGGTGTGGCCATCGCCGAGCATAGCCATAACATAAGGGAAGACGACACCAGGTCTGTTGTTCTTGTATGTGTCGAAGAAGATACCGAGACCCTCAAACTTGTCCTTGTTGCCGAAGACAGGACCTTGCTGTGCTCTGTCCGTCGTCACCCACATGGCAAAGCCGTCACCGAAGAGGTTGCCCTGGCCATTGATGTCGAATTCAAGTTCGATCTCCCAGTTGGTGGCGGTCAAAGGGACTCTTGAATAGATCCATCCAGACTGCGAGGGACGGTCCGAGGTGAGACGAATGTGCTTGTCGGCGCGGATGATGGTGTCGCCGCCAAAGTCCCACCACCTGCTCTGCAAGTCCGAGTCGAGGTAAGGCTGTACCAAAGAATGCGTGCGGAGCTGTACAAGTGTCAGAAGAGGTGGTCGCGTCTCAACAGAGAGCAGTCGCAAGTCATACGGGAATGCTCTTCACGTCAGAGGTGTCTTGCGCATTAGTCCCAGCCAGCCAGGTTGCCGCAGCGGCTCCGACTAGAGACAAAAACCGCATGGCGAATGGAAATGAGCAAAAGAAACAAACGGCACCCGTGGCCTATGGAGAATGAGAATAGCTGATCTGTTCTATAAACAGCGCTAAAGGGGGTTGTTTCGTGTCATCTAGAGCTCCGCAAAGCCAAACAGTTCAAACATGCCCCGACAGGTTCGAGACTCGAGAAGCATGACGTGCATATCGACTTTTGTACTTTCAATTCCCAAATCCACAAAACATACACCCAACACATCATGTCATTCCTCGGAGGTTCAGCCGCTTCTTCAAGCGCCAGCCAGACTCAGGCCATCAAGCAGCAGGTCGCACAGGAAGCCGCCGTCGCAAACGCAAGACAGCTGGTCGAGGTACGACTGAATTGAGCTTTTCCCGTCCATGTCTCCCGCACTCGCTGACCACTGTCGCTTTAGAAACTCAACGAACACTGCTTCGAGCGCTGCATCCCCAAGCCCGGATCTTCCTTGTCATCGGGCGAATCAACCTGCTACTCGCAGTGCATGGAGAAATACATGTCGGCATGGAACGTCGTCTCCAAGCAATACATCAACCGCATACAGAGAGAGGCCGGTTCTGGTGCCCTCATGTAAATTACGCTCAAACGATATCAAGGAAATAATAGGAGGAAGGGACCAATTGTACGATATGCATATGAAGATGCGGTCCAGATAATTGTACACTATCGAGCTCAATTTCTCGAATCTTTATAAATTCGCCTTTGGAGGGGGAGGAGGGTTGGCCAATGTCTTCTGTCTCTGCGAGTAATCCTTGACAATAATGGAGCACTTGATCTCCTTGCACAAAGACTTTCTCTGGGCAGGAGGGAGAAGCGATGCGAACTCAAGGCCCGATGCTCTGCGAGTATTGTCAGCTCAGCTTCAATCTGCATGTTACCAGGGAGTATTACCTTTCCACAGCCTCAAGAGGAACCTCAAAGTCCTGCAGGGGCTTGTCGTTTGCGATTCTAGCGTTGGGCAAGACGAAAGCACCCAAGCTGACATTTCCGCCAACTCTGCCATCCTCTGCGAAGATGACCTTGTAGAAGTGTGTAGGAACAGCGACATTGGGAGGTTTGCCAATGACCTCGTAGCTAACTCTCCACTTGCCATCCGCTTCCTTCTTGGGAAGATACAAAGGTCCAGTCACAATGCGAACCGAGGGGTAGCGTCCTGTGAGACGACGGCAGAAATCCTCAAAGTGAGCCCAGTAGTCTCTGTTGAAGCCTTCGCCGACCTGAGGACACATGTTGCTCAATGCAAAGGTATCGTCCATGGCCTGCTGCGACCACTTAGCATCGGCAGCAGGGACCTGATGACCTCTGTCGTAGCCGCTGCGGAAGTAGTCCTTCAGCTTAGCACGGAACTTCTCGGGAATAGCGTCGTCCTCGACAAAGACAGAGTGCTTGCGGTCTGCATTGCTGTTCTTGAGCGAAGCAGGAGTAATGTGCTCGACGACCCAGGCAGGGTTTCTCGTTCTACGATCGTACGCGGAGGTCAAGGAAGCGGCAGCTCTCAGGTCAGACACGGGACCAGGGAATCCGTATTGATAAAGTCCGTTCGGATCGACGGGTCTTGCGGCGGCAGCAAGAGCTTCCTGGACGCCAGACTTGACAATGGGCGAGGTCGAGTTGGCCGGAGAAGGGAAAGCGACGGCGGGAGTGTTGGCCGGGCTTGCTGTCTTGCGAGGAAACAGCGCGGCAGTGGTTGCTGCTCCGAACGCGGCGCCGCCAGCGGCAACGAGTGCGAGCGTGACTTTTGACATGATATCTCGCATTCACACACGATGCCGAGGGAGACGGTCGAGGTCAAACAACAACACGTCTGTACGCGCTACAAAAAGTGCTCGTGATGCTCTAGCGCCAAACAAATCCACGCCAAGCCATCCCATCAATGTACAAACTATATGGGTACCTAGGTAATCATGCATCAATGCAGGAACGTGTTCGATCATGGCTCGGTTAGCTGCTATGGATTATACTAAATGTAAGAGACCTTCACACCCATCCCTATAGTTCTCTGCACTTTATGCAACCCACCCTGTAAGGTCCTTTTGACTCTGTCCCTGACATCGCGCCGCGCAAAGGCCAAAGTGAAAGCCATCAGAAAGAGTACGAACCGGAGCAAAACCATTGGGTTTTGCGTGACAGATTTGCCAGCATTCAAAATGGCCGCCTGCACTGTTGTAAAGACCGACCGATATACGCGTGGTGAGGGAGGCGTGGCCTTCTTCTGAGCAGGCTTCGCTTTCGATGCAGCTGTGTTTCTGTTGCCTTGTCCAGCTCTGGGATTGCTAGAAGTGGAGGGTGTTCTGTTCTGGGAGCCCGCCGTACGGGGCCTCTCCTCAGCTTCCCTCCGTTTTCTGTCCTGGTCTGCTCTGGCCTCCTCTTTCCTGCGTCGTTCATCTTCCATTCGTCTTTGCTGCATCTCCTCATCTTGACGGCGCTGGAGCTCCTTCTCTCTGATACCGTCAAGTGCCTTCTCTTCTTTCAATGTGTGAAGTGCTTGGAGGAACGCGTCTCTTCGCTCGTCGTCCAGAACCTCACTCATGCTGATGAAGTCGCGGGCATAGTCCCATTCGTCGTTTTGAGGTAGAACATGGAGAGTATAAAGCTCAAGAAGCTTGAGGCGGATGTTCAGATCGCGGGGGGTGCTCGTTCCATTCTGATGAGAGGAGTTGCGCATTGGTTGCTGAGAAGCTTCAAGGTGGGCAGCGATATCAAAGGTGGGGTTGGACAGCGCGGACAGGTATGTTTCGAGACGTTGTTGGTTCAGCTTCTGCGACGGCATATGTGCTAGGAGTAGGGTTGCGCTGTCGTGTGTTAGAAGACAAATAAGAGTATAGTTTTGGAAGCTTCGTACAGATTGACAACAACCTCGCCGTCTACCGCGCCCTCGTTTCCTTGATAGCCCTGGCGGACAACGAGGTCCCAAACAGTACCCTGACGAGCATAGGCAGCCAATTCCCGCCATTTGGTACTTCCAAAGACCAGCTTGCCCTCCTCAGGACCCAGCTCTATGATGGCATTGAGTAGAGTCAAGTAAAAGCTCCATACTTTGACTCTTGTTGTCTTGGATGCGAATGCGACAGGTGCAGCGTCGTGGTCGCTCTGTCCTTCTTGTTGCAATGGAGAGTCCGGAGCTTCCGGCGAGATGATGGGATCGATGGTAGATAAGGCTTCGTAAAGTCTACGGGTGAGAAACAATTGAGCAGCCTGGCGATAGGTTCTGGCTATATGCGAGGATTGGGCGCGCGCCGACGAAAGCGATGAGATGGACGAGGTCAAGTATTGCGACGAGAGCGAATCCTCGTACGACATGGTTGATGCCGTCGAAGCACTGGGCATGTCGCTCAAATCTTGATAGAAGTCGAGAAACGAACAGAAAGCATCCCCCTTTGTCGGCTATCAACTCATCTTCATGTGTTGCTCCCTCACCGGCTTCTGATCGTGGAATGGGCCGAGGTCCAATGACACGCCGACGCTTGGACCTCAGCATACCACCTGAGCATCATCCATTCATCGCGCCCAAGCCTCTTTCTCGCCTCTTCACATTGATATCACCACTGCATTGTATCGTGCTCAATAGATAGAGGCAAGGTCCACGAGGTATTTGCTCTACATCCAGAGCTTGTTGCGTCGAAACTATTGACTTGGCGCGGTAGGTATTCGTTTGCCTCTTCTCACTTGATTGTCTCTTACATCCGTCACTTAAACACCAATTTGCTCTGGTTTGCCCCTGCCTTTTCTATTTTAGACACTGCATGGCCCAACTGTCCTCTGTTCATCACACTTCAACATGGATATAGACAAATACACTTTTCCCTCTCGCCTTCTGGATGTGCTGGAAGCCATTGCGGAAGCACATTTTGTGTCTTTCGATCTAGAGCTCTCAGGCGTGCCTGTCAAGGGACAAGCCAAGGAGAAACCTGGCAAGCCCTCACTCCAGGAGCGCTATCTTGAGACCAAGAAGGCCGCCGAACAGTATCAGATTCTGCAAATTGGTCTCACGTGCGTCAAGGATGATGTGCTTCAGGGCGCTTATGTCTGCAAACCCTTCAACTTCAACCTCAGTCCCATAGTGGAGGAGCGCTTGGATGTTGACCGCACCTTCTCTTTCCACAGCGGAGCGGCCGAGTTCCTGCTCGGAGTCGGCTTCAAATTCGATCTTCCTTTCACCTCTGGAGTCCCGTACCTGTCCAGAGATGAAGCTCAACTTGCCGAGGATAGAGCTGCTGCAAGGAACGACAAATCGTCCTTCACAGACATCGAAATCAAACCAGAGGACATCCAGGCATTGGAGTTCCTTAGAAGAGTCCGCTCCGAAGTTGATGACTGGTTGAAGACTGGACAGCCAAGTGCTCACTCGGTCGTCATAGCTCCTCTGGGAACCAATGGCGCGGATGCCAATCCAGAGTTGAATCGCTTTGAGAGAAGGCTGGTACATCAGATCGTTCGCGCCGAATACCCCAACCTTGTCAGTATTCCCAACAGAGGCCTTGTGCGCGTGTCTAGACTTGACCCGGAACGCGAGGAATACATCAAGGCCCAAAGGAAGAGAGAAGTTCAGGACAGGATTGTGAGACAGACAGGATTCAGGTGGATCGTCGAAGCTCTCTGTGGAAACCCACCCGAAGGTGTTGATGTCAGATCATTCGCTCAGACTCCCGGAGGCATTCCTGGTTTCGTCGACATTGACGAGCTGAAGTCGCGCTTCAATCGTGCCAAGCACATGATCCGTAACAAAAAGACTGCCCTGTTTGGCCACAACCTCTTCCTGGATCTCATCTACTTCTACAGAACTTTCATCGGAGCGTTGCCTGACACCGTGGAGGAGTTTGGCAGTCTGATCCATGAACTCTTCCCGATCATTGTCGATACAAAGTACATGGCTACTCACAACTGCGGAGACATCAACCCACAATCCTCTCTCGAACAAATAGCAGAAAAGCTTGCCGAACAACAGAAGCCTAGTGTCACCATACACGAGAAGCACAACAAGTACACCGACACAACAGCTTTCCATGAAGCTGGCTACGACAGCATGCTTACCGCCGAAGTCGCCGTGCGTCTCTCAGCAAAGCTCGAACTCGCTGGGAGTCACGACCAGGAGGACAAGCAAAACACAATTCCTCCTACTCCGCCGGATGTTGATGCTGGTGGTGTGCAGCTGGAGACTAGTACGGCATCTGTGATCGATTCAGCTATTGATAGCGTCAGAGGCCTTCTGCAAGCACCGTTCAAGGTCTTGGGAGGGCAAAAGACATCACCTGAAGAACAGCCCATCACACGGACCGAGCAACCACCACACAACAAGTCAACACCCGAAGACTCGCTAGCCGAGAAGACCGCCGAGCTAGACATCACAGAGAATGACTTTAGCACAACAAGCAAGAAATCCAAGAAGAAGAAAAAGAAGAAGAACAAGAAGTCCAAGACAGCCGACTCTACACCCTCGACACAGCAAGGTGGCCGCTTCGCCCACGCCACAGCGTTCGACCAACTCCAAGATACCCAAGAAGAAGAGGACGAAGAAGAAGCCGAAACCACGACAGAAGAGATTCTACAATTCGACTCCTTGCCCTCGGAAACCGCACATGCTTCTGATCCCGTAGTGGCAGACACAGATGGTGTTTCTGACCCTCTGGTGGGAGCCAGTTGGGACAGTATACCAGCATTGGCGGAAAGTGATGCGTGGAAGGCACGTGAAGCTGAGGTCGGCACAATGATGCCCTCCTTCACATCTGATTTCTGGAAGGTATATGGAAACAAGCTACGTGTCTTTGGCACTCAGGAGGGAGTCGCCATGCTTGCACCGCTTGCCTGAGAGTACGGAGATCGACTATTACTATCCACTTATCAAGCAGAAAGGGGGTCAGGCCAAGGAGGATTGATCACGAACAACTAGTCAATTTCATCTGCTCTCTCTCGCTCCGAGGTCGTGTAGAATGGGAATTGCAATCACGGTCGGATATCGGACCTGCAAGAGATCCCCCTCGGACGTTGGCGAGAATGATTGATTTCCTTTCAGAGTCGATCAACAAGGGCTAAAAAAGGGACATCGACTGACAACAATCCCATTCTCTCCACTAGAAACCCACCTTTTTGCGAAAGTGGGTTTTATTTGTTTTCCTCAAATAAAAAAAAACAGTTCCAAAAATTGAGTAAATGCCAAGGGTCACTGCCCAACCCTGACCTTTTTTCGCTTGTCGTTCCTCGGAGTGTGACACTTCTTCCCCATCGAAGCCATGTTGGCGTTTCACGATTCACGTTTCACCAGCAATGACACCCTTCTTCTTCTACGTCAGTGATATTCATGTCAATCTATTTATTTCCAGAACAGCCAGCACAGCCAAACTGCCGTTCGTGACTGTGAATCGTGGGAATCGAAAATCGTAGGAATTTGCTTTAAAAAGGACCCACGTTTTTATTGGGTGGTGGGTGCTTTTTTAATGTCGATCATTTTGCGGTTTTATCTTTCAAATCGGCGAAGTTTTTTGATGATGGTGATGATATTCGATGCGACGTGATCGACATCCGATGAGCAAGATGATAATTGCACCTTTTGGTTCAACGAGCGACATGATGGAGAAGAAACATGATGCCTAGGAGCGTGAAATCGAGTGACATTGCTATGGATATGAGAGTTGCAAGGTGTTGAGTTGACTGGGGTCTTGAGTTTAGAGGTTATGACTTTTTTAAAAGAACGCATCTTGTGATTGGAGTCGAAGTATGTATCGATTGAAAGAGCTCGTCTGACCATGTAGGCGGTCCAATCAGGAGCAACTCCTCTGTACTTCAGGCGAATAGAGGTGAGAGAGAGGAACAGCTATCCTGAACAGAACAATTACAAAGGCGACTGGTTGTTGTGCTGAACAAATGCCGTGAGCTCCCTCTCGCCAATTCCCTAGGAACGTCCAGCAAAAGAAGCAGAGCATGTGCTCGCCAAATGTCAATGCAGGGAGTTTGACGAATACGTCGCCCTCGATGCCTTGCATATTCCTTCGTAGGCATTGCCCAGACTGCCGTGAGACCTAAAGATTCTCCATATAGACATGGTATAGAAGAGCCGAGCACTTCCCACCAATGTAACAAGCACGTGCTCGGTATTCGGTGACACGCGACACGAGTCGGCCGGATGATAAGGTCAAGAACAGGAAACAATATAGATGATGACTGTGAACGAACATGTGAAGGTGGCCAAAAAGTCTGCATGCATACTCGTAGTAGTCTGTGTTGCTCTTACCGGTGATTGCGGCACGGAGGAAATATGTGACTCTTTCGAAAAACATAACCTCGTGATGTTGTCTTCAATGCAGGATGAGGTCGGCTTCATGCTGGTGGTATTCCCGCCCGCATGCAGGTGCCGAATCAATCTGGTCATGAGGAGTAGACGTGGGGGATTACCAAAGGCAGCAATATTAAGCTCGTTGGAGGATGCAAAAGCCGTGACCCTTGAAGATCTGCCGTGAATGGTCGTGCCTGAGGTGCGCGCGTTCTTTGCTCGCCTATCTGCATGAAACAGGGAAGATATGTGGCTCTCGGTATAGCGGGCGCAAAGGCGTACAAGAATAGGTATTACTCCAACGCAAGATGGTGAGAAGAGGGCGCGGGGTTGGTGTTTGTACATAGCAAACTACCGAAGTCCAGCCAGCGCAGACGCATGAGCAAGGTTGCAGGATTCTGACCAGCAGCGGATTGGTTGCTTTGCAAGATCATCAATCATGTTCCTGCAGGTCGACTGATGCGGCCACCACGGCTTGCATCGACTTCTTGCAGATATGCACACGATTGCAGCCACGAGGTCAACAAAAGTCAGAAGCAGACACGTAGCCGAAGCGTGACAGTGTTCCGCTACGAAGATGTGCGTTTTCACTGCGATCGATTTATCGAAGAGTCGCTCTTTGGCTGTCGTCAAAGTGTTTAGCGGTGGCCAGCGAAGGACAGGACGCTAGCCGACCCGAAATAGTGATGGTGTTCCGTTAATCTGGGATCGCGATTATCAGTTGTGGTTCACCAAAGTATGACAACGGTTCAAGATGAGAACGGGTCTCAGCTCCGTTTCGGTTTCTTGGGCGTGCGACTTTCCGCAACAACAATGCAACATTGTGAGGTTTGGCTGCAGATCTGGGCTTTTGCTGTGTGAGCGTTGAGTCTTCAACGCAAGCAAAATAGAGAGAACAGCAATTGGATTGGTAGGGGTTGGCGGCAGAGCAAGGCGCAATGAGGGAAACTCTGGGACAAGCAACAGACAGCAAGTCAACGAGCATGCGGCTGCGGTGTAGTGCGAACTTTGATTCCGCGATTGCTTTCAACAAAAATTGGGAGGATTGTCCGTTTCACCAGCCAAATCTCTTGTGAATTCGAGCGTCAGTTCGTGATGCAGACGAGGGATCTTCGTCAGCATGTGAAGAGAAGTTCGGCTGGAAGGTTGTCAAGATCGAGGGACAGGGGATAGACGAGCTCGTGGTCAGTGGTCATGATGGCTATTCCTGCCTAACTGACAGCATCTTGACGCAATGCGGTAACATGGACAGGGCGCTGCCGCCCTTCATTTGTCTGGCTGCGGGGTGAGGGCAGAGGGAAAGATTGGTTCGAGTTACAAGTCGCCAGAATCATGATGCATTTGCAGGCTGGGCAGAGATTCAAAGACAGAGAGATGGTCATGGCGGGTCCCGGCAGACATGTCAGCCACTTGCGTATTAGGTACCCTGACGAATCAGCGAGAGTGCAAAGCGCCTGGGCCCGACGCTAGCGAGCGAGCAAGTCACATGGACTGCAGAGATTGAACTCCTGGCCGGGAGCCGTTGAGGGCCAGACGCAGAGTAGAGACAGCAGTCATGGACTCTGTGTTGGTAAACAGACATGGAAATTGCATGTATAGCAGCTGTATAGAGGGTGAAGCTTAAGGAATTGGGGCTTGAGCGGGCAGACAAGCATCTTGAAAACAACGTGACTGATGGCGGGCTCGATGAAGTGATTTCAGGTCATGCGTACATGGGATGGATTAGCTCCATGATGAGATGAGAGACAATTGGGCGAGGAGCAAAGCGGGGTGAGGGATGCGGTGCGCAGCGGATGGGCAAAACGAACGTTTGACGGGAAAGGAAGCTGAGGTCTTCAACCATCGCTCGAACATCACAAACAGCAAGAGCATCCCTTAGAGCATCGTCGAGTCCATCGCAGCTCTGTTATCAGCGATTGAAGGCTCAAGAAACAAGTCGCATTGCAGGTAAGACAAGCATCGGGGACGATCACGTGTGTTGGGTTGTGCTCCTCGTTTCAAGCACAGCGCAGGTGACACTCTCGCTCGACCCTCACACATTGCCTGCCCTGCCCACATCCACCGCTAAGACTGACCGCACTCGTCCTCGCAGCAGCCATCGATTTTCCCGTCTCACTTTCTGTTCCTGGCGTGGTATAAGTCCCTTCCAGCTTCGACTCGGTTTCCAATCGCCCAGACACTCCTGTCGTCGCGCATCGCTGCATAACATCCGTCAACACAAGCTCCGAGCACAGGCCCACATCGACGCATCCTCCGACCTCGTCCATCACCACCGACACTCCACCCCTCTCGACACCCACTGCTTCTCCCGACCCTCGGCGACCCTGCCCCCAATTCAGCTTCCATCTCTCTGTAATTCGCAATCATGTCGCAGAACAGGCCTTCGGCGTTCTCCAGCTTACGCATGGGCGGTAAGGATTCCCAAACCTCCCCCGCGCTGCCCATTTTATCCCCTGCTGCTAGCTGCGCGTCCACCACATCGCTCAGCATCTGCCCTTGTCGAATCCATTGCTATGCCCGCATACTTTGCATGTGCTAACGCAGTACAGAGGTAATTCGCGAAAAGGTTCAGGATGGCTTGACCGGAGAGACAAAAGAGATGCAGTACACCCAGTGCAAGATCGTCGGCAACGGCTCCTTCGGTGTTGTCTTCCAGACTAAGCTGTCGCCCAGCGGCGAAGATGCTGCCATCAAGCGCGTGCTTCAGGACAAGCGTTTCAAGGTCGCTATCCCCACTACCCACTCGTCCTGCTCGTAGACTGACACTGCGCAGAACAGAGAGCTCCAGATCATGCGGATAGTGCGACACCCGAACATTGTCGAGTTGAAGGCCTTCTACTACTCGAACGGCGATCGCGTAGGTCTCAGACCATTTGATCCTCCGACCAAGTCACTAATGCAGCCTGGTCAGAAGGACGAGGTTTACCTCAATCTCGTACTCGAATTCGTCCCCGAAACCGTCTACCGCGCATCCCGCTACTTTAATAAGATGAAGACGACCATGCCTATCCTCGAGGTGAAGCTCTACATTTACCAGCTGTTCCGCTCGCTCGCCTATATCCACAGCCAGGGCATCTGCCACAGAGACATCAAGCCGCAAAACCTGCTCCTCGACCCTAACAGCGGTATTCTGAAGCTTTGCGATTTCGGCAGTGCAAAGATACTCATTGAGAACGAGCCCAACGTCTCGTACATCTGCTCACGCTACTACAGAGCCCCCGAGCTTATCTTCGGCGCAACCAACTACACGACAAAGATTGGTACGTACTCGTTGAGGCAGTGCCAGGAAACGATTACAGGCTGACCTGTTCGTGAATTTAGACGTTTGGTCGACTGGTTGTGTCATGGCTGAGCTCATGCTCGGTCAGCCCTTGTTCCCCGGTGAGTCGGGTATCGACCAATTGGTTGAGATCATCAAGGTCTTGGGAACTCCCACTCGCGATCAAATTCGCACCATGAACCCCAACTACATGGAACACAAGTTCCCTCAGATCAAGCCTCACCCCTTCAACAAGGTAATTGCCTTTTTGCCATGTCCTTTTGAAATCTTACTTATACGTCTCCAGGTCTTCCGCAAGGCTGACCCCAGCGCCATCGACCTCATTTCCAAGCTTCTCGAGTACACACCGACACAGCGTTTGTCTGCCATTGAAGCCATGGTCCACCCCTTCTTCGATGAGCTGAGAGACCCCAACACTCGCTTCCCTGACTCTCGTCACCCTGGAGGTGCCTCCAAGGATATGCCCGAGCTGTTCAACTTCAACCACCACGGTTCGTGTGACAAGTCCTCGTTGAATACCGAAGCATGCTGACATGTAGCAGAACTCTCAATCGCACCCCACTTCAACCACCAACTCGTTCCCCCGCACGTCCGTCCTCAGTTGGCAGCGAAGGGTCTTGACATTGACAACTTGACGCCCCTGACCAAGGATGCTATGATGGCACGACTGGATTAAAGAAGATACAAAAAGAAAAACTACCGGCAAAAATAACTATACACAGGTCATGAATTAGCGATGCATACTCTTTTCAAGTTTTCAAGACCTTTCGATTGACCCATCAGCGGTCTGCTTTACCGGCGTCCCACCCTGGAGTCTTTCAAAATCTTTCTACGCATATGACAATGGGTCAGCGGACAAGCCCCGGCTTGAACAGAAAACAAGACGCCGGATAAAGCTGGTTGCCAGGAGTAATTGCTTTGCTGCTATTGCCGCCGCCGCTTGTCGCCGCCGGCATTGCTGTGGATGTCTTTTTCTTATTTGTCTTCTTTTCTTTCTTTCGTTTTACCCGCTGAACGGGCGGTTCGAGCAAGTTTATTTTCTTCCTTTTTTGCAAGTGTGGTGCGGTAGAAATCTTTGAGTTGGAATGTCCTTTCAAAGATTTGACACTCGTTGCCCCTATCTCTCAATGCAGAGATGGGTTGTCAAGTCAATTGATGGTGCTCTCGACTATTGTTGTTGTTGTTTGCTTTTGCGCCCCAACAAAGGGATTGCGGGCGGCGCTCGGAAGAGTCAACAAGTTGGAGAAAAAGAAGTTATGATGGAGGTTGAAGGTAGTGGATGGCATGAATCAGGACGAATAGTGGCTTTTTTCTGTCTTTGACACAGCGGACAGAACGGAGCAGTCTGAATGAGGATTAAGTAACGCAGGGAATTTCCTTTTATCTTCATGTTTCTCTTACTCCTTTTCATCATGCTCGATTTCTGTTCTTCCCTAGAGCCGCTGCTCTTGCGAGAGTTGATCAGCGAACAAGGGCGAAAAGTGAATGGTTGATTCGCAGTTGGCTATCTGATTTTAGACCAGAATTGATTTTCTTCTTTCAGCTTCTGCTTCCCCTATCCTTCACTCTGATAAATTTGATTTCGAAAGGGCAAGGTGATCGCTTGCTTACTGCCGTCCACTAAGACTGTGTCATAGACCTGCTTCTCAAATTGAGGGAACTCCAGTATCGCCGTCTCTTTGTTCCGTCCTTTCATCGAGACGACCAAGGGTGTTTCACATGTATCCTCAGCAAGTCTGCCGTCACTTGATGAGAGCTCGAGGGTCGTCTTTATCGCACCTAAAAGGATATCCTGTCTTAACAACTTCTCTACTCTGAGAGCTGTTGACATTCACCACTCTCTCTCAACTTCACATTATCACACCTTAGCGGCTCTCCAGCTATATCTTCTCCTTGAACCATTACTCCTCTTCCTCTTCCTCTTCCTTCACCTCCGACATCGTCTTATACTTCTACCACTACCTTGACTACTTGCTTGTCTTCCAATATCCAGCGCCAACACATAGGTCTAACCTTCGCTACTGTTGTCGAACAGGGAGACTTCTGAGTACTTACCTTCAAGATTCACATCATGGCAAGACAAACCGAGATCGAGAAACAGCTGATCATGGCTCGTAAGAAGATCGGATATGAAGAGCTGGTACAGATTGAGGAAAATGCAGATGTCGAAATGGAAGATGTTCAAATGGAAGGAGCAAAGGTGGTTGGTGAAGAGGAAGCTGCAGCCGAAGTTCTTACCCAATTAGGCAAGTTTAGCATCTCAGCGAAGGCCGAAGTTCCGCGACCTCCACGACGCTTGGCACCACTTCCTCGAAGAGCACGTAGGAAGGTCGCGAGCGACGCGGTTCATCGTTTTGTCCAACGAAACGACTACGACAAGGACTTCGAAAACAGAATGGCCGACGACAGACGCGGAGGCGGTAATTTCAACCGCAAGAGACGTTTCAACAGAGGTATCACAGCACCGCGAATACACGGTCGTCGCCAATCCCTAAGCTAACCTTTTTTTGTTTACAGACGATGATGAAGGCGGCTACGATCGCAGACCCCAGCGCAGAAGATACGAAGATGCACCTCCAGGAACCCGCCTACGTCGCCAGCTTCTCGCTGTTGCTGAATCGCCTATGCGCAATCCCGAAGACGAAGTGAAGGACATCGCAAAGCTGGTTACCGACAACTACCACGACAATTACGTTAAGGAGACATATTGTGATCTGGTCTTGTCGCTAGTGCTGGAGCAGCCATTCAAGATTCCTTTCGTCACAGCTTCGGTCCTGTGCGCCAACAACGAGAAGAGCGAGGCAGCCGCTGAGGTCCTGAACCGTACTTCCATCCTGCTACAGCGTCATCTCGATGCTGGCGAGTGGCGCAACGTCAAGCTTTTGCTGCGTTTCCTGGCCTGCTTGCAACCTCTGTTCAGCGACGATGGAGTCTTTGGCATTCTGAACGAGCTCTTCGACCGCGCTGTTGATCTCCAGACTGCCTCTTCGGACGATGCTGTTGGTCTCGAGCTGGTCAAAATCATCCTTTTCACCATCCCCTATGTGCTCGCTGCACCCGGTACTGGCTTGGAAGAGAAGGCAGCTGAGCTGTTGGAAAAGACGGACATTGTTGCATCCACACCACATGCCCTGGAAGCTCTGGTCGACCCCTACCCGACAGCTGAGGGCGAGCAGAAGCCCATGGCTTGCCCCAGCATTCTCAGTGCTCTGCAGACACAGCTCCAAGGCGAGGCTGCCTCTGGCTGGAAGCTTGAGTGCATTCCCCGCTTGACCCGTGTTACTTCTCCGGCCCCTATCGAGGGTGAGAACGGCGAGCAGGCTGCACCCGGCAAGCACTCGTTCCCCCAGCTCTCCGTACCTTCTCCTGTCAACCCTGGTCCCCACTCACTCTTCCCCGAAGTTTGCTTCTCGCTGTTCGCCGACCAAGATGTCGAGGTGTGTACTTCACTGCCTCCCTCGATCGTTCTCAAAGCTAACTTTCTCCTAGTCTGTACCCCCCACCTCCAACATTGCTGCATCGCTTTTACGAGATGCCGTCACGGATACTATCAACATCCTCGACTTCAACCGAAACGCTGCTGCAAAGTTCCTCATCGATGTTGACTGTTATTGGCGCCCCGACACCTTCGTCAAGCGCGCTACTGCCTTTGACAAGCTCAAGGACATCCCCGAAGGCCGTTCGACCTGGAAGCCTGAGGACTTGGTTGTCGACGCTGTTTTCTCCCAAATCCTGCGACTCCCAACCTCGGAACACAAGCTGGTCTACTACCACTCCGTTATCACCGAGGCGTGCAAAATTGCTCCTGCCGCCGTTGCTCCTAGTTTGGGAAGAGCCATCCGCTTCCTCTTCCGTAGCCTCGATGTCATGGATCTCGAACTTCAATACCGCTACATGGACTGGTTCGCTCACCACTTGAGCAACTTCGAGTTCCGTTGGAAGTGGGCCGAATGGATCGACGATCTCGAGCGCTCAGATCTTGAGCCCAGAAAAGCCTTCATTGTTGGCTCGCTGGACAAGGAGATCCGTCTGTCTTTCGCCAAGCGTATCAGGGAGACTCTTCCCGAGGCCTATGCTCCTCTCATCTCTGAGGGCAAGATGAAGGACACTCCCGACTTCAAATATCTCAACGAGCAAACTCCTTACTCTCAACAAGGCAATGCCATGCATGCACTCATCCGTAGAAAGGCCCCTGAAGAGGAGATCGAGGTTGTCATCAACGAGATCCAGGCCCTGGCTAGCGAACACGGTGTTGAAGATGTCCTTGTGCCTAGCACCGACGCATACATGACCAGCATCTGCTCAGTCGGTAGCAAGTCGCTTTCTCACGTTCTGTCTTGTATTGAGCGTTGCAAGGAGCGCCTGCTCGCAATTGGCCCCCAATCCGAGCTTGCTCGTCGCCAGATCATCACATCAGTCATTGATTACTGGGCCGACCACCCCGGAACTGCTGTCAACATCATTGACAAATTGCTCAACTACACCATCATCACTCCTATGAGCGTTATCGAGTGGGCATTGCACGACCACATGCAGCACGGTCGCGCGCTTGCACAGACTCACATCTACGAAATGATCTCGGCCACCATGTTCAAGGTCAGCAACCGTATGCGCCAAATTGTGCGCGCTCGCGCCGAGGCCGATCTCTCCGAGGAGCAGAAGGCCTTGCTGGACGAGACGTTGGTTCGTGAACGCCAGACTATGCGTGATCTCTTCAACGCCATCATCGAGGCTGTCTCCACTGTTGCCAGTGCAGCCCAGGATGACATGATCGAGCGCTTCGATGGTGACAGTGCCGAACAGACTCTGCTCCAGCAGTGGGGTGCCCGCTGGGCTCGTGTCTGGAGACGCAAGATGGCTGTCGAAGAGGCTGTTGTCGGTGAGGCCGCCATCGAGATTGCCGATGTCGCCAGAGAGGCCGAGAGAGTCAAGGCAGAGGCACAAGCCGCCGAGGCTGCTGCTACCGCTGCCGCCGAGCAACCTGCCGACACCAACATGGAGCAAGAAGACCATGACGTCGCATAAAAGTCTTGAAATTTAGGAAGTATTTTTCGACGAAAAGCGGATGATGAAACGCGATGGGGAGCTTGGGACGGACGGCTGGTATCTTCCTTTTTCTGTTTTTCTTTTTGCGTCTTTTTATAACCCCCAAATACCTGCCGTGTATATCCAAGAAGCGACCATTTCTCTCAAGTTCTTGTTTCCTTGTCTGAACCGTGTGATATCCGCCTGTGCTCCTTCCTCTCCAAACTCGGGAAAGACATTGTTATTTGTGGTCGTTCTCTCCTTACATGCTAGTCACAGCTCGATGGTCGAAATTCTCGCTTGCTGGTCTTTCGGTCCATCGCACCTTTCCTCCCGATTTCGCGTCGGTCACACCTTCCTGTAACAAGCGACGTTCTTTCCTTTTTGTATGAGGGTGTAAGATCCTGGGCTGCTCTTTCTCCTTCATGCTCCTCACTTGCCCGCTCTTTTGATACTTTCTCTATTCCGGATGTGTGGATTGGTCTGTTGGTTGTTTCATGATCTGTCCAATCGAGAGTTTCTTTTGTTTCCAGCTCTTGCCTTCGTTGGGAGCGGGAGGATTGGGGATGAGCTCAAGTAGTTCGTGCTGCTTTCTATTAGCCTATGCATCTGACTCTTTGCTTCTTGTCGTTAGCTCATCTCTAGTGGCTGACATTCGTCAGGATACGTGATTCGAGGCGCGGATGGCATTAGATGTCAGGATGGTTGTAGCTGCAAAATATGCTGGATCGCTTGCTTTCGATCTCGGATGAAGTGATGTTCCTTCTTACCTCTAATGTTCCTTTCCTAGTGCTATGATATACCTTTTCCTTTCCTCTAGGCTTGGTATAACAAGGGTTGGGCTATTCTTGAATCATCTTTCTGGGTTATCAAGTTTTGTTGTAAAACTTGTCTTGATGTAGAATTTTGGGTGAGTTTTCTACAGGATGTTGCTTATGGTTCCGAGTAGGATGGAGATTCAAAGCTGGAAATGAGAGGTCGTTGCTTCTTTGAGAAGAGTGTTGTATCATGATCACTTCGTTGTCGTTAGTCGCCCTGTTTCTAAGGACGATATACATCGTTCCTTGTTTGTAGTACATTTCTTGCTTGTGATATTTCTCACTCCAATTTTTTCTCCCGGTGTTTCTTTTGGAGGACTTTGGTAGCCTGGTGATGCATGAACCTATTCTGTCTTCGTTCCTGCTACACCCTCAATGGTGCTGCAGATGCTGTAAAATATGTTTGATACATCAATTGAACTCGCTTAACTTGACAGCCATCCAGTCCCGCCCAACGTCCGCCAACGATCCTCCAAATCCCAGAACATCTGCCCAGCAGTTTTTTTTCCAACTTTTTTTTCTTCTGGTTCTATCTCATCTCCACCATCATCGTGCCCAACGGCGGTGGCACGACTAGGTAGGCGTTCGCGCTTCTACATTAGTGTATTCCCGCAAATGGTATTTCCGCAGATGGTATTTTCCCATTTTCGATATGCAGAATTTTTCCGCCTTCACCGCTTCCTCGCATGTACTGTGCGTATCCCTGTTGACTGCATATATTGCGTGGCGGCGATGGGGAGACAGCAGATTGAAATTGATCGGTGCTGGGCTGGCATGCATGTTGCACATGTAGAGGGAGGCCTGATTTCTTAACATCTGCAGCTTGCGGTGATGCAAAGTGATTCATCGTGCATGCATACAGCCTGATTGATTGATTGAGATTTTTGCCGTCATCGAGTTGTTGACGTGAACTTGTGTCAGAATGTATGATGGGACATTGCGGTGAGCAGACACAATGCGCGTGCAAGTCGAAAGTGCTTGTAATGGCCTCTTTCAGTAGACTCCGCCGTGAGCCATGGTATGTTGATGGGCGGGTGACCCTGTCATTGATGTCCTTAGACGACTACGGCATGTCCTTGATGTTGATCAAGGGTTCAATGCCTCTAGAGGGCTCTGCCAATATAGCTTCGACACGTTGAGTATATCACAGCCTCTGAACTTGCCGTGCCGACATTCGCAGTATGTAGAAGACTTTGTGGAGCACAGGACATCGAAAGTGTGGATTGATGTGAGGCTTTGGCGGAAGTGAGGTGGATAGATGACCCATGATCGCATCAACGTGATTACACAGAACGAGGTCGATAAACGCAGCATCACGATAGGCGAGGGACGATGGATACAATAATGGAGACAGGTCCAGGGAAGCAAGAATGGGAAGAAATAGAAGACAACAGACGCCAAGCCAAGATTGTACAGATGGAGAGAACGAGCAAGCCAGTGCAGCGCAGGAACCACCAAGGACAGGTAAATGAAGATGGAAAGGAAAGACTCGCAACGCAAGGAAGACCTTGAGCCTCCAGAACAGCAACCGCGGAATTAGAAAAAGAAGTCATCAAGCTATGATATCCAAAATGCTGGTATAGTATGCGATATTGAAACCCTTTTGAGTGGGAATGCCCTTTACTTCTTACTTGGTCCTCGAGCTTTCTCGTTTCTGTCGACTTAGGCAACAACGCCCTCTTCCTTCTTCTTGGGCAAGTCCTTTGTCAGAGCCAAGTATGCAGCGGCAGCAACAACACTACCGAATGTCACGCCAATGATGGCTCTACCTCTTCTTCCTTGCTTAAGCTTCAGCTGCTCATCCTTGCCCAAAATCTTGACAGCATCTTTGAGGAAGGCATAGCTAAGTCCACTCCACGCTGTGGTGGCGGCCACAACAATCTGGAAGTAGGTCATAAACTGAGCGAGGTCGAGCTTCTCGAGACCAATATCATGCATGATACCCATGTGGTGGTTGTCTGCCGTGATGACAGGGTACGCCAGAGTGGCGCCAATGAGCAGTAATTGCAGGAACGTGTTGTACTTGCTCATAGTGGTTGGATGTACCTCAGCGGATGGCAGGGAGAAGTCCCAGTAGCGCTTGAAGGTCTTGGGCGCGGGCAGAGACGCATATCTCCAATAAAGAGCAGCCACCGCAAGAGACACATCACGTCCCAGGATGAGTGTAGCCAATGAGACTATGTGTCAAATTGGGTAAGCCTGAGATATCTGGTGAACATAAGGGGTTGCTCACCTGGCAAGAGACCGTTCATGGACAGGGTGACGGTCAAGATGGTCATCAAGAACTTATCGGCCATGGGATCAATGACACTGCCAACAACAGTCTGCAGCTTGTACTTGCGAGCAATCCATCCGTCAACCAGATCTGTGATACCTGCATAGGCGAACAGAGCAAGCGCCCATTTGTGCTGCTCGTGCAACACCAGGTATCCAACAAAAGGTGCAGCGATCAAACGGGAGGCGGTAAGGATGTTCGGGATGTTGTATATCTGCTCGCGAGGTGTCAAGGAGCGAACCTTGTCACCAATAATGCTTGCCTTCTGGCTTGCAACATTGGCACTCTGCGTGATAGCTCCCGTATCAGATGCCCCTGGTTGCGATTGTTCCCTTTGCTTCAGCAATCTGTTAGTCGATGTTACATTTTCACAATCTTCTCCAACGTGATCAAGCCTGACCAAGGGTGAAGCACTACACATGCTTCCGATACACGCCGGTCTTGATAATTGTCATGCACACGTTGAGAGGGATGATCGACAGAACTTACAAGACCCTTATTGCCGTCTCCCTTGGGCGTCGAGAAAGAGCGGCGTGAGATTGGTGTAAGGATCGGGTACGAGCTATGGATTCGATGATTAGATCACAAGAAAAGCATAGCTTAGGACACAGTCATGGGTTGAGAAATTACCCGGTTGAGGAGCTCAGGGCAAGGTTGTACCGACGTCCGCAATGATACTGCTGAATGGGCCGACGGAATGCGACACGCGCGGAGCACACTGCTGGTGTCGATACGGGTGATGTTGCGACCGCGGCGTAGGTGCGGGCGAGGCACAGTAGAGGGGCTGATCGGCCAGTCATGGCGGCGGAATTGACAGCTGACAGCCTGCTCGAGATTCTGAGATGTGCCATTGACCACCCTCCATGGCTCGCAAACAATGTCTTATTTACCGCTGCTGTTGAATGCGACATGTCGTTCGTTTGGCGCGCTTGCGAAAGGGTCCGTTCGCCAACATTGGAAAAAAGATAATCACATGAGAACGCCAACGCTCCGCGTTGATCGTCATTTTGAAAACGCTGCAGATCTAAAAGTCCGAGGCGTTCGAGAGCACATCCACGGAAACCTCAAGCCTCTGTTAGGGTGCCCTGTCATGCAAGGGCAATCCCCGACCTGAAGTGCAATATCTGCCGACGCACACACGAGGAATAGGAAAATCAAATGATTGGCATTACATACTGTATGGACCAAGGATTTCACATCTACCAGATAACAAAAATGTCAAGATCTAGCGAAATGTTGCTGTTCACCATTTGAAGCCCAAGAGGCTGATCACAAGCCCTCATTCCAGGTCTGAATGGAGGCGAAAGCATAACACCATTTAGCAAATATACATCCAACTACAGTGACCACTTTATCTGAAACTGGTGCACAAGGGTTTCGGTCTAATGCCAGTTTTCCATTTTAATTTCTACACTGAATTGAATGCTGATGCGCGATCTGATATTCCATATCCGTACAATATACACAAACGATGCCCAACACCATCATAGCTACCCGAGCTGTATTATCGGCAAACCGATCCTCCGCCGCTTTTATGGACAAATAACTGCGTGCTCTGAATAGAGAAAAAAGCCGAGAACAGGCAGAACGTGGCCTTTTGAAAAATAGAAGGTCGTTATTTTGAGCAAATTAACAGGAATGAGATCTGTCTGCTCAAGTGTAGCTGCTCACTGCAGGCTTTCCGTCATTATAATATTGAGAGCTCTGAGCACCGGGGGTTGCGTCACTACTGTGTCGGTAGCTCTGGGGGGCGCTGAGTCCTGGATTTGCGTAGCTAGGCGCACCGTAACTTCCACTGCTAGGTTGAGCATGGCTGCTGCCGTATCCAGAAGCCATGCCGATGCTGGGCATTTCGTGTGATCCCGGGCCCTGGCTTGCATATTGCCTGTAATTTGGCATGCTGGGCATGCTGGGCAGGTTCGAGCGTCCACCAGAATAAGAGCTCATCGACTGTGGCGGCCCGACTGGCGGCGATCTCATGCTTTGCTGTTGAGGTGAGGCGCTTTGATGGCTGCTCGTTTGGACACTATAGCTTGTTGGCTGGTACTGTGATGTTGTGGCCGTCTGTGCTGGTTGATACTGAGATTGTGTGGCCACTGGAGTAGATGAAGTAGTCATGCTAGGAGGCTGACCGTAGCTCTGGGCGGGTGTTCTCATTGGTGACTGGTATTGCGACGACTGCATGGGTGGCATAGGTGCGTATGAGTTGCTCGGCGCCTGAGGAGTCGACGTTTCGTTGCGGGTGCTGTAATAGTTGCTGTAACTCTGCTGCGGAGGCGCTGCGCTGTATGGCTGTGACCAAGAAGGTGCAGGCTGAGCTGTAGCTGGCAGGCTGGCGTACACACCTGGCCCAGTGGATACCGGCGCGGCGCCATACATCGGATAGCCTGGGGGTGGTACATAAGCTTGGCGCATCATATAGCCAGAAGCCGGCACCATGTATGAGCTACCCATATGAGGGTACGCGTGTCCAGTGTTACCGTCGACAGCATATTGGTCCGACTCCTCAACAGGTGCGCGGAAGTTCTGCTTCAGGTAAAGCTCGGGGCGAATTGCTATGCCATTCAAACGCGTGTCGGTCAAGGGGCGCTGAAGCTTTCGTTGCTTGACATCTTCAACGGTGTAGTAGGAGACAAGATGATGCGAGACGCCGTTCAGAGAAATGCTCATCGTCTTCTTCACCAGACCATTAGGCCTGAAGCCGTAGCTGTCAACAAGGGAACCAATAAGCTGGCGCTCTACCTCCTTGTCGCTGTCGGTCGTGCCGGGTGCGCTAGACTTCGACTCCGGGGGATTTGCTGGCGACGGAGGAGTTGGTGGGAGTCTGTTATATTCTGCAACTTCGTTCTCCTCGGAATCGCGACGGCCTTCGGGTTCTTGGGAGGATCGTTTGCGTTTCATTGCGCGCTTCTTCTCGCCAGGAGGGAAAGGCTTCTCGAGTTCGCGATAAATCAAGAAGTTTCCGAGGATACGACTAGGGCTCCAAGCGACACCATCCGTCCAGCGCTTGATGCCTGATGCGTTCTCTTCGTATATAAAGACGCTGCCGCTCTTGATGAGACTTGCGCGTTCGCGATCGTGAGGGCGGCGAGGGACGTGATGCAGCTTGCCGCTGAGACATGCCTCGAACAGCACGAGTCCATCCATGCTATTCTGGATGAAGCCATGCCATGTAGGCTGGAGCGGACCAGAACCAGAACCACTGCCACTCATGACGGACGAGGAAGGCAGTAAGCTTGAGGACTGAGGTCGATATAGAGGTCAACTGCCGTCGACAAAGTTAAAGCAGATAAGTTGAGAGTAAAGGCAAATCCAAGTTTGGATTCGAGGGAGGGTGTTGTTTAATCTTGGATGACTCTTTACGGGTCAGCGAGCTTTCGAGAAAAAGCAGTCAAGCTCTTGATGAGTGGGTAAGCGNATTGTTCAGGAACCTGTTTTGTAAGCATGGGATGAACCCTACCTAGAGGGGACTCGACGAGCAGGGTAATTTGTGTTACAAGATTGGCTTTTGGATGGCAGCTTGGGCAGGACTGTCGTCGTGATCACGCTGGCAAGGTGTTCGGGCCGAGGACAGATCAGGTTGGAAACAATGATCAAGAGTCTTGAGTTGATGGGTGAACCAATGATTGGGCACCAAAGGGAAGATCAGAGTTTGGACCGGACAATGGCGTGCGGCGGGAGTGCGCTCAAACAAACTTCAAGAGTTTGAGGGGTTAAGATTTTGGAGGGTGAAGATTGACTCTCGGCGGGGAAGGAGATGACAAGAGTAAAAAGTAATTTGGTGAGCGTCCGCAGGTTTAATAAAAACGACTTGGATAGCAGCACGGAGGGGGCGCCTTTTAGCAAGAGGGGAAGAAGCGACGCAACGACGCTCTTGTTCAAGGAAGACGCGAGAGCCGGTGACGATCGGACGTGCTTGGCTTCGGCGAGATTTGCAAATCAAGAGGAAAGAGGTCAGAGACACAACCCAGAAAAACGGTCGACTTGACAGCAGGCACAGATGTCTTTAATTGAATTAGAATTGTGCCAGTCGAGCGGGAGTGGTTCGGAGCTAGCATCGGCGGTTCTTGTGAGAATGAGAAAACGTCTGTCAGGGCGACCCCAGAAGGGGTGTGAAGCCGCTCGATTGCTGACTGGACGGAGCATCTCCCTAGTCCAGCGGATGCCCATCCTATCTGGGTAAGGGCATACAGTAGCGCGGGAACCCGATCACTGCAGCGATTGTTGATGATGATGATGACCTGCAGAGACAATCCCAGGGACCCAGCCGCCCGGTCAAGGCCCAGCCCTCGCACTTCGAACAGTGAACAACCACCATTGCTCTTCGTTTCTCATGCAATTGATTGCATGCCTGACGACGCAATGCGAAACAGCATGCATACTCTCACTATCTTGCATGTATCTATCTCCCAGATGTCTCGTACTTGCTGGCTGACATGTCGACTCGTATGGATGCGACCCGGTCGAGCGCTTCTCAAAAACAATACGACACGTCCACTTGTCCGTGTTCTGAAACTGCGGAGCGGCGACTGAAGGTGACTGATGGCGGTCTTGCTCTTAGCACGGAAATCCGCTGCGGCAAGCCACTCATTGGACGACGATCAAGCAGCGCCGTCTCTGCCCATGGCACGTGCTAGACGGGACTGAACCACCCGATGTCCTCTACAGACTACCTGATTCCTGAACGAGCACATCGGATGGGTTCCGCGGCGAGCGCAGAAATGGAACACAGCCACCAGTCCATGATTAGTATGGCACCTCAATCGACTCGTTCCCCCATAACTAATCACAGGATACATCTCGAATGTCAAAATGGTCACGACTAATCGCACTTAGGCAGGGCGATCTAATTGGTTGCGTCACCTTGTGCCCTAAGAATCGCAACTGCCACTATGACCGACCTAAAGCGAAGTGGCCGTGTGCCATGTGGGTGGTGGCCATGCGAGCCGACCCCAGCGTTCGCTCCTAACGTCAGATGATTCTGACTGCCTCGGCACATGCACATGGCGTTTTAGACACACTCCTTTTATGCACAATTCGACCACATATTCGAAAGCCGAAGACCGTCCTCGGTCCTGACGAATGCTCGAGTATCGAAGTCGGACGCCACACACAGATCACGCAGAGTGTTCACGCTGTTAAGCATTCAATGCCAGAGCTCGGATGCATATTTTTGCAACAAGCTCCGAAGGATCCAGCGCGAAGTTTGTACGGAGGATGCTCCGCGACAAGCCATGGTTTTCTTCATATTGCCCATCATGGCTTGGCCGACAACACCAAGACACTGTGCGCGTCTTGTCCCGCGAGGCTGAAGACCAATGTCTGTTTGAAGCGTCATGGCTGTCGTGAATGCAACAGATGGTTGTCAGACCAAGAGTGACCAGGACTGACTGGATGGTCTTCCTCTCATATTGGACTTGGCGGCGGCATCCACGTTGTGCAGGGGTTTTGTCAAAGGAGAGCAGGCGATTGCATGCAATCATGCAGGTTTTGCAATTATGTGAACTCGATCATCGAATCCATCCATTGAGCGGCAGGTCCAAAAGAGGACAAAGCTTTCGCGGCGGCGCGACGCCACTCTTTCGGCGCATATGACACGACTAGCTGCTTCGAGGAGCGGACCTGCTTTGCATGCAATCGGCGGGACGACAACAAGAACCTGCTCTGACGACAGCAAATTTACGACATTGCGACGAAGATGGATACATGTTTCTTCGCATGAGATAGCGCAGGCCGACAGCGTGAGAAAAGTCAAACGCTCAGGACATGGGTTCGTACCAGCACAGTGGATACAATTTTTTCTAGAAGACGCCCAAGTGAGGATGGTCGAAAGTCAATATGACCAACGCCATCAGATGCAATGAGCCGCTCACAGACCAGCACCTTGCCATGCTTGCTACTTGCGGCACCGCTATCGGGTGCCCATATAGGTACGTATATCGCGCGCTTCCGTGGGCGCAGATCATCACTTGCTCGTCATGAAAATGCCATTTCATCTTTGATTGTGCGGTGTAGTGCTTCGTCTTCGATTCTGTTTGGAATCTCCACGTGGGACAAGATTCATGATCGACAGGAGAGATCTTTGCATGTCAAATGGCAAGCTTGCCGCATGTGCCATTAGAGTTCAGAAAGAGAGCAATTCCCGCCAGAGTTATGGAAGAGAGTCAATAGGGCGCGGAGTCAAGGGTCTCCGTACACCACCAGACATGGTATCTTCTAAACGCGCTGGAGCCTTCTACCGGGCACGGAAACAGGTCATTTGAATTTGAGATCGCTTCAAAAAGCCTGATCCCGTGCCCGGTGGAAGGCTCCAGCGAGTTATTCGCAGTGGTATACACCTTTTCAGGCGCATTGGAAGCCAAAGGGGGGGTGTGAAATTTCGGAACCCCCCTCCATGGTTCCAAAGTCCACATTAAAATCTTGACTCTCTTCCCCATTGACTCTCTTCCCTAGTTCTGGCGAGCAATTCCCACATTCGAGTACTTCCTCCCCAAGTAACTGGGCGGAGAGTGCCGTGCTACACAAGCAGGACTGCGACACCGTTGTCGAATAATATGCACACTGTACGCTTGTGCAAGCTACATTGATGACTGAACAGGCCAAGTAAGACATTACCTGTCCAGGTTGTCGCCCCAGAACCTCCAACGCTTAATTTCGTGAACAGAACGCAGAGGCAACTCCAGAGCAAACTAGAGTTGGGACAGGCCGTTGCAATCCTGCTCGCACCAGAACACTCGACACCACTTGGCCATACGTCATGTTCTTCGTTAGACCCGAGAAGAACTCCTGCACTGGGAACATTAAGCATGATCCGAGCCGAAACGCAAATAGTACTCGGGACATGTATATGTACAAGGCTGTGTACGCACGTATTTCTTCTCTGCTCGAAATTAGTTCTCAAATCATAGGCCAGACTGAATGTATACATCGAGACATAAATCGATCGGCCACGGCGTCACGCAGAGGGCGACAAATTTCGGCCGGAGGGACACGGTCCTGGTTCTGAGCAGGTAATCACTAATCAGCTTTTCTACCTCCCTCTTCTGTACAATGCAGCTCTTAGGGTCCGCACGTTTTCGTTTTCCCCTTCAAGGTGCACCGGCCCTTGAACCAAATCTGGTGCGCAAAGCAATTGGCGCGTGGCCTTGTTTAGGGTCAGTCTGCCGAAGGTGAAAGCCACACCGACTACGGCGCAGTCAAACGGCCGCCGTCAACCTTGTTAAGTTGCGCAACACAAACACACGCCGTCGCTTGCCGACCCAGGGTTTCAACTCCCACTCGGTCCGGCATACTTACTCTTCTTGTCTCAGAAGTATTCGTCTCTCCATGGCGCTTTTTAGTCCGTTCTTCGCCAACGTTCGCTCTGCTGTGGAATGATCTCACTCTTCGCCGTTCAGGGCTTCCAGAACTCACAGCGACTTCCCGCGCGCCATCGGCATGGTCTTGAGACGTTTCTCCTCTTTCTACTGACTACTTGTGCATGTAAGACTACAACATCAAAATAACTTTCACTGACATCGGCTGGCGCAATTGCGAATTTGCGAGAAGCTTGGAACCGGCAGACCCAAGAAACGTAGACCAATCCCCGTTACGAGGCCTGCCGAACCAGGTTCATCTAGGTACAATCTCTAGGCGCTATCTAACATGCCCGCGGGGATGCTCAGGATTCAGCTTGCCCAAACCCTTCGATAGCCGCCGCCTGACCTCCTTGTCTTTCCTTATGATGGCACTGCCTCCGCACAAGTGTCTCCAGTGTGAGCGCCGTTGAGCATCACGGTACCGTCCGGCTTCGACACAGGAATGCTTGCAGGATGTCATCTGGTCGTCGTCACTGGTCTTGACGACTCGCGAGCCACTCGGAGCGTCCTATCTCTGCTCGAACTGATGCCACTTTTGCTTCCTTCAAAGCTCAGACGTGTGTTTTGTTTATTACCTTGACTCTATCCGGCCAACCGCCTACGAAACGCGTGGATTCCCTGGGCTCAGATACTTGTTCGCCAAGTGGTGTATGAGGTACTGGCCATCGTTTTGATGTGCTGGCCCTTGGTCTAGCGATGCATCTTGCATGTTCACACAACACTACCATATTTGACTTCGATATCACGTGCCTAAGCATCTTGCCACGAATTAGCTCTCGCTTTCCTCGCATCCGACGGTGGACAAAGTCAAAGATCCTGTGAGTTGTCTTTGACAGTTTTCAGATTCTTCGTCGGGGTTTTGGGTTGTTGCAAACACCAATTGTTGATCAAGGTTTCTTTCGACGTTCAAGGTCACGGGGGCTTGTGCTGGTGCCTCCCCAACCCCGGCACGTTGTACTCAGTTTGACTTTCAACAATCTGAGAAACTTCACGCCTAATGCGCTGCGCCACCGAGAGAGGGTTTACCATACGACTCTACAAGCAGATCACTTCTCTACATGATATGATCATGATTGACGGAGCTTCACCTTCTAGTTTGCAAAGGTATGTGCTCCACGGAGCCTCGAGTACGCACGTACCCGATCAATATACCGCATCCGAACTCAAGCCCTGGATCCATGAATCATCCACAGAGCCGAAGAGACTACTGGGGAAAAGGAACTCTTGATGGCATGTCGCCAGTGCGCTTTGGCCCGCCGCCGTTCTCCTCAGATCGTTGCGCAATGTTACGGGAGGTGTGAGTGAGGTTGCAGCCACAAGTGTCAGAGGAGATTCGTATGACCCTCTGATTAGCGGCAGCTCACGATTGGTGCAGTGCGTCGCGGCCCTGCCCTTTGGCTTCTCGTATCGTCGAAGCTGCCGGTATCGTCGACCTCGTCGAAGCTGCTGCATTAGCTGCCCGGTCAGCTCGAGCACCTCTCGAGATGATGTGCGGCACTGCCGTCAACGGCTACGGCGCTGCCCAATCTGGCGTGCGGTGGCGCCAGCAAGCAATTATTGGCGCTATAGCGCTGGCAGATTAAGAAGCCGCGGCTTCAACGAACAAGGACACTAAAATCCGAATCACGGAGCTGCACAGAGTCTATGTGAAGAACACCATCAGAAGAATCTCACCGAGTCACATTCACACCCTCCTTGTTACTCATGTTGTTTGAACGGTCATCTCTTTACTCGCTGTGATATGAACAGGGGGTGGGCCTCGCTTGCTTTTGAAAGCCATACCTATGCATGCACATGCAAGAGCCGCGTTTGGCCGTCAGTAGCCTACAACGCGAGATTCTTTATTGCGAAACGGTGTGACCTGAAGCCATGCTTCGGTTGCACAACCTAGAAGCGGCGGTCAGGGAGATCTCTAGGTCGAGCAGAGGATGTACCTTCCATCGAAGAGGAGCGGGTGTACCTGTAGTGCCCGTCGCACACGACCCTTGCACCTGATCCGATCTGTGACTTGGATGTTCGTAGAGGCAGACTACACCATCATGACGCGTACGGGATGTGAGCCAGATACCCCAGCTGGCTAGCATCGCGTCGCTTGTTCGATCTCGCTGCCATCGTAGAGTCTAGTGGTCTAGCGGACGGGGTGGTTTATTGAGCCTCGAAGACGCATACACAGCAGTGCATGCTTTTCTTCTAGCGCAAGCAGTGTGATGGCAGCCAGGATGTTGGTATTAAAACTTGCTCCTCGTCTCCGTGACGCGCCGATCACCATCACCGCCGCGGACCAGCCTTTGGTCAGCTCATCCAACCCCCGTCGTATCAGAAAATGTTGAAATATTGGTATGCCTGATCAGCAGCTGAAGTCTACGACTGACTCGTGGTCAGAGGTCGGTTCTCATGCATGCACTGCCCATGCGCCCATGGGGTTCAAGAAGTATCCAGTCAGTCTCGCCGACGGCGCAATATATCGGCGGCGACGGCAGCGAAACTCAATGTTACCCCTGCCATGATTCACGTATCTCTCTGTGCTCTTTCCAAAAAGAAAGAGCTTCTTAGATTAACAAGAGATGCAACTCCATTGTGTCGGACCGTATGATGTTGTTGCGAGTCAATCATGAGGCTCTGGGCTGTGCTGGCTCGTCTGTGTTTCATGGTTCTCTCCTTCCCTCTCCACATGTTCTCTTCGTACCTCATCTCTGGTGAATGAGATCTGGTCGTTAGTCAGACACTTGATTCAGGCCTCATGCCATATGCTCTGAGACTTTGTGCCCTACCTTGTGCTCAGGCAAAGACGTTCCTCACGATCAAACATCTCCGGGCTGTGCTCGTTTGTTACGGCCGAATGCAACGACAAGAACTTCCTGTACGAGGTACGGCCAAATTTGCCTTTCAATCATCCATCGAGACGAAGAACACTTCTCGTGTGTATCTGGCGTGTGGTATTCAGTTCTGCGGCCGTCGGATACAAGGCAAATGGGCAGTCGAAGGATGAACGATAAGATAACCCCATGACAGGGTCTCCCGCACTTCAAGTGATGATAGTGCACACATTATTCCCCCATGAACCCGCTATAGCAAACTCAAGACAAGTATAACAGACAAACTTCCCACCCCTTGCAGCAAAACCGCTCCGAACCTAGAGATCTCTAAATCTGACTCTCACATAGTGTTCAGATCCTTCCAACCCTCCAACCCTTCGGTTCGGAGCGAAGTGCGAAAGGAAAATATCGTTTGCTCGGTCCTATAACACCGAAAGTATGGCACGCTGTACCGAAACTCTGGCATGAATAATCTTTCACCCTTTAACCACGCTGCTGGGATACCTTATGAATCGAATCGTCTTTTTAAAGTTGCTTGAGTTTCAACGTCAATGTGTCAAGGGGAATTCGGCTTATAATACATAAGCGCGCGTCTATGGAAAGAATGCAAAGCTTGGAGCGAGCGACAAAATAGAGTCGTGAAAGTTTTTTTGACGCTCGAGTCTGTCGAGAAGTAAAACCAGCATACTGGGACATGGTGGATCTGGACTGTTTTGGCCATACCTCAAGATATTCGTGCAAGACAACTACTATGAAGTCGTCTACCGGACAGAAACCTAGGATTGCAGAAGAGTGAGTGAACCGAATGCCGTTATGGTCGATGGTGGAATCACAAGCCTTTCTCGCTGGATGTACTGTGGCGAATTTGTGCTTTCTGGTCGATGTCTCGAGGCAGGTATCGGTGTCATGCCTCCAGAGGGAGCATCTGATGATGAATTGCTTGTCATGGAATCCTTAAGACGAGCACATCGAGTCACAACACAGAGCATGTCGAGCATTCACCAATGACTATTTGCCGAGGTAACACAGCACAGCACAGCTTTGAGGGTTGACGAGGATGGCAAAAGAATAGCGACGAACAGAATTGGAGCATATGTACAAGTACGACCAATTAGTGGAGGGATATCAAGTCAAAACAAACAGCAAAAACATCACAGCTCTTCCACCATAAAGTGACAAAAAAAGCTGTATCTCAAAACAGAAAATCGCATAACTTCTTGACAAAACCTTTGTGATTGGCAAAGGGAGAACCGCCCAGATAAAGAACACCAGTCCAGAAATAAAGAGAGAAAAACCAGGGCAGGTCGGCAGCACCAGAAGAGAAAAGCGAGGGTGGCCGACCCCGTCATTATGCCCCAAATAACACAAACCCAGTCATTCCCCACCGTGAAACCCCAAAGCCGTCCATATCCATGGATCAAGATGCACGTATACTGATCGTCCTAGATGCGTATCGTGTCGGACGTATGCAACCTATGGTCATGTATCGAAAACGTGAGTGCGCGTCGAGAGAGTAAGAAACAAGTCGTGATAATTCATGCAATGTTGATGTCCGTTTTGCTTCGAGATGAAGATGCGCTCGGGCGAGAGTTCCGCAAGAGTGAGCCGCATCCCCGATGGCAAGATGCATCATTGGTCGAGACCAGAAGCATGTCAGAGAATATTGACTGACATATCTCCGCTCATCATCCCGTACTTGGACAGATTCAGATCGTCGTCAACTAGGCCCATCCCAATGCCGCTGTCGTCAAGATCGGCTGCGTCCAGACTCTGGTTCTGAATGGGCTGAGAAGGCAGAGATTGTCGCGGATGAGGCATTGCGAATCTTTGGTGTGGCTGCGATGAGAGTTGTTGTGATTGCGACAGCTGCATCGGCTGGCTGCCCATGTCGAAAGAGGCATTGTAAGTATGCATGGATTGTGTGGACAAAGCACGCGTCACTTTAAGGCTTGAAGTCAGTCAGAGCTCCATGGAAAAGAAAATCGAAAATGAAAGGTCGAAGGACTTACTTTGAGCACTAGCAGGCCGTGATTGCGGCTGCATCTTGAAGTCAACCTCCATGCTGCTCATTCTACTGTCGCTCCCACTACGCATGCTACCATTTGAGTCGACAGGCTTGACGTCAGGAGACACTTGAACAACAGACGCAGCAGGAGTGGCATGGACAGGGTTATGTTCAAGGAAACCACCCATCGCTGCCAGCCACAAGGCCATCTCATCAACGAAGATCTTCATGACCCACCAAGTTTGGTAGCTAGCTCCTCCCATGATAGTGATGTCTCTTAGGGCTGCAGTTCCAACAGCACTAATGCAGTGCAGCAAGAGTCTCGTGTTGGCTTCGGGGAAGCGCGAAGGAAGGGAGGTGAGGAAGACAGACCACCTGTCGAGGACGTTTTCAGTCGAAACTTGTCCTGACTGATCTGTGGACTGAGGTGGCGGTTGCTGGAAGGTTGGGAAGTTGGCTTGAGCGTAACCATATGCTTGGTTGTCATGAGCGAAGAGCGGGTTGTCAGGGAAGGGAGGAGAGCTGAGAGGCTCTAGGAGGCCTCTGATGTCACAAGTCATGATCTTGTAGACTTCTTCGTAGCCACAGGCGGGCAGCTCGGCCTCCATGACACGCTTGGGGTTGACCATGGTAACCCATTCACGCCACATCTGCTCACGGTTCTGGTCGACAGTGAGGAGGTTTGCAGCAGCGTGGGCGGCAGCGTTGACACGGATCAAGCGATGCAGAAGGCTGGCGAAGGTCGCAGCAGGCTTGAGCTTGGCTTGCAGCACATGTGCAGGGTGCGAAGCGAATGTCTTTGAGATGTGGGCGTGCAAGTTGGTAGAGATGTTGTTGAGAATATTGATGACGACTGGAGGTGCAGCCTGAAGTGTGAGACGCGAGACGAAGCGAACCATCTTCTGGTACATCAACGTGTCGCAGGCCTGGATCCAGGGCGCGAGGTTGGGATGAGCCAGCAGTTTTTGGACAGGGACCGTCAATGTGCCATGGAAGGATGTGAAGAGGCGGAAGAACTGCTTTTCCTTGCAGAAGCGAATACAGTCGATCAACGATGTGCAATGAGTGCGATATAGCGCTGTGAGGGCTTCGGCCGTGTCGGGATCCGTCTTGACGGGACAGAAGGGCAGGATGTTGGGCAAGACAATCGTGTCGTTTTCTTGGAAGGGAGCCTCTTCTTTCGCAGGGAAGCGCAAGTTTTGATCGTACATGATAGAGCAGTCATTGTCGGCCACCATGCCACGCGTATCAGGATAAGCAAACAGTCGTGCCGTTGACCCAGGACCACGGGGCTCGATTTGTGGTGAGGGATGCGATTCGGCGGAGCCTTCACTGCTATTCGCACCGTCAAGGCCATGGGTAGGGAATGCAGCGGCGTCGGCAGGAAGACGTGGCACCTGGCTGAAGTCGAGGTGAGGGTTGGTCGAGGCACTGCGGCGCATGTCCGAGACATCGGCGTGTAACGAGTTTGAGTTTGAGCGTTGAAGGCTGAGCTGAGAGTCCGAGTTGTCGTCGACCAGGCACAAGTCGACATAGTGGTACTTGGACTCACCACGGACACCGAGTCGTCTAGTTTGGATACCCGGGAAGATGACTCGTACCAGCTTGCCAAAGGATGCTGGGTTGAGAGGGACCACACGTTCTGTACCGCAACGCGTAGCATAGTGTGAGTAGACGCGGTTGCGCGGCACTGATGTTTTGGCCGCCTTGCACACCTTGCGCAGCCTGTCCGTCGCGTCAGTAAAAGAAGAGCATAACATTGGTGCAGTGAACATACCAGAGCATAGCGAACAGTTGTTTCGTCTTTTCCGCTTGAGGAGTGCGTTCCTTCGCGATGACCTCTTGCGCGACTTCTGGTAGCGAGCGCGCCTCGTTCTTGGACAGCAACTCGCGCAACTCCTTGTCGTTGGTCGCTGTGGCTGACGATCCTTTGCGACGGCGGTCTTCCGGTTCGTGGCCGCTGAGTTGAGGGAAGGCAGCAAGTCCCATGGGTACAGCATACTCGTTGGGTTGGAACATGTACGAGCCGTCTTGAGTTGCGAACTGCTGAGCTTGCGCGGTGAACTGGTCCATGGGAATGTGTTGTGATTGGAAAGTGCGCTGCATCATCTGAGCGTCCATGTGTGGTGCGGAGCCTTGGGCATAGTGCAGAAGCATTGACTCGGGGTTGTGGTGGTTCATGTATTGTTGTTGATGCAACATGTCGGGGGCGGGAGAGTGGGCGCTTTGGGTCGAGGCGCGCGACAAGGGACGGTGTATCGAGTGGGTAGAGCGTGTTCGCTGCATGATGGCTATGTCGATTGGCCTCTCGTGCTCATAATCCTGCAGAGTAGGTTTTGTTGATGTGTTGATGTTGTTGATTTATTTGTTTGTAATTCCGGGAAGACACCGACAAGGCCACACGTGCACCTCAAAACAAAGCTCCAAGGACGAACGAGTTTTTAGAAATGCGGTGAAGAGCGCGTGGAAGAATGGCTCTGGTTTAGGATCCGAGGTGTCGAGGGCGAAAGTCGAGTCGTGAGGAAAACAACAATGCAGCTCGCTTTCAATGTTGTTGATACCAAACACAGTCGGAACGCAGCAACGCAGCCAGATCAGCCAAGTCACGTGCAGAAGTAGACTACGTCAGACTAGCTATTCGCCGGGTATTGCTCTCAAACACACAGTTAGAGCTTGTTTGCCTGTGAGTGACTGGATAATGAGGTTCAATTTTACAGAGATTGGCAGTTGCTGTATGTAGTAACCCTCCTGCAACGTTCTTTCTCAAACCGTTGTCGCTTGTTGGAGGGCGCGACGGCACAAAGCAGGAAGGCACGAAGTGCAGAGGATTTGCCGGGCCGGGCAGGAAGGAGCGAGCAGGAGCACATACGTCAGCCGGGCATTTCGAGCATTGAGCTTGCGAACTCCTGGCTCGAATCTCGACCTCTCTTCTCCTTAAACCATCAACCAACTCCATCCCCGTCCAACAATTTCATTTGCTTGCCGTTTGCATAGCCTTAATCCGAACCGTTTTCAAAAATGTCTTTCCAAGAACGCGCCCAGCAGCACATTTCGCAGCTCGACAAGGAGGTATGTGGTCTAGAGCTTGCTATCGCTACACGTGCCTGTCGCACTCTCGCTGACAAGACCGCCATCTACAGCTGTCCAAGTACCCTGCCCTCCAGAACTTTGAGCAGCAGAGCTCCGTCCCCAAGGTCTACGTCGTCCTCGGTCTCGGTGCCCTGTACTTCTTCCTCATTTTCTTCAACATTGCTGGCGAGTTCCTCGTCAACTTTGCTGGCTTCATCATCCCCGGCTACTACTCGCTCGAGGCTCTCTTCACCCAGAACAAGGCCGATGACACCCACTGGTTGACCTACTGGGTCACCTACGCCTTCTTGACCGTTCTCGAGAGCGCCGTCAACGCCGTCTACTGGTTCCGTACGTTATCCCGCCCGCTCCCCTGCAGCTCCATGACGTTTGCCTAACATGATTCTAGCCTTCTACTACACCTTCAAGTTCATCCTCGTTCTCTGGATGTCTCTTCCCCAGACCGGGTAAGTCCCTCCTATCCATTTAGCTGCCTACATTCCTTATCTAACATGATACAGTGGCGCCAAGATTGTCTTCAACTCCCTCCTCCACCCTCTCTTCGGCCGCTTCTTCCAAACCGGCCCTGCTGGCGTCCGTGCCGACACCACCAAGACCCAGTAAATATGTCGCCGCGATAGAGTCCTGGCGGTATGAGAGTGTTTGTTTGAAGGCTGTCTTCCATTGACTGGCTTCTGGCCTTTCTCTACAGATCAGCCTTGTCTTACGGGAAGCACGACTAATGCCCTTGAAATTTACTGGAGGAGCGTGGACAAAGAAGAAAGAAGATGTTGCAGTGTTGTTTTCAGAGTCGAGCCTATTTAGGCAGTTGGAGATCGAGTATTGAGATGACGATAGGTAGGATGAAGGTATTACAATGAAAGAGTTTGTGTACACCTTCTGCCTCCCTGCCAAAGACTTGTTTGTGATTCGCGCTGCATCACCACGCCAATTGGCCGTTTTAACCCATATATCTGCTGATCTGGCAGAATCGCATGTTATAGGTATTCTAAGCAAACATCGACCATGTGCTCCGTAATCTGGTACCAGACTTGTCAACTCCTTTTAAATAGCTACAGTTGCCGCTTCGATCGCGACTGACTTGGTTATTTGGCAAGTTGTCAACTCATGATGGATCCGCAAGCCAAGACCGTTGGATTTCTGCAACTACCACCTGAAATACGCAATCAAATCTACCACCATGTGCCAACCCAAACACGAGGCCTTTTTCTAAACAGCCTCGAGCGACCAGCAATAGCAGCAACGTGCCGCCAAATTCAGCAAGAAGCCCTGTCCATATTGTTTTCCAGCAATCGATTCGAGTTACACCTGAGCCGACCATTTCCGGGCCACGACCCAGACATGCTCCTGAAACCACGGACAGGCTTATTCTTGCGGAATGTCGAGGCGTACATGACCCATATTGTCGCCATCAACGTACACGCGACCATCCGCTACAAGTTCTGGAATGGATTCTTCACGACTCTTCGAATCTGAGTGACAAAGGATGGTCATGTGCAAATCGAACTCGATGTTACCAATCTGATCGGCCGAGCAAAATCTCTTTGTGTACCGATCTTATTAGCGTTGGACGAGCAAATCGGTCAGGCTTTCGAGTCCAGCGATGCCAAAGCCCTCGGATTGCATGATCTAGAAACCCTGGTTGACTCATTCCGACCACACGTACTGCATGGACAGAACATATGGTTGCGTTCTTGCCATAAAGTACGACAAGCAGAGACTCGGTCAAGATCATTGTGACCAATCGTCAGACCCTGATGCAGCATCGCCAGACAGAACATAAGCCATGCATTTTGCGACCTTTATCATGCTAAGAAGTGAAAAGAGCTTTTGACGACAAAGCGGGTCTCGAGATTTGCTTTGGGTCAACTCCCAGCATCGTAGCTGCTCAAACGTCACTCGCTCACCGCTGGCACGAGCATACCATGCTGCCCATTAACCTTGGCAAACTGCAAGCCGGACTTTCCACCACGTGTTTTGGACCCGCCAAGCTCGGATTGTTTGGTGCGAGAAAGACAGCCATTGATTATTCGAGTCCGAAGCTGGTCGTCGAAAGTGTTCGTCGTAGGAGAGTCATTGTTTCCCTGGCGCTCGTGGTAAAACCGCAGGTAATCCTCCCTCTTCTCCCTTCCATATCGACATGTTTTTTGACAATATTAGATACCGATCCGATGAGCCCGTCGGCGATCCGACCTCGTGCGCAAAGTCGCGTGCCGGACACGTGCATACGATTCGACTTGACGGATGAGGCCATCTCTATGATCAAGATCGCGATAGAGTCGCAGACATCTAGACCAGATACCTTCATGCCAGAAAGCTCTACGTCATCGGTCTTCGCCCAAGAGACATCTCTGTCACAAGCCTTCACCTCGTTGACGCTCGCGCCATCGACATCCACGGAACAATTCCATTCGGTGTTCAGGTTCTTGCACCTACCAGCTGAAGTGCGCAACCAGATCTACGACCTCGCCGTCAAGAATCTACCATGCAAAAATGATCCAGGATACAACAAGGACCTGCCCTTGAATCTATACAACCTTCACATGCGAATGCCCGGACTGGGCTTTACGTGCAAGCAAATGTTCAGAGAAGTCCTAAGTATTCAACTTTCAGGACATGAGTCCAAATTTCGCTGGGCAGGTCATGAATCTGGCGGCGCGCTCGACTTCTCCATTATCCAGACTCCCATGCTCTCACAACGTGCATGTCGCTGGGCGAAGCTATGTGCCGCAGCAGGTGTCGTGATCAGCCTGAGGCATTTCAACTTTTGCTCATCATTCTCCCACGGAACAGATCCGTCACACAAGAACCGCCTTTATTGGAACATCGAGGCGTCCGAAGGCGTAGTCAGTGTCAAGGCCGCTATGGGGTCCATGGAGGTGCCAGAGACAACCGATTGCATGGAGATCTGGCGCAGCAACATGGAGAGAGGATTGAAGGAGATCTTACATCAGCATGGGACCAAGGTGCTGGGTATCGCTGAGCTTGGAGCATTCCGTCTCCTGCTCCAACGCTTCTCGCTGCTCTCTCACTTCCGCGGTCGAAACATAAACCCGGAGGCACTCAGATCTGATGATCCAAAGATGATCAAGTTGAAGGCCGAGTATCTTGGTTGCCATCTTGAAACCCACCCCTGGGGTTTCTACCAGCAGACCATGGCTTGAGGCAGAAGCTTGTGAGAACAAACGATAGCATCGAGGGAGTCACATTTTGCTTGCTAGGGGTGACAAATGAATGAAGAAATTTGTATCAGCCCAGAACTATCAACTATCCTTCCCATATCCAGTGAGGCTTCTATTTCGACTATGGATATTAATCCATAATCGACTCGTGTGTTTGAGGTAATTGCATGTACTGGTGAGACGCGTGACTGAGATATAGAAAGAAGGCGTCGAGACCGCATGGCCGGATATGGCCTACGGTGAGCCTCAACCAACAATAACGATGATGTAGTTCAGAGACCTTCCTTCCCACTCATCGAGTACATAAAACCTCGATCCAGCCTCGACTCAAAAAGGCCATCACGAAAAAGAACGAACGACTTTCTCAAACTACGAAATCGCAACCAAAAATATCGAAAGTGACATCACCGAAAATGGTCAAAGCACGACCCGCCGATCGCAGCACAATTTCAGAGGAGCCGCAAACCGCAGGCTCACAGCGACAAGAAGCCGTCGCAAACGACATCATCACCTCTGTTCCTCGCCCAGACTCTCCCATCTCGGTCGCAAGCACATCCTCCACCCCCTCAACACCCAAAAAGAAGAAAAATCGCAGGGCCAAAGGACAACAAACCCCTCCTTCCCGCGTCGACACTCCACTGGCAGCAACATCCACAACACAAGACGACGACGAGATGACCTCTCTACCACTGCTGATCTGCAGCTTGGGTAACCCGGGCGCTGCATACGCCAATACCCTCCACTCAGCCGGCCACAACGTCGTCGCCGCACTAGCCACTCTGCTCCAAACTTCACAATTCACAAAAGACCGTTCCTATGGAAATGGCTCCCTCACACGCTCCTACTCTCCAGAAACACCTTGGACGTTATGGCAATCGCCTACGTATATGAATGAGTCGGGCAAGGGCGTCAGTTCAGCATACCGCACGTGGATACGAGAGAATCCTCAAGGACGTCTGGTTGTCGTCCACGATGAGCTGGAAAAACCATTGGGCTCGGTGACGGTGAGGGATAAAGAGGGGCTTTCGGCCAGAGGACACAATGGGCTCAAGAGTTGTCTGGCGAGTTTGGGAGGTGTAAAGTTTGTGAGGGTGGGTGTGGGGATTGGAAGACCTGTGAGCAGGGCGCCGGATGATGTTGCGCGATATGTGCTCAAGAAGATGACACCAGTCGAGAGGCAGAAGGTTGAAGGCTCGGCGGAGGATGTTATTAATAAGTTGTTGGCGGTCAGAGGATGAAGAGAAAGAGAAGATCTTGGACAACACACTTTGAGGAGAAAGGATGTGAACATGCTCGAGAGGACGCTTGGCTGGTCCAACCGTCCGCTTCAAGACCTTGCTCTTCTGCTGCTACCCGGTCTTCGAGACACAGCGTAGCCACCAATATGGTTCGAGATATTATGCCTGAGAACTACCTACGGTCCAGGCACATACGAGGAAACCCTCAAAGCATGCTGCGACTGGACCTCAGACTCTGGTCAAAAAAGGGCACAACAGATAGTTGCGGTAACACAAAAGTAGAGATTCATTCCTCGACTACGGACAGAAACAAAAGAACCATGCCATCTATACCCAGCAAACCCCGCTCGCTCTTAAAGACCAACATCATAATAAACGCAATTGCCAGTCCTGAAGTTGAAGATGCAAGCCTCTCTGGTCGCTCCTTCGTCCTGTGCCTCCCACTTCTTTCTCATGTCAAGTAACAACTCATGCACCTGCGCCAGGTATTGTCTCTCAGCCAAAGGCGTGCTTTGAATCAGCTTACGCCACGAATCAGGATCAGACAGACGAGTGTCATCGCGTATGCTCTCGATGATTCCTTCACGACCTTCGATGGCGAGGATGGGTGCGGTCTTCCATTCATCTATGCGTTGGGCCCAGCGTGATTGGGCGGCTTCGACGATGTGGTATTTGTTGCTCTTCTTACCACGGTGTTGGGCCATGAGGACTTGGACGTTGTTTTTAGCTCGCTCGGTGGTGCTGTTGCCTTCGTTATGGTGGGAAGAGTGGCGGAGGAGTGAAGGATGGTGGCGAGATTTGTGGTTACCTGCTTCTCTGGACTCGCGTTCACGGAGTTCGGAGCGCATGTGGGAGATGAGATTCGTGCTTGCGACTTCGGTCTCGGTGTCTGTGGTGCTGTTGCGGACTTTAAAGGTCGAGGAAGCTTCGTGCTTGACCATTACTATCCACGGATGCGAGGCGTCGCGCTGTTTGCTAAGAACATCGTCGATGGTGCGGGCGTCGGTGGCCAGTTCAGCGCTGAAGTCGTTGGCCCACAGGCTAGCGAGGACTTTGATACCAATGGAGCGGAGGACGGTAGGATCGCCAGAGGCTACCAGGATGTCGCAGCGTTTGGCGTTCCATGCCGGACTGAGTAGTTCTTCATGTCCCTTCTTGAGGTATGCACTGCTGATTGAATTCTTCCTGTGTCTGATGATTGCGGCGATGAGACCGTCCCAGCCGATGCTGACGCCGACAGCGTGGCACGCTTCGCTTGTGGCATGGGCGCGAGAGCGGTGGGCGTCAATGAGTCGGTCGTACCTTCCACCGGCTGCGAAGACGTTCCTGTTCTTCTTGTCATAGATGCACTGAAAAAGTACACTTCCTGTGTAGAACTTTTCGTTGAAACTGCTCAAAGGGCAGATATAGATCTTGCGACGAATACCGAACAGCTTCATAGCATCGATCACACGCTTAATGTGTTCCATAGGTCTTCTGATTCTGCTGATATGAGTACTGCCCTCAAGGATGTCTTGCAATTTCTTCAAAGCCTTCTCGGGCGTGTCGCGGAAGTCAAACTGTGCCAGGTCATCTAGGGACGTGGAGTGGATACCGATCAAGGGCGAGCGCAATTCGGCACGGATTTTGGACCAACCAAACTGATGAATGTTCAGTTTGCTGAGTGTTTCCTTGACGACGGGCCTTTGGGACTTGTCAATGCGGCAGAAGTCAAGAATGAGTTCAAGTAGATCAGAATGATTCAGGTGGAAGCACATTGGCTGAGAAGACAGTGCAGGAATTTCATCAACGATTTCGTCAATAACCTTCAAAACTTCGGCTTCCTGCAGCACAAGGTCATCGCTCTCTTTTGTGACAATGTCAAAGTCGACCTCCTTGATGTTTCTGGGAGGGCCTCCACTTAATGTGTCGCGGTAGACATTACCAAATACGAATGTCCTTTCAACTGCCGGTTCGTGCTTTGCGAGACGTCTGGCATGTGGGAGTACCAGATCGTAAGGGAGTTGCAAGAGATTTCCAGTGCCGTCCAGGAGCTGAACAATGTTCGGCGCGGTGTAGTAGCTAGAACGAGGAAGCAGTAGTGGACGCTGGGTTTCCTCAGCTCCGTGTCTACGGAAGATTGAACAGAGAGCGTTCCTAGCAATGTCTCTCACACGAAGGTCGTCAGCTGTTGGTGGCTGCTTGCTCAACTTCGCATCCCAAGCGAAGTCTTTGACTCGTTGATCAGATGTCTGGGTGAACAGAGCGGTCATCATCTTCTGATAGTACTGTGATCCCGGATCTGTCAAACTTTGCAATGTTTGCCGAATAGTCTCATCCTCGATCTGTACGGGCAGCTTCCCACTTCTGAGGAGTTCCATACTGCTTGGGCGGTCGCCAGGTGAGTGACTGATCAGGTCCATGATTACGTTTCCTTGAAGCACTTTTTCGGGAGCCTGGAACTCTGGTGGCAAGACATGCTCCTTTTCTCGCATCTTCAGCAACACCTCATGGCGTTCCATAGCGGTCTTAAGCGGATGACACATCTCAAAGAAGATGATTCCCAGAGAATACATGTCGACTTTGTCATTGTAGTTTACACCAGAACCTGACTTAATCTCTGGCGCAACGTACATTGCAGTCCCGACACTTCTGGTCATTTCAGCGCCTGTGTTGGTGACGGGCGTTGTCTTGTTGGGGTTGGCGTACTGGCTCGTGGTGGCCAGTCCAAAATCACCAATGCGAGGATTGCCAGCTGCGTCGATGAAAACGTTGTCAGGCTTGAGATCACGGTGTATAATTCCGTGGTTGTGGATGTGAGCGAGACCCTCGAGAACTTGTCGAAGCATCTGCCAACCTTCTTCAGGTCTGGTATACATGCCCTTCCTGATTAAGTCCCGAAGAGTGTGCCTCTCACAATACTCCATCTGGATATAGAGTGTAGATCGCATGAAACGGCGAGAAGAGGCACGATGCGTTCTTTGAGGGCGTGAATCAGTGTCTTCGCCATCACTAATGGCGCTTTCTGATTGTGCTTCACGATGGAAAATAGGACGTCCATTAGCAACACGGCCATTCGTCTCGGTTCCGGAAGCTGAGCTGTCATCGTCCACGTCGTCGTCTTCCTCGTCGTCTTCTTCGGTGTCATCACCGCTGTCCTCACCAAACACGATGTCGTCTCCAAGTCCACTAGAGCTGACGAAATCTAGGCCACGACTGCTCATACCGAATTGAATTCCGTCACCTGACGAGGTTGTCATATCTTCTGCAAAGGATACAGATTCTTGGTCTAGTTCCACCTTGCCAGACAAGTCATCTTCGACCCAGGCAGAATAGTATCGAACAACATAAGCGTGATTAAGCCTATGCAACAACATGACTTCGGACAGGACGTGCTCGAGCTGTGCTGCTGAGTCTTGCTTGACCTTTTTGATGGCATAAACTCCACCGTCGAGCTTGTTGCGGGCTTTGACAACTTCACCAAAGCCACCTTTGCCTAGACGGCCGAGCTCAGTGAAGTCCTTGACATAACGTGAGAACGAAGGACCTTCTCCAACGCTCAAGGAGTTTTGCCTGGAGCGTCTAGCTATAGGGCTTTTGAAGTCTCCAGAAAATCCCATGGAAGATGACTGTCTTCGACGGCTTGTGGAGTGATCAATGTTGATGATTGGTAGGTCGCTGCGGAAGAATTCGCTAGGGATTGCTTCGAAAGCCCCAGGTCTGTTTTTCGGCTCTTTGCTGAACAACCTGCGTAGCACGTCGCTGAGCGGATCAGAAAGATCCAAAGACTCAAGCATGGCCATCGGACCATTGTACTTGCGAGTAACTGCTGTGCCGAATAACATCTGAACGAGCAGAACGCCAAAATCCCAAACATCGCTTTTTGAAGTGAAGGCAGGGTTTTCTCCAGAGCATTCGGGTGCAAGCCAAGCTGCCATCTTCTTGCCTTTCTCTAGAGTACTAGCTCGGCCTTGTAATCTGAGCAGTCTGTCTTCGTAAGCAGCATCTGCAAGCTTCGGTGCAGTCACTCCTGTGTCTGATCGGAAGAGCAACACATTCGCGCTATGAATGCGCTTATGAACAATACCGTGGCGGTGGTAGTATTCCAGGGCTTCGAGCAGATCTAAAGCCCACTGTTTTGCTCTTGCAGGTGGTATAGTCTGGCCGTCCTCGAGCATTTCGGCGAGACTCCCTCTGTTAGCGAGATCTGCCAGAACCGAAACGTCCCAATCCTGGTTTGAGCCCCCATCTTTGCCATCGTTCTTCTCGACCTTGAAGGCATAGACGTTGACGATGTTGGGTTGTCGAAGGACCTTGAGCTGTTCTAGCTCATCCTCCAGGACCAGCAGATGATTCTTGGTAGCAGCGTCTCCGTGCACTATCTTCAAAGACAAACGACGAACTGCAAGCAGGGTTTGGGTCATGACGGAGTTTCTTGCAAATTTAGGCTGAGCGGTGAATATGCCCATTTGTCCTTTGGAGGCGAGAGATGATATCAGGGTGACACTGCTGAAAGGTGCAATCTCTACTCCAGGCGAAAGCGCAATGTCTTGATCAAAGTTGACAATGTTGTTACTGTTGTCATTGTCGTCGGCCATTGGGTCAGAGTGAGACTTAGCCCGGGTACGAGAAGATCGGTCGCGTTGTTTGGCCGCACGACGTTCAAGTTCGTCCGAAACCATTCGATCCATGGTGCGCTTTTCTTCGTCTTGGGCAGCTTGTAACTTCTTGGCCTCATCTTCCTGGGCTTCCTTGGCCTGGTCAAAAGCAGCGGCTTCCTGGTTCATACGTTCGTCTTCAAGGCTGGGTAGAACACCAGTTTCTCTTGCGACTACTGCATCTTCCAGTGCATCCTGGATGTCTTCGGCAATGGGGTACATCATGACTTCACCTGCCATCTCGACCGGCTTGGTTTTGATGACTTTTTGAATGCGCTTCTTGGTGTGGGCTTGTAATCTATCCAGACCTTCGACTTGAAGAACAGGCGCAGATTTGGGGTAGGTCGCGGTCAATTTTGCGGAGAGAATGATGAATGTAGAATCGTCGGAAGGAGCTTTCAACTTGAGCTTGAAGGCTCGATCGGAGCTCTTGCTCCAAGCAGACTTGACCTCTACTTCTTCATAATCTTCCATGTAGATGGCTTGAAGGACGGCAATCTCGTCCGCTTGAACCTCGGCATAGTCGACATGAGGGCCGTCTGCCGGGTTCTGAGGGGTTTTGGGAGGGGCATCATTATTCTTTCGATTCTTTGTAGACGTCTTTCCAGGCGGTTTGGGTGCCATCCTTTCAGGTGGTCATGAGCGTGTGTGGTAAATGTGCCAGAAGACACAACCAAGATTATAGAAGAAGGTGCAGCCGAAGCTACACTTCTTTACGCTGTGGCCGACATTATTTCTCTGATTTGTTTACGGTATTGGAAAGGAAAGGTGTGGTTATAGAAGAAACATACAGTTGGATGATAGAGCCGTTGGAATTGACAATCGGGCGGTGAGTGGAAGGCGGTGAACGAGATGGCAGAATAGTTAGCGTTGGTGTGTGGAGTTGGGTGTAAACAAAGGCTGTCTTGTTTTTGGCGCAAACGCGATTACACGACGACGACATCATTCCGCATAATGCTATCCTGGATTACGGGCTCCAAGGGCGCCGAAGAGATCGAAGGTATCATTTCTGCCCCCCATCCATGCACCTGAGTCTAACCCATGACCAGATCCCTTCCCTGAAGCGCCAGAAACACCAGCCCATGTCTTTGCAGCACGCGCATTCAAGCATGCCATCTTTGGCACTCCTGCTCCTCCGACCGAGGCCAACTACATACAAGATACTATCATCAAACAATCTATTGAGGTCGACTCGAAGCCACGTACTGTAGCTGTGGAGATGCCAACTCGTTCGCAAGACGACATGAACGCAATCGCATTGCCCTCAGCACCTGGAATGTCACCTACCAAGCCGAATGGCATTCTCATGACCCCTGGAACAACCAGACGAAACAAGACTGTCTCTTTTGGTGCCCAAGTTATCGACAACGAAGCCAAAAACCAAGCTAGAAGCGGCCTTCCAAATGCCTTCCCTGGAAAGTTCCCAAGTCCGTGGACATCAAAGGACACCGATGGCCTTGGTCAATCAGCCTCGGCCTCGAGTAGAGCGCGAACTAAGCTCACTGCTCAACTGCAGGAAGTTCGCGACTCGGCGCAGAAGGGGAAAACGACCCAAATTCAGAGAGCCAAAGACGACACCGACCTGACCATGGACTATATGGAGCCCCGGTCACAATCAGGAAAGTACTGGAAGGGAGAGTACGAGTCGTATGCCGAGAACACTCAGCGAGAGATGAAGAAGCTAGTCATTAAGCAAAAGGCCGCAAAGGACTACGCAAAGGAAAAGGAGGAAGAAGTCACGGATCTACAAGCAAAGCTACGTCAAGAGAGGCTCAAGGTCGAGAAGCTCGAGGCCAAGACGAAGGAGCTGGCTGCACAGATGAAGGAGTTTGAGAAGAAGATTTCGGGTCAGACAGGTCAGGATACACAAAGCGACATTGCCAGATTCAAGGCAGAGAACGAACACCTTCGCCATGATCTTGACCAGGTCTTGGGAAAGAAAGGTGGTCTCTCAAACAGCCCGAAGCGCAAGACACCGAAAGCCGCTTCAGCAGGTGATCTCAGGGCCAACGCTGCCTTCTCAAGTCCGTTCGTGGATGACGCCGCGGATAAGGATCAGTCGCCTCTACGAGCAAGAGACAACAACATTCAAAGCCAGGCACCAAAGGTCGGAAAGCCCAAGGTGACCAAGAGCACACATACAAAACGTCTCAGCGAAGACACTTTTGACATTTCGGCTCTTCCGCAGCCATCGCTCGAGCCACTACCTCGCACAACTCCTCGCAGCAGCAGAAAGACTACAGCGGATATGACCATCGACGAACTGGTTGAGAAGTACTCGCCAGAAAAGCCACAGTTCGATCGCCTTGCGCTGCCTCTAGGCATCGGTACCACTTTGAACTTTGGGTCGAGCAAACCTGAGATCAAGCCTCCGACCACTTCTCGAGATCTTGAGAGCGGCAAACCTCAGGTAGTTCAGTCAAAGATTTTGAGTCTGAGTGATGAGAGGAAAGCCAAAGCCCAAGCACGCATCGAGGCAAGAAGGCTGTCGAAGCTGGCTGCAGCATGAGCGGCTTCTGGTGGATGGTTACACGAATTATGCATTGCTGGCGATTTTCTATTCTGTTGATACACGTTAATTGATACCCCATTTGATTGTTCACACTTCTCTCTGATTGTTCTGTACTTCAATAATGCTGCAACAACTATTGAGGTATTCCATACTCGTGCCAAGACATCGCAGGCCAAATGGATTTCATGACGCAGCTCGATGATCAGGAAATCGTGAAGCTCAAGCGCAACCAACAAGACAACCTCGAAACACTCTACTCATTGAACACCACTTTACACCCGTACCAACCCTCAAATCACACATATACATCACAATGGACTCCCTCGGCAGCGGCAACATCGACGTCTCCAAGATGTCAGACGCCGAAAAGCAAGACCTTCAACAATTCGTCGTCAACGAGACACAAAAGGCGCGCATCCAACAATGTACGAACATGCATACCACTTCCCTCCCTCGTCCCTTTTTTCCCTCCTTGGTTACCCTCCAACTGGTGGTGCCACAACGCGACATTTGCTGATCAAAGTCATAGCAATCCACTCCCTCACAGACGTCTGCTTCCGCAAGTGCATCACAGGCAAGATTTCCGCCGGCAAGCTGGACAGAAGTGAAGAGCCCTGCATGCAAAACTGCGTCGACCGTTTCATGGATGCCAACTTGGTCGTCATCAAGAACTTGGAGCAGATGAGAACGCACATGTAAAGAAAGAGGAAGAGACAAAGACTTTGGAAATCAATCAGAGACATGCTCTAGGAGTCTGGACGATCTGACATCGGAATTCGAGAAGCGAGATGATGCTGGGCGACTGGTATGATGTAGAATATGAAATGAATGTACATTATGGAGGCTTGTATGATAGAAGAGATGGTCATTTGGCAGAGAAGATCCACTGCCTCAAAGATGGATGTCAATCACAACGCCGAAGTCCAGAAGTTTACAGCGATGAGCCACGAACATGATACATCAACAAATCACACGAATACAAGAACAAATCACATGAGATCAAGAGGCAATGCACGGCGAGGGCATGAATGAACTAGATTTGGGATCTCTCCCTGGTATCGAAAAGGGGCCTGCTTCCTTGCAGCCACCCACACCCACGTAACGCCAATGCTTTTTGTTTTGAGCAGACCATAATCATAACCGGAGCGCAAGAGTAAAAATTGTCCTTCTTTGAGACTAATTTAAACAATGTTGAGCTTGGTGGCGGCAATGTCAAGGGCATCGACGTCGGGTGTAAGACGGGCGAAGGCCTTCTTGGTGCCGTCGGGGCTGTGAAGATGAATGTCAGTATGCTGATGGAATACACACAGATGGGTAGGACCAAAACATACCGGATCAAGGTGTTGATCTTGACGGTGTCAACGTCGTACTGCTTCTTGAGGGCGTCCTTGATTTGGCGCTTGTTGGCCTTGGTGTCGACGATGAAGACGAGGGTGTTGTTCTCCTCGATCTTCTTCATGGCAGACTCGGTGTTGAGAGGGTGGATCAGGACCTTGTGCTGCTCGACACCGGTCTCGGCCTGGACACTCTTGCGGGGGTACTTGGGAGCGCGCGAGAGCTTGAGGGTCTTGGGCTGGTGGAAGGTGGTCGACAGGCGGACTTTGCGGACCTTGTGCGAGTTGACCTAATCAAAAGAATAGGCCGTCAGCGATGGGAGTGCTGACACGCCTCAATTTCAGGTAGTCCTTACGCCACGAAGAGCAGCCTTAGCGGCAGCGCCGGCCTTGGCCGAGGGCTTGCTGGGCTTCTTTGCGCCTGCGAATGGGTTGTGTTAGTGACATGTTCTGATGGTATGCGGAATTTTGCAGTAGGAGGATCAAAGGCTGGGGTTGAACACAGTTCGGCGAAGACAATTTTTGTCGCAGTTCAAGAGTCCTTCGTCGTAGAGCGTCCGCCATGACATGAATCCTCGTCCTGGTGATGGTAAGTCGCACCTTTAGCGGGACCGGTGGTGTTCTTGGGGGCCATTTCGTTGGTTGTCGGAGGTCGAGTCGTCGTCTGCGCAAGAATCAAAACTTCAGAGTCCGAAGTTGATTTTCGCCAACGAAGCCAGCCAGTGGTGTAGTCACGTGCGCTCTCGCCTAGCTCCCGCCCATGCAGCCATTATGCGAAATCTTGGCGTTCGAGGCCTGTCGACCAGCGAAAATAAATAAAAAGTCGTCGACAAGAGAGAGAGAGAAACAGAAACGGTGAACTCAGGTCGGAATTAATTCACTCCCTCTCAGTCAATCCTCAGGCCTTATCACTTGGATTCCGGTGGGTATATCTCTGCAACCCCTTCGCTACGCAAGATTTGACGAAATATCAACCGTCGAACAATTATCAAACTCCACAAAATGGTCAACACCAAGAAGAAGCAAAAGCCAGTCAGCCTTTCTCATGGTCGGCCGCCAGCGGTCGGAAAACCAAAGGCCTCATTGTCATCCAAAGCCACAAGGAACTTGATCCAAACTCATCACCGTCTTCACAAAGCTCTTGCCGATGCCACGCGTCAAGGAGACGAACAAACTGCGTCAGCCATCAAACAGCAGATCGAGGAGAAGGGTGGTCTGAAGAGCTACCAGCAAGCCAGCATTCAAGGCCAATCTGGCGATCGCGGTGGAGATACTTCGAGGATTCTCTTGGACTGGCTGCCGAAGGACTTGCCGAAAGGACGTACAATTCGTATGCTCGAAGTTGGAGCTCTTTCTGTGAACAACGCATGTTCCAAGTCTGACGTGTTCGATGTGACACGCATTGATCTAAACTCACAGGCTGCTGGAATCGAACAGCAAGACTTCATGGAGAGACCACTCCCGGATTCAAACTCTGACAAATTCGACATCATCTCTCTATCCCTTGTCCTGAACTATGTGCCGGAAGCGCTTGGCAGGGGAGAGATGCTGCGAAGGACATGTCAATTCCTGCGAGCTTTGCCCGTGTTAGGTTTCGGGGAATCTGCACCCGACTACTTCCCGTCTCTTTTCTTGGTCCTTCCAGCGCCCTGTGTGATGAATTCGCGCTATCTCGATGAGACTCTTCTAAACCAGATCATGGTCACGCTCGGTTATGCGATGGTCAAGAAGAAGCTATCGACGAAACTCATCTACTATCTGTGGCGTTACCAGGGCAAGGGTTCAGAAAAACGGCACAGGTTTCGAAAAGATGAAGTCAATCCTGGAAAGACCAGGAACAATTTCTGCGTCATTCTGGAGTGATCGGTTCCATTGAGCTTTGTCAGATTACAATTAGACATCATCTCCGCCTGAACAACAGTATCAGGAGCTACAACAGCATGCCAATCATTCATGTAGACGCAATGTGCAAGGGCATTGTGTTACCAGGTTGGGCTGCAATGCTCGAGGATGAAGTCAGACACATCATACCTCTCAACTGCATACTGATCAGCATGGAGCGACCTCCCTGCAAGAAAAGTGCACGAATGAGCCGTCCGTCTCGCGTACGAAGGTGTTGAGCAGAGGATATTAGGGCCAAGGTCGACCATTACATACCTCAAGCAGCATTGGGAGTCACATGACTGATCGATGATGCATGCACTCTGGCGAGCACACAATCTCATGCCGTGCAGGGCGGTAGACGGGAAGCTCTCTTTGGCCAGTACAACGTGTCGGATGCAAGGTAGATGAATGCGTTATGCAGAGGCGCGCGGCTCACATGCGTCATGTTCATCCGCTGCGAATCTATCACATCTTGCAACTACATTCCTACGTCCGTAGGAGATAGTTGACATATCTCCTGAAGAATCAATGAACCTTCCAGAAAATAACGAGTGCCTCCGAGACGATGCGAAACCTTGATTTTGAAGCTGTTTGACGACGGCTAATTTCCTTGAAGTTATCGACAAGGCTGATGACAATCTTCGAGAAGTCTCCGCGCAAGTGAGTTCATTTACTGAATATATTGAGAGAAGACCCGAGTAGACGGCAGGATTCAGTAGAGCCAGCTTAGCGCAACATGCTCAGCGGAGGTATGCAACCACACGTCTTGCTGCGCGAAATGCCCAGCAAACAGCCTTGGAGCACATGGCCGTTCGAACTGTATGATTGAAGCCTTCTGTCGACACGGACATCGAATGTGCAGTCACACAGCACATGCAGAGGCAGCAGGGTACGGGCCGCCTGCCGCATAACGCAAGCAACGGACGAGGATCACATTGACCTGTCAATAGACAAGATGATGAAACGGCGTTCTAGAAGAACAAGTTGGAGCCCAAGGATTTCTCAGAGTAAGCGGCACAGATGTCTAAACAGACCCTGGCGGTTAACAGCCAACGTCGACATGCGGTCCGATCCACGGAGATGAAGCCTACAGCAGCTCAAAGCATATGGTCGGGTTTGATGTAGTTGTTTTTTCTAATGCGCGATTTAACCATTCGTATTCTGTTTGATTGAGAAGAGCAGCGCGGAACAAGCGGAAGAAATGGCCAAAACAATGGCTAGCCAGGTGCTTGAGGTCAAAGACCTTTGCGTGGCCGGCGTCTCAGGACGAAGAAGCACATAGAAGGTCAAAGCATATGCCCCTAGAGGGCTCTAGCGCAGTGGCTCTGCGATCAGCTGCCGGCGCGCTGCAGGAGGCAGAGCTGGATAGATTCTTGGGAACTGACGGGCCAATTGGGCTCGAGTGGTCACGGAACAAAGGTGGCCAAGAGACGTGGCAGCAAATGAGAAGAAAGAGGTCAGCGGCATCGCAGTGCGACAGAGTGCATGATCGCATGCTGTATGGAGACGAAAATCGACAGCACTACCGGGTGGAGACCGGCGCCCTGTTTTAGAGTCGTGGTCAGGACTCAGGGTCAACATCGTGGCCTTTACCGACGGTGACCGAGTGCGGGCGCGGACCTCTCTGCGACTCTTTTGGTGAGGATGTGTTTTTAATGCGCCTCCGCTGACGGGCACACGGTGAAATTCAAGTCTGCGGGCAGGGGTCTGGCTATAACTACTTGTATGGGAGGTGATGGAGCGTTGCAATGCACCACGTCCTTGTTGATCAGCTTCGTCGTCTTGTCATTGATTATTCTGTTGTTGTTACGGAGACTAGATAGGCTGACTCGTCGTCGAAACGGGAGCCGGAAGCAGAAAAGAAGGCCACAAGGCTGTTTTGCTGCTGCATCATAACGCCAAGCTGCAGGCCCACATCACTCTTTCGCTCGTCCATCGCAGAAATCCTCTTCGAAGACTCTCTCCCTCCTCCCCCAACCCTCAAGACCTGCTCATCATCTTACTGTCGACTGCTGGTTTGGTAGTGGTTCCCCTGCATTGTTCTCGCGCTTCCTGGATTCACCCAAGGGCTTATGAGATCACGCCCCGCCACGACAACGACTGACGACAAAGAAATCAAGTTCGAGTTGGACAGCTACAGCCACGACGCCCGGCTGTTGTCTTAGCACAAAAAACGTTTCAAGGTCCCTCTCCCCTCGACGCCCTCGCTCGCACTCTACGTCGTGCCTTGCTGCATAGCGACTCTCTTATATACAGCTTGCCTTGCAATTGCATTGTTCAGGCGACCCGTTACTGCCGTTAGATTCTCGCCGAGCTAGCCGGGGTCACACGTCCTCGACTCTTTGGTCTGCCTTAACCCTCTTGACATCACATCCCCCCGACAACTCTAAACTCTTTTTTTGTCGAATTCTCTTCTTCGACTTCGCCCGTCTGTCGCCATCATGAGTCTGCAACAACCGGACATGTATTACGACAATCCTGCAAGTCGCTCTCCCCATGCGCAGCGCCACCAGCCCCAGTTGCACCGCCAGTCGTCGCGTCAATTCGACTCCTACGCTCACCTGCCTTCGGGCCTCTATGGCGCTGAGGACCAGCAGCAACAACAGCAGCAGCAGCGTTTCGACGCCCCCCGTTACAATGACAGAATGGGCGCTCCTCCCAACATGCATCAAAATATGAACCAGAATATGAACCAGAACATGAACCAGAACTATGGAGGATACGACATGGGCGGTCAGAACTGGAACAACGCTGCTTTTGGAAACAACACTCTCGGCGCTCTGGGTGGCTCCCAGCGCAGACGTGGGCCGCAACAGGCTCCAAGAAACGGCCTCCCTTCGGTAAGCAACAACACGGCTTCCAACCAATACGGACTGGGCTTGACTAACATTGGTGGACAGGCTTGGCTCGACCAGCCCCAACCTATGCCTCAAGTCTCTCCTTACCTGGGCCTCGGTGGAGGTGTCATGGGCGCTCCTTCGATCAGATCCGATCAACTCGGTTCTGAGCCCGATGAAGAGCTCATCCCTACCGCTATTGTTATCAAGAACATTCCTTTCGCCGTCAAGAAGGAGCAATTGGTCCAGTTGATGACTGACATGGGTCTTCCTCTTCCCTACGCTTTCAACTACCACTTCGACAATGGTGTTTTCCGCGGATTGGCTTTCGCCAACTTTACTTCGCCCGACGAGACCGCCGCTGTCATTGATGCTATGAACCACTTTGAACTCCAGGGCAGGAAGTTGAGAGTCGAGTACAAGAAGATGCTCCCCGCCGCCGAGCGCGAGAGAATTGAAAGAGAGAAGCGTGAGCGCCGTGGTCAGCTCGAGGAACAGCATCGCCCTATGGCCTCCCAGACCCTCCAGACACAGACTTCCATGTCTTCGCTCACTGGGCACTTGCCCCCTGCCTCTCCCTCGCCCGTCTCGGCCGGAAATGTTGGACTTGCTGTCGACCTTAACAACCCTGACACCCTCAAGGTCTACTCGGACCTCCTGATCTTCAAGGAGGACAAGAACAGAGATCTGTTCATCTTCCCCTCCAACCTAAGCCCTCCTCAGAGACGCGTCATCCACACCATCTCTCACCACATGGGTCTCGCCCATATCTCCAAGGGACAGGCCGACCAGCGCGCTGTCCACGTCTACAAAGAAGCCCCTCGTCAGAGGCTCAGCCCTCCCATGCCCCAGATTCAGGCCATTCAACAGGGTGAGACTCAGAGAAGAGGCCTCAACCGCGCCGCAACCACCGACTTTACTGATGTTCGCAATCAAGATGCTTTCTACCACCCTACTGGTGTTCGTCACCAGCAGTCGGGCTACCTGAGCGGCTTCCAGGATGCTCCCAGCACTCTTGCTGCAGGCCCCAACCTCCGCGCTGCCAAGTCTTTCGCTGACTTGCGCTCTTACACTCCTTCCCCTGTTCCCTCCACTGCCAGCTTCCCTGCCACCCTTGGCAACAACGTTTCCCGCTTCGCTGAATACGCTCGCGAGAACGGTGGCACCCCCGCCATCACTCCTACTGGCTCCGCCGCTCCCATCGGCACCCGTGGAGATGAAAACATGCTCGTCAACGGACTCGGAAACATGAACATCGGTGGCCCTGCCGGTTTTGCCAGCAGCCCCCGTGGACTGCGTGGCATGATGTCTTGGGACCGCGAATCCAACCCTGGACCCATCGGTGGCCACCGTTCCTTCAGCACCAATAACACTGGCTATGACGAGCAGCCTCGCGACCGCAACCAGGGTGTGCCTTCTCGCCAACCTCGTGGCCCTATGCCCGAGCGCGGCTCTGGCTTCCCTCGTCGCAATGGTCACATGGCTCGCGGCAGTGATGAACTGTCGCAACAGTCCGGTGTCGAGATCACTGTCGAGTAGATCACTCATTTCTATGACACGTAACGGCAACTGTACACCCTCATGAGTATGATGCTTGCAACTCGAACCGATTTAAGAAACGACGAACAAGCTACCACGGCATGGGCAGACGAGACGACATTGTCTCATGTCTTCTTCGGTCTCTCGGCTGCCTTGATGAAGTCAATGACGAATGACACCAACGACCGCTACGAAAGTAGACCTCTCAAAAGAACATATCCCCACCATTATTAGCTTTCCGCATGGCTCAAGGACATCATTCATACAAGCCGGAAAGCAGCGCAACTGATTTTTCGTCGAAACTGCATGAAGTTTAGTCTTTCTTTTTCCCCATCTGCTGTACTTCTGCTTTGTCGTTTTCCCCCGTCAATTGAGCACCTACGAGAAAAGGAGGAAATGAAACTGTTTGGAATCTCTCGAGAAAACAAAGATAGTATATGAATTCGAGATGGCAAACAACTTGTCTGATTTTTTCTTTCCCTTTGTTCTTTTTATTTCTCTCATCTCCTTTTATTCCTATCTCATATCTCTTCTTTTCCTTTCTGGAACTGGGAACCATGGATAGGAAGTTAGGCTGGCACTAATATTCTGAATCGCTGGTGTGTACTTTACTATGCTTACCGGAGGGCAGGAAGGGACTGATGGATCGGCTTTTTGCTAGCAACTAATATTCAGATGAAAGTGTATTATTTTGATTTATTTGTCTTTTTTCTCCTAGTCGAAATCGAATGTGCCACACTCGTGACCCTGCCCGTCTATGCTGATGCCTACTTCTCGACCAAGAAGTTACAAAACCGAACACAGTGGACAGCATGGCACTTCTTGTAGGCGGGTAATGGCTTGGTTCAGTATCAAATGATCTACATGGCTCAATGAGTGTGTACTTGCCGAGTGCTCGCTCAGTGTCAATGCGTTCAGACAACTATGTTTTGAAGCCCATGGACCACCCACAATTGTGACCCATTTCCACTTCTTCCCATCTCCCACCTACGTGCATCATCAACATCGTTCACTTGATTCTCATTCAAGAGCAATCAACATTTGGTAGCAGTGCTTGTGAGACGGTCGTTGTCATCAGAGCATCACAATAGCCAAGCACCAATGAGCAGAATGTTGATGACGGCGTTGTGATGCTGACTCTCCAGACGACCGGAACCGACTCCTGTTTATCCACAAGCATCTACCCGCTGTGTTTCAATGAAGAAGAGTCGTGTTGCAACATCAGGGTCTCTCAAGCCGAAGTAGTATCAGCTGCCAAAAAATCGTCATGAAGGTCCGCCTTGGTAACAAGTGGAGCGGTCATGCAGGAGGTAGAGAGACACAAGCGGTAAATAATTGCATCACTTTGACAGCTCTGTGACAGCGACACGCACGGTTTGTATGCGGGGTCATGTCTCTCCACTGCTTGTTCAGAGCTAGGAAAGAGCATCAAAACATCGTCAACAACTGCCTGTGACCTGGTTGATCACTTCGTTGCATTTTCCACTCTCGATCTTCAAAAAGCAGTCCAACACCACCTTCATTCCTCTCCCTCGTGCCTTTACTTCTTATAATATTCACTCGAGATCGCTCTGACTCTGCCCTGTGAACACTTTCCGTCTCATGCCTTGGTCATCAGCTCTACTTAGCAACACCATTCGAGCAAACACATCCAGTGCTCGAATCTCAATCAAATTTAGCTGCACAACAATCAGAAGAGCAAACATGGCCACTGTCCACAAGACTACGATGGAGACGGCCTCGCCCCAACAGTTCATGAAGACGTCTGGCTCCACGGATGCCGTTTGGATCCACACCGAGCCTTACAGCAACCGTCCCCACTACCCTCGTCTCAACAAGGACCTCGAAACCGATGTCTGTGTCATAGGCAGTGGCATTGCAGGCATTTCGACAGCTTATGAACTTGTCAAGCGGGGTGTCCAGGTCGTCATGATTGAGGCCCGCGATATTCTTTCAGGCGAGACCGGTCGTACCTCTGGCCATCTATCAAGCGATCTCGACGATGGCTACACCGAGATCAAGTCAAAGCATGGTGACAAAGGTGCTGTCATGGCTTACGAAAGTCACAACTGGGCCATCGAACGTGTTGGCGAAATCTCCAAAGAGTTGGGCATTGAGTGCGAATACCGCAAGCTTCCTGCATACAACGTTTCGCAATACCCTCGTGGCGACAAGCATCACGAAGATGACGTGAAAGAGCTGAAAGAGGAAATCGCGTACTCCAAGACGATCGGAATGAATGCAGAGTGGAAGGAGGGCTATGCTATCAAGGGCTGGAACGGCCAGATTGATCAGCGTGACGCTGCCGTCTTCTACAACCAGGGCACATTCCATCCAACCAAGTACCTCCTCGGCGTTTTGAAGTGGCTTTCTCAGCAGCCTAACTTCAGCTGCTACGCCCGGACGCGCATGTTGCAATGTCAGGAGAAAGGTATCGAAGTCATGGGTTTCGGGTCCAAGGAGGTCAAAGTAACGACCGAGGACGACAAAACAATAACCTGCAAGGATGTTGTCATGGCTACCTGTGTTCCCCTGCAGAAGCTCAGTGTCGTCGCCGAGATGGAGTTCCATCGCACCTACTGTATTGCCGTGCGGATTCCAAAGGGATCGTACGAGGACTCACTCATCTACGACACAGCCGACGCCTACAAGTACATCAGATTCACCGAGTGCGATGAGAAGGATGATTACCTCGTGATTGGAGGCATGGACCACAAGGTCGGCCAGCATGAGGACGAGAAGAAGAACTATGAAGAACTGGAGACTTGGACTCGTGAACGCTTCACTCAAGTCGGATCTACGGATTACAAGTGGTCGGGTCAGATCTTCGAGCCTGTCGACTGCGTCGCCTTCATCGGACTTGATCCTGGCACCAAGCATACCTACATCGTCACTGGTGACTCTGGCAATGGACTGACGCACGGCGTCATGGCTGGTCGTATCATCGCAGACCAGATTACGGGTCAAGAGAATGCATGGGCGGAGCTCTACAACCCGTCCCGCAAGTCAAGCATCGTCAAGTCTGCAAAAGAGATGATCACACACGACTTGCAGATCAACAGCCAGTACAAGCGGCTGGTGCAGTCAGACATCAACGATATTGAGGACCTTCTCCCTGGTACCGGTGGAGTGCTGAACCCCAAGACCAGCAAGCCTATCGCTGTGTACAAGACGGAAAGCGGTGAAGTGAGAAAGATGTCGGCACTCTGCCCTCACATGAAGGGAGTTGTGTGCTGGAACCATGCCGAGGCCAGTTGGGATTGCCCTGTCCACGCATCTCGCTTCTCCAGCGATGGTGTCTGCATCATGGGACCAGCCAAGGGTAACTTGAACCCCGAGAACGAAGAGGCGAAGAAGGCTCTGCAGCAGGCAATCCAGAACTAATCGGACGAGACGCCGACTGCGAACAGAGTATGAGAGTGCATTTGGAATCGGTTACGATCAATCGGCGTTATGAGTTTGACGAGAGAGAGCAGGCGTGACTGCCTTGGCGTACATGGCTAGTAGTCTGGTAGTTTCGACAATCGAATTCCCATGATATTCACGTCCGCACTCGAGTGTCTTCAAGTAAGAAATGTGACAATTAAATCAAAGTAAGGACCAGACCGAGATGCGGAGGATCAAGTTGAAGTTGGCGCCCGAGGCCCGCATTCGAGAATACGCTTGGACCACATGGTTATCGATAAGGGTCCAAAAAATGGTTGCCGTCGCATTGCAGAGAACGCAAGTCGCAAGTCTGCGCCACGAGACATAATCCGCATCTCAACCCTCCACCTCGCATCACACATACACATCCGTCAGCATGGGTGTACAAAAGAAGACGCGCAAGTTCGCACAAGTCAAGCGAGTCATCGGCCAACGCGATGCCCGCCTCAAGAAGAACCAAGTCACTGGCGACGACAAGGCCAAAAAGCCGACATCTGAAGAAGTTGTACGAGAGATGTGAGTATCCCCCCACTTCTGCCATTCACAAAACACAACAGCAATACTGACAAGACAACTCCATAGCCCGCAAGCACCCTCATCAATGTTCTTCCAACACAACACGGCCCTCCAACCACCCTACTCGGTCCTCGTCGACACCAACTTCCTCTCCCACACCGTGCACAACAAACTGGAACTCCTGCCCTCCCTAATGGACTGTCTCTACGCCACCTGCCGCCCCATAATAACCTCTTGCGTCATGGCCGAGCTGGAAAAACTGGGTCCCAAATACCGCATCGCTTTGAAAATCGCCAGAGATGAGAGATGGGAACGCTTGGAGTGCTCGCACAAGGGAACCTATGCGGACGACTGTATCGTGGATAGAGTGTTGAAGCATAGGGTTTATCTCGTTGCGACCAACGATAGGGATTTGAAGAGGAGGTTGAGGAAGATTCCTGGTGTGCCGATTGTCAATGTTGCAAAGGGCAAGTATGTTATTGAGAGGTTGCCTGATGCACCTGAGAAGTAGAAGAGATGGCCTGCTTGAGCAAGGAATGGAGAGGAAAGACACAAGAAAGAGATGCTGGGAAAAGAAGACATGGGGGGATTCGTGTTTCTGCGACTGGGTTGGAGTTTTCATGGATGCATATTGGGAGGCGTTACTCTTCTTTCTCGACTAACCTTCGAAGCAGAAGGCACTAGGCCTGCGTTCTTGCTGCACATACTATCGGTGCCTTGCAAGGACGCCTGAGCCGTCATAAGACATTGTTTTGTCCAAATGAATAGCACAAAAATCACAACTATCAAACACATCGTTCTGGACTTGATTACACTAAACTCACTTTGGAATTCACAATTGACATGGCAGATCTTGCTACATGTCGACAACCCAAGAGCACGGCATATGGACATCAACACTACCTGACTGATTTCAACCACTCTTTACTCGCTTTGACTGCACCTCACTCGCCTCCACTTCGAAGCTCTGCTCTGATTTCCTCTACTCTTGTTCATCTGTCAAGATATCTCTCTGCCCTGACTTGACTTGACATGGAATGACCTGTATTTTCGTGCCTTGTCTTCCATACATCTCAGATACTTGGCTACTCTTACTTGCTCCACTTTTGCTTCTCTTACCTCCTATCTGGACCAGGGACAGGAGAAGCAGATACATCAGGGGCAAGTTTCAACTCTTCAAATTCGGGGTCTTTGTAGTGAGCAGCCTATGTAACTGCACGAATTGAGAGATACGAGCACGTGTAGATTGGATAGATGGTGATTTATTCTGAAGTTTCTATTATTCGGTCAATCAAAACTGCAATATGCAGAAATGAGACTTGTGCTATACAGTCGTAAGAAGGTTTACAACACCCGCTAAAACCCTGCTTGATCAAAGTCATGCCTGCTCTCTATCTGATGATGATCATCTTCTCTTGCTCCAGACCTTGATGAAAGCGATCTTATCGGCAGGACCAAGGCCTAGACGCTTGACACGTCCAAGACGGGCGAGAGATTCGGCGATCTTGTCCAACGACTCCTTCTCGGGATCGCTCATACCTCCGCTCGGAGTGATGCGAGGATGTAAGTCGTCGAGAAGGTTAGTCTGGAACGAGTTCTTGCGTGGAGGTTCGGGGGCAGGAGGCTCGTTGTAAGTAGCCTCTGCGATGCGGACGCGTATACAGTGAGTAGGCTTGGAGCACAGGTTCCAGAGGAAGGAGAAGTAAGAGCCAGGCACAGGTGTGGTGACATCGGCAGGAGTGTAGCGCAGACTGACAGGGAAGATCTTGGTCTTGGCGGGGACAGTAAGCAGACTGGGACAGAAGGGAAGGATACCGCGTCCGTTGGTGGCAGTGCATTCAGGGAAGACGGCGATGCAACGGTCGGGCTTCTCGCGCAAGAGATCTGATAGAGTCACCAGCTTGGCGTCTTTGGTGGGAGAGAGAACAGGTGGGGCGAAAGCCTGGAACATGGCCTGGAGGAGACTAATACGTTGAACTTTGCGCTCGCCAGGGAAGGAGCGAGTGAAGACAGGGTCGAAGATGGCAGCCAGGTAGAGAGCATCAATTGGCGATGTATAAGAAGAGGCAATGACGGATCCAGGCTGAGGGAGCTTGTGCTGGTTCTGGCCGAGAGAACTGCATCATGTCAGTATCAGATGCTGAAGGGCCAGGTGAACAAGGCATACCCTTTCTTCACACCATCAACACCGAGATCAATCCACCAGATGCCAGGAACGCCAAGCATACACCAGAGTATAGCCTTCTTGCCGAGGGAGCCGATTGGAAGCCATGAGACGAGCAAGAAGTAGGCGAGAGCCAGAGGGATCAGGAAGAAGATGCGCACGACAAAGATGAAGACGTGGAAGGGAAGGGCATATCCCGCGGGCTGCGTGGGGATAGGGAAGAAGGGCGCGATGCCCGAGCCTGTGACTTGATTAGGATGGTATAGACACGTTGTCAGAAGGAACGACGTACCGCGATCACGGAAAGCACTGTATTTCTCCATGAGTATTCATCAGGCGAGTATACAGGAAGAAGGCAGGAAGCTTCACGTCGCCGAAAAAGTTGGGCTAGACTCGCGCAACGTCATTTGATGGGTTGACGATTGGCATGTGAAGATTCCCATCGGCGTCAGCCACAGAGAGACGCCGATTGGCTGGCCAATCGCCAGTCGCATGGAAAGCGGCGCGGCAGGAGCTGTTTGTTTATCCCGGGGAAACAGCAGCCCTCAGCACTGGCACTTTTGACCGAGAAAGACTCAATCGAAGCCCCACCACCAACGGTACTTTGTCTTATGCTCGACTTGTCTGCGGCGCTGTGGCATGTCGTCTGATATAACCATTGACTGAGATCAACCATGGTCCCCAACGGTGAAAATGCCGTACGTTCTTTTGCACCTACTCCCTTGACACCATCTCTGACATGTATACCACAGCAACCCGTTCGCGCATCAGGGCTGCGGCCTCCAAGTCGCATACCCGCTACCACCGGACTGCTAGAGATGTCGGCCTCTGACAACAATGCGCGCGCCATTCCGCCTCCAGCCAACCTGCTTAAGCACAAGGGCTCGGCCTGTATGTTTCATCCGTCTGGTCGCAAATGACTCCCGTTGACCGCTCCTTTGTCGCAGTACCTGAGCCGGCTGCTAAGAGAAAGACGTTGGCCGAACGTGCTGGCGAGCCCGTCCGTACTACCCAGACGACCAGCAGAGTTATGAAGCGTTCCAACACGACAAACGCTTTGCGCAAGACCTCTGGAACACACACTACCACTTCGACCCGTCCTGCCTCTGCCGCCGCCCATCGTACCAACTCCGCCCTTCCTCGCACCGGTTCTCGCAGTGCCCTGGCCGCCCGCCCCGTCTCGGTTACACATGAGGATGACGATGAGGATTCTTCTTCGTCGAGCATTCTGCCAAACAAGCGCAAGGGTATGCTACCTCCCATTGTTGAATCCTTTGCCCTTGTCCTGCATCAGCCACACATCTCAGATAGGACGGCATCCTATGCTTCCGTCCTGTCAAGAGTACCATCTGATGGGGGATCCCCCACCCCCCTCCCTTCTGCCCCTTCCCCGAAAAAGTTCAGCTTCTCAGCAAGTCGCAACATCTCCCTTTCAACGGCTTTTCGCACTCTGAGCTTGAGTTCCAACAACTCTGACTCGAGGTCGACCTCTGTCTCTTCAACACAGCAAGAGGAGCCTTTGTGCCCCAAGACACCATCGCAGATACCCAAGCTCAAGCCTGTCCCAAAGACTCCGCGTCCACCGGAGACAGACTTGCAGATCTATAAGACCCCCCACACCAAGTATACCGTTCACAATGCTTCTCCGGGCAAGATCACGTATTTGAATCGCAATTCTAACACTCCTGCTCCAGCATGGGACACCAAAGGTCGTCTCGAAGACATGGAAACCCTCTACTCCCAACTTAAAACACAACTCGACTCCGCCGCTACAGAGAAGACTGGCATGGAAGAGGGCATCTCAATCTACAAGGCGCGCAGTACGTGTCTCACTCCACTTCCAGACTCACGCCGGGCCAGCTAATACCTTTATTCGCAGTCTCCGAGATGGAGCAGATCCGCCTGCAACTCTCTACCGCTAACCAGACATTGACCAGCGAACTTACCGAGACGAAGGTCAAACTATCCTCAGTAAACGCTCAGCTTGACGACATGAAGCGATCACACTCTTTCGAAATCGACGACCTACGAAGGAAAAACCGCAACGATGTCGAGGACGCCAAAGACGGCCATCGCAAGGAGCTTGAACGTCTTCAGCGCGAAGCAAGAGATGAGCTTGACAGAGTAAAGAAGGACGCCCAAGAAGAAGCCGACAGAGCAAACAAAACGCGACGAGAAGAGGTGGCCGAGAAGGAGCGCGAACTGCGAGCAGAGCTTGAGGAAGAGAGGAGCCGCAGACTGCGCGAAGTCCAGGAGCTTACATCACAATTCAGCATGCAAAAGCTGACAGCCGACAACGATGTCACTCAAAAAGACCGCGAGTTGCAAACACTACGATCCGAGCTCAACGAAGTCAAGGCCAATCTGGAATCATCAAATGCACTAAACACCAATCTGAAGGAGAAGTTGACCGAAGCCTCGACAAACACGCTCACCCTTGAAACATCGATGCGCGCTATGAAGGCGAAAATTGATTTCCTCGAGTCGGATAACCAAGCTCAATCGCAAGCTTTCCAGGATCTCAATCAACAAATGCTGGATGCTCAAGCTGTCGCTGCTGAAGCGAAAGAGAAGCTCCGTCAGGAGGAGACCTTGCGGAGAAAATTGCACAACCAGGTTCAAGAGCTCAAGGGCAACATTCGTGTTTTCTGTCGTGTCCGCCCAACATTGGGCGATGAGGAGACCAAAAAAGCAGAGTTGGCTTTCCCAGACGCCGAAACAGACAGCAAAGAGGTTGTCGTGCAAGGACCAGACCAGAAGAGCGCCATGGGAACTGTTACCAAGGCCAACAACAACTTCTCTTTCGACCGAGTGTTTGGACCAGGCTCCCAGAATGGCGAGATCTTCGACGAAATTAGCCAGCTTGTTCAGAGTGCACTGGACGGATATAACGTCTGCATTTTCTGTTATGGCCAGACTGGATCAGGAAAGACATACACAATGTCCTCACCTGACGGCATGATTCCAAGCGCTGTCACTCAGATATACGAAACAGCTAAGAGCTTGGAAGATAAAGGTTGGACATATTCAATGGAGGGTAGCTTTGTTGAAGTCTACAACGAGACTGTAAACGATCTCCTTGGTAAGGCCGAGGACTGGAACAACAAGAAGCATGAGATTCGCCAGGATCCGGTCAAACTCAAGACCACAATCACGGATGTGACTACAGTTGATCTCGACTCTCCCACTCGAGTAAACGCCATTTTAGACCAGGCCAATCGCAACCGACGTGTTGCTGCTACGCAAGCAAATTCGCGCTCGTCACGCAGTCATTCCGTCTTTATTCTCAGACTCATTGGAGAGAACACGATGACAGGAGAACGTTCCGAGGGCACTCTCAACCTAGTCGATTTGGCAGGTAGTGAGCGTCTGGCACACAGTCAGGTTTCTGGTGACCGCTTGAAGGAGACGCAGAACATCAACAAGAGTTTGAGTTGTTTAGGCGATGTCATCAGCGCTCTTGGGTCAGGCAAGGATGCGAAACACATTCCGTACCGTAACAGTAAAGTAAGCTCAAGCTCAAGCTCAAGTTCTACTTGTAGGGATCTGGCTAACAAGCACATAGTTGACCTATCTCTTGCAATATTCGCTGGGCGGAAACAGCAAGACATTGATGTTCGTTATGGTCAGCCCTCTGCAGGCCCATTTGTCCGAGACGTTGACCAGTCTGAAGTTTGCCACCAAGGTAAGTTCTCTGCTCTTCAATGCTATCGCAGTGACTAACATCCAACAGGTGCATAACACTCACATTGGAACCGCGAAGAGGCAAGCGAAGGTCAAGGATTAGAGTGTTGATACGTCCGTTTCTTTTTCAATTTCTTGTCATGATGAGGATCGAACACCTTTGGAAGGATTGCTTGAGGGCGTTTTTTTTTCTGGCGAATTATATCTGGAGTACCCCATGAGCCTGAGGTTGGGCATGAGAAGGAAACGCGCAGATGGTGCTTCGGGTGGAACGAACGCCTTGTATCGATCTTGTCGAGCGAAGAAGACGACGTGAAATATAGGAATGTAAGCAAGACTTCATTTTCAAGACTTTATCGCATATTTCGCATGGGCACAAAAACATCGTTGACCAAGCATTGCTGAATGCTCATGGTGAGATGCTTGGCTGACTGACCGCCCGCGGAGCACAAACTTCTTGGAGACAACGCAGCTTATTTCTTAGCATCACACACATCCTCTTGTCGATCTTGGCCATCACTGATGCAATGCTGCTGATCTTTGGTTGCCTCTACTCGAGTATTCTCCGTAGTGGGCTAAACAAAATCTGTGCGTAATGTCAATAGAGGATAGCGCGGGTTCTGTGCCACTGGAGACTTCAACTTCGGCTCTCCACGCCCCGGGTCAGCATCAAAGCATGGCCTAACTACTTTTGTTTTGCTCAACAGCAGAACTTCATGATGGAAGATCACAACCCGGATGATGGTGCACCTCAACAGTGTCACCGCATTCAGTTGTGTTCCCACAGTGCTTACTTTTAGGTCCGGAATATATCTCTGCTCTTAGCTCCACCCATCTTGTTCGCCTCGTTCTTTCTTCCAAGCGTAACACATACTAAAAGCCCATTCTCGAGAGTGATATAAGAGACTGACAGCCATGCTTCGGATATCTTTGGATGACCAGCCTGTTACTTCCTCCGCTTCGTCTTCTCCCTCACCTTCGGTACCTGCTTGGTTGGCCTCTTGGATCTCTCACGGATTTTAAGTTACCGCAAATATGCATTTCCGCTCGTTGAGAGAACTCGACGATTCTGAAGGCAATGTTCGCCTTCATGACGGAAAGGACACTGCCATCATTCTTTACCCAGCTCCATCACCCATCGACCCGAACGACCCTCTCCGATGGCCGCTCTGGAGAAAACATGTTGCTTTTGGCAGTGTGTGCGCTTTTGCATTTCTTTCCAACTACGCTATCGGCGGCCTGGCACCCGCCTTCTACATTCTGAGTATGCAGTTTGGAAAGTCTCAACATCAGACCAGCGAGCTACTTCTCTGGCCTGTCCTTGTCTTTGGTCTCTTTGTACGTCTAGCGCTGACATGCATCATCTGTGCTCGTACTCACGTTCATACAGAACTTTCTCTGGGTACCTCTGGCGAACTACTACGGCAAACGACCCATTTTTGTTTTTTGTACGCTTCTGCTGTGTATCTGCTACATATGGGGTGCTACAGCGCAGAGCTTTGAAAGTCTACTGTGGTCTAACATCATTGGCGCTTTCGGGGGCAGTGCTTCTGAAGCTGTGGCTGCATCTATGGTAAACGATCTGTACTTCTTGCATGAGCGTGCTGGTAAGATGAGTTGGTATGTCAACTCTATCTCTGCTGGCAATACACTGGGTGTAAGTCTTGATCATATCATGTTCCCTGGACAAAAAGGCTAACCATACTACCAGCCTCTCATCTGTGGATTTGTCGTCCAAGGCTTAAGCTGGGTACGTAGCTGCTTTGAGAACTTGACCTCGAAGCCTTGACTGACATCTGACAGCGCTGGCACAAAATCATCGCAGCCATTCTTGTCGCCATAAACTTCCTGGTCGTAGTCTTCCTCTGTCCAGAAACAAGATTCGACCGCACCGGCCACGGACACGTCAAACCACTCACACCTTCAAGAACAGCCAGCGACACGAACACTCTGGAAAAGGACGTTCCCAGCCCTGACCAACAGCTCATCCATCGACCTTCAGATACCTCCGACACCACACCCCTCTCCACCATTCCCAAGAAACCCTGGGCCCAACAATTGAAACTTTGGTCTCCATTGCCAAAGGATCTATCTTTGTTTGAATTGTTCCTGCGTCCTTGGCCGTTGATTGTGTATCCTGAGGTCATTTTCTCGACTCTAGCTACCGCATTCGCTCTCGCCTGGGTAGTAGGCATCAACATCCTCAACTCCTTCGTCCTGCAAGCCCCGCCTTACTCTTGGTCCCCTGCTGTAAATGGTCTCATCAACATCCCTGGATTACTAGGAAATATCTGTGGCGCTCTAGTTGGTGGGCCACTTGTGGATTGGTATTCTGACTGGAGAGCTAGAAAAAACAATGGCGTCTTCCAACCTGAGAGTAGATTGACATTGTTGATCTTTCCGGCGGTCATGGTGCCAGCTGGGTGCTTGGCCTTTGGGTATGGAGTGCAAGAAACTTTGCATTGGACTAGTCTGTTCTTTGGGTATGGGATGGTCGCTACAGGTTTGACGACTATTCCATGCATCACTATGACTTATATCTCTGATTGTGTAAGTGTTCTGATATCCTCACTCTTTTGACTGTTTGCTGATCATGGGGTAGTATCTTCCTGTTGCGCCGGATGCGCTGTTGCTTATTAACGGACTCAAGAATGTTGCGGCATTTGGATTCCTGTATGCGATTATACCTTGGGTGAACAAGGTTGGATATGCAGAGTGTTTCGGCGAACAAGCGGCTATTGCTGCTGGTATCTTGTTGTTCGCCATTCCACTCAGTATCTTTGGCGCCAGGATGCGTCATCGCACTGCACAGTGGCGTATCATTCTCTGATACATGAAGACTGGACATGATATACTTTGATAGGGGTATCGTTAGAATTCTATTTGCTTTTGCGCATTTTCCCTTCTATTTCGATTTTCTTCTATACATGTGTTGAGCGTGCATCTTTGCGACTTCTGGAATGATAAGGGACTCGATCTCGACGGCAGGTTGACCTGAGACTGCTTCTGCGTCTTGCTCTGCGTCGCCTCCTGAAGCCAGACCGACATGTTTGACATTGCCGGAAATACTGGGTGTGCGTTTGCTTCTTGGTACGCGGATCCACTGTTGGCCTCCAGCTGCGGATACAAACACGACTTCCCATTTGCGTGTCGAAAGCAGATTTCCAATGACCAGATGGTGCGAATATTTGTTCAAGGCGTACTCGGCCTTCTTGACCAGGATTGCCGGGTCAGTCTCAAGTTTGAAACTGACAATCATGCCATCTGGTGCCCATCCATCGACCAACGTCTTGAGGAACTTAGGCACCGGCTCCAATCCAATAACCAAGCGCTGACCCTCAATCCTCGCAGCCGGTGTCTTGGTCCCATCAGCACTTTCCGCATTATCCTTATTGAAGTCCTCGGACGACTGGATCTTGTGCTCCACCATGCGATCGCTAGGGATGAAGAAGTCTGACACGGCAGCGGCAAGATAAAACAGCGCATTTCCACCCAATGGCTGCATCAAGATAGCGATCTCTCTCAACTCCCACAGGTAATCGTTCACCGTGACGAATGGGATGGAAAGCAATTTATTGCTCTTCCTGGCATCCGTGTACTTCCTCAATACTTCCACCATCTCATCCTGGTATTCCTGCCCCACTTCCACCTTCCCATCAGCGCTTTCGGCCATGAAGTCCAAGAAGCAATTCACATTGTGTGAATAGTGACGTGAGTAAGGCAACAGGGAAAACTGGCGGTGCAGGAAGATGACGGCGTATCCATGGTCGAGGAAATATTCTGCTGAAGTTGCGCCGCGGGTGCCGGCGGAAAAGTTGTCGACGAAGCGGACCATTTGGTTCTCTAGGGGTACGGTTGTGCCACCCGATGTGACGAGGACGACACGGCGGGATTCAGATGCATGGTGGGAGATGAATTCGCGGGCCAAGGTGGAATGTTTGTGTAGGACCTTTGGTCGCGGGTTGGATGAGAAATATTCGTGTTCCATGGTGGCTCCTGGGGGTTTCTGTGTTCGGGTTTCCTTTCTCTTTTTCGATTCACGCGATGAGGAAAGATTCAGTCGCGAGATGACAATTGTCCGGTTTTTATCTTCGATATGGTCGGTTTTGAATGTACTGGGTAATTGAGAGACCAGGCACGGCTTTGACTAATCTTGAGGACTCGTACGATTGTGTTGTCGATCTGTTTCTGTGAAGTATGTATTCCTATCGAGAACCTGAACAGATGATTCTCAAAGAATAATGGAACAATAGCTCTCGCCGAGCATACAGTAATGCTTTCCCGAGGCACGAGGGTGACCAGATGTCGTTGCTCAAGTCCGCAGTGATGTCACGTCCTTTCCGTTTCTCCGCCAAAAGACCAGCCCCCTCTCAAATCCATCGTGACTTTCCTCGACGCGACCTCTCATCCGACTAGACAAAGCAAAGAAGACCGACGCATCCCTTCGTATACTTGACCAATGTCAGCGTCTTGCTCAAGGTCATTTCCCACCTTGTGCATGTCGCTGCATGTCAAACACCAATGGTGCCAGCTCAAGCTTTGACCAAGCTTTTTTTAAGCGCCTTTGAAACTCCCCAGTGGATGATTTGAAACGAATAGGCGATTCGTGTAACCAGCGAACGCCCGCATGGCCACCTTCGCTCGTATTCCTAATGCCCTTACTGCATGTATCAGTTGACCTCATGGCCGCAGCAAGGGATTCAGAACAATGAAGCCACGAAGCCCGCACGAGGGGCAGGTCTCGTGGGCGTCTCTTGCTCCGAAGAGGGAAGGAAGCGGTATTGATATATGTGCCTTTTCGAACAAGAAACAAACGGTTGGCGGCAGCCAAGATGCTCAGAGTAGATCCCCCAGGATCGCATTGGACCGTCGTTCCCGCTTTGATCAAACAGCTAGCAGCCCGCCTCTTGGGCGGTCTAGGGTCTAGCTATTGCTAAGTTTGGAAGACTATAGGTGCATCCGCGTGTATTGCCCTGCAGATGTGGCGCCGTGGTCGAGTCTCAGGTATTGGATGGGCTGTTTCCATGGCGAGGGGCAGATCTCGAGATATAAACAGCAGCCATGCGCACCTTCTCTTTTTTCTCTTTCCTGTCCTTCCTTCCCTCTTGCGCTTCCAAGCTGTCACCTGTTTCGTGACTCTTGTCTCACTCGCTTTCACGTCACTCGTTCTGACAATTAATAGACCTTCTATTGCACAGTGTTACGGTCCTGTCAAATACTTTATTGTCACTCGGCAATATTGATCAGACGACTATTGGCTTCTTGTCGACCAACACCTTGAAGAGGTAGCCAGGACACGCTTGATCTGTTCGACTTTTGCACACAGCCATGAAGCATTCTATCCTGCTCCTCGGCCTTAGCGCCAGCACGGCGCTTGCCAACATCTATTTCCCAAAAGTCCAACCGACTTGCAACAGCGAGGACCTTAGTTTTAGTGGGTGTTTGAAGGGACAATTCTGCCAGCAAAACAATACGTAAGTCGAGTATTCTCCAATGAAAAGAGTTGATGTTGATGAAGATAGATGCACTGCTGTCAAACACGCATGGCCAATGTCATTCCAAGATCACGGCAAAAGAGGCTTGTTCAAACATAGAGCCAAGGCTCCCAACTATTCACAAGACGGCAAATGTGGTCCGAATAATGGCAATCTCTTATGTGATCCTAACAGCACAGCATACAAGGGAACATGTTGTTCATCATATGGTCAGTCCACGATGCTAGCACCGACTGAACTCTTGAATTAACAAACACAGGATGGTGTGGTGATACTCCAGCTCATTGTGGAACTGGCTGCTCGTCTGGTTGTTCTTCCAGCTCAGCGGTCGTAGCATCTACAATCCCGACCACCACAATCAACAGGGCCGCACCTTCAGCCTCCGGTGCTGCCCCTCGAGATGACGGCAGATGTGGTCCTGACTTTAACAACGCCTTGTGTGACGCCAAGGGCGCTTATGGTGGTTGTTGCTCGTGAGTTGGATCCCAACCAGACCTTTAAACTCAGCTGATAATTCTCGTCAGCTCTTATGGATACTGTGGTAACACTGACGGACACTGCTTGACTGCCAATGGATGTCTGTCTGGTTGTAAAGACGCCGCACCAACCAGCGCTGTTCCTACTTCTGCCGCTGCATCGTCAGTCGCTCCTTCTAACATAGACTCCGCTGCTCCATCAAGCACAACTGGTGAGCCAGTCATCTCTGCAGCAACATCTTCAGCTGGTAGTGCTCCAACAGGCGTAGTTACAACGGATGGAACATGTGGTGCCACTTACGACAACACCATTTGCGGTGACTGGAAGCAAGGTAGCTGCTGCTCGTAAGTTTACCTTCAAGTTGGTCTACAGCGCCGTACCTAACACTGAATTTTAGTATGTACGGATACTGCGGAAACAGCACTGCTCACTGTGGTGATGGTTGTCAAAGTGGACCTTGTCTGAATGGTGCCGTTGTTGCGGCTCCTGGCCCTAGCCCTGCACCTGTCAATGCTAACCCGGGACGTTTCGACATCGTTGGCGAGTCTGGTGTTCCTGCCATGCATGCCGGTCTCCTTCCCAACGGCAAAGTTGTCTTCCTTGACAAGATCGAAAACTACACGAACATCAAGCTCCCCAATGGCCAGTACGCTTACTCGACCGAATATGACCCCGCAACTAACAAGTACACCGCTTTGGCTTACAAGACCAATGCCTTTTGTGCTGGTGGCTCCTTCCTCGCTAATGGTCAATTCATCGCTCTTGGTGGTAACGGTCCTCTTGACTTCATTGATACCACTGTTGGAGACGGCTTTGACGGCATCCGCTATCTTACGCGTTCTTCTTCTGACGCTTCTCTGGACGGCCAAGACTGGAGCGAGCCTGGTAACAAGCTCAACACTAAGCGTTGGTACCCTTCCGTCCAGACCCTGCCTGATGGTAGGCTCTTTGTCGCTTCCGGGTCGCTTAATGGACTCGACCCTACTGTGCCGGCCAACAATAACCCGACTTACGAGATTTTGGACAAGAACGGAAAGTCTTCTGGTGTCTCTGTTCCTATGGAGATTCTGGTCAAGAATCAACCTTACTATATGTACCCATTCATGCATCAGCTCAAGGATGGCTCCCTCTTCGTTTTTGTTTCCAAGTCGTCTGAGCTCTTTAACGTCAACACCAACACCACAGTGAGAACCTTTGCCGACCTTCCAGGAGACTACCGCACCTACCCCAACACAGGCGGCTCAGTCCTCCTTCCCCTTTCATCTGCAAACGACTGGAACCCTGATATCGTGATCTGCGGCGGTGGCGCATACCAAGACATCACCTCCCCTACCGATCCCAGCTGTGGCCGCATGCAACCACTTTCTACAAATGCCAAATGGGAAATGGACAGTATGCCTCAAGGCCGTGGCATGGTTGAAGGTACACTTCTCCCCGACGGTACCGTAATCTTCCTCAACGGCGGCAACGAAGGCGCCCAAGGCTTCGGTCTTGCCCGCGACCCTACATTCGAAGCCCTCATCTACGACCCAGCAAAACCCCTCGGTCAACGATTCACCACTGGCGCTTCTTCAACAATCCCTCGTCTCTATCATTCTGTTGCTCTGCTTCTTCTAGATGGCACATTGATGATTGCAGGATCAAACCCAGTCGAGCAACCAGTCCTGAAACCCACAACCACAGACCCCTACGTCACGGAATTCAGAGTGGAAATCTACACACCCCCTTACCTCCAAGGCGACAATGCCAAAAAGCGACCTACAGCCATCACCCTCTCCTCTAAATCTCTGATCGCAAACTCTCAGACTTTCACCGTCAAGTTCACTGCTCCTACTGGTGCTAAGGCTGTGAAAGTGGCGCTCTATCATGGAGGTTTCGTCACGCATTCTGTGCATATGAGTCATAGAATGGCGTTCTTGGATACTGCGGGTTGGAAGGCGGGTGCGACGGATCAGCAAATCACGGTGACCATGCCTCCGAGTGCTAATGTTGCGCCGCCGGGTCCGTATGTTGTTTATGTTGTTGTTGATGGTGTGCCTGGTGTCGGACAATTCGTGCAGGTTTCGTAGATATCCAGGGAACAATTGAGGGACGATAATGTTTGTAAAAATCAGCTAGTGATCTCCAATTTAATTCATGTTTCATTTTCTCAAGACTTCATGTTGTTTTGCAGTGCTGTCTTAAAAATGATAACAGATCAGAGAGACGAGACATACAGTAATAAGTGTCGCACCTGAGAAGAAAGACCGAACGATTACGAGAGTAAGAAGATACGTTGCAGAAGAAGGAGCCACAATCGAGCTGCAAACAGAAGCGACGATCAAGGTAAAGAAGAGCGCAACGCTGTGCGAAAAAGATCATATGAAATTCAAAAAAATCAAACTTTTGTATTACTAACTACTTATTACGATTACAAATTACCATACTGATCATCTTCCCTCCAGAAAAAAAAAACTTGTACTTTTAGAATTACCATCGACGAAGTGAAAAAGATAGGAGGAAAGGAAAAAGGAAAGGACTGTCGACTTCGACAAGGAGGCACTTGAACGCATCCAGGCGTGTCTCAACGTGCTGTCGGACATCTAGGCGTGTCTCGAGAAAGCCTTGGCCTTGAGGTGACCATGAGGGAGAGCACGTCTGGGAAGAACTGCGTTCGCGGGCAGACCACCATTCCTCTTTCTTTCGGCTTCGGCGAGTTGAACGGCTTGGAATTCGCTAGTGGCTGGTGTGCTCGCGATGGTGCAGATGAGTACTGATATGAATTAGCAACGTTTCACAATAGGTGGGCTGTTGAGAGAGATCGATATCTTACCATGTGATCCACTGACAGTTCTTGTGTTCCAGTCATCGTTGGATCTGACGTAGGTGTGAGGGCACTGAGAAAGGCGGAATTGGATGCTGTCGGCCTCCAATGTCCCGAGGCACTGGTCGTAAACGCCGGAATCCGGGTTGTAGCTCTTGAACTTCTCTGGGCATGCGGCGAGGACATCTGTAACACAACCTTGACCAGTACCCCATCCTTGTCCTTGTCCATGACACCATACTGGCGAGGAGAAGCCCTTTTCAATGTCGACGTCGTAGTATGTCTGTCCGTCTTCACTCTTCCAACTGAACTCAACAGCCGTGTCATGGTTTCTGTGGTCACCAATCTCCGGACTATTGTGGTTGGGTGAGACGCCAACGAAGAACTTGGGACTCAGAAAACTCATTCCCTCTATCCACGTCTTTTGGCCGGGCTCCACTGTGGTATTTGTGAAGTCGAGGATGGGATGCTTCCCATACCTCTCGTAGTCTTTACGGGCCCAGTCAACGCTGATGTACTGCTTCACGGCATTCTGGTTGATAAACCATACTCCGATCGGATGTGCAGGATCCGCTGCCGGGTCTGCCCCAATGGGTCGCTCTTCGACGGCAGGACTTCGGACAGGAGTGCTGGCGGGGAGAACAGTCGAGACAGGCTCCTTCTTGACTGGAATGGAGAGGGGACCGGAAGGCTTGGTCGGAGCCATGACGGGGGTTGGTGTCTGTCCGGGCTGGTTGGGGGTGGTGGGTTGATCGACTTTGTCGGCATTGTTGGGTGACGACTCAGCAGAGACATCTTTGGTGCCACCGATCTCTGGTGCGTTGACACTGTATCCTACCGAGACACCGTCGGCTCCCAGAACAGCTAGGTGACCTTGTGCTGCCATCAAGCCGGTCAAGGCACTCAAGGTGAGAATGGATTTTGTGATAAGCATGTTGGTAGAAGGTAGTGTGCTTGAGCGAGTGACATGAAATCAGTAGAGAATATATACCGAAAATTGAAAATTTGGTGACTCGAACGGTCCTTTGAGGACATTTTGTGAGCTCTTATGTGCAGAGACTTCCTCTGGCGATGTGTCAATATTTACCATCAAGAGTTGTCATGTGGGTCAGACTGGATGATCTCCATCCCAATCAGAGGATTAGCATCACGCTCTATCCACTTTGCAGAGTAACATTCGGAGTGAATTTCAGGTTCAGTGTTGCGTTCGAGGCGTGGGGCGAGGGGAAGCTCATGGTTCGACCGTAACTGAGTTAATTAGTCAAGCTGGCCATTGGCAGACTCCCCTGGAGCTACACGTGGGGAACAGACTGTACCTGGCGTACCTGAGTGAACCATTCTATTGTTGGTGTAAGTACATCAATATTCATGGTTCGTGACAGAGTCAATGGTAATCAAAGAATTCCTGGCGATTGTTGTGATACTGCAATAAGCTTGCATCGCCTGTCCGAGAATTGCGTCGCCAAGTGAAGTGTAGAGATAGTTTGATGCTGACAGCACTTTTTGTTGAGTGCAATAGAGCTTGCCACGATGTAACTACAAAATGCGCGAAAAGGTGTCTGGCAGGGAAAGAAGCAGCGGACCTCCACCCGACTATTGATGTTTGACAGGACCCTGACTTGGTTACTTTGACTAGACGATGTTTTAGCTCTTGCGCAATGTTGCCTTTCTGCCGCTCTATAGGTAAGTATAATGCGAAGGAATTCGAGAAACTCACCAACAAACAGGTAGCAGGGTTCATCGAGACGATGGAGATTTCAGAATGAAAACACGAAACCGATGTTCAAGACGTAGTAAATTCACAATTGCCATATCTATTCCTTCCTCAACCAACCCTTGATTTTTGTAAACGCCTTATCGTTGCATTGGTCGCCTTCCTCGACCTCATGCGAAAATCATCTGCTATATTTCGTTACCCTTTTGGAAATGTACACTTAGTTCCAAGATTCGAGGTTCTTGAGAACGACCTCATCCTCGCCTCTGGTGAAGAGCTTGCCGATAACGGACACTCTCTCGCCGGCCTCCTCGAGAACCTTCTGTGCCTCATCGGCGTTCTCCTTGCTCACGACGATGACCATGCCAAGACCGGTGTTCCAAGTGCGAGCGAATTCGCGGGACTCGACGTTACCGGCCTCCTTGAGCCATTTAAGAACCGGGGGCACGGTCCACGCTGAGACATCAACCTCAGCTGCTAGAGTCTTGGGCAGCATTCTGGGGATGTTGTCGTACAGACCACCACCAGTGATGTGTGCCATACCCTTGAGCAGGTCCTTCTCGACGGCCTTAAGAAGGGGCTTAACGTAGATACGAGTGGGGGTCAACAAGCTAGCACCAATAGAAGTGTTGGGTGCCCAGGGTGCCTTGTCATGGTATGAGAGTCCCTTGGACTCGACGACCTTTCTGACAAGAGAGAAACCGTTGGAGTGCACGCCATCACTGGCGAGACCCAGAAGGATATCACCCTCAACCATGGATGCCATATCAGGTAGAATTGTGCGACCACGTTTGAGAGCACCAGTGGCGCAACCACCAGCGTCAAACTCATTGCCCTGGTACATGCCAGGCATCTCAGCAGTCTCTCCACCAACGAGCGCACAGCCTGACTCACGGCAGCCGGCTGCGACACCCTCGATGAAAGAGACAGCCTCCTTGATCTCCAGCTTGCTGCAAGCGTAGTAGTCCAGGAAAGTCAAAGGCTCGGCACCTTGCACAACCAAATCATTGACGTTCATGGCAACGAGATCGATACCGACAGTGTCGAACTTGTCCATGGCAAATGCGACCTTCAGCTTGGTGCCGATACCGTCGATGGCCTGAATCATGATAGGAGCCTCATCGTAGCCGGCAGCTTGGAGGTCAAGCGCACCACCAAAGCCACCAATCTCGGCGTCGGCACCAGGTCTGCGGGTAGACTTGACAGCCTTTTTGATGGCAACGACCAGATCGTTTCCGGCATCAATTGAAACACCAGCATCAGCGTAAGTCATGGCCTTGGGCTTCTCGACTTCTCTAGTGCAAACAGCACCATCGTAAGCGGGTTCCAAAAGCTTCCATTCGCAGTTGATGTTCTCCTTCTTGAACTCGCCGATGAGGTGGTTTGCGATCTGCTCGAAGTTGTGGGTGGCCAGAGCCAGAATAGTAGGGCCAGCTCCGGACAAGCAGATACCAAGAAGACCAGGTTGAGATGTGGGAGTGACGGACTTGAGAATTTCGGTCAAGCCAGGGATAAGAGTCTTTCTGTAAGGCTGGTGAATCTTGTCCTGCATACCATCGTAGATCATGTCAGCGTTAGGGGGGCTCTGACCGAGTGCAGTGGTCAGAAGAGCGATTCTCTGCAGGTTGGAGATGACGTCGGCCTTGGGATATTCAGTGGGGAGGACTGAGCGGGCCTTTGCGGTAGAAACCTCGAAGTCGGGGATAATGGCAATACACTTGATTTCGGGAGCCCAGTTGAACTTGATGTGCTTGCCAATGTTGATCGGAGGGATGGGGGGAGTAAGTCCAGTGTCGACACCACCAGCAGGGGCAGGGAGAACCTCACTCAGAGGGATCTCCTTGCGCTTCATGTCCTCCGGATCCAGATCCTTGAGGTATGAGCCAACGAAGCCACCGAACAAAGCAGCGGCAACGTTGTCGGGATGTCTCTCGATCATCAAGCAGAAGTCGAGCATGCGGTCCTTGGAAAGGTTGAGGCCGCCAACTTCGCTACCAAGCATAACACCAGCGACAACAGCAGCTCCAGAAGAACCAAGACCACGACCGAGGGGAATGGGGTTAATGATGTGAACATGGGTCTCTGAAGGGAAAGCATGTTGGTCGTGGCATCGCAAAACGTAAAGAGCAGTCTGAGTGATCAGGTTGCGGTCGGCGACGAGATCCACATTCTCTTTGCCGAGACCCTCGTAGGTGATCTTGCAGTTAGACTGGTGCTCTGAAGACTTCTTGGAAGAGTCGACAGTAACGCGGACTTCGAGCCAAACGGAAAGTGCAAGACCGATGACATCAAAGCCGGGGCCTGATCAATAAGTCAATTGACGAGCAGACAAGTAAAAGGCAATTGGTAAGCAATACCAATGTTAGCCGAAGAACACGGCACCTCTGTGGAAGATTAGCCTTGATCGTGGGGCATAGATGAGCAATTCTCCATACTGATTGAGAAGGACATGTTGGACAGAATTGGCTGTCAAGGATCTTGACAACCTGAAATAAACAAAGAACGAGGTCGTGAGAAGACCTTGTTTAGAAAGACAGAGTTTGGCACTCGAAATGGGAAAATTCAGCGATCTCGGAAGGCTCGCTGTCGCGAAAGAGTCACCTCGACGATATTTTTTCGACCTCACGCAACAAGACCCCGCGTTCGGCGGTCGGGAGTCCCGCGTCTTGGCAGGCAGCGGAAGCCAAGCACACCGACAACATCATACGTAGGCGCGGGCAGCGACGCGCGCATGCACTCCGGTCGAGCAACGGACTTGACCATCCTCTAGTTAGCTATTCTATCGTGTCCCTCATCAATCCATATCCATCTTTCTACCCGACGGCTCGACTGCTGTCACACACTTCTCACCATGCCCGTATGAGACTCAATTGACATATCTCACCTCCAAGCATCCCCTGCTGACAGCTAGCTGGCTAGGCATACCACTCAGTCTTCCTCGATGAGCCGAATCAACAAGTGATTGGCAACTTTGCCCTGTTGCCTCTCCGTACCCGTACTCGTGGTCCCGCCATGCAACTTCCGGCCCTCGCCGGCGACGTGACAGAACTCAGCATTGATGCCTCACACGAAAGCTACGACCCGCTGGACGAGACGTTGGCCTTGTTCCGCGCCAACACCTTCTTTCGCAACTTCGAAATCAAGGGTCCCGCCGACCGCGTTCTCATCTACGGCATCCTGTTCGTCAGTGAAGTCATCCAGAAGATCAAGCCTCAGATGCCCAGAAGAGAGGCCGAGAAGGCCGTCATGAACCTCGCCCTCGACACAAACTTCGCCATCCCCGGCGATGCTACATTCCCCCTCAACCAGGCATTCGAGCCTCCGCGAGACAGAAACGAGGCCGAAGTCTTGAGACAGTACATCAGTCAGATGAGACAAGAGTTGGCCAACAGATTGTTGAACAGGATATACGCTGAAGGAGATGCTCCTAGCAAGGTGAGGGCTCCCATCGCCTCGAATGCCCTTGAAAATACTGAACCAAATCCTGCAGTGGTGGTTGAGCTTCACCAAGAGAAAGTTCATGGGCAAGGCCCTCTAAAGCACAACTGGAGTCTGAAGGCGCCACGCAGCAGTCTTCAACACCAACCAAACCTTCTCAGCTGTCGACGACGAGCACTCTTTGAGACGTCTCCGCGTGAGAGTCAGCTACAACAAGGATTGTTTGGCGAGCAATCATCGTATTCGCGAGCCCGGGTCTGGGCCTACACATTATTGTCGATAGGGAGACGAAATAACCATCAATTACATGCAGCCATGTTCACTTTTTGACATAGACTTCTTACAGCTGGTGACAGCACACTTGCGCAGCCGAAGTTCCCAAGCAATTTCTGACATTCAGCAGATCTCTATAGACTCAACACAGTCTAATGCTAACTAAAGAATAACAAGCAGGAACCACTCGAGCTCAACCCGCAATCTCGGACAGTCGACAGCCCTAGCTCCACACGTCTCGATTGAACGGCGTTTTGAAGACACGATAAATTCGACTGCCACGTTTGACGCCTCCATACTAGATCATCCACACTACTCGTAGATGTACTGGACTTTGCAATCCTCGCCCTTGTTCTCGGCGGCATCAGCCAATGCAGTAGGGGCCTCCTTGGCTGCGACACTCGAAGTAGAAGATGCTCTGACATGAGTCGAGAAAGTGGTCGCGGAAGCAGACACAGAGGTGGCGAGAGAAGATGTGCTCGAGTGTGCTATCTTGGCGATCTTGACGCTAGAGATGGACGAGGCCATGGTGCTTGATGAGCTGACGACAGGGAAGGAGGCTGGGACCTTGGATGCGACCGCGGAAGATGAGGTGCTGACGGTAGCGGCGGTTACCTCTACCTGAGTCGAGGCAGCAGTGCTGGGACTAACGGCGCTTGAAGAAGAGATGGCACTCGAAATAGCAGTTGAAGAAGCGACCGCGCTCGAAGATGAAGTATCATTTCCAGAGCTCATACAAGCAAACGAGATCTGCTTGGTGGTCGAAGAAGGAAGACCACCGTATGAACCGGCAGCCTGGTCAAGTCTCCAAGTCATGTTGACATAAGGCCAGCAGATGCGACCGTCGTCCATAGTAACCATGTCGCCAGCGACGTAGGTATCCATCAACTTCAGGGGCTCACCAACCTTGCTGCCCTTGTTAACCAGCTGGAAGTAGGATCCGCTGAACTCTCCCTGGCAACCCATAGCGATGTTGTTGCACTGAGGCTCATCGATCTGCTCCCAGGTCACGAGGGCATTGGCACCATCAAAAGTAGCAACGTGCGCATTGGAGCAGTCAGCAGTGCCCGAAGTGATCCAGTTGACTTGCGAGTCACCATCTTTGGCTCCAACGACTGAAGAAGCCTGCTCGCCATCCATGGTCTGCTTGTCAGAAAAGGTTGCGATGGCTACATTACGACCGTTGGTTCTGTTGGCGGAAGCGACATAACCCTTGCCCATCCAGCTGTTCTCGTAGAGGTCGACGGCACCGCGAGAGACCCAGGAGAAGATATACGAATCCTCGCCTTGGTAGCGTGCGAGGTTGCTGTAAGAACCAGACATGCCGCCCATGGACTCACCGCCAGCACCGTTTGTGGTGTTCTCGTTCGAGATCTTGGTGCCCGAAAGGTCCATACCTCGGTTGTTCGTGTTGAGCCAGATGTCACCCTGATCCTCGGCACAAATGCTGGCGAATGGGACAGCGTCGGCAGCCTCGAAGGCGATACCGGTGTTGTGAGAGCAACCCCATGCGCTGGACTCAGGCAGGGTCTCGAGAGAACCATTGGTGGAAATATATTGAACCGAGTCACCAAAGTGACCTTCAGCCCAGCCGCTGTAGTCTGTGACAACAAAATAGGCACCGTACAAGCCAGCCTTCTCGGAGTAGACGAGATCGCCGTTCAGGTCAGGCGATGCGGAAAGACCGTCGCTTTCGTGGACACCGGGGCCACCCAAGAAAGTCTTGAAGGTCTGCTCTCCTTCGGTGTATCTGTAGAGAACAGGAACGGGAGTGCTGTCTGCAGGAGCACTGGAAGTGCCAGATGGAAGTGCCTCATTGGTCAACAAAGCAAAGCCATCGTTGTGAGCAACGAGTCCACCAGCTTCCTTTCCTCCCTTGACGGTGACAGCACTGCCGACAGCAGCGAAGGTCTTCGGGTCAACACGCTGAATGTGGACATCAGTCTCGCTGTTGTCCAGGTAGGCGAGGAAAGCACGGCTGCCGTCGGGAGAGAGTGCAAAAGGTGTTCTGCGATGGTGAGGCAGGCTTGTCCAGTATGCTTCCTTGACGGGGTTGAAGCTATAATCAAGCTCAAGCGAGTTGACGTAGTTCTTCAACGAAGCATCAGACAGACCAGCGGCGGCGGCCAGCGAAGTGGTGAATGAAAGAATGATTGGTAGGGACAGCATGGCTAGAGACGACCAGGTCGGATAGAGAATAATATACAAATGAATGGACGAAGGAAACCAGCCCTTCTGCAATAGATACAATCGATAAAGAAACACTGGAGAAATCAAGTCGATCAACTCGAGTAGGCTTGTCTACCTTTATGTACCACATCCATTGCGCCATCGACCTCTCGTTTTGTATGTAACAACATCGGAAGTCAAGCTCCATCGGAAGTCAAAGTTCTTGCCCTAGTCTTCCCCTCTCCTCTCGCGTTTGAAGTAGAAGCGCAAAATTGGACATGGGCTGCGTTTTGACAAGGTATAGGTGTTATAGGTCGTGAATACGATGTATAGGGCTTATCCGTCAGACTCTCTAGAGTCTCCTGAAACTTATATTAGGGCTTCGTGACAGCACTTCGCTTGGATGTGTGAAATAGAGGCGTGATGAGTGTAATCTTGACGATGCCGAGATTGTTTCATGTCTGCTTCAGCTGCCGTCTGAGAACGGCGTCCAAAGGGGGGTTTGCTTGGCGAGTCGAGACCAGCATAGATTGCCGACTGCGCATGCCTCGACTCGGGGGGTTCAATGATATAACATTAGGCACGTATTCCTACTCGTTCATCTTTCAAGGCAGACAAAAGGGAGTGAAGATAAAGGCCGACAGACAGCTCGCTTGCACTTCGGCGGAGCGACGGCAAGAATTGCCGTTCTTGCTTGGCTTCAGGTTGACTCCTCCGGATTGCGCCTCCTTGAAGGCTTGAAGTCACAATTGTTCCGTCAATAAAATGGTCAGACGAGCTCGGCCACAATTCGCTGCGGTCACAAACAGTACAACACAAAATACCTGGAATCTTAGTGGCTGAGCATGAGAACAACGAACTTTGAAGGCATTCGGCCTGGCAAAACAGGTGACGTCGCGACTATGAGCACGATGCTTGTACCGTCCAAGCCTCAGAGAAGTCGCGCTAGAAATCCTATGGAAGTTGCTCGATACCCAGAAGAGTAAGATCGGTGTTCATCTTCCCTCTTTCCCAATCTGTATCGGAACACAGCCGCTTCCTACAGATCTGGGAGTCGACACCTGATAGGATGAACTGAGTCCTTGAATAGAGTCAGGTGCCAATCACAAATCCTTCGGTCTGCCTGAGCTGAATAGAGGTGGGGTCCTTGACAACCAACGCCGACCTATATATACGAGCATCCCCTCGACTTTGTAACCTATTTCCACATAACATCACAATATTCACCATGAGACGACTTTCAAGAGCACTTTCCCGAGCTGGAGATTCCAAGGCCAAAGAGGCAAAGGAGGCGAGCACCATCTCCATCGAAAAGAGTCCTTCGCCTCCTCCACCAACATACCACGAGTCTGCACAAGCTGCAGATGATGACCTTCGCCCTTCCGATGTGACTGCTGGCTTCTCGAAGCTACAGTTGGGTCCTTCCTCGGAAAGTGTACCTAGGCCTCAAGAGTGTATTGCTCACCTCAAGCTTCTTGAGTGCTTCTATCGCTTGAAGCAGAACATTGCTGGGAGCGAAGGCCTCTTTGGTATCTCCTCGGACTTCGTCGCCAAGCTAGATGAAATTGCATCGCACGCATTGCCTGATGGCGGAAATAAGGATAACGAGATATTGGCATTGCTTGCGGAAAAGCGATGGCAAGTCTATGTTTCTCGGGCAGTTTCTCGCTTTGCAGAATGGAGAAACGCCCTTGAACCAAGGTATGACTACTACACCTTGACTCGAGCAACCATGTCGAAGGGTCAATTGTTAGCCGATCGCGTAGAGCCTGAGAAGGCTAAGCCAATTCTCTTCGACGCTGAGAACCTACCTCCAGTCGGTAAGTTGACCATAAATCTCGCTTTCTGACAAATGCTGAATGACGAACAGATGTCTTGATGGTCTGGCATTCGTATATGCTCAATCCGAGAGCGTATCTGGAAGATTGTGCACGAGAGGGACGGATGCGCCTGTGGCATACACCCATGCCATGGCAAGCAATCGCCGATGCTATCAACAGTGAATCATTCGTATATGAGGTTTCCAAGACCGGCATGATCATGTTCGAGGAGCAAACCCATCTCAACTGGAACAACCTCGAGGACTCGATGGAGACATCTTTCCAGTGTCCCCATTGTCATTCCACAAACAGCATTCCATGGACCACGTGCGGGAGGATCTCCAAGAATGATGAAGACTTTCAAAGCGAACAGGTTCCATCCTATGTCAAGGATGTGACATACGAAGCTGTTCGCGCTCAACTGAGTACTTGTCACGGTCTCGCTGACTCGGATTTCAACGCAGTCTGTAATTCATGTGCTAATCAGGTCACTCATGACTCTCTTCGAGCTGGCAAATTTCGCAGCGATCTGGAGAAGCTCTTGGATGGGGATGTTCTGATGCCAGGCAATATCCTTGGTAAAGACGGACTACCTTCGCGGGTTGGGACTACACTGGACAAGACTGGCTACTCCCTATTTGCTTTCCCCAGCAAGTTGATGAACGCGGGACTTGCCAGACAGATTTTGACCTTCAATCAAGGCAGTGAGTTGCGGATGGCCAGTATCCGAGACTCCATCGAGGAGGGCATACTCGACAGAAAGTTGGTGTCAAAGGCCAGGAATACTCACGGTTGGACTCTTAACAGAAGTGAATCTCTTGCTACACGCCGCATGATGTCGAAATATTGGGAAAACTCGTCACCCTTCGCTCTGGATCTTGTTGGTGCTGTGGTTCGACAAGGCTCCTTTGTCGAGAAGATGCACAACATTGACTGGCTGCACTCGCCGGCTCTTCCCAACACTATGTCACGACTGATACTCAAATACGTGCGATTCATCGGTATCATCTCTAAGCACAGCAAGATGGCTGTTCCAACACTCGATGTCGACCTAGCCTGGCACACACATCAACTAAACCCATCTGGCTACCTGCAGTATACTGTTGCTGAAAGCAGAACTTTCATCGACCATGACGACAAGGTAGCAGAGGCCAAACTCAACGATGCATTTGCCGAGACGAGCAAACTGTACCAGAAGCTTTACGGAGAGCCGTACTCTGAATGCACATGCTGGTACTGTGAGGCTGTTCGTGAATCCCACACATCCACGGCATCACGCCTATTCCGTAGCAACAACGCTATGGCAGCGGAAGAGCTCCACGACGTACCTTCAGATCCCAAGAAGTCGGTCCATATATCTGCTCACAACGCTGTAAGACCCGAAGGCGATAAGACATACGACATGGCTGTCGCTCAGCGCCTTCATGATCTTGAGAGGGCATATAACAAGGCTTGCCAACGCGCCGACAAGAAAGGCAAAGCTAGACCCAAGCGCGATGACTACTACTACTCAGACGCATATGGTTATCCAGTATACATGCCGGCGTACGCTCCATATGTAGGCGCCATGGCCTTCACGCCTGTCATCTATCCTGTCAATCCTGGTTGCATGGCTCTAGGTGTTGGCGCAGCCGGCAACTGCTGTGCTGGAACTTGTGGTGCCGCTGTTGCTGCGGGATCTTGTGGATCGGGAAGCTTCGGAAGCTGTGCAGCAGGCATGGGAGGTGCGGGCGGCGTTGCGGGCTGTGGTGGTGGCGGAGGCGGTGGAGGCTGCGGAGGAGGAGGTGGTGGTGGTGGTGGTGGAGGAGGCTGTGGAGGCGGTGGTGGTGGATGTTAAGAGGACTATATTACGACTTGACGATTGGGGTTATTGGTATACCATATTTTAGCGTCGACAGTTTCCTTCATACTATTCTTTTCGCTACAGTGACCTCCGGGTTCGTTGTGTCGCATGCACCTTCGATGTCAACAGTCGTGTTCTAGCCGTGTAAGCGACAAATGTCAATATCGCCGGTTCTCACTCAAATGATGTTCATGCAGAGGGTTGAAAGACACGTAAATAGGAAACATCTGTTATGTTGTCTTATGTAATACTATGTTATGTCATGTTTAGGTCCATCTATTCAACATCGCTAGCTAGCTCCCGAACAGCGAAAACTTCATCTCTTCCCTGACAACGCTGGTGTAGCCCAGTGGTTATGTATCCACTTGTATTGAGAAGACTAGGCATTCTCTCCCTGCAACAGCAAGATATAAAAAACACTAGACCCTCTTCTCAGCGTTGTTAACACACTGTAAGTTCGCGGGGGAAAAGGTGAAGCCGGCCAAAAATTTGCAAAAAGGAAATATCTATCCAGTGGGTTTTGGATTATGCCGATTGCCTGGATCGAACAAGCGATCTTCTCATTACAAGTGAGATGCGTTACCACTGCGCCAAACCGGCATTGATAGGGGATAGATGAAGTTTAAATTGTTGGCAGAGTATAAGAAGAGTGAAAGAAAGGGGGCCGGTTCATGTTCTTGCTTTTTTTCATTTTTTCACCCTGAACATCTGTTGATATTTGATGGACAACACCCTTGCTGCACTCGAGCGGAGACCGGGTGCGCTGGGGAACAAGCAAAGAGAGTAGCAATGGAAGGCTCAAAGACTAAGAAAGGTCAGGTCCAAGAAAGAAAAAAGTAGATGTCCATGCTTTTCTTGAGAACAAATTGGTGGGTTTCTCCGTGAGCATGTGTGTAATCACTTGAACCATTTTGGCGGCCAGTCTGCGCCCGGGGAATTTTGGTATGTTTACTCCACCTACCTCCATGCCAGGTCGCTGTAGGATGCACGATGATGTTCGGACCAGAGCTATATCCAGCAAGAGCGTATCAGGCAACTTACAGTACCGTGTCTTCCTATCCGGCTATAGTAGAACACATAATCGTGCATCCTCACCGTTCCTACAGGTCGCTTGAGACTCGCCTTTTGCCAAGTGGTCGCGTCTCCCAACTCCGAGCAGTGCAATCCGAGGATATTCGTGTTCGACTCGACTGACTACCGTCATGAATGTTTAGATACAAAGCTGAAAATAGGAAGCAGGAATTTACAGTATTATTAAGTTTACTTTGGAAGCCAGCCAAAAGGGAAGACGACCTTAAGAAACGCGAGATCGACGGAGCCGAAGGAATCTTGTTGTGGGACCTACCCTGCTCTCGTCTTCGGACTCACATCCATCAGCCAAAACCTGTCAAGTCTCGAATCAAATATTATGTGTGGGCTAAATCAATCAGTGTAGTAGTCTCAACACAGAAGGCCGCCAATATTCATGTCGTCTTAGGTTTGTGAGGTGAATATCTTGTGCTTCACAAGCTCTCAGAATGATTGCTGCATTTTTCTCTGGGGATTGTGATAGGGAACAAGAAAAAGAGAGGCGGAAAACTCACACATCATCTTCTACAAAGAAGCGATTGATTGCCTAAATTTGGTCTATTCAAGTGTATGCTACGAGAAAGTGCAATGTCATCCATTGGAAAGACCGATTAACAAGCGCAACACATTTATGCACGTACCGCGACGCCAAGCCAATTTATGCAAACGAAGCCCCGCACAAATCCAATCCTCAACCACCAAAATTTCGAAACCACAAAATTGAATTTCCTCGTCCTATGCTTCGACCTTGTTTCGGAGCATCTACATCACACGCAAAAGAGCAAAAGGAATGTTGATGAGAAGGGGATTCGAACCCCTGCCCTTTCGGACCAGCGTATTGGAAGAACCTTAAGCTGGCGCCTTAGACCGCTCGGCCATCTCACCGTTGATGAATTGTGCTTGAGTGGGCCAGACTAATGCCCTTTTGTTGGAGCTTCGGTTGGCCGAGACAATCTAATCCACCCTCTGTCTGCTCCTACACGATCAAACTTCAAGCATCGGTTGACATGTGGTAGTGCGTTCAACTCCCCCTCTGCCTCTCTCCCCTAGTAAGCACTGCATAAAACTGGAACTGATCTAGACTGCTTGAGTTGTCGGAGGTTTAGGGTACCACAGTCTAAGGCATTTAGAAACGGTAGGATAGCCGTTGCTACGCGTATCCTTGTAAGCAAGATGAGCCACCATCAACTCCTTTGTTGCCATTGCTGCCGCAAAAGCTTCGAGACATGATCTATGAGCACCTCTTCGACGACGTGACTCAGCAACGAGCGTGGCATGAAATCACAAGAGCGTCGAAAATCACTCGGGAAGATGCAACACCGATATTGATGCGACATTTGCACCTCAAACTCCTCTACAGACACTGGACCGAGTTCGCCTGGCACCGTCAGCCAAGATCCTTTTTCCTGCTAACTTTGCTAAAGGTGTCGCTTCGTGGTCACCTGGACTCAGTCCTGCGTCTTTGCGCTGGATACTGAGAGCCTTCCGTTGCTTTAAGAAACTTTGCCCGGCAAAGAGGCCCGAGGAGAGGTTCTAGAGAAGATGAACCAACACAACAACTCCAGTATCTCTTCTCTACACTAGATGTCTTCGATATTTCTGTACCGCCCGAACCTTGTGGGTGTATTCAGAAACAGAAAGAGGTGCCAGGTTATCCATGTGTCGAAGATTTACTTGTTGCTCCTCAGAATCACATGAGAATACACCTTATCCTCAAGCAGCTGGCCAAGGCTTGGGAACACAACATCTCAAATTGTGTGGTGTGTTTACGCTTTCAAGAGGCATTGCACCAAACATGACACGATGACCGCTGAGATGAGGCGACGACGACATATACAAGTTGAGAAAAGGTACCGAGCATGAAGCCCCGGCATAGATGGAAAATCAAGGAGGAATACCAAACAAAGACAGCAAGTCGGTCACACACATGGCAAGGAGATAGCTCATGTAGCAACTGGAATGTATTGTTAACAATTGCATGTCTGTCAGAGAAAAGAACTCCTATAGCCCAAGACTAGAAAAGAAAGGAGGGAGACTTGTAAATCAGACCTTCCCTTGTAGTCAAATGCCTTCCCCTCCCAGAAATGAAAACACACATTTGGCCTTCAGTAATCATAGCTCCGTATTCTTCTTTGCTGTTTCTCTCTTCCCATACTCCACCTCCACCCAAAAATAATCTGACAGAATCGAAAAGAATCAAAAACACCACACCAGTGAAAATGCTTAGAAAGGGCTCTACTCTTCTTCTTCATCGTCGCTCTGGGCCATTGACTCGGTGCCTCCGCGGCTCTTGCGTCCGCCGAGGCTCAGCTTGACGCGTGGTTGAGGAGTGCCGGCACTTGAGGCTGGACGTGTGTTGCCCGTCTCGGTCTCCCAGTCGGCAAATTCGGGGTACTTGGCGGTCTCTTCAGCGAGCTTCTTGACAGCGGTTTCCTGTGTCTTGTGTTAGTGTTGAGTTCCTTGCAACATTATTAGAGCGAGTACATACCTCGATCAAGTTTGCATCTTGGAACAGTACACTACCGTCCTCGTTGTAGGTTCTGCAGTTATCGCACAGTTGCTTGATGTCCTGTCGGAATTGGCGCAAGTTTTGGTACTGCTTCTTGTTGATCTTCTTCTGGATTTGATCCATGCAGATGGGAGTGCGGATTAGTTGGTAGTAATCAGGGTAGTGCTTCTGAGGAGGCAACTCGATGAAAGGATCAATGATCCCTCTGTTCTGCAGGTCGGGGTCTGCCGATACTTCTTCCAGATCCATGAGGGTGTCGTGGACAGTATCGAGTACTGATTGCAAGTGCTCACGTTCTGTCGGTGGGAGGAGATCGGGCACCTTGGCTTGACGGCCACGCTTTCTCGGTTGAGGTGTTTCAACTTCTTCCTCGGCCTTGCGTTTCTGGATCGTCTCTGGCTTGGGCTTGCGACCACGCTTCTTCGGTTGAGGAGATTCTGAGCTGGCGCGAGAGTCTGGCGGTGGTGTATCCTCCGATCCCTCTTGGCCTCTCTTCTCCTTGTTGCCAGCACGTCTGCTGATACGAGCTTGCTTGCGGGCAACAGCAGATTCAATGTCGTCATCGGAGTTATCGACAGCTTCGAGCCACTGTTCTTCGGTGAGGCCGTCGTCATACTTGACCTTGGCACGCTCACGATTGCCACGGCCCATAGCGACCTCGACAATCTCCTCGATCGGGTTGTCTTCGCTCACGTAAATATCCGGAAGCTCTTGCTCGCACATAAGGCGAGGGTACTTCTTACCAGGACCGTACTTCTGGTCTCTGTAGCGATCGCGGTCCATTTGTTGGAAGAGCGTCAACTCGTCGTCGGAGCGCATCATGATCATGTTCAAGTCATCGTCATCCATTTCGTCTTGCTCGAATGCCTCAGCTGCTTCGGCAGACTCCAGCATAACACGAAGCATCTCATCACGTTCTTCGTTGGTTGATCGGTTGTCGAACTTACCAGCTTGAATGACTTTGCCATCCATATCAAGCTTGTAATTGGCACGTTCGAGAATCTTCTCTTCGACCGAGTTGGAACTGATGAGACGAAGAATTCGGACCTCATTCTTCTGACCAATACGATGAGCGCGATCCTGAGCCTGAAGATCCTGATGAGGGTTCCAATCGGAATCGTAGATAATAACGGTATCGGCTGTCTGCAAGTTCAGACCAAGACCACCTGCGCGAGTCGAGAGCAGGAAACAGAAGTATGGCGAGTTAGGTGCGTTGAAGATTCTGAGGAGCTCACTACGGTCATCAGCCTTTGTCGAGCCGTCCAGACGCAGGTACTTGAGACCACGCAAGCGCAAAAAGTCCTCCATGATGTTCATGATCTGTGTCATTTGGAAGAACATCAAAACACGATGGCCGGACTTTTCAAACTTTGGCAAAATTCTGTCTAGAAGCTCGAACTTGCCAGCAGTACGCCAGAGTGTGTCGTTGGTTCCTCTCCCAGGGTTGATCTGGTCTTCGACTTCTTCGAAAACGAAAGGGTGGTTGCACAATTTTCTCAACTGCATGAGCATGTTGCTGAGACCGCGCAGGCCAGTCTTCCCACCCTTGCCATCGCTGACCATGAGTCTGTTGTGGCTGACAAGCTGCTTGTATAACTTGGCTTGGAGCGCTGAGAAGTTGCACTTGATGACACGCTCTTGCTTGTCGGGCAAGTCCTTCTCGACATCCTTCTTCAGACGGCGCAGAAGGAAAGGTCGAAGAACCTTGTGAAGACGACGAATGACAAGCAGTTGCTCTTCTTCTGACAGTTCCATCTTGTCCTGTCCGCCCGTATTGGCGAAAGGAGTGTTGAACCACTCATCGAACGATTTGACCGACTTGAAGATCGTGGGAAGGACGAAGTTGAGCAAGGCCCACAGTTCGGGAAGACTGTTTTGGAGAGGAGTACCAGTGAGAATGAGACGGTAACGGGTTGTGTAGTACTGGGTAATGGTACTGCTGAGCTTCGAGTTGGCGTTCTTCATGCGGTGACCTTCGTCAACAATCATGTGTAACCACTTGATCTTGCTGAGTACAGGCCTGTCCTTGATAATGAACTCGTAGGTAGTAAGCAAAACTTGGAAGTTGCCGTATCGGATTTGGTTCTGGTGGGTCTTTCTTTGGGCGGGCGGTCCCTTGTAGACAATCTTTGAGACAGTAGGCGCCCACTTGTCGAATTCATTGTTCCAGTTGGTCAGAGTACTCAAAGGCACAATGACCAAGTAGGGGCCTGGTTGACGCTTCTTCTCAATGAGGTAGGTGATCAAACTGATGGTCTGAATAGTCTTGCCCAAACCCATCTCATCAGCAAGAATACCGTTGAGGTTGTTGTTGTAAAGCGAGATCATCCACTGGAGACCCTTGATCTGATACTCCTTGAGGGTGCCACCAACAAGCATGTTAGCCTGCTGTGTGACTTCCTCCTTGATCTTGTGGGCGACTTCATAGTAATCGACCTTTCTCGACTTGCTCTCGCCATCTTCCTCTTCGGCGACAACCTCCTCTTCTTCCTCTTCTTCTTCGACAATTCCATATCTGCGAGCAGCGCCACGTTGTTGTTCCTTGACGGAAGCGGCGAGTTGATCGAGGAACCCATCGGTCTGTTTGAGCAAGTGAGAAATACGGCTGTCCTTGGCCTGGCCCAAAAGCTTGAGGTAGGTCTCTTCGTCGTTGGCCTTGAGAGCCTGAAGACGTTGCTTTGCGGTTCTTTCGATGCGCTTTTGTTCTTCCTTTTCGATGTTGGAGTGAGTGGTTTGCATGAGACGACCCAGCTTTTGGATTCTTGTGCGCTGGTTGGCGGCAGACGTCTTGACGTCTTGGCCATGAGACAGTACGGATCGGAGGAAATCGTTGTGCTTCTTCTTCTCCTTGGACTCGTGAGCGTCCTGCTGTTGCTTCTCGAGCTTCTCGGTGATGCGAGCCTCGCGAAGCGACTGTTTCTTAACACGACGATACAAGGCGCGGTTCGCTGTCATGGCGAGATTGTCCGATTGCATCATCTCGCGGCTGACAACTGCTCTCATGGCGCGCTGCTTAGGAAGCAGGTTCAATTTCTTGTGCTCGATAAGTGCCTTCAGTTTCAATTTGCCATTGTCAATAGGGGTGGTTGACGAAGTTGTATCCCAAGAGCCTATGTTGGCAGGAAGCTTGTCCAACTCATTCTTACGAGCCATAATACGGTTGTACAGAATAGTCTCCCTCTCTTCACGTGCCCTGTCAACGTCGATTCCCAATGGCATAATACTGGGGACAATTTGGCGATTATCGCGGCGGGTGTGGTCGAGGTAGGAGATGGCATTGGGTATGAGGCTGTGCGGGTCCTTGAAGGATTGGAAGCGGTGGGTTCTGCTGGAAGCCTGAGCGGCAGGTGTAGCGGGTTTTGAAGGGTCGGCAGCGGCCTTTTGCGATTGGAATAGGGACTCTTGGATGTTCTGAGGAATGGGCATGTTCTTTTGCAGGTAGTTGAAGGCGGACAGCTGTTGGCGCAAAGTGGCCTGCTGGTCAGTAGACAGGAGTGCCTCCTTCGACGCACTCGACGAGGATGGCTGTGGTGTGGCTTGTTGAGCAGCGCCATTGGCAGACTGCATAGCAGCACCGTTGATGGTTCCATTCAGGTTGTCCTGAGGGAGCTGGCCGTTCTGCTGTTGTGGTTGCACCTGTGCCTGCTGCTGGCGGACCTGTTGCATCTGCTGTTGGCGCATCTGCATCTGTCTCTTTGCCATCTCTGATCTCTGACGAGCAAACTGAAGTATCTTGCCGCGCTTGGCCTGGTCCGGGTCGGTGTCGGGGACACCTTGCTGCTTGGCTTGCGCATAGAGCTGGTGACATGGTTAGCGGCATGGCAGACATTTGGGAGAATGTGGGCATCAAACCTGGTAGGTTTGTTGCAGATATTCCTTTGTCAACTGAGGGTGGTTCTGCTGGGCGTTCATGTTCATGCCCGGCTGTTGTTGCTGGATGGAAGCCATGGTGACGGGCTGTCGCGCAAAGCCGTGTTGGAGTTCGGTCACTTGTTCCGGGAGGCCAATTCAGCGACTACGGTGGTCGCGGCGTCGACGGCGAGCAGATCGATGCGTGGTTGGCGTTGAGTCGAGTCAAGCTTGATGGGGGATCGTTGGTGATGGCCGGCGTTGATGACTCGGGCTGTGGTTGGATGGAAGGGTCGTGGGCGTGGGTTGCGGTCGCGCTTTCCTCGCGCGCACGAGATGGCGAAAAGGGAAAGTGAGCGTCGGCGTCGCGGTTCGCTCTCTCGGAAATACACAGCGTCGCGTCGACACCTTGGGATACGCGTTGTCAAGTTTCTGGCGGGGGTCGCGGACTTCACTCTCGATTCGCGCAGGACGGACTGGAAGGTTGGCTCGGACGTCTAACTACCCTCCACCTATCTGGAGTCATGTCCACGTGATTTTTTTCGGACTACCAATGCCAAGCCTTTCCCATGAGCGAAGGAGTTTACAATTCACTTTTGAATACCTTGAGATCCATATACTATGGCATTGGTACTAGCATATATTCTGCGTATCCGGGCTTGTTCGCAAGCTTAGGAGTTGTCAGACAAAGGGCAAGCTTTGCGAAAGCTTGGTGATCAAGCTTGTGGTCTTGATGTGGGGGCAACCCTGACCTGAATATATTTTGTCGAACTCCATCGAGATCGAGAGGATTCACCTGAGCGACTTGATGATTTGACAGGCTATGGGACGTTCTGCAATAGCATTGATGCATATTCTTGGATGAACGTTGCGTGCAAACACAACGATTGTCGTGATATTCACATTCGGGTCTCCAGATGTGTCAACGGGTACGGGTCGCTGTTCGAAAACGATCGTGCAAGCAATGGAAGCATGAAATACTCCATTCACCACAACTCGAGCATACGAAACTCACACAATGAAAGAGTGAGCATTTGAGAGTAAAACACGACTTTTGATTTCGCAGTCGGCCAACGGAAATAGACAAACAAAACCCACCACCAATGCCCAAAGTACAAAACTCCTTAATGAATACCCATGACCCTTGTATGCTCGCAACAAACCCGCCCAATCTGCGTACGCTCAGAACGTGTTCTATGACCAAATTGCGGAGAAAACTCAGTACTGTCTCGGAACATCGGACGAGCTCAAAGCACTGCGCTTCATCGGTGGAGGTGGTGGGGGCTTCTTGGCTCTGGATTCACATGTCAGTAACGGACCAAATCAACGGCTCTAGACAACATACCTAGAAGGTGGTGGTGGAGGGGCAAGTTTCCTAGCTCCGCCGTCCTGAGATTGCTGAGACCAACTAGCAGAGCGTGAGAAACTAGGTGGGGCGTTGTAAGAGGCAGGAGAAGCAGATCTTTCATCCGCATAGCGGTCGTTATCCATGGCATAGTCGTCCTGGTCACCAAAGACGTCCGAGTTGGCGCTGTCGTTTCGTTTGGAGGGGCGCAGGCCCTGTCTCAGCGAGAGAGATGAATCCGTGGGTACACGGGACAGGCGGGGCATGGCGACAGGAGAGGCATCGCGGGAGTTGAGGCTCGAAGGGCCTTCGAAACGAGCGGAAGGTCTGGTAGGAAGATCGAAGCCAGGCAACTCACGACGAGGAGAGTTTGTACCAGACGGAGCTCTTGCGCGGATTGGGGGGCGGAAATCGGTGACTGGGCCATCCTCGTCGATTTGACGGAAAGATGCAGAGGCGCCAGTGTTGGAGCGAGATCTGGGCACTCTGCGACCTCCCGGGATAGCCAGTCCACTGCCAGCACCAGCAGAAGTACTGCATGTTGTTAGCGAATATGTTTATGAAGCATCCTTGAAGAAGAACGTACGCTGGCCAGTCCTTCTTGCACTGCATGAGAATCTCTCGTGCTCTGTCGTAGTATGCCAATTCAGCATCCAAGAAGGTGGAAAGGTCATTGATGCTGTCAACTTCGGCCTCCTTGATATCCAGCATTCTGCGTTGTACGTCGTCGCTCGACTCGTCATATTTCGCCTTTTGTGACCGTGCCGACTCTTCCAAGGTGAAATCGTCCTTCTTTGCCTTTTGTAACTTGTTCATGGATGTATCGTAGGCGAGACGGCGAGTTTCGAGTCTCTTGCGGGCAGTCTGGAGAGGTGAGAGTTAGAGACTCAGTATGTAATTGGATCAAGGAAACTTACCTGATATTCCTTCATCTGAGCCAATGATCTCTCGACTGACTCCAGCCAGCTGTTGGTGGCATTCGAGACGTAGCTCTCTTGCATGCGAGCAATCCTCTCGTTGGCTCTACCAAGGGCTGCGAATTGTCAATCAACTGTCCTGTTGCCATCTCTGATTCAACCAACGTACTCGAGAGGCATTGTCCAAACTCCGAGTCGGGCTCAAAGTCGTCTCCGTGGCTGGCCATGGTGGCTCCGAGGTAGGCGATAGGCAGCGTCTTTTCCTTGTCTTCTGCCTCCTTGGTCTTGGACAGAGACTTGACGTACGTCGTCATACTCCTTTGGAGACGCTCCATACCTGTTTGGCAGAAACGTCAGTGCAAGCCCTATAACTTCGATGCTACCAGACACCCACCTTCATGTCTCAATTGCATCTCCAGCTCGAGCGCCTTGAACTCGTCCGAAGCGGCAGTCTTGATCTCTTTGCCCATTCGCTCGTCGGTCCATTGCTTCATGCGGTCGAATCTCTTGCCGATGTTCATCTTGGCGGTATTGTGTTGGTTTGTCTGCTAGAAAGAAGAAGGGTGGATGTGCGGTGTCCGAGAAGTCGTGTGCTTCCAAGTTGTGAAGCAGGTCAAAGGGTCGGCGGGAAATGAGGGCAAGTACTGGCAAGAGGGGCACTGCCGCACTGATTTAATTATGTGACGTGGTAGGAGTGGGGAGAAGGTAACGCGAGTGGCTGGCAGGTTCGCGCGCTTTAAAAGGAAGCGAGTCCACAGTAAGGTGATAACGATCGAAGGTCACTCAATCTGTTGAGCTCAGACTCTATTGGACAACAGGTTTCGAGTTGAATGCCTCTACTTAAACTTCTCACACATGAACGAGACCATCTCTGCCACCTTCCCCAGACTCCCAGACTCCACCGACTTAGGGGGGGCCGATACACGCGTTCTAACTTTAGTCCAGACCTGAAAACTCTAGCTAGCAGTCCAGCGTGCACGCGACCGCCACGCCCGCGGCCCTGTTGGTAGAGATCCTGCCGCATCTCGATGCAGAATAGGCAGGAGGCCAGTAGTCTGGCTTGTTCCTTGTTGCCAACTTCAACATTATGTGGTACGTGGGGGTACATGCTCGGCCTACGTTCAACGGCCATCGCTGTGTGGAGAGGCAGGGCGGCTGTTCTGTCGCTCGCGAAACAAGACGACTCGTACCCGTTGCCAAACTTACTTCAAACTTGCGAGACAGACACAGCCTTCTTCCCCTGGTTTAGTGCTTCCATGCGGCCCGTCGCCTGTCTGCAGCTCACAGGGAGGATCTACATTTGTATAGCATTACGAGTCCTGCGGCCTCCCATAGCATATACCGCCGTTTGTCACACAAATTCAATGATTCAAGTACGGAAGTTGATGTGCTCATGAAACATTTTTGGACATTCCTCGATGATGCTGCCTGTGAAAAAGAAAAGCCATTTTGCTCGTGGAATTTTCTGACATTCCTGGTATCTAGACCTGGAACAGTACAGCAAAGTATTTGCCAGGCATCGCTCATAGTTTTTTGGCAAAGTAAACGAGAATGACGACCCAACCGACCAGCACTCCGATCCCCTAACCAATTTACTCCTTGGTCTTTTGTGTACCACGGAGCAGACCAGTTCTGCGGGCGGCAATGAGACCAGCCTTTTGACCCTGGGCGGCGTAGCGGGAGATGGTCGAGGCCTTACCGATATGCTGGTGGTTACCACCACCGTGAGGCTGTGAATCGTGTCAGTGTGCTGTTTGTGCGTCTGTCGAGTGCGGTCAATTCTTACATGGTCGACAGGGTTCATGGCAACACCACGAGTCTTGGGCCATGAGTTGCGCTTGACGGCGAACTTGTGCTTAGCGCGCGAAGCCTTAAGCAGAGGCTTGTCTGTTCTGCCGCCACCAGCGACAATACCGATCATACCACGGACGCTGGACTTGACGACCTTCTTGGCACCGGAGGGGAGCTTGACACGGGTCTTGCCCTCGTCGGGGTTGTGGCCAATGACGGTGACGTAGTTACCAGAGGTACGGCCGAGAGCACCACGGTCGCCCATCTTCTCCTCGACGTTGGTGACAACGGTACCCTCGGGGCAGGATCCGAGAGGGAGGACGTTGCCGATGGTGAGGGAGGCGTTCTTGCCGGCGTAGATGAACTGGCCGGTGTACATGCCCTCGTTGGCGATGAAGGTCTCGGTGTGGAGCTTGAAGCGGTAGGGGTCACGGAAGACGACCTTGGCCAGGGGAGCACCACGACCGGGGTCGTGGATGATCTCCTTCACGACACCGCGAACATAGCCGTGTCTCTCAGCGAAGTCGAGAGTGCGGAATTGGGCGGGGGCCTTGTTGAGTCCTTTGAAGAGCGTCTAAGTTAGCGAGAGCGTTCGGAATCGGTGGAATCGTGCGAATGAGGATGCGTACTGGTGTTGGCCTGCGAGCAGAGTGTGTCAGTTCATGTTTGAATTTTTCGCGATTGCGCACAAGATGCGAGGTGGACGTACAGTGAAGATAGAGCCGCGGCCCTTTCTCTGGTTGCGAATAACACGACCCTAGATATTCTGTCAGCACATTGCGCGCTGGGTTGGTCGTTCCTGGCAGGCGATTATTTACCATTGTGAAAGTGGTTGGCGGTTCTGCTGTCGCTGGGCGTGCGAGAAATCGAAGTCGACAAGCGCTCGAAGGTATTTCGCGAAAGCCAAGCCCGCTAGTGTGTGTGCGCTGTTCGGCTTTTCCCGACCAACCTCCGTCTCACTCCTCACGCCGACCACCATTCACTTTTTTACTATCAATGAATTGTCCACCCATAATGCCGTGATTATCGAATTATTCTCGGATGGTGTTGATGCATTCTTGTAAAAGTCGCATTGGGCTGAGATTTTCAACATTATCATTGCTTGCCATGCGATCTCGAGCACTCATGCATTCGGACTTATGCATTCGGACTTCAGCTTGCACCTAATCTGGACAAGTACCAGACTGGTATTGAATTTTTCAGATCCTCTTCAAGATCTTTCCCGCCGTGATTTGCACAATTCGCATGTCTTTGATCACTAATTCGTGGAGCATACCGGGTGGCTTGCCAATGAGAATTAATCAGGGTTACTGTAGCCTTTCACGACGGCTCAGTACAGCCAGAGACCTCGAAGGTCGCCCGTATATGGACAAGACTTCGACGTTCACTCGAGTCAAAATTTCAATGTGTCTCCATTCCGGCTGTGAAAGTCACGGCATTAGGCTACTGAAACCTGTCAGATGTAGGCAGCAGGGGTTGGTATTGATGATGGGACTGTTCAGATGCAGACTTGGTACAACCCAACACTCCAAGAGGTCTACTTAAAGTTCACGCCGAACAACATTCTCGACTCTAGCACATCACTCGCCTCAAGTTTTCCATCGACACAGCCATTTTACTATCCACTCTCAAGCTGTACCTGACGCCAAAAATGCTCTTCCTTGCTCTCCCAATCCTGGCCTGTGTCGGCTTCACGGCCGTAGGTGTGACAGCTGGTACTTTTACAAAACCCTTTGCTTGTTCCAAATGTGCTTCTACTAACTTTATACTAGGCTCCTTCGCTGCCCTCTGGCAATCTGCTTTCGGAACTGGACCAGTCTTCAACACACTCCTGAGCGCCGGAATGGGTGGTGCTCACGCCGTCACTGTTGTATCCACCAGCACTTCGGCCATCTTTGGTGCTATGTTCTACGGTATCAAGACGCCCATCATGCCGCCTCCCAAAGAACTTGAGTGGTGGGAGACAGACGTGTTCAAGAATGTTGTTGGACTCGCTGTGCTACTGTCAACCATATTGCTGATTGTACTGCGCCTTCGCCGCTATCTTCACAGAAAAAATTGAGACGGGAAAGGAGTCCATCTATGCATTCATCATCGTCTGGGCACCTTTTACTGGTGCCTCCTGCCATCAAACTCTCCACATCCGTACCACCTATCCACGATATTGAGGCGTAAAAACATCTGGACTTCTGGCTTCCTCAACGTCACTACCAACGACATCGCCTGCAATCAACCGGACGTGTAGTTTTCTGTCCAGTCACCGAAATTGCCCTGCGACTTCAATGTAACGGCAGCCAAGATGCTTGTTATCATGTGATTCATGTCAAAACCCCATCAGAACCATGAGAAGAACCAAGTCAAAGAATGAAAAGCTGTCCCATGCTGAGCTGCACTTTGAAGGAAGCGGAACAAGAAAGGAGTGCCGAAATTTGATTGGAACCATGTGGCTCAAGACACTACTCGCATTTCAGTATCTCGTGATGACCTGTGCATTACATTACAAGAACATACTCTTTATAAGTCCCAACCCGCCAAAACCCAGATGAGAAGATAATGCAAGCAAAATATCGATAATGGGCATTATGGTTGATTTGTGATATTTCTTGACCCAGATTCTTGAAAGCCTCGAAGCAGAGCTCTTATACTATCCACCTTCCATCTGTGACTGAGAAGCCTGCCCTCCCAAACCGTTTTATTCAAGCTCAGTTGAGCAAATTATTGACGGACATCATGCTTGCTCGGTTCGAGCTACCAGGTGGGATGATCAGGCCATCACAGTAAGTTGTCGTGAGCGCACCTCCACAGGCTCGATTGTGTCACTCGATAGTTGCGATCAATCTACAAGACAGTTACGATTGAGCTTGTTACTCGCTCAGGGGTCGAACTCAGCTGGTATTTGTTCAACAGACGGAAAGCCAATTTGGCGACGATGTTGCTTCATGCTTGGGAACAGGATGCAAAGTCACTGACCAACAGCTTCTGGGGAACGTGCTTATTGACGGACTGTCAGGACTTCGGTTCTAAACTTAAGCCTGGTGTCTCTGTAGGACATGAGGTTTGTTTCATTCTAGGTACGAATATCTCATTCCAACATGAAACTTGTAAGACAGTCTGGTCCAACGAAGATCAACTATAGATAGATGTCTCAGTGATAGTATTCCAGATACTCCTAATCCCTGAACATATACATAAGAGTCCTACACAATGACATCTTACCTCATCTCAATACACTTACAGACTTCGTGACCAATATCAAGCCGCGTCTTCTTCAACTCAACCAGTATTTTCTCACACGTATTCACTCCAACAATCACCATACACCAATGTTCTTCCGGTTCTTATCTATCGTGCGCGATGGTGTCAGACCATCGGCCAGTGAGTTTACCTTTCTAATCTGGGCTACTTCAACTACTGACAAACTCAGGCACAATCGTTACATTCTGGCAGATTATCGACAACATCGATGTATTCTTCGGTGCACAAGAGATAGGAGCAAGGAAGGACTTTAGTATCATTACCTTCGTTTCAAGATGTGTCGCCTCGGTGATCGGAGCTCTCGTATTTGAAGCAGAGCTATTGCTCCCGATGGGTTTGGAAATGTGGTACGGGCTGCTCAAAATGTGTTGGGCTGAAAAGGACAGCAGAAGGAAGAAGTCAGGCACAAAGTTCTAATACGACTAGTCGAGTGTATGTCATTGTGCGTCGTACTTAGCGTAGCCAATTCTTTTGTTTTCGCTTATTCGATCGAGGATGTTCGTGGATGCCAGAATATATCATTTCGTACGAGGTTCATGCATCATTGTCTCATCCCTCAGCCTTATTGAGACCAGTGATGTCCGCTGTAAGATCAAGAGACTCCCATTGCTCATCTCTTGGGAAACCGAGATGGTACCGTCCGGTGACGGACCACTGCAGGTCTGCCTCATCACCAGTCTCGAAATCCAAAACATGACCACCTTCAGCATCCTTTCCTTGCTCAGGCTCGGTCATAAAGTGGCAGTGTACACCACCGATGCTGACACCTTGCATCCACTCCGGACTGACAATGCCAAACATTGTACCCTTGACATCCTCCAAAGTCCACTTCTTCGCGTTTGCCGCAACTTCTGCAAGATCTTGATCAGGGTGTTGTTGCGGTCCAGCTATTCTCAAATGTAGCGACTTGAATTGGCCTTTGACAACAAACGGTACGAATGAGTTTTTGCCTCCTGCGCCGGGTCCAGCCTTTTCAAACAAATCCAGCAGTCCGTTTTTCTTGAGTCGTGGAGTCCTGGCTTCGAATTCTGGGATGAATTTTGTGACTTGGACGAAAGGGAGAGATGTCTCTGGCGGTGCGGGTTGGACTTTTCCAGAGGGAAGCATTTGCCAGGGCTTGCCGTCGAGGAAGAGGAGTTCGCCATTCATGCGGCCAAATGTACCAATGCCGTGGGAGCCATATCCTGGAAGTTGACCGCAGGAAGGACCGTTGTGAGCGAGACCGGCCATCAAGGCACTGGCTGTACTGAATTGGAAGATATCATTAGGAATTTTGGAGACCATGACGGGCGGAGAAAGGTGGGTATCGTCGGGAAGAGCTCCAGGCGAGGTTATGCGTCCAGCAGTATGACCAGGTAATTAGAACAAGTCTCGTTCGGGCTTCCTGGTGTTAAGTATTTATCGACGAGGAAAGTGGGAGAGTCTACGGTTTTGATGACCGCGATCTGCTTGACTTCGTAGTCCGAACTCCGGCTCCAAGCGTTGACTGCTGCACAACGAACAGAACGTAAGCTGATGATTCAAGCTGCTGATGATATGTATACTCGAATGCTTCGTCCTGTTATCGGTAGAGGTAATGTTTGTATCCAATTACGGAACTGTTTTTATCTGGTGACTCGTTGTCGACACAAAACACGTCTCCCCCCATCTTCGATGATGTCAACGCTGAGTGGTTTCCCACTTCCCGAGCTCGCACCAGCCTCCTCAACTTGTCTGGGTCAACAACACGATAGACCAGTCGAGGAACTCATAGCTGCAGTGCTGACAACCTTCGACCTTTTGATATTGTTCACCAGGTCTTGCACTTAAGATTGATGAGATTGTCGCGTTCGGACGGTCGGCCAAAGTTACATATCTCTTTCTACTTGGTTGTTTGTATCGAGACTTCCTCTTAACCTCCTAGATATCGACATGTTTATGCTCTTTCTTTACCCTAAGCCAAGTAGCTCTTCTGAGAGCAACTTACAAGCCAGATATACGGCTAGTTCAAAAATTAAACCGTAGGGAGAACTAGAAGAAAATGTAGAGGGGGGGGGGTTGTGTACCAGGGCTTGAGTAATGTGACGATATAGATACACCCCCAGGTAAGCCGCGAAGCGCTGACTCCAAGGACTCCATGGAGATGACGACCTAGCGATCTACTCTATGGATATCACGACACTGACGTGACTCGATCTACTCTATGGAACCAGTCACCCCAAGACTATCAAGCTAACGAACTGGTATAGTACTACGATTGTACCGCCAATATCGGTCGACATACCAATCTGCTATTTGGGTAGCGATCCATGCTCGTTGCATGAGACTTGAAGCATCGATGAGCAGGTACCCATTCAACGAAGACCATCGAGTTGACGAACTTCTATATCACTACGATTGTAGCGATAACATCGGTCGACATGCCGATCTGCTATGTGGGTAGTGATCCATGCTAGTCGCATCAGACACAGATTTCATGAGAATAGTCAATGAGATGGCTCGATGAGAACGGTCAACATACTAATTTATGGCCTTTGCACTTCTCGCGATTTCTTTGTTCCTGTTCATTGTTTTGTCTTTTCCTCTTCGCGCGTTACTTCTCTTCGTACTCTTAGTACTCTTTACACTCTTCACACTCTTCACACTCTTCACGCGTCCCTTCTCTTCGCACTATTTGTGCGTTACTTCTCTTCGCAATCTATCTGACATCTTTGTCATTACTTCTCTTCGCACTTACCTTTGACATCTCTCTACCGAGTGTGCCTTTTGACAGGGGTACACTAAGCCCCTATCCGATTAATGAGAGACTGAATAGAAGCCTCTCATGCAACCAACTAGTCCTGCCGGTCCCTTTGTAAAAAGGCACAGTGATTTTCGAGATCAGAGAGATGTCCAGGGAGAGTAACATCACACCGGACTCTTTCGAACAACTCTCTTAGATTGAGAAGCAACGTCTCTTTTTAGAGCTATTTTCTCCCACCAATTCCCACCGCTCAGCCACTGGACATCCTATACCAGCCGATACATCTGCTGAACCCGCCGGAGCAGCCTCGAGAGCAGCTACCAATTCTCCCCGCTCAGCCACTGCCCCCTCGACACCAGCCGATACATCTGATCGACAAGCACGAGGATCCCCAAACGCAGCGTCTAGCTCTTCCCAACCAGCCACTAAATACCAGTTTGCTGCGATCGGATCCAGTGCCTCTAGCTTCTCGTACTGCGGTCGTTGCCGAAGGTAGCATCATGATACCCCCGGCTTTTTTTTAAAAGACTTCCCACTCCGCCTTCGTAACGCCGGAATCTCCGAAGGAATGGTCTACAACGCAGCTCCTCTGAACGAATTCAGTCCTGACTCTTATCCAAGGGGCCCGATTCCTTTCCCAAGAATCGAAGGTTTGCCCGATCCTCTATGCCCAACGTATGCTCAGAACGAACACACCGAGACTACACCAACGACTATGGGCACAACCAGGTACAAAGCCCTCGTCTTGACAGCATGACAAATGACGAGGGACTCACAGCTGTGAGAAATATCGTCTTGCATGTCGCTGCAAACATGTATTCAAAGCGAGGCAAAGGCGACGCTCATGATCCAGGACCGCAATCTCCGCCGAATGTCTATGGATCGAAGACAGAATCATATGTCATTAGAAGGTCCCCCGAGTCTGTCACCAAGTCTGCAAAGCGCAAGAAACAACACAGAAATACACCAGTGGTAAGAAGACGTGGAAAACTTCTGAAAACCGACTCGAAAGCAATGGCATCGATACCAGAAGAGACAACCAACATCCAATTACTTCCTAGACATGATGCACCAACCGACACGGAAGCAACAGCACCTGATGGAAAGATATACGTTTGTCCTCAGCCAGAATGCGAACAACACTTTCACAAGGATACTACAAGGGCACTCGTCGTCGAATATTTGATGTATGATCATCACACCGAATTTTCGGCTCTCAAGGGTGAAACCCGCTGTTCATTTGGATTGTGCCTTTTAACAGGGACACACCAAGCCCATGTCCGATTAATAAGAGATGAGATCGGTGCTCTCATGCACAGGATCGCGTGAAATACGAGATGAACGGCGAAGGGCGACATCTGCTGCCTTTCTCTTGACCGTCTTCTTGGTGGCAATCTTCGTCGCGAGCTTTCTGATCGTTGTGGTGGCTGTGCCCTTACGCTTGGCCGTCTGTCTGCGGTTTAATTCCTTACGTGCCAAAGTCTTTGAGCGATGTTGCGAACGTGTCCGGGATTGTTGAATGTTGGTGAAAAGCTGGAAGGTCAAAACTCTGTGGAATTTGGCCACGTGGGTATGATTCACGCGATGTCTGACTGCCTCGGGGCTGGTAGAATCGCGCATGTAACTTAAGTGGTTTCTTGGAGATTCTCGAGGTCATACCGTTCCAAAGAAATGTGAGTCAAGTCTTGCGCTTTCAAGCAGTGATTGAGATCAGGATGTAATGATAGTGTAGCGCAGATAGTCATTGTTGATATTTTGTTCTTGGAGATCATAATAAGGGCTCTATATAACGTGAATAGAGCAAGAATTGAGGTACTACCAGTCAAAGCTAGTTCAAAGCACGCTTGGCAATGTCCTTGCGGAACTGCATGCCCTCGAACTTGATAGTTTGGACACCCTCATAAGCACGAGCGACAGCGTCTTTGAGAGTAGGACCAGTGGCAGTTGAAGCGATGACACGACCACCACTTGTCACGAGTTGGCCGTCCTTGATGTCTGTGCCGGCGTGGAAGATGACAGTGTCCTCGGGAGTAGTAGTCAAAGTCATGGGGGTGCCCTTGGCGTAGGATCCAGGGTAGCCACCAGCAGCGACAACGACAGTAGCAGCAGCACGCGACGAAATCTTGATAGGACCCATAGAGGAGAGCGAGTTTGTGGTACAGCTGTACATGAGCTCGGCAAGGTCAGACTCGAGCAGAGTCAAGACGGATTGGGTTTCCGGGTCACCGAAGCGGACGTTGTACTCGAGAACCTTGGGGCCGGCCTTGGTCATCATGAGGCCGGTGAAAAGACAGCCGATGAAGATGTTGCCAGAGTTGCGCATGCCATCGACGGTTGCTTGCAGGATGGACTTGTGGATTTCCTCGTTCTCCTGAGCAGAGACGACACCTGTAGGAGCGTAGGTGCCCATACCGCCAGTGTTGGGACCCTTGTCGCCGTCAAAGATACGCTTGTGGTCCTGGGCAGGAGGCAGACTAGCAATGTTGTAGCCATCGCTGAAGGTCAGGATGCTGCACTCTTCGCCGACCAACAGCTCTTCGATGACAACCGTGTCGCCGGCCGAGCCGAACTCGCGCGTCAACATGATATCCTTGAGGGCCTGTACAGCCTCTTCCTTGGTCTGAGGGATGATGACACCCTTGCCAGCAGCGAGGCCGTCGGCCTTGATGACAACATCGTGATTGATGCTGTCGAGGTATGCCTTTGCTTGCTCGTAGTCGCTGAAGTTCTCGTATGCGGCAGTGGGAATGTTGTGGTCTTTCATGAAGTCCTTGCTGAAGGCCTTGCTGCCTTCCATACGGGCAGCAGCCTCGTTGGGACCGAAGCTCTTGACATTGGGGAGCTTCTCGGCGAAGAAGTCGACAATGCCGGCGACAAGAGGGGCCTCAGGACCAGGGACCAGGAAGTTGACGTCGTGGTCGCGAGCAAAGTCGACCAGGGCGGGGAAGTCGTCGGCCTTGAGATTGGTGACGTTGGTGACCTTGTTCGGGATACTGTGAGGCTTCGTCTGAGTATGCGTGTTCTTGATCTTGATCTTGTGCTGCCAATGGCTGCTTATGAGGGGACGAACCCTGCGGTACCGCCATTACCGGGCACGACGTAGATGTGCTCTACGTGCGGTGACTGGACGAGCTTCCATGCAAGGGCATGCTCGCGACCACCGTTTCCCACCAACAAGACGCGCAGACTAGGAATCGACGACATTGTGTATGACTGTTTCGAATGGCAGGTTCGAATTTCACCCCGCCAAATTTTTGAGGAAATGCTCAGCCAGTTGCGGCTTCGGCGTCCAAGGGTCCTGAGTCGTCACTTCCTCGTCTCTTCACCTAGCCAGATGAGATACGGCCACCTGCCACCTGCGATACACAGTAATGTCATAATCCAGGCGCAGTCCGACAAGGAAGCATCAGGCAGACACATAAAGAGCAGATTGCGCCGCTCACTCTTCTCGCAGCACTCCCAAGAAGAAAGGTAAGCGACTGTGCCACACTGCTCAGCCACGGCACATGCACGGCTGGGGTTCGGCAGGTCGGCCCGCGCGTCTCCCTTCACGGTATGACGCTCGCTGTCCGTCGAGGCTCACACAGTAGATAAGTTGGCTGCGTCTGCTCTCTCGACACAGGCGACGACGTCTCCCAACAACTCTACCATGGTGACGAGAAAGCCTGTACCCTCGCGTAATCCCGAGCAACCCTCTTCAGCGCCCTATCCGACCTCACCTACAGCCCCCTCCGCATCAAACGGCCACGCGTCTGCCTACCAACCACCACTCGACAACGACCTTTCCCTGCAGCGCACCAGGAGCAGTTCGGCCTCATCGCACAACACTTGGAACTCTGGCTTTTCCTCAGACCATGAAGACGAGCAGGTACATGGACACGATCAGCCAAAACCCGAATCGAGTGCTATACCTGCCTCGCTGAGGGTTGGCCGACCCCACCCTTCGGAGCTGCCTCAACCCGACTTCCAATCGCACAATCCATACCACAATTTGCACAGTCAATCTCAGCCTCCGTCTCAACCTTTACCGTATCCGTCAGAAGACACCCAATCTATCTGGAGCTCATCACCCGCTCCACCGACTGCACCTCCCCCAGCGCCGCCTTCCCAACCACCTCCCTCGTTGCCTCCTGCGCCCGCCTTCGCTGCTCTATCATTAGATGATTATGGTCATAGTAATGGACATACACATGGTCTGGAGCCGCCTCCTCCAGAGATACCCCAAAAGAGCAGTAGAAGAAGCTTGGTCTCTCAAACATCCTCCAATCCCTGGCAGCAAGACCTCGACCGGGAACAGCACATACAAAATCCTTGGAATTCTACCCCAAGCCCTCAGCCCGGTGCATTGTTCCAGCCTCCTGCAGGTCCACCTCCATCTTTCGTACCACCTGCTTCACCTTCGAACTTTCAAGCTACACCTTCACCACCGCCTGCCTCTGCCCCGTCTCCCTTAGCCTTCAACGCTCCGTCTGCTGCGTCTTCAGCGCCCTCTCTGCCTCCCACGAATCAGCAGTATGATACTTCCTTGAACCAACGCCTTCCTCCTTCTGCGCCGCCCGCACCGCCCGCCCCTCGTACTCCTGCACAGTCAGAAGCCTTTCCTGTACAATCTCATAGTGTGCACCCTGTTCAGCAAGAAGAGTCCCTCATCGACTTTGGCACTGATCACGCTCCTCCACCTCCAGCACCAATTTCTGAGCCAGTCGAGCCTCCCGAGTCTGAACGCACCAACAATCTCGCCGCTCCTATAGAATCTGCCGAAGAACTGCTCAAGAAGCAAAGAAATGAGACATACCAGATCAAACAGATCAACTGGTTCGATGCTGCCGCTGGCCCTAACGGGTCCATGCGCCGCTCCCCAATACTGACTCAAAATGCTAATGGCCCTTGTCCTCTGCTCGCTCTCGTCAATGCTCTGACTTTATCCGCCCCCGAATCACCAAAGACAATCCTAGTCGACACTCTTAGCTCACGTGAGCAGATCAGTCTCGGTCTCCTGTTGGACGCTGTCTTTGAGGAGTTGGCTAGGAGGACTGAAATCTCAAAGAAGGCACTTCCGGATGTTGGTGATCTTTACTCCTTCCTCATCACCTTGCACACTGGTATGAACGTAAATCCACGCTTTGTTCTTCCTCAAAATGCTCCTCAAGGGCTACCCGGATCGTTCGATGAGACGAGAGAGATGCGCCTCTACAGCACTTTCGACGTCCCTCTTCTTCACGGCTGGGTTCCGCCTTCAAGCTCATCAGCATACGAGGCATTTGATCGTTCGGCGAAAACATTTGATGATGCACTAAACATCCAGTTTGCTCAGGCAGAGCTTGAACATAAACTAGGAACTGATGGCTTGTCAAGCGACGAGCAGCAAATGTTTGAAGATATCATCTTCATCAAGGAGTTCCTTTCTGGTTACCCAACGCAGTTGACTGAACATGGCCTTAAGCTAATGACTGATTTTCTGAGACCTGGCCAGGTAGCAATCTTATTCAGGAATGATCATTTTTCGACACTGTATAAGCAGCCGAGGACTGGCACTCTTATGAACCTTGTCACAGATGCGGGATACTCATCTCACGATGAAATCGTCTGGGAGAGCCTAGTGGACGTTAGCGGCGCCGCAGGAAGCTTCTTCTCGGGCGACTTTAGGCCCGTAGGGAACACTTCTGCAACCCAGGGTGGTGGAGATGATTGGCAGACTGTGCCTTCGAGGAACAACCGTAGCTCGCATGGTGGTGTCGGAGCTTCAGCTTCTTCGTCTGCTGCTCCGAGCACCTCGCAGTCGCACGCACCTCCAGAGCCTCGTGGACATGGATCGGAGCAGGAAGACGCTGACCTGGCTCTGGCTCTGCAACTTCAAGAGGAAGAGGAGGACAATCAGCGTCGTGCTCAAGCGGCACGACGTCAACAAGAAGACGAACTATCACGCCAGTTTCTCGAGCGTGAATCCGCATCGTCTGGTCAGAGCCCATCTTCAGAGCAACGTCCTCCTGTCCCTCCACGAAGGAGCAATATGGGCAATATCCCCAATTCCTCCTCTTCTCATAACAACCCGCCTCCTACAGCGGATGCGCCATACATCCGGGAGAGAGACGACGGCGATGATGAACCACCCACATACGAGCAAGCGGCCTCTGACAGGCCATTTCGACCGGCTGGTGCAACACGAGAACCAAGACAAGGTGATGCTCTTGGTGCTTTGACAGCCCTGCAGATGCAACAAGGCCCTTTTGCCAACCAGAGCAACGCAAGTTCTCAACCGCCTTCGATGCACCGTCGCCGCTCAAGTGCTATGAACCTTGGACGTACAAACAGCAACTCTCAGCGGCTTAGACGACAGCAGAGTCAAGGTCAAGGTCAAGGTCCTCAGGCAGCAGCAGTTGCAGCAGGACCGCAAGCAGCACCGCAATATTCTGGTTATGTTCCTCCTGGCTCGGGCGGTAGAATCTCTCAGGCCGAGAGAGAAGAGCGATGTAATGTGATGTGATTTCGTGCGATTGATCGTGGCTGGTTGGTGCCTCTCTCGACATTGGCTATGGCCTCGTACGTCGTTGGGCAGCGAACCTTTCCCTTTCCTGTTCTTAATAGTTGATATACCCATTTTCGCTTCTTACTTTGGAGCATGAACCTGTCAAGCAGTCCATATCGCCATTAATTCAAATACTTCCCCCTGTTCAGTTCTATGCCGAGGCATGTCTCCATGTCGTGATGCTTGCTCATCGCTCCAGCATTTCCGATGGTGAGCGACCAAGCGACATTTTAGTCAAAATCATCCAATTGGACTTTTTCCCGATTGTCGATTTGTCCAGGATCGGCCTCGGAAGTTGGGAATTATCGACTTCTTGCATGAAGCGTGGGAGATGACATCCACAAAAGATCAACAAGCCGCCACGCTGAAGACGATCATTTCTCGTTATTGTCGCTGATCCGAATCCCACAACTCTTGTCTTCTGGAGATGGTTCCGGCTACCGATATGTTGCAAGCCATGTACGTTGTTCGTGGAGGCTCTTCCCTCAACCCGCCGCGCCGGATAAGATTAGGGAGTAGTGTGTACATTTTTAAGCTTGTAGAGTAAGAAAGCGCCACCATCGTCAACGAACTTTCCTCAGCCGCAGCGGTTCTCCGCAGTTTGACGACGTCGTTTACTGTTGAACAGGATGTTGTAGCAGAGAGATAGAGATCATCAAACAGCGACACTATGGTAGCGAAACAGCTAACTGTTTTGATCGGTTGAGTGCGAGATAAATTCTCCGATGCAACGACGTTTCTTTGGTTCACGTCTGTGACTTGCAAAGGACGGCGTGCGAGTGACGGTGTTCTTTCTTGGTGCATGCTCTTGGGTGACGGTGTTTTGAAGATCTTGGGGTTCCTTTGACCCACTTTGGCGTCGATTTCTGAGGCTTGCAGAAAGCTACACCACTGCGGGCAGCGGGCTGCACTTTTCTCCGAAAGTCTTGTTGGTCGATTATGCGCCATTTCTTGGGGGAAGGCTTGATGGCTTTTCCCCTTGCCGGACTTGTTCTCCTACGAAAGTGTTATTGTAAACATCGTGAATTGAGAGCCTACGGCATTAGAGTCGTCAGTTCGAGTACCACTCAGTGGACGTCCTTGCACGAAGCCAATGACGTTTCACAGCCCCTAACTCCATACCAAGTTCAACCCATCGTCAACCCAAGAAACCAGGACGATTGCGGCTCACAAAGGACGATCATCAGTTACCGAGAAAGGCAGACGGATGATTCGATCATCAGGGTCGGTGGCTACAAGCGCACACCACGAATCAGGTAGGTGGTTTCTCAGATCAACTATCCCTAATAAGGCAATGCAAGGTGGGTCTGTCCTATTCGGGTTTCTGATCATCATTCTCTACCCCAGATCGACCACGCCTCTCGGTCACCCATGCACACTTGCATGCACCGCGGCTGTCGTTCGACAGCAAACCCAGCCAAGAAGACTGACCAACATGGTGAAGCTCTGAGGGACGGATATGCACCCGGTCAGCAACCATTGCGTATGTGGGATTGCACATCATCGACTGTCGATCAGTTCTCCTTCAACATTGGCGAGCTCGCGTTCCCTCGAGCGAAGTGCAACACATAAAAGGACAACCAATTCCCCCCATTATCTCCTCTCTCGTCCATCCACTCAACTACAACTTTCCATCGCTATATCCAGACTTCTTTCGTTCTTCCCACCACCAAAGCAACCTACAACACCGCAAACATGTTCACCAAGACTATCCTCGCTACTGCCTTCATGGCCCTCGCCGCCTCTGTCGCCGCTGCTCCTACTCCCGTTGCTCAGCCCGACCTCGCCAGCACCCTCGGCAACATCCTCTCTCCTGGATCCGGTAACGCCAACACTGGCAGCCTTCTCTCCCCCGGAACAGGCAACTCTGCTTTGAACGGAAACAGCGCTGAAGGCAATGGAAACGGTTCGTTCTGATCATTTTCACCTCTTTTATGACAACTTACTAACATTCTATTAGGCAACGAGGCCGGCAATGGTTCGTCCAATCCTTTCATGCAACAATTTTGACGATACAGTACTGACATGACTTTCTGAAGGCAACTCTGCAGGAAACGGTTCGTTTTTAAATCTGACCCTTCAATCATCTTCATCGTACTGACCTCTCTCAGGAAACACTGCTGGCACCAACAACGGAAACGGTTAGAAACGTCGAAAAGATGCCTCTCGAAGCAAAAAAACTAACAATCATCAAGGCAACACTGTTGATGGCAACTCCCTGATCAACCTTAGTAAGTCATTCTTCTCATCGCACCTCTCCAAACTCCAAAACGGTGATATTAATACTAAAACAGAGAACTAAAAAGGTGATCTGATCGACGTCGACCCGACTGTAAACCTCTGCAAGCAATAGATTTGCGGCGAGGATTGTACATATACCAACTTTTACGACACCAACACACACATCGGGGACAAAACGGCGCTATTTGATGACACTCTCAGCCTCTGGAACTTAAGGCTTAATGGTTTCTTTTCCTTTGTTTGATTATACCTACTACTCTATCGAACTCCTCTTGATGGCGAAAGCCTCGGGGATGTCTGTATATATTACCTCTTGTACATGAACACATTTCATCTTCAAATCTTTCTCCTCTTCTCAAACATTCGTAATAAGGGATCTATTCGCCCATATGCCAGGCTCTCACAACACACCCATCGGACCGCTTCTCAACTCAACGTTAGCAGCTATGTCTTTGAAACATCCGAATCAGCCAAAGCAGTTTATTGAGCCAAGTTTCCGAGGCAGGGGCGCATCATTTGTGGCTTTGGCTATTCACTATATCGTCACCACCACTTTGGGAGACAGAATCGCTCCATCTTTTGCTTCGAGTAAGCGTCGATGAACTACGGTTCATCACTGCGGCCACGAAGTTCAAACCCGCTTGCCGAATCAACACATGCACAAGATAGTTGTTACGGCCAAAAGGAAGATACGTATGATAGGATCTCATCGGCCCCAGTAGCGACCCTAATGTAAGAACAGGTCATGTTTTGAAGAAAGAAGGCATCGAGAGCGTATACTGTTGATGCGTTATCTGTGCACCATGCGGATGGATGGATGTTGCTCCCGTTCATGAAGGAGCCTCCCATCACTTTGTCACTTTCACTCTCAGTCGGCTTCGATGCGTAAAGTGCTACCCGTTAAAAAGAACAATGATATTGAGAAAGAGCAAGTCGTCCAACAGAGATCGATGATCTGACGCCCTCTCTTTGGACCTAGCTCTACTTTCGAAAATCATCGTGCTTTTTAACAGCAGTATCAGTGACACTTTAGCATACTGGGAGGAAGGAGCGAGCATACTGTTCATTTTGAGGACGTCCCGAGCTTTCAGTGGACAAACATCCGCGTCCCAAAATAATCTTGCATTTTGACAGCGTCAAAGTAGCCCTGCAGGGGAGAGAGGAGATCTATGAGGGTGTTGTCGACGAGAACAAAGGGGTACAGGGGTTGCGTAGCTTGACCGAACTCCATTTTCTTCGTAGCCGAGAAAAATTAGCATGTGACTTTTAGCGAGCCTAATGAATGGCAGAAGTGGGTGGTCAATGTTGGGCTGACCAAGCCAGAGCCTCATTGAAGACCTTCTCAAGTTTTGCAAGATCTACCCCGTGATAAGAAGTGTTGAAGTAGAAAGAAGTCCGACGTCGACACGACCCTTGCTGATGATTCATAGCCACGCTATACCATGCTCAAACGCCGCGTTTTCTGTACAACGGCTAGAGATCGTTATGTGTCAGCCGTCACGACCGAAGCGATTAGGAGTCGATGATTCAAAGAGTCATCGCCCATCGAAATCTAATGCACAACGTCAACAGCGCACACAACCGCCTACTCTCTGTAATATTATTTATAATATCTTCCCCGACGCCCTCGCAGGAGAAAGGCAGCAAGACTACCAGCCAGATGAAAATCGGGGACTCGCCACGCAATCAAGACAACAAGCTGGGTTGTACAAACACTAGCGACAGACCCGATTATTATAGCCATGTCTGTGGTTCTCTCTACGGGGACGCTCCCCAAGGCTATCACCTGGTTTTCATCAGCCTACACTGGCGCTCTGAGGTGTTCCGAAGACATACTATCGACAAATACGAGTGCCGGGACGTTCAAGTGTGTCGGCGACATTACCCACAACGCAGCGCATCAGACCCAGCAGAGGGTTGGCTGGATGCCTTCGACGCCATTTAGGGGCACAGCTTTTCTTCTCTGGTTCAACCTGTTTGTAATTTTCCTATGCACTTGGACAGGGACACGTCCTCGTGTACTCAAGCCTGCTAAATTCTGGTATACCCACAAGTACTACCAAGTAGCAAAGAACGTCTTGTGTCCTGGGGCATCTGTCTTCGAGGCTATCCATGAATATTGGCAAGCGCGAACCCTGATCACCGAGACAAAAGGAGCCACGGATGGTCAGATGAAACTGGTGACAGCCTTTTACCTTGGCATGCTCGGTGTCAGGTACAGAACAGGCGAGAACAGCAACCGTGTCTTGTGGCCAAAACAGTATGCTTTCATGCTCAACAAAGGGATGGTGGCTTGGGACGCCCGAAGCTCTTGGGGACTCAATGCGGCTGCAATAAACGACAAGAGTGACTCCGCAGGTATGGGCCAGGCCTTCACTTTATGCAATATTCTCTGGGCTCTGTGGATTGCTGCGCACCGATTAGGGAATCACTTGCCTCTGACACCTTTAGAGATCACCACTATAGCATACGCAATTTGTGCTATTGTGAAGTGCCCTTTCTGGTGGCACAAGCCAAAGGATGTTCTGACGTACAGTCTCATAGATCTTCCAGAGATGAAACGAGAGGATAGAGAAACATTCGAATCCCTGGTAGTGGAAGATACGTACGACATCGACGGCCCGGAAGAATGGTCCAGCCGCGATGCATATAGTTTGCTTGGCTTTGCTCGCGCTCAAAATCCAGTTCCTACAAGAGCAACCTCTGATCCACTGGAAGATGAACACGCAGCTCCCGACAGTGTGGTCGACACGAATGTCAAACCTGTGGACTCTCTTCATTCTGTTGGAGAGACCAACTCCAGCAACACACGGAGCATCGAGCAAACGCATGTCAAACCGCCGATAATAATCTTAAAGTGGGACATTGACCTTTACAGATTCTGGAGATGGCGACTGCCGATTTGTGCGCTGATGACAATATTCTCTGCTGTACATCTTGGTGTTTGGAATTACGCTTTCCCCACGACAGCTGAGAGATGGCTTTGGCAGTCATGTGTGATTCTTTCCACGGTCTCAGCATTCGTGTCGACGCTGTTTAGAGAAATAGCTCTCCGGTGGACGGGACCCATGTCGATTCTCCGGGTGGGATTCTTCTATCTTCACGTTATGTGTCGTATCATCCTTGCAGCTCTTGTGTTTGCATCTTTCAGGTCCATGCCGGTAGAAGTCTATCACGTTCACGCGGCGTGGTGATCTTCGTGTTCCAAAAATCGCCGAGACCATGGTTGACGTCCTTCGAGCAGTCGAAAAATTATATCTGTACGGCCATGAGTAGCGCCTGGAAGCGCGCTCCTGCCTGCCCATGGCCTGCATTCTGATGAGGGACGGCTAGATCCGAGTCTTGGCACCAAAGATTCCTCGTTCAGAATGGAAGTTTCGACCATCTGCTCTTTCCACAACATTGTAACGATCTCCGAGACCAGAAGCTGTATCAGTGTGATTCGGGACCTCAGGAGGAAATTGAAGGCAGTGCTTAACAGGTCACCTGGATCATGACGCAGACCGGAGTTTGGAATTGGGGCCTTGCGACCTCTGATCGGGCATGTCCGGTGTAATGCGTCGTCTCAAACATTGCGAGATCAATTGTTGCACCGAAGGCCTTGAGGAACCTCGGGAATCACACCACTGAGAGTCAATACGTCGGGCACTGCCTTTGTTTGCACCAAACCCCGAAACGGCAGAATCTCGGCATATCGCCATCGCTGCTGACACAAGGACTCATCACGGTGTATGCCTGATCGTGCATCATAATATGCTTCGGCCTTTGACAGAGTGCATTGGCTTCTTTCGGGCTATGTCCAGGTAACGGAAGAGAACGGTGAGGGCCCTTCATCCATAACAATACTATGCTATCGCAAGAACATGTGTAAAGTACATATAAGCATGGGTTGAAACACACGCTCCGGCCAATCCACACGTTTGTTCAGTTCCATACATACTTTCCTCTCGGCCCTCTTGATATATACCCAACTCGCTTCATAGTCCAACCTGGTTCTCTCAACTTACTATCAACATCATCATGCGTCCAACAGCGGCTTTGCGCAACCTTCGCAGCATCAAGTCTTCGTTCCAACATCCAACGGCCCAAAGCTTCCTCAACAGCCCTACTAGTCCATACACAGCGAAGATTCTAGCACGCAGAGTTGGATGGACTGTGGTGTGGTGAGCATTTTGAAAGTAGTTACCCTTCAGCCCACTAAGTCGTCTTAGGTACAGCACTGCCGTAACTGGAGTTCTAGGCTGGCCTTTCATTGCTTCCCTACTAGCATATGGCAAGATCGCAGTATGAGCACACAACGCTGAAGACGACCCAAGATTCGAAAAAGCAAATGGCTTCACTGCATAACGAAGCCAAGGACGCCCTTTCCCAGGCCTATGAGGAATAGATACGCGAGGCCACCATCACACATACCTTTACCGTCCTCAAGAGGAAGTAACTCAATAAGCACACGCTTTCTCAACCACATCTAGCAAATACCTACCTTCCATCTTTGCCACGCGTAATGCTGGTATTGGCTACATAATACTCATGTTCATCTGTGCCGAGCGGTAGTTTGTCATGTTTCTGACTGTTCATCTTTAGCTCAGATGCCGTCCACTCGGTCTATCGTTAAAACCGCCGTTATTTGAATCACTACTATCCGTAGGAGTATAATTCTGCGACTGCAGATCACTTCCTTTCTAGTGATCATCATGATTCCTCGCGTCGCATTGTGCCGAGCGGAGTTCTTCCCGATCATACCACCCCACAACTCCACAGATGAGTACAACTGGAGTGCGGGGATCTTCGAAAGAACCAAAAGAGGTGAAGATGATCATTCAGGATGCATAGTGTCACGAGCAGGAATTCGAATGTCTTTATCGGCTTGTTCGCTCATCCTTTGCTCTCGACTCGACATCCTCACCCTCCTTGACATCCCTTATCAACTTCACGATGGGCTTGTGGTACACATTTGGCATAGCGCTATTCGCTGCCATCGGCACATTCTTGTTCGGCTTTGACACTGGCATTGCGACGACGAGTGAGTTGCTTCGGTTCATCAATCAGCTCATAAACTGATCTTCGAACAGCGATTGCACATCAAAGCTGGATTGATTACATGAACCACCCATCAAAGGGTCTTACTGGCGCTGTAAGTATCGTTGGTAGATCTCGTACGTCCATGTATCATAAGCTGATCACGACTAGGTCGTCGCCGTTTATATTGCAGGTGAGGCACTAGGAGCCCTGACGCAAACTGCTGTGGGCGACAGGCTAGGCCGTCTCCGATTCATGCAAGCCCTTTGTGTGGTCGTAACGATCGGCACTGTCATCCAGACGGCCAGCGTCAATATTGGGATGTTTCTAGCTGGGAGAGTTCTCGCTGGCTATGCTGTTGGGTGAGTTGAAACAGTCATTTGTTCGAATGTTTGCTGACAATAGCAGTGGTCTGGTTGGAACAGTTCCAATCTACCTTTCCGAAATCTCTTCGCCAGAGCACAGAGGTCTGATTGGAGGCATCTCTGGTTGTGGTATTGCGTTCGGAACTATGGTACGCAGTAAGCATTTGTACATTGCATGCACGACGGCTGACCCTCGTGAGCTAGATGTCCAACTGGGTTGGCTTTGCTTGCAGTTACGCATCCTATGGACCTACGCAATGGAGGTTGCCATTGGGAATGCAAGTTCCTTGGGGGGTAATTCTTTTCTGTGGGCTCGCAACTTTCATGCCCGATTCACCTCGCCAACTCCTGCGTATTGGCAAGGTAGACGATGCTCGACGAGAGTTTCTCAAGATACGTCGTGATCTCGACCCTCAATCGGCATATCAGGAGTTTTCCTTGATGCGAGCCCAGATTGAGTATGAGGTTGAGAGGGAAGTCAAGTCCTACAAGGAAATCTTCAAACTATTCAGGCATCGTGCTCTTGTGTAAGTTTATGGTAGATTCTATCTTCTAGACTTCAAGCCCACTAACCATCTCAGATCAATCGCAGTACAGTAAGTCAAGCCGGGGAGACCTATGCACGATATGCATAGTGGCTCGCGTGGTTACATCTAGGACAACATGCTTCAATGCAAACACGATCCAGACTGAATCTACGACCAAGTCGAGCCCGTCCACGTCCGGAGCTCATGGGGTCGTCAACGATCGGACCTCGCAGAAAACATGCTAACAAGTCTCTCTATAGGACGATGACCAGTCTTACAGGAGTCAATGTAATACAGGTAGGCTAAGCTTGGTGTTCTCGAAAGGCATAGCTAATACTGAGCAGTATTACCAAAGTGAGCTGAACACAAAAGACACAAGGTGGCCATACTGATGAAACCAGCAATCCTATACAAATCGCTTGGTATCGACTCCAAGCAGATTTTGGCTCTAGCCGGAGTGTACGGCACCGTTGCATTCTTTTCGAACGCCATTACAACAACCTACTTGACCGATCAATGGGGTCGTCGAAAGTGAGGCGGGCTTTCCCTTTTTCGAGAGTTGCAGCTTTACTAATCTAATTCAGAATGATTCTTACTGGGCTCGGCGGTATAGTTCTGGTCGAGATATATGCTGCCGTGATGCAACGCGAATTCCAACAAACAGACAATCAGGTCGGAAAGGGGTTTGCAATTGTCGGCATCTATCTTTTCGTCGTGATTTATTGTGAGTTTATTCAGCGATGTCTCTGTAACATTTCTCTAACATGTGTGTCCAATCTAGATGGTATGCTTAATAGCACGACATGGCTCTATGGAGCGGAGGTGCTGCCGATTGCGCTTCGAAGCCGAGTCATGGGTCTCGCTGCGGCCTCGCACTTTATTGTCAATGTTGGCATTACCGAGGCAGGACCTAGTGCATTCTCTCATGTAAGTTTGCAGGGAAGGCGCACGACTTGACTGTCACAATTCGTTCCTTCCACAGTCTCCTTCAAGGACCTCTCGATCTAGGATTGTGCTGACAACCACAGATACGAGAGAATTACTATTATGTTTTCGTAGGATGCTCGCTGTTCTTCTTGATCATAGCATATCTATACTTCCCGTAAGCCCACATCTCTTCTGTTTGGGAAACCTCTACTGACACAAGACAAGCGAGACGAGACGGAAGACGTTGGAAGAAATAGCCGCTGCGTTTGGTGACAAAGTTGTGACTTTGACAGAGAGGGATATTGCTATCGAAGAAGCCATTGCAGAAGACAAGAATGTGTCAGAGCACGTGGAGGATGTTTCTGATGACAAGAGACCTTGAGAACCAGCAAATGCGCGGAAGAAACCTCGTCGAGGCCCCCACATATCGCTCATTCAAGGAGAAAGATCTTGAAGAGGGCAGCTGCCTTCCACGCTTCGTGCCTGCATTTTGGAATCTCATGATAGTAAAATGTTTGTAGAAGAATTTGTTTGGTCTACTAGTCTGTAACTCTTAGTCCAGTACATGTTCATGTCGTATGTCGCTAGACATGTCCAAAGGAATGACGTCGCTGCGTCGCTATACACTTTCATACATTCTCGGAAGACTTTTCTGCATCTTTTCCATCCGAATCATTATCCATGTGTTTGTTCTCCTCTGCCAGACAGTCCTCATCATCAGCGGCCACTTTGCTCTTCTTTCTCAGTGTGCGCCCGTACTTTAAAAATACGATTGGAGTGAAGGCGAACAAGGTCGCTACTGCAGCCAGAATGGTCGCAGCAATATTTGCACCAAGCCCTGAGAACATCTGATATGAAAACAGCGGGAACACCGCAGCGGCAATGGTGCGTGTCGTGCTTAGGGATGATACAGCTGAGGCAGCGTACTGTCCATACGAGTCAGTGCAGTAGCCGAAAAGTACGTAACTGAGATCAGCCGTGGCAAATCCGACAAAGACCAGACCTATCATCGAGACGATCCAGTGAACGTTGGTTACTCTTGGTGGTATCGTCCAGGCAAAGATCCAAAGACCAATTGCAAGAGCAGGGCATGCTAGAGCGAATGATCGGATTTTGGTCTCTGGCACTAGTCGTCGATGCTCTTTGCGAAACTTTCGGAACAGATAGTCATCGTAGAAGCGTGGCAAAATGTCGAGAAGGATACCGATGAGGATAGCAATGAATGCCAATGACGAAGAAGTTTCTGAGAAGGTGTTGTCGAAAGGAGGATTGGTGTAAGAGACTGTCAGGCCTTCTGTAAGACCATAGATAAGTCCAAAGGCGATGGCGCAAAGTGCAGAGCAGAAAAAAACAATAGGCTCTGTAGCCAGGAACTGAAGAGGTCGGAACATTGAGTCCTTGACGAATGACTTGACAGAGAATCCTTCGGAGGACGACGGCCCGTTTAGATCATCACGGCCAGTCTTTGAATGAATGGCGTCGACCTTGGTTTGCAGGAGCTGGGTGGCCTTTGTCTCCTTCATGAAGAAAGACAAGACAGTAGAAATTGCAGCTACTATGGCGGACACGTAAAAGACCACACGCCACCCATATACTTGAGTGATGTATGACGAATAGATGGGCCCCAATACAAGGCCGACGAAGCCGGAGACAGTATACCAGTATACTACCCAGATTCGGATTTGAGCAGCCCACATGTCTTCAATGCTACCGAACGCTACACAGGCGGGGACTGCGGCTGCGAGCCCTTGGAAGAAGCGACCGAAGTACACCGCGATAGATGAAGGTACAGCTGCCGTGATCACTGAGAAGATGCAGAACATGGCGGAAGCCACGATGTACAGTGTGCGTCGGCCAAATGTTTCGGATATTGGAGAGCAGACTATGCCACCAACAGTCTGTCCGAGCAAGTACATCGTGACAAAAGCAAAGACACCGAGTGTTCTGCTCATGTCATATTCCATGCGAGCAGAATTAGATGCTGCAGTCTTGAGTTTGATTAGACTAGCTGTCATGGTGCAAAAGGGTAGGATAAAACTTACTCCCGCTGAACTTATACCAGTCATGTATAGTTCGACCCAACAGATGACGACAGTCGTGTAACATTTTGCGAAAAGGCTCCAATTCCTGGGGTGATCTTTGCTGTCATCGTTCCAGCATACTGTGTTTCCATCCTCAAGGTGACAACCATGTTGCTCAAGCAAGTTGTCGGTACTCTCCCGCGTTCTAGAAGGGGAGTTGAGTGAAGTCATGGCGGAGCCTGTCTCTAGTAATACGAAAGGAAAGGGTCGAGAAATTCAACTCGATAGCGAAGACCCGGTTGACATCGTACTTGCTGATGACCTAGAAAATTTGCCTGGAATGCTCAAGGACTGCTTTGCTTGTTAATAGTAGACCTGAGACAATCAGACATGAATCATCACTTGAACGCGTCATTGTGGCCACTCGCACTCGACCTCTATACGACAAGAACGAAGGGATCAAGAGATCAAAGAACTGTTTATGATTCTTGGTTAAAGTCAAGCGTTGAACGTTTTCGGAACTGTGGAATTCTAACCATTTGGCACTTCGATGACGCCGAAGTATTCTCCGCCCCAGATCGACTTTCCTGGGTGACAGATCAATCTGAGACATGATCGCCCTATGGGGTAAGATCTAAATTCCACGACGAAGCATTCCTCCGCGGGAGGTACCACATCCGAATCGTGCTCAATCACTGATTTTGTATTGGATTGGCTTGAACGACCCGCCATTGGACTGCAGCGCGGAACACGCAGTCAGTGCGACGATCAGGTCCATTTCTGCCACGAATTCGATGCTGTCTCCCGCCTTCGTGATGGGCGGCAGGACCTTGAGCTCGCCTGAATTCGAATCTACTGTGACGTTCATGAAACAGTTGAAGGCGCACGGTATGCGGTCGGATGAGATGCCGAAGGGTTCGATGGCACCGGCTATGTTACCAAAGCAACCTTGGTGCGGCTCTTTGTCGCCATAGATGATGCGAAAGGTGTCTTTCGAGCAAGGCGTCAACAAGAAATCGTGTTTGCCTGGAGAGTTGTCGGCTACGATTTTGAGCATGACATTGCTGCGATTGGAGTAGAGCGGGTCTCCAGTAGTAAGGTATATTCTGCTTGCGTAGTCGAGCGTTCTGCCGTTGCTGATGACCTCCTCGGGGTCATGACGGTTGAAGGCTACAAGGTCGGAGACCTGGACGCCCTTTGGATCAATGACGGTCAAGCGCTGTCCCTTGTTCAGTGTAAAGGCGGTGCCTGTGCGAGGAGTGATTTCGATCTTGTCGGTCATGGTGTGGTCGTTGTTGTGGAATCTGACGGTGCGGAGTTGCTGGTGTGCAGTTCGAGACTTGTGCTTTGGAAAAGAGCAGACGGTGCATCGTGCCAGTAATATCAAGTATTGATGTCAACGTTGCGATGCGACAGACCCTAGACACGTCATTGGCCGTTGCGTCGACGTGCCTGAGATCTAAACATGGGGTGTGGGGTGCATGGCGTGCGAGTTTGTGCGACGAAATGGTTGGTTCGGCATCTCGGTTGCACTTGAGCCTCATAGTCTAACCCCGCCTAACCCCCAAGCGTCAATTCCGTTACGTTTGTTAAAGCCTCGTGAGTATTTAGCCACGCTGGATATGGAATTGCATGGCATTCATGACATCAAGATCTTTGTTTGCGTGTACCAAAGAATGACATCCATAACGATGCACCTGCACTCGTCATGAATACGTTTGGTTGTATTCAAGACTTGATAAGTGACTTGTGTGCTGCCAGTGCCCCTGTCACAAGGCCATTCTCAACATGCAGCTTGCTCTCAGTATTATCTTCTTCTTTGTCGGCTTCGGCGTGGCCACGATCGTCGCTTTGAGGCCTTACAAAGCACGGAAAGACATTGAAGCTTTCACATCTCAACTTCGCCATGTCACCAATGGGATGAAGGGAAGCGGCCCTCAAGCTGGGGACCTCGACCAACAAGAAACCAATGAGCAGATCATCCAAAAAGGTTCTGAGAATCTCTTGACGAAGTACGACCGTTCAAACACGAGAGTGTATGGCAAGTGATCTGACAGGGTGTTAGGGAGCAACTCGAGGAGAAATTCGACATGGACGCTTGGCAGCGCTTGGTGTATGAGGAGTTCAAGACCACAATCCTTGCCAAAGGCAGTGGACTCAAGACGTTCCCTTGCGTATATGCGACAATGGGCTACCGAGCAGGAGACCATCGCTACGTGTTTTTGGAATCAGACGACCCGTCAGAGCCCAGAAATGTACGAATCATCGCGCCTGCCCTAAGGGCTTACCTGCAGGTCTCGAAATCGCTCGGGCCAAACACCAGTCTAGTCATCATGGGCGCGCCTACCGAAGGCTCATTAAAGACTGTCGAGCAATACAACAACGAGTTCTTCGATATGTTGCGTGGACTGAGAATTTGGGACTCAAAACCCTGGCCAAAAGACGTGCCTCAGGATACGTTGAATGAGAAGTGGACATTCTGCTTTGACGGAATACCTCTTTTCCCAGTCGCCTTAACGCCTGCACACCAACGAAGGTGGTCCAGGCATGCTCCTGTCCCTTTGGTCGCATTACAGCCAAAATGGGTGCTTGACAACCTCATGAGCACCCCGGAGAAACGCAAGTCCGCGACAGGAAAAGTCAGGAAGTTGCTCGCGGATTACGACCAGATCGACATCAGTCCTGACTTGACACAATACGGCGAAGTAGGGACAAGTGAGGTCCATCAACTGTGTCTCAAGGACGAGAACGAGACAATGGACTGCCCATTTGACGACTTTGACAAGGGAGGAGCAAGATCGTCATCTTCGTCGCGGCGATCATCACTCGAAGAGAAGACAGTATAGCATAAGACTTCGTCTGTTCCATCCTTACCTAACCTTATCTCTTTTGTCCCATGGTCTGTCTTAGACATGAATGAGTGATTGCGCACTTGTCGAGGGCATCCCTCATCTCATTGTTGGGAGCGAATGTGAATCTTGCTGTGCTGACAAAAATCAGGCCTGACTGATGCGTGGGATATTCTTGTCGTATTCTTGTCGAGTTTCCCTTCCTTTGACCGAAAAAGGGGCCTACGTGGATGTTCGTAAGGATGCTGCTCTCGGTGGACATTGCTCTGATGCTGGAAGATCTATTGTATTCCAATGCCCGTCCAAGCTCTTGCTCATCTTGTGAAACATCTTTGTGGTGCAAGCGTGCGCGTTCTGCACATGAGGGTGTGCTTGCCGTGGTGCTTGAGCATGGCTCCAGTGTGTGGCGGAAGCGCCAGGATACGGACCTCAACAGTGAGCTGCGACAGACTCATGTGGAATCAAAGTCAGCAATGCGAAACCACTGCTCTTGCCCTGCAGGCCACCACATGTCTTTCAGTAGTAAGAAGTCTCTGACAATTCAAGAGGTCAGGGTTTTGCTGATATAAGGCGATCGTTTGCTCGGAAAACAGGCTCGTCGAGGTGCGTAGGTGTACAGAGAAGCTGGTCCGGTCGCGTTGAGAGACTTGCCCAGCTCAGCTGAGAAGGCCCGTGCCCCAACCACGAATTCCGCGCTGTCTCGACACTTGCGATCCTTGGAGGTTGGAGGCCTGCACGCAGTACAATACGGACTCCTCTTGAGCACTCCACGAACTGGCCACTCTTCCTCATGCGCAAGTGTAATCATCATCTGAAGCCTGATTCACGATGGGCCAAAACTCGTGTGCACGAGGGACAAGAAAAATCGCGATGAATCGGGCTAGCTTCGTATCTCTCGCAGTTCTCGCGAGTGTCGCGCTTCTCGCATCTATTCGCCTCCTCGCTTCAAACAGCTTTTTGGTCATGCAACCAGTCTGTCACTTGTCCGTCAGATTTCCGTTCAACTTTGTCAATGCCATTGACAAGCCGTGCCACTTCTCCAATGGGTTTGGAGATTATGGCCGCCCTCTACATTCCGAATGCCAAACAACCTCGACGTCATGAGAGCATCGCCACTGGTCTGACTTCAATTTCCTTTTTTTTTTCCCTACACCCTCTGTCAAGGCTTCATCTTTGCCCTAGGCATGTGTAGCATGGTTCCAGGATCTTTTCCCCAGTCTTACTTATGTCTGATACAACAAAAGTGCAGCCATGCATCTTGTTGGCCACCAGACTGGTCCTGTGCTTCTGCTGTTGAAGCCTTGGTCCTGAAACAACGTGAAACATAGGTCATACCAGCAGAAGCATCTTCCATCAACCGGAAGCGTGGCCGAGTGGTTATGGCGCCAGATTCAAGCGATCAAAAGCTTCTCTATCAAATGAGTCTCCTGGTAACGTAAGTTGCGTGGGTTCGAATCCCGCCGCTTTCAATATTTCTTTTGCTCTTTTTGTGCTTCTTGCGATCGGAGAAGTAGCTGTTGTTGAGGGAATGGATCAGGGAGTCAGGGGAACGATGCCCTGGTATAACTTGGATGTATGGGCTGAGAAATCGCACCGGAACCGAACTCTCAGCCTGACAAGGCGCCTTGAAGAATAGCAGTCAAAAGGCACAATCAATCTAATCTTGATGTAGCTGTCCAAAGAGATCAAGAAGAGACACCGCTCCCAGTGGCCATGTCACACTCGACATCTGACACCTATGGCGCTGATGTTTCAGCCCTTGCTCTCAGCATCAGGGATGAGCATTTTGCCCTCAAGGACGACGGATGCGACGCCGATAACACTGCACGTGTAATTCTGAATGTTGTTTGAGACGGCTCGAGGCAGAGCTCGAAGATCTGAACTCACCGTCATGACCAAGATTTCCTGGCTGTTCAGTAGTGGCACGACTTTGAAAAGAGCAAACGATATGCTTCAATTTGAAGACACACGGCCGGCATCGATTCCACTGAAACATACGGACTAGTGACAAGACGATCTTACCATTGCAAGCCAATACTCAAGTGTGGCAGCGGTAGTTGAGTACTATCGAGTCCCTCACGCTCTCAAGGAATGTACCTTGCGGAAGCTTCCCCTTCTTCGTCCCTGCTTCCTCTCAAAACGCCCCAAGAAATGTCCAATCCACCTTTGAATTCCAATTTCGGACATCACGAGGCTATTGAAGGACTTCGCTACATGTTTCCCGACTCGACATCTCTTTGTGCTGATTTACCTTGGCTCCTTCCCCAAGAAATGGGCGCTGAGAACGAACAAAGACAATTCGGATCACTCCTTGCTTCCCGACCTTGATGCTCGACCGAAGCCTTAGACATGTCTTTGTTCAAGTCCAATCATCCCGGTCTCCTTGCCGCCATGTCGGCGCCGAGTTCCAAGTCCGGTCATTTCGGCATGCCGACTTTGTTCCTCAGGATTCGAGAAGGTTATCAAAGAACTACCGGGAGTAGCTGACTTAAACACAGGCCCCGGCACAAGGAGCACTGTCAACTCGCTGTCTCAACACTCGCTTGCTGTCATTACACAAGATGCAGCTCAAGAACGCTGTCGCCGCACTGGCTTTTGCCAGCATTGGTGGGGTCAATGCTTTCTTCCGTGTCAACTGTGCAAAGATTCAAGTCGGCCGTATTGATCCTATTGTCAACCCAGGAGCATTGGCAGCTCATTGTCATTCTATAGTCGGCGGGTCGAGTGAGTAAACTGTCCTGGAGTTGCCCCAACTTTGGCATGGCTAACTGATTGGTACAGACATCGGCGTTAATGCAACCTTCGATAGTCTCTACAACTCAGAGTGCACCTCTTGCGAGGTATCAGAAGACAAATCTGCTTACTGGACACCAAATCTCTACTATCAACATGCTAATGGCTCTTTTGAGGAGGTTCCTCATGATGGAAGTGTCATCTACTACCTAGCTCGTGGTCAGAATGCCAACGACATTGTCTCTTTCCCCAAAGGATTCCAGATGCTGTCAGGTAACAAGGCACTAAGAGCCGCCAATCAATCGGGCATGACTTGGGGAAGTTCCAAGTACCGTAACAGACCTATCTCCGATGCCGTCAGCTACGCCTGTTTGTCAGCCAAGGGTGGTCCGGAGACGCCCAACTTACCCGCTGACCCTCGTGTGTGCATCAACGGTCTGCGTGCACAGATTCACTTCCAGACATGCTGGAATGGACGAGACTTGTACAAGGCCGACAACAGCCATGTGGCACATATGACACAGATTGACAACGGTGTCTGTCCTCCTGGATACCCCTACCAATTCCCGCATCTGTTCTTAGAGACCAACTACGCAGTAACCAAGGTCTCCAACCTGAATGACGGCGGTCGCTTCGTCTTCTCACAAGGTGATCCCACAGGATATGGCTTCCACGGCGATTTCCAGAACGGCTGGAATGACGACGTACTCAAGGACGCTATAGCTACCTGCCTTGTCGATGGACAAGACGATTCTGGTACCATTGATGACTGTCCAGCGCTCCTCAAGCACTGGAACCCTCAATTCTCCCAGAACTGCCCTATCCGACCACCTCAAATCAACGAACGGGCCACTGGCATGATTGACAAGCTTCCTGGATGCATTCGTGTTACGGATGGACCAGGTGCTGCTACAGCGGCCGACATGGAGTGCCCTGCTAGCGTGCCTCAAGCCAGTATCAGCAGAACTGTCGATTCGACCCCAAGACCCACCTTCAACCCCAGTATTGGTACTGAGTTTGGTAACAAGTTCAACAAAGTCGTGGGCTGCGGAAACGACTCCTACGTCAACAACGGATTCAGAACTTTGAATGCACTGTCCACGACACTGACCGGAATGACTGTAGAGTACTGTCAAACTTACTGCACCAAGCGTGGCTACCAATACTCTGGTTTGGAAAATGGAAATCAGTGTTACTGTGATCTTGCTATCAACCCGACGGCCATCATTGCAAACCAGGCGAACTTTACCAAGGGCTGCAACATTTTCTGCCCTGGTAATCGTAGCGAAATTTGCGGTGGTGCCTTTTACATGAGTCTGTACAACAACACTGATCCTACCTTCAAGCCCACAACCGACTTGACCAAGTCTGTCATTCAGCTCACCGTCCCCGTTGCTCCATTCAACAAGACTTACGTAGGTTGTGCAACCGAAGGTAGCGGTGGTCGCGCATTGAACAGCAGCACGTTGATCAATACCAACATGACACTCGCCCAATGTGCCGCTCTCGCCGAGACCAAGAACACTGCCTTCTATGGTCTCGAGAACTTCAACGAGTGCTATGTCGGCAATGGTCTCGCTTCCGGAGCCAAGATTGTAGACACAGCGACCGATATCAGTCTGAGCAAGTGCCGTTACCGCTGCGTTGGCAACTTCTCGCAAGTCTGTGGTGGCTCTGGCGCGTTGAGCGTCTACAGCAATCCTGCATACAAGCCGGTACAGATTGTTCCTAACGTGGGCAAGTATAACAGCAAGGGCTGTGTGCAAGAACCCACTACCGGTGGAAGAGCCCTCAAGGGCGGCAGTACCACTGCCACCGACATGACCGTCGAGAAGTGTATCAAGTATTGCTTGGGCAAGAACTTCAGATTTGCTGGGTAAGTGTTCTCTTGATACCTTGTCCCTCTCTTTTTGACCTCATACTAACAGGACTGCAGTATTGAATATGGCTCACAATGCTACTGTGGCTCTCAAGTGGAAACAGGAGCCACGACAATCAAATGCGACACCTCAAAGCTCATGCTATGTCCCGGCAATAAGTACCAGTTCTGTGGTGCGGGCAATCTGCTCAACCTTTACTATGCTTCGGCACTTTAAGCTGGTTAACAGCATGCTATGATTTGATGATATCTCGTTTCTCGTTTCTTTGGTCTTTTTTGCTGGGGGAGTCCTCGATGTCGGTGAGCTTTACATAGACAAGCAGCACGGCGCAGATTTTGGAAAAGAGGTGTGTCTTTTTTCTTTTGTTACTGCTAGATGACCTTAGCGTGCTTTCATAATCTTATCCGAATGCACATTTTTACACATCTTAGTGTTGAGCCGAGTTGTCTTCTAGGAAGCTGTTGCCGTCAAATGCTCCATCTGAAATGATGTTAAACGATTTCCAAGTTGTTCGTGACGCAGTCCGACAAGCTTGACTTCCTTCTCTTTACCGGAGCCTTGCTCTTGACAAGGGTGTTCTGTGCTTCGACATCTATGAGCAGACATAAGGAGTTATTGCAACCATTCACCAATGTGTAAGCGGGCCAATGCCCCATCTCTGGTGGAGACAACTTTCAGGCTTACATCGAATAATGTCTATGGGTATGGTACACACTCAGGTCAACATGTTCAAAATTGTCGAGATGATATGTATTTGACCAGGGTCACCCCCAAAACAAAACTCTGCTGACGAGTCAGCCAGACGGAGACACGAGACATGTTGAAGAAGACACAATAAATGGAAGAAACAAAAAACTAGAAGGATTTCGAGCGTTTTCATACAGGTCGTAAAATCGTGAATAGGAGATAATGCATACCAATTCGAAGAAGTCCCATTATCGAAAATTCCTCAATAATGCCGCGAGAAATACGAATCATCCTTTTTCTTATCAGACCTCGGCCTAGGTCCCTTGGAGTCACTGCGGCGTTGAGGAGGATTTGCTGGACCCATGACCAAAACGCCCGCCTTGTTCAGCACTGACTCTGTAATCTTCAAAGGCCATATGAATAGTGACCAGGCAAACTCCAAGGGAACTGCGAGGGTCTTTGCTAGGGTGGATAACATTGTAGCAATAATTCCAGGCTTACTCGACGACTGAGCAGCAACAGCGGCTAAGCTCAGAGCATCCTGTAAGCGATTTTCCAAGGACTGCAATCTTTGTTCGGTAAGCAAAGTCAGAGTCGTGGCTCGCTTCTCATATCTCCTGACAGCGCGCTCCAATGCCTCAAGACGAGGTTCGTAACGCTTCCTAATGTCGCTTGAGAGAGCGGTGACTTCATCCTTTTGAACAATCGAAACACCGGGAGATGACAGCTGGTCGCCGAACTTGTCTTCAAGGAGGACCAAGCGTGAAGCGAGATCTGTGATGGCCTTGTCCTTTTTACTAAGTGCAGCAGGGTCGAGACCGCCGCGAACGACACGTTGTAGATGAATAGTACGATTGGTGAAGAGTCGAATCAGTTGTCTGACGGGACGTATCTCCGCAGCCAAGAGAAAGATAGTCAAGTTGTAGTCTGACACCAAACCTTCCGAGGGACGCGAGAGCTGGCCACGAATGACATGGAGCAGGTAGGCGGCCAATGCAGGGAACAGGAAGGTGGAGACCAAAGCGAGAAGCTCGTGTTGACGGAGGTTGGCAGCGGCATCTTCCTGCTCTTCACTGATGTGTGGATTGTCGGGTGAGCGGCGTTGTTGATCATGTTCGTCCAAGTCTTGTGGTAGCAATGAAGGGCTGTTTAGCTGGTCGAGCGAGACTTGAGCTTGGGCTGAGCGGTACCAATCCCTGGTCCTGTCAGCATAAGAAACGAGGCGGGAAGGAGCGGACCGACCATGGCAATCTGACACTCCAATTGAGAAACAGAGCAGCCAGACCGAGCAGACAGATGTCTGTGACGAAAGCACTTCCATTGGTGAAGAAGAGGCCAGCCAGGGCGGGCAGGACGGCGAAAGCAAGCGGCGAGCTGTGCCAGTGGGATGGATCCTCGAGGATAATGGTATTGTCATCGTCGAGGCCTAGGCTGGGTCGAATAAAGTCGCCCGCTGTGTGTCGCGTGTCATCCAAGCTCGAGAAGGAAAGCAGCGAGGAGCGCCGACGGGGGAGCAATGGCTCGACGGGCGAAGCTCCATCGGAGACCGAAGGAGTCGTCTTGGTCGACAAACGGCTACGCACTGTCAAGGATGGAGGCAGAGGTAGAGCCGATGACGAAGTGCCGGCGACGTCTGCATGTGGAGCTTCTTCAGGCGAAGGAGGAGCTGACGCCTTTGTTGGTTTGGTCATGATGGCAGTTGGTCGAAGACTGCGAGGAAGGAGCCTGGGTTCATGCTATGCACGCGAGAGCCTCGTCTTGCAATCGTCACTCAGTTACATGCCGTGAGCGTTGCGTGTGCGTGTCCCTTCCTAGCCAGTAGCTAGTCGCTAGGGAGCTCTTGCCTGGTCTTCTTTTTGCCTTTGACCCACCCCCTCGGCTCGCATCTTGCGCCCGAGACTGATCGTCCCGCCGTGCCTGCAGATGCGGGGATCCACATCAATCGAACCATCTCTCCTTTCTCTGCTCTTGTGCTCGCTGACAAGCTCGATTCTCAGCACCCGGTTGTACCTATGCGTTGGCCGAAGTATGACGCTTCGCTATCATGCTGCTTCGTAGCACGTCTGTCTGCCGCAGTGCGGTCGACATGTTTGCCAAAGTACATCAAATCCGCGTACCTACCCCTGCACCACGCCAAAACTTTGTCCTCAATCGTCGAGCATGCAAAGTCCGTCAAGCAGCAACGCAGACGTGACAATATTCCATCTCTGATCAAGACACTCTGCTGAATTGTATCATCATGCTTTCTACCCTTGATGCTTCCTTCAGATGTCTTTCCCGTCCTCAGCCTTGTCCCGGCACATTTCTCCACCACCAATATCGAAACAAAGCCCCTAATCCCCTTTCAGTATCCTTCTCGAAGCTCAACCCTGACTTCTCACCCATTTCATAAACATCTCACACCCGTCTCTACAAAATCTCTGCCGTTGCTGCTTCTTACTCAGTGTCTAGCCATGTGCTCGTAACGTCTACTAGTTCCATCTGATGAATGACGCCTCGCCCGTTTTTCTCCCAACTGCCGTCTCGAATATATATCACCACCTGCGCCCAGACCCGATGCTTTGGATCTCTCCCTATCGACATCCCAGCCTGTTTACAGCAATGGTGCACACCAGACCGTGATTTTGCAATATGCTTTCGTTCGAAACTTTTCTTCAACTTTTCCTTTTGACCACTATCGCTGCTGTCATTGCAGATGCCACTCCCTCCAATTCGAGGCCGTCTGCCTCAGATAACAGCTTAGATGCTCGCTCAGCTACTGATGTTGATGGTACCTTTGATGGCTGCCATTACCAAGTTGAAGGCGCCGGAGCCTTCAGCAACCATTTCTCGTTCGATTTTACCACTATGGATACACTCCCGGACGAGTTTATCGCTAGCACATATGAAGTTGGCTCTGGACCTTATGCTCCTTATGCGCACATCTTCAATCCTGATAACATCGTTCTTGGAACCGGTCAGCCCATGCAGATGATTGTCCCTGGTGGCCAGACTGCAGATCCTTTGGATACATGTCAACTGGTTACCAGATACGACGACATACTTTACGCCAGCGTACGAACTGTCGCCCAAGTCAGCCCTGTCAACGGAACTGTTCATGGTATGTCCTCAGTCTCTAATCCTTTGAGAAGCACGTCATGCTCATTCCCGTAACAGGCTTCTTCATGTACATGAACGACACGCAGGAAACAGATATTGAGATTCGAACAGGAGATCCTGGTCATGTGCATTTTACCAACCAACAAACACACCCGGGCAACGGAGAGACGACCTATGCTGTTGCTGCCCCAAGCACCATGACCTCTGCCTTCCACGAGTATCGTTATGATTGGCTCTCCACCGGCACAAACTTCTACATCGACGGTGTCTTGACTTTGACTATTACCCGGAACAATCCGTCAAGTCCTGGATGGTTGATGTGGAATTCGTGGTCAAACGGTTATGCATGGACGTATGGACCTCCCCTTCAAGATAACATACTCTTGATCCGGTCTGTCGAAGCCTATTTCAACCGGTCGAGCGTCGATACGTCCAACTGCGAACCGAGTGCAGCAACAAGTATAAGAGCTACATCTACTAGCGCTGGCGCTCGTGTCACGACCAATGCAGCCGCAGTAAGCAGTCGTCCTACTTCTGCTGCTGACATTGAGACCACCAAAACCGACGCTGGTACGTCTTCCATCACATCCACCCTCGAATCTCAGACAACTATCCCAACTGCCTCCACGACGAATGAAGTGGAGGTACCCGAGTCCACCACTCTTGCTGTTACAAATACCAACACATCACAGACTACGATTACTACTGGGATTGCACCTGATGCGACAGACACCGTCTCACCGGAGACATCGTCTGCGAGCCCAACCCCGACCGTTTATGCCGACGGCTCAACTCCAGTGATATCTGGAGTCGCTTTCACAGTGGAAACCGACACCCTCTACTCTGGCACCCTGCTTAGTCTTCCAGCAAAGAGAGCGGCCGCAACAGTAGACAACTGCCTACAAACTTGTGCAGCCAACCCGGCTTGTGTAGGCACAGTCTTCTACGGTGACTCCTACACATGCTCGTACTACAGCTCCTTTGACAAAAACAGCAAGACCACCGACATAGGCAGCACATTCGCCGCTGTCCAAGACCGAGAAGAGAGCTCTTCTGGCACTTCCGTGACACCGACGAGCACCGTCGATATGGGTAGCGCGACTGATATTGCAGAAGTCACATCTGTTTCTTCCATCACTAGCTCGCAAGAGGCTTCTGAGCCCGCAGCCGCTACATCTACGACAACACTCCTTTCAATCAACACCACCTCTTCCACACCCACCATCTCTTCAACACCTACGCCTTCAACAACACTGACCTGCCCGCTCTCAAATCAAACTGCCTACACCGACCCCGCGTCCAACAAAACCTTTGTGGTCGAATGTGGAATCGACCACTCGGGCGGCGATATATCCATGGTCTACGTATCCGACTTGGCAGGTTGCATCGCTGCTTGCGCTAAGCTCAGCAATTGTGTTGATGTGTCGTTGTCAGGGAGTGCATGTTATCTAAAAGGGACTTTGGGTGGAGTTGTAGATAATGAGGGTCTTCTGGGGGCGAGGTTGGTGACTGAGAGTAGTACAAGCAGTACAGGAGGAGTGAGCAGCACAAGCAGTATGGCAGCGAGCAGTACGAGTACCAGCATCGCCGCTGTGTACACGAGGCCCTCATTCCAACAACTGCTTCAGTTGCATATTGATGCGAGACTGGTGGTGCCGAGCAGTTTATAGCCCTTCTACTAGACAATCATCACGGCGGGCTGGCACTCGCCCAGCTTGATTGTAAATACAAAAGACCTGGCGTCTATAATTGTCATCAACGAGACACGAACACATGTTGAAGAAAGAAAAAGATCAAGACCGTTTTGAATTGCAAACTCCCCTATAATGCCTGCGCTGCTTTGGATGTAAAAGCTCCCGTTCGTGTGTCCCCGTTAGAATACAGAAAATGTCAAAAGTCATTGCTCCGGTGGAGGTTGTGGAAAAAGGATATCTATGAGTCCACCTCCATTTTCTCTCCAGCCTGACCAGCATCGTTGTCGCTCAACTCATGGACTGTGACGTATTTGCTGATGTCTTGACGGGTAATGATCTTCTCGTTAAGAACGGCGGTTGTGCCTCTCTGGAACTTGTAGTTCCTCATCTTCTGCTCGCGCTTGTTGGGGGTGATGTAGTTTCTCATGAGCGTCGTCTTCTCGGCGGTAATGACACAGACATCGACGTTGGAACCAGAACCCAGATCGTTCCAGATACCGGCCTGGATGGCGTCTGCGCAGAGCTTGACAGCGTCATCCTTGCTGAGGCCTGACTTCCATTGGGTCTCGAATACGGACATGGCGGCCAGCGAACCCGAACCCATGGTGACGTAGGGGAGCTTGTCGGTACTGCCGTGAGCGTGGACGGTGAAGAGATGGCTGCCTGTGGGGTCGACGCCGGCTACGACGAGGTAGGCACCGATGTGACCTTGGTAGCGGAACAGATGTTGCTTGAGCATGGTCATGACAGTGGCGACGCGAGGCTTGCGGCCGGTGGAGAGGGCGTGTAGTTCGATGTTGGATGAGATGAGGGCGGTGGTGAACTCGGTGTCGGCAGCGGTACCAGCGCCGGCGCACCAGATCTGGGGGGCGATGTAATGCAGCTTCTCGCAGTTCTAGGGGAAGGAGAGTCAGTATGAGTGCATGTGTATGACAGCAGCAGCATGACTGACCTTGTCGGCGACTATGGGACCGCTGGTTGCTCTTGTGTCTGCGGCGATGACGACGCCGCCATCGTAGAGACAGCCGACAATGGTGGTTCCGGTACTGGTGGCCTTGGGCAGCGGCACACCTTGAGCGTGCAGGGCGAGGTTGCGGTTGTGCAGTGAGAAGTCGAACCCAGGCATCTTGACGGTGTGTGTATCGAGGTAGGAGGTAGGAGGTGATGATTAGCTGATTGGTGATGATCGATGGTCGCTGCTGCTGCCGCTGCTGCACTCTGGAGAGCTTCCCACGACTGGTCCGAGCTCAACTCTCTCCGCCGCTCTTTCTCCGTCGCGCGTCAATCTTGCTTCTTGCCATCTTCATACAATCACGACAATCACTGTTCTCGACCCTCCCATACTACACGACCGCCTTCGTCTTGCATCAAACACCTACGCGACTCCCCATACTGAATACCGCAATCATGGCCGACGTCGACACCCCTCCAGTGCAGGAGGCCACTGCCACGGATCAAAATCCCCTCGCAAACATGGAAGTCACAGATGCACAAGCCCTGGTACCCACAAATCCGGATGCCGCTGCCCTGGAACCGAAGAAGAAGACCAAGAAGATCATGGTCAAGAAGAAGAGGAGGCCCGCCAGAGTACAACAGGAAGGCTTCCAATCAGAGAGGCCTGCTCAAACCGGCACAATCTTCAACATCTGGTACAACAAATGGTCTGGTGGTGATCGCGAAGATGCATACTCCTCCAAGCAACAAGCAAAGGGCAGATGTAACGTCGCCCTCGACTCTGGATATACTCAAGCCGACAGCATCGCCGGCAGCTATTTCTGTCTATTCTTCGCCCGCGGTCTCTGCCCCAAAGGTCAAGATTGCGAATATCTCCACCGTCTGCCAAACTCGCGCGTAGAGAAAGAGGGCGGGCTAGGCGACATCTTCCCCTCCAACGTCGATTGCTTTGGAAGAGACAAGTTCAGCGACTACAGAGACGACATGGGTGGTGTCGGAAGTTTCATGCGCGTCAACAGAACTCTATACGTAGGCAGGATTCACACGTCCGACGATATTGAGGAAGTTGTCGCCAGACACTTCCAAGAGTGGGGTCAGATTGAGCGCGTCCGTGTACTGCCAGCACGAGGTGTAGCATTCGTGACGTACGTCCACTTGGCCAATGCCGTAAGTCACACACCTTCGACTCAAACATATGAGCGCGAACTAACATTTGTACAGGAATTCGCAAAGGAGGCCATGGCGCATCAGCCGCTAGACAACAACGAGACGCTGAACGTACGATGGGCAACAGTCGACCCCAACCCGCAAGCACAAAAACGAGAAGTCCGAAAGATCGAGGAACAAGCAGCCGATGCCATTCGCCGTGCGCTGCCAGCAGAATATGTCGCCGAGATCGAAGGACGTGGTGAAGGCTGGGAGGAGGCAAGAAAGAGAAGAAAGGTCGAGGGGACTTTCGGATTGGCAGGGTATGAAGCCAGCGACGAAGTATGGTATGCATCGGAGAAGGCCAGACTTGGAGCACCGCAGGAGGCGTATCTGCTCGAAGCTGGCGACCTACAAGACGAGGACGAAGAGGGTGCACCGCTTCGAATCGAGGACATGAAAAGACAAGATGCACCCTCTGGAATCCTTGGAGGAACAACATTGAGCGCATTGAAAGGCTTCACAGCGGGCTCAGGAGGAGCAGCAAGCAAGGCCGCCGACAAGCCTGCAGGGCCTTTGGTTGGTTATGGAAGTGACGATGACAGCGATTGAGATGCAGAATTCAAAACTACAAGGAGCCTCTGGGCGTATTAGCACCAGAATGCATGATCTAACCACATCCTAATGCTTGAAGCGCGTGTCTGAGTCGCTGAGAATTGAATGCATTGCACTCTGATCGAGAGGACGGGGATAAGATAGTCGTCCTTTTAAACACCGGGGGCCAATCGGCGCGGCTTCCCCACAAATTGCGATCTGAAAAAGTACGAGAAAGTTTGAGAGAGCCGGGCGTTGTGCCAATTATTTTCCAATTTTCTCAGTCGCAAAACACATCACATATCAAAATGGCACCGAGTCGTCGTATGCAAAAGCAGGGTGTTCCCGGACCCCTGGATGAATCCCTGGTTTCAAGAAAGAGAAAGGACGCCCCCCCGCCGCCCGAGGTCACATATAAGAAACGCAGAACCGATCCTAACAAGCCAAAGAACTCGGCGGCAAAGAAGTCCACCAAGGGCCAATTCGCAACAAACGGAAAGACACCCAAGACTGCAGGAAAGAAGGCACAGCAATTGGTCGAGTCGGACGATGAACATGTCAGCGACGCTTCAGATGCCGCCGACGATTTGGGCGTGCTCGAGTCGGACGACGAGCCTGCCGAGGACGACGATTTCATGGACTCCGACGACCCCGACGTGCAGCGCGCCATGTGGTCCGAAGACGAGGATGCCTCAGACGCCGAAGAGATTCTGAACGCCGCCAACATTGCCGGCCTGTCAGGTCGCCTCGACGAAGAAGCTGCCCAAGAGGCTGCCGATGCCCAAGCCGAACTGGAGGACGATGCCATGCAGACCAACATTGCTGCCGCCGACATTCCCGACGATGAAGACGACGATGAGGCCGCTGTCCGAAAAGCCACCCTCGCCCCCGATCTCCAGCTGCTCCGTACCCGTATCACAGAGACCACCCGTGTCCTCACCAGCTTCAAGGAGCTCTCCGACCCCTCGCGCTCTCGTGCCGACTACATCAACTCCCTTCTCAACGACATCTGCGCCTACTACGGCTACTCGCGCTTCTTGGCCGAGAAGCTCTGGAGACTTTTCACTCCCCAGGAGGCTCTTGCCTTCTTCGACGCCAACGAGACTCCTCGTCCTTTGGTCATCAGAACAAACACTCTCCGTACTCACCGTCGTGATCTCGCCCACTCGTTGATCAACCGTGGTGTCACTCTCGAGCCCGTTGGAAAGTGGAGCAAGGTCGGTCTGCAGGTTTTCGAGTCTCAGGTCCCCTTGGGTGCCACCCCCGAATATCTTGCTGGACACTACATCCTTCAAGCTGCCAGTTCGTTCTTGCCCGTCATGGCTTTGGCTCCTCAAGAGAACGAGCGTGTCCTGGATATGGCCGCCGCTCCTGGTGGTAAAACAACATACGCCGCTGCTCTGATGCGCAACACTGGTGTCATCTTCGCCAACGATGCCAGCAAAGTTCGTGCCAAGGGTCTGATCGGTAACATTCACCGTCTCGGTGTGAAGAACACCATCGTATGCCACTACTCCGCTCTCGAGTTCCCCAAGGTCATGGGTGGCTTCGACAGAGTCCTTCTTGATGCTCCTTGCTCCGGTACTGGTGTCATTGCCAAGGATCAAAGTGTCAAGACCAACAAGACTGAGGCTGATTTCCTGCGTCTGCCCCATCTCCAGAAGCAGCTTTTGCTTGCCGCAATTGACTCGGTAGATCATGCATCAAAGACTGGTGGTTACATTGTCTACTCAACATGTAGTGTCACTGTCGAAGAGAACGAACAAGTTGTCCAGTACGCCTTGAACAGACGCCCCAACGTCAAGCTTGTCAGCACTGGTCTTGTCTTTGGTAAGGAGGGCTTCACCAGCTTCATGGGCAAGAAATTCCACCCTAGCTTGAAGGAGACCAGAAGATACTACCCCCATGCCTACAACGTTGACGGTTTCTACGTCGCCAAGTTCAAGAAGGTTGGCCCTACACCCGCCAACGCTGTCAAGGCACAAGGCTCAGAGGAGCAGAAGCAGAACGTGAAGAAGGATGGAGACGAAGAGATCATTGACAGAACTCCCATCAGCGAGGAGGCTGAGAACGACGAGTTCGGTGGCTTCTCGGACTCAGAGGATGATGCAATTATCCAACGTGCTCGCGCAAAACAGCTCAAGAAGAAGGGCATTGACCCTAAAGCCACAAAGGCCGCCAAGAAGCCCAAGGAGAAGGAAGTCACATCTGAGCAGCCCAACGCCGAGGACCAAATAGAGGAGAAGGCAGTCAAGTCACCATCGGGTACAAAGAGCCCCAAGGTGGCCGAGAAGCCTGTCAAAGACGGTGTCAGCGAGGTCGGTGGACATGCTGTGGGCACCTCAACAGAGGCTCAAAGCAAGAAGGAGAGGAGGAGTTTGAACAAGGCAGGCAAGAAGGCAAAGGCCAGCTCCAAGGCTAAATAGATGCATCTTTTACAGCGGATATCAATTTGACGTGTTTCGTATGGTCTTGAACCATTTTTGTAGTACAAAATGTTTGCCCAACTGCTTGACATGTGCGTGCCACCCAACGGACGTCTTTCTTCCTCACTCGTAGTGTTCTTGTGCTTTCAACAGCTGGACCTTCACACAAGGAACCTCGTGTATAGTCTGCTCATCAAAGGGTCAATAGCGCACAATCAAACTCTTGTGTCATATGCGTGCTATATCAACAGCCAGTCCAACTATCCCAAGACCTGCCCACCTCATCTACCCCTTATCCGTCTTTCACACTATCTGAGGGCCGCGCGGTGAACCATCAGATACACAAGTGAGTGATTCGTTTCAGTCGGCACTGTCCTCGACAGTCCCCCAGGTTCAATTCGGTTGCTCGCAGTCAGTTCAATCTATCATCACTCCAAACCATGTATTTCACAGCTCCAGTGGCTTCCAACACCTTCCTCGAGCTCGCCTATTTCATCCTTGGCGGTTTCTACCCACTTCCCTTTCTCTCCTCTCTTCTATCTACTTATTCGTTCCTTCGTCCCTTCATCTCTCTCCTTGAGAAACACCTTCTGTGCTTTCACTGACAATGGCTCCGATATCAAAGGACGAGCACATCCTCCTCCTCTTCGCTTGCATCAAGAACAGCAGAGGCCCAGGTCAGGTCGACTGGAACGGCGTAGCCACCGACACACAGCTCACTTCCAACGCCGTGTAAGTCTTCTTCATCATCACAACACCAGGACGATCTCATACTGACAACAACACAACAGAGCCAAACGCTTCAACAAACTCGCCAAAGACTATGGGGTCCGTGGAGTATTGCGCGGTGGCACTGGCCGCGTTTCTGCTGCTGGTACCAAGAATCGCCCTGAACATGAAGAAGGAGAGCAAGGAGACTCGCAGGAAGATTCGTCGGGAGCAAAAGGAAAGGGAGGCCAAAAGGGCGGCAAAGGCAGAGCTTCGAAGAAGAGAAAGATAAGCAAGGTCGCTTCCACTTCTGATGACGAAAGCGACGGCGACAACGAGCAAGTCGACTACGATGCTCAAGATGTTGTTGCTGGCGAGCAAGAGGACATCAAGCCCGAATTGGATGGCGATGACGAGGTGAGTTGTTTTGGCTTCCGAACGAATACAGCGGCATTGACTGACTTTGTGACTAGGCTGTCGCTTGATCGAAGGCTACAACTTCCACGACGACCTTTCTGATTTTTCTTGCGATGAAGCAACGAATTGAACAGCGACAACAATGAGGATAATGAACCTCCAACAAACGACTGCACTTACTGAAGAGGGGAGAGCCACATTTTTCTGTACCACTATGCTCTCTTACCATCACGGACCCCTTCTCAGAACTTTACAACCAAGAATGCAACTGCCTTTTGAACCAAAGATACCTTTTAACTGCCATTGGACATCTCGTGACTCTTTCCAGATTCGTTGACTGTAGAGATGCAGAGTGCTTTCGGGATAGATGGGATTGTCTAAAGAGATGAATTCCTTTTTGCGTTTTCAACGGAGACGGCTCTGATCAGCAGTAATCCATACAGTCTCAAGCACTTGAAGAGAGAATCACGCTCGGATGTCCGGTGGAATTTGGAAGGAAGGGAGGTGGTTTGCCAAGCCACGGATTGACCCGCGTCTTTCAACTTCACCTCGTGCCTTCCTTTCTGCGACACCATGCTTACATCAACAAACAAGTATAACTCAGCAAATTCATGGATCTATAGTGTCGGACTGTCGCATGTACATTGTTCACATCTGAGAGAAGATTAACGTAACCAAGGCCGGTGTCCGACGACTCCACCTTCGCTCTTCATGCTTTCGAAGCTTTTCCTTGCTCGAGATGTATGAAAGTAGCGAGCCCATACAGTCAAGATATACCTCCTATTACTGCCATATCTCTATTGGAAGCATGTCCTTCCACAAAGTGTTGGCTTGGAAGACCAACAACGCCTACATAAAAGACCGCAATCGGGCATGTAGAGGCCAGTCACGTAAAGTATCTCCATGGTCACATTCAATTAACGTGTCAAGTCTTCCGCCTTCAAGTTGCTATTTCTGTCAAAATATTTGTGTTGGAGGTAACGAAAGTGGAGCACTTGTGACGGTGCGACTCGGTTGACTCTTACTCAACTCGCATCCAGTGAGAACGATCGAAAATCTTCCCGGTGTGAGCGGATAGCATCTACCTGAGTGAAAGCTACTTGCACAACGCCCGACTCTCACACTCCACTACTTCCACCGCAATCTGCGACCTTCCTTACTCTTCTTCTCCATCTCTCCTCTTTTGTCAACTTCCATCCACCACCCATCCAACACTTGCCGTGTTGACACTTCAATATTGATCTTTTCCATCGCACTCTCCGACACTTCATATCCAATGGCTCCCAAAGTAGGAATTACCTGGGACGGTAAGGCAGCACACCTCTAACACGCACCGTCCGCTTTGAGTTGCTAAAAATTTACAGCTGAGGCCGACCGCAAGATCCTCCTGGCGATCTTGAAGGATGCTAGCGTGACTGCAAACATCAACTGGGACGATCTTGCTGCTGAGATCTCCACTGAGGCTGCAACCTGCTCTGTCGCTGCGCTGAAGAAGCACCTGTCCCGTCTTCGCATCTCTGTCAAGAACGGTCAGGACAATAGGTAGTCGTTGACTTTGAACGACACAAGACCGCATTCACTAAATCTTTTCCCCCAGCAGTGACGGCTCTGACAACCCTGCACCAAAGACCCCCGCCACCAAGGGAAAGACCAAGGGCAATGGGTGAGCAATACGACTGATGCATATTGACACCAGTTCGTGCTGACCATGACCTCTTCGCAGTACTGCTGGCTCTTCTGCTGGCCCCAAGTCCAAAGGAAAGGGTCGCAAGCGCAAGGTGGCCGACGAATCGGACGATGATGAAGGCACCCCCCTCACTAAGAGATTCAAGAAGGTCGCAGACAAGGAGGAAGAGCCCCAGATCAAAGCTGAGGCCAATGATGAAGATGAAGGTTAGATCCTTTAGTGGATTGCACCATGGATAGCGCCCTTCAATACGCGCTGGACCAGTTGCCCTTTCTTCTTCACCTCCCTTTCTCATTCTCATGATACTTCCCTTCCCCCCTACCCCTTCCCCCTTTCCCATTACACCAAGACATACCGATGAGCAGGCATAGCGACCTGGCAATAAGAAGAACTACTCACATACAATCTGAACTCAACTTCCCACCATGTCAGATGATCTCACTTGTGCAACCTTTCCTCTGTTTCAAAAGCCAATAGACAATATGGCTAACAAGAAACAGTGACGTGCTTGAGATTTGGGGTGAAAATTTACTGACAAACAGTCTCTTAGCCAAGTTAGTGTAAAGTGTGAGTACCACTGTTACTCTAGAATAATCACGCGTACTGACTGATCAACAACAGAGTCTATCATGTCATACTCACCGTGGCTCCTTCCTTCCTATTCACCGTGGCTCATCCTTCATACTCACCGTCCCTGCTTTATAACCATCAAGGCTTCTTCCTTCATAACCAGCGTCTACCTCCGCCGTGTCTCCTTCCTCCATGTTCTATCTCATACACCACTTCGTCAATAGGACATGGATCGAAGGTTACTCAACAGCCTTCCGTGACATGGCCTTTCTCGACTACACAGCCCACCAGGAGGTGCATGCCCGCTTGTGGTACGCAGTGTTATTGTTGTGAACATCTATCTGGAATGGTTTAGCCGCTGGACGACTTGCTCTGCACCTCACCGTCATCCTTGTTGACAGAAATCTTTCACCGAGAGAGCAGATCGGTTCTCTTGCACAGACCAGAACCTGAGGAAAGTATCCTTGGTGTAGAAAGTCGATCATTTTCGATATCCGGGCCTGGTTTTCATCCAAAGCAGCCTCAGTCGGAAGTCCCAGCCCTCGGTGGAAGAGGAAACGAGCCATGCGTTGAGTAAGAATCGAGACCAAGGAGCCATGGTGTGTTTGGATGTAGCCCATGATACCGGATGTTGGGTGGTCTCAGGGGCCGGAGTTGACTTGGGGAAATTCTTGAAACAAGGCACGATGATGGAAATGTCGAGAGTTTGCCTGGGGAGGGCAGCAATCGACATGCCGCCGACTCCAAGTCTCGACGTATCATGGCCTGTGCTTAATAGCCGTCGTCGCTAGGGTCGCCGTCGCTACCCCGGCTCCGGATACTTCGCATCTTCGCTGGTTGCCGGGTGCTTTCTGTTCGCTTCCTCGTCAACATCACCGTTCGCTCGCGTCTCTGCTTGCTTGCTTGCTGCTTCTACTATCCAAACACTCCGAGTAAGTCGACTCTCCGACTCTTCACTTCGAATCCCTCTCTCGACTCTTTTTTCTTCGTGCGTCGTGTGCACTACTCGACGCCGATCAATCTACAAGTCCGATCATACTCCCCTCCAAGAGCAATTGACGCAAACGCTTACGCATACTTCCACCTTGCTGACGCTCTGCTACACAGTCCAGCATTGCTTCCTTTCCAACTCGTCTACAACATAATCGTAAGTTTGTTTTCCCCTCCCTGCGCAGAGCTTCTGTCGAACAAACCATTGCACGATTGCCTCTGTCGTTCTGGTTTCGTCGTCTCAACATTCGGCCAACCACCAGCCATCAGCATCCTGCATTCTTCAGCGACCGCTCCCTATCTTTTCCTTCGTTCGCTGCGCTGCTCGCTTCTCTCGACGCAAAGCACTTCCTTCTTCAATTCACTTCACTTGCTCGAGCGTTCGTCGTTCCTTCGCTTCGGTTTCGTCTTCGCTTCTGACTCGACTTCACTTCGCTCTTAGCTAACTCTGTCTTCAACAGCTTTTCTACTGCAGTTGCAGCCCTTCCAGTGTACCTCGTCGACTTAATCTTCCTTTCACTTCACCAGCATCGATCAAGACAGTCGAACACGAAGTCGACTTCGGATTAAATTGTAAGCTTGTTCCCTATCCCCCTTGCTCTCATGCCCATTATCATCAACATCTTTCAGTTCTCTAACATCCTCCTCAGACAAATCATGGAACACGACATGGACCAGGACCCGTTCAATCCTTCTACCAACTATGGCTATTCGACTGGCGTGACCGAGCCGCTCGACAACTACAACGACAACAGCTTTGATGGCATAACATTTGACCAGCCCAACAGCATGTACTCCAACAGCAATAACCTTGGTTTTGACGCCAACGGGTATGGTGGTCGCGGGAGTCTCGCCTACCCCCAACAGCCTCTTTATGGTCAGCGCGAATCTCAGTCGTTGGCAGCACCTGCACGCTGGAACGGTCATCAATCGCTTTCTGCCTTTCCAAGCTCAAACAGTGGTCAGTCCTCCACTGTTCCCCTTGGTCTTGACGGTTCGTCTCACCAGAACTTGGACCAAGAGGAGGGTTTCCTCCCGACTTCCAGCCATGGCAACGGCGATCAAGCCCAAGGCTCAGTCGAGCACGGCGAAGCTCTCGTGGAGAAGAGAGGAGCGCGCAAACAAAAGACAACTCCTCCAGGTCGTTCGAAGGTTGAGCAGCAGGACTCAGATGACGAGTATGACTCGGATGCTGAAGAAGTTGAGAACAAGAAGAAACGCAAATCCTACGACCAGCCGCGTCATCTGACTCGCTGGAATTGTAAGTCTTGTCGTACAACATGCGCCATCGTTCACGGTTGACTAACACATTTATAGCCGGTACGGATCAGCTTCTGTTGCTCGCTTTGGCATACGAGTGCAGGCGCCGTAACATTGATCTCCCCTGGGGTGCAGCATCGTTGCACCTCAATGCCTATGCGAAACCAGACGGCTCAAAGCAGCATCTGGTGAAAGTCCGCAAAGCCCGAATCTATTACGGCTTGCCCGTGCCGCCGCCTTTTCCAAAGCAAGACAAGGAGGATCCTCAGTACAGTGACAAGGAGATACTCAACTTCGCCACACTCGTGTATGTCAAGCCGGGAACAGAAGAGGACGCCAACGGCACACCTGGCACGATGCCGCCTATCTACACCCCTCAGCCCATTGCAGTAGGGCCTCATTTGCCCTACTATGGCCGACCTGGTTGGCCTTTAAGCGTAGACGTGGCGGATGAGATGATGACTCTCCTAGCTATTAGGGGAAGCCAATGGTCTACGACAACACCCTTGACAGTTGAACCTCCACCTGGTACACAGTCCATCAAGAAGAAGGCAAGGTCCGCAAAGGCCATCAAAGTTGAGCAAGAAGACGAAGACGACGACGATTTCACTCTGAAGTCGGTTCGCAAGGTTTCAAGCACGCCAACTGCCTCGCAGAAGAAGAAGGCTCAGCTGTCGACCAAGGGATCAGCCAGCAAGGGCTCCCCTAACAAGCCTTCAGGTGTAGTAAAATCAAAGAGATATACACCTTTGAAGAAGATGCAGAGCAAGGCGTCTCTTGAAGACACCCCTGTCCGCGCTTTGACCAACGGTATGGCAGCCACTGGAGTTAACTCCTCTCCAGTCAAGACCCCGTCAAGAAAGTCGGCCGCTGCCTCTAAGAAGAAGGCCAAGGTGACCAAGACCGCTCCTCCCACGCCCTCAAATGAGGAGGAGATGTTGGCGATGCCACTCCTGACCCCGACCAAGGAGAGTGAGCAGCCACACAAGTATGGTAGGCGCGATGAGGATGTCCATATCGAGCTGAGCGAGACATCCGGCGACACTCTGCTCAACGCACCCCCTGGCTTTGACATGGGTCGCAACTTAGACCTCCAAAACTCTGGTCCTCGGAGCGACGCACTGGGCTTCCATGACCAGTCGATGCACAGTCAAGGCAACCGGAGCTTCGGCTACCAGTCAGCCATGCCTGGCATGTCTAATCAGTCGATGCAGCGCCAGAGCAACTTTGGAAACAACATGCCGCGACCCACCCTGCCCGGCAATCACCACCAGTCTATGCAGCATCAGGGCGGCCAGATTTTTGATCCTCAGCCGATGATGGTCAACGGCTCAGGCCTATCAATGCCAGCTCAGTCCAACTATGCCTACAACACTCACGGCCAGCAGATGCTCCATCACGGCCAGCATATGGCTGGCATGCAACAGAACCACGGACAAATTTGGCAGACGCAGAACTCCATGGCGAACAACAACATGTCGCAGGCAATGCAACCGATGCAGCAGATGCCCATGCAACAGATGTACAACCTGATGCCACAGCCAGGCACTATGCAGCAGCAGCAGCAGCAGCAGCAGCAGTTCGTCCCGGCTTCAGGTTTCCCTGGCTTTGGTATGGACGCCGGTCTCATGGCCCGAGAGCCTATGCCTGGCTATGTTGACGAGATGTCGGAGTACATGACTTCGACCGGTCACTCTATGGCAGAGTCTCCTCGTCTGTCTCTCGGCAGCGGCAACACCAGGCCCAGCGGCATCAGTCCCGATGTCGCCGACAGCAAGCCTCAGCAGGGCGACGCATCGATGTTTGGCGACTTGATGCTTGTCGATATGAACGGCGAGCTAGTCGATGATGACTTCAACAGCGACCTTACGCCCAACTACTGAGCCTCCACCCTCGACTGAGCCTCCACCCTCGTCATCCCTTCAACTTTCCTTGCCTTACCAACCACGACGACCCCTTTATACCACGGCAGACCAAGACCCCAGCACACAAAAACACAAAAGCCCCCGACATCTCCTCGGGACATAAAAAAAAGATTCCTCCTCGACAGGGAAGGTGCGAACAAAACTCCAGAGCCGGCCTTTTGAGTTGAATTCGCCCACCCTTCGAGTTGGCAGACCGCTTTTTCCTTTTTCCTTCTTGCTTTTCCTTTCACATTCAGCATCACGAACAAGCATCAGAAGGCGTCATCTTGCATTTCCTTTTCTTTCCCAGCCAGCATATGATACCCAACACACCGCGCTTTCCATAAACAGAAGGAAGCACACAAGAGCGAAGATTCCCTCCCACCACATGGTGGCCCCCCGTTTGATACCCTTTCCCAAAGATACCCCCTTGCCCCGTTAAATAGTTAATAGAGAAAATTGGACTTTCCCTACCAAAATATTGCCGTTTGTTCTTCCCTTGTTGTGCATACTACATGAACGAGATCGATGACGAGTATGTCTGAATATTGCATCTCAGTGGACGATCGTAGAGGTTTGAAAAGCATCGTGCCTTTTTATGGCTACATGTTTGAGAGGTCTCGGCCATCGGAGATGACGACTCAAGGCGAGATTTCCTTGAACATGGCGAGTAGATGGGAGCATGGGAGCATGGGAGGAAATGCACCTGCCAGTTTGGATTACTATACACGGAGAGAGCAAGAGAGGAAGCCATAATCACGTTTCATTCATTCATTAACCAAAGAGAAAAAGACGCCATGTCCCAGTATGCAACAAGCCAATCGCTAATATCTAAGAAGTCGCCTTTGCTCGCTAATCCAAGGAGTATGATAAGAAATGCCCGTGGGTGTTGATGACGAATCAAGAAATATAGACCTTCTTGATATCGCTTTCGTTGAATTCCAGAGATAGGTCAGTAGGGTCTCTGACTTTGCCCTCGGCGGTGCCGATTTTCTCGTTCAGAGCCATGAGTCGACCTCTACCGTAGATACGTCCGTTGGGCAGCATAACTGGATCGTCTTCAACGTAGCTCTTGCTGTGGTGGGCGTATGGAACAGAGCGGGCGAGGGCATTCAGTTCGGTAGAGCAGATGGGGCAGACGGACGTGGTCGAGGAGGAAGCGTTGGAAGATGACGAGGCATAGTGTGAGTGGCAGGCGGGTGTTTTCAAAGCGCTGAGACCAGCAGAGAGAGCGATGTGGAGAAGGGGTCGTGGCGGTAGGGAGAAGATTTCGTGGTGGGTCTTGACAAACAGTTCGGCGAGTTGAGGCCAACGAGCGGTAGAGTACATGGTCTGGGCAGGGTCAGTTATGGGCAATGAGGCATACAAAGATGAAGACTACCTTGTAAGGTTCCGTGCTGGTGTGGGGAGGATTGGCAAGCAAGCCTCCAGCTCGCAGGCCGTACGAGTCGTTCTGATGAGTGCCGAGGTGCTTCCTCGCATGCAAAGTAGCCTCGATCAGCTTCTGTGGCTCACCAGTCCGGACCAGCTCGATGAACTGCTGCAGACGTAATTCGAGCTCAAGATTGCTGTTGATCTTCTTCAAAGTCTGCTTGTTCTCGGAGCACCATGCCAGACATTCTTGGGTACGACCATTTTGCAGACTGGCTTCTATGCGGCTACATTCGATGAAGGCCTGAACGTCTACCAAGTCCTCGATCTTCTTCTCCTTGGCCAGCTGATCAGCGCTCCGGGTGTAGCCCTGGCGTAGCAGATAGTCGACCAGCATGCGATCGAGGCGGACCTTACTCCACTCATCATACTTGACGTCGGCTAGGTTGGGAATGTCGTGCAGTTCTTGCAGATGTTGTATACGGGCACGTTGGTGGCGATGTAGCATCTCTTCCTCGGCATGTAAGGCTTCAAGCTTGCGCTTCAGGGTCTGGGCTTTGGCTATCATGGCGTCTAGCGACGCGAGAGTTTGATCGGGGGTGGCTTCTGGAGCGGCGGTAGCGGCGGCGTTGAGGGCAGCGAGAGTGTCGGCCGAAGTCTTCTCGATGTGTCGTCTTGCTTGGGCAAAGTTCTTCCGCGTCAGCTCGAAGGGCACTCGTAGCAGCGGTTGATCCTGAAGAGAGCGTCAGTCGACAGGTACATTGATTGTAGGGTGGTGGGGCATACCAGCAGCAGATGCTGTTCGGCATGAAGCTTGGTCGATATGAGCTCGGCCATGTTGGAAGGTGATTATCTCTCCTATTAATATTTCCCTCAAACAAACGACGCCTTGAGGCACAAACAGCATGAGTGATGGATGCCGCCTGCCCGGAGTCGCAATTCCATGTGAGGCTGGCGGGAAGTTGTGGAGAAGAAGGGTCCCTCCGTCATCGTCCTCGGTCGCTCTTGCCCTGCCACTCACCTTTGACAGTCCTGTCTTCCACCTTATCATCGTCAACACTTCTCAATCTGTCTTCCTTAACACCATCGGTAGTTCTCAATCACATCGATAGACCGGCTTTTCAACAACGCTATCGTCCGCTTTCCGACAGAGTCCCCTTCCAAACGCCCGTATTTTGCTTGGTCCTTTCTGCGACAAATGTCTTGTCAAGACTCCTCAATGACTGTCGCAAATCTACTCTTTATTCATGCTAACATCACTCTACAACCCTTTTTGTGGTTATCCGCCGAATTCCTTGTCGCGTTCGTGTGAAAGTATGAAGAAGAGGCAGGTGTTGCCTTTGTGTCTTGTCTCTCAGCATTCATATTATTCGCCCTCCATGCTACTTATCTTACTTTCTTCTCACAGACTACAAGCATGCCAAGTTTTGACAGAATGCTGCCGCTTATCACCATACTGGACGTCGAAATACTCGAGGAACAATCAACTATCGCCTCGAGGGTCGCGTTTTTTAGTCTCAAGAACCTGCGCCAGCAATGCAAAGTCTTTGGCCTCGTGACAGGGAACTTGTACAAGACCAGTCTCGTTGCCATGCTCAAAAAGCTTCCCACCCAACCTGTCGTCTACGAGGGCTTCGACGTCGAGGATTTGGTCAAATTTACTCTTGACAGACATCTCGAGCTCACCAAATCCGCTGAGTGCCATCTGACTGAGTACGAGTCCGCCCGTGCAACTTTCATCCAGGCACGTACGAAGTCGGAGGAAAGGCGACCAAAGGTCAAGCCAAAGACACAAGCAAACAACGCTGCACCTGCACATCGCAACAATGTTTCAGCCAGCACTACCGTCACACTGAGACGTTCTTCCAGACTTGCCGCCCAAGCTCATCATGCCTTCAACAGGCCTTCTTCTGCGAAGCCTGTCAAATCCTCTGCCGCGAGAAAAGTCATTCACAAATCTAAAGCCATCCCTTTGAAGAAGGCACAAGTATCCCTCAGAGCTGCTGATAGTATTTGCAAGTCTCTCGTCCAACATCTGGAAGCTGCAGACCGCGAGTTGCGATTTGATTTCCTCGGTCTGCCTGCAGAACTGCGTGACATGGTATATCGCATGGTTTGCATCAGCTCTGCCATCATCATTCAACCCGCGCGTCAGCCTGCCATCGCCAAGACATGTCAGCTGCTACGACACGAAGCTCTTGCCGTCTACTATGGTGTCAACAGATTCAGCGTGGCCGTCGAGAAGTATGTCCGCCGATCGCACATGAAGCAGAATGCCTGGTTCCAGAGCCTCCAACCATGTCATCTTGCATCCGTGCGCTCTTTCTCCTTTACATACCCCGGTGCCAACAGCGTTTTGAACATCGACTTTGACATTCGTGGCCAGAAGTTTAGCATCGTACGCATGAGCTGGACTAGTTCCCACCATGCCGCCCAAATACTGAAAGCCTACTTGGCCAATCCTGGAGTCCCCACTGTCGCCTACAACTGTCTAATCTACCATGTCAGAGCCACGAGAATGGGCAGTACACTGCAAGCCCAATTTCCCTATAGCCAGGTCTCCTCCGCTTTCCTCGCAGCCTTCAACGCCAGTGTGAACAAAAGAGTCGGACAAGCTACAAAGCCCACGGCCGCTGATAAACCCACTACAAGGTCGAAGGAATGGACACTTCTGAGCGATGAGTGGCAAGCTCGCAAGGGGTTTTCGGCCTCTAGCATCAAGAGAGTTGCTGCCATGTTGGCTGAAAACATGACGGATGTGAAGAACCTCTGGGTTGGTGAGTTCCAGGACTGAGCGCATGGCGGATGATTCATTTATCAGAGGAGTCGTGGTCGGCCGGGTGCTTCTTCTGTCTAGTACAGTAAATTATCACTACAATGACAAAAGGCCAACCCTTGACCTTGACCTTGAATTTGACTTCTCAATGGGCTGTGAGATGATGAAATGATCCTTTGCGTCATGACACTTGATCACGGTGCAATATTCTTTGACCTGAACGTAATTCATATTTACGTGCGAGCATCGAAGCGTCCTTCTGATTTCGAAAGATCACCGGCCTTTCCGACCCTCTCCTTTACTTCTCGTCCAGCCCTTCACCCTAGTTCTAGAGCCAATGGCCCAGCTACCCATAACGAAGACAAAACACGGCATGCTCGAATTGTAGCGCTTGGTTTCGAGATTAGAAATGACAGAACAGGGTGACACGATTCACGAGCTTACTTGGTGGATTCTTGAAACGCTTGGAGAACATCACATTCATATTCTGATTTGAAGAAGCGCACAGTCTAAACGGTACTAGTGTGTAGCAAGAGCTTTGACAATGTATGATTTATATACAACAGCACGCAGACGAAGAAATTCCCCTCTGCTTTTTGCCAATGAATACTCCAAGAAAAAGAAGCAAACAACAATACCGAGAGGTAGAAGAAGAGGGAAAAAAGGATAAGAGCAAGCCTCGGCGATGACAGAACTCCTTGTCTAAAAAAGCAGATTGGAAGGAAACGAGATTATCTTAAGCATCATCCACATCGACCAACAGACGCGCTTTATGCGCCTTTTCGGCCTCCTTGATCAAAATCTCAAAGTCGCCAGACATGTCGCACATGCCCTTGAAAATACCCTTCTCCATGCGAATGAGGTCCCAAGGATTGCCATACTCGATCAGTTGACCCTTGTCCAGGACCAAAACCTTGTCGTAATCGATAATAGTTTGGAGACGGTGGGCAATAGTGATCGTGGTGTTCTTGATCTCGCGGATGGTTTCTTGGATCTTGGCGTCGGTGGCGTAGTCGATGGAGGCGGTGGCTTCGTCCATGAGAAGCACCTTGGGGTCTTTGAGGAGGGCGCGGGCGAGACAGAGGAGTTGGCGTTGGCCTTGGGAGAGGTTGCTACCGGATTCGGCGACCGAGGAGTTGAGGTTTGTGAAGATGTTCTTGTTCTCGAGCGCGGCGGTCGAGTCGATGTTGCCGGTGCTTGCCTCGTCGGCAAGGCCCTCGAAGCGGACAGAGCCGGCGCCTTGTGTGGGTGTAGGAGCACGCGAAGGCTCAGCCGAGGCAGCGCCAATGAGTTGTGTTCGTCGGAGCGCGGTGTAGATTTCTTCGTCGGTGAAGAGCCCGAAAGGATCAAGGTTGGTTCTGATGGTTCCGGTGAAGAGAGTGGGATCTTGAGGGACCATGACAATGTTCTCACGCAAGTCCTGAAGACCAATCAAGCTGACATCGACATCGTCAATGACGATGCTTCCAGTCTCGGCTTCGAGAGCTCTGAACAGAGCAAGAGCCAAAGAACTCTTGCCTGCACCTGTTCTGCCAACAACACCGACCTTCTCACCAGGCAAGATCTTGAAGCTGAGGTCCTTGAGGACCATGTCAAAGTCAGTACGGTATCTTGTGCTGTAGTCCTTGAACTCAACAGCACCTTGACTCGGCCAGTCGGGCAGAGGCTTCGTCTCCTCAATAGTGTAAGGTGCCTCTTGCTCAACCTCAAAGTACTCCTTGACACGCTCGACTGCGTTCATATTTTGCTCGTTCATTGAGTAGAGTCTGACAAACCACAAGACGTTCTCGGTGAAAGTTACAGCGTAGGTCATGGCCAAACCAGCAGCACCGGCATCAAGTTTGCCGACGCTGAGGATAACGAAAGAACCGGTGAAGAATGACACCAAAGCGCCGGTAACATCAACACGGAATGCGAGCCAGCGGTTAGCGCCCCAAAGATAGATGAATGGTCTTGAGTGGGTGTTAACCTTGTGCATGTTTTCACGAATGAAGCGGCGCTCATCGCCGTAGGCTCTGATGGTCGTCATGCCAGAGAGCGTCTCGCCAAATTGCTGGTACAGAGGACTGCGCTGCACAGACTCCAGACGCTTGAGATCACGAGAAGAGTTGATGTAGAAAGCACCAATCATGAAGTAGAGAACACTGATGAAGACACCAGCGATCAGGAAACGAGGAGTGATGACCGAAATAAGGATGACGGTGGTGATGATCGAAGCCATGCAGTGGACTACGCCAACAGCCACGGGAGCGATCTCCTGGTCGATAGCCTCAACATCCTTAGAGAATCTGTTCATGATCTGCCCAAGAGGTGTAGAGTCGAAGAAGCGGAACTTGGCGTGTGTGACAGACTCCATGAGCTTTCTGTGAATTCTCTTAGACGCAACCAGGGATCCGTAAAAGAGAACACCCTCACGGCTGACAGTGATGAGCATGTAGATAAGACCGAGGATACCGTAGACACCGAGGTAGTACGAAACATCAACACCTTCATTGGCCTCGGCTTGGACGGAGAACTGAGCTGTAGCGTTGGAGGAGCCGAAAGAAGGCATAGCCCAAAGACAAGATCCACTCTTCACACACGACGTTCCACTGCCGATGCCGCTGAAGACATGAGTGAGCTGGCGAGGCTCAGTGTATACACCCATGACGGACACTTCCCGTTTGTTGTTATAAGCATTAGCCCATTGACGAATCCAGACGTTGGTCGAAACTTGCGAAACTTGCTGGAGAGCAAACATCAAGGCAGTCACAACCCAGTAGTACCATGTACCCATGTAAGAGAAGTACATGATGATGACCTTGAGACTGACACTGCCAGTAGCCTTAGTTTCGGTGGGAAGTGTAACATCGACGTCCTTATTCATGCCAGGAACGTCCTTGGAAACAACTCTGTGGAGAGCGTTGTCGTCGTGATCAATGTGATCAGCCGAACCATTGACGGCCTTTCCGTTGGCATGGCCATTCTCGCCGAAAGCCTCGTCACCACCAATTCCGGAAGGCACGCGAGATGGAATGGTTGACGCACCGCCTTCGGATTCTTCCAAAACCTTGCTAAGGTCTTCGCTGAGCTTTCCGGACATGATGACGTCTCTAGCACTGCCTTGAGTACTAACTCTGCCATTGTCAAGCACGGCGGCGAATGCAGCGTGAGGAAGACAAAGGGTCGTGCTGTGAGTGACCAAGATGCAAGTTCTGTTATACATGAGAGGTCCCATGAGAGCCTTCTCGAAGATCCACTTGGAAGTGTGAGCATCGACTGCGCTCAACACGTCGTCCAGAAGGACGTGTCTAGCATTGCAATAAAGTGCACGAGCGAGAGAAATACGCTGCTTCTGTCCACCCGAAAGAGTGACACCCTTCTCGCCAACAAGAGTCTGGTCACCACCGTCAAGGATTTCGAGATCGCGTTGCAGAGAGCAAGCAACGATGACATTCTTGTAACGTCTAGGGTTCCAGGGGCTAGCAAAAACGATGTTCTCTTTGATGGTTCCGTTGACAAGCCAAGCTTGCTGGGCGCAGTAAGCAACACTTTCAACCAATCCAGTTGCGGGGTCGGCCTTGAGCTCCTCTCTGCTGTGTCCGCCAGGCAGGTATACATGACCGTCGAGTTTGGACATTTCTCCGAGCAGAGCCATGAGAAGAGATGTCTTACCACTGCCGGTAGGACCAACGATAACGTTCAGTTCACCGATTCGGAAGCGCATGTCGAGGTCGATCATCTTGAAGTCATCGGCCTCAGTGCCACCTCCCCAGCTGAAAGTCGCATTGTCAAATCCGATGAGGGGGTTTCCGTCCTGATCAAATTCACCACTTTGGAGCTGGTTGTACTTGTCGGTCTCGGGCTCGTTGAGATACTCTTCGATACGGTCAACAGAGACCTTGGACTCCTGAACGTGAGCCACCATGTCTGCAAGCTGATCCAGAGGGATACGCAAAAGACTAAAAAGCGAAAGAGCTGTGAAAGCAACAGAGGGGATCAGATCCTTCTTCTCGACCATGGTGTAGACGAGGAAAGTCAGGAAAGTGATGACCATAGGAGCTCCACCCCAGATGGTAGCTGCGGCGGCCCAAATGATGTATCTGTTACGCAGGTTCTTCAACTCAACTGCTCTCTTCTCGTCAACCTGGCCAAGGAAACGCTGCTCCCAAGCAAAGTACTTGATGATGCGGATGTTGGTAAGAACTTCGTTAGTGGTGTGAATACGAGCATCTGTGGCTGCGAGAATTTTCTTCTGGGCCTTGGTGAACTGCTTGGCGATGAAAAGGTTGACAGGGAGAAGCAGGGCCATCATGATAATACCAGCGATACTGCTGTAACCCAGGATACTGTAGAGCAGGTAGATGGCTCCAGCAAATTGGACAGGAGTCTCTGCCCAGAGGAAGTGCAAGTAGGCGCAGATTTCACTGACCTTGAAGGAGTCGACAGCCATCAAATTGATGATGGTACCAGATGTGACTTGGTCGGTGCTCTCCTCTTTCTTTGGGACATCCTTGGTGGCCTCGGAGGTCTTCTTACCCTTGTAGAATGACTTGACCTTTCTAAGGAAGGCTTCCTTGACCGAGCCCTTGGATGCAGGTGTCTCGTCTGACTTCTTCTCTTGCTCGCCAAGTACCTTGTCGCCAGCTGCTGCTGCCTTGCGACGCAGGGCCTTGGCATAGATCTCACCAATGATGATGGCACGAAGACGGATGCAGGTCTTTCTACCGATCCAAAGAGCTTGACCACCGGAAAGAGCAGAGACAATACCAGAAACAAACAACAGGATCACGTAGAACCATGCAGCGTTGATGGGTGTATCGGCCGGGTTCTCAACGTACTCCAAGATGACCTTGAGCAGAAGGGTGGGGACAAAGAGGTTGACTCCAGAAATGGCAGCCCATGCGGCTTGGATGAGCAAACCGCGCTTGAAGTACTTCAACAAATGCCATGCAAGAATTGAAGTCTTCTTGACCTGACGGTAGTCTAACAGAACGGCTTCAGCCTTGTCTCTAGCATTGAGGTTCCATACATCTGATAGTTCCGTAGGCTTCTTGTAGCCCTTCCAGACGATGGGGTCGACCCAGGAGAAGGTAGCAAGAGAAAGTACGCTGGCAAGAGGCTCTCTCGATGGCTCAATGTCGCCCTCATACTCGAGTTCGACAGGCTTGTTGCCCTTACGTGAGGTGAGCATGATCAGGGTCAGCAGAGTGGTAAGCGCAAAGTGAGTGCTCGTAAGCGCTTGGGCACCCTGGGAGACTGGGTGGATGATTGCTGAGCGGAAAAGAAGGAAGGCGCAGATCCACTGAGCGGCGTAAAGGAAGCCGGTGTGGTACCAGAGCTTGTTGAACGAATAGTTGTTTGTGGTGGAGAAGTAGAGGCGTAGAGTGGCCAGGAGTGCGACATAGGACCACAGAGCGGTACTGCAAATCAGGGTGACTCTGCTCCAGTTCCACATGCCAGTGGCCAAGGCAGCGGCGTGGATGCCAACTTCGGCCAACACAGCAAGCTCTTCAATGATGGGTAGAACGATCTGTCCTCGCGGCTTGTCGACGACAGACATTTCGGTATTACGGGTACGAACAGTACGGATGGCGAGATCCTCGTTTCTGTCAAACTCGTCCGAGTCGTCATCGGTATCTTCGTCATTCTGAGCAGCGGGAATGCGCAGGTCCCAGACATGGGGGTGTTTAGGATTAACAAGTTTATAGGCATAGTAATATTTCGAGTTGAGGGCGGTTTGGATTAGTTGGTAGGTAAGGTATAGTAGGGAGATTGCGCTCGCGATGAGAGGCAGGATTGCCATAAGGTAGCTGGAACAGGGTCAGCATGCCGAGTCTGACCGAGGCGAAACATGTCTGTCTCTCAATCTGCTTGATAGACGATTCATGGACAAGAGCAACTTACTCATTCTGGAAGCAGTCAGTGAAATCATCACTTCGCCAGACAGGCCCCTTGCATTGCCCCCAGTTCGACATGGCGGGGATTGCGCCAGGACGTGGCCGTGTAGATGCTGCGTGGTGTCTCGCCGCGCTCTCAAGCAGTGATTCTGATACGGCCAGCTGCTCGGCACGTGCAGTCTCTAACTCTTTCTAGACGACAACGACAACAACCACCAAAACTGCGATGTGTTGTGTAACAGCGACGCCGCGATGAAAATGTTGATGAAGGAAGCAGACGCCAATCGCGCTCGCTTCGGCTTGATTGCCGTACTGCGTCACTTCGGCAAGCCTTGTCCTAATTTAAGCTCGCCTTTTCTGACCCTCTTGACGAGCTCGATTGGTTCCTTTGCTCGAGAACTCCTGGAGAAAATCACTGATGGAAATGAGAGAAACACCGCGAGAGAGCAGGCACTTCTTGTCATATTAGAGCATCCTACGAGCGCCCTTCTGATCACGTCCCAATACGCATGCAACATGTAGCACCGGTCTGGATAAATTCCCCCCCTGACTCACGGTGCAACGACCTATCACCGGCTTCCCAATCAGGCAGGACGTAGGCTTGCGGAGTCCTGCACGAGCGTAGTTCAACCACAATTCGAAAAGGAACATGCAATTTGAATACGGCAAGAAACTGTTGACAGACCGCTATACGCCATTTGATATTGACAAAGAGAATTTAATTGGTTCGCTGGGTGAAGACTTCAGTCATATCACCTGCAGAGATAGGCCGCTAGGACGCAGCAGCCACTCTTATCAGCTTTCAATAATCGGGAGGGCGTGGTCCGCAATCCTTCACGCCCTCCCCGCCATAGATAGAGCCCTAGAAAAATAATGCCGCGCGTGCATTCGCTTACTTTCTAGGAGCAGCAACTGGGGTCCATGGCTGGTACTTGTTCTTGACACTGTTCCGACTTAGCTTCTCCATCTTGCTCATAGCACCAAAATGCTCGTGACTTACGTGCTGAAAGGTCTGTAGGCACTTCTGCTCCAGGTCAAGCAGGGACGGTGCTCTGCAGGCTCCCACGGACGAACCTGTCTCTGAAGAAGGGGGTCTTGGGATGGAGGCTTGTCGACCATGTATGACATCCAGGCGTGCCTAGGTCTTGTGAGTGAATCGCGCGATGCAACATCTTGATGGCGTCTCATACCAGCCGGGCTCGATCTGGTCACTGTTTGGAATTGAGTCAGTATTCCTGCTGCTGCGTGTAGCATGGCTGAATGGGTAAACGTACGGGTTGAACTCCTGGTCCTTGTAGTCGCACCATCTTGTTCTCACTGTAATCCATGCATCAGATGCGGACTCTTTCTCTTGTTCCTTATTCCGGTCTCATTTCGACATACAGGGCAGATCCTCGAGGTTCTCAAAGTACTTGTTGCCGTAACGGTCCTTGCCGACGAGGGTACCAGCCTTGGTGTCACCTGTACTCCTTCAGTTGCTGTCGCGGGATGTCGAGATTGTTGCACTTCGTACCCATGTACTATAGCAGCGAAGAATCGAGTAAGTCGTCGTTCATTGAGGGTCATTCGTGAAATTCGGCGCGGCGGACGTACCTGCATCTGGTGGCCATATTCCTGAGAGAACAGTTAGCGCGAGCAATGAGACATATGGTCAGAGTCACTCACCTTGAGGCCAATTTGGCGCAAGTTGCGCAGCGTTCTCATAATAGTCGACATGGTTGCGGTGTGTGATTTCTAGTCCTCACTGCCGCTTGTTGGTTGTGACCTTCGAGATGCGGCGATCCAATGGTCAGCGAGTGTTTGGCTTGTTTGCTTCGAATTCGATCTTCAGCCTTGGCATTAGACTCGAGGAAACATTTATTTCCGTATTCGATATCACACGTCACGCTGTCTTGTAACGGGCATAAAATGTTTGCAAGATGTATACCGAGGCAAGCAGCCCGTAGGGCAGTCAGGTCCATCAGGGCCACTCATCAAATGCCCATGAAAAGACGCTACTCCAACTCAAGCGTTGCTCCTCCTGCCATTGCACCTTCTCCTGCTGCTGCTTTGGGAGGTCTGAACACCGAGCTAGACAAACTGTCTCCTCGGTTTGATATTTCTTCTTCTCAGATAGAGATTCTGAGGTCTCCTTCTGATTTCTATGAGACCTTGAAGGCAAGTCAGATAGCCTGCTTTTTCTTTCTCCATTTCTTTCGTCTCGTATCCCGGTCTCTCTGGAGGACAAAATGTCAAGCATTCATTATCTATTTCAATGTCTTGAACCAGGAAATCACATGGAGCGATATGACTGACAAAGTGACAGGCCAAGATCAGAACAGCTGAGAGGAGAATATTTCTCTCCACTCTCTATATTGGCAAGTCCGAACATGAACTGGTATGAGAACCACATTGAGCTTCATGATCAGTTCTGACTACGTACTTTAGATCCAAACGATCCAAGAATCTCTCAAGCGTAACCCTAGCCTCAAGGTTTCCTTCCTTACAGATTCCCTCCGAGGCACTAGGGAGACACCAAAGGCGTCTTGCGCGACATTGTTGGCCGCTCTGATCGATGAGTTTGGTCCAGATCGTGTCGAAGTGTGCATGTACCACACACCTAATCTTACAGGTATTCGCAAGTCTATCATACCCAAGCGCATCAACGAAGGCTGGGGACTTCAACATATGAAGCTTTATGGCATCGACGACGAGATCATCATGTCAGGTGCCAATCTCTCATCCGACTACTTCACAAATCGTCAAGATCGTTATCATTTGATCTCTAGCAAGCGTATCACCGACTACTTTTCCAAAGTGCACGAAACGGTGTGTAGCATCAGCTACCGCGTGGTCCCTAACGCCTCTGCACCCGGTGGGTTCAACCTTGACTGGCCAACGACAAACGCACACCCAGCTCCTTTGAACGACCCCAAAGAGTTTATCACTCAAGCCACAAAGTTGCTCGCTCCTTTACTGAAGCCCGCCGCTACCACCTCGCTTCAGACGTCACAAACGGATACCCAGATATATCCGTTGCTCCAACTGACACCTCTACTCAAGCCCGATACATCAACGGAACTGCCTGCGCTCACCACAATTCTGAAAGCTCTTGCTACTCCAGCCTTTGCGGGAAGCAAATGGACATTTACGGCTGGTTACTTCAATATGACACCCTGGCTTCGCGATCTGCTTCTGGCCTCTAACCCGTCATCCGCCAATGTCATCGCAGCATCGCCATGGGCAAATGGTTTCTACGGCTCTCCAGGTGTTTCAGGCATGCTTCCTGCTGCGTACACTCTTCTTGGCCGTCGCTTCCTTTCCTCGGTTCAAAAAGCCGGACTGGAGAACCAAATCACGCTCAAGGAATGGAGAAAGGGCACAGTCAACACACCGGATGGCTGGACGTATCATGCAAAAAGCATCTGGCTTACCCTCAAGGACCAGCCAGGTCCGAGTGTCAGTCTGATTGGCAGCAGCAATTACACGAAAAGAAGTTACAGTCTGGACTTGGAGGCTAATGCAATGATCGTTACGAGGGATGTCGGTCTAATGAAGAGGTTGAGGGAAGAAGAAGAGTGGTTGCAAGAGTATGCGACCAAGGTTGACCAGGGCACCTTTGAGAAGACGGAAAGAAGAGTCGGATTGCATGTTAGAATTGCCATGTGGATCGTTACTCTGGTCGGCGGTGCGTTGTAGATGATGGCTAGTTTGAGTTGTCGGAGGCTTTTGTACGATATTCGAGATCTGTTGATTAGATGTACACAAATATCAGTACAAGATCTGGGAATCGACCCGATTGTCGCATCCATGGTGTTGTCGCAACAACGTTCCGTTCCAAGTTCCGGTCAGTCAAAGCACATCACAAGAACATTGTTCAAAAAAAAAGAGGGAAAGTAGAAATGGCCTTTGAATCATTTTTTTCATTCCGGCGAACAGCATCCAGCCAGCAACACCAACACCTCTCTCTCCTTTTCTAGAAATCAATCAGAACGGTAAGAGCGAGACGCTTACTGCTTCTCAGCAGCCTTGCGGGCCTTGGAGCCACGGAGCTTGGTGGGCTTGACGGTGGCCTTGACCTGGCGGGTGGACTTCTTGACGGCGGAAGCGCGCTGGACGGCCTCCATGTGCAAGTCCTGGCGGTAACCGCGCTTGGTGTTGCCAGAGACGGCGTTGTTGATGAGCTTGCGCGAGGGGGTGGTGGACTTGAAGGTGGTCTTGCTGTACGACTTGGAGGGCTTGTTCCAGTTCTGGCCGAGCTTGGTGGTGACCTCGATCTTGTTGTCAACGGCGTTGATGCCGAGGGCCTTGGGGTTGGCGAGCGAAGAGTACTGGGCGATTGGAGTCAGTGACTTGGGCTCTCAAGACACAGAGATGGCAGTTGTCCTTACCTTGCGCGAGTGGAGGTTGGTCAGGTTAAGGGGGTCCTTGGAGAACTGAACACCACCGGCCTGGTTGCGCTTCACGAGGAAGGCATTGTTGTGGCCTTATGAAATGCGCGCGTCAGTTACGAGTGCTCAGATAACAGTATATTGACCCTCCGAAGCGCAATGTTTCAACAATGGTCGAAGATTTGAATTTCTAGTCCCAAAAGTGGTCCTTCTCTTGCAAAATCGGAGGGGGAGCGAGCGGCACGTACGGATGGTCTCCCAGATGAGGTCGTAAGAGGTGTTTTCGAAGTTGGTGGCCATTTTTGCTGTGATGAGATGAACTGGATCGTAGAGAAACAAGAAATCGTGAATATTCAGACCGCCTGTGTGGGCTGAAGCCCGGCTAACCTTCCTCGACCTCACTCGGTCGCCCTTGCCGAGCAAGCTGCAAATCTGGGGTCTTTGCCAAGCATACAGCCCTCCAGGGTTACGCAGCTGAGCCTCGCGGCGCCCGTTTGCCAACATGTTCCTCTCAGCAGCAATCTCCCAAGGCCGTCTACTTTATTTCTTTCGCCAGCCCTTGATGTGACTGCGTATACCTTTGGCCTCGCTGGCCTCGATCTGGACTTCTAATCCGACCTGAGATAATCACCACCTATCCTCACATCCACTCGGATCACTGCTATATCCGGCCAAGGCCGCTGACAACCATTTGCTCATCCGTCTATTCCGAGTCCACGCAAACAGGACCGTGCATTCTTTCTCTACCTCTCAATACCCTCTATATCACACTACCGTCACAATGGGCTATCTCTTCTACTCAGTGACCTTTCTGTTCCTCGTCACGGCGACCGGTTCGTGTCATCGGCTTCTCCCTCTGCTTACGCGGCGCTAATACTACCCAGCACTTTACTTGACTCGACACCTCTGGATCGCACATGCACCGCCGATTCCATACCTCACAGCTCCTGGTCGCATCCCCGAACCTCTCTGGCGTCTTTCTCAATCCGTACAACGACTCAACCCCTTCGCCCAAAACGCCTACATCAGTCTCGGCCAAAATAGCTTCGAAGATGACATTGAAGCCGGCTTCAGCAGCTCGAATTTCGATCTACGAGAAAACGTCGAAGGTGGAGACAGCAGACAAGGTCTAGATGAGCAGGGTAAAGAAAGAGTAAAGGCCATCATGAAGAGCAGAAGTTGCGGCTTTGATGAAGCGAGGAGGATTGTCATGGAAGAGAGGTTTGGCAGAGAGAATATCGGCAAGGATGGCAGACCGAGGGATCCCAAGGCTGTCATGTTTGATCGCTTGTGAGCCTGACAGCAAAGAAGCTGCTAATATTTCCATCTCGTTTGATCTGGTTGGTTTGGTTTCTACACTTTCCTTTGTCTGCTTTCTATCCGCTATACCATGATTATACCCAGGAATTGTCCGTCCACTATCACCTGTCCAAGATATGCCGACTTCTACCTGCTTGCCCACAAGATTCAAATAGGTACGGCCAGATCACGTCACTGCGGTATCTCTAAACGTGAGTCTGTCGCTCTAGGATCGGCCTACCCGAAGCCCATGCAACGGGCACAAACCCGGGTTCGTGAGCCAGTTCGCATACTACATCTAACAGTTGTACAACATCGCGCGGTATTGACCTAAGCCTGTGGACCTTGGATATCCCAAGATATACCGCTTCCGGAAAGTCGGGTCATCTTGAGTTGTGAGTTCCTCCAAAGTTAGTAACGCCGCTGAAAGTTTGATCACCATACATAGCAGTCGCGCTGTCCATGACGTTTCCTATATGCATGGCACGGTGGGAGCGCGTGATTTCCTGCTGTGCCTTTGCATCTTTGGGAGCCACAGGGACTGCAGTGCTCGTGATGACAGTCAAGAGCTCTTTTGCATAAGCTGCGGCGACCGCCGCAGCATATGCGTGCCATTCATCGTTTTTGTGGGAGTCGGCGTAATCAGAAATGCCTCTGATAGCCAGGAACTGAAAATCGTCGAGTCCGGCTGCTTCCATCTCGAAGCACAGAATCCCGTATTGACGCCTTATCTTCTCGGCAATGCGGGCACTCTTCATGACTTGATCTCCCGAGGCGATTCGACCGTAGTGTATCTTGGGTATGCCTTGTTCGCTGCGCGAGCGGCGTGGTCGAGGACGGAGCTCAGATGTATCGCACTCCCTGCAAGATCTGTCTCTCGGATCTTCGTGATGATATGACCTGTTGAAGAGGTAATCGTCATAAGGTCTTGGAGCCATCCTACGAATCGCTCTGGGTTCCAAGAAGTCGAGATAGCCCAGATCATAACTGCCGTGCTTGGCCTGTATGGAAGAGACAGCGTTGAGCAGCACACGCGGAGGCTTGTTCATCGTCCTCTTTGTCACGACGAGCTCTCGATCTCTGATGGTCTTGCCAAAGTCGTATTGTATGACACCGGCATCACCATCTCCTGAAGCACCAACAACGATATCGCCGAGACGTACATCGGCGTCCTCACTCCACACGCCGCCAGCGATGCCGACCATCAAGGTGAATCTGAGTGATGGGAAAGTGCGTTGCATACTCTCAGCGGCTGCAGCAGTGGATGCTTTGCCGGTTCGGCCGAGCCCGAGGCATAAGATGACAACATTATGTACACTCTCGTCGTCCATGTGGATTTGACCAAAAGTATAGGCATTGTCATCGTTGGGTGTCGGTATCCTGGGATGTCTGACATCAAGCATGGCTACAGCCAGCGTCCCTTCGATGGCTAGAGCAGAAATCCACCCGACTTGATAGTCGGAAAGTTGAAAGGCCATCTTGTGCGAAGTGCGTGGGTGAACAAGGTCGGATGCTTTTGCGACTCGAGCATTTTGAGAGCAAAGACCTGTATATATCCGGCTCGACGATGTCCTCTAGCAATCGATTCACTCTGCCGACAACCAGCTGCTTGCTATGTGATCAAGCGCCAGGGCTAATTTCACCTCTTTCCATATTCGTGGCTGGAGGACGCAGGTGATTATCAAACTGTTCCAGGGCGAAAACATGATATACGATTTCTCGTCTATCCAGATCGAACCCGCGCCGAGTGGGCCACTAAAAACTCGCAGTTCGCACTCACTCAGGATAAGCGTCAATGTGCATGATATCCCACGAATAGATAGGTGTGTTGTTGTCCCAAAAGTACATTAGCGCTAGAATTGTGAAGGATCGAAATGCTTGTCAGTAGCTTCCATCTATATTATTTGATGGTTCCAATCGCGTTGACATCCGACTCCACCCTGTAATCTTCCGTCAGGGCAGGCGCCATCGCTTCCAAAGACCAAACTTGTGCAGCATGCATGGACTTAGTAAGGTCGATTCAAACGACAGATAAATGTCCGGCGGTACTACATCATGTGCGAACGCGTTATCTGTCAGCGCCTTCTGAGAAGGCGGGAATTCTACTCGAGTCTCAACATACAGAGTGAGGCTACTGGATATCGCGAGGGCTGTGTTCATATCATCCGAGTCGGATAGCCAATATCCCTTTCAAGAGTAAAGAAGAAAAAGAGACTGTTTTGATGGCACACCATCAGGGAGATGTTCGCGACAGCTCAAACGCCCTTTACGGCAACAACAGGTTCGAGGGTCAAGTACACTTTGGTATATTCTTTCGCTCTCGAGGCGTGAACTTTCTGCTGACGGGATAGGTGGACACATTGTAAACAACAACTACCATTATCCATTTGCTCCGGGACCTTCGGGTCTTGCTTTCCAGCAACCACTCGAGAGCAATGACGATGAAGGGAACTCGTCATCAGGAGACAAGCATGACCTTTTCAGCGAATTTGATCGCATATACGAGCAGCATCCGTCGGCGGCCCAGCTGTTGTCTCTCATAGGCATGTTCCATCCACGGAGCATTCCAAGATCGCTCCTTCTGGACCCGACTTCATCGACTTCTAGAGTGGCCAGGCAGGAAGTCGAGCGAAAATTCGAGAGAGATTCCGAAATTCTGCTAGACTGCTCTGTTGTCCGATTAGATACAGACGGCAGCGGTCTCTCCATGGATGGTTTCGCACATCACTGCGTTAAAGAATGGCTGTCCGAAGATCAAGTACGATTTTTCAAATTGAGGTCTTGGTCCGCTCTGGCGAGCAACATCCCGGATCCTAATGCAGGTAATTTGGAACGCTTTGAGTCGCTGCTGCCGCATATAGAGGTCGTGGCGATGGAAGATCCACGGTCGGTCGATGCACAGTCAGCGGTCGTGTGGACCACTATCCTCAGACGCGGAGCGTGGTACGCCCACAGGACCGGGCGATACCCGATGGCCGAGCAAATGTCCCGTAAAGCATTGGGTGTAAGCAAGGAAATGTTTGGGGTGAATCACTACAAGACAATACGCTTCAGGTCACAACTGGCAAGAGCATACGCTCGTCAGATGAATTACCCTGCAGCGGAAAAGATCCAGTCTCGAGTCGTTCAACACCAACGCAAGACATACGGCGCCAAAGACCGTAGAGTGCTACTGGACAGCTCAGAACTGGCCACGACTCTTTACCACATGAACGACCCTGGAGCAAAAGCCATCTACCGTGAGATACTACCTGGCTTGGAAGGGATACTGCGCGATAACAACCTGTCCCCCACAGACACCAGGAATATCAATGCCGCCATTTCAGAAACATTGCACGGCCTCCAGAAGTGGAACAAGTGTGAAACCGTGGACCGCCAAATCCTAGCCAGGACGCTCGAGACCTTGTCAAGATACGACCTGACCTCTCTGAACGCCATGGACAGACTAGGTCTGACACTGCAACGCAGAAACAAACACCAAGAAGCCGAAACCTTGTTCCGGGCTTCGATAAAAGGAAGAACGGAAAAGCTGGGTGATTGTCACATCGACACATTAAACTCGATGTTGCATCTCGCGGATACTCTAGCAGCGCAACATGAGTTCCGCGAGGCGAAAGTACTGTACAAGGAAGCACTCGATGGATTCGAAGAATGGGTAGGGTCACAACATGAGATCATAAGGAGATGTTACAAGAGCTTCCAAGACTGCTCGGGCATGGTCCAAGATGACGTCGAGAGGCCGAGAGCTCGAAGCAGTAGTGGTGAAAGTCAAGAATCGGCAAGCAGTAGTGACGATGGCCAATATGCGAGTTCTAGTGATGGTTACCAGGCTCACAAGCAAGGTGAGCAGCACATTGATAGGAAAAGAGGCGTGTTCAAATGGTTTAGGCGAGGCTAGAGTTCCGATCATAACTCTGGTTATACAAGTGCTTTGTCTTGGTGTTGTCATCTATTGGGCAGATGCGTGAAGGTAAAGAGAAACGCTAACAGAGTACGAACAATGTGAAATTCAGAGTAGCAAGATGTGGAGAGGTCTGTCCGGCCCCTGTGTCTCCTGGCTAGGCTAGGAGGTCGGTCGTGTGGTAGCCATGCCGAATCGACTGTACCTCAAGTGTAGGATCATCAAACCAGAGGGAACCCCTTCTGCTATATACGGGCATAGCTTCATGGCAGGCTTGTTGTGGGCCGTTGGGTATTGGGTGTAGCAGCCGTCTCCGGCTAGAGTCCCAGCTATTGGCTATGTCTGCAGGCATGTGTTGGTAAGTTCATTGAGCGTACCGTAGCTCTGGCGGGAGATTCATAGAGCGGAAGGCTGTGGACGACGTCTCTGTAAGCGATGTTAGATCCCCCGTGACCAGCGGACAGGGCGAGCCGCTCGCTTGTGCCTGTGTTGATGCCATGTAGGAGTGCCTGTGGTTTTTCTTCCAGAAGGGAAGATTTTGGCATGACGATGGAGATAACTCCGAGACAAGTGTGAAGACTACCGCAAGACAGGTAGTCATCGGTACTTGGCTACGAGGCCACAGCTGGGCAACAGTCGGTGCAAACGTATTTTGTGCAGCGTTTGGCGATGAGCCAGGCACTACTTCCGCAGTCCCTACGCCATCAGGATTACAAGTCAGCACCTTCCCGTCTTCTGTCAGAACAAAGGGCGATTCTCCCGCTAGTCAATCACTCCTGCCAAAGCAAAGTGTAAAGATGCGTCGAGGAAATCTGCAGGATAAACGTCATTTTCTGTTTCTCATTGGACATTTTCTTCCTTGCTATACCTACGTTTCCTTGGGCTCCGTTTGAGTACACATTTCCTTCGCCTTTTCCCATGCAACATAATTCCGAGCATGTCATGAACGCCTCGCTAAAAACAACAACTCTTCACTGAATGCTATATGGAGCCTCCTTTTTCACAAGGTATCATTTCATCGCCTCTGGTAGGCATTAGGAGGCATGCCTGGTGGTGGAGCAGCGAAACCAGGGGGCATACCGGGCATACCCGGCGGTGGCTGAAATCCTGGGGGCGGACCAAAGCCAGGCGGCATACCGGCCGGAGGATGAGCAAATCCTGGTGGCGCAAAGCCTTGAGGTCCATTGTAACCACCAACACTGGGAGGGGGCCTTGCAGGCACACCAGCGGCAGCGGGCGGGGCGGCAAGTGGAGTCCTGGCAGTGGGAGGGGCGCCGTAGCCGCCGGTCACGGGCGAGGCACCGTAAGGAGCGGCAGACATTGGTGTGGGTGGTGCGATAGGAGTAGCGATTTGAGGAGCCATGAGTTGCGGGGGTAGAGGTTGGACTTGAGGCTCGATGTTGTGTTCACGACCGGCAGCAGCAAGGGCACGCTCTGCAGCATCTCCGTGACGCTCTCCTTTGCCATCTTTCTTGAAGGCGTACTGGACGGTGATTTCCTTGTTCATGAGGTATTGGCCGTGCATGTTTGCGATGGCGTCGTCGGATGCTTCAAAGGTGGTGAAGGAAACGAAACCGTAGCCCTTGCTGAGGTTTGCGTCGTCGCGGGCGACCTAAGGAATGATTAGCGAAGTGCACAAAGCAGATGCAGAGAGTGGCGCATACCTTTGGCGCAGAGGTCAAGCTGCCGAAGCGGCTGAAAGTCTCGAACAAGACGCGCTCGTCGACCATGGGATCCAGGTTTCCGATGAAGAGCTCAGCACCCACGTCCAGAGTCTTTTGCTTATCTGCTGAAGCCTTGTTGACACGAATGGGCTTTCCCCATAGGCGGATCTGGTTCATAATTTTGGCGGCATAGTCGGCATCCTCCTCACTGACGAACTCGACGAAGCCGAAGCCCTGGTGTGTTTGCGTGACGCGGTCTTTGGGGAGATGGACGTTGACGATGCGGCCAGCTTGGAGCATCAACTCCCAGACGAGTTGGTCCGTCACACGCTCATCGAGATTGCCGACATAGACGGTCGCTTCCTTGTCTTGTTCCCTGGAAGGTGTTAGCTCGAGCTCGCGGTCTTTATGCTTTGCGCGCGTTGCTATTGGTGAGATTGACGGGGCATTTGGTCATGGACTAGGCAGGATCAACATACCAGTGCTTTCCTCCCGACGCCATGATTGCTCGTGTAGATGGGGTTGGCTGGTCGAGCAGCTGTGTCTTGTCGCATTCTCGGAGAAGTTCAGCAATGACGGAAGGCTCCGCTGCTTCTTTTCGCCGCAAAGCCCGACCTGACGCCCGTCGCAACTGACGTTTGATTCAACTTCTTCTTGTCCAGCCATTTGATCCTTCTCGCCCTTGAAAATCTAGTCAACATGCAGCTTTCAGAAGAGACCAAGGTGCGCTGATTCTAAACATCTTGTGCCTGTGACTTGGTGGCTGACTTTCATCCAGGAGCGCATCTCGCGCGTCATTGACATTTCCCGTGTCGCTGTTCACTAGTACGTTCGCTCCATACCTATGCCGTCTGCTCCATACCTCTGCAATCTGCTGCATCTCGGATCTCTCGCGCTTCATTTGGTTGTTCTGGGTGGACTCGAAAGGAAAAGAAAGAGCAAGGAGACAATCTGCCAAATACCGGACCATCAATGGCTAGCACGACGAGATACTACAACCTTGTACGAATGCGAAAGGACTTGCGCTGACAAGTACGCTTACAGCGGCTACCTCCCTCTGATCATCTACCTTGGTTACACCCGCAGTGTGCCTCGCCCTTCGTTGATCAAGTACGCAAGCTCAGGAACATGTTCAATCCAGCACGCTAACATCAGCCAGGCTCTTCTCTCCCCTTGCCATCTAAGCAGGATAAGCTGGTCGGAAACTGTACGATAGACGAAACGAAGCATGGGCTTGTGTTGAGGGTTTCGAACAGGCCCAACGGATTGCAGGACAGCCAGAAGCCTTGACTTCTGCAGACATCGCCATTGAAAAAGGCAACTCCTGCCATTTCTTTGTACAAAATAAAATATGGCCTCTTGATGAAAAACGGGCTACTTTGATGAAACCACTGAATTCTAAACATCTCTATCTATGGGTATCCTGCTTCTGCTTTTCCAACATGCTTGCAATCAATCTTCTATGAAGCGTCTTTGTCCTTCTTGAATCTGCTGGCGAAGGCTGGGAAGTTCATGGTCGACTTCTTGTCGACTGGACTGGCCGCCTGAGCAACGGCAGCTGCCTTCTGTGCCTCGACGCCCTGACTGACCTTTTCGAGCAGCTCGGCTCCGTTCATCTTGTCCACCTTGCCGAACCTCTTGCGGCCCTTCTCCACGTCGAAGAACTCTTCTTCGGCGCGTCCTTCGCCCTCTTTGGCTACAGCCATGAGCTCGACCGTCTGGCGCAATTCGTCAAGACCTTCCATCAACACGGGGTTGTCGAGACTGCGGACAAACTCAATCAAATGCTCCGTGTCGAGGCGGAAGGCCGTAACACTTTGAGGTGAGAGGCGACGGATAGAGGGGTCCAGGGGCAATGCAAGGATGGCATTGCTGATATGGGCAAGAGCGTCAAAGTAGATGAGCTCCTTAATTTGCACAGGCAATCCAAGCAAAACACTGGACATGACGTCGGAGAGATAGCGTGTCAGCTCTTGCATGTACGGCGAGGCAGCAGGTGGTTCATAGGTGGAGCTCCAGTCATATTCGGCAGTCTCGATCAAGTCGTCAATCTTGCTGTTGACGAGTTCAAAGATGCGCTTCTCAGCTGCCTTCTTGGCTGTAGTGAATTCTTCTGTTGCGGCGAGCACGATTGGGCCGGCTGCGCTGCTCGACGAGCGTGCTTCTGCGAGTAGGTCTTGTAGCTCTCGACATGCCGTCTCGAAATGGTCGAGGTTGGTCAAAATTTGCACAATCTGGCCGGGGTATTGCGAAGAGAGTCGTTCAACAAGTGATCGGCACACTTTGTGACAAAGAAGCTCGTCTAATGACTGTAAAGAAGCATATCAGTAAACGCTTTATTTTTATGTGAAGCTTGTTTGCTTACGCTTTTGAGTGTGTCGTCGATTACACCGGAGTTCTGGAAGTGGTCGTCCGAGAATAGATAGATTTGATTTAGAAAGTTCCGGATGTCGATACAACAAAGTGGGTACATCTGTGAGAAAGGAAGAACACAAGGGAAGCTTCCGGAATCAGTAAAAATCCTGTATATCTCAGCCTTGTTTACATACTTCTGCTGCTCGCGGTCCTTCTCTGGTGTGTACCAACTGACGTTGATCACCTTGTCATACTCATCGGGATTGTTGATAGGCATAGGCATATAATCGTCGGTTGAAACAATCTACGTGTAAACGTCAGCTTTTGACACGCAACACGAACCGCTCCGCTGGGCTCAAAAATTTTGCGTCGCTCACCTCCTGGAAATCTTCGCTGAATCTCTGCTTCAGCAACTGAGCATACTTGTCGAAAATTGTAAGGAGCAACTGATCGAGACTATCAACTGAGTATCCCCAGCTCTATCACTCATTGTCAGCGCGTCACCGAACGTGTCATTGAGCAGCTTTCGACGCGAAGAGAAAACTCACTCCCATGGTTTGCACGAAGAGGGCGATCACCCCCTTTATCTTCAGAAGTCTATCATCGTTGTCGATGGTAGGTAGAGACTTGCTAACAAGTGCGATAGCACTCTGACACATGGAGTCCCAGAGCTCTTCGATCTAGACTTCTGTCAGTAACTTTCTTCTGACCGCTTGGAGGATTTGCCTCACGTCTGTCAAGGATCTCAAGTTCTCTGTCTTCAGCATCGTGGCCTTTTCGACTATGGCAAACCCAGCGATGCTCTCCAGCAGAGTGCTCAGTTCACCCGCGTCTTCGTCTAGGAGATCCAGACTTGCGGGCAGGAGCAGCTCCTTCTGCCTCCTCCTGGTTGCTGAATAGTCTTGACGGAACCTCTCATTCTGGCCTAAAGCGTTGTGTATATGAATGGCCTCGAACAGTGGAGAGAAATCGACTTGCACTTCCTCATTGTTCAGCACATCAAATTCTTCGCTCTCATCAGCGACAGACTCCACTGCTGAGTTGAGTTTGAAATTGGCGAGGTCTGGGTTTTCTTCAAATCGCATCTTGTGTCTTGTACGGCGCATCTCAGTATGGTAGAATGCCACCTCGCCCAAGAATTGCGAAGTCTCTCGAATCCGGAAGAGCCAAGTGTTCAAATCTGCCATAACAGCCTCAGCAATCAAGCGCTGGGTTGCGGGCACCGAACGCTCAATCATGCCTGCAATCATGTAACGGGTCACTTCCCTGAGGTGGACGTTCTGCAATTCGTCCAATGCTCGAAGCGCTGCATACCGGTTCTTTTCTTGCAGAAGATCGTGTACCTGGTTTGCAAGCCGCAGAACCTCGAGGCAGTCCTTCAAAGCTTGGGTGGCATCGTCAATATTTTGCCTCACGCCTCTGGAATCAACCAAAGCTCTCTTTTGTTCCGCGAGTTTCTCGGTGGTGGCCTCTATTGACTGACTGAGACTCATAATCTCGGCTGTCAAAGTGACTGTACCCTCCCGGACGCGCTGAAGCTGGTTGACGGAGCTGATGAATTCTTGATGATTGGTGTTGCAGATGCGCTCAATCTCAGCCTGTCGATCGTTCGAGACTTGATTCAGGGCTTGTATGAGATGTCCTGCGCGCTCTGAGTTTCTGACATCTCGCATCACCGGAATCAGCTGGTCGATGTAGTCTGTCTCAGATGATGACAGAATAATCTACGCTTTGTCAGTCCGCTGTCAAGTTGCTAGAGGAACGAACTTCGTACCTGTTGGACGGCGCCCATGAACTCATCATGAGGCTCAATGATTGACGGCATCCTCTAATGCGACCCGGGCCTTTTTCGAGATGGTATGTACTAGGATATGGATCTTTCACAGACGCGTTCCTTGACACGTAATTGTTCGAGGGAAGAACTGGTCGTTTGCCCGAGAGTGAAAGCACAAGAGTGTCGCAATTGACTTCCACAGCAGTTTAAGCGATGACCAAATTGGCTATTCTACACAGTCATGCCTGATGATTGTCGGACTTGATAATTAGAAGAACAGCTCCATGCTCTGGAGTCAAGAGGAGGCTGGAGCAAGTTTGGTCAATGCGCAAAGCTAGGCTCCAACCGCTTAGTCCCCGCAGAGCCGCATTCAATCCCACCCGCTGCCCGCATGGCTGCAGGTGGCATCAAACTGCAAAGCAGGCAAACAAAATCTCAAAGCTTTAAGGTTCTGGGGCAATAAAGAACGAAGCCTGTTTCCAGGCTTCGGAACGTCTATACATCAGAAAAGATTGGGCCATCTGACCGCTCTGCTTGATGCTTAGAAGGGGAGACCTCGGTCGTCTCGATCGCGCGGTCGTCAAACTTACAGCATGACGTGCGAGCTCACCATCAAGGTGGAAGTGCCTCCACTCTTCGTCGCTGCCTCGAGAGATTTTACGATCCAGAACTTATCTTCTGATCTATACCATCTTTTCCCTCTGCCCCCATATAGAACTGTCTCAGGTTCTACTATGTCGAGTGTCCGATATCACTGATCAACTCGATCTCTGCAAAGGCCCATCTTCAGCAGGTTACAACCATATAGAGAAGGAGCGACCAGTCGAGCCTTCCTCGATAGTGGCATTTCGGGCGCCTTCCTCCACCTGCTGTACCGTCTTCGCCTACGCCCTTCCGAAACTTCTCGTCTGTAGGCTGTAGCTTTGCTGTTCGATCATTGTTGGTCGAAATCTCATTGCCCTTACCGGTCTGCTCGTTCAAGGACATTGTCGTCGGTTGAGTAGTACGAAGATCGGCTTGGACAAACCCTCTCTTCCTCTACTGCTGCAGAACCTTTTTGTCTCTGCTGCTCGCTCCACGATACCATTGACGACTCCTGAGAAACGCCCTCCACGAGAAAGTGATTGCCTGCTCTTTCCAATACGACATCATCGTTGATCAACCGATCTAAAAACTGGCTCGTACGAAACACACAACCAGTACTGCTTGTTGGAGGATATCGTTGACAATTAAGAAAGCTGAAGGTCATCTTGCACAAGAGATCACGTCGACCAAGTCGGTTGGGAAAGGCACTTTCCTTCTCACAAAAGTCTCCTTCCTCGTCCGCAACCTCATTGTCTCTGCTTGTTCAACAGCAACACTATCGACGATTGAACGAAGCAAGACCCAGCATAGTTTCCAGACACCATCATCTCCTCCGTTGCACAAAGGTGCACTGCTCTACGTGCCTCTTCTACGACGACATCATCGTCGACCAAGCAAACTGAAAGCCAGCTCGACTAGACTAGACCGTTCGCTCCTCCCTCATACAGAGAGTCACTGCTTCAAGTGCCTGTTCGATAAGGACATCATCGTCGACTAAACGAAGCGAGAAGGCTACCCTCTTCTTCATTGCATTAAAGGTCACTGCTATTCGTACGAGTCTGTTCGATAACGACATCATCGTCGAGAATCTCCTTCATTGCATCAAAGATCACTGCTATTCGACGACGACATCGTCGACGACTAAGCGAACTGAAGACCTGCTCAGCTAGAAAATATCATTCGCTTCAAGATTCACTGCTCTACGTGCCTGTTCGACGACATCATCGACGACTAAGCGAACTGAAGGCCTGCTCAGCTGGAAGATATCATTCGCTCCTGTTCGACGACGACGACATCATCGACGACTAAGCGAACTGAGAGCTTGCTCAATCATAAGAAAGCATCTTTCTTCCACCCCAACCAACCTCCACACCTTCCACTCCCAACATCCATCTCCGTTTGGAATCATACATCGTTTAACGCGGTGTCTGCTTCGTCTTCTTCTTCTTCTACATCTTCTTTGACCAAGGTCACTTTCCAATCCGTCTTTCGCCCTTCTACATCCGCGCGCATCTTCATCGCACCATGTCTCATCTGCCCTCCAAGATGGAGCGTCAGGATAGCGGTAACCCCGCTGACAACCGCAAGACTCTTCAGAGTGCTGCTGTTAACGCTGCTTGGTTTACTCCCTCGACTATGGTATGTCTTCTTTTCTTGTTCTGCGCGCAACTTCGCACCACCATTCCCAAACCTTCCTTCATCCTTTGTGTCTTCCCTTCTCGAGCTTTGGTCTCTTGTACCTCACCTCGAAAGAAGCCGAGTCTCTCGCTTCCGCTTTACGTTTGATTTCTCCTTCTCATCCATGCCAACACATGCACCTTCCACATCTCAGCTTGTTCTTCTTCACGACTCTTGTCTCTGTTCTTTCGATGACCTCTCTTCCTTGTTCAAGAGATCCGCATACCGAGCAGCACTCGTCCCTTTCATCCTTCATCACATCACATCTCATCTCATCTCATCTCATACTATCTTTTCTTCTTACTCATCCCTTCCTTCAACTTGTGCCTTCTTCATGACCTGTCTCCCTCATCTCATAGCTTTCTTTACTCTTACTCAAGTACTAACTCTCTCTTTCAGCCTCAGAAGAGCATCATGTCTCCCTTTGGAAACGTGTTCACTCCCAGCAAGGGTGCCTCGAGCTCGCTCGCCTCAACTTTCGGGGACTTCCACACTCCCAGCCAGGGTAGTGCCATGAAGTTCTTGAACGCCGGTTCGACTGCTGAAGGTTCTTCGACAAAGCGTTCGTCTTTGTCACCTGTCAAGCCTGTCGGATCTGGCTTCTCGTCGCCCTCTCGCGTGTCTGCACCTCTTGTTCAGGGCCCCGTGTTCAGCACTGACACCGACCCCAACACCTCAGAGACACGCTTTGTCTGCTTCGATCTCATCCCTGAGCAATGGACCCAAAACTCTGCTGACGGCTGTGTGCTCAACAGAGCCCTTGAATACGTGAGTTCTTCTTTTTCTGTGTGCTGATTACTCTCTGACTTCTTGATAGACTGGTCTGATCGCATTGATCGACACTGCTGTGGGTTCTCCCAGTGAGGTTCCCGGCTTTGTGAACATCTTCTGTCGCTTTGACGACCTTCGTGCTGCCGCCGCCTCGAAGACTCTGTTCGAGACTGTTCTCACCACTGTGGCATTCAAGTTCATCAGCCATCATGAGTATTTCGGTGCTGATCACACCAACCCCCGTGCTCACGCCATCTCAGCCTACGATGGCCAAGTCGAGTTCACAGCCGTGCCCAACAACATTCTTGAGATCAACATTCACGCCATCTACGCCGAAGTTCTAGCATTCGCTAAGAACTTCGGTGACGTCCGCTCGTTTTCTTACATCGAGCCCAACGGTTTCGAGGCTCCCCGCTTCCGTAGCGAGTACTTCTCTGTGAAGTCTGCCGAGAAGGCCATCGCTGCCAGTACGCAGAGCGTAAGTATCTTCTCTTCTGAGGAAACCGAGTTCAAATGCTAACTTTCTTAGGATGCCATCTTCATCTCGGCTAAGGAGTACAGCCCTCGTGGCTATGTTCGCTACGCCCACCCTGCTGCCCAGGGCGGCATGGACCAGCTCGAGATCGCCACTCGCGAACTCGCCATCGATGACGGTTATGACAACGGTCGTCAGTACCAGGGATTCTCACAGTATGCTGACTACCCTCCTCGTCGCGGCCATGGTCCTCGTCGCGCTCGCGGTGGATACCGTGGCGGTTATCGCGGTCATGGTGGCCGTGGTGCTCTCGTTCTCTCCGAGGACTCAATCGTCCACCAGACTGATATGGAGTTTTGGCGCTTTAACCAGCCCCAAACTGTCAATCTCCTCAAGATTGAAGCCGGTGTCGACGTCCGTACCACCGTGATGCTCCGCAACATCCCGAACCGCGTCGACTCCCACGATCTGAAGGAGTGGCTCGACAAGAGCTCCTTCGGACACTACGACTTTAGCTATCTTCGCATCGATTTCAGCACAGAGCTGAACGTTGGTTATGCCTTCGTAAACTTCACCCACCCCGAGCACATCACCAACTTCGTGAACTCAAAGGTTGGCAAGCCCTGGAATCTTTACGGCTCTACCAAGCGCTGCGAGGTCTCTTACGCCACGATCCAGGGGATTGACTGTCTCCTCGCCAAGTTCCGTAACTCCGTCATCATGGAGGAGGCTGCTTCCTGCCGCCCCAAGCTCTGGTACCACCATGAGTCGGATGACCTGCCCGACACCAACGCTGTCGGCACCGAGGCTCCGTTCCCTGCTCCCAACAACGAGCAAAAGCGCAAGCGTTCCAGAGACAACGCGACCACCATCGGTCTCTTCCCCTCTCGCCACGGCAGGGGTCCCTACGGCCCGGGTTCCCATTACCGCGAGGGCCAGTACGACCGCGGAACCTCCTTCGCTATTGAGGAGGAGCGTCAGCACGAGGAGCAGCGCCAAGTTCGCTTCGAGCGCCGCCAGCTCGGCTACCGTGGCAACGGCCAATATCAGCAGTTCGGTAGAGCCCGCCACCAGCAGCAGTACGAGAGCGCACATCGTCAGCAGTATGAGGGCGCTCGCCCCCAGCAGCGTGGCGCTCGCCACCGTCAGCAGTACCTTCCCCGTCGCGGCGGTGGTGGCTACTACCAACAGGGCCGTATCCTTGGTCCCTACGACAACGACGAGGACTACTACGACGAGGAGGAGGACGACTTCTACCACGGCGATCGCGACTCTGACTACTACCGTCGTTAAAGTCTTTGGGGTTTGACGCAGTCCCTGCGGTCATTGAGTACCCAGGGCTTGGGCGCATGTTATCTTTGCTTGAAACCAATGTTTCATGCGCATGATCTTGTCGCTATGAGCGACCTCGTTGTCTCATTGTCATCTTTTTGGCACGTCAGCACATTTCAAAACAAAAGGCGGAAAACATTGGCGGGATGGAGTTTCAGGTTTGAGCAGCATCGAGCACTACTTCTGGAGACAGTTCCTTCTGGACAAGGTCTTTGGGAAGGTTGTCTTCTTTGCAGGCTGGGTATGGATTGAAATAAGGAGGAGATCTGGTAGATAAATGCTCCAAAGATAGAGGATGGTATTCTCTTTCACAAGACTTTAGCTTAGCTTTGCTTTCACAAATCACAGACAGACTTGCCTCGAAACTATCTTTCACCTTCCTCTGTGTATCTTTGCTGTTTGAGAATAATGGAAGGCTTCAAAATGCAGTGGTATGCAGTCGAATTGAGCGCTTTCTGGACAAGCCCTAAATCCGATAACTCCGAGACGAGAGTCATTCTTGGCGACTGTGGGATCTCTCTCTTTCCATTTTTGCATCAACGTAACCAGCATCAATACTCTCTTTTCTGTCCAAGAAGTTGGCTACAGTGTTCAGTCTGCAGACTACCTGCGTCGTCATCATTCAAAGGCAAGACTTTGTTGCGACCGAGAGAAGCGGCAACGGATAAAGAAAAACTTCAACCTCAACTCTTGGAGATAGAATAACATCAACTATTTCCAACAATCGAAGCTGCGGTCAGCATATCATCTTGAGATACTGAGACGGTGATTTCGGGGCAGCAGAGGGTTGAAAAATCACTCCACCGTCGACCCATCATCCACTCATACCACGAAGACCACCGAGAGAGACTAGATTACTTTCTGAATATCCGCTTCAGTCTGTCAAGACATCCTGCTTGATTTGAGATTCTTTTTGTTAACTTCGGGTGTTGAAGTTGGATGCCAAATTCACACGCAAGCAATCACGGACTGGACTTGCAAAGACTCTGCAGGCAGATACGAGACTACGCCTTTGTGCCAGGACGTACACACGCATGAAAGCAACAGCAATCGCAAGGCACTATCCACTACAAACAAACAATATGGAGGCCAATCCAATAACAACGATACCAAACTTGCCACCACTTAAATTACCCTCTACCTCACAAACCACAGATCTCCAACATCTACATGCACTGCTGCACCTCTTACATCATCGAAACCACAATCAACATCGTCGGAGCACATGGTACCGTCACTTCAACATCTTCCGTCGCCATCTCGCGACCGTCCTGACACATTTGTCTACACTCGCTCACGTTCCTACCACACACCTCGCTCGCCATAAGAAGAAAGCCGAGGACGAGGCTTTGAGATTGAGGATACAGCAGACTTTGGCTTTCTGGCGTGATGTCTTGGTGCCAAAGTCACAGCATGCTTTTGGGCAGTTGATAGCGGATGGAAGATTTGCAGTGTTGGGTGTGGTGCTCATGGCAGTGCTGGGCAATGTTTGTAGGGTGTTTGGCCTGGTTGGTGTGTACGAGGAGCTAGGTGAGGAGGAGACAAGAAGGGCGCTTGAAGAGTTTGCTGCTGAGGGTTGGGGTGAGGACGAAGGGCTAGGTGTTCTTGTACCACGAGAAGGCGAGAAGAGAGAGGATCTTGGCGAAGTCCTTGTGAGAGATGACGAGGATGATGAGCCCGAGACAAATGCCAGGAAGACAGAGAAGGAGCTGAGGCAGTCCGAAAGTGGCTGTTTGGCTCCCGAACGTGATATGTTGGAGCAGAGTCGGAAGGCACTGAAAGCCATCGCCACGAGCACACCTCTCTTGTTTCCGAGTGATTCAGACACGCCTCCACCAAGAAAGAAGACCACAAAAAAGCTCAAGCCTACAGATCCGATCAGCAGGCAAAGGCCTACCAAGATCCTCCCTGCGGTCAACTGGGACGACAACTCGACTACGCCGCTACCTAAACCGTCGTCAAAGGCCTCATCGATGACCTCAGAACCAGTCACCTCAGTGCCAACGACAAGCTCAAAGCTCAAGACAAAGAGGCCCAAACAGAAGGAAGATGAAGCTTGTACCGGTGCTGCAAAGCCAGTCAAGAAGAAGAGAAAGAAGAATGCAATCGACGATCTTTTTGCCGGTCTGTAATCCACGGGACCATATGAGCACATCACGTATACTACAGATAATCGATATCAATACATCGCTCTACAAGTTTTCGTCTAGTGACACATGCTACGGTGACGATTGGTACGTTGGTCATCCACACCGAGTCAAAGAAAGTGGAATGTACATGGTATGATTATACAAGACGATCATCAACTCAGATACCAGTTTATCAAACGTTTGACTTCATATTCTTGCTCAACGACCTGAGTCGAATGCTGCTTTGCTCTCCACAGATTTAGAAATGGTTGAAAAGCTGTACAGCACACGACAGGGGCCACGTATTCACCTCATATTCACATGCAGTCAATTTACTAGCAGAGACAGCACTCCACTATGTGGGGATGGGTTTTTACAATCACAAGGCAGAACTTCAAGCAATAACGAAAGACAAATTGATTTGGCGCCAGGGTTATCTGATCAGCAAAGCGCGGCAAAACTTCGGCATTGGGAGGCTCGGCTCGCTCAACCTTCCTCCAACGTCAACCCGTGTGGAGGTCAAAGCAAAAAGAATTCTCTGCCACAACGAACAAACACTATTTGCCAGGGCAACTAGCAAAAGGATGATCACGCCAGGGGTCGAACCTGGAATCTCTTGATTCGTAGTCAAGCGCCTTGCCATTGGGCCACGCAACCAGTTGGTATTTGTTGAAGACACGCAGGGTAGCAGGCAATATGTAGTTGACGTGCCCTTGTGGGTGTGGTCTTACGCAATGTTGCTGCCATTATGTATTGGGGTATGTACAGCCGTTCCAACTATAAACATCAGTGTCCGAGACCGGATGGGAGAGCTTGATGGTCATTTTCTTGTCTGGCAGTTCAGCCACGAACTCTGGGGCCATGACCTCTTTCACCCAAGGCCTTGCCCTTGAGCTCGTGAGGAGCAGGAATCTGAGGTTGAGGAAGGTCTTCTTCTTTGTCTCCATTAGCGTCCTGTGTCTTCTCCTCGTCTTTGTTCTGGCCAGGCTTCTTGTTCTTTGCGAAAGACTGGACCCCACTGCCAATGGCACGCATCTCGTCGCTTTCCTGGTCTTCCTGGCCAATGGGCTTAGCAACGTGGTGCTCGACAATGTCCAGCTCTTCTTTCTCGTTCTGGGATTCGCGCTGCTTATGCCAGTCCTCGTACTCTTGCCACCACCAGGTATGCGTCTCGCCATCACGACCAAGGTAGCCGGCCACACCATCTTCGGTGACACGTTTTGCCCATGGCTTGTCGACGATGTAATGCAGACAGACGACCTCTTCATCCCTCCAGATGTTCTCATGCCAGTAGCGCATTGTCTTGAGGGCATTGAACTGCCAGCCCAGACTCATCCACTTGTTCTTGAAGAACTCGGCAAGGAAGTCTTGATCGGGGAACTTGAACTCGCCTAGCAGGGGAGTGGTGTTGAAGAAGTCAATCATGCGGTCCCAGAGCTGCTCCGAGGCGACGAAGAGAAACATGCCGCTGTTGAGCAGGTGGTAGGTAGGTCGTGAGTCTGGCGTGATTGGGGTGGGGTTATGAAGGGCATCGGGATGGGAGACAGCAGTATAGGCGCAATTCTCCTTGGTCCAGTCTTCAGGAGCCCAAGCGTCCTTGTCGAGGTTGCAGACACAGGCGTGGTTGGCAGCGATCCAGTTATTGGCCGGCAGCTGCTTGTCGAAGACGTGGTCCATGTTCTTCTGCAAGATCATGTCGGCATCGAGGTAGCAGATCTTGTCGTAGTTGTCAAGTTTGTATAGCTCAAAGACACGCAGCTTGGTCCAGGTATCGGCGAAACGCTCGGCGATGAGATGAACATGAACATTTTCGCGTGGCAGTAGGGCGTCGACACGGTGGAGGATGAGATTGCTGTGAGGAGCTTCGAGCTCGAGAGCACGTATCGAAGAAGCGGGCAAAGTATCCGTGTAGAGGACGATGAGAGGGAATGCGCTCTTGTACTTGGCCAGCGTGTGAGCGAGAATCAGTACACCCGCGAGGTACGACGACCGCGTGATCAGGGTGCAGTATGCATAGTTCTGGCGTGACATGATGGAAAACTTGATCAGTGAAGTCAAGAATAAGAAAGAAGCAGAAAGTAAGGTAATTGACAGCTAGGTACGGTAATTATGGACAGATAGCGACAAAGTCAATGACGTGGTAATGCTTCAACGACGCTCGGACCTTTGGAAACATGCGGCCTTCTAAACACTAAAGTGGGGATGCATGTAGAATTTAAACTTGTTAGATGGCACCGGTGTGTTCACTCTCTTGAGACCTCTCAGTGCTCAACATGCTCAATCTACCTTCGGGGTCCAAAGGCGAGGTACCTCATTCACAATCAAAAGCCGATTGGGGAACGCGTTCTCGCGTCATCACGCGTTAGGTACCAAGCCATCGCTGCCTTGAGCAAAGGAGTTGCCCGTTCGCATCTCAAGTGTTGTTGGTGAAAGCGACTTCCCTTCCGTAGGTTCGTAGTAGACAAGCAGTCCCTTCGACTTCAATTCCAATTCCAATCTTCCTTTCTTCAAGCATCATCTCTTTGTTGCACAACAGTGACACGACCTGTCAACAAGGAACCGCACAGTCCAGACCCCAGGAACAGGCGGAGATCTGCATTGTTTCTCGGATCTCGGATCTCGGATCTGACTCGCATCGAGACACCCTGCGCCCGTTATCTCCGAAGGCCTTCTGCAGCATCCCTGGGTGGCAACTCGGCGAACTATCCTGTGAGTGAGAGAGCAGTCTTTTCTTTCTTCAACTTTTTGTTGTCCCTTCATTCCAAGCGTACTTTTGTCTTGTCGCTGCCTTTGCCTCTGCGTTTTCTGTTGTCCCACTTTCCTTTCTTTTCATCACTCCAAACTTCCAGCATGGCCCGCCAGACTCGCTCTTCTCTGCGTGGTCGTGAATGTATGCTCACTCGCGGTTACTATTTTGTTCCAGAGTATCCCCGACTGACATTCACTAGCACCTGCTCCCGAAACCGCTTCTTCCATGTCTACAAAACGATCATCCCTACCTAGAAAACCTACAACGATTCCAGACTCAGATCAAGCCGCCAGTGATCAAGACCAAGTGCCCATCGCCACCACCAGATCCAGATCAAAGTCTCAAGTTCAAGTCGTCATTCCCGTCATGTCTTCCCGCGCAAAGGCAGCAGTCCGCTCCAACAGTCCCTCGTCACTATCCTCGCCTGACAGTCAAAATGCTCTGCCAATTGACACCCCGGCCACGAGTGCTAGTGTCACTCCGGAGCCCGGTAAACTCGGACGCATCGCAAACAAGAGAAAGAGAGAGATTGATGACGATGCTGCGCTTGCAAGATCCTTGCAAGAGGAAGAATGGGCATTGCCTCCCAAGAAGATCAAGACTGAGCCTACCAACACTAGAAGATCTATGAAGGCTGCCGTTATTGCAAACTCGGACGAAGATGAGGGAGGCGAGGATCTTAGTGATCTCTCGTCGGTCGTGTCCTTCAAAACCGAACAGGACTCTGAAGAGGAAGAGTCTTTCAACAAGAAACCCAAGACCAGGGGTCTACGCAAAACGGTGCCAGACACCGACGACGAAGAAAAGCCTCTGAAATACGAGTCACGCCTTTCCAAAGCCCGCGCCGGTAAGAAAGCTGTGGTTTCCAAGCAACGAAACTCCGTCACAGTCCCCGACAGCGACAGCGACAGCGAATTATCGACCCTTTCGGAAATCGCAGACGCCGACTTGACAACCGAGGACGAGTTTCGTTCAGAAGATGCTCACTCAGGTGCTGCCGAGACCTCGGACGATGATGACGATCTACCATTGGCTCAGCGTAGGTCCTTTGGTACCGGCGCCGCCACGAACTTCCGCCGCCGACGAGGTCAGGCTAACCTTCTGGACCAAGACCTCGGCGCTGAAATCAAAAAGGTCAGAATGTCCAGAAAGGACCGCGAGAGACTGAAGCTGGAAAAGGCACATCCTTTGATCAAGACCATGTGGAAAGATCTCGAGGCCATTCCCATCGTCAAAGGAGTCGCCGGTACACAACCGCCATCAATCAACCGCAAGCTCAAGTCATATCAGCTTGAGGGTGTTGATTGGATGATCAAGCAGGAGCAGTCGAACTACAAGGGAGGTCTCCTCGGTGATGAGATGGGTATGGGCAAGACAATCCAGGCTGTGTCTCTCATCATGTCGGATTACCCCCAGAAACAGCCAACTCTTGTTCTGGTTCCCCCAGTCGCCCTGATGCAATGGTCTCAGGAAATTGGCGAATACACTGATGGCAAGCTCAAAGTCCTGGTATACCACGGCACAAACGCCAAGTCCAAAGGCATGAAGGTGAACGAGCTGAAGAAGTACGATGTCATCATGATTTCGTACAACAGTCTCGAGTCATTACATCGCAAGGAGACGAAGGGTTGGTCTCGTAACGGCGATCTCATCAAAGAAGCATCACCCATTCATGCCCTTACCTACCATCGCCTGATCCTGGATGAAGCCCACAGTATCAAGACGAGAACTACCCAAGTCGCCAAGGCTTGCTTTGCATTGAAGGGTAAATACAAGTGGTGCTTGTCCGGCACTCCCGTCCAAAATCGCATCGGCGAGTTCTTCTCTCTCCTTCGCTTCTTGGAGGTCAGACCGTTCGCAGACTACTTCTGCAAGAAGTGCCCCTGCTCTCTTCTGCACTGGTCTCTCGATGCTCAGCACATGTGTACCGAATGTAAGCATACTGGAATGGAGCACGTCTCGGTGTTCAACCAGGAGTTGCTCAACCCTATCACTCAGTCTGAAGACTCGCAACTGCGTTCGGAGGCCATGGATAAGCTGTTCCTCATCACATCTCGCATCATGCTCCGTCGCATGAAGCGCGACTATGTTAGCTCGATGGAGCTTCCGCCCAAAGAGGTCATTGTGCACAACGAGTTCTTCGGAGACATCGAGCGTGATTTCTCTCAGAGCATCATGTCCAACACAGCTCGCCAGTTCGACACCTATGTCTCGCGCGGTGTCATGTTGAACAACTACGCCAACATCTTTGGTCTCATCATGCAGATGCGTCAGGTATCCAACCACCCAGATCTGATTCTCAAGAGAAAGACGGCCGAAGGCATGAACGTTCTTGTCTGCAACATTTGCGACGAACCGGCCGAGGAGCCCATCCGTTCGAAGTGCAAGCACGACTTCTGCAGAACCTGCGTCAAAAATTACGCCCAATCCATGGAAGACACCGCCGGCGAAGCAGACTGCCCTCGCTGCCACATCCCGCTGTCAATCGATTTTGACCAGGTCGAGTTGGAGCAGAATGAGGAGGCAGTCAAGAAGAACTCGATCATCAACCGCATCAAGATGGAGAACTGGACTTCGTCTACCAAGATTGAGATGCTTGTGTATGACTTGTACAAGCTCCGCAGCAAGAAGCAGACTCTCAAGTCGATCGTCTTTTCGCAGTTCACGTCGATGCTGCAGCTCATCGAGTGGCGTCTTCGTCGCGCCGGCTTCAACACGGTCATGCTTGATGGTAGCATGACTCCCCAACAGCGCCAAAAGTCGATCGAGCATTTCATGACGGATCCAGACGTCGAGGTGTTCCTTGTGTCCCTGAAGGCTGGTGGTGTTGCCCTCAACTTGACCGAGGCTTCTCGCGTCTTCATTGTCGACCCTTGGTGGAACCCCGCCGCCGAGTGGCAAAGTGCAGATCGCTGTCACCGCATCGGGCAGAGACGTCCTTGCGTTATCACACGATTGTGTATCGAAGATTCTGTCGAATCACGCATTGTCATGTTGCAAGAGAAGAAGGCCAACATGATCAACGGAACCATCAACAACGACAGAGTGGCCATGGAGAAGCTCACTCCCGAAGACATGCAGTTCCTGTTCCGCGGCAATTAGAGTGTCTCTCGAGGAGACGTCGCTCTGCTTTGCTCTCCTTTCCACGTTGCGCCAAGTGATTCCCTTCCAACTTTACGTTTTTTTCCCCTCACCAAACCACCAACATCAGTTATATTACAGATGAGAAGATCCTGGGAGGACATGGTGGTACACAAATTCCTGCAGCATGATTACACGGTTTAACGATATTGCATTGCTTTGTCTTACATTTTTCCAGTGGCGGAGATTGCCACTTTGCTACCTTTAAATAGCGGTTACATTTTGTACGATAGAGTGGATTTATACCAAAAACACCAAAAACGAGTGTTGAGTTTTGTTAATATGTTATTCCACCAGGACAGAGTTTGATCTGATAAGGACCGATAATCGGAGATGATGATTCCCAGTAGGTGGAGCTCTCCCCAGGTTGAGACCAAGGGACCCTTAGGATTTTGAGTTTGACAACTCGGACGAGTGGGCAAGCCGCAAACCGGGCACGAACCAAAGCGTGAAACCGGCGCATCTCTGCAGACCTTTGTTGAGGCTTGGAAGCAGCATCTTCAGCATCCTTCGCTTTCTGACCATGTATACGTGACTCCTCTGTGGCTATTCCGCCCTCCTTCCAGACAAGAACGACCATGTCGACACCTTCGTCATCCCGCCTCTCAGGCTCCGGAGTCAAGAGCTTCCTACCCTTGTCAGAAGAGAGCGCTCTTTCTACCCGAGGACAGCATCTGCCGCAATTGATACGTGAGCGTTCGGCGACCAACACACCGGGTCGGCGCCGTCGCTCGTCGCTGGACGGCAACTTTGCGCCAGGCACCTCCTTCGAGGACTCTGCTGCTGCTAGTGACAACGAGCCGCCGACGCCTTCCCAGCCTCGCCTCAAGGCCACTGCCGCTGTCGCCGACCAGAACCCCGATGCCTTTCGTCGCCTCAGCTCGGGCGCCGCCGCCCTCATGACTCCCCAGATGCGCAGTATGCGCCTGATCGGCAACAGCAATCCACGTTACCGCTGGGAAAAGTACTTTACCTCTGATGAAGACCTCAAAAAGATGAAGAAGCCCATCCGTCAATACTACGAGCGAAACAACTTCCTGATCCAGCAATACCTGTACATCGACAGGCTGCTGGACTCGAGTCTGCCCCACGACCTGATTCAAGAGTATCAGTACAACGTACACAGCAGTTCAGGAGCTGCTGCCGTGCCGCCGACTATCAGCGAGGAGAACGGAGGTGCCAGTGGAAAGGCTTCTGCTGTCGCATCCCCTGCTATCATTCCCATGGATGCCAACGGTAATGGCTCGGCAAACCAGAGTTATAGACTCAAGAGAACACCAAAGGCTCTGTATCGCGTTGGTGCTGATGAAGAGACGCCACTGTTAGCTGAAGATGATAGCAACTCGCTCTTCAATACTGGAATTCCTGCTTTCGAGCCCGATGATGAACCTGACAGCCAAAGTCGCATTGTCAGCATAGCCATCTATCTGAATCTTGTCGCCAACACCGTTCTTCTTGGCTTGAAGATTGTTGTCACTGTTCTTACCTCTTCGGTCTCGGTCCTGGCTTCGCTGGTCGATGCGGCTTTGGACTTCCTTTCAACGGCCATCGTGTGGACTACTACAAGACTGATCAGTCACAACGATATGTATGCCTATCCTGTAGGCCGTAGACGATTGGAACCAATTGGCGTCTTGGTTTTCTCCGTCATTATGGTCACCTCATTTGTCCAAGTCGCCATTGAGGGCTTGAACCATCTCACCTCCAAGGACCATACCATTGTACAACTTTCTTATGCTGCCACGGCCATCATGTCGGCCACTGTAGTTATCAAATTTGGATGCTGGCTGTGGTGCAGATTGATCCCCAACAGTAGCGTTCAAGCTCTCGCCCAAGATGCCATGACCGATGTCGTCTTCAACATCTTCTCCATCATCTTCCCTTTGGTCGGTTATTACGCAGGTATTTGGTGGCTCGACCCCCTGGGTGGTATTTTGCTGTCTTTCTACGTCATCCTCGGCTGGTCTTCTACGTCCCTCTCTCACATTCGCAATCTTACCGGAGCCGCAGCCTCTGCAGACGAGCGTAATGTGCTTCTCTACCTGACCATGCGCTTTGCAAAGACCATCAAGCAGATCCAAGGACTACAGGCATATCACTCTGGCGACAAGCTAAACGTAGAGGTCGACATTGTGCTTGATGAGTTCATGTCTCTGAGAGATAGTCACGATTTGGGAGAGAGTCTGCAGTATGTGCTGGAGTCCGTGCCTACGGTTGATCGTGCCTTTGTGCATCAGGATTACGCTAGTTGGAATTTGCCTTCTCATATGACTCAGCAGGATTAGATGCGGCATAGAGGAGGGTAGATGGTGATGGGGTTGGTAGATGGAGACACGGTGACGGTGGTTAGAGATACCCTGGATGCTTTGCTGGTATATCATGTTCGATGTTCTGCCTTGTGCTCGTATATGCTTTTGTGCCTCTATCAATATTGTTTCCGTCTTTTTCTGCCCATGGGTGCGTTGATCGTGACTTCCTATAGTGTCTATGAGTTGCTCGTTCATTGCCTGTTCATTTTCTCCTTGATCCTTACTTTGCTATACCTTGTATCGCTAATGTTTGATCTTGTCTTATCTTATCACTCTTGCTAGTCCAGAATACAAAGAACAGGAATTGGAAGTGGAAAAGTATGCCTAATCAGGCAATCAAATACCAGAGGTCACACTGTAGCTGCATATAAAAGGACGTCCTCGCTCCTCTGTTCTCCGGGGTTTTGCTCCTTTTTCTCGTTCTTTTCATCACCACACATACAAAGGATGGCACAGCACAAATCACACAAGAGTAGACAAGAATAAATCACAGGTGAAAAAAGGGTTTGTATTTCAACAAGTCAAGTCACACGTGACTCTGTCCTTCTCTTTCCTCACAGCACATCCAACATCGGGATGTCTATCCTAAACATATCATAGCAGAGCTTTAAGCAGAGGCGACAGCATGAGCGACCTCCTTTCTCTCGGCCTCGAGGACACTCTCGAGGACATTGACGGCGTCCTTGCCGACCTTGTTCAACTCAGCATTGACCTCGGAGAGACCGAGCTGCTCGTCAGTCCACAGGGGCTCGTTGCCAACAGTCTCCTGTCCAACACCGAGGAAGCCACCCTGGGCGGCCCAGTCAGAGGTACGCTTAATACCAAGCTGGGTCCAGACCTTGTCGAGAGCCTCGACGAGGTGGTCGCGGTACTCGCGGATATGACCGGGAGTGGGAGTGATGCGGAGACGCTCTTGGCCAACGGGAACGGTAGGGTAGTTGATGGCCTGGACGTAGATGCCGTGGTCCTCGAGAAGCAGGTCAGAGGCCTTCTTTGCGACCTCGGCGTCACCAACGAGAACAGGGATGATGTGACTGGGGTTGGGGATGACGGGGATGTTCTTGGCGGCAAGAGCGTCCTTTGCGGCACGGGTGTGCAGCTGCTGCAGGCGACGGTCACCCTTGTAGGCCATTTGGTACTCGATGGCGGCCTGGGCGCCAGACATGGTAGCCGGGGGAAGAGAGGTGGTGAAGATGAAACCGGGAGCAAGGGAGCGGATGGTGTCGACAAGCTTGCTGGAGCCTGCAATGTAGCCACCAACACAGCCGTAAGCCTTTCCGAGAGTTCCAGTAATGATATCAACACGGTCCTGAACAGTGCCCTTGGGCTGCTCGCCGTTTGCGTAAGCTTCGTAGTCAAGGTGCTCAGCAACACCGGCACCGTTCGGGCCGTACATGCCGACAGCATGCACTTCATCGAGGAAAGTGATAGCTCCGTACTTCTCTGCGAGATCGCAAATCTTTTCAATGGGACCAATGGAACCACACATGCTGTAGACACTCTCGAAAGCGATAATCTTAGGAGTCTCTGCAGGAAGCGAGGCCAGCTTCTGCTCAAGATCGGCCATGTCGTTGTGCTTGAAAACCATCTTCTTGGCACCCGAGTGACGAATACCCTGAATCATGGAAGCGTGGTTGCTACTGTCAGACAAAATAACGCAATTGGGGAACTTTGAGCCGAGAGTGGCCAGAGTAGCATCGTTGGCGACGTAGCAGGATGAAAAGACCAGAGCAGCCTCCTTCGCGTGCAGCTTAGCAACGGTTGCCTCAAGGCCCATTGCGTGCTGGTTGTGACCAGAAATGTTGCGGGTACCACCAGCACCGGCACCGTACATGTCAAGCGTCTCGTGCATCTTCTTCAAAACCTGAGGGTTTCTGCCCATACCGAGGTAGTCGTTCGAGCACCAGACGGTGACCTTGTCCTCGGGGGTGTCCTTGTGGGCGCGAGGGAACTCCTTGGCCAGACGATTGATGTTGTTGAAGTAGCGGTACGACTTGTCCTTGTGCTTCTTGTCCAACTCAGTCTGGTAGAAAGTGTCGTAGTCGAAGCGAGCCGTGTTGGGAGGAGCCGGGGGTACGCCATGCATTTCCTTGGATGACTCCTTCTGCGCCTGTTGCTGCTTGTGCTGCGCGGGAGCAGGGTAGCGGACTATTCATTTGTCAGTCGAGTTCAGCTGTACTTTCGGCTGCATCTGGTAGTACCATCATCGCGTCTCAGAGGGCTGTTGTCCACAGCCTGAGCCTTTTCAGCACGGGTGGTGTGCAGGTAGGCACGAGGGGCACGGGTAGTGCGAGCGCTGTAAGCTCGGGAGCCACCAAAGGTACCGGACAAGAGAGTGTTGGGGCGAGTGCTCTGGACAGCCAATGCCTTGCCCATGACGGGGCAGCGACCAGCAGTTGCCTGCAAGTTGGACATGTTGGCCTGGGCGGCATTGGTGCTGGTGCTGAGCGAACGCAGTGTGGCGGGCGAAGTCTTGTGCAAGAACGGGCACACGCCACGCGATTGACGGAGAAGAGCCTCCATATCGATAGTATTCGTTTATGATTTTTCTTTGTCTGGCTGTTGTTGGAGGGCGAGGGAGGGAGGTGTGGAGGAGAGAAGGAAGAGAGAGGGCGTCGGGCGGATGTAAGAGTAAGTGATGTGTAATTTTGTTCCAAAGTCCCCGACCATCGAAACACTGGGAATGAACCATTCTCGATTCGAGACCCGATGTCGACCGGCACCGGCAAACGCCCTTGACGAGGGCCCCTCGCAGCATAAGGCCATATTCGCCACTTTTCATTGGTCCAATTTGGTCGCTTTCTCGGCGATCCCTCGCTGGTGACGCTAGAGACAAAGAACATGAAGCCTCGGCGCTGATTCCCGTCAGCTTCTCACGCCGTTCATCTCCTATTTCGCACCGTCTTCTGCCGTCTGCTTTTCGACTACAAACCCCGATGCTCACCTCTCCGTGTCGCTTACGGCATCTGCCAATTCCCGGTGAGCTCTCGCGATCGTATGATAATTCACAAGCACTCTGCTCCTCCTATTCCTCCAAAGTGTCCAATGTCATTCCTACGAATACAAAGGCACTTTTAACCTTTTGATCAACACACCTGGGTCAAGAAACGAGCAGCGCACGCTTGACGCATGTGCGGTGCAGGCTTGCAGCGGTTCTTACCTTTTTTACCCCTCTCTCCCAATCTGGAAATTCCCCAACAACGCTCCATGTCTAGGATAAGCTTACCAAATGCTTGATTCCTGTCTTACTGTACCTGCTTCGTGCATCTTGTAGTTGTCTCTTGTAGTTGTTATTCTCCGTCGGTATATTTACCTGCCTACATTGTCAACATTGGAGTCGAGGTCGTGGTGCGCGCTGATGATCGCTGTCGATCTTACCGGAGCAGACTTGAAGCTTTGCGACAGCTGCTCATTCCTTTGTTTCTGAAGCCATTGACATCGATGGTCGCGCATTCATGCAATCACACCTGATGCCTCGGTAAGTTCTGTCCCTTGTCCCAAAGCTACGAGGAGAAGGAGGAGAGTCCAGTGATGATCACCCAAGAGACTATTGATGCCTCGTGCGGGAACATGGGTCGACTTCACTGTTCAGACCACCGCACATGTCGAGGACATGAGAACTCGATTACACTTGATCTGAGGACTTTGATCTTTCTCCACCTCCATGTCTTCTATCTTGTACCAATTGCTAACCACAAGACGATTGCAGTTTGAAGCATTCGGGCTTAGTTGAGTAGATTCATGCACCGAGGTCTGGAATGGAAGATGTTTGTAGTAAGAAAAAGGTTCATACAGCTCATTAATGCATGCTATCCATGGAGAATGTTCAGGAAAACGAAAAACGACCGCCCGATATGCATACCGCGAAAAAACAAGGTAAAGAAGAACTCCGAGCCCAATGCATGTTTCCATCCCGTTCCCATCCCGTTGATTTCATACCCGTTTCCTTCTCATTCCCAAAACCTATCGCCCAAGGTTCATCATTCAGAAAACTCCAGAAAAGGCAGAAAATCCAGAAACAATCGCAAAGACTCCAAACAGAAAGTACAAAAAAACACAAAATCCACACCTTAGAAACACTTTTTGTATCGTCTCGTCAGGAATGTCCCTCTTTCCACCATTTGTTCATTCGTATGCAGGGTTGTCGACCTTTTGTGCTGCTAATACAGCCTCATAGTCGTGGGTATCATTTGTTTGATGTTCATAATCAACATTCCGCGCAATCTATACGCTGGGTTCGTAGGGGCTCCGGGCCTAGTTGTGTCGAGTTTAGAATCTCGAGGTGATGCTTCTGCTGATGCTGGGTCTTTGAGAGCGCTTGGCTGGGCTACCCATGCTGCTGCTTCCAGGGTGGGTAGGCTGAAGCTGGGGCTGCTGCTTGGAGCCGATCTTGCCAAATTCTTGGAGGATGTCAACACCCTGCTCGTCGAAAATATCGTCCTGAATACCGAGACCGAAGAGCTCCTGTCCATGCTGAGGGAGGTAGTTGTCAAGAGACAGATCCAGCCAGTCGGGGGCGTTGACACTGTTCTCGGATACGCCGGTGGAGGGAGGAGCCATGGTGACACGCTTCAAAGGCGAGCCGAGCATGACAGGAGAGCGCAGTTGGGCAGGGTGAGTGGCCTTCAGAGGGGTGAAGTGGAAGTTGAAGGGGGAGTCAAAGGCCATAGCATTGCCCTTGCCCGAGGTGATATCAGCCAGGACACCAGTAGAAGTGACGGCACGTTCAATGCGGGGACGCTTCTTGCCAGGGCTGCCGCGAGCGCTGAAGTCTTCAAGAACAGCGTTCTCGTCAAAGACGTCGTTGGAAGGGCGCCATGGAGTGAGGTCTTTGGCAGGAGTGAACTCGTCGAGATTGAAGGCAGGGGAGAAGGGAACCAGAGGAGTCCAGCTCTTAGCAGGAGATTCACCGAGGAAAGCCTTGATGTTGTTGCGGTGGTTGCGCAGGCTGGTGTTAGGAGAACACGATTGCGGAGGCTTGGCAGGACGCTTGAAGACAACAGCAGGAGTCAGAGGAGCAACTGCAGCAGCTGAAGAGGTGGGGCGCTGGGGCGAAGTGTACTCGAAGTGGACTGAAGGCTTGCGCTTGTGAGGAGCAGTCTTCTGCTTGGTAGGGCTGTCGTAGGAGGAGCTGCGGATGCGGGCAATCTCTTCCTCAGCACGACCACGCTTGATGCGGCGGTGGTCCGGGTCGGCATCCGAAGTAAGGGTAACGTGAGAGACAGTAGGGTTTCTAACTACCGACGACTCTATCGACGAGTAGTAGCCACTGTCTTGGGGAGCGTTGAACTTGCGTTTGCGGGCGCCGCCAGAGTGTGTCTCGGTGGGGAATCGCATACGAGAGGAACGAGGAGGAGTGTCTTGCATGGGCGGAGGAGACGAGCCAAAGGCTGGGGGAGGCGATGAACGCATAGAGGCACGTGCGGCAGGAGGAGGCATAGCGAGCTCATCGTCTTGGAGAGCAGGGTCGCTAGCAGGGATAGTGCCGTCCGATGAAAAGTGGTCTTGAGGAAACGAGGCAGAATCAACAGCCTTAGTGTCAGTCTTCTTGACCGGGTTGGGACCCAGAGCGAAGCGGCCAATCGCAGGAGTTGTGACGGGACGGGGAGCGTTGCTGGGAAGAGTTTGCAGAGGCATCATGTCGGAGGGAATTTGCACCTTCTTTAGAGGACGGTCCTTGCAGAACTGACGCTCCATACCAGGCTCGATTGCCCAGTAGTTACCCTTGCCGGGGTCATCCTTGGGGCGCTCCTGCTTAATGAAGGCCTTGTTCAAGCTGAGATTGTGACGGATGCTGTTCTGCCAGCCAGTCTCGGATGCGCGGTAGTACTTGAAGTTGTCCGAGATCCACTTGTAGATCTGCGCGAGTGTGAGGCGGCGGTTGGGCGCGCGCAGGATGGCCATGCCAATGAGGGTCGCGTAGCTGAAGGTGGGCTTGTTGCCGTCGTCGTGTACTGAAGGCATCTCTTCGGGCTCGGGTAGGACAAAGTCGAATTGCTCTGCCGGCTTGACAGCCTTCTTGTTGGACTTGTCTGCCAGTGCTCGCTTGATTGGCACTGCTTTTTGTGCGGCGTAGACGTGGTGGTCGTAGGGGAACATGTTTTCCTTGTTCATGTTCATGGCGGAAAAGAAACCGCGCTTGGCGGGAGAGTCGATGGAGGAGTTTGGTTGCAGCGGAGAGGGGACGGCGATGTTGTTGTGGAACGAGCGTCTGCCAAGAGAGCCGGCTGGCGAGCTCGAGTTCTTTCTCGGTGAGCCGGTGCTGAGCGAGTTGTGCGAAGGACTGAGCAAGAAGCCCGTTTGTCTAAAAGGTTGTTGGCCAAGGGCGCTTAGAAGAGCTGCCTCGACCGAATCTTGTGGGAGATCGTGGAAAGTCGTGGACGGCAGTACCGGCACGGGATCGTGGTAGATGTTGAGCTGGTGGTGGTAATTCGTCCGACGCGTCGACGCCATGGACCAGATGTGCAGGTTAAGATCTAGGTGGAGGGATTGGTGAAGGCTCCCACGAGTGAAGAGCGGAGCTGAGCAAAGCTGCGTGTTTCGAGTTCAGACAGCCAAAAGATGGAGAAGATGGTCAGGCTTGGCGTGCTTCGGGCTAGTTCGTCTTGTGCGCTTCGAGTTGAACAGGCCGCTCCTGGCTTGGGGTACAGCCTTTTTTTAATCTTTCTGCAAGCCTTTCTGCAGGAAAAGGAGCTTGGTTAGCACGAAGACCGCCAGTAGGCCCTTACAGGCTTGCGACTAAGATTGCACCCGTTAAGGGCAGAAGGGGTGCCTCACGCTTGGGCGTTAAAGAAACCGCCCTGCCTTGCTCCAATCACGAGCTCGGGCCAGCGATCAGTCGTCAAGATCTCGACAGCTCTGACGATCGACCGCGCCAATTGTCAATCCGCGTCACGCCAGAAGTGCAAGCGGTGAACAATGGGACTGACCGCGCTGGTGGTACACTGCAGTCGTGCAAGGTGAGAGGGAAAGACAAGTCCTGCAGAACAAGGTGCCGAAAGAGGGTCTTTTGTTTATGCTTATGCCCGACTTTGTTGACACGGCAAGCTTTCGTCTGCCGCTCTCACCTGCAGCTTCCAGGATCCTCCCCTCTGCCTATCTCTTCACAAACTCGGCCGCCTCTCGTCCACGCTTGCACAAACTGCACGACATTCAATCCGACTCGTCAACCGGCGGGGCATGTCAAGTCTCGCTCCTTCCCGAGCGTCGCCATTGATGTCATTCTATGGAATGCCTTGCATGTGCCTACAACGCTAGCCGCTCGTCTTTTGGATCTTGTCGGAGCCCGTCCGTCTGCTTCCTATCGATTGGCTCACGACCTGGCAAGATTGCTAGAGCACAGGCCAGACACTTTAAATTGTGCATTGCCCATGAACAATTCCCTAACCGTCTACTCCGCCTTGCTTGCGTGAGCCTCGTGAACCGGCACATCGAGATCACGCTTCGTGCACTTCCCCCTCCCGTTCAACATCGGCTCGATGCCAACATCCAAAACCTGATCCTTGTTCCATCTTTTTCACTAACCAAAACCCTACTTCGCCTGCCGAGACGAATGGCCCGCCAATTGTCGGACGTGTCCTGTGTAGGAGACTGAGTTGAATCAGGGGAAAACGTTAAGCGCCGGAGCCGTATGCTACCTCTGGTGAACTCGAGTTTGGCGTACATTCCGCGTGCACGACTATCGACCGCTACAACATTTCTTCCCACTGCCACCGGCCTCGACCTTCCACCAAAGCCAAAGATATGTAGTTAAGGAGGTCGGCTGGTCAGGTCCAAGAAGAAAAAAAGACCATCTTTGCTCCGTCGGCAACGCGCGCGCTTGACAGCCTCATCCCCTACGTGTCGCCGTTTTATCCCAACTTCCACGACCCTGACCCAGACCATTTTTAACCATCAATCCCGACTCTCGCCACTTGGTCATCTCGGACAAAGGCGTTGTGCTTGCCCATCGGCCAGCATGACCTCTTCATCCTGGAAGCGCGCTCAACGAATTGCCTATGCTTACCGTAACTCTTGATCCTTTACCGCCTACGTAGGAGTGTAGGTTGTCCCTTGAATCATGTCGGGCCCGGGCTGAAACTACCGGCGTCAGGCATCCATGGACTCTCAAACTTGGGGAAGTCGGTGATCCGTGAATCTTGACATCTCGGGTGTCCTTCGAGAAGGAAAAAGCAAAGAAAAATTCCATCGCCATGTGCATCAGCCTTCGTCGATTTCCATGTCGCCATCTGCGACTTCAGTAATTTCGTCGCCTGGTGTCAGTTGATGCTGTGACGTAGAATCTTCCCCTGCAGGTTGTGGTGTCTGCTGGTCTCTGTCATCGGCGCGTGGAAAGCTTAGATGTTTCCAATCTTCGATCTGTACAAGACTATGAATAGATGTATATTTGTGCGTGTACCGGGTGACTCACCTCCTCGATAATGCACCGCAACCGATCGCGGATGCTTTCCACAGCGAAGCTGCCCAAAAGAAGACGCAATGGTGGAAATGAACAATGACCTAATTGCCAGGTAAGTTCGGCGCTCTTGACAGCACTGGTGGGCTGCTGATTGCTAAGCCATTGTACCACCCGTTTGGCATGAGCGGCGGGAGCATTTTGGCTCTCGTAAGGCTGAGAGGGCGACTTGACCAGGAAATGACCATAGGTTGGTAGACGGCTCTTGTCTGCGGAGTCTGATCCCTTGTCATCCAGACCCGTGGGTTCGTCGAGACGGAGATGACCTGGAGCGACGAGGGTGGCCTTAATGTTGAAAGCATCGACCTCGTAGAGCAAGCTTTCAATCAAACCTTCTACCGCATACTTGGTTGCGCAATAGGGTCCGAGGCCCGGGACACCGAGTGCACCGGAAGTGGAAGAGAAGATTAGATATCGGCCGGCATTTCGTTTTCGAAAGTATGGAAGCGACTGCTGGACAATGTTGAGACAGCCGAAGAAGTTGGTTTCGAATTGTGCACGAAGATCGCAAACATCTTGGTCTTCACAAGCTCCGATGACACCGTATCCAGTACAACTGTAGTGGGATCAATGATGAGATCGAAGTCATCGGGGGAAATTCGAGGAGGTATACTGACTTGACAATGACGTCCACGGCACCGAAATGGCGAATTGTGTTTTCGATGACAGACTCGACTGTTTTAGAGACTCTCACGTCGCACAAGAGACCGAGACAAGAGTCGTGCCAGCCTTGCATCTGATCGAGCGTGTGCTCGCCAACGCGACCGACAGCAGTGACATTGTCGCCATGAGAAAGACACGTCTTGACGATTGAGCGACCCATGTGGCCAGTAGCACCGAAGACCTGTGGCTCCTCATCAGCATGCACTAACTAAGCAAGGAGACCCTAGCGAGACCAACGATCCATGTTTTTTGAGTGGGAGGGTTCTCTTCTCCTGGAGGGTCACATGTTGAAGGCAAGGTCAGACCTGAAGTCAAAGTTGACGGAGATGGGTAGTCTCTCGAAGCAGCCATGCTACCTGAGAGTAAGATATATAGGAGGGGACAACAGGGCCTGAAGATCAACAACAATATATGCAGAGTACACAGACACGGACAATAAATCTCGACCAGGAAACCATTTGTTGGACCCCGCATGAAGGTCCGCTTGCTGCCGCTGTCGGGGCCTCTTGGCTGAGATTATCTTATCGACAAGAGTACCTGCGTCATGTACGGATAGTGCATCTTGTCAGCAAATAAACTTGACAAGAGCATGCGACAGTGATTTTCTTGGGTCTTTTGTGTGTTGCTCAGGAGATTGATCGAACATGTCCAAGGCAAAGCAAGCGGCATACGGTACTTGTCCCCAATCGCATCCTCCAGCACGTCACTGACTCTTGTATAGCGGCGTCGCCTGCAGCTCAGTCCGGAAGCAGTACATCGTTCGCTCAAGGCTTCGTGCTAGGCCAATTGACGCTGGCACTGATTCTCATATTCCTGATCAAATTCTTCATCTTCGGCGAGCCACCGTCAGCGGACAGTCGCGCAGCAACAAGAGCAGCGCTCCGCCGTCAGCGTACCCTGTCGCATGCCTCATCCCTACGCCGTCGCTCCTTCTCCGATCTCCGTCTACGCAAGCGTAGCTCTGCTGCAGTCCTCGCTCCACGAAACATCTCATCCGGAGGTGCTGTGCTCACGACGGACAAGATTTTGGAAAAGACGTATTACAATGTGGACGGACACCAGCCAGAAAGCTTGGATTGGTTCAACGTCCTAATCGCACAAACAATCTCTCAGCTTCGCGCAGATGCTCTGGAAGGAGACGCCGTGCTGACTTCTCTCACAAATGCTCTCAATGGCGGACAACGGCCACAGTTCATCGACGAGATCAAGGTGACCGAGATATCGCTGGGCGAGGAATTTCCCATCTTCAGCAACTGTAGGGTCATCCCTGTCGATGAGAATGGTCAGCCGGTCAAGCAGATGCCGGGCAAAAAGGGCACAAACAGAGGAGGTCTGGGCGAGAGCAGGCTTCAAGCGCGTATGGATGTCGATCTGTCCGATGTTGTGACGCTGGGCATCGAGACGAAGCTCGTCCTGAACTACCCCAAGCCTTTCTCGGCCGTCCTCCCTGTCGCTCTCGCAGTCTCGGTCGTCCGCTTTTCCGGCACTCTCTCACTATCCTTTACTCCCTCTCAACAACCAGATTCGGGCACAGACGAGTCCGAATCATCTTCTGCCAATCCATCATCCTCACCCACTACTCTGACTTTTACCTTCCTGGATGACTACCGTCTGGATCTCTCGGTACACTCTTTGATTGGCTCTCGCGCTCGTCTACAGGATGTCCCAAAGATCGCCCAGCTGGTAGAACAGCGCATTCACGCCTGGTTCGACGAACGCTGCGTGGAACCCCGCTTCCAGCAAATCGTCCTCCCTTCCCTCTGGCCCCGTAAGAAGAATGTCCGTGGTGGAACTGATGATGTGCCTGAAGATGCTATCCTCTCAGACGCCGAAATGGATGCAGCAGCTTCTTCAAGTAAGCCTCGCAATCGAGAGCGCAGCAGGGAGCCGTCATCTGCTAAACGTGATCGCTCAAGAGGCGACAAATCACCCGCTGCTCCCACAAGACCAAAGCCGTCAGGACAGGCTTCACGACAGACGAAACCCGAAGAGTTGATGACTGAGGAAGAAAGGTTGTTTGCTGCTGGTGAAGAGCTCAGAGCTGCCGAGCAAAGAGAATGGTCTAGAGAGCGTAGGAGCAGAGAAAGACACAACAAGAATAACGACGAGACGATAAGACGTAGGCCGCGGCAGAGTCAGTTGGCAAAGGAGTTGGATGTGCCATCATAGGACGATTGGTACTGATGGATGACTTTCCATGCAACTGCAGGTTGCTTACATATGAGTGTACGAGTAGTGTAAATATCAAAATGTAATGCTCTTCTCATGACCATGAATGGTTTTGTTACATTCTCACCAGTCCATTGACCTCAGTTGCAAGCTCCGTTCACCGAGAGAAACACAGATGTGCAAGCATCTGAGGGTCAGTTACTGAGAAGCCGAGCGCAGAAAGTTCAGACCGAGATGCTCGACCACACAACGTGATTATCGCATATGGACCAACATCATACGACTACTGGCGATTGAATTAACATTGTGTTACCTCCAGCAAGGCAATAAATTTCTCGTGGATGGAGAAACATCACGTTCGACTCCGAAAATCCATGTTTGCAGGGCAACCCTGTTCCGAACCACCACACCTCCAATCCACGTTTCAAGTTCGAACCTACCACCACATCTCTCCCCCCCAGAGCACGTCACACCGTTCCCTCGTTCCCAAAACCCGTTCGACCTGCTGACCCTCTCGCGCACAGCTGAACTCACGGAGATACGACATGCCATCATAAAAAAAAACGGATCGTGATCTCATGGCGGATGGGAAATGAGAGATTTGCATAAAGAACCTCGAACGGCCGTGCATTTGTATCTATCTTCGTTTGATCATTCACAAATGCACTGCCACTTCAGCGGGACAGCAGAAAAACGTTCTAACCGAGAAATAAAACAGTCTTTTGGGCTTGATTGTGTATCCTTGTCTAGTCTCTATCGTATACCCTTGTTTCTTTATCGATGGAGAGATGTCATCGGTCGATACGGAGGAGGCGGATATGAGGGTCTGGAATGGTGTGAATCGTGGTTTGACGTGTGAGGGCGGAGTTTTGTTCCGTTTGGGCTGTAAGAGGGCAGTGGAGTTGCAGCGATCATGTGGATAGTGTGATCAGGTGGGAGAAGCGGCGGAAGGATTGAAAGTGGGTATGTCGAACGTCTTGGGTGACGATCCTTGAGGTCATGCGTATGCTTGCTGCCTAATGGTAATCTCTGTGGGTGATGTTCGTGTGATGTTAGAAGTAGCAAGGTCGTATGAATTTGTCTCTTTCCTCTATCCTGTGTCATACAATCATATTCAGGGCCGTCTTTATATCTGATACCGTTTCTAAGGCAAGATGTAACCACCATCAATAACAGTATCACTGCCTGTCTGGTAGCTGCTAGCATCACTAGCTAGGTACAGATACAGAGCCTTGATCTCTCTAACGTCTCCCTGTCTGCCCATAGGAGTCATACGGTAGGCTTCGTTGATCACGCTCTCTCCTGCACCCATCTTGGTATTGAAGAAGCCAGGCGAGACAATGTTCACGCGGGCGAACTCACGCCATTCTCTGGCCAGCGACTTGCCGAGATGTGTGATGGCTGCCTTTGTGGAGTTGTAGACCTAGGAGGGGAATGTCAGAGGAGCGCTGCCTCTTGCCTTGAGTGCAGACTTACTGGCTGGTCCACCGGTACATTGACGATATGTGCTGAGATACTCGATGTGATAATCAGGTTACCCTTGCCCTGCTTTTTGAACTGTTCGCCAGCATATTTGGCACAGTAGAAGACACCGTCAACTATCACCATATCAGCATTGTTCTGTTCGACCAAGTATACACTGCAACTCACCATTGACAGCGAATTGCTTCTTGTACTCCTCTACACTGGTCTCAAGGATAGGCTTCGAGATAGCCATACCGGCATTCGCAATCATAACATCCAGTCTACCAAAGTCCTCTACAACCTTGGCAACCAGCTCTTGTACCTTCTCCGGGTCCGAGATCTCAATCTGGTATGCCTTGAACTTGTTCCCGTGCTTTTTTGCCAACTCCTCAGCCTTTGTGACTGCCTTGTCGTTGGAACGGTACCAGAGTGCTACATTGGCGCCAGCTTCGGCCATTGAGTCTACAACGGCACCGCCAATGCCTTCAGCAGCACCTGTCACGACGACAACGCGGCCTTTGAGGTTGAACTGCTCGAGGACATTGTCAGGGCCCGAGGGAACAGGGTTGGGCTGGCGGGGCACCTGGGCTTCTTCGAGCGTCATAGACATGTTGGGTGGTGATATGTGGTGTCAATTTGGTTTCGTTTTGGTAACTGAAGCCTCGTAAGGTGCGTTAGGTGATTGGCAAGTCGTAATTTTCTACAGAGCTGAGGTTGACATCTGGCAAGAGCATGATGCAGCTAATTACACGCAGCAGGGAGATTGTCAACCTGCTATTCAGCCTAATTTGCACGTTGACGTGAACTTTGGGAAGCTTCAAGGGCCCTTTGGTGGGGTGCCATCTGGCCTGGCGGGGCAGTCGCGATTCAGTGCGGCTTTCTTTCCGCGACCTTCGGGAGAAGATAACGCGACCCAACCAAGCCAACTTCTTGCTTCATCTTCTTCAGATCAATATCAACATCTTTCAAAGTCAAAGGATCCGACACGTAACATAACTGACATGGAATCCCAGGATCTTGACAGGTCAACAATGTATCGAGCGCATGCGAAAAACCATCAATGAAGCCTGCAGGCTGCCCATACAAGGCTGGCCATCTCACAGCGAGCGCTTTCTGACATGCCATGCTGCTATGCATGACTACTTCGGAAGCACGAGATTTCTACCCAACACATTGAGTCTCGTAGCATCAGAAAGGCAAACAGAAAATATACAGCTTCCACGCCTCCCATCTCACCCTATTCATCTTCATGGACATTCGAAGAACAAAAGTGTCCAGTCACAGCATTTTGCACGCAGAAACACGACGAACATCGCTTTGACGACCAGAGTCAACTTCCCATCTCTGGAGTACCCCCGACCTTTGATCTCTTGAGGAGCAAGCAGATGCCTCTATAGATCAAGGGTCGGCCCACATGGAAGATGAGGCTTTCGAACATGTTTTCCATATCGCGTCCATCAGATTTCTCCCCAAAATTCGCAGCGTGTCTCTTCGAACTTCCGCTCGTTGGGCTTTGGCTCGAGGAATCGGTCCAGATAATCAACCCACCAGGCATTTTGAGGGCTTACTCTCGATGCCCTTGTATACTCCCAATAATGGGGATACCATCCTGCTGTTTCCCAATCAATGATTCCGGTGACCTTGTCATCCTTGACAATGATATTGAAGCTACTGAGATCTCCATGAGTAAAAACTGGCTGACCCCAATCGGTCTCTTCATGTGCCTTGATCATTTTATTGACCTCGGCAGGGAATGCATCATCGGCATCCTTATGGGGACGTCTCAGCCAGCGATGGAAGGCGCTGATATCCTCAAATGGACCAAAGCGTCTGGCAGTGGGTATTGGATATATTGTGCCGATACCAGGCAGTCTAGGGTCATTAAGACTCCCGCCGTCTACACTAGCGACAGAAGACCCATGCGGAGATCTGATGCTTCTGATCTCTTCAATCATAGTTTTCAGCTGATTCAATATCCGTGATCTGGATTCCTCAGATCGTTGCAGCCAGCCATCAGCGAGCATCGTGCCCTTGATTCTTTCCATGGCGATATACGTCTTGTTGCGGTATGTAAAAGCACAGTAGATCTTGGGCACGGGAACCGACGTGCGTTCTCGGATGAACTCCATGGCCGCTGCCTCTGAAACATCAAGCCAATCTGCGTCGTAGTGTTTGACGCAAATCCACGGGCTTAGCAGAGATACGAGACCAAAATTTCGTGCAAAAGGTCGCGAGACCCATACCGCGCACAACGTAGCCGTTCGGCGGAGGAAGGTTGCTTTGATCGGGTGAGAGTTTGAAGGAGGCTCTGGCGGTCGGACGGGAGTCTGAGACGCTTTCTCCCGCGAGAAAAACATCGTTAGGTACTTAGAGAAAAGGCATTTTTCTAGGAGGGCTTAAATACTTGTCTCAGATATACTTGTCGGGCTGTGATGTTGATGACAACGCAGAACAACATCGGCGTTGGTGGGCGTGTCGCAGCGCCAAGGCTTGCATGGAAAGACATCACCTGGCACCTCAAGATATATGCAAAGTACGCCACACGCCTTGATATCGGAATGCTCAAGCATGTAAAGGGAGCTCTATATGAGATAGCATGAAGGCAGTGACGGAGAAACAGATAAGGTTGTGTTGTACAAGGTGTGGTCATTATCATTTAATCTTTATCTATAGTCGTAAGTGGGGTGGTTTGAGTCGAAACCCCATCGACGTGTTCGTAGGTCTCGATGCAATGCGTGCGTTTCCCTATGCCATTATGCTCAATGCTTGATGCGTCCGTATCCCAATATGCGTGTGATGCTCTTCCTTCCAAGACTTCCAGACTCAACAGCGAGACATCTAAGCGGCGATGTTGGCTCCAATCAGCTTGACATCAGCACAATTGGAGGAGGTGCTGGTGGCATTGCTCATCTTCCACAAGAGCTGGTATTGAGAGCCAAGGCTGAAGTAAGGAGAGGTACCGTTGACGTGGCACAGAGCGAAGCAGCCGTCAAAAGAGTCAGGAGCAGTGGTGGAGTTTGAGGCGGACCAAGCGAGAGTGGCATTGTTGAAGTAGAAGCCGGTAGTGGCTTTACCCGAAGCACTCAGGTCGACGTAGTCGTAGCCAATGGGAGCATTAGAGCGGAAGGGAGCTTGCTCGAGAAGACTGAGGTTGTAGGCGAAGCCGGCAGGAGCACCGCTGATTGCCAAAGGCTGCTGCAGGATTGAGTCTGAGAGAGCTGCTTGGCGTTAGTACAGAGTCTTCGGACGAAACAGATTTGATCAAACTTACTCCATCCAACGGCAATGCTGCTGTTCTTGCTTCCGACAATTGTCGACTGACCAGCACCGACGTGGAAAGAAGATAGGTATTGTCCATTGAAGGCACCGGTACCGTTGACGACTTCGGTGTGGAGAGTAAAAGGCTTGGTGCTGTCGAAAACGGCCTCGGTACGCTGGCTGAGGGGAAGGGCAGCCACAAGGGGGAGAGCAATGGCCGCGGCAAGAGTCTTGATTGAGGTGTACATTGTGGTTGTGTGTTTGGCTGTATTCGTAGGATGGTGTGTTTGAGAAATAGGTTGATATGGAGACTGGGATTGAGAGGAGCAGGATACGAGGGACTTATATGTCGGTTGACAGATTCAAAAAACTAGGGAGGTCGGTGTAGCAAGGATCAACGTCACCGTACCTGCCAAGACGCGCTCCTGCAGGCTTCCAGCCACCTGCCGACCCACTGTTTATCCTCGAAGTGGCGACGGTCGAACTCTAACATGTATAGCATTACCTATAAGCTTCTAGTGCCGACCATGTTGAGAACGTCGCCGACACCAGAAATAGCATCGTACGACTGATTTTGAGCCGTCACTCCGCAAACCTCGCACCAACGCTGAGTTCTCAACCTGAGACACCCGCTGCCGACTTCCATTCGGCGACAGTGCAGCTGCACGTTTTGACTGCCAACCAATTCAAGTGGATCAATCATCACAACCATGATTCTCGGACGCAAGGCCGACGATTTCTTCGTCGCTGTCAAGCAACATCTGGACAACATCAAACCTGGTCGCCTGGACAGCAGTCTCGACGCCTTCCAACAAGCAGCCACAACCCTTGTCGACTTGTCCGGAGATCTCAAAGGACAAGACATTGCTCACCTCATCTACAATGCCAAAGCGACTTTGTTGTTCACACAGATCTATATTGTGTTGGGTATTGTGGTTGGTGCTCTGTTGATCAGGAGGCTGGGAAGATTCATTCACCACGTTCGCAAAAGTCTAAGAAATCTCAGCGATGTCACCGAAGTTCAAAAGAACATCCATTATCAGACTCAATTCGGCGGAGCGGTTCGCCGATTCATTGAACATCAGCATGATTTGCACGACAAAGCACACCTGAACGACCCACAGGATGCCGTCTACTATGTCTATCATCCTGGAAACGACTGGCATGCATCCTTTCACGCCGAAGACATCTCCGTGAGAGGATTCGGCGGTGTGTATGACGACCTACCGGCTCTTATCGAGCATTTACGTACCATCCGTGAAAACCCAGAGTTCAGTGCTGTCATCTACGTTCTGCTCCCTTCAGCTCATCGCTACGACTTCTCTATCGATCTCCGCTTCGATGCAAACCTCCTGCCTCTCAGGATCCGAGGTCAAAGAGACTACAACGGCAAGCCCCTTTGTCATGGACATATCAGCGGATTGTCACCAGAAATGGACGTGAAAGATGTTGATCTTTCGCCAAAGAAACCAGCAAATACCTGGTCTATGCTTAGGATCTTTTGTGCAGTGTTTGCTGTTCTAGTTCTGGCGTTTGCACTTCATGAGACTAGCATTGATTAGCTTGGTTTGGATAATGCTCATTGAGCATGTTGGCAAACATTGGAAGGAAAACAGGAGATTCTTGGAGAAATGAACGATTCTTTGTCTCATGGATTAGAGAAAGCAAGCAGTAAATATCTACCCCACTATCCTCCCATCAATTTCGTGGTCATAGACATTCTGTTGGCCAACCTCACCCATTCCCATCGTCACTCTCGTTGCCACCATGGGACAGTCCATGCTAGGATGGAAGGCAGATGACTTCTTCGTTGCCGTCAAGCAGCACCTTGATTCTATCCGTCCAGGCAGTTTTGGAGAATTATGTATGGTCTTCGGGAGGGCCGCTGCACATGTCATGCATGTCTTTGAACGACTTAACAACGACCAGCTCAGTCAGGTTCTCGAAAACATCCATCGCATAAGTGGCGTAGTGTCAAGAGAAGTTCAGCATCTTGACATTGATCGTTTCCACGAGACTCTCAAAGTAATCAAGAAGATGACTGGTATCGCGGTGAAAGAGCTTGAACAATTCAACGTCGATCACATCCGCGACACATTCAAATCGTTCCAGCATACCACTGATGTCGCGACCCGAAAGCTTGCCCAAGTCAATGTCAACCGTCTCCATGATACTCTCAACGCCACTCAGCGCATGGCCGAGAATATCACACTAGCTGTGCAGACTGTTCCGAATATTCTCTCCATGTTCGTGCTCATTTTGCTCTTCATTGGCTTCATGATCGCCCTAGGTGCTTTCACCTTCATTCGTGTCCTGAGAAACCTGGACAAGCGTGCAAACAAGATATCCAAAGATATGCAAGCTCTCAGCGCGACAAGCATCACCCAAGGAAATCTCAACCACCAACGTCAGTTTGCAGAGTCTGTTTACAAATTCGTTCACTTCAGAGACCGACTTGGAGATCTAGCTCCGGATGATCGCCCTATCCAGAGTGCTGGGCAAGATGACCAATACATCATCTACCACCCGTCCTCTGACTGGCACGCCACTTTCTTCGCAAAGGCCACGGAAGGATGGAGTCAGGATTTCTTCGACGAGTGCAAGGAAGAGCTGCTTCTGAAGCGCGTGCGTCTTTTCAACAACCCTGAAGCATTTGTAGCATACATCCGTGACCTCGATGGACTCGATACTCGCTCGGCCATACACATCCTGTTTCCGTCAACCCACACGTACGACTTCCCTATTACTCTGCACATACCTGAGACAGCTCAGCCAGTCAAGATTGTCGGGCAGACAGATTGCAGCGGCCAACCGTACTGTCGTGCTTGCATCATCGGAGTCGATTCGTCTGATGTGGTTGATGTTGGATTATTGCTGGAACACGAGGCCCCTGATCACAAACCAAGCAGATCTGTTGATACCAAAATCTACCCTGTTCTTTGGCTTATGATAGTAGTTCTGTGGCTGGGAGATAGGCTTGGAGAGTCGATTGAGGTTGCCCAAGATATAACACTTATCGCGTGGGGTTATTTGCGCGGAGTTTGCTGAGCATTGCTGAGCTTTGCAGAGTACAACGAGGACAGCCGAGCACATGCGTTCAACGCCAGGAGAGGAGCGAGAGGGGTTTCTGCGAAGAAGTGTATTATGTAGTATCGCAGCTTCATGGACTGTATCCAATTCTAAGTGTCCAATCAGGATGAATCAAGCAGAAAAACACAACGATCGTAAACACGCATTAGGGGTATAGGAAAGAATGCATCATAATCCATCTCTTTATGCACTGTCACTGCTCGACAGTTCCAGACCGGCTTCCTCGCTCTTCTTGCTCTTCTTGCTCTTCTTCTCTTTCTTGGGTGTCTTGTGCTCCTTGAATTCGGGGAAGAAAACTCCAGGGTGTGCGACGGTAAGGGCAATGGCGGCGATGCAAACCATCCTGTTTTGACGTCAGTAAATTGGATTTTCAATATATGGGATGTTCAATGATAACTCACATTCCGTCCAGAACCAAGAACTCCTTCTCGTTCTGCATCAGAGGGTTACCCCATCCACCAACCATCTCAGGAATACGGTAGACGGAACGAATGAAGACGGTGACGAAAGCAAGAGCTGAAGCGCCAACATAGTATTTGAAGCCTGCGGTTGAGCGGGTCATGGGGTCGTCGAGGTTTGTCTGAGCTTGACGAGATCTGTAGCGGCGAAGGAAGAAATCGGCAGCGACAACACCACACAAAGCCATTGTGGCGACTTGAACGCAGATACCAGCGACCATGATTGAGTTTCCGATCTTGACCAGCTCGAGCTGCTCGCCTGCTGCGATACCACCACCGGCAGCTTGGACGAGAATACTCGCAGCATCGGCAGTGATGAAAATCCAGGTGTAAAGGTTGGGTCTAAGTCTGGAGTACTGGGGACCGAAGTGGATAACCAGATGCTTGATCGTAAGGTAGATTCCGGCTGCGAGGAAGGAGGGTGATAGAATGAGACAAACGATCTGAATCTTGAATCCAGTTTGACTCCAAGGGTTGTTGTGCATGATCAGTCTTCCAATGTATCCGACGCATTCTCCAAAACATCCAATGACGACGGCAAATGTGAAACCCTTCAGACGAGCCTTGATTCCGAGGAATAATTGTGCGATGAACAGGATTCCAAAGACAACACAGAAGAAGATGTTGGCTCCTTGATTCGGTCGGTATCCATAAGTGGTAGCCTCAACCGGACATTGCGCCGTGACTTCTGTACAATAACCGCGAGCCATTGTTGTGTCGCGACAACGATGTTATGTCGTTATGCTATGACGAATGAGGCTGACGAAAAAAAGTTTAGCAGGGTCAGTTGAAGCCTGCAGCGAGATGGAAAACAACGACAACGAGCACACATGGTGGGGGTGATGGGAATCATATATAAGCGATGTGTTGGCCTGGGACTCATTGCGACATTCATCTCGCGCCTGCCTATCGTTTGCCGTTTCGTTGAAGATAGCGTACGGTAAACGAGCTACGGACGTTTCTCGTACCGCGTTCATCGTAAAATCGGAGGCCAACATCGTGATTTCTGTGAGGCTTTGCGGCTGTCAGGCACAAGAGAGGTGCCGCATAGCCAGAAATACTGCTAAGACGCACGTCAGAGCCTGCCATTTAGCGAAGGAAGGCCGGCCAAGCCCTTCCTTCGATGCACGGATGACAACCAAATCCTGGAGAAGTGCGACAAATTTAAATCTCACGGGATGCGCGGCCTTTAGGGTGGGTCATTCCCGAGCGAGCGATATTGCACGGAGGATGAGTTCGTCCGGCGTTGCGCATATCGTAAACATGTTCTCTTACTACTCTTGAACAGGACCTGAGCCGCAGGGTGTTACCGACTTTAGCCTTCGTCCAGAATCTGCAAAATTTCCTGCCCCCACGTCACGACAGCTCCGACATACGACCAGGCCAAAAACGCTATCTCTTGCCATGTCTACTAGACGTTGGCACACTAAACGCAAGACAGGGTGCAAGAACTGCAAGAAGAGACATATTAAATGTGACGAGGATCGACCAAACTGCGCCAACTGCCAGAGGGCAGGCGTGGTCTGCACATATGATCAACTCAAAGTTCCCAGTCCTAGCAGTCCAGCACACAGTGCGAGCCCTGCTGGCTCAACGGCCTCTACTTTGGTATATGAACACTTACCAACTTTCGATATGCTCGACTTGTCTTTGATGCATCACTACACTGTATCAACATCCACCGGACTTTTTGCTGGACAGGACTCTCAAGTAATCTGGCAAGAAGTGATACCCAGTCAGGCTCAATCCAACCCTCTACTAATGCATGGTATCCTTGCATTGGCATCAATGGATCTTGCCCGGACACGGCCCAATGAACGGCAAATATACGCGACCAGGGCTCTGGCTCATCAAAATGCTGGCACGAGGCTATTCAGAAATATGCTCGAACAACTACGTCCGTCTGACAGTCATTCTATCTTCATATTCAGCATGATTCTGCCGCTTTTAGCCTTTGCCTTCCCACACGCGTGTGACGATCCGCCAGATTTTGATGGTATACTCGACCTTTTCAGCTTACTTCGAGGATGTAAAACTGTATGGCTCTTGAACCCGGAGTTGGTTGCCGCAAGCCCAGTAGCGCAATGGATCAAGACTACTATCACCGGGCATCCGATAGCAATGAAGCCAGAGGTCGACCGTCGTTTCCAGATCCTGAGAGATAGCCTGAAAGATCCGGCAGATATTATTGCCACCGACCAACTTATCGATTTCACGCGTGGAGAACTTGCTACATCACCGGATGGAGTGGCAAACCTAGGTCGTTGGCCGACTATGGTCTCTGATGCGTTCTGGTTACGAGTCCAAAACCACGAAGTCGAATCGTTACTTGTACTATCTCACTACTCTGTTGTGTTGGGCACACCCAGCTATAGATGGTGGTCCAGCAACTGGGACTCAATTCTGCTACAGGCTATCGACAAGGCACTTCCGGAAGCTGACAAGAAAGCTGTTGATTGGGACTATGCTGCCATGATGAAGTTCGCAAACTCATACAGAGGGAGTTAAGCTCAATGCATGTTGTATCATTGCATCAAGCAGCCGATCTGGAGGAGTTCACCGTCAGAGGAGGCTGATACTGATATATTCAAGGGACGCAATGCTAAGCCTACAAGGACCCAGGTGCCAAGAAACGAGAGATCTGCAGACGCCGACCACGCGCAGCCGTCCTAAGCGCCAATGCGGCGCGTACAGTGAGGCGAGCATCGTCGTGTCAGTATCCTTTTATCACATGCTTCGCACCTTTCAAACTTGGTCAAAAAATGCTGCTCTTCCACTTATCGAAACATGTTAGTGGCTATATTTTCAGGCAACCATACGATGCAAGGCCGCTGGCATACAATCTTAGGGGCGCTTCTGAATGTCGATGTTTGGAGTGTTACCAAGACTGATCGGTGGTCTCTACGATCGCAAATCTGCACAAGGAGGCATCTGGCTTGATTTGTGGCAAGCTCGTGCATCTCATAGCTGCTCATCTGGATGACCGAGAGTCATGTTATTCAAAAGGATCAAGGCACTTCCACAGCAGTCTGATAACACGTATCTTATGCGCCATCATGGTTTCAGTTAGCTGCAATCTGTCTCCAATCGCTATCTAGCGATCCGTAAGCCACGGCTATCTGGGATGGGTAGCGGCTATGCGCCTCATGTTTCGAGGCTGTCGTGAATATCATGACTTTAAAATGTCGGGCTATACGACCATCGCTGCTGTGGTCGATTCCATTTTTTTTTTCGTTATCCCGCGATATGCTGTTCAACTTCCTTCTTACGCTCGCGGTTACCGGTGCGATCGTCTTGGTGGCTGGTCAGACATGTTACCATCCCGACCAGACCTCTTCGTCTTCAGACGAAGCGTGTGGCTTTAGCACAAGTTATTGTTGTGAACCTGAAGACACATGTGTAACACAAGGTCTCTGCCAGGACCGGAACAATCACCTCAACGGCGCTCTCACCTTTTTCGAGGGAGCCACTGAACCAGGAAACTATACAAGACTGTACAAGACAGCCTCGTGCACGAATGAAAACTGGTCAAATTGCATCAACCACTGCCCTTCATCTGGTAAGCAATCAAAACACGCGCTTGCAAGATGTTGGTGTTGACCTGCCGTATAACGAACACGTCTAATACGACACAGACAACAATAGGACGGCATATATATGGGCCTGCAACGACCAATTGTCTCTCTTTTGCTGTCATGATGATGAAGCCGATCTGTCGCAGGGCGATTGTTGCAACGGGCCTACATGGTCGGTCTCTGAAGCCCCTCTCGCGCTGAATGTCTCACTCCGAGCAGCCACGTCATCGTCGAAGACCACATCATCTACAACAACACAATCGTTTCAGATCGCATCCTCTGTAATCACACAGTTTTCTTCATCCGCGTCGGCCGTATCGGTGATCACAATATATACCGTGCCTGCCTCTACTATCAACACGACTTCTATTGCTCCGACGAGCGTTTCAACATCAACATCACCGGCTACACCCTCCCATAACACCGAGGGCCTTTCTGGAAGTGCAAAGATAGGCCTCGGTGTGGGGATAACGGTCGGTCTTGTCAGCATCATCGCTCTCGCCTTCATCTGGCATAAGAGACGACTAAACAAGCGCCGAGACACAAGCATCTATATCGATCAACCAGAGCCGAAAGTCATCGACTGTCACACGCCTTCCAAGCCTGGCGAGATGGAATCGCAGGAAGTGCGGGAACTAGATGCGGACTGGAAACCAATAGAGTTGGCAACCGGGAGGAATGTTGCTCATGAGCTGTCAACATAAATAAGTTTCTTATTGGTCTCGTGGACGGACGGTGCTGCTAGCTAGCAGAGCCATGACGGAGACAACGCCAACACAAGATCCCGCTAGCACGATCAGTTCTGAACGGATGAAAGTAGTAGGGGAGATGGTGTAAATTGACGATCAAGCATATCTTAAACCTTTTCATCCTGAATATTTCCATCTTGAGCATCTTGATTTGAATACTCTTCATCTTCTTCGTCCTACTCTTCCCTCCCCGTGTGCTAAAATCTGTCACTTCCAGCCATCTCTTGCGGCCACGCCTGGAGTCGTCTGGCATGTAAAAATGCACAATGTTTTTCAGATTGGTATAATCGTCCGCAGAGAGGCGCCAACTACCACGCTCTCAGGGGAGGCTACCCCTGAAAATGCTGAAATTGTGATGTTCTATAGTTGTACGCGTGACAAACTTTAGCATATGAGGAGGTCAGACAAACCTTCAGATGCTGAATGCTTCAACATCAACCGCACAAGTTTTTCTGGTTGCCCGTCACATGGATTTTATCCTCGCCCTCGAAACCTCGCGCTCCCTGATATGGAAAATCTGTCACAATGTCCTCAAAATTCTTCGCTACCACCACAAGCCTATCAATCGACATGTTTGACTTCGCAGCCATCTTGACGATCCTTCCAATAAATTCAGCGATGCAAGGTTCCGAGATACATTCACTACATCCATTGGGACTCAGCCGAACAGTAAAGTATCACTGTCAAATCCTGAGACTGCCTGTATCAGCAAATCGGGCATGGTCTGTGGAGCCGGGGTATAGTGTTTGTAAATGTTTATATTTGATGCAGACGTGGTTTTTATACGCCGTATAGAAGGTACGATGGTTGAAATCGTGGGGGTATCTCTAAATAATAATAAAATAATCAATGCTTTTCGTAACCCGTCATTAAAAGAACTGTTAAAGTCGTGGTGTGCTTAGAAGCTAGAGCCTTCAATAGGCGCTTGGTGGTTTGGAACCTTGATGAACACATTGCGTGTCCAACCTTCGGCATCCTTGTGTACCTCTTTCTCCAATCTGTAGCCTCCAATTTTTGGCAGGAGAACAGCCCAGAAGAGCCAATAGATGCCTCCAGCTGCAATGATAGCCATACCAACAACGCAGTGAAGGTAGTATGGCAGAGAAGTGTACTGATTCTGCTCAGGAGTAGGAGGAGGAACAAAGGGTGCAATGACCAGGTAGACGTTGCTGAGGAAGAAGAAAATGGCGACTGGAAGGGTAGCCTTGACTGGAGGGTTCCACTGAAATTCCTCCTTGTGGGTGTAAATCCAAATCAGTGCGATCGAAACGAAAACGTTGACGACCGACAATGGGTATGCGATCAAATTTAATATGAAATTATACGCGTCACCCGGAGGAGGGGCAAGCATAATGATGACTGAGACGGCCCAGTGTTCGAAAAGACCCATGAATGGAGCGTTGAAAGGCTTGTTGCTAGCCCAAAGCCTGGAGAAAGGCAGGATACCCTCACGACCAAGCTCTTGAACGAGTCTACCCTGGGAGAAGATGACAGAAAGCACGTTTCCGTAAGCAGAGAGGGCGATAAACACACTCAATGCGCGTTCAGCCCTGGGTCCGAACACGTTGCGGAAGAACTGGGCTGCGAGAATGCGTCCGCTGCTGACAATATCCTCCTTAGGGACTGCGGCAAAGTAGGCGACGTTTGCGAGAAGGTAGAGAACACCGACGATCATGATTGCTGTCGGTGCGGCGATCTTGAGAGTACGGACAGGGTTCTTCATCTCGCTCATGGAATAGTTGGCGTTGCTGTAACCGATGAATGACCAAATGACATTGTATAGCGCAGTCACAACTCCATAAGCCGAGCCCGTAGTACCTTCGAAAGCGTTGTCGAAGTTGTTAGGCTTCTCAATGCGCAGATGACCTCCAAGGGCGGCGAATCCAGCAAAGACAATGATGAGAAGGATGATGAGCTTGATAACGCCCAGGATATTTTGTAGGCGGAGGCCCCACTTGAGAGCAAGACCGTGGATGAGGAAAGCAGAAGTGATACAGGCAAGACCGATGCCTCTCTGGTTCCATCGGTTGACGGGAACCTGTGCTGCGTTTAGAATGTACTCGCCAAAGACGACACTGTTCGAGCCAGCCCATCCCAAAAGTACGACGTAACCGGTCTGTAAAGAGTTAGTCAGATGCAGACGGAAGATGTTCTGTCCTCCCCGTGTGCTAAAGTTTGTCACTGACACTGCTGTGAAAATGCACGATGATTTTCGAAAGTAAAGCTAGGCCCAAGGAGAGGACATTAAATAGTCGCTCTCTGTGGACGACGTACTCTTTCTCAAAATCATCGTGCATTTTGATGAGTGGAACTCAAGCGCATGGCTGGGGCTTGAGAGTCCAAGTGACAAAGTTTAGCACACGGGAAGGGTAGGTTGAACGTACGTAAAGACCAGTGACCAAGAACTTGGGCTTTTTGAACACGTGCTCCAGGTAGTTCTTCTCTCCACCGTTTCTGGGGAGTGCTGTGCCGAATTCGAGGTATACGGCCATACCCGCAGCAGCGATAATCAGACCAGCTACCCAGATGAATAGCGCAAGTCCAACACTTCCGCTGCTTGACAGGATGCTCGAAGGCGTGGCGAAAATTCCGGTACCGATCATTCGGTTGAAGATGAGGAAGATGGCGCTGACAAGACCGATCTGTCGGCGGCCTTCGCTGGTCTGGTAGACATCGTGTCCGTCGTCGCTTGCCGTTTCATGGTCCACAAAGGCTGAGGGATCCTTCACCTCGGCCTCTTGGGCTTTCTTTGATGATGAGAAGACCATCTCTCAGTAGCCAACGTAGGAGATACTGGCTCTTGTGTCGAGAGAGTTGCACAACAGTTCTTGAGATCCATCAAGTCGACCGCTTCCAGTGCTTTTGTAAAAGGGCCTCGCTCTTGCGTGAGTCCTTGTCGAGAAGGCGTCATTGTCACTAGGATGCAAGCAGTAATTCGTTAAGTAATACAAACCATGAGTTTGAAAGCTTGGTGGTCTGGAGTTTGGGGTGAACGGCGTGACCTCGCTTCAATTTTTCTCACATGTACCCCTACCTGCTTATTGGCACGCCCTACAAGACCTCGCTTGAATCCTTGGGCGTATCGCGCGTTGCTGGGCATCAAAGACGTGATACACTTGTCTATTCTTTTACTGGTGCTTCTTTGTTCTTGCGACTCATTGCGTCTTCTTGGTGGCTTTTTTTCTGCTCATCTTGTCGGATGGATCATGACTCGTTCGTATAGTACATTGCTCTTGTTCTTCAACGCTTGTGTGGTTGGTATTTGGGGCGTTGGTAAAAGGATCCACTTTTTCTTTCTCGCCAAGCGATGTGCTCGTTCGAAGAATCGAAACCACATGGCCAGATTTGCTGATGCGACGATATCGGGTCTCATTTCCTGGTCAAAGTGCCGTCAAATGTGTGATCTACTCCTAGTATTCTGGAAGCATGGTCTATCATCCTCGCATCGTGGGGTGCATGTACTGTGTAATGAGAACAAAGTAGAAGCAGGAAGGAAAGCGCGTGAAGCCAAGGAGACGTTGCTTAAGTAAACGGGTAGTCGCAGGCTCAGCTGGGCCGCCCCCTGCCGAATTGGTCGGACGCAGATATGTCAATCACGATAGAGGCCACTGTTGTCTTGGTGACAGACAAGACAAGGTCTTCCTCCAGGTTGTTCTTCATCGAGCTACACGCACTCATACCTCCAAGATGAAGTCAGAAATGTGGTGACGAGGACAGGCAATGACTCCTGAAATCTAGACATCTTCTCGGCCATGGGCGTTCATACTGACGCGCATCTCCAACTGCTCCACCATTTATCCCGGATATCTGACTACACCAACGTCATATTGATGTTCATCCATAGCAAATTCCTCAGACAATGTGTCGTTGACTGTCTCTCGAACACAACACAGTTTCCAAGAGGCAAATTATGCGGCGCTCGCTTTTATCATGCCGGCGGTCGCTTTTATCATGCCGGCGGTCGCTATGGAATGTTCCCACAAGCCTAAGCAGACACAGACGCCTGCTCCATACATCGACAGACACTCCATCAACATCAAAATCTGAAAAACAACCCTCTCCATCAGCGACAGACTTTACGCCGTCTCTGAAACGTGCTCAGGCTACTTCTACAAAAGCTTCCGGATTCTATGATTCGAATTCGGCTTTCCAATGGCAACCAGGCAGCGAACCTGGAATTGACACTTCTGCTGATGGCGTCGTCTCACATGGCGAGACTTTTCCTGTAAACAACGTCTGATAAACCGGCACGAGATAGGAACTAACCTGTAACAGTCCCAAATAACAGCGGTGGACTTCAGTGAAGATCAGATCGAACAAACTGAACTGGACAACAAGTCTTTGGAGAACTTCCTCAACAAACCGAGGCCGGAATGGGCAAGCTGTCGATGGATCAACGTCAACGGACTGAGTTGGGATGTCATTAAGCTCTTGGGAAATCACAAGAAACTACACCCTCTGGCCATCGAGGATTTGATGCACACTGGGAACCGAACAAAGGCAGACTGGTACCCAGAGCACGCTTTCATCATCCTGACACTACAACGACTCACGAGACTCTCATCGCAAAATGGTCTCAGCGACACCGACATTCAAAAAGCTCTTCTGACCACGGACGATCGTCACTCAACTCACAGCCGCAGCGGTATCACCTGGGAAAGTGAGAAGACTTTCCAACCACCAGACAACCAAACTCACCTCCGGAGTCTGCAGTCTTACCGGGGGGACAGATCACCAGAGCGAGTTGCGTACATGGAGAAGAACTCCATTCTTACACGCAAGAGTCTCGGCGTTTCTATCGAGCAGGTCAGCGTATTCCTTTGCAGTGACAACACTGTCGTCTCATTCTTCGAACACTCCGGCGATGTAATCGAGGAACCTATCCTCAAACGTTTGAACTCGCCAGAGACCATCTTACGCCGAAGTGGCGATGCCTCATTGCTTGTACACTCGATCATAGATGCAATCACCGATCTCGCCATACCAATCGTTGCCACCTACGAAAAATCCATCGCAGAGCTAGAAATGGATGTCCTTACTGAACCAGCAATCGGACACTCGAAAGCACTTTACATCTTGACATCTGAGTTGTCAATGCTGAGACAGCAGATGCAACCGATAGCAAGCTTGATCAACAGCTTGCGGGACCACTACAATACCACTCAATTCCTCAACCGCAGTCCTTCGCCGGCAAACCCCATTCCGAACCTCGCTCGTCGTGGTGCTGGCCCTGCAACACCAAAGACACAGACACAGTCCTCGGTCACGATTTCGCCGGCTGCTCACACGTACCTGGGAGATGTGGAAGATCATTGTATCATGATCATTGCATCTCTGGATCAGATGCGTACGCAGAGTGACAACATGATCAGTTTGATCTTCAACACAATGGGAGCGTATCAAAACGAGAGTATGCAGCAGTTGACCTTTGTCACCATTCTGTTCTTGCCTTTGACTTTCCTGTCTGGCTACTTTGGCATGAACTTTGAGGAGTTTCCACCACTGAAAAATACCCATATGTAAGTCAGGTTCCTTTTGCGCAATACTGACGCATCATCACTGATCCATATCATAGGTTCTTCTGGTGGCTGGCTCTGCCCATCACTTTCGGCATGGTGGTCATTCTTCTGTAAGTGCTAGCTTCCAACACAGGTCTAGCTGTGAAACCACAGGCTGACCAAAATCAAAACAGGCGCCAGAGATTGTTCCGCACAGCAAGGAGATGGTTAAATCCTGGCTCCCGTCATCATAGACATGCTATGCGCGAGCAACGCAAACGACAATGATCGATCTCAACAGCGCCTCCTCCACTTAATACAACAGAACGTTCAGACGAAGATTATCTGCTGAAGGAAGATCCATTGAGCTCGGTATTCTTGCAATGCTACAAAGAGATTACAGGACTTGGGTAGTGGTTGGTCTGATATTCCGTAGTACTTTATACCCTCTTGTATAAAAACGCTCTCACTCTTTGTGACTCAATAACCCACTATCAATCATTTGTGAGCCACAAGCATGCAAGTATTGTACTACTTATAATGACAAGATAAAACATTTTGGAGACTCGGATAGGAACCTTTGCGAGACTAGACACTCATGACGCTGGTTGGTCTGGGCAAGCGCGACGTGCACATCAACAGGCTCTCTCATGAAAAGACTTATCCAAGATCGATCTATACAGATCACTCGTCAAGAAAGGGACAGCATTACACAAACCGTAGCTCGAACACAGAAGAGAGAACCAGCAGTCTAACTAGACCTATGTATAGCATACGAGTAAAACAGTGAAACATTCCATCATTCGTACATAAACAAAGCCATCAACACATCTCACACTCTCTCATAAAGTCTAAACTCGTATCCGACCTTCTGCCCCTTGACTTCCTCGTCCAACTTCTCCTCGACATCCTCGCCCACGAATCCATCGAGCTCACTCTTTTGTTTTCTCGACCATGCTTGATCGGCTTCGACATCAACAGGGAAGTCTGTATCGCAGTCCCATTCGCCTTCGACTCTGGTGAGAAGGATGCTCTTTGCTTGTTCCATGTCAAGTGCTTGCTTGTAGATGGCGGCTCCGCCGATGACGAAAACACGACCAAGTGGTGCGGCTTGGCCTTCCTTGACCTTGCTGACCAGAGATGACAGAGCAGAGGAGATGGAATCGCCAACGATGACATCTTCACTAGCACCCTCAAGTTTCTCCGACCTCGAGATGACCACATTGGTTCTCTGCGGCAGAGGACGGAATTTGGGTGGAATGCTTTCCCAAGTCTTTCTGCCCATAACTACAACATTTTGAGCTTTCTGGATAGTCGCAGTTGCAGCAGTTTCCGAAGAATCGGAGAGTTGAGAAGATGTTTCGGCAAGCAAAGAGGCGTCGGGAGCAGAGGAGGGAACGCGTTTGGTGATGCGTGCGAAATAGGCCATTTCCTTCTTTAGCATTGGCCAAGGTAGGGTTCCATTCTTGCCGATGCCGTTCTTGGCTGTGGTGGCAACGATGAGGGTAAGCGGAGGGATGGAAGTTGCTGCTGCTGCGGCCATAGCGTAGGTCTTGTATTGTTCTGGAGGTTGTTGTTGTTCCGATGTTTGTGGGGTTTCTTGAGCACCTGGCTGTGAGTCTTGGGCTTCTTCAGGATGTTGTGAAGATGACGATTCGGGTGCAGGAGCTTGGACCACTTCGCTGTAGGTCGGGGCATCGGGTGCCGAGGAGCCTTCAGCTTGGCTTCGGCTCCACACGTGGTCCATTTCCTCAATCGACAATGCAGGTGCTTGTGCAGGAGACGGTGCAGGTACATCTGTGGACGGCGCGGGTGCATCGTTAGATACGACAGGAGGTGCAGTATGCTCAGTAGTTTCCTTCTGCTCTCGCTCGGCAGCCTCAAACTCGAAGTTGCTCGAGTAAATGACAGCAGCAAAAGCCTCGAGATCCTTGACCTGATCGATAGCGGCAAGGTATTCGTTGACTTGAGAGCCTACAGACTCGGCGACTACGAGATCATCGGGTTCGCTACTGCCAGCGGCGATGATGTGCGCCTGACGGCAGAAGACGGCAAGAGTCTGAGCGAATTTGCATTTCTTGTCTGTGATCTCGGTGATGCGAGAAAGAGAGTCGGGGGCTGGAGGGCTGATCTTGAAGGCTTCGGTAGCAACACGGTAGTCGATGAGGTGAGAGAAGGTGGCATTGAGGACTTGGGTGAAGACATGGGTGAAGGTCGGCGAGTCAATCAGATCTGAAGTCTCATCGAGCAGTCTGCGAAGGGAGGCGTTCGAGGCGGCCGTCTTGACAGCATGCATAGGGTCCTGAGAAGTGTCCTGCGGTGCGGGAGATGTAGACATGGCATCAATGCCTGACTCGGACAAGACAAAGTCTTCCTGATGCCGAGGAGGAAGCATGTATGATAGCCACCTATGCTCACGGCGCTCGGTCTCTGTGGCACCCTCGACCTGCTTACGGACTTCAAGGATGAGCTGGCTCAAACGCTCAAGTGTCATATCCTCGCGCGGGTTGACAGGACCAAAGACGTGCCTGACGGCAGCGCTGACCTTGTCGGCAATCTCTTTGCTGCCCTTGTGTAACAACCACCAGCTGAAGGTCAAGTATTTGCGATTCGTCTCGAAATCGTTCCCGTAGACATTATCGTAGTTGTCGTCATCATTGTTCTCCATGGAGATATGCGTAGAGTCAGTGGCGGCCTGAGGACTGGCCAGAGAGACGACCGAGGACAGGTAGGTACGGCGGCCGAGGAGGTTCAGCTGAATGCGGGTCAGGAGCGTGAGGAGAGAGAGGGTGTATAGTAGAGTCAAGGCTCTTGTGATGGCTGCGACTAGGCGTTAGCAACAGTTCTCCCTCCCAGGCTTGCGCAGACTCACAGCTGATCTTCATGTCGTTCCACAGCTGTGCCTTTGACTTCTTCTTCAGGAGCGATCTGCCGTCCTGGCTGTCAGCCATCTGACTGGCATGGATATAGCTGCCAGTCTGGAAGCTGGACATGCTGGCCGAGTCGTCGATTGTACTGGCAGGGGCCGATGGGTACTCGGAGGAAGCTGCTTCTGATGGCCCGCCGCTTCTTGCAATCTTCTCTGATCGTTGGCGTTGTAGCTCATTGGTAATGTCTTCGACCGGGAGTGCACCGATGATCTCTTCTCGTACGGTAGGGAGTAAGGCGAGCACCGTGTAGGTGCAGTCCTCCTGGTTCTGTTCGAAGCGGCGTCGGAGGCTGGTGGGTCGTTAGCCATATTCCCTTGTACCACGACTGTGGCCTTCTCACTTTTCCTTCGAGACCCTCTCGTCTGCCATGCGCTGGCGTGCCTCGAGCCATTTGCTCCATGCATACTGTCCAGCAAGGTAGACCAGTCCCAACGAGCCTGCTCCGACGGCAAACCTGGTGCGATTGCGCCTGAACCACCGGCGCGTCCCTTCTAACATGGCAGCATCTGTGTATTCGTCTACTGCTAGATTGCCGCTAGACTCGTATAATGATACAACCACCCCTTTGCTTTTTGTCGTCACGTTTGTCTCGAGGCGGATCAAGAGAGAGCTCGAACATGGGGAGACCGACGTGGGGGTGGACCTCGGCCTGTCGCGAAACCTTCCTCGCACGAACATGCCGTTATCGCTACCAGAACCGCTTTGACATTATATGCTATTCTAACAACTCTCGCTGGAGTCTCTAGTATGCTGCGCACTCCCTCTCGAGCCATTTCATCGTTCTCTGGTCATGTGTGAAGTAACCCTTGGTCCTCTCGTACACCTTCGAATGGTAGTCGTTGAGCCACTGCTTCTCTTCCGAGCTGAGAAGCGACACATCCGTCAACTTTCTGCACATGGGTGTCATGGTAACGTGCTCGAAGCCCAAGTAGGGCTTGTCGCCGAATTGATGCGTCGTCTTCTTCTCTGTCACCATGAACATGTCTGGATTTTGTTAGCCACATGCTCTCTTCCTGAGATACTTTGGCCTCAACTTACTCTCTATCCTGATACCAAAAGCACCGTCTTCGTAATACCCAGGTTCGTTGGAGATCACGTTGCCAACAGCTAGCGGCACCTCGCTATATGCAACCCTTGTTCCGATGCCGATAGGGCCTTCATGGACGTTCAAGAATGATCCTACGCCGTGACCTGTACCGTGACGGTAGTCAAGTCCTTCAGCCCAGAGGAACTGTCTAGCCAGAACATCGATTGCGTAGCCGGTTGTACCTTTGGGGAACTTGACGTTGTCCAAAGCAATGTGACCCTTCAGAACAAGGGTGTATGCCTTACGCTCCATGTCCGTTGGTTCGCCAAAGTGCATGGTACGAGTCGTGTCTGTTGTGCCATCGAGGTACTGAGCTCCTGAATCGCAAAGATACACGGCCTTCGGGTCAATGACGCTACAAGCACCAGGCTCTGGCTTGTAGTGGATGACAGCAGCATTTGCGCCAGTTGAAGATATCGTGTCGAACGAAAGACCGACAAAGTGCTTGTGTTTTGAGCGAATCGACTCCAACTTGTCGGCACCCTCAACCTCGTCGATCTTGGCCTTCTCGTTGATGAGCTGATCTTCTAGCCATGCGAAGTACTCGCTCAATGCAGCACCGTCACGAATATGACATTCGCGCATGCCCTTCATCTCAGTCTCATTCTTGACAGCCTTCGCATCGCCGATCAAACTGCGTACCAAGTCGACCTTATCCTCCCCACCCAGCGCCTGATACAGGGCCCATGAAGCCTTGTTCGAGACAAGATACTTGCTCTCGCCGGTGGAGGATGATGAGAGGGCCTCCATGTCGGTGAAGACGGCGTCGTAAGGTCGAACCTCGACCCCCGAGAGATGCGTCTTTGCAGCAGCAGTAAGTTTCGAGTCGTCGATGTAGAGAGTGCTGGTAGTTGGGGTGACAACGGCGTAAGAGAAGAAGACGGGATTGTAAGGGATGTCACTTCCACGCAAGTTGTACAACCAGGCAATCTCATCGAGCATCGACACGACAAATCCAGCGCTCTTCTTTTTGTCCAAGTCTTTACGCAAGTCGTCAATCTTGTCCTGGAATTTCTTGCCGGCAAAATCGAGGGTGAGGACGTCGGCCTTTTCGTTCGGTCTAGCGGGCCTGGCCGAATCCCAGACTGAGTCCACGAGGTTCTCCTTGACCGCGATAAGGTCTTTGCCGCCCTTCTTCTTGATCTTCTCGGAGAGTTTACGGGCATCGGCTGCCAAAGAGTCAGCAGTGTTCGTTGGAGAACCTAAAATCAGAAGTCTTACGGGCAGTAATAGTAGTGGGATCGACCCCAACGATCTTTGCTCCCTCGGACTGCTCGGCAGACCACTCCTGCCATGTGGGTACATCCTGGAGTCCCTGCTTGAGTAGGGTCCAGTTGTCGTCCAGTTGCTTCTCGGCTTGGTTGAAGTATCTTCCGTCGGTAGCAAGGGCAGCCTTATCGAGAGTGACAACGGCCGTTCCAGCAGATCCAGAGAAGCCACAGATATACTCTGCGTCCTTGTCAGTGTGATGTCGACCGGGTTCGATGATATAGACTGACCTCTGCGAGCATCGGCAGGGGCTATGTATTCGCTCTGATGACTGTCTTCCGAAGGCACAACTGCAAAAGTCAGTCAGTTGTCTGTTCATGTGCATCCAGACGGCTTACTGTAAATATCTACCTTGTTGCGCTTCATGAGCTCTCGCAACTGCGCGAGTCGTTCGGTCGTGTTCACTTTCTCCATGTCGATAGGATACTTTCTAATTGTTGACGTATGAAACAATCTTCCGGCAGCAATGCCTCTTGAAAGTGTACTGAGTCTTGCGAGTCCACGTAGCATCTGCACGTCACGTCCTCGAATTGATGCCTCACTATCGATTGGACACGCGACGATGACGGAGTCGCGGGCTTAAGAACGCCGAAAGGGTCCTCCCGGCCGGCATCATCCGTCGAGCGAGCAAGCGAGACCCTTCGACGCAGCGTTGGCGTCGATGTCGGCGTTGGGAGCTGCGCGTACGATACACCATCTCTTCGCTTCGACCAACTATCAAAGAAAATCACCAGAATTTAGGAAGCCTGTCTAGGACATCAGTAGGTGTATCTCCTCTACTTGGTTATCGTCCAGTCTTGAGATCTCAACATCTCTTGCACTTCCCAAATACTTATTTTGACAGCTGATTTCCTTGTCTGTTGCTTCGTGAGTGATTTTCACAAAGGTATCTGGCCTGGTCCCTAAGCTGAGTCGACGACATAGCGAACTTCCCCGGGTTTCGATTTCTAAACAGGTAGGCAATGTCATCTTCCCTATCACGCACCGCCAAGAGAACTTGTGGTGGCTATTCAATGGAGTCCATTCCATTTCCTTTCACATTTGTCGTCGAATCTGGCACGACGAGAAATTCTCTACAACCGAAAGGATACCGGTCTCATCATCATCAGACGGATGGCTTACTCGGGTCTGTGGCGGGCAGCAGTTCATAGCCATGGATATCATGCTCTGATTCAGCGAGCCATTGATTCCGGAAGACTAATTGAAATGATCCTCTCAGATTCGACAATGAGCGTCGCCGATCAGGCAATTGAGCTTGTACGTCGACTCAATGACCCAAGATATGCCGCCGGTGCCTCTGTAATTTCACGCGAACTGCAAGAAATTCAGCTATCAGATCAAGGATGGGCTGCCGCAGACGCTATGCTCGATCACGCAGATCCCAACATCAAGTTCTATGGAGCTTTGAGTCTGCAAATCAAGCTCAACAAAAACAGGTCAGTGCCTTTGCCTTTCTCGACGCACGAAGTGCAATGTTAACAGTTATGAAGAAGCACGCTCGATGATCAAGCAGCCGCTGAGTTGAAGTCGCGCTTGATTCTCTGGTTTGTAAGTTTTCATACTACTCGTGCTTCACAGAATGATCTTCTCATCCCTGCCTGCAGATACGTCTTGCCCTAGGCAACATGCCTCCTAAGTTTGTTATCGACAAAGTTTGCTCTACGCTTGCAACATACTTCATCCAGTCTCCTGTTCCCTGGACACAGACAGTACGCCAGATCGTTTGCTCCTTGCATGCTTGTGACGTCGTGCCTCTTGACGGACTCAGCACATATCCTGACACTAGTCAAATTATCGGCCAACTGTCAGGGCTTAGACTGTTCATGGCTGTGCGTTTCTGCAGAGTTTTGGCCGAAGATGTCCAGAACAGCTCTATCCTCGGCCCGCAGTACTACCACCTGGACAATCTCCTCAAGACAAACACTGCCGACTCGGCCGTACTCATGACGTATGTGTTTAGCACATCAACGCCGCTTTCTACAGAAATTCGGATCGAAGCGGTACACTGCTTCTCTGCATGGGTTACCTACAGCTTTTCCCATTGGACCACCGATCCTGTGGCGTTGCAGCTTCTACAAAACCTGACCCCAATGGTCATCGAGCACGTTCTGCATCGCGAAGAGGAAGTCAGAGATCCCACTGTAGAATTCTTCGTCAACACCCTGGAGTACCGCTCAAAGTTTCTCCAAAGGGACCACCTCGAATCGATTTCGCTATTGATCCGCAAAACCATCGGTCCCCAATGTTTGCTACAGAACCAGAGCTTCTTGGACCCAACGATTGTGTCATTCAGCAAGTTGATAACCGCTTATGGCAAACTGGCTGTCAAAGACCTTATTTCCGAGAGAAATCGAGATTCTTCTCAAGAAGTCATTGGTAAGTGTGCAGGATTGCTCGTCATCTGAATATCAGACTGACCTAGCTGCAGAACTCTTCCAACAACTACTGCGTGCCCCTGGCTACCCTGCTGAGGACGATCAAGTGATTCTACAGGTGACCGAATTCTGGATTGAGTATGCTGAACAGATTGCCGACACAGTCATGGACGTGGAAGAGGATAAGATTCCCTTCCTGACAGCCGTGAGAGATGATCTTATGCAGGCCGTCCAAACCTACATCCCCAAGCTCCAAGCGCCATCTCTTTCGGAAATCTCTGAATGGGATGAGGATAATGTTGACTCATGGCAATTCTTTCGCGATAACATCAGCGATTTATTCGACCAAGTCAACAGCGTTCCCGACACACATCTCTTGAGTAATATGGTTGTCCTCGCAACAAGCGTCTTGCCGACCCAGAATTGGCTACACCTTGAAGCCATAATCTTCTCCATCAACTGCATCTCAGACACGATTGCGCTCTCCGACGAGAATACCCAGGCGCTCTCCACACTCATCGGATCTTCATTGTTCAACGACATCTCGACCAACAGTGCCGACATACCAAACAAACTCAAGCGTGCTGCCATGACGCTTGTTGATCGATACTCTTCATTCATCAAGAAGAATCCCAACTTCCTACCTCCGGTTCTTACATTCCTTTTCACAATCCTGGCCTCGACACCTGCAGACAAAACAAAACTTGCGGACGCTTCCGCCAAATCTCTTGAACAGCTTTGTTCCTCATGTCGCAAGTCCTTGACACCACATCTGGGTGAACTGCTTCAACAATGTCCACAAGCACTCTCTGGCCCATCAGCAAACAGCTACCAGAAGGAGAAAATCATGGCAGCTCTTGCCTCCATCATCCAAGCTTTGCCTACCGAAGAAGCCAAAGCCGCACCCCTTATCTCGCTCATCGAAGTGGTTGAAAACGATCTTAATACCGCCATCAGAACTCTACACCAAGGCAACCTCGAAGACAGTGAGATCCTCGGAACTTCCGCTTTACAGTGCCTTGCCAGCATTGGAAAAGGCATCCAGGCACCTACAAATGATGTGGTGGATGTGGACAGTGATGGTGACGAAGATGACGACAGTTCTGCTACTACCAACAATTTCTGGACTGCACAGGCCGGTGTGGAGATCCAGAAACGCATTGTGCAATGCATCAACATCGTCGAGTACCTACACAACCCGGGAGATGCCATGGACGCCGCCTGTGCGATCCTGCGTGCTGGTCTTAAGGAGACGAAGCCGGGTCCCTTCGTCTTCCCACCTGAGGCAACTGTCGCCTTCATTGACAAGGCACAGATAACTACACCCCGTATCGAAGCCATCATCGGTACGGCTTGCAGCTTTGTCTCCAACTGTTCGCGGAAGACAAGCCCTCACATGTTCAACGAGATGTGTGCTGTATACAACAGAGTAGCCCTGGTGATGCAGCAGCTCGGTGACCCGGCCAACGACCCGCAACTGGCCCAGCTCTGCATAGACTTCTTGCAAAGGCTGTTAGTCAGCTACCTCGACGTCCTCCTCGCCCCCTCGGATGAGGAAATCGCCGCGGCCATGCAGTTTGTCATAAACTGCATGGTCGGCGACGCCCCCATGCTCAAGCGCAATGCTTGCAGCTTCTTCGTAAGCCCCCTTGTCGACTCGGCGTTCGCCCGTGTTCGTTCTTCTCTGATGCCTGTCAAAAAACTAATACACAACGCAGGAAACGTTGCTGGGTCTCGCCAACCCACGCACCGCTCACACGCTCCCGTCCTGCCGTGTGCCCCCCCTCGCTATCATCACCGCCTTCGCCACCCCTCTCTCCCGCGCCCTCATCTTTAACATGGGTGGGCTGGCCCAGCGCTCGGAGATCGAGTCTTTGTGTAAGCCACTACGCGCACTCGTCTTCTCCCAGCCTGGGCTGGCCAAAGCGCACCTTGAAGAGGGGCTCATGGACCCCCAATTTCCCTCCACCAACGTGGGAGAGAAGGAGAAGAGGGTCTTCCTGGCGAAGGTATTGGGGTTGAGGGGAGGTAGACAGACCGTGGTGGTGGTGAAGGAATTCTGGGCCCTGTGCAAGGGTACAGTGACCTCGTTCGAGTAGGGGGCAGAGTTAAGGGATGAGTTGATATAGATGCTTTCTCGCTTACCGTGGCAACTGATGTGCAAAAGTTCTTGCATTCTAACAGCTGCGTCAATGTACTTGAATGTTCACTGAAAGCCATGATAGTGGGATGGATTAAACGATGAACCCTCTTTGATTGCTATAGTATGTATAGGGAGTCTGAAAGGGACCGTGATGGACTAGCTATGGGTGAGAACACGAGTACGGGTAAAAAGTGACATGGTGACTAGGGCGACAGCGGAGGCGGACGACTTGTGCTTGATCTTGGCGACGTCATTGCTGCTGTTGTCCTGGTTGCATGTCCATTTGACAGTGTCCAGCAATGTGAGCTGTGCCGGCAGGACGCTCAACGTCATCGAGGTTGTGACAGCGACCATAGGCCGAGGTGTCATCCCTCCTCGTGTGCTAAACTTTGTCACGCGTGAAGATGTAGAGATGCACAATGTTTTTTTGAACTCGATGCTGGGTCTAAGGAGAGAGCTTTAGAGAGTTGCCCTCTGTGGACGAAGCGGTTCTAGTCAAAATCATCGTGCATCCGGACAGGTGTTCCAACGTGTATCGCTGCGGCGAGAGAGTCGACGGTTGTGGCAACGACCATAGGCAGAGGCGTCGTGAAGGTTGACGAGAGCGAAGGCGTTGTCCTTGCAGTTGGCGTCGGTAAAGACACTCAAGAAGCACGAGCCGAACTTGGTGAGAGGGCCGGAATGCTTACCAACGACCACACTTGCTGACAACGAAGTGAATGGCTTGGCAAAGTAGTGGCAGTGGTTGACTTTGAGGGTATCCGAGTCTCTAGCGATGACGCTGTTGCATCCAAGATTGTCTGCGGGGTGGATAGTGACATGGTTATGGAAGCGGGAGACATCTCTGGTGATGGTAGAGGCCGAGTAGTCGTAGTCGTCGAGCCATTCCTTCTTGATTCTGCGAGAGCTCCGACCACGAGAGCCGAGACGGTTAACACCTTTGTGACAATTAGCAAGGTGTCGATGAGTGGATGATGATGGACGGAGATGATGATGATGATCATGCACGACGACGATGGTCGACGGCACTATCGAGAGTGAGTACGCACGGTGGTAGGCTCTATGTTGACGGCGTCAATGAGCTAATACTGTAACAGAGGAACGAGCAAGTTACTCCCAGCAGTCAGTTAAATGCGCACTGGGCCCCCTTACTATAGAAACCATAACAAATTTAGAAATGTCCATGGTACCTCCATGCGTCAAAACCAATATCCTTGGTAAAAACGATCGCGTTGGAAAGGTCTATTTTGCGTTTACCTCCTGGAAGCACATATCGTGATCCAAAACGATAGCAGTGTATCGATCAGCCCTATACCTGCTCGACAGGCCGTATAAGGGTCGAGATATTGTGTTTGGTGATCGTGCTTAGAGATGACAACACGGCTGGCATGATGCAGTCGTGACTCCTATAATGATTCTTGGATTCCCTTGCGAGGTTACTACGAGGCACACCGAACACCGTAGCCGACATAACAACAGCAGTCCAAAAGTCTCACGTCCAATTGATGACCAATAAGATCAGCTCGAGACAGCAGATGGCAATACCACGAGATCTCACAGATCCGATACGGGACAACCCGCTATATCACGAAAGTTAAGTCAGCATCGTCGCAGTCCTTGGCAAAGGCCGGACAGACGTAGATGCGGTCGTGCTTAAAGAGATGTTGTTGAAGAGACGTTGATGGGAGCGCTGATGAAGACTGATGCTAATGCAAGGCAGAAAGTTGGAAGACCGGGAACAAGTAGACGGTTGTTGTGGTAAGTAAAAGGCTGGAGGGTAGATCGACTGAGCATCCGGCAGGTTTAACAGCGAGCTTGATGAGGCAGGTGCCGTCGGCACTGCTGTCAGTGAGAACCTCGAGAGCGCAAGATACTGTGCCAGACGACTATCGGCAGGAGAATTGACCACACGTTGGTGGATATGTACTACAGAAAACAAATTTGAATTGCAAGTGACTCCGACTCACACCGTATGTGAGGTTGGTAGAATAATGTTGTAGACATCACCAAGTCTCCTGCTTATACCGGCCATCTCTTTCCATCTGGTCAAGGTACTCGCTTGCCTGTCCAGCGGTCATTTGGCCATGTTCTTTGAGCACGTCGGCTAGTGCTTCACGGACCCCCTTGGGCATATTTCCAGAAGACCCACAGATATACACCTTGCCTTGATCTTGCTTTAGTGTCTTGTAGACAAGGCTTGCTTCTTTGCGAACCAGATCTTGAACATAAGTTCTCGGCTTGTCCTGATCGCGCGAGAAACCGGGAAACACGGTGAGGCTTTGGTCCGCAAGATTCTGCCACTCGTCACGGAAGAAATAATCTGCTGTCTCATTGCGACATCCGAAGAACAACAGACTCGGTTTTCTCGAATTGCTTCTTCTCGCCCATTCCAAGCGTTCATAAATCATCGAGCGCATCGGTGCAACACCTGTGCCCGGTCCGATCAAGAGCACAGGTGAGTTCACTTCATCCGGGCTAACATTCAAGTAGCCTGGCTGTATCGTCAGACTGAGTTGTTGCCCTGCTTGTAAAGTTGCGATGTATCGAGTGCAGACGCCGTAGCGCTTTCGCAGCTTGATGATTGGATTGGGAGGGTTCGCAATCGCCACAAGGAGTTGCACCCTAGTGTTTCCATTTTCGAGATGTTTCAAACTGCCTCCACTCGCAATGCTGAACTGCCTGCCTCGCATGACTGGTATGATATTGAGAGCATATTGCCATGGGATTTTGACACTTGGAAACTCGGGCATGATCTCAAGAATAGTTCGTCTTGGTCGAGTAGTGTAATCCCATAGCTCATCAATCAGCTCAGGATTGGCCAGCTCGAGAACGCGTTCTTTCTGATAACTCTCTTCTTCGTTGCCCTCTTTGGTAAAGTAGGCCAGAGAAGCAAAGAAGGTCCGCCGAGGTATAGAGACTATGTCCAAGTAGTTCGTCAACAGCTCACGAATAGTGAAGGCTCGCTTCGTTGATTCGAGATATCTGAGTGGTGATGGAGGATATGTTGCCAAATCAGAGACATCCGTCGTCGGAACGAGCTCCAGCAGCGTATCAGCCATAGACTGCCAGCCCATGCATTCGATGAACTGATTTACATCCTTTGGAAAGTTCTTTGGATATACGACAGCAACTGCGCCAGGTCCGTAGTCGATGTTCGAAGAGAGGGTAAAGTCCAAGAGTCTTACATCCTGACCATGGTCGGAAGGCGTCAGACGGGTGTTTACTGTGAGGTCGGCTATAACACTGTCTGCAATGGGTAGGATGTCGTTTGCTGGGGGCGTATCCAGAGTGAGAGTTTCCTGAGAGACGCCGTTTGCTGGAGTATTGTTACTGCTACCGTTCGTCGAATCAGGCGAGATTCGCAGACACCACTTGGGCTCCAGAAAGACGTCCTCAGCGATAATATTCTGCCCTTCAGGTAAGGGGAAATGCTGCAACAGTTCTTGCTTCAGATCTACAATCCAAGCACGAAACTCGCCGTTGTGACCTTCCGGGTGCTGTTCGTTGCCTTCGCCACGCGGACAGAAGAGCTGAGCACCTAACTGTAGCATGCGGTTGTGCAGCATACGGTGAGCCACGTTATATTGTGGATATGAACTGTCACCCAAACCAAAAGTGGTAAAATTGACACGTCTCAACACACCAGAACGGAGTTGGCTGCTCAACAGGATCTTCCAGAAGGAGCGAGCATTCTGAGGAAACTCACCTTGGCCAGTGGTAGATATAGCCACTATGATGATAGTATGTTTTAGCAGATCACGCTGTCAAATGTTAGAGAGTAAACGGCTAGAAAGATGATGGCACGCACAAGGTCTATAGAGTCGAGGTCTATGACAACAGTATCAAAACGCAAACGCTCAGTCAAACGAGCAATCTCTTGGGCAACATCTTGAGCATTGCCTGTTTCGGAGCCATACAGGATTAATGCAGAGCGGGGCTTTGCAGCAATTTGTCTGAACTAGTCAGAGCGGGACCTCGTGGAAATATGTCTTCAATACTCTATCGATTACCTTCTTGCGAGAGATTGTCGTGCCGGCACAGCACGATGCCCTGGGAGACCGTCTTGAAGTGTCATGCAGGGAACGGAGACGCTTTATTGCGATAGTGAATGGATCAAACACTGTGAAATAGAACAGACGAAGGCGTGGCGGCTTGAAGTACACAAAGCAGAAGCGATAACGGCAAGACGGTATGTCACAGTCACGGATAATTCACCGGAATGAATATCTCATTTTGAGTCTTTGAGGCGACTCGATTTCCCCACAATCAGCGACAAAGTTACGCCAGCCAAGAAAGGACGTGGACCCTGCGGCAGCTGCACAGGCCCATCGCACCTGCCCGAAGATCTAGCGGGTGAAGAAGTCAGGCCAAGCGGGAGTTTACGAGACAACAACACCTTCCATTAACACACATACCTCAAGCAAGTGACAACTTTCTACCCTCATCCCCTCATCCCCAACACCACGAATCGGGCACCTAGCTACCCAGAACTCTCCCTCGTCAAGCCAGTTTCCACCACAACAGGCGGTCTCGACAATCGAATCAACCTCCCCAGACCTCACAGCTCCAGCGTCATCCACCTACAAACGTCATAATGTCCGTCGAAGCTGCCACCGCCCAAATGGCAAACACTACCATCAACGAGCCCACCTCCACCGCTGAGGGTGCTTCAGTCGGAGCCGGCGGCGACAAGCCCATCAACGCCTCTCAGAACGAGGCCGTCATCGCCAGCGCCGCCGAGGGTAGAAGACTCTACATTGGAAACCTCGCCTATGCGACCACTGAGGGAGAGTTGAAGGACTTCTTCAAGGACTACCTTGTGTGCGTTGCTCTGCTGCTTTCTCGGCAAGCTTTCCTGTACTGACTTTACATGCAGCGAGACCACTTCCATCCCCACCAACCCTCGCACCACCCGTCCTGTCGGCTACGCCTTCGTTGATGTCTCGACCCCTACCGAGGCTGAGCGTGCCATCAGTGAACTGAACGGCAAGACTATCCTCGACCGCAAGGTTTCCGTTCAGCTTGCCCGCAAGCCCGAACCTGCCCAAGAGGGCAACGAGACTGCCGAGCCCGCTCGCCGCCGCAGCTCCACCCGCGGTCGTGGCCGTGGTCGTGGCCGTGGTGGCCGCTCTGGTCGTGGTCGCGTAAGTTCTAACACCTTGTATTATTTACACGGGTTACTAACGAGCATTAGGGTCGCAACGCCGAGGGCCAGACTACTGACGCTCCCGCTGACTCTACCGATGGACCTACCAACGTCCCCGGCCAGGTCCTTCCTCTGACCGAGACCACCAACGAGGCTCTCACTGCTGCTCCTGGTGACAAGGACGCCTTGACCGTCAACCCCAACAAGACTGGCAAGACCGATGCTCTTCGCCCCCGCAAGCAGCGTGGTCCTCCCGAGGACGGCGTTCCCTCCAAGACCAAGGTCATGGTCGCTAACCTCCCATACGACCTCCGTGAGGAGAAGGTAACAATTCGATGTTGATATCTGTCGCGTGACCATCTTGCTGACAACATTTGCTAGCTTCTCGAAATCTTCGCCGAGTACAAGCCCACCTCGGCCAAGATTGCTCTCCGTCCCATTCCCCGCTTCATGGTTCGCAAGCTCCAAGCTCGCAACGAGCCCCGCAAGGGTCGTGGCTTCGGCTTCGTCACTCTGGAATCCGAGGAGCTCCAGCAGAAGGCTTGCTCTGACATGAACGGCAAGGAGATTGAAGGTCGTGAGATCGCAGTCAAGGTTGCCATTGACAGCCCCGGAAAGGAGGACGAGGACCCCAACGCCCCCATCGAGGGAGAGGCCGAGACTGACGGCAACCCCTCAACTGCCGAAGGCTCTGCCAACACCTCGGCCGCCGTCGCCCAGTAAACGACTTTACCGAGCATGACGGGGTGAGTGTGCCTGGAAGCGGACACAGTTCGAAGCACCACAAGATCCATCAAGCATTCGGCGGCCGTACAAATCGCAGCGTGGCCTGGGTGTGCTGCCAAGTTAACTGCGAGCATTTGTTGAAGCTGGTTGCGCAAAAGATATGATTTTCTACATGACATTTATATGCCCCGCCCTCCCTCTTTATTCTGCATGGTAACATGACGACCATGGAATATGTATTAGTATGACGAAAGCAAAAGCGATCATGATTTATCCCTAGTCTCAGAATCTCTTGTGCAATGTGTTCTGTGACTCCTAAAAGGTCTCTCCCCGACCGGCCTTTTCGTCCAAGGACTGCTCTAGGTGTACACGAGTAATGTTCTTGTGGTAAGTGAATGTCCAGTTAGCAAGTCACATGAATACATCTTCTCATAGTACACGTTTCTCGGGTAGAGTGACGGTGAACCCGATCCTTGCCACGACTTTCCCCAATGTCGAACTGAATTGCTCCTGAGGAACACAGTGTCTTTCTGTCATGCTGATGCTGAAGACCATCGTTGTTATCCGGGCTTGAATATCATGTCACATGTGTGGAAAGATGGTGGAAGCGTCAAGCCGAGTTGTGTACGGGTGCCCACTGCCCCTCATGAGTTGTGAAAGCACAAAGCCAAAGCCGAGGTCGGAATTGCCTGCCAAAGTTGTGACGAACGCCGCTCTCGTCTGTTCCATCCAAGTTATTTCGCATCACATCCAGTAGTAACAACATGTCTGGACTACGAATCCTCGTGCCCGTCAAGCGCGTCATTGACTATGCTGTCAGTCTGCCCGTACATTCATCCGCATCGAGGGAACTGAGATTGACAGCGTCCATAGGTCAAGCCTCGAGTCAACAAGGCCCAGACGGCCGTCGAGACGACCGGAGTCAAGCACAGTATGAACCCCTTTGACGAGCTGTCAATCGAAGAGGCCGTCCGTATGCGCGAACGCAAGGCCCCCGTTGAAGACATACTCGCCTTCTCTGCCGGTCCCACAAAGTCCCAGGATATTCTGCGTACCGCCATGGCCATGGGTGCCGACCGTGCCCTTCACATCGTCGAAGAAAAGACCGAGCTGGAGCCCTTGAGTGTCGCCAAGCTGCTCAAGAAGGTTGTCGAGGATGAGAACCGCAACCTTGTCATTCTGGGCAAGCAGAGTATTGATGATGATGCCAACCAGACTGGCCAGATGCTTGCAGGTCTGCTGGGCTGGGCTCAGGCTACCCAGGCCTCCAAGGTCGAGGTTGAGGGCGACACATGTACCGTGACCCGAGAGGTTGACGGCGGTGTCGAGACGTTGCGCGCCAAGTTGCCCATGGTCATCACCACCGATCTACGATTGAACGAACCTCGCTACGCCAGTCTGCCGAACATCATGAAGGCCAAGAAGAAGCCGTTGGTCAAGAAGACCATGGAGGACTATGGCATCGATCTCACCAAGCGACTCAAGACTGTCAAGGTCATGGAGCCCCCACCGAGACAGGGCGGTGGCAAGGTTGAGGACGTTGATGGCATGATTTCCAAGCTCAAGGAGTTGGGCGCATTATAAAGAGTCCTCAGATTTGATACCATGTATTTTTTCCATGCATGAAGATGCGATTACTTGCTACGACTGTACTTATATTGATTTCCTTTCTCTACCAGTCGCCCCATGCATCATCGCCAGACTTTTGCTGTGACCCGCTTGCAGGCTTCTTCATGGCACTTGTTCCTATACTGGATGAGGCAGCTTTCTTTTGTGTTGCCGTTTCGCCAGCAGCGGCGAAGTCATCCCAAAAGTCCTTTTTGTCATTTGCAGGTCCCTGAGGAGGTTCACCAAAGCTGTCCCAGAAGTCGCGCTTGTCTGCTGCCGGACCCTTGGCTCCTCCCTTTGGCGCCAGTCTCTCGTCGCCCTCGACAAAGCGGTTGAAGTTCTCGGCAGCCGCCTTGGTGCCGGTCTGAATGCCCTGTCCCAACTGTGCCGCCGTCATACGTGCCTGAGCTGCGAGATCGGCTTCTGCCAGCTATAGACACTGTCAGTATATTGTATGGGACTGAGCAGAGCAAAGCAACGGACCTTCTGCATGTTGGGCTTTACCCACCCATCGTAGCCAGTCTTGGCCTGTTTGGTCACGGTACTGCTCAACCAACCAAATCCTTTCGTGAGAGCGGCAACGGGATCCTTTTGGAAGTCGTCGACACCAGGGATTGAGGTAGAGGCTGAGGAAGACGAGGGCGTGGGATCGCTACCAAAACCAGCATACTTACCGCCCTGATTGGGAGGTAGAGAGTCGGGTCTGTGTGCGTTCTCGGCACCCATGCGGGCAAAGTAGGCTTCGTTCTGAACTTTTTGTGTTGGGGGACCGGCAGACGAGGCACCGAGCGGAGTCTGGCTCCTGCTCGTTGAGGCCGAGGTGGCAGGCTTTGCTCGAGCAGGCATAGCACTGCTCTTCGTACCAGGAACGTATTCCTTGCCCTCGACCTTTGCGGTCAGGCGTTCTTTCCACTCTTCACCAGCGTCACTGTCGTAGCGTTCCTGGATCGTGCATTCGTCAAAGGTACGAGCCTGGAGGGTGTTTGATTCGTGGGAGTCGAAGAAGTCCTTCCATGGTCTGTTGCCGCCCTTGGACATGCGCTCGACTTCCTGGACCTTGAACGAGTCCATAGTGATTGAGCGTACGAAGGAGATGTGAACACCGAGGGAGCGGTGGGTACCAGAACACGAGAGGCAGAAGAAGATGCCGAACTTGGGGGAAGCCTTGAGTGGTGGTGAGCGGACAGCGGTACAGTGGTACAGGAAGACAGGAATCAGAGGCGTACCCATTGCGGGCTGGGAGCACCGCAGTCGACACAGCGGTTGTTCTCATTGGTCTTTTGGATATCTAGGAGCTTGCTCTTTGTTTCGGGATCAACCTGTAGATATCGAGTTGGCACAAACAACACGCTGGACGGAGAGCATTTCTCTAACCTCCCACATTTTGTTGCTCATCTTGAAAGTGACTAGCCGTATGCCAGGATAGAAGACGCGATTGAAGCACCGGATATGACAGGAGACGAGAAGGGAACGTGATATAGCAAAGAAAGGGTTGCTACGCAGAGCTCAGTCTCATGAATTCCCCTTGGGCACTCGTATCGTATACTGGCCGTTGACCCACGTCATGCGCACGGTCCCCGAGCCTTTTCCATGGACCCAAGGACCCCAGGACCATCCCAAGCTTTTTATTCTTCCTGTCGCTTTCACCTGACCATCTTCACCAGCATCAATTGAACATCATTTAACGAGTACCAACATGGACTATACCCAGCTTACCGTCGCCAAGCTCAAGGACGAATTGAAGGAGCGCGACATTCCCAGCACCGGCCTCAAGCTGAAGAAGGACTTTGTCGATCGTTTGGAACAGGACGACTCGGACAAAGTGAAGGACCAACCAACCGCCTCGCCCACCGTCCCGGAACATGTCCACATGCCCGAAACAGACGCTGTTGTGACTACAGTCTCCGATCATTCCGCCAGCACAACTATCTCTGCCACCGCCACAAACGACCAATTGCCATTACCTACCGAGCACCAGTCAGACGTCTCCGACCCGCAAGACCACACACAGTCTGCAGAGCCTACTGGTTCCGCTCGAGAATCCACTCCCTCAGTCAACGCTCCTTCCCCTGCAGATCAAGTCATGGACGAACTGCCTGATGCTGCTACCCCGGACCCGATCAAGGCTGAAGAGCCCGCCTCTGCCGACGGTAAAAAGAGAAAGAGACGGAGTCCTAGTCCCATTGTATCTGAACATGTTGTGCACAAGAAACTGAAGCAAGAGGCTGATGGTCCAGTCGTGCACTTGCCATCCGACCAAGATTCCCTTCCAAACCATGAGCCAATGGCAGACGGCCCTCTGGAAGAATCCCATCACACCTTTCAACCCATTTCTACGAGCGATGACCTGACTCAACCCTTCATCAAGGACTCTGACATATCGAGGGCGACAAGGAGCCCTAACGAGCGCCGCTTCAAGAACCTCATCAACCCTGCCGAGTCTGACCCCGTCCAATCAACCACTGAGCCTGTTGATATGTCGGTATCTCCTGCCATTCATCCCGCCACTCGTGCTCTGTACATCCGCGATCTCGTCCGTCCCATCAATCCAAGCGGCCTCAGGGATCATCTCGAAGATATCGCCAGACCTCCGGACCACCCCGATGGTTCCGCTTCGCTAGTCGACGAGTGCTATGTCGATGCTCTACGTACGCACGCGTTCATCCTCTTCACATCCATCTCTGCTGCCTCAAGAGCCCGAGCTAGCACACATGCTCGTATCTGGCCTCCGGAACCTATGCGTAAGCAGCTGTGGGCCGATTTCTTCCCAGAGGAGCGCTTCCAAGAGTTCCTTGATGCTGAGCGAGCAAGTGGGGGCTCAAGGCCTAGTCAGGCAAAACGCTGGGAGCTTGCTTACAATCTTGTCGATGATGGTGTTGACGTACAGCTTGTCGAGGCAGGTCCTGCTGTTCATCGTGCTTCAACACATGCCGGCGCGCCTAATGCTCCTCCGACTGGGCCAAGAGGAAGCATGTCGAGTGGAAGACGTCCATCATTTGCTCAAACCGAACAGAGACGTCCCTCCCAGCCCCTTGTTGCGCCACTTCCACGACGCAGCTCAAGAGTAGTCGAAGAAGCGAGTGCACCTTTCCTTGAGCTGGACAAGCTCTTCAACTTTACAACAACCAAGCCAAAGCTATACTGGCAACCAGTAAGTGACAATCTTGCCGATGACAGGCTTGACGAGTTGGACCGTGAGACCAGCAGAGACTGGGACCCGCGTGCCGATATGAAAAGAAATGGAGATTCGCTGGGTCGCGGGCTCGACCAACTCAAGCGTTACACGTTCGAAGATGGCGATGTGCTTGTCGACGGAGGCCCCGAATTCGGTGGCGGGCGTGCTTTTGCACGGGCCGGCAATCGTGGACGTGGTCGAAGAAATGGGGATAGTTATAGGCGCCACTAAAGTCAGACCAAGGTATGGTCTGGTCGAAGCGCTCGTTACAGGTAGGCAATTCTCTTGGTCAACATACTCGGTTGATAGAACGCAACCTATCATGGAAGCCCGTCCCAGAATACAACGATCTCAATTAATCTGCAATAAAGTCTCAAGCCAGCTGTGTGATCTGTGAACGTAACATTGAATCCAAGATCAGACGTGACTGTTTGAACCTTCTGTGGTTTGTAGACGCAGTGGGCCATCGTTATCGTGATTCACGGTCACCACATATCTCGCAACCACTTTTAATGTGTGTCAGGATTTTGCTAATATTACAAGTCTCAAACCATATCGAGTCTATTATTACAACAATGCCTCTTGCTTCATGAAGAATTTCTTGGTTTCCAGACATCTTTGGCTGGTGCATCCAGGACATCTCAGACCCAATTGCCTGCTGCCAACATCACCACTTCTCAGGTGGTCTCTTGCGAGCTCGGCCAGACCTTGAATGAATACAGGACTGCCGTTTAGCGAGTCCGCTCTCTTGACGCGGCCATCTGCACCCAATTCGTTGGCCTCATGAATAATCTCCTGGTCGACTTCGAAGAGGGTTTCGATGTGGTCTGAGGTGAAGGCAATGGGGATGAGAATGAGATCCTTCTGGCCTCTCTTGACAAAGTTGGTCACCGTATCGCTGGTCTGGGCTCCCAACCAAGCGGAAGGTCCGACCTGAGACTGCCAGACCAGTCTGTGGGGGTTCTTGAAGCCCAGGCGCGTCTGGACTGCGTGGACGGTAGCAGCAACCTCGGCTGGGTAAGGATCACCTCTGTTAACAACGCTCATGGGCAATGAATGAGCGGAGAACAGCAAAACAACGTCCTTTCTTGTCTCCTCGGGGTACTCGAGCAACTTGGCCTCAATGTTCTGGGCAAAGGCCTCGACGAGACCTGCATGCGTAGGCCAGCGGTCAATGACACTCCAGGTGATTGCGCCAGCTTCGTCGATCTCGCCGCCTGCGCGCTTGGTCTCGAGTCTCTGGCGCCACTTCCACAGCTCGTTCAAGGAGCTTCCGGTGGTACTGCAGGAGTATTGAGGGTATTGAGTGAAGGCAACAGCTCTACCTCCCTTTCCGTTGCCGAAACCGTCGTCGAACAGTGTCTGATACATCTCCTCGGTCAAGGGGGCGGCGTAACGGAAAGCGACATAAGGTTTGTGAGGGGCGGTTTCGGGCGAAATCTTGTCAAGGATCTTGCACATCTCGGAGCTCTGGTACTCTGACCATTTGCGAATGGGCGAGCCACCACCAATGGCGGCGTATTGCTTCTGAATCTTGGGTGTACGGCGCTTGGAGATCAGGGGGCCGAGGTAATTCTGCAGTCTTCCGAGAGGGATCAAGTCGCCATCTGCCTGTGTACGGATCAGAGGCTGAAGGAGGAAAGATGGACGGTGAGACTCACGAATAGCCTGCTGAGGAAGTCGCCGACTTCGCCAGTAGTAGAAGGACCGCCCATGTTCATGAATACCATAGCAGTAGGACCCTTGGAACCAGTACTGTCCTGGGTGACAGGTGGGACGACCGTGGCCATGGACTGTTGCTGTGAGGCGGCATACTTTGCGATCTGAGCAGGCAATGCCCGCCGTGACAGGCCGAGGGGTGCGCGAAGACTCATCTTGGGAGTGTGATTGAAAAGAGTAGAGAGAAACGGGCGTGAACGGGCCAGGCAATGTCTCGATCTCGACCAGTGTGCACTTGGCGATGACGATCGCATGCGAAGCTTTTGGTCAGCCGGCTCTCATTGGCGGACGCGTGCGTCGCGCGGACTGGTCGCAGCTTCCCCAAGACGCGCTCCACGAATTCCTAATTGTTGTCTCCGTATCTGCATCTGATCATTGTCGCTCATAATTCATTGTTTGGTGATTGTCGCAACTTTCACCGAGCTATGGCTCGCATCAACCAACGCCCTTCCGAGACACCTACCGCCCGTTCATCCAACTTGCCTGCCGCTCCTTCTGTTGCGCCGTCCTCGCCGAACCTCTCGTCGGATAAAGAAAACCACTCAACTTCGGCCCCTCGCGATAAAGGCAAAGGCCGCATGTCTGGCCCCTCCGATTCTCACTCTGCAAAGAGGAGGAGAATCCAACCACGTTCTACCGCCTCCGTCGCCAACCATGAAGAGAATGACGATTCGCGCTTCTACGACCCCACTCAAGACCAGCACGAACGCCAGGAGATAAAGAAAAAGTCCCGTGCCCTCGAGCGCGAGTTCAATGGTGCTTGTCCCTCCAGCTTCCTCTCTCGCCCGTATCGAGGCTAACTTCGTCCAGAGAACAAGGATGTCTACCTGAAAGATGGCACTCAACTGGAGTCCATCATTGATCGAGCCAATGAAGTCTATGGTCGTGTCAAGCAGACTGCCGATGCGACGGTTGATTCTCGCTTGCTCGTCAACATCTCTGATATGGCTCTGAAAGCTTCCGCACAGCTTACTCTCGGCGACAACTCCACCGGTGTCGACATCGACGAATTCGTCTCCAAGTGTATCCTGTTTATGAAGAATGACACTGGGAACGCTTCCGCAACCTCGACACAACGTCGTCGACAACGACAGAGTCATCGCGGCGACGGAGATGACGACGACGAAGATGAGAACCCCAACGATGTTCTTGACTGGGCTCACCTTGGCTCGCACGCCTGTTTTCCTTACAATCTTCGTCCTCCTGCTCCGAGTTTCTTGCTTGGTCCTCTTTCCGTTCAGAAAAAGGTCCGCGCCCAAACGCAACGACGTGCTCGTCAGCGAAAAGATTCCACCATCAAGGAAGTTCGTCCGGAAGCCCTGACTGAACGCGATCTTCAAACAAACGAGAACAATGCCTTGACTACGCTGTGCCAAAACATTAAGAAAATTCTGGAGACGCATTGCACTACCGCGACCGCTGCTATAGAATCGCTCGGCGACTTGGATGACGATCAGGTATTGACAGAGATGAAACGGAACAGAATTGCTCCCACTGGTGGGCCAAGTCTGTTCGATTTTGCAATCAACCCGCACAGTTTTGGTCAAACTGTAGAGAACATATTTTACATCAGTTTTCTAATTAAAGAAGGCAATGTCGGCCTGCAAATGGACGATGACGGGCTGCCTACTCTACGTAAGTCGTAACAGAAAAGCGTCCCGAGTGGTCAAATATCTAACAACATGTAGTACCAGCTGAACCACAAACGGTAGCACAACAGCGCGAGAAAAGCTCGATGCGACATCAAGCGGTCTTCAGCATCGATTACAGTACCTGGCAGCGCTTGATACAAGCGTTCAAAATCACCGAACCCCTCATCCCACATCGAGGAACTAGTGGAGGTGGTCCGGGCATCGGTGCTCGTGGTTGGTACAACGGATGAGTCCGACCACAAACCTACTATGCGTTGACCTGGCATCCTCGTCGTTTTCCCGGGGAACGCTTGTTGTGATGAATTAATGACCGGTCCTGAATTGCGAATCGAACGAGTGCTATCTAGCGCTACTTCTATCTGGCTTCTGTATATACTATCTTATGGTGTTGCCTCGCGGCCGAGTTTACACGAACACTGTCTATACCACTTCTGTGACCCTCGCATACTATTTCTCGCTCGACCTTACTGGAGGCTCTCATCACCTCAAGTCATTTCGCAGAACCCCACTGTCGTTGAGACATCGAGTTCGGGCAAGGACGTGTTGTAGAGCTTTCGCCGAGGGGACAACCCTGTGCGCAGCCGATTAAGCTTAGACTTCCCATAACTCATGGATGAACATGTGTTTACTATCCAGATTTGGAGGAAGGAGCCTTCGAACTACGGTTCAATCCCGCAGGGAGAGTTTGAAGCCTTGGACTCGCGTTAGCATGGTTGTCTGCATCCATGAGAACCATGCAGAATCAACGTGGGATGTGCAAGGGTAAAACGACTCGAAGTCTAGTTCGTCGGACTGTCACTCTTGCGATTCTCAGAGTCTGCATGATGTTGTATACTTCCAGATGATATGCTGAACGCTGTTGGTACTTCTACGGATCCCAAGTAGGTAGTCAATTCAGTGAAGATGTCTCGAGGAGTGAGTCGACCGTTGTTTGGCCAGAAGCGACCCCAGGATTTTCAGATGGAAAGCGTGGGAAGTTGATCGGGTCGGCCAAAAGCAACTTGGTCCATCCACGCGAGCTCTTCTTCAGCCCCTTCGTTTCTCCCCCATACATATTCATTGTGCATTCATCTGCATCGAGTCCATTTGCACCTGCTTTCGCATAGCATCCACTCAAAGCCTTCACCCAACAACGTGCAGTGCTCAAGGTGGCTTTCTCCAGACTCGTCACGCCCGTTTTCTTGGCCCGCCTGTTTATTCGCATCCCCTGACGACCTTCGCATCCATAGCATTCTCGACTTTCTCATCAGCGCACGCTTCGTTTGTTTTCACCCTGCTTCTTTCCTAGACCCGCTGCTGCACCTCCTCGACTCGTCTCCAAAGTCACAGCTTTCCGGCCCGTTGCCTCTGACACGCTGTCCTCATTGCCGCCATCGCCTATAGACTACACTCCGCAAGCTCTACACCACCGAGTCTACAAGCCTTCGGACATCAACGACAAGCAGCTAGCTCGAATCTTCCATTGTCTCGTGGTTTCCGGCAAACCAATCCAACACGGCAGCATAGAGCTGTGCCCAATCTATCATGGCTCCCTCTACGCGTCCCGAACACAAGATCAATCTTGACAACCTGCCGCAAGTCAATTACCAGTCTCGCTCTGCTTCGTCCACAACGGCCAACTCACCCAACGAGGTCCCGTCAGGTTCTGGCCTGAGATATCCTCTAGGTAACAGCTTGGCCTCTTCTGGTGCCATTGGTCTGGTCAATCGGTCTGGAGCTGGCTCTCCATCCAAAGAATATGGCAGCCGTCTGTTCAGCAAACGGTAACATGTCTCCACAACCACTACAAAGGCCTCAATCACTAACATCAAGGTGCACAGAGCTCGAGAGATCCAGGCTCAAGAAGGCGTAAGCCCACAGATCTGGGGCCCGCCCACCTCAGGAAGTGGCCACTCGACTCCTCTTCGTGAGACTATACCAGAATCTCCCAGCAGCGACAGTTTCCCAGACTTCGATCAATCTGCTACAGATCTATCTTCTGCTCCTGCTGCAGGCCGTCGCATGCGAGCGGGCACTGTGCCATCGCGTTTTCCGCCTGTCGGTACCCTCGGCAGTCAATCATCTCAGCCATCCTTGTTGCCCAAGACATCACGTCCCACACCTTCTACCAGCCCTTTGCAGGCTAGTATTGGTACACCTCCAGACTCGAGCACAGCTACAGCATCGGCCATCAACCCGTCCCAGAAGTTCTTGCTTTCTCGTCTAAGAGCGGGCTCCATGCCTCAGCGTCCGGCCCTCCTCAACAATCCCCCCGGTGGCTTTGGACCGCCATACTTTTCCAATGGATGGACCTCTGGCCGTGAAAGGGCATCCACACTGCAGAGCATCCGTTCCTCCGATGCTCCCTCATCTCCCGCACATTCTTCACGGGACTCTTTCAACGACAACGATGTCAAGACTCTGGACTACCTTGGTCTTGTTGACACACCTCAGCCTGGCAGGCCCCACCACTCTAACATGATCGGTGCTGGTCAAACAGGCATTCCGGGCCCTACCATCGCAGATCTTGCCGCCTTGAACGCCTACAACAGGAATGCCAACCGCTTTAGATCGTACTCAGTCAATGCAAAGGAGAAGTACGCTGATGATGAGGAGGACGACTATGATGCCTACTCAAGCATGTATGGCGGCATCCCATCCAGTGCCGATATAACCGCAGCACAGGCTCTGGCTGTTCAGGAGGCCGTCCGTCAGCACAACCTTGAGGTGCAAGCCTTCACCAATCTGGCTAGTGCCAGCAGACCTCGTGCAAGGACCGCAGGCGTGCTCGACTCGCCTTCATCTAGACTGCTTCGCAACTACATCCCCACACCTTCGCGCCTGGACAACAGTATGACCGCCTCTGACTTCCAAGAGCATGAAGGGCTTGACTACAGTGGCCTCACCGATGCTGTACAGCAGATGCACCTAGATCAGAAGCCGATGCTCGACCTTTCCGACGACAACCTTCTGGAAAACCCAACTCGTGCTCTCTGGCTTGGTAACATCCCGCCCTCGACCACTGTCTCTTCTTTGAACGTCATCTTCGGCAACTTTGGTCCTATAGAATCAACTCGAGTCCTCACTCACAAGAGCTGTGGATTCGTCAACTTTGAGACATTGGAGAGCGCCGTCCAGGCCAAGTCTCAGCTCAATAACAAGGAGATATTCCCTGGAGCTGGACCCATTCGCATTGGTTACGCAAAGGTCCCGAGCAACACCGTCACTCCTGGTGCTCCGGGATCTTTCCACTCACCAAGTCCTGATCAATTCGCCCGGGACAATCCGGTCGGCAATGCTGGCGACTCATCTGGTCTCAAGCCTATCAACATCAATGCAGAGACTGCAGCTGCCGCTCTGCTGACTCCCAACCTCCGTGATATGCGCAGCGAAATTTACAACATCATTCAGGAGCTAGGTGCCAACAAGGAAGAACTGGTCAGAATTAACGCCAATGTCGAGCAAGCCATCAGCTATGATCTCTACCATCCAGAGATTCCTGGTGTCCCAGAGCCTAGTCCAAACCGTGTTCACGATGCTCCTCGCCTGCGTGAGATCAGGAAGCGCATCGATAACAACAGCTGTTCGCCCGCAGAAATCGAGAACATTGCCATGGATATGCTGCCCGAAATTGCCGAGCTTGCCTCTGACTATCTAGGTAACACGGTCGTACAGAAGCTTTTTGAATACTGTTCGGAGCCTGTCAAAGAGGCTATGTTGCGGGAAATTGCTCCCCATCTCGCCGAGATTGGCGTTCATAAGAATGGCACCTGGGCCGCTCAGAAGATTATCGATGTGGCCAAGACGCCCACCCAAGTCAATCTTATTGTCGACGCACTGCGACCTTATACGCTGGCACTGTTTCTGGATCAATATGGTAACTACGTTATCCAGTGCTGCCTGCGTTTCCAGGCTCCTGGCAATGACTTCATATTCGATGCTATGCTTCAGCGACTGTGGGAGGTTGCACAGGGCAGATTTGGTGCTCGTGCTATGAGAGCTTGTCTTGAAAGCCACTTTGCTTCGAGAGACCAGCAAAGAATGTTGGCCTCTGCCATTGCTCTTCACAGTGTTCAACTTGCGACTAACACCAACGGTGCTTTGTTGTTGACCTGGTTCTTGGACACTTGTACTTTCCCACGACGTCGTTCTGTTCTTGCCCCAAGGCTCATTCCTCACTTGGTTCATCTGTGCACACACAAGGTCGCTTACCTTACCGTTCTCAAGATCATCAACCAAAGAAGCGAAGCAGATGCTCGCGAAGCGGTTCTTCGCGCTCTATTCTTTTCGCCCAACGATGCTATCTTGCAAGACGTCCTTAGCGATTCAGCCTGCGGAGCGACATTCATCTTCAAAGTACTCACGACCCCCTTCCTGGATGAGAAGATGCGCCCAGACGTTTTGGAAAACGTTCGTAACGTGTTGCTCCGTCTCAAGGCTCAACCTCAGCAAGGCTACAAGCGATTGATGGACGAAGTTGGTCTCTCTACCCGTCACGGAGGAGCATCGGCCAGCCGCGATGCCAGCCAAACCAGGTCCTCATCCAGAGGTCCTGGCGCTAACGGACACATGGCCCATCTCGACAACCAAGGTGCCTATGGCCGACAGCCGTACGGAGGTATGGCTCCTCCACAACAGCTTGAGCACATGATGGGTCCGTCCTTGCAGAGAACTGCCAGCATAGACTCCAACGCGTTCGACCCTTACGGAAACAATGGTCTCATGACTCCCGCATACACCCATAGCCCGGCCATGTCTAATATTTCGCCAGTCACGCCTCAGCAGATGCAATACCAACAAGCTATGCTCGCCCAGCAGCACGCTGCGGCCCAGCGTCCTGGTGGCTACTACCCTGCTATGAATGGCTTTGGATCGCCAGGACCTCAAATGATGGACCCCTATGGAAGAGGAAGTCTCAATGCTTCGCCTATCGCAGCTCCTGGCGCACATGCAGTACAGAATGGATATGCTCCGCCAGGATTCAACCCCAATGTAGGCATGGGCGGTTACCAGTATCCAGTAGGCTATTACCCTCCTCAACAAGGCCAGGTTGGCGGTGGTGGCCAAAGGAGAGGACGCGTAAGTACAAGCCTTCGTATGATTGACAAAGGTTACTAATGAAGATCAGAGATGATTCGACGACCGGTCTGATTCGACATGATATTATCAAGCGCTGGCTGTTTGATAAGCAATTAAAGTTACATTCACTGTATGAGAATTTGGAGGGGCGTCAGAGTGATTTGGTAGAAAAAGCGAAAGCGTTGATTTCCTGAACATATGTAGTGACGATCTTCATTTATCATGCACATTGTGTCTTGCTCTCACGAGCTGTTCTCTTGCTTTACTGGCTACCTAACTACCTATGTCCAAGAATATTTTGTGACAGCTGTACTCGTACCAATTTCCGCTCTGCAATTGATAAGGCTGCCTCAGCATACAGACATCAAAGAAATTGGACGTGGCAAGTAGAAACCAAGGGCGATTGTTTCGAATGAGACCAAAACTACGAGTAGAGTAGTCGAGCAGGTGGTGAGCAAGTCGAAGAATATGGTGATGTCATGCAAGGCGGCGGCCAGAACGTGGAGCTTCGTTTGGGGGATGGGGATGGAAGCTGCATGTTTCGTCTGTCCTGAAATTTCGCAACCTTCCAACACGCAGTAGCAATAACACCTTGGTATCGCACAATGGCTTCCAACAACGTCTGCAACAGCTGTATTCGCGCATTGAGACAGGGTCCGACCAGACAGGTCAATGTAAGTCTGTTCACACAGGTACGGAAAGGAACAGGCTCTGACTCTCTTCCTCAGGGACGAATCGTGCACACCCGTCTTTCTCCTCGAGGCCAATTCCTAGGACGTACCTTTGCGACTACCGCCAGTCGTCTCGAAGCTGGAAAACCCCAGGAAGGTCCGGATGCGTCAACCATGCAGAAGTTCGCACAGCGCATGCGAGCACAAAAGCAGATGAAGGCCGCCACAGAACCCTATGTCGCCTATGGTGCTACCGAAGATCTGTTTCGCGCATGTGCCCGTGCTGGAGAATACACCATGCCCACTGTCGCTGAAGGCGAGGAGCCACTGAGATCGGCCAAAGGCGAGGACCTGGGAGTCGGCTCGGGTTGGTGGTACGAGGGTACGACTTTCTTCCATACCTCTTCACGTGTTGGATACGCGACTGACACCTTCTGATAGAGCTGGGTCTGGCACCCACTTTCAACACCTGGGCTCAAATCACCTACTTGCACATGTACATCGTCACCGTACGCCTGAGAATGTTCCCCCAACAACACGCCCACCACTGGCACCAGAATTTGCTAGACCACTTCTCATATGCTGCCGAGGACCGTATGGTTTCCTTGCACAACATTGCCGCTCGCAGTGTGCGCAACAAGTACCTCAAAGACCTCTTTGTCCAATGGCGCGGTGTGCTCGCTGCCTACGACGAGGGTTTGGCCAAGGGAGACGCCGTCCTTGCTTCTGCCGTTTGGAGAAACATTTTCGCTGGTGATGAGAACGTCGACGCTGCTGCAGTCGCCAATGTCGTCAGCTACTTGAAGAAGAATCTCAGAGACTTTGACAGAATCGCCGACTCTGACATTGCCAGTGGAGACATCAGCTTCTCGAATGCCGTCAGAGAGGCTGCCCTGGTCGACAGAGAATCTCGGGCCATGAAACAGCCTATCCCAGAGCCCACACCTACAGCGCCTCGAGTTTGAGCATTTAGTAGATAAGGTTCTGCCACTGTAATTATACTTGTACATCGTTTTGGTAGTTCAAAGCAACCATCTAATTGCCTCGTCTGAGATGTGTTCTGGACATCGGTTTGAAGATATCCTTGTAGCCCTCCGTCCGCATTCGGTGTTAGATTCATGCTAGCCGTGGATTGAGTGTCAAAACTCACAATATATTTAACTTACTCTACAGCCTGTCTTGGGTATCAAAGGACTGGCGATCTAAGTTTGGGTATCGCCTGGACGCCAGATGGTGACGAAGTTTTGAGGCTCTGCAGACCCCAAGGCGGGACCCTCTCGAGAACAAGATCGATCGCCCGTTCATGGCCCACGGTTATGGTTGACCAAGAGCCAATTGATGATGTAGTTGAGCCTGCGATCTGTATCTCGAGCGTACATTTTCTGGCCACAGTGAAGTGCATGTTTAGCAATTGCGATGTGTAACTAAAAGTGTGGAAAACCAGAGCACTTGTCGCATCTCGCATAGGGGATTTCCACGAGTATCTTTACATGACCCTTTTCCCTTTCGATCAGGTGCGACATCAAGTCCCTGATAGCCAAATACCAAAAAAATGCTCCGAGGGAAAGCTAGTTTAACGGCGCGTTCCTATTTGCCCTGCCATGTCCCGAATCAAAAAGCGATAACGTTTTTAGGCACATGGCGTCATTCCTATCTTCCATCACCACCATTATTGGAAGAATTTGTGCAGACCTGTATCCCTTCCGAGGCACCCGAATGCTGTAGAACTTTACTGAAATAGGGTAGAGTGCCCATCTGGAGAGGTGAGAGCGACTTTGTTTCGATCTTACTTTCCTAAACTCACATCTTCGACCGGGCGCTTTACTCCGACCATAATTAACATGGCCGAAGGCTATGAAGATGGCATTACCAGGACTTCCAGCGGGCGTCAGACATACGCTCCTGACGGTCTGTCCAGCCTAGGCCACTCTACATCTGGACAAGAAGCACCTGAACAGAGCAGGGCTGCTAGCATTTCTGGAACCACAACGGCACACTCTACCAGATCGAGCATCTCCGGCCCAAGGGGATCCAAGGAAGACAATGACCAGGACCAGAAACCCAAGAACAAGACTGGTCTTCCAGCTGGTCTTACAGCCGGTCTGAACGAGGAAAACTTCAGCTCCGAAGCGGACGTCGAGATGCAAAGGGAGCGAACTAATCGCAGCTTGAACGAGAAGGACGACGAGAAGGATGAGGGAGAAGAGGAGGAAAATGATCCTAACTTGGTCGACTGGGATGGTCCTGATGATCCAGGAAACCCGATGAACTTTCCTGCCTGGAAGAAATGGTTGATTACGGTCGTTGCTGGCTTGATGACCTTCTCAGTCACTTTCGCATCGTCCGTCTTCAGTACTGCTACCACGCCTACATCTCAAGAGTTTGGTGTCAGCACTGAGGTGATGATCTTGGGAACTTCACTCTTCGTTCTTGGCTTCGCGTTTGGTGAGTTGATGCGGAAATTCGCCCGAAGCAATACCTAACATGATTTAGGACCAATCGTCTGGAGTCCTTTTTCGGAGTTGTTTGGACGCAAGCTTCCGCTGTTCATTGGTTTCTTCATCTTCGCCATTTTTCAGATTCCTGTAGCAGTTGCTCAGAATCTTGAAACGATCTTCATCTGCAGATTCCTTGGTGGTTTCGCAGCATCGGCTCCGTTGGGAATTGTGGGAGGGTTACTTGCAGAGTAAGAGATATCAAGATTGTTACCAGTGCGTTGCTGACCAGCTATAGCATCTTTGGCCCAATCGACAGAGGTATTGCGGTTGCTGTTTTTGCCTCGGCAACCTTCGTCGGCCCCGTTGCTGGACCAATTGTGGGCGGATTTATCACTATGTCCCATCTGTAAGATCCGCAGAGCACAAACATGTCATCGATAGCAACTGACAATGATCAGCGGATGGAGATGGACTGCCTGGATCACCCTGATCATGGCTGGGTTCTTCGGACTGATCGGTTTCGTCGTTATCCCAGAGGTGCGAATCTGTAGAACCCTTGCATTCTGATACAGACGCTGATACAAGAATAGACCCTGGCTCCTGTTTTGCTTTCACGCAGAGCAAAGAAGATCCGCTTCGCCACGAAGAACTGGGCAGTCCACGCAAAGGCAGACGAGAACGAGGTCAACATGAAGGAGCTCGCGCACCGTTACCTGCTGAAGCCTTTCCAAATGCTTGCCATGGAGCCTATCCTTCTGCTCGTCACCTTGTACATGGGCTTCATTTATGGTAAATCCGCGTGCAGATGGTCGTATGTTAAGCATGACAGCTAATGAAACCAGGGTTTCTGTACCTTTGCTTCGAAGCATATCCCATTGCTTTCCAACAGGAACGTGGTTGGAACGCTGGCGTTGGAGCTCTGCCCTTCGCCGCCATCATCGTCGGAGTAGCTTTTGGCTCCATCTTCATCTGCTTCTTCACCAAAACCAGATTTGCCAGAAAGATGAAGGAACATGGCGAGGTTGTACCTGAAGAGAGAATGATTCCGATGATCGTGGGAGGTGCCCTGCTGCCAATCGGCATGTTTTGGTTCGCGTGGACGAGCAATCCCAACATCTTATGGGTCCCGCAAGTCATTTCAGGAGCCTTCATCGGTGCAGGAGTATTGCTTGTCTTCTTGCAGGGGCTTAACTACATCATCGACGTAAGTTCTGGATGATGCATCGATGTTTGAAGCCTGGAAGCTAACTCTGACGACAGGTGTACAAGGTGAATGCCAACTCGGCCATCGCGGCAAACACGTTTTTCCGATCGTGGCTGGGAGCTGGTTTCCCTTTGTTTGCCACGTACCTCTTCCAAAATCTGGGAGTCCCTTGGGTAAGTGCATTACACTCATCCATTTGCAGTTGGCCAGAACTAATGCATGTCACAGGCCATGTCCCTCCTCGGCTTCCTCACGCTAGCTCTATTCCCAGTTCCGATTCTTTTCTTCATCTACGGTGAGAAGATCCGCAAGCTGAGCAAGTTCAGCGCCTAGAATTTGTTTGAAGCATGATGTTGGGGTTCGGAGGAAAATAGCCTATAATGTCTCGTATGAATTTGATAATTTAGCATAAGCTTCCTTGACAGAAAAAGGAAAATCATGATGGTCGATTCGGTCAAAGTGACAAGCCGGGGCACCCCATGTTAGGTGGCATTAACAGTCAAAGCTCCTTTCCCCTTGACTCGAGGGGTACATAACACGTTACGCGGCAGTGATACGAATGCGGCCTTGAACTTGGTTGTCTGATGGCACAGGGGCATCTCGAGCAGAACACTACAAGCTGAGAGGTAGCGCGCAAATCATGGCAGCTTGGATGCAGCTGTCCGGCCTGATTGACCAGGTGCAGAGAGTGCCGACAACGCTGTTATTGGCTGTTGCTTCCTTCCTGGTCCTTTTCTCTGCAGTGCTGGTAAAATCCCCTAAGCCACCAGGTCTACCGCCGACATTCTGACTCTGAACTCAGTTGTATCTCGGGTTGTTCATTGTTGCTCCCGTTCCTCGCTCACCGCACGATTCGGAGAAGCAATACATCACCATCCTACCCGACGGATCGATCAGCAAGCCCGAAACGCAACCGTGTTGGTTCGACAAACACGTGTCCCTCAGAGCGCAAGCTCGCAATGGAAAGATAGCTACAAGCGACGCCTTCAGACCCGGTGAAGCCGAAGTCCTGGTCACCGTCGTAGTCCCGGCATACAATGAAGAGCAACGGATGAGTGGCATGCTGGAGGAGGCCGTGGAATACCTGCAATCAACCTTCCCACAACCGCTAGACTGTTCGTCTGTTGTCAGCGACAAGCCCAAGGGTTGGGAGATTCTCATCATATCCGACGGCTCTACCGACAAGACCATCGACACGGCACTATCATTTGCTCGTTCCCACCAGCTCTCCACACATCCACCCACACCGACCGGCCCTTGGACTTCCAACACAGGTCCCAAGACGCGATCAAAGTCTGCTCCCAAGGTTGAGACCGTTTCTACCACCATTCCCCACGGCAGTGTCCGTGTCATCTCCTTGGAGCAGAACAGAGGAAAAGGCGGCGCTGTCACCCATGGTATGCGCCATGCCCGAGGCGCATACATCGTCTTCGCCGACGCAGATGGTGCTTCTCGCTTCTCAGACCTGGGCAAGCTGATGGAGAATTGTGACCGCGTTGCCGATGACAAGGGGAGAGCTGTTGGAGTTGGAAGTAGAGCACACATGGTTGGCAGCGAAGCCGTTGTCAAGGTAAGGACAAAACAAGTCAACGTGACAAGACTGAACACTATATCTGACCCTTCTCTAGCGCTCCTTCTTACGAAACGCTCTCATGCACTCGTTCCACCTCCTGCTCCGCCTCCTCACACCTCCGGCTACATCATCGATCAAGGACACCCAATGCGGCTTCAAGCTTTTCACGCGGCCTGCACTTCCTTACATCATTCCTTACATGCATAGCGAGGGTTGGATCTTTGACGTTGAGATGCTCATGCTCGCCGAAAGCGCTGGCATACCCATGGCCGAAGTCGCAATTGGCTGGAAGGAAGTCGGAGGCAGCAAACTTAATGTTGTCTGGGACTCTCTAGGCATGGCGTGGGGACTGGCCGTTTTGAGAGCTGCATGGATGGTCGGCGTTTATCGAAGAGATGTTTGACCCCCTTCTGACCATTTCACATTATTCATATATATTGAATCCATCATAGACAAAAGCAGCTCTGATCGGCACCTCCGTTCATTGACATTACGAGACCGATATTACCATTCACCACTCGCGGTTGTCGGCAGGAGCGACATCGAGATGGCCGCGCACCTTCCGGTACCACTCATCATCTGACCTGCTGCCTGAAGCGACTTCTCCTCTTCTCATCGACTTCAACCTTCTCATCAACATCAACATCTCTTCATCAACATCTTAACACTTATTTATCAACCCAAATGTCATCAGCCTCCTCATCAGCATCACGCTTGTTCATCAGACATCCACCGCAATAACAATCACAACAACGCACCCATCATCCAACATGAAGCTCTCCACTGTATGTCATCATCATCATCATCTCCCATCCATCGACACACCTCTTTTGTGCACTTGCTGACTGTCACGACGAAAGTTTTCGCCGTCTCCACTCTCGTGGTTGGAGCAATCTCTCAGAACTTGTCCGCTGTCGACAACACCATGGACACCACCAATCACAAACGTGACCGCATCTACGTCCGCGGTGCCATGGCCAAGGAATGCGTTGACGCCGACTTCGGCGACCGTCAAGTTCTCAAGCAAGACGTCTGCAAGACCTACGATGATGGCTTCCACACTCTCAAGGCCAGAGTCGTGCTCGGCAAGCTGTCTCTGCTGGCGCCGAAATCCGCCGACATCACCAGTCACAAGCACTGCAACAGCGCTTTGACTAGGGATTCGAAGGCTTCTTGAGTGTCTTCATCGACGACAGATGCAAGGGCAATGCTTTCGACCTCGTCCACTACACTCAACATCATCGAGCTTGGTGATGCCACCCACTTTGGCATCCGCTATCAGATTGACCCTGCCAATGGCACTGGTCTCGCCGATCGTTCTTGGATGTGGACTTGTGGCTCTGCCACTGGAGACTGCCTGGCCAAGCCCAGCAGCATAGACCATGGCAAAATGTCCAAGCCTATCGCCACTACCATGTAGCTCTCCCGGCGTTGGGTATTTTGGACGACGTGGTCAAAGGATACAGCTGTGTGGATGTCGTTGGAAGCCTGCAAGGGACTTGTACAATGTGATCCTTGATTGGTGGCCTTTTCTTTTGAACCATAGATATCATCATGTTTTTATAGAGAATCTTCCAAGACTCCTGTGTTTCCAGGCTATATCCACACTTCCAACCCTCCCTAACCATCCCTTCCCATCCATGCAAATGCTTTTGACAAAACTCCAAAGTCCTCGCTATGAACACGCCGTCCACGATACACTTTGCACACGGCGCTTATGTGTTCTGAAATACGAACGTCTATACAGCCACTTCTTTCTCCTGAGATGCCAGCACTTGGTTGACTGCTGCTGCCCTCTTTCCAGCACCCCTAACGTGTGCCAGCAGCCTCAATGTCCCCGATGGCGTGACACCTTCGATTCTTCTAGCCTGACCCAAGCTCTCGGGTCTAGTGACGCTCAGAACTCTCTTCTCTTCATTACTCAAGCCAAAGATGTTCTCGTAGTCGATATCCGAAGGCAGCAGTAATTGTTCATCTCTTGCGAAATGTCTAGCTTGTGTTTCTTGTTGGGTGACGTAGGGTGAATATGTGCCCTCAATGTCCATGCGGGAAATGATTTGTGGATCGAAATTTGCGATGGCGGGGAGGAGTGGGAGAAGGTTGGCGACGGAGATGGAAGAGAGGCGTAGGAGGTCGAAGGCGCTGCGCTTGCTGCTGTCACTGCGGACGGGGAAGCCGTGGGTTTGCCAGATACTGCTGGACATGGTGTGGTTTTGCAAGAGGTTCTTCAAGTCGTCCATCTGTGCTTTTTGGTCGCTGAAGTGGGACCAGCGTGAATCCGAGACGACACCGAGTTCTCGGCCCTTTGCGGTGAGGCGGAGATCAGCATTGTCTGCACGGGCAGACATGCGATACTCGGATCTTGAAGTAAACATTCGGTATGGTTCCGAGACACCCTTGGTGATCAAATCATCGATCATGATACCGATATATCCATCTGCTCTTGTTAGCTGCAATTGCGGCTTCTCCAGTGCAGAGTTGCCTGCATTGATACCAGCAACTACTCCCTGCGCTGCTGCCTCTTCGTAGCCTGTTGTGCCGTTGATCTGGCCAGCCAGGAACAGACCCCCAATGGCTTTTGTCTCCAGGGTCTTGCGAAGACTGCGAGGATCCACGTAGTCGTATTCAACACCATAGCCTGGTTGTAGCATCTTGACGTTCTCCAGGCCCTTGATGGTTTTGAGCATTGCTTCTTGGGCCTCTGCGGGCACGGTCATGGAGATGCCGTTCGGATAGATGACATGGTTGTCGAAACCTTCTGGTTCCAGCCAGATGATGTGGGCGTCTTTTGTGTGGAAGCGGATGACCTTGCTTTCGAGAGAAGGACAGTATCGGGGACCTTTTACTTCTTCGCGAATGTGGATGCTGTTTTGGAGGTTTGCGCGAATGATGTCGTGGGTCGCGGGATTCGTGTGGGTAGACCAGCAGTTCAACTGTTCTTCGACTCCGACACGCGAGTTGAGATAGCTGAAAGGCATGGGTGGATTGTCGCCAGGTTGGACTTCAAGACCAGTATAATCGATTGTCCTGCCATCGAGGCGTGGGGGTGTTCCTGTCTTCAGTCTTCCGAGGGCAAGGCCTGCTTCTCGTAACGACCTGCTCAGACCGGTCGTGGCTGCCTCACCCATGCGACCTGATGGGTAGGCCTCGAGACCAATGTGGATTTCTCCGCCCAGAAAGGTGCCCGTGGTAATCACGACGTTGTTTGTGGGAATGACCTCGCCACTTTCCAGCCTGACTCCTGTGATCCTGCCATGCTTGCCGTCCGTCATTCCTTCTCTTTGCACCACGATATCTGCCACTTTGCCCTCGACCACATTCAGCCCCTTGTAGTTTGTCATCTCTTCCTTCATGTGCTTCTTGTACAGCGCTCTGTCGATTTGCGCTCGTGGGCCCCACACCGCTGGTCCCTTCTTTCTGTTCAAGACACGGAATTGAACACCGGCCTTGTCAACGATGCGGCCAACGACACCGTCCAGAGCATCGACTTCGCGTAGCATGGTTCCTTTTCCAATTCCACCGAAGGAAGGATTACAAGAGCAGACTCCGAGGTTCTCGACCGAGGGTGTGACTAGAGCGGTCCTTGCGCCAGTGCGCGCAGCTGCTGCTGAAGCCTCGCAGCCAGCGTGACCACCTCCAATTACTACTACATCGTATGGACTGCGAAGCAGTTAGTCGCGTGTCCATGCCTAGATTGGATAATGGTCGTACAGTGTCGCCGTTTCGGAGACTGTGGCAAAGGAGCGGCGCACGAGTGTGGCTGATCGCACTCGAGGCGCATGGTCCCAAAGAATGCGTGCTCTGGCAGACACGGTAAGCACCATGGTGACCTGGCCTATATCTCGGACGAAGAAGTACTTTGATGGATGGAACAGAAATCGTTAACTTAAATCCGCTTTCTGTCGTCTTGGCGCATGCGGCAATGACGAAGAGTTGATATCAAGCGCACGGTGTTTGCTTAACCAGCGCACACAGCAACCACTCCGAAGTGCTGATGATATAGAGCAATCGACGTAGTCTAAGTATCTGAGGATCATCATGGGCTTTAGCGAGAGAGTTGCACACTCAGAGGACCTGCCCCGGGATGATAATAACATTGTGTATCTCAATGGTCAGATCGAGTTGAAATTGTGATGAGTGCGTGCGCGCGCTCTGTCGGAAACTTTCGTGCGTTCGCTATCAACTCTCCAATGACGGCGGGCGGGCATTTCTAAGCCTGTGGACATTTTCTTTTGCATCTTGCCTCTGCGCTTCAACCACGCCCGCATCTCAACACACGACATCATCCGCCGCCATGGTATTGGCAAAGAGCAAGCAGTCGGTCGGTTTGGGCAATGCCCTTATGAACGACCGATTCAAGAACAAGAATTCAAACCAACACAAGGCCAACGCCGGAGGAATTCAGAGAAAGGGCCAGAATGGAGAGACATACATCACCAACAACAAGCAGGCCGCTGCCTACGAGAAAATGCGCTCCGTCACCGAGCAGGGCGATCTGGACGAGTTCTTGTCTACTGCAGAGCTGGCAGGCACCGACTTCACCGCCGAGAAGATGAACAACGTCAAGATCATTCACAAGGACCAGAAGAACCCATACCTCTTGTCATCTACCGAGGAGCGCAACGTCGTCAGAAAACACAACAAGAACAGAAGTCGCCTTACTGTTCCCCGTCGCCCAAAATGGGATTCCACAACCACCAAGGAGGAGCTGAACACACGCGAGAAGGAAGCCATGATTGAGTGGCGCAGAGACCTTGCCGAGCTGCAGGAGAACCAGGACTTACTCTTGACTCCCTTTGAGCGCAACTTGGAAGTCTGGAGACAGCTTTGGCGTGTCATTGAGCGTTCCGATTTGGTCGTGCAGATTGTCGACGCCAGAAACCCTCTCATGTTCCGCAGTGAAGACATGGAGTCGTACGTCAAAGAAGTCGACCCGAAAAAGCGCAACTTGCTTCTCGTCAACAAGTCGGATATGATGACGCTCGAGCAGCGCGAGGCCTGGGCCAAATACTTCATCGACAACAACATCAACTTCCGTTTCTTCTCCGCAGAGCTCGCCCGTGAGCTGAACGACGCCAAGGCTGAGGAGGAGGAGCTGCAGGTACAAGAGGAGGATGACGACGACGACGAGAGCGAGGATGAGGATGTCGAGGCTTTGGAGGGAGATGAAAACGCTCTGGAGCAGGAGGCCAAGAAGCTTGACATCCAAGACTCGCAAGAAGAGGAGGCCAAGTGGGTTGATGAGGAGACAATCGACGACAAACACGCCGTTCCCGTATCCGATGTCATCCCCATGTCGCTCGAGGAGGCCACTCGTATCCTGACAACTGAAGATCTGGAAGCCCTTTTCTTGGAGCATGCCCCCAAGATGGCCGCCGCTACCGCCGACAAGCCTGCCCGCAAGGTACAAATTGGTCTGGTCGGTTACCCCAACGTTGGTAAGTCATCCACCATCAACGCTCTGCTGGGTGCAAAGAAGGTGTCCGTCAGTGCCACTCCTGGTAAGACGAAGCATTTCCAGACCATCCACTACTCGGACCAGGTTGTCCTCTGCGATTGTCCCGGTCTCGTCTTCCCCAACTTTGCCTTCACGAAGGCGGAACTCACCTGCAACGGTGTCCTGCCCATTGATCAGATGCGCGAGTTCACCGGCCCTGCCACCCTTGTCGCCACGCGTATTCCTAAGCCTTTCCTCGAGGCTGTCTACGGTATCCAGATCAACATCCGCTCTCGCGAGGAAGGCGGTACCGGTACACCCACTGGTGAAGAGGTGCTCCGTGCCTACGCCGCTGCCCGAGGTTTCTTCACTCAAGGTCTGGGTCAGCCCGACGAGAGCAGAGCTGCCAGATTGGTGCTCAAGGACTACGTCAAGGGTAAGCTACTGTTTGTCCACCCTCCTCCAGCGGAGCCGCCGATCGACCACAAGCACTTCAACCGCGAACTGTACGACTACAACCACTTGCCCCAGAAGCGACGAGCCCAGCTCGCAGCCATCCACACAGCCGCCATGCACCCCGAGACACAGACTGGCGACGAGCCATCACTCATGGAGAACGATGAGCTCGATATGGTCCCCATGAGTGGAGCAAAGACACAACGCATGGATAAGCAATTCTTCGCACCTGGACAAGGCAGAGGAGAGCAAAATATGCCCTTCCACCACAAATACACCGAACAAGGACAGAAGAAGGTGGAGAACACGGGTGGCAGGATGTTGACCGGGCGCAAGGCTAAGATCATGCTGGCGCTGGAGAAGGACATGGACCCGGATGATGTCAAGTTGATGACTTCGAGCAAGAAGCACTTCAAGGCCAACAAGAGGGCGCAAAAGAAGGTCAGAAGCGAGTACAATGATTAAGGGCAAGCGCTTTGTTTGGTTTCTGTTGTTTTCACTCTGGGTTACGGCATGCTGAGGCGCATTTTTCATGGATATCCCCAAGTTAGTCATCGCATTGTTCTTTTTCTGGCCGAAATGGGCATAAACGAAGAGCACGAATCGTAAACAAAACCCACACTTTAGACGGTTCGCCATACATCTGAGAGGCACCATCTTCTAAGTAATGCACACTGCCCTACCCAGGCTTTACGTCAACACGGCTGTTCCTAAATGGAGAGGTATGCTCGTTTCGGAAGTGATACTTGTATGCACGGACCATGCTTCACGGCTCGAACACCTTGAAGGGCACTCAGGCACTCTCGAGGACGATTTCCCGTCAGTGTTTCAACATGTCGTTTCGACCACCGGCAAGTCCGGTGCCGGTCGGATTCTATTCACGGTCAACACCAAATCTGCCGACGTTGAGCTCATTGACAACCAAGGAGCGAGAAAACGAGGGCGGCGCACCATCAACCTTGACCTCTCCGTCCGAGGCAGCATCGATTGAGGACTTCTCCCTGGATGCTCCTGCCTCGATCGATTCCGGCAGCGAAGATGAAGATGGCGATTCAATGCCATCGCCGCCACGATCCATGTATCAACACAAGCAGTCGCAGTCGCATACATATCTTGGCCCAGCGACTTTCGCTCCTCCCTTCTACAACCGTCCTCCCACCCCACTACCTCCCAGTCCGTCATTGACGAGTCTGCTACGACCGACCTTCAGCACACAAGCTTCGCGCCCTACGACGCCAGATCCAAGTAGTGACGAAGGCACAAGCCAGACTCCCAACAGTGCCGCAGCAACCACCCTCACCACCTCCTTTCGTACTGCAAAACCCATCCCTCGCGCCTCGCCAAAGGTTCCCACCTACGAGTACTACGGCTTTACCTTATACCTTACCTCTACTCTCGGCTTCGGTATCTACTTGCTCTGGAGCTATCTGCCGTCGCCCTTTCTGCATCAACTGGGCATCTACTACTATCCGAACCGCTGGTGGAGTCTGGCTATCCCTGCTTGGCTAGTCATGCTAGTTGTGTGGATATACGTCGCATTGGCTTCATATAACACCGGCTACCTCACCCTCAAGATGCATGCCGTGGAATGCCTGGTTGACGATGCTGCGAATATCGCCGTCGTGGACGGAAAGGGAAACATTATACGTAAAGATGATGAAGGGAGGTGGAAATCACATCGAAGAGATAACAGCGCCGGGAGGAACATGCCGCCGAAGGATTTGCAGTGGAACACACTATGGAACGAAGGCACTGATGCTGTTATGGATGTGCCCATTGGAGGCGTGTGTGAAATCCTATATGGCAGGGGAGACGATAATGACGACGACGATGAGGAATGATATTATGAGATGATACCCCTTAACGAATCCCTCCATCACAGCTCTCTATCCAGAGTACAGTGACACTACCATGAGCAAATGCAGGAGTGCTTGGCCAAAGTACGTTTCATTGACTGGCAAATGTCAATGCCACATCTGTCTCTATATTCAAACCCTTCAAAAGCCCCTACTGATAGGATCACTGGACTGTTGTACATGGGAAGAGAGCACCTCTAGCTGCCTCCAATCCAGAAACCCTGGCATCCGTTATCATACTTGCGGAAATTACGTCCCTTCTTTCCACCGGTAGCGCAAGTCTCCAACATCTGCGACTCACACCACTCCTTGGGGACAAACGTGCCCAGTTTACAGTAGGCACTGACGTTGATTCTGACTTTGCCTTGACTGGCACCGTCGACTGCATAAGGGGTTCCGGTGTAAAAGTTGCGGGAGCAGAACTTCATGATGGCGGCGAGGACTTGGGCGTCCTTTTGCATACAGGTGTTGCGGTGTTGCCACATTGTCCAAAAGTCTGGACCGGCGGCGGCGGGGGTGATGAAGGCGAAGAGGCCGAGGAAGGCGAGGAGGAGGAGGTTGAGGCTGCGGCTCATCATGTTTGCGGTTGATTGTTATGTGTTGTGCAAGGGTGTATATGTGCTTGACTTTGGTCTTTCCCAATCTTTGACCGGAAGAGAGATTTAGTGAGGATGGTAAAAATCGATTTTCTCGATGTCTCGTGTTGCTTGTGGTTTGCGCATGCTTCTTATCAACATCATGTTGCCACAATATTAATCTCCCGTGCTCAAAGAGATGGTTTCATGGTGTCCGGTTTCAGGACAGACTTGCCTTGTGGTTTGCATCTCGACCGACGCGAGTGGCCATCGATCTAAAGAACATGGCTTATGCTCATACCGTCTTGGTAGGTTTCGTTGTTCGAAGGTACTTCTAGTGCCGTCTTTGTTCGTGGTGAAGTCTGCTTTTGTGGAATGTGTAGACGCTCTTACTATTGTTCTCCACACGTTGATATTGTTTACGTCTGGGGCAGTCGAAGCCTAGGCAACACGCTTGCGAACAAAGGCAAACGCACAACGTGCCCACAGTTCTGCTGGCAACGTTGGCAATCTTTGCGATCAATGAGCTATGCCGTGAATACTGAACCCAATCATAAGCGAGCAAGCCAGTTGTTCATCTGTGCATAAAGATTGTTGTTGTCCTCGAATATTGGCAAGGATGTATCGAGGAGTAGTAGGTTGTCTGTTGTCTTGTCTATCGGGATACAGCGATATAATCGACTGATCGTCGGCCATCTCAAACGTCAACAAGACAGACACTGTCAACAGAACCGAAGCCAGCCGCTACTCCACCCTCTTCACTTTGGTCACCCTTGGTTCTGAGCAAGTAGCCAGCCTGTTTGTTCTCGAGCATCTCTTGTACACCGTCCTCACCGCTCTTCGTCTTCCACAAGCAGACACCGTAAACACCTAGTTCTCCAATGACACCACCCTTCTGGACCTCTCCATTACGGAAGATGGTGTTGGTCAGTGCTGGCGGCTCAATCATCTCCATTAGAATGTAGGCCGGCCAGTGCGACTCGGGAGTCTCCTCAAGAAACTTAGGGATAGCCTTGCGGTAGACATTGTTGCCGCCACCTTCACGCTGAGGCTTGAGGACATAACGAGTGGCCGTCTCTGAGTTCTGGGCGAGCTTGCACGCTTCTTGGCCAGCTTCGCTCTTGTCGAGTGGGTAGATTGGTGCGAAAGTTTTGAAGACTTCGGTAGCTTTGCTCTTATCTGGAAGGAAGCGGGCAAGATGAGGCGAGTTTGGTGTTGCGAGGACTTGCTGAACCTTTTTCGAACCGGCCAAATGAGTCAAGATGCTGGGACACTTGACAGCCGCACTGCGTTCGATGTGAAGACGTGCATCCCAGTCGGCCTTGCCAGAGTAATCATCCGGAGAATAGCCAGCGCGGAAGTACACCAGTGAAACCTCCCACGTCTTGTCTGGCGCGTGAGGGGGAGTGTAAAGCAAAGTTCGCTTCCCATCGAGCTTGGTATAAGACATGATCTTGTTGAAGGGTACACGGAACGCTCTGACTTGGTGTTCGTTGAAGAGTGTGTACTCGAGATGTCTTTGATCAAAGACGTTGCGCTCCGGGTCCTGAACAAGGAAGATGACACAAACAGGAGAGCCGCTTCGTGATTTACCATAGGCTTGATGACCAGCCGCCAGACCTCCTGCAAGTGATGGCACTGATGTGCTTGGTGGTAAGGATGAAGTCTTGATAGTTGATGAGGTCTCTTCGGGATACGCGTCGACAGACAGAAGGTGGTTGTGTAGCTTCGAGACCTGCGTAGAAAGTCCGCCGAAAGATGAAGCAATAGTGTTGAACTCTACCTGCTTGATAGTAGGTTTGGCCGCAGATTGGGTTGGGTCGAGATGAACCATGTAATCAGAGCGGAACAGTCCGAGCGTAGTATCCTATTAACGGATGAGCACACATATTTCGAATGCTGCAGAAGTACCTACTTGAGCGTATCCTTCCTTCTTCACAGCTTGGTGGACTTTCCATAGCTCAGCGATAAAATCATCCACTTCCACGAGTCTGAGACCAATGATTAGCGAGGCCGATACATAGAGTGTTCTTTCGTGTAGCCGCTCTTAGGAAGGCTTGGAGGATAGACTCACTCTTCGACAATTTGTTTGAGCCAAGTCTCGTTGCTGGCGATGGCAGCGTAAAGCTCATTGTACGCAGTCTGGATGCCAAGACCTTGCTCAAAGCAATTCCGGGGGAACAGACTCGGGAAGAGAGTGACTGGAGCGGTGACTGCAAGCGAGCCGACTGGATCTTGCTCCTTAGAGATCCAAGAAGTTACTGGCCTCACAGCAAGACCATTGGCGATCGACCAGTCTTTGACATTAGTAATCAAGTACTGGAGCTGCTCCTCGTTGAGGTCCGGAGGGTACTTGGGGTAAATTTCGCGTGACATGGCGAGTATGAAGACAACAAGAAGGGTAAGACTAGGTCGAAGAAGATATGTCTTGGTTGTATACAATGCCAGAAAGAGTTGTTAGGAGTCGAGGTTTGGTCTAACTGCCGGTTGAACTCCGGCGATCCGGTCCGCTGTCGCGATCGCGTCACAAGCCCTGGACTTTTGTGAGCTTGACCTTCACACTAAAGAATCGGAGCAAGCAGCCAGAATCACAGTGAATCCGAGTTGATAGCTGTTAGCACTTTGGCAAGCTTTCGTACCTCTACACTGAAGAAGTAACGCGGTCGACCTGATACCACGTCGATCGCAACCACTTCCCGTCAAAGCACACAAATTCATCTCACTTACGCGCGCACTAAAAAGACAGACCATCACTGTTGAGATGCGCAGAGACAGAGGCACATCACTTCGACTTCAACAGCCGAAGCGACGGTAATTGGTCACTTTTGCAACACGCTCCTTCCCTCATCACACTCACAACTGCTTCTTCATGATCCAAGCACTAAACGCTCCTTCCCTCCCTCCACATACCAACACGTGAGTCCTCTTTCTTATGGGCTTCCACGATTCAGCTCCTACCTTTAGCATCACACATCTTGCTAGTCAATCGCCTTCCACATCGCGTCACGCCTCTCTCCTTGGCACTCTCGACGCACCAAGATTCTCCGTGCATCTAAACAATCTCTTTAGGCCAGACAGCTGATCTCCCAAGATCTGTAGATCCCTGCTTGCGCAGTTCTCTCGCTGCACTGGCAATTAGTTCCTTCTCAGGTCAGTTTTCAGGCCACATACTCCTTCCTTTCAGACACTGATGACCGATACCTCATAGTTCTGCGCTCCCATACTTTCAATCATCAACTTGATCAACTTCATCAACTTCATCAACTTCATCAACTATCGCAATGCATGAAAGCGATCCCTACCTCTGGACCTCTCGAGAGGCGGCCGAGTTCTTACGTGGAAGCCAACTCAGTACACTTGCAGATCAGCTGTTGGCCAACGATCTCAATGGTCGAATGCTCCTCGAAGATGTGAACCTTGCTTTACTGAAAGAGGAATTCGATATTCCCGGTCTAAGAGAGCGCATTGGCATCATGCAAGTCGTTCGTACGCTTCGCAGCTCTTCCGCAGGTTATGTTGCGAGCACGCGTCCCACTGCTCTACCTTCATTGCTCACCCCTCACACATCTCGCCCAAGCACGCCCATCGAACCAACTGGTGCCAGAATCCGTAAGGGAGAAGACCTCGTTGAAGATACTGGTGGCAGAAAGCGCCGCAGACTCACCCTTGTGCCTTTCCTTGACGGCGACACACAGCCTGGAGCTTTGGATGAGACGCCGCAGCCGAAGGCTGTGAATGCTCTAGATGCAACGCAGCTCAAGCACGCTGACACTGCTACTGACACCCCTACCGGCTATCTGCCGGACACTAAGCTCAGCGTCGACGATCTGTTCTATGGCAACACCAATTACGGCTCCGAAATACAGCACGCTGAAGATCAGGACAACAATTCCGATGACACTTTCACTATATTTGGAAGCTCGCAATTTCCTGGCAACGCTTCGTTTGTTTCGACCCGGCTCAAGCACTTTTTGCGAGCCGATCCTGAACCTGTTCTCTATCACCAGCACTCCGCCCTTGCCATCTACCCATACCCCGAGCATATGATCAAGGACAAAGACACTAGATCTGTTACCGTATTCGAATCCTTCCATGGCCAGATCAAGGTCATCCGCGAAAGAGCCCAGACTCTGCCCTTTCAGAGGATCGAGATCATCGACACGCAAGTGAGCCCGGGAGAATTTAGCTACCTCCTCACCAATCACAGAGGAACCGACGAGATTCTGCCGGCCTATGGCGAGTCGGAATGCGGTTCAGACTCGGGGCAGGAATCAAGTGGCGACGTTGATGATTCCGAGAATGGTTCTGACGACGACATGGCCGAAGAAGATTCTGCGATTGAGGCTCCCAATCTATCCCGTGAGCTGGTCCTGTCTCTGATTGACAAGGTGATTGATGCGCAGGCCCAAGCTTGGCGAGCCAATCAGCAACCAAAGCTAGACAAGAGCAAAGCAAATAGTGTCTGGCGCTTTGTGAAAGGCAACAAGAAGACGGCTCGTGCTCTGACAGAGCAAGCAGCCAAGGCAATCGAGCGCTTGAATGCCAGACTCGAGAGACTGAAGGATAATCTTGCGGACCGTACATGGGATACCGAGGAAGAGATCAAACAGTCTTGCTTGAGTTTGGAACCCACTGTCAGTGACCGTGAATACGAGGAATGGCGAATCCGGATCTGGGCATTGAAGAAGGAGCCTCCCTCTGCATTAAGACATCGCAAGTTGTTCACCAAAGGCCAGCAGGGCCTTCCAACAGGAGCGCTTGACGACCAGACTTCGAACGACGAGATGCAGGATTTTGTTGTTGAAGATGACAACTTTGAAGATGCCAGAGAGAGTCTCTCAGAAGACGGTCATGATTCTGATGCTAACACGCAAGAGTCTCCATCTCCCAGTGCTGCAAAGAATGAAGCAGCGTCGCCTATCAACTTCGATGAAGACACAACCATGACAGTCGACGAAGACATTGCCGCGACAGCAGACGACAGCGTTCCCGATGCTCTTGAAATACCGGCTGACTTGGAGCACGACGAGGAACCCCGCCATCAATTGGATGAAAATGCATCGTCACGTCCATCCGCCGAAACTCTCGAGGAAAATGTGCAGACACCTAAGAGCAACAAGTTTGTTGCAAACTTGCAAGACGATCCGGACTCACCCGCCCTACCTTCGCTCTCGCCCCTGTTTCGCTCTCATCGTTCGACCGCGAGCAAGGGAAGACGAGAAGTCATCACTATCTCATCCAGCCCTACACGGCCTACCGCCACTTCCGAAATGCTTCAACCGGGTGCTCTCGAAAGGCCAATCAAGGGAGAGCCGCAAGAGATCGTGTATTCAGATAACCCGGACAATGACCCTCTCACGGAGATCATGCGTTGGAAGTACGAAGACCTTGAAGAGAACGAAGACCGGAGGCGACTTTTGATCAAAATGATCTTCAACCTTAAGAACGAAACCCGCGACCCGCTTTACCCCCTATTCACGGGCAACATGACCACCTGCCTGACAAAGATTAGAGCTGCGCTATCAGCCATCAACAAAGGCAGAGAGGCCTTTTCCGGCTACAATGAAGAAGAATCGAAAGCCATGCAACACGCCGCCCGGCTTTATCTATGCTACGTCCATTCAAACCACCTCCTCTTCAGCGCGCCTCTTGAAGAGCTTGCATCATTTGGATATGAATGGCCATGGGAAGGCGATGCCGATGGCTATGCCGACGACTTACGGCGTTGGCACGGATTCATCCTGAAGGCGCTTCAGAGAGTCAAGAAAGCCTACGCAACTGGGGAGGTTGCGGTGATCGAAATCTCGGATGACGAGGAAGACGTCCCCGCCGACATCAACAAGGACAAGCCAGGCCATTCTAGCGCCCGCAAGAAGACGGTCGCTCAAGATCAAGGAGCCGTGCGAAAACGTGCGAATGCACTTGAGCGAGCAGCTTTATACGAGTCGCAAAAACAAAACAGCCAGACGACGTCCTTCATGGCTGGCGAAGATGGAGAAAGTATCGTACCACTTTATGCACCCGAAGACGTGGATCCGTCCAAGTGGGTGCACCTCAACCCTGATATCGCCAAACGCTTGAAGCCACATCAAATCGAAGGCGTTAAGTTTATGTGGAGGGAGATCACCGCACCAGTGGATGAGGACGGTCAAGGCTGTTTACTTGCCCACACCATGGGGTTGGGCAAGACAGCGCAAAGTCTAGCACTTCTCACGGCCGTGGCTGAGACTGCGAAGGATGATGAGAAGCGTGATGCTCTCCCTAGCGACCTGAAAAAGGCCAAAAACAGGCTGCGAGCGCTCATATTGTGCCCGCCATCTCTTCTGGCGAACTGGAAGCAAGAGATCAAAATGTGGTGTCCAAAAAACTTGTTCAATGTCTATTGTCTGAGTAGCGATCTACCAGGCAAGGCCTTGAGACTGGACGAACTTAGGAACTGGCGCCGTCATGGTGGTATCATGCTCTGCGGGTATACCATGTTCGCCAGGTTAATCAACGGCAAGCCCACCAAATTGCAGCCATTCACAGAGGAAGAGCAAGAGGCAGTTGAGAAGATTCTACTTGAAAAGCCTCACATTGTCGTCGCCGATGAAGTGCATTCAATCAAGAGCGACATAAGCAAGAGCTCTTTGGCCGCTCACAAGATCAAGACCCATCGCCGCATCGGACTGACTGGCTCTCCAATGTCCAATAACACCTCCGAGATTTTTGCCTTGATCGACTGGGTTGCACCGAAGTTTTTAGGCAATAAGGTCGAATTCAAGGCGCATTACCAGGAGCCAATTGAAGCAGGTACCTACCTCGACAGTAACAAAGCCGAGATTCGAAAGTCTATGACGAAGCTCGCGGCTCTGAAACGGATCATCTCGCCAAAGCTAAATCGTGCCGACATTACAGTACTCAAAGGCTCTCTCAAGAGCAAGGTGGAATTTGTCTTGACAATTCCTTTGACCGAGCCGCAGAAGCTCGGCTATGCTGCGTATGTCAGGGAGGTTCTTCGAGGCAAGGCTGGCGAGGAAGGTTCAACGATCTCACAAGTCAAGCTATTCGGATGGCTTTCCATTCTCCAGCTTCTATGCAATCATCCCGTTGTTTTCCGCCGTAAATTGCTTGAACCTATCACTACTGGCAAAAAGGGCAAGAAGGCTACACTTACTGCTGCGGATACTGAAGTGGTCGAGGACACCCTCACCGCAGGCTCGTCTACCGCCCCATCGTCGACAGCGATTGCAGTTTCTGGAACTGCTCGCCTGCGTGAGGGACAATCGCCTGCGAACGAGGAAGATGCTGCGTATGCTGACGTTCATATCTCGCAGTATGACATCAACAAGGCGATAGTGGATGCTTTGCTCGAGGTCGTGCCGGACGATGATTCCATTGAGCTGTCCTACAAGACCTTGCTAGTCCGAAAGATTATGGGCCTTTCTATCGAAGCAGGTGACAAAGTTTTGATCTTCTCGCAAAGCATCCCGTCATTGAATTTTCTGGATAAGATGTTGACCAGCATGGGCCTTCGATATGGCCGAATTCAAGGAGACGTGGCCCAAGAAAAGCGCGAGAAGGTCTTGAAAGCCATGTCGAACAATAAGCTCGACGTGCTACTAATCTCGACTCGTGCCGGAGGCCTTGGCCTGAATATCCAACAAGCCAACCGTGTCATTATCTTCGACTATTCATTCAACCCGACTTGGGAAGAGCAAGCAATCGGTAGGTCGTATCGATTGGGTCAGACCAAACCTGTCTTCGTCTACCGTTTTGTCGCCGGTGGTACTTTCGAATTTGGGCTGTACGACAAACAGCTATTCAAGACCGGTCTCTCCTCGCGTGTTGTTGACAAGAAGAACCCAATGCGAAATGCCAACAAAAAGCCTGCAGAGTGGATGAAGCCTCCGTTCGACGTTCCACAGCAAGACATTAATGCTGAGGCTGGCAAGGATGAGAACGTGATGGACAAGATTATCGCCAGTCAACGTGGAGGCCATGACGAATTTATTCGTAGTATCAAGACCATGGAGACTCTCATGGGGGAGTCAAAGGACGAAGCATTGACTGCCGAAGAGATGCAAGAGGTGGAAAACGAGGTATTGCTCGCACAGACACGCAAGATCAGTGGCTTTGAAAACCGCACCACGTTGGCACCACCTCCACCGCCTGGTTTTGGTCCCAATGAGCCACTCCCGTACAACCTTGGTATGAACTTCACCTTGCCAGGCTTCGGCACTCCACCTTCTATCACTCAGCCAGGTTTCCGCGCCGGAAGTCAAAAACGTCTCAATGCGCAACAACAACAACAACAACAACAACAAGCAGTCCCTGCCGCCCACGAACGCCATGCTCGGCAGACGTTATCATCTGAACCCACCGACCTGACTAAATCACCCCCAACACCCGGCAAGAGAATAGTTACAAGATACTGAGAGAGGTCGCGGATCCGATATGGCCAAGGAAGTTGAGGTAGCTTGATTGGGGAGCGACCATTGCTCTTGTATCATAGATCATCCAAGTAGCAGGAAGCTACCATTGCTTTTGCAGCCATAGATAATTGAAGCATTCCATTCCAAGTCCACGCACGGATGTGTTACAGTGAAGACGTGACGCGACGAGGGTGAGTTGGTAGGAGCGGTATATATGTCTTGGCGCGAAACAAATCTGACGTAACCATTTCTATCGAGCTCACCTTCAAACCCCGGTCCTAATCCCGACTATCGAAACAATCTCTGGGAGTACGAGAAAAGATAAAGTCTGCCTTGTGTTTATACTACCAACCCATTATTGACAACAAGGAAGGACCAAGATGCCGCCAAACAGTGCCCACGGCAAGCTAGACAGCGAGGAGACCAACGCGGCAGCGTGGCAGGCCACAAGAGGTGCTGTGACAGGAGCAGCGAGGGTATGTAAAATCAGTGTTCCATACTACCAGCCTTGCTGAGCATCGGAGTGCCTGGTACTTTGACCTGGATATGTGACTCTTTTACTGACTCGACTGATAGTGGGGCATCTATTCTGCAGTCGCGGCCGGCATTGCCTATGCATACTCGCCAGTATATCGTGGCCTGACTATCCAATTCAAAGTGTACGTGTTTATTTCCCTCCTTTTCTCTCAGGTTACAAGCTATGCTGGAGGCCACTCCTGGCATGTCATATCGCACTTTCTGCAGGCGCACAAACACATGCTTTACTTTGATATGCTTGCCTCCCTTTCACGACCTAACGTATTGATTTTGAGCATTGCCAATAGCCCGGCATAAAATTACACAGACCATTGACTGACATTACAAAGCTTCCTCCAGATGTCTGGCATGATCTTTGGCAGTGTTATTGAAGCAGACGAACGCCTACGAATCTACGGCGAACGATCACGGCGTCAAAAAGTCATGGCCCGTGACGCTGCTGTATGGAGAAAATATGAGGAGGAGTTTGAGAGTTTGGGTATTTCGGGTATTGCCAGCGAGGCTAGAGCAAAGAAGGGCGGTTCCGAAGAGCAGGGGCAGGAGAAATAAGGCTGTAAACGCAGGATGCTTCCAATCGTTGATCAAAAAAGGGCTGTACCTAGAACGCCTACATGAATACTGAAAGTTCCATGCCTCTCGGCAGGTAGGGATGCGATTATTCTTTTCCTCCATATCGCGCTGTTGCTCGAGGCTCATGACGCATAGTCCATGCCAGAGAGCACAGAGAGGGTAACAAAGAAGTACCATATCTAAACATGATACATCACGCATACCACTGACACAATTATGAAGCAAGACAACTTGCGCGCGCTGAGGTGATGAGAATTTTGAAAGACAAAGAGTCAACAGATTGTTCCAAGCGACCCACGGGTAAAGCAGAAACTCGGAAAGAACGCATGCCTGCCGGTTGGTGAAACAAAGTATTGTCTGACAAACTCTTAAGTTCTATCTTCGACACACTGGACGACATTGTTAGCTCTATCCCACATGTCCATAGAGACGTACGAAGGGTTGAAATTATGACTTGTCTGCGGCATCAACGATGCTCTCCTCACATCTGAAGGCACATAACTTCTCACTCTCTACAGCGTATGGAAAGCATTGTGATCAGATCTTTGTTACAATTGGCTGCCGAAAAAGACAAACAGTGCTGGCATATCCCGGTCTTTTGACTGCCCACTTCTAAATTGTTTTTATGTCACGGAACAGCAGCTAGACCATTCTGCCTCAACCCAAAATGAATCCTGCCGCAAACCGGCGTCTGCATTCCAGCAATGATATGTGCAGATTGGACTTCTTCTCGAAGCATCATGGTCAAATATCCAAGTAAGGGTAGAAAGACACCTCTACATATCTCAAAAGTATCATATCTTTGCACGACGCACTCAGCCCATCTGAGATTTGCCATAATCCTGCATGATCTCTTTGACCCTCTGCAAGGGTAATGCTTCCACCTTGTGCCCGTCGAGCCCTTCCATCGTCTCGGCCATGCACAAACAATTGTAAATTGCTTCCTCAACACAGTCAGCAGTACCCTCGAACAACCAGCTCAATGCAGAGTCTTCTACGGCCTCGACTCGATGGACTGCAGATATGACAACTCCCTCTGGTGGGCTTGATTGGTTGATAGAAATCTCATTGGCAGTCGAGAAAGCCAGAAAGATGTCGCCAGACATGTTGTATCCGACTCCCCCAACGCGCGAAAGACCGACAGTGGCGCGTTTGGCGATTCTCGTGAGTTGATGCGGCAGCAGAGGAGCGTCTGTAGCAATGATAACGATGATGCTGCCGTCTTTCTCCTCCTTTGCCTTTTCTAGATCTTCCTTTGCTTTCTTTCTCTTCTTGTCTCGTTCTGCCTCGGCAGCTAGGATACGGCCCACGGGTACGCCAGCAATTCGCAGACCATCCATACTCCCATAGTTTGCTTGCACCATACAAGCGACTGTGAATGTTTCGTCAGAATGTGGGATCTGAACAAGCCGACTCGATGACCCATTTCCGCCCTTGAAGCCATGACAGATCATACCACATCCACCCCCTTTGTTTCCTTCCTCCACCGCTTCCCCCGACTTTGCCTTCTGCAGCCCCTCAACGACGTGTTTGGGCGTGACAGCAAAGGAAGCACAGTCATGAAGGTATCCATCGTATGTTTCGGCAGCAACAGGTAAAGCCATGAATTTCCTGTCAATGGTCCGCACACCATACTCCAAAATGCCTTGATGAGCTGCTCCGATACCAAAGCTACCAGTCAGAACAATAGGCGTATGTAGCAATCCACTCTCTGCAACGTTGTGGGTACCAGTCATTTCGCCGAGCCCATTGAAGCTGAACAGCCCTGCATAACAGGCTTTGTGATACCAGTCTTCGCGTGGTATGATGCAGGTTACTCCAGTGTTAACTGTCTTGTCATATGATGTAATCTCTTGAGTTGAGACGCTGACCCCAGGTACGTCTGTTATAGAATTGAGAAACCCAGGAAAATGGTCGCCAAGGAAGATATCTGGCAGGAGTTCACGTATCCGCATGCGAGTATTTGGAATTGGCGGTGGCGATTTGATGAATCCTCGTCTGACCATTGTCACAGTCTGGAATACAGTAGTACTTGAAGTTGCAAGGCTTGAAGTTACTGAACTCAAAACTGAGGCGCAATGGAGTTGATGAACAGTCTTTACCAAGCCACAATCTAGGCAGCAACATAATGATTTCAGGCGTCAAGATGACATGTCAGCTTGACCAATCATCTGACATGGCCCTGTAAACTGCCACAGCGGGAAGGTCGTCGATCTTGAGTGCGGAACATATCATGACGTGTTTAGATGACACCCAACAATCAAGGTGGGTGCATTCGCTTGCTAAACACGACTTGTTTGGTTTCCTAGCATGCCGAGTATGTTTTGATCATGGTCTCAGTAGACTTGGTATGGCCTTAAACCAACGTCGAAGCTCCTTAGCATAAAAGCGGTCAGTCTTTTTACAGATAACTCCTGAAACCCGATTTCGAGAGCATCACTGTCTGGGAGCTGAATATGAGGTTTCCACATGCTTGAATCAATTTTGGAGAAGTCCAGTCACACATAGGTGAACTGAGTTTGACTAGGTAGAGAGATTGTATTGTGAAGTCACAGGGAGGACTCGAGGGAGCCCTGAGAAGATGACCGTTTGTTACAAGGCAATTTATGCCTCCAACGACAACCAAAACTTGCCAGAGGTGGACGCAGAATGCGGCGAGAGAGATGCATATAAGGATCACGGAAGCCCTTCGGCCTTTTTCGGTACACTATCAGATGAGCAGCATGGACGCGGCCAATGTCAAGGTAAGAGATGTGTTGAGAGATGAGTTGCGAGTAGCTGATTGTCGTTCTCCGTGCCAGATCTCCAGTATAGTAACAATAACTACGGCCTGTTAAACTCAAGTCAGTAAGCCACTTCTTGTTGGTATCAAGGTTCGTTATCCGATCTAGAGGTATGCTAGCATACCAAAGTCGTGTCGAACCCTGTTGCAACCTCAGCGTTCCATCTCCCAACCAGAAAGGAGCCTGGATGCCTCGTCGTCGTCAGCCTCATGGCGATGTTTCCGGCGACTATGACATGTAGGTAACTATTGGCGGGATTGTCCTTTTTGTTCGGCCGACGTATCTCAAGGGTGACCGGGTTGCCATCGCCAGCCAAGTTGTCTATGGTCACGTCGAACTTCAATCTCCAAAAGGTCGTTACTCTGTACGTGGCCGAAGCGGAAGTTCCGACTAGCTTGTAGCCAGTTTCAATAGGTACGTTCAGTCTGTATACCCATCTTCCCCTCCATCTTGATCGCCTTATCTGGAGAAGGACGATGCCATTACTGTCTTTGACGTACACTCGACTCGGTGGGAATAGCCGAGAGCTTTTCGCTTTCTCGGGTGAAGACGTAAGCTTCTCGATAACAGGTTCATTGGATGAGTCGAGATCTGGAGGTACAACGTTTGCGTTCCAAAACCACTTGTCGATCCGCTGGACGTCTGGGCCGATAGACAATGTTGTAGTTGAAGTAGCGATGCAGGAAGGTACGATGCCGATGGGCGAAGGAAGAGGACTAAGGGGTGCGGCCATTGGTAGATATAGCAGAGAGTGAAAGTAGAGTATGGATCGATGATGGGAACTTGCAGGTATTGGACAAATCTTGTAGGTAGACGAAACAGTCGCGTTGTCTTGATATCTGAATTCTGGCAACGATCGGGCGATGGACTTTGAAAGCCGAAGGCAAGCACGAAGGATGGAACCGATCCGAAATTTGGTCTGACAACCGTGCAAGTTGCAGCAGGCACGATCAGGCACCTTCCGCAAGCATTCTTGGCTTTGAGTTTCCTAGTGACAGCTTCCAAGAAGCGAGGAGATTGTGATATTGGTATTATCATCCAGCGCGGGCACGTTGGAAGCCGCTCCGAATATCGATGCATTCAAGGAGCAAGAGATACTGTGCATCCATGCAGCCAGTGAAGAAGGGCCCAGACGGAGAGATTTCTGAGTCGATCGAATGCTTGTTTCCCTCTTCATCAGGTCCAGGACATATTGGGCCTACAGGAGTTTCCAATTGCTTCTGTCCGGTGATAAGTCTAGCATCTGATGAACTCTTGGAAGTAATCATATCGCTTCACTCTGTCCTTTGACCGTGGCCGTTAGTGAATAGAACGATGAGAAAAGATCCAACGACTTCACATGATTGCGGTACTGTAAATGGAACAAAGTCGAGAAGAATCGTGCCCCGACTGGATGTGCAGTCATGTAACTAAAGTTGCCCGGGCTTCTGATTAGGTACTTGAAAGTCGGCGGTGACGAGGGTTGAAACCCCATGAAAGCGTCTGAATGCGGTCGAGCCTGCGCAGATCGAGCAGATGGCTTGGTGATAAGTTGAGCACGATAGAGTATAGGGAGGACAATCGCTTGTTAGGATACGGTTAGCACTCTTGTATTCCAGGCTCTCTCCACCTCTTTGGCCCTTTGGGCGCTCAGATATCCTACCACGGAGAGGAACCGCTTGACGCCCTCTCTTAATGGATCAAAGATCCCTGTGAGTTCACTTGGACTTTTCCTATCAGGTCCGCCACCACAACCAGATCCTTCTCCGTCGAGACCGCTGTCGCCGGAGCATTCCTAGTCCCAAGGATCTCAAGCGCGACTCCAGACGTCTCTGCTACCATCTTCGGCTGCACGCATTCCATCGATATTCGCCCAAACCACGCCGGCAAGCACATCCGCGAAGGGATATAACGTTGTTGAATTTCAGATTCCAGAGGCGGCAACCACGTGTTGCCGTGCTATGCCGGAGCCGGTGCGAGGCGCCCGTGCTGTCCTGTGTGAAACTTTAGCCGCAAAAGCGAACATTCTGGATGACGTAGCCGAATACCACCTTCCTTTTCGCCTGAGATGATGGGCCAACATCGCTTCTTTCGCTGCTTTCCGGGCTGGTGTTGTCTCTGGAGAATTGAGCTGCTGCTTGGGAACGCCAGCCCAGCTTTCGCATTGCGCAATTGGCACTCCGTACCCCAGTCCTACTCGATATCAAGGCCGTAACAAAGGAGAGATTGGTAAGCGGTGCGAGATTTCGTGCACGCCCCGGACACTCGGCATTGCCTCACGGTCCTCACCGTTTTCTCTCAACTTCCACAGCTTGATTAATAAAGCAGTTCTTGAGTAGATATATAATCAGATGCCCATCAAACGATGCAGCCAGTTTCCGCTTCCCATTTCTGATTGCAGCATTTACAGCGAGCGACCCGTTCTTCCTCTCTCCCTTCCAGATCCATCAAATCATTTCATACACAATGGCCTCCAGGCTCTTTCAACCCCTCCAGATCGGCAAGGCCAAATTGTCGAATCGTCTAGCTATGGCACCTCTGACTCGTTTCCGCGCCGACGACGACCACGTTCAACTTCCTTTTGTCAAGGACTATTACTCCCAGCGCGCTTGTGTTCCAGGAACCCTTCTGATTACTGAGGCCACTCCTATCTCTGCTCGCGCTGGTGGCTACAACAACGTTCCTGGCATTTACACCGACGCCCAGATCAAGGCCTGGAAGGAGATCGTCGACTCCGTCCACGCCAAGGGTGGTGTTATCTACATGCAACTTTGGGCCCTCGGCCGTGCTGCCGACCCTACTGTCCTTAAGAACGATGGCTACGACTTCTGCTCCTCGTCTGACATTCCCATGAGCGACAACTCGCCCAAGCCTCGTCCTCTTACCGAGGAGGAAATCCAAATCTTCATCAGGGATTACGCCAACGCTGCTAAGAACGCTGTTGAGGGTGCTGGTTTCGATGGAGTAGAAATTCACGGTGCAAACGGCTATCTGATTGATCAATTCACTCAGGACGTGTGCAACAAGCGTACTGACAAGTGGGGTGGCAGCATTGAGAACCGCACTCGCTTCGCTCTTGAGGTCACTAAGGCTGTCGTGGACGCTGTCGGTGCCGACAAGACTGGTATTAGATTGTCTCCTTGGTCTCCGTTCCAGAGCATGAAGATGGATGACCCCATTCCCACTTTCACTCATCTTATCAACGGCCTGAAGGAGCAGAAGCTCGCATACCTACATTTGGTCGAGTCTAGAATCCAAGGCAACGCCGATGTGGAGTCGACTGAGAAGATTGACTTCGCTATTGAGGCCTGGGGCAAGACCTCTCCTATTCTGGTTGCTGGCGGTTTCCGCGCTGACAGCGCTCGCCGTGCCGCTGATGAGGAATACACCGACAAGGACATTATTATCGTCTTTGGCCGATACTTTATTTCCACTCCCGACCTGGTGTACCGCATCAAGGAGAACATTCCACTTGCCGATTATGACCGCGACACCTTCTATGCCGCCAAGAGCGAGAAGGGTTACACCGACTATCCCTTCAGTGAGAAGTTCCAGAAGGAGGCCAAGCTGTAGATGTGGTTTCAGACAATTTTTGCTGTCCGAGATACCATTAGATGTTTGACAGATTCATACCTAGACTACTATAGAGCTCCACGATTGAACGACACAACTCCCTACTACAACGTCTCCATACACGTTACTCTGTTATCAGCAAGACTTCTTCGCAATTTATGATCTCTGTTTATAAGTCCACTACATCTATGCGACAGCATAAGAGACTCTACTAGTACCCTTGCTCCTGCTGATCTTCCTCACTGTCGTTTTCCCACAATCGGCAGTGCTATCAACGTGTGTACCACCACAGGGGTACGTGTCAGCTCCAACAATCTTGACCACCCTGAATTTCTCGCCTGCCGCAACATTGGGATTATCGGTAATCAATCTCTCAAGGCCATTGTTCTTGAAGTCTTCCTCACTCCACCATTCAATCTCAACCGGTAAGTTGTCATCGACGTATTCGTCAACCTTCTTTTGGATGGCATCCTTCCACTTGCCCTCGATTGATCCTTGGAACTCGCATGATGCGGCGTCTGGAAAGTGCGATGCCTTGAGCTCATCAAACCCTTCAATCTCTTTCTCGAGAAGTTTCCTGGTTGCTGCTCCAAGAACGTGTCCAGCTGTGTGGAGTCTTGAGTATAGTAGGCGCTTCTCGGTGTCGATCTCCTGTGTTACAGTCTCTCCTTCCGCAAATGGGTTGTGTCCAGCTTCAAATCTGCCGAAGTGCAGGACCTGCCCGTTGGATACAACATCCATACGTACAGCACTGACATTAAAGATGCTATTCGATGTCTTCATCATGCCCACATCGGATGGTTGGCCGCCGCCCTGGGGATGAAGAATCGTCTGTTCGGTAACAACGACATGGTCATCGTCACTGGCGTGCTTGAACAAAGATTGGTTGGCCTCTTCCAGCGAAGTTACTAATCGAATCGACCGCACCGCTGTTGCAAGAGAATACAGCTTTGCGTTGTGCTGAAAAGCAAGATACGTTCTTGATGAAGCAGCCTACGAATCAGTCAGTATGATCGTACTACTTTGGTGCACTCCAAGCGCGACAGACGAACATCGAGAAAGGTTGCAACCTATTCAATATGAGAATGAACATCGCTATATCTTGCACCGTCTCGATGTTGTCGTCACAGACTTGTGTCGTGTTCTGAAGGTGTCTCAATGTGAGGCAACAAGACACGAATCAACATACCATTTCCTGGGGCTGCTCGAAGATGCCTCGTGGTGTTGTGCACAGTGAAGATATACAGAGAAACGATGTCCCTCGTTGAAAAAGACGAAGATGCCACGCCCTGTCATTGACGGATCGGCAAATCTTGCCGTCATCATGCCGGTCTATACGAGATACGGTATATCTGGACTTTTCTTCGTGGCATACGATCAACTCGCTGTCACTAATTCGCAGCCAATGAGTAGGTTTGTGGTCTGGAAGGAAAATTGATCAGGCCTGGTTGTAGAGGTATTCTTCGTACCTCTTATTATCCCGTCCCTATTTGTTGCCGCATTAGCGGTCCATCAATCGCGGTGTAGCACCGATCAAGAGCTTCCATTCTCCAAGATAGGTGGATATCGGACCTACAATTCAACAGAGGCGCACTCAAAACTTGTTGAAGTGATGGGTGTCGTTCGGATAATAAGCCTTGCCAAGGTTGCAGTTCTCGAACCAACGTAAGCACGCTGCTCTCCCCACTTGAGGTCTTTCCATAAAGAAGCTTTATTTGTTTGCAAGGTACCACTCGAGCATGTCCAACTCTAACGTTGATCAGCATCGTTGGCGACTAAAAGGTAGAGTAGCAGTACCCAGAGTTCCATGATAACTTTTTGCAGAATTGATCAGGAAGCAACCTCTATGAAAGCGGGTATTGGTATTGCTACGGTTTGGGAGCGTGAGACAAAGGCGAGAGCTGCTCTCATGATCTCTACAACCCTATGGCCCTCAGCTTTGAGGTTATTGAGTCCTTATAAGGTCTATATCCTGCTGCGGGCGCAACCATGTTGAGCCCTGTGCCAAAGGAAACGCCCTGCCACGCCTTACTGGAGGGCAGTCTTCAATCAAAAGAACTTAGGCATCTGTCAATGCTGTACTCCTGCATCGATATTGGTACTACCACTCTCCAATATGTCAAGCGGCGAGAAATTTGATACCCTGCCTGGATACAGCCCAGCTACGGCGGGGCTCACCGCCTATCACATCACCCTCACCATGTACGAATTCGTCACCACATCTAAAGGCGGAATCCACAAGTTTCAGGATTTCGTCGATCAGTCCAACAATGCAATCACTCTCTCTCCGGATTCAACTTGGCGAGATGTGAGGGCTCGACTCTGGAACATGATTGCCGATCGATTCACCACCATCAACCGTGCCGAGAGCCAGCAATATTCTGTAGGACTGTCAGTCAAGTTTACTACCCGCGGCGACAAAGAAGTACAAACTGCTTCCTGCGCTGGCATTACCGACAGCGCCTTCTTCGGGTTGTTTGCACGAAACGACATCACCGTTATCAAATTGACGGCCGGCTTCGCTCATCGATTTGGAAGTACCACGCAGCATCTGGAAGGATTGAATATTCTGAGGCACAAGAAGAAAAGTCGCCGGTGCGTAGTCCAATGAATGCACCTGGCAGTTACAACACACGCACAATTTTTTCGACCCTCTCTCTTGGAGTAGCGTCTACGCTGTACGCCTTGTCACGATGCACAAAACTGGGCAGGCGATGTTGACTGTTCTAAAGAAGCTCAACTCCTTGTCCGTAATCAGTTGCCTACATCAGAATATCGACGATAATGGTATCATGCCTAATGACATTTCGAACTGGACACCATTGGACTTCGGCATGGAAGACCATGTCACAATGCACTTGGCCCAAAAGTTAATTCGACCTTCGTTACCGACCTTCTGAATAGTTTGCAAACATAGCAAAAGAATTTACAAGCCTTCCAGATTCAAGATCCATCGTCCCTCGTTTCTTCCTACCTTCCTCCGCCGTTCTTTCCATCCTCGCTCTCACTCGTCGCTCTCTCCATCAAGTCTTCCCAGCAGCTCCAAACTCCTCATCTGTAACCCTTTCCCCCCAAGTCGTCGCCCCCAACCCAACAGCCAGATGCGTCATAACACTCTTCCCATCCGCTCCGTGCCAATGCGTCGTTCCGGGAGGCGCCCAAATCAAATCTCCAGTTTTGATCCGTCGAGGGGAAGATCCTTTATCGCAGATCCAGCCTTGGCCGTGTAGGACTTGGAGATGTTGTCCTTTTTCGTGGGTATGCCAATGGGTCCGGGCACACGGGGTGAAGGTGACGTGGCTAAGATGGATCAGGGAAACAAACGGAGGAGGTGGGGTGACAGGAGAGATGGAAGAGCTTAGCATGTGGTGATGTGGTGAAATGAATACTTACGCCATAGCAGCTGATGGGTCATGGTAGAGCATGCTTAGATACACGTCTCCTGTGAATGTAGCACCACCTTTGATGACATTTGGTCCTGCAGGTGAGGGCGAAATGATTTTGGACTCCGGCATGTTGGATTGGTATAGCGAGTGAATGGTGATAAGTCAGACTGTATCTAAAAATCGCATGTTAAATGGACTTGGGATATCTTTTTATGTCCTGTCGTCCTCGTGTCTCCACTCATTTTTCGGCCGAAAATCTGCATGCCTAAGTGATGTAACTCAAGTGACGAAAGAGTGCTGCTTCCGGTGTCATCTACATTGAAAAGTATACTGGAGATCAACAGAAACGTGGCTTGGGTTTATGATTATTGTAGGGGGACACATCACTCTGTCTTACTATCTACGACTGTTTTCGCCTCAAACCTATGTTCCTATCTAACACTCCATAAAAAACTCCCAACACCGATATTGACTATCAGATGCCATCCTACTGCCCAGGCCATGGCATAAAGATATTTGGGGCTGAAAACTGTCCAGATGAAGAGATGCGTCCTCAATAACGTGCACGCAATCATCACAGCCACCAAGCTTGCAGAGACAAACATAGTCAACACACTGATGTGTTCGTGCCAGATTTGTCCTTCATCGTCTCTGTCCCCGGGAGCCGATGCAGAGTAAGCAGAAACGGCTTGCTGGTGCAACAAATCTCTCTCCTCATATATCCACTTCTTACGGCCCAAGGCCTGTTGTCTCTCAGCTGCTTTCTCAAGACGATCTAACGTCGCCTCTTCCTGTTCGATAGAAGGGAGAGTGAAGAGCACAGCTGCACACGTACTCCAGTATATCGGACCTGCCCAGTTTGATGCAAAAAGAAGGACACCGACAGCAACGACATTGTAGCCGCTCACACCGTTGTAAGCATTGCTGAGATCAATACTAGAGATTGCATTAGAGTTGCCTAGGGCAAAGAAAGAGGTGTGCGCCATGAGGAGGGCCGTGATTGTGGTTTGAAGTATCGACAGAGGTCTCGTGTATATGTGCGATTGAGCTCTGACAGGAGTGGTTGGTCTTGAGAGCAGATGGAAGAGGATTTGAGACTGCAGATCGAAGAACATGAAGAGCGGTATGTTTTGGGCACGAGTTTGGGTTATAAGGAAAAGCGTCAAGAGATCATGGAGACGACTTGGTAGACGAGAGCCGGCGAGTCTGTTAGTACCGCTCTTCACCACTTCTTCGTCACGCCCGTAGCCCATGAAGACCATGATGATGACAATGAGAGTCGCGATACCCAAGCCTACAAAGGCGGTTCGAGCCTGCATCACGAGGTCCAGCTCGGAGGTCCACTGTCTGATACTCTCGGCAAGACCACCAACCAGTTCGGGCGCATCAGCTTGTGTAAAGTTGAGCTTAAACACGAACGAGGGCAAAACAAGAGATATGGCGGAGATTGTCGCAAATTCAGGGGCCAAGATGTCGGCAAATGTGCGACGACCAATGCGGAAGGCCAGCTGAATGTATGCTGTGATAACAAGCATCCAAAGAACAATGTGATGGTTGGGGAAGAAAGCGTGGGCGACATCGGAATCGCCGGCATGTTTCTGACCCGTCTGGTTCCAGCGAGTTGAAAGACGGTGCAGTGCCAAGAGTACAAATGCCGAAAAGACCACCGAACTCTTGAGACCCGTGGCCTTGGTTCTAAGCAGAAACCGTCAGTGGGTTTTCTCTTTATCAAGAAGCGTACGTACTTTGCAGCATAGAGATAAGCCATCCACGCTGCCGTGGTCCAATACCAGAAGTGCTGTTCTTCTTCGACATAGCTGGTGGCAAACATCATAATTCCATAGAGAGCTGTGATCAAGGTGAAGCTTATGCCGGCAGGAGTTAATGACCAAACGTCTTTCTTCGAGTATGTAGCCAAAGCGAGAGAAATGGCAGAGATGGCGGCACCAATGATCAGACGATCAACGTTGTAGCTACTTGCTGTAGTACTGAGGACGTCTTGAGCATCGTTTAGAAACTGCGGACTACGTTAGGACAAGCCATGTGGAATTTGAATCACGATACTCACCTGGTTCAAAAACACGACCGAAGCGACAAGTTCGCCAGGTTGCATACTGCGAGAGAGAGCATCCCTGACCAATAACCATCGACACGTCAACCTTTTTTCGTCTTCTAGACCATGGCAATCCATTTGAATTGAGCCTTGAGTCCTTGGGTCATAGGCCCAGGCGTCAGAATCACCAAATTTGGCTTTGATGATGGCTAGCATTTGCAAGGCATTTCGATAGAGCAGTTCAGCAGCAACGTTCAGACCTGTGCCACTGAACTTTGACTCCCAAAAAGCAAGCATCTCAGGAAGAAGAATTCCCAGGTTGTTGCGTGGAACAGGAATACCCAAAAGTGCAGAGAGTGTAGGCACGACATCGTTCTGAGCGACCTTGCGATAAAACTCAAACTCGGTGCCTTGGTTGGGATTGGTCGGGGCTGTATAGATGGGCTTTTTGAGATGCATGAACTTGGGCGAGATGAAGACGAGAGCAGGTTCAGTCTCGCCAGGGGCAGAGCCTCCGTGATTTCCAGCGGAGTTCATTCCGTGGTCGCCAGCAACAACGAGTAGGGTGTCTTCGAGGTGGTAGTTGAGCTCCATGGCTTCGTATATTTCCTTGACAATGTTGTCCATCTCTTTTTGCTTGGGCAGCATGTTTGGGCTAAGAGGACCAGCCTTGTGGCCGATGTGGTCGAGACCGAGGTAGTGCATGATCATGACATCCCAGTCGGGCAGATTGAGTTCTCGAGGAACATGGCGAGTGACGTTGTTGTCGACCTCGGTGAAGTCGGAGACGAAAAAGGAGCTGGTGCCGTCGTGACGAGCAAAGAAGTCGGGAAAGAGCTTCAGCCAGGTGTCGTCGCCGTAGAAGACCAGATTGCCGTTGTCGAGATTGGCCATTGCTTGAGCGAGCCACGTGTCCTGAGTGGCCAGAGACGAGCTTGTGTCGCTCTCGGCGAAATTGAGTATGACATCGAGGAACGAAGGGACCGAGCCTGATGTCAAGGCCTTGACTCGAGGCATGGTGATTGTCGGAGGGGTCGCATGAGCTGTAAAGGGCACTGCTGCGCCCAAGGCTATGAGGCTCTGTGTGAAGTTGAAACCGGATTCATGGCCATAAACAAAATCACTGCTTTTCCATCAGCAATCTGCCCTTTGCCATGGCGAGTCAGAAGAACGTACCCACCTCCTCAACGCGTCCACAGTCATGAAGATGACCTTGTCGAATATCCTCTGTGGCCGATCATTGCCTTGCAGCAAGCCCATCCCCAGCTCCTCGTTTTCCACCTCTTCGAAGGTCGCCAGTCCAGATAGGAAGGGCTTGTAAGGAAAGAAGCCTGTCGCAAAGACTAGTACCGCGAGGGGTATCAACAGGTTGGAGAGGCCAAGTGCCATGCCTTTTAACGTCATCATGGTTGGAACTGCACTGTGTTTCAACCCTGTACTCGTTCGTCCATTGCCTCGTGGTGTGGAATCCAGCTGCTACTGTCACTGTCGACAAGTTTCTCCTTTCCATCTTTCTTGTCCGCGCTGTGACGCAGAGGGACGCGCTTCTCGGTCCGTCTTGTGGGGAAAGCTCGACCAACTTTCCAAACACTCACCCTGACCCTCCATCTCCATCTTTACTATCCTTTTTTTCCTGCACCGTCATATATACATCCGATCAGTCAGCCCGAATACTGCGTTATCGAGAAGGATACTCTGCCAATATCCGCCTCGCACTTATGTGCGCCGTTGTGGATACCGTACGCCCTTGTTGGGCCTGCCATCGCAGTATGCAACCCAATCTGCGCGATTGCGTGCTGTAGGATTCAAGCACGACATGAAATTTGGCTCCCGAGTTCTGATATGTAGATGTTGACACTTCTGTAGGAATTGGTTGAGCATGCAAAAGTATAAGTTGGGGCTGATTTCTGTAACAGAGATGGACAGCTGGGATCCGTCAGCCTCCGTCTCTTACCATGGCAAACGATCTAGAAAAGCATCCGCAACGGGCTCAGAAACCTGTTGAAGATCACCTTCGTACTGATGTCGATGCCGCTCTCCAATTGCTACGAGACCGTGGCTCGGAATCCGGCACTCTAGACCCCGAGCAGAACAGGCGACTACTCCGACGAATTGATCTTCATATTATGCCATTGATCTGCATAGTTTATTGTAAGGACGACCTACCTGTTCTCTCCAGGCACCTACTAACACATTCGGTGGCAGTCTTACAGTACCTCGATAAGATTGCAATTTCATATGCTAGCGTCACTGGCATCAAGACTTCAGCAAATCTACGTGGCACTCAGTTCAACTGGATTGCGAGCATTTTCTTCTTCGGTCAACTTTTGTTTGAATTCCCGACGATCCGTCTCATCCAACTTTTTCCTCTTGCCAAGTATGTCGCTGTTAACGTCATCATCTGGGGTACCATCCTAGCCAGTCTCGCTGCCTGCAAGTCTTTTGCCAGTCTCATGGTCTGTCGTGCTTTGCTTGGTGTTGCTGAGGCGGCTGTGGTTCCGGCCTGGGTCGTCTTCACAAGCGCTTGGTACCGGAAGGAGGAACAAGCCTTCCGTGTAGGCATTTGGTTCTCCATGTGCGGTTTTGCACAAATGTTCGGTGGCTTCTTCTCCTACGGCGTCGCGAATCATGTTGGAGGTGATGTGCAAGCCGCTCTTCAAGGCTGGCAGATCATCTTTCTCTTTCTGGGCCTCCTTACATCGGTGGTTGGCATCGTTTTCTGGTTTTTTCTGCCCGACTCTCCTCTCTCGGCCAAGTTCTTGTCGACCGAAGAGAAAGCTTTGCACGCGGAACGTATGCGCCAGAACGAGCAGGGTATCGGAAACCGGATCTTCAAGTGGAATCAGTTTTGGGAGGCTATCAGAGATGTCAACACCTGGTTGTATGCCTTCTGGGTCTTTGCTGCCAACATTCCAAACTCTACCGCTACCAGTTTTGGTAATATTCTAGTCACTGGCATGGGTTATACCAAAAAGGAGAGTTTACTGCTTGTGACTCCACTCGGTGCGTATGAGGTTGTCGTACTGATTGGACTTACCTACCTTGCTGGCAAGACGAACCAAAGACTTTGGTGCTGTATTGCTGGCCACATCCCGTCAATCGTCGGTGCCATCCTGATGGCCACTACAAACAAGGTCCCTGCGCTCATAGGCTTCTACCTCACAGGTGGCATACCCATCGGATGGACAACCATTCTCGCTCTTCAAAGTACCAACGTTGCCGGTTCGACCAAGAAGATCACCGTCACCAGCATTGGCGTTATTGCCTATACTGTGGGCAACATCATCTCGCCACAGACTTTCCAGACCAAAGATGCACCAAGATATCTACCTGCCAAGATCAGTATTTGCATTCTCTACTTCCTAATTACGGTCGATCTGTATCTGATCCGATGGTTCGCTGTAAGAGAGAACCGAAGAAGAGACAAGGAGAGAGAAGAGCTTGGCGACAAATATGTGGTTGAAGAGAACCACGAATTTTTGGATTTGACAGACCGCGAAAACAAGGAGTTCAGATATGCTGTTTGATATATCGTCCATGTACTCCTGAACATTTTGCCTCCAACAACATTACACCAAGTTCATCTCACGTTCTTCTGTGTTCGGGGTATGTTCCTGGTGCGGATCGGAACGGACATTGTTTGTTTCCTCATCGCACTTGCCAGTCGTAGTCCGGCAACTGAGATTTCTTGTTTCCGCCTCCGAAGCTTGGTACGAAGCTTGCTAACGATGGAAGGGATGCAAGCAATTTCTTGAAGCCCGGTCGCGCCATAGTCGAGAACACCGACCTTACCATCCACACACCCAGATCTGACTGCGGACAAACAAGCTTGGGTGCTCTTCCACCCAACGGTATGGACCCGTTCTCTTGCACGAAGCCTTCGAATTTCTTCCTGTAGTTTGTGAAGGCAGCCTCGGGGTCGTCCGGGTTACCTGTCAGTTCTCCGGCTAGGTAATATGCTCCTAGAACAGCCATGGTTGTGCCTTGGCCGGTCAAAGGTGAAGGACAATATCCTGCATCTCCCACCAATGCACAACGACCTCTATGCCATGCATCGAGTTTGACTTGCACGACTCTCGTGAAATAGAAATCTTCAGAGTCGTTCATGCCTTGTACCACCTTCTCCCTCAACCCACCGATATTGGCGAACATATTCTCCAGGAGGACTTTCTGCTCCTGCACTGTTCCATGTCTTGCTACTTTCTGAAGCTCTGCGCTTTCAGTTGTGGTGACCATAAGGTAGCCTGAGACCCGAGATCCTGTTCTATCGATCGGTCGGACCCAGATTACACGACCTTTGTTGGCGTGCTGTAGGACCGAGTAGGTCTTCTGGTCTGCAGGGTCAACCTCCATGGAGAAGTAGGCAACGAAGGTGTCGGTCTGCTTGAAGCAGTCTTCGGTTGCTGACTTGTCGAAAGTAAGGTTGCGAACTCGAGATGCTACACCGTCCGCACCGATTATAGCGGTGAATTTTTCCGGCTCGTCCGTGTCTGAGAGTGTTGCTGTTACGGAGTTGTCGCTTTGTTGAATGTTCGTTATTGTGCATCTGCTCGTTGTATTAGACTTCGAACCCACAAGCGGGTACTCATAGGAGCATACCCATATCTATACTCAGCGCCCTGCTTCTTTGCAGCATCCGCAAAGATGTTGGTCAAAGTCCCACGCATAATCTATCCATAGTCAGCAACCATTTTCTCTCGGCAAGTCAAAAAATACACACCTCAATCTCGTTCGTTGGTGACAATACCATCTTCCCCTCTTCCGCAGGGTTAGTGCCTACGCTTCCAATCTCTGTTCCTACATCGTCAACCATGGCGAATCCACTCTCTCCGGTCGTGTTGGCTTTGATCTCATCCCATAGCCCCATCTTTTTCACCACATCAACGGCTTCATCAGTGATGTCAATGCCTTGACCATAAGGCGCTACGGTTGAGCGTTCGGCTACTGTGACTTTGAAACCAGATTTGGCGAGCCAGAATGCTGTGCTGGAGCCAGCTGGGCCGCCGCCGACGATAAGGATATGGTGCATGCTCGGAGTCTGAGTTCCAGTGATGTTGAAATGAGAAGCGTATGACCTTGTGTTTGGTATATGGTTTGTCATTGAGCCAGAGCCTTTGTATGAGACAATCGATGTTGCTGTTTTCGTATGTGATATAATAGCTCTCGTGCTTGAGCAGTGTAATTGCTTTGATAGTAGCGATTGTTGTCTGAGAATGAACATGACGGAATCCAGACAAGGAGAAAGGGCTTATATACAAGTCAAATAGTAAGACTATGATGTAGTAAAATGTTTAGACTCGGGGGCTGGGGGGTCTTTCGGGGAGAAGCAAGTCCCGAGCGGTATTAGAGGATGTCCATACAAATATCGGCCGTGCACCTATAAGCTTTCGGGGAGAGGGCCCCGAGCTGCTACTTCTTGACTGCCCACCAGGGGAAATGGAATGTATTTAGGTGATATTCAAGTGTTTTCATCGATGAGAAGTCAAATTGTGTCATGCAATGCCTCAAAGGCCAATCACGGGTTTACGTCGTTGCTGAGTCCTTTGTGAATGCGTGACTGAGTTCCGAGACCCGAATATCCCCAGAACTCTACGCCCATGCAGAGAGAAGTCGTTCAAACACGATTCTGCGTTTCGATATATTGACTAGAGCTTAGTCCGGAGATATGAAGATTACATATGGTGAAAGAAGTCACGACTGCTCCCAGGAACGGCCGAGCCGACCTTGAAGTGCTGAACGATGGAAGGGTGTAATTCCTTGACAGAGTCAAGGTGACACCACCAACGAAGAATCATCGACACGCTACACAAGTTCCGTCGTGGTTAGGAGATACCCTCAAAAGTCCAATACAAGATCAATACGCTGGTCCGAGCCAGCGTATTGGAAGAACCTTAAGCTGGCGCCTTAGACCGCTCGGCCATCTCACCATTTGATGAAAGGGCTGCCAACAATACCACTTGGATTGTCTCCATACAATACTTTCCAGTGCTCCAACAGATAGCCGCGAGTCGTCTGGTGAACCATGGATAGTGGAGACCTTCAGTGGAGGTGGTGGGGAGTGGCGGCGTGGTGCTATTACCAGAGGTCCATGCAGTAGACCACATCCGAGCCTCGGCCGGCTTCACCAAGACGAGTAGGTGAGCGTGGGAGAAGCAGAGTAGTGTGGTGTACAGTCGGATGGCGAGCCATAAGAAAGATACAAAGGGATCTTTAGTAAGTCAAAGCAGAAGAGAGGTGAACATGTTGGCTCCTCGGAAGTTGTAGCTGTCTTTATTGAGTATCTGGTCGTATCGACGTAACCTAGTGATGTGTAGGGAGATGTTGGATGCATCCGCTTGATGTATTTGTCCTCGAAAGCTTGGCGCTGTCTGATCGGTCCTTCAGAAGACTTGCACCTCGTCGTGGTCATGTTCGGAGGTTGCAGAAGACTGGAAGTGGGTAGAACAACTGATCAATGTAATATGTGGCATTATCCCTGTATTCTCTTCTAGAAAATACCCATGCGCTGGCCCCAGCCATCGTTTTTGGGATTGACCAGGATGTGGTATGGAAAGGTGTTGGTATCTTGAGTGGTGATTGGAGGGACATGGTCTTTGTTCTGCTGGACGATGTCGGTGATTTTCAGGATGGCGTTGCTGAGTGATTTCTCGATGGCTCTTCGGGAGGTAGTTGCTTCTACATAGAAGGGGTCAGCACCAGAGCACAAGACTGTTCCTTGCTGTGGGGATGCCAACCTTGATGAGTGCGTGGAGAAGCGAGGGCGATGTTCAGAGTCCACGTCTCCCAAACCAAGTCTTCGTCCTTTTGGCCGAACCAGCCCTTCTTGCGTCTACGCTCTCGTTCACTGAACTGTACGACCATCTGGCCACGAGTGTTCTGGTTCTGGTCGTTCGAGTCGGCATCGATCTGGCGGACGAACTGATCAACTCGCTGTTCGACCAGTGTTTGCAGGTCGACATCTTGGATCCAAGGTATCGGAACGTCTAGTACATCATGCGATGAGGGCTCGAGGTTTGCAAAGATGCGGTACCAGAAGATAGTATGGAGGATTCCAGTGACGACGTCTTTGGCGTTGGCCTTATCGGCGAAGACGTCGATGCTGAACGACGCAACTCGTCGCTCTTCCATGGTCAGGATGTGTGATGTACACTATCTCATGTCGCGAGGAGAAATGCCGAGCTGGAAGTGTCCATAGTCTCTCCGAGCATAGCCGGTCTTGTGCACGACGTTTTCTGATGACTGTGACAGGTTGCGAGGATGGAGCTCCCTTGTTGCTATCACCCGCAATCTGGTGCAGACCGTGGGGAATGTCGGCCCGAGCTCCTGTTTGGAGTTGCGTCAGCGACCCCTCCAGCTCCGACAACGGCCCAGGTGCAACCTCTCCCTCGTGCTCCTACTCGTGCCCGGTGCTCTCTTCTTGTCACATCTCCATGACACCAAAATGCGTGTGCCTGATGAGCTCTGCGCGTGCACCTATGACTGTGCCTCCTTGATTATTGGGGTGCCGCCCCTCGTCAGGCACATCTCCACTGATCTACGGACCTAGCAAGAGTGCATCTCAAACGGAGCATGGCGGTTCAACATCAAGCACGCGCTCTTCCTCGGACGGTCAAAGCGATGCTGTCAATGCAACGACATCGCTGGACGTAAACACAAACCCTGCGGCGACTTCCCGTTCATGCAGCAGCTGTCTCCGTACCTCCTGTCAAATGATCTTTTTTCCACAGAAGCTCTCGTGCGTAAGTGCTTGTCTCCTTCCTTATCTGTTCCAGCCAAGACTTGAGATAGACAATGCGTCTTCAATCTCAACTAATTACCCTCCTGATCTACACTCCATCAATTGTTTGCTGCCGCCCTCGCACTCAACTTTGTGACCTCCTCTCATGCCATTTGCTGTACTGCCTTCGGAGTCCCGTCTGCCAAGTCGCTTTCAACAAGCCATTCACGCTAGCAGACGCACCTCAATCTATCCTTACCTCAGAAAAAGTGTGAACATCGCCTCCAGACCTCTCTGCTGTGGCAATGTAGGCTCATGAGGCCATGCCCATACACGATATCACCATCGTCCAGGGTTATACTGCATCTGAATACGATTGGCGGCCCTTGGCTTCGCCTCCTGCAACATGCAGCTTTATGGTTACCTTGATGAACACAAACCCCTCTTGGTGAACTCCCGCTTTTGGAAGGAGACTTGGAGATAAGAATTATGATCAGATGGTATATAAAGGTCGACTTGCCTGGTATGATGCATACACGTTCAAGGTTCAGATTCTTTCGTTCAGCAAGATGTTGTTCAACATCGTCACTCTTTTGGCTCTTGCCCCTTCTGTTCTTTCCGCAGTCACCGATAATGGTGCCAAGAGACGCAATGTTGTCCCTGGTGGATACATTGTGGAATTTGAGGATGTCATGTCCGTTGCTTCTGATGTATGTTTGAAATCCGAGTCGGAAGGCTTACCATTGACATGTCTGTAGACCAAATCTAGCTTCTACAAGTCGCTCTCTGACAAGAACATGGACCCTACTCACCGCATGGACCTTTCCTCTTCTCTTTTCAAAGGACTTTCGTTCCACGTTGATACCGGCCTTGACCAAGCAGTAGTCGCACAAGATATCCAAGCCATGCCCCTTGTGCGCAAGGTCTGGCCTATTTCGTTGTACGACACACAAGACTTTGCAACTGCTCCTTACACCAATGGATCCAACTCTACTTCGTCTTCAGACACATTCTCTACCCATCTCATGGGTCACGTCGACAGATTGCATGCCGAGGGCTTGACCGGAAATGGCACCTTTGTTGCCGTCATCGATACTGGTATTGATTACCTCCATCCGGCTCTTGGTGGTTGTTTCGGCCCTGGATGTAAGGTTGCTTATGTAAGTAATCGGAAAGGTAATTTCAACGGTAGCTGCTAATGTTCGACAGGGCTATGACTTCGTTGGTGACGACTATGATGGTACGAACACACCTGTGCCAGACTCTGATCCATACTCGGCTTGCAACGAGCATGGGACACACGTTGCCGGTATCGTTGCAGCTGGTCCTAACCCTTACAACTTCACCGGTGTTGCGCCCGATGCGACTCTTGGTGCTTACAGAGTTTTTGGATGCTCCGGAAGCTCTGGTGATGATGTTTTGATTGACGCCTTCACTCGTGCTTATGAGGATGGTGCTGATATCATCACTGCCAGTATTGGTGGTCCTAACGGTTGGACTGGTAAGTTGTTCTGAATGCGGTCCGACAAGACATGGTACTTATTGTCTACAGAGGAACCCTGGACGGTTGTCGTCTCTCGTATCGTTGCAGCTGGAACTCCTTGCACTCTCGCTGCTGGTAACGACGGTTCTGAAGGTCTGTTCTACGGTTCGTCCGCTGCAGATGGTATTGGTGTCATTGCTGTAGGATCTATTGACAACATCGAATCGCCTGTCTTCACCACCTACGGTACATACAGCATCGATAACTCAACCACTGGCGAGTTCGGCTATCTCGAGGCCGCTATTGGGATGCCCAACATCAGTCTCCCTCTCTGGGCCGTTAGCAAGGACAGTGCTATTGTTGATGATGCTTGCGAACCTCTTCCCGCCGACACCCCTGATCTTGCTGGCAAGCTCGTACTGATTCGCCGTGGCACTTGCACTTTCGACACCAAGGCTGCTAACGTCGCTGCTTTTGGAGCACAGTACATTATGTTCTACAACAATGCCCCAAGTCTCACATCTGCTAGCGTTTCATACCCTGGCATCCTTGGAGCTGCTATGGTCTCCGCCGAGCAAGGTGCTTCTTGGGCCGCATCTCTCGCTACTGGTTCTGCCATTCAGGTCACTATCACTGGTGATTTGACCGTCTTCTCTAGTCCGCCCAACAACATTACTGGCGGCCATATGAGCACCTTCTCCATGTGGAACCCTACTAACGAAGCTTACGTCAAGCCCGAGATCTCTGCCCCTGGTGGTAATATTCTATCCACCCTCCCTCTCTCACAAGGTGGTTACGGAGTCTTGTCAGGTACTTCCATGGCCACTCCTTTCGTTGCTGGTGTTGTTGCCCTCATGACACAGGCACGTCCTGACCTTGATCCTTACACTATTCGTGCTATCCTCGGCACCACTGGCCATCCTGTTACCTTCAACGACGGGAGGACTACTTTTGATTACCTTGCCCCTGTTGTTCAGCAGGGTGGCGGTGAAGTCGACGCCTTTGCTGCGGTTCACACTTCTACCGTGATCGATGTTGCCAACCTTGCATTCAACGACACAGCACACTTCGTCAAGGAGGCAAATTTCACCATAACCAACCGTGGTACCAGCGAGATCACCTACGACTTTGCGTATGTCAACGCCGCCACTGCATACACTCTTCCAGATGATGGTAGCACCCAGCCTCAGACCTTCCCCCCGGACCTTGTCACCTCTGGTGCAAGCGTAAGCTTCAGCGCTGGTAGCGTCAGTGTCGCAGCCGGAAAGTCGGAGACTGTTCTTGTCACTCTTGCCTTGCCCCAAGATCTTGCAACCGCTCGCATCCCTGTCTACTCAGGTTTCATCACTATCAACGGCACCAACGGCGATTCTTTGAACCTTCCATACGCTGGCATTGCTTCCTCGCTCAAGGATGCTACTGTTCTTGACGCCAGCACTGGATACCCATACATCACCAGCACCTCAGATAACACCTACGTCCCTCTAGATGCCAACACTGTCTTTACTATCTCTGTTGCGAACACTACAATCAACGGCACTACCGACAACTCGACTGGTCTTCTGATACCCAATCTGAGAATTGGCCTCGTCATGCCCTCTTCTCTTATTCGTGCTGATCTCATCCCCTCGAACATTACGTACGGTACATACACCAACACTACTACCGTTCTTGGTGTCAAAACTCTTGGTGCCATTGCCGGTACACCTTCTGTTTACCAGCCCAGAGCCAACGCCTGGAGTACCGCCTTTTACGGTGTCCTCGATGATGGCAGAAGAGTCCCTGCAGGAACCTACTCAATCCTCGTCCGCGCTTTGAGAATCTTCGGTGACGCCACAAATCCCGATGACTACGACAGTGCTGAGACTGTACCGTTCACGATCAAGTATGTGCATTGAGTCCACTGAAGGATTGGAGATGAACGGTTCAAAGCTTCTGTCTTCTGTAGTTCTGTTGTACATAGACGATCGTTTGCAGTCTGAGTTTTCCTCACCATCCCCCTTTAGCTGCCTTGTTTGGAAGTCTCAGATTGCTCACCGAGTTTCTTATTCACGGCAGCTCTGTGGACAATTTACTACGTCCGAGAAGCATTGTGACTTTACCTGCCTTGCTTGCTTCGCTTGACCAACACGTGCTCTGCAACTTCTACCCGTGAGACACAACTCATGGAGTTTTTGAAAGAACAGGATGAGTATGAAAGTTGTTTCAAAGACTGCAAGCATACCGAACGCCCATCGGATATATGTGTACGTGTCTGATCCTCCACCCAGACTGAAGAACCCACTGCAGATAAATAAATATATTCCCAGCCGTTGATCCCATAAAACCGTCAATCTTGTTCGCGATCCCAAAATAGTACATCTCAGACTCCATCAGTGACCTGCGGTGGCTTGTTGCTCGACGATAGATCGTAATCTCTGATCTTCTTTGTCGTCGTAGCCATCAGATGCGTCATCTCTCCTTCGTTTGATGCCTCGAGCCTGGTTCTCGGCCTCGACATTCGAAGAGAGGGCGAAATCTTTGGTTGCGATTCCTTCTTCTGCATCTTCGCCCTCTGCTTCCTTGTAGTCTCCTTCTTCGTTGTTGTTCTCAGCGTTCTTTTCTTTCTCGGTTTCGCTGCTGGCTTCGCGTTTCCGTTTGTTCCGGCCTTCAAGTCACGCTTCACCCAGGCCCTTGATTATACCGGTCAACTTTTGCATGCTCACGGGTTTTGTCATGAAGTCGTCTACGCCAGCCAAGAAAGCTCTTTTCTTGGCTTCAGCATCGCCAACACCGGTCAGAGCCATGATCGTACATCTGTCCCAGCTATTCCTCTCTTCTAGAGCTCTGATCATTTCAGTGGCTGTAAAGCCATCCATGACGGGCATGGAAATATCCATCAGGACTAGCGCGTATTCGGAAGGTGACGAGGCGTAAGAGGTCACTGCCTCTAGGCCGTTGGCTGCACATGTGTAGGGTCTCTTCAGCTTACGCATCGTGGCGACAAGCAGTTTCATATTGATCGAGTTGTCCTCTACCAAAAGCACTTTTCGAATATCGGGATCTTCGTTGATATCTGCGGTCCGTGGTGCGTCGTTCTTCTCAGGTGTTGTGGGCGTCGCAGGAATCGAGGTTACTGTTGCGCTAGGTTTGGACTCTGCGTAAGTGGGTGGCGGGTCACTGTTATTGGACATGACTGCAGGCTTTGTGAGGATCTCAAGTGCTGAAGGCGAGGCGGAGACTCCCACGGGATTGTCGGACGATACGTGTGTTTGCTTTGTGCTGGACAGTGCAGCTGCTAGTGCTCTTGACATTTTTCGAGGACCAAATCTGTTCGTGGGTTGTTAGTAAACAATTTTCTGAACGTAGAGAATATCGCTTACGGTTGGTTGAGGAAGATGGCGTTCTTCATTGCGCTCTGCCTGACGACAGACGAAGCTGATATCGAGCCCAACACAACCATCGGGGGTTGGTTCCCTGTGCTTCTCCTCTTCTCTTGCCATTGATCGTAGTCCGTCTCGGTCAAGATGCAGACGTCAAACTTGTCGGCGCCGTCCGAGACCGAGACGGAGTCACTCTTGCAGTCCAGCCATTCCTTACAAGTCTTCGAGGTCGACGTCTTGATAGTCCTGTCGCGCACCAAGTCTCCATCCGTCTTGCCTATCGACTTGGAGAACGCCAGCTTCAGAGCACTTCCATCCGGGCACTTCGGGACGTTGATCTCAGATTCGACATCTTCTTCAAAATCCGCATGGAAGGTGACCACCACTTTGGTGCCCCGGCCGAGTTCACTCTCGAAGTTTATGCGTCCTCCGAAGTCCTTTACAATCTGCTTGACGATTGAGAGTCCCAGACCGGTTCCGACAGCATGCGTGTTCTCTTGCATGAAAGGTGTGTAGAGATGGTTTCGAAGGTATTCGCTACCTATGCCTTGTCCACTGTCCTCGATAGTCAAGGACACGAGAGCTTTGTTCGCATCTTCTGATTTCTTGTATTGTAAACTGACAGTGATCGTGCCAACCTTTGTGTACTTGAGCGAGTTGCCAAGAAGGTTAGTAATGACTCTTGTCCAGCTTCCGGGTGAAATGCTCAAGTTCCAGTTCGATCGTTTGGCAATATTCAAAACAACAGCAACTGCCTTCGGTGTCTTTGGGGCGAGTTCGTCTTCATCATCTTGCTGTGCTTTACTTGATTGGAAACTTTTGGCCGTGACAGTTGTATCGACCACATTCTCGGTCAATACAGCAAGATCGACCACACTTGTAACGCCGACCTCGCCCATGTCTGCCGTTTTGAAACCAGCGTTCCTTGTGGCGTCCTTGTCTTTCCTGTCTTTGCGTTCAAGGTCTGTAAAGCTGTTGATTTTGGTGAAGTCGAGGATGTTGTTGATTGTGTCCAGTAACGTTTTGCCAGCCATACTGATTGTGGTAGTCATCTCTTGCTGGTAGTTGTTGAGGTCGCTCTCTTGCAAAAGCTCTACGCCAGCCAGCACACCATGCAAAGGAGATCTCAACTCGTGGGATACAGAGCTGATAAATGTGGCCTTAGCTTGATCGGCAGCAATGGCATCGAGGCGTGACAGTTCGGCCATGAGACTGTTGCTGAAAGCAGCAAGGTACGTCACGTCTTCCGCCTTGTCCAGGAACCTACCGGGGAAGTTGTTCCACACGAAGACAGCAGATCGCCATCGTTCCCTTCGACTATCCCACAATGGCAAGAAAGCGATACTGCGAGGAGTCGAGAAGACGTCGGCCAGAGTCATTGCATCGACATATTCACGGCTACGGCGTTTGCGTGATCTATTGTTCTTCGTGCCCTCGCTGATGTCGTCGGACGAAAGCTCGGTGCCCGAGCTCGAACTCAACGCCTTACCATCATGGTAGTTGAAGACCTTACCCATCGGATAACGTCGTACCAGGCTGCGAATGAAAGCCTTCGGGAGACTTGAGTGCTTGGCAGAAGCATCAAAACCACGAACTGTCGACTTGACCTTCGTCGAAAAGCCGAGAAGAGCGCATTGTGCATCTGGTGGAACAGGTGGTTGGTGTTTTGGCGAGGCCGATTCGGGGCCCGAGGATGCAGTCGCAGTGTCGCTCTCAGGCTCGGTAGATGAAGACTCCTGGTTTTTGGTCGACTCTTTTGACCGATGGAAATCGGCGTCGATGAAGGCTACACCCTCGCAACTAAGAGCCTCGCGCATGAGGTTGCTGCTACGAGCAAAGGCAGCATTTACCTCACGACCAAGATCGAAGCCTTCGTGCTTGTCCGGAGCCAAGTGGCCGGTCTTGACCGAGGGCTTCGGCGCTTGTACAAGTTTTTTGGACGGCTCGAGGGGTTTTCCGTCAAAGACTGGGGTTTGGCGTCCGTGGGGAATATCATCGGCACGGTATGTCATGCCCAGCTCCTCGTCAGCACGTTCGTTTTGAACCTTGTCTTCCTCGATGGAGGCACGGCGGCGTCTGGCACCCTCGCCTCGGGCTTTGCGGCTATGAGTATCCAACCACCACTCCCGCAAGCTGTCTTTGCCTTCGCTGAACAGGGCCAGACCCTTGATCAAACGATCGCCACGTTGTCTCTGCAAAGCCGTCCTTTTGGCCTCGAGATGTCCCATGATTGTGTCGGCAATGTCTTCCATGAAGACCATCTCTTCGGCGCTGATTCCAAACCGCGGTCGGTCGTCGAGGATACAGTAGCAACCAACAACCAATCCGGTGCTTGTACGTATAGGAACAGAAGCATAGAACCTCAAATCAGGGCCAGCAGTGACCAGCATGAGCTTCTGCAATTCGGGGTTCTGTCGAATGTCGCTGACAATGTACCAGTGCGGGCTTATGCCATCGGTGTAGTAATAACCATCTTCTCCGGGAACGTCGCGGTGTTCCTTGGTTGTGCTCCACTGCGTGAGTCCGGCGAGGGTGAAGCCTTCTTCGCGAGGGAAGCGTGTAGTACCGAGCCATAGAGCGTCGCGGGAATTGTGTACGAGGTCCGACTGCAGCGACAAAGTGCGTGTGGATTCTGCCAGGATGTATTCTTCGTCTTTGGATATCAGCGTGATCATGCAGCGCTGGGCCTTGAGTCGCAAGGCACCGAGTTGGGCGAAGGCAGCCAGGGCAGTGTCGTCGCTACCGACAGGCACTCGGTCTTTGAGCCCGTCATTGTCGGAGAATCGGAGAGGATGAATCGACGTCTCGAAGGCTTCCAAGCATTTGAATACTTCACGCGCTCTTGACGTCTCGCTCGGCGAAGGGTGTGAGGGTTGCGCCATGAGGCTCTTGAGGTGGGCACTCGAGTACGCTTCTTGGGAAATCAAGTCATCGAGGACAAGACGATGGGATGAGGTTGTGTTAGATTTGCCGTCCTTTCTCATCCGTCAACACGGCCTGGAAAGGGCCTAGGCTCGTAGTGCACGGTGAAGCTTGCTCCAATCGACGATTGCCTCGGATTTTGGTTCGGATATAGCACGCTCGACTTTCGCATCTCCCAGCTCGTCCGATTACTGCGTCGCGTCTACCCTACTCGACCATGCTCCTCGCGCACCTTTTCCTCCATCACGTAGACAATCATCACCGTGCTGCAAGACTGCCCTTTGTCCAAGAAAACCGCTTTCGGTCGACGCTTCAACCGCCGCGCGGAGTCGGACCCCACTACCGTTGCTCAGGATTTGTTGCCAAGATGATAAAGAACAGAGGATCCTGGATGGCATTCTGCGATTTCGATCCTGATTGGAACCTCAAACATGAAGAAGCACATGAGGCTCACAGACTGCTGTTTTCAAGTCCACACCCTCACCTACTAAACGTCCAATTCTTGAGTCTCCTTTGTGCCAGCACACCCTTTCTCTTATCGTCAGTAACCTCTGCTTGCTTGGTAGGGTGCATTCCTCTGAGGACCTGGAAGTGACGTTCTTTTTCAACTCCGTGGGCGTTCTCCACGACTGCCCGGATTTAATGATTACTCACACTCGCTTTATTGAAAAACGCACCCAAGATGAAACACCACACGTTTCTTGAATACCTTCATTCAACAGCAAGATGAAGCAAAAGTCATGGAAAAGGTCATATCAGTCGTGTCCATTTCTGCTACTATTTGTACAAACCCCCACGTGAAATTTCATCCCTGTCGAAAGGTGTCTTGCAAGAACGCTAATACGCCTTGCTTTTTGGTCTTGTTCCGGAGCCCTTGTGTATCATGCTTCGAACTCCAATTGAGTGCCCTCCCTCTTTAAAAACGAAACGCCTTTGCTCTTGTTCTAGGAAATGCCGCGCTGCCTCCTCATTCATCGTCGGACGGGATTGTGGGTTGTTTACCAGCCACGGCCCTGGAGCTTGTCCTTGGGGTCCATGGAACCGCAGTTGATTCCGACCATGGCCTCACCGAGACCAATGCTGACCTCGGCGAGCACCTTGGGGTCGTTGAAGTGGGTGACAGCCTGAACAATAGCCTTGGCGCGCTTAGCAGCGTCACCGCTCTTGAAGATGCCGGAGCCGACAAAGACTCCGTCGCAGCCCATCTGCATCATGAGAGCAGCGTCGGCAGGAGTAGCAATACCGCCAGCGGCGAAGTTGACAACGGGCAGGCGCTTGAGCTGGACGGTCTCCTTGAGGAGCTCGTACTGAACACCAATCTCGCGACCGAAAGCACGCAGCTCGGGCTCAGACATGGCAGCAGCGCGGGCGATTTGCTGGTTGACGGTCTGCATGTGACGGACAGCCTCGATAACATCACCAGTACCGGCTTCACCCTTTGTGCGGATCATGGCAGCACCCTCGGCGATACGGCGCAAGGCCTCTCCGAGATCACGGCAGCCGCAGACAAAGGGAGTCTTGAACTGGTGCTTCTCGACGTGGTAGATGGGGTCGGCGGGGGTAAGGACCTCGGACTCGTCGATGTAGTCGACGCCAATGGCCTGGAGAATCTGGCACTCAACGATGTGACCAATACGGGCCTTGGCCATAACGGGGATGGTGACGGTGTCCATGATCTCCTTGATCATGCTGGGGTCAGACATGCGGGCGACACCGCCGTCCTTGCGAATGTCGGCAGGAACGCGCTCAAGTGCCATAACGGCGCAGGCACCGGCCTCCTCAGCGATACGGGCCTGATGTCTGTTGTCAGCGGCCGAAGTGAAGGCAGGAAAGAGAGAATCGGGCATACCTGCTCGGCGTTGACGACGTCCATGATGACACCGCCCTTCAGCATGCGGGCAAGACCGGCCTTGACAGCGAATGAGGCAACGCCATCAGTGCCATTGGCACCGTCGTGCTTGCCGTTGGTGGTGGGTAGTGTGGTGGCCATTGTGAGAGATGTTTTTGTGATGGGGATGGATTGGAAGGAAGATGGATTGGAATAAAAAGATGTGCGCGAGAAAGAGAAAGGGTCTACCGTCTTTCCAAGATTTATAAAAGTATATCTGGCACAGGGAAGTTCGGTCTTCTTTCGAGTGACTCACCTGCCTAATAGAGGCATCATTCAACTTGATTACCCAAGAAAAACACACAAGGGCGCGACGGCCACAGGGCGGCGAACTCTTGTTCGTCTCGAACAATCCAATCCCCGCCCCGCTTGCCCCGCTGTCGGAAGACTCGGACCCTGGACGCCGAACCACGCCGATTGGTTCCCGACATGGCGACTGGGATGCACGACAACGACATAATTCATGGGTTGATAGAGCGTTCATTTCTAGCAGCAAAAGGAGATCACTACAGCCATAGAAACAGCTGGATCGAGTTTTGAGCTTACCAAAAGATTCGTAAGATTTGCAACGAACACGATCTTCGTGCATCACTCCACAATCTAATCTCATCTGTCAGGGCCCGGGATCTCCGCCGTGCGTCATTGACATCCGACGACAATCTGAACGGTGAACAACAACCACTCCACTCCCAAACAAAACACTCTCCATACCAACAGCAGTTGACTCAACCCTGAACACACAAGTGACTCATACATCGGGCCACTTAGCCTTCGAGAAAATGTCTTTCCTCCTTCAGTCACGCCCATTGGGCATCGGTCTCGGTCTCAGCGCAGCTTTCACAGCCCACTCCCTCCTCACTCCTAGAAGAAGCCTCATCTCTTATTGCGATGCCAGTCCCGCTGCCCTGAACTCATTCACATCCAATGCCAAAACACCAGTGGTGAATCGCAGAGGTGGTCTCAATCCCGCAGCCGTGCGCCAGATCTCGAGTGGAAGTATCGCTGGTGAGTGTGCCTGATCAATGCTTCAAGCAAACCATATGATGACCGAAAGCTTAATTCTGACTCATTGGGAACGATAGGTGTATTGGGCGGTATGGCTGTTTCTCTGTTCTCTAAACCCTTGGCTTTGCTGATCGGTCTTCTTATCGTTGGGGTCCAGGTATGCTATCTTTACCCCCTTCCCTCTTTTCAATTGCCTTTGTCATCCTAACACCCGCTTCGCAATTACTGATCCTGACTTCGAAACAGTTTGCTGAGTCACAGTTGGGTATTAGCTTGATCCCTTACAACCGCATGCAACGCTACGTCAAAAGCATCGACCTACGCTCAATGATGCAGGACAATGTGGCCTTCAAGCTGGCCTTTGGCTCTACGTTTGCGTTGACTGGATTTGCTCAGTTGTAAGCTCGCCATGATGGAAGTGCCGGAAAGGCCTCAAAGATCGAGCTGCAAATGTGCACATACATGGCTCGCCTGATAGAAGGCATGAGAGGAATAGTCAAAGACCAAGATAGTCGTCTCAACATATTTCACGAAGACCACCCTTATCTTACAGACTGCCAAAATTACTGAAGAATCATGACGTTGTAGTTGCGGTGCTTAGAACGTTTGCGAAGGAGATCATTTTTCTCGTTTCTTTTTTGAACGAGAGAATATATGCATCGAAGTGATTGCTCCCAAAGACCGACGACGGTCTAAAGTGATATGGATCATCTGACATCGTAACAGTATCTACGGAAGTGAACCAATCAGGCTGCATGAACCCAACGGGACTCCCAAGATAACAAAGAGACTTGATACATAATGGTCAAGATACATGCTCGCTAGCACTGAGATTTCTGCCATCTGAAATTGTGTGCGGGTTCGGTCCAGGAAGAAATGGGAGCTTGTCTCCAGGCCGCGCCCCTGTTGTATCATGTAAGGCCTTCTACGTCCTGTAATCGCCGTTGATGGTGACGTATTCGTGCGAGAAGTCGCAGGTGTAGACGGTGGCTTCACCGACATCTTTCTCCTTGTTGCTCAGCTTGACGAGGATCTCCAGGTCTTCCATCTCCAAGATGGTGGCTGCACGGGCTTCGTCAACAGCTTGAGGCTCGCCGTTTACAAGAAGCTTCAGCTCCTCAGAGCCATCGGCAGGTATGAATGACACGGAAGTCTGATTAGGACGAATGCAGGTGTTTCCGGGCGCGTAGCCAATGGCACACAGAATGCGTCCCCAGTTTGCGTCCTTGCCATACAAGGCCGTCTTGACGAGTGCAGAGGTGGCAATGGAGTTGGCAACAACATGAGCAGCGGTGTGGTTGTCGGCCTTTGTCACTCTTACGGTGACGAACTTTGTAGCACCCTCGCCATCACGGACGATAAGCTTGGCCAGATCCTCCATGAAAGAGGTCAGGACCTTGTTCATCTCCTTGTAGTCTTCCGATTGCTTTTCAAGCTTTCGGGGAGGAAGAGAGGCGCCTCTGGTAGGCAGCTCGGCGCGGTTGAGGTGGTTGAGGCGGACGACATCACTTCCAGGGGCGGCCATCCCGTTTGCGAAGAGAGCGACGCTGTCGTTTGTGCTGGTGTCACCATCGACGGTAATGCGGTTGAAGGAGGAGTTTGTTGCTGTGGAGAGAAGAGTTCTCAGGGCAGTCTTTTGGATGGGGGCATCGGTGCAGATGACACCGAGGAGGGTGGCCATGTTGGGGTGGATCATGCCGGCACCCTTGGTCATACCGGCAATGGAGAAAGTGATGCCCGGGTACGAAGGGAGGGTGAACTGGCGGGAAAGGAGCTTAGGGAAGGTATCGGTGGTACAGATGGCGCGTGCAGAACGGAGCCAGTGATCGTGGGTGTTTCCTAGGGACTCGACGAGGGTGGGGATCTTAGCTTCGATGCGATCAATTGGTAGACGCTGTCCAATGACGCCGGTGCTCATGACCAGAGTACGAATGGCCGAGACATCCTGGTCGTCTTCAGCTATCTGGACAGTGCCCTCTTTGACGCTCTCTTTTGCCTCGACTTCAGCAGACTTGTCGTGAGGACTGGGGTTGCGCTTATTCAAGAGGTCGTGAGTGAGCTTGGCCATGCGCATGGCATCCTCGCGTCCACCTTTTCCTGTCACAGCGTTGGCGCAGCCGGAGTTGATGACGACACCCCGAATGCTCTTGCTCTGGTGCTGGAACATGATCTTCTTGCTGACGCTGACGGGAGCGGCCTGGAAATGGTTCTGCGTCGTGACGAGTGCGGCCGAACATGGTGTTTCTGACGCGATGAGGGCAAGGTCGTCGAACTTTGTATTTGAGGCCTTGACCTGAGCATGTGCGCTGCCAACGACAAAGCCCTTGGGGTAGGTTCCTTCGGTGGGTACGTATTTGGCCTTGTTGGGTGGGATTGCGCCGTCGGTAGGTGCGGAATAGCGGCGGGTCTGTTGGGTTGATAACGACACGAGCCGGCGAGCGGCTGTGGATCGAGAGATTGCCATTTTATTGGCAATGGTATGTATGGTCAATTGGTCTCGAGGAGGAAAATATGTTCCACATGCGATTGAGTCAACTCTTGTGATAAGAGCTGCTGGCCGATATCGGTTAATCTTATCAATCTGTGGGGAGGCTTCTCGGTTGCTCTTGCTGCTTTTGTCGGACTTTCAATGCAACTCCGACCGAGCTACTCTTAAACGTTATTCACCTACCAAGACATCAGACAAACGACAATGCCGAAACGAACAAGGAGTCAGCATGAAGAAGATGCAGTTGAAGATGCACAAGATGCCGACGTGGAGACGACACCGTCTAAGAGGAGGATGACCGAGGCAGAGACACCGTCACGGCATACCAACGCAGACACGCCCTCCAAGCAACGCTCCATCCTCAAGTCGACCTTGAAGCAGGAAGGAACCCCGCGATCGCTACGGAAGGTGCTGTTCTCTACCCCAGCTAGAGCAGACGAGGAATTCGATGATGCGCCAACCAAGCTTTCCCCTCTGACAGTTGCTCGCAACGCAGACCGTTCGGCCAGGCGCAAGAGTCACAAGCGACTGTTCGATGCGCAAGACAACGATGAATCTGTCGTCGATGACACAGGGCTGGAAGACGCTCTTGCTCGAGACATCTTGGAGGACGAGGATGACCCCGATGCAGATCAAGAGGTAAAGATGACTGTCACACCGGGTACCCCTTCCAAGACAGCTAGGCCGCGAGGGAGACCGAAAGGGAGCAAAAAGCAGCCATCGCCTGAAGCACAAGACATGGCCGCGCATGAGCTCTACTTCTTCCAGAACAGGCCAGGAGGCGTCAAGACGTCAATCAATACTCTGCCCGGCAACGCTCTTCTTGGCCACGACGACTACTTTGCATACATCAATCCTTACAACGATCCTCACAGCGTCGACAAAGACTTCTTGACGCGTCTACATGAGAATGCCTTTGATCAATGGATGTTCGAGCTCGAAGAAGGCTTCAATATCTGTATCTACGGCTACGGATCAAAGCGCCATCTTCTTCTTGACTTTGCCGACCACCTCCATGAATCCTCCGACGAAAAGCCCAATGTCATCGTTGTGAACGGCTACTCTCCGAACATCTCGGTCCGCGACCTTCTGACGGCTATCGCGAAACATGGCCTGCCCTCCTCGATGGCCAGCAAACTTCCACTCCAACCCCAAGCTCTTCTAGACGCCCTTCTTGCTTACTTGACGACAACACCTCCTTCGTCGCCCATTTATCTTCTCGCCCACTCCATTGACAGCCCCTTCTTCCGGAAGCCGCTCTTCCAAGCTACCATATCTACTCTCGCCGCTCATCCGAACATCCGTCTCGTCGCTTCAGCAGATACACCGACTTTTCCGCTACTCTGGGATATTTCACAACGCTCCTCGCTCCGCTTCCTTTTCCACGATGCCACCACTTTCGCACCCTACACCGCAGAACTGGATCCTGTCGAAGAGGTCAACGTACTCCTGAATCGTAGCGGTCGTCGCATCGGCGGAAAGGACGGTGTTGCCTATGTCTTGCGCTCGTTGCCTGAGAACGCAAGAAACTTGTTCCGCATCCTGGTTGGAGAGCAGCTCGCTCTCGCAGACTCTGCTTTCGAGACGCACCCTAACTCTCCAGAATCAGATGGTATGCTCGGTCACTCTGGCGATGACATGGACATCGATCATGGCAACGTCACAAAGCCGAAAAGAGGTCGCGGCCGTCCTCCGAAAAAGTTACCGGCGCCGAAGGTCAAAGTTCACAAGACTCCATCTTTTGTGGGTGTCGAATACAGGACACTATATCACAAGGCTGTCGAGGAATTTGTGTGTTCATCCGAGATGAGTTTCAGGACATTACTCAAAGAGTTTCATGATCACGAATTGGTGGAGAGCAGGAAGGACGGTCTGGGCGTCGAAAGATTGGCTGTGCCATTTGGAAGGGAAGACCTCGAAGACATGTTGCAAGAATTGGTCTGATTGACACCCGCTATCTTTCCCTCACGTAAGTTATCATGATTGCAGAATATCAGCCGCACGCCCCGTCCTGTACGCTTAGGATTTGTTTGAATTGTTGTCAGGTATTGCAACATTTTAAGATGAATTCGCGTCTGCCAAAGTTGTCCCCCTCTGTATGGCCTCAGGAAATTCTAGCTGCTCAATTGAACGTCTCTAGGGATCAATGTAGTCGTCCATACAGACCAGCTGCTCGGTACGCCTTCCTTGGAAAAGTACACGGCGTGGAATAGATCATGCATCTCTACGGCGCGGCTGTCAGTCCATTCTCGGTAACCAATGGGGCGCCCACCAACAATGATAAGATAGCTTCGACTTTTAGATCATAGTGCAAATTCCAAACCAGCCAGGTGGAGGTGACGACACATGGATCATAGCCGCCACTCGGCGTTGTTCCTCCCGCTGGACGAGGAAGTCATACCTATCCCTCATTAGCTGATCGGACTGATTGTCAAGTCTGTCATCTCTAGCTGTCAGCACTCTGATGTCAGATAAAGCTGTGCTTGACTGATGGTGGTTAGGCTGGTCAGTGTCAGTTGTGGAATTTGTCAGAGACGATGGGGCAGTAGGACGAGAGGAAGGACAAGAGTCAGTGCTTGAGGGAGTAGGGGCTTGTATCCCAAACTTGGCAATGGCTTTGAGAACAGCCTCGAGATCAGCCAATTCGATGGCAATCTCGGCGAGTCTTGCACGCTCAGCATCATGACCTTCATGATTTTCCTGAGGCTCATTTCCGGCTGAGTGGCTGTTGTTTAGGTGGAGTCTGGCTCGACGTCTCCTTTCAAGCCATTGGCGTGCGGAAGCTGCGTCATGGACGTCTTGTAGTCTCGTGTGTTCTCTGGCGAGATCGTGGTATTCCGCCCAGACAATGGTTCGGAGTCGAGCCCATTGTTCTTCACCGGTCTGTACTAGTTCCGTGTCTGCATCCTTCTCAAGTTGTCGCAAAGCTGTAGCTTCCTCGGCGTCTCTGATCTTTCTTCTTTGCTCCTCTTCAGCGAGTTCTCGCCTGACAACAGCTTCTGCTGCTTCCCTTGCTCGTCTTCGTTCTTTCTCCTCTTTGACCCTTTTCCTCTCCGCACTTTCGACTGCTAGTTTTCTTCTCTCCTCTTCTGCCGCCTCCTCTTGGGCAGCTAACAGCTCGGCAGCTTCCCTCGCAGCTGCCTCCTGCTCGACAATCCTTTTCTGTCTCTTCTCCTCCTGTTTCGCTTTGTCCGCTTCTTCTTTCTCCCTCTTCTTGGTCTCTAAACATAGTTTACGTTGACGCTCAGTAGCCTGAGCTCTTTCTTTTGCAGCCTCTTTCTCTGCCTTTGCTTTTTGTCTCTCTTCTTCCTTTCGAGCCCGCGCACTTGCTTTGCCTTCGGGTGTGTATTCCCACCCTGGCTCGGCATCTGCGCAGACGTGATACCACACTTCGAAGCCTCCGTTGCTTCTGTTGACACTTTCGAAGTTCGAATATCTTTGTGACATTGGCTTGAAATAGCTTAGAAGCCAGAAGAGCATTGTCGAGCAAGACGAAGCGAGGGGGCACCAATGATGAATGTCAGGTATAGAAGCGTACTTTTGGTCGTTCGGTGCTTTGAGTAGGTTAGTCGGATATACGTTTATATTCTGGGTGATGAATTCGGAATTTGGAAGTCTGACAGAACAGAGGTCTTGAGAGTTCTGTTTTATGTACTTATTGCAAGCTCTTGAATCCGTGGAAATACATATGGCTAGAAGACAAAATTCTATGCGATTCAGACATAGAAGATGTGTGAGACTTCGAGATCCATACACCACTTTCGAACACTACGATGTCTAAGACAGAGTCAGAGACAGAAACAAAAACACGGGAATCGAAGCGTCCACTGGAACCGGCACATCTAGCTACTCCTTTTGGGCTGATTCAGCAGATAGAGACAAATCAACATGTCGCAGTCTCAAGAAAGGTTGTGTGATCGGGAGCAATAGGAGAGTATTATTAATGAGGCAATTTGCACCACGACGGTCTTAAGTCGTGTTACAGTTTAAGAATAGTATCGAGAGCAAAAGCAGGCTATTGCAGATTCGTGTCTACTCCATGTCGAAAGCCGTGCGTCAGAGACCACATGAACGTCATTACAACCCTCCAAACGATCTCAATGATTTTGCAATAAACCTTCCTAGATTCGCTGCAAAGACCTGCTCGTTCTGCACGCCTAAAGCACCTAGCTGCCACGAGATGACGATGGTAAGATCCCCCTGATACTTGGAGACAACATTGAAGTTTAGGCAGCCAGAAGACACATTGGCAGGCTGTGAGAAGATCATGGACTCAACGTTCCACCCATCCTCGGGCTTGAAGAATCCAGGGTTGAAGGACATGATATTACTGAGTTCGTATGAGCATTCTCTGCGCTTGCCAATCTGTCCCCTTGTCCATGGGTACATCTTGCGAAGGTATCCCAGTAGACCAACTGGCTGGTCGCTCAAGGTATTGGCACATTTTGCCAAATTCTGCGTGGTAGTCCGTGCAGCGTTCCAGAAGTTGTCTTTGACAGAAATCAAAGTCGGATTCGAGCTCTCTTCAGCAGTCCTCATAAAGAGCTCGTAGTATGCTGTTGGGCAGAGTGCCATGTCATCATCGGTGATTCCATTGAGATGAGAGCGTAGATCAACCGCAGTCTGCGAGACGAACGAGCCTGCTTTCTCGAAAGGCAGTTCTTTGCTCAAAGCTTGCACGATGATCTGGTGAAGGAGCCCTGTAAGTTTAAGATTGTGTTCTCGGCAGTCCCGAAGGACTTTCTCCACATCCTCGTACTCGACAGAGATGATCTCCAAGCCAGTACTATATTTATCGTGGTCGAAAAATGTGTCGTGACCTACCCATTGGTTATCGGCTTCTGGTGTGGCTGAGGCGCGAATACCCAGTGGACTCGCGATAAAGGATGGCAAATATGCTCCAAGAAGTGGCGAAAGTAGGTAGCCCCAAGAGACTGAGAGTTCTCCTGAGGCCTCCAGCGTAGGTAACAAGGGAGTCCTTGGGGTTGCACATTCAGAATCACCGTCATATACACAATGACGATGCTGTGCCTGTTTCAATCCAGCCAGAAATGTCTTGTGGAAAGCGAGACCCGATTTACCGTCGCCATGCGAGTGATAGTAACCAAACAATATGAGGTATCTGTCGGTCTGCGGTCGCTCTCCCCTACACAATGGTAGTACAACGATTTTCCATGGAGGAGTCTTGTTACAATTAGTGAATACATGGTTATTGACTTGAGCCAGGGTGAGCTTGATCAAATCTTTTTCGTCCAGAATGTCCGGTGACTGCCGTGTGCCGATCAAATCGATATGTTTGTTCAAGTCCAAGAGGGCCGGTCTAGCAAATTCTGGTGTTTCGGTATCTTCTCCAATTATACAGGCAGAAAGAATTGGATGTATAGCGACGCAGTGTTTCAGAGCTCTAATGAGCGTGTACTCTAATGATACATCCTTGTGGGGGTTGTCGAGAGTATAGATACCTCCCACGACCAGTGTGCGATAAAATCCTAAGGCTTGACGGACAATGCAGCGACGCTCGTTAGGGCCTGCTCGAGTTAGCTGGCTGATGCCATGCGTGGATAGCGGTTCGAACCAGCTTTTCTGAGACGCTCCATTGCACTGTAAAACTTTCAAGCTGGTCGAGTTGGTTTTCGGAGGGATGAACTCAAGAAGAGAGGGAATAGCTCAGTGAGGTAGTCGTGCGTTGACCTGGGTTATCAAAAGCCGTCGGAGGCTTGGCACGCGGTCCTTCATGAGTCTCGATCTTTAGCTATTCCGATTCTCTACATCCCGGCGACGCAGTAGAAGGTGCTTCAAAGGCAACTCGTGTTCAGTAGAGCAAGTACTTTCCAACGTCCGTTCGATTTGATTTTGAGTGCACTTTCTTTCTCGGTCTGTTCCTTGGCTGTCAAGTAGAGTATCTCAGGGAACTTATCAAGAGAGCTCTCTTCCTCCTGTGGGATCGTCAATTTCTGGCTGGTTGCAGACCTACATGACAAAGTCACCAACGACGTTATCAGCTTCCGATGGGCTTGAAAGCAGTTCCGGTGGCCCCGATGGTTTTCTACTTCTTGACAATTCGAAAACCAATTCGATAAGTCCTCAGAAATCAAGGTCTGCACAAATATGTGCTCATGATGTTGATACGACTAATACATGTTGCCGATCCCTATGAGCTATATCTCCTGCTCCTTCTCGTTCTACCGTCTTGTGATTCTGCTTCTTCGCTCTCTCGAAGACTTCTTTCTCGTTCTGAAAGCATCTGACTCAGACTTTTGCGGCTCTTCTTTGTAGTTCGCTCCTCACTGGGATGCAGGAAGCGGTTGACAGTACGGTGATCAAGTACCCTTTCTTCCGTATCGTGCTTGCCTTCCTTATCTGTCTTTGGCCAGGCGTAGCCGTAGAGTTTACTATGTCTCTCGCAACGGGGACAGTTGCTGCGCGTCAACTTGGCCTCGTGTTGGATGAAGTAATCGTCACAATTGCGGCATTCCACCCAGCGCGAAATCGCGGTAGTCAACAGGCGTTTGGTCAACGTGTAATCGCCAGGCCTCCTGCGGCCGTCTGAACTATCTTCAACATCGGAGTCTGTGCCTTCGATAGTGGGTATTGGTATGGAGAGTTGCTTCCTTAGGCTTTGACGAGTTGTCATCCTGGCTGCCTTGGGTTTTCGCTGGATGACTTCACGTAAAGTGTCATCCAGTTCGTAGCTCTCGGAAAGGTCTGATAAATCCGATTCGGCAGTCAAATCATTGGTAGACGTTGGTTCGTCTACAGACGTGGGTTCGGTGGTCACCGATGATGTTTGAGAGATGTCTTCTGTGATTGAGGACGACGGGGAACTGGAGCGAGTAGACTCATAGATTCGCTTGGAAGGTCGGCCTACCTTACCGTAACGATGCTTGAGCTTGGTTCTGGGCTTGAACGAGGCTGATCTCAGGACATCACTCTCGCTATCGGTCGCGGTAGACATCACTCGCAGAGTCGAAGACGCGCCGACTTCTCTCTTAGTTGTTGTCACTTGCGGCGAGGCCTTGGATGTAGAAGAGGCGCTATCTTCTTGTTTTATGGTCGGAATTTGCGATGATGGTTTTGGTGTCAAAGACGGAACGTAAGTTTTTTGGCGCTTGGCAGAGACGGGAGTCGCGGCGGCAGGTGTCCCGTCTGGCGTGTGCTTTCTCTTGTTCTTTCCGGATGAGTGCGGCTCTGGCGTAGCAGAGGTCGGTTGATCACTGCTGTCCCGAGATGTTGCTGGTCGTTGGGACCAGCCGTTCCGTTGGAGACGCTCGCAAGTCGCGCACAGGCACTCGCAGTTATCTTCGCCAAAGTAATCTTCTCCATAAGTGACCGTGATTTCGTCACCGACCTTGATGTGTTTGGCGCTAACAATTGACATGCCGTTGTGGCTCGAGGTGATGAGTTTAGCATTGGCGTTACAATCATGGTTGGCAAAGCGTGCAGGTCCAAGAAACAAGGATGGACGCTTCTTGCGACTTGAAATGACGATACTGAAGTCGTTCATACCGATGGTCTTCTCATCCTCTTCGGACATGGCAACCTGAACGCCAGTAAGGTACTTGATGGTCTCACCTGGACGTATGGGTTTCCGGGCGACAGTTGCAGCCTCGTGGGTGGTAATGGTGTAGCGGTTGGTGGTGGTGACTTCGAAGGGACAGTCAGGGAGATAGATGTTGACATATTTCCTGAAATGATCCTGGAAATGTTTCTTCTCTTCTTTGGACGGGAGGCGATTGAGGTATCCAGCAAGAGCGGGTAACTGTAACAGGTGCTGTGCAGCAGAGGCAGCGTCCTTGTTCAAGATTACATGAGTCTGCAGGATACGTGTAACATCATCCTCCTTGATGCCGCGAAGTGCTTGGAACTTGGCGCGCAGCTTGCGAATTGTGGTCCAGTAGAACACCTGTGGGCGGTAAGTCTCCAGGCAGGAGCACTTGGTTTTGACGAGTACTCACTCGATCGACGAGTGCATCCGTGATGCGATCATCGTAGTCTATGAGTCGGGCAAGGGTGAGGCCTCCCTTTCTGGCCAGCGAATCTTCCAGGGTGGGAGTACGTGAAGGCATGTTGAGCGAGACCAAAGAAACAGGAAAATCCTCCAAGGGAGAGGGGGATGGATGGAAAGTGCGCAGCAAAGAGACAGGAAAGGAGGAGGGTCGAGTCAAGGAAAACAGAGGAATGCGCCGGACCTGACAATAGCACCCAGAAACAGACAATGAGTGCGAGGTTTCACCTGATTGACATGATGCTTTTGCTCTCGACAAAAATGCGACCAGCCGAGAGTGAAGGCTTGGAGCGGGTCACAATACAGACAACGATGACAATAGTGAAGCATGGCGGAGCGAGAACGGAGAAGAGGGCTGGGCTGGGGAGACGCGCCGGCCGGTAACACCCGTGCGAAGTTTAATCAATCTATCAATCGCGACCAGAATGGTGCATGAAGGATACCCCAACTGACTTGAACGGCCTTTTGCAAACATGATTCAGCTCAAGGTAAGTGGACTGTTTCCATTCGTCTGTCTCCACCAAGCGCTAACAACCCGTGCCCAGTCCATGCTCAACTGCATTGACAACTCGGGCGCCGCCCTTGTCGAGTGTGTCAAGGTGCTCAAGATGAAGAGAGCGGCAAAGATCGGTCAGCACGCGATGCCTTTTCCTTTATCCCGCCTGGATCTGACAACCCGAATTAGGCGACCGCATCATCGTTGTCGTCCAGAAACAGCGCAACTTTGGTCCTGAATCTGGTCCTGGAGGCAGTGTTTCCATCAGTGCCGCCAACAAAGTTCGCCGCGGCGACATCAGACACGCCGTCGTTGTTCGTACCGCAAAGAAATACCAGAGACCCGATGGCAGTGTTGTCAAGTTTGACGACAATGCTTGCGTGCTCATCAACAAGGGAGGCGAGCCCATCGGCTCAAGATTGAACGGTGTGTACCTGTGTCGCCTGCACTGTCGCATGTCGACTAACGTCATTTAGGTATCGTGGGAAGCGAGCTCCGTAACATGCAATGGTCCAAGATCCTGAGTTTGGCTCCTATGCACTTGTAAAAGACGAAAAAGCAGTGGGATTTCTGGGAGCATAGCATGGGCGTTCTAAGGCGACACACGGTTTGGGCACAGGCGAACAAGTCTGTTTTGGCAAGAAACATTGCCGTGTACGATCAAGGGGATTTTGAGATATTGCAAAAGCACCGGGCGGTTCAAGGCAGCCCGTGTAATTATGAGTAGTGCATCATATGGATCGCAAAATGCCATCTTTCATTCTTTCCGTTTCTGATCGGCGTTCCCCAGTATTTCTGGTCCATTCCATATTCTCTCTGCATCCTCAAGAAGAACCAATAACAAGCAGTTACTCCAATGCCCATGCAAGCCTCCTTGTACGCCAAAATTGCAGTCGTCATGTCGTTAAGTGGAAGTCTTGCCGCACTCGCAGCAGACATAGAACAGTTTCATACCCGTCTCGGAGTTACGTTGCTGACTTTGGAAGAAGACGGCGTCTCTTCCTCCGCATCTCGGGTTTTCGCAATCTCTCTCGACATGGGGTAGCTGAAGTTGAGGTGAGCTTGAGTGGGATAGACGGGGGTGGGCGGAAGTAGCATACTGTTGGGTCCGAGGCTACGTCGGTGACGACACCAGCAGTTTCGCGCAAGTTGTGCGAGACCTCGTTGCGATAGATGCATGTGGGACCGACGGCGGTGGGCCATTGGCAGTTGCGGCATTGGAAGATGAGCTGGTTGGTTTCTTTGTCCTCACGAGGGTAAAGCATGTTGGAGCTGGCGCAGAGAGTCAGCGGTGCGTCGTGTAGGATGGGCGATAGGGCGATTGTACCATTCGCGACAGAATCTGAACTTGATTCTGTCATTCTGGGTGACAGCCGTGTCGTCTGAGGGGGAGTCGTGTGAGGCCATGAATGTGTTTTTGGATGTAGAGCAGACGGGGTTTGCGAGGCGCGCAAAGACGGAGGTGGGATACGCGAAACGATGGTTCGAGGATGGACGGGGCGCGACGGCGGTGGTGAGAATAGATGGAGCGCAGCGAGTGTGGTGGTGTGGTGGTGGTGGCGGTGTTGGCGGTGTTGGCGATGGTGATGGCGCAGGGACTGGGAGACTGAGAGCAGGTGGTTGCTAGGGCAAGTGTCAAAGGGTCGCGAGGGCGCGCCAAGTGACGACTTCGCATTCGGCTTCGAAGCAGCAGCAGCAGCAGCAGCACCCCCGCCCGCAACAAGGCAAACAACGACCTCCAAGATCCATCTTCCCCGCGAATCTCTCCATCACAGTATTTCCTGTCAAGCCAATCCCATTCAATCACTGCGCCCATCTCGAATCATGGTAAGTCTTGCCCCGCCCACGCCTCCTCCGCTCGTCGCGCCCTCGCTCTGCCTCGAATCTCCTCGCAATCCCCCTCCCACTCTCCTCCTGCTTTGCTTCTGCTTCTGCTTATTGCGCTCGTGACTGACGATGCATTTCTCCTCAGGCTACCGGTCTTCCCAGCGGCTGGGAGGTTAGACACTCCAACTCCAAGAATCTTCCCTACTATTTCAACCCTTCCACCAAGGAGAGCAGATGGGAACCTCCTTCCGGCACCGACAGCGAGACTCTGAAGCATTATATGGGCACCTACCACAGTTCCGCCAGCCTACGACCCGACGGCCAAGGTCAACAAGAGGGCAAGATCCGTGCCTCGCATCTCCTTGTCAAGCACAGAGACTCTCGCCGTCCCTCGAGTTGGCGTGAGGCCCAAATCACTCGCTCCAAGGACGAAGCCATGACCATCATCCTCGGCCATGAAGCCAGAATCAGAAGCGGCGCAACCAGCCTTGGCGACCTAGCCACCACCGAGAGCGATTGCAGCAGCTCTAGAAAGAGGGGTGACCTGTAAGTTCTGCTACCATTCTCTGCACCATACTGCGCGCTGACCGACCTCTCCTTAGCGGTTTCTTTGGCAAGGGTGACATGCAGAAGGAGTTCGAGGATGCCGCTTTTGCTCTGAAGCCCGGCGAGGTGAGCCATGTTGTCGAGACTGCCTCCGGTCTGCACCTGATTGAACGGTAAGTTTCTTCCTGCTTTCCTTGGGCCTTGCTGACCATGTCTTTTTTCCTCCAGTCTGGAGTAGAGTTTCTGTGTTTCCATCCTTTCTGCCTCCTCGCGATATACCATCTTGGACTTGTTCTCTGCATCCGACGCCGGCCTTTATACTTGTCCGGTCTCCAGATCTTTTGTGTGTACTCGGCCGATCAAAAAAGCATCACATTCCGACTGCTCCAGCATCCATTTCAAAGTGCGGTCTTGCTCCCTATCCCAAGTGCTGCCAATTCTAGCTGTGTCGTGCTCTGATGTGCTCAGCAGACTACAATTCACCGAGCCAATCGATAAGCCTTCTGTGCTCTTTGACTTTGCCCACTGAACCATGTTTGTTTGACTATAACCTAATTGGTAACATCGCGAACGATCAAACCACAGATGAAAGACATGCTGCATCAACCGACGTCCCCTGTAGATGACTTGTCACATTTTTGCTATACATCCAAGAACGCGAGCTCTCGATACTAACTATATAATGTTTAGACATGGTTCACGCACTAATTGCTACTATAGCCGTGCACGTCGCGCTATCATCGGGTTTCACAAGCAACCCAGAAGCTGCAGCTGAAGATGTTGAACGCCAATATCCAGAACAACGGTGGTCATCCTCTGTGCATGACAGGTGACATGCAGCTGTCGTGGGATCTTGTATGCTGCAGTCTTGGGAACAATAAGCAATTCATTCAAGAGTGAGTCGGCTCGGTTTGCGTCTCGATTGTCCTGGTACACGGGCAGCTCTTGCTTTCCCTAGCCTTGGTAAGCTCCTTCCATTTCTATAAACCACGAGCTTTCCCCTCGCTCGGCATCTCCGCCTGTTTTCCCTAGCTCCATCTCATCGCCGTAATCTCCTTGTACCACGACGAACCTCTTCCTTTGGCTGCCACACCTTCACGTACCTACAACTGATGGTGTCGTCCTTTGACTATTTGCATCCACGCCAGCCCCCAATCATGACGCCTGCAATCCAACCTCGCCATCGCCGTCCCTCGTGGAGGCAATCACGCATCTCACATCGCACATAGTATGTAATCATGAGAACACGCGCTGTCTGGATAGCTTTGTTACGTACGAGCAAAATGCTCAGCGTGAATGAAGCAACGCAAACTTGCGCAAGTTCCGCTCACCTGATCCCCATGCTGACCATGTTTCGAGCCTAGAGACAGACTTCAACCGCAAGCAAGAGCATGAAATGCCTGCCGACGCCGACGCTGATACCTTCTATTACAACCCTGCTTTCATTGTGGAATGGATGCTGCCGACGAATCTCAGAGCTCGCTTGCCTGGGTGCCTCATAACTGAACTTGATGACTGGCAGGCTGCTGGAGCCGCTGTCTGCACAGCCCTGGCTCGAATTGACAAGCTGGATGTCGAGAGTCTTCATAGAGGCTGGCCGTCTAGACCTAATCTGCATCTTTCACGTACCACTTCTGACTGTTCTGCAATTGGATCGCCAGAGTCTCCAATCACCGGTCCCTTCGAGATGTCGCCTCTCCAGACACCAGCCATCCTTTCGCCACTCCGGTCAAGTTTCGACAACACTCTATCGACTAGCCCGGAAGTGGCGTCTTTCACTCCGCGAGATAGCATCATTGGAGATGAGGTTGGTTGGATCAGTACATCATTTCGTCAGAAGGCTAGTCTCGAACATGTCAACGCCATGTTGGCTACCAGAGTTCGCCGCGCCTCTGAGTCTGCGGGCTCACCATCTCCCATCATGAGCCCTATCTCCCGTCAAGACTCAAACGAAACGAACGATGGCTCCGGTCAGCAGTTCGATGAGAGCGCTTGGGATGTGTTCGTGCGATCATACGAGGCTGAGCTCGAGCATCTACGCTCTGAGACGCTGGTACGCTTTAGACATATCGGCAAGTCTGTGGATAGACTTTGGCTCGATCTCAGAAGCGAATGCGTTCATCTTGTATCTAAATCAACAGCCGAAGACTTCGTCACGTGGTGGAAGAAGATGAGGGACAAGGAACAGGAATACGAGAACGAAGTCCAGATGCTTGAACCGCCTCAAATTGAGGCAGTGAGTCACCAACGCATCACTCAAGGGCTGACGGTTTGAACATGGTTCTAACGGTCTCGCAAGGATCTACGTATTTGACGTCTGCAGGTGTGCTCTATTAGTGCGCTCCATGTACTCATATGTTGTCAGCAGAGATTGAGGCGGATTGTGGACTGTGGGTTGCGAAGACTCAACAACAATCAATGACAGCGGGCTGTTCGTGTGTGGTACTAGAAGAATCGAAGTGGCTGTGACCATCCTAATAACGAATTACTACCTATCTTGTCGTCGATCATACCGGGCATCAACACTAAGCATGCTGCCAGAGTGACCCTGGCCTCTAATTGATGGCCTCGTCTCCCGTCGTGCAGCCGTCGTTCCTGGCGGAGTAAATAATTGCTCCGAAGTATTCAATCATTGCTACACCTTTCGTGATGTGTGGCTGTGATCATACGATGAGGCATATGTGCTTAGCCTTGCGCGGTTAGCCGATGCATGCACCTTTTCACCTCCTCCCGTGGTCTTCTATCGAGAAGAAGTTTCGGGTGAACCCTGCACTGCGAACATCACAAATCCTACTCAATTCGATTGACGGAGGTTGGAAACAATATGCTTACGAGATTCAGGGTAACATATTGCGCGCAACATGATGTCAGGACAGACGACAAATCCAAGACCATATCGGAACCACTACGACATCATTGTGGTCCGATCTGGCGGGGCTGGCCTGACAGCAGCACTTCCGGCCCACGTCTCCAGCCGCAACCTACGGATCTTGATAGTTGACAAAGTACCACTTGAATAGAGAGGAGGTAACAGATAATCTAGAATTGCTGCCTATCGCACCGGGCATCACGGCTTGGACTCTATCCTACCGCTGGTCTCGAACGTCCCCACGGAACGAAAGGACAAAATTGATCTGGCGCCTTATACAGCCGAACATTTCCACCATGACCTGCAGCGTCGGACGGAAGTTCGCAGCGACAAAGAGCTGGGTGCTGTACTTGTGGCCGTACAATGGCTCAAGTGCCACGGAAATATGGAGTGGTGGCTTAGCTTCCATCGTCAGGCGTACGAGGTGGACGGAAGGTGGTAGTTCCGGGGTGGTCTGGCTCTAACTGTGAAAGATGGCGGTGAAGGGTTGATCAAGAATTCATCAAAAGCTGTCACAGCCTAGGGCATGGTCATCATGTTTGACACAAAGGTCAAGAGATTGCTTCTGGATGGTGGTGGTGGCATCGCAGGAGGGGAAGCCACGCACTTGAACAAGGGCGATTCCATATCTCATTTATATGCCCCCAGCGTCATACTCTGCGCAGGTGGACTTGAAGCAAACCGAGAACCGAGAAAGGTTTTCATGGGACCAGAGCAGGAACCGGCACACGTATGCTACACACCTTAAAACACAGGAGACATACTTTTCGCGGCTCTGGACCTGGATGCTCAAAGAGCCGGAGATTCCAGCCATACTGGTTGCCAAAGTGTCGGCTGGGACGCAGATTCACCTCCCGACAGTAGTGACAGAGACAAAACTGACGAGTTCGCCAAAAGCGGGTATCCGCTGGGTCTCATGCTCAACATTCGCGGCCAACGGTTTGTCGACGAAGGCTTCGAGCTTCGCAATTACATTTATGCCAAGTTTGGCAGAGCGATACTCGAGCAACCGCAAGGAATAGCATATCAGGTTTGGGATGCCGACACCGTTGACTGGTTGCGTGAGGAGGAGTACCGTGACGACATTGTTCGAAAAATCCGAACGCAGAGAGCCTTGAATGGTCGGCACAGAAGCTCTCAGCAGAGGGACTTACAGATCCACACACGTTCACGGGAACAACTAACCACTACAACGCAGCGGTGCATGCACACCGAGATGAGCATCAGGATGTGAAGTTAGACCCCTCAGTCAAGGACGAATTCTCGACGCGGTCATCTCGGATGGCGTTAGAGCTGCCCAAATCAAACTGGGCGTTGCCTGTTGAAAAGAGACCTTTTACAGCCGTTCGAGTAACTTCGGGTATAACCCTTCGTTTGGAGGATTGGCAGTTGAGTCCAGTACGGCAAATGTAGTGAGGAATGATGGATTTCCTATTGAGGGATTGTTTGCAGCAGGAGAGATGGTAGGCGGACTGGTTTATGCGAACTATCCTGAAGGTAAGGGAGCTAAGATGACGAGGTCTGGCATGATAAAACTGACGTGGAAAGCAGGTAGCGGATGGACGGCCGGTGCAGTGTTCGGAAGGAGAGCAAGCGTTGCTGGAGCCAAACGGGCACAACAGCAATTAAAGAGAAATGGGGTCAAGCTGTAAGCTTTGTTATGGTGGGGTTTGTTTATAGCTGATGCATACGGAGATCGCATGAATATACGGAGACTCTACGGAAACTGGTCATCATGGGGCAAGAAAATCAGGTGGCAGGAGACTGCCGGCAGAGGCAGACTGGGACAGGAGCTGCAGGAACACGTGAATAGCTGGGCAACCATATACAAGATGTTGACAAGGGTCGCGTAGCATCATTTGCACAAAGCAGCAAGCGGCGGTCGATTTGGCGGTCGGCCAGACAATTTGACTACGGGCTAGCGCACGGGAGCCAAGCGCACGGACGAGAGCGTGCTTGGCACCAGCCATCGCCCATCTTCCAAACATACATCGTCCATTGCTTCGACCTTGATCTGCGACCGCACGACGACCCACGGCGACTTGATTCCGCTTGCTTCGCCCCGCTCCGCTCTGCCCGTCCGATCCTCGTCGTCGCCGTGCTCCAAACTCCCTGGACTCTGTCGCCTGGCTTCGTCGAGACTTGTCGAGTGTTAAGCGCCTGCATTTGCTGCTCCTGCACCTGCTCTGCCTCTCTGCCGTCCGCGACTCCGCCAAGTCACTCTTTCACTCTGCTTGCCCACGACTCGACGTTCTTTATTCTCAACACAACCCGCTCAAATACCCCCTCTACACTGCCTTTGCGCATCAAGAAGTTACGACAGATTAATTCACTCCTGTGTAAGTCCTGCCGTCTCTCCGCACCCGCGTCGGCGAGTCCTTCTGACGTATGCAGTTATGGCCGAACCTCGACAGACTTCACTCCAACCCCCCGATTCTCCCCGTACCACAGCCGAGAGCACCAATAGCGCAGCCACTGCAGTTCCTCCTTCAGCCTCGCCGAACAACCACGATTATTCATCTGTCGCTACTCCTGGCCAGCCCCTCGTCACACCCCGTCGCTCAAAACGCAGCCTACGCTCACGTGCCCGTACCGGAAGCAACGCAAGCAGCAAACGATCTCACCGCGCTCGTCCATCAATGAGTGAGAAGCCTACCCGCCCGCTCTCCGGAGCCACCACCCAGTCCAATGCCGCCCGTCCCAAGAAGAAATCGAAGTTTCTGTCTTTCTTGAACTGCTGTGGCTCTGACGATGCCCACGAAAACGACCAAGATGTGCCGTCTCGCCAGTCAGTGCCTGCGCAGCCCTCCCAAGTCGACCAACAACCGTCAACGAACTCCAACCCTACCATGCAGTCTGTGGACACCATTGACGAGAAACCGGCCACAACCTCCTACCCTGCTGAACAGAGCGGTCCTTCGGCCCATGCAGAGAACGAAAAGACAGCCTTGCCACCCCAAAGTCAATCCGAGTCCAGGACAGAGGGTGTCGCTGCACCTCCTCAAATAGCGACCGATGTGCCTCCTACCGGGTCTGTGGATGGCCAAGGTCCGCCAGTACAAGGCTCTTCGGACCAGTCTTACCTGAGTCAACCCGATGTTATTGTCCAGGCTCCTACTCCTATCGCGACGACTGCAGACGAAGATCTTATGATTGCCGACCGCACCCCGGAACAACAGGCTAGAGATACGGACATCGAAATGACGGATGTCGGTCCTTCACTTCCACTCTCGGCAAATGATGTCTCAGGCACATCCGAAGATGAAGGCCATGTCTCCGCTCGCCGTGAGTCAGGCTCACGGGTCGACCTGCCTCCGCCCCCACCTCTGGTGGAGCGCCAGGCCCAAGTGGCACACCCCAACACATCCAGCCATGACACATCATCAGTCCCCAGCCCCGAGCCTCAGAAGTGGCTATTGCCATCTGTCAGACCGGAGCACAGGGGTAGAAAATGCCTGATTCTGGACCTCGATGAAACTCTTGTCCACAGCAGCTTCAAGGTTAGTCAGGATCTTGACACCAATGGACATCAGAATACTGACCACACGTAACAGACCTTGCACCAGGCCGACTTTACTATTCCCGTAGAAATAGAAGGTCAATACCATAATGTCTATGTTATCAAACGACCAGGGGTCGACGCTTTCATGAAGAGGGTTGGAGAGTTGTACGAAGTCGTCGTGTTCACTGCTTCAGTCTCAAAGGTATGTCACTGATCAGTTGTTGCTGCGGCGAGCGCTTCAGAGACTGACACAATTTGCAGTACGGAGATCCGCTGCTCGACCAGCTAGACATTCACAACGTGGTCCACCACAGGCTGTTCCGCGAAAGCTGCTACAATCATCAAGGTAACTACGTCAAGGATCTCTCGCAAGTTGGTCGCGATCTCAAGGAGACAATCATCATCGACAATTCACCCACGTCATACATTTTCCATCCACAGCACGCCGTGCCCATCAGCAGTTGGTTCTCTGACGCTCACGACAACGAACTCTTGGACCTCATCCCGGTGCTGGAAGATCTTGCAGGACCCCAAGTCAGCGACGTCAGCCTAGTGCTTGATGTCGCACTCTGATGCGACCAAGAATATAGCCAGAAAAAACACAGAAAGAGAGCATATGTCAAGGCGTTGGATGGCGCAGGACGTGCGATGATGTGCAGGGTGAGGCGCAGCTCACCCACTGTACAAAAGTAAGAAGCCTCCTCCCTCTGGCGGGACTGGGGGAGATGAAGCTGTGGAAGAAGAATAATTTCGTTTCTCTTTTCTTTTTTTTTGACCTGTTCCAGAGGATAATTGATTGGTGGAAGTTGTTGGGTAGGAGTGACGGGCACAAGGTTCTTCTTTTTTCTCTTCATACCTGTGTGCGGATAAGTTTTTTGTTTTCATTTGTTTAATTGCTGTCGGGACCCGCTGAAGCATAGCAGGCACGTCAGCAGGAAATCGACGGCGGCAGGCAAGCAGCAGAGGCTGTAGGCAGAGAGGCGCAATACCCCCCTTACACTTTGATCTTTCTCCTTTGGCTATTGTCGTTGTCTCTTTTATTACTTGTTCTTTTAACACAACTTCTTTTCAACCTTGCTTCTCCACTTTGGTTGCAATCGCTCGTGACTAGACAGATGGCAGGAATGAAGCGGAGAGTGAGTGCCATAGGACCACGAGTACAGTAATGGTGATCAAAGGGAATATATTTTCGAGGTGGTTGATCGGGCTGTATCTGCGGCGGACGGACATCTTGGCGGTCGACGGGAGTGCGGCGTCGGTGATTGCATGTTTTCAAGGGCCAGCAGTTGAAGCATAATTATTTGTTTGCCAACCACATTTACAACACGATAATGTCGCTCTCAATACCGAATGCGCCCAACAGCGGCCTATTCAAGGCTGGCTACCAGAAGTGAGTTCTTCTCCCCGTAAGCATGCCGCCGAGCAGCAGTCCACCGGCAGAGCTCAGACGGAGCTTACGGCGGCGCCTGGCACAAGTACAAGTACAGGCAGAGGCAGACGACTGACAGACATGCAGCTACGATGCCGAAGACGGCGCAGTTGTGCGCAACATCGACGCATGCCGAACCATCTCAGACACGGTGGCCACGTCGCTAGGCCCCTACGGACGCAACAAGATTGTCATCAACCACTTGCAGAAGATGATCCTCACGTCGGACGCCGCCACCATCCTCCGAGAACTCGAAGTCGTCCACCCTGCCGCCAAGCTGCTGGTCATGGCCAGTCAACAGCAAGAAGCCGAGATGGGCGATGCTACAAACATGGTCATCGTGCTGGCCGGTGAACTGCTCAAGAAGGCCGAGGAGCTGTTGCGCATGGGCCTCAAGACCAGCGACATTGTCGTTGGTTACGAGCGTGCCGGTCAGGAGGCCTTGAGGGTCCTGGAAGAACTCGAGGTCGACCGTGTCAAGGATATGCGCGACCAGGAGGAGCTGTCCAAGGCACTGCGCACCGTCATTGCTGCCAAACAGTCGGGCCACGAGGACGTCCTGGCCAACTTGGTCGCCGAGGCTGTGCTCGCTGTCCTGCCCAAGAACACCTTCAACTTCAACGTCGACAACGTCCGTGTCGTCAAGATCATGGGAGGCTCGATTGAGCAGTCGCGCGTCGTCAAGGGTATGGTCTTCGGTCGTGAGCCCGAGGGTACCGTCAAGAATGTCCAAAAGGCAAAGGTCGGAGTCTTCAGCTGTCCCATCGACATTGCACAAACAGAGACCAAGGGCACCGTCTTGCTCAAGAACGCCCAGGAAATGCTCGACTTCACCAAGGGCGAGGAATCACAAATCGACCAGGCCATCAAGGAGCTACACGATTCAGGCGTCCGCGTCGTTGTTGCCGGAAACTCGGTCGGCGAGCTGCCCATGCACTACCTGAACCGCTACGGCATTCTCGTCATCAAGATCATGTCCAAGTTCGAGCTCCGCCGTCTCTGTAGAGTCGTCGGTGCCACTCCTCTTGCCCGCCTCGGTGCCCCTATGCCCGACGAGATGGGTGCTGTCGACATTGTTGAGACCATCGAGATTGGTGGTGACCGTGTCACCGTCTTCCGTCAGGAAAATGACACCACCCGCACCGCCACCCTGGTCCTCCGGGGTGCTACTCAAAACCACCTTGAAGATGTTGAGCGTGCTGTTGACGATGGTGTCAATGTGGTCAAGGCCATCACCAGAGATGCCCGCCTTGTACCCGGCGCCGGCGCCGCTGAAATGCAACTCGTCGAGCGCATTTCCGCTTTTGCAGACAAGACCTCTGGCCTCTCGCAATACGCCATTCGCAAGTACGCAGAGGCCTTCGAAGTCGTACCTCGTCTTTTGGCAGAGAGCGCCGGTCTCGATGCCACTGAGATTCTCGCCTCGCTCTACACTGCCCACAGCGACAAGTCGTCAAAGGACAACAGCGTCTGTGGCGCTGGTGTCGACATTGAAAACAACAACGGCGATGGTGTGCTCGATGCTCAGGAGGAGGGCATCCTCGATCTTATGGTTACCAAGCAATGGGCCATCAAGCTCGCTACCGAGTCCGCAAGAACAGTCCTGAGTGTCGACCAGATCATTGTTGCCCGCCAGGCCGGTGGCCCCAAGCCGCCGGGTCCTAACCCCAATTGGGATGAGGACTGAGAGGTCCAACCACAACGAGCACCCGCGACGTTCGGCCATGAGGACTGATCAGCGGCAATGCCCGCCCGTGATGTTGACGAAGGAGGCTGAGACGGGACCAGCTTGACAGGACAGCTGTAACGTGCAGACAGAAAAGATAATGAGCCACCGCGAAGGAGAGCTCAATGCATTGTATGTCAGTCAAGAGAAAGACTGGACCAAAATAATCTCACAAAGTCCATCATCAAAATTCTTTGACGACCACGAATACCAAACAACACTTGAAGATGCTCAAAATGACAAATTTCTACATTCGTATATACGTGACTATCTTACAAGTGGTGATTGCTCGCTAGCTCTTAAAAATACTGGAGTATACCGTAACCCCTCGTGAACTCCTCGATGACACCAGGTTTACAATTGCCGTGTGACAAAACCTTCCATCTTTCAATGCGAACTCCAGCTCATGCGTACTGTAAAAATGTGGCTGATGCTCCCAAGACCTTTGTTATTTCGCAACATTTGCTCTCTGCCTCCTCGTCCGTCGCAGGTCTGCATCCAGAGTCCTTACCCTTCTCGCTTCACGTGCCGGCCGAGACCCAACGATGCGCCACGTGGTTCTCCGGCGCTTGGTATCACGAAGAGACCGTCCCCATAGTGCCGGATCGACCACATCTTGATGCATCCGAGGCGCTTTGAACTCTTCCTCGGATCTGGCGAGCTTGGTCATGATCCGCACGAGTCGATTGCCCAGATGCGAGGCACGTCTGATCTGCGCCACTTGCTTCGCTCTGCATACGTCTTGGTAGTAGCTCAGCATCTTGCTTACTTTGAGGTGATTCAAACCCCTGATATCTCTATCATGTGATCGTTGTTCAGAGTGTTTATGTGCTTTGCGAATGACAGTCAGGAAGGCGTAGTCGATGCGAAGATTGTGGTCCAGGACTTCCTTGATGACCCATTCGATACCTGAGCTGTGCATTAATTTAATATATGCCTGTAGCAGTACAGTCATGGCTGGTAAATCAAAAGGTATTCTCTTGCCCCATTTTGAGTGGAAGACTGTAGAAAGCAGAAGGATCGCGTCATTCGTCTTGCCACTACGAAGCAGGGCTGTCGCTGCCGCCGTGGCGAGATGATGTTTGATGGAGACGCTGTTCCCGGCCATTTTTTCGTAAATTGACAGTACAGTATTGCAAAGCTCGTCGATATGCAATGGTGTGCCTGATGCAGAATGTCGGATTTGATGGACAAGTAATGGAATCAATGCCGCTGTAGTGTTCAAACCGGCTTTGTTGGCAGTGTCGATGCGATCTTCGGGTGATACAGCTTGGTCTGGCAGCTTCATGTGAGCCTGAATCGCCATCTCCAGAGAGTACGATGATGCGGGCAGACCGCTTTGGCCAAGACAGCTGTCATACATTTTCAAAACATCAGAATGTCGTCCTTCTGACAAAGCAATGAGCATATTGTTCTCGTTCCACATTTTCTCCAAAGCGGCTGTAGAAAGGGCAATATTCGGAAGTTCGTCCAAGGATGCATCATCATCCAGCAGAAAATCGTCATGATACTCTGGAAAGTCTTGTACCTGTGATTGCTCATTGATCGGTTCTTGTGGTTCCAGGTGTAAACGCTGCATGTCTTCCTGAAATCCGTCCATACGCCGGCGCATCTCGTTCCAACGTAGAGGTTTCGGCAAAACTGGCGACTTCGGGTCAACGGCTTGCAATTTCTCAAGCACGAGCATTGTCTGAAGTTTTCTATCAGGATGTCTCGATCGATAACCCCGAAGATCATACGATGCAGCTTCACACAACAAAGCAAGGAGGCCTTCAGACCAGTACTCTGGCACGCCCTTCAGCAAGTTCTGGCAGAGCCACAGCAGAACGGTATGAGAGGGTCTGAGGTCGAAATAGAACTGCCGCATCATAACCAAAGCTGTTTCCGAAGTGACCTCGACTTTTTGGCCATAGGTCTTCATCTTATTGACCCAGGCGGGTATTAGGGTCAGGCGACCAGTCTTGACAAGATTCCTGGTGGCGGTGTTCAGAATGCGTTTGTCGGGAAGAATACCATATTCCTCAATAGCCTTGAAGACGAAGGTCCAAGTCTCCTCGGGCGTATGAAGCTTGGCGTACGCTTCTAATACAGGGATAAACATGTCCGTACGCCCTTCTAAGGGCGCCTCTGCCTCTCCAGCGCGGGTCAGCATAGCCATCAGGTCATCTACGGCCGGCCAATCAGCAGACGACGTGGTCAAAAGTACGAAGTGGCCAAAGGTAACAATGTCGGGACTGAGATGTGAGGTTTGCTGGATACTGCGAAGACGGTGGTGAGCTTGATCGACATTGCCAGATTTGATACAGACGTAAATCATGGAGTTGAAGAGAGCGAGCGGCGGGCTCTCTGCTAGGTGGCACATGTCCCGGAAGAGCGAGTCGACAAGCTTGTAGTTATGAGTCTTGGACCACATGTGTTCAAGAATGGCGGACCAGGCAGATTCACAGAGAGGCAGCACCGAAGGCCGATCCGATTTGGATATGTGTTTGCCGAACAGCAAAGCGCAGACTTCGGAATTGTGAGTCGAGTATGCTGCACAGAAAGCAGGATAGGTGGCCCTAGGAAAGAGCATGTCGTGGCCGTAGTTTTCGTAAAGCCAAATGAGGAGGGACGGATGACCAGCAGCAGCAGCAACGAGAGCCAGACTGTGCATACAGTCAGTCAAATCAGCGGCGGTATATCCGGATTTTGACATGCGGGTCAATAGCTTGCAGCAAAGCGTGTACTCATTCTTGTTTAAGAGTGAGTGGAATAGGCGACTGACTGCAGACAGCGCGTAGATGGTTGGCGTCCCGTGGCGCTGGAGAGCGCAGAAAGCGTCCCAAAAGTCGTACAGGGCAGCACCAGGTCGGCCTACCTGTAACCAGGCTGAACAGTGATTGTCAAGCTGGGCCAAGGCGGTGCCAAAGTCATGCTTTTCAAGGGCGGCCATGAACGAGGGGCGGTCGAAGACTTGACGAGGTGGGTTCCTTGACAGAGGATGCGCATGTCGCTGGGACTGGTTGTCTTTGGAATGCTTCTTGAAGGGCGGTCGGTGCGAGTCGAGTTTGGCGTATCCGCGCTCGACCTCGGAGGGCAAAAGGTTGTTGCGAAAGGCGTCTGGCTGTGGGGCTGGCTTCTCGTGTGGTGGACCACGGGACATGTCGTCGTCGACAGGCGCATTCGAGGTGGCCTTCGAGAGGGCATGACTGTGGGATTGGGCCGTGTCGTCTGTGGCTCTGCGTCGAGCGGCACGAGCATGGGTGTGGGCATGGGTGTGGGCATGCTGGTAGCGGGGGTGTTGTTTCAAGCGGCGCGAATTGTCTGCTATCTTGGACACGAGCGTAGTCTGGCGGCGGCGCTCCTCTGCTATGACGGCCGCTGCACCACATGCCGTGCCCGACGAGATGTAGGCCAGCTGCCGCAGCACTCGGAGCGCTCCCTCTGATGGCACTCGTCTACGGCTTCTGAACATGGCAAGTCCATGGTTGCCTCAATTCGCGCTCATCCTTGTTCGTCGAATTGCCACGCTTCAATTGTGACTTGGATCGCCTGATAATAATTTATTGACTTGCCCCGGCCATCGGACCCTCAATGCCTGCCGCTGTCCGCTTCTTCTTGGCGCCGCTCACCACTTGGCACTCACCACCGCCCACTTGCTAGAGTACTACCGACTTTTCCAATCCTCAAAGACATACAGTCGCCATGCACCAGCGCCCTCGGCAATTCTGCACTCATCTAGCCCGTGTCCCCTTCGACAGAGCCTCTGCAACTGCTTCGCCTGCTCCTTGCATCTGTGCCTGTTATCCATGCCTCGAGTACAGCGGTCCTAGCATCTTCCAGCTCCATTCCGCAATTCCATCTACTTGTTTGATATCCTGTATCCACTCCAGCATCAACGTCGTCGTCTGCTCCAGATCCTTCCGGTTCACTCTCTCGTTACAAATCTTCTTCAAGCATTCGTTCTCTGTCGTCATGCGTAGGATGAGAAGTATGCCCACGAAATTTTGTGTCCATGTGAAAAGGTGCGGCACCAAGCGTTTCTTGTTTTTGGGCGGCGCTAGTATCAGTGGCCAGAGACAGGCTGATTGTATCGCAAGAGCACAGCATATTTGGTCCTCTTCCGTCATTAGCTCAGGGAAGTGCAGCGCCTTGTACACAAACGGCCGGTAAATCATAAATCGTGCATAGTAGAACTGCGTCCTTAATTGCGCTGTCATGATGTCCAGATTGTCTCGGTGGTTGATTGGAACAGAACCTTGGTCCATCGAGAAGAGTGAGTCCGTGCCTTGTCGACTTGCCGAGCCCATGTTTGGAAATTCCGTCTTGTCGTTGTCCGACCACTGTAAAGGTCGAGGAAGCAGTGAACGCCACGATTCCAGCTGTCGAGCCAGTTCCTTTATTACATGCACTGGCGGTCCGCCGTAATCCTCAGAGAGCTCGGCCGTCGCGTTAGATGCTGTTAACGATTAGCCCTTGTCATCACCTTCACCAAGCTAGTTACTCACAGCAATGTATCGACTCGTGTATCCGCGCAACCAGCCTGCGCAAAGCGATCATTGCCAGAAAATGGTACTGGAAATGTGACTTCTCGTCCGAAGGGTTGCCGTAGTTGCTTTCCGAGCCGTGGAAGTAAGGGAGCGGTACTTGATCCTCCAAAGTATGAATGCCTGTTTGCGAAAGATCCAGCTCGAGATGGTACATGCTGCTAAACGTCAGTATCAGCGGAATACTAATGGCGTGCAAGAGATTCCTTACTCCTCACTAAGCATACACGCCCAGTACGCACGCTTGATGAGATCTGCCCTTGGAGTAGACCAGTCGATGGATTCACTATAGTTTCATGAGCCCAAATATAAGACCCGCATCGGAAGTGGCATACCATTTGATCAGGATCTGGCAAGAAGTAGACGCCGCAACCGTGGCTCGCCAGAAATCCTGTGGAGACATGTCAACAGGTTTTCCGTGAATTTCTCCAAAATTTATGCTTACCATGTGTCGAGCGCAGGCTTCATAGTATGCGCTGTAGCAGGCGTCAGTAGTGGACACGATGAAGAGCGTAGCACTCACGATTCGAGCAGATGTATCTGAACGTTTTCAAGTGTGCACTGATGCATGATGAATCCCATGCGCCTTCGTGCCTCGTTGAAAAGATTTAGTCCTGGAGGTCGTTCTGCTGTACCACCACGCAAGCCACTAGGGTTCCCCTCGATTATACTGATCGGTGAGCCGTAAACACCGTCGATGGCGGTCTGACCAAGAGCCAAGACAAGCAGCACAAGACATCCTTGAGGATCACAGTCTGCAAAACCGTTCCTCAAGACCGGTTCGAGAATGTCTTCAAGGAACATCTGTCTATCCAGGATCGGAAACAGTATGTTGAAGGTGCTGAAATATGCATCGCTCATCCGCCTCACATTCTCCGGTGTAAGACCAATGAAGCCAGCTCTCATTTCCCCTGTGCTACTGGGCATCGGATAGGTTCGCATATCGGTATCCCAAGGTAACGTCTTGGGATGTTTGTGTAACTCGAGGTGGATGAACCACGGTGTGCCCTCTTGAAGCACGTACTGCAGATCCGAGGCCACAGCAATTCCGGAATTCAAGATGTGCAAGTATATTGATGGCCAAAGCAAGACCTTGTGAGCCACAGTCAAGTGTTGATAAGTGCGTAGAACGTCCGGAGGAAATGATGATTGAGACCCGATACGAGCTCCTGGGCGTAATTCGCTATCGGAGGATACATGAGATTCATTTGAAGCGCCCAAAGTCCCATTTACTCCTGGCGGACGTGTTCCAGACTGTACTGCGCCCCAATCGACATTGCTTCCGGGAGTTGAAGGTTTTGAGACATAGAGAGTGTCAAATTTGTTCTCGAGCCGTTGCAAAGTTTGGAGAATGTAGACCATGGTCTTGTCCTTTCTGTGCACAGAAGAGTTTAGCAACAAGCAGTCACCCGGTTCGGAAGCTAGACATACTTTGTGGGTTGAGGCTCGCGATATACGCACTCAACACTGAGCCGTCTACAGAGACCACACTTGGGTCTTTGCTCGTCACATTTGGATTTTCTGTTCAGCAAAAGAGTTTGTATTAGTAAAGAACAGAGGCACACGATGTAGAATCTGTGTGGCCTTACCGACTTCGACAAGTTTGACAGGCTTGCGCTGCTATGACGGCACGTTCCCTCCGCAAGGACATGTCAGTCCTGTCATCGCCTTCGGCATCCATGGGCAGAAAGATGCTCTTGGAGTAGCACTATGAATCTTCGCAGAGCCGCAGCGACTAGGCAGCCGAGAGGAAAAAGGTTGAAGGTGGTCAGTCGGTGGTCGACGTTGTGGTCGCCAGCGCCACGCCGGGGTGAAAAGGTCGGAAAGTACTTGTTCACGAGCCGATACGTGACAAACCTCGGAGATGGGGTTGTTCACGTAGAATCTGCAGATCCACGAGCAGAAGATGACCCACCGGAGGACTGCGACAAAGCTCAGAAGCTAGCACATTCACAGCAGTTGGTCCTACAGCAATGGCGTGCAACTTGCAAGAAACACGGCTTAAACAAAATCACAGCAAGAATGACGCGCGAAGGATTCCCAATGTGGACAATGTAGCGTAAACGTTTGATCGGGGATTTACGTGTACTCATGCTCCATTGGCATGGTGCCATGGCCCATGGGTAATGCCGCCGCTTATCAGCAACTGAGAAGTCTACATGGCTGCACCTGCGTGAGCTGCGAAGATGGCATTTGCACACCCGCCCATGGCAAACTGACACGCTTCCCAATCTCCCAACCCCTTCTGCACCGAAAAAGCCCGTCTGTCGGATTCAGAGCTCGCCGTGACTCCCTCGCTGTATCAGCTTCCACGCTCGTTCCCCACCTACCCGCATACCGGGTAAAGATAGCTCTCCCAGGCACAAGAGCACATGGTACTCGACGCCTCTCGCCTAATTCCCCGGCCACCGATTGGACTGACCATTCCGCATCAGACCAGCAACACTCCTGGACTGAAGCCTGCGTATGAGCAACATCCTCAATTGCCTGGCCACGGCCCCCGCATTGATGCCTATGCCTGGAGAAGCTGAAGCTGTCATGCGAGAGGATAAGGTCGATACGCTGTCGCAACCTGCCAACTCAGCTGCCTCGGCTCCCTCGAATCAATCGCCCAGTCCGCGCCCTGCCGAAGGCCGCCAGGCTTCACGTCGCAGAAGTCTCGAGGTCGTCGCCGAGGCTCAAGGCGATGTAGAGAGCTTCGTGAGAGAGCTCGATCAAAAACGGCGTCAGCTCGACGACCAGATCCACAAGTTCATCGCCCAGAAAGAGAGGGAATTCAAGCTATATGAACGCGAGTTACGCACCCGCTATCGCACGCCGTCTACGCCTCCTCTACAGACGCCTGGGACCGCCTCGCCCGCGGCCACTGCTGCTGACAAGCCTGCAGATGCTGCTCCCGCCAAAGGAGAATCGGGAAACACGATCGAAAAGGGCCACGAACGGGAGAGTGAGCTTCTAGGTCTCTTCACTCCTGCCTACCTCCCCCTGCTAGAAAGCAGACCCCCTGCTCCTGGTCGGTCACCGTCTGCACCAACCCTGCATGATACAGGCGAATCCACAACCATTGGGCCTGATCGCCAGGCTCTCCAACGCGCCAACACCGATCCCGCTGTTGACAGCAAGTCTCCGTCATCCAGGCTAGGCCTGGGCCCCAGAACTCCATCCTCCGGCTCCGATCCAGGGAGAAGTCTTGTGTCTGCACTGAAGTCGCCCTCGGCTGGTCCAAGGCTCTCCAACAAAAAGCGCGTGTCACTCATAGTGGGCGATGCAGTTGTTGCGCCGAGCGATAACGTCGTTTCGGGGACCGAAAGGGATCCGGAGCGTTCTTCGGATGGTGATCCTGGCGCACAACACATCGAACCACAAGCACCTGCTCAAGCTCTGCAAGTTGAGACGCGTGAACAAGCACCCCAGAAGTTGCCTTCTCTAGACACTATTGAATCTACCGCCCAACAAAGTCCCCAGGCCAGCGCTTTTCCAGGAGGATTAAGTCTCGGTTTCGCCTCAGCTGCTCGTGACACCAGCATGCCAAAGGAGCTTTTGCAAACCAACATCATATCCGAAGGTGACCTCGAGCTTGCGTCGCCGTTTTCCATGGATGAAGAGTTCGAGAACCCCAGTCCTTCAGAAATGTATACCACTCAAATAGAGGACATCGATGCAGACATCGATTCTGGCCTCGACTCAGAATCAACCTTACGTGCAGCAAGTCCTGCCAGTCCAGGAGATGGAGACATATCACCGGCCGACCATTTGCCCAGTCTTGATGTTCCTATTGCAAGCCTTGGAACCTCGTCCTCCTCATCTGCTCAGCCAATCTCACCGGGCTTCTCAAGACCTTCCGTGCGTGAAGACCCTCAGCTAGACTTTAGCGAACAAACACCAGAGGAATTGCCAGCTCAAGGTTCACTATACGGCTCTTTTTCAAGGCCGAGCTATAGCAAGCAGCAAACGAGTGGCAGCTTGGGAGAATCATTTATGCAAAAGAATGCTGAGAAGTTGATGCGACGCAGGCAATCAACCCAGCGATCCTAAAGATACACAACCCGTTTAGCATGATTAGAAACTTGTATCCGATGTAATGATTAGCGCGCGTCGCTTCCTTCTGTGCCATTAGTCTATCGTTCATGACCAAGTTCTGTGAGCATCTCCGAACGTCCATCTCGGCTTCAGAAAGCTGCACTACCCAACAATTTTTCAAAAGCCTCATCCTCCAAGGTCACATATGAAGTGATTTCACGAAGCACGCAGCATGCAGAGAACTTGGCTTCTCTCGATCTTAGTCGTTGATTGATGGCTACAACGGCTTGCTCAAAGCCTTTGGCTCTATTTCCCCAAAGCTATGTGTCCCTCAACCATTCCTCGCCATTTTGCCTGAATCACTCCGGTCCAAGAGGGTCTTCAGAAGCCGCCAAATTACATTGTCTGAAGATACGAACCTCCGTGGGCAAGAACGACCCTGTCACGGAATGTATGACTGACCAATTGTCGAAGATTGCGAGGTCGCCTTCATCCCAGTTAATGGCGTGTACAAGTTCTGGAGCAATTCCAGGCCTTTGGAGCCTATGAACGATGTCTCTGACCTTTTCGAGGTCGCTGATAACAGTGCCATCGGCAAGATGAAGCTTCTCAACTGCAGAAGGGTGAATCTGCAAAGCGAGACGTCCAGTCACGGGGTTTCGCCAACACATGGGCAATATCTTGATCTTGGACTCATCGATTGGGGGTAGCTCTTCTCGCGAGAGTTCAAGGCCGTCTGAGACCAAACCAAGACCATCGCTTCTTGATCGTGCGGGACTCATCCAGATGTATGGGTGAGCTGCGTACTGCACTTTTGTTGTGCGGGCGAACTCCTTGTCGGCTTCTGAGAGAAGATCGTAGGTACGACGTGAGCTCACGAACGCTGTGCTTCCGCGAGGCACTCTCATCTCGTCGTTACTTCTGTCATCGTATCTGAGAGTCTGATACTCGGTCTTTGGGACACTGACGGCCATGAGGCTGGTGACTTTGGGTGGAGACAGATCATATAGTGCCGCGTCTATGTGCCAGCGGTAAAATCTCGTTGCCTCTCGGTCATCGGCCTCACTAATTGGTGTCTTGTGGAACGTCTTGTGATGAGGGTGCTTGAGTGTGATGTTCTTCAATCCTTCGAACTCGGCGATCGGACCGTTTCCAATGACCTGCACCTGTGGCTGGTGGGGGATTGTCTTAAGATCTGGGTGAAGTACAGATCGCTTAGCATCAATCGTTTTTCCATGTCCATAAGATCCAGCGGAGGGGTCGAACTTTTGAGTGAGTTCGAACTGAGCCTTGGGTGAGAGTGATTGCTGGTTTTTGAACAGAACAACGCTGTGTTCATATAAGGCGTTTCTGATGATTTCAAAATCTTGCTCTGTGACGCGGCATCGTGTTAGTTTGATGGTGTTCACAACGTACAGAGGGAATAAGATGCTTACCCGAGAGGTTCTCCAGATCTGCTCCTCTGACCTCAGCACCGAAATCAATCTTCGATCCCTTTGGTGGTTGGATCTTATGTACTGATATGTTGTTGATTTTGACTGCCATTGTGGCGTACAAACAGGACTGAGAATACTTGAAGGTAGTGTTTGATTGTGACAAGAATTTCAAGGGACTTTGGAAGGCTGAGCGAAAATGTCGAGACATACTGCGGTAGCTATATGTTTCTGGAAAAGAATTGTCCTACTGATGGTCGGGTTATGTTCACCATCTAGGTACCTGAATAGACGCGGAGACCCCCGAGCAAGAGCTCGAGAAACTCATGTCTACTCCGTCTTTACGCCGGTGGGGATCTTCGCTATTACGATACTCAGCGATATCGTGCCGTTTCTGGGTCCTTCTTCTATTCGGCCACGACCGCTCGCCGGGGGACCCCGCGTGGTATTGATGTCGTCCACCTAGGTAGGCAAGAGCGAAGTCGGTTGTCAAGTGGAACGTGCACTCCGCCTGAGATAAGGAATCGGTGACCGTGGAGAAACCACCTTTGTGGAAGACCACGTAGAGACTGTTCTAGAGCTGTTGATTTTGATTTCCGGGGAGCCGCTCTAAGCTGCTACCCCTTGTACGCCCAGTACACATGCTTCGCATGCTGCGATTATTGTCGATAGCTCAAACAACGAATCGGAGAGAGGCTCCTTCAGAAGCTTGCATGTCTGAGTGGCACGTAACATGGCATACGAACAGCAGAACTTCATCGCGAGAACAGAATATTATTGTGATCTGTGATCAAGAGCGCATGATCGATTATCGTGACCTCGTGGACTGCGTTACATTTAGAGTGAAATCCTCTGCAATGGACAATCAAGCCCGCATCCTAGGTATACATTTGAGAGGTGGTCGTTAGAGAAGCCCGAACAGCAGCGTCACCATCAAAGCCGATGCGCGGGAACTGAATGCGGATGCGGACAACGTCTGACCAGTGCAGTCTCGGGCTAACCATGTGTTGATTGACGGGCCATCACGGGGCATATTGTTGTACAGGCTTTCGAGATGTCCTCAAAGCTTGTCCAGTAGCTTTCTCCTCCTCCTCTCAATAAGCTCGGCCTCGACTTCTTCTGCAGTTGGAAGATGCCATGCGACGCCATCTCCAGAATCGCCCGGCAAAGGCTCCCAATCGGCTTCCTCATCTGCCCCTGTGTTGTCCAGAGTGTGTTCAAAGGCCTCCTTCTCTTTTTGTGCCTCATAGGCGAGTAATGTGCCATCCTCCTCGTCAAGGTTGTAACCATAGTAGGCAGCGTCGACCTTCTGGCGCAGGTCCGAGCGTGTCTCCAAAGCCTTCTCCTCCTGTGGTTTGACCTTTGCAGCCTCGAACAACTCCTTGACTCCGGGAAGCTCTTTTGCCCTTCCAAAATAGCGATAGCCCTTTCCACCGCCTTGGATTTCACGACCTTCCTCATCGACGACACGACCACCTCCCCTCATGTAGTTCGGTCCTCCTAGTTCGCGGATGCGCATCTCCCATTGCCATTTTTCTTTGAAAAGCTTGTTGAGTTCATCGTTGATGTCGCGAATCTGGAAATCCGAAAGCGCCAGGTCCTGGATTTTCGAAACTTTGCGCGAAATCTCCTTGAGTACCTGACCGCGCCAGCGTTCACATGTGGGTACGGATTCTTGTTGTGAGATGGCCTTTGGTCGTCGTGTACGAGTGGTGTCAAGGATGCCCAGATCTGCCGCTTGCTGGGCCCTCCATCGGAAGAGTGTACTCTGCGCCTTCTCTGCGTTGCGAGCCTAGATCGTCGCGCGTGTTAGCATATAGAGCATAGGGCATGACGGCCACCAAACCAGTGCTTACCATGTTGTTGTTGTTGGGTGTGAGAAGGTGAATGACGGCACTCACAAAAGATGCAAGCTTGGCCCACTATGCCAGATGTCTGACCTCTGAAGATTGAACCACGCCTGGGTCACGCCACGTGAGGTTGGTAGAATATATGTACCGCGAGGACAGAATTAATACATAAGTCGCAGTGGTTTAGTGGTAAAATTCGTGCTTGCCATGCACGAGCCCCGTGTTCGATTCACGGCTGCGACAAGTTTTTGTTTGTCTTGGCCATATGTCTTTTTGACATCCGTACTCTAGCGGCGTGGCTTTCCCCGAATCTGTCCGTCAGTTTGTCAAAGCTGGCTCTTCTTGACGATCGATATCCGCCGCACTGCTGTCAAAGTGGCGCTAGCTTTCATGCCCATGAGTAGAATGTGAGACTCACGTCAAGGGTCGTACGTCTGTGGTCTAACCTTCTCTTACCTACATTGGGCAGACATGACCACTTCTTGCGTGTGGATAATGCTTACAATCTCGAGAGCAATACTCACTCACCTGTATCATTCCTTCGGGTCTGCTCAATTTGTTCAATCTCGATCACCGACTGTCGATGCGGACGTGACCGATGATATGCTTTGCACATGTGTATCTTATCACCGTGCATGCGTCTCTTATCTTTCCGATCGATGTCCCTCCATCTATTGCCCGAGTCCACACGGTTCACCGCAGCGCCGTTCACACACCAGATCACGGACCATGGAACCTCATGGGCCGTCCAAGCCGTTGGCCATGCGACAGGGCGCTCGCCCAGAAATTACCGACCTGCCAAAAGTCAAACCTAGATATCGTTAATGATAAGCACATGCCAAGATTTCGGGTTTTCCAGTCATGTAAGTGTTTCTATAAGAACGACCAGTAGGCCAGAGGTAAACAGATTTTGATTCTACAAGTTTTTCATTTACTCGGTTCACTTTCAAAATGTTTCCTTCGTTCTCGAAACTCTTCGTTGCTACCTCTTTGGTTGCTGCCAGCTTTGCTGGAGCGGCTCCTCTGGATCAGCTTGAAGAGAGGTCGACCAAGAACCATACTACGGTCAAGCCCAAGGTTATCATGGACAATGACTGGGGTACCGCTGGATTCATCCCTTATCTCATGGCTCTTGATGCCGGATGGGATGTGCTTGGACTGGTCTCGGATACTGCGAACTCTTGGGCTCTCCAGTGTGGACTGTAGGTTTAAATATTGCAGCGTGTCAGCCTTGAATGTATGCTGATCATGCTCTATACAGGCATGCCCTAGCTACACTTGAGATCGGCAACCTGTCTTGCATTCCTGTTCACAAGGGTGCCGATTATCCTTTACTGAACACTCCTGAACTTTTCCAAACTGTAAGTGGCTCACAAAGACAACTGCGTGACTCCCTCTGCTCCAATGCACGAAAGAGGTCGACGGTAGATGCCATGTTGGAGATCTAGTCCTCAAAGTTTCCAACTTCCAACTTCCCACTTATCCTTCCATCTTTGTCCTTTTTCTTCTGCAACTTTGCTGACTGTCTCTCGACTGATAGTGGGAGATGGTTCATGGAAAACTCGCTTGGGAAGGATCTTTTGCGCCCGAGAACCTGACGTATGAGGCATTGGGAAATGACCCAACTTCTGGAGACCCGACTCGGGTATCAAAGGCAGCCCTTTACGAAGGCTACCCCAACACCACATTCGCTTCCAAGGACGCTGCTTGGTTCATGATCCAGCAGGTTCGCAAGTACCCTGGCCAGGTCTCGATCTACTCGGCGGGTGCTTTGACAAACATTGCCCTCGCCATCCGTATGGATCCCGACTTTGCGAAGAACGCAAAGGAGCTTGTGATTATGGTAAGCGCGTTGGTTTGGACGTTTTTTTCAAAATCCTTCTACCAGAACCGAGGTTGTGGACTATGAGATGCAACAAGTCGCGGTTGCATCTCTCTGCACTATGTCTTTGTTCGCCTTCTGCTATTGATTGGTTTCACTGACCAGTTACATTAGGGAGGTTACATCGATGACAACCTTCTGCAAGTCACCGGTAGCGTTATGCAAGCTGATTGGAGTTCCGATGTGAGTTTCACCGTCGATTCGAACAGTGACGGCTACTGACAGCCTACACGATCAACCTCATGATCGATCCTGAAGGCACTAAGATTGCGCTCACAGCTCCCTTCCCAAACATCAGTAAGTCCCCCTGAAGCTTATAACCCAATCGACTCCGGCTTTTCTGAACCTAGCCACCACGTTGCCCACCGAGCAAACTGACTGACTAACTCGCAGCCATCGCTGGTAATGTCGCCAACCAGGTCTCCGTCACCCAAGAGTACCTTGACGACATTTACAAAGTCAAGAACCCCTACTCCAGCTTGATGCACAAGTACTATGGTACCATTTTCCCACTTTGTAAGTCTTCCACACCTTGGTGGAAGTCGAAATACTGATGGACTCCAGGGGATGAGACCGCCGCAGCCATTATGCTGGATCCCACCATCGTCAAGAACACCACAAGCTGTAAGTTGCTCCCGGAGGCTCTGTACTTGAACACAAGAGCTTACATTTAATTCAGTCTATCTTGATGTCGACACTGCCCCTTCAAGTCCAAACTACGGTAACATTCACGCATACCAGGAGGCCCTTAAGCCCACCGCACAGAACCTCCAGAAGGTCAACATGGTTGTCTCGATCGACGGCAACAGACTCAAGAAGTGGGTTAAGAGAGCTGTTCAGTACCCCAAAAGCTGTTCAGACTTCTAAATTCGAGGATCGGCAGCTGTCAACGCAAGTTGATATCCCGATAGTTGAATTGAAGATAGTATCATGGTGCCTCCTGTGCTTTTGCCTTCTGAAGGTCATCCGGGCTGAAGGAATGCACAATGTTTTCTTAGATCAGTGCAGCCCTCCTCTGAGGGCGTGAAAGTCAGCGCTTCTTAGTGAAAGGCTGTACTCACAAGAGGAGATGTAATACGTCCAGATCTTGACGGGACATTCCGAGCGTGACAGGCCAAGTGAGTACAAGTCTTATTCGCTGAGTGTGTTTGAGCCAGATAGTTGTTCTCAAAGACATTCTGCAAAAAGAAATATCTTTTATAGGACGTGCAAGATTTGGCCGAAGCTGCTCTAATATGTCCCTGTGCCACATGGTCTTGCCAGATTCCAAAATACGAGGCAATTTGCTCGTTGTTGTTGCAGGTCACATGCGTGTTTTTCCCTCATATACCGTATAACAGTTCACCGTGAGTCATGGCTCTGATAGAAATGGACAGTATTTAAAAGGTATTGTTACTTCTGTATACATTCTCCAACCCAAGCTTTCTACCATACCCATCTTCTTGCTACCAACATTCGACCCTCAATCATCAACCGAACACATGCTACCATTTGCCATGAGCTATCGTATAGCTCTTACACTATGCTTAGCTGCACTGCTGTTGCAAGTCCAAGCAACACAGCACACCGGTACCTCTGCCATTGAGATCGCATTGACAGACAGAATGATAGACGATATCGGATGGGCATACTACGCTAGTGTGGATGTTACATGGAATCTTTGAAATCTGGCCTCTATTCTATGCCATTCCACCTTGCTAACTAATTATTCTATTCTATGCTATGTCATCAGTAGAATAATGCCAATTCTACCCTCGTCGTCGTCGCTGTGACCCTGTCCTTCCTCCTCCTCTATATCGGCCTCTTCTATAGCCAATTCGACCTCCTTAAAGTAGAGGTTCTTCTGCCAGTTCTTAAGGCACTCGATATAGCTAAGGTTAGCCGTAGAGAGCTAAGCTCTATCCTACAAGAGGGTCCTTCTATAGCTACTAAACACACGCTCTAACTTAGTAGACATCGGGTTAATAGAGAGGACGTCGATAGCTATATAAGAGAGGTTCGGATAGTTCTATTGTTACGTCGGTTTAAGCTACCACTTAATAGGGTCCTTCGTTAGCACCGGAGGTAACTTTATAAAGTGTATAAACTCCTTATGAACTTTAACTAATATTGTGTGCTATATAGATGCTTACTATAAGGCTAGCTTGTTCGACTAACCTTCCTCCTCTTATAATGACTCTATTTAGAGTAGTCTAATCTTGTCCTTATAGCTCGCCGACTATAGAGCGCGAGTAGTAGCAATAGCTAGAGCTCGCTATGACTAAGGCTAATAAGTTATAATATAGGCTTCGCGGAAGGTTAGATAGAGGAGGAGGGCGGCGGTGTACGCTAGCGTATAGTCGTTAATGGCCTACCATTTGTTAAGGGCATAGCGACTAGTACGAATAGCAGTAGCGAGGACTAGATTAGAGGCATAGCGTACGGCGGACTAATTATAATGCTTTCTAAGAAAATCTATCGACATTAGGACCTGTAAAAATGTTAGTACCTAGATTATTATAGATTTTGGTGAGGATATAGTTAAATTTTAGGTTAGGGATTCTTACTTAGTCTAGAGTTGCATCGTCGCCTTCGCATAACTTAGTAACCTATTATAGAGGCTCTATAAACTCGACGAGGGTCTTAAGGAACTGCTAATAGCGCTGTTTTAAAACAGTCTGCTCTATATGCTCATTAGTATGCTATATAGAGCGTATGGTCGATCGACATTAGAGCCCTCGCTTAATTATAGCGAGCTAGCTATTCTACCTCGTCGTGTTATTAAGCATTAGTGCTAGGCTAGCAGTTGCTCTAAACTTACGTCGCCGGCGAGCTAACTTTATAATCTACTTAAAGAACTTACGAAGATAGTCGACGGCCTTATAGTTAGCAATTCTAGTACCCTAGCTAATTTTAGTAATGGCCTCTAAGGGCTCCTAGCTCTTAGCGATTATAGTAGCAATAGCTTCCTCTAAGCTCGTAGACATAAAGGCTTAACTAGCTAGATTAATCTAATGGCCGAAGCATCAAGTCCTATGCTAAATAGGGTCCTAATCGACCGATAAACGCTCGCGAAATAGGGTAGCGAGGTGCCGCATTATAGTGTCGTTATAGGTAGCATTATTAGAGGTAATGTAGCTAATCCTTTGCTAGATGTTATAGTCGACAATGGTTTAAAAGAATAGAGGTGCGTAGTGCTTACTAGCATAGCTAATAGGTAGTTTATGTAGAGCAAGTAGAGCCTTACTTAACATGCTATCCGGAGCTACGAACCGAGCTATAATACTAAGTAGTTCGTAACTGCTATAGTTAGCAGTCTAAGTATCGCAAGTAAAGTAGATTACTAAGCGAGAAGTTGCTAGTAGAGCCTTAAGCTAATCCTTATAAAAATCGTGTTGTTTTTTAACATGTTTAGCTACTAAGTAATGCGTCTTAATTAGCAACTTAGATACGCTAGGAAACACCTTATTAAGCAGGGCATAGAGCTTAATATTGCTAGCGGTACGGAAGGGTATGTTGCTCGAGGTAATATAGTCGATAAGGCGCCTATTTAATGCAGCTCTATTAATGTCATTAAGAAGGCGAGAGGCTCGAGGAACTGCTACTAATACGATGCGTAGAAGCGAGCTAGTCGAGTTCTAACCGTGCCTACGAGCAAGATATAACCTAATGTTCTTATAGTTAGTAGTTAAGTAGTTATAAGGACAGTCCTTGTTCTTATAATAGTAATACTAGATCTTCTTCTTACGCTTGCGCTCTAGCTTACTAATACGGCGTGCCCTCGTATAAGACTAGAGTTCTACGGCATTACTACGGGGGGTAGTAGCTTTGCGAGGACGTCGATATAGATTAGGTTCCGGTTCGGTGTTATTAGAAGTAAGAGAGGGAGTAAGAGAAGGAGAGGGAGGCGTAGCGGTAGTAGTCGTACGTTATCGCTTAGAGGGTCGAGGTATTAGAGGTTAATCCGTATCGGTGTTAGATTTAGAGGTATTAGCTTTAGAGTGATCTTTAATAAAGATGCTCTCTATATAACCCTCTAAGTTCTAGTATTTAGCTTTAGGTACCCTAACCCTCTTATTACGAGTAGCGTATACGTAGAGCGTACTCTATTTAGCCGCTCGAAGGAGCTACCTATCGAGGCATTAGAGATGTAGTTAGCTCTATAACTCTAGGTAGTTAGTATCTTAACTAGTAGAGGAATACATAGTAAGAAGGTTAGTATTAGGGTTCTTTAAGGTGCTAAATGTAACGGGAAAGCAAGTATAGACTTAGCTGTTAATTTAAGAGAGATGTTAATTCGCGAGAAGTAGTTAGGGTAGTTAGTGTAGGAAGGAGGAAGGGAAGCGTCGCAAAGAAAAGTTAGCTAGTATCCGACACGAACTCGACGCGTCGCTTCGCGTAGCTAGGCTAATCGGAGCTGCCGATCTAATCTCCGAGATTAGATCTAGCTAATCAAACACGTCAGAATTCGCATAACCGAAGCGAGGATTTTTGGCACGGCAACTACTAGTCTCCTACGAGTCCTAAATTGCCTTAAAGTTGCTGCTCGGTTAACCCTAGCCAAAACTTTGAACTACGACGACGACGACGACGACGACAGTAAGTTACTAGTTGGAATAGTAGAATATTCTACTCGATTAGCTAATTCTATTCCATGCCAATAGAGTGGAATATTTCACCGATTTTGAGTGGAATATTCTAATATTCTAACTATTCCATGCCATTTAACATCCACACTGTACTACGCCAACATTTCTGTAGGCAATCCCAGCCAAGTGCAGGCAGTATTGATCGACAGCGGAAGTAACGAGCTACTCTTCACTGCTGCAAACGCTACTGCCTGTAAGACTAGAAATGGTTGCGCCGGTGGTACTTTTGATGTTACAAAGTCGTCGACTTTTGATGTGGTTACTCGTGGCGGGCTGTCCATTGGTTTTGAGGACTCCTCCAAAAAGAAAGGCGATTACTTTACAGATGAGGTACAGATTGGTATGTTGAACTTGGAAACCCGTTGCGAACACTTGATATTACGGCGCCTTTAACTAATGCTTTCTGCAGGCGAAATATCTGTTACCAACGCCCGACTAGGGATTGCCTATGAAGTGTCTGATCCAACTGGCATGAATACTGGAATTATGGGTCTTGGCTACGCGAATAACGAAGGGTCCAACAAGTCCGAACCGTATCCGACCTTCCTCGATGCGCTCGTCCAATCCGGAGCTATTGAGTCGCGTCTGTATGGCATTCATCTTAATCAGATCAATTCAAGTGGCTCAATCATCTTTGGTGGCATCGACATAGCAAAATTCCAAGGCCCGATGACCACTCTCGACTGCCTGCTCGATGGTAGAAAGACAGCCACGGAACACAAACTAAAACTCGATAAAATCACGGTTAACCCTCACGATGAAAACAGCGAGGAGCTGTTACTCTCTTCTGGCCAGGTTCCTCATGCTGTCTTCTTGGATTCAGGAAATGCCCGTTGGTTTGTACCAGAACCTGTGTATAGGAAAATCCTTGTATTGGCAGGAGGCAGGCGTGTGAGACCTTGTAGTGAAGTTGTTCATAGTGCATTCAACATAACTCATTTTCAGCTTACCTTTTCTGGCGATGGCCTTGTAAGCAATACCGCTACTCTCGATCTTCACCTGGCAGACCTCTTTGCACCAAAAGTAGCCGGAAATTCTGGCGTCGCAGCCGACCATAACGGTAACCCGCTCTGTACTCTGATGGTAGAACCTTCTGGTCCTGGGGAAATCTCAGCAATAGGAGACGCGGTGATGAGGGCGGGCTACTGGGTCTTCGACCTGGATAACGGTCAGATATCCGTAGCACAGGCGAACATCGAAGCGAGCTCTTCCGACATAGTCAAGGTCCTCAAAGGTGTAGATGGTCTGAGCCGGGCGGTTCAGAGACATTTCGTCGGCGATCAGGTGTCAGCATCTGGAGATTATCTGCTTGCCATCGGTCCCAGCCCAAGCTTCACAAGTTCTTTGGAGCGTCGTTTCGATGGTGCAGCCGCCACGGTCAAGATGTCTAAGGTTTCTGCACCCTGGCCTCTTATCGGTGGTCTCGTCCTCTTCACAGTACTATTCACAATGTTGGCTTCCCTATGTCTCGGGGGCCGGAGACGACAAGAAAGCCTGCTCTTAGTTTAGACATAATGCAGACAGACAATAAAGTAGATGCTCAGAACCGGTCCACGTTGTTTATTCGAGGCAGACCAGGGTCACCATGGCAGCAAGCAATGTCGGTGATTCGGACTTCCAAAGATTCCGAGTCATCGAGAGCGTCATCGTGCATCTGATGACGCTAACCACTGTCAGATCGAGATGCAGAGCCTCAAGGAGAAGGTGAATAGAGTAGTTGCACAGGCACACTGAACAGATTGAGCAGGTGCGGAAATGGTGGTCGTGCAAACAATAAGATGGAGTAGCAGCGCAATCTCTAGACCGCGATCATCAAATAGTGGTGCATTCCAATATGGCATCAAAGCAGGAGCTCGCGTATGGAGAGGGAATGACGTGTTTGACTTTCGGGGGCTGTTGGCCCGCGTTCTTATCTGCTTCGAAGCGCATCAAAGGCTAGGGATCAAAATGTCTGCCAATTGCCGTGTCCAAAGGGAGACCCAGATGGATTACCAATCTTGACACTCTTCGACTTCCGCCCAAAACCTCGAGTCTTTGTTGCGACTTGGGAAGTCGTCCTGCGCATCACGCTTCGTGATTAAAGCTCGGTGCTCTCTGCCTGATCATCACCTACGGACGACAACATGGATAACGACACTGATGCAGCCTTTATCGGCGAAGCCGAAATCAACTCGAAGAATGTCAACATGTCCAGGTCACGACCAATGAGCACTCACTCCGGTGAAGAGAACACGACCATAGCAAGAGGAGGCGTTGACACAGATCTGCCTGCCGGTGAGCAGGACCCGCTGCTCCAACCTCAAGGGCGTGAAAGAAGAGCCAGTGATGCCGGCTCTGGCCACGAGTGGGCTGGAGTCAAGGACTTCGACCATCTTCCGTGGTACCGTAGACCTTCGATATATTTCGTGCTGGCGCCTTTCTTCGTCATGACTCTGGCATTTGGCGCCATCATATCACCAAGAATCAACTTGATTCTCAACCTCGTCTGTCGCGAATACATGTCTGAGCAGCAGACCAAGAACCCCAGCCATTCTTTTCTGCCTATCCTGTTTGACGGCGAGAACCCTCAGTGCCGATCTCCAGAAGTGCAAGCCAGAGTGGCACAATTCACCTTGTATGGAAACCTTATAGCCGGTCTGCTCTCGGCCATAACTAGCCCCAAGCTGGGTGCTCTTTCAGATCGCTTCGGACGTACCAAGATTCTTGCCTTGACGAGTATGGGCATCATTGCAGGAGACGCTCTGATTATCATGGCTGCCACCAAGCCCGAAACGTTCCCCGTCAACTGGATCCTGGTCGGCTACGCTCTCGATGGCCTCTCTGGTTCATTCATTGCTGCCATGGCCATTGCAAACGCATATGCCACCGATTGCACCCCTCCCGCGCGGCGCAACATCTCCTTTGGTTATCTCCACGGTTGCCTTTTCACTGGTATTGCTCTGGGCCCAATTCTAGGCGGATTGATAGTCAAAGCCACTGGAAAGATTCTTTCTATCTTCTATGCTTCACTTGCTGTGCACGCTGCTTTCATCCTATTCATCGCCTTCTGCGTTCCTGAATCACTCTCCAAGCGGCGCCAGGAAGCCGCTCAGGAAAAACATCAGGAAGACAAAGCTCAACGGGGCTCCTCGGACTGGATCGACCGAGTCCGAGCCGTCAACATCCTTGAGCCACTCAAGATTCTGTGGCCGACCGGCGAGGGTTCTTCTCCAGCGCTGAGACGTAATCTTGTACTCTTAGCTGCTGTCGACACCATTTTGTTCGGCGTCGCAATGGGAAGTATGACCATCATCGTAATTTACGCCCGCTACCAGTTCAACTGGGAATCATTTGAGTCAGGCGTTTTCCTATCTATCGTCAACACCTGCCGAGTCTTGTGCCTCATCGTCGTCCTTCCGCTTGTGACCCGCTATGTCCGTGGCAAAGCAGGCACAGCTAAACAACGTAGTTCAGGCAGTGATACGTTCGATCTCGTCGTCGTCCGCGTCGCCGTCTTCTTTGACACCTTGGGCTATCTCGGCTACACTCTTGCTCGTACCGGTCCGTTGATGATTCTTTCCGGCAGCATAGCAAGCATCGGAGGGATTGGCTCGCCCACTCTGCAATCAGCCCTGACTAAACATGTACCGCACGAGAAGACCGGTCAGCTGCTTGGTGCCTCTGGTCTTTTGCATGCGTTGGCTAGAGTCATTGCTCCTACCATATTCAACGCCATCTACTCTGCGACTGTGGGAAACTTCACACAGACTGTGTTTGTCTGCTTGACTGCTACGTTCGGTCTTGCGTTCATACTGTCCTTCTTCATTCAACCTCACGGTGAGTCCAAATGACCATTAGGCAAATAGTCACTCGACTGAGTATCCTTACTGACATGTAAAATAGTGTATCTTGAGAAAAAAACATTCACAACCTCAGACGAAGAATCATGACATCCCGTGTAAGAACGACAATCTCAAGGCAACAATCCTTTGTAGAGCAATGATGTTGTTTTATTTGATTCGGCCGCAGAGCGGCCGCTATATACACGGAGGAGGTTCTTCGCCAACCCAGGAGCCCCTTTGGGGGATTTGAACCCCCAATACTTGACACTCCTCCGCAACGGTCAAGGCAACAATCCTTTGTACATAATGTTTGTGTCTCCATATGTAATTACCTTCCCTAAAATCTATCACTTCTATCAAATCCCAACCCAGGCCAACGCTTGCGGCCGTTTGAATCGTGAAGCATCATGGGGTTTTACGTCGATTTAGTCGTCCTCAGAGAAGCCTTGACTGTCACGCTCTCAGTAAATGGTACTCTTAGCATCAATTGATCAGAAGATCGATTGACTGTGTGCTTGATCTGTCCAGGTAGTTTCGCCGTCATCACCAATACAGCCCCGAATACATAGACGATGGTGCAGCGATGCCACTGCATTATGCAGTAGAATGAGTGACCCTATCATAGTGTTCACAAGCTTCTGAACGAGAATGTCCGGATTGAGTAATCTCGCGGAGGGTCGCTATAAGCATCTCAAGATCGACGAGAGGTCAACGAGAAGCGAGAGTAGAAGCAGAGGTAGAGCATGTGACCTTTAGCCCAGAACAGTTAGCGCGGCCTTTGCCAGTCAGTCTGGACAAGCACAAGTGTTGATTAAACACGATCAGCGCACCCTTGATACAAGCCGTGAGGCAATGAGGCGATGATATTGCAGCATCTCACAAATAGATCAAGGGAGACCGGTGGGCTCAGAGGTTGTGCTCACCAGGAGGACGATTCGACATTCAATGAGTCTCACTATCTCGGCGTTATTGAACTCCATATCATGGTCTCGAACAATTGTATGTGCCATATGAGTTTAATAGATCAGAGTCACACCTCCCTTGCGAGAGCCATATGAGGAAAGAAGCAACGGCTCAAGGAAGCAGAAGATGGAATTAATCAGTGATCCGTATTGCTTTTTGTTACTCGTTTGCTGATAGGCATAGTTCTATGTACAAATACAAAGGTCGACAGACACGAGGGCATGTCGTGGAAATCAGCGAGACCCTCGAACCGGTCATTCGAGTTACTCTTTCTATATTGATAGCTCATGGCCAGTGCGAGGAAAGTATGAAATCAGTGGGCGGTCCACCCAAACGCCCGCTAGTTGAACCAGAAACAAACAAAGAATGGAATCTGTAGTATGTGAATAGAATAAAGGAAAATTGTTGTGAGGGAAAGTGCACGAATGGTTCGTGGTCGCGTGAGGTGGAAGAAGGATGGCAACAGGTGGCGGTATGGGCATATCCACTAATCGTCGACTGGGTCAGGATTGGTGACACCCAAGGGACGAGAATAATCTCGTTGATCTTGCATTGTGCCAATGCTCGCTCGGCTGCCGTTGCGTTCCCAGTTTTCCATCAAGGCAGCAGGATTAAGTCGCTGATCGTAAACAAGCGGACGGCTGTTGCGGCGGGTGTCCCCATCGGGGCTGGTGGGTATTGGTGCAGTCGACTCGCTATTATTGTACCTATGACCTGCAGCGCCGAAAGCCGCAGAGTCGTCATGGAATTTTTCCATATCGACAGCGTTGCCTGCAGAGGAAAGCAGACCTGTCTTGCTGAGAACACTGGTGTTGCGTTCCATTCTTCTTCTTGCAGATCCAGAACCCGAGCCTGACCGTGGAGATTCAGGATCGGATGTCTCTGAGCGGTTTCTTCGCCAAAGGAAGAAGGCACCTGCCAGGAGAAGCGCAACACCGGCAACAGATCCAACGACAGCACCTGCCACAGTCCCTCCAGAGACGCCTTTTTGTTCCGCATCGCGTAGAGAGCCGGCGCCAGGAGTCACGACAGCGGTACTCGTGACGGTTTGAGTGACGGGGCCTCCGGACACTGTGACCACGCGGGTGCTGATGAAGGTGGTATGTGAGAGCGAGCTGGTGTCAGCAGTAGAAGAAGGACTGCTTGTCACACCTGCTCCTTGCGTAGACGTGATGGAAAATGACGTCGACGTGGTAGAAGGGGCAGATGTTGGTGTGGATGAGGTGGAGGTAGTTGAAGGTTGACTCGAGGAGGACTAGATGACGAGGATTAGCACAAGAGTACGTGGCAAAAGCATAGTAATCTATGAAGGAAAGAGCAAAGAAAATCATAGAGCGCATACAGGTGTAACGTAGGATACAACAACCGAAGCACTTTGCTTGACGGTGACGGTGACAGAAACAGAGGTCAAGACTGTGGTATCGCTCTGTACGGAAGAAGAGGCCGGTGCGGAGGAGGGAGAGGATGATGAGGTTGGTGTCTATGCAGACATGGGTTCAGTCGATATGCAGGGCAGCAGAGGTGGAAGGTTACAAGGGAGACAGTGGGGATGACTTCAGCGGTAGAAGCACGGTCGAAGATGAAGCGCCGAGGAGATGATATTGTGGCTTACCGATTGCTCAGTGGAGGATGGAGCGGCACTACTGGTGGCGGAGCTACTCGAGGCAGAGCCCTGGGTGCCCGAAGGGCTGAGGTTGAGCTTGATGTATCCATAGAGGCCGTTGTCCTTGTCACCGCAGCTCTCATCGGGATAGCCGGGGCAAGGCTGACTGCACTCGGAGACGTCGAGCTGATCGGCAGGGGCGTAGTTTGAGCACCAGCATTGTTGGTACTGAACAATGGCGAAGGCGTAGCTGGCAGCACATTCCTGCTGGCAGGCGCCGTTGGACTGGTAGATGTTGGTTACTATGCAAGTCAGCAGGCTGGCATACATGTGGTTGCGACACGGAAGAACTGCTGACCAGCGTCATAGTCGGAACCGGTGTTTGAACTGGAGCAGTAGGTCTGGCTCAGGCCGTGGACGTGTTGCCAGAGAGTCGACATGAAGGCCAGTGGCAGCAATAGAGCTGGCGCGCCGCGAAGGCTGCCTCGAGACAGCATGGTCGTGGAGGGAGCGAGTGGTCGGATGCCAAGACGTGGTGGGCTTTGAGGGGCCGGTCTTCTTCACCACGTCGCACTGCAGCAACAAAGAGGGTTGCAGAGACTACAGGGATGTGGATGGATGCGCAGAAATGACGATCGAGCGGCCGTCCAGGGAATGAGTGTGTCGGACGTCGCCCGCCCTCGTCGCGAAATTACAAAGTCGAGTCGTCCTACCGCGAGCGGCTTGGGCACATTTCCATAAACCGTCCTAGCCCAGGGGGAGAAACAAGCGGGACTGCCTGATGGTGCTGCAGGTGGTGACGGCGACGACAAAAGGAGATGCTAAGCAAGAGGGACCTGGGCGCAAGGAGAGGCAAGCTTCAGCACAGCGTCTGCTCCTGGAGAATGGGCGAGTTGGAGACGTGGAGATGGACGAGGGAGGAGCAGGAAGAGCTAGCTGCTAGGCCAAGGACAAAACAAGACGCCAGCAAGCAAGCAAACCAAATCAACCAAGCAAGCAAACGATGGCACAAAACGCACAATGTTATTGCCGCCGTTGGGTAATAATGTTGACTCGCCTATCTGCAAGCCTCGAGTCGTCGAGAGCGCTAGCCCGCGTAGCCAAAGTCTGTCGCCTGTCCTGATTGTGATTTGCGCATCCCGGCCGATCCTCCACCCGCCTGTTTCATCTTTCCAAACCGGTTCATCATCCACCATGACCTCGTCATCTGAGGAGACTGCTTGCTGCTCCAATCATGCCGTCCACTCCGCTGCCTTGGTCCTTGACTCCTTGGTGTCCAAGATCCACTTCTTGATCTGCCGCCTTTGTGCTCATCACTGTTTTGTTTCCTGCTTGTCTGCAGTCTCCCCCTCTCTTGTGAAGCCTACTCGGTCAACTTGCTCAACCAATTGCACCGAATGTTCAAACAAAACATGAAGCAAATTTGTCTCTTGAAAGGTCGATTCCGAGCCAATTGCCAATTGCGCGCTCCACGCACCAACCACTCACAACGACTAGAGCCACCTTCTACACATGTCTCGACGTTTAAGCACAGACACACGCAATCTATTGTCTACAACTTGGCCTTTCCACCCTTGACACCCTCAACAGCTGCTCCACTCAGGATGAAGTCCGGGTATTCCCAAGTAGAACCCGGCCCGCCTGCGTTGACTCTCCAGCTGCCTCCGTCCACTACGACCGTCGAGCCATTGACAAAATTGCCTGCGTCCGAGAACAGATAGACAGTCGCATCTGCTATGTCCTTGACTGATCCTAGCCGTCCCAGAGGCACCCTCTTTGCCGACTTTGCAACACTGTTTGGGTCGCTCTTGGCCAGTCTCTCCATGCCTTCGGTGCCTCCGATAGGCCCTGGGGCAATGACATTAGAGGTGACGCCGAGTGGTCCATATTCGATGGCAACTGCGTTTGACAAAGCATCGACGGCGGCCTTGGCTGCTGAGACATGAGTTTGCAAAGGCAGACCGGTATAGTGAATGGTTGCCGAGACGAAGATGATTCTTCCACCAGCACTCGGGGTTGTCGCATCTACAGTGCTGCTCTTGGCGCTTTTGACAAGATGCGGCAAGGTCGCCTTGACCGTGTTGTAACTGCCGAGGACATCGATATCGATGACAGATTTGAAGGCGTTGGCACTGAGTTGTGACATTGGGGCAAGAAAGTTGCCTGCAGCGCCAGCAATGACAAAGTCTATACCACCAATTTCTCTAGCAGTCCTGTCTGCAGCGTCTTGCAAAGCTTTGGGATCGCGTACGTCGACTCCAGCAATGGCAAGCACGCGGGCACCAGGGCGGGCTGTAGCAATGTCGGCGGCCATCCGCTCTGTCTTCTCCTTGTTACGACCAATTATGGCGGCAGATGCACCCAAGTGAACCAGAGCCCGAGTCTGGGCGCTGCATATGGAACCAGCACCACCTGTGCAAAAGAGAACCTTGTCCTCTGAAACACATGGTTAGCTTTGTTCAGGCGCGATCAAAAAGACATGTCGACACACTGAAAATGCCATCCTTCCAGGCTTCGCTTAGGTATTCTTTCTTTTCTTGCGGCATCTTGACAAAGGCCTTGTATGCGTCCGTATGTTTATGCGAACTAGAATGACAGCGAATCTGGTTCGAAGGCGCGTTCGTGGAAAACGAGGAGGTGAAGGAAGAGAAGATGGTGTCACACAGGCTCGCGAGCAATAGGGTGTCAGCTCAGCTGGGCGGCACGAGGCTGCCGAGGTAGACGTGTTTCAGGGCCGGAGGTCGCAAGATCAACTGTGCTAGAGTAGATGACCGCTCTATATCAAGACAGGCATTACATAACATCACAATTTGGTATACACAGGCTACAGCTATGCCACAACATGTACCAGCGAACAGACGACGCGCATAGAATAGAATGCGAAGGAAAACATCAGGAGTGTTGCTTCCTTGCCGGCGACCGAGCAGCCTTTAGGCTTTCAAGTTGCTGGAAGTGTGGGGGAGAACGAGTTGCGCACGGACTGACGTAGCCAGAGTAGGACGGCCACGACGGCGTGGAGAAGGAAGAAGGAAGGCAGTTTGGCAGATGCAATTGCACAAGCTGTGAAGAGACAAAGGCATCGGTCACGACTATCTTGAGCAGATCCAGAAATGCCATCCACAATCGCAGCTTGCAAGTTCATAGGCACAACGAGTCTGGGCCTCTTCACGGTAAGCTTGACAGGACGCTCTCTGGGCCAACCTGAGGCTCAATCAACTGACTTGGACTGCAGGGCGTCTCGTACTCGCTGGCCGCCTTGTCTATACCATCTCTGCTGGCCCTCCCCTCGGCAAAGCCCGCCCAGCATGTCTTTATCTCGTTGAAACAATCTGCTTCGCTACACCTACGCTCTCTCGCCGCCGTCTCTTTCCTCACCTTGAACCTCGCCTACGCACTCTCGCCAGCTCGTGCCAGACACCCGTACCTGCTCTGGACATCTTTGGTTGCAGGCCTTGCCGCTGCCTCGGACCTTGTCCCCGGCCAGTCTCTTCTTTCCCAAGACCAAGACGACGTCAATGGCGAAACGGTCGAAAGGGCCGTCAGGGCTTCGCAGAGGCTTGAGCAAGCGAGGGCCGCTGTTGGCTTGCTAGGCTTTACAATGGCTCTTGTTGGAATCTGGGGCGATGGTGCTTGACGCGGTGCTTCATGTCTTCTGTCACGACCGCTTGCAAGGACCTCCATCATATCGTAGCCCCCAGCATCCAAGTTCTTGTAAGCTTTGGGACGAAATGTACGCATCATTCATCCATCTGCGTATGCAGAGAAGCCTGTATCGATTCCACCATTTCAACCTTCGAACATCACCACCGTATGAATCAACACCATTGCAAAATCCAATCTTTCTCTTCTTCCTCTTCTTCTTCTTCTTCTTCTTCTTCTTCTTCTTCTTCTTCTTCTTCCACACTCGCTGCTGAGTCCATCGCCTTTTGGCTGCACGAGCGCACGATATCTTTTGAATCAAAGTCGTTGCCGGTGAGAGTGCGTCAGCGACTCCTTTTCAGAAAGCGACCGTGCCGATCTCAAAGAATCCTGCAGCTTTGCAGCTTCGTCGCCTCTGGACAACGAACCAACGACTTCTTCGACAAACCACCTCAGGTTCAAGAAGTTGAGTCAATGAGCTCATTCTTGACACCGGTCGAGCAAGTTTTGTGCCCTTATACGTCGTATGACTATCCACTGTGACTAATGTTCTGACAGGTAAGTAGTATTCAAGGAAGGACAGATCATCTGTAGTTTTTTCTCTTTCTACAAAGTTCTCCGTATCTCACAACTACCAACCACCACCTACCAACCACCAACTACTGCTTGTAATGCAGTTTTTCACGGCATTTGTGTTGTGCGTGTCTGTATTGCTCTTGCACATCGAAGTAGCAGCAGTAGCAGCTACAGGTACCCAAGTCATCGAGATCGCTTTAACGGATACATTAGGCGGCGAGGTTGGATGGGCGTACTATGCCAATATCTCGGTCGGTACTCCCGGCCAAGTTCAGTCAGCTCTAGTCGATACCGGCAGTAGCGACACAATCTTCCCCGACTCGACTGCTACTGCTTGTAGGACTAAGGGCGGTTGCGCTACTACTTTTGTCATCGAAGAGTCCCCCGATTATAAGGTAGTCATTCCTGGTGGGCTTTCGGTTGGATACACAGACCACTCTAAGATGGAAGGTGACTATTCTCTAGACAGGGTACACATAGGTATGTCAAACGAAAGCTTACAAATCTATCGCGAAACTAATAAGATCTGCAGGCGATATCTCGATCACAAACGCTCGAATTGGGGTTGCAAAGGTGGTGGAGGATCCCACTGGTATAAAAACTGCAATCCTGGGCCTCGGCTACCCTAGTAACGAAGGTCAAAACACATCTGATCAACCGTACTGCTCGACCCTTCTCCAAGCGCTCGTCGAATCTGGAGAAATTGAGTCGCGTTTGTATGGTATTTATCTTAGCCAGCGGGATCACGTCCAGGATGGCTCAATCACTTTTGGTGGCATCGATACCGAAAAGTTCAAGGGTCCGTTGACCACTCTCAACTGCCCGCGCGATAATGGGATCACTACGAAGCTGGAGTTGAAACTCGACAATGTCAAGGCATACCTCCAAGACGGGAGCAGCCAGGAGCTCATACGCTCTGCTAGTGACGAATCACATTCTGTCGATATGGATGCCGGAGCTTCTGCCTGGCGTGTATCAGAACCCGTGTACAGGAAAATTCTCATGCTAGCGGGAGGAAACGATCAGAGACCTTGCAAGGAAGTGGTCCGTGGTGCAACCTACTTCCAGCTTACCTTTTCTGGTTATGGTTCTACAAACACTGCTACCTTGAATGTCGACATGGCCGACCTGTTCAGCCCATACGCAGGTACTTGTCAACTAGCAGTGACCGTTGATAGCTCCGGTGAGACCCTAGGCGTAGGACACCATGTGATGAGAGCAGGCTACTGGGTGTTCGATCTCGATAATGGCCAGATATCCGTGGCGCAGGCGAACCTAGAAGCGAGCTCTTCCAACGTAGTTAAAGTCCAGAAAGGAGCAGGCGGTCTAAGCAAGGCGATCGGTCGCAAGACGGAGGTTTAGGAACGCTCGACTATTTGATCATGATATATCTTCCGAAGCCAATCTTCCAATAATGCTTGTTGTCTTGAAAATCTGTGGCAAATCGAGGCATTGTGAGTGTTGAAGAAATACCAAGACCGGGTGTAGACGTCAAAAAGACAAGACAAGACAAGACAAGACAAGACAAGACAAGACAAGACAAGACAAGACAAGACAAGACAAGACAAGACAAGACAAGACAAGAGATACGACAAGACAAGAGACACGACAAGAGACACGACAAGAGACACGACAAGAGACACGACAAGAGACACGACAAGAGACACGACAAGACAAGAGACACTGATGAGTAAAGAAACAAGTCATTGATTGACAACACTGCCTGGTGGTAATAAAAGCTGGCAGCGTAATAACAGATGCTGAGCATCGAAGTGCAAAAACCTCCTCCCAATGATAACAAGTGCTGAGCAGCAAGGTGAAAAGCAAGCAAACCCTTCCGATGATAACAGATGCTGAGCAACAAGGTGTAAAGAAAACAGAACCGTCCGATGATAACAAGTGCTAAGCAGCATGGTGACGATGATGATGAGAAACTGCTCGATGATGACAGAAGCAAGGCAGTAGGGTGATGATGATGATGAAAAGGAGAAGCAGTAGTGAGCCCAGCACAAGAGAGGGCAGTAAACACCTGAGCTCTGGAAGATGAACCGGCGATGATGTTGAGAGACAAGTCGATGTGTCAATGGTCATGACTCAAGTCCAACCACTGTGGTGCAGTCGATGAACAACTCAGTACAAGGTGGAAACCTCAACGTCGCAAACACTGTAGGTGCTGCTGAAAGGGATCGTGTGAGACTGGATGTGCGTGACGACGCGGAAGTGAGTGGCGAGGTGAGTAGAGACGCTGGTCTCGGTGGTGACGTGGGAGGAAGCGGTGGTGCTGAAGCGGACATCAGTCGTGAGAGTGCAACCGACAGTGACGGTGGTGACAGAGGTGGGGTTGACAGACTCGGCGATGACAGTGGAGGTGGTGTCTTCGACCTTGGCCTGAGGAGTGTTGTCGATGAACTCATCGAGCAGGTCGTCGCAGATCCACTTGACTGAATGGCCAGCCATGAGGTGAGAGTCGTTCTGCTGCAGGTTGACATCATGGCAGACGTTGAGCCCGGCGGTGTCGTAGAGATCGACGACGTAGACAGGGTTGACCTTGCACTTGTGGTCGGTGTAGGCCAGGAGTGCGCAGCGATGAGGGTGCTTCTGCTTGCGGAAGTCGACCTGGGCACGGATGGATCTGAAGCCGTTGTTGAAGTGCTGGCAGTCGTCATGGTTGAAGCTCTCGGACTTGCGCTTGTTGGGAGAGTTGCAGTCCTCGTTGTCGGCAGGCCAGACCTTGACTCTGCCCTTGACGCCCTTGTCCATGGTGTTGGAGACATCTCTGGTGATGATAGAGGCCGAGTTGTCGTAGTCGTCGAGCCACTTCTGCTTGATGGCGGAGTCACAAACCCAGCGGACAGAGTAGTACATGTCATCTTCATCGACTTCGTGGCAAGCGTCCTCGTCGTGGCTGAGCATCTGGACGATCAAACCGTCGTCTTGGCAGGTCATGTCGGTGAAGGCGACGAGAGCACAATCCTTGGCGGCAATGGTAGAGTCCTTGCCGAGCACGACTCTGGCCTTGAGAGTGTGGAAGCCATCATCGTAGGTGTGGCACACGTTGTGCTTGACCTTTTGGCGGTGGCCGAAGTTGGCGTTGAGGCAGTCCTTGGCGATGGCACCGCGGACGTAGATGCGGTCATGTTCGTGTTTGTGATGGGAGCTGTCGACGGTGGTGTCGATAGCGGACAAGTTCTGGGAGATTGCTCCAACCACGAGAGTGGAGACGGCAAGAACCTTCGTGACAGTCAGCAAGTGCACAAAAGAGGTGTGTCGATGGATGGGAGATGATGATGATGAATGAGGATGATGGATGAAGATGATGGACGTCGACTGATCATGCACGACGACGATGGTCGACGGCAATGATCACGACGGCGCCATCGAGAGTGAGTACGTACGGTGGTGAGCTTCATCTTGAACGCGTCAATGAGCTGATAGAAGTGTTGATGCAAGGCAGAAAGTAGTTGTTGGTGTTGAGGTGAGAGACGCAGAAGCAGAAGCAGACGCAGAGAAGTGAGGTAGGCAGAATTCTGGTCAGCTGACGGAGCTTCGCGTCGGAAAGAGCAAGGCATTCTGTTGGGCTGCTGCCTGAGGGTTCTTTCCCTCACTCTCTGCCAGCTTCGCGTTGACGCGCGGTGCCCCCGAATCCCGTGGTGGTGCTTTCCCTGAGGCAAACACTCGCCCGCAGCCAGCTGTTGCAAAGCACGGTGTTTGTTGAACTCGTGCCGTTGACCAAGGAGAGCATGAAGAAGGAAGCTTGAAGATCACAGCTCTCACTGGACTATCACCCGTCTCATAAACTTATTGTGCCTTGTGACAGCTAGTTGAAGAGGCTGAGATTGTACATGAGAGTGACGCACGATACACCTGAATGTGGCCGGTTGATCATGATAATTCTTCCCCTCGAACGTGATTGTCGCGCACCAGCTGTCGCAAAGCACGGTGTTTCTTGTACTCATGCCGTTGACCAAGGAGAGCATGAAGAAGGAAGCTTGAAGATTTGAAGCTCTCATTGGAATATTGCTTGTGCTCTGGAAGTATTGTGCCTTTTGACAGCTGGTTGAAGAGGCTGAGATTGTACATGAGATGACCTTTCAGAGTGACACACGATATATCTGAATGTGACCGGTTGATCGTGATAGTACTCTCCCTCGAACAGGACACTACCGCGCACCAGCTGCCGAAAGGCACGGTGTATTTCGAAATCGCATCGTTGTCCAAGGAGAGCATGGAAGTTTACAGCTCTCACTGGACCAACGCACGTATCTGAAAGCACTGTGCCTTTTGACAGCTGTTTGACGAGGCTAAGATTGTACACGAGATGAATTTGCAGAGGGACGAGCGATACATCTGGATCTGGTCGGTTGATCGTGATAGTACTCTCCGTCGAACAGGACTACCGCGCACCAGCTGCCGAAAGGCACGGTATATTTTGAAATCGCGTCGTTGTCCAAGGAGAGCATGAAAGTTTACAGCTCTCACTGGGCCAACGTGACAGCGCTTTGACGAGGCTGACATGTTACATGAGATGACTTTTCGAAGTGACGCATAATACCCCTGAATTTGGCGATTGACCGTGATGGTGCTTTCCCATGGACGAGACTGTCGCGCACCAACCAACTAATCAAAAGCGCAGTGTTGTTTTTCGAACTCGTGTCGTCTTTCAAGGAGAGCCTGAAAGTTTACAGCTTTCACTGGACTGACGCACATATCTGAAAAGCACTGTGCCTTTTGACGATAGCGGAGTGGGGAGGCTGAGACAGTACACGAGATGGCTTTTCAGAGCGACGCACGATACCCCTGAATATGGTCTTGACTAGTCGTAATAGTGCCTTGATAGGACCGTCGTACCAGTACTGTCGAAAGACACGGTATCTTTCAACCCGTGTCATCTTTCAAGGAGAGCATGAAGATTTGAACATCCCATTGGACAAGCGTACACATCTAGAACGCATTACGCATTTTGATAGCTAGTCAGGAAGGTTGAGATGATACAGAGACGGCTTTTCCAAGGTGACGCACGATCCGCCTGAGTTCGGTCGCCTGTCGACTGATCGTGATGGTGCTTTGCGACGAACAGAAGCGTCGTGCAACCAACTTTCAAATGGCAACTACCTTTCGAAGTTGAATCACAATTCACGGAGAGCACGGAGACTTGAAGCTCTAACAGGTCGACTGTACAGGTCCAAAACGCATCGTGTCTTTTGGTAGCTGCTCACGGAGGTCGAGGTGCTTGAGACGAATTCGAAGTCGAAGCGCGGTGCGAATCTGATCACGATTGGGCTTTCCTCTGAACAGGGCCTGCCATGCAAGCGACTGCCATAATGTTTGCAGACCCTTTTTGAACTCGTACGATGGAACAGTGAGAGAGCGTGGAAGCTACGAGTCTCACTGGACACCTGCCTGGCCCAGGCATCATCGTGCTTTCTGATAGCTGCGTTTTGGAAGGTAGTTACTCGGCCGAGAACGTTGTGATAAGATCTTCGCCTTGACGCGCGGACGTGCGTGGTACTTTCCCTTGAACAAGACCTGTCGCGCACACAGCTATCAAAAGGCATCGGCGTCATCAGCCTTGATGGCACCTGACTCGCCTACCAGCGAGTGTCTGAAGACGATACAGCGATTCCACCCGTGACGCCATAGGGTGTCACGAAGCACGACGCTGTTCAATATGCTCAGCTGTCCAGAGCGCATTGAGGTTGTCGCTCTCATTGGGTAACTGTTCAGACCTAAGAGGATGAGACGACGATATCGTGGCTATATTCGCGTGCTTTACAGCTCTTTGATAAGGGCAAAAAAATTCACGACTACCGGTGGATGGTCACACAAAAGCATCCTGCCTTTGGATAGCTGGTTCGTGGGGTCCTTGGAAGGTGAGACATTGGCTTTGACCCCTTTGTGACGTGCAGCTTGCGAGTATGTAAGCCCGGGAGAACGATGAACGAGATTCTCAGCTAATCTTGACTGCCGACGAACCGAGACGAGCAAGGATGCGCGTCCTCTCAGAGGTTTATGGTCAAGCACAATTGGCTCTACGTCGAGGAAGCAATTCGGAAAAGCTCCTCATACACGCATCCGGGCTTTAGGCGTGATAATTTGCTGCCTTCATTGGCAGTATTCCGGAGGTCGAGATGATGCTTTTCGCAAGCGAAACATGTCACGCAGCCGAACATTGAAAGGCACGTTGCTTTCGATGACTTCTACATGCCCACTGAGAGCAAGAAAGGTACTGCGACTCTAAATACTCTGTGGATTGACGTGCAAAGGCCAATGTCATCTTGCGTATGGCCAATTCGAGCGGGGTCCAAGAGATCAGACATGGCGCGAAGCCCAGTCGTGGATTCGACATGCCTTCCACCCGCGCTTCAGCTTTTTCGACGCTTGCAATTGTGTCGGTTCAGCGTTGACAGACGGGAACATCAAGCTTGTATCCAGGTTTCCACTGAATGTAGTACGCCAGCCTTGTTCACGACAAAAGCGACTGCGCGGAGTAGTGTCAGGAGAAGATAGCTTTGTTGCCGTGCCATGTCAGTTCCAGAGCCAGCTGCCTCATCTAGAACAGAGCAAGGCGGTAAACCTGACCATGTGAATCAATAGGCCTGCGAGTTTCCGCCGTCGTTGACCTGGAGCAGGAAGACACCGTGCCGACCTCATCACTGGCTTACGCAGCGAGAATCGTCTTCCGAGCAGTCATTTCCTAAAAGCCAAGCCGCCGTCTTCGGCACCACAATGGACTGCTTTCACGAGAAACAACATGCCGGCGCTTCTCACTCGCGCCGATCCTATCTCCCGCCAGAGGCTTTTGGTAGTCACCGTCAAGTCTGCGTATCTCGAGGGAGAAGGAGAACGTGTCACAAAGAACACCCGCCTCGAGCACCGACTTTGCCCTCGCACCCATCGCATCGCCGACCCTGATGCTTGCCTGGGAGAAAACCTCGCCGCTCATGGCCCGTGCACTTGGCCCTCTTGCCCAAGAGCATCTGGCTGCCTTCCGAAGAAACCACACGACTGTCTCATGCGCCGTTCTTTGTGATATCGTGAATAAAGTGGAGCCCATGGGAGCATTGCTTGCAGAAGAGGGACCCACACTACAGCTCGGGTATGGTTCTGAAATATGGTCTTCAGGCCTAGCAAGTCTTGACACGCTTCTCGGCGATGCAATTATGTAGCTCGAGCCTGTTAATCCAAGGACTACACGAAACCATATTTGACGTCCCAATTTAGCATCTAGTAACTCCGCTTAAATGGCTCATGTGTCAGGGTAATCGTAAATCATAACAAAACACACCAGATGATTCGATCTAGAGATCCCGCACGGAGAATCAGGCAAGCAGCTCCCATTCGCCTACTCCCATAGTTGTAGGCATATGGCAATCAACTTGAACCAGGCGTGTGTCCTTTGAGAGATCAACAGATGAGCCTCGGCGTTAGACAAATCCTTAGTTTGGCGCGTGTCTCTGCACTTGCAGCTAGGACCGCGAGATGTCGGAGGAGAGTTTCGAGCTTCTAGGTCCGTCGCATAACCAGCTATCAAGAAGCATTGCATCCTCTGACAGCTGGTTCGAGAACATAGGGGACCTAAACTGGGTCTTTCGTCAAGCTATTTCTCTCTCGGCAGAACGCGCGTAGAAGGGCAGAATTGCTCATCGAGAGTCGTAGATGTGTGCTCTCTCCAAACACTCGCACCAACCTGAAAAGCATCGCGTAGTTTGGCAGCCGATGTGCAAGGACGACAAAGAAGATTTGCGTCATGATTTGCGCTCTGGCGAATAGCTTTTTGGATCTCGAAAGCGTCGTGCAAATTAATGGCCTTCGTTCGCTGAGCGTAGCTGTGTCTTCATGCTCCCCGGAGCAATCCTCTGACAACATGGTCCATTCTTACAGCCCGTGCCTTGTTAAAGCGCGCTTTCCGATGTTTTCGGGCTGATCCGGGCACTCTCAGAAACATGTGCATGCCAATAGCCTCTCCGCGGGATCCAGTGATGGGAAGGTCAAGCGAATGTGGTAAATGACTACTCTTGGTAGGCAATTCCGCCCACTGAGGAGCGTTTAATTATATGGCCCATTTGCGAGGTTCCCCCATATGGAGACAGAGCAACTGCAGCTTAGGAGCAATTACGCCGACTCCGAGCACGCCCATGCCAGTAACACGGCCATGAGAAGACACTGTGTCTATGAGGTATTTGGAGGGTTCAATTAGAGGATGCATAAGAAATGCTCTCCAGAAATTTGCTCCGCTAGACCCAAGATACTGTGCGTTTTCACGATTGGCGGGAGAATGCCATGCGAGGGGGAAGTTAGGATCCTTGATAGTCGTGCAGAGAGTGGGTAGAATCGCGATTCGCGGTGGTCAATGGTCGAACGTATCGCGCGCCTCAACGACCAGGAGAGTAAAGAACTTCAAGAGTCTCAAAGCCCATTCGTCGTGAGCAGCCATGAAGAGATCGGATGTTTTGATGTTTCGAGTTTGGTGCACTGTCCAAGAGCAGCATGTAGCGCATAGCAAGTCTTTTACCGTGAATGCTGTCTTGATCACCTTGGAGACTTGATATGGCAGCTAGACACAGATACACCTGGGAAGCTGCATATCAATTCCTGGTGGTTGCCTTTTTCTTCTACAGTCAGCTCGGATTACGAAATCGACATGCTACAATGAGACCAAGACCTTCAAACATGTCTCAGAATCGAAACATGGCCGGGAAGTCAAAGACGCAAGATAGAAAGCAGATTTCATAAGGGGTATCTTAAGCACGCTAAACAAAGGACGTGACAACATGATAGAGGGAACAGCGACTTTGAGGGCCGTGCCATCTATTCAGTTTCCCAAGGACCGACATCAGGACTGAGGAAACCATGGACCTTGTTGGCCGGCAAACATGTTGTGAGCAGGAATGGTCGAAGCGCTGGCCGCGGGAGTCTGGTTCACACGAAATACACCACGCCCATTCTGCGTGGGTTGTACTTGGAAAACGTTAGAGACTGAGACTTTAGGACATGGCGCTGACGTACCTTGAATCCAGCGCGAGTCAGGAACGGGTGCCTTGTCAAACCTCAGGATTGAAGGGTAGTTGCAAACAGTCCCCCGAAGCTGACAGGAGTCACAGACAGGTTGTCTGCCATCACACTATCAACGATGTCAGTATCAAAGCTAGGTACACGAGATGTATGAGCGAACCTGGGTTTGCGCAGCCTTGCACTTGAAGCACGGCACAGCGAGCTTTGAGAAACGGCCAACATCAGGCGGCTGAGGTTGTTGGTAGGAATGGGCAAAGCTGGGACGGCTTGCGAGCGGGGTGTAGTGTCCATGAACAATGTTGGACGAGGTGGAGACAGGAGCTGAAGATGGTGTCTGCCAAAGTGAGGGGGGGTGTTGTGGCGATGGATGAGCTTGAGGCTCGTGAACACTAGACGGAACATCAGACGGAGTCATGGACTGCTGGAGGATCTCGACCAAAGACATGGGGCGTTCTGGTTGCTCTGCCAGCTGGAGAGGCTGAATCTTTTGACGCTTTGGACGCGGCTGAGTGTTGGTGTCCTTGGTCTTTCGAGGTGGCTTTGTTACGATCGGAGCTTCTGTAGGATCAGAGTAGGGCCGGAAGACTGAGTGGTCAATGTCGTCGAGAATGAAGGCGCCGTCATGGGTGTCCTCGTCTGCAAAGGATAGCAAGCTGGCATCAGGGGTGGTTTCCGAGACGGAGGGGTGCGTGGCAGACTTTCGTTTCGAGTCTTTGCGTGGAGGTGGACGTCTCTCTGCAACCGTCTTGTGGATTGCGTGATGCTTATAGACAACCTCGACAGACTGGCGGAGAGCAGAGAACTTGACGGCAATCTGACCCTTGCAATCGTAGGTTGGCTTGCGGACACCGCGGGTGTTGGCGCCAGGACGACGGGTTGCGGCATTGGTAGCACGGAAGCCGTTGGCGTGTCTGTCTTTGTTCTCGAGCGAGTCGAGACAGGTGTATGAGTAGCGGTAGCCGTTGTCGTCTTTGCTGGACCAGTTGTTGTTGAAGCAGTACTTGAAGCCATCGAGGTGCTGGATCTGCTGGACGATGCCCTTGGCTGCCGCGCGCTGCCACATCTGTCGCTGCTTGAGGTCGTCGATGTTTACCAGTTCCAGCACCGCCTTGTATGCCAGCTGCTGCTCTTGATTTTGGTCTTGCTCCTGCTCCTGCTCTGCTTGTCCAGGAGCGATGGCGCCGACATTGTGACCGGCGAGATCCAGGTCATCGCCGAAGCCGTCAAAGGGCACATAGCTGGCGCGTCGCTGAGGGTATGTCGCGTCGGCGGGGGACTTGAGAGGCAGGGCGGCATCGGTCGACAAGGTCATAGCACACGAGACATATTGCGGGAGGGCGTCGGCGGTCGTGGCATTGTCCATGTACTGGCGTAGGGCGGTTTTGAGGTCGTCGAGTGAGTCGAATACCGTGTCCAAATTGGTGTAGTCCTTGCGAGGCCGGTGCGGTCGCCGAGTCTTGGGCTGTTGTTGCGCCTGTCCGGACGCCGGTACCGTCAATCCTTCCATGCTACAATTCAGTACAAAATATGAGTCGATCCCTGCCAGCTCGTCGCATTCATTAGAGCAAAATCGGCCTCACATCCAACGCCATCTCGACTTCGACCGCATTCCCCGCTATCCACGCTTGCCTCTAGCCCGATCGGGTCTGTCTGTATCGTAACGTTCCCTCACTTCTACTCACACTGATGGTCTTACTTCTCTCTCTTTCAGGTTGGCTTGAATGCCTCCATGCCTTAGAACAGTTTCCAAATGTCACAATCAACAACGCGCGGTCAGTGTGTATCACGAACGTAGGCATGTCAAAGAAAAAGCTACATTCGGGCATTTATCTAAATACTACTGTGTATCAGCTACTGATACTGTTGGCAGTCAACCATCAACGGCCAAATTGCCCCTCGACATGGTTTGTCTGGTGCTCGGCTTTGAGGCCATCAAACGCATTCTTTAGACCATCGGGCCCCGCTTCGACCTGCACTACGTTCGAGGAGTTCGCCGCGAAATCGGCCTGTGCAATGGAGATCTGGCCGTTGTCAAGGTCGAAAACAAAGTAACCAGTCCTTGTGACAACGTTTCCTATGGCTATACCACCCTCTTGGTCAAGGCCCTCTGGTGATCCGTAATCTCTCACTATCAGCTCGCAGAGCGCTTGACCAACATCATTGGTCTTAGCACTCCCGTCTTGATTTAGTCTTGGGATGAAGAGGTCGGCCATTTCAAGGTCAAGAGTTACAGTGTTGGGTCCGTTGCCAGAAAGTGTGAGCTGTATGTGAGGTGCGTCGATGCCGCCACGGTCCAGATCATCGCAAGGCTTCTCGAGCCATTCACGTTCCGTTTTCGTATCGTTGGCTTCAAATGCCCCTGCGGCCTCAGTAATCTTCTCATAGACGTCCGTCGGTACGTTCCAGTTAAGACTTCCGGTGTCCAACAAGACGGGATAGGGCTTTTGCCCCGTAGGTCGCATAAGACTTTGGCTACCTCCTTTGCTAGATTGCACCGTGACTTCCTCGAGATTCAGGTAAAAGTCCTTGACCGTGTCGTTATCTGCCAAGCAATTGAGAGTGGTCAAAGGACCTCTGAATTTGTCGACGTCAATGCCGCCGAAGATGATAGAGCCACGTTTGCCCAGCTCGTTGAGGTGGAGACTGAATAGACGTGAGGCAATAACACCCGTGTGAACGAGTGTTTCAATAAACGTGGGAGGGTATGATTGCTCGTCAGGTTCGACTGCCTCGTTACCAGCCAAATTGCTGGAGTAGCCAAGTCCCATGATTCCAAAGTTGACGCCAGTAAAGTCTTTGGTGTAGTAGGCAAGCCCCAGTTGAGCGTCATTCATCGGGACATCGCCTGTAGAACGTAAGAAATGGAGACAACATAGGGTGTTCATAATGAATGAGTAACTCGGACTTTACTAGTTCCAAAGCTCAACACATACCAATTTGGGTAACATCATTGACATAGTCACCAACTTTCCGAGAGTAGTCGCCGTACGTTATGCTCAATCCGTCGGGAGTGACGGTGCCAAAGGTTGACGACTTCACGGGATCGAACGTACCACCTGCGCACCCCCAAATAGTGATGCAGGCAGAAGCGTTCGATGCAGTGACGATGAGGTCGCTACTACCAGTATCGATCATAACCGACTGCATTTGACCAGGGGTGCCAACCAGAATGTCGAGAAAGTAAGCCATGCCATTTTCGGTTACGTATTTGCCATTCAAGTCAATCTCGACAGTGCCATTGCCGGCAAGAGCTCTACCGGCTGTGGATAATGTCTGGAAGTCATACTTTTCGCTGCCTGTTGCCTCGGCAAGTAAAGACAAGGTGAACAGATACAATGTGACAAATCCAGACTTTTTCATTGTTTGATAGATGGCGGGTGGGATTAGTCGGGTGGGTAAGAGTCGGAGTTGAAGAGTTCAACAAGGAAAGCGAAGATGATATATAATACTTACTCCCGCATTGCTACTCATTCATGTCAGATCCATGACTCACTGTGGAGTAATGAAATCAATCTGGTCCATATGTTGCTCTTCATGCGGCGAAACCAACCATGGGCCAAATACCTCATTTCCTGGGTATGAGGGCGTTGTTGCAGAAGTCGGTTTTTGCTTGCCTCTCCATGCAAACTTCTGAACGAGGGGTGTTCGGTTCGTTTTTGAGCCTCTCGGAGGTAGTCACAATTATTCAGTCAAACTCGAGTTGAGGAAGGCGTTCGGCCCGTCAAGTTGTATAGGTGACTATAACAGCAATGTTGTGGCTTGATTCTGAAGCATTCATGTCGCTCGGAACCAGCATAACCTTTTGGGCGATTCGAAAGGCCTTTTTGGTAAGGGAGTCAATGAAAATCTTGAATCTCAAATGAATCGAGCCGAAGCCCTTTCCTGCTCAAATTTGTTGTTGCGAACCGAATGACTTGCCCATCTTCGACTCATAACTACTTCCGAATCAGCATCAGCCACCCAAGCAACAACATCGGGTCTTGGAAGAAAACGATAGCTGTGTACTTCGTGAGCTTTGTACGCTGATTCAGGCGATAGGCTGCATTTATCATGACGCCTATGTTTATCCTGTTTTGTCCTTGGGTAAAAATATTGCTTTCGGCTGTTCTTCGTAGCGCAGCAAATTCTAATTGCCGCAGACAAGAAAGAACCCTCGAGAATGGGAAGGGGGAAAAAAAGAGAACTGCCTCGAGGGAGAATCGAACTCCCATCTAAGGATTGCCCAAGCCGTGCTTGGTCATTTCGATGACCGATATGAGACCTTCGTACTAGCCGTTATACTATCGAGGCTTGTGATTGGTCGAAATTCTGGCTTTGATGACCATATTTTTCGGACCAATTGCGATGGGTCAGCGCACGTAAAGATCCTGGGATTCTATCATCATGGAAACTCAGAGATGGAGCTCCCCTCATGTAACGTAGCTAGAGAATTTTTAAATTCCGACGGATATGATAGAAGATGTTCATTGTGATGGTTATGGGCTCAGGCTTGTATGGGCTTACGCAGACCACCAAATGCAAGCGCGACAACTCCGAGCATGCCTGTAGCACCTACAGCATATGCGACGTCACGACCAGCCCACCAATACAGGGAGCAGAAAGAAAGAGGACCAAGAGTGCGGCCTATTTGGCCAAAAGACCTGTGATTCCCAAGTTTGTTGCCGCGCTCAGACGCATCTGCTTCGAAACTGCTCAGGCTGTTAAGACCGGTCACAACAGTGGCGCTGGTTACGGCGAGCAAAGCAGCGGCACCGTAGAGTTGAGCCTCGGTGGTCAGACGAGCAAGAAGGATGAAAGCGAAAAGGCATGATACGACACCCAACTGAACCACACGAAGAGGGTGCAAACGACGAGTCACAGTACCCTGAAGTACAGAAGCAATGATACCAATGAAGCCGAGGAGGCGACCGGTGTGTTTGCTGCCGTAGTTGAAAAGATCATAGGTCATGAAAGGCAGTGAAAACTCCATGCCGCTGAAAAAGAGGATAAAAGCCAGATGGGTGAAGTTGAGCAGAGCATGCGAGTTTGTGCGTCGAGCTGTTGTTTTCTTGAAATCATCCGTCTTCTTCTCTTTCCTGGAGGTGGAGCTGACGATGTGGGTCTCTGGCAGGTAAAAGTAGAGGTATAGAGTCTCGGTGACGATGAGGAAGAGCGAAAAGCCTGCCGCAGTAGCAAAGGGGTTGCTCTGGACGATGGTGACGGTGGAGAGGGCAGCACCCAGGGCAGGGCCGAAGGTAAAGGCGATACTGAAGCAAGCGCCAACGAGAGCCATGGTGGCACCACGCTGCTTGTCGTCGCTGATGTCGGTAGCAATCGCCATGGCCAATTGGACGTTACCCTCGCTCAATCCACCAACGACGCGGCTGGCGAGGAAAGTGCGGAAGTCGGTCGCAGCGACCCAGAGAGCGACACTCAGGATGTTTCCGACCATGCTCCACAGCAGAGCAGTACGACGGCCATAGCGATCAGACAGGCGGCCGATGACGGGCGATGCAATGGCCTGGCAGAAGGAAAAGAGCGAGCCCAGTGCTCCGCCTAGCAGGACGATGTCGTACCGATCGTTGATTGGCTTGGCGAAGGTGTTCTTGTATGCATTGAGGAGGCCCAGAACACGCGAGAGAAGTGTCGGGCTCGACGATGATGAAGTGACGGATACATCTACGGCGCGGTAGAACTCGAGAAGCTTGGGAAACAGAGGGAGGATAAAGGTGAAGGAGATCTGGCATCATGTTCAGTATCGTGTTCGAGGATTAGGCAATGTGTTGCTCGACTTACCAGGTCAAGCAGCAGAGAAATGAAGAGCACCTTGAGCACTTGTTTGCGCCTCTCGGGTGTCACTGCCGCTGCTTGCGACATTATAAGTCAATCGGGAAGGGGGACGGGCTTTGGCGCGACTCCCTGCTGTGCTTGGACTGGACAGTCTCTGCTCGTTGTGTGTCGCGGAGGAAGCTGAGCTGTTGTTGATGTATGATGCGAAGGAATGCTCGGGTGAAGAAAATAGGCCTCTAGACTTTCAGGCCATTGACAAATAGAGGGTGCTTATGACCAGCTGTTCCAGCTGTTTCAACTGATCGTCATGGCACAATGCAGCCACGCAGAAGCGCGCCTCGGTTGACGTCGATCATGCACCTCTCTGCCCTTCAAATCCAATCACTCTGCCAGAGAACTTGTACAATCGTACTCGTCGTATTACGTCAAGGGTATCATGACTGCTACAGCTGTATCCGTCGCTCAAAACTCCAGTTCCTCGACCTCCATGCCACACTCGACACAGGTCTTGACCGTCGCTCCTGTCTCGGGATTCTCGACGGCTCGACCCCATTCATGTTCGTGCTTTGAGCCCCAAAGCTTGTCTCCGAAGTTTCCTCCCTCAACCCCCGCCTTTTGGCGCTTGTACGCATCCACTCGCGTCCTCCTTTTCAGGTCGTTGAGCTTGCTCTTGAATTTGACCTCCTTTCTGCGCTTGGCCTCGCCCTGTCTCTTCTCGAACTCCTCGTCCAATGCTTCCGGGCTGCCCCATTTCTTGTCTGAGAAGGCGTATTCTTCCACCTGGTAGCGCAGATACAACATCATGTTGTTCCATGTTGACTTGTGAGGGTTCGGCTTCTCCAACCGTGGCAAGAGTTGTTCGTCTTTGAGCTCCGGATCCGTAAGCAGATAGTCTTCTCGTGCTTCCGTTTTGGTGAGCAGGCTGTATTTGTCGGGAAACTTGTCCTGGCACGCCTTGCACACTTGGCACCCAAACACGTCGTCCCATTTCCAATCGATCTCCAACGTATCACACTCTCTGCATTTCTTTTGCTCCTTCGCGGCACCTAGAGCACTGAGCCCGGGTTCATAGGGTCCAGCTCTTTCGTTCTTCAACTTCTTGATCAACTGCGCCTTCTCCCATTCCTTCAGTGTCATGTTCGCGGGCTTTTGCTCTTGATTGGGTGTGTGCAACGCTCTGTTGTGTGGATCGTCCTCGGCCGTCAAGAATCCTCCTTTGGTATCCGTCATTTTGCTGAAATCATATTCGACGAACTTTTGGAACTTTTTGGCTGGCTCGATTCCAGAGTCGCGGGCGGGTTTACTGAAGCCATCCTTGTCGCCGGATGGTGTTTGTCTTGCATCGCGTTGATTGGGCTGAACGGAAGAGCCTGACACAACAACGTGCGGTCGCTTTTGTCCTGCGACAAATCCTGAGGGCGTGCGGCTTGGGTATGCTTCTTGGTTCGAGGCGCGTTGTTGTGATCGCAAGGCTTTTGCTTTGAGTCGTGCTTCTTCCTATTTACAGTATTAGTTGGTGAATACCGAGGAAGTGTGCATGTCTACCAACCATGCGGCGAATCTTTTCCGGCGTCATTGGTGATCGCGGTATTGAACCCGGTCGAGCTGTTCTCGGTGGCGTCGCCGCCCTCGAAGCGTCCGCCATCTTGTGTTCGGCTGCTGTGTCGTTAGGCTCAGCAACGACTGTGTTGGCCCAATCTAGCGAGTATCAAAAGTGAGGTGAGTGAGTGCTGTGGTTGTGGTTGTCTTGGTTGTCTTGGTTGTCTTCGAGGCGACAACACAAACAGTATGAACTATGGATTTCGAGAAAGCGGTGACATCATCTGGGGAAGGTTCAAGAGCAGGGTCATGCCAGTAACCACGTTGAGAACCGCCGTCTTCCTCCCACATCATCACACTAGGACAGCTGATGGTTGCAAACGTGTAGGGAATGGTCACATCATACCAAAGAAGCTCACGGGTTTGCGAAGTATCCTACTTGTGATCCATGGTGACCATTGTACCAAGTAGGTTCATCTGCTCAGTTCTGTGCGGACTGCGAAGGGTATGTGATCGGGATCATTACTCAAGAAGCAGTAAAGCAGACCTGCCGACCGCTTGTCTATCGTGATACGCACAACTACACAAACTAACCAATATGAGTACGAACAGTCGGCGGTGGCGTGACCTCTTCTAATTCTAGCTGCTCGATATGCCCGTTTGCCCAATCCTTCCCGTTTATACTGCTGTCGTCGTAGTTTCTGATCCTGCTCTCATAATGCTCGTGCTGAGTGACAGTCGTGTGAACGGTGATCGGCTCTGTAGATCCTCTCTCGGCATTGTCGTGTGTATCCACGTAGCTCGCAACCCTCCTAAGTCTGTAGTCCTTCATCTTATCCAAAGCCGTTTTGAAGTCGTCGAGGATCACTGTGTCAGTCATGCATTTGAAGACGAAACTCAGCTTCCAGAATGGATTGATTCCGTCTGCGTTTTTACTAGGAATTACGTGGGTTACGCTGAGAATGTCGACGAAGAGGAACAAGACGGAGAGAGTCATCACGACCAGGAGGACACCGAAACGAGGCGAGATGCGTACAAGCTCGACAAAGCCGAAGTCGTAGCGTTTCTTGATGTTGTAAACCAGGTTGAGAATTGTAAAGATCCACCATGGGTCCCTATCGTTGCAGGTTAGATTGTGCAAGAGAGCAAGAGCTGGGTTATCGGCATACCTGAACAGTGCTTCGAATGGCCTAAGATGTTCGAAGACCTTGTGATTGATGTTATTGAAATAGAGGAAGTTCGCTGCAATCTCGGCTACCCAATAAGGCTGCACCACGATGACAGTGCCGATGTATATCAAAGACATCTTCCGGCTAAGAAAAGGCTTGTTCTTCATCCATGAGATGACGTTATGTAGACTCCAGCTGACATTGAGAAACAAAGCTCCAACTGATTCATACCATCCGTAGTAGGGCGGATCTAGGAAGATGAATGTTCCTTGGAAGAGGCCGAAAATCAACTGTCAGGTCTGTCGTGTCAGTGGAAAGTCTTGTGAGGCAGCAAGGCGAGCGCAAGGATAGTCATCGCTATGTTGCAACATGCCGCGAGCCGCGATCTGTGCCACCGCGATGGGACCGAGAGTTGCAGGGACAAGGCTCGGGGAAACATGGAGAAGAGAATGCGGGGGCTGTATGCTTGGGTATACGGACCTCTATAAGGATGAGATGGTGGAGTACAACTCGTTTTCGCATGTTTGCGATTGTGATACACGCCATAGTCATCAGACTGCCAAACATAAGGCCCTGGGCATATGGTCAGCGCCCCTGTCTATTCGACCTCGATATTCTCACTCACCTGAGCCCACGCCTCTAGTGTCAAGCCATGCGGATCGCTTGGTTTCTCGACGAGACCCATATCTACCGTTCCAAATTGTAAGACGCGGCGGAAAGACTACGAAGTAGTGTGGTAGTAGTTGATGAGTAGAAGACCCTAGCGGAGATTCCTGATATGATTTGTGAACTCTCAAGAAAGACAAAGGAAAAAGTTGGGACTGGCGAGGGCCGGAACAAGCGCATGTCAAGAATATAAAACCAGACGAGCTACGATGCTTTGCAAGCAATAGGATCCCTCCACCGGAAGGATGGTGAGGGCAGCGTGAGGAATATTGACTAACCCGTGTGAACCTCTACGCGTGGACCACGAAACGACCATGTCAAAGGAGATCTTTCTCCATGATACCCCATCTGGAGAGGGCCAACGGCCGCCCTGCGGAATAGCGGATGATGCTATTGGATAGTTGGTTCGGCACTGACTATTTGAGGCTGAAGTCTCGTGGACTAACTAAACCACGGACAGCGAAGGCGCCTTGCGACGCCGTAGAATTAGATGTACAAGTAAGCGACGTACGTACGTTTCGCGAGCAGACTCTGGGCGCGGTGCGAATTGGGTTTGACACGAGGCAGACCGTGGCCGCAGTCGAGTCAGGGTACGACCGTGTCGATTCCTGGACAAGCGCCATCTCGCGTTTCTAGTGGCCTTCCATGCCAACTCTGTCGAGTCTCTCCTGTTGGCGAGCTTTACCAACCACCCAACAGTAGTTGTTGATTTGTCCCCGATTTGCTTGTCCACTTAGCGGCCTAAGCCTTCGTCCAATCTACTTTGAAAGATCATATAACTGTGCAAACCGTGCTACATTGCCACGTACATCGTGATTGTGGAGGTCGGCAGAGAGCTCCGAGAACCGGCAACCGGGACCGATCAAAGCAAGGTCTGATGGGCCTAGACTTGAACACATCTAATGATCACCGCCAGCTCGTGACCTGGAATAATCCAACACATGAAAGGACTCGATACGACGGCCGAACTCGCTCTTGCGATTCGGTAAGAGCGTGACGCATATTTCACATATCTGCTATCAGGATCCGCGCCCTTTCTTGCCTGGAGTGATTTTGTCGTTCAATCTGTGTATGTTTACGGCACTGAGGTTGTATAGATCCGGCTAAGTACAGACGGTCCATTATTCGCGCATCCGCATTATTCCACTTATCTCATAAGATGAGTAGCACTCCGTTTTCCAACTTGACTCTTCCTTTCAACTGTGAACACGCAGATGTTGCTTGCTGCACGTAAGACCTTGGACATCTCCTTGTTCAGCGGCTGAATATATGTTGCCCCAGTTGTCGTTATACAAATAAGATCTGATGTGATGCCCCATCGGCTAACAGGTAAGGATCACATCCCCTCCAAGCCTTAAAATTTGTGGCTTTGCCATGCACGCCTGGACATTCCTCACGAATGGCTCTCTCATCGTATCTAATGTACGAGAAACCTAGGGCGGTAGATTGCACGTGAAAGCCGACTCACGTCCACCTCAAAGGATTTGTATCGTATCGAGTCTCCGTACTGCATCAACCAAGGGCTTGGCTTCCAGCCACTCCCACCACTGAATCATTTCCCACTCCTTCCTCCGTGCTTTGATCCCGCATGGGACTCGGAAGACGACACCTTGTAGACGATTCCGATCCCGGACTAAAGTGTCGTGATGTTGGCTGAGAACATTTGGGCCCTTTAGCCACAACACAACCCACGAGGAATGTCGAAACTTTGGACCCAAGCCTATCAGATGTGACAATGTGTTGGCCCATCTACTGTACTCTACATGGAAGAGTACATGCAGATTTTTTCTGCCAAATCGCACAACCTTGGCTAAGTATTGTTCCCAGTAGGACTTGAGGAAAATGTACTGTACGGAGAGCGGTCTGATGATCAGTGCACGCTGTGGCTTCTGATACGTCCGCAGACATCCTTCATGACTTCTTGATAATTTGCTTCGAGAAAATGGCTCGGGTCAGAACAGGTTATCTCCCTTTTTCAATCACAGAAAAGCTGTAACCTCCAGACGTTTCTCAGCCCCAGCAAGACAACAGTCGGTCCCTCCTTCAACGGCCGACCGTTTGTCTTAATATTCGCCGTTTTAGAAGTATTTGTGTGGACCTGGCCCCCATTCATTGCTGACCAGTTCCAACTTTTTGCGCCAACTGAATCGTGCTGATATGTTCCGAAGCTCGGCGTATGTTCTGTTATTGCTGTACACGGTAGTCAGTCTTGTCAGATGTGATCCGTTCAATGATCAAATATCGCTGTCGAAGCGAACGACAATTGGTCTCGCTATCACGGCAAACTTTCCGGATCCCAGCATCATCAAAGTCAATGGTACTTGGTATGCATTTGCTACACATACCCGAGGAACCGACATCAAAATCCAAGTTGCTCGATCCCCGGACTTCGAGAATTGGTCGATAATCAGGAACGTCGATGGTTCGCAGTTTGATGCGCTTCCTGTACTTCCTGCATGGGTGCGGATGGCGAACTACTTGACCTGGGCTCCAGATGTCCAACAACTCGTAAGTCTTCTGTCCTAGCAGATTGATAAAGGATAACTGACTCCAGTACCCAGGATGATGGGTCGTTTATCATGTACTATTCGGCCACTGCAGCGGCCAGACCAGACGGATCAAAACACTGCGTTGGGGCTGCTACTTCACCAACAATTCTCGGACCGTATACGGGGTTGGCAGATGCACTTTTCTGTCCGCTTTCCAGAGGAGGAGCCATTGATGCTTCAGGATTCAAGGATAGGAACGGTAAACGATACGTTTTGTACAAGACTGACGGCAACGCTGTTGGGAATGGTGGCGCGTGTGGGAATACTGTTTTCCCAATCGTTGGTACACCTTTGATGCTTCAACCTGTGGCTGCGGACGGTCATACTTTCACTGGCAATGCTGTCGCACTTCTAGACAATAACGGTCTTGCGGACCAAGGCATTTTGGAGGCTCCAGTCTTGACTCGCTCTCGAGCTGGTGTCTACTTTCTCTTTTTCAGCAGTGGTTGCTTTGCTACATCAGGATACACGGTGTCTTATGCAACTGCGAGCAACCTTACAGGGCCATACACACGTGCAGATGGCCCGCTGTTCAGGACTGGTGATGGCAACGGACTCAAGGCTCCTGGTGGCATGTCAGTATGGGGCGATAACAGACACATGGTGCTTCATGCGAATTATGGAAACGGTCGCGCCATGTATACCACGTTCATAGCACTGAAGGGAACAGAAGTCATTACCATGTGAGAGAATACAATCTCGACACATTATGAGCTCCTCTGTCCAGCCGTGCCAATCAGACACTCGAGTGGGCAAAAATACTAGTCAGCCGAACGAAAGCACAGAGCCCTTTTCAGAGACGAACAAGATTAAGACTTGCATGAGCCGAGCTTTGGGTTCTGCTTCAGACGTCGGTTCGGTATACGCGGGCCCAACAAAAGTTCCCACGACTTCACACGATGGGAGATTGACGTCGTCTCGACTCTTAGTTTTACATTCGATGAACCACGCCAAGTAGTTTCGGATCAATGGACTGCTCTACCTTTGTATCCTTGTAGACTGGATAAGGATGCACGATAAAATAGCAGGAGTTGGCGAGACAAGTTCGAGATGGCGGAGTAGGGAATGATTTGGTCAGCCTGTTTATAGTACTTATTCCTGTCCCTAGACACGACGAACTTGATTTCTCCTGTATGATTTTGCGCTACGGTGAAGTTGTGTACCGGAGCACCAAATGAGCAGTTCAGAAACGCAATATCTAGAAAAGAACACCCTTAGTGCTAGGGATTTCACCCTCGCGGCCAACGACCGGTGTGCTGGCCATCCTGATGGCAACAGCAAGGGCCTTGAAGGCACTCTCAGCCTTGTGGTGGTCATTGTCACCTCTGATAACGTCGACGTGCATGGTGACGCCAGAACCTTGGGAGAAACTTTGCAGACAGTGAGGCAGCATCTCTGTGCTCAAGTCGCCAATTTTCTCACGGCGGAGCTTCAGGTCGCTGACACAGAAGGGGCGGTTGGAGAGGTCGACGACGGCACGGGCGAGGGCTTCGTCGAGCGGTGCGTATGCATATCCGAAACGGGCGAGGCCGGCGGTTGACTTGAGAGCAGACTTGAATGCCTGGCTTGCTATCAGCTTGCTGTGTCTGTCGGCTTTTTTCTTGTGCCCTCAACGAACCTGGCCCATGGCAATAAAGACGTCCTCGGCAGTGTGGTGGTCGTCAATGTGGAGGTCACCACGGCATCTGAGCTTCAGACTCCAGCCCGAGTGCTTCGCAAGGGCGTGGATCATATGGTCCAGGAAGCCAATGCCAGTGTCGATGTCGATTGTCTGCGACTTTGAAGCTTGAGCAGCGTGTGACTTGTCGGCGCCATTGTTGTCGGATGTAATGTTCTCCAGCGAGCCGCCGTCAAGGTTGAGAGACAATTGGATCTTGGTTTCGTTGGTGTCGCGGTTGATGACCGCACTGCGTACTTGATTGTCAGACATGTTGGGTATGTATGTGTGGATTGTAATCGATTGGTTCCATGTGAAATGACGAATGAGTCGGACAATATTTCAGACTCAGCCGATGGTCAGCGACGCTCGGAGATGGAAGATCGATAAGATAATTGCCTTGGCGGCAAACTTCTTCCGCCTACGACAGTGCCATCTATATCGCGACATTTACCTCTGCGCAAACACATAATCAAAACAGACATGTCTACCAACGGAGATCACGAGATGGCTGATGCTGTTGCCGGTGCTGATATTGGAAGTGCTGAGATTGAGATCGTTGAGCCACAGCGTATCAGAGTCGTAAGTATTTTTCATACTTTCTCTCCGAAGCAATCTTTTCTTCGCCTTGTTCTTTTCGGGAAAAGGCGATCGATAATACCACGAGCGGGAACAAGCATTTCTGACAACAAACAGCTACCTGGATCTACCGACACTGCTGCTTCATTCGAATTCACAAAGGAGGACCACACTCTGGGCAATGCTTTGCGATACATTATCATGAAGAAGTGAGATATGACTTTTCATGTTTGCAGCATCAGATACTCATACAAAACGTAGCCCTGACGTCGAGTTCTGTGGTTACTCAATACCGCACCCTTCGGAAGCAAAGATGAACTTGCGCATCCAGACTTGGGGTAGGGACAGATCACATTTTGTTCGGATGTCCGACTGCTAACATATGTACAGACGAAGTCAATGTCTATGATGTCCTCGAGAAGGGCCTCAACGATCTAATGGACCTCTGCGATGTGGTGGTTGACAAGTTCACCGTATCAAGAGACGCCTTCAACGCCAGCAAGACGTCGTAATGTGGACAGAAGCATGCATTTTACAGGCGTTGTTTGTGGCATATGAGAAAAATGGGTTGCGGTTTACAATGGTATCATTACAGGAAGGCTGGGGAAATCAAAAGGCGCATGATTGTTTTGTTGTCTAGTTGCGTCCCTAAAGGTAGAGTCAATACAAGAGATTGGCATATGATGTTGGTGCGGTGCATTTCGTACCTCGAGAAAACCTTGGATGAAGTTCTTGGGGAGAGCAGCCTTGGGGTCTTCCTCGGCGCGGAAGTACTTGAGGACGTGAGTGAGCTGCTTCCAGAAGTTGAGGGTTTCCTGGGTAGACACAAGGTCAATATGTGTATTTTGTGGACGAGCAAGTGACGGCGCACCTGGTATTCTTGGTGAGAGTTAAACAAGAGGACGTCAACAGTCTTCAGTTGCTGGACGTAGCGGTGTCTCTCGAACTCTTGTCTCATCTTTGTGCGGATGGCCGAGACGGGCATGTTGAGCGAGTACATTTGCTGTATCTCGGGGGCCTGAGGTCGGTTAGGGCGGTATTCCAGAGGCAAGTATTTCTGTGAAGCTATCATACAGCGCGAACCCACTCGCGGTAGGACTTCAGGACTCTCTTCTGAGCATCGTTCCAGTTGACGGCTGTAGACGGCGGAGTCAGCGAATCGGCGGCGCATGGGGGAGAGCGAGGATATGTGGCGTACACGAGCGCGTCCTTTGGGCAAGGTAGGTAGGATTGATCATTGTGTGGGATTGGTGTAGACAGAAGCGGAGTGGGACAATCGAGAGCTTCTGCTTGAGGAGGAGGAGGAGGAGGCACAACCACCCACCCGCCGGCCCGCATCGAGAGGCCGACCAGCGACCGTCAGCAAGCCTTGGCGTTGTCGCGCGTCACTCGCCGTCTCGCTCGTCGCCTTTCACCTTCAGCGCTGCACACCCCGTGCCATTTACCACCTGTCGCCAGCCTTTTGTCGCGTCCTCGCAGACACAATCTCCCAACATGCCTCCGATCCGCAGCTCCAGAAATCGCAAGCCGCCGCCAGATGGCTTCGAGGATATCGAAGACACCCTTCTCGAATTCTCAAACAAACTCAAGGACGCCGAAAACGCCTCGCACGAAGGCAAGAAGAAGCACGAGATGGTGTGGCCAGTCTTCCAGATCACTCATCAGCGTACGTGAGCCACATGACATCCAGGTCCGTCTTTGGTTTCTTGGCCTTCTGCTCCGTCAAGTCCCAAACCCGCTTTGCGCCAACTCGACTCGCCTGCGCTCCATGCTGACTTGGCTATCCAGGCTCCAAATACATCTACGACCTCTACTACGAAAAGGAGGCCATCTCAAAACAGCTGTACGAATGGCTGCTGAAGAACAACTATGCCGACAAGAACCTGATCGCAAAGTGGAAGAAGCAGGGTTACGAGAAGGTATCCAACCTCTGCACCTCTTCCTGTCTGACTTCTGCTAACTTCTCGTCAAGCTCTGCTGCCTCCGATGCATCCAGACCAAGGAGACCAACTTCAACAGCACTTGCATCTGTCGTGTGCCCCGAAAGCAGCTCAAGGAAGACCAAGTCATTCAATGCGTGAATTGTGGATGCAGAGGATGCGGAAGCAGTGATTGAGGGACTCCACCACACCAGTCGCTGCGAATAGCGCCACACCACCCAACACCTCCTGCCCGAGCCACTTCGCCCTACACAACACATTCGGCTACGGGTTGGCCCATCCGTGGAGCAGTATTCATATCCGTACACGAGCAGCAGCTCCGCCACACACTGGTGTGCTGCTTGTTAAGAAAGAGGCCCCGCTGCACAAGATGGAACGTCCAATACCACCGGTCAACTACACTGAATGGTCATGGCTGGGACGATTCGCTGGACATCACTAATGAGAAACGAGACTTGATATTCTAATCTATTTCCAGCTCTTGTTATGAGGAGTATTCCTGGTCCAGACGATGTACTAAATCAAACGCTTGCTATGATCTAACCTTCCAATTTGCTCATCTCGGCCATGGTGTCGCGAATCTTCGTCTGCACTGCTTCTCCCGCTGGTGGATATGGCTGGCGAGGTCGCAACTTGGCTTCCGCATCTTTGATGCCAGCTTTGGGAGCCGAGAATATGCTTGTCGCATACTTGGTACTAGCAATCCCTGCCTTGCAAGGCTCCTCCGCCAGACTGGCCACCCGATGCAACTTCAAGGCTTCCTCGTGATGTCCCTCGGTCCAAAGCTTATAGATCTGGCTCAGTGTCTTGGGAAACACGTTTGCAAACGCCGCAATACATCCAGCGCTGCCAACACTCAATCCACCAATCAAAAAGTCCGATTGACCACCGTAGACACTGAAGCGAGAAGCGGGCAGTTGGGCGGCCAGCCTTGTGATCTTGCCCACACTCCCGCAGGTCAACTTCACGCCAACGATGTTTTCGTGCGCAGTTGCCAGCTCTGAGATGAGGGAAGACGACAGGTCAACACCGTTGCATACACCTGGAAAGTTGTAGAGCACAATTGGCAGCGTCGAAGCTTCTGCAATCTGAGCGTAAAACCTCCGGACCACGACTTCAGTGGTCGCAGGACCGAAGTATCCAGGTGGCAGGACAAGCGCGTAGTCTGCTCCTGCATCGGCGGCATCGGCGATGTACTCCAGTACCTGCTTCGTCGAATGGCCACCCACGCCTGCCATGATGGGATACTGGGGTCCCACAGCGTCGCGTGCGCATTTCAATAGCGAAGCCCGCTCGGTGCGTGTGAGGAGGAATGTTTCGGCGTTCGTGCCGAGGACCACAAGTCCAGCGAGTCCAGTTTGTGACAAGTAGTTGTAGTATGCCTGTTGTGACTCGAGGTCGAGCTCGTCTGTGCCTGGCTCGAAGAAAGTGACTGCTGGAACCCAAACTCCTGGAGCCGGGATCTTAGAACTGCTGCCGTTCGGATGCATGGCTATGATTTCTTTGTCCAGCTCTCGTGTCTTGTTTTCCATGATCAGAAAGTGTCAAATAAATTGTACTGCCTCATCGCTCATTTTATATATGAACATTTACCCCGCAGCATTGCTTGCCCTATCCCGCTCTTGCATCCCCGAGTGGAGGAGGAACCTGGCAGATCAGCGTGAACGGCCAAGACAGGGCGGCTATCGTCGGCCTTGAACTTTATAGAAACCCCCCAACGTCAGGTAACCAACTTCAGTATGCGAACGTGGCAGAGAATCATGCCAGGACCAATTCTTCCAGCCCTTCAAACATTGCCCGAGGCTTTCATCAATATGCAAGGTAATGACATGGATCTTTTTCTCTTTCGCGCAGCACCCGTCTTGCCGAATAGCTTCCTCACCATGTACGAAATCTGATCACCCTCGTCGTCTGTCAATGACCAATCATTGGACTTTGATGCTGGTGGTATCATTCTCTAGCTGCTTTGCAAGAACTCAACGTTTCCAAGACGCGATCAGCCAAAGAAGACGTGAGTCTGATTCCCTGGCGAAGTCCAGCGAAGCTACAATCTTTTGAGCACTGCACGCAGAGCCTGAAGAGTACCAGAGCTAGTGTTCGAGCAGCTAAGAACGTGGTAAAGATCAAGGATATGTGAGATGATAACGCCTCATCTCTCGAACGCTGCCACAGACGATAACGATTATACTGCCCGCTCAGAGCCTTGCTTGGATGCCGATAAACAACCGCCACTGCCACTGCTGAAAGTCTGGCTTGACACAATGTTATTCCTTGAAAGAACTCTCAGATCCTTTTGCTGTCAACCTAGGACAGTCGAATCATGAGACACTTATGATGCTATACGTGGCTTTTGTGCTCGATACCCAGCAATAACGCTAGGTAACACGATACCTGTACCACTCAGCCATCAAAATATGTGACAGCACTGTTGGTAGCACCTCAACCTCGGTGGACCATTCGACACACACCGAGGACACCTTCGATAGCAATCGACGGGAACTGAATACCGACAGATAAAACAAGTGGAACATGAGTCGTAACAACGTGGAAAGACTCTTGACATCCAGAAAATGTTCAGTGGGAGACGCTCGATAAGAACACACACTAGTAGTCTTTCACAGTGCATTTGAGATCCTTTGCCTGTGGTTCGATGAGGCTTCTACAGTCAGAAAAGTACCCAAATGTGCGCTTTAGCGGCCAATCGCGATGAGTCAGCAAAGAAGACGGTAATGTGGATGAGCGCCAGTGAGGCAGTATCTTACTATAAAGTCTCGCTTTGCTTCTTCCCATTTTTCTTCCCACCGCTTTCCATACCTCACACAATATCGCAAAGTTCAGCATCCTGCTCACCATGAAGCTTTTCAAGACAATCGCTTTTGTACAGCTGCTTTGCTTCCAGGTGAGAGCGATGGCACAGAACAACACCATTGAGCTTGCCATAATGAACAGTGTCGAGCAATCTTACGGTCAATTCTACTACGCCAACATCACCGTTGGCACCCCTGGCCAGTTACAGACCGTGCTCGTCGACACTGGAAGCAGTACCACCATCTTTCTAGCACCTGACGCAACTCTCTCCAACAAATCCTCCAACTTCTCACACACTTTCAACCCACTCGGGTCCGAAACGTTCAAAACTGTCCATCCTGGAGCTCTTGAGGCCTTGTACGGCAATTTGTGGAGTATGCTTGGCGATTTTGTCTCAGATGTCGTTCAAATGGGTATGTTCAGTGTGGTGATGGCTGGGGTGACAGTCAAAATGCCATTGTACCGGATAGTATCGATTAATTCATTCTCTAGGCGACATTGTAGTCAGCGACGTCCAAGTAGGACTTGCCCACGACATCAACTGGGGCCATCCTCCATACACAGGAATGTTGGGACTTGGCTACTCCAGCAGAGAGGGTATCGATTTTATGATGCAACGAAGGAAGAAAGTGCCGAACCATCCCTCCCTTATCGAAACCCTGGTCAAAGCCAAAGCCATATCTTCACGACTTTTCAGCATTTATCTCAACACCCTTGATCATTACGGCTCAATACTGTTTGGTGGGGTCGATACTGCAAAGTACAAGAATCCGCTAACTACACTCAATTGTCTGAATGATGAAGGTGTGGTCAACAATTGGGACCTGACTCTGCAGGAGGTCACAATGCAACCCTATGGCGGACCGAATCAGACACTACTTCGCTCAACAAAGGACAGACCTCTCACAACATTGCCAGACACAGGAACTCCCGATTGGCAACTGCCGACAAGCGCGTACTACAAGGTGATTGGATATGCAGGAGTGCAGCGGCTAGAGGATATATACGAAGGAGCTGATCCCCAGACTTTCGTGAGACCCTGCAGTGATGTAGCTTACGGAATCGTCAATACGACTCGCTTCCAACTTACGCTCTCTGGAAACGGCACTAACAGTGCCACGCTGGACTTTGAGTTGGCTGATTTGTTCAAGCCAATTACGACAAAGGCTGGTGCTTCGACAACTGACGAGGATGGTCAACCACTGTGCCAGCTGCAAGTTGCGGAAGTCCCAGAGGATGCTTCCTTTATGATTACAAGTGGCAGTGTCATGAGGGCTGGATATTGGGTGTTCGATCTTGACAATGGGCAGATATCTGTGGGACAAGCAAATCTTAGAGCCAACTCATCCAACGTAGTCCAGGTTCAAGCTGGTGCAGATGGCCTGAGTAGGGCGGCGGGAAATGTAGCCGAGGTTCAAAAGGATCTGGTCGAGGGTCAGATGTCAGTTCCGGGAACTTGGCATATGTCAACTGCTACAAAGACTATTGGCTACACAACAGGACCACAAAACTACCCGACTCCGACTGGTATCACAAGGGATGCCGACAGATTTGTCGGTGATGATAGCCCCCTTTGAGCGCGATCGATGGATGCTCCCTATGGACTTGGTAATGTTTTACGGCTCGTATATCGATTGATAGACACAGAGGCAGGAGCGTCAAGCTTATGGAGAAGGCAAAAAGCCGATGTTTTTGATACCTAGAGACAGTCCTCTGAGCTTCCGATGGACCTGTGCAATGAACAGTGCTGTCTCTGCTATGTTTCTTCTATAGTACAATCAAGTTCGCCTTGTCCTTTTTACCATATCCGTCTCTCGTGCATAATAAAGAGAGCAGATCCGGGCAGTCTCTGAAACCACTCCTCAAGCCTCGGCTTCATTCTCGGCCTCCCTGTACTCCTCAGCGTCGCTGGAGTGGCTAAGCTCAGCATCACTCTCGGTATACCTGGCAGCACTGGCAGCACGACGAGGCTTCTTGGAAGGGCTCTCATCGTCTTCGGGCTCGGGCTTGACCTTGACGCCGAGCTCAGCAATCTCCTCATCGATATCGTCTTCGTCAGAGGCGGAGGCAACGGTCTTCTTGCGCTTAGCCGGGGTCTTGGTGCGAGGGGCCTCGTCATCGTCCTCGCCGTCGGAGTCAGAGGTGATGGTGGCCTTCTTGCGCTTGGAGGGGGTCTTGCTGGCGGGAGTCTTCTTCTTGGTGGCCGTGCCGCGAGGGGTGGAAGGAGCGGGAGTACCGGTGCCCGAGGCAAGGCCTTTGTTGTTCTTGCGGACCTTGGAGAAGTGCTCGGTAAAGGCCTTTCTGGTGGGCTTGTCGCCGAAAGACTCGGCTGGGATGCTTTAGCGTCAAGGTCGGCGAGGGTGAGACGAAAGGAAGTATCGAGTGAATTGCAAGAAGACAAAAGAATTGAGTGGGACAAGAACAATGCGTAGGATAGAGTAAAAATTGCAGAAGAAAGGTAGACAAAGTGCACAAGGGACAGACAGAGTGGGAGGAAGAAATACTTACGCCAGGTGGCGATCATAGCATCGATCACATTGGTGTCAATCTTGATGCTTGCATCGGTAAGGATGTGGTTCAGGATGAACGAGTCCTTGTCATTAGTCCACTTGACGACCATTTTTGCGAGGGTCGGTTGTTGAAGGATTGATAATGTGAATTGTGAGACGGAGAGGGAGCTGGAGTCGAGTCAGAGATGAGATTCGTTTGGAAAGTTCGATGTTCTGGAAGAAAGTCAGGTTGTTGTTGGGAAAAGCCTTACCTTTTATGTTTATGTTCGACGTGATACTGAGGAAAGAGTCCGTTGAGTGAGACAAGAGAGACAAGATTGAGTCGTTCTAATGTCAGAGAAGTGGGTGAGAGATGGAGCGAAGAGGCGAGAGAGGAGAGGGAAGAGAAGAAAACGATTAGGGGAGCTCGAGTGAAATTGGGGTGCAGTGAAGGGCAATGGAGTTGGAGGACAGTCGAGAACGATCGGGTTGGTAAAGATCCGACCGAATAGGCGTCAAAGCAGGCGAGTGAGCAGAAACTCCAAAGCCAAATCGGTGTGTTCGAGTTCGTCGAAGGAGAAGCGAGGATATAATGTTGCAATGAAAGACAGGTCTAGAAGTTGATGCAGTAGGAGTTGAAAGCCCTACTGCATCTATGATGATCTTGTGAGACAGCTTGTACATATCCACAAAATTACCAACAGCCAAAAACTACTGCTACAAGGCCTCAATACCTTCAACATTCCACATGGTTCTCACAACTTGAGTGGCAACGGGTATCTAATCAGCAAGTAGCCATGGAATCTGCTTCTTCAAATGAACATTTTGCATGTTCAGGTATCATTCCATCATTTTCATGTGTTATGTAATCATCAATCCGGATTGAAAAGAAACGTGTGATAGTAACTAGGTCAGACGAGAAATGAAAGGTAAAGAAAAGGTATCTCGAGAAACAACCCTCCAACTCCAGAAACCAGCATGGAATCATTGTGTGTGCAGCTCTACAGCTCCTCCTCCTCGCCTTCTTCTGTAATACGTGTGGTCAGATAGGCAGCGACAAGCGCAGCAAGGCCGCCAAATCTCAACACCCAAGCCACGCTATCATCGCCAGGCGTACCCCGAGGCTTTTGAAGAGCCTTGAATATAGCACTCGAGACCAGAGTCGCGATGACTTGAGGAGCAGCAATGGCGACGTTGTGAATACCAAGGATGACTCCGGCTTGATCGGCTCCTTGTGCAGGGTCGTCACCATTGGCCAAAGCCTGTCCCTCGGCGGTAGCAGGGGCAGGAATCTGGTTACGGCGAATGGCTTCACGCTTCGAGATCTCAGCAGCAATGAGTGCGAACGGAGCCCAATTGCTCAGTGCCCAGGGAATGCCGATGAAAGCGACAAGGATAGTAGCAGTGGTAGTGTCGTGGACGAAGAAGGTCAAGAAGGTAGCAGCTGCAAATAACAGATGTGAGAGGATCCAGGCGCGTCGCAGCGTGAAAGCGCTCATCTGTACGGATGGCATACGGCTCTTGATGCGCTCCCAGCGGCTGGGCTCGGAAAGGTTGAGTTTACTTGTAGAGTGTTGAGGAGTGTAGGCAAAGTAGTCGCTGCCGGTCATTGAGCGGGGGGTAGTCGGAGTGTACGCGTGAGGGGTGAGCGGCGTATGGGGCTGGGGTGAGGGTGGCTCAAAGCCAGGAGCTATCAACAACGGTAGGACGACAGCTGCAGCCAAGTTCGTGAAGGCGAAGATCAAGAGGGCGAAAGTACCAATACGAGTTGCGCGCTCCCAGGTGGCATCGATTTCGCTTGGTGACATGTGCGGATTCTCAACAAAGTACGGCTCGACGTAGATCTCGCCAATGTAGGTAGTGATGTAGAACAGGAAGGGGAACCAGCCGATCCAGGCGAAGAATTGGACAGCGCAGACTTTGCGGACTTGGGGAGGCAGGCGCTTCATGGAACGGTAGAGCTCGACGAAGAAAGACAGAACGCCGCCTTTCTGCGGTGGTGGGTTGCCCTCCAGTCTAGGGTCTCTTTCTTGAATGCTGAGGCACGAGATGCCGACCGTGATAGTCAAGGCGAGAACAGCAATGACGCAGAGAACCTTGAACTGGGTGTTTCCAAAGAAGCCGAGATATCTGGGTAGATTGACGTAACCAGAGAGGTAGCCGAGAATGTTGCCGAAGCCAGACATACGAGAAGCCCAGGCATTGGCGTCGTTTTGCTGGTGGGTGGGTGCATTGTCTACTATGAAAGCACGAATAGCAGCTTGAACTAGATCGGAACGTGGTCAGTCGGGGTATGACAGGTTGGCAGGAAGCAATACGTACTGGTGTTGATGGAGAAGTCAAGAATGTAGATGAAGCTTACAGCCCACACGATCGAAACGACATGGACCGTCTGAGACTCTGCGCCTACTTGGAAGAGGGCAAAGAAGTTTTGCACAATCTCCTTGGTCCATGCCAGCAGCACGAGGGAGATGATGGTTGCCAAAGCACCCGCGACGATAAAGGGCCTCCTCTTTCCCCACTTGGAACGACATCTGTCGCTCTTGATGCCAACGTAAGGCTGTACCAAGGTGCCGGATAGTGGACCGGCGATCCAGACAAAGGCGAGCAGAGACTTGCTGATACCCAAGCTGAGAAGATACGGCTGTCACTCGGTCAGTCAGGACGTGTTGTGCTGGTTGCGGTGCTAGGGAGCGACTCACGGAGCCGTTTGAAAGTTCAACGGACCACGCAATCTGGAGGCCTCCAATGGACAGAGTCAAGAGAACCAGATACCAGCTGCTCTTTGTGTCTTCCGTGTCTGCTTCGTTCCAGTTCTCGGAGTCTTCGGGAGACGGTATGGTGGACAGGGTGAGCGGGGACTCGACGCGCTCGGATTGTGGTCTTATCAAGGGAGAAGTTTCGTCCTGGTCTTCCTGCTCTTTCGGCATGTCCAGCGATGTACTCGGTCTGCCATGGTAAGAGTCACGATTGTACGAGGCGTTCTTGAGGATGCCTCTCGGACGAGGAGAGGGGAGGTCGGGTCTGTTGCTCGACATGGGTCGACAGAGGCGGTGAGAGGGTGGAGTTGGAGTTTGGATGTTTATCAGATTGCGGGGTGTTTGTTCACATGCGATTCGGATGAACAAAGGCTGGTTGTTTGTCGACGGGTGGTCGCGGTGGACAGAGAGGTCGCGAGGGAAAGACGGCTAGTAGATAGAGGTAGAAGCAGAAGCAGCAAGCAGCATGATGGATGGGTACGAGAGGTAGGCGGTTGATCACGAGGGCGGGAAGGTGAGCACGTTGGTAGGGAGGGTCGAATGATAGCGCGAGGGTTGACTAGCGGCTTTGGCGGTCGAAGAACAGACTTTGGCCGACTTTGGCTTGCTCGGGGACTGCTGCTTCTATTAAACACCTGGTCGAGGTACGGGATATTTAGGGTCATGTAAAGATGATGCAGGTGGCATGTGCCTTGTCCGACCACAGACAGGCCTTTTTTTGTGCCAACAGTGACGTACCCGTACTCTGGGCAAAGCTGTTGGGAGCACAGAGTCTAGAGGACAGGGTCACGTCCCGAGAAGATGGTGGATGGGCAGATCAAGGGCTGGAGGAGTCCGGGCCGAAGCACGTACCTACCTTTGTGGGGACTGACGCGCGCAAGCTCCCGCATGGCGTCTCCTTGTTCTTGGTGGAAGCGTGAAGCGTGAAGCTGCTCGCTGTCTGTCCTGTCGAGTAGGCCGAAAGGGATAACAATCATACAGTCGACTCTTGTTCAAAGACCTCATCGCTCACCCTGTGCTCCCGGGACTTGTCACCCTGCTGTACCCGAGTGTTGTCCCCCGTGCCTAGCCACTTTACCCTCGCCATAGACGTATGCGATAACAATCCACCAGGCAGTTGACCTGCCCCCACCACCATCTACACCATGGCCGATTTCTTGCGCAATGCCGTCTTTGACCTCATCAGTGTGTCGCTTCGCTCTACCAGTTACCACATGCATACACTGACCGCTATACCGCAGAACGCGAGGCTGCAGACGCCGACCCAGATGGTATTCATCACTCGTACCGTCCACTCCACCTTCGAACACAACTGACACGACGCGACAGAGCCTGAGGCCGGCCAGAAAGAGATCTTCGCATCATGGTCGCTATTCATCCTCATCATGCTACTCATCGTCGCCCTATTCACCAGTTACATGCTCCAGACGAGGAAGATTCAGGCCGTACACGAGACTGTCTTGTCCATCTTTGCAGGTGCGCATCCCGATGCCATTCCCACCTGTTGTGCTGTCCGCTAAGCCCTCTTAACAGGAATGGTCATTGGCCTGATCCTCCGCCTTACCGCTGCCCAATCCGTCCTCGGTGCCGTCAGCTTTGACTACCAGTTCTTCTTCAACCTCCTCCTACCACCTATCATTCTAGCCTCGGGCTATGAACTACACCAAGGAAACTTTTTCCGCAACATCGGAACTATCCTCACCTTTGCTTTCGCCGGTACCTTCATCTCCGCCATGGTCCTGGGTCTTATCCTCTACGTTTGGACCCGAATCCCCCTCGAGGGCCTGGACATCACCTTTGTCGAAGCCATCTCCGTCGGCGCAACTCTGTCCGCTACCGACCCTGTCACAATCCTTGCCATTTTCAACACCTACAAAGTCGATCCCCAACTATACACTGTCATCTTTGGAGAATCCATCCTCAATGATGCCATCGCCATCGTCTTGTTCGAGACGGCCCAGAAATATAGAGAAGGCGCTGCTAAGGGTCACTTGACAATACTGAGCTTATTTGAAAGTATCGGCGTCTTCTTGCTGGTATTCTTTGGCAGTCTAATGATTGGCTTGATTGTTGGTATTGGCACGAGTTTACTGCTGAAGTATACCTTGGTCAGACGCTTCCCCAAAATCGAGAGCTGTCTCGTCGTTCTCATCGCTTACGCATGCTATTTCTTCTCAAATGCTATACACATGTCTGGTAAGTACCATTGTCAAGAATCTTGGGGCTGAAGTCAAAGCTAACTCCTTGCTTCAGGAATCGTGTCTCTCCTGTTCTGCGGAATCTGCATGAAGCACTACGCATACCACAACATGTCCCGTCGAACCCAGCTGACGACAAAATTCATTTTTCAGGTCATGGCTCAACTCTCCGAGAACTTCATCTTCATCTATCTTGGACTTTCACTCTTCACTGAATCGGGGCTCGAGTACAAACCTCTGTTTATTCTCGTTACCGTGGTCGGAATCTGTGTTGCTCGATACTGCGCCGTCTTCCCCCTATCTAAGGCCATCAATTATTTCATCCGGTACAGAGCTCGCAAGCTTGGGCGCGAGGAAGCGGATGTTCTGCCCAAGAACCACCAGATGATGCTCTACTGGGCGGGCCTTCGTGGTGCTGTCGGTGTTGCCTTGGCTGCTGGATTACAAGGTCCCAACGGATTTGCTCTTCGTGCTACAGTTCTGGTGGTTGTGGTCTTGACTGTCATCATCTTCGGTGGCACCACAGCACGTATGCTGGAAATTCTAGAAATTCGCACGGGAGTCGTGGAAGAAATCGACAGCGACGACGAATTCGACATTGAAGTCGTACCCGGTTCCGGCGGAACATTCACTAAGAAAGGTGGAGCTGGTTTCGGACACATGCCACGCCCGAGTCTGGCGGGAGGTATATCACTGGCCAGTGTTGCAAACGGACGACCACGCGCGGAGAGCAGATCAAACAGAGCGGCCTTGTACAGTACTAGCAATGCTAGCAGTCCGCCCATCCGTCCTGGTGACGGGCTTGGCCGAAGGGCAAGCAGTAGAAGCGCAAGAGACCAGGCAGCAGCCGAACAAGGTCTGCTCTATCCTGACCAAATCGGAGATGCGTCTGACGATGATGAATCAGGGCTCGACTTGCCACCATCAGCCAGACGGTCGCCACTCAGAGATACATTCCCCACTGCCACGGAAGAGGAAACGCCGTATGCTGATGCCAGGGCCATCGAGGCAGGCCAAGCAGAGTCAAGTCATCTGACTGCTCGTGGCGCGTTCAGTCAGCTGATGAACGCGACCGCCGAAGATGCGGGCACCCTGTTCTCAAGGATTGATGAAGGGTTCATCAAGCCGCATTTGTTATTGGACCCTGGCGGCACAAGGTCACCTCGCCCTCATGGAGGAAGTGCTTAGATGTATGTTTCTTCTGTTATCCCTCCACTGGCTTTTTGGATCGCCCCAATGTCTTTTGTAGGCGCATAGCGCTGTTACTACTGCTTCCAATAAATCGCCGTGTATTCACTATGACAACAATGGCCGAAGAGAATGTGCGTGATTCAATTCTGGTTATCATGCAGAAACATCTTCCACTCCGCCTACTCCTTAACCCCGGCCAACCTACATGGAGAAGACAACAGGCACATCAGAGAGTGAGAAAATGGGTATTGATTGTAGAAGATAATTAGGAGATGACCATAGTTGATAATGCCTGCCCGAGCCATCGTGACTCCTGAAGCATCCATGGTCGCCAGGTGATTACCAGGAGAACTCACGTTCCTAGTGGCTCCTCCAACATCACTTGACTTCTTTCTGATCACTTTGAAAGGTTGAATCAAGACCAACGACATTATGACTCTTAAAGGCCATCTATTGATGCGCCTCACCATGTTGAGAGCTCGGTCCTCACACAATTTCCAAATTCCTACGTCCGTGTTGACTACTGCAGCGTGATCACGACCTTTGGAGTTGGGACACAACATGCTCGCCAGCATCAGTATGACCAACGATTTGACCTCACGAACAGTGCTTGCCGGGCACATATGTGGTGACTTTGAGACTGCGAGATCGTTAGCGCGTTTCGCTGCAGAGGATGTAGAGAAACATACGTTGCTGTAACTGTCTTTGTAATCTTCGACGTGGTAGTAGTGCGTTTGGTAATCGTGCGAGTCTACGATATGTCAGTGCGTCTCCTTTTTTGAGCTTACTCTCCAGATTTGCTTACAGATGTTCCTGCTGTCTTGGTGACTGTAGTCTTGGTTGCGATGATGGTGATTGGAGCAGGAGTGATTGTCGTGGTGCTTTCGACGGTAGCTGAAAGATGTAAGCCTTTGAACAAGATCTCTAACTATGGATGACTTACTGTAAGCAGTCTGAGTAACTGGGACAGCCGTGAAGCTAGAAGTAATCGAGCTCCAGTGTGCAGTATCCGTATCCGTAGACGTAACAGTAGACGAGTCTGGAGCACGTTTGGCAAGAGCAACGCCATGACGCTTCGCGACTTGCATAACTTTGGTAACATCACGTCTGATTCTAGATCGGCGAGCGTCCACTACAGCGGAGCTTGCGGAGGCAACGGCAGCTTGGGCAATGGCGACAAGGCTGGGGTCGGCAGTAGGATCAGCAGACATGGCTGCAAAGGCAGCTGCACAGACCTTGGTCTCTGTATACGTTTTGATAGTGTACGTAAAGACTGTAGTCGTGCGCTTGACTGTGGCTGTCGATGATGTGGTAATTGTTTCTCGGGGCGGGTATGAGGTAACTGTCTGTGTCTTCGCATTGCTTGCGAGACTGGTAACAGAAGAAGGTAGAAGGGTGGTAGAGTCCAGGTCCGTGATCGTAGCATTAACGACTGACGTGGGAGTTTGGGTGACGCTCAGGGTAATGGTCGGAATCACAGTAGACGTGACTTGCTCGCCAACATCGAGATGTAAGACACGCTTGGCGGAAAAGCTGGTGTTATTGCCATTGTTGTCGAGAAGAACGAGAGTCCAATCGCCAGAATACATCTGATTCTTCTGAATGGGGCAGGTCGTGACAGCGTCAGTATAGTCTGGTGTGGTTGGTACATCCGAGCAGTAAAATGAGTCTCCATCAGGCGCAATCAAGATTACATTGGCCGTTCCGGTACAGTCATAGAACTCTGAGACCGCAGTAAAGGATTCGTTGCTGTTCTTGTTGATAAAGTAGTGACCGTTTCCCTTGAAATCGATACCGTACGACGTGCAAGCGCTGGCAACGTGAAAGAGTGCGGCTCCAGCTGCGAGAAGATTGGTCCACATCGTGTCAATGTGTCAAAGAGAAATGACGGTATATTCAGAGAGATGTAGAGTTGCCGATTGAAGTAGGTTCTCTGAGCAAAGGAAACAAGTCGTATCCAAGCATACTTTATACCGCTGGAGAGCGCGAGTTGGTAGATGGCAGTCAGCGGCTCCATGGGTTGCCATCAGGCCTCATGCTCGGCAAAAATAGCATAGATCCTCGCATCTTCTTGTCCTCGTCCATACACTGCCTCGCAAGAGGATTCTCGTTGCATGGGTTGCAGACTTGCACACTGGGAGCTGACATCAGAAACTGAAAGTAGATGGCCCCCAATTATTACCCAGTGCCGGACCTCATGATCGGGGGTTTGCGAGCCCAAGACCATTTACCAGCAAGCGGCCTCGCACATTCGGACAAAAACGATAAGAGCATGATGCTGCGATGCAAGGCAGATGTCGGAAGAAGGCGAGCGTGAACGCGGTGAGCTGCGGCAGAAGAGGATGTCGATCAACTTTCGGAGCTTCGGAGTGGGCGCCAAATTTGGAAGCGGCAATCCCGACATGCCTTCCAACACCACTTCACGTCAGCACGACAAATAGAGAAGCAGTCTTCTTTGCTTGTACCAGTAGCGAGAACGTCACCAGCGATCATGAGATACCCTCGATGTACCTTCAGAGCTCAGACTACGAGCTGCATCTTGGTTTCAATACGACACGTGGCTGACCACTTCCGGCACCTCGTTCACGAAGAGTGAGATGGGATGGCGCATGACCGAACCAAGACTGCGGCATCTCTTCTCAAAAGTCATAGGCCACACAGATAGCCATCCTGTGAAGCAAATCCACTAATGAATGTTGATTGTCTGCACAGAATATCTGCTTGCCATGATGTCTCGCGCAGAAGCGGACGACAAATTGCTAACCGCACATTCAAAACACTCCTCTATCACTATTATGAGGTTGAGCAAGAGCTAAAGATGCGGAACTTACCTTACGTACACGGAATCGATTCTCGCCATGTACGTTCTCGATAACAAAAGGGTTATTCGGAGGATTCATGGGCTCGCAAGGCTGACTGTTGACCCTGGCGATTAAGGTTGATAGCATGATGACCATGCCCTGCATGCAGACAAGCAACGAGGATCCGTTCACTTGTGCCCTAGACTTTTCCTTCGGCATCCGTATGTTTGATCTAGAAAAGTTTGACTCATGACTGAACGCCAGATTCGATATGACATTCGGCGATCTCTCAATAATGAGCGGGTCTCAGGATTGTATTTTCGTCACCGGTATGACTTCACCCCCAAAACTGCTTGATGGATCGAGATGCGGCGTCAGACCATAGCTCTGGCATTCTCTGACATGATATGGCGGCCCATGATATGGTCGATCTATCGGAATATCAGCCATGATATTGAGCCAGAACAGAGACATCGTCTCCGCGATTCGTCCTCCTGACTAGGATGGAGTAGACCGATGCGTTGTGCAAACAGGGACATCGAAAACATGTACCTTACGTCGGAAGGTACAACTTGGTCCCACTACGTAAGGTTCTTATGGCAGACTGATATCCGATAACTCCCATCACCAATCGGAAAGTTTACTTGATTGATTCTTGTTCCATGTATAAGGCTTGCCAATCATAGACTCTCAATCATTCTCTTGTTGGTCGAGTTTTACGTACTGTATGGTCAAGTGGGCCTGCAAGCTTCAATTGCTGACTTTGCAGACAGTCTATTGAAATAGGCAGACCATCTGACTTGCAGCTTTCCCTTTCTCCCGATCAAGAAACAGGCTGCTACGCTCGAGATCCTGGTTGTCAACACGACTGAGAGTATGCTTCCAATGTTTTCATCAAAGCCCTGACCTGACTTACAGGATGCTATTCTCGTCATTCGGCTCTGTAAGATACGGGCAGTGTCTGAATGTGTTTACTAGGCATTTCTGCATATATAAGTCGGCTGCTTACCTGCCTCGAAATGATTACAACATCTCAAACTTGCTCATCCACTCGCAAGCATGTATCTCTTGCATACTCTTCCTCTTCTTGCTTCCTGGGTCGCCTATGCTGCTGGTTCTGCGGCCATGAAGCGTCAGGCCTCCTCAACCTCGTCTGCTGCTGGCTCTGCCACAACCCTGACTCCAGACGATGCCGACACAGAATGTACCAACGGCCCCCACAGCCGTGCATGTTGGGTATGAACATTCACTCGGTTTAGAGTGGACAAGCTAACACCGTCTCAGGGGGATGGTTTCTCTATCGCGACCGACTTCGACCAAAAGTGGCCCGACACCGGCAAGACTGTGCCGTACACGCTAGATATCACAAACACTACCCTTAATCCCGATGGTACGGGTGATCGCTTGGTCATGTTGATCAACAACCAATACCCTGGACCTGTTATTCGGGCTCAATGGGGAGATTGGCTCGAGATAACTGTCAACAACAAGCTACCCAATAATGGGACAGGTACAAAATTCGCGTCCTTATTCATGTTTCTGACTAACCGGTCGCCAAGGTATTCACTGGCACGGTATTAGACAGTTCGAGACGTGTGATCAAGATGGTGTCCCTGGCATAACTGAGTGTCCGATTGCACCTGGAACATCTCGCACTTATCGTTTCCACTGCACGCAATTTGGTACGAGCTGGTGTAAGTAAGCTGAAGGTACAAACTCAGCGTACGAATTTCGCAGATTTGACGGTCATTTGTGGGACAGCGTCCTAGACGTCGTCTTACGAACGTCCGTCTCAGATCGTGAACTGACGCGTTGAACGACTACTACATCCTGTTTTTCTCCAGAACTTCGCTAACTGTACTTTCACTTCAAGATCATAGTCATTGGAGTATGTCGATAATCAACTTTCCTGCGAGATATTGGCTAATCTTTATTCTAGGTGTTCAATATGGTGTAGGTACACTTGGCACGCTTGTAATTGACGGACCTGCTACGGACAACTACGACGAAGACCTTGGACCGTTCGCTCTCACTGACTGGTATGATGAGACTGCTTTCTTCAACAACCCGTTGGCCCGAATTGCACCTCCACAGCCCTATACAGGTCTGGTCAACGGAATGAACGTCAGTCCGGATGGAACCAAGGGAAAGTACTACAACGCTACGGTCAAGTCAGCAAAGAAGTATCGCCTTCGACTCATCAACACATCTGTGGACAGTGCTTTCATGGTATCGCTCGACAACCACCCATTCACCGTCATCACGAGCGACTTCGTTCCTATCAAACCTTACGTTGCAGAACGTGTGTTTATCGGGATTGGTCAAAGACTGGACGTCATTATCGAAGCCAATCAGACAGCAAGCAACTACTGGTTTAGAGCAGATGTGCCAGCTGGTGCATGCGGCAGCAATGCAAATCCCAAAGGTATCAGAGCCATCATTCACTACGACAATACAACCTTCGGTAACCCTACGAGTACTGCTTGGGACACGACTGGTGCCAATGCGGATCGATGCACAGACGAATCATACAATTCGAACAAACTGGAGCCATATTGGGACAGCTTTGTTCCCAGCGATGCCTTGACAGCTAACCCTACGCTATTGAGTGTACAGGCTCAGGAAGCAGGCCTTACCACTGACAACAGAACTATCTTCAGATGGGCCATCAACACCACGTCACTCAATGTTGACTGGGACAAACCGATTCTTGAGTATGTCCAAGAAGGCAACACGAGCTACCCTGCTTATGAGAACTTGATCGATGTGCCTGACGTAGCGTGGACGTACTGGGTCCTGCAGGTATGTTTTCATGGTTTTGCACCATACCATAATTTCGAAGATTGATTTTTTTCAAACTTTCAACAGGAAATCAGCACTCCCGGCGGCATACCATTGAATATCCCGCATCCTGCGCATCTCCATGGTCACGACTTCTACGTGCTAGGTGCTCAAGAGAACAGTGTGTACACCAACGCGTTGTCGGCTCAGCTGAATTTCGAAAACCCACCCCGTCGTGACACCGCGATGCTTCCAGCCGGTGGATGGCTCGTTATCGCCTTCGAGACCAATAATCCTGGTGCCTGGATCATGCATGTACGTGCCTGTGTATCACCTTTGAGTTTTCTCGCAGTTCTAGCTAACTCGATGCCCAGTGCCATATTGCCTGGCACGTGGCAGACGGTCTAGCCACGCAGTTCTTGGAGACGCCAGACCAGATCAAGGTCGATCCTAGCTTCAACGAGATATGCAGTGCTTGGAGAGACTACTACCCTGAGCATGCTGTCTACCTCAAGGATGACTCCGGTGTTTAGATTGGATGTGCTGCTGTGGATCGATCGATTATACCTTTCGACGGGAAACATAGGTCAATACAGGATATAACTTTCTTTTGGACAGAACAGAGGTTCCGTTTTCCTTACCTTCTTGAGTAGTGGACTAGCAGTAACATTCTATTCCTCTCATTGCTTAATCACACGGATAAGGCCTTGTACGAGAAAGTAGTTGCTCATTAGACTTTCACGATCCGATCTGCTTCCAGTCTTGATAGACGTTCAGCAAAAGACATGTTATAACCATCGGAGAGCGTTGTGACTACTAAAGATAGTCGACGTGAAAGGTGGTCAGCACACATACATCATGCGGCAGGCCCAGGTCAAATCGGAATATTGGCTCTCGGTGATACGAGATCCAGTGTGACTTGCATTGTTATCCAAAATAGACATCAATGCACTCTTGAAATACGTAGCCATGTCGAGAATTGTTGTGGTACTCACGATGAGAATGACTTTGCTTGACGGGATCTGGGGTATCTTTTGAGCAGATACAAGATGACTGACATGGCCGGCTTTGGTCTCCTCTTTTTGTGGTCTTCCTTCACGCTGAATTTGACGGTCCTTTTCTCTACTGCGACGAAGTTAAAAGGCACAAGTATGTAGGCGATGTGAAGAAGATGCCATCGCAACAGGTAAAGGAGACCGGTCTGAACATGATATCCTACTATGATAGGACCTCTGGACCTCCCGATCATGATTGCCCGAAGCTGGTCGAAGAGCACTTCAGCGCGGTCACGAGATTGTTCGCATCGTAGTAAGGCAACACATCTTGTGCAGCAGATTTAAGTTTAAACATCCAAAAGCGGACCTAATTCTAGAAGTCTATATTATTCATTACATTAAAGCTTTCCTTTGGCCATGTTCGACAGCATCTCTCTGCCAGTGATCCTGGTGGTATGCCACAGGGTAGGGAAGTCGAGGGTGCTGGTGAGTCCATCTGCAAAGCCGAACCCAAGCATGGGAGGAATCCAACCACGAGCATACTCAAGGGCAAAGCAAGCGTCATCCATCTTGTATTGTTTAACTTCCCCGCGGCGCAAATGATGGACACTGCCCTGAGGGTAGATCTCGGGCTCATAGTGACCGGCAGCAGGCGAATAGGCGGTCTGAGTACCCTTGAGGATGTGGAAATAGTCGTCTGCAGTGTGGCGGCCAGAGTGTCCTTCAGTTCCAATGGCAGTCCCTGTTTGATGCATTAATGTCCATAATCTTGTGATCAAAATCTTCAATTTGCCTTACCGAAAATGATCAAATACTCGGTAATACTGGCATGAATGATGTACATGGCACCCATAGCGCCACCCGCGTTATTGAACACCCATTCCTCATCCAGGTTAACATAGGAGCCTGCAGGACCCTGGCTGAGTTCGCCAACAATTTGAGCAACAACAGCCCTAGTGTCGTTTCCGTGGTTTGAGATCGCCCTCTTGGAAAGCTCGTGCAGTTGTTGTGTGTCGAAAACGTAGAAATTTTGGAGATTTTGTTCCATAAAGTAAACAATGGCTGAAAAAATGGCGATAACAAGCGCGATGATAGAAAAGGTGTTTGCTCCGCTGCTGCTTCGCGCGGGCTTCGAGCCGCTGTTCTTTTTTGCCGCCATGTTTTTATTTTGCTTGAGGGTGTCCGGAGTGAAAAAGAGGCAATTCCAGTGTTTCGATTAGCCTCCTTTGTCTATCGGTTTTGTACAAGTCGACGACATCAACAAAAAAAAATCAGCCCATTCTGTATCTCCGAAGTCAATCTCCGGGTAGCCGGTTGAGGTCCGTGCCCCGGATCAGGGGTTCACCGCCGGCATCCGCGGGAGTGGTCGTAGGGCTGAGCGTCGACCACTCGACTGACTGAGGAGCAATCGAATTAATTATCGAAGAACAACATCGAGCACACTCATGTGTCGTGTTGCGCAAGCACGTATTGGGCAACTCTGACTGATGGCGGCGGCACACTGGCTGCGAGTACTGCCGTTTTAGCCATGTTTCCAGAACATGTCTGACCTCCAGAGGCGGACGCCTTAGCCCATGCACAGAGTGAGGTTTCTCTCGTTGATAGGATCCGCATAGTATGTGAGTATCCAGAAGCTCACAGTCAAACTGTTGTCTCAAATAAGTACGATGCGCTGTAGCATCCGCCAGTCCCGCATGTTGCGCATGTACCTTGACCGCGGCAAAGACCCCTCAGTGGCAACGGACGCTGGCATTGGTCACCGATGATCTGGCATATCACAAGCTTGGAATAGCACACCAATATGCGTGTCTGAAGGCGGAAGCAGAGTGATCACCAGAATCTGCTCTCTGGAAATCAATACCAACATTGAGACTCTCTTACCTTTCCGATAGCTTTATTAAAAGTTTCGCAAGAGGTAGCCCGGTCAGGTGTAGCTTCTTGACAACTATCTTGACGTCAATCGAGAAAACACTTCCAGACCAATCAATCGCATTCCTTGTCGCTCTCACTAGCACGACACTGCATCTGGCTATTGGTCTACGTCCGGTTCCCGCGTTCGGCCTTTCGAATGCCTCTCGCTGCCCACCTGCCTGCGCTTAAACGCAATGCTGACAGTCGACAGAGTTCCTGATGCAGTGCTTGTGCCGACATTAGCCAGGAGATCTGTCTAGGCCACCTCCCTGGATGTTACGTGCATTGAAAAGCCATGCGTGACGGTCGGCCCTAGCAGTGTCTTACCATAGATTCTTGACTTGCCCTGTCCGAATTCTACTGACAAACACAACACTCTGTCACAGTGGGACTCCAAGAGTGGTTGGAAAAGAATCATTGACCATTGTCGCGAACCTGGCTTCGCCTTCTTCGAAACCGCAAGGAGCGGGGGAGGCAGACGCCATGCATGAACCCGCAGCGAGAAGCCAATACCTGAGCGAGTCACCTTTCTTCAGCTATTGACCTTGCAGATCGGTTGTGCTCACTGCTCACCACACCTGAACGCGCAGAGGTGTACTCTGTACAGTATTCCTGCAAGATCAGGATAGCACTATTTGCCTCGCTAATGCAGCTGACTGCGGTGTCAATGGCTCATAACGCAGAGAATGTCCTGCTTGTCTTACATCTTCCTCTCCGCGACTTTGCCCAGTACGCACGTTCTGAAAAGTGTCGCACCAAAAAAAAAGACATGTCGAACCAACCAAGAACCTCTGGGTTTAGGTAAATATTTTTATGGGCCCTTATACCGCATATTCTGATCAAGAAAAGGGAGGCTATATCTCCTTATGATGAGCAAACACATTCTACGCCGCCCTCATACCAGCAATGGCCAGAGATAACCCACAGTGTCTCGCCTCAAGATCCCGCCGATATGAGTTTCGCTGGGAAGCACGGGCCAATAGGAGACATCAGTGTTTCATCACCAGGTCTTGAATCGGTCTGGGAAGGTGAAGGTGACAAGGAAGTCATAGTGGAACCGATCACACATATGTCAGCATCACCACCTGAGCGAAAGTCTGCAAGGATTTGTGGTCTCAAGCGTGGACTTTTCCTGCTCTTGCTGGTTGCTGCTCTGTCAGCAGCAATAGCACTTGGTGTTGGATTAGGCGTGGGACTTGGGACGAAGCGCAAGAATGAATTGCTTGCTCAGGTGACAAAAAATACCACGACGCCTGGCAACTCGTCCGATTACTTGGTCGGCGGTGCTCTTGATCCTGCTTACTACTCGTTGGAAGGTGCTTTCAATGGTAGTGGTTTGGCACTAGCATCTCAGTCGTTTGGATCCGGCGAATATGGTGAGCTTGTTTTGTACTTCCAACATCATTCTGGGTCAATCAGATGGCAAAGATTGACACCAAACAATGGCTGGCTGGGTGGAAGTGCGTCTGAGGTCGTCGCAACAGATGCTAAGAATAGCACACCCTTGAGTGCAGTAGCTTACAGTCTCAATGGGATATCTACAGTAAGATTGAGTCTTGGCTGAACTTACTTTCACGCTAACTCGTAACAGTGGCATCTTTTCTACGTTGATAACAGCAATCGTCTTCGCGAGAAGATCAACAGTAATGCAACAAACATATGGGAAGAAGGGTCGTTGACTGGAGAGAATCACTTAGTCCTAGACGCCGACCAAGTGGGGATGCAAGCATGCTGGTATGGGAACGACTATGGAGATGTCGACTACAAACACAGTCCTTTGCCAGACCAAGACAATAGCACAGCCAACAGCACCACAGACTCCGGCACAGATGTCGGCATGCATCTCTGGTATGCCTCTGGTGATACTACGTTCCAACAATTAGGCTGGCGGCATGGTGACAAGAACTGGACATACCAGCAAGAGTGGGATGATAAAAATGGACATGCAGGCGTTGGCTGCTACTCCTGGGGTAAAGGCACAACTACATACGTCATGATGGTGAATTCTCACAACACGGCAGAGATCTGGTGGAAAGATACTAACATCAATGCCACTTCCACCTCCGCCCACCCTATCAACCAGTGGACAAACAGCTCAGTGGCTATAAACAACGTCCATCCATCAACCTCTCTTGGCTATACGAATGCCTTCTATGCTCAAGGTATGGACGGCTGGATTACAGGATATGATATGGTCTGGACTTCTGAGAACACCACCATTAACGGCAGCTTTAAAGTGGACCTCAGACAGGGGATACCCGGGACTCATCTGAGCGTGACTACACTGCCAGACCAAAGTGGCGGGGACAGTCTGTGTGTTTTCTACCAGACAGAAGGAAGTGATATCATGTTTGCGACCAGGGATCTTGTCCAAGGTGCTTGGACAGCAGCAGCATTGGTAGTACCAGATTCCTGATGAGGCAAAGATCGGTATACTGCTGCTCGAGTTCGTCTCTCTCGGGTGTCACAAGACCAATTGGCGATACCTCTACTATCACAAGCCCCTCAGCATACCGGGGAACTTGTAGCAAGAAGTTCTGTATTTTGCACATAATGCTCTCGTTTTTAACTGTTTATGGCCGTCTCTTGTTCATACCTTCTCCATGCATCGCTCCTGCATCATTCGCTAACCGCCTGTGGAGAGTCGATGGTCCCTTGTAGAGTATGGCGGTCGCTCTCTCTGCTTGAAGTGCTTTTGATCTTGTTGACGCAACTATGCCTTCTTTCCCGACTTGGGAATGGTCTGTGGCTAGGGGAATGGCAAGTCTCTTTTGCTCTTAATTGTTGCCCGAGCTCGATCTCGAGCAACGCTGAGTATAAGATCGGGGGATGCAGCATACATGAACAGCAATGATGGTTTTGTTTACAAAGAAGGCTTGTTGTACATTTTTTGTTTATAAAACGACATTCTAACAATGCGGCAAAGTCTTGACCTTGGTAGATTTTGTCAACGCAGCGACATCCTTGACGTATTGCGCCCAGCTGGTCGAAAACTCTTCGTACCCACTGCTCGTAGTGATGAAGGTACCGTTGTAACCAGCGGCAACGATGTTCTTCGTATCAGTGTTCAGTTTCGCGTTCGAGTTTTTCGGGTAGTCGTGGATCATGACCGTGCTCTTCTGCCTCAGACATTCTGGGATCTTGTTCTTGCCTCCAGCAGTCCAGTCGGCATAGGAGTTCTCGTACGCATTGACGTAGTCGGCGTATTCGTAAAATTTCGCGTCGATGGGGATGCCCGGATTTGTCCAGACTTGCTGGTGCGACTTTGGCATGGTTTTATGAACGTAAGTGTGAATGTCCTTCATGTAGGAAAGGTCCTTGGTTTCGTAGGGCGCTTCGTCAACGAAGATGCCATCGAGGTGAATGTCGGTTTTGCCTGACTTCTTCCAGGTCGAGTAGGTGGCAATCTCCTTTTGTACGGTGGCAGCCTTGCGTTTTCCGTAGTTGATGTGAACGTAGCCAAACAGTTGCACGTTACTGTGAGAGCGAAGGGACGTGACCGCAGAGATAATCTCAGGTTCTGAAGCGCCGTCAGAAGGACCGGAATTGGGATTGATGATCACGTTGAAAGTCGTGTTTGGAGACGCAGAAATGGTGTTGTAAAGAGGCTGCCAAGCGTTGGGGGTTGGCCAGATGTACAATGGTACTGCGACCGCCATGGCTAGATTGACCATAATGCTTGATTTTCGATGTCGTTTTGGTCGTGATTGTCCTTGATAGAGAAGTGTGCTAGAAAGAAGACGAAACGTGGTGTGCAAAGCAAATCAAACACAAGGATGTGACGAAGTGATCGATTGACGGAAAGACAGAATACTATCCCGATGAGCAGACTTGCTTCGAAACTTATATCAGCACCGCCCCTTCCTTCAAGGAGGAGTAGCAATAAGAAGAGGATCTTTTAGGCTTCCAATACATGCCAGCGAAACGTTTCTGTAACGGTTGATAGCACGCACTCCAGACACGTCCGAGCCCACTACCGACGGCGGTTGAGATATAGAAGTGCATTTCCTAGAGACATGAGCTTGGGTGAGAGCAACGTTCAAGTGGTCGAGATGTCAACATTGATCTCGCGTTCAGGTGTGGTGTCGCCCTGAGGGCAGTCGATGCTTCAAACATCTGTTGCCAGATCTTCTGATGATCGGGGCGGCGCTGCGTAGCATACACTCATCAAGACTGTTGATATACCACAAAGGAAAGAAGCATGGATTGTGCACTCCAACAATGAGCAGTGAGTAGTTAGAGTTTGATAAGAACAGGAGGCAAGGTTAGGCTTTCTTCGCAATGCCAAGCCTTGTCGCAGTGATTTGTTTGGAAGGCTTGAGCTCAGATGGCGACTTGATGTGGACAGTTGGCAACAACAGTAGAGCAGGAAGTCCACATGAGCCTTCGACGTTTCCTGCTCCACCTCAGACAATGGTCTGATGCCCATTTACTCAGGCTGAGATCAGAACCAACACAAACACAATGTAACCCGAACATCTGGTGACTTTCACCTTCTGGTCAGATGGATGCAATTGTTCCTCTGCGACTCGGCCAGCCGCAGCGAGCGAGTCGTCTCTTATGCCATGAGAACTGGCAGTGGGTCTCGACGACGGACACCACTGGTACCGAATGATATGACCAGGTAACAGCCTGCCGTCAAGCCATTGTGTCCTCGGTCTGCTGGACCGGAAAGCACTATATCGTGCTGTCTCGAGGAATTGAATCCAAAGACAGGGTGATATTGTCAACAAGCTTCTGGGCAAAGTCTAAACTGCACAACACAAGATTAATACACATGTTCATGATGCGCTCACTGTGTACAAGCTAGTTCTGGTTAGAGACGGCCATGTTATTAACCTAGCTTCCTTGAATTAGGATGATCCGAGGGCCATTGACAAAGACAGATCACTCCCTGCAAGTCTCTTCACTAGAATACCATCTTTGCAGTAGTATCTTCGATGAGAGAAACCCGCACTTGCAAATATGTATGTGAGTCTGTCCACAATAATGCTTGATCACTTTGCTGCAAGACCAGACTTCGTACCGACGATTGATACCACATCCTCGTCACATACAACATGACCCAGACCGACCCTTTGAGGGATGTGTTTGGCGGAAGCACCCCATACCAATGCATACTTGAAGCTCTCCTTCAGGTTGCGATGGATAGCATCACACACGTCTTCGATAGTCGAGTTTCCGCGGACGATGAGAGCCTCGCTGAAATCCGGATCAATGCCCTTTCTGTATGATTGTCAGTCTGTGCAGCAAACAAGAAGAGCTTAGATGAACCTGCCTCTTGGTGTAAACGCGGATCAAGCGAAGTTCTTCCCAGCAACGATCTACGACGTCTCTGACTCCAAGGTCGAGCTCGCAACTCATGATAACGGTGTTTGGTTCTCTTGCTAGCATATCCATGTGATCGAGGCCGATGACGTCGACTTTGTTGTAGACATAAAGACTTGAAGGAGTTAACTTTGGCTCATGCTTACGAATTATGACAGACTTACCATCTGATATATGTGCGGTGATCCTTCATGATAACATCGATAAAATCGTCGACAGTGACTGACCAATGTTAGTTTGAGCTTCGCAAACAAGCCCGCCAGCACTTACCATTCTCATCACGGACAAGGACTTCACAATTCAGAATCTTGTAGTCACGAAGAATATTGTACAGCATCTTCTCGTCCAGACCGTTCTTCGGAGGAGTTTGGAAGGTGATCTTCATGCCTCCAGCCTTCTTGGGCTTCAAGTAGATGTTCCTTCCTTATTATCAGCAGTTGGAGGTGCATATATTCGTGGATACTTACGGGGGTTCCTTGTTCAGTCTGATGCCAACGGCCTCCAACTCAGCTTCCAGTAGAGCTCTTTGCTCGGCTCTTTTCGTAGCATCCAGCACCATCAAGATCATATCACTGGTCTGAAACTGTCAGCAGTAGCACGAAACAAGACAGTAGTCGAGTAATGTACCTTTGCAGCACTAATGACCTGTCTTCCACGACCCTTGCCTTCTGCAGCACCCTCGATGATACCCGGTAAATCGAGAATTTGGATCTCAGCACCTCCGTACTCAAGTACACCAGGAATGGCAGTGAGTGTGGTGAAAGCATATGCCGCAACCTCGGATTTTGTTTTTGTGATCTTGCCCATGAATGTTGATTTTCCGACTCTGAGAGCCAAGTAAGCGACGAAAAGCACATCGGAAAGGATAGACTTACGAAGGGAAACCAACGAGCGCAATACGAGCGTCACCACTCTTGCTGACATCGAAACCTTCTCCACCAGGACCGCCTGCACCTGGGCCGGGCTCTAATAGTTGCGCTCTCAGACGAGCGAGCTTTCTAGAAGACAATCAGCAGCTGATGGCTTCTACAATCCGCAAGTACTGACCCTTTGAGAAGACCCAAATGATATTCTGAGGATGGTGTCAGCGCCAAATTTCGATGTTGTGGAAGTATGAATTCGAATCGCACCTGTTGCCTTGTTCTCTGCGACCTGTTAGCTATCTGTCAATATGTTCACCAGACAGATCTACATACTCTGCGTTCTAGCCATCTCGGCCTCAATCCTGCAGACCATTAGTTCCACCCTCCAAATTGTTTTCTTTGTTCTTCGTGGACGCACTCCTTGATCTTCTCCGTAATGTTTACCATCTTTGCGGTGAGAGGGGAGTCTCTGCTCTCCTAACGAAACGGTAAAAGGTGCTTGTAACGAAAACAGATGGTTGGTCGCGGTTCAATACACCCTGCACACAAGCTCACGATTTCTTTGGCAGACGTTCTCAAAGCCCGGCCACACCAAGAGGCTCCTTCGCCCGCAAAACGCTCGGGACTGCTTCTGAGCACAGACCACATCTAGAGGACCTCGAACGTCATAGAGGCCCTTCCCAAAAACAGCTACGCGTGAATCGCGACCTGGTTTCCTCGAATACTGTAACAGGTTAGACTCGATCGTGGACGGAGACGTGATGTCGTGGACGATTTGTTTCTCGTAGCATCTTTTCCTTCCACGCCACTGACAATAGAACTAGTGTTTCCCGAGGAACTCGTCAGTTCTCCGGAGCCAGGACTCATTCGACTTACCATCTTGAGGCTGCAAGTAAATTTCGAGGAGGCGAGGCATGTTCGCCAAAGAAGCTTTGCCAGTCTCACACTACGACGTGACTGCTCGCCTGAATGGACAGTATGACAGTCTACTGGCCTCTGGACAATACTATCCTTTCACCTACCCTTTCGGAACTCTGGGCGCCACAGTGGTGATCATCTATCTTCTCTTGGACCACCGATCACGGCCATGGCTACGAAAGGCTCGTTATGCAGCATGGTCATTCATCACGGTCTTCGCCTTGTGGAGCATCAAAAGTTTCCGTGCGCGAAATCCGGCGGCGGCCTTTGGTGTGGGTCTGATATCAGCTTGGTCGATACTGTGGTGTAGTATGATGCTGGTAATCAAAGACGTCCAGCTTGACTTCTCCAGAGTTGAAAGGAAAGAATCGCGTTTGGATTTGGTGTCTGCATCAACGTCGTCACAGACCGCCGAGTCCAACGGCCATGCAAGTGGTAACGCTCATCAGGATGGCTCGACTCTGCATGCTCGTAGCAGCAAAGTGGGCACGACACAAGCACCCGCTCAAAGGACCGGCACACTCGCCTGGCAAGCTTATCCTGCAGGTCCATTTGTCGAACGCCTCGACTGGGTTGCCGATATCTTCTCTAACTTCAGGGGCATGGGCTGGAACTGGCGAATTTCTGGACTACCCTCCCCACCACTGTGGGTACAAGCTCAGATATCTGGCAACTCAGGCACACCGCCCCCAGAAGAAGACGAAAAGAAGACTCAGATTAGTCGTACTGGTGTACGTCGCTATCACGACAATTCATCTTTGCTCAAAGCCAACCTGTGGCTTGTCTGCCGCGATGTAATAATCCTTGACGTCCTCAAAACCCTTATCTCACATGACGCTTACTTCTGGGACGGCAATGTCTCGGCTTGGCCTAATTACTTGCCAGCCTACCTTCACGCATTTCCGGTCATCGTCCGCAGTGCTCGCCTACTCATCAGCTTGAGTGCTGTTTACATAGCATTACAGGCTATCTTCGCTCTGGGTCCTCTGTTCTTCGTCGGAATGATTGGTCCCCGCTACATAGGCGCACGCGGTGAGGCCTGGATGTACCCTGATAGCTTCGGCTCCTTCGACAACGTTCTCGACAAAGGTCTTGCTGGCTGGTGGGGCGGTTGGTGGCATCAATCCTTCCGCTACGCATTCGAAGCACCAGCCACAAAGTTAATGGAGCTAGCGCAAGTGAAGCCAAAGTCACCGACTGGAAAGTTCATCTCGTTGACAATAGCTTTTGTGCTGTCGGGAGCACTGCACGCTTGTGGCAGCTACACGCAGATGGGTCACACGTATCCGCTTTCTGGCCCTTTTCTGTTCTTCATTTCGCAGATCGGAGGTATAAGTGCTCAGCTTGCGATCAACTCGCTTTTGCAACAGATTGGTGTGGTGCAACGATGCCCACGATGGCTGCAACGTACAGCGAACTTCATCTACGTACATGTATGGTTCTACTATACTGCACCTCTGCTTTGCGATGATTTTGCACGTGGCGGTATTTGGCTGTTTGAACCCTTGCCTTTCAGCCCACTTAGGGGTCTGGGTCTAGGCGGACCTGGCGATGGATTCTGGTGCTGGTGGGGAGGTATTTTATGGTGGCACAAGGGAGACCGATGGTGGAACACTGGGCTTGCTCTGTGAGGCTTATCAGTGGTGACCAAGTTCTCAGCATTTCACGACAGTTTAGATATAGATGAACCATCTTCACGTATAGATATTCAACAATGCCAAAGGCAAGTCAGCCGAATCCGAAACTGTCGCAAGTAGATTTGATCTCGAAACAACAAGAAGAACCACCCCAATAGAGAAAGAGCTTGCCGAAACCCATGCGCGCATGACAATGAAATCGGAAGAAAATAAGAAAACTAGAACAAAACGGTTTCTAAGAGGGGGTACTGGAGTTGCGCCGGCTTATACACAATGGGTCTTCTTTCTCTCTCTCTCTCTTTCCCTCAAAAACCTTGGACCATAGCCCCCTGTGGCCTACTAAAACATCAAGTGGGTATTACAGAGTGGGTGCTCGGATTTACATCAAATCGCGCTTGATGAACTCTGCGTGCATGGTCTTACCAAGCGAGGCAGGGCTGCGCTCGACAATGACACCAGCAGCCTCGAGAGCGGAAATCTTGGAGTCGGCACCACCCTTACCACCGCTGACGATGGCACCTGTTGACAACGTTAGAATGCTAAAGCGAAGAGAAACACGATGTTGGAGTCTACTCACCAGCGTGACCCATACGTCTGCCAGGAGGAGCAGAGATACCGGCGATGAAGGAGACAACGGGCTTGTTGGCAGTGTTGTACTCCTTCAGGAAGTCGGCGGCGTCCTCCTCGGCGGAACCACCGATCTCGCCAATCATGATGATACCGTCAGTCTCGCTGTCCTCGAGGAAGACCTTGAGGCAGTCGATGAAGTTGGTACCAGAGAAGGGGTCACCACCAATACCAACGACGAGCGACTGACCAAGACCGGTCTGGGTGGTCTGGTTGACGGCCTCGTAGGTGAGAGTACCGGAACGGGAGACGATACCGATGCGACCACGCTTGTGGATGAAGCCAGGCATAATACCGATCTTGCATTGTCCCTGTGAGATGGTCAGAGATGTTCATGGGCGAGCATGGATCGTTTTTGAATCATACCGGAGCGATGATACCAGGGCAGTTGGGGCCAACAAGTCTGGTCTTGCCCTGGGTCTTGAGGATGTCGGTGATGCGGACCATGTCGTGCTGGGGGATACCCTCGGTGATACAGACAACGAGAGGAATCTCGGCCTCGATGGCCTCCTCGATACCCTTTGCGGCAACGGGGGGAGGGACGAAGATGGCCGAGGCGGTAGCGCCAGTCTCCTTGACGGCGTCGGCGACGGTCGCGAAGACGGGCTTGCCCAAGTGTGTCTCTCCGGCCTTCTTGGGGTTGGTACCACCAACAACGTTGGTGCCGTACTCGATGGCCTGCTGGGCGTGGAAAGTTCCCTGCTTGCCGGTGAAACCCTGGAAGAGGACCTTGGTCTGGTCGTTGATGCGGAGGTTTGTGTTTGTGGTCAGGTAGGGGGACGAGGCGCTGCTGTAGGGGCGCGAGGCCAGGCGCAGGGCGGAGCCCAGGGGCTTTCTGAAGCTCTGCATTGTCGACGGGAAAGAGAGGAGTGGTGGGTAGGCGGGAAGGAGGTTGTTTGGAGACACACGAACTTCTTCGATTAGCTGTTTCCCTCTTTTGCGCAGGAGCGAGCAAAGCCGCAGCAACCCTCCGACGCCCGCGAGCCGATGTTCTACCGCTCGCCCAGACCCTCAGCCCTACGAGTCCCGCGGCATCTCAACTTCTCAGCCAGAAGTCTGGGGCACGAATCGACTTTTGAGCTTTGAACTTTTTGTCGCCGACCCTCGACTTTGACATTTCCACTGCTCACCAACCTCTGTTGGACAGCTGACTCTTTCACCAATAACACTCGGGAAGGCTCTCAGGCTGTCAAACTCCATCGAACCTCAAACCCACCACCCTTCGCCCTTGCCCACGCCCACGCCCTAGCCCCAGCCCCAGCCCCAGCCCGCGCCGCTGCAGGCCCAAGCTATAACCCACAATGGCGACCATGACCATGACGGCCACCGAGCCCAAGGCCAAGCACTCGCGAGTCCCCAAAGGCGTCAAACTGCCCCCAGAGAACGAACGATACATGCGCGCTTGCGCCGACGTTGCTAGCGCCCTGGTCGAGGACTATGAAAGCCAGCTGGATGGCAAGAAACCCAAGAAGGACCTGAACCTCAACACCCTGCGCAACAATATTGCAAAAAAGCATTTCCTCAGCAACACCCCGCCTCTTACCGCCATCATCAATGCCGTCCCCGAACATTACAAAAAGTACATTTTGCCTCGCTTGATCGCAAAGCCTATTCGAAGTGCCTCTGGTATAGCCGTTGTCGCCGTCATGTGTAAGCCGCACAGATGTCCTCACATTTCATACACTGGAAACATCTGCGTCTACTGTCCCGGAGGCCCCGATTCGGACTTTGAATATTCGACTCAGTCATACACCGGATACGAGCCGACTTCGATGCGTGCCATTCGCGCGAGATATGATCCCTTTGAGCAAGCAAGAGGAAGAGTGGATCAGATCAAGTCTTTGGGTCATTCGGTCGACAAGGTGGAATATATCATCATGGGCGGCACGTTCATGTCGCTTCCCGTCAGCTACAGAGAAGAGTTTATTTCTCAGCTACACAACGCTCTGAGCGGCTTCCAAGCGACCAATGTTGATGAAGCTGTTTTGGCTGGTGAGATGAGTAGCACAAAGTGTGTCGGTATCACCATCGAGACAAGACCCGATTACTGCTTGGATCAGCATTTGAGCGATATGCTACGTTATGGATGTACCCGCTTGGAGATTGGCGTCCAGTCACTATACGAGGATGTCGCTCGCGACACCAACAGAGGTCACACTGTCGCCGCAGTTGCAGAGACTTTCAAATTGGCCAAAGATGCAGGCTTCAAGGTAGTGAGTCACATGATGCCTGATTTGCCCAACGTCGGTATGGAAAGAGATCTGGATCAGTTCAGAGAGTACTTTGAGAACCCAGCCTTCAGAACAGATGGTTTGAAGATCTACCCTACACTCGTCATCCGAGGTACTGGTCTGTACGAGCTATGGAGAACGGGTCGCTACAAGAACTACACACCCAACGCGCTGATCGATCTCGTTGCTCGCATTCTGGCATTGGTGCCGCCATGGACGCGCATCTACCGTGTGCAGCGTGACATTCCGATGCCTCTGGTAACTTCTGGTGTCGAGAACGGCAATCTGCGCGAGCTGGCCTTGTCACGTATGAAAGACTTTGGCACAACTTGTCGTGACGTCCGAACGCGCGAGGTCGGTATCAACGAAGTCAAGAACAAGATCCGGCCATCACAAGTAGAGTTGGTCCGCCGTGATTACACGGCAAACGGCGGGTGGGAGACATTCCTGGCCTATGAAGATCCCAAGCAAGATATCTTGATTGGATTGCTGCGTCTACGCAAGTGCAGCTCGACGCATACTTTCCGCGCGGAACTCACTGGTCAGCCCACGAGTTTGGTTCGAGAGCTTCACGTTTATGGCTCGGCAGTTCCGGTGCACGGTCGTGACCCGAGAAAGTTCCAACACCAAGGCTACGGTACACTATTGATGGAAGAGGCCGAGAGAATTGCGCGTGACGAGCACGGCAGTGAGAAGCTCAGCATCATTTCTGGCGTTGGTGTACGCAGCTACTACGCCAAGCTTGGATACTGGCTTGATGGACCTTATATGAGCAAGTGGCTCAAGGCCAAGGATGACGAGGAGAGTGACGATGGCTTCTGATGTTGATATTTCTGGTTGCTGGGATTATGGTGCATTTGGTAGAGAAATAAGCATGGGTGGTGGCGTTGAAAGGAGAACAAAGATGAATGAATGGAAGGATCCAAGGTGCAACAGATCAATGATAGGTATAAACAAGGGTAAGACGCCCAATTGCCGCTCAGTTAGAGAGTCTACATGACGCCTAGTGTGTGAGGCAGAAACAGTAACGCCGCGCCGAAGAAGCAAAAAGTGGTGGAGGTGGTCGTGGTGTTGGCGAAGAACAGAGGGACAGATTATCGAGGTCATTTCAAGACTTGGTATCGAGGATTCTAGAAGATGAAGTGAGGTTGTGAGCGGTAGGAGAGGGATCATGACAGTGCGATGGCGCCTCTTGATCTGTCTCGTTGGTGCAGATAAGCTTGGCCGGCGCAAAAGACGAGGAAAGCCTGGAATCAAGTCAGTACTTGGAATGGAAGGAACAGGAGGAAGGGGTTGACATACACCGTAGATAGCGACAGCACCAAAGACGGAGGCGGCGACAGCAGCGCCGTCCTCTGGATCTTCCTCGGAGCCCATGAGAGAGTGGTTGTTTGTCTTGAAGAGAGCACCGATGATGGAGAGGATGACAATGGCAAAGACGGAGATGACGACGCTAGTAGATGGTCAGCACGAAGGTGGGAGCAGAGGTCGAGGTCGAGGTCGATGTCGATGCCGAGGGGCGTACCATGTCCAGGCATTGAAGGCGGAAACGACGGGCTTCATGGTGGATTGAGGCGTGCAGCGGTTGTAGGCGGCAATGCGCTGTCTGAAGTGTGGTTCGGTGGGTGATGGAATGGGTCGAGCGACTGGGCGGGAGCAATCGAGCAAGGATGGAGTTATTCGACAAGTCCAAAAGATGAAGCTGTTGGCCGTGACGAATGTCGAATGTCGAATGTCGCGGGTGAGAGGTCGACGCTTGACGCTTGACGCTTGACGCTTGACGTGCTTCGTCTTGGCATGCCCGCTGGCCATCTCCGCAGTCGACACGAGTACGAGTAGCTGTCTCGAGTGACCCCTCGTCGATTGAGAGTTTGCGACTCGGGACCTTGTGCAAACAGACCGGAGTCAACAGGAGTCGACATGATTTCGGGAATCCTCATCTTCAACCAAAAGGGCGAGAACCTCATCTTTCGCGCCTTCCGCAACGACTGCCGCCCTCGTCTCGCCGACGTCTTCCGCATCCAGGTCATCTCCAACCCGCTGGTTCGCTCGCCCATCTTGACTCTGGGCTCCACCACGTTCAGCCATGTCAAGCATGAGAACATCTTCATCGTTGCCGTCACAAAGGGCAACGCCAATGCTGCCCTGGTCTTCGAGTTTCTATACCGCTTGATCCAGCTGGGGCGCTCCTATTTCGCCAAGTTCGACGAGGAGGCCGTCAAGAACAACTTTGTCCTGATTTACGAACTGCTCGATGGTTAGTCAATCCACACGATAACCATACTGCTGTACTGCCCGTACTGCCCGTACCGCCCTTTGCTCACTACCTGCCCAGAAATTCTCGACTTTGGCTACCCTCAAAACACCGACACCGACACGCTCAAGATGTACATCACCACCGAAGGTGTCAAATCAGAGAGGAACCTCGTCGTACGCCTACCTCTGATCCTCCCCCATCTATACCATCGCTCACATGCTACCAACAGGAGGACTCGTCCAAGATTACCATGCAGGCCACCGGTGCCATGTCTTGGAGGCGTGACAATATCAAGTACCGCAAGAACGAAGCCTTTGTCGACGTTATCGAAGACGTCAACCTCCTCATGTCCGCGAACGGTACCGTCCTGCGTGCTGATGTCAACGGCCAAATCGAAATGCGCGCCTACCTCTCCGGCACTCCCGAGTGCAAGTTTGGCCTCAACGACCGTCTGACCCTGGGCGAAGAAGCCCTAGCCTCGCCCTCTGGAAACATGGCTGGCACCAAAGCTACCAAAGCTGCTGCTGGCAGTGTTACTCTCGAGGACTGTCAGTTCCATCAGTGTGTGCGTCTGGGCAAGTTCGACACGGACAGGACAATCTCCTTCATTCCTCCGGACGGCAGCTTCGAGCTCATGCGCTATCGTGCCACCGAAAACATCAACCTGCCCTTCAAGGTCCACGCCATAGTCAACGAGATTGGCAAGACCAAGGTTGAATACAGCATTGCAATCAAGGCAAACTATGGTTCTAAGCTCTTTGCGACGAACGTTGTCATTCGCATACCGACTCCTCTCAATACTGCTTCCATAACCGAGCGCACGTCTCAAGGCAAGGCAAAGTACGAACCTGAACACAACAACATCGTTTGGAAGATTGCTCGCTTTACTGGTGGTTCCGAGTATGTGCTCAGCGCCGAAGCTCAGCTTACTTCCATGACCAACCAAAAGGCTTGGAGTAGACCGCCGTTGAGCTTGAACTTCTCCCTGCTCATGTTCACGAGTTCTGGTTTGTTGGTCAGATACCTCAAGGTGTTTGAGAAGAGTCAGTACAGCAGTGTCAAGTGGGTGCGGTACATGACGAGGGCGGGTAGTTATGAGATACGGTAAGCCTTTTGCATCTTCCCAGTATGAACCATGTGCTAACAGTTCTTTAGTTTCTGATCGTTGCACATTTGCAATTCCTTGGTCTACAGCATGGCGTCTTTTCCCGTAAGCAAAAAAGCATTTTGCCAGGCAGGGGTTCAACGGCGTTTGTTTCTTATTCTTGTTTCTCGTTTATCAAACGTCTTCTGAGATACCCGCGTGACCAGAGGCCATTTATTGCTCTTCTATTTTGGTCCTTTTGAGCTGGGTCACGCATCAGCCTTTTCTTTCATGTATCAAGATTGGATTGTAAAACAGTTGTGTCGATCATCGTGAGCTGACAGTCTGATGCCCTGAATCACATAACATCCATCTAATAATCGGTTAGCATGAATCTCATCCAGTGATCTACGATCAAATCAGCCGGTCCTTGAAGTGTCGTCGGTTGCACTTCTTGAAGACAGAGGCACGCGAATTTCGAGAGAGCAGAAATGAAGAGAAGTAGTATTCCATTCAATAAAGTCTGTAGTAGCACATGCATTGTCATTACAATCATCGTAAACTCCGTAGCCCTCCCAATCTCCAAGAAAAAGAAAAAAGACACAAGAGAAACAACAAGAAAGGGTGAAAAGCGACATCTATGTATTCCCGAGTCGCGATGGAAAGGAAGACAAAAGGAGAAACAAGAAGAGCCCTGCAGAGGGGGTCAAGACAGTCCAAAGAAAGCATGCTGTGGGAACCGCCGCGCCCCATGAGCCATGAGCCATGCTTTTGGTTGCAGAAAGAAGCCGAAGACAAGAGAAGAAGAAAAGGAGATGACGGAAGGAAATAAGAGAGAGAGAGAGAGGAGGGAATGAGGACGGTTCTGTCTGACCCCCTCTAGAAGATCATGCTCTTGACCTGATGTCTCTCACGTTGCACTGTGCGCGGACTCGTAGGCGGCGTCTCATCTCTCATCGTGTCTTGGTGGGACAGTGTACGTTTGAGCCTGGGCGCGGCAATTCTGCTGTCCTGAGCATCTCGACTGGGGTCGGGCGAGTTCTGTTGTGCCTTGGCTGCTGATTTGGCATCCGATCGTTCCTTGGTCAGGACGACGTCTGTCCATTTGGCCGTGCTGCCTGTCGAAGGTTTGCCAATGGACGAACCAAGTGCCTTCATCCATGCGTCCTTCTCGGCGGCGCTGTCGGCGTAGAAGTCAATGGTTTCGCCATTGGCAAATCTCATTCTGAAACCTTCCTCGACATAATGATAGCCATCGTCCTCTTCAGCAAAAGCAGACTTACGTCTGCCTTTGGTGGGATGGCCTGATGTCGGATCGGCTACCAGAGATTTCTGATCATCGATCAATCTTGTAGCCTTTGAGAGATTAATAGTCGCTCTGGGCTGACGGGTATGCTCGTGGTACGCTGTGAGCTTGGTGCCCTGGAGACGGAAGAAGCGGCGGCGCCAGTATGGGCAATCACCTCCCTGCTGACTCAAGCATCCCTCCCACGACGACTCCTTGACTTGCTCTGCGGCCTTCATCTCTCGGACCGCCGAACTCATACTCTTTGGCATGTGTTCGTCACCAGCGCCCTTGGGCTTGGGGATATACATGAGTTGCAGCTCGAGCTTGCCTACTGCATAGGGCGGGCGTCTGATGGTACCATCACGGCCACCAAAGCCGGGATTACCGTTGTTACGCTTGCTTCGCACACTGCTGACGACATCGGCATCCTTTTCAATGGCCCATTCGTTGAAGCAAGGTACGTCAACAGTCAACTGGCGTCCGAAGCACTGAGACTCGTGAGACTTCAGAGAGACGTATGCACGAGCAAATGAGCCAGACTTGGCATCGACTACTTCGCGCAGCATGTCCCAGGTCGTCGGTTTGGATGAGGCACGCTTGCGTTGCATCTCTTCTTGCTGACGACGCTCGACCTCGGCAGCCTCCTCTCGCTCTTTCCTTTCACGTTCCGCTCTCTTCTTCGGCGAAGACAGCAGACGAGAAAATCTAGAGGTTGACGATTTGATAGGCTTTGTAGGAGAGACAGGAACAGGGATAGACATTTGAGGCTTCGGTGCAGGAGCGGGAAGCTTGGTAGTCAAAGTCAGCTGGAATTCGAGATCCTGGAGGACAACGAGCTCAAACTCCTGGCCAATTGCGGCAGCCTTGCCGAGCTGGAGATCAGCAGTCGTGACGCAGTGCAACCCATTGTCCAAGGTGAGTTGGAAGAACAGACGATCGTCTGAAAGAATGTTAGTTGTGGTTAGAGATAGCTGTTGTCCAAGTACTTACTGCGTGGCAGTGGTAGATCAAGTTCCTTCACGCCGACTACTTTGACGAACAATCTTCCTCTCTCCTCACCATCACCGGACTCATCAGTGGTCATGTATTCATCAACCTTTCCTAGCGAGCTCTCATGACCAGGTAAGGGAGGAGCCGGGCCACCAACATTGGATTTTCTGCCAGAAGATCTCCTGGAGCTCTTTCGTCTAGTCTTACCGTTCCATGGCTCGGTCGTCAAGAATTTCTCGCCCGCACTCGATTTACGAGGGCTGCGCATACCCTTACCCGCGGCAGGAGGATTGGCTTGAGAGTTGGGAGAGAGCGGTCGTTGGCTTTCATCACTGAAGTTTCTATTACTGGCGATGATGACCTTGGTGTTCTGACGCATCAGGTAACCCTTCTGGAAAGTAGTCAGCACGTGTACAGGTGAATGATGAGAGTTGAATCAAAACGTACCTTTTGAGATTCGATCACGCGGTCAAATTCAGCATCCATCCCAAGGCCCATATCATTGTCGAAGGAGCTAAGCGGGAAGTCAAGGTCAAGCTTCATCTCGTGGCTTTGTTCGGAAAGAGCCTCTGGAGATGCATGGGTTTCGGCGTCAGAATGCCTATCGAGGCTGGCAGTTTCTTGGAGAGAAGACTCGGCCATCTGCTCGCCGTCTGCAACATTCAAGAGCCCTTGACTACTGACTTCTTGCTCTGAGTGCGAGTCCGAGCCGCGAGACTCCTGATCATTTTCTTCTTCGTCTTCGGATGAGCCTTGATCGTCCGTTTGGGCCGAATACTCGTCGCGATACTGGTCAGGGATTGCTGGCACCTCGTGGCTCACATGACGACGTTGAGCTCTCATAGCTTCCAAGTCGGCGGGAGTTCCAGATGGTCGTGCCTTGAGCTTACCTTGCGTCCTGATAGTGGCTTTGCGCTCAGGGATGATCGGTGCATCCTCAGGGGGAGGAGACATATCAATCATCGAGCCATGGATAACAGAACCGAAAGACTCGCGACCAATTGTGTGGTCGGAGTCAAACGACTCTCTTCTTCCGTATTCAGCTTCAACGGTGAAGCTGGGCTGTAGCAATTCGGGAGGCTCGAGAACGGAGTGCTTGCTTTGATCCTGTTCGCCTGATGAAGAGGGTGGTGTAGGGGTGATGTAATCCTTCAAGCCAAAGTCGAAGTCGTCGTTGCCCAGGAAGCTCAAAGGAAGACCCATGCTGGTATCGTCTGTACTTTGCGTATTGCCTAGCGGAGTAGCGAACACCTCTTCGTCGACCGGAGACTCTTGATGCTCGGCAGGGATGATTTGGTCGGGTTCCTCCGGTTGCTCATTGATCAAGACTGACATGGGAGACGAGTAACGACTCTCATCATCCTCGGCATGTGAATCATCATCGTATTCAGCATGATGAATAACAGAAGATTGTCTCTCATAGTCATCCATTCTGGGCTCATCAATGTCTTGATGGAAAGATGGAACAGCACTGAGATCGATGTAGCTGTTGTCATCCTCGTCTTTGATGGTGGCCCCGATTCCAGCGTCGAATTGGATCGATGTCTCGCGAGAAGGAATGGGAACATCAGGGTCGAGGTTTGCAAGTTCGCGGTAATCTCTATCAGCGTATGAGACCATTGACTCCTCTTGAAGGTCAGCATCGAAGTGGTCGTATTTCTGAGACTTGACATTGCGCAAGATAGACTCTCGAGATATGCTTGGTGCAAAGTCAAAGCCAGCAAGGTCATCATCCTCGACATCAGAGTGCTCTGAGCCGGCAGTCGCATTCTGTTCGGTCGAATCTGAGGTGTTCTGGGCAGGCTCGTCTCCGTTTTGTGATTTGTGAACATCGGCCAGTGATTCCTGCAGAGCGAGGAGATTCATTCTGTCTTCCAACGACATGTTGGTCTCCCTCATGCGGAGAATCTCATCCTTGGACACCGAAGCGGGACGGGGCGGAGAAGGGAGAGAACGTTGAATGCTGCTTGCACGCTCTGCTGCAGCGGCCAGACCACCTGAATCGACGCGCTCTCTCCTGAAGGATGGCACACCAGGAAGCGGGGGCAGAGGTCTTGCTTCAGCATCTGAATTGGCAGACTCGGACCGACTGGAAGAAGGTCTCTGTTCGTTGGGGGAAATGGTTTCGTGTCTCTCAGTGACCTCGTCATCATCCTCGAAAACATCATCATAGTCGTTGGCGAGATGGCTGCGAGCAACCTCGGGACTCATATGCCTCCAGTCCTCGGGAAGGACAACTGGGGTCTTGTCGGTATCCTCGAGTGAAGCGTCGAAGCTGTCTTCATCAACAGAAGAAGTGCGCTCGAAGCTGTTGTCTTCGTAGTCCTCGGAGTCGTAGCTGCCCTCTCGTGATCCCGATGCGATGGAAGATGGCTCTGGAGTCTGCTGTTCGTATTCGTTGATCTCAGGAGGTGATGTCTGGAATGTCACGCTTTTCGCATGGCGAGGTTGCGCGCGAGGTGTGGCGACTCTCGCATCATCCTCATCCTCGGGCCAATGACTTTGGTCTGATTCGAAGGAGCCAGCAAAGCGACTGTTGGATGTGAGGGAAGATTTGGTCGGTGAAGGAATGTCCCTGCGAGGAGAGCTAGGGGCTGATGTGTTTATGGCAGAAGGACCTGGCGATGGACCGGGAATCCTGGAAGGGCTCAGATCTGCGTCGGTGGGAGATCTGAGCGGGTTGTTCTCCTTGCGCAGACTGTCGAAGCGAGTGAACACGTTGTTCTGGAAGTTGCCTCCCCAGCCACGGTTGCTAAGAGGGCGCTCGATTACCGGAGAGCTCGAGGGATCGTAGTTGTGCTTGGTCTCGCGAGCATACATAGTGCTGTTCTTGACCCGGGACGCCTTTTTGAGGTTCTCAATCGATGAGCGACGGTGCGAAGATGTTCCAGTGGGAGAGGCAGATCGTTCAGGGCGCTCGGGACTGTTTTCCGAGCCAAAGCGAGAGGAAGAAGCGCGGTCTTCCCAGAACATGCGCGGAGAGCGCTGCTGTTGCAGCGGCGACGAGTCGAATGGCGACGAGTCCTTGCTAGCGACCATTTTCTGGCGCGGGGTGTCAGCAAAGGGTGATCGGCGAGCTGTGCCGTCTCGGCTTACCTTTGTGGCCTGGTTATAGCTGGGTGAGTTTCTTCTGCGCTCAGTCGAGCCAATCTCTGATAGAGGGCGCGACATCTTGGTGGGGGAGCCAATCGACGAAGCAGTCGAGTTAGACTTGACAATCTTGAGTGGCTGCACCTGATGGAAACGTCAGCGCATGCGAGAGGACATGCAGAAGGAGAGCCTTACCTCTTCGGTGGCCATTGTTGACGAGGAATGCACGCTTTCCCGTCCAGGGATGGCGGCAGACGATTGCAAGAACAAAAGCGTCGAGGCAGATGCGATTGTCGCGGCGCTGCTAGGGTTAGAAGACAAGAACAGCAGACACTCGAAGGTCGACACAAGAAAGCAATGGTGGATGCGAGGACAGATCGAAGAGAACGAACTTGTATATACACAACAACGTGGACAAAAGGTGGAGACTCTTTGTTATGACAACCGTTTTCTGGCGCTAAGATGGCGCTAAAACCCGGGCGTTTGGTGCCGTCCCGAGCTTGCAAGCTGCATCAAGCTGAGACGGAATTTATTTCTGTCTGCTCAGCCCAGAGCCCATACGCGCATGCTCGGTCCGTCATCTGTCACCCTCGCCGTCGCCGTCTATACACACACGTCCCCATCCACAATGCGACCGTCGGCGTTGTGCCCCTTCTGTGAGGCAGCTGCCTCCATGGCACGCACCACTATCCCGATGCGCTCCACGCGCCACATGGCTACCTCGCACAAGCCGCGGCCTACACGAATGGATCTGTCGCCAAAAGTCGCCCTGCCCGATGCCAAACCTCCGAGACGCCGTACAAACAGCCCTTTTGGTGGTATGAATGTGACGCACGCCGATTTCCGCCATGCGCCCCGTCAACGCCCATCATCGGCCGAGCAAAAGAGAGCTACGCGGAATGCCCCCGACAAATATAAGCCCAAGGATGACAAGGACAAAGACCCTTTCAAGGCCTTGAAGATGCAGCGTGCTTTGAGTCCGCTGTCTTACAGCCATCGCTCTGCTGTCAAGCAAAGCATAGCCGACACCGACACCTTCGACCGCTTTGGCTTGCTACCCACCATACATCAGTCAATCTCCGCTCAAGCATTGAACGGCCTAAATGACACTTCTCCCACACCAATTCAGCGACTTGCTATTCCCGCTCTGCTTGGGACCAGCTCCAAGAAGCTCACAGACGCTCAGTCCATGCAACAATTCCTTCTGGCCGCCGAAACAGGATCTGGCAAGACTTTGGCGTACCTGTTACCAGTCATTGATGCCTTGAAGCGCGCAGAGAACGCGCAGGCTGATCAGGATGCTCAAGTTGAGAAAGAGGCAGCTGCTCGCAAAAACACATTTGAGCTTGAATCTCCACCGCTCTCCAACGAGCCTCATCCCACTACCGGCCGTCCACGTGCCATTGTCTTGGTTCCTACCGCAGAGCTAGTGCAGCAAGTCGGCGCCCTGGCCAAGTCCTTATCCCACACGACCAAGTTCCGTGCTGCTCTTATCTCAGCCAACTTCACCGGTACCGTTATTCGCAATCGCCTGTTTTCGCCCTCAGGCGTCGACCTTCTGATTTCTACCCCACATCTGCTTGCGAGCATCAGTGAAAACGACCCAAACGTCTTGTCGCGAGTCACGCATCTTGTCATTGACGAAGCCGATTCCCTTCTTGACCGCTCCTTCGCTCCTATAACCGGCAGCATCCTCGATCGCGCCACCCCCAGCTTGAAGCAGTTGGTCCTGTGTTCCGCTACTATTCCCCGTAGTCTTGATTCATATCTCCGCAAGCGCTTCCCGGACATCCGACGTCTCGCTACTCCCAACCTGCATGCTGTTCCTCGTCGTGTTCAGCTCAGCGTTGTAGACGTCGAGAAAGATCCTTACAAGGGCAACAGAGACCTTGCATGTGCAGACACCGTCTGGAACCTCGGCCGTGAAGCGGGCGAGGACTCGGTGAAGAGAGTTATCGTTTTCGTCAACGAGCGCGAAAAGTGCTCCGAGTTGTCGTTGTACCTCCAGAGCAAAGGTGTCGATGCCATGGCTCTCAGCCGTGACTCCGACGAGCGCAAGCAGGCACAAGTGCTCGCCGAGTTCACTGGTGCCACTGTCGACTCCAAGTCTAGCACGATCAGTGCACTAGCACAACGTGCTTCGCCTGGCAAAAGGCAACTGAACAACACCAAGGTCCTTGTTATGACCGACCTTGGTTCGCGTGGTATCGACACCTTGATGGTTCGCAACGTCATCCTGTACGATGTACCCCACACCAGCATCGATTTCATTCATCGTCTTGGACGCGTCGGCCGCATGGGACGACGAGGACGTGGAATCGTTCTTGTTGGCAAAGGCGATCGCAGAGATATTGTCAAGGAAGTAAGAGATGGAATGTTCAAAGGCCAAGCACTTATCTAGTCTGTCCGTAAACATCTCTTTGTCAGTGCTGTGTGTCTTCGGGAATGGATAAATCCCCTCTCATCGAGTATTTACCACGTTTTGATTAAATTATGATACCCCTCAAATAGCAGCAAATCACGACTCAACACCAAGCATATCAGCCATTTTTTGTTATCAGTGATCATGATGCATCTTTCTCAAGAAGTAAAATCATGAGATGTGGTGAAGATGTGATAGAAGTGGCTATCACGTGCAAGAGCTGCAAAGGCAAAGGGGCTCAACGACCATCGAAGACGAACTGTTGTGACAAGGAAGGAAGAAGTTGTTGGACCTAGTCGCAATCGTCTGCCGTTACGCGCCCAACAGATGGTGGTCTTCATCATTGAAGTGGTTTCCCCCTCGGTTTGGATGTCTCTAAGATCAAGAAAATGCGATCCAGCAATGCGTCAACACCGCGGAAACAAGACAGAAACGGCTAGTCTGCGCATCTCGAGGATGTCACGGGGTTCGCTGTCGCAACAAAGATATTCCAGAAAACTACACTGCACCAAATATGGGATGCCCCCTGCGAGGCACTGAATTGGTAATGAGCTGCATTGTGAAAGGTGTGACAAGCAGGTACTCTCCGAAGATGGCTCTGATCGTGAGTCCTAATGTGCTATAGCATGAATTTGAGAAACACGTCCTGCTGCTCTTATCGATTTGGGTGTCAACCGGTGCACCTAGTATGAGGTCTGTCCATGTACATGAGACCTTCTTGAGTATGACACGACAGGAATCAGATGCAAAATCGCGATAGTTCAGACAACCCTCGAGGTTCGGTGTTGTTGCCACATGGGTGACCCTGTCTCTCTGCTTCTAGGCCAAAGAGACTAAATGGTGATCAGGTTGGATATCTCAACTGTGAATATAGAGTCACGAGTCAATGAACATGACCAGCTTAGTGCGAATGAGAGAAAATGCCCAGCAAAGAGAGTATCATCGAGCTGCTCGTCTCAAACAGTCAATTCAAAGGTGGTCTACCTCGAGGCTGTGAGTCTGTGCACTGTAGCTGATATGAAGCAGGGCACATTGCGAATGCAGTGACGACAAGGTGAGAACCATTGGATGGAGCCGGGCTTGTGCGTAGTCAATTGACTACACGTATGTCATGTAACAACTATGCCAAAATCGGAGTGTCGCATGGGATTCGGATCCTCATGGAAAGCGGGTTTCCTGTTGCATAGCCTTTGCTCAAGGCTCAAGGCTCAAGGCTCAAGCGAAATGACGAGGGTAAAATACGGGGTCGGGTCAATCGCAAGCGCGGCGCCTCGGCCAACAACCGTGCGCGTCCAACCAGCGGACACTCTTCCCATCTTTCCAGACTCCCTCGGTCGCAAGCATTGTATATTGATTTGTACTGGTGAAGAGGCCTCTCTGATTCACCATGTCTGGCCGCTTCGTTCGAGCCTCAAAGTACCGTAAGCCCACGCACGCGCCGCCCCCTCCAAGCACGCGACACGGCTAACATCTAACCAGGACACGTCTTCGGGCAGTCGACCAAGAAGGTATGCCTGCCTCATCATCATACGCCTCGTCTATGCCCGTACGCCCTCTCTGACGCCGTTTTTCTCTGCAGGAACAATGTTACGACAACCTCCGCATCTCCAAGAATGCCTGGGACACCAACCTGATCAAGGCCAACCCCAAGTACCTCTCGGTCAATTGGGAGGCTAGCGGCGGCGGTGCCTTCGCTGTCATTCCCGTCGACGAGCGCGGCAAGCTGCCCGATGTTCTGCCCCTGTTCCGCGGCCACACGGCTGCTGTCCTCGATACCGACTGGTGTGCCTCACAATCCCCGCGTCCGGTACCCTTTCACCCTGACACCCATTGACAGGAACCCCTTCGACGACTCGATCATTGCCTCCGGTTCCGACGACGGCAAGGTACGTCCTGCACGCCCACTTCTCTCATGTAAACGCTCCATTGACACGCTCTTGCTTGCAGGTCTTCATTTGGCAGGTCCCCGAAGACTTCTCTCTACACACCGATGCCGACGAGCCCACCGATGTCAGCCCTGTCGCCAAGCTGTCTGGCCATACTCGGTACGCAACCATCAATGCTGTAGCTGTTGCTTACTAATTCTCAATAGCAAGGTCGGCCACGTCTTGTTCAACCCCTCGGCCGCCAACGTTCTTGCCAGTTCCTCGGGCGACTGCACCATCAAGCTGTGGGATCTCGCTTCCAACAACCCTCGCCTCACCCTTAAGCACAACGATATTGTCCAGTCCTTGTCATGGTCAGCCGACGGTGGCATGCTTGTGACCACTTGCCGCGACAAGAAGATCCGCTTCTGGGATGTCCGACAGGAAAGACCGGCCCATGAGGTCCAAGGACACCCTGGCGCAAAGAACAGCAGAGCCGTATGGATGGGCGAACACGATCGTGTGGCCACAACCGGCTTCTCGCGCATGAGTGATCGTCAGCTTGGTTTGTGGGATGTGCGCAACCCCAAGGAGCCTATCGGTGGCTTCTCCATTCTCGACTCTATCAGCGGTGTCTGCATGCCTTTCTGGGACGATGGTACCCAGATGCTGTACCTTGCTGGCAAGGGTGATGGCAACATCCGCTACTACGAGTACGAGAACGACAAGTTCGAGTACCTGTCAGAATACAAATCGGGCGACCCGCAACGCGGTATTGCCTTTGTGCCCAAGCGAGGAGTAAACCTGCACCAGAACGAGGTCATGCGCGCCTACAAGACAGTCAACGAGAATCTGATTGAGCCCATCTCTTTCATTGTCCCTCGCCGCGCAGAGGTCTTCCAAAACGACATCTATCCTCCTGCTACTGGCAGTAAGCCTTCCATGTCCAGCGAGGATTGGTTCTCGGGCAAAGAAGCCGCTCTCCCTCCCAAGATTTCTCTTGAGAGTGTGTACGAGGGCGAGACTCCGGTCGAGATCCCTGCTGAGAAGGCGCCCTCTGCCAACCAGGTGAAGAGCACCCCAGCCCCTGGTTCCGTATCGTCCTCTTCAGCTCCTACTCCTGCAGCCGCCTCTACACCTACTCCTGCCTCGCCCGCAAAGCCCGAGCCTACGCCCGCCCCAATCAACAGAGGATCCATGAAGGACAATCAAGTCAGCATGGCTGCTATGGCCGATAGATTCGCCGACAAGGAAGAGGTAGCCGCATCGAAGGTCAACACCAACGATGAGTTTGACGAAGTACCCAAGCCCGTTCAACGACCAAATGCTACTGTTGCTACCAAGCAAGAAGAGAAGACTGGCCTCCGCACTCCCCCACAAGTCCAGACCTTGTCACCTACCAGAACTTCCTCTGCTCCTGCTCCCGAGCCGGTTGCCGAGCCCAGGTCTAATGATTCCAAGTCAACGGTGGCAGAGGCCCCCAAGGCTGCTCCCAGCAGCACAGAGCAGCCTACTACGGCCTCGGGTGCCGCAAAGGGCGCAGCTGAAGGCATCAAGGGTGCCTTGTCAGAGATCAGAGGTCTCTTGTTGCAACAGGCCCAGGATATGGCAGCACAGGCGGAGCGTATTGAAAGCTTGACGAAAGAGGTAGCAGGCCTCAAGAGCCGTTTGGGCGAGTGATGACATCCATCACCTGTAGGATATTGCATGTAATGAGCACCTTTGAATCAAACAGCCAGCAACACCTGTGTGATTGAAGCTTTCCAGAAACATTAATGTGATTGTTGTGGTATTGCCGAGAAACAGACCGGGAATCCAGCGCTCAAAATTGCCGTGGAGCTCATCAAATGATTTAGCGATACACAAGACACACACACTCTCTGAAGAAGACAAGCTGAGAAGGATTTTGGTTGTTATTCATTGTCAACAGATCCAACCTCAATCTGGCTCACGATTTGCTGCAAGAGGGCTCTATCTGTCCCCATCCTTTTAAACGTGCATGGACGCCTCTAAACGCCCTTGAAAATGCATTAGCTTCCGCCCCATCTGATTTTCTTTACGATGCATCCAGCCATTCATAGTCGTGATGATTTTGTTTCTCCCTCTAGAAAGATGCGTTTGCTGCACTTCCAGCGACCGTCTCGGCGGTGATTGTGGCGAGCATGCCTGCGCTTGCAGCAATGAATCCGAGGTAGGGCTTGCTAGGATGGAGGACACGGGAGAGGTACTCGGGGTGGTATTGGACACCGACGAACCAGGGGTGGTCTTTGAGTTCGATGATCTCCTGACGGACGCCAGTCTCGTCCTTGCCAATGAAGTTCAGACCCTTGGACTCCAGAGTAGAGACGTAGTTGGGATTGACTTCATATCTGTGACGGTGGCGCTCCAGAATCTGGGATTGGCCGTCGGCCGAAGTGCCAGATGCGTAGAGGGCGCGCAGACGACTCCATTCTGAGCCAGGCTGCCACAGAGTAGGTCTCAGACCGAGTCTCATGGTTCCACCAAGCTGGCCAGGGTGATGCTCGGGCATGGAAACAATGATGCGGTCTTCGTCGCGGGCGTCAAACTCCTGACTTGTCGAAATGGGGATGGGGATCTCGCAGACGTTTCTGGCAAACTCGATGACGGCGATTTGCATACCGAGACAGATTCCAAGGTAGGGAGTCCCGTTTTCACGGGCCCATTTGGCGGCCTTCATCATACCCTCGGTACCTCTCTGACCGAAACCACCGGGAACTAGAATACCGGAAGCGGTGCAGACGTCGTGCCAGGCTTTGTGGTAGGAGGCAGGGTTGGCGCGCTCGGTCTGGGGCTCGAGGTGTTCAGCGTCAACCCAGACAATCTTCAGCTTCTTCTTGCATCTCATGGCGGCGTGCTCGACACTCTTGACAACACTGAGATAACTGTCGGGACATTCGAGGTATTTTCCAACCAGGGCAATCTCGACGATGTCGGTGACAGTTGCTAAACCTGATGCCAGGTTGTTCCAGGTGGTCCAGATTTCGGCACCCTTGGCGGCAAGGGCTGGTGAGATGGTCATAGCATCGATACGGAGGATGTCGGTCAAGCTCTGCAGGAGACCCTGCTCCTGGAGGAGGATGGGAACTTGGTATGTACTGGGCATATCGCGGACAACGAGGACCTGGGGAAGGGGGACCTGACAGAAGCGAGCGATCTTCTGGTGGGCGCCGGAATCGAGGGGGTTTTCGCAGCGGCATGCAATCTGATCATGGCAGGTTAGTCTGAGAGCAGGGCGAGATAGATGAAGACAAAGTGGCTTACCAGGTCGGGGATCAGACCAGCACTACGCACAGCCTTGATGGCCATCTGGGTGGGCTTGGTCTTCTGCTCGCCGTGGACCAGAGGCACGTAGCTGACGTGGATCTGCATGAAGTTGTCCCTTCCGGCGCGTGCGCGGAGTTGAGTCATGGCCTCGACGAAAGGCATGCTCTCAATGTCGCCGACGGTGCCACCCAACTCGATGATACAGACATCAGGCTCTTCGTTTGTGTCGTCGACAGGAATCTTGGCAACTCTCTCAATCCAGTCTTGGATGGCATCGACGATGTGAGGTACCACTTGGACGGTGTGGCCCAGATAGTCTCCTCTGCGCTCCTTCTCGATAACGTGCTGGTAGATCTTGCCCGTGGTGATGTTGTTCTCACGAGTTAGGGTGATGTTGAGGTAACGCTCGTAGTTGCCGAGATCGAGGTCGACTTCACCGCCATCGTCGAGAACGAAGACTTCTCCATGCCTTGAACACATCAGAACTGAGCGACTACTGTCTTGAAGGACTTGACATACTCCTTGGGGTTCATGGTACCGGCGTCGACGTTGAGATAGGGGTCAATCTTGATCGAAGAGACGTAAATGTTGTCAGCACAAGGAGAAACAAGCAGCGCGGGTCAAACATATCTTCAAACCCATGGTCTTCAGCAGCAGGCCCGTCGACGAGGCTTAACATCGCAATCATGTCAGTGTTGGCGCGCATCCTCGAGAAGGGCTACTCGTACCGATAATGCCTTTGCCGACACCGCTTATCACACCTGGACAAGGCATTAGTCCAGGAACGTGCCATGATTGCTCACGATTGTTTCTTACCTCCGGATACCAATACGTATTTCATGTTTGCTTTGGATATGCACCTTAGGGTCGCCTCACTAGCATATGCCAGCGGGAAGGAAAGAAGGTGGAATTTTTTTCGCGACAACGCCAGAAAAACGCGTTCAGACACAACTTTCCGGGGAAGCAGTGAAGTGCTATGACTCCGCTTGCTGTTGGTCCAAGCTCACATTACTTTCCTTCAGCACTTGTTTCCTTCAGCACTTGTTTCCTTCAGCACTTGCTGTCTGAAGAAGACTGATCGATTCTGACCTTGAGCTTTGCTGACATCCGAGCTCCAGCAGGATCCTTCTCCGATGAATTGGGTGGCCATGTTGGCGGATCACATACATCATAGGTCCTCGTTCGTAAGCAAACATAGCAAACAATTAATGAGGGGTATACACTTCGAAACAACATCTTGAGTGCCCTTGTCTACTGAGCTTGCTGTCAACTCGACTTGCTAGTACGCATCAGTGAGCAGACTCGGGATTGTGATGCGAGACGTCGGAGCATCGAAGCCTGGATCCTACCTGCGTGGGCCATGTTTCGCACTCTTGTGCAATGCACACGAGCTGCGGGGAAAGCTATCGTGAGCAATTCATGACATCAGCAATGGCAGGGGTTGGACAACAGATATAAGAATCGACTCAAGTCCGTGTTCCCTCCACCTGGAGTATAACACTGTTGCTGAAGTCCGGCATGATGCATTTGTTCTCGTCCTTGTCATTGGCAGCAAGTGCTTTGGCTGCAGTTGCTGTCCAAGAACCAACCCATGACCAAGTCCCTCTTGGACCTTCAACCCTTTTCCAGATCCCGACTCTAGGCTTTGGCACCTGGAATCTGAAGGAGAATGCTACCGAGGCCGTCTCTTACGCCATCAGTACTGGATATAGACACATAGATGCTGCAGCGATATATGGAAACGAGGTAAATATGATCCGCGTGCCTTTAGCGAACACTTCATAACAACACACAGAAAGCTGTCGGCAAAGGCATCACCGAGGGCTTGGAGAAAGCCGGGTTGACTCGTGATGATCTATGGGTGACCTCCAAGCTCTGGAATGACCATCATGCTCCTGGCAAGGTAGAAGCGGCCATCGACAAGACCCTGTCTGACCTCAACCTCGAATATCTTGATCTGTACCATATGCACTGGCCTGTTGCTTCTACCAAGAAGGGAAACGAAATATCCTTCCTTGACACCTGGAAGGCAATGGTGCAGTTGGTTCAGTCAGGAAAGACTAGACGAATTGGTGTCTCCAATTTCTCGCCCAACCAACTCGACACTTTGTTGAACCATACAACCCACGTTCCGTTTGCCCACCAAATGGAGCTCCATCCTTACCTTCCTCAGAACGACTGGATCCAGTACCACAAAGTTCGTAACATCCGCGTAACCGCCTACTCGCCTCTTGGAGGAACAAATCCCACCTATCATCAAAAGTCAAAACACATGCCGACTCCGTTGCTGGAGACCGAGGTGCTCATCAAAATAGCAAACAAGCACAATGCCACCGCTGCACAAATCTCACTGGCCTGGGGTATGAGCCGAGGAACCAGCGTCATACCCAAGAGTGCACATGCAGCAAGAATGGATGAGAATCTTGCCAGTAAGCACGTCGAACTTGACGCCGATGATTTGGAGACTATTGATCAACTGGGTCGTGACTTTACCTTCAGATACAACGACCCTAGCAAAAGCTGGAGAGTCAAGTTATACGAAGGCCTTGAGGGCGTGTGAAGACCATTTGTGGAGCATTGCAAGGAGATGAGTGACAGCTGAACGTGGACGTGGAGCAAAAGCGTTACCTGACTTGTCACATTAATTCATAAGTGCCTCTGTTCGTCGCCTTTCCGGGCCCAGGACATTTCATCAGGGACCGTTGTCATTGCGGAAGATAAACTCTGTATTGACTAGAAAAACCAAAGAGCCAACCGAGATGCTGAACTGATATGAAAATTGCAAAGTATTCAGAGTGCCTACATGCAACCATTTACCGGGTTCGCTCATGTGTGAAGCACTTCAGTTTCGAGACGAGAAGTGCGAGATACAAACTTGGATGTGCCGCCAAAATGCCCGTATGAACAAACAAAAAACAAACAACCGGAAGTAGGGTACTGGTAAAAGGAAATACATCTATTGGGAATTGCGCTGGGTCGTGGTCTCGTTCACTCTCTCCTTTTTCTTTTTCTTCGGTCTCTGCTACCGGTGGCCGCTTGCGAGCGTGCGTCGTCGCTGTCCTGATCATCCTCATCCGCGACGTTTTCTCCTTCCTCAGCGCTGCTCTCGTCTTCATCGACATGGCCAGATCTTCTGGTTGCCTTCTTCGTAGCCTCACGGCCTTTTTTGACAGCCACGTTCAAACCTTGCTTCCTCAGAGCTTTGAGCAAAGCACTGCTGGCCCGCATTCCTGGAAATTCTTTTGCAGTATATACCTCAAAAGGTTCTGAGATGATCGAGCTCTGTATGCGGGAAGTGGTTCCAACCGAAAGATTCAGCGGATCAACGATCAACAGTCTAAATTGGAACCGATATCTTCCTGGGTTGCGACAAGAGAGATCGGGAAAAACAAAGAAAGTGCCTCTCCTTCCACTTTCGTCTGTGCCAGAGAATGGAGATGCCACAGCAGTTCCCATAAGGCGTTGGGTGGCTGGTGCGTTTGGATGCGCTGGCTCGATTTGCGACTCGTCTTTGTAGGTCATGGCGTTGATTAGAGTACAATGCAATGTTGTGTATACGTAAGGGGTATTTTCGCTGTCAACTTTTCCGGTTTCGGCATCGATGACTTTCAGTTCAAGAATTGGTGGCGGGTCAACGACTCGGCGATCACGCTCTCCGAAGCCGCATGCTCTGGCGGCTACAGGTTGTTGTCGCATATTGAGTTCGTACCTCAGATTAGGAGACGGAGTAGAGAAGGACGGCAACCGACTGAACTTCTCCGACAGGGCAGACGGAGGTTCCCTTGGCGATGGTCCAGAGTCCAGGGAGGCCGAAGAGGGGCTGTTTGAAGCAACAGGCGGGCTATGTGGCGGATACTGTGGAACGTATTGAGGCGAGACTTGGGGCGGGTATCGAGGCATCTGGAAGACTGGTGCTGTTCGGACATTTGGTAAGGGCAGATGTTGTGGCGTGTTGGCTGTTGGATGCCGGTACGGCCCAGGCAATGGTGGAGAAGGTAGTCCCGGAGAATAAGGACCATGAACAGACACTTGTCGAGACCGAAAAGTTGATTCTTCAGGGGCATCGGACAACAGCTTGGCTATCGGAACTGATCGCTGCACATAATTTTGGGGGTTTGTTGAAGGCCCTGGACGTGACGAAGGCGGCGGTAGAGTTGTGAATGGAGGTTGGATTGATATGCTCGAACGACTCTGTCCAGACGAAAACTGATATCCAATAGAATTGTGTCGTTCGGGATGTCCCAGGAACTGCGGAACAAGGAAATGCTGAGGCCTCTGAGCCTCCGCCGCCATCTCTCTGTAAGAGGTGCTGACAATGCGCGGATGGACAGGCGAAGGAGGTCGCGACCCGGACATACGTGTGGTTGAAGAGTGTGTCGGCCCAGTGAATGTATCCTACAGCTGCATTTGGGGTGTTCCACTCGAGTTTTAACGGTAAATTTGATGCGAAGGGGTATGCTGAGGTAGCAGGAAGATGTTGAAAACGTCCGCCAGGGCGTAATACAGACAGATTCCTGGACAAGTGCAACGGAACGAATTTGATATACTGTGCATGCTCCTGTCACATCCAACTATGTACCCAATCGGCGTGGGTGACTGGGCGCGAGGCGATCGAGCACAGCAGCTGCGAGGCGATCCCAAAGCCAGATTCCGGTTCCGAACCAGAAGAGCCTGCCTTACAAGTGTGAAGCAAAGATGTAAACGAATGCGTGGATTGTGGAAGATACATGCAAAAAGGCAAGCAGTCCTTGCATCCCAAGAAGAGGGTGGGGAGAGGGGAGAGCGGTGGACGAAATCGTGCCAGACCCATTATCTTTAATGTCTGACGGTGGGAACACACAACTCAACTAACGCGAGAGAGCATCTGCACGTACATGCTGCTTTGGTTTAGTGCATTGACCCGTTGTGTGGATTCGGGTAGCGCCCGGCGCCTGTACTGTAGGTCCTTCTGGCGAGGGTATTTTATGAAAAGCGACACGCCGCTTTTTTCTGCTGGCTCCTGCGCCGCTTGAGTAAATCTTTACATCTGGGAGGTGCGTCTCATTTGACCGTTCGGCTGCTAGTCTCGCCTCGTCCGTCTCCCATTTTGTTGGTACTCTGTGATACGAGCCCTGTCTGCCCGTGCATGAATGCGTACCCGGACATGGGTGTCAAACCCACCCAAATCCCTTTTTCATGCTGATGAGCTCGAGGCCAGCGGACCAGGTTTTCATAGCCTTGGCGTCGAACTGGAAGTGGGGATGCATACTAGTTGACCAAGGTACCGGAACAAATGAAGAGGTATGCAGCTCCTTTGGTCGAGCCGAGGTGGTTCAGCCCCCCGTCCGTGCTTGACAACTAGCTATACCGAGCACTTGATGTATGTAACCATCTTCAGAAATGAACGACGAATGCCTGGTTATTCCTGGAAGGTATCATTCTCCTCGATAAGCTGTGACCGGAACAAATGTTTGGAAGATGTCACCATCGATCCTAGTCGTGTTGTACCATGTCTCCAATATACTTGTGCTGCATAGTCGAGTCATCCCCCCCAAGCGATCGGTAAGTGTGTGATAACAAGAATGGAGCCAAGCCGCCCAATCACACCGCAGAGAACTCCTGCATCCCCGACCACAGCTTTTCGTGATTCGTGCAGAGGGTGCATAAAGGTGATCCTAGCTTGTTCTTATCAAGTTTTTTTTTCGGCGAAACGTGCTTGCAAGTTGCAAGTCGCTCGGCCGCTGGCCGTTGGCGACAGCGCGGGCCTACCCGTAAAAACGTGCCTGGACCCTCATTCTTCTTCTTGACAGCAACCCCAGCTGTGGATACCTATCTGAATCCGGTTGGTTTACCATCTCCATGTTTAGGATTCCAAGCGATGACAAGCAACAAGGACATATTGTTGAGGATCTTCACTTGCATACATATTGGACACGTCGATGAATCTGGGTACAGGGAGCTAACACTTGCTTCCGCGCGCCGCGCTCCACTGTTGCGATGACCGACTTGACACTGGTTGTGATGAATTGAGGGTACGAGACCAAGCAGCGACGCGGACACACGTTCTGAATTGGGTGTTGGATAGTCTACTCGTACCCGACTAGGTGATTTTGAACTGTCGGGCAACCTCTATGCCTTCAGCCAGCGTAAGTACTCTCGCGTCCTGAAGGAAGGTACAGTTAGCAAAGCTCGTTGGAAACAAGAACGTCTACGTACTATGGCATATCCCTCGCTCTCGAGCTTCTTGCACTCTGCATAGAGCGTTTTCAATGGGATCGAGAAGCATTCGATAAACTCATTCTCTTCAAGCTCAGGTTTAGGATTCTGGTTGTCGGGGTTCGACATGTCCACATGTACGTGAACCATCTGTAAATTTGTGTTGCAAAAGCCTGGATCTGTCGAACAACAAATTTGAGCGATGGCAGTAACATCTTTGTCAGGGTCGAGCTTACCATTGTACATCACAGGTGTCACTCCTAGATCACCCTTGATGACTTTTCCCACGTAGCCAGTTTCTTCCTTGAGCTCTCGTACGGCGCAAGTCTCGGCGTCTTCACCTTCATCCACAAGACCAGCAGGAACTTCGACACAAATCTTGTCGATAGGTGGGCGGAACTGTTTTTGGAGGAGCAATTCCGAACCGCCAGGCTTTTGCAAGATAGCAACAATGCCTACCGCATCGATCAAGCTATTGGAAGGGCGTGTAGGTCTCACAGCGGATTCCCTATTGATTCAGAGACTTTTGTTAGACTATAGAGTTGGGGTGCCCTACCAGAATTTGGTAACATTCTCGGCATTGTTGTAGGTGATCCTAAGATGTGGGTTATTCAAGCCCAAGCAGTCCCATGTTTCTCAACTCACTTTTTCAATGTAGTCCATTTGGCATCTGATGGAGAAAGCGGCTCTTCTTTGATGACCTTGCAATTTGACAAGAGGGGTGCCATGTTGTACAACTGTGTATCGCGTTCGATAGGCATTGAGTATGACAATAGAAGAATGGAACCATCCTCAAACACGAATGGATGTCGACGTCATCAATTCCGATGGCAACAACGCATGGTGCTGAGTTCGCATGTTACTAACAAGAACCAAAATGTCCCCTATCTCGACGTCCAATACTCGACCTATTGGCCATCCTGGACCTCGAATATGCAGGCGATTTCGAATTCGAAAAGACATGCATGACGCCGGCTCTGACAGCTCGGTTACACAGGCGAGACCTGGGTGACTGGATATTGGAAGTGGTGGCTTGCTCTTTGTCTTCCCTTCTGTCGTCTGCTAACGGAAGCTACATATGATTTTGTTCTTCTCGCTTGCCTACAGGCATCCGTCTCTATAGTAGACACATGTTTGTTTGGGTTGGACTCAGGTTGGACATCGTCAGCACAGGTCTTAAGATCTGCTTGATTCTCATTTGCCTCTGTCTGTGTCATTCAATAAACAATAGGGGCGTTTCCGGCACTTGCTTAATGCCGTCTTGAAGCATCAAGATCTGGAAAAGGCTATCCTAATTTTGCACAAGCAAAAATCCGCGTGACTCGACTTCGATGCGCTGGAGATGCTGAGTCAACGCAGAGACTTAATAATAGCCGCTTGTTGTCAGATGTTGTTTGATGAGAGAGCAGTGGAGTCTATGAGCAGTTGGGTACAAAATGGTCTGATGTGGGGTGATTAGGTTTCCAAAAAGTATGGAGTCGAGATCGTAAGACCCTGTCAATTAAACAATCAAACCTCGCTGGCTCCTTTCTCTGACACGGTTGATTTTTGTCGCATCGATAATTCTGCCTTGGTATGCGTTTGTCCTTGCCTTCCTATTGAGAACTTCCATCATCCTACGCCATGCCGCTCATGCTCGATTCGCCTCCGCCCTCACCCTCTCTCCCCGACGCCTTGGAGTCGCGCCGCCGGGTTCACCATGAAGCAGATGTTGTCATTATTGGAGCCGGAATCCTAGGATGCGCTCTTGCCGTTGCTTTCTCCGATCAGGGTCGCAGTGTCATACTACTCGAGCGATCTCTCAAACAACCTGATCGCATTGTCGGAGAACTCCTGCAGCCCGGCGGAGTCGCTGCGTTGGAAGAGCTGGGTCTGGCCGACTGTTTGGAGGACATTGACTCTATCAAAGTATTCGGTTACGACGTCATATACCACGGCGACGAAGTCACCATTCCGTATCCCGAGAACGCGGGCTCTACCACCAACACCCAGAATGAGAAAGAGAAGAAATCAAGACCAGAAGGCCGTTCGTTCCACCATGGTCGATTCATTCAAAAGCTTCGGGAGCGCGCCCTCAGATGCGCCAATGTCACGGTTGTCGAGACGACTGCTACCGATCTGGTTCGCAGCGGATACACCGGCCAGGTGTTGGGAGTCGAGTGCTCTACCAGAGAGCGCAAGGACTACTACTTTGCCCAGCTTACCGTTTGCGCCGATGGATACGCCAGCAAGTTCCGTAAAGAAGTCAACACACATGCTCCCGTTGTCAAGTCCAAGTTTTGGGGTCTCGAACTGATCGACGCCGACCTGCCGATGCCGAACCATGGCCATGTCTTGATCAGCGACAGTCCTCCTGTTCTCCTGTATCAGATTGGCACACACGAGACGCGTGCTCTCGTAGATATACCCGAGAACCTCCCATCTGCCTCTGTCAGGAACGGGGGTGTCAAGAACCATCTACGTAACGTTGTGCTACCCTCATTGCCTGCACAAGTGCGGCCATCGTTCGAGGCTGCTCTGGACCGTGGCGCTCTTCGCTCCATGCCGAACTCATTCTTGCCCGCATCCAAAAACAGGCATGCAGGCGTTGTATTGCTCGGAGATGCAATGAACATGCGTCATCCTCTGACGGGAGGTGGCATGACTGTGGCCTTCAACGATGCCCTCTTGCTGTCGAAGCTTCTCTCTCCTGAACAGGTACCCCGTTTCGAAGACACCAAGGCTGTGTTGGCTCAGCTGGATACATTCCACTGGAGGAGAAAGAACTTGACCAGTGTCATCAACATTCTTGCGCAGGCGCTATACTCCCTCTTTGCTGCCAATGGTATGTTAACTTTTCTTGAAGATGACGGACAGCAACATGACTGACAGATTCTAGATCCTCAACTCAGAGCGCTTCAGCAAGGATGCTTCCGTTATTTCCAGCGCGGCGGGCAGTGTATCGATGGACCTGTTGGATTGTTGGCCGGCATCATTCGTCAGCCCCTAGTACTCTTCTACCACTTCTTCGCAGTCGCCTTCCTGTCCATCTGGCTCTACGTCACCTCAGGCAATGCCTTACTAATGCCCTTCCGGGCGGTTGGCAGTATCGGGGTTCTGTACAAAGCTTGTGTCGTGCTGTTCCCATACATCTTCAGCGAACTGAGGAGTTGATAAGTATCACAAGCGATGGATGATTTGTTATGGTTTACGCATGGATGGTATAATCGAACAAGCGAGGCGTTCTCATGAGGCATTCGAGGTGTCTGATTTCTTGTCTAAATATATTAATCTAATCAACATTCTCTGTACCAGATCGGATTGAGGTTCAACTTGCATGTTTGGTGACTGACGGGCCAAGAATGTGATGGGGGATTTCTGAAGGGACAGCTCCAGTACTGTAACCCCACATGACGAAGCGCCCTGTGCAGCAGGCTCAACTCTCTCACCTTGGTGACCAGACATTATTTGCTAACAATGTCGACACCTTCCGACACACCTGGCGCCGAGCAGGCTACCGCAGCCGAGCCCAGCGCATCGCCAGCTAAGAGCAACGGTATACAGAGCAACAAATCAGGATGGGACGGCAAGCTACGCCTGGACAAGAACAAAAAGGCGGTACTGGCAAACCCAGAGGCCCTGTCGGATCCCGAATACTCAGACGAGGATGCGCCTCCGGTCGACCAAATTGAAGCGGATGAGGGTACTCGCCTCTGCTCAACCATACCATACACAGGCGCTAACGTCTTTGGCCAGACCTGCTCGAAGACGAGGATCCCGAGACTGAGGTCATCCCTCTCGCACCCTCTGCGCCCGCTTCCTTACTGACTGCCAGCAGGAGATAGATGTACAACACAGTCGGGTTTCGTCCATCCCGGCACTTCATCTAGAGCGCTTCAAGAAAGTCACGGTCAGTCAGAGCAAGGTCTACTGGAACAACAAGACGCGGCGACTGACTCTCTCCTCTTAAGAAACTGTGTCTACGCCAGAACTCGATTCATTCCATCGAACTTCCTGACTCGCTCGCCGCGACCCTCCAAGACCTCGAACTGTACGACAACCTCATCTCGCACATCAAGGGCCTCGACTCTTTCACAGAATTGCGCAGTCTGGATCTGAGCTACAACAAGATCAAGCACATCAAGCGCCTTGACCACTTGAAAAAGCTTGATCATCTCTACTTTGTTCAGAACAAGATTTCGCGCATCGAGGGCTTGGATGGTCTCTCAAATCTCACCTACTTGGAGTTGGGTGCCAATAGAATTAGGGTATACAACTCCTCCACTGACCTCTCAAACATACGCTGATCAAAGTCCAGGAAATATCCGGCTTAGAAACCCTGACCGCTCTTGACTCCCTGTGGCTGGGTCAGAACAAGATTACGGAGCTCAAGGTACAACGACTCTGTTGGTTCTATGAGCCTTCGTACTGACATTTCTCAGGGACTGTCTACGCTCACGAATCTCAAGACGCTTTCCATTCAAGCAAACAGGATTACATCACTGGAAGGACTCAAGGAGCTGCCTCAGCTCGAGGAGCTGTACATCTCGGACAATCTATTAACCTCGCTCGAACCTCTCTCTCATGCACCCGAAATCCGGATTCTGGATGTCCAAAACAATCCTCTTACATCCCTGCGTGGTGTCTCGTCACTGGTCCATATCGAAAATCTTTGGGCAACAAGCTGCAGGCTAGAGCGTTTTGATGAATTGGAAAAGGAGCTCGGTGACAAGAAGGAACTCTCCGAGGTTTACTTCGAGGGGAACCCTCTACAAAAATCGAACCCTGTGCTATATCGCAACAAGGTTCGCTTGGCTTTGCCTCAAGTCTCAAAAATCGATGCCAGTGAGTAACTAAACTCTGGTTCGTTGTTCAAGTTACTGATGTTTGTCATCCTAGCATACGTGAGAGTCTGAGGTTATGGTCTATCATCACAGACCTATAACCGAGCTTACCAGGTCTCTTCTGGTTCCATAATCAGCTTCCCGATGCCCTCTTGCGCTCCGTACATTCAGTGCGTCAGCCTAGAGTAAGAACACAGGGCACTCCGTGTACTTACCCGAAGTCAAGTCTACAAAGTCCGTCGGACGCCTTCAGAAGGTCTTGTGCAGGCATCGGTAATCGGCCGGGGCATCATCAAGGAATGAATCGGAATCTGATGGTTTCTACGTCGAGTCTTTCGCAACGAATTGGCAGTTAACTGATTTGAATGCTTGATCCAGTCCCCTACAGCACTTTTAACAGATCTTTGGGAAACGTCATATCGATTTCTTATGTCCATTTAAAACCGATCACAGTCGATTCGGAAACTCTAACCGGAAAGCCCTACTGTACCAAGCCCACGTTTAATTCTCTCCGCAACCTTAAAATCAAAGTATACCACATGGCACAACCACGTCACAAGTCACTTGTTAGACGTTTGCTGAGCCACTTCTCCTCCCGAGGATTGCTGCTCTCAGACGAGATGATAACCATGTTTAGTGACTTGACGTTCTGGACGCTTCAGTGGTCCTCCGCCGCGAGTCCGCGACATTGCCTGTAAGACCCGTTTTTTGGTGTTAACTCGGCCCTTCTGCTATCCGAAGCAACATCTTTGTAATCGGCACACATGAAAATTGAGTTGCGGCTGATGTCACACTGCTACTGAAGACCGTTGTAGTTTTGCATCATAACAGCACAGCCGATGGTTCTGCTTCTTAAGTTCCAGCCTCCAGCCCTTTCTTTGACGTGCATGACCCGAACCACAATGCCCACTACCAGAGCTTCTGCATCGTTATCGAGCGAGAAAGATAAGGACTCTAGTCGTGGTAGTCCATTCAACCAAGTTTCCGAATCTGGAGAAAAGAAGGAGGCCACTAAAGATCATCCCTCGAACGAACATGGCGAAATCGAAGTTGTCGACTGGGAAGGCCGAGATGATCCAGCGAACCCATTCAACTGGAGCACATCGCGCAAATGGGTCATGACGTTGACGACCTGTTTCATGTATGGATGCGTTCTGCCTGTTAGTTGTTCGTTTGCTGAAACCCTGTAGTTCAATCTTGACAGGACTACCAGCTGGCAGTTATAGTGCTGCCAACGATCAAATGAGCTCGTTGTGGAATGTCCAGAACAATCCTTTTCCAAATCTTACGTGGGCTACCGTCAGTTGGAATATGGGTGCGGCGTTATTCCCCTTACTCTTCGTCCCGCTGACTGAGAATCTGTATGTCTCCAAATTATCTTGTCTTTCGATCAGAAGCTAACGAGCATTATAGGGGAAGGATGCCCGGTTACTTGTAGGTGTCTCGGAGAGCATAGTGGCTCCTTGAGTGACATACTGACCTTGACTTCACAGTGCGTCTTACATTATCTTCATTATCTTCCTCTTTCCATCCGCTTGGGCGCATAACTTCGCTACTATGGTTGTCACTCGTTTCATTGGAGGAGGCGCGTCCTCTGTCAGTATCAACTTGGTCGGCGGTTCAATATCAGATCTATACCGGACAGAGAAAGAACGGTAAGCACGTCTAAACTAGGATATTGACAACTAGCTAATCGACAAAACTGTAAGTTCCATACCGATGTCGATTTTCGGGTGGACATCAGTAGTTGGTATGCACTCATATCTATCTTGGTCGCACAAATGATTGCTGATAATGCAATGTATCAGGCATCGCACTCGGCCCTTTCATTGGTGGAGCGATTCAACGTAATCTCAACTGGCGTTGGATATATTGGATCCAGATTATATTCAACGTAAGTTGTGCCCAAATGCATCCCATCCAAGTCTTACCAGTTCTCACAGGCTGGCTGTCTCCCGATTTTCTGGTTCGTCCTCAAAGAAACACGAGGCGATGTGATTCTCGCAAAGAGAGCCAAGAAGTTTCGCAAGGAAGGCAGAAACGCATATGCAAAAAGTGAACTCAATAAGGATAACGTCTTTGAGATGCTGAAAGTGTCTTTCAAAAGGCCCACCAAGATGTTACTGACAGAGTACACTGTCGCTTCGTTCACTGTTAGTCAATCATCCCAGCATTCTGAACATATGTATGTGTACTAACATGTGTTCTAGCTATGGGTGTCATTTGCTGTGAGTCCAGTTCTTCCATGCCAACTACAATCCAGCACTGACATTCGAGAAGTGGGGACTGCTCTTCTTGTTCCAATCATCGATCACACAGACCTTCAGCACAAACTATGGTTTCAGCGTCTTCCAAACATCACTCATCCAGCTTTCTCTCAGTGCTGGGGCTACCATAGCTACTGCCGTCAACCCTTTGCAAGACCAGCTTTACCTCAGATCCGCCGGTCGGAATAAGGAGACGCCTGGAAAGCCTATCCCCGAAGCTAGACTCTACTTTTCCATACCAGGCTCCCTGATATTCACCGCAGGCTTGTTCGTATATGGATGGACTTCTTACACTTTCGTCCCATGGATAGCACCTGCAGTTGGTATCGCTATGGTTGGCTTCGGCATCTACTCTATCTACCAAGCCGTTGTCGTAAGTACAGGGTGAAATGTTTTGGGTGACCGAATCTGTTAACCAGGCTCACAGAACTACTTCACGGATGCTTACAGCAAATACTCAGCCTCGGCATTGTCTGCAGCATCTTTTGGACGCAACTTGTTTGGCGCTTTCCTTCCATTGGCTTCGCCACAGCTATACTCCAATCTTGGTTACCAGTGGGCTTCTACTCTACTCGGTCTAGTCGCGTTGGTTTTGAGTCTCGCTCCAGTATTCCTTCTCATCAAAGGAAAACAGATCCGAGCCAAGAGTCCCTTCATGAGTGGTATGATATATCCCCCATATGCAATCCGAGCCTTATACTTACTACTTGCTACCAGAATCTGCATATGACGACGAAGATGCAGAAGAAAGAAAGCATGGGTCAGTGGCAGAACCTGTGGGTCGAGCTGGTGGTAACCCTGGTCCTCACGGACAAGCGGTGCCGGCCACGGTCTAGACTCAAAGGTACATGAGTGCCAATAAAGTGCATATAACTCGTATGTAGTTGCAGAGGACCTCTCTGAACGAGACCAGTGCTGATGGATTCTTGTATACCTGCATTACGCAAGCTAGACATGTCCTCGCTTTATCAATGCTGATTTACCGATGTCTATAACCATGATACAATTTGGATCAGTCAGAACAAATCGGTGTTGGAGTCCTCTCGGGAGATGTTTATCGACCCTGTCATACATGTTAAAACAAAGAAGACGGCGACGGTCCGCCTCATAGCGTCCATTTTCAGCTTTCACCTCTGAACTGATAGGTGTCTCAAGTACATATATCTAAATACACGCTTCACAGTCTAGACTACAATATTGTCCTCCTGTGCCAGTTTTGAAGTTATACGTCAAGTCGTCTTCGTTCCCCCAGTGTCTTTCCTTCGGTATGACGTCCGCGATAGCCCATGCTATTCTCTCCGCGCCACTACGAGCTCCAGCAAGATTTCCAGCACCTGGACCTAGACGCAAAGCGGCCAACCGTCCTGTAACAAAAAGAGGTACATCGTCTCTCCACATCAAGTCATCCGTCAGGCTCGGAAGTCCGCCATGTGACTCGATAGGAAACTTTTGGTTGATTGTCTGCAGGAATGGCAAACTTTTGAAGTCGCTGGCAATACCAGTCGCAAAGTAGATGTAGTCGATGGTTGGTAAGTCAACGGGAGGGTTCGTTTCGAGCGTCCAGAATCCATCAGTAAAACTCGACGATCTGATTGTCGTTTGTGTGTGCAGACAAACTTTCCCAGCAGAAATGTGTTGCTTGAGAAGCTTGTGGTAGCGAGGAGTGATGGAGCCCCCTCCTCGAGCTTGCTTGATCTGTTCAAGACGCTCTGGGAATGGCTGATTAGCGAATTCCAGTTTACGCTCACTTGCATTGGCCATCTTACCTTCGTCGGTGTCCGCCGACCAGAAAGAGGCTTCCTCGAAGTTGCGGAACTTTCCCATCCAGTTAAGGTCAACATCAAACGGTTTGACCCTCAGTCGACCCCTGACAAGATGAAACACCTTCTTTGCTCCATGCTTAATTGCCATCATGGTCAATTGAGCAGAGGTAAGTCCGCCTCCCACTACCACGATGTTTACATCTTTTTTCTCTCGCAGTTTGGCCTTCACCGATGGATCCGGAAACATTTCGATTTGCATTGCATGGCAGCATGCTTGGTCTGCTGTACCTAGCCCAGCTGGAATAGCTGGTGCGTTTCCTGGTCCGACTGCAAGTACTACGCTGCGAGCATAATGTACACCTTTGTCGGATCGTGTGGTGAATATCTGCTCCGTTTCAGATACACCTGGGACAAAACCAAAATCGATATCTTGCACTTTCTCTTGCTGTATGAGATCTTTCCTGAGCCCGTATCGATCGACGAGACACCGACAATAGTCTTGGAAGAGTGATCTGGAGGGTGTGAAGTAGTCCTTGCGATCCCGCTCGTCGATTGTGACAGATGGTCTTGCTCTGACAAGGATGGTCAGCGATGTCATCGATCGATGGCGTTCTCCGAATACACACCTGTGAGTCCTGCAGCTGAGCCTCTTCTTCTTTTTGTGCTTGCTGATCTCTTTCCCCACGCACTCTGGGATTTCAACGAGCTCTCTGTCTCTTCCTTGCTCGTACGTGTAGGATAGTAGGCCATCACGATCCAGTGGATCAGGGTGGAAAAACATGGGACTTCTCAGGTGAGATATCTCAAAGGTCTTGAAGAGTTGGTTCCACCTCTCCATCCAATGATTTCCTGTTCCATCCAAGACCAGGGTTGAGTAGTTGCGGCAGGTCTGTGACTTCTTGGGCTGCTTGGTCTGGCCAGTCCGCTTGTTCTTGATGGAAGCTCGATCTCCATGTCTCTTGATCCAGTGGTACCGGCGGTGTTCTTCATCAGTAAAGATTGCAGAAGGTGTCTCCTCACAGAGGCGCGCCGTCACAGCCAGTGAACATGGCCCGGCACCGACGATGAGCACGTCGTGTATTGTATAGCAATCGTTCATCTCTGAGTAGTATTCAAGAGTGGATCAGCCATGCCTATCGAGTTGACTGCTGCTTTATTTTCCATGAGAATAAACACCTTGATGGCAAAGTCACCTTGGTGACAAAGTCACCTTGATGGCAAAGCTACCTTGATGGCGAGTCTTCTGCCCACCAGCGACTCGGGCCAACAGAGCTTCAGGCCGACACCTTCAGCGAATGGAGTTCGTGGGCCAAGGTTCTTGTTGCCCCACGCGCATCTCAGATGAAGCGGTGCGGCATAATGAGCTGGATAGAGAGCTACATCAAACAGAGTAGTGTATAGCCATTACGGAGAGGCTCGTCGCTGGTCCAGACGTCGCAGGTCCAGACGTCGCATCTGCAGTACCTCATGTAGCACTTCATAAGCTCAACAACGCTTGGAAATCTTTCACTTTTGTCGATCGCGCCTTACGCACAGTTTGACCTGTCTTGCCATATCCAATCACTCGAGTAGTCTTTACATTGCTTGGGGACTCGACAGACCATGATTTACTGGAGTTCGGAATCTGTGATCTGTATCTGCGATCCTTACCTTAACCAAGCTCAGATGTATCTCGAGTCCAATCCTTATCCGTGCGGTGACATTAACCGAATCAGAAACTGATGTGAGTCGGTCATGCCTTGACATTCGGGATGTACGATCTCCATTTCAGCCCAACAAGAGCTCCAGGTCATGCATGACATCGAGGACATGCAGCACGAGCTAACCCAGGAAAGCTAGCACTGAAGAGTCGGTCTCGTGACCGTGCAGTTGTGCAGATTTTGATGAGAGCCATAAATCGTTGAGAACGGATCGGACTGCTTGACGCCGAGCTCGGCCAGGTCCACCATCGATCTGAGCTTGGCACTCTCCATGCAATTCTATCATCGATTGAGTGCAACACTTTTCCCACCTTACAGTATTGGGTGATCAAGCAGTCATGTCGTCGGTCAACTACGAGACCTTTTCCTTCGCTGCGGATCCTCAGCAATCCGCCGAGCAGCTGAAACCTAAGGTCAAACGTGAACGTTCAGATGCACGTAAAAACCAGGTTGTCGCACTGGTATTCTTGAGACAAGGCTCTTTGGACACCGAGCAATGGAAGAACGTCGCAGCCTTTGTCACCTACACACTACAGGAAGAGCTTTCGATCAGACGTTCTTTGTCAACTCCCCGTCGTTTCCTGGATGGCTCTGAGGATGGTGAAGGTTCCAGAGTCTTGGAAATCGCTATCCCACTACCTCAAAAGGGCCCTTCGCCCAATCTGTTGGAATGCTCTGCAATCACACGGACCGCTGCCATTGTCAGTCTATGCCAGCGTCATAACATCGAGGTTGTGTTGCAACCGCAGGCCCTCTACGTGGCCCACCGAACCCCAGGCTTGGCTGTTTTCGACATGGACAGCACGCTGATCCAGCAGGAGGTCATTGACGAACTCGCACGCGCAGTTGGTCGTTATTCTCAGGTGTCTGCCATTACTGAGGCTGCTATGCGCGGGGAGGCGCCTTATACTGACTTCGAGGCATCTTTGCGCGCTCGTGTTGGTCTTCTCGCGGGTGTGCCTGTCTCGATCTGGCAACATCTCCGCGCCGGCATCATCTCATTCACCCCGGGAGCTCGTGAGTTGTTACGCGTTCTTCGTAGGCTTGGTTGGAAGACTGCTGTGCTCAGCGGTGGCTTCACACCTCTAGCCGAATGGGTTCGACAAGAATTGGGTCTGGATTACTGCTATGCCAACCACTTGGTCGAGTCGGATGGGCATCTGACGGGCGAACTGGTAGAAGGCATGCCTATCATTCACGCTGAGAAGAAGCGCACTTTGCTTGAATCTATTGCTGAGAAAGAGGGTATTCCTCTTGAAAATGTCATTGCTGTCGGCGATGGAAGCAACGACCTTCTGATGATGCACCAGGCTGGTCTTGGAATCGCTTTCAATGCAAAGCCAAAGGTTCAGATGCAAGCTCCGACCAAGATCAATGCGGATGGTCTGTTGGATGTTGCCTACGTTCTTGGTTATTCTGTCGAGGAGGTGACAGAGATTCTACGCCAGGAGATGGTGTTGGAAGGTGGTCAGTACGTGTTGAAGAAGCTTACCTAAACTCACGAAACGCTACAGTCAAAGCAGTCTTGTATGGTAGCTTTCGAAACACTCCACAATGGTGGATTTTCATCATTTCCATGGTATGGCTGTGGCGCAACAGACTCGGCCACAAAATAACGAAGGGTGCTCTGGCTGCGTCAGGTTGGTGTAGAGCATGCGACGAATTCTTTTTTATGGTCGCAAAGGCTCAAGCTGTAACTGGAAGTAACACCAAATACAGAAATGCCTGTCTTGCAATCCGCGAACAACAAGTTGGGCATATGTATTGCAAGCGTCTTGTTCATCGAATCTATAACGATTCTGCCACGAGATGATGAATGAGTATTCACCTACTAGACATTCAGATGATATAATCGAATGGCATCACCTTGCATAAATAGCAGGGCCAGGCAGGGTTGGTCAATCCGAAGGAGCGGAAATTGACCATCCCCAGGAAAGTGCCAAGCTCGTTTCAAGTCTCAGTCGCGGTATGCGTCACTTTGGCACCCAAGCAAACACCGCGCTCCAATTCTAAATGTGCAACTGAAGAGGATCCATCACACTGTTAACCATTGTTTGGCCGATAGTTGGGTTTGCAGGAGATGCGAACGGATTGTTGAAGAAGATCTGGGGGGCGTTGGCGAGAGATGTCAGATCGTCTCCGCGCCAGATGCTAAATAAAGTGTCAAACGAAATGGACGAATCACGAGTCAATCGAAAGTGTTTCAAGTCGGCACCAGCAACGGCGCGGAACCAACGATTATCCCATGCCTCGCTAAGCGTCCCCTGCAGCAGGCGTCCTGCATGGAGTTTTGTCTGTCGACCTTCTGTCTTTCTTGTTTTCTCTTGGTGTTGCTACGTCCAAGGTCGCGTGGATCGCTGCTTTGACAATCAGACGCTGGTCGCAACTTGCCATTCACTCTTTTCTCTGTCTTCGGAGCCTCAGGCCCTCAACTCAACTCCAACCCAGATATTCGCGCTACGCCTTCGGAGAGATCCTGACTGTCTTCTTGCCGGGCCTTCGTCTTTCATTTTTCAGATGCCTGGAATCAGCAATACCGCATAACCAATCTACAACAACCACGCTCGCTACTGAGATTGATTCTACTCATCGCCACATTCATTCATCAACCCGGTCATCACATACACTGACAGCACAACAACCTCGGAGAGCCGGTCTACTCCTTTGTTAACTACCCAGACATACTTCACACCAGCCAGATCATCGCTATCCCTCGCAAAGAACCATCGTTGGTGAAGATACACGATGTCCTACCAACGAGATGGTCGTCAAGCGCAGCGCTCACATCGCCCACAGCCATCCTCTCAACGACCTTCTCAAAGCAGTGGAGACGCGCAGCCCGGCGCGCCAAAGCTTTCAATGCATCCATCTCAGCGTTCTCAGCCCAGCAGACCACCTCGGCCAGACCAAACGCCGATAGCATTCGGTCATCCCCGACCGGCGGCAAACAGAGAACCGCCGCCAACACGAACAATTCCTCAATACCGCCAAGACTCTGGCCCTCCGATTATACAGTATGCCCACCAAGAGCCTGTAAGCTCCTGGGTTGAGGCGGTCTCGCCCAGCTACCCATCGCCGGATGTACCTCGTCCCTTTGCTGAGAACCAGCGTGATTCTACTGGATCATCTGTATATTCAGTTCCCGACTTTCCTGTTCCTCAGGCTCCTGCTATGCCACAGATCCCTCATCAAGTCGCTCGACCATTTTACCAGCCTAATCGTCGGCCACCACTGGGTCCACCTCCTTCGGCGCGCAGAGGACCCTCATCGTATTATCCACAAACGAGTCATGTTGCGCCCATTGTAGAGGAAACAGACAGTCAACGGGGAACGCACGATTCCAAGAGTTCGTTCGCTTCCAGCAATGCAATTCCTATCGGTATATCGAGACATCTTGCCGATCAACACGATATGAATGAGCACGACGGCTCTCCCTTCCAGGACCAGTACGAGGATTCGGATTCCAGCGAGCCTGAACAGATGCGCCCCGTTCCCGTTCGTCAGGCCAGTATCGGTCGCAAGTCAATCCCGGTCTTGACTACGATAAAGAATGGGGACCTACGGCCAGATAGCCAGACTCGGCCCATGGCTCACGTGAACCCACAAGAAGGTCGCAGTAACACACAACCTGGCCGGCAACCACTCCGAAGACCTGGCACTTCCGAAAATGTCGAATCTGAGATCATGGACATGAGTTTCCCGATGGTTGACATGTCTCCAGAGGAACGTTCAGAAAGGTCATTCCCTCCGTTGTCTACCCGGACAAACAGCAGTGATATTCTCGGCAAGGATGCCATCGTATCTGGATCCGAGAAGCCTATGCGCCATCAGTTGTCACCTGAGTTACTATCAACTCAGAAGGAGAATTCTTCTTTTTCGGCTTTTGAAACCTCTGAAAAGGGCGCTGCTCCGAATCTAGAGAAACAAATGACACTCGGCGAGAGAGTTGGTTCTAGACGCCCACCAAGGCTCGACGTAGATGCTGTCCGCGAGGCCGAAGCACGGGGTAGTCTTACCAGTCTTCCAGACCTCATTCGCAGAGCTACTAAAGTCGCATCCAACCTCGATCGTGGCAGGACTGCGAGCAGACTTGGGCTTAATTTCTTTGATGATGATGCGCAAAGGGCGCACGGTCCAGATAATAGGCGGTCGGGCTCACTGTCAGACATTCTTGCTTCATTCCCTCCTCCGGGGCTTGCAACTCCCACTGGATCTAGAGGATCTAGAGGAGGTTCTAGAAATTCGCGAGCTATGCCGTGGTCATCCAATCTGCAGCATAGCTCCCTTCCTTCTGAGAGTGATCTTGGTGAGGAACCCGGACGACGAAGGAGGTGCTGTGGCATGCCTTTATGGCTGTTCTTCACGTTACTTCTGCTTGTGGTCGTCCTTGTTGCCGCTGCTGTTATAATCCCTGTTGTTCTCGTTGTCATTCCTCAACAGAACAATGCTCACAACGGTGCGTCAGCCTCTGCACTTGCTACTTGCCAGAAGTCTTTAGAATGCAAGAATGGTGGCATCAACATCCTAGGTAGTGACGGCAGTTGCAGTTGTCTGTGCGTCAATGGGTTTGCGGGCTCTGAATGCACGCAGGCTTCGAGTGCGTCCTGCACAACCACCAACGTTGGCAGTGTCAACAACGTGACTCTTGGAGAATCTATCCCTCGTCTCTTTACTGAATCCGAAACGAACTTCAGTATATCTCTGAATGCTTCAAACATCTTGGGGCTTTTCGCTTCATCCAAGCTAACGTGCACATCGGAGAATGCATTGGTTACCTTCAATGGTCTCTCTGCTCGCTCGCTTAGAGAAGAAAAGGTCAAGGTTGATCCTTCACCGACAAGAATCTTGGAAGAACGTGCGGACTCGACGACTGTCGCTGGAGCTGCTGTCACAAGTAACGGTATTGTCTTTGCAAGCGGGTCAGCAAGCGACGCGCCTCCCTCATCAGCCTCTTCCGGACTAAGTGGTATCGCATCGCCCTCGTCGTCGTCAACATCTCTTTTGTCTGACTCATCGACACTCGATTTTGCTCGAATCGCAGTGCTATTCGTGTTCCAGGAGTCCGGTCAACTCAGCAATGCGATCGCCGCTCAGGAGAACCTCCAGAGCTACTTTACCTCAGGCACCACTAGCACTGGGCAGCAGATTAATGCCTCGAGTATTGACCTCGGCGCTAGTATCAGTGCAAATCTCGAGAAGCACTCCCTCACATTATCCAACGGCACCAACATTGGTGGCTAGAGTTTCCACGACTTCTTAATTCTATTCTATCCTCTTCCATACCTTCGACACCTTCGAAACCTTCGATTTATCTACGAGTAATACCTTTTTCTGCTGTTTTTAGCCTGTATTTTACGAAACTCGAATTTATCAATGTCTTTTTTTTTGAAATTAGATGCTAATCACTTATTCGTCTTCAACCATGAGAACTCAGACCAAGGCAATGACCTTTTGCTCGATGCAACTTTGGGAAGATGCCTGGAGTCTTGAGAGAATCCTGGCGCTGTGAAATGAAGCAAGGCACGTGTTATTGTGCCATGATGTCTTTCTCCGCATTCCATGGTGCCTTCCACCCCCAGCATGGCGCCATCTTGCGACTTTGAAAAGCAAAATAGAGGGCAAGGCAATTTGGCATTTTACGGTCACGAGTATGTATTGCGTGCTTCCACAGTACTGTTTGTGTGTACTACTAGATGATGATGGTCACATCATTGATATGCACCGGTATATGTCTGACCTCCCGCGGAGTTGAGTCTGACACGGCGGAAAGCTGACGCGATGGAAACCTATCCACCCAAGATCGCAATCATTTCGCAGCGCAACGGCACAATCTGCTTGTGCACCAGAGACTACATTCAGCACTGATGCATCCCAATGCTATCCACTGGTCTGCAACCACAAAGGTATTCAATATGCTTCTAGAAGTGATGATCGGAGGAAACAAAGTTACACACTTGCGGGGACCACAGCAGAGCCGCACGAGACCACCGAAAACTTCGCATTTCCGGATGCTCGCGCCATGACGAAATATATACCACAGATGGCAAAGCCGACACGCGCCTTTCACAATGATCATGGCGATTGCTGATCTTGCACAAACGCCCGGCACAAGGTCCAGGAACGAGCCCAAGATCTTGAGCCTGGAACCTGGATCGGTACTTCGTTGTGTTGCCCTAATCCGTAACAGGTATAGTCAAAATGGTGTGATTTTGAATCCTCAGCACGTCAGTGAGATTTTCTGTGGTGATTTCAAAGCGATGAATCCGGATGCCGTGACCGGCTCTCGCAAGTAATATCAATTCTGTCTTCTCTTTTCTCTCTTCTCTCAATCCATCTGTCATACAAATTCGAACAAGTCGTGTCTCCGCAGTTCTTCATACGGAATCTTGCCTCCATCACTATCGAGAAACCGAACAAAGGAAACACCAGAACAACAAATTCACGCCACAATGCCCCGCTCATACTCATCTGACCACGACGCGGAGTCGGGTTATGCCAGTGGAAGCTCGAGTGCCAGCCTTCCTGAGGTCTACTTCTCTCGCCCACACCTCAAGTTCATCAACCAGCAACTCCAAAACCTTGAACCTCAAGGTAAGATTAAAATTCGTCTGCGATCCCAAGGACATTTTTCTGATGCGAATTTTAGATATCCTTAAGTGGTGCATCATGACTCTGCCCCGTCTGTTCCAGACTACTGCCTTTGGACTCACTGGACTTGCCATCAACGACATGGTATCGAAACTTGACAGCCCTATCAAGCCCAACATCGATCTGATCTATTTGGACACCCTTCACGCATTCCAGGAGACCTATGAACTCGTCCAGGCAGTCAAGGACAGATATCCTAGCCTCACTATTCACACCTACAAGCCCGAAGGTTGCGAGAACGTCGAGGATTTCAACCGCAAGCACGGCGAGAAGCTATGGGAGACCAACGAAGAACTTTATGATTATGTTGCTAAGGTCGAGCCTGCTCAGCGCTCGTACGCTGAGCTGGGTGTTGCTGCTGTCATCACTGGGCGTCGCCGTAGTCAAGGCGGCAAACGAGGAGATCTCGACATCGTTGAGCTTGATGATGCGGGCATGATCAAGATCAACCCTCTTGCGAACTGGTCCTTCCAGCAAGTCAACGACTACATCAAGGAGAACAACGTTCCCGTCAACGCCTTGATGTCTAAGGGTTACCGTTCGATCGGTGACTGGCACTCTACTCAGCCTGTCAAGGAAGGCGAGGACGAGAGAGCTGGTCGCTGGAAGGGTCGCAGCAAGACTGAGTGTGGCATTCACAACAAGAAGAGCCGCTACGCCATGTTCTTGCAAGAGCAGGAACAGAAGCGTCAGGAAGAGCTCAGCCAGGCCATTCAGTCAGGCCTCAACATTGAGCAAGTGGTCTAGAGGTTCCTCCTTGTTCTCGTTCTTTTTTATCTTTTGCGAATTTAGCATAGGCGTTGGTCGGATCATGATGGGGCATATCGGAGTTTTATAGTTAAGCGGCATCTGGTGGGATACTCAATACCTCAGCATTGGAAGGTGGATACACGATGACCCACGTCTTTCATAGTAACGAAACTACAAAACGTGCAAAGGCACTAGGTAGCATTCACAGAAAAGTCCCAAATTTTAATAACATGACAACGAAAACTTGCGTTGGAACTGAAAATTGATTATGACAATGTTAGAGAGCGACATGAAAGGCGACAGCGAACAAGGGGCAGGAACGACGTTTGGAGAGAACGGGGAAAGAACGACTGACGTACATCGACACGCCGCCAAGGATACTAGCGGTTTCTGAGGGCGATGCTAGAGAGGGGTGGAGACGAATTTTTGTGGGATAATCGAGTATTGAGATTCGGATCGTTGCTGCTCAACCAAAAGCCTTGTTGCGTATGCGTAGTTGATGTGTAAATATAAAGTCGTCGTGTAGCCTCTCCGGTCTCGCACCTTTTCCCCGAACCCACCTTGATATTTGGACCTTTCCATTCCTTTAACCTCTTTCCTTCATTGTAACCTTTTAGTCGTATACATCGAAATACGCAGTCATGGCCAACCCTCCTCACGGTACGAAGGCGCAAATGCACAAACATAGGGTTTGCGGAAACTGATTGAAGCCTAGGTGGTATCCTCAAGGACCTCATCGCTCGCGATGCCCCTCGTCGTCAGCAGCTCATTGATGAAGCTGAGACCTTGCCCGCCATTGTTCTCAATGAGCGTCAGCTTTGTGATCTCGAGCTCATTCTCAACGGAGGTTTCTCCCCTCTCGAGGGTAAGTCGAAGAAAAGATATGGCTATCCGGGAAGCCGTTTTCTGACTGGTCAACAACAGGCTTCATGAACGAGAAGGACTACAACGGGTACGCACCGAAAAATGCAAGACCAGATGAGCTGGAGACACTGACTCAATTGCAGCGTTGTCGACAACAACCGTCTCGTTGATGGCAACCTTTTCTCCATGCCCATCTGCCTCGATGTCTCGCAGGAGACGATTGACGAGGTCAAGGCCAAGGCCGGTGCCCGTATCACCCTCCGTGACTTCAGAGATGACCGCAACCTGGCCATCATCACCATCGACGACATCTACCGCCCTGACAAGAAGAAGGAGGCCGTCGAGGTTTTCGGTGCCGACGACGAGGCCCACCCTGCCGTCAAGTACCTGTATAGAACTGCCGGTGACTTCTACATTGGTGGCAAGATCGATGCCATCGACCGTTTGATGCACTACGACTACGTCGCTCTCAGATGTAAGGAGATTCAGAAGTTCGACTGTCAAGGATGACAAGCTGACCAGCTGAACAGACTCTCCCGCAGAGATTCGCCTGCACTTCGACAAGCTCGGCTGGTCCAGAGTCGTTGCTTTCCAGACCAGAAACCCCATGCACCGCGCTCACCGTGAGCTGACTGTCCGCGCCGCCCGCTCTCGCCAGGCCAACGTGCTCATCCACCCCGTCGTTGGTCTCACCAAGCCCGGTGACATTGACCACTTCACCCGTGTCCGTGTCTACCAGGCCCTCCTTCCCCGTTACCCTAACGGCATGGCCGTCCTCGCCCTCCTTCCTCTGGCCATGCGTATGGCCGGTCCTCGTGAGGCCCTCTGGCACGCCATTATCCGCAAGAACCACGGTGCCACCCACTTCATTGTTGGTCGTGACCACGCCGGTCCCGGCAAGAACAGCCAGGGCCAGGACTTCTACGGGCCTTATGACGCCCAGGACCTCGTCGAGAAGTACAGAGATGAGCTCGGCATTGAGGTTGTTCCTTTCCTCCAGATGTCGTACCTTCCCGACTCGGACGAATACCGCCCCAGAGACCAGGTCCCCAAGGACGTCAGAACTCTCGACATCTCGGGTACCGAGCTCCGCCGTCGTCTGCGTACCGGTGGTGACATTCCCGAGTGGTTCTCGTACCCTGAGGTTGTCCGCGTGCTGCGCGAGTCGCACCCCCCTCGCAACAAGCAGGGTTTCACAATCTTCCTGACTGGTTACGCCAACAGCGGCAAAGACGCCATTGCCCGTGCCTTGAACGTCACCTTCAACCAGCAGGGTGGTCGCACTGTTTCGCTTCTTCTTGGCGAGACAGTCCGCTCAGAGCTCAGCTCGGAGCTCGGCTTCAACAAGGAGGACCGCAACACCAACGTTGGCCGCATTGGCTTCGTTGCCAGTGAGCTGACCAAGGCCGGCGCCGCCGTCATTGCTGCTCCCATCGCTCCCTTCCAATCAAGCAGAAAGCACGCCCGTGAGCTTGTTGAGAAGAACGGATCTTTCTACCTGATCCACGTTGCCACCCCTCTCGAGGAGTGCGAGAAGACAGACCGCAGAGGCATCTATGCTGCCGCACGCCGTGGTGAAATCAAGAACTTCACCGGTGTTGACGACCCCTACGAGACCCCTGCTGAGGGTGAGGCCAACCTGACCGTTGACCTGACCAAGATCAGCGTTCGCACAGCTGTCCACCAGATTGTGCTGCTGCTCGAGGCCGAGGGTCTCTTGGATCAGCTTTAAGCGAAGAAGGAGATTGAACAAAATTCTGGATATTATGATTTAGGGAGAGGCCACATCGAGTGTATTTTATGGTATGGGATAAATACCCCCATGTATTAGTGATATAGACACAGAGGCTGTATACACATGAAAGGATCAATTCGACTTGAGAGCTTGACCCACCGTTTGTCGTGCTTCAATGGCGGCCTTTTCGGCCTTTTTCTGGTCTCTCATTATCTTTCTCTGCTCACGGAGATCTGGAGGCTTCTCGATGCCCAACTCTTGTCTCAGCTGATCACAGTCTTTTTCGAGCACCTCCTCCCAGTATATGTTGATGACATCTTGTGCACGCAGGCCGTTGGACACAGCCCAAGGTAAGTAGGTGGACCAGAAACGGCGTCTCGCAGCAGGTTTCAGCTTGACGACGGCAGCCATGGAGAGAGCGGTCATTGGCAGAAGGGTGTTGGCAAACTCAAAGGCTTTCAGAGCAATCTCACCCTCGGCGAAGACGGGTAATCCAGTGAGAGCGTGGTAGAAGTCATGCGACTCGCGGTAGCGCTGCATGACATAGGCTTCTTCGGGGTCGTCAATGTATCGAACCTGGTCCCGGGTATCAGGGGTGACGCCTTCGCGGTCCAGCCATTGGGCATAGACACGGCCGACCGAGTTGTCGGGGAGGGAGCGCAAGTATTCGAGCGACATTGTCTTGCTGGAGATGCGGGGACGGTCACGGAGGATGCGGCGGCCAGTGGGATGCGACAGCATGCTCTGTCGTAGGCGTGTGATGAAGTAGGGCTTGCATGTTGCCTCACCCAGCGCGGCAATCAGATCTTAGGGCGTCAGTCGGGAGGTGGGCAGAGGTGGGCAGGAGAAGGGAGCATCGGTACCGTGGCGGTGGTGGTCGAGCATGGAGCCAAAGGCAGAGCCGACAGCGAGACCACATCGCTCGACAAAGGTCAGTGGTACATGGCCAGGGTAGTTGGGCTTGGGCCTGTTGAGGACAGAAAAGGACCTCGTCTGGAAGCGTAACGGCATTGTCCGTTGTCCGAGGGAAGAGGTTGGAACTTGGAGGGTTGGAGATTGGAAAGTCGAGGAAAGCGTGCGTCATGTCGCGTTTGGAGCAGGCGCAGGCGCAGGCGCAGGAGCAGCTTCCATGGTGGACCTTTCTCAATCATGCCACTCCAGCAAAGCACCTTCCTTCTCCGACCGTCGTTCAGCCGCCTCTCTCGGCGCACATATACAGCAGCCAGCGAACAGTATGCGCGTGAGAGCGGTGTCCCGCGCCGCATCCATGTCTACGGCGTCGGCAGCGTGGGCAAGCTGATTGCCCACTCGTTGCGCGGCGACAACAACAGCCCCCCGCCAGTCACTCTACTCTTCCACCGCCCGCGACTGTTGAACGAATGGAACAGGAGCCGCCGGTCGATCGTCCTGGAGACGGACGGCCACCGCGTCGCCCGCGACGGCTTCGACGTCGAGCTCGCCATTCCACCTCAACGCAGTCACGGCGCCCGCATAAACCAAGACGCCGACGACGTCGCTTATGACCCATCCAATAGCGATCCCATCGACAGCCTGATTGTCACATCAAAGGCTCCTGTCACTCTTGCTGCTCTCGACGCCGTCAAGCATCGCCTACGACCAGAGTCGACCGTGTGTCTGCTGCAAAATGGAATGGGCATCATAGACCAACTCAACCAGGAAATTTTCCCGGACCCGGCAACGAGGCCAAACTATATCCAGGGTGTTGTCACCCACGGTCTGAATAGCCCTGACCGTGACGACCCCTTCTTCGCTGTCCATGCCGCCCACGGCACCATAGCTCTGGCAGCCTTGCCGAGAGGTCAACTCAAAGATAATCCCCCGGCCGCTGTTCCCTTTGCATCCACCTCACGCTATTTGCTGCGCACTCTTACCGGTCTCCCGGTCCTCGCTGCCGTCGGTCTCCCTCCTATCGAGTTTATGCAGCAACAACTCGAGAAACTGGCCATCAATGCCGTCATCAATCCTCTGACCGTCATGCTGGACGCACCTAACGGATCTATCCTCTACAACTTTGCCGTAACACGTACCATGCGCTTATTGCTGGCTGAGATCTCTCTGGTCATTCGCTCACTTCCTGAATTGCGCGCGCTGCCAAACATTCAAGATCGCTTCTCACCGGAGCGTCTAGAGACCTTGGTCGTCAGCATTGCGGACAAGACACGTTCGAATATCAGCAGCATGCTCGCGGACGTCCGTTCTGGTAGAAAGACGGAAGTCCGCTTCATCAATGGATACATTGTGCGCAGGGGTGAAGAGATGGGCATGCGATGTGTTTGCAATTACATGATGATGCAGCTGGTCGAGGGTAAGGTCAACATGATCCAACGCGAGATGCTTGACCAAGTTCCTGTTGATCGTGATGATGCCAACGCATACCATATGTAGACGATATAATACCATACTTGTGTACATTCTATGTATACTACTAGAGGTCAACCTTCTGTCAACCTTGCTTGAAGCATCCATATGTATACCCTGAATCTCACGATTGTTACGCAAATATTACGTCTGCTACTTCTAATACTATTTTGGATCTCGGGTGCCACAAGGGAAATAATCCGAGTTCGCTTTCTGATTGACTTCCTGAGCAGGGTCACCCCATTTACAGTGGCTGCAATATATGTATGTCACCTAATACCCTCACTCTGCACTTGTTGCATCCCAATTGATGGGGACGTGTCATGACTAAACAACTCCCGGCCCCTTTTCATTTTGAGCTCGAAATTCCACGAGATGACGACGTGAGTTCACATTTTGTGATTATATCAAAGCTTGAGCATGAACACGGGCATGTAGCTCTGTCATGTGCGCTTGTGGATAATGATTGTCGATAAGAATAGAGGCGCTCTCATTACACTAGCAATAATACAGCTGTAGAAGACCATGAAGCGATGCATGGATGAACGCCAATCCCGCTTTCCCTTTCTGCTAATATGCGTAGACTCCCCTCGTTGTTTCCCTGGCAAGAACAAGCCATTGTTCTTTTCTCTCCTTCTGCAAAAGCCTTGATATGTAAAGAATGCTCCGAAACTCTCTTTCCCTCTCATATAACCTAGCTAACACTGCGTAGTAGCATTCTGTCTCTCAACCCTCCCATTCCTTGACAATGTTATTCTGTCCGCTCAATGAGGTCCCATCTCGAGATGCACATTTAAACAAGCTGACATGCCCGTCGTTGACCGTAGAGCATGCCAACATCATCCTGTGCGGGTGGAATGCTGTAGAGGCAATCGGCGTAGGTCTATGTGAAGAAAGCACATTGGTGTGCAGGAAGTTGCTGAACGGCTCGATTGTCGACAGTGGCGTTGAGTTCGCTGCGGTGGCCGTCACGTTGTTGGTCGAGAAGACGCGAACCGCATTGTGAGATGATCCACTACGTACAGATGTTAGTACTGATCTTCGTCAACAAACAGTGGCAGGGTAGACTTACGTTGCAAAGACAGGTGCATGCTCATGCACGCTCAGTGTTCGGCACGTGCCAATGCCACCCTCACCCTTACCTTTGACCACACCCACACTGCGGTCCATACGAATGTCCCAGAGCCTGACAGCGCCACCACGCTCTGCTGAAATAAGCTCCCGCATGCCACCACGCTGCAGGTGGCATCCAACAACCCATCCTTTGTGTTCCTTCCATACCCGCACCATACTCTCGGCCGGTCGATTACGCTGATCGTAAACGCGGATCGCGCCATCACCAAAGCCCGCCACAAAGACATTGCCTTCTACTTGGTCCGATGTTAAGCTCGTTACACATGATCCAGATCTGGCAGGGATGTCTGCTGTACAGAGCTCTGTGCCGGCTTGCCACACACGAATGACGCGAAGATCACCTGCCACCAAAACACGACCCTGGCCTTGTTGCCAATCAAACACCAAGCCTGCGTTATGTGTACTCGGCACGAGATCCGTCAGAGCACGGAACGAGGCAACCAACTCAACCTGTTTCTCATTCTCGTAGTTTCTGAACACTTTGATTACTCCATCAGAGCTACCAGTCATGAGCAGCGCTTGGTCGTCTTCGTTGATGAATCGAAGGTCGCTGATCTTGCTGCCACGAGGATTGCCGGCACTGAATCGAGCCAACCTTCTTTCTCGGTGCCAATCCCACACGCTGATGCCATCCTGATCGTCACTAATGACCAGATGGTCTTCAAATTGATGAAAAACCATCTTCATTGGTGGACTGTTCGTTGCAAGCACTCCTGCTGGAACATCCCAACGGCCGGTGCCTGCGACTTCCTTCAGTGGCTGTGTCGATGCGATTATCTTATCGTTACGATTGCGTCGCCATAGGCGCTCATTGTAGTCCAATGAGCCTGGCTCGTCGGCTTCTGATGGCCGCATCTGAGGCTCCCTAAAGTACGAGGCTGACCATTGAAAGAAGTTAGAAGTCAAGGGAATTGTAGGAGGCTGAGAGAAGTTCCTGGGCTCGAAATTGGGCACTGATGGCGATTTTGCGATTTGATGACCACGGACACGGGTTGGCTGAGGATCTGTTGCATCCGGCGGCCTGTTCCAATCAGACGGCACTTGAGACCTCCGACCAGCTCCCGATCCTCTTAGAGATTGACTTTGCGACGGGTCTTGAGAAGCCTTGGTTGCGCCAAAAGAAGCGAGGTTCTTGATGGAGGCGGCCATGCTGGCTGTACGTCTCAGACCTGCGGACACGGAGAAGTATCCATCATGCTTTGAACTCGTAGATGGTGTTGGAGATGGGGGAGCTCTAGGGACATCTGGATGTTGCAATCTTGTTGGTCCATCCAGAGAAGTGGTTGGCACTTGAGCGTAAGGAATGGGGCGCGCTGCCATGTCATCTAGCATTTGGTGGACATATACAGCGAGCGGAGAATCGAACAGTGCACCCAAGACATTGTCCAGGATAATGCCTGCGTTTCTCGCGATCTCGGGATGAGGATCGGCAGATATGATGAGGACTTGCTTCCACATTGCTGAAAAGACAGTGTTTCTAGACGTGTTAGACTCAACAGACGACCCTCTTGAGAAGGAGTCGTGGTTGTCAAATGATAGGTCACGCTTGCTTTCGTAAGATCCGTTTGCCTCTGAAGGTGTCGCTGGACGATAAATGCTGGCATCTTGTGCTAGATGAGCTGCGTGCTCTTCCGTGAACTGCTCGTACGCTGCTACAATGAACTTGTTCTTGTATCTCGCGATGAACGTAGAGTGGAACACAAGCAACTCTTTGCGAACCATGACACTACTGTCGTTCGCCATGGCAAGAATGATCGAAGCAATGGTCTCTTCGATATAGGCGACCTGGTCGGTCACATCGGGAATTCCAAGGAAACTCGTGAGCGCGTGCAGCATTGCCGTTCGCACCTCAGGTACAGGGTCGAGGGCAAGGTCACATAAGCGCATATGAGCCTGAGAGCGTATACCCTGCCATTTAGCTTCAGGAAAGTCATACCAGAGCATGCTGATACACAAGCAAGAATGTTGCCTGAGCAAAGGATTTTCCATATCAACCAGGTGACTCAGGAGACTTTCTATAAGCTCCGGATTAGTACTCAGACATACGTTCTGTCCTGGTCGGAAGTCTTTGCAAAACATGGCAATGATAAAAGCGCACATGGCCCGATGCTCTGCCATGTTTCCGACAGGGATGCCGGTCTGCGGACTTATGATGTTGATAAAGTAAGCGTATCCGTTGTCTTTGAGCAGATCCGACTGACACGACTGGTCGATAGCCAATATCCGAGTCCAGATGAATACCATAACCGGTTTGAGCTCAATTGCCTGTGATTGTAGAAGTTTCAAGACGTACGGAAAGATACCGATGCTGAGGGCAAGATTGACAGCCCATGGCCCTAGATCAAGGAATTTACCCAGAAGGATCAGGGCACGCAAGCGATGTACTTGACTGAGAAGCACTTGAAGAACGATTGGCAGCTGTTCTGGGACCTTTTGCTCCAGTGCGCCTTGACTGAGATACACCTCGAAAGCACTGAGTTGGTGTGCAAAGAATTCAGAGTGCTGGTATTCGAGTTCCTTATTCTCTTTTGCCTGTTGAATCAGACTAGGCAATTGAGCCAGGATCATCTCGACCGCGTAATCCCAGCTTTGCCACAGAGGATGGTTATGTGTCTCTGGGATCTCGGGGTAGCATTGAGGGTGGCAGTGGTATTTTCTCATGATTCTTTGGGCCAAGAGGAAGTTACGAAACAGGGCAGCAACCATCAAGTCTTGTCGGAAAAGCTTCTTGAAAAGGGGCTTGGGAAGACAGTTCCAGGCGATCGTGTCGGTAATGGCGGTAAAAATCCAATTAAGCTCACCGAGAGGAGTTCTACGTTCAGAAATCTTTCCAGGAATGTTGCGGCCCTCAGAAAGAGTGGGACCTCCAGGAAGAGGATTTTGAAGGATGAAGAAGCGGACTGCCATTTCGATCGGAGTAGTCAAACAGGACGTAAACAGGTCAGCAGGAAGATCAGGGTTGGTGGGCAAAGATTCGTCCTCGCGACAAGCAGCCAGATGTATGCAATCACTCCAGTTCATCAGTGGTGTCGTCGGATCTCGTCGTCGGGCCTCTACCTGATCGGTCTCGTGCTTCTTAATGCAAGGATGGAAGTTTTTGATGATTAGTCCAGCGGCAGAACAGTCGTAAACAAAGAGGCCAGGAGCGCCGAGCCAGCTTTGCAAATCGTACAGCGAGATAGGAATGTACTGAGTAAAGGAGCGATTGAAGACCCATATTTCGCCAGCGGCAGTGGGCTTTGGTACACCATGGCCGTTGTAATGGAAAAGTATCCGTTCGTCTTTTGCATTGCGGCGCAGGGTAGTACAGTATTTCTTCATCTCCTCGATACTGGGATCCATGACGAGCTTGTAGCGAGTACGCATACTGAGCGTCTCATACTGTGTTTGAAGATTCTTGCCAATCTGAGGATTAGCACCGCCGGAACCCTGTGGACCCTCGGTACCCATAGGATCCACCCAGCACTCCATGCGCGCACAGGGGTTTGTCTTGATGACATCGGGCGGGTCGACACCAATATTCAGGCAGACGGTCAGAAGAGCGGAGATGGTCTTAAGTCGGTCCTTCATGCGCCATTCCTGGACGTGGTAATCGTCCTTGGCATCTTTTGGATTACCTGCGGTCTCGTGTCGCTTATCGGTGTAATACATGTAGAAGGTCTGAGATAGCAGGTTTGCTTGCTCTGGTGACATGAGCTGGTCTTCCCAGCCATGACGCATCTTGAACTTCGAAGCCTCGTCCCCGTCTCTGTGCTCAAAGGAAGAGGCAGTAGACTGTCTTTGTTTCCTAGGACCGTAGTCGCTCTTCGCGCGCAGCATCAGGGGCCTCTCGGATCGCGAACTGAGCGGACCATCTTCTGGGGGAGAAGCGCCTACGGCAGAGCTTGCTGGCGAATGGTTTGCGGACTGGTTGAGGAATTGATGAGGAGGAGGAAGATGGGCAACTGTGTCGCCATTGATTGCCTGGGTCTGGGGATCCGGCGGAGGGTCGGAGTTGGGATGGGCGGCGTGTTGAATACTGCCCTCATAGAGATTGGACGGTAGAGGATCGAGAACGGGTTGTGGATGCTTCGCTGCACGGTATTGACCGGCAGCATCGTCTTGCAGCACGCCCACCCTCATGTTGCGCGGCGAGGGCAGACTGCATTGACATCAAGTTCGTGCTAGAAGTTCACGAGCGCATTCCGAGCTTTGCGGATGGATAGACAGCTGAGACGATGGATGTACGATAACAAAACGCGTGAAGTCGGTGAAGAAAGGGATCGGCCTTGGAGCAGGATACGACAGCAGTCGAATCAGCACGCCGCTGTTCTGTCACTATGAGGAAGTCACGATTCACTGCTCCGGGGAGCCATCTGATAAGATAAGAGGCTGCATCTCCATAAGCATTGACCCGGGAGTCGGACCCTACACAGGACGCACGGCCTCAACGGGTCCAGCTCTCGAGGTCCGAGGGTCTCTGGCTTTTGATTGCTGTGCCAGCGTGCCTCGTCCGAGTACTGGCTGCATGGACGTGATGCACAAACATGTATTGTTGTACCTCCGGGAGAGTTGAGAGATGAAGGTGTTGGCACCGGCTACTGGCTTCTCAGAAGGTAGTACTTGAATGTCGTGTGACGGGAATGAGCACCTATGATAGCGTCAAGCGGATGGCAGCCAGCGGGAGTCTCAGTTTCTTGGTCGAGGCTTCGGGGTGGCTAGCCTTTCCAATCGTCCAACTGTTTGCAGCGTCGACCAAGATCAAGTGTCTTTCGTGCGCGCCTTGATAGGACGATTCTCATGACGAGAACCATATGTTATGTACGGAGTATGCTCGTGGCGATAGATGTAGAGATGTAGTGTTTCAGGTGGCCGAATTACTCGAATAATATTTGATTGATGTCTCGGGCTGGTGTGGAGAGAGGCCCAAAATGAACCAAGACCCAAGGACAGACAATGCCAGCCTCCCAATCTACGCGTGCTCGTCGCCATTCCAACAACGTTCCCTGCCTTTTTTCTCTCCTTCAACGTAGCCGTCCGTTCGCTAACCTACCCATGACATTCACCATCTGTTCCCGGAGTCTCCTTGCCGTCTAATGCCTGCCTCGTTCTCTGCCTCTCTCACGTCGTCGTCGCGCTCCTAGAGCGCCCCCGTAAACATGTCGTTCCTGTTCAAGTCGTCCAAGAAGCAACAGGGCTCCGCTCTGCCTGCTGCGACACGCAATATCAAGTCCTCGGACGGCACAAGCCCTCAATCAAATATTCCGTCGGCTCCTGGACACGCGCGAGACGGCTCTGGTGGCAGCCCGAGGGAGAAGTCTCAGCAGACGCCTACACCCGGAACCAGTGTCAATTCGCTCAATTCCCTGGGCGAGAAGCTGCAAGACAGTCCTCAATGGTCGTCTGAAAAGCCCTCGAATACTCCTAGTCCCGAGCAAAAGGCCTTGCGCGAGCGCGGCGACAGCGACTTGCAGGTGAGCAGTCATACCGTCTTGTCCGCTGCCGTTCAACCACCCACTAACTTGTCTCCCTAGCACTCGCGTATGCGCCCTCATCAAGACTCCTCTCCATACCCCTGGTCTCAGCGACACCTTAATTTCACCGTCCCCACGAATCATCCGTTTCCTCGCTACGGCGCTGCCGCCAACTCGCTTTCCTCCAAGGATGGATCCATCTACATCATGGGAGGTCTGATCCACGGCTCGACTGTGAAAGGCGATCTTTGGATGATCGAGTCCGCCCCCAACAACCTTAGCTGTTATCCCGTTGCGACCACTTCCGAGGGCCCTGGTCCAAGAGTTGGTCATGCCGCTTTGCTTGTTGGAAACGCCTTTATCGTCTTCGGAGGAGATACAAAAACAGACGAAACAGACATGCTGGATGATACTCTTTATCTGCTCAATACCTGTATGTCGTTGTGCTTCTGTCTGCGTCCGAGTGGCTGCTAACTGTTGACAGCTACTAAACAGTGGTCGAGAGCTGCTCCGGCAGGGCCTCGTCCTCCAGGTCGTTACGGCCACTCCTTGAACATCATTGGGTCCAAGATTTACATCTTTGGAGGTCAAGTCGAGGGCTTCTTCTTCAACGATCTTGTCACGTTCGATCTGAATGCCTTGCAACAAGCCAGCAATCGGTGGGAGACGCTGATTCAGAATACCATCGATGGAGGTCCTCCCCACGGCCAGATTCCGCCAGCACGCACGAACCACTCTGTTGTAACGTGGAATGAGAAGCTGTACCTTTTTGGAGGCACAGATGGAGTGACCTGGTTCAGCGATGTCTGGGCCTACGACCCACGAACCAATTCCTGGTCGCAGCTTGAATGTATTGGCTACATCCCCGTAGCTCGCGAGGGACATGCAGCTGCATTGGTTGGCGATGTCATGTATGTGTTTGGAGGCCGCACCGAAGAGGGCAACGATCTCGGCGACCTCGCGGCTTTCCGCATTACAACACGGCGTTGGTACACTTTCCAGAACATGGGCCCATCACCATCACCTCGTTCTGGTCATAGTATGACTGCTTTCGGAAAGCACATTGTTGTTACTGGTGGTGAGCCAAGCTCGGCCCCTCGCGATGCTGCCGAACTCAGTCTTGCCTACTATCTGGACACGAGCAAAATAAGATACCCCAACGATTCACAATCTCAGATGCCCGCCGACCAACGCATTCAAGGCCATAGGCGTCCAAGCGGCGACAGGACAGGTATTCCACAAAGCCGGGGTGCTTCTAGGGAGCAGGTTGATTTCGACGGTTCCCGACGTCCTGGTAGAGACAGCGCCATTCCAGTCAATCGTGGCCCCGAGCCCATGGCCATAGGCTCCAGATTGCCTCGTGCTGCAGGACCGCCGGGGCCGCCGGGGTCACAGGGGCCAACACTTCAGCAACCTTCCAAGCCTACAACACCTCCAAGTCGCCAACCCACCAGGCCAGACCGTGCACTGAGCCCCAACCAAGCTGGTTCACCACCCACCGTTGTCACTCGCATGGCTCCTGGGCCTTTCCCCAACGACGCTTTTGGCGCCAAAACAATGTCACCAACAACAGCTACGCCCACGATGGCTGTCCCCACAACAAACGGTAACAACAACAATAACATCTCGAGGGCTTTGGACGAGGAGCAGGACAGAACACCCCAAACATACAAACCAACTCACCAACCCATCTCCTCAATCGACAACTCTGTCAATCAATCATTCTCCCCTCCCTCCAGAACGAGCTCCAGGACGGCCGGGCCACAAACAGCTCCTGAACACGTTGAACAAGCATCTGGTCAACCTGGGCATCGTGCCCATCCATCACTCCAAGACTCAGATTCACGAGAGGAAACCGAAAGAGCGATGCCAATGGAAGCATCGCGCCAACCTATTCAACAAGAGCCTCCGCTTGAGAAGGTACGCCAGGAGACCTCAAAAGAAGCACTTCTGAATGGCGTAATGGACCAGGCGCCTGCTTCGAACCACGCGGCGAGCGACTTGACCAAGAAGTTGGAATCCGAGAAGACTAAAAACGCTTGGTTCGCATCTGAGCTTGCACTGGCACGAAAGGCAGGTTATTCAAGAAGCACTACTAACACACCGGCCTTCGATGAGCGGTCAACCGACGCGTTTGGGGATGATGACAGACCGCTGGTAGAAGCCTTGCTCCGCATGCGAGCAGAGCTAGCCAAGGTACAAGGATCTATCGAAGCTCAAGCAGAATCTGCAGCCGCGCGCATCGCCGAAATCGAAAAACAAAGAGATACTGCCATTAGCGAAGCTGTATTTGCCAAAGCAAAGCTTGCAGGTCAAGGCGGCGCTTCTCCCATGCTGGGCTCGAGCAGACATGGTACTCCTGATGCGGACCGTGCTGGTGATATGAACAGACGTCTTGCGTCTTCACTGGCCGCTCAGACTGAACTGTCTCGCAAGATTGACAGCTTGATTCATGAGAAGGAAGCCGAGAAGCAGGCTCGTCTTTTAGCAGAAGAGACAGCAGAGGCTGCTCAACAGCGTGTCACTGAACTCGATACAGACAGGCAACGCATTGCTTCCGAAATTGAGTCGCTGCGTGACGAGTTGCACGAAGCTCAAAAGACTGCCAGAGAAGCATCCGCCAATCATGCTGACGCTTTGGCCTCGCACAACCTTCTTTCTGTTGACAAGTCCGAGCTCACCACTAGACTGGAGAACGCTCTCGCAGAAACAGCAGAGCATGGAGCAGTCCTTGGATCTCTGCGAGAAGCACTTACAGCTTCTACCGACAAGTCCAATCTTCTGGAAGAACGCCTCGAAGAAGAAAAAAGAGAGCGAAACGAGCTTGAACAGCAAGTCTCACAGCTCCGTTCACACCACGAAGAGCGTTCCTTGGAGCTCGAGACAACCAGTCGGCGCCTCAAAGATGCTGAGGGTCTTGCAGAGAAACATGCAGCTGAAGCACGTACGCATCGTCAAGCTGTGCTCGACGGTCTCGGTAAACTTTCTACTCGCGGCTCAGACACTCGTGGTGTCACAGATGAGCGTGTCTCTATTCTCCAAGGGCAGGTCGAAACCGCCAACGCAATGGCCAGACAGAACCAAGCGGCTGCCGATCTCGCTTCAGAGAAACTACGACGTGCTGAGGAGCGCATTGCTGGGCTCGAATCTTACCAGGAGCAGGCCAGCCGCGAGGGCTTGACGATCCGCAAGCAACTTCAGGCGGCACTTAAGGAATCCAGAGCGCTGGCAGAAGAACGCGCCGAACTCCAGCAACAACTGCAGAGTCAACAGCTGGAGACAAATGCCATTGCTGTGCAACATGGTGCGCTCAAGGATATACTATCTGAGCGAGGTGTCAACCCTGTCGATGTGCGCAAGTCTCGTGGCTTTGACTCTCCGTCGTCCCAAATACGATTCGGTACTCCGGATATACAGCGTGTCAAGGAGCTAGAGCAGCAGCTGGAAGTCAACCTCAGAGCGCAAGAAGAGATGAAAACAAGCCTTGAGGAGATGCAGGACCGTGAAGGACTTACAAGAAAGGAGTACGAGGAAAAACTTGCGACATTGCACAACGACCATCAAGCTGCCGTGAAGTATCTCCGCGGCACTGAGAAAATGCTGAGTAAGATGAAGCAAGAGTTGCAGCGAGTAAAGAACCAGGCTGCCGATTACGCCAAGGAGCTCGATACCGCGCGTAGCAAAGATCACGAAACCCGTGGTCTGGATTCCGAGCACAATGCCAACTGGAACGAAGAAAGAGACACCCTCCGCAAGGATCTTGAGACCATGAAGGCCGACCTCGAGGCTAAAGTCTCGAGCTTGAACCGTCAAGTGAGCGAGAGAGATACCGACATCACCACTCTGCGCAACTCCCACGAAGCGACACTTTCCAGCTTTGCAACGCTCCGTACTACCCACGAGGCCTCAAGAGCGGACCTCGATCGTCTGCAAAGAGAGAATGCACAACTGGAGGAGCGTGCTCGTGATGCAGAAAACAAGGTCCAGCTACTGCTTGACCAGGTTGAGTCGTCTGTTGACAACTATCGCCGTCAATCTGCGATGCCTAATAACATCACCAATGGATTTGGTCACCATAGAGCGCTGAGCAATGTCAGTGCTAGCACCGCCAACTTCATACCCACACACTCGCGAGGTCACTCCCGCGGCGAGTCCATGGGCGGCGACAGCATTTACTCTCAGAGCATTGCAGCTTCAGAGACCGGCGACATGGAAGCCCCTGACGGACGTGATAGTCTCGCGCTCGACAATCTGGCCACGGAGCTGGATGCTTTGCGCACCCAGTGGGAGACGACCAACAAATCCTACCGCATCAGCGATCTCGAGTTCGAGAAGACCCCAACTACTGGTACTGCGCCTGCCGAGTTTGGCCTGGACAACTGGAGACGTGGATTGAATGTCAATGACGACGATGATGAGAGGCCAAGCACCTCAAGCTCAGCTGCTCAGCCCATGAACTCGTCGAGCTCAGCAGCGCACGCATCCGCCAAAGAACGGGCGTAGGCTATGAAGGAGATGTCTGATGGATCGGGGTGAAAAGAGGCCTGTCCGTGATGATTTACGGACTTGGATGTTTTTTGTTTTTTCCTGTCGATTGATTGTTGCCTTGTTTGCGATATACCTTAGTTTTGGTTTTTGTGATTTGCCCTCCTCTATGCGCATGTCTCATGTTCTCCAGAAGATGGTCTTGCATGAAGTCACGGTGCAAGATATGTAGAATGGCTGCGTACTCGTTTCATAATCCAATGACATTGCATTTTCGGCTTTCATCAAATGCATACAGGCTGGCTAAAGAGTGACTGGTTGTAATGTAATGAGGGCAAATTGGGAGGATAATAGAAGTAGAACGAGACATGCAAGTAGGGGTATCTATTGAACTAGAGAAAGGAGAAACAAGGGCGTGAAGATTCGTGAACGACATGACCATCAGACCTGAAGCATCAGACGAAGTCCGGTGTCGACAGACTTGAGCCATTTCCCTCTTTCATCAAGATCTTGTGCGAGAACGTGTTGGCCTCTCTTCTTCTGAGCGTCTTTGGCTTGGGTGATGGCAGAACGTTTGCGAGATTCGATGGGCTCCAAGTCGGCTTGTAGAGATGCGACACGACGTTTCTTGTCGGGCAGAGTGGATTGCAGCTCGGCAATTTCGCGATCGAGACGGGCGAGGTCGGAAAGCTTTTCGGCCAGGAGAGAGTTTGTGGGCCGGAGAGGTAGGTTGAGCATGGGGTGGGAAGATGGCGTTTCCTGCGCAGCTTTGAGGTTCGCGATGGTGATGTCGAGGTTCTGAATGTCGGCGGGGAGGGCATGGAGCTGGGTGGTTTGCAGGTGGATCAACTCGTGTGCTTTGATGAGGGTTAGTGTTGAGTGGCTTGCAGTGTAAGAGGAGTGTGTACATTGTGCCAGGCGGGTGCCCAGGTCTTGCAGTTCTTGCACCTTCTGGTTGGTATGCTCCTTCTTGGCCTTGAGAGCAGCCTTTGCTTGTGCCAGGTGCTGCTCCAAACGAGCATTCTCGGCAGCGTCGACCAAGTGCGGGGGGTCTGCGACAATGGCCTTCAGGAAGCGCTCTTTCGTGACTTGTTCGACATATGAGAAGCGGAGTTTGGAGAAAAGATCCTTGTAGTGGTCGAGTTCTGCACCGAGTGATGACTTGGTGAGGCGGTCGGCGCTACTGTCGGCAGCGAGCAATGGCTCGGCGAGACTCAGGATGGTCAGCGACATATCTTCTGTTGTATCTGTTGGTGCCATGGTGGTCGGAGTGTATGATTGCAACATGTTGACCGCACGCTTTCCAGTTTCCAGCTTGTTTACATGCCGAGGGCACAGACCAGTTCCCCAGGTTTGCGGCAACTCGGGCAACTTTGGCAACGCGGGAGATCGACGTCACGCTCTTTCAAGTTTCCACTTTATGTCCGAGAGTGCTTGATGCTTGATGCTTGATGCTTGATGCGTCAAAGTCCATCAACTCGACCACCTCACAGATCACACCATGCCGGAACCAGGACGCGACGCTGAAATCACCGACGACTATGCTACCGAACTGCTGAAACGAGATGCCAAAGCCGTGTCATCGTCGTCGAGTCTGGCCTCTCTGATGAACAAAAGGTGCCACCCTTGAGCGCCCGTACATCTCTGTATCGCTTCGCTTATGCCTCCGCTACCAGCTCGCGCTCGACCAACGCCCCCAAGCCGAATACCAGGTTTCTGAGAAACATCCTCCGCGACACGGACAACCACAACGCCGCCCTGCTTGCCAAAGAGGCTCAAGAGTCAAAACTGCGTCTAGACCAGTTGCGCCATCCCCACCCCCACCGCCCTGAACAGCAACTGTACTCTGCTCGCGACAGGCACGATCCCAAGAGACGACGCCTTGATCCTGCTCGCCATCGACCTTCCACATCTGAAAAGACCTCACATCGTCGACACTCTCCTGAGCCCACATCCAAGAAGACCTCACATCGTCGACACCTCCCTGAGCCCACATCCTCGCACAGCCAGTCCTCTCGTCGCTCGACGTCACCAGACCGTCACTCCTCAGACCGTCACAGAAGTAGACGTCGCTCTCCAAGCTCAAACAATCATGAATCGGTTAGACATCGCCGCCACTCAAGGCGTCGCTCCTCTTCACCCGACACCCGTCGACCCTTAGTCAAACCTAACAAGCCATCGGGAGACTCATCGCATCGCTCAAAAAGGCGTCGCTCTCCATCATTTGATGCATCTGACTCCGACCCCCTAGATGCTATCATTGGTCCTGCTCCTCCTTCCAATCCACCTGTTCGTTCCCGGGGTCGTGGCACCCAAAACAATGCTTCGACCATCGACAATCATTTCTCCTCCAACTACGACCCTTCAACAGATACGCAGCCACATGTACAGGAAGACGATGGTCTGGACTGGGACCAGGCTCTCGAAGCTTTACGGGATCGTCAAAAATGGAAACAGCAAGGTGCAGACAGGCTTCGTGCTGCAGGTTTCAGCGAAAAAGATGTCACCAAATGGGAAAAGGGCGGTGAGAAGTCAGAGGAGGACGTCGTATGGGCAAAGAAAGGCGAGGGTCGGGAATGGGACCGAGGCAAGGTTGTTGACGAGCATGGCGTCGTCGAACTAAAGCCTGAATGGGGCAGATTGAAAGATTCCTGACTCCAAGCCTTGGAGCATCAAGCGTCTTTCCTCAAGGAATTGCACAAACTTCAAAGACAGTCCTGGCTCAAGCGCAGCTTCTTGGGCGTGCATCAACAGCGTGTCTTGTTATTCTCACTTGCTTGTCTACTCTATGTTTCGCTTCTTCCTTGTTCGTGTTGGTCTGTCTTTTTGCTCGAAAGACAGACTCTAGCAAAAAAGTCATCCCCACCTCCAAGTAAATATCAATCAATCGAGCGTGCGAAGACATCTGAAAATCGAGTCCTACTCGTAATCATGTGTGCTTGCATTTGGCCCGTCAAACTGCTCTTGACCCTCTTCAATCATGGTCTCATCATCCATCAATGGCGGGGGGGAATCGTTGTCACCGTAGCGGTCCTTCTCGTGCTCGTCGTTCACGAGCTCCATGAGTCGATCTCCTGCGTCTGAGCCTGCGTCTGGACGATCTGAAGCCGTGTCGGCAGGCGTGTTGACAGAAGTGGTGTTGTCATCTTCACCCAAAACTTCAAATCCCCAGGATGCTTCCTGGTTAGCAAGCGTAGCGGCAGTCGTGTTGCTGTCATACAGCTCATCGTTCAACGAAATGCCTTCGTCGTCGTTAAATTCACTCGTCGGCATCACTGCCTGGCTCACTCCTCTGCCAGGGCCACCTGCGTTGGCTCCCTGCTGAGGCGTCCCGGTGATGGCGGCTCCTGCTCCGACTGCTCCAGCGTTCGACGACCCAGGCAGGCGAGAGGAAGCTGAGGAGTGGTCGCCGAGACGCTCGCCTTCCCCCGACTCGTCCTCACCGTCTGAGGCTTCTTCGGGGTTACGTGCCTTCAACACTAGCTCCTGCAAGTATGCCGGGCCAAGAGGTGTCTGCGAACGGCGGCGGTAGAAAAGCAAGTACGCGGCCGTCGAAACGACACCTTCGGGGTTCTGGCGGCTGACGGACGAATCTTCTCACAAGTTAGCGATCGAGTCATCTAATTGCAAAAGAACTTCCTTCTCTTACCATTATAGTCGTACCAATTGCCATCGTAGAAGTTCTTCGCGTAAGCAGTGTAATGCCCACCGCCAAGACCACCGTAATGGTTGTCAACGGCGAACAGGTCATAGATGTACTCTTTGCCCTCCTCCTTGCACCCGACCCTCTTGGTCAAATCGAGACCTTCGATGGGGAAGTCGACAAGCACATCGACCTTGTCGCGTCGGAAACGCTCGCCGCTGAAGCGCTTGAGATGCACGACAAGAATGTCAGGTACAGTCCACAGCTCCAGAGTTTTGCTGGCACGGCGGAGTTCTTTGCATCTGCCGCAGTACCATGCGTTGTCCTCTGAGAGCACTTCGGTCTTGCCAGTCTCGCTGAAGCAGTCGTCCAAAGTGATGCCGTTCTTCTTACGTTGCATACGCTTGTTTCTCCTCAGCTGGAGCTCGGCGTCGTCTACCAGAGGTACCTCCTTATGGTTGAATGTGTACTGGCCGTTGCCGTCACCTCCACCGAACAATGACTCGAAAGCATCTTCCTGCCATTCTATCACAATTCCCTCGCCAAGTTTGACGTAGAATTCGTTGCCATCTTTCGGCTCATCTGCTGCTGTAGCGCGAGGTAAGTTAGAACGGACTGGGTTTTTATTGTTTGGGCGACGACCTTTCCGAGAGTACGTCTTCCTCGCCTTGTTCTTGTTGAACTTACGTCTGCGGTTGTCCTTTGCTGACAATTGTTCAAGCGAGCCCATGCCCGATTCGTCATCGCTCTGTACATCACCGGTGAATGTATCCTGACCAGAGGCCCTGAATGACTCCACCATTGGATCGGCTTGGTCGCTGTCGCATGATTCTCTGCCCTGGCCGTCGTATCCAGAATCCTGGCTCCTGACAGAGGTATTGGAAGCTACTGAACTAATACTGCCTCTACGGCGCTCGACAGCACGCACTCGGGCCTGCATGGGACTGGCATTGTTGATCGTGCCCGTTCCGGTCAAGAACATGTCGCCAGAGGCTTGAACGTATTTCAGTTCAAACATGTTCCTGAGTTCCGGGCAAATGAAGCGTCCAGGCTGCAGAGCATCGAGCAGTTGCTTGGAGGGTGTCTGACTACCATCACGCATTGAAATGTCAGCATCGTTATCGTGGTCTGTCGCACTGTCTGGAGCTTCTTCCTTAGGAATTTCTTCGAGAAGGCGCTTGGTTGTCATGGTGGTGACAGCAGCAAGCACTCTTTTCAAGATAGCATCATAGTTCTTGGCTTCCTCCTTGGTAACGGTAATCAAGGTTGGGTTGAGGGCAGGACTTGAAACACGTCTTTCGACCTTTGAGTGGAACACCGGTATGGCCATAGTCTCTGCCAGAGGTGAGTCCATCCCTGGCAAGTCCTCTGGAGGATCGTGGTATATGGATCGATAGCCCATCTGCTTCCTCGGCATGAAAGCCGCGTTCGTCGGCACCTCGGAGAGCTCGTACATGCAGAGAATGTCGCTGGACGAAAATTCAAGCTCTGAAAGAGTCTGGCTGTCGTATGCGATCTTGTAAAAGCGATGGCTGAACATTTCGGCAAAAATGAGCCTTTCGCGAGTCAGACCACGGCCAATCTTGCTGACAAAGATATCCTTGAGCGCCTTGACGGAGATGTTCTTTTCGACATCCATCTCGAAGGCAGAAGGATATCCAGTGACGGGCATAAACATAATCTTTCCCTGCCAAGTGTTCTCAATGGGTAGTTGCAAAGTAAGGAGTGAGTAGGGATCAAAAGTCACACTGACTTTCTCACAATCAGGACAGACCATAGTGTTTTTGTAGAAACCATTGAACAGATCCATAGCGATGGAGTCGTTACGAGCGTGGTGGTTCTCTCTGTATTTGTCACCAAGCTGCCTGATGGCCTCCGGATCGTGAACAGTTTTGTCATCTGAATCGGGATTTTCGATGTAAGGCTTCTTCTGAATACGGTTGAGGTCTTCATGTAGAGCATCGACCAGAAAACTTAGAAATTCTTGCGAGTCCTGCTGGCCGTAACCTGAGAACATGGGTTGTGCCATAGAGAGTGCGCCCTTGAAGCCGCCAGGTCGATAGGCAGACGTAGCATTGTCGCTGTAGAGTCCGGCCAAGAAGTTTGCGTATGCATTTGCGATCTTACCATTGTAACCAAGTGGATTGTCGGCGTTGATCTCAGGTTTGTGCTTGTGATGGAGGAAATAGACTGCCAGCTCTTCAACTCTACTGATGCATTGCAGGGCGGAGTTCATATAGCAGGTGTTACCAAGATTGGTCAGACCTATTGAACCACGAGTTCTGCCATCCTTACGAGTGCGTCCGCGAGTGGTCGGAGCTGTCGGGGCAGGGCTGGTACGTCTGTTGGTGTCTTGGGTTTGTGGGTTGCTGTTCTTCTGTTTCTTGCTCGCATCCGAAGCATACTCTCCACGCTGCTGCTCCTCAAGAATCAATGTTTGGTCTGCGATCAGACCGAGAATTTCCAGTGTCGATTTGCCATTGTATTTCTCGTTTGTGGTATGGTCTTGTCCGTCGACAGGCTCAAAATTGGTTCCTACTGTCCATCTGGTGAACGTCGACCTGTCGATAACAAGCTTCGACGAAGTGGAAGGAGATGGCGAGGGGTTTCTCGAAGTTGGAGGGCTCGGGATACCTGGTTGAGCAGTGTTCGGCATGTCGCCAGAAATCAGAGTAGGATTCAGCTGTTTGAAAATCTTGACCTTGTGCTGCATAGGTATACTGGCAGCTTCTTTGGCGCGGGCGAGGAAACTTTGGAAGCGCTCGCTACGCGATGCAACCACTTTAACAGCGGCAGCATCAGCCTGGGCGGACTGAGGAGCGCTTGGTACCTTGCGTATCGTGAAAACTGGCGGGCTCAATTCGTAGATGATGTTGGAAGACGGGGATCCTTCAGGTGCGACATTGTGTGCAAAACGAAGGATTGGTAGTTGGCAGTCCGACACACCGTACCACTCAACAATCTGACGCCATGCCTCTTCAGTAAACACCTCGAAATGGGTTTCTCTTTCCACGTCAGCGCGCAGAGGGACATAGGGTAGGTCGGGCTTTCCTGGGAAAGCGAGAGGGTCGTCAAATGCACCTGTAGCTCGAATTTCAGCCATTGCCTTGGGTGACAGCACGCAACAGAGCACTTACCGGGGGCGACGAGGGAGGAGTTGTCGATATTCCCAACCTCTCCTTCCAGCATTTCCGGATCAAAAACCTTCTGGTCGGCGTCTGCCGTTCTAGCCATGACGCGATGGAACCATTTGGCAGCCACGATGAAGACTTTGGAGCCGTCCTCCACTGGTACATTCAGCATAGCTTGGATACGTGTAACCTGTTCTTCGAAGCTCGGAGTGAATGAAGGACTGGCGTCCTGTTGGTGGGCATCGTACGACGGAGGGGCCTGTTGCGACTCGTTTGACGTGACGGGGTCTGCAGCAGATTCAATGCCTTCCATTGTAGCAGCCGAACGCTTTGCCGGCGAGGCAGGACGCTGCGTCGGATTCGGAGCATCAGTGTCCCCTTGGGCACTGGAGTGGGACATGTCTTCGGCCAAGTTCAGCTGGGCGTAGGCGTCGCTGGGCGAGCTGGCTCGCGAATCGGCGTGTAGATGCGGAGGAATGTAGCGGGGTGGTGACGAAGGAGTATGGGCAGCTTGGTTGCTGGAAGGCGAGGAAGAGGACTGTGGCGACGAAGGCTGGCGGTCAGGATCATGCACGGCTTGGTGGTATGCGTGTCTTGGATCGTCTGCGACAGGATGGGCGACTTTCTGCTTCTTTGAGGACGCCGTCTTGACGCTGGGTGAGCCACCGCTGAAGGGCAGCTCGGTTGAATGAAAGGGGCGGATGTAGAGGATGCGACGACAAGACGGCGGGCAGTGCCTGTGCGCGTTGTCTGGCGGGAATGAGGTACGGTATAAATTCTGATGCAACAACGCGCCTGGCGGTTTTGTCCTGACGTAGAAATTCTGATCTGCTTCCGGTACCTGGGGTGTGGCTGGAACGAGACGTGATCTGCACCCGATTTGTACAATATCGCGACGACTCCGTACTCATTCTATTTGGTCTAAAGTGAAGGGTAGATACCTAAAAGGGACCTCTCAATGGCTCCATGGCGACAACGAGCCACTCCCCGCTGCCCTTCACGTCACTTGTGCACGTCTGTATACCAAGCAATCTGCTGCAGCTCATTCGACCCAGCCGACAATACATGGCTTCGCGTCAAGACCAATTGTCGTTTTACACGTATGTCGATCGCAAACATGATCTCTTTCAGCGTAGCATGTGCAACACTGCGTAAAACTTTCGAGATGTTGGGCGATAGATAGAAGGGGCAGAATGCAGTGGACTTGGCACAGGCTGTAGCGCTCTTGCCTTTGACCTCCGGACGGAATTGCGGAGAAGTCGAAGCATCGAAACGACAATGACCAATGCATGCATGAAATCCCAAGTGAAGCACCAACTCTTGTTCAAAGTCCCTCGTCCTCTCTCAGGCATCCGCGAAGCATATACCCGAAGAAGCTGTTCTCAATCTCCAATCCCTGCGCCCAAAGCCACTCTGCTGCCAACAGTGTCTACCTTTTCTGGCCCCACTATCAACAACAGTTTCGCCCTCGGTACAGATCATCACCTTGATCTTTGAAGAGCCTTTGGCAGTAACCGACTTTTGCAAAACCACACGTCACCTTCCCGCCCGCACCGCGACCAGAGGCCTATCCGCGACTGTCCAGAGAGAAAGCCAAAGTCGGCAAAGTAAAGTCAAGAGCTGTGTATAAAGAGCAAACACTGGATAGAGAGAGAGGTAGGCAAGCACTCTGGTCCAGCGGCGAGTGGAGGGGCAGAGAGTAGATGGATCCGCAGAGCGTGGCCTTTGTTCCGCACAGCGATTCCTGGCGCCTGTGCAACGACTTGCTGCGCCTGCAGCAGGTCCAGGCCGACCACACCGATCGCCTTCTACGTCTCGAACGCCGCCAGGACGACGACGCCAGAATGAAGTCGGTTTGGGGCGCCACCTCTCCCTTCCCCAGCGTCTTGAGTGGCACCCCTCAACAACCTCCCATCCACCATCTCAAGGACTTTGACGATGAACCCGCCAATCTGATCGGTAGCCTACATCTTGACCCGGACGAAGAGCCCCGTCGTATGGGTGCAACTTCACGTGCCAATAGCGTCCGCTTCGACGAGTCTGCTAACCAGGGCCACTGGGCTCACGCTTCGCGCTCATCTATCGACTTTCTTCCTCGCAGCACAAGCAGCTTGGCTGGACTAGGCATGACTGAGCGTACTTCGTCCCACAAATCTGACGGCCGTGCTAGCTCTGTACATTCTGTCAGGTCTGCTGCTTCAGGTCGTGCCAGCAGCATCAATCTAGACACCGGCTATGCTTCTCCGGTTGACACCCCGGTCATCGCTCCTGGTCTACTGATACTTGGCCCCGTTCCGGCAATCGTTCGCTGTTGGTTAAACACAAACTTCAAGCACGACGCTCTTCTCTACGCTGCCGTATCTAGCGCCTCTTACAAGTCCCAGATAGACGAACGCCTTGTTCAATATCTTGACCTTGAGGATTGCGTTGTGGAGAGCGCGTCCGGTAGCCGCTTACTTGCTCTACCTGTCTACTTTGCCGAGGCAGTCCCTCTTCCTACTTCGGCGAGGCCAAGTAGCCCGGCGCCGCAGGTTCCGTCGGCCACGGTCGAGTTCAACGTTCTTACCAATACACAAACAGATGTTTACTCGAAAGCTATCCAGATCGTCATTGGCAGTGACGTGCTTCGATCTCGTGGTGCCGACATTCTATTCTCGTCCAACAGCATGACCCTCTTCGACGACGATCAGTGCAAGTTGTCCATTCCTCTGGTTCGCCCTGAGAGTGAATCAACCTTCAACTCTCTATTCATCTCCTCCATGCAGCCTCCAAAGCTCCAAGAGATGGTACGAGAAGAGCAGACACAGCTCAACGGTTTAGGCCAGAATGACATGAGCACCACAGTCAACGACATGGTCTACGAGGATGAACTTTCTTCAAGACCAGCTAACGAAGTCCTCCAACAACCAATGGAGATAACGGCCGATGATGAAATACCTAGCCGTAGTAGGCAACACACACCTGCTCCAAGGGTTGTTCGGTTGGAAAATAAAGACTCTGCAGCCTCAACACAAGCCTCACCCTCTGCGCCGCCTATCTCATCGCCGTCGATATGGAGCAACTGGCGTCGTGAAACATCGAGCCAGAACACCGGTACCGGCACAGGAAGTGCCACAACCAAGCCCAAGGACAGCGGTTATCAACGGCGAGATGCTGGTATCAAGGTTCTGAGACCAACGAGAACCATTAGTCGTACCTTCTCGAGTGGTTCGGTAGCATCTACCCCTGCTGCTGACGGCAAGTCGCGTTATTTTGACGAAGGCAAAAAGCGAGGACAAGACACTGTTGCTGGCGATGAGAAGCCATTGAGCCGCAGACCAACAGGAGATGGTGAGGTGGAGATGACAACGAGCAAGACGAGGAGCAATCCGGCAGGTGGAGCTTCAGCATTTTCATGGCTACACTCAGGCAGCAAGCCCTGAGGTAAGGCACGAATACATTTCGATTGGCAGTTGGACATGATGGGACTTCGCCAATATGCATTTGACTTTATGACTAGCGGTTATTCAAAATTAGACAGGAGCGCGGTATTAATAGGCAATCAATGTCTTCCCAACTCAAGGCCAGGACATTCGATGGTTTTGACAGTCGTAAACCTGTAATGTTGTGTAATAATGGTATTCTCTGCTGGGAGTACTGCCTAATGCTGCACCTTAAGTGGGTATCTTGTGAATGTCTGTGTTCAAGCAATGAAACGCCTGTCCAACCTTCCTGCCAATCCTTCTCCAGTCGTCATCGTCGTTATGATTATCCACGATTTCTGCCATTTCACTACCGTGGCCCGCCGTTTGCCTGTGGCGCTATCGATCGTGACGCTTCGGCTTCACGTCTTTTCCATTGGGCATTGATTATTTTGGCGTTATCCAGGAGATCCTGCTCGCTCACTGCATCTTCTATGCTCTCCAGGACGCTCTCGACTGTGGTGATGTGGTTGGCCTCTGTCTTGTCATCTCTGAAGCGTGGTTCACCGTTGGGCTCCTTCTTGTAGCGCCATCGGCCCTGTTCATCCTTGTGACATTCGATAATGCGCCCATCCAGGATCTGCTGCATGCCTTTCATGCTTTCCCACTCATTTTCAGTCACGTGGAGTTTTGCGAATACCTCGTTCTTCTTGTTGCCGTGGAAGACGAGCAGCTCCATGGGCGGACAAGCATCGTAATCCACATAGGTCTGACCGTCGTCTGTAATCGAAGGGAAGTCACCCAACTGTAGCCTAAAGTCGATGGTGTTTTCGTGAGGCGGCTTCCATTTGATTATCTTTGGATCCGTGCCGCTCGTGTAGGGAGAGGTACGACATGTGAAGATCAGACCGTCGCTACCGTGTGGCAGTTTAGGCAAGACGTCTTTGATCATCATCATGACACCGTAAGCCTTTTCCATCTTCTTCGCATTGATGACAAAGGGTTGTAGCTCCTTCTCTTCGGGGTAGCGACTCAGGAGCCTGTTGTAAGGCTTCAGGACCGACTCGACAAAGTATCCCAAGCGCTTGTCGAGAGTGCGTTGTAACATTGACTTGCCGTCAACAGCGAGGCAGTCAAAGACCAGGAAGGTTTTCTGTTCTCCGCCAGTAGGTAGTTTGTCGAGGACAAGCTCGCCGTCCAGAAGAGTTTCGGTATGGTAACTTTCATCAGGGCCGTCGGGTAGAGGGAAGTGGAAGTGCGGGTTGTCGATGTTGTAGTAGTCGTTCTTTCGGTCGATGAGCATGTGGGCTTCCTGGAGCTGGGGGCCTTCTCCAAAGGTTGTAAGGTAGAGGAGACATCGTATGCCGTCGGTCTTTTCGCAAAGCCAGTAGCTGTCGGGCATCAGCGGGAGAAGGGTCTGAAGGGCTCTTACAAGCCTACTCGGTGTCTTGCAGCTCGCGGAAATGGCGGCGCGAAAAGCTCACTGGCTGGGCGCCTGGGAAATGCGGCGAGTTGCGCTCAAGCAGTTCGGCCACTCTCTGCTTGAAGAAATTGGCGTCTTGTCGCGGGATCAAATCGGCCACATCGGAGAGCTGGAGAAGAGAGCTCATGGCCGCTGAGAGCTCTCTGTGGGCGATACTGCTGTGTGAAGCTGATGTGTGCTGGACTAAGACGAATGCGCCATGTGACCGCATTCAGAGAGAGCCTACAGCCTACAGCCAGCTGCTGCCAAGCCTGTCAAGCATCTGAAACATGCATCCAACACGTGCTTGACGTGTTCCTTCCTCTTCACTTGCTAACCCTCTCTCTCTCTCTCTCTCTCTCTCTCTCTCTCTATTCACATGATGCGTCGTCGCATCTTGCAGAGTGTACTTGTCTGATCAAGACATGCTTGTCAGTCGGCATTGAGTGACATCTTGGCCTCTGCATGATAAAACACATGCTAGATATACCGGTCCCAGTATCCGGGGAACTTGGAAGCTGCCGTCCCCCTCAGCACATCATCTGCCTCCACTCAAATGTCGTAGGAGGTTCATGACATGGGTCTTTCTTCGATTCTCTCCCAATCTACCTAGTCGCAGAAGCAAGAAAATCCTGTCCACTCTCTCCTCCTCCAAACCTTTGCCATACACGACCAAGATGGCTTCGCACACTCTTGCTATTCTGGACGATTACGCAGGCATAGCTCCCAAATACTTCAAGCATATCCATCATCTCAAACTCGACAGCTTTCCCGACACTATACCTCCCAACAATGCCGACAACATAAAAGCCTTGACTGCTCGCTTGGGTAGTTACACCATCATCAGCTCCATGCGAGAACGCACCCCCTTTCCCAAGGAGTTACTCTCCGCATTGCCCAACCTCAAACTCCTGATTACCACCGCAAAACGCAATAGGGCTATCGACATGGTTGCTGCGAGAGAGCTTGGAATTGTTGTTGCCACCGCTCCAGGCAATCGTAATATCTCGCACCCAGAACTTCCCCCACTTATTGCACCATCACCTGAATATGATGCGACTACTCAGCATTGCTTTGCTCTCATCCTTGCACTTGCTTCACGCATACCCATCGAGGATGCTGCATTGCGATCAGGTGGTCCTTTCCAGACTGGGCTCGGTTTCACCCTGTCCAACAAAATCTATGGAGCCGTTGGTCTCGGTAGACTTGGAACGAACGCCGCGCGTACTGCCGTTCTCGGTTTTGGAATGAAGGTCGTTTCTTGGAGTGCAAATCTAACACAAGAGAAGGCCGATGAGGCAGCCGAGAAAGCAGGTCTACCCAAAGGCTCTATCAAAGCTGTGACCAAAGAAGAGTTGCTGAAGACGGCAGACGTCATCAGTATGCACTACGTGCTCTCGGATCGCAGCAAAGGAACTATCGGTGCCAAAGAAATCGGCATGATGAAGAAGAACGCGATCCTAGTCAACACTTCCCGAGGCCCCTTGATCGATGAGAAAGCTTTATTAGACGCACTCAACCGCGGTGCAATCAGGGGTGCAGCTTTGGATGTTTTCGACGTGGAACCACTTCCTTTGGATAGCGCCTGGCGCACCACTTCTTGGGGACAAGACGGTCGCTCGCTTGTCGTTCTATCACCGCACATGGGCTACGTCAACGACGAAACCATGCAAAAGTTTTATGCAGAGCAAGCGGACTCTGTACAACGCTATATCGCGGGTGGTATCGAAGCGGTCCCGGATGTCCTCAATTGAGTGGAGTACGTGCTCAATGAACGTATTTGTTATAAGGTGATTCTGATGGCCACTCCAACACTATTGCTACATAGTTGTTTGTAGATTATTCGAAATCGTGTAGAGTCATAAACCTCGTACTGCTGAGCATGAGAGCCACATCCTGATCGTTCCGTGGTTTACACGACACAATCACCTTTTCTATCAGCATGCACATGCTGAGTTGAAGGACCCTCTTGGACAAGCTCAGGCTCTCCATGAATTCCCTCAGTGTTGTTGTCTCTCGTTTCCAGGTCACTCTCGTCAGATGGTCCGACAAGTGCATTCCTCTTCGCATCCACGCGTCTTCGCCATGGGCGATAGAGAATCGCGCTGATGACACCAAAAACGACAAAGCTGCCACAGATTGCGCCACCTGTAATCATGTCAGCTTATTTGATTCGATAGAAAGAGCATCCACCTACCAATGATGTCGTAGTTATCGCTGGCAACTTCAACGCCATCCCAGAACCCACCAGTGAGATCGGCAGCTCCCTGTAGCATACCGAGGAATTGAATCACGCCAATGACCACAGCAACCAGCACAGTGACGCCAGTGAGGACGGACTGATAATACAACACGGCGATGTTGTCCTTGGCCAAGCGTGTTGACGTATATAAAGCCATCATGAGGGCGCCGTCCGTAGTGTCGAGTAAGCACATGCCAGCCGTGAAAAGAACCGGGAACAATAGGATGAGCCAAAAAGAAGTTCCCTGACTAGCGGAGATTGCACTGATACCCAATAGAGCAATTTCGGATGATGTGTCGAATCCTAGACCAAATAGTACCCCAAGAGGATACATCTTCCATGGCCGGTCGATGAGCTTGAACATCCTCTTCAAGACATGGAATAAGCATCCTCCACCTTCGATTTGAAACTCGGGCTCAGGTGAGTTGGCGGGTGAGTTGATGATCTTCCGAAGCTGTGTAATGAGCTTATACAGAATGAAAACGTTCATAATCCCAAGCACGATCAGGAAAGTGGCTGAGACGCTACTTCCAATTATCCCGCCGACTCGCGAGAATGCGCCGAATCGCGATGAGACGGCAGCAGCGGTTGATGCCACGACGATTGAGGTTATGACGACGATGCTGGTCATCTATCAGTATGTTTGTATAGCAGTGTCGATGGGGTTCGGATTACGTCGAATGTCCCAAGGAGAAGAAAGTACCGACTGTAACTGGACGTTGCCCAGTCGCAATCAGACGCCGAGTCATAAGGTCAATGGCCTGTCCCTATCAGTTTCATGTGTCGAGTTCAAAGGCTGAGTTTAGATACCGAGATGTGGTCAGCATCGAGAGCATGTCTGAGGCCTAGAGAATAGGCAAGCACAGCTGTAGACACCAGGGATCTGAAGACATATCAGCATCATATCTGTCTCTCGCCATATTACATAGTCTCACGTATGATAGCTCTGTTCACGATTAGGACATATCACATACAATATTCGTTCGTCCAGACTTACCAGAACAATTCCCACAGCGATCCACACAAGAATGTTTATAATCACCAGCAATGAGATGATGGCAATCGAAGGGAAAGGCAGTCGCTTTAGCACTGGAATCTGTGCATGATAATGCTTGCCTTTGGCTCTGAAGCGGAGATAAATGGCATTTTTGCTGGTAGCATCATTTTCGCCGACCATCAACGGCTCGGCCTGAGAAGACATTGTTCCACTTGATCGTGGCACGATAACGCCTCGTGTCGATAGCACAGTATTTCTCAGAAGAGGAGGAGCGACAGAGGAAGAAAAAAATCACAATATACACATCTAGCTGGACTCCCCCGTTATCAACCCCGAGGGTGGGGCACGGCGGGGCCGGCTGGCGAATCGCGAGGCGCGGGCGCGACCGCTCTCTACTTTTTACTACTTTATATCGAGCAATCGATAACGAGATAAAAAAAAAAAAGGTTCGGCGAGAGAATTGATCCATCGAGAAATAACAAAAATCGGATTGCGTGGATGTCCTGGCAACCCAATTCTAGCCGTATCTGCTGAGACAGATGCTCGCATTCGTTCCTCCAAAGCCGAAGCTGTTGGATAGAGCGACTTGCACGTTATGATCTTGTGCTGTGTTTGGGACATAATTGCAATCAAAGTCGGATGCAGGATCACCGGCTTGCTCGAGGTTAAGTGTTGGTGGCAGTACGTTCTGTGTCTTGTCAGTCGCGCTCAGTCGTTTCAGGACACCATACATACGTTTTGCAACGCGAGGACAGTAAATATGGTCTCCGCTGCCCCTGCAGCCCCCAAAAGATGTCCTACTGCGCCTTTGGTGCTGCTAATATTGACATCCTGAGCGCTTGTGTGTCCTTCTTCGCCGAGCAATATGGTCTTGATAGCACGGTTTTCGGCTGCATCACCGAGGACGGTGGAAGTAGCATGGGCGTTCACATAGTCGACATTTGCAGGTTTGATGCCAGCTTGCTTGAGCGCACGCTTCATGGCAAGATACGGTCCCTGGCCGTCTTCGCGAGGAGCTGTCATATGATGCGCATCAGATGAGAGGCCGTAGCCTTTGATCTCGGCATAGATGGGAGCTCCACGTGCTTTTGCGTGCTCTAACTCCTGGATGACAAGCATTATTAGAATATCGTGCGCCTCATCGCACGGCGTAGACATCACTTACTTCGAGTACCACAACACCTGCACCTTCACCGATCACGAAGCCTGCTCTCGATCTGTCGAATGGTCTCGAAGCCTTTTCAGGACTGTCGTTCCAGTCCGTAGCTAGACTTCTGGCTCGAGCGAATCCAGCAATGGCGAGTGGATGTATGCAGGATTCCGCACCTCCAGCAACCATGACGTCCGCATCGCCAAACATGATCATACGGGCAGCATCGCCGATGGCGTGAACTCCGGTTGTACAAGCTGTAGTCGCTGCATGGTTGGGACCCTGTTATCATCAGCCAACACGGCATGCCATCATTGGTTGCACCAAACACACCTTGAATCCGTATCTCATTGAGATGTGACCAGCAGCCAAGTTTATCAGCAGCCTAGGTACGAACAGCGGAGAGACTTTCTTGTAGCCCTAAAATAGTGTCAGTATTGTGACTTCAGGCAAGACAGGCCTTCTGACGAACCCCTTTTTCGAATTCTACAGCCGTGTTATAGGCATCATCTAGACTGCCGATACCAGAGCCGATATAGACTCCCTATGATCATGTTAACAGAGTCATGTGTGACACTGGTACTGCGAACTTACGGTTGCTTGAAGATCTTCCTCTGACTTGGGTCTCCAATTTGCGTCTTGTAGGGCTTCTTCCGCTGAAGCCATAGCATATTGCGCAAACAGCGCCATTTTTCTGTCATCCTGGTCTCATGTTCAATCTGTCGTCGACAGTGGGAAGTTTGCGTTACTCACGCCCGGCTGCAACCATTCTTTGGAAGTCCATCCTCCGTCCGCTCGAAGACCGACAGGGATCACGCCCGCAACCTGTGACGGCAAAGTGGCAAACTTTGGGTTTCTTTCTTTGATGTTCACTATTCCACATTGACCATCGATCAGACGCTTCCAAGTCGGCCGAACGCCTGTACATTTGATAAGTATACACGTTAGAAAACAAGGAAATATGTTTAAGACTCACCGACTCCAAGTGGAGTCACGGCTCCAAGACCTGTTACGACTACCCTTCGCATTGCATTTTGCATTTGTTGAAGTTGACCTGAACATGTATTTCTAATAATAAAAGCAAGAATGCTTCGGGAAAGATGAGATAGAACACGCCTGCACGGGCCCTTTGCTCATATATTTTGCACAACTGGCATAAAATTCGTCTATCCAACATCAAGATGTGAGTATCGTCAGTTTCAGTTAACACATTGTATTCGTAAATTGCTGAAATCACTTTTTGTCCGATGATAAACTCCCCATTATTCAATCCAGAGCCTTTGACCCATGCTGTACCATATGCAAATGCTGTTGCTCGCCCTAATCTTATCCATCATGACCTCGTGAAATTAAAACCGATATGCAATAAGAAAAAATGACCTTGTGGATCAAGTCTAAGAGTAGCGAGCATGCTACTCATGTCTAGGAGGAGCCTGCATCGCTTCGTGGAAGAAAAGTTGTCGAAGGCTACCCTTGCTGGGCGAAGTGCCGGACGCATAGTCCTTCTTGTCGTAGCTCATCTCTCCCTCGACAACACGAAACGCAGTGCTAGTACTTGCACTGCTACGAAGGGAAGCATTCTGGTGAGCGAGATCCGTCGATGCGGTGAGTGGCTCTGTGTTGACGACAGGCGTTACGAGGTCAACCGAAAGAGAGCTGAAAGAAGCACTGTAAGGGTTTTTGCGACCCGGGAGCGGGCGAGTGGAGAGGTATGATCCAACGGTACTCAAAAGTGAGCCCGGGGTGTGTGACAGCGACGGCGTGTAGGGCTCATAGCTCGCGCGACGAGGGCTATGCTCGCCTGAGCTGTGGCGGTAGTGGGAGAGATAGCGAGATCCATCACTCTCGCTACGACGATACATGGGATGCTCTTCGTTGCCGGACAGGTCGGAGCTATCGTCAGAGAAAGCCAGGGACGGTGGTCGAACGACGGTTGGCGATCGCATGGGAAGGATCTCGTGCTGGTTGTGGTCGTCGAAGAAGTACGAACTCCGGGGTGTTGTAGGTTGCGGCGAGGGTTCCGACGGTAAGATGGAATGACTCAGAGGCTTGTTGTGGTCCTTTCTGCGACAGCTCTCGGAGCAGTACAAGATTGAGTTGCAGGCAGGTGTGAGGATCTGCTTCTCGCAAGTAGCACTGCGGTGTGTTAGTTGCAAGGCTGAGAAAGACGACGCGGTTTGCTCACCAAAATTGAGGAAGGCCAGCCATGTCTTCGTCCTCTGCGTTGGTGTCTGCGTCTCTCTTTTGAGTCTTGCCAGAAGTGGTACTAGTACTGGTCTTGTTGCACACAGGGCTCTTCTTTGATTGACCCGAGTGGCTGTTCTTTCGAGGACCCAGTGGGGGAGGTCTTAGCGGACGTGCATGGGTAGGTGCGGCTCGACGAGTGTTGCACGTCGTGTTGCGTGCATGTTGTTGTGGAGGGCTCATCTTCAGCAGACGAGGGCAGGGGTGTGATTTGAAATAAAACGAATGTGGTTGACATGCAACTTAAGCCGACGGTGGCCGATGCAGTGTGTATCGTGGAGCAAAAGCGGTAACAGCACTGAACACAGACAGGGCGCTGCTTGCTGAGAAGCGCGCTTCCTTATCTATGAAAGCCTGAAGATAGACGTCGCCCAAAATCTGTCTGTCTTTGAATGTGTCAGAACAGGCTACCTGAATCGGCTTTGCAGAACATCGGAAACACGGATAGGCAGATCACAGTCCATCTTCTCGATTCTCGACGACAATCAAATCTCATTCCTCGGCCGCGCAGAAACAAGAAATAGCAAAGGAAAGTGATGCGTACCCGTCGATGGATGCAGCAGCAGCGGTGAGACTTCTCTAGCAAAGAAACTGAGGTCGTTGCTGATAAGGGCTGCCAATAGGGCGTCGATCCGGAACAAATACAGGTACTTTGCTGCAGGTACGGCAAACGGTGTCAGAGAGGAGACGAGGACTGATAGCGCAGGTCTGTTGTTGTGTATCCCCCTGGGGCTCCACGGAATCTAGGAGGAAGAAAGCAAGGTGGTTTTGTAGGTAGAGGTGAACTCGCAAAGACCAGGTGCCTTGCCCACAGCACAACGGTAGTCAAGCCAAAATATAACGGGCTACTTGTGACCCCCCTTGTCGGGCTCAGTCACTGCTTTCAAGTGGAGCAATTCGCAATTTTGTCGACGCATGACATCTCTCGGAGCGGCCACGACGCAGTGGGATAGAGTTAGCGCTTCAAGAGACCCTGACGATTACCGCCTCGGCAAAACTCATGTCTGTTCCGCTCCCCTGATTCGCACAGCTTCTTCCATGAATATCAATGCACAGTCCAGACTGTTTCGTGTATCCGCTCAGTTGATCCGACAGAGATTTTATCCAAAAGATCGTCCATCTTCTCGCAGTACGAGTGTTATTACGCACGAAAGAGCCGAGACTAAGCGGTACGCGTTACCTACGTGTTCTGCAAAGCCCCAAGGCGGACGACTATCTCCTTCTGATGTTCTTGTGTGCCATATCACGTTCGTTACACCACGAATGGCACCACCAAAGTTCATGTTGGCGCTTTATCTATGCGCAAACAAAGACCGTATTGCGCGATGCTTTGCTCATGAGTCATCGGGATATCCCTACCTAGCTAGATATCGTTCTACCCGGGCCCGTGAGCAGCGGTCTTCAGACTTCTGCCCCGCTTGAGTCACGACCATATCAGCCATGGCCGCCGGCCGGAAGAATGGGCTCTCCTCTCTGCGCTCCGTGAGTCTTCCGCTTCTTTGTTTGTCGTTTTCTTAACCTGCTTGTTCGTTCCTCTGTTTTCCTGTAACGCTGGCTAAGGCTCAAGCTCGTCTCTCCACATGGAGGCAGGGCGCTGCCGCAACATTACTCCACGGTCCACAATTCTCCCGTACTCGTCAGCTCCACGTCAAACGAGTCCCGGTCTGCCCGGGGGTGCACACTCCAATGACCACTTTTTCACGTGGGAAACATCTAAGCCTTGTCCCGAAAACGCGCGTGGATTGCGACGATTTGCTATTGCCTCGAAGACTGCAGCTTGACATACATGTCTTCTCCTCACCATTCAATTGACATTGCTCATCTGCATTGTGTGAGTAGGTATGTGCACATCATTGCACGATCAAGATTGTCTAGCGCGTGATGCATTACCGCTTCCGATCGCATCGATCAACGCTTCACAGCCAGATTGAGAAATGCACGAACAGTTTGGTGGTGGCAGGTCTTGTCCTGAGCGCCAAAGATTGCAGGGGCGGACTTCTCTCCAGAATTGTAGCAGGCCTGCTTTGCTTGCAAAGCCACACTGCTTCGCACCATCAATATCCCTTTTATGGCTGCGAAGTTTCAGCAATTTCTGGATTTGTCTATCGTCCAAGAATAGACTATGACCGAGAGATGTGTACAGACTCAAGGTTGACTTCGCTACGCGTCAACCCTCTCTGTCGGTTCTCCGAGATCAACGATGTCCAAGACCACGACCCGTCACAAAACAATCAACCCACAACCAAGCCACCAGCGATCGATAAGATACCTACCCCACATGGCTCCAGGTCGGCCCGGCCGGCCAGATCAACGTCATATCTACAGGCTCCAGAATCTCAGCCTTTGTACCGTCGAACGGCTTTCGTACCTGCCAAGAGTGTACTTGAGTACGCTCGCAGGACTTGCCAAGTCAGGTAGGTCATGCTAGGCTGTCTACGAGTATCTCGTGGCTATAGATCGCCCATGGGGCAAGTTTCGATATCAACTAGACGAGTAGGCATGTTGAGTTGCGGGTTCAAGGCAGTCTGCAAGCGTGTTGATGTCCTGGGCAAACATTGTTCTACTAACCCGGTATGTTGACGTTTCACCTCCTGATCTCAGCCGTCAGTCAATGCGGCATCTCGATTCACACGGCTGTGTGGGCACATTCTTGGTTGACTGTGAATTGCGATGTTGATGTCGGCTGTGCACCCTTCACCCGAGAGTTTTTTGCCAAACAGGATGATGGCAGAGATTGACACGACTGCTTTCTGTTTACTGCTCCAATATCGGATGCAATGCACCATGTCAGCCACGATCGAATACGCTGTCACTTAGAGCAACATCTTAAAGTGATCCTCCAAGCGACCGTTTAGTTTTCCCTAGAGTCTACCTCTAATGCCTACTCATCACATCTTGTTCGAGAAAGGAACGTTGGACTTAGAGCAATGCCTTTACGACCACACCAACACCTGACAAGGTACAGATGCACAAATAGCAAGAATGGGCCGATCAATTTGCACGTACTCCCAAGTCTGCTTTGACTACCATTATTCAGGCACATTTCTGTCTGATGCACTAGCACAAGTGCTCAAAACCCTTTGTTTTTCTTGCTGCGAGCATCTGAGCATGCAGATTGTTGGATGAAGGCGGATATACAGCTCAACCTGATCCTAACATAAATTTATCATCACACCAGACTCCGGATACCTGGGGCGACCCTGACCGAGTGTCATGATGAAGCCGCAACCCTGTCCCGAAATACAACATCTGTCAGCACCATCATGATTGATGATTTTGTAGAGTCAAGACATGTGGGGGTATTCTTAGTCCGTCTAAGCCTGGCTGATGTTGATTCCCGCGATCTGTGGCAAGAAGCCAGGTGAATTACGTGGTTCTCAAGTTTTCTGAAAGTCAAGCAAACACCCACCTAAACGCTCATGCTTCTACCGAGGAGGAAGGGATCAGGATAAGAATGAGAATCAAATCATCCAGACGAGAGAGCGTCAAGCATAGGCTCAAAGGCGATAGAGCAGCATGAAAGGAGATTGGTATGGATAAAAGTAATATTTTCCAACACAGATACAGCATAGGTGGGGTGACCCTGTCAGTAGTATACTACCTAGAATCACCAAGGGCATAGCAGATATCCGCAGTGGCTTAAGAGTGACTGCAGAGAGATAGACTCAAACTTCATCTCATGCCTGAGCCTTATGACGCGACTGTAAGAAGGGAATATGATATGGTACGTTTCCACGAAAGGTACATACCTTCATGCTTCTCTTGACCAGCTGCATCGACATCAAAACCACCGCTTCTCTTGATGGCTAGTTGGGAAGGCATTCCCGTAGGCCAAAAGCTCGTTCACGGTGTAATTTTGTGCCTCTATCTCACATTCTAACACAATTTGCGAAGAAAGAAAAGATGGGTTGCGAGATCGTAAATCATATATACGGCACTAACAGATAAGCAAAACATTACATACAATGTATTTGGACAGCATCAAGGCGTGCGGTTGTTTCCAATTTTAGGTACGCCGAACGATCAGACAATGGCGTTGGGGTGCTCAGCCCTGCGTCTGGCCGTACCGATGCCACTTTCACCCAGTTCCTGGTTCTCACCAAGCCACGGCTTCTTGGCTTCTCCCAACACACCTTCAGTGCCGTAGTAGACGAAGTGACCGAGGATGATAAGGACGAAGGCGATGGGGTAAAGGTAGTGGATGTGGTAGCCCAGAACTTGAGTACCAACGACAATGCCCCAGAAAGTGCCAGTCAACAAGCCGATGTTGAAGAAAGCAGCGCTGCTCATGCGGAACACGATAGGTGCCAGAGAGTAGAAGATGAAGAGAAGAAGAGTGTAACCAACAATATATCCGATGATTTGTCCATCCCAGTGCGCGTCTCTGATAGATTCACGATCAAAGATGGCAGCCTGTACGCCGTTGATGAACATGCCCCAGAAGGCCAGTTGCCCTATGACCTCGTACATTGGCTTTTTCGAAACCAAGAATTCCTCAAACGTGTTGCTGAAGCCGTACAAAGTTTGAGCCAACAGACAAAAGAGATCGCCCTTCAGAGCGTTTGTGGGAGCGTACGAATTGGAGCCAGTCAGATAGTCACTGGCGATGAGCAGTGCGAAGCCTCCGCATGCGAGTACGATGCCTCCGTACTGTGCGAGGTGATAGCGCACTTTCAGAAGAACAAGTGAAATCACTACGACTACGACGACGGTCCAGAAGCTGAAAAGCTGTGCAGATAAGAGGTTGGTGTACTTGTAGGCCAGGACAATGAAGTAGTTGCCTTCGACATCCAAGAAAGCGAGTATGAAATATCGCCACGAGTCCTTGACAAGCATCTTGGTCCATTTGGCAAAACCGTATCTGTACAGGGTGAAGGAGGTGTATACCACATTCAGCAGGACGTAGTTGAAGAAGGTCTGGAAAGCCGGGATACTCGTGCCTCGAGCATTGATCAAGGAGGTCAAGGTATTTGTTCCCGTCTGTGCCAGGGCAATGATCTGGGTGAGCAAGAGCACAATCCAGAAATCTCTTGTTCTCAAGTATGCGAACCTGCCCTTTCTCGACCCTTCTCTTTCTTCATACTGGTGTACGACCCCTCCATCGTCGATGACCTCGGGAGTGCCGTGGAGTCTGCCATGAATGCTTGAGCCGGGAGTTGATGGTTCGGGGGTTGTGCTGGTCCCCTTGGGCTTTACGACTATGCGCTCGACGGGGGCCTCGATCTCGGTTATGTCGTTGGCATGGTCAACTTGGCGCTCTTGCTGCTGGTCGCGATGGCTCATCTTGACTAAGCTCGTGCTCGGAGCAGCTTCCTGACTCGGTTCGAAGGACGGTCGATATGTCGCGGACGATATAGATAGATGCAGAGCTGACCGGTTTCGCAGCAGCTAGTCGCTATCGTCACACAGGACAGCCAATCTGGTGGACAGACGACTCTGGTGGATTTTTTCTCTTGGGTCAAAAGCAAAGGCCCGACCTGTTGATGGAAAAGTGCCATCAAGTGCTCTGATTGGTCCAGGTCGGTGCTGCTATCGCCAAGCGAGGTCCAGACTTGTGCAGAATTGATCGTCCAAGAAACACGCGAAGGACGCGCTCGCCGCTCGCCGCTGCCAGCGCAGAGATCATGATGTGCCGTGTTTATTTTTGAGCCTCAATTCTCCGCTGCTCGGCCTGCTCCACATCTCGTTGAAGACTCGTTCCCACCCACTGAGGCTTGAGCGAGATGCGTCCCGGAGTGCTGAGTCGTCAACTCCGGAGAGCATTGTTGTTACCATGCCGCTCGGCGATAGCCTTTCTGATTCTTCGAGTGCGGATGGTGACAGACTAATGCCTTCGCGCCTTATCCACAGCGGCTCCATTCGCGATCCGATATTCCACTCGTCTACTCTAGGCATGCGGCGCAGTAGACGGCACCTCCGAGCTCCCTGTTCGGCCTTTCTTGTTTAAGAAGTTGGTCAACAATGGTCATCACTCACAGAAGGTGCAATGCGTTAGGACTGGCCCCTGTTGAGTGAATCTTATGAGATAGCCGTTCACGTAGTTTGGATTGCGGCGTTGTTGACGGAGGAGGCTTCAGCTGAGAATTATGGACCTGCATCAAGCCAGTGGTATAGCGAGCCGAGCCCGTGAACGAAACGTTCTTGCTTTTCACGCAAGGAACACGGGAACTTATGCATCTGGCACGTGTTTCCAAGAAAAAAACTTGACAACATGCCAGGTCCTGCAAATTCTCCATGCTTGCTGCACTTGCGATAACGATGGCTATGAATCCTCCGCTCGCTTCCTGAAACCTAAAACACGAATACTTCGATAGTGTCTTTACTATCTATGGTATAATCGATGCGCATAACCACACAACAGCTGCAATCAGAAACAACGCTTTGTTTTTACGCAAGGCTCAATGCATTCCTCTGGAAAAAGGAGACTCGAAACAATAGGAGATTCATAAGTGCATTCATCATCGTGTCGCTCGGGGACCCGCAGTCCCCCCCTGCATTCTAACAAAATTTCGAGCCTGACCCGTAAACAACTGTCGCTGCGACAATAATCCCAACTCCTGAACCGAAGCCAATCTGTTCAACAAAGACTCAACCAAAAATGAAGCCGAAAACAAATGAGATTCGTAAAAAGCGTTTACCTCTGTTTGAAGAGGTAATTTTGCTAACCGTAAGCGCAAGGACATGTACGAGTTGCAATCTAGAAAATATGCCTGTGTTCTTTTGTAACACAGGACAGGCGAAGAGGATTGATGGTCAGGAAGGTGGTGTCTCAATGAGCGGCGACGGCACCACTGCCTTTCTTCAAGAAAGAGAATCGCTCCTTCTTGACGACAGGAGCCGGAACGGGGACCTCATTGGCCTCGGAGCTGGGTGCCTTGTTGTGTCCGAAATATTTGCGCTGAGTTTGTGGTTGCTCTACGAGCATCTGGTTAACTCTACGACCTGGATGAATCTCATGAGAGGGTGCATAAGCGACTGCCTCGGATCTGAGCTCAATTTGACCACCTATGTAAATGTCAGTCAAAGCGACTCATGTCTGTTCATGGTGAGAGACTTACTGCTTGAGCCTGATGGCGAACTATTCTCACTCTCTGCTGGTGATGACTCGGCGGAAGATTCTACATTTCTGTTAGCTAGGCACTAGGAGCTGCTTTCGGATCATAACTTACCAACACTGGACAAGGGACTCTTGCCTACCGAGCTACGGGTAGAGCCACGAGGGGAGCGGGAAGCCTTGGTTCTGTTGGCCAGCAGAGCTGCAGCAAAAACGGGCTCCTGATCGCGATCATTGGACTCCATAACCTTTTCCAGACCCTGGAAGCTTGTGTTTCGAGAAACGGAGGCCGACTTCATGGATGAACCTGTTGATCTGACGGGCAATGTAAAGGCTTGCGTAGAGGGCGTAAAGTCCAAGGATGAATCGCTGTTGGCTCTGTTGAAAGCCGGTCTGCTGGAACGAGAGGTTGTTGTGTGAGAAGTAGATGGGCGAGTAGAATAGTCGCTGCCTATTCTGCTCAAACGGGCCTTGTTTTGGTATGCGATTTCTTCGGCCTTCCAGCCTCCCGGTGAGCTGGTCATAGCATCCGTGGCGGCATGAGTTGGAACATGTCTGTAAGGAGCTGTGGCAGCAGGTTTGGTCTCTTGGGTTTCCGCCTTTGCCTTGTGGTCATCCGCTGCCTTCTTGGCTCCCTTGAGCTTCGAGATGATGGACATGTCAAGAGAGTACGATGATCGCGGATGTGATCGTGTGTGTTTGCTGAGAGATTGTAATGTATATTGAGGGATTCAAGTCCTGGTTTGAGCGTTGAGTATCTGGATGAGACAGAAAGAATAACTTGCCAGAAGGCGAGACTCAAGAAGCAGTGGAAACGGCGGCCTTTTGATTACTTCGCAGAAAGGATTCCCTGAGAGATTCCCGAGTTCAGCCAGGGAGCTTGATTGCACGGCTTTGAATCTAGCGTGGCGCCAAAATTAAAGTATTTGACGGGCAAGGTCAAAACGTGCGGAAGGTTTATGATCCACTGCGCAGGCAACGGCCAAGAGCATGCCTCCAGTGGCTAGCTTTATAGCCAGGGGTGGCAGAGGCCGGAACACATGCTAGAGCAGGCCTCAAGTTGGTAGGAATCAGGTCCTGTTAAGGTTGGCTCATGCAGAGGCGCTCTTGGACTCGCTCAATTGGGATAGCATGATTACATGCACATGGAATGGAGCGTCTGGTTTTTAGTACGCAGAATAGTCCTGCATGGTACAGGATTCACACGATACAGGTGCATCGTCGGGTCGATTATTCCGCGGCGTTTCGGCCGTCATTACCACCTGCGTGGTAGTCGAGCTCGAATCCATGACGATCGTGCTGTTGAGAGGCAGTGGCATCCGAGACATAGAACAGCTCCCACTGAAGCAGTCTCGGCGTGATGAAAATGGCTGAAAAACTGTAATCCTTATCGCCTGGTTCGGCAGGAGACGAGAGGGAACCGAGCCTTGGGGCTTGAGTGCTGTCGAACTCCCGGGCGTGCCGTCCACGACTTGTCCACATTAGGAAGCACGAGAGGAACCGTGCACAGACAGTAGCTTGATCCAGGAACAGAGGGCACGATCAGAGTTTGACAGATACAGTGGCGCCTCTGAAACTGGCGCATGCTAGATTTGAGAAGAAAGCTGGTGGTCGTACGCATCGTATCCACAGGCGCAGAAGTTAGAGCTGAAGAAGCTGAAGAGGGGCGGACGAGAACTCGCGACGGACGAGACTGACGCTCGCCGTGCCTCTCTAGAAGCAGCGACCGAAAGTGTTGTATGAAGCCATCTATCAATAGTTCGTACCTTAAGATACACTCGGTAACTTGCATGAACTCCGTCATTATGCAGACGTCTGGTTACTAACATTATTGCTCCTATCCTTGCAGAAGCACTTGGCAAGCAGGGAAATCACAATTAGTGACATTATGGCGACGCATGAACAACGATGCTGCCGTTATTCAGCGGCTAGCAACGCACCACACCGGGATTTGGCTGTTGGTTATTGGCACAAATCCAAATACAAACAAGCCAGATGTTCAGTGACCCTCGGTGGAGGGGTCAGTTGGCCGCAAGAGTCAGATGCTTTTGAGGGCGCATTCAGTGGCACTTTGGACAAATCGATATTCGTGGGGTCATGGCGGTCGCAGGTACTTAAAGTATGGTATGGCACGCGGCAGGCGTTACGAAGTGGAAGCCTGGCCTGGCCCTGCACAACGGCTTTCAATGGCAAAGTGCTGATGTAGGTCGAGACCTTGGAGATGAGACAAGAACGAAGAATTCCAGCAGCGTGGACGTGGAGAAGGCTCGACGTTGGCGTTTCGTCGTGGTCGTCGTGTAGGAACATCACACATGGCTGCTCAACGTACTCTAGAGCGAGACCGCAGCCACACCATGCAATGCTGAGACATGGATGAGCTCGGCTGGACGGAGTGACAACACAGGCAGAGTCTGCGGGGTATGAACAAAAGCAAACGGGCGAGGATATGAACAAGAGCAGAAAGTGCATGACGACGGGCACAGTTCAAGTGTCTCAGCGACGGAAGGTTGATGGAGGACGGTCGGTCTGTTAGTCTGTGCATGGTATGTGACTTCAATGACTCGAAACAAACTCTGCATCTGCAGGACGGAGCGGCATGGATCGTGGATCGTAAATCTTCTGCAAGCAGCCCATGGGGATATAGAACTCTACGTGAAGATCAATCTGGAGAGAAGCGGGCGATGTGCAACACGACTTGTAGAAGGCTCTTTGCATGCGAACTGTGAGGATCGCGAGAAAGCAGTGGAGGCACAAAATCACGTGCAAGGGTCGCTAGAAATAGATATCACGGTGACGTAAGTACTCGAGCACGATCCTGACAGGGTTTCGGCGCCCAAGGACGGGATGAGGACGGCATTGCACGAATGTCTGGCCTTGTAGACGGCAGGGACCAAGGAACTGGACGTGATAGTGCAAAGAGACTGGATTCACTGGAAGAGCGACCCTGCGGACCGAAGTCCTGGAGTGACAGTCGGAAGCAAAGAACAGTCCCAATTGCGCAAGCAGATAGAGAGTCCGTGCGGTCGGAACTCTGGAACTGGCTCGACAAGCATCCCGGAGACGCTGCTGCACACGACAGCGAAAGGTTACGGCTCGTGAGCGCGACACGGGCATCTCACCAACAGCCGGTCGCAAACCCTTGATTGAGAAAAGCCATCGGCGCGTCCAACGGGCCTCTCGGAACAACACGCGCCTGCTATCGCCGCCCACCGCTGCGCATCTCCATCGCGCCCATCATCAGCCTCATCATCACTGCACGCGAGGCGTACAACTTGTCCCGATACAAGACAGCACGCGTCGCGTCATCACGACACGACAAGGCACAAGAATCACGAGACACACATCGCAAGGCCCCTGGGCTACGGAGTCAGGCAGTGCGCAACATCTAATTGATGATGGCACTTGCCGCTCCTCCGCTCAATGATCGCAAGCGCGTCAAGGTCTATGAGCTTAAGAACAACGACTGGTATGATCGCGGCACTGGTTTTTGCGCCGGGCAGGTCTTGGCCGTAAGTCGCGCCGCCGTCAAGGCACAACCTTTGCACTGGCAATGCGCTGACATGGCCGCTTCAGAATGACGAAGCGCGCATATATGTACAGTCCGAAGACGATGCGCAGCGCATTCTGCTCGAAACGAGGATCTCGCGCGACGACGGATACCAGAGGCAACAGGGTACACACACACCGAAGACCAAAGCAGGGGGACCAAGGCTGATACGAGCACTGCGTAGACACACTGATAGTATGGACCGAACCAAGCGGCATCGACATGGCGCTGAGCTTCCAGGAGGCGGATGGATGCGCCCAGATATGGTGAGTCGCCCTCTGTCGCGCAGAAAACAGGACGGAGCTGACATGAATGGCGTGGCAGGGAGTTTATCACAGACATACAGCAGCGTATGCTCGCAATGAACCCCAACGAATACGACGGCCTGTCAGACGAGCTGGTAGATGGACAGGGTCTGCTGTTGCCAATGCCTGAGCTTGCAAACCTGCACCAGGTACAAGAGACAATGCGCGCAGCTAGTCAGACAACTCATGGCAGGGACGCCCTCGTGAAGTTCGTCATGGCGCCCGAGACACAGTACCTGGCCAAGCTGTTACCGTTGGTCGAGCTCGCTGAGCACGTTGAGGACATCCAGGCCCTTCACCGCCTGTGCACAATTATGAAGACGCTCATCCTGCTCAACGACACTTCAATTATCGAACTGACCGTCTCGGACCATGCAATTCTCGGTGTCGTCGGCGCCCTCGAGTACGATCCTGACTTTCCCAGTCACAAGGCTAACCATCGCCATTACCTGGCCGACGAGTCACGCTTCAAGGAGGTTGTTGCTATTGACAACCCTGTCATCAAGAACAAGATCCACGCCACTTATCGCTTGCAATACCTCAAGGACGTTGTCTTGGCCCGTATTCTCGACGACCCTACTTTTACAGTCCTCAATTCACTCATTTTCTACAACCAGGTCGACATTGTTAACCACATCCAGTCCAGCAAAGACTTCATTCAGGAGCTTTTCACCATCTTCACCACCACCGACTCGGATGATCAACGCAAGAAGGATGCCGTGCACTTCATTCAAACGTGCTGCTCTGTCGCCAAAAGCATTCAGGCACAATCACGGGCCCATCTCTTCCAGAACTTCATTCATGGCGGCCTTCTTGAAGTTGTCACATACGCTTTGCGCCATCACCAGGCCTCTGTACGCGTTGCTGGCACCGATATCCTCGTTGCGCTAATCGACCATGATCCTGTCATGATGCGCTCTCACATTTTCCGCTCGATCAATCAAAAAACCAAACCACTCACGGACACACTGATCGAGTTGTTGCTGGTTGAAGTCGATCTAGGCGTGAAAGCCCAGATGGCTGATGCGATCAAAGTCCTCTTGGATCCTCATGCCAGCTCAACTTCCATGGACATGTTAGGTAGAACCAACGGAGATTTCATGGCAAAGATGAGGGGCGCAAATCCCAATTCCAGTGCTCAAATGGAGAGTTTTGTCGATAACTTCTACAACGATGGTGCCAAGCGCCTATTCCAACCTTTGAAAGACCTGGAGCACAACCAAAATCGTAAGTTCTCAAGGCGTCTCAGGGGCGATCAATTTATTAACCACTTTTTTGTAGTACAAACTATATCTGTACAGGAAGCCTCTCTCTTCGTCCATTTGGTCGAAATTCTATGCTTCTTCATTCGTCAACATAATTTCCGAAGTAGATACTACATCATTGCTGAAAGCTTACATTGTCGTGTGGCACAATTGCTCTCTTGCCCCCAGAAGCATTTGAAGCTAAGTATGTGTTTCGCAATCCGCAAGGTCTCGAACACTCGACGCTGACAGTTTTTAGCGGCACTGAAGTGGTTCCGAACATGTATTGGTCTCAACGACGAAAGCCACAATCGGAACATGATCGAAAACAGGATACTCGACCCAATTCTCGACATTGTTTACCAGACGATGCCCCGGGACAACCTTCTCAACTCGGCCTGCCTCGAATTATTTGAGTTCATCAAGCGTGAAAACCTCAAACAACTCATCGTACCGCTGGTCGAGGGCTACAGGGAAAAGCTGCTCGGCATTACCTACGTCAACACTTTTGGAGCCCTAGTCCTCAAGTATGAGCAAATACAGAGCGGTTACAATCCTGAAGACACAAGTTTTTCTACTCAAGGGGGCGAAACACCAAACCGAAGTCATGTTGCAGGTGGCCAGCGTTGGCAAGGACTCAAAGACACAGACGCGGAAGAAGAAGCTTATTTCAACGCCGCATCAGACGAAGAGACCGAAGACGAGAATGCAGCCTCACTACCCGAGACCGTAGTTGCGAAGACGCCCGAGGGCGGCCCCCCTATGCGGCCTCTCGTATCTTATCCAGAGGATGAGGATGAGGACACGATGGAGATGCTTGCAGCATCACCAAGCACGCCTGCCGAAAAGAAAGAGCCAGTCATCGAATCATCAACACCGGAAAAACCGGGATCCCCGCCGTCGATCGTGCCTGAGAAGAGAAGACGTGAAGATGACGACGATGATGACCTGGAAAAGTTGGCGGGTGCGGTTCCAGCCAAACGACGCAGCTCTGTTAGTAGCATAAGCAGTGTGCGCAGCGACATGTCGGCTGCCAACTTGGATTCACCCACCAGCTCTCAACAACAGAACGGAGCAAGCATGCCTACGCTTAGGAGGAAAGGGAGTTTACGCAGCAAGGACGAAAAAGGAATAAGCATTGGACCCATCTCGCTGTCTCTGTCAGGAAAGACGAGCAACGAGGAAGGAGGCGGATAACAAAAGCGTTCGGGAAAGGTCTTGCTGCCGGCGCCCCGACGAGAAGGCCTTCTTCACCGTTTCTTCTTTTCGAATTTCATAATCAGACAATCACGACATTTGACGAGGCGTTTGATTTTCTTCTCGGGTCATCTTGTGCCATCTCATGGAAAGTGCACCCGGTGTTGATGGAATATGATGAATGACGGCCAGCAGCAACAAGCAACATAGATGAATTCTGTAGCAGTCCTGTACAATCTGCTCCACATCTTACATCGTTCTGCATTTCTTCCGTTCTTTTTCCTTTTATAGGACATGTGTGGTGCTTGTTATCGGATTTTGCACCTGAAGCCTAGTATACACATTGAAGTGTGCGAGCGACAAGTGGACGGTATGATGAATTGTGGGTATCATGCTACAAGCTCTTTAAAATGCCATGCTGTATCCAGTCAGGCCAGCGTTGACGAACAGACCGAGCTGGGCGAGCCAGAAGAAGGCACCGGCCAGTCTGCCCTTGCCGTTCTCCTTGGTCTGGGAAGTGTATCCAACAGCGTAAACGATTCTGCCGAGCGACCAGATGAGACCGAAAGCCGAGCTGAGGAGAGGGTAATGAAGACCACCGATGAGCAATGTGGTGAGGGCCATGTAGTGGTTCTCGAGGAAGTTGCCTAAAGTAGGGGGTACAGTCAGCATGGTTCTCGTGATAGAGATGATGCACCACCACGAAGGCGTATCAGACAGCACATGATGCTTCGAGATCGAGCTCATGTTCCACGGTACAAGGTCTACTGCCGGCGAGAAACACCCTGTGGGGCTGCAGGTCTTTGTAGAAGGACTGCTATGATGACGTACCATGGGCCCTTTGGGCACAGTTGAACAAGTACAGCTTGTGCTTGTCTTCAGCAGAGGCGGCCGAGAGTTGTGCAGAGTCGGCGTAGGGGGTAGGGTAGCCCAGGCCGGCGGCCTTGCGGAAGGACGAGCATCTTATGCCATGCCAGGTTCCGAGGAAGCAGGTACCGACGGCGGTAAGGACGACATAGCTACATGCATTGGTTAGTCAACAAGCTCATCCAAGACTCCAAGTCTCCAAGTCTCCAAGCACGCAATTGCGCCCGCCAACTGGGCGATTGGCTCGCTTGACGTTTTGACTTACCCGTATTCGGGTGCGATGGTGAGAGCAATCATCTTGTATTTATGTTTTCTCGATTTGAAGCTTCGGGACGTCAAGAGAAAACTCTTTTGGAAACAGAAGATGGAATTGCAAAGTGTACGAGTAGCTCGAGTCGAGGTCTTGAAGATGTCGTGCCGTTCCCCAGGCCCATGATGCCGGTCGGATGCATTTATCTCCGAGACTCCCTTGCTTGCTACATAAGCCGTTTGTGCTCGCTCTTTCCTCACCAGTGTGTTGCACAACTTCTTGTTGATTCGCTGAGGCTTATTGCACAAGTCGTACAATCTCTTCTCAGCATGAGCACAAACCACAGCATTGTTTCGAGTTCGAAGCATCAGGCTTGGCTCACATCTAACGGATAGAATGGGCTTTGATTTTGTGCCCCGTAAATAAAGCTGATGCTGTTCTGCTTATCCTACGGCTAGTTCCGAATGATATTACCTTGTTCGTGAATATTTCCCTCTTCTGATTTCCTCTTGCAAGCTCTCGCTCTGACTAGGTAACGGCGCTCTCCTTCTGTTTTGCCCTTGTAAATCTAGAGGTGCATTGCCTGGAAATCCTGGAAAGCCAGGAGGAGGCATTGGAGGCGCACCGGCAAAACCCGGGAAAGGCATCGGGGGCGGCGGGCCACCTGGGAAACCAAGCGGTGGTGGAGGTGGGAACCCTTGCTGCCCACCTGGAGGAGGCATAGGCGGAAGTTGCCCACCGAACATCTGTTTTAGTTTCTCCATATCCATGTTGGCGGGTAGGGGTGGTACACCTCCCTGAGGCAGGGCAAATGGAAGGCTCTGACCACCAAGCATTGAGGGGCCGGCTGGGAATGGCAGGCCGTTTCCGCCCATACCTGGCATGGGCAGTGGTTGAGCTCCGCCAGTACTGGTTCCGTCTGGGAATGCAGCCCTCGGCGCTGAGATGCCTGGGAGACCAGCGAGACCTGGCAGCATGTTCTGTCGAGTAGGCATCTGTTGATCGACAAGGCCATCTGCCTCGTCCTCAAGTTCCTCCTCTTCATCTCTAGCTGTGCGATCTGTTGTGCGCTTCCATGTCCCTTGAGCTTCTGCTGCTGTTTGACCAATATGCCATCGATCATCTTTGTATGTATTGTCTCCAGGCCTTGGTCTTGACCAGAATCTGGTTGCTCGGTCGTTTGATCCGGACGCCAGTATATGTCCGAGAGGATGCCAGTCCAGACTCCAGATGGCAAAATCGTGGGCGTATGTCACCCGATGTGCGGGATTGATGGTTTGGGCAGGCGCATCCGAGTTTTCAGGCGCGTCGTATGGAGATAGTGTAGGTGCTGATCCAGCGGGGAGATTCTGCTCGTCCAGCAGGTAGTGATGCATGGCACCGTCAGCGCCTCCAGTAGTTAAAAAGTTCGAATGGATAGGGTGCCACGCAAGCGTGCTGATGTCCTTTTCGTGGCCACGCAGTAGGAAGACGTCTCGCATCATACGTATGTCGAAAACTCTTGCGGTAGAATCGCGAGCACAAGATGCCAGCAGAACGCCGTTTGTCGGCTCGAAGAGCGTCTTACTCACTGTGTTTTTGTGCCCATGGAGAGTGGTAAGGCATCGTCCGTTTCGAGGGTCCCAGAGCTTGATTTGATGGTCTTTCGAACCAGACACCAACAATCCTTTGGTCGGATGCCAGTCTACGCATTTAGCGTCCCACTGGTGACCTTCCAGCACGAGTTCCTCTACACCACCGGCGAAGTCGAAGATTTTGAGGTGAGCGTCATCCGCTGCTGTCACGAACTTGGTATCGGTAGGCGCAAAGGCCAAATCTCGGACGGGGTCGTTGTGCGCCTGTATTGACTTGACGTTGTTGAAGTTGGGCTGCCAGTATTTGACAATACCAGCTTGTTCGGCTGAAATGAGCCAGTCGTTGCTGTGTGAGTAGGCCACGGCTCGTACAGCACTGTCATGAGCCTAGCCTCATACATTAGTGAGATGTCTTGTAAAACTGCCGCGAGTCTGCTGACCTGCATAATCGTCTCGAAGTTGAATGCCGTTCCGTTCCAAAGCGTAAATTCACCACTTGTCGAACCGGTGAGAAGACGCCTGCCTTCTGGTGTCCATTTGACTACATTGACAGGATGGCGCATCTTGTTGAGAGACGAATGTAAATGTCTAGCTGGTACTGAATCTACTGCATTCCCTCTGCGGGCAGGCGGCAGGAGCATCTATGATCGGTGTCAACATATAATCTTTCATTATACCGTCTATCTGAGCGGACCCCGAGCAAAAACTCACGTCTATCACGTAACTAGCACTGGGTCTCTCCATCTCAAATCCCATGGTTCCTTTGTACTGTGGTCGGCGATTGTGCACGTACTGTGCCATGTTCGCGCTGTAGTCAGTAGCAGGGCCTGTGTAGTGTCAGTATGGCATGCAACTCGATAGCCCCAGACAGGGAGGACGATGCAGGAAGTCCAGGAATACGTACGTCGAGACAATCGGGTTCTTTTGATGAAGCCATCATGGCCTCCGCCTTGATCTCCTTGATCCATGATGCTTGGAAAGCTAGGAAGGACAACACTTCAGCAATGATGTCTTGTATAAGCAGCTCTGGTTCGGACACGCGTTGCGCAAAGGCTTGAGCTCGACAATACCCAGCTCTACGCGCCAGATAAGACGAGGTGCTTTTTGACCTGGATGAATTTGCGGCAACAACGCTCAGCAAATCCAAGCTAGGAACAAATGGTTAAAAGTGAATAGAAATGTCCATCAATAGTTAGATCATTCCTCGGGGCCACAATTACTAGCGACGCAGGAGATGTGAACATGGAGATCGGGAAAGTCGGAATGACACGTTGGCCAACAATAACGCCTGGACATATTCCTGCATCACTAGCGCGCTTGGCTGAATCTGGTGGGGAAGTCGGCAGCGTCAACTGCAGGAACATGATATCCAGCGCAATGGCTTTGCTTATTCAACGTGCCTTGTTCCAGCAATAGGCAAGATGGTAACAATTGGCTGTGGAAATGCACGGATATATGGAATGTCTGGGAGATGATTACTGCTGGACCTAAATCATGATGCCCTCTTGCTGAACAGTTGAATAGCGAAGGCCATTGTGCACCACTCTACTCCGTACAATAGCCAGAGTTATTGTTGGGAATAGTGAGAGGATGATGTGCTGCATAAGCAAACCGCATACGCCTGGTACGTGATCCCCAACTGCATGGTAGCTCCTTCTTGACGCGTCCAAGATGTGGTTTGTTTGCTCCAATTGTTCTTTCAAACCACCATGTTGAATGCTTTGCCGCAGAAACCCCTCTCTGTCGCTTGGCTGTCAACAAAATAGATAGGTAGTTGATTGACCTGATACTGTACTTAAGACTTCATATCAGAGCCGATCCGCTTCCTCCCCCACTTGCGCAAACAGCTCCAAAGCTCCTGAAACATGGCGTCCCTCATTGATACAGCCATCACGACCAGCCATGAAGTTCCAACAGATCGTCCGGAGAAGTTGGTCTTGCAGCGGCTTGGCACAGTCGAGACGAAGAGAACCGAGAAATCCGGAGCCCAACCACCCAAGAAATATAGACACACCTTTGCAGTGCATTCTACCACCAGAGCTTCATGCCTCAGCCAGGACTCGGTAGCGCCTACCAGTTTTACTGGATTCAGGAATTTGGGTGCCCTGGTAATCAGTCAGTATCTGACCGCAGATACAACATGTCAGATCAACACTAACTGCCGCAGTCGTTTCTAATCTGCGCTTGATGATTGAGAACTTCAAAAAGGTATTGTGACCTGTTTAGGAAAGTTCCATGTATTGATCTTGGCTGATTATTCCAGTATGGTGTCTTGATCTGTGTTCGCTGCCATGATTACCGCCGCCAGGATGTCGTCTATGGTAGTATTCTCTATTTCCTTGTTCCTTGTCACCTATTCGTTGCCTATATCATCGAACTTGTTGCTGCCCAGCAAGCCAAGGGTGCCCTAGCTAGAGCAAAAAAGACGGGTGTCGATGCCGCGGCCAACTCGAGCCAGCGAAGGCAGGAGCTACGAGCCTTCCGCACCGCGTGGCACCTGATCGCTTTAGCCCATGGTGTCAACGCAACTCTGAACCTGGCCCTTGCGACCTACGTCGTCTACTACCATATCCATCACCCTGGCATTGGTACATTGTGCGAACTACACGCCGTCATCGTCTGGCTCAAAACATGCTCGTACGCGTTCACCAATCGCGATTTGCGCCACGCCTTGCTATATCCTTACGCCAGTGAAGTTCCAGAGCTCTACAGCTCGTGCCCATACCCTCAAAATATCACGCTCCACAACCTAACCTACTTCTGGTGGGCTCCAACGTTGATCTATCAGCCTGTCTATCCCAGATCAGAAAAGATCCGATGGCCTTTTGTCTTCAAGCGTTGTGTCGAAGTTATCGGCCTCAGCATTGTCATCTGGATCGCGAGCGCTCAGTATGCAGCTCCATTGTTGCGAAACTCTTTGGGAACAATTTCTTCGCTTGATCTGCCCTCTTTTGCGGAGCGTCTCATGAAACTCTCGACTATCTCCCTCTTTTGCTGGCTTGCCGGATTCTACGCTCTCTTTCAATCATTCCTGAATGCTCTCGCAGAGGTCATGCGTTTCGGTGATAGAGAGTTCTACGGAGACTGGTGGAACAGTAGTGGAGTTAGAGGCTACTGGTCCAGCTGGAACAAGCCAGTCTTTCAATTCATGAAGCGACACATCTACTCACCTATGATTGGAAGAGGAGTGCCGCCACTCGTCGCTCAGATCATGACCTTTCTCTTTTCCGGTGTGCTGCATGAGTTGCTGGTCGGCGTTCCAACTCATAACATTCTCGGTAAGATTACATGGTTTGTATCTGGATTTTCCAATGCTAACAAAATCCAGGTGTCGCCTTCGCTGGTATGATGGTCCAGTTACCTTTGATCTTCTTGACAGACCCATTGGCCAGAATGAAGGGAGGCAATGGAAAGCTTTTGGGCAATCTTATCTTTTGGGTTTCGTTCTGCCTTGTTGGTCAACCACTCGCTGCACTTATGTACTTTTTTGCCTGGCAGGCCAAGTATGGTAGTGCCAGCAAGCCTCAGCTTTGGCACAGTACTGCGTAGAGTCAACCACTCAGCTCATATGACATCCTTTCATAGTTACCACCTCTGCTATCGTTCCTTCCTCATTCGGAGGCCTCTGCCGTGTAATCAGCCATCTCCATCCAGAAAGCAAAGAGCAACCCCCCGACTGAGAGCGTGTTGGAAGCCATCAATTCCTCAACTTAATCAGGAAGGAGCCTTGAACCAGTTGCTATAAGTACGACCTTCTTCCACCCTCAACCTCTTCTTCTACCTACCACTCCTCCCCAGTCCTTCCCCTTGCTCATCTATCTCTCTCATCCATCACCACTTATCAACACAACCCCGCCACGTCTCACGCGCACAGACTTCGTAAGTCAAAATCACCTCGCTCTCTGCTCTTCGAGTAGGCGTTCTCTTCGCACGCTGTGGTTTGCCTCGCGCATCTACCCTCCATTGCGAGTGGGAAGCACAGCCTTCACATCAATCTCTGCTCTTAGAGTGGGGCGATTCCTTTGCACGCCGCGCTTTGCTTCGCGCGATTCGTCTGCCTTGACTTCTCTTGGGAGTAGAAAGTGCAGCATTCACCCCGATCTCTACTCTTGGAGTGTATGCTTGCTTTGCGCACTTCGCCTTACTTTACGTCACCTCCTTCCGCAGCTTCCTTGGCTGCAGTTCAAATCTCACTCCGCTTTCCTCTGAGAGTCTGCCCTTCCTTTGCACGCTGCGACTCACTTCACGTTTGGAACCTGCACCTTTCTTGACCGCAGTTTCAATCTCACTCCGCTCCCCTCTGAGAGCCTGCACATCTTTTGCACGCTGCGACTTACTTCGAGTTTGTCATCTGCACCTTCCTTGGCCGCAAGTCAGCTCTTGTTCCGTTCTCTACTGAGCGTTTGCACTCTTTTGCACGCTGCGACTTACTTCGCGACAATCTTCTCAACCGCGCCTTCCTAACTAATTGGAATCGCAGCTCTTACTCTACCCTGCTCTCACACAAGCAGACTCTCTATGCTACCCGACATAAATATCTGTCTCAACAAGATTACCTCCAAAACCAACCTACTCCAACTACACCATGGGTGTCTCTAACAAAGTCACTGACGACAATGAGGGTTTGTTCAATCTATGTCTTCCGCTTGACGATCTTTGCTGACACTATACAGGCAATGTCATGGACATCGCCCTCGGATCTCTACGTGCACGTAAGATCCCTCTGCTCAAAGTTGAGGGTCTATCTTGGATCCTCGATCAAAACCTCCGCCCAGCAATTGTCGTCGGCTATGGCACGAACGACCCCGAGAAGATGTCCAGCATTCATCACATCATCAAGTTCCACGTCAGAAAGCGCCCCATCTTCAACGTAGTCTCTGCCATGGAGGACTACGCCGTAAAGCATACTCGTGTAGCTACGCCTAACGTCGTGATCTTCGATGGAAAGATTCCTGCTGCCGACATCACTTCAGCCAGGCACTATCTGCAGGGACAGTACGTTGACTTTGTTCTAGATGTTGCTACAGCATTCCGCAGTCGTGGTCTCGAAGTCCCTCTAATCGACGGCTTCGAGGAAGATGTCGGCGACAAGGGCAAGGCCAAGACGAAGATTGCAGCTAAGCCTAAGGTTAAGGTTACCAAGACCAAGGTCGGTAAGAAGGCAAAGGTTCACAAGCGCGTCAGCTTCTTGATCGAGGACGATGAAGATGACGGTCCCATCCGTCGTTTGACACCAATCAGAAGTCAACCCGTCTTCCAGGGGAAGTCACAGGCTGGAGGCCCATCTGCAGATGAGAGTGGCCAGTCCTCGTCCGAACGCGCTGACAGTGTCATGGGAGAGTTCAGCTCCAGAGTGTCGTCTCCTATCACCTCAAAGTCTACCTTCAAGACCTTAGCAGGTCTCACCCAGGTGATTGACCCTGACACTCCCATGCATTCTGTCGAAGGTTACGGTCTCCAAACCCCAACCAGCTCGATTGACGGAAAATCTGGCGACATCGACATGCTGAGCGAAGATCCATGGTCCCTCAACGGTTGTGGTAGCACCATGGCTCCCCCTAAGCACCCTGGCACATACACCGCCCACGAGGTTCTGTTCGAGCCTTGCTAATCGAAGCGATGAGGGAAACGAGAGGATCGAGAGTGTAAAACACGAACACGAAGGAAGAAGCTCGGAGGACAGCGATGCTTGAAATTGATTTATTCTGCTGCGTTCTGAATTTTCCGAATTGATAATGATTCGACAAAAGCACTGAAGCTTTGCAGAATGTTGCATTGAGCTATGAAGAGGGGAGATCGGAGGAACACTCATCTACTGTAGAATAGCAAAAAGCAAAAGGAAACGATCTCACTCTTCCAAAAGATCAAGACTCGAACTGCCCAACGAACACATTGTGCTATTGACACCGTGCGAATTCTTCCTATAGACAGACCCAACATCAAAAAGGTGGGTGTTCTACATTTATGCAATTTGTGGTGTCATTTGTGCAAGCTTGGCATTGCCGACGTACGGGTCGAATGCCCGTCTCCCTCATCACGCGTACATCAAGGTTGGATCATGACCTGTTGACTAGACTGACCATGAATCAACGAAAACATTTACACCAGCACCGAGACTGATCCCATCTACACATATACCTCAGAAGTCGAGCCATACAACACAAACACCGATTCGAACATGGAGCGCGTACGGCAGCTATGGCAGCAAGAGCAGGACTACGAGCCGATCGAGGGAGGATCAGTCGAGGAGGAACAACAAAGACAAGAGCTACGGGAGTCTTCGTCCTTTTCATGGGCGGAATACTCAATCTTCCTGCTGCTCGGTGTGGCAATGCTATGGGCGTGGAACATGCTGCTCGCCGCCGGGCCGTACTTCCAGAGCCGCTTCGCATCGAGTGACCGTCTCCTGGACAATTTCCAGGCCTCAGAGCTCGCTGTCTCCAGCATCACCAACCTGGGCAGCATGTTAGTTCTCACCAATATGCAGGCTCGCGCTTCGTATCCTCGTCGTATCGTCATGTCTCTGTTGATCAACCTCGTCGCCTTCGCACTGCTCGCCCTCTCGACATGGTTTGCTCTTGGTGTTAGCGCCAACGCCTACTTTGCCTTTCTCATCTTCATCGTCTTCGTCACCAGTCTCGCCGCCGGCCTGTGCCAGAACGGCGTCTTCGCTTTCGTGTCCGGCTTTGGTCAGCCGCGTTATACCCAGGCCATCATGACAGGCCAGGGCGTTGCCGGCGTCCTCCCCTGCATCGCTCAAATCCTTTCGGTGCTTTCTGTGGCCAAGTCGCCGTCAGATGAGAAGTCTCCAGATGGATCAGATACTTCTCCAGCGGTGCCTGGAACCGCTGCTTTCGCATACTTCCTGACCGCGACTGTCATCTGCGCCTCTACACTCCTCGCTTTCTTCTTTCTTGTCAGACAACATAACACGAAGAAAGCCGTCACGGCTCACGAAGATCTGGCATCCTCTGTTGACAGCATCGAGCAGCGCAGCAGGAAGTCTGTGCCACTTGCTGTCCTTTTCCGTAAGCTGCGCTGGCTCGCGGCTGCTGTCTTCTTGACATTCACCGTTACTATGATGTTTCCCATTTACACCCAACGTATCTTGAGTGTCAGACAGTCAGACACCTCATCCCGTCTTTTCCAAGCGCCTTCCTTCATCCCTCTGGCGTTCCTCTTCTGGAACGCTGGTGACCTACTCGGTCGCTTGCTACCTGCTGTTCCTAGCCTTTCACTCATACATCGTCCAAAGCTCATCTTCGTACTTTCTATCGCTCGTGTTGGCTTCATCCCCCTATACCACCTCTGCAACATTCGTGGTCAAGGTGCTGTTGTCAACAGCGATTTGTTTTACCTAGTCGTTGTACAATTGCTGTTCGGCCTAACCAACGGCTATCTTGGCAGCATGTGTATGATGGGCGCTGCCGAATGGGTCGACCCGGAGGAAAGAGAGGCATCGGGTGGGTTTATGGGCTTGTGTCTCGTAGCCGGTCTTGCATTCGGCAGTTTGATCAGCTTCTTTGCCGCAAAAGCATAGGTAGCTACATTCAAAAAAGCAATCAACTGCATTGACCGTGACTACACACCTGGTTGTGAAGACCGAAACATGCAAGGGCCTATGCGTTGTCAGTTCCCATGCACCCTGCCGAAAATGGCTCCTTGCGAGGATGAAGGGTTCAGACACGTGCCCACACCTCAAATATTTCGCTTGTCGATGCTCAGCAGACGAAACGTTACCTTGGTGTCAAACACCACCTAACGGACGTATCTTTGCTCTACTCTACGCCGTGCTCTTGGAATCTTCAGCGGTCCCGAGAAGAAACATCTATCGGCCAGTCAAAGCACACAATCATTGACACCGACCGACACACGTACCTCACTAGTATCAGAACAAATCCGTTCTGCATACGGAGTCCATCCCGGAGTCAAACACAAGGATGGTCCACTCATCTCAATGCACCACACACCATCCACGGCACTTCTCGTTCCACTTGATGACACTCGGAGCACCTGAGGTTTTCTTCACACTGAACCAACGAACAGTGTCCGGAGTGCACTGCGAAATTGGCGATAGAGCTCTCGGACGGAAGGAACGTGTCAGCGGCCACCACAATGAAGTAGTGTTGGTCGCACCCTTTAATCAAGCATTTGCGTGGAGATCCAGACCGACGATACTGGTCGACCACAGTATGGTGGTGACTCGATGGCTAGAGACGAAGAAAGCGTCATCGAGACTTTCTCATCAGGTCTGGGACGTTCAATCCAGACACTTCAGCTAGAGACCTTTCATATCTGGTCAGCGACAAGTTTGTGTTGAAAGGAGGACGTTTGGATGGAGTAGACAATGCTTGATCCTTCGTAGCACAAAAGCCCTGGAAGAACGCGTACCTGCAGTAACACGTCAAGAAACTCGAAAGCTGAGGTAGAGTAAGAATCAACTCGGTCTTCATGTCAGACTGCTGACATGGAAAAAGCCGGAACAGCTAGATGACATCCGCAATCTGACAATACACAGCAACATGATCTACAACACTCTTGCGAAGCTCTCGGATATCCGTTGGCTACTGCGAAGACCGAGCTTGCCTGAAATATAAGTTATACACGAGCTATCCAGTTGCCTATTGACCAACCATATCATCTACCCCCTTTGCGAGGTCTTCGCACGTGGCCACAAACCCCCAACTCTTCGCCGCGTTGAACTCGATGCATTGTTGAGAGAACTCCGGACTTGTAGTACCGCATGCATCTCTGAGCATCACGCAGTCATAACCTTTGCTGAACGCATCTGTGAAGGTACCACTGACGCACTGATCCGTATTGACACCGGCAAAGAGCAGACTTTTGATCCCCTGCTTCTGCAGGAAATCTTCGCAATCGGTGCGCGCCCCCCACATACCGCTCATACGATCTTTGTGGATCCATATGTCTGGGTTGGAAGGGAGGTTCAGTCCTTCGGTATACATGGTGTCGAGAGGAGGGTACAGAGCCGAGTTCCAGGCGTCGCGCATGAGTAGATTTCCTGCGTCAACTGTCGAGCCATCTGCGAGTTTCACCTCTCCACACCAAGATCCGAGACCCTTGTAGATACGTTTGTCCTTGCCATTCTCCAGTACAACTGTGTCCTGAGGTTGAGCCTTGGGCGTACCTGCTTCACCGTCTTGCTCTCTGAAGACATCTCCCTCTGCTGTCTCGGCTTCAACTTCTTCATCCTCGTCATCGACAATGGCTTCAAAGCCGAAGGCGCGCTTGATAGCTGGTGGCATGACGTCGAGGTCTTCGTCCGTCAATCCCCAATTCAACCAGATAACTTGTATACCCGCTTTCCTCGCTGCAGGAATGGCGAATTGCTCCAAGTTCTTGGTTGCTGTGTGTCCCGCACCCTTCTTCCTTCCGAAACCTTCGGATAGGAAAAAGTTCTGCATGTCTATGATCACAAGGGCTGTCTTTTTCGGATCCAGAGTAATGGGCGTGTTTGATGTAGTCAGGTCCAGTCGCGGTGAAATTGGTTCGCTGGACGGAGATTCTGGATGTGTAAGATCGAATCTGTTATGCTTTGACGAATGTAGCCAGAAGTTTTTGGCATTGCCGATGACTGCTTGACGTTCTTTGCCCATGATTACAGATGTCGAGTATGTGTATGTGCTTGGAGAGAAATGATTAGTGCTGTACCTTTTCTACAGAATAAAGTGTTTACACGTCTTCCATTGAGGTGTTAAATCAAAATGCTTATCTTTCTGTTATCGCCACGGTACCCCAAGACAAACATCCCCGGAGGTGGTACTTTGCAGGTGGCCGAGGGGCAGGGAGCGGGGCACGGCAGGTTGAGCTTCCTCTTTTGGACTTTGAAACCCCAACCTTCGCCTATCAGTACTCGCATACCGACATCTTCTGAACATGCCTTCCATCTTTACAAGGTGCAAACATCACGTCTCAGTACCAATCGTCTGCCTGAAATGGTTTAGAAACAAGGCTATTCTGCGTACAGTGTTTGATCGCATCAATGGCTAAACGCTTATCTTCAACTCCAATGCCGCTTTGCAGGAATATCAATGTCACGGCGAAGAGTTCGAACAAATTTGGGAATATGACCGATGTTTGCTTGAATCGAGTCAGTTTCAAAAACGGCTACCATACTCAAGCTCCCTGTTGCCACTCTATTTGCGCCTCCTTTGGTACTCGGAAATAACCGGACAATCAGAACAGCAAGTGCCTCGACCACATGTCATGGCAGAATTGCTTTTGGAAACCACACCCACGGATGCGTCTCTGTCTCGCAGTTTGAGCAGGTTGCGGATCGAAGCTATGGCCGTAAGGTGTTGGGTCGTAAGGACATGTCTTGTGTAGACCAAGACCGCTTCCCCTGACGATGAAACTTGGAAGTCTGCTCACAAACTCAAGGAAACAGTCTTGAAAGTGGATCTTCTGTTCTTCGTTCCACTTCCAACCGGCCGAAAGGAAGGCGAGAATCTATTCGATCGAGGGTGCCTTTAGCTGTGCGCAAGCAGAAGCTGCGATGATGCGAGCCCGTTTCGAGATGCTGGTCATGATAGTTGCTCTATCCTAGTTCCGCTCATGAACAACCCTGGCATCTGCACCACTTTTGGGACGGATCCTAGACGACTCTTGTCCTCGTAATTCACAAAACTTTCAAACTGTTGGTTCTTGTTAAAGAGAAGACCATCGAGCTGTGCGAGGAAAGAGAAGAGTGGGTTACAGCTTACTGGTTACGACATCATCTACGGTGGATTGGAAGCGCAAGGGCAAAGACATGTGATGTTTCTCGGCAGTGAAACGGGGTCTTCGAGTGCTCTTATGTCCCATTTATCGCGGACTCGGTGAGGTGTCCGGCGAGGTATCGAATCCAAATCGAGGATACAGTCACCTCAGCCTTGATTGGACTGTTGAGGACATCACCTTGTGGCACTGCTCGTCGCACTCGGATTGTACGGCTTGATACCAACCGATTTGGTTCGTAGCAGCTAACGCATCTGTATACTCGAGCAGTAAATCCGAAGGATTGATGAGACAGAGTGACACCAATAAGCCCTTGAAGGTGGCAGTTGAGGGGAAAAGCTTGGGTATTCCATGCATCTTACGGTACGTGGAATTTGGACCAGATCTCCTGCGTGAAGCAGCCATTCTCGGCAGGGTACGACTCTGCCCTGCGAGCCCTGGGTCATCTTCACCATGACAAGCAGCATCCCGAAGAACCATGCATCTTCAGCATCTTCTTCAAGCAACAAGCAACGGAGCGTTTCCCGCAAACGCTTGTCAATTTATGCTTAAAACCTATTAGATTGGGGATGATGAGAAGCAATGCAATGCGCACCATGTCATGTAGATAGGTGGAGGAAACGACCTGCTCACCAGATATGTCTGTGCAGCCCCCGAGCTACAGTACAACAAAAGGCAAGTGGAATGATAAGACACAGGGTATGGTGCATGTGAGATTTGTCTTTCTTCTTTGTTCAGATGAATCCGCTCATCTGGAGAATCCGAGGCCGGCCGAGCTTGAGAAGTACTGCGACAGGCGATGCCTGCAACTGTCAGACTGTCTTGGACATGCAAACGCGGAGCTCGCTTCCGGACGGGAATGGGTCCGAAGAGACGCACACCACTCTGCACTGTAACAGCCATGCTCGACAAAGCACGTCAACTCGTTGTTTGATCCAGATCGCTGGGATCGACGGAGGCTTGCGGCCGGATTGCAGTAACATTCATGTTCGTACCTGCCATACCACTGGCCTTGACAGACATGCAGACAGCAGAAAAAGGTCAGAAGGTGCCGTTTGACCTATCGAGGACAAGCCTGGGTCCATGGGCTGGAAACATTGATAATCGACCATGTTTGTCTTTTGAAGAGGAAAACAAGGAAATGCCACGAATCTGGTACTGCCGCTCAGCCGGGTCCCCTTCTGCTGCCGGCAGTTCTTAGCCTTGAACCTGTGTGCCACGCTGTCGGGTTGCAAGTCAATATGCTGTGAGCCGGTGACGATTGTTTAGGCGCCATTGGGGAAAAAAGGGAGGCGTTGTATGTGGACCTGGCCGCAGCCACACAGCGTTGCACAACAGGTGTTGTTGGTCTTCTTTGATTCTTGTCTCTACGGAATGGATCAAGCCCTTTGCTCCCTGTTGTGGGGCGACACGACGCAATATCGAACCAGACCAAGACGCGCGACATCCCATTGGGCGGCATGGTAATCTGAGATTTGACCTTGCTATCGGCAGCGTGCATTACCATGAGTCGACAGGCGTAGGAAAACAAGGCGTCTGGCTGGCGATTGCTGACAATGACGACGCCGAACGCCGACGACAAACAGAAAGCAGCATTGGCAGCAGGAGTAGCAAGCAGCGGCAGCCGTCCTGTTTTGCTCCTGTCTTCCAGTGACCGCCTCGCTGTGTACGCCCATGACAATCGATTGCCAAACTTGAAGCATGCATTTGAAATTGGCGGTGTGTCCGAGAAGTGTTTGAAGCGGGTGGGGGCGGCTGTCAAACAATCTTTTTTCCGCTTCACCCTCGAGGGAAGCAACACAATCACGCATGCAGACTTGTGACAAGCAACAAACCCAAGAGTCGAGAGCCGTAGAAATGTGACACGTCAGGACTCGGCTTGGTGTACTCATCATGCCTTGCACCACTGTGGATGCCCAGCAGAGATATTAAAAAAGGTGCCTACCACCCAGCACTTGAACACATCCCACAGTCTGACACTTTTGAGATCTGTGCCTTCGTCTTTGCGCCTTCTGTCGAGCGTGTCTGCATCTCTCTGCGCTATGTATCACTCTTCCAAGATGACTTCGGCTAGCGGTCACCATTATCATCACCAACAGTCGAGTCCAAACGATCGCTGTAGAGAGATTATGTCAATAGACAATCTTCTGACACCACAAAGAAACCAGCTTTCAGTGCAAACACACAACCTACAACCTGCTTCTTCTCAGATGATGAGCCCGTCGGCAGCCGACAGCGCATTCGAAAGAACACCCCGGGAAAAGCGCGAGCCATACTCGGACCAAGCGCAATTCTACATTATGTATGTTCGAGTCGGCAAAGAAAAGGACTGGAACCAAATTGAACGCTCCTTCGAAGACGTGTTTGGCCAGCATCGCGCGAAAGACGGGTTGACAGCTGTTTACTACCGGATCAGAAGCAAATGGGGGCTTCCGCCAGTCAACAAATCCTCGCAGGAAATATCCGAAGAAGGAAAAGACATGATTCGACAACGAGCGCGAGGATTTGATCAGGGGTTTTTGAAGAAGGTTGGGTATTTTGAGTGGTGCCAGTCGTATCAATCATCAGCCGCGCCCAGATGAGAAATATACTCATAGCTCCTCTTCATCTTGATCGGCATCGGCAGGGCCCTGAGCAGAGCGCATCCAAGGGAATTTCTTCCAGGGGTTCTGCATGACTTCATCGCCATCGCTCCACTCATCAGGGTCAGAATCCCACTGCTCGTCGTCTGAGCCTCCACGACGGTAGCCATAGGCGCCTCGACCATACTCGTCGTCGGATGCGACCTCGTCCTCAGGATAGTCGGCGGCATAGTACCCTTCGGCTGGAGTCGTGTGTCAGTACGAAGAACTTATTGAAGTGGTTGGAAGGGGTCAGATGCTTACCATTTTCGTCCTCGTCATCAGTCTCGAACTCTTTGTCGCTTTCAGCCTCTTCTTCGAAATACGTCTCCCACAGAGGTTGATCTTCTTCGGAGATGACAATGTAGCCGATTTGGATGTTGGAGGGGTCGTCGGACTCGAGACTGGCAGGGACTACAGGGTCTTTTGTGCGGACATATGTATCGTAGACATAATCATCATCATCGCTCATCATATCAACATCTTCGTCGGGCTTGTGCTGACTGGGTTGCGGCTGAGCGACAAACTGGTCTGGATGGCGGTCGCGGTATCTTTGAACGGGCTTCTTCGGGAGCGAGGTGACCTTCGGCTTTGTACGGGCCTCTTCCCGAGCCTCTTCTTCGAGAGCGAAGCGATGTAGAGCGTCGGCCAGACGGTCCGGGGGAGGATTGGCGGGACTCTGGAAAAGGGCTTCGGCAGTGGGTTTCTTCAGCCTGGAGCTTGCGCCGGGCCTCTTGAGCGTAGAGGGTGTGGACACGGGGGTGTCTTGGATTGATTGGGGAGCATCTTCTTGGCCGACACGACGTCGCTTGGGAGTGGCCTCGACGAAGGTGGGAATATCCTGAGCATCCAATTGGGCCTTGCGCTTTCTGACGGACTCAATGCGCCTGTGGAGGGGGCGTGTCGGGCGGGCAAGGCGGAACTCGCGGCGGACCAGAGCGTCTTGCTGCTGTTGTTGTTGTTGTTGTTGTTGCTGCTGCTGTTGCTGAATATGGTCTACTGTCTGAGACGGAGCGGAAGGTCCGGCCACACCGCCGTTTGCCGCGTCAGATGGCAGCTGCGAGGGGTGTGCCTGCTGCAGACGGAACTGCCACACCTGCTGCCTCTTCAGGGTCCGCTCTTCGAGAAATAAGTCGGCTGTTGGCTCTTCACCGCGCTTGCGCTTGACACGCACTAGCGATGGTAGTTCTGCCATCTCGCTGTACTGTCTTTCTGACTGTCGAGAACGCGCTGTCTGGGATGTTTGGACAGAAAGGAACTCCGTCTGTCTTTGTTGTCGTCGCTAACAACTGCGGCTCTTTCCGCACTGCCCTTTTTCGGACCCTGACCTACGTCATTGCTATCTAGACAAAACACTTTCTTCAACCTCTGTCCAGCTTGACTTCTGTGCTGTCACATCATGAAAGTGAAATAAGGCCAATCAAGCCATCCTGTCTTTACTGGCGGGGAGAATCCTCTCGAGGGTTACCCTCCTTGAGTTCTTCGAAAGGCCACAGCAAAGCATGAGTCCCTGTAGCAAATAAGCATGCAACCGAAAGGGCTCCGGTCGAGACTCTTCACTGAAAGTAGTCATAGTATAGTGGCTCTTTCCCTTATTGCAGCGCAGAGTGGTGCTTGTCTGTGATCTTTAATAACTTGAGTGGGTATTGTGATTACCCAGCTGTCTTGGACTCAGATGACAAACGTGAAAGCAAACGACATCTAGTTGTTTCATTCACTTGATCTTGGACATGACTTCACTGACACCTTTATTGCATACCTCGGAAACTTACTAGGCGACACTTCAATTACTCGCTGTCACTTGTCTCCGACAGCAGCTCAACTTTCACCTTCAACTCCCAGCCCACTCCTCCAACCGTTTCAACTCGATCTCTCTTCTCTACCTCAACATCTCTCTGATACAAGTTCATATCACATCCCACATCAGAAGTATACGACGTCGCAATGGACGGATCCAACCAGCCTCCCACTTACCCGCCTGCTCCTACTGTCGAAGACGAGCCCACCTCAATCTTCGGCGGAGGCAATGCCCACAAAGCCCCTGCCGCAGACCAGGACACCACAAACGCCCCTAGAGATCCACCTACAACTTCTGACGGCGCCGACGCACGTGATGGCAACAACCCAGGCACTCCTCTCAACGACGGCGCCGCAGCTCCTACCGCCAACCCCGACGAGCCCAGAACCCCCGACAATGGAGCTCCTTCTGCCGCTCCTGCCGAACCTGTCGATCGCGTGCAGATTGTCTTGAAAGACCAGAGCGGCAACCAGATTGCCTTTGGCGTCAAGTCAAACACTCGCATGGAGAAAGTTCAGAATGCCTATGCCGAGAAGACGGGTCGCCCTGTTGCTTCTCTGCGCTTCTACTTCGAGGGAAACCGCGTGACGGCCGATGACAATGTCACCACGGTAGGTTGTCCACCACATCGATGTAGAACTAAAGACTGACCTGAGCAGCTTGAAATGGAGAACGAAGACATCATCGAGGTCATGACTGAGCAGATTGGCGGCGGTGGTGGCTCCGACCCTGCTCCTCTCAAGCTTGACAAGTATGTTGCAAAGTACTTCTCTGACGAGTCTCTCGAGGAGGTGGCTTTCGTGGTCAACGAGGTTGAAGTCGACGGCAAATGGGTCAAGGAAATGGAGTTCGTTGTTGGACCCGACGTCAAGGTCAAGGACTTCAAGGATGCTTGGGCTAAGCGTGCTGGATGCTCTGTTGACAGCGTTGTCTTCCGTTTCACCGGAACCAAGGAAGGACCTGGACTTCCATTCTACACTGAGGATGAGACCTTCGGTGACGTAAGTTGAGCTTCGGAACCCTACTGATGGCCTGTGATACTGACGGACGGACAGCTTGACCTCCAACCCGATGACAAAGTCTACGTCAGTGCACTTGCTGACGAACCCATCAACCTCGTGCGCCCCAGAAAGAGCATTGCCGTCAAGGAAGAGTAACTTGAGACAATCATCAGAGGACTCGGACACCTTCACTCAGTTTCCATTCATGTGCTCCAGCCAAGGGCTCAAATGGCACATCATATGCATCGAGCTGGTTGCTCGTAGCGAAAGAGATTGACACGGGAGCAAGGAGTAACCATTTCTCCCACAAGAAACAAACTCAGAGATAGTCCAGAAATGACAACACAGCTCCATTCATACATACGACTGCCATGGTGATTCTTAGACTTTCAAACAGACATACCAGACAATTGATAATCTATACGACCAATTCACATGAGTCTGCAATTAAAGTCATCTAAAAATCATGACGCTGAAACTAGACAAAGTACACGCAATATGTACCCGTGCATACTCCCTGCTCTGAATAGTTTGTGCATCTGACATACTGGTTTGGGAAAGAGCACTTGATGTCAAAGCTTCGGAATGGTTCTGCAAACATACCACCATCAAATGCAGGAACCCGTGTCGTAGCAACAATGTAGACCGCTCTTTCTAGATGCCATGTTGAATATCGAAGTTGGCTCTTGGGGATGTGAAAAGCCGCTCGCTACTTTCTTGTGGGTAGCGGATGAACGCTCCATGATGTAGACTCAGAAGATGCCAGAACAACCAATCAACCATCTCTTCTTGACTTTCCTGTCTCCTCCCGTCCCCCACAGCCAATTGTCGTCATCACCGCAGGTATGGGCGCCTGTTTGAGTACCGCGAACCGTTTCCCGGCACCTAGCACTGTACCTTTCTCTTCTACCTCTCGGTCAGCGTACTAAAGTCCCGTTCCACCTTACAGGCTACCCTCGATGATCTCGCGCCTCCCACTCAGTGTTACTTCTTACTCGTCATCGAGGAAGGAAATGACAAGTCGACTACGATCTGGCTCAAGATGTTTCCAGACACAACCTTCGACAAGCTCGCTACCTACCTCTCCAAGATATACGGCGAGCATGACCTCACCGTCTACAACAGAGTCATCTTCAAAAGCGATACACCCAAGCAGGCAAAAAGTGCAGCTGGAACAACTACCTGCGCTTGCTCTAAGCTAACATAAATGTCGTCTCTATAGCTCGGTCTGCAGAACGCATGTGTCATCAAGTATAACGCTTTGAGCCCGCAGACCAAGCTGATAGACTTGACCATCCGATAATCGCCAGCCCTGAAGCCCCATCAGTGGTTCATAAAAGGACAGATTCCAAGGACGCAATGATTAACTCCTGGCGCAAGACGAGACATGGCTAGATGGCCGAGGAACAGCCAAGCACACCAGTTGAGCAGAAGGTCGGCGTTTGGACATAGCACAGTGATCGAGATCAACATGTAACATCAAGAAGTATTTGTCGGTAGTTCATGCATCGTACAATCATGATTCATTCGACGCTGCTCTACTTGATTCGCTATTTCAGGCCAGTCCATAGTTCTCCCCGGTAAGAATGCTCGGTCGACAACACTATGCCTTGATACGCTGCATGAAGTCGTGAATACCATCAATGAGCACAGGACCCCATGCCTCGAATGACCTGCTAATAAGGTTGTCGAAGAAGGTGATTGCCTCCTCCTCACTCAGCTGCAGACAAAATCTCTCTTCAACCTTCTTGACAGCTTGGTCGCCAGCGAGTTTGATGTCAGGAATGTTAGCGTCTTGCATGAGTGCAAAGAGGTTAAGAATGAGATTCGACGAGCGACGTAGTGTGGTGAAGGCAGTGAAACAGTACTGCTTGAACTCATTGAATCTGCTGTCGGGATTGCTTGGATTCCGGTCGGGACTACCACCCAGTCCATCAATCATCTCAGCGCTGAGTCTCATACTTGGTGCTAGGGGTTTAGGATCGCGACCCAGGATATAGCCGAAGTCGGCGTGGAAGAAGTGACCATCTGGAGCGAGGAGCAAGTTATCCATGTGTCGATCACCGACACCCAACAGGTACGTAATGACGCAGTAACCAGCCAGCGACTTCACGTATGTATCCATCACCTCTTTACGAACACCCATAGGCGCGGAGCCATCTGGATTTTGCTCGCGGAGGTAGCCAAGAATTGAATTGTTGTACTTGGCGCTTCCCAGGATTGCGGAGAGAGGACTGGAGGAAACAAACTGAACCGCGCCAGCCAGTGCGCCAGTTGCCAGAATACGATATGGCGATAGCTGGAGGTTGAGGTTCTCTTTCAATAAGAGTTGGTCCATCAATGTGATGATCTGAATGACAAGTTGATCCTGGCGTAAGTTGTCGCCAACCTTAAAGATGAAAGGATAGATGTCGCCAGTGGTTGTTCTGAAGTGGAGCAACAGCGGTGATAACGTTGACTTGAAGATGTTGACATTGTCAGGTACGGCACCAACAATTTGGACGTCAGGATCAAGAGGTAGAGGAAGTGGAGGATCGATCTTGACAAGATCGTTTTTGGGATCCATAAGAGCTTTCTTGAGCTTCTCGACTTTGCGTGTGCGATCGAGACTTTTGTTTCGCGCGTCGTCAGAGAGCTGCGACAAGACGGTGATAAATTCACCCTGGCGAAGTAGAATCTTGCGACGGTCTTGACCTTCGGATGTCTTCTCAAGCTCCTGCATGAAATCATAGGATACACGAGCATATAGTTTCTTGAAGGTGGCGCCCTGTGCATCATTCGAACTCTCATCCAATTCGACCATGAGATACCAATGTAGATAGTTACCAAGAAGAATGTTGGCAGCAGAGCGGGCAATAAGAAAGCTGGCGAGAGATGAGTCGTATTGGTCGAAGTTCGCGTTGGACTTGACCTCAGGCTCGAATTTCAAAGCCTGGACGAGTTGAAGGAGGTATAGCAATAGCTCTTGGTCACCTGCCTTGCGCAAGCGATCAACAGCATACGTTCGGACTTCTTTGTTGTCAAAAGAAGGACCAAGCAATTCGAGAGCGTCGTCAATATCAATCTCTTCCCACTTAGGGAGCAGTTGAATGACTTGGCGCACCTCGTTCGAGTCATTCCAAGAGGTCGATTTGATCAGCTTGGTCAGAGCTCGTTTGTCGCGAGTGAGGTAGTGTCTGAACTTGAAGACTTTGTCTCTTTCCTCGGCGCTCAAGTCGGTGGTCGGGCCATATGACAAGATGTGGTTGAGCTGGTCTCGCGTCTTTGGGTTTGGCTTGAGATGCCTGTCAAGCATGCCGATGCGTTGATTTCGAACCAAGCTGCGATGCTTGATCTCTGCAGGGTTGTCATAGAAGCCCACTTCAGGGTCATATATGCGTATCAGGTGGGGAGCGTTGGCATCTCCGTAAGCGGGCTTCTTCTGATCGATGCCCGGACCAACGTGTATCTCTGGCGGGGGTTTTAAGCGGACATCTGAGCCTGGAGCGGTGCGCAGGCGAGCACTAGACACTGGGGGTGGAGGGTACTCGTGATCGGTGAAGACAACGGGGTGGTCGAAGCGGGGAAACTCTATGTACAGGTAGAAAATAGCCGAATCGTCTTGCGAATGACCGTCGATATCAGTATGGCGAGGTGGTTGAGCATGTATCTTCGAGTCGTCACGGATGTTGGCCCTCTCCATGCGCTCAATCTGGCGGAAGACCATCTGATCCAGCCATTTGTGCTCAGATAATTCCCCCATCTCGTGCTTCTTCAGCAGACCTTGCAGTCTTTCGAGCTCGGCAGCCCTCTGACTGTGCTTGTCATCGGCGAACAGCTGCTTGTCCTCCTGGCTACGACGGCGACGCTTCGTAGAGGGAGCCCATGGAGTAGTCGAGTCAGAAAAGGCATCAGCCTGCTTGTGCCTCCAGAGACGGCACTTTTGCCTGCCTTTCCTCAGTGTGCCGTCATCATCGAACAGCGAGATTGTGGTGCCGCCAAAAGGGATGTGGTGACCTCTTGCGCCTTGGTTTCCGGCAGGTGACAGGTCCCAGACAGTGATTGCGAGCTGGGCATTGAGGGGAAGGAGGGCGTAGTCAATGGGTAGACGCAGCCATTCGTTCCAGGCACGGGCAGTCTTGAACGTCTTGTATGGTGTCTGGGCGTGTACGGTCAAGGGTTTGCTGTCGGCAAAGACCTGGGCCGTGACATAGAGCTCCGAGGTTGGGCTGGCTAGCAGTCAGTTCGGGAGGCCGCGGTGCTGCTTTCTTTGACATGCGGCGTACCTCAAATTGGAACCTCGATGGCGCAATTCCGGCTGGCGTAGTAGAGTAGAATAGGCCAAGGCTTTCTCATAGCCCTCGAGACGGCCTCTACACAGGTGTTAGTCGTCGGCTTGGTGTACATGCAGAGCGGCTGTAAAGCGATACCACACCTTGACGCTGACACTCGTCTTGACCTCGGACGCACTCGCGAAGGTGAAAGTGTCCATCACGGCATCGATCGGACTAAACAAAGTCGGCGATGTTGCTGGAAGAGCAAAGGTTGGAAAGGGCTATGTCACACGCTGTGGGCGTCGCGTGGACACCAACGCGTTGCGCTTAATTCCGCTAAGCCCGGGCCTTGTTGGTTGCCTACCTTTGCGCTTCCACCGCTGCTCATTGACTGCCATACTTTCTCGTGTATTGCACCTCTTTCTTTCTCCGTCAATTCATGCTGCAATGGCCGATTACTCAAATCAAAATCGTGGTCAGGAAGACGACGAAGACGAAGAAGACATCGATGAGACTGTAATCACATTATTTCTCCCACATAAACAGACATATATTGACCTTGGCAGGGCTACAAAACCATCAAAGATGCTGTTCTTTTCGCCATTGATGTCAGCTCGACCATGCTTATGAAGCCCCCACAAGGAGATTCAAAAAAGGCTGATCGCGATACTCCCACAATTGCAGCTCTGAAATGTGCCTATTCTCTGATGCAGCAACGCATCATCTCTAACCCAAACGATATGATGGGCATTCTCCTCTTCGGAACTGAAAAATCTCGATTTCAGGATGAGGAAGGGACCTCAAAAGGACTGTCATATCCTCACTGCTACCTCTTGACCAACTTGGATGTTCCGGGAGCCAGAGATATCAAGCGTCTACGTGATCTGGTCAACGATGAAGACGAAGCCAAGGAACTCCTGCAACCTTCGACTGAGTCCGTGTCGATGTCGAATGTCTTGTTTTGTGCAAACCAGATCTTCACCACAAAGGCTCCCAACTTCTCGTCACGACGCTTGTTCCTTGTCACCGATAACGATGCTCCACACAATGATGACAAAGCCCTGAGGTCTGCCGCGGCGGTCAGAGCAAAGGATCTGTATGACTTGGGCGTGACTATTGAGCTCTTCCCCATCTCAAGTCCGGAGCATACATTCGACCGTTCCATCTTTTACAATGTACGTCTACCGTTTGCTCTACCGCTCTTCCCTCACTCACACATGACAGGATATTATCTACAGCGCCATTCCATCAGATCCAGATGCTCCTGCCCCTGTCACCAAGGCCTCTAGGGCCTCTGCCAGTGGTGACGGTCTTACCCTGTTACAGTCACTTTTGTCAAACATCAATTCAAGATCCGCCCCAAGACGTGCCTTGTTCTCTAACATGCCTTTTGAGATTGGTCCGGGCCTCAAAATCTCCATCAAAGGGTACATCATCATCAAACGACAAGAGCCCGCCAGAAGCAGTTACGTCTATATGGGCGGAGAAAGGCCTCAGCTTGCTGTCGGCTCATCCACCCTCCAGGCAGAAGACACAGCAAGATCAGTGGAGAAAGTCGAGATCCGGAAAGCATACAAATTCGGAGGCGAGACTGTTTCCTTTACGCCAGAAGAGATTGCAGAGGTCAAACACTTCGGCGATCCTGTGCTTCGCATCATCGGCTTCAAGCCCCTGAGCATGCTGCCTATCTGGGCCAATCATCGCCCGTCCACATTCATATATCCCTCCGAAGAGGATGTCATTGGTAGTACGAGAGTGTTCTCTGCGCTACAACAGAAGCTTCTCAAAGATCAGAAGATGGGTCTCGCTTGGTACATACCTCGACGTAACGCAACCCCCACTCTTGCTGCTGTTATCCCAGGTGCAGAGAGCCTTGACGAAGACGGAGTACAGGTCATGCCGCCAGGCTTGTGGATCCATGTTCTTCCCTTCGCGGACGACGTTCGCCAGGTGCCTGACACAACGGTCGTCCAAGCACCTGATGAACTGGTTGACAAAATGCGCACGATCGTTCAACAACTACAATTACCAAAGGCCGTCTACGACCCCAAGAAGTATCCGAACCCCTCTTTGCAATGGTTCTACCGTATCTTGCAAGCTCTTGCGCTCGACGAAGACTTACCAGAGAAGCCCGAAGACAAGACGCTACCACGCTACCGTCAAATTGACAAACGGGCAGGAGAGTATGTCATCGAATGGGGCTCTGAGCTTGAGACACAGTACGAGGCCTGGAAGAAAGCAAATGCTGGTCGTCACACTGCTACAGGTGCGACTAAGCGTGGCTCGACAACGGCAGGTGAAGGTGGTAAGAGAGCCAAACCTGCTGCTAATGGTGCAGCTTCAAAGTCGAGTGATAGTATCAGCGACGAGGATATGCGAAAAGCCTTTGAGACGAACAAGATCAACAAGCTCACAGTCGCGGTCCTCAAAGCTTGGTGCAAAGAAAAGGGGGTCAAATTAGCGGCTACAGCAAAGAAAGGCGACGTGGTTGATGAAGTCACGAGCTACTTCGAGAACAAGATGAACCTCTCATGAGTGTCTTTCACGGGCTTTTAGGAGCATACAGATATCTGGTCAGGGAGAACGAGTTGTCATCCAAGCAAGTGACTATACTTTAGCTTCACGGTGGGCAGCTCCCTGCTAGAGCCCTTGCTTGGTAGCTATCAGTATGACGAATGCATGAGTTACGTGATCATAAGGCCACCCAATCGTCTCAAGTATATTCCTGCGAAGGCCATCATATATAGTGACCCCTAGTTCTCGACAAAAACGCAAGGCCAACGAGAATCCAGCAATGAGTTGACTTGTTTCCGTGCACGGGTCATTTCTTACATGACCAGAAGCGACGACGGATGTTGACTCGCAAAATTTGGATTGCAAACAGGCAAGGGCAAAGAACTTTGCGATTGGTGCCTGCTTTGTCGAGCGCCATTCTACGAAACACGGTCACTGAGCGCAAAGAATTGACACAATTTTGACTTCAATTCCAGACTTGATTGAACTGTATCCTCCTATCAGTCCTCGGTGACTTTACTTGCTATGATACAAATCGGTAACCACTTGAACCTGAGATGCCCTTGAAGCATGCTCCAACCATCTAGGCCTCATCTCCGATCTCGAACTTGAAGGGAGTGAAGACAGGCATATCTTCATGCCTCGTCCTCGTCCTCGTCCGAAACGGCCCTCTTGATCTTCGAGGGGGTCTTGGAAGCGCGCTTGGTGACGCGACCGGACTTGACGGCTATATAGACATTAGTATAAGCCAGTGAAGAAGCAAAGTGATGAGATGCTTACAGTCGTCGGGGGTGGAGGGGTCGCCCTTCTTGGTGGCAGCGGTCTTCTTGGGAGCGCCAGTTCTCTTCTTCATATCCTGATTGATGCGACCAGTGTCTTCGGCATCCTTGACGAGAGTCAGGGCGGCCTTCTTGTAGATGCGGCAGCGATTCTCGATGGTGTCAAAGCTGTCGTTGAAGTATCTGGCGACAGCCATGTTGTCGACCTATGCGTCAGGTTGGTTAGAAGTGATGAAGATTGGAGCGTTGTGGACACTCACCTTTCCTCCGTTGGAAGCGATGAGGGCAGCGATAAGACGCTCCAGAGTCTCAACAGACTTCCAGTCAGCGGGCATTTTGAGTGATTGTTGGTTGTTGAAAGGAAAGATGTAGTTGGACAAGGGAAGTTCGAAAAGCAAAGCTGAACGTCGTGTGTTGTTGCGTGGGAAAAAGAGAGGAGGAAGAGAAGCAAGAACAAAAGGTGTGATCTTTCGAGCGGCAGGTAGACCCAGTGAACGATCGATTCTTTCGAAACGTGTTGGACGTGTCAGACGTGTCGGACGTGTCGAATGGGTCGAATGGGTCGAACATGTCAAAGACGTCGTACGCGTCGAATGTCAAATGTGTTAAAACCCTCGAATGTGTCTAACGACACGTTGGGACTCTATCGGATATGGTCTACTGGTCACGAAGTCACAGAAAGGGGATGAGAAGCACGATTGCATGTGAACGCAAGTTATGATTTGGTTCCTCCATGATGATATCCCTCGGATAGCATTGCAAGCTGCGTTCGCCAACTCCAGTAGGAGCACGAGTGAATCATGAGAGCGATCTGCTCAAGTGAGCCAGTGATCTGTTGTGAGAATTGGATGCTGCAAGACTGGTTAGTATAGATAGGGTTGACATATTGCTAAAACATCCTTACCTTAAGTCTCCTCTTCCTCATCGTCCTGGGCCTCGCGCTTGACCTTGGGTCTCTTGGTGATGGGAGTGCCTTCGTCCTCATCTTCATCGTCGTCGGCTGAAGCAGCCTTCTTAGCCTTGAGCTTAGGCTTGCGCTTGCGGGGAGTAGGAGCAGCGGCGGGAGCAGCGGTAGAAGCACTGGCAGCAGCGGCGGGAGGGTCGCCGGCTTCCTTCTTCAGCTTGGCGAAGCGCTGACTAAAAACGCGCGTTAGTTGGTGAACCTGATTGAGATTAACGAGATCGTACCGAACAGCCTCCTTGGTCTTGCCCATCTGAGTAGCAACGTCGTCCCAGTTGGGGTTGACTTGGGCCAGAGTGATAACAGAAAGAAGAAGCTGACGATCCTCAGAGTCATTCCAGGGAGCCATCTTTGCGTTGATGTTTTTGTGATAGTGGAAGATAAGAGAAGAGAAAGTGGATGGAGAAAACAAGAAGAGATCTTCTTATGAAACGCGACTTGGTCGTTAGGAGTGTTGTGAAAGACAATCCGGAGAATGAAGGATGGCACGCTGACGATGCGACGATGATGTCGCCATCGCCGAGATGCAGTGACTCATCTGATTTTGATCTTCTAGTCTGGTGCTACCAGGGAGTTCTTCTCTTTGCTGCCTCGATATTGTCCTTGTCGTAGTCTCGAATCCCTCCATTAGCTGAGCCGATCTAGCAGGATCGTGTTGTAAAGGCGTTTGGAAATCAGCCCGTTGGCCCAAGAGCAGTTTTGGACATCACCGAAGCCTGATTCGAGGATACGATGATACCTTGAAAATCAGGTATGCACACCCGTCTGTTCGAGTCTGCTGTTTCTATCAGTGTCGTTGGTATAGAGGCCGTCTATCACAGGATCGAAACATGGCAGCACTGAGAAAAAAGATACAACATCCAGGCAAGCATCTGAAAACTCAACAATTGAATTGTTGATATATTGGTGTTTATACAACAGTGGAGTTGAAGAACAGTTGCGACATGAGGTCTTACAAAAGGGCTGGTTGAACTTCGGCAAAACTTTCCATGTTCTCAAACTCAATCGCTGCTTCCTTGCGTATTCATACAACTGGGTTGCATTGGAGATGATTTTTGGAAACGATAATTGAAGATCAGCTAATAACGTTGCCTTGTTGTCTCATCTTAATTGAAAGCTGTCGAATAGTATCCGGAGGCACGCGATCATACTGGAATCAACGGCAGTCTGGACCATCACATCTAAACGAAAAGATCAATTGCCAGGACATAAAATGACAGAATCTAACAACGAAGATAAGGCTGGTCCAGGTATTGCGAATTATCCTCAGCTCTCGGATCTCATCTTCAATAACACAAGCAACAACTCTTTCAACAAAGTCCTGGGCGAACTCAAACGAAGCACATTATCGATACCAAACAGACTTCGCTCGATCAAACAGGATGCAAACTTTGTTTCTGAGGTTGCCTCTGCGTATGGACTGCCACTGGTCGCCAATGAGAGGTGCGGAAGCTGGTATATACACCCAGAGCAGAAGAAACAGAGCGCTTACTTCAAGAGCACGGATGGACACATGGCACAGTGGAGTTTCAGCTTGAGAAGATTGAACCTTCAGGTACTGGAGACCATTGGACGATCTGATGGGTGAGTTCAACGTCTCTCAGAGGAGCATCTCAGTGGATACGGCACCGGGAAGTGCGATGAAAGCACTGAGAAAACTCTTCTAACTATCAATCCAGATGTATCATAGTCGACTCTACAAGGCGTGGCAAAAGCATGCCTGATGCTTTGTCAAAAACTATACCCATCTGGACAACTGTTATGAATCGCATTCTATTTCCAGATCACCCAGATAGCCACGAAGTCACTACACCTCCCACAGTAGTAGGGGCATCCGAGCACACCCAGATTGCTGCACGGATAGCAGGCTTCGTCGAGTCTCTCAAGGTGAGCCGATCAATTCTACTGTGGTATACAACGACTGACCAGCAAATCCAGACACTAGAACTTGACATTCCATCCATCCGTCAAAAGATCACAAAACCACTCCGGCCAATCTGGGTAACGCCAACATCTTCTCTGCCAGAATCACCTCCAAACTTCCCTTCTTTCCATCCGGTAGTCCTCCTTACAGCATCGTCCCGCATATCTGGCTCTGAGTCGACATCAGAGACTGGATACGTACAAGGAGCTGCCGACGATGCGGAAGCCTGGGCCCAAGGTCTGACCGCTCCTCTGTTCTGGAAACACAGCGAAACGTTATCCAATACCCCTGAAGACATGATCGAAGAAGTCATCGCAGAGCTTGTGAAGAAAGGTGATGGCAATCAAGGCTCTCAGCTTACACCTATCGGGCCAGGAAAGCGGGTCGCAATTGGTACGATAGATGCCGCCGAGACGGATGCAGGAGCGAAGGACATAGTCATCACAGTGGCGTCTAAAGAGAACGAAGTTCTGCGATCGAAGATGGAGACTGAATATCTACACCTCACCCTTGTGGATGGCAAAGTAGGGAGCAGACAACTACGACACAGTCTCCCTAATCTCATTGCTTGGGTCAAAGCACAGCTCTCTGCAACTTCCGCATCTCGCATCGTAGTGGCAGATACAAATGGCAAAGATCAAGGTGTGGGTATTGCGCTAGCGATTCTGTGTCTTTTCGTCACAGATGATGGAAACATACGGTCAAGCGAGGAGGTGAAAGATCCGCCCAATGGACTGAACAAACAAACGATCAAGCAAAAGCTCAGTTGGATATCCGTGGCCAAACCGGATGCCAATCCCAGTCGGACGACACTGCAGAGCGTAAACGCGTATCTGTTGGGCTGATCAAGAGCAGTTAGAGTCGGAGAAACTATTGCATTGAGCAATTCTTGTTTATTCGTTATTAGCGTATCGTCGTGGTTATTAGCAAGCCTGTGTAATGACTATGTACTTTGCAAGCAGAAAAGATGTGCTCAGAAGGTTCCGGTACCGAAGATGCCTCTGCGTTTGTTCTGGCGCATAGCAGCCTTCTCCCGTTTCTGCGCTGCGCGCTCTTCCTGGTCCTTCTCTCTGGCTGCCATCTGGATATCTCTTTGCTCCTTTGCCTCTTCCATCTCCTTCTTCTTGCGGGCAATCTCCACGCGTTGCTCTTCTCCTTCAACTCTCAACTCCTCTTCTAGCTCTCGTGGGTCCTTGAAACCGCCTAGTTCCTGGCCGGTGGCTTCCGCGAAGGATTCGAGGTTCATTGGGACTGATGATTCTCCTGCCAGCACACGGTTGATACGGTCGGGATCGAGTTTTTCTTCGCGAATGAACTTCAACTTGATCTGGCGGCGAGTCTTGGGCTGGAACATCTTCGAGATGATAAAGAAGTCGGTGCCAAACATGCGAAGGGCATCGTAAAAACGGTCTGTTTCCTCATCGCTCCAAGGGTCAGACTTCATCTTGAAGAATGGTACACGGTCGGTGGGATCGCGTCGGCGCTCGTTGATCCAGCTCATTTGGTTCACGCGTTTCGTCAAATCATCGTTCTCGGTTACGACCAGGTTCTCCGCGTTGCGGGCTGCCTGAGCTTGACGATCGATGCGCAGAGAGTCTTCTTCCACGACCAGGTTTCCTTCAGCGTCCAGACGTAGACGAGGTCCTGTAACTACCGGTGCTGGTCGTGGCGTATCATTGGTGTTCTCTCCTTCTCCGCCTTCACCGCCTTCGTTGTTCTCGGTCGGCTGTGCGTTGAGCGTGGCTGGATCTATACCGGATCTGATGGCTTCTGCTTCTGCCACTCTCTTTCTGTGTACCTCGTCCCAATCTATGGCGGCCATCTTAGTCTCTCGTTCCGAGACCTTGCCCAGCCCTCTATCCTTGGTGAGTTCGAACATTGTGGTTTCTGCAACATCAACTTCGTGATTCTCTGGGTCATCGACGGGGTCATCCTGGCCAGTATCTCCACCTTCTCCTTCGACTTGCGATTGTTTCTTCTTTTGACGAGGCTTCCTTGGCTTGGGTACGGGACGGGGAGCAGACTCTTCTGTCTCGACTATGTTTCCATTTTCGTCTTCGACAACTGTCGCAGCAGATTTGGGCGCACGCTTCGCTCTTGGGGCTCTAGGTTTCTTGGGTTTCGCAACAGGTGTTGGACCGGCATCGTTCTCTTGAGCACCTCCAGCGGCTTGCGAATCATCACCGGTAGCGTCGGAGAGCTGAGTAGCGGCGATTTTCCTCTGTCGCTTTGCGCGAGGTTTGGAAGCTGTGGCTGGTGAATTGACGGGTGGTAGCATTTGGGCTACCGGGGCTCTTGGCTGTTCTTGATGTTCAATGAGCGTATTGATCAGGGCAGCTTCGGTGTTAGACTCCAAGGTGGGTGCAGGTTGAAGAACGGTAGATTGAGAGGGTTGCGGTGCTGCGACTTCTTGAGATGGCGCGGAAGGTGAAGGTGTCGGGCGTTTTCTTTTCTGACCAGCCAGCTGGTTTGGCGAAGACGGCGCAGTGTTTGCCGACTGCTCGGGGTAGGAAGAGGCATCGTTGGTGATCGACTCAGGTAGTTGGACGACAGATTGAGTGGGTGGCGGAGTGGAAGCGATCGGGACTTGCGAAGAGGGAGGTGTTTGTGCGACAGATGCCGCAGATGGAGCTGATTGTCGGAGCGGATTATCGGACCGAGCAAGAGAAAGCGGCGACGGCTCCAAGTGGTGTGGGAGAGCAGCCGGCGGTGGAGGAGTAGGTTGTCTAGAAGGTTGCTGAGCAGCAGCAGCGGCGGCGGTCGGAGGTTGAGTCGCTGGAGATTGCTGAGTTGCAGGCGGGGTAGGCAGAGGGGCAGTCGGAGCTTGTTGTCGGTCAGGTTGTGTCGAGGTCGTGTCTGCTTGTGGGGTACCAGTAACGGTATCGGAAGTGCTTGACAGTGTTGGCTCTGCAGGGGTTGCAGGCTTGGGAGCAGGTTGAGCGGCAGGGCGACGGCGGGCGACAGCAGCTTTGGGAGCGAACTTCTTGCCCTTGTCTGTTTGACGCGTTAGTGAGAGGCGTCGCGTTTTTTGTTCAAATGGAAAGTCGCACTGATGGCCGAACTGGTCAAGGGCGCCATGTTTGTCAAGTCCGCATTTCCTGCGAAGGTGTTTTGTCCAAGTCGGAGAGTGTCTGGGCCGATGGACGATAATGATCTGGTCGCAAAGAAATGTCTTGATTCGAGGAAGGAGCCGAGTGAGCCTTGGGCCTTTGCGGCTCGAAGTTCAAAGCGCCGAGCGAGGAGAATGCCAAGGCCTTCGAGATGTCGCAACTTAGAGAAGTTACTCCCTCTCTCCGACTTCAGCGCCTTCACTCGCCTCGTCGTCCGCTCCTGCCTCGCCACCACGTCAGCTACAGCGGCGCCTTCTTCGCCTCTACCCAGCTGATCGTGACATGACGCTCTCCGACACGACCAACCTGTCTGTCCCTTCCTCCAGATCCACCATGGATGAGCGCAAGAGATCCATCCAGCCCGACTCGGACGACATCTATCCCAGCAAGCGCCACCAGACCAGCCAGAATGCCCCTCAGATGAGAATGGACTCTGAAAAGGAAAAGGATGTCGAGGTAATTCCGCTCTCCCATCTCTGCGCTTTCACGTGCCTCCTTCCTGCTAACACACACATCAACAGTCGTTCCAAAAGGATGCCATTCTCCGTCAGATGAAAGAGTACAAGCGTGAAAAGGCCCTATACGAGTCTCAAGTCCAAGACCTCTCCAAGCGCTCCCAACACCACGACGACCACCTGCGCATCGTCGATGCCTGGTTCACTCAGGTTAATACTCCCCGACATGCCCCCGCTCCCGATGCCCCGACGCTGACGCCGCCGATCGTGTAGTTACTCGACGAGATTAGAATTCTGGTTGGCGACCTCGTCTCGGACCAAGAACCCGAGGCTGGTGAACTCTTCAACTCCTCTTTGCTTTTTGAAGACAACTCCCTCTTTGACACCCACCTCAAGAACCGCTCATCCAAAATCAAGGCTGCCATCAAGGATGTTTTCGGCAGACTGCCTGCCGCTGAGCCGGAAGTCAGAAGTCTGCAAGAGAGACTGGCTGCTCTGCTGGCAGCTGAAAAGGCTCATCTGATTGAACGTCAAAGAATCAGTGGTGAGTGCGATCAGCTATCTGAACGCTTGGAACAGGCGTCCTACCGTTATCTTCTCGCCGAAAAGAAACTCGATCGCGCAAAGAGCGCTCAAGTACAGAAACTCGAGCGTCAAGCAACAATGGGCGGACACTCAGAGTCAAGCTCTTCTTCGGAAAAGAAGTCTGTCAAGAGCGAGGCCGCTGAAACAAATGGCGAAGTTGACGGTGCTGTTCATGCCGCGGCAGAGACCGCTCGCAGAGAGGCTCTGGCTGCTTCGGAGAAACGCAAACTCCAAATGGAACAGCTTGAGGCAGAGAACAAGCGCCTTACCGAAGAATTGACTTCCGCAAAAGTTCGACTAACTTCTCTGTCCGACGACGACTATGCCAAAACTGATCTCTACAAACTGCTGAAGTCTCAACACGAGGAGATCATCAAGCGCGTCAATGATCTGGAAGCTACTAATTTGCAGCTGCGCGAGGAGGCTCAACGACTCCAAGCCGAAAGAACTTCATACCGCAACAACATGGAAGAGGAGTCGCAGACAAACACGACTGATCTCGAAACCCAGCTAGCACGTGCCGAGTCCGACCTGGCTCGTATTCGGAATGCAAGAGACGAGCTATCGGCCGAACTTTCTGTGCGCAAGGGCTCGCAAGACCAGAGTCAATTGGCCTCAGACTCCGTAAAAGAACTCGCAGCCGCTCGTGAGACTCGTATTGCTGCTCTGGAATCAGAAGTGGAGCGTCTCAAGTTACAAATCGGAGAAAGCACCGCATCCTCATCTAACGAGGCCATCGAAAATATGACGATCGATGAATTGAAATCACAGCTGAAGACGCTCGAAAATAGACACCTGTTGCTAAACAACGAACTGCCCTCTATGGAAGCGGCATGGAAGAAGGCTAAGGGTCTGGCAGAGAGAAAGGTGTCCGAGATCCTGGAGTGGGAAGAACAGCGCACGCGGATCCATGCTGAAAAGGCAAAGGCTGACCAGAAGTACTTCGCTGCAATGAAGGCAAAGGAGGCGCGCGAGAATGAACTGCGAACCCTCAAAGCGCAGAATGCAAAGAGTTCCGAGATTGTGACGCAGCTCAAGGACGCCGAGAACAACAGCAGATCTTTGATTATCAATCTGGAGAAGCAAATTTCCGAGTCGAAAGAATCATTGACCTCGCTTTCACAACAAAATCGAACGATGCAGCAAAAACTCAGCGAAGGAAACCTAACTCTGGAGAAACTTCGCACACAAATTACCGACATGAAGAAAATAGTTGTTTCCAAGGATACCGCATCTTCAGCAGCTGCGGCCGCAAAACGACAGGCCGAGGTTGAGCTTGAAGAAGTCAAGGTCCGCTTGGAAGACACCAAGAAATCTCTTGATAGCATGAAGAGAAAGGGCTCTGGACGGGAATCTGAATCGGACGACTGGCGTGTAAGTACAAGCACACGGTATTATTTGACCGGGCTTGAGCTGACCATTGACAGAAAATTGCCATTTGCCCCGTTTGCAACTCAAACCTACGCAACACCGTCCTCAAGCTCTGCAGTCACACTTTTTGCCAGGGATGCGTGCAGAATCTCATCGCCAACCGATCCAGGAAATGTCCTTCGTGCGGTAAAGCATTCGGACATGCAGATCACATGCCTATAGTATTGGCATGAGCTGTCCCGTCGCATCACCTCAAATTATCACTTAATGGCTTGCCGAGTTCATATTCTCTTCTACGATACCCCGGTTCTTTTTCAGTCGTGTCAAAGCTCGCCGAGTGTGAGCACGAGAAGTACAAGACAGGGTTCGAGAGTGTCCGACTTTCACAGCGCGAGGTCTATCGCCCCGTCAACGAGTACGTTTTGGCCACTTACGTCGACACGCATTGCGAACTCGGCAAGAATGCCGGCAACGCCGACGATGGAGGTTCACCCAGTACTTCTCGGCCATACTTTTCTCATTCCCTGCTTCTGAGATAGACTCATTGATACATATTCGAGATTCAAGTCGACCTACAGAACCAGTCGGTAACGTTCCGCTTTTACAGTCTTCTCTTTCCGGTCAATACGACAAAGGACTACGACATTTGGCGATGACTGCCGCGGTGCAAGCACGAATTGTACAACCACGACCAGCAATACTAATGATGATCGGAAAGGCCTTGGATCGTTGTAATTCGAGCGGTAGCGGACGCTCTGGCTCTGATACCTAAAAGTAAAACAGCGAAATCAAACTATTACAAACCATCCCATACATTGTATTCCAAGCACCAAATACAACCAATCCCTCGACAGATTGTAGGCGTGACTGTAGGCGTAGTCGTAGGGTCGGGAGAATATGAAACAGGTGATAGGCTGAGGAAGTAAGAGGACGAGAGGTTTCAGATGTCAAGTCCGATGATGCACGGCGGAAACGGCCCGTTCCTTCCTGTCGATCACCGTCAATGCACAAACGTCAATCTTCGATCTTGCAAAGAAAGTTACCAACAACAAGTTATCCAAATCTTCCAACCACCAAAACAAGCACATTCATACTCCGCAACCATGGGCAAATCCAAGCGTCGCAAGTTGCAAGAACGCAAAGACCACAACGAGAAATCTAACAAAGGTCGCTCGAGAACAAACGTTCGCGAAGGACCCTCACGACCAAAAAGCCAACAGGCGAAATCGCAACAACATGCCAAAGCCTCGTCGGAAAAGAAAGCAAAAGCATCGGCAGGTACACGGCAACAGCAACAACAAAATCAAGACCCTATCATCCCCTTCGACGCCCTCGACCGCATCCTCATCATCGGCGACGGCGATCTGAGTTTCAGCAGAAGTCTGGTGGATACGCATGGATGCGCTGCACTGCTGGCAACCACCTACGACACGGAAGCCGAGTTGCTGGAGAAATACCCACAAGCGCAGGAGAACAAAGATGCGATTGAGGCGGAAGAGCAAAGAGTATTACACGGGGTAGACGCGACAAAATTGGGGCAGAAAGAGGTCAAGAAACAAGCTGGTGGGTGGGAGAGAGTGGTGTTCAATTTCCCGCATGTGGGAGGTAAGAGTACGGATGTCAATAGGCAGGTCAGGTATAACCAAGGTATGTTCTGCTCTGCTCTACGGCTCCTGTGGCATTTTGATTGTCGCAAATACTGATTATGGGTGCAGAAATGCTGGTTTCCTTTTTCAAGGCAGTGACGCCATTGTTGGCTCCTCATGGCACTGTAATTGTTACCCTGTTCGAAGGCGAACCTTACATGCTCTGGAACATCCGCGATCTGGCTCGTCATTCTGGTCTGGAAGTCCAACGCAGTTTCCGCTTCCAAACAGAGGTGTACCCAGGATACTCGCACGCACGCACATTAGGTAACATCGAGGGAGGAGGAGGTTGGAAGGGCGAGGAGAGACCGTCAAGAAGCTATGTCTTCCAACACAAGGGAGCAGGCGAGCTGGTGCAGAAGCAACAAGCTAAGAACAACAAGAGGAAAAAGGCGGATGAGAGTGATGATGAAGACAGTGATGAGGACTGAGTGGTGTGGATATGATCATGTGTTTATATTGTTCGATACCCGAGCGTGAATATACGCTGTACTTCTTTCCATCTGAATCCTGAGGAGGAGTGCCTATATGTACAAAGTTCATTGTCTAAAAGCCGACAGCATGTCTGACCTCCTTCATAGTCGACTCGGCCGACTTCCTCGCCTTCTCAGCACCAATCTGTGCTGCCTCTTCAAGAATTTTTCCATCACCACCGACAATTTCCTCGAACCTCGCACGGATAGGGGCAAGATGTCCGTCCACTACCTCCGCGACTTTGTCTTTCAACGCCTTAAGACTAAGGCCCTCGAACTCCTTGGCATACTCTGCAGGATCTGCTGCGCCGTGGTTCGAGCTGTCGAGGTTGAAAGCAATCTCGATCAAGTTGGAGACACCAGGGCGGGCTGATGGGTCGTATGTTACACCCTCGATACTGTCTGTGAGAGCCACACGAAGTTTCTTTGAGATGGCAGAGGACGAGTCGGTCAGGAGAATCCGTGACTTGGGATTCGGTGCTGATTTTGACATCTTGTGGGTTGGGCGGTCGAGAGCCATTACACGCTTTGCAAGAGCTGCACAGGGGAGTGTCAGTCAAGCTCTTCAATTTTGTTCTTTCCATGGCTCTTGCATATCAAGAGACAAACGTTTCACAGATACTTACATAGTAACGTCTCTGGCTGGACCAGAACCTTGCTACCGGCCAGATGGTTGAAGCCAGCGGCACACTCGCGTGCAAACTCGAGATGCTGAGATTGATCATGGCCGACAGGCACATGTGTGGCTTTGTGTATGAGGATATCTGCTGCCTGCAGGACAGGATATGAGAAGAGACCGAGTTTCAACTTTGTCTTGCTGGAGGGGTCTAAGGGATTGGCGTTCTCGTCGAGGTCGAGTTTGCTCTTTCATCATTGTCAGGACCGAGTAACTAAGTCATAGATGAAGGTAAAGAGAAGAAAAGAGGTGGAGGGGGGAGAGAGAAGAAACAAACCTTCCATTGTGTCATTCGAGAAAGATAACCCATAGATGCTGAACAGCTCAGAATCCACATGAGTTCAGAATGAGCAGGTACCTACATTTCCATCAGCCCAAGGCTCTTCTACATGGCCTCACTGGAGGTGGTCCTACATCGCTTTGAAAGAAGATGGTGCACTTTTGAGGGTCAAGTCCAACAGCAAGAAGAGCAGCCAGCATTTCTTTCTTGGAAGTCCTTAAAGCATCCGGATTTTGATGTACAGTGATAGCATGAAGATCCACGACCGAGTAGATCAGTGAAGTGTTAGATGAAGCGTCATTCTGTAACTTCACCCATTGCTGCATAGCACCAAGATAGTTCCCTAGATGCGGTACCCCGGTTGGCTGGATACCGGAGAAGATGACTCTCGGCGCTGCTAGAGCGTCGCTGCTTGGCGTGTTGCTGTGAAGGCGTGTCAATACTCGCGAAGCCAAACTCCGGGGCGCAAAGCGAGCGCATATCACGCTACACAGCTTTTGCGACATTGCAACGAAGAAGGCAAGTATCAAACATGAACGCTTCGACTCCAAGACCGCACTACTCAAAAGTCCAACGCGCCGGCGATACATCGGAACGGGATGATCGGCAAGAAGGACCGTGGGCACGGACCATGCGCGAGCGTCGTCAGTGGCTGGGCGCTTCTGAACACCGCCCTGGTGATGTGCCTGAAGGTTGTATACCACAATCACTGAACACATCCTCTGAGTCCGATAGCGACGCAACAATCCGCGCACCCACTACTCCCTCGGCCAAGACTCACGAATCCACCACCGACAACACACACAAGACCCCACAAGCAAAGAAAGCCTCCATCATGTCGTGGGCCGGCTTCAAGAAGAACGTCAACCGCGCAGCCACGCAGGTTATGGTCAAGACTGGCCACGTCGAGCAAACCCACGATCGCAGCTATGAAGTCGAAGAACGCCGCTACCGTGTCATGGAGAACGCCGCCACTCGCCTGCAGAAGGAATCAAAGGGCTATCTGGACAGCTTGCGCGCAATGACTGCCTCGCAGATGCGCATTGCAGAGACGATCGACGCCTTCTACGGTGACGCCGGCGCCAATGATGGTGTCTCTCGCAGCTACAAGCAGGCTGTCGAGGACTTGGACGCAGAGACTATCAAGGCCTTGGATGGTCCTTTCCGCTCGACTGTCCTCGACCCCATTAATCGCTTCTGCGCATACTTCCCCGACATCAACGAGTGTAAGTTGTTTCCTCTCCCCAATCTTCTTCCTTCTCATCCTCTTCTTCGTCCTCATTCAAAGCCTCAAAGCTGACCACACATCTTCTCCCTACAGGCATAAAGAAACGCAACCACAAACTCCTAGATTATGACCGCGTCCGCGCCCAAGTAAAACGCCTAACCGAAAAGCCCGACAAGGACGTCACAAAACTGCCCCGCACCGAAAAGGAAGCAGAAATGACCCGCGCCGCCTACGAACAACTCAACGAACAACTCTTCAACGAACTGCCCCAACTCATCGAATTGCGCGTCCCTTACCTCGACCCTTCCTTTGAGGCTCTCGTCAAGATCCAGTTGAGATTCTGCGCAGAAGCTTACTCGAGAATGGCTCAGGTGCAGCAGTATCTGGATCCTGACACTAGAGATCAGTATGCCAATGGCAATCTGGACACTAGAGTTGAGCAAATCTTGCAGGAGATTCGTGAGCTCAGTATTGCTGGTACTGTTTGATGAGGCTTCAATTTTGTACAGGTCGTCACTTGGTTTGACGGCCTCACTTGTTTCTGGGAGCGGATGAAATGCAGCATGTTCTGAAGGAGAGCCCAGTGAGGGGCCAGAGACAGAGAAAAAGGCAGAGTTTCACAGAAAGAAAGAGGTTAATCATCATGGGCATCAAGGCGTGAAAGAGGAGCTCATTTGGCGTTGTTTCTAATACTGGTTCTTTTCATCATCTCTTCTTGAGATTCCATCGGCTCCCACGAGTCCTTTTTATGCGAGGACGGATTATTATGTGGATAGAGCAAAGAAAGGCAAAGCATTTTAGTAACATTGATTCCTTGAGCGTGACCTTTGATCTTCCCCATCTGTTATGCAGTGTCCCCGTCCTTCCTGCATCTGGGACAATGTCCTGATATGCTGTTTCGGGCCCTTCTAGGCCCGAATGGCTCCTGGTGATCGCGAGGTTGCTTTTGGCTGCTGCAAAAATGCAGAGTGTGATTGAGGTCGGTGAAAAGGTCCAGTGAGAGCGGCGGATCGATGTGCTTCCAGTGGACATGGTCGTACTTTGAAGAGCAATGTGCCTTTTGACAGCTACTTGCTGTACGTGGCGTGTGACGCTGGAGAGCTTTACTCGATGGCGATGGTCTCAACATCACCGCCCTGGATAGAATTTTGGCCATCGGCGGGTGCAGAGGAAATGGCATTGTTTATGGGTAGTCCATTGGCATGTCCGTTCTGCATCTGTACCTCCTCAAGGCCAGTGAGCTGCACCTGAGGAACGCTACCAAGTCCGTTGGGCTGCAAGAACGTCTGCAAAGGGTAGATGGGGCCGTCAAAGTTCTCGCCATCGAACATGACAAAGTTCTGGATAGGTTGCTCGCGCTTGCCGAGCACGTTGATCACGTCTTCTGCAAGTCTGCCACCGACGAAAGCAGCCGTAGGTACGATCTCGCTGCCGATGTTATGCAGGAAGCTGCGAAGGAACTCGGCTGTCAGCGACTCAATCGGCATCTGGAGCTCCTTAAGCTTGTTAGTTGCCATGCCGGTGAAGACGGTCAGATCTTCCTTGGAGTTCTGAGCAGGCAGACGGTGTACGTCACGCTCAAAGTCCCAGAGAGCGCGCATGCACGGTAGGAGCGGTGTAACGGAGCGCATCTTGCGACGGTTACGGATGATGTCGTCCGGCAAGGGAGAAGTGTTGGCTAAGAGTAGTGGAGAGTAGATCTCACGCTTGGTGACGGTCTCGATGTTCTTGCCGTTCTGCTTCTTGGTCGTGACACCAACGATACTGCGGGTTGCAGTTTCTTGCTTGATGGTAGCAGGCATGTTGGAAGTTTCGCGCTCAATGATGTAGTCGTGCACGATCAGATCAGCGAAAATGAAGCCATAGAAGCCGTGAATTCCGGAAGCGTAGAAAGGACGGTTGGCAAGTCGGCAAGCAGCGTTGATGGTGGCCATAGTTTCCAGATTCTGATCGCATGCGATGACAAGTTGGAAGGGTGCGTAGTAAGTCTGATCCTTGGTCAAGATGTTGCTGCTGTCGGTTCTGACAGCGACTCTGGGGTTCAACTCCTGGAGACGCTCAGAAGCGGCTTCTGCTCGCTGGGATGAATGTCAGCATGAATCACATAGGGCCCTTCGAGACTATGCTCACATTGCGACCAACGTCCTCTTCACGGACAAAGTACTGAGCACCCAGATCGTCCTCAGTGACTTGCTCGCTGTCCACGATAGTCAGGGAGCCAATGCCATTGAGAATAAGGTTCTTGGCGATCTCGGTTCCCAATGCTTTGACTGAGATGAGTAGGATGTTGGCAGAGCGCATTCTAGATACAAAGGTTAGCAGATCCCTAAAAGATAGGTAGAGCATTAACTACCTCTCCTGAGCCTGCACACCCCAGAGGCGAATTTGGCGGTCATAGAGCGCGATCTCATCTAAATACTATCAGTGCTCAATCTTTAGCATTAGCGTTGACAACGATACCAGCGCTCATAGCTTGCGCCTGCGCAATGGCAGCAACTGTCTCGGCGGCTGCGTCGTGTGTGTCGAGAGCACCGTTCAATTGGTCCACTGTTAGATGTCAGCTCTAGTCGTAAGAAAATCTTCTAGAAGTCGCAGATGGTCGTACTGGTATCGCCATTTGAGAGCATGTTGATGTCGTTGGTAGACATGTTCGATAAGTGTCGGGATGTTCGTCCTCAAATCGAAAATTGGTGGCAGAGTGGAAGCGAATTGATAAGGAAGGCAGCAGCCAGAAAGCGATTTGGAAGACGGCAGAGCAAGTGAAAGTTGTTCGTGTTGCGCCCAGATAATTTGATAGTTTCAAGAAAGTAATGGATGGATCCGGACTGTCGGGGCCAGGTTCCAGCGGCAATGAGACAGAATGACAGAGTTCCTGACTTAGGTCAAATGAAGAAAAGAATAGGGGGATGATGCCGAAGCGATGTTTATTGGTAAGTGAAGTGAGCAGTGTACGAGTGGGTACGAATAAAGTAGAAGCATCCAAAAGTCCAAACCGCGTGGTCGGTCGGTCATAGACGCACGGACGTCTTCCGCATGAGAGTCGGTCTTGTCTTCCCCGAGCATCGCGACCCTGACGAACACCTACTCCGTATCCAACTGTTGTCGCTATTCTGCAGAATACTTTCTCTGCTCTTACAACAGCACAGACGCATAATAATCATGGACGCAATCATCGAGTCTGGACGCAAGATTTGGGAGGGTGAAATCGTAAGAGCTTGGATTTTGAGAGCAGATGAAGGGGGCCCCAAGCTGACAGCTCCTAGGACTTTGAAGGTCAACGCCTGGTCGAGATGTTCTGTAGCGTCCTGTTGAGCACTGCTGGAGTATGACCACCCTTCCCATTCTCATATCAGTTGAGCACTCCTTCCGATCTTCTACCTACCTTCACCACTCCACGGCCTCAATCTATCTGGAATGGACTGAGCTGACCCCACCTTAGGTCCTCGCTTTCATGGTCGGCTTTGCAACTCAAGACATCACATACACTCTCTACATCCTGCTCGGCGGTGCAGCCCTCACCTTCGTCGTGTGCGTACCACCATGGCCCATTTACAACAAGGACCCCGTCAAGTGGTTGCCCGCAAAGAAGTCAAGCGGAGTCACAGGCATTGACATTACAGTCGATGGGAAAAAGGTGCAATAAATGTCACAAACTAAGGGTGTTCAAGGCGTACATGGGACAAGCCAAGGCAGTAAGACTACCGTCGCCTGGCTGGAAAGGAGTTATTGAATCATAAATATGGCATGTCTCTGCCTTTTCATTAACGTGAGCGCTGAAACAAAGCGCCAAGTTGTAATGCTATCTCTTTTGGTCGTGTGATGCCTCTTCGGGCTTGTCGACATATGGTCGAGTGTAATCTTCCCTCTGCCCGTAAAGCTGCTCTTTCTGTGCCTTGGGTATAGTATAAGATGCGGACAGATGGCTGGATGGCGGGAGGTCGACGCTGGAATGCAAAGTAGAGGGTGGTGGAGCAAGGGTGCTCTGCTGATCGAGGTGGCGAAGGTGATGATTTATCGACCGTACTTTTGGAACTCCCAGTCTCTGTTGTCAAGAGGGCAGACTTGACGCGTCTTCAACCAACGCGAGATGCAGTGGAAGTGGAAAGCGTGCTTGGACAGAGTCAGTCTGGAAGATTGGTGATTTGGAAGCGGTTGAACTCACGTTACAAATACCCCATGCTACGGTGCATTCCTCGCTGGTGGCGGAGGCTTGGTTGGCCTGGCAGTCGATGCCTTGTACGCAGATCAGTATTTGGTGCGACAGATTAAGACAGGGAGGAAGCATACACAGGTCCATGATGTGGTTGCGGCAAATAGCGCAGTTGTCGACGACGATGTCCCAGGCCCAAAGAGCGACGGCGTTCCACTGAGAACAGAGTATCAGTAACGGATGGCAGAGGCATTAGATAGCATGCATGTGCACCTTCTTGACTTCAAAACGCTTCTTTCCAGAGTCGGCGGCGGTATCAACCTTGGAGGTCTTGGTCTTAGTCGGGGCATCTGTCATCTCGACGTCGGCCATGGTTGCTGAAGAAGTGTGCGTGGGGAGCACAACGGGACGGATGATATGAGAGGTGGTGGTTAGAGGTCGCAGGTGTCGCAAAGGTGTATTTGCGACGAGGGTTGTGAAAGTGAATGTTTGACAATGACAAGCACCCAGGCAGCTGTGAGCACCGAGCACCTTGAATCACGGAAGCTCGGGGCGTTACAGCCGCTGGCTATGACATAGATCTGATGCAGATAAGATCCGCTCGCCTGCTCTGATTGGTGCGATTGTCCATGTCGGGCGCAATCGACCCAACGACGACATTCACGTGCGTGACACCCACCATCCGACCTCTCTTTCAATCTCCTTGTCTCAGCAACTTCCTTACAAGACACTTTCGCAACGCCTTCTAACCCTACTCCGTGCCTGTTCTTTTCCTTCACTCGCACTCCGGCAATCGTTGGCATCTTACATCACAGTCTACCTCGGTCTTACGCGCCGATCCAGGAACATCTCCCTATTTGACTCGCGCCCGAGCACTTGTCATGTCTACTGCAGTAGCTGCTCCCTTTCAACAATCCTCCAACTTCGGCCCGCAATATCACAACATGTCCAACAGCCCTACACAACCCACCACTCAGCGCAATACGAGGCCGCCGCGTGCTCGCAACGTCAACATCAACAACGACGCTTATGCCCAGAACACTCAATCAGACTCCGGCCTTCCCTCGCAAGCGACGACTCCAAAGCCGAAGAAGACCAGGCCTAGGCAGAACGACCACCGTGCTGCTTCCAACAGCGACGTGCCGAACTCGACCAACCAACGCACCAAGCCGTCACGCAAGTCGCCGACCGCTACTCCTGCGAAACCTGCCGCCTATGCCGGTCCCACCTTCCATGCTTCCCCTGCGGCTTCCAACTTGCCCATGCCCAAGTTCGCATCCAAGTCTGTACCGCCAGCTACGACCAACAACTCGCTCCAAGCCAAATTCGACGCCGAGTCCACGAAGCTCAATGCTCCTTCGCCGTCTTTCGATGCTGCTGTTCCGGCTCCCTTGTCAAGAGAAAGATCTCCACTCGACATATTCTTCAATGCCGATAGGCAAGAGCGTGCCCACAAGAGCTCATCCCCTCTAGCTCAGAGACGTACTACCCCGCCGGAAGCAAAAGGCATGTTCAAGCTGGATATTGACCCCTCTAGCAGCCCAGCTGCCTCTCAAAACCAGGCCGAAGCCGATAAACAGGCTTACACGCAGTCGCTCAAGAACCTTCTGAATCTGCAGCCTTCTACTACTTCTCCTGCTCAGCCCCGCGCTCAGCCAAACCCTGTCTTCCAGACTCCCCAGCAGCAGCGTACTCTTGACGCTGATCCTTCCCTTCATTACGGAAACCGCAGTTTGACACCGCTCTTCCATGCTGCTCGCAACCCATCGTCACCTCAGCCCACCGCTGATCTTACTCCTAAGCGTAATCCTTCTGCTCATGCACAGCAGCCTTTCGACCCTCGTGCCTACCTCGAGTCTCAATCGCCATTCATTTCTCGTCCCCACAATGCTTCTGCTTCGCCCCAGCAGCATTATCAGCAGCAGCCTTATCACAGCCCCGCACAATTTATCGGCGCTCATCGACCGCAGCCACCTCCCCCTCAGCGTCCATCACAACCTGATCATTCACCCGACGTCAAGGGTATGGAGGCCAAGCTTCGCGGTATGCTGAAGCTTACCTAATTTACGCACCTTGGATCTTCGTTTGCGTGACACAGCTTGTCTCTGTCGCTTCAGCCGGTTTCTCGCTACTTTTCGCTTTTTCTGTCTACACGCTGCATGATGATGATCAGGATGATTTCTCATAGCGCCTCGGTTTTTGGGTTCAGACGTCCTACGTCTTCGACATTATTTCAGTCTTGTCTCCAACCAATTTTCTGGCGTTACTGGCGAGCAACACTTTCGACTCGTCTGGGACCATGTTCTCTGAATTGTCTTTTGGCAATGATCAGCATACGGCATTGGGAGTTCAGAAGCTGGCAAGCTTCGCACTCGTCTTTTCTTGGTCAATGGTTCTGCGTCCTTCTCTACCAATCTTGAGGGTTATTTTGGCGTTTTCGGTTGTTTCTTTGCTATTTCGGTCTTTGCTTTTTTCTCTATTATGCCGCTATTGTTTTCCTATGGTTTCTTTCCAATCGCGTTCTCTATCTTCCCACGACAGAAGGGTTGCATTGTTGTGGCATTTTGGGGACGGGCGTTTGCTGGGAAATCCATGGGACAGAACAGGGACCAGTCAGGAGGCGCGATCTATCGATTTTTCAAACTTCTTGGTAGGTGCGCGACGATACCCCCTTGCTGCTCTTTGGTTTGCGTTGCGTTTCTTCTGGTTTCTTTCCTGCCGAGGTGTTTTTATCCTTCTTCTCGAGATTTAACTATCGAGTCTCTACTTTGCTTTGCTTTGTTGCTTTTTGAACAGAAAAAAAAACCAAAAAATCATACTTTTGTCGAGAGCTCTCTGATGACTCTGGCCGTTTCTGGTCAGTCTGAGCTCTTGGCCCAAGAACTTTGCTTTTCTTTTTGCTATCGTGTGATGCTTAAAAGCCTTTGTTTCTAACCATTCCAGCTTCAATTGAGAATAGGGACTGAATCTCACCCCTATGTTAAATGGGGCTAACGCGTGCGCGCTTTGGAAACATTGAATTAACAGAATAGTGGCAGAACATCAACTACTAGTCGAATCGACAACTGCATACTGATAAAGGACAGGGACGAGAAAAGCATAGGACCATTCACACTAGACATTATCTTCCTATCTCTCAAACTCAAAGGATTGCTTTTCGAGACAAGACCTCGAATCTCATTCTCCTCGTCGCCCTCCCTTCAAAATTATATCTTCTCGTACCAGCACCTCATTCAGTCTGGTCTTCGTAGTAGACTCCCGAATCAACAACGACGTGCGTACTTCTTGGTCAAGATCAGAGCGACCGTGAGTAGCATTCTGACCGATCTCCCGGAAGGACAGTGGACGCCAGGTCGCGACTAATAAGAAGTTCCGCTGGGGATCTCCTGCATAGTTGAGGTGGCCGACATCATAGGATCCTTGACATCATAAGGCGGATCCATAGGACGAGCCTGAGCCTCTCTCACTCCCACGACCCCCGTCATCTTAGGCTCCTCCACCTCCCCCTGTTCTCCACCCTCAACAACAGGCGTAGCAGTCTGCCCACTCGTCGACCTCTCAGTCCTCCTGTTCCCATTCCTACTCTGATAGGGTCTGATGCTTTGTCTCTGCTCCAAAGCACTGATGGCACTGGGATCAGTCCTGAGTCTCACATTGTCACCAGCAGGCTCGGAGGCAGTGGGTGCGGCGCCGATCACCCCGGGGCAGATTATACTGTTTGGCTGGGGTGTTGCGGCGACGAAGGCGGAGGAGGCGGCGTAGAAGGCTGAGCGGCGGGCTGAGCCGATCAGGGAGATCGAGGTGCCTTCTTGGCGTTTGCAGACGGCTGCGGCGGAGGTGAGGGTGAGGAGGGTGAGGAGGGCTGTTATCTGGGATGGGAGATGCATGGTGGTGGATTGCTTCCTGCTGAGGTGTGTAGGGGTGAGAGAAAACAGAAGAGGGAAGAAAAGCAATGGCAATGGTGTTTTGTAGCACAAGATTAGAGCTGCAAGGAAGCTCCGAAGCTATTGTTTAGAGGTAGAGTATGCTTTCGATAGTAAGGTGAGATGAGGGGCGTCAGTGTGATGCTCGCTGCCAAAGACGACCGTTGAGTATATATTCTGATGATGACCCCGCTGCTCCAATTGAGGCTCGAACGATGGAATGAGCAAAGAGGTGGCACTTTCCAAAGACACAAGAGCTTGGAAGACATACTTCGATCAATGAAAGTTAGCAAGGCAAGTTGTGGAGAAGGAAAGGTCGAACGAGCATAGCTGGGCTAGAAGGAGCCAACCACTTTCTTCCTTCCATTTGCATCACACATTACCCCCATTACATTCACGATCGTAACCTCTTCAACTGTAAGCAATCATTCATTGTATTCTTCATCCATATATCAAAAGTAACCATTTATTCATCAACAAGGACATTTCCCACCAAAAAGCCAAACACAGTACATGAGATCTTTCTCTCAAATAAGCTCATGACAAGAAACCTTGGTCCCACTCCACATTTGGAGGGTACTCTCAACGACTTCAGCCTTTCCTTTTCATCATACCACTGCGTTATGCCGTGTCATTGTTTTGTTCTCCCAGTAGCCTTTAATAGATGCGTCTGTTGGTTCCGGGACCAGGTGCTGGGCCTCTGAAGTATGACATGCCGCCACTTCCTCCGTGAGAGCCTGCTCCTCTGCGGGTTGCTGTGGGTGAATATCCACTAACTGAACCTCCGTTTGTCAGTGTACCTGTGCCGGTGCCGGTGCCAGTGCCAGTGCCAGTGCTTGTGCCAGTATTGCTGAAGTCAGGCTGCTGAACCGGCTGCTGAACGGATGGGGGTGCAGGCTGCTGCTGAAACTGAGGTGCTGGTCTGTATATACTGGTTCTTGTAAGTGTGGTTCTCGTCACCTCGACGATTCTGGTGCTTCCAAGAACATACCTCTGTGCTCTGGAACTGCCAGCCACAGAACTGACTGAAGGATGCGCCGAACGAGCAGGAGGGGCTGCACGAACAGCAGGTAGAGGACGCATGGGCAGAGTTCTGGCCGGTTGGCCGTTGTAGTGATACTCTGAAAGACGACGATTGTAGTCATCTGCATCCTCGTAACCGGGATGAACCGGGCCAACATCAAGACGACGGCGTGGTGCAAGTGCTTGCTGAGCTCCGACGCTGGATTGGCGTGCTGTGTGACTCCCAGCTCTGGTACTCGGCTGGTGAGGTGCGCTATATAGTTGTGTTCCGTTGGTGGACTGATGAGATGTGTGCTCGAATACGGAGCCATGATGGTGTGGAGCAGAACTACCGATTCTCGAGCTATAACTTGGCTGATGGTATGGAGCAGAACTGCCGACTCTCGAGGTGGAACTCGGCTGGTGGTGTGTGGAGTTCCCAGCTCCGGAACTGTGGTGGCGGCGGTGATGGCGATGGTGATGGTGGTGATGGTGAGATGCAGAACCCCCAGCCCTGGAGCTGGAGTGAAGGTTGTCCTGACTGCTGGTTCGCCTATATACACCGCGTTCGGGGCTGGCAGGAGTGTAACGAGTGTCATAACCAGTTGGATGAGGTACATCTCTGCCCCAGTTCAAAACACGACGATCGATCTCGCTAGGAGTTGGGTCTGCTCCAGCACCTGTTCTTGTCTGATCTTCACCATAGATGTACCCCGAAGGACGTCTTGAGGCAGGAGGAGGTGGTGGAGGCGTAGGAACATATCTGTCTGCCACACTACCAATTCTGGTAAACACTGGATCTTGAGGCTGGATACCGATTTCTCTCCATCTTGATGCATCGAATGGGCGACGTTCGCAGTCCGGGCAGTTCTGAGGTAGAGCTTGAGGGTGCTCTCGATTGAGGGCGTCCCAGTGTCGGCAAATAGGCTGTCCAAAGTCGCGGACGGGTCTGCACTTCCATAGCTCCTTGAAGGTATGGCCGCACCCTGTGTAGCTGTTGACTTTTGATCCACACATCTTAGATGATGTGTAATGAGTGATGAGTACAAAGGTGGGATTTCTGTCTTTTTATATCGAGTGAATGGCTTGAATTGTCGACTTCAAGGTGCTGAGTGGCTTTGATTGATTGTCTTTGGGTTTTCTTCCAGAAGTCGTTGGATCTGTTGTTATAAGTTCCTTCCTTTCCTGGACACCCAGAGATATTATATACTCAACAAGCAACGGACTTTCACACCCATGATAGGGCATTACGCTGTTGAACGCATCACCCACACCTACACCGCATCATTTCACTACCATCAAAAGCAGGATATCTTATCATCATCCACGTCTTTTTTGCGTGTTGGCTGTGAGGTGGTGTATCAGGTGGTGGCTTTGAACTTGCCAGCACCCCGAATAGGTGTGCTCAGGTGGGTTAGGCTATCATGATGTGTGCTTTTTGTACTGTGACGGCACGAGGAAGGGAGGCACGGGGATGCTTTTGAAGCAAGCGGGAAAGAAGCATGTGTTGTACAGGTCGTGTTTGCTGCTTTTGCGCGTAAAGGCTTGTGAAAGGACTGGCGATTGCCACGTCGGTGTTTAGTTTGGTTGATTTGGTGCTACTCCCTTTCTTGTTGCAACGAGTTTCATAATATGTGTGATGATTCACTTGACAGGCCGAAGAACGTTCTGCGGAAGGGAGATGTGCTTGATTCGATTCATGATTGGCGATAGGACAATCTCAAACAAGAAATCGTTTTGTTGTCATGCCTGTCTTTGAGGAAGCGAATCTCTTTATGTTCTCTTCGTATCGAGTTTCCATTTCTTTCAACGGAAACCAGCAGAAAAATCGATCGCAAGCTGTAGCCAGAAGAGTCCTGATGGTTCGACCTACGAAACCTCGTCCCCGTGGACCTCGCCCACCACCACGATCTCCTCCACCTCTCCCCGATCGACGCAGATCCCCTCCACCTCTGCCTGCGGTTCCTCCACCACGCTCACCAAGGCCACCTACAAGACCACGATCGTGAGACAAGTGCTTCTCCTGAGAGCTGAGGATTGGAGGAGAGATATGTGATTGTCCAAGCCGAGGTCGACCTCTGATGACGAACGGGGAGCATGGAAAGGGCTGATGCGGGAAGATGGTGTACATAATGATGCAGTCTTCCAGAGAACATTTGATGTTTCAGTGATTCTGTGAGAATACACTCTTTGAACTAGTCGAAGTCGACACTTCTTGACCAGCCTTCTATGCCGACCTGTCTGAACTCGACTTCGGCTTCTTGACCAAAGTAGCCAGCTTCACGCCAGGAACGCATAGTGTTCTTGTCGTAAGGTCCATGTGTCTGTCCACCATCTCTTGCATCCGCCCAGCGGAATTCGAACATGGCGTTTTCATCCGCAGGTGCTTCCGACACGGGGTCAACCCAGTCTTCGCCAGTCTCGCGCTTGTATAGACGTTGTAGTAGTTCACGCTCGTGGTCGTAGATGTCTGGGTTATTGCGGCTGAAAATAGAATCCGCAGCGGCAGTGATTGCTTCAACAGCAGCCACACGGCGCTTTTCGGCTGGGTCCTCTTGGGCACCTCCATCTGCATCTAGGTCCATGGCATCTGACTTGGCGGCTTGCTTCTTTTGCTTCCACTTGGGCACCTTCTTCTGCTTTGACTTGGGAGCAGCTGCATTGAGGCGTTGTAGGGCTTCCAGTACAGACTCGCCCTTGTGTAGATGAGTGATCAGAGTGCCGTATAGATCAGAGGTTAGTAGAGCATCGTCGGCAGCGGTTTGTTTCCTTCGCTCTTCGTCACGCTTTTCTTGAGCAGCCTTTGCCTTCTTCATGTCCTTTTTGTTCAAGCCTTCCAGCCAGCTGTCGTGAACTGAATCCGGATCGGCAGCTTTACGGATGAAGTTGCCAGCTTCGTCGAAACGACCCTCTTCGCCCTCTTGCTGCATGTTGAAGGCGTCGAGTTTAGGGGCGTGCCTTTTCTTACTGCCGGCACCCAGTTCCTCTGCATCTTCGTCTTCACCGTCCAGACGATCGCGTTCCGAATCACTACCGCTCTCACTGCTACTTTCAACGCTAGCATCATCGTCGGCACGCGACTTGCCCTTGGGATCGAGGGTAAAGTCGGCACGGACATGGCCTCCAGACTTGCTCTTGTGGACTTGGCCTTCGATGTCGTCGATGTCCATGAAGCGTACGTCTTTCTTCGTCTTTTTGCCTTCGCCTCGCAGATCTTCATCGTCATCTCCGTCTGCTGTTCCTCCTACACCACCAGTGCCTTCGTCGACGTCGGCGAACATGTCCATCTCATCTTCATCTTTTGATTTTCCGGTGTCTTGGCCGCGTTGATTCCATCCAGCATTCTTTGCATCCTTTGTCTCGGCAGATCTGCCTTCCTGTTTCGCTAGCTCTGCCTTTTCGTCTGCTCTGGCTTCGAAATTGTCGTCGCTGCTGTCGCTCTCGTAACCATCGAGCTTGACAGCATTACGTTTTGTCTGCATACCACCCTTACCAATCTCATCCAATTCCAGGATGGCATCTTCTTCCGGGGCATCAGGGGCGAGGGTTGAAGGATTTCGGTGATCGAATCTGGGCTTTTTGCTTTCCGGAGAGATGTAGCGATCGGAAGCTTCGGCGGCGCGTTTAGGGCGGACACCGCCAGCGGGTATTGTCTGTCGTCCTCCAGACATGTTACGACCGCCCGACATGTTGAGTTGGTACGAGGTGTGTTTGAGAGATGGTTTTGATGCTTGAGGTCCGTCGCGATGGAAGTGTTTATCGAGATTCATGCGTCATGGGTCTGTGCTGACCGAGAATACCGAGCATACCACTTCGATGTCGAACGTTGTATGGACTATCTGCTTTAGACGCAAGAATCGTGTGAGAATAGCAGTAGAAAGACACCAACATGAAGCTCACGGGGCCGTGTACAGATGGTAGTTCTCATTCGTGCATGCAACAGATCAATAACATTCACATTAACTACTGGGCTGCACGAAGCTTGCTCAAGAATGATATTTGGCGAGCATTGCCTGATACCGACCATCAATAGCTATCTCACAAATACTCATGGTTATCTAATGAGGTTTCTGCACCTTCCTAGCTACTTCCTAATAGTTCGTGTGTTGTACAATCCTTTCGAGGTCCACCGTCGCTGGGCATGCTCTCCCCCACTCGTAATCTCTTGATTTTCTTGCTTTTGGTGGCGCTCGCTAGTTAATTAGTAACCTCGGCAAACGCTGAGCGGGGACCGTAATATAACGTCCATTAGAGGCTCGAATTTACGTACCTTCTTCATCGTCGTCGCTATAGGCCGCCATATAACTAAACATTAGAGGAACCTCGTTAAACTCGTAAAGTTTAATAGTTGTAAGAATATAGAGGCTACGAAACATAGTCGTACGTTAAGGAGGACTATATAGAGGAACATGTTAAACCTTCGCATCTAGGGCTCCTTGTTAGCACCTCGATTCCGTAATAGCCCTCGTCCTATTATAGACGAACTAGTAATAACAGTGCTGCTAGATTACTTACTTTTAAAGCTAGCGATGACCCTCTTTAAGATAGCTTAGTTCCTCTTTAATGAGTTCGGTATAAACCCTACCTTGTCGACTATATCTAAGACCATTCGCGCCGCTAGATAGAGCCGGAAAGTCCTACTTAAAATAGCATGTTAGCGGAGCTAGTATTAGCGTAATCTATATATCGCTCGTATGTCTAGCTATCGAGAGGATTAACTTATCTTTGTCGACAAGAGCGGAGTAGATAGAGCCTCTACTACTCGTAAGTACGGATAGTCGCCTATTAGAAAGTAGGCTCGAGTTAAGGAATTATTAGTAAGGGAACAACGATATAACATCTTACCGGCCTATACGCATAATGGCTTGCTGCCTTATATAAGGATCTATTAAGGTACCACTAACGCTAAATTCTTTAAGGACTAGTTTGCTAATGGCCTGCTTCTAGTATGTTATCCTTTCCTAATAGCGAATTCTGTCGTAGTTATAGATAACGTAAGTTTCTACTAAGTCGATGTGCTCCGAGAGATAGCTACGGAGTACGGTATAATACTAGAGATGCTGCCGCTATATTTACTAGATTTTAACCCTATCGAGGAACTTTTCGGCGATATTAAGAAGGCGCTAAAGAAGAATTAGGACCTATTCTTAGGCGATATTAGCAAGGATTTCTTTAAATACTTAAAGTTTGTCGTAGATAAGTGTAGATCTAGCGTTTAGAAGGTAAGGGCGCACTTTCGGAAGTCGTTATAGCTAGAGTTAACAAAGTAGTAGTAATAAGAAGTTAAGATAGTTAGGATAGGGGAGGAGTTTAGGAGATTTATGTAATTTATTATAGTCTGCGTATTAAAGCTCTCTAATTGGTCCGGCTACAGTTCCGCCTCGCTAAACTATGTAAATAACAAGTTTAAGCTAATAGGAGTAGCCGCTCTAACTCCGGCTTAGCTTAGCGTCTAGACACGGAAACTAGGAGCCCTCTAAGCATACTAGCTCTACGTCTCTTCGTCATTAACAACTACTACTAGCACCTCCTCTACCTCTAGCTCTAGCTCTACTAGTACTACTATCCTCTTCTACTCGCGCACTCTATCCTTAATCTTAGTAGCAATGCCCTCTAGTATTCCCTTTTAAACTAGCTATTTAGTCCCGAACTTCCTTCGATCTAAGAGTTATTTTATCGTTACCCGCGCATTGTCGACCTTATTATATGCGTCTCGATAGTTAGCCTTCTACCTCTCTATTAATACGTTACTTCTAAGCTAGTCGAAGTAAGTAGACAGCGCCTAATCCGGGTACGCATATTTAGTACTAACACTAATAGGAGATAAATATATAGGCGACTTAGCTCGAGCAGCAGCAATTAGCGACGATAGGGACGACTAGTAATAGACATTAAACACCGACCCTAGCGGCAGTAAAGACTCTACTATAGAGACCTAACTTGCTCGAGGCGTAGTATTCTTCTTCTAAGTATTACCCCCCTTAAGTCTTATACTCTAATCCTTAACAAACTAAGAAGGATTATAAAGCGTTACGCCTAGCTCTTACTAGTCTAATACGGCGGCCTAGTAGTAAAACATCCGAGTAGTTAGTTCGTAATAGACCTGTTACTAATTAATCTAGTAGTATTTCCCGTTACCCTTATACGAGCAGGTATTGCTATCGGTAAGCATATACTCTAAGGTAGAGTGCTATTAAGGGGCGGAGTCGGGAGTAGGTAACAATACGTAGATACGGGTCTAAGCTATATAACGAGACGTAGATAAGGAGATAAAGAGGTAATAGGGAGGAGTCGTAGAAGGCAGTAAGCAGTCTTAGCAACTCCGTACGGCCGCTTAGTAAGCGGCCGGCTAAGGTTAGGGTCACCCTAGCGGCTAGGGGTTATGGTTAGGTGTAACTAGACAGCTAACTGTAATAAGTGCTATATTTCTTAGTCGACGAGGGTCCCTAACCGAGCGTTCTATGCCTTCTATAAGGTAGAGCCTTTATTAACTTTACTCGCAATCTTAGTTAGTTTTTCCTAGGTTAGCATAACTTCTATTACTATCCGACTGTCGCTAGTTATCTAACGACGGTAGGACTTTAAGTATTCGAAGATAGGCTTAAATGCCTTAGTCTAATAGTTCTCGGTCTTAGTAGCATCTATTACTATAGACTACTTCTTAATCCCTCGGAGGGGACAGTTCGTAGTAATAGACATATCGAGAAGTGCGCCCTTCTCTAGCGGTAACTTTTAAAGAGCCTATTTAAGCTAACTATCTATTAGACATTAATAGCACTTCTCTACGCTCTCTACGCTAAGATTAGTTGCCGACGGTAGCAGCATGCGACTACTAGCCTTAAGACCTTAAATAACGAACTTCTATCCGACATCGACATTAAAATTAGTTAAGTCCTCCTCCTCCTCCTCCGAGTCGACGACCGTCGGATCCGTATCATTTATACGCTCCGCTAGCGCCTTACGCCTCTTCGGTTGCTTTAGCTTTAACTTATTACTCTTACGCTTTCCCTTACCCTTCGATCGAGAAGGCCCTACCTCTAGCTCTACTATCTCGCGCACCGGCGGCCTTACGAAGAGCTCTACGATAGAGGGGAGTAACTCGTTTAAGATTAATGGATAAGACTAAGGGGGAATAGACGACATATTTAACGACGACGGCTCTAGAATTGACGACATAGTTGCTGCTATATACAGGAGATAGAGAGGCTTCACGAGAGCTTAGGTATGGCTCTACCCCGCTCGAGAGACTAATAGCGCTAGCGAAGGTGGCTTAAAGCTAATGCGTACCGATTTCTATAACTAATTACTACGCAGGGCCTGCCCAGCGACGGTGGACCTCGAAAGAATTGTAATGGTTCGAAGAGGAAAGAGCGATTGAGACAAGTCGAGAGAGAACGCGACCCTGGATTTCGTCATCGTCGGACTCCAGACTTTCACAAGACAGCCAGACGCTCTTGACTGTCCGGTTGACAAAGCAGTCCCAAGACGACATCATCACATCCATCTGCCTGTCATGGTAAGTTGACCATTCGTAACAACAAGACCAGCGCTAACATCACATCAGTATCGCAACGATCCTCTCGCCATGTACAACCAGGCCATGCTGTCGCGAGGCGGCCGCCCTCGCCGCTTCGATGAGTACTACCGCTGCTACCCTGTCGCCATGAAGACAGACCGTGAAGATGTCATCCACGGCGGAAAGGTCTATCTGCCTGCCTCTGCTCTGGACAAGCTCACCCAGCTACACATCACCTACCCCATGCTCTTCGAACTCATCAACGGCGCAAAATCAACAAAGACGCATGCCGGTGTGCTCGAATTCACTGCTGAAGAAGGCAAGATCTATCTGCCCTACTGGATCATGCGCTCGCTCCTCCTCGACCCCGGTGATCTCCTCCAGATAAAGTCTACCGACCTCCCATCCGGCACCTTCATCAAGCTGCAACCTCAAAGCCCCGCCTTCCTCGATATCTCCGACCCCAAGGCCGTCCTCGAGAACGTCTTCCGCAGTTACTCATGTCTTACAGTCGGCGACGTCTTCTCCTTCAGCTACGTCGACCAGATTCACGAGATCGCCGTCCTGGAAGTAAAACCCGACAAGGATTCACATTCCATCAGTGTCCAAGAGACTGACTTGAGTGTCGATTTCGCCGCTCCTGTCGGCTACAAGGAGCCTGAGCGTACTAGCGGTACCTCAACACCTGCACAAGTCAAGGGAATGGGCGGTTCCATTCACACTCAAGGGACCATGGCCCAAGCCATCAACTACTCCGCCATCGCCCCCAACAGCACAGATGCAGCAACAGGCCATGCAGCAGCTGCCTCACATTTTATCTCTGCTGGTCACCGTCTCGTGCCAAAGAAGGGTAGCAAAACCGCAACTCCATCCTCCACCGGAACATCAACTCCAGCACCTGCAGAAACTGTCGGCATTCCCGGTGTAGCCCAGACGCAAGCCCGTAGAAACGGCCCTCAGCCCCTACGCCTGCCACCAGGAAAGCTCTTCTTCGGCTACGAAATCAAGCCCAAGCCAGCAAAGAAGGAGGATGCCGAGGAGGAGCCAAAGAAGCAGCACTTTTTCTCCGGTGAAGGTCAGACTCTTAGAAAGAAGAAATGAGCTATTCGCTTGAAGAGGGAAATATGGAAGTAGACGTGAAAGATGAGGATGATACTTCGCAGATGACTGTTGCTTTCCAAGCGTATATCACGAGGAGTTTCGAGGGTTGGCCTGATAGAATGGCCAGGATCAAAGGGGGTTATTCGTTGCATTTCTTCGGCGTTCTAGATATCATACCATTCTCTGAATCAAACTCTCTTATTACGAATTGCTTACTCTCTGAGCTCCATTAACGTGGTTTTGTCGTATAAGGAATGGTGGCACTCTTCTCAAGGTCATCCGAAGCCTGGGTCGTGACAGGGTGATACCCTTGACCATGGTTTTCGACCATCAATGTTGTCTCCCTGCCTTTCCATGCAATGTGATGATCCAATATCTCAGCTGATAAGCCCCTGGGTAGATATTCACCTGGTGTACCGATGTTGAGCAAGTAGATCATTGCGTTGTTGCGCTATATCATTTTCCAACATCTGAGAGCGTCGAAGCCAGACGACCCACCACCGTCGTGACAACTCGTGTCCATTTTGCAAACTTCGATGTGAAGACCAATAAAACCAAATCTGAATCTCATCCACACAACTCTTAAGACCAGAGTCTCAAGAAAGTATTAAAAGAAGAGATGATTTGACACTTGAATCAAACCGATGTCTATAGAAACATGGCATTATGGCATGCTCTCCTGAACGAATCCTACCACCATCAACAAGAGTATATTGATGTCTTATGGCCAAGTAGTTCATCCCGACCTACAAGAGACCGATGTGACCTCGATGTTCTCTCCAAATCACAGAGTCGCACAGAACACGTAAAAAGGGGTCAACGAGGAGAAAGTGTGAAATGTGATTTATGTGCAGGGGCCTCTTATCGTGTCTCAAAAGCAACAATGGAAGTATCAACAACGACGATAGCATCTAGAGCATATCAGTGAAACCCGAAAGAGAGACATGAGGATATAAGTAAAAAGAAGAATGTGAAATAAAAGTCGAAAACGCCATTGATGATGGGACGCTTCTAATCGAGTAGAGAAATTGATTCATCTCCGATGAAACCTTCCCCCTTGGTTCACTCCATCCATCTTGCCATAAAACGCCTGTTCAGCCTGCATAAAATAGTTGATTAGCTATTTGTCTAGCCAGCCACTTTCTCGCACCCTCCTCCTCCCATTTGGCCAAGAAATGCAGCCCTTAATCTAGGGTTCTGTGCTTCATCTTTTTCTATTGAAGAGGGTCGTTCTTAGTTGCCCGTTCTACGTTTCTTACTGGGTGTTTCATCATCCTCGCCTTGCTTGTTCGTTGCATCTGGTGGGCTTGTGCCTGCAGAGCTGACGCTGCCGACTACTCTGCCACCGCGATCGTCGACGCCGAGATTGCCGTTGTTGGCATCTCCTGTTCCTCCGCCTCCGCTTTCGCCGAACAGATCGTCTGTATCTTGTAGTCCGTTTGCTTGTGCGTAGTCCCAGTCGAAGCCGAGATCGTTGCTGACATCTTGTGCTGGTGCAGACGCGGTAGGGTAGGTGGATTGCTGAGCCGCAGAAGTAACACCTCCATCAGTGCCGAAATTGCCAAAGTATTCACCTTCGGGGTCGTTGAGGTAGCTGTTGATGTCAAACTCGCTAGTGTTGCCTAGATCATCGAAGCCAGCTGCAATGCCCGGGATAGAGCCGCTAGGAGAGAGCGGTTGCAAGCGACTTGTCAAGTCTGCAACCTTTGAGTCTTGCTCTTTTTGCAGTTTGGTAAGCATGTCGAGATGCACAGTATTCTGCTGGATCTGGTTGAGTGATGGCATTGAGGGTGGATTTGGCATCATAAGTGCATTGTTGGCGCCGGGCTGAGCGGCGCTGGCGCCCGCGCCTGTGGCCCCTGACGCTGCTATCATTGAGAGCACGTCTTCGCGCTGTTGTGGAGTAAGCGGGCTGGTGTTGTTAATGGTCTGCAGATGATCCAAGGCGGAGTTGATGTCATAGTTTGATGCAGCACCGCCGTTGTTGGGCGAGTTGCTGGCATTCACGTTGTGGATGAGGTTCATTACATCGTCATTTTCCGGATATTGGTTGACAAAGTCGGGCGTGGGCGCATCGTCCTTGATCACCGGAGTCACTGAGGCTCGTTGTGGTTGTTGCGGTTGATGCGACTGTTGCGGCCGTTGTTGAGGAGGCTGTGGCCCAAACTGTGCTGCATGCGGGCCTTGATGCGTGGGACCAGGACTAGTGGAAGAACGGATAGAGGGACTTGCGTTGGAGTAGGGCGAGGCAGACAGGTTTTGGGGACCGGGAGCAGGCAGGAGCAATGGCCGTTTTTGGTAGCGTTGCAGCTGTTGGTTGTTCATGTTGTTCGCACCACTCTCATGCATGGTGTCATCGCTCATGTCAAAGACACTTCCTTGCTGCTGAGGCTGTTGTGGCATGGATGCACTGCTGAGGAAACTCGCAAGATTTGGAGGACCAGCATGACCATCTAAGCTGCGATTGTAGAAGGTTGCCAGAAAGGTGAGGATAGCGTTGATAGAGTTCTCGTGCCTATCATGGAGAGCCTGGAAGGCAGTCGCTTGCCTATAAAACTGCTCATTCTGGTCTTTTAACGACGTGATCATTTTGGAAATAACACTCTGTTGACGCTGTATTTTTTGCAATTCGGCGCGATAAGTGCCCATGTCCTGTCGTGGAATGGTTGTCATCAAGCCTGCAGCTCCATCTCCTGTGTCAGGCGAGTTCTTGTTCTCATCGTCGCTATCGCCCGGTTCGCGCTTATCTTGGTCTCGTTTCCTCTTAGAGCCTGACGATTTGGCAGCGGGTTTTTGAATCAGCCATAGCAGATCCGGGCGGCCTCTTTTGAAGTATTCGTGCCAATACACACTAGGGTCCTTGACTTTCTTCTCGGCCGCCTTCATGGAATTGGCATTGAGGCCTACTTTTTTGTGAAAGCCGTACATGTTGAGCTGTCGCACGAATGAGGCATAGTTGTTGTGCTTGAAGAGTTCCGGAATCAGGGTGCGTGCAAACTCGTCCTCATCGAGCACGATGAATGAGTTACCGTCATCGGACCATCGAATCAAGTCGGTATTGTTAGACGAATCCAAAAAGCTGCGAATGAGTCAGCAGAGATTCCTGCAAGCGGACGCTATGTTTGGCAAACGTACCTGCTCAGTTTTTGTACAAATGGTGGAATCTGTTTGCGCTTGGCTTGGGCGTCTTTTTTCGCGATAGCGGCCTTCTGGTCCAAGTCCTGCTCTTCTTCATGCTCCATGTCCTCCCATACGCGGTCAGGCTGGTTGGCGAAGTTACTCCATTGGTTCCTTTGCGGTGTACGAGCGACTTGCTGATTCGTATTCCTGCGGACGAGCTGGTTCGAAGGAGGTGCGACAGCGGGAGGATAGGTGGGAGCCTGGCTGGTAGACACCTGCGGAGGGAAGAAGTTGGCGGCAGCAGCGTTCGCGTTATTGACGGAGTTATCGTAGGGTGGGAAGTCGGGAAAGGCGTTGTTCACGTCGTTGGAGAGAGGATTACGGTATGAAGCCAGAGGATCATTCGCGCCGAAGGCTCCATCCTGCATCTGCTGGGGATATGAATAGGAAGCGTCTGGGGCACTGCCGTCGGCCGCACGCTTGCGGGAACGTGCCTGAGCTTGCATCTTGTCGTTTGCGATGGCTGAGACTCGTCGTCACTAGGAGCGGGTAGATGCTGACAGCGTATCTGGCGCGATGGTCGACGAGGGAAGGTGGTAGCGATTTGGTTGATATAAGCTTGGAAAGCAGGAGTGAGAGAGCACGAATGGAATGCCTATCGTGTATTCGAGCCAGTAAGCATTGTCGTGTGAGTGATAGGTGTCGGGTCAGATCAGGTCAGGCCTCAGACCAGGGCCGAGTGCGAAGCGCGCGATGCGTCTTTTGTCTAGTAAATTCCGTGTGTCTCTGGGCGCGATGATGAATCCGTGTGTGTCTCGGTGCGCGACTGGTTGTTGAAGTAAGACGCAGATGGGCTGGACAGTGTACAATCCGCGTCGGAAAGGAGCAGCGCAATGGTCGAAAAACTCTTTCTCGTCGTCGCTCTTTCCTTTCAGTCATGCTATGCAGAAAATCCAACCCACGTCACTGAAATGCCAGGATGCTCCGCAAAAGGCCCAAGCTCACCGATTCCCAGGCACGCAAAAAGAGTCCCTCCTTTCGATTAGCACGACCAAAGCCTCACTTTCTTTCGATCGTCGAGCCCTTGATCCAAAACGCCTACTTCGAGTATTCGTTTCCACCTTCTCTACCCGACGCGCACATGCCCATTGAAGCTTCTTTATTGGAACTTGGAAGGCGCGTCAAGGGCCCTTTTTTCACATGCTTCCGCTGTCGTTATCACGTGTCTTTCTACTTGCCATGTGCGCTCCAACACTTGACCTCCATTCCTCGGCCTTTAGCAATGATTTCCGTAACACACAATGTGACTTGACTGTTCCCATAACGAAACTCGGCCATGACTTGATGCGTGTACAACAATTAGATGGGTCGAAACGGCATGTCAGGCTGCCCAAACACGGAAGTCGCGGCTCTTTGTCACATGGAAAGTATACCCGAGTGGCCCTTGCTATCTTTTGTTAACCTCAGCTCGTCCCTCGGTCTTTCTGTACAGACATCCGTTGTGTTTATCGAGATCTTGCGTGTGTCGTATCATGCCATACCAGCAGTCGTTGATGCCAGTATGAATACGTGTCCTTTCGTCGTCCACGTAATGTCAGCCATTTGCAGTTCCACTCGACTCGATTGCTTGATATCAATCATGATCGATCAATAGCACCATATATATCGGAGACCTCCCAATCGCATTTCCACCTCAATCGATTTCCCTCCTCTCATCAACACCCAGATAAGTAGAGGTAGCTTGTCGAGCTCTTTCGGCTGTTCCTTCTCATGCTGGAATGGCAAGTATACCTCTCTTCCCCCCTGACCATTCGAGACTCTATTCTAGAATCTTCTATATATTAGATCTTATGTTAAACAAGATGCCGAGGATCAATTATACCCCTGTCACGTATCTCGCAAATCCGTATGCAAACGTCGGTTCCTGACTTAGTCTGTGCAGATGCGTTGTGTATTGGCACAGCATCCAGGGAATTGGTCAAGCTTCCACAACTCTGGCTTGGACAGGACTACGCAGTCTTATGACTATAGAAAAATAGTCGAGGACCTCAAGAGTTTGTAGCTGTAGAAATACATAATACCTCCAAAAGTAGTGTGATCACGTCGGAGAAAGAGGCCCGCCACTCTCCTGATGGTCATTCAAATCATCACCATATGGGACAAGCTATGTCGATACCAGAAGTAGTTGCGAGCTATTCGTATGGTTTGTTCATGATAGGTAACAACACTTTTACTCTTGATTGAAAATGCCAATCATCACTCCTTCTTTCCAGCCTCGCTAGTTGCCTTGGTATTTCCTTTGATCATAGACCACAATACCCACAAGAATCCAAGCAGCACTGTCACTCCCGTGCCAATCTCTACAAAACCAGTCTTCGTCTTGTCCAACACGGGGACCTCGAGTGTCTCCATCAGTGTCTTCGTCTCAGCTGAAGCACCAATATGATGGAACAATGTCTTTGGTCCAAAAAGTCCATCGTAGCCTATGTTCGTTCGATCGAATGGGTTAACAGACATCTTTAATCCATCTTCTGCTTCACAGGCCCAGAAGACTGCTGGCCAGGGGATGTGTGCGGTGTGTGTGCCATCTGTTGAAGGGAGCATATAGCGAGTGTGTAGCGGTACCATCACGCTCCAGGTATCATTGTTGACAGAAGGTGTCTCTGGATGTGCGAGCTCGAGTAGAGCGGCAGAGCCCCATTGTGGTATTGTCCAGACAGGAGCTTCGAGATCTGTGGCACCACTCAAACTGCGAAGAGCGATTAGGTTTTGCGAAGCGAGGAACAGAGGGTCTGATAGTTGGTAGCGGTCGATGAATACAGATGACGGCAGAGTTAGGTAGGCATGGAGCGCGCAGGATTCATCCGGCTGTATGAGTGCATTGGCAGGGAACTTGAGCTCCAGAGCAGGATGCAATCCGGTGGGCTGGCGAAATGATGTTTCGAAACTCAACTCTTCTGGTTGTTTCGACACAGCATGGTGCCTTGCTGGGAAGGAGAACATCGTAGCACTAGGCTTTGTGTCTTCACCGACCACCGTCAGCAAACCACTAAGTGCAATTTCTCCTTCTTCGTTAGCCTTCTCAACATTCAGAATGCCGACTTCGAGAGCATCTGAAGAAGGTTGCAGATGCAAAGTTTCGTCCCACACGCCTTGACTGCCATCAGCCGCAACGGCCCAATCCCAGTAAGCGGTGACGCGAAGAGCATGTGATATCATGTCGTAGTCGAGATCCAGAGAGCTAGCTTGGGCGAGAGAAGCAACCTGAGAGTGACAGCTGACGTCTGACGAGTCGCACATCGTCGACGAGAGGTAGCCGATGAATCTCGTTAGACGAGCAAGTGGCTTGTAGTACTGGTACTTTGCGGACATGGCAAAACGCTCAGATAATATCGGTGGTGTTGAGAATGACTCCTGGGAAGAGCAGAATCAGCATTGGGCCTTGTTCGAGGACGATGCATCGGAGTAGGGTGCGGCAGTACCTTTACGGATGCACATTCAACAGCATCACCAATTATCTGACCTAGAAGCGGACACAGAGTATCCCTGAAAAAGTCAGCAAGGAACCCGGACAGAGGTAGAACAATCAGACGTACGAAGACGCATTTTCTCCGGGTGTGTAGAAAATGTGAAAGCCAGAAGGGACTCTCGAGGAGAAAGGTGTCACGGCATCGTAATTCCACTCTGCAGACCAGCGTATGTGTATTTCATGACTTTGTTCTAGGACACTTGAAACCTTCAAGAATGAATGTTAGCCTGTTTTCCATAGTCTCGAGATGATCGTAATTGAGTTTCAAGCTCGGAAAGGAGGCATCTCCATACCTCTTTTGGCAGTTCGCGAGTGCCGAGCGTGACTCTCCATTCTTTGGCGGCCTTGAGTCCCGGCAATTTTATCGAGTCTTTACCAACATCGAGAGTCTCAGGGTCGACACCACCGGCTTCGTGCAACAAGTATGTAATTCTTTGCTTCATTGTATAGTCGACAAAGGCCAGTGTTGCGACTTGTAGTCTGGCTGCAGCACCGCGTGATTGGGCAGATAGCGATAAGCGACCAGAAACGTCAAAGCGTGCTGAACATCGTCATCCATTCTGGAAAGTACTCGCAGCCAGGCAACCACTTCAGCTTTTGACTCTTTCAGCCACTCTTTCCAAACGGCACTGCCACCGTGTCCTCGCCACTTTTCAAGAGCGAAAACAAACTCATAAACTTATCAGAAATACAACAAAAGCACTGCATCGCTTGCTCGACATTCCATCGACTGCAAGCTCTTGTCAAATCAGCCACCATGCGGTTGTCCGCTCTCCTTCTAGCCCTGTTCTCAGGCATCAACCTATCTCAAGCCCTCCGCAAACCATCCGACAGCGTCCTACTTTCCAAAATCTCCAGTCTCACTCTGCGCGCCGGCCAAAAGACCAGCGCTCGTCGTGGCAACCCTATTCCTCAATTACAATGCATGGGTGGCAATGCACGGGGCTTGTATGAAGTGGACGTCATGCGCTGCACCAACGCCGGCTCCGACTACGATGACGAAAATGTTCAATGGACCTGTAAGGCTTCTCTGCCTCCGGAGTTCAAGTTGGGCAGTACGGACGTTTCGTGCGAAGGCTACGATTCGCCCGAGGACCCGTATGTGTTGAAGGGAAGTTGTGGCGTAAGCTACAGGCTTGTGCTCACTGAGGAGGGTGAGAGCAAGTACGGCCACAGGAAGGACGAGGATGATAGGAGTGGACCTTCCTCGACAGGCGAGAAGCTCATCTTCTGGGCTTTCTTCACATGTGAGTTCATCATTTCTTCTTCGCAGTCTGCATGTATTGACATATATTCTAGTCGTCGCGGGCATGATTCTCTATGGAGTATGGGATTCTTGCGTCAGGGGCAACAACAGACGTCCTCCGCACGGAAACAATGGCTACGGAGGTGGCTTGGGCGGTGGCGATGACAACAATGGTAAGACAAACCTCCCGAGCAAGGTATTTGGTAAAAGCTAATTCGAGATAGACGATGCACCACCACCCTACACACCTTATGGAAAGTCAGCGCCTGGTCGCAACTATGGCACACAGAATGGTCAAGGATGGCGACCCGGTTTCTGGACTGGCACTGGCGCTGGAGCTGCCGCTGGTGCAGCAGCAGGTTACATGGCAGGCAACAGGGGCTCACGCAGTGCCTCTAATCGATCAAACAGCGGAGGCTGGGGTGGCAGTACAGGCTCGAGCTCCCCTGCACCGTCTTCTTCGAGGTACGAAAGCACTGGTTTTGGCTCTTCCAGCCGCAGATGATACCCTTCAAGGGTTTGCTGAAAATGTACTACTATTCTTACGACCCTCGATCGGACAGCCATCATTTGAATTGAACCACGGGAAAGTACCGCGGCCCTGCGAAGCCAGTCGCCATGACGGTCTGTATGTCGATGTTTTTGTTGACATAAGGCGTCTGTAGTTTGAGCAAGATATGAGTTCCAGACCTGTTCAAAATGTCAGTGAGATTGCGACTACCTCTTTCTTGTGCCACATACACCGGAGGGTCGAATTTGATGGCTATTCGATGCCTATTGTCCTTGATCTTGAACCTCGCCCTTGCGACCGTGTCGCTCTTGTACTGATCAGGCTCTGGGCTCAACCGAGCCGCCTCTGTTCGCTCCGCAGACATTTGCGGCTGCCGCATGCTACGCAGGCGGGCAAAGTTTGTACGGTATCTGGAATCCCAGATATCTTCGTCGTCGTACTCGCGTAAGTTTCGCTCTCTACGCCTTCTGTCGGCGAGTACGTCCGGTCTCGTGGGGTCTTCAGGCCAAGTGATTTCCTCGTCACTCAAGACTACTATATGTCCCTCTGGAGAGTCTCTTGCATCTCCAGGCTCGTCACAATTACGACCGTCAATGTCGCTTGTGCCCGGAACAGGTCTACTCGGATCCACTGGTGGCCAAGATGCATCTCTGGTTGTCGGAATAGAGTTCCATGCATCTTCAGGATCATCGTTGTCTTGAGACTGGTCGTCTGCTGTCGATTCAACAGGCGAGAAGAAGCCAGCACCTCTGCGTGTCCTCATGGCACGCGCAACCTCGGGATCATGCATACTTTCCAGCAGACTAAGACGGACAGGATCGTGAATCCGACGTGATGGCGGACTTCTAGGTGGGTTCAAGTAGTCATAATGCTGGGTGGAGCTGTTGATGTATGGCTGAAGGTCGTCTCGGCTCATACCAACATAGACCAGACCCTCCTTTACTCTGCCATGTATTAGCAGAGAATTAGAGAGGCGTGGACTTGACCATCTTACGGGGCAGTGAAGCCGTTTTCAGGAGCGATGATGTACAGTTTTTCCAAACAGAAGGTTGAATCATCGTGATGACGCAAGACAATATTGCACTTGGATGCACGAGAACAGTAGACGCTCTTATCGTGCTTGAGGATGTTCTCGGGGCCAAAATCAATGCCACTGCGCTCTTCGTTGTGTACCTCGCCATCACAACTCTCCAGTTCAAGCTTCAGCCTGCCAGGGTCGACTTGCCCGTAATGACCATACTTGTAGTTTGGCTCATGGGCCAACTTTCTTCTCTTAACATTATGCTGCCTAGGTTCGTCGAGGTCAGAGGATGGCTGATCGAGAGCTGACGTGTTGCGGGTGAAACGCGGAGGAGACTGGTCGTCGAGATTCCTATAGCGGCGACGTCTCAGGCGCGAGGGCGGAGGGGCCCATCTGGCGTTACGTTCGGCCTCTTCGGATTCTCGTCTCAGTTCGCTGTTCCTTTGAACAACGCGACGAAGCCTGTCTACTCGTGTTGGAGCAGCAGTAGCGGCAGCATCGTCAGGGCTCGCCGTGGCGGAAGGGTAATCGTAGTCAGCGGGCTGCGAGTCCCAGTCAGCCATACGATTTCGCATCCGACACAGGCCATGCGCTCATACAGCAAATGATGCCCACGACCTTCGCTCTGCCATGTTTGTGCCTTGTGTCTCGTGCCTTCCGGATGCGGGGTCTCTTGGTGAAGCCTGCCTAGGAGACAAGTCGTCGGTGTAGGCGAAGACGTTTGTGCGGCGCAGTCCAGACGTCTACTAAGGGTCCTCTTCGAATGGACTATCGAGTCAATATCCGGCTCCGGGTGCTGCGGTTGTGTGCGGTAGCTATCTCGATTCTCGACTCGAGTTGCAGAGAGGAATGCATCGACCTGAGTGTGCGCTGCATGTCGTAGTTGGGCGGGCATGGGCGTGCGCCGGTCCAATCAACGCTTCAACCCTAACTGAGCCCTACCCGCGATCTGGTGTCCGAGCTTTCGGTAGCTGCTGCCGTTTGCATCCGTGCATCAACATCCCTCCTCACCCTCTTGCTCCATGCCTGGGCCTCCGGAATTCGCTTCATCTTACCCTCACCACGACTCATGCAACTCACCTCTTCTGTCGCTTTCCTCTCCGGTCCGACAACAGACTCTACGCTATCGTCCGGTTGGATTCCCGCCGACTATATCTATTCCAGGGCTACAGATTGCGTACCTCAATAGGCAAACCCTTGTCCGTGAATACGCTCTTACGGCCGACTCAATACTTAGTTGTGTGGCATTTTTGTTTCCTATCGAATCCTCCTCGTCTCCCAATTGTTGACTCATCTTCACTGAAGTCTGGCTCGCCATCCAGTAGTCCACCTGCAACATCTTATTAGTTGCATCATTGCATGGCTTCCTCTCTCACACACCTGCTCAGAATGGAAGCGTAGAACTATACGCTTTTCTGGACCACTCCACGATTCCATAGATGACCGAACGGTATAGTTGAACTCGTTCATTCGATGTCAGGAAAACCGTTATTCCAGGCCAATGTGATTCGGGGTCCTCGACCTCCAAGATCTGGGCCCTCTATGTATCTCGGGCGATACTCCGTTGAGCATCTAACCCTAACCTTGCGATTCAGTCCACCTCCAGAATGCCATTACTTTGTGTCTCCTTGGAAGAACTATGGCCTTTTATTCGATGCCTCTGGACTTGAAAACAGTCTCTTCATCCCTCTCTGGTTGATGATTTCAGATCCCTAGATCGCTACACAAATATTCGCAGTACCTCGCAGCCCGATGTCTGAAACTCGTTGGCGCCGTGGCTGCGCAATCGAGTTGTAAAGTATAAAAAGCCACATCTGTAGGATCGGCTTCACCGTACTGGAGCGTTGTGCCGCGGTAGCTGAGACTTTCCACTGAAGACTCGAGAACCGTTCTTGTTATTGCGTCTCTCATTCATCCCGTTGTGGTAGAGCCGCGGGTACCTGCAGTTACGGTACCGAGACAAATGATTTGTGGAAATGGTCATCTAGTTTCTGTTTCGTACTCTTGCCAATGCGTTCTCCCAATATGATATGTGAAGCCTCGTCCATGCAGGCATACTTGCAATCTATCACAGCTGGTCTTTACCACTTCTCACTCAGCAACATCACGATGGAGGACCACACCCATGAGATCACCGAAGTACCAGAGGCGGCCAGAGTCGTCACTATGGCTTTGTCTATGATAACTATCAGTGTACTTGCCATATGCCTCAGTAAGTTTTTTTCGGGTATCTCAAGAACGTCCAAATCTAATACTTCTATAGCTCGCCGAATCCAATTCGTGAAGAATTGGAAGGGAATCTCTATGACCAATGGACGTAAGATAAAGTCAACTCTGAATCCTTCTAGGACGTCTTTCTAACATAGTGCTTAGTAATCATTGCGATATACATCGACTCCTTCCTCTTTATCTTCTGTACCGCTGTACTATCCAAAGCATACTCATTAAACCAGTCCCGCGGTATCTGCGATGGGGCGATCCTGCTCTGTTTACTGTGTTACATGTCAACTAAAGTTGTGAGTCTCTATAGCATCCGTTAGCCTGCAAAATGTTACTGACCTGGTGGTAGATGATCTACTACTTCTTGGTCGAGAAAGTTTATATCATTCGAACCATCAATACACCGAGGATGAAGAGCAAGCTATGGCTTTTCAACTTCTTTGGTGTGATCTGTAAGTCAAATCGATGTGGTGCCCATAGAGAAGACCTAATGTCATGTCTAGGTCCTTACGTGGTCTTGGTGATACTGAACTTTGTGTTGTAAGTTGCTGCCAGTATAGATGGAAGACCGGCGAGCTGATTTGCCGATAGCCGTATCGCATACATCAACGAGAAAGGAGTCTGTGTCATTGGCATGAAACGCAAGGCATTGGTCCCCCTAATCACTTTCGATGTCCTCTTGAATGTCTACCTGACCTCACTTTTCCTACATCCGCTCCGTCGTAAGTGCGAACACTTCTAGACGTCCACACATAAGCTTACCTAGTGACACAGAATGCTACTCGTTCAAGACAGGAACAAGCTCAAGAATGCGAACACTCGTGTTCCGGACATTCGTGGGTAGCTGCGCTACTCTCGTCATGAGTGTAGTCAACTTATCCATTCTTACCATTCTCGATGGAGAACCAGGATACATCTGCCTGTGCCTATGTAACATCGACAGTAAGCAGTTGTCTCTGCAACACCATACAACTCAATTGCTAATGATTAAACAGTTTTGTTCACAGTCATAGTCTTGCATTGGGCGACAGCGGTCGACCGTCAAGATCAAACTACAAATACTGGTTCCAGAAAGCCCAAGAACACGCTTGACTCGAGCCGAGGAGGACTGACCAGCGCGACTGGAGGCAAACAAGGCGATTATGTGGAACTGGACGAAAGAGCGGTGTCCAAGCTCACAACTAAGATCGAGGCCAACAGAACCAGCCCGGGTAACGACAGGATGAACTCGCACGCGATCGAAGTTAAGACCCAACACGTACAAGAGGTCGAAATCGAGCCGTACGACATAGATTGTGAGAGTGGTAACAATTGGAGGGAAAGTCAAGAGCGGATAGTCAAGCCTGGTAGCATCTAGCTTGACCGGTAGCGGAGGGTGCTTCAGCAGTTACAAGATGTTCTCAGCAGCTGTACAACCTCAGCTCCGCTGTCGCAAGACCCGAGACTGCGTTACTACCAGTCCTTTTCCCATTTAACAGTTTTAATGTCGTTCAAACGGAGCCGACTCCTTATATCAAGAACAAAGAGCCTCGAGAGGTCTAATCAGTTTCCGTGTAACTTTTGCCTGACAAGTTGAAGGACGAGACGTGGCCACAATCTTACCTCTGTTTATATATTTGAAGGAAGGCGAGTACAGAGGAAGCCAAACACAGTGATAGGCACCAAGGCTTGGTCATCTCGCCTGGATGCCTGGCAACGCAAGATGCAGGAGAGCACCAAGCCCGGCGCAGCACGAGCGTTGCGGAGATTGCGGCTGCCCAGTTTCTAAAGTCAGCTGCTAACCTGATTCTTCAGCATCTGAAGAAAACGTGAAAGATAAGGAAGTAGACTCGTGAAGACAAAGAGACACAGACCGTTCCGGAAGGTCGGTTGTTCGAGTCAAAGGAGGAGTCGAAGAAGAAGTGTGGTTTAACCGGTTGGCGTTGCAGCTTCAAGGAAACGGCGGAGGGCTTGGGAGCTCTTGCTTCGGCTCCTTTCAGGGAAGGCGCGACCGAACTAGCGGACGCTACTTTCGTCACTCGCAAGACGATTGGTACGTTCGAGCCCATGAAGAAGGCACGCCGTACGACACACGGCATGATGCATCGCAGTAGCTTGGAGACACTCGATCAAAGCGAAGGCCATGACATGAATATGAGATTTCACGAGCGAAAGTCATGTTTTGTTAATAGAACTGCATGTGAACGGAAAAACAAAAGCGCAACACTGTGTAAACGAGCCAGCCGAGTGACACACGTGGGTCGTGATTGGCTGGAATGGCTTGCTGGGGTCGCGTCTCTTTCTCCCTCAACCTTTCACGCTGCTTTGCTATCTGGTCTGTGCCCGAAAAAGCCGTCGGTCGTCCTTGAACCACGTCCTCGACTTTCTCTTCTTACCTACCACCCTCGAGGCCTTGTGACATTTTGTCATCTTTACCTCTCCCTGATTTAATTCTGCCTGGATTGTCAACATCTCCCATTGGATAGACCACTCGACCGCTTGCGCCCCCGTATCTCGCTGTCGACTTCATCTTTTGACCCGAGGCTGGTGATCGTCGAACAAACGACCTTCAGCCACTACTTCTCGCGTACCACTACGACCCTTTAGGACCACCTCGCTGCGGCGTTTCCATTCTGGCTACCACCAAGTTGGCGGGCTTTCGCCTCCTTCTCTCCCTCAGCCTCCCTTCTCAGGGCCCAAAGATCTGGGTCTGCGGAGGCGACAAGAAGCCGCCATAACTGGTCCACGGCATACCAACCACATCGTCTACTAACAAACAACCAATCACCCAATCGCTATCCTTATATAGAGGGGTAGAGACTGGAACGCGAATTACCATCCACGGCTTAGTGTAGGGCTGACCCCTGCGCGAGGCCGCTGTTCAAGTTGAACATCTTCCAAGGGTGAGCGCGCGCGCGCCGCTCATTCGACTGTCCACAAGCGCACAAGTTTGGCAAGGACAGCGCAGAAGAATACACTTGAGAACCCCACCGGATAAACCAGAAAAACATCAAAAATGGCAGAGACTCCCCGATCCGAGAGGTCGCAGACCAGATTCAGCACTCCTGTGTCTGACCTTGACGACCACCGCCACCAACAGGAATCGCTACCACGCGCCAACGGACAAGGATCACGAAGAGGCACTCTTGCAAGCATTGCAGATCGCCCAGATATCGCAGCTCTGGCTGCAGCTCAACTCGAACTCGGACACGGAATGATCGCTCGCGACTTTGAGAACGCCGTTGTCGACGACGAAGACGATCACAGCATTCGTTCCGTTCATGAGACACCCAAATGGCGACGCAACTCCATCAGCCCTAACGTAGGAAGAAGAGGCACCGTTCGTCTTCCTCCACCCGCCATAGAGACCAAGTCGAGGAGCCGTGAGTCTTCTAGTTCGAGATCGACCTCTCCTCCGAACTCGGTCGACGCCTTTGCAAACCCCCAGAGACGTCGCCGAGGCGACACCATCACTAGTGATGTCCCTCCCTTTACCAACTTGAACCTTACAAGAACCATCTCTGGTGCCTCTCATCATCGCCGACCAACCTTTGACGATGCCAAGTCGACTCACACCGCTCAATCGCGCCACAGCTCTGTTCAAGACGACGTCTGCTTTCCTGCTGAGCGCGATCAGAGCAAGACCTATCTCATTGACTTTGAGGAGCTTGAGGAGTTTGTCGCGGAGTCGCACGAGAAGACTCCCGTCTCTCACCCTTTCCAGCCACCTTTCGGCAAACAGAAGCCCAGCGAGCCCAAGGTATTCCACGACCTTCGCACTTGCAAGACCAATGCAAGCGATAGCGATGTCGTGGATGACAAACAAGTCGTAGACCATGAGAAGAAGCCGGATCTCCCCGAGCATGAACTTGAGCGCGTTGCATCTCACACAGAGTACTTCAACAGATTCACCTTCTTCTCCTCTGAGATCGATGAGACTATCCACGCCCCTGAGCTGGGCGGTCTTCTCATGCCTGGCGAGTCATTCAGAGACTTGTTCGAGCTTGGTCCTGACGGTGGTGTCTGGTGGCTTGACATGCTCAACCCCTCTGAGGAAGAAGTCACCGCCATCTGCAAAGCGTTTGGCGTCCACCCTTTGACTCGCGAGGATATTACCACCCAAGAGACACGCGAGAAGGTTGAGCTGTTCAGATCATACTACTTTGTCTGTTTCCGTTCCTTCTACCAGGAGGACAAGGAAAGCGAGGACTTCATGGAACCTATCAATGTTTACACCGTCGTCTTCCGCGAGGGCCTGCTGACCTTCACCTTCTGCAACAACCCGCATGCTGCTAACGTCCGCAAGCGTATTGGCCGTCTTCGAGACTACGTTAACCTCAGTGCTGACTGGATTTGCTACGCTCTGATTGATGATATCGTTGATGCTTTCGGACCTGTTCTGCGTGATGTTGAACACGAGGCTGATGCCATTGAGGACAACGTCTTCACTGCGCGATTCGAAGACTCGCGTGCCATTCTGCGACAGATCGGTACCTGCCGAAAGAAGGTCATGTCTCTGTTGCGCTTGCTTGGTGGCAAGGCAGATGTCATCAAGGGCTTTGCAAAACGTTGCAACGAGCAGTACAGCATGGCACCTCGTGGTGATGTTGGTCTGTATCTCTCTGACGTTCAAGACCACGTCGTGACTATGATGAGCAACTTGTCCCATTTCGAAAAGATCCTCTCACGTAGTCACTCCAACTACCTCGCTCAGATCTCTGTCGACAACATTGCCCAAGGCAACAAGGCCAACTCGTTGCTCTCCAGAGTTACTGTCCTGGCCACTATTTTGGTCCCTCTCAACCTGGTTACTGGCCTTTTCGGTATGAACGTTCGTGTTCCTGGTATGGATGGCAACAACCTCGCTTGGTGGTTTGGAATTCTGGGCTTCATGCTCATTTTTATTGCAGCCTGCCTCCTTACTGCATGGAAGATTGGCTTGCTCGAGGATGTCGTTCCCGAACGCGAGGAAGAACTGTAAATTCTCCCCTAATGGTCCTCTAGATTATACATTGCAGGTCCCCTTTACGCGTTGCTTCCGTTTTGTTTTGGCTTCATGATACTTCGCTTGTTTCACTTTTCGTTTTGTTTTTGTCAAGTCACGCCTTTGGATTGCAGCGAGCGCGATTTAGCACACACATTGAGGTAGTTGGAAGGTATATGGGGCGCATGGGTCTTTTCTTTTTGTTCATCTCTTTTTGCTTTCCGGCTCGAATACCTCTTATTGTTACTCGTTGATCCATCCTTTGTTGTAAGTAGTCGTTATTGCTTTGATTATCAATCAATTGTCCCAATCCAGACCCATCGTCTCCTCTCTTTGAACGTGGTCTCGATCAAGCTCTTGCTTGCAGCACCGAAAGAACTTGGAAAGAGCAATGCATTGTGTCAGTTGACTGCCAAGATCCGTCTCAATGACTTTTCTTGTTCAAAATTGCGTCCGCATACGGAAAGCGCAACCCGAATCTCTGCAGTTGACTGTGACTAGGACAAGCTGTCTTTCTACGTCTGACGCAAGGAGCTATCGGTATCCAGGACCAGGTACAGCAAGAGCATACTGCAAGAGCAATGAATTTTGCCGCTTGACTTGAGATTCTCTTCGATATTCTTGAAGATCCTTGAGATTTGTCACTTTCCATTCCCTTTGATCACACTGTTTTCGAGGAAGGAACGATATTCTCTGCATCTCACAAACAACTCGTCTTGCTCTTACTGTCGATGTTCTCATATCTCGAGTGGTCTTTCCAGCAACTTCTTTGACCTGAGTCAGAGAGCTTGTCGTGTGTCTAGTCCGCTGTGCGGGCGACAGTCTGCTCGTTATCACCTCCCCGACCTGTTCTTGATTCATCAGGCACCTGCAACTGCAGCCGTCTACAGTGGTCTCCAGTCAAGCCGCTGCTGTTAGCACAGATCAGTATGTCGTACAGCAGTAGTGTCTCATAGCAGTAGCGTGCTGACCTGATCAGTGGTATGAACGAGCAGCACGGCTCTCTAATATCGAGGGATACCTGCTATCGGTCGTCGATGGAGCCTGAAGAGTTGCAGACGGAGCTCTGCATGACGGACAGCCTCACAGTGGGTCAACAGTCAAGCAAAGTATCGCAAAAGGCTCATGGAATTCAAAATAACGACTTTCTGGAAGAGAATCCCAATTGACTTCTCTTCTCCTCTGACTACCTCCTCCCATCCACTTAACGAGCAATGTCGTGACCGTATACATCAGCATGGATGTTGCTGTGCAGGTCGCAAGGCTCTGGGTCCTCCGATCGGACGCACTTGGCATGCATCGCATTCCACCCCTCGACAGCGCCAGTATAACCGGAGTGGTTCATTGCCGCTGCTTTGATTGCTCTAACTGTTTCAAGGAGTTAGTGCGGGTACGGGGCATGCGAACGAGGTTACATACGAGCTTTTGCACAGGTATAGAACCTTTCATGGCACCACTGTGAGTGATGCCAATGGCACTCAGAATGGGCTTCCGGGCAAGCCTTTCCGGCCTTGTGAGGGACTGCAACTAGAGCCCGTGGTGCGGTAGGGACTGGACGCGGAGCTACAGTACCAGCGATTCCACCAGCGATTCCACCAGCGATTCCACCAGCAATTCCGTCAAAGAAGCCGCGGGGCACGAGGGCGCGGGAGGGGGTGAAGGGGGCAGTAGAGGGGTTGAAGGGGGCAGTAGAGGGGTTGAAGGGGGCGGCGGAGGGGTTGAAAGTGGGTGTTCTTTCTTCAGGCTGCTTGAGACTATTGCCGAGAGCTTTAATCAGTACACAAGGACACGGAAGCAGTAACCAGTTGCGGATGGGAAAGGAGAGGTGCTTACGCGTGGACACCGGGAATGACCACAACATCTACACGGTTGCTTGAATCATGGCAGAGCGGGCAGGGTTCAAGCGGGTAGGGGCTGTCGATAACCCTGTTCCAGGGGTTCTTGACCTCGTCTGCGCCGACGATGTGACCCGAAGGGTTGGTGTGGGTGATGTGATAGTCGGGGCCTATACGGCATATATGGCGCGTTAGGATCATCGTTGGTAGGCTTTCTCTTGAGTTGGTGTTGTTGGGGAGAAGAGAGAGTTGGAGAGAAGTGCGCAGAGTGGAGTTGTAGGCAGGTGTGAAAGCGCAGGCCGACTGCGAGCCACGACAACGACCGCACTAGTCCCTTTCGGATACTACCAATGTTCCGCTCTTCACTCTAGCTCACTTCCATCCGTCGTCTACGATTGTGGGGAAGAAGAATATCTACGGGGAAATAACATTGGGTATTTCTGATCCCCAAGTATCACCAGGAAAAGAAGATCAAGGGGTGCAGGGGTGTATTGAAAGAGATGGAGCATACAGACGCTTTCTCAGTGACCATGGATACTACTCGGTTGGATCTCGAGCCTATACAGTTTCTTGTAATGTACAGTGCGTACCGTCGAGAATGGTAAGAGCGAAAGATCGAGTCGAATGTCGAGACGGACAGCACCAGTCCCATCATGAGAGACGCTACCGATAGCAATGGTGAATGACCGCTTTATGAGACAGTGCTGGCTCAGGCCGTGACCATAAATGGGACCCTTGTGGAGCTCCAACCATGAGATGACACTACTTACATTATGAGAAGGAAAGCTGTATTGGGAACGCGGAGATTGGTGGTTGAGTCGAGGTCAACTCTCTCTCCAACCTCCTGTATTGCCGTCAATAACCAGAGCTCTACTTACAAGACACTGCTTCCTTCCTGACGGGTGGCTTGTCGATAACACCCATGGCAACGTCTGAGACAGTACATGTGAATGTAGAGTGATACACGCGTGCACTATCACTTGAAGTGTTGCAGTTGCAATGTCACGACGCTTTTGTCTCAGATGAGCAATGTCTGGCGCGCGAGAAGATATATCTTCCTTCAGGAAGCTGGTCTTTTTTTTTCTTCCCGTCAACACAACTCACAACATGTCACTGAGCAGTGGCGCACCACCCATCATATCCGGCCCAACTATTCTGGACTTGCAAGTAGCTCACGCTCAAGCCGCTCTGTCCTCTGCTGGAGCATGGAGTTCAAACGACCTGACTCGCCTGTGCAAGGTACATGGCATCTACTCTGGCTCGATTGACCACAGCAAGCTACTTCTGGTCATGCTGAAAAAGACATTGACACAACCCGTCGTTTACGAGGGCTTTGGTCTGCCAGACCTCATCACATTCATCAAGGCCAGAGGTTTGGGCGTCGACCAAACTATCAGAGATGCTGTCGAAGCTGCAGAAAAGTCGCTGGAAGCCAGTGCCAGACACCAGGCCGACCCTCAGCAAGAAAGCTCATCTTCTACACCCAGCCTGCTGTGTGCAGAATTCGACGCTGAGAATGTCCAGATGACCGAAGGAACTGCGCACAACATTGCCTCCGTCGATACCTTGCCTAGCAGCTATGACGGCTGGAGCGTATTCGACTTCGTACCTTACCATGGACAACAGCATCTGCCCGTGGATCAAGTAATCGCCCCTGAGCCTTGCCAGCACACCGATGACTTGATTCGAGTGCTCGAAGTGGCCGACCGTGAGCGTGAGTTCGACTTCCTCGCTCTTCCGGCAGATATGCGACAGATGGTATACCATTATGTTTGTCGGGCATCTTTGACCGTTCTCCATCCTCAACGTCAACCCGCCATTACCAGAGTATGCCGTCAGACGAGAACAGAAGCATTGCCGGTTTACTATGGTAACAATCGCTTCGCTGTGGCGGTCAGTCAACACCGCGGAAGCCCTTACAACCACTGGATGAGATGCATCGAGTCGCCATGTCTTGCCCGCATCCGGTCGTTCGCGTTCGTGGAGCTTTTCCGCCAGAAAGTCATCGAGATTGACTTCACGCCGCATGGAAAAATCCACTATCACGTCAAAATGCGAGGGCTGCCGAGTAAGAGCATCCTCGACGAACGATGGCGCCAGTCCAGCCGGACTGGTGGCCATCGCATGGGAGGTTGCTTGCGGCCAAGTCCTTGCGAAGAGACCATCAAAGATCTTGATAACGACGGGCGTAACTTGATACTGGGCAAGCCGGTTCGTTACACAGAAGATTATCTCGGTTTTGACCATCAAACAGAAGCTCTCATCCAGAAAATCGTTGAGCGCGAAGCCTCTGTTCTTGAGTCCAAGATGGCTGCACATGCCGGCTCGGAATACCACAAGTCACTGGGCCACGACGCCTTCCTCACACCCTGGCTCTCCGTCAAAGATTGGATTTTACTGAAGGAGGAATGGAACCGAGCAGAAGGTTTCTCGATAGTTGGTCTGAGAGCCCTGAGTTATGCTTTCGGATCTACTGAGTTCTGGGAATAGACCTTCGATGCTTGTTGGAGAGCAGATGCTATGGTGGATGTGTCGTGGAACACGGTTGAGTGTTCAAATTCTGGAGTGTCGCCGCAGTATGAGGATCATCATCATGCTCTGACGAAACAGGCCTTGGAGGAAATTGGAGGAGGACAAGAGGTCTCCGGCGGGTTCCGCATAGATAAGCATAGCTCATAGAAACCATAACTATTATCATGCCAACCTAATGTCAACTGCGGTCTTGCACACCGGCACCGCGTGTTATAGAGCTGCAGCTCATTGTGAACTTTCATCAACGCCCGGAGGAGTGAAACCTTACGACGCGTCTTTCTCCTTCCCAATTTCCTTACCAACATGGCAATGACAACATAGTCGACTGAGATATCGCACCTGGACAGCGCTAACATCCTAGATCTGTTTACAGTCAATGCCGACTTCTCTTTCGCTGGAATCAAAAGCTGGCAAGGCCTCCAGTATCTGTGCAAACACTAGGGCATCCATTCCGGCACAGTCGAAGACCGCAAAACGCTGCTCGTCATGCTCAGCAAATGGTGCAAGCAAGTCAACGTCTACGAAGGCTTTGATATGCAAAAGCTCACTGGATTTGCCTTGGCCAGGGGTCTCGATTCGGATGGCGAATTCAGCGCTGTGTGGAAGATGCCACAAACCTCCTAAACTCCGTTCTGCTTTCAAAAGTCAAGAAAGATGTGGGTGACCTTGAGGTTGAGCAAATTGATGTCGTCTCGCAAATCACTGGTTCATACTGGCGACTTGATGACCGCTTTGAACTCTTTTCGCGATTTACTGCGCAATCCAACCACTATTGTCAAGATGTGCAGACCTCCAAGCAGCAGCCATTGCGGCGCAGTGCACGGATTCAGAGCAAGCCTAAAGCCAATTTGATCCGGCCCCAGAGCTTGCCCAAATCAGGTCCGAATTGGACGGCCAGCAGCTTGGAGATGGATCCTGTCTCACGAAAGCGCGCCGTCTTATTGTAGAGTAAGTGCCGCGCTTCTTGTGTTGATCTCGTTAGAACATGAAAACATGCCTCTGATCTTTATACTATCTTCTCTGCTCTCAAGTGTCTTTGCTTGAGGATCTGAAGGCGATGGACGAAGGCTTAGATGCGTCGGTGATCGCCGAGGAATGCCCATACATAAGTGTTTATTCCAACAACGGATGTCTCCGATTTCTTTCAACCTCGATGGTATTGACAGGTACGATGAAGACTTGATCTCTTGGCACACCAACAGCGGGATATTGGACTTCTTGTCTGTGTTTCCGTATTCCAGCAGTCTTTAGTCCATGTGCAGTCGCAAGCCGCTTCCACGGGATTCTTCAACATGAATTACTACTGGTGTCAATTAACAAGTTGAAGAACTGTCGGTTGTCGCAAAAGCGTGGTCTCTGTCTTGTACAAAGCACGGGCAATGGCCAGATGTTGCGTATAGTTGTAGCATTGAGGTACGTGACTATACCTGCTTGGTCTTCACGGAGCCCTTGACGGCAATACCACCTTCTGGAGTCTCAGCCCAAACGTCATACTTGTCATGATCTGATTTTCTCCCACAGATCTTCAGAGGATCATAAGCGTACAACGGAGCGAGGTTTCTATACTCGACGGATTTGATCTTCTCGCGACCCCCTTCTTTGGCCGACTGCTGTTGCAAGATGGTCAACATGAGGGTGAAAGAAAGAGGCCCATGGACTAGCAAATGTTTATGGCCCTCGACGTTTTGACAGTACTGAGTGTCCAAATGAATGGAGTGGGCATTGAAGGTCAAGGCACTGTAGCGGAACAGGAGCTGTGCGTCTGGGCGGAGAGTGTGATGGAAGTCTGGCTCGTGTTGAGGCTTCAACATCTTTCCAGGCTTTTTGGCGGCGGCAACCGCTTGTCTCGCTTCTTCGGGAGTTCGCTCACGCATGAAGACAATGTTGCGACGTTCGATGATGTTGGCAGGACCAAAGTCGACGTCCGAGGGCATCCACAATCTCTGTCGAATCTGGTCCTCCAGAGCGAGTATCTTGTCTTCCTGACCATTGGCGTCTGCCATGGCCTTTTCCTCGTCTGGACTCAAGGCGGCCAGGCGACGTTCAATGCCGACAAAGACCTTCTCATCACCAGGCTTGCCCTTGACGGCGACGTCTCGAATGCCCTCAACACACACAGCACGGCTGTTGTCCATCAGGAGAGGATTGTCAGAGTTGAACAAAACACTGCCGCCAGCCCACATACGGCGGACGAAGGGGTCACCAGGCGAATGATCGGGATTTGTACCATCGGGCAGCAGGTCTGACGGAGGCTTCGTAGGTTCGAAGTATAGTAAGTGGTGGGGGATTGGCAGAGGGAGGGGATCGTTCGGTGCTGGAGGTGTGAGTGGTGCACTGCACGAACAGTCAGTCGTGCTCCTTTAGATGCGAACTTGTATACCATCTACGTACCGTGTGTTTGGCAAGAAGTCGGCCAGCGAGACATTGAGTCTGAAGGAGTTTTGGGGAGTCAGATCATCAAAGACTGGACGAATCTTCCTGGCCGTCATGTCTGCCTCGAGATGAGAGTATGAGGACTGCCATCTCAGTTGTCTGCCGGCGAGCCTTGCTGTGCTGAACCGTACACTTCTTGCGCAAAAGGCTGCCATTGTGAAAAGTGTATCAGGCTTCAATTGTCATTGGACAGAAACCATGATTCTGGTGATTTATGTCGTCGTCGTCGTCGTCGTCGGCAAAGACATGGCGAGGCCGAGTCGGCTTCGATTCCCCGCCTCCCGCCCCGCCCTCTCTCTCGACTCCTTCCCACGCGCCGTCTTCTCCGCCTCTATCACGAATACCCTCTTATTTGGGAATGTCCCATCCACCTGACACAGGGTACCAGACTTCTGCATTTGGTCTCGCTCCCAAGGTCTTTTCGCAGCATCTCTGAAGATCTTCTTGATCGTTCGGCGACCTTTGGCCTTGAAGGCAGTGTTCCAGAAGTCTAGCAATGGATTGGACCAAACATGCATTCAACCATCGCGAGGGCCTAAGGATCCGCAATCGTATCTTTCAAACCGCAGTCTTCATCGACCGACACTTGCTGCTAGACGTCAACCGTAGACGCACCAAAATGCGAACAGTTGCTGATTGCTCGTACAGTACCTTGGCTTCCAAGACCAAACGCTCGTCTAATTTGTCCATATGAGCCACATCCACCGTATTCTCGAGGATTTCCAAACCATCAAGGTGGAGCGCTTCGACCGCTGCTTGTAGGCTGTGAGAATCGAGTTTGTTGTATGCTAATCCACCCTTCTTGGGACAACGTGATGTTCTTGAATTGAATTTGAATTTTGAACATCGTAAATTGAGACGAATGACCTCAAAGTCAGCCTCTACCAAGACTGTTCCGTCAACTTTTTGCATACCATCGATTCTGCAGCATCGAAGTATCAGCCATATGATGAACACTCGCGAGGGTATTCCAACAATGGCTATCACTGCCTGATTTGTTCTAGCAGCGCCCCACTCAACAGTTAGCAAAGCATGGCATCTCAAATTACTTCGAATGGAAGGAACACTGCAGTTTTAGGTGGGTTATACATATTCTCGCTTACTCGATCTCATCGTGTCACAGAGTGGATGCCGGCCAAGAGAAGTAAGTTAATGCCAAGGTGGGTAAAAAGACTGACTCTTATTCGTCTCATCGTTCCTCAACTTCTCATTCCGTTGCTGTTGTTCTGTTTGTGGTGAAGATTTGTTGGAGATAGGCCGACTGCTGGATTTGAGGAGAACAGCTCACGGCAGCTCAATTGATCAATTATGAAGTCTGAAGCTTCTGTCCGTTATACAGAGATTGAGCATTCTCTTGGCTTCTGGCAGGCAGCTAAACTGTACTACCCAGCAGCATTATGGGTTCTCTATGTTAATCTCGCGACTGTACTTAAGGGTATGGACGGAGGTATCACTGGTTCTCTTATCGGTCTCGATCCTTTCAAGAGGACATTCGGACACCCTTATAACGATACTTACGTTGTTCCAGCCGCTTGGGTCAGCGCTTTTGGTTACGCTAACAACATCGGTGGAGTTTGCGGTGCTCTGTTTTCTGGTTATCTCTACGAAAAATTCGGTCCTCGCAAGATGATCGCAGCGTGCTCTGTGGGATCCATCGGCATCATCTTTCTACAATTCTTTAGTACGACTCCTGCACAGTTATTCGTCGGCCAGCTACTCAATGGATCCATTATATCATTCTTTCCAATCTGTGCATCAGCATATACTGGAGAGGTATGTCCACTGGCCTTACGAGGCGTCATGGCTTCGCTGACCAACCTTGCATTCAGTAAGTCCAACTTTGTCTAAATGTTCCAAATCACTTACTAACTAGGTTCAGTATGCGGCAAACTCATATCTTCAGGTATCATGAAGGGCACAAACTCGATTGAGACTCCAATGGCCTTCAGAATACCCATCGCTACCCAATGGGCACTTCCAGTGTTCATGCTTTCTCTCGTCTACTTCTGTCCCGATCCACCATACTGGCTATGTCGAAAGGGAAGGCATGAGGATGCGGCACGATCACTCAGACGCTTCGCCACTTCCGAAGTGGACACATCACTTACTTTGGCCAATATTGTAGAAACTCTAGAGTTGGAGGAATCGTCCAAGCCAGAAAGTCCCAACTACCTGGACTGTTTCCGCGGCACAGATCTTCGCCGTCTAGTCATTTGTGTGATGGCATATGATATGCAAGCATTTACAGGCAACATGCTGTTTATCAGCTACGCAGTCTACTTCTTCGAGATGGCTGGGTTGGATTCTTCGAATGCGTTTTCCATGAATCTCGGTCTGACTGCTCTTGGCTTCGTGGGTACCTGTGCTGCCTGGCCACTTTTGTCTTATATCGGACGGCGTCCTGCATATCTGTTCGGCACAGTTGGGCTAGCCACCATCATGCTCCTCATTGGTGTCATTGACTTTGCCCCACGCTCGACTTCGGCACCGATCTGGGCACAGTGTTCACTGATGCTTCTGGCAAATTTGATCTACGACACAACTATCGGCCCGTTCTGCTACGTGATGCTTGCTGAAGTGCCATCAGCGAGGCTGCGTGGTCTCACCATTGCTCTGGCTACAGTCTCGGTTCAGGTACTATCGATCGTCTTCGCCGTGGCGATACCCTACGCCATGAACGAGGACCAAGGCAATTGGAGAGGCAAAGTCGGATTTATCTTTGCTGTACTCGGATTATTGTGCACGATCTACTGCTTCTTCTTCATGCCTGAGACCCGCGGCAGGACTTTTGAGGAACTTGACATCTTGTTTGAAAGAAAAGTTCCGAGCAGAGAATTCAGAACGTACAAGGTCGATGCTGAAACCGAGAGCTCGGAGACCGTGTTTGCGGAGAAGCCTTGTGTCTAAGTTATCATCTCAGAGGTTCCAACCCATATCTCTGGAAGAAAGTCAATCACTAAAATCACCTTGCATCTTGACCGTCGTCAGGCAGGGGCTGCTAGGGAGCTAAAATATATGACGTGAGTAGAGATGTATATTATCAATGATTATGATGGCCAAAATACGTCTTTAGGCACACGAGTGGCGGCAGAGCACAACGTCTTCTGACGGATTGGCAGGATAGAACTACCGATCCAAGCCTGCACAAGACTACCATGTGTCAACAAGTAGAGGCAAGCGCAGATTGCACTTCACCACGTCTGCCTGGGAGTGTGCGAGTTGTGGCAGACCGCCCGGTGACAAGGTATGGCTGAGATTGCATTGTTATTGATATTCACGTGCGCCTTGATGGCCTATCCAACCAGTGCCTGTGTACGAGTTGTGGTGGACATAACGAAGAGACAGCAGTTCATCATCTGTCTCATTCGTCAGTCCAAACTTCTTTCACCCTCGTGTTGTAGGAAGTGTGAGTTGGAAAAGCATGAATGTCATGATAGCGAACTGCGCTCAAGGCTTTCCAAAGGTGCATTTGAACTTACGACCGTCTGTCCTTCACTACCTTTATATACTCACCCAACGGCCACTTCTTCATCACCATCGCTTTATCGCCAGGCGGTGGTGGCCCAGTGGAATGGCGCCAACTCGTGTTTGGCACCCCCTGGCAGCAACCAAAGGTCCTTGGTTCGATTCACAGCTTCGACGGCCTACGAGTCTTGACACTCCACCAATTCAAAGAAATGAAACCATTAAGTTGGTTGCTTTCTCCCCTCTGAACGGGCCTTTCACAACTAGGCCTTAGTAGGAGGGGATTTGTTTTGCTGGATGTTTTGGAGGCACATCGTCTATAAAGGGTAGAGCTCTTGCGTCTCTTCCTTTTCGTCACCTAATCATGACCACAGAAGAGTGTTAAAAGGTTCTCGATCGGTCGAACAATCGATGCTGTACCGGAGTCTTGACAAGGAAAGAACATTGGTGCGTCCTTCACTCATGGTATGACGCGCCTTCGTCCTTCGTGCTATCCAAATCTGTGTTCTGACACAACAAGGAAGCCGCTGCCTTCGGACTCTACCTTCTATCAAACTTTGCAAGTCGCTCGGCCATTACAACAACAAAACACCATTGCTGTCATCAACCAAAGCGTCTCTCCCATCTTCCCACTTTGCTCCTCGCACATCTCTTGACGCCTTTTGCAGTCTGCCAGATCTCATCTTCTGCAGAGTACCTTTGTCAACTACTGTCTTTTTCTGTTTCCCGAGTCACGTCAGCTCACTTTGTACATCCGCACCATCGGACACCTTCATCTTCATCGCCAAAGCAGCTTCACCCACTGCGAGCCATCACACATCTCCAGACGCAATCACTACCTGCCTCGACACTACCACACCACCTCAGTTCGGTCGCCATCGTCGTCCCTTTCTCCCTACAAATGGCCGCCACAATCAACAGCCTTCCCATCGAATTGCTCTTCGAGATATTCTCATACCTCGACTATTTCGGTTTGAAAGGATGTACACGAGTCAACAAAGCTTTCAATGCCATCATCAAGCATTCTAATTTCGACAAAACCCTCTTCCGCTCCACCAAGATCCTCGGTATAGACGATTGTGTTGAGAAAGCCGATTTTGCTTTCCATCCAGCCCTTCAGTACATATACTACCAGGCCGGTTTGAGACCCGAGATGGCCTTTCTCATGCCCGCCTACGTTCGCGAGAACGATCATCGTGTGAGATGCCTTCTGGATCAAGAAGTGTCTAACGAACAAGCCACTTCTCCAGCAGTCAGCTTTGTGCGTGTTGGCCTCCCCTGCTCTCCAAAATACATTGAGGTCAGAAACATCAATGGAATTTCCATCCGCCAGCTATACCAAGCATTGAGCGCGGACAACATACTGGACGTGGACCAGAGGGAAAGTTTTGATTTTGAGGATGGCCTGGTCATCAGAGGCTTGACTATCTGCAACAAGGGAAAAAGGATTTTACTCCGACTACTTGTCCTGAGGGGAAATTTCGACTCGCCGGGCTCTGTCCACGATTGGGCCTGGATGTATTACGATACTTTGTAGTGCGTTGCTTACAAAGTTACTGGAGAAAGAAAGGGAAAGTGGAAGATCGTATGAAAACGCGATCACTTGTATAAAGTTACTCGAAATTTCTGTCTTCACCCTCAGCATATATAGCTAAATCATGATAATCGAAGCAATCATCCCCTCACAAATAAGTTGACACGTTGTCTCGCTTAGCGTGCTCAGAAGTTGAGGAATAATCAACTCGCTCAGAATTCTTGAACATATTAGTTGAGTCTACCATTCGGCACATGTGGAAGACATGTGCCTTTCTATGCATGACTGTACATGCGTGTTGTGAGCGGAGGAGTAGGGAGGATGAACCTGTTTATACGGACAAAGTTTTGGGCTCTCAGTTGTTGACCCGACGAGTTGAAAAGTGTTGTGAATTCTAACGGTAGAAATCAATCTCAAAGTAAGATAGATCTGTACCAAAGTAGTTACCAAAATGAGAGCTCATGACAATCTGGCAAAGAGACACTAACATGAGCAGCGGGACAAAGCCAGGAGATAGTATTTTTTCGTTCTGCTCTGCTTTCTAAAAACATCTAGCCATGACCCACCGCTTCAAGTTGACAACGTAAAAACAGAAATGCATAATAATAACAATTTTTTTCAAAAAACCATTCATGTCACCCTGAGTCTGTGGGACGCGAAGCCAGCAAGTGTCTTGTCGATGTCGACCGAACCTTGACGAGATTCCAGGTCCTCCGCTTTCAAGCTGGACGAGAAGAGGTTAAGTCGCTGCTCAGTTGGTTTGCAACTGTGCCCTCAGTGGGCTCGGCGCAGCGGGCTTTCTCGTCAGGCTCTCGCGAACCTTGAAGATGGACTTTTGTGCGACGAATGACCGAGGGGTGGATGACTGGAACATCGTTGTTAGTGCTGTACCTTACTAGGTGAATATCCAAATACACACCTGTACCTCATGTTGTACGCTTGCTGGCGAGTTACCGGGACGAAGCTCGTAGTGGTTCGAGACAACTCCAACGTCTTTCTTCTCCGCCAGACTCGGGCCAGCGCTATCAAAGCGCTGTTCGCGAGGAGCCGTCAGTTTCGAAACTGGTGCGACCTCCTCGCCCTTTGCGAGGGCTTCAAATTGTCAATCATCGTAGAACTCATCATCAGACTCGTCAACCTCTGCAAGTTGCTCGAAGTTGAGCTTGTAGCGCATCATAGCACCGATACCACCGAAGCCCTTGACGAACTGGTTACCCTCGGAGGAACGGTCTGTGACGAACTCGAGGTTGGCACCGAAGTCGCGGTACTTCTCAGCCAGCCACTCAAGAAGAGAGATCTGCTCGATGATCTCCATCTCTTGGCCGGTCTCCTTGTCCATGAACTGGCTGCGGTCCTGCTCCTGCTCCTTGTTGGTGTGAAGAATGATCTCACCGCCAGAGGAAGACTTGAGGGTCCAGCGGGTGACTTCCAAGTTCTCGAAAACGATCAGAGTCTCGGCGGCACCGGCATCAAGAGCACGGAGAGTGTCTTCAACACCGTAGCAAACCTTGCCAGAGTCCAGGGAAATCTCGTCGAAGTAAGCGTTGATGAGCTTCTTCTCCTGGATGAACTTGACGTTGCCGAGAGTCTCGGAAGAAAGTTCAATGGCCTGGTTGAAACCGTTCTCACCACCGTAGGAAACATCGACAACCTTGACGACCTTTGCGGACAGACGTTGATCGAAGAGATCGGACTGGTTCAAGTCGTTCTTGAAATCGGCGGAACCAGCAAGAATGAGACCAGCAACGTTGACCTTGTTGTCGGTGATGAAGTTCTGTACGGCGTGTTCGGCGACCTTGCGGACGTAGTTGTGACGCTTCTCCTCACGCAGACGGGCGAAACGCAGGGCAGACTGACCACCACGACCGTGCTTCTTGGGAAGATCGACCGAGAACTTCTGGCGAATCTCACGGGTGTTTCCAGAAAGAGTACCGAAGAGGGCGCCGTTACCATCCATGATGATGAAACCAAAGGCCTGGTCAGACTCGAGCAGCTCACTCAGAGCCTCTGTGTGGAACTTGTTGTCGCAAAGGTACAGAGAGGTGTTGATGGGCTTGAAGGGCTCGAAGTCGATGTTGATCTTTCTCTCCTTTCCTTCCGAGGTAATGATTTCACCACAGTAGACGACAAGACCGTTCGGGGGGACCTTGTTGTAAAGCTTCAGACGCTGCTGAGTCGAGGTAATGGCCGACAGAACGGACAGACGGTTGACACGAGACTTGATGTTGCTAGCAGTTCCGTACTCTTCAGCCAACATCTTTGCGACTCGCGAGATTTGATCCTTAGGAGCTGTACGAGCATGTTAGTGACCGGGGAGAGGAGAGATCGTGGTTGTTTTTCCGGGCAGAACGTACGGATGATGAGCGAAATCATGGAGGTACCGTTACCACGGGCCTGCTCTAGGCGCTTGATGAGCTTCTTGACCTTCCATATTTCGATGTTCTTCTCGGCCTCGTTCGCCTGCTGCTGTTCACTCATGTTGGCGGGGCTGTTGTTGTGCGAGCCGGCTTAGATTGAAGGCTGCGGGGGGCTTGTCAGTCAAAATGTTCAGACACTTTTTCCCACACTGCGGAAGGGCCCGAAAGACGGTCGCACCGGCGCCAGGGGACGTAGATATATGGCAGAAATCGTGCAGGGACTGTGGCCAGGAGTGGATGGCGGAATAAGTACTTACAAGCTCTGCGCCGAGAGTGGTTGGAGAGAGGAAGAAAGTTGACGGTGTCGCGGTCTCACACGTCGAGTTTGCGGTGAAAGGACCTGGAAAGCGTGTGGCTGTTGAGATTCTGAGCGACCTTGGCACATTACGTCGGTCCTTTCTCGTGCAAGCGTGAAGTACGCTTGCCTCCATGGTGGCACGGACCATCTTGTCGCCTAAATCTTTTGACAAAGAGCGTCGCTCCTTCTCCATTTGGCCAGTGATTTCGTTGGAAGCTGCATATGCGGCACGGTGCAGCGGGACGTGGTTTCCTTTGATGTGGAAATTCTCGTCCGTCTGAGTGAGGAATGTTCCAAGATTTGCGGGCAACCACGCCAATGCTGGAATCATCTGGCATGCGCTTCTCGAAATGCCATTCTAGTGCAAACAAAGCAAACAAAGTGGTCAAAAGTCCTTTCCCGATACCCTCTCGGATCTCAGCCTTCTCCACATCCGCTCGAACGCCCGCGACAAAGTCAAAGACAATTCCGTGTTGCCATAACGTAAATGCCTCCACCAAATGCTACCCAGCGATTGCTAGTAAATAAATCAACAAATACGAATCTCATGAGCCCCCCCTTTCTCACCGCAACCCAGCGAGTATCCTGCATCTGCCACAACTACCGCTAGGCCGCGCTTTCTTGCGTCTAATGCAACGCTGTAAAAACTTTCGATCGCCTCCGATCTAGAGACCAGGATCTGGCCGCACGGAAGATTCTGTACAAAACCCTGACATCAGGCTTGCGCCGACTGCTTCTCATACTTGCCCAAAGATAAGACCAACTTCCTTGTTTTTTTCTTATATCTATCCAAGTGATCCTCTCTCTGCCCTCGCCGAGTTTTGCCTCATCCGTCTATCGACTCTGCTGTGCCTCAGTCCTGAACCGTCTCCAGCCGCTCGAGCGACGGTCTCAGCACATCGACCCCTTGTTGCGACTTTGTGCACGCGAGCTCTTTCCTTATTCTACTTGACAACCAGCGACTGCAATCCAACATGCCAGCCGAAAGAGCACCCATCCCGTCCAATTGGACCGAGTACGAAAGAGGCGGACGTAGAGGCTCATCCGAGACTCTGGAGAGCCATGTTCAATGGGGTGCAGATGTCCACGATGCCCCTGAGCATGCTGCCGGTTCGCCAGATGCTCACAACACTCAGGGACTGCGGCATAGAAGGTGCGCGATTTCGCTTCGACTTGTGTACCACCTACTGACCCCGCTATTCGCAGGTCGTCAATGTCCATGAAGATCAACACGCTGCGCCAAGCTGGTGGTGTCAACAGTATCGACAACTTTGCACGATCGTGGCAACGTGCAGCTGGCTTCTACGAAATCGCACCCGTCAGACCGTCATTCCGTGTGTCCGAAAACGACGACGAGAGCATAAGAGATCCGGAAGAATATGGCAGACAAGACATTGCGTCATCCTTTGGAGAGCAGAGAGGCCTTCTCAGACAAGCCCTGGCAGACGGACGCAAGCTTTCAGACAATGCCATTTCAGATGCTGGAGAGCCTTCGGAAGCAGGCACTATCCGCGGTCGTGCTCAGGCCGATGACAGCATCTTCCAGATTGAGCCTCAACTGTCGACCCCATTCAGCGCTAGCTATGGAACAACCTACGGCAGTCTGTCTTCAAGAGTCAACGAGTCTTCCATGCGCCATGCTGGACGTCTCTTCCAGAAGCAGCAGATGCAAGGCGCAAACGACCCGGACAAGGAGCGTGAGCCACTGCTTGTCAAGCAAGTCGAAGAAGACGACGGCAAGATTGTGAACGTTGTTGTTGGCCAATCTACCCTCCCTCAGACCATCTTCAACTCAGTCAATGTCTTGATCGGTGTTGGTCTCCTTGCACTTCCTCTAGCTTTGAGGTACTCTGGTTGGGTTTGTGGTTTGGCTTTCTTCGCTTTCGCCGCTGTTTCTACCCAGTATACGGCAAAGCTCTTGGCCAAGTGCTTGGATGTCGACAACTCTCTCATCACATTTGCCGATCTTGCCTACGTCTCCTTCGGTTCTAAGGCTCGCATCGCAACCAGTCTTTTGTTCAGTCTGGAGTTGGTCGCAACTTGCGTTGCTCTCGTCGTTCTTTTCGCTGACAGTTTGAACGCCCTCATCCCTGGTTGGGGTCTCATGGAGTGGAAGATTGTTTGCGGTTTCATCTTGATCCCTCTTTCCTTCTTGCCCTTGAGATTATTGAGTTTCACCAGTATTCTTGGTATCGTGTCTTGCTTCGGCATTGTCGTCTGCGTAGTCATCGATGGTTTTATCAAGCCCAACACTCCTGGCTCTCTTCGTGAGCCCGCCAAGACTTACCTGTTCCCTGAGAACTGGGCCACTCTCCCTCTGAGTCTGGGTCTTCTGATGTCACCTTGGGGAGGCCACAGTGTGTTCCCCAACATCTACCGCGACATGAGACACCCTTACAAGTACTCTCGTGGTGTCAACATCACCTACGCTTTCACCGCTACCCTCGATTTATTCATGGCTGTCGTGGGTCTTCTTATGTTCGGTGATGCCGTCAAGGACGAAGTCACCAGCAACATTCTTGCTGATGATGGGTACCCTCAGTGGCTTTCTGTTATAATCGTTGTCTGTGTGGCTATCATCCCTCTGGCTAAGATTCCCTTGAACGCCCGCCCTATTGTCAGCACCCTGGAGATTCTTATGGGACTGGACGCTCGCGCCGTCAGCAACTCTACCGCGCTCCACGGAATGTCTGGACTCAACCGTGGTATTCTCAAGGCCACTATCCGTATCCTCTGCACTGTCGTCTTTGTGGTCTTGGGTATCCTCATTCCCGAGTTCGATCGTATCATGAGTTTGCTCGGCTCTGTCGCTTGTTTCACCATCTGCATCATCCTACCTCTTGCCTTCCATCTCAAGATCTTCGGCGATTCGATCCCCAAATCCGAGAGAATCATGAACTGGGTTCTGATCGTCATCTCATCCATCCTTGCCATCATCGCCACAGCATTCAACTTTATCCCCAGATCTGTGTTGGGCATCGACGAGTAAGGCTTGGCTATCACGACACTTCCCTTTTGGATGCATGAAGTTATGATCCTTTTGTGTTGATGTTCTTTCTCTTTATCTCTGTATACCTGTCACCAAAAGACTACGTTTGTAATTCTTGTGTTCTTCATAGCAATGGCGCTTTGTAATATCTTGGTTGCTTTGTAGCGCTTGTAAATCAATTTTTCCATCTGACAGCTCTCTCCGGACATCCACTCGATATGCAATAAGTTTGTGCATCTTGATAGCTGCTATACTGTCGTGCTTTGACAATTGAGAGTCCATCACTCTTCTGCCGCTCCATGCTCTCCTTGGCCACATGCTTTATTTGTAAAACGTCTCTGCATTTTGACAGACGGCACACTACCATGCACTGACTTCGAGATGCTGTATCTTATCTTCTTTCAATCACTTTCCTTCCCATCCGTCCAACTATAAAACATCCACCCACCTCGAACCATCCGTTCTCTCATACACTATTCTCACCACCCAGACAATGGGAGCCTCGACTTCCTTGCAAACATGAGCACGCCTCCACCGTACGTGATTCTCTCGCTTCCTCGAGCGTGTACGGCGACATCCGGTCGATGTACTTGCACATCGCTAAGCTTGGTTTCACCGGTCGGTGGTGGTATTTAGAAGGGTGTTTGATGGTGTGCAGTAGTGCGTAATTTTGGTATCTGAGTAAGAGATACGGAGAATAAGGGGTAGGTGGTGGTTAAGTGGTGATTTCTGTGGATGGGGGGTGCTGAAAATGTGCTTGTCGAAATGCAGAGTTGAATTCAGGTTGGATGAGTTGGCCAGTGAGAGAGATACTTGGTGGGACTCTCTATGGACGACTTGGGTAGAGTAAATAACTTCCTGCATTTTGACAGTAGGATCAGTGCTTTCTCTGGTGTTTGGTATGGTGAGCAGGGGTGTACCATGTGTGTTCACTCTACCGCATCCCCTCTACTACACAACCCCTCCCCAACACTCTGTAAAAATGCAAGAGCGTTTTCACATGGCAAGAGACCTCCGGTGAGAGCCCAGCGTACAACATAACGAAAAAGTGAATTGTATCTCATGTTTTACTCCGCTCTTACAGGCCGTTCTATGCTAATATCTAAATCTGTAAAAGATTCTTTTTCCTCATGCTGTTGTTCTTCGTCTTTGTCTGGATATATGCTAACTTGCGTGGTCACCATGATACCGCTGTTGCTCTTGGAGTGGCCGGCATGCGTGGCCAAAATCTCTTCCGAACTATCATTGTGTCCGTGATATTGTGCTGCTGCCATGCTCTGTGTGTTACTAGGCTGCATGGTGTTCCTGAAGCTCTGCAATTCCGTCCAGCGGGATTGTGAGGTGGGGTGGGTGTTTGCCTTTGCGGTGGAGAGTTGACTTTGTGCTCTTCGAAAGACCTTGACGCAAAGAGGGCGGATGGCGGGGATGCTGGACATGATGATGATCAGATATTGTTCAGTAATTGCCCAGGCGTCTGTTGGAAATATTGCGTCTTGAAATGTGTCAGGCTTAAGATGCATGTTGGGACAAAGTGGGTTCTGACTTACATGTTATGTCTTCCGCGACTGCCAGGTTCATAAGATAGTATGTCTTCAGTATCGCAGCGGCACCAGCTCTGAATTCCGTCAGCGTCGGTATTCAGTGATTTTGGCCTCAGAGCACTTACACTGCACCTCCACAAAACAGCAGACTGAGCCCTGCTCTTGTTTTCCAGCTTGTCTCGAGTTTCCAGAAAAGAAAGATTGGATAGAACGCAAGGACAAAGTCGCATGCTGCACAGTAGGCACCAACAAATATGCCCACCTTGACAATCGCTGCGGTTAACATGCATGATCCGGCTATTTCCTGGTGCCACAACTTGTGAATCGGCTTGCATTGGAACCAGAGGAAGATCATCTGGAAAATGCTCCAGAACATGTCGGAGCCACCGATGAACCACAGAAACCGTCGTCCATTGCGTTTTGTTGGGCCTTGGACATGGAACAACAACGCTATAACAGCAAGTTTGCCGGTGCCAGATGAAAGAATGAAGAATGTGTCTGCTAGCCAGCTGAACAGGTTGCCAGTTGGCAAGTCCTCGGGATCAATTTTATCTAAATGATTGGCGATTCCGTTGTGGCATGCGATCGATATGAAGATTATGGATATCAGAGCAGAAAACTTGATGCGGTTAGCACTTTCCAGGAGCTTCAAGACGATGGAGTATTCACCCAAGCTGTTGCATTCCAGAACAAGTCCCAGGCTCTTCGCGGCGCAATAAACAGGAGAGTGTAAACTCTGAGCAAAAGGAATATGGTCGCGACAACAGCCTCTACGATGGCTATCCGAACAAGTAGAGGTCCTCGTCCGCCGTAGGACTCATAAGCAACGACAACCATGTTTCAAGGTAATTCCAGTAGAACGGAACATTATTCTGGAGGTACGCGGAGCTGGAGGAAGGGTGTAGATGTAAAGCACAATACACTTGGCAATGCTTGAGATCATGACCTGAGTTACTCTGCATGTAGGATTGCCCTGTTGTTGGTGTCGAGTCCTTGACCAGGATTAAGCGATCTTGATCTTGGCTCCGCCATCGAAGTATCGCAAAGGAGGGAAACCTCTGTGCCGCACCTTGCGAAGCCTGTTACCTGGGTGGGGACTCTTGGGCCAAGCGACATTGGTGTTGTGGTGTGGGAGCCGGATACCAGAGGACAGTGTGATTGGATGTTGTGCCGCAATGTAGATGCATAATCATTTGCATGATCGTCGGACTCCACATCTGATCCTTTGGCTCTTCGGCGAGAGCATGCACGTGCAATTGTAGCGGCGGCAGAGTGATTGGGGTATTTTCGCGAGATGGGCGTCCAGCGAGCCCTCATGCAGGAGTCGTGTGAGGTAGTATGAGCCTACACATTACTTGCCTGTGATGGTAATTGATCTTCATGGTATTTAATCAATCCAGTATGGCGGCAGAGGATTCGAGGGCATGCCGGAGGCTGGAGAGAATCTCAAAATGTGCAATCGATGCCTGATTCACATGTCCAGCCATGATAACACTGCGGATCCAAGCTCGAGTCCATCGTGCCTTCCAACTCCAACAAACTCATGATGCTGAGTTGAGAGAGAGGAAGGCAGTCGAGTGTCCAAGGTGGTTGCGCTGGAGATTGGGTTTCGGCATTTGCGGAGGCTGCCGAGCGAAACGTTCCGGCGAACCATGACGATCTTGTGGTCCTCGCTCGACACCATCTCTTCTCCCTCTTCACAGAGTTTGGCCTCCTCATCAATCTGTTGTCAGGCTTGTCTTGCCGAACCATCTCGACTGTCTAATCACAGAGTATCGCGATTCGTCTATCTGGATATTCAGGCGGCTCATCCGTCCGATCTAGCTCGGGTTCCGGCTCAGTATCGTGCTCTCGATTGCTATTCGCTTGACTTCGGTGGAGATGAAGACGACCATGCTCTGTAGGCGAAGTTGGCAACGATAACTAGTCATGGCTGGATACCGCTCCAGCGGTCCGAGCGATGCATGTCTTGTGGGTCTGTAGCTTGCGAGTGGGCGACCGGCTGAGTGCTTGAGCTGTCGGTGTTTACTTATCTTAGCCAGCTCCCGTCCTTGGATTGCAATCATTATCACATACCTTTGCTGGCGTCGTGCAAGACTATATCACTCCTCTCGATACACACCATGACGAAGGCAACACCTAACACCAATGGTGACAGCGGGCACTCTGCAGGCTGCTCGACCGACCTACTCCATCTCCTCAACGCGTTCGAGAACACGTCCATCGATTCCGAAATCGAGAGATCTCAACTCATCTCAGCTGCGACTACATTCCTGGCTCGGCTGCAATCCCCTTGGGAGACTATTCGTCGACATCTGGTTGACAGTCCGGCTGTACAGCTCTCTCTCAAAGTTTGCATGGACCTTGAATTGTTTCAGAAATGGAAAGATGCAGGCAACGGAGATAAAACAGCTGCTGAGCTAGCTCAATTGACCGGCTGCGATGAAGAACTTCTACAGCGCTTTCTCAGGCATCTTGCAGTCGAGCATTTGCTTGCTGAGGTTGCCCCTGGGACATATGCACAGACAGAGTTCACGTTTGCAATGTGCACTCCACACTTTGGTGCTTGGCCTCAATACATGCATGAGACGGTTTTGGACACATGGAAAGCCATGCCCAAAGTCCTCGCTGATAGAGGTTACAAGAACGATTCTCTGACAGTAATCGACGGCGCTTTCCAAGTGGCTACCCATACAACCGGCCAGTCCATCTTTGATTACTTCGCCTCGCATCCTGGTCAAGCTAAAACGTTCAATAACGCCATGACTGGCTATGGTGCGGAAAGGTGTAGTTGGCTTGATATATTCCCATCTACCAACCTGCTAGAAAACGTGGTAGAAGGCCCTTTGTTAGTCGATGTTGGTGGCAACATCGGCCACGACGTCGAGAAGTTTCGCAAGAGACATCCGGACAAGGCTTCGAGACTAGTCTTGCAAGACTTGCCAGCAGTAGTTGGTGATGCCATTTGTGGAGATCAAGTCCAAGTCATGCCACACAACTTCTTCGAGCCTCAGCCCGTCCGACATGCTCGAGCCTACTACCTCCACAGTGTGCTTCACGACTGGCCTGATGCCAATGCATTACAAATTTTGGAAAACTTGAAGCCAGCAATGAAGCACGGCTACAGTAAGCTCTTGCTCAACGAAATTGTCGTTCTTGACAGGATATCTACAAGTTCACCTCAGGTGACATCTTTCGATTTGGCGATGATGGGCTTGTGCGCTGCTCAAGAGAGAACAGAATTGATGTGGAGAACCTTGCTTGGAAGAGCTGGATTCAAGGTGATCAAGATTTGGACCAGCGAGGCCGCGGTTGAGAGCATCATCGAAGCTGAAATTGTTTGAGTACGAAATGCAGTCAATCGTCTTGTGCTTGATGACTTATTCCATCTGCAGGAACTGATTAAATGCATGATATACCAACCAATAGCCGTTTTTCTTCCTGAACACGATCTCCACGTGGCTTTCGATTTCAGACTGGTCCAAGAAGCACACCGGCTACACATGCTCCTTGACTTGGGATGGAGTCTTCCCGCCTTGAACTTCCCCAGGATTACTGAACTTCGGGAGAAAACTCGCTCTCGCGGAGTTGCCTCGCAGTGCCATCGAGTCAATGTTGGTTTGACTTCAGATAGCGACCGTTCAGGATAATCAAGCATGCATATGAAGCGTGGAGAGCACGCTGTTGCCGATCTCGCACGGAAAAGGTTTGGAACTTCCACTTTGCCGATCACTGTTTTTGTTCTTCCTTTGCACACGACAAGCCGCTCTTCTCTCCGTGTTTCGACACCTCGAAAGCAGCTCTTAAATCAGACTCCAATCTTTCTGTTACGGATGCTGGTAAGATAGGGAGACCATGCTACCATTCACTTACAACCACTCGCCCTTAGACTCCCTCTTAACAGACCAGTGTCTAACCAAGATGGCCAAGCTCTAGCAAGCCTTCGGAACAGTTGACCGAGGAAGTCAAGACGACGCCAACCCCACGCTCCTTTCGGATCCGGGGTGCGCGCGGGGTAACTTTCATGGGGATACCGTAACCGCTCAAACTGCAGTCGAGATGTATGGGTCGGTACCACATCATGGTGTACTTTTGGTGGCAACTGCCGATCCAGCGACATGATTTGTTTCTTCAAATAAGTACCGCCGATCTGCCTCTTCGTTGTCCAAGCTATTTCCTCTTCCATCACATTTGTACCTTTCCTGTAACTACTCTCCTGTGTTCCTTTAAGCACAATCTACCAAAATGGCTGTTATCGAGAAGGATAATCTGGGTGATACTAAGCACGAGTATGTTGAAGATCTAGAGAAGACCAACACTACATGGGACGATAGACCCACTCTCGACCCTGAGCTGGACAAACGCATCACACGCAAATTCGACAGGCATGGTAAGCATCTACTTCTTGCTAAACACTTAATCCAAAGAACAGACGCTAACTCTCCCTTAGTCGTGCCATGGCTCTTCGGCTTGTGGCTATTGGCATTTATCGACCGCAGTAACGTAGGAAACGCTAAGATATCAGGACTTTCGCAAGAGCTCAAACTAGACGGGGACAAGTTTAACATTGCGCTCGCCGTCTTCTATATCCCATACATCTTGGTTGATGTGCCGTCCAATTTAGTCCTCAAGTACTTCAGAGCTGGCTACTACTTGCCATCTCTCATCATTGGGTGGGGACTTGTTGGAATGTGCATGGGCTTTGTGAAGAGCTACACGGACCTCATTGTCACTCGCTTCTTCCTTGGGCTTATGGAAGGCGGTCTACTGGTATAGACTGATATGTCTCCATAGCGGAAAATGCGCTGACCTTTTACTCTAGGGTGGTATGATCATTTATTTGGCAATGTTCTTCAGACGTCACCAATTGATGTTCAGGATTGGACTTTTCTATTGTGCTGCGCCTTTATCTGGCGCTTTCGGTACGGCACAGTATCGCTACACATACACTAGAAACATGCTAACTGTGCTCTCACTTCAACAGGAGGCCTCTTAGCCACTGGTCTTGCCAAGATCCACACCGGGGGCTACAATGGGTGGCCCTTCATCTTCTTCGTTGAAGGAGGCTTCACCGTTCTCTTCGGCATTCTCACCATCTTTTTCCTACCACACACACCTGCCGAATCGAAGTTCTTGACCGAGGAGGAGAAGGCTGGAGCTGCTCTACGTATGCATCTGGATTCGCATGGTGCTGATACTGCTGATGAAGTCAAAAATGAGAAATTCAGTAAGCAAGAATTGACGATCCGGTCCTCGGTATATTTTGCTGATTTTTCCAGGCTGGCACTGGGTGAGGATGGCCTTCCTCAATTGGAACACCGTCTTACTCTCTTTGAATTTCTTCGCCATCATCACACCTATCTATTCGTATTCGCTGTTCCTGCCTACAATCATCAAGAGCTTGGGTTACAAGGCCGTACATGCTCAACTTCTCACTGTACCTCCCAACGTGGGAGCCTTCTTGAGTGTACTATTGGTTACATGGCTGTCCGACAAGTACCGCATGAGAGGCCCATTCATGTTGGCTGGCTGTGTAGTCGCCATCGCGGGATACATAATGCTCATCTCCAACAACCACCATACGATCCAATACGGAGGCACTTTCCTGGTCGCAGCAGGAGTGTTTCCTTGCAGTCCGCTGGTCATGGGATGGTTGGCTAACAACTTGGCACCGCATTATGTTCGTGCAACAGGAACTGGTGCTCAGATCATGATCGCCAATTGCGCTGCCTTCATCGCGACATTCACTTATCTTGCCGCAGATGCGTATGTATTCTGGTCCTCTCTTCTGCGTGCGATGCTAACATTCTTGTAGTCCTCGATATATCACAGGTCATGCTATCAATATTGGTATGTTGTGCATGGCGCTGACAATTACGTCCTGGATGTTGGTCTACTGCAGCTGGGAGAACAAGAAGAGGGCTAAGGGAGGCCGTGATTACAGATTGGCTGAGGGAGACGAGTCAATGCTTGGCTATAAGCACCCATCCTTCCGCTACACTTTGTAGTTGATTGTAGAGCTAATCTAGTAGAAAAATCTACTTTTCACGACCATGTACTTTTTGCTGTTCATGCGACCCTGCTGCATTGGTACCGATCTTCTTCTTACTCAAAATTGCTGTCAAGATTGAGTTCCTGCGCAGCAATACGCTTGCCCGCTGCGAGCGACACACTCAAGCAAGTAAAACGCTCGTTTTGTTCTCGTGTCGACGATGTGCGTGTGTAAAGAAGGATCAAATCTTTTGTCTGCATGAAACTGGCATGACCACGTCAATGAGCCGATCACGAGAAGGCTCGATGTGCTAGTGAAAACAACAATCTTCCAAGAGGTCGTCTAGATGGCGAACTGGTATCAGAACTTCGTCGAGCAGCTGATTCTGTGCCACTGGGATGTCACACCGAAGCCTCTGTCTCTTTGTATCCTCGTTCTTGCTGCTTCCCCAGACCCGAGTTTTGACCTTCCTACTCGCCGCGGAGAAGCTTATATTTGCCAAGCAGGAGGCTCAAAATGCTAGGTACTTTCTCCACGGGCGTCTGCGTGCGTCTCTTATCAACCAGAGAGCTATCTTATCTTCGCACGACCTCGACTCTTGATATATAAGTGCTATCGCTCTCGGAACTTCTCAAGACTCTTTTTGAGTCCCACGCATCCCCTCCGAGCATGCTTTGTATCAAATGAATCGTTGTTGACGAGGCAAGCTGTCATCGGGTCAATCGACCGCGGCTGCTGCGGCGCACCGGCTGTTACGTACAGGAAACAAAGCCGCAACTCACTTTTACAGAAACGGGCAGGTTGGCAATTCCCACATGACGGATGACGTGTGTCTAGAGTCCTACATCTCCGGAGGATGCGAAGAACACGAAGAATACTGGACTGGATCTCTGTCGCACAGCAAGACAATGACGGCGGAAGAGCTGGAATTTGAAATGTAGAAAACCAGCTTCAACAAGATGTTAAGTTTGCCAGGAGACTACAAGGTAGGAACGACGCAACGACCTGTTGAACAGTTCACGTTCGAGCGGTCAATTATTGCATCATCCCTCCCCTTCCTTTAGTGACATGAAACCCCGCAAGTCATTTGTGTATTTCCCTGGCCATAACCCGAGGGACCTCCGTTAGGCCTGGAAGGTGCCTACTTTATCAGACCCCCCAGCTGCCCTCGCGACTGCCGGCGTTGAAGATTCCCTCAGAACACCAAAATGCATCCACGAATATTGAGCGTCCTCGATTATGACATCGATAACCATTTAAATCGCATCGTTCCTCATTCTCGTGTTTCAAGGCTGCCAAAACCTGTGTCCAGGTTTTTGGGATACCGAGAGAATGAGTACAAAGAACCTACGCGACTGGTAGTCGTTTTCTGGTCATTCCTAGGTTCTCTACTGGGTCTTTTGATTATAGGAGCCATGTACAAGTATGCTCCGGGGTTGACACGCTGGAATCCTCCAATCATGATTGCGAGTCTGGTGAGCTGTGATGTTCCCTAGCCAGCCGATGCACTTACTAACGAAGAGTGATGTAGGGAGCCAGCGCTATCCTGGATTACAACTCTATCCGGACACCTCTTGCACAGCCGAGGAACGCAATCCTAGGACAGACGTTCTCAGCGCTCACAGGAGTAATCATTCACAAGCTCTTCCACCTCAACTCTAACTGGGAAGATGTCCAGTGGGTCGCAGGCGCTGTCGCATGTGCCATATCTTCTGCGATCATGGCAACGACCAACACTGTTCACCCTCCAGGAGGTGCAACTGCTGTTCTGGCCACCACCAATGCTGAGATCATTGCCATGGGATGGATCTACATCCCTTTCGTGCTCATGAGCTCGTGCGTCATGTTGGCTCTTGCATGTATCCTCAACAACATTCAACGAGCATACCCAGTATACTGGTGGACACCCGCCGATCTCAAAAAAGAGAAGGACATCGAAGACCTGGAACAGGTGTCGTCGAACGGTAGCGAAAAGGTTCTCCGCGGCCAGTCCATGGCGAGAACATCGCAGGCTGATCCAGATACTGTTGTCATATCGCCACACCACCTGTACATCCCTGACACCTTCGACCTCGACGGAGATGAGCTGGCTGTACTATCACGATTGCAGGCTCGCCTTCGATGGGACTCAGCCATGGACGAAAGACCTCGTGCCGATTCATCTGAAGGCTGAGTGTTCTTGCACGACGTATCTTCTTTCCATCTCTGAAAGTCGATCCCGAATCCTTATCCTAGGAGACTTATGTCTCCTTGACCTGTCACAGAGGACAAACCGTCCTCATACCGAACGACTCACCCTGATACGTTGTTTATGCAATCCAGACGTCTCTGCTGTATCGAGGACGCGGGGCCCTGGACGTCATTCAGGGCCTGATCATCATGGAACTCCAGCAGATCAACTTGCTTGATTACTCAAGTGTGATGGAGCTTCTGACACATGGGACGCTGTGTGTGCCCCAGGGGTGCCCAGAGCTCCCAGGCCGAACGTCTTCATCATCGATCGCAAGCTCATAACCTTGCTGGTAACATTCATGTTGAACAAGCCGAGTGCATCGCGTTCGATAGCTTATAAGAGAGCCCGATCATCTCGTCGCCCAGGACATCGCTGCAGCCACTCCTGAGGTAGACGAGAGGACGAATGCGAGCATCTCAGGTCACCATCACTAGTGTCGAGTGCAGGCTGGGTCATGAATGTGGAGTACGATCGGCAACCGAGTCGGTGTCGTGGTGGTCTATTTTAGATGACGCGGTTCAATTTCAAGTACGCTATATACGAGAATGTGGGAGACTTATCTTTTGTACATAGATACTAATACCCGAAGATATGGTTTACGAACCACTACCCCCGATCTGCTTCTCTTCGTGATGTTCTTCATTTGCTGAGGTGACATCTCCATGCTGCCGATCAATGAATGCAATATCATCCTGCATGCTATCATGTCCTCTATACATCACCACAGGAAAGGCAGGCGGGAGGCCCGTAAGCATGATGTGCAGGGACCTGTCTGCCTGCCAACATCACCCAAAGCAGTGGCGATTGGGGTGAATGGTGAGACCTTGGGCCCTCCTGGAAGCGCTGGACTTCAGATTCCGAAAGAAGACTGCTCTGTACGAGGTTCAATGTAGCTTCATGGCCCTCAAGGCATGATATATATGGATTCGTTCCAACATGAGTTATTCAAAAGTGCTGGGTTACCAAGTGATGATAGATTCCGAAGTGCAAGGGGTTCTCACACTCGACATGCAAGTGGTCAAGAAAGTGGATCTGGAAAACACCATACATTCTACAACTACCCAAACAGACTCTATCCCTCACCAACATACCCCATAAACTCTGTCTCCCTAACAAACCATCTAAGCAACAGTACCATTCCCAGCCCCACTCCTAACATCACACCCAACAATACTCTTCTTCAAATCAGTCAACCAAACCGCAGAATTGAATTCTCCATAAAATGTCTTGATCTGCCACTTTTGATCACCTTCACCAACGCCTGTTCCATTGCTCTTTGCTTCTACAACTTCAGCAACAGCGATGCCCTGAACATCCAAGCCAGAGGGAGGGGAAAGCACGTAGCGGAAAGTTACAGCTGAGCAGGAGGACCAAGTGTTGAGGAGAGTGAACGGAACGCCTGGTTGAGCTTGTTCGCCGGCGAGGAAGGAGGCTTTAGTGTCGAAGGTGAGTTTACCCAACTGTGAACGTATCAGTATATGTGAGTAAACACAAAAGGGGACAAGGGAGATTGTACATCAGAAGCGAGCAAATTAGGCGAATGCATCAAGGTGGCCACACTGTCCGATTGATCCACATAGTCATCTGCGATCAGGATGTCGCCGAAGGACATGCTGAAGTTGGACAGGATCTGGCCGAAGCCATTGGCGATGAGAATGGCATCGGCGGTGGAAATGCAGGAGGTGGTAGATGGAGAGATGGTGGTGTTTAAGGATCTGGAGGTTGTGTTGAAGGGTTGAATGGTATAGCAAGCCACTAGAGGGCAGAGGGCTGTGGCGATGAAGGTACGCATGGTGATGGTTGATTCGACGGTAAGCTGGACAGGTCAAGCAGTGTTTGGATATGATCTGGTGGAAGGAAAAGAGGAGGGAATTGATTTTATATGGCAAGGAGAGAAGATGAACGTAAGCAATATGTCGTGGCTCTTGCTATTCTTGAGAAAGATGTTGTCGCAACACTGCGGCTGAGAAAGACGCATGTTCAAGTATACCCATTACTTAGCTTTCCTTGGCCGCAAGTTACTTAGCCAGATTACGTCGTGTACCTTGTGGAATCCGACTTCGTTGTTGCTTCTAGATCTCCATCGACGGAAAACGTCTCAGTTTATAGCTTCGGCGTGTGACAGAGCGGAGCGAGAAGGAAACACGGCAATCAGCTGGTTGGGAAGACACTCCCAGATCTGTGTCCATGCGGTGAGCCATACATAACATTGCCTGCGAGGCTGTTGAGGTGAGCATCCGGATGTAGAGGGATGATCCCGTGTAGCTATTTCGGTTGTTCAATGGACCTGATAATTGAGAACTTGACGCGAAGCTTCCAGTACTTACATCATTCATGAGAACGCGTTCCGAATGAGCATGTTAGCAGTCACATATCATGACAGCGATGTCCTCTGGTAAATTCCAATGCTGATGATAGGTGTTGATCGCTTCCTATTTTTGTTGGCTTACATAGCTTACGAGAGACGGCGTCGAGCAAGGCCGATCAACGATTAGAGAACTCTGTCGGGCTGGCATGCGATTCAAAACTTTCAAAGGTCGCCATTGACTTTGTCGAAAGAATCTAGAACCATCACTTGCCCATCATGTTCGTAGGCGTATGTAGCGGTGTGGGTTGTTAGCAGAAAGGCACGATCAACACGGCCTCCACATCCACACCAGCTGACGAGAAAAGAAAATCGAAAAGAAAATATGTCAAGAATGGAAAAAGTATCGCCTGACGGCAAAAGATGCTGCAGCACTGCTAGGACATGATAGAACAGTGCACAGAGAGCAAAACGATAAGGTCGTACTGGGGCTCGAACCCAGGACTCGAGAAACTTTTGAATAGTCATCAAAATCTCGCGTGCTAACCGCTACACTATACAACCGTGTTGTTGAAACAAAACCACCATGTACTATAATATTTCACGCATTGCGATGCCTAATGAGATCACCTGGTTGTGATCTGTTCACTGTCTCGTCAGACCTCCCAGGGACCCAAGTTCAATGTCGCATCAATTGAGAAGTGACGGTACCAACGGAGAGAAAAACTTGTGTATACATTTTCTGGATGTTTGCGAACCAGGGCTTCGCATTATCAAGCCAGAAGAGAATGTAGAAAGGATCTAGGTATCTTATGAATATCTACCTGTTTTCTTTAACGCCATCCTATTCTGCTAGTAGTATAGCGTCTCGAGACCACCCTCCCATATGTGACCAGAGCTCAGACTCCTCAGACTTCGCTCTATGTCAGTTCTTGTCGTTGCTCACATCTATAGCAATCTCCGTCTTGGGTCGTCCCAAGCTTTTTGGTCCTTGTATGTTGACATTCCGAACTCTTTCTTCCAAGACATTGTTGCCGCACGCGACGACGATGTCTTCGATCAAACCGGCATAGATACGACGCTTGCCATAGCCCAGGATGTATATGCTTTCAGGACCAGAAGGCATGAGATATGGCTTTTCTTCGTCGAGGAACGACACATTGAGGCTCAAAGTTTCGAAGACGATTGAGCGAGATAGTGGTTCAGAGACAGTGATGTTAGGACCGTGATGAGAGATCTGATTGAGCAGTTCACGCAGTGCTTGGAAGATTTTGCCAGGCTTGCCTTTGCTGTCGTTGTCCCAGTGTCCGAACTTCGAGAGTGTGAAGTTGATCTTGAAGTCGATGGAAAGATGTCGTACACAAGATGCCGGACATGGCAATGATGTCCACGTCAGAGCATACTCGTCGTTGTTGAGAGTGAGTTGCGCAGACCATGTCTGATCAGCGACGGAGCTGTGATACGATGGTATGCGATAGATTTGCCGCATCTCGTCTGCGACCTGACCATTGGTGCGCATGAGGTCGAGCCAGTTGAAGGAGATAGGGCTCAAGCGGACGATGGTAGGGCGATCGGTGTGGGCGCACAGTTGATGTTCCTGCGCGGTTGTGTCGTTCGTTGTATGCGAGCAGGAGAAAACATTGGTATATACCATGTCTCGTAGCTCACGCGGTAGACTCATCAACGAGCTCGGTGGTGACATAGGATGCGTCTTTGTGTATGCCATTGCTTTGTGTGTGTTGATGATAGATGTGGTATAGCGTGTGTTATATGGGTGGAAAAACAGAACTTAATGGCGAGAAGCGTTCGCAGATAAATATAAGAAAGGGCATTGCGGCATACTGACCTACCTAATTCCACACACATGGAATGCTTCGTGCTTCATCACGATGGGGTGACCTACAAAATGGAAAGCACAAGATGTTGATAGCACCGTGCGCGATCAAACAGTTCCATGAGGTGTAACCAAATAGGATGGCGCCGGAACAAGCAGTGATTCAGACCAGTGCGAGTGCATTCTGGAAGACATGGAAGTGTTTGCTGGGACGAGAACAATCGGCATTGGCACCGAAGTCTGGCGAGTGTCGGAGATGATAGGGCAAAAATGGTTCAAAGAAGTGGTTGGGACAACATGACGAGCACTTATCGGACTGCAGAAGCTCCCTGCAAGAGCAAAAGATCTGGTGATGGTTGGTGTGATGGGCAAGCTTCGGCATGATTTCGGATCTCCTGATGTTTTTCTCTCAGATCCTCAGCTGGAACTTCTGGCAGCAATGGCAGAGACAGGGCTGCATGTCCACCTCGTACCAGCGACCAAGACAACCTCTGCAAGGATAAGGAGAAGCTGCAACGACCGGTCAGAGCTATGGATAGCAAATGGAAGCTTGTCCAATCCTTCTGAAGCTGTACCGAGGTTATGATGATGAGTGATGGTGAATCATCATGTTGACCAGTAAGTGTTTAGACTCAAACAGACTGCTGAGTAGGATGGAGTTCCTGCCTCTGTGCAAAGCGAGGGGAGCAGGATGGTGATATCTGTATGCGACGATGCAATGCAGGCATCAGGGCCGAGCCGGATCAGGTGGTTGCTGTTCGGTGCCTCGGCTCCCCCGCAAATCACGTCTCCAGTCTCCGCAATGTTTAGCCCACACCTCGGGCGAAACATGGCAAGCATCGAGTTACAAGACAGGCCAGCCCTGTCCAATACAATTCTTACACCATACTGCATAACATCATGTCGCAGCAACAGAAGAACGAATTCTCAGAGAAGCTGATGATCAGCGCCGATGGCCAGAAGACGGCTTCGGAGAAGATTCCTCAGATCGCTAGGCCCTTTGTCAGCGAGAAGGCGTTGAAGTATCTCGACATTGTAAGTCTACAGAGCTTGTATATCAGCAGCGAATGCTAATAGATGTGTTCAACAGGTCGAGAAGTTCGTCGAAGAAGAATGTATCCCCGCCGATGCCGTCTTCCAGCAACAAATCGGTGACACGACAGCCGAACGCTTCAGTGGACACCCAGCCATCATTGAAGACCTCAAGAAGCGTGCAAGAGAACTAGGACTATGGAACATGTTCCTCCCAAGGAACCACTTCAAGGAGGGAGCTGGCTTCAGCAACTTGGAGTACGGACTGATGGCCGAGTACCTGGGCAAGAGTCGCACCGCCTCCGAGGCCACCAACTGCGCCGCCCCTGACACTGGAAACATGGAGGTCATTGCCAAGTACGGAACACAAGCACAGAAGGACAAATGGCTCAAGCCGCTGCTGGAGGGCGAGATCCGTTCTGCTTTCCTCATGACCGAGCCTGATGTTGCCTCGAGTGATGCCACCAACATCACTCTGGAGATCCGCAAGGAGGGCAATGAATACGTTCTCAATGGCTCTGTATGTTGAAACACTCCTTCCATCATGGCCCTCCACTAACATGCCATGTACAGAAATGGTGGTCATCTGGTGCTGGTGACCCACGCTGCAAGATTTACATCACAATGGGCAAGTCGGACAAGAACAACCCCAGCCCCTACAAGCAACAGAGTGTTGTCCTCGTACCAGCAGACACCCCCGGAATCACTATCCACCGTATGCTGGGTGTCTTTGGCTACGATGATGCTCCTCACGGTCACGGTCACATCTCTTTCAAGAACGTTCGCGTACCTCTGGACCACATCGTTCTTGGCGAGGGCCGTGGTTTCGAGATTATTCAAGGCCGCCTTGGCCCTGGTCGTATCCACCACGCCATGAGAAGTATTGGTGCTGTAAGTCTTTCCTTCTCACTGCTCATTGAAACCTTTGCTAATCTCTTCTTCCCTACAGGCCGAGAAAGCTCTCGAGCTCTTCGTCGCCCGCCTCAACGACCCCCGCAAGAAGGCTTTCGGTAAGCTCCTGAACGAGCATGGTGTAATGATCGAGCGTATCGCCAGATCTCGCGTCGAGATCGACTCCGCCCGTCTCTCTGTCCTCAACGCTGCAATCACAATCGACACCAAGGACGCCAAATTCGCCCTCAAGGAGATCGCTGAAGCCAAGATCCTTGTCCCCACCATGGCACTCAAGGTCATCGACCGCGCCATCCAAGCATACGGTGGTGCCGGTGTATCACAAGACACACCGCTAGCAAACATGTACGCTCAAGGCCGAACCATGAGAATTGTAGATGGCCCCGATGAGGTACATTTGCTGCAATTGGGCAGGAATGAGAACAAGAGGGGCAAGTTCTTGCTGGATAGGTTGGCATGGCAGAAGAAGAAGAGTGAGGAGATGGCTTCCAAGCATGGTATTAAGCTCAGAGATGTTCTGCAGCTTGACCGTGTCATGTCTGAGAAGGCTAAGCTCTAGGCTTGGACTTGTATGTATCTTATCTAATGATTATCTGAAAACGTTCATATGGATGGCGTTGGTTTCTGTCTAACCTTTATTGCAATGGAAGCCCTTTTCTTTTGCTCCATCCAGGGTCTTTGTCTGTGGTCAGATTGCCTCTAGATAGAAGGCTAACTCTTTCTCAATGGTGCTGACGTATCTCTCGATGTGAAGTTTCGCTTGTAGTTTTTGCTGTCTCGCGACGAGAGGGACTCTTCCCGCTGTATGTCTATGAAAGAAGAAAAGAAAGTTTTCAAACACCGATCAAACCGAACTACCCTCGCCATGCGTTTCCGTGCTCAATCAGAATGGCTCAATGTCCAACAATTTCCAGTTCAGCCTTCTAAGCCTTCATGGCTTCCGAGGCCTTCTTCTCCTGAACAGGCTTGGGCTGATTGGTGCTAACACCCACCAGACGTTGCAATTGCTCCATGAACACGAACATCAGAACAGTGTTAGGTGCAAGTCTAAGCCATGCTGGCGACCAGCCTCTCATGAGGAAACTGATACCTTCCTTCTTGTAAGATTCGGCGAAGATTTTGCTGAGACTGGGTTTTACGCCGTTGATGGTGGGAGCGCTTTGGACGCGGCTTTTCAGGACGTCGGCGGGTGCGCAGGCGGTGGTTGCCACGGTTCCGGCGAGTAATGAGGCGAGGAAGTGGAGGAAGATGCCGTCCTTGAGGCCGAGATTTGGGTTGGAGAGGAGGTAGTCCTTTGCGGTGGAGTAGCTGGTATTGGTTAGTTGTGAGTATGGTTTGCTACTTCATCAGAAACTTACGTAGCGATTTGAGAGATGTCTGAAAAACGTTAGTATGAGAAAAAAACATAAATCCTGGAAGGCAAAACTTACTCATGATGACACTGCGGACAATGTTGGGTGTTAAACCTCTGCTGAAAGTCGACATGCCCTCCTCCTTTGCGATTCTGTACAAAGCACGAATAGAGTTGCCATAGTTGTATCTCTCAGCGGCAGTTTTGGCACCATCTGCACACATTCTGACGAGCACAACTTCAGTAGGGTTACCGATAAGACCTGCTGCTCCACCAGCCACACCAGAGCATACGACTTCCCAGCCAGCGGTCAGTTTTGTTGTTCCGGTTCTTGCCTTGACCTCCTTGGCAAAGTAGTTGTAAAGACCAAAACGAGCAGTCGAGTAAGAACATTGTCTAAGCCATGATCCGGTCAAACCAGTCCAGAGCGAAGGGATACCGTCACGTCCGGCAAAGTGTACCAATGTCCGCAGAATATTTTTCGGTTGGTGCATGACCTGCATGCGACTAGCATCATCAGTTCAGGTCCAGTGTGTGCGATATGCATCATCTCTCACTATTTCGTTTGATCCAAAGGATGTGCTGCAACATTCGTCAATATGCAGTCACGTTTTGCGATTCGCATGCGACTTACTGCATGTTGCTGCCATGGAAGCAGCGGCTCCACTGCGACTATCTCAGCGCTGATCATTGTCACTTCATACTTCTGTGATTATCCATACCCAAGCCAGAAAGGCTGTTGCTTCTTCTTTTCGCCGGCCATTATCAAGAATATAATCACTTCTCTTGTCGTTGTTGTCGGCTATCAGATCTCTACTCTTCCGGATAGATTGGTGGGGAAAAAGTCCTTCCGGCTGAATTGGACGAGAGTTTGCAAAAAAGGTCTCGGAAGCAAGCCAATCGACAACGCAGCAGCTTAACCAAAAAAGAATGACCTGCGACGAGGTGGTTTATTTTTCTTGCAGTTTTTGAAGTAAAGAAGAAAAATTATGCCGCTTTGCAACATGAATCGAAGAAGGGCCTTGCTTACGCCCTTTCTTCTCCTTTCACTCTCGGCCAATCAGAGCTTGGCAGTCTATCGTCCGCCGGTTGCTCGGGCCGACCTCGTTCTGCGCCTTCCTTTCACGATTCATATCGCGACTTTCACTCGTTGACGTCTTGCCATAATCTTCAAGAATACCAGACTGCTAGGAGTAGGCTCAGGAGTCCGCGACCCTAGGATAATATCGTGTTCCACGCTTATGGGGTGCGTTCGACCAACGACCGAACGCTACAAGTGATACCGAACACTAGGTAATCGGGTCGCCATTCAGAGTACTACCATTATAATCGACCACTCAGCCATCGCAAATTCGTCCGCTGCCTTCTTCCAGCAGTATTGCCAGATTACTGCACCATTCTGGTTTCTGGTCGTGATCATACTCTTAGAGGCAAGACTCTGCTCAAAATTGAAGACAAGAGAGGCATGACACTCTCCATGTATCGACCTCGACCAAAGTAGTCCTTGGGAAGAAGTCCAAGAACGACGATGCTAATGGAAAAAGAGACAACAATTCACCTCCAAAGACTGTCGAGAGGCAAGCGACCCATCAAGGTGAGCATCTCTGTCTCGCCGATACGCATACCATTACCGAGGGCATTCTCGGTAATGTAGACATAACCATGGTTATCCGGTTATCTTCAAGCTGCTTTGCCGGACGACGTGTTGATGTTTGGCTATCTAAAGGCACGTAGCTTTCGAGCTCGGTAAGACTTTCCACTGATCGCCGCTGTCTCAGGTACCCTACCTTGGACATTTGAATCAGCTTGCAGTGCAATGAATCGTTCGCAAAACTTCATCTACAGATAATGCTCGTACTTTTGCAGTCACATCAACAGCACGCTCCAGACGTTCATTGCATATATGCTACGATGAATAAAACCACCGCTTCATAATCGGCTCAGGTATAAGAATTGGTATGATTAAGGGAGCTCTTGGGGAGCATCACGAACGGTGTTTTCTTTTGATCTGCCTACTTGTCGAGTGTCAATTGCCGAAACATTAGACTCTACTCAGTTGAACACTATGTCCCTCTTTTCATGAGAGCTTTCGGACACCAGGAGGGTCAATACGACCATTGCAGACAAATGACCATCAGCTCGAGATCAGAATGCTTGATTCTTGCCCCAAAACGGATTGGCGACTCGGACATGGTGGAAGAGAGACTCACTGGACCCTTGTTGGCTTACGATGACTGACCTGTATATCAGGACGGCAATAGATGTCGGCTGTTGTCTTATGAGGAGCTGTTGCTCGATGAGATCCCACGCTGGCCTATTACCCGAGCGGCTGAGGTATCAGTTGTCTGTTGAACAATGTTTAGGCTCGCGTTGTTCGTTACCTAACGTTAGAAGTCCGCCCCTCGGGCTTTGCAGCTGCTAGTAGTCCTTCCAACCATATGGAGCTGCTGTATATTCTCTCGAATCGATTCGTGCCCAATCCTCTTGCGGCTCAATTCCGTTCCTACTTGCCAATGGCTCCAGGACGGCAGTTCTACATTCACATCTAGCCAAGGTCTTGTGGGGGTGGCAGAGCAGCCAAGCAGACTAGCGATTCACTTCAGCCAACTCCGGAAAGTCTATGGAGTACTGTCCCCCTGCAGAGTACTGTCCCCTCCAACGCCTAGTCCCGCACGATGTCTGTTACGCGCGAGTCTCATTACTACATCGCACCCTCCCCCGAAGGGCTGGTATGATTGCTTTCTAGAGCGCCCTCGAGCTTCCCGCTGCGAGGGGGGGAGGGGTCCTGGCGGAGGGACCCCCCGAGCGAGGGCAAGCGACGGGCAAGATACACCCATACAGAAGGGTGTGATTGTTAGGGACAGTACTACAGTCACTGTACTCCGCGGGGACAGTACTCCATAGAACTTCCGAGCCAAATCCTCTGTGAGGTTGAGATAACGCAGCCAAGCATTGGCCAACGCCCACCTCGCGCTGTACAGCTTGATCTGGTCAGAGTCGAAAGCCAAAACTTAACTGGTAGGAAACGTGTTTTTGGTCCCCACAAGGTTCCCCGCCTTGTTCTCCGCCTGTAAAAATCTCCACCGAAGTTGTTGACTCTATCTCCTTTCTTTCCATCGACTGCCGCCTTGTTTGGGTGGGTGTGAAGAAGGCATAAAGAGGTCCCTCTTTCCCCAGAATCTCCGTTCCACTTTCCCCGCAACTTCCCCAGATCACCCCAACAACAGTCGCGAACTTTACTACATCGTCGTTGATATTATGGTCGCTTCTCACGATCTCGACAAAGAAGGGCACGCTGCCATGCACAAAGAGCTTGCCGAAGAGACTGTCCATGAGGCTGCTGCCCGTGGTACAGCGGCGACGGACCAGTCAGTCTAATGATCTCTTCATGGAATTGTATCAAACTGTTTGCTGACTAGATAATAGATATGGCAATTCTCTCATTCAGTTCGATGCCAAAGCAGAGGCCAAGCTGCGAACCAAGATTGACTTCATGATCATCCCAACAGTTATGTTGTTGTACCTCTTCTGTTTCATCGATCGAGCCAACATCGGTTAGTCGACAACCACTATACCATACCATGATTACTGTCTAATCCTAGCTACAGGCAACGCTCGCCTCGCTGGCCTGGAAAAGAGCTTAGTAGGTCGCTGTAAGGGGGACGGAAGCTTGGATCATCATACTGACTGCTATCTCAGGGTCTCACTGGATATGATTACAATGCCATCCTCTCTGTGTTCTACATCAGCTACATCATCTTCGAAATCCCTTCAAACATGTGTTGTAAGCTGATTGGACCTGGTTGGTTCATCCCTGCCATATCGCTTGCCTTCGGAGTCTGCTCTATCGCCACAGCTTTTGTACACACCTTCAGTCAGATGTGCGCTGTCCGATTTGTATTGGGTATTTTCGAGGCTGGTATGCTTCCTGGTATCGCCTACTACCTCTCACGCTGGTACAGAAGGTCTGAACTTGCCTTCAGACTAGCTCTCTACGTCGTAGCGGCGCCTCTTGCCGGAGCCTTCGGTGGGCTGCTTGCCTCTGGTATTCTGAAGCTAGACAACTTCGCCGGACTCACGCACTGGAGAATGATCTTCGCTATCGAAGGAATCGTCACCGTTGCCATCTCGGTCGTCGCCTTCTTTACTCTGACCGACAGACCTGCAACCGCTAAATGGCTGTCTCAGGAAGAGAAGGATCTTGCTATTTCTCGTGTCAAGTCTGAGAGAGTGGGAGCAACTGAGGTTTTGGACAAGTTCGACCGCAAAAAGGTCTTCAAGGGCATCTTCTCTCCTGTCACTCTTGGCACCGCATTGATCTTCCTGCTCAACAATGTCACCGTCCAGGGTCTGGCCTTCTTTGCGCCTACTATCGTCCGCACGATCTACCCCCACAACACAGTCATCAGCCAGCAACTTCACACCGTCCCACCATATGTGGTTGGTGGCTTCTTCTGTCTACTGTTCCCATACATTAGTTGGAAGGTGGACAGGCGCTTGGTGGTGCTTATTTGTTCTGCTCCGCTGATCATTATTGGATAGTAAGTGACATGAACTATAAATCAGAATCACGAAGTTCCCCAACTAACATCTTTGGCAGCATCATGTTCTTGGCTTCCGAGAACCCCTCCGTTCGTTACGGCGCAACTTTCATCATCGCATCTGGCGCATTCGCCTTCGGCTCCCTCTGTAACGCCCAAGTCAGTGCGAATGTCGTATCCGATACAGCACGTAGTTCCGCTATCGGTACCAACGTCATGTTCGGCAACATTGGTGGTCTGATCGCCACTTGGTCGTTCTTGCCTTTCGACGGACCCAACTACCACATTGGTAACGGACTCAACTTGGCTGTTGCAACCACCGGATTGTGCATCTGTATCTTGCTCCTGTTCTGGATGAAGAGAGACAACAAGAAGAGAGATGGAAGAGATGTTGATCAGGAGTTGGCTGGAACTACTCTTCTTGAACAGCAGGATATGGACTGGAAGCACCCTAGTTGGAGATGGAGACCTTGAGAACAGGATGTCAAGATACTACTATACACTCACGAATTTACTATTTGATGCTCACGCCTCTTTGATGGCTGGCAGAACCATCATGCTTACACTGATTTCACGCTGTCTTCACGTGCTGCGTGCATTTAGGCCACAACTGCGTGAATCAATGGTAAATGTATACAGGAAGGAGCAACCAGAATAGCGTGGTTAGTATGGCGACACCTTCCCCACTTCGTCGACTAGCCACTTTCAACCCAGCAGGTACGACTGAAGGCCCCCACAATAAGAGACGCAACCACGAGATGATATGTGGTGAGAAAGCCGCAGGAAGTTGCCACAGAACATCCGGTAACCCTAAGAAGCACACAAGACCTGTGCCTTGGATGCAATATTCGAATTATCCCAGCATGTTCATCTCAGTTCAGTTCAAATTGTCACAGAGAAGCAGGCACGACATGTTAAAGCAGCAGCAAAGCTCATGGCATGAGGCAAGAGCCAAGGGTAAATTCAGGGAGAGTTTCGAAAGGAAAGCGCACACGTGGATTGCCGAGAGAGGAAGGCTTACCTATAGCGTCTCGATAAAGTGATATGCGGTTGCCGTCTGATGAACGTGGATACCGATGTGACCAAATCATCTTGGCTTCAAGAGACACCCCGACCGAACGAATATCTTTCAAAAGATTTCAGCGACGCACAAGGTCAACATCGCGGTCTTCCTCTTTGTGATCGTCTACTTCTTGTTTCCAAATGTCACGAAGAGAGATGAGAGAAGAGAGAGTTTTCGATGAAACTTTGATATGAGAAGATGTTTATGCTATACTATCCTTCCTGCTTTTTCCTCCGTAAAAGCAGTATGTTCGAATTTTATGATGTGAAGTTCCATTAGACTTGAGGCAAGATTGCTCGAATTCGTGTGATTCCGCTCAGATAGCGGAATAATTCAAGCGTAGTGATACTGATGTCGAGTTCAATCATCGATGTCGATGACTAGCCTGACGTGCTCGCCCATGATGATGTCCGGGTCATCTTCAGCAGTGTCCGGGGTGTTTTGGATGATGATTGAGCCACCTTCAACCGTGTCTGAGTCGAGTTCGACAATCTCTCGCTTAACTTGATTGACTCCCAAACCACCTCCAATCAAGTCTGACTCTCCAGCCGGATCAGCTTTAATCTCGTGGTAAAGTACGATCATGTCATCATCGTCTTCGTAAACATCCGAGACATCTGTAATGTCGAAAGGGTTGGTTTTGCTGCCAGGTTTGTTTGGATCAGGAGTGGTCATCGTCCTCGGGCCGGGCGAAGTATCCCCGATCTCAGATGGTAAACGAGAGCTGAGAGTTGTAGGTCGATCGACATTCATGTCGACCTCCTCATCATCGTACCCAAGTCGAGTATTGGTTGTAGTAGTAGGCTTTGGGGGAACGCTTCTCGATCTGGGTTCAAAAAGGGGACTTGGTGAACGGCCATCGTCGTCATCTTGACCAACAGCAACATCCCCATCGTCAGTAGTAGGAAGGTCTTCGATGTCACCAAGATCTTGGTCGAGGCCGAAAGGATCATCTTCATCCTCGGGGATTGAACGCGGTGGGACAAATCTAGGCACCACGGGAAGCTGGAAGTCATTGCCAAAGTCATCCGTATCGGATTCAGATTCGGGCTCGAGCTCACGCTCGGGTTCTGGCTCTTGATTCTGAGCTTGGTTGTTGGCAATATGTAGGCGTATGTTATCGTTTCGGAGAAATAGAAATCCTTCAGGCACGCGTGGGACACCATTGCGGTGAAAAAAGTCTTGGTAGCCGTCTATCACGTTCTGGGATTCATCAGCGAGGTTGCAACCAATGCAAGAACTTTGACATACCTGGATTTTCTGCCAGTTCTGATCGTTGAAAGAGCCTGGCTCCTTGAAGACCTCGAGAAGCTGTCTACAGAATATTGCGCGACTGGGTAACATGGACCAGTAGCTTCTGCTTATACCACCACCTTGGGTAAGTCCACGCTTGAATTGGAAAGACGTGCACCATGCAGTGTTTGGTATTCCACCTCTGGTATCGTCCAGATGACTGCCGTGGCTGGTGTATGCAACACCAGCTCTGATCCCGGTCACGTCGTCCGTCCAAAGCCGCGAAGTGACGATGCAGCCTGGCTCATGTGGGTCTTCTCCTAGTACCAGAAGACAGCTTGAGACCGGGCCTTTCTTCGTGATGAGGTCGACTTCAATGAACATGAGTCCAGATATGGTTTTGTGCTTCGTGACTCTGATTCCGGGCACCCTTCCAGCAAGGATGTTTTGCACATCTCTGATGGACTCGGGCTCAAGCGCCTTCTCGCTCTTGTATACCGATTGAACTTGACCGCTCGGCATGCTTACGGTGCACTATAATTCCGAATCGTTAGATCTTTCGACGGGTACAATTTTCGACTGACCTACCCGCTGCGACCTTGTAGTTTCTTGTTGAAGCTTATATGACGGTGCTAGTTGCAGAAGCAGTTCATGGGGCGTGATGTTTTGGAAGGTAGGTTGAAGTTTAAATAAGAACACCCTTCTTAGAAAGAAGGAATTCTTGGACAGTGAGTCTTCTTGGAAGTGAAGCTAGGATAGTGAGTCTGAAGAAGAGGGGAACAAATCGCAATGTTGCTCTCCAGTGACGAGCAGACTCAGAGAGAAGCGAAGTTGCAGAAGTCTACCAGTGAGATCCAGAGCAGAACACCAGCGGAAGCGTATTCGAGAGAGCCAAAGCCAAGTGCAATAGGCAAAGCGGTGAAAGCACGGGCAGAAACAGCGGGTGATGAGAAGGTTGATAAAGAGTGACGAGGGGAGCTGAGTTTGAGATGTAAAGACTCAAGTGAGAATAAGTCGAAGTGAAATCCACGACCAACCGGAAAGACCACGCTGTGCAAAGAGTGATCAACCAAGCAGTGAAGTGTAGTCAGGAAGGAATCAATTTCCAAAGTGGTAAGCTCGAGTGGCAGAACAGAAACGAGTCAAGCACCTTCCAAGTCGACCTTGGATACTCGATGCTTTCGTTACTTCCAAACACGTATCTCTCCTGTTTCTGTTTACCAACACAACTCATCCGACGTAAAACACATGTGCGGCAGTGGTGAAGCCATACTAACTCGACATGAGGATCATCGTTGTAGCCCATGTCACGCCTAGCCGCTTCGTCTCTGGACGATGTAGAGGGTGCTGAGGTGCAAAGAATGTGTGTAGCGGGTATGTCTGTGTTTTTTTTTTAGTCTGGAGAGTAAACTGCTATTCAAGACCAGTGAACGCGACGGATTTGTCCTTTGAGTGTGGAGCTGAACATTCTCGGTCTATTCTCGCCTATGAGATGGTTGTCAAGGTGCACAACTGTCCAAAGACTGCAAATGCTGGCCATTGAAGGTGAGTTTCTTCCGTTCTCTGACGGGGCACGACTCTTGCCTCTGTTGGGGCAGCCCGCAAGTCTGACTGGGATGTCATCACATGTGTTCAATGTCTCAGAGCCTGTGGTATGAATTTTGATCAAACAATAATTTTGTATCCAACTGAATCATGTTTCAGGAGCCAAGTCTATCGCTAATTGTGGCGCTTCGGCAGATCATCATCGTCCTCGCTCATTAGACCTTCCAGTTCGAACTCTTCTGCATCTCTTATTTGACGGTCGCTTGCATCTGGAATGCGGGCATGACCGTTGGGCATGGCAGAGCCGTTGAGTCTGCTTTCGGGATCGGCCGACTTGGTATCGGTTGGCGAATCGACGTAGTAGGTGTAGAGTCGAAGGAGCATGTTGACGACTGAGGTTTGGTGTTAGGCTGAGCGCATTGTGTTGGACGTGGCAGAACTTACAAAGGAAGAGGAGGAAAGCAATGCTGTAGAGGATCAGGATGTAAGCGACGTGGGTGACACCAGCGTTTGACAAGAGCAACATCTGCTCTTCGGTAGCGCCCATGAACAGGAAGCCACTAGCGTACAGCAAGAAGGGAGGCAGGAATTGGAAGCTGTTGGTGTCCTCGCCATCCTCAGAGATCGAGTTGTTGTCCTTCAAGACGAAACTGATCTCAATGATGCGAGTGATACCTGCGGCCATCAAGGTGTATCCGAAAACGCTGTGTACCATGGTGCTGAGATGCAATTCCTGGGGGTGACCACTCATGGCCCATCCAGTGATGGCGATGACAATGGCAGGGATCAAGTTGCGCTTAGGACGGCCACGGCGGTCGCGACTGAGCCAGACGCCCAAGAGGCCGGCGCACCACCAAATGACACCCATGGCCGTGTGTTGCAGATCATTGCGTACCCAGGCAGTTCCCCATCTGTGTTCGGTGAAAGTATTGACACAACCCCATGCAGCAATGACCACACTGTCGTAGAACTCCTGAGAACGGCCGGTGCGACGCAGCCAGATCTGACCAACGAGAAGGAGGATGGTGTAGATGATTCCGTAGGCGATGAAGGCAGAGCCCATGATGAAGTGAGCTGCACACTGACCGGTATGGTCGCCTTGACAGAAGCCCAAGGCAGTGATTCCGCCAAAGAGCATCTGCACCCATGCAGCCAGCGGGATGATCTTGCCGAGTATACCGTGTGCAGAAACAATCCACTTCCTAATCTTGCCGTTGAAGCCGCGCTCAAGATGGAGCCTGAGGTAGATGCCCATGGCGGCTTGGGCGAAGACCATCATCATCAACCAGGGGGCGTATTGCGCGTGTACGTTCTTGCCGAATTGGCGACCTTTGTGAGCGTGGCCGAGTAGGTAGCCTAGAATGGCGAGCGCCGTAGCGACTATCTGGACAGGAACATGCCATCGGGAGCGGACAATGCCCAATACCATGCCCACAGGGAACAGGATGCCCCATGCGAATATCTGGAGGAGGATATGGATCCATAGTGTCGTATCCTGGTCGAGAGTTAGTCTCCGCTGTTGACACGTTCATTCGAAAGAGCATACCAGGGGGTCTGGCGAGATGGCCTCGCCTTCGGGGATCTTATCTTCGTGATGCTCATGCGCCTGAGCTGTTGATACAAGCAACGCAAGAACGGTGGCGGCCAGCATGCCCTTGCCTAGCGTTCGCGCCGACAGCTGCGTTGAGAAGGCCATCGTGTATTGCAGTTCGAGCAGATAGCAGTCGTGATGGTTGTCGAGTCCGTGTCTCCCGGCTAGATTTTGTACATCCCCTTTGTCCAACAGGTCAGAAACACAAGGTTCACCCGCAGCCCACCTTGATCTAGAAAGATTGCTGACCACGCGTATCCCGCCAAGACCTTTGATTCCCCTGGATCAACCCATCCACTCTTCTGACATATCGCGGAAGTCATCAAACATGCGTAGATTCTATTGCAGGCTGTAGAAATCACTCCAAATCAATTCTACTTCAAGCATCTCCCTGCCTCACTCCTTCCGAGTGTGTTGTGTCTTTATTCTTTCCAGATGGTGATCGGAAGGTGCGGATCATACTTCTTAACCCCGAATCTCCGCTCGGAACTTTCATTCCCGCCAATCCAACCTCACCTCTTTCTTGAACATTTGCTTCCACATCAGCGTAGCATCTTTGTTGCACTCTAAGCATCATAAAAGCTTGACTCGCCAATTGACTGTACTCTATCCTGCTGTAGTCACTTCCAAACATCGGCTGAAGCAATCAAGAAGTCTCCATCTAGTAAGAGCAGCAAACATGGCTGAAGATAACCACCTCTCTTCATCTCCAATTGCGCCATCAAAACTCACCATGTCTTCCAAACCATCATCATCCGGTAAGGATTCCCAGCTTGACGCTCTTCGCGCTCGTCAAGCTGTTCTTGAGTCTACTGTCTCCGATCTTCTATCCCAACGTACTTCCCTTGTCGATGCTCTTTCTCCTCCCAACACCACAGACTCAGAAGATCCAGAGCTGCGCGCCAAAGCCGCAGTAGACTGTGCCAACGCAAAAATCAAGTCCCAGATCAGACAACTTTCACAGTACAACGACATCAAGGACATCGGCACTCAGCTCATGGGCCTTATCGCCGAGAAGCGTGGTTGCCGTATCGCTGAAGTCCAAGAGGATTTCGGTATCAGCGCCGACGACTGAAGAGTAAGTTTGCTACTTTTCAAAAGTTACAGAGTCTTCTACTGCCAGCGAGTATTGACATGGATGATCAGGTTACGAGCTTCCACTCACTCACAAGTTGACCCAGACTGGAGTGGCAGAGCCCCCCGGTCTTGCATAAATTCTACCCAACGAGCACCGACTCTTCATCAGATTCCCCATCAGCGACGAGATCCGGGGCCATATGCGCCGTGATAGCAATACGGAAGAAGTCGAAGATCTATACATCGTCCGACAGAACGCTATCTTGAACGGATCTTGCTGCCGGCATAGCATTCGCTTAAATCAAGTTCGGTTCAAGCTCATTCACCTTTCCCGATTATATCTCTTGGAGGCTCAAGGTTTCGATCCTGATTCTTTCATTGTCGCGCTGCTGTCATTGGCGTGACTATATAAAAGGGTTGTTTCCTCGCTAGAAGAAGTTTTGAAGAGTTTGAAAAATTCTTGTCGTTCCCGCCTGTTCCAAGTTGTTCATGAAGCAATGCAGGATGTGTGTGCAGCATGAACAACTGTCGTGAGAGCGAAACACTTCCGACTCGAACTCTTCTCTTGGCGCTCACTCGTCGTCCTCATGCTATTGTCACGCTGCTATTGTCGCGACTTTTTCTCGGCACCGCTATAAAGTTTGCTGCTTGCTTGACTTCCTCCCTCTCTTCTTCAGCATCACGCATCTCAAGCTTGACACGCGTAAATTTTGCCTTCACACCACAACTATTTCTCTACCTTCTTCTCTTTTGCATACTGCATAAAGATCCACAACTGCATCACCACTGCCAATCTTCGCGCACTTTTCAGAAGTCGCCGCATCCAGCTCATCACGCGCACTTTGCACGTCCAACATTTACAACAAACATCCTCAACCTCTTCATCGCTAAGATGATCGGATTCGACAGCCTTATCAGCATTGTCATGGCTGTTGCCACATTCTTCCGCGACAACTGCCATCCCGCTTCCCTCTTCCCTTCTTGGACTCAGTACCTCCTTCCTGCCCCCACCGAGTCTTTTTCTCAACAGTCATCCCCTGTTGAAGACCTCCCTGTCATTGAGACAATCACTATGGTGGTTACTCAGACTGCCGCTGCGACTGCGTCATCTCTCAACAAAGCTCTCGCTATCATTCCAAAGACTGCACCTTATGCAGCACCAACTTCCTCCGATCTGGCCAGGGAAATGATCTACGCCTTATTTACCTACATCCTTCGCTTCTTCACTCACCCCCTCACCCTCCTTCTCTTCTTCTCTTTCGGATTTGAACTTCTCAAAGTCATTGTCATCTACCGCATCGCCTCTTCCTCTGTCCCGAAGCAACAAGATACAATCAAACTCGAGGCGCAAATCATCGAGAGAGATGGAACAATCGAGAAAATGCGCTCGGCCCACGCCACAACCGTTGCAGAACTCCGCGAAAAGCTCTACACCCAGGAAGAAAAAGCCAGAACTGCCCACTTCGTCCATCGCGTCGAAATGGGCAAAAAGGTACAGGAAATCAAAACTCTCGGCCACAAGCTCGAATGGTCCGGTCACATGGAGATAAAGGCCCGGTACGACAGCGACGACAAGGTTCGTGACCTCGAGAAGAAGATTGATCAACTCCGTCTCGTGGTTGACACCTTGGAAGACAAGCTCGAGGCCGCAGGCGAGCTCATCGATGCCGCCGAACAAGCCGACGACAAGGTCAAGGATGCAGAGGCCAGCGCTTGCGCCGCCGCTCAGGAAGCCCAAGAGGCAAAACAAAAGGTCACGGCCGCCGAAAAGGCCTGCGAGCTCAAGGTCGAGGCCGCCATGAAGGCCAACAAAGAGAAGATTGTCCGTGAGCGCCAGAATGCGCAAGCACACATCGACAAGCTACGCACCGAGATCGAGACACAAAAGAACAACGTCCGCATCGAAGAGTACAAGGTCCAGGAGCTCAAGCGTGAGAACAAGGAGCTGGGTGCAAAGGCAAGGGAGGCTGCCGCTGTCCCCAATCTTCCTTCTTTCGTTGGCAAGACCACAGCTACGGCTGCTGAGGAGACTCGTCGCCGCTTGCAGGCACTCCCTGGTCCGGAGTCGCCTCGCTCGCCCGCCCCTACCCCCGCCATCGTCGCCCCCTCTTCCTCTACTGCCTTCGGGCCCAGAGCTAATCCTATCACCACTCCTGCTGTTCGTCAGACCAAAGGTCCTCGCCCTCGCCCCACCGTCTGGATCGCCGCCGCTCTGCCTAACCCCATCAGACTGGCTCGTCCTCCCCCGCCCCCTATCATGCCGAAAACCAAGAACAGCCGCGGAAAATGATGAAGAGGAGAGGAACCCGCTGTTTTGTTCTGGTGTTTCTTTTTTGTGTGCTGTCTCCTGGGAGCGAGGAGTTTTGGAGCAAAGCAGGGTTTGTCTGCATAGATGAGAATAATACCATGAGAGCATGAGAGAATGATACCAATGAGAATAAAGAGAATGATACAATGAAAACAATACAAACTACCCCTAATTTCTTTGGTCCAATGTGACAATGCACCACAAGTTAACATACAAAAATGCACAGTATTTTCACAATGCAGTAAATGTCCACAGAGAGCGTGAAATCTCGCTGCTCTCACTGGACAAAGTTCTCCAATTGAATAACATGTTGCATTTTGACAGTTGCACATACCACTATGGTTTGTCATCGGAGTGAGCTAAAGGGGTATCTATCAGATATCAAGGGCATGAGTCTCCTGGATTAGCGCTCTCACTGGACCTTTGCTGTATCCTGAATACCTTCTTGCATTTTGACGTGACTTTTTGCAGCAGTGTTGCATGATTGGAATACAGCAATTTCTACTCCTTATCATTCGGTTTTTTCGATGGCTCCCCTGCGCCCAGCAACAGGGTTTTGGTACACGTCAAAAGGCAAGAAGGTTTTTGGAAACAGGTGAACCTCCACTGAGAGATTGATATATACACGCTCTCACTGGACAATCATCTCGACTTGAATTTACTCTTGCATTTTGACGGTTGATGGAATTCTATGGCTGGAGAGGGAAGAGAAACAACCCTCATTCTTCCATGGCCCAATCAATCCCATTGCGGTCTGTTCTCGAGCTCATCATCCGTCCAAGTTTTGGTGTCATGGTTGCAAAGTTGCCACTTTGCAATCTTGGGCACTTTGATAGCTGACGGCCCGAATCGATCCACATCGATGGACCACGCCTCTTTTGAAAACACCCATTCCGTCCATTCTTGCGGCACTGGGAATACACGGTCATCCTCCCGCGGTGCATCCGGATCTGTGTCCTCTGCATCCATGACTTCCCAACTTTGCCCGTCCTCCGGATCGTCATACTCGACATCGTGATCGTTGAATTTCCATACATCCCATTGATGTGTTGTGTAGAAGCCGAAAGGCGCCGAGATGACCTGTAGATGTCCAAATTGTCGATCTATTGGTCGAACAAGACCACCGAAGATATGATTTTCAAAGGCGTGTCCCTGTTCGTTGCATCGATTTCCCTTGACCCAAGGCTCCGAAGGCGCGGAGGCGGACCTATGCGTTTCGTAATAAGCTAAAGAGAACGCGTGTGCAAACTCATGGAGTATAGAAGAGGCTAGTTGAAAGGTTGTGCGGTAGATTGCAGAGTTCAGGGATATTCTTGCTCGACGTTCAGGAGATATTTGGGCCTTTGTCTGAGTATCGACGAATATTCGTCTGTATCTTTCATCGTAGCCGCGGGTCTCTTGATCGGCTGAAAACCAACTGAGGACCTTAATAAAGCAGTAGTTGAGCCTGATCTCAGTTTTACACGTGCCACTATGATAGCAGCTGGTCAGTTCCAAACAAAGCGGTGCACTGAGGCGTGGATGAGTACTTGTTTACACTTACGGCTGAGAAGCAGGAACAAAATATTCGGCTGCGTGTTTGCTCGCTTCTACTGGAATAGTGATTCCATATCGCCTGTCATCGGTTGTTTCGAACCCCCAATTTGTGTAAGACTGCATCTTACAAATTTTATCATACACCACTTGTTGTTCGGCTTCTGACAATGTGTCCGGTATTTCCATAGTCTTGCACTCTTCTGTTCTACCATCTGGGAAGGTGGACAAGCGGGTATACATAAGATCAGATGGAGTAGACAAAGCGTGGAAGTAGTTCAATGTGATTGGATCATCCAAGACAGCTGTTGCCAGTCGTAAAGCTGGCACCATCATGGCGTACACCTGAGGGGTAGTCTTGCCCCACATGTTCGGTCTCAGGACTGGATGAATCTTCAATGTTTCCTCATGGGTTGGGTTCCTGAAATCAGCAAAGGCAAGCCGGCCATAGATTTCTTCGCTCATCCTTGCACCTGTGTGGTTTAGAAACCCGGAGGCTGCCAGGACCTGCATTCCATATTTCTTTAAGAGAACATTGTAGTCTGGAGCATTGCTAGGAGGTCCTAGTCTGCACCCGGTTGAATCATTGGGATCAATTGGCCGCACATCGAAACCAGTCTTGTCGCTCTTCAGGTGCGCGGTCCAATTGGATGAAACCTTTGACCAATGTTGCGGCGGATCAGAAGGAGGTATTTGTGGAGGATCTGGGACGTAGAAGGTGCGTGGAGTTCCAGAAGACATCTCGACGTTGCTCGATTGCCTGATATTGAATTTTGGATTTTCTGCTTAGGACCAAGTCTGTCGCAGCATGGATACTCAAGGTGTCCATCTCAAGAAGGCTGTTCCGGACGCGGACGTTGAAGCACAAAGAAGATGCAACTGCATAGATTCAGAATTTGAACCATATCGCGGAAGCTCATCACAACAAAGGATGATCCGAGGTCGCAAAGCCGAGAGGAACAAAGAAGCTTTCGAAGCAGTCAAACCATGATGATGGCTCGTCGCTTGTTTCCGCTCGTGGCGTTCATTGGTGCGCGTCGAAGGCTTGGTGACTATTATTGTTGATGATAGCCGAAGGAGCTCATGATGTTTGATTAACTGAGTTGTATGATGGTGTGGAAGTTTGCCATGAGGATCGGCTACCTTGTACAGATTTGAAGATCGCTCCTTCTCTACAGATGCGACCCTTACACACCGGAATTCTTGGCGTCGAAACGTGATGGTTCCATAGTTGTAGTGGAAGGAGCAATGCTTTTGCGTCATAGGTGTATCTCGAGCGCTTGAGAATCCTGATGGTAGAGATGTGTTCAATTCATTCAATCTCTTGAGCGAGATCTCGACCTTGACGGCGGACTCCTCCTTCGGTCTGGCAGCTCGCGGCTGTAACTTCTTCTCTTGTCATCGCGATCGCGACTATAGCTTCTCCTTCTTTCGTAGCTCCGACTCCTGCTTCGTTTCTCGTAACGGTCGTAACTCCTGCTCCTGCTTCTCCTCCTGTCGTAACTTCGACTCCTGCTCCTGCTATCATAGCTCCTGCTTCTTGATCTTGCATCACCATTTCTGACTTCCTCGACCTCACCATCACTTCCATCCTTCATGTCTTCATCATCTTTGTCCAATTCATCAATCTCGTCGCCCAGAGCACTGACTCGTGGCTCCAGCACATCGATGTCTTCCAATTGTGTTCGACTCGGCATCTTCCAAAGCGATGTTGCGCAAACACGGTCTTTGGTGAGCAAGTCATCAACGAACTGATCGACATAGCTCAACTGGTAGCCATCTCTTGTCCTCCTCTTCAACTTGCGATAGTCACTCAAATATCCCTCGAGCGTTTCGTAAATATCCTTCGGCTCCCACGTCAAACGAATATAAAAGGCAGCCAGAGCTCTCAGATATTTCCATTCTTCTTGGCGCAAATAGTGCAGTATGATGTCTTTCTCGGGCGTGAGTTGGAGGAGTTTGAAGGCGAGGCAGAGAAAAGGTGTTGGTTTTTGGCCGATGCCGTAGGTACCGCCGATGAAGGATAGCTCGACGGCACGATCGCAGAGGGTGGCTGCATTGAGACCGAAGCATTGTTCTTTCCAGTAATATGAGTCGATGATACGGTCGCGTACCGCTTTTTCGAAAAGAAGGAGGGGGTTTTGGCCGCGGATCAGGGTGCCCGTGTAGCCACGGTCGTCGAGCATGCGCGTCGCATCTGCTTGGTGCGCCATTGTGGGTGATGTGATGTGTGCGGAAAGGTAGAGTTGAGCTGTCGCAAAGATGGAGCTTGCGAATTGAAGATGCGCAAGAGACGAGTGACGAATTATGCTACATTTGCACAGACGGTGCATAAGATATGCAAAGCTTTGTGGTTGCTGGGTCGATGGGAGCTTATCAACAATGATGCATGCGATAACCATCCACCATGGCCGTTACATTCCTCGACGAATATAGCAAGAACGAACTATGGGGAAGTTGCTACTCACAAGCGGGCAGGTGCAAGTCATAGTTTCATCAGCATTCGGTACGGCGGTCCCACTCCCGTCTCGACACCACCCGTCACTAACAAGCTGTTACAGTGGCAGGAATCACCTTCTTCCTCTTCCTCGCAGGCTATACAATTCAGCAACACTCGATCGCAAATCTACAATCTCAATTGAAACCACGCATTCCCATCGCCCCTCTCTCAGACTCAGCACAACAACCACTACCAGGACCTCAACACCCGTCCCGTCTCTTCAATGCAGAACAAAATGCCATCATCGCCGACCACACCGACTCCCAGCAAGAAGCTCCTGTCGTGAAGTGGCAAAAACTTGCACATGTCCAACTAGTGACCAACCATCATGACGTCTGCAACGCCATCATGCTCTTTGGCGACCTCGCCCGTTTGAAGTCTCCAGCAAGGCGCATCCTCCTCTTCCCACAAGCATGGGCAATGGAGAAACAGGCCGCCAAACACGACATGATAGATCCATACATGGACAGCACACGAAGACTCCTCCGTCGCGCTGCTCGCCGCTATAATGTTGAGCTCCGTCCCATCTCATCTTCTGCTGGCCAGGAGGGAGATGCTTTCTCGATAGCCAGTCTCTGGGGCTTGACGGATCTAGAAAGAGTTATGTTATTACAAACACCGGGATTAATAAACGACGCAGAGGTCTTGGATAAAGTTCTGGCATACACAGAGTCTGCACCAATGACACTACTCCAAGAAGATACAAGCTCGAATCTGGAAGCCAGCGATCTCATCCTGGCGACTCCAGCACGAGAAACCCACCGCCTGCTCACCCTCTCCAGCTCCAACATCTCTACAACCTCTTCCCTACTCCATCCTTCCTACCTCCCTCCGACCTCTCTCCTCACCAGTATTGGCTCCCTCCACTCCGCCATCCACCCAAACAAGACCTCTTTCCTCGACACACCCTACATCCTCTTCCGCGACTCTAAACTCCCTGGTCCAGAGTGGGAGGTTGAGTACAAGAGAGTGGTAGAAGCTAGACCGAGGGACAAAGATGCTGATTGGTTGTGGACCAAGATGTACGGCGAGTTTGCTGGCAGGAGATATGAGATTTGTGGTTTGGGCTTGGAGATGTGGCGGGAAGAATAATGACGATGATGATTAAGATGGAATGAGGGCTATGAGGATGATGAGACTATTGAAAATGTCTTTATGAGAACTTGAGCTGTTTGAGATAGTCCCAGCGGTCGGTGGTGGTGTAAATAATTTTGTTGTTACAGGTGTATAGTAGTTTTCCTATGATGAAAAAACACAATGCGCATCTACATGTCTAGTAACGTTTGTCATATATCTCCGATCTAGATGGACATAAGTAACACGTTGTGACCCCTTTCTTGTTCATTTTCTTGCTGATGGGTACGGTACAACAATATTCGTCGTCAAAGGTGTGAGATGACAGCAATACGTGTTTTCCACTTTTGACAAAGTTGAAAGAACTGAACTGAAGCATTAGATTAAAACTAGAATCTATCAAAAACAGCATGATAATTATGAGATAAGAAATAAGAAGAAGAAGAAAATATGTCAGGGACAAAGAAAAAAAAAGAAGAAAGAAAAAAAGGGCGAGGATGAGGAGTGCAAGTGCTCGAACGTGGTCGGAACTCCATCTAGTTTCCACTGCTGTTTAAGCTGCTGCGTACATGTTTACTGTAGCGCCAGTGCTGGCAGTAAATGTGACTCCGCTCTTATACAGACGCAGCTTGTTAGATGACTTGGGTATGAGCTTATGTGTGGACAAAGCGGCGAATTGGGGGAATGAAACACCATTGACTGTAGCCGTGCAGCTCAGTTTTCCATTACCACTGATCGAGCAAGGAAGAGGCGTCCATTGATCGGTATCAGTCTTGGCCGCGCTACTCTTGAAGTAAGCCGCCGTTCTCGAGCTCAATTCCACATAACTGTTGCCGGTGACTTTGCCGGAATAGCACAAGACATTGCCGCTGGAACCTAGGAGAATTGATCCTGTCGAGTTAAGTACGAAGGGGAGCTCTGAAGGACCACCAATGCCAGTCCAGTCATAGTCCACGCCGGTATACTCATTTTGTCCGTCGCTAAACCCCCTGATGGAGTTGCCGTTGAAAGTTCCGCCGCTTACGTATAACCTTGATCCACTGCGAGGGGTTACATAGATCGGTGTAGGGGTCGGGACTGGTGGCAAGGTTGGACCTGCTGGAGTCGAGGATGGTGCAGAAGAACTTACTGATGCCGAGGGTGTAGGACTGCTAATGATGCTTGTAGAAAAGGTTGTCGCCGAGAATGTGCTTGAGCTGATGGAATCAGAGGACGCACTCGAGGCAGTAGATTCAGAAGACGTGCTTGATGAGCTCGCATCGGAGGACGTGCTCGTACTGGTCGCATCGGATGATGTGCTCGTACTGGTCGGTTCAGATGATGTGCTCGTGCTGGTCACCTCAGACGATGTGCTCGAAGCGCTTGTCTCAAGGGAAGTGCTTGATGAACTCGAGTCCGAGGTTGCGGACGAAGAAAATGTCTCCGAAGATGTGCTTGTAGCTGTGTCGCTCCCGCTCGAAGACGAAGCACCGGTCGTGGTCGACCCTGACTCAGTAGTCATCGATCCGGCAGTACTGGTAAGCACATCAGGAGAACTTGAGGCGGCGTTAGCACGTGCCTGGATCGTTGCAAAGGTTGTACCCAGAGCAATAGATCTCTTGTCTTTGTTGATGACACTGTATAGTGTGCAAACAGAGCCATCGAATGCAGTTCCGACACAGGCGCTGTTCTGGGCGCAGGCATTCAGGCAGTCATCAATAACGACAGCAGTTCGCTTCTTCGAAACGGACAGGATGGTGCCTTCGTAGTCGGTATTTACCTCGATACCAAAGGTAGCACCACCCACAGATGGTGTCGAGCCATCTACATAGGGAGAGACATCCGGTGCGCTAGGATTTTTGCAGTCTTTCAACTTCAAGGCAGAGTAAAACATGATGCCGAGGTCAGATCCAGAGAGCCCGGCGAAGCCATCTTCAGATGAGGGATTTACGGTGTTCTTGATATAACAGCTGTTACCGTTCGCGGGGTTAAAGACAAGAGCTGTGCAGTCGTTTGTTGCACTGCACAATTCGATACAAGCGAGGAGATTGCTACCACGAGTGATGAGAATGTCAGCTCCATTGTAATCAATGTTACACTTGATGTTGTAGCTGTTGATGTTGGATGAGACGTCGGTGTAGGTCGAACGGCATGCATTTGACGGGACAGAAGCCGAGCCGGGCCACGAGTAAGGCACGACCGTGCCGCATGTGGGTGTTGCGGCGACGGTAGAACTACTGGTAATGCTGGAACCGACTGATGAACTTGTCGCAGTCACCTGCTCACTAGTGGTCGAAGAGTCGGTGGGTGAAATGATATCCGAAACAGAAGTGCTGGTGCTCGAGACTTCGGAGCTCGAGGACGTAGAGTCAGCAGAGCTGGTAGCGGGATCTGTCACGGTTGGGGAAAAGGTGGCGCTTCCTTGGTCGGAACTGATGGTTGCAGATCCTGACTCGTCAGATGAGCTCGCACTGGTAACCATACTTTCGCCATCTACTGAGCTCGCGCTGCTTGTCGTGGAGCCAATGTCGGAGCTCGAGCTTGTGACGGAAATTTCAGCGCTGGAGCTAGTGCTTGTGGATACTGTGGATGGAGTAGAGCTCGGACGGGACACATCGATCTGTAGCCGGACGTCGCGGTGGCTACCATCATTGCGTCCAGCGTACAACTCGAAGCCCCGAGGACGTCGGATTAGGAAGAAAGTCATGGAGTGTGTGCCATGAGGTACTGCCAGGCGACAAGTCATGATCATGTCAAGTCCAACGCCGCAGTTCGAAATGGTAGCATAACCAGGAGCTCCCCAGTTCTGTTGCGAGACGAGAGGACCACTCTGGGTCCAGTATGGCAGAAATCTGCTGTTAAGCTTGATGGCCTGGAAATGTCCTGCAGAATCTTTGAGGTTGCCGAATTTGTCAATAGTGAGCTTGAAATCATCCCCACCAAGCCCGAATCCAGATACAGAATTTCTTACTTGAAGAGCAGTACCGTCAACTGTCGTACCGGAGCCGGTAGCCAGAATACGGACATTCTGGAATCTTGCTACTGGAGTTTCAGTGGCGATAGCTGATTCTGTTGAGCTCTGAGTTGCTGTGATTTGAGGCTCTTCCGAGCCGGAAGTCGAGGAAGTCAAGGAGGTCGATGCAGAGCTCAGACTGATGGCATCGTCATCAGCAGCAACACTCGCGGTTTCGGTGGTTGACGCAGAGCTGGTACTCTCACTCTGAGTAGCAGAGCTGGTATTGATATCACCGTCTCCAGTGCTAGAGACATTCGTAGATGTGGACGAAGCGGAAGAGCTGGAGTCAGATTGGTAATCGGTTGAAACGGTGGTAGAAGCAGCTGAGCTGGACTGCGTTGCACTGGCCCCAGTTTGATCAGTGTATGAAGGCGCAGGGGTGGATTCTGAGCTAGTTGACGCATCGGAAGTAGTGCTACCGGTTCCCGAGGGTGATGAAGCCATGCTACTCGAGCCAGATATGACACTGCTTTCCGATGAAATGGCGGAGGAGGATTGGACAGCAACACGAGAAGTGGCAATCGCAAAGATCATGGCAGCGTCGGGACTCATACTGCTCTGATCAATGGTACTGAAGTAGTCGCAAGACAAGTTTTCGATGTTGAAAGAAGTGGCAGCACAGGCAGACGAGCCAGCGCAAGTACTCAAGCAAGTGATAAGATCATCGGCGACTCTTCTCTTGGTGAGGCCGGTCAAAGGGGTACCGCTATATTTGACGCCGCGCTGGACCAAGAAGCTGATATCACCAACAATGGTGGAAGTCGCGGAGCTCGTGGCTGCCGAATCTGTAGCTGCTGCAGAGTCTGTACTGGTGACCGAGACATCAATCGTAGAGCTAGCGCCAGTGATTGCAGGTTCGGCCGAGGAGATAAACCTAGAGCTTGACATGGAGATCGCAGAGCTTCCGCTATCAGTCTCCAAAGCAGCGCTGGAACTTGTTGAACCGGGATTTGATGAAAGACTAGAAGCTGTGATACTGGCCTCAGATGTGGTCGACGCAGTCGCTGAGATCGCACTCGAGGAGACAGTGTCAGAAACAGTCTGTGTATTGGTCTGATCTCCCGAAGTAGAAGAGTCGATGAAGGATGTGGACGTGTTGTCAACAACAGCGCTAGATGAGGAACTCCGACTTGCAGAGGTCGTAGGTGTCTCAGGCACGTATATCGAGAAGCTCGGGCCATTGGGTCTACCCGTGGTCGAAGTAGTCAGGACGTTCACATTCGTTGATGGTGACAATGTTGTCTTTGTCTCGCTTGCGCCGGAAGAACCGGAAAAGCTAGATGTCCCGGAGGTCGAAGTCGATGCAGACGCCGTGACACTCGTGCTCGATTCAGTGGCGCTATTTGAAATGAACGACGAGCGAGATGACGAAGATGAGCCAGCCGACGAAGAAGATGTAAGGACTGATGGAGAGGGTGTACGGATCGACGATGACGAAGATGTACGAGACGACGATGACGAAGACGTACGAGACGACGAAGAGGACGTACGAATCGATGAGGAAGACATGTGAGTCGACGACGAAGACCTGGACGAGCTCGTGGAAGTTCTAGAAGAGCTGAACCCACTTCTGCTCGACGTGCTTGAAGTCTTGGGCGTCGATGACATAGACGAAGACTTTGAGGTTGTCTTCGAAGAAGTTTTGGACGAAGACGAAGTTGTCTGGGGCTTCGAGGAAGATTTCGACGTGGTTTTGGATGAAGATGAGGTTTTGGACGAAGACTTTGACGATTTTTGCGAAGATGTCTTTGAGGACGTCTTTGAGAATGTCTTTGACAGCGACGAGCTTGAAGACTTCGATGAAGTCTTTGAAGACGAAGACGTCTTGACAGATGAAGATGGCTTAGTTGTGGAGGACGACGAAGTCTTTTTGGTCGAGGTCGATACTTTGGACGAGGTAGAGATCTTCTTGGTCGAGCTTGAAGTCTTCTTGGTTGAAGTAAAACCCTTCTTGGTGGAAGAAGATGTTTTCTTCGTGCTCGAGGACACAGGCTTACCCTCGACACACTTGCAAAGGGTTGTAAGAGCTTTGGCTGAGTATCTTGCAAATGGAGACGTGGTTCTTGAGCTAGGCCAGTGTGTTAGTAATAACACAAGAAGAGAACAAGCAACGAACTTACTGGGCGTTGTAGAAAGTGCAGAAGTACCAAGGCATGGTGAACTGGCGGCTGACCTCTGCTCTGCATGAAGCAAGAGTCTGTCTTTTCAAGATGTTTTCGACGGGAGCAGAGATCTCATCACGCTTAGGTTTGGAAGGGGTCTTGGAGCCAGCTACAATGCACTTGCAGAGATCGGTGACTTGGATAGGGGTGAACTGGTAGAAGGGAGACCGGGTGCGGCCACTGTAAACAAGTTATTAAACAGTGGGCCATGTATTGTACGAAAGACGATCATACTCAGAGAGCCACCACTTGCAGAAGTATACCTCATCGTTGACTGTACGGCGAACAAGTGCGATATCGTTGGCAGTGCATTTGGTAGTAGTTGCTCGCTCGGTGAGCACAGGAGAGGCCGAAATCCCAAGGATGAGGGTGACAAGGAAGATGAGCACAGGGAAGAATCTTGAGGATCCCATGATGGTCGATTGGTGTTGTCGTGTTGATGATGGGCCTTACTTGTGGAGGTCCTGGCATTATATATACCATTCAGATCAATGGTCGGCTTGAAGTTTTCTAATTTCAAAAGTTCAGCTCGAAGCGTTCAATTGGAAGTATTCAGCTCGAAACATTGATCCAGGTATCTTTCTCCGGATGTTCAGCTGGGATGTTTGCATCCTTCATGGCAGGATTCTCGAAGTCCATTCTCTGGTTTGGGTAAGGACTCCTGACAACGCGCGATAGGTATCGGAGCTGGCGGTCGTCCTACCCTTGTAGAGAAGTCTATGTGTAAGACGAGAACAAATGCATGGTCCCTGAGCAGTGGCGGACGCAGGAACAAAGGCAGGAACAGATGCAGGAGCATACAATATCGCGAGTACACTGTCACGACTGCGCTGTATCGCTGCAGGTACAGTACCTGGTTGTTGTGTCAAGGTCCAGTCCTTTGGCAACTCCCGAGTATGTGGTCCAGTAACCACATGATAATCGGTAGCCATGTGTGTATCATCACAAGTCCCTACACAGGGATATGGCTCTAGTCGACGTGATCAGCTCAGCGACCTACCTCTTGGAGCCACCGGATCTGTAGGCCGAGTGCTATGGTCAATGGCGCGCCACATGTATCCGTTGGCTTGAACAGGAGTTCATCAGCCAGCCTTCTCAAGCCTTGGTAGTTACGTCTTTCTCAAGACGCAGGGCTTAACGGCGAGGTTCCGACGACTTTCGCAGTAGAAGACCGCATGCGGGTGTCTTGAAGCCCATGCCGGTCGTTGGAGGACATCTGCCACCAATGTTCTCCGGCGTGCATCCCCTACTCAGATCCTCGGTAATTTGTCTTCGAACAATACAATCCTTCGAGATCCAAACACAAACTAAACGGATTGTGATCGTTCGAAAGAAGACGAAGGTGGGAGATGGGACGTTTGAGATCCGAACGAGATCCGGAGGAAGCATCAGCTCTCTCTTGGCAGGCACGGAGCTATCTCCTTCCGCCCTTCCTCCTCTACTATTTGATCCATAAAACGCACGAGATCGGTCAAGGCCGGATATATGCTTATAAGTCATGCGCGACGGTTGGAGATCTCAGTGACCATGCCTCAGTGTGTATTTATGTTGCGCATAGCTACCGCTAAAGCTGAATCCCAGGGGTTTCTCGAGGTTCAGATACATAGCTATGCAGGGATAAATGTGTCGATCCTACGACTTTCCTCACTCAGAGCAGAGTGACCCTCAACTTCTGTTCGTTTGTTCTCGCTGCTGCTTAGATTGGGAGCTTTCCTGGAATAGCGCACGCCACATATCGATTTCATGACTCTACAAGCTCACGTCAAAAAGCGCCAAACACTACGGTAGGATCGAGTCAAGAAACCCCGTTATATAACGTTGTTTCGCGGTCGCCGAAATTTTGAGCCTCGTAAGGTACTTTGGTAAGAATGAGAACAACTACAGCTGAGACCGAAACGGCGAAGCATGAACAAATGTCCGATCGACAATCTTCTGTTCATGGGCATGTGGGTCTCAGATATTGGTGCTGTAGATATGCATGTGGGAGGTAAAGCTTAGAGCTTCTTGTGTGAAAGATTCTGGAGCTTGATGGATGCTTCAATGATGTTCCGTGCTCCTTAGATACGCTCTAGAACCAAAACTTGGAGAAAGGGAGAGAGTACTTGGAGCATACCAGGCGGAGCTCTTGCATGCTCGGGAGCGGGCTGGACGATACATGTGGTAACGGCTCTTAGGTCCCACCTGAGGCCGTCCATACAGGTAAATATGGACATCGAATCTGAAGAATGCAGTGGGGAGGATCTGTGGCGGCTGATTGGGACTTCAACCACGTCCAGCCACTTTAATGCCTGGTTCCATTGACGTTCTTGGCACCACTTCCAAGCAGACTGGCAACGACAGTAGCCTCTCTGACAGCTCTTGAGACATGACTTCTCACAGCTCCATCCTCCAAGACCAAAAGGCCACCGATAGTGCAACCGCCAGGCGTTGAGACCTTTTCCCTCAAGATGGCAGGGTGCTCACCATCCTGTACCAATCCAGTAGTTCCTCTCATAACCTGAGCGGCCATGAGGTTTGCTTCAGCTCGTGGAATACCCATGGCGACGCCACCGTCTGCGAGAGCCTCCATGATAAGGGCAGCAAAGGCGGGACCCGAGCCACAAAGGGCTGTACAGGCGTCCATGTTCTTGGGCTCAATCTCGACGACCTTTCCAATGCGAGACATCATCCAATGAACCAGGTTCTTTGTGTCTTGGGGAAGAGGAGGGGTGGATTGGTTGATGACAGTCATGCTCTCGCGAACCTTGGAAGCTGTGTTGGGCATGGTGCGCACGATTGTAATCTTCTCGCGCACTTCTTCGTGGGACAAACCGGGGTATAACAAGCCTTCGAGCTGAGCTTCAGGCACACCAGCCAGAATGCTGATCAACAGCTTGCCCTCCAGAGCTTCGCGGACACCCTCTGCCTCGAGGACATCCTTGACATAGAAAGGCTTGCAGGCGAGAAGCACGACATCGGCCTCCTTCATAGCGCGCACATTGTCCGACTGAATGACATCGAGGTTGGCCTTGTATTTTCCTAGCTCATTCTTGATGCGAGATGCACTGCGATCGCTACGACATGTGGCCAGGAAGCGAGTGGGTAGACGAGGGGGTAGGTTCTCCTCCTTCTCTGAGGATTTCGAGGCCGAGTTCAGGGAGTCCATGATACCACCGAGGATTGCGATACCCATGGTACCTATGTCGAGTCCATCAGCCTTGAATACAGGATTCGTCGTCGTTCGCAAACATACCACAGCCTATGGTGGTCAAGGTAAGGCCATTGTCTGAAGCCATTGTGATGATTCGATAGTGATTGAAACTGAGATTCGACGGAGATGCGGACACAGTCGACGATGGAGGGAAAGTTGGCGGCCAATCACGCGATAGACGCAGAATTAATTGATGAGTCGTCAATTCACTTGATCAGAAAGATGGCTCCAAGTTTCCCCACCAAAGATCAAACTCCGAAGTCGCTCCATGCCCCAGCGCCCTCATCAGAATCTCTCGGATCTACGCGGCGATAACGATAACGATAAGATCTCAAGATGGACGAGTTCTTGACGGCTTGGCACGACTATGATGCACGTTCTGCCTCGCTCAGTCGCGAAGCTCTGGTCGAAGTCGAAACCAAAACAAACGACTACCTCCCTCACGCTGCTCGCGCTACCGCTCTTCTCCGTCTCAGCTATCAGCGGCATCTGATCAATCACAAACAGGATTGGCTCAGCAGTCCTCGTCGCCCTGGTCACGCACCCAAGCTACTCCCCTCTGACTACCTCGTCAAGCGCGCCATCTCACCCTTGAACCTCAACTTCTCGAATCGCATTCAGGACTGGCTCATCCCTGCCTTCTACAATCCTGCTCCATCTTCAATCGACCCTCCCTCTTTGCGCATCAACTCTCCCTTTCATCTCAAGTCGAAACGCATCAAAGCTTCGCACCTTCCTCGCCTGATCGTTAGAAAGCTCGCCACTCCTACCACTCACATCTCGCGCGCGACTTGCACCATGGACCCCTTCGAAGTCCGTATGCGCTTCAACAGCCAACTCCAACACCTCAATGCCTCAGTCACCTCCGCCCAAAAGACCGCCGCCTACGCCCTAAAGTACCGCGAGTGGGACGAGGATCTTCACTCGTGTATCCTCGAGAACCTCGAGCGCAACTCTCTCAACAACCGTGCCAACATCTTCTACTTCTTCGAGACCCTCTGCGATGTCGCTGCTGCCGCCCATCACATCGAATTCGTGCGCATGATGGAGAGAGACATCCTCCGCATCGTCGACCTCGTGGCCCCTGAAGACGGCAGCGGCGCAGCAAACGTCAAGGTCGTGCGCAAAGTCCTCCGCAACCTGGCAGGAAAGAAGTACCTGCAGCAGCAGACGGTGGATGAGCTGGAAGACTGCATCAAGGACCGCGACCAGATCGGCGGTGTCGGTGGCGCTGCTTCACCTGAAGAAGCCATGCGTTACAGCAATGGCAACGTTCGCGTCGAGAAGAGACAGGTGGAGCAGCGCATCGAGGAGGACCGCGAGAGACACAAGAGACTTCGTGAAAACATCTGGGCCGTTAACCACGCCAGTGCCGAGGACGAGTTTGGAAAGTGGTGGGCAGAGACCCCTGATGGCGACGAGGACGACTACCGCATGGCTGGGGAGGAAGTGGCCGAAAACAAGCAGTATGCCCGGCTCCACCGCTCGGAGCAACTGCGCGTGTAAGCTGCTTCCTCTGTAGCCTTGCGCGCACCCCCTTTACGTAGACATGACGAGACACAGGAAAAGCTTTGTACAGATAGAATAGATGGGAAGAGAGGAGATGCATTGTGTTTTTAAAGATACCCCAATACCAGTTTTTCGTTGTTCTCCTTTCTTCATCACATCCCAGGAGTGCACCACTGCGCAAGATCAGCTGTGAAAATGCACAACCGAGTCCAATTAGCTAGGGTTGTTGTCTGAAGGTTGCCTATGCTCTCCCTCTCTCTGTACATTCTCCCGATTTTCAATCACTCTGCGCATTTTGATGTATATCTCCATGCCTTCAACTGCAGCTGGAGAGTGCAATTGTTCCACACACATCCGAGCCCTATACCCCTTGCTAGACGAGCCCCGGTTAAACATCTCATCGACATATTAGTAGCTAGAAACTTCTTGTGAAAATGCAGAGTCGAGATTGGATGTTGAGTTTTGACCACAGAGAGGATGTCCAAGTGGGGCTTTCGGTGAACGATGTTTGATGTTTGAATTCGTTTCTGCATTTTGATAGAGTTTGAGTGATAAGGGGAGGTGTTGAAATAGCGAGGTTTTTGCTTCTAGAAATACAGACTGATTTCCATATTCGATATTACGTCCAGTGAAAGAATGATGATCTGTACTCTACCCACTTCAAGTCATCTCCACCTCAACCTCTCCACCCATCTCACCAGACCCCTCCACATCATCCTCCGCAGCCTCAATCCTCTCCATCTGCTTCTTGGTCAACGGCCTCTTCTTCTTTCTTCCCGAAGGATCAACTCTAGGCGCCGAAATAGCATCCAGATATTCCTCATTCTTCATCTGACTCTTCAACGGTGGTGCTGCACCCGGCTCCTTCAAAAACAGCCTGTCATGATAAGTCTCATAACTGGCCTCCTCATCTTCATCGAAGTACTCGAGGCGCGTCCATTTTTCCTCTGCGGCGATGAGTAGCAGGTTTTTGGCGCGCAGGGCTTCTAGATTCTCGACGTCGCGGTTGTCTTTGTAGGTTTGGGCTAGCGCGAGGGCTTGGGGTTGTTTTGCTGCTGCTGCGGCTGCACCGGGACCGGAGGGACCGTTTCCTTCGGCTGCTTCGGTGCGGCGGGCGGCGGTTTCGGCGTGGGTGATTGCGTCCACGTGGTGGAATTGAGGGCGCATTTGGACCACGCCGTCAACGCGCGTTAGGTGCAGTTCATCTGTAGGAAGAGTTGTGAGTTTATGTGGTTCAGGATGGTGATTTGTTGCTTCTTGCTGTGATTCGGTGTGAAGTATGGGGAAATTGAGAACCAAAAGAAGAAAAATGCGGAAGACGAAGCAAGAAACGGCAGAAGACGGAACAAAAGTAGCAAGGAAGATAGAAGAAACACTGGGCGCGCAATAAGAAGCAAAGACTTACCACCGCGGAAAGCACCCAACATGTAGTTTGGATTGCCTGCTTCGTCTTGCAAGATCTGACCGCCCAGAGTCTGCTTTTGATACACAGCGTCTCTGTTGACAGCCTCCTGGAACCTCGCAAGTCCTTGGTCGACACTCATCTCACTTCCTTCCTGCTTGGCTCTACCCTTTCCACCTTTCGTCGGCGCGAAACCTGCCGCAGCACCAAAAGTCGCGCTGCCACCGTTGGTCTTGGATTTCCTGATCGCCTCTCCCCAGACCAGACTTTGAAATTTGTTGAAGTTTGCGCTCGGGTTCATGCCAATATCCATTTCCATGAAACCGGCTTGAGGCTTTAGTCGGAAGTCGACAGGACGTGCGCCATTGCGGTCGTTGTAGGCTTGACTACGGTTGCGGTTGGGGTATTGCAGGAGGTAGATTTGCTCGAGTTGGCGTGGTGTGATATAGACGTTGTATTCTGCAATGACTGGGTCATCGTCCTCGACGTCTGCTGCTCGTGATGCTGGTAAAGAATGAGCACTCCATTCACTTTCCTACAGTTTGTCTGACTTGATCCACTGCTTACGAGACATTGTGATGTTTTTGTGTTGTGTGACGAAAGAGAATGTACTTTGATGGTCGCCGGATTTATTTTTTGATAGAAGCGCAGGCGAAGATCTCCCCCACGTTTTTGCTAGCAGCGACAAGTGGTCTGTGCTCGAGCTTAGGGTAGTGGTGTCACCCTGCTCCAACTCCAAGCTGCGTACACACACTTCATATCACTGCCATCGTCCATTTCTCGGGTGTTGCTGTAGGCAGATCCTTGTCAGTGGGATACTCAACCTATGTAAGACTTGTTTTGCGAATGTAGACTGATGGGAATCAGCATGGGACTCCACGACTCGTTTCTGGCTGTTGGCTGTGGCCGACAATCATGTTCTGTTCGCACAACACGACTGGACAGAACACTGGCATCGATACAATTCTTTCTTCCTACTCGATCATCGGTGGTCAACACATGTCCAAGTCCAAGGAACATCTGCCTTCGTCTCTAGTGACTTTGAACATTGTATGTCCGATCAACTGGCGTTGACAGTCAGCCCAAGCTTCCCAGCCAAGCGCCATGGAAGCAAACAAGCTTCGTCCTTTCGAATACCGGAATTTCTCCTCCAACACCACATCATTACACGACTTCAACCTACAGAAACGTACGACCGCTGTCGCTCTGACCTTGTCAAGGACACTTTAATGTGTTTTAATACCGTCTTTGATGTCGACTTGGTGTGCAGTGCGGTCTGGAAGTCACTCGCCCGTAGAGCTCCGTCATGAAAACAATCCGGAATCCTTCCTTGGCAGCAAGCCATCTATGCAACCCGTTCGTTTAAATAGGCTGCCACTTTCGGCCACCGCTGTCAAACGATAAGACAAGACAAGATCTGCTCAACCTTAGGCAGTCAGATAAACCACCATTGGCATAAATGTAGGCTTGCTACTGACTACAGATTCAGACATCGAGATTTGTATCGTCTTTTCTGTTTCGATTCAGCCGAGTCCTTCTTACCATCGTTCTTTCCTTCTCGGCTAATCACAATGTCTTCACGAAATTGTGATGACAGCACTCCGGGTGTATGCCATGGTGGACGACCTGATCTGACCTTGGGCCTCGAAGATTATGTCTTGATCCTTATACCGGCAGCATGTCTGTTGTTCATGGCACCCGTGAGGCTAAGGAGGATATGGGGTCGAAGTCGCAAGGTTGTCACACCCACTGCGCTGTGGTGGGCTAAAACGGTAAGTCTTCAACATTTTATTATACTCCAGCGCTGTCATAGCATTATGCTACTCGAGTAGAGCTCAACGATTCCACGAACGAATTTAGAACTAACCTAAGGAGTAGATATCGTCTACATCGTTCGTCGCCCTAAGCTTAGCAGTCCTTATTCGAGGTTGTATCCGTCCGCAAACACCATCGGCAGAGATCCCTGCAGAAGTATTCTCGTTTCTGGCGTCACTCGTTGCAGCTGTTTTGTCACAATGGGAACACATACGATCCATCAAACCTAGCGCCTTGCTGCAGCTGTATCTGATGGTTGCTCTCGTGGTTCAAGCGGTACACGTCCGCTCTCTCTGGCTGCGGGATGAGGACAACATAAAAAGGGACCTCGGGATCGGTCAGATTGTTGCATGCGCCCTTTTCCTTGCAGTGGAAAGCGTGAGCAAAGAATCCATCTTATTGCACCGCCAGAAGCGCAGTCCACAGGATACTAACGATATGTTCAGTCAGCGCTTGTTTTGGTGGCTCAACAACATGTTCAAGCGTGGATACAGCTCCGTGCTTGCTCCCACTGATCTTGACAAGATGGACGAGGATCTATCATCTACCGATCCGCAGCGAAGATTCAGACTGCAATGGCGCAAGCATTCAACAAGAAACCCACAAGTCGGCCTGCTACGCGTTGTTTTTAGTGCGATTGGGTACGACATGATGTTTCCCGTCATTCCTCGTCTACTTCTACTCGCGGTCCAATTCTCTCAGCCATATCTTATCCTGCGTTTCGTCCAATACATCGATAACCCGTCAGAGGGTGGAACAGAGGAAGGCATCTTGCTTGTGATCGCCACTGCCTTGGTCTATGTGGCCATTGCAACTTTTCAGGCCTGGTACTGGCAGTCAGTCGTGCGCTTCCAGACAAAACTTCGAGGATGCCTGATCAGTCAAATTCACGACAAAGCTCTGCGTTCTCGAGTTGACGTCAAGTCCAACCCTCTGATGCTCATGAACGTTGATGTTGAGAAGGCACTTTTTGGCATCAGACCAATTCACGAGTTCTGGGCCTGCGGCCTCTCAATCGTAGTCGCTCTGGGTCTTTTGTATGTTCAAGTAGGAGTGCCATTTGTGGCTCCACTCATACTTCTTGTGGTTTTCATCACGATATGCTCCACGAACGGCAAGAACATTGCCCCCAAAACAAAGCTTTGGCTTGCTGCAACACAAGAACGCGTCTCTTATATCACCAGCGTCATTGGCTCGATGAAGAACATCAAGTTGCTCGGGATCACTCCATTTGTTCTTGCAAAGGGCAATAACCTGCGCGAAAAGGAGATCCGTGCTCAGAGAGCTATTCGCGTGTCGTCCATGATTAACCTGGTCATATCACTTGTCAACTTCCAAGCAGCCACACTCGTGATGTATGGAGCTTTTGCGATCAAGACTCATATCACCGGAGTGCCCTTGACCAATTCGACTCTTTTTACGTCATTGGCTGTGTTGAAGTTGTTCACCATGCCACTGCTGATGACCATTCAATTTCTCCCTTCTTTGTTGCAGATGTTTGCTGCACTCGCCAGAATACAGGAATATCTTGTCACACAAGACCATTCGGATCAGCGAACCATAGACTCGGAAGCAATGACACACGGGCGAAATATCAAAACGGGCATCTCGATCTCAGAGGCGAGTGTCGTTGCGCAGATCCGGGCACTGAGCTGTGGCTACTCTGAGGACAGCTCGATGCTGAAGGACATTACTCTCGACTTGCAACGTGGGAATCTCAACATGGTCGTTGGAAGGTTAGTCTGCGATGGTGAATAACACTATGCTCTGCTAATAAGTTTCGCAGTGTCGGGTCCGGCAAGTCCACTTTGCTCAAAGCCTTGCTAGGCGAGGTCACCATCAACAGTGGCTCGATAACGATCGCGGATGACCAGATTGCATTCTGCAGCCAAAATCCTTGGCTCTGGAATGGCACTATCCGAGAGAACATTGTAGGTGCTGACATAGCCGACAACTCTTGGTTGACAAAAGTCTGCTGGGCTTGTGGACTGGACCAAGACTTCCAAGAACTGCCAGATGGTATCGACACTCGTGTCGGTAATGATGGCACAGCTTTGAGTGGTGGTCAGAAAAACCGTATCAGTTTGGCGAGATCAGTCTACTCTCGTAGATCGTTGATGGTGCTTGATGATGTACTCGCTGGGCTGGACACCCGCACTGAGCGCCTTGTGTTCAATCGTGTCTTGGGACCCCAAGGCCTTTTGCGAAAAATTGGGAGTGCTGTCGTGCTTGCAACCCACGCCATTGGTTGGCTACGTTATGCTGATACGGTACTTGTCATCGAGAACGGCAAATTAAGTTATCGCGGCAAACCGGAAGATGCACCTGCATCGTTCATACGAAGTCATGCTGGCCAGCCAGAGTACGAGGCAGAAGACGAAAGCGACAATACCAGCCCGGCCGACATCCCAATGAAGACATCCCGATCGTCAAGCGTGTCATCTTCAATCACTAAGCGACAAGCAAACTGGCAGTTGTACAAGTCTTACTTCAAATCATTTGGAAGATTTGGCTTCATCAACTTCACATTCCTGATTATAGGCTTTTCTGCACTACAGTGTGTACAACAGCTCGTTCTCAAGTGGTGGGCTGGAGCAGAGGCAACGAGTCCTTCTGAGCTTGGCAAATGGGTAGGCATTCTGGGAGCCATCACCCTCATCTTTGTGGTCGATGTCTTCTTGACCCTCTGGGCTGGTTTCATTGTCTATTTCCCCAAATCTAGCTTGTACCTGCATCTTCAGCAATTCACCGCGCTTGTCAAGGTCCGCTATTCAGCTTGGGGTGGGAAAGAGACTGGAAGCATCACCAACCGATTCTCGCAAGACATATCCATCATCGACGGTCAACTTGCAAACGCTTTGCTCAACGTCCTGGCAGGCATATTCGACGTCATCGCGATGACTTCTATTATTATCGTGGCTACTCCGTTCATTGCCGCAACTATACCGCCTCTAGTTGCCGTTTTCTGGATCATTCAGAAAATTTACCTGCGTACTGGAAAGCAGCTGCGTATCATGGACCTTGAGGCAAAAGCTCCACTATGCACACACTTCTTGGAGACAGTCACTGGCGCTGCAACTATCAAAGCGTTTGGTTGGCCCAAGTCATACAGAGAGAAGAATGACAAGTTGCTAGAAGAAAGCCAAACACCATACTATCTGCTCGAATCTGGTAAGTCATCTCTTACTCCAACGCCACTGACATGAATCGTTCGCTAACATTGATAAGTGCAAAATTGGCTGTCCCTCGTGCTCAATCTTGTTGTTGCTGGCCTAGCGACAGTGACAATGGCCATAGTCGTGAAGCTCAGATCTACCAGTGACGCGGGTTACGTTGCTTTGGCCTTGATTAACATCATGGACATCGGTCCCATTCTCGAGATGCTGGTCGTAGCTTGGACACAACTTGAGACCAGTATGGGAGCCATCGCTCGCATGAAGGAGTTCATGGAAGACACACCAGAAGAAGAGCAGGGCAAGATAAATCCTCCCTCAGACTGGATGACAGAAGGCGGTATCACCATCAGCCGTCTCGAAGCTTCTTACTCCGACATTGCACCTTCGACGATCAAGGATATCGACCTTCAGATACAGACTGGCCAAAAGATCGCCATCTGTGGCCGCACTGGAAGTGGAAAATCATCACTCGCGTCCGCCGTCTTCGGTCTTCTCCACATCAGCAGTGGGCACCTCAAAATCGACGATGTAGATGTTACACAAGTGTCGCAAGAACTCCTTCGCTCCAAGATGATCGCGCTGCCACAAGACGCTTACTTCACAACCGGTACCGTACGAGAAAACCTCTCACTTCGCCAAACAGACACAAAACGCAGCGATACAGAGATGTTGGATGCACTTTCCCGTGTCGGCCTACTCACAAAATTCGAAACACTGGCTTCTGCTGATGGCTCGACGTGGCAGTCAGCTCTCGATATCGAGCTCAATCCAGACGATATGCTGACGAAAGGCCAAACTCAACTCTTCGCCATGGCTCGTGCGATTCTGTCTTCTGGCTCCGTCGTCCTCGTCGATGAAGCAACATCAGGATTGGATCATGAGACCGAAGCTACGGTGCAGAAATTGCTCAGAGAAGAGTTCAAGGGTAAAACTATCATTGCTATTGCGCATCATTTGCAAACAATTGTGGATTTTGATGTCGTGGTTGTCTTGGATAATGGAAAGGTTGCTGAGATGGGGAAGCCAAGTGAGCTTATGGTTACGGAAGGCAGTTTGTTTGGAGACTTGCTTAGGGCTGCGAGTTGATCAGAAAGTAAGAGCGACCTAGCTGTTGGCTTGGGATGTAACGAAGAAATGACTAGCGCGGCTTTGTGGATACTGTCGATAATTGATGACAAAATTGCTATACATACTTAGCTACGACCAAAGGATTGCACCAAGACCTAAAACCCATCTAAGCCTTCCATTGAAAGACCGAGTACACAGCTAGTTCTCGGAATGCAGTGCAAGGAAGACTTTCTATAGCCGTATCACTTAAACAACATTGTGGCTCCAGCACTCCCATCATGCTCCGCCCTGGTGATTGGTCCTTCGATCTTCCTGTCATGCACATGAACGGTAATGCCACTCTGCTTCATCTGCCTTGTACATTGTTTGACATGTTCGCAGTCAAGCCACTGACAAGGATCTCTCAGCAAGTGCACATCTCGTAGAGAGGGCAGTACGTCTTTGTGATCGGCCAACTGACACAGTTCTTCAAACAACTCATGGGCCTTTTCGTAGCAGTTTTCCTGACAGGCAAGCTCGCTAATGTCGACAATTTTGCCCTCCAGCGCCACCTGTCCCCTCGATATAAAGGACGCTTGCTCCAATGCTCGATTGAATGATTCTCTGCTGGTAACTTCCAACGTGAGGCTTTCCAGGGTAGAGGGAAAGTTGGTGTAGAATGTGTGGTCGTCGCGGCGAGTCATCTTTCCTGTCGATTGCGAGAAAACCTCCAGTGGTGCTTTGAGTCTACGCAGTTTCGAGAACGATCTGACTGCGTGACTTTGGTACGGCTCCATGGGCTTGGGAAATTGTCTGACGCCATGTTCTGGACTTACCCAGAGCTCGCTCGGTCCTGGATCCAATTCCAGTTCTAGCAGTGTGTCTTGTACACACTCAAGCACATCGATGGCTTCTTGAATACTGATGGCATCAGCCATGCTGTGAAGCTCGCTGCCCGGCGTAAAACAAGAGGTGGTGGTCAGACTTTGTAGGTCTTTAGGCATCTGGAGAAGATACTCCATCTCCTCAGTGAGAGCCCCACAACCAGTGAACTTCATGTGTGTCAGATTCCATGTACCAGGATTGTCAAAAAATTCCTCTAGACCAGGAGAATTTGTCCACACCCAGTCCCTGACCTCCAAAAAGCGAAGTGCACTCGCATTGTCCACTATGCCCTTTATGCGGCTAAGCCACTCGAATTCGACACCCTGATCGTCCTCCATGGGTAGAGACAACGAAGTGATACCACAGACGGGAGGTTTCTCTTCCCAGTATTCGTTCTGGAAGTGTGGTATCGTTGTGTGGAAAAATTCGAGAGTTCCAGGCATCGATGCAGCATCTGAGAAGAGAGATGCAATGTCGACGATCAACTTTTCGTACTCATCAATCAGGCGGTTTCTCGCGACCTCACTCAAGCTGTTGTATAGGGGGCTAGTCCTGGACTCTGGAAAGACGTCGCGGTGATCACCTGTATAGATCAGCAAAGTCCAACCGACTTCTGCTTTACAAACAGGTCATTTGGAGGAACACCCGCTAGATCAAGTCCAGCTAGACTCAAACACTTTCAAAGGCTTATGAAGGTATAGTGCTGGATCTCGGAGTTCAACTTACCATTTTCCAAATATACTCTCCGTACGAGTGACTGCCAGTCGTCGCGATCCTTATGCAACTTGTAGAAGAGATGAAGGTCGCGACACCAAGCCGCATCATTAGTTGCATCTTTCGCAATCCCGAGAGGAGCTTTATCTCCAAGGATCAATGTATGATAAAGTCTCTTTTTGGTGACCTCATTGAAGGCGCTCGACAACTGACTCATGGCTTTGTGCACACCGACAGAACTGTGGTCTAGTATGCAGAGCCACACCTCCAGCGGGAATGTGTTCCATTCGGCAGAAGATCGCATGGTGTGTGATGGTAGTATGGGTTTGAATAGATGAAGAAGAGTTGTTGTTCCGACATGGATTGGAAGGCGCGTTGTTAAAGTCGGCTGGAGCCTTGGGACGCGGCACGTGCACATAGATGCCTCAAGAGAGACTTTGAGCAAATTTGAGAAGGGGCGACTACTCGCATTGTGAACGGAATTGGCTATCAAGCGTGGTGGGAGCGAGACGCTCAAGCTTGCCGGTAGCCGTTCTTTCGAGACGAGCAGTTGATATCTTAAGTAGATCTGGAAGATAAGGAAGCAGGCTTCGACTGATTTTCCGCATTTAACGAGCTACTCGACGGACGATTACGAGACGTTAAAGAAACATCTAAGTGAGGCAGACAGTCTGTCGAACCTCAGCACCTCCATCCAATAATTGCTGGAATAATCTCTCAGATACAATAACCCGATACCAGGCTAGCAGTAGAAGAGATCCAGGAGTCTGCAACGATACACAGAACTTCTAAACAACATGCACGAACACTGAGAGTAATCGTCACAGACGTGTACACCGAGTCTTTGTCTGACAGTCGAAGTCAATAATTCAGACGCTGCATTCAGCGACTCTGCCAGTCGTAGGACGTCTCGGTCTCATCGAATACGAAGACAGGCTCTCAATCATCATCAAAGTCTTCCAGACCTGCAGTACGTCTTTCGTCGGCGATAGCTGAACCTATCAAAGACCTGGAAGACTCTTCCTTTTGATCTACGATGACAGTGATACCGCTCTGCTCGATGACTCGCGCGTGTAACTGGATGTGCTCGCAATTCAACCACTGGTACGCATACCCCAAGAGACGAATTTCGCTAAGCGCAGGGTGTGAAGACCGATGTTCTGCTAATTGCGCGAGCTCGGCGAACATCTCGTGTGACTGATCGTCCGAAAATGGCTCCGAAGAACCTACACGGCACGGAAGGTCTTCTATCCGCACCCACTCGCCGCCCTGATTGATGGTGCCGTCAGACCGTACACGTCTTTCTGTCTCAGCTCGTTCGAGCACGTAGTTGAGGGGACCTTCGTACATTATATCCAGGGTCAGTTTCTCTAGAGATGACGGGAAATTGGTGTGAAAGACATGAGTGGGATGAGATCTCATGGATGCCATCGAGTCTGCAAAGATCTCTAGTGGTGCGTTTAGTCGCTGGAGCTTGGTGAAATTGCTGAAAGCTCGAGACTGGAGAGGTTCCATTGGTTGGGTCCAGTTTCTGCTATCACCTGGATCGAAATCAAGCTCCAAAAGAGTGTCTTTCAGTGGCTGGATGGTATCGACCGCCTCCTGTATGCTGACATCGCCCCAGTCCCCCAGATCAGAATCTTCGTCGTCATATGTTGGTAAGCCAGATTTGATCCGAAGCCTCTGAAGGTCTTTCGGCCACTGAAGTAGTGGTATCATCTCAGTATTGAGAGCTCCGCACTGGGTCAGCATGAGGTGCGTGACGTTCGACATGCCTGGATCATGAAAATCGTCCTCGATTGGACGTGCGGTATCATCCCAGCCCATGATTTCAAGAAAACGCAGTGTCGGCATACGGAAGATCTCCATCAAAGTCTCCCAGCTCTCGTACTCGCTCTCATCGAGCATACTCATTGTTAATGAAGTTACTCCACAGGCTGGAGGATTGGGCTGCCAGAATGGAGCACCTGCTCCTGTCATTATCGTGTGACAGAAATTCAGGCCGCTCATGCTGTTACTATCGGTGAAGAGCGATCCAATCTTGCGAATCAAAGTATCCTCGGCTTCGTATGCTGATATGGCGTTGGAATATTCTGTTTCCACTTCAACTTCGGGTCCAAGCACAAGGACGGGCCTATCCCTTAAAATTCCTTCAAACTTGTCTAGATCTAATGCGTTGGTCAGCAAGCCGCTATATCTCCGAGTCGATGGCCTCATTTTGTCGTATCAATCTGCGGCCCAGGGTCACAGAATGATTGAACACCCTGGTCTGATTGACTCACCACACTGTACATAGACCCTTCGAACATAGGATTTCCAGTCTTGATGCCCCGAATGGCTTTCAAGGAATCGTTGAGGACTCTTCACCCACGTTGCATCGTCCAGGGTTGGGTCGTCTCCAGTGATGCCCAGTGAGCCATCTTCGTCGCCAATAACCAATGTGTGGTAGAGTCTTCGCCGCGCTACATCCCTGAACGTGCTTGAGACTTTGCTCATGCTTGCGTGAACGCTGATGGGGCTGTAGTGCAAGATACGTAGCCATATTTCCAGTGGGAAGATCTCGTATTTATCACAGTCCATTGCATTGCCGGGGTTCGAGTTTTGCCAATAGCTCCGAAGGATTCGAGCGCCCTGGAGTGCGAACATCGTTAGTGGAACTTTTTTGGGAGTTGCAGGAAGAGTCTCAGTTGTGTTGAATGTGTTCACAGAAACATTATCAGGCGCAATGCCCAATATGTGGTTGTTCAGGAAACCCCAAGTGCTGTGCGGGGAAGCTACAGCTCAGCTGAAGGCAGGGTCACCCCTAGTAATGGTGCATTGAGCAAGGATGTGCTTCCTCTGGTCCGTGTCATTGCTTATCTTTGAACATGATCTGACCACCTTCGATGCCACTGAGTGGGTTTCCTTCACCATCCACCGCTCTAATGCCGATACTTTTGAAGCCTAGCTTTGCGTAGAACCCTTCGGCCACTTCTTTCTTCGCTGCACTGATCACGCTTGCAGCGATATTCTCTTTAGCTGCGAGATCCAGTCCGTATCTGACCAAAGCTGTGCCGTGACGATTACCTTGATGCACTGGATCGATTGCCAGACCGTTCAGACGCCAACACTCGAATCGATCGCCTTGAAAATGTCAACTGAATAGGAAATTTGACGCCAGCCCGACTGCTGCTTACCAGTCCAGAGATCAGGCAGGTATGAGCCTGATCGCTCGATCAAGTTTTCCATCTGTGGATCCGCAGCCCTGTTGACAGGTAAAGCAGGCTCAAGGCATTCTTTCAGGAGAGCTTGGTACTCGTTGAAGTGTTCGCCCCTACGGCTCCACTGAGCCATACCAGTGATGAGCTCGGAACCATTGTGTTGTACAGTCGAGACCAGAAACAGATTATAGGGGTTGTGCCATGCTTTGCGGAACTTTTTGAGCCAAAAGATATGCATGTCTTCGGGATATTGCTCGCGATACGGGTGAATGATCTTGCCGAATAGATCATCATCGAAATTTGCTCTGGCAGCGATAGATGCCATGATGAACTGATCGTCAGCGTGTGCTAGTCGGATAGTGGCTTCGGTGGTCTTCGATAAAGAGTCCATGTGTGCATAACTTCCAACAAGATGTCGATAGTAAGCTTGTTTCGTCCGGACATGCTGCTGATAAGTAGGGAACGAAGTACTCGTTATGACTCATTAGCTTGTTCCTTCTCAGGGAAGAGATCACAATCGTATCAGGTTTTCTTGCGAAGAGCGTGTCAATAACTCCAAGCGCCGGAGGCTGTAAAGACGCAGCTACAAGAATGTAAGGAGTGAACGTCCAGTGAGACAGCGCACAGGTTCAGCCCTCACTATTCTGATTACTGCTGGCCGGTAGATAGTAACACCTGTGAGCTGTAGGCGCCCTATGTACATGTTTTCGTTGGCTCTCGGTTGTACAACATTCGGGTAGTCGCAGAGAGTGGAGCAAACAAGTCCCACTCCAGCAAGATTACAAAGGCTGCAGTCACTGCTGTTTCTCAGAACATATCTTATTCTGCCCATCTTACTGTTACAGCGCACAGCAATGCTACATCTGCAGTCAGCTTTTGGCTCTATTCCGGGTTTCAGTCGTTCTGCTCAGATGCTATTGCTTGATAACAATCCCGACACCGGATCCATGTGACTCATTGCTTGTCGCATCTCAAGAAGGCATCAGCCTGCCTCGAGATCAGATTCGGAAAGAGCCTGAGTATCTCGCACCACGGAGCTGGCCTACTCATATGCAAGCAGTCACAAGCGCCATGATCGATTCTTCAGGGCGCGCCTAGCGTGGCCTCGGTCGCTTGCGGTGACGACGGCTTTGGGCCTTTCTCGAGTTGCCCTGATTCTCCAAGGCCTGATGCACACCGGACATGCGACTTGCACCGCCATATCCGACGACATGCGAAATTCCTGAACATACGTCGATGCAGACGCATGGTCTCGCTGAATCACATGAATGCATGAAGAACAAAGAAGTCATGAGGGCTCCGATTTTCGGGCAACCGAGGAAGGAGCTCCTCAAGAAAGTGGGGCGCCAAGATATATGGCCCCTTCCCTCCCAATCTTATCAGATTTTGATTCATCTGATAGGTCAATGACTCTCAGACTAAGTCACTCGTTCTGGCGGGCCACGAATTTCGTTATTAGGAGGCTTGCCTCCAACACCTCTGCCGCTTCGAACCTCTCAAATTCTACTTTTCTTATTCTTACTGAACATCTTATCGACTTCACGTTCCTAAATCGCTGTTCACAAGGAAGGTGAACAAATAGCTTGGCATCATCAGCGAATCAAAGCCCTGCCCGCCGCAAACCTTCGTCCGGGAATATTCACGATTCAGAGCACGGCCTGACGCGCTTCAGCCAACTCTAGGCCGCTCCCTGCATCAAAACGTTGGTTGCAAAACATTACGAGTACGCACCGCTCTTTGGTTATTGTCGTTTCACAAGTAGGAGAGCCTGGTGCTTTCTCACCTTCTTTCTTTTTTCCTATATCTATGCGACGAACAACATCCTACTAGTCCTTGGCATCTCTGATAGCAGTCATGCCAGGTCTCCGGAGACTCTCCAGCGCAGGGGAAACCCTTCCGCGGCACAGCAGGGAGAAGATGACAAGACCCCCTGTCGACGATGCATATTCAGACACGGATTCTGAGTCTGATGTCGCAAGTCACCTGAGTGCGCAAGCTGGTGTGAAGCGACTCGAGGCGACCGCAGCCTTGTGGTCGAAATGGTCTCTCATATTTGCGTATGGCGGGTAAGTTCAATCCTGATACATTCATCTGCAGGCAAGGCTAACATGTTGCAGTCTCTACATGATGGCATATGCTACTTCTCTCGAAGGGCAGGTGACCACCAACCTGACGGTGTTTGCCACAAGCTCGTTCAAAGCACATGCACTCATTTCGACAGTGTCGGTCATTCAAGGAGTAGTGTTGTGTACGTGATCTTCAAGCGCTAATCGCGGGCTCTGGCTGACGTGAGATAGCAATCGTCAAGCCACCAATGGCAAAAGTGGCAGACGTATGGGGACGATTTGAGGCCTTCACATTTAGCGTGTTCTTGTTTACACTTGGATATATTCAACAAGCTGCGGCCAACAACGTCAAGACATATGCGGCCGCTCAGATTTTCTACTCGGCAGGCGCCACCGGACTCCAGATTCTTCAACAGATCTTTATCGCGGATACGAGCGACTTGTTGAACAGGGCCATCGTTTCGACGATACCGGATATTCCGTATCTCCTGAACGTATGGATTGGACCCCCAATTGCGAATTCGATACTCAAAAATTTGAGCTGGAGATGGGGGTATGGTATCTGGGCCATCATACTTCCGGTGGCCTATCTACCATTGGCACTTGCTCTGTCATTGAACCAAAGAAAAGCCTCGAAGATGGGAATATTACCACCATCACCTTTTGTTGGCAAGGACTGGTTGTACACTTTGAAGAGTCTCTGGTTCGAGATGGACATCTTCGGCCTGCTGCTTCTTCTCGTTGGTGTCGCTCTTCTCCTAATTCCTCTTACTCTGGGTGCGAGTGCTCCTGGCGACTGGAGCAATGGTAGCATTATCGCAATGCTGGTTTGCGGTCTGGTCTGCCTTTGCGTCTTCCCACTTTGGGAGCGCAACCCACGTCTGGCACCAAGAGCCTTCTTCCCTCCCCATCTCTTCCGCAGCACCACCGTCATTGCTGGTGTGCTTATTGCTTTCTTCTACTTCAGTAAGTTCGATGTGTCGTCGAATCAAGGGTACGGCTAACGTCAAGCAGTGGTGTACTACCTTTCTGTGCAACCCTACTTCTATTCTTATCTTCTGGTCGTCCAAGGCAAATCTGTTTCGGCTGCCGGCCACATCACACAAACATTCACATTCACAGCAACTGTCACCTCTATCTGCACCAGTATTGTCATTAAGTACACCAAGCACTACAAGTACTTCGTCACCGTCGGTGCCAGCATTTATCTGCTTGGTGTTATCATGATGCTCCGCTATCGTACCGAGGGAGTATCAGACTTTTACCTCATCGGCTGCCAGGTCTTGGTCGGTATCGGCGGCGGTATGCTGCACGTACCTGCACAACTTGGTGTCCAAGCCTCGGTCGGCCATGGAGAGGTTGGCGCAGTCACGGCCGCCTTCTTGACTATCCTTGAGATTGGCGGCGCTGTTGGTTCAGCGATTTCGGGCGCTATCTGGTCCTCCAATGTTCCCGTCAAGCTCGCTCAATATCTGCCGGAAGAGACGCGCGACCAAGCCAAGGAGATTTTCGGCAGCGTCAAGGTTGCTTCTACCGAATACGCGATGGGCACGCCCACTCGCATTGCCATCAACCGCGCCTACCAAGAGACCATGACTAAGATCCTCACCGTCGCAGTGATGGTTTGCATTCCTCTTATCCCCTTGTCGCTGATGATGAAGAACTACAAGCTAGATGAGATGGACCAGCACGTCAAGGGTACGGTCATCGGCAACACGAGCGAAGCTAGCGACCCTTCGGAAAGAGAGCCATTTGCTGCGTCGTCGTCCGGTCATCGTCGTTATGATAGTGAAGACGACATCGACTACGACTATGACCGCACAATCAGATCTGTTGCCAGCAACAATGGACTAAGAACCTGGAAGTCGAACGCGAGCCTGCATTTGGATGATGATTGATATGATGAAGACGGCAAGGAAGCATGTTATGAAACATTACCTGATGATTACTAGATGGACAAGAGAGAATCCTGCATTTTGGGTAGTGGAGTTTTAGATTTTAGAGATACCATCGTACATATTCGCGAATGCCTATTTTTACCTAGCGCTTCGTGTTGACAGGCTCGTTCTCACATTGGTCCTAAAAATCCGCGTTGCTGTGACCAACGGAGACCATGTTCCGTGAAAGAATGAGAAGAATGGTGCACCTATCTGTTGGAGCTACTCCGTACTGCAAGTCGCGCTCAAGTGCTATCAACATTTTGTCTGACACACAAGAGAATGCCTACTGAAACGCGCGGGAGCCAATGTTCAGTCGCGAGTAATGAGTAGAGTGTCGTAGGATACGAGTCATTATCGAGGACCAAGGTGGCCCTCTCAGCGACAGCCAACGCCCAATTCCTGGATAGCTTTATCACAACATTCCGCGACAGCAATCATCACAAGCTCCAGAGCCGTTGGTGTCTGACAAACCAACAGCTCAGGGAGATATAACGCCAAGTACATATACAAGCAAGTGTCAGGAGAGCAAGTCATGAGCTGGGTTGGGGAGCGCTTCAGCACAGACCAAACTGGCCATATCAAGGGGGCGGCGGCGGTGTGAAGCTGCTAAGATTTGCTGGCGGCCTGGTGCCAATTCAACGACTGATTGCGGTGTGCAAGAGGTCTTACAGCATTGTGGAGTCTGCTGTGATTCCGATCCAACAACGGCCTCCACCGAGTGGTAGTGGATTGCGGTGGAGTTTTTGGAAGAGGTTAGTAAGAAGAAGGGCTTTTCTTCCAAGCCGGCAGAGTGGCTTTTTCTCTTTGTTATCAATGCCGGACAAGGCGTGAGACATGGACAGGCTTACGACTGCCCCCTTGTCGATTTGACTGCAAGCAGCTCGAAAGAGGCAGCTGGGCGGCATTGTTCCAGATTCAATATGGACAAAACAACGAGGGAATAAGAGTGGATTGCAGGTCTGAAACAAAAAGGATCAAAAATCAGGCGGTTTAGCTTGACAAGGACTTTGGGTGAGGAGGCTTTCGCAGTTGCTTGTTCGAGGAGGTTAAGCGGGAAAGATCTGCAAAAGTTTGGCCGGAACAGGCAATCGTGGGAAAAAAGCAGCGATTGTCTGGAACGCCCAGGATTGCGACTTTTGATGTGGAGGGTCCGCACGGTGAAGAAGGGCCTTTGAAGAGGAAGAAGGAGAGCGAGAACGGGTAGTTTAGGCCAAGGATCGCGTGCCTCTTGTGTAGTCTGGTGGTGTAGATAGTACCTGACAAGTCTCTTTGCAGTATCTTTTCGTGGCCGTTGAAGACATATCTTCATCTCGTTGGTTGCAATTGGCCGAGGGGTCTGTGATTTGACTGCATCGCTTTGGCCCGCGTCTGCGTGTTTACCCCGTTACACCCGCCTCTCGCAGCTCACGTACCCGGGGTCGACCTCATTGCGGGTTCGACATACAATTTCTGCCAGCTGCATCCATCGGGCTGTGGAGAATTGCTCGCCTCAGATCTGGTTGTTGGGTATTGTGACGTTTCCGAGTAAGTGACGAGTCGCTGGCAGCAAGCAGCCTGCAGTCTGCAGTCGTGGACGTCTAGTGAAGCCGACGAAACAACTGACAGCTCTTTTCTCACGCCAGCGCCCATCCCCTCCGCCGTCCGCGCCTACAGATCGCCGACTTTCCCTTGTCGCATCGCCTCTACCGACCTCATCCTCTGCGCATCTCCTCAGATCGCAAGCTCTCGCTGTGCCCTGAGCAGCTTCCCTTCGTTAGCACAACCTAGCACAGATCGTAGCCTACAACCAGGATAGCCTCCACGCTCGACCTAAAGACAAAATGGTTGTCGCTACCATCAAGTACGCTGCCGCCATGCCTCCAAGATAGGATACACCCGCTAATGCTGTTGTGCGCGTGTAGGTGTGTCGTCGTCGGTGACGGTGCTGTCGGCAAGACCTGCTTGTTGATCTCATACACGACCAACAAGTTCCCCGCCGAGTATGTGCCTACTGTCTTTGACAACTATGCTGTTACTGTCATGTAAGTTGTGCCTCATGTGCTCAGTGCTAAGCAAAAACACTGACGCGTTACAGGATTGGAGACGAGCCCTACACCCTCGGACTCTTCGATACTGCCGGTCAGGAGGATTACGACCGTCTCCGTCCTCTCTCGTACCCTCAGACCGATGTCTTCCTCGTCTGCTTCTCCGTCGTCTCTCCTGCTTCCTTTGAGAACGTCCGCGAGAAGTGGTTCCCCGAAGTCCACCACCACTGCCCTGGCGTCCCTTGCCTGATTGTCGGTACCCAACTCGATTTGCGCCCACCTAAGGAGAAGCGTGACGACAAGGACCCCGTACTCCGCAAGCTTCGCGAGCAGAAGATGAAGCCTGTCGAGAGAGAGGATGGTGAGAGAATGGCCAGAGAGCTCGGTGCTGTCAAGTACGTCGAGTGCTCTGCCCTGACCCAGGAGAGACTCAAGGACGTCTTTGACGAGGTAAGATACAACCCTACTTCCAGTAGTTCATTCAAGACCATGACGCTGACCCATGACAGGCCATCGTCGCTGCCCTCGAGCCTCCTGCCACCAAGGAGAAGAAGAAGAACCACAAGTGTGTCATCCTCTAAACGAGCCATCAGCTCGAGGATACATCTTACTTCGACCTTCTCGACCCAAACAACAGTCCAATCTTCTTCAATACAGCGCATCCGGCACGGAACCCACCCCAAATGATATCTCCCCGTCGCCCTTCCAATGGTGTCTGGCGCAATGAGGCGCAGTTTTCGGTTGCTTTTTTACAAGTCTCCTTTCTTTGGAATTTTCCCAAGTTAGTCGTAGGTTGCGTCTTTTCTTTTTTATTAGAAGCGGGGGGTTTCAAGTCTTCTTTTTTTTCGAATTTCCAGACCAAGTTTTTTTGCTCTCTTCCACCCTTTTTTTCTTTTTCTTTTTCTTCCAAGACAAGCTTCGTGGATGCTTTGATGCCAGCCATCGGAAGTTCCCCGGATGTTTTGCTCTGCTGTTGTAAGATGCTGAGATGCAAAGCACAATTTCTCATGGCCTTCATTCTTTCTTAAGCCTTTACCCAGAAGGTCAGAGTTGGATTTTCATAGAAATGCATACGGCAAGAGTCGGTTGAAATGTTTTTCTGTTCCTGAGTTCCTTGGTTCTGTTGATATTGATGTTGATGCTGAAGTTCTCATGGCCGGTTAGAAGTCGAATGTTTGCTGTCTCAACGTAAGGTGGTATTGGTTCCATGCCATGCCAGCCATTGAGATCGTACATGTCCTTGTGGATGCTGGCCGCTTCTAGATCTTGCTGCTCGATATCAGTCGCATGATGGATCACAGCGGTAGTGTGTTGTACAGGTCAGTGTGATCGAAAGTTGGTCAAATGCTTGCTGACGCTTGAACAACAGAGTCGATATGACCCGCAATGCAGCGTAGTTACCATCAGTACCCTTGGCTACTTCAGTACCTCACCGTCGTTGTCGAATCCAGGTGTCATGAGGTGCAGGCCCATGCTCGCTGGCGTTATTTAACGTAGAGACCACCCCTTCTTCTCTACTCTCTTTCAAATCGATGCCTGCAATCAGGAGACTCCGAATCACTTCGCGCAAACACAATCGGACATTTGGTCGGTAAGAGAGTGGTCTCCGAAGCATAGCAGCTAGGTTCACTGGATCGAAAAGGGGAGATCCGCAAAAGCTACGGTTCCCCCGGCTCTGCCTATCGTTCTGACCTCATTCGCATCACATCCTTCCTCCTCTCAATCTCGAGATCTTGTTCCTTCGCGCAAACCAACCTTTCTTCGTTCTCTCCTTTGCTGGCACCATGCCATACATCATCCAGGCTGGGGACCTCGAACCCCATCCTCCTCGACTACCTAGCAGCATCCTGCGCCTTCCGAAGACACATCCTGTGCGCAGATTCGAGGAGCACAAGGGTAGGTTATGGGGGAGGGAATATACCTACCTCTGCCTGATAGGTTTGGTACCTCCAAAGGAGGCATGTAGGAGTAGGCCTGATCGTAGGCTTCCTCCAGCTCCACTGCCTCTCGAGCATCCTCCCGCTGTCTGTGCGCGGCAATTGTCTCCGCCTCCACTCTCACCATCGGCGCCGCCACCACCCGGCCCTCCCGCTCAGCCTTCCGCTGTATCCTCCGCTCTGGGCCCGTTGCCGCCAAGCTTGGATATACCTGAGCTCCGACCAGCTCCACTCGTCATCATACCCTCTGGCCGAGCAGTGAAGCGCGTCGTGAAAGTGACGGCGGAACCTTCTGACACAGCCTGGAAGCGAGTATTCGGAGATAAACCTCGCAGAGTTCTTGCAGCAATTCCTGAGACTCGCAACAACATACCAATGGCTAGACCTACTCCCACCGGAAACGACCTTTGTCTCGTGCCTGCTGGCAGCGAGAACGCAGAGCCTACTACCCGCGGTATCATCGAAGAGTACCAGGAGGAGAAAGACTACGAGAAGACTGGCAACGACGACGAGAGAACTCCCGTTTACTTGTCACCCAAGCCTGCCGGGTCAGCAGTGAAGACCGCACGCGTGTCGAACGCAAACAACCCTACCGTCGACTCAAGTGTACCCCGTGTTCCACCTAAGGCCAAACAACTGCTTGGCTCTCCCACGCACAACAGTGACTGGTATTTCGGAAGAAACAGGCAGTCACCTCACCACTCGCAGTCTCACCCCCCTGGTAATTCCGTCGACTCACTCAGACACAGCGCATCGTCGAAAGTTGCCAATCTTCTTACTCCCACCAAGAATAAGAAACCCTCCACCTTTTCCACGAATCCTCACGCAAACATGGTCAAGGATCCCGCCCCTGCAGGTATGCGCCCAAACCAAGTTCAAGACCCTTCGCCCCTGAAGCAGTCTTTCGGACATTCTCCCATCAGCGCACGCAACATGCTTGCGCAATTCACTCCCGAGAAGCAAGCAGTTGCAGGTGCTTCTCCCATCAGAAACCCTCGCAAGTCTGACGTTTCGACCGGCATGTCGAATGCTTTCTCCCCTCACAAATCGATTGCCTCTCCCAAGAAGTCGATTGTTTCTCCCAAGGGAGACTTCTCTATCAAGCGCGCCTTGTCCAATGCCTTGACTCCTAAGCACAAGCGCGACAAGGGCCCTCCTGTCCCCGAGAAGGACACTCCTCCTGACTCCAGACTGTCAGCCAACATCACCGACTTTAATTGCAGACCCTCCGACGCTTACTCCGGCAACGCCTTCGCTGCTGCCATCGATGATGACAACGATGAGCCCCGAAACGAGTCCCCTCAGTCCAGCGAGACTATCTTGGTCTGCATGAGCGATGAGTGCAGCCCTATCAAGGTTGTCCCTTCCGGTGTCGCCAGACTTCATCACAAGCCCCATTCCATCTTCAAGGGTGAGGCTGGTATCATGGAGGTGGAGCCGGAGCTCTTCCGCCAAATTGAAGAGGAATTTCAAACCCCTCCAATTCCTACCAATTTGATCTACAGTCCGGCTACCGACCGCGGTACCTGGGAGTCCAACAAGAGTTCTACTGAGGAGGACGACGCCCCCGACTACTCCATGGAGGGTCTGCTTCCCGGTGGTCTGCTTCCTGCCACTACCTACCAACCTCCTGAGATCGAGGAGAAGCGCAAGGCAAAGCCGTGCATCTACTCACCCAGCATCTACAGCAATAACGACGTGTTCCGCGTAAGTCTACATCTCGTTCTTCCTCATGATTGCCTTCCTCACCTTTTGCCCTCATCCTCCATCTCTCTTCCTCCTCCATCTCTCTTCCTCCTCCATCTCCCTTCATCCTCCTTGTATGAGCATCCTACCTTTTCTCCCATGAGCTTGGTTATCATTGCTTCGCTGCTGCAGAACGTTTTTACGTCTTACCTGTTTGCTTCCCCATATTCCCCGTGATAGTTCCACGTTATCCCATACATCGCCCTCTTCCTACCCAGATCGATAGAACATCGTCGCTAACAAATTTATCAGAACGACTCCTTCAACAACGCTGACAAGGAGTACAAGGTCACTACTCCTGTACCTCCCAACTCTCTCGAAAACTCACCAGCCTTCAAGGCTCAAGAGATGAGACAGCTCGGCTATGGCATGGGCTACGCAGACAAGATGCTGCCCGGTCCCCGCATACAGCAGCCTATCAAGTACATCAAGACTGTGGAACCCAACGACTATGTCTACAAGCCCGAGGATCACAAGTTTAAGCGCAACGGAGCTGAGACTCCCGTTTTCACCCACGACTTTGCTGTGGACAACGCCCAGAAGCATCAGTCGGCTATCCGCAACTCTGTCTATGCCGCAAAAGTCACACCTGACAAGGTCTACAACTTCGCCAACGGCACCTACGAGCACCCCAGTGCTGTTCCTCCCCCACTTCGTCGCACTAGCGGCGAAAGCTCCTCGCCTTCCCTGCGCGAACGTTATATGGAGAAGGACCAGGGTGGTTTGGGCATCAACTTGAGCGAAGTCGGCTCGTTCAAGGACAACGACACCACCATGGGGGTAGATGGGGATGCTGACGATGAGAGATCCCGCGAGAGCGAATTTCTTAAGACTCCTCTCTCAAATGCCTTCAACTCACTGTGGACTCCTCGCGTCAAGGCTGAGCGCGAGCGCAAGGACTTTGGCAAGTCACTTCGCAGTATGAATCAGCGTATCAGCGATCTTCACACCGAGAACGTCGAGCGCCTGGCCGACATGACCAAGAAGATGGATCGCGCCATCAAGTCTGACGGCAAATTCCAAATTCAACTCGACAACATTCGCGAGTCTGTCGATGCTATCGGCATTGCCTTCGTCCAGTTCGGCATGGACGATGAGAAGGTCCAATTGATCGCTGACAAGGTCATCGACGCCCTTTATCCAATCATCACCAAGGGTCATGAGCAGAACAAGGCTGACACTGAGCGCATCCTTGCTCGTGTCGACAAGTGTCACGACGAGATGGCCAGAGAGTTCGACTCTCTCAAGAAGAAGAGTCGCAAGCTTCACGACCGCCTCGCCTCCCTCACCGAGCACATCTGGTCCACCGCTCACCCTAATGAGGAGCCTCGCGAGTACGCCAACATGGCCGGCGACTACACCGACTACCACGACGACACCTGTTAGGTTGTTTTGAACATTCCCATTCGCATGTTTTCCGATGTCAATGACGCGAATAAATGTCTCGGTGGTTATTGAGGCTGGCAGCGGTTTCCACAACGGCGACATCGGTCATACGACGGAAATGGCGTTTTGGCTTCTTCGCAACGCAGCGGGGAAGAGGTTGGTCTTTCACGCGAAACGACTTTCACGAACCATGAATTACACGACACAACACAACGGAGTTTGGGCACTCATCTGTTTCCGAGATGATAGAAGAGAAAAACCTTGCTTTGATAGAATTGGTAGAGAAAAAGTTGGTAGAAAAAAAGGTGGTGGTAGTTGGTCGAAAAGCAAGGAAATAAATCAATTCACAGCTGGTCGGAGGATTCTTGACTAGTGGTTTATCATCCAATAAGAAAGATTGAAGTTGCCCATTAGATTTCCTGTCGATCATTATTGGTCTGCCTGTTGTCTCTGTGTCTCTGTGTCTCTGTCGTTTCAAGAGCGTGGTATCTTTTAATAGCATCTTGACAGATGATAGACAGCACATCCCCCGATGGTGTAAGATTAGAAGTGGCAAGGCAGATTGCTCGAGGAAAGGAGGCCTGGAATCTCAAACCTTGACAGATGGGCAAAGTCAGTCGTAAAGAGGCTCACGAGGGGCACGTTAATGGAGCGTGGCACGCGTGGATCAAGCGCGGTCTCTGATCGGCGAGAAGGACAGGCACGGACGGTTTCCTGGCTGGCAGTGGGGAATGGGTCCAAGAATGAAAGCCATGACTGTAAAGCGAAAGGCCGGAGGGCAGGGAGACAAAGAAAACGGCTTTAGGTCGTCGTTGCCTCTGACGTGAACTAGAGCAGTCTTTCCCATTTATCCAGTCGTTCGCTCCTTCCCCGTACGTGTATCAGTCGATAGACGACGTCGGTGCATGTGAGGCATATTAAGGTGCATTCGCGCAGCAACATGTCGGAGCCGCCAAAGACGCCGGCGCATGCTGCTGCCAACACCCTCTGGCACTCTGCTATGCAAGCCGATAACATCCACGGTAGAGTGGCTGCCAGCCATAGCACCACCCAGCTACCGTCAATTCATACCCACCACCTCCGCGACCTGTCTTCGGATCTCACTCCTTCTCCCTTCTCCTCATCATCCTCTAACCCGAACGCGCTACCTTTCCGTCACAACCACGCCGCCAGCGCCGGCCTCCAGATCCGAACAGACCTCCCTCCAGGCATTGCCCACGGCAAGCAGCCCTCCAACCACCAAGAGAACACCGAATCCTCTCGCTCGTCTCACCCGGCTGCCTCACCTTTGCTGACACCAGCACTACGCCATAATCTGTCAACCGCCAGCTTGAGTCCTAACTCGGCTCTTGCTTCGCCCGCTCTGGCCGCCATGCTTGATCTCACTCCGCTACCCTCACCCATCATGCTCAACGACCCCAATTCACCTGGTCCGTGGAAGAGGATACGAAGCGGCCATTTCGATCACACCACCCCAAGACCTCCCTCGAGACTCGGTTCCTCGCCGCCGACAACAAGTATGCTGTCGTCATCCATGCCACCGCCCGATTCACCGCACAAGAAAAAGAAGGGATATGGGAGTCTGATGCATGCCGCCGTCGAGGCCCAGACGGTACAAAACATGGACTCTGTCTTCCGCAAGCAACATAACCGCAATCGTAGCATTAGCGATTTTGTACCCGAAGCCATGCACAACGTACGGCCGAGGAACGTCACAGTTGGACCGGCTGGTCTTCATATCACAACTACGCCGCCGAACGAGGCGCCGATGCAAAGAGAACACTATCTCGCTCAGCAGCGCGGCTATGTGCAACCTTCAGCCTCCTCAGACGATGAGCGCAGAGCTCAGGACCACCCTCATACGCATGCGACGGGCATGATGAGAGCATCCGTGGACTCGGCCAAGGTTCTGCCTTCACCACCACCCTCGAGTAAGGGCATGATGGATGGAGAGAACGAGGAGGAAGACATACAAAGCATAGGTGGAGCCGAGGACGAGGACAACGTCGAGTACTTCACCGTAAGATCAGCACACGAGGACCGCAAGCGCAAATGGCGTTCAGTACGTTCTCTAGGCCAAGGCACATTCAGTAAGGTCATCCTGGCCACGTCGCAGCGTTTACCGCCGAATACTCCCTATGACGAACAACACTTGAACCCAAGGAAACTGGTCGCAGTCAAGATTGTCGAACATGGGCCGGCAGGAGGTGCCGATGAGGAACGCATTGAAATATCGCTGAAGCGAGAGGTTGACATTCTTAAGAGTGTGTCACATCCCTCGATCGTACAACTCAAGGCGCTCGAGTATACCGACGAACGTGCTTTGTTGGTCTTGAGCTACTGTCCTGGTGGTGACTTGTTTGAGCTGGCCAGCGAACACCGCAATATCCTGCAACCTGCAATGGTGCAACGCATGTTTGCTGAGTTGGTAGGAGCTGTCCGCTATTTGCACAACAACTATATCGTCCACCGCGACATCAAGCTCGAGAGTAAGTCTGTTATATCTTCTATCCCCTACCAAATCACTGACACAATTCACAGACGTCCTAGTTGTACCCGCCTACAATGCTCTCTCACAGTTAGAAAACCCTCAAACACACCCTTACCCGCTAATCTGCCTCACGGATCTCGGACTCTCCCGCCGCATCTCTGCTCCTCCAGCGTCGCCACTCCTCACGACCCGCTGCGGCAGCGAAGACTATGCCGCTCCCGAAATCCTCCTTGGCCAACCCTACGACGGTCGCAGCACAGATGGCTGGGCTCTTGGTGTCCTCCTCTACGCTCTCATGGAAGGTCGTCTACCTTTCGACTGCCCACCCGGCAAGCCCGAACGCTCCCGTCCTTCCCATCGTATAGCACGCGCAGACTGGATGTGGTGTAAATTCGGCGATGAAGATGGAGAGTGGGATGACAAGCGTGATGGAAGCAAAGAGTTCAAGGGATGGGAGGGAGCAAGAGCTGTGGTTGAGGGACTTCTCAAAAAGGTCAGGATGGGAAGGAAGGGCTTGGGCGAGATTGAAGAGATGGACTGGGTCAAGGAGGGGATAAAGGTTGAGGGCGGTTTGAAGGCTTTTGATGACACCGAGCCTTTATGATCGCCGTGAGTCGCAACACTTTTCACACGACGAAGCTTTGGGATGAGGTCGATTTTTGACGAAACACGACGACCATTCCTTTTCGACGACTATATCCTTCCTGGACACGTCCACATACTTTTACGAAAACAACACACACGCACACACCAACGTCGACATATATATCGGTCGATCACAACACACATCAAGATTGGACATGAGTACACATAACAACTATAACTATTACACAACACGGCGGGCTACTAAGGAAGACTGGTGGAGGGCTCTATTATGGGATACCCATTTATTTCGAACCGGACATATTGGCGTTGGTATGGAGTTTGTTTTATCTCTTTTTTCATTATCATTCTTCTTCTTCTCTCTATCACTGCTTGACTAGAGATAGCCTTTTTTTCTTTTACCCTCTGTTCACCAATGGTGGAATCTTCTTTGTTCCGAATACAGCGATGTAGCGTGTAGTTCTTTTGACCTTCTGTAGCCGATAGTTTCTTTTAGTCTTCAATGCCATTTTTCCACAACATATTCCGTTTTTTGCTTTCGAGTTCTATCGCCTTTCTCGTCGCTTTGCTTTTTCTCTCATGTGTTGTATGATAGGGGTGCAGATGTGTACTGTAGGCCATTGATTTCCACCACGGTACGCCGAGTCAAACAACCAGTAGATCGCTTTACGAATTTCGAAGTTTCACCATGCCTCTCGTTCGACTTTACAGAAGGGGCGAGTGTGAGCAGTCGGGGCGATGGAGTACAGTAACCGATCAAGATTCAAGAATGCATGAGTTACGAGCGAAGATAAATGACAGACATGATCAAACGGCAATTGAACAGTAACTAGAAAACCACATAGCAAAACAAAGAATCGAGCGGGACGGAAAAACATAAGAGATCAACAACATTACTCCCCATATTCACCGCCCTCCCTCAACCATGTCTCTAAACCTCGAGTTTTGCCTCTCCAACAACTCACCCGGCTGCCCAGTCTCGACGATTTCGCCTTTGTCCATTACAACGATGATGTCGTAGTCTTTAATCGTATCTAAATGATGTGCTACGGCTATAACAGTGCTTTCCTTGAAAGCCTGATTGGCGACATCGAGCATTAGATTTTCGGTTTCTGTATCAACGCTACAAGATCCAAAAGTCAGTATAGGTGATTCTTGAGGGCGATGGTGATGAGATGTAGGAAAACTTACGCGCTGGTGAATTCATCCAAGATGACAATCTTCTTCGGTCGAACACACGCTCTGGCCAAACAAAACAATTGTTTCTGCCCCTGCGAAAGCACCTTTTCATTCATCGTCACTTCTAAACCTTGTGGTGCGAAGATATGCCACAATCCCACCTTCTGCAGTGCTTCTATCATTTCCTCATGTGGAATAGTGGCAGTGGTGTCTAAATTAAAGCCGACACTTCCAGGAAGGAACCAAGGGTCTTGGGTGACGGTGGTGATGGATTGACGTAGAAGGTTGGGGGAAATAGAAGTGATGGAGGTGCCGGAGATAAAAATGTTGCCGGTGGAAATGTCGAGCATACGGAGGAGTGTTTTGACGAGGGAGGATTTTCCACTACCGCTGCGACCGCAGATGCCGAGTTTAGCTCCGGGAGGAATGGTTAGGGAGATATTGCTGAGGGTCGAAGGTGCGGGAGGGTTAGAGGGGCAAGAGTAAGATGCAGAGACAGTGGTGAAGATGATCGGACCGGCTCCGAGAGCAGTTGGCGTAGTTGGCGAAAGAATGTCTGGGGTTGTCTCGAGGTGTATAGATTCCTCAAATGTCATGATTCTGGAGACGGCGCCTAGTGCTGTTTCGGTGCTTGACCAGAGAACAACCACTAGACGGGTATATGTCGCAAAAGACATGATGTTCAGAAGTGCAACACCGACTGAGCCAGTCGAATCACTGTCTCTGAGTGCAATGGCTAGTCCGACGACTAAAATCGTAATGCCTGCGGTGATGAGATCCAGGACCAAACTCAACCATCTCTGCACCATGAGAAGAAGATAGTATGGCCTTTGCGCTTGGTCGATAAGATCGTTGTTAGTAGCGATACTCTTCTCTTCCCAGCCGAATGCTCGGATCGTCGAAAGACCAGCCAGAGTCTCGGTGAATTGGCGGTACAAAGGTGCTTTCGCTTCGAGCTCGAGGTGTCGCAATTGTTTTGAGGTGCGCAGATAGATCTTCTGTATGGCCCAGAGAAGACCGATCAGTGGCACATAAGCTGCGGCAATATACCAGTTGGATCTAGCAATGAGTATCGCCTGGCCAACGAGAGTGAACGCAACTATTTTGCACCATGTCAGCGATAGCGCAATGACGAATGCAGGCTTGAGCAAACTTACCACAGACTAGATCCAGCAGTAGTTCAGGTAACTCGGAATCGATGATTCCAAGGTCATGGGTGAGCCTGTTGAGTATATCCGCAGAGCCTGTGGTAACAAAGGAGGGCCAACATGCACTGTTTGGTAAATAGTTAGCACGATTGAATATGAGAAAGTCAAACTGCTCTCCCTTACTTCATTGCTGTCGCCAGGATGGTCTTGTGGAGATGTAGACCAGATTTTGCTACCATATGGACCAATGTCAAGCTGGAAAATGAAATTAGTGAACTTGTGAAGATCTGTGAGGCCGTTCTTCTTGACGTACCTGCAAAGTGCGAGTATACAAAACACCGCCGAAACTTGCAATCCTGCATACACTCCAAGATACAGGCTAGCGTTGTTACCGGCCTCGGCCCACCATTGCAACCATATTGCTGTGGTCGATAAGTGTGAATTCAAGTCTCTAGATCGATGAATGATGCTTACTCGGGAACACAGAAAAGAAGGCGAACGACGTTGTAAGCATCAGAAACGCCACCAAAGAAAGCACTCCGATCGAACGGAAGTAATACAGGAAGACAGCTGCATCTGTAGCATTACCACGGTTCAACTTGACGGTCTCTGGAACATGCACCGTCGGTGCTTCTTCCTGTTGCAATGCAGAGTCGGGCTTGATGTTTATACCTTCAAGGACAAGAGCATTTGGAAGCAATGGCTGTAGATCCTGTAGACATCCATGACCTTGCACTTGGCCATCTTGACCAAGCAGTACCACATGGTCGTATTGTGAGATAGGCGTCACTGCTGGGATCAGAGCTGAGGTAGATACGCTAGAATGATAGCTTACATGAGGTAGTCGTTGTGATGACTATGTCCGTGTTTCTAGCAAGAATCCCTTCACGGCCGAAAACGCGCTGAGAAACTATCCTTTGTGTTTCCGAGTCGAGGCCGGCGAAAGGATCGTCTAAGATGAGTGCCTTGCATCTCGAATAGATCGCTCGGGCGAGGGCCTGAAGAAGAAAAAGTCGGTCAGCGAAGGAACATGGTATCCACACAGCATGAACGTACCACTCGTTTCTTCTGCCCACCGCTGAGGGCTGTGCCACTATCTCCGACCGGAGTTTGATCCCCCTTTGACATCACTCTAATGTCCTCGTCTAAACATGTGACATGCAAGACAGTTGCATACCAGTTTGGATCGTAAGTTGAGTATCCGATGATGTTTTTCCTGATCGTAGCACTCTGAAGCCAAGGCTTCTGATCACAATATCCAAACGCTGACCAGGGTGAAACGACTGATCCACGTATAACCTTGGCTTCTCCCAAGATAGCTCTGATCAGAGTAGACTTGCCACTTGCTACTGGTCCGAGTATGAAGTTGAAAGAGCTGGTTGAGAAAGTCGCGTTCAGGTTGTGGAGAACGGCTGTAGAGGTGTTCCAGCCAATGTCCGCATCTTTAATGATGATGGATGGCTTTGCACTTCGCTGTCCACGCACAGGCAAAAGCCTCGTCCACGGTTCAGTCAGCTCCACTCCGTTGTCAACATCGTTATGCATGACCGTGTCATGCCGCACGCTGGCGCCTTCTGAAGACAAACCTTCAGACTCGGGGTCACCGGCTTCCAGGTATGATCCAATCCGTGTTAGGCAAGCAAAAGCACCCACAAAAGGCACGACTACCTGGAACAAGGAAGACAGAGGCTGCGTAATGAGCTGCAGAAGCGATAGTGATGTCAGTATCCTCGAGACATCATATTCAGCCGACGAGACTGCAACAAAGATAGCAAATGTGATTGGTGGAGAAAGCAAAGCAGGAAGATAGGCTGGCTTCGTCAGATACAGTAACCATCTTGCCGTGGACTTCGAATACATACCTGAAGTCGCCGTCAGAGCTTCAAGCCAACGAAAGGATTTTCCCGCTTTGACCTCAGTCTCACGGAGTTGTTTGATGATGATAGATGAGCTTTGGGTAAATCCTGTCATCTTCAAGGCTTCCATGGAAGAGAGCACTGCAGACGAAGCTCCTAATGCTACCTGTCAGCTAGAAGCTTTGGACAAGATACGATTACTGACCGACTCGACTCTGAATAGCAGACATCCACTTCTCTTGGTATACTCGGGTCCACCGTGAGGCGAACGAGACCCCCAATGTTGTTACTGTTAAGTCATCAGCGAAAGACTTATACAGCATCCCTGTTCTGACCGCACTGACGTAGAGTGATAATGATAGGTACGACAAATGATACTCCCACCCGTCTCTGCAAAAGCCAGGTTGCGATTGCTACTTGCAGCGGCTCTGCCCAGAACTCGTGCATGAACCTCATACTATTGGACACTCTATCGACGTCAGCGCTGATCAATGTGAGAGCTTTCGAGTCATCTTCTATAGTAGCACGCCTATACAAAGTTGACCTGTAGATATTGGCGATGAGACCGCCACGGATAGTGGCGGCGCTTTGGTAGACCTTGCGATAATAGATGCCGTTGAACACCTGCATCGATTAGCAAACAGTGTTCGGTTTCGGGAGACAAGGTCGACAATACCGCCATTCCGAGGTACACAAGAGCAAAAGCGACAAGAAGACCATATCCAACGTTCGTTCCCTCGTTCTCGTTTTGCAAGAAGTTGAGAAGAGCCTCCATCAAAAGAGGTTGGCAAATGTTAAATCCTACAACCAGTACGCGTGCGGCAATCGTAGATGGCAGATGCCACTTGATGAGGCCCAGTGAGACGAGAATGAGTCTTCCTGGTCTATTCCCGACTATGATTCAGGGTCAGATATAGTTCCTATGCGCGCTCTGGCAGTCATCTAGACTCACACGTGGTCCAGTACACTTGGAATCGTGCAACAAGATCTTCCGCCATCATTGTTCTGTCCAGCGAAGACAGATCCGGCAGCACAAAGGTTTTGTGGTATCCTTTTCTCAAAACACCATTCACCCACCAGAAAAGAGATTTGCCATAGATGCCAGATACCTGATCCATTACTTGATGAGACTTCTCGCGGTGCGTTGATGTCTTGGCTGTTTCTTCGAGGACTATCATCACCAGTTTGATCGCTAGAGACGCTGTGAGTAAGCTACCCAGAGCAGTGTCATCGAGAAGCCAGAGAGTCCGTATTCGAACGATGTCGGTCATGGCAGTGAACAAGAGATAAACTCCAAGAATTGAGGACGGCTTTGACGATCTCCAGTGTTCGTACCATGAGAGTATACATATTGCGACTGCATCCAGGACGAGTAATGTGTTGGCGGTGATTGAGATACCATTTTTGTCCTGCTTCAGATAAATTACAAGCAAACTGAGCCCAATCGCACAATATGCAACGTTTATGACCTGTTGGCGTCAGTACTCTATTACACTGTAATCCAAAGAGTGATAACAACAGATTTCCAGCGAAGCAAGGTTTCTGATGTAGCCGATGGTCTTTGCCTTGCGAGCCAGAAGATTCGCCATGGACCAAAAAGGAGGAACAGACAAGAGGGTACGATGACGAAAAATATGTTCTCGAATTGAATCGAGAAATCAGATTGACGCCGACCATCCTTGTATGCAAAGACGTCCATGGACAAGTCTCGGCTGACTGTAAGTGGAAGTCACGTAAAGGTTTGTTCACCGCGGCTGGCGCTTGCTTGAAATACAGCGACATGGCCGAAGCATGGACAAGTCTCAGAATTGGCAGCCTAGTAGCCACCCAGTCCTTCGGGTAGACTCCGTAAAGCTTGCTCCTACATCCTAAGCTCCTATGCCTTTTAACTTGCGAACAATCATGGTCGTCGATGTTATCAACGAGGTGCGGGTTAGGGAGGCTGTTTGATCCGATTGGCTTCGCGTGACGCGCGGGGCTCATGCCAATCAATTGGACCCTTTTTCCTTCCTTCTCACCACTTTGGCAGTCGCTATCATGAACGGGACCTGCCTTAATCGGCTTTCACACTCAGGAAAGATAAGGCCAAGATGTATCATTGGTAGCAGAATCAAGCACTGGTTTCATTGCTTGTCTTTAGGTCAAGCGTTGGCGCGTGCCGCAAGCTTTTCTTCGCAGCCATGCACCACTCTCTCGGGACAGCTCATATATTCTGCAGTGATACACACGACAAATGCGTATCTTTAAACTTCCGAATGTTCTCCATAGGGACTTAAGCTACACTGAAAGGCTCCCTTCATCGCTTTCGCGAAAAGTATATTTCCATGTCTCGTCATGACTACACGACCGATGTCTGCCAGAGAAGATGAGCCTCTACTCAACCCGAATGCTCGCAGCTACCGAACGAGATCAGTTATTATCCTCGTCGCACTGGTCATAGTCATCACAAGTGTCGCTGGTGGGTTGATCGGTCTGCCATTCGTCCGACTTATCGAAGATGCAATATGCCAGGAACACTATGCTTCTAGGCCAGTCGAAGGAGGATTGTTCATTACTTCTGATGTGGATGAAGCGCATTGTAGAGTCGATGCTGTACAGTCCAGATTGGCTTATGTTCTAGCAATCCAAGAGATGCTCGATGCCATTGCTGGTATGCTCGGACACCATCTTACGTCGTGCGAAACTGATTGATATTCCTGCAGGTTTTACTTTTGCTTTGCCGTATGGTTTATTCGCTGACAGGTAGTTCTTCTGATAACCTACTCTGCTTCGACTGCCTGTTCTGACGATATGATGAACAGAATTGGCCGTACGAAGGTCCTCGCACTATCATTTCTCGGTATATGGCTGGCCGGTTGCTGGGCAGGTCTCGTTGTATGGCAACGCAACATCTTTCCCATCTGGACCATTTGGTTCTCAACAGCTTTTCAAGCCATAGGAGGCGGTCCCGGTATTCCAATGACAATGATATATACGATCATTACCGATGTCCAGGTTGAAGCTGAAAGGTGATGAACTTCTTGTGCTTCTATACCGTTCTCGAATGCTGATTAACTGCAGGACAAACACTTTCTTCTACGTTTCAGTGTGTGGGATGATAGCAGATCTAATCGCGCCTACCCTGGCGGCAAGTCTCATGGCGGTTTCACCCTGGTTACCCTTCACCATCGGCATCTCCGCCATGGCTTTTGCGATGCTATTGACGCTCTCGATCCCAGAAACCTATCACGCTCGCACACGTATAACCTCCAGCCCACGGCAAGGTCCAATTGATGCACAGCCGAAACCCTATGGCCTCTTGCATCACCTCAACCAAATACTGGCAATGTTCAAATCACGCTCTTTATGTCTGATCTTCGTATCATTCGTCGGAGAGCAATTGATACTCAAAAACAGCGGCTTCGCCATGCGATACGTCAGTAAACGCTTTTCCTGGCCACTCTCTCGCTTCGGCTACTTCATGTCCGCCAGAGCTCTAGTCGGCATCTTGATCTACCTCCTCATTCTCCCTCGCATATCATCCTTCCTCCAACACCGCATGCTATTCCCTCCATTGCGTAAAGATCTACTCCTCGCTCGCACCATGGGCATTATTCTAGCCATCGGACTCTTTCTCACTGCTGGTCCCACACTAGGCTGCGTGCTTAGTGGTCTGTTACTCGTTACCATCGGCTCTTCCTCCACAACAATCTGTCGCTCCATCGCTGCTCATTTTGTCGATTCCAGACATGTGGCTTCCATGTATACGTTTCTTAATCTACTTAATACGGCAGGAGCGATCTTGGCTAGTCCTTTGCTGGCGTCGACTTTTGTGCTCGGGATGAGATGGGGTGGAGATTGGCAGGGCTTGCCATACTTATGTTTGGGTGTCCTTGGTACGGTTTCAGCGATTGCGTTGTTTTTGATCCGTCGGGGGACAGGAGAGGTCGAAGAGATGGAGAATGATGGAGAATGACAAGCTGTAGACGAAGCATTTCCGTGGCTTTGGATATGGTACTGCGCATACCGAGTACTCCCAGCGCCGGATGCGGCGACGACATAACTCTGGAAACGGAAGAAGCTCTCGAGAGATCGAAGAGTGTCCAGTGAAAGGTCAAACATGTCAAGCTCTCGACATGCACTCTCCGAGCTCTCGATGTGCTTGCGCGTTCTGATAGCTAGCTAGCCAAGCAACCCTACCAGACAGTGGACACAAGATAAGCATAACAAGACCCGCTTGAACCAGTGAGAGTATTCAAAGAGTGAAGTTGATGAATGGTGTACTAATTCTACATGTATGGCGGACCCCTCTCTCTTTTTTCACTTCTTGATCGCGAATGTTGTGATTATTCCTTCATGTCGGCTTGAATCATCCTGCGATATCTTGAACTGCGGTGGCACGGTGCTCAAACACCACGACGAGCGTTCCAATGAGCATACTCCTCGTGCATCTTCTTGGAGGCCTCGGGATCCTCATCAGCGAGGGTCCTGTGCTTGCCAGTGATGGCCTTTTGCTTTTCGCCTCCAGCCATCAATTGTTGGAAGATAAGCTTTGCCTGTGCTTCTTCACTCAGAGGCTGGTCAGACACGACAGCGACAGGATCATTGTGGCCGTTCGGGTCGGAGGCGGTAGTGTTGTTTTGGGTGGTGGGTGAGTCTTGCGCAGGCTGCTTGCCTTTGAATCCATAGCTTTGCTTCTTCGACATGTCAGTATTCGAGAGACGAACGAAACATCGTAACGCAAGCGGGAGAATGTGAACTTACATCATGGCGGATAATGCCTTTGCCTTTGCCGACGGGGTCGCTAGGACGGAAGTCGATGGCGACACTGTTCCAGGTTGAGGAATTCATAGTAGGTCTTTCGATGGCGGTGGGTGCGGCGGATATAGCAGGGGCAGCTGAGCTTGTAGGGACTGCGAAGTGGGTGGGTGCAGCAGACATTGTGGACGTAGAGTGTTGTATGGATGAGATGGGTGCTCATGGCGGAAGAGCCAGCTTAAGTAGGGGTGGAGGGAGGTGTTGCAATACCTTCGCGGCCCCTGCTCACGTTCATCTCTCGGCGACGACAAGGTGAAGTGAGCAAAGCGATGGGAAACTCCAACACTCTCCATACCCGAGCCAGTGGCTTCCGTGAAATTTGGAGTATAGCACACGTACGAGTATGCTGACTGCCTGATGCAGGAGCTACGCATAGCGAAAATGGTCCAGTGTCTTCTGCTCCTTTGGAGACCGGCGGCCACATCCTCAAATTGCATGTCCATGAAGCATTAGGCCTCTCCAGATTTGTTCTTCGACACGCAGAAGCATATACTGTTGTACTTCCGTTAAGGAACAGTGTGCTACCTGGGACAAGCAACTTCATGAGACTGTCTGGAAGTTGTTGGCCTGTAAAATGTGTTTTAGGGAGCCTTGCATCAAGGCCGCAATATGGACAGCTTGCTATCTCCACGACATAGACTGAGCTTACAAAGTACTTGCTGCCGCATCTCCGTTGATGGAAAATCGTCAGTGGATATGACGAACACTTCCAAGCTGAATCGATGCCAAGTATACGTCCAGTTCCATGAAGTGGTGTAGGTCTCGATTGCATGCATACTCTCATCATACACACTGTGAGTCCTGTCGAGAGATGGACTTGAGTCTGATGACTACTGAGAAGAGAATGTGGCAAGGTACAAAGTTTTGCAAAATTCAGACACTTCTCCCGTTTCACAACACCTTCAGGCATGGGACCATCAAGAGGCAAGATTGTTTTGACTTTGATACGAATGTCCAGAGAAAGCACAGCAAGCTGCTGGTTTCAGTGGAGGTGCATGACATTATCATTTTGATGGGTAGTTGGAGAGGTGTGTATGAGGGCTGAGAGCTCTTCATTCAACCAAAAGACCGTCTTTGATTACTGTCCTCCTGCCAGCTCTATCGTAGAGATACACTGCTTCCGGCACGGTACGTCTGGTTCTCCATTCTGGTTCATCTTTGTTGAAGAGCAGCATGTCCAATGGTTGTCCAGTGTTGATTGAAAGTTTTGAAAACTCTTCTTTGGTATTACCAGCAAGTCCAATAGCAGCCCTGGCTCTTGTCGATACACACTCATACAAGATCTCGGCATCTCTTTTGGTGCCAGCTTGATATACACCTACGCCTAAGCTTGCTATGTAGAGTGGATCACAGCTGCCTTGAGGTGTAAAAGCATTACCAATGTTGTTGATCGAAATTGCCGCATTGAGTCCATAGTCCTTGATCAGACAAGGCACAGGCAAAGTTCTTCGAGCGCCACTCTCTGTTCGCATCATGAACAGATCAGAGGTGGGCAATCCAACAAAGCTGATGGGCAGGTCGCCGATCTCGCCCTTCAAGCGCTTCCATTCATCGTCTTTGAAGAGTGATAGACGAGTACAGTGGCCTAGAACAATTGTCTTGTCGGTACGCTTTGTCCAGTCCTTGGCTTTGAGAGTGTCAATCACATGCCACACCAATGGCTCAATCTCAGTATCAAGATTGTAGTCGAGATGGAAGTCCAAATGCAGATTCTTCTCAAGAGCGAGATCAATTGTCCATTCCACATTCTGTTTCATCTTCTCGCGGTCATCTTCAACGTACGGGGTACTTCCAAGAACATCGACAGAGTATGACGGATCAAGAGCTCCCGATACGAGGCTTCTGATTCCTTCACCGTCATCGTCACCGGAGAACAAAGGAAGCTGAGCAAACACACACAACTGGACATGGCAGCGGTTTTGGGCCTTGTGCTTTAGAGCCTTGCCCGCCTCTATGCATTTCAGTCCCACGATCTGGTCGACTTCGACGAATGCTCGCATAGATGTCACTCCTGCTTGCACACTTTCATCAATAACTCGTAAGCCACGTTCGAGCAGGTCATCGTGCTCAAAGTCGGACTTTGCTTTAGAGGTCAATTCCATAGCTTCTTTGAATGAGCCTTCCTCAATTTGCAAATGAGCATACTTGGGATGAGAAAGGAGATATGCTTTATCGAGATGGATGTGCGGGTGGCAGAGAGCAGGGACCAGAAGAGCTCCAGACCCGTCTATGTGTGGAGATGAAGTGTCATCCTTTAGAACATCGAGGAGAGCAGGATCGTGTGGGTTTACTTTGTCAACAGCTCCGGAGAAAGAAAGATTGAGGTCCCAACGAGAACCAGGTTCAGTACAGGGTAGAGATACGTTAAGGATGTCGTGGATGCGTCCAAAGGGCTGTAGACTAGCGGAAGCGGACGTATCTGTATCATCAACCATTTTCAATTCGGAATCGACATGAATGCCCGAGGAAGCCAGAGATCGAGTGGCCATGGTTGTTACTTGGTGAAAGTTATGGAGGAAAGTGGAAGAAGGCACAATCATAGACGTCAGAGGGTTCACAGGTGACAGTAGCACAGGTAGGACCTTCCCCATCCGCGGAGGAACCTCGGTTCAAGTTGTCGGCGTTGGAAAGGCCGATGGTTTGGAGTCTCTCAGAAGCATCCCGAGTCGCGTCTTGAAGGAGGGTTAATTGCGCGTCCGACTTTCAGTTATTGTCGCATCGAATTATAGACATAATGCAGCCATCATCACGAGGATTTGCAGCTCCTGGGCAGATGCGCCGACCTACGGGACCTGGTATCTTGACTCAAATCCCTGCTGCGAATCCGGCATTCACTAATTCGCAACAGGTCCCATGTACGCAGCGAACCATCAAGCCCATGCGCCAGCAGCCACACAAGCCGCCCAAGCACAGCAACAACAGGAAGAAATGCGCCGACGCGAAGCTCAGCGAAGACAGGCTCGCAAGCCGACAGACCTCGACATTGACGACGACCTCGCCGAAGCAGTCATCACCGATGCCGCCATTCTATACCGCAAGCTACGCGACCAAGAGAAGAGATTGGATGCTATCATGACAAAGAAACGCTTAGACATCCTGGAAGGCACGTCTGGACAGATGCCATCAGAGGGTGTCCTGCGCTTGTTCATCAGCAACACAGCCGAAGCACAGCCCTGGCAGATGGCCAACGACGGCAACGCTGGTTTCAACGAGGACGGTACTTTCGACTTCGCAGACAACCAAGCTCGCTACCGTGTCAAGATTGAGGGCAAGCTGCTCGAAGGCTCAGATGACGCCGACGAGGACTCGGAGCTCAAGGCCAGTCTACCACCTATGGCCCCCATCAAGATGTCGCATTTCTTCAAGCGCGTCACCGTCGACTTCAACCGTCCTGCTGCCCTACAATCAGATGCCTTCAACAAGATCGAGTGGGTGAAAAAGGAGGGTGAAGCCGATATTGACTGCATTGCCTTTGGTCGCAGGAGCGATGAGGAGCTCCAAGTCACCATCAACCTCTACCTCGACGAGCTGCCAGAACGCTTCAAGCTGAGCCCACCTCTTGCCTGGATGCTCGACATGGACACTGCTACACGCGCCGAAGTCGTCCAGGGCATCTGGGATTACGCCCGCTTGTTCAAGCTGATCGACCATGATGACGAGCGTCGCATCAACTGCGACGACTACCTCAAGCAGCTGTTCCACAACGAATTCGCCTACTTCCCCAACCTTCCCGAGCTCGTTTCTCCACATCTATCTCCTCTCGAGCCCATCAAGCTCCCTTACACTATCCGTGTCGACAAGGACTACATTGCTCCTGAAGACGCATCCACACCGCCATCCAAGTACATGATATGGGATGTGCGTGTGAAGGTCCCCAGCACCACCAAACGCTTGATGCAGGCCATCATCTCATCGCCTAGGCACATGGCCAACCTTAAGAAGGTCACCCAAATCAACGATGATACGGCACTTCTCCTCGAAAAGGCACGTCACCTCAACTCGAAGCGCAGGTTCCTCCTCTCCCTCTCTCGCGACCCTGCCACATTCGTCAAACGCTGGACCTCAAGTCAGCAACGCGACCTCGAAATCATTCTCGCCGAAGCTGGAAGAGGTGCCGGTGATGAAGGTTATGCTGGTGAAGAGTTCCGCAGAGGTGGAAAGGACGGCGCGTGGGGTACCGATCTGGCTCGCGAAGCTGTTGGCCTATGGCTGGCAAGACAAAAGAATCATTAGGATGCTTTTTTTTGACCGACGGCAGGGGCTTGAGCTGGTGCTATATTGATTAGCGATGGCGTTAGGGAAACAGGAGTCAAGGATGGGCAGGCTATAAGGTCAATCAGCTATGCATTATGGGCAGTTTATGAAGTTATTCGGCTGGTTCGGTGTTGTTACACCTCCACATATACCGAGCTTCCCCATGGAGTAACCACAGGGATGCGAATACGATATATCGAGGGGGCTGTGCGAACTCTGGAAAGACAGAGAATCAATAAAACCATCAATCATGAATTAATAAAATGCTCAGATGTACTGAAGGGATCGAAGAGGGACGGTCTGTATAGAGTGCTGGCAAAAATGAAGAGAGTAAATTGTTCAGAAGTGCGGTCAGAAGGAGTTGAGCCGCAGTGTCAATCATGATCGACAGGAATGCAGGGTCCAGGTGACGTTGGAGGTTCCTGCATTCAGAGCACAAAGCACAAATTAACGATGACAAGCGTCTGATTCCTATTCGACTGCTTCGAGTCGCTCTTTCCGGTCATGCCTGTACCAAGACAAACAATGCCGATGTTTTCGTGTAGATCGGGACCGAGAAGATATCTGTTTTCTTTGTAGCTACTCTCTCTCTTGTCTTTACACTCGCGACCATCCATCAATTCATCGTCCCTATACTCCATCCTATCGTCATCCCTGTATTGCTTTCGTATTCGACCAACCACCTCGGATCATCTTCACTCGAGTATCACAATGCCTCCGGTCACAATTCATTGCGTGCGCCATGCTCAAGGCTTCCACAACACCAGCGTCGCAAATCATGCCATTCATGACCCAATGCTCACACAACTCGGCGAGGAACAATGCAAAGCTCTTCAAGCCAACTTTCCCTTCATGGACCGTGTCGACGGCGTCGTAGCATCTCCTCTAAAGCGTACCGTGTATACAGCTCTCCACTCATTCACACCGGCCATCAAGAACAAGCACTTGAAAGTGTACGCTCTACCGGAGCTCCAAGAGACATCCGACCTGCCTTGTGACACAGGAAGCGATGTTAGGGTGCTCGAGTCCGAGTTCAAGGGTCAGCCAGTCGACTTGAGCTACATGTACACACCTCAAGCCAAGGCTTGGAACAACAAGACCGGCAAGTGGGGTGCAACTGCTTCAGCCGTCGACGACCGAGCAAGAATCGCCAGAGAGTGGTTGTACAACCGTCCTGAGAAGGAGATTGTCGTTGTTACTCACGGTGGTTTCCTCCACTACTTCACCGAAGATTGGATGGATACGCACAAAATGGATGGTACTCCTTCAGCCGGTAATCCTCCCCTCCATAGTCATCGTCACCGTCGGCGATCTGATGCCCCTCCCCCTCCCCCCGATTCTATCACCAGTCTGCGTCACATCCGATCCCAATCTGAAAGTGGATCTGGATCTGATGCTTACTCATCACATCACCATCATCATCATCACCACCACCACCAATTCAGTCGCGATACGCAAACCTCTTCCTCTTCCTCATTAGCATTCCGCGAGCACATGCAACATCATCATCCACATTCTCACAGAGTTCCAGGTACTGGCTGGTACAACACCGAGTATCGTTCATACAACTTTGGCAACAACCCTAGAAGCGGTCGAGTCATACTCGTCGAGACCGAACAAAGCCGCGCACGACGTTCGGGAAACGACCAGCCGCTCAGCAGAGAAGAGCAGTCCAACTTGCACCGTACCGAGTCAAAGCAAAAGGCCGAAGAGGAGAAGGCCTACCAAAAAGCAAGCAGCATTCAAGCAAAGGTATAAATCTCTGTGGTTTCGTGAAACCTTTTCGTCTTCGCAGATTGCTTCGGAAGACGAGGAGTATGGAAAGGGATGTCTTGCGTTATGGTGTCAAGCCGTGATCAGGAAGTCTCTGAAGACATATTTGTTGTCTTTCTCCCTTCTTCGTTTGGAGTGATCAGGACTCTCAAGCAGAGCTGGGTCCGTGAGTATCACACCTTCTCTTGCGTCTCATGTCCGCGAGCACATCTACCTCTTCAATCTGATCTCTTGATCCATCACATCATTGCTGACTTTTGAATAGCTGAATCAGAAGCGAAATGATCGTGACCTTGGCGGGTACGGTTATGGTTTCTAACGACTTGTCTTATGATATACATGATTGCGATTGCATGAAGCGAGCGGACTGTCCTTAAAAAGGCTCGGAGTTGGCAAGGTTGCATCAATACATGGCGTTCTATAGATGTTATGGCAGTGTGGTCAGACGCACAAGACATGATGACAATGAAATCCTAAGAACCAACCCTTCTCGTCTATGTGCAGTTCACCAGTGCAGAACACGTATCACTTTCACTGCTAGGCCCATCAGAGTTTCGACCAGAACTTGCTGCTGGAAGACGAAACCAAGACCATGGAAAGGAGGGAAGTGCGTATGTCCAAACGTCCTGTCTATACAGCACTCAACCCACCATCGAGGTTCAACACAGTATTGTTGGCATACTGATTCCCAGACAAAAAAACAGCCGCATCAGCAATCTCATCCACGGTACCAAACCTCGCAGCCGGAATCTTCGCCACCGCAGCCTCCCTTGCCGCCTCGGACATGGCTCTCGTCATATCAGTCTCTATGTATCCAGGACATATGGCATTTACCCTTATCCCTCTAGGCCCCAATTCCGCCGCTAAACTTCTCGTCAAGCCGAGAATGCCTGCTTTGGATGCTGCGTAAGCTACACTGCCCGCGCCTCCATGGGTAGCTAACAAAGAGGAAATGTTCAGAATATGTCCACGTCGTGCCTCTGAGACAGGTGTATGAGGAGCATTCTTCAACATTTTCTTCGCCGCGAAACGAGAAGCTTGAATCGCAGCAGACAAATTCGTAGCCAAGATTTCATCCACACGGGTTTGAGTCGTGCGGAGCAAAAGGGACGAATGCGTTATCCCCGCCGCGTTCACCAGGACGTCTAGTTTCCCGTTCTCGGCATTCCATGCTGTGTGTTTGTCCAATGTGCTCCAGAAGTCTGGGGTGGTGATATCGCCGGTTATGATGCTGTGGGGGCGGCCGATGCTGCCGCGGGCTGAGGTGCAGAGGTCGTGGGTTTCTTTTAGAGCGGCTTCGTCGCGGCCGATCAGGAGGCAGCGGGCGCCTTCTCTGGCGAAGGCGATGGCGATGGCGCGACCTATGCCGCGGGAGGCGCCGGTTATTAGGCAGGTTGACCTGCGGAGGGCGTGTTTGGAAGAGGCGTAGATTTTGAGGGTGCGTGTTTGAGTGAAGGGTTGGATTGAGTTGAGTGATGATGTTTTTCGGAGGGAAGATGAACTTCCTTGTATCCTGGATATGCCTGGTATTGAAAAGAGACGGTGGGACATTTTGGGGAGTGTGATGGTCTGGAAACAGAGATGCGGTTCAAATTGGTGAAAATTGATATCTTCTTTTTTGAACAGGTATGAAAGCTACGGAATCACTTAGCCTGGTGTTTTGTCTACATGAATTGAAGTTTCCTCACTTTTCTGATGAATTCAATTGTGTTTGATAAAGAAGTCAAGATGGGCAAAGTTGGAAGTCAATGGACAATGAAGCTTGGATCAAGTGCATGTCTTGGCAGTCGACGTGTTTTCGCCCACAGCTCCAGGTCAGCCTTTCTTCTCTCTCTCAACAAACAAGCGCATCCTCGCATCACAACATCGACAATGGCAGACACAGAGCAGACTTCAGCGCCCGACTACGTCACGCTGGTCAGCAACGACGGCTTCGAGTTCTTGGTGCAGAGAACTTCGGCCTGTCTGTCTGGCGCCATCAAGAGGATGCTTGACCCCATCAGTGCGTTTTCCTTCTCCGGCCGCACTCCAACCTTTCACAAGCTGACTGTTCTCTCTAGATGGCTTCGCAGAGTCAAAGACGCACAGATGCACGTTTGAAAACATCAATGGCATGGTTCTCGAGAAGGTGTGCGAATACTTTTACTACAATGAAAAGAATCGCGACTCGACTGGTGTCCCTGACCTGGACATTCCGCCTGAGCTCTGTCTTGAATTGCTCATGGCGGCCGACTACCTGAATGGTAATCCACCTCGCCTTCTCTTCAGCATTGTCTGCCATGCTAACACATCCTCCCAGTCTGATGAAACCTGACGCATCTGCAACGAATCTCCTCTGTCTTCCTTCCAAGCATACCAGCAAGGCGTTTGTGGCGTTTAATGCTCTCTCAACAGAGTCATCTCACCAGCATTGCTTCCAACGAATACAATCATCGCCTCTTCCGAAGATCCTTCACGCCCTTTGCAAAAGAACCAGTATGAATACAACCACGAGACTATGATCACCCCAACACTTGGACCACGAGCATATACGCCGCCATCTACACTCCTCCACGATGCGGCGTCTATAGTTGGTCCTACACCCAACATTCCGCTTTATTCAGTCCCTCTCCTCGATTAATTCCACCTGGGATGTCGGACTTTATATCAGTCGGAGACATTTCGTCAAGATCACATCCATCCTCTTTACAATACAAATCACGTATACCCTCTCGGTTCCCCTTCCCTTGTTACTCAGTTGTCAGTTGCTTGCAAATGTGACGAACACAAAAACTATGTTCAGGAACTTCTATTGTCACGCTTGTCTCCCCTTCCTTGGGAGTACCAGGCCCTCATCACTGTTCCAAGATTGATTCGACGCGTTAAAATTGACTTGCAATGTCTTTGTATCCGTGATGTATGCGAGTCTCATTGCGTGCCTACATATTCCACCATGCCTTTTCTTTTCTTCATGACAAAAGGGGTGGTCGGTGTAGACTATCCACCTATATAGCTACTTCTACTATCATACCTTCCTTATCACTCTCGCTGTTCTTACCTGTATACATTGTTCCTATTCCTGTCCTGCATGTATCAAGCGTCTTGGGATCGATCTCCTCTACGGCCGAAGGAGTAGGGTTGATGCCCAAGCCGTCGTATATGCATGTTCCTCGACGGCGTCGAACTAGTAACTCAATGATCGCCTATTAGCTCTTTTCTTTCCCTTCCCAGCTGACACCTCTCTCTCTCGGACGCGTTTGTTCCTTTTCGACCTTATCAAATGGCATGCAATGCAATGCAATGTTATCTGACCGTAAGGCCGTCTTTTGTCTTTTGACTAATTCCCTAATTCCCAATGGGTCCGATCCCAATGGGCCCGTAAAGAGATAATATATCTTACTTTTTTGCTAAAAGGTTGGTACATTGAAAGTAGAATGTGCTCGGTGCTTGACACTTATGTATAGACGTTTTTTTTTTTGGACTTCATCTATCACATACGTGTTGGTATATGTAAGGCTTTTTTTGCTCAGCTCGTGCGTTTCCACCCCCTGGATCATCTGTTTCCATAGGGCTTGATATCGTATCATGCCCCCCCTGTGACATAGTGGTTCATGCAAAGCTGCAGTGCGTGGTTTTATCTCTACAAGGCTGAGGGATTTGGAATGGAGGAGGGTGGTGTTGGTATGAGAAGCCCGGCTACCTGGTTTGGAAGGGCGGGTGATTTGGAAAGGTTGGGAGTGGAATAGATTGGGAGCAGATAGATTGGGATAGATTGGGCATCCAACGTCAGTGACAAATAGTCGGGAGGGAGGCACGTACAATTGGCAGAAACGTGGAGGAAGGGAGAGAGATGGAGTCACGAGATTAAAGGCAGAAGAAAAGATGGATGATGTTGAATTTTGATGTTCAGGTATCCTCGTAGTCAAAAGAGTCTCCTGAATGACAAGTCATCGCTGTGTACGGATATAAAAGAAAACAATCTTGGTATATAATAGACAATTCCGCTGCATAAAACAAATAGCTAAAGAAAAAAAAAACATAAGAATATAGAGAGTGTAAAAGGAGCAAGATCAAAACAACCAACCAAAAGGAAACCCAAACCATTCGTCCTGTTCTGTTTCATACCCAGACCATCCATCCACATCCACTTGCCCACCAACCCCTTCATAAACAGGATAGGAAATGTGAACATTAAAAACACAAAAAGAAAAAGTGCATCTCAACAATCATCAAAATCACCGTCTCGACATCGTCAATGCCCTTGCTACCTTTCTGAATCCTCCTCTTTCCTTTTCCTTATGCTGTTCTTTCTGCGGTTCTTTTTCCTTCTTCTTGATGTCAGGAACCTCGACTTCTACAGCTCCAGCGGCGACAAGTGCATTCGTCTCCTCTCTCCAAAAGTTATCCCATCGGCCCGGTGCAGTTGGCTTTATCGAGTGACCGAGCAGGGAAGTACGTCTACTGAGAGCAGGCTTGGACTTCAAGCCGATGAGATTGGAAGATTGAGAGCGAGGAAGACCGGCACTGGAGATGGAAGTCACAGAACTGCCAGGGGAGCCGGTGCTGAAATCGAATGATTTGCGCAGACGGTTTCGAATAGCAGGAGGAGGTCTCGAGGGAGGAGCAATCATAGGTGCCCTTGCAGCAACTGCTTTCGTCGTAGCAGCCACAGCAGTGCTCTCTTCAGGAATCTGGATCTTGATGAAAGAAGCCCGCTGCGCAGAAAGCGGTTGCTTGGAAATATTCCTCGCGGGTGACGGTGGAGTAACATCCACATACTTCTCCCTCAAGAAACACATGAGAGCCCTGATATCAGAAGCAGTACTCATGCCGCCGAGCGATACTCTGACAACACCTGTAGCTTTGCCGTGGTAGATTTCAGTAGGTTTGCTGCAGCGATGGCCAGAGGAAAAGGCTTCGCGCATTTCTGAAGGTGTCCAGGAGAGATAGGTTGCCATACCGCCTGGGTTGCAGAGGGAGCCGCTGCGGATGTAAATACCCACATCGTTCGCGGCTTTTTCGACTTCGGTGTAGCCAATGAGGGAGCCGGAAGATGTGAGGACGTTGAACGCGACGGTGGCGCCTTGGGTTTTGCTGTCACCGTAGACAGTGCTGGGTTCTTTGTAGATGCGAATGACGGATTTGCCATTGCGATGGCGGAGATTGTGTAAGTTGTCGTGCAGGATTTTGGAGAGTTGGGCTGTATGGCGGGAAATGAATTTCATGGGTTCAGGGCCATACAGGCGTTCGTGAACGTCCATGGCGTGGTCGAGGGCGAAAATTGAGTGGAAAGGTAGAGTGCCATCTTCCAGTGCATCGTGAACCGTGGCAGTCTTGCGAGCGTGCCAGGTATCATTGAGAGTCACTACCATATCGACTGTGCCACCGCCAAAGTACTTGCGATTTGCGAGGACATGGGCTGAAGACTTCTGCACAAGCAAGGCTCCAATGTTAGGGAAGCCGAAGATCTTGTAGAAGCTGAGGGCCACGAAGTCGGGACTTTCGCTTGTGTTGCTGAGGTCCAATTGTGCTGTGCTGGCGAGAGCCGCAGCGTCAAGTAGTGTGTAGGTGTTGGCTCGAAGAATCTTTTCTCTGATCATGCCGGGCCAGCTGAGGGGGAGACGACGTCCGGTCATGTTTGACTGGCCGGGGTAGGCAAAAAGACCCAATTGGCGAGGCAATGGGCCACCAGCACCACCGCACTCAATCCACTTCTCTACCTCTTCATCGCTGCCAAAGCAACGACTCGTAGGTGTGAGCTCGCGAATGCCGACGAGACTTGTGTGAGCATCACGGTGGTAGCCATACCAGAGTTGCTTATGTGTCGAAGCGGCATGGTCTTTGATACATTCAATCGTAAGCTTGATGGCGGCAGTAGCGTTGGCGACAAAGACCAAATCCCACTCTTCGGGATCGGCCTTGAAGAAGCGCAGTGCCTTTTCGCGGATGGCGTCTATCCGGTGACCAGCAATAGCAGAAGGTGTTGAATCTGAGTGAGGGTTGCCATATAGATTGGTTATTAAATCCTTCGAAAAGGCCTCGACCATTGACTTGGCATAGAGCTGGGATTGGTTAGATGTTTTGTCCAAGCAAAGTAATGTGCATGTGATGTAAGCTTACTGTTGATCCTCCATGATCAAGATAGATTTTGCCTGCGAGTTGAGGGTACTCTCGATCTCTGAAAGTCTCAACTTCTTCGTTCTCCATGTGTTCTCCAGAACATGATGGAGCGGGTGTCGTGCAATCGGTTTCGTAATCGTAATCGTCGTGACCGCTGAAGGACGACATGTCGCCATCTGATACTGAGGATGTCCTTGACATGATGTCTTATGTGTTCCAGCACTGGGTCTTGCCCGTTGTACAAGGCTCAAAACAGGATCGCCCGGCAATCTGAATCGTAAAACGGTTTCCCTATTTCTGGGAGAAGGGGGAGGAGGGCAACGAGATAATCAAAAAGTTGGAAATCGTATCCGACTGGCGGTGAGGCAGGTAGGTCTGAGGGGTGCAAAGAGAAAGACTAGACTTTTGAGAAAGGAAGCAATAGTACCATACCAAACGAAAGAAGATGAAAGAGAAGGAAGAGGCAAAGGGCAAAAGGGTAACGGAGCAACGTGACGTATATAGATATCTTTCTGCAGAGGAGGGAGAATGATTGCTCCCGGGTACTGGGTGCAGATGCCATGGCGTCCGATCTGCAGCAAAATGATACATTTGTTAGGCCAAAACACATGGTCTCAGTAGCCACTCTGCGCAGGTAGCCAGAACCTGAAGGCTGTCAAAGCGGTAGGAGCCCGTCAACCTGTCAACGGTCAACTCACAGGCCAAGTTCAAGCTAGAGGTTATGGATGTTTGACGAATCAACGGCTCGCGTATTTATTTTGGACTGAGGATGCGTTGATCGCCAATCAACCCTCTACGCGATGTTGGGTCTTTTCCGGACAAGTCTGCGCTCTGTCCACTGCCGGGGATGCACGTCAACTCTCTTGAGATCCCCTTTCCTTTCCAGAATGCAGGCGTATCCTGGGTGGTGGTAATGCGACAGAGTGGTGAAAGTGGAGCTTGCAAGGCATCGCGAGACGGATGATCTGCTGGGCGCGCAGCAGGAATCCGCAATCCGGGTTCACGTTTCCAGCCCATCGCAGCACAGACACAGAGGCTGCAGGCAGAAGGAAGAAAACTTCTCATACGCCATCATCCCTGGCGCCGTCCACGACTCAGGAAGGCGATGGCAGATTGAATGACACAAACTTTTGGGCTATCCCACAAGCGTTGTGACGAGCGGGAACCAGGGACGACGCGGGCGGCCCGACGGACAGCAGACGGTATGAAGCCTAAAAATCCTCCGCAGACCTCACGTCAAGTCGTGTCTTCATCCACTCGGCATCTCCTTGCAACGCAACATGTGGGTCAAAGGGCCAGCAGCTATCCGACTATGTCAGGTGTCCGCTGTGTAACTCGCAAAGAATTCTTCTCCACGTAGCCATCGTGTCTCGGCGCTGATTGCGGGGAAAGTTGAACCATGATGAGAGGCTGGTAAGACTTCATTGTTTCACGACAGCGTTACGACGGTACCCGTTTTTGCTCGCTTGAGAGAAGCCGCAAGGTGTCACAACTTTCCCGAGCACTTCATCACGTCCACCGATCAGATTTCATACCAAGTTCCGTGTGTAGGATGAAGCCGTACTCCATCCGAGACGGCGACGACAGAGCTCATCCATCTCAGATCGTTCCGCAATGTCGGCACATCCTGATACAGACGCCCGAACGCCCTTCCACGAACTTCCAGCAGCCATCCGGTCGCCATGGCTGAAGCCACGACCACCGCCATGGCGACTACCTGGCTCCCCGCAAGTACCGAGCACCTCGTATATGAGATCCTAAAACGTCGCTATGACCTCCAATCTCTCGCGAGTTAGGGTTCAAGGGCTTGCAAGGAAGGAAGGCTTCTAGGCAAAAGAAGGATGGCTGCTGAGCGCGCGCGTCGCTGGCAAAAAGGATAGCCGCAGTCTGTGCTGTAGCGCTCGACCAGTCAGTTCCGGACAGCAGCGTCTTGCGAGATGCAGGCATCCGGTCTAAGGACAGAGACGGTCAATTGTTTAGACGAGCAGTAACGGCGTCTAGTGATCAGGACTCAAGAGGTGGAGATGTCAGGGTTTACAAAGGAGAGAAGCTCGAGCAACCAACCGTGAGGAAGGTGCTACCGTGGGAGCTGGTGGATCGTCTCGTGGCCAACGATAGCATACCTCGTGCGCCGATAGCAGCGGTTTTCTCGTTCAAACGCTCAGACGATGACGACCTGTCGCAATGAGATTCGTTGTGTTTCAGGACGACGTTGTCATGGATAGAGGAGACAGCTGTGATCCTCGTCGGAACCGGACCGCTGACAGGTTCGCGGAAGATCCTCGAGGCGTCCATCAGATCCTGCAGACCAGGTCAAATGAAATTGACCAGATCCTCAAGATTGCCCGTGTCGACAGCCCTAGATCAGATTTCAAATGATTGGATATTGTGGCTTCGATGGAGATTTATTAAGTCGCGATGCTTTCGCCATTCTGAAAGCACGTCACTACGGCCCGCGCGTCTTGACGGATTGGCTGAAGTGCTCGCGTAGTACGGGGAAGCTAAGTCTAGTTGCATTAGCTTGCTGTCTACAGCCTGCAGGGGCACACCGCGACGTCTTCTTCTCCTCAAGCCAAAAGATATCTGATACATCCGACTTCATGCACAAAGGTCAATCGCGTGGTGACCGGGCTTTTGGGATGCGTCTGAAATTGCCCTCAGCCACTTGGGATCGACTATGGAAAAGTAAGCTAGGAGCCAGCGCCAGCTTGTGATTCGATAGTCGCCCTTCCATGGCTTCTGAGTCGACGACTCTCGGTTGCATGCTGTTTGCCTCTCCATTTCCTTGTGCAGTCGTAGTGGCCGTCTGTGTTTGCTCGATTCCTGCAGCCAGCCTTCACGTACTCAACAAGCGAAATGGGAAAGGCTGCCCATCCTGCCCACTCCCTTCATTTGTAGACTGCGAGGCCCATTCTTTTCCTTCTTTTGTGTCTGAGACTCCTTCCACTCGTTCTTTCCAACTGCCACTTTTGCTTTTCGACATCACCTTCCATCTAGAAATAAGTCGAGACCTCAAGCTCGCCGTGTTCATCAACCGCCGTCACCCAGCCCCACCCCAATACTCCATTCGGTCGTCAGGGTCATCTCTTGGCTGAAGTTGCAGACGTATCTTGGGCTTTCAAATAATCATTGTGCACCTTATTGTCAACTCACATCTTTCATGTTCGCGTCAAGGTCCACGACCATGTCCGACGTCGAGAAGATGATGGGCGATTATGCCCAGCTCACCAACCACAACATCCGCAGCTTTCTCTGGAGAGGTGTCTCAGTCACAGTCAAGGACCGTCAAACTCACGAGGACAAGCCCATTCTCAACAATGTCAGTGGTATTGTCTATGCCGGAGAGCTGATGGCCATCATGGGTCCTTCGTTTGTCTACCACTGTCTTTTCTCGTCTTCTATTCGCTAATGTATCTTCAGTGGCTCTGGCAAATCAACACTTCTCAATGTCCTGGCCAACCGTGTTCCTGCCAAAGGTGCTTACGCCCAGTCTGATGTCTTCCTCAACGGCCGTCCGGCCGAAGCAGAGACTATGCGCAAGATCAGCTGCTACGTCGAGCAAGAGGATGCTCTCGTCGGCTCACTAACAGTCAGAGAGACATTGATGTTTGCTGCCCGTCTGTCATTGCCCAACACCATCAGCGCCAGTGAGCGTATCGCCCGCGTCGAGGCACTCGTCAACTCTTTCGGACTCAACGGTCAAGCTAACACATTGGTCGGTACACCTATAAGAAAGGGTATCTCCGGTGGTCAGAAGCGCCGTGTCAGTGTCGCTGCTCAGCTCATCACTAGCCCCAAGATCCTCTTCCTCGATGAGCCCACTTCTGGTCTCGACTCGGCCGCTGCTTTCGAGGTTATCTCTTTCGTCAAGGATGTGGCTAAGAAACACAACGTAAGCATCGTCAATGATGCACTCTTTTCAGCGGACGTTAACATATGCACAGTTGATGGTCGTCTCAAGTATCCATCAGCCTTCCACCTCAACCTTCGCCATGTTCGACAAGCTTCTCCTCCTCTCGCACGGCAACACAGCATACAGCGGACCCGTCAAGGATGTCCAATCCTTCTTCGACTCATGCGGCTTTCCTATTCCTCTTTACATGAACCCCGCCGAATTCATCATCGACTTTGTCAACACCGATTTCGCCAGGAACAGAGGTGAAGTCATCAACCAACTCGAAATGGTCACTGGTACATGGCAACGCTCCGGCCTTCACGCTGAGAAGATGAACCACATTGCCCGTGAGATCTCCCACGGCGACCCCTCACCTCAGGAGACCAACAGCAACGAACAGATCGGCGCTCACTGGTTCGCTATCGTGATTGCGCTTATCCATCGCAACTTCATCAAGTCATACCGTGATATCATCGCTTATGGCATTCGTATTGCCATGTACATGGGTCTGGCTGTCATGATGGGCACTGTCTGGCTGCGTCTTGATGCCTCGCAAGACAACCTCCAAGCCTTCACCAACGCCATCTTTTTCGGAGGTGCTTTCATGTCTTTCATGGCTGTCGCCTACATCCCTGCTTACCTCGAGGACCGCGCCATCTTCATGAAGGAACGTGCCAATGGTCTTTACGGTCCTACTTCCTTCCTCGTCTCCAACTTCTTGACTGGTCTGCCTTATCTCTTCATCATCACTGTCCTCTTCAGTGTCGTCGTCTACTGGCTCAGCAACTTCCGTGGCACGGCAGGAGGCTTCTGGACTTGGGTCATGTGGCTCTTCCTTGACTTGATCGCTGCCGAGTCTCTTGTCGTCTTCATCACCAGTGTCGTTCCCATCTTCGTCGTCGCTCTTGCCGCCACCGCCTTCGCCAACGGTCTCTGGATGTGCACCATGGGTTTCATGGTCCGTCCCGCCGACCTAAACCCCTTCTGGCGCTACGTCTTTCACTACATCGACTACCAGAGCTATGTCTTCGAGGGCATGATGGTCAACGAGTTTGCAGACAGAACTTACACCTGCCCCAAGGTCGATGGCAAGTGGAACTGCGCGTACAAGGACGAGAAGCTGAACGCCCAAGGACTCATTCCTGGTACTGGCTTGCTAGATACCTATGGCTACAAGACTGGCAGAACTGGCGAGTACATCGGTATCTTGCTTGCCATCATCTTGGTGTACAGAGCACTTGGCTGGTTTGTGCTGTATGTTCGCCGCACTTGAGTATCTACGCTCGACTTTGAAACAGCAAAAGCAATTTTGGCTGTTTTGTTCATGACGACTCTCTCTTGTTTCTATCAATTTTCTCTTTGGCGTTTCTTTGGGCAGGTGTTTTTCGGCGCATGTCTACTACCCCTTTTGCGTTTTTTGTTTTCTTTTTGGTTTCTCATTTCGAAATTGTATCGCATGTCTGTCTTCTCTTTTTCTGGAGAAAGCAGCAAATCACTCGTTGAAAGAGTGCAGGAAAGGATTTCGGTGTTTTTTCTTTTCCCTTCATTAATGATCGATGCATAACAACACAACACAGAACTACAGAATAGCCGTTCATACAAATCGCACGCAAAGGAAAAAAAGAACAATCACATCTCCACAACTTTGTTTACACGTCTGCAGTGATGTTTTCGTTCATGTGGTGTTCTCAATGGGATGATATGCTTTTGCAGCTTTCAGACCTCAGCTCATTTCCACCCTTGCTGTTTTTCTGCTTCCTCCCTCATCTGCACATAGAGTTTTGTATCACAGTGACAAGTACCTCGTCCTGCACCCAAGAAAACCCTCCTCAAACGCAAATCTATGCATCTACGCCCAACGCCCGACTCCACAGAAAGGGAAAAAAACTACTTCATCCTTTGTACCTTACCTTTTTTCACCTCGTACCTTGCTTCAATCCTTGCATCCGAGAAAAATTGCCGTTTACAAAAGGAACCGGTTGATTATGTCTATGGCTTATGCGATAATGTGCGTACGGTTTCAACTGTGCAACGTGTGACATATGCAGCCACTCCTCTAATGCATATGAGCGCCAATGTCAGCGGCTGGAAATTTGGCGGCTGCATATTTTCTGCTGCATGCATCCTGTGTCACTTGAGATGCTTTTGCCTTTTTGAGGATGGAGTGGGAATGATTTGGTTTGGTTTGAGGGGCTGAGGAGGCGTTGTTGGTATATGAAGTTATTGATCCCGCTCATGATCGATAAGAATTCGCTTTTCCGTGAGGATTTTCTCATCGTGCTTTTCTTCCGAGTGTGAATGCATACTAGTATCTGAAGAGATATTGGTTTGGAGATTGTTCTCGGCATATGCGTTGTCTTCACTGATGTCGTGACCCGTATTCTTCTCTGCTGTCTTGTGTTTTGCAGAAAAGATGTCGCTTTCCTCTTTCTTGTGTTCTGCCTCAATTACTGGCTCTGGCAATCGACCCAGCTATCGAGATATCTTGTACGAATGCCAGCAACATACCCGTCGAGCAGAGCACAAACAATCGGCATTCACGTTCTACACAAACGCTGGCACTTTGGCGTTTCGCATCAATGCTGTTGGGAATTTTTGCATCGCTGGGGTTGCTGCATATATGAATTGGTAGGTAAGAAGCCGTGATTAACAATTTAGTTCTCCTGCTCAAGACTGGTGCCTAGTTCATGGACCATGGGAACAGTAATCGATAGGATCATGTATGGGCAAATGCGGTCAGCAGTAACTTTCCGTCCTTAGTGTCGATGAGATGCAGGAGGGATATTGCATTGATTGTATTTTCTCTGGTCGCGATGGTAAGTTGTAGCACCCTGGCTTTTGAGCATGTGAAAGTTCGGCAGTCGTGGAGATGATGTCTTTTGAATATGTTCGTTTTTGTTTCTCCTTTTGTTCCCGGGTGTTGATTAGAGTTGCTGCGAGATCCGGTATAGCCAATTTCGTGAGGCCGGTAGGTGAGGTAGGTGCGATCACTAAGCTTGGTCTCGCTGAGTAAAATTCAAGCAAGAGAAATACTTCTCTGACAATCTTCCAAGCAAGGCTCTATCGTATCCAAGTGTAGGCTTCAAATTCTGTGACTTCCTCATCATTCTTCTATCGTTCTGGTTGGCATTCTACTGGGCATTCTACTGCCCTCTCCTTCCATCCACAACAATATTAGCAGGCTCTCCCCTCACAAAGGCCTCGATAGTGTCCCTCACACACTCCTTAGTCCCCACCACAGTCCTGTCAGAAAACCAAGCTAAATGCGGCGTACAAACCAAATTCGGCACATCTCCAGCTAATAGTGGACAATTCTCTTTGGTCGCTGGTTCATGCTCGAAAACATCTGTACCTGCACCTCCAAGTTTGCCTTTCTTGAGGGCAGTGGCGAGAGCAAGTTCGTTGACGATGCCGCCGCGACCGACGTTGATGAGGATACTGGTTGGTGAGAGGAGGGTAAGTTCGTGATGGGAGAGCATGTTGTGGGTGCTGGGGTCGAGGGGGCAGGTTAGGAAGAGTGTTGTGCTTGTGCGGAGGACTTGTTCGAAAGATGTGCGACCTGGACGGGTGGTGCTGCTGCCTTTACGTTCGGCGATGAGGACGGTCATGTCGAGGGCTTTGCACATCTTCTCGACGCGTTTGCCTGAGAAGTCATGTTAGTATGTTCCATGCTAGCATGTTCATCCACCTCGTCTCTTCATACATCAAGACTTGTCAAGAGAAGGAAGATTGGAGAAGGGGACACACATACCCAAAGCACCATATCCAATAATCCCCACCGTCTCCTCCTCACAAACACGAGGCATCACACCCCTGAATTCCATCACACTCATCCCCTGTTTACTCCACTTTTCTCCTTCCTTCGTAAACACATCCAACTCCACAATCTTCCTCTTGACCGCAAAGTACAAACTCAACGCATGTTCAGCAACAGTACTAGTATTCTGAGCAGGCGTATTGGTCACGGTGACGCCAGCCTCCTTGGCTGCGTGGAGGTCGAATCTGTCACAACCAGCGCCCAAGCAGGAAATCAGTTGGAGGGAGGGTGCATGGGTGAAACTCGCTTTTACGAATGAAGTGGCGGTTGCGATGGCGATTGTAGCCGAGGCTACGCGGGATGGAAGCTCAGAAGAGGACGTGGAGAGGTGTTTTTCGAAGGTATGAGGGAAACGGAGAGGTGGAAGGTCAATGTGGCCATCTAGTTGGACGACATGGTGCTTGAATTCTCCTGGATTGGCCATGATGAGGTTCTGATAGGATTGAGATGTATGGTCCGTTGTTCGAGCTGCTAGGTCAATATTGATGGAGTTGCTCGGCAAGATGTGAGTTCGATATATCACAGAGAATGTTGTTGGTGGTTCCAGAAGGATGAGTTCTTCAGGAACTCGATTGATACTTGTAGCTAGGATGTAAAAAGGAATTGAGGTTCGGGGTGAGATATAACTTGACGTTATCTGGCTTACCGAGCACGTTAATCGTGCTTGCGCCCTTCATGTCTCCGATGACCGGCTTCAGCACCCTAAAGCTTGGCATTGACTTCCTACATTGATTGAATCGATTTGCAGCTATCATTCTAGATGTTTTCATGGAAGAAGAACAAGTAGTCTCTGCTTTGCTCGATACTGGCTGTGAGAGCTTTCGCCAAAGCATCTCTCTAGACATATTCTCCACGGTCGTGTGGACAGATGGATGGTTTACAGGACACCTCAAAGCACATCACACATGTTTTCTCATGCCTTATCGCAAAGTCCAAGTGAACATGACAAGTCAAGTACAACAAGCAAGAGGAAAGGTAAAGTAATGAAGAAAGGGAAGGTTTGTTTTGCATTCCCTATTAACAGTATTTGGATGTGTTTGACCATTCCCATGATTTGACGTAGATCCCTCTCAAAGGGGACACTCGGGTAGTGAGTAAATTACAGTGAAGCATCAATGGCGTCCCCATCATGCACTCCAGGAATAAAAAAAGATGTAACGCCTTGCGAAAAAAGTGTATAAGAAATTTAATCCCAACATCAATCGACCTCTAACGTCGTCTCTCAACTCATCGATATGCTATTGCATCAACCTTTTTACAGGAGAGCAGCGGCACCGAGAGCGAAAGCACCGAAAGCACCAACACCGAGCTTGGCAGCAGAGCCCTCAGACTGGGTGGAGGTAGGGAGACCCATGGTAGTCTGAAGAGTAAAGTTAGCTTGGTTCGAGGATTGGAAAATTGGTGCGGCGTGAGTGAGTTTGCACTTGATGCCAGTCCTGTCGCATGCCACGTGGGATAGGGTTCTCTGAGGACGAAGAAAACCCCGTCCAAAGCGGCAATTGAGAAGAATTGAACCAAACGCAATAGCCCACATGCGGATACCACAAAATTACGTACCTCGTAGGAAGTGGTAACGAGCCATGACTTGGAGACGGCGCCGTGGAAGGTGTTGGTAGAGGTGTAGGTGGTGGTAACGTTGCTGACGGTAACGTCAAAGGTAGAGGCGCCCGAAGGAAGAGAGTAGGAAGAAGTCTGGCCCTGGGTGGAGGTGACGACGGTGCTGCCGAGAAGAGTGGGGGAGACGGGCTTGTGGAAGGTGTTGGGGTACTGGTAGAAGATGGTGGTGGTGTGGATCGAGGTGGTGGTCATGGAACCCGAGGCGCTGCCGCTGCTGGAAGCGGAGGACTGGCTGGAGGAAGTGGCAGAGGCGCCGGAAGAAGAGGCGCTGCTGCCGGCCGAGGCAGAGCTGGAAGAGCGCTCAGTGGCGCTGGAGACGGCGCTGGAAGCGGCAGAGCTGCCAGATGAGATGGCCGAAGAAGCAACCGACGAAACAGCGCTGCTGATCTGAGAGCCCTGGGCGGCAGCAAGAGCGGCGAAAGCGCCGACGAAGACAGCGGAGAACTTCATGGTGATTTCCCTGGAGGTCGATGGACGAGTTGGACGTCGGGTCGATTGGGAGGTTGATGGGGGAAGGAGGGGACGGAGAAGTAAAAAGGAAGCGAAGTGGTGGGCGGGAGGTTGGTTGTTTTTCTCAAAGATCCCCGTCGTTTCCTCATAAATTAGCTTTGGTGATTTGGGGCCTTGCCTCGTCCCGCACTCTTCTAAACCACCTGAAAAAGCCTCTCCGTCATGCGTGCACAACACAGACATCCTTCCGAGTTAACCGTGCATCTACCCCTGTTACGCTGCGCTTCTTCGTTGCGACGAGGAGAAATCTGCCTCTTCGGGTAGCATCTGGTTGACTCGAGCCATCGTGATTGGCCATCTTTTAATCGCGCAAGCCAGCCTTACTCAACAAGGAAACCCAAATCTCGGCAAAGAATCAACGTCAAAACCGTGAACAAGAGCCTCGACCATACGAGACAGCTTTTGATGCTCCCCAACAGGAGCCATCTCCTTCAGGCAACATGTCGTCTGCTTGCAGTTCTGTTTCGATGGTGGTCAGCAATCACAGAGCTTTCGCCGTATGAGTTGCTCGTCCAACCACAAGTACCCGTGCTACTCCGCATTTTCCATCAGAATGCGGGCAAGGCTATGACCATCGACTTGGCTGATACACACCGCGCAAAATTGCAATCATCAACTGCTTCAACGCTTCCAATTTGCTTGCTCTGCCAATTAACTAGTCAATGGCTTGACAGGAACCTACAACACGAAGCTGCGCGTCCTATTATGCTCTTCGATTGGCCGTAATGCGTATCGCATGCGACTGACAGCATGGTCAGCACTGAAGGTGCCGTAATGCGCGCGATTTGTGGTCTCGCAAGTCACGGTCCGCAAACACCAAGAACGCCAGCGGCCCTATCTCGGCGCCGTGGTATCCGCCCTGAAGGTCTGCTCCGGGGGGATGAACTCGGCACGAACTTGTTTGTTTGTCTCATCTCTCGAGGCCGGTTTTGAACAAGAACGGCCGTTGTCACTTATCCGAATCTCGGGTATGAAGCACTCCAGATTTATGTTATGCTTCATCTGGTGATAATGCTGGGGTATGACAGGTGCTGTTGACATCTGAGCTCGACTTTGCATGTTTTCTTCTTCCCTGCCTCGCATGCATCCTTGTCACAAGAGGGCTGGTTCTGCGACTGGCCAGCCTCATCATCGAGACAATCCAGGAACACGAAACTCGGATTGAAGAGCGTGGCGCCGAGTGCCGGGAACAAGCTGGAGCCCCGAGCTCTTGGCTTGCTGGGGGCCCAGTCCAGCCATCTCAACCCACACTGATTTGCCAAACTCCAACAAAACATGCTTGGTCTTTCTCAACAACTCTGGGGAGTACGTCCTCGCTGTGTATCCTGCCGCATTCCCATCTTGTGTCTTTGTCAAGGACCAAATCAAACACAGCTGCGCTGAAATCGTCCAATTGCTCATAGGCCTTGACCTAAGGCGTCGATACGGACAACAGCGGGGCTACCTCGTAGGTCCGATATCGTGCCCGGAAATTTGCGAGCAGATCGCGAAGCAAAAGCGTCGCGCTAGATTGAAATATTGGTTGGTAGTTTCTCCAAGAGCAGGACTGATATTGAAGTGAAGCATTGGCTGTTAGGAAGGAGACACTAAGCGGTTGCTCAAAGAGCAAGTGATGCTCACGCTGTCAGAGTACAAATTAGCCGTCGAATCCGCATCTGCAATTGCGTCTCGATTGATACAACGCTCACGGGGTGTGTGAAATTTGGCAATGCTCAAACATGGACTGGGGCCCTCGTAAGGTCGGGTTCGAGCTACCTGATGATCGTTCTGAAGAGTCCACGGTATGCTCTGCCAGGCCGGTCAGACAATGCTCATGCTTGGAGCACTCTGGGAAATCTGCTGTCATCTCGAAGCCGACGCATATCTCAGGCATTGAGCGAGCATTGCATGCAGCTTCGTACCGCATGGCTTGTTGACCGTTGCTCATGGTGCAGACCTACGCGGATGCTCATCTGTGAAATTCGAGAACTATATACGATATTGCCGAAAAATCTCTCATCAATAGGTTGCGTGGCCCAATGGCAAGGCGCTTGACTACGAATCAAGAGATTCCAGGTTCGACCCCTGGCGTGATCATTTTTTGCCCGTCTGCTGTCCATCAAAAGGGAAACCTCCATTTTGGCAAATCAACTGTTACCATTTTTTTGCCTTGTTGTTGCTGAGATTTTTGGCTCTCGTTTTGTTCCGGCTTCCCAAGCTTTGCATAGGCTATCCAGTACCGGTAAGTCATCGTATCCCCGTACCACTTCCTACCTTTTCTTTTCTATCCTCTGGCCGTCACGACTACTCCAAAGACTCTTAAGATGTAAGTCTGTAGTTTTTACAAGGACAAATGCCATGTAGGCCCTACTGAGGCTCGATTAATAACTTCCTCCCGGATTCTTGCACATCTTTGTGTCCACGTTGATGGAGAAGAAAAGCTCATCCATATTGCCCTGCCCTGGAAGAAACCTCCAGAACTGATGTTGTATACCACACAACACTTATATTCATCTTTGTCAAAAACCGCAAGATCCACCAAGACTTTTACCTCTTCTATAGTACTTGTCTTCTGACTCGATCTTTTTCTGTCTGTATTTGTGCCTACATCTACTCGCCTTGGTAAAATAGGTTCTGGGGCGAGATCCCTCCTCCAGCCAGAGCACTCAAAACTTTGCAAATATTTCATGCTCCTACCATCTTTCTCTCAAAAGCAAACATAGTGCCAGACATCTCTAACGATATATATCAAGATTGGAACGTAGGCAGCACAGATGCCCTTTAAAATTTTCAGAGGCTCGGACGAAGAAGACGAGAAGCTTTGAAACCGCAGAGGAGGAATACAGCGACTGTCGATTGGAACGAAAGCTCATCAAGCGCAAAGAAAGCAAAAGGGCTGAGTGTGAAACGATCAGTAAATCAAGAAGTACTGATACCAAACACAGAAAGAGGAGAGGAAGAATATTCGCGGACAAGTAGCTCGAGTAAACCAAAGAAGCAAGATATCAACACACAAGGAAGAAGGCGAGATCGAATCACCAAGCTAACAGCTTACCAAGAACTATCCATGTAGAAGGATACAAAGCAAAGTACATCAAACAAACACGCACACGAAAAGTAAAGCGGGAATGATGTTGTGTATGAACAGATTTTTGCTTTGTTATTTCTTTTGCTGGCCCTTTTGCTCGAAACAGCCTACTGCTGCCAGCTTTGAAAAAAGAAGAAGAGTAAAACTTCCCGAAGAATCGGAAAGCTTGTTGTGCTGGGGGTATACTAGTGAAGAAGGAGGAAATCTTGTAAAAAGAGCCCTTCCTCTGAGAAAATGAAGATCAGAAATCAAAAACGCCTCTCTTGCGGAAACAGCAGAGATTGTCCTTCTTTTTGTTTATCCCTGTATTGTTCGCTTTTCCCAGAGATGTAAAAAGGTGGAAATGGAGGAAAGTGGAAAATTGGAATGGAAGAGTTGGCCAAATTGATGCCAGTAGATCAGTCATCATCGATCATGATAGCACCGTCATCCTCGACGACGGTGACATCCTTCTTCTCTTCGGCGACCTTGCCACGCTTGGCGGTTTGGTCGTTGTCGAGTTCTGCCTCGTCAGCCGAACGCTTGGCTGTTGTGCGAGTGGGAAGGTTGTGGCCATTGGATGGTGCGGAGTCGGTAGTTGTCGCTGTGACGGCAGGCGTCTTCTTGGGGATGGTTTGAAGATCGGGGACGAGAGTGAAGGATTCTGATGTGGCGGCGGCTGCGGACGGATCCAGTTCCCTGACAATTTGTTAGTATCGGCAGTGCTGATAACGAGGAGACAGCCAAAACTTACATGTTCGAGATGGACAACTCAAGGTTGACACGCTCGCCCTCGTCGCCTTCGCCACGAATGATGACGGTTGAATCGTTGACAATGTTGATTTCAGACAGAGTCTTCTCGAGGTTGTCGTTGTCATCCATGGCCATGTCAGGGTCATACCAGACTCCTGCATTGTTGCTGACCTCGACCTCGTCTTGGTTGTAGCCAAGCTTCTTGACAAGAACGTCCTTGACGAATGACTCAAGAGTAGTCTTTTCGGTGTTGATGACAAGTCTAGCGTAGGCAGTGGCACAAACACCACAGTCGGGTCTTGGTGGGCGAAGAGATTCCTTGTTGATGACACGCTCGGTCGATTTTGTCAAAAAGACCATCTTTGCCTTGGCCCAATCGCCACGCATTATCTTGAAAGCCTGAAGCACACACAGAGCTGCCGTGGTTGCGTTTGTGGTGGCGATGGCTGGGATGATGTTGCCAGCCATTTGCTTGATGTCGAATTCAGACTTGGTCTCGATGCCGAATGTAATGGAGCGGAGGTTGGCGGCGGCGGCCACAAAGTCGAGAGTATCTCTGTCATCCTTGTCAAAGGTCAAGATCGGAGGAGCGTTACCGGTTTCTTGCGCAGCTCGTAGCTTGTCCAGACGGTCGCTCAATCGAATCAGGCTGTCGGCGAAGACGGCAAAGTTCTCTGCCAATGACCAGTCCTTCTGATCATCCGCTAGCGTTTGACGGTCAACATTGGCGGCTTCGGCGTTGACCGTCTCGAAATCAAGGGCGGTCGGCGGCTTGCGCATTTTCCACATGTCCTCCATACCGAGCAGTCGCTTGATGTCCTGAGTGAAGACCTTGTCGAAGACCTTTTGCGGGAACTCGGTCGAGCCCATTGATGCGCGGATTTCTTTCAGGGCAGCGGCCTCCTTCTTCAACTCGGCGATCTCTTCCTTGTTGTTCTCGTCTGATGTGTGGTCAAGATCTGAGGCTTGGTCCTCGCTGATTCCAAACAGCTCATTGAACAGATAACTCTTGGCCCAGACGATACAGTGGATGGGCTGACTCGGCGTGCTTCGGATGGTGCAGACGGGGAAGGATTTGGGAGTCTCTTTCGGGGCGCAGTCGTAGCATTCCGTCAGGCGCTTGCGGATGGGTTGGACCTGGCCATTGAAGCCGGTGGTGCCACTCTCGATCAACGGTACGTCGGCAGCAAGGCACATGCGGTTGACATGGCGGCGAGCGTCGAGGTTGTCGAGGGCGTTGAAGACGATAACGAAACTGCGGAACCAGTCGACATTGAATTGTGGGTCTTTGATGTTTGCGTGATGTGCCTCGATCTTGACATTCGGGTTGAACTTGGAGGCGGCCTCGCGGGCGACCAGAGCCTTGGACTTCTTGATGTGTGCATGACGGAAGAGGAACTGGCGGTTGAGGTTGGACAGGTCGATTGTGTCGAGGTCGACGACATGGATCTCGCCAAAGCCGGTGCAGACGAGGTTCTTGAGCAGTTCGCAGCCGATGCCACCAGCGCCGACGACCAGGATGCGCGCATTCTTGATGTTGGCGAACTGCGCGCCGAGAGACTGCTTGAGGAATCGTTCGCGAGGCATGGTGCTGTGTGGATGTGCTGTTGAGAGTGGAACGTCTTATCGGGGATGTCGCATGCGAGGGAGTAAACAATGAGCGTCTTGACAGGCGATAAGAAGGTGAGATGGAGCGTGTTGGTATTGTGGTTCGAGGACAAGGTGCCTTCACTCAGCTGTCCTTCAATTGTCGACCCCGGAAAAGAAGTGTTGCGATGACGCGCCCAAGAAGACCGAGGTTCGATTTGCTGTTGCTTTGCAAATGGCACCTTCTGACCACTTCACTTCAATGATTTCGAATGGAAGAGATTACAAGAAATAGGCAAATTGTTCCAGAGATATCGATGATAATTGTTTTTGCGTGAGAAACTTGACCTGTCGCGACCTTCTCCAAAACGACGTGTCGCAAGCTCAAATTGGGAAAGAGTAACTTTTGGCAGCCAATCGCGACGCTTCCTCCCCTGCCTCTCACTCTTATTCTTGCCCATTCTGCACCACTAATCCTTCCTTCACCTTTATCCTTTATCGCTCCAATTGCCCATCAATCATGTCCGATGATGAGGTCGATCATGAACTCCTCGAACTCCTCCGGCAATCGCTGCTAGGCTCTACACAAAAGCCTGACGACATCACTTCCGACACCAAGGTTTTGCGCCATGCTGAATTTATCTACGACAATAGCATTGATGTGAACATTGACGCTCGTAGTACAAGAGCTGCTGCTCAATTGATCTGGTCACAGATGCAGCAACGCAACTACAGTACTGAGACTTGGTCAGAGCATGAACTACATCCAAAGTCAAAGGATGAGGCCACTCTCAATTTCATCTTTGTCATGGATCTCCTCAACTTCAGCTTCTGGAGTGAGAAGTCTGAGGACGAGAGATTCGCTGTCGAGTATCGTGGCAAGAAGTGGACTGGCTACTGGAGCTTGGTAGCATGTCTGCAGAGGGCTCTTGACGAAGGTAAATTTTGAATTTGTCTTCCATTCATTGCATTCCTGCCCAATGTCCATTTCAATCATCCTATACAAGCCACAAATATGCACAGGATCTTCTTCGTCTCTCTCACACCCTCTCAGATATTCCAATCACAACACCCTCCTTCTATGCCGATGAGTTAGAGTGTCCAGACGAAAAACTCGCATACGTCTTCCGCTCCTCGACCGAAGAAGAAATCCCATTGCTGCAAGAAAGAATTGATTGTTTACGGGAAGCCGGTCAGGTGCTTGAAGAAGTCGGTATTTATTCCTGTGCTGTCATGAACCAAACTAATCCTTCCAGGACTTCGATGGCAGCGTCGCCAACCTGATTGAAGCCGCTGGTAACAGTGCAGGTAAACTGGTCAACCTCCTGTCTCATCATTTCTCTTGCTTCAACGATGAATCAAAATTCGAGAAACGAACGGTCCGCATTATGAAGCGACCTCAGATCCTGGTGGCCGATATCTGGGCTGCTTTTAATGAGGAAAGCTATGGCGAGTTCAATGACATCGACGCCATTACCATGTTCGCCGGTAGCTTTTGATCTCCTCCTCTTCCTCTCGCTTACGACCTGACACCATGCTAGATTACCGTGTACCTCAAATGCTTCACACACTAGGTTGCCTCACCTACAGCCCACCGTTGGACAGCATTGTCCGTGCACACCAAATTATTCCCCATCACTCACCATACGAAGTTCAATTGCGCGGCTGCAGTATCTGGACTGTTGAGATGATCCGAAGAGAGATCATCAGAACGAATCCTAGTGCCAAGGTCAATGCCATCTTGATCGACTTCTTCCTGTATGATCTGGCCAAGGAGAAGGAGAAGGCTGGTGAACCGGCCATACCTCACCATCGAACTAGGTCGATTTGGTATTGATGGACGAGGGCAATGTTAACCATGGTTCTTTCGTTCTGGCTTGTTCTTTACGCTGTACTCGAGCACTAACAATGGTACATAGTGTCGGTCCGACTGGGATGTCTTCACGAAACTAGCTGTCGCCGGGGTGCGTTACGCGCTGCACAAACATGAGCAACTTAGGCCGGTTACCTACCAACAAATAGGTTGCGTGGCCCAATGGCAAGGCGCTTGACTACGAATCAAGAGATTCCAGGTTCGACCCCTGGCGTGATCATTATTTTGCTCGTCTGTTGGCCATCCATGCGTGCTGCCGACGAGGTTTCCTTTTGCCAACTGTAGCGGGACTTCCAAGATCACGGCCTTGTAGGACAGCTGTATCTTATTATTAAACGTTTTGTAACCTGCGAGCTTGTCAATTCGCTGAGCCGTTACAAGTACTTGGCTTAGCTATGGCCCTACTTGGTCAGGGTGGTACCCATAACCATTGCTTGGAACACATACGACGATGTTGTGCCAACACCACGCTGTTCTCTGCTCTTTGCTACCTCCAGGAGTACTTGATACATAACCCTGTAACGGACTGGTGTGCTATTCGGACCAATAGTGGTGCTTTGCTGTCTCAATATGGAAATGTTATTTTTCACAACCACTTTTTCAGAAACTGGGCATGATCCCTTGTGAAACGAGTCACCCAACAGCATTCAGCCTGTATCGTACCACTTTTTACCACTGCACAAGCTACAAGACACAGGCTGCTGTTAAAATGTTCTTTGGTACAAAAAGAGCAGACATCACCCGGCAGATGCTCTTCGATACTGTCATGCTGATGTCAAGCACAGTTAACAATATACATTATGGACTACAACCACATTCGTCCCAATAACATGGTTGTATAGTGTAATGGTTAGCACATCGGATTCTGATTCCGGTAATCCCAGTTCGATCCCGGGTACGACCTTCTCTTTTGCGTTTTTGCGCACCTCGAATCGGTCCAGAAACAACAATGCAGTGAACTCCAGAGACGGTTCGATGATTTCTGTTTTGGAAAGCAGCGTTTCGTGACTTCCCTCGTTGTGCTGTTTCGATTTACAAAAGCCAAGAGTGACGGAGCCAAGCCAGCTGACAGCTTGCGCCAGAGGCCTGTTCTCGGTGGCTCTCTCCTGATCGCGCCATCTCTTCTTCTTTTGCAACACACTCTCTCTCTTCTTCCACAGTCTCACCTTCCAAAGTCGTAGAACTGTACAATAATACGACGGTGAGTTTTTGATTTCCCCGATGGGATGCCCAACGATGCAATCAATATTTGTTGCAAAGCCACCGCCTCTTCGGCACGCGACTTCCGAGTGTGACGTGCCGACTTCCATTGGATTGGATTTGGTGAAGAAATACAACAAACACCCTCTGGTCGGCAAGAACCCATGCCGAGTCACTTTTCATAACTGTCTCCCTCTTCGGACTTTAGGACTTTAGACACAATCCCCTCCGAACTTGATATCTAATAAGTACAAGAGGCATTGCCACTGATTATAATTTCCTTATCTGCTACTCGTATTCTTTTCTCCCCCATAATTGTTTGCTGCAAGTCATATCGTCATGGAGGACGATAACGCGACCACATTGCAGCCTATCCGTACTGGACGCTCAGCTCGACAATATCTATCACGAACGCAGTCGAACAAATCGAACAGGTCTACTAAATCACGATCACGGTCTGGATCACGACCAAGTCGACCGAGCAGTCCTCTGCAGCGACTCACCTCGGCAAACTTTATCGATGACCATGGTATCTACCACCATCACGCCGACTCAGACTACGAAGAAGAAATCGAAGAGCGAGAATCAGAGCATGGTGGCAGTGATGACTTGTCACCACAGTCAAGCTCAGACCTTGAGAAGGAGAAGGAGAAGCAAGAGCCGGATGAGATACCAATGGAGCCATTCGGTGCAGAAACCGCACGCGACCTAGAAGCACAGTCGGAGAAGGAGGACCCTCCTGCATTATCGAGGAAGTCCACATCGAAATCAGTCAAGGATCCGAATCTGGTAGGCTGGGATGGACCAGATGATCCAGAGAATCCCAAGAACTGGGGCAAGGGCAGGAAGTGGGCGGCGACTCTAGTCGTGTCGTCCTTTACCTTCATATCTCCCGTCTCTTCCTCGATGGTCGCACCCGCCATCGGAGTCATCTCTAGCGACTTCAATATCACCAGCACTGCCGAACAACAACTGGTCCTGTCCATCTTCGTCCTGGCCTATGCGATCGGTCCACTGTTCTTGGGGCCTATGTCTGAGCTCTACGGTCGTGTTAGAGTTCTCCAAATCGCCAACGCCTTCTACTTTGTCTGGAATCTGGCTTGTGGTTTCGCGCAAAATAAGTCTGAAATGATGGCTTTCCGCTTCCTCGCTGGACTGGGCGGAAGTGCTCCTCTTGCTATTGGTGGTGGTATGCTTAGCGACTGCTGGAGGCCAGAGGAGAGAGGCAAGGCGATAAGTATATACAGTTTGGCACCCTTGCTAGGGCCTGCTGTCGGTCCGATTGCTGGTGGTTTCATTGCTGAAAACACGACATGGAGATGGGTGTTCTGGTCCACGTGCATTGCCTGCTTCTTCATCCAGCTTAGTGGTGTTTTCTTCCTACAAGAGACATATGTGCCTGAGCTCCTGAAGCGCAAGAAGAACCGTCTGATCAAAGAGACTGGAAACACAAACCTTCACACCGAATACGACGACCCAAATCGCAAGTTGTCTGTTCATCTTAAGACAGCCTTCACCCGACCTTTTGTCATGATTGGTACGCAACCAATTGTCCAATTCTTGGCCATCTATATTGCTTATGTATACGGTCTCATGTATCTGGTGCTGTCTACATTTCCTGGACTATGGACTGGCATCTATGGCGAAAGCACAGGCATTGGTGGTCTGAACTACATCTCTCTCGGTCTAGGTTTTTTCCTTGGTACACAGATTGGCGCACCCTTCAACGACTACTTCTACCGCCGTCTGAAGAAACAAAACAACAACGTTGGCCGCTCTGAGTTCCGCGTGCCTCTCATGTTCCCTGGATCTGTTCTAATTCCCATTGGACTCTTCATCTACGGCTGGACAGCAGAATACAAGACTCACTGGATAGGTCCTAACATTGGTGCTGCAATCTTCTCCGCCGGCAACATCCTGGTCTTCCAGTCCTGTCAAACCTATATCATCGATAGTTACCAACGCTATGCTGCATCAGCCGTTGCGTCGACCACGGTTTTGCGATCGCTTGCAGGCTTCGGCTTTCCGCTCTTTGCACCTTCTATGTATAACGCGCTTGGCTATGGGTGGGGTAACTCGGTGCTTGGGTTCATTGCTGTTGCCCTTGGGTTGCCAGCGCCTTTCATACTTTGGAAGTTTGGTGAAAGATTGAGGGCGAGAAGTAAGTTTGCTTCCGGAAGTTAAGTGGTATACAGTACATAGCTTCAACAGAAACTGCATTAATTCAAATATTCACATTCCGTACCTTTCGAAGAGCAACTGCGAGTACCGAGACATCAGGACGTGGCGTAAGGCTCCTGCAAGCAGTAATACCGTCTATCGATACCATTGCCGGCATGGTCAGCGGTGCAAAACAGTCTCGGCAAGGCAGGATAGCCATTGCAACAACAACGTCCCACAAAGATTGGCTGACGCAGTCTGATAGCTGTAGCTACCGGTATACATTGCTTGGCTGTTATCACAGTCTCAAATCTGGGGAGTTCGGTGGCAGAAGGTTTTGAGTTTAAGCCACATGACGGCTAAAACCCCTGGACCTCACCCTGAAACACAGAGCTCTCTCACGAGAACTAGAGAACCACAAAACAACATGACGATCTGTACTCATACTACGCACGAGTTACTCACATATCGATGATGGCGACTTTGAGAACAATCAACTGCAAGGCATGAGCTAGCTCCCTCCTTCAAAGTCTGGCCATATTCGCGCAACTCGTCTATTTTCCAAATCCACAGCACGCCTTGGAGCCGTTGCTCAGGAGCAGGAGGTGAGTTCACCGTTGCGACAGCTGCTATCGATGGCGGATTGCAACGTCTTGCTGCTTAGAAAAGAATCGCAGTAGTTAGACGAACATGCGCCGAAAAGATCGTTGATGTTCGTCTCCTGAAAGAACGGTCAACAAACAGGGAGTCTCGTATTCTTGTGCTTGCATGTTCTCGACCATCGAAAGCACTGTGGAGGATTTTCTGAGGATCTCCCGTGTGGTGCGGTGATCAAGACCGAGCTTGAATTTTGCAAGAGAGAGAAGGGTTTTATTGATGAGATCTCTAGGCAGCCTACACCACTTTAACTCGTGGATCACCATCTTACACGCGACTCGCTACTGACACGCTCGAGTTTTGTGTTGGTGGAGAGCAGAAGGATTGGGTTTGGTGCCTGGCTTCTTCCTTCTGCAACCAATCAAGGGAGCCCCCTGTGCCAAACGGGCGCTTGATCGGCACGTGCACAGACCTCAGGAGTGCTTCTTCCAGCCGAATCTCTCTCCAAACCAACCTGACTTGCGGTTCAGTTCATCCACCTAAGCATCCTCGCCCCTCTTTTGACAGTGGCGTTGCAATTTCAATCTCGAGTCCATACCGTTTTGGACCGTCGGCCGTAGATGCATAACGGTAAGTGTGTGCGTGCCATGGATGCCCCCAAGCCGGTAGTAAGTTCAGAGGCACGACTCGGGAGATGACCTTTTTATCAAGGGCCGTTTCCCTCTCTCATTTGCTTCCTCTCTGTTATACACTCTTTCTCTATCATTATCTCGTGTTCGTGTTTTTCTTTAACAGCCATTTCCGGTTGTTAACCACTTTCCTTTACAAGCAAACCGTGTTTGCGTCCTCTCATTTCGGCTTCGGCTGTCCTACACTCATTCTCAACGACGATATCCGGTACAACAGCATTGATTGTCTAATATCGTTATCGTTATCATAATCGATATGCGTGTAACATCTACTATCACCGGCACTGCTGCTGCAGTAGCTGCCTTCTCTGGCCTGGCATCTGCATTCACCGCCAACGCAAAGACTAACGTCGTCACATACTGGGGTCAAGGTCCTAACCAAGGCAGTCTTCAAGATGTCTGCAAGAACCCCAACGTTGACATTGTCAACATCGGCTTCATCAATGTCTTCCCTGACCAAGGAAAGGCTGGCTGGCCTGGCTCAAACTTCGGCAACGCCTGTACTGCCGACGTCTACACCTACAAGGGTACCAAGACCCAGCTCTACTCCAATTGCCCCAACATCGGTACCGATATCGCCATCTGTCAACAGGTCTATGGCAAGAAGGTTCTTCTGTCCATCGGTGGTGGCTACCCTACAAACTACTTCATCAACAACGATACTAGCGCTGCCAACTTCGCAAACTTCCTCTGGGGTGCTTTCGGACCTGTCAAGAGTGAGTGGACTTCGACTGGTGGTCCTCGTCCCTTCGGCGATGCTGTTGTTGATGGATTCGACTTCGACATTGAGAGCGAGCTCTCTTCCGCACCTGTTGTCAACGGCAAGGCTCTTACCAACTACAAGACCAACGGCTATGTCAAGATGATCCAAACGTTCAAGAACACTCTCTTCCCCAAGGATTCCATGAAGCCTTACTACATCTCTGGTGCACCTCAATGCATCGTCCCTGACGAGCACTTCGCCACTGTCGTCGCCTCCGCCTGGTTCGATTTCCTCTTTGTCCAGTACTACAACACTGCTGCATGCTCTGCTCGCCAGGCTGTTACTTCCGGTACTTTCAAGGGCTACAACGACTGGGCTGGTGTCAAGTCTTTCAACACTGATGTTAAGCTTTACGTCGGTCTTCCCGGAAGCACTGCTGCTGCCAGTGATGCCAGCTACTACCTTAAGCCTTCTGAGGTCAAGTCTCTTGTAAGCAAGGTTTACAGCAACTCCAGATTCGGCGGTATCATGGTATGGGAGGCTACTTATGCTGCCAACAATGTCATCTGTAACAGAAACTACCTTACCTGGATGAAGCAAATCCTCAACGCTCAGGCTGATGGCACTACCCTAAACACTGTCACCAGCCCTTGCCCTGCTGCTCCTATCTCCAAGGACGGTACTTGCGGTGGCTATAACGGATACACTTGTGCTGGATCTGCTTTCGGTTCATGCTGCTCCAAGTACGGATACTGCGGTTCTTCAGCCGATTACTGCAGCACTGCCAACTGTGATTCCAAGTTCGGCAAGTGTGGTGTTCTGTCTTCCTCCAGCTCTTCCAAGAAGGTTTCGTCTACTTCAAGCAACAAGGTTTCTACTTCGAGCAAGAAGGTCTCATCCAGCAGCAAGGCTTCATCTTCTGCCAAGATTGCTTCCGTCTCCCGCGCTGCTAAGTTTGCTGCTGGTGCCAACAACTCCACTCTTCTTGCTGGTACTGGCTCTGCATCTGCTATCATCGCACCTTTCGGAACCGGCATCGCTGCTGCTGCAGGTACTGGTAACCTCATCGGAACTGGCGCTACTACTGTCGTCGTTCCCGAGACCATCTACGGAACTGCTCCTGTCTCTGGTGCCAGAGTCACTCCCTCGGCCGGTTTCCCCCAGGTCGCTCCTTATGCCAACTCGACCAACCCCAGATTTGGTAACGCTGCCAACAACGCAAACAATGCCAACGGTGCTGCTGCTTCTCAGGTTATTGTTGACACTACAATCTTTGTTACTCGCACTGTCTACCAGACTCAGATCCAGACAGTCACTGGTACCAACGCTCAGGGCTCTGCTACCACTGATTACGTGACTGAGACCGTCCGCGTCTACACTACTGTCACTCCTGTCGTCACTCAGATCTCGGTTCCCAGCTCAAATTCGAACAACGCTAATGGTGCTGGCGCTGCTCAAGTTGTGGATACCACTATCTTCGCCACTCGTACTGTGTACCAGACTCAGATCCAGACAGTTACTGGCACTAATGCTCAGGGTGCTCCCACCACTAAGTATGTGACCGAGACTTTCCAAGTCTATACCACTGTTACTCCCGTCGTTACTCAGATCTCTGTCGCCAACAAGGCCAATGCTGGTAACTCGAACTCTGGAAGCTCCTCTGGCTCTTCCGAGTCCACTGTCGCCGACAACAGCGGCAAGAGCTCCAACGGCGACACCATGCCCGCCCTCAACAACGACATCCGCTACAGCGCAGTCACCCAGACCGTCTACAAGACCAGTTATGTCACTGCTACCATCCGCCAATCTGTCGTCACATACACGACTTCCTATCCCATCAGCACCATCATCAACTACGCACCCACCAACACCAACAGCATGTCCAGCACCACAACAACAGTCAAGACCACAAAGACATTCACCGAGACAATCCGTGTTGGCGGTGCCTCGAACGCTCCTTTCGCCTTCAACAACGCCACTGCCAACATTTTCGCTCCCAGCGGCACTGCGATCATCAACGCCGCATACACCCCTAACGCCGCTGCTGTCTTTTCTTCTCCTTCCGCCTCCATTATTGCTTCTTCTTCAGCATCCCCAGTCGTCATCTACCAGACTCAAACGATCGTTGCCGTGCAAGCTGAAGAAACCACCGCTCTTGCCGTCGCCGCCGCCGGCCCCACCGCCGGCACTGCCTCAAACAGCCGTATTTACGGTGCTGGAAGCAACAGCACTGCTGCTTTCGATCGCTCGGCTTTGGAAATGGAGATGAAGGCTGTCATGAAGGGTGCTGCCTCCAACGTCCACACCGATATCGGACTTTGCGTGTTGGCGCTGTTTGTCGGTGCTTTCTTCGTCATGTAAAGGAGAGTGTTTTTGGAATAAGTTTTTGTGGAATGTGTGTGGGAAGGACGCTAGTTTCGTTCGTGGAGAGAGAGAGAGAGAGAGGGTGGTNGCTTTGAACAATTTGGAAGCATTGTGTTGCCATCTTGGTGACTTGAGCTCTATATCGCTCATCCACACCACACCATTTATCCGGGTGCCATAACCTGCGTTCCTCTTTCAACTCGTGCAACGTGAGGTTTGCATTCTCGTACGATTGCGCGAGATCTTGAGAGGGTGGCGGTGGGATTGCGGTCACGGATGCGAGGTTTTGGGATAGTCGGTTGCATCGGTCACGCCAGAGGTTGAAGTTGCGGGTAAGTTCGAGTTGGGTTTGGTGATGGAGGAGTTGTTTTCTCCTGTGTTGTTGATCGGTGTTGATGGTTGTTCTGTGCTCATCACGATGGATCTGCTCTTGTTGTTGTTGTCGGATATTTTGTCTTGATGCCTGTTCGGCTAGCATGTGTCGTCTTAGCTCTTCTTGTTCACGGGCTTGTTGTTGGGCGAGTAGGCATCCTTCTTCCGAGTCTCGCAAGAGTTGTTCTTGTTGTCGTTTTGCAGCTTTTCGGGCTTGTGATTGCTTGATAGAGTTGATGAGGAGGGCTATGGTGATGTATAATATGTTCAGCAGGAGGATGGCGCCGAAGATGATGAGAACCAGCTTTATTATGGCGAAGAAAAGAATCGCAATGCCGTGGAGGACATAGAAGAGGAAAGAAGTGATGCTTTGGCCAACATGATGGAAACACTCGACGAGCAGATGCAGTGCCCGGGATGGGAAGTGGATGATCCGATTCCATGCGTTTCGGAGGAAGGTCAGTATTGTGTTCGAGAGGTTGTCCATGGCGACCGAACATGAGAGGCAAGCAATGATGAACTGGGATACTTGGATATACTTGATGCGAGAATTGTTGTTCGAGAATGCTGAGTATAGTTCGCGCCTATGGTTGGACAGCGGTCATTCTGTCCAATCACTGTCTGCTCAATACTGCGGGCAAGCGCTGGGCATTCCCAGCAGGCAAGTACGCGCCAACAGAGTGACACTGATATGTGCAAGCATAATTTCTCATTCAACCATGCCGTCAAGCGAACACAGAATATGTACAACAAGTATGTCCAGCCCATCATCCTCATATCATCCTCTTATCCCACCCTTACGAACTGCCAACAACCTTTCCACTCAAAAAAGTAGGAGCCTTGTCGGAAAAGTTCTTGACATCAGCCATGACGACACCGGCGGCCTCGGAAGCCAGAGCCTTCTTGGAGCTCTCCTCGCTGTCCCACTCGAGGATGGCTTGCACGCAGTAGTCGCTGTCGGGGCCGAACTCGACGACGCTCCAGCCCTTGAGGCCAAAGTCGGACCATGACTTGTAGGCGAGGGGCATGTGGGTGGAGAGGTAGTAGTCCATGTTGAAGTTGGTGCCCTTGGGGTAGAGGACCTGTGGGGGTGGATGGTGTTAGTTTTTGTGTTGTGTGTGTGTGTGTGGGAGGATTGGTGGAGTGGGCCTTACGGAGGAGCTTGCGGCGGGCATTGTGGTGGTGTTGGTTGATCTGATGGAGTAGTGGAGTGGTTTGGTGATTGGTAGAGAATCAATTGACAGTGATGGTCAAGAACAAAGGTGTGAGAGCGGTATGCAACTTGTTTACCGAGAGCGACCGAGTCACTGAGACAGGGCAAAGTGGGGTGACAAGCTGCCATGACGCGGGGTAATCTAAAGCTTACAAATGCCTGTCCATCATTAGACTTGTCACCCTGTCCTGCCCCTCCTCCCATCCTATCATCCTTCCATGCACTTCCGTTCGTCCTTGCTGCGTCTTGTCTCCTGCTTTGCCATCGTATATACTGTACATTCGAGTAGACTGCGAGTGACACCATATTAGATACGAGCTGGACGACCTTCCAGTCGAGAATTCTCATCTCCGCTAAACTCCGTTCAAGCTTGGACAAGCGCTCTTCTCGGCTTTTGCTTCAAGCCTGCATTTACAAGCTCCAAGAAATCGTACACATCGTCTGGAGCAAGAATATCAAGCACTGGATTGAAATGCAAAGAACCTGTCAAGGAATATGTTTTCTGGCATCCGGATTATTGGGTAGGTGCTTCAGACACACAGACAGGAACTGACAGAGATGGCAAAACTGTTCTTTCAGGTGCTGCAACCACTCTGCAACGAGTCAAAGCGGTAGTCATGTATCATACTGTCATTGGTATACGTCCTAGTCCTCAATACTGCCTCCAACTATACGAATGTGGTTTCTGGTTGCCCTGTAACGATGACATCGCCAGACGCTCTTCTCAATCCCAAGTCTTGTCGTGATAACCTCAAAAGAATGTTGACTCTAGTTCTCCATCCCCTGAGCCAGCTTGCTCATCCTCCTTCGTCATACTGGTCAGGTTATCAACTGCAGTTCCTGGAACCTCGATGTCTTCTCCATCCTCTGAGACAGCTTGCTCATCCTTCTTGATCATACTGGTTGGGTTGTCAACTGCAGTTCCTGGAACCTCAATAGCAACATAAAGGCCAGTGAGTTCTAACACGCTGCACAAAGCGAGTTCCACGCTTCCTCGGGCAACGCCATAAAAGGTCCGTGAATTGTCCTTAGTGTTCAAGATGACGGCTCTCCAAGCGAGAGGCTCCGCGTCCCCGTCATGGCTCTGCGCAAGTCTGCGTTGCCATTGTTTGTCAAGCACGTAACCTCCATTGTTGTCAGAGTCCAGAAATTTTCTATTGCCATCGTGCTCGCGCTCGCACTTGACCAGAATAATCCAATGCTCGTTGGGATAGAGGAAGTCGATGTTTTCTGTGTTTCGACATGTTAGTTCGTTATTTGTCGAAGAGAAAGTTCATGTCAAATATACGTTGGATTTGGGCACGCAGCCCGGTGATAGAAGAGTTGCATGGAGGCAGAAGAGGAACGTTTGCTGCAGATTGTCTGGAGCCTGTCGTTCTGACCATTTTGATTCTGGATAGTGGCAATCGTCTGGGCGATGAGGAATTTTTCATGTTGTCGGATGGCTTAGGCGTTGAGGGGACCTTCATTCTCATTGTTGACGGAGTGTGTGTGGAAAGGTGGGAGAAGTAAAGTCGTGATGTGTGTGGATGGATGACGTGCAGAGCAACAGAGAGATATGAGATCAATAAGCCTTGGTTATCGGATGCTTGATTGAGTTTGAAGATAGTGTGTCGTTGATGGAGAGATGAGAAGGTGAGCAAGTCTGGCTTCGAGATGATGAAGCCGAGTGACTGAATCCTCGAGGCAAGAACGATAGACGATGACGATCGTCATCGTTTGGGACTTTCCACAGCGACGCTGCATGGCCATGAGTGGGAACGACGTTCCGCGGCTCTTTCCTCATGTTAGTCCTCTCAAAGGATCCACCTCTTCCCAACCGGAATGATGTCTATTAGCATTGTACATCAAGAACAACCAAGTTGCAAAAACAAAGACCTTCAACAACTTCAGCAAAACAAACCTTCTCACACAGCTCAAAGTTGTACATGGGAGGAACATACTGATAAATCAGTTTGATCTTTTGAGGAGTGGGGGCAGTAGCGAGTCTCCGAGTTAAACTAAGAGTCTCGCTCTTCTCAGATCAGAGTGGAGACAGGAGCAAGACCCTACACCAGACTGCTCTTGCTCTGAGGAGAAGTTGTAAGGATTAAGTCAGTATATGGAGGCTGTTGTGAAGATTGTCACTGACGAAAGCCAAGGCAATGGAATGAGGAAGGAGCGATCCACTCACGTACGGTTTCGACCGCACACTTCTTTGAAGCGCAAGTTCTTCTTCCCTCCAGCAGCCTTCACATTTGAGACTTCTCGTCCAAACCATCTATCACGCCTGCCACCCATATCACCGTCTACGCCATCTACGACCGTGCTCTCCATCTTCAAGCAACCCACAACAGCCATCCAAGCAAACATGTCCTGGAGTGTAGCAGCCTCTCCCCAAGAGATGATCTACCCCGTTCCGGAAACTCGCTGGAACGAGATCAACCTCAAGGTGCAGATGTTGGAGACTCTCACATCGCGCCTCGCCATACTCTCTGGTTTTCTCGGCATCATGTGCGCCTCCTTGACCTTCCTGAGACCTCACAGATTGGAACATCATAGCCACGAGATCATGTATATATGCTACTGTACTCTTGTAGCTATCTTTATTTCTCGCATTGCTCTGCTCGTAAGCTTGGCCGTTGTGGTCTGGTTCCGCTGGTATGATCTCAACAACTGTAAAAGCTCAGTGGTAAGACAGCCACGCTCCATGTTGTCGGAACATTACTAACACAACAACAGCTGGAGAAGCAAGAGCCAGAGAACGAAGTCACTACAGAGCGCTCGTCCACGAAGGCTGTCTCACCATCTGGCAACATCCGCAAGTCGTCCCTCAGAAAGGCTGCCTCACCGGTTCTAGACACCACCCAGCCTTATGATATTGAGAGCGAACTCCTCGACGATGATGAGTTTGACAGTGACTGGACTGTCTCGGAGGCCAGCGAGGAAGACATGTCTACCTCCGACCTCGATACAGAGGACTGATTGAGAATGTTTGCACATCTTACGGACCAAAACCAACTATCTTCGACTCGAACAAGGGAGGTTGAGGGAAGAGAAGAAGAATGGTTGAGACATGAAAGGTTATACGACAGGGTTATGTGGAACAGACGATATTTCAACCGTGGATGGCAAACAAAGATTTGTCAGAGGTATGATTAATAGCTTTGGGGATGAAGGGATGCCATGTCGAAGTAGAAAACATCAGTTCCCGCACGCAACCAACACTTTGCCCAGTTTCCTTCTTCTCAGATCCGTGATTCATGAGCGCCATCTTTATCTTCTGATCCCTTTCTAGCATGACCAGCATGGTGAGATGCTCTTCAAACTTTCTCCTCATCACTTCACCTTCCTCTGTCTGTCTTATCTTTCCTCATGCTCCATGCTCAACTTCATGTCCTTCCCAATCCCTATCTGACCGATGTTCCTCATTCACCAGCATGCATATACGTCAAAGCCAACCTCACAAGCCATCTCCGTATTCCTCTAACATCATAGTAAATGAGATAGAAGATGAGTAGCCAGTATGTAGCTGTGGGATCGCAGAGGAAATGCACAATGAGTGCGAGAAGCATCATGCCGATCATGTTGACGGAGGTGGTGAGACTTGAGCCTTGATCTGAGGTACACTGAGTTGAGCTGCGAGGAATCAGCATTTGATGGGAGTGAGAGAGCGCTTGGAGGTGGGTTGTTACGCGGGTGAAAGTGCTGAGGAGAGAGATTATTGAGCTAGTGAACGTGTTGGCGAGAAAGAGGCGTTTGGAGAGGAGTGTTGTTGTGTGTGGTTTGTAGATTGTTGATCAAGACAAGGAGAGAGATGATATGATAGATGCGTCGCTGGAGTGGTTCGCTTATCGAGGGTTTGGAAAAATTTGAGGAAAAAGTTGTTTGCTTGGACAAAGAATGAGGGAGAACTGTGTTTTGTGATTGATACTGAAAGCACGACACATAGGTAGGCGCTGTTGCGTGTGAAAGCTAAGTTAGTATAGATAACACGGCTGCTAGCACGGTAGTACCTCATCTCAGGTTATTCTTCGTCCTCCCCAAATCCTCAAGTATCTCCTGCAGCACCTGCACAATCTCGTTTGCCATGCTCAAGACTTTCTCTCTGTAATCTCCGCTCACTTGATTCACCCTCGCACCGTTAGGATGCCATAGCCTCAATTCATCCTTCAATTCTTTCTCTTCCAGGTTCGAGTCGATATAGAATTGCTTCAGTCGGTGTGAACATATCTTGAAATAGTCGGATCTCAAGTTACACCTTCCGCGTGGGCAAGAGTCATGAGGAGGCAGAGGTATTTTGGTGATGAGCTCGGGTGTCTGAAGAAGGGTGCGACAGTCTTTGCGCCATACTGCAAAGACTGCACTCACAGGGACAGCGAGATTGCTTGTCTCTCGTCCGTATCGAGGTGCTCGTGGTTGGTGATAATCGCGGAGCACACGCTCTTGTTCTTCTTGCCAGAGTCTCTCACTCTCTTTCTTGTAGTACTCCTCGTGTGCTTCTCGTGTGGCAAGGTGTTCGCGGTATCTCCGTTCTTGATAGTCTCGACGTTCTGAATATCTTTTTGCCCGAGCAGCCGGGTCCGAAATCTCTTTCGCCAGGCGTATGTGTAGCGCTTCTTCGAATTCTCTCAAGATAGCAAGGACCAGAAAGACGACGGGTATGACTGTGCATAGGAGGTAAACGTTGCCGCGAAGTAGCACAAGGCTGAATTTGAGACAGAGTACAAGGCAGAAAGTGATAATGGCCACAACAGCGATAAATTCTAAGCCCTTTTTGTCTGCCATTGTAAGGAAGAAGTAGACGAATATGGTGGAGAGATGTGGCGTGGCTGCCGAAGTTGTTCGAAGTATTGATAGAAACAGATTGTGGATGCGCTGTGACGGAAGATTGTCAATATTGCAAAGTTGTGAGAGTTTGGATGGTGCTAGAAGAAAGGCCGAAGAAAGAAAGAAGGCGCGAGCCACGCCGTCGAGCAGGAAAGAAGCGGAAAGGCAACCAAAACCAAGAAAGAGCGAACAGAACACACGAAGTCGTCACTTCTTGATTCTCGCACATTCATACAAGCTACGACTTGAGATCGATGTTTTCCATGTTCAAATTCAATCCAATGTCTACGCAAACTCCTTTAAAACTCCCTTGAAACTCCTTACTCCGTATGCCCAAAATGCCGATTATAATTCGTATTCCATATTGACCCATGTTGTTGGTTTATTGTTGGTTGTAATTATTGTAGGAAAGTACCGGAAATGTACGCAGTGAGGTAGAGATGATGGTCGTTACCGAAAACGACTCGAGCCAGATTGAAAAGGAGAGAAACGACACTGTACTCACTCTCTCGTGCGCAATCTGTCGACGTGTTCATCAAAATCCAAGAGATCTTTGATGATGAGGTCGGTGTCCGCAAAAAGCGACAACACCACCTGCTCTCACTGAACAATCATACTGAAAGAAAGTCCATCGTGCCAGTTGATGGCTAGTTCTGGTACCATCCGAGGCGATGGGATGACATGTTCGACTCCCTTGTAAGGTACTGGTGTCTTTGTATCAACAAGCGAGTCTATGTCGTCAAAAACAGTGTGTCAAAGCTTCAAACAGGCTTTGCATCTGCAGGCAATCGTCATATTGCTGGTCGTACGTGTTGATGTAGTTTGCACCACCCGAAACGCTACAAATGGTGTCCCTTTTGTGTTCTCTAAGTAGCAGAATGACTCTGCCTATCTGGGAAGAGCCAGGCTTGGTCAAAAAACCTGGTCGTAACTTGCAACATACCAGAGCGACGAAGAACGGGACACAAAAGGATTCTCCATACAGGGTAGCAATCTTGAAAAGAGTTTTAGCTTCCGGCCCGGATAGGGTCATGACTGGCTCAGGAAGTTTGAGTAAGAGGTGTTCGCGAATGCATCTGGTTACACCAGTCTTTGTCTTTAACGCCGAGAAGTAGTCTGACAGACCGCAGCTGTCTAGTGCGGTAAGAGATACTGCCTTGTAAGCTTCGCCCTGAACTACACCATGGATAAGATACTCGAAGTGGATACTCCGGACAAATTCGACATGTTCCGGAGCACGGGAACGAAATATGGGCCATGTCAATGGCACTGATAGGACCGTATTCTTGAGCCTCTCGGCATCCACAATAGCGATGTGAACGTTGCGCTCTTTCCTCTGCTCAGCCGCGTTGTAGGCTACACGAAGTGCAAACACTGGGGATGCAGTCCAGGATGAGAACTCCGAGGGTATTGGGCGAGCGCAAAAGTGGCCGATGAGGTTCTTGATGAACCACTTGGATTCCATTTCAAAGATGGAATTATGGCCTGTGTTGTAGTAGGGAGCAAACGCATGAGGTGTAACAGAGAAGGTCGTATTCAGGCTTGAATCACCGCCAGAACGCGCGCTCCACACACGAAAGAGATATCGGGGAATATTTTTAAAATTGCTGGCATCTAATAAAATCAGTCAGTTGCATATCTTAGCCAGAAGTCTTTTTCTTTCTCACTTCGGATGGCACCCCACAACTCGGGATCGCTGCCCAGAGTTCCTTGGTTGCTGCTGATAAGAAGCTTGGAGGACATAGCGATGTCTTCTGGAGGTCACGATTGCTGGGACAAGAGGTAGAAAACCAGTGTGAGGTGATGGTTTAGGGAGATGGTAGAGCGAGATTGTTACTGTTGTCTGTGAGCATGGCCTACTCAATCATCGTCCCATGATCTCTGATTTATATCAGTAGCTACGAAAGCCCAAACAATGAAGTGAGAGTCTCATCATTGTACTATTACTGCATTAACAACAAGATAGAACCAGAAGTTTGGTTTTAGACTGCATGTTTCGTGAATTGTGTCTCAGACACTGATGAGAGTCTGTTGGTTATACAGTAGAGCCTGTGTAATACAAGTGTTGTCTTAATGTACGCTGCTAGTCCGACAGGAAAGCTCGAACGTAGGTCTCGGCCTGCTTGAGTTAAGCATGCCAGCCAGATGCGACATTGTAGCGCTATTGACAGGTGGGCACCAGTCAAATGTGCGTTGAAACCCGTCTATATCTCTTTCGGAAATAGTGAGCAAAGACATTTAAGACATAGAGGTCAGAAAGATTCAGGAACAGGATTGCGATGGTCGACGCCAATCTCTTCTTCGAATGTTCACGTGTGGAGCCTCTTCCACATGATGTTCATCGTGTCTGATTCAAAAAGGACGGCCCTGCCACTGACTATAAATGACTGTTCTTCAACCTAAACGAGAAGTCTGAAAGCAAAAAGGCCGAAAAGAAGCAAGCAAGTGACAAAATTCAGGCACGCATGAGATGAAAAAATTGTTTCTGTTTGGTATCGTGCTTTCGAAGAGACTTGTCCAAATTTCTAATCCTGAACGCCATCGTAAATCATGTTCCGCGAGTTCCCCCCCAAAAAGTCATCCATTCATGATCGTCTCCTTGTCATGCCCGTGAAATTGTAAGCGTTTCTCCGTGTAACAACTATTAGTTGTTGCTCAATTGTGTAGAACATCTCCTTACAATCATCGCTTCTGTCGCTTGGGAGCAATCTCATTTTCGGACTCATCGTCTGACGGGGCTTCGTACGAAATGGCATCGATTCTAACATAGAGGAAGAATACACCATCATCACATTCCAGACTGAGAAAGAAGGAAGTGGTCCAATAGCGAGGAACTGCATGGTATCATCCGGCTGGAAGTGATATCCATTGATCTTGACACTCGAGTCTGCTTTGAGGATTGCGTACCATACGTATTGACCGGTAATATCTGAGCAACGGAAATGAACTCCTTGATTATATTGGCAGGTGAAGTCGTTAGTCGATATCCTATACACGCATTAGTTCTCGCCTCTAACGTTGATAAGCGTTGATACCAACCAAAATTCCAGCTTCTTGTAATATGAGAGTCGACGGTAGTTAAACTTGTTAACACACCATGTGGCAACAAGATGACCGGTGATACAGGCATGTTTGATCTTATCAGGATGGAGAATCGTAGATTGAGACTCCTTGCTTGCGGCATAAAGATCAGTCACTTCCGTGTTGGCCATTCCCATTCCGCTCTCGTAGTAGTCGGTTGCCCAAAGTGCAGAAGGGCTTGAGATGCTCGATGGCGGAACGCTCCGGGTTGGAAGATGACCCCATGGGTCTGGCACAAGACCGAATGATAGAACAGAGAGTCGAGCTCTCTTGCGGGATTTGCCATTGGGCACCAACGGCCTCGGGCTCGGCAGCTTCTGGATCGACACAGGCTGGGGATGATCGATTCCGCGTGAGTTCATATGGGCCGTGGGGTTCATTCTCATTGCAGACATACTGCTAACGATGCCTTCCTCGTCAGAATGGGAGTCTGCGTCCCAACCACTTTCTTCAGGATCGAAATCATCGTCAGAGCTGGAGTCCTCGCTGTCAGAGTCCATAATGATAGCAGCAATACGTTCCCTGCCTCTGGCTCCTTTGCCCCAAGCATATTCGTGCAATGCACGCATGACATTGACCATCTGTTGATTGGCTTCGTACCCCTCAGGATACACGCCGTCACAGAAGATAGTGCGAGAAGCAGCCCACTCCAGGGGTATTTCTTCGTTGCCGCCGAGGATTCTCACGATCTTTTTGAGATCATTTGTGGACATCGTCGACCAGAGATCGGGATGTTTTCTGCAACAGAAGAGAGTGATGGCGAAAGGAATAGAGAACGTCTTACCGTACAGGAGACCGATCTGCTTCAGATCATGAAGCTCACCGATCTCAAAAGGAGTTCCACTTGGCAGACGTTGGGTTGATCCAGGGTTCGCCAGTGGATGTTCCGACGTGATCAAGTTGGGTAGATGCTTCAGTAAACCCCTTTCCAAAAGAGAGTCTAATGGAACAGCCTTGTAAAATTCACCCCGAACAACACCATGAACCAGATACTCCTCAGCATAATCGGGTTCAAACTCTTCAAAGATTTTGCCTAGAGCCCCTACATGGAAGGCCGGATTAGTAGTTACCAACCTCTCGGTATCCATGATTGCAATGTGGATGCCTTTGGATTGGAGCAACTGTTTTCTCAAATTCATGGCGTAATTGAACGGAAAGTAAGGCGATTGAGACCATGAGGAGAACTCCGAATAGATGGACTTATGGCCCCGCACATGCCCGTTCGTGTTGTCTACGAACTCAGAACGAGTCATGTCGTACACTGTATTGTGATTTCTACCGTAGAGGAAGGCATGGGGAGTGACTGCTGATACGGTGTTGAGCCTAGAATCGTTGCCGGAGTTTGCCCAAAACATGCGGAAAAGATATTTTGGAACGTTTTTGCATGCTTCTTAAGAACACATCAGTTCAGATCATCATGCTTCGAAGCAACGCTTCGTACCTTCCATCTTTGCTTTCAGCTCCGGGTGGCTAGCCATGCTTGTTTCCAGAGCGGCCCTTTTGCGGGCTTCCCTCCGATCGAAGTATTCATTCAGGGTCAGCATCGTTCAGTCTCTGATGTTGTATATCCTGCAACCACGCCTCCACGATCTCTGGACCTATACAGATATACATGAATTATAGATATCACTAACAGTGGACAGCCAGTCTTGTTTTTACTGTTGTCTTGCAGATAGCAAAAGACATCTTTGACTTGAACTACATGTTTGTGGTATGCCAGGGTCTCGAACAGCATAGGATGTCTTTCATACCAACAAGACTGCATATACATCAGAGACACGAAGGATCATGCGTAGGATTGATCACCAAGGTTGAGTGAGTCGGTGTTCAGTAAAATCGAACAAAGAAATCCTAAGACAATATTCCACCGTGATAGTGGGGTCGAGCAAGACAATTTCGGACAACATGAACCTGACTTTGATCAACGCTGTCAGATGCCTGTCAAAAAGAAAAATCATCCTTACACGACGAAGTTAATACAGCAGTTTGCGACGATCTTTGGTGGGGTTGCCAATAAGAGAGCAGGAATAGATGGAAATAGGCATGATTGCCGCATGTGGTAAAGTTCGTCATATGTGAGTGGATTCTGCGATAACCCGATAAGGTTCAGGTTGACAGTATTGCGAACTATTCGGCCCGATGAGACAAACCATTTAGAATCACGAGCTTTGAATCTGCCACGTGAGATGCTGAACAACAAGACAAGTTCAGTCAAGATATTATGCTCGAGTGTCTGGCATACAGATCTGATACATTGTGAGTCGTTCAAGATGTTCGGCAGGTGAAATGATCAATGCCGGTCTCACGCGTGGCACTGCCAGTTCGACTGACGAGAACTCATGTGCCGTTGACCGCGATCGAGACTGAAGGATTTGAATAGTCACTCCGCTCTTCTGGGCACTCAGATCGTCCGTTGGATGGATGTATGCCCAAAGTAATCATGGAAGACCCACTTGTGAGGAGATGCCCTCGGGAGGCTTGATATTGGTGGCCATATCTCCGAGAGATAACCCCACACAGCGAAGCCATGGTGGAGGTATTTATCTGATCAAAGGCCTATCGTGTGCCTCGAAGCAGTTGCTTGTCCCAATGTGACACATGGCAAACAGGATCTGGCAAAGTCAACGCGAACGGTTTGATCGGGTGTACTTGCCATGCGTTGTGTGTGCCTCGTCGAGACTGCAGATCACTTGCCATGAGCTGAGCTGGATTTACAAGACGACCTATTTCGTTGTTCAATTCGGCAAAGATGCTCTGTCAGAGCAAGAAAAGCCATTCGGCTACTCCACAGTTGGGCCGTTGAAGAAACGTTCCGGGCGTAGTCTTAATAGACACGTTAAAAATGTGAGACCAATACTTGCTTGCACTTTTCGAGATCTTGAGAGTTAATCTCGTAAGGGCTGGAGCCACAGGGTATGCGGCTGATTAAGGACAGAAAGAAGCGAGTATGGCGGCCGCGCGGATGGATGTGAGCGAGAAAATGGCGTTCTTGCTCGCTCTGGTTGGCCGCTTCGAGAGGAACGTGGGGGAAGTGTTGGAGGCTTGATGATATCATCATATCATGCTCTTTCAGAATATACAATGTTGAGGATGCTTGAGCGATCAATCTTTCGATGGAGTAGACCAGCGGATGGTGTTGCGGTTCGAGTCTCTGGTGGCCAGACCTCCCGGTATGCAGCAGATGATCGGGGCCAGCCTTTGGCAGTTGTCCGTCAGAAAGAGACATGTCTCTTCCACACGGGCAGGACTTGCTTCACGCGTGGTGTTTGCTCCGTGCGGGAAAGTGCCGTGCATCCAGAGAGGTGAATTGGCAGACAGACCCTGATATCGATAACGGTCCGTAACGTGTGAAAATTGGTGACGACTGTGGGATTCCTCTCGAGCTGGACAGAAACGGTATGGGCTTGGAGGGAAAGGAAAACGGGTGGAGGCTGGACGTTGGCGAATTGGGAGGCTTTCTTGAAGCCGAAGAAAAGGCGGCTGCCGCACGCGATGATCTGCGAACGCAGTAAGGGCGAGCTGATGGGCAAACGTCCATCGAGGATGCATCCACACACTGTGCATATCGCAATCATCCCTTTCGTTCCTTGTTATCGACAAACAGCCGGATATCCGAGCGGTCTTACGGTCCGAAGCGCTGTATGCAGATGCGTTGTGCAATTAAAGGTGAAGAGCTGAACACGAGCAACACTCAAGCTGAGCTCAACTTCCAACTCGAAACCTTGCTTCCAAACACGTTACCACCTCAAATGTTTTGTGAATATTGCTCAGGATGAATATAATAAGTTTGGCGAGTAAACTGCCCCTTCTACTCAAATGCACAATGGAGTCCCAAAGTCTGTCCGCAAAGACTTTCGTGTGCGCCGTTGTAACGACGCCCCGTGAGCGCCATCGACCGTTAAGCATATCGATAATTGCCGACTCATCTATTGTACGTTTTGTTTTGGAGAGACATTCCCCTTTCCAGTTTTCAACGACCCTCAACACAGACTCTGCCCTCTCCATGAAACCTGAACACCTTGTATAAGTACAGTCGACAATCCGTGTCTCAATGCTCTTCCCAGACCTCAACGATCTCGCCTACTAATCACAGCTTCTACTTGTTCGTTCATCCGCCTGCGGATTCTAATATTGTTTGTTTATAATCTTCATAATGAGGTCCTCCGGTTTCAGCGCTTCCGCGCTCAGCATTCTTGCTCTGGCATCATCTGCTTCGGCCTTCTGGCGCATGCCCTGCCCTGGACGTGTTGCTACTGAGCGTCTTGACCCTATCGTTTCGCCCGGCAAGGTCGCCGGCCATGTTCACACCATCTCCGGTTCCAACGTAAGTCTCTCAATTGCACTCTTGGAAACATCGGTCCTAACAAACTTTCCAGGGATTCAAGGCTGAGATGACTTACGCCGATGCTCAGGCAGGCGCCTGCTCTTCATGCCCTATCAAGCAGGACATGTCCAACTACTGGACCCCCAAGCTCTACTACCAATCTGAGAACGGCACATTTATCGATGTCCCTCAGGCTGGTGATGGTCAGGGCGTTTTCGGCGGCATGACCGTCTACTACCTGCAAAGAGGTGGCCCTAACAACGACAACCTTACCGCTTTCCCCAAGGACTTCCGCATGCTTGCCGGTGATCCTTTCAAGCGTGCATACACCGACGACTTCGCCGGTCAGGCTATCAGCTTCGTCTGCCTCGACTACAGCGGTACCTCTTCTTACCACAGCGGCCTTCCCAACAAGGTCTGCCCTGACGGCATGCGCGCCCAGGTCTTCTTCCCTTCCTGCTGGGATGGTGTCAACCTCGACTCATCCGACCACAAGTCACATATGGCTTATCCTACCAAGTACTCCTACGACAACGGCCCCTGCCCTGCAGACCATCCCGTTCACATGATCTCCATTTTCTTCGAGGTTATCTACTCCACTGCTGGTTTCGACTGGTGGAACGGCACTACTCAGCCCTTCGTCTTCGCTCAGGGTGACCCCACTGGTTACGGGTTCCACGGTGATTTCGTCAACGGCTGGGATGTCGACGTTCTCCAGAAGGCTACCGACACCTGCAACAACGACTCCGGTCTCATCACTGACTGCCCTGTTTTCGAATTCTTCAGCAACGCCGAGTCTCAGGCATGTGTCATTGCCCCTACTGTTCAAGAAGTTGTCACTGGCGAATTGGACAAGCTTCCTGGCTGCAACCCCGTTACCTACGGTCCTGGCAGAGCTCCTACCTCTGAGGCTGGCTGCACTGACAGTATTACCCTTGGAGCTGCTCCCATCTACTACCAGAACGTCACTGGATGGGACTACGTTGGTTGCGGTCCTGACTCAGTCAGCAGCCGCACTCTTGGCAACTCCTCCTTTATGTCGGACTCCATGACTGTCGAGAAGTGCTTGTCTTACTGCAAGAACAAGGGTCTCAACTACGCTGGTCTTGAATACGCCACCCAGTGCTACTGCGGCAGTTCTCTTCCCTCTAGCCTCGCCCCCACTACCGGTGTCCTCGGCAACTGCTTCTCTCCCTGTGCTGGTAATTCTTCCCAGTACTGTGGTGGTTCCAACCGTCTGAGCATCTACTACACTGCCGATGTTTCTTCCACAGTCTCATGCCCCTCTGGCGATGGCACCAACTTCACCACTCCCAACAACGCCACCTTCGGCATCAGCTGCGCTGGCGACTACAGCGGCAAGGATCTCAGCATGGTCTACGTCAACAACGGCATTCAGGAATGTGTCAAGACTTGCAGTACCACTGCTGGTTGTGTTGCTGTCTCCCTCTCCGGAAGCGCCTGTTACATGAAGAGCACTGCTGGCTCGATGAAGACTTCTTCGGGTGTCCAAGCTGCCAAGCTCATCTCTGGCGGTACCGCCGCTGCCTCTTCTTCATCTTCGGCTGCCGCTTCCTCCACCAAGGCTTCTTCGACCAGCTCTTCTGCCTCATCCACCAGCTCCACTGCCAGTGTTGCCACCAACTCTGCTGGTTCCGTCTACAACCTCTACTACTCCTCCGATTCGGGCCAAGGCTCGTTTGCCAACACTCAAGCTTCCAGCTCATACACCGACTGCATGACTGCTTGCGATGCCAACTCCAAGTGCACTGCCTTCACCTATGTAGGTGGTAAGAACGGTGCTGGCTCAGGCACATGTTGGCTGAAGAGTCAATTGGGCAGCCCTGTGTCGGCCAACAATAATGTCCTTTCGGGCTCGCGTGTCAGCCTTGGTAGCAAGGCTGCTGGTTCATCTTCCAGCTCGTCTTCTGTTTCTTCTTCCTCCATCTCTTCTGCCTCTGGCTTCGTTACCGCTTCTGGCACCAGCGCAAAGGTCACTGCCTCCAGCACTTCGAGTAGCGCTTCTTCCACCGCCAGCAGCACCGTCGCTGCCTGCCCCGCTGGTGACAACACTCTCTACACTGACAAGACCACCGGTGCTCAATTCCTCATTGAGTGTGGTACTGACCACGCCGGTGGTGACTTGAAGATGGTTTACGTCAGCGACTTCGCTTCCTGCATCCAGACTTGCGCTCAGACCACTGGCTGTGTCGATGTTTCGCTCTCTGGTACTGCTTGCTACATGAAGAAGTCTGTCGGCTCTGTCGTCAAGTCCAGTGGCATCAAGGGTGCTAAGCTTATCTCCTCTGGCACTGCCTCTTCCACTTCCAGCACTGCTACTGCCAACGTCAACGTTGCACAGAAGGCCGCCTCGACAGCCAAGTCTTCAAGCTCCAGCAGCAAGACCACTTCCAGCGTTGCCACTTTGAAGACTGCAGTCAAGAAGGCCGTCAAGGTCACTTCCACCTCTTCTTCCAAGAAGGCAACCGCTACCCACAAGTAAAACACTTGTGTTTCTCTCTTATGTCTCCCATCTCTTATGTCATAATGAACCAAGGCAGGGCCATCCCATCTATTCGGAAAGAGGAGGATTAAAAAGTAAGAACTATCGGGCTCACTGAAAAAGCAAAACCCACAAAAAAACACGATAGAAGAACGACTATCTAATGCAGGGATGAGGATCTTGATGATCTTGGAGATCCTTTTGGGCAGTGCCCTTGATCTCGACTTCTTTCTTCTTGTTAATACAACAGGTTGTATGTACATAACTTTTTAATAGTCTCTAGAAGACACCCTAATCTTAATCAATACTTTTACACCGAAACCACCTATCTGCCGCAGTCCAGTTTTTGCTTTGTGATAGATACAGTACTTGGTTGGGGCCAACAGAGAAACGTTTCAAGTGGTCGCTGCTTGTTTGAGATAGGGAAAGAGCAAACTGCGGGCAACTTTGGGGTCATGATAGGCCAAGTTGCGGCTTCCTCTTTCGTCCTGGAAGCTTGCACAAAACGGTCATAAATATGCTTGGAATGCATAACGCCTGCTTTTCTACATCACCTCCGCTGTTATCTACCTTTGCCATCATCAATTTACAACCATCCATCGCTTTTCATCCGTCTTTACGCGGTTGAGAAGACGGGTTTCTTCAGCTCAAGCATTTATTGGCTACTGAGCTGGTGAGCCAAGATGTCTTGCTTGCTGTCCCTATCTCTTGCTCTCTTGAGCAGTTGAGCGCGAACGATGGCCGCATGTACCCCGAGCCGTCGACTTACCTATCTCTCATAGATACAGGAATATGTTGAATCAATAGTACAACCATGCGTTTGCTATATGATGGGCATATCTGCTCATCGCCAGCTCCGCTCCACTGCTATACTCTATTCATCAAATCTGGTCTGGATTTTCCGCAGTCATGTCGCTTGATCAGAAAGATGGCCCACAGGCCAATGTACTACCCGAGGAGAAGACCGATGCATCAATCGGAGAAGTTCAAGATTTCAGCTACGACTCGGAAGCAGAGAGAAAGGTGTTAAGAAAGTTTGACAAGTTCCTCTTGCCTCCTCTGGCTCTTATTTTGCTTGTGGCCTATCTGGACAGATCTAACCTTGGTATGTCTTTGTACATCTTCATTCTCTAAGCATGAACATACTAACGCAATGTACAGGTAACGCAAAAGTATTTGGTTTTGAAGATGGTACGTCTAGAGAAGAAGATGCACGATCTCTATCGTTCTGACTCGTCTTTTAGGCATCGGTCTCGTCGGCAACCAATTCAACACTATCTCAACCCTCTTCTATCCCTTTTACGTTCTCTTTGAAATTCCCTGGACAATGGCCGTCAAAACATTCGGTGCGAATCATGTTCTCGGTATCGCCATGATTGCCTGGAGTGTCATCACGCTGTGCACAGGCTTCATTCAAACCTATCATCAGGCGATTGCCGTGAGAGTGCTTCTTGGAGCTTTCGAGGCTGGACTGGTGCCTTCGATCGTGTTTATCATCAGCACAATCTGGGAAAGAGAGCGACAGAGCAAGAGAGTCGCTATCATATACGGGGCGAACTGCCTTTCGGGAGCATTTGGTGGTTTAATTGCTGTGAGTATTGACCGTTCTCTAAGATTATTCCGACCTGTCTGGATGCAAAGGCCTATCACATGGTCTTACAGTGGTTCTTGCGACATCCCAGGTGTAAAAATGCACGATGCTTTTGATATCGATGCAGTCGTACACAGGAAGAAGCTCTTTTAAAGCAGTTGTGCTGACAGCTTTCAGTATGGTATCGAGAGTATGGGCACACAGCATGGCCTCGAATCCTGGCGTTGGCTGTTCATCGTCGAAGGAGCCGCATCAATCGTGATTTGCGCCATTTGCTGGGCTCTGTTGCCCAGGAATGCGGAGACAGCGTGGTTCTTGTCCTATGAGGAGAAGGCCATCATGGTTGCGAGAAAACAGCGCAATCTTGTTAACAGAGGTACCGAAGAGTTCTCTTGGGAGCATGTTAAAGTTGCTTTCACGGATCCGATCATCTACATTGCCTCTGCCAGCTTCTTCTCTGCTTCCATTGCTCTTTTCGGCTTCGGTACTTTCTTGCCTACCATCATCAAAGGTCTAGGGTGAGTACACACAGTTGCTCCTGCAGAAGTACACCAGACTGATTTGTAAAACAGATACACATCTCTGCAAGCAAACTACCTGACAATCCCCGTCTACATCTTCGCAACCCTGACCCTGATAACCGCGACCTTCACTTCCGACCGCCTGCAAAAGAGAGCAATCGTCCTCGCCATCCTCCCCATCGCCCCTATCATCGGCTTCATAATCGCCTGCAGCACAGCCTCCCACGCAGCAGGCTACTTCGCAATGTTCCTCTGCGGCGCCGGCATCTACAGCTACAACTGCCTAATCCTAACCTGGATATCCACAAACCTAGCACCCGACTACAAGCGCAGTATGGCGATGCCGTTTTTTGTCTCTCTGGCCAATATTTCCGGTGTCGTGTCATCGCAGATTTATCCTTCGACAGATGGGCCGAGGTATTTGATGGGGAATGGGGTTAGTGCTGGTACGGAGACGTTGGCGCTTTGTGGTGTGGTTGCCGTGTGGTGGACGTTGAGGAGGAGGAATTTGGAAAAGGAGAAGTCGAGGGGGATGGGGGTGGAGGATAATGGTATGGATGGTGATCGGGGTTTGGACTTTGTGTATAATCTTTGAGCACTAGTCCGTCGATTATCGGCTTTTGGACTGTCAGCGTAATAATATCTCCTCCTTCGAACCTCACGAGCCCGGCGAAGCAGTCTCAATCCTCGGTTGAATCCTGTCCTGATTCTTGAACCGACAGCAACTCTCCTGACACAAACAAGTCTTGGGCAAATTCCTCCAATACGCATCCGAATAATCCACCGTGATCTCCTGCCCCGCTTCAATCCCCCTCGACACCAATATAATCCTCTGCGTGCCCATCCAGACGAATCTCTGAAACTGACTGTTGGGACGGCAAGAGTGGTTTACGAAGCGCGTGTAGTTGCCTTCCCGCCCTTGGTAGATTTGATAGCGTTGCTCGGCTTCGGCTTGCATTACGTCCATACCTTCTAGACCTTTTGTGATGAGACCTGTGAATTCGCCGATTGCGACGCCGCGTTCGAAAGGCTGCATTGACGGATCAGTGAGTGCTGGCAGAAAGTAAAGATTGTAGACTTACGCAGCATGCTAGAAGACCATTGTTACGGCCATTCTTTGTGCGGAAGATTTGCACAGGGGCGACGGGTAGTTGGTCGCTGCCGAAGAGGTTCGGGAAGCAGCGACATGTGCTTTCCGTTACATCCTCTGATTGTTTTTCTCCGCAGACATTGCAGACGTGAGCTGCTTGGTGTGATTGCACGGCGACTTGACGTGGGTCGTTGGCTCCAAAGGCGTATGGATCTACGACTGAGGAGTCTAAATGTGTAAATGAGAATTGTGGATCGTACTGTAGATATGTCTGTTTTAGCGGCACAGGATCGTCATGATCGGAGACGACCCAGTCGTGAGGATGGCCGTTGTAGACCCGGGAGGATGTGTCGCCAACTATAGTCAACATATCTCGCCAGTGTGGGTGCTGTTTCGGTCAGTAAATATCTTGACGGCATATGAATCTCGAGTAACAAACCAGTGTGTCAGCAGCCACCTCGAACCTGGTGCGAGTCCGCCTGAGGATTGCCATAGATTCTGGGTCGAAACCGATGCGGTATTTGCAGAATCTGTAAATTCCCATGCCTGCGAAAACGAGACATACCCAACCTCCGTGGTCTTTGATCTCCTTGTAGCCACGCCAGATGGCCCTGGAAAACACTTTGTCAATTCCGGTCATTCGCTCACGGCCAATCAACTTACATTTTGTTGCGTATCTCCTTCTCGCTCCAACCAATCTCAGAACATGCCTGAGCAAGCGCTTTCATTCTCGCTTTCGTCGCTGATAGCTGAGGATGCTCTTTTGCAATTTCTTGCACCTGGCGATCGAAATGCTCAATCCACGAAGCCTGAACCACAACCTCAAGTGCTCGTGAGCACCGACTGGCCTGACTGATCTTGCGACAAAGCAGATTCATCCCAGTGAATGTCCGTTCTGGTACCGTAGCCGGCGGTACTTGTACAGCACTGGGTTGCTCTCCCTGCGCGAGGTCTGATATGAGTGATCGATGTGTTTGGAACCCAGTTGTTCGCCATTCGCTGGAGACGACACTTATGTCGAAGCTCATGCTACTGAATACCTGCTCCCAGATACCGACGATCAATTTGCTCAGAGTGGAAGGCCGTAATGCGGGTTCATCTCGTGCTGTCCGTCGTTGCGGCTTTTCTCGAACATCTGCCTGAAGGCGGCGAACAGGTGCTTGTGAATTCTCCTCGGCCTCGGGAGACATACTCTGGTTCGCTGATCCCATGGGTCGTAGTCTTAGTCCTCCGGTAATTTTTCGTCGTTTCGACGTTTCTGAGTCCGAGTCATTGTTCAAAGCTCGTCGTGACCGACTACTCCGTCTCGGAATATGTTCCTCGGAAGGTATAACCTCGTTGCCTGTACTGGCATGCGATTCCTGTTGCCGTTCGATTGACGTCTCAAAAGGTGTTTCGGTAGCCACTGAACCTCTTCCACTCTCAATCAGTGTTGAAATGTCATAACTGCCCTGCCTACCAGTCAGCGACAAGACATCCACAGACAACTCTCAGACGATGGAGTTATTTTACAAGATCAATCGACGACGAAATGTCTCCATCGATATATCCCTTCAAGTCCAGCTTGCACGCTGCCGGTGGAGATTGCCCTGACGCGCTAACCGTCGCGATTTGCTGCACAATCGACCTGGCAATATGAGCCGACAGCCTTTCCAACGCGCCCAGTTCCGCACCCATGGTGAAGGCAAAGGTGTCAAATCAACAGGAATCTGTCGCGATGGGAATATTCGCCATGCGTAAAAGTCGTGTAATCGGTGACGGGGAAATCATGAATCGAAAGAAAGTGGCGTGTAGAGTTTGGAGATGATTTGTGATACCGATTCGGTGGCTTGGCAACTCCCGTTTAGCAGGGTATGTCCTTGCCATTCTAGCATAGTTTCCAGCTTGAGAAGGAGGGAAATTCTTGAGATCTACATGATGTATAGAGGTGTATGAGACTCAAGAATCGATTTGCTTGTATGGCCATGACACTGCAGGACAGTGGTTCTCTTATCGGAGCTCACTTCCGGGCGATAGCCCTAACGTGGCCTGACAGGAACCGCATTCGCTTAAGCGGCTGTGCGGGAAACAGTCTGGATACGGCTCCTGATGGTCAGTATATATTGACAAAACATCTTGCAATGCGACAGATATCTGGCAGGTTGGTCGAGCAAGTAAAATTGATGTTCCAGAATGCTTTTCTACTTCTAGGACATGATCACAGTGAATTTGGAGACAAATATTTGTGTTACCAGAAAAACTCTGGTCGGTCTGTCTTTTTGAGTATTGAGAATATTATATATGACAATAGGAGATTTCGAAGAGAAAGCATGGTTTATCTGCTCAACTACCACCGACTCGACCCCTTGATTTTGTTTGTTGTGTTGACTTGCTAGATGTCTTAAGACATTTAGCAGGCGGCGCCAGAGCCGCTGGGGATACCAGAGCACTTGCTGGACTTCTTGCCACCAGAGATGGTGTTGCCAGACCACTTCCAGTTGGAGCAAGCACCGGAGGCACAGAGAATGTAGGTGTTGGTACCAGAGCTGGTAACACCGACCTTGTTGTTGTTCATGGTGAGGCCAGTGATCGGGACACCGTTGGTGGGCTTGCCGGTAGGGGATCCGTTCTCGTAGTCCTGCTCAATGACAACACCGTACTTGGAGATGCCGGAGAGAGTGTTGCCAGTGTACTCAATGCCAGAGACCTTGCCAGTAGCACCGTAGACAGTCTTGATACGGAGACCGTTCTGAGAGTTGGTGACCTTGTTGTTGGTGAACTTGACGTTGGAGACGGTGTTGTCATCACGACCACCGACGGAACCGATGGAGAGACCGTGGCCACCAGTGCAGGTAGAACCGGTGACAGTGATGTCGGAACCAGAGTTGACGGCGACACAGTCATCCTGGTTGTGGATGTTGGCACCAGAAATGGTGATGCCGCTGGAGGAGCCAATGTCGAAAGCATCGGTGTTGTGGCCCTTGTTCTCACCGTCACCGGCAGAGTTGTCAACAGTGACACCAGTCAGGGTAAGCTGCTTGGCGTTGTTGATGGAGAAGATCTGAACGGGAGAATCCTTGATCTTGATGTTCTGGATCTTGGAGTTGGTCATCTTGTGAGCGTAGAAGAACTTGGGCTTCTTCTTGCCACCGTTGGTGCCCTTGCCGTCCCACCATCTGCTGCCCTGACCGTCGAGGACGGAGCCGGAAGCACCAATGACGGTGAGCTTGTCACCGGAGACGGAGACGAGAGGACCAGTCCACTCCTTGTAGCCGAAGGTAGTGGTACCCTGGAAAGTAACAGTGGTACCGGCGTTCAGGCCAGTCAGGTCAAGAGTGGTACCGGCAGGGACAACAGCATTGCTGATGATGATGCTGGAGCAAGACTTCTTCTGCTTGAGGACGTTGGCAGCGGCGGAGGAGCCAGAGAAGGTACAGCTGCCACGCTCCTGGATAGTGGGAGCAGCAATTGCGGCACCGCTGAGAAGAGCGGCGACGGCGAGGCTGGAGAATTGAACCATGATTCTTATAGAAAAGAGTGTAAGGAAGTAAAGAGTGAAAGACGAGACCGGCTCGAGAGTTGGAATGTGATGAGAAAGAGAGTGTTGATGATGAGAGAGACGAATCGATTTTAGAAGGAGAGACACCAGTACTTATACCGTTCCTGCTCTTCTCGATCTAGGTCTATCGCAAGGGTCTGATTGACTCCAATGCCAAGTTCATGCTATGCGGACGTCGGGATGTAGGCGAGACGTGCTGGGACTGCCTTGTGTCACTGCACCATTTTGCGTACAAGGAAGCATCAATATAGAGCTCGTATTTTGTCGGGAAGCACTTTACAGTGATTTCAGGAGTGAATTGTGGCGGCCATGAGGCTAGAGGATGATGTCGGAGAGCCCGGGAGAGGACTTTGAGAAACGCTTTGATCAAGGAGGTGTCAAACGTCGCCCCACAACAACTTCTGACAAGCTTGTTCAAGAAGCACCGGCAAATCTGAAACGACGATCGGTTGTTCGTCCGAAAGAATTAACAAAGAACCTAATAGAGCGCATTTGTTTGGGAAACACATCACCCGAGTCCTTGTGATGACCGATGGACAGTGAAGTTCGGCGTTTCTCGAACTTCTGCCCCCAGCCGCCCAGCATTAGGGCATGGCAGCTGTAGTGTTTCAGGAGACGAAACGAAACATGGAAAGAGACGGGGAAGCATCGTTCCAAACTATCGGTGCTATCCTCAGCTTCGAGAAAGCTCGCTATTCTCAATCGCTGTCTTGCCATTTCCAAATAGCATTGTGGATATTGGCCCGCATCGCATCGCATTGCTCACTCAGGCGAGAGTCGACCTTGCCCTGATGTTTCAGAATGCTTACCGCGATCATGTCCAGAAGCTGATTTGCGCAGGGTGCATGATGAATTTGATGCCGTCGATTGGTTTCTGGTTGTGATTCTCGCCATTCGTAAGGAGGGATCAACAATGCTTGCTGTGCCCTAAGCCTTTTGGCACGAGTGATGATCAGGCTCCTGCATCAATCAAGCTCAAATGATCCACGTGCTCTAGAATCAAGCAGACGGAAAATCAACGCATAGAAAGGCAGAGTACGCGGAGATTATCGCTTGGCGGTGGAGAGGGCAAGAACCATGAAGGTCAGAATGCCAAGTCATAAAGCGTCTATGTAAGTTCGAACCTGAATCTCACCATTAATATGTACCAGCCTTTGACGCTGAACGGAGGTCAACACAGACGAGCAGAGGCTGAATCACACAACTCTAAGTCGTCAGATCAAACTCAGAATGCGATCCGAATCGTCCACGGCACATCTGTGGCGTCCGCCACACCGCCAATGCTGCCATGGCCGACAAGCGCCATCAAGCCTCGTCAAGCTCATCACCCGACGCACGACCACTTTGTAGCACGAGCAGGGATGTTTTGCTAATTTGTTCAAGAATAGGGCCTGTAACCCTATTGCAACATCTGCCGGTCCATTGGATCATGATTACCTATCTACTACACACAATTTAACCGAAGCAAGAAGCAGCGCTACGTATTGCCATCCTTATCAAAGGACTCGGATTGAGGAGGTCGCCTTGATGTCTCTGCTGCTCAGTCCAACCGAGACTCCGATCTCTCCTCCTGCAATGACCCAGTCCTGTTGATAGATGCTCCAGTAACTAAGATCACGTCTGGTGAGATCGAAGTTGACTACCGTGTTTTGCCCTGGCTGAAGGCTGACCTTCTCGAAGCCACGAAGGACCTTGAGCGGTGTGGGATCTTCGCCGGGAACCTGAGGGAGTGACAAATACAACTGTGGTACTGTAGCACCAGCCACATCTCCTGTGTTTGATACGGTCACTGTTGCTCGGTAGAGGACATCCCATAGAGTAGGGTTACCTCCAGGGATGATCTTGGCAGGGGGAGGAGTGCTGCTGATGTTGTAGCCACCATAGACCTTGCTGACACTCAGGGATGAGATGTCAAATGTGGAATATGAGAGACCGAAGCCAAATTCATACTGGACGCTTTGGTTGTAGTAGTCGAAATGGCGGTAATCAATCAAGAGACCTTCGGTGAAATCAGATTGCCACGCGTTGGGGTCTCTGGTGGTAACAAGAGCGGTGCTGTTGGTGATGTCGGCAAAAGCATAGTCCTCTTGCGTCTTGGCAATTGTGTAGGGCAATCTACCGCTTGGGTTAACATCACCGTAAAGGATATCAACCAAGGAGTTTCCTGTCTCGGTGCCAGGTAAATGTGCTGCTAGAATGGCAGTGACGTTGGGGTTCTCTGCCCAAGGAAGGATGTTCAGTCCGCCTGAATGGGTTACAACGATGGTGTTGTTGCAAACGCTAGCCACTGATTCGACAACTGCCGTGCTGTTCCAATCTGCCAGAAGCGTGCTCCTGTCTTCGCCTTCTTCAGCCCAGGTCTTCAAGAAGACGAGACATACATCAGGTGGTGTTGGCTGGAGGGACGCAAGACCACGAGGTGTTGACAACAGAGTGTTGTTCAAGATATACTGTACGAGACTACCGTCCTGGGCAGCTCTAGCTTTGATAGCAGTGAGTGGGTCGACAAGATAAGATAATCTTCCTGTACCACTACCGCCACCAACGGGGAGTGTGCCGTACTCTGGGACAAATATTAGCGATCGTCTTGCTTGGGTGGGAGACATAACTTACCATATCCGAACGGATTAGACTGATAAGGTGCGGCAGAGAAGTACTCGCCGTTCAGAATGTCTCCAGCATCATTACCTAATACTGCAATGTTCTTTGGAGCCTTCAATGGCAAAGCACCATTGACGTTCTTCAACAGAACAGTACCAGCTGAGCCAAGTTCCCTGATCAGAGTGGCATGGTTCTCACGGACATCAACATTCGCGACTGAGCCCAGGGGGAATGCAACAGTGGAAGCGGCAGCACCAAAGAAGCTGTTGAGAGGGATCTCGCTTGGATCGATGGAAGGAAAGTCGGTGTCTTGCTTGAGATGGAAGTACGGTGTCATGATACGCTTGATCATGTCGTCGAGGCGGCCTTCGGAGAGTGATCCGTTATTGACGGCCGTCGTGATGTTACCGCCAAAGAAGCTGTTACCCCCTGCACGGAAGCCAATAGTGCCTGGCATATCCATGTCGAGGCCGGCGTTTATCGATGCAACACCACTATGAGTAGCCTGGAACAGTCAGTGGATGGTCCACGGTGCTTGTAAAGAGAAACTTACACCCCAATCACTCATGACATAGCCTTGGAAACCGAACTCTTCTTTGAGGATACCGTTCAATGTTTTGGAATTAGCACAGCCGTACGAACCGTTGACTCTGTTGTATGAACACATTACAGATGCGACACCGCTTCGGATAGCATTGGCGAATGGCCAGGCGTATAGTTCGTGCATGGTGCGATCATCGATGTTGGATGAAACAGCTTCGATAGTTGTTCCATTGCGAGTGGATGGGTTGCGCTGAGTCTCTTGTTCGTTGCCGATGTAGTCTTGGATGTGTTAGCTTTGTTGCTTCCGGGAACCAAAGTTCGACGTACGCTTGACACAAGCCTGGACTCCGGTCGACTGCATGCCCCAGATTGTCTGCTCGACAGCAACACCACTCAGATATGGATCGGGAGAGAAACCTGAAAATCACATCAGTCTTTGGAGGAGTCATCATCTCAGATGTGACGTACCTTCCCAATTACGTCCACCACGGCCATGGCGACCTGAAGAGAGGGTCAGTATTTGGTTAATTCATGTCATGTCTGAGTTCGCACTGGAGGCGGATCAATGAAGGCTGATAGAACTTACCTAACGGTCCGACAACAGGACCGAGAGCTATATTAGCTCCCTTACCTTTGAACTCTTGAGCCATATATAATCCGCGTGTGTAGATCAAGCCCTTGTCCCAAGAGGCTGCAGCTGTTAAGCCAGCAGGGAAGACTGAAGCATAGGTAGCCTGTCTGATTGCGAGAGGTCCATCCTGCAAGCAAAGGCCTCAACGCATGTCAATGTCAGCTGGGAGTGTTAACAGTAGAAATGAGCTCAAAGAGTCTTACCGTCGAAGCCTAGACGCTCAATTGGGGCGATATTGCCCACACAAGGACCGGCAGAACCTAGATGAAGAGTTGTGAGCTATTGACATGCTATCACAGAGGATATGTCGTACCCGTGACCAATCCAGCCTTCTCTTCCAGAGTCAGATCGGTCAAGAAGGCCTCTGCTTGAGCCAAAGCAGTCTCCCATCCGATGCCAGCTGTTTCCGCTGTGATTTTGTCATTATCCTTGTCCGCAGAGCATAATGATGCACTTACGGCTAGGATAGACTGGAGGGCTAGAGGTGTAAAGCTCATGATTCCAGCTGCTGTTCTGCGCTCCGGCCAGACCAATTGCAGTCAGAGCCGCAGCAATGGTGTTCAAAGGGCGATACATGTTTGAACACAAGAAGCTTGAGGTACTTGCCATCCATCAAGGTACTTTGCGACCTACCTTTATACCATCGCAAACTCGGGGCATCTCTCTCCACACTTCCGCGGTGTGAGGGGTCCGGTAATGCAGGCTTGAAGTCTACCTACCGAAAGAAATTCCATACCATAGAAGTACGCCTCATGATGTAACCTCTTTGGGTGCCTTCAGGTGTTCGCAAAAGACAAAGTATATTGACTCGTGATGTATCGCGATCGTTCTCCTCTTCTTGGCATCAGAGTGAATGAGGGGAAGGCTGGGGAAGAGCCAACAATGAGATCGGACTAATGTTCCTTCCGAGGTATACATGGTCGAGGTAGCATCTCACGAGTCGACAAACCTGATTCAGTGTTGATCGTGGAAAACGGCAGTTGCGATGGTTGCATTGTGAGGGACGTGGAGGTGGTGGTGGACCTTCATGTGCTTTGAAGCTTCAGGGATCTTTAGCCGCGGGCCGGAGGCTCCAATGCTTAGCCCATCTCAAGCATCTTCATAAAACGGCTCTTGAAGCAGCATGGCAGCCCAGAAACACGTCCAGAGGTAGTGTTTCTGGCGACGAGAGCAAACATCCCGAAAGGCAGGTGAAAAGTAGAGTTGGTTTGTACTCGGAGTATGGCCATGCAGGCTGATACAAGAGGTGGGGCGTGGCAGCCTGAAGTTGATGGCATCAATGTTGCCTTCACGCTTTTGTTGCAAACATCTCGACAAAGCGTGGCTCTCTTCCGAAAATGTGTTCCCATCATGATCGACTTTCGGACAACTGCATTGCTGCTCATTACATCCATGAGATCGTTCTTCATCTTTTTCTTCATCTTGACTCTTCATCTCAATATCTCTTGCAAGTACAACCACTCTCCCAACCGGTTTTCTTTTTCCTACTGTCAGATCTTACATGTCATTGCCGGTCGTACCCATGTCCTCAGGCCAGAGCTAGGCGCCATTGCTACAGAGTGACTTGAACAACAAACATGCATGATTTGATCGATCTGATATCCAGAAGCAAGTTAGATTGGCTCGGAGTATAGTCGCGACATTTAGAGACAGATGTGCGTGGTGGAGTAGAGGTCGATCTCGGAGAGTTTTGATTGACTTCCGGAGTTGCTTCCACAGCCAAGCAACGAGAGCATCATCATCGTCGTTGCGGCTGAACTCTGTCCGTCCGCTCCTTTCCTATCTTTCGAGCCAAAAAGATGTCGTATCAGAGTGCGAAGCGGCCTTCATGCGATTTTTTTGTCAATCGGATACACACGGTGTATGGAAGTCCATCCGAAGAGTTCAAAAGGATGATTCCAGATGGTGTAACTGTTTAACAAGCGAACCCCTGTTCTCAGTCAAACGTCATTGGACGGGCTGTCAAAAAAAAAAGAGGCGTTTTGTTTCCACGCCCAGGCTTGGGAGCTTGTGCATTCCTTCACCAAAATCCTGCTCGCTTGCTGAATCGCCAGGCCTGGTTGAGAGTGGATCCTTAAAATAGGCACTAAGGATGCGATGGGTTACACAGACGGTGGGTTAGCAAACTACCAACATGTAAGTCGGTGTTTGTCGAGCTTTCCTCTGACCTACAACAACAATACCTCGATATCGCAAGTGTCGCGTCGTCGCAAAAGATGATACGGATCAATGCGCGAGGCGCGATACTCACATCTGTCATCGCTCTAATCCTAGTTCTCCTGTTCGTCGCGCAATGGAAGCGTAATGAGATCAACGCATGGCGTGGTCCCCACGCTGACGCCGCATCACCACCTGTTCACCACGAGGATACTAAGCTGGATGATGTCGCTGAGTTCAAGGATGATGTCGCCGCGCCTGCTGTGCCCGACTACTCTGCTGGAAACTCGACGCTAGGAGTAAGGCAACAAGTTCCTCAGCACCTGCGGACCATGTTTGGCTGACAGGAAACAAAGTTCCAAGCAATTCTAGCGCTATCACAAGGCACCAAATGGCGAGTCGACGGCCTGCACGCCGCAGCCAAAGCCGCCGGCATCGCCGTAACCGTCCCTCAACAACCTAAATGGAGCGAACCTTTCATCAAGGCATTCCAAGAATTCGGTCCCGTCGAAGCCCACGGTGCTGCAATGGCATGGCTAGGCCACCTCGATCTCCTGAAATTCGTCATCCAAAACAACTGGGGTTCGGCTCTCATCCTCGAAGATGACATGGATTGGGACGTCGATGTCCGCAAACAAACACCACCGATCGCAAAAGCTGTCAGGGAGTTGACAAAGTCGAAAAAGGCGGATACAGAGCCGTATGGAAAGAGCTGGGATGTCATGTGGCTGGGCCATTGCAGTGATCCTCCGCCGTTCAAGGATGAGGGCAAGATCATCACTTTCGCCGACAACACAACTGCTCCGATTGAAAAGTACCGCGGCTTGAACCCTCGTGTCAAGGATGTGATCAAGGATGGCCAGCGCATCGTCCACTTCTCCATCAACCCCGTCTGCACATTCGCCTACGCTGTATCATATCAAGGCGCACGCAACCTACTCGCCCACGCCTCGCTTGGAAAAGGAGGAGCTTTCGATCTGATGCTCATGCACGCTTGCCAGGACAAGGTACTGAAATGCGTCTCTGTCAACCCGGAAGTCTTTGATCCTTACTTCCCTGCCGAGGGTGGTGCCAGTGAGGTCAGAGCTGGAGATGCAGGCGTCGACTTTGACCATGAAGTCGGCAAGGCCAAGGGACATACGGACAATACCCTCAACAGCGCTCGCTGTTTTGCACAGTTCGGCGAGACGTGCCTGGAATAGAGGCACTCTTTGCACTTTTTTTGCATATTTCTGAGCGTTCACAGCGTGTTTTTGCTTAACGAATCGTACATCTGGTTTTTTCGACACTGCATCTTCTGATTCTTGTACTATTCTACTGACTCTCACCTATACAGCCCCTCCTTGGACACTGCTCCAACCTGCAAAAAGCACTCTGCACTTTAGCAATGGCGCCTACAGCTACGAACTGTGGATGAGAGGGCTAGTATCATATTCTCTCTTCGGACACTCCACCGGTAGCGAAATGCATTCTGCATGTTAGACAGCCCTGTCCTACACTCATTCTGGAGGCTGAGATGGCTGAGATGCTGTCTAAACACGCTGCGTCGATGACAGAACCGGGTGCTACAGACATTGGTGGCCAAGAGCCGAGACAAGCGATCAAGGGTATTCAACCGTCAAATCGCTCCCCCAGTCACGTATATCCTGCGTAGATCTGGCAATGTGGCAATGCACGAGGCCTCGAACCAGCAGTAGCGGGAAGCTGCGATGTGGGCAGCCGAGAGTCGCGTACGTGTAGCGAAAACGCATGCGTCACGAAGAATCATAGGGCACTCGACCACAGGCCTCGCTCCCTGATCACTTTGCATTCTAGGTAGTCGCGACAAGGTGCCGAGGCACGATGCTTCTACGCCAGCAGTGTCGTGAAGGTGCGATGGAGGTAGTCGGAATTCATGTACATGTACCGCGTGTGACCGACGACACTACTAGGATCAGGGGCACCCCATGATAGACCACCACGTTCTCCTACTTGCGTCGATGCACGAGGGGCCACAAACAACAGTGTCGCGTAGTTGCGAAGGGGCCAAATGGGACTCGCGTACAGGTACCCGGTACGTCTGTCGCATCGTCGACGAGCAAGGCAAGGAAAGGGAAAGGTGCGAATAGAGCTTTTGTTGGGATGACGATTAACCAGCATGGCTTTCCATGTCCTGGTGCCCGGCTCTTACGAGGACAAAGAAAGGAAGAGGCATTGCTGAGGACAAGAGGCTTTATATAGCTAGCAGAGAATGTCAGGAACAAGCTTCAATCACCACTTGTCGTGTGAAAGACCAACGTTGCGAATGGTAAAGCGGAGGCTGGCTGTAGAAGATCTTCTTATCACAAGTGATATATATCCTTTCTCTCGCACTTCTCAATGCTTTCCAACCCATCTCAAAACCTCTTTTACATAACTCTCTGGATTCTCCTCTGCACACCAATGCCCCGCACCCTCCACCTTCGCCAAAGTGACCTCTTCATACATATCCTTCGCCTGCTCTTCCGCAATTTCAATCATAAAGCTCAACTCACCCCAAAGCGCACAACAAGGAACCTTACTCTTCCCCTGCTCCTTTACCAAGTTCGCATTATCCTCGCTATCTTGATGGAAAGCGCGATAAAGATCAAAACCCGCACGCATAGCTCCCGGCTGAGCAAACAACTCAGCATAATGATCCACATCCGTAGCGGAAATGGCAGAAGGATGTTGAGTCAAGCGATCATAGAAGGATTTCAAATATTGTCGTTCTTTTCCTTGTGTGAGCATTTCGGGAACGTCGAGTTGCCAGTGGAAGACAAAATGCCAGAGTCCTCCGTGTGCGGAATCTTTGACGTATTGATCGTAGAGGGAAGTGCCGGGGAGTGGGCATTCTCCCCAAGCCACTGATGCTGTCGCATCGGGGAATTTTGCGGCAAAGGCGTGAGCTACCATGCCGCCTATGTCGTGGCCGATGACGTGGATCTTGTCCTTGATGTTTAGGTGGGAGGTTATCAAGGTGTGGAGATCGGCAGCCATGGTGAATTTATCATAGCCGTCTCTAGGGCGGGAAGACTCTCCTGCGCCGCGGTAGTCGGGTGCGATGACCAGGTATCCTGCATCGGCCAAGGGAGTAATTACATGGCGGAACTGGTAGGATGTTTGAGGGAACCCGTGGATGAGGAGGATAGTCCCTTTCGATTGTGTTCTCTTGGGAGGGGAACAGGAAATGTAGTTTATGGAGACTTCTGTTGGTGTAGAAGGTTTGCCATCCAGGAATTGGCGTTTGGATATCCAGCGGGAGGAGTCGTATGTTCTCGCTGCCATGATGAAGTTATAGATGGATGGAATTTGATTTGTATCTGGAAGAAAGATATGCGATTGAGCTTTGATGAGTTTGGTCGAAGGTGCAAGCGATGTCTCTTATATCTTTGTGATCTAGCAGACAGATGTCTTCAAATTCTGTCATCAACAGCGTCACGTTCAGCGTCACATACAGCGTCACCTCAAGTCTATCGAGCGTCACAGCACATGATATCTCCAAAAATCGGAGTTCGAGTTGAGGTCTTGGATCGACGTCATGCTGAGCGAACATCCGCTTCTCAGCCTGCGGAGGTCCTCCTCATGAGCTCTCGACACCAAATAGCTGTAGTGAATTATTACAAAAGACAACACGAATACTGTGCATGATCACAACGAGGTTTCCAACACAAACAGAGGTTTAAACTATGCATATGCGTGAAATTGTGTCGTAGGGCACGGGGATTTCTGGCTCTCAAACCGTGTTTATCCCAGAAGTACGACCCTATCGTTGTGCGGCTGGTGTTCATTCTACCAGCTTCAGAGATCGCATAAATAACATACGCAGTACCTCTATATGCAACTCCTAGTGATAAGAAGGGGGGACATCTGTTCCTAGAAAGTGCATAACAACAACTCCAACGCCGCGGCTCGAACCCAGCCCCACCAAAAACGTAAAATCTTTACCAGGGCCAAAAAAAAGTTTTTCGACCCGCAAGAAAGTGTTTCATAGGTGGCATAAGAACAAAAGAAGATGTTTTCCGACACGGGGAATTGAACCCCGGCCTCCTCGGACCTGGTTGTTCTTTCGAACGGTTTGAGAGCGAGAAATCCTAGCCACTAGACCATATCGGATTTGATAAAGGAGGTGCTGCTAGCACACTTCATGAATCCGTGACACATGGGCTTCACATGGCACGCCGACATACAGCACGTTGGTCGCGGGCTGCTTTGGAAGCAAGTCATGTCAAAGTGAAAATTTGGTTAAAGAAGATAGATACAGTTGAATCGTAAGATAGCTTAGAGCCCAAGGTCGTTAAAAAGTACCCCCATTACACACAGACATTAACATTTCGTTTAACCGAACATGGCATCACCAAGTCTGATGCTGACAGTCTTGGTCTGGAGGTAGTTGTCAAGAGCGGCCTCACCAAGCTCACGACCAATACCGGATGACTTGTAGCCACCGAAGGGAAGCTGCCAGTGAAGGGTGTTGTAGGTGTTGACCCAGACGGTACCAGCCTTCAGGGCGTTGGAGACCTCAATGGCGGTGTTGAGGTTGGAGGTGTGGACGGCGGCGGCGAGACCGTATGTGGTGTTGTTGCCGACGCGGATGGCTTCTTCCTTGGTCTTGAACTTTGCGATGGAGCAAACGGGACCGAAGATTTCTTCTTGCATAATGGACATGTCATCCTTGACGTCGGCGAAGATGGTGGGCTCGATGAAGTAGCCCTCGTTGCCCTTGCGCTTACCACCGGTGACGACGGTGGCACCCTCGTCTTGACCGGCCTTGATGTAACTATGATGTGTTAGTATGTTGTGTCAGAGTTAAGGAAGGGAAAGGATAGATAGAAAACATACCCCATGATTCTGTCGAACTGAAGTTGCGAGACCTGAGGACCTTGGAAGGTGTCGGCAGCGAAGGGGTCACCGACAACGTTCTTCTGAGCACGCTCCTTGAAGCGCTGAACGAACTTGTCGTAGATACCTTCCTGGACGTAGACTCTTGAGCCGGCGCAGCAGCACTGGCCGTGGTTGAAGAAGATACCAAAGTTGACCCATGAGATGGCGTTGTCAATGTCGGCATCGTCGAAGACAATGTTGGGAGACTTGCCACCAAGCTCGAGAGTGACCTTCTTCAGGTTGCTGCCAGCAGCGGCCTTCATGATTTGTCTTCCGACAAGAGTGGAACCGGTGAAGGCAACCTTGTCAACATCCATGTGCGAGGCAATGGCGGCACCGGCAATCTTTCCGAAACCAGAGATGATGTTGACGATACCGGCAGGGAAGCCAGCTTCCTTGCACAGGTTGGCGGCATAGAGACCAGACAGGGGGGTCTGTTCGGCGGTCTTGAGAACGACGGTGTTACCGCAAGCAATGGCGGGACCGATCTTCCATGCCCACATGAGGATGGGGAAGTTCCAGGGGATGATCTGACCACAAACACCAATCTAGGGACATGTTAGGATCGGATGATAACATAAAGATGATCAGATTGTACTCACGGGCTCCTTTCTGATGTAGTTGAAGGTGTCGGGGCTGGTGTCGACAACCTTACCCTCGATCTTGTCTGCCCAACCACCGTAGTATCTCAAGCAGCCAGATGCAGCAGCGACGTCACCCTTGGCCATTGTGAAAGCTTTGCCGTTGTCGAGAGCCTCGATAGCGGCAAGCTGGTCTGAGTGTTGGTCGAAGAGGTCGGCAAGCTTAACCAGAAGCTTGCCACGCTCGTTGGGAGTGACCTTGCGCCAGTCACCCTCAAAAGCCTTGCGAGCAGCTGCAACAGCAATGTCGACATCCTTCTCGCTGGCCTCGTAGACCGAGCAGATAACCTTCTCGTTCGAGGGGTTGATAACCTCGAATGTCTTGCCATCAACACCCTTGACGAACTCGTTATTGATGAAGAGACCGGTGGGCTGCTCGTACTTGCCCGTGGTCGGGGTCTCAAGTTGGATTGAAGTCATGATTGTGGGATATATATTGGGGGTATCTCAAACACAAAAAACAAGAAAAGAGGAATAGGTAGCAAGAGAGAAACGTGTGCCCACGGGCTTGATCAAGGTATTTGTACTCAACGTGCTCGCCTTCATAAGCTTCAGGCATTTTGGGTCCACCAAACCAATCTCCACTCGTCCTGGAACGAACCATTCCCTTTGCGGACATAAGTGGGAGGTGATAGGCGACCGCAAGACCTCGGACTCGCGGAGTGTGTTTGGTTAGGGCGGGGCAAGGGCGGCACTACCCCGCGCGCTGTGCTGCTCTTGGAGTTTCCCGGGGAAGGAACCATGAACTGTCTCATAGCAAGAATGCAGGCGCTTGCTCCAGCCGCCACTTTGTTGAATCATCTGCAGCTATCAGTCGATACCCGTTGCTCCTTGGATCATTGATGCATTGCTCTGAGCACAGAATATCAGTAATGTTTGGTTGCTCGCGAGCAATAGCTCGATATGCCGAACGACGTCAGTGAGGCCAAACATGCTCGGGTGAGCTTCCTCCGAGAGAAGCCCTCGTAAATTCATTACGAATTGTCGTCAAATATTGCATTCTGAGTGGTCAGTTAAAGCCTCGGGTTACCTCCTTCATCTGACCGTTCTAGGGATCCCTCCACCACCCCTCCTCAAAGCAGCAGCTCTTCCTCCCCTCATTCCCTCACGGTGAGATTCCGCAGGCCCGATCATCAGCTGTCTTGGCATAGCAGGAACGAATTATCTTCCCTTGCTGCTTGCCGGCAATCATAACTCGTATCTCTGGATCTTATTCTTGGTCGTTATCTTGCAGCAACAGAGCTCTTCCACGCGGCCCAAGAAGATTGTTTCTGTGGAGATCCGCATAGACTTGCTCAAAGTTGTTCGTGACAAGTGGCTTTGGCCTAGATCCCGTTGGATGCGGAGGAGCTCCCATTTGTAAGCCAAAACCTTCTCCTCACACAACATCAAGGTATCGGAGTCGTTACCCCCTCCCAGAAAGTGTGCTGATGTTCGTTTCTCAGCCTCTTTCTGACACGACTGTATGCTTCTCAGCTGGAATTCGTAATTCATTAATTGCTTTCTAGGTCTAAAACCATGCCTTGATTCATTATAGGATCTGCTAGAAAGAGAGAACATTATCGAAAGCGGGTCCTCGCCAAGGATCCTCTACAGCCACGTTTAAAGCTATGCCCGAGATCGGGAAGTGCGCGAGGTGAGACCGGCGAGGTCTTGATGCGGTAGGGCGAAGGCGAGGATGAGCTGCGGCGCTCAAGGGCCTCGAGGCGAGCGGCGAGCTCAGCAATCTGACGGTCGCGTAGGCGGAGTTGGTGCTGAGGTGGTTGTTTTCTTCGATGTGACTGGCGGAGTCATTGGATTCATGACTTTCGAAGTGCTCAGAGGCGACGGTCGCAGTCTGGCGGTTGTTGTGACGGTCGCTGCCAGTACGGTGAGCGCGAGGAGCCGGCAGATCTTGGTCGCTAAGATGAAGGCCGGCTCAAGAGATTGTTCAAGGGGGATGACATGGTTGCAGCGTGCGAGTGATGCGCCTTGTTGAGAGACTGATCTTACGCGCGCTGCTTGATGCGACTGTTCCTGCTCGAGGTTAGGTGACGGAGGACTTAAAGCTGTCTGCGCGGCCTTGTTAGATGGTAATGAAAGAAAGCGAGATTGAAACCAGTGATGCCTTTAGCATGATCCTTACACTGCAAAAGTTCTTAGTATGAGCTCCTTACTACATGTGACTATAGCGGTGCCAATGGCTAATACTGTAAGAGGGCATAGCGGAAGCAATTGCTCTTGTTTTGTCTAAGGAAGTCGCGACGCCGTAAACTTGTTTAGCCTAGCTAGGATGCGCCTCGTCGACGGTGCAGCGATATTTATCGCATGTTGAAGCGACACATATTGATTCCGACTGCTTGTCTACAGCTGCTGTAGAAGTCGCAAGTTATTTTTTAACCATGTCGTCGTTTCGATAGAAAGGCTTCAATCGCGGAACTGCGGAAGAGAAATGTCTGGAGCTTTGACCGCGTCTCTCTCCCCGGCCGAGGGTCTCGACAGCGCTGTGCCTTCTGGAATTTTCCACCGACAGCAATACATACAACTTCCCATCCATCTTTCTCTAATCAATTCACATCAATCTTCTTGTCGGACTTACCCCCTTCGCACAACTTCGCCGCCAAAATGGTACGCCTCCTCAACAACCGCATCACACCAGACACAAAACGACTAACACAGCATCACAGTCCACCATCGCCGCCAAGTCCATCAAGGCTCTCGCTCCCCTGCTCGACCGCGTCCTTGTCCAGCGCATCAAGGCCGAGACCAAGACCGCCGGTGGCATCTTCCTCCCCGAGTCGGCCGTCAAGGAGCTCAACGAGGCTAAGGTCCTCGCTGTCGGCCCCGGCGCCTTCGACCGTGATGGCAAGCGCATCGCCCCTTCCGTCCAGCCCGGTGACAAGGTCTTGATTCCCCAGTTCGGTGGTTCGCCCATCAAGGTCGGCGAGGACGAGTACTCGCTCTTCCGCGATCACGAGTGAGTAGCTCCTGTCATGCCCAGAGAGAGAAATTGCAGAAGGGACAAGCTGACGAATGCGACAACAGGCTCTTGGCCAAGATCAACGAGTAAATTACATGATACCCCCCCTCCTCCGAACGAAAAAGCCATACCCACATATACTTGTATCAACATCCACATTATGACGAACCGCGGCGCGAACGAGTGCTTTGAAGCACCTCTATCCCTCTGAGCAAGAGTCTGAACAAAAGAAACCACAATTGTAGTATATCATTACTTCTCCCTGTTGTATTTATCCAGCGTCTCTTTTTTCCGAAAATCTCGCATCATACCATTTCCGCTCTTCTATATCTATCTCTCGAAAGTGAATACAACTGCACGGAGGCAACACGCTATCAGAGCTTCTCTCCTAGCGAAACATTAATCAAACAGCTGAAAACACAATGTACCAAAGTTGTCAAATTGGCTCCTGCATTCTCACACCCCATCAAAACACTTGTACTGCTCAACTTCACACAGACATGCTTAAACAATGAACACTTTTCTTTCTAACTCCCTAATAATGCACGATTCAAATCTCCATCAACGCCCTCCCCACCTACTAGACTGCACATCTCATTGCTATACCTCCTACATCAAACAACCATTCTTAATAGACGAATGCAACTCCGAAGCCGCGATACGTTGACGATTTCCACCGGGAAGAGTGACAAAGACTTCGACTTGCCATTCATACCACACTTTACGATCGTCGGTTTGACGCCACATGGAAACTTCGATTTCGGAGGCGGTGGGGATGTAGAGGGGTGTCTATGAAACATCAAGGTCAGCATGTTTTATTCAGGACAAGGGAGGTAGAAATGAACGGAAAGGAGAGGAGGAAGGATGGAGGAACGGGTAGTGAACATACCTTCAAAGGGAAGAAAATGGGGAACCAAGAAATCATATCTTTGCTCTTGTCTTCCATGGTGTTGGGGTTGATGCTCAATTCGATCTTCTTGCTTCCATCTGCTGGGGAGTAAAGCACGGTTTCAAAGTATCCTCCCAGACCATGGCAGACACCACGGCTAGAAGCGGTGAAGCGAAGATGGCAGAAGCGAGAGTTGTGTTCGTTCCAACCGTCTCCACCGACCATACCGCTACCACCCGCTTGCACACTGCCACCGCGACGGAGTGTGGATTGAGCGATAATTGGTGTGGGCAAAGGATGCACGAATTCCCAAGCTGTTTGGATATCAGGGATTTGGTTGTCGGCGGTCTTGTCGCCAGTGGTGATTTTGCTATCGAGGGGTTGGAGGCAGAGGTTGTCGTATTGGTGCAACATTGTCACATAAGGCAACTCCCACTTCTGATCATCGGTGCGAGACAGCAAATCGGCGTAGATGCGAGGGTGGGCGATGGGTGTGAAGTGAGCGGTGTAGGAGGTGGGTACACTGACACCGTGTTCAGGGTGCAAGACATGTTGAACGCCATCCAGACATTCAGGACTGAGCTCGTTGTCTGCGAAACTACCGAGGAGTTCGGAGACGAGAATGTCGACTTTGCCGGGTTGGCCGTCGATGATGGGGCCAGCCCAGGCGCGCATATCCGTCTTGACGACTGTGACGCGCTTGTTCCAGAGGGGGTCGGTGGCGTTGCGGCGTTGGAGGAGGACGTAAGCGTTAGGGTTCTTTTCGATGGCCCATTGCTTGACAGGAATGCCGGTGCTGGCACTAGCCTTTAGGCAGCGGGTTACCAAGGGCCCACGGCCTGAGCCAACAACAGCGACGACAACAGGACGTTGAAGCTTCTTGTGGAGGTCCTTCAGGGCGGCAGCAACGGCACGCTCGTACCATTCGTACTTGATAGGATCCTTCTCAAAGACTTCGTAGGTAATAGACTCGAGGTTGTCGGTCAAGGGCTGTAGAGGTGATTGCAAGAAGTCTTGGTATCCAGCGGCGAAGCGGTCGATGATGGGACGGGGAGGCTGAGTGCGTTGGAGGTGACGGATGTAGCTCAAGTAAGGAGTCAGATCCTTGGGCTTTTGCACTTGTTGCTTGCGCTTGGACTGAGCAGGCGTGGGGAGCTCAGGAGAAGCAGATCTGTCGGGCAAGTTGACGGGCATTCCAGGGTGGTCTTGGCCAGGAATAGGACCGACATCGCTGAGAATGATCCATGGGACAGTCTTGAGGCGCATGTAGCGAGTGAGCAAAGACTGGACGGGCTTGCTCAACACTGGGAATCCCTTTGCGTTCTTCATAAAGGTTGACTCGGGGATGATCAAAGTGCGGAGAGGCTCGGAGAACCAGCGAGACTGGATTGCCGAAGAGGGCAGCTTCTGAGGAATCTCGAGAGCGACAGTCAGTCTAGGGTGGTATTTGCAGGTCGATCTGATCAATTCCCAAGTGTCCCACGACCAGAGAGCATCCGTCGAGATTGACTGAAGAGTCTTGAATGAGTTTCTAGCACGACCAGCAAGGCTCAATCCATTCTGGGCTGCGCTGTCCTCGCGAGGCTGCATAGGAAGCAGAATTTGCAGATTGATGTAGGGTCCGACCTCAAGAGAGTGCCAGATAGCCCTAGCATATTGGCTGATCACAGAAGAGGCCTCCAAGCCAGGTCCTTGAATCATGATGTTGTTGACACCGCAGAAAGCGGCATAAGCAACTTCATGATTGAAGACCTGGCGCGAGACGTGTGCAATCACTGGGTCCGGAGAAGCAAGGTCGATCCAAGGGCTCGTACAGCAGATCATGGTAGAAATGTACTCGTCCGGAACTAGGTTAGTATCATCAGGAGTGAGAGGTGCAACCAGAGGGTAAGGCACAGCGTCTGCGTTCGAAGATGAAGAGACGGCATCGAAGCAGGCATCCACTAATGCAAGAACTCGGGCCTGAAATCCCGGAGAGGTGATAGGTCTGGTCATCATGTCGTACTGTAAGATAGTTAGTACCATTCTCGGTCTTTGTTTCAGATGGCTTTGTGGATGGCTCGAAGAAACTCGAGAATTTGATCTAGAAAGACGTCCATTCAGATCACAGCTTCGTAAAGCCAGTATGGAAGGAACAATGATCGGAAGCGAATTGGTGCTTTTCTGTTCTTGAGAACACGCAGTATCAAAGAGATTCAAACTTACGCCAGCATCCTGCGCCTGGTTGCCCAACTCGGTAGTGACAGGAACAGTTCTCTTGGTCTCATGCTGTCCAACATAGAAGTATGTGTTTTGCTGCTCCTGTGGAGCCACTCCAGGTAGGGTCTCCATTTCTAGGTGATAAGATTAACAAACGTGTTTATTGTCGATGAATGCTTGGGTTCATCAAGGTCGGCAGAAATAATTTCGGCGATGCCAAGACTTTGGATGTCCGCCTCAGAAGCAGTCGCGCGACGTGCAACAGATTCACCACTTTGAGGAACAATTGAAAGGAAAAACATTTGATAAGTCGATGAATCAACTTATATGGTCTAGATTGTAGAATATTCAAAGGTACAAAACAGCAACTCTCTATTGCAATAGATAGTACAGCACGCCATTTGCTGGCAACCGAGAACAAATATCTTCTTGTCCATCTGACATCCTGGCTGACAAGTGATGCCAACTTCTGCCCACCCAGTAACAAGAATAAAACGAAAGAACGAAATGAAAGCAAACTCCATTATAGCGCCTTGCGCAATGCGTGATGGACGAAAACGTTGGAATGTGACAGGTTCCAATGACAGAGAGACTGCATAAAACAGAGTGCTGGCAATGCCATGCGTTGAGTAGAGAGGGTTTGTGGGTATCTCGTTCGTAAAGCAGTGGATGTTGTATAGTGAGGGGTAGCGGATCAGCGAAGGTTGAGCGCTTTCTTTGTGTTTTCGTAAACGACGTAGGTGATGGAAACAGCCGGGACGACCTTGAGTAGATTGGGAGTGAGGCCCTTGAAGAGACCTCTGACTCCCTCTCCTGCAAGTGTTTGTCGTGTGACATCCATGATGCCAGTATAGGTGCGTGGGTGGCTGGCAGTGCCTTGAGACTGGAGTCTGGTGCGAAGTAGGTTCAAAGGGTAGACAGCAGACGCTCCGAAAGCACCGCTGAATCCACCAATAAGAGCTGTTGCAAAGCTGCTAGGGGCAGCATCCGCTTCGTGCCCTCCGTACTTCTTAACGTTGTAGGCTGTAATGGTACGTTTCAGGTATTCGAAAGTGCCCAGATCAATGGCAGCATAAGGAAACATGCCAACAAGACCCATTGGAAGGCCGCGATAGAACGATACGATGCCGTTCTTACCCCACATTTTGACGGCCGTCGCAGCGATGAGTCTTGTTCCGCGAAGTCCCCCTGGTACTGTTTCGCATTGCATTCGGCTGTCGCATGTTAGCGTTTTGGTATGGTCCAACCGGCACAAGAACAACGTACAATTTTAACGTGTCGAGAGGGTAAACGACAGCTTGTGAAACCATTCCTGCTACACCACCAGCGATAAATTGCGAAACGGGCGAGATCTTCCGAGTGTTTGTGTGGCCCTCGAATCGCGCAACCATTTTCTTTGCTGCCTGGGAAAGGTATAAGCATTATGTCAATTCAGCATCAGGTCGATTACTTACCTCATACGAGCCGAACTTGACTGCAGATTCGGGCATAACCTTGACTACGTTCAAACCGTTGCCTTTTCATAGTTTATCAGCAGAGTTAGAAGGCAGGTCTGGAAGGTGGACTCACCAGCAAATAGACTACGTATACCGCCTGCGGCCCAGAGCTCCTTGCAAGCTCTAACCAATGTGTTTGCGCTCGACTTTGCTGCTGCTGCGGGAGCGCCATTTTTGACGGCTTGTACTGTTTCGGTGGCGCCGGTTTGTGCGATGAGGTAGACCTTGAGACGGTCTAGAGGGGCTGTCGTGGTTCTCGAAGCGACGCCTGAAATGCCACCAGCCAGGAAGTAGCCTGGATCAGGGACGAAATCCGTCAGCATGCTCATAAAGGCCAGGGCACGCGATGCATGTGATCGGTCGTCATGATCAGAGACAACAGCGGCTTCGGAGTGAAGTGACGGGAGAGGTGGATTGCTTTCGGGCAGAGTATCAAGATGTTCAGGATACTGTCGTGATGGTGATGGTGCTTGTGGTGGTGATGGTGGTGAAGCAATTCGGGTAATGGCCCCAAAGAGCGAGTGTTTAAGAAAGGAGGTTGCAGTACCTAGTCCCTGAATTGCATCATCGCTGACTGACACATCGCCCTCTGCAGTCACCTTCATGGCTGACTGGTAATATGACATGACGGCCTTGAGTCCTGGCGAGCTCATAGGCATGAACAGGAGGAAGTCACTGGTTATGATTAGTCTTGCCCTGGTTCTTTCTTGTGAAGCTGGGGACATACCGCCATTCTCCGAAGTTTATGACGCCGTCGTTATCCGTGTCAACATCGTCGAAGAAGCTGTCGAGGCGCGAGTTGGGAACTGCGAGGCCGGCGCGGACAAAGGCAGCGCGTAACTCGTTCTTGTCGAGATTGCCATCGTGGTTGCGGTCTATACTCTGGAATAGTTGCCAGAGTTCCCGTTCGGTTTGGTCGACAAATTTGCGGAACTCTTTGTCGGGTTAGCGGACTGTTTGTTCGGCCAAGGGGGCATCCTGGAGCTGACCATCGTATTCGATGCGACCACTGTTGTTGATGTCGACAGCTTCAAGCACGTCCTCGATCAATCCATCTGCGTTCTTCAGAGCTGCGATTGACACGTGGGTCAGCACTTAGTCGGCCTTCGTGTGGCCCGGCGGGTTGTGGTGTGCTCACGGTGGTCGAGCTTCTTCAGGCCTTTCCTGAAGGCTTTGAAGTCTAGGAAGCCCTCGTTCTGTGTGTCCAGCTTCTTCCACAAGGAACGAGCCCTGGTTTCTCTTTCGGCTGATGATTCGGCGTCCATGGTCTGCCGTCTGTTGAAGTTCGGGCTATCTCGGTTTCATGGCTCTGATATAACAGGAGAGGGGGGTCCTCGATACGCCTTGCTGATTCTCCAGCAACAGGCGCTTCTTCGACGGCGAGCACAACACGGCAGCAGATAGAAATTGGCAGCAAGCAAACAACGAAAAGCGTGTTATCTTCTTCTTCGCTTTAAGCCTCGAACAACCGAAAAGGCCTCATCCCCGCTGTCCTGACTTATGACGCTTTTCCTTCCTGCCTTCTTGGCGCTCAAGGGAGGTGTCCAAGCTTGAAAATGCTGACCTTTCCGGAAATAACTCGACTGCATTCTGCAACAACCTCAATCTTGCTGCACGCTCGTTTGGCGGTGACAATTGGTTAATGAACAATCCAGTAGCAACTTTCACATGTAGGTACCAGTGCTTCGCATCGAGAATTGGTATGCTCACATAATTGTCTCAATCAATCGCTCCTGCCGAAGATGTGCGTCGCCTTGGCACTGCCTCATGCTCATCCTCTGCCGAATTGATCGCATCCTCGGAGTAACACCGACATACTTGTTGAGCATCGTTTTCGCATTAGCACCTTACAAACTGGATTCCATAAATTGCACAGGAAGCAGATTATCCAATATGGCGGCCAACTACTGGGATTCGACACAGCGTACGCACTGGACATTCACAAAGGATCAGCTCGATGATATGCGAAGTCAACAACAACAGGAGAACCAGGAGTTGTACAACAAATACCCCTTACCTGAGCCTCGCCTTATGAACATATACATCCAGCAGCGTGAGGCCGACCGCCTGTCAGAATCTACAACCTCCAACTGACTGGTTTCATAGAAATTGTGAAGCTTGGCAGGCGAATGAATGTCAGACAGCAGCCACTTGCTACAGCTCAAATTTATGTTCGGCGCTTCTACACAAAGGTCGAGATGCGAAGGACCAACCCATACTTGGTCATGACGACAGCCGTGTATGTTGCTTGCAAAGTGGAGGAATGCCCGATACATATCCGCTTGGTGCTGGCAGAAGCAGCGAGACAGTGGCCAGAGCTGGGCATCAACGACATATCCAAGATTGGCGAATGCGAGTTTCATCTGATCAGTACCATGTCAGCTCGTATGATCGTCCACCATCCGTACCGTACTCTGAACGATTTGGCACCTGGCCTAAGCATGTCGACTGAGGAGACAGCTCTATCTCAGAACATCATAAACGACCACTACAACACAGACATGCCACTGATGTATCCACCTCATATCATCGCTGTCACAGCCATGTTCCTTGCTGTCGTACTACGGCCAACACAGTCCAATCTACAAGCTCACGCAGCAGCAACCAGTTCACCGGCCATAAAAAGTGCTCTGGACAGTCCCAACAAGATCGCGAGACTTACTGATTGGATGGCTGCGAGTCAAATTGACATACCAGCAGTCATGGCTGCTACTCAAGAGTTCCTCAGTCTCTATGAGGTATGGGAAAATTACGGCGAAAGAGCTTGCAAGGAAGCCATTTCAAGATTCATGAAGGACGCGCAGCTTGGCAAGTAGAACACATCCACGCCTTCAATTCCGTCAGCAGTACCATTGCCATCATCTTCGCCATCACCGTCCGTCGAGTCAGGTTCATCGACATCTTCTTCCATCGAGGAATTCCATGGCGACTTACTCGATGTCACGGGTCAAGATGACATAGATCTGGGTCGCTACATAAGAGGTCGGCTTTCTCGGAACATACATATGGGAGTCCTGGTACCCTTTTACTCGCAGATTGCTGAATTCGCCCAGCTTGGACAACTCCGCCAAGGACGACCAGACGGACTGGCATGGGTGGAACTGCCTGATGAGCACTATGCCGCCCTCGATATCAGGCAGAGGCACAGATCCGCGCGGCTTGGATCACTGCGCGAAGCAGGCCCCCAAAGACTGGTATGGATGGATCTGTCTAAGGAGTGCTACGCTGCCCTCGATATGGTTCCGGGAGACGAATCCATATCAGATCATGACACAACAGATAGTTCTTATTAGACACCCAATATTCTTGACTCACTGACGTGTATCATTTGACAAAATGGTATCTCCAACACTCGTATCGCCACGTACATTTAGCAGCAGAAACCATAGCTGTCTTCAAATCGGATGTAAGCGTGTCGAGTATTACATCTCTACGGACAACTAGGCCAATCTCAAAACCATCCTACATCTCTGGGGCAATCAATAATGCTAGACTTGGTTGTAAGAGATGGTGAAAGCAGGCTAACCGTGTACTCTTGAACCTCCGTTTCTATGGGTTACTTCGATCAATTCTTTTTCTTTTTCTTTCCTTTTTCTTCATGGTTGCTAAGAGCATGACCCTGGCATAAATTCTCCAGCACAATAATGTCGCCCTCGTCGACGATAGGGACTAGAAAAATTGTTTTAATCTATGCGGATGTGCTTGATTACTATGCTAATATCTTTTGTAGGGTTTTTATTGTCCGATCTTATAGGTTTAGCCATTTTGGACTGCAGTTCTTGTCGGATTGATCTCCAAGCCTAACGTGGTGTTTTGAGATCGTGTCTTCGCTAACATGTCAACTATGCTCGCGCTAAGAGAAAGATAGCGAGGAAATTTCGACATAACAGCGAGTAGATTTGATAGTAGTAAGAGGAAGGAGACGATTGACAAAAGCAAGGAACTCGACCATATTTTTCTCTGTCCATACAAGCCTTCTTGACTTGAAACATTGTTGTGCGATGCTGGTATAGAAAGCAATAGGAATCGCGGAGGGAGACAGTAATGATAGTACTGGCGTCGACAACACTTGATGTTTAGAAGGAAGTCTTGCAGAAAGGGTAGAGAAAATGGGATAATATTATGTAACACGTCAGGAACATGGAGAGCTGCGGTGGAAGGGTAAGATGAGACCAAATCCAAAATGCATCAAGGTAGGCGTGCATTCTATCCCTGCACTTGTCTTTGCCTCTGTCCTATCGAACATGCTCTTGACTCAAATTGAAGACGGCAAGATGATAGATGGTCAATGGCTAAACAAGTACGACTCGCTTCTGACTTGTTGAGAGGGACACTCAATATGTGCAAGCTTCATTCTCACAACGCCATGGACATCAAGTGTTGTGACAATGCTTGTTGTGTTCAGAAGGCGTGTTGAACGCATACCGTCCGAGTACCATAGCACCCTGCCGTTGCCGTTGTTGTAACAGAAACGGTCGACATCACCGATAGTCCAAGCTCTTGTTCGAAACCATGCAGGTTGATGGTTGGTATGGGGAGGAGAAGCATATCCTCAGTCAATGGGGTTGATTAGTTGTCGTGGGGGGTGCTGGTAGGATTGTGGTCTGTCACAAAGACGTCGGCTTCATCCTCGAGGATGCAACGAGTATCGAGGACCTGGCTGAGCAGCGAGCTGCGAGGTCACAGAAAGGGTGCTGCTTCAATTGATCGTGAGTGTCTCGGGAGGAGAGCGGAGCAGAGGGAGCAAGAAAGGCTTCATGAAAGCCAAGGCCATTAGGAGAACTGATCGAATGAGTACGAGGGGAAGAGATGAGAGTTCAGTCCAGGGGTTAGAACCATCCAGAGCGATGATGTCGATCAGACAGCGGACGCCGAACAAGAGCAACCAATGAACACCTGCCTTGATGAGGCTCAATCCCAGCGGCTACGGTACATGTACGTCCGTACCACCACCTGATGCTTTGATTCTAGAAACCAAGGGTTGCCGAAGCAGAAATAGATGGAATCTGACATTCGTGCCCCGGATTCAAATCGAGGGGTTCATTGTTTCGCAATCAAAACATGCCTCTGCCACGACGCAGGAGTACTTTGACAAGCGGCTCCTGAATTAGCAATGCCCTGAATACACCATAGCTCAAATGAACACATGGCTATGGCGGTGGCAGACACACAACACCGCCTCAACCATATCAAAAGACGTTGACAGTGTCACTGGGGAGGAGTTGCAACAACAGTCGAACTGCCAAAGGCTCGAGCGGAAAAGCAAAGAAGTCTGGCACCGCAAGCTTTCCCCGGAACGAGTCGAGGCGGTGAAAGGACGGGCGGGATTGGTGAGGGGGAGATGGAAACTCTGACGGCCATGCCGCCAAGCGCGGTCGTGTCTCTCCCCTTGTCTCAGTGGACTTGTGGCGTGCATGGAATCAATGCAGCCGGTTGGCGCTCGACCATGATGCAGTGCATGCGTTCACAGAGTGGATCTCCGGCGGCGACACCACTGCAGCTTACCGCGCGACCGACCGACGCTCTCAGAGTGCCAGGACGTCGAAAAAGCAGCGTCCCTAACATCAGAGATAGGAGGGGGACGGGGGGCAGACAAGTGCAGGGCTCGTCATAGGCAGGTAGGTTGCCGTGCCAGCTCGTGACTTGTAGGCTGCTTTCAGCGTCTTTGTGTGGTGATCGAGGATCGTCTGGGCTTTGGGAAGACGCACGATACCGAAAACGGCAAGGCTGGTGGCGCCTCGAAAGGCCGGGTACCCACCCACCGAGACGACCCTCCTTCGCCTCCCTCGTTTTCCCAATCCCACAACCCTTCATCCTCTTTCATATCTCTCGCATCCCATTTTCACCATCATCTCTTTTCCTGTCGCATTTTCGCAAAACAATTCTCCGACTTTTCCATAACCTACGCCTTTTCGCAACCCGCTCTTCACCCCAAACTCTCTCACACTCTCCCATTGTTGTGATATATCGCTTCCGGCCAAATCCGATCAACCGCAATCTCCCGAGCTTCGGACACGGATTTCTCTCTCGACACCCCACCGATCGATACTTGAATTGCAATCATGTCAAACTTCCACTACGGTGCTCCTCACTACGCAACTGCTATGCAGTCTCACCCTCACCCCTCGCACAACCACCACGGCCGTTCGCGCCGCGGACCTCGTGTTTCTTCTGCGCAAAATGCCCATCGTCAACAGCAGTTCAAGGCTCAAAGAAGTCCCAAGGAGCTTCCCGAGACGCCTGCCTACAGCGCCTATATTAGAGACTTCGAAGCCGCCAAGGGCTTTGAGTTTGAAGATGACGAGGTCTTCTGCCCCTTCCACCTCCTGACCGAGGACGATGTAAGTTCTTGATATGCATAAAATCATATCATATTCCAGTACTTATTCCTTTCGCAGCTCCACTCCATTCATTCTTCTGCTTCTTCCGACAGATCATCTCTGTCGTCTGGTTCTCCCGATGCCTCTCCGCTGCAGCACCAAGCTCAGCCCACTCCCTTCCTGCTCCCATCTGCTGCTGCCTCTTACAACAACAACTCTTTCCAGCAGAACCAGATGAAGCTTCACCAGCCAATGGCTCAGCGCACTCGCAATGCTATTCCCATTGTTGACCCTAGCACTCGCGTCATCGCAAGCCCTCCCCCTAGTGTCTCGCCAGCCCGCCAGATGCAGGGTTACATCAACCAGCGCCGTTGGTAGAGAAATGACTAATACCCTTTCATGACTCTATTCGCGACGTTGTTCTTGTCTAGGGCTGATGGGGCGCACATCCTCTGGAATACCGGACGACTCTACGGCCACAACATTTTTTTAATCCTGCGACTGTACAGATTTACGATGCTTTCACACATATACCACTGGATTGCGGAGCCCTCGGGAATCCTAGACGAACGGCGTTTTCGTACCATTGTCATGAAAAGGGCATAATCGGTTTACTTCTTTTTTGGTCATTCTCTGCATTTTCGGTTTTTTTTCAAAGCCTTTGTTGATGTTCTTCGCAACAAAGCGCACGGTGTTACACTTGGTGGGATGGATGAACGAAAACCACACGATGCACATTCAGTCGGATTCTTTGACTTTTGGGCGCAGGCATATATTTTCCGCATGCTTGGGTTTCTGCTTCTGCTGTTTACAATCCTTCTCTTCTTGTTTACGACTCTCACACAGGGAAAGAAAGGTTTCATGGCTGGTCGGGGCGGAGATTCGGTGTCTTTGTTATTTGAGTTATGGTTTGGCAACAATCGTCGTCGAGCGAGCGAGAGGAGTCTTTATTGTCGGTTATACCACATGTCGGGGAGATTCTGGGACACTGGGAGTTGTTTTTGCGGTTTCGCTATTTCGTATCTCTTGTCACTTTCCTTTTCCTTTCTTCACAGATTTTCTCTCACTACTGGTCCTCTTGATCATGCTGGTGTCGGGTTTGGACTACGGAAAAATACAAGCTCTTCTACTTCTGTATTTGATCTTGTCCTAGTCGTGATGTGTTGGTGCTGTTGGTACATGATGAATCCTACGAGCTGCACAGCAGCACAGCTACTGCCATGGGACCTTGCATTGCAGCAAGCATTCGACTCAGCCTCTCTCGCCTTGGGTTCTACAGGGTTGAAGCTTGGCTGCCTACAAGCATTTGGACGGCACAGTCGACAGGAACAGAGATCTCCATCAGCACAGGTAGTCAGACCGACAAGAGTATAATCGAGCCTTTGAAAGCATAAACTTATTCATCTCGTGAAGTGGCTTGATGAAACACGTGCACAAACAAGGACGATATAGTCGGCAAGTGGATGGAGTTCGTAATCGCGCGATTGACAATTGGAAGCTACGACCAGTGACGTCAATAAACGTCCCGGATTGGAGGAGAGTCGACAAGGTACGATCAACGAACAACCGAGGGACGGTCATAGCGAACTCTTTTGTTGCTTCTCCTTTCTGTTTCCTCTTCTTTCTTCTCCATCACATCAACAACTCGCACATAACAATCAATTCCCCCAGAAATCTCCGCAAATCAATCCCACCAACAAATCCCTTCCAGGTTCGAAGCTCTCTTCCGCCTTTCTGCCTTTGACGCGTTTACCAACATTCTTTTCAGAAACACAACACATCAATCAACATGCTTTCCAGATCCTTCATCGCCAGAAGAGCCTTTGTCTCTGCCCCCATCCGCTCTTTCCAGACCGCACCCGTCTTGAGAGTCGGCAAGGAGAGCGCCCTGCGTAAGTTCTTCCCCAGCTTTCGCTCCCCAATGCTTCACTTGGAGGCATTCGGATCCAATCAGCAAAGATCAGCAATGTTCCTAGCATCGCAAGCTAACGCAACTACCAGACGAGGAGGGCCGCGCTGAGGAAGTCGAGAGAGTCAAGAACGAGCAGATCCAGAAGCAGAAGGAGGGCAAGGGCCACTGGCACGAGGAGATTGCCAGCGACAGCGAGAGCATCGTAAGTCACAAGTGACCTCTGTCCTATCATCTACATCAGCTAACACACTTTGCTACAGGTCAAGGCAGACAGAGGCGACATCAGCGCCGACGCCGACACGATAAAGCAACTGCAAAAGGAGACCGAGAAGCTCGCTTCCCAGAAGAAGTAAACTTTGTTCAAGACGACTTGCGCATCAGGAAGAAACACGGCACACGAAAGAGAATGATTCATATATTTTCAGGAGCATGGTCGGGGTCGTAATGGATGGTCCTTCGCCTTTGTAGCATACCTTACTCGAAATCGATTCCCCAACTTTTCAAAACTTCTTCCTCGACACTATCAAGCGGGCGAAGCGCATGCGGTAATGTTGTGTTCAGAGGCAGACGGGTGTCAGAAGAATGTGACGAGCTGAACAATACGCCTGGGCTCTGTGATTATTCTTGGATGACGGGTAAAAATGCAATACAGGGCGGCTCTCGTCTGAACTTTATACCCACATGGCTGCTTACTCTGCCTCAACGAGCCTCCGAGGAGCATCTCATGCGGAGTGCATCAAGGGCATGTTTACCAAAGCTCTTCCATTGACCTAATCCGTACATTCCATCTGCCCTCAAGCATTGCTCCAAGCGCTGTGCATATAGATGTACTGAAGTACTGTAGATGTAGATGCATCCAATTGCCGAAGGTCTTTGCGACAGCCCGTGGACAGCCCTCGTGACTTGATCTTCCTGCCTTTGAGGTATCTCCACACATAGCATTTTTGGTAACTCGCTCCATCGTGCCGTCCCGAGGCCCTGACGTCCTGACATTCATACTGTACTTGTATCATAAGAAATGCTTGACTCGGGACCGTGTTTCCAGATCGTATGGTGAGGGCCTTGGCGCCACCGAATACGTAACATCCCTCGGCCTGCAAGCAGAGTGGACCTTCCTCAAGGCTTCTAGCAAGTTGGTCAAGTCTTGGTCCCGGAATCAACACAACGGTGTTGAGAGCCAAGGTGTTTTCGGAACATTTGCACAAGTGCTCAGCTCACGAGCTGATGGACTCCGTCCCGTGGCGCACCTGAGGTGAACAACAGCCGGAGACGCCTTACCACGACTCAGGCACCCGTCGACCAGGATCATGGATCCATCCTTCAGAATTAAGGTTGAAAATGCTATTGCATGCAAGAAATACAGCCCTGCCGCACTCGAGGAGTCTCTTCCGTTCGGCAACTCCGGATGCCTGACGAGAAACGTTCACGCGTGGCCATCGCTGCCCTGCCGAGTTAGGACCACTTCTTGTTACATCAGGACATGGTTGCTGAAGCCCAAGACCGCCGTCCGCGGCAGCTAGAATGGGTTTCACGAAACCTTCGAAACGTCAGAAAGAGGTCAAGTGCTGATACTTCCTCTTGCCCCCTACCTTTGTGCCTTTATGTATTTCTACTCTTCTTGTCGTTGTCCACTGAGCTGGCTCTATCTTCATACTGAGATCTGATGTGCGATCTCAACAAACAACCAACATGCAACTTGCAAAAGCAGAGTGGAGCTGGAACCATTCGAAGCTCGAATATTGGTGAACATGCCCTTCGACTCGCGATACAGATACAAAAACACCAACCTCGAGGAACACCAGGCTGGGAGATTTTACAATTCCTTGCACAGATGGTAGCATCTTGCGTCTTCTATGACTGTATTCGGAATCGCAGAGGCAAGGACTTGAGCTGATACCTGACTGTTAATACGCTAACCATCACCAGGAGAAATCAGGGATGTATTCAGTGACTACTATCAGCCATCCTTGGAACGCATGTACATGCTATTTTGCGACCACCACTTGCCATGCTCTTTCTCTGATCGTCTGAACCGTCCGTGTGCAAGAACCAGGCTAGCTCATGGCGCAGATCACCGTACTGCACATGACAAAATCATCGGGACAGGTCGATACGAAGCAGATTTCTCTGCAGGTTCTTACCAGCCGCTGTGGATTCGCTTTCTTAAAGATGAGATTGATGAGCACGAAGACGATTACTGGGAAGCTCTGGATGAAGAGCCGCCAACAATCTCAAGAAGAGAGATCGCCGCTAGACTGCATCTCAACACGATTTACGAATTCTTCACGGACTTAGGAACAGCAGCTCCTTTCATAAGTCATGCGAGTTGCTTCGCCTGCTTGCTCGAAATCCCACGGCATCCGCTTCCGTGCGGACATGTAATCTGCGACAACTGCGTCCGAATGTGTGGAGACAAGGGCCATGCCAAGTTGCAGCTGAAGTACTGTCCGCTGCATCGACATACCAGCTTTGAACCGCCATGGGAGATTGAACACAAATCTGAGCGCGCAGGCGTCCGGATTCTATCTCTCGACGGAGGCGGAATACGTGGTATTGTGGAGCTTGAGGTCCTGCGCGCAATAGAAAAAGCCCTTGGCTGTGACATACGCATTCAGTCCTTTTTCGATCTCATAGTGGGGACAAGCACTGGAGGAATCAACGCGCTAGCCTTAGGCGTGAAGCAGTGGCCAGTCTCATACTGCATATCAAATTTCGAGAAGTTTTGCGATCAAGCTTTTACCGAGCGTGAATTTGGAGGCATATGGGGTTTAGAGCAGGCTGCTCTGGTAAACCATGGCAGTCTCTACAAAACGAGACCTCTCCACAAAGCCCTGCAAGAAACACTTGGTCAAGGTACACTTTTCGGCGGAAGCGATACTCTGAGGAAGTTTCGTACCAAAGTCGCAGTGACGACCACATCTGGAGATGGCAAGGAAGCTATGTTACTTGCAAACTACAACCGCTCTCAGCATCCAGGCGACAGTCTAATCTTCGTACGGCCAGACAATCCTGAGCATGAGCTCGAAGTCTGGGAGGCGGCAGCAGCTGCTTCGGCAGCACCATTCTACTTCAAGCCTTTTGTTCACCAGAAGACCGGAAAGAGCTACATAGATGGAGGGCTCTACCACAATAACCCAGTACATGTTGCAAACAGAGAACGCAGGCTTTTGTGGCCCGACTTAGCCAACAAGCATCCAGACATGCTTTTGTCCATTGGAACAGGCCAGAATCTCGATAATGTTGAACGAGAGAAAAGGCAGCGCCACTCTTCCGTATCTCGAAGCGAGGATAAGTCGAAAAGCCCCACACGGCAGGCGAGAGGCCTTCGCCGTACGTTGAACAACTTTGGAGCCTTGTATCAAAGGTTCGATAACATCCTAGATGCCGAGAATACCTGGACCGACTTCAAGGCAGACATCGACAATCGAGACAGCGACTTTCCAAGTCCTTACATCCGATTCAATCTGGATCTCGAGCGCAAGTTGCCTCCGTTTGACGCGAAAGAGAAGTTCCAAGAACTCAGACAGGACGTCAGACAAAGACTTCGAGACCCAGATGTGGTGCGAATGACTAGAGATATCGCTTCCTCGCTCATAGCGAGCTCATTCTATTTCAGGTTGCTAAGTTCGGTACCTCAACGCAGCGGAAGGTTCAAGTGTACGGGATATATTTGCTGCAAGTTCGAAGAAGGATCTTCCAACTTGAAGGCACTAGGCGAGTTTCTCAAGAAGCGAAGCTCGGTAAGCTTTATGCCGTATTTCGTCATCCAGGAGACATCAAGATGTACATCCCACAGAAGTGTAAAGGTCGAGTTGACCGACAAAACACTATCGAGACTGGTCACATACGGCATGCTCAGGATACCCCACATTGACATTGAAGTCTCAAGTCCAATGGCTTCGACAACCATCGCTCTGGTCCTAGCAGAAGACACCCGAGGCGAAGCAACTGAAAGATATCTGCTCAGCGGCTTCCCAAGAACTTTAGTACAAGAGATGCCTTGCAACGCGTCGCCGGTAGAGCTTGGTTCAAGCCCTACAAGGACTGATTATCGTAAATATCCACAGCCTCAGCAAGCACACAGCGAAAGACTTCAGACGTCTGGCTCTACAAGTAGAACACTGCCATCACGATCGCGGTCTTCGCATGTTCAATCGTCTTTGCCATCACGACCTGTCTCCTCTCACCAATATGCAGCACATTCGCGAGGTGACTCTGCGATTGAGCTTCCACACCACGCTTCTCCCTTCGCAACACCAAGACCGCATGTTTTGCAAGAACAAGTTGCAATGCCGAGACAAAGCTACCAAGCGTTTTCATATGAGCGACCTTCGAACGAGAACAGAGTGCCGGCATATCTAGTCGAGCGTGCTGCGAGACAAATACAGAGAGAGGATGAGAGGAAGCTGAGAAAGACCCACACTGGGGATGATTCAGGTCGCCCGAAGAGGTTGGTGAAGAGAAGAGAGACCAGCGAGGCGTTCGTCGGAGTTGGCTGAAGAAAGGGACTATGAATGGGAAGGGCAGGTGTGATGACATGCCCAAGTCCAGTGGGGCCACGGGTACCTGCAGCGACCTCGTTTGCCTCATGGGACGATGGCTTTTCGCCAGTCTGAAAGGGCCTATCTCAATGGACACAAGCCTGGACTCAAGAACATTGAGCAATTTGACGGTTGCTCCGGAAAGCACACAGAAAGATGGAGAACGTACTACTGATCCGTTTGCTTCGGATCCTGTGTTCACGCCCTGATAACAAAGTACACCGCTCACTTCAAACACGCATGTTTACCAGGAGACTTTCCGACAAGGATCGAGACGCGTTCACCTGTTTTCTTACAACAGGCATTTCCACCTTCACATGCTGGATTATCCGTATTCCAGACCTCTGCCCCCTCTCTCCACCCCTTTCCGTCGAAGTCCCCGCCTGACCACAGATCTTGAACTCTGCTAGGTCTTTTCGTCGCTCCGATTGCCCAAGATGTTGCCAAATTTTCTCCAGAGCACCTACTCAACGTACAAGCGCGACACCGACGCCATCGCTAATTGGCTTGCGACTACAGCGAGAGAATACGGCTATTCTCCACAGGTCCTTGAAGACGACAAGACGACAGTTCAGCCCCTGCTTGAGTCACAGAGCGTTTGCCAACCATCTGTTCAAGCTCCTTCGACAAGGCTGAAGGGTAAGGCTCGCAAGCTCGCAAGGGAGGCTGCTTCTACCGCTGCAAATTGCCTCCCCACTGCTTCGCGAGTCTACACCATCCCTATCAAGTCATTCACAATTTTGGCATCTGAAATTGTCTCGCGCAAGAAATCTTCAGTTAGCATTCCTGCTGTATTGGGAAAGACTTTGAACCGTGCAATCGCTTTTCGCAAGGATCACAACGATTGGTTCAGTCGCAATGAAGACAAAGATACATCGTCAGCGAATGAGAGCCATGCCCATTTTATCTCAGTCCTCGAACGTGTGCGTCAGATCCTCGCACCGCATATGGCCACCGGAGTTGCGCACGAAGCCGTCAAGAGGTCTTTCAAGGACATGAGCCTTAAGAAGTCGACTGAGCCACGCACCAACAACCTCTTCGAAGACCTTGAGGTAGAAGAGTCATCTGAAGAATTTCTCGATGCGCCAGTGTCCGAGAATGTTGCCTCATCTACTACCAAGGCTGGTGACAATATCCGCTACCAAGCCGAACGCCTGTCGAAGGCTGAAGAAAAAGTTATCGCCCAGAGCTGTCTTCTCGAAGCTGTTGCGGATATCAGAACTTTTATTAAAGGACTGTGGCAACGCTACCGCGACAGAGAGCAAATGGACTTGATGGCAGCTGCTGTCACCACGAATACTGCAATCGAGATGGTCAGAAAGTTGCACGAAGACTACGCCAAGTCGTTCCCGGACGATGCTGAGTACATAGACATCATCAAGAAGCCCTATGATTGGCTCTTTACACAAGTTGGAGAGGGCGCCTACGAACTTGAACCATCTGACGAAAAAGTGGACGCCGCTCTGTACGCCAAAGGTGATGAGATCTTTATGACCACTCATCTCATACTCGAGACTTTGCGAAACTCCATGTATACGAAACCTCAGTTGCCCGTCATCGATGTTGCTCTTCTGAACCATGGCGACACTTCTAAAGAGTGGTCAATGAGATCGTCCGAAGACAAGCACCTTGACGATGAAGTCGTGCTGAGCAAGGCTTGGACAGGACTGGTGATTCTGGCTCATATGAAAGACATTGTCAAGGATGATCTGACTGAGGGCGTCCGAGCACTGACAATGAACGAAAAGGTTCCATTCTGGCTTACAGTCGCAGCTCAGATATTCCTTGACGTCAGGCATGTATTGGGTCCAGAGGTTGAGCGGCCCTTTGAAGAGATGCAGAAAGGAGCGAGATACATGAAGTCGTCGATTGGTCAGACCATCGCCTTCCACCAAAAGCTGCCACCCAACCCCAGATTCGACCCGGGAGACAAAACGAAACTGCCACACATCGCCAAGGTCAATGAGCTCTTACTGTTGGGAGATCTGGTCGATGAGGCTTTGTCCGCGGAGGGCATTGACATGAAGACGAGAGATGAATACCGCAACTTTGGAAAACAGCACCCAATTCTCTGCGGGGTCTGGCTCTTTAGCATAAGACATAAGATGCAGCAAGTCAGCTTTGACTTCGCCAGGCTCTGGAGCACTACTGTCTACTGTGCCCACATATACAACGCTGTCAGGGTAGAGGGTCTCGTCCCATCAGGCTGGGAGGACATGGAAGTGCTCTGTACGCTACAAGACCAAAACAACCTCTTCATGGGAACCTATCCCGAGACACTTGTCGAGTGTGTCAACCGTTCAAACACTTGCATGGGTTGCTCGCCCCTCATGAGCGCAAGAAACCAAAGAAGGCCCGGACCCATACACAACCTTAGCGGCATGCGCACTCTTAAATACGCCTTTCCCATCTCCGATCTGTTCTTTGGCCGCCTTGGAATCGGCAGACATAGCTTGCCCACGAATCTGTCCCTCGTAGAGGAAAAGATCGAAGCTCAGTACCCGAGAAGCGTCACCAAGAAAAGCTTTGTGTTCTACAAAGACAACAACCCTACCAAGCTGGCAAGAGGAAGACCATCTCAATCTTCTAACGCAGTCAACAAGAAGAAGCTCGACAGTATCGACTTTCTGAGCGGTCTGGCCACTGCACTCCACAACGAAGGCGTGCATTTGACCTTCGACTACCTCCGCCTCCACCGCACCTGCTGCGAAGTACTCCAGGACATGGTCGGAGAAATTGAAGACGAGGCTGGTCGATCGCTTCAGGAGTCTATGTTCGCGCCCGATTTCTTCGACCGCGATAAGCTTCTTTGGGAGCCCGACTTTGTCACCTTTCTTCTTGCCCTGGTGTCTCAAGTGCATATGAAGAGGATGCCCAAGGACAACAGAAACAAAGCTCGTCGCGCTCTGGCGAAAGCCGCCAAGTGTATCGAGGACAAGACCAAGGGCAAGGCTGGCAGCATCGGTATCGACGTCGTCAGAAAGGGATTCGGCTACGAGTGGGACTGGGACAGCAGATGATGGATTTGAAGACTAAAGAAACAAAAAACATACGTAATCAAGGCAAGAGAAACGGCAGTCAGTGATGGAAGGCCAAAGAGAAGGATAGCAAGACACGATAAGAGAATGGGTACAAGATAATCCAATTCGATTTCATCAGACTCCATCCTAGACAGGACAGAATCAAAGACGATGCAGAAAACCTTACTTTTGCTAAATCTCTCCTGCGCCAAATCTGTAACCTCTGGCCATCTCCCGTGACTACGCTTGGAGCTATCCGGGTTGCAGTGATGTGCGATCTTTTCGGAATTGCCACAGACGTCCGCTGAGAAAGGCTGGATATTACGCTCTCGGTGGCGGCTAAATCCGATGAACCAAGGATCGTGCATTTCTACAGCTTTTGCAGAATAAAGTCCAACACAGGGGAACGATTGTCTTCTCGAAAAGCAGCAGTTTCTTGTCCTTCATATTAGTAAATGCATACTTTGACGAAAAAGAGTAGCACATATGTTGGGCGACACAGCCTCATTCATGTCCATTCTCACACGTCACATTTTGGAAATCCAAAGAGCACGGGTGCATAATCAACGAATGATTTTGTGGGTATCAATCAAGCCTTGCGTGCGTACAAGAAAGCGATGGCTATGGAAGAAATGATGCAGGCTATGTACAAGGAGAAACGAATACCCTTTGTCCTGAGCAGGGCATGAGCCTAGAATTCCCAGATATCACCTGCAAGTTGCTTCTCTTCAATATCCTGGTCAGGGTTATGTTCGAAGTTAAGTATTGCGGCGGTGTTCGTTGTAGTGGTAGAGGTCACAGTGGAAGGCACTGTAGAAGTAGCTGGTGTGTTTGTGGGCGCTGAAGTGATAGTCATGGCGGTGTCAGGTGTCGTAGTCGTAGGTGCTGTAGTGGCAGATATCGAAGCGATAGGTGCCGTGTTTCTCGAAGCAGTGGGTCCTGGAGGCACATAGTCCAGCTGTATAGGCTCCCTGATACTCATTGCCGCAATTTCAGGACCTAGATATCTCTCCATCTCGGCAAACGAGTAAGGATCCTCAGCTGTGTCTTCTGAAAGTGTGGGCTCATTGCGTCGAGGAGAGAGTGCAAGCTCCAATTGCTGCTGTCGCTCAGCGAGTCTCTCTTCTTCACACCATTGCCGAAAGAGCGTCTCCTCGACGTCCGCTGGTAGGACAAACTCAATGGTATGCTGCCAATTGTCTCGCAGCCATCGATGGAAGCGCGGATTGCTGGTGGTTCGGCCTGCATTTGCTTCTGACACGGGACGTCGTTGGTTGATGGGCGCTCGTGAATCTGGAGCATAGTCGCGAATAGTCCCGGATAGGTAGATTGGCAGTGGAGTTGACGGAAGACGAGGAGCTGTGGGGTTCTCAGACGGGAGGAGCGGCTGGAGAGAGGGCTGGGTCGATGCAAGAGGGTACTGAGATGCCGCTCTCTGTCCAGTGAGATCAGATTGCCCGACGAGTGGACTGTTAGTCCGACCAGAGCGACCTGGTGCTGCTGCTTCTGCAGGATACATCGCGTCTAGCCAACCAGATTCGTTGCTTCGTCCTGGATTAAGACGTCGGGAATTGGGCGGGTTGGTGACGTTCTGAAACCTCGCATAGAATTCCTCAAGGTCACCATCAGATTCCGCAGAGGAAATGCTGCTCATGTCGGGGGGTGACAGCGCAAAATCGTCGCCTTTCATGATGACTGCGAAATCCGGGAAAGATGTGATAGGAAAGCTTGATACTCTATACTTTGTGAATGGTATATGGTACGGAGTAAGGCTGTAGCGGAAGACAACCAGTCGAACAGGTATGGATTAGTGGTCTCATGATGGAAGGCAGGAGCAATCCATCGGATGGCGAGCAGATGCGGGAGGCACGCCAAAACTTGCTCAATGAGTTAGTTTTGGCAAGAGAGGAAGTCTTTCAAAGGGACCCTTCCACCCGATATCAATGGTGCCGCAGCTCGAGCAACTATACTTTGCACAATGTTCAGGGTCGAAAGGTGCCTTGAGCATTGAGAATGAATCATTGATCTGCCAGTGAATTGTGTGTAGCAGAGCTGCTACACTACATAGCAAGAATAACAATACCGTTTGCTCGTGATCGAGTCGACACTACAACAGTTTGGAATTCGAGAGAGCCATCTCAATGGCCATAGCTGTTCATTAGAATTGTTCGTGCATTGCGATGGACTTCAGTTGGCCGAGTTCATTGGAGAGCTTGAGAACTCCCTCCATTCATAATGCTTTCTGCCCCAGATTTGCCGGAGAATAGCCGCTTCCCTTCATTTGACCTCCTTTCCTTTGAAGAATAGACAATAACGATCGTGAGAGCGATTGTTGAAGTAATCGGGGATATCATTCATCGTCAATCTCTAGCATCTAGTCACTCATCTAAATAATGTATATATGACACTTTTCCAACCAGGGTATACCCAAAATATGAACAATCGAAAAATCAAAAAGATCGAAACCCAACCATGCAATGAACATAACATTAAATATGCAATTAACCCATCCTGGAGTGAACATGTTAGCATGGTACTTAACGAGTAGAATCTCGATATGACTTACCAGGCCCAGAACTTCTGCCAAGCACCAACGGGTTCGACCTCCTCGAAGTGCATCTCTTCAATCTCCTTGCGACCAGTGTCGAGGTCTGCCTCAATAGGCTTGACGAGTGGTTGGCGGTATACAAGCTTGTGTCCACCGTAAAGGACAGCGAAGAGTATGAGACTGATGTATGCGACGAAAAAGTCGGAAGTGTTCCAGGGCATGAACGAGGTGAAGCCTTGAGTCAGGATGATGAGGACGTTGAAGAATACTCCGTACCAGGAGAAGAAGGGCTGCCACATAGCCTTGTAGGGTAGAGTGTCGCGGGAGACACCTCGAGCAGCGAGTGCGCGCATGAATGCGATATGCGAGACATTGATGCAAGTCCAAGTGATGAAGCCGGCGACACCAGTGATATTAAGCAACCAGTTGAACACAGTTCCTGCGCTCGAGCTTTCGTTCATGAATCCAAGAAGACCGAAAGCGGCAGTGAAGGCGACAGCGTAGTATGGAACACCACGAGCGGTGGTGCGGCCCATCCACTTCGGGGCGGAGCCCTGCTCGGACAAACCGACCAGGATGCGGGATCCAGAGTAAACGTTCGAGTTGGCGGCGCTCAGGACGACACACAAAAGAACAGCGTTTATGATACTTGGCAAAACTTTCACGCCGGCAAGGTTGGCGGCGATAACAAAGGGTGACGATGAAGCGTCAGTGGTGTCTGAAAGAAGGCCATCGTCGTTATAAGGGACGAGGAGACCAATGAAGAAGATAGTAAGGACGAAGAAGAAGACAATACGGTAGAAAGTCTTCTTGATGGCAGCGGGTACAGTCTTGCGAGGGTTGCTGGTTTCACCAGCAGCGATACCGACAAGCTCGGTACCCTGGTAGGAGAAACCGGCCTGAATCAGCACAGCCCAGAAACCAACAAACTTGGCAACAGCGTCATTGTTCTTGACAAGGTCAGAAGCAGCAAATGCTCCAGGGTTCTTCCATGTGTCGAAACCCAGGTATCCATGTTGTCCAGCTCCTGCATCGATGCAAATAGCAAAGATCATGAATCCAATAACGGTGAGCACCTTGATACTGGCAAAGTAGAACTCAATCTCTCCGTAGAAGCTGACGGGGAGGAAGTTGACAGCTGTGATGACAGTCCAGAAGATACCAATGAAGATACCGATATCAAGGTCTGCGCGCCAGTACTGGATAATGAGGCCACTAGCAGTCAACTCCAGAGCGTATGTGATGGCCCACGAGAACCAGTAGATCCATCCCATGGCAAATCCAAGACTAGGGTCGACGAAGCGGGCAGCATAGGCTGTGAAGGCACCGGAAACGGGCAAGAAGGTGGCCATCTCACCCAGAGCAACCATGACGCTGTAAACGAGTGTACCGACAAAAGCATATGCGATTAATGCGCCGGCAGGCCCAGCGTTTGCGAGAGCATTTCCAGAACCAATGAAGAGACCTGTACCGATTGTTCCACCTATAACCCTTGTCAGCATATACTGGGAAGCGATGAGAGCTCCAATCGCATACCAATGGCAATCATCTGCAGGTGACGCGACTGCAGTCTACGCTTGAGCTGGACTGTGGTCCCCGGAACTGGTGCACCCTCGATGTCATCATGGGAGATTGAGCTGGGGCTGCTCGAGTATGGCTTGTCGTGAACGGCTTTGGAGCCAACATTGACGTCCTTTTCCGAGAACATAATGGCGATATAACGATGTGTTCAATGATAGAAGAGGTAGTGGCGCACGTGTCCAACAACCTAATCGACCTGTATACACGCGGGGTAGTTGCTTGAAAGAAAGATCAAAGGTGAGCAGAAGTCCAGGTCGGACATGAGCTGCCCTGTGGGTTGGATATATGTACGTAAGAAACCGGTGGTAGTCATCGCTCGTTGACACGCTAGAGCAAAAATTTGGTTATGAAAAATGAAAAAAGCCCGTTCGCGCCCTGTATAGCGGGTCCCGGCACGCTGTCGCTCATGAACCGGTGCTGTCCGCCCCATACCGAGCTCTGTCCGGTCGCGCGGATGACGTCTCATTGCTCGGTGGATGACTGCTCAATTCGTATTTGAGCAGCAAAGATGGTCAGCAACATCGGAACTCACTTGTCGTGCGTTCGTGCTGTTTCAACTCCCATAACAGACGTTCAAAGAAGCTGCCAAGCTAGAAAACTTCAAGGCTTGCGACGGAATGCCGGGAAACGTCGGCCACTCCCGAAAGTGTTTCCCTGCGTTTGCGTCCCAACCCTTCTTTTTTTTCTCGCCACATTCGTAGGGCGTGTTGAGCCTCGACTGGATCTTCATTTCTACCTTCAAAGATAGGTCAGAAAATGAATCCTGGAGTAAATCCTTTGTGTCATGCTGTGGCTTTTCAATTGGCTGCGGGTGTCAGAGAGTCGTCGGCTTCTCCTGCCAAACAACCGAACCTCCAAATGTTCTTGATACAGAAATGACTCGTCTTCTTGTTGCAGCTCCCCAGATCTTCTCGACGATCTTGCAACACTCGTGCAGGAAAACGAAGTGTCAGTTATCGAGTCATCGACAATCTTTACATCATGGAGTCATCTGATGTCAGCCCGGGCAGCCAGCTCACGAAAGCATTTCTCATTGAATCATCAAACCAATTCGCCGTTATCGATGTCCCTCCACACAAACACTTGGTTCGTTCGCCTGGGGAATAAAACCTCCAATTTATTCCCTCGTCGTTACCTTCGCGGAACGCCTTCCGTCTAGCGCCTGACGCAGCTGAGCTCACCGGAAAATTTCAATACGAAGGATGGACACGCGACATTCATCTTCGTCGAGAAGAGACCAGGCCTGATTGACCCTTGTTCGCGAGAAGGACATTGCATTGAATTGGCACACGACACGTCGACTCCCAACTCGTGACACTGTTTGCTTCACGTAGACACTTTGACTTCTTGGAGAATGCAATCGTTTGCGATCCATGTATGAAAGATACGGATCTGGTCCTTCGTGAAACTATCGAGCTGTTTCTACTATCATCAAAGAATGTTACTCGTCGCGCAGTATGATTTTCATCGGCGGAAGCGAAGCGAAGGAACGCAACACCCTTGTCCACCTGACTGCCTGTTGATTGCCGTCTTCAACCACCCATACGTGGGTAGACTGGTACGGTTCTCGTCGATGAATGAGTGTATGCCGAAGACGTTGCTCTGAATTCCCAACGGCTGGTTTGAGTACGCACAACGACTGGGTATGATGGTGGTAGGTTGAAAACAATGTTGTTCGGGCGCTCCAAAGAGTCGACTGCATGGTTCCTGCCAATCACCATGCTTCTAATGAAGGTTTTCCAATCCCTGGACTTTGCTCTGAGAGCTTCGACATCGAATCGTAGTACGTCCGAAATAATTGCGAAACCGGCGAGAATGGTGGCAGCGCTGATGAGAGCAAGAAGGGTGGTGACGCTTCTCAAGACGACTCTCTAAGCCATAATTGGCTGTGCATCGCGTCAGTGCCTTTGTAAGGCAGACGGTAGGCCGGGGTTGTGGCACTCACTTGATATGCGGGTATTCTCGAAAGGATAAGAATTTCTTTCTGTTGTTGATGCGCTTGCTGATGAATCACGGCGAAGAATGCTGAGAGTCCGAGGTGCAGAGAGCGAGACGCAGGAGTCGACAAGACGATGCCAGAATCGCACCTTCCAACTCGGATGCGCTCTTCACTCTTTCCATTGGTACCTAACCAAGCTCACAACGTTTGTTCCCCACGTCTACTCGGACAGCTCTGGTTCGGACTCAAGCCATCCTTATCAGAGTAGCTGTCGTCGATTCAGGGTTTCCTGCCGCTGCGACAAAACTCATCACGTGTTTGCAGTATGACTATACCAACGACCTTTGACCAACCAGACCCTGTGTTCATCTCAGATCACGGTTTCCACTCAAGTATCGTGGGGATCTTGGGACGCTCTCATGATCTTCACGGGAAGCAGAAATAAAAAGCCTATACACCCGGATCTTGCTCAAACAGCCAACAGACTTCAAAGCTTCTCCACGACTGTCACATGTCTTTCAGCAACCGATTGTGCTCTTATGCTATATGCCTGAGGATCTATAAAGCACCAGAGCAGGTCTACTAATGCTTCCAATGCTTCAATCATCATATCTACCCTGAATTGAATATCCCTAACCATGTACGCTTCCTCCAGACAACCCAAGAATCAGCATTTCAGCTCTACGGAACTGAAGCCTGAAAAGGTGTCCATCGATGAAGCGAGCATACCCGTCACGGAGTCCAATTCGTCACCTCCCAACACCCGAACCCGACCTGCAAAAGTTACAGTCTATCGCATCACATGCTGCTTTCGTGTGTTCTCAGTCCTTCTGTTTGCTCTCTGCATCCTCGGAGGAATTCAGGCATATTTTCTCAGCAAGGTAGCAGACTTGCATGGATTCTCCAATCTTGTGGTCACGGAGACACACTACTTTACCGACACTATGACTGCCACAAGATTCTTGGCCACCAAGGTGGAGACGAGCACGAAAATTGTTCATGTTGCTGCTTCCGTTGCTGGAGATGGAGGAAGGGAAGAAGAGAAAGATGAGAAGGAGGGGTCAAAGATTGAGTTCCGACCAATCGAGACGAGCAATGGGATGAACGTGGGCGGTGCTTCGGTAAAGGTTGATAGACGGGATGAGAGAGACGGTACAAAGACAACCGTGCAAACCGTCTACACAGCTTGAAAACACCTTGATGATTGAGCTTCAAAGGTTAATAAACTTTGTACATTAACTCTGCTCTATCCAAGCCCCCAAGGCTTGGGTGTGGGTTTGGACGGCAATGCACTCTCCATATATATACCTGACAGTATCAACATGCCTCTCTGATGTTCTCATCAGACAGGATGCTCTCTCGTCTTCTTCTGAGCACTCTGAAACGACCATGATGTCTCCCCGCCAGCCTCAAGGCCCACAGCCGAATGCCTTGAACTCATCCTCATCAACTGAATCACCATACATCGATGCCATAACGCCCTCCTCCCCAGCCATGTATAGACAACTATCAGAGAATCAACCCCTACATTCACAGCCATTCTACAAACCACGCCAGCCCGAGCCATTATCTCCAACAACTCAGACTCAATCACCAAACACCACGACCACCTCCCCAACAACACGCAGACCACCATACCCACGGATTGCACAGTTCCTCAACAAACCTCACCACTGCGATGAACCCAAAACCCCTTCCACCACCCAAACCAAATCCCAAAAAGACTCCTTGGAAAATTGCAAACACGTCATCGTCACCGCGAGCATAGTCACCGCCGCTTTCGTGATATGCCTATTCGTTCTAAGTTTCCTCGTCGCCATTCACCTGAACGCGAGCACGAAAGCCTTGAATAAATTCAACGAACAAAGCTTAGAGGCAGGAAATGGGTTTGGAGTGATTGCAGAGGAAGATATGAGGGGTGTGGAAACCGTAACAGAGGTTCAGATGGTGACGACCACGGAGAGACACACTGTTATGGATAGAGTGGAAAAGACTGTTACGAAGGTGCATACGGTTACGATGACGGAGAAAGAGAAGCATGCGGTGACGGTGATGGGAAGTGGTGTTGTCAGTACGGCTACCGAGTTGGTGATCTTTGTATCGGATACATGAACGAGCAGACAGGCAAGGAAGTACACGGCGTTCAAAATTAATAGAAGGCGGGATATAGAAATGGTATAGACACAATTCAAATGCTATACCATAGTGAGTTGTCCACACAATTCTCGATAGCTCCTCCTCGGACTCTAGCATCCGTGTCCGAGAGACCATCACCTAAGCGACTTCCACAATCTGAGATCAAGACAAGAAAGAAAGGATTGCTAAACCTCTCACTTGGACTGCCGCGTTTTGACGTGAAGCTGTCTGACGCTCACTCGAGACTTCCGCTTTCAGTGACAAAATTGCGAATTTCATCCGAGCTCACAAATCCAAGCCAAACAGTGAAATTCAAAACATCAAATTTCAGTGAAGCAGCCGACAGGACCGCAAAAAAGCCACGACGCACAACGTCATCGTCACAGCCAAGGACAGGGTGCCCCTGGGGAGAAGAAAGAGTGGAGGGGAGTAACGTGAATAGTTCATTTTTTGCATATACGGTTCGTGGTCATAGTCAAAAAGTGGAGAGAGGAGGGTGTTGTTACATCTCATAGCGATCCTCGCATTTCACCTGCTACATCGGCTGCGTCCAGCGAGTCACCGATTTCTCCATCTTCTGAATCGTGTCTTGTGTCGTAAGATTTTGTCCTTGTAGGCTCTGTTTTCGTTGGCTCAAGTGCTGTTTGTTCGCCAACAGGGTGGGCATGTTGTGTGAGTCCTATCTCTTGGACTATTGCCTGCTGTGGTTCTACTTGGTGTTCGGTGGCCGTCTGTTCGGGCATTGCCTGCTCAGCAGTTACCTGACTAGTCACTGCCTGGTCGGGAATCAGTTGGTCATGAGAAGGTGGTGATTCTCTTGGAGGCTCTGTTGTCGCAACTTGGATATGCGAAGCTACCGGCGCTTCTTCTACATATGCTGGGATGCCATGATCTGCAACTCGCTCGACTATTGGCGTGTTGGGCATACTGTCCTCCTCCACAGGTGCAGCGACCACGAAAACATCAGGGTCACCAGTCGTGTGCTGTTCGGTCCTGATAGGTGACGATCTTTTCTGGTGGTTGTCTTTGCTTGCAGGTCGAGGTCTTGCGGGTAATGGCGGCGGCTGTCGAGATTGTGGTTCGGTAACATGCTCAGGCTTATCCGCTTCCTTGGCTTGTTGCTGCTGCGATGATGAAGATGCTCCCACGGGCTTGCGTTTGAGACCTGGTAGATTTAAACCTGAAGACGCCCAGAGACTTCTCTGCGGTCCTGGCAGAGGGGTGCCAGGTGGTGGCAGAGGCATTCCACGCCCCATTGGTTGAGCCAACAAGGCCGCTTTCAAGGCATTCGGATCGGGCGGTTGTGACGGCAATGATACCGAAGACGATCCACTACTTGCGGAAGACACTGAGAATCTCTTGCTCAGTCCAAAAGAATTTCCAGATGTCGAAGGCGAAGATCCGTTCTGCCTGTTAAGAACTTGCCAGCCCCATTTCTTTGCAGCATTTGCAGCAGTACTTAGATGAGAAGGGGAGGATCCAGAAGCTGCCGATGTTTCCAAAGACTTTACCGAGGGTGCCTTGGGAGCTGATGCAAGAACATCGGCGACGATGGGCTCTTGAGGCTCAACCCTTTGTTTCGTTGAGTGTTGTTCAACGGGCTCAGAGCTTCGGCGTAGGACTGAAGGGTCGAGTGGAGGCTCTTCTTCTTGTGTTGCGAGAGTTGAGAAGGTCTCAGAGTCGATGGGCAGTATGTTCTCGATTTCGCGAAGAGGCTTCGGAGATGTAGCAGCCGACTGTGCTTTTGAGTTGACTTCCTTCACCATCTCAACAGCATCCTTCTGCCCTTTCTTTTTCGTCTGTGATCTCACTGCCTCGATATTTGAACCTTCGGTGCTAACTAAAGGTGTTGCAACGGCGGCAAAAGAATTAGACCGCATGTTTCTGGGCTTTCCAGGCGGTGTGCGTGGGCGAAGTGGCGGCGAGGACGGAGTCTGAGCGGGTGTAGATGCTGAAGTTGTACTGGTTGATGCACCAATTGGTGTTTCGAGGCCCTCTCCAACAAGAGAAGTCGCAGACCTTCTGGCGTTCTTTCTGAAGTTGAGTTTCTGCACTGGTTCGAGCAAGCTGGGCATACTCAGAGTCTTTGCTCCAGTCTCAGCGAGCGTGGGTATGACGATGTCTTCTGAGTCTCCATCACCAGCGCTGTTTGTGAGTTCGTGTGCTGCAGTCTCGACCAGACCGGCGTCTGCTTCCGCAGCCTTCTCCATGCCGGTGGGCTCCTCGTCTGCAGACGAAGGCTCGAAGATACCGCCTCTCCATTCTTTCTTGGTGGTGTCCAGGAAAGGGCTGTCGTCCCAGTTGGGGAGAACAATTGTCTCGCCAATGACCTCTCGGATTCTGCTCTCGATAGCACGGAGAATAACACCGTAGGTAATCTGTCTACTGCTGACGATGGGTTGTATACTCATTTCGATCTGGGGCATGGTCTCGAAAGTCATCCAGATGCGGTTGCTCGGTGGAGGTTTAATGCGGATCAGGAGATGTCCACTGAGCTTCTTCAGCTCGCCAGCCATGATCAAGCTCACTTCGCGGGCCTTGAAGCGGGTTCCTAAGTCAATACGTGCGACAGCGCCCATCTCGATCTTGAAGCCACCATTGTACTTGATGTCTAGCTCAATTGTCATGTCGCCGTTTACGGTCAACTCTTTCAGCCTGGGGTTGCTGATTATGGGTGCGCTGTCGCCCATATCGATGTCCATGATGTTAATCGAGGCGATCAAGTTGGGCTTGGGTACTCGCGAGATCTTCTTGTTGATCTTAGCGCGGATAAAGTTCTCAATATCTTTTGTCTTGTACATGGCCAGAAAGATACGACCGACGATACCGTTAATCCAGCGCGAATGAGCGTCGGCATCGGAAGAGTGTAAATTCTGTACAAGTTTGATAATGTCGGCGGTCTCGAACTTCCGAGGGAGCGGAGGAGGATCGGTGTTGATGATGGAAGACTGGGTGTGCAGCAAGGCGTGGTAGAAGTCCTCCTTCTCGGAGCAGTTATCAGAGAAGAAGTGGAAAGGCTTGGATGTAGGAGCGGTATCGCCGGACAGGGGTTTCCTAGTCAGACGAATACAGTTTCGCTTGATCCAGAGGTCTCCTTCAGGTACGGGGTCTCCACCAGCGTAGACGTCGATGTCATGGTGGGCGAGAGAGACCACATGCCGGACTTCGACCTGCTCTGAATCGTCGTACAGCATAAGGTGGCCATGCCTCAAGACAACATAGAAGACGTTGCGGGCTTTCTTGACGGCCTTGCCATCGCGCTTGTCACCCTCGATGGTTGGGATTTGAGTCTTGCCTCGTTCAAAGATGCTTCTGTACATGCTCTGGTAGACACTGGGACTCTCTGCTATGAGAACCTCGCCAGCCGGAGTAGAGCGCTCTGGCGGCTTGCCGTTGATGCCGCCGGGGACATACTCTCTGCAGACAGCAAAGTAGGCGGCTGCCGTGTCGAGTTCATTATGTTGTTCCTTGCTCTTTTCGCCGATCTCGTCTATCGTCTTTGCTGTATAGGCGGGATCTACATCACTGGCAGTCGTAGCGGTGGACACGGGAGTAACGGGTTTGGTGAATGCAACGTATGCGAAGGCGCCAAGGAGAAGGGCGAGCAGGGGGATGAAGGTCAGACCGCCGGCGACGTACGCCAGCAACAGCGACTTGAATGTCATATCGTTTGCTGCATGTGCATGTTTGGCTGGATGATGGATTGATTAGAAGGCTTTGTATTGCATATTAACCGCTTTATAGAAGGTAAAAGCGTTGTCAGGTATGTACAAGAAAGGTCGCGAAGTAGTAACACCAAGTCCACGCTCGAGGCTCGAGCTTCCGCCAAACGCCAGCGACCCCTCATTCTCTCCCTTCCTTTTCTGAACCTGCCCATTCCTTCTCATTCCTCCTCATTATTATGTATTCGTATCCACATCTCGGTCTGTCGTATATGTACAAAAGACCAACCGTAATGCACCGTGTAACTCGCGCGAGTCTTGTGGCCACTGAGAGCTGACTCCAGGACGACGCTCAGCGGGTCACTGAGAGCTGACTGCAAAGATTTGTTGCCTTGCGACAACGACGTGCCTTACTTGGTCATGTCGAAGAGATCGCTGCTCAAGAGGTCGTCAATGTCGAAGGTCTCGGGGAAGACACTGTCACCAGGAGCGAGATAGGTGCCGATGCTGTTGCTGGCAAAGGCGGCATCATGGTTCATGCTGAAGGGATCGAAGTCAAGAGCGCTGGCCGAGAACGGGTCGAACTCGTCCATGAAGGGGTACTGCTGGCTCGAAAGGTCGTGAACAGTCTGTCTGACTGCGCCGCTGGCACCGACTGCGCCGTTGTTGTTGGCGTTCAAGGCGTCCTGAACGTTGAAGTAGTCGTGGTCGTCCTGCTGGTCCTGCTGAGCCTGCTCTGAGTCGACAACGAACTGGCCAGGCGAGGATGTGTTGCTGGCTGTTTGAGGGGAGTAGAAGGTTGACTGGGTAGCAGGCATGAAGCGTTGGGCTGAGTTGGACTGAGGTGGCATGAACTGCTGGGCTGATTCGGGCTGAGCAACCATGTCGAAGGCGCCAGACATGCCGCGGGTGTGAGCGGCGAGATTGCTCTGCTGGACTTGGCTTGAGTTGGAGGCAGACTGAGCACCCATGTCGAAGGCGCCAGACATGCCGCGGGTGTGAGCGGCGAGGTTGTTCTGCTGGACTTGGTTTGAGTTGGAGGTAGGCTGAGCAGCCATGGTAAGCGCGGCAGTCGAGCCTTGGTTGTTGCGAGCAACGTCGGTGTCATTCTGGCGAACGTAGCTGACGCGAAGGCAGTGAGCGACAATGTCCTCAGAAGACATGTTAGTCGTAAGAATGCTCTCAGGGAACGAAGCGATCTGAGGAGTGTAGAGGCGCTCCATGTGCTTCACGCCATCGTCAAGCTCGGCAATAGTCCATCCCATGGCACGAAGGTATTCATCTCTGGGGATGACACCAATGAGAGGGCAAGTGACAGCAAGGAACATGTCAAGAGGTGCATCGCTCTTGCTGTTGCTCTCGCGGATGATTGAGTAGGCCTTAGCAAGGATGCTCCACTTGGCCTTGAAAGGGTCGTTCTGCCACATGCAAGTCAAGAATCCGGAGATGTCCTTCTGCTGGTAAGACTTGAAGATGGGAGAATGGTAACCTGCACCAATTAGAAAAGAAATGCGCATTGCAGTAAGAAAACTTACTTCTGAAGGCCATCCAGGAGTTGAGAGGGCGAGTAGGCGCGATGCTGCCAGCAGCGCGAGGCGATGTCTGCGCATGCGCATTCTTGGATGCGGCAGTCGACTTCTTTGCGCGCTTCTTGCGCTCAGTGATGGCAGAGGTAGAGACAGAGCCAATACCAGCGACAGTAGCAGGAGTAGTCGAAGCGACAGCAGCGACAGGGCGCATCTTCATCACGGCATCGATGACTTCGGCGATCTGTTCAGGCGAATACTTCTCAAGGAGCAGAGCCATCGACTCGGGCATGAAGGTGGCAGACATTGTTGCGTAATTGGAACCGAGGGGTATTTGTGTAACAAAGAATTGAGCAAGAATGGTAGCGGTGGAATGTGGATGAGGAATGTTTCAAAAGGACAAAGAGAATTGAAACTGTGGAAAGCAGGGGAGATATGCGCTTTGCAGCCGAAAGAAGTGAGAGAGGAAAAGCTCGAGTGAGTGGTTGTTTACCGCGTTTCACTGACAGTGAACATCAACAGTTCCGAACTTCACTGGTCAAATTCACATATCGTACGGCCGTTTAATAAGATCACTCAGAGCTTCACTTTCACGAAATCCGACAATCTTTCAAGGACAGGAATATGATTGCATTCTCAACTCCAAAACTCAAGGCTCAATACTCCATCTTCTCAAGGATCCAACGGCGGACTACGTAGCATCTGTTTGCGACAAGAGGAGTCACGACGTTCCTTCTCTCCAACTTTCCCAAGAATCTACCCAGAGTGGCTCTCTCTTCAGGACCCTGTCCGTTGAACCGCTCGACTGCCTGCTAAGTGTCAGAATTTTGAATGATTCGGGCACTCTTTTGTTCGTTACCTGTGCATATGGTTGGTTTCCCAGGTTGTGCTGTATGCTTGTCAGCCGTCATTTCTTTTCATGTAAATCCGCCTGTGATCAACTTACCAAACGAATCGCTTCGGTCTTCAGACCGGTCGAGGTAAGCATCATCGGGCGAAAAGGTATAAGTTTCTGATGCAGAGGCTATTCATTCTTTGTCAGCATTGCTTGGGAAAGATATACTTGCGGAACCTACTCCTGCGAACTCCCTCTCATGCGGGTAACGCTGTCGAAGCATCAGTACATCTTTGAGTCTCTTTCTTTATGTGTTAAGTGTGTGCAAGTACCTGGTGATAGAAGTCGTTTGCTTGTTGGAATTCAAGAGCCCAGGTTGCCAGAATGCCAGTGGCTGCTTGAGGGAGGGTTTGCGACGAGGTACGGACAATGCGGCGATGATCAGGGAAGCTGATGTCCGAAGGAGGACGTGCCTCGAATGGAGCCATGAAGCGGGCAGAAGGAATCGAGGGCGAGCCGTGAGCGAGGAATCGGGTCCATGGTGGCAAGTGAGGGAACGGGTAACGGTATGACTGCTGGGACATGTCCTTGATGGTCTCTTGCTGCACTTTCTGACGCAGCTGATCTCTGTGCTTGATGGCGCGAATGATCTGCATCATGTCTGCAGTCAAAGTGTACATGGTCGTCAGAAATTCTTCATACTCGGCGTTGGAGGCGAAGCGTGAGACGTCGTCCTTGAGCAAGCGAAAATCGACCAGGATCTCCTTGAGATGTTCACGGATGGTGTCACGGTCGAAGTGCTTTGGTTCGAAGACGTAGACCTTCTGGAGACATCTCAGATCTGCGATGATGTTCTGGCACATAGCGCGGGTTTCCGAGTATTTTGCTTCTGCACAAACTGTTAATCTTGTCAGTATTCATCCTTCAGCCAAGGAGCAAATCTTGATTCTTACCAGCTTCGAAGATGGGTTGTTCGAGCTCTCTCAAGGTGATGCGGATAGTCTTGGGCTCCATGACGGTTAATTGGTTGGTCGGTCGGTTATTTCATATAAAGATTTGAAAAGGTCAGAAAAGAGGTAGGGAGGTAGGTTTGTTGAAGTTTGCTGCGCACATCTAAGGCTCATAATACGAATGCTTATTATTGTCGCGCTTTTTGGATTGCGCACTTTCACACTGCTGCACTGATGTTGTGCTTCACTTGCCTTCTTCGACGACTTTCCGACTCACATCCACTGTCAATTCGCCGTTCACTCGCTTTCTTCCGTCGCTATCAACAAGCAAACCTCTCCCCCCTCTATTGTGTTCGCTAGAAGGAAATGAACCACGTCGTCAAAGACGGAATTTCCTATCATCGGCGACGATATGGGCACTCTCTCACCATCACCAGCTTCAGCCTTTCCCTTGATTTTCAACTCCAGTAGCAGAATGTTGGCAAAGCGCGATAGCACGCTATGGTTCAGCCCGTGAGCGTTGTTGCCGGCAGCACTGAAACCATCCTTCCTTCTGATTGAGAGGGCCGCCTTGGTCACAATTGCATTGCCTGTTTCGCTCGATGCTACGGAAGAATTTCCGACTCACTCTTTCCTTGACTGTACTGTTACTCTTCCGCAGCACTCCCAATAATGCACAGCTTGAGGTTGAGGTCAAAATTTGCAGTCGTCGAAACCTTTTGTATTGTGTCTTCTATCTCGCACAGTCAGTCCGACGAGACTGCGTTGTCGTCGCCTGATTCTCCTTCGCCAGAATCTCCATATCTTCTCAAGAAGGGCATCCAAGCCAGCCGCCCTGCTAATGCTTCCATCTTCTACCGCAAGCATCATCACTCTGACACTGTGGCTCGCAACCTGGTCTTCACAACAATGGAATCTGTAAGTCTCTCCCTACTTTGTCCTTGATATCATGACAACTCAAACCTTGCTATAGCAAGGATCATTGGCAAGATGTGGTGCGATGAATCCGAGCCTGTCAAGAAGCAGTGGAAGGACCAGGCTGAGAGCGTCGAGCGCCAGCATATTCGCTACCACCCCGGCTACCAGTACCAGCCTCGCAAGCCTCATGAAAAGAAACGTTGCATGACCAAGCGCAAGGCCATAGCCCTGCCGCTCAGCAGGTCATTCCTTCATCATCAGCTTCAGCCTCTACTGCTGTCCCTACCGTCTCAGTCAACACTGCCAGTACCATCAACAACTTCTCGCCTATTGCTCCCACCGTCGGTCCCTTCTCATCTGTCACCTCGCCTTCTCAAATCGTCGACTTCAGCAACCACGATGACCCTCTTCTCGGCTACTCATCCAACGGTGACCTTGCCTCCTTCACCCTCGACACCTTCGAGTCCAACCAGCTTGACCTGTTCTCCAACCTCTTGGAAGAACACAACATCGACTACGAGTACGGTCCTGCTTCTCTCCTCGCTCCCGGCGCCTCTACTTCTCTGCCTACCACTCTCAACCACGCCATGGCCGACGGCAATAACGGCGCCTCTCTCATCGACCCCAACCTCACCGCCAACGACCTCACCATGGCTCAGACTGACTTGAACACCTTCGAGTCTTCGCTCGAGGACATGTTGGCCCGCGAGCTCGAGAACATGGATGGCGATGGTGCTGATGGTGCCGACAATGGATTCCAGTACAACGACCTCGAGTCTCTACGCTTCACAGAGTTCTTGGAGCAGATGCCCGAGCACATGTGGGGTATGGAGTTTGTCAACTGATTGACTCGCTTCCATCTCTTCTCGACCTCGCTGTCTCGATGGCAACTTCTCTTCATGACCTCGCTGTCTTGATGACGGCTTCTCTTCACAACATCACCGCCCAAACTACATTACAGCATGGCGTTTCTTCAACTATTATCGTTCTTGGTTGTCTTTTTACACAGCATGGGAGGAACAAAAGGAGGAGGGAGCGCACAGGATCAATGGATCTTTGCATGGTAGGCGTACTGGGCATTGGCTGTTTCAAGTTTGTTTTCTTTTTCATTTCGACTTCTTCGTTCAAGCGAGCACATAATGCTTTTCTTCTCATCATAGCAATCAACCACAACTAATTCTGTCTAATACCTTGTTGTTCTCTCGTCTTCGTGATCTCCTCTTGTCTACCTCGTCTCGCCGGCTTTGAAGTCGCTGCACCATATGAATGTTGGGCATCGCCACTGTGTGCCTTTCTCCTTGTTGCCCGATGGCCCCAGCGGCCTTGCACACATCCAGAAGCTACGTCCTTGGTTCTCGCCTTTCTTCTTTGTCTGCATGCTTTTGCATGGCTCTTCATGTCCTTCGCACAGCGGCGCTGCTGGCTTACGGAATAAGCTCTGCCACGACTCCTTGTTGACAATTGGATCGTAGACCATCTCATCAGCATCGTCTGGCGGCGGCTGATCATCCAACTTCAGAGGAGCGTTAGATGCTGCTGGGCTGCCTCGAAGATTAGCTGAGGATCTCAAGTCTCTGGTGCTGGAAAAATGCGGCGTAGATGATGCAGCAGTTGCTTCTGATATGGTGGAATCGCCTACCATCTCCTCTGCGTCTCCCACCACGCCAGCCTTGCCAGATACGGGCACATCCTCTTTCGTGTCCTCTGCCGGGTCCTCTGGCTTTGGCTTTGCTTGGAAGAAGCCCTTCAAGCTCTTTTGACCTTTGGTGGGTGCGGCCTTCGATGAGGCAGCGGGAGTGGATTTCTGCTTCTTCGTTGTCTGAATAGCAGACACCTCCGATGCTTTGCGTTTCTTCTCAGGAGAAGAAGGAGCGATCGATCTTGAGGAAGCTGCTACCACGGACGAGCCTACACTTGCCGAAGATGTTTCGCCCGTGGTATGCTCAGCCTGCGGCTTGGGGGTCGCGGCTGCCAGGCTGCTTGATGACGAAGCAGAGGCGGCAGGAGCAGCAGACTTCTTGAACATGTCTTTGATGCTTCTTCTTTGATAGAACTCTGGCATGAGTCTGGCACTGAATGGAGGAAGTTCTTTGATGTTCCAGTCCTTCTCTCTGACGCCATTGTTGAACACACCAGGTGGGTTCATGATATCGACCAGTTGGATCTCTATCTGATCGCCATCACGGTCGACATTGACGATGTTCTTGAACTCGCCATAAACTGGACAATGATCAGAGCCCTACAGTTGAGTCAGCAAACATCCAGGCTGGCTAGAGGAATCATACTTACAAAGAGTCCTTCTTGGATGTCGGCGTGGATGAACCAATCCCGCATAGAGCCACTCGCAAGAACAAAGTCGATGCGGCTTCCAAAGTTTCCAGGTCTGGCGTTGATCTTCTGCTCCCAATGAGTGTACATGCCCTTCCTCTCGGGGTGGAACTCTCTGGTGGTGTCTAGCAGAAGCGGCTGTTCCCGACCTTCGTCCCTTTCGCCGTAGACCTCACCACCAATGATGAGCTGGTTGAAAATCCTACGGTTAGGGGTGCTGACATATTCCTCGGCTGTCAGACCTGCCTTCTTGATGTCTTCAGTAGCGGACGCTGTATCGATCAAGCCGCGAGAGACATTGAGGTCGCCGGTCAGAATGACTCGCTTGCCCATCTTGTTGAGCTTGCGAATGCGGCAGTCCAAGGCAGTCAGGAAGGCATAGCGAAAATCATCTCTAAGGCCGTTGGAGTTGGCAGGACTGTAGACGCCAAAGAGCACGAAGGCGGGAAACTCAAGACACACGCAGCGACCCTCGGCGTCCAGAAGAAGAGGATCAACACCGAGCTCGAGAAGCTCCATCTCGGAAAGGTAGCCACCGACATGCTGGGACTCGGGCAGATTGCGATATTGGGTTGTCGAGTTTGGTGGCGTTAGAACTCCCAGAATACCCTCTTCGGCTCGAATGGGAGAGCAGGTGGAATTGCGGGTGTATATGCCTACGCCAGAATAGCCTGATACAAAATCATGAGCCACACTGTTTCAAGCTACAACAATGAATCAGACAGACCTTTCTTCTGCTTTGGCAGGCTGAAGTAGCAATCCCAGCCGTCCAGTATTACCATGTCATCACGCAGATCTTTTCGCTGAATCTTCAGCTCCTGCATCACAATGATGTCGGCCTCGAGGATATCGAACATGGCTGGGAAAGTTTTTGTTGTACTCCATGGTTGGTAAGAGAATGGGTTGCGAATGCCGTTGACATTCCAGGTAGTAAGTCTCATGATGATGGTGGTAGTAGGATCAATCGCACGTTCACATGTATGATGTTCATGGTAGGAGAGGTTGTGTTATGTTGAAGCCATGAACAAATTGATCTGATTGCAATTGGCAACTACCACGAACGCGCCTTCCAGCCTGGAGGACGTGACGGAAGTCAACTATGACGCGCATCAGAGCCGCATTGGAAGGCGCGAGAGCTCGAGAGCAGGGTCGCAGCTTCCTCAGCCAAAGTGTCAGCTGTTGCCAAGACCAGCCGGGACCAAGCACCTCCCGCCGTGATTGACGATGGTCATGCAGCAAAAGCCATACCGTCAATTGAATCGCTCTCCACTCTCCACTCACCGTAATATCCGCAATCATGTTCACCACACGCGCCGCTAAGCAACTGCGCTCTCCCATCCTCCGCCAGCTCGGCCGCCGCCAGCTCCACGGCGCCGGCCAGTCAGGCTTCCAGGGCGCTGCCGACAACGCTTTCAACCGCGAGCGTGCTGCCGTCAAGGACCACGCCGCTGCCACCAGTGGTATGTTCTGAACCTGTCGCTTTCTTGCGCGTGTCAATTGGCCTCGAATTCTTGCTGACCCGACATACAACAGACCTCTGGCGCAAGCTCTCCATCTAGTATGCGTCTTCCGAATCCCCGCTTGCTGTTATGCCCTCGCCGAACGAATTGAGAAAGAGAGACCATTCCACTACAATTTAAGAAAGAGACAGCGAAACAGGATTCTGACCGAGTGTTTCTCACAACAGCGTCGTCATCCCCTCCATCATTCTCGGTGGTGTCAACGCCTACCGCCTGTGGCTCGAGCACTGGGAGCACAAGTCCCACGAGCCCCCGAAGTCCGAGCAGCCCGAGTACCCCTACCAGAACATCCGTACCAAGAACTACTTCTGGGGTGACGGTGACAAGGTAAGCTTTGATCCCGTCCCGCTACGGATTGATACAAGCGAGAAGGACGTAGCTAATACAGCTGCTATCAGACCATCTTCTGGAACGACAAGGTCAACTACCACAAGAAGTCGGACGAGTAAATTATGCTCGCCTATTCTTGGAATGAACAAAGTGTATCTCTGAGACTCTTCCAATTTTTGTCCTTTTAGCCAAACACTCCTGCGCTCAGAAGAGTCGTAGAAATCAGGAGTCACCTCGCGCCAATTGTACAGATAGCAGAGGCATGCATCTACCTATTATTTAACGTTTCGTTTGTCAGCTATCTTCTGCGTCTACCAACTATTCGTCATGCTCAAGTGTCTCTACTCTGATTTGCCGAATGCCTTCTCTCGGCTTCCTGGACGGTAGTGTTGTAAAGGCGCTCCATCTCTTCGACCATGTCTTCGTCATCTTTGTGCTTGTACAGAATTGCCTTCTTCATCAGGCTCTCCAAAGTGCCATCCAGGTCTTCCACTTTGACGTATGCTGTTTCGTTTTCTGTCAGCTTCCGTATGATTGAATCAGATATCGAAGATGTTCTTACCTTCGTGTGCTCGATTTAGGCATGTAAAGGCGGCATCAATATGACTTGAGCTCTCCTTTGTATTCGTCTCGGATATCTCCCCTGCAAGTCCAACGTATGAGTCTGTCAGAATCGAGTAGAGCTGTGCGATCGTCGTGGTGTTGCCGCCTTCCAGAACCTGTGGCATGATGGCATCCACCAAGCTTTTGGCCGCACCGAACTCGCCGAGGTCAATGAGAATGACAGATAAAGCGCCCACGGCTTCCCACATTGCGGGCATTATCATAGCTCTCTGCGCCGAAGAGGCTGCCCGCATCGCGATACTGAAGCCCTTTGCCGGCAGACCCGCCTTTGCGAAGAGTCTCGCCTTGAGGATGAGCAATTTGATTCGCCGAACGATATCTATCAACAGTCAGTCTTGTATCCACTCCTGGCTGCGATGCGAGCAATGTCCATACCTGAAGAGTCTGCAGCCTTCGCCTCAGCCACCTGCTTCTCGATGTGGTCGAACGCACTCGACAACTTTCCCTGTCGCATCAGGAGCTCAATCTCGAGTACGTGCGTCTCGAATATGACACCAGCATCTGCCGTTTGCCGTATCGGCTTGAGCTGGCGTAAGAACTCTTCGGCGACGAAGAAGTCGTTGCTAGTATCGGTCAGCGGATAGACTATGACGGAGGCTTAAGTTGGACTTACCGATGAATGGCGCGTCTGAGACTGATCATTGCTGCAAACGCAGTGAACGTGTTGTCAAGACGCAATGTCCTCTCTCTCGAAGGGTCGTTCTGTCTGAGCAGCTCGTATGCCTCCTCATACTGACCCAAAATAGTGTGCATGTGTGCATTCTGCAGCACCACGTTGAGTACATCCGGCCTTGAGGCATCTTTACTAAAGACATGGTACATGACCTCACAGTAGTGTTCTGCAAGAGGCATCTGACCAAGTCTGTTGAAAATTGCTGAGTGAAGTCGAAGCTGACTTGGTATCATGCTGGCGACATTATGTAAGCTGTTGAGGTAGCTTGACTGGTATATCTGTTCCAAGGCCCTGGCAACACTGCCACCACTCTCAACGATAACTTCAGCCTGGCTTAGCAAAGAACTACTGAGAGTAGCCCAGTCTTTGTTCTCGACTGCTTTCTGTTGCAGGAAAGTGATGATATCGCTTTCATTGCCCGCTAGCTCGCTGCCCTCGCCACCGTTTTCAAGACGAGAGAATTCGGGATATGCTTTTCGGAGATGGGCAAGCCAAGAAAGACTGAAGTGCAGACAACGAGCGTCTTGGTTTTCGCGAGCAGTAGCAATACACTCGTTCATGGCCGATATAGCTTCACCATAGCATCCGAAATCTGCATGGAGGACGGCCAGATGGAGCAAGGCATACTGGTGATAGGTCTTGATGTGGTCCGTTCCTTGACTCTCCATGGTGTAGTCGAAGTATCGGTGGAGGAGTTCAATAGCCTTGTTGTATGCACCACTCCTCCAAGCATCGAAGAAACTGTTTCAGGTGAGTGATGTGATATATACGTAGTGATCGGGAAATCTAACGTACTTGATGAAATGCATGTCTGAAGGTTTCGACGCTCCTTGTTCCACCATCGCTCTCAGTTGAGCCTTCATCTCGTCTGACACTCTGCTGCCAAACTTTTGCAGCTGCCCTAGCTGGAAGTGCATCACTTTCTCCACATCATCAAGACTGGACGGTACGGATGGTCGACCTTCTTGCTTGTTCATGCGATCGAGGAGAATGGCCGATACTCCCGGCTGCTCCGCTTGCAGTAAATTGGCAGAGGCTGCATTGGGGAAGTAGCTGGCATAGGGTGATTTCGGGTTTCGCTCGACATAAGTGGTCCTAGTCGGTTCACGAAATACGACCAGATCTTCCCAAAGCTGATAGGCATCACTGAACTGTAGTCGCACTGACTCGAGATGGCATCTTCGAGCGAACTGCCCGATCGGGCTGGTTGGACTGCAAACAAGCTTGACCTTGCCGCCCTCGACATGTTCTTGAAGTTGGGCCGTTACAAGAGTCTGATTTTGGAGGAATGCAGTAAAGGTGACAAAGTCGTGAACAGCCCATAAGTGGTCGACGAAGAGTTGATAGAGAGACCTTCCAGGTATAGCGGATTCGTGAGATTTTAGTAACGCTTCAAACTCCTCAATCGATGGTGGGGTCAATGGTTGCTGATTCGAGGTATTGAGTGGTGATCTGTGTATTGTGTGTTTGGAGATGAACGATAAGAGCGGTATCGTGCTTTTCGAAGGTACATTCCCATCGCGATATAGCTGTATCAACAGAAGTATGCATATCTTTGATGGCGTAAGGAATCGCGACATGGTCGTTCGCGTGTTTGTTTTGAGGCCTCCAGATGGTTGTGGTTGTTTTACTCAAGGAGCAGCTAGACTAGGAAAGTGCATCTAGCATCTCAAAAACTCGACTCGCTCAAACGTTCGTGATTCCACGAGCTAGTGGCTTCCAGAAATAATTATCGTTGTTTGTGGTTTGGAAGGAGCTCCCACAAATCCAGCCGCGGCCTCGTTGATGTTTTCGACGCGACAAAAAGACGGGCTTCCACCTCGAAAGCACAACCAACAAATAAATTATATTGTCAACTACGCAAAATTCAATAACGGAAGACCAAAACGAATCAAAGAGATTTGGCTGCACATGAGATCTAGAAACACCCTGACCGTTCGTCTCAGGGGGAAAGTCGTTAAAGACGACCTCTTACAGCCTCGGACCCGATCAAAAACAATCAACCGAATCGACGAAACCAGAAGGTGAATCTGAAGCTACGAAATGATTTCAACATGTCAAGAAGTCCTGGATGAAAGAGAAGGATGTATCCTAGACGTCTACTCGAGCATACCGCCAGCATAGTCCAACTATCTTGCCGGCAGAATGGAACCCTCGGACCGACTATCATATTGACATCGTTGAATCCGTTCGTCTCGTGTCGCTATGACTGTCCTGTGCTTCCTCGAGCAAGTTGTGACGATTGCTGCAATGCACGAAGTTGGATGGGTAGAAGGCGTGTTCGTCGAAGCTTCGCCAAATTCACAGCCATCATAATCCGAGCTCCCTTGCTCAAGAGGCATGCCAACTGAACATCGTGTCATACGACAGACTAACCAGAAGTTCCTCGAGCTTCAGTAATCTTTATCCTCGCAAGTTGTCGTGAATGGCATTTGCGACAAAGATATATCCCCCATATCTCGCTCTGTTCTTGAGGTAGGTCATCGTGAGAGACTTTCTGAGTCACTACAAATTACCTCACATCTTCTTGCTCGATTTCAGAGAAACCACTTTCCACATTTCCTTGTTCTTCCACCCTCATAGATCTAAATTTTCATATTTTTCATCAAACTACACGGGATTTCGCTTTCATCACCATCGTCAAGAACTTTACAAGACCTTTTTAAGCACCCTCAATTTCTTTGCAGCATAATCATCATCAACCCTTCAAAATCACTCGCCAACATGGATTCTCTGCTAGAAGAACTCGAGAGAATGAGCGTAAATGCCATCGACAGCTTCCTGGACGACGTCAGCGAAGACGATATCAAGCGCTGGCAAACTCTCTTCACCATGGGACATGAAGAAGCAAAAGATAAGATCCAGCGTTACAGAATAGACATCGACCGTCAGAGATTCTCCGACGAGCTATGGCATGACATCCAAGCCTCAAAGGAAGCACAAGGCCACGATCGTGAGAGTTGTGAATATGATCTTTTCTGCCGTTCAAGAGTCAAGTCGACTCCAGCTCCATCGCCTACATCACATTCAAACAACATTCTGCGCGGTTTAATCCTTGGCGGACCTCTGGATACCCCCGAACATATCCAGGATATCGCAGGTCTCGCGAACCCCCCAACCACCACCACAGCCGAATCCTCAGACCCAACCACCTCTTCAACATTCTGCTACATCACCGCCGCAGAAGAACATCTAATCCTCCAAGGCCTCCTCAACCTTAACATTTCCTACGAACCGCACTTCATAACCATAAACATGGCATCAAAAGACCTACAACCCACATCTGCATCCCCCACTTTAGGGATAAAAGAACCCACACTACCACAACATCGCCCCGAAAAATCCACAGATTTGGTGCTGCAAAATCAATATCCGGTATATTATTTCTTCTACGGCACACTCGCTGAGCCGGAGATTCTGGCACGGGTATTGGAGTTGGGGGAGCAGGTGCCTGTGCTGCAGAAGGCGTATGTGAAGGATGGGAAGGTTAAGATGGTGGGGAGATATAAGGCATTGGTGGATAGTGAGGTGGAGGCGCGGTTGGATGGGTGGGCGTTTTTGGTGGAAAGTGAGGAGCAAGAGTTGAAGTTGAGGGTTTATGAGACTAGGATGTATGAGGTTGTTAGGTGTGATGTTTGGCTTGTTGGAGAGGGTGGGGTTGTGAAGGGGTTGACTTTCAGAGCTGCGATGTAGGTGTTCTAAAGGAAGGAATGTGACAGTGTATAGCGATAGGGGGTTTTACGAAGCATGATTGACTACTTTCTCATAAACGGATCCAAGCAAGGTGGATGGATGTAGCAGAGTAGCGACTTTCTCGATTCGATCTCTCTCCCAGGCCTCAACACAGGCCAACTTCTTTCGTATATGATACAAATCTTTCCACAATATTGTTACAAACCAAAAAAAAACACAAAGCTCCCTCCCACCATCCACTAACGCCAAATTCTCCAATGCTTTTTTGTTCTTAAAATATTCCAAAAAACAAGAGTAAAGAGGGTTCGAAGATTTTCGTTTATTTTTACACGCCAGAATCCGTTCCGAGGAATCGCAACACGGCTTCGTACATACCGAACATGATGGCGGCGCTGGGCACGACACGGAGCATATGCGGTACCAAACCGCCGTATAGCGCAACCATACCTTCCTCCTTCCAGACCAGCTTGAAGCATTGTGCTAGACCGGTGTATTTGAGTTGTGGCGTGCCATCCACGGCCGTGGTAACAGGAGCCTGTCGCAGTCGCGTACGGACGACTTCGTGAGGATATGTGATCAAGGCGGCGACGAATTTGGCACTTCCCGCAGCACCGAGTTTGAGCGACCAGGAAATTGCTTCGTCCCAGGATGTGCGCGTGCGACCGGCGAGAGCGATGCGCTCTTCTCTTACTGCAATATAACCCTTCATGCGTTCGTAAAGGACCCATTGTAATGTGCTTTCCGTCACGCCCAGATAACTCGCGCTCAATCCTCTGTACAACCCGCGGATACCTTCCGAGCGTACGGTTTGTAGTGTGCAATCCAAAGCGTTTTTGTATTTTCTGCCATCCAAGCCGCTGCCGGTTTTTTCTGCTCTTGATTTGTCTAGTTGGAGGCGTGTTTTTACTAGCCAGATTGGATTCGTGGCTGTTCCGGTGATCATGCCTGCTTGGGCGGCTGCGAGCAAATGGATCCATGAGGCTTCTTTGCCGTCGTTGAAGTTTTGCGATAGGATTCTCTTTCCGTTTCCGTATGCGAAGAAGTTGATGGCTCGTGCTGGAACGACACCGATGAGATTAGGTCCTAGACCTTTGAAGAGAGCGCGAGGGCCTTCTGCGCGAGGGATGGCGGTCAAGATCTGGAAAGTTTCGCGGATGTGGAGGATTGCGGTTCGTGAGTAGGAGAGTTGCGACAGCGGTGGGATGCCTCTTGCGGCGCGAGAGGCGTTTAGTTGTGATTGGTAAAAGTCTGATTGTAGGCGGGTTTTGAGAACGTCAAGTGGGCAGGTCAGAGTCGCAGCGGTCATGCCACCTAGGCTATGGTGACTGGATCAGCAAGATGGACGAGGCGAGATGGCATGAGTGGACTCACCCTCCAGCAACGAAGTGAGCCCATGACTTTGCGACAGGCGGCGGTGGCCTCAGCTGGGCTCCATCTTGTGCCTTTTCGGGATATGCTTCGCCAGTTTCCCTTGATTGGAGCAGGGGACTCGGGTCGATGGTCGCTTCTCGCGCGGCGGCGACAGACGGGTGGGCCGTCATGAACGAGGGAGAGGTGAGAGGTGTATGGCGACGAACAAGGTTGAGAGACTGCAGGTAGAGTATGGGGATGTGGAAGTGTCGGAGTATTCGTTTCGTGGATGGTGAAGGATCAATGACGGGATTCGAGGTTGCCGTCGACTTTCTCGATGCTCCAGGCCCAAAAAAAAGCAGCCTTCAAAGTTCCGGCTTCAGTTCCTCCGCATCATGCAAGCTCGAGTCATGCATCACCACCAGGGTCTTTGAAGTACGTCAGGAATTGCTGTCATACCATTTTACCCTGCTCTCTTCGTCTTGCACCTTCATACACAACAGTCGCACATTCCACAATGCAATGCACGCGGAGATTGATGGCGCCTGCGGGCTTCTGGAAGCGCAGCCTGCAGGAATTCTCGAGGCTGTCCAACATTGGTCCGTCTTTCCCTACAGTCTCTGCTCTACCGTCAGCATCCTAGCTAACATGCTGCTCACAAACAGCCATCAGAGCCGAAGCAATCAACCGTCCCGAGAAACCTTTTCCACTCGTCACATTCAATGAGGCCGACTCGCTCGAAAACTGCAAAGTCATGTCCGATGAAGACATGGGCGGCTTCTCAAAAGTCAACTTCGATTTCATCCCAGCCAAGGCAGGCCAACCTTCACACGTTCGCTTCCACGGGACAATCTCAAACGAGCTTCCTGCAAACAGGCCCGAGATCCAACGTTCTGGATACGCCGCCTGGCGCACAAGAGATATGGGCCGTACCCTGTTTGGCAAAGGACTCTGGGACCTCGACCCATACAGCTACATTGCTCTCAAAGTCAAGAGTGACGCTCGCAAATACTTCATCAATGTCCAGACCGAATCAATCGTGCCCACCGATCTACACCAGCACCGTCTGTACGCTCAGACGCCCGGCGAATGGGAGACTGTCATTCTTCCCATCAGCGAATTCGTCCGTACGAACCACGGCATGGTTGTCGAGCCTCAGAGCGATATGATGCGCCAGAAGGTTAGAAGTATCGGGATTGGTTTGATTGACCGTGTTCCTGGTCCTTTCGACCTCTGCATTGCTGAGATCTATGCTACCAACAACTCTGGCGGCAAGGAGTTTGTCAAAAAGCCTCCCACCAAAGATGACCATGATCTGATGAGCGATGGTTTGTTGTTCAAGAAGTAGTATATAATTCCCCAATTGGCATGTATGGTGTACGGGCGTTTTGGAGCCATGATTCCATCATCATGCTTTCTGTATATAATTTTATGAGCAATCGCTCGAATTGAGCGCGATCGATTACAAGAACAAGCATTATTCAATTAATGTCCAAGTCGATTCGAAGACATGAGCTAGCAAACTATTCTGTTATCAAAATGGAAGCAAACGAAGCATGTGAAAGGCAAAAGTTCCAGCCCAGAAGCAACTCCTTGCACGCACGCACAGACCTCCAGAACTCTCTCCGCAAATTGATAGACAGCTGGCACCATCGACCAACAGCACGGCGAGTCCCTTTCGTCGCATCCCATACCACATTCCCACAACTCTTACAACAATCGACTTTTGCTCGTCAAATCACAAACACATTCACAACAAGCAATCATGTCGTCGAGCCAAATGCAAGAGATCATGGAGATGCCCCGCGAGTTCATCAAGGATGGCACTCAGTTCATCAACCGCTGCACGTACGTCTCGACCTCTCGTCTTTCTTTCCACCACTTCCTAGCTCTCTCTTGCTTCCTGCCTCTTGCTCAATGATTTGGTTTCACTGACATGCTTCTGCACAGTAAGCCCGACAAGCGCGAATTCCTCAAGATCAGCCAGGCCGTCGGTGTCGGTTTCCTCGTCATGGGCGTTATCGGTTACGTCGTCAAGTTGAGTACGTGTTTGCGACACCTGTTTATCTTGGAGGGAAAGGACATTTAGCTGACGTGGACTCTTGCAGTTCACATCCCCGTCAACAACATTCTCGTCGGTGGCGCATAAAGCGATCGCTTCTTCTCGAACCAACCTCCTTCCTCCTTTTTTTTCGACCTATTCGAGTTCCGATCTATATCCAACAGGGCAGAACAGCAAGAGCGATGTATCGCGAACAGGCAAAGTTTATGGGAGGACGCTTCTGTCGAAAGACCTTTTGCGCCCAAAGAAACAGCTTGATACCTTTATCCGCAACTCCCCTGAAGCCTCGACCGGAGCAGACGGCTCCCTCATTTCCCCTTTTTACTGTACAACTTTTTCTCTATCCACTCAAAAGAGCAAGGGGAATATTTCTGGGCGTTCTTTGCCAGTTATTTTGATACCACAGAAACGCAGATCAAAAACATCTTCAAAAAAACAAGCCTATCTGTCACGAGCAAAACACGAAGAAATACTTCTTCATTGGTGGTGATATGCAGAATTGCTGGCTCAATGAAGGAGTGAAATTCTGTTCTGGAAGCTGACCCTTTGCCGAAACTAATGCCCATCCATATGTACAGATCCGAGAAAAAGAAAGAAGAAGAAGAAGAAGCTAAAAGGAGTGTCCCCAAAGGTAACCCTAAAATACGTGCAATAACCCCACCACCAAAGCGACCAGAAAAGGAACTCCCCCTTATTTCCCCGTGTATGGCAAAGACAACTTGTTCAAAGGCTTCAGACCGAAAGAGTCAAGGTCTTCAGAAGATATCTACTCTTCAGCTTCTTCATCATTTCGAGCCATCTGTGCTCGTGTCACGAAGCGGCTTCGTCTGGTCGAGGTCGCTCGGTTGGCGGCTGCCTCGTAGTATCTGCTGTCTTGCTCGAGTTGGGGGTTCAAGCGTGCTCCCATCTTGGGCTCGGCTTCGTCGGATTCGTTGTCGTCGTTCCAGGTGTGTACTGTGCAGGTTCCTAGACCGTGATCCCATCCATTCCATGAAGTTGCTGTGAATGTTTGTTAGATTTTGGAGCGTTGAGCTAGGAAGATGCAAACTTACCGGCAATGACTGGAGCTGTGGGATGCCAGGCGGCGTCTCGGACGATGGTACTCCATTGGCTGCGTCCTCCGCTGTGCTCCCAACGATCGACATATCGCTCGTCACGCTCAGGTCGTGAGTTCCTGGTTGCTTCCAGCACATCGATCTTGCCCGCCAATGTGGCATCCATGTTCCAGATATACACGGAGCCATCATGACTTCCACTATACACATAACGGCCATCCGTGCTGCCCGGTGGCGAGAAATGACATCTAATGAGCGTCTTGAGAACCTTGTGGCCTCGGAAAGTGACCAGACTGCAATCGTGAGGATGAGACTCATACTCTTCCTCATCGTAAGGTGCGAATCTGTAATCGAAGCCGGTGGTGTATTGTTCAGGGTCGATCTTGTCGAATCGCTCAGTCGACATCATCATGCGCAGATCCCACAGCTTCATTGTCTGGTCTTTGGCATTACTGAGAACGTATCTGCCATCGCCTTTGCTGTCGATGTAGGTAATTCCTTCCGTGTGGCCAACGAATGCGCCAGCTTCACGGCCATCTCCCATTGATCGTCTATCCCAGACCTTCAATGTAGTATCATCTGAGCCAGAGTATAAAATATGTGGTGATGTTTTGTCTCCGTAGCAAACAGCATTGACGTCGTCCCTGTGGCCATGGATTCGCAATATTGACTGTCGTGTTTCAATGTCATATACATAGACGCTTTCGTCCGAGGTACCGGCGACAATCTCGCGACCATCGCCAGAGTATCGTAGCGACCAGATACCAAAGTGACCCCAACCACGTCCAGTTCTTCTAGCCTGACCCATATCCGCAAAGTCCAATATCGTAGGATCCATGGTGTTTTCTGGATCTGTTGGAGAAAGACAGACTGCACTTCTGATGGAACTGTATGCCAGGAATCTATTGTCCGGACTCAAGGTCGCGTCGGTAATAGTCCATTGACCGCCATAATAGTGCGCCGTCTTATAGTACTTCCATTTGTACGGATTCGAAGTATCGTACATGCGGACCTTGAAGTCCTGCGCACACGAGAAGAAGAAGTTGCCGTCCTCGGAGAACTGTCCAGAGTAACAAGGATGGTTGTAGTTGATGATGCTGTCGGCTTGTGTTGAAGGTATCATGTGCTGAGATATGAGTCTGTTGGCATTCTTTTGAGCACCGCAACCGCCCATTCCAAGCTCACGCATCATGTTCCTGTATGCTAGCTTCCTCTTGCGGCCAAACGTTCCTCGCGGACGCTCGGTGGTGCCGAAGTTACCAGACTCCATCAGCTTTTTTCCAGCCTCACTGGGGACCTTGGGGTATCCTGAGCCTTCTCTCTTAGGCCGTCTGGCCCTTCGGCCCATGGCATGCCAGCCAAGGTATGAGTCGTCCTCGTAGTCGTCATCATCATCAGCAGCAAGTGCTCCTCGCTGACCAACAACGTTCGCGAAAAGACCTCTGAGTCCAGTGTTTCCGAGCAGTTGTAGGATCTGCTGTTGTGTGACTACAAGCTATCAGCCGACTTGTACTCCGCAAGAATGTCATATTGCCACTGACGAGCGATGGTTCGTCCCTGAGCCTGTGGCCTTGCTGTCTCTGCTTGTGAAGTCTCGCTTTCCTCTTCATTCTCATTTGAATCCGAAGGTGCATCAGTCGCTGTTTCTCCGTCCTCATCGTCATCGTCGGTCGTTTCGAAGTCTATTGCGATTGGTCCGAGTGATTCGTCGGCGTCTGCTCAAGTCATGTTAGCATTTTGCCACAACTTCCGATTCTTGGGTTGAGTGGATCAAATGCACCATAGTACTCGGTCTCTTCTAGACCATCCGAACCAGCAAAGTAAATTTCATCTCCAGTTGCGTATTCTGTGCCATCTTCATCCTCGAAGTCCATGTCGTCATCGTCTACCCACTCATCTGCTGCTTGTGCATAGTTCGGGCTCGAATGGGAGGCAGAAGATTGCGAGTGGCCAGGAGGTGGGGAACTCATTTTGTCTACGAGAACGTTGGTGAACAAGCGAAGGTATCAAGTGTTCAAGAAACAAAGTAGGTGCTCGAGCATCGAGAGCCTCGGAGTGGAGTACGGGAGCTTATCTGAGCCGGAGATGGAGTTAGTGATTAATCTCCGTTACTGGTAGAAATAGTGCGATGAGGTCGGAGAATGAATGGGCTTGATGGTATCAATGTCTCACGGAGAATGAGAAGGGAAATTGAAACAGGAAGAAACATATTGTGTGCTTTGGAAAAGATGGTCTCCCGGGTCAAACTGAAGAGGAAGGAGCGATTCAGGCTGGCCGACGTCCGGGACTCGAGGACTTCCCAATGGCTGACCACGAACTTTCATAGATTGAATGAAAAAGAACAACACAAAGACTAATTGCTTTGATGGAGAATGTCTTGTGCTCATATGGAAGCTTGTTATATTATCAGCAATACCTGCTGCTACTTCCTTACAGTAATTTCCAGCTTCTCCAGGCCTAATACCGGAATCCTGTCTCTATCGATTGCAAGGTCTCTGACATGGCTATCAGAAGCCACGATGGCTCTGATCGTGAAACCGACTTTCAGCGGACATGTGTCGAGGACACAACATCATCTTGCCTTCCGGCGGCTGTTTTTTTTTTTTTTTTTTTTTTGACCGATCTGCGCTCGAGAGGCTACGACGAACAATCGGTGCCTGTGTGATTTCTACTTTCCTTAGGTCCGTACCCATTCATACAATGTTATATTACCAGACTTTTGTCAACCGTTACTCCGCTTCGAATTTGCAGTCAATCCTCGAACTCATCGTGACCTCTTCTGGCTCGAAGAATAGATCCGCGAATGCCGGATCCGAATCTGACACTGGTCGACGCATATCCATTGCTTTCTCCTGGACCTTCATAACAGCATTAGGATCATGACTGCCCCATTGTGCTTCCTTGACCTCGACCGGCCATACAGCTGTAAGCCCAAGAGCTTTCGCATAGTCCTTTGCTCGTTCAAGGGCATCCTCGGCAGCCATTGCACGCAGCTTACTTTCGTAGGCTTGCCTTGTAGTGCTCGTTAATGCCCATCTGACACTGTGGATCAAGGTGTAGGGTAACGTCGACACTTGACTTGCAAATGTGCCTAGTTTGCTGAAGTCTCTGATCCGAATGTCGAAAGAGACGGAGGTCGAATATACTCTTTGAGCGTTCTTGAGGACAGTGCCGTATTGGTCCGTGGGTAGATGCGATGTCGTCTTTAGAGATGTCATTGACCAGTGCGCGATCGTGGCTGACTCGCGTGCAAGCTGGCTATCATTTGCAGGAGATATTTTGCGAAGTATATCTTCCAGACGTCGGCAGGAGAGTTGGACTTCTGCAGATATGAAAGCGCGGGAGAAACCAGTAGCGGATATTTCGACGTCAAGAAGAGCGCGTTCAGCTCGTTTGGGGATAATCGCAGTGCCGGTCACAGCGATGGTTAGAGGAGCAACCATTATGTGAAGAAATGCTGTTCTGCTGATCGAGATGATGGGGGTTGTAAGGAGACGGAGTAAGAGATTGAATAGGTACAAGCAAGATGAGAAGCTATGGGTAACAACCTCTTTTTGAAGACTTGGACAATTATGACTCGAGTTTTCCTACCTACTTTTTCATCCTCGATCTTTGTTTGTACAGCATCTGTGCACCAGGTGGCTGGGCTTGCATTGATCAAGATTTGAGGTAGAACGAAGTACTGTCACCAGGCAATATCGTCAGGCCTGACCCAGCAATGAGCAAAGCTTATAGGATGCGGCGAATCTGATTAGTAGGGCTTGATTTGATTTGCGATGCCATACAACAGTACGTTAGGCGTCCTGCGTTGAAGAAAAACAGGGATGGTTGTTGAAACGGAGATCGGAAAGGAAGAGCCGAGAAGGACCACGCGTGAAGCTCGTGGCTCGGGCAAATCCGACCAAGACGCTTAGATATCACCCTGTCCCCATTGGTCGCGGACTGGCGATTTACAGCTAGTGATTCCTAACTAAATGTTCCAAGCACTTTAATGTCGACATATGAAGAATAGCAGTAACAAATGCTGGTGGAGATGGACGTGATCGATCACTAGATTCAAGACATAATGATGGTAAAGATAAATGATTATTTACATAGAGATATATACAGAGGGTATCGTGTCAATGACTGGAAACATTGAAGCCACGATGTCGCAAAAGAAGCTGTGCGACAATGGTATAGAGAGAAAATCATGCAATGCAATGCAATGCCAAAAATGTAGAAACAGAAAAGCCATCTGGTAGACTCAAAACATCGCCAACACACTTTAAGCAGAAACCTCGGAAAGAGTGTAGCTGTAAGATCTGGAGACAGTGATGCGGTTGCTGCCTTGGTATTGACCGTAGTTGGTGGCGTACTGAGGAGACCAAGTCTGGTTGTAAAGACCGCAGTGGACCTCGTAAGCAACACCGTTCTTGCTCTGGACCCAGGAGTTGAAGAAGCGGCAAGTCTGGTAAGAACCATCCTTAGCAGGGTGGCCCTTGTTGTAGGCAGTCTGAGAAGTGCAAGCAGTGGCGCAGGCGGTAGGGTCGTACTCCTGGTCCTCGTTGAAGGGGTAGACGCGGACGCCCATGTAGGTGTCGTGGCGGTTGGCATCGAGGGGGGCGTTGATGGCACCACCAAGCTGAGTAGGGCCATCGTAGCCAGGGACAGTGCAAGGTGCGGGGACCTTATTGTATGCATTGCTGCCAGTGATGACGACCTGGAAGTTATCTCTCCATTGGCCGAAGTTCTTGGCCTGGTCGGCAGATACACCAGCACCCCACAGGGTGCACTTGTAGTTGGTGAGAGATGCAGGGTTGGCACAGTTGGAGGCGTTGGGATCGAGAGTGGGATCGCGCTCGCTGTACATGTTGAAGGCCTCGCAACCAGTGGTCTTGTCACAAAGGGAAGCACAGCCGATGGTGTCGTAGGAAGTAAGAGTCCAAAGACCCATGTACTTGTTGGCGTTGAGGGAAGCGTTCAAGGCGGTGAAGGCAGAAGTGTAACCATCGGGAGTGGGAGCGCTTGTTGACAGGGTCTGGAGCTCAGGAATGGCAAAGAAGGCCTCGACAGTGTCGGGAGAAGCAACAGGGCCAGAGCCAGCAGGCTGAGGCTTACAGGTGCCATCGCGGCCGATCAGAGATCTGTGCTCGGCGAGAGCAACACCAGCAAGGGCAGAGAGAACAATGGCGGAACGCATGATGATGTTTGTCGGGGTGTGTTTGGTGGTGGAGAGTAGGAGGTAGTTGGAGAATGGAAAGGCCGGAGGTATTTGATGATAGAGGAGTGACTTACCTCGAGAAGACCAGGTCTTATATACACATCAATCATGACGAGCAATCGTACCTTCGAGTCATGGTGTGGTGATAGTTGATCTGTTTCTTTGGTTCCCCAGGACACTATACTCACTCGTCGACAATCGCCACGCCCAGTGGGTCGAAGCATTTGTACACTGAAATTAGACCTTCGGCCATAATCACGAAGACATAGCATTAAGCTTGGTACGCCGAGGGAAGTTGATAGAAAATGGTACTCATTCCGCGAGGTGGACCCTTCGGAGCGCCGGCTAAAGGTCAACGGCATCGTAGAAGCCCTCGGGGCAAACCATAACCATTGTAGTGGCCTTGAGAGTGAGACAACCTGTCGGCAAGGTCGTGTGCTGTGTACTATTCTCAGATCACGTATACACGTCAATAATTTCATCCAGAGCCGAGAAGATCTTCTCCAGAGATTTGCCGGGAGATCTGCAATGTTCAATGTCCGTTCGGTGATGAGATCCAATCCTCCTTGCTCAATTTGCGCAAGACGGAACCCATTGTAGCAGTCGCAATTAGCAATGTCACCGAGTCAGGTATACCATGGGGAAATTGGCCACATGACATATTGCCGAAGACGAGATGAATGTTTTGGAGTGAGACATTGTCATCGAATATGAAATTCCCGTTTGTCTAGAAACGTCTTTCTCAGAATGTCAACGGTTGTGAATTGAGGATGGTGGATATGAGCAACTCGTGTCGGGATGCCTAAAATATTGGTGAGATACCGGCAAGGTTCGCAATGAAAACATCGGGATAAGACATGAGGCTGTGGCATTACGAATCCCGAGGGCGCTTTTGAACAAGCCAATGTTCGACTCTAGAGCAGGTGCATACAAACGGGCTGAAATACGACAGTCGAAGTGTAGCCGCCGTGGCCTGCTAAGTAAACATCGAAGATTTGAGCAGACCAACCATGGTGTGTCTTTATTATTTGCTCGCATGACCATCATGGGTTGAGGCGACGGCGTGCCAGAGTAACCCAGCTGAAGATCGCTGTCGAGTCCTGTCAAACGATAAAGCAAGAAGATCATCCTTATAGCGTCGTTGTGACTCGGCAAGATACAGGAGAGATATAACAGGGTTAGTAGATGACAGTGTCCTCGTCAGCCTCGACTACAATATCGCCCGTGTCGTCTATGCTGTCTTTTCGATGTCGATCGCCGTCTTCGGCCGCTTGGTCCGGTGATTCTGTTTCCTCGGCCTTGACAAGTGCAGCTTCAGCCGTAGATTCTGGTTTCGATTCAACGGACGGTGTCTGTTCGTGTGCCGGTGCAGGCTCAGACAATCGCTCAGGAGCATGGTTTGTGCCATTTGATGTGTCTTGCGCATGAAGTTTAGAGGCAGCAACGTCTTGGCCCGCTTGTCCGTCAACGTCCTCATTCTGCCAGCTTTGGCGGACTTGGTCGAAATCGTCAAGCTCTTGATCTATTTGGACATCAACGTCCTCACGTTGACGATTGATCTCATCCTCTTGTTCCGGAAGCAACTCCCAAGGCCTGAAGTACAGCTTCGGCTCGGTCGAGGTGGTCAAGAAGTTTGTCATGGCCTTCATATTCTCGTGCTTGATGCGCATGCTCGCTTCATCGACCCTACGTTGCTCTTTCTTCCTCGCGACATTGAGAAGTTCGATTCGTTCGGTTTGTCGCTCGCTCAGCTCTTGCTCTTTCTGACGGCGGCGCTCCTCTTGCTCAGCTCGTCTTTTGGCTGCTGCCGGGTTGGCAGGTCTTGTCTGGCTTAAGCCTCCTAATAACCCTCCAAATAGTCGTTGAGTGCGCTTCTTTTCATCAATGGGCTTCACTGGGCGTCTTTCGCGAGCGGAAGGTGCATGATCGTCCTTCCTCAATCGCTCTGGAGAAGGCGAAAAGCGCTGTCGCTTGGGGGAATCATGGGATGCAGATGACTGGCGACGCTTAGTTCCAGCGCGTGCTTCTGGCGGAGTTGGCGATCGAGCATTTGAGCGATGAGGCGACGAGGGAGTCGCGTCGGGCAAGACAACGGCCGAGGCTACATCTGTTGGCGCTGATTCGGCGTCGTTGGCCATGGTGAGATTGATGTCTGCTTAGCAAGCTTGCGACTCTGTCATGGAGATGACTTGATAATATCCGAGATGAATGATGCAAGGTGGAATGTTGTTCCGACGGCCGAGACTCGAATCGCGACCCTTCGATGAAGCTTGACTGCCAGTGACTGCCCCGCGTTGCACCTGCCGTTCTCGTTGACATCACATTGATGATCGTGCAGAGCATGCTTACACAAGCACCATGGAGCTACGACAGGAGCTCCGTTACTTATATACACATTCCTCTGAACAAGTTACTTGAGAAACTCAATTCTTCTTCAATCAACTTCCACCATATCACATCATAATGGCAAACACAATGTCAGACGTCGCCAACAAGGCAGCTTGGCTCACTGAGGCAAAGGCCAACCCCCTCAAGGTTGACCATGCTCCCATGCCTAAGCCTGGCGCAGATGAGGTCGTTATCAAGAATGCAGCTTTGGTGAGTATTTTACAGGGACTGACTTCTAACTCGAAGCATGCTAACGTGAATTGATCGATAGGCAGTCAACCCAGTCGATTGGAAGATCCAAGACTATGGGCTCTTTATTCAAAACTTCCCAAACGTACTGGGCACTGACGTCGCTGGAGAAATCTACGATGTTGGATCAGATGTCAAGAACTTCAAGAAGGGTGACAGAGTTCTATCGTAAGTCATGCCTTTCTGGACACCGGAGGGATGCACCCAATACTAGCTCCCTTTCCGCTGAGAGGCCCATCTCGTGGCTGTGGAAAGGCACGTCATTGGTGCTGGTGTCTCTATCCTGAGAGGCCACATCAAAGTACTGCTTTCAATGGACAGGCACACCAGATGAAAAATACTGTGCCTTTCTATAGCTAGTCAAGATGACGCCTTGGACGGCTGGAGCTAATCCTTGATGCACTTCCTCCGCCCCTATATCTCCATACACAGTAGCTGACCCATCGTTATAGCCACTGTATCGGTCTCGGCACGGGCAAGCCCCAGAATGCTGGCTTCCAGTTGTTCACAGCATGCCCCGAGATCTTGACATCCAAGATCCCCGAGCAAGTCTCCTACACCGATGCCGTCGTCCTGCCCTTGGCCATCTCCACAGCATCAGCCGGTCTCTACCAAAAGGGCTACCTCGAGCTGCCCTACCCGACTTCCTCCCCCAAGTCATCCGGAAAGGTCATTCTCATCTGGGGTGGTTCCAGCAGTGTCGGCTCAACAGCCATCCAGCTAGCCGTAGCCAGTGGCGTCCAAGTCATCACCACAGCCTCCAAGCACAACCACGACTACTGCTCCAAGCTCGGTGCAAAGGCCGTCATCGACTACAACAGCTCATCAGTCGCCGACGACATCGTCGCCGCAATCAAAGACACCGGTGCCGAGTTCGCCGGCATCTACGACAGCATCTCCCTGCCCGAAACCTTCAAGCACTGTTTCGAAGTCTTGCAAAAGGCCGGAGGCAGCAAGAACATGGCTACCGTCCTACCTCCTCCCGAGGACAAGCCCTCCGATCTTAATGTCCAAGGCGTCTTTGCCATCACCATTGCTAACCAGCACAAGGAGGTCGGTGATGCAGTTTGGCAAAAGTTCGTCCCTGGCGCTATCCATAGCGGAGACTTGAAGTGCTTGCCTGAGCCTTTGGTTGTCGGAAAAGGTCTTGACAGTGTTCAGAAGGGTCTTGACAAGTCAAAGGCTGGTGTCAGTGCTAAGAAGGTGGTCATTGAGCTGTGAGAAGCACTACGTAGGCTTGTTGAGTAATGGATCAGCACAATATGACAAAATGTAACTTTTCAACATGAACAATGTTCCGATGAGTCTACAAAGAACTATCCTGGTCCCATTGGTGACAAACCTTTCAGTGTCCAAACTTGTACACACCCATACGAGAGCATGCTGCATTGCACTGTGACTTTATGGCAAAATGTGCTATGAAACTGTTTTGATACAACAGACAGACGTCTCACGCTGACGACGCACAAGACGTCTTAGTAGCTCTACAGCATGGGATTATCGTTATGGCTGATCAGCAAACTGATACAGTCCTGTAATGTACAAGAGAATGAGTTGGCAAAAGGGGCCAGGGTCACCCAACTCGCAGGTTCAACTTGGCCGCAAAGCAAAATCATGCCAGCCCTTTCACATGCTTCGAATGTCACAGCACCGTATTTTCTCAAGATCTAGCTGTACTCCATTGAACGAGAGATAACGATCAAGTCATGAAAAGCATACAATGGTAGCGTGAATGCTCGAGTCATATGCAAAAGTTCTTTTTATTGCCCGAAAAGCGGATCGTGATATACAAAAGGGAGTGAGCGACGCCTAATTGACAAAGAAGAAACCCCCATTCCCGCTTGCTCGAGAACGCCAGAAAAGCCAAAGACCCAATGATTGTTATTTGACACACACGAAAATCATCACTTCTTCTTCTTCTCTTCTTTTTGTGCAGCCTTTTTCCTTTGGACCGCGTCTTTCAGTGTGGAAAGCCTTTCTTCAGTAACTCTGATGGCATCTTCCACTTGTTTCCCTTCGAGGTTGTGATTGCGAAGTCTGCGTCCCATTTGGTTGACGCCCAGGGCTTTTTGTCTGTCGTTTCTTTCTTGTGCGGCGCCGCCGACGGGGATGCCGTTGCTGAGGCCTACGCGATCTTCAAGCCAGTCCCAGAGTTCACTTTCTTCTCTGCGCCACAGCTCTTCGTATGCTGCCAGTCGTCCGGGAGAATCGATGGCAAAACCAACGCCGGTAGAACGAGGTCGAGATGGGAAGAGCCATGTCCATGCCAGAAGCAGCACCAATATCGTGATGACGATTTGTGCTGAGAACAAAGGTTGCAAGATGCTGACGAAAGGCTCCAATGGTCCGCGAAGAGGCTCGAACAGTCCCCAGTTGGCCTCCTCTGGTACTTTCTTGGGAGCGACGGCAACACTTTCGGCCGGCATACCAGCATCGGTTCTGCGTCTTCCTTTACCCTTGCCGCGAGGTGCACCTCTGACTGTGGCTTTCGCAGCCACACCAGCGGTGAGAGCAGCAACTAAGTCTTTGACGTACTGTGTTTGACCATCATTGGCACCCTTTTCGATAGGACCCTTCAACCAACTCTTGCCAGTCCATTCTACCGTACAGTTGGCAATCAACCTAGTCGAGTTGTTGGGGCCCCACATCATGCAATATCTGGTCTTCGTGGTGAAAATACCACCACTAGGCACATCTGGAGTTGCAGTGCTGCAGTTGACAGAGACACATTTTTCCAAATCGAACGTTTCCATGGTAGCAGTGACGATACATTTGGTCTGTCTCGGTCCAACAGGAGCGTTGAGGGGCTTGATGTAAGAGTAGATGAATGTTCGGTGCGTGTCGTCCATACCACCTTTCTCATTTTCGAAAGACAGCTCGCGTGATTTCTGGTCATCAACCAGCCACTTCTTCATGAACGTGCCCGATGCTGGACCCCACATCAAAGAATAGACCTTGCCCAGTGGAGCCGGTATCGTGGTGTCGGCCAATGGCCTATCGTAGTGACTACCATCATCGCCACATTCGGTGGGAGCATGAGTAGCCGGACCAGGGAAGTCGGCAGAAGCTGTCGCACCGGGAGCAGCCGCTTCTATGACCTCTGCGCCCTTGGTAGGACCGTTGCCAGTTGAAATGCCAGCCGTGACAGGGACGGCAGAAGTCTTGCGGCTTACAGCCTGATCGCCAATTTCACTACCAGCAACACTGCCACCAGGCTCATAGAAGCTGCCCATGTCATCCTGATCTTCATCCTCATCATACACATCATCTTCAGTGGCCTGGTCGGAGCTGTCGTGTTCAGACGCAATCGATTCGGCACGTTCGGTCTTATCGCCAGTGCCAGAATCGTCCAGTGCTACACCATGGAGAGAGCTTTTCAAGTTAGGATGGCTGATCTTCCAGATGCTGATAATGAGGTCGTAAGTAGAATCTCTAGCGACGAGACTGGCGAATACGTTGCGAGCATGCAAAGTCTGGATGACGATGGCGTTAGGAAAAATTACAGCAGTGCTCTTCTTTTCCACTGATACAACTTCGTCAAAACTGATGACCAAATTTGTGACCCAGCCGAGGATATTGCTAGAGAAACAAATGTGACCTTCCGAGACATAGAGCCTTCCGTGCAGCAGAATGTCGCGCTGTAGAGCAGCACTGTAGTCCTCGATCAGGTAGTCATCCTCAGGCACACTTCGAAACAGCTGATGGAAATCCTTGTTGCGCTTGCTGCTGGCAACAGCAAAGCCAGTAGAGCGATGGCCTTGACCAAGTGCGCCAGGAACAAGAGTAGCGCTACTAGCAGAGACGGCAGCAGCAAGTGTTCCGCCGGTAGCGGCCGAGCTGCCACGATGTCTTCGGCGGCCACTGAGCTTGCTCCTGACCGAGCCAGCACGCTTGACACTGTCGAAGGTGCCTGATGTCCTTGGAGGTGTTTGGAAACCAGCATCGGAGCCATCGCCAGAGACCATTGAAAGAGGTCGTCCGCCAGTGGCTTGGCTGATCGTCTTCTCTACCGGCTTCTCGTAGGCAGCCGACACAGCGCGCTGTGCAGCGCTCTCCTCTTGTTTCTGTCCGTTGGTGGTCGATTGCGAGACGTTGGATGATGCATCCTGCAGATCCACGTTGGAAGTCATTGGGCTGACGTCGGAGCTCTCGGTACTGATACCGAGCTGATCTAGACTAAGGTCTCCTCTACCAAGAGTTTCAACGGCCAGTTGACGTTTAACGCCTGGTTCGAGTTCTGGCGAGTTGATTGTTTCAGGGCCAGGAATCACTTCTTCGCCGCCCGCGGCGTCTGTTTGTTCCGACTGCAGAGGCTTGTTTTTCTGGTTTGAAGCGATGGACGTATTCAAGCTAGTACTGAGCTGGTTGGCAGCGTTCTGCGCCGCGTTGAAGACGGAAGAGAAGAAGCCCGAAGACGTGTTTGGAGCGGTGATTGTGCCTCCTGGTGTTTTTGCTTCTTCAATATGCGGCGTCAAGGGAGAAGCGGTGATTGTGCTCGAGAGCTTGCTCGAAGTGAAGGTTCCAGTTCTTTTACGTCTCTGAGCAGCAGCGTTTACGTATGAGGGAGGGGAATTGACGGCGGAGTTGAGTGACTGGGCAGATGCATTTGAGAAGTGGGTTTGAGGCGAGGTGGGAGTAGGAGGCGTCACGAAAGTGGTGGGAGGTTCAACGGTATTGGGAGGTGTGGTAGGCACGGTGGTGATGATTGTGGGCTTTTGAGGCAGCGACTGAGGAGTCGAGGGACGTGGAGAAGACACGGTGGTGTTGATGTTGATTGGCTCAGAGTCGAGATCTGGAAAGGCCTCATGTGCTTCTGTAGGTATTTCTGGCAAGGGCTTCTTCTTGGGCAAGGTGAAAGCGCCTTTGAATCTATCGACGGGCGACTGACGGCGGTCGGCAGTTGCAGGAAGCGATAGAGAGGCAGCGTCTTTCTCGGGAGAAGCGGGGCTAGCCAGAGTATCTGCAAGATGGGGAATGTCTTCAGGCAAGGGGTTGTTTGTAGCGGCGGCGTTGATCAGAGGAGAGGACAGCGTCAAGTAGCCGGCGTGGGACTGGTGAGGGGAGAGGGTTGGTCTGACGGGTCTGCTTGAGACAGGGCAGTCAGCAAATGGAGCCCTTCTTGTAGCCTGACGACAGCAAAGACACAAGCAAAAAAGGCAGTCTTCTCCAGACCGTATCGCGTATCCAGCACGTGTACGGTGTAGTACGGAGAGAGGGGGCCACCAGGGTCCTGCTTGATTGTGATTGCACCGAAGGCTAATGGGCCATGTTGTTGCGATCGGCGTTACGACGACACTCGACGCTCGGACACTTGGCGCATAGCCCTCGCCTTGAATAGAATCACGGATGGGGATTGAATGACAAGGAGGAACTTACGCTTGATCGTCCGAGTCTTCGGTGAGCAGACTGCTATGTCCACTGCCGTGGTTTCCCAAAGAGAGCTCGCTGGGGTTGGGCGAGGTACCCCGCTGGCGGTCTGGGATCAGGTCGCTGGATGCCGAGAGAAGGTCGCTGTCTTGGGTGCTGCTCTTCCGACGCGACTTCTTGGACGACGGCAAGAGGCCACGCAGGCCTTTGGACGAGTCGTCACTGTTGCGGCGAAGGTCTTGCGATTTGCGAGCTCTGCGTTCCTTGACTTTGGCGAAGACGTTGTCAATGGACGGCTTGAGGCCTGAGACATGGTCGTCCATGGGTCCGCTTCCTATTGAGCTGGTCGAATCATTGCGGTCAGTGTCCTTGCGACCTCTCCGGAGCTTCAGCGACAGGTTGCGACGAGGGGCATCGGCAGTAGAAGCCATGGCTTGTCGGGGTCAAACTTTATCGTCTTGACGTTCTTTGGTCCAGCATGCCGGCGCCAAGTGTGAGTCCTAGTAGAGATTGAGCTGGCGAATACGGAAAGTCCAAAACGAGATGGAAAGGCGTAAGTTGTTCGGTGGAAGTCTCTCGGAGTCTAGGTGAAACAGGTGGAGATGTCAAGGTGGAATAGGTAGCCTGCCCGGCAGTCAATATATTGCAGTACCATCTAGCATGCATCTGGCCGTCCCGCTGCTCCAAGCCTCCAAACAGGTTGCGGGGAACAAAGTGTTTCCATGACGTACCCGCAATCACATGCGTGCTGTTGGTGTTTCTATTTTGCCTATCGATATCTAGATTCTCGAAATGCACTTTAGTCTTTAACGCCATCTATGCTGCAGATCAGGCACCATGGAAGAGGCGCCTTTGACTCTGGTGAGCCTCATGCCCTTTTGCTGCCGCATACCACTATTGACACTAAGCAGGCACACTCGCATGCGCGCAAAGCAGCCGCCGAAACATCAAAGTCGCGCCTCGCTGTAGCTGCCACCGAACACCACTCCGCCGCAGAACAATATGCAAAAGCTCAGCATTCAACTTCAGATCCTGAAGCCTTGCGCATGCTGAAGTTGTTGGAAGAACATCACCGTCAGCTAGCAGATATCATCCGCTCCAAACACACCATCGCAAAGGCCATACAAGACTCCCAAGATGCAGACATCCCATCGCCGGACCCTTCTACACCCATCGCCTCACCTCCCGTAACCCCTTCCTCTGCCCATGCACCACCTGTTGCACGCATACACCCATCTCGTCGCGAGTCTTCACCCGCCCTCGCAAAAGACATGGCCACTCTTCGTGGCATCCCACGACAGTCTTCCTCCCTCAATCCACGCAAACCTCAATCTTCGTCCACATCAGCTGCAGTCTCCACACCACCGCTTGAACATCGTGCCCCTCCGCCATCCGTCCTCGCCGAAAGACCTGCCCAAGCAAAGGAACAAGACGATGGCTTTTCTCGATTCTACTCCAACTGGACCACTGGCCCTCTGTCACGCCTCTCTTCAATGCTCGCCTTCACCGCCTTACCCCTGACCGACACCCCTGAACCTGATTTACCTACTTCTTCACGCCAAAAGACAAGCGCTCGAGCCTCGAACGATCCGGATGTCAAATCCCTCATATCGCCAGCTGCTTTGAACGCCTTACAACAACATGGTCACATTGGTCCAGGCGAGAGTTTCTACGTCATTCCCACTAGTGGTGGAACTGCTTCGTACGCAAACATCGTCACACGAGAACAGCGCTACGCTCGCCGTCAAGGTCTCTCGAACATCAACGAAGACGATCCCACCGAATTTGTTGACGCCCAGGAGACTCAACCTACCAGACAGCCCAACCGTGGCTTAATATCTGTTCGTGAAGAAGAGTTGCAACTCGAGAATGACACACTCAAGAAAGCTCTCGATCATGTGAGCCACCGCTTGCAGGCATTTGAATCACATGCTCAGGATGCTTCCATGGCTGCTTTGACTCAAAGTATGGCCAGCGTACGAACAACACATTCGAAACAGTCCGAGGATGAGCTCCAGGCTGCCATCAAAGAGATCAAGAGGCTCGAACATGACAATGCCAAGTTCAAGGCATACTACGCAAAGCTGAAAGACAGTGCGAAGGCGAGGAGAGCTGAGCCCAGAGGTTGAGAGCTCCTCCCGTGTCCACATGCGATTTCCTTCAATACTTTTCACGTTCCACTTTACAAGATACCCCCCTTACGATAGAAATGAAATCACTTTTTGAATACACTTTGGAAATGTACTGTGGTGAATCTAGAGTAAGACCAAATGCACCTGCATCGAAGGTTAATCTCGGCCTTTCGAAAGCTGATCAGTCACCAGAAAAGTCATAAAGAGGCATGACAACATTAATTTAGCGTAATCATTCGGAGAGATGATGAAAAGCGAAAGAGAAATGGAAATCACAATTAGGGGTATCAACACCTACCAACGCCCACACGCATGCCTTCCCTCTGAAATCAGCTCAAACCTCACACCTTCCCATCCTCCTCAGCTCTATCATCCCCCCTTTGCTTATTCCTACCTCTCCTAACCATCTCGGCCATACTCACAGGAGGCTTCCTCCTCTCTTCTCTGGTGCGATAAGGCAACAATCTCGACTCCCTCAACTCCCTCTCCAAACACGTGCCCAGCCTCTCCAAAATCCACTCCGTCTCACTCTTATACCCCATCAATGGTGATTCCCTACTCAACCAACTCCATCGATAATCCACATGTTTGCGGTTCCACTGTTCTCTTGTCTCTGGCAATCGTAATTCTTCAGGAATCACATCGTCGGAATCCGAGTCTGGATTAGTGGAAGGTTCGTTGGTGGAAGTGGCAGTGGTGCTGGACATGAGTTTCAAAAAATACTCCCATTCACCCCACTCGTACCGTTTTGGAGGTGAGGAGTTTAGGTCTTTCATCATACGTTGGGTCTCGCGTGCGAGAATGAAATGGTAGAAGTGGATGTCGCGTTCGAGGGTATCGCCTGCTTGTTCTGCTTGAAGGGCTTCTTGCAGTTCTTCGGCTTCTAGGTGTTTAGCCATGCGGTCGGCTATGCGGTCCATCATTGTTGTTTCGTGGTCTGTATCGTTGTCTGTACTGTCGGCTTTTGGGCCGCGTGTTTGGGTAACGCCGCCGGGATTTAAGGTCGAGAGGTCGTGGGAGCCGAGGTGGCCCATGGGGAGGGATTTTAGGGCTGCTTTGAAGGCGGTGCGGATGCCTTGTTCGTCCGGCAAGACGGTCAAGGAGCCGATCCAGACTGTTATGTTGGAGAAGAGTTGGACGACTGTGTCGCCCATGTCGCTGATTAGGATTGTGAGGGTTGGTACTGCCAGCAAAGACCACAGGATGAAGAAGGCTTTGCTAGAGTTCGACAACGGGGTGAAGTCTCCGTAGCCAATCTAGATGAACCGTCAGCAAGTCTCGTTCCCGTTTTCGAAAGTTCTCTTGATTGACGTACCGTAAGCAGACAGGTATAGGTAAAGTACATCGTCTGGAAATAAGTCCAGCCTTGAGCTTTCTCCGCAACATGGAAAATGGCAGCTCCCACAAGCCAGAGCGTAAAAGCCGCTGTTGTAGAAACAGCAAGTGCAATCCACTTGCGATCCCTCTCAGCACAGTACTGCACTCTTCTCATCGCTCTGAACTCTTGCTCTCTCTTTTGTGCAGCATCCGTGTAGCTTTCGACAAACTTCATGGTTTGGAAGCGGCTGACTCTTATGCGCTGTCTTCCATCGCCAACACTATTGACAGCTCGAAGCCGTTTCTTCTCCATCATGCGTGCCGAGATCTTCTTTTGTCCTCGCTCCAAGACCAAGGTTCGGATCGAGCCAACGACCAGACCGAGGATGACAATGCCACCAATGGCGAAAGGGATGAACAGCGAACGGCCCATGTGAGTGCTCGGTCTGTATTGTCTTTTGTCAGCTTTGACTTTACATGTCTTGTACCGAGTGCAACGTACGAGTAGTCCCCAAGGCCAACGGTAAGCAGCGTTACATCTGCCCAGTATACGGCATCCAGATACTCCCACTTCTCAACATGGCTGAAAACCAAGGCACCGAGTAGTAGGTAGGTGAAGAAACTCATTGTCTGCAGCATCAGTGTTCTTTGTGCGGCTGTGAGATTGAAGTGTCTTGCATAGTGTCCCTTGTATGCGCCCCAGACGGTCAAGCACATGAGCGAAGCAATGGTGAGATAGATTGCAGCAGCCATGATGGCGTAGTAGAAAGCCGAGGTCAAAGCATGATGGGCGGCAGATGCAGCAGGGGAGTCAGCCGGCAGTTGATATGTGCTTGATACACTCAGAGCAATGAGATCAGCAATCAGGAGTCCAGAGGAGACGGTAAAGCCAACTATCGTGATAGGTTGCGCTATCGAGAATCGTAGATGATGGGCCATGTTGAGTAGCAACGATCCGTTTGCAATGAGAGCGAGAGCAAGAGAGATAGCATTTATAGCAAGTAACCTAGATATTCCTTGTCAGATAGGTTCCCTTCATTAGAAGCAGTTTTGTAAAGCACCATTGTGGGTCATCGATGGTCGTGCCGTTGTTGACGGTACCCCCAGGCGGTATGTAAACTCTCCAACTCGAAGACAAGGCACATATGGAAAACGCGGAGGCCATAGGGCCGAAGGTTCCTGCGATCAGAGGACATGCTGTTGACTCGAACCAATAACGACTGTCATGGTCAGTCAGTCCAAGAGGAAAACGTGCTCGTCGGAGAATAGACAAGTTTACTTTGGATTCGTATAGTCGCGTTCCTCTCCAAGATCCCCTGAATCCCTGCGTTTCGGGTGCTTCTTTTCCTTCTCGGAAAATTCAGGTTCAATGTCCTGCGCTACCTGCTTGATAGGCTCATCGATGGCGTCGCTCATTGTTCTGTAGGATCAAAAGTGTATTGATTGGTTGTCTCTGCAGACATACCCCGAAAGTGCTTCTCTATGCTCATAATATATCAAAGCTGAAATGCAGGGACTAAAATAGGTTCTCTAGGGGATGAGTTGGAAGACGGCTCGAAGTGTGATCGAAGATAAGCCACCTTCGTAGTGTTGTCAAGCTTCTGCCAAGGCACGCACGTGGTCATAGCGTGATGATCAGCTAATTAGCGTCCAAGAAACCATGGAGAAGTTTGGTGCTGACGAGGCCTATGAAGGGCTGTTGGTAAGAGTAAGGCCCTTCTGATAATTAGTCTTTGGTATAATCAAGGTTACGTTTTCAACAATAGCATTGGTGTCGGAAGAAGCGGCAAGGGAACAAAAGAAACTTGCTCTGCAAGTAGCTGCTTGATCGTGCAGTGTTCTAAGCATTTCCTTCAGAGCCCTACAAGCCAGAACATGGCGGCCAGCAAAAAAAACAAGGGTGCCATGCTACTGACAGAAAGTCTGTACTGCAATTGAGATCAGCATTCTCAAATGGAAGATGTAGGAAGTAGTCAGCTTTTGAGATGCATCTCATGAAGGCTACGTGATGCGAACAACTCACAGCTTGGGCGGCACGTGCCCTCGCTTATCTCGGGCCGTCCCTTCACGCTAGCTGAAGGCAAAATTGAGAGCACTTCTGTGGTCAACTGAGTCAACTCTGTTCTCAGGCTCCGATCTTAACTCTCTGAAGAGTTGAGTGGGAGGGTCTCTCTCCTTTCACCATATCTGGACAGGCTCTCTGTTGTACACCATGTCTTGCGGTGCATACCAATGTCCAATACCAGGCGAATACCCAAATTCACCACAAGGTCTCGGACCTTGAAGAAGATATCAGACATGTTATCATCCAGAAAACTCATGACCGTACCAGATACAGGCATACTACTGACAGCTCCTTGAAGGCTCAAAAGAGTGTTGATTGGCACCTCGGCGTGCACACTATCAGCACATGCGCCCGCCCACCGAGGAAGGCCACTCGAACTAGCTGCAGAAAGGCAGCAACGCATCGAGATATCAATAGGGCAACAGACTTGAGCTCTCAGTACACCTCGTCGATTTTCAGAGCCTGCATGAATTTACAAACAAAGGATTCCTGACATCCGCTGCCGGATGCTCGATACGAAATGACCATGCGCTTATGTCTTCTCACAGCTAAGCAGACGACAAATACCGAGCTCTTCGAGATGAGCGAGGGTTTTGCCGCCAGAGCGCCCTTGTGTTTGCAGTCGCGCTTTTGGTGCGCTCTGATGCACCAGAAGCGATGCACTGATGTCCTACAGGTCCGAGACTGGAAGGAAACAACCCATGGTTGGCCGAGGGCTCATGTAAAGGCCCCGATCGTGGTCCGTGGACAAGACATTCAGGCGAGAACCGACAAGATCAGGTAGGCGTGTCCTTTTGATTCTCCGTTTTTCCTTGCTCTTCCCTATGGCCTTCCTGGTCGGTCCTCTATCGGTTTCATCTCTTCTTTGAGGGCATGAGGATCTGCTTTGGAATTTCTGGTATCATTGACATCAGGAAGAACGGACATCTCGACACTGACACAGGTCAATATTTGCATTGCATGTCTTGCCTGCAATCAAAGACGAGTTCAACTTACCTGCTCATCCCTCAGAGTGAAAGAGATTATCACCCGGAGCTTTGGAAAGAAACGGGGTAACGAGGTTGATTGCTTGTCAAACGCGGAACTCCATCGCTCCTTTGGGAAACTGCCGGTCGCTCAAGCGCGCTCCTCCTCAAAGCGAAGCAAACCCACAACTCTCACATCTATAAAGCGTTGCATCCATCATCCAATTCGCGCATCCCTCCTTCCCAACACGGTCATCATCACAACTTGAAGACAGAACCAAAGTGTAAGCTCTTCTAACTCTTCCAACTTCTCTTGTCTTGTCCTCCTCCCACCTTCGGCGCCCATCACTGACACGCCTTCTCTCTATAGTTTGACTGATACCGGGTTGCTTCCGACTCGTTCTCACATCAAAAACTCGCTTCCCGTTCTTGTAAGTCTTTCGCTCTTGCAACACTTTCATATTCGCACCATCACCTCTTCTCTACACTTGCTTCCTCTCCTTCCACTATCCGAACTTGAGGTTCATAGCCTTTTTCCTTCTTCACAATCATCACCAGATTGGGTCGTTACCAGTCTCTCCGGCGATTTAGTCTCGCAGCACTGCTAGGTATTCACCTACTCACTTTAACGCCTCAATTCACCTGTCTGCCCTAACCATTATCACCTTTATCTACTATCACTCTCCAACCTCACTCTCTTCTACTACCTTCCTTCATCAACAACTTCCATCAACAACTTCCATCATCTTCTTCCTCTTACACATCTACTTTAACCCTGACGCAAGCCTATCTCATCGACCATCAAGCCCTTTTGCTAACCACTTCACGATCTCAGATCTCCCAACTATCAGACAAGATGTCTGAATCCGGTTTCCAGGACGCTCCTGCTGAGGAGTTTGGCCAGATTCCTGCCAACCCTGCCAGTGCACCCAACCCCGAGGATGCTCTCGCCGCCCGCGAGCACGGCTGGGGTGAGGACGAGAAGCTTGACTACGATGCTTTCAATGCCCCTACTTCAGACTCTAACCCCGCTTGGGCCAGCTCCGCTCAGGTTTACGAGTGGTCTGGTGAGGAGGGAGATGTCGGTGCTCCCGACCCTGAGCTCGAGGAACAGCTTTTCCGCAACGGTCAGAGCAAGGCCGGTACATCCCTTGACCACATCTTGAACTTCTCGGCTACCCTTGAGGGACCCAAGCAATTCGCACCTATTGGCAGTGTCAGTTTTCTTTGTCAATCTCAACTGACGTTGTGCTAACTCTTTTGCAGTTTGATACCGCCGGTCTTCACCCTCAAGTTCTCGCCAACGTCCAGCTCTGCAACTACGACCGCATCACTGTCATCCAAGGTTACTGCATTCCCATCATCCTTGCTGGCCACGATCTTGTCGCTGTCGCCCAGACTGGCTCTGGCAAGACTGCCGCTTATCTGATCCCTATCATCTCCAAGTTGATGGGCAAGGTCCGCAAGCTGCAAGGCCCTCGTCCCGCCATGAAGGGAGCTCGCGTCCGCGCCGAGCCTCTTGTTGTCATCGTGGTTCCTACCCGTGAGCTTGCTCAACAGATCTTTGACGAGGCCCGCCGTCTTTGTTACCGTTCCATGTTGCGCCCTGTGTGCGCCTACGGTGGTATCCCCATGAGCAGCAATCTTCAAGAGCTCGCCAAGGGCTGCGACCTTCTCATCGGTACTCCTGGTCGTCTCCAGGATCTGATGGACAAGCCTGACATCCTGAGCATGAAGCGTGTCAAGTTCACAGTCATCGACGAGGCCGATGAGATGCTTCAGGGTGACTGGGAAGACGAGATGAACAAGATCATGGGTGGTGGCGGTAAGTTTCAATTTCCTCCTTTTGTTTTTTCCACTCGCTAATTGATTGATAGACATGAACGAGGACCCCGATCACGCCTACCTCATGTTCTCGGCCACCTTCCCCAAGGAGTCTCGCGCCATCGCTCGCACCTACATGGACGCCGACTTCATGCGTGTCCGCATCGGTCGCGCCGGCTCTACTCACAAGAACGTCACCCAGGACGTTGTGTTCGCTGAGCGCCATTCGAAGAAGCAGGCTCTCTACGACCTCTTGATGGCTAGACCTCCCTGCCGCACTCTCGTCTTCTGCAACAGCAAGCCTGGTGTGGAGGAAGTCGACGATTACCTCTACAACCGTCAACTCCCCACCGTCTTCATGCACGGCGGCCGTTCCCAGCTTGAGCGTGAGGACGCTATGCGTCGTTTCAAGGGAGAGAAGCCCCACATCCTCATCGCCACCAACATCTTTGGCCGCGGTATCGATGTTCCTCAGGTCAACCACGTCATCAACTACGACTTGCCCGGCACGGAGTATGGCGGCATCTCTGAGTACATCCACCGCATCGGACGTACTGGTCGTATCGGCCACAAGGGTCACGCTACTTCGTTCTACAACGAGCGCAACGAGGACATCGCCCCGGCTCTTGTCAACATCCTTCTCGAGACCGAGCAGGAGGTCCCTGACTTCCTCCAGGACTTCAAGCCCGAGAACGGTCAGGCTGAGTTCGAGGACGATGTGACTGACAACGAGGAGGAGGCCTCCGAGCCTGGCTACGTTACCGCTGCTGGTGAGGCCGAGGCTCCCGCTGAGGCTGCTACTGGCGGTGGCTGGGGCACTGATGCTTCCACCCCTGCCGTCGCCGCCGACGCTGGTTGGGGCGCTGCCACTGAGCCTGTTACCGCCTCTTGGTAAACACTCCACTGACGCACCAGAAGTCACTTCTGCTGATGTCTCTGTCTCTATTCGCGGAGGAATGGATGAAGAAACGATGGATCAAGCTGGAAGGACACTCGGGACAAGTTTGAGGCTCTGCCTCGTTCGCATGTCTTCGTGGACTTCTTACTAGCTACATAAACAAATGGAACATGCACTTACCATTTACTAAAGTCTTTCCTGCTGTATTTTTCTCTCTCGGTTGTCCTAAGGACAAGCCGATTACCCGTGAACATCCCTTGGAATCTACCACTAACACCTGATCATCTAACAAGACAGCTTCTCAATCTTCCCTGGCTTTGAGTCTTTTTTTCTGCATATCTACATATTGACTGGAATAGGTAGGCAACTTACAAGCCAACAGTATCGTTCTATTCATGACGTGTTCTCTATCATCGTAGCTTCTGGGTATCTCTTTTCCTGAGGACGCTCCAAAGTCACCTTGTTTGACTTCTCCCAAGAGCTTCAGTCCTCCATATTAGCAACGGCAGTCATCAACTACTGTCAGGTGATAACCATCAAGCAGACCACAAAAGACTCTGCATCACTCTGTTCAAGCCATTGCCTAGAATTAGGACCTTGAAGAGTCATAGAAGTCATCTCGACGAACGACATCACCTTGCCCATGGAATTGGAAGCATGGGAAACATAGATTAAACATTATTGGGACTGAACGTTTCTTCAAAGTGTTGATTAAATATTACAAATTATACTAGTATGGACATAATCTTTCTGGTTGTGTGCGGGCGTTATAATACATCATGACCCCAAAGCAAAGACCCTCCAAACGCAATCGCTAAAAACGCATGAATGAATGAAAAGGCAAAGTTTTGATTTTGTAATCACATCCTGATGACCATGTCAGGGATACCAGGTCTGCCGACACGGTCGACGCCAATGTGCTGCTTGCCGTCTCGACCATAGTATTTGCCATAGCCGTAGTGGGGAAGACCTGAACCGCCTGAGTTATTGACCGGGGTCGTGGCATCTGCTCTGGCACGTCCGAGGCCGCGGATCGAGTCGGCAATGGAAACTTTGCTGCCTGTGACACCACCTTCGGGTCCAGTGTTCTGGTGAATGCTGATTCGCTCGCCGACTGGTGCTGATAGAAGACGTGTAACCAGGGCGGTCTTTGTTGCGGGTGCCTGGAATGCTGCATCATTGAGCAGACGGCTTTGATGCAGCAGAGAGATGTTGTCGGCGAGAGTGATGCCGCGATTAGGCAGTGCACGCTTGTGGCCTGCAAATACGAGAGTGTATGCCAAAGCGTAGAGGACGACGAAGACAGTCAGAGGGTAAAAGGCCGACATTTGAGCGCTCACGCGAATACGTTGCTCGGCGACGTAGAACTGATTCCAGAAGACGCCACCAGCGAGGACTGGAAGAAGTGCGGCAAGGATTGTCACGATGCTGATCATGGCGACACGAACATGACCATTGACGGCGGCCTTGAGAGTGACCACGAAGGGAGCGTCCGCAGGATATGATAGCAGCAGACTCTTCTCTGCAAGACAGCCTCCAGCCGAAGACATTGACGCGTAAGGCTGGAGACGACGGAAGGCAAGATCGATGGGCTGCCAGACGAGAAGACACAAAAGTCCAAGCAAAGCTGGTACGAATGAGTACAAGAAATTTGACGAAGAGAAACCAAGTCTGTTGACTGTCTCAGGCAGGTCGGGCAAGAAGCCAGCACTGACGGCGGTCGCAGGAAGGTAGGATACTACCAAAAATGCGAGAAGCAGAAGAAGAGCGATGACAAGCCAAATAAAGGCGAAGCCGGTACGCAAGAACCAAGGGAGATAGTTATCAGTGTTGTCGGGCTGCAAGACAAGGTCGGTTGTATTGTGTGTGCCAGTCGAGCCATAACTGTAGGGTCGCTCGTTGATGTTGGAGTAGCCAGTAGGCTGGGCGGCGAACTTCTCGTTGAGAATGCTCTCGTCTGCACTGTAGGGCCTTGCGGGTCTGTTCGGTGCTCCCAGTGTATGGAAAACGTCATTGGGGTTGTATGCCGTGTTGAAGTAGCCCAGCCTATCTTGTCTCTCGGCGCTATGGCCCCAAAGTTCGTATTTGTTAACGTCCACGCCGATGTCAGCGAAGTGGTCGAGAATGTTGCTGCGCTCGGTGATAACGATCAAATCAGCGAGGGTGCGAGAATCCCACTTGAGTCCAGTTCGTCTGCTATGGAGGAATAGCAAGAGAACGACAGAAGCGACTAGCAAGAGGATATACAGTACAATTGCAGTCCAGATGGTGCCTTGTGTGGCAAGCCAAACCCAACGACCAGGAGTACCACGATAGTAGACATTGAATGAAGAGGCCAGCAGAGGGATGGTGAACAGGGTCAACCAGGAGGTGATCAGGAATGCACCAATTGCACGCTGACCTGCTCTCAAGTGGACCAAGGAAGGCAAGATAAACCCAGACGGGTACATGGGCAAGGTAGTTCCATGACCGCGAATCGAAGTGGTCTTAGAAGCAAGTGCAATGAAGGGCGCAATTCTGTAAACGGCTTTCTCAATCTCGAAGAGCCAAAGCAGTAATACCATGCCCAAAAGGGTAGGTAGGTATTGGAATACGAAGTACGTGCCGTCTCCGAAGGTTCCGTAGTTGCATAGTCCAGTGCGTACGCGAGACCAGATTGCTGTGAAGACGAGAGCGATCAAGTAGAGGGTCAAAAGAGCAATGAAGATGCCAAAACGTAATGGGCGGAGGATAGGTGGTAGAGCGTTTAAAGGAGCATAGAAAGAATCCGTTGAAGGCTCAAATGGCGTGAGCAGACTGACTGTTTGCTGCAGAGGATGCGGGGCTGGTATGGCGCTGCTTTTACGTCTTGGGCTTCGTGGAGGTATCGGGATGGGAGAGATGTCGTCGTAAGGATCATCAGGTATCGGGGGATATTCTTGGTTCAAGGGTATCGGGCCTTCATCGTAGCCGTGTCCGAACTCGGGACCAAGCCATGGCTTGCCTTCTGCAATATCTTCATCTCTTGTGATTTGATCGATGGCGAAGCGGACGTAAGGTGTGTCTGCTTCAGGTGTTGGCGGATCGGATTGACGAGCAATTTGCATGGAAGCTGAACTCAAGGCAGCTTGCGGGATACGGATGGGCTCTAAACGAGGTGGGCTTTCGAAGACTGTGCTGGGTACTGGCTTTCTCTTGATGGGTGATCCCCTTCTTGGTGGAATCGGTGGTACAGATACCTCGGTGGGACCCAGATCACGCCTCCTTACACCAACACCCCTCATGGGTCTTGATGCGGGCTTTGATACCTGGCGAATGAGGACTGGGCGAGCGATGCCTTCATAACTTTGACGCGATGTCTCATCGGGAGAAGCAGGACTTTCTATTCTGCGAATCGAGCGAGAATGCGTTCGTGGTAATGGGTATGGTCGTGATTGTGAGGCTCTGCTGTCTGAACGATTGGATGATCTAGAAGACAGAGAATAGTAGTCTTCTGATGCTGTGAATGAGCGTTCTGAATATGTCCGTTCCAAACGTGGTTGCGAAACTGGTTCATACGTTAGATTGGTCCTATCGAAATGGCTGCATCGCACCTACCATTCGTGTGCTTGAGATGAAGGGACTCCAAAGAACGACTCATTGCTGCGAACGATTAAAACGACAAAAACTGCCGTGAACGATAAAACAAAAACGTGCAAGAAGCTTCAATCCGTAACGGGTGGAGCAATCAACTTCTTTTTCTTCATTCTCATGGTGATGATTGATTTGACATGTGGCCGGCATTTCTACCAAGAGGAGGCTGGGATTTTGAGCGAAGCCCACTTCTCCCAACCACGCAGTAACACGGTCTTCACGTCCCCACCTACCTCAATTGGATGATTCACATAGCCGCCCGACTCAAACGCCATACTTGGGCTTTTTCTAGTGCGGCTTCCCAGCCATCTTCGACCAACTGGTTGTTGATGGACATGTCATGAGTTGACCAGCTGAAGTAGGAGTCGATCACAGGTCCTTGGCAGCCAGTGCGCCAGCGGCCATCCGTTCACCGTTCGCGTTTCGCGGGGCATGGCCAACCTTCTACGGTCCTGTTTGCATCTCTCTGTTTGGCATCGAAGAATCTTGATTCAGATGTTTCTGAGCAGTTGTTCGTTAGACCAGCGTAGATGTGTTGGTGCCAGGTGATCGATAGGTAGTTAAATCGGCACACCTTCCCACGCTGGTCCGAGGCGATGATCACAGTTGATGTCATTGAAGATGGTCAAAAACACCTTGCTGGCAAGAGCTCGATGCTCGACCAGATCTCGGATTTTTCATGCTTTGTACTGTCAGAAGATTATATGCTATCTCAAGTAAATCAACAAAGATGACCATTGACTCTGCTGTTGCTCAATTGCTATCTCTGGATCCCAAAGAGACGACAGTTTCTGGCTCCGGAGGATCCAGCTTCTCTTCCACGTCTAAGATCACGACCAAACTCGGCGATGGCACCGAGAAGCAATTCTTCATGAAGACGGGCTCTGGAAAAGAAGCCTCGGTCATGTTTGAAGGTAAGAGGCTTTCGACTACTCGTTCGAATGGCTAGCACTAAAAAAGAAGTCAGGCGAGCACGCATCGCTTAGTGCAATTCACAATGCCGTTCCTACGCTTTGCCCACAGTCCTATGGCCATGGCACACTTGCCGATTCGCCTTCAAAGCATTTCCTAGTCACCGACTTTCTAGATCTCTCGGGTCGTCGAGGCTCGAGCACTTCTTCCTCGGCGCCCTCGCTGGCTGCTAAGCTAGCGAAACTGCATAGCACCCCGGCGCCTCCACCACCTGGAGAGTCTAGCCCAAAGTTTGGCTTCCCAGCCACTACATGTTGCGGCGAAACCCCTCAAGATAACAGCTTCAAGAGCAGCTGGGCTGAGTTCTATGCTGAGAACCGACTCATGTTCATTTTGAAGCGCAGCGAGAAGACCAATGGGCCTGATGAGGACTTGCGTTCTATGATTGAGAAGACATGCAAGAAGGTTGTGCCACGTCTAATCGGTGATGACCATCTCAACGGTGGTAAGGGTGTTACCCCTGTCATAGTGCACGGCGATCTGTGGTCAGGCAACGCGAGCGCGGGAAAGCTGCCTGGTATGGAAGCTCCTGAAGACATTGTCTTCGACTCCAGTGCTTGCTATGCTCACAGCGAGTTCGAGCTCGGGATCATGAAGATGTTTGGAGGATTTGGCGGAAGCTTCTTGGAAGAGTACCATGAGCTGCTGCCAAAGACTGAGCCTGCCGAGGAGTACACAGACAGAGTCGCTCTCTACGAACTATATCACCATCTGAACCACCACGCCATGTTCGGTGGAGGTTACAAAAGTGGTGCTATGAGCATCATGAGGAATCTGATATCGAGATACGGCGATTAAAACTGGGTTGTGACGATAGGGGTGCCGGATAACAAGCTGCCTTGTGAAGAAAATGGTATGCAATGATTAGATGATGATTTTGTAGCCGTACAGTTGATGTACTTTTTATTTACAATCCCTCAACGGCTCGTGAGGTGATGACACCCGTTCTCTAGACTCCAGGCAAATGCTCCCAGCGCAAGTTGATATCTGATACCGCCCAGCCCAGATCAGGACACCCAAACGCCAAACCCTAGGTATGATGGAAAAGGAAGAAAACACCACATCTATGCGTTCAGGGGCTTGAAATCGCCAGCATCCTCAGCCATGGCAAGCTGGTTCTTCTTGGCGCGCTTCTTGATGACGTTTTCAATGAAGGCCTCGCCGGCCTTGTAGGAACTGCGTACCAGGGGTCCACTGGCGCAGTAAAGGAAGCCCATGTCGAGGGCGCGTTGTCTCCAGAGTTCGAACTTTTCGGGGGAAACGTATTCTTCGACCTTCATGTGGCGCTTGGTAGGGCGCATGTATTGGCCGAATGTGACAACGTCGACGTCGATCTTGCGAAGCTCTGTACAAAAACAAGTTAGCCAAGTATTCGCGAATTTCTTCTAGAACGATATGTCCTTACCCTTGAGAGTGTGCCACAGCTGATCCTCGGTCTCGCCGAGTCCCAGCATCAAACTTGTCTTTGTGATCAGGCCCTCCTTGGCCTCCTTTGCAGCCTTGAGAACTTCGAGCGATTGACGGAACTTGGCGCGGGGATCGCGGACGAAGGGTGTCAAGTCTTCAACAGTCTCCATGTTGTGGGCATACACGTCCAGACCGCTCTGAGCGACCACCTTGACCATCTCCAAGTCGCCAGCATAATCACCAGTCAAAGCCTCAACGAGCATGGTAGGAGCCTTCTGCTTGATCTTGATAATCGTGCTGGCGAAGTGGTGTGCACCACCATCTGCGAGATCGTCACGGTCGACAGATGTCAAGACAACGTATCCAAGGCCCCATCTTGACAGGGCTTCGGCGGTGTTTTCTGGTTCGTGGATATCGAGCGGCGGAGGCTTTCGGCTGGTCTTGACGGAACAGAAGCGGCATCCACGGGTGCATGTGTCTCCCATAAGCATGATAGTCGCAGTAGCAGCAGACTTGTCACTGCCGCCCCAGCAGTCGGAAATGTTGGGGCAACGAGCTTCCTCGCAAACGGTGTGTAGGTTCAGACCACGCAGGTCATTCTTGATCTTCTTGAAGTTGTCGCCGACAGGAACGGGAGTCTTGAGCCATTCGGGCAGTCGTGTGTGAGGTTTCTTCTTGCCGGCAGGTCCAACCATAACAGTCTTCAATTCCAAAGCCTCCTCGGGGCTCAGAGGCTCCTCTTTTCCGGAAACAAAGTCGCCGAATGCAGGGCCACTATTCAAGCGATCGGAGAATTTGGTGGCTCGTCGGGGTGTTGAGTTCGTTGTGTTCGGTGATGTGGGAGTGATATCTGATGCTGCCGTAGCGAGGCATCGTCTGTGCAAGCGGGGCGCATGTGTGGTTGACGAGAGGATTCGTCGAGATGCTGGTCGGAGAGAAGCCATGGTGGATATTGGTGTATGCAAGGTGTGTGACGAAGAGAGAGTCTTAGGAGCGGCGACAATCTCTCATCAATTGTTTGACTCGGCCCTAGAAATTCCCGCTACGGCGCCGCCACTCTTCCTCCGCAAGAGGCGCAACAGCTTTGTTACTAACGTCTTTGTCTCCAACTGTTCCGCATCTACCCGCAGACCCTTGATCGGGCCGTGGGTAAAGACACCCTTGTCGTTCGCAGCAGATTCCCATGAGCATGGAAGCATGCAACGACATCTTACCAATGCCTACTGGTTGATTGGTACCTGAAATTTGTATCTCACTATCAACACCGCGAGGAGAAATCAAGACTTCTGATGCTGATCAACAATTCTCACTGAGCTATGCTGTCATCTGATTCAAGTAGCTGAAGGGGGGTCTCGTCAGTCATCGTGCATCTCAACAACATCCTTCCGACTCTCCATCCATCAAATTCGCTTTGACACTCATCACCAGATATGAGCACTCATACGCTGACCACGTTTCGATATGATGCCGCCTTGAGCAATTTCGTGAAAAAGACTACCCAGCGAGCGCTTGGCCTGAACGAGATCAAGATCAGAGTAACTCATTCAGGGATTTGCTACACTGATGTTCACGCAAAAGACAAGACCTGTGGCTTAGGCCATGAAGGAGTCGGTCTCGTCACTGACGTTGGAGACGCTGTCAAGTCTGTGAAGCCCGGTGACCGTGTCGGATGGGGGTAAGTGACACCTAGACATATGCAACTCTTTCTGCTCCTTCGTATGTCGCAGCTTGGTCTGACAATATTTGTAGCTGGCTACGTAGTGTAAGTGACCGTCTGGATTAATTGTAGCAGTGGAAACTAAAAGTATCAGTCTTGTGGAACTTGCGATGTCTGTGTGGAAGGATACCGCCAGTATTGTAGTCAAGCAGCTGGATTTGCCTTCTGTGATCATGAGCAAGGTAATCACCTGAAGCCACTCGTTACTTCCTCAATCTGACTTGGCGATCCAGGTGCTTTTGCTGATTTTCATATCATCGACGCCGATTTCGCCTACCAGATCCCTGCTGAGATCCAGTCCCACCACGCTGGTGTGTTCATGTGTGCCGGAGCTTCCACCTACGAAGCACTGGATGCAGCCGGCACAAAGCCGCATCATCGAGTTGGCGTTGTCGGTCTGGGAGGCCTTGGACACATGGCTGTACTCTTCGCCAAAGCGATGGGCTGTGCTGTCACTGTCTTCTCCGGCTCAACCGGCTTCGGATCACAGAGCAAGGCAAAAGATGCTTTTGCATTGGGTGCCGACGAGTTGCGATCTCTTAGCGACATCAACACGCCCAACTTCCCCAACAGCTTCGGAGATCCTCCAAGAGATAGGAGTTCCAAGGCACTTATAGATGTCCTCCTCATCTGTGCCAATGAAACTCCCGATCTGGAGAAGATGCTGCCCTTTTTGGCACGAAGAGCCACCATCGTTCTTATGTCGATCCAACAAAAGCCGCTAGTCATCCCTTACATGCCTTTCATCCTTCCTGGCCACAGAATCATTGCTTCAACAGAAGCTTCACGGCGAAATCATTTTGCGATGATTCAATTTGCAGCTCGACACCAGATATCGCCATGGGTAGAAAGATATCCCATGACTGCAGATGGCCTTAAGATGGCCTTTGAGAGACTCGAGAAGGGTGAGATGCGATTCAGAGGAGTACTTGAAGTACCTGCAGCAGGAATCTAGAAGTTTTGCACTGGCGCGTTTTAGTCAAGATGTATGTCTGAAGCGTCTATGTACAGCGGCGAGATATTGTTACGCCAAAGGTAGATGGTAGAAACAAGCAAACATCTCTACCTTTCGTCTCATCACCCTACTCTCTCAAGTCCACGTGCCATTAGCAGGACCGAAGAAGCCGCTTGCCGGCAGCGGCAGATTTGACACGCCTACTGCATCGAGTGTGTTTGCAAACACAGTCGTGCCCCACCAATCCGGCATGGAGTAGCCAGGGTAGCTGACTGCGAAGAAGATGACGATTCCAGCGACGGCTGTTCCTGTATCGACAGCAGCGGCAAGAACATACTGCATTCGGTCAGCTCACAAACTCGAGGATACTTCGCAAAACAACTTACATTGTACTTCGTCCACCAGGCAAAGAAATTCTGCTTGATATAGCCGTTGAAGACCCAGTTGACCAAAGCCCACGAGGTGTAGTTAATACCTGTGAACCAATTAGTTTTTTCCTCTCTCCTCTCACACACACACAAAATCTACAACTCACCAGTAGCAGGCGGCACATTATAAGTTCCCACAAAGAACAGTGGCCAATTGATATCCTTGAAAATCTTCTTTCCAGTCCTCTTGTACAGATACCAAGTAATCACTGGTGTGATCGCACCGATCCAGAAAAAGTGCAGCAAAGAAGAGTAGCGCCTGCCTACGCTATACAACCGATCTGGACCGATCAATCCCCAAATCACAGACGAGCTGAACACCGTTCTGCCATTGGGACAGGTGAAGGAGGAGGCTTGGTCGGAACTGCAGATGTTGTCGATGTTGCCGAGCATCCAGAGGGTAACGCCAGTCTGAGTGAGGGCTCCGAGGATGGCGGCGAAGCCTTGGGCGAAGAAGACGGTGCGTGGTGCTAGTTTTAAATAATGTCCGAGCTTCATATCCTGAACAAAGAAGATTCCTTGATTTACAACGGCGGTTGACAGGATCTATGCATTAGGTCAGCAAATGAAGATGACTTTTAGATTGGCTTGCAGTGTTTACCTTAAAGATCATGTTGGCCAAAGGTTTACCAGCGAACATGTAACCGCCGATGAATTCGGACAAGACGTTGATCTGGTTCGCATCGACGTTCGAGATACCCTGAATCAAGGCACATGGGATGAAATAGATGGCAGGGATAACCAGAGCGAGGGCAACGCCGTATATAGGTAGATCGGTATGGTAGATCTCAACCATGACGCATGAGAGAGCTGTGAATATTACCAGGACGATGAGGTACCAGTACCAGGGTGTCGGCTTATATGCCTTCATAAGACGCCCATGGATATCGAGTTTTCTGGTTCCACGGAGAGCCGTCCAGATCTCGGTTCCGTGCCAGAGATAGGTGTGGGTCAGTACAGCAGTGATAGAAGCAAAAGACAAGCCGTAGACGAATGCGAAAGTTGCGCTCAGGAACGGAGGTGAGTACGCCCGGTAGGCCTCGGGATCTAGACTTTTGGTGAGAGGGTTGATGATCTTCGTAACATTGTAGCTGGCTCCAGTGTTGTCGTACACATCGGCGGTCATCAGTGGAAGGTAACCCGTGAACCATTTGTTGGTGTAAAAGAGACCAGGCGTAACAATCAAGAAGAAGAACACGAATCCAGCCAGGACATTGAGTGCAGCACTAAGTGGACTCAAAAGAGGGTTGGTGTTGTAGGCAATCTGAGACCAGTCAAAAGTAATCGGAAACGCCCCTGTGTTTTTCAAAATTAGTTCCATCAAACATCTTTCTCATGGTTTAAACGAAACATACCCAATCCGGTTTGCATACCGAAGATCTGGTTGACCACAGCATTGTTTGGTGCAATCCAGCAGATCCATGTGAAGTAGCTGAGAGCTGGGAAGATAAGACCAGGGAACCAATACCAGACGAATGCACAAAGAAGAGCAACAAAGAAGAACATGAGTCGAGATATTCTCCACCCGTTCGCGACTGCGTTCGATTTGGAGTGCAGAGTGGACAGCAGAGCACAGTTTCCTAGGATACCAGGCCAGATGATTGAAGCGGGTTCGACTACCCAACGAGATCCAAGACCTGCAACACCAAATCCAAGGAGTTGAGTGCACATGACCATCAATACGGCCAGTCCAGCAGAGAGATCAAAGTCGTAGAATTTCTTAGCAGCCTGAATCATGTTTGAAGCGTCAGATCCTGAAGCGAATCCAATTGTGACGTTGGACATGATAGTGATGAGTGCATGCTCCTTAATATTCTGCAGACGAGTCAGCACTGTGCAACCAAAGCGTTGCATGGTGGCCACTAACGAAATGACGATCCGGGTTGATGTTCCACTTTCCAAGAGGTCCAAGATCTAGAGTATAAATAGGCAAGATATGTGCGAGACCGACTCCCATGGGGAAGGCAAGAAGCTCTGCGACGAGCGAGACAATGTGCACTGCAGGATAGCGTAGGGAGAAGAACTGGTTGACACCAGAGCCGAGCATTGTCCAGATAATTCCAACAATCCACATGCGAAGAGTATTCAATGGCATGCTAGGATCATCCGTTTCAGGTACGACAGCACGAACTACCAAGCGACGTAAGTGGTTTGACCTCGTACATAAAATCTACGGTCAACATACCTTCGGGGTACGGTGAAGTATCGGCATCAACATCTTTGACCTCGCCGTCATGTAATACCTTGTCAACATCCACTTCAATCTCTTGGAGATGTCCATGTTCGATGTCTGTGGCATCAACCGTGACGCCAGCTTCAGCACCTTTCCTGTCGAGTTCATCTGCAGATTTTTGAGGATTCAGCGTGTTCAATTGTACTGAGTCTGTGTCTCGCCGAGAGATCGGAAAAGGTCGCCTGATTCTATTCATCTTGCCTGGTGTAGAGAAGCTGTAAAATGGAGCGAAGGCCTACCATTGTCATGGCAGGCTCTTATTACTTATTCTTCAGGCAGTGTGTCCATCAAATGCCGTTTGCATCATTGGTTCCGCGGCAATGACTGCTGTTCTTATCACGATGTAGTACGTAGTTGCGTAGCATTCTTCCCTGCCACAATGTAGACATGATAGATAGGTTGATAAGACATGCAAAGGATGCGCTAAGCCTTATCAACGTGCCATTTTGGGTTAGTATATGCAGTTCGCCTAAAAACAAGCTGCGGCCAAGTGAAGGGCAAGCATGTTCGGCGAATAGGTGGCCGGAAGATTATATGCTTGTATTCTGTTTATTTGGAGTAATTGACAATGGAATGGATAAGAACGGTCCTCGGGTTGGTGTTGAGTGGTCATGCGGGGTATTGCGTGGTCAGGGTTGCCTACAGACTTGTTCGTCGGAAGGGGACCGCTGGATTTGTTTTTGAGACAATCACCATGGCTTTCGGGACAAGACATCGGAGGAGCATGCTTTGAGAAACAAACAATATCAACGCTCGCTACAGAACTCTGAGTGTAGCAATTGTGACATTGTGATGAATTAGACTTTATAGCGATAGAATCAGAAAAAGCCTGGCTTCGGCAGCTTTAGCGTGACGAGAGGATCAATGCCGGGATGTAGAAGGCTGTCAGACGTCTGGGGATGTGACTGACGGGTGAATTGGGTAGTCGCCCAATCCATGATGCTGCGATCCAAGACAATCGGATCCGCATCTTCGTCATCGTCTGGATAGCCATAGGTTGATAATGAGTCGTCACCAATACTTGGTAGAGGTAGAGTGTAAGCAGGACCGTTGCGTGAGCTCGTTCTTTCCAATCTGTCGTTCGCTGGTCTACCTTGGCCATCCTTCGATGTGGCACTTTGGGGTGTGATTTCTTGTGTCGGCTCTGTGGGCTTTTCTGATTCTTGCCTCGTAGCTCGGGTCCGCTTCGCGGGTTTTGCTACAGCTGGTCGAGATGCCAAACCAGCTTGTGCATACTTTTCTGGAAACCTCGTCCTTAGCCGGTCGCGAAGATCTGTTGGGGTTCTGCCATGTTCTTTGAACGCCTCATCTTTGGAGATGTTCACCCATGATGGACCTTGTTCACGGAAGCCCTTGAGCAGTGCTTCATCCTCTTCGTCAGTAAAGTTGCGTCTTGGTCGACGCTGTGCCTTCCAGAGAGTTTGGTCAGCGGTGCTGGTTTGTTGGCGCTGAGCATCGACCTCCTGTGCGGGCTCTGATCTCTTCACCTTCTTGGGCTTTTCGGTAGTCGTGACTTCTTCTGTAGAGTTTCTCTTCTTCCTGGTCTTCCTCGCGCCTCCATAGGCATCCGGACGGCATACTCTAAATCTGGGATAACATGAGCCCAGCATCAATATAGAAGGCTTAGGTACTTGGATACCTGTCTTTGAGATCCACAGCCGTCCTCTTATGAAACTTGTAGTCCGAGCAAAGCAATATTTTCTTCCAATTACCGATGCCGAACCTAGATACTCCTGATAAAAGATCGTCGGTCTCCTGACCTGTCCACACATTGCGCCGTGAGCGTTTGTCCGGAGTCCCTTGGGCTATCTCGATAGACGCCATTGGTTCCTTCTGAGCCACAGTCGAAGTTGTGTCCCCACCGGGATTTGGGGTCGGGACAGCTTTACTGCTCCGTGAAGTAGAGAGAAAAACTTGTGATTCCTCTGTACTGATAGAGGGTAGAATTCCAGCATCTGGCGGGGGCTGATGAAGACCTTGCAAGACTGGAGGCACACGATGTCGCTTTGCATGTCGCTTGGTTGGCAGCTTTGGCAATGTGAAGAGAGCTTGGTCGCCATCTCGTCTATGGGACGCATGCTCTCTTGATCGGAGAGATGTTTCGTCATCATTGAGTACAGCAGCAATCGAAGAGCCAGAAGATTGGTGGTGTGAATGTCTTGCAAGTCTTGTAGCATCCGGTGCGAGGTCATTGCGCTGGCGTAACCGATTGCCCAGCAAGAAAGGATTCAGCTGCTCGTTAGTTGTCCTGTCAAGTTCGCGAGCACTTCCATCGAATATGCCATGGCTCAAATCACTGGGTTCAACTGGGTTCGGTCTGTTTATATATTCCAAAGATCCAGGCTGAGGTAAGAGCCTGGACGCGTTTCCTGGAAATGATGATTCGAACGACATTGCTGCTAATAGAGCAACATGACAAGTGTTCAGGACACCCTCATGGCATTGGATATGAGAGTCTTACGCGAGTGTCGCGCGTTGAGGTTTGGAATCGAAAAACGAGTGCGACGAAGGTGACAAGGAAGGTTGTTGCGAAGGCCGAGCCAAGAATTTGCCTTTTCGAAACCGGTCGTGACTGGGATGACCCTGTGGATAATTTGCAACAAGAGTTTCAGTGTTCTCACTGTCTGTATAGAGTCTATCTTTCCATCTTTGAACCATACACGAATCATAGTCCTCCTATGAATACATTTGCCATTGGAACGGTCACATCGACTAAGCTGCCTCATTGGCGTGGTTTAATGAAGGTTCCCGCCGAAGTGGCCTCAGACTTCATCACGGATCGCGTTCACTTAGGCAAGGTTCGGTGATCACGTAACAAATGGAGTGCATTTTGCATATGGTTCTGTCGCATTGGACGCAACAAAGTAGGCAAGGTGCTATTATTTACATATTTACCATTGACCTGACTGGCGCACTCTACGAGCAGTGCGAGATGAGGGTTTCTTGATGACCATCCAGAGCATAACAGATGTAGCAGCTGCCAAAGAGTACCTGGTACTTGTTAGGAATTACGGGAGATGGTAGGTGAGAGAAAAGATGAACTGACCATGTGAAAATGTACTGTGTGTGGTTGTTTCGAAGGTTGACTTCGGCCGGTCTCCCGATAGGCACACCCTTTGCTTCTCTATCGTAATGCTCAACAAGGTCAGGCTTCATAGTCTCCTCGATCCACACAGGCTGGCTGCCGGTCAAGTCGGCCATCTGCTGGACATCAGGGAAATAAAAGGCTCCCTCTTGGGGCTTGTTCTCTGGAGTGAACATGTTCTTCTTCCATGGTTCTCTCAGCAAACCCTGTACGGTAACTTCGCCTTGTGGCAAGCCTTCGGGCCTAGCACGCTTGTTTGCCTTGTCTTTAGGAATCCATCCTCGGCAGACCAGGACTTTTGTGTTGCCAGGATAACCTTCAAAGTCTCGCTCAAGCGGAGTTACGACCATATAACCATCGTTGCCATCGAGTAGTCGCGGACCAATGAGCATCTCCTGGTCATGGCGGAACTTGCCGGTGGCGTAGACTCTTCTGTAATCAAAGTCCTTGATAGCAGCGGGGTCTATACTGGGTGGTAGCGGCAAAGGATCGCGGACGAGGCGATCTTCGAAACGGGCAATAAGTTCAGTCTTCCAGCCAAGTCGAGCGACCTGCCATGAGCCCAGGGCAAAGGCGGTGATGGGAATGATAGCCAGAACTAGCAGGCCCCAGCCATGTTTTCTACCGCCAACGCGAACAAGCTGAGGCTGGACATCGACAATCGAGGTGAAGGAAGGGTCATCGGCGGGCTGGTTGGCATATGATCTTCTTTGTAGAACAGGACGAGACTGTTGACATTGGCGGCAGATCCAAGGCCTTGTTTGTGATTGTATGCGAGGGCGGGAGGCAAGTGAGGCCAATTGGCGCAAGATGGGTGACGGTCGAGGCGGCATTGTGTGAGTGACAGCTCTTGAATCCTTGAATGCGCCTGCCTCGACAAGCCGAACATGGAGAGCTCGACGCTAGTGACACGCGCCAAGCCGACTGCTCGTCCATGTACAATCTTGTTATACAACTTTCATCGTCTCTCTTTACATGATATTGTGCTGTTTCTCGAGACTTCAGACGAGGAGAGCACCCCAAGTGAATTCATCTATTTCGAGAGTGCCGGTAGTTTCCATCTCAAGCTCTTTCCGTCCCAAGTCTTCTGCGCAACACGACATCGCGAACAACGCGTAAAGCACCCCATCGCAACTTCGACTTCCACTTCGCCGCCGCTGTTTACCACCGACTTCGATCATCGCCTTGTCCCATCCTCGCAACCACATTACATCTCCGCCTACTCAGCCTACCTGCCGTGACAGCGCGCTGCAAAAATGGCCGACGAGGTGTCGATCGACAAGGCCACCTTCCACAACCGCCTCTCGGCCTTCATCTCACAGTGGAAACAGGACAAGCGCAATGGCGACACTCTCTTCGCCGGCGCCTCATCCATCGCCATTGTCATGGGCAAGTCGGATGAGTCTCAGGGCTTCACAAAGACCAGCGCCATGCAGTTCTGGCTGCTAGGCTACGAGTTCCCCTCGACCGTCTTTGTCATTACCCAGGACTCTATGCACATCGTCACCACGAAGAAGAAGGGTATCTACATTCAGCTCACATTGCCAGCGATTGTGCGCTTTGCTGACTCCTCACAGCTGCCTACCTCGAGCCCCTCAAGGACGGCAAGACCCCCGTTGAAATCCTCGTTAGAGGCAAGGATGCTGCAGAGAACGCAAAGCAATTCGAACGCTGCCTCGAAGTCATCAAGAACGCTGGCGTACGTCTCCCACACGAGCTTCTACGCGATAGCCGCTAACCCAGCCAACAGAAGAAGGTCGGTGTTGTTTCCAAGGACCCCTCGAACGGCCCCTTCATCAAGGAGTGGAAAGACCAGTTCGAGGCCATCGCCAAGGACGTGGAAGAGGTCGACATTACACCTGCTATCTCGGGCGCTCTTAGCATCAAGGACGAGAAGGAATTGCGCGCCATTCGTGATGCCTCGCGCGCATCTAGTGGTATCATGGCCAACTACTTCGTCGACCAAATGTCTGGTATTCTGGATGAGGAGAAAAAGATGAGCCACAAGGCTCTATCACAGAAGGTTTCCGACAAGATCGAGGATGACAAGTTCTTCCAGAAGTTGAAGGTCTCAAGCGGCTTCGACCCCGCTCAGCTTGACTGGTCTATCTCACCCGTCGTACAGAGCGGCGGCAAGTACGATCTCAAGCTCTCAGCCGAGGCCGACGACAGCAACTTGCACGCCGGCGTCATTCTGTCTACCCTTGGACTGCGCTACCTCAGCTACTGTTCAATCATCTCGAGAACCTACTTGGTCGACCCCAACAAGTCTCAGGAGAGTGCCTACAAGCTGCTGCTTACTGTCCATGACAGCATTCTCAAGAACATGAAGGAGGGCATGGTTGCAAAGGATGTCTACGCCAAGGCAATCGCCCTTATCAAGTCAAAGAAGCCTGAGCTCGAGAAGAATTTTGTCAAGTCCGTTGGCTACGGAATCGGTATCGAGACACGCGATAGCTCGTTCCCCATGAACGGCAAGAACAACCAGACTCTGCGCGATGGAATGACCTTCAGCATCACCACTGGCTTCCACGACATCGAGAACCCCAACCCCCAGGACAACAAGAGCAAGACATACTCGCTATTGCTCACCGACACCGTTCGCGTAGGTAGCACAGAAGGTCTGGTCTTCACCAAGGATGCCCCTTCGGATCTTGAGTCGACTTCGTTCTTCTTCAAGGACGACGAAGATGAGCCAGAAAAGGCAAAGCCCAAGCCGAAGAAGGATTCCCGTGTGGGCGCCGTCGCCAAAGGAAACATTACAAGCACCAGACTACGCAGCGAACGCAGTACGCAGCCTAATGAGGAGAAGGAAGCTCAGCGAAAGGATCACCAGAGAGAACTCCACTCCAAAAAGCAACAACAAGGTCTGGACAAGTACGGCGAAGGTACTGGCAACTTGAACGGCACCGAGGTGAAGAAGTTCAAGCGTTTCGAGTCGTACAAGCGTGACAACCAATTCCCTTCTAGGGTCAAGGATCTCATTGTCTTGGTCGACGTCAAGAATGCTAGCATCATTCTGCCTATAATGGGACGTGCCGTCCCATTCCACATCAACACCATCAAGAACGTCAGTCAGACTGAGGAGAACGCATTTTCTTTCTTGCGTATCAACTTCCTCTCACCTGGTCAGGGTGTTGGAAGAAAGGATGATCAGCCTTTCGAAGACCCCCTCGCCCACTTCCTTCGCAGCTTGACATTCAGATCAAAGGACACCGACAGAATGAACACCATCGTTGCGCAGATCACCGACATGAAGAAGGACGCAGTCCGTAAGGAGCAGGAGAAGAAGGATCTTGAGGACGTTGTTGAGCAGGACAAGCTCGTCGAAATAAGAAACCGCCGACCTCAACGTCTCGACAACATCTTCATGCGTCCTTCATTGGAGAGTAAGCGTATTGGCGGTTCCGTCGAGATTCACCAGAACGGTCTGCGTTATGCTCATATGGGTGGTGTCAAGGTCGATGTTCTGTTCAGCAACATCAAGCACCTCTTCTTCCAGCCCTCTCAGCATGAACTCATTGTCATCATTCACTGTCACTTGCACAATCCTATCATGATTGGCAAGAGAAAGACGAAGGATATTCAGTTCTACCGCGAAGCCACAGAGATGCAATTCGACGAGACGGGTAACCGTAAGCGCAAGCATCGCTATGGAGACGAGGAAGAGTTCGAGGCGGAACAGGAGGAGCGCAGACGTCGTGTTCAGCTCGACAAGGAGTTCAGATCTTTCGCGGAGAAGATTGCAGACGCTGGCAAGGGCGACAACCTGCAAGTCGACATGCCTTACCGCGATCTTGGTTTCAACGGTGTACCTGCTCGCTCAAGCGTCTACATTCAGCCCACCACCGAGTGTCTGATCCAGATCACCGAGCCTCCGTTCACAGTCATCACACTTAACGACATCGAAATTGTGCATTTGGAGCGTGTCCAGTTCGGCCTGAAGAACTTTGACATGGTTATTGTCTTCCAGGACTTCCAACGCCCTCCTGTGCACATCAACACTATTCCTGTTGAATCCCTCGACAGTGTCAAGGACTGGTTGGACTCGATCGACACACCCTACTCGGAAGGTCCCCTCAACTTGAACTGGGGCACCATCATGAAGACTGTCACTGCCGACCCTCACGAGTTCTTTGCTGGTGGTGGTTGGTCCTTCCTTGCCGCCGAGTCAGATGACGAGGGAGAAAGCGAGGAAGAGGAGAGTGCATTCGAAGTCAGCGAAGAAGATCTCGCTAGCGATGAGAGCAGCGAGGACGAGTCTGACTTCGACGACGACGCTAGTGCCGACGCCAGTGAAGAGGAGATGAGTGAGGACGAGAGCGGTGAAGATTGGGACGAGATGGAAGAAAAGGCCAAGAAGCGTGACCGCGAAAGTGGCCTCGACGAAGAAGAAAGACGTCCCGCTCCCAAGGGTGGCAAGCCCAAGAAGCGATAGACGTTTTAATGCTTTGAAGGGGTAAAAATCTTTACGGGCCCAAGACGGGGAGGATGTCTTTTCTTGTTGCTTTCGAAGGAGTTTCGGGCGTGCAAAGGATGAGAGGGAGGAGCTTCACGATTGACACCGACGAACCTTTGGGGATTAAATATATTCAGCCAGTCGAAAGAAAACTTTGTTCATTTTAACAACTCCTGTGCTGTACCTCCTTGATTCAATGTTGGTGAACATGCTCGTGAGAAATGTTATAGTAAATGGCAGAAGCTACAAAAAAGAGAATCCATATTATGAGAAACCAACCTCCAACCGGGTATAGTATATCCAGACATGCCCATCCCATCCCAACCGAAAACGCCTCATCCATCATGACAACATATATATATAAACTCCCAAAGATCATAAGCACATATGCTTTCATCTCTTCACCCCATATCATCCCATCTATACTGCTCATCTAAAACTTTTCCATCAAGTTTTTTCTGACAGTCCACATGCGAGCACGCTTGCCATAAATATACATGGGTATCGTGAAGAGCAAACAACCCAATTGAATGCCGCCGAGCGCGAGGAAGACAGGCTTAGCACCATCGCTTTCCAACCAGCGGTTGAAGAAGAGGGAAAACACCAGACCGTGGAAAACGTCTGGTTTGATCTGCGTTAGCACGATTGCGCCGATGGAAGAAAACAAGGCGAGATTGATAGGAAAAAGGCAGAACTTACTCTTTGAGAAATTCAAGGTTACCAGCGCTTCTCCGGCGTATTGGCGATAACTGTCCACGGCAAAGGTGATGGCGGTGGTGCTTCCCACGCAGCAGCCAAAGCTGATGATGCCGAAGAATACGGTAGGGACAATCCAGGCATCGTGTTCGGAAACACTCCATCCATATCCCATAAGCCCGATAACGGTACTGATGGTAACAGGAATGGCCATGATGAGACGGAACTCAGGTTCATAGACACCGTCATTTTTTCTGCTCATCCAGCGGACGATTACATCGGAGAAGCGGCCGGCGACAGCGGTGCCTAGAATGCCGCCGATGAAGGGGGAAATGTAGACGAGACCGACTTGAAGGGAGGTGAAGTGATACGTTTCACGGTTCTCGTAGATGACCGAGACGGATTCGGAGAGGACAATCAGCCAACCGACTGAAAGTGCGTAGACGAGCGAGGACCAGAGGATGGCAGGGTAGGCAAAGAGAATGAAGGGGCGGAGGGCAACTTTACCCCAGGAGTCTTGAGAAAGACGACCGGCGTAGGGTTTCAAGGTCTCGACGAAGGATTTGGGAGGTGCGGCGCGGTAGAAAGATGTATAGATTAGTCCAGGGTTGCTCGCGTCGATTGAGTGGCCAGGAGAGGGAGGGATGCTATCGAATTGAGCACTGTTAGATCTCATGTGATTGATATCGGTTGGAGATCTATAAGATACGAATGGATCGTCTCCTGGCGATAGATGTTGAGGCCCTGGCGAAAGATGCACCGATCCAGGGGACAACGCACTTGCAGTAGGAGAAAGCTGAGTCCCGGGCGAGGCAAGCTGCGTACTAGGAGATGGAATTTGCAGCGAAGTAATCGGCTGAACATGTTGTGGAGTCTGAGGCTCAGGTGTTTCCGATGCTTCGGGAGACGGGAGGTTCAAGGCTGGTACATTTAGCTTGCCGCTGTCTTCGGGTGCAACCTCATCGTCATCAGGTTCGCTGAAGTGGGCGTGTCTTGACAATCGCTTCTCTCCTTTTGCCTTGGTAGGGCTTTCAATGTCGGGGAACGTTGACTTCTGTCCCTTCTCCAACTCAGGAGCAGCCTCATGTGCATGAGTATCGGCATGACCACGATGGAAGATGGAGGCCAGTGAGATGTTGCTCATCAGTCTCGGCTTGTGGTGTTTGTGCGAATGTCTTGATGGCCTTGGTGTACGATCCCAGAAGGTCTCGGGAACAAAGAGGAACAGCAATACCGCACCAAATGAGACAACCATAGCCACAATCCAGAAGACCCATCGCCAGCCAAGCGACTCGATGATGGCAGCACTCACCAGTGGAATAAGATTCTTACCACCAAGGAGGAGCAGGGTGTAAATACCCAGTCTGTAGGCACGTTCGTGCAAGAAGAAGATTTCGGCGATTGTGGCCGATGGCAGACATTCCACAGGACTGACAGCCATGCCCATGAAGATACGGGCGAGTACAAGAGAGGTATAGTTGGGCGACAAAGCGCACCACACAGCAGAGAGGACGAATATGACCGAGGCAACCAGGTATACAGGTCTCTTGCCGTACAAAATGGCGGTGGGCGAAGCAACGACACTACCGAGGCCAAGTCCCAACATATAAAGACCAGTCGTCAAGGCTACCTGAGGCACTGAGACACCATAGGTTTCCGAAACGTTGACGAAGCCTGCAGCGAGGACGGGGGTCATACCTCCACCAAGCATGCAGAAGAAGCCTAGCGAGAGTAGAGCGCAATCTCTACGCCATTTGGGCCAGTTCAACGGATCGTTCAAGGATTCGTCTGGTTGTGGTTCGAGCACAATGCCATCTCCAGTCTGTTTCTTATCCGGGGTTGGAGGCACGATGGAGCCGGCACGAGAGTGGGGAGCGAGAGAGCCATTTCGAGATTGTGAGTTGTAAGGGAAGGGCGAGGGTAAAGACGAGGTCGACGTCCTGGCGGGTGTGTTGCGGAGACCAAGAGGCTCATTGCGATTCGACACTTTTGAGAGCAGTAGAACAGAGCCTAGAGAAGGAGGAGAGTCAGTATTGATGAGAGATCAAAGGTTGACTGCCTGTCTGTCAACTGACCAGGTACCTCGTCTGTCTCCCTGTCGTTCAAGATGCCCAAACTCCACTTCGCCGGTCGTTTGAGCGAGTCCTCCGAGTCGGTCTGAGAGTTGCGATTCTGCTTCTTCTTTCTTGACCAGAATCGGCTTTCCTGGCCATCGTCGTTCTTCTCTGCGACCATTGCAGAGTGTAGTAGAGTGGTACGTGTGCGATGGGGATATGACGAGCGCTCGTGTAGTGCAAGACAAGGATATATACGGGATTAAGAAGCGGTGTAGCGTGGAGCCCCGTGGGCGGTGATCAGGAGGTCGACAGATAGTAGGTACACGTTGGTACGATGGGCTAAGGATGCGGCGGTCTGTCTCGGGACTCGACTGTTATCAAACTAGGAGCTGTCAGGTGGACGATTCTGACACCCTGATAACAACCCTGGGCTAATGCGAGCCATGAAGCGTGACTCTTCTGCAGGAGTCAGAGCCGGTACGGAGAGGGCGATGGATTGTCTTTGAAACGCCTACGCCGTAGGCTGGGCGCAACCTTTCCCACGACCGCCATCGTCAGCGACCCTGAAGGGAGATTCATGTCCTTGGCCTTCGATCCTACATTCTAGCGCCCTTGGCAACTGAAGCCTCACCAATCATGGCCATATCTCGACCCTTCCCCTAACTCTAATCCTACAAACGTGCTCGGCCTCTATCTCCGCACCTGAACTGGCGACCGAGTCAAAACAAGCCACGACATGTGTACCTAGATACGAACATGTTCCCCTTTCGCGTCGACACGAGCTGATCAACTCTCTTCGTACTGACCGCGAGCGGACATGGACATATTGAAGCAGAAGTGTTCGGGTGCTCAGAATACTTGGACTGAGCAATCCCTGATATACTTTCCCTTCAAGACTTGGTATTGAAACTAAAATCCGCGGCCCTGCCTTTTCTTCCGGCCTTCTCGGAGTCGCTATTCAACGCATGCACTTTCATTATACAACGTAATCAGCCGCCTAAAAAGGTGCCAAAGATCAGTCTGGACTCTAGAAAGTATTCTGAAGAGGCTGCAATAAGACCTTTACTTAGCACATGCCACTGCGAGTACTCTGAGCCCTACCAACTTCATGCACTTCCATGACTCAATTGCATGTCGATTCCTGAGGATAGCAAAAATCTGCGACCACGTAGAAGCGGCGAGGTCCTCAACACCCTTTGTGCATTGTCTAATCTCGATTTTCTCTATCAATCATCCTTGGCATCTTGTCCGTCCTTTTTCTTGCGAGGCTCAAAGTTCAGCTGGTTTCCGTCAGTCACCGACATCCGTAGTCTTGGCTTCGTCCAAGTACTCACCTGGTTACCATTGTACAGCTCGGTACTTTGTTCAGTCTCCCTTCTTTGGTCACCCAATGTGCGGATGTTGATTCCACCCGTTCGGTTCGCCATTCTCTCACCCTCTGCATTAGAGGTCTCGCTCTCGTCTGCTGTTCCCGCAACATAAGGTCCTTGTCGCTCATTTGAGCCCGATGCATAGCCCATAACACCACCCACAGCGGTTCCAAGCATACTTGCCGCGCCAGACAAGAGGCCAAACCCAGCATTGAATCCCTTGGAGACGAGACCACCACCACCGCTGGCATAAGCATCTGTGTATCCTTTGATTGGTACCAGGACCAAGGTTGCATTCGGTGTCAGTCCAAGTGACTTTAGTGATTCGCCCTCCTCTCCGACAGAGATATTGCGGCTAGGATTGGGCAGCAAGATCTGACGGAACTCGTACGGAATGTCCGTTTGCGAGTTTTGGGAAATGTAAGTCCTGACCGCAGTTGCAAGAGTGGCCGACGGGTCGAACTTGGTTCGTAGCGAACTGCCATCGAACAGTCTAATCTGGAGGGCGCAAACAGTCGAGTTGCGTCCGGGCGCAGTGTCAGTATGTACTGGTCGTTGTGCGGCCGCAGAAGAGGGTTCGCCTTGGGCTGCAAGTCGTCTCTGTCGTTCCTTCTCTTTTCTCGCAGCTTTGTCAGACTCGATAGACTTGAGAATTCTCTCCCTCTCTGCACGAGCCTCTTTGTTGCGACTTCGTTGCTGATCGGCCCAGTCTTGTTTGCTCGGAGGCAAGGACGACGATTCGGCAGCCTGTTTGTCTGATGACTCTTTACGTGCTTTTGCTGTAGCCTTGCGAGCCTCTTTGTCCGCCTCTTCCTTCCTCTTGCGTTCGGCTTCGAGACGGGCACCTCGCTCGGTCAGGAACTGTTGCATGGTTGCATTGTTGCCCTGTGTTGGTGCCGGTATAGGAACGTTCGTCTCTGCAGTCTCTTGAGAAATTGTGCCAGAGTCTTGGAGTGCTGTTCCTCTTTCTCCGATGTAAGGGACGCTTGAAAGGACCTGGCTGACGTCTGCGGTTGCCGAATCTTCATTTTGAGGGATGGATGTTGCTGACTGCGTTGTCTGTGGCTGTGTGGGAGGTTGCAGTAGAGCAGCGATACGCTTCTTGAACTCGTCTTCGGTAACATTTGCGTCGATGTCTTCGACAACGGAGCCTGCTCGGATGACCAACAGCTTTGGCATAGAAGCCAACGAGCAGAAGGCGCCTAGGAAGCCAGCTTCCGTCGAGCCTGCATTGATTCGTAGTAGGACCGCTTTCTCGCCCAGTCGCTCTCCTACTGACTTCTGTTCACCTGTCAGTTCTGCTTGGAATATAGCCAACTTTGGCTGTGTGTACCTGATCAGGTGCATCGGAAGAGGTGTCGAGGGGAGCGGTCAGCCACTCGCTTTCCCACTTGTGACTTGTTTCATCGTCGTCTAGAAGGGCGTCAGACTGGATTGTGTAGGCGGGCTACGTCAGCTGGCACTTACCTTGCCTAACGAAGCAAGCAACCAACTTGTGTTCTTGGATCGCCAACGAGATTCCGCTCTGCAGGTCGCCTGGAAAGAACATTATGGGCAGATTGTAGTGTGACTAGAGGGAGAATGAACAAGACGGTCACCCGTACAAGTGTCGCCAACTTACCCCATGCGAAGCGAGGATCAATCACATGCAAGAGCGTCACCGCCAACGGGAAGCACGGCCCTGCTCAGCCTCTCCGAATATCAAACTCCAAACATCAACTTGAACATAATTGTCAAGGCCATCTTAAGCCATGCAGTATTGCACCTAGCATCTTTATATTCGGCAATGAGTACAGCGCCTCTTGGGTACAGGCCTTCTTCTGATGCCTTCAACCGGCCAAATACAGAAGATAGCCCGGGAGAAAAACGCCAGAACAATGCGACAACAGGTAGGGAATACTAAATATGTGGTTCGGTACAAACGTAAGGAGGCTCAGTGTGAATAGGTGCATCGGCTGCCGGTATGCGGGCTCTCACGGCGCGTATGTTCGCCTTCTATTTCAGAGTGCCTGTAAAAGCATTCTTTCGAACAAGAATTGAGTAAGTGTGTATCTTGACTCGATGCATGATATCTGGGCTAATTAGTACATAGCTATCTTGTGTGTACAGTCTCTGTAACTTATAACTTCCTGAAAATTGACCAATCTCAACAAGGCATTTCCCAGGGCTATCAACCCTTTATTACAATCCACCGGCAAATGGTCCTGGGCTGGAACTACTCCTGGAATACTAGCCTATGCGATCCGGACTCATGGATGGTCCTTCATTCCTAACCAAGTTCTACCCCCATTACTGGCGAACGTAACTGTTGGTGCTGTTCTATACACCTCATATCTTGGAGCGCTAGGCCTCTACTACGAGCCGGCGTCTCATTCTTCTAAACGCATTTATCCGCCGGCACCGTTCTCTTTGACATTTGCTGCCGGCTTCTCGGCGGGCGCTTTTCAAAGTGTAATTGCTGCCCCGCTAGATGCTCTAACCATTCGATTCAAGACTACCGATCTTACCCAAGGGACGTACAAGAACATGTGGGATTATGCTTCGAGGAAGCTTCAGGCCATTGGTGCCCGTGGCGCCTTTGCAGGATGGGGGTTGTCGTTCGTTAAGGACGCGTTTGGATACGGATTGTTCTTTGGGACTTTCGAATACGTCAAGTCTCAATTGTTTTACGAATACGTGAGCCATTGGTATTCACGTTATGGTCTTCTATCCATGTTCCACAAGCATCAGATCGACCTGCAAAGAATCACTGATCAAGAAGATCGGCCGGTGATCAAGCCGCACTATCTGATGGAACCTTCATTCATACTCCTTGCGGGTGCCACAGCAAGCGTGTTGCAACAAGTCGTTGCCCACCCCCTTACACGGATACAAGAATTGCACTTCCAGCGACTAGCAACATTGGATGAATTGCTACAAACTAGACCGGGACGACTAGATACCATGCAGCTATATGCACGGGCATACCAGAAAACATGGATCCAGGCCGGCAAGCGTGCGACAAAATCCGGAGGCTGGCTGAGATGGCTGTACCAAGACTTTTGGATGACAACTCTACGCCAGGTACCGTCGACCAGCGCTGGTCTCATCATGTTTGAGATCTTCCGCCGCAAGTACGGCATGGGAGAAGATGCCGTCAAAATTCCCAAGGACGAGTACGACATCTTATTGCCTTGAGCTGCGGCGCTCAACTTGGTCGTACGGTGAGCATGTCATCCCAGGAAATCTTCTAGTGCCAACTGGATTTGTTCCCATCTGGCCCGCAAGAGTTGGAGTTTGTTTGCAAGATCACCCGTCTTCTCTTCCGAGAGAGATTTCAAGGCATCGACAGCTTCTTTCGCTTCTTCGACATATGATTGGAGGCAAGGCTTCAGCCAATCTTGCACATCGTTTTCCTTGTCATCTGCGAGATCTTCGCCAGAGCCCATGAAATGCTCCCACTCGTTAGCCGTCAAGAGCACGGAACGCACGGCGACTTGCGTCTTGAAGCACAATTCACCAGTGCTTGGGAGCAGAGCATAGCCGCCGAAAAACCCAACGTCCTGAAGAGCATTCTGCTGGCTCTCACTCAAGCGGGGTAGTATTACATGGTCCAGACGAATCTCATCGTCATCTAGACTGGTCTGAGGAAGGATAAAACCATCTATGTTGTATGTCAATCAGATGCGAGCATGGGTGGAATACAAGTTCTCCTTACAATGCACAAGGAGCTTGTCATTCGAGTGGGCTCCGTATGTAGCCAATATTTCTTCTCCAGATTCTACTCGAGGTTGTACTGGTTAGCTATGCACAGTCGCAACCCATACATGGGGCACAGAGGTACATACCATAGCCCCGGTTTGCTCTCAACTCATATCCGTCTTGCGACATTGTGACTTGACACTGTTCTTTCTCAGTATCGGAACAAGAAAATCTAGAGTAGCAAACTCACCCCTTGACCGTTCGGACAATGATTCATGTAATCAAGTGCAGGATTCATGATCATTGCACCTTGAGTAACACCCTGAGGTTTCCAATGAAAGCTACGCGTATTCACGAGCATCCAGTGATATAGGAACTCCCGCTCAAATGCTTGATCATCGGGAGCGTGCATGTGTTTTACAGATTCGATGTCTCTTTCCAGGTCTGACAGCATGCGGTCCAGTGGTCTTTGTACACTTGGTGGGGCCCATTTCCGTAGCACGTCTTCGAGTCCATCCTTCGGAGACCAGGCAAGCATACAAGAGGCAAAATCTTCTGGTGTTGGCCAAGCAGCTCTCGAAGCAACGTATGTGGATGACTGGCTCTTCCACTCCAGGGTAAGATATGCGGCTAGCTGAGCCTGCGAAGATAGCTTTATCAACTTGTGCTTGCGGAGAACGGGCAACTCAGGCTTGATCATGGCCTTTTCGGGTACAAAGATAAGCAATGCGTCTTTGGCTATCTTTTCTTTTGCCAGCAGGCCGATGCCTCTGCCCGGCAGCACAGCCGGGGTCACTCCATTAATCTCGATACCACGAGCGATTGCCCATTCGACGTAGGCGGTGTGTGCCTCTGGCAAGTCCTGAACCGGAGTAGTTTTGGTCTTGCGCTTCTTTGGTGGTGGATCTGGAGCCATGGTGTGTATGTGTGTTGTGAGGAATTATGGTCTCAAAATCCCCGCAGTCAGATTGGGTTTCACCGACTCCAGTCAAACATGCCAACGGCTATCACATTACACGGCGCTTGAGACGTTGATAGCCGCGACAGAAAAGACGCGACATTTTGAGACGGTGCTCTCAATTCTACTGGGGCCCGTTGCTCGGAAAGGGCTCACTTGTGCTAAGACCTGGCTGGGAAGGAGCGCCCATTACTTTCGTGCATCGATATGGCCAACGCTACGAGCAAGGGAGCATGTCATGCACTTCGACTTCATGTTAAGATGGATAGAACACGAAGAGCGGACATATTTAGATGGACCATGAAAAAACGAGGATAAGGTTGGATCAGGTAATGTTCAGGCAAGGAGTGTTTCCATTCCCAGCCTCGCAGTTTCTGAAACAAGAGTGATATAGCGCAGCAAAACTCGGCCGGCTGGAAGTGCAAACGAAATCGTTTCTATAATCTGAAAATTGGTGTTTAAACAGGTCATCTGTCAACGGGAAAACCTGACTCGTCACGGCAGAGACAACTCAAAGAGTGATCTGTGTGAAAATAAGAGCGACAGAGTCGTGTAGTTGGTGAAAGGGCTGGCCAGACCCAGACCTTTGAAGATCGTCAAGACGGAGTAGGTTAATCACGTGCATCCAAATATGGCTCAGCGTTGGGCGTCGCGACTTGCGGCACCCTTTGAAGACTTCGCTTTCAGTGTTCACGCCCTTCTCCAACCCCTCAGCAGCTCATCTCTCCCCAGAGCTATCCAGGCCGACCGACTTCTTCTTGGGCCGTCGTCAGTCTGCACGCCCTGTCGTCGACATCTGTCGGTTTCCAGCAAAGTCCAGGTGCGTGACCAACCCCGTCCAGTGTCCAGTCAGCTGCCTACCACGCCCATCACAACCCGCATCTCTCCACCGACACACGGCTCCTTTCATCTCGTTGTCGTCGGACGCCGTGTCTGACCTCTGCCTGTTGTTTATTCACTCTGTTTGGGTGTTTGCTCCCTCGTCGACTCATCCCTTCGCTTCTCGCTCTCCCTTTCACTCTGATTCGTGGCTTGTGCCTGCCTCCGCACCTCCTCTTCGCCTTGCTGACGTCGCCATTGTCTCCCTACAGATTCTTCCATCTCCATCACAAACCACTTTTCCGCCTCAGCGACGGCTCACCCTCCCATCAACTAAAGCATGACAACAATGGTACGTTATGGTTCATCTCGCTACTTGTTGACCTCACCGCTAACTCAACGCAGGACCTTCGTGTCGGTAACAAGTACCGTATCGGTCGTAAGATTGGTAGCGGCAGTTTCGGTGACATCTACCTTGGTATGTATCCGTCGCTGCTCTCTCTTCACATGGCTCTTCTGACCCCTCTCGACAGGTACTAACATCATCTCCGGTGAGGAGATTGCCATCAAACTTGAAAGCGTCAAGGCCAAGCACCCTCAGCTCGAGTATGAGGCTCGCGTCTATAAGTCTCTCGCCGGTGGTGTCGGTATCCCCTTCGTCCGCTGGTTCGGCACTGAGTGTGACTACAACGCCATGGTCCTCGATCTCCTCGGCCCCTCCCTCGAGGATCTCTTCAACTTCTGCAACCGCAAGTTCTCTCTGAAGACCGTCCTTCTCCTGGCCGACCAGCTCATCTCCCGCATCGAGTACATCCACGCCAAGTCGTTCATCCACCGCGACATCAAGCCCGACAACTTCCTCATGGGCATTGGCAAGCGTGGAAATCAGGTCAACGTTATTGACTTCGGTCTGGCCAAGAAGTACCGTGACCCCAAGACTCACTTCCACATCCCTTACCGTGAGAACAAGAACTTGACTGGTACTGCTCGTTACGCCAGTATCAACACCCACTTGGGTGTTGAGCAATCCCGTCGTGACGACATGGAGTCTCTTGGTTACGTGATGCTCTACTTCTGCCGTGGTTCTCTGCCCTGGCAGGGTCTGAAGGCTGCCACCAAGAAGCAGAAGTACGACCGTATTATGGAGAAGAAGATGACCACTCCCACCGAGGTTCTCTGCCGTGGCTTCCCTAACGAGTTCGCCATCTACCTCAACTACACCCGCTCTCTTCGCTTTGACGACAAGCCCGACTACTCGTACCTCCGCAAGATCTTCCGCGACCTCTTCGTCCGCGAGGGCTTCCAGTACGACTACGTCTTTGACTGGACTGTCTACAAGTACCAGAAGAATGCGCAGGCCGTTGCTCAGGCCGCTGCCAACCAGCCTCAGGCTGAGGAGGCCGAAGAGAAGGCCGGCCGCACCCGTACTGCTGCTGCCACCGCTGGCCAGACCGCTGGAGCCGTCACCGACAAGCGCCGCGGCCCAGTGGCACCCCGTGCAGAGGGATCGGGAATGTGAGTTCAATCTCGTCATCCTGTAAGACTCCCCAGCGTTTGAGTGCTCTTGCGTGAGGCTTGCCGCGGGGGATATTTGGTACGTGTGCTGACGTGCTGGCTCTCCTCAGGCAACTCCGCTCCTCAAAGCGTGGCGTCGAACAGCAGGGATACTCCAACTACTGATCGCTTGTCTTTTGTTGTGGATTTGAGTCGAAAATGTCCTTGGACAAATCGACTTTGATCAACGACATGGTTTCTTAACTCAACTCGTGTGGAAAAATGCAGTTTTGCCGTCCTGGACGTCTTATGGGCGGCGAAAGATGCATCCATACATTCTTATGTTGTCTGCATTTCCGCTATTGGGGGTTTATGCCGGCTGTTGCTCGGCGGCATCATCCTACTCAGACAATCTTGCTCAACTCGGAGTGGCTAAAAGCACTCAATCCTCATCTTGGGTTGCATATGCTTCGAGCAGAGCAAAGCGGATTCGGATTTCATACCTGGCAGTGTCACTCGGCAGGCTTCTCGCTTCATCGCTGGTCGACCTGCACTTCCATCTGGCCACCCACGGTACATCAGATTGCACCCATCCTTTGGCTCCCCTAATCATCCATCATCCATCTTCTGCTGTCCTTTTTTCCTTCTTTGATTTTGTTGCTTGGGATTTGGAGGGCGGCTTGTGGGGAGGTTTTGAGCATCAGGGGACGAAACACAGGGGAGGAAGAGCCCGAACAAACCAGATTGAAACCACAACCGACACCTTCGATAGAGGATCAAGCAAAGGACAGGACATGTACCACATGTCTATCACAGAATGCGTCTTTTCAAGAGAAAAAGCTTGACGTCGGTTGTCTTCTGTTCGAAGAAGACAGATGCTCCTGGGGAACTGCTTTATTTCATTTTAGGTAGTATTGTATTCGGTCTTGCTTTTGCTCCCAAAATCCTTGCATCAATGTATATCCTGCTTCACGTGAAATTACGCCATGGGACAAATGACTTTTGTGCAAGTGGTTAGATTGAGATAATCCAAAGTCAGTCGGCGAGCCCTTGAAGACGTTGGAGACGGTGAGGCTGATAGAGCTTGAGCTTCGGTCGGATATGGCTACCGACTACCGCTCGGCAGTATTTCGCTGACCATTAATTATTTGCCGCTGCATTGTCTGCGCTCTCACCAACCGAGACCTAACCTGATTTTCGCAAGCTGCTGCATGCAGTAGGGTCACCTGTACGAAATGACACTCGCTCCAATCCATCAATCAATATGCACAACCTGCCGCCTTCGTTCTCTTGTGGCCGCGAAGCAGTACGCCAGAGCTAGAACACCAACCTCGCGAGACTGGACACGACTGAGACAACCTGTTTTCTCACGATACCTACATGCCTCTAGTACCAGTCTGCAAAACCAGAAATTCGCCGGGAAGGACCAGGACTCTGCCTCGAATGGCAGCATTAAAGAGTTGGAAGAACAATTACAATCGCTGGACAAGAGGCTACAAACGGAACAAATAGCGCGGCACGCCGAGGAGGACTTTGAACTGGAAGATATAGAAACACTCGCCACCGGAGACGCAGACGCTTCGCAAGAAGCCAGAGCGGTAAATGCTTCGCCTGAAGATGTCGCACGAGCAGCACGCCAACGGTTTGGAGACGCACTCCCGGACGGTGTTTTGAATGAGGAGCAATACACAGCATACGAGCGTCTATATGGACCCCCGATCAGCAATACTGTGGACGAGATTGTCGACTTTGAGGAGAACGAGGTGGAAGGAGAACTGGACGAAACAAACAATGTTGGCACTGGCCTATTGCGAGAAAGCGAAGATGGCGTGCTCGAAGAAGTCGAGTACATCGAGGAGGAGGATGAGGAATTCGATGAAGAGGAGGGAGAAGAGCTCATGGAGGGAGAAGAGGCGGATGCAGAACTAGATGCGGATTCTGCTGCTGCAGGCCTGGATGCTCAAACACTCAACGATCTAGCTGCTCTACGGTTGACTCCCGAACAAGAGCTACTTGAAGACTCGGAGGAACTGCCTGCTGCACCTTACGATCACACACGATCACATCCCTTGACCGAGGCCAACCGCTACGGCACACCATCTTCTACTGTGCAGTTGCCGGCGTCTACATTTGTCGAGCCGGTAACTCGACTGGTCGCAGGCATCCCGAACAAGCACATTTCCGAGGTAGCTCACCGCATCCTCGGCGGTGTTGGTCTTCCATACTCGACATCAACGCCACAGCGTGCGGTAAACATGCCGCAGAAAGCCATACCCCTTAACCCTGGACAAGGCAGAATGAGCGATATGGACGCGGATATCTTCATGACCACTCTTATGCCTGGTATCTACGCCAGTGTGTACAGTGTTCTGGTAGAGACACGCAAGCGGTTGGGCAGTTCATGGCTCGAAGGCTTGCTCACCAAGGAAGGTGGACCTCGCATCCTGGACGCTGGCGGTGCAGGTGTAGGCGTTATGGCCGCAAGAGATGTCTTACAAGCAGAATGGGAACGCATGCATGACACCAGCGAAGACGAAGACCCCTTCATGGCCATTGCAGAAGCAGGCGGCAAGACCGGTGGCGAGTCCATCCCTGCACCTGTCGGAAAAGCCACCGTCTTGACCAGCAACGAAGCTTTGAGATACCGCTCTAGCAAGCTTTTGGAGAACACGACTTTCCTCCCTCGTTTGCCTGACTACATGCACGCTAGTGATGAGTCTGCTCGTGAGCGCGGAAAGTACGATATCATCATTGCACCTCACACTCTGTGGCCGCTGAAGGAAGACCATATCCGCAAACAGCATGTCAAGAATCTATGGAGTTTGCTCAGCACAGATGGTGGTGTCATGATTATATTGGAGAAGGGCATCCCACGTGGTTTCGAAATGGTCGCAGCAGCACGGGAAATGCTTCTCAACTCACGCATCTCTTCGCCCGGCAATGAAGAAAAGGCCGAGGATCTGGATGCACCAGGTGAGGGCACAGTATGGGGAAAGCAACCAAAGGACAAGGGTATGATTGTTGCTCCCTGTACAAATCACCTGGGCTGTCCCATGTACGTCAATCGTGGTGTCAGCAAGGGTCGCAAGGACTTCTGTTACTTCAAGCAACGGTACATTCGTCCTCCTTTCTTGCAAAAGATCCTTGGAGCCAAGCACAGAAACCATGAGGATGTTGAGTTCTCATACATCAGTGTGATGAGAGGTCGCGATCTTCGGGACAAGGATGAGGAAAACATCATTCAGGGAGATGTTGCTACAGACAGAGCTTTCATCGGTTTCGAGAATCCTCAAGCTGCGGCCGAGAAGGCTGAGGACGAGTTTGATCCCACAGCACCTGCGGTACCTGATATTGAAGACGGATCAGTGGACAACAGCCCCCACTCATTGAGTTTACCACGCGTGGTGCTGCCTCCGTTGAAGCGTCAAGGTCACGTCATCATCGACATGTGTACACCAGCAGGTACGCTCGAGCGATGGACAGTACCAAGAAGCTTCTCCAAGCAAGCCTACCGCGACGCACGAAAGAGTCAATGGGGAGACATCTGGGCCCTAGGAGCCAAGACCAGAACACCTCGCAACGTGCGAGTTGGCAGAGGTAAAGAAGAGCTCGGCGGTGTCGAGACCAAGAAGAAAAAGAACAAGGGCAAGAACACTATCGAAGTGGGCTATGATTCGCAAGGTAACATCAAGGAGGAAGATATCAAGGTCAAGACTGGTGGTCGCATGAGACAGGGACCCAAGGTCAAGGGCATCAGAGACAAGCGTGACAAGAAGAGCGACGGAAGGGGAAGAAGAAAGAACCTCGACAAGGAATAATCGGCGGATGTGTAGGATATAGATGTTGGCATCTCGGCTCTTTGTAACGACCAGTAATGAACACTCTCCGCAACACATTCAATTATGAGTACAAGTGCCTGGTGGTTTGAAGCTTCGCGCGTTTTGTGTATCAAGACATTGGGGACCCGAAGAATATAGTGGTATTTTTACAAGGCTTTTTACGGGTCTATAGAGCCACTGTCGACCTTTTCGCATTCCGTCATCTCAGATATGTATCATATCTAGTGGGCGGGCTTGAGGTTCTTGTTGGGGTTGCGGGGGTCGTTGCGGTACTCGTCGGCTGTACGTGGTATAGCTCGTTAGCGGATTGTTCTCTATGCAGGAGATATATTTCTGGCCATGGCGAAGCGGCGAGTAAAGGGCTGGCGCAGGTGTGGGAGTAGGTAGACTGACTGTTGGCGAGAGTAGTGGCGAGGGAGTTGATGCCGTAGAAGATGATGGCGCCTGAGAAGAACAAAATATCAATATCGGAGAATCCAGAGATGGCGCATGTGCTCATGTGCGAAACGAACCGGCAATGTAGAAGGGTGCCATAGGGCGGGCTATACCAAAGAGTTAGCAATCGGGTCCGATGTTTCGAGGCTCCGAGCGAGCGCAAAGGGCGCATCAACATACCGACAGGGGTGGGGAACTTCTTTCCAAGGAGACCGGCCATTTTGACAGATGTGATGTGGTTGAGAGGGGTGACGAGAAGGTGCAATTGACTGTCAGACGTTGCTGTCGCTGCACGCGGCTTCTTCGCAATCCTCAATGCTCGACCGCCGTCTCCGATGCTTTTCTTGGCATCACGGGACAGACTCCCGCAATTCACATGCTTTCCCACATCATCAACAGTAAACATTGGCTAGACAAGTCACATCATAAGTCGACAACATGAGTGCAGCCAACACTCTAGAGAACTGCGTGTCATCGCTGCGATCGAGCATGCAACTGCTCGATTCATCTATCAACATTCTCGATTCTGGCACCAGTGACTTTCCACGCTTGGCAAAGGTCCTGCAGGCCACTCGGGTAGGAATCTGCTTTTGTCTTTTCGTACTTGCCCAAGTCTGACATATTGCTATACAGCACTTCGAACTCGTCTCCGAACCCGAACTTCAGAATGCCCAATCGTCTCTACTTTCCGAGATCCAGCCTGAGGTCGAATCCATGCTCGACCGCGTCGCCGTCTACCTTGACAAGCTTCAGCGTCGCGAAGAGTCCTTGATCGCAAAGTGTGAACTACAACAAGGACGTCTGTCCTCGCGTCATCCTGAACAGCAATACCACTCAAAGGGCTCAGCCCAATCATCATCGCATGCTGGAGTCACTCCGCTCGAAGAACTCAAGATGCAACAACTTAGACAGAAAAAGGATCGTTTGAGCTATGCTGTTGGCCGTCTCGAGCTACAAGCAAATCAAAGAGAGAGGCAACTGAGAAAGAGTATGGCTGGCTTCTGATCACGTTCCGACAGCAAAGAATCTTTTGGCCTGCTTTCGAGGCCATGTCCTTTCTTTCTCGAACATGATCGCTACTTTGCCTTCTCCGGAGTATCCTCGATCTGCAGAGTCATCCTGTGGATGCCAAATCCATGCAAACACTTTCCAAGACGTGCGAGTCGTCCATTGTGCGTCTCTGCTGGCTGGTTAGGTCTGGGCATTTCTTCGATTTCCGAACTGCTCCTCGAGATTATCTCCTCTTTTTCCATGGGCAGCATAACGATGTGGGCTGAAGCGATTGACTCCTCCTGGCTCAATTGCCAGACACAGAGATCATGGACTGACACAACTCCTGCTATCTTGCTCAACTCTCGAATTACCGTCTCTCGGTGAGCGCTAGGAGGTGTGCTTCCGAGAAGGATATGGCCACTTCGAAAAGCTGTCTATGTCAGTCTTTGGTTCTCCACCTCATGTATCTCCTTGCTTACTGAGAGGAAGCGCGCTGCTTGCAATCATGATGGCTATGGCCATGCTGACTGCCGGATCGGCGTAAAACCGGTTTGGAGATCGCACCAACATCATGACGAGAGCTGCAGCGATGACTCCAAGATTGTTCAGGACATCTCCAAGGATATGGATGACGACAGCGTTGACTCCTAGGTCACCATGTGCATGCTTCTTCTTCGAGGGGTTTTCCTGTTGAGTCAGCCTGTCGTACATGCTGCCAGCTGGAACATCACCCACAAGGTCCGATACTTCGAAAACCGGAACACCAGCTTTCGCTTCTTTACTAGACCCGTGGCCGTGGCCGCGTCCATGGTCGTGGCCATGGTCTGGATATTGTCAGCAACTTGCTTGTTATGGACTAGAAGGAGATTCCATACCATGAACAACTAAAATGCAAATCACGTTGAGCAGAAGTCCTACACATCCCATGATAAGAACGTTCCGTGGTTGCTCGACGACTAGCCGCAATTAGTATCTCGCAATGCAACGACCGACCAGCGAATCGTTACCTTGAATGTTGATGAATCTCTCGATGGCTTGTAGGAGAATACTCAGGCCAAGAGCGATGAGGAAGGTACCGTTGAAGAAGGCACCTAGGACTTTGGCTCTTTGCCAGCCAAAAGCCAGACTTGCAGGAGCATCTTTGCGGTCAGACAGCTAATAGTTGCATCAGCAAGTGTTTCGAATCTCTTCGATCATTTCTGATTACCTTGGCAGCGACGAGGGCAACACAGAATGCAATCAGGTCGTTCAGCTAGCCGTGTCAGCATTGGCAGGGGACACGAAGTAGGTTCGACATACGTAGTGAAAAGCATCAGCAATCAGGGCTAGCGATTTGGAGCGGAAGCCCACTACAACGACGGTTAAAACGACAAACAGAGAAATTCGAAAGATGGAGCAGCCTACCAACAAGCTCAGCAGCGAAGAAGGCAGAGGACAGGACGATGGCAACAATCAGTCTTGTAGAGGTTGATGAATTGCTACGGGCCATTTTGAATTATGCCTTCGTGAAAGAGGAAGAGAAGAGAGAGAAACAAACATAAAGAGGGTGTCAAGGCTCTCAAAGCCCGCTATGGCCTCGACACATGGCAGAAGAAGAAAGAGCACATGGTAGCACAAGCGTATCAAATCATGGCGGTTGCTATATAGAAGTAGGACGACGCCATCAGGGTTGGAGGACAAACCTTCGGGTACTTGCCTCGATTTGCTCTACTACAATCCAGTACTACATGATCACGATAGAAGCAGGAAGTATAGACTACCGAGTGTGTCAACAAGGCGGTGGTTGAATGGTTACCTCATTGGGAAACGGTGAATCAGTTGCGGCGTCACTTCCAGCAAGCATGACTCTTGCACAAAGTGATTCATCCCACATTTCTACCAGCACAAAACACCCCGCTCTGTTCGTCACTTGAAATAATTCGAAACACAACACCACCATGGCCGAAGAGAACGTATTGGAGAGCAAGCCCGCTCAGTCGATCCCCGAGAGACCCAAGGATGCACCTGCCGACGAGGCTGGCGCCGCTCCCGCCGAGGGCGACAAGGGCCCTTCCAAGAACGCTTTGAAGAAGGCCGCTAAGGAGAAGGAGAAGGTGCGATCGCCTTGAGCGAGTGGCAGCGGCACATAGCTGACAATCGGACAGGCCGAGAAGGCCGCTAAGCGCAAGGCCGCCGAGGACGCACAGAAGAAGCAACAAGAGGGCACCGATGTTTCCTCCAACGACTACGGCGACCTGCCCATGATCGGCTCCCAGGAATACAAGCCCTCTGGCGTTTCGCGCACCACCCTTGCTCAGATCTCCGAGAAGTACAACGAGACCACCCCCATCGACGAGGCCGGCGGTGTCGAGGTCTGCTTCCGCGCTGTTGTCGAGAATGCCCGCAACCAGTCGGCCAAGCTCTCTTTCCTCGTCTTCCGTGAGGGTCTCAACACCATCCAGGCTGTTGTCGCCGCCAGCGACTCTCTCAGCAGACAGATGGTCAAGTTCGCCGGTAGCATCAACGCCGAGTCAGTCGTGCTGGTCCACGGTCTGGTCAAGAAGACTCCCGAGCCCGTCAAGAGTGCCACTATCAGCCACCTCGAGATTCACATCAAGAAGATCTACGTCGTTGCAAAGGCCGACAGCCAACTGCCCATGCAGGTCCAGGATGCTGAGAGACCTCTGCCCCTCGAGGGTGAGGAGATCAAGGAGGAGGAGGGCGCCCGTCCCATTGTCACCTTGAACACTCGTCTCAACAACCGTGTCATTGACCTTCGTGGCAAGCACAACCGTGCCATCTTCGCCATCAAGGACGGTGTCACTGCTCTCTTCCAGGAGTTCTTGCGCAACCAGGGCTTCATTGGCATCCAGACTCCTAAGCTCCTTGGTGCTCCCTCCGAGGGCGGAGCTAACGTCTTCGAAGTCGGCTACTTTGCTACCAAGGCTTTCCTCGCCCAGTCACCCCAGCTGTATAAGCAGATGCTTATCGCTGCCCGTTTCGAGCGTGTCATGGAGGTCGGCCCCGTTTTCCGCGCTGAGAACTCAAACACTGCCCGTCACTTGACCGAGTTCACCGGTCTCGATCTGGAGATGGCCTTCGAGGAGGACTACCACGAGGTCGTCGAGGTTCTCGAGAACCTCATGCTGTACATCTTCAACGGTCTCAAGTCAAAGTACAAGCGCGAGACCGACCTCGTCCGCAGCATCTACCACGTCGACGAGTTCAAGCTCCCCGAGGCTGGCAAGGTCCCCCGCATCCCCTTCGCCGAGGGTATCCAAATGCTCCGCGATGACGGCCTCGAGATTGGCGACTACGACGACCTCAGCACACCCGACGAGAAGCGTCTCGGCGCCCTCGTTCTCAAGAAGTACGGCTCCGACTTCTACGTCCTCGACCAGTTCCCCCTCAACATCCGCCCCTTCTACACCATGCCCTCGCACACCGCCCCCGCCCACCAGACCGGCGCAAAGGACCCCAACTCCGGCTACTCCAACTCGTACGACTTCTTCATGCGCGGTCAGGAGATCCTGTCCGGTGCCCAGCGTATCCACGATGCCGAGTTCTTGTGCAAGCGTATGAAGGAGCACGCCAGCCCCGTCGACCCCAACTCGGATGGTCTCCGTGACTACGTCAACGCTTTCCGCTACGGATGTCCTCCTCATGCAGGCGGTGGTATCGGTCTCGAGCGTATCGTCATGTTGTGGCTGGGTCTTCCCAACGTGCGTCTCGCTTCCTTGTTCCCCAGAGACCCTAACCGTGTCATGCCTTAAAAAGCGTGTCTGCTGCTTTAGCTTCTCTATATCAATGGTTGCTGTTGCTAAAAGAAAATGATGGTTCATGTATACATGCTGGTTCTTTTTGATGCAAACAAAAAAATTCAAATTTCGTTTTTCGTCATTGTCGTTGTTCATAACAGACTGTGCTGTTGATTCTAAGTCGTGTTTTCCTCCTCTTTTACTTCATCCGCAGTATCGGTCGTCTCTACCTCGCTTGATGCTACTTCAGGGCCAGCCTTGAGTTCCTCCACTGCTTTGGCAGCCACATCCCTCATCTCCTTTCTCGTCGCATCGGTATCTTTACCCTGCTTGACCAGATCCCTCCACTCCTCCAACTTTCCTCCAGCTTCTTTATCCCCTTCCTTTACCATCTTGATCATCCTACTGGTATCCTTTCCTGAACTCATGTACAACCCTTCCCTCTGCTTCGCCAGCAGAATCCAAATAACATTCTGCAATAAATCAGAGGCACGCTTCATCCTCTTCATACCCGCCACTTTTTGAGTTAGGATCTCTTGTTTGCGTTGTTGCAGGAGAGAGGGAGAAGGTTGTTCGATCTTTTGCTTTCGGGCTAGTTTTGCGGTTGCGGTGAGAAGATCGTCCAGGGTCCTTGCTGCTTGGATCGCGTCGGAGAATTTGTCCATATCTCTGGATGCTGATTTTGAAGAGATGAGGTTGTTATCTTTGATGGTTTTCAAGACTTCTGGGGTCAGTTCTTTGCGGGCCCAGTCGTAGACGAACTCTTGAACTCGGGGTTGAAGTGTAGGATCTGTGATTGAGTCGGCGGCTTGGGTGTATAACTTTAGAGGTGCTAGAAGTTCGAATTGAATTGTTGATGCGAATGATTCGGTGGTGTCTTGTTGGAGCTGGACGATCTTGGTTTCGAAGCTTGTTCTGGTCTTGTTGTCTGGATCGCCAGATTCGAGGACCGCTTGGTCGAGAGAGGAGGAGTTGGCATCAAATAGCTTGCTTGGATCAAAGGTTACATCCTCGCCTGGTCGTCTTGAGGGCCATTGCTCAGAGGCTGCGTCTGCAGCTTTTGCAGCGAGTAACGATAGCTGTTCAGAAAGCTCTTTCTCTCGTATGAGGAACGACGAGTCCTTTGTGCTCAACTCGAGCACTTTGGAAGTACTATCCTTCTGCGCAAATTGCTTCAAGATTGCCTGAGTGAGATCCGCATCCGAAGCCTTCTGGAGAATTTGCGGTCGAGAGTTCGCAGTGACCTCGCAGTAGCCAGTCTCGGTCAGTTCCTTTACAGCGTGTTGAATATACGCATCCTGTGCTTGCTGGAGCTCGCTCTTATGCTGCACAAGCAGAGACTGCGGTGTGAAACGTAGACCACCAGATACTGACTCAACGATACCCTGAGCCTCGTTGCCATCTTGTGATAATATATCTCTAGCTGTTGACTCTAGCCAAGTAATAGGGACTTGGGGGAAGGTGTTGTTGAGCGTGACCGCGGTCTGGGTATCTCTGATGGTCTTCAAGATTTCTGCCTTGACTCGTTCCAGATATTTCGAGTCATAAGTCTTCTCGTTGTCAAGATCCTCGAGGGCAAGGCTGGCATCCTGTGCAGCAAGAATACGTCGAAGTGTGGCGAGGGTGATATCCTTTTCAGCAGCAACCCTGTCCAAATCCATACCACCAGTAGCCAATTCGCTCTTGATACCCTGGTATATAGTTTTTTGAGTACCTTCAGGTAGAAGTCGTCGGCGGTCTCTGTTATAATAGATGCGTTCGTCTTCTTGCGCCAGGATCCATTGGATATCATGAACTCCCAATTCGTTGTGCAGACTATTCAAGAAGATGGGGCCAGTAGCATTCTGGAGTAGAGTGTGGAAACGCTTGATGACTGCATCTGAGCGAATGAGATTACGGCCAGAGAGACTGCGAACGAGAGATTCTTTTCCAGGTCGTGGTTCCGGAGGTGGGAATGACAGAATTAGTTTCCGGATATCGTCCTCTGTAAACACAGGAGATCTGTCTGCCTTCTTCGATCCAAACATGGAAGGAATCATCTTGATCTGAAAGTGTTTGGAGAAAAGGAAAGAACAATGATGTAGTCCATCAGAAGTTTCCTAATTGGGATTTATAGATCGGCATGTGCCGCTGACTTCTTCCGTCAGCGCCGCCATCACCGCCGTGAATCGACAGCGACGGGCAAGGAAAGCACTCATTCGTGGTATATTCGACTTCTACAAACAACTACCGCAGTCATGTCTATGTTCCGTTCGAAGAAGCTGGACCTCGGTGGTTTTGTCAACATTAAGGTCATCCGCGACCACACCAAGCGCAAAGTCTTTGAGCAGAACGAGACCGAGAGGTCAGTCGGATCCTAGGAAACACGCTCGCTTCGATCAAGGGCAGCAGACTGATACAATGCGATTATAGACAAGCACTCCGCTACATCATCCGTAACACACTTCTGCCAGCACGCGCCCGTGCCCAGGCTCAATTGCAGCTGTCGCAAATGCACTGCTACACCCGCCCCACCCAGATCAAGAACAGATGTATTGCTGGCGGCAAGGGAAGAGGTGTTTTCCGTGATTTCCGCATGGCAAGAGTACGTTCTGGTCCAAGAGCAATACCGAGAAGGACACAACGCTGACGTCTTCTTACAGTACCAATTCCGTATGCACGCACTAGCTGGACAATTGCCTGGTGTCAAGAAGGCCAGTTGGTAAAGCACACGGCTATTTCATGTCACTATATTGTACAATACTCGAAACACGGCATTTGGGAACAGGCGTTGGTCGGGAACCAAGGAATTGGGGGTGCTTCGAAATTCACATCTTTCTACTATACTGCTTCGTCGCAGACAGGCCGTCCTTTTTCCTTCTATCGGTTGTTTATTCTTTGCAGCATGGCCAGTCTGGCAGGATGTATGCCCTCCTGTGCTCCTGCGTCAACCTCAGGCTCAGGAGCTTCCTCTTCCCTGGCTCCAGGAGCACCACCCTTCTTGGCCTCCTTTGCTGCCTTGCGCTTCTCCTGCTTGGCCTCGGCCTCTGCCCTTCTCTGTCTCTGCTCGTTCAGTCTGACGTTCTTCTCCTTGAGCTTCTCCTTTCTACCCTCGGACTTGCTGCCACCGCCTCCAGCCGTCAATTCGACATTGATTCTGCGCTTTCCTCTCTCGCCGCCGACACCGCTGTCAAACATGCTGTGGTGGTACAGCTTCAGGCAAGTCTTCATGCGGTCGTAGTTGGCGAACTCGAGGAACGCGAATCCTTTGCTCTTGTTGGTACCCTTCTCGGTCGAGTGACGCACTGATTGCGGTTGGATGGATGCGAAGTGCTCTTTGATTTGCTCTGTCGTGGCCGTGAATGGTAGGTTACCGATGAAGACGATGAAGCGCTGGTTCTTTGCTGCCTCGTCGCCTTCTGTTGTAGTGGTCGCATCTCCTTCTTTCTTCGCTAACGGCTCCTTGTTGGCCGAGGGCTCCTTCTTGCGCTTCTTTTGTTGCTTGGGCTCGGCGGGGGCTGCGTCTTCCGCGGGTGCTTGCTGCTCCTTTTCTTCTTGCGATCGCTTGCGCTTCTTGGACGAAGACTTGTCTGATGTGGCATTTGAGTCGTCTGCTTCCGCGGCGGGTTCGTCGTTCTTTGGTGTGTCGTCGGTGGTCCCCTCGACCTTGCTCTTCTTGTTCTTCTTGTATCTCTCCTCGGAACGCTTGGCCTTCTTTGCCTTGCCTGTCAAGACTTGCGCGTCTGCTTCTTGTGACATTTTGAATTGTGTGGTGGATTGAGATTGTTTTTGCGATCACCACCAAAAAAAGTCTCTGTCTGGACTCGCTCTGGCTTCTCCGCACATTTTAAGTCCGTGCTTTCTCCGACGCTCTCTTTCACATGCTTGACTTGAGGATAAGTGATGCTCTCGGCATTAAATTAGGTCAATTGTTCCCTCATGACCTTTGTGCTGAACGTTTAGTTGTTGAACCGTACAAAGCTTTGGAGGAAGTGTTAGGCGAGAGAGTGGACGAGTCGGACTCAGCGGACCTTTATCAAGTTCTCAATACTCAACTGTGCAACTTGATAGTCAGTAGCTGTGGCTAGCGAGAGCTAGGATCGGCATGCGCTGTGTGTACAAGTCAACCTCATGCGCTTGCTATGAGTCCCCAAGTTAACTTGACTTGTCCGAAGCGCCGACAGGTTGTACAATGCAGAAAATTAAAAAAGTTCATTCAGACCATATGTACAAAACGCTCAAGAAACCCCAGTAAGAAAACGATGGTCATGACTGCAACCATGTCCCAAAAGACACACGCGACAGCATTTCTCTCCGCGGTTGCTTTCTGCGGTCACCCTTCTTTTGTGTGTGAGCCTCCTCTTGAGCCACGTCCGGAAAATATGACGAACTGGGTACTGATTGTTCCGTCCAGAGGTGACTTCCTGAGCGTAAGGGCCTGAGTGCAAACCATGACTGTGTGTCTGTGTCCTGTGCTAGTCTGTGTGTGTGTTGCGTCAAGTGGGTATCTGCGCCGAACACTGCCGTTGCTCCCCCAATATCAAAGGATCCAACGCCAGTGACGCCCAGAGACTAGACTTAAGGCAAATCGATTAAAGAGATCTATCATGCCGAGAAAATGCGAATGTTGTGAAGTAAGGGAAGTCGATGCGAATATTGCCTGCCTCAGAGAATGATGCATTTTTGCTTCTTGGGCTTCGAGGTAGGGCGAGGGCTCAGGACGGCTCTGTTTTGCTATGTCAGCGGCTGCAAGTGTTCGAAATGCTGACAATACATGCGTACCTAATAGCCTCGTCGAAGACGCTCTTGAGGTTGCGCTGTGTAAGAGCAGAGCACTCCATGTACTTGACTGCCTTGATTTCCTTGGCGACAGCAATGGCCTGCTCGTACTGGATAGGTGCCATCTTCTTCTGTCTCAAACTTTCCTTGGTGCCTTCGTCATCGCGAAGATCGAGCTTGGTTCCGACCAGGATAATGGGAACACCGGGTGCGTGATGCTCAATCTCGGGGTGCCACTGTGACGCCATATTAGTATCCTTCAAGGCTTCAGTATGTCTTGCCTGTTCGTACCTTGGCCTTTACGTTGTCAAAAGAAGGAGGGCTGACGATGGAGAAGCAGATGAGGAAGACGTCGGTCTGGGGGTACGAGAGAGGACGAAGACGGTCGTAATCCTCCTGACCAGCAGTATCCCAGAGACCAAGACTGATAGGCTTGCCATCGACCATGACACTTGCGGAGTAGTTGTCGAAGCTGTCGAGCATCAAGGCGTTAGTTGTCGGATCATGCGTACGGGCAGTATTTGTGTAACATACACAGTAGGAATGTATTCGCCGGGGAAGGCATTAGTCGTGTACGAGATCAAGAGACAGGTCTAGCACTCCAGTTAGTTTGCGGTTACCTGAAGACCAAAGACGAGCACGAACCTTGCCGACAGCACCATCTCCTGTGACGACACACTACGAAGGTGTATTAGCAATTGCATCTTCCGGAGCTTCGACCCTATGGCGTACTTTGAGCGACTGTGTTTGAGGGCCGGAAGCCATTGTGAAGGTGTTCCTTTGGTTGGAGTGTTCCGAGGGGGGGATGAGTGATACACAGGGTCGACGAGATCTTGATGATGTCGTGCGAAGAGGGGTCTTGGATTGGCTTCAAGGCTTCTCCGGTTGTTTCGTTGATGGAGCGACTTTGGGGGCGTCAAGTAAGGGCCAAATCGATCTCGAGAGGAAGATGGGCGACACGACAGAAGGCTGCTGCAGTGAAGTTAGCACGATGCGGCTCTGGGCCCTAAGAAGGCGGTAAACATGCCTTCTTTCACCGTCTCCACGTCGGGTCTAGTCTCGTGCGATCGGAGCAGGAGGCAGGTCGTCAAGTAGATGACCAGGTGAAGCAGCAATGGCGAGAAAAAAACGTCAAGCTCCTGATATGGCGGTATGGGCACTGGATCTGAAGTTCACTTTGGGGGCTCTACACTGCGATTGGTTGAGTTGGGCTCCTAATCCTATTATGCCGCCGGGACGAACCGAATCGCTACTGCTCTTCCTGCTTTTGCTTCTGCGGGGCGCTACGAGCAAGAAAGACCTTCTCGACGTGATTCAACCCTCACAAAACTGCATGCACGTTGGGTTTTTCTTCTCGTCACCAGCCGCGCCGACTCGCCATCGGCTATGCGTTTGCAGACCTTTCCAACGTTATGCGCGCGAGTCACGCCGACCGGCTTTCTTGAGCAAACATTTATCAATTGCTTGACCACGCTTGACCAAACGCGCCGCCTACCCCTTGAATCAATGAATGACGTCTGGCATGTCATTACCAAATACTATTTCCGGCATGTCCAAGATCCAAGCGCCTGTAGCTCTGTGTATTTCTTTGCTCTTCCAAAACTACATGTGCAGTCAACATCTCAAGCCCATACCTTGATGCTCTCCGAGGCGGCCACGTTCTGGTTCGAATCCCGTTTCATCATGTGGAGAAGGGGGCAGATAGACTTTGGATGCCCTCCATAATCTCGTTTTGCCCAAAAAGGCAGTCTTTGGTCACTTTTGATCGATTTCGTGCTTAGACTTCAAATTCGGCCTTGCAGGAACAGACGAACTCGGCCAGGCTTCGATCCCACGCTGACTTAGACCGTGAATGTCAAGGTGAGAGTCGGCATCACACGAAGGACTTATGATCGAGTGCATGCTTAGCAATATGTGTTTAAAATATGACTGTTGATATGTACTCGGTTTTCGAGGAATCTGACCAGTGTCCATTGGGAACTCAGCTGCAGTACGGAGTAATCTACCGCTCAGTAAATTCTGAACTTGCGATGTCACAGTGCGACATCACAGCTAAGTAGTAGTGTCTATCGATAAAATCCACGTGCTCAGTATCATCATGTTCTATCAGGGTCACCAAAATGGCAGTCAGAAGCTTGTCTGGTGAGTGGGGCGCCCACGGGGCAAAGCCAATCCGACTCTCGGGTCTCTTTCATACGAGCAGCTTGAAAGCTATGCTTTTTAGATAGGCGGGGGTCCGCAAATTCGTCTTCCTTCCTCAGCTTTCCTCCTCCAGCATATATGTATGTGTCTCTGCGACGTTCCTGCAATGTTCATGTTTACTGACTTCTTCAGCGTTCCAAGATGCCCGTCCAACGTATCGGCCAATCCATTCGCCTGCGCAGAGAGTATGTGGACGAATATATTAAGATCCACTCGGAAGTCTGGCCTGGCGTTTTGAAGAGAATCGCTGGCAGCAACATCCACGACTACAGCATCTTCTATGATAAACAGTCGAGCATCCTGTTCGCAACCTTCAAGTACACAGGCACAGACTTCGATGCCGACATGAAGGCCATGGCTGAAGATGAAGAGACGCAGAGATGGTGGAAGGTGACGGACAAGATGCAGGAGAGCCTGAACGAGGGGGCAACGAGCAGTGTCGATGGTGGTTGGTGGCGCGCGTTAGACGAGGTGTTCCATGTCGAGTAGGGTAGTGATAATCCAGAGTGATTGCATCGAAGCAGCGTCTTTAGGTGTCCTGCTTGCCCTTGCTCTTTCTCTTCTTTTTCTTTGGTTCCTCTTCTGTCGGCAGAGGGCCTTGTAGCAGCGCTTTGAAGGCAGCTTTGTGACCGCGCGGTGCCTTGTCTGACTTCTGCTTCTTAGGAGCGGATTTCTTGGTCTTCTTCTTGGAGTCTGATTCGGTAACATCGGCTTCTTTGGCGATTCCTTCAGCGGCCTCGTCGGCGTCCATCTTCTTACTCATAGCCTCGAAGCGCGAGTGACTGCCAACTCTCTCGGTCATGTCTTCGAACTTGCGCTTTGCTCCATTCTTCTCCTGCTCTTGTTGCTCGGCGCGTTTTCTGTCGTACTCGTCATTTCCAGCGAGACCGTGTTTGATGAAACGTCCAGCAGCGGCCTTGTCGAGGGTGGCATTGCGCTTGACATGCGAAGTCTCTGCGAGCTTGATCTTCTCGAAATATTGCTTGACGCGAGTGAGCTCGGCAAAAACGGGGTGTGTTTTTGCGTCGAGACCGTTGAGTCGGAGATAGGAGAATAGCAGTGATTCGATGGCGTACGTGACGAGTGTGTATAGTTTGGCCTTGTCTAACAAAGGGAGTTTGCTCGTGCTAGCGGACAAGGCAGTGTTGATCAGGGGCGCGAGTATTTCTTCCACATCATCGATATTGGCTGAAAGGTTGTCGACCAGTGGGCGCAAATCTGGAGTGTCCATGGTTGTTGATTGTGTTTGGGATAAGACGATGGAAATTTTTGGAGACGCGAGAATGCTTGGTGCAACTTCTAGAAGCAGCGGAGAGAGCGGCGGCGGGAGTGCCGAGGTCGGTCGGCCAATCAGAACCCCCGGAGCAAGCATTAGTTTTGTCACAGTTACGACCTTACTTCTATTCCACCTCTGCCTCTCCCATACCTACGCCTCTCCTCACAAAGACATCTTGCCTTAATTCGACCATCAACATGCCTCGCAACAACCGTGGATCTGCTGCCCCTCCCAGGCGCCCTACCGCCGCTCCTGCCCGTCCTGCGCCACCCACTCCCCAGCAGGCTCGCTCGGCCTCCACTGCTGCCCACCCTCCTCAGCAACAACACGCTCCTCCCCCAGCCGCCGCTGCACCCCAGCAGAGCGCCGGCCCCGGTCTTTTCGGCCAGATGGCCAGCACTGCTGCGTAAGTTTTGCTCCGCCTATTTGGCTGCCTAGAGAGCTTCGGAACAACTCAGACTGACATTTGAACAACAGTGGTGTCGCCGTCGGCTCTTCCATTGGTCACGCAATCGGCGGTTTCTTCGGCGGCGGTTCCTCAGCTCCCGCTGAACAGCAAGCCCAGGCTCCTGCCAACCCTGCCGATAACAGCACTTACACTTCATCCAACTACCAGGCCCCCAGAGCCTGCGAGACCGATGTTACCAACTTCCGCCGCTGCATGGACGAGAACCAGGGCAGTCTGACCATCTGCGGTTGGTACCTCGACCAGCTCAAGGCCTGCCAATCTGCTGCCTCGCAGTACTAAGCATCTGTCTTCTGTTCCCTTTTGTACAATACCACATGAATCACGTTGGTTCGTTATTTCGCCTCTCAGCACATTTGTTCCTGTAGGAAGATTGTATCATTATCTGTTTTACATTCACATCTCGTTTCGGAAGATACATGCGGAGCCAGCTCTCAACACATAATCTAAGCCAAATATCTCTTGAGTCCACGCTCGGCCAAGACACCGACTGCGCCAATCCCAACCAATGCAAGCGACCAAGGGTTGCTCACCTCTCTTAGAGAAGGCCAAAAGCTGTTCTTGTTTGCGCGCCATTCCTCCAGCTGAGCGTACTTCTTGGGTGCCTCTGTCTTGTAGCGCTGCTCCTGAGATTCTTCGTTCTGCTTGTCGCCGCCAATGAAGCGTAGGAAGGCATAGTTGGCTAGAGGGCCCACAATGCTGAGGGGATTGAAAAGACCGTTGGCGAAGAGGAGCAGTGGGAAAGAGAAGTGAACTAGAGCGTCACCGAGGTAGTTGGGGTGACGCACGATCGACCAGACACCACTGCGGTTGAGATCATCGCTCTTCTTCTTGTGCTCTGCAATCTGCTGGTCTGCTAGAGCCTCCATGTTGAGTCCAGCGGTGTACATGCCAATTGCAAGTCCGTGGAGCAAGCCGCCGTACTGAGGAGGTGTAGCCTCGAGGCTTCTAATGGTGCCCTGTTGCAGTGCTACAGACCACGATAGAGAGATGAGGGCTTGGAAGACAGCCTCAGGCAGGAAGACGGTGAAGAAAGCCTTGTTCCAAAAGCTGGTGTCCTGATTCATGTCATCATATCTGGGGTCATCCTTTCCACGCTTGATGCTGCGGCTAGCGATGCGGCTGAAGAGTCGAACACCCCAAACCGTAACACCACCAAGAAGAAGCTTTTGTGTCCAGCCAAGAGTAGAGAATGATTCGCGATAGGAAAGACCAGTTTCCCAACTACGGGCAATAATTCCATGGTACCAAGCATTGAGGACCATTCCAGATGGCCATAGCCAGTCCTTGATCTCCACACGGCGCGTTGTACGGCTAACGGTGTACGCGAGAAGTGCGAGAGACGAGTGCAGGTTCAAGGAAGGCAGTAGGTTGTCGTGCAGAAGACCTAGCACATTGGTGGTTGCTGAGGCCACTTGAGGTTTGATGTCGGGAATTCGTGAGCGTGAACTGCCAGTAGCAGCTGGGTCCGTTGGGACCTTGGAGCCGTATGCCATGACTGTGAGTGTTTTGATGGTTGATGATTGGAGCGCGTGGTGGACATTTAAACCAAGATGTGGTCCGTGGAGTCTTGTGACGCAATTCTTGTGTATGATCGATTTGCTCCATTCGAGTTGTTTGCTTGGCCTATATCGCTATGTGCAACACCAGAAGGGTCGATTCAAGAGCACTGAAAGGTGCTTCTAAGTATAATGGCGACCCTCAAGTGAGTGGGCCTCTAGACGGCCACGCGAGTGGAAACCTACTTTGATGCACACTTGCTTTGGCACTTCCCTAATCTTTGATATATTCCCAGCTGCCTGAGTTGAGCCACTTTTGACTTGACTGCTGTATGAATCCAACAAGAAGCCTATCCTTCCCGTTCTAGCCAATGTAGATTGATCACCGAATGGGAGTATTCGGAGTTCTCTCACCATCGAGGTGTGATCGAGACTCGGCCGCAGGTTCGAGACAGGGTCATCCCGATGTCATGGGTTTTCGGGCAATGCGTAAGCAAGGTACGAAGAGCATACGCAGGTCCTGTCGCTCGGGTGTCGAAAAGATACCTACAGTCCGCCATCCCATGTAGGCTCTCAGACAGTGCCAAAGGCTCCGAATGCTGCAGTTGGTCGCTCTTCTTGGTGTTGGTCATAAGCAAACATGAATAATTATTGACGAACACAGCTTTGCGGTTGACCAAACTACCACTTTGCCTTGTAGCATCTTGCTTGCTAGGTGCTGTGTCAGGATTGTGGCACATGAGCTATCAAACATACTCAGCATGCAAGGCTAGACATGTATACGGCTACCCTCTTACATCACAGTACCCAAGCATCTGCACGCTGGTGTGCGGCCCGCACAGTTGACATGCAGCGGTCTCCTGGATGGCCTCCGGTTCACTGACTTGCAGAAGTGCAGCGCCAGGGACAAGTACAAGGTCAGGGCTTCACAAGTGCACAACAAGGGTCGAACTTGCGGTGTGTCAAGTGCACCTCCGTTACATTGTTGTATGCTCGCGAGCATAGCGAGGAGAACACGCAACGGTGAGATGAAGCTGAAGCTCAAGGCCCAACTCCCCTGAAACGGCATCGAAGGCTGTAGGAGACAAGAGTATAGGTTTGCCGACAGAACTGACCACGATTGTGCCGAGGACATGTAAAGACGTGCAGTTCGTGTCAAATGCAATCCCCCGAACCAGTTCGCGCAGCTATGTCGTTGAGCGATTTACCTGCTGTGGGAGACACCCTGTTTCTTCCCCCTTTCAACGGTCTCGCTCCCTTCTTACCTTTAACGGTTCTGACGGTTTTTGTCAACAATGCAGGGAACGCACCCCCCTGTTCACAACATGTGCAAAGAAAACAAAGCCTTGCGTGAGAAGAACATCTGATGAATGTACCGAGTCACTGTATATTGATGCAAGAGCTGATCATTCGCTATAGGTAACACCCCTTGCAACTAGAGCTGATCCTCCGACTTTGCTACAAAGCCTTGCAGTCGCAGAGATCAATCCACAGTAATCCACAGTGACCAACATGCACGATCGCTATGAAAAATTCACGATCAACCCGCATGCCGTTATGGGCCCTGGCTTCATGGCTTCAACATTCCATCCCCTTTCCTAGTTCACAGGTGGGGAATGCTCTCGCCTTTATAGGAGGTATAACCCATGGGAGTCAAAACAAAAGTCTACATTCCCGCGACTGTTTGTTGTTTTGATACTCATTTCCACTTCACTCTTGGGTATCGTCCAGTCACTTCCTCCTGGCATATCTTATGCAACAGAACCCCTTCCCCAATCGTTCATCCGAGTAATCGATAGGACGTACAACATGCAGAGCGTTAGAAATTATCCTACCGATATGCGTACCGCCCATGCGAGACCACAGCCTAGGGAAGAGAGGCTTAGGATACCGGGGCAACCACAACAGACTCAGATGAGGACCAAGTCTCAACCGAACCTTAGGTCGATGGCACGTCGACCATTGCCTGGTGCTTGCTCTCAGGCTGAGAGACACGACGCATACAGGACACCGAGAGTGATCCCTCCTCCAGCCAACACTCATCACCGCCGCAAGCATGAAGCCATGTACCTGGAGGAGCCTCCATTCGAGCGACCATTCTCCCCAGAGTCTGACTCGGAGGAACACATGATCTTGGACTACTACCTCCAAGCATCATACCAATCTCCTCTATCAAGAGTTGTCTCGGCAGAAGAACCATGCAACCAAGGTGGAGCCATGGCTGCCTTTGACTTTGGTCTCGAGCAATCTTCTGAGCCCTCATACACACACACTCGTCGTTCTGCTGAACGACCAAAGACGGCACACGAGACTAGAACACCATCGTCTCCACCAAGACAGCGTCGTCCATCGCTCCCTAGACAAGCTCCCTTGTCACCTCAGAGACAATCTCCCTCATCACCTCAAAGACACACTCCATCATCACCTCAAAGACACACTCCTTCATCACCTCAAAGACAGCCTCAACAACAACAATACACCCTCTTCCCCAAGGAGCAACCGTCAACACCACGCATCAGCGTCATCAGCGACAACGGCAGCATCACCTCCCGCCACAGCATGCACAGCCAACTCCGACCTCGCACCTCTTCCCTCGCATCATCAGAGCGCTCGCGCTCAGATTCATGCATGTCCGTCCGCCTTCAACCTTCCGCAAACATCACATCTTCCCCCACCACCTCACCCAAGCGTCCTCAAACAGCACCTCGCATGCGCACCACCAGTGCCTCTTCCCAACAACAAACCAGTCTCTCCGGCAAACCTCCATCACGCTGGTCAGGCGAGACTGTAGATGTATCTTTGGATTCCCCCAAATCTACCAGAAACGCCGAGGACAGAAGTAGAGATTCGACTTCGTCTACTCTGGTGGCTACCAGCCCTGCATGGCCCACTGGCAGCTTCTTCGAGGATGACGATGAGGACAAGGTGCCATTGAGGCGCAAGGTGGCTCAGAAGTTGAAGTCTTCGCGTTCGAGCAATGCGCTGAGATCGGTTAGCAACCCCACCGCCAACAATGTGGAGCCAATGCACAAGAAGTCTCCTTCGTGGGCTCGCCGGCTGGTTACCTGGCACCGCGCTTAGAGGGGGATGTATAGAGTTTTATGATTATTATGACACTTGATGATGATGAACGTCCTGTCTTTCAATCCAAATTACTTTCAAAACAAACATTCCCTCTTCAATCTCACATGTGAACGTGATTTGATCGTATATGACGACGATCCTTGTAGTAGAGTATTATTCCTATGAACAGTATGGGTATTCTTATGTACTGAATGAAAAAACCGAAAAACGCTTGCTTTATGTCTAAAAGACTTATGCCAATATGCCCAGAACGCCTTCATGATGCTTTCGTTATCGCGTGTGTAAACATTAAGAGAGCATGCTCTCGATCGAGGCTCTGATGTTCATCCAGATGCCTCCATTATGGTCAGATTTGGCGTCGCTGATGCTGCGAACAGCATCGATGGCCTTCTGGCCGAGTATGTCGTCTTCAGGGAACCAAGAGCCGTGAAGTCCATAAGGAACACGTTGTGGGAGTGCTACTCTACCAACAACTGTGCTCATGTCCTTGGCGTCGATGATCCAGAGTTCACTCTTTGCTCGGCTAGCAGCGTCCGTGTCGGAGGGAACCTCTCCATCTGTGCGGAGCTGGGACTCGTCAAAGGCATAGGTGAGAAGATAACCGTCATCTTCTGCCAATGTCTGTCCAGCAACGGCCTTGCGTGGGACGAATCTGGGCTCCTGAGCGAACCAACCAGCAGGCATACGGAAGACTTGAATTGGGTCATTCTCCAGAGGGCTGTCAATGACCTCTTGAACGGTGCGAGTATCAACGCAGCCCGTGACAGGTTCAAGCTTTCCCAAGTTCATCAATCGATCGCCCTTCTGAATCAATGTCTTGGTGTCGACTTTGGCAAGTGCATCAATCTTAACGGAGCGACCCAGCGCTGCGTTGAAGGATGAAACTGTTGTACTGCATCCATAGACGTAGCGAGCTTCTTGCATGTCAAGGTCAGGATGGACCGAGGGGAACTCGAACGAGATGGCTGACAGCGCGTATTGAGCAGTGATCTGCGAAGATTTGAGAGAGAATGCGTAGTGATACAGACGGCATTGATCATCTTCTTCAGGGATCTCTTCAGCCTCGTCTGAATAAGCAGCGGTGGCATGACCATCCGCTGTCATCTTAATCAAAGGCTCACGCTCCAGACGAGGTGACTCAAGGTCTGGTGCTCCCTCAAACAAGCATTGTTCATCAGCGTCGTACTTTGAGAAGAAGGGCATCTTCTTCTTGACAGCCTTCACAGTTGATTTTGTAGGCTGAGGTGCGGCAATATTGCCAGCGCTAAATACCAGGCAAGCAGAAGTTAATCTGCAAGTCAAGAGGTGAACTGTCTCGACCTGACCAGAAGCGTCAAAGTCATCCCAAGCGTTGGCAGTGTGAAAGATACAGCAAGCGGTCGTCTCGAAGTACTTGACCTGCTCTGGATTGTGTCGAGGGAAGACACCAAAGCGCGCAGGCTTTGTAGCGTCATAGTCGATGACAGGCTTATTTCTAGCCAAGTTAAGAGGATCGAGAGAAAGAGGAAGGTCCATGATTATAGTGTGCTTGAGAGACACACCAAAGTCGTGCATCATTTTGGCACCAGTGATACCAGGTACAGGACGTTGCACCATCCCTTTGTTCGAGTCGGAACGGGAAGAAGCTTGCGGAATGATAGAATACTGAACGTAAGGAGGGAAGAAGGTTGAATGGAAAAGCATCATCTCCTTAGTAGTTGGGTCGACCTTGGGGTGAGCGGTAGTCCATTCACGCATGAAGCCGAGTAAACCACTGCCAGAGAAGGAAGGGTCATTCTTATCATGAGCTTCGGGCTCGCCCTCTGCACGGTTGCCATCGTACCAACCAACAGTCTCTAGTCCAGGAAGGGCGATGCGCATGGGGGGACCGCTCTCGCATGTGGCCAATGCTCTGCCGTCATGGTATAGGATGGCAGTGTTGGCAACACTGATTCTCTTGATGGCGCGAGTAGAGCCTGGCAGGAAGGACAGGACGACAAGCACGATAGTGCGTAGAATGCGTAGTACGATGGTGAAGAGAGATGCCAAGGGGTTGACTAAGGTCGCAATGCTGGGCAAGATGGGCGAACGCAGGCGTGAAGAGGCGACAGTGGAGAGGAAGATATCGGTCAGGATGTACTGATTGACGAACTCGGGTTGGACAGAACCATCTGGCTGCCTGGTGAATGAGACGCCGCTCAGCATGCCATCGCCGTCGAACCAGTGGGCATCGCGACCAAGGTCTTCGTTGGACACAGGGTTGCCGCCATTGCGGACATATTCACCACCTGCAAGCTCACAGGGAATGTCGCCTTCATATGTACATTTGGTCAGTGGGAGAGTCTGGTTGATAGGCGCGAAGTTGCCAGAGAGATAGCTATTCAAGAATCAGTCAATGCTAGAGGCAAAGGAACAAGGTTTCGTAGGTAAACATACGCGTGTTTGTGCTGTGGCGGACTCTTCTTTTTCGCAAAGAAAGGCATGTCCTCGCAGTATTGGCTAGCAGTCTACGAGACGTGATTGATTGCCAGGACAAAGCTCAGGCATGGGAGTTGGCACTCGAGATGTCAAAAAGGCTTGTAGGACAGAGCAGACTCGGTAGTCAGGATACGAATAGCGATGGCATGATCGGACTAAGCGCCCGTGAAAACCAAGTACGTGTGGTGCTCGTCACCCACCTCGCACCAAGCAGTGAGCACGATCCGTGATCTTGACAGCTCCCATGACATCGGTGTGCATCATAGGCGGCCCATGCGGAACAGGAACGTCTGGGACCGGCGGCTCGGATCGCCAAATACTTGAGCAAACATCCAAGATCATGGCAAGCGACCGTGCCTGCCGAAGGCTGAAATCGCCGATGGGAAAGGCTTGCCGAGACAAGGCGTTTTCCATCGGCCTTCCTCTTCGCGCCAGCATCCGAACCAACTTGTGGGCTGCCAGAGTCGCAACTTCACCCTGACTCTCTTTTGTCTGATGGCCCTGCGATAGTCGTTGGTTTAGCAATTGTTCGATACCATGGGCTATGACTATGCGCTCGTGTGAGTCAATTCTCTCTCCTCATGCTGTCCACGTTGACGCGAGTACTCGTACTGATCCCCGCCTAGGCACGTCAAGTACACGATTCCCCCGGCAATCGCCTTGACTCTCCTCTACCGTCCTCTGTTGACCCGTCTGGATGTCTACAAGATCCTCTTCCTCATCACCGTATGATCCCCGACTTCGCTCTTGCACTGCGCCAATCTCACTACCCCTTAGATCGCTGTTGTATCCACCACACCATGGGACTCCTACTTGATCCGTACTCGCATCTGGTCCTATCCCGAGAACGCCGTCATTGGGCCTAAGGTCTTTGACATTCCTCTAGAGGAGCTCTTCTTCTTTGTTATCCAAACCTACAACACTTCGATCTTGTATCTGCTTCTGAGCAAGCCTACCTTCCACCCAGTCTATTTGCGCCGCCAGGAAAAGAATGACCGTTGGAAGTACATGAAGCTGGCTGGTCAGCTTCTGCTTGGTCTGCTTATGAAAAAGGCTATAACCCTTATCAGGGAAGAAGGCGCGGGAACATACATGGGCCTGATTCTGGCATGGGCTGTCCCATTCTTGCTTTTGCTGTGGTCGCTGGCTTACCAATTCATCCTTGGTTTGCCCATTACCAACACCCTGCTGCCAATCCTTCTTCCGACCTTGTACCTCTGGATTGTGGATACATTGGCTCTCCGCCGAGGCACCTGGGTCATCGAATCGGGCACTAAGCTTGGAACCCACCTTTGGCCTGGTCTGGAAATTGAAGAGGCTGTCTTCTTCCTGTTGACGAATACTCTGATTGTGTTTGGTCTCGTTGCTTTCGACAATGCAATCGCAATCCTCAATGCTTTCTCCACGCATTTCCCTTCGGTACCGGCACTCCCTTCACCTATGCTGTTGGTCAAGGCCCTCCTACTCCCGGCTGGAGCCTATGATGAAGATCGCATTGAAGGTCTCGCGCAAGCTGTTGATCGTCTCGAGAAGAAAAGCCGAAGCTTCTTTCTGGCCAGCGCAGCGTTTTCTAGCCGTCTGAGAGTAGACTTGATTGTTTTGTACTCTTTCTGCCGTGTAGCTGACGATCTTGTCGATAATGCCGCCTCGCCTCTTGAGGCGCGTAAATGGATTAAGCACCTCCGTACTTTCCTGGATCTCTCCTACAAAGCCAAGGATCCAATGGCGCACGATCAGAATGTTGGAAGCGTTGTCCGACATGTCGTTACTGAATTCCCACGCAACACCCACACCGCCTTGCTCCAACTCCCTACCGGACGTCTTTCTTCGAAAAATCTCTATGATCTTCTTAAAGGCTTCGAGATGGACCTAGGCTTCCAAACGAGCAAGGGAGCCAAGCCTTCTGCTTTCCCAATAAAGTCAGAATACGATTTGGACATATATTCGTCACGGGTTGCCGGTACAGTGGCTGCCATGTGCATTGAGCTCGTGTTCTTCCACTACCCGGACGAGGTATCTAAAGTCCAACAAGAAAAGATCCTGGATGCCGGAAACACCATGGGAATAGCACTTCAGTACACGAACATTGCCCGCGACATCGGCACGGATGCTCTACTACAGCGCGTCTACCTGCCGACCAATTGGCTGAAGGAGGAGAACTTGACCCCTGAACAAGCCATCCAAGTGTTCACGATATTGGACGGCAAGTCCACACTTGGCCCTGAAGATCAAATATTCATAACCAAGCTGGAACGATTGAGACACCGTCTATTGGACCGATCGTTCGCGTTGTACGAAGACTCACGCGATGCTATCGACAAGCTCCCTTCAGAAGTGCGCGGACCCATGCGCGTCGCTACCGAGAGTTACATGGAGATTGGACGGACCTTGAGACAGCCGGGCTACAGGGTCACGAAAGGAAAGGCAACAGTAGGCGGATGGCGAAGACTGGCAGTGGCTTGGAAAGCACTGCAGTAGCACACAAAAGCAGAGATACCCAGTTCATATGCATATACATAATGTAATTTCTGCTAGGTCACGATAGTATGACCTGACGACGATGGATCATGGCGGATCGACTCGTGATATGGTGATACAGTTTTGACATGTAGATTAGCTCCGATGATGGAAGCTCGGACCGTCGCCTGATGGGTGGGGCTGGCTCATGCAAACCACGAGCATGCGGGCGATGGGCGATGGGCGTTCCGGCGTTGCCATGTTGAATGCTTGGACATTATCTGCTTTCCACCATGTAGCAGCTTACTGTTACCTGCCCAGTCCCTCGTGGTAGGCACATCAATCCTCAAATTCGGCCATGAGTGGGAACACCAACCAAAGGACAGCCATTGTCATAGGTACGCACTGCGAGACGTCGCCTGCGAGCACAAGATACTGATGAATGCATGCTACTACAGGCGCTGGAGCCGGAGGTGTTTCAACCGCCGCACGACTTGCAAAGGCGGGCTTCAAGGTCACTGTCTTGGAAAAGAACGACTTCACCGGAGGTCGTTGCTCTCTCTTACATCATGAGGGTTGGGTGCGTACTGCTACAGCCTGCCTTCCGTATATCTCCACAGCCGACTGACGACAACATTCCAGCGATTTGACCAAGGTCCCTCTCTTCTCCTCCTGCCTCGTCTCTTTCACAAGACATTTGCCGACCTCGACACAACTCTGGAAGCCGAAGGAGTACACATCGTCAAGTGCGAGCCCAACTATAACATGTGGTTCGGCGACGGAGAGAAGTTCCAGCTCTCGACCGATCTGGCCTTGATGAAGGAGCAGGTAGAGAAGTGGGAAGGTAAGGACGGATACTCAAGATACCTCTCGTTCCTGAAAGAAGCCCACAGCCACTACGAACTCAGTGTCGAGCATGTCTTGTCGCGCAACTTCACCAGCATTACCTCTATGCTGCGCCCTAGCTTCCTTGGTCGCGTTTTCGAATTGCACCCTTTCGAGAGCATCTACAGTCGTGCTTCTAAATACTTCTGGACCGAGAGGCTGCGTCGCGTCTTTACTTTTGCGAGCATGTACATGGGCATGAGTCCGTTCGACGCTCCAGGAACGTACAGTCTTTTGCAATACACAGAGTTGACTGAGGGCATCTGGTATCCAGTTGGAGGCTTCCACAAGGTCATCGATGCGCTCGTCAAGATTGGCGAGCGTTTTGGTGTAACCTACAGACTTTCGACTCCAATCTCCAAGATCACTCTTTCTCCCGACGGTCGACGGGCCACAGGTGTTGTCCTTGCCAATGGCGAGACTCTATCCGCCGATGTGGTCGTGAACAACACTGACTTGGTCTATGCATACAACAACTTCTTACCACCTACTCCATACGCAGAATCATTAGCCAATCGCGAAACTTCCTGCAGTAGTATATCCTTCTACTGGGCATTGGATCGCAAGATACCGGAGCTGAACGCTCACAACATCTTCCTGGCGGACGAGTACAAGGAGAGCTTCGATTCCATCTTCAAGAAGAATCTGATCCCAAACGAACCAAGTTTCTACGTGAACATCCCCAGTCGGCCGGATCCCACAGCTGCTCCCGAAGGCAAAGAATCAGTCGTCGTACTGGTACCAGTCGGTCACCTCCTTGGTGAGAATGAGAACCCCACGAATGTCTCTACTGCAACCACTGGTGAGATCCAGCAGGGCAATTCTGGCGAAAAGTTGACAAGCTCCAAATCGGCGCAAGGCGTCAAGCCATCAGAAACACAGGATTGGCCCAAGATGATTGAGCTTGCGCGCAAGACTATTCTCGCAACTATTGCTAAACGCACTGGTGTCGATATTACACCGTTCATTGTGCATGAGATTGCCAACGATCCCATGACATGGCGTGAGTCATTCAACCTCGACCGCGGTGCCATCCTTGGTCTATCACACTCGTTCTTCAATGTACTGTCCTTCCGACCTTCGACACGCGCAAGACGAGGTGGCTGGCTAGACGGGCGCCTTGGTGGTGGCATTCTTGGAAGAGTTGGCGAGCTCCTCTTCAGCGGAGGCAGTATTGAGCGTCTTTACATGGTTGGTGCCAGCGCTCACCCAGGCACAGGTGTACCCATTGTGCTGGCGGGAGGTCGGTTGGTTGCGGAACAAATTTGCCAGGACTTTGGCATGAATATCCCCTGGCCAACCGGGTCCCAAGAGAAGCAGCGAACTGGTGCTCTTGACCAGGTCCAAAACTCTTTTGCGATCGAGTGGGTTGTATATATGCTCCTTGCATTCCTCGTGCTTGCGCTTGGTATGTTCCTCGGCAAGCAAACTTAAGCGTTCTTGCACGAAGACCCCTAGATTTTCTTCACGAATAGACTTCTGTAATACCTTTTCGCATTGATGTAGACTTCTACGACCCTTGAATATCCAGCTGGATAGTCGTTGTCGCGAGACTCACCACGGTCCCACACGTTCCACCACTGAGCAGAGTCGAAATCAAGTGAATCAGCTCTACTTCCGTAGGATGCCGCCTCATGAGGGTGTACAGATCCAAAAATCACGCTCTGGTCACGATGCGGTGAATCCTTGTGATGGGTGGCACATGTGACAATTGGCAATTTGTACCGACCTCGTCACTCCACGATCCACCCAACCTCGTCGGCATCTTCGGCTCTTCGATGAATCGACGGCCGTACAGTGGGCGATCAACAGCCAATACAAGTACAAAATTCCGGTTTCATGCGCGACGAATTTGCATCGTATTGCAAACAAATTGTTAATTGAATAATCGAAGACTAATTCTTCACACGAGGAATCGATTATTGACAAGGTACGTACTGCTTGTGACCAGGGGTTGATTCATGTCATGTATATGTCATGCCCTTCCAGCCGCCAAATCGAACCACGCCTTTGCAATTTGCATACAGGTGCCGTTGGCCTGACACCACACCATTCGTCCGGGGTCCAAGTCCTGCTCTCAAACGGAGATGCAGATTGGAGAGATACGTCATGTTTTCATTTTGCAAAGCTTAAACTCGAGATAAGATGCAAATGGCTGATTCTGATGTCGATGCCGAGCAACCCTGATTTGTGATGATGGCAGAAAACAGATCTCGAAGTTCAATCAAGCTTTGTCGATCGACCTACGGAAAGGGCTTGGACTTCTTGTTGGCCTGTGGCGCCGGTGAAAGACTAGGACGGTTGACGCCGAACCCCAGGACAATTGATGACATCAATACCAGCAGTCCCTTTTACGTAGTTTTTGAATCAATGGCGTCTCTACACTCGTGTGCTGTGATGAATTCCTCGGAGCTGTCGGGCGCTACAGGAGCTCAATGGCTGGTAGAGAATTTGTGCTAGGCGGCATCCTGCAGTGCGATAGTGGTTTTCTCGACGGAGCGTTGGGCCTGTGCGACTACCCGTAGATCACTTTGGTGGGTGGTGGTTCGTTCGTGTTGTGAGTGACGGGGAAGGGTCGATCGAAGTGAAGGGCAGTTGTTTCCCAGATCTCGTCATGACGATGAACGAAGTGATACCTGCCGAATCTTCCGCATTCCAACACTTTTTATAAACCACCCACCCTCCCGATTGTTCTTCATCTTCCATCAACACATCTTCATCGCAGGCGATTTCATTGCTTCCATATCTAATCCTCACCACCACTCAAGATGGATTTCCTCCAGAAGAGAAACGACGCGCTCAATGTCAACCGTAAGTTGCTGTGAGAATCCTCTGCCTCTGCGCTCGCGCTGACATTGTTTGCAGCCAACATGGTCAATGGAAAGTCTTCCGACATTGCCATCACCGTCCGCGGTTCCGACTGGTACTGGGCTGTCTGTGCAGTCATGACCATGGCCACATTTGTCTTCCTGGGTCTCGGTGTCACCAAGCCTCGCCAGCACCGTGTCTTCCACTACATCACTGCTGCCATCACTATGGTCGCTGCTATCGCGTACTTCTCTATGGCCTCCAACCTCGGCTGGACCCCCATCGACGTCGAATTCCAGAGAAACGACCCTGAAGTTCGTGGTATCAACCGTGAGATCTTCTACGTCCGCTACATCGACTGGTTCATCACTACTCCTCTCTTGCTTCTCGACTTGATGTTGACCGCTGCCATGCCTTGGCCTACTATCCTCTTCATCATCCTTGTCGATGAGGTCATGATCGTTACCGGTCTCGTTGGCGCTCTTGTTCGCAGCTCCTACAAGTGGGGTTACTTCGTCTTCGGTTGCGCCGCACTCGCCTATGTTGTCTGGGTCCTCGTCTGGGAAGGTCGTCGGCACGCCAATGTCCTCGGCCGTGATGTTGGCAAGGCTTTCACCTTGTGCGGTTCGCTCACCACATTCCTCTGGATTCTTTACCCTGTCGCCTGGGGTATCTGTGAGGGCGGCAACATTATCTCTCCCGATTCTGAGGCTGTCTTCTACGGCATCCTTGATCTCCTCGCCAAGCCTGTCTTTGGTGCTCTTCTTATCTGGGGTCACCGTGGTATCGACCCTGCCCGTCTTGGTCTCTACATCCATGATTACGATGAGAAGGACCCTGCTGTTAAGGACAAGGTCGGCGCTCCTGGTCCCAATGTTCACCCCAACTCCAACAACGGTGTTGCCACCAACGGACAGACTGCAGAGACCGTCTAAGCTCGCATCGCACAACAACCTGTTCTTTGCTTTGTCTCGACGCTCGCACTGAACCCTCGAATATGGTTTCGATGATTCCTTGATTATCGGCAGCCAGACTGCCTTGGGATACCCATGAGCATGCTTGCATGTTCTCATTACTGCTTTGCTATTTTCTTTTCACGTCCTTTCATGATCACGACTGGGATGGATGGGGAGAAATAATTACTTTGTACAATAATACACTAATTCATGATTCACACACTTACCTTACTTGATTTCTTCGTTGACCTGAACTAGTTCTACTATTCGTGTGGTCCCTATATCTGTGCAACCAACTAGTCAATCTCGCAAGCGAAAGCCCAAGGCGCTTGCGATCCTTCACCGCTCCCCGCATCACCTACCTCGCCCAACAAATCATGTAAGACAAAGGGACCACGAAACAACATCGACTTGATGCCGATTTTTCTCTGTTTGTGTTTCTGTGGCTCTGGATTCCACAACATATGAAGTATTCCGCAAGTCAAATTTAGGATTGTGGAAAGTTCTTGAGAGCAACCATGTCTCTGCGGCCTGAAGACCACCGCTCGTCGCGGTCAAGGTCCAAATCACATTCGAGGCGTGATCGCTCACGTTCTCATAGCGCTGTGAGGAAGACTCATAACATTACGCCTCAGAGGCCTGCAGAATATGTTTACGCCAATACCCCTGCTTCGGTACCACGTCACGTCTCACCTGTAGTAGCCATGCCTGCGATGCCCTCAATGCCGGGTGATTTTGACGAGGAGTATACCATCAAACCTGGAGGCTCGCGTACCGAGGGACAGCCTTTACCTTACCCCTCAGTGGGACAACTGCCTTATCCTTCTGTACCACAGGAGATTGACATGGGCGACTACAAGGACTTTCCACCGCATGAACGGCCTGGGTATGCTGTTGCGTCTAGGGATGCACACGACAGTGACACCGACTTGGCGTACGGTACTCTACCCCTGCCCGAAGTGAGAAGGGGTCATTCTGGTAGTGTGAGCAGCCAGCGTGCACCTTCTCCGGCAGGCTATACCTCGACCTCGTATCATTATCCTGCCCAGGAGACACACTCAACTTCCAAGCCCTCATCGGGTCAGTCTCAGTCGTATGCCTACTCTCAGTCTAGGACCGATCAACCCGCTGGACATCATGACTACATCACTCAACCTCATGGCGCAAGTGGAAAGCAGCTTCAGAAATCTAGCGTCAGACCCCAGACTGTCGACGTGACCCCTGGTATCTCCAAGCAGACCAACCTCGGGCTGAATGTTCGTATGGATAGATTGTCTGTCAGCGGCAATAGACCGGACATATCTGGAAATCTTCCACCCCCGAGTCCTTTGCTTGAGGCATATCGTGGCACCTATCAATCAGTATCTCCCATGATAGCACCCATGCATTTATCTTCAGACACCGACCTTGACAGACTGTCTTCGCTCTCTCCCGGCCCCTCGTCAAGCAGCAAGCATCAAAGACGATCCAGAAGCAGCACTGGCAAGGTCGATTTTGTTGGTTCTGGCTCCGAGTCTCATCCAAAGGATTCGAAGAAGCGAGCACGACTGTACGATGCCGAGAAAGACGCCCTAGCACTGAATGAGGCAATCTCGCACCACAAAATCGACGTCGACACGATTTGCAAGATTCTGCCCTACCTCACGCATGACCAAATCCTCGAACTTCGCAAGGAGTACAAGAAACACGTCAAGGTTCAGGGACGGGGTATCAACATCGCCAAACACATGAAGATGAAACTCTCGGGCAATTTCGGCAAAGCTGTGTACGTCTGCGCACTCGGCAAATACGAAAGCGAAGGCTATTGGGCAAACTTCTGGCATCAGTCTCACAACACTCGTCGCGAGCTGTTGATTGAGAGTCTGATGGGTCGTAGTAATGCGGAGATCAGACAGATCAAGGATTCCTTCAAGGACAAGCGCTATAATGATGACTTGACCAGATGTATGGAGAAGGAGCTGAAGCCAGACAAATTCCGAACAGCTGTGCTCATTGTCCTCGAGGCCAGACGTCAGGAAGAAAGTGAAGTTCATCCAAGACAATATGTTGACAAGGATGTTGAGGTCTTGAACAGATGTCTGACAGCCAAAGAAGGTGGTGAGAGCACTATGCTGGAGATTGTCGTCAGAAGGAGCGATGCGCATTTGCGAGAGGTGTTGAAAGCATATGAGCGTAGATATGGGGTCAATTTTGCGAGGGAGGCTTTGAGGAAGAGTAATAACCTCGTGGTAAGTGGACAGGCTGCCTTTCTCCAGCTCTTTCCTGCTATCTCACCTTCTTTGCAAGTAATCATGCTAACTAATCAAATAGGGAGAAGTGATCTGCCATATTCTCAATGGAGCCATCAACCGCCCAGCCAGAGACGCTTTGCTCCTTCGCCACGCCATCGATGACATTGGTTCTCACAATCGCGAGGAAGAGCTGCGTTACGAGTTGCTTATCTCGAGATTGATGCGAGTGCACTGGGAGCCCGCACACCTGACCCGTGTGAAGCGTGAGTATGTCGAGAAGTATCGCAAGGAGCTCGAACACGATGTCGAGGATGCGACAAAGAGTGACTTCCGAGAGTTCATGTATGAGATCTGTAAGACTTGAGGAGGCAGGTTTGGGTTGGATGCACGAGGTGATGATGACGCTTTACGATGTTCATGGACGCAATATCATGATGGATTGAAATATACCTAAGCAATATAAAAGTTATCATATCGAGAAGTCGATGCTTCCAGATCTCTGAGTTATATGTAAAGGCGGAAGGCAAAGCAGTGTTACCTATCGGAAGGTTCATCGCGCCTGCTAGGTGGCATTGTTGAATCACTTGTAAGAGGCAAGCTCTGAAAAGGCGAATGAAGGACGACGCTGGCTCGACGTGAAAAACTATTCAATTAATCGGGAGCGACATCATGAATATATCGATGTTCACAAAGTGAATGGTCGACAGGAAAGAGCGATGGTCGAGCCGAGCGGCAAATGCCGTCGCACTTGCCAAGCCGCCTAGCGGCCTCGCACCGTGGCAGGCTGTCAGAATTCGCACCTCTGAATTTGTTCGAGACGACCAGCGACCAACGACCGACCCTCTCACAGCCAGCCGCACAGTCGATACTTCAAAATGAGTTAGTCGCCGCCCGTATATTCTGTCGAGCGATACAGACCTGGATACTAACGATTGCGCGCAGCCAAGGGTACTGGATCTTTCGGCAAGCGCCACAACAAGACGCACGTTCTGTGCAGACGCTGCGGTATGCAACTCTTTCTCTCCCACGACGACCGAACGACGGCGACCACCAATCTCTCGGATCCACAGAAATGCTGACGGAACGATCAATATACAGGCTCTCGCTCTCTCCACGTCCAGAAGCACACCTGCTCCAACTGCGGCTACCCCAGCGCTAGCATCAGAAAGTGTACGTTCCGACCCAATACATACCTCTCCTCCGATCACTACACCTCCGCCAATGCCTTGAAGGCCTACAACGAAACATGAATCGACATCTCTGCGACACCTATCAACACCCCACCCCCCGCACACCTCGAATCTACATACTTCTTCCATTCCGAGAACACCCATTCTAACATAAAGCGATACAGTCAACTGGGGCGAGAAGGCCAAGAGAAGAAAGACCACCGGTACCGGCCGCATGCGCTCATTGAAGCTCGTCAACCGCAAGTTCAGCAACGGATTCCGCACCGGCACCCCCAAGGGCGCCCGTGGCCCCACCGCCGCATCCGCCTAAACGATGACTACGCCCTTCGAAGAAACGAGGACGGAGTTGATCAATGAGTAAAAAAACCAAAAAGGCGCCCTTGTTGGCTTTGCTAGTTGTTGATTGGGGGGGGGCTATGGCTATCGAATTCAGAGGAGTTTCCCTTACTTTTTATCCGGCATTAGGGCAATGAATTTTTCTTTTTGCACAAAAAAAAAATGATGGGATTCTTCTTACTGGTTCATGGTAGCCCTTGCCCTCTGCCGGGAGGGAACACGATATGAAGAAAATGACAAAACTTCATCTGGCTGTCCACAACGAGAAGACAAAGAGGGAGAAACGATAAATGGTGTCTGCATGGCCCTTTACCAGACAAAGTCGTATGAACTGTTCCGAAACTGACCTGTTTTCTTCGTCCCTATGTTTGTTTGAAGAAGCGTGAACACGATGAACAACATGATGACCCAGCCTCGCAACTTTGCTCTTTACGGTTGCTGGGGACGTCCCTTTCACAGGACATGGTCGAAAGTGCACATATTCTAATGGATTACTTCAAAGTCGTCTTGATTGAGATCTATGTTATCAAAGTAATGTTGCAGTTCACCGACCCTACATGTCCAGTCATCCATTCGTCATGTTCGTCGCAGATGCATTGTACTTTTTGTTATCATTAGCGGACACCAAATCATGTCCGCAAGGTAATAAAGCAGGATGGCTAACCATTCACTATTGTCTCGAAAATACCTCTTCGTCTTCAATCCATCAAAAACACCCGACCCGAAAAAAAGAGGTGTACGTCTAGAATCGAATAAAAGGCCAGCCCCGTCGTTCAGAAAGGTAAAAGTACATAAAACATTATTCGGCAGCAAAAGCCTTACATCTCGCTCGGGTAACGACCAGGGGGTGTGAGTCCGTTCGGGTTGTTGGGACGGGGCATTCCCCTGCCGCGTCCACCCCGTGATGGACCGCGCATGCCAGGCAACATGAAGTCTGGATTTTGCCCAAGGATCATATCATTTCGTTCGTTCCTGCGCTGTTGAGATGGACCAGGGACCGGACCAGGACCGGGGCCGTAGCCCGGAGGTGGACGCCAGTTGGGGTTCACACCACGCTGACTTACCGAAGTGAAGTTGCTGGTGTCAGACATGGCAGGAGAAAGTGCGCCCTCGGCCATGTTCTCGTACGAGCTATCCCTCTCCAACGACGGTCCATCGTGATCCTGGCCAACACGCAGGTGATCAGGCGAAGGGTGGCGCACAGTTGGGATCGGAGGTCCAGGGGTCAAACTTGTTGGCACACCAACCACAGACGGTTCGTCGGCAGCAAAGCGAGGATCAACGTCTTCATAGTACGACTCAGAGCCAGCACGATTGCGACGTGATGTTGGCGATGCTTGGACAGGCGAGAGCGGAGGGGCAGATTGCATGTTGTTCATTGGTGCAGGGACGTGCCTCGGAAGAGGAGGTGCGTCCCAGCCTACTCTTGGTTGAACATATGTACTGCGAGTGATGTTAGACCAGATCTGTCAAATCGTTTCAACCGACTTACGATTCAGAGTAGATGCTTGAAGGAGTGACGGGTTCACCTCCACTTGGCTGTCTTTGGTTGACGGGAGTGATGTCTCGGCGCGGGCGGGGCAGCGGTTGGGCTACACCAACCATTCCAGGCATTTCGTGGTCACCGTAGCGAATAGGCGAGTTGATTGCAGGGCTTCCAGTTCTCTCATCCATCTCGATAGCTTGACCGATGATTTCACCATTGACAGGATCCTCAGGAGAGCCATTTCTACGAGGGAAGGGACCAACACCAGGGGGAGGCAGGGGATCGTTACTATAACCAGGAGGAGGACCACGCTGGCCACGGCCCATTATCGGACCAGCTATTGGGCCAGGACCGGGACCAGGACCCATTCCTCTGCCTTGCGGACCGTTCCAGCCAGGAGGAGGAGGACCTCTCATACCCTGAGGACCGCCTCTGCCAGGACCGTAACCACCTCTGGGACCAGGACCATAAGAGCCACGGGGAGCGAACCCGCCTCTAGGAGGGGGACCGTAGCCGCCGCGAGGTGGATAGCCGCCGCCTCTACCACGGCCGTAGCCAGGAGGAGGAGGTCCCATGCGGTTGGAGTTTTGAGATTCAAGAGTACCGTTAGAAGTTTGATGCATCAACATGGGAGGGTTGGTGGTGTGCTGCATGTTGTAAGGGTCCGAGGGTTGAACGGGCATAGGGGGAAGCTCATCCTCCATAGGGCGTGCGCTGGGAGCTGTACCATTACTAGTAAGAGATGGTGCTCTGGGATTAAGTGGGGCGCGGTCGTCACTTCTTCTTTCGTTACTCTTGGTCTCGAAGGAAGCGAATTGAGGACCCTTGGAGTTGTCGAAAGAGCCGTTCATGGGAGGAGGGCTGTCCGCTCTGGGCAATTCGTCGGCCATCAAACGCTCGTTCTGCAGGTTGTTGTAATAGTTGGCACCATTCATCTCGGCGTTCTCGGCGATACGCTTCTTGCGTGCCTTTCTTGACACCAGGGTTCTTCGCATGGCGCAGGTGACAACGCCTGAAGCGATGATGAGGATGGTGGCTGCTAGGACGATCCATCCTCCCCACTGCATGTGTGGAACGAAAAGAAGAATGTCGACCAGGAAGGCCAAAAGGGCGACCAGCAGGGTGGGGAATGTCAGAATGAGCAGAGCCAGGAGGTAGCGAGGAGAGTGAGCAGGCGAGTGGAAGTGAGCAGCGACTGCCAATGCGAAGCAAATGAGCGTCAAGAGGGCCGCGACAGGGTGGACGATGAGGATGGACGAAAGCGAGGCTCGCGTGCTCGAGGGCAATGAGAACTCATTGTTGTCGGCGGCTGAGAAGAGTTTGTCTACAAGTCGAGTTAGAGAGAGCAGTTGGCGCAGTTGGCTGGGCTCGGCGTACCTGTGTCGTATCCTACTCTCATGCCACTACATTTTCCATTCTGGCAATAACCAAAGACTCCAAAGTCGACACCATCGAATTGAGCCAAAGGGATGGCCTGAATAATGGGCGTCGAAAGTGTGCTCAGCAGCAACAGGACAAAGGCGATGAAGAACAGAATCGAGAGCGGAGTCGCTGGCCGCAACATGATGGGCGACTTGGTATGCGATGTCTATAAGGCGAGGCCGACAGCGATAGTGGTATTAATGGTAGTGTAAGTGTGGGTGTAAATGTGCTCCTGCTCCAGAGCGAGTGTCGTCTCTGCGCTTATGCGCTCGAGGTAAGAATCAAGGAGGATGGTGGCGCAGCAGGAGAAGCTGAGAATGGGAAGAAGGAAGGAGCTTGGAGAGCAGACGGAAAGAAGATGTTCGTCGCAAGACACGGCGCAACCAGCACGTCGTTCGTGGGATCGAATGGAGAGGGGGCTAACTTGTGGCGCGCATCGAGGCAGGCCTAACCACTGTAGCTTTCACTCTTTACTTCATGTTCCCTCTCCGCACCAACGACCCTCGTGGCAGCCCGGCCAACGCCAGTAAACCCGTTGTCCAACTCGCTGTGTTGCTGCAGCAGACCCTTTCTTCGCTTCTGCATCGCCTGCGCAACTGACAAACGTTCTTCTATCTGCCTGCACTTCTTCCACTTCCATCATCCATGAATGACATCTGCGACATGCGAGATTCATGCCGTCTCGAGTCCGAGACGAGCACGCGGCCGACCCCAGAAGACGCGAAGGCACTAACTTTTGTTAGTCCAGCCTCATTAAACTTGATTCGACGTGTTGCGCCAGTGCCTCATCTCTTATCCATGTCGCATCTAATCTCGCCCTCGTATCGTATATGCTTCTGCTTAATTGACCTTCAGGCTAAGTCGGTATAGACGTGCAAGTCATCGTTTGACAGCTATTAGCCAACTCTTCTCTTCAGTCTTGTTCTTTTGCTTCATGCTTCTACCCTCTCCTAGAACCCCTCGCCTGCGCTAGCTTCCAACCTTAAATCCCCGCAACATCTGCTCTTAACCCCCTGCCCTTGGGTCTCTGAAAATATTGACGGGCTTGGCCTATCAAGCCCAATAAGCCAACGTATCTAACCTTGTCAATTTTGACGAGCCGCTTCCCAGCCGTAAACGCCATGGTTGTGATACCGAGCTCTGCAGCCGAAAGCACACTTCATAAAGGAACATAATGATCACCACTAAGCTGAAACTATCATCTGCAACCGTGCCATCGTGTCAAACTAAGGCAGGTACCCTCTCGCCGAGTGTATATTTCACCATTGCTGTGGACTCCACAAGGGAGTATTTTCTACCTTTGTTGTTTCCTCCACCTCGAGGTGTGCTGGACGCATGTATCGAATGCATCAAGCATGACGTGTGTGAACAGCAATTCGGAACGATCGCTCAGACCAGGTCCAGATCTCGAAACTGTCTGAAACGAAGACAGAACGCAACTGTCAGCTGTTTTAGCTGCAGACGTCACCTACGCAAATTCGAGATCTGAGTTGAGGCCTGACTCTGTCGAAGTGACATGAAGAATCTAGTGCGAAGGTCCGCTGATAGATCCCTGCCTGTCCGTGTTGACTATTTGAGCAAACGTAAACATGTTGTTCGTGCAGCGGTCACGTATTAGAGTCGATGCTCATCCAGCAATTACGCTGGCTTCTTTGGTTGTGGTGTGCTCAGCGCAGTCATAATTGGATATTGGAATACCACATCTCGTCCGTCTTGAGTTGCTAGCTCGATGTTCAAGCAGTGGACTTCCGGCTGTCATCATGTTACGCATCTGTATCTTACTGGCGCTAGAAATGGCCTCTCTCGTGATATTGCATGTAGTTGATGCCCTTAACTGGAGTCTTTGAGATGGAGTCAATATTCGTGAAAATGCGTCACGGCTAGCTCTTGCCTGATTTCCACACTGCTCAGTATCATTTGTAAAATGTCGAGGCTAGGACTACTCAGGAAGAAAGGACTTGAGGTCGCAAAAAGTGCACTCAAAAATTGAAGCAAGGCAAGTCTAGACGCAACAAACTCCGGATAGCGCGGAAAATCATCCGACTCCCGAAGTTGCGTCATACTATCATGCAGCGACAGTGAGCTCGAAAACAGTTGAGATGCTCACTCAAAAACACTTTCCGAGCACCCACATTTGCACCTCAGAAGAAATCATCACGACAAGATGGCCAAACTCATCCTCTCAATCAATGCTGGCTCATCTTCCGTCAAGGTCTCTGTTTTCAGAGGAAGCTCCAAGGACGCTGAGCCCTCTCAGCTTGCCGAAGTGTCTATCGATGGACTGACTGCCCCTCCTTCGACTCTTACCTATAAACGTGGAGACCACAAGATCAAGGGCAAGGAGATCGAAGGTGTTAGTTCTCAAGAGGACGCATTCAAGTACATCCTCGAACACCTTCTAAATGATGACGACTTGCCGGACCTTAAGAACAAGGAAGATATTGAATTTGCATGCCACAGAGTTGTCCACGGAGGAGACTTCGACAAACCTACAAGAATTGACAAAGAGACTTACCACCACATCGAAGAGCTTTCTGATCTGGCACCTCTGTAAGAATCATTTTCTTTTGAAACCTGATCCACAAGACTGACTAGCGATACAGCCATAACGCAGGTGCCTTGACTATCGTCAAAGCTGTTCACGAGCAACTACCAAAGGCAACCAACATCGCCTTCTTCGATTCTGCATTCCACTCAACTGTAAGTTCAGCCTCATAGCAAGGCATGAACAAAGTCTAATTATTGTGCCTTTCAGATTCCAGAGCATATCCGAACATACCCCATCGACCAAGAGAGAGCGAAGCTCAACAAGCTTCGCAAGTATGGTTTCCACGGTCTCTCATATGCATTCATTGCCAGATCCGTGGCCGAATCTTTGAACAAGCCCGTCGATTCACTGAACATCATTGCTCTGCACCTGGGCAGTGGTGCTTCTGCATGCTCCATTGTTGACGGCAAGTCCTTCGACACCACCATGGGTCTGACACCTTTGGCCGGTCTTCCAGGTGCGACCCGATCAGGTTCTGTCGACCCCAGTCTGATCTTCCACTTTACGCACAGCGCTGGAAAGCCTAGCCGCAGCAGCACTAAGGATCTGCACATCACCGAGGCTGAGGAAATCTTGAACAAGAAGAGTGGATGGAACGCTATCGCCGGCACGACTGACTTTGGCGTGATCAGCTCAAAGGCAGAGGAAGGTGACAAGAACTGCCAACTCGCCTTCAATCTGTTTGTCGACAAGATTTTGAATTTCGTGGGTGGATACTACGTCAAGATGGGTGGCAAGCTCGATGCTCTAGTATTTGCTGGTGGTATTGGTGAGAAGGGAAGTCAACTACGCGCTCGCGTGGTTAAGCAGCTGGCCTGTGTCGGCTTCGAGCTTGACGAGGAAAAGAACAAGAAGCCCGAAGACAAGGAAGTGGTGGATATCTCGAAGAGCGGATCCAAGCACAAGGTCCTGATCTGCCAGACCGACGAGCAGACGGAGATGGCGAGGCAATGCGTCCAGAACGCTGATGACTTCCGGAAAAATGTTTGAAGCTATCAAGGAGGCTTCAGATGACGAACATGCAATAAAAGCAGGATTGCTATGAAATGTATAGCATTACTAATTATTAAAGGTCCTTTAATCCGATGGTTGTTCGCTTCCGCCTTCTCCAGTCTTTCCTAGTACCTATGAGCTCGTCCCAGACCACATTTCGTCGTAAACGTCCAGGGGGTCTTATAGCTGGCTCTGGTTCTGTCGGAGTAACAGGCGCGGGTGCAGGGGTAACGGCCGGACTGCTTCGGCTTTTAGGTTTGATCATCAGCAGAATAAACATGCCGGCAACGATGAGCACCAGCAATAAGATGATCTTTCGCTTGGTCGATTTCTTCTGGTATCCAGTAGCGACTTTCAACTCCTTCTCCGCTTGTTTGACTTCGACAGCCATGTTCTCGACGTTGTAATCAATGCGGTCCAGCATGCTTCCTTGATCGATGACCATGGTCTGTAATTCCTGGAATATGTTGGACAGATCGATGATGCCTTGCGCAATGTCTTCGATCTCGCGCTCCCGTTGAGCAATGGTCGAATCGTGTAAACCAGTAGAGCGCTGTTTTTGCTTGGTCTGTAGGAGAGTTGTTTGTGCTGAGCTGCGATCGATCTCAGAGTCCATGAGGGAGGGATCGGTGTATGGGTTCTGGACAGGTGACGCAGCACGGTCTAGGGGTGAATTCATGCCACCGAGTGCACGTAGTTCTGTGGTCGATGTCAGTCATGCTCATCACGTCTTCTAAAGTCAGTTGATAGAACGTACTCTTCAGATATGCAGACTGCTTCTTACGAAACAGTGCACTGCTGTCTCCCACTCTTGTGGCCAGGGAGACCTTGAGATTCTGAGCCATTGTCTCCTCTCCTCTACTCAGGCTTCCAGTTTGTTGCGATTCTTTGACCATATTGTCAATGCGACGGATTGCTCGTTGACAGGTTTGAAAGCCTCTAGTGATCTCTTGGGTCATGGCCTCGATCTCACGCTCTTCCCTTCTCTTGACCTGCTCATCGTCGAATCCTGGTAGCACGTGTTTCTGGAGCAATTGGTCCAGCTTTTTCATTTGTTTTGTGATGTTGTCTAACCATTCGGTGACTTGGTCCTGCACGTCCAGCCAGCGCGGCGGTAGGCGATCCATCTCAATTACTGCATCTCCGTCGTCGAAAGCACCGGCAGACATGAGTCCGCGAGTCTCCTCGGATTCGCCATTGTCTCCGAAGCCTCCAGCAATTCGCGACTTTTTGGTGGTAGGATGATGTGAATATGATTGGCGATAGGAGATAAAGCTACAGAGGGAGACGGTCAGCTCGCGCTGGTGATGAATAGTCAGGTTGGGGTCAAGTACAGGTTTGTTCTGTCGCGCCACATGATGCGCGTTTATGGAAAGAGTCGGATCAACATGGAAGTCGAGACGGCGGCAGCAACACAGGTGGAAACAGGTTGTTGTGTTACGGTGGCATTAGAGTACAAGTGGATGCTTGCACCTTGAGTGGGGAGGGCAGGGTGCTTCAAGGCTGACGTGGTGGACGAGCTCAGCCGAAACGACCCTGAATCTCAAGCATTCTGGACCTGGAATCTCTCTTCTCTCCGCGAACCACCTCTTCTTCACTTCTTGGCCTGGTCGCATACCACTTCGAAACATCATTCGCCCTTCAAACCACCTACCGACACATTCCTCTTCACACCGAATACCGCAAAAATGGTATCTCAACCCCTTGTCAGCCACGCAGCCCCGCCATCGTCAGGAGGCGCCTGTTGAAGCTGTTGCTGCTGCCCTCTACCGCCATTGCACTTGCTGACTCTGTTCGCAGGCCGACTCGCTTACCGAAGAGCAAGTCTCTGAATTCAAGGAAGCCTTTTCTCTCTTTGTAAGTCCTCGGTCCATCCATACCAGCCTCCGCAACGAGGCCTGCTCATCTGCGCGCCCAACTCCTATAGCTGTCACAGTAGTGCTAACTCAATAACAGGACAAGGATGGCGATGGTATGCAGTCTGATCCCTCCTTCCTTCCGAGCTCCGTCTAGATCCTCCCACCTCAGAACCCCGATCACAGCCGTGTAAAGTCAGCCCATATTAACCATGTCGCGCAGGTCAGATCACCACCAAGGAGTTGGGCACCGTCATGCGCTCTCTCGGCCAAAACCCTAGCGAGTCGGAGCTTCAGGACATGATCAACGAGGTGGATGCCGACAACAACGGAACCATTGACTTCCCTGGTTAGTCGACCCTAAGACCGCCATTGCACGACTTAGGAAGCTAACGGTCTGTTCTCTGCAGAATTCTTGACCATGATGGCCCGCAAGATGAAGGACACCGACTCCGAGGAAGAGATCAGAGAGGCCTTCAAGGTCTTTGATCGCGACAACAACGGTTTTATCTCGGCCGCCGAGCTTCGCCATGTCATGACCTCGATTGGCGAGAAGTTGACCGACGACGAGGTTGATGAGATGATCAGAGAGGCCGACCAGGATGGCGATGGCAGAATCGACTGTGAGTTTACAACAAATCACCTGCCACGCGGACTGTGCTAACGCAGATGTACAGACAACGAGTTTGTTCAGCTCATGATGCAGAAGTAGAGATGGCGTGACGTGCGAGTGCACATGGAGGAAGGCACTTGAGTTATTATCATGCGGTTTTCATAACCGTCACGACCTGAGAGATACCTGAGAGCCTATGCTTATTACTGCTGCTGGTCTTGACTTTGAACAAGGCTCTTTCAATCAACTTTCTATCAATGCAACACTGGCCATTTCCTTTCTCTACCTTCAGCGCAATCCTGGTACAATCGTTCTAATTTCAATTGCATGTTTCAGGTTGACTTTATACTGTACGTTTCACAGGGACCAGAAGCCTCCCGCAATTCAAACGTTCAATGTGCAGGAGCGGCTTCGGCTTGAATGTGGGGAGGCCGGGTCAAAGGGAAACCACGAGGAGGTCATCAATCTCCCGACAGCGAATAGAACTTCAAAGACCAACTGTGTCACTCGTCAGTGTTCAAACAACATATTGATACTATATTGGAGAAACTGGAATTCCAACATGGCTGCCACTCGAAGATTAGGTAGGTATCCCATATCCCACTCGATTATGACGTTGTACTTTGACTGACGTGCATACAGTAAAGCCAGCCCTCTTGTAAGACCATTCGGGTGGTTGGGCCTTGTGCCCTATTCAACGTTCTATCCGCTGATACTGTTGATAGCATTTGTGATCTTCAAGAGAAATTTCGCTCAGCTATTCACGAATATGGGCGTGTAATCACCACGACACAGAAGCTACTCAAAGCCTGCCGGATCCTCGACATTCCCGTATTCGCAACAACCCAACTCCGAGCCAAACTTGGAGAGACATGCAGCGAGCTTGGCCTCGATAGCCCAGACGGTATCAAGACACACGCTCACGTCGACAAGAGCGCCTTCTCGATGTTTGTGCCAGAGATCCGCGATGCTTTCAAGAAGCTTGGTGGTGAGGCAAGAGAGGTCATCATCGTCGGCATCGAGAGCCATATTTGCGTCACACAGACAACGCTTGACCTGCTCAAAGAAGGTCATAAGGTTTACATCATTGCCGACGGGGTCAGTAGCTGCAATAAGGAGGAGGTTCCCATCGCTTTGGCGAGATTGAGAGCTGAGGGCGCTGTTGTGACCACTAGCGAGTCCTGGCTGTACGAGTGCATGGGAGACGCTTCGGTGCCGGAGTTCAAGCAAATTGCAGGCTTAGTTAAGGAGTATAACTCCAAGACAAAGGAGGGGCTTCAAGCTCTGTGTAGAATCTAGATGTTGATGGTAGTAGACGTCTGCATGGAATTTATCCACAAGTGTCGACAAGCGCGTGTTCTGAGATCACATATTACAGTAGCACCGTACTGTGCAGACGGGTGTGATGGGAGATATGATAGGCCGAGCAATATCGAAACACGGGTTTCCGGTGTTTTCAGCTGTATGTTAGCCTCCATGTTCTTTGTCTTACATGATTGCAAGAATTGGATGGCGGCCTCGGTCGTTCAGCCTTGCTTCCCACCTGCTGCTAAGCGACGGGAGACGCATGGAAATGCGCGTGGCTATGAGATATTCGGGAAAGAAGGAGAAAAAGGATCGGAAAAGATTGCCGTTCGTTAGAAAAAAAGAAATCGGGACAAGGTCATAGTACATGTTCGATTCATTGATTTATGCGAGGTTGTGGATGGACAAGTATAGCAGAGGTCCAAGCGCGGCTCTGATGATGATGCGGTTTCAGGGACTTGAATGAATAGAGCAGGAGCAAAGAAGTGAACAAGTGCCTCCTTCCTAATAAAAGACTGGACCAAGACATCACATCAGTTGTGTTGTAATAGCTGGTTGATTGCTGCCAGGAACCGGCCACCGGAAAGCAGGGGTCGCATACGAAACAATCCCGACGTCTTCTCCATCATTCCCTCGTCTAGAAGCACACAAAGCAAAGACAAGGAAACACTTTACCCATCTTCTCCTTCCCCATTCACAACGCCCGCCTCGGCCGCCACTTCCTGGTTTGCTCTGCTTATCCATCCATCCTCTGGACGCCTGTTCTCATTTGCTCTTGTTTTCTCACTTCTCAAAAGTCGCGCCTGCAGAAGCCCGTGTTTGAAAGAGACAAAGGGAAAGGAAGGACATTGGACCGAGTGTGCCACAAGCGCCGCTGTCGACCAGACCATTCACGCAGCTTCGACACTTCCGACTATCCTCGCAATCAGCCCGACGATCCCTCCTCGGCTCATCTGCTCCGTCGTCACTCGATCCCTGGTCGCTGTCGCTGAGCCAGCACCACCCCCGCGGTCTAGTGATCAAGTCTCCCCGGCGTTCGAGCATGAGGATTACCTGCAAGACCAACCCCGTTGGAACATCTACATGACGTCCAGTCATACCCCAAACATGGCAGCTGCTTCTTTCCACCAGAGACGCTCGACAAATTCTCAACAATCCAACTCCGTCCCCTCTACGCCGCATCAACATCCACGAGATCTTCGCTTCCATTCCCGATCGCCTTCACCCAGCAAGACGATAGGCCACAGCTCCCCTCATTCGTCGGCCTCTGGGGCCGTCGGTACTCCCGCTGTACCAAAGCCAGCGCAAGGAATCTGTAAATTCGAGAGCGGCGCCGAGTACAGAACGCGACGAATTCCCTACCTCGACGGTGGCAATGAGCCGTTACCACCGCCAACTGAAGAGCCCAAGGCGGCTCTTGAAGCAGAACAGGATGTTAAGCTGAGTGGCGACATGAGGGAACTCTACGACCGGTTATTGCCAACAGATGAGAGCGAAGAAAGAAGGCGGAAACTCGTTCAGAAATTAGAGGACATCTTGAACGGAGAGTGGCCAGGCAATGAGATCAGAGTCAATGTCTTTGGTTCATCCGGCAATCTGCTCAGCTCGAACGACTCTGATGGTGCGTCTTCTTGCTTTGGACTCTCCCCAACACTTCCTGGACATGCGCTTATGTTTTCTTGCAGTTGATGTTTGTGTAACCACACCCCTGAAAGCGCTCGAGTCCATGCACACCTTGGCTGCAGTTCTAGACAGACGTATGTTCTTACTTGGCCCTCCTCTTTCTGCTTACTCATACTCACTCTTTTTGTAGACGGCATGGATAAGGTCATTTGCCGAGCGTCTGCGAAAGTCCCAATCGTCAAGATTTGGGATCCCGAATTGCAACTGGCGTGCGATTTGAATGTCAACAACCCATTGGCTCTCGAGAATACGCGCATGATAAAAACATACGTTCAGATTGATGAAAGGGTGCGGCCGCTTGCGAAGGTCATCAAGTACTGGACGAAAAGAAGGATACTGAACGATGCTGGTGCGTGCTTCTGCTACACATATAAAAACGCATGAACGCTAACATGTTCCAGCCTTTGGAGGCACTATCAGTTCCTACACATGGATATGCATGATTCTTAACTTCTTACAGACCCGCGATCCTCCGATTCTGCCGTCTCTCCAGAAGATACCCAGCTCTCGCTCCACCCAGGCCAACGGCCAGATTTCATCATTCGCCGACAATCTAGAAGAGCTACGCGGGTTTGGTAAAGACAACCACGAAAGCCTCGGACAACTTATTTTCTACTTCTTCCGGCACTACGGTTATGTTTTCGACTACCAAGAAAATGTCGTCTCGGTCAAGGAAGGAAGACCGATCTCGCGTAAAGAGAAGGGTTGGGACACAAAGAATTACACAGAGAAGGAGTCTCGTAGTAGCCTGTGTGTGGAAGAACCATTCAACACCCAACGAAACCTTGGAAACTCTGCCGACGATTATGCTTTCAGCGGCATACACAAGGAGATCCGAAGAGCGTTCGAGCTGCTCAAGGACGGCTCAGGTCTCGAAGAGTGCTGTGCTCAGTTTGAGTGGCCAATCGAGGAGAAGCCGATATTCCAACGACCGCCGCCCAAGCCTAAACCTATCCTAACAAGAAGCGCTTCCCAATCTGGACGTCCCAACAATGGAAACAGTCAAGGGCGAGGGAATGGGAATGGCACGAGGAACAACCGCAATTCGTCTAATCAACGGAATAACGGCCGTAGATCCTCCAGTGGGACAGCATACAACCCTAGGATGCCGTATGCCATGAGCCCGCCGGTCGGGATTAACCCTGCAGACTACTTTTCGTCTACGGCCATGTCGACTGATCAGTTGCACAATCAACTCTACAAGCAGTACCGATTCCTGCAAGCTCAACAAGAGGCCTTGAGGAATCAGCTCTTGCAACAACAGCAGACCCAGGTTCAGCTACAGCAAGTTCAGGCACAGGCACAAGCTCGCGGTGTCGATCTTGGTACTTCTCCCCGTGCGCGGCAATTCACCAATAACGTTCAAAGCCCGCATAGTCCGCGAACGTTCGAGAACTCGCCTACAGCGGCTCCGCCTCTTTTGCCTGGATATCTCTACCATTATCCTGCCAGATACCCTCCGCCGTCACCTTTGTCTCAGTCAAGGAATACTGAAGATGCCCTTGTCGGTCCCTCTTCACCTTCGCTGCAGAACGCAGCTCCTGCTCTGAGAAGAGGGGTACACCGTGGTTCTATCACCGAAGGCACAGCCAACGCCTCAGTGCGTTCCCAGTCGCAGCCCGGGCGTTCTTTCCCAAATCCTTTGACTCTTCAGGGCCTTGCGCACCCAGGCTACGACGTGTCTGGAGCTATTGCCACACCTTACATGATGCCACGCTCCGTGCAGCAATTTGCTCAGATACAGCCAAATGGCTCAATCAGACAAACCAATGGCTCGTTCTCTGGCGAAACCGCCATGCCCAAGGAATATGTCGGATACTATGTTGGCCAATCTCCTCAGCTTATCCCTCAGTATCAGAGCGGTAATCTGGTACAGGTTCCACAGCTAAGGGATATCGCTCCGCAGCCTGATAGACGCATATCTCCCGAGCTCACCCTTCCTATTTCTGATGGTTTGCGTCATCAATCTCGTTCGCCTTCGCCTTTTGCTGGTGGCCGTCGTCACTCGAGCTCGGCATCCGCTCATCCCATCGCTGGTAATCAGCCTTTTGTTCAACAGCCTCTTAGTTCTATGCCAGTCCAGCCCAAGTTCAACGAGAACCAAGGGCCCGTCATTGTCAACGGATCTAATATGGCCAGCACGAAACAACGACAGCCTTCTGTGACAGCAGCTTCAGCTCCACTGGTCCAGAAGAGTAATGGCACCTCTCCTGATCTGATCCCAACGGAGCAAATCCAGCAGATGTCATTGGACGCATCCATGTTTCATACGAATGGCCAGCAGCACGACATGGGTGAAGCAGCTCCAAGGCATCTTGTGGGTCGCTCGAATGGTCATGTGGCCGAGCCCTCGTTGCCAGCGCATGTAGCTCAGAACGTACCGACGCCAGTTTGGAGGCAGAATGCTCCTGATCCTCAGGGACTTTCCAACCATATGTCATCCGCTTCGCAAGCTCAAGACACAAACCACACCTCTGTTTCGAGCCTTAGCCAGTCTATGCAAGCAGCCTCGCTCCATCCTTCGATGGGATCTCTTCTTTCGCCTGTCGCCGAAATTCGCACTCCATCGCCCACGGCAGGCCGAGCAGCTGAACCCTCCAAGATTGCACCCCACCACAAGCTTGCACAAAGTGTGCAGATTGCTAACGGCAAGAATATAGAGGCTGCCACAAAGACTCACAATGGTAATTCTGGTCGTCACGATGGAGGCAAGCATCAAGCTCCTACGAGCAATTCGGCCAGCACTTGGCAGCAGGCTCCGGCAAGAAAGACACACAAGAAGAACAAATCCAACACAGGATCCAAGGGCTCGCACGTGCCCAAGACTAGTGGCGGAGAACCTCTGCCTGCCAACGAAGCCGACAGAAAGGGAGGATGAATGAACGAGCCATTCGCAGTCGATCCGATTGAATACTTGGTCCAAAATTCTGCTTGCTATTCGGAATGCTGATGTTTCGCCCGGGGCAGGCCATCACCAACATCTGCATGATCGAGAAGAGCACTGTTTCACATATCTGGATTTACTTTGCGTTTGACAGGCCACAAAAAAGATGAATATAAACGAAAAGGGCGTGCACCACATGGTTGTGCGCACACGGCGGAGCAAAAAAGGGGAGCACAGGAACATCTTCATGTTTTTCACAAGATACCACCGAGCGTTTTCCTTGTTTTTCATGTTGATTTCATTTTCTTTTTTTTTCTTTTCAACCATTCTTCCATCTCGGCATGGCATGGGCATCATGGGTCTACAAATGAGGTTTTTTTTGCATGTGGCGCTTTGGCAGAGAATGCATATGGCATGCGCATCGAGATCATGGTTTTTCTTCTTTGTGATGTATAGAAGGGCAGCCGAGGTGTGAAGAAACACAAAACAAAACAGACAAAAATCAATACAAAAAAAAGTTGAAATCAAACGCTGAGTACAAAGTCTGCCTGTTGCTTCTGCTGACCAGAATCGTGGCAGCATCCAGTCCTCCATCGTGGCCTTCGCATGGAGTTGATAACCTCCTCCGCACTTTCCTTCTCCGGCCGGGGCAATTGTGGGGAGTATGCAGCTCCGACGATCATTCTACCATGATATTCCGGATTGACCTCTTCTTCCACCAATCGCCAGTCCTTGCTGGTTGAAATACACCTTGCTCCCAGGCACTATGGGTTCGATGTTCGCCCGCTTGGTCGACCCCTCAGCATGCCGGCCGTGAGGGAGGTCAGGAGCCATTCTGGTAGGTATAAGAACCTTGCACTCACCGCTCGATCAATCTGTAGGAGTACCAACGGCCATGCCTGTCTTCAAGCACTTTCTTCTTGCATCTGTGACCTTGTCAGTGGGGGTGTCCGCAGCCCCAAAGAAGACCAAGTTCAACTGGCACGACACGAAGCATGTGTAAGGAACCCTGAATATGGGATGACCCATGATCAATACTAATAGCTAGCAGAATAGCATTTGGTGATTCGTACACATATGTACAAGGCACAGCTGGCCGACAAAACTCGACCTTCATCGGCGACTACTTCAACTTTCCATTTACGGAAGAGGAGTTGTTGCACAACAAGATTGTTCAAAATCAGGTATGTCAATCTGCTGTCCAGGCCTGATGATTTCGTGGCTAACATATCCGGACAGACTGCGACGGCTGAGGGAGGTCCAAATTGGGTTGAGTATCTCACGGACTGTGGGCTGAAGCCAGGCCTCACATCACCACTGTCATGTAAGACACAACTCTGGGACTTTGCATTTGGTGGCGCCGATATCTCGACCAAGTAGTAAGTGTATTGCTTTCCTTACATACTGTCCAATGCTTACATCATCCAAAGCACACCTCGTCACCACAACTACACGGTCATGCTAGAAGAACAAGTCCAGCAATTCCTCACCTATGCCCAACCCACCCTCAGCAAAATTGTCGATCCCTCAAGAACACTAGTCGCTTTCTGGATTGGCATAAACGACATCAACGATAGTGCCAACTACGCCGTCGACTTTCCCAGTTTCTACGATCAACTCATCAGCACACTTTTCGCATCGGTCCAAAGTGTGTATGATATCGGATACCGCAATTTCCTCTTCATGAATCTACCACCCTTGGACCGCACACCAGGAAACGTCCTCAAAGCCACCCCCTCCCCCAACACCACCATGATAAACTGGTGGGACTCCTCCTTGACCTCTCACATGCACACCTTCGCCGCCAACAATCCATCCGCCAATCCCTTCACCTTTGACGTCAACACCTTCTTGAACAATGTCTTGGATCACCCGGATAAATACAACATCAAGAACGTCACGGGATATTGTGCGAGTTACAATCAACCATATATCAATGAGGCGCCGGAGAGTTATGGATGTTTGCCGTTGGATGAGTATGCGTGGTTTAACAATGGGCATATGACTTCGCATGTGCATGAGATTTTGGCCAAGGAGGTTGCACAGTTTTTGAAGAAGCAGTAGTTGAAGATTTTGATATGCGAATAGTTGGAATACTTGAAGTGAATTGTTTCGCACGATGAGTCGACATGTGCCTTGGGATTGCTACATGAAAGCAAGAGCGTCTGAAGTTCGTGGTGACTTGGTTGAACAACCACTTAAGCTTGATTAATGATTGTCGAAAGCATGTAAGAGTACAGTAATCGGAACGTAATACGCCATAACTGATTTTGAAAGGCAGAGAATAAACGTGCATGTCGTTGTCGACATTTCAAGATAGAGACAGGGTCAGACCCTCGACAAGAGTACATGGTCTCGCGCGAAAACCGGCGAGCAACCACAAAGGGATAATCTTGCGGCATTTCAAGATACACAGGGTATGGGTACAGAAGATGATGATGATGATGATGATGATGATGATGATGATGATGTGTATAGGTATCTCGACCACAGTATTATAGTATGCTTCTCTTACCCTTCTCGATGTACAACGAATTCTCTAAATCGTTCAAAACGCCATCCCAATGCTGTCTATATGTATTAATGCCCAGCCCATGCTCCTCTCAAAACGCCAATGATTATAATAGCTGACAAGCCACTTATTTACGATGCTTGCAATCCACACTGACAATTTCTGCTTGCCCCCAGGCGTTCAATACCATGGCGGTAAGCTTGTTGCCATTCACGCACCCACTGTCGAGACCTTTGCTCCACTTCTTGAGATTCAAGCCGCGAGGACTATCATGTCCGTAGACGACAACAGAAGGTGGAGGATGCTTGACTTTAGTTTGTGCTTCCTCGTCATCGTCTTTGCTGTTGTATAAGCCATTCCAAGATCTCCACCACTCGCTTGCTTCTGTTGACTCGGTGGCTTGACCGAAGAGCCAGGTCATGAATGGCGAACGAGTGCGTGCGATCCGGTCGTTGTACCAGCCCCAGACACGCTCCCATGGGATACCTCTCTTGCGGTTTTCGCTGGGTACATGGTTGGTTGGGGACATACTTCGCATGTTCATGACGGAGAATGGATCTTGGCGAAGGAGCGGGACTGAAGGAACGAGACCTGCATGCACAACGTTGATGTCGTTTAGAATCTGGAAGACCTTCTTTTTCTTTTTCTTGCCAGAGGCGTCCAGATCAGAGGTCACCAGAGCCAAGTGCCTAGGAGGAGTGAGAGCAGGTATATGGATGATCAAAGGGAGTGAACGCATAAACTTAAGGTGGCGTGGCTTGAGGTAGTCCAGCAGAGCTTCTCCTTTGAGTCCAGCACCCCTTGATGTCGCTGAGACGTCATCAGATGATTCGATGTTGGCTTCTAGATCCATGCCGGTGGATGCGCGAGACTTCGCGGCCAGCAGAATGCGGTCTTCATGGTTGCCACGCACAGATAAGGCACCGAGAGACACCAATGTATCGATGACACCGGGTGAATCTGGGCCCTTTGCGACAACATCACCGGTAGCGATGATTTTGTCCAAGTCTTTGTTGAAAGCGACGGTTTTGAGCAAGTCAAGAAGTTCGTTCTTGCAGCCGTGAATGTCGCCAATAAAGATCAGACGTCTCTTTCCATCAGGGTCGGACTTGCCACCTGGGACATATTCGTGTGGCAACTGGTGTAGTTGGGTGATATCGCTAAGCTTGTTGGGCATCTGCTCTCCAAAAGAGTTGGGGTGTTCGAGGCCTTCGACTAGGGCTTGTCTTTCGTCCCAGGCAGGAAGGAAGAGTTTGGTACAGAGGAAGAAGAGAGCGAGAAAGGCGATTATAGCGAGGAACATGGTACGGCGGACTCGGCGGTTGAGGCAGAAAGCATGGCAGAGATTGATAAATGAGGCGTCCGAGTCGAGATCGCAGCAGTGACTAAGTTCGTTGTCGTCGTCTTCGTCCGAGTCTGAGTCGTAATGCAAATTTCGGTTTTCTTCCGAGTGGTGCCAGTTGTTTACAACGCGATCAATTAGGGGTCGGTTGTCAGAACGATACTGAGAGGGGAGGTAGCGGTCGGAATGAGGATAGTTTTGCGACGAAGCCATAGCGTCATAACTAGGGGACAATTGAAGTCAAAACGTCAAGGCGCCGCGCGGCAGGATTGTGCAGGGGGAGAGATGTCAAGAATTAGGAGGGTTGATGAAAGCCTCCCAGGCTGCAGTCGAGACTACAAGCAGAGATTCACATCACGATCGGCCAGGGAAAGATGAGACGAACATTGAGGATTAATTGCCAAGACGCGTGTCGCGGCATCTCGGCGATGCATGTAGAGCGTTTGGACGGACTCGTGCATCTTCCCAGTTGGTCAAGAGAGAAAGAGAGAGACCGCTGGAGATATTTCAGCAAGCAGGAGAAATAGACAAGTCCAGCTCGAAGCGTGAAGACGTGTCGGAGTTTCTGCCTTCAGCATTGGTTTATTTTAGGCAATTGCGGGAAAGAGCAAGGCGGGCCCCCCGCGTCACAGCAGCTCGAACGCGCTTTCCAAATCGCGTGTCTTCGCGACGCATCAGCTTGTCCTTTGACTATACATATTCTTCCCAACTTTTGTACATCACCACGACCGCAGCCCATGCCTCGAACGCGCAATCGCGCCAGTGCTGCGCAGGAGAAGCTCGTTGTCGAAGAGCCCGTTGTCGAAGAAGTCCCTGCTGAAGAGGAGGAAGATGAGCATCAGAGCATCGAGGGTGCCCCGAGGCCACTGGACTTCAACGAATCCCTGACATGGCGCGCCGGGAAGCCTATCGTCGTCGCAGAGCTACTACGTCGCCTGAGGACTCTACACGGTGAACTGGCTGAGCTGGACCAGGAAGATGCCCACCGCGACTCTCTTGTACCAGTCGCACAAGAGCTGGCCCACAGGAACCTGCTCGAGCATCGTGATCGCGGTGTTAAGGCCTGGACCGCGCTATGTATCGTTGAGATGTTCAAGTTACTGGCCCCTGATGCCCCATTCAAGGCTGCTCAATTGAACCAAATCTTCTCCCTTATCATTACACAAGTCCTACCTTCCCTCGGCAACCCTCAGGACCCATACAACGAACAGCACTTGTCCATCATCCGCTCATTGGATGAGGTGAAGAGTATTGTTCTACTCACCGACATTCCTGGAGCCGACAGCCTACTATACAAGCTGTTCACAGGTGCTTTTGACATCTTCGCAGACACGTCAAAGAACGACAAAGCCGAAGAGCTGGGCAAGAACGTCGAACACCATGTCACCAGTCTGCTCGTCACTGTTGTTGATGAGAGTCCCTCGCTACCTAATGATGTTGTTGACATTATCCTGGCGCAATTCCTCCGCCTTGATCCCACCACCTTCCCGCTTCAGCTTAACAAGTCTACTCGCGAGTCCTCGCGCCCCTTCCATCTCCAATTGCCTCCCCCGGCTTACAATATGGCCAAGAATATCTGTAGCTCGTGTCCCGACAAGATGTCTCGCATGGTTGCCCACTACTTCAACTCAATTATCGCAGACCTCTCGGATGGTCTCGACGGTTCAAGTTCGCGCAAGTCAACATCACGACGTCGTTCTGGTGCTGACGACGAGGATGATGAGGAAGAAGACAATGATCGTGATGCTCCACCTGCTGGTCCGTCTGCAGAAGAGCTCAAATCATTGGAGAAAGCACACAGGCTGCTGCGCGAGCTGTGGAGGTCTGCCGCTTTGGTCATACAGAACATTGTTCCTCAAATCGAGTCTGAGCTTGGTGCTGAGAACATCGACATAAGATTCCTGGCCACTGAGACAGTTGGCGACTTAATATCTGGCATCGGCGCGGCAGGCCCACCCGCTCCTGTAGCTCTCGACCCGGCAGCATACCCTTCTCAGAGCATTGATCCGCCTTCAGCCTATTCCAAGACCTACAACTTCCTCACCACTCCCGCCGCTCCTCACGCCTTTTCCTCTGTTCACTCTTCCACCTACCAAGCCTTTCTCAACCGACGCAACGACAAATCACCAAAAGTCCGTTCAATCTGGGTGACTTGTGTAGGTCGCATTCTGGCCACCTCCGCTGGTGGTGTTGGTCTCGACCCAAAGGAGGAAAGTGCTATACTCAGGTACATCTCTGACATGCTTGTGGACAACGACGAGCACGTTCGTCTCGCTGCAGTTCAAGCCATTGGTCGCTGCGATTTCGAGACGATCGTCCAACGTATAGGCGCAAGCGGCAGCGTCAATACTCCCGATTCGGTACTTTCAAACCTGGCCGACAGAATCAAGGACCGTAAGCACAGTGTCCGTGCCGAGGCTATGTCTCTGCTTGGTCGCATTTGGGGTGTTGCTGCAGGTGCTATCACTGAAGGGAACGAGAGAGTCCGTATGCTTCTTGGTGCAATTCCTTCACGTATTTTTGATGCTATCTACATCAATGACCGCGAGATCACTGCGTTGGTACAACAAGTCCTCTACGACTCCCTCTTACCACTGAGCTATCCTCCAATCAAGGCCAAGTCTACGACGAACGGCGATTCGCAGCGTGTCAAGGACAGTCAAGTTCCGGCTTCGCAAGCTGAGAAAGCACCTTCACCGGATGCCATTCGCGCTGAGCGTATTCTGGTGCTGGTTCGAGACCTCGAGCAGAAGGCCAAGACTGTCTTCTTCACTTTCCAGTCCAGACAGACCAAGATGGCGCAATACTTGGAAGCGTTCTTGAAGCGCTGCGAAGACTACAATGGAGGCGTCAATGCAAAGAACGGCAAAGAGGGCAGTGGCTCGCTTGCCAAGTTGATTGAGTTCTTTGCGCGAGAGCGTCCCGAACCTCTTGTAGCCAACGAACACCTCTGGAAATTTGCTAAGAAGCATAATAGAAGATGTTATCAGTTGATCAGATTCGCAACAAATCCCGACAGCGAGTACAAGAAGGTTAACAACGCCATTAAGGAATTGACGAAAGGCATCGAAAGTCCGGCAATCTTGACGACGATATTGCCTATCATCTATCAGGCCAGTGTACTGGTTTACAGCAAGAGTCACGTCCCTACGATTGTCGATATTTCTCGTACGGAGGTCAGGGGTCTTGGTTCACCAGCGCATGAGGTGCTTAGAGAGATCTCAACCCACAACCCCGAGGTCTTCAAGGCACACGTACGTAGCCTGTGCGCCACGCTTCAGGAGCAAGTGCCATCGAAAGATAGACCTACCGATTCTGGTGTGGTCGAGACTCTGAAGGCGTGTGCCGGTTTCGCGCAGAGATTCCCTGCGGAGATTCCTCGCGATCGTGCCTTCTTGCAAGCCATGGTTCAGTTTGCCCTCCACGGGAATCCGCCCATAGCCGCGAAACACGCCGTTTCCGTCGTCGTTGCTGCTGACGAGAAGAAGGACATGTACGTCAAAGACATTGTCACCAAGTGTGTACAAGGCTTCGAATATGGCGAAGATGGTTATCTTTCAAAGCTGGCAGCGCTCAGTCAACTCATGCTCCTGTCAGCAAAGGACACTGAAGACGAACATGATAACATTATGGAAATCGCGATTCAGAAAGTCCTGCTGCAAGTCCGAACCAAAGCCAAGCCAGACGATGTTGAATGGCAAGAAGAACCGGATGACGAGTGCGAAGCCAAGATCTGGGCCCTCAAGATCTTAGCAAACAGACTTAGATCCTACGCGATGTCTGTACCTGACAGTGAGATGGAGACTGTAGTCAAGGAGCAGGCAGTGCCGGTGTTCAAGCTGTTGCAACGCATTGTTGATAAGGATGGCGAGCTGTCCAAGACTCAGAACGAAACCCCCAAGCCTCACAGAGCACGCCTGCGATTGAACGCAGCTATTCTGCTGCTTAAGTTGTGCAGTGCACACAAACGTTTCGACGCACTGATGGAGCCCAAGCAATTCAACCGTCTCATCGTCATCGCCCAGGATGCACTACCCGAGGTTCGAGAGGCTTTCGTAGATGCCATCAAGAAGTATCTTGGTCAAGGCAGACTGCCCCACCGTTTCTATACTCTGGTGTTCGTCTACGCTTTCGAGCCAAACGGAGTCATCAAGAACGCAACATCAACATGGCTGAAGGGGCGCGCAGCAACATTTGCTAAAGCTAACGAAACCGTCATGGAGGCCACATTCGCACGCTTCATCAGTCTTCTCGCTCACCACCCCGACTTCTCAACAGAATTGAAAGACTTGAAGGACTCTGTTGACTACATGATGTTCTACCTGAAGGCTGTTGCAACCCCGACCAACATCACCCTGATCTACCACATCGCTCAAAGAATGAAATCCGTTAAGGACGGCATTGATGAGACCAAGAGTGAAAACTTGTATTGTCTGTCTGACATCGCGCAAGCTGTCATCCGCAGATACCAAGAACTGCAAGGTTGGTCACTGTCGGTATGGTCTGGAAAGCTTCGTCTACCTGTTGGTCTCTTTGCCGCTCTGCCCAGCCATGCGATCGCCCAACAGATCGCCGAGAAACAATATGCACTAGAGGAGTTGATGGAACAAATCGAAGACCTAGTCAGAGACCGCCTGCGTACCAAGAAGCGCAAGTCTGAGGGCACAAACACACAGGCCAAGAAGCGCGCCAGAGCTAGCGAAGGCAAGGCGGCCAAATCGACCTCGAGCAAGAAGATCAAGAGCGTCAAGACGCCGAAGAAAAAGAGCTCAAATGCTGCCTCAGTACCTGCCAGCGAGATCCGTCGCAGTTCTCGCAAGTCTGGCGCGAAAAGCTACCTCGAGAACAGCGACAGTGATGAAGCAGACGGTCCTGACGATGCCGAAGAAGACGATAGCGACGACGACGAAAGCGACGCAGAGGACCAAGAGCAGGATGAGGAAATGGAGGATGCCGAGAAGCAGGAACCAGAGGCAGTCGTAGGAAGCGAAGAACCAGAACAAGAGGCTGCTGAGCCAGAAGAGGAAGAAGCAGTCGAGCCAGAGGAGGAACCATCACCAGTACCCACCAAGAAACGAGGAGGTCGTACTGCTGCCGCAACCAAAGCCAAAAAGGCAGCCAAACCCGCCACAGCTCCCACAAGATCGAGCCGGAGAAAGAGAAATGGTGCTGCTAAGGGCAGTGATTCCGAACTGAGTGATGCACCATCAGATATGGAGTAGTATGTCCTAGTATGAACATGGGATGGGGCCCATCGCGTGCCTTTCACTCTTCCTGTATTTGCTTAAAAAACAACCAACATCGAGTAACTACTATGGCTATTTTCATCACACATGCATACTTTTATAGCGAATGGCGTTTTCTTTTGTGTTTTCCACCCTTTTCCGTTCATCCACAAGTTCAATTTGTTTCTAATATCAGTCTCGTTCGTGTATAGCAGCAAAGCAATCAGTACGTGTTCAATCGAATATCAAAAAAACACAAACCCTCCAATATCTTCAATCCAACTGCGGCAGAGTGTAAACAGAGCACGTAATGTATGGGAATAAGATTGTGATTATGAATAAGGTAATAAGTTTGATTATGGGTATCTATAAGGTCTTTTCGACAAGACGAAACAAGGAAATGGTCATGATAATATTACAAACAATCCACGCTCTAAATCTAGACGGATTGTCTTTGCGATGCACTCGACTTGACAGAAGCGCCAGTCATGGAGTTTTGTCTGCTGGGGCCGTAGATGGCCGAAGCTCTTCTGCCACCATTGTCTTCACGGGCAGAAGACAATTGCTGAGCGAAGGGCGAACGCTTGCGGAGAACAGGTCCTTTCCAGTAGATGACGTAGACCGAGATCACAAGGAGGAAAGCGATACAGGCGAGAATGGTCGAGGCGTACTCGAGGTGGTGCTCGCCGCCAATGTTGGTGTAGAAGGGGGTGGCGGGTACGGTCAACACACCGGCAAGGAAATCACGAGCCCATCCATTACCACCAGTGGCGGAAGCGGAGTAAGGACCGTAAGCGCAGATCATGTAATCGATGGTGGCCATGTAAATTGCGTAGTTGGCGATACCGATGACTGCGGAGAAAATCATGGAGCCGATCCAGTGAATTGGGGGTCCACCGCTGGTCCAGGCGAAGCCGATCAGACCGATGGGAAGACAGGGAACGGTGAACAGGAGCCACCAGAGACGAGACTCGTACTGAGCGTGCTCGTCGTTGGGGTTCTCGCGACGTTGTCTCTTATTGCGAGCAATGGCGGGGAAGAATGAGAACCAAGCGATGAAGTATCCGATGAGGAGAGGAAGGAAAGCAAGACCGATCTGGTAAGCTGAGAAGCCCCACTGGTCGTACACAAGAGCGTAAGACTGGAGGAACATGAAGATCAGAGCATCACTGAAACCAGAGAGCAGCGAAAGGGTGAGGACGATAGGCTCGGTGAGGAACATCTTGAAGGGGCGGATCCAGGTTTGAATGATCTCCTTGGCAGAGAAGCGCTCCTTCCAGGGAATGAGCTCAGTGGGACCGTAAACGTTGGTCTCACCAGCCTTGCGACGTCTCTTAGCGATCTTGTCGAGCATGGAGCTGGTTCTAGTTTCGGGGACGAGGAAGAAGTGGAGAGCTTGAACGAAACCACCGAAGATAAGCTGAATCCAGATGTTCCATCTCCTGTGAGGTTATTAGCGCGATGAAGAATGCCATAGCGGTCATTATTCCAAACTTACCATGCAGCGTATTGTTCGACGAAACCACCGACGACAGGACCAAGGACGGAACCACCAACAGAGGAGAAGACGATGAAGGCAACAGCGTACTGCTGCTCATCGGCCTCCCACATGTCGGCAACCATACCAAGAGTAACGGAACCACCGGCAGATGACAGACCACCAAGGGCACGGCCAGCCATGACGGTTCCGAAGTTCTGAGCGAGGGCGACAGGGATTTGCCAGATGTTGACGAGGAACAAACTGAGCTGGAGGATAGGCCATCTTCCGAGTTCTTCAGACCAAGGAGCCCAAAGCTCACAACCAAAAGCATAGAGGACCAAGAAGATCATGGCACCACAACGAGCAGCCTGGGCACTAATGCCAAACTCTTCTGTCATGCCAGTAATGGCATTGCTGTACAAACTTGTGTTGAAGTTCATCGAGACTTGAACGATGAAGATGACAGACAGAATCGTCCACTTCTTCCATGTAGGAAAGCAGAAACCGAGTTCTTCGTAGCAGTCATCTTCTGTCAGGATGATCTTGTCGGTGCCATCGTATGCGTTGCCAGTCTCCTTCTTGCGGGTAGGTACTTCGGAGTTGTCGACTCTGCGTTCGATCGAGGGGTCGGACGAGTCGGGATTCTCGACCTTTTCGTTGGTAAACATGCCAGACATCTTGAATGCAATGCAGTTAAGGATGTATTATGATATTGTTCTGAGGACGCCAGCGATGGGCGTGAGGTATATGTAGATATATACCAATGTCTGACGGCCGAAGGAAACCCGTCAGATAAATACTGGGGATGCCGGGGGGACGGGGAAGATACTGGGGAAGGCACGCAGAGGATGGTCCTGCCGTATTTATATGCCCTCACAGTGGTGGAGCATTTCGGAAACTACAAGGAAGGAGCGGTGACATCACCCAGCAGCATAAACGCGATGGAGTGATTTGCGCGGATCTTTCTGAGCGGCTCACCCTCGAAAAAAAGCCCTTGCGTTCATCTTCGAAGTGGACGGTAGCCCGGTGACCGAAGACCCACATGGCTTTACTTTGAGTGCTTTGACACGGAAATCAAGTCCTTTTGCAGACATTTTGAGGTTTGGGGACTGCACGTCGTTGAGAACTTAAGTTTGTTTATCAACACCTCTCAGGATCTCATGAGCCTTGAGAATGCACACTATGCATACCAGGCATCGAATTCTCGAGACCCCATATCAATGACGACGCGCAAAATCAATACTCGTATGAGGGAATGTTTCCGTTACTCGCTCCTTCATGCGACGTTACAATGGTACACCCGGAAAATAGATCTTTATGGCCGGCACAGGCGTCATCCCGCGGTTGGCTTGCTCTTATATAAGCATCTTCTTGGCGGTGGCGTCCAACTCTTGAACATTGATATCATTTGGCGCTTTTACGACTGAAGGATCAAGAATGTTGGTAATGTTGCTTGAGTATTTTCTTCTCGCGAACCTGCTTGGTGAGATATAGTGACCACTTGACGCTTGCGAAAAAGCCATTCGACGTGGAACACTTCAAGTATCTTTACCATGACAGCGTGGCTGCCACGAAGACACAACTTAAAGATCTTGGTGTTTAGCCGGCTGGGGGACTTGGAGCGGGGCGCGTAACGATTCTCCACCAAAGCACCACTTATTTTGTTTGGAGGAGCTTGGGGTCTCCGAATAATTTTCTGGCACCACACCCGACGATGTGGGCGATTGATGAAGTTCTGTTCGGCCCGATTCTGTCACCAAGAGCATACGAGTCAAGGCCGTCCTCGGGACCATCACCGCCGCCGGAACCGTTCGCACGGCAATCATGCTTGCCGTTGTTGCCATGTTTTCGGCCGATACATCTTGATACGACGCTGATCACGCGTGCGATAAAAGAATTTTTCTACACCAGACCCGGCAATCATGTGAAAGTAGCCATATACCGAGCTGTGATATAGGAGATATAGTCAGTTGATAGATATAAACCGAAGGACAACCGACATGTAGTCCTGGGTTAACCACAAGCTCGCTTTCGCTTGAGATGGCCTTTGTATCAGTCAACCAGTGGGTCTCTTGTGTCGTGCATCTTTGATCTCTTGGATATTCACAAGCTTCACGCATGTCTTGATCTACCAAGTCACCAAGACCCTTGGCAGGAGGTGAGACGAGGCTCCCAAAGCTTGCTTACACGCACTCTGGTCAACCCTAGATGTTGACTCAACAGTGGATACATATATTCGGGGGCTGAGCGTGTGAAGGTAACACCGAGCGCCGTGCACTGCGGTGGCAATGGGTCAGACGATGCATCGTAATCAGAAAACAGCTGGACAACAGCTGGAAGTTACATTGTATACAGGGGTATCGGTGAGTGTTGCTGGGTTGCACCAAATTAAAGGAACTGATCTCAAATGGTCCAATCGTTCTTGTTGTCGTTGGCAGTCACAAAGGGCTCGTCGATACGCTTGACAGCCATCTCACTGCAAAGCACACTAGAGATTCGTTAGCTCAAACTGTTGACAGGCACGGAAGAAACTCGACTTACCAAGCGCCTGCGACTAGGGCGTCCAACTCCTTGACCATGCGCTCTCGTTTCTTTCCTGTGACAACAGCTCGTCCGACTTCGGTCTGAAGCTCCTTGATGCGCTTACTTTTACCCATCCCGACACTCTGCAAGACCATCTTGCCAAGGCAATCAGCGTGGAAAGAGTGCTGGCAAGGGAACACGAAGAATTGGCGCATCAACAGGGGAAGCCTGCAACTCCAACACTTCTCGCCAGGCTCAACTATCGCATACCGTTGGTCAAGAGACTTGATGTCTTCCTTGATATGCTGCGCAGTATTGGCGCTTTCGTCCATCTCTCGTTTCAACCCCTCAATTTGTCTCGAGTATTCCTCAAGGGCGGCACAAATCTCTTCCTTGAAATCATCGATGACCACAAAGTCGGGGAAGAAAGGTATCAGGTCCTCGATGCGCAATAATTCGCAGCGTTTGAGGAACTCCATGGCGGCCTTGATGCCCTTGCTTTGACCGATGACCTTCTTGGCCACCTTCAACCATAACTTTTTGCGTAGTGCAGGGTCGTTTCCAGGCCGGTCAGCTACATTAGCAGCTAGATCCACTTGGTCGTGCTTGAGTGCCATGTCTACAGCTTGGGCATATTGATTCATGGTGCAGTAGATGTGCACACATGATTGAACGCGCTGGTGAGCAATGCACAGACGAAGAGCGAAGTCTGCATCGTAGTTTTGCTCGTGAGCGGCACTCTGTGTTTGGAGGTATTGGAACAGTGCAGTCTCATCTCGCGTGGGATGCGCAGCATATATCGAGACCACGGTGTTGTGAACAGCAGTCTCTGTTGAGTGGCGCTGATTGATGCAGAATTGAAGATAGCGCACGGCTTGGTTCTTGTGGCCTGGTCAGTAGGATTCTTAAATGGATTGAACTTCTTTGCTTACTTGGTTTAGCGGTACGTCTGCTGTCTTGTTGTAGTTGAGTAGGGCAGGGATGAGTTTGTTTGCTTCCAGATTGTTCTGTCGCATCATGACTTCTACAAGATCGACAGCAACGTGGGTCATGAGTACACTGCTGTATTGATAGAAAATTTCCGGATCTGTCTGCTTTTTGAGGACCGACATGGCTTCTTGCCATCGTTCTCTCTGCACCCAGTAAGACAGGACGTAGTTGTAGTCGTCAATAACATTGGCAAAGTAGAGCAGCTCTTCTTCGCGACCATGGCTGCTGATCAATTCGTAGGTTGTCTTCCTATCGAGGTCGGACCTGTATTTAGTAACGAACTCCTGAAACTCACGTCGCATTGAAGGGAGATCTTCTTGCACATTTGCAATAGGAGCCGCTTCTGAGAGTTCTGCCTTTGCCGAGATAGTGTCATCCAGAAGGTTCAGTTTGGCCATGAAAAGCTCGACCAACCAACTCGCAACCATGACTCTTTGCATGGTTGAGGATTTCTTGAGAACAGACAGCTTTGTTAACAGATATTTTCTCAGGGCATCCTGTTCTCCTTGGTCGATAAAAGTGAGAGCGACCTCTTCAAAAGGCTTGGTACTTCTGCCATACACAGTTGCTGCTTCCGAGAAACGACCTCGAGAAACGAGATGATCACCAGATGCGGTGGCAACGGCATCTTTTTGAGCGGCAGTCTTCGCATAGCGCGATGCTGCATCGAACTGCTCATTTCTGAGCATAATCTTCCAAACATCTCTGGCTTCATCAGTGACAACGACCTCGAAGATCTCACGCTGCGTGAACAGCCAATATGTGTTCTTCTTGTGATCTGCATAGAGGCCTAGCGGGGCGTTACCGGGTTCCAGGACGAGCTGATCATAAACAAGGCTGCCATCAAGTCTGTTGATGGCGACCACTCGACCTTCAACCAGATGGAGAATGTGAAACTGCGTCAGAGCGATAGATGAAGTGGGTTCCACTGAAGGCTTGTTGCGACCTCCGGATGTTTGAGACGGTGGTATGACGGATTTTGGCAATAGTTTTGCTGCGGAGAAGGGACTCGTTTCTGCAGATTGAACCATAGCAGCGAAGTCTCCATGAAAGACACCCTGAGAGTTGAGCCAAGCGAAGACGTTCTCTTGAGCGGATTCAGAAAGTGCTGCATCTGCTGGCTCGGAAATAGTGACCAAGGTCGAGGGACCGGGGGTTGCGTCCTTGAGGTTATGTATCACAGGGGTTTCTCGCTCGAGTAATCTGGGATAGATTGAACCACTGTCCTGGCGACCACCTTTACCGACGAACAATAGCAACTTGGTGGGTGTTGCTACTAGAACGCTACGAGCGTCTGAGGAGAGATCCACAGACAAACCAACAACCGGGCCATCCTGAACGTTGTATAGGGTCTTCAAGTATTTCTCCTCCCTTCTATAGAACTCGGTGCTAGGTTCGATATATGTTTCGTAGATGTTGCCGTCGGATGCGCCTATCAGGATCTCCCTGGTCGAGGCAGTGGGCTGTGAAGGGTTCCAGGCAATTGACTCGATTTGAACGCCTTTCAGACGAGCTAGAGCCTTCGGCGTGCGGGATTGAGTGTGTAAATAGTAGTTCTCGCCTTGAGTGGTCGAGATGACGAGATGAGAGGCTGAAGGGTCCAGGAACAGACGGCGAATGACACCAATCTCGGAGGGTTTCTTGGGAAGATCAATGTCGTCAATGTCCTCGGGGCTGTCAAGATCGAATCGCAGAATGCGGCCAGTAGAGAGGGCCAGAATCAGAACATTGTTGGCGACTTGAGCAGCGACGAAATCGGAGGATATGTCGAAGCGGAGTTGGACTCGTTGGACATCGAATACAGGTAGCGAGGGGTCGAAGGAGTCCTGGACATTGCTGGCGGCGGCAGCGTAGCCGCCTGAAGGGTCGTAGGCCATGGGATAAAGATCGGACTATGAAGATAACATTGCGCGTCTGTCTACAGATTATAGTCGGCCGAGGTATATCATAGAATGGTATAGATGCATGTCATCACGGTCGGCGTTGGTTGATTGATGCTTGGCGGTCACGTCGCGTCTCCCAGCTGGTCGAGCTTCACAGCTTCAATCTGATGTCTTGAATCTGTCCCATCCACACATCGCCATCACAATGTTCGCCGCTCGCTCTGCCCCTCGTATCCTCAATGGCGCTCGCGCCTTCTCGACCTCGCCCGCCCACTCGCTGGCTAAGATGCAACTCATTGGCCGTCTCGCCGACCAACCCGAGCTCACCCCCACATCTACCGGCCGCGAGATGGTGCGGTACGCTCTTGGTGTCAAGGCTGGTCCTAAGAATGAGAATGGAGAAAGACAGACCAGCTGGTTCAGAGTCGCCAGTTTCAGCGACGGTCCCGGAAGAGACCTCCTCTTGAGTCTGCCCAAGGGGTGAGACATGCCATATCTAGAATTATATCTCCTTGGTGTTGACCGATGCTAGTACTCTCATGTACCTCGAAGCCGATGCTCGTATGGATACGTTCCAAGGTCAGGACGGCAACAACCAGACGCGCCTCAACCTTATCCAGCGTGAGTCAAGTCATGGATTGTCTCGAATTATTCCAAACTGACCGAATATGAAAGGCAACTTCGAGACTCTCAGCCGCCCCCAGAACCGCCAGAATGACGCTGAGTCCGACAGAAGTGCTGCCGAGGAGCCTTCCAGCGGTATTGGCGCCTCCTAGATTGCGTGCAATTCGAGAAGATGGGTAGGAATACGGCATTTCATTGTACAGAATGTCCACACTTCACAGATTTTGTAACTGTCAAGCTTCTCATCTTCAAAAGAGGCTGGCCATGTAAAATACACAATTTCCTTTCTCATGATGAATGCTCGACGCTGGTTTGTGTTGCAGATCCGTGCATTGTCTTTCTGTCTGGGACGCAGGTGAGTAAGTTCTGTTGTTTCGTATATCTTAGAAAAATGCTCTAGACATTGTCGGTCCATTTCCTTGTTTCGCTGGATGATGTATGGATGTGCCTGCAAAGACAATGCTTTATAGCCGTCTGAACTCGGCCTCCACGACTGAGAACCAACCAAGTCAACATCTCAAACATCTCACGGAAGGTACGCATCGGCGGACAAGTTCGAGCAGGTTTCCAGGAAGGCACGCCCCAGCAACCGTCTTCAGGCGACAACGACATTTGCGCTGTCTTTTCACGCGCGCCGCGACACTACCGTCTTGCCAAACCTTGGTATCAATCACAATTACTACACATCAAGACGAGTGCGCACTCGTAACCCTCATCGACTTCCATCTCACTATCATCGATAAACCAACTCTTTATACAACTACTGATCAACCGACCACCTCCTCAAAATCGCTCAGCATGTGTAACACAGTCACCATCCACTACTCCTGCAATCATTTTGCGCAGTTCCATCGCTCAACCTGCCGCAGCATCTTCTGGGTCACCAAACGTGTCGGCAAGATCAAGAAGCACTCAAAAGCCAAGAAGAGCCACAACAAAGACAAGACCAGCAAAGACAGCCCAAGCAAAGATGACCCCATCGAGGACAACGACAACCAGCACGAAGAAACAAGAGGCAGATCACGCGAACGCACTTCCAGCAGATCCAGCTCTTCTCGATCACCATCCAGCAAGACGAGCTCACCATCCACTCACTCCCCACCTCCACCAACCAAACTCGTCTCCAAAGCCGCCTGCAAATCCCTCTCCGACGTAGTCTTCCGCAGCCCTTGCCGCTGCGGCCCCTGCAACCGCGACTCCCCCAGACGCATCTTCGACCTAGGAAGAAAATACTCAATACCCGCTCTCGAATATCCTTCCCACAAAAAACGCAAGCATCTTCGACGCCACGCCAAAGTCTCCGGCGGCTCACCACTCAAACATGAATTAAGCATCGAAGAACTCCTGCGAGATGATGAAGAACAAAAGGAAGACGAATCCACAAGCTTGGTAAGTGCTTTCGATATCCTGTTCTGATGATGTTGGGGAAAAGAGCTTATAGAGCTGATTCAGTTCTTCTCGTAGATCAAGTCTGGCACGAGGACTGTGGAGGGAATTGCAAAGTTGCTTCGTCTCGAGCCAGGAAAGTTTTGGAGATGCTGGAGACGGTTTGGCGATACTGTGGGACGTCGTTATGCGGGCTAGAATCTTTCCGCGTTTTCTTCCCGGGACAAGCAGGGAGATACACGGGATCGCGTAGATTGCTGTGGTTGCCGGTTCTGGTGTTGATGGATTTCGCCTCTCATTAGAGCTGCTTTTGTGCTAGTCAAGCACATGCAGACTATCGAAGAGGAAGAGCAGGGGAGGTAACAGGAGACAGGCATGCACTGTCGCACACTCAAAAGAGATACGAACACAGCGAAACTTGCACCAAGTTTTGTACGAAGTCAAGATGCAAAAATAGTTGCTACATGGACATTCGTTCTTCTCCATCATTAGAAAAGAAAGTCCTGTTTGTTATGGCTATCGCTAGAAGAACTTCAGTGAAGACATCTTTCCACTCTATAAACCATGCAACTCAAGATTTAGAAAGAAAAGCAAACCCATCCTTAGGGTGATATTTAACGCTCCATTTAACGCCTTGGCAATTATGCATGCAATTCGTCACAACACCTAGAGTGCCTTTTCATCCACTTCTAAAGAGAACCGCTGAACTCGGGCGTCTCGGTTGGAGTAGCCCAATGACCGTCGGTATCAGCACCGTAGTCGTCGAATCCTCTAGATCCTCTGCCCATGAGACCGGTATGAGTCTTGTCCGCCTTTGCCTTTTGCACAATCGAGTATTTCGAGCCCATTTCCTTTGCTTGGGCGACTGAGCGGGTGATAGATGCCAGCAAGGAGACCAGGTGGACGTCTGATTGTTCTTGATTCGAGGCTGTTGCGATGGAGGATTGAGGTATGCCGGTGGCGGGGATTGTGGTTGAGGCTGAGGATTGGGTTGTGGGAGGGGCTAGTAGGGGGAGACGGGCGAGCATGGCGGAGATGCTGCGGAGGAGTTGGTGGTTGAGTGGTGGGTCGCTTACGCCTACTGGGAGGGAGGCGTCGGTGAGATATGAGGGTGGTAATTCGGCTAGATAGGCTCTGATGAGATTGATGCGCTGGTGCAGCATCTTGATGGCGTTGTACTTTGCGGTCAGGGATGACATGACTGGTGTCGAGTTAGCTTGATTGCCCCTCCCAGAATTGAATTGACGGCATTACCTTCTTCGTCCTCTGCACTAAGTTGGACGTCGGTGCTGGTGCTCTCTTCGGCGCGAGCCTTGCCCTTGGCTGGAGGTGCAGCAGAGTTCTGCACGGTAGCCGAGCCGCTTCCCTTTGCAACGAAGTCGACAGCAATCATCTCTGCCTCACCAGTCTCGACCTCAAAGGGCAGTTGACGGAAGCGCATCTGCAGCTGGCGACCCATACCCCATCCATCGACCTGTAATCCCTTCTCTGCACCCTCACTGCCGGGCTCGTAGTATGTCTCGTAGATGGAGATAGGCAGCTTTCCGCCGGTAAGTGAGCCATCGAGAATAGTCTGAGGGTGGAAGAGGAGGAGCATAAGCGAGTCGTTATACGAGTGTTGCAGTTGTTGGAGAATGGGCACATGTTCGGGTAGAGGGCCAGAGGGGGGAGCGAGGGTGAAGATGGCGACGAGATCGAGAGGTGGTGCCTTGTGAACGTCCTTGACTGTGTACAGAGATTAGCCCTGGCTGTCTAGTCTTGATCGCACAGATAAACTTACACTGTTCTAGACGTTCGGCAAACCATTCATCGTCAACGACGATGCGATCGCCATCCTGCTTGGTCTTACACTGGAAGGCCTGCTCCATAGTGATCTGACGACCATTTTGCTGACCGATGATGGCACCAATAATGGGGCCTTCTTGCTGGCGGACCGAGTGGCGCGTTATGTAGTCGGAAATGGTGAGGAGGACCAGAGGATGGAGTTGAACCGATAGAGATGAATCGGAGGTGCTGCTAGACAGCAGGGAATTGCTTGCCGTTTCGACCATCTTTGCGTATGTGATTTGGGTAAGAATCCACAGCAGTTGGCGCAAACAGATGGTCAAGCGTTGACATCGATGGTTTGTGAGAGAGTGCGGAGCTTGTTAACACCGCTTTATCCCCGATAGCAGTTGCAGCCTCACTTTCACCGCGCCAGGAAGCTTTCACAACTTCTACCAACAACCCAAATCACACGCCACACCTCTTGCTCGTCCACCTCGTCGCGACTTCTCGGCCATCTACCTCTAATCCACGCGACAACGACTATACAGAGAAGCCTTCACATCTAACCCGCAATCATGTCTCGCCATCACCCGTACGCCTTTCCCCAATCTAGTCAAAGAAGACGCACATACTGACAAGAGTTGTAGTGATCTGGTCATGTGTCGCAAGACCGCCGGTATCTCAATCGGCCGTCTCTGCGACAAATGCGACGGCAAATGCCCCGTATGCGACAGTTACGTCCGTCCCACAACCCTAGTCCGCATCTGCGACGAATGCTCTTTCGGAAACTACCAGAACAAGTGTGTTGTCTGCGGTGGCGAGGTAAGAACACACATCTAACAATCGTGTATTTCTCTCGAGCGTCATGCTGACTGATGAACAGGGAATCTCGGATGCCTTTTACTGCTTCGAATGCACGCGTCTGGAAAAGGACAGAGACGGCTGCCCCAAGATTATAAATCTGGGTAGTTCGAGGACAGACTTGTTCTACCAGAAAAAGAACTTTAGGAATCATTAGTACGGACTGGGCTAAGGATCTAGAGCGATCATTCACAACATCGAAGAAACGAAACATGTTCTGCAAGGGCTCGCAAAGAAGCCTGGAAGGCATTATCTGCAGGACCGACATCACGATATGCTTGTAATCGAAGAAACGGAGGCAGACATGGAGAGCTGGACCCGGCAGAATGGGCACAAGCGGCCACCAAAATGCCTCTACGACCGACAAAGCTGACACGGCCAATGTCCCAGGACCTTGTGCTCTGCCGCCCGCGCAGCAGACTCGCTAGCACCTGCGTTCAAACGACGGCTATCTGTATAGGCTGGAATCAGCAGCCAATGACCAACGGAGAAGGAAGCGGATCATTCGATCACATAACAAGCACGGTAGAATAGAGATTGACAGTTACTGACGTCCTTCATAGACGGCCGAAATTTCGTTTATTCAGCTGTGTTCTTCTCCCACCTGCATCTGTACACAGTGATCTTGCCGTTATATGGCATTCCAGAGCCTATATAACAACCATGTATCCTTACCATGTCATTGCATATATTGATACCCTCATGGCAACCAAATAATGGCCCTGGAAGATAGTCTACTTGACTCATGGCTGACAGGCCAAGCATGTTGGCTGGGTTGTTCGTTGACTCGTAGCCTCATGCCCGAAGGCGGAAGAGGCGGTGGTTAGGCGGCATCCAATTCGACATTTCCTTCTTCTCAACCGGGGATGTTGGCCAGCTCTCTGGAGTTTGCGGCGTTCAGCTCGGCCATGAGACCGCCCTTATCCCTCTTCTTCTCATCCTGGTCCAGCTTGGTCTGCACGAATTGATGCAAGACTTTGACCTTTTCCAGAGCGACGTTTGAGCAGTTGAGGGTAGTCAAAGGGTCCACAGGCACACCTCCGTACTTTGCGATCTGGCAAACCTCACCGTGACGGTTCATGCTGACGATCATCTCGCCGTCGCGAACACTCTCTTCTGCCAGGTTTGCGTCCAGAACTACTGTCTCACCGCCGTGGTAGAAGGAGAATGAAACACAGAAAGGATGATGTTGCATGGCCAGCTTAACGGGCTCGCGCTCGCGAGTATCGAAGACAGTGACATCCTCTCCATGTACCTCGACATCAGGGCGGCGGAAATGTTGTAGTGCGGCGACCAAGGCGATACAGCAGGCGTCAATCAATCCACCATCATGATCCAGAACGTGAATGTCTGCGCGGACTGCGAAGCACTTTGCGCCGGCGATGATGCACAGCGACTCGGTGTCCAGAGCTCCAGAGCGACGAATTGACTTTTCCAGTAGACGTGAGAGAACGACTTCGGCATCGTTTGGGCGACCAACTTCGAAGGCAGGCGAGGCCATAGGTGAGAGCTCGGTGGAGATGGTGAAGACTCCGTCAAACTTACGATCCGGGAAGGGTGTCGTTACTTCGGCTGATACTCGTGCAACCACTCTGCGCACGTGTTAGTGGTGTGCTTCTTATCCTTCCTGCTGTCTTCACGTACCTCGTCTTGCCCAAACGGACGTCTGCAACACCATAATCGTCACCGAATTCGAGCTCTAGGTTTCTGAATTGGTCGAGCTGGCGGCCATCGAGGCGGATGCTTTCGAATAGAGCATCTCTGATGAACTGGCGCTCGTTCAGCGAGGGCTCGACTTCTCGCGGCATGATTTGTGAATAATGTGTATGACGTTGAAATAATTATCCTCGAACATTTCATCGAGGTACCAAACGCCCGCCGCCGCAAGCTCGGCTTTTCCCGCGCTCGCGGTCTCGAACTTGACCGTCACTTCCAATTCGCGATCAACTATCTTTCTATCGACTCACACCTTTTGTCACAACATCTTGTCGCTAGCCTCAGCATCCCACAATGACCACCGCACATCGTCCTACATTCGACCCTGCCCGCGGCAAGGACTCCCTCCGCGGTCCCGGCTACCATCAACGCCTACTCCCAGCACACAAAACTCTCAAGTTCCGTCAAGCAACCCAAGGCACCACAGACGAACACGCCACTCGTGACTTACGCGCTGAGCTTCTACGCGCCGAACGCCGTCACTTTGCGAAGAAAGAAGGCCGCGAACTGTCACCTGAGGAAGAAGAAGTTCAACTCGCTATCGAAGAAGGCTCGGTCGGCAACGAAAGCACAGCAAAAGGTGTGAAGCGTAATTTGGAAGTCGAGATTGGCTCAGAACAAGATGGAGAGCAAGATGAGGAAGACTATGAAGCAAAACGGCGGAGAGTCTTGGAGGAGTCTCGCGATGTTGATGCAGACTCGGATGATGGTTCAGAAGAAGACTCGGATTCCTCAGACGACGAGGATGATGACGACGAAGAGGCAGAATTGATGCGCGAATTGGCAAAGATCAAGGCCGAGCGGGCAGAAGCTGCTGCAAAGGAGGCCGCTGAACAGGCCGCCAAGGAGGAAGAACAACACATGCGAGACGTTGCGACTGGTAACCCACTCCTCCAACCGAAGGGATACGAGGTGAAACGCAGGTGGGACGATGATGTGGTCTTCAAGAACCAGGCCAGAGGAACAGAGGAGAAGAAGGGCAAGGAGTTCGTCAACGACTTGTTGCGAAGCGACTTCCACAGACGTTTCATGAGCAAGTACGTCCGTTAAAGGTTGCAAACTTCCGATCAAGCTACGGATATCTCTGGATCAGGAATACTGCTGAGCCAAGTAACAATGGGAACTCTCACACGAATTATGAAAATTGGACTGTGTATCATTTCAAGGACGATTACATGCTTGCATTGGAATTGGAAGTGACGATAATCAAAATACACTAATGGCTCCTCATGCTCTTCCACTTCGACCACCACCTTTACCATAATTACTCCCGCGCTTATTCTTCTTTCCTCCGCGTGTACCGCGCTTAGTTTTCTCGCCGAGGGTTTGGACACTGGCCTCTTTATTCTCAACCTGCTGTTCTCCCACGGATCCTGATTCCTCAATCTTGGGTCTCTTAGCCAATGTTGTCTTTTCGACCCATCTCTCATCTGTACTTTCAAAAGCTTGGGTGAACTTTCTGCTTGGCTTGACTCTGATCTTGTCTTTGAAAGTAGACTGTTTGATGGCGGTGCCCTTCAGGCCAGCCTCGAAGTCCTCTCGCGCGATGACCTTGTAAGGCGTGGCGGAAGACTTGGTGCAAAGACTGTCAAGCAGCATCCCTAGGTACTGGTTGGCGCCATTGCGCTTCCAGGAATTGTGACCATCAACGCGAGCCTGCATCCATTCGGTGAAGTTACCGACTAGGATCTGCATGTGCTTGGCTCTTGACAAGGCCACATTCATACTGTGCTTCTTGCTGATGAATCTTGTGGACATGGGCTTCTCAGGTCTGTTTACACAGAAAGCGATGATTTGGATCTCGGCCTCTTCACTTTGACAGCCGGAAACAGTTCGTACGTTCAGCTTGTTGTCAACATTGCCCAAGAGTCCTGCGCGTTTGAGAACGAGGTGAAGATATGTCTCCATTCCTGCGTACCAGCATGTGATGAGGAAGTCCTTCGGTTCCAGCCTTCGTCCCTGGGCAGGAGCATCCGTCTCCAACATGCCCCTGACCAACTCGACGAGAGTGTCTGCTTCCTTGGGGTTGAAAAGGGAGCTGCCGCCGTTATAATTCTTTGACCTGGCGTTGTCTCCGCTCATGTCAATCGCGATCACGCGCCAGCCATCGTATGCAGCGCCAAAACGAGAAGAGCAGAAGCTCATGGCAGTCACCGCGTCAGGGGTCATGTCCTCGGTTGAGCAATGGTTCTTCAGAGTGCCGTTATACCAGCCTTCGCTGATGAGTTTGCTGATCTCTGGATGCATGCGGTACTGCAAGACTAACTGCACGAAGTCGAGTCCATGGAGTCGGTTTGTCTTGATACGCTCCATGATAGAATCTCGCGTGAATCGAGCGAACTCGTTGTGGCCTTCAGCAAGAGGTCTGCCACGCTGCTGTGCGGGGTCTCCTGACTGAAGTATATGCCAGAGGCTGTCCCAGAATGCGACAAGTCCCGTCAACATGTCTGGAAGCGGAGCCAAGGCAGCCTCGTCAATAGCGGCCAGTCTGGGTTTGAAGTGGGTACGGAGGTCTGGATGTGCCGCGTCAATGAGAGTAACGAAAACGCCGTCGACGTCGCTCCAGAAGTGGTGTAAGAGTTCCGCCTTTGCGTTGTCAAGCTGCTCGTAGGCCAGTCGTCTCTCGTTCTTGGAAATACCAGGAGCCTTGGTCTGTCGCTTTGCTAACGCAAACTTGATGGCGGTGGCATGCATCGGGTCGTCCTCCGACGCAAGTAGCTTGACGACCATGTTACTGAACGTTTTGTGGTACTCCAGATCACCAAGTGGATCGTTGGCAGCAATCATAGTCTTTTGGCCTTCTACCAATTCCCAGAGAGCAGTCTCCAATTTATTGGTTACAGCCTCGCCATTTTGCAATGGAGCTGCGGTAACCTCCGGTGTGATACTTGCTCCCCTGAATCTAACAAAGTTGTAAGGCTTGGGCGAATCTTTAGTCAAGTCTTTCATCTTCTGCAAGATGTTGTCGACTGCGGCATTTGTGGGTGCCATCACAACGATAGGGCATCGCTCATAGGGACGGTGGATGCGGTTCGTTTCCAAATAGTCCTTCAGCAAGTTGGAAACAATGTGCGTCTTACCAGTGCCAGGAGGGCCAATCAGGGTGCTGATGCCGGTGGTGGACTCAACAAACGATTTCTTGAGAGATTGTTGCTCCTCGTCACTTTCCTCGGCTCCTTCACTCACAAATTCATCTTCCTGCGCCTTGGACATGGTGTTGACCCACCTGTTGTTATTGAAAATGGTTTGCGGCGCAGACATGTAAAAGTGAGCGATGTCAGGATATTGGTCGTCTCCTTCAGCGCGCGATGGGCCACATCTAACTTGTGCAGCAGCGCTGTGCTGACGCTCGGCCTGGCTTGTGTCCCTGTTCATGTCGATGCTGACTAACTTGGGCTTTTTGAAGTCTTCGTCAACAACAGATGATTCAAGGTCAACGTACAGGCAGATGTTCTTGCTCTTGTCCCAAAATTGTGGGCCGAAGATGCCTCTGAACACAGAGCCATCGCGGGTTCTGAGAGCAACGTGGGTCCTTGGCTCAGGAACAAGAGTGTCTTTGTTCCCTGTCGTGCCCTGCATCGGACAATCGATATCCACCCGGTAGTATCCAGGACTCAGAGGATCTCGGTTGAAGTACCCAACTATTGCAAAGGCATGTTCATCGAAACACTGCTGCTGTCTGTCGGCCATGGCGTTAGTTTCGCGGCTGATGTTCAGTCGAGTGATGTTTGAAGCCGTCTCAACATCGGGTGTTATTGTCGGAATGGCAAACTCAGTCCAGTCAATCGCGGTGGCCTTGATGACATTACCAGAGGCATCGGTCTCGCCCACAAGTCTTGTCCACATCCAACGAGGAGACTTGAAGATTATGTTCTTCATGCTGGCATCCGCCAATCTCCCGGACACCTGCAGTTCATAGAACCAAAGGTTGTTGTATTTACAACACATGAACATGGATGCTTCCATAAAGTCGAACAGCCTCTTGCAGTCTTCAGGAGTACCGCCCAATCTGCGACTGAACACGAACTTGTTGTTGATTTGGAAAGATGCGATCAAGAGTTCAGCGTCGGTCATGGGTGGTGGGTTGGGATGTCCGTCGATGCGCAGTCTGAGTTTCGTGGTCAAAGAGTCTACCTCCTCCTGTTTGATGTTGCGCCATATCGGCTCTGCCAACAGCGGACCGGCTGCTGGAACTGCATGGTGTGAATCGTGGAGTAGGTCCAGCTGAACTTGAACAAGAAATCCACTCTGCTTCAACGTTCCAAGCTCAGTCTCATACTCGGGTCGTGCAGTGTCTTCTTCGATGCTCAACTTGCCGGGGTTGTGATGTGCACTGGAGAGAGCAAAGCCTATTGAGCTTGAACTGGCATGGCGCATGATGCTGTTTGCGAAGATCGAGACTGATGCGTCGTGCCTGCCTTCTCTGGAAACGAAGATCTCGACGCTTGGGAACTGCGAATTGGGATGAAGCAGCATTCTAACGTAGTTGCGCTGTCCGTTGTTCCAGATTTGACCGAAAGAATGCATGGTAGCGTCCTTGTTCGGTGGCCTGAACCATGTCGTGGCCACGGCATTACTCCTTAGCAGTATCTTCTGGTCTTTCTTCTCTCCAGCCATCAGAGGTAGGTCCTGGCCTCGGTATTCGTCGGTAACGGCAGATGCGTCGCTCTTATATAGATCGGGGCTTTCACCCTGGTAGAAGAGCTCTGAAGGAAGGGTATCGTGCGTCAAGATCTGCAGTTTCAAGTCGTCGTCGTCGTCTTCTCCAATGCCCATATTCTTCAGCCTGGTAATAAGGTTCAATCCGGCATCCTCCTCATCCTCGGACTCGCTTTCTTGCTTGATATCAAGCATAATCTTTCTCGATGCCTAGTATAAGGGGTTAGCATCTCCTTTTCCGTGCCACGGCCGGCATCTACTTCCAGACGACGACGCTTACCATGGGAGCTTTAATGCGGCTCCAGTGTTGTAGAAGAAAAGAAGACGGAAGAAGTTCTGCTTGAAAGGCTGACAGAGTAAGCACAAGAAGTGAAGCGCACAGGGATTATCAGTGAAAGATGGCACACTTCGCAGGATCGAAGTGAGTAGATGCATCAAGCCTACCTTAGGAGAATAACCGTGAAACCTGATAGTGAAGTCTCAGGACCCGGACTGCGTAACACATTACCTATCAAAAGGCAAGGTGTTTTTCATGCCTGGGTAGTCTGCCGGTGAGAGCGCGTACTCTCTCGTGCTCTCTTCGCACGATACTCTTGCATTCTGATAGCTGTTGAATTCGCAGGCTGAGGACTTGGTTCTGGCTCGGAGTCTATGTTTCTGTTCAGTACGGTCATTGTATGATGCAGATGGTGTGCTTTTTGCTCTCTGGCCTGCAATGCTTTACTCGAGATTTAGCGTTCCACATGCTGTTTCTGAAATGTTTGTTAGCTACAGGTAGATAGTTCTGCTTTTACGACTTTGAATCACTTTTCACAGTCAGCATACCCCCTGAATTTTCTAACCTGCCAGTCTTCTGTTTCTAGTCTTCCAATATACTATCACGATCGCCAGTCTTCGGCACCTATTCATCGCTACTATAACGACCAGGACATGTCAGGACAGAACTTTTGCACGAAGATGACATGCTAAACTGCCAATGATTCTTGATTTGAAACATGATTGGTATTTGTCGTTACGCCATAAAACTACACTCTAGTTGCGCATCATACTAGCTGCAACTGAGCTATTACTTCCTCGAACATATCGCCATTGAACGAGCGACACTTAGTACTCGTTGCGGACGTTGGCGCCAGCAGCCTCACGCTTGGCTTCGCCCTTCTCGACCATCTTCTCGTTCTTCATCATACCGCCACTAGATATAAGAGTCAGCACAGTCCTTATGGCAGTAGAGGCAGGGGGATTATTTACAGGCGCTCCATTAGTTTCCCGGCTGTCGAGTCGTTCTTCTTGTCGGACTTCTCGTTGTTGTCATGAGCGGAGTGGGCAGCAGATTTGTTGCCGTAACCAGGACCGCTGGTCGAGCCGCTACCGTACTCGTTGCTTCCGGAGTAAGCTCCAGTCTCAGTGGAAGAGCCGAAGCGAGTATCGCTCGAGTCGTTGAACTCGTCACGGCCAGAAGACTTGTTGCCGTATCCAGCACCTCCAGTCACGCCACTGCCGTACTCGTTGCTACCCGAGTAAGCATCAGTACCAGTGGATGAGCCGAAGCGGGTGTTGCTTGAGTCGTCGAAGGTGTCACGGCCGGAGGTTGACTTGTTGCCGAAACCTGCACCGCCGGTAGTACCTGAACCGTAGTCGGTATCCTGGGACTAGATTGGGATTGATGTTAGTTTTATTCGATCAAAACCGCAGCGTGGGAGACAGAATGATCATATTCATACGATGATTTTCTTCAGCATGGTTTATGTGAGATGTGGGTGGAATTGGAAAGGAAGGCAGGATTGGTCGAGCCGTCTTGAGCAATACAACATGCTTGACCAAGATTGATGTGCATAGGGGAAGATAAGGATTCATGCATGACTTACAGCGTAGTTGCCACCAGTGGAGTGGTGTGTATCTCTCTCGAGGCCGTGGCTGGGCTTCAAGTCATCATCGCCGATGCGGTCACCGGCGGTGGTGTGGTGATGAAGACCGCTGGATCCAGTAAGACCAGCAGATTCGTAGTTGTCACCTCTTGATGAACCGTAGTTTGAGCTACCAGTTGTGTTCGAGCCGTAGTTGTCTCCAGATGAAAAGGTGTCTCTTGCACCCTCCTTCAGGCGCTCTCCAGTGGAACCAGTGTTGGAACCATAGGTGTCACGGCCGGAGGTTGATGAGTACTCATCTCTTCCAAGTCCAGAACCACCAGAGTACTCGTCTCTGCCAAGGGTACCGCGGTCGGCAATGTCGTCGGATCGGCCGCTAGAGCCATAGTTGGAGGACTGGTTGTACTGATCACGGCCCAGACCGCTGCCAGAGTTCAAGTTGTCGCTGCCGTAGCTCGAGTCTTGGTTCTGCTTTTACTGATAAGCAAGGAGTATATCACTTGGCAAGAGGGGTTATACATACGCCGTAGGCTCCTGAGCCAGTAGTTCTATCATTGAGGCCACCTTGGCGACCCTACAAAGATAAGAGTCAGATACAAATTCTAGAAGGGGTGGTGATTGTCATAGAAAGAGGGGGTGTTGATATGAGGATGACAGGGCTGATAGCTTGAAGAAGCTTGACAAGATAAGGATGGAGACATACAGTACTGCTGTACTCGTCGTTGCTGTTGCTGTTGTACTCGTTGTTGTAAGACATGATGAAGAATTGATTGTATGGATACGTTTGTGTAATTCAGATGTGCGGATAAAACTAAAAGGCCTACAACACCAGGATGTAAGAGCTTACTTATATACTCAAGGGCAAGGTGGAGCTCTACTTGCTGTCTCCAGAGGGCAGGACACAGCTGCGTCATCTTTTCCAGAAACCCCCACCCCCGCCGCGTGAGGGAGGTGCAATCAGAAGATCCTGCTGGTCGCGGCCCTGGACACGCTTCCGATCCAGGTTTCACGGAGCTTGCACAGTTTGGAGAAAGCAAACCGTGCTGATCAACAAAGGGTCTCCTCTCCAATCGAAGCTTCGGACCCTCACACGCCAACCACGCTCTCTGACGAACGCCCCCGCTTTTCTTCAGAGCACGTTTCAAGAAAGTCGTGCTGCAGGTCCAGAACCCAGCGTACAAGCCACAAAATGAGGCTGTGCAATCGGGAAACCTGCTTGGTGCTTCGGCTGATCTTGCTATCGAAAGGATTCACACCGACGTTGATCTTGTTTGTAGGCTACATACCTGTCGTTTTCAGTTGCGAGCCACGTCCTGTCGTCAAATCTGCTTGTTGGTTTGAGAATCGATACCAAGACATTCTTCCAGCAACTGTGTAGGGAGCGTGCTGTGGTGAGAGACATCCTGTAAGCACGCACGAAGCTTTTGAGAGATCGATGAAGGCCCACGGTGAGCACGGAGTTTTCGCTCTCTCAGAAGAACATGATCTTGTCACAAGGCCCGATACAGCTGCCTCTATCTCCATTCTATTACCCATTGACGTGGTAAGGCTCAATCTTCTCTGTCGAAACCACTCCACAATCGCCTGTACACCTGAAGGTCACACCCGCATACGCAGGCCCTTTGTAATAATCCGTGTTAGAGAAACCTCCTCCGTTCGAAGTAAACCCTGGCGTATTCGAGTCAACCGAAACGAACGCATGCACAGTGGTGCAATCGTCGCTGGATTCATCATCACACTTCTGGCCATCCCTGTACATTACGTCAGCTCCGATACATGCGCCGTTGGTTCAGAAAAACTCACTCCTGATATTGGTGTCTGAACTCCAACCCCCAAGAAGGTCTATCCCAAGAATAATAAGCCATCTTGATCGCGAAAGTAGGGTCCTGGCAATAAGTCCAGATGCTGGGCCAACGATTATGAGGAACGTAGACATGGTAGAACAGACATCCCGTGGTGGTGTTTGTTACAGGATCGGAGACTTTAGTAAAGAAGTATTCGGGGTAGAGTGTGTGGTCTTGGCCGGGATCATGGTAGCCTGTGTGAGTCACTTCAAAGGGCGCTTGGATTCGTGAGGAAGACGTGGCATCGGGTCCGGATTGATTAGATGCTGCAGTTTCAGACGGGACTGGAATAGATAGTTCCACGGAAGAGGCGGCTGTAGGAGTCTTTGAAGAGACGGGTTTCGAGGTTGTCTTCGGTGAGACGGTAGCTGAGGACTGCTTTGACGAGACGGTTGCTAGAGACTTCTTCAACGAGACGATCGCTGGTAAGCTCTTCGACGAGACAGATTTGGAGGATTTCGACGCAATGAAGGTGGATTGTGCCTTTGGAGAGGTGGAGACAGAGCTTATCTTCGATGAGACGGATACAGAGATTCTCTTCGATGAGATATGTGTAGAAGATATCGATGACGAGACAATTGTAGGAGCAGGAGAGGCCAGTGTGAATGAGAGGACGGACAGCAACAGAAGAAAAGAGAGAGGAATGAACATCATTTCGAATGTGCAATGAATTATGATAAAGACATTGCGTACACTACACTTGAACTTGCAGAGCAGTATTGAACATACTTATAACCCAGAGATAGTAGTAGATGCAATGCAGCATTATTGTCTTGTCACTGACTCGGTGTATGTAACGTTCAACAACGTCTTTATACATCGATATTCAGATCCGGATTACTTTGAGCCGCCGTTGCACAGTCGGGACTACCTACGATTCATGTTTCCAAGCACCTGTTTAAGGGGATGAACATTGGAAGAAGGTGCGAAACTTTGGTCGCATCGTGACTTTCGGAAATCATCGTGCACATCTACACGATTGTTGGTGACGAAGTTTAGCACACAGGGAGGAAGCCAAACCAGGGTTGGTGTGAGAAGGGGAGCACGATTTGAGACCGTGATGAAATGAACAAGTCTTTTTGGATGTTATGTGCTAAAGATGAATCATGGTATCGACAGTACTCGGAGCCAAAGTAAACACGGGCAGATATACAGAGACGTTTGTCGGTTCAGATCCAAAGAGTCCAACCAACAAATCATACCCTACAGCAGGAAGCCTACCAGTCGCCATCCTCCCCCATGCACGCCACAAAACGAGGCTGTGCTACCTACTCTACACCCGCCACTCCCAGAAAACCTGCTTCACACTTTCCGGTTGGACTTGCCCTCGCTACCTCAGATCAAAAGCACCATTCGACATGATCCCCCTCAGAAAAGCCACACCTCCGTCATTCTTCACCGCAGTTCAAGGAAAATACCAACATCCACCAATCCATGGCGTTGCGTTGCGTCGCGCAGGGGGGAAATTTAAATTGGCCTTTTGGAAATCAAGTAGATTGGCAAAAGGGTCTTCTGACCTCGCTTCCGAACAATATATGAGCTTAAACTTCTAATTGACAGATCAAGGCATTGCTATGATCACTACAAGAAAGTAAAGCAAGGTCTTGTCCTTGGTCGTCGAAGATGGAATAAGAATTGGAAAAGCACATTATTGCTTAGTTCATAATACAGGTTAAATTCATCAAGTCTACCAAGTTTTTTCATGGCATCTGAGGGTCATCATTGGTGATGCCACTGTTGCCATCTACACCGGCTGGCCATGGTTGCATCTTGAGATCTCGCGATCCGCTGGGTGTTGATGGCGAGGACTGTGTCTGCGGCAGTGATGCTGTGGAATCATCAAGATCGTCTTCACTGTCTATTCCTTCGTCGGCAAATGAACCATCCTCGCGTGTGAAAGACGTGGAAGGCGAAACCATGACAACATCTTCACCATCTGTTCCGTTGCTCTGCTCACGAGTCGGTGTCGGTGGTTGGAACCTGAAGTCTGGATTCTCGCCCTGAGGATGTTCCTCTATAGAAGCCTCAGACATATTCCCATTGCCTCTAGAAATGGGTCTTGGTGATGCAGGCGAGTGGAGATTACTTCTCCAGAATCCCCTTCTACGTCTGACGTCTCCATTCGTGAAAGGCGGTGAACTTTGATCTGGAGATGGTGAGTTCAGAGGTGAGTAATAAGAACTCCTTGCCAGCTGTGATTTGTTGACCATCTGTTGGATGATGGGGATATCCAAGCTGGCACCACCTCCTGCTCGTACAAAGAGAACGAGACTTAGGCAGATCATCAGAACAGTCATCTGTGCGATAGCCATGCGCTTTTGGAAGACCAATTCATCAGCGACAATGCTCAATCGAGCACTGACCGCAAGAATCTCCCTCTGGTACTGATCACGATGATTGTCAAGTTCGATCACTGTACTCTGCCACAACTGATCGTACTGCTGCTTGAAGTCCTGTAATTCGGCAAACACCGTCGCATTTAGATTTTCGAGAAACGCTTCGGTCTTCTTGATCTGTCGCTTCTCTACCTTGATGAAAGCGTCACGAAGGATACGAGATTGCTCCTCGATGTATTGCAAGGACAACGTAGCATTGCTTTCGAGCATTTGCAAGCGTTTGTGGATTGACTTGAAGAACGATTCTTGAGTGGTCGGGTTTGAATGAGCCGAAGATACGGTCGAGGTACCAGGCTTTTGATGAACTTCGGATGCTGCGGATGATGGCTTATGGATCGAGTTCGTGCTCTTGATAGGGGTACTAGAGTTTGAGGAAGCCTGTACCGTAGAATTCGTTGAGTCAGATTTGCTGCTGGATTCAGCTGAAGCTTGCTTTGATGATTGTTGGGCAGAGACGATAGCTGCAGAGGATGTCTGCGCCGGAGGTGTGACGACGCGTTCGGGTGACTTTGCTCCACCTGTTGAGTTGAGAGATGGGCTTGGGGTAGTCGGAAGAAGTTTAGAGGTCGCATTTGTGAGATCATCCGTCTGCATGCTGGAGTTTGCAGTAGTCTGTGGCGTATGGAGGATTTCTGACGATGTAATATTCTGCGGTTGTATTTGAGTGTCAGTGACAACAGTGTCGGAGGAAGAATGAGTTCTAGTTGACGTGTATTCGCTACTAGAATTAGAAGACAAAGCCAAGCTGGTTGTTGCTGGGATTTCTGTTTCTGTAGATGTCACGGCGGGTCCGGACGAGGGCTGAACGACAGAAGCTTCTGATGAATTCTCAACAAGGGTAGCAGACTCCACAGCAACAGACTTGTCAGCTTCTTTCGAGGACTGGAGTGGTTCTTGTGGAGGTTCTGGAGCAGGAGAAGCGGATGCATCAGGCATGACAGATTCCTCCAAATCGTCACTGATTTCACCACGAGCCAGCTCTTCTTGATGACGGAACTCCTCCATCATGGTAGTACCGTGAACCCTGAGCAAGCTGACAGGACAATAGTACTCGTTGCCATAGTGAGTCAGAAACTCGATTCTGAGATACCTTGCCCAGATGAGAGGCTGCTCTATGAGGAAGGCTTGTACCGAGCGAGTGTTCCTAGCTTCGAAGACACCCAGCTCCCTCCATCGATCTGGTTTGACAGGATAACGATCAGAGACCGAGACACGGAAGTTGCGAAAGATCGACGAGAAGAATTCGTAATTCGCCAGGACGATGGTATCGATGAGAATGTCATTACACAACTCGACAATCAAGAACTTGTTTGAGCTCGAGCAGATATTAAGCATATAGCTGTCCTTGTTCTCGATCAAGACAGCATGCGCAGACTTTGATTCGGGATTCGATTTGAGGACAGTCGCGGCACAATCAAAAGAAGCGTAGTTGGAGCGTTCCTTGCAAGTCTTGCCAGCGTCTTTACTCCTGAGGGTGGGCTCGGAAGCTACTGTAGGTTGAGCGCTAGCGCTTGAGGACGAAGGGCTTTCCTGTCTTCCAAAACCACCAAAGTCCAATTCGATCTCCGAGTCTTCACCTAGAATGTCAAGAGCGTTGTCGATGGGACGAATGTCACGAGCGGGTTTGTCCTGTCGCGATTTCTGGCCGACATGATCCGGCGACTGACCGACCTTGGCCAGGTTCTGCTTCTTCCACTCCTCGAAGGATAGAAAGTTGGCATTGTCGAGCGGTGAGTCTGTCTCAAACTCATTCTCAGGCTGTGTCGCAGAAGAACTCGGTGTGTCTGCGGGAGTTGTTTTTGACTCTTCATAGATAACGCTGCTGGATACAGAGGGCGTGGTAGTGGGAGTAACAGCGGTCGTCGAATTCGAGGTCGGCGTAAAGCGAGTCAGACATTGCTGAGGCAGTGAATGGGTGATGTAGTTGACTGTTCCAGTGCGACAGGTAGTCTGGCGTATGTCATTGTTGCGAGTATCGTGGATTGACGAGATGATGGTGCTGATCAAGCTACTGTTGCTGCTGATGGCGGTGCCAGATGTCTTGTTGCTGCTGTCCTCAGACTGCGCCGTGACCAGAAGAGAGCAGTAGAATAGCGAAAACAGCAGTGCCGCCAGTGCTCTGCCGTTTCTGAATGCACGCTGCATTTCTTAGGCGCATCCTCCTCCTGCAAGGTCAACGTATCGCCTTGTGCATTAAATCCATTCGACTTTCCACGCCGTTGCGCTTCGACACCATCGTCACTTCCGCGGGAGAATCTGGGGGAGCCCCGACCATGTCAACATGTCAAACCATTTCAGCCGTGCAATGTCTCGGCTGTTTCGTTTCAATCATGAATCGGTCGTGAATTTGATAGTCTAAGTAAACGACAGAATGGCTCTGATAGCCAGGAAATGTACCAGAGTCGTGCGTCCCTCTCCATGCCATATCGGTAATAGACCGCCCAACGCCGCGCAAAACAGAGAGCCATGGCTCGCCGTCGCATCCATAACCCAGAACCAACCAATCCTCATACCAAGGAAAATAATGGGCCTTTTGCCCGGGAACCAGTGTTACAGCCCTTCCTCGCCGGCCTGACACACTTTGATACCCTTGCCCCACTCTGAGTTCAGCACTTGATGTGCGCTGATACGTCTGCTTGCGTTGGGGTCGAGTATCGAGTAGATGACATTTCTGCATCGTGCCTGAGGAGTATTGGTTAGCAACGACATCCACCAGTTCGATAAGAGCAGAACTTACTCTATGCAGTGATTCGATGGGCCCATAGCCAGCATCGCTCTTGCGTCCTTGCACGTAATTGTCGTAAAATTCATCCTCGTCCTTATTGGCCACACGCCACAGATGCCTGCCAGTTCTCATGGCCATATAGATGACACCACATGCCCAGACGTCTACAGCGCGAGGGTCGAACTCCTTGTCTGTGTATTCTTCCGGTGCGATGTAAGGCGCACTGCCGCAAAGGCCTGCAGTCATATGCGGTTCCGTTTCCCAAGCCATACGGAAACATTCGCCATTGCCAAAGTCTGTGATTTTGAGAGCACCGTGTGTCGTAAGCAAGAGATTCTCGGGCTTTAGATCACGGTGTGCAACTCCCATTTCGTGAATGTATTCGACACCGCGCATCAGTTGCAAGAAGTAGCAATCTGCCTCAACAACTTCTAGCTTTCCAGCAGCGAGCACAAGCGAGTAGAGATCTCCTCCAGCGCAAAATTCCATAACCTCGCAGTAGTCACCCTTTGCATCGGTAAGCAGGTCGAGGGTGTGGATGACGTTGGGATGTCTTAGAGAAGACGAGATACAGAATTCCGAGTTAAGGCGTTTGCTGTACTTCTTCGAGTCCTCTTGCGGTCTTCGACGAAATTCCTTGACGGCATATAATTGCTCATGTTTCGAGTCATTTGGATCCACCTTGTGCGCGATTCTGACGATACCAAAAGCACCACGGCCCACGATTTCCTGGCATTTGCCGTACTTCTGAACAAGCGTCGCAGTACCGGCAGGGCCATTCTTCTGATCCGAGGCGACCCGGTTCTTCTCGTTCTTCAATTGGTCTACCCAACTGGCCATAAGCGACAAGGGCTGTTCTTCGTGATGCTCCTTCTTCTTGCCTCCGAGGAAGTCGCGAACCATGTCGGTCAACTTCTCCTGTCGGCGAGCGCTTTTGAGCTGATGGTGATGGGCACCGTCTTCATCGAGCCAGAAACGACGGTGTTGGACCGGAGCACCTTCAGGCTCTTTCTTGTCCTTCTTTGCATCACTGCCGCTTCTGGACACGGTTCCAGCCAGTCTAGCCTTGTCGGTCTGGGAGGATTGTCTAGAAGGGTTTGCCGGTCTCAGAGGCTTTGGGGGCATGGATTCGGCCTCGGGTTCTTCCACGGCAGTTTCTGGGACTTTTTCGGCAACTTTGTTGAGTGAAGGTTCCCTTGAGCTCTCGTTGGTATCCTTGGCCGAAAACATGCGACTGAGGCGTGAGGTGAAAGTGGGCTTCTTCGGCGGACCGGCTGGGCGCGCTTCGCCATTGGAGGGGGATTTGACGGTTGAGGTGGTCAGGGAAGCCTGAGAGCTGATCGAAGAAGGATTTGAAGGGGTAATTGCAGGTGATGTCTGCTGGGACTTGAAGTCCTCAGTAGCGACGGCCATGGTAGATGGACAGAAGGACGACGTCACGTCGTAGGAGGTTTAGTAGATGAGGCAGGGAGGCCGCGGAGGCCGACGGGTTTTCGCGTTCAGACAGCAAAATCGTATGTCAGACGGGCTCAGTTTGTGGTTTAGATGTGTTGGTGATGCTGGCTTGACTGAGCGGTATTTCGAAGGCGGTGGCTGTGACGTGAACGGGCTTCACGGCTGACAAACGTCGATTTCGAGAGAAGCGGAACTCAGCCAACTGACCAAGCCAGAGACAAGCTCCGAGGCTGACGAACGTATGTATGAATGGAGAAATGGCCAAAGGCGCCACTCTTGGTAAAAGTGAAAACCAGAGAGTTGGGAAGGAGCAGCCAAGCGGTAAGTCAACCGGCAATGCTTGAAAAATGTGGTGCTCGAAAATGGCGCGCTTTCCCACTTTCACGGAGACTATGAAGAACTTGGCGACTTTGCACCTCACTTTCCCGTCCGGCGCCCACGAGGGGTTTACGACATCAAACCCTGACCGCGACCACTAACCATCTTGGGACTCGACTATGTAAAGGTCTTTTCCACTCCACGACGTCTCATTTTTCCTGCTCAACCTCAGCCTCAGATCATAGAGAATGGGCGTAATACACGCGCATCGCTTGTCTTTCTCCACAATCCCGACCAAAGCGGGCTTCAAAGACTGCGTCATCGGGAATCTGCCACTTAGATCACATCGATCCAGGGCAGACATGGAACTTCAATAAAGTCACTTTCATACCGTCTCCATCGTGTACGAGTACGATTACCGCAGTTCACTTAAAGTCCCATTATCCATCGTTATACCTGTATTGCGTCTTACTTGATTCAACTCCCATGAGAGTGATTGGGTAAATATACGAGCGAAGTCGGCTTACAAACGCTTGTCACATCTCTCTCCTCGCTAGTTGCCTATTCACCCTTAAATGTACTTCGTACCTCCCTAGTTCCAACTTCATCACCATTCACTTGATGCGTTCAGTGGCACCGCCGCCCTGCAGCTTGCCGACCCGAGGCATGCAACATCTGTAATTATCCAGATCATGTGTCTGCGAGGTACCGTAATTCAAGGGTCCTGAGTGCTGTATATAAGGGTGGAAAAATCGCGCAAAGTGCCCGCCTTTCTCTCCTTGATGCGACATGTCGGCTTGCCGCATATCTATGAGCAGTCGTAATGCACTTTCCACCTGATCATGGAGCACAGCCTGTTTTCTAGGTCCTCTTGTCGCTTGGTATCAAACACGTGGATCAATCTGGTCAGATGTTGGTGGTTACTTGTCTTCCACACCGCTCTTGTTCAAATACCTCGGCGGTGTCTCGTGGGTCCATCATTCGTAATCCAGTTTAATGTACAGTCACTACAGCATATTGCTATTTCGGGACATTGATGGGTCAGATTGACATTTGTTCTTGGCTCGTTGGTAATGATCGCTCCTCTTGACTCCTATCTAGCATAGCAATAACGATAGTCGGGGCTTTTTTGCTTCCGTATGGGAATAATCACATTTGCGTATCCGACGCGTATTCATCTCGGAGTCATTACTGCTTCCCTTAACTTCTTCATTCACGGCCCGAATCATAGCGAGCCCGTAATGCCATTCTTTCATATCGTGCCTCGATTTTTCTGTTTGCAGCTTCCTAGGCCGTTCTTCTCTTCTTCTTCCTGGAAGATGTAGGTGCGACATCGCCGGCCTCAGCATCATCCTCATCTTCATCAGATTCGACAACTACCTTCTTCTTACGCTTGGTAGCGCCATTGTGGGATCCAACCTCGCTGTCGATGAAGTGGGCACGCTTGTCAGCAAGCTCGAGAAGACGGTCGTAGTCGACTTGAATATTCTCAATGGTAGCATCGAGTCTCTCTGCACGCTCCTCGCGATCCAGTTGGGCAAGCACGTCGCGGTTAGAGATGTAAAGGCGTTGCTTAACGTATAGACGCCAGAGGTAGTAAGCACGATCCATTTCGTTTGTGCTCTTCTCCTTTCTCGAGATGCGACTCGCCGATCTGTTGAGCTTGGGGATCTTTGAGTAAGTCTGCATTTCGATCAATCGTCCTAGTTGACGAGGCATGATTTTGCTGGTCTTCTTGATGCGAGCTTTGGCGTCACCTGAGACAATGTCGTCCACTGGGATGTTCTCGGTTGCCTTCAGCTTAGCACTGTCAATCTTAGTTTTAATCGCCAAAGAAGCAAAATCATCGTTGTTCTTGCGGAGCCAGGTCAAGTCGCAGGTATCGCGCATGTCATCGAATGCCTCGTTGGGATCCTCGACCGTCAATTCACAGACGTTGTCAGGGCTGATGAGGCTTTTGAAGACGGTGTCGTAAAGTCTGGCACCATGGCCTTCGCCTTGATGCGTGGGTATGATCAAGAACTGTGAGATGCGCTCGCGGCTGGGCAGTTCCAGGGGAGATTTGAGAAGGTGTGTATCTTCATTCGCAGTCTTTGAATTCCAGCGTCGAAGTACCGCATCCATATCTGATTCGTTGTGTTGAAGGAGGGCGAGGTCGTTTTCTGCAGGCTCACGGCGATCGGGCAGCGTAAATACACGGTAAGATGTGGAGAAGCCAACAAAGGTGTACGGTGATGTGTTGGCTAGTCTTTTGTCGACCTGGTAGAGCGTGAAGAGTGTCCAGCGATCGGCGACCCAAGGCTCGTCGAGTGCGATGATGGTTCCGCCTTCGATGAACATGGGTACCAGTATCTGAGTATTCTCCATAATTTCTCTGGCACCATCTTCTGATAACGTGGCTTTCCAGATTTCGTATTTGCGTCCTTCATGTGTGTAGGTGTGGAGGAGTGTGCCTGGAGGGGTGAAGTTCGTAGCGTTGGGGTCGGCGAGAGCTTCGGCTCGTGATTTTGTAGCAAAGGCGGATTGAGGAATGAAGTCGTCAAGTGCGCCGCGGATGTCAGAGGCTTTGATGTCGCCCAGTTGAGGGAACTGCTCGGTCCATGAGATATCCATGTGCGGTCTCAAATTGTGGGCAGCCAACGACAAGGACATGTCCAGTCCTCTGTAGCCAAAGACAACTTCTTCCTCGCCAAAGATCGGGTATGTGCATGCCGGTCCAAAGTCTGATACGACGTTATCGCCACGGTAGAGAGAAATGTGAAGGGCGTCATTGCTGCTGGTCGACCCTGAGGAGCGATCAGCTTGGTTCGAGCAGTGGGGAAAGTTTGCTGGCGCTTACACTCTTCGACTTGATCCTGGATGGCAGAGACCAGCTCAGAGCTTTCCGGACTCTCGGAACCTGACATTCTGATGATACTGTTGGATTTTTGCGGTGCAAGGATGGTTGGATAGAAAGTTAGCCGGCGTCGCAACGCGCTTTCGAGTGGGAGACGCGATTCGCGTCGAATTGATGCGCACGGTCCTCTTCTGTATCAACCTCACTTCAGCTTCAGACTCACCTACTTCCTCCCTCTTCACTCAACCTCTCTGAACGCGATTTTAGTATATGTCGTCGATTAATACCTCTTGTGTTGTACAGTAGGCAATGACTCGCTGGAAAGGGTGTTGGCGCTGCGTAATCTCTGTAATTTCGAAGGTGGTTGTCAATCACTTACAACTCGTGAAGTGCCTAGGTCCAGGCCATTATCGTATTCACCACATACCAAAATGTCCAAAGCGAAGTTTGACAGTTGCTCGATTCACTTTAATTCTCGAGCTTCGTTCACAAGTCAAACCAGTAAGGCTGACTGATCTCATTATCTCTCTCTATCGGCTTGTCCGTATCTCACTTCTCCGTCAGCTCATCGAAGCAAGCAACAAGAAACACAGAAAGAATATACTCCAGCCTTCATATCATAGCTAGTATGACTATCTCAATGTTCTATAGCTGCTCAGAATGTTTGTAACGCTGGGTATCTTTGTTCTTCTTATAGACCGTCTGGTGTAGCAATCACGCCCCATTGCACATATATCTAGAGATGCTCCGTGTGCTCTAGGAGATATTTCAGCAGCTGGCATCTATATACGAAGGCCATAATGGATTCTAGAAGCTCGGACAATCGTCAATCGTCCAGTCGAGGGCGGCGTCGCAGCGCATCACAGCGTCGTGATTATAGCAACGCACACCCTAGACGACAAAAGTCACACACCTCCTATAACGACAACATGGACCAAAGACACAGTAAGTAGCGCATCTTTATCTGCCGTCTCATGCGCTGAAGTTTGATGCTTCCATCTCCTGCACCCACCACGCGTGCTGATGCATCTATCAAAATGCACAATGCTTTTCGAATATCTCACCTTATCCGCAGAGAGCTGCATCTTCTCTCTATCTCTTCGGACATGGGTCTCGGTTCGAACACCATTCTGCATTTTGATAGATGCAAGAGTGTTTCTCTTGAGCGCACAAGAAGGTGGTCTCAAGAAGCGCCTAGCTAATGTTCGTTCAGCTCAGCACAACAACTCCTGCGCCTCCTCTCCCAAAGATGGCCACCCTTCTTACTATCAGAGACCTCGCTGCGATTCGCGTAGCGCATCTCCCAAGAAGGACTTGCGCAGTGACACGCCGTCACTCGCAGACTCTAAGAATGCGCGCGTTACCAAGCCTAAGAATTTCCGCACACCTCTAACATGTTTCTTCTGGCACCACACCGGAGACTGCAAAAAGCCTGACAATCAGTGCCTGTAAGTTCACTATCATGGTTAATCCGCACAAAAACAACAACTGAGATCATACAGCTACGCGCACTACCACACAGGCCTCATCGCAGAGCCTCCCATCTCCTACCAGGGTAAAGCCATGGGCGGAGCTACAGCCAAGAAAGTGCTTGGTTCCATCAACCAGCGCGAAGAAGAAGTCGCCCTTCGTCACAGAGAGATCTACGACGCCGAGCAACGTCTTGATAGCGCACACGCCGCTTTGAACGAGCGTGAACAGGCTGTCTATCAGCGTGAGCAGGTTGTCGTCGAGCGCGAGCAGGCTGTCGTCGAGCGCGAGCAGGCTGTTGTCGAGCGCGAGCAAGCCGTCGTCGAGCGCGAACAAGCTGTCTACCAGCGTGAACAAGCTATCTACCAGAGCGAGCAGACTTTCTACCAGCGTGATCAGGCCGTCATCGAGCGTGATACTGCAGTCACCGCACGCGAGCAAGCCAACCACGAGCGCGATACAGCTTTTGTTGCATTCGAAGAGGGGATGCTTCGCAAGCTCGAAGAAGACTACCACGGTGTCGCCGCGACCGTTCAGCAAATCCGTAGAGCTGTTAGCAACGCTCAGCGTGTGCTCACCCGTCGCCGTGAGCAGGTCCTTTACCACGAGAACTTCTCTAGCAGCCCTCAAGGCGCCCGCGGACAAGGTACTTATCGACAACAACTATACTACAGATGACATTGAGATTAACGCATGAGCAGGCAGATACGGCGGATCCATTGCCATCGACGGTGCTATCGGTGCGATGGGAGGATTGAGCCAGCAGCTTTCAGAGGCTGAGGTCCAGCTCACCAACCAGATCCACAACGCCATCCGCATTGAGTAGTCTCGGTTGGAAACGCTCGCCAGGCGCCATTTGGATTACTCGCATCAAGTCCAGGAACGAACAGGCAGTCGGAACAGGAGCGATCTGATACATTACAGCGAACAGGAGGGGATGATTGGCTGAAGTACCGTACAGGAGATGGCCGGTTACGGAGTACTAGTGCATATATCTCCAGCGAGCAACGATTGCTCTTCATCATTCAATCGAATCGTTGGGTACTCAAGTATATCGAAGTTCAAGTGGCAGTCGTGGTGACATGAAGTATAATGCTGAGCCCTAGTTTGTGGGGAGGCGCGAAGTGGGGTGAAAGTTTGGGAGCAGCGACCGAGGCTTGCTTTGTCCAATCGTCATTGGTGAATGCGGGCAGAAAAAAAGGCAAGTGCTAAGACTCATATTGTCCATGAGTCGAAACAACAGAATGGCTAACAAAGACCAAAGCATTCAATCCTTCGACAGTCAACCCATCATTAGTCCACACCCACCATGAAATACGGTATGCTGCACGACGTCAATTGCAATGGCATTGGCTAATAACGACGCAGAAAGAGTGACATCGCAACCCGAGAATCCGTATTCCAAGCTCATCCCCGACCAAAAGATTGCCGTTATCCCAGAGATCGGCCTCGAAAGCGGTGGTGTTCTATACAATGTGCCGATAGCGTACAAGACATATGGCTCCCTGTCGCCCGCAGCCGACAATGCCATGGTTATCTGCCATGCGCTGACTGGCAGTGCTGATGTTGGCGACTGGTGGGGTCCCTTGCTTGGAGGTCCTGGCAAGGCTTTCGACATGTCGCGCTTCTTCGTTGTCTGTCTGAACAGCTTGGGCAGTCCCTATGGAAGTGCCAGCCCGGTCACGAGTAAGGATGGCAACTCACAAAACGAGCACTACGGCCCTGAGTTCCCTTTGACCACCGTCAGGGACGATGTCAACATCTTCAAGCTTGTCCTGGACGATCTGGGTGTCAAGCAGATCGCTGCAGTAGTTGGAGGCTCCATGGGTGGTATGCTCGTCCTTGAGTTTGCCTACTTTGGAAAGGACTATGTTCGCTGCATTGTACCCATCGCTACATCGGCCCAGTACAGTGCTTGGGGAATCAGCTGGGGTGAAGCTCAAAGACAGAGCATCTATAGTGATCCCAAGTACGATGATGGATACTACACCTTCGAGGACCCTCCTTCCACAGGTCTCTCGGCCGCCCGCATGTCAGCACTCCTGACTTACCGCAGTCGCGACTCGTTTGAATCCAGATTTGGCCGCAACACTCCCGACCCTTCGCGCAGGCAGAACATCAATGGCTCCTTCCGTCCCTCGACTCCATCAAGCGACCACTTTGCCATACACAATGAGGGTCACAAGAACGCTGGTTCGCCTCGCTACAGCCGCGTCAACAGCTCCGCCGATCTCTCCACCTCGATCGAGTCCCTCCCTCCAGCCAACACTCCTCCTCAGATGATCATGGATCCTCAATTCCACGGCACCACTCCTCTCCCCACGAACGCTCCTCCTCCCTCAAGCAGCAGACTGAAGCGTACACCCACCTACTTCTCCGCCCAATCCTACCTCCGCTACCAAGGCGAGAAGTTCATCAAGCGCTTCGATGCCAACTGCTACATCGCCATCACCCGCAAGCTAGACACACACGACGTCTCCCGCGGCCGTCTACCCGCCGACACCCAGACCACAACTCCCGTCGCCGACGCTCTCGCCTTGATCGAACAACCGACACTCGTCCTGGGTATCCAATCCGACGGCCTCTTCACTTACGCCGAGCAAAAAGAACTCGCCGCCGCAATCCCCAACTCCGTACTCAAGAACATCGACTCTCCCGAAGGTCACGACGCCTTCCTCCTCGAATTCGAACAAGTAAACCGCTTCGTCTTGGACTTCTTGCACGAAGTCCTGCCCGACGTCATGGCCAGGGAGCCCGTGGACTTTGTCAGCCATGATGGTGTCGAGGGTGACAAAGTCGTCAAGACCAGCACTTTCGGCGAGGCCGAGGTCGCTGACATTACCGCTTGGTAAAGTGACAAGACAAAGTATGAGGAGACACAGACAGGATAGATTTTTTCTGGAGCGTATCATTTCAACCACATTTATGTATTTAGACGATTCTCATGACCAAATTAAATTTCAACATTTTTGGACGCATTCTATCTATTTACACCCCATCGCAAAATACTCGACTGCTTGGACATTGTTTACAACAATGGCTTTTCAAGTGCCACATCTTTTGTTCAAAGTACCCTGCATGAGGACACCCCTTGGTGTGGAATCTCATCAGGAGGAATTGTGAAACATAAAAGACTGATGGACATTTGGAGTACTACATCTACAAGGAGAGAGGGAGAGTGAGAGGTTGAGAGAGAAGGAAGAGATAGAACAACACACGACCACAACATGGCTCATGCCCACTCGCTCAACTAAAACGTCGTCTGCGCAAGTCGACTGGCAGCATTCCTCGCATCGATCCTATCCTCATCGTCCTCCTCCAATCTACCAAGACTGCTCGCACTACTAGTGGCCCTCTTCCTTCCCGCGGCAGAAGCACTCGAAGAAGTGCCCTCTTCCGCCTGCTGCTCGGCCTCTGCGTCTTCAGGAACTGTTCCCGTGCCGGCGAAACTGCCACTGATACTGCGGTTTAGACCGTCAGGGCGGCGGGGCACGCCACTCCATGCGTCACCTTTGGGTCCTTGACTGCTGGCGAGACTGGTGCGGCGGACTACTGGATGGGCTTCCCTGCCTAGACGGGACAGGCCGCCCGAGGCGTCGATGTTGCGGACGTCGGGGCGGACTTGCTCGAGTGTGGCTAAAGTGCGACGTTCGGCTTCGATCTCACGCATGACGTATTCGCGAATGGCGGCGCAGAGGTCGGAAGTCGTGCGGGCGGCCCAGTTGCGACGTTCGTGGACGAGGTTTGAAGTCACGCGGTCTGTTTTCTCTTTTAGGTGGGCTTCGTGGGAGCGGGCTTCATCGAGGGCGGCAAAGGCTTCGTCGACTTTGTCGCGTTTGACCGAAGAAGAGGCCTTGAGGCGGTCGACGGCGGAGGTCTTGCTGCGGGTTGATTGTTGGGCTTGAATGAGTTCGCGGAGGAGGATGTGGCGGTTTGTGAGGGTTTCCTTGACGATAAAGGCGTCGCTGGAGTGGTATTGAAGAGGATCGGCGAGAGTGGTAGCTTCGGCTGTACCTTGGGCAGCGTGGAAGTCTCCAACAGCCTGGATGACCTTGCCTAATTTCTTGTAGGCATTGGCCAAACCGGGATGTGTTTCCTGGACCTGCATGTGGCCCATCTTGACACCAAAGTCTGATTCTGCCAGTCCAAGAGCTATGGAAGTTAGCATGCAGCTTTATTGTTCTGACACTAGGTGAAACCTACCTCTACGCGACTTGACGACCTTGTCGACCTTTTGACCAAGGTCCATGGTGCCCAGGTAGAAAGATTTGACAATAGGGCGAGCCTCGAGAAGCTCAGGGGTGTCATCCGGAGGAGGAGCAAACTGCTTGATGTACTTGCGGCGCACGCCAGTAGCAGGTTGCTTGCGCCTGACAACAGGGCTGTATCCAAAGTCGCTCTCGACGAAGAAGACCATCTCCTCGTCACGCATGAGGACATGGTTGGAGCAGACGGTGTTCAGCCAGCGCTGCATTGAAGCCTTGACGCGCACCTCATCCTCCTCGGTACCAACACCAGCAGCAGTGAGCGGAGGAGGAACGGCGGGTACAAAGGCGTCGGGGTTGGACGAGATCAAGTGGTCGGCGAACTTGACGAATTCGGAGTGTGTGCGTCTAACATCGCGGAATTGGGTAGTACGGAACTTGGGCAGATTGGTCTAAGTGCAGGTTAGCGATGGTCAGGCAGCACTTCCCAAGAAGCAGCCTACGTAGACATCGAAGCGCAAGACAGGGTCCTTGCGACCAGTACGCTCGAGAGCGGTGATTTTGGCCTGAAGCTTGTACTGTTTTCGTGGCTGCTGGGGCGGTTGCTGTTGTTGCTGCTGTTGCTGGTACTGCTGTGGTTGTCCTTGGTGGCTAGGCTGCTGAGGGGGATGTTGCGGACGAGCGTGGTGGTAGCGCTGAGGCTCAGAGCGGTTTGAGTTGTCGTAGGATTGCGCTTGAGGCTGCTGCGACATGTACTGGTTGGATTGAGGAGGTAATTGGTCGTCCTGTCTGAAGTCGTCGCCGTCGGGAGCCGGAGGCTGGTGCGACAGCGTGTTGCTGGCCGGTACGTCGTGGTTGTTGGACTGGGGAAAGGTAGAGCGATCGTGCTGCGGCGACGAGGCCCACGGGGAGCCACCTGCGTCGTTGGCTATGGCCGAAGAATAGTCCATTGTGCCTTGTGTCAGGGTTATACAATGCTGAAGGTGAGCCCTGTAGGCTGTAGCTCGCGATGGTGCTGCCGCTTGACCATGACATCGCTGCCCCGGACCTGACCCGCCAAGAGCCGAGGGCCGTCCGATGCGACTTCCCATCCATACACCATGCTTCCTCTTAATTGTTTTCTTCGATTCACCAAAAGTCTTTTTTTTTCGTTTCTGAGACAGGTCATTTGATCTGGTTACCTTCTGGCTTTTGTCCTGGGATGCTGCTCAGAGCCCAATGGCCCTGCCGCCGAGTGCATTGTAATGCTAAGTCTTTTGCATCTATAACGGCTAGGTCTTTTGCCTCTTCCACACCGCGTCGCAATGATCTAGCCACTATCAAGACTCGTAATATCGGCATTATAGCCCATATAGATGCGGTATGTGGTAGCATATCTTTTCCGATCATGTAGGTACTGAGTGTGAAAAGGGAAAAACTACCACCACGGAGCGAATGCTCTATTACAGCGGCTTTACTCGTAGATTAGGAGGTCAGTCGTGCTGCGGTTTCCTTTTTCCTCCCGATGTATTGCCTTTTGTTTGCCTTTTCTACACCAATAGAAGAATCACACATATACTGAGTCTGCCTCAGATGTCGATGAAGGTTCTACCGTCACGGATTTCTTGCCTGCCGAGCGCGCGAGAGGTATCACCATTCAGTCAGCAGCAGTCACCTTTTCCTGGCCACCAGCAAATTCTTCCTCGACGGATCTGTCCTCCACCAAGCTGGTCTTGCCGCGCTCAACTCAACCCCACAATGTCAACCTAATAGATACCCCTGGTCACGCCGACTTCACCTTCGAGGTTTTGCGCTCCTTGCGTATCTTGGATGGTGCTGTGTGTATTCTTGATGGCGTAGCTGGTGTTGAAGCACAGACTGAAAAGGTCTGGACTCAAGCAACCAACTACCACATTCCTAAGATCCTGTTCGTTAACAAGCTCGATCGTGAGGGCGCTGCCTTTGCCAGAACCATCTCTGAAATTGGCACGCGACTACGTGTCTGGCCAGCTCTTTGCCAAATTCCCTGGTGGCGACCTGGCGATCTCAAACTCCAGGGTGTTGGTGATGCTGTAGGCCTCCGTGCTTTGCTGTACGAGGAGGGTGGTGACGGTAAGACTGTCAAAGTGCACAGTCTCAAAGACTTGGAGGCCGAGAACTCTGCTTTTGCTGAAGAGATCAAGAAAGCAAGGACAGCCTTGGTCGAGCTCTTGAGTGAATATGACGATGAAATGGTCGAAAAGTTCCTCGAATATGATGAAGATCATCTGGCCATTCCATCCGTTGATATCACTGAAAGTCTCCGAAGATGCACCTTACAGCAGCCGCAGAAGCTTGTTCCAGTATTTTCAGGTGCAAGCTTCCGCAACGTTGGTGTTCAGCCGCTATTGGATGCAGTTGTGGATCTTCTTCCATCGCCACAGGAACGACCTGATCCTGAGGCCAGCGTCGGTCCTTCCAAATATGGGCTGAACGATCTTCTTACTGGCAAGGCATCTCTACCTGCAACTATCGAGGCCAAGAAGCAACAAAAGACTAAGGCGTTGGCAGCGAGCAAGAACATGTCTATCATCAAGAATCTTGATGCATGTGCGCTGGCTTTCAAAGTGGTCACAGATCCGCGAAGAGGTGTTCTTGTCTACGTTCGAGTATATTCGGGATCGATCACGAAAAATGCTCCTCTGTTCAACACGAATCTTGGCATCACGGAAAAGGCTCCTCGATTGCTACGAATGTACGCCGATGAAGCTGTCGAGATCTCTTCGATAGAGGCTGGTCAGATTGGTGTCATTCCTGGATTGAAGTCTACCCGCACAGGTGATACGCTCATCTTATACAGTGGAGTGAACCCTAAGGTTGGCCCTCCCTCACCAATCAACACCCTCCAACTCAGGCCAATCACGGTTCCTCCGCCTGTCTTCTTCACAAGTGTGGAACCGAACAGCTTGGCAGAGGAGAAGCACATCTCCGAAACGCTAGCACTTCTGCTTCGAGAGGACCCTAGTCTGAACGTCAGAGAGGATCCTGAGAGTGGACAAACTCACCTGGCTGGCATGGGTGAACTACACCTAGAGATCGCTCGTGACAGACTCATCAACGACCTCAAAGCAAAGGCTAGAATTGGCAATATTCAAATCGGCTACCGCGAAGCACTCTCTGTTCCTTCGTCAGAGGCATCCGCGATCTTCGATCGAGAAGTAGCCGGCAAGGCATCTAAAGCTGGATGTACCGCCAGCGTAGCGCCGTTCGAGGAGTCGGAGTTGAATGCAGCTGATGATCATACGCATGTATTTGCTCTCCTGGATGAGAACTATTTGGTCCTCAAGACACCGACGCTTTACACAGACGGATCCGCAACCGATGCTGAGCTACCACCCTTGCCTGCTACCTTGCCAATGCAGATGCTCCAATCAGCTATGCAGACTGGTGCCACAGCAGCCCTCGCACGTGGTCCCTCGCACGGCTATCCTCTCCATTCTACCAAAATCACCATCACTTTTGATCCATCTGAGCACCTCTTCCAAACCACCAACGCTGCGGCCATCTCGTCTGCAGCTCGTCTTGCTGTGCAGAAGGCTTTGCGTGAGGCAGCAGATGCTGGATATGGTACGGCATTGATGGAACCAGTCATGAATGTCACCATTACCGTAGACGAACCCAGTCTCGGAAGTGTTGTTCACGACATCAGCTCTGCCAGAGGCGGACAAGTCATGTCTCTCGGTGCCGACGATGAGACCAGCTCGGAAGACGACATGGTTGTCGATCCAACAAGAATCTACTCACCACCTGATCCATTCGGTGGCTCAGCTTCAGACATTGGCGCAGGAACTACAAGTGTGGGCAACCAGATGCGACAGATTGTGGCAAGGGTCCCTTTGAAGGAGATGGTGGGTTATCTGAAGCATTTGCGCAGTCTTACCCAGGGAAGAGGCACTTTTGTCATGACCGTCGATCGATTCGAGAAGATGAACCCGCAGAGGATGAAACTTGCGCTTGCTGAGATGAGTGGCGGCTTCTAGGGTGAAGTCTACCAAGTGTATTATATCCTTGTATCATAGATGTCTCTACTTGACCAAGTCAAACTTGAAAACAGGGCAACCCTGTTCACCATTTTTCAAGCAGCCAAATCGTTATTCAGAGGCCTTGCGATGCAATGTCTTTCTGAATGAATAGTTGTAGTATCACTGTTAGTGCTTATGACATCGCGTGAGCTCCGTATGATTTTTTGAGGACGCTTTTGTTGACAGACGTGGATCAATTTGGTCCGAGGGGGTGTTCTGCGTGGCAGTTGAAAAAGTCTTGGTTGACTAGACCCAGATAGCGATACCAAAATCAAACGTAGATCCGATCTGACAGTGAACGAGTAGAGACCCACTTAGCATGAGCGACACCTAATTGACTCTATTATGTGATCGATTTTGACACAGTTGAGCTCGCGAAAGGAGTCTTACCTCAGTAAACAGCACTACGTCATCGATATAGCTCATCAAAGGCAGTCGCGACCCAATCCACTCTTGCTTCTACCTTCATACACACACATGCTCTGCAAATCATTTTTGAGAGTCCAAACCAATTATATCCGACAGTTGAACAAACCATCACCGAATTTCACCCTCAGCATCAAAACAATGAGCACATTCACACTGCCAGGCTTCTCGCCCGAGTGCCCTGTCAACCTCACAAAAGATCTTAGCAAAGAACAATTGCTATCATTCCCGGCATTCAAGAACTGGTCCGAAACACTCCAACATTCTCTGAAACAACAAGAATCCAAGGATCACACCTTCCACGAAGCACCTTACAAGCTCCGGCGCATCGATATCCAGAGCGTGGACTTCTTCGGCGGAGAACGAATCGGCTTCATCAAGTTCAAGGCGGAAGTGTCAAACGACGATGGAGAAAAGTTCCCAGGATCGGTGTTCCTGAGAGGAGGTAGCGTAGCCATGCTGGTGAATTGCACAACATGAGGTACCAAAACGACAATCATTGACAGCAGTACAGCTTATTCTACAACCCGACGATGTCGAAGAGGGATCAGAAAAGGACAAATACGTTATTCTGACCGTTCAACCACGTATTCCCGCTGGATCGCTTTGCTTCCCAGAGCTTCCTGCTGGTATGCTCGATGATGCTGGCACTTTCTCTGGTGGCGCGGCAAAGGAGATCGAAGAGGAGACAGGCCTCAAAATCAAGGAGGACGAACTCATCGACCTGACCAAACTCACATTCGCGTCGGAAGATCAGGTCAAAGATGGAGAGAAGCTGCAAAAGGCAATGTACCCCAGTGCAGGAGGATGCGATGAGTTTGTGCCCATTTTCTTGCACCAGCAGCGCATTCCTCGTAAACAACTCAAGGACTGGCAGGGCAAGTTGACAGGACTGCGCGACCATGGTGAGAAGATTACGCTGAAGGTTGTGAGACTGGAGCAGTTATTCCGCGAAGGTGGTAGAGATAGCAAGGCATTGGCTGCTTGGTCAATGTACGAGGGTCTGCGTCGCGAGAACAAGTTGTGATGAGAGCAGCAGGATTGTTGCCGAATGGGGTGATCATGATGGCTGTCTTCCAGGACACTATTCAGACCAAGAGATAACAATGCACATAACGAGAACGAGCTTTGCTGATAAAATTAAAATGAGAATTATTCAAGTCGGATAACTATGGTGTATCGTAAAGCGACAGTCGGAGTGGCAGCCTTGTGTTGTTGACGATGATGTCGTCGTTTCAGATCTGTTACCGGATGCGGTAGATAATGATGAGTGGTGCTTATCAGGTGCAGGTGTTATCGCCGTCTGCCCCGCTCACAAGGCACAACCCTGATGATCGGTCCACCGCTTTGTCTTGCACCTTCAACCCATTCTGCCATTTACTCCCCCAACGCAGCTCACATCTCTTCAGCACTGAACAACAAACATCACGAACCATGTACAAATACATCCATACAGCTCTCGACACAATACGCGATTACGCCAAACCCGCGACGACATCCAGCTTCCGTGAGACTGGCAAGCTCACTCCCGACGAGTTCGTTCTGGCCGGCGACTTCCTCACAAACAAGTTCCCCTCGTGGTCATGGGCTGGAGCCGCCACTCCTGCTCAACGTAACTCTCACTTGCCCGAAGACAAGCAATACCTCATCACTCGAGGTGTCCCCTGCCACAAACGCCTCAACGACAACTTCGCCGGCAAGGAGGGTCTGGACGACTTGGTCAAGGAGGGTGAAGCCTTCAACTCGAGCGGAGATGACGACGATGGCTGGTTGAGGACCGGCGGTGATCTCCATAAGCCCGAGTCCCGTCCTGGCGACATCCGTACTGTCGATGATGAGGGCCATGTCGAGCAAGACAGCGGTGACTACGAAGAGGATGTTCCAGACATTGAGGATGAGGAGGATGACCCTGATGCCATTATCCGTGACCCCAAGGCTCACCAAGACCAGAACGAGTGAGTCCACTTTCTACTCACATCCAATAGAAGGCATAGCTAACCTCTGACTCAGCACCCTACGCAACTACACCATCTACATCACCTACTCGACATACTACATGACACCACGCCTCTACCTCTCTGGCTACTCTTCCTCAAACGAACCTCTCCCACCCATGTCCATGATGGAAGACATCGTCGGCGACTACAAAGACAAAACCGTCACCCTCGAAGACTTCAACTTCGTCTCCCCACCCATAAAGACCGCCTCCATCCACCCCTGCCGCCACGCCAGTGTCATGAAAATCCTCCTCGATCGCGCCGACGCCGCTCTGAAATTGCGCACTCAGAAGATGAAGCAGGGTCAAGAGGTTTCCAAACAGGGTATGGAGGGTTTGGTCGATCAGACCGGTGCCATGAAGCTTGATGAGGAGAACAAGAAGAATGATGAATGGGAGGTCTTGACTGATGAGGGCAAGGATGATGAGGTTGCTATTCGTGTCGATCAGTACCTTGTTGTCTTTATCAAGTTCATGGCCAGTGTTACTCCTGGTATTGAGCATGATCACACCATGGGTGTGTAAGACGACGAGGTGTTGGGTTTGACAGGGCGTTTTTCTTTTTCCACGATATGACAGGCGTTTTTTACTCTTTTCCGATTAGGGGTTGAAAGAGGGAGTCAAGGTTCACGAAGGTCACGGCATTTTCCTTTCCACTATTCAAACACCACTGAATATAATTAACCAAAGCAGAGAGAGCACTTTTTTTACAACATGAATTCCAGATACCCAGTTTCAATACCATGACTTTATCATTCCCCGAATTTGTCTACCTTGCCTTGTAATATCATCAATCTCAAAAAGAACAGTCGTTCAAGTCGTTACCCATAATCATAAATCCCTGGTCTTTCCATCCCCATCCATGGCATCTAGCCATTCCTCTCCAGTCATCCATTAAACTCCCACCTCCTGTTCCTAACCGGCCTCAAAACCTGCACCCCTACCTCCACTTCCTCTCCCCTCCTCAAAACATCCCTAATCATCTTTGCAAATCCAGCAACTGTAGCAGATTGTCTTCTCACAGCCATCGTCCTCTCATCCAACATTCCCTCAAACACATTTTGCTCCGATGTTGTTGGGGGTTTAGAGGTGATGTGTGTTGTAGAAGAAGATGAAGATGACAAAATCAAAGGGATCCAAGAGGGTGTTGGATGTTTTGTTGATGAGGATGCGTGGATGGCTTGCTATTTTGATGAAGTATGGTTAGTATTTGAATGTTTAGTTTATGAGTGTAAGGTGGTATGAGGTTAGAGATGGGGGGAGGGGGGGGTAGTAAAAGGTGGTAGTATACCTCGGAAAGACCTCTTTTCCAAGATTCTTCCACATCGGCGAAAGAAATTGGAGCGGCGTTTGCGCGGAGGAAGAGGAGGGATAGAAGGATTGTGATGTAAAAGGTTAGGAGACGTGATTGATTTGCCATTTCTCTCTTGACAAGACAGAGACGATGACTTTTGTTTGAGTGAGCGAGAAGCGTCCTTTGGTGAGGATATTCAGACCCGATCTCGAGGATATCTAGTCGAGGGCAGACCAACGAACGATTGTAAAAGCCAGTACAAAAGTAGCAATTGATGGGATTTTCGATAACTCACCACCAGCCAAAAAACAAGAGAAAGCAGGTAGGTAAAGGAAACATATATATCCACCATCGCCCCTTCCTTTTCACCCAAAGCTAACATACCTTTCTAGCCTTTTCTGCTCTCGATCGAGAAACCATTGCATGAAAAAGGGGGTCATCCCGACTTACCAAAGACACGGCTCGTGGCGAGTTCAAGCAGGTCGCGATTATCCTGGCGTCGGTTTCACAGTCTGTTCAAAGAATGTGAAATCCTCCCCTTGACATTCACGCGTGGAATACCGTTGCCGCGTGAAAGAAGGATAAGAGAGAGCAAGAAAAAGCTTGAGGCAAAGCCAGAAAAGCCCTAAAAGCAAGGGATGTAGAGAGATAAGGGGAGTCAGGGCTGTGAGACCCGAAGAAAGGTTTCTTGCGTTCCTTTACAGAGGACCGAGACAATCCTTTCTATCTAATCCTGCCTTTTTTCTGAATCGAGTTTTTAGCATGTGCGCGTGTTGCATGTGTGCATGTGATGAGGGGGTATCAAGTAAATCCATCCGCAACGAAAAAGTGAAGAGCCAGAAAGAATAAAAAACAACGCCATCTCTTTTTGTGCTCTCTCATCTATGCAAAAGCGCAAGCCATCTAGTATAATATTCGTTTGTGATCGTGTTTGATCATGGCAGGGAAGACTCTCAAGTCAGCATGGAACCAGCCATGTCTGAGCAGAGACGTCCTAACGTCTCCATGACCCCATTGAGCCAAGGGGTGCGCCGAAATTGGAACTCATTCTGGTCCGGAGTCTGATCCCTCCGTTGTCCGAGTCGTCCTTGTCTTTGCCTTTGCTGTCCTTGCCTTCGCTGCTGGCCGAATCAACTTTGTCGTTGGAGACAGGCGAGCTTTCGGCGACTACCTCTGAAGGTAAGTTGGGACTTCGACAGACTAGTGGTTGGTTTTCTTCTGGGTGTTCTGAAATGTCTTTCAATTTGGCATCCAGCATGTCCATGGTGAAGTTCTCGGCCCCTGGATTGCATGGGAGGGAAGGCATGTGTAAGGGGCCTTTCAAGGGGCGATCCTCGTCTGCACCGTCATCCTGCGACATGACTTCGTTCATGAGCGTGTTGCTGCGGGTTGGTGTGTCGGTCAATTTGTCAGAGCGAATACTGATGGCTGGGCTGAAATCACCCGGGTGAGGAGCCTTGAGCGGAGTATGTCCGGCATGTCTGAGATTGGCCGGTGGTGGAGGACTTAGGATATTACGAGTGACCGGTGGGGAGGCGGGTAGATCTCCGTGTAAGACTTCGGTCAAGGAAGCGGTACTGTCAAAGACAGAAGCATCTGTCAAGGCGGGTATATCGATGTGTACTGGGGCGGCATTCCTCTTGATGCGAGACGACTCTGGTGATAGGCGGGAGGTGTCGACTTCGGCTATGCTAGGAAGTTGTGATGGACCGGGCTTGACTCCGTTTTGTGGAGAGAAGGCAGGGCTATGTGCTGGACTAAGAGGCACAATCATGTTAGCGATGAATGGCTCGAGGATGCGTTGGTAGTGGACTGCTACCTTTGGCCATTGGGAGACTTGAGCAGCGACTCGAGGGCGGTAACGCGACGGTGCATCCTATCTCGCTCCATCTGCCAACTCTCACGCTCGGCGACAAAGGCTTGATGTTGCAGACGTAATGCTTCATTCAGCTTGTCCAACTGGGCCTGCATGTCGTTCTCGTTTGGAGAGAGAGTCGCATCCAGAAAGTAGGGCGACGAGGCCTGTGAGAGGGATTGGAGAGCCATTGGGTTCATGGGAGCCCAGAGCGAGTCGTTTGAAGTGGTTTGAAAGGCCATAGGAGGCGACCTTGGCGGTGCTTGTTTGTTGACGGGCGGGTCGACGAGGAGCGAATCCATTTTCTGGTACCTGAATATTCACAAAAGACGTATCTTGGGATCTTGGGGTAGCACCCGGTGCTGTGGTCGAGATTCGTGTACGATGGCGGAGTAGGAAGAGATGCAGTCGGCTAGGGTACGTGTACGGAGAGTGTACAGGAAGAAAGCGGAGAAGAGACAGGCTTCTGAGTTACGGACGACGTGGAGATGAGGATGCGGTGATTCGTGCGCCTTTGCTTTACAAGGCAAGAGATGTGCTGTCGAGTTTCAGCGCCCAACCAACCATGCGCTAATCAAAGGCGCCCATGACGATGCAAATGCCACGCCCGAAATCCCCCGCCATTTCCCGCCGCTGTTTTGGCTCTGTCCCTGCAGATCATTATAGCCAAGCCTTTGAGTACTTCTTCTCCGTTTGTCCTGTCTACGGAGTATGAACTACAATTTACTGTGATTATAGAAGTTGCACCGGCATCGATCTCTCCTGTTCTTACACTATTCAGGGCTCCCGGACATCCGCCGGTCGTTTGATTTCACCATCAGAATTCAAGGTGTTTTTGATGATTGTGCATGTCCATAGAGAGTGGTACCTTGATGAGCTCTCTTTGGACGACTGCGACAAAGCCAAACCATCATGCCTTCTGATGGCTACATAGAGAAGTCTTTTGGTAGACTGAGATCACGCCTCTAGTGCAGCTTTGTATATGGCTGCGTCTACATTACGACCTGCGGTAAACCTCTAGTCCACTTTGACGTAGTTTGCAGGAAAGCTGCCAACCACTCCATTTAGTTCTCCTTCCCACCAATCATCTGTCGACGCCGTCTTCTTTACCACCTTGATCCTATCACCTTCCCTGAACGACAAGTCGCCTGATCCCTGTCCACCGAACTCATAGAGAGCCGTGACGAATTGACCCTGTGTCGATGGTGTTCTCTTCTTTGGTGGAGGCGGCGGGGGCTTTTTCTTGCCTGTAACGCTGAAAGTACCGGATGATGTAGAAGCCTTGCGTTCTCTGCTGAAGTAGTCCGATCCCTGGTTCTGACGCGATGTGGACGAAGGTGTCAAGAATGGTGTATTGGACGAGCTAGGAGTGCTTGTAGCCGAATAAGTTGGCGCAGGTGCTCCGCCATTAGTGTACACATCTGGCGTAACCACGGGTGTAGGTTTTGAGCTGGAAGGAATTCGCGGCTTGCTCATCATGTCTACACTCGGTGGTGCTCCAGGTCTAGGTGGCTTCATCGGAGGTGCCTCTTCCTCTTCATAATGAGAGTTCAGTGTGGCAGTGTCTTCGTAGTGCGAGTGCAGTCTAGTACTAGAAGAGATACGACCGGGTCTAGGAGGCTTCACAGGAGCCGGCTCATCGTCGACTGCGTTCGAACCAATACGTAATTGTCCTGGCATGGAAGGCTTTGGCAATGAACCCTGACTGCTTGTTCTCCTTGCGAACGTGTTGCGAAGCCCAAGACCAGTGACAGTGCCTTGCTGTTTGTCTGGCAAACTCATGGGTTGATGAATGGCTTTACCAGTTGAGATCGTTCGGATGTTGCGCTCCAAATCCTCGCGGAACGGTGTAAACTCCGTCTCGAAGGTTGAAACAACCTGCTCCAGAGCGGGCGCAGGAGAAGGCAGACGATGCGCTTGGCAATACTCATGCAGCTGAGTGTACAATTGGCCGACTAGCTGGTACTGGATCATGATTTGGGTCGCGAGCAGATCGGGAAGAAGGAGTGATAGAGCATCCAAGACAGGAGGTAGCACTTTTTTCAGCTGCTCATCAGCAGCTTGGTAATCCTTGGGATCTGGTCAGTCTTTGTAAAACGAAGAGGCCTAGGACCGACTCACGGCACTGGATCGGGCGAGATCAGTCTCGTGCTTCATCAAAGCGTTCTCTTCCCTTGCAGATCTTGTCTCTTTGCGCCGGACACTGTCTACGCGCGAGTTGTAACGCTCGTAGTCAAGCTGACGAGTAATGTCAATAACGTGCAGTAATACTGGTCATGATAACGGACCTTCAAATCTTCTCTTCTTTTGACTGACTTCTTAAGCATCTTGAGAGAATCTTTTGCATCCATTGCAGGTCTCAGAAGCTTTACTTCGATTGAGGTGACCTCATTGCTCAAGTCCTTTCCAAGATTCGAGTAAACGGCCTGCAAATCACTGGCCTTGTCCAAATACCTCCTAGGGGTCGGAGCTGGCTTGTGTTGAGTCGGGTTGTCAGGGTCATCCTCTACTTCGATTGGCTGGTACAACAAATGCAGTGTTTCGGCGACATAGAGTTGTGTTTTTAGTGTCTCGTCCCAAGCATCGCGCCATGATTTTGTTGCCTCAATGAACTAGCATGTCTTGGTCAGTATTCTTGTGTGTTGACCGTCAGACACATTATCATTCTTACACTGGCCAGGGCCTGGTCTGCACTGTTGAATTCACTAAGAATGCCCCCAACGTCTGACCCGTCTGCAGACCGCTTCATCAACTTGCCGAACTTGCGTTGAACACTCTGCATCGCGATTGACGATGAGGGAGGAAAGCAAAACAAAAGGAAGAAGGAGTGACGGAACAATCAGGTTGAAGGATTCGTGATTGCTCGGTGTTGAGACAACGTGTATTGCGAGCGGGGCCAAGGCTCGGCCTCGTAGAACTGGGAAGCGGGTGGCATTGTTCACTAGTCATACCATGCATTACCATAATATAGCGTCGAGGATTACGCGGCACTGAGATGGACTTTTATACAAACACACTTGTCTGTATCATAAACCAATATCATGGTCATCAAGGTGCCCAGAGTTTTAAAAATGGAACCATGCGCAATGGCCTCGATGGCAGGCCCCTCGGACGGACTGCTAATCTCCGCGAAATGCTTCATCTTTTGATTTGACATGTGATTCGTGACGCGCGCGTGACGCGCCAAGAGCAGCACTTTCCCTTCCCGACGCCATCGCAGCTTCGGTGGGTCTACTGCCTGCTCTCGACTCTTCTTGTCTACTGAATCATCGTTCTTGAGCCTCATCTGCTCACAAGACTTGCACGAAATGCCGTATTTGAGAACATCACATCCAAGTCACAATCGAGGATCATGACGGCAGCAGTCCTTCGTAGTTCGCCGAACCTCGCAGTCCCGCAGACTCAAAATACCGCTCCAGTCTTCGAATTCAACTGCCTCTATACGCATGATTTACGTCGCAAGCAAAAGCGATGGCAGGATGGCTTTCTTCGATACCACACCTTCAACAAGCGTGTCATGGTCTACGACGTTCCTAGAAATTTCCTCGGCGACCTTCACTGGACTAGCGGCGATGACTTGCAAGAGGGGGATGAGATGACCCTGGAAAAAGGTGGCATCATGGTCGAAGTCTCTGAAAGAATAGGCACCATCCAGACCGACCTCTCCGACTTGCTCCAACGAAAGGACAAGACCCCAGCCAAAACACCTGCTCCACGAACAATCGTGCGCCATGGAACTCCGCTTTCAGCTGCTCAGTCGGTCACCCCCAGAACTCCACATGGAATCTCCAAGACGCCGATGAAACACAAGTCACTCAATGCTCTGCTTGGAAGGTCAAGGCGGCCCATAGGGAAGGCCTCTTTGCCTACAGAATCTCCATTTGAAGTACGAAATAGAGACTTGCAGACCACAGAAGCTCAGGAAGAGAGCATCCGCAAACGCTCAAGGCTCGACTCTGACGTACAGGCACGCAAAGCGAAAAAGCATCGTGATCAGACCCCTGAAGGGCAGCAACAAAATCCAATTGCCATCCCGAACCAAGTTTGCCAAGTTATTGATCTGTCTTCTGACACGGAGGACATCGCTGCAGCTCAAGCCGCCAGTCATGCTATTGAGGCTGAATTGCTAGCCACATCCTCTCCTGCTCGTTTGCACGAAAGTCCCGCTCCTAGGCAAGTACGTCCAAATCACTTTCGTCCGATCGACAGACGGCCGGCAGCCATACAACAGGCGGCCGTTGAGTCGCCGTCAGTCAGAGTACCAAGTCGGAAGGCGTTTGCAGATGTGCCTGCTCCTGCCGCTGCAACTGCTCGGCCTGCGAAGGAGACTAGTGTTTCGCGAGATACTGCCAAAACGAAAGCCATCGAAATGCCTGCCGACGATTCTATTCGGAAAAGTTCATTTTTTGGACCCGAGCCTGAGTCTCAAGCACGCGGGAAATCCTTGAAGCTTGTTGGCGGAGTCCCGCGAAAGATGCTGCTTTTTCAGTCGCAAAACTCTCGTCCGGCAAGCTCTGAGAAAGGAGCGGAATGCGTGGGCCGTGACAGAGCTCCGAGCACACGGCGAGAGGCAAGTCCCGGCCAACCCAAGGTGGCGCCTAGACCTGTTCAGGCTACGAGTGAACCTACAGCCGACCAACTCCCAGAAGAAAGTGTCTTCCAACGACGACTGCAAGAACGACTCGCAAAACTTAGCAACAAGAACAAACGGACCGGCCTGCAAAGGAGTTCTTCCGACGTGACCGAGCAACGGCCTGCTAACGACAAGGCTCCGAGCACGACTGGTTTGAGGAAGACGACTTCTGTTGTCATGTCAAGACTGGATTCACCAGAAGACCCAACACTGACCGACTTCGCCTTCCCCGACATGACTCCAATGGACTTCGACGACCCTATCGTCGACGACTCAGTTGCACAGCCACCGACGCGGAAAAGCAACGAACCGGTCGGCAAGGCTCCAAGGCCAAACGGCAGGGGAACTGGTACTATCAGTGCTAGATCTTTCAAGCCTTTGACTGTCAAGCTCCCTGCAGCCCCTTCAGCTCCTACAGCCCCCGCCGACCCTGCAGCTTCTGTGATAACATCCAAAGCTGCACAGATGATAGCAGCTGAAGAAAAGAAGAATCAGGATATTGGACCATGGAGTAAGGAGGCTTTCGACCTGATGGACTGGAGACCGCCGAACATGCAAGCCAAGGTCAGCAAATCGGTATGAGCGAACAACAGGCGAGTGAACAGTATTGCTATAATGAATGGGATGTGGTATGGATAGGGGATTGATTTTTGTTTCTTTTCCAGCGAAGGCGTTTTCGGAATGGGAGTCTGGGTGCAAAAAGTTCCACACTTGCATGTTACTGGTGTTTGAGCATTGTACATACATGGCTTTCGTTATATACCCCCTCTTTGAAGATATGAATCGAAAAAGACAGCTTTATGATCAAACAACCACGCAACCAAGAAAGAAAAAAAAAAGCAACAGACGAGCGACCTTTGCCGCCACTTCCCTTTCTTGCAGCTGCCGAACCTGAACAGTGGACGACAACGTTGCCGGCTTTGTCAATACCGGTTATGTGGTAGCAGAGATAGTCCTCTAGGTCGCTCATGGTCTTCCATGTTTTCGGGATGTCGAGGAACTCCTTTCCAGTTTCGATCTTGCGACCACAGATAGCCTGGATCTGGACGGACATGTGCGCTAAAACTCATTTGGCGTGGGTGTCGACGTCGAGACGGCTGTATAACTGCCACATGCTAAGGGTATATTCGCTTTTCTCGACCTTGTCTCGGGGAACCGATTTGGCCTTTTGGATACGGACCCTCGCGCTGCACATATGTAAGTCTGATGTGGAACTTGATCACCACTCGATTCGTTTTGAAGTACCAGAACTGCCGTTTGTCGTGATGGGAGCCAGCGGTTGCTCGAAACCACTTCTTCCAGAAAGCCAAGCCGCAAACCACAACCTGAAAACAGTGGCAGCAGATGCATGCAGGGTTATCTCTGAGATGCTTTTACTGCTGACCCGATCCTTACCCTCAAGCCTTTTCTTCCCAATTCCAAAACACCTCGTCCAAAATCTTCCTCACCACATCAACGTTGACGCCGCCATCCTCCCCAACACCTTGGAGCACCTTGCCTACACACTTTGCTATATTTTCCTCACTCCTCAACATTCCTGTAATCTCATCCGAAGGCATTGTAGCAACCAAAACTCTGCCACCATATTTCTTCCACCTGTTTGGGTTTCCACAAACATCCACCATGACGTTTCCACCGACTCTGATTCTGAAGTCTTTTACCAGATCAAGGATTTCTCCACCATCCATCATGCCGTTTTGGAAGATGTCGAGGAGATTGGGGATGCGGAGAAGTGTTTGTGGCATATCGATGTTCAACACAAAGGCGTTGTTACTGTAGAACAAAGGTTGAGCTTCACGTCGTAGCAAACGTGAGACTTGGAGAATCGGCAGGAATGGCGGTGTCAATCTCGTTTGACAAGGACAACCAGAATGAAGCCTGAGCAAGATGGCCGGTACAAAGGCGGGTAAAGGCGATCTTTGCGGAAATGGACATTGTGGTGCGGAAGGTTTGGTAAGAATGATCGTTTGCCGTTGAGGTAGAGCGTAGCGGTAGATTTGAAGTCGTATTTCTGGTGGAAGCTTCAGAAATGGAAAATGCTGTTCTGATGTCGTAGCTGGTAGTTCGGATTTGAAGAGCCAATGATAGATGCTCTTGCTGAATTTTGAAGGCGTGAGATGGTTGGTAGATCGAAACGGCAGAGTCGCGATTGCAATGCTCAGAATGCTGAAAACGAGAGCTGTGAACCACATGCTCGGAGATTCGTCGTCGGATGCTTGCGTGGTGGTGTTTTTTTCTGTCGGATAGATAGGTGCTCAATCATTCATGACCGACTCTTGCATAGATATGCCTAAACAGAAGAAGACAGATATCGAGTAGAGTCTTGAAATGCTGACGCCTAACGCCTGTACAACAAGCGGATGACCCGGGATATTGCTACCGGTCGCTCAAGACTTGCAGTGACATTGTGATGGATTATACGAATAAAACTTATTCAAATTGCATGCTCGCTATCATGAGGTCATGAGTCGTTAAGTTATGTACATATGTGTTGGAAGAAACCAAAGACGTGATGCAATGAAGTCGAGGTGGAGGATGGTATAGCGAATCCAAGCGTGCCTGCAAATACGCAGTAGCCCAGCCCCACCAGATAGAGACCAATGCGAGAATCAGTAATCTTTCTAGTCAATGATCCAAACACCAGCCCAATCTTTCCAATTGGCATTTCTCCACTGGTGGGTTGACATGGCAGCAAACACACCCGTCTTTTCCTCGTAGTCTTTTGTTCCGAGTTCGACCAGTCTGTCAATCAGAGCTTCGGTCTCGTCTCGTGTTTCACCACGCTCCCATCCCAAGCTCCTTGCAATCCTGACCTTTCGCAGGTTCGGGAATGACCCTTCGTCCAGTGTCAAGAGAACGTCAATCGGAGAGAACTTGTCGTCCACACCAGGGTTACCAGAGTTGGTGAAAGCGAGCGTGCGCAACTTGTGGTTTGTGAAGTTGGGAGTGTCCTCTGACTGCCATTCTTGGAAATCCGGATTGAAGATTGCAGGAGTGATATAGTCGACGCTGACACTAAGCTCTTCGAGGTCTGGAAACAGGCCAAGCACAGGGTCCAGAGAGCTTATGCCCAGTCGCGGCAAGTGTGACAAGGAGAGTGACTTGAGGGGTAGGCGAGCGCGTGAGAGAGTGGTGAGGAGTGCGCGGATCGCGTGTGATTTTGCTTGAGGACAGTGCTCGATGGTCAGACGTTCCAGAGAGGGAGGGAAGTGGACGATGCCATAGAGGAAGTTGGCATCGATGCCACCGCTGAGATAAAGATCTTTGAGAGCAGGAGGCCAAATGATCGAGTCAGGATCCACAGTCTTTGCGCCGAAGCCCGAAGAGCGTGGGAAGCGTAGACGCTCGAGATGTTTCAGTGATCTGAGGGAGCTGAAGAGCTTGTCCAAAGGTTGTGCTTCCGACACAAGGGAGAGGTCAAGACTGCGAAGATTGTGCGACTTTGACAAGGCAGCAAAGCTGTTAATTGCAAACGAGGCTTGTGGCGCGACAAACTCTTCCAGACTGGCCTCTGTCCTGCGCAGGACCCTTGCAGTCACACTCTTGCTACTGTGATGGACCAGTAGGCCCAAGTTCAGCACCTTGACGAGACTGGCTAGAGGGCTGTCTTTGACTCTAAGATTGATCGAAGGGCACAAGGTGCGTACGAAGGGGTCGTAGTTTTTGCCATATATCTTCGGGTAGGCGTAGAGATAGGGCAGAGCGGCGGTATACCATTGCCTCGATAGCAAGCAACAGGTGTGGAGAGACTTTTGCGCTTCGGGCGTGTGCGAGACGTAGGAAAGGATCTCGAGTACGAGTTCGTCGGGGAGGTATGCGGGTTCTGTCGAGTGGTATCCATGGGGTTTCGGGTCGTCGTCTCTGATTGGGAATGATGCTGTTGATTGCTCGTGTGGTTTTGCGGCGGCGGCTGTCTTGTCCTTTGTGGCCTGCAGGCTCTCGGCCATGGAGATAGTCCAATTGCGCTGCTGGTCGAGCGCCATGATTGTGTTGCACTCTATTAGAGAGTCTTCTTGGGTCTTGTGAACTAAAAGTGCTTGTTTGCCGCTCTCTCTCACGCCGACGATGATGGCAGAGGCCGAGACCCTCGATTCAAGTGACACCCCGCATTTTCGACGTCACTTTTTTCACAAAGAGTTGCACAGAATTTCACTGAATCACCATAGCAACTTGCTAAACACAGCTTGTGGACAAGTAGTGGCAGGTACTATACAAGTACTCGATGCTAGACTTGAGACCTCGACTTGAAGAGGCTTTGAACTGCTGTCTACCCGAGAGGACCTTGTCGAGGCAGGAGCTCCGCTGCTTAGGCGGTTGACTTCCCTCTCGACGCGCAATCAATTCATGCCGTGCCCTGTCAATCGCAGCTTATCTGTTTCAGCGTACCACAGATCTTCGGTCTTGTTCAAACCATGTACCTGACCTCTTGCAGCCCGTTTCTCACCCGCTTCGTGTGTTGCGATCAAGCATGCACACTGCCACCCTCAACCTAATTTTGCTGCCCCGGTTTGCCCGTATCTTTCTCCAAACTGTTCGGACGCGCAAGCCGAGTCAGATCTTTCTCTGCTTGTGTCTCGTATTCGTGAGCTTACCACACGGAAATCCTGTGGAGCTGTGCAAATCACGGCCTGGAGTGGTCGAACTCTTCCCGGCTGTGACGTAGCTAGCTAAACTAACCATAACGAAGACAGATAAAATAGTCGTGCCTGCCCATCACCTGTATCTCCTACCTCTGCACCCCTTTACAACTCACACAAACACACTCAAGTACACACTTACAACAACACCAACATGTCGAAAATGTCGAGCCAAGTCGAGCCTACCATCGTCACCGCCGTCGAGACGGCCCCCTCAGCTTCGTCCTCATCCGAGCTCTCTCCCTCGAACACTTCCCCCACACTTAGACGCGGATCTCGCCAGGCTCCCCCAGAAGGCCTCAACTTGACCTCCAAGGACCAGCTCGCTCCACCAGCCACCGAAAGACAAGATTTCCCTTCGCCTGGTGCCGCCCCTGCAGGTCAGCGCATCTTTGACGCCAACGCCGTCGCCGAGGACAGAGGAGTTGAGACAGTACCCGGTGGCTGGGCCGGAGGAGTCCAACAACAAGACCAGGTCGCCGAACAATACGAGCAGCAAGATGAGGATGCTTCGCAAAAGTCGTCACCGAGCTTGAAGCAGAAGGTCAAGGACTTGCTTCATCGTGATTAGACGAAACCCCTTTTGTCAATTTATCACCAGGCTTTGTCGTTTTTGTCTAGCTATTCCGACGCGACACCAGCCACAAAGTCTTTACGACTACGTTTCATGCATTTCCGAAACTATCAGCGGAGGAGTTGGTTACACGACAGTATGTGCCAAGCACTTACAGCATCGCTGCATACTACCACGGGCGTTCGCATCTTTCGATTCTTTGTATCTATTCACCAAATACTTCATCATCCATCATCTACTTGACTTGCTATTCCAATCTCGCGGCATGTCAGTAGTGAGACTCCGTTCTTTACCCTCATCTCAGACCTTTCACAACCGACTGCACCACTTTCATCACTGTGCTTGTTACAATACGCATCCACTAGGCAGCAACACACCCCGACCCTCGATTGACTTTCACTAGACCATGGTCGACTCAACGCGGATTATGGAAGAGATCATGCTCATGCAAACATTCCCACAAACATCCTTGAGATCCTTGAGGGAGGAGACAAACCACAGGTTCGAGCTTGCTGCTATACCGCAGTCCATGCCATCTAACCAACCCACGGGCTTTCTAGACCTGCCATTTGAACTCAGACTCAAGATATACCATCTCAATCTCACCGACCACCTGAAACTCGAAAACATGACCTCAAACAGCATACATGTACGACCGACAGACCTCAACCCTCCCTCCGACGTCTTCCCATCGTTCAGCACTTGCCCTCTCGACTGGACTAGAACCATCGAAACAAAGCCTGAGCATCCGATTCGTGAGCCAGCCGTTTCCCGTACCGCAAGACTCGTCCGCGCAGATGTTCTCCCCCTTCTCTACAAGCCAGACACACCGACCTCGTATACCTTTCACGCTTGCCCAGCCGCTCAGATCAGAAACACACTCCATCGCATCCACAATGAAGATATACCCTTAGGCCTCCGCCTCGAGAACCTGACTTTCTGCTTGCCCAAAGCGATCGACGATCAAGGTCTAGCAGTTCCTTGGCTCACGTCCTTAGCAATCTCGCTAGCCTGGTGCTTACACAACTGTCCGATTCAACCTGAAGTCATTGTCACGGAGCCAGAGGTCCGGATCCGGCAGGCCTATATCGCTGTCGACGAATTAGAGCCCCCTCGACTTCCCACGCTTAAAGCTTCTATACCTATCAAGCCTATAGATGGAGTACGATCGAGACTATCCACCACGGCTACAGAGCTCGTGACCTCCTTCTTGGCTTTCACCGCGTGCTTACCAAGTAAGGAGATGGGGCAGGAAGATCAAGTTGCTTTTGCCTTGACAGACTTTCTGAATGCGAGGGAGGACAAATGTAAGAGCTGTGTTCTTTGGAGAGGCATGTGGAGAGAGTGTTTAAAGAGAATATATGGGCCAGAGATTGCTAGGGCTATGGTAAAGGAGCTAAAGTTTGATGTTGGCATCGCAGATTTGGCAGATGTTGTCTGGTAGGCTTCACTGATGCTTTCACCGGATGAGTCTGGAAGACTCAACTCGATTCTGCAGTTTGATGTGCGTGTTTTTATGTAGCGTCGTTCATGAGATGCGCCGTTGATCGCAATCGGGTTTGCCCAGGAGAACAAAGCAGGTCCATATTGGAAACACCTAAATTCCTCCATATTTGGCAAATCACGACTTGCAACGAGATTTTTGCATACCCTCAGGATACTCGGTGTTCCATCGTGTTCGTGGAAACTCCTGGCTACCCCTTTACAGCATCACTGGCCTACCATTCTGCTTTCCCTTTGTCGATTGCACTCCGTGGAATGTACTCTAGGACACACGACGCATCGATCCCACCAGGCAAGACGACGATCGACACATCAATCAGAACCCCCTTGACGACCACTCCCCGACACACAACGCATTAGACAGGACTTACCCACCCACCCCGGTTCGTCGCATCGACCCGACTCGCCTTCTCGACGGTACCCGGTTCGCCTATCCCGTGTGAATCTCTGCTGCCCATTGCGAGGAGCGATCATCGCGGACCAGAATGAGATCGTCTGCCTTTGATGGTTGCCCATGACCCGGTTTGCGGCGACGTTTGCGGTTGTGGAGAGAGAGAGGGTGCGAGTGCAGCTTATATAGTACTTCGCAAGAGGTTTTGACATATGAAAGGTAAAGTCAAGAATGCTCTCATCGCTGCAGCACAGTTGTGGAAGCAAGTCTATCTAAATGCAAGAAGATTTTCGTAAATCCTGATGGGTCCACTGAGAGCAATGTCACCATGCACAAGAAAGAAAAAACCCAATACCATCACGATAGAAAAAACCAGACCTCAGAAGCCTTAAGAAAGCAAAAAAGATAAGCACCATGGGCAGGATTCGAACCTGCGACCACCCATGTTCATCGGAGACCACGTTTGTATAGAAAGGAATGCGCACGTGCCCGAACGTAACACCAGAATATGCTACCACTACACCACCACGGCTATTTGTTACAAGAGGCAAGTAATTTCTAGAATATAAAGGTTGACAGCGGTGGGTGGGAAGCAGGAGTGTTGGTGGGAGGGGAGCTTTGATTGAGTGAGTTTTGATAGGCTGAGGAGTGAGTGAGTCTACGCGAGATGGATATTCGAGATATCTTTGTGGAATGGCTGCCTGGAGCTCGAGGCGAGGTGGTAGATATGTGTATAGACCTTTTGTGTGTGTGTGTGATGTGCTGGAACAGTGTGTCGATACTGCTCAATAAGAGTAGTCGAAGTAGCGTATGCCTTTTTGATCACCCCAAATCAAATTCCGTAGCGATCTCTTGAGCAGTCGGTAGTAGTTGATGCTCGCATGTTCATGAGTGTTCTAAGCATTCATTCGGTAGCAAGTGTATGTGGCTCGCCCTTCATGCGTCATGTTGCCTATGAGCTGGTCGTGTTAAGCATCTTGTTGTCCGAGACTTGCAGTCTGTAGGTCCGATAAAATGCTCTCATAGAGAGAGAAGACTGTCCGTTGATGCGATGCGTAGAGCCACGCCCGTATGCTCCTGTGTGAGTGGACTTCGTAGAGTATAATCGTCGGTGGATATATCAACATGACTGACGTGAGTCCGTGTTCGTGATGTCCAGTATGATATGGAAATATGATCATGCGGCGGCTGAGACGAAGAACTGGATGGTGCTGGCATATCGGATACGTGATTCAGGTATATCCTCCCCTTCATCTTGCATCTGCTCATCTTCGCCTTCCGGAGGGATGATGTCGTCGATGGCACCGACGGTACCAGTCTCGATGCGAACGTTGTATTCGGCTCTCTGTTGGAACCATAGAGCCAGACTCATGGCTTTTGCGATGGCCTTTCCAGTACCCTTGAGCACAATTTCATCCTGTTCATCTTTCTGGGAAGCCATAGTGCTAGCGATGCGCTCAATATCGCTGATTTCATCGTTGACGTGGGAGTATTTTGGTCGCTTGGAGACTTGGTCGGCAGCGGATTGGGCAAGGCGTTTCTCGGCTTGGGCCAGTAGCTTCTGTACACGCTTTACAGCAGACATGAAGGGTGTTTTGGTAGAGACATAGACAATCTTTGAAGCCGAGGCATTGGCATATTGCGACGTGATCGGAGGGCGCAAAAGTGGTCGCTTTTCTACTTTGTAGTCTGCACAGTATCAGATGGCTGCGAGTATGCTGAAAACTCCACGGACTGACCCTTAGGAAGACGCGACATCTTGCGCGGCCTCTGTGAAGTATTCTTCTCTTGTGCCATGATGTCGATGTTCTCGAGTCGAAAATTGATGGCCGCTTTACATCAAGGTTGACGCTCCAAAAAGCTCTCCACACGCCACAATCAAGATGCGTCAGCCACAAAGTCAAGCCACCGGCGACTGACTTGAATCTTTCAACACCAGCGCGCCTTCCATATCAACACACAACAAGCCAGTCAATATGTTGATCAGACACATCAAATTACCTGGCATTGTCCCATACATCAAGGCTGCCAATCTGCAGCAGGATCTGGTAACAAAGTTTCTCACCCACAAGGCTTCTCCTGCAACAACAAAGGCCCCAGTTCCAACAATCATTACTGCCGAGTTCGCTCCTGTCTACACTTGCGGTCGTCGAGAGGTTGGTACCGTCTCCGAAAAGCAGCAAGCCTTCTTGAGAGACGGTGGCAACGCAGACTTCTACGAAGCCCTCCGCGGTGGCCAAACCACTTTCCATGGTCCTGGTCAACTGGTCGCATATCCCATCATTGATCTCAAGAAGCACAATCTTTCGCCAAGAAACTACGTGTGCTTGTTGGAAAAGACCCTCATCAAAACTTGCTCGCGCTATGGCATCGAAGCAATGACTACAGAACATCCTGGTGTTTGGACCACCCCGGACGACAAGATATCCGCTTTGGGTGTCCACTTGCGCAGGAACATCACTAGCCATGGTATAGGTCTCAATATCAATACTGATCTCAAATGGTTCAGTCGTATCGTTGCTTGCGGTCTTGAAGGAAAGAGGACCACGAGCTTTGAGAATGAAGGTGTCAAGGACCAGTCTGTGCCAGAGGTCGCCGATGCCTTTGTCCAACAATTAGCCGACTCGCTCGAAGGCATCGACCGTGTTGAACTTGTCTCAGAGGAAAGCGTCATGTAGCTTGCTTGGACAGCCGTCTACCAGTCCCCACAGCAGCGGGACTATGACAGCTCGGCCAGGCTTTGGGACCGTCAAAGCATACTGCCTATAACAAACTCACGCGAACTCAATGGAAGCTACCTCGTCGAAAACAGCTTGTGACAACCTTTGCGGCTTTCCTTCTGTCATCGGATCATATTCTCCCTTTCAAACATCGAGATCAGATCTGAGTATCGTCATATACACGCGGCCCTTGGAAATACGACCACACTTAGACCAACAGTATGGGTATCCTCACTTTGAAGCGAAAGTGGTCGCGGAGTCTTCCTCTCCGCGACTCGGTGTCTACGAGCGGCCGCAATCCATCCATTGCAACAGAACAACCGACGGCACACAAACAAGTTCAATCTCAACCGCGATCCAGCCCGAAAGCATCGGTATATGAGCATTCTCCACCTCACTCCGGAACGACTCTCCATGACCCTGATCATGCCCCGTCTCGCGTCTCGATCGATATCTCGAATGATGCCACACCATCCGACACTTTGGTGCATGTCATGACCGTAGGCGACAGCGTAATAACTGTCGAGACACATCGAGCAGACGCCGAAGAAGCCGAGCAACCCAAAAAGACAAAGAAAAAGAGCTTCAGTCTCAGAAGGGTCAAGACAGCTCCAGGTGCTCTGCACCGTGGTGTCGCTCATGGCTCCGTTACGACAATCGAGTCCACGCCCTCTGGCAGTCGCCTGCGAGCCTGGTCGTATCCGCAAGTCAACTGGAAAAGGCTCAACTTTGTACGCCGTGTCCGTCGTAGCGCCGATCGCAAACACGCTCGCAAAGGCAAGGCTCCCTCTCGACAGAATTCAGGTCGTCAGTCCCATGCTGATAGTGCAGCTTCTCCGACACAAACTCAGTCTCCGCTCATGTCCGGAGCTGTTCAGGCCTCACCGCCGCGTTCGCATAGGGCGTCGTATGGGACTGACATCTCTCCACGAGCTTCGGCTTGTTTGGGAATCGAACCTCCTACTGCCGTACATTTCGACAGCTCTCCTAGGAGGTCGTCTCCAAACTCAGAACACCCTAGTGGAGAGCACGTCGAACGCAAGGACTCACATTTTCCTGAAGCCAAGCAAGCGAAAGACAAGGTTGCTCTTGACCTGGAAGCGGTGACCGTGCAGCTCACCTCTGACAAGCAAACACAAGGAAGTTCTTCCTTCCTGCTTCACCCTTTTGACTGGCTACGACAGCATCACAACTCTGCGTTCCCTTCATCATCGTCAGACTCGTCGTCATCTTCTAGCTCCATGCCGCCTTCGCCTACGACGCGTCCTGCACGTCTGGCACGCCGATCAAGAGAGACATATTCTTTCCACAGATCAGAGGTCTACCCGACTAGGAAAGAAAATATCAATCTACAAACAGCACTAGGCAAATCCTCCATGTGTTCCACACGCGAACAGCTCTACATGGAGTCCGGTCCCAAGCTACCACCCGGTCTTGAAGTGCCTGAAGTAGGCCACGCCGGTCCATCGGACTGGATCCATCGCGGCTGGGCTGAGCACTATCGTCGAGAAGCTGAAGTATCCAATCGAGCTTGTCACCCATTAGCTGCCGCACGCTTCCTACCCACCAAAGCCGAAGAATTTAAACGCTATTACATGCCTCAGTCAAAGCAAGAGCCATTTTACCCACAAGCTGGACCATCGGCCTCGCAAATGTATGCAGGGACCTACACCCGGGCTTGGGACTTTGCGTTCGACACCAAGGGCAAGCGTAGACAGGATACTTGTGTGACTACTGTCACGTTGGATGATTGTGATTTCGAGAAGGAGTAGACTCGGATTATAGATGAGGCGAAGATTTTGTAGCGCTTGATAGAATTTGAATAGTACAAGAGTAACATGAAATGGTAGCAGAATAAAGATACCTCTCCACTATCGAGTACAAGAAGCTACGACCTGCTAATTTGCACTACCAAGAGACGAAGATAGTATCAGAGTGTGTTGGTCACGAACGTGAGGATCTAGGGTATGTATATCTATCTATGGTGTTGAGACGGACAGAGAGGGGCGAGAACGGCAGCCAGCACGCAGGACACATAGCTAATCCAAGTTCAAGCCAACTTCTCAAGAGATATTGTGTCTCTAAATTCATCTCCCGAGTCGAATATTTTCCGCCGCTAAACCATCACCCTCCTCAATCCTCCCGTGCCACCTAATAACCTCCGTCCAGTAACCGCACATCTACCCCTCCCATCTTCCCATTTCCCCTGCCTGCTTCCTCCATTCTCCTCTACCCAACCCTCTTCCTCTCCTGCTGAAGGACTGCCCTCCATAAAAGCTACTTGGCGAGGGTGTTCGCCTTCCATCCAGCGGAAAATGCATGTGTAGCAGTAGACGTAACCTGTCTGTGCAGCCGTAGGCGTTTGAATTGCGCTCAAACATATTGGACATAGCGATGATGAGTCGGGCGGTGGAGGGGGGACGGTGAAAATGGGGAGGGAAGTTAGGGTCGAGATTGGAGGGTCTGGTTTATCCTTCTGTTGATTCTCCTTTTCGTCTTTGGTGTCTGGGTTTTCGGAAGAGGCGAAAGTGACGCCTGATTTTTCGGAAGCGACGGTGGTGGGTTTGGGTACACCTGTTATGGTTGGAGCGGGTAGTTCGAGGCCTTCTGCTGCTTTGCGGGAGAGTTGGCGTGCGAAGTCTGAGGCGTGCCACCATTCCAGGAACTTTAGGGCGAAGATGGATGTCGGTAGCAAGATCTTTAAACTTGAGAGGAGGCGAGGGTATATCGTATGTGTTAGTGTCCTGGGGCTGAGGAGGGATTGAGGTGCCGGAGGGGCACCAGGGCGAGGGGGAGCAGGAGCGGCTGCGGCAGCGATGACTTTGTGGTCTGCTGGGTTCATTCTGCGGATTCTTGTGCCGATGAGCCAGAAGAAGGGGTTGTGGTATTTTGAGGTGTCGAAGAGGTAGGCTAGATTGAAGGCGAGGAGGGCGAAATAGTATGCGGCATTCACACTGGGATAGACTTTCCGCAGGAACCACTTGTAGTAGTGGAAGATCTTCTGTCGGTATGTTGCATTATCCGGCAATGCATCTCCTCTGAAAGAAGGACCTAGGATATTTGCTGATGCAGCGTGGATGTCGTAATGTTCGTCTAGTTTCCTCTTTGTGTATGGCAAGGCGACCATGACAGCCAAGTTCTTCCAGATATCCGAGTTTCGTAGTTTCAATGTTTCGCGGACTTGGTCTGGTGCTCCCAATGCGGCTCTTGGGATCTCACCGCCCTTGATAAGTAACACGCGTTCGCGCTTGAGGCCGTAGAAGTTTTCGGTGAAGCCACCGCCATAGGTGCGGAGGTAATGTCGTTCGACGATGAGGGAGAGGAAGGCATAGAGTTCGTCAAACGAATTGAGGATACGGAGGAGGTAGCGAGGGTATCGGTGTGTGGCGACAGCAAGGAGGTAGCGTAGTGATGGCGGGATCAATGCGCCTAGTTGTTGCTCGGATAGCAGTTCTGTTCTGCTGTTAGTCATCACATGGCTGTTGTTGGTACAGTGGATGCGACAGCTGGCTATCAGTTGTTACCGAAGAGCGAGGGCTTCTGCTCGTCCAGCCCGCTTTGTAAATTCGTCATGAACTCCATGTTGGGCGTGATATCCTCCTCATCCTATTTCCATAGGCTCGTCTCTTGGAAGTGGCCTCGAGAGCCTTCTAATGTTGTGTGATTGTTCATGCTTCTTCACATGCTTGGTGACGCGGAGGTCGAATATCCGGGGTAAGAACAGGCCGAGGTCGCTCGGTCTTGGCATTGGCTCATGCCAGACCCATCACCCTGCCTGACATTCCTCACTCCTTCTCCACCATCACATTTCACTGACGTGGTGTGGGTAATCACCGCTCACTGCAAGAAACCTATAACACATCAAGTAGGTCAACAATGGGGTGTTTTTAGCTGTCGCGCTCTCATGTCCGAGTGGCATGCTCAAGCCATGTTGTTCCGACTCAAACTATCTCCTCTGCACCCCGACTCTAAAAGCTGTGACTCAATTCCTGTTGTCTGATACCACATTGCTGCAGATTGCTACCTGCTATCATACAACCTTGATCCTCAGTATTCGAGTCCTTCCCAACCCTCGAAGCACCCTATAACGCTACAAGACATCTCCATCATGTCTACATCAACAAGAAACCGAGCCTGCGGACCAAGCGTCGTCGTTGCCTGGGCAGACGACGAAGAGGCATCCGTTGCTCAAGACACAACCAGTCCTGTTTGGTCCAGGGAAACCAGAGGCATCAAGTTCCACACCCCAACAAACCCCCCCTACGAAGAAGCTGTGTTCGACAAGGCCCTCGGCAAACACTTTGATTCCTCCCTCCTCACGAAAGACCTCGATCCTCAAAAAGATGCCTTGATCGTGGCCAAGTTCAATCTCATCCGACTAAAGTTCAACATGGCCATCCGCGAAGTCGGCGTTGGTGGCATGAGTTTCCACGACAAATGCAACATGACAGATATACAGCGCATCTATTGTCACGGGAAACCCGACTCTCAGCCATACATTCGTGTGGTCCTTGGAAAAAGGAAAGACTGGATGAATGTAGCGGGAGTTCTCAATGGCCTGCGACTCCAACACCTGAAGGTGCCCATCCGATACCATTTGACGTTTGGAGCTCAACAACAACAAGAGAAACCAAAGGCAGTGTTTTCCTAGAGCTGTCTTGGTCAGGGACCATCGCAAATGTATTTCAGTCGAACACATCACAGATCACAGAGTAGAGGGTGGGCAAAAGTAAAGTAAGATGCAACAGTAGTGTTTTTGGCTTTTTCTATGAATACTCAGTAGCTGAGGAACCAAAAAACCGAGTGACCGGAGGCGTGACAAAAAGAGAGGACGACAGGTAGAAGCTACCAATGAGACAAAAAAAAAGTCCGCACTTGTCATAGTCTTCATTCGACCCAACCAACAAAACAAAAGTGAGAGAAAGCCATCAAGAAGTCCTGGCGATCTTTCCAGGTCTGAAGGTCAAAGCGCCGAAAGAACTTCCCTCTGTAGCCACCTTACCCTTCCAATCATGCTGCTCTTTCTGAGTGAAAACTCCTTCCTCGCAGGCTTTCTTGTACCAAGCATACGTGTCGAGGGTGTGAGCCTTGGGGCGTGGTGGATATGCCGCGAACTGTTCTTGGCGCACTGTTGACTTGCTCGGATAGCGTGACCTCACTTCGTCCGAAGGTCGGTATAGTTCCATCCTCATACCAAACCGTTTCCAGAGGTCGGCTTGCATAGGAGCAATGGGCAAGATAGTTACCTGTCTGAAGCCTTGAGTCCATTCCTTGCGTGCAGTGTACTCGAACGGAGTGCGAGGCGTGAGCGATGCAGTGGTTGGCACGTCTGGTGGAGTTGGTGCCCTCTTCCTGAGGGGAGACTTGGGACGCTTCTCAGGTGTGGCTATGGAGTCCTGTTCAACCGTGACGAAGTTCTTACCGCTGATAACGATGCCGACCATTTCGCCTTTGCCATTGACAACAGCAGCACCTGAATCACCCTCTTCAGAGAAAGAATTCTTGTCGATAGGAGTTACACTGACTTCGTAGTTATCTTCGTCGTGGTGATGACGCTTGGATCTTCTACGGTTTGGCTGGACCATTCCGTAGGTTGCACCTGTGGTCCTAGATGGAACCTTGAGCACGACATCGTAAGGGTTCACCGGGGCGAATCCTGTAACGGAGGGATGCGACGTGAAGCCGTCGAATGCAACTGGGTAACTGTCGACCGGGAAAGGATGAGATCTTGTTGATGCAGAACGGCCAAAACTCTTCAGAAACTTGCGCAAAGGCATAGTCCATGCTTATCATGTCAGTAACATTGCCGCTGAATTCGCTGCTGATCTGTAAAAGTCATCAGCGTCGGAACGAAAAAGCCCGAATTACTGAAACTTACCACGTCGTCATAGGCTGCTTGGCTTCGGCCGGAGCTACAGATTAGCCTGGCAAAAGGGCATTCGCGAGGAGATGAAGTGTTGAAGTCAGCCAGCATCTGCTTCAGCTGCAGGAGGCGATGGTGACCAATCCAGAGCTGGTCCAAGATGGTGTTCTTCGTGTCGGAGTCCAATCTTTGGGAAGCCCTGCTGGATGGGTTTACCAAGCGTTGTTCGATCAGCTCGTTCAGGTAGTCATACGTCTCTCGGATCAGGCCGAGATAGCTCCAAGTCGTGCCCTCACGATCGGTACGTGAAAGATGAGTCACGACCGAATCCTCTCGATCGAGGTGTCTGGCCTGGTCCAAGGTCAACATGGCATTGTCGTATGGTCTGAGGACATGGTGGTTGGTAAACATGGATACAACACGTTGGCCATTGTCATTGACGATCCATTGATCTGTGGCAGGGTCGGTGAGACAGACGAAGGCCGATAGGGTGCCTGCCACCTCCCCATTAGAAAGACTGATTGATGCGCCAAAAAGAGACTGGCCATCAGCATCCACGTCGAAGACGTTTCCCCTGAATTCCCGCATCGGCACTGATTTAGGAAGACCTCTGTGGCGAAGCGAACGTGGAGGTTTCACGTGTTCGGGCCTGTATCGTCTCTTCAAAGTCGCTGCAGTGTGGCCGATATCTACCGAATAGAGTTGAATAGGGGTCGTGGGGTTGTAGACCGGAGTAGTCGCTGAAGGAGTGTCTTCTCTGGCACATTGGGTGGCCGCAGGCGCAGGCGTAGCAGAGGACGATGCCGAAGCCTCACCGGCAGTGTTACTCTGTTTACCCTTCTTCTTTGATTTGGCGCCGAGATCCACCTCATCGTTGGTGTAGAATCGGATAGGAAGGAAGGTGTTGGGAAAAGTGACGTTCAGCTGGTAACGAAGTCGCATGTGAATCTATGGTCGTGAGGTCAGTCAGATGCCCATTAGGTAGCTGGGAGCCGCGGTGTAGGGAACAACGATAAGGGACATCGATGTAAAGATGAGAACCGGGTACGATGAACGTGCTCTCAAGACCACAAGACACCCTTGTAAATGCAGCTGGTGTCCACGGAGACGAGTAGACTCACGTCGCCTCTCTGGATGGCCTTGTGGACGCGAAAAACATCATGTCTTCTGACAGGCTGTGCGGGAATGGAGTAAGGGGTAAGGGGTAAGGGGATGGAATAAAGGAATGATGCATACATACCTTCTCAGCCTCGATGGCGTTGTCGATGGTTACTGCCACGAAAATACGCGGCTCTTCCTGCTCAACACCCATGACAAAGTCTACTTGGGTGTGGCATGTGGATAAAGTTATCCAGAAGTGCAAGTCTTCTTCAATTTGGCTCATGAACTCAGCACGCATAGCCTCGAAAGCCCGTACAAGGGAGCTTCTCTGATCACGGTGCTCAGTGATCAAGTTCTCGGTACTGAAGTGAAGCCCGATGGTGAGATCCAGCGGATTCTCGTCGTAGACGGGCGTGCCCGAGGTCGCAATGGGATGGCCATTGCCAATTATCTGAGGTAAACGATCAGCTTCTGAGAGGGGGGTCTGAAGGAGAAGGGAGATCTAAAAGAGAAGGGAGGCTCTGAAGGAGAAGGGGGGTCTAAAGGAGAAGCGGTCTTTGGGGGGAAGACAGTTTGAGAAGCGAAGAACATACCTGCACGTTTCTGTCAGGGCCTTGAGGAACTGCGACTTCAGATTCTTCGGTCTGCCTGGGTCCGGCCCTGACCGGGCTGAAAGGCATTCTGATCGGGCTTGAGGTCAGTCTGGTGGGGCTGGTAGCCGCCTTGGGGTTGCCAGGGGGCTTTGTGGGTGGGTCGTTCTCCTGGTCTGACATACTTCACGGTAGGAGAATCTGAGCAAGAAGCATACTGCGGGTGCGGAAAGGTTATGTAGGAAAGAGCATACCAAAAAAATTGCCACCGCCTGTTGGTCTCAGCCTGAATCAAAGCACGGTACTTCAAAGACAAAGTTGCTAGGACCAAGCTTTCAAGACCGATCTTGTGGGACGAAGGCTTGCTGTTTGTTGAACTCTTTGATAGCAGGGGATGGAGACCGATTTGGTGCAGTTCCTGCTTCTACAGGGATCTACGCATGTCCAGTGGACTATGACGAGGCTTGCAAACTGTTTGTTTCGACCCTTTGAACTTCATTCTTCTATGCAACCCTTGACGGTGCAGACGCGGAGACGTGCACGCTTGCCAAAGCTGGTAAAAGACTGTGTATCATTCCATTAAGTGCAGGGGACCTCTTTCCTTGAGATCTCATCACGATCCAAAGGCCACGTTTGACGTGTCAATACGAAATCGCCGTACTGAATTGGGCCTGTGGTGTGCTTCTTTGCGCTCGGCACGGTACATGTTGAAACATTGATTGCTCTGAGCCCTTCAGGAAACCATCTCGGGTCTCCAAAAAAGCCATACGAGCTGTTTGACTGCAAGAACCAGATCGGAACCTCATGTTCCTAGTCAAGAGTGATCGACCGTGGTTTAAGACAAACAGTGACACTTCGGTGGTATATTTCCGTGTGGTGCTCTGGTTTGGGCGCCAATAGGGTATCCAAGCGAGAAGGTGTGTCATTAGGGCGGCAATGAGCGTCTTATGACATACCTAATGGAAGGTTGCAGAGCGACACACAGGTGGTTGGTTGGGACAAAGCTCTCTGAGTCGTAGTAGAAAGAGTCGGATTATCACTCGACGATTGTCAATTCAGCCTTCTGGGAAGTGGCCATTTCGAGTGGAGCAATCAAAATGTGCGCTTGGAGTCATGAACGGGAAGCTGCCTTGAGTTACTTTAGTTCTCTAAAGGAATACTGCGGTCTCCCATACCGCCACGGAGGAACTGTTCTTCCGAACGCCGGCCGGCCCTCAGCATGTTCGACACTAAAGCAGATTCGCTATGGCACGCTGTGGCAGAGACGTCTGAACGTTTGGATATAGCATGACTAGATGTATTGAGATGCCTTGCCCAACCGCTACAGGGATATATTGAGGCTATTATCGAATTGGTAGCTATAGCGCGTGCCAATTACAATGTTGCACAAAGTGAACAGCGTAAAGGTGCATTGCCGCAATGACACCTGCACGTAGGCAGACGCCAACTTTCGTGCGATTGCGCAGGTGCTGCTGGGCATTGCCATGGGAAGTCACCGCCGATCTCCCTATCCAGGCATCGCGATCATCGCTCCATGGCCTTCTATCTACTTACAGAGGCATCCCCGTTGATCACTCGCAATTCAACTTGTGCGGCCATGGGAATATCTCGTTGTTGTTGCAGCAAATTGATGATACTGGTAATGTTACGGTCGTTGTTGACTGGCATGCTCTTACCCTTGAAAAAGCTCTGGCACTGGTGGTGGGTGTGCGACGTGTTCGAGATTGGGCAAATCTCCAGTGGGCGTGGATTCGGCGTCTCGTGAAAATCGTACTTCATGTCTGAGGTAACGGGGTCAACCACAAACTCACTTCTTCGCACCAGCATCTCTTCTTTTTGATGTGGTGACTGGATTGGAGAAAGTTTCTAGATGAGTCACCACCAGACAAACCTGCAAAAGTGCTGTCTACTACCACTCAAGATCTTCATTGCTTCAACGTTATCGTCCAGTTTCATACATCCGATAGATCTATTTGACCCACCGCAAAGTCCAATATGCGCACGCAGACTAGAAGCATTGCTCCGGGAGTCCACGTCATCGCCTGGGCAGACCATGAAGAAGAACACCTCGCCAGTTTGGCAGCGATGAAGACCACATCGGACTTGCAAGAGTCCTCTCACCCACCATACGAATCCCCTTTCAATCGCAGTTTCGGCTATCACTTCGAATCGGACCTACAGACAAGACTCGTCGTCCGACGCGGCAACTATCCAGAACAGCTCTTCGGAGATGTGCGAAAACATGTGCTCAGTAAGACACACGATGTGTCTTTGAGCAACATGTCCGACGACGAGAGACAGAACATGCTATCCCTCCAGCAAATCCTCCTGGAAACCGGCAAGTATTCACACGCATATATCAGAGTGACGTTGAAGAGGAAGAAAGACCGGAAAGAGTTACATGAGCTTCTGGTCAAGGCTGTTAAGCAGATCATGGGAAAGCATGCGGTGGCGATAAGATACCATACCACTTTTGGGAATGAGGGAAAGTGAAGATGGGTGGATGCAAGAGAAGGATACTCCGTATGTAGAGGACACATCATGATATTCGAAACCTGTCTCAAAACCAGTGATCACGCTTCTCAGTCACTTGAAATCATATTTCCAAATACCCCTTTCTGAACACAGCACGTAAATCAATCTTACTATCGTACAGTAAACCCCTTTCGCAATCCTACGTATTCTATCAGTGAATCTTTTCCACTCAACTACACCCAGATTGACCGCCTGACCACCACGACTCCAACGAAAGCTTTGATAGCAGTTATTGCTACTCCTCGACACACCGCCGAGACTAGACAGGAAAGCAATGGTCGAAATCCGGTCGGTGTCGACGATCTTCCCACCAGCTCTCTCGCCATCAGATCTTGACAAGAATTTTGGTGTCGTTGACAGCATACATGATGTTGACAGAATTCACAATGTTGACAGAATGCACAATGTTGACAGATTGCTACTCTACGAAAGGTGAAGATCGATGTTCTTTTGCCCAAGCAAACTTTAGTTCCTAGCAATGGAGCAAGGATATCAAAGGATATTTTAGCACTATGACCAAGAGACTCACACAAAACTCAGCACCCTCTCTTCTCTTGCCCATCTTGTCTGTGAAGTTCTCTCTCGTGCATCGATCCCGGGTCCATAGCCACCTTACCTCGAAAGCCGGATCGTATACCTTAGTCTTATAGTCATCTACCTTGCTCTCCTTCTCCTTTATCCTCTTCCTCTCCTCCCTCCCTGCCATCTCCAAAGTCCTCTCGTGCATCATTTCCGCATTCTCAGCCACCTCACCTCGAAATTCGGATCTCGCTGCCCAGGTCATGCGGTTGTCGACCCGATACTCGAAGATTAGTCGTGTACTGCAAAGTAGAGATCAGAAACCATCACAATCACAATGGTAATGCTCAGGTGCTTGATGCAATCTAGTTGTGCGCACGTCGGCGTCTGCTTGATATTCCTGGACGCTGGAAGTTGGAGGAAGAATACAAAGGACTGGGGGTGTTGATGGTTTGGGCTTTTTTTGATATAAAGTGAGGCAAGACTTCCCCTTGTTTGTGATCCATATGATACCCTGTAGATATAAGTTACGAAGCGAAAACATCATGACTGAATGGTAGAGCAAGAGAAGAGATGAGAACGAATGCATTCTTTACCCAGTAAACAAAAAAAAGGTAGGTATCTCGGTGATGAACGAAAGACACGGAAAAAAAAAAACGCGCTCTAAGAAAAAGTCAACAACATAACCGAGCCCCTCCCCTGTAATCACTCATCTAATCCTCATCAAAGATCTGGAACGTATTCGTCAAAATCGTATCCAACACTCTGGCCTGCAAACTCGCATCCGCGATCTGCGGTCCCGTATGACTTCCCATCAAACTGGGTGCAAAGCAAATAGCCAAATTGCTCGTGGACATTCTGTTCTTAGCATAATGCTCTTGAACGCGGTTGAGATGCAGCACTACAGCACGTAGAGTGGCGTAATTAGGGTCAGGCAATTCGTTGATAACGGAATGGACAGCATCGCGGCGGGAAGTGTCGTCGTCGATGCGGGCGGCGTTTATGAAGCCGTTGTAGGAGCGGCGGGTGAGCAGGGGGTCGGGAAGTTCGCGGAAGAATTGTTTGAGGAGGCCGGCTACGCTGTTTACGTCGTGGTAGAAGGCTGCAGGGTTGCGAAAGTCGACGAGGGAGGAATCTGCGAATTGTTAGAACGTGTATCGGAAGTGAAAGGATACGGGAGAACATACCGTGGTCGAAGAGAGCCTTGATCTGTTGGACGTGGCTGGCTGTTCCACTGAGTCGGTAGATACCCTCAACATCCAGGCCGAAGAGGTCAACGGCTTGCATGCATTGATAGACAATCATAGGAACGGCGGTTTGATCTCTTGCGTACAAGTCATCAAGGTTGACGCCAAAGACGGGCTTGAGTGGAGGAGGAAGAGCAGTGGCAGTGGGAGCAGGTGATATCGGGCGAGGCTGAGATGAGAAGCTTTGCTGGACTCCCATGGTAGCAGGTGTTGCAGGAGAGTATGGCGCACTGGTGCTCTGGGTGGAGGCGGAAAAGCCACGAGGAGCCCCTGAACTGGTTGGGTATGGTGCAGAGTTGTACTGTTGAGGAGGATCAGTAGGATAAGGAGGGTTTCCCGGGTTGCCATAGAATGGCTGTGTTGGAGATTGAGTGGCTGCTGGCGGAGGTGCTACGGTGGGATAGGTAGATTGTTGTGTTGAAACAGTTGATAGCGGTGTTTCAGGTAGCGCTGGACCGGAAACAGTCGTAGAAGGTTGTCGGCTGGCTGGAACGGGAGTCTGCTGTTTTGGTCTAAGAGTTGGGTGTTGCTCGTATTTGATGTCTGAGGTCCTGACAGGAATCTTGGAGACGTGACCGGTCACGTAGTTGTCAAAGTCGGTCTTGTTGTCGATGTCGAGAACAATGTCGCGCAGACTGTGTTGGACGGGAGCCGAAGGGTCTGAGGCAGGGAGTGGGCTGACAGCGATTCCATTGCCCAGGAGAAGCTTCTCGTTGAATGAGGCGAACTTTTGGAGTTGGAGAGCCAGACCAGAGTCGCACTCGTTGATCAATTCTTGCAGCGCCTTGACAGCCTGAGGGCGAGAAGCCCTGATGAGCTCCTCTCTTTGCGACTTTGCTGCCTGAACCTTTGCCTGGTAGTCCGAGTCTGCAACTTGCAGCTTGCGCAGGAGATCTTCCTCGTGCTGGGGAGCACTCTTCATACCCTTCAGACCAATTCTTCTTGAGCTCTTCGCATCACCAGTACGAGCGCGATCATAGTCTTCGGCCAGACCGTCGTATTTTGCCTTTGCCTTTTCCATGGCAGCCTCAGCATCTGTAGCACGCTTCTCAGCGTTCAAGCCTTCGTGTTTCCAGTGTTTTCTCCCCTTCTCCATGTTGAGGGAGAGTTCGTTCAGGTCCTCATGCATCTGGTGGAGAGCAAGCGAGAATTGCATGCCGTTGTCGGCGATTCGATCGTGGAGGCGCATAGCCTCATCAAGGCGGACGACATAGGAGCCTTGACGAGACTCCTTGGAGTGTATGTTGTCGCTTGTCTGCTTGACCAGTCGTCGGAGTCCTTTGGCATGATCTTCCTCTACCGCTCCTCTCTTCTTCAGGAAGTCGGAGAAGTCCTAAGGCTGATGTTCAGTAAGGCGCTTATCGTGAATATGGGTCGGGCTGGGCATACACGAGAAGATGCAATGCTCTGCTTGAGGCGGTTCAACAGGGTGTTTATTCCAATCTACATAAGTCAGTCCCTGGAAGAATAGTTTCACATTGCGACAAACGGACGTCCGAGTACATGACAGTCTCCACATCCTTGGACACGGGCACCGCCGTCGAGGCTGGCTCTGTCGCGGTCGCGATGGTCGGAGTATCATGCAAGGTACCATTTGCGTCGCCGTTGGTAGCGAGGTCGCTATCTCGCGGGAGGTCAGAAGACATGGTGAGAGTCTGTATGCACAAGTGACGGGGATTGTGAGACAGTGGGAAACGATGAATGGTATTGTTATAGACGCTGGAGTGGACAACTTGGCACACGCGTCTCGATTCAAGATTCCGGGGCTTGGACCGCGCGCTACAGCTCGGCATCGTCATGCCGACCTGTTCGATCCGATCTTCAATGCTTCCATAACAATCGCACCTTGTTTCTTCTGTACCACAGACACATCCTTCCACAAATCATGTCGGACGCGCACGCCCCCTTGACTTGGGAAACGTCAACCCATACTCAGCCTCAGCTGGCCACGTCTTTGCCATCAGAAGTCGTCAACTGTCTTGAGAATGCTCGCTATGTCCGTTCACCCCACCTTGATCGTTGGCTTCAGGGCATGAGCTGACCATACCACAGCTTCATCTGGCCACCTGCACAGAGTTGCAACCCCACGTCGCACTCATGAACTACACCTACCTACCATCACATCCCTTCGCAGACTCTTCGTCGCAAATGCCTTCCGGTCCCGTAATCATCATGACTTCGAATCCCGCCTCGCGCAAGACTGTCAACCTTACCGCCAATCCCAATGTATCACTGCTCGTTCACGACTGGGTGTCGCATAGACCTGCAACCAACCACAGAAACTCGTCGCCCGAAGGTCGCAGAGCTCCTGGACGTAGTTCGCTGGCTTCATTGCTAATGGGCATGAACACAACCCAAATGGGCTCAATCAGTGCTACCATCAACGGTAACGCCATTGTCTTGCCAGTGGGATCAGAGGAAGAGAAATGGTGCAAGCTTCAGCATTTGGAAAACAACACTTTCGAGAGGGAGGAGACATCACAAAATGTCTTGAGCGCTACACCGAGCAACGCAGAGGATGAAGAGGCTAGCAGACAATCGTTCCTCAAGGACGAAGACATAAGAGTTGTGGTTGTGAGGATAAGAGAGGGCAGAATCGCTGATTGGAAGGGAGGTGTCAAGGATTGGATTCTTGCTCCTGCTGAGGGAGCAGGTAACCTTGTCAATGGTCTATGAGTAGATCAACTCGAAAGCAGGTATAATGAATAAATGCTTATCACTCATGCATGCTTGCGCCAGTACAAATTTCGTGATGATGTCCTCGTGATGTGATGTTGCAAGCAAACATAGATGAAGACTTCCTTTTCTTGACTGCCAGAGTAACAACCAATCATATGGCCTGAAAGAAGAAGTTGCTATCTTTTGTGCAACCTCGACGGCAGACAAAGATGTCGAATCAGCAAAAGCGAAGGGCCTCGAATTGGTCACGTGTTAGCGGCTTGGCATTGACCCCTCCAGCCTCAACCCTCTTTCCATTCACAACATCGCAACTTCTCAAGCAACACTCTCCACTCAAACAACACAGTCACCGCTACAGACCCACCGACCAAACACCACCTTACACACCCTTTTACTTCAACCCTTCCCCGGAAAAGAGAACAGCAACTGCGTTTTATGTCCGCCTCGATCGAAAACCTCAAGTCCTTCGGTATGTTTGCGCTCTCTTTCCCCCACTACGTCAGGCCCAGACCGACTCCCCGCCTTGACTCGGTCGCTTGGACATCCATCGCTCTCACTCGAGGCACATACGATGCCTGTTCATCGGGACTTGCATCGTCCCTGTCGCCCGTGAGAGCGTGTGTTGCAAGCGCCGCTCAACGCCGCCACACCTTGGGCATCACCCGCTGACTCGTGTGACTCGAACAGACCCCTTCGCCGAAGCCGATGAAGACACCGGAGAGATAAAGCAGTCGAACCAGAGCAGCTACATCCACATCCGTATCCAGCGTACGTTATGACTCTTCCACCACCATCATCTCACCGCCTTGGCGTTATGCGCTGGCTGGTCTCACAAGAAAAAGGCGGGGTATGCTGACAACTTTTTTCTTCTACAGAGCGCAATGGACGCAAGACCTTGACCACAGTTCAAGGACTCCCCAAGAAGTTCGATCAGAAGAAGATTCTCAAGGTCATCAAGAAGGCCTTTGCTTGCAATGGCACAATCGTGAGCGACACCGAGATGGGTGAAGTCATCCAACTCCAGGGTGATCAGAGAAAGGATGTCCAGGAATTCTTGTGTGACAAGAAGGAGGGCCTCGGTCTTGATGCCAAGACCATCAAGGTTCGTTTTGTCCATCTTCTCGACCTCCTCGACCTCACCAAGCTGACTTTATCAACCAGGTCCACGGTTTCTAAACGTCCAACAACCGCGCCATGCACCCTCGTCGGGTACGAGAGACCAGCTGGTGGATTATCACGACATTTGTTACTCTTCGAATCGTCTACAAGGCGCCCATTGCCACGATCCACACGGCTTTTCCTTTCACTCTACGACCCTTACGAATCCTTTTCTAGACAACATGATTTTGCTACCTGCCAAACATCATAACCTTCTGAAAACATGGCCGCGGATTACTCTGGCGTTTGTTCAAGATACCCAATGCTGTCTCTACTGACTGCAGCAACATGTCTTATTGGGCTTTTGTTGCTTTTTCCTATCACCTTTCCGATCAAGTATTTCCTTCTATGCCCTTGCTATTCTCGCCAGGCGAGAGGATGTCGCTTAACGAAATATGGAAATGCTCAGTATTGCTTTTACAGATGTTGTGTCCCTCTTTCCTGTGAATGCTGTCTTTCTTGCTGTGATACTGCCGGAATTATCCTGGACTCCTTGAATGCTTTGCTTCCTTGAAGTGTGTCGTCTTCCTAGGATGTATGTCATCATGAGGATGCTTTTTGTCTTCGCTGTCTTTCGATATGACGTCTGCAAGTAAAGATGAACGAACCCAGCTTTTGTTATGTTTACAATATGCTACAAGCTTTTTCAAACTATCGTACAAGAACCGATCCCCGTATATACCACTCTAAGACTCCAAAGCCTCCTCGACACTGGACTCCCTAGTAGTACCCCAAACCATCCACTCACCCATCTTACCTCTCTTACACAACCTCTGCACGACCAAATACTCAGTAACAGCCTTGGCGACCTGCGAACTCCCCTCCTCCAACATCTCGACAACCTTTCCTCCCTGCCTAACCTTCTTGATCTTTTTCAAACTCTGCAAACTCTGCATCCTCACCACCACCTGTTGAATAGTAGTCTGTTTGGTTTTATCCTTGTTATCTTCCAAACTCATCGGCATATATTTATGGCTGACAATTTTCGGTTCGTTCAACCAACGGTGCAACTGCCATTGCATTCCCGTGTTTGGACCACGGGCGATGATGCGTTGATCCAAAGAAGAGTAGATGTTCTCGCAGAGTTGAGAGGAAATTGGCGAGAGGTTTCCTTGGGCGAAGTGGGTGTACATGTCTGTGTAGAGGGATTTTGAAATGGAGGGGATTTTTGAGGTTTGGAAGTCTGCGCGGGGTTTTACGTGGAAGTAGCCCATGTAGTGGCGACTGGATGTTGAGATGAGTAAGGGTTACAAGGTACAGAGAAGGGGGGGGAGGGAATTGCATACCCAAAGACTTCCTTTATGCGGAGCCAGATGCGGTATTTTTCGAGTTTGAAGCGGAGACCGGGTTCTTGGAAGAGACTGGGTAGTTTGTCTCCTGAAGGCATGATGAATGTTCCTATGACCCTCCTCTCAGCATTCAATCCTTCTCAAAGTATATTCCTTCCAAGGTGTTTTACGGTTGCGACTAACCAGGAATCAAACCGACATCATTCGGCATCTGCTCAATATTTTTCATCTGCTCTTTCTTCATGACCTCAAAGGACTTTTGCGCCGGTTGCTTAATATTCGGCTGTTGCGGAGCATATGACTTGTTGTTGCGCACACCCGCTGCATTGTACGAAGTGTTGCTGAAGAGGCGTGTGCTTTGTCGCAAGCATGGTTGTTGTTGAGAGAAAGATTGGACGAGTAGTGGTGTGTAGCCATTGTGTTGCTGCAGCAAGCGCTGCATCGGCGTGCGTGTCGACATTGTCGTCTTGTGTTTGTGTGTGGCGTGTGGAAACGGTATAGAGGTCTTTTGGTGGAGTGGATGGGAAATGTTTGGAGGAGCGGAGGGCACGGGCCTTTGCCGGGCTCCGGGAACCTTCGGCGTTCGGGGGTGTCCAGCGGCGCTGCGGCGGCGACTGCTTGGTCAGTCTGACTTGCTATCCTATCTTTCGATCGATTGAGTAGGCTCGCGGATAGCAGCTTCTCTATAGCATTCAATCTGGTAGGTTCTTGGAAGTTGTTCGACAAGTAACGTTGAGATGCATAGTTATGTTCATGCTCCATATTCGGCTCGTCCTACTCTTCCTCGTTCATATGATCTGCATTAGCGCCAATGAGGATTGGTTGAGATGTATAGACAAGATGGACACCTTGACACCTTGACATCTTGACATTGCGTCGTCTCCAGGTTCCGGTACTCGATAGAATTTGCCCATTGACTCGGCCATGGATCTTGGTACTGCTGTCGGGGTCATCTCTCTCGGTATACAAGTACTGGAAGGCATTGTCGATTACTATGGCGCTTACAAGGACTATGGCGATGATATAGCAAGTCTTTGTACTTCCTCCGTCGCTCTGCTCCAGACTCTCCAGTACTTGCAGGTCCAACTGGACCGTAAAGGATCGACCCCAGACGACTTCCGAGCACATATCCTAGCATCCGTTTACCAGTGCAATGATGGCTTGCAAAGACTGCGAAAGAAATTGAACAAGATTAAGGCTGAGCCAATGCCTGCTGATGGAAATCTATTGAGGAACATACAACGTCAGGCTACCAATCAGCTACGTAAAGCTACTTACCCTTTCAAATGCAGCACTCTGGCCAAATTGAGAGAGACTGTGCAGGATCTCAGAGACAATCTATCTCTTGCCTTGCAAGCACTGGACTTGTGAGTCGGATGATGACGCGAGCTTCTTAATGTGCTCGGATGTTGACGACCGGCAGAAATGTGGCTGGACAGACTGCAAGGACATTGGCCAAGATCGATTTGCGAGTTGACGAAGTGATTGACAGGCTGGATGCTTTAAACAGTTGTCAGAACTTCATGCATACCTTCGAATCGTCGAAGCTGATAGAACTGATCAGGTATACTCGACGACGCCCTCAAGAGATGGCTCTCACCAACAAACCCAGAAACTTATCTGCAAGCAAACCTCAAGCAATGGTCATCGCAAAGTGGCAACTGGCTACTACAAGGGAAGGCGTTTGAGGACTGGATTCAAACACCCGGCTCGATATGGCTTACTGGACTACGTGAGTGTCTTTGTCCCAGACTCGACCAGCAGTTTTGATACTGATTGTCAACAGCTGGTTGTGGCAAATCTGTCATGTGGTGAGCAAGGAAAAATTCCACCCTCTTTCGAATACTGATCCTCACAGTGCTGCTGCTATTGCTCTCACCCAACAACTTCGTATGGCTTCTAGAAACAATCTTCTCGCTTATCACTTCCACTCATTCTCCGATGCCGAAACGTGGACGTTGGGTGCAGTGCTCAGAAACGTCCTCCACCAACTTGCTAGTCAGTCGGACAGTGTGTGCAATGACCTGACCACCCTGTTCAAGACGTGTGGTAGCGGGAGTAGACGCCCGACTGATGGCGAGCTCGCTGGGCTACTCAAAGCGACCTTATCGTACGGCGCAGAAACGTACATCTTCTTAGATGCTCTGGATGAGAGTGATGAAAAATTTGAGCTTGTCGAGCTTGTCGAAACTTTCCAAAGTCAGTCTCGGAACCTTCATCTGTTTCTGACAAGCCGACGACATGTCGCTTCGATTGATGCAATTGAGTCTGGCAAGTATTACGAGATCAGCATGGAGCGCGGTGCCGTCAATCAAGACATTGAGCGTTATGTCCAGCATCAACTTTTGTCTAATTCCACCTTGAGAAAGTTCTCGTCTGCATTACAGGTCAAAATCCAAGCCAGATTATCAAGTGCGAACGGCATGTAAGTCCAGATTCATCCGCATAGAGGCCTGGTCAGAGGGCCTGCCCTTAAACTTACTTCTGATGGTTCTCTAATCGACGATATTCAGGTTCCGCTGGGCTGCTCTACAGTTACAGGGACTAAAGAACCCACGCTTAACCAAGATGGGTGATCACATCATAGAACGCCAACTAGACAACCTCCCTAAGACTCTGGAAGGAACCTACGACCGTATTCTCAATGAGCTCGATGACTTCGAGCGTCGAGAGGCACAGAGATTGTTGGCCCTCATCTGCTTCTCTAGACGACCTTTGACGCTTCCCGAAGTCGTCGACGCTCTTGCCATCGGTCTTGAAGACCCTGATCAAGGTCCCTTCGACCCGAGCTACCGCGTCAAAGACCCTATGGCAGTCTTGGATTATTGTCCCGGCCTTATCACACTGATGCAAAAACGACGCGTCAATGCCCCACGCTGGAGAGACAATCCAGTAATAGCACTGGCGCACTTCTCCGTTGACCAGTATCTACGCCCCAAACCCAACGAATGGCGATTTGGAGGACTCACAGCCGCACATGCACTTATCGCTTGCACCTGCCTCAGATATCTTCTCTACTTCGACAGTCTAGACAACTACAGCAAGACCATCATGCGTGAATTTTCCTTCCTCTATTTTGCAGCCAGGAATTTCCCCTACCATCTCAAACTATCTGGTTATGATGAAAAAGCAATGGACTTGGCTTGGAGACTCGTCAACACGGAAAAAGCACTCAGGATATGCTATCAAGTATGTCGACCTCTGGCAAGAGGACCAGGTCTCATCCACACCAGCGATTTCGTGAAGAGAAGAAAACGCAAACAAGGATTTACTTTCAGCTCAAATACACCAGGTGGTCTTTTCTGTGCTGTGATCTGGGAATTACAACCACTAGTTAAAAAGTTCATTGAGGCTAGGGATACTTTATTGGATGAAATTTTCGACTTCGGAACTGGTCAAGATGCATCTATGCCTAGGACTGCCATCGAAGCTGCTGCGTATATTGAAAACTTCGATATCTTTGTCCTGTTGCATGAAGCCGGTGCACAGATTGGCAATTCGATGCTCTGCGTTTTGAATGCTCATGAGCAAGATCATCAATTCGCAACCACATCAACCTCATTTTCATCGCCCGCCGAAGACCAAGAGAAGAGAACAAGGAATTTATTCCTCGACTACATCATCGCAAACAGCAAAGTCGACTGGACATCTTCTAATTTACTGTTCAGTGCGGTCATCCATGGCGAAATTGACATTATCAAGCAATGTCTGGAGAACGGCGCAGATCCGAAGCTGACACGAAAAGCTACATCATTGTCTTGGATATCGCTAGTTGAGAAAGGAGAAGACGAAACAGCAAGGGATGAGATAAGCTTACTCGACATAGCTAGGAGGAATAATTGCAGCGTGATTGAAAAGTTGTTGATGGAGCATGGAGCACAGTAGTCTCCATATCAAACCTGAGTTCTCATCCTCACGTATCTCTTTGAGCGCATTACCAAGGTCTGATTATCATTGGAATTGCAAGGAACCATTGTTCAGATATGTGAACGTCTTCTAGCCCCAGAGACATTGTCATTCTGTATGTGGAAACTTTGACGTTCGAAAGAACCCCTGTGGACTTTGCAAGACCCGCTGACATCCATACAATCTGACTGTATCGCACACAGTTCCTGACAAGGCTTGTACACACGAACCGTAGGGCAAGACTGGGAAAGGCACAATTACATGCTCAAATTCTTCACTAAGAGTAAGATTGGCACTCGAGCCCGTCTGATGGAAATAATTGTTTGATTCGAACTACTCTGCATAGGGAGAAAGGAGCGTCATAAAAGGAATCAGTAGAAGAAACCTGAAGAAAAAGACAAAAGAAAAAAGAAAAGGGAAGCAAAGTGTACTCTTTTTCTTCGGCGATTTTGGAAAGTGAGAAAGAACACAAATCATCATAAAAACATTATCATATCAGCATTGCTGAATTCGCCTGGCATTCCGATCTCTGCTGGATCGGACATGAGGGAGAAGAGGCATAATTCTTTTACCAGCCCCAAGTGCTCCATGAAGTAGTCTGCTTGCAGGTGTTCTTGGTGCTGTAGCCGACAGTCGTGTAGGGCTTCTGGGTGGTAAGGGTCTTGTACTCCGTAGTAGGGACATAGGTAGTAACAGTCTTGGGGACATTGACAGTCTTGGTCTCAGTGATGTACTTGGTGGTGGTGTATGGAACCTCTGTGACGACTGCGCTGGTGACGGTGGTGTACCTGGTTTTAACAACTTGCACGTTGGAGCAGACCTGAATGACATGTGAGTGGTAATTCCAAGCTATTGACCGAATGGTGACGGAAGAAAACTTCCGCAGTTGAAGAAACTTACCTGTGTCGAAGTGGTGTAGAGGCTGGATCCGACAGAAGTCTTATAGGACGTGGCAGTGGATTTTCCTACATAAGGCGTGGCCTCGGTAGTGGTATAGGTGCTTGGAGAAGATCCAGTGCTGGTGGAAGGGTAGCTGGTCACGCAAGTCGAGATGTACGTCTCAGGCTTGGTGTAGACGGATGTCCATGGGTAGGTAGTTGCTGAACAGGTAGATTTCGTGATGCAAGAAGAGGTAGTGTGGCCCCAGCCTCCACCACCGGGCATGGCATTGACAGCAACGCTGGGATATTGTCAGTAGAGATCACAGAGCATGTTTCGGTCATCGACGCACCTGGAAGCGAGAAGAGTGATGAGAGTAGTGAACTGCATTGTGAGGCGAGTATATGCTTTTTGCGAACGAGAGTAGAATGTAGAGTGATTGGAGGCAGTAGGAAGAAGTCTTGATGTAGAATCGGGTTGTTATTGTTGCTTGTCCTTTGATATTCTGAATATGAGAGGAATCCAAGAGTCTTTTATACCTTCAAGGCCCGGCAAAATCATAGACATCTCTCCACCCAATGTCACATCGATGGGTGACGATGAAGGCCGATCCTTGATTTGAAGACAACATGGAGCTGACTGGATGCATCCATGCGAGCTGCACGCCGTGAGCTGTATGAACGAAGCCGGAGTGGTGGTAGGCCGATCCGATAGACTCTGAAGTGCCTGGAACACCTCATCAGACGCCCTCCTTCGAGCTGAGGTATCCGGGACAGAGGATGCGCTATCAAGCTGACTGACCCAGCTGCAGGAGGGAAAGATGATGCAGAAGAAGGCCACATGAGCATGGTATAGCGTCCATTGGTTCACGCTGCAGTGTACCAGGACGAAATTAGAAAGTGGTCTGGTGGAGAAAGATTAGCTTTTTGCTCGGGCTCCAGATTTACTGTACAGTACCACTGCGATCCACAACTCATGACCACTCAAATATGTATAAAGGCGGCAAATATTCTGGAGCATGTACTGTACAGGCACATCCCGAAATAACCTTGTCTCGAAGTACAATAATTGGGGAAGAGCTTAATGGAAAAGCTTCGATGGTAAGGACGGCTGAGGCATGTGTTCCTGCAACTCATGCCGTGCTCTTTCGTCAACAGCATCGGCGCGGTATATCAAGATGCAAGTCGAATATGTACCAATCATCTGGACTGTGTGATACTCGGAGAATTATCATATGCATAGCTTCCTGGCAAGCAAGCAAGCCAGAAGATACACCAAGGCGTGAGAGCAAGGCTGGTGCTGACACGAGTGATCAGAGTGGGAGATGAGGTTGTAGGAAAAGCGGAGGTGCCTGAGATGAGCTTGGATGCGCGATGTGGGGTGCATGTCAGGTAAGACCTAGCAAGGATGTGATGCTTTTCTCCAGACACGGGAGAATTGTCATGTACAGTACTTCGGTCACGCCTTCCGAGGGCATTCAGAATTGGTCGAGACAGGTGCCATAGGCGTCATGTTTTGTAGACTATCGAAATCTTGCTTGAACTTGGTCCGCGGTAGACAAAGGTCAAGCAAAAGCAGAGAAGAGAGTGACAAAGCTGTGTACCACTTGATGGCTTGACATCGGTTGCACGTCCAAAGGCTAAAAACAGATGTGAAGACATGTATGGGTTGTGGCATACATATATTCGGTATGCATAGAGCGAGGCAGCGAGATTGAATTGGAGAATGTTCCGGGCTGTGTTACAGCGGCAAGCAATTGATAGGGCGTACGTGTCTTCATATCATGATGAGGCAGTCAGACTGCAGGTGGAAGTTGGGCGGAACAGGATGGAAAGAAGTGGTCGGAGGCTCGGACGGAAGTGCACAGGCCCTCGCGACAAGCTCTGCGGAGAGGCAGCAGCGATCAAGGTGCTTTCCTCTTTCTTTTGTCGATCAACAAAACACAAAATGGGCATCCTCTCAAATCTTCTCACTCAGAACTCAGGTGGAGACGACAAGGCTAAGGCAGACCAGACCGTCTCGCCGGCGCCGCAAGCACAACAAGCTCTTTCACAAGCCATCGGCCAAAGTCCGAGCCAAAGTCCGAAACAGAACAGCCTCCTATCCGTCGACGATGAACTCCGAGAAAAGATGCGCACCAACCCGCGAGCGCGCGCCGTCAGACAGTTATCGCTGTTCTTCGCTGGTGCCACATTCTTCGGGCTGAGTCTTGTCGTGACGCGTAGAGCCGTGGCCCGGAAACTGCTTGCCTCCGCACCGAAGCAGTTCACGCCTTCCAACTTTCAGCCCAAGGATGTCAATGGTGGCGTCGAAGCTGCCCAAGCTTTCGCCCTTGCTACTCTCAATGTCACCAGTGCAGCCATGATGGCCACTGGTGGTATGATGTACGCCTTGGACGTGACCGACACTGAGGACATGCGCTCCAAATTCAGAAAGGCCTGGGGCTTTGAGCGCACTCCCGAAGAAGAAGCCGAACAAGATGAGGAGATGGAAGCCATGGTCAGAGAGTTCATGGATAAGAAGGAGGGTGGTGACAACAAGGGCATGGCTGAAGGTCTTGCTGGTCTCGTTGCCGCAATGGCCGCCAGGGAGGAAGAGAGGCTTGCCAAACTTGAACAAGCAAAATCTGGTCTGGAGCCTGCTACCAAGGACAACTGACCCGCCAAACCTCCTCGCCAGCTAGAAACGTGCCATCCGCACGGTGTCTAGGCTTCTGTTCGATCTTGTCCCTCGGCTTGTAGCCTTTCCTCGACCACTTGCATCGCTGCCATTCTTGCATCAGCCCTTGTCACCTCATGCATCACGACCTGTATTATATTATGTATATTAGAACTTCCCTCGCCCCATATTCAAGCTTGCAGCTCAATTGCTGATCTTCACACCTGCCTGCCCATCTCTGTTCGCTCTCCACACACCGCCTTCCTCGCCGCCAAACTCTTCCAACTTCCATACTTCAACCTTCTCCTTGGTCAGCTCGAGCGCTTCCTCCCCTGCTCTCCATGCTGCTTGTCTGTGTGGCGATGAAACGGCGATCAATATGCTTTCCTCCGCAATGGGCACAACACCCAGACGATGGATCATTGCCACGCCATTCAGGCCATGCTTGTCTTTGATTTGACGTGCAATCTTTGCCATGGTCTTGATAGCGAGAGGAGCATATGCTTCGTAAGCCAGATGAACTACGGGCTTGTCACCAAAGTTGTCGCGAGTGGTTCCTCGGAGGGTGTTAGGTTTTATCGTGAGTTGTTGGAACATTGCAATGGCGTACCAGCGAACAGCACGATTGCACCAGCTTTTGGACTCCGTACTTTGTTCATGATAGAAGCGGCATCCAATGTATCGTGAGTGAGAGCCACGAATACTCCGTCCTCCTCGAATTCGGTTGGGGTATTGCTTGATTGCGTCGACTTTGGACTTGAGTCGGACATGGTTGAGTTCAAGTAGCGATGTAATCTCAAATGTCAAAGTTCGGAGTCAAGTACAGTAACCACTTGCAGTTGCTGAATAAGAATTGACAGAGCGAAGGTTGATACTCGAGCAAGAGCCGAGGCTTCGTCACATGGGAAAGGGTCCGTGCAAACAGAGCAAACAATCGCAGGCACGACGAGGCTGAGATGGCGGCTTTCCACTGTCCTGCTTCCAACCACACTCTGCAACTGCCTCGAGTCTCTCATTCGATCGCAAGTCTTGATACAGGCCACTCGCTTCATATCGCTATCACCATCATACGCTGTCGCATCTTCGCCATCATCACCGATCTGACCTCGACCTCCACTAAAGCCTCGTGGTCAAGGCCCGAGTCTGAGCTAACAGGCGTCCAGACATCGCATCGCTGTCGCTTAACAAGAGTGAGGAGGATACTGGAATTTGCGGAAAGAGAAAAGGAACATTGATTGCTTTGAAAAGCATCTTGTGATCGCGGACAAGGCCTTGCCAGTGTGCATACTCTTCTTCATCGGACTTCCTGTACCACTCTACCGACCATCGGAGGGTGCAACATATCGTTTTGACGCTTCTTCTTATTTTCTATTCCTGTACCCTTGCAACGGGGAAAGAGAGATTCATCTCACATACATCCTGTCAAGCTGTTGCTAAAGCCTGTTAACATGTACGTATCAATGCGTAGCAGTCTTCGCCAGTACATGGTCATCAACGTTTACCAATCTTCACTTGCATGGCTTCTCGACGATCGGTCACCTGGTCACTCTTTCGTTCGTTAGGGAGTCACGGCGTCGAAAGACGAGAGACTGAGGTGACTGGACTCCATCATGTTGGACGACGTGACTGGTCGTTGGGGAGTCTGTAGTTGCAACTGACGCGCAAACACCTGTCTCCGCCTTCACCATATCTTCTTTTACTGATTGATTGTCTCCAGACCAAGGCAGCAAACCAGTGAGTCTGCCTGAACGGAAGCACAGCACAAAGATCTCGCGTCAAATACCGGGCTTTACCACGAACACCGGGCCCTCTAACAAACACCGGGTACCCGATCAATACCTCCTTCACTATGGCAGACGACGACAACTTCGATATCGACATCTACGGTGATGAGGATCAGGATCTCAAGCCCGAGCCTCAGCCCGAGGAAGAGCAGAAGGAACAAGACACGGACTTCGGCCCGGGTCTTGACGGAACCGGCTACGGCCAGCAAGCCAATGAGCCCGAGACGGAGCCTCCAATAGACAACAACGTCAAGCTGGAAGGTGATCCCGACGAAATGAAAGTTCAATACGAAAAGAGCCATGGTGGTGCCGAAGCAAATGGCCTACAAGAGCAGCAACAAATTCACAGCACTACTGGCTCATCAGCCGACCAGTACAATGTCCCCAAGCAGGCACCAACTGAACAGGGTACCAAACGTAAAGAAGGAGAAGATACCCGTGAGGTTGATCCCGGTGCCACGTCAGCTTTGAGACTTGGAGAACTCCAGTGGTGGATTAGCGAAGACGACATCAGAGGCTGGACCAACCAATGTGGCTGTGAAGATGAGCTCAAGGAAGTCACATTCAACGAGCATAAGGTGAACGGCAAAAGTAAAGGGTGAGTCTGCTCTTTCTGCCACAAGTATAGTTCATAGTTGACCCCTTCGATTAGTGAAGCGTTCGTCGAGCTCGCTTCACCGCAGGCTGCAACAGCTCTCAAACATCGTGTCGACTCTTTTGGTGCGGACCAACAGTATGTCAAGAAGCATACCTGCATCTACGTCCGTCCAGATTACAACCCATTCAAAACATCACCCAAAGATGCACCTCAGCGCAATAAGGTAGCCGCTCCCGGCGCATACAACAACGGTCCTGCGTTCCAGCAAACCGGTGGCTTCCGTGGTGGTCGTGGTGGCTACAACCGCGGTGGCATGAACAACATGAACACTGGTATGGGTATGGGCAACATGCGTGGTGGTTACAACAACCCGCAGATGAACATGATGGCTGCCGGCTTCAACGGAGGAGCAATGGGAGGCAACTTCAACAACAACATGATGGGCGGCTTCAACAATGCCATGGGAGGTTTCAACAACCGTGGTGGCATGATGGGCGGCAATATGCGTGGAGGTTTCCAGAACAACCGTGGCAGAGGCGGTATGGGAATGCCCAACATGGCAATGGGCATGGGAAACATGGGCATGAACAATATGACTAACATGGGCGGCATGGGAGGTATGGGTGCCATGAACATGGGTAACATGAACATGGGTAAGTCTTCCCAACAGCTCAGTCAGTCGATAAACACATACTCACATACATTAGGTGGCTTTGGCAACAACACGCAAGGAGGCCACTTCAACCCAGGCTTCTTTAATGCCGGAGCCGCAGCAAATGGTAACACATCGGGTGGCGGCATGTCGCCCAGTGGAAACCCTCATGGTGCCAAGAGACCTCGACCGGAGTAGGATGCTGGACGTCCGAGGAGATTTGGCGACCGTCGATGGATGTCGCCGAATTAGTATGGCGAGGCATCAAGAAGGAAGCGTACGAATACTTTTTCTTTCTGGACCTTTGACACGTACAAGTCGTTTCTAGTCGGACGAGACGAGTCACACGTTTCATTATTGCATGTATGGTGTTATTCTCAGCTTTCAATTAGCGAAATCAATTCTCCTACTCATTTGTTCTGGCTTGGAGACGAGAGCGGGGCAAAACAAGGTGTGGCACATCCCTTCCCAAAGATGAGAGCCTCAAACAATAAAGCTTCTTGCAGACTCTCGGAAAATTGGCTCTTGTTTCCGTCATTGATTGTATGTAGATCCAGTGTCGGTGCGGACAGAGAGCATCTGTTGCGATAGTGATGAAGGCAAGGGGATTCTGTCGTGGCCAGCAAGGACTATTTATCGTGCGTGGACTGCAGGAAGGCAGCTGGAACACCCAAGGAAATTGAAGTGGTGAGCTCCGAGGTGCAGACAGCCGCCAGGGTCCCTTGATCTTGGGTGAGCTTCAGCCAACGGAACGGAACGGTTTCACCAGCCCTCCCGCCTCAGCCCTATACCAGGAATAAATTGAGTGAAGGATGCTACATCCTTGTTGTTGTGTTTGATGCGCATGTTTGGGGAGTATCACACAGGTTGCGATAGTGATAAAGTGAAAGAGGCGCACACTGAGATGGTCGCCAAATCGACCTTGTCTGCACCACTCAGGAGGTTTGCAGCTGCACAAAACCTGAAATACTCCCCACTTCCGTACCGGTTCAGCCTCGACCCTGCATCTCAGCGAGTCTCTTCTTAAGATCTCCCAGTGTTTTATCGCAACAGTTAGCGTCTTGTACGTCAGATTGCGCCGGTCTTCCCCACCTGATTGCCCATCAATTTGAAGAGTGGTCGAGTATAGAAAGAGCCGGAACTCGGCCTGTTGCGCGACTGTAAGTCTGACCTTTTTTGCTCGCATCCTACATCCAAATCATGTCGGTTGGCTCTATGTCCTCAATGTCTTTGGACGAATTGAATTTCGTACCATCGAGACCGGTGCCACAGAAGCCGCCCAAGCGGATGTCCACGACTACGCAAATCGCAGTCAGCATGGCGGTCTCTCCAATTGACACAGTGCAGGAAGCGACTTCCATGAGCAGCTCAGAAAGTGAAGAACAAAACAACCGGGAGCAGTCGCGACCCCGACGCCGCGGTAGCTTTTCCTTCCTCACTCGCACAAAGTCACACGACGTTCCTGTCATCCGCAGCCCATCAGGACGCAGAATGCTACGCAGCAAGAAACTCCGCGACCAGGAAGAGCGCCTTCGACAAGAACAACAGATGCCTGCTGTATCTCATTCTCCTCCTACATTGCCCACATTGCCCAACATTGAGCCCATGGAAAACGCACGGCCTGATTCCATCGCCATCGTGTCGGGAAGAGGGCACGACTATCCCCCTCCGGCCAACTTCTCTCGCCCTGGACCCAAGCAGACAAGCATGTCAAACTCATCAATGCCGTCCATGTCGTCGTCCGGCAGTCTCACCACTCCTAATGGTTACGGCGTTCCGCTTCCGCCAATGCCGTCCTCCTTGCCTCGCACCGAGAGCATCGTCAGCCGTGGTAGAGAAAGCTACGCTCCCAGTATCTCGGCTAGCATGCATTCACCTCGTAGAATGCGCCGTCGCAAGGAACCAGAGGCTTTCAAGTACGTTGGCCAGCTTCCCTCCCTTTCTATTCGTCGACAAGAACTCACACATCCAACAGCATCCTGATCACTGGAGCCAAGGGCTCGGGAAAGACATCGTTTGTCGAGTTTCTCAAGACAGCTCTCGCCCTGCCAGCCCACAAGCAGACACGCGGTCACACACCTCCACCTCATATGCATTCTGAATCTCCCTTCGAGCCATCCTACGTCGAGACCGACATCGATGGGGAACGTATCGGCTGCACGCTCTGGGATTCTCAAGGACTGGAGAAGAGCATCATTGATCTACAACTTCGCGATCTGGCTGCCTTCGTCGAGTCGAAGTTCGAGGACACTTTCAACCAGGAATCAAGGGTCGTGCGCACACCCGGAGTCAAGGACACTCACATTCACTGTGTTCTCCTGCTACTGGATCCCGCTCGCCTCGACGTCACTATGCACTCTGCAGACGACTCATCTCCCAAGAAAATGTCCAGTCTTGACTCGGCCTTCCTTGATGAGACATTGGACCTTGATGTCATCAGAACCCTCGAGGGCAAGACGACCGTCATTCCCATCATTGCGAAGGCCGACACTCTCACCGCCGCCCACATGGCTCATCTCAAGCGCATGGTCTGGTCAAACGTTAAGCACGCAAGGCTCGATCCGCTCGAGGCTCTCAACCTGGACGATGATGAAGAGGAATCTCCTGACTCCGAGGCCCTCGACAGCGAGTTCTCCAGCTCCGAATCAGATATCCTGCCTAGAACAGACTCACCGCCACGCAAAGTCACCGAAGACCCGAACGCCGATGACAGCGACACTATGGGAAGCACCTTCTCGCCGGTTAGAAAGACGTCGAGATCTGTGCTTGGTCCTGTCTCGTCAAAGCGTACAGACTCATGCACTCCTGCACCAGAAGAGCTGTTTCTTCCGTTCTCCATCCTAAGCCCCGACTCTCACACATCACCTGGTTCCTTGACACGCATCTTCCCTTGGGGCGAAGCGGACCCATGCAACCCTGTTCACTGCGATTACACTCGTCTTCGTGAGTGTATCTTTGGCGATTGGCGCTCGGACCTGCGTGTCGCGTCTCGTGAGAAGTGGTATGAGAACTGGCGCACCAACCGTCTCAAGCGTACACCCACGTCTCGTATCCGACAGTCTGGTGGAGTGACTCCTATTGGTGCCGTGCCGAAGGAAGGCCGCACTGTCTCACCTACCATCACAACCAGGTCTCGTGCTGTCAGCACCTCGAAGCAAGTATCGAGGATGTACAATGAGATGCCCGAGAGACCTCGCACGATGAGCACTAGCAAGGCTGAACGTGTCTTGGGCAGCCCCAGAGGTATCGCCTTGTAGAGCTTGGCTAGCAGCTGCTTCCGATCCCGATGCCCTTCTGGTTTTCTTTTAGTGTTTTCCTTGGCGTTAATGTTCCTGCTTGTTGATACTTTAAGCGCATGATATCCCCGGGCTTGGTGGAAGAGTCCCTGCTTCGTTTCCTTTTTCTCACGGTGTACTCACACACGTTCTCTCTCGGTTTGGTCACAGCACAGAGGGGTATTGTTTTCAGGACGGCGATAATGGAGCTGGGGCGCATATGAACAGTCAACAAAGACATGATTTTTCCTTGGTAGTGGTAGTTGCAATATTCAAAACAGAATGAACACGATTACAATAACTTCTATGGAACACTTGTGATAACCTATGAAGTGGTCACTGCTTGCGGGCATTAATAACCCTGTAAAAGTGCAAGAAGGGATTCAAAGATCATGATATGTCCAAAGAGAGACAGCCTTGCCATTCGTTCTCTACAATCTAGACAGACTCTTTACGGCATGGTAGGGGTGTTGAATTGATACGTCAAAATGCAAGAAGCAATCCGAGAATCAGAAAATGTCTAGTGGGAGTTGATACCAAAGATGATTTCTTCTTCTAAATCTGGCACTCTCCTCGGCATGGTAGGGGTGTCAAAAACACATGTCAAAATGCAAGAACGAGATCGGAAATAAGGACATGTCCGAAGAGAGTAAACATAAGAGTAGCTCTCTTTAGATAGAGTAGCAGATCTGAATATCTTTCCTCTTTTTGACAGGAAAAAGTATCGTCTATTTGGTGCAAGAGATGATCTTGAAACAAGGGCTTAGAAATGTAGTATAAAGCTAGATCTATTTGTTATTGATATATGCATTCCTCCGTACCTATATAAGGCCTCGTACCCGTTTCGAAGGCTTCTTCCTCTCTACTATCTGCTTATGTTTCGTTGACCGCGCTGTGTCCTCGTCGACGCCCTTATATCTTATCTTCCACGTGACCGGCGACATCGGGTCGGCGATAAGGTCGCCGTCGGCGATGTCGCCGCCGTCGTATCTCCGTAAGACGACATCTGCTACTTCTGCGGTCGTGATATAGCTTATCCTTAACCTGATTTCGACATCGAGGGGCCACGAGCGTCTCGATATAAAGGTACGATGTCGAGGGCCCGGTATACGATATACGTATAGCAGGGAGAAAACCGAGGTACTCCCGAGTAACGACATCTCCCTACTCTGCGGTCGTGATATCACGCATATTTCCATCTGTTTTTCCGTCGAAGGGTTACGAGCGTATTAGGATAGAGGTATGTCGTAGGGAGCCCGAGTAGCGACGTACGCGTTCGTAGCGTATAGGGACGAGACATCGAGCAGCCGGGCGGCAGCACACAGCCATTTGTTGTTGTACAAGTGGTGGTCGAGCGTGTGTGGGGAATATAGCTCCTTGATGAGAGAGTTCGGCAGAAGGTAGGAGGGTCTTATATAGACGTAGAGGAGGTGGGGTTTCCTTGCTTGTGGTGGATGAAGCCTTCCCTTGCTTCTCGGGAATTTGGTGTGGATTCGGGTATGTTGTGTTTTTCTTTTCTCTTTCCCTTGGCATTGTTCTTGTTTTTCTGTTTCGTAAGTCGAGCGGATTACTCTTTCCATCCAGAAGAGGGTATTGCTGCTTGGGTCGTCGGTATCTTAGGAGGAAGCTGTTTGCTGGTGCAGGAGAATGGATATTGCTCTTTGTTTGAAATACAAAGGACAGTTTGATTTCTCGGACGAGACTGGACTGCCACGCAAGTGCTGGAGTACAGAGTTGGCGGGTGTTGAAGGGATGACTGGTGGTTCATGTGGTCCAGAATGTTTCGGCGTCCCAGATCCAATCCAGTCTGCTTCTGGTAACTTGCCTCCCATCCGATCAATCTTCGAGCTTCGTGTTGCGCATTGCAAGAGCAGCACTGTATGAGTATGTTGCAGCTTTCCCAAACGTGGTTGGGGTGGTGGTTGTGGCTTGCAACTTGTTCGTACGGACTTACTGGACTGAATCTTGCAGCATCCCCGAAGCATACCACAAAGACTTGCATGCTTTCAAGAGACGCATAAAGCCGTTCCTTGAGCTCATTACTCTCCCAAATAAATAGAAAAACTCTCAACCATGTTCAGTTCTGTGAGGCCTGTAACTTTTCCCCCAGCCTGACCACCCCTATGCTTGCTGGACGGGGTAATTTCGCCAGTATAGCACCGGCGTTAACACGCCGGCGTTATGCCGAATGAGGCATCCGTCGTACTGGTAGTCTTTGTGGGATAGTGTTCGTAAATGTAGACATCTTTGATCATGACTTGAGATATTTTCCCTCATCTGCTTCTGATATTGCCCTCGACACCATACCTTCTGCTCCTCCCTTGAGAACCAAGACTGGGAGTCGCACCTTCCGTCCGTACCTACTGCCGTTGCTCACGCGGACCAGGCCGTGGCAGTTGCACCTTCTTCCATCGCCCACCCAAACCCAACTTTTTTCTCTCTCCCAGACCATCTCTTCTTCATCCATCTCCGCCCACCTACCATCCATCTCATCCGTTCATCCATTGCCTTGACAGCTCATCATCATCGCTTTGCGCTCATTGCATCTTGTTCTTGCCATACATTCTGCTCTTTGTCTTTTGAAACCATCGCAGAAACCATCGCACCAATGGCTTCATCATCTTCCGACTTCTTTGGCGAGTTGCCTCCTCAGCGCCGCAGAAGCATGTCTGATGCTGCCATCGAATACACATTCGTTCAGCGTAAGTTTCCATCTCCTACATTTACCTCCACCATTCCTGTCATGTTTCCCGTCGTGGGACACCGACTCGGCGGCGTCTTGACTCAGCGCACCACCCGGCCAACCAGCAGGCTTCCTCTTATCATCCATGCTCTTGTTTGTCTTCCGCGTGTTTGCTTCTTCAAAACGCGCGTTGCAATTGATGAGAAGAGATGCACTTACCTTCCTTCCTGCGCTTTTCCTCCCATCTCCCTCCATCCTTCCTTCATGCCTCATCATGGCAGCTTCCCTCCTTCCTTCTTGGGCATTGCAGTTGCAATTCAACCTTACTGGTGTTTCACCATGCTGATACTCAGTAGCAATTGCTCCAGAACACATCGAGGCTCCTCTCTCGGAACACATCGAGGCTCCTCCCTCGGAACACACCGAAGCTCTTCCCTTGGAGCACACCGAGGCTCCTCCCTCAGGTCCCCAAGCTACCGAAGGAGCCAGTGCCGCTGCTCCACCAGCTGATGTGGATGCTATTCCCATCGATGGCAGTCGTGAGACCTCCAGTCTGAGCGATGAAGAAAGCGCACCTACCGGTAGCGAGCATTTCAGCGAGACCGAGACCAACACCGATCCTTCGTCTCCCAAAGAACCAACCTACTGGTACGGAATCCTGGTCACTGCCGACAACGCACAGTCTCTGTACGCCCCAGACGCCTGTCTGTTTGTTGCAAAGTAAGTCGACCGTTCTTGTTGTGTGCCATCTCTTCCTAACATCCCTCTCAGTCTGGATCGTTCTCGCACCGCAACCGAGCTCACCGACGAGGTCCAACGCATCTTCGCACAGATCGGAGAGTGCTGGGTCAAGACTCGCTTCGATGCAAAGAACATCCCTGTTGCTTTCGCACAGTACAAGGTGAGAGCTCAATCAGACTTGCACTTGATGGTATGACGTTGGCTGACACACAGACCCAGACCAGCGAAGAAGCGGATGAAGCCATGGCGTTGCTTCAGGGTAGCCCAATCTTCGGACGCGCCTGCCGCATCGAACGCGCCAGTGCCCCAAGTAAGTGCTGCCTCTTTTCATTCTCAACTCTTCATTCTCAACTCTTGATTTCTCGACTTCTCTCAAACACAAATATTCTTTCCATCTCTTTGACTGACCCGCATCAGGAACCGTATACGTTCAGCGCAGAGACGGCATGGAGTTGCACATCCCAATGCCAATGCATCAGCTTGGCCTGTTCGGCAGAGTCGAGCACTTTTGGACTCCGAACGAGACGGAGAGAGCTTTGCACAACCTGCCTCTGGGCTCGTTCTTCCGATTCGCCTTCTATCAGCACTGTCAAGATGCTGTAAGAGTATGTCAACCTGCACTTCCGTCAAAACTTACCGTCGCTAATCTCATCAAAGGCGCTTCGCAATGATGAACACCACATCTACACACTGCAACACGCCAACCGTCCCGTGAACATCCCCAACATGGGCCCCATCGGTCCTGAGGTGGATCCCAAAGCAATCTATGTTGGCGATCTGCCTCTGTACATCAACGAGCAGCAACTGCGCTACAAGTTCGGCTACTTCGGATGGATTGTTAACGTGGAAGTGCGCCGCTTGGTCAGAAGTAAGTTGTTGCCTCTCCTCGACTGCCATCCAGTACTAACCAAGTCTCAGGAAGGATTGCGTTTGCCTACATCTACTTCGCCGAAGACTGGTCCGCAACCATGGCTCTTACAGACCCTGTAAGTCAATCAGTCTCTGACAACCAAGTGGACAAGTACTTACATGCTCGTGCCTCAGTACCCGTACGTTGCCGGGGAGTACCTATCCCGCGTAGAGCCCAAGCGTGTGACCCCTCACAACCAATACCCTGGCCGCACCAACTACACCTACATCCCGGGCAACCCCTCATACCTCCCTCGCAACATGCGCGCTCCTCAGTAGGGTGCTTCAACCACTAGCGCCCCATCCATGACAATGATCTTGTCATGAGCCATGAACATTCTTACGACTGATGCTGATACGATGACGACGATATACACACCAGACGACGGCGTGATCACAAGCTCTTTTCTTCTTTCCCATCGCTCCTTCTTTTTGTTCTGCGATCTGTCTGCACATTGTTTCTGTCTTTGCCTTCCTGCCACTCAGCAGATTTCGGAATTTCTCTGGCTGTGGCATGTACAGGCGAGTACGGTGGGAGATTTTGGCCGATGTTTTCGACTTTCGGTTTCGCAATCTGTTTGCTCTTTTTTTCTTTTTCGCTGTTCATGATCATCTCTCAGACGAGACCATTTTCGCTCACACATTCACCGCGCATGTCGCCAGGTCGCTTAGCTAGAACGAAGAAATATTCAAGACTCACAAGTCACTTGTATGATAACCCTGTCTCCTCTTTGCCTCTTGATTAAAAAGCTCTTTCTCTCGCCTCGGGCTTCAATGCAGCGTGTTGCCGCGTGACAGCAGAAGTCGATGTTGCAAGGGGTGATGACTGCCTCGTCTCACCCTCACGTAGGTCCTCAAGAGGTTGGTGACGCCCATCGATGACCACTTGATCCACTGGTCGCGAGTCGGGAGAAGAAGCAAAAACTACGCAGATGCACGAAAACCAACAGCACATCGCTCGATCAAAGAGGTCTTGAACCTGCGACACCAACATAAAGGCTCTCCATCGACCACTAGGATACAGCAAATAGACCATGCATATCGACAGTACTTTAGACAAGGAAACAAGCTCGTCGCGAGATCAAAGCTGAGGTGCAAGCCCGAAATCGGAATATCTTCGGATCAATTCGTCATGACCATTTCTGTGCAACTCTGAAGCTCTCCCAAACTCTGTATTTTCCTCTTCATCTTCCTCCGATCAACTGTTATTTCCTACTCCAACTCAGTAATCTTCAATTCCGTCTTTGCCGCTTCGATGCCACCTGACCATCTATCATCCTTCTTTTCCCATTCGATTGTTTGCATAGCGCTCGACCGTAGGATATCGGCTTTGAAACTTGACAGCCGTTTACATTTTTCGCCTAGAGTTTTTATTTCTGATGCCGAGGGGAAAGTGTTTTCGAAGGCTTTGTGTTTGATATTCTGAATCTATGAAAGGTAAGAGTCAGCGGTTGTTTGAGCTAGAGGAATGGTGGCTTGAGGTAGAAGCTTACAGCGAGGAAGAATTGGAGGCTTGGATTCGCTACTATTTCCACTTGCTCGAGGTATTCGAGGGAAGGAAGAATGGAGAGGATGTCTTTCTTGAAGGCTTCGTGATTGTCGACTTCGAGGGTTACGTTGAGTACCATGAGGGCTTTTTGCTTTTCCAGGATCGTTTGGAGTTGCGTGGTGGTGAGGGTGAAGAGGGTTGAATTCAGCACTCGTAGGCCTCTGGGTCTTGTGGTCTCGTCTGTGAGGGCTTTGACGAGGGTAGAGCCTAGTGTTCTGTTCAGAGCTACTACACCATCTTTTGCTGCTTCTTCGGCGGATTTCTCGGTGTTGTTTGTTGGGTCTTCTGGGTCGTCGGTTACATCGGCCTCGCTGACGTTGAAGGCTAATGTCACTAAACCGGGTCCGACTAAGCTGTTCAACTCGGTCGCTTGAATCTTTCCCAAGAACTCTGGATCGGAATGCTGAACTGTGTAGTTGATCTCCAAGAACATCAGGCCTCGTCGCGCACTCTCTTCATCGGTAGAGTGAGTCACGTAAGGCCCGATGCTCTCGAAAAACTTGGGCTGGGCGAAGACATCAAGAAGATGCAATGCTCGCAGTCCAGGCAGCTTCTTGAAGAACTCCACACCATCAGCCTGTGATTCCTCAGAAACACCGCCGAAAAGCTGACTATAGATCACCAAGCTCTTGAGATTAGGCAGACGATCTGCCAATTGACTCAGCCAGCCAACCGGATATCCCAAAGTAAACAGCTCTAGCGTAAGCGATTCGATACCCGGAGGCAGAGGAGGGATGGTGAATGATTCGGAAAGCAGCGTCTGGTAATCGTCGAGTTTGATATCGGAGGTCAAGGTAAGTGCTTTCAAAGCACCAGCTTGCGACGGAAACTGTGGCAGCGAAAACGTCTGGAGAGGAATTTGAGCACCCTGCGCTTGAGCTGGATCTACCTGACTGCTTTGCGGTATGTTGCTGTTGTTTTGACCCAGGGTTGCCATCGTGCCTGCTATATCCTTTCCTTCTCTTTTCCGGTATGTGTTTTGGTGTCTGAACTAAAAATCGCAAACAGCAAATGACTTGGTTTTTGATCAACGGACAAAATTCCAATGCGTTCGGAGAATTGTTTGATTTGACTTTCAGCTGACGGGAATCGTCTATATAAATACCAAATGGACTACGGAGCTGCGGACAAAGAGGGACAAATTGTGGGTATGCGGGGTGATTGCGGGGTCCCTCGAGTGGCAGACGGAAAACGACAGGGATGTTACTGCTGACTGGTGATATACAAGACCAAGATCATGCCCAGAATGTTCTGTTGATTGAGGGAGGGGTTAGTGAGGGGTTCCTGGATCCTTCGCCCAGCTTGCTCGCGCGAGTGCGTGGCTTGCGTGACGAAGCTCTTCGACGGCGTTGATCAGCTTCAGAGCTCCTTCCGCCATCTCAAGATCATGGTCGCTGGAACCACTCTTGCATTGATCTGCCTGTTTGCATATTCATGGAGAACATACGTAGATACTCGTATTCATGGATGATGATACCGGGCGACAATCGTGGTTTCCGTTGTTCCGCTTGGATTCACGACCAAGGAAATCATGTCCCCAGAGCAACCCTGTCCGTCATCAAGCCTCATGTCTCAACGCAATATCGCTCCTAGAACATCGGAATTTCGCGAAGAATGTCCATTCTCGAATGGTGAAAAATAATGTCCATTTATCAAAAGGCAAGATGGTATTCGAAGTGACGCAAATGTCCGATGAGAACCAACGAATCATTTGCTCTCTGTGAACTCTTACGCGTTACCGAACATCATTGTGCATTTCGATATGCACAAAATCAGCCATGCTTTACAGCTGAGATGCTATGTTAGTATACCAAAGACTATCACGTACATTCCGAATGTAAAAATCAAAATCAAAATCACATGTAACCAAAATGCAAGGGAGAAATCTTCGCATCCATCTGCCTATATAAACAGCAATTGCATCCTCTACTACTCTTTCCGTCATTGTCAAGTCCTCCCTTCCAGAGTACCACTCCAGGGCTGGGCAGCTCCATATATGCTGCTGCTGCTAGCACTGCATGAATTCACACGGTTGGATCTAATTAGGGCGGAGACAGACACGGCAACCAAGGAAATCACGTCAGTGACTCCTCTTGTTCAAGAGCTGTTCTCTTGAAGTCGATCGGGTGGTTATAAAGCACTATGCAATGGCGGAAGATGGTGGAAACAGGGTCAAGAGGTCAACAGAGGGAGACATGAGTATGTTTGGGGGATACCTAATCGAGCTCTTAGCCTACCAAGGCACCTTATAAAACAGCGGTGAAAAGGCACGATATTTTTGGTTCCAATGTGGTTGTCCAAAGAGAGCAGGAAGAAGCTTCGCTCTCAAAGGACAGATACCCATCTATCAAATGCATCTTGCCTTTTTGCAGCCAGGTTGGAAGCCTTGCAGGCGAAAGGGAGTTCGGTGCAAAGTATTTTCAGTAGTACGATTGACCTCTATTCTTCCTTCCTTTTGAGGATGACGCATACATGCCTGACTTCGCAGTGCGACCACCCATACGAACGAGACCAGAGAGATGCTGCACACCGGCAAGAACACCATCAATGACCTGTACGTCCTCCCCAACAGCGTCCTCGACAGCCTTCTTGAGCTTGGTCATGCCAGCACAACCAAGCGTCAAGCAATCAGCTCCTTGTGCAACCAGTTCTTTTGCGACTCCACACATGATACCCAGCACCTCTTCCTCACTCTTGAGATCAAAGTCAAGGACACCCAGATTGCAGCTACCAACACCAGAACAGAAGCCATCAAAGCCATAGTGTCGGATACTGTCTTCATGCATAGCTTTTGATCTCTTGCTGGTAGCAATCAATCCGAATCGATTTCCCAAAGTGCGAGCGGCAAAGAGAGAAGCCTCCATGATACCGATAGATGGCTGGTCAAATTCCTCTCGCAACATACGTATCAAAGCGTGATCGCTGTAGCACGCTACCAGAAAGGCGTCATATTCATGAGCGATAGGGATCAATGCACGCATCGCCGCAGCTGCAGACATCACGCCGTCGAAGTTGCCCTCGACGGCAGTTGGCGCGGGCTCCGGGCTTGTGAAGCCAATCACTTCGACATCTGGTGCCAATGTCGGTTTGACCATATCAATGCATTTGTCGGTCATGAATTTGCTGGCATTGGGGTTGACGACAAGGACTCGGATTTTCCCGGAAGTGGATGCCATGTTTGGGGTATTCGTCATTTGGAGATGGATTGTCGGAAGTGGGCGCCGGATAAGGGGTCTCCACGACGGATTTGGTGAGAAAGTGCGGTCGTTGGGGTAGCCAGGTGTCAAGGGTCTTGATAAGAAGTATAAGATCGCGCTATACCAGCTATCAGAGACAAAGTAGCTGAGGAAAAGGGTGCAGTAGGGCGTGATGGAAGGAGATCACGAAGAGGAGCTCTGGTCGGCTATCAGTTGCATTTCAAGTATCTGCACGTATTCCATCAAGCTATCGGACGAGCCTATCTCCCTCTCGGCCAATGGCGGCCAATGGGAAAATTCATGTAGATTTTTTGTACTCTCGAAGACCTATCTCGAGAGATATCGATAGCAAGTGCAGGCGGAGTTATGCAGAAGATTGATGTGAAGATAAGAAAGCGGCAGTGTTGTCGCAAATCATGACTCAAGCTGAAGCCTGCCATAGTTTGCCGAAGTTTGCCGTCTCAACTTCCCCGCCGGTTAAAGTTCAGGGTTTTGATAGCGCACACGGATCCATCCGAGGCAGTGGTCAAGCCCCACGTTGCAGCAAACTGCAGCTTGCATGCAACGCAACGACGCGACGATCCTACCGAAAGTCGGCATCCGAAGGAGTATGTCGAGGCGATACCGCAGTGACTTGTGAGCGGGTGGGATGTAACGGAGCCAATTGCATTGGGGTTGATAGCGACGAGATTGAATGAGTAATGCGGAGTCAAACTATGAGGAGTAAACAAATCCAAGGCGATCGCCTGTCTCTCACTCTTAGAGTCGTTCCTTCTTGCCCGCTCTTTGGCTTTCAAAAGTCTTCAATCCCGCGCACCAGAACTACGCCGATAGGACGGTCAGCAGCTTCGCCTATCACGCCCGAACCAGAGGGTCAGCACATTCCAGATGGAGGTCATGAATGCACCCCACGAACATCAGCTCGGCCAGAGTGATGCACAAGACAGAGCTCGAGCCTACAAGAGCCGGAACAAGCGACCTTGTGACTTCTGTCGTTACAAGAAAGCAGCCTGCCACCTCGAGTCCAAACCACCTTGTGAGCTCTGTGTTCGATATGGCAAAGACTGCACCTTCGTAGAGTCTCCAGCCAAGCGACGTCGTCCCAATGAAGATCGCCCTCGAGAGTCATTACTGCCTCCGAGTAGTACCTTTGACCTAGGAAGTGACCTTCTGAGTTGGGAACCTTTGCCTTCCTTCATGACCGCAAGCTTGCCCGGTGGCTTGCCCGGAGAATTCAAGTTCGATACCCCAATGTTCGAGCCTCTGATGTTTGAGCAGTTCGACCCAGTACAAGCAGGCCTAGCACCACCGTCAAACCACACCCCAGAATCCATTCCGATGGAATATTTTGACAACGCTCAGGAGCCTTCGTTAGACGCACAAGGCTCAAGCAACGCACAAGTCATTGGACTGAGCGGCGAGTCAGATCCGTATCTACTTCGTCAATATCAGTATGATGGAAACAATGAATGCATCTTCCAACAACTACGCCTTCGGAGAGTTGGAGACAATGACAAGATCCCCGTGCACTTTTTGATTCAGCAGAATAAACTAGCTGCAAAAGCTCAACCTGCCGAGGATCCAGCTACATTAGACACTTTTAGAAGGGAGGTCAAAGAGATGGTGAATGATGATGTTGGCAAGAGACTCATCAAATTGTATGTTATCTGTGGCTGTCTTCAGGAATTGCGTACTAACTCTCTAGGTTCTTCCGCTTCGTCCAGCCATATTTCCCTATCCTCTCTCGAGAGCGTAGCATGAGCAACGGCGAGTACGATCCCGACTGCTTCCCTACCTGGTTACTTGCTGCAGTCTATGGTCACGCCTTGCCTTTTTGTATCTTTGACGATCAGCTCTGCGTCGAAGTATACACTCCGCCTTCGACCGATTCTCTGTTCCGGATTGCTTGGTCGGCTACACACCCGAACTATCACACGCCTTCGCTATCTGTCGTTCAGACGCTCCTCCTTCTGGTTCAGAGAAGACCGACCAACAAGCACGTTGCGGATACGCCGGTCAAATGGACGATGGTCACGGATGCTGTTTCTATCGCGCAATCGCTAGGACTCAACCTCGACCCTACAGACTGGCCACTACCACTATGGGAGCAGAGACTGAGGAGACGACTTGCTTGGGCTGTGTTTACCCAAGAGAAGTGGATTGCTCTGAACACTGGAAGGAGTTCGCATATAATCTCGGACGACTGGGACGTCAGTGAACTGACCCAAGATGACTTCGAATTCGCGGAAGGATGCGACGACAGAGCTTACTCGGAACATTTCATACAACTATCTGTTCTGACAGAGACCGTGGATGATATCTTACGCAACCTGTTCTCTATCAAGGCAACAAGGAAACTCTGCACCTCTCTAGACGCCACACTGGAGGTAGCCAAGCCACTGCGAGTGCGACTGAGTCAATGGTATCAAGAGCTTCCGCCAGATCTTCTTCCGACTGCAAGGGCTGGAAAGGGCCATGATCTGAACGGACAAGGAGGGCTGCATCTAGCCTATATCACAGCGAAGATTCAACTTTTCCGAGCCATGTTCCGGCCAATGAGCGAGCCAGGCACGCAGGCAACGAACGCTCTGCGTACAGGTGCGATAGCAGTCGGAAGAGAGTTATTCGAGTTCCTTGAAAGCTTGGATGCAAACCATATGGAAGCATTCTGGCCATCGTGTAAGTCTACCATCGACCATGAGATATCTGACTAGTATGCTGACATTCAAGCCAGACTCAAGGACAAATTTCGCGATTGCGAGTAACTTTATGGTCTTGCTTTTCGCCACCTCACCGAGTGCCGCTGACGCCAAAGAGTGTCTGAATCTGCTCAACTCATGGCGGAGTCTGTTGCGCATCAAATCTCGCAGCTGCAATCTGCTGAATCTGGCCCTCTTGCGTCTTGACGCTTTGTACGTGGCAGGACTGGATAAATTGATCAACCTTTCACCTTCGGCCTTGCAAACTTTCCAGGAGCAAGTTAAATAGATAGACTATTTTCTGACTTGTCTTTAATAAACACGACTTGATGACATGAGACAGTGGAAAGGATCGTGCTTGTGAAATTGTGGATTATAAATCTTTACATTGAATATTCGTAAATCGTTCTGAGGTGCTCCGTAATACAGCACTGCCTAAGCTTCGACTTCCTTGTCCTGCTTGGTGTGTTGAGGAATCTCAGAAATGCTGGGATCATAGCCTTCAACACCATCCATGTACATCTCTTGGCTCGGCGAGACCTCGAAAGGCTTGATCTTGAAGGAGACCCAATACACTAGCCCGGCAACAAGGGTACTGACGAGCCAACTCAGACTGTACAGATACCTTGCACCATTCGGCACACCACTGGCTCCACAAGCTGCCGCTAAGCCAGGCATGTTCGGGGCAATACCGCAGAAGAATGCAATGAAGGCGCGAATGTTGAAGCCAGCTGTGAAGTGATGCACATCATGCTTCTTGTACAGAGCTCTGACATCAAGAGAGCGACGACGACATATCCAGAAGTCTGTGATAATTATACCGACCAAGGCTCCCAGGAACAGAGCATAGCCACCGAGAAAAGAGGAGAACGACTTGGCACTATATTGGATGTTCCAAGGTGTAGTCGCGATACTGAGGATACAACATAGGTACGCTCCGCGACGTACGTTGATGTATTTCGGGAACCAAAGAGCAATGTCGTTGGAGAAGGATACGCTGTTGGCACTGATGTTGGTGCCGATCACTGCAAAACACCAGCACAATCCTGCGAAGAATTGAGCGGCACGATTGTTCCAGAGCTTGGCGACTTCGAGAGGGTTCCAGGTGCTGACACCGTAGACAACCTGAGCTGCACTCGTGACTGTAGCTCCAAGTACACCACACATGGTGACAAGAACCATCAAACCAACTGCTTGCGTCCAGAAGACCTGCTTCGGGTACTTCGCGTAACGAGTGAAATCAGGCATGTTCAGAGCGAGAGTCGCTTTTGGCCCGATAGCGGTGGTGACACATTGCAGAAAGACGACAGCAGCGGGTGTACCATCCTTGATGCGGGTAGGCTGGGAGAATGTAGGACCGAAGCCCTTAGCCGCTACCAAGGCCCAGATGAAGAGAGTAAGACCAAAGATAGGCATGATGATAGTCTTAGCCATGAACATGTACCTCAGACTGGAGACCTTGAGCCAGAGTAGCGGTGCTTGAACCAAGATAAAGAGGAAGAAGCACAACAACTGAGCGGAGGTGACGTGCGCACTTTCGGGCAGACGGTTGGGGAACCTCTCGAAGCTAGGCCAGATGGCCTCAATCATGACCTGCAGGCATTGACCTCCCTGGAAGCTCTGCGTGCCGAACCAGATGCATGCCACAACTCCACGAACGAACACCGCAAAGTAGGAGCCACGCATACCAAAGCTAGCTCTTGTGAAGACTGGGAAGTTGATGCCGAACATGGCACCAATGTAGCCATCCAGCATTGCCGGAATGCATACCAGAAAGTGTCCAATGAGTACAGCGAGGATTGAAAGGCCAGGGTTGAGACCTTTGCTCACAGATGTCGATGAGACTGGACATCATTCTCAGTACATGACCGCAAGCACGATGGGGAACGCTCTTGCTAACCTTGATACATTGATATCGAGAACGCCTCTGCGACCCAGAAGCCTAGAAGACTTGGCCATGTCCATGTTCGCTCTGGCGAGCCAAGAGGCACGGGCTGCTGTTCTTTGTTGGTAGAGATCTGATCATGGTAGTCGTGTTCGGAGGCCGACGGTATGGCAAGACGACTTCGAAGGCCCATATTGCGAATTGGATTGCAAGCAGTTACGAGAGAATTATTACGAATTGCAATACCTGTGGCTACAGCAGCTAAGATTGCACTTAGATGTTTCCTGGCAGCTGTAGAGAAGCACTGCTATCTCTCGAAAATCAGACATCCTTGCATGGTGGCGACCTATCATCACATGCTTAGATAAGATACATCCGCCACAACCTTCTTGGATTGATATACACGAATAACGTTGTGCGGCCCACTCGAAAATATTGTTTGATAGGCCGTCAAGTTCTTTGAAAGAAGAGCCCTCGGAGAGAGCGAAGGATTCACGAATCTTATCAGTGCAGATAGGCCGATAAGGGAATGCTTGGCACTGGTCCACCGAATTAGGTAAAAGCACATAACGTTCTTGCCCGAACATCGACGCGATAGCTTAGCCGGCCTTGCATCTCACGACTATCACGTCGCCGCAGCGGGCAAACATACCAGCATGCCGAGAATGTCTTCCAGCATGATCGCAAGAGCCGCCTTCAGCCTTGACTGTCCGAAGGCAGCCACATTGCGGGATTCATCATGGTGCCGATAGCAACAGCAAACCTGAGGGATGATTTGAGAACATCAAGATCGAGTGTATATCCTGCAAAAGGCGCAGATGCGAGATTGCAAGAATTGTGGACTCGACATGGTGATCCTCAGAGTGATAGGTATGGAGTCTCCATCAACTACGAAATTTCCAACTGCTAATCTCAAGAAGATATACGAATCCCGACCTGATCAGTCTGCCATCACTTGTTCGGTATAATGCCTTGATGTATCCTGCTCAGATTGCATATCTGGTCCCGAAGGCAGACAACTTCGACAGGATAACCTGGCAAGAATTCGATGTTCTTACAGATCTCTGCTCTGCCTATTATGCCGAAGCATTCAGCCACGAGATCTCTACTAGTAACGCCACTTCATCACAACCGACTATTGCTTTGCTTGGGACTGGACACACCTTCGAGTACTGGGTCACTCAAATTGGTCTCTGCAAGCTGGGAGTACGATTACTATTATTAAGCGACAAGAATGCCGACGTGGCTCGAGACCACCTGCTCCAAGTCTGTAATGCGACGGGTATCGTGATTGAGCAGCGACTCGCCAGATCTTGGAGCAATCCAGAATACACTACAGTCACCATACCTAGTATGTCGTACCTACGAGCTTCGAGGCCGAGCAGCACATACGCTGGCTTCGAGTCTGTTGACGTGTGGAACCAGCATGCCATGATCATTCACTCGAGTGGCTCAACAGGCTTGCCAAAGCCCATCATTCATACCAACCGAAGCCTGATGCTCATCGCAAGGATGTACCGATTGTTCCAAAGCTTTGTTATTGAGAATTGGTACAACTGCTTTCCGCTATACCACATTGCTGGCGTTTCCATCATTCTCGGTGGTCTACCTTCTGCTCTTCCGACGAGTTTCCCTCCCGAGAATTGGCCACCTTCGCCCGGTGCAATGCTCTCTGCGTGGCGTAAGCTGGAAACCCTGGGTCATCCTGTAAATTGCTTGCATTGTGCACCATCAGTCATTGAGGATCTCTACGAGTACATGTCGCTGGAAGGGAACTCGGAATATTCACCATTCCTTCGGCTCAAGATTTTGCAGCCGGGCGGCGCAGCTTTGTCGCCAGTCCTTCTCAGAAGACTGACTGACATGGGAATCAACGTCAAAACAACTTATGGTTCTACTGAAATTGGACCGCCGTTTCGAACTATTCCGGATACCAGAGATAATGCGAAATGCTACAACGTACGAACATTGTTCCCTGATAACTCTCTAGTGCGGATGGAACCCCAGGGAGAAGGTCTGTTCGAGTGCGTTGTATACAAGGGGTTTGCCCTAGCAGCCGAGCTCTGGCCGACTCCCGATGCCCCGAATCCTTATCGAACCAACGACTTGTTTCTGGAAGATCCACCAGGTAGCGGACTGTTCGTGCTACAAGGCAGAAAAGATGACATCATTGTCCACTCAAATGGCGAGAAGACAAATGCATTACCACTACAGATGGCCATCGAGGAGTGTCACTCAGCTATCAGTAAAGTTGTAGTGTTCGGCACCGACTACCCGTGCACCTCGGCGATCATTCAGCTATCAGAAGAAGGCCTTTCCGGTCATGAAGATATTCTGAGATCGATCGAACAAGCATGCAAAGCCTTCCCTGCATACTCTCAGGTGGACCAGTCAATGACCGTGATTCTCCCCAGGGGCAAAATACTGCCAATCACCCCGAAAGGCAATGTTCGTCGGAAAGAGGCATGGAAATTGTATGGTGCGGAAATTGAACAGCTATACGCCAACCAAGCAAACGGAGAGCCAAGCGATGTAACCAATATCCCAGCGTTTGATCTTGACAATACAGCTTTCGTCCGTCACTGCGTGGCTCAAGTCTCGAATTCACCCATCGAAGTCGTCACAGAGAATCTTAGTTTCTATGACTTAGGTCTCAACTCGCAAATGGCGGTCAGATTGCGACCTCAATTAGCTCATCGCTTTGGCAAATTTCCACTGATGTACATTTTTGAGTACCCTTCAGTGTCGAAGTTGACAGAAGCACTGTCTCGTCCTAGTTTTGACCAAAGCGTCATCTCACCTTCGGTTTCACAATTTGCCTGGATTCAAGATACCATTGCACGCTATACATCCGAGATTCAGTCTTGGTCAAAGCCGGAAGTCAAGATACACGAGGGCAAACGACAAGTCGTCTATCTGACAGGCGCGACTGGAGCACTGGGCAATGCTTTGATTGCTGAACTTGTCACCAATCCCAACGTCAGCAAAGTTTATTGTGCTATCAGAGGCGCCCAAGCCCGGGAGCGACTCGTAGATCAGCTCCGAGTTCGGGGCTACGATATGCAAGTAGCTGTCAGTGACAAGCTGGCGGCTGTGGCGTATGACATGTCCGATGTCAGTCTTGGCCTTGACAAGAACCAGTATTCGAAGCTAGCATCGGAAGTTACTACAGTTATCCACAATGCTTGGAAAATGGATTTCAATCAAAAAGTGGACATGTTTGAGAAAGACTGTCTCTGCAGCTCCTTGAATCTGCTGCGGTTCTGTCAGGAGTTGACTGAAAAAAGATTTGTCTTCACGAGCAGTGTTGCCACGAATATGGGCAAAGACGCCAGAAAATCTGTCGAGGAAACGCCAATCGCCAACAATCCTGCACTCGCTCTAGAGACCGGATACGCGCAAAGCAAGTTCATCGTCGAGCGGATAACTCAAGAGTATGCCCGTATAACTGGATCCCCCGTACAGATTTGTCGTGTGGGTCAGCTTTGCGGGCATACGACCTTGGGCTCTTGGAACACTTCCGAGATGTTTCCCATCATGATTGCTACTGGCCTGAAGTACCTCAATGCCATGCCGACTTTCGACAAGCAAACAGTCGACTGGCTTCCAGTTGATATCTGTGCAAAGGCTATCAACACCTTGATTTCTACTCCTATGAGCGACGTCAGCTATGCACTCCATAACCTGGTGAACCCGTCTACTATCTCGTGGTCTGAATTCCTCAATGCATTGGAACATGCTTTTGATTCGCAATTTGAGCGCATCGACATGCACGAATGGGTTGCACGATTGCAAGATCTGAGCGAGAAAGTAGACGACGTGCCCGGAGCAAAGCTGCTAGGATTCTTCGAGAACATGGTTGAAGAGGAACAAGCGACTCCGCAATTTGAAACCTCCAAGACTGCTACTCTTGTACCGAGGCTAAGAGACTGTGAGGCGGTTGATGGCAAGCTGCTAAAGCTGTACTTGGGGCGATGGCGAGCTGATGGGTTCCTGACCTGATTTGTGGCTTCGCGTGGGCCTCCATCTGACTACCAACTTTCTCGATCGATTATCTCAACACACAGTATGACCTCTTGTAGCTCTCACAATCTAAAGCCTGATTGCCTCAGGACTTTGACGCCTGCTGTCTGGAAAGCCCGAGAAATCCCGCAAACTCCCTCAGCCTTTGTGACTCTTCCGCCACCAAGCTTCCTGTCGACCCTCTATGCGTCAACCTTTATATTTTATAAAGTTAGGGACTCTTACAAGCAAATAGCCGTGGTAGTGTAGTGGTTAACACACCCGTGGTCTTAACACGTGCGCAGTCATTCGTTGTTACTCAACGCCGTGTCAGTCTAGATCCGAGGAGGTCGCGGGTTCGATTCCTGCTCATGGTGCTCATTCTTTTTGTTGTCCGTTATGCCGTCTTTACTGTTCATCATCTTGTGTTATCTTCGTTGTCCCCTCGAATCTCGCTGTATCACCACTATTACTCTTGACTTGTCGCACGTCGCTTGTCTCGAACATTTTCATTCTATTCCTCTCTGGGTGCTTAGTGTATGTCACTCTTAATCTGGTTGTCTAGTTTTGGGCAACATGAATCTTGACTCTTCAAGGTGTGAACGCTGGCACATGAGTTCTCGGGAAGGACTTTCTGAAAGGGTCCTCTGGGAGCGCTCTCTGTTCCAAGGTCAGAACTGTGTATCGTACTCAGAATATTGGATGAGGGTATCTACGCTAGGAAGCTCGACACAGCTATTCTTTTTCACATTACGAAGCTGTTCAATTAGGCAACTCCAACCCCGGTCTCCTAGCAACACTCTCTTCGGTCTCAATAATCTTGGCTCCCTCACCCTCATCAAACGTATAACTCCTCCACTCACAATTCTCCCACATCCTCGTCGTCTGCACTCCCTCGCTGGTGAAGTTTCCTGTCAACGCATGTGCAAAAGTCCCATGGCTGACCAACACCACCTCCTTCTCCTCTCTATCCCTAATAAACAATCTCAACATTTGTGCTCTCTCCATCATAACTTCTGGATCAGAGTCAAAGCGACCGCAATTGGTGTTCCAATACGGAAACAAAGACACGATACGGTGTTCATCCACCAAATCCCCAAACATTTCTTTTATCTCCGAAACATCAGATCCGGTATCCATATGCTCTGTACTGCTCTCTTGAGCCAAGGGCATAAGCATAATTTTCAAGCCCCTGGCTACCACGGGTGCGAAACTGAGTTGACAAGTTTGGATGGCGCGTTTCATGGGGCTCGCCATGAGGAGTTCTATTTTGTCGTGGTAGGGGAAGTTTTTGCAGACGTCTGCGCATTGGGCTTTGCCGTGGGGGGTGAGGAGGGGGTCGCAGATGCCTTCGCCGTGCCAGGCTGTGTTGTGGAAGCCTTCGCCGTGGCGGACGAGGTGGAGGATTGGTGGCATTGGATTTTGAAGTTGTGATTGAGATTTGATTGAAGTGAAATGGTCGGAGGCGTAGATGCGAAGTTCTGTCTTTCTTATGACGAAAAGAGGAGGGTATATTTCGAGGTATGATGGCTAGAAGTCGAGGAACAGTCACGGTTCTTGTACTCAACATAGCTTACCTTTCCTCATCTCTAGTGCTCAAAACAGTGTTCTAACAGCCAACAGAATGTCTTGCACCGATGGTTGTGAGAAGCTGGTCACGATACAACCTTCCTACCTATTCACTCTTGCCTCTCCGCGGATCGTGGATTTAGCCAACCTCTCCCAATATCCAAGCCATTTCTATCCACCTGAAAGCATAACTCAACTTGCTGTCATCGTTATTCCCGTGAACTCACCTCCATTCTTCGCTTTTCGACGGGCTTTTTGTGGCATGAACTATGTTCATCTCCCCGCGGGCCTGCCGGGAACCTTGTTTGCTACACGTGGATTACACGCGGGAATAAGACGATCATTGACGACCTCATCATCAAAGCACGGCAGTCACTAGTAGAAGGTCATATTGATTCATGGAATGAGGTCCGAATATGCCATTTTGAATGTCACTGGCGAAGATTGACATGGACAGCGGAGGGGGGGCGAAACTGTATCGCTGGACTCCATTTTGAGAAAATGCAAGTCGGCAATATCATCATTAGACTATTTTACTGCGCCTCAGTCTAGAAGACAAGACACTGTAAGATGTTAGTCCAATCATCGTTGGCTTTCGCAAGCTAGAGCAGAAAAAGACGTCGGTGATATGGTTACAAGACCTCGTCATTGTGGGGGTATAAATCACCCCCGGCTGAGAAACTCCCTGCTCGCTAAGGACACCCTCCAAAATAACGCAAGCTGTCGGTACTATTACTTCTTTTTTCGCAATGTCATCTGTACGAGAGCTACCGTTTATATACCATCCAGCTCTCGAATCTTGCATGTATGAATAACAAGAGCTTCGTGTGATTCGGTCCGAGGGTTGGAAGGACTTTGTATGAGTTTTGCTCGCATGAACTGAACAACTTGCGTTCAACTCTCTCGCCCGACGGTTTGGTTATTCTTTTCGCATATTTTTTAAATCTCGGTAAAACAGCATGGAACGTGTTTGGGATTGGTAGCTTATATGGTCTAAATTGCCTTTGTGGTAGTATTGGGTGATTATTTGCACGAAGGATTTTGTATCCCAATAGTACGAAAAGTGCTTGAAAGACTTGGGAACAAGTGATGACCAGAAATTACATAAATTTATGTTCGACATTGTATCATTATTCGACTATCTCGTTATCAAGGACGCACTACTAAAGAAAGTGCCCAGGCCTTAAGACATATTCTCAATCTCCTTGAGCAGCGTATTGGCAGCAAGCTTGCCCAAGTTGTTAGAAGCCAACGGTGAATCTCCAGTAAGCACATATCTATCCTGATGAGTCTCGCCAGTGATCTTCTCATTGATAGGTGTAACACCCAGCTTCTTCAGCTCTGCACCGACAAGCCACGACATCTTGCCGGGGATATATCCGATGTCGATATTGGCGCCATTGTCCAATGAGTCAGGGAAGACATCGATCTTGTAGCCATCGTAGATGAACTTTTCGCCGGCGGGTTTGGCGAGGTCGGCGGCGAGCATGCAGGCGGGACCGTGGCAGAGGGTGATGAGGTAGCGCTTGTTTGCATCTGCCCAGCGGAGGATGTTGCCCACGACAGGTGATTGAGGGATTCCGTTCAAAGCTCCATGGCCACCAGGGACGAAGACACCAATGTATGGTGTATCCTTAGTGAATCCATTGCCCCAGACATCAGAAAGCGCAAGAGGATTACGCATTTTCTGCTTGTAGGTCTCGTAGATGCCCTTGACAGCTTCATCCTCCTTGGGGAAAGCCCACATTTCAAGCTTGACAGGCTCGCCAGTGAGTGTAGCAATGTCGAGTTCGAAGCCAGCTTCGTGGAGGTGGAGCATGGGTAGCAGCATTTCAACTGGGTGGTTGCCGGTGGAGAAGAACTTCCCGTCGGCCATCTTAAGGTAGCGTTCTTGGGTGCCGATGACAAGGATCTTCCATTTTCCACCCTTCTTCTGTGCATTGGGGTAGTCTGCACCATCGAAGTCGGTCTTGGGTCCCACGTATTGGGTGAGAGAGAATGGTGATGGGAACCAGGCGTCGTCTTCAGCCTGATCGGCCACGGGCTTGCGATCCTCAGAGTTGGACATGATGTTTGTGTAAAAGGTGATAGAAAGTTTGATACTGATTATTCTCCTGGAAACACAGCGAGTCTGACTGCTTATATAGCTTTTATAGAGCTCTGCAACGGAGGGAGCTCCAGTGTTGAGTCTGACGTAGCTGTTCGTATCTGACGCGGGGTCCTTCGGCAGCTTTCTTTGATCGACACTTGACAAGCCCACCGGGGACCAAACTTTAACCCCGGTATGATTACCTGGTCTGACCACCATGTTTCGACGAACCACTTTGGAGCTCTACCAATTTCCATTGCCTATCTCGCTGACTAGATAGAACGCCTATCTATTTGATTAACAAGTGTCAGGGATGGAGAGGTCAGATTCAGCCTTGCTTATATATCATATCTCTTGAGGTACCTTGTACACGACCGTGGTGAGGAAATAACATGCATGATCCGCCATCAAGGTGTCCGCCGAGCCCTTCCAATTTCCACCAACCACAGCACACATGTGCCAGTATCTAATACTCATCTGTGTGACCTACGAAGGCAACGCTTACTTGATCAGGACAACGAATCGCCTCTTGTGACTGTGATACGCAGGGAACCGAACAATCTTCCTGACCATCGAGAAAGCGGGTGATGATAGACAGATAGATAAAAGAGTCATGGCGCCGAGAGCAGACTTCCGAAAATTGGCTGCGACCGAGCAGTCCTGTCTGATGATCGCACGAGAATCTGGAGCCTCTGCACGATATCGTCACATTCTGTAGTGGTTCATAAGAAAGTTTAATGGGTTGTGGTCCCTAAAGGTGAATCCTCGCACATCCATCCATGCTTGCTTTATTTCATGGTCTTTCTTCTGATCCTCACAGAAATCGAGTTCCTTCAGTCGAGGTGCATGATTATCAATGAGTCTACCGACTTGGACAGCCGTAAGTGTTTGCGGAACACCTCGATCATATCCGGAAATCATCTCCCACCAGAGTAAGTTGGGGAACATGGGCGCGGGCATATAAGCAAGCTGCTGGAGATCATGGGTCGTGAAGAAGAGATCCAAGAATTCCAGGCTCTTCCAATGTTCTGCTAGGACCGGAAAGAAAGACATTGGAGGATAATCTTCCATTTCCATCCCAACACTGAAAATCTTCAACAGAGGTAGACCAGAACAAAAATGAGCGAATTCAGACTCCGTGAGCGGTTCGCCTCCCAAACTCCACGAGCCGCTAGATTGGTCTCCGAATCTCAACTCTTCTAAGTTGTGAAAGGACCTCAAGGCGAGGAAATCCTCTTTCTTGACTAATGAGTCGGCCGTTGCACACATCTCCAGTTTGACCAAGGCTGGTATTGCAAGTAGGTTGCTGATGAATGAGACTTCTGCTTCAAGCAGCGTTATAGTCAGTTCTCTGAGATCAGCAACAAGACAGGCCGCAGAGCTGATCACAGAGGACCTGCCGCACAGCCGAAGCTGTCGTAGTGCTGGGAACGGCCGTGAGTTGACACTACGGACCTTGTCAAATGCATCTGCTTCGACAATGCGATTCTCAATCGACAGCTTCTCAAGACCGTTGAACGCGGAAATGTGGAGCAGCATGTCAGCGTTGATAAGGGGAAGGTCCTCGTCATTAACATCCAGGTTGAGTGAGATGTCGGTCAGGTTCTGGGTGGCCGAGAAAAAGTTACTCAGAGACTTTGCTGACAGACGTTTCCCGGTGTGATCAAAGTCGACTGTCCTTAGGTTAGGGCAGCTTTGAACGACGTTGGCAAGAAACGCGTCGTCCAAATGCTCGTTCCAATTACTTATCTTAATGCTCTCAAGAGCTCGTTGTATGTATTGCGATGTTGGACAGCGCTGTCCATCGCCCGAGGGTCCATAATTGTTAAGTGTGAGTTCTTTCAATCTGGGAAAGCTCAATCCATCGTTTAGAGCATGAACTGTAGCATCCTTGTTACCACCGAAATTAAGATACCTCAGATTAGAGGCATATAGTTGACGTCTAGCGCGTGCGACACTAGCAAGAGCATATGCTGGAGACGCTGTTTGATGACCTCCACCCCAGAGCGCTGAGATTGCGACTTCGAACCAGAGGCTGTTGACACGCGCTGCATTTACTAGACACGACCTGTAGCGTCTCTTTTTTGCAAGTTTCTCGAAGACGAGTCCAAGAAGTTCAGGGCTTCCGAGGACTTGGGAAGCGGCACTGGTCTTATTATACTTATTCTTCCTGGATTTATGATAAGTTTTGGTCATCTCGCCCGATTGCATTTCGAGCATAATGTTTTCAGGAGATATGTTGTGTGTGTTTGAAAAAGAAGAGAAGGTGAATTCGGCCTTAAATGCGACGCGACGACGATTATCAATTAGCGTCATGCTTACATAAGCCTGCATGATATCGCTAATCATCTTGTTGCATTCAGATAACTGCTCAAGCGTGAAAAGTCAATGATCCCTAGCCAAAGACACAAAGCCATCGGGTACAGTGCTTTCCTCGAACCAAAGCCTGACCGTTTCTGCAAACAGCTCGGGGGCCTGCCAGATCCACGGATGACGCATGTCTGGATGAGTGACTGCTCGAGTTGCGCTGTTCAGGTGTTGACCAATAGTAGCCAATTTCAGGGCGTCTTGAGGACGGTCGTTTGACGGGACGAGTCCACCTTTGCCAGCAGCAATGACAAGAGTGCGGGCAGGCCATGCTCTGGGCCATTGTTCAGTGCTGTCAGAATGACCGAAGACTTGGCGATTGTAATCAAGTGTGCACATGCTCAAGTCTGGACGCGGAATATTGATGCCATCCATGGCCCAGCGAGTCCAAGATTGAGGGATTGCGTATTCAATGCGCTGCTCGAGCCAGATGGCATGAGGTAGATAGGAGGTCAGTGCTGTTGGGGGAAAGACCTGAAAACCAGACACCAAGACACAATTTGCGACTTCTGGATGGTGAGATACTAGATGCATGGCAACATGAGCACCGAGACTGAAGCCTACGACATATACCACTCGGTTGTGTGCCCGGTCGAGGATGAGTTGGCTGAGTATGTTCGAGGCATGTACGACGGAGAAAGGATGTTGTCGTGCAATGCCATGACCAGGAAGATCAGGGACGAGCAGATGATAACCTGGTAAATGAGGTGTTACAAGATTCCAAGTGGTCCCATCTCCAGTAGCACCATGAATCAAGAGAATGGTTTGTTTGGCTTCGCGATTGACCTCGAGATGTGGTAGTGCGACATAGTGGTGCTGATCACAGTCGGACGTCATTGTGTGTAGATGGTTCAGGCGAGCAGAATGATACTGGTACAAGACCAAGAAGGTCAAGTCGACACTGGCATCGGATGTGGTGAGACAAGGGATTCATGCAAGCTTCGATCCTTCGAAGGATGAAGGAAGATATTCGAGTGTGGAAGCCAGTCCCACGACCATGCGATACCAATCTCTTAGAAAGCCCCATCGCCGAATCATTAGTAGCTTGAAGGAACATGGCACCGGGTGAGATACGACGAGAGCAAAAGACGACAAGAATAGAGGACAAGTTTTAGGGAAGGATAGGAATTCTGGTGAAGTTATGCATTGCATGCACAGTTTGCACAACTCGAATCAAGACCATGACCTCATTACCCCAGAATCTGTGAGTGTCATGACAGAAGCTCTGTCTCTCTCGACTCTCTCGATTCCTCGCCTTCACCTCGACAACAATAGCATACATTTCCAATTATGGTCCTCGAAGAAGCAACAAATCATAGCGAGCCCAACTCGTTTGGCGAATTGCCCACACCCGAGGACGGCAATGTCTCCCAAACACCTACCCGCTACCACATCAAGCTCGACCAGCTGCCTCGACCAGTGAATCTGTTCATGGTCCCGGTACGCGACGATGCCATAGTGAAAACGATTTTACGAAGCTGTCATGAAGCCCAAGCTGTGATACACCGCCCACTGCGTCAGGAAGAGGTGGATGCCATCAGTTATCACTTTGCCAAATCACTACGGACAGTTTCATGGGGTCCTCCTGTCGGCATTGCTGGCGGTGCTCTAGCCGCATACCGTACGATGGGCAACTTCCGTTTCCCTGGCTACACCCCCAAGCCTGAGTCTGAGGGTGGTCAATTCAACCCTGAGCGTTTCGGTCCTGTGCGTGGTCAGATGGCTCGTTACTGCTGGCACACTTTGCGCTTCCAACTCTACGGCGCTGTTGGTTTCTTTACCGGCGCCATCCTGTTCGCCAGTTACGCCACCTCGGTCAATGCAGTCGAGACTGGCTCAGATCCTCGCATGAAAGATTACATTGAAGCGCTCAAGAATCGCGCACAGAGACACACCGGCCAGATGCAGCCTCAAGGCCAACGCAACCCCATCATGAGCCAGGAAGGTCGCATGGATCAACAAGCACAACGCGCTTCGCAGAAGCTGGGTATGGAGGATGCATGGAAGCGTCAGGATGTACAACGCAAGGCTTCTGACTACGACGACATGAGCCCGACCGGAGGCGCATGGATGGACGATTACAAGCAAGAGACTCAAGATACTGGTCTTCTGACCGATGACCAGCTGAATGCCCGAGCCCGCACCGAACAGTCGAACGCTGATCGCGCCGAGCGTGCTGAAGAGTCTAGAGTTGCTGCTCAAGCACAGTCTCGTGTTGACCAATCGCGACGAAACAATCACAACAGCACTGATGACAACTCTATGCTCGGCGCTTCCCAGCCTGCACAGGCACCTCGTTCTTCGGGTAGTACTTGGGACCGGATTCGTCAGGAGTCGGCTACATCCAAGGGTTCTCCTCGCCAATCACCTACCAACACTCCCCAGGTAAAAAATGAGCAGCAAGAGGGTTCTACACTAGGCGACTCATTCTCATTCTCTTCTTCCGACGAGGAGAGACAGCTGGCCAAGATTGAAGCACAGAAGGAGTTTGATGCCAGAGTAGAGAGAGAACGTCAAGGCGGTGACTTTTCCGAGAGTGGTGGTAAGGGAGGATGGAGAAGGTAGATGGATGCCATCTGACCGTTGCCTTACCTGTAAATACTGTATAACATACTTGTCATATACCTCGAGTTATTGAGCCATCACATCTATCGTACACATCATGTGGCTTGAGCCTGGATAGTATCCCAACACAGCGGTTCTTATTACATGCCTCACACGGGAATAACGGCAACCGGTCACTACGAGAGGTGGGAACATCTTCTTGGCCGTCCATGTTTAATGCTTGGCTTGCATATCATCAACAAAGGAAGAAAGACGTGGCCGTCACACAGAAAAGGCATGGCATGCAAGAAGGACTTGTCATCCGCGGAAAGGCGCTGAAGGATTTTGCCATGATGTTGGATGAATGATAGGCTTTCCGGCTTTCGGAGAAGAATGAGAGGGCTTGACTCGTGGGCGTGACTTTCTCGTCTATTGACAGCCGAAGGATGATAGGAGATAAATTCAGGCGATGTAAGCACTTGGGAGGAATGAGAATAGCAACGGAAGGATTTCAGAAATCGATTCTGAGGATTAGAAAGGCAAGCCCACGAGAAGCAGAACGGAAAGGTCGACTGTTTACTTCGGATACGAGTATACGAGTATACGAGTATAGAAGCCCACGAGAACAACGACCGAAGGGGCCAAGACAGCCCATGAATCGCACAAGCCAGGCGCAACTCTACACATATCGCGACAGAGATTAGACAAATGGCGTGCGAGTAGCTAGACGATTAGATATATGAACCTGAAACAACTCTATCACCTACCAACCAGGTTTCCCACTTCTCCTACATCGATGACCCTACTATGCAGCAAGAAAGAGCTTACGACGCGCATAACAGCCCGAAGTCCAAACAACAGCATTCCCATGCTTTGACGAGCGAATGAGGAAGCAGCCGGAAAACAGGATTGTAGCATGATGATAGGTTGGTAACTGCGTTTAGATGCAGCTTGGCAAAAGAAAAGGGTTGGCCCTGCCAAGAAGACGTGGATTTGGGTGCTTGTGCTTGCCGGAGGTCCCGTCTTGGTGAGTAACCTTCCGGAATCATGGCATGGATGCGAGGAAAGAAGAGACACAAAACCCGAGACCATGCGCTGTTCGGGGAAATGGTTTAAGGAAAGCGAGTTTCTTGATTTCGAACAAGCCAAGGATTGAAAAGACCTGTGTCTGGCACACAACCGCACCAACCTACCAACACCACTGACGACTTGTGATATTTACCTGGATCTCGGACACCTCCGCCTAATCCTCATATCGACGAGTGTTTACTGGCTTCTTCGGGAGACTGAGATAAATATTCACTGTAACGCATAAGACTGGGAAGAATAGAAAGAGCAAGGGATCGCACAACCACCTAGGCGCACATATCACCAGAACACAAGATGGCCTTCCTACCACCAAAAGACCCAGCGTCACCACGCCTAAGCTCGCAATCACAATCCCAATCTCTCGACCTCCGCAGTCCAGCCTCTTTCGCAGAATCCTTCGAAATGGACGAGACAACACCAAACACTGGTCTCCTCTCCCAAATGGACGATGCCGAAAAACAATCTTCCGCTGTCGATGCCACTTCCACTCCGTCAACACAAGAAGGCCATGAATACAGCATCTCCACAAAGACAAAAATGATTTGCTTGGGACTATACTTTTGCATGAACCTAGGCTTGACATTATACAACAAAGCCGTATTGGGCAAATTCAACTTTCCTTGGTTGTTGACGACTTTCCACACAACCTCTGCGGCATTGGGATGTTGGAGTATCATGCTCATTGCCCCTGACCAGTTGAAACTATCCCATGTGGGGAGAAAGGAACAATGGGTGCTGGTGGCATTCTCGGTGCTTTTTACCGTCAACATTGCTATCAGTAATGTTTCGCTGGCTATGGTTTCTGTGCCTTTTCATCAAATTGTCAGATCTACCACTCCTGTGGCTACCATTCTGATCTACAGATGGTTGGGACGCAATTATGGAACTATGACTTATGTGTCACTGATCCCCATTGTTGCGGGAGTGGGTTTGAGTACCTATGGCGATTATTACGCCACTTTGCTCGGAGCATCTCTGACATTCCTGGGTGTCTTTTTGGCCGCGCTCAAGACTGTCGCGACCAACAAATTGCTCACCGGAAGTCTCAAATTACCGGCTCTAGAGCTACTGTTGCGCATGTCGCCGCTGGCTGCCGTGCAAAGTCTTCTCTGGGCTACAGCGACTGGAGAAGTCTCTCATTTCTTGGACTTCATCGCTGAAGGCAATCTTTCGACTTCGCTCATCATTGCACTGCTTGGAAACGGATTTTTGGCTTTCTTGCTCAATGTCACCAGTTTCCAGACCAACAAGTTGGCTGGTGCGTTGACGTTGAGTGTTTGTGGCAACGTCAAGCAGATCTTGACGGTTATTCTGGGAATCGTGCTGTTCAATGTCAATATTGGACCTATGAACGCTGCGGGCATGATCGTTGCGCTTGGAGGAGCTGCGTGGTACAGCAAGGTAGAGTTGGATGTCAAGAGAGCTGCTTCTAGATCCTAGATGGACTGGAAAAGAACGAGTTAGACAATTGCTGTTCAGCGAGCGATGCATCTGCATAATTGCATGGTCGAGAGATGGAAATCACAAGACTCGGAGTTTTTGTTGCTTACTGGAGTTTCTTGGCTTCTTGTAGAATAGGATAATAGATGATTTATACGCCCCGTCAACGCCTCGCTCTGAATGACGCCTGGATGGAAGATGCTTGTATGGTGGATGGTGTGAACGATGCAGAAAAGTCATGTCTCGTGACGGTCTTGAAGAGATCAACCCAAGGTCTTGATCTTCTTCTTTTTCTTGTCGGGTTGCTTTCCCTTTTGGAAGTCTCGCCAGGAACCGATGCGCTCCTCACGCGACTGCTCCCACTTTGACTCGAACTCTCTCTTCCTCTTGCGCTCGGCGATCTCCTCCTCTTCCTTCTTTTGCGCACGACCTTCTTCTTGCATCTGAGCCTTCATCCTCTTCCTTCTCCTCAACTCCTCATCTACCAGCACGGTCTTTGTCTTTTCCCTCCAAGCCCTGCGGAACTCGTCATCTGGATCCTTGACCTCTTCACTGTCGGTGGTGAGTTTGCGCTCACGCATCAAGAGCATACGCGCATCTGCAATACATTCGTCCAACTTCGCCCTCTCTTTCTCATCCAGTAGGGCTTGTTGTGCTTTTGCGAGGCGATCGAAGGCGTCTGGCGCAGAGGGATTTGAGGTCTTGTCGGGATGGATCAGGAGGGACTTCATGCGGTAGCATTTCTTGATGTCGTTGTCGGGAACACCGGGTTGAAGATCTAGGACTGCGTAGGAATCAAGGCGGAAGGCTTTGAGGATACGATCGATTTCGGCATCCTGAGAGATGGTCAGCATGGATGATGGTAAGAAGAGGATGATAGAAGACTGACCTTGTCGAATTCTTTTGATTCTTTGGCAATGGCGGCGAGGATTTGTTCGTCTGATGGTTCACTCTTTGTATTCTTCTTGTCTGACATGATGGGCAATCGTCTATGGTGTGTATGTTCAAAGGCAAGAGCAAGTCGGCGGCGCAACTAGCAACGAAGCGAATGCAACGGGAAGGAAGACCCGAGCTTCGAGGTTGTGGCCCGTGCAGCCAAAAAGTTGCTGCGGAGTTTAGGCAATTCGCATGTGAAAGTCGCAACTTTTTCTAACAAGCGGAAGCAAATAGCAACTGCCTAATACAACAAATCACAAAACATGGCGCCACATATCACCGGTCGTACGAAACCGACAAAGCCGAAGAAGCAGCAGCGTGCCACTAAGCGCAAGAGAGACGATGTCGACGTGGAAAAGCTGGAGCAGCAGGTTCAGGATCTGGTATGCCTCGCCTCTTGGTGTATCGTTTTGATCGTCTACTAATGTCTGTTGGCTGCACAGGATCCCAAGGGCAGCTACACTTCCTTCTCTGACCTTCCCCTCTCCCTCCCTACCCAAGAAGGTCTAAAGGCTTGCCATTTCACCACCCTCACACCCATCCAAGCACGCGCCGTCCCTCTCGCCCTTCATGGCTCCGACATCCTCGGTGCTGCCAAAACTGGTTCTGGAAAGACCCTTGCCTTCATCGTCCCCGTTCTCGAGAACCTGTATCGCAAACAATGCGTCGGTCAAGATGCCGGTCTGGGTGCCATGATCATCGCCCCTACCCGCGAACTCGCCATTCAAATTTTCGACGTCTTGGTGAAGATCGGAAGAAAAGGACATTTGTTCTCGGCTGGTCTGGTCATTGGAGGAAAGAGTCTGCAAGAGGAACAGAATGCTCTGGCACGTATGAACATCGTCGTTTGCACACCTGGTCGCATGCTTCAACATTTGTCGCAAACTGCTCTCTTCTCCGTCGACAATGTGCAAATGCTGGTTCTGGACGAGGCTGATCGTATCCTGGATATGGGCTTCCAACGCGATCTGGACGCTATTCTCGAATACCTCCCCAAAGACCGCCAAACTCTGCTTTTCTCTGCTACACAAACAAAGCGTGTTTCGGATCTCGCTCGTCTGAGTTTGAGAGACCCCGAATACGTCTCGACCTCCGAGCAGGGTGAATCTGCCACCCCGAAATCTTTGCAGCAAAACTACGTCCTCACTCCCCTGCCCGACAAACTCGATACCCTCTGGTCCTTCATTCAGACTTGTAAAAAGTCAAAGATCATCGTCTTCTTGTCATCTGGAAAGCAAGTTCGTTTCGTCTTCGAGGCTTTCCGTCACATGCAACCTGGTATCCCTTTACTGCATCTTCACGGACGTCAAAAGCAGACTGCCCGTCTCGATATCACCACAAAATTCTCGCACGCCCAGCATTCGTGTATGTTCGCAACCGATGTCGCCGCAAGAGGTCTGGATTTCCCTGCTGTTGACTGGGTCGTCCAGCTCGACGCCCCCGAAGATGCCGATACGTACATCCACCGTGTCGGTCGTACCGCTCGTTACGAACGCGATGGTAAGGCTGTGCTCTTCCTCGACCCTAGCGAAGAAGAAGGCATGCTCTCCCGTCTCGAAGCCAAGAAGGTCCCCATCGAACGCATCAGTGTCAAGCAAAAGAAGCAACAATCCATCAAGCCACAACTACAAAATATGTGTTTCAAGGACCCCACTCTCAAATACCTAGGTCAAAAAGCTTTCGCCAGTTATGTTCGCAGCATCCACATTCAAAAAGACAAGGAAGTCTTCAAGCTGGAAAAACTAAACCTGGAAGAATACGCAGCAAGTCTTGGTCTGCCCGGTGCACCCAAGATCAAGTTCATTGCTGGAGATGACGCAAAGGCCAGAAAGAACGCTCCCAGGGCAAAGATGGTCGACTCGGAAGACGAGAGCGAGGGCGAGAAGGAAGAGAAGAAGAAGCCCGAAGTCCGCACGAAATACGACCGCATGTTCGAGCGCAAGAACCAAGATGTGTTGGCAGATCATTACTCGAAGATGATCAACGACGACGATATCGAAGCTCTGGATGGAACACAAATGTCCGACGACGACTTGTTCAGCGTCAAGCGCCGCATCCCCGTACAAGAAGAAAAGGACGACTCATCAGACGAAGAACATACACTTGCTGTTGCCGATATGGATCTACCCCCTGGTGCAAAGGCTGTACACATTCCTGGAGCAAAGGACGCTCTCATCATCGACAGCAAGCGCAGAGAAAAACTACTCAAGAGCAAGAAGAAGTTACTCAAGTTCAAGGAATCGGGTCAGAAGTTGGTCTTCGACGACGATGGCAACGCCCATCAAATCTACGAACTCGAAGACGAAGATGCATTCAAAGCAAAAGGCACAGCAGAAGAACAACGACAAAAGTTCTTGGAAGAAGAAGCACAACGCGTCCGCGAATCAGATCTCCTGGACAAAGCACTCGCAAAGGAAAAGAAGAGAGCAAAGAAGGAAAAGAGAAAGGAGAGGGAAAGAGAAGAAAACGCTTCCGACGAGGAAGAAGGAGAAGGAGAAGCTCTTCCCGACGCTTCTGCAGATTTCAAGAAATTCCTTGCTGGCAGCGAAGATGGGTCAGAAGGAGAAGAGGACGACGAACAGCCAAAGAAGAAGCAAAAGAAATGGTTCGAAGGAGAGGGAAAAAGGACGGATATGGGCAGGGAAGAAGCCGCTCCGGAAACTCTTGCGGACCTCGAAGCTTTGGCTGCTGGTCTGCTGGGTTAGATGTTCCTTACTCCTTGCTGAGACTTGTTTTCTTTGTTTTTGTGTGGTCATACATTTCGAGATATCCAAAAAATGCATCGTACCTTTTTTTATCCAAAAAGCATGCTGTCCAAGTTTCAATGGGGGACAAGGAGCAGTCGAGGGTTTTGCCCAGCTTGTTCTTTCAGATTCTTGTTCTTCTTTCCAAATCGACTTCGAAACCTTCCGCCATGCAACAACACATCAACAAACCTGGTATTTGTCCTTGACTTCGTCCTCTTTTACCTTGCACTCAATCACGTTGCTACAATTCTCGGTATCACCGTCATTCCAAGACTGGGGCGGACTTTCCTCAGCAGCTTGTTGACTCATCATACATGCAGTCTTTTCGATATTGATACATCCGTTGCAGCGGGACTCACTGATCCCGAATACAATTCAAATTGTCAGTACGAGTACGACAGAAGCTGCTCTTCATGCCGTGGTAATGTATTTACCTGGAGGCCTCCGCGGGCATGATGTGAACATATATGTAAGTCGAGGCCTCCTTCCTCACCTCGATATGCTCTTCAACGATATAAATTGATCATGGCAATCAACCCGTCATTCGCAGATGCTTGTCATGCATCCGCCATCGCCTTGCCTACCCTATTCGGTGCCGAAATCACCAACATTCATGCCTCCGCAGTCACCAATTTCTCCCTCTCCTCTAGCCCTTCAGCAGCGTGGACCAAATCTCAATTTTCCAACCTCGACTTTTGCAACGTTACAATCAGCTACACTCATCCTGGTCAGAAGGATAATGTCACCGTCTATGTATACCTGCCTCCCGCTCTCCAGTGGAATGGCAGATTCGCTACCGCGGGAGGAGGAGGCTGGGGTGCCATGATGTCCGGCGGCATGACCTCGATACCCGCCATCGATGCTGGCTTCGCTGTTGCGGAAACAGATGCGGGTGTGGCTACCGATGCGCTCACATCGGCGGACTGGGCATTGCTGAGTCCCGGAAACCCTGATATCAATCGTCTCGAGATATTCGCCAGCAAAGCTTTGCACGATATGGCCGTCATTGGCAAAAGCGTGGTTGGATCCTTTTATGGGCAATCCCCGGCTTACTCTTATTGGATCGGCTGTTCTCAGGGTGGTCGTCAGGGTATCATGATGGCGCAGCGATACCCTGGAGACTTTGACGGTATCTTGGCTTTGGCTCCTGCTGTCAATTGGGGTCATTTCTTTCCTGTGATGGCATGGCCGCATCAACGCATGTATGAGGAGAAAGCCTTTCCTCGCGCGTGTGAGTTTGCCGCTCTACGCGATGCTGCAATCGAAGCTTGTGATATGCTGGACGGAGTACAAGATGGCGTAATCAGTGCACCGGAGCTCTGCAATTTCGACCCCATCGGCAAGATCAACCAACCCTTTTTCTGCAAAGACACGAATTCGACTTTACATTTTACCACCGCGGCGACGAGGATTGCTCAAGCGGCTTGGACCGGACCCCGTGGTTCCGATGGAAAGTTTCTCTGGTATGGGTATGCCATGGATGCTGATTTGAGCATGATAACCGCAACGACTTGCAAAGACGCAAAGTCATCAAACCCGGCCAATTGCACCGCAAACCCCTTTTCTAATGCGGCATCCTGCGATGATGAATCTGTGGATTGCACTGCTGTTCCTTTCCCCCTGTCCGATTCTTGGTTCCGTCACTGGGTCACCGCTGACCCCGAGTTGGATACGACTTCACTCTCCCGTGATGACTTTACCTCGCTGATACACCAAGGTATCCAACACTACGATTCCATCATCGGAACCCGCGACCCGGATCTCTCGGCTTTTCAAAAACACGGTGGTAAATTGCTCACTTGGCACGGCATCACTGATCAAATCATCCCTTTCGGCGGTTCGACATCCTATCACGATCGCGTGGCCTCCCTCGACCCTCGAGTGAATGATTACTTTCGCCTTTTCCTCGCACCGGGGACCGCGCATTGTTTGCCTGGAAACGGCCCTTTTCCCTACCGCGCGCTGGAGGATCTGATCGAGTGGGTGGAAAGAGGTGTGGCGCCTGAGCGGTTGGTTGCGCAGAGGATTGAAGATTTGGATGCCGAGACTGGGCTGTTGAGGCATGACGTCGAGCGTGCTGGAGATAGGGGAAGACCGTTGTGTTTGTATCCAAAGAGGCAGGAGTATATCGGCGGTGATGTTGGGGTGATGGGGTCATATCGCTGCGTTTCGCCATGATAAAAGGCATCTGATGGTGGACCAGCTTGAGTGGTATTGGGAGATATGCAAGGACAAGACTGGAGACGGGTATAGCATCAGTATCAACCATACAAGAGACAAGACTCTGACAGTAGTAGGAATCATAAACTTCATTACCTCGCCCCCACCTCTAGCTTTCACCTCTGCTCTTTCTCCCCCGCTTAGTTGAGTATCACCAACAGCAACACCAAAATCAATATCAACACACCAATAGTGACCCAAGACCAATTATCCTTTGCCTTCCTCGCCACTTTCCCAAGTCTCCCTCTCGCGCGATCGAGATTTCCTTGAAACCTATCCACTCCTCTTTCCACATCATCCAACATGGCATTCTGATCATCCATCTCATCTCCCATCTGTATCCCTAGCATGCGTTGGCGCCCTATACTCTGCGACAATGTATCGAGCTGTGCGTCTTGTTCGCCGAGCACATTTTTATGATAAGCGTGAATTTGCTCATTACTCAGATCAGTGTGATCAGGCGGGGAAGGATCATCTGTATATGCTTCCTCTTGCCCTTGTCCTTGTCCGCCAGTAGCGTTGTTGAACAGTTTCCCACGATTCGCATCAGGCGGTGAAGAATCCCTGTACGGTTTATCGAAACGGACGGATTTCGATCGTTGCGCAGTGGGTGTGACTTTTGCAGCGGCGAAATCAGGTGCCAGAGCACTATCATTAGGCGTCGTCGTAGCAGTCGTGGATGTGTATCCTTGAAACTGCATATTCAGTTCCTCGTATTGTTTCTTCAAGCGCTGGAGTTCGGAAACACTGTTTTCTTCATATCAGCATTTGTGCTTCCTTCGTCTTCATGTTTCCAATCTAGTCTCAAGGAAGGCTAGGGGATGTGCTTACTCTCCACCATCTTCTTCGGCTTGTGCGGATAGCGTCTCAATCCCCGAGCGCAAAGATTCCAAAGATCGGGTTATGGGGCCTTCGTTTGTGTTGTTGCCTGGAAGTTTCAGGGAAAGCGCGCGTTGGCGTTCGAGGAGGGAGAGCTTGATGTGGTCGGCGAGGAGGAAGAGCTGATGCGGTGATGTCGACATGATCGCGTGCGTATGTGTGTTAGTGTATATCGATATACGGGCGTAGAAGGTGTCCGACAGAAAGGAGAGATTAGTGGTCGTGTGGGAGGAGAAAGATACAAAGTGGTGAAAGTGGAAGTCGCTGTGGCTGTGGCTGTGGCCTTGGGGTTGTTGCTTTCCCCGGGATCGTCATTCGTCCGAGGCTCGAGCGCTGCGGGAAGGAACCACATTGCAGATGCCAAGATAATGTCCTTCTTTTCGTATCAGAACATCAAGGTGATTGTCCTTCTGATTGACTGGTACTAACTCGATGTCCATCTCACTTTACTATTACCTGTCCCCAATGGTCTTCAACATGTCTCATGAAAGGGCTCACTTTTGCGAAGATAAAGTTCGTTTTGCGAAAGTAAACTTCGGGTGAAAGATATGTATTATCCATCAATTATCGCATTATCAATTATGACTAGAATAACAACAACCAAAGAAAAGGGGTATTAAACGCCGCATCAGTCTTTCATATCTTTCTTTCAATCTGTATTCTCATCGCATGCCGCTTAGTAAGGAACCTTCTCCTCGAAGATGGGTGCCTCGCGGATTCTCTCCTGGCTCCACTGCACCTTGGCCTTCTCATCCAGAGTGGCCTCCTCGTCAGTGGCAGGGACATCGTGCTCCTTGCAGCCAGCAACCTCCTGAGAGGAGAGACCGAAGTCATCACGAGCGATCCAGACAAGCTGCTGCTCGTTGGCGAGACTGGGAGGCACAAACGCGAACTCAAGCTCCTCGTTGGTGTAAGGACGGCTGGGCTCGTTGAAGTGAGATGCCAACTCCTTGCGGACGGTAAGCCACTTGGCAGCGAAACGCGAGCTGAAGAAGAAGTGCTGGAGCTTTCCCTTGATACCAGTCTTCTTGGGCGAATCCTCCGAGCCGCCCAGCGTAGGCGATGTGTCACGGGCGCTGTTGGTGCTAGGCTTACCCTCCTCGGTGAAGTCGGTGAGGGCGGTAGTAGAGTGGTTGCGGTTACCGTCCTCGCTGCCAGGCATCATCTCAGTACCATCGACAATGGGACCAAGAGTCTTGCTCATGATGACGTGGTAGGTGATAGTCAAGACGGCGAGGATGATGGTAAGGATCAGAGGACCAAGTGCGGCTCTGTCTGAAGAGACACCAATAGCGAAGAGACCAATCAAGCAGAACTCCAGGAGGTAGACACCAACAGTCAGCTGCTGGAGAGCACGAGCGTAGGAGCGACCCTTCATGTCAATTGAGTCGTTACCGATGACGTAAAGAAGTTGGTAGCGGTAAGCAAAGTAGAGAAGGGTGAAACCAACACTTGCAAATCCAAGGAGCAGAGGAGCAATCATGGAATAGGCGATGGCGATGCAACCAAGCATGGCATAAGCGGGGTAAACGGAACCCCAACCAAGACCAATCAAGTTGACGTAGCGATTGTAGACCTTGCGAGGAGTCGAGTCCAGGATCTTTCCGAGGAAGGCAATGAACAAGAGAGGAGCGATGTTCAGAACAAGCATGGCAGCCTGGTTAACCATGGTGACGACGAAGTAAGCAGTGTAGAAGTTGGAGGCAAGAGGAAGGTTGCTAGCGAGAAGGGTAGGTGCCGATCCGGGACTGTCGACAATCTGCTTTGCGACAGCAGCAGCTCCAGACGAAAAGGTGGTGACGAGGAAAACATCGACAACTTGGAAGGAGAAGTACCATGCTTGGGTTCTCAGCTCGACAGCAGACTTGGTAGGCTCAAAGAGACCAGCAAGAAGTCTCAAGACGATGGGGACCAATGCCATGAGTACAGCAAGCATGATGGAGGGAAGAAGACCGGTGATGACACCCAAGATGACTGTGGGAATGCTGCTGATCCATGTCAAGAAGGAGATGGTCTCAAGAGTCTTGATGTTTGAGATGACACCAACAAAGGCGACGGGGATGGCCCAGAAGATGATCATGAGAACGACAAAGGTGGTGGTGGCAATCTTGAGGAGACGAGTGACCATGTTCTTCTTGCTCAAGTTGCCCCAGATGATATCCTGAGGTTGGACACCGACGACCTTGGGAGTGAGCTTGGATCCCTTCATCTTCTGCATGGAGCTGCCGGCGAGTTGACGGTGAGCGGCTTGGGCGAGTTCAAGGGTTTCGAATTCAACAAAGACAGCGGGCACCTTCTCGGCGTTGTGAGCCTTGTCGGTCTCCTCGCTGATGACCTTGTTCAAGCGGGTAATCTCAGGTCTGGCCCATTCGATTGTGTCAACCTTCTTGCCGATGAAAGGAATCTTTCCAAGACGGTGGGTGGGGCGAATCTTGTGGTCGACTTCGACACGGCCACTCTCGCGGTCAATGGTCGAAGTGTCGGCTTTGCCCTTCTTTTCAGCCTTGTTGTGGTTCTTGACGAACTTCTGGACGAGCTTGTTCTCGGCAGCCTCAAGCTTGGTTACGGCCTTGTCTCTCTCACCGACCACCTTGTCAAGCGCCTTCACGTTTGGTTGAATCCAGACGCGGGACACGCCAGTAAACAGCTCACGTAGAGCGCTCTCCTTGAGGTACTCATCGGCGACATTGGTGAACATGACCGTCTTGGACGAAAGGCGACTGCTGTACGCCACGGAAGTGATGACCGATTGGCGGAGGCTGATGAAGTAGATGATCTCGCGAGTAATGACGACCATAACGAATGCGACGAAGACCCAGGCAAGGATAGCATGTGCATAGTAGTAGTTGGTCTTTTGAGGAATCGCGACATTGCTGAACGACAGGAGATCGAACTCCTTGTTGCCGGCACCACCTGGATTGTCATTAATTCAAGAACCTCCTGGGGGTGGCCAAATGACTTACCAGTGGCATTGATGGGGAAAAGAATGGGCCAAGTCAGGATAGCACCACAGAAGCAGATAGTGAACATAATCTTGAAGAGGCGCAAGAACAGGTAGTTGTCCAGAGAAGAGTGCATCAAGATGTGGTCGTCGTTGAGGCCGCGGAAGTTCTTGATCCATCCGAACTTCGTATCCGATGGTTGTGGTGTGTACTCACTGGATGGAGTCAGAATGCAAGGCAAAAATTGATCCAAATCAAACTCACTATTTCCTAAGGAGCGGCAGATAAGTACGCGGCTCGTACACTCTCTTGTACTTGGGGCGGAAGATGAGGAAGACTGTGAGGATAACAGCTCCAATGATCAGCACAGGAACCAGAGTCGACAAGAAAGTCGACACAGATGACGACTGGTTTTGATGACTGCCAGGTTGGCTAGACATGATGGCGGTGTTGTTGATGAAAGCGCTGGATATGCGCGATCAATCGTGTGTAGGGGTTGTCAAAGAAATTAGGAGGAGTGACGGATTGCGACGCTGGAGATACTTGTAGTCGCACACCGCAGATCAGTCGTCGGGCTGCGCAAACACACCCTCGACGCTTTTACTTTGTTTGGACGTCAAAAACGGGTGTGTGTTTGATAAACCTGCAGCGCGCCCTGGTCAATAACCTTTGGTGGCTCTCCCTGTGGCGCAAAGCTTCGAGGCCCAGAACGATTGATGTCAAGACGGTCAGATTAACAGCGACACACAGCCACGGTGAGCTCGAGTTTTTTTCTAGGGCAGATTTGTGATGTGTTTAGGGCAGTGTTTAGAAGAGCAAAGAATTCACTAGGAGCTGGATTCGCTCCCTTGCATCAATGGTTGTTCAGGGGAGGTTGGGAGGTATGCAAGCCATCTCTGTTTCATTTCGACTATTTTCACATGGTTGTCCTCTCGGCGTAGCGTCATCAGCGTCATATGCGCCATGGGCGTTGACTCTTGATGTGCTGCACCAATCTCTTGGAGCCGACCGTCTTGGAAAAAAGGGATTTTTTCTTTTGATCGTGGGGAGCATCACGGATCGATGATCATCATAAACACCAAGACCCTTGAAATCGATTTATTTCCACGTCACGTCCGACGATAACAGCAACTGTCGGAAATACGCAGATATCGAAACCATGCCGTGCACCGTCACGACTGCGCAAAACTATGGGCTGTGCCACTTGTACATGTAAATGGTAGAGAAGAACATGGACAAAAGCGTTGTGCTGCCGTGCCAGCGGCTGCAACGAACACGGGATCGCAAAGATTGTTGACGCACAACTGTCTCTTGAGACGAGAAGAACACTGCAAGAAACGGCACGCTAACGGGCGTATCTTAATTACTGGCCTTCAAGCCCCTTGAAGGCGGAAGGCTGGAGCTCTCTGTAAGACAGCCACAGCTCACGTCTGGTCGTGGCTGTGTATTTCGTGGCTCAAGCTGCAAAATCTCGCATACCTTTGCCCTCATTCAGCGGTGACTGACGGCGCACGGTCGAGTTCGGGCAAGCACTTTTGTCACAATGGTTGTTGAGGTATGGACGGAGGTCCGAAGGGTCAATCTCTTCACGAAACAAACGGCGTTGATGCGTCTCGGACTGGACGGGCTGCGGTGAGTGCGGGAAGCCATGACGATCCACATATAAGATGATTTGAGTACCTCGCAAGGAGTCGCCGAGTGTCGTCGACGTATGTGCTGTACCAATCTGGGGTGCAGAAGAAGGATGAGTAGATCGCAGGAGGATGTTCAGGAACAGACTCCGTGCAGAGATAAATTAATTAATGGGAGATCAATTCGCAATTGCCAAGTCATGCACAAGCTTCCTCCACTTGGGCCATGAATCGCTCAAGAACGTCATGCGATCATCTTTCCCATCGCGTCTTGCCAGCTGAGCCGGCCATCTTTCCATACACTTGCAACGAGCATCTCATATCAACATGGTCACAGCAATGGATTTCGCATTAGAGCACAAGGGTCAGCTAGGCATCATCACAGCATTAGTCGTGTACTCTGCTGCCAAAAACAAGCTTACACCAGCCGGCATCGCGGCCGCGATCGTGACGGCAGGAATACACATGCTGCATCCTTGGGGAGTGTTCTTCAACCTCCTCGTAGGTTTCTTTATTGCCGGCACTGTGGGCACAAAGGTTCGTTTGCTTCGAATCTTCCCTTGCATCCTCGGGCTTGGTATACAACCTGTCTTCTTCACCACGAGGTGATCGAGACGAAAAAGCAATGATGTTCATCAGCGGCGTTGCTGCACGTGTCGGATATCCGGGCTAACGACAAGATTAGATCAACCATTCCCAAAAGGCTACTCTTACTCAATCGGCAACTGGAGGTGTGGGTGGTGAAGGTGCACGCAACTATGCTCAGGTTTTGGCCAACTCAGGCACTGCATCTGTGCTGATCCTATGGCATCTGTATGCCTCGCAAAATGGAACCAACTTGAAGACCTTTGGTCTGACTGATGTAATACCTTTCGGTATTGCTGCGTAAGTCACTGCTACACCTTTATATCCGTTGAAGCGGAACTGACCAGATACACAGCTCCTACGCCGCTGCTGCGGCCGACACTTTGAGCAGCGAGCTTGGTATTCTCTCGCCAACATCTCCTGTCCTTATCACCGCACCATGGCGCAGTGTACCTCGCGGAACGAATGGAGGCGTGACCATTACTGGTCTGCTGGCTGGTCTGGCAGGCTCTGTCTTCATCTCATCATTGGCCTACTTTACTCTTCCGTACTCGGGCACCGCCTGGACTGGAGATGCTAAGTTCATGTTCTGGGTTACGCTGACCGCCGCTGGATTCAGTGGTACATTGTTGGACTCTCTGTTAGGAGCTCTGGTCCAAGCTACAGTCGAGGACAAGAGCAGTGGTAGAGTTGTTGAGGGAGACAACGGCAAGAGAGTGAAGGTCACTCAAGGAGGTAGCAGAGTGCAGAGAGGCATAGACCTACTCAACAACAACGGCGTCAATTTTGCGATGGCAGCAACAGTTGCTGCTGTAGGTATGGGCGTGTGGAACTCAATGGTGCAGAAGGTAATTCTCGCTTAGAGTTTCTCCAGTTCGTCTTTGTTTCTAGCCCAAATCTTGCGTGGAAGATAGAAGTCTTTGCCCATAGAATCAGACAGCATCGATCGAATGATAGATTTGTCCATCACGCGGTATCGTGACAGCAGGCGTTCAGAACGTGTATAGAACGTACATGTCGAGGGTACCACCCTGGCTACCGATCTATCGTCTAGTTTTGTCCCAAAATACGCAAACCAACAACCCTTTATTGATTCATACGTATGCTCAAGGAATCAGACAATGGATTTTCTAAAATTTCTAGAGCCTCTCGCCAAACATAAGCTATTGTCAACTTTCCACATTTCAACTCCCACTTAACCTCACAATTCTGCTTCATCAAACTGATGTTGCATGATCAACCGCTACCCGATCCCAGATTGCGATCAGTGGAACCGAAATCACTTCTTTACATCTAAATCGTGACTTTATCATCAACAAGCCACAAAAACCTAGTTCCAGTCTGCTATTCTTTCGAAACACGACCGGAAATGGTTAACGCGGGAGACGCCGCGAAGCCTGACGTCGACGCGTCTTTGTTTCCTTTCCGAATTTTTATTCCACTCCTCCTTTTCTTCCACACTGCAACATCACTGATATGGTCATGCAGTGTGGTGATTGTTATTGTCGTCTTTGCGAAAAATCGAATGGAGGTAGGTCGACGCGATGTCGCGATCGAGACTGCCAAAAAAATGGCTTGGGTGCGTCAAAGAAAGATGGACAGATCCGGAAGATGCAAGTTGGATCTTTGTGTTGTCCCGATCGCGGAATTGGGTTTATCTTCTCTTACTTTCCTGATGCTGGCTTTGCAATCTGATCCAAAATCAGGATTGAGTTTTGGCTATGGCAGAGAATAACGCTACGGTACCTGTGCCTATTGAGGCCGTTCAAGAGCAGCATGAGGCAATTATCTCTGCTGCAACTGCTGCGATTGACTTAGACCACTCTAACGAAGACAACAACGACGCGGAAGACGCTTCTCAGACATCGTCGGCTTACGCCGAGGAGAATCGGCAAGTGTTTGAGGAAATCTGGCTACCCAAGATTGCTGCACTAAGCACTGAGCTAAATGTTGTCTTCGAGGACATCAGAATACGATGGAGTGGCGCGAGCTCTCGCATCTTCTCACTAACACTGCGAAACCCTCCTGCCGGAGCCCTCTGGGAAGACGGGACTCAGGCTATATTACGCATACGAAACCGACTCCACGATGAACAAAGCGAGTTTGAGGAGAAGGCAGATGCGGAGGCGTCTCAGCTCAGATCTGGGGAGAATCCGCACATTCCCGAAAGTCCTGTGTCTGCTACAAGCAACGCATCTGCAAGCAGCGGCCTTTCTGGGAGTACCTTGGCGGATGAGTCCCAAGAAGAAATTCACGAAGACGGTCTCAACCAGGGCAACCCTGATGAATCCAAGTCTGATGACGACTCTAGTAGCTCTCAGTGCTCTGATATTACTGATCAATCCGACGACCTTGGCCGAGATAGAGATGAGTGGCAGTGGGAGCGCCTCGACGAAGTTCTCGTCTTGAATCTGGTCGAGGACAGTGGCATCCTTGTTCCACGAGTTCTGGCTTACGACATCACTAGTCAAAACTCTCTAGGTTTCGCGTACTCCATCCAGACTCGCGCAGCAGGAGATTCAGTTCAAGATCACTATCGCCGTCGTGATTTCTCTCTCAATGATCGACATTGGATAGCAGGCGAGATGGCGGAATTGCGAGTGCGTCTGGAGAGGATCAAGTTCGAAGAAGCGGGTAGACTACTTGCCAACGAGGATGAAGAGCACTCTTCTGCCGGAAAATTGCCTCTTAATCTATCGAGTCGCGCCAACATCAGTGAGAAACTCAGCATATGGCCCTTCCGTCACGGTACTGGATGGATGCATGGTCGCAACAGATCAGGCAAATCTCAAGCAAGCTATCAGACCTTGTATGGCTTGATGTATGGGACAGTCCAGAATCTCATCGAGTACGAACTGGGGCGTGAACACAAGGGTAGGGAATCCCGCATCCGACGTTATCTTTACATCAAAGACATAATCAACGATATGTACACTCTCGGCTGGTTTTCTGAAGACATCGACGCCAGCCCGGGTAGCGCGCTTAGTTATTGGCACCAGGGCGCGGAGAAAACTCTGGTTGAGAAAACCGATGACCCAGCGAACCCCTGGCGAGTGACGGGCTTCATTGGTTGGGACGACTCTGAAGCGCTGCCCGTAGTTTTGACCAGAGCACCAGCAGCCTGGCTCTGGCATGGTTTCAACGATGACAAACTTGACCGTGACTTGGTATACTACTATCAAGGAGACATGGACATATTGCCCGTGGAGATGCCTTGGCTTACCACCGAAGATTTGGCCATCAAACAACGCTACGAAGACGTCTTGATTGAGAAGCTGTACACCCCGCAGTATGGCGAGAACGCCAGGGCCAGATACCTGGCCGATGCATATGGCCGAGGTCGATGGCTGCGTCGTGTATTCAAGTTCGCTCGAGAGGGACTTTGTCGTATGCTCGACTACCATCGCTTCAATGCATTCCATCAAGAATGGAATAATTTCATGAAGGACAAGAACATCCAGTACAAAGGTTTGGGAATCGAGGATGGGAGCTGGCCAGGATTACCCGACAACGGACCAAGAATGTATGTGCCAGGTATTCAGTATGAGCCAGATGCCACAGAGCACGAAGTGTCTGAAGCCGGGGAGAGCAAGGCCTCAGAGACTGAGAAAGTGACGCTTGAAGCATGAAAGGATGAAACTCGTTCATAAAGAAGCAGCATAAACCCCAGGACAATCACGTTAGAAAAACCATCTGTATTCCATGATCAGACCGTCCTTGTCTACTCTTTATGTGGGCGCAGAGTCGATTGTCACAATCATCAATAGCGTCTCCAATAGTCGTGATCATACCTAGCCCGTCCGTGCAGAGCGCTCCAGCACATCTATGCTCGGAGATAAAGTTTCTTAACGTGTTGCCAACGTGCGAAAGGCGCCAAGCCTCCTTCCGAGAGGAGTTGTGGACAGCAATCTCAGCCGCTGCCGAGGCGGTCATCCTCGATCTTTCTTTGCAGTTTTCTGCCACACTTCATCCATCCGCAAGCGGTACAGTTTATTTCATGTAGACATTGGACTCCTGAATAGAGTCTCGCGAAGCATGTCCGCAAACGGCGAAAATGTCATCATTAGAACAAAGGAATGTATACACACACACTGAGCCTGCATAGCTGTCGTACTCTTCTAGCCACGAACGTCCTCACTCGCGTTACAGGTTCAGAACACAATGTCGTTAGATATCCAGCCACCAGTACCTCACAACACACAGAGTGACCACAACTGTATGGCAGAAAACGATACACAGGCTTCCATAGCCATTCCTGATCAAAAACTTCCTGAAGTCACGGCACCAGAACAAGAAGAACCTTCTCTCACTCGTGCCGACACAGCTACAACCGGAGGGCCCTTCACGAATGCACATGAACCCTTCGAGACGTTTCAGCACAAAGTACAGGCTCTAGCTGCTGAACAATACGTCGTTTTTGAGGATGTACATGAAATAGAGGGCGGAAGCCCCGACCATCGCATCATTGGTCTGACCTGGTACAACCCCGAAGATCCCGCCCAAGCGAAAACACCGGCTGTTCTACGTATACCTGATATCTGGGATGGCAACCTGTCTGATGTCCCTCTAAAGCTACACCCCGAACAATGTGGCTGTGGCAAACACAAGGCCAACGAAAAGGCAGCAAAGAGAGAATCCGCAGCGAGCGAGCTCCAAACTCCAGTTCCGACCGCAGATAATGTTCTTAAAGAAGAAGATCAAGACAAATCGGAAAACGTCTCAATAATCGATTCGGAAGCTACCACGGAATACCAAGCATCTGAAAGCAGTGGTGAAAGCACCGATAGACTCAGGTGGGCTTACGATTGGACCAAACAAGAACCCGAGTACGAGCTTTCAGACGAGTTCGTATTTCTCAATTATCTCCCCCGTAGCCAGAGATCCGATCTTCCCGTGCCCAAGGTCCTGGCGTTCAATACTCGTCGGGATAATGCGCTAGGACTCCCGTACTCGATCCAAACTCGTTTTCCTGGTGTCAGTCTGGCGAAAGCCATGGAGGCTATGTCGCTCGAGGATAAGGTCCAAATGGCAGGTCAAGTAGCCGCATTGCAGGCCGACATGAACAGAATCGTCACCAAAGGGTCTGGCAGACTTATGGCCAGAAACGCAAAGCAATTGAAGCAAATGAGACTCAACTTCCAAACACACTGGCTGAATCTTCAAGAAGACATAGGGATCAGAGGTTTCCTCTCCGGGCGCAACGGTATAGGCTCCGACCGGAAGGCCCACTTTGAGAACGTCTGTCACTCTTTGTACAGCCTTCTGGACTCGCATCTTGAAGCTAGCTTTAGAAGTGAGATCTCGGAAAAACACACCGACGAAGATTGCATTCGTGCCTACCTCAAACTCAAGGATATGTTTGAGGACATGGAAAACATGGGTTGGTTTACAGACGCCGACAAGTCAGACAGCGATGGCGTCCTGCACCACTGGAACCTCCAAGCGCGCAGCATCATGGTTGATCAGACCGAAGGACCTTCTAGCCCATGGCGCATCACTGGGGTCATTGACTGGGATTTACCTCATACCTTACCACCGGTCCTGACGAGAAAACCACCCGTTTGGCTTTGGGGTCAATCTTATGACACTGAGCTCCTAGATGACTACCAAGACTCCTTTGAAGAGGAATTCGATGGAGACCATGACTTAATGTACCACAAAGAAGTCAATTCCGCTCCTTTGACCGCCGAAGAGTTGAAGATCAAGGAGCGCTATGAAGAGGTCTTGATTGATAAGCTCTACGTTCAGAAGTATGGAGACAAGGCCAAAGAAATGTATCATGATGACGCGTACGGTCGTGGTCGTTGGCTTAGACGTATATGGAAGTTCAACTACGAGGGTCTCGAATCTGGGTCGTACCACCTGCGCCGAGTACAGCTACTGATCAAAGAGTGGACAGCATTCAAGAAGGCAAATGGCATTGATGATCCTACTGACAAGGAGAAGGTTATCAGAGTGTACATAACTTCTCACCGCCCGCCATCGCCGTCGCCATCCACACCGGAAACTAGCGGCGTCGCTGAGGTACCAACCGCAGTTGAAGAAGTTCAAGTTGGAAAGCCGGCCGAAGATGAACCTGTCGAGAACGCTGCACCACCAAAGAAGTCTATGCGAAACAAGGCTTCCGATGTTTTGAGCTCTTTCAAATGCCGACCTTCATGATTTAGTCTATGTTCGGTTCAATCATCGATGGAAGCGAGGATGGATGGCAGAAATCGTACGATTGGTAAAGAATTGGTTTCCACTCGGATTAGTAGAGAACTGGGAGCAGTCAAGACTTATGTAGTGTTCGTAATGCTTGTTAACACGATCGTAATAATCATACCAAATTTGATTCCTTCTGTCACCGAAGCTAGGTGCACGTTCCATTCTGTCCAGCTTGTTGCCAACTTCATGCCAAGGCTTCGCTTGATGTGCTTAGGTCATCAGGCGTAATTACAGCCGCTAGCAGCACATGTGGGCGGCTATTTCGTCCCGCCGTCCACTCAAAGACCTCCTCCAACGAGTCCTCAAATCGATCCTGAAGAGCGCTCGAGAGTCTGCAAACGGCTTGTATGAACGAGATGGAGGAGCGGATGTGACGCCTTCATCAATGGAGTGGATGTGGCGTTCTGGCTTGACACGCCAGGGTCTTGGTGCTGCAATTCTCCGTCAACGCTCATGTGTTGATATCCCGGTGATGTTTCTTGAGTGAACACTCCAATCTCACCAAAATTAGCAATTGATCATGGAAGCTCTCAAAACTGAGAAAGTTCAGGGTATGCTACAGTATTACTTGAACACGACTAGACCATCGAGCGACGACCTCAACTCGCCAACAACAGATTCTATGGATCGTGAACACTATGTCTTCGAGGCCTATTGCGACGATCTTTATGGTCGAGGCCGTTGGCTTCGACGTCTGTGGGAGATATGTTATGCCCATGAGCCTCCTTCTCAGAATTGGGAACTTGCGCGCGCTAAAGTCATTGACCAAGAATGGACAGCATTCAAGCAATCGAAAGGTATAGACCTGTCTGACAAGATCGTTCATTACAGCGCTGATTTCTAATTCGAAAATCGGTTGACAGACCGAAGAGTCAATTTTCTTGTGCTCAAACATGTAGAACAGAAGTGATTTGGGAGTCATAAGCTACATCCTTCGTCTACAGCACTGGAATGCGTTGCCAACAGACAATTGGTAGATGCCAATTGCTCGCTGCAGAGTGACGACCCTCCTCCTTTGTTCTTGTCTCGGTTTTATACCTATATCCGCGACCGGAATTGCTGATCAGCGAATCAATCACAGGCTTGTTGATCAAACACCGTGCAAACGGCAATTTCGTTGCGAAGGAGACAAAGGAATGTGAGTGCCGCCCATGCTGCTGGCTGGCGTCATGCTTTGTCGCGACGCCTATCTTCCTCGCTCGAAGATCATGCAATCCGATTCTTCACTTATCTTGGTGCTAACTGGCAAAACGGGCGAACAAAATCAATTTATGCCTACCGCCATGGCCGCGACCCCAGCGCAAGAGGAAACTTCCGACTTCCTGCAAGGTTTCGCAACTTTCGAAGCATTCAAATCTCATGTATATGCTCTGGGCGTGGAAACTGGCGCCAACTTTCAAGACCTTACCGACATTTCCGGCAATAGCACCAGCTATCGTACTATCTCTTTGACAATCCAAAGCTCCACAGACGGACTTCAGAGCCCTGACAATACACAAGCTATCCTTCGTGTACCTCGCTTCGAACTCGACGACTTGCCAGCCGATCAAGACAGTCGGACGTACGAGAACTTTGTGGATGACGCTGCCGTGCTTGAGCTCGCCGCAACATGCGGGCTCCAAGTTCCAAAGATGATTGCGTTCGACACAACAAGTGACAATGCCTTGGGTCTTCCTTACTCACTGCAACTGCGGCTACCTGGAGTTCCTTTATCATCTGTGCTCGAAGCAATTCCGATGTCAAGTATGGCTGATATCGCATCCGAAATGGCCGAAATGCTTGTTCGACTGCGTGGTGTCAGGTTTCCTGCTTTCGGCCTGCCTTGCCAGGACAAAAACGCCCATCTGCAAAAAAAACTTCAACTGGACCTGTCAGGTCGTTCTGGAGAAGAGAGGAAAGTCACTTTGTGCGGATTCCCGAAAGAGTCTGGCGGGTTGGGATCACATAATCGCAAAAGTCCCACTTTACCCGTCATATCTTCTCTGTATGCGCTGCTCAAGGCTGCCATCGACAACAAGTTTCTACCATCCAGGCAAAAGAATATTGGAGGCGATGAGGGAACTGACACGTTGGCGCACGAAAAGCTGGGATCAATGCTCGATCAAATGAAGGCTATGGGATGGTTTGAAACAGAAGAGACATCGACCACTGAAAGTGTACTTCATCACCTCGATCTGGAGTGTAACCGAATCTTTGTTGAACAGCGCGATGATTCATCATGGCACATCACTGGCATACTCGGCTGGGAGAACAGTGGCGCCTGCGTATCACCAGTATTGACGCAGACTCCTCTCAATTGGCCGTGGGATCGTATCGACATGGATAAGCTTCCTCAGGAAGTCCTCAATTGTTTTGGTCGGGACAACGAATATATGCCTCTGGCTTGCTACGAAGATCTCAACTCTGATCACCTTACCGAGGACGGCCTGAAAATCAAGGAGCTCTTCGAAAATATCTTGATCAAGGGCATCTACGAGCCGCAGTACGGAGAGAAGGCGGCCGAGATCTACCAAGATCATGCGTACGGCCGTGGGCGTTGGATTCGCCGCATATGGCGTTTCGCTTTCGAAGGTATTGCCATGAGTGGCTACAAGTGGCGCCTCGCTCGACTGAGAAAAGACTGGGCGGCCTTCACACACGCGGAACTGGACTCTGACCTACATGAAACTGATGAGGACAACTCAGACCCTCATAATGCAACAGGTTCGACGATAGAATGCGACCACGAGCCCTTCGAGACCTTTCGGCACAGAGTCAGTGCTTTGAGTTCTGAGTTGGGTGCCACATTTGAGGACATCGAACACATGAGAGGTGGTTCCTACAACCGTATCGTCTCGGTGACTCTACGCAACCCTCCTAGGGGAGCTCTTTGGGTTGACGGAACAAAGGCTATTATACGCATACCTCGTGTTTGGGACGGCGATCTCTCAAATATACCACCCGCGCTCCATGGCAGCACTTGCAAATGTGATGCCCATCCCGAGCGTCACGAAAGCATAGATGACGCCCACTCTGATCGAAGTGGTGTCAGTAGCAGAATGAGTTTGAGTAAGGAGGGACCTCGGTGGGAGATACGGGATGAAGCGCTTCTGTACAATCTCGTTGAAGACGCTGGGATACCCGCTCCGCGGATACTCGCATTTGATCTTACCCGTGATAATGCTCTGGGGTTACCCTTTTCAATCCAGACCCGCCTGTCTGGTATTGGCTTGATAGAAGCACTGAAAACCATGTCTGTCCAAGAGCAGCTATGGTTGGCAGACGAACTGGCGGAGATATTTGCTCGTCTCGAGACCATTCAGTTTGACTCTGCCGGTAGACTGCTCGGCGACGAGGACGAAGACACAGCTACCGCCCTACCACTGCGTTCGTCAAGCCGAGCTGATATTGAGGATGAACCCAGTGTTTACGGTTTCCGCAAAGGTACGGGGCATCTTGCCAATCGCAAGCGAGACGCAAAAGCTGAATCTACTACTTTGAGTTCATTGTACAAGCTTCTTTTCTTCACACTTCATGAACGCATCGATGACGAGCTGCAGAAACAACACCCGCAAGGTCCGTCACAACAACAGGTTCGACAGTATTTCAAGTTGCAAGACATCCTTCAAGACATGGATCGCATTGGTTGGTTTTCAGAAGCCGACAAAACTGACGCAAATTCGGTTCTGAACCACTGGGACATGGAGCCACGTAACATGTTAGTTGAGCGGACTTGCGAGGGAGATTCAAGTCGCTGGAAGATAACAGGAGTCATCGATTGGGATTCGGCTCGTGCATTGCCCCCTGTCTTGACAAGAAAGCCACCTCTTTGGTTATGGGATGTTTCGGAAGATGAGGACCTTCCCGATGACGTTGCGAAGTACTGGGATGGGGATTATGATTGGATGCCACTCGAGTGGTATCAAAAGGAGAACAAGACGCATCTGACTGCGGATGGAATGAGAGTCAAGCAGCGATTCGAAGACGCTTTGGTTGGAAAGCTCTACAAGGAGTACGGCGCAAATGCACACGCCAAATATCTGGATGATGCATACGGTCGAGGGCGCTGGCTTAGGCGCATTTGGCGATTCGCAAGCGAAGGTTTCCATTTCTACCCAACTCATTGGAATCGCTTTCAACAACTCGAGCGCGAATGGACCGAGTACAAAAAGGTCAACGGCATCGAGTGCGATCCTCCTGAGTTTGCCGAGGACATGGGGGCTTATTCATCATCTGTATGGCCAAACAGAGCTCGTGAAGGCGGTTCAAGCGAATTCAAAGGTATCTTACACGACGTCGCTACTGGAGGTGATCAGACTAAAGGATGATCCGAGCAGCATCCTACCTTGATCAAGTCAACCTTGACAGATATGCTTCTTCATGGAGACTTTTCGCTTTCGTAGATCCTATCTATCCATATGCTCAGTTGCACGATTCCACAAGTCCACTTTCAAAGATATCTTCAAACATTCATATAAGCTATATGAAGCTTCTCCTATCTTCTCCAAATGAACAACCCTCTCTAATGTGTTCTGACAAGACAGGTTCAGTTGCTTGGCTCCTCCACGACATCCTACACGATATCCTCTTCGGATTCTTCTTCGGCGTCCTCTTCAACATACTCTTCGGATTCCTCTTCGACATTCTCTTCAGATTCCTCTTCGACACCCTCTTCGAAATCTTCTTCGACATTCTCTTCAGATTCCTCTTCGACACCCTCTTCGAAATCTTCTTCGACATCCTCTTCAAAACCCTCTTCGACATACTCTTCAAAATCTTCTTCGGGATGTTCTTCCAGATTCTCTTCAAAATCCTCTTTGACGTCCTTATGGACATCCTCTACATTAGCCTCCACGGTGGTCGCTTTCCCCTTGCCCTTGACTCTAGCCTCTCTAGCAGCCTCCTTAGCAGCGTCCTTGGCAGCCTTAGCAGCCTCCACGGCCTCCACCTTCCTCCTCTTCATATCTCCAACGGGATCTCTTTCTGCATCTCGCTTTTTGAATGCCTTTGTCTCGACCACTTGTACTGTTGCCACGCACTTGGGGCAAGGGTCTGTTTTGAGGTATGCGATTTCTGGATGACGTTCGTAGGTTCTGCAATGATTGGTGCAATACATCCCACCTTTTGTGCAAGGTCCTTCGCTTCCCCTGGCTCTGGGGCAATGGTGAGTGGTGTGGGTGTCGGTGACCCTGACCATGATGTCTGATGGTAGACTTTGGAATCTACAGTGGGTGAATCTACTAGCACAGAGATCAGTGCATGCCTCGAGCATTTCGTCAATGGATTCCAACTCACTATGGCAAATATAATGATATGCGATACGATGTGTTTCAAGAAACCACCGCTCAGGGGCTGACTCGTCCGCTTTTTACATTCCTTCTGTCTTCATTGTTCTGCCTCATCAATACCATGAAAAACATCTATCCATCTTCTTTGCATCCTTTGAGACTCATTGATGAGACGAAGCCACGGCTCAGGAAAGCCTCAAGCAAGACTGCCATGGTTAATCTCATGACGAGAGGCTAACCGAAGCCGGCGGAAAGGACACAAAGAACGATTGTTGGTGAGTCTTGGGGGGATCAATGTGACAGAGAGGAAGTCGAGGGACGCCGGACTTGGTAAGGAGTCAAACATAAGTGTGCTAATGTCGCCTGAAGGTTCAGGTGGGCATGTTGGTCAACGGACAGATGAAGCCGACTTCTCAAATATGACATGTTGCTCGTGTAGCTAGTATCTCATATTTCTTCCGCATTCCTCCGAGCTGTCTTGGAAAAGAGAAAAACAAAATCTATGCCAGCTGTGTGAGTACAGAGATCAACCAGGTCAATAAAGCCTCTTACTCTCTCTTCTCTCCCTTCCTGCCATACAAGACGTCGAAATTGTGTGCGATGAACAACGTATATGAACTACGACAGCTCCGTGAGAGATACTGACCTCCCTTCTTTCTGTACCTTACTGCCTCACTCGTCCTCCCTCGTGAATAGTGTTCAGTCATGGCAGGTTTAGAAGATAAGTCGAGTTCGCTAGCGGTATGATTTGGCCTATAGATGCTGCAAAGATGTATGATTAGTAGATGTTCTTCCAAAAATCAGCCTAAAGCAAAATACTTAATAATTACCAACACTATGTCCTAGAATACGATCCCCTCGAGCACTTAACCCTCTACTAGTTAGTCTTCGTAAGTGACACGGTTCAGGTCCGATTCGAACCGTGGTCCTTGGCTCGCGCCAAGCCACACCACCTATTTAGCCTCTTCGAGCCTCGCGCTCCTTCTTCTTTCCTCGTCCTATAGCTTGTTAATTCAATGTCATTAACTGCGCATCAGTCCTTATCATTCTATAGGACTAATACCCTCTTAACTACGATCCGTGTTAATAGCTATCGCACGCGCGCATCTATCGTATCGCTTTAAGCTAATTCGACCGACGGTGCTACGCAAGTATTCCCTTCGAAACCACAGTCCCTTAGAACACAGAACTATTAGAGCCGTATTAGCGTAAATCTCCTTTATAAGCACCTTAGAGAGCTTAGAGTCCTCGCACCTCTACTTCTAATAAGCGTTACGCGTCGCTTTAAACTCGCCTTCCTTAGATCCATTAAACTACTGCTACGAAGCGGCTCCCTCGTTAACTGCGGCACCTTACGTATAACATCACTTACGAGCTACGCGCTTTAACTCCTTTAAACTACTACTACGAAGCGGCTCCCTCGTTAACTACGGTACCTTACGTATAACACTTACGAGCTACGCGCTTTACTTCCTCTTAGATCTATCGAACTAAGACCTCTTCTACGCGCTTTACTTCTACTAAGACCCTCTTAGATCGATTAACATAAGCTTCTTTAAGACCTTACGTACACGCGCCTTCTCGAGACCCTCTTAGATCTATCGTATAATAAGCCTCTTTAAGAGCTACTAAACTAAGACCTCTTCTACGCGCATTATCGAGACCTTAGATCTGTCGCTAAAATAACTAATTTATCGCTTCTCGGCGCGCTCGAAGATCTTCGCATCTACGGCTACGGCTACGATTAAGACTACCGTCTTAAGCCCTTCGCACGCACTAATTATAAGAGCTAGTTAGCTACTATAAAGAGCCCTTCTTAGAGCCCTTAGAACTAGACCCTCCTTTAAGACCCTCGCATTAATAATAACGAGCTCGCTTAGTTACGCGCGTAGCTCGTAGATCGCGACCGCTAGCTCGATTAGCTTAAATACTAGCTCCTCCGCGGTTCTTCGCCTTTATCGAGTCGCCGCTCTAAATAGAGCTCTCGCTTACCTTCGCTTCTACGCCTCTAAGACCCTTGCTACGTACCTCCTTAAGTCGCTCGCCGCGCACCTCTTTAAGCTTAGCGCCCTCGTTACGCCTCCTCGCCCTCGCTAGTTCATATTCCTAATCCTCCTAAGTTTAGCAATAATAGCACTATCGACTTCGACAATTGGCTCGTTAAGATAAGACTTAAGCTTAAAACCGACCTTGGCCATACCGATAAGGAGTTTAAGCTCTAATATATCCTTACTCGTACTACCTCCGGCCCCTTTAACCGTCTTAAGGCTCGCATTAATAAGCTTACTTCCGCTACCGAGTGCCTCTCCCTTCTTAACGACTAGTACGGAGACCGCTATCGTAAGGCTCGCGCTTAGTCTAAGTTTAATGCCCTTAAATAAGGCGATAACGAACCCTTCTTAGACTTCTTCGCGCGCTTCGAAGACTATCTCTCGTATATTAACGTCGACGACGAATACTAGATCTAGCACCTCCTCGCTCGCGTTAACTACCGCTATAGCTACTTCCTCGACGACGGCACTAAATACACTAATCTTTACACCCTTATACGCCGTAGCTATAAGCTCGATACCTCTACTACTATCCGCGACTTCGACGATAACGACTTAGGCTCTAAGGCCTCTTACGACTCGCACGAATTAACCGCTCTCGCTCGCCGCGATTAAGCAAATAAGACAAATACATAACTATCTAATGCTCTAGGTTTTTATTGCAGTTTTAGAAGAATTAAGCTCGCGGAGCTCGCGCTTTTTTAGGGGGGGATAATGACACGGTTTAGGTCCGATTCGAACCGTAGTCCTTAGCTCGCGCTAAGCTATACTACCTATTTAGCCTCTTCGAGCCTTGCGCTCCTTCTTCTTTCCTCGTCCTATAGCTTATTAATTTAATGTCATTAACTACGCATTAGTCCTTATTAGTAAGAAACTCGCCTTACATGGAACACCTTAATAGAATCCTCTTTAATGTAAGGTCTCGTTACCTAGAAGCGGCTAGGTAACATAGTCGAAAATGGCTTTAAGAAGCAGTTATAGACTGCTATCGTTACTAGGGTTAAACTCTATACGCTAGAGAACATAGAACAGCTAGTAAATAAGAAGAAGTGCCGCTTAAAGTTCGATACGTTTAAGAAGCAGTAGAGGGCATAGGTAGCTATTATAACCGCTTATAGAGTTGTATCTGCGAGATCTCAATTGCAAAAGATGACCTCTTTCTCTGATCATTCGACTGATGATGCACGTCACGACTCTATGAGCTTCACATGCTGCGAAGCGGAACCAATTCCGCGGTGCAATTCGAGCATCTCTTTGCACGACAAAATCGAGCAACGAAGAGTATATCACTTGCGTGATGAAGCAAAAGGGCTTTGCGGCGAGTGAGATTCGAACTCACGATCTCTGCATCTTCAAGAACCCGCACAAAGCATAGCCAGGTACATTGGTAGCAAGAAGAGCTTGTGTTTGCAAGACACATTGAGGCAGTATCTTAACCCCAGACTACCGCCACCGTATTGCAGGATGGAAGATTGGACATGGATATATACGCTGTCCACACTTTGCGAACTCTTAAGTCGGCAGGTGCAGAGTTCTTAGACAGAAGAAGGAGCAAGACGGTATGTTCTCAGAATAGATACGAAGAACAACGCCAAGACGGGAGTTTCACAACAGGCGGGCCGAGGCTGGGGTAAGTTCAGACTGACAGCAGCAACAGCATTCACAAGTCCAGCACGACAACAGGGCCCATCGTCGGCGGGTCACGTATTCTTCAAAGACGAACACAATGCGCTAGGAGCCAGCAGGACTGGCCTCATCCACTCTCTCACCATGTCTCTCCTTAACAATCAAGACTTCACCATCTACCAGCTGCGAGCAGGATACCTCCACCACATCAAAGATGGCGTGGGCGAGCGCCTGATCACCCTCAACACTGGAGTCTTGAACAATCCGGCCTTTCGCGCCGCTGGCTGGCAGGCAAATCCTGCAGATATCAAGCGCACCTACTCACCACCTATACCCACCGCTATCGCGTCCGAATACTTCCAAGCCCCGCAACGCTCCACCGCTCCTGCATACCCTTTGCACGATGACGACGATGAAGGAGGCATGGTGACGGGCCAGGGCAGTCAAGATACCATTGCGGTCAACACACACAACAAGAGGCGGCGACGAAAGGAACAGTTGGAAGAGGATGACAGCAGTGACTTGAGCGACGACAGCGATGATGAAGACGACAAGAGCGCCATCTCGCAGATCAAGTTCAGCAAGATGCCGGTTCGCGTCAGAGCTGGTTCTTCTCCGACGCACCAAACAAGAGACGGTGAAGATGTTTCACTCATCGTGACCTCTCCGTCACGACCTACTGGCCAGGACGCCGCAAGACGCGCCTCCCTCCCTTCTGTGTCCTTCATAAAGCAACGACCCAGGAGAGACACTGCGACCAGCAGCGAATTCTCATCCGAAAACGAGACGGACCCTGTCACATTCCGCAAACAAAGAGTCCAGCACCGCGCCGTTAAGCATGGCCAGATGATGCAGGATCGCATCCAGGAAGAGGGTGAAGACGTCGAGTCTGATATCGAGCTCGGCGAGGCCTCTGACATTTCCGACGACTTTGCTGGAACTGCTGGCTCAGAGTCTCTACTAGGAATGGGCGCCCCTTTGATCACTGTAGACACGCTCGAGTCGACCCCGGGAAACGTACCCAGCATGCCACCTGCTATAACACCTCATACCTCGGCCTCACCAAAGCGCATGATGCAAATGGCTCCTCCTCCAGACCTGCCGAGATTGCCAGCAGGACGTCCCATCAGTTATGTCCAGCCTGTCAGTCTTTTGTCCAAAGCTCTGAAACACACATCGCAAAAGGCTGGCAACCCTCTTCAGCAATTTGCTCAGCTTTCTGGCAAAGGCGAATCAACCCCCCTATGGATCAAGATATATGCGCCGTTTTCCAAGAAAGCTTCGTCGCCGATCCAGGTTCCTATTCGCCGAAATGCGAAGGAAGGTGTCCCAACTATCGTTGCCGAACTCATTGGATTGAGTCTGTGGAGGTATGCCGAGGAGAAGATCGAGCCACCACTTGAAGGCAATGACCTGAATGTGAATCGCTGGACCTTGCGCATGGTCGAAGATGAAGAAGTCGATTACGATTTCCCTGCCTTGACCCGCACAAAACCTCTTGGTGACTTTACCTCCAACAATAATCGCCCACCGCGAGCACGGGCCAGAGACAAGCCTTGGGATGAATTTGGTCTCGTTCGTGCGACAGAAGACCAATACAGGGAGAATGAGGAGCTCACACCGCAGTTCGCTGTTAGCGAACCAACCACCTTGGCCCCGTCAAGTACACCAGTGCCGGATACTTCACGCACAGCAACTCCACAACCCGCCAATATGCAGAGAACCATGTCGGATGCACCAACGTTGGCTCCACCTGGAGCACCGACCTACATACCGAATGTCAACCCAATCACTCCTTCATTTGCGCCTATGGCTAGGAAGAACTCAACCATTCCTCTCATGGACGCACCAGCTGCACAGGCACCTCGATCTACACCAAGGACTGGCTCCTCCAAGACAGTCACGATACACTACACAGACCCGCATACCTTCCAGACCACGTTGTTACCTATACCAACCACGTCCGACACTTATTTGGCCGAGCTCTTCACGACCGCATGCCAAAGACTGGACATTGATCCAGCTTTGTACGTCCTCAAGGTCAGGGGCACGCAAACAGTTGCGCCTGAAGATCGTACTGTGGAAGCATTAGGACAACGACTGGCACTTGACCTTGTGCGCCGTCGCTTCGTGGGTGTGGGTGATGGTCGTGGCATGGTGAGTGCAGTCGGCAGTCCTGGTAGCGAAAGCCCTAATGCGCCACTGTTGCTCGAGACTGCCACAGCGACGAAAGCTAAATCACGGAAACCATTTATGGGTCTGCAAAGTGCAAAGTCCACCAACGATATCAATGCAACCGCGCTTTGGGGTCTTGCTGGTGGAGCTGGCAAGCGCTATCTCGTCATCCGCCGTCAGCCATTGTCTTTCGCTCCTTCTCATCCACGTATTCTTGCGCTTGATGCGGAGTTCATGCATGTCATGCCCGCTTCATCTACAGACCCTCTCAACGCAAATGCAGATCCCGCAATGGCACCACCTGGCGGAAAGACAACAAGTGTCCACCTCAGTAGTGTCGTTGGCTGCAAAGTCAGCAGAAAACACCCCAAAGTCGTGCGTGTGCTCGTATATCGAGAAAAAGAGACCAAGCGATACGACTTTGAGGCTTCAACCAGAGATGAAGCGCAGGAGATTGCGACGGAAATCAATAAGGGTATGATGAGGTATCGGGATGAGGAAGAGTGATTTGTGATCGGGTGATGATGGCGTTGGTTGCATTTGAATTTCGGGGTGGGCATTTAGAGAACAAATTATGATACCCGGGTTTTCTTCTTTCCATCGTCGCAGAGTAGTAGCGAATGACTTGGATGCCTTCTGGTTTGTCTTTCTAGTGCTGATTGACAACACAAGCGGAGTCGCTCCTGCCGTAGGCAAAGCTTTGACCCGCGTGGTCCGGCGCATCGAATATCGTCTACCACCTGGAGTTCCCCAACACATAAAATCTCACACTGAATAGTAGCGTCGAGTCTTTCATCGTGGCTTACCTACAACTGAGATTCGCAGCGTTTCCTGATATTTCTCAAAGAGGTTATTGTCAGCTGAAGACGCCCGCCGTCCTAGGAAAGAGATACAGAACGTGTCGAGCCGCCTGAGTTTACAAGCCCTGAGGTACATCATTTATCTGCCCATCTAGGGACTGGTCTTTCGTATGTCTGCTACACTGGTGGAATCAGCCCCAGCATGATTGGGTCGGGAGCACTGCACGGCGTCGCGAGGCTGAGTTGCATGCTCGGCACGCCATTGGTGCGGATACACCTGGCTTGCAGATGGCAGTCCTCATACACGAATTATAACACGATGACTGCCGTCAACCTTATCTGATGACCTTACACCTACTTTGTCCATATATCAAGCACACACTGCACTGAGACACTACATCATGCTCTCGTTGTTCAGATCTCGACCGACGGCATCTCCCACATCTGTTGCGACCGATCCCTTGAACAAGGCACTGCAATCCTTCCAGGAAACCTTGGATCCAGAGCAAAGAGCAAAGTTGCAGGCCATCAAAGCAGTCCCGGACGCCCATGCAGTCGCAGAGTTAACTCATCAGCTAGATCAGGAGAACGCCAGGAGAAAGAGTCGCTGCGTAGCTGCGCGTATTTCACCTCTGCTCGAGTCCCTCCAGCAGTTCTCGGGAATCGTTGAGACATTTGTTTCATCGAACCCGCAGATTGCGGCGTTGATTTGGGGCAGTATTAAGCTTGTGTTGCAGGTGCGTTGAAGGATATTCCATATCCGATGTGGATCCACAAGTTGCGCTCTCGAACATGTTCTGCTCGAGGCAATCATAGGAGAGCTACAACCCACTAATATCCAGTCACAAGCTCAAGGCCATCTCTCTGTGGCCAACTTGAGATACTCGGGGAATCTACTGATCTTGAGCAGATTGCATCTAATTTCACGACTTACTTTGACAAGCTGTCATCTTTATTGATGACCATTGGCAAGCGCTGCCCAAGACTCCGCGAATACCAATCACTTTACGGGGGTTCCATTGGTCTACAAAAGGCGCTGAGTAACTTCTATTCTGTGGTCGTACGCTGTTGTGAGCAAGCGGTCAAAGTGATTCGTAGATCAGGTGAGTTTGCTTTGCCGCGCTACAAGTAGTCTACCTTATCTATCTCATGCTGACCATTGCCGTTGAGGATATACACAACTGCTCAGAGCTGTGACAGGATCATTCACTTCGGATTTTGAACCGCTATTGCTCCAGATCAATCAAACCAGCGAGGAGGTGGACGAAGCAATCCACCTGGCCGAAGCAAAGCTGAACCACAATGAGAGACAACTTCAAACTCTGGAAAGACAATCAAACGAAAAATACCGGCGGATAATATTCGCAAACAGCAGACAACGAGAAAAATCCGAAGCCCATATGGCAGCGCAAATGCAACTAGATCGGCAAAGTGAGTATACGAATTCAAGCGCATCACACAAGAGTCCTAATACCACATCATCTACAGGAGTCCGCCAGGCCGCCGTGCTTGATCGTCTGTCAAGTTATGACCAAAGACTAGCGTTTTGCAGAGCTCGAACTCAGCGGCACGGCTCCACCGGGCAGTGGCTCGTACAAACCAATCAATTTATGGACTGGATCACCGGAAACGACCCTTGTGTGTTCTGGTGCCATGGAAAACTTGGCTCTGGAAAGACAGTCATGACTGGTTATGTCGTAGAATACCTGGCTGCGAAGCACAATCAAGTCTCTGAGAAGATCGTGTACTTCTTTTGTCAACACGACGATGAGACCTCCCTAAAAGCAGCGACTATCCTAGGATGTCTTGCAAGACAGTGCTTAGACCAAGATGTTAACACGTTCAACGCGCTTGAGTCTGAAGCTGTGGCCTTGTCGGAAGATCCTCAGGACATGAGAAGACTTGTGGATTTGCTTTGTGCCGTAGTCAAAAGGACAGGTCGCATCATCATTGTCTTTGATGGCCTTGATGAGTGTCCAAACAAGGAGATGATGTTGGTTCTCAGAGTATTCCACAACATCATGCACCAAAACCCGGCAGGCCTCAAGTTGTATATTGCAGGGGATAGCCGTATCGCTGATCTCGTGGGAACGCTTCTGAATCCGCGTTATATAGTGAGCACACACAGTCCCAAAGGAGCAACAGATCTGCAAGACATCGTTCAACAGTTGGTGGCTACCAAGAGAGATGACGGAGATTTTGTGGTTAGTGACAATCGATTGTATCAGGAAGTTGTTGACGCGTTGTCCGCAGGGACCCAGGGCATGTCAGTATCGCGTTGGGAAGCCCAACACTTGTTCTTTACTGATGCATGTTTTGCAGGATTCTTTGGGTCAAGTTCCAACTCGAGGATATCTGCCGACAAAAGACAGACGAAAGCATTAGGGCAGCACTGAGACATCTCCCTAGAGATCTTTCCGAAACTTACGCCAGACTGCTCTCGAGAATCGACCACGAAGGCAACACTGATATATGTGCCAAAGTATTCCGATGGATGTCTGTGGTCAAGAGACCACTCCATCTGGAGGAGCTTCGAGAGGCCATCTCTGTTGAGCCCTGCCAGCCATGCTTCAAAGCAGAACGCTTGATCAACAATATTAAAGGATTGCTCCAGTGGTGTCACGGACTCATCATGCTAGACGAGCAAGACGACGTCCTGCATTTCACACATTCGAGTATCAAAGAATTTCTTTGCAGCGATGCAGCGCAAGAACCCATGTCCTCAGATTTTCGTGTAACTCTAAAAGAAGCCGAACTCGAGGTTGGAGCCGTGTGCGTCATGTATTTGAGCTTCACGGACTTCAAGACACAACTCATCAAGCGACCTGCGCAATCAAGACAGCCGAAACCCATGAGTCCCATGATTATGGTTGACCAAGCTTTGACAACTAACAGTTCCAACAAGCTTTTAAGTACAGCAAACGTTTTCATGGGGAGTCGAGTCAAACCTGCGTCCGTGAACGCAAGCATTTTTCGGCCTCAAGCGAGCAACTCATCAACCAGGCCGGTAGTAACGTTTCGCTTGTTTTCATATGCCGCCTCATCATGGCTTCTGCATACTGCGGATCTGTCGCCTGAACAAACCTCATTGTGGTGCTTATGGAAGGCTCTCGTGGCAGGCAGTAACGATGCCATCGAACGACCCTCTCTCCTATCGTCAATTGAGCACTGGTATCATGTTACCTCGGGAGCAGCTCTACGCAAGTTCATCTTCTCCGTCAAGCATCACGCCCTGTTTTACCTTTGCTCAACAGAATACATGAACCAAGATGTCGTGTCTCCACGCTTCCAGGCCCTCTTACTGACAGAGGCACTCAAGGACGATTGCGCGTCCTTTATCGAGCCCTTCCTGGATACCACAGGATATGTCGCACGAGCCATGTGGTTGAAGCATGCCCTGATCATCTCAGATGACGATGCGATCGTGGCATTAGTACTCTCGGGGAACGAATGGAACGAGCAACTCACGATAGGCGAACGTTCGGGTCTCCTGGTCAAAATGACATCTTCCCTGCGCCCCAGTTTGTACGGCTCCAGCCAAAAGCTGGTCCAATTTGAGCTCGACGCATATCATCAGAATGAGCCAGCGGGTAGAGGTCCGACTCTCATCGAGACTGTGATTCGCCAAGGAGAACCAGAAATTTTGCACGATCTGTGTCAGAAGACAGCAGATGCTGGAGTCAGTCTTGACCGGGCAATAGCAGCTGAATGTAAGACAGCACTCCATATAGCGGTCTTACACGGAAAGACTTGGGCAGTCCGAGAGCTTCTGCAAGCCGGCGCTGATCCTGACGCTATGTACAATCAAGGCCAAACAGCGCTTCATCTTGTAGCCCAACGGCGGACGTCTCGCGGACAACCCCTAGTAGACCATGAATGGGACTCTAGCTTAGAGATGGCAACACTTTTGCTCGAGGCAGGTGCCGACACGGATGTAAGAGACCAGAGCGGCAGGGTCGCACTTGAATGCGCATCAACTAGCCTGAGGCCCTTGCTGCAAGTTCTATATGCGAGATTGTGTGGGAGCTCGTAGCGTATCCAGTGCTCAAGTCGATCATGGCGGGCGTCGGAGACCATAGGTAGTTGCTGACATGTAGTCAAACCAATGGAGTTTGGACGAGAAACGTGAACAGGTCTCGCATTGATGTTCACAGAGAGTTTGGACATGACAGGTTTGCACTTGCATGAGGAATGAGTGAAGCTTCGGCCCGAAGCCCCACCAACCTGACCTCCGACTTCACGTCTGGCCATCAGTACATCGTTCTTCCGCAATAACACCTTCATCAATCATATGCATTCTTCGCAACTGTCTTTTTCATGTGCATTGGAGTGAATCTTGAACGGATTGTGTCGCTGTCCTGCCATGCTGGATCGATGAGACTCGACGCAAAAGTCGTCGCGACATGGAAATTGCGACCGGGAATGGACGCTCAGCAACCAGCATGCATTGGACTTGCACATGACATCCTCACTTGAACGAATCCATCTCGGAGATCCTTTGACGTTGTCATCACTGAGCTCAGAGACCTCGCAGCCTTGCAGCGGACAAAAGAACGATGAAATGCTCTACGCCGAATGCGGGATGTTCAGGGCGAGTTGGCACGATGACGAAAAAACCACTCGACCTATGCCGTGAACATACGTGTAAGAAGTTTAGACTGAAGAGAACTGGTTCTAAGACTACTTATACTGCTGGGTGTTTCGCATCTTCAAAGAGATATGCGACCGACTCGCCACCTCTGGCTGAGGTCGCTGCTTATGCTACCGACGTTCTGGTGACAAAGTCTACCTCTTGGTGACTTCCCAAGCATTTCCCAAGATCTCAACAAGCTTTCGACAAGCGATTCAAGGAGTCAACAGAAAAACCAATCGCTCATGTCCCACGTTCCTTCGTCCTACTTGCGAAAAACAAAGTCCTTGTGCTTCTCCACGTACTCGTCTTCCTCCGCAGTGCCGCCCTCTCTTTCGCCGTCGATGTCATTGAAGCGGTATCTCAATCTCAAAACGCGCTCGCTGGGCTTGTAGGTAATGCTACTTCCGCCTCTTTCTTTCAAGTAGCTCTGCATGAGCAAGCCAACAGCGCCTTCCTCGTCTTGACATGCCTGGGCCGACTCCCACTGTCTTTCGTCCTCAGCATCTTCGCGGAAGGAGACCATTCCAAAATCGATCATCATGACATTGTGGGTCTGAGGGTCGACCTGGAAGTTACGCGTGTTGAGATCGCGGTTGAGAATGCCACATTCCTGGACGTGGTGGAGCTTTTCGATGGCCGAGTCAACAATGGACTGCCAGTGCTCGCTGGGCAAGTGTTCGTGCAGGTCTGTCAGGTGGAAGCCGTTGATGTACTGGATGAGGATTCCGGGGATGTTGATGGTGTGAGGGTTGCGGTCAGCCTCGGCTGAGTCTTCTTCGACATCTTCATCGTCGTCTTCGTTGTTCTCGTCACTGGTGTTTCTCTTGCTTGCGATGAGTGGCTCGTTGAGAACGACCTCGCCAAAGACCTTTGGGACATCCTTCCCTTGAAGTTCGGCCATGTTCTCGTAGGCCTTCTTCTCAATCTCGTAGGTCGTCGTCGATTCCCACTGCAGATACGCCTCGCGCTTTGCTGGACTCCATCGCTCGCTGTTGTTGATGTAGGCTGCAGACCAATTGTCGTCGCACTCCTTCTCCGCATCCCAGTAGCTGAAGAATTCTTCGGCGTCGCCACAGCTCACAAACTCCTGATATTCCTTCTCGAGCTCAGGGGCCCAAGGGGCAGCATCCCAGTCTTCACGATGCTGTGTCGAGAAGCGGCGATCATAGAGTTTGAGGACGCATTCGGAAGTGTTGTTGAGGATGTGAGGCTCAACAAAACGAATGACCATGCAGCAGGAGAGAGTTGCTGGGAAGTACTTGAGGATGACGGCATTGATGGGAGCTCCGTCTTCGGAAGTTCTGAGAAGGATTTCGTTACCGGGGAGGTAAGGGCAGCTGGACGGGCGGTCAGTTGGTTTCCATCTCACTCATGATATGAGAAGCGCTTACAAAGGTGACAAAGTATCGTCGGGGTGGTTGCAGTCAAACTTTCTGACCTCAGAGACAGTCTCTTCAGTGAGGGCAGTGAGGTTGGTGGTCATATCTGTGTTGGGAGCGAGCTTTGTGCTGTCGAATTCGTCAGAATCGTCCCAGGGCACAATAATTCTGATCGGGCCGCTGAGGTAGACGATCTTTTCATTCTTTGCGCCGACTGAGGCGGATGGAAGCGGCATGTCAGCGTCGAGTTCAGGCTGTTCGCGACCGGAGGACCCGACTTCCTCGCACTCGTCGAGAGGCAAGAGGATCTTGATCGGACCACTGAGGTAAACAGTTTTGACGCGCTGACTGCGGTTGCTGATCATTGGGGAGTCGTGCGGGTTTGCGAGGTTAGCCATGTTGGCGGTTATCCTCGCGTGAGCAGATGAAGGTGATTGAATCGTATCAGGCATTTGCGCCTGCGCGTAAGAATTTGTGGGCGTGGGTCGAGAAGGTTGCTGCTATAGCAAAAAGGTAAGAGAATATTTGAAGGTTTGTTTGTGGTTGTGATCGTGCGCCGCCGGTTGTTACACGACGCGAATTTACCATTTCCATTCACTTCCACCTTACATCCGCCAAGCCCCTGGCGAGCTAGCAATACATCACGTCGGGAAATTCGTAGACGCGAGTGCTAGTCGATTGGTAAAGCTTGTTGTTGTTTCTCTTCTGCTTTGCTATCTCTTTGATCTCATCATTCACGCCCACACAACAAATCACCCAACTGAATCATCATCTCAACCCCTTTCAACCCTTCCAGCATTCATTCATCTTCGTCACAATGGTACCCTGATCCTCACTCTGTGCTCCTTCAATCATACTTACCCTCTCTCCAAGGCCAGACTCGGAAAGAACCAACCTCTCAACGCTGCAGGCTGCAAGGAGGCATACGCCCAGTACGCCCAGAACATCGACATTCGTTTCCTCCTTTGCACCTTCCACGGTATCATCGGCGAGACCTACGATATCCATGGCGACAACAAGAGCCTCAGGAGCAAAGTCAAGGTCAACTTCCACTCCAAGTGCATGCACACCTCGGAGGGCAAGTTCAGAGTCTGGGTGTACCGCAGCAAAGGAGTCAAGTACCCTCAGGATGTCTTCGAGATCAAGGAAGGCACCAACGAGGAGCTTCTGAAGGTGATGCTCGAGCGCTCCACTGGCAAAGATGCTGCTGGCAACAAGATTGTTGTCACTCCTTCCCTTGAGTAATGTCCTACAGTATGCTTTCACTTCGCTTTCGCCCTTGATGAGCAACAATACTGACATTCAAAAGCAGCAACACGCTTTACAACAACACGCGCCCTTCACTCGCACACAAAGCGCCTTTCACCTTCACTACACGTTTCCCTTCTTTTTCTTGTTTAGTTTATTCGAGCATGGCGTTACGGGCCAGGCATGGCAGGAGCATATGATACCCGAAGACAATTCTTCACTTTGAGATTCAGGCATGGGCAGGAGCGATAGATACCCCTTCACTTTTTGAGATTCAGATGGCATTAGACTCACTTGAGTGTGGTACATTATTGTTTTAATTCACTTTGATTTTGTTTACTTCCTTCCACGCTGCTCCCTTCAGTTCCCTGAAAGCTGCTTCTCTTCACTCAACCGTACGTGCTCCTGTCTGTCATTGTTCCTCCACTTGATTTGATCTTGATTACTCGCTGCTCAGTCATGCTGTTGTGCTCACTTGACTGCCTGTCACTGTGGTGGGCAAGTTCCATACGGTGAGTTGGTGATTGGGTAGAAGCAGACCTACAGTGAATCAAACAACCTCTGGGTGAAGTACAGTTGCACCACTTCCTTGCCTCTACGTCGGCTCTCAATAGCCACTGCGGGTATCTCGAATAACTTTTTGCATTTTGACCGCTACACAATAGCCTCTGCTGGCTCAAGGAAACACGGCTCTTACGCTTTTTGGTTATGTTGGGCCCTCTTCGACCATTGCTCCAATCTTGGAAACCTTCTTGCATTTCTACCACTGCTTTTCGACCACTAACTGTTTCATGAGATGAGACCGCAAGAGATGGGCTTTTGTCGAGGCCATAGACAGAGACGTTTGCTCAGAAACTCCTTGAATATATATGACGACTAAAACTTAGCTTTTGCATTCTGACGGACGTATATCAAGTCGATGGCGTGAAGGGAGTGAGGAGAGAAGTATGTGTATGGGGCAGTGAGATATCCTGAGGTTTTCTTTGTGTAAGATTGGGTCGACGGCGAGGTTGCGCGAGAGACTTGGAGGAAGTCAGGGTGATGACATCGAGTACGGTATGTACATGGAGGTCTGGGCCCCGTCAGCTGGGCAGTGATGATGCAAGACATCCCTCGACAGACGCATTGGCAAGACTCGAACCTCGACTCGAGAATATCACAAAACACACGAGATGGACGAGGAAATCGAGTACAGCAAGAGACATTGCCATTCGAATAAACATCCACATCTGCAACTTCTATCTTACACTTTCCTCCTTTGCAATCATCAATTCCATCTCCCAGCCTCCCTCTCCCTCTCCACTCTTTCAGCCCTAGCCTCCTCACCCTCTTCGTCCTCATACCTATAACTGATCTTTCTACTCTTCCTACCTCCTCCCTTCTGCTGTGCTTCAAACCCAGCATTGGAGCCTCTTCTTCCACCACCGCCGTCTTCGTTTCTGCCTCTCTTGTTGCTACTGCCCATCGTGGCGCTTTCACGTCGTTGTTGTTCTTTGGCCATGCGTTCTTTGATACGTGCTTCGCGTTCTAGAGCGTATGGGTCTGCGGCGGCTGAAGTAGAGGTATCTTGGGGAACAGCGACGGATTGCAGAGATGGACGTCTGCGGTCTTCGTTGTTGTTGGTGCTACCGCGGTCTTTGCGTGGGCCGGTGGGTGGAGCAAAAGCCTGTTTGCTGCCGCGAGAGCCCTTAATTTTGAATCCTTGGTCGACTTCAGTGGGTGGCGGGTCGTCGCGGCGAGAGCGGCGGGAAGAGGAATAGTGGTCTGTGTTGCCATTTGCAGAAGTCGAGCGGTCTCTGCGTGAGCGTTTGCGGTCGCGATCATTTCTGTCGCGGTCGGAGCGTTCTTTTTCCCTTTCGCGTTCGCGCTCGCGGCGGCTCTTAGGTCGCGAGGTGGCGTCGTCGTTGGTGGTGCGGTGATCCTTTTCGCCGCCGCGAGATCTACTACGGCGGCGACGGTGGTCGCGGTCTCTGCTGGCGTCGCGGGTTGAACGGTGCTTATCCTTGTCCCGACGGCGACGTGATCGCCTAGATGTGTCTTCGTCGCCGGAGTCGGATCTTGTCACCTCTCTTCTCTCATCGACAGGCTCGTCATCGTGTTTTCTTTCATGACGGCGACGTCTGTCACGTCTGCGGTCGCGAGCTTCACTGCCTTGAGACTCGACACTATGCTTGCGCTTGCGGCTATGAGAGCCGGATGCAGAATGCGAAGGCGAACGACCACGTTCTCTGTTGTCGCGGACAGGAGACTGGCTGCGTTCTCTCTGCGGCTGTGGTGATTGAGCAGGAAGAGATTGAGGTTGAGGAGTGGGTGTGTGATGAGCGTTTCTTCCACCTTGATAGCCACCTCTGCTATAGATGCCACTGTTGGGAAGACCTTCACGCATAGCCTTGGGACCCTTGGGAGCATCAATTGGTGGACCTTCTGTGGATCCTGCAACGACTGTGAAATCTTCAGGAGGTTGTGACATATGTCCATTGAAGCCGCCGTGCATGTTGGGATTGAAGCCACCTCGACCACGGAAGCCGCCTCTGCCTCTGTACCCGCCCCTTCCTCTTCCGCCAAATCCTCCGTTGAAGTTGTTTTGCGGGAAGAAGCCGTTCTGATTACCAAATGGCATCATCGGTGTCATGGCAGGGTTGAAACCACCCATAGCCATCATGGCTGGGCTGAAGGCATTGGGATCCATCATGTTTGCACCTGGATGTATGAGTGATGGTTTTCACAATCAATCACGTAACAAGCTTACCTTCATTGTTCGAATGCATGATCTGATTTCCTTCTTCGTCTTGCATTCCTTGCATCTCGTCACCATTCTCGAAACCTTGAGCTTCTGTTTGCTCTTCACCTTCAGGCATCTGTTCGTTAGTCTCCTCATTGGCGGTATCTGGCTGTTGCTCTAGGGCAGATGTCTCTTCTGCTGGCATCTGGGACGCGGGAGCTACAGATTGGGAGTTGCGTCTTTCAGCACCAGCCTCAGCAGAATCGGTACCGGCTTGAGAAGGACGACGATCGCCGTGTTCAGAATCCTGAGGATGAGAAGCGTCGTCTTGCTGGGCCTGAGGGTTAGATTGGTTAAATGAACCAGCATTTCCACCAACAAAGGCACCGCCGCCTCTCCCACGGCCAGCAAAACCACCACGCTGGTGGAAGCGATTCTGGTTCTGGTAGTTATTATGATTGGGGAACTGTTGATTGGCATAGCCTCCTTGGTGCATTTGGGGTTGATTATATCCAGCGTTGGGATAATAGCCAGCGCCAAAGTTTCCGCCCATTCCCTGCTGTCCATTCCAATTGCCACCGAAACCGCCACCAAAGCCCATTCCCATGTTCATACCACTCATGTCTTGCATGCCCATTGCGCCGGGGCCAAAGCCACCAAACATGGACATGGGATTCATTCCAGGCATGCCTGAGATGGTGTTAGCACGGTTCGAGAGCTGCTCAAGAATTGATAAACTCACCCATCATGCCCATCATCGGGTTGAAACCGTTGGCCATGTTCATCATAGGGTTAAATCCGTTAGCAGCGTTCCAGTCCATGTTCTGCATGTTGTTTTGGGTAGCGTCCTGGCCATTCTGGTCCTGTTGTTGGGTCTCGCTGTCCTCCGGTACATCCTTTTGGTCGCCTTCAGTGTTCTCTGGGTCGACGCCTTCGATTGATTGCGCAACAGCGTCTTCCTCAGGTCCAGTTGTCTGCTCAGCTTGATCCGGATCCGTGACGTCTCCGGTCGCGGGTTGTTCAGAAACCTGCGGCAATGTCAGAATGTTGTAATAATATCTAGAGCAATGAAATCTCACCTCTTCAACCTGAGCGAGTGGGTCGGTGGCCTCTGGCGCGGTCGCATCATCTGCGACATCTGCGGGAGCGGCGCCTTCTTCCTGGCTTATCTCAGCGAATACCTCGGCCTGGGCCTCCGACTCTTCTTGTAATTGATCGGCAGGTGTCTCGGATGGTTGGATTGGCGTCTCTTCGGGCTCAGCGGCTGCTGCTGCGGCAGCCTCAGCAGCGGCAGCTCTCTTCTTCTCCTCGGCCTTGATGAAGGATCGGATGGTCATGCGCAATGACTTGTTGGGCTTGCACATGTCGGGGTCCAGAGGAGAGTGACTGCATACTGGGCAGGCTTCGGATAGTGTTGCCTGGCAATCTTGACAGATGGATGAGTCGCAGCATTGGAGCTTGAAGGCGTTGACAGCGAGCTTGCTGCATGTGGCGCATCGTAGCTTGATCGGAATGTCGGATGGAGTGAGTGAGCTGAGGAGCATGTGAGTGATTGCGCATGCTGGAAACATTTGGTTTAGTCTGACCTGGCGAAATCAATGGCCGCTTGGTCCTGGACGGCCGCCATGATGCCGACTCAGTTCACACGCCGATGTGAGGTAACCGGCCTGGTGAATAATGTCTGGTAGCCGGAGGTGGATGTTGCGATAATAATGCGCATCAGGTCTGTGAAATCAGCATCCAACTCTAGAATGACCAACGCGCAATCGCGGATGCTCCCGCTGCAAGAAACGAGGAAGCTTTACCGAGTGCCGCACGTGATAGTCTCTATTACTTGTTGTCTGTTTTTCTTCCATCTATGCTTCAATTGCCCTCGAAGATGACTGACTTGAGGTGATGGTCATTTCTGTGATCAGAGACTTGTTCAGCGCATTACCACGTGTGTCAAGAGAACTCTTTCGGTCAAGCCACGAACTTCATCGCTCCTTCCTGTTCGAAGTGCTCGTCGAAAGTAAGACTCAAAAGAATACAATGACCGAGCTATCGACATGTAGTAGACTATTCTTCTCAAGTGAGGTGAAACCCGTTTGACTGTCCCTCTCAATTGAATCGATAGCATGGAATCAATGACCAAATCATCAACCTGGTGAGCTTCATCGAACCTGCCATGTCGATCATCTCCACAAATGGAAGACCCTGATCAACTACATCATTGGTTCCTTCCAACAACCCACCCAACTCAACCTTTGCAATTGCCCATATCACTTTCACTTCATGTATACACCGCAATCATGATATTAAACCAAATTTCATATCTGGATTGCATAGCGTTCCTCATCTTCCTTGCACCTCAATTGCTCATCAGAGTTGGACTAATAGAAACTGTCTCTTGCGTGGTAACAGCATTGCCATTCTTTTGTATGATTCTCCCCATCCACCCCCGTATGCCCCCCTGAAATCGAGTCACTTGGACTGACGAATATCTCCAGTATTCCAACTCCCCTACCAATTTATCAGAGAGCGTTTCCACACACCCCAATCCCAAAAATCCCTTTTCAACCAACACGCCACTCCCTTTCAAGATTTCGTCATCCGCTGCGTTCGCTATGCTTTCGCCAACATCCCAGCCAAGATTGGCAAAGTGTTCTTTTCAAAGGGCGTCGCATTGCCCTTTTTCTGGTTCCGCATGTTGAGGCATGGATACACGAAATCTGCTATTCCGTGGAAAGAGGTTAAGAAGGATGGGTTGCATGGTATTTGGATGATTTGTGATGAAGAGAAGAAACCGGATGTTGTGGTTTATTATTGTCACGGTGAGTCTTTTGATGAGATTGTTTGGGAGATGTGGGTTTACTGATGATGTACAGGTGGTGGATTTTCCATGGGCAGCAGTTTCTTCTATCTTGAGTTTCTGCTTGCATGGGTCAGCATTCTCAAAGAATCTGGGTACTCCAATCCAGCTCTTTTTGCTCTGGAGTACACTCTGGTCCCGGAATCCACCTACCCAACTCAAGTCCACGAAACCCTTCTCGGCTACGAATACGTTCTGTCCAAAATCGAGGATTCGTCAAGGATAGTCGTAAGCGGCGACTCGGCAGGTGCAACACTAATGCTAAGTCTATTACTCTACATGTCTCAAGAGCCAAAGCTCAGGACCCAACTACCAGGCCTAGGGATCATGATCTCACCCTGGGCCGTCATCGTATCGCCAAAGAATAAAGATACACCTAGCGACTACCTCAACGCCGACTCCCTCCATCTCTACGGGAGCCAATACATCGGCACTAAAGCCTCTGCCGACGACTCTTTGGTCTCGCCAGGAAAATGCAGAGATAGAGAGTGGTGGAGACGAGCATCGCCTAGTAAAGGCTGGTTCTTTATTTATGGTGCTGAAGAGGTGTTTGCACCCGAGACTAGAGAGTTGGTGGACTTCCTCACGGAGGAGGTCAAGACGGAAGTGAGTGTGCACGAGGAGAAAGGATGGATTCATGCATGGCCTGTGGTAAAGCTTTTCCTATGCGATGGGCAGAAAGAGAGACAAAGTGGGCTTAGAAGTATGACCAAGGTTATGCGGAATAGACTGAAGTAGAGCGCGATATATAGAGATGAATATATAGATACGAATATACCTCCTGGAATGTTTGGTCTCTTTATCAAAATGCAGAGCGAAGCTGATGGAATCAACGTGAAGTGTAGGAGACGTGAAGAGAAAGGTAAACCAGAATGCTTGCTGAACTAAACAGAAAAATGTAGTAAGAGGCAGACCAGACAAGGGAACAAAAAAATGCCATCTATACACAAAACCAAGCATGACCTTCGGTGACTGTCGTACTCTAAGCAATGGATGATTGGGTATCAGAGATTAAAAGTGAGCGTGATAACTCAGGCCGTAAATAAAAGAAATGCATGAGCTGAAACCATATGCGAATGCAAGAACAAAAGGGAAAAAAAGAACCGCTTACAACAACTTCACCAAGAGCCCGAGGGCGAAGCTCAAAGGAGGTCTCTCAACCTCTCTTGAAGAACTCCTTGAAACTCTTGCTTCGTTGCCTTCCGGTCTTGTTGTGCCTGATATCTCCATCATCGCCAGAAAACACATTCTGCCTCTCCTGCTCTTCAATCCTGGCCCTCTCATCGTCCAACTTCTTCTGTGTTTTCTTATCCACAGCCCATCCTCCCGTCTTCTCCACGTCCACACCTTCGTCTTCGGCGATAGTTTGAGGGTCGAAGATACGTTGACCCCTGGGTGCTCTTCCCGGTGAAGGGAAATCGGGCACAGGGACGGGCTCTTCTCCCTTCTTGGCAGCTTCCTGTTGTCTGCGCAGATTAAGACGGGGAGGAGGCGGTGCGCGCAGGGACTTTGAGCGAGAGGGTGCAAAGCCCGTGTTGGAGATGGTGTGTTCCTTGTGAGGTTCGCGGTCACGGGTGGACATTGCTCTTCCCAACGCCTGCTTCATCGACTTTGATCTAGACATGCCACCGCCGGATGTGGTCTTGCTGCGTGCGGGCAGTTCGCTGGGTATTTGCTCGCGAACATGTCCGTTGTTTGGGGGAGAGGCGTTGCGGTTGTTGTGGTCTGTTAGGCCATTAGGAGGGCTGGTGCGGTGAATGCTATTCTTACGGCGAGCGGCGGCCATGTTTCCCATTTGAAGGACGCGGTTGCCTTCTTCGGTTTGGGTGAACTGGCGGGCGAGTGGGGTGATCTGGTCATCGCCCTCGTCGAATGAGTTGCGCGACATGATTGCGGTTGTTGTGTCGAGAGATGCGTGTGTGGTCGTTCGGTTTTCGAGATTCGGTCGAAAGAGAGAGAAAGATCAGAATGGTGCACCTCAAATGTTGTTTTGCCCAAAGTCCTGAACCGTTTCGATGGCGTCAAATGCTGGGAACTATTTTTGTTGACTTTTGCGGAGAAACTGTTGATGTGGTTTGTTTGCCAACGGGTGACAACGGCGGTGTAAAAAGGCAGATAGTGCGAGCAAAAGATTTGTTGTAATTAAATTGTGTAGAATCGATGGTTCCGCGGATGTCTCGTATGTTTGCTTCGTGAGGATGATGTCGAGAGAAAACAAGAAATTCGTATTGTTTTCCTGCAGGGCAACTTTAAAAAAAGGGGGTCTGCTGCAGCTGCTTGATTTGATGCAAGTGACGGAGGGGAAAAGAAAGGTCCAGCGGGCGCATTCAGCGAGTCGGCGCTTTTTTGTGCTCTTCGACCTTTGCACCTTGCTCACTCTAATCCTGAAGATTGACACAAGATCAATCTGAAACACGAGTTTGACGAGACTCTTCTCAAGGGGCCGCGCGTTAATTGCATCTCCATTCTGGCAAAGATGTTCGAGGCCCTCTTCATATCACTGCCCTTCTCGATCATGCAAAGAGCGTCGCTGCTTTGCTGTCGTCCAGCTGTTGGTTCAAGGTCCATCTTTTCCTTCGTATCCTGACGTGGTGGATCTTGTACGCACTGCGGCGCAGTGCTTGGACTGCCGCTAAAAGCCAAAGAATGCTTCAGCCTCTGTCGTTGGTGGCTGACTTCGGCCTCGCTCCCCACACACGCTAGACCGTGTCCTTGGCCCGACTTTTAAGATGAGGGCCGTCCTTGTTTGTGGGTGTGGATCATGGAGAGGGTGGCCTAAGGCATCATAACTATAATAGAGTCTTGTTACAGTCGTTGATTTGTGGTTCAAGCGATCGCAAGATGGCTCAAGAAAAGCGGAATCCAGGAGCGGCTCCAAGCGAACATGAGCGTCTCAGGAGTGTCCTCGCAATTCTGGTCGTGGTGAGAAGTACATGACTTAAGACGTATAGGTAGACGATACAGCTTATTGATTGCCTATAAGAATATATTGGTCTGCAATCCTGACATCGAAACGAAGATGATGAAAATTTGTTCACCACGAGAAAGGTCGACAGTCAGCACGTGGCTCGATATCGAATCTGCGGGCCCGCCAATAAATCATCGCCAACGCAACGAAACGCGAGTGCGTGTGGCGAATGTAGCCTAGACAGGACCCAGATAGTCTGAACCTTTAACAAGGTCAATGTTAAAGGTTTGCTAGCAAAATAAAAGCACAATGGAAGTGATAATTGCATGTCAACATGGTCGTACTACCCACCCTGACCACCACACAGTCCACAGCATCCACGCAAAGGAGGGAGTCTATGGGGACGAGCTCGACAATTGATCGTTCGTTCCCATACTGTACAAGCTTAGAAACAACACATGAAAGGGATCTGAACGGCCAACAAGTAGTAGATGTAATAAAGAGACAAAATTTCAGATTCGCTAAATCTTGGGGATATCTAGAACAGCACAAAAACTAAACCGACCATAGCATCATATCTTGACATATACTCTTTTCACAAGCTTGCTCTCTCGGCACCACCGACCTTCTTGGATGTGAAGGTTGAGAAGTAGTTGTTAAGAGCATCGACAGTGCCAGTGCCCTCGACAAGCTTGACAACACAGCCAACATATCCGTCAGGACGGACAACAACGACACCACCCTCTTCTTGCGACAGACCCATCTTTGCGTGAGCGGCTGCCTTGGCATCAGGTACCTTCTGGTCCCAGACATCATCAGCATATACGTGGTCGAAGTAGCGAGACAGGATTTCGGGAAGCAATGATCTGATCTCGATCTGAGGGCGCTTGGCGTTGAAGATGGTGTTGATGGTGAAGAAGAGACTGTGAGGGTTGTGCTTCTCGTGGTAGGAGACTTGGTCGAGGCTGGGGTGACCAAAGGCGCTGTAGAAGGAGTTCTTCCTGGACAGGCCGGCTGCGAAGTCTGAGATGGCGCGCTTGGTCTTGCTGGGTTCACCACCGAAGAGGTAGATGCGCCAGCTGCCGTTGAGGGGAATTTCTTGCTCGAGGTGGACGACGTTGGCATCCGCTACTCTTGTGACAGTGGCGTTTGTGAGAATGCGTCCAGTGCGTTGAGTTGTGGTACCGGCCTCCTTGGAGAGGAACAGGGGAGACTGTGCGGGGTGGTCCTTCGACCAGTTGAAGATGTTGGGGTTATAAGCGACACCGTAGCCTGAAGTGAACTCGCAAGACGACTTGAACATCTTGATGAACTCATTGTCCTCGACCTGGTTCTCGCCGGTTTGTTGTGATGCTTTGCTGACCTCGCCGGCGCTGGGCTGACGTTGTGAGAACAGTTTGGCGTATTGGTTATCGAAGTTGAGAAGGTTCTCAGCGATCAACTTTCGCTCCACCTCGTAAGACTTGAGGATAGAACGGTCTGCGAAGCCGCTCTCGACGTGGTGAATCTTCCAGGCCAAGTTTTGAGCGTCTAAGAAGGCCGTGTTCATACCCTGACCAGCCTTAGGAGAGTGAGTGTGGCAGCAGTCACCGCCCATGAAGACACGCTCGTCAAGAGTGTAGCGGTCGGCGATACCCTGTCCGATGGGGTAGACCGAGAACCACTCAACACGGTCCCATTCGATCTCATAAGGCTTCATGATCTTCTTGGCTGCCTCCTGGACCTCTTCCGTTGTTGCTTGCTTGCGGGGATTCCAGTCTTTGTCTGTTGAGGAAGCGATCTGGATGTACAGACGAACCATGTTATCCTCGCGAGGAATGACCATGATTGAGCCAGCATCGGAGTGAATTGTGCACTTCATCTTGATATCGGGGAAGTTGGTACGGACGACACCGTCCATGACACCCCAAACATGTGTGATGGGGTCCTTGTGTGTGATGCCGACACCAAGCTGCTCGCGGATAAAGCTGCGAGCTCCCTCGCCACTGAACAGGTACTTGGCTCTGACCGTCTCTTTCTCGTCACCATCGACGTGTCCAATGTTGACCTCGACCGGGTATTCCTTGTCCAGGCCATCATTCTTGAAACCGGTGATTCTCCAAGGTCTTTGAACCTGAACGTTATACTTCTCCATGTCGGCAATGAAAACGCGCTCAATCAGACCTTGATGAAGCAGAGTGGTGAAAGGGTAGCGAGCATCGAGGAAGCTAGGACACGATGCCCACGTGCCAGTGCGGTGGATGCCTTTGCTTTGCTCTGAAGGGTCCCAGAAGGCGACTTCGTAAACTTTGGCAGGCTCGTGAGCCATGATAGCGCGCTTAAGACCCATGTTTCGGAGGAGGTCGAGTGATCGTGGTTGGATTCCGTCTGCTCTTCCGGTGACTGTGGGCTCGGGTCGCATGTCGATGTGCTTGATCTTGTAACCCCATCTTGCAAGGCAGGTCGATAGTAGGAGACCGACAGGGCCAGCTCCTACGATCACGATGTCGTACTTCTCAGTAGGCATGATGATGGTGTATTATGTATATGGGTAGGAAAAGAAGGATAGACTCGGAGCCAGAGGATATCGTGTTAGTCGAGAGGAAGTTGGGGAGGTGATGGCTGTTAAGACGATGGCGATCACATAGCTTATGTATGAATGCTGACTTGCCTGTGTACTTAGCTACGGCAGAGCTCTATAACATTTTCGGCTGCCTGGCTGCTCCCGAATTGAAGACAGACCTCTGCCGCAAAAGGGCAACATGACATTTGCGGGGCCTCCATTCCCCAAACCACCAATCGTAATCATTCCTGGGGTCAATCTACAGCCAAGCTAGAGCGATTTGGTGGACCGAAATCGAGTCCTCGTTCTGCCGTTGGTCGTGATCCGGCAGAGCCGCGGCCGGCACAAGTCGAAGTGCTTTTCGGGAGTCTGTCGACATCTCGAGTCGAGGCCTGTTGATTAGTCAGCCGGGACCTCCACATTCCCCATGATCGCAGTACCCCGCGTTTACCTCCAGGATTCCATCTCTCGTTAGACTCGTTCTCGGTGCGAACATGATCCGTCTTCCTTTCTCTGTTTCCTGCATCGCTGGAGGTTTCTCGTTGGTCAGATGAGCTTTGACTAGCCTGATATGGTGTACCTCAGGGTTCGGCATGAGTTCCCCCATCTTCCAAAGCTTATACAGACGTCAAATCATCGTCCTGAGTAGGGCTGCTCGTTGAACTCTCCGAAGTGATACACAGTAGGGAGGTCATATAATTAGAGGACACCCGTCCGCATCTCGTTGCTTCGACTTGACCAATCTTGACAAAATGCCTGCAATTCAATCCCCGACCGTTCCGCTTATAGGACAAGCCTCTAACATTGTCCTGCTATCGTTCTTCCTCACAGCTTGTGTATCGGCGTACGTCGTATATCAGAGGTTCTTCCATCCACTTGCTTCCGTCCCCGGACCGTTCTGGGCCAGTCTCTCTCGACTATGGATCACGAAGCACAGCTGGGACGGTGACATGCACAGAACCATGATCGCTTTACACGAAAAGCACGGCCCTATCGTTCGCAATGGCCCCAACGAAGTCAGCATAGCGGACCTTTCAGCCATCAAGACCATCTACGGCGCTGGTACCAAGTTTCGTAAGAGTGACTGGTATTCAGTGTGGCAAGGCCACCGCAAGTTTGACTTGTTCGCGGAGAAGGACGAGAAGCTGCATGGCAAGCAGAGAAGCTTGATCAGCTCAGCATACTCGATGACAAGCTTGAAGGATCTGGAGCCGTACGTCGACGACAGCGTGAAGAGGTTCTTGGATGCAATGAGCGAACGCCAGAATCAAGTTGTCGACATGGGCAAATGGGCACAGCTCTTTGCTTTCGGTAGGCAGAATATTCATCTACATTATACTTACCTGACTAATCGGTTGCAAAGACGTTATTGGAGAGATTACCTTTTCGAAGAGCTTCGGCTTCATGGACGCTCAGGCCGACGATGGATCCTTCGCACAGATCGAGGGCGCTCTACAGTCTGCCGCATGGATCGGACAAGTCCCATGGCTTTATTGGCTTCATGACCGCCTGATGCCAATCATCGGCAATCGTCTTGCTCTCAACAACCGCCATGGATCTCTTCGTACCCTAGCCGCCAAAGAGATTTCCGCCAGGATGGATCGTGGAAGCGAGCGCAAAGACATCCTCTCAAAGCTGCACAAGGCACAGAGCGACAAGCCTGGCGAACTCGACGACAATGCTGTCATCAGCATGGCGACCTCAAACATCTTCGCTGGTAGCGATACTACTGCGATCTCCACTCGTGCCATCATCTACTACCTGCTCAAGAACCCGCAGTACAAGCAAAGACTGATCGAGGAGATTGACGATTTCAGAAGGCAAGGAAAGCTTAGCAACCCCGTCAAGCTGGCAGAGGCAGATGCCATGCCGTACTTGCAGGCCGTCATGTATGAGGCGCTACGCTGTCACCCAGCAGTGGGCATGAGCTTGCCTCGAGTGACTCCAGCTGGCGGCGCCACCATTGCTAACACTTTTATTCCAGGCGGAGTATGTTCCTCGAGCTTTGACTTTGGACAGCTAAGCTGACATTACTGCAGACCGTCGTTGGTGCCAATCCGTGGGTGATTCATCGAAACAAAGAAGTTTACGGCGAAGATGTCGAGGACTTCCGCCCGGATCGTTGGCTGAAGGAGGATACCGGAGATATGCGTAAGTCGACTCGAGGCAGCAAGTGGTGACCATACTGATGTTGCCAGGTCGATTCTTCTTCACGTTCGGCTCAGGTGCTCGAATGTGCCTTGGAAGGAGTAAGTGGCTGTTGTTGCGAAGAGTCCTGATCTGTCACTGACCATGTCCGCTTCAGATATCAGCTGGATGGAGATGTCCAAGCTGATACCAACCCTGTTCCTCCACTATAACATTGAGCTCGCCGATCAGAACGCAGAGTGGAAAGAGACGTGCTTGTGAGTCACTTGGTCTTTGTATCGTTCGACCGTCGTGCTAATCATCATTCTACAGCTGGTTCGTGATGCAGCAAGGTGTGAACGTGAGACTCGTCAAGCGTAATGTGCCATCGTAGAGCTACGTTTGACCTACAGCGCTCTCTCGTTCCAAGGTGCTGCGATAAATCGCTGAGATGTGTCGGACGGACTGAGCTATGAGCAGAGGATTATGGCTGAGGATTCTCTGGCGAACGGAGCTATTGACGACGGTTCGGGTGTGTACTTCCAGCTCTGAGGGCATTGTATCGTCTGTAGCTAATAGCACTTACCTCATGGCCGGAGGTCGACACCGTTCGGCATGTGCAGTAAGTAGATGTTAATGGTCCCAATGGTCACTCTACAAGAGGCACTCTTATCGAAACCAGGCACTGTGACTTACTCCAAGGCGATGAACAACCCGATGTCGACCATCGAGAGGACCCTGCCGTCGACGATGTCATCATCATGTGATTGGACGGAGGCTCGTCGAACAACGAACAAGTGAAAGTCTGGGCGTCCAGCGACTGTCGAGGCAAGCTTGGACCGTCTATACCAACCATCCAAGCTCTCCGTCTTCCTCTCACATCCACCCACTCTCCTCTTTCCACACCCATCTTTTCTCACAACCTGCACACGCATCCTTCGTCTGCAACCAACCTCAAACATCATACAAACCTTCTTCACCCTTCTTCTTATCAAACATCTCAATCACTCAAGATGCCTACCCACACTCCCAAGAACCCTTCCACCAGCTCGAAGTGCACCACCTTCAGCGACATCATCAACGCCCTTGATGAGTCTTACGACCGCATCAGCAGAATGAGCGCCAACGACCTCGAGCAGGAGCGCGTTGACAGCCTCAACTCCCTCGCTACTCAGAAGTCCAAGGAGATGCCCCGTCTCACTGCCTTCGACGTGAAGAAGTACTTGCCCGAATACAAGTCTGGCAACATCACTCTCCTTCAGATCCAAGTCGCCGCCAACGCCCGCAAGCTGCCTGAGGACCACATTGCCGACTACTACCGCGTCAACGGCAGTAAGTTTTTGAGATCTTCGCTTCCTTGCTCGATACTGATGATCGTTCACAGCTCCTAACGACCCTTGGTACGGCACCGGCAAGTGCACCTACCCTCCTTACGCTGGCCCTCAGAAGCGCAAGCGTGACGTTATCATCGACAACCTCGACGATGCCGTCAAGAAGGTCAAGAACGTCTTTGGCAAGTGAACTTGGAACCCAAGCGTACGTGTTGAGTGCCCTGTCCAACGTGTCATGGGCGTGTTTTCTGACGTGTTATGCCTGCAGCATCGACCCGCACATTGAGACTTTGAGCTTTCATCATCGTCATCAACCAAGATCGGTCTCCCGTTTGCTACGCATGATGCCATGAGCAATGATATTGTTATGAAGTATACGAGGGCATGAGAAATCGCTGCCGCGCAGCTGGTTGTTGTTTTTTCGTTGTTTTTTCTCTGGAGTTTATCGCATGATACCCCACCCACGCCAGTCTGGCTTTATTCGTATTTACAGTTTTCGCTGCTTGACTTGTGCCTTCCTCTTCTTGTGTCTTGTGCCTGTGATCAATTCGTGGACATGCTGTCAAAATGCAAGATGCCTTTCAGAACACTGTGAATTTCCGTCGAGATACGAGAGTCGAGGAGTTGCAAAGCATCATCTCTCTGGACCCATAGAGATAAATCAACTCAATCGTGCATTTCTGCTGCTTCGGGTTGGCAGGTACATGCATGTGCGGTCGCCTCCCGTTCAGGCGCTAGGTGTTGTCGTCGCTCCTGCCTCCTCGACTTCTTGAGCCTGACCCGAGTTGCGCTTTTCGCGCGCCCTCCTCTTCTCGCTCTCATCACACCACCACTGCAACAAAAGTATGTCATGCATCTCTGCAGATGATACGAGCCATACTAACAGCGATAGAAGCAATGACCAAAGAAGAGAAGCCCGGTCCCGGTCTGGCCAACCGCTGGGCCAACGAACACGGCCAAAGCCTCGAGAAGAAGCTCTCCGGTCTGGCCAGCCGAGCATGGGGGCTCGAGTCTCACAACAAGAGGAAGCAGCTGCAGAAGTGGCTTGCCGTGAGTGGATTCGTGGGATTTCTCAGGGTGCTATTGCTAACAGGGAGGACAGAAGATGGATGAGGAGAGACAGGGTCGTATGAGCAAGGGTGACGCTGGCGACGAGCAAGAGGTATGTGATACTGATGTTCTCATCCCCCGACAGGCTCAGGGTGGTATACTGATTGTTGAGTAGCAGCAGCAGCAACACCAACAACAGCAGCAGCAGCAGCAGCAGCCACGTCGCCCTTGGGTGGCCTCTGGCCTCACACGCCTCGTGGGCAACATCAAGCCCGGCAGCAAGGCCCAGAAGAAGGACGAGGAGAAGAATGAGGCCGTCAAGGCAGAGAAGGAGAACAAGGAACACTCCTAGATAGAAGAATACCATTGGAACAACTTGCTGCACTGCTCCCGTTGTGCTGTGCCCCGTATCTTGTGCGTGAATGGCGAGAGGCTCAACCCCTCCAGAAGATGGTTCAGACATCTCCAGTGGACACTCAAAGCAAACTCGATTCATTCGTGCCTTTTGACAATGAGCTACGAGAATGGTGGATAACAAGGGTTGGTTGGCTCTCGGCAAGCTTCTCACTACCTCTTTGAAACATCTCGACCATCCCACGAATTTTCATGCACTCTTCTAGCGCATGAGAACGTGGAGCGTATCTTCGGAGACGAGGTTCTCTGAGCCCTGGTGAGAGAGGAAGACGCATCCTTCCATCGCGCGATGTGGCCGACGAAAGGAATCGCTTCTTATCTGTCCGGCTTGCTCGAGAAACGGACTGGATTTGTGTCTTCCTGCCGTCGACCTTGCAATACCGCCGCAACGCGCACCAAAGATGCTCGAGCATCAGGAATAGAAGACAACGTCACGTCCGTCTTCGACAAACTTGCAGCTTCTCGTTTCTCACACGTCTTCCATCACGACTTGCTTTCTCTCGACATCAATTTCCACACGGCGGACGGCACATTGGATCAACGACGTTTCTGACGGACAAATGACTCGGTTCCGCTCCAGGTCGATAGCTTGTGACGAAAAACCCTCTCGGGTCTTCCAAAACGACTGTACAGACAAGCTCTGCGAATATGCGCTCTTGCGATGGCCTGGTCGAAAAGAGCCAACTGCCACCGAACGATGAGCGCTTGATTGTTCTGAGCAGGAAGAACAGATTTAAGTTGCCCAGTTCCAGAAGACCTCTGATCGACATGGCTTGTGTCAACTACGACCCCGTCCAAATGACCAGAAAGAGAATGCCTGGCCGGCTCCGAAACAAAATGACCGCTTCGACCTCGTACAATCAGGCAAGCCTGAGGACTCCTCTTTGATATTCCTTGGACTGTCGTACATCCATTGAATGCGAAACAGTCAATCAGCATACTCTGTCCTGGAAGCGTGCTTTGACTACTCTTCAACAAAGACAATGCAAGGAATGAAGAACGCTTGTCAAAGCTTTGTTCCGTTCACTCCGTGACCTCGGTCGCGCCACCTCTACAGACATTGAGGAATGCGATGGTGAGCTCTTTGTACGAGTTCGCCCACGAGGCCACGTCTGCGGGGTCGAGATGATCACGTTCAGCGAGTACTGCGCTGAGGCATACTACGACACCGGATACTCAACACACAACTGGTGACAAAATCCAAGAGGCCAGATATGGGGCAAACACATCTTTCCAGAAATCAACCCGACGAATTCGTATGTCAACTTCGGCAATACTGGAGACGTCGCCATGGCTGGGACTTCAGAAGCCACTTGAGAGCTTCGAAGGGCAGATCGTCCATTCTGCCGGACCCCAAAGTGCCGCGGGAGATCGAATTCTATGTGCTGAATGCCGGGTTTCGAACGGTGACAACCTTTCAGCTTGGAGAGAGTAATTACCAGACATTGGCTGTTGCAATTGACTGCAAGTTTTGGCTACATGAGCCCCAATGCAAGCTGCAGAACGCTTCTAGGATTCCAGAACGTGGCCATCCTAGATTGCATCCATGGGAGTACAGAAAGAGTCTGCCGGTTGACTGAATCATGCGACTGCCGCAGTCCCTGATCTTGGGCCAATGGAGAAGCACTTCAACAGTACCTGCTTCAAGCCAGTGAGCTTCTGGATCTTGCTGTTCGCTGGAACTCTTGATGGGTCCAGGTTGCGAACGGACGAGAGGTTCAGATAGGATGCATGGTCAGCTTCACCCGACCGGATAATATCTGCCAGTCGAACGTCCGCTCAATAGCCTTGCGCAAGCGCAAGCGCATCCTGTCAGGGGCTTCATATAGCGACATCTGTAACGGCAGACTCATCGGGCATCAATGCATTCTAAGCCTGAGTCCGGACATCTCAAGATAGTCTGTGTGATGTCTGCTCGACTCTGTAGACGTTTGCTGTTTCGAAACTGGTTCATCTCATCCAGGACCACGCGGGACCGTTGAACCCTGATGACCGCGAACCTGTGGAGGAGGGACGATAGGTATTGTATCTCGGGGACCGATATCCATCTGTCCCTTCATCCATGGACTCGGCGCCGGACCATCGTGTCACCCTGTCCTCGGATGTTTCAAGTCTTCTTTAGATTGGGAGAAAATTTCTGGAAGAATCTGCGATGCGCCTTCCATCTATTCTGAGGCCGCTAAACGTCATGCCTTGAGGCTCAGCTTGGCAGAGCGTGGGTTGCGCGTGTCGTCCAGGAGATATAGATTGAAGCCTGTAGAGCGATGGGCTTCAACAGGATTGAGGCTATGATGACGCTTGCAAAGATGGTCGCGCGGGTCGAGATAGCACGTATTCAAGATGCAGGAGAGATTGGGCATCCCTTCGAACCCCTTCGTGGAAATGAGACAGAGGGATGGCTCTCGATGACGGTTTGCAGCGGAAGCGGGGAAAGCTCATCGGACCGAACCTTTTAGTCTGGATGGATCAGCAGGAGGTTTAAACAATCATGTTTACCATCGTCGTCGTCTTCTTTGCCCAAGAAACAGACATCTCCGTTCAGCGCATTCATTGAATCATGGACGACCTTGGACGGCCAATCCGGCGTCAAGCGTCGTCCTCGAGAAGGTCATCGACTCAGAGGATCAGACCGCGTGCCCGAGCATCGAATCAATCCCTCCAGAGTGCAGGCCGACCACAAGAGAACACGACTTTTACATCCTTCGAACCCTTTTCGCCGCCAAACAATATCACTTCGAGCTACAATAGCAATGCAAGCACTACGGCGAACGGCTTGTCTGTCATGAATGGCAATGGCAGCAATCACGGCAGCCGAGACGACGCCTCAATTCGGTCATACTCGTCCAGCAAACGGTCCCGTTCCATTTACGCTCCAGATAGGCAAAACTCTCTCGCCGAAGACATCTACGGCGAAGTCGCTGCCAGTTCAGGAAATGAGACTGAGGCCGAAGCTGCTTCTGGCTCTGAGCAGGACACACGACCACTCGATCAAGTCTCGGCCGCCTCGCATTCCCTGATCAACGTTCTCAACATGGCTCCCAAGGACGAATCACGCCCACCGCTCTTCAACGACGTCAACGATCAGCTCAACAATCCGCAAGTACTACAAAATGCAGACGACAAGACCGTCGTAGCATACGTCAAGCGTCAAGGTGGCGCAGGCAAGGTCATCCGAAGACTGGCCAAGGACGTTAGCGACCGCGATGCTGAGATCTCGAGGCTTCGCAGAAAAGTAGAGGATTTTGGTACACTGTTCAAGGACCATCTCATGGCTGTCCATGAGATGTCGCGATTGGAAGCCGACCGGACGGTGCGGGATTCGCCTGTCTTTGCGAAGGCCGCTACGAACGACTTGAAAGAAGAGCTGGAATCTGCTTCATCGGACAATCTGTTTGGCGAGGCTCAAGCCACTCTTTCGACCGACTCGCTTACAGTCACTGCAAACTCGCAAGACTCTGTTCCGCCTCTCGTAAGAAAGGATACCTCGGCTAGTCCCAGTTTTCCCTCTGGATCTTCCACTATTCGTGCTCCTCGCCATTCTGGTACGAACTTGAAGGTCGATACGTGAGTTTTTGCAACCGAGCATTCCTTCTCTTCCCATACTAACAACATCACAGCAACAGGATGCCCAAGCAACGAGGTGGTCTATTCAACCTTTTCGGTGGTCAAGGCTCACTACGTCAGCCTACAAAACAACAAAACCGGCATTCAATTGCTTCCATGCTGGACCCTAGGATGCTGGGTATTCGCAGTCCGAGTGTCGCCCAGTCCACCCGCTCGAATTCAATGTCATCATACAAGCCTCTTGAGATGGAACAAAAAATCGAGAACGAGGATCTACCGCCACCTTTGCTTGATATGAAAGTCATCAAGATTATCTTCCGGGCTTTCATCGCTGACAATTATGGTTTCATCATCGACGGACCTCGTGTCCAGCAGTGGCTCTGGTCCTTGGAGAGGCATCGATATGTGCCCAAAAGTCGCACTACCTCCATCGTCACTCGCGCTACTTCTGGTACACGTTCAGCTTCTATTACTTCTATCGAAGAAGGAGATGATGAAGAGGCTACTGACATAGCAGCTCAAGAAGATGCCCAGAACGATGGCAACGCTGAGACCAATGAGGAATCTCGTCCATGGCATGAGTTCCTCACACTCGAAGTCACTAAGCAAGCTCTGCTTTCTCGTCTTCCAATCCAACTGCATGGACCCAAAATGACCGACAGTGCTAGTATCTCATCGGTCGACACTGATGATGGAATGCCACGTTTGGAGCAGCTTTGTGATCCTGCAGACTTTACTACCCATGCGGAGCGTCTACGTGATGAGATTTCGGTCGAGTACACCCAACTCCAAGTTGCCAGAGATCAAGCCTACGACAGACTGATGGCCAAGGTGGAAGAGCCGAAGCTTGCTAGCAACAGATTCTCGCGCATCTTTACCAACACGACAGAAACAGTACCCAAGAATCGTGTTGAGGCCATGGGCACCAGTACTGTAGGCATTGCTAATCTTGCACAATCTGGCGTCAGTGGTCCTTTCGTCAAGTTTGTTCTTGACGGTATTCCGATGAAGACGCGTGCCAAGATCTGGCTGGAAAGTGCACAATCGAGCATTCACTATTCGCCCGAGGACTTCACCATGTTGGCGACCGAATATTACACTCATCCTGATGATCAGCGATATCTGCACGACATTGAGATGGACACCCCACGCACTCTGACCAACAATGTATACTTTCGCAAAGAGAAGAATCAGGATGCGCTAGCCCTGCTACTCGGTTGTTTCGCCATAAGAAACAAGGACATCGGATACTGTCAAGGCTTCAACATTATTGCTGGCTATCTTCTACTCGCCATGCCGACTACTGAGCAAGCCTTCTGGGTCTTCTGCTTCCTCATCGAGAAAGTGTTGCCTGCATCATACTTCACAGCCGAACACGATTGGCAAGGTCCGCGTGCTGATACCATTGTACTACGTCACTACATCCGCACATTACTCCCTCGTCTGGGCACTCATCTCGATGAGCTCGACGTCCTGGATGAGCAGACAGTGCCGATAAACTGGTTCCTAACAGCCTTCGCTTCCACTCTATCAGTAGAGGCACTGTTCCGTGTCTGGGATGTTGTACTAGGCATTCCTGGACAGAACCAGCAAGTCTTCCTTCTGCATGTAGCTATCGCACTTCTGAAGCTCAATGAAGACGAACTGTTGAAGTTGGACTCGGCTGCTGCAGTGTACGATTACATGGACCGAAAGATGGCAAGAGGTGTCGTCACTATTGACGGATTGATCCAAGCATCTTCGCGTCTCGGACCAATTGTCACGGCAAAGAGTGTGGAGAAGAGGAGAGCCGAAGCTGCTAAGACGTTGTAGGCGCTACTCGACGAAGGTTACTGTTGAGGCCTTTGGGCGAGGTTGTTTGCCAGAGAAGACGGAGGTTGCATTTCGCTGCTTTTGCTGTTGCTTTTTTATTCGCTAGATACCCCCCTGTCCTCCCATTTTCGGATCAAAAATGCTATATTGTTCGTTTCTTGCTTCTTGAGTGTCTCGCAGTGAGCCATTTTAAAGTGCACTGATTTCTTGAACGACGATGATATGACACTCGGCCAGGATAGGTACACCATAAAAATTAATGTCTGAGACAAACGGAAGAATGATATACAAGTTCTGGTATCTTTTACAACAAAATAAAATCAGGGAGTAGGAACAGCAGCAGCGGCGGGTGCTTCGGTGCCGCTTCCGACGCCGGGTGCTACAACAGGAGGCATGAAGAGGGGAAGATATGCGACTGCAGTTGACATGACTATTCCCAATGTTAGCAAGGAGATGACGAGGGAAGAAATCAGAATTACTTACGAGCCATGCCGACGGTCATGTATCCGGGTGTCGAGCCGTTCTTTGCGGACTCGGGGGTCTCTGATAGCCAGTTCTGAACAGCGAAGATGACAGCAACCCATCCAATCATCCTGAAGAGGGGGCATGTCAGTGTCATATCCACTTCGAGGAGAACTTCTTTCAGATTGATGTTGTCGGTAATCCTTACTTGTTTCTGGTGAAGATCTGGCCTCTTGTCAGTCGAGTCATGTGACTAGGTGATTGAAAAGTGTACTCACAGCGGCCATGGGAAGAGTGCTTCCGAAGACAGCTATAGTTACGCAAGTCAGATGACGTTTCGCATGTTTGTAATTCGATTATATGTACCAGTGACATCGCCATCACTCTTTGCGCTGGCTGGTTCAGCATAGGGGACGACTGTCGCGTGGTCAGACTTGAATCCGCAGATGATGATGAAGATGGGTCGAACCGAGGTCGCCTCTGCGCATGTCCTTCTTTGAAACCATTGTAAATGTAGAATTTGGATGGAGGAATATATCGAAGCGACACTATTCACATCTAGAGAGGTCGGCGATGGTGAGGTCTGGCTGTCGTCGGTCCTTCCACAGCGGCAGATTGTCGGAGGTAATAGTTGGCTAGCGCCGATTGGTCAGAAACAGCAGCAGCGTCGTCACAGACAAAGAGACAAACGCGCATGGAAGGGAAAGAGCAGCCAGTCGCTTTCAGCTTCTTTGTTCCCTATCTCTCAATGCGTCTTGCGAGAACAAGAGAACAGCTAGCTACCTCATTCGGAAGATAATAATCTTCACAAGCAAAAGACCGCAAGGTGAAATCGTGGTCATCGATCACTCAGCGGGACTCCCTTGAGCTTCCGCCGACTTTTGGCGCCTTGACCACTTGAGTCTTTCATCGTCGTCAACCAGTTGCTGCACATCACCGCTCTGCATTCTGCGCTGCTGCCATCCTCTCGCAATCTGGCTCCCTTCACGCGTCCAACTCCTCGACAAGCAGCGCACCTTTGTTGGCCGTAGTACGTCAGTCCAAATTGACGTGCGGCGACCATCCACATCTCGTCAACCGCCGGCATGATGAACCATCATCTGCCGGCAGGGCCATCGCATATTCCGCAAACCGCTCTGCCTGCTCACTCTTCTCCCATGCAACAACACCACAGTCAATCGCGCCGCCAGCAGGAATACCACCACCAGTTCCACCAGCAACAGGTTGCCCACAACCCTTACGCCCAGCAGTATGCTCACCACCCGGGCGCCCAGGCCTACTACGGCCATCCCGGCGCGCACATGGGCTACGCTCCGCAACAGCGTTGGATGCCCCCGGCTTATGGCTACCCAATGCACCAACACCATCAGCATCAGTACCAGCAACATCAACAGCCGCAGTATCCTCCGCGCTCGCCTGTAGTCGTTAGCTCGCAACCGCAGATGGCTGGCATGCCTCAGCCCGTCACGCGACAGACGAGCATGCCCTACATGGCCCCTCCTGCGCCCGCTCCGTCTCAATCGCCCCTGCATCAGCTTCCCGTTGCTCAATCGCCTCTGTACCATGCTCCGCCGACACCCGCCACTTCGATTCCTCAGTCCTTGCCTTCGCCTCGTCCGGCCTCGGTACAGACCTCAACACCATCTCTTCCCGCTTCACGCAGGTCATCCGCCGCTCAGCCTCTGCCTGCCATACGCCGCATGCCTTTCTACCCCGACGTAAGTTCTCTAGTCTGTCATCCTTCCCGCTCACTGCTCACCCCGCGTAGCTACCCTGGTACTCGGTCACCGACGAACCCTTTCCTGCGAAGGCATCCAAGCGTAGAAGGAAGAGACAGGATCTGACAGCCAGTAACGATGCCGTTACTTTGCCATCACGAGGTGGCGCTCCTGCGACCGAAGCTGCCGCCGATGTTGACCAATCTGACGTCTCGACTGTGGCCGCCCCTTCCCAGCTTCCGTCGGCTCAAGAAACTCCCGCAACATCTCAAGCTCCATCTGAAGCCGATGTGAGCGTAGCTGCTCCTTCGCCAGCTCCCGCAGAATCTTCCAAACCTGCAACCCCCCAGGGCCAGGCCAAGAAAGATGCAAGACCGGCTATTCCTATCGTACCTGCTGTTCCCGCCGTCAGACCGAAGACCGCCTCGTCTGAGACTGTGCCCACTCCTGCCAGCACCACTGAGCAATCCGCACCTGCCAATGCTCAAGCTGACGCACCCGCCGAAGGAAACCCTGCTGAGCCTGCCACTCCCGCACCTAAGGCTGCACCGAAGTCATGGGCAGATCTGATGCGCTCGAAGAATTCAGCAGCAGCTGCTGCCGCAACTGCATCTACCGTTGCAGTGAACGGTGCCTCCCCGACTAATGGTGCACCTCCTTCAAGAGCCAGCACCCTTGCTGGCGCTCTCAAGCAGTTCAATGTTGACGACAATGACAAGATTGCCTTTTTGGAGCCCAGGGGACTTGTAAATACTGGTAACATGTGCTATATGAACTCGGTACGTTGGGCTTCAAATCCTGGTACAGAGTGCCTTACTAATCTCTTCAGATTCTTCAAATACTTGTATACTGTATGCCTTTTTACAACTTCCTGGATCAGGTCAGCAAGAGAGCTGCTCATTCTTTCAAGAGTGATACTCCTCTTGTCGACGCTATGTGAGTTTGGTCTGCTTGGATCACAGGAGATGATACTGACTATCATAGGATTATGTTCATGAGAGAGTTCAAGACGATTGACAGCGCAGAGTCTGCTGAGAAGCTTCGCATGCGCCTTAAGGACCAGGAACTGGAACAGTACGGTGATTCCATTACGCCTGAATATGTTTACGATACGATCAAGCAGCTGCCTCGCTTTTCATCCATGAGACGTGGTCACCAGCAAGATGCCGAGGAGTTCCTTGGTTTCTTGCTTGATGGTATCCACGATGAGTGTATGACTGTGATGCGCAAGGCCGGAGTGGATTCGGACGAATCCGCGCAGCCCGCCTCGCCTTCTGGCAACCCTTCAGGAGCCAACACTGATGCTGGCTGGCTCGAGGTCGGCCCCAAGCAGAAACAATCTGTCACCCGTCAGAGTGGCGAGTCCTTGCCTACTCCTATCACTCGCATTTTTGGAGGATCCCTTCGCTCGGAGCTTCGTGTTCCTGGCCTGAAGAACTCAGTCACCATGGAACCCTACCAGCCTTTGCAATTGGACATCGGTGCTCCGGACGTCAACAACATCATCCAAGCATTGAAGGCCATCACAAAGCCGGAGACTTTGACTGGGGACTTTGGCTCGCCTCGTGGTCCTGGCACGACTGCTGTCAAGCAAGTCTTCATTGAGAGCTTGCCTCCTGTCCTGATTCTTCATTTGAAGCGCTTCCAGTACGACAACACTGGTGGTACACAAAAGATTTGGAAGAAGGTTGGTTACCCGCTCGAACTGGAGATCCCCAAGGATGTCTTCGCTCCTCAGAAGCGTGGTGGTTTGGCTGTTCAGGGTGGTGCTCCCAAGTACCGTCTGACCTCGGTCGTTTACCACCACGGTAAGAGCGCTGCTGGTGGTCACTACACTGTTGACATCCTACGTCAAGATGAGCGTGAATGGGTTCGCGTGGACGACACCATCATCCGCCGCATCCGCCCTGAGGATGTGGCAGAGGGTGGCTCTGAGGAAGATCCGAAGGTACTGGCACGCGCCCTCGAACAGCATAAGGCCGACCAGGATGCTTCAAAGCGCAACTTGTTCGAAGGTCTTGATGGCGATGATGACACGGACAGTGTACGAAGCTGGAACGAGGTCAATGGCGCCAACAAGAAGCCTACATGGACATCTGCCGTCGCCAACGGCTCATCATCTGGCAAGCGCACGCCATTGGCCAAGGACAAGAGTAGCGTCAAGGACAACAAGGTTGCATACATCTTGTTGTACGAAAAGATGACGGGTTGAGAAGTGTTTCTCTCATCGAAACATTTCTGCAAAAGCTCGATCTTTGCAAGATCTGAGCAATGACCCAAGGCCCTTCGAGGGAGACGAGGAAACGACTGGCGAGGGTTTACTGGCTGCAGATCCGGTCAAGCATGGCCCGGATCCAGCCTAATGTTTGCATTTGCATCAAAAGGCGGCGAAGGGAAAGAATGCAGACGAATTCATCACGCCTGGGGAGGTTTTATATTTTGGCCTAACGAAGCTATGAATGGGAGGATGAGTTGGGAGGAGGATGTGTCTATAGCATAGAGAAGGGAGTGACAGGGATTGAGTTGGCAAAGGTTGTATTGACAATGTGTGTCAACATGCGGTCGCTTCCGACCGTTCGGATAGATGAAGATGTTGATGTGTTGTGGTTGTGAATGAAAAAAAGGAAAATCTTCTTCAATGATCAAATGTCCCCTGTGGTATGTGGAGTGTTGAGCAGTGTGAACGATGTTATCGACCATGTCGGGGCTTGTCGGGGCTTGTCCTGTAGCATGTCGTACGGCAGGTTCAGTTGTGATCATATGGCGATGCTAGTTGTCGACTTCTGCGTGAGTAATATCGTCGACATCCTGCTACTTGTAGCTATGTTGCAGTTCTGTTGCAGTTCTGTAGCATCCCTGTTGCACCTCCATCACAATATAATCGCCACTCTCACCGCCAGCTCATGCCACACCCACTTCGCCAACATCTCTTCTTCTCCTATCGACATTTCCCTCTCCCCAAATCCCATATTGCAAAGAACCAGATTCATACAATTTATCCCGCCAACTCTGCAATCCTAATCTTGAAACCCTAATCATTTCGGAAATCTAAATCCACCGCTGGCATTCTGGAAGATTTTTCGATTCTCCACTTGCCCGTTTTGTTATCGCGGGAGGCTGGAGGGGAAATGTGGTTTTTTCTTTTTGGATGTGTAGGGGAGGTGGAGAGGAGTAGGAGAGGTCTAGAGGGAAGAGATAGGAGATAGATATTTAGTAGATGGCAGTAGTTGTGTAGTAGATTTTGAGTAAAAGAAAGTTGTAGTATAGATATTTGGTGGAAAATTTAGTAGAGAAAACTAGTGGTGGAAAGGTGTTTTTCTACGGTAAAAAAAAACGAGATGTGTGGTATAGAAATATATTCTTTTATTCAGTAGTATAATGAACATGGCAGAAGCGTATGTACTTGTAGTAAGTGTGAGAAAAGGAAAAGAAATAGTAAGAAAATGGTTACGAAAATGGGGACGTCGAGGAAGGCAAATGTAACGCCTGTTTATGCATTCATGATAACTGTAAGAGTTATTTACTGTATATCTTTACGACAAAAATGATCACGCTCTGTGTAGATTAGGATAGTCACGTCAACATAGAAAGTAGTCAATATCTGGTGGTGCAGAAGATGGAAGAAAAGAAAAAGAAAAAGAAAAATGTTGCAAAGATGGAAACGCCGAGGAAGGCTGACGCGAAGCCTGGTTTGACCTCACGTCCTAATTTCTCATGCGCACGAAGAAATGATTTCTTGTCTTACCACACATATGTACGACATGATTGATGGTAATTTTACACGGTGAAAACAGTAAGTTTCGAGAGAAGTGTGTTTGATTTCTTGATAGTGATGCCGCGACCGGCCTTCCCATTCCTTCATGTCGGCTGCGGGTGTGTTTGCCTGGCGGTCTTTCTAGCCACTTTCGTGTCGCTTTTCTATCCTTTCTGCTCATTGTTCCGTTCAGTCTCGGTTCGTTTTGAGAAGCGACCGTTGCTACGCTTTTGAGACAACCAAGCGGGCTTTGCGGGAGAACCGTCATCTCCGTCAGAGCGATTGCGCTTCGAATTGCTCTTGCCGGTCTCGCGGCTAGGATTGCCGCGCTTTGCCTTGCTGTATGGGGAAGGATTGCGGTCGGCATCGTCCATGTTGACGGGGAGAATGTCGAGACCTAGGCTCCTGGCAGCGCTGCGGGTGATATGTGTTCTGCTGGGCTCCTCGTGATGGTCACTGACTGGGGCCAAGAGTGGGGCGGTCCTGTTTGATTGTCAGATCACGGCTTGAAGGAGTTGTCTGTGGGAGAGTGACCTACTCATCGTCGTTGTCGTCATCGTCATTAGGGGCCCCATGAGCGATAGGGGCGGGTCTGTATGTCTGTCAGATACTGGCTGACCGTGTTTGTACATGCAGGTGTACGTACCTTGTTCTGCTTCCGTTCAATTCGGAAGGTCTGCTGGTTTCGACGGCAGCGGGAGTGGTCCTATGGTGGTGTCAGTATCGTGACCCGATGGTTTTCGTGTTCGAGGAGGTGATACTTTGGGCGACTTTTCACCGTGCCCTTGGGACGAGCGAAGATACTACAGATGTGTCAGTTCTCGGCTTGTCGACTTGTTGGGGAGAGATGGCCATACTTGAACTCGCCATTGATACCGCTCTCGAAGGTGACATTGTCGAGCTTCTTGGGCTTTGCGCGTCTGCAGAACTGTGAGTCTCGAGCTAAGATGTTTGTGTGTAGAAGTTTCGTGTACCTCTCCTTCTCCTTTCCCTTTCCCTTCTCGGGAACCTCGCTGGACTAATATCAGCAAACGAACGTGGAAGTGAAAGAAGGTAGTAGTGAAAGGACGTGGGGGTCAAAGAATGTAGGAGTAAAAGGATGTGGGTGGAACTTACGTCTCAGACTGAGGGACACGCTGAGAGGCCGGTTTCTCAGGCCGGATCACATCTTCGTCTGAAGACGACGAGGAAGAACTGTCGTGGTGGTCATCCTGATCTTGGGTCACGTGCGTTAGTAAATCGTTAAAATCGAGCATTTCCAAGGGTGAAGACATACTTTCGATGTCCAGGCGCTCTTCGATGCGCTTAACGCGTTGTTCGAGTCTTTGAAACCTCCTATAGAGTTTCTTAAAGGCGGCGTTGATGGTGTTGTATAAAGATGGAGCCATGTTAAGTCAGAAAATAGACAAAAAAAAAAGGCACCAGAAGAAATCGAGGTCAGCGTTGAAACGAACACAAAAGCGCGTCCCGACAGCGCTGTTCACATCACTCCTCTAGCGAGCCAGAGTGGCTCTTGGCTGTGTTCACATCCCGTGATGTAGGGAATTCCGATATCAGCCAGCGTAGATAGCCGAGCGGGTAATGAGAGAAGAGAACGGAGTGGACAGAATGTGGTTTTATAGATCGCCAACCTTCTGTCCGCAACAGTGAGCCGGCACCCTATGTGCAGCAAGTGACGGCAGCAGCACTCTACGCAAGTGCAAACAAGGCCTTGGTGATTAGTATACTACCCTGTGACAAAAAGCAGCAATCGCGAAATAGGAAGGCAGACATCAGAATCTCAAGTGGACAGTGGGCATTCTGGTTCTCATGATTCGTATTTTCCTCCGTGAGCTATGGCATGACACCATTCTTTATCTACTTCTGACATTTGTTTGTGGTGCATACCCTGCATTCCCTGCCTTACGAATCTCCTCGCTTCATCATATTCGTCTGTCTGCATAACACACTTCCACAACTACATTCTAGCATCCACTGTTGATCTTCCTATCTTTGACCACCTCGCTTTGTCAGTCTCGAGTCGCGATTGATCTCTTTTTTGGTAGGCAATCCAACGAATCCGGTCTGGCGAGGCGTCTGTTTGCGGACTCTGCCACTCTGACTGTATCTTGTCAGTATATAACACACTCGTGCCATGTGCCATGGATTCAGCATACCTGATGTTGGGAAGCTCGTCGGCTTCAAGGACACTCTCACCGGGCTGATGGTCCTGTGGGCTTTGATGGCGTCGGGAACGAGCTCGAGGCGGTAGCATCGAAGCCGCCTGTTGTGGGCGGAGCGGAGGCATAGAGTCCAGACCATCTGAGGTGGATTCGGCATCTCTCTTGTCTAACGGAGATTCTGAGCGCGAAGGTGCCTCAGCAATAGGAGTTGCCTCGCGTGAACGAGCCAACGTTTCTCTCCTGTTCTCTTCGATCTGGTTCGCGGACTCTCTCATCTGGAAGCCTGGTGCAGTACGACCCGATTGATCACTGTCAGCGCGCTTTCGCTTCTTTCCGAGCGCTGATCTATCAGCTGGGCGGCCGGATCTAGGTCGCGTGTTGGATGCGAAGACGTGCTTAGGGATTGAAGACGTCTGATCTGGAGCGAACTCCGGCTGATAAGTGGCAGAATGAAATGCAGTAGCGAAGGCTTCATCGGCACTAGGGGTAATATGACCATCGTCGCCAGCGCGGTGGTAGGGCGATCTGTCGTCTGGCCCGATGAAAGAGGCGCCGTCGGCCGTGGGTGCCACAGTCAGCCGGGCCTCAATCGCTTGCAGGCGGACTGAGAAATCCGCTGATTGAGCCCCGAGAGCTCTAACGGCCTCGAGGATCTGACCGAGGATGGGAACATCGAAAGTGACTGAGATCTTTGCGGGATCAGCCATGATGCCGGCGCCTGAGGAAGGAAAGAAGGAAGAGGAAGAGAGTTGTTGATGTTGAGTGGTAAGGAAAGTGCGATCAAGAGACAGTGTTGGAGTGAGCTTGAATATCTGAGATGCGAAGCGAGCTTGAATGTTTTGAAAGTGAAGCGAAACGCGCGTTGTCTCAATCAGGTAGGCGGAGTTGACATGTGATTTTACTTGTGTTGTTGGATAGTCTAAGGCAGGTGCTTTTCTAGCCTCCCTATGTGCTGAACTCTGTCGCGCGTACAGCTGGAGAAATGCACGGTTCTTGCCATCTAGAAGAAGCCTTCACTGAGAGCGCAATAGATATTGCTTCTCTGTGCATTGCTACAACTCGGATAACTCAGGACTGGTCATACATCGAGAGAAGTGAACGATATCTTCGATACGAATGATTCCGAAGTGGGCCACTTTTGTTGCAGAACTGGGCTTCTGAAAAGAACTTGAGAGGAGGCGTGCGAACAAATGGAAAGGTAGACGAGCAGATGAGAGAAAGAAGAATGATATTGCTACAAGAAGTGGTATAAAAGTAGAGTACATACGGGCGTGATGGTTTGACGCGCGAGGCTGACAACGGTTCAACGACTAGACAATACCTAGAATCAACTGCTGAGGTCATTGCTTACCACTGCTGGACAGTGAAGTCCAGGTCGTGTGATGTGTGAACCTGGAAGGAGCATGGCTGTTGGTTGTGGCTGTGGCTTGTCTTGGGTCGCAGACGTCCCTATGCAGCCCAGAAACAGCAAGCATGGATGCGAGGCAGCCATGGGCTCAGATGGAGCTGCATAGTCTTATGAACGAGCGGCATGTTGTCTGGGCAAGATGAAAGGCTTGCGGTAGGCGTTGGCGAAAGCCTGGTTGGCAATGGGCGAATTGCCTTCTGTGCGGATTGTTGTACCGATGGACATGAAGAATCTGAGTACTGTCTCAGCGTGTGTTGGAAGGTAGCGATTGAGGGGAAGCATACCCAAAAGTGGCGGCAGAACCAGCCATGTACTGGCCGAGCGTTCTCAACATTCCATTGGGGCCAGGGCCGAATCTGATGATGTTTGTTGCGCCGAAGATGAAACCGATGATGAGACCGACACCTGTCGGGGTGGTGAGTGGCGGAGTGGGAGAAGATCAAGGGGAATGAGACGTACTGCCGCCCATCATGGCACCCATCTTGACTAGAAAGCGTCAGTATGTCATGAGGCAGGAAGACGGGGGAATGGTCGAGTTACGTTTGTCAAAGGTAGAAGGGCCATGGGCACCAGCGGGCATCGCACTTGCAGGAACAGGCATATTGACGAGTCGAGATAATCCAAAGAGTGACAAGTTACGAATAATCGATGCTCCCAGTCTTCGGTATGCGCAGAGGCTAGAGCTACGAGCAACCAATGTGGAGAAATGCTTGGCAGTCACGTGCAAGAAGGACAACGACGGACTGCGGTGGCTGACAGAGAGTTTAGCCCCACTTTGGCCCGAGATGCAGCGGGAAACACAAGGCACAGTCGCTCTTTCCCTAGGGATCCTGCTTGTTTGTTGTGATCCGACTTCTCTCTCTCTCGCAAACCATTCTCTTCTCTGTTTATGACTTTGTGCATCTTCGACGGCAGCAGTCCGACGGCCTAGTTATCTAGCCAACGGCACGGGTCGAGATAACATCGCAAAAGGCCGTTTGGACTTTCTTGCTCGCACCTTGGGTTGCAGTCTGTGCACTTGGCTTCTGTGACGCTCGACGTGCTCCCTTTCTTGCCTGCATATTATTGTTTCGCTCGAGTCCTGCTTCTTTCCCTCCTGCTTGCTGTTTCTGCTCCTGTTCCTGTCCATGCCCGAGACACGTCGACTGCTCTGGACATGATCGACAAACGACAAGGCTGATCTACCACGACCTCCAGTCTGACCAACTCTCCGCACTCACACGCGAGCAACCAAGGCCCGGCGCTTTCCCCGTCCACCAAAGCCATCCCCAAAACTGCCAGCAGCAAATGACTGCAGTCGCGCCCCCTGTTCAATTCCAGACGCCCCAAGGCTCCGTCCGCTCCGGCGCAACATGGACTAACCCATCTCCCGCAATGAGCCAGGACGACATGAGCAGGATGTTCATGCCCGGTCCCCGCAAGAGCGCCCAGCGCTCAAACTCGCAATCCTCCCTCACATCCGCCTCGTCATCTTCTTCTTCCACCATCTCGGCCGCTTCCTCGTCTCAATCGCAGCCTTCGCCCAATAACCAAGACCCTACCACATGGACAACTCGCAAGAAGAGCTCACGAGGCATCTGGCCATCTGGTAAAGCTGAACCCACCGCCGGCCTCTCCACCACTCGCCCTCAACCCGTTTCATCTACGTCGTCTGGCCCGTCTGCTGCGTCCGCCATCTCTGCGCTGCATGGTCCAATGCTTCCCTCACAACAACAACAACAACAACAACAAATGTCGACCGCCCAAAATGGCGGCTCACTTCGAGGCGGCCAGCCCCCTTCTGACACGCCCGCCATCCTCCATCTCTCCCCCATGAACGGCACCTTCGAGCGCAAAACTATCAGTGTCCCCTTCTACCCCGACGTCCTGCGCATCGGCCGTCAAACCAACGCCAAAACAGCCCCGACCCCTGCCAACGGCTTCTTCGACTCCAAAGTCCTCTCACGTCAGCATGCCGAAATCTACGCCGAACGCAATGGAAGGATCTACATCAGAGACGTCAAGTCCTCCAACGGTACCTTCGTCAATGGTCAGAGGTTGTCACCCGAAAACAAGGAGTCAGACCCACACGAACTGCGTGAGCAAGATGTTCTCGAACTCGGAATCGATATCGTCAGCGAGGACCAAAAGACGATTGTCCACCACAAGGTTGCTGCTCGTGTTGAGCACGCTGGAATCTACACACAAGGTACCGAGCTGAACTTTGGAGAAATGGACCCTTCCCATCAGATGAAACGCAGCAACAGTCAGTCTTCGCAACAAAGTGCAAAGGCCAATGCCATGGCTGCTGTCATGGCTGCCAGAGACTCGGGTGCCATGCAACAACCGCAATGGACACGTGCGTGGCCGTCCACCGTGACTACCGAAACCATAGTTAAACGTCTGAATCGCGAGCTGAGCCTTGCTAAGAAACAATCTTCGGATCTCGCCCGCAGCAAGTCTTGCCTCGAAGGTCTGCTGGCCGCCGATGACAAGACTAAGCAAGACAAGTCAACTAGACCTTCACCTGGCAAGCAGCAAAAGTCCGATTCGAAGCCGCCAGTCATGTTCGAACCCCCGGCTCCTCCACCACAGGCGCCACTACCTGAGAAGCCAGACGTCGCAAAGGCTCTAGCTGATCCTGCCATCCAACCGCTTCTCATGCGCTCAGAAACGGCTCGTCCAATCTTGGCACCCAACGGCTCTCCTACCCGGGCTGATCATTCACAAGCTCTTCTCATTCTGACGCATGAGCTGAAGCTTGCCAAGGATCAAATCCCCAGCCTTGTGGATCGTGTCAAGGGGTTGGAAGAGCAACTCAAACAGGAAAGAAACGCTCGTGAAAGCGCCGAGGAGAGGGCTTCTCTGCTTGAGTCATCTCAGAAAACCTCTGAAGATCAAGAAGATGCCTCTTCGAATGCCCAGCAAGACGAGTCTCCAAAGGACGAGCCAGTCCAAGATGATACTCCCAACCTTCAATCACAACTCGACAGGCTTCGTGCTGCCATGGATGACATGAAGACTCAAATGGAAGCATACCGTCGCCGCGCAGAGACTGCCGAATCGCAGCGTGACGATGCTCATCAGTCTCTCGCTGAGATGGTTGAGCAGAAGCGCAAGGAGAATGCTGAAATCCAACGCCAGCAAGAGACTTTGTCCACTGCTCAAAGCTCGAACGCCGAATCAGATCCCTCGGCATCGAACGGCCACGCCTCTGCTCCCTTCGCCGAGGGCAGCTTATACAGTCTGCTATCAGAAGCCGGCATCAACGCAAATGCAGCTTTGTCATCTGAGCAAGCCACCTCGATTCAAAGACTGCTTGCCAGAAAGATGCCTCTTACGCAACATGACGCTTCTAGCGATTCTTCCGACAAGCTCAAGGAACAGATCACCCATCACGGTCTGCCCCTCGGGTCTGGCTTCATTGTGGTTGTTGTTGGCATGGCTCTCATGCATTACTTGGATGGCTGGGAGAAACTGCACAGGTGAAGTCAACTTGAACTCACCTACACTTTTCCCATCCTCACAAGCATGGACAATCACATTGCATCATGCTGTCACTTCGCCCAATTCATGTCGTGGTTCAAATGCAAGGAAATTCCTTCATCCACTGACATAGGGCACACAAGCAGTCTCGGCGTTCGAATCCAAATCTTTCTGTTCCCAAACCTCACCAGCATCCGACCCAGGGACCTGTTCCTCGAAATGTGCGAGCACGCATGGAGACAGGCACATTCGAGACGCAGATTCCACGCATGATTACCAAATTTCGCCCGAACGCTGCAAAAGCGGCCATACATGAACCGTCGGGCGACCCCATTTATAACGACAAGAAAACGTTCACGACCCCATTTTTCTATGTTTTTCTCCCCTGTTTGGAACTGGTCAAAAAGATGAAAGGCACCTCCGTTGGAAAGGATGAATAAGAAAGGAGGAATGTACTCGCGAAAAGAACATCGAGACCTCATACACATTCTCAACCCTCGCTGGATTGATCTCTTTTGTTGTGGATAAGAAAGCATTGTTTGCATTTCTGGAGGGAACAAGGAGAAGCACAACCTACGGTATCGGGAATGAATGGCTGGCGTAAGGCAAGACAAGGCAAGGCATCATTCGCTTTTCATCTCTCATCACGTAGCGCTTGCCTTAGTCTCTCGTTTGGGTATTGGTGAAATAGGTCGTTCTGGATCCATGGCAGTGCGATACCTAACCTTCTCTTACATCTTTCTACTCTTTCAATTCTACTTGTGCATACCTTCCACACACTCCACTCGTCTCTCCTCCTCTTTCGATGTGAACACTGAGTGATTTCAACAGCGGTGTTGGGCAATGCAACATCACAGGGGGCGATGTCGGATCCACGATCTCATTGCCCATTGGTTTATCCTCACGACCGTGCCCGTCATTCATTTGGTGAACCATGTTCGACGTCAGCGAGAGAGCGATATCTCTTGCTTCTGCTATGTGGGGTATAAGAGTTATACAAATACGGCACCAAGCTTCCATGTTGTCTAAGTGGACTCTCTCTCTCCACTTGTTTGGATACAGCATATTTCGGCCAGGGTTGCACTCCTGACCAAGTTGGAATGACTACTTTATGGTCTTCGAGCTGCATGATGGGGATCCTGGTGGCTCTGGTGGTGTCTTGAGGTAGCTAGAAGGATACTTTGCATGTTTTTGGTGTGTAAGGAAGGTCGTTGTCGGTGATGCGTGGTCGGAGAGCAAAACCTGTGTCTTGAAATGTCGAATCGTGAGAGGTGACGTTGCACAATCGCATGACCCAATATCATACACTTTATCGTCGCTAGCGGCTATGGGAGTCATGATCGTTTTCGAGACAATGGATGCTTGTTCTTCAAGTAGTTCTTATCACTTGACTGCATATCGTATCACTCAGACTTATATGAACTGCTCTCTCCATCTTTTGTGTTCCGTGAGGGCCAAACTACACAAGGGCCGCGAACAGCAAAGAGAGAAACTTTTGGTTGGCGATTTTTCAGATCTGCTGCTCAGCGAGTCTTGCGATGCTCGGGCATATGAGAAGCCTCATGATCCACATGCACAAACGCCCTACAGATCCCCTCCACCGTCTCTAACTTATCCTGCAATTCCTGCGAAACATCATGTACCTCTCTCAAACTCCTCTCTGGCGCCATTACGATATCCACCTCCACTACTAATTCCTCTCCCCAATGATACGCGTGCACTGTATCCACTTTCAAGATCAAGTCAGAGTGACGGATTGTGAGGAAGACGATTTCCTGGATAAATTGGGGAGAAGCGCCTAACCCGCAGAGCTCGAGGAATTCCGACCGTATAGTGGAGATCCAAGTTATTATGATGACGGAAGCGATGAGTAAAGCTCCTGCAGGGTCAACCCACCATTTGAGCTTCGCACCAGCGGCGGAAGTGAAGATGGCGAAACCGTATTCGAAGCAGTCATTGCGATTATCCTCCCACAGCATTTCCAACTGCGAACTGTGTTTGCGGAAGGTAAAGCAGTAGGCGGCCAGGAAGAGTTTGATGCTGAAGCCACAGGCGGCAGCGACGATGGCGGGGATGGCGAATTTGCCGAGGTCGTGGTGGGTGCTGGCTAGAGCGCGGATGGATTCGACGACCAAGACCAGAGATACGGCGGTCAGAGCGAAGGCGAAGCAGATGTTGCCGGCATTTCCTAGGCGTTCTGCACCTGCTGGCCATCTGGGTGAATCGCTCAATTTCTTGGCTTTACGGTGGAGGTAGTCAAGACCGATGTTGCTGATGGCCTCGCAGCAACTTTCTGCCATGGTGACAAAGAGGGAGAGGGAGAGTGTCGTTACAGCCGCGTAGATCTGCAGGCCTGCGACAAGGATGGTGCCATAGATGGAGAGGAAGATGGCGAGCTTGATGTGAAAACCCAAACTATCTTGTTCTCGACTATCTATGATTCGGGTCGCCGTGGGGTCTTCTGCCACTTGAACAAGACGCTTGATGTGCAGGTTTTGTGTCGTGTGGTAGAGCTGTGTCCGGCGTGTTCTCCGATGCATCAGTCTGCTGAGTGGTGAAAGATCCGGCGCGTCCACGATCGAGTTCTGCAGTCGCTCGAGCTCGAAATCGCCTGTGGGTGGAATAGTGCTGTCCATGCTGTAGGGGAATCTAACGTTCAAAAGACAAACAATGGCCGACAATTGTTGATAATGTGTCCTACAGCGCAAAGCTCACATGGCCTACGTCATTCTGGAAATCAAGTATCACCATTAGCCAGTATTACCATTAGCCAGCGCACCATTCGAGTGAACGTGTCTACGCAGACTTACTGCATACCATATTTACTGACAAAGTATACTATACTAATCCTCGCAGAGGCTGAAATTGTTGGAAACACAGGGTAGAAACTTGCATAATCTTAAGTCCAGGTGGGATGAGCAACGGACAAATCCTACGCTGAATGCAAGCCTGAGAGGGCCGAACGCATGTGACTCGTAAGGGATGTTATTGAGCAAAGTCTTCGTTGACTCTCTAACCAACAATCGGAACACGACGATGCGGAATCGGCAGAGTCAGTCTCTACATGGATCTATGTAATCGATGTTCAGCACCACAAGGCGTTCTCGAGTAACGCAGTAAACCTCCAACCATTTCTCCATCACAAGCTCAAACGAAGGCCGATATCTAAGCATCGATCATACCAGGCCGCTACCCAGCCTAAGCACCGGCCTAGCAAAACATTCTCAGGCCCTTGACCCAGTGCAAAAAGCTGCTGCGAATGAGCAGCAAAAAGACAAAACATACAGCAGCAGGGATTCCCACGTGGTCACCCACCGTAGTACTAATCTGCCGTTCAACTGCTTATGTATGGCAGAGCGGACGGGATGCCCAGTTTTCAGCTGACTGTGGCCGTATGTGCTAAGTACGTCGGAATTGACCAAAATGTACACACGTCTTTGGCATGGCAGAAGCAGTGCAGTGGTGGACATGTAGAACACAGCCCATCCAGAGATGGTGGGCACTTGGACGTCCTCGCTCGGCATGCTGGAGTTATCTGGGTACGTCTTACCTTACATTCTGCTCCTTCCTGCGAAAGTCAGCGTGCTATGATGCGATTGTGTGGCGTGCGATTGCACGACCTCGGCCGAGTCCTGGATACCGAGGTCGATGGAGGCATGGATGTATCGGAGTCGAAAATTTCCGCCGCGAGATTAGCTCGACCCTCGAGCCTTGAGGTTCGCCCGCCGGTGTGTCTATCGACAAGAGCGGGCTATTGACAGGTATTTTGCTTATCAGATTGGTGCAATTGTTCTCGATGGCCAAGGCTGCCTCTTGCATAATGAGTGAGCCTTCTGTGCATGAAAGCATTGATCATTGCGATAGCCATACGCTATACCTTGCCGAGAAAATAAGTCCTGCCCCGTCGGAGACCTTTGCAACTGCGTTCCCCTTGTCATATCCTTTATCGGCCGATGGAGGGTTAAAGATGAGGTAGAAGCGGCTATAGGCGGCTCGCGGAATGCGGGGAAGAGACAAGAAAGCAAATGCCGTCAAAACTCTCGAGGTTCAGTGCATGGTCTCAATTGGTCAAGCGAAACGTAGCAGCATCCATCAAAGTGGTGGAGAGCATCAAAAGCGCACCGTGGCAGTGCTTTTCGGGTAGAACTCCGTGTCACTAGTCTTTGTCATGGAATCTGGGATATCCGGCACGCTGCGAGGTCGGAGATTCATGGTCTGGTCCAAGATTGATAATACAAGTGATTGCGAGATCGACGCTTTGAACAAGGCTTCATTCATGAGTCGAGGTCGAAAAGATAGTCAAGAGTTTGGAGGCAGATACCCGGTCCGTACGGCCGTTCTGTTCAAAAGATAGCCCAGAGTTTGTGATGCAAAATGTGGAGTAAGATGTGTATCTTTGAGACGCCAGTGAAAGAACAACAAAGGGCACGCCGCCACGAAGTCTGGAGATAAGTTACAATCGATAGATACCTGCTCCTTCAGGGAGGTGAGCAAGCACGTGGGCTTGGTACGGATAAGGCGGCCAAGGAGATACGGTATGTATAGATGCGACACCTCGCTTTATCTCAGGTATGCAGATGAAAGGGGATGTGAGATTGGGAGAGGGAGTGCGTGCGCATTTGATCGGGCGCGAGTTCATGTTCAATCAAAGTCCAAGGCAGATGTTTTGAAAGCGTTGAGTGAAGCACGACATGCAAATCCGAGACTTGCTGCAAGGAGAAGAAGGCACGAGGAAGGATGATGCATACGCAGAGCGCGAAGGCCGGCGGGCACTAAACAACAAAGGGCAATTGATGCAAAAGTGCGGAGAAAGAGGCAGGAACAGAGATGCAAGATGCGGAAAAGCAAAACTCTCGGCATTTGCAAATCGACGCCGAGACAGGTCCGCCTGCGACGGATATTACGAGAGCAAAAGGACTCATCACGCCAGTCTCCAGAGCGATGATGGAAGAAGCAAACAAGATGGTCAGAGTCGTGATCAGTGAAGGTTTGACAGGGCCGTTTCGAGGCTGAAAGCACACAAAGAAAGATGGCGCTTTCTCCACCGGGAGAAGCTGGGCCGAGATAGTGTTGCAGATTCGTCGCTGTAGGAATGGACGCATTGGGAGATTGGGAGAGTCAGGTCATGTCTGGAGACGACGGGACTTTGGGCCTAGAAAATGTTTGCTGAGTTGGTCGGAAAAAGGCAGGCGCGCCGGTGGCTTGCGCAGCCAATGGAATTGCGGTAGAAGCAGGGTAAAAGTGACGAAGTTGGTTTACATACGGTGAAGGGAAAGATGCGGAGTGTTTCGCTAGACAGCGCCAGGGCCGATACGGTTGATCGGGAATGACATATCAGGCTATCAGGCTATCACCTGCTCTGGACCATCTCGCACAATCTCACCCTCTTTCTCATGTGCGACGTGTGCCTGTGACTGAGTGAGCATCAAGCATGTCGTGTCGCACCATCCAGGCCAACTCTTGCTTTCACCACAACAATAACCACGCCGCCGCCATCGCTATCACCATGGCTTCATCCGTCTGAGGCGTCGTTATGAGCCCTCGGGAAATGTGCAACCACGACGCACCAGTGCCATGATAAGTCAACCAGCAGCGGGCACGCAAGTTCCTGGCCCTCGCCCTCTGAACCGCCCTGCTCTCCCTTCCAAGCTCAGCAACGTCAACCTGAACACACAACATGACATCTCCGACGTCGACGAGGCAAACCACTCGGCCTACACGGCAAACGGCATGCTTCAGTACGGCGGCCACTCGGCCAACACTCCCGACGAACCCAAGCAACATATTCCGCCACGCCTCCTCTCGCAGCCTACAACATCACTGCCCCTACCTCGTCGCCCTCAATCCTTGACCTTGACCGCTCCAGGCCAATCTCGCCCGCAACTACCGAAGCCCTCCCCCACACCCGTCCTGGATCCTTCAACAAGAGCCAACGGCCTACAACCACCCGCAGTGGCCACCAAACTCCCCAAGGAGAAGGCCGCCGACTTTTTCCCATGGACCAACATCGAAGGCAAGCACCCGGAAGATGTGCTGAACGAGCACCTTATCAAGTCTGGATACAGCGACAAGCCCGCCGGCGCTTCACAAACCGAATCAAACATCGCTCGCCCTCACCTGTGGCCCAGCTTGAAGAACAAGAATGGTCTGGGCGTATTGTCTGCCCTCTTCGTCCAAGTGCTGGACAAGAGGGCTTCGATGCGTCTCTGCACCGCCCCTTCCACCTTCAAGCCGCCGCCGAGGGTTACTTTGACCGACACTAAGAGAGAGGCATGGCTCAAGGACCTCGCCAACCCCGATGTGCCATTGCGAAGGTTGAGTAGGACCATCCCCCACGGCATCAGAGGTAAAGTGCTCCTCGATCATTGTATTACCAAGGACATTCCCATCGCCAGAGCCGTGTGGCTTTCCAAGTGTGTCGGCGCCAACGAAATCCGTGCTTTCAAGAGAAAAGGTGTCTCTGGCCCTGCTGCCTTGGCTGGTGAACTGAAGTGGATCAAAGAATGGACTGTCTTTGTAGAGCAATTTGTCGACAGCATCATCTCTAGCTGCGGTCAACCAGGATGGTCGCAAAAGATGAACTATGCGGTCCGCTTGGGCACTCATTTCTACGCTGAGCATCTCCTCGACGAAGAGCATTACATGGACTGGATTCTTACTTCTCTCAAGCAAAGCTCTTCCGAAAGACTACCCGTCTGGATTCTACTCACTCAGATCTACTGGAAACATCTCATCTCCCACCGAAAACGAGGTCACCGTCTTGCCGAAGCTCTCCTTAGTCACGCCAAATCTCTATCCAGCACGCCTTATGGCATCAATTTACAGCTCGTCACACGCTTGAACCAGCTGATCAGTGTCCTGGCCGTCAACCACAGAGGATGTCTAGTCTTACCAAAATCTTGGAACGATTACAAAACCTACTTTGCTTCTGTCAAGCCGAGTGGTCGAATCAACATGGAGGCTGATGGCTTGGCCAATGTCACTAGACGGAACAATCGTTTGTCAGGTGCAACCCCTCAGGCAACCTCGAGGACTCCCAGACTTAGGCTGTTGGACATCTTGGATTCTGTCGACCTGGACGTTCAAATTGACAGGATTGCCACTCAATGCGAGTCACTTGGACTTGACACACGGTTCGTGTTGGTCACAGTGCTTGAGTGGGCAACCTCCAAACATCGTTCTGGTATTGCTCGTGTCTACCTCGCTGCACAGCTGATACGCTTCTGGAGTTTTGCTGGCTTCAGTGCAGACGATGCTGTGTTGACCATGCTCGAGAAGGCTAGACATGACAATACCGTGGAGCCTCGCCTGATCTACAAACTTGTCTCTGCCTTGGCACGATCTGGCCACTTTTCGGTTGGCAGATACCTCCAATGGCTCATCTCTATGGGTGTTCTCTCTGGCTCCAGTGCTGCTGCGAATGAGGCCCAGCTTCTCCTAGAGTTACCGACTGCTTATCTTTCTTCACACATCGTCAACTTGAGGCGCACACTCCTAAATCGAGTTGGCTATCACGCCGATGCGGAGTCACGAGAGATCGAGAACTACAAGACCGTCTTGTCTCAACACCTTGGTGGCATGTCCTTGCCTAGCCCTGGCGTACCATCACACGAGCCTGCTCTCACCAGCAAGCCTGTTGGCGCTGTCAAGATGGCAGTCGCACAATGGCTCTGTGAGAGAGTGATATCACCAAGCTTTGATTCGATCAGTGACACTAGCTTCAACGGCAACCTCGCCGCCTTCTGCTTGGTGCGCCATACATTGGAGCAATTTGAAGACTTCCCGAGCTTGGCCAAAGTCATTGCTGCAGCATCCAATGGTAGCAACCCACAAATATTGGCCGCTACTGCAGACACTGTCAACTTGAATATTGAAATATTCGCCACGATGGGTTTCCTGCCAGCACTGGTCTCTCAAATCTACCAACAACAACGTCGGCTACGTTCAAGGCAGCCTTTGGACCGCACTTTCCTCTTGTCATTGTCAGGATTGGTCCGTCGCGTGCCGGCCGGTGCGATGTATGGAAAGACCATTGATAGCGAGCTTGCAATGTGCGAAATCCAAAGCTCTACCGTCGCATGCTCGCCGGCATCAGACAGCATGGCAATCTCTCATTCTGGAAGCCTTGAATCTGATAACGATATCGATCGAGTGCTTACCAGCGGCAATACTATGGATGAGCAGCTCATGATGCGCATGTTCACCACAGTTGCGGATCGCAGCGTCAAGATGGGATCTCAAGGGCTGTCCCGCGCTAGCACCTGGTTTGCACAACTGCGGTCGTTCGATCAGACAACGTTCGAGCAGTTAGTCCAGAGGCTCGTAGTCCGGATGGCTGAGACCGTCGCCCCATACGAAGCTGTAGAAAGCGTTGTTACCTCGTTGGTCGGTTCCGGTTGCTTGAAGTTGGACAGCTTCTTTCAGATTTGGGACAAGAAACTCAACACTGTCAAATCCACAGAGCCCGCCAACGCTAGCCGTCTAGCTATGACTTGTGCAAGAATTTTGATCCCTTCCACGTCTGTAATGCAGAACCAGGCCGCCGAGGCTTATCGATTCAAGGTTGCACAGAACATGTTCTGTCTGAGAAACATGGGAGTGGTTATGCGCATCATCTGGCTGCTGTTACAACTGAGCCCGCAAAGCATTCTTTCGAAAACCGGAAACCCTCTAGAAGAGAAGGTCACTGCTCTTCTTCGCCGGTACATCGTCAAGGATCCCAAGTTAGTTGCGCAGGAGCTGGTTTGCAGATCCAACCCTATGCTGGCTCAGAACTCCGTTCAACCTCTCCTGGACTCGTTGTTGGGTCTAGAACCCCAGGAACAACATGCAAAGATGTCAGTGATCGACAAAGTGACCAAGATCGTTGGTTCAACAACAGAACTTTCACTGCCTTTTAGCCAGTTGGCCCTGCAGCAGATCTCTTCAATTCTTTCCGGGGGCAACAGCTTGTCAGAGCAGGACAAAGCTAGTCTGGTTCGCACCTTCCAGACAGCGATCGAGAACACGTCTTCGGTCTGGCCACAATTATTGAGCGCCCTTGACAAGGATCTCATCAGTCATATTCACTCTTGGGCAGGCGAGTGCGTCCTGGAGAAGCTTTCCTCCATAGTCGCCGTCGATGGGTCCATGGAAGAAGAGGCCGCTGTGAGGCGATATCTGAAAGCTGTCGAGGCCTCGTCACTTGCCGCTTCGACTCAATCAGCACCAACAAACGTTGTTGTCATGCTTACAGAGCAGCTGAAACGATTAGGTCAGCTTGCCGAAGGAATCAATCCACTTGATCCTGCGCAGTCAGACAAGAAGGCACGCGTGTCGTTTGGCATCGGAGTGTTGCTGCAGCTCACCACCATGCAGCATCACACAATTCAAGATGCTAATGCCCTTGCACAAGACTTGATCCCTCTCATGGGTGTTCTTTGTGCTTTGCTCATTCATCCAAAGCTTCAAGGCCAGCAACCAACTCTTGAATACATTCTCGATGTGGCTTCCATGATCTCTGACGACCTTTCTAACGAGCACATGCATACAGTCCTACGGAACCTACCACCTCAAGCTCGTTGCATCCCACGTCTGCGCTATCTATTCGGAACTCACCCATCTCCCGACGCTTGGTTGTCTCTTGCATCCAAAGTCGTTCCTTCTGCAGCTCAGCAGAACCCGACTTCGACGCCTCTGCAAACATCATCTTCGCCGGCTTCAGCCAACCAGTCGCCATCAATGCTACAGAGACCATGGCCAGTTCCTGCCCGTCCCGGAATGCCTGCTCGCCCGCCATCTGTGCCTAACACACCCACGCTGTCTCAAGCGCATCTGCAACAGCAGCAAGCACAGCAAACAAGAATGTCCATGGGCATGGGCGTAAACAGAGGACCTGTGGAACTCAAGCAGACACCTTACATGTTGAGGCGATGGGAACTGATGCCAGACCCAACGCCCATCATGGGAGCGAACGATACAAGTCTGAGCCTTGGTCTCTTCCAGGCCAGAAAATGTGTCTGAGCAAATTCACCCATACATTCCAATCTACGAATTGGTTACACCTCGACTATCTGTTGATTCTTTCCATCTTCAGTCAAAAGTCATTGTTGCATACTTTTCTTGCATATCACCCCTACACTTCATCATTTTTCTTTGTCAATTCTAGGTATTATTTTTACATCGGCGTATACGGGCACTTCATATGGCGGCGCTCATCATAGTTATTACATCGCAACGGGACGAATCAGGGAGACAAACGGAGCATTATTTCTCATTCGGAGGAGGAGGAAACATTGGGCTTTTATAGTATACCAAGTGGGAAGGGAAACATGGACGGGATTTGCGAAAAGGGAGGATTTCACCTTAGGGTTACTAGGATCAAGATGAAGACAAAGACAAGATAGGATAGGATAGGATAGCATGTTTGTCAAATGCAAAGAATTACCTTTTTTGATATAGTCATGGTGATGTTTTCTCTTCCAGTTTTGTATACGTAGGTCGTCGGTTTTCTTTTGCCATTAGATGGTTATATGAGATGGAGATGTTTCGGTTGCTCTTGTTGCCATTAATCTTCTTGTCCGTTTTCTTCTTTCTTTCGCAATGGTTGATTGAGTCGCTTCTCTGATCTCCTCACCACTCGCATCTTTCAGTCTAGGATTGAACAGTCGAAGCGAATGGGTCCATGAGTTGATGGAGTGGGTTGTTGAAAAAGTCTTTCAAAAACGAGCAGGAAGTCGCATGTGCGTTATTGTGGACCTGAATCTGCATCGTAAAGTCCATGGAGCGTGCCAGGGTGTAGGATTTCAGTATCTCTGTACATTCTTTGATATTATGCAAAGCTAAGTCTGTCTGTCTATCTCCTCTTCAAAGCGATATGAACTTCTCGTTTCTCGATTGTTTCTCAAAGCAAGAATGATTGTGTCGTGACGGGGAGGGTATCTTTGGGGTTCAAACAGGCGGAAGCCGCGATATGGGCGCTTTGCGACCACGGTGGTACCACGGCAAGAGTCTGTTCAAGAGAATTGGATCCGATGCGCTGTCGACAAGAATGCATTTCAGAAGATCCGACACATCTCTGACGCTGATCCAGAATCGGACGGCACGCGCGTATGCCTTGATCATCCTTGCCATGTCCGTCCTGCTTCTCCGGAGCGACTTGCCAGGACCGAACCAGATAGGAGACGATTCTGAGAATTGAAGTACGAACAGTGTGTCATTGGAATGTATCGATCGAAGGTCGATGATGAGCTCGTCAACTCTGATGCGGATGTGTTTCATCATCTGAGATCCATTCATGAAATAAAACGGGCTCGAACATGTAGAGTTATTGAGCAGGTCCATGGTGTGGAGAAGATCCCTGATCGAGTAGATGGTGATGTAGAAGCAGTTGTTCTCGTAAACCATAGGGCGAAGTTCCTGACGGGCCAGACGGCAGACACGGAGTAGAGCTGGCAAGGGCTGTGGGACCTCGTCGACGATGAGTTCCTTCTGGGCTTTTGTATAAACTCTCATGTTGCGGGCGGTCATGTAGTAGATACGATCTTCTGGAAGAGTGTAGGCGTAAACAATGAGACGGATCTCTGGCGGAAGGTCGAGAAACCTGAATGTTGTTTCAGGCCAATAGAGCAGTTTAAGCTATATGCAAGGGTCAGATTTATTTGTAGCTCGGTGGATGACTTCCCATACCTTTCGATAAAGTCTGTGCACGAGCTGGCGGAAGGCTGTGAAGCAGACATACGTGATGAGAGCGAGGATAAGAACGATGGCCACGGCAATCCAGAAGTAGCCGAATGCGGACATACAGAGTATGAAGACCTCCGCAGGGGACAACATCCTCGCGAACTGACCGCTTGCATAGGAGGGAAATGGTGGAAGATTGCAAGGAGGAAACAAAAGTGGTGCGGTTAATCTTTGTCACACCTGCCTCTTGTGAGACAGAAGAATCACATGAAGGGGAAGAACGAGCGATGCCGCAAGCTTTGACGACGGTACCTTCCAAAATCAAAGCACTAAGCCCATGCTTGTTTACCGATGAAGATTTGGAAAGGGCAGTGACGACTGATCGCTCCAACATTTCTACATCTGTGGAATCACATCAGTAAATCTTGACTATGGAGTACTAAGGTCGATTGAGATCGCATGCTCCCTCTTTTGCGGTTATCAGACTCGATTATCTTCCAGTACCAGTGCTCGAGCCGGGGAATAAGAGTAAGAGATATTTGGAGTGCGCAGGATCACCGGGACGAAATGAGGCATCATGGCGGCAAAGGTCACAACGATCCAGAATGCCGTGCTCATCCCATCTTATGTTTGACAGCATGAAAGAACTGCACAGAGAAGAAAAGTGATTGACCGGAGTAAACAAATTCAGTGGGACTACGAGGTCGAAAGGCGGCCAGCGCTTAGCTGGTGGAACAGGAAACCTCTTGGTCTCACCACGAGAGTATGATAAAGAAGGGACATCTAGCTTCCACGATGGCCACAAGACATGGTCTAAGGAGGTTCAAGAGTCGTTCTGTTGTTCTCTAGTCATCTGCTGATCTGACTATCCGACATACCATATCATAGTGTACAACGGAGGGAACGGTTATACTGAGCTGTCCTCACTGCCTGAAGAACTTCCAGGGAGTCCAATCCAACAGCTTCTCCTTGAAACCATTCTCCTGGTGGAGCGACCACTCCTCGAAGACGGCGTCGATCATCTCACGTATCAGGCGACAATCAACGTTGCTGCCTTCTTTGTTCACCTTGGCCTTCTCGACCAGTTCATCCAGAGTCTTCTCAGTCTCCTCTTTACCCTTGTACATGTGTTGCAAGTACCCATATGTGTGATCAGTAACAACCACCCTCTTGTGCTCTCCGCGCAAACTGCTGACATGAGAATTGCAGGTGCTCTTGCCATACATGGCCATCCTAGCAGCGGGTCCAGAAACATCGACGAGCGCGCGAGTGTCTACCCTGAGGCGGAGATCGCGCATCATAGTGAACACGTCGACCTGATTGATTGAGTTGGGAGGCAAGAGTTGTTCAATCATTTTCAAAGCGCTGAACAGTTCCTTTGGCCTGTCGATGGTGATGACGAAGGTGCTGGAGCCGTAGAAAAGAGGTTGAAACTCCCGATGGACTTGGCGAGAAACGTACAGCAGAGCTGGGAATCTACTGCGGAAGACACCTTGCGTGGACGAATGAGTTTTCCACGTTGCCTCGGGTATGCCAGCCGTAAGATGGAACATGCGATCTTCAGGTAACAGGTACTCGTAGATCTTCAGGCGGAGCTCTGGTGGAAGGCGCATCAAAGGGAACGCCTTTGGACGATAAAGGAAGAAGTGTAGCTGATGACATATGAGTAGATGTCTTTGTGCTCTGGAGACTCGTAACTTACCTTTTCCCTGAGAAACTTGACGGTCCAATCGCTCAGCCAGCGATTCACAACATACCAAGAATACCCAAGTTGAACGAGTCCAACTACAAGGAGAACGAAGAAGGCAGAGAAAGCTACAACGAACGCGACCGTGGAGAGTAGACTGTGTGGATCCCAGGAGTCCAAGAGCCATTTCAGCACAGGATCGGTAATGAAGTAGATGATAGGGCGTAGGCACGTCTCGACCCAGTGCTCTCTGGCAATTTCATTGACGGTTTCGGGAGAGATGTAATTGTTGATGTCGTACCAAGCCATGGCTAGGTGGATGTCTTGGTTCCGAGAAGGTTGCGGCCAAGTGACAGAGTCGGTTCGTTTTGAAGGACCAGAGCGTGCCGTTTGTCGGGATTAGAAGCAGCGTTTGCTCGAAACCACTTCTTTCAAGAAAGCCAATTCGCAAACCACAATTCGAAGACAATGCAGCAAACTTATGCAAGCTTGCCAGTGAAATGTTTTTGCCATTCGTGCAGTCGTTGCTTTCAAGACTTCTGCACTGATCTCAAAAACATTGTGTATTCCTACAGCATGCGCGTGACAATGTTCTGTACACGGGGAGGCTAGAATTAAGGGGAAGAAGAGGCAGAGGTAGATGATGGAAGGTCTGGATGCAAGTAAAATTATTAACATGGAAATGCTAGAGGAAACAGATGATTAGTTGTTTAGATCCGTGATCGTCGCCTCACTTCAACCATGACATTTTCGTCGTCCTCGACCTCACCATCTACATCGATGGAAGTCATGTTTTCTTCATCCTGCTGCAGCGGCTGCTTGAGTTCAACCTGCTCTTCCTCAGTGGCAGTAAGATCAAGCTGACCACTAAGCAGCTTGCCAAAGTAAATAACTGCATCCAAGACCTCCTTGCCTGTAGGCACGATATGATCTCTAGGTAGCAAGAAACCATAGGTACCACGATCACGAAGCTTCACCTGGTATGTATACTTGACCTTGAGATCATGGTAGAACCAGTCGAGGAAACTGCCACCACCAGTCTCAAAGCGAGGAAAGACTTGACGGTCGCCGGTTGAGACGAGGCCGACATTGCCTTCGCATGCAGGAGCGGACTGGTAGTAGCGGCCACCAGACAGACGCATGACCTTCGATAGTCCGGCAGCGACTTCTTGCAGGTTCTCGAGATTGGGAGGGCTTTGGTCGCAGGTATACGAGTAGGGGTACAGAATCTGCTGGGAGTACGAGTGCAAGTCGAGCAGACCCACAAAGTCGACGTTGTTGTTATCGGTCTCGTTGCGTGCCCAGTCGGCCAGGCGCTTGGACTCTACGGCTTCAAAGGGAGCGGAGCCAGAGAAAGATTCACTGCAGGGATTTGATCTCGTGTTCGCGCCATCCCACTTGAAGGAGAAGCTGCGATCGAGATCAAGACCACGGCAGAAGCGCAACGAAGTTTGCTGACGGTTCTTGCGCCACAAACGATCGGTCTCCCAGGTGTAGGCGTAGCCGTCAGGGTTGATGGTAGGCACAAAGACCCAGTCGAATTCTTCCAGAAGAGTCGTGATAACATGGTTCTTTCCGTAGCCAGTGATGAGCGAGTACGCAATGTAATTGACGGTGCTAGTTGAGATCCACTCTCTAGCGTGCAGACCGCCGGTAATCAAAATTGTCTTACGGCGTGTGGGAGAGTCGTTGTTGGTCGGATGTACGCCAATGCGCATAGCAGGGATGTCGCGACCCTCATACGTGGTACCGATGTTGATGATACGGACGTGGGTGGTGAACAGAGAGGCCATCAGGCGCATCCATGGTTGAATGACGGATAGAGGTTGGTAATCGTTGAAAAAGATGTTCTCGGACGAGGAAGTACCGAGCTTGGGACCGAAAGCACTGTGGTGGGTAGGAGAGTTGGGTTGAAGCAGACGAGCCGAGCGGGAGGAAGGGTATGTGTCTGAGATGGCATGTTGTAATGAGAAGTCGTCCATGAGCAAGCTGTGAGCACGGTGTAGAGAGGAAGGAAGCAGGCCTAATAGCGAAGGTAGCAAGTCTCCCTGAAGCCTTATGTCAACCCAGTCGTCCGTGTACTCCCATAGGTCGAGGAAGAGAGTGTCGGCGGCATCGGCGAGGCTTGTGGCATCTTGGAAATTGCTGATGTTGAAGCGTACAACCACGTCGCCGCTGTGCTTGGGGTGTGGGAGAGCACTGATGGCAGGCTCAGGTCTTGATTGAACGGGCGGGCTCCAAATATTGCGAACGATAGCGTCGGTGACGGAACGCCATGCTGGGTGATGCGAAGGTTGCTGAGGCGGCGGCGGTGGTTGCGGGTATGAAGGGACGGCAAGGACAGTGGGAGCCAGCAACGTCGAGACGGCGACGAGCAGCAACGACGGAGCGCGCATGATTGAAAGTTGTATAGTAGGCACTAGGCAGCTACTTGTCGCAAGTCAAGGTAGCAAACCAAGAGAAGTCACAGCTTGGGCGGAGCCCCGGAGGCTGTGGAGAGGCAGGACCGAAGCACTTGGCAACATCCTTCGCGCCTTCCCTGTTACTGAAGTGGGACCTTTCCAAGCCTTGTGCGTGTTGCTGACGAGGCAGTCACGCAGAGTCCAGTTCTTGCTCTTCACCATCTTGAAAGACAATCACAATCTGAATTTACGATCCGCTTCCCTGCATCGTCTCCAGTCTGCGTGTCCCAAAATTGATATTCCTCCCACCGAGACACGCTCGTTTACCCCCGGACCCGCCATCTCCAATTTCCTGCACCCCTTCGATAGCCACAAAGCCGCAAAGATATTCTCGACTGCCAAATCGTCTTCCGACTTCGACACATGCACGCCTAGTACTTTCTCTCGCTGACGCGCCGCTCCATCGCCGTCAAATGACCATCCATTCATTGCGACTTGCCGGCCATGCCTCTTATGTCGCGCCGCCGAAGTACTCTGGACACTCTCTTGAACGACGTTCGTAGCAATACCCAGGATGGCGCTACTTCTCCCAACTCTGGCTATGCCACTCCTGCACCGAACACCAGCCGTCCTATGAGTGCCCAAGAGCCAATCTCCCCCATGGATGTGCTAAGTCTGGGCCCGCCATCTCCGCCTGTCCAGACAGCTACCCCCGCGACGGCTCGTTTCAGCATGCTGCGATGGAGGCATTTCTCCGACGGTCAGCTTTCAGCCAAAGCGAGGCTGCACGCTGATTCAGACAAGACTCCTCCGGTGCCTCAAGTCCCTCCTCAGCATCAATTGCAATGTACGTAATTCTGCTTACTGCTTCGCTACCCCTGCTCACTCCCACCAGCTCCTGTGCCAAACCCTCAGATCATCACCACCGCCCCAACCATGGACGAACACAATCACCCGACCAACCGTACGAGGAAAGCAAAGAGCCCTTTCAAGCGCCAGATCTCAAAGCTCAGCCCATCCAAACAACGTCGCGAGTCCACCGAAGATCACCGACCATGGCGGAGAGGCCGCTCCGTAGACATCGATCGTCTTGTGCCCGACCCTGTAGCACCTCCACCTTACGGCGACGAATCGAACTCGGCTCTGGCACTGCCGGTCACTCGCTTGTCTGACTCGTCAGGAGAACAACGCAGCTCTGGGGAACATGTTACCTATGCCACTACCACCACTACCCACACCATCTCCACTACCACCACCCTTTTCAAGCTGCCGCGTCGTAACAAGAAGAACAAATCGCTCTTCCCATTGCCCGTCAAACTCTCGCCTCCTTCCAACCCTCCTCCGGAACCAGAGACGAGCCGCGGCCCCGCCACGCCTCGACCTTCGACCAGCGCTATCTCGACTCATTCGAACATCGAATCGCCAGAGAGACAACGGCGACCACCTCCTCTCAGTGCTCTACAACGTCGTCATACGGAAGCTTCTCGTCCGCGTTTGTTTCTTTCTTCTTCACCAGCTCCGGCTCAACTTGCAAAGTCATCTATCACCGCTCTTGCTACTCATGGAGGAGCTCCGCTGTTCCGGAACGACTCGAGCAACTCCACTCACTCCAACAACTCTTCGCCGATACTCAATCCACCCCGTCGCTTTGGTCTGCGAGATAGGTCTTCCACTGTAAGCTCGTTCGGTCGCCGGTCTGAGGATCAAACTCCTCCTACGCCCCCTGTCCTTTCCAGCGCCAGAAACTCGACTTCAACCTCAGGTCGGACCAGTCTGGGTGGACTCCTTGGCTTCAATCGTTTCCGCCACAATTCGGACCTCCGAGACCGTGGATCCTCGCCCGGCTTCCATTCGAAGTCTAACTCATTGTCTCCTAGCGTACATGAGCCAGTGGTCATTCCGGATCGTGAGGAAGGTGATACTCCCGGCAAGTACTTGGAGCGGCTTCAGGCAGCTGTGTCGCGAAGCCTCATTGCAGGAATCCTGTCAAAATCATCCGATCCGTTCGCTCAAGCTGTTCTACGAAGTTATTGCCGCAAGTTCTCTTTCTTCGGAGAGCCCATCGATATGTCATTGCGCAAGTTTTTGCTCGAAGCTGAACTGCCAAAAGAGACTCAGCAGGTGGATCGCGTTGTTCAAGCCTTCGCTGACAGATATCATGAGTGCAATCCTGGCATTTTCATGTCGCCCGATCAAGCCTACATCATAGCCTTTTCTTTAATGATGCTACATACTGATGCCTTCAACAAGAACAACAAGCGAAAGATGCAAAAGCATGACTACATCAAGAACACGAGTGGTCAGAATGTTTCCGACGACGTGCTGGGGTGCTTTTACGACAATATCTGCTACACGCCTTTCATCCACTTTGAGGAAGAAGTAGACATTAACGGAGAACGCCTTCTCACTTTCAAGCCGAAGAAGAGCAAACTCAGAGGCAGCATACCTGAACCCGGAAGAAAGAACAGCGGACCGATCGATCCCTATGCCCTGATCTGCGACGGCAAGCTGGACACTTTGCGCCCATCGATCAAGGACTCGATCACTATGGAAGACCCTTATAGCTATCTGGGCACTGCAAACTTCTTCGACATGAAAAAGCTGCAGAAAGCTTTTGTGAACACAGCTGTCCTTCAGATCATCTCCGCTCGCTCTAGACCTGCAGCTTTTGAGTCACAAGCCACACGCGACAACCCCAGCGAGTCTGCTATAGGATTGGTAGATCTCAAAGTGACGAAAGTTGGTGTCTTGTGGCGAAAGTCCACCAAGCGCAAGAAGACTCGCTCTCCCTGGCAAGAGTGGGGTGCCATCTTGACAGGATCTCAACTCTACCTTTTCAAGAACGTCACTTGGGTCAAGGGCTTGATGTCCCAGTACCACACTCATGTCAAGCAAGAAGGTACCAATACACCTGTTGTCTTCAAACCGCCGATCCAAGACTTCAAACCAGATGCGCTCATTAAGACCGACGATGCTGTCGCCTTGCTCGATCGCAGTTACTTGAAACACAAGGATGCCTTTACTCTTGTTCGTCATGGCGGCCAAGAAGAGGTCCTCCTCGCCGAGAATGAAGCAGAGGTCAACGACTGGATTGCGTTGATCAACTATGCTGCAGCTTTCAGGTCTGCCGGCGTAAGGATCCGTGGCTTTATTGGAGGAACAGATAACGACGTCACAATCAACAGCCGTGGCAGACTTAACTCGACAGCATCCGTTGATTCGTCAATCAACACATCCATCGGCTCGGCCCTCAATTCAACGATAACACACGATGGACAAGTTACTGTGGAAAAGAGAGATTTCACTCCACATCTGGTCAGACAGGTGCTGGCTGCTCGACGACAAATCATGCTTCAGACTATAGTAGAGTCAGAAAGAGAGGTCACCGATGCAATCAGAAGTCTGGAGAACATGATGAGAAACGCCCGTCACCTTCTGATCCTCGCTCCCATACAGCCAAAGACGCGAGAAGACGTGTGTCACGCCACAGCTCGAATGGACGCCATGTTGAAATGGGTCAGACGTGACATCTGGCGGACCAAGTGTCATAGGGATATCTTGTCGCTCGATCTGCAAGAGGATGGAGACATGTTCGACACCAAGCTCTCGACCCCGATACCAAATGTTCGCAAGACTAGCGGCCTTCAGAAGACAATCTCAAAGACAAACTCTCATGTCAGCCAGCAGACGAGTCCTCAGTCACCAACGCATTCGCCACGGGTGAACGGTGATGGCCAGAACGAGGGTCTGTTCAATAGGGATGTCTTCAAAACACCACCAGAGCACGCACTCAGGTTCGGCGACGCATGGCAACTACCAAGTCCTCTTGATCTCAATAGTCCGCAACAACTACGTCGGCCATCCGCTGCGAGTAACGCGCAATCTGTCATCAGAAAGCATAGTCTTGCTGGCATGTCCGTCTCGTCTAGTGTGCAGGATGGAGACAGGCATCTCTCCTCTGCTGCTTCTGACGCTCCTTTCAGACACGGTCACCTGACGCCTACTCACAGTTATGAGGGTCGCGATCATGAGGCAGCTCTCCTTGCACGCGATCCTTTAGCTCCAACAACAACCACTACCACCAACACCTCCACTGTCATGTCTGAAGCTTCAGCCGCGACGCCGGAGAGTGCGTCCAAGATCAAGAGTGGTAGGCGTAGTCTGCACCGCACATTGCGTGATGGCCGTCATGATCCATCTTCCTCGCAACGCCACAAGAGAGGCAAGGAAAGCGCCAGCACTATACGTTCGGATGGAAGTCGTGTCGATGACTTAGTTGAGGCTACTCCCGGGCTAGAGAGAAAGGCGGCAAGGTTCATGGTGCATGGCAAGCAAGCCTCAGTCGTCACCTTTGGTGCAGACTGGGCAGAAGAGAAAATGCGCCGTGAACTTGCCCGCAAACACTCTGCGTCCACAGAGGCAAGTACTGAGGAGAGCGGACCAGATGCCAATCTTCAATATCATGTGGCACAAGCGTTGTCCTCTGGCAACGGCTCTCATGCTACCAGCCCGGATGGCCCGCCAAAGATGAATGTTCGCATTCCTATCTTACACGAATGGCAAGCTGATCCTGTGGACAAAACGCCAACTGCTGCAGGCGATAGACATTTGCCTGATCCATTCAACCTCCAACACGAGCTGACAACGCCGACACTCATGTCTAGCGACGATGATTTGGACTCTTACTTCGACGCAAACAGTCCACGCTCAGATACGGTACGAGCTGGTTCACGTAAATTCTCCGATGCCCAGGGTCTCGAGGATGCGTTGAGCTCCCATGCAAGGGAAGGCATGCTTCCTGAAGACCTCCCACTTCCATCATCGCCTCCTATGGCCATCGAGCATGAGAATCATGACGACAATACCATCCCGTTTTCTCGGTACATTGAGGATGAAAAGTTGCGGGAGCTCACTTCAGCAACAAATTAGCAATGAACGCAGGCGTCATTGCTTGTTGATTGCAAGTTGCAATTAACAGAAAAGTCCTCTGTTCTCATACTTTCTGGTTCTTTGTTTTGTTGTTTTTCCTTTCTAGCACTCAATCGCACGATTCCCCCTCCTTAGGCATTGCATTTATTCTTTTTTCGACCCAGACAGTCTGGCAGAGCGGTTCTTGTAAAGGAGTATGGTTTATTTCACGTGGCTTTTGCGATGGCGACTCTGGGTACAAACTTTGATCAGCTTCAAGGGCCTTTCTAGCTCCGAGACGTGATGCTGCGTGGAAACACATCCTATTGACTATGCGAAAATGACATACCGCATTTTTCCACACATGCATCTTGATGAATATCCCATGCTGGTTTCCTAATTTGTCCAATGCTAACAATGTCTGTCAACTCGACTCTCCCACTGTAGCGATATGAGTAGACCTGTACTCTACCGCCTTATCTTGTGAAGGATCATAAGCGATGTCCACCTGCCTACCTGGTCAAGCCCCATGTCTTGACGCGGGCTCCAATCAACGATCTCGCTCATAGTTGTGTTATATCCTATTGACTGTGTTACGTCTGTACTGAGCGCTCAAGCAACGCGTGACTTTGAATTGCCTTTTGCTTTCGATGATGAATCCTGATCCGCGCAAGCACAAAAGATCGATTTCACGACCGTCTCACGTATTTCGTAAAGCCTATCCTCTGAGTTTGGTCGCAAACGAGCGTATTCGTAGCTCGTAAAGAGCATCTCCACAATAGGATAGGGCAGATAGCCTAAAAGTGAGCCGTTCACAAAAGGGTCGGCCGAAGAGCAGCGAAGCGAGGGTGTTGTGCTGTCTATACGAGGTTATGCCCGCAAGTACGAGGGTGGACTCGTACGAAAGACGATTTATGCACCATGACCCTGTGAGATCGGTGTTTACTCTAGGCCGGCGGCGTGGTGATGTGCATGCTCGGAAGATGGAGATCCCGGCGAATCCTCCTGACAGCAGGACTCGGTTATCGAAACCCGCCCCTTTTGGGCCCCTGCTGGACATGAAATACACTGCGGAAAAGATAGTGACACGACGCAACAATTTAATTGCACATAGCAGGAGTCGAATGCAAAGACTGTCTCTACAGAGATATAGAAAGCCTCTTCTATGCTATCTATCGCTTGGAAGATTTCAGATTGTGCATTGCAATGTTTAAAGGGGAGGGCAAGTACGACTGTGGGTCTTAGTACCGCAACTCCAAGCGGAGGAATATACACAATCAAAGGGCGAGGCAACACTATTATGGAGATCAGTTATTAGGGTCCCCAAGCTCCTTTTCTGAAACCGATTTCCTCTCCTCGATCTCGCCTCGAGTTCTTTATAATCGTGTCTTGATCTTCTCTCTTTTCGACACACTCTTTCGTGACGCCTCTTAATTCCGTACCGTCAACAAAATTTCCCCTCAGGCTACTGGAATCTCGTCCGCCCCCACACGACTCGGACGAACTTCTTCCCCGCTATCGAACCAGCCCAGGGCGGCTATAGCCCTTTCCACTACAGATCATGGATCCTGTGAATGATAGACACCATGGCTCAGACATATCGAGTAGTGGCGACACGGTGAACGTGGAAGTCACCAACTACGAAAAGACACAATTAGGCCAAGCACCGCTACCAGCAGCACCCGCACCCACACCCGCCGCACCCATCACCGAGAAAGGATACAAGAGCAAGGAAGACAAGAATGACAGCAGCAGTGATGGTGAGGGCGAAGACCCCTTTGGTCACTTGCCGGAACATGAAAAGTCGATTTTGAAGCGCCAATTGGACATTCCTGTGGTCAAGGTCACTTATGTGATGTTGTATCGCTATTCTACACTTAACGATAAGCTGATCATGGCTTTGAGCGCTTTCTCTGCTATTGTTGGAGGTGCTTTGCTGCCTCTTATGACCGTCGTCTTTGGCGGTCTCACGACCACCTTCAACCAATTCTTCCTGGAACAGATTACCAAGGAACACTTCAATCACGAACTGAACAGGTTCAGTCTGTACTTCCTTTATCTTGCCATTGGCGAGTATGTTTTTGTGTACATCGCCACTGCTGGGTTTCTCTATACTGGCGAACATATCTCCGGCAAGATTCGTGAGAACTTCTTAAAAGCGATTCTTCGCCAGAACATTGCTTTCTTCGATCAACTCGGTGCTGGAGAGATCACAACGCGCATCACATCCGACACCAATCTCGTCCAGGACGGTATTTCCGAGAAGGTTGGACTTACACTGACAGCTTTGGCAACCTTCGTCACTGCCTTCATTGTGTCATTCATCAAGGACGCTAGACTCACTGGAATCCTGCTGTCAACCGTGTTCGCCATTGTCTTTACCATGGGTGGCATGAGTGGATTTATTGTCAAGTTCAACAAGGCATCCCTGTCCTCCTACGCCGAAGGCGGTACCGTGGCTGAAGAGGTCATCAGTTCCATCCGAAACGCAAAAGCATTTAACACCGAGAGAAAGCTTGTTGCTCAATACGATGCTCATCTTGCCGTGGCTGAAAAGTGGGGTTTCAAAATGAAGGCAGTAACTGGTTCGATGATCGGTTTTCTGATGTGTTACGTCTACTTGAACTATTCTTTGGCCTTCTGGATGGGTTCGCGATACCTCGTTGGTGGTCGTCTGAAGGTCGGAGATGTGCTGACAATCATCTTGAGCATTATGATTGGTGCTTTTGCCCTCGGAAATGTCGCTCCCAATATCCAGGCCTTTACAACTAGTGTCGCAGCCGCAGCCAAAATTTTCGCAACCATTGACCGCGCATCCCCTCTGGACCCTGCCTCCTCAACAGGCGAGACACTCAAGAGTGTCGAAGGCCATATCGAGCTGCGCAACATCCGTCACATCTACCCCTCTCGCCCGGAAGTCACAGTCATGGAAGATGTTAGTCTCCGTATTCCTGCTGGAAAGACAACTGCCTTGGTTGGTGAGTCAGGCTCTGGTAAGAGTACCATTGTCGGTCTTGTCGAACGTTTCTACGACCCAGTTGGCGGAAATGTCTACCTCGATGGTCAGGACATATCTACTTTGAACTTGCGCTGGCTCCGTCGCCAGATCTCTCTTGTCAGCCAGGAACCTACTCTGTTTGCTACTACCATCTTTGGCAACATCCGTCATGGTTTGATTGGTACAGTCCATGAAAACGAGTCTGAGGAGAGAATCCGCGAACTGGTCGAGAATGCTGCCAAGTTTGCAAACGCTCACGACTTTATCACCGGTCTACCTGAAGGCTACCAGACCAATGTTGGTGAACGCGGTTTCCTGCTTTCTGGTGGTCAGAAACAGCGAATTGCTATTGCTAGAGCCATGGTCAGCGATCCTAAAATTCTTCTTCTCGACGAAGCTACTTCTGCTTTGGACACCAAGTCCGAGGGTGTCGTACAAGCCGCTCTGGACAAGGCAGCTTTGGGCCGAACGACCATTGTTATTGCCCACAGACTCTCCACTATCAAGGGTGCCGACAACATCGTCGTCATGTCCCGTGGCCGTATTGTCGAGCAGGGTACTCATGATGTCTTGATCGAACAACGAGGTGCTTACTACAACTTGGTCGAAGCTCAGCGCATTGCTGCCGAGACTGAGAATAAGGATCTTGAAGAAATCGCCATCTTTGACGAAAAGGATCAGAACCTCACTCGTGTTGCCACTCAAGGCGAGGATTTCGAAAATGACCCCAACGATCTTAAGCTTGGCCGTACCCAGACAAGCAAGTCGAAGTCCAGTATTGCGCTCCAGAACAGGAAGACCGAAGTTGAGAACCGCTATTCTCTATGGACTTTGATCAAGCTAGTTGGCAGCTTTAACAAACAGGAATGGCTCTATATGACTATTGGTATCATTTGCTCTGTCATAACTGGTGGCGGAAACCCAACACAGGCCGTCTTCTTCGCCAAAGCTGTTACCGCTCTTTCCCTGGATACAAGGGTCCCTGCCAATCGCGTTACAATCCGCCACGAGGCAAACTTCTGGTCCTGGATGTACTTCATGCTTGCCATGGTGCAATTTCTGGCATTCATTATTCAAGGATATGTATTTGCTATCTGCTCTGAGCGACTGGTCCATCGAGCCCGTGCGCAGGCTTTCAGAACGATGCTGCGTCAGGACATTGCTTTCTTCGACAAAGAAGAGAACACCGCTGGTGCTTTGACCTCCTTCCTGTCAACCGAGACCACTCATCTCGCTGGCATGTCTGGTGTGACCCTGGGCACGCTTCTTTCCGTCATCGTAACTCTCATCGCCGCCTTCGCTGTTTCGTTGGGCGTTGGCTGGAAGCTCAGTCTCGTCTGTATCTCGACCGTACCTATCCTGCTTGCATGTGGCTTCCTGCGCTTCTGGATGTTGGCTCGCTTCCAGGCCAAGGCTAAAAAGGCTTACGAGAAGTCTGCCAGTTATGCCTGCGAAGCTACTTCCGCCATCCGCACCGTTGCTTCATTGACAAGAGAGGACGATGTTCACATCCACTACCACGATCAACTTGTAGATCAGGGTCGCAAGTCGCTTGTCTCTATCTTGCGCTCCTCGAGTCTCTACGCTGCCTCTCAATCTCTCATCTTCTGTTGCACTGCTCTTGGATTCTGGTATGGAGGACGCCTGATCTCCGCTGGCGAGTACAACATGTTCCAATTCTTCCTTTGTTTCAGTGCAGTCATCTTCGGCGCCCAGTCAGCAGGTACCATCTTCTCTTTCGCTCCCGACATGGGAAAGGCAAAACAGGCCGCGGCCGAGCTCAAGCAGCTGTTTGATCGCCAACCTGAGATTGACAGTTGGAGCGAAGACGGCGAGAAGCTTACCAACGTGGAAGGTCACATCGAATTTAGAGACGTGCACTTCCGTTACCCTACCCGCCCTGAGCAGCCTGTTCTCAGAGGACTTAACTTGACTGTCAAGCCCGGTCAATACGTCGCTCTGGTCGGTGCCAGTGGCTGTGGCAAGTCGACTACTATCCAACTTCTGGAGCGCTTCTACGATCCTCTTGCTGGTGGTGTCTACATCGATGGCAAGGAAATCTCGAGCCTCAATGTCAACAATTACCGCTCATGGATTGCACTGGTCTCTCAAGAACCTACTCTTTATCAGGGTACTGTCAAAGAGAACATCCTCCTCGGTGCCGACAGAGAGGACGTTCCCCAAGAAGCTATCGAGCAAGCCTGCAAAGACGCCAATATCTACGACTTCATCATGTCACTGCCGGATGCTTTCGACACTATCGTCGGTAGCAAGGGTAGCATGTTGTCAGGTGGTCAAAAGCAGCGTATTGCCATCGCCAGAGCGCTACTCCGTGATCCCAAAATTCTCCTCCTCGATGAGGCCACCTCAGCTCTCGACAGTGAATCTGAGAAGGTTGTCCAAGCAGCACTCGACAAGGCCGCTAAGGGTCGCACCACTATCGCCGTCGCACATCGTCTATCTACCATTCAACGCGCCGACATGATCTACGTCTTCGATGCCGGTAAGGTCGTCGAGGCCGGCACACACGCAGAGCTTCTCCACCTCAGAGGCCGTTACTTCGAGCTGGTCAACCTGCAGAGTTTGGGCAAAGCACAGTAAACACGACGCTCCCACACCCAACGGTTTTCATTTTCACTTCACATTTTCGTTCTGGCTGCAACGCCTGTTTGTCCACAGTGTATATAGACTGCTCGTGGCAACCATTTTTGTTCTTGGATACCCATTTTAAATTAGACCCTTTCATTTGACGGAGGACGGACATATGTATGCATAAAAGCTATTTTTTTCACAACTCTCAATACAGCTTTCTTCATCTCACTACGTCCGTATATAACGTTCGTCAAACAAGCTAATGAAGTGATGAACACCGCTGAGCTGAAGAAGTGTACGGGTACGAAAGTGGAAAGGGGAAAGGCTACCAAGCGCACCAGGTTCCTCCACAGGGCGCGTACTGACTGTTTTCCAAGTTCCAGATGCCGCAATGAGTTCAGCTATGAGATTGCATGAAGGTCTTGGGGTCCAGGAAAGCGTCTACTGAGAGTCCAACTTTCGAGGCCTCTCCTTGAACAATCTCTGAATCGGTAACATCCTTGTGCATTTTTATAGCTAGTAATATTCGTCTTAGTCAAGATACGAAAGACACCCACCGAAAAAGAAGTCATTCACGCTCAACATCGTCTCTCTCTAAAGGGACAGAGCATGCGAGTCAAGTCTAGTGAACCGTTGACGACAATCTGAATCCTTCTACCCGGTAATTCACGGTCTGTTGGTCTGGTCAGGTCGATCTGACTTGCCGGCCAGCTGAAGACCCTACAAAGCCGTTGCATACCCACAGTGGTGGCTCATTATCTATTCCTGTTCGGGTCTTTGCAGGGAGAATATACGCTGTACGCGAGGGCCAATATTGTCGGTGGTGATTGTTTGGGAATAGGGGTGGCGTTTTAATGTTTTTTTGTCAAAAAAACTGACGATACAAAACAACATGTTTAATACGTTGTTTTGATTGTATGCTTGGCATAGTCACCCTGTCCGTACCCCGCAGCCAAGCCTTACGGGTGCATAGCGGGTACATACGGGTGCACGCGGGTGCAAGGCTCGGCATGCCAAGCCATGTTTTGTATGTTTCGACGTCAAAGATACTGACGCCAAGGCTGTTTTTAACGTATAAAACAGAGACGAAAAAAGCCGATGTGCATCCCTATTTGGGAAGGGTTTGGCGACATCTGTCAAAGGCTCAGCGGGCGGCAGCGGCAGCCGACGCGCCGACCGTAACCTTGTCGCGGACCTCCGAGTGGTAGGTTTACCCGAGTCTGACTTCTTCCACAATTCGAGCGTCTCTCCTGTCTACTCCCCTTGCTTTCTGGGCACGAGGCTTGAGATTGCGGTCTGAAACAGAAGTCACGATCATCGAGATGATCGACGTGCTCCTGCTTCTTCTCCAGATCTCCGGATGGCTACCAGCCCTGAGGTGAGCTGGGAAGGATGAGACCTGCAGTACCTACCAAATATTCGGAATATCAAATCAACGGGTAGGGCATTGCATGGCATGAGGAGCCGACACGCTCTTCCAATACTTCAACTGAGTCTCCGAGGTTGACTGATCATTCATCGGACCGGAGACACCAGCTGTAATCTGCACGTTGTAGGTCCACCTCAGATTATCGTAGACCCGTTGTTCTTGCAAAAATCTCAGTCAACTGTATGGTCTTCAGATCTTCAACTCTGCAACGACGATGCCGTTGTCTTCGCGTGTTTCTGCATCGATCCAAGATCACGCTTGGATTATTGTACGAGTTGAAGATCTGGTATGCTGATCACATAACAATGCCATCTTGAAGATGATCAACAACCACTCGACGACAACGATTCTTATGACGGTGGCCACAGCGCTCGATACATTGACTGAAGCCACATACTACGCGGTTCAGTGACTATTGCGCAATGAGGCGTCCAGGGCAAATACGCCGCGGCTCAAGTCGGGACCCCAGGCGAACACTCCGGTCGTTGTTGGCAGATCAATGCCAACGCCTTCAACGGCTAAGGCCAGATGCAACTATCAACCACGAGCGCATATACATCTAAAACCACCTTGAACTCAAAACTAGAACCGGCGATAGGCCATGCTCTCGTATCATTCTGGAATGCAGTGTCTGTTGCTTAAATGGAAACGCATCACGCAGCACATTTGCCATCGAGCTTTTGCCCTTCTTGCATGACCAAATCAAGCCCTGGTGGTTTCCCAACTCTTGATTACCAAGCACGTTATATACTACCACGGCAATGTCAGAATTGATCAGAAGGCGTCTGTTCGCCATATTCGATGATGACAACCCGGATCCTGTAACACATCACTCTAGCTCCGTTCTGGGAAGAGCACTTTACAGCGGATTGACGATCCTACCACTTTTACTCACATGCTACTTGTTCTGTAGGTACTGCTGTCAAATATACTCAGGCGCTCATCTAATCTTGTACTAGGGCGTCGAGTCAAAGAAGTCCGCTGGCAGACCATCCGACACATTTCATGGATACGCTTCCTTGTCTATTCAAGCTATCTCGTGTCCATCGCCTTCTTCGTTGCGTCTATCGCAATCTCTGGCGTTGGTATACAAACGGCTGGTTTCTGTCGGACAGCAATCTACTTCTGCATCGCCTTCCTCTTCGTCGGCCGTCTCACAACACAACTTTTCCTCATCGAAAGAGCACACATCGCCAACTTGGACTACCTGCGCCGCCGTGATGACCCCATCTGGATTCTATCTACAGCATGCGTTGGCGTCTTTGCCACTTTCCTGTTCGTATGGGCATTCTTGAACCCCGTGGCCTATATCGCAAATAGCGATGGTAGGTGCCGCAAAGGCATCCCACCAGAGGTTGTCGCACCCCTCGAGATCTATGAGTGTATTACCTACATTATGCTCACTGGTGTCTTTGTCGTTATGCTTCGCCGCACAAGACAATGCGAGCTGTTCCCTTCTGTCCCGGAGCGCTTCACCACATTTGGCAAGAAGTTGAACCGCTTGAGTCACGTCAACAGACCCGGCAGTGCTAAGAAGAGCGCTGATATAGAAGAGGTGGAAATCGACACCCTGTCCTCTGCGATCATCTTGCCCGCCTCAACTCGTCCTTGCAAGTTGCGCGGATTGGCTTACAAGTCTTTGATCGGCACCATCTTGATCCTTGTTTGGGGTGTCATCAATTCTACGATCTTCTACGTTACTGGTGGACGCGAACATGTCTGGCTGTGTTTCATGCAGTGCAATATGGATAGTAAGTTTACCTTCCATGATCCAAGGTTATCAGCAAGTCACTAACCTCTTCTAGTCTTCCTCTCAGTCTGTGTATTACACTGGCTCACCGCAAACCCCAAGGAGCTCGAACGCAGCATGAGAGGTACCAGACCTAGTGTCACCGAGCTACCTGTTTTCCTCAGGGGCGACTCGATTTCTGAGCCTGTGCCTGCTAAGCTCTCCCCTTCATGCTCTTCCTCCGATTAGGAGTCCAAGAGACTATGTATATATTCCTGTCGCAACCTCAGATCCATAGATCAAAGTACTAATAGATAGACAAAAAGACATTTCTGCTGGCCGGAATTGGCTGAATCAACACATGAACTTGGTACCACAGTTGTCAACCTTCAGATGTACATGTGTGATGCTATAACTGTTGAAGAAGGTACTAGTAAATCTGTTTCAACATTGCTCCTTCCACCACCTCGAAATAGGGCGCCAAGTCTCTGCTGCAAGGGAGATAAGAATTCTGAATCTAGCCAGGGTCTCATGTCCAAGCCGTCCGTGTATTATCATCGTCAAAATGCATGACGATTTGTACGGTCAACTGCTTGTCCAGTGAGAGCAGTGATTTTTCGTGCTTGTATTGGACGATCAGACTATACTGACGATCACATCGTCATTTGACAGGTGGGAGCTATTTGCGGTGGAATCTTGAACAACGAGAAACTGGCTCGCTTTGTTTGCGTTGAGCTTCGTGACTCCCATCAATTCCTTTGTTGCTTTGAGGTCCTGCGAGTCCAGTTTGTAGATTGGATATGGAAGTTTGCAATTTTCTTTGTACATGTGGCTTCCGCATTCGAACGAGCGGGTTTTTCGAGTCAATAGGTCGTTTTCTTCTTCTTCTTGAAGACATGCGCGTTCAGACTCGGAGCAAATCACAGAATCTTGGAAAGTGAAGATGGAAATTACCATGCCGGACGTTGAGCCTGAAGGGCCACACACCTTCTACGCACCAGACCCTCCGGTAATCCCTCCATATGATCCGCCAGTACACTGGTCCGAAGTTTCTTCCGAATGGACAGCACATCTCAATTATAACAGAACCGGCTTCCATGTCTCCAGACTCGACCCTAATAATCCTTCAGGGTGCATACTCGGACCACCCAGTCAGATTCCGGACTATCACCCTCTGCTGGAGAAATATGGTATACAAGTCTTGGGAGAGTCCGGTTTCATAAACCACTTGGGAGTACCTCCTGCCGTGAACAACAACATTCATGGTCGACTTGCGTTTGCATGGTACAGAAATCCCATGATCGAAAAGAACAAAGAGATCCATCCCGTTTTGAGAAAAGAGCTTTGGCCCAACATAACTTACCGGGAGTGGAATCTGATGCAGCCATCTTTGCTCCTAGCATCGGCCATCTTGGATGATCCTGTCACCCTCAATTATTTCCATGCTCTCGCTGTTCCATCTGCTGAGATGGAGACACAATTTCACCACAGCGATACATTCGTGGGATATTGTAAAAATATGAGTATACCAGATGTGTTGACAGAGGCTGAGCAGATGGAAGTGTTTCGAAAGATGTACGCGGTCCGTGACTGGACGACTTGGTCATTCGGAGATTGTGAAGGATATTATGGCCTGACCAGTTGGCGAATCGATGCGACAGGTTTTCGGACTGTCCCTGCTTCCAAACCGTAAGGAATATGGAACTCGAACGTGCATTATCACTTGACAAGCTAACGATTGTTGAAATAGTGATACTCGCCAATCCGATATCAAACTCAACCGGAGACTGCTTGATGTCATCGATTGGTACGATTCCGCAGGACCATACGACCAAAGATATATGCAAATATTGCACGATGTCCATGTCATGGCTGATATTGAACCCGATCACCAATTCCAAATAAACCCGGATTCGGCCATCTACCGTACGATATTGATGCTGGCTGTCACCATGGTTCACGAATTCGTTCACGCTTTCAGCATGGCTTACTTCGAAAAAAGTGACTTCTCCGACGAGCCTGACGAACCGTGGGTAAAAGGCAACAGATCGAATGAACAAGGTCACTCATTCGAGGATTACATCTTCGGCGGCTTACCTGCCCCATTGATCATCTCCATACCACCCATGAGCCAAGATTTCGAGTGGATACAACTAGCCACTGCGCCCTTTGGTCTCTACACAACGCAGCAATGGGATCTCTGGGACTACAACAAGGAGCCGAATTATGATTCCTCGGGTTACATTGATCCTGATGATGGCGATTCGGACAACGCTACTGGTATCAGAGTCAAAGACGAGAATGATCCACCGCATAAACCATCACAACGGTATTTCCCTATACCTCAAGCGTGGTGTGAGTTTTTGTTTTCCGACGACTCATGGGCGGATCAAGTGATGAAGTACGGGTTGGCGGCGATCAAGGTTCCGAAGATCGAAAAGTGGAAGGTTATCAGACATCACAGTGGTGATACGGGATATTGGGATACTGGAGAAGACAGATGGAACGGAGGTGATGAAGATGACGACCTTGAGTTCTCGGGACCACATTGGGAGTGAGTTGGATTGAGATGAGCAACTTGGATAGCTCGGATCAGCAAGCTCACCTTCTTCATGGTCTCCGCCCTCCTCGTTTTCAACCATCTAGCCAGTTGCAATGATATCTCATCAGTATCATCGAGTAGCTTGTCGATGATTATATAAATTTGTTTGATATTGTAACTCTCAAATTCTGCGAATGTCATGACTGCTGCATTCTCATCGGGAAGAGCCTTGATATCGTTGATAATGTGTAACAACGATCCGCAAGGATTAGCGCTGTTCTGTGAGTATCGAAGCGCCATAATGGTCTTTCTTACCTTGAATGCAGATCCATTGGCCTGTGTCCTTGCTCCTACTATGTTCATGCTTTTCAGCAAGGCCTACCCCTGCATAATAGACGTTGATGCTGACATCTGCCTAACGCCGCACCTAGTGTTGGTGCTTGGCGTGCTGTTGCCGTCGCTGTGACCGACCCCGTCTTTCCTGTTCCTAATACCTCCGGTTACTTCTCTATCGCCTTCGCCACGTTGATCATGAAAGCGCGCACAAGGGCATGTTTAGTGTAATCACAGCACAAATCCACATCGCCGGAACAAGTAGATAAATGCTTAGGAGGAATCGGGGTGTGTCTTGGAGAGGTAGGTATGTCAAATTCCAGGGGACTAGAGTAGCAATCTCATGTAAGCTTCTCTGCCCACATTACCAAGAAGAATGACCAAGAAGAATGGCCAAGAAGAGCCGCGGTAATCAAGCTTCGAGAAATTGCTTACGCTTATGCGAGAAGACTTTTCTGACAATACCGTCGTGTGGTCCGTTGTCGGCCATTGATTCGGATCCTCCCTGATCACCGTGCGTTGAATCACGACTATTGTCATCGCCGCCCCGATAAAAAGCAGGCGGTATTGAGAAGTCGTCGTCATCCCGTTCCGTTGGTTGGGCTTTTGCAGGGTTTCCGACACGATTGGTCGGGACAGGCTCGGGATCGGAACTCTTCCTTTTCCTCGAAGAATTAAGACGCTTTGTCTGCTCACTGAGAAGCGAAAATGTGGTATATCCGGGCCGATCCTCATTCCTCGGTAAGGGGGGCGTCTTGAATTTTGGAACTCGACCGCCGCTTTTCTCAAGCAGTTGATTCCCATCCTTTCTCGGAGCAGATATCTCGTAGCGTGATGGAGGTGAGCGTTGGGAGTCTATGGGGTTGGGGTCTATGGGGTCAGGGTGTACGGAAGTCTGGTTGTCAGGGACAGGAGTGTGGTCGACCGACGCTGGGAAGTGAGAGTTCTCACCCGAATCCTGCCTGGTTGATGGTGCTTGTTCGACTCGGCGTCTTGTCTCAACATTCGATCGTGCGGTGGTTTGTCGCGCTGCAGGAAACTGTTGGTGTTCGCGAGGAGGACCAGTGAAGAAGGGCTTGGTAGGAAGTCTAGGGGTAGGGCCTTGACTGGCATTCTGCTCGATCGGGCCCGCAGCTAGAGCTTTGGCCCTCTGCTCGGCGGCCTTCTTCTCCCTGATTTTTGCTTTGTGGTCCTTGTAACGTTGCTTGGCCGGATCGACCTTTCCCTTAGCGTTGGTGACAGCCTTCAGGTAAGCGCCAGGGTCGTTGGTGTGCTGAACAGCAATCAACACAAGAGCTTGCATCGTGTAGGCAGCATCATTGCCTGCATTGTGAAGGTTCTCTGGATCAACACCAAGTCCAGCCATCAACTTGCTCAATCCGATGGTGGTCTTCTTAGTGCCAACGAATCTCTGAGTGTCGACGTCTTGGAGGATGTTGCCGCTTGCGTGGGGTGCGAAATTAAGTTTGTTCAAGTAAGCAGTATCGTTGGAAAGGCCGTGGCCGACAAGGACGAGTTTCCGTGAACCATTGTCTGATGCTCGTAATGGTTCGGAAGTGGGGTTGTTGAAGAGCTCGATGAGAGTGTCGCGGATGTGCTTGAGCGGAACCAACTCGGAGTGGCCAAAGTTGAATTTGTCAGGACAGCCGTGAACAAAACGCTTATTCACGAGATGTTTGTATTCCTTGATGATCATGTGACGGGTGTTTATTTTGGAGAGCCAATTCGATCCATCGGCACCTGGATCAGTGCCAACGACATGTCGGGAGTCCAGAATGGAGACACCAACCTCTGTGATCTTATCTTGGGAAAACTCGAAAGCTTCCAGGTCAACACAGACAAAGACAGGTTCGGCTGCTTTCAGACGTTCCACTCGCTCGAGGTCCTTGGGCTTTACTTTGAGATCGTCTGCAGCATTCCTGAGACCGAGAATATGCTGCATGGCCAGTAGCTCTGATTCCTTCTGAGAATTCATCACGCCGACTTCTTCCTCGATGACTACTTCAACTGGGTGTGGTATCGTTTGTATGATGAAGTCGGGGACTGCAGTTGGAGCTGTTCTGGCAGGTTGAGGGTCAGGCTTGCTGGTTTCGATGATTCCCAAATTTCGTCGACCAGTCCCAGTTGAGAGTGTGATTGAACTTCTAAGGGAGGCAATAGATGATGGTTTGATATTGGAACGGATCAAGCCATTTTTTAGGTGCAATAGCCGATGGGGTAGCATTCGTCAATACCAGTCGCGTAGTATTTCATTGAACAGACACCTTCCACCGAGTTATCTCTCAATTGGGAATTTCTGATTGACAATGGTCCAAAAGATATCAGGCGACTTGGTACAAAAGAACAATGGCGATGGATGATGACGGCGGCGAACTCGGAGATGGGGCCCGTGCACGCCGCATGCTGGAGTCGAGCATGATGAAGCAGCGGCGAACAAGAAACAGAGAAAGGACGACTTGACCGTTTTTCTCATTCTCATCGACAATCTCGTCAATCACAATGGCAACAACATCACTGCCGCGATCAGCGCTGCAGCGCTCCTTCCTCTCCGCCCGCCCTTCGCCGCAATGCCTCTCCCAGCGCATCTCTTCCCGCATCAGCCAACCCACCACCCGCACATTCTCTAAGAGCTCAACTATGCGATACAAGACTGTAGAAGAAGCGAAGTCGCGTTACCGCTTCGGTCCTTTCAGCTGGCAAGCCGGAATCCTGTTCTTGTCGGCCGGTGTCGGTATGGGCCTCTACTTCCGCTACGAGAAGGAGCGCATGGCCCGCAAGCGCATCGCCGAACACAGCAAGGGTGTCGGTCGTCCGCTGGTCGGTGGTCCCTTCCAGTTGATCGACCAAGACCGCAAGCCTTTCACCGAGCAAAATCTCAAGGGGAAATACTCTCTGGTTTACTTTGGATTCACACACTGCCCGGATATCTGCCCCGAAGAGTTGGACAAGATGGCCGGCATGATTGACAATGTCAAGGAGAAGCACGGGGATGTTATGAGACCTGTCTTTATCACATGCGACCCTGCAAGAGATACCCCCGAGGTCACAAAGGAGTACTTGAAGGAGTTCCATGACGATCTGATTGGTTTGACTGGAGAGTACGAACAAGTCAAGGCTACCTGCAAGGCTTTCCGTGTCTATTTCTCGACACCGCAGAATGTCCTGCCTGGTCAGGATTACCTCGTAGACCACAGCATTTACTTCTACCTCATGGGTGAGTCTCATCGACATTTACATATCTGGACTCGAGCTAACAAAAAACAGACCCCGAGGGTGACTTTGTCGAGGCCATTGGCAGAAATTTCACCGTCGAGCAAGCATCAAGAGTCATCAACGACCACGTTGCCGACTGGAAGGGCAAGATTGACAAGTCTGCCTAGACCACTGCACATATTACCAAAAATGTACGAATAGTAGACGACATGTAAAAACACTCTGTACAATACAACCCATATGCCACAAACTCTATGATATGAATCAAATGGTCAGCCTCCCCTTATCATGAAGCACCTGGCGCACAGCTGTGAATGTGCACAACTCCACGTCACCCTCAAACATGTGTACTAGCTTCCAAGCCACTTGGCTTTCGACGACTCGTGCCTTCAGACTCGCCGTTCATGCGAGTTTGGTGCTACTTCTTCTCCTCTCCCTTCCAAATCAAAAGACCCTTTCCATACAACCCAGAAATAAACCCAACACCTCTCTTCTCATCAAGCGCAATACTGCTGGACGAAACAATCTCAGTCCCAACATAAACATCCTCCACACCCTTCTCTCTAGTCCACTGAACCACATAACTAGGCGCCACAGCATCACAGCCCTTGGATGTAGTATCCTCGCCGCAGTTCTCTCTTTGCTCGACAAATTTCGTCAAAGAAGACAAATGAGCATGACCAGCAATAAACAGCTTGCCCCCAGCAACATGCAGATTATCCGGGAAGAATGACAACGGAATCGCCTCCCTGTAGCTGAGTGTAGGCGGAGCACTGCTTTTGTCGATATTGTAAAGTAAAACTTTGGCCGAAGCACTAGATGCCACAGCAACAGTACTCTCATTGACCACCGCGATACCATTGGCAAAAGCCACTCTAGCGACTTGCGTAGCCTCTTCTGTCTTGAGATTAACATGTGTAACGCCACCCAGAGGAAGACCGAGATACGTCTCCACCATGTTCATAATTTTCGAACCCTTAGGGGTGAAGAAATGATCATTGGTTACCAAGACCTCGGTGGCGGAGATTTGGACAACGGCATTAGGGGCGCGGAGGTAGGGTGAGGAAATACTGCGGATGTAGGTTGCGGAGTTGCCGTGGCGGGAAAAGTGGAATTGGTCCAGAGTGCTGCCGGTGGTTGCGTGGTTTACTGCTAAAAGGGTGTTGGTGGGGAGATGCAGGGAAAGGCCTAAGGGGTGGAAAGAGTAGTTCTCGGGGGTGTTAAGAAGGCGGATTGTTTCGAGGGAAGGGGTTGAACGGGAGTAGTCGTAGAGGTAGAGTTCGCCATTCTTGGGTTGTGTTTTGCCGAAGATGCCCTGGAAAGTATTTGTTGGTATGGGAGAGAATGAGATGGAGGGAATACTTACCATAACAGTGTTCCAGACATCTCTGCCTTCATCGCAGCCAATGACCACGTATCCGGCTTGATCGTCTACCACCAGGTCTTCGCAGTTTCTCAACTTGTCTGCATACTTAATTTCATAGTTGCCTTTCTCAGCCATCCATCCTCTGGAAGTGGTGATCTTGGAAGGATGGTTGATCGTTTCGAGATTGTACAGCAAAGATAAGCGTGTGTAAATATGCGGTACGCAGGCCGCGATGAGCAAAAGGAGCTATCATCGTTAGAACGTGCCAAGATTGAGGAGGTTTTGTAACACACGATATTGAGCTTGAGACCCATGGCGTAGAAGCACGATCAACGAGAAGGGTGACGGACACAAAGTAAGCAGGTGAGGTCAACTTCGGAGATGATCGCTCGTGCTTTTGTAACGGCTTTTTCGTGTTTACAACTCGTCTAGATTTATACGATCGTAGTAAGGATAATCACACATTCACAAGCCTGGGTTCCAAACGATGTTCGAAAAGTGTGGCAGCTGTGACTTGTCGGAGTGTAAGCGGAGGTTCAAGGTGAAGTCGACCCCGCTCGTGGCCAAGGTGCTTTGTCCGGCAGTCACCCTGCCGCTTACAATTTTGTGCTTGAATTCATCGCATCGTTCCTTCCTGTATCGACAAAATATATTACCGACTCAGATGCTGTTATCGTCGTAGCTGAAAATGCTTCCTTGAGTTTTCAAGACTCGGTATGACGAAGCGCTGCGATCCTGCAACGAATACGCGGCTGCAGACCATGGCGCGACTTCACGCGTTAGTACGACGCAACAGAGAGCAGCAAATTGATGGTGATACTCAGAGATAAGCAGTACCTATGCGACACAGGAGTTTGGCATCAACAGTATACACGCTGCAAGATTGTATCGTCTTGCAACATATCTAGAGCATGCAGATTACACTCATCATCCTACGAAATATCCGCTAACTACATATCTGAAATCCATAAAAACTTCTTGGGGGAGACAAAATATAACTTATTGCGAAAGTTCTTTTTTTCTTCTCCTCTTTTCAAAAAAAAAAAATTAACTCTATAGATAGTTATAATGCGGATCCTTCAAGGAGATCATGGCAAGATGTCGCTGTCGCTCTCAGCAAAAACCCACTCGATATCAAAATAACACTATGCATTCGGATGACCACACGCGCAGACACATGTGAAAGTGAGAATCATGTTCGAACTCCGAAGTGAACTGGAAGACTCGTCAGGTCAAGTTTGGATGTATCAGTAGTCAGTATGTAAACTCTAGAGACACGTCAATCGCGGCTCCAAAGCGCCAGGGGCTGAGAAAATCAGCCTGTCAAGATACAAGATAGTTTTGTGGTCTTGGTGATTGGCCAGAGAGAGCGTGCTAATGTGTCGCTCTAAAGGGACAAGCACTCAATTCTGAAAAACACCATGCATTGTGATGGCTATGGAAGCAGCTCTACACGGAAAACAGAGCAAAAGTGGTGCTATAGTCATTGGCGCTCCTGAAATAGCTGCAGCTGTGTCAATGATGCGAGTGTATGTATCGGATTCCATGTGCAGGTGGCAGGTCGACGTTCAAACAAGATTTGATCAGAATTTGATCCACATATACAAGTGAAGATGGGCGGCAGGCATCATGATATGAACAAATCTTTCCATTGTATGTATGAAGAAGACATTAAAGAATATATGTCGGACAATCATAAGAGTCCAAGGCATAAAGTCGTCGTGAAGCTGAAAAACTGGTATCTCATCCCGCCCACCACCCAAAACCATTATACATGACCCGATTTCTTTTTTTTTTTGCAAGTTGTTTAGCAAGAGTCGCCAGGGCAGGCGATGTTGGTACCATAGGGCGAAGGACCGGCAATACCGGCGATCTGGAAGACGGCGTTGATGACACCTCCGATACCTTCTCCGGCAATGAGACCACCAGCGACGGCGAAACCATAGATGTCGAAGTTCTTGGGGTTTCTCTTTGCCCAGAAGTAAGCAGGGACCGCTCCTATGACCATCGCACTACCGTAGATTGTGGCGTTAAGAACAAAGGCGAGGGCGATACACATGACGTTAGGGTGGTAAGCCTTGTACTTCTCCCACTTGCCAGTGTAGGCGTAGTGACGAATGACGACCATGACACCACCGAAGATGGCGAAGGCAATGGCGAAGTAACCGGAGGTTTTAGGGACAGGGAAGACCGGGTCGGTAACAGCGACAGCAACAGCGCGCCAGGCACCCACAGAGGGGGCAGCAAAGGGGCAGGTTTCAGCTTCAACGTCGATGATGCAGGGGTAGGCCTTGCTGAAAAGCATGAACATAGCAGGGGCAAGGACACAGGCAACAATCGTGCCCAGACCCTGAGCAACCCATTGCTGGAAAGGCGATGTGCGGAGAAGGTAACCAACACGGAAGTCACCAACCAAGTCAGAGGCCTGACCAGCACCGATGGAGGCGAGCGAACCACCGATCAAGTTGAGGCGCTGAGCGTGCTCGGTCATCCAGTGCTCACCCTTGGTGGCACCACCAAGGACAAGCTGGGAGGCCTTGGAAGCAGCGGTCAAAGGAGTAACATCAGTGACACCAGCGCACTGGACGGCAAGGATAGCGAAGAAGAAGGCCAGGAAGACAGAGAGAAGGGACATGCCGACGGGCATATCGTACTGGACACCGAGAACGATGCAGCAGGCGATAATGCTGAGAATGAGGATAGGGCCCCACATCCAGATCTTGACCAACTCGTGGTCTTCAGCAGAATCGTAGATGACGTCCTTCTCCTCCTGGTCCTTGACGTTGATGGTTGCGCCGCTCATACCAGCCTTTGCGGTCATGGCGTTGAAGCCCTTAGCAGCTCCACGACCCATTGCCTTGAACATGATGAAGAAGACCTTGTACTGGAGGAAGAGCTCGGTGAAGGAGATGACAATCATAGCCAAGACACCGGGCCAGAGGAGCCAGTAACGAGGGCTGGGGTGGTCCTTGTTGGCATATTTGGCGCTCAAAGAGTAGTAGCTTCTAATAGCATCCCATTTCGGGTCGTCAGGGTAAGGTTGAGAGCCAACTGAGAGAAGAGATCGAGTCAGCAAAGTTCTAATGAGGGCGTGGTACTCATCCAACAAGCCAGCTCAAAAATAGACTCCAAAATCATCAAATGGCCCCCTAATCACCACCTTGTTGATTTTTGTCATATTTGTAAGACTGACCCGCGGACATTATACCATTAGCTTCAAACTTACAGGCAATGCCGTTATGGACCAAGGCAGGGCCTATGACACCCCATGCAAGGACACTACCACCGAAAAATGAAAGTGCGACGTTTAAACCGACGAGCATTCCAGACCCAATGAAGGCAGGGGTCCATTCAATGAACCAACCCCAGTTCTCAAGAACGATGGCCTTGTTGTTGTAGTTGCCCCAGATGAAGAACCAGGTAAAGATGTGCCAGTCGAAAAGGATACCAGTGGCATACTGGGAGACGACACGGAGGAGGAGAGCAAAGACGAAGGAGTAACTCAGAGCCTTCATCTTCAGCTTAGCAATGGCCTCACCAGTAGCAGCTGCGTGCATACTGCGGATGGTCAAAGCACAAGCGGATGGGGTGGGGAAGATCAGGTTGAGCTCCCTGGCGACGTAAATGATGAAGAACTTGCGGAGAGGGGTGGCGAAGGCGAATCCGAAGTAAGCACCAACAATGGTGAGGGAGATGAGTCTGCCGAAATCCTCCTTGGGTGTAGACAGAAGCTTCAGCTGGTACAAGGCCGGAATACCAGAAACCATGACCGAACCCAAACCTCCAGCAGCTGTAGCAGCGGTTTGAACGATGTTGTTCTCACGAGGACCGAAGGATCCACCGAGGATAGGGAAAGTCTCAGGGAGAGCCTTGGAGAGAGGCTTGAGAACAGCGAAACCAATGATGGCACCGAAAAGAGAGGCACCGAAAGTCCAGCCAGTCTTCAGACCGAGATAAATGTTGGAGGCGTTGACCAAAGCACCACAGATACATCCAATGACCATGGCACGGACAGTGACGACCCAGTGACGCTCCTCGGGCAGGTCGTCGTAGGGTGCGAAGGGGTCTGCAATGGTACCCTCATCGTAGTCGGTGTCCTCCATGGCCTTTACCACGTTGGGGTCCTTCTCGTCGAGCATTGTGCGGTCCTTGTCCATAGAGTTGACGGAAAGAGTCTCTTGGTGCTTCTCGCCATGGACATCAATGGTGCCCATAGGCTATGGATGTATAGGTCAGCTACTATACATCATTGAGTATATCAATCAAAAGAGACATACCTCAGCCTGAACCTCGACAACACTAGGCATGGTGGATGTTCGTGAATTGACACAGATACAATGGCACAAGGCTGGGGGGTAGAGAAGGCATATTTATCCAGGAGTCCTAAGGATGACTACCACTCCTGGGCGCACCATCGCTTGTGATAAGCCCACAGATACGGGTCATCCTGAGCTGTCCGTTACGGTGGCTAGAACCTAACATTAGGCCCTAGTCCGGGTTGCAGATATTGGACCATGATAGGCGAGCTTTCGGTGACTGGTGTGAATTCGATCTTGGCTATGCTTGGCCTGTTCGCCAAGCAGATCTGCTCTTGTCTCCTTCCAATTCGAGTAGAATGCGACCTCATTGTGGCGGATAATCAACACCCGCGCGCATAAAAAGCATCTTGACGGAAGATAGACAACGTGTGATTTGAGTCACGGAATCCTTCATTGGAGGCTTGTCGGTCGCTCGTGATTATCCTCGCGGTTGTGTCTAGTTTGAGGCCTGCTGCAAAGACGTGATCCGTGAACTCGGCTAATTATCCATCTGTCTCTCCACAGACCCTTGAACACGGACGTTTTCCCCAGTGATATTAGCAAATGGAAATTAGGAAGGTGGAGGTTTCCACGGTTTCAAAGACCACTTCCACTTCGGCCTTCGCGATGACTCTTCTCGACCACTGCGACCAAAGCTCAGCAGCCTGTTCCCTTGTGCTTCCGGACTCCGGCGATCATGTCAATGGTAGGGCGGCCGGTCAACAAGCGTGCGAATGGACTCTCACGCGACCTGATCGAGAATCACTCCATGGGGTTTCGATATCACTCTCGTATTCCTGTTTGGGGCAAGATAAGAAGCAAAGTCAACATGTCGTAGGATGATGAGCCTTTACTGGTTCTTCTTGGTATGGACAAAGTACCAGTGTATCTTCAAATTGCGGCTTGTCCGACGGTAATACGGACGTACAAACTTACCTGCCCGAAACGAAAGAACTTCGACGTGAAGTCGAGTTGACCAACCAAGAGCCTCAAGCCTCACAAGCAAGATCAAGCCTGCCGGAACCCACTCATTTGCCTCGGTCCTTTCTTTGTGGCTGACGCCAAAGTTCGCGGAGTGCATGGCCGCCAAGGGTTCAAGCGAAAAGCTTCCCTCCTTCCTTCGCACGCGCGAAACGGCCACTTAAGGCTCTATCGGGCAGGTCCGTAAGCATATCCAAACCTGCTGTCACATCTGACACAAAGAAAACACACCGAAAAATGATTTTGGAGGATCCGGCCACTGCTTCGCTCTATCTTCTGACCTCCTGCATTGCGCCACGGATTGCTTATTATGCAACCGAAATTGATTGCACCTTATGTCGGAATGCCATATCTTGTCGACAACGTCGAGATGTGATCTGAAACTTGGCATCTCGTGTCTGTAGGATGACTCGGTCTAAGGAAGCGAGACACCAAAGAGGGGTTTCTGTGATAGGATTCCTCGGTTCCTCCCATTGTGACTTCTTGAAAGATATTGACAGCAGCAGCAAGATGCTGAACGACCATGACAACACATGACATGGCAGCATATGCACCGGCGGGCTACGCCCCGTCTCACCTGGTTTTGGACGTGACGATTGGGTGGCCACACTCCAATTTATGTGTTGCTGATCACAAGAGACTGGATTGTTCTGTCCATGGCGCTGTCTGACGACTCGAGAAAGCGCGGTTCGTAGATGCGCAATGACTGAGGCCTGCATGGATAAGCCTTCAACGCATCTCTTGGGCCGCCAAAATTCGCCACAATCCTGCAGTGCTTCTTGGCCAGCCTTGTATCTCTGGACGGTCCGTGAATCAAGCAAATGGGCTGGCTCGAATGGGGGCACAACATAATACGAGCAGGTATGCTCTTCATATTGGCCCTGGGCTCTCACTGGGCAGACGTATTAATGCTAATGGCGGCGTAATGTTTTTGAAAAAGTGCTTCTGCCCGTGTGAGAGGTTTTGTCACTCTTCTGTTGTCTTACAGCCATCTCTAGGAGCATGAAAGCTGTGGAGATGCATGATGCTTTTGTCTCACAGGGACTTTTCATCGAGATAAGCTATCTATTCTACACGCCCCTATCAGATTCCGACTCCAGACCTTGCAATATCGTGTCATTCGACAGATGTAAGCATAATTAACTCCGGCAAATAAGGAGAGGTGTATCTCTCTTTTACCCGCGACGGCCAGACTGTGAGATGGAGGCACGCTTATTTGGTTGTCTTACTTCTTTGAGAGATAGGGGTCGCGGAGATGGCAAAGAGGATAAGTCTTTGATACAAGGAGGCTACAAGATTTGGCCTTCGCCCCATCATAACTTCTTCCTTCTGCCACTTCGATGCGATATACAAGATATGCCCGATCAAGGATGACCCAGTCAGGAAGACATCGTCACAACGCTCAAGGACCGTCGGCAGCGAGCTGATCACGACGAGTAAAGGAAGAACGCGGGTACTGAGTAGCAAAGCTAGGATTTCCGCAGCTCCAGTCGCCTTGCTCTGGCCGAACGACGTTCCCTCATCTTGAGATCAAGCTACAGCTGCAGTGCACCACGTAGCGTCTCGACTTTCGAAGACCCTCTTGATCTCAGAGAAGCTTTCTTTGGGAAGTCCCATGATGAGAGTGTTCTGAGGAACCACTCTTCAATCTTAGAAGTTTTCAAACATGCTCAATGTTTTCCAGACACGTTCGGCAGATAATCAACCAGGTAATGTGCTTTCACACTGACGATTTGTTCTCTCCCTCTGTGTTATTGGGGTCCATCCTCGTCCATGTCCATTGGTCGTCAGCGGTACCGCGGCTCTATCTTTTCCCTATCCAGTAATGTAAAAGTGGAATTTTGGGTTGATGTGCCACTTTCATCTCTCGGTATCTACGTCCACCCTTCTGAGAATAGTTAAAAACGTACATCGACAACTATTCGACTTGTTGGCAGTATCGCCATGGTTGAAGGAATTGTGAGTTTGATATCCATGGCAGAAATAACGGGAGGGTTACCGCCCCACCGAATGTCTTGGCGTCAATCGACCTCTATCGCCTTTCTTGTTGACTGATTCTGCTCTTGCGGCCTTGCCCAACATCACCGCTCCTTTCGGCATAGTCTACAAAAGCTGATGCTAATTCAGATCTTTTCTGAGTATGGAGCTCGAGTATCTAGGGTGTATCCATGGTGTACCCATACCTATGAACAGGTTTTGTGGGTCCATTTCGAAACCAACTCCGTTATGCATGCGAGTCAGCGAATCAGCTACGGCACAGCCTGCATCCTACGACTATCATTCATTTAATGTTGTGTTTACAGCCTGCAAACATCTGCAATAAGACGCCTGGAAGCCCTGTGTTCCGTCGACTTTCAATTTAAACCTTGGTCAACAAAGGTTAGTAAGCTCATTGAGACCTGGGCAGCAGGCAGCATTATTATGTCGCTACATGTCTCTTCTTCTTCTCGTCGCTCTTTCGCGTTTCTCGTAGTTTGAGGTTAAACACTTTTGTGTGCTATAGCTATCCTTTCTCATGCTGTCCTTATTGACACTCGGGCTTTTGACCCAGGTATGCCTCGCGAGTGATTATTGGATCTCGAAGTGGAGCGAAACACCTGGTATGTGGCCGATGATGAAATTTTCAATCCTTGTGCTAACTTCGCGCAGTTGGTCCTGATGGTATGCACAATGGCCTTATCTTATGCTCCTCAGTCCATTGCTGACCTGTGCACAGGTCCATGGCACGCTTTGAACGTCTCATGGGACAACAATCCACTGCAGACGTTTTCAATGCTTCCATCACTCACGAAAACGTCGCTTCTTATCGCAGAAGATGCTTGTTCTCGACAGCAGTCAATATGTCCGAATCAAGTACAATCTGGTGACTGGCCTATGTGGACATCCTCGGCAGCACACGAACCATATCTTAAGATGGATAGCAACTTGTTTGGTGCAGATTCCTGGGACGACACTGTTTCATCACCTCTGAATGTTTCGGGCGATGGCCAATGGGTCCATGAGAGAGGCATCATATGGAACACCGACAATGACTCAGCAGTGCTTAATGACCAGGCAGTCACCTTGACACATAATTTCACCGTGAACTATCCGGGGCGCGAGGGATATACGGTGAACACCGGATACTTCTCCCTCTATGGGGCTGAGAAAAGCGCCACATGGCTCAACGCTACTGGATCCAACGTGACCCAAGACCTTCAATTGGCTACTGTGCAGAATGTATCAGCCGCTTCATCTCTCTCTTATGGACTTCACATTGGCTCTCCAAGTTTGAACATAACACCAAGTCTAGTTCTGGGCGGTTACGACAAGTCTCGTTGCCTCGGTGGGCTGGTCACTAGCCACAGTCAGACATTCCGGCTGGTCAACATTGGATACGGAGCTGAAGGCAGAGGATGGCCTTTCACGACGGGTGGACACAATCCGGTCAATGCTTCGTCCAACTCCCGTGGTGGATTGCTTGTAAACAATGCGCCTCTCCAGGTCTTGGCCAACCCAGGTGTTCCATACATGTATCTCCCTCGCGACTCGTGTGACGCGATCGTGGAGTATCTTCCGGTGACATTTGACCCTGAGCTCGGCTTGTACATCTGGAATACGACTGATCAGCACTACACGGAAATCACAAAAAAATTAGCTTGGTTGTCGTTTACCTTCGTGAGTTCTCCCAACACCCCTAAAGAAGCAGAAGTAAAGATCTACGTACCATTCGCGCTTTTGGATCTGGAGCTTGATTCTCCTCTCACCACTTCGAAGACTCGATACTTTCCATGCAGTCCGTTCACCCCTCGCGAAGGTCAGCCTTATCATCTAGGACGCGCTTTCTTGCAAGCAACCCTTCTAGCCCAAAATTGGGAGACCAACACTACCTGGCTTGCCCAAGGGCCTGGTCCGGATCCAATTGAAGCGCCGCAACCCGTCACAATTGATAGAGATGATACCAGTATTTCATTGGTGAACTGGGTGCGCCCATGGTCGGATACTTGGAACACGACAATCCCCTATTCCGACTGGTCGTCGTTGCATGATGTCAACGCTCCTGACTCGATTTCTCTGTCCGGTGGCGAGATTGCAGGAGTTGTCATCGGTGTAGTTGCAGCTGTTGTGATCATCGCTGCGGTTGTGTTCTTCTTCGTCCGCCGCCGTCGCTCCAAGGCTAGATATGGAGACGTGGATCTGATCTCGTTCGCGGATAGCGAGAGCGGTGCACCCAAAGCAATGGAGCTTGAGACCAAGGGCCCTGTCGAAGCTGCATCTTCGCGTATCTATGAAGTGGAGAGCGAAGCCGCTCTCGAAGCCGCGTCTTCGCCTATCTTCGAAGTGGATAGTCCAGGAAAGTACTCACACGTGAGTGAACTGCCATTCAGTCCAGCAAAGGGACATATCGCGGAGCTCGATGGTGGTATAGCTGAGCTACCTGCTCACGACGTGCACAGCGAGTTCAAAACATCCTAAGTGTTGAGATGAATGACAAGACACCCAGAGGCACTCCTCCCCGTGTGCTAAAGTTTGTCACTGACACTGCTGTCAAAATGCACGATGATTTTCAAAAGCAGAACTAGGTTCAAGGAGAGGGCGTCAGTTAGTCGCTCTCTGTGGACGATGTCCTCTTACTCAAAACCAATGTGCATTTTGATGGCTGGAACGACGCGCATCGACGCAGCTTGAGAGTACCTGTCCGCATTCTGTGGACTTGAAATAGAGTACATCACCGCATGCAGTGGTGTCAATCATCAAGTTCCACTCTCCGACCTGTTCAAAAAGAGTCTCTTGCAACGAAGGTTTCTTCTTCTTCTTCTGTCAACTACTACACCAACCTGACCGCGTTCCGTGGCCTTGAAGAGGACTACATCATTGCCTGCAGTGTCTGCCCATCCACTCGCCCACGCCCTACGCGCGCGCGGCAACCGTAGAAAGCACTCACATCTGTGAACCCTCATCTTGATGCTATTTTCTGCTCTCGGCGGCGAAGAACAAATCAACACACCTTGCATACCGTCCATTATAGAATCGAGCACCTCGCGGCGACACGAGATCATAAACTTGATGTAAACCCGGTCATGTTCTCGAAGTGAACACGGGACAAAGAAGGAGACAGCTATCTTATTCTCACCTCCGGCCATGAACAATCTGCACACGTTGCACGCCGTCCGTTATGGAAATAAGCACCTCGCGGCGACACGGGATTGGAAAGTTGTTCTAGACCGGATTATGTTCTCGAGACTCGATCTTAGCCCGCGATGAGAACGGAGGAGATAGCTCTCACTCGCAACTTTCCATCATTCCGTTGCGCTGACGAAAGAAGAGGTAGTCCACGTTGCGTACTGTCAGGTGCAGAGGGAGGCAGGTCGCGACGGTACAAGGATGTGAGGTGGATGTAGCAGTAGCCAGCGTTATCACCTTCTCGGCCTTGACCCGTGGTGTTGCGACTCTCAGACTGGACGAGCATATCTCTTATCACGTTGGGTCACATTCTCAAGTTGCAGTAAGTCATATGAGTTGGGTATAATCAATTAATTGTGTCTCGTTTGCTTATTAAACTTCCTTCGTTCTCGTGGTACTCAAGGTCTCTCCGAGAAGCGTCGATGTGTGCCTTCCTTCTTTCTACGCAAGCCACTTCCAAAGTGACGGCGTCTGGGCGTCTTGTAGGCCTTCATCAAGTGATTGTCTTCTTCTGCGTTCTCCATGCTTCTACTTTCGCAACTCAAAGGCTGTTGTTCTTTGCGCGGGCCAATCATGTAGTCATCAAGTGATTGTACGCTGTTGTGAGCTGAATAGAGTTCTCGTCGATGAACCTCCATCGCTGTCTTTGTAAGATATTCAAGGTTCCTCGGGGCGAGTCATCTTGACTTTCTTGAGCTGAGGAATGACGAAGGTGCACATTTCGTCTCTGACAGCGTCTGCGACCTTGGAGCTGGTAAAGATTCCAGTGTTGTTGCGTGAGTGAACAGCATCGAAGAGGTAGTTCTGGTTCATGTTTGTGTTGGTATGGAATGCTTCAGCGGCGAGGCTTCTGGTGTTTCCGGTAGGCTCGTTGGCCTTAGGCTTGTGAGTGGCGACATGTGAGTTGTACTCAGGGGTATTGTAGTTGGCGAAGGATTTGTTGTTCTTAGTGGGCACGTTGACCTCAGGCTTGTGGATGTCAGGGAGGGAGATGTATCCGGGGGTAAGGTATTCGTGAGCGTCGGCCTTTGCTGGACCCATGAGGAAGTTGTTGACAGCCTGTGTGACTTCCATGATCTCGGAGGGACCCATGGGGTAGTCGTTGATGGCACGGGCGACTTCCATGGCCTGGCCGTACCACGTCTCCTGGACCTGAATAACATCCTTGGCAACGAAGAAGATGCCTTGCTTGAAAAGCTCAGCGACCTCGAAGGTAGCGAGGAGTCTCAGACCCTTGGGGCTGCCCATGTGGTATGCAGCGAGCTTCAGAGTGGTCAGAGTAACACACTTTTGCAGAGTCTCTTCACTGAAGTGGGCGTGGACATTGTGTCTGCTATTTCATGTTAGTACTCATGCTTTCCGTCAGTGGGAGGTGATAAACTTACAAGGGAGCGATTTGGCGGACTGTAAGTGCGCGCATGATGATGTTTTCCATGGGAATGCGGCCGGGCTGGAGTTTGTTAGAGTTGTCGTAAACTTTGTTGATGGATGGAGAGGAATAGAAACGCGCGTTGCGATGAGAGAAAAAGGGTTGTTGTGGTTGGAGAGGAAGACTTTATAGCTGGATAACGACTGTCGAAATTCCCATCGACGACGTGGGACATCGGCGTAGCAACCATCTCGACACGACCACAAGCACCGGGTCAGCCTCGAAGTTCGACGTCTCCGGCTTTCACACGACGCGGCCATCACTTCCTGCTCGACATCATGTTCTGCTCATCCCTGGATTACTACCCCTGGAGAAGATTGAACTCGGACCATTAATCTTCAGGTTGCGTTTCTTCTATATCACTGTTTCGACCCGTTCTCACCTGAGCGTCGCACGGATGACCAACGAATCATGGAGGGAACAATCACGGCTACTTACTCGTGAACCTGATGGCATTCTCTGTCTGGCCCGAGCGACCTTCCCTTCGTTGATCAAGCGTTCGACAGATTAATCTACCTTGTTATGGGGCCATCTCAACCACTGTCTGTACTCGAAGGGAAAGTAGAGGCGAGCAATACTTGCTGAATGAGCCAGAATACTCGCGGCTTCGCTCCTCATCACAGGGCCCCATGTGGTTGAAACTTACACCGACGACATGAGATCACCATCATCACGCCTTGATAGCGGGAGACTCGAACAAAAAGACTACAGCGACTCCATATCACTCCTACATATCATATACCTCGACAACCCACTATAGCAATCGATACCCATCGCCGACGGATTCGGTCAAGCACCAATCGGAAACATCACATCGACCGGAGACAACCTCAGACCCGATACTAGAGCAGCATGTCTGGGAGTGCAAAAACAGAAGGCTTTGGAGGAATTTGCCGAGTTCCTATCAGACGAAAACAGTGTCTACATGGCAGCGTGCTCGACAGGAAGCTTTTGTACTGTACTAATCTCTCCCATGACTTCGAGCGACGGCACTTGGAAGTACGAGGCAAAGTGCAACCGACAGGCACTTTATCGACTACGCTTCCTTGCCGATGACTACACATATTGCGTGTCAAGAGCACGCAGGCACGACTGTGCTTATACTCGCCAGAAGCCATCGATCAAATATCGTCAACGCCAATCAAAACTTCAAAAGCTGTGAAGACAAGCCGACGGAGAATGTGTCCAATCTTTCTCTCACTTCGACATAGATAGACTACTCCGTCTATTTTCTTCCTATTTTCCACTCCCTTGCAACTCGCCCCATCAAAGACCAAATCCACTCCCACAATCGAAGGCACAAAGAAAAGAGTTTGAAAGAACTACGCCCACCCAAGCACACAAAAAGACAAAGAGATTTCCTACAACAAAGCCCGCGTGCATGCTTGAAGAGTTTATCTTAGTGTACTAACGACGAACCATTAAATGTTGTTCTGAACAAGCATGGGATGGAAATGTTCAGAGCAGAGACTCTCTTCTACATTCGAGTTGAAACAACCACCTCACTAACTCACCGACAGACCAAAAAAGGACAAGAAAAGAAAAGCATTAAATCAAAAAATCATAAACTTTTATACTCAACACTGCAAAAAAACGCCATCCTCATCCCATATTTCCCCCAAAAGAACTCCATAGAAATCACTTTTTCCTTCAAATCATTTCTCTAACCCTGACTCTCCACAACCTCAGCGAACCACTGTCTCAACGCACCAGCAAGCACACCAGGCAACTCCCTAACATCTCTAACCACCAAATAATATCCGAATGGGAATGAATCCAAATACTTGACCGTCTTTACCGTCATTTCTCCCGTACTAGGATCTTTGACGAATTCTGCAGTTTGCAAGTCCAAGATTGATGAATTCTTCTTGGACTTCTGAGCTGGCGTGGAAGCACCAGTTGCAGGAGCAGTGCCGTTGGGTGTAAGGGTAGAAGCGACAGCGTTGGCAGGGGTGGCGGTGCCAGAGGGTGCAGCGGAGATGGAAGGAGCGGAGGCGGTGGCGTCGACAATAACGAAAACCATCATGATACGCTCCTCGTGTGCTTGCCTGACCAAACTGCGAATGCCATTGTGATCTTCACAAACACCATCGGAGACAATCAATTGCAATTGCCAAAGCTCGGAGCTGGCGCCTTGAGCGCGGAGTCTGGCCGCTCTGAACAAGTCCAATGATTTGGCGACCAAGTTCTTGACATTGGTGCGTGTTTGTTCGAAGTTGAAGCCACGGATGACGTTTGCGCCTGCTTCGGCTGTGAATGGTGTTTCGAAAGGTAGCTTGACACTGACATCTTCGCCGAAGCCGAGAATGCACAATTCACCGGCTTCGAGGATTGACAATGCGCGGGCGAGAAGGGCCATGGTGTCGAAGGCGAGGGTTTGCGCGCCGCCTTCGGACATGGATTGCGAATCGTCGATGGCGAGCATGATTTGGTATTGGCGCTTGCTGGGGACACTACGACGCATCCAGATCTTGTCGCGGCGGTAAGAGGAGGCGATGTAGGGGATGATACGCTTGATGTTCAAACGCTTACCAGTGCGGTAGTCTCCGCGCATCTTCGTGGCGTGGGTGGGGGTAAGCAACAGGCGAAGATGTTCAGCTAAAAGCAGGGAGAGATTTCTGGTCGAGGACTCGTGGGTGTTATAGAGAGCTCTTGCTTCGTCAAGGGAGAGGGAAGGAAGATCGGCCATTGAGGAGATGTGGGCGGACTCGAGTTGATGATCGACGTCTTCGATAGAGTCGTCATTGTCTTCTTGAGCTTCGGGTCCATCTTGGTCGATGTCGATGTCGCGAGATTGGGCATCGCCAACAAAGGCATTGGGGATGTTTTCAGCTCCACCTTCAGGGTTTTGCTTGTCGTCGTCTTCCTCACGATCGCCCATCTCGACGTCCTCGTCTGGACGGTAGGCTTCACCTTCCTCCTCATCTTCAGGCATGAAGTCTTCTCTCTGCTCTTTGTCGTTGGTAGACACCCCGGCCTCTTCATCAATAGCCTTTGCTTGATCCTCGTTGGCAGCACCCAGGGCTTGAGCGTCAGATTCTTCGGCTTCGTTTTGCAAATGCTCGAACTCGGCATCGTTCATGTCGACGTCGGCAGGAGGTTGTTCTTTGCGTTCCTCCTTGTCCGCTGGAGCATCTTGAATCTGCTTCTGCTGTTTGTACCACTTCTCGAGGGCATCACCAATCTTCTTGTACGGGAGAGACTCTTGCTTGTCTTCTGTCTTCTCCTCGTTTGCGGCGGCTGCAGAATTCTCGGCAACACCACGTTCACCCTCGGCACCGGCTTGCTGTTGTTGTTCTTGCTGAGCACCTTGCTCGCCGGACTCACGTTGAGCAGCGCCAGAGTCGTTCTCCTTGTTGTCGTCTTGAGGTTGCTGATCATCAAGACCGGCACCCTGAGCTTCGCTGGGAGCAATTTCGTCTGCGGCATTGGTGTCGTCCTTGCGATTGTCTTGAAGCATGTCTTGATCCTCTTCAGCTTGCTCCTCCTCTTCAGGCTTTTCGGCGTCTTCGCCAACTTCATTGGTCTTTTCTTGACCATCTTCGTCAGCGTTCTCGTCGGCTTCGTCTTGTTGAGCATCGAGGTCGGCGGGAATCTCATCTTCGGGTGAGACATCTTCCTCCTTGCTTGGGTCATCGATCTCGCCTTCTTGTTCGCCTTCAGGTTGGGGTAAATCCTCATCCATGGGATCGATGTCACCCATGTCTTCCATGCCAGATTCGTCGCCATCTTCGGACTTGCCGTCCATGTCGATATCGTCGGGTAGGTCGAGGTTGTCTTGCTCCTGCAAGTGAGGATCGGTCTTCTCCGTCTCGTCAGGTGGGCCATTTTCAGTCTCGTCAGCACCTTGCTGTTCAGCCTCATCCTCTTCCTCTGCATCATCATCGTTCTCCTTTTTCTCCTTCTCTTCCTTCTCTTCACCGTCAGCAGCAGTCATCTCATTCTGATCTTCTGTGCCGGCATTGTTATCACCCTCCTTGTCCTTGTTCTCTTCATCCTTGCCACCATCATCCCACATCTTCTCATCAACAGTGGAGGGGCCAAGGTCATCGACATCGCCAACCTCATCTTCCATCTCGTCTTCACCTTCGTCTTCCTTTTCGTCGCCTTCTTCATCTTCCTTTTCCTCAGCATCGCCCATTTGGCCTTCCATTTCTTGGTCAGCCATATCGACAGCGTCTTTCTCATCCTCGATCTCGTCTTTGTCATCGCGATCATCCTTTTCTTGAGCAAGTTCGCCAAGGTCCTCATCATCCTCGATGTCTTTCGAGATATCTTCAGCACCTTCACCAGATCCCAATCCAGTACCGCCTTCGAGCTTGTCATCGCCCTTGTTCTGGTCGTTGGACTTCTCAGATGGCGTACAGAAGCCTTCCTTGGAAAGCTGAACAAAGATCTTGGCAAGGCGGAAGGACATCTGGCCAAGCGCTGCGTGGAGGTTGTCGAGGCGAGATGACAAATAGATGGCGAGGCTGTTGTACTGAGCCACGAAAGGAACAAAGGAGTGAACGACTGCTGCTGCGACATCGAGGTCGGTGTCAAGCTGAGGCACCTGTGCCATGAGCTCCTGCATGCGCTCGGTGACATAGGGAAGACGAAGAGTCTTTACTGCAGTAGACAAGTTCTGACTTTCGTGAAGAAGCCAGTTGGGGTCCTCGGCGGATACAGGAAGCGCGCTGAGAGGCTTCTCGAGGTCTTGAACGGAGCCGAGAATAGAGTCGACAAAGTCGCAAGCTGCTTGTCCGAATTCATCAATCTTAAGAGATGTCTTCTTCGACATTCTCTTGGACTTTGAGGCTTTGTCGTCGACTAAGGCCCAGAGCTGGAGCTGTCTAAGCGTAGCTCCGAGGTAAGGATGTTGCCCGATGACAGCAGTGAGCTCGGTGTGGATCTCCTGCATAGCAGCCTTACTCTCTTCGATGATCTTGACATGGTCCTCGCTGGTAATTCCAGCAGGAAGAGTGGGAAGAGTCTGCCATTGTGTCTTGAGTCCTTCGAAGCGGATGGCCCACTGGTTCAGAGACTTGACGACACTGCTGCAGTCGATCTTGGCAAGCTCGGCCTGGGAAGCGACAATGCGAGCAGCGGACTTGATCATGATAGGCAAGCAGGCAACAGCGGTAACGGTGTCGTAACTCTGCTTCTTCTTGCCACTAAGCTCAAGCTTGCCATTGCCCCAAAGATTTTCGGCCTGAGTAAGTAACGTCTCCAGAGTCTTCTGACCGTCAGACACAGAACCGAGGACGTTTCTCTGCTGCACAAGAACTTGCAACATACTCTCGCAAAGTGCTACAGATCTCGCAATCTCGGCACCAGTCAAGTCATCGGAGTGCTCTCTAGCAGCTTCTCTGACAAGAGGCATAAGATACAGCAGGCGATGCAGATAGCTCTCAGCCTGATCCTTGTCCATAACAGGGATACCAGCCAAGACAGCTTGCAAAGAGTCTTGTCTAGCCAGGACGTCGCTGGTCATATTGCTCTTGAAGCCCATGTTTCTGAGTTCCTTGAGGACGTCGGCAAAGAGCTTGCGCTTACGGTTTTTGAGATGCTTGACTGTCTCCGTGTTCTCCTCTGTCAAAGTAGTGGGTGTGGCCTTACGAAGCTGTGCAGCAATGGACTCGGTGTCCGAAAGCCAGGTGTTGATTTCTGAGGCACAATCAATGTGTTCGGGCTGGATTGTACCCTTGGATTGCATGACTGTCAGAGTGATAGCAGTGTTCTTGAAACGAGCTGGACGTTCGTTCCACTTGGCTACCTGCTGGGTGCAAAGAGAAGATGCCTTGGGATTGACAGGAACTTCGGTCTTGCGCAGGCCAGCAGCGGTTGGAGTCTCGGCATACGCGATGTCGGGCAGACCTGCTGAGACGATGCTTTGAGCAGGCTGGGCCAGAAGAGCTCTAAACTTGCGAACGACTCTGAACAACTTGCGATGAGAGGCCTTGGCGCTCTGTCTCAATGCATCGATGTTGGTGTCTTTCCAGCTGGCAAGTTGAATGATGTTCTTCATGTCCTTCTCTAACTTCTGTCTGCCAGTGTCGAGAGCTTGGTTGACCAGCGGCTCATAACGTGCCATGTAAGCGATGAAATTGGCCAAAGCAGTGTGCGCGATGCTGAAGGAGGGGAAGCTTGCTGCACGAGTCTTGATGTACTCGCGGAAGTTGCCCAACATTCTCAGACGAGCAGAGAATTGACCAAGTCCGGTGGATGTGAAGAAGCCATAGAGTGTCTTGATGAGTTCAGTAACGTGGTTCTTCATCTCTGTCTCGGTCTCGCCAATCTGCAGGGGTACGACGACTATGTTCTCATACGCGATGTAAAACCAGCTCTTAGAGTCTTCGTTGCAGCGAATGGTCTCCATGTCAAGCAGTCTTGACCAGGTCGAGAGCTCGAGTTGTCTCCAGCTGACAATAAGGTTTGTGATGTTGTCGTACAGTGCGGCCGCGCTGTACTCCCTGCTGGCGACAACCTGCCATTCGTGGACGTAAGAGTGGAGCTTTTCAACCTTGGTCATAATCTTGGCGACAGGCTCGGTGTGTGCAAACTCGAGAAGCTCATCACAGATACGCAAGACATCACCAAGTGTAGCATGTTCGGGCCAGACTTGTTGAATGTCTCTGAATCTAGTCTGTATTCTTCTGACCAGCGAGATAAGCTTGTCGGCTTCAGCGAGGTTGGACTCAGTGTAGATGTTGTAGAGGTTCTTCTTGAAGCCGGAACCGTTGAGCATTTGGGTCTTTTCTTGCATAATTAGAACAAGCAAGGGAGTCATGACACCACTTGAGCCGTCGATGCTCTGGATGGTCTGTTCGTATGACTGTTTGCCAAGCAGCGAAGCTGATTTCTTGACAAGTGCAAGCAGGTCTTCTTCGTTGGCTGCTCCCTTCTTGTAGATCTCTGAGAGTACGGTGGCAAGGCCAGGTGCCAGAGCTTGCATCTTTTGAGGCGCGGCTGACTTGTTTTGGATTACTTCGCTCTCCTCAGTATCGAACTCGGGGAAGAGTTCTGCCATCTCGGCTTGTGTGGCTTCATCCTCGGCTTCTTCGTCACCACGATAGGCGTACAGACTGTGATCTGCGGCGTTCTGTTGCTGGTTGTTCTGTAGCTCGAGATGCCATTGCTCATACATGGAGTCGAAAATTTCGTACACAGCATCCCACGTCGAGGTCTGCGTTTCGGGCAATATGCGGCTCATGGTAGCGAACGAAGATAGTGCGTGCATTCGGACGTTGTTGTGGTGAGGAGAGCGCATGACAGCAGTGATAGCAGTAGCCTTCTGCACATAAGCAGGCAGTGCGCCAGTCAGAGGCGAGAATTGCTTGATGTCTACAGTCTTCTCTGTCATCGAGGCGTCCTCGGGAACCAGGCTTGCAAGTGCGAAGCCGACCTCAAGACAGTGCAGGAAGCCCATGACAGGTCCAGTGATATCAGCGTAGGCACGGTACCCGTCGCTCAGACGAGCCTTGACCTGTCTCACGTTTTGACGCAAAACTGCATCCTTGGCAAAGCCTACAAGCATATCTTCAGGAGCGTTGTACAGAGGGGCAAGTGCTCTTTGTAGGGCATTGAGCTCTCCTTGCAGCTTAGTGATCTCTGAGATTGAAGGTCTGGCAATGTCCTGGACACTGGGCTCTTCACCAAGGTCGGTAATATCTTGCTGGACCGAAGCGGTACGGAGCGAAGAGTAGAGGCCAGTTGCATCAGCGAAACGTTGCAAAGCTGCCAGTTTCGTTTGTAGATCTGCGAATGTCTTGCGAAAGATCTGTCTGTCGAGCATTGGACGAAGCGCAGGGTCAGAAGGCTTGCTAGTGATGTACAATGACATACAACCGAGAGCAAATCTCAACCAAGCTCTGGCAGAGACAGCCGGATCAGTAGTACGTGCGACGGAAGCATCAACAAGATAATGCACCAGAGGATCAAGGTAAAGCTTGCAAATGCTAGCAGCATCTTGTACCGAAGCCATGACAGGAGCTGGGGTAACGATTTTGCCTGAACGGAAAGACTCGGAAGCCCATTCGATCCAGGACCGCCAGTCAGCCTGTCTGATATCCTTTGTGCGGGACACTTCACGCAAAGAGCGCAGGAGTACATCTGCTAGGATGGCGAGATGTCCGTCCAGAACGTGAACGGAGTTTGCTTCCAAATCATGCGTATTGCTTGTAATGATTTGTGCCATGATCTGCGCCTCGGTTCTGAGCAGGTCCAACTTGCTCAGTGGCACTTCATCGATGTGGTCGAGACCGGAAAGAACGTGTTGATGGAGATTGGTCTCCAGAGCCAATGGCTTCTGAGCGTCGCTGTAGAAGCCGACGTGCTTGCCGAGGGCCTCGAAGATGTCGCCTTGGTGTGCAGCAATAGATTTTGTGGGTCTAAAGGCAAGGAAGTTGACACGCTGTAACTGATTCTTCAGCTGCTCGCTCAAGGTTCGGCCAGCGATGGCACCAAAAATGCCACTCTGGGGATACTTGGACATGTCCTTGCCGTACAAGAGGTCGAAAGTCTGAGCAATACCTTCGAATTGTTCCTTGAAGTGCGGCAGAACGTGTGCAACATCAGTCTCTTCAGTAGTGAATGCGGACATGGCCTCTTCGAGACTGGCAATAAGAGCAGGTGCCTCCTCAGAGCCATCAAGAACAACAGCCAAGGCTTTGCCGAATGCTTCTTGCAGTTGCAAAAGCTGGTCCATCGGAGCGTCAAGTCTTCTGGCAAAGATGTCTAATCTGTCAGCCATGGCTTCAAGCCCAATGATATCCTGCAGTTGTTGGTAATTGCGCGCAGTCTTCGGTCTCATGACAGTCCACAAAGCAGTCATTGAAGCTCCCTTGTTGTCTGGCGAGAATGCCCGATCCAGAGGCAACACAAAGTAGGAGCTGAAGCTTTCGACTGCTTGTGCATCGCTGGAAGTCAAGCGAGCGGCAAACTCGATACCGTGAGTCTGCTCAAGACGGACACCAATCTCAATGTACGCCTTGAACACTGCTTCTTCCACGTCGATGGAGTCTACAAGGCTGAAGAACTCCCACCAGTACCTTCTCCACGGCTTGAACGTGTCGACGGGGTACTGGCCGACGAGCTGGCCTTGTTGCTTGGCGAACACAGCGGTGTCGAGGAACCTTGACCACACATCAATAGCGCCACGAAGAAGGCCAAATACATGGCTGGTGAAGTGCTTCTGCTTAGGGCCTTGGCCGATCGCAGAACGCTGGAGACGAGTTTGCTCGCGCTTGGACACATCACGGTTTTTGACATCCTCGAGTGCGATTTGCATGGTGTGAAGGTCCCACTCAAGCTCATACAGAGCAGCAGCCCATTCGGTCGCTTCAAGGTTACAACCAGCAAGAGCAACGTTGTTCAGAGGGTGGAAGGGCTGAATGGCAGAGCCACTAGCATCAGGCATTGCCTGCTTGTCCACATCCTCTGACGAGTGCAGAGTCTTGAACTTGAACTGAACATTCTTGCTTTTATCAAGCACGTTGTTTGGAGTGTGATAAAGATCAACTTCGAGACCAGACATGAAATGAGGCATGATGAGGGTGTCTTGGTAAGAGAAACTTTCCATGACGGTTTGTGCAATGAGGGGAGTCAGAGCGTTGCTGACATCTGCATTCTCTAAGACTTCTGTGTTGCGAAGCCTGTGGAGACTAGACTCTGAGGAGAACTCTAAGCTCGACACGTGCTCAGATGCTGTGCTTGATAGTAGGAACAGCTCAACAGCTCTGTTGCGTAAAGCTCTGGACAGCTCGCCATATCTTGGATCCATAGTAAAGAAGATCCTGAAGTTTGGATGAGGCTTGATGACACGAGCTTGTCCCGAAGCATCAGTGTTCTCATTGATGATGAGTGTACCATTAGGCTCAAGCAAAGAATTGAGTCTATCCAGGACAGCGGGACTGCAAAGGTTGGCATTGTCCAAGACCAACCACTCACCACGCTCGAGTGCTTGTACGAGCATACCATCCATCCATTCGAACTGTGCTCGGCTGATGGCAGTAGGCTTCAAGATCAGGACGTTTACTTGCTCGAGCAGAGACTCGGCTTCGGGAACGTCGATCATGAACGTGTTTGACGAGACTGACCCCGAAGTCTGAGCGACCGAGATGAAGTTCTGGAGCAAATGCGAAATCTCAAGGGTAACCTCGTTACGACCGGTAGTGATGAGGCTTGTGTCTGCCTGCGACGCCAGCTGGCGAAGTCGCTGCAGTGCGTCAAGCGCAGACTTGTTCGCATCAATGGTCAAGCAGCGGACTGTTTGCAATGCGGCGAAGGTACGAAGCTTCTCGAGGAAACTATGAATGGCACGCTGAGGCTCAGACTGTTCGAATCCACCAACCAAGTCCATCGAGTCAACATCAGCGTTCATAGAGAATGTAGTCATATCGACACCGAGGACTGCAGCAAGTTTTTCCAAGATTGCTGTTTTACCTGAGCCTGATGGTCCAACAAGCAGCACTGGCCATCTCTTCTGCACAGCAACCATCACAGACTCCAAAACTTGCAGGTGGGGCTTGAAATCGAAGTATTGGTGGTCGGCGCCCACTCTAGCTAGGTGAGCGTTTCTTTGAAGCATACCCAACCCAACTTGGAAATGCTTGGGTCCGATGTTATGGAACATGCTGTGAGTGACAGGAGCGTCTGGCAGGATGCTTTGGAAAAGCTGGGTAACGAGAGCTCTGTCCATGGGAGTACGGAAACGCTGCGAGATGATGGTGGAGAAGAAGTCATCAACTTCACCCCCCTTCAGCAGACCTTGGTCAGCAGTGATGAGGTTCAACCAACGCAATGTGTCACGCAAGTTGAATTCCCAAGGTCCACCAAGAGAGCCAATCTTTCTGCGCTGAGTCTCAATATCGAGCTGGTCTATGAAGGAGACGATTGGAGCGATCTTGTCGGCATCGTAGCTAGCAAATGATGTTTGACAGATAAGAACAAGATCCTGAGGGCTGAAGACATCTGCATATACGACGGTGAAACGGTTGACGAACGAGGCCGGCAGACCTTTACGGCCACCACCCTGGTGATGGGGGTTCTGTGCCGCAAACAGTCTGAAACCAGGGTGGCGACGGAAAGTCTGGTCCAACTCGGAGATGTACACCTCACCTCTGTGGTCGAGACAAGCGTTCAATCCTTCAAGAACAGATTGAGACGCAAGGTTCATCTCATCAAGCAGCACCCATTCACCATTCTTCATGGCGCGCAGGAAAGGTGCGTCACGCCAGGCGAAAGTTCCGGCTTCGGCTCCTTCAACAGGAACATCTGAACCGAAGAGGTCCATCAAATCAGTCTGTTCCGACAAATTGATACGAGTAAGAGGCATGCCAATTGCTTGGGCCAACGCGGTAACGAGAGTGGTCTTTCCAACACCAGGGTTGCCTTCAAGAAGGACAGGCTTGGTGAGTTGAAGGGCACGAATCACACGCATGGCGTTTGACCTTGTTGTCGGTGCCAGGAAGGTGAATCCTGGCTCGTTTCCCTTCGTTATGACTGGAATGGAGAAGGCGCCGAGTTCGAGTACCTCGTCAGTGACTTCTACATGGATTGGCGAGTTGTAGACGGCAGACGCATCAGCCTTGATAAGTTTGCTCAACTCATCAAGACATTGGGAGCGCTCGTAATTGACAGTGCCAGGGTTGATCGCGAGAAGTGCAGCAGGGTTTGCGCCGAGTGTATCAATGTAGACCATGGCGGCACCATGAATGATCGAAAAGATAGGATCGCGGTGAGGCTGTCGGTTGACGAACTCAACCCAAGCAAGGGTATCACGAATGGAGATTGAAGAAGCGGCGGAAGTATTGTATCTCTGGTTGAACCACTGGGCAAACTCGACGAGAACGTTTGCATAGGGTGCCGCGTGATCCTTGAGCTTAGAGCGGATAATCTGCAGCACGTCTTCAATGTCGGAAAGCGCAGGTACCCAGATCTCGGTAAAACGATTGCGCAGAGCTGGCGACAACTCTCTCTTACCATAATCACCACCAGGGTTCATAGTGGCAAAGAACTGGAAACCGGGCTGAGCCTTGACAAAAGAGTCGAGTGAGCCCTTCTCGGCAAGCAACATCTCTCGTGAGGGTTCAAGTACGCTGTTGAGACGTTCAAGAACAGAGTCGTCTGCAAGAGATATCTCATCGAGCAAGAAATACTGTCCAGTTTTCATGGCGTGAACGAGCGAACCATCAGCCCACTCGAACAGTGCCTTCAGTCTAGGACGGCTGGTATCAATTGCTTCATAGATCTTGGCAGTGTAAGGGTCACTCTTGTCGGCGTTGAGCTTAACCTGGTCATAGATGGCAAAGAGCTCATCAACGCTTGAGGTAGGAGCAGCCTCTTGAATCTCGGCGTGCGGAAGTGATACAAGCATCTCACGGACTTGCTGCTCGATTGCTGCTCTGTTTCTCAAAGGCCTCTGAGCACCGATCAGATCACCGGTCTCGGTGTTCTGGTGAGCGTTGACGATGTGAAGTTCTTTTTGAATGGCATCGGCAAGCATCTGTACCACGGTGGTCTTACCGCAACCGGTTTCACCAACAAGCAACACAGGCTCGTTGTTCTGGAGGGCAGTTGCGACCAAGACATAAAGTCTGCGCATGGCATTCGTCCAGACAACGCCCTTCGAGCCGGCTTGTGTGAGGTAAGATTGCAAGAGCGGGGACTGTACACCATACAGGGCACTAATGTCAATGTTGACCTTGGGCCCTTTCTGGCCGAGGACTTTCTCGATGACCTTCTTGACAGCCTCGCGCTCCTCGGGCTTGCGAACTCTCTCGGCAAGGAGCAGGAAACCATTGACAGCAAGTTCATCGATGGTGTCAGCCCGTCTCAATGCCCATCTAAAGAGATCACGAAGAGTGGCGAAAGACTTTTGCTCGAAAAGACGGTTCTCCTGGCGCAATACGGAGAGCTCCCTGTAGACACTGACAATACGCTTACACCATGTGTCGGGAATCTGAGTACGACGCTGGAGAATGGTATGCAACTCTTCAACTGGAATGTCGTCGAAGTGAAGCTCGAGGAAACGGTTACGGAAAGCACGAGACAAGACCTTACGTCCACCATAAAGACCAGCAGGGTTTTGTGTGGCGAATAGCATAAAGTTCTCGTGAGGGCGGACAGTCTCTTGCGTCTCGGGGATCAATAGCTCTCGGTTGTCGTCAAGAAGTCTGTTGAGTGCTTCCAAGACATCGGTAGGCGCCAAGTTCAACTCATCGAGTACAATCCAGTGACCTTCTCTCAAAGCCTTCACCAAGACACCTTCTTGGAATTGCAAGCGGCCATCGGAGCCAGAGACGTAAGTACCCAGGTATTCTTGCAAGTCCGTATGTTCGTGGTTGTTGATTCTGACAAATTTGTTTCCTGACTTGTTGGCCAAGTACTCAATCATACTAGTCTTACCCGCGGAGGTAGGACCTTGGATCAATACAGGGAAGCGACGAGTGAAAGAAGCACGAATAAGGTTGTCGAGGTTGCGACGGATGAAGGGTGTGATGATGTAGTGGGGTTGATCTTGCACGGCGAAGTTGCCTTGCCTAAGCCAGTAAGCACCGTCCTTGACATAAGTATGCCCGTCTTGGGGCTGGCGGAAGGGCTTCTTGAGCTCAGCAGCAACATTCGCAAGCTTTCCGAACATGTGCTGGTGGATGAGCGGCATCAAACGAGCCTCTGACTCCTTGTCAAGAAGTGTCAAGAAACTCATCTGAATACCCTCCGCGACAGCTCGGCGGATAGAGCAGAGTGGTGAGACGTCCTTGGCATAAATCAAAGCACGAGTCAATGTTCTCAAACTGAAATGCGGCTTTTGGCCAGCACCATCAACGAGCAAATTCTCCTCGTTCAAGTTCTGCGCTGCTTGGTGTAACTTGGCCACATCTGAGGCAATTGATCTGTCCAACACTGCCTCTTGACCTAGATAAGCCTGGACAATGTTTCGCAGACTCTGATAATCGCGATCAGGACTTTCAACGTAGAGCTCGGTAAACCTGGAACGGATACCCAGAGGCAGATCCTTCTTTCCGACGTCAGTCGCAGGGTTCATGGCAGCGAAGACACGGAATTGAGGATGAGCCTTGATGACCTCAACACTTCCAGCTTCGCTGAGCATGAGAGATGGAGAAGTAACATCAAACAAGTCAGCCAATGCCTCCAGTGTGTCTGGTGAAGCAAGATTGATCTCATCAAGGAGAACCCAGTCACCATTCCTGACGGCCTTGACGATGTTTCCCTCGACGAACGCAAAAGCGAACGCCTCCTGACCAGCAGAGAGGCGGTTCTCGAGACTCTTGACCTCCAAAGCAAATTTGTCCCATCTTCCGCTAAGCACAGCGGTCATGGCAGGCTCAACCTTGCGCTTCTTAGCAGGGTTCTCGGCGTTCCTTGACGGAGATTTGGAGCCAGCTTGCAGGGTAGCAATTCTTTGCTGTTCTACCATACCAAGAGCCGTGTTCCACAGCTTGCACACACGGCCCCACTGCTGCTTAGCCATACACTTGTTCAACATCTCAATGAACTGAGCGTTGCGCTTGTATGAGAAACTAGCAGAGAACAAGTCATCGAACTCCTCTTTCAGAGGCACAATAATGGAGCGAGCGTTGACAGGCTTGAAACCACCAAGAAGGTCTCCACTTTCGCTCTGTTGAGACAAGTTGAAAGGCACGAGCTTCTTGCCGAGCTGATCTGCAAGGTGCTGCACACTGGTAGTCTTACCGGTACCAGTTTCACCAACCAACAGAAGAGGCTCTTTCTGGGTTACAGCTACTGCAACACGATCGAGTAAACGAAGAGTGTGTGCATTCGTTGAGAAAGCGCGTTTGCCAGTAGGACCAGCGAGACCTTTTCGCTGTTGACGCGAAAAGACTGAGCGACCGATTGTGACTCGACTGGGCTCCTCCTTGTGGATGATCGTCCTTTCACCAAGCAGATGCTGGCAGCGTTGCGGGTCAATTTGCAGATTTTCGGCGATGCATGAAGTCAGTGCAGTATATGCTGTACCTTCAGGCAAAGCACCAGCAAAACAGTCGACAGCATCTAGGAAAATCTGGTCGAGCTCACCAGCAGTCATGTTCGGCCTGTTTCCAAGCATAAGAGCCACTCTAGCGCACCACTTGAGTAAATCTCTCGGGTTGACCTCACGCATGAGACCAGTCCTGCTACGGCTTGCCAGATGTGCTTGCTGTTTCAACGCCTGCAGGTTTTGGAAGACAGTAACGAACTGAGGAGCAAACTCTGATAGCGAAGGAAAAAGACCAACGACGACTTGTTTCAGTTCGTCCGATGGCAGCATACTGACATGTACAGACTTCCAGTGGCGTGCGCCCAACAAATTATAGGCTGGCTTGGTCTCATGCCCGCTATTCGACAAGGAAGTACGCATGGTAGCAATGATGCGGAAGCCTCTAGCTGCGTGTATTGTCTGCCCTCTGCTGGGAATAACAAGCTCATTTCTCTCAATCAAGGGTAGCAAAGTGCTGATGATGTCGTTCGGTGCGCGATCCAGATCCTCAATAAACACCCAGCGGCCTTCAAGCACGGCAGTTGTCAATACACCAGCCTGCCACACAAAAGATCCTGGGTTCTTTCCGGTTGTGTACATTCCAATAAGCAGTTTAGCATCGCTCTGCTCGTTCAAATGCAGCGTAACCATGGACTTCAGCTTGTTAAGCTGACGTGCGGCATGGCGTACTAACAGTGTCTTTCCAGAACCAGCAAGACCAGTCAAGAGAACGGGGTTTGGTGCCTTGAGTGAAGTGGCCAATTCACGCAGGTTCGAGGCGGTTGTGGGCGTGTCAATGATTGAGTTCGTAGGCGATTCGGTAGGAGCAGCACCACGGGGCAGCAAAACACCCGAAATGCATGCGGTCGAAGTGTGAAAGAGTTCGGCGGGCAAAACGACGCGCTGTCTAGGAGCATTTCCAGCGTCCAAGTATGCAGCACGTTCTAGTTGTAAGGCTTCCTTCTCTTTCTCCAAATTCTTCAGGCGACGCTCCTCCCATAGTGTAAGAAGACGGTAGTCAATCTCTTTGTCCTCCCATGATCCCAGCGGTGCAATCAAGTCCTGAGTTCCAGCATCGTTTGCGAGATACTTGTTGGTCATGTCTTGTAGAGCAGCATCTGCGGCGCTCAGATACAGACATAGCACGCGGATAGCAAGATAGCGCAATGCACGAGCATTGTGGTCGAGAAGCTGGTGTATCCGTGAAAAGGGCACGAACTTGGCAAAGGTCTGGCGATCAAATCGCAACAAGCGGATCAAGGCAAAGAAGTATTCGAGGGTGAAGAGATTTGAGTCGGGAATGCTATCGACATTATGCGAACTAAGGTAGCGCTCGGCGTATTCGGAGACGTGAGGAGCGAGAGAAACAAGGCGAGCGTATGCGGCGACGACCGAGACGTAGTCGGAGGAAGTTTGGAACTCGGCGCAGCAGTGTGGGATTAGTGATTCGGCGTGAATCAGAACCAGATCGGTGTATCGTCTGTCGAGAGCAGCTCTGCTAAGATGAGCAAGAAAATGTGCGCCGTCGCCTTGTTGTAGTGTCTCAGCAAGCTCCGGTGGTAATTGTGAGATGCGCGAGACCAGGTTGTGTATTTCCCATGATACGTCCATTTTGGCGACAAGAAAATGAACTATCTATGGCGAAAACGAAATGCTCAAGAAAAAAAGATCTTGGTGTGGAAATGTTCAAGATTCAAAGCTTCGGAGGTTCTTGCCTTCGCCGCAAATTCCGAGCACAGACCAGCCTCTGGGAAATCTGAGGAAGGAAGCCGCAACACTTTGAAGCAGCAATTCAAAGGCAGTCACGAGTCTTGTATACCGCAGTCGCACCTTCCGCCTCGAGCCCGTCGATCCTCTCCCACCTCCCTCACATCCCGCCGCAATGTCGCTCTCCTGCCAACGTGTCCTCAGGCGATGCGCCACCGTCCAGTCGCCCGTCCGCGCCTCTCTTTCATCCACCCAGAGCAAGCAGTTCCTCTCAAGGAGATGGCAGTCCACCGATGCTGAGGCCGCCGCTCCCACCAACCCCAAGATCGCCGCCATCGTTGACCAGATTGGCCAATTGACCCTCCTCGAGACTGCCGACCTTGTTTCCTCGCTCAAGGTCAGTGAAACATGCGCCGCGTGTTGCTCTTCCCGGACTGTATACTGATGGACCCTCTCAGACTCGCCTTAACATCCCCGATCTGCCCGTTGGTGGTTTCGCTGCTGGTGCCGCTCCCACCGCTGCCCCTGCTGCTGTCGAAGAGGAGGAGGCCGCTCCCGCCGCACAAGAAAAGACTCTCTTCAACCTCAAGCTGCAGTCGTTCGACGCTGGATCCAAGCCCAAGGTTATCAAGGAGATCAAGAGCTTGTTGGGTCTGTCCCTGGTCGACAGCAAGAAGTTCGTCGAGAGCGCTCCCAAGCTCATGAAGGAGGGTGTACCCAAGGAGGAGGGTGAGAAGATTGTCGAGACACTCAAGGCCCTCGGTGCCGTCGTTGTCATGGAGTAGATGTCATGTCTACTTGTTCTCTTCTTTCTTACACGAACATGGCATACATGTGACGGCGTTATATGTACTTGTATATTGGGGCAAATGGTGTACAAAAACTTCTACCACACTCAAGACACGTCTTGTACATATGCTTGCTTCTTTAGATGCAGAGTATCTGATTCTCGCTTGGAATGCTACAAGCAAGGCACTGTGAGTGTTGGCCTTGAGCACAGCTCGAGGAGGCCATTTTGTGTGAGTCCAGGGTCGCCCGATTAGCAAGCAAAATTAGACTCAACAACCAACATCTCGCTCCCTCAGATAGTAATACATCGTATTCGTAGTTTATATTAGGCAGAGAGCCTACCTCAGAGTCTCATGACAGTGGGATGTCGTGATCTGTGGTCTACATCCGCCAATCAAGAGATCAGGACTTTTGACCGAGCTAAACTTACAACCACCAGGTTACACCATACGACACAACACCATCTTCAATCTCTGAGTGCTGGAATTTCCCAAATCATACTTCCACGTCTCCGGACGTTCCAAGTCTATCTCAGTATATCTCTAAGACAGTGACATGTATTCCGCACGAACTGAATTCGATATCTATATTGATGAACAAGGTCTTGGCAATCGCGTATCGTAGTCGTTTCAAGGCCTCGAACACGCGGGGCGCAAGGAGAAGCATCGAGTGTTGCGACAAGGTTGATCTGGCATCAACATGAACATCTGACATTAATCAGGCTGCATCGCATGCCTCATGTCAACGTCACCGTCCAATTCTCACAGCCATCAAGCTGTCGAGGCCGAGTCAAGTCGTAATCCATACGAGTCTCCATACACGACTGACAATGACCCTGATGGTGACCCGAACACGCACGTCTCATTCAAGTCCGGCTTCCGGACATCCTCTGGCTTCCTTCCTTCGCCTCTATCCACTAGTCGCGACCCATCGCCTGGATACAATGATGCCTCTCATCTACAGCAAAGACGTGTCAGCTCTCGATCGCCAGTCCAACCCACTACCGGCAACATTCTCTCGTACCTCAATACACCGGCTGTCGCGCAAGATGCAAAAGACCCCTCTGCCTTGGACTGGTACGTCGAAGGTCCAGGTCGTCGTGTTGGCTACGACAACTTGACTGCCATTGACTGGATCTTCGAGTACGCAAAAGAAAGACAACGTTTAAGGGTGTTGCGATCCAATGCTGTTGGTCTGCTAGGATACTTTCAACTGCTCGCAGACAGCAGTCAGACATGGATCATCCTGGTCGCGACCGGAATTGCTGTTGGTGCTATCGCTGCTGCCATTGACATCACCAGTGGATGGCTGGGTGACCTTAAGGCTGGTTATTGCAGTAATGTTCAAGATGGTGGAAAGTTCTATCTGAACAAGGGCTTCTGTTGCTGGGGTCAGAAAGACTTTGAGACGTGTCCAGATTGGCAGTCATGGAGTCATGGCATGGGCGTCTCCTCCAGTGCTGGTAGCTGGATTATCAATTTTGTTTTGTATCTTGCTTACTCGGTACGTCCCCCTGTCAGAGCCATCTGACCTTCCGAGCTGATTCTTCCAGGTTTTGTTTGCATCAGTCGCTACGTATCTAGTTACCCGATTCTCGACATATGCAAAGCAGAGTGGTATACCTGAAATCAAGACCGTACTCGGAGGCTTTGTCATTCGTCGCTTCATGGGCATCTGGACTTTGGTAACCAAATCTGTTGGCTTGGTACGTTTGTCTCTCACGCTCTACTGCACTTTGCTAATGATCGCTAGTGTCTTGCAGTTGCCTCAGGTCTCTGGCTCGGCAAAGAGGGTCCGCTTGTTCATGTCGCTTGCTGTTGTGCCAACCTGTTCATGAAGCCTTTTGAGAGCATCAACAACAATGAAGGTATTTCGATTTCATATCCATCTCCACAGCCTAAACTGACCTGATCTACAGCTCGCAAACGCGAGGTCTTGTCTGCTGCTTCCGCTTCAGGCATTTCTGTTGCCTTCGGCGCACCTGTCGGTGGTGTGCTGTTCAGTCTCGAATCTCTGTCATACTACTTTCCAGACAAGACCATGTGGCAGTCTTTCGTCTGTGCCATGATTGCTGCCTTTACCCTCAAAGCTGTTGATCCTTTCCGTACTGGCAAGACTGTTCCGTATTCAGTAACCTACCACACCGGGTGGCACGGATTCGAAATTGTCGCATATGCGATCATTGGTGTACTAGGCGGCCTGTACGGCGGTCTGCTAATCAAGCTAAACATGCGTCTAGCTGCTCTCCGCGACTCACCTCGCTACCCGCTCAAGGATCGACCAATACTTGAAGTTTGCATCATCACAGTTGCCACCTCTGTTATCGCCTTCCCTGTCACCTTCTTGCGCGCCCAAGCTTCGGAGTTGGTTTACTATCTCTTCGCAGAGTGCAAAGACATCCAATCCGATCCTCTTGGTCTTTGTAAGAGCGGCATTGCCAACACTGGAGTCATCTTCCTCCTGCTCATCTCCGCCATCATTGGCTTCTTCTTCACAGCCTTGACTTTCGGTCTCCAGATTCCTGCTGGCATCTTACTCCCATCCATGACCATTGGCGCACTATACGGTCGTGTCATTGGTCTCATCGTCGAGGTTTGGCAACGCGAACATCCTAAGTGGATTGTCTTCGCCTCTTGTGAGCCCGACGTGCCCTGTATAACTCCCGGCACGTATGCCATTGTCGGCGCCGCCTCAGCTCTAGCAGGCGCAACACGCATGACCGTCTCTATCGTGGTTATCATGTTCGAACTCACCGGCGCCCTTACCTACGTCCTGCCCATCATGATCGCCGTCATGATTGCAAAATGGGTCGGCGACGCACTCGGCAAACGCGGTATCTACGAAGCTTGGATCGCCTTCAACGAATACCCATTCTTGGACAATCGCGACGACAGACCCATCCCTGATATCCCTGTCTCGCAAATCATGACCAGACTTGAAGATTTGGTTACCATCACCGCTGAAGGCAGTACCATCGAATCCCTCACCAACCTTCTCAAGGAATACTCTTACCGTGGCTTCCCTGTTATATCCAATTCCCACGATGCGGTTTTATTGGGATACATCTCACGCACAGAATTGTCCTTTGCTTTGAAATCGGCGACGAGCACGAGAAATCTACCTCTACACACTTCTTGCTTTTTCTCCCATCAACCACTCGCAGATGTGGAACATACGCTCGACCTTCGCCCTTGGATGGACCAAACGCCAATAACTTTGAACTCGGCAATCGGCCTCGAACTCTGCGTCAACTATTTCCAACGCTTGGGCTTGAGGTATCTAGGATTCTGCGATCGGGGTGTGTTGAAGGGATTGCTTACGAAAAAGGACGTTTGGTTTGTGGTTAATGGTGGTGATGAGTCAGGGGGCAGGGTTGCGGGTGCTAGGGAAGATGAAGATGCGCATAGGAGGGTTAGAGGTGTGGGGACGCATTTGAGAGAGGGTGATGAGGGGGAGGAGAGGGGATTACTATTTGAAGGGAGAGGAGGGGAGGAACGAGATGTGGATTTAGGTGGTGATGGGCGTGGTTAGAAGTGCGGGAATAGAAGTTTTGTACGCAAACACACACACACTCTCTCTCTGTGCAAGATGTTATGAGATTATGTTATGATCTCCTCCTGCCGTGCGAGGCTTATCTCACAGTTGTCAAAATGCACGATGAATTTCAAAAAAAGACCTTCATGTCCAGTGAGAGCGCGGAGCCAGGTTTCTTTCTTGGTCGAGGCGGAAACACCAGCGATCTCTACCTGCTTTGAAGCAACTGCAGAGGGAGTGAGTCACCGTCATTCTCCAAGAGGAGAAGATGGAATCTCGATTGTCTCGACTTGTTTTTCATACGTGACGGCGCGGGCACGGACGTAGGTTGAATATCGTTCCTTCTAGGAGGGGAATGATCAAGGGTCTTGGTTGCCTTTGTGAGTATATCGAAGGATGTAGACTTCAATAACCAGTATGATTGTAGAACAGCACAACCAGGCAAAAGAAAAGAATAATCACACCACACATCTCAGAGTTTAGGAAGGAGTGAAAAAGGGTGACTTACAAATCGTGAGCACTGGAGAGAGAATCAATCGAACAGCGTCAATTAATCGAACACGAAAGTGAAAAGCGCCACGATATACCAAAGGATCAAATCAACTTGACAGTAAAGGGCGTTGGAAAGAGTGAACTCGATCCTGTGTATAGTGAAGCGGACCACTGAAGTGGTCGACGCCCACATGTGGTCTGACTGGAAGAAAGTGAAGGAGTTAGTTCAGGAAGGGGGCTGATGAGGTGAGGTGACGGATATAGGGAGTGATGGAACTGCGAAAGAAGATTAGCGACGAGCTGGCTCGAACCCGAGACACGTGGTGAAAGATTAACCCCTTGGGCTAATGAGATTATTTCTGAAGACAGGCGCTGAAGCCATAGAAGACCTGTGTGAAAGACATTCAAAACAATTACTTCTGGTCGAGCAAAAAGGTTCCTTCCACCAAAGGTCTCAAAGTTTGGAAGGATGAGTTGTACTTACTAGTCGTAGACCGGAGGCGTTGGCCATCGCGGTAAGCAGGGAAGGGGACAGGGGGTGTTGACCACCACTGTAAGCAGATGATCGACTGCGCAACGTCAGTAGTCTCGTGTTTGCGATTAGACTGAGGAAGCTCAGAAGATCGGGTGAAAACAACCATGAGCGACCTGTTAGCTTGTGTTTGCAAGTACTAGCAGAAGGCTTAACTGGGAAAGATTGTTAGCGACGGGCTGACTCGAACACGAGACCCTTGGTGCAGGATAGCTATTTGTGCTATGGGGAAAGATTAAAGATGTGGCAGGATAAGTTATTGATGATGCCATCGGACGTCGCCCATGAGTTGGCGACAGACGGCTGGGATTCCAACGAGTAGAGTGGTATGGAAATGAGGCAGGGCAAGTCAGAAGACAGATCAAGATGTCGAACCTGTTACAAGAGCCATGGGAGGAAGGAGCGATGAAACCATACCAGATTTTCGCCGATTAGCCGTCTTGCAGCCCAGCATAGCGACACCTCCTGACCTCTACAACGTTGCTTGAACTTGAAGGGCAAAGTCATGTTTCGTTGACCGATATCAGGTCGAATCCAGAGCTCCAAAGATATCAACAGAGGCATTGAGCAAAAAGATTGATTGCACCAAAGGTCTCACAGTTTGGAGGAGGAATTGTACTTACGAACTTGTAAAGCTCTGGAGCAGCGGCCCCCCGAAGAGGTACTGTGTAACCGTGATCAACTTCACAACGTCAATGGTCTCGTGTTTGCGATTGCAAATCGTGAAGGTTAGAAGATCTAGTGGCTAAACCCAACCGATGAACGTCCTAGCTAGCTTGTGTTTGCAAGGACTAGCAGAAGGCTCTGGCTGTGGTTAAACGGAAAATCCGTAATCTTGTGAGAACAAGAAATATCTATGAAGATATACATCTATGAAGATGTGATTACTGCGAAGATGGTCAGCGATGAGCCGGCTCGAACCGGAGACCCCTGGTGCAGGATAGCCACTTGAGCTCGCGAGATGGATTGATTAGACAACAAAACAAGTTATCGATAACACCATCAGAAGTAGTGTGCGTATTGGGCTGGGAGATCAGGTGTGGACTGGTAGGTGGAGAGATGTGAGAGCGTGTGAAACAGCCTGAGATAGAAGAACAACGTGGGGAGAATCAAAACGTCATACGAGAATTATAGAAGGAAGGAGCGACGAGGAACTTCAACATCCACCAATCGATTGGCCGTCCCGCAGCTCAACATCAGTGGCATCTCCCATCATCAAGACAGACTCCTTCGGGATACCTTACAGCTTTTTAGCGGCAAATCCAACTTGTGGTTTAGCAGTCATCTGCGAGAACACCACGAACTGACTTTTCAGGAAAACATCTCCCAAAATGCTGAAGCCAATTCCGCTGTTCGACTGCATGCCTCCGAAACACATGTTACTTCCAAGGTTTGCGTAGTTCAAGTACGACCCAGGCACAGTAAACTTGTTGCCTCCAATGATTGCACTCCATGATGGCAAATTCGTGTTGCAGGGGAAGACCCAGCCGCCCTGATAGTCGCTGTACACTGCGCTCTTGACTGATTTGTAGTAGGCGTTGACGATGAAATCGGGCAGAAGCATCAGACTTGTTCCCGTATCAGCGATGCAATTGTAGGCCTTAGTGACCTTGGCTCCACTGCCGACGGCGTATCCACCAGCAGAAAATTGCCAAAAGCCACCATTGCTGTTGAGGTTGACATATGTGATGCTGCCGGTGTATTTCGCAGTGTCGATGTAACCGAAATCGTAGCTTCCTGGAGCACCCTTCTTCAAGTCTGCGGTAAAGACAGCTTTGGCGAGCTGGGACTTGACGGTGTCGAAGAAGTTGTTCTGCGAATACGGCATGACCGTGTTCACGGAGCTGAAGGCTAGACCGAGGATGCCGTCACTGTTCGTGTCCGAAACGAAGCCATCAGAGACTGATGTTGCAGCTTCGACTGCTTGTGAAGTAGCAGTAGCACTTCCGACCACAACCTTATCAGCAAAGACCTTGCCACTTGCACCAGAGCCATCTCCGTACTCGATATCCCATGTGTAGCCATCCATGAGTTTTGCATTGTTTACGGTGTAGATAGCATGCCCAGATCGTTGTGATGAAGGTTGCAGATTTGAATATACCCAGAGATCCGCGCTTCCTGTGTCGAAATTGAGATTCAAGGTTTTGCCTCCCACTGTGACCGGACAGAGATAGGAGACATCGTATGCTTCGGGAGATGCGGCGACGGTTGCTACTGTTGCTGAAGCTGCTGCTTTTCGAACCGCGACTGGTGCTGATGCTCCTGCTTTTGCGTATTTGGCGTACACGTGCAGGAGTTTTTGTGCTGGAGTTCTGATGATCGAGCTTGTATTGAGAACTTGTTCAAGGGTGAAGGTCTTCTTGTCTTTGACATCGGCAGTAGTCAGGGGCACTGCTTCACACAAACTATGGAGTGCCGTGGCGGTTGCTAGAATTTGGAGAAGCTGCATTTCTTAATGATGACCGCAATTCGTACTGTCTCGAGAAGAACGGCGCAAGGATCACAGACATGGCGCTGGAGATTTGTTTATACCACTGACAAAAGCGTTGCGCTTCCAGCCACCATCGCCGTTGAATATGTTTCGCACGCCACCCGTTATTGTTTGCCGCGGCGAGACAAATTGCCGGAACATCATCCAGGCCTTTGTTCTTATAAGGATAGACCAGGATGTCTTGAGTCAATGAATTGTCATGGCTAGAGGATTAATTGATTACAGTGACAATGCGTGGGCTTGGTGCGAAAGATCCGGCCTTGACCTCCGTAAGCGTCGATATTCATCTTGCTTTGGTAGCTCTTCACCTGTAGATAGACAGAAGCCTATCCAAGATAGGCAACGGTTTTGATGATTTGTCTTCCACAAAGACGAAATATCGAAACCCTGGGGCCGGCTGCTGGTGACGACGACCATTGAGCCATCGGGTCGATTTCGAATGCGGGTCGTCTCCTCTCAGACTTGCCAGAGATTCCAGGTATTACACATAGTAAAAAGGGCCAATTGTAGCTACGATGTCGGCACACAGGCTCAGTGTGGTCTACCTTTGTTTCTGAGAGGTTCGTCAATGCAGAAGGAGAGAACCTTGGAAGACCCTTCCTCCGTTAAGAATTCTTTTCAGACTGCTGGTTCCAAACACGGCTGGTCGTGGCTCAGCAGTTCGGAACACCAAGCCGTGTCCCGTTCCCAACGTCGCCCTGCTTCCTGCCCTCGTGCGGCAGAGCTTCAAAACAAAACATTCTTTTCAGCTCTCATGTTGTTCTTACCAGATATGTCTGTAGGCTTCAACTGATGTACAACACTGACCCTGGATGTGAAGGCCCCAAATCTTGAAGAGCCTTAGAACATTGTGCTCACGGGCGAACTCGATTGGCAGACAAACCCTTCCGCTCAGTCGCACCTCCGATCTATGACCGTCGCAATACGGAGTGCGGTGAATCTTGGAATGTACGGTGTCACAGCTCCAAAGATCCATCGAGGCTCGAGCTAGCCTACAGCAACAATTGAGACGGCTCAACATACTCAGATTCTCACCACATCCTTGTCAAATGCGGCGTAAATGAGGGGTCGAGGCTTGGACTCGCTCTTCAAGATCGTATCATCTAAGTGCATCTGACTACCATCCATAGGCTGACTCAGATACATTGCAATTGGCGCTGACCGCGACGAAGGATTCCATAGGCGCGTGCACTACGTCTTGTAGCCAAGCACGGAACTAAAAGGAGCTTCGCTACAGCTATGGTGGGATATAAAGTCGGCATGCGTCCATGAATGTCGTTCTAAAGACAATCAGAACATAATGGCGAATACTACTTCTACTCAAGAAGGCAATGGACTATATGGCATTGACAATGCTGCCAACTCTCTTCCTGCACTTTGTGCCTGTGCCCGAGGCTTCCTCGATGAGACGTACGATATCATAATCATTGGCTGTGGCACGGCTGGTCTTGCTGTTGCTGCAAGATTGACCGAGGATCCAAACATTATGGTCGGCGTGCTGGAAGCTGGTAAATCAAGACTGGATGACCCTCTCGTCGACACCCCTGCAACCTTCCCGGAGCTCCTTGGCAACCCCGAGTATGACTATGGATTCAAGTCGACACCGCAGGTATCTTGAGTCAATGTTCCGGGCCGCAACAAATTTCTGATGTTCATCGCAGAAAGGCAATCGCGATATCGTCCATCATTTATGCCGCGGAAAAGCTTTAGGAGGGTCGAGCGCCATCAACTACATGCTGTCAGTATTCGGTCGCAGTGATCCCTATCCTCTACTCTACGATTGCTTGTTGACACATCCTTAGATATGTACGAGGCTCAGACGCCGACTATGACGACTGGGCAGACCTTGTGGGAGATTCTACTTGGTCCTCCAAAGCTCTGAAGCCTTATATGCGCAAACATCAAACGCTTGAACGGATTGATGCGTCCATCACGAACCTGACTGACTATCCTCATGTTGGCGAAAATCATGGCACAAAAGGACCCGTGCATACCTCTTTCAACGATAGCTCTTTCCCAATTGGGGACTTGTCCATCAAAGCTATGGACGAAGTGTCCGGACTCTCAAAGAAGCCAATAGATCCCTGGAGTGGCGATCACATTGGCTTCTTCAACACACTTGGTGCAGTATCTCGGTCAGGGCCACACAAAGGCAAACGAAGCTATGCTGCTCGTGGCTACTTCCAAGCTAATGCTTGCCGACCGAATCTGAAAGTGCTCTGCGAAGCACAAGTGAACAAGATAGTTCTTGAGAACGGTGTTGCAAAAGGTGTTGAGTTCATCTACCATGGAATGAACGAGACTGTATACGCCAAGAAAGAGGTCATCTTGTGTGGTGGTGTGATCAATTCACCTCAAATTCTGGAACTCTCTGGTATCGGTGAACCGAAGATCCTGGAGCAAGCCGGTGTTGAGTGCAAGATCAAGCTCCCTGGTGTTGGCGAGAACTTGCAGGATCATGCTTGTGCTGTTCTTGGTCTCGACCTCAAACCAGGTACTATCACTATGGACATTCTCGGTGACCCTCAAGTCATGGAAGCGGCGGGTAAAGCACTTGTGGAAACTCAAAGTGGTCCCCTGACCTCCATCGTCAGTACCCAAGGCTTCCTCCCCTACAAACTTCAAGCTACTGCCTCTGAGCTCGAGTCTACTGTCAAAAGTATTCGCGAGACCCAGCAATTGTCTTCTACCACCCCTTTCTACAAGCGGCAATTGGATCAAGTCATCGCACATCTCGAAAGCGACAAATCCGCCAACTTGCAGTTCATAGTCGTGCCTGCAGGAGCAGACTACGAGAACGGAATTGCGACGCAGAAGATATGGCCTCCACCTGACAACAACCGTCTTCATCGTATGGTTATAGCGTCGTGCTTACAATATCCTGTTGCTCGTGGCACATGCCACATCAGCAGTTCTGGTGGGTTGATTGCAGATGCCCCTACTGTGTAAATCTTGCTGACATGGTATCAACAGATCCCTCGGCACATCCCATCATTGATCCAGGATACATGAACCATCCAGCCGATGTAGCAGTCTTAGCATCTGGCCTGCATTTTAACCACCTCGTGACCAAAACCTCCCATTTAGCTCCCCTGATCCACGAACGTTCCTATCCACCCGCCTCGAGAAACCTCGATGATCGTACAGACCGCGAGGAAGCCGTCAAAGATTGGATTATGGGTGAATATCATCTCATTGGTACTTGCGCTATGGGTGAAGTCGTAGATACCAGACTGAAAGTCAAGGGCGTCAAGGGGCTGAGAGTCGTGGATGCGAGTGTTTTCCCTAATCACGTCAGCGGCAATATCTGCAGCAGTGTATATACTGTTGCTGAAAAGGGTGCTGATCTCATCAAGGAGGATTGGGGGATTGATGTTGAAGCATTCGACATTGGAAAGTTGAAGCTTTGAGTTGCTTTTCGGTCGTGCTTAATTTGGGTAATATTTCTACAACTGGAAGGTGAACTCGGCCGAGATCTTGGGGTCACCCTGTTCGTATACAGGGCTTGCAGGATTTGCAACTTCCGAACGGCGTTCAGACACCTGTCTACAATGAACAATCTCTTGCATCTGTGATAATTAGTTTCCCAACATTGTAATTCCCCATGGCGTCGCATGGGCATCTAGCACACGGTGTGCTTCAAATTTTGGTCAACCTCCAGGGTGATGGACAAGACCTCGGTATTGCATCCCTGCTTCGAACAAAGACTCTGGAAGGTGTAGAGAATCCGATTTTCTTCATAGCGTTTGTCATTTCAAAAGGAATCATCAACTATACGGTAAGCATTTTTCGTACCAGCTGTTTTGGTTTATTGCTTCGACTCCGTCACAACAGCCTGCTTGAAGTTATTTCTGACTTGGAGTAGATAAAGCATATACTGCTGCATACAGTTGGCACATTGATGGTATCACACTACTTCCAAGACCATCGCCTCACTTTAAGATCTCAATCACAGCGCCGTCACTCCTTTCTTGATTTTCTTCGCAACGCAATCTCATCACCTAGACGACTCCGCCGCGACCTCACGCTCGGTATCGCATACAACACTATGTACACCATCCTTAACACCAGCCTCCAATCTATTTCCTCAAACACTGTTTGGACACTATCATCTCATCTTGTAACAGCCACTCTTCTATTATCTTTCCACCTTCGCTGGACGGCCATAATTGTCTCATCGAAACCACTTGGTCTGTGCGTTCCCAAGCGTCCTCAAAAGGATCTGATAATCCCAGTTATCGCGTACACATGTGCGCAAGAGTTGGCAGAAAACGCCCCAAAGTGGCTGTATGGCTTGATGTTGACTGCTCATGGAGGAAACTTGGAGAGTATGCGTGTTATCGCTGCTGGCGATACTGTTGTGTTGGTGCTGGGACTTACTTCGCGAATGCTGGTTTTGTATCCGGCGTATGCCGCGTATGTTTATAGCGAATTGCTGCATCTTCGAAAGAGGACCGCGAGTCTGCAGTTGAAGGGCACAGATGGCTTTGGGGATGCGGCGGTACAAGGTGAAGGAGATAACAGCTATGGCAGTGTCTTATCTAGATGTTGGAAGAGGCTGGCGGTCAGGTTGGGGGTTTTGCACTTGCAAACAGCTTTCCTTCTTGTCGTGGTAGAATGTATCGCTTTTGCTGTGTTGCATCGAGTTTTGAAGATCTGAGCACGTCACCGAGAAGGAATATTGGTTGGTCAGAGTGAAACGATTCATGATTTTTCATATATACAAGATCAAAAGCAGAAAATCAGTCCGTGTGTATACATCAGACAAACAACAGGCAGGCTGTTTCTAACCCAATCGTCTAGAAGGTGGTCTAACAATGCAGCCCCTTAAAATGCTATCCAAGCATTGATGTTGATAATCCCATCCGAATTATGTTTTGTGTGCAGATTCAAACATTAACAAGAGGAAGAAGAGTGGCAAAAAAGGTATGAGAGTCGTGAAGAAGGAGAAAAGGAGGGAAAGGAAAAATGTTTAACTCGATCAGACACCAGAGTCATCAACGTAGATACCCTTCTCCTTGGCCCAAGGACGCCAGGTATCGCAGACGTCGTTCAGAAGACAGGTGTCTTGAATCGTGTCCTTGATCTGTTCCTTGCCCTCAATGAATTGAAGGGCGAAACCCATGGCCACATGCCACCCGATATGACACTATGTATCATGTTAGCTTTGTTCGTGGTCATTTTGAGGCTATTGTAGGCACGTACATGCATGAGCCATGAACCAGGATTGTCTGTAAAGAAGGCAATAACAAGGTGGCCGCCTTGTCCGGTGGGTCCATCTCCAGGCATAAAGGCCACATCACGGCGGGGAGGGTTGTCGAGGTTCAAAGCTGTGCCTGAGCCGTAGTTTCCGTAGCCGGCAGCGAGGACATAGAAGTCATGACTGTCATGTGTCAGTAAGAGAACCTGAAAGAGTAGGATGTATTGATAGGGAACAAGTCTGGGAGGTAAGAAGCAAACTGCACCAAATCTGATTTTTTCTTCCGAAAGAGAAAATGGAGAAAATTGTACAAAATCTTCTTGGGCAGCTCACACCTCCCTGAAACTTGCTCCCTATTGGCACACGTTGGATATAGATCGTTTACGTACCCGTGCAAATGGATTGGGTGCCCTGGGCGATCAGTCAGTACAGGAAGATATCGTCGGTACAGCGTATTGTACTCACCAAGAGGAATAGGAGATTCGATAATAACATATACCCACTCGCCCAAGGAGGTCTCAATCGCAAGATCGCCTGAGTAGGTGGGAATGGTATCGTTGTTAACAATGTTGTAAAGAGTAGCATCACCCCAGTTGGCTTGGAACGTGGTTCCGTCAAGGTACCAGCGGTAAAGGTTGATTCCATTCGAGTTCGAAACAGCGACATCGTGTTGGACGGTTTGGTGAGGAGAGCTGACGGTCTTCTTGACGATGGGCACAAGCTTGTCAAGGGGTTCATCTTCACAAGTACCGAGGATACCACCGACTCCATTGTCCTTGCGAGGGTAGGTGTAGGCAGTCGAGTTGGGAGTGCCGCCAGGGCCGCCTGCGTAGTGGATGATACCTCTGATGTCGTCGGAGTTGATGGTGGAAGCACAAGCATTCTGGTTGTCGAAACGCAAGAAGTAGTCACCTACTTCCTGATCGGCCTCGACGATTATCTCATAGCGCTGTCCGATGTTGATGGTTAAGACTGTGGTCTCATAAGGCTCGATAGGAACAAAGTCGGCAGCAATGACGGTAAACTTGTGTCCATCAATGTAGAACTTGTAGGTAGATTGGATGGCACTGTTCAGAAGCTGGAAGAGATACTTCTTGCCAGGAACGAATTCAGTGGGAACAGTATAGCGAGCGCCGGTGATGTCACCCTTTGCCAAAGGATTGATGTTCATACCGTTGATCAGACCGCTGTCCATGGTACGAACACCAGCGACTTGAGCATCGTTGTACATGTCGTCGACAGGGATGTGAGACCAATCGTTGATGATGAGGTGACCAGCATCCACATCAAAGTCGGCAGATTTGGGACCATCAATGTACATGGGACCGAAGAGACCTTCGTACGCTTGGAGAGTCAAGTGACTGTGGTACCAGGAAAATCCATAGCTCTCAGCAATCCACTTGTAGGTCATTGTCTGTCCGGGAGCCAAAGCGCATTGAGTAACACCAACGACACCATCCATCTCGTTTGTGTGGTTCTGTCTGATGCCGTGCCAGTGGATGGATGTTCCATTGCGAGTCATGGAGTTTGTGACATGGACGATGACCTCATCACCCCAGCTTGCCTCAAGAAGAGGACCAGGGAATTGTCCGTTAATACAGAGAGCCTTACGGCTGACACCATCGGGAGCGACGGTACACTCAGTCAAGTCGAGACTGTACTCAACCTGGTTGCAAGTCTTTGGAACAACAGCATACGAATCATCGTTGATGGTAAGACCGCAGTACTTGTCGGTTCCAGGCTGACCTTCGCAACGAACGCAGGTGGCGGTAGAGGTTGGCTTTCTGGAGCAGGCAGTCGTGTTTGTAGCAACAGGATGGTCGGATTTGATACCTCCCCAGTTGTTGAAATCATATGTGGTCGAGGCAGAGCTTGTTGTCAGAGCGGAGCTAGTTGTGTTGGTATATCTTCCAGACGAGGTTGAAATGGCAGTCGAGGGACCAGTGACGATGGGAGCTGTTGTCAGAGGTGCGCTGACAGTAGAGTTGGCCGACATGGTCAAGACGGTCGATGCAATGCTCGAAGTGAGGTTGTAGCTGGTAGTCAGAGAGATTGACGAGTTCGAAGCAGAACTGGTGCTGCTGCTAGTGATGATTGATGAAACACCAGTACCTGTAGGGCCCACAGGCAGAGCGCTTGTAGTGCCGTTGCCATAAGGTGCGCCACTGGTAGTGCTCGAAGACACACCGCTTGAAGCACCCGTACCGATAGGGCTGACAATGACGGTCTTGCTGGTAATGACCGAGCTGGAAACTCCAGTACCAGTAGGTCCGACAGGCAGAACACTGGTTGTTCCGTTGCTATAAGGAGCACCGCTAGTAGTCGACGAGGAAATACCGCTCGAAGGTCCGACCGCAATAGGTACAGTGACAGTACTGCTAGTGCTGTTGACAGGAATGGCCGAGCTGAACGAGATTCCGGTACCGATAGGGACGGTAGGACCGACGGAGACTGTGCTGGTGGTGCCATTGCCATATGGTGCTCCACTAGTAGTGCTGGATGAGACACCACCCGAGGGTCCAGTGCCAATCGGGATAGTAGGGCCTATGATTGATGTCCTGCTGGATACTACGGTGCTGGTGTTATTGACCAAGATAGTGGATGTGGATGAGCCGACGGTGCTAGTACTGTTCAAAGAGGCTACAGTGCTAGAGACAGTGCTCGATGAGTCTTCGGAAGTGATAGGAACAGTGGGACCAGCTGAAACAGTGCTGCTGGTGCCATTTCCATAAGGTGCTCCGCTGGTGAGGCTTGTTGGGACACCGCTTGAAGCTCCGGTGCCGATCGGGGCAGTGGGACCAACTACGACAGAGCTGCTTGAAATGCTGCTGCTAGAGAAAGAGGAGCTAGAAACCTTGCTGCTAGTGCTGTTGAAGGATACGACGGCCGAAGAGGAGATGACCGAAGAGCTGGAGGTAGCAGGAATACTGACAGTGCTGTTTGTCAAGGTATGCGAAGAGATGGCGTTGGCAGTAGATACTCCAGTGGTCAAAATCACTGAAGAAGGGACCTTGGACGAAGTAGAGACGGCATCGCTTGAGGTGCTTGAAGCGCTGCTCGAAGTCGATGGAGAAAAGCTGCTGGAGGTGCTCATAACGCTGCTGGATGTGGTCGAAGGGGCAACACTGCTGCTGCTTGAGCTGGTGGGTGCGTCCTTGATCTTGCGTGCACCTCGAACACCCTTGTTGGTTGTAGGCTTACCGAGCTTCTTCTTCATATAACAAGCAGTACCAGACATGCTGATATCAATACATCCGTCAGTAGCATCACAAGCGTTGACACAGTCAGCGATCCTGTTACTGCCAATGTTGACCGACTTCAGATCGCCACCAGAGTAGTCGACGTAACATTCGATGAGGAAAGTGGCACCACTCTCAGCGATGAAGACGGTGTTGTTGGCGGCGGGGCAAGTAGGGCTGGTCGAAGTAGGGAAAGCCGAAGATGAAGAACTTGTCGAGGATGAATTCGAGAATGAAACGGTCGAAGAGCTGATCAGGGACGTGGAAGATGAGACGACCGCAGAAGAAGATGTTCCAGATGTGGCGGATGCGGTAGAAGAGACACTGGAAGAAGCAGAGCTATCGACCTTGCCCACCCAAACAGCACCTCTGACATTAGAGCTCTTGACGGGAGTGCCGATCTTGCTCTTCATGTAACAGGCGGTACCTGACATGGCAATAGCCTTGCAGCCCTCAGTAGCATCACACTCGGCAAGACAGTCAGCAATCTTGTTCGAGGAAACCCAGACCATTTTCAGATCGCCGCCAGAGTGATCTAGACTGCAGGTGATGTTGTATTGGTTGCCAGTTTCTGACGTGTAGATAGTGTTGTTTGACTTGGGGCAGGTGGGGTTGGGATCAGCTCTAGAAACCAAAGTTTTCTTGGAGCCCCAAGGCCATGTGAAGCCGCAAGATCCATTCTCTTCCTGGCAGCCAGTACCGCAAGAATCGCTGGAGCTTCCACTGCTGAGCATCAGTAACAATGTCTTGGTGAGTTTCGGGATGCTTTACATACCACCAGTTGTCTGAACCGCAACAGTCACCAAACTTTGAGCCTTTGCAAGTCACATCGTGACCACATAGACCGTTTTGGCTGACAAGCTTGCCCTTGTAGGTAGGAATACAAGCGCCGAACTCTTTCTGGCAACCCAAACCACAGAAGAAAGCACCCTCACCGCATGTACCGGCTTTTGAGCAACAATCCCCAAGGTATGAGTTCAAGCAAGTCTGGCCAGAAGCACCACCACACTTGCCATCAGGGCTGACAGCAAGATCGCGAGCTTCATGTGTGCTGGGAGCAGCAAGTACTCCGACTGCACAAAGCAGTGCGGAGATTGTGGGGAAACGCATGAATAGAGGATGTAAGCAATATAATGAGGTAAGGTATAACAACCAGGAAATCGGAAAACGAGAGAGAGAGAACTAGGCAGAAGAGAAGGCCAAACGAATGAAGCCTTGGTCCTGTTACCTGCTGAAGAATATCGTGAAGATGCTGGTATGAGAAGCAGTAGATGAGATTGCATGAGATACTTATATGATCTGCCATTGACATATTCTCCGACTGGATCCATAACAGATCTCCATTTAGTATGCATAGCCCTAGCACTTCAGGCCATATCCCGGGCATGCTGGACAGATTCGGTCTTGGAAACATGGCATCCACCATGGTGTACCAAGAATGATCATGCTCGCCAGCAGAACAATGCAGATAGCCGGATCCAAGCACTCGGCGCGTGTTAAGGAACAAGTGGATGGCGTGCGGAAGAGCATTCGAAGTCCGAGAAGTTACAGGGTGTCCGGACGACGGCTCAGGCGCAAGGCACCTGCATGGCTACTGCTGTACAACCATGTCGGACTTTTTTGAGCCAATGATCAGAGTAGAAGGTTGAAGCAGGTACCGTGAATACCAAACCTTACTCAAATCCAACACCGCGAAATTGATGATTCCTCCTCGCTTCTGCCATGTTGTTCAAATCGTGTCGTCAAACATGCTGTGGAAGCCTGCAAAACCTGACGTACAGAAAGTGGCAGCTCAGAGCAAGAAGTACGGCTCTCCGCTCGGGAAGGCGCAGAAGTTTTATTCTTGGAGCCTCCAAGCTGCCCCAGCGTATCCAAGAAAAATCCAAGATAGAGTGGAAACTGGCGTGAGATGCTAGCTTTGAGCTTGATAGGATGCAGACCTATTTGGGTATAGCGGGACAATTGACTAAGCCGGTAAAAAAAAATGGCGTGAGCCGGCACGAGATGCCTTCATCCTTCTCGCGTGGTACGCCTACTCGTGATAGACATAAAATAGTCAGGCACGGGTATTGGAGGCTTGAGAGAGCACCGTGGTAGAGTTGCGGTAGGATGTATGTGTGGTTTGTGCCTGGAAGACAACAGACCTTATCTTGTCAGATGCAAGGAAACCATCACTAAACGGTTCCTTGCGATGTGGTCGAAGATCTTGTTGGCGCCAATTGCTTGACACGCGTATAGCAAGCTGCTATGGTGCTATTTCATACATACATAACCAAAAATGGACAGAAAGATGATGGCTCCAAGCTTTGCTGTGCATGCGAAGGAAAGTGCGAGTCTCCACAAGGCTGGTGCTGCGGCACGATAGGCGGACTGCGGGTCGCCTTCTCTGTCCAACTAACTTGGCATCGACTAGCACTTTCGCCCACGCCATTGCTATCACATCTTTCTGCTCAGATGAAAGCCCACCAAATTGTTTGCCGCATGGCTCAGGAACAAAGTCATTGTTCGAACAGGAACAAGGTTCAAGCGACAGAGCCCCACACGCGATGGCTTTTGAGGATATTCTCCGCGCCAATCAACACGACCGCCATTGCAAGTCTATCATGCATGTATTCGCTAGAAGCAAAATAGTCTTGCGGCAAGATGCCCGGACAAGAATAGCATGCGGAAATTTTCCTGCTGCATCTCTTGACACCTGAACAATGCATGCATGCTGCTTTGCAGTGCGTGCTGGCTGTACTTGCCTGTTTTCCTTGCTGACTGCAGACTCGCCTTTGCTTGCCCGGTAGGATTCTGCATCCACGCTATCGAAAAATCCTCTGACAGGCAGGCAACACGAGCTTTTTTCCAAAAGCATGTTTTATATCTTCTTGACAGCTCACCATTGCGGCTCTGCGTTTTGAACCGTTGAGCTTCAGGTGAATCCTGGAGATGTGTGCGACCTTGAAACACGAGGGACACGAGGACAACAACGCATTGTTCTGCGACCAACATGCGTTCGTGTCTCTGACTGCAGAGTCTAGAGCGGATGATTGATGGTAGGTCTAGTAGTTTATCCATATCTGCTTCCGAATGGAGGATGAACCACAGATGAGAGTTATGGTTGGGATCCACTTCCACCGATCTCCGCCGAGACATCCACTTCGCCTTCCATCCACTTTCTACGAGTCCTGTGATTTTGCACTCCATACTCCGGTATGGCAAGTCAGAATGTATCTGGCTCCAAGGCTTTCGAATTGGCAACGTACTCGGCACCACCATGTACGAACCGTCATCCTATATCTAATCGTGTCTCCTTCTTGGACCTTCTCGAGCTATCGCAGCCAAGATAGCGACTTCTAACCTCCGAAGCCTCCAAGACCGCGGTCCGAAACTCTTGGTATATGGAGTTCGGCACTCCCGCTCTAAGTTGCTGTGCGAGATCGATTCTCAAATCAGGGACACTACTTACAGAAACCATTGGAAAAGATGGAGCCTTACACACTTTCGCCATACTAAGCAACTCGTAGCGAGCAAACCAGGAGACTCGTCTGCAAGAAAAAATCCAAATGCTCCACGGTACACTTCCGATAATAAAAAAGGCCATCATCAACGTACCACAGTCACATCCGAGGAACCTGCAAGGCGAATGTTACCTCAGGAAGTCCTCGCCGTCAACCTACCATCTCTTCGACAGATAACACTCCTCTAATTAGATAGACCTTACACCTCCGCCTAAGTCGTCTACGGCCAGCTTGAGGGCTATAATGCCTTCTCAATTCAAGTTCTTGGATGTCCATGTCAATGAGAAAATCATATCTCCCCCTAGAGCCAAAGTAGAACACCAAACCAGGTCAATGATCCTATCTCCCCGTTCATCCTCCAATCTTTGTTCTTTCCTCTCGCCATCAGGACATGGAACATCCTTGTTACATGAAACTGAGAAGGGATGGGGAAAGCGGAATGGTTGGAGTAAGAGACAAGTTTATATGTCCCTTGACTATTGCTGTCACTTTCCTCTTCCACCATGCCGTATCACTCACTCGGCATCAAAACTCAGAAAGATTTTTTTTAGACATGAGGACTCATATCAAAACGCAACTATGATTACCAAAAACATGACAATGGGGGTATCTCTACTCTACTCTACTTTTTCAAACTCTGCTCTTTTCCTCGTTTACTTCCTCTACTCCTACACATCTACTCTTACTGCACAATCGCCCTCAAAGCCTGCAACATGACCCCAAACACAACACCCCTCCCAACACCCTCGACCTGCAAACAATCAAACACCCTGCCCAGAGCCTCTCCACTAGCCGCGGCTCCCATGACAGAAGTCAATGCAGCAGGCATACCTCTCTCCACAAGCAACGCCCTAGCCTTGACTCTAAGCGTCTCTTTATCTTCAACACTCATCTCTTTAGGCCATGCTTTGAGCTCTTCCTCGGTGGGTAAGGCATTTTCCCGCATCTTGAGGATTTGAGCTGCGATAGAGGAGTCAGAGGTGGCTGTCTCGATGACATTGGTTTGGATGAGTTGGCGAATGGCTTCAAGTTGTGGGTTTCCAGGGCGAAGCAGGAAAGACTTTGCGGCATTTAGGAGGGTGCGGCGGATATTCCATGCAGAGGACAACGTGTAGAGTTCAGTGATGACGGCGAAGAGTAATTCGACAGCGACTTGTGTTTCTTGTTCTGAGATTGGTGGTGTGACTTTTGTTATCTTTTTGGCGGCTGGGGTTGTTACTGGGGTCGGGTTTGCTGTGGTCGGTTCGGGAGATCTGGATATGCGTGGGGATCTTGTGCCTGAGGTTGGGTACTTTGATGCTGGAGTGCGTGTTTCGGGTGAGCTGTAAGTCATGTCGTCGCTGACTCTGGCAGGCTGATGCGACACTGCCGTAGGCGAAGCATAGTCGTCAGGGATATCGGACGGCGGGGGAGGGAGGTTAAGTCCAGTGTCAAGTTTTGAGAGATCAGCAGAAGAAGAAGTCCGACTCACCTCTCCGCTCCTCGGTCCCTGATAAGAAGTACGAGGTGATGAGAAGCTGGGTCTTGTCTTCCAATCAACCGACTGCTCGACCTTGTGGCCTGGCTGAGCGGCTGAGGGGACACGCTTTGACAGCGATGGGGCACGGGACAGAGGTGCAGGTACACTTCGGACACTGTCAGTGCTCTGTCTTTCGACTCCAACATTGCCCATGCTACCCATATAGCTGTCTTCGAGGAAGCTTGCGGGATTCAGCGAGATGGATGAGCGACTGGCGTTATGGTTCGAAGCGACAGAGTTGCGCTTGCCGCCACCAAGGATGCTGGTGACACCACCGAAGATTGCCTTGCCACCACCAGCAACTTGAGTGGGAGCTTTGGTCAGTGTGTCCATCATGCTCTTGCCCATCTGGTCGAAAGCAACAGGGGTAGGCCAGCCAAAGCCCTTGCTTCCTCCAGGTGAGCGAGAAGCACCCCCATCCTTGTCCAAGAAACGCTTCATGCCCTCGCTCTCAGCAAGTGGTTGCAGACGGACTGCATCGTTCAGATAACGCTCCAGATCAGTCCTGAGAGTGTTCTTAGTGTTGTTCTTCCAAGTAGGAAGGGTGGCATGAGAGTCGGTGAAGCGAGTTCCGGTGATAACGGAGATACGACGGAGGACCTCATGAAGAGTTTCAAAATCAGTGTACTTGCGCACAATCATCCAGCCAGGAAAGGATGATGACGTAGGTTCGATCTGGATCATGTAGTCGACATTCGGCTTTGATCGCATAATTGTCTTATTGCCAGGTGAGGCGTCGTCAAAGATATTGATGGAAGCATTGTGGAGAGTCAAGACAGGCGGAGGCTTGAGACGAAGCTTGTCTTCCTGACTTGAAAGAGCAGTTGGACTTGTGGCAGGGAGGATTTGATCGAAGCTCGTAAAAGGCTTTCTGGAGTCCTCAGACTGTCTATCGGTCGGAACAGCAGTCGGGGATGACTTGGTGACTTCGGATTTTGTATTCTCTTCATGATCGCCCTGAGATGACGAAGGAGTCATGATGCCTTGTGTGGTCGTCTCCGAGACGTCACCGCTGCTAGGGATGACTGGCGACTCGTTGGTAGATTTCTTTGCTTCTTCTTCGGCGATCAGCTGACTGAGCCTTTGGGCTTCTCTCATAGCCTCGTCCATGGCTTCCTCGGCCTTGTTACGGCTTGCCTTGCGCCTGTGTTCGCGAACAGCTTCGGGACTGGACGATGACTTGTCGGCTTGTTCATCGACGGTGACTTGCTTCTTGACGCCTGCGTTGTTGGCGACAGCAGAACCTTCAACACCGGCGTCAATGACTTCCATGAGCTCTGGCTCGCCATCTTCGAGAAGATAGACAATCCATTGGTTGATGAACTCGGGCTTGGAACAGCTATCGACTGTCATGGACAGGACCAGCTTGGCCAAAACTTGCTTGAGGAAGATTTGAGCAGGAGCACACATGTATGTCTTATTATCGAGGTATTTGAGGAGAATGTCATTTGCGACAACCTTGAGTTTCTTCTCTTGGTGCTTCGCATCCATGATGCTGGCCAGACTGCTCTCAGGCTTCATCTCGAGGTATGTCTGGATTGCGTCTTCCGAGGTTGCATTGGGCGAGGCGTTCAAGGCGGCGGCGAGTTCGTTGAGGAAGACGATGACGATCGAGGACGAGTTGGTAACAAAATCGAGGAAGGTATCGACGGGTCGCTTTCGAGAAAGATGGTTGGAGAGGGAGACGAGGAAGCCGACCAGAGTCTGACGACAGGCCATTGGGAACGAGTCTTCGCCAGGGAGGATCGGCGTGTACCACCAGCTGCAATATCTCAGTCAGGAGTACCGGAGGTGGAAGACTAGAGGATGACATACTTGACATAGTCGCGGATTATGGCATCGGTGAAGTGGTTCAAAGCAGCACCCGTGTCTGGACGGAAGGAGGAGAAGTCTGCCTTTCTGTTGATCACGGGCTTGACCTCATCATCTGAGCCTTCAGTGTCTGAGCCGTCGGCCTTCTTCTCGTTCCATTGCAAGACGCGTTGGACAACCTCAAGGCCAATTTCTCGTCTCTTCTTCTGTTCAGCGTCCTTTGCGCTGAGTCTATCAGCCGAAGAGTGTGCAGAGTCCCATGTCGCGTGCAGTGCTATGCCACCGACAAGTCCGATCAACAACAGTCCAACTCTTCCTAGGATGAAGTAAGTCGTGGCACTCAAGCCTACAAGGCAGGCTCCGAGAGTTTCATTGCTGGCTTGCGAGAAGAAGCGTAGAGCTCTGTCGGTAATGTCTTGGATCTGTGTGGTTGCGGCTGAGGCAGTTGCTGCAGCTGGCTGATTACAGTCGGGTCTTCCATCGTCTTGCTCGTTTCGTGTAACTTTATCGTGGACGGGCATAGCACTGCTGACATTGTCGTTATTGATGATATTCTTCATAGCGTCATCCGTAGAGGCCGGCTGCGTCGCGTGCAAGGCGTCCATTGTTGTTCATGCGAAAAAGACTTCATAAGAAAAAGGGAAAAGAGCTGTGATTCATTCTTCATCAAAGGAGATTATAATTAGAGAAATGCTGCCACAGCTCCTGAAACGGTTGTAACTGTCCAGCATGCAACTGCTGTGGATCGTGATGTTCTCCTTCCACCCTTCGGCGTCCCTGCCTGCCCGTTGACGCGTCGGCTTCCCTAGAAAGCTTCGACATGACTCGCTCTGCAAAGCGGCCTCTCTCTCTTGGCATGCGCTATGACTCCTTTGCCAGCCAAACTTCCTCCTATCAAAATAATTCTTGACCTCGTCGTCGCCTATCACATTGCGCAAAACTTCAACATGCCTGGCCCAAACCTCAATCCCCAAACTCCTGAGGAGAAGTATGAGCTGAGTATGTTCTCACTTTCTCCCGAGGGAAAGTAATGCTGACCACTCGATATAGTCGCTCATGGCCTCCAGGAAGTTATGAATGGAGTATTTGGCCCCAGTTATCATCAGAATTTACGCAGTCACTTACAAGAAAAAGGAAATCATCAAAGAGGTCTTGGAGAAAGGAGAAAGGCCCCTGTCAATTTACTGGGGTGACTAAGACCGCATCTCGTTCAACTAGATGGCTTTGCTGACTTGACCTCCGCTCCTCAGGTACTGCTACAACAGGTTAGTCCTCGTTCTCCATACCATCTAGTTTGTAGGAGAGGGGTTTGGAAGGACCGAATTCGAGGAACGAAGTTGAGGTGATCTGGCAGCACCTAATGTGATTGCACTATGGCCTTTGTATGGCTGTTTACTTCCTTGTCTCGGTTTCTTCCTTCTCCCGGTTCTCCCCTGCCCGTGTCACGCTTCCTTTGGTTCCTTTCGCCGTGCTCCTCAATCGCTATACCTAATTATGATCGCTTCTTTTCCGAGACTAACGATGATCAGGTCGCCCCCATGCAGGATACTTGGTACCCGCCATGCAGATTGCTAGCTTTTTGCAGGCCGGCTGTAGTGTCAAGGTCTTACTTGCCGACGTATGTTGCTTTTTTTTCTTTGGCTTCCACAATTTGCTAACCATTGGAAAAGATCCACGGCTTCCTCGACAACTGTAAGCCATTCGTCTAGAACCGATAGCGTCTTGTGCATGGTGAAGTCCGTTGTTGACCGTTTTGTAGTGAAGGCGCCTATCGAGCTGGTCAAGTTCAGAGCTGAGTACTACCGACACTGCATCACAAGTCTCTTGAAGGCTGTCGGCGTGAACATTGAGAGGTCCGTGGTCTCTACAAGACAACTAGTGCAGCATGATTGAGGCGCCCCCAAGTGCTATTGCGCTGGCCACTGCTGTTTCATGTCCAAAACTCCTGGATTTTCCTATGCTGACATTAGCCATGCAGACTGGAGTTTGTGCTCGGATCGTCCTACCAGTAAGTAACCGTTGTTATAGAAGCCAGTGGTGCCGGTGAGTGAAACGAAGAAATGCTGAGCACCTCGATGACGCGTTACCTTCGGGTCAAGGAGTTCATCGTTCTGCTGTTTGAGATGACTTACCGTAGCCTTGTGTGCTTATTGGCGTCTCTGGCTTTTTTGGAGAACATGCTTCGTCTCGGTTTGAGAAACATTTTTGACATAATATAGGTTGACTCCCGAATTTAACATGGACATGTACCGTCTGCACTCTGTCGTGTCCTCTCACGATGCTAAGAAGGCCGGGTGAGTCGTCAGAATACACACCACAAGTCAAGCCACGATCTGCCTAGACAGGTCCTGGAGTGGAGATGTTCCAAAAGCAGACAGAGTCTGTTGGGGTGATATGCAACCGACGAGCACGCCCTATGGAGACACGTGGCTTGTGGTGGTGTATCAATCCCGCGAAATTTACATATTGCTAACTTCTGCAAGTGCCGAGGTTGTCAAGCAAACAGGTCAGTACGAATCTGCTCACGTCAAGACTACATCCGACTAACGACTGAACAGACAATGCTCCTTTGAGTGCACTGATCGTATGATTGTCCCTGGACATGTTCATCGGAAGTTCTAGAACGCTGACCTCTACCAGTACCCCATCATGCAATGCCTCGATGAGCAGTGTGAGTGGTCATTTTTCTGGTAGCAGATCTTGATGCTGACTTCTTCACAGACCTAGGAGTTGACTGTCAATTGTAAGTCTCTTCATGATGTCCTTGATGGGTTTCTTCTCTTTCAATCCCTGTCCCTTCTTCGTTTTTCTTGATCCTGTCCCTCTCTATTCTTTTCATTCTTTCTCCTCCTTGTCTCGAATCAGTTGGTTTCGACTTGCTAATCAATCACCAGCGGCGGCGTGGATCAACGCAAGATCTTCGCGCTTTCCAAGGAGGTACTCCCAAAGATTGGCTACCGTGAGCGTGCTCATCTCATGAACACCATGGTTCCAGGTCTCACTGGTATGTAGCTCAAGACGCAACCCCAACAACCCCACCAGTTTGCTAATTGACGAAGGCGGCAAGATGTCGAGTTCCGAACCCGACTCAAAGATTGATCTCTTGGATGGTCCCGAGATCATCAAGAAGAAGATCAAGAAGGCAGTAAGTCTCACTCTTTTCCACTTGCTTTTTCTTTGGCGATTACCTCTCCTTCAAAACACTAACATGAGTGTTTCAAGGTCGCTGCACCCAAGGTCGTTGAGGACAACGGTATTCTCAGCTTCGTTGAGCACGTCCTCCTCCCCGCAAGTGCCCTGAAGAATGGCGAGCCCAAGTTCGTCGTTGAGCGCAGAGAAGGCGAGCCTCTCGTCTATGACTCTATTGAGAAGATTCACGCCGACTACCGCGAGGACATCCTATCTCCCCAAAACCTCAAGCCTGCCGTTACCGATGCCCTGACCAAGCTTCTCGCTCCCATCCAATCAGACTTCGAGTCCAACGAGGAGTGGCAGAAGGTTGAGAAGCTGGCTTACCCTCCTCCTCCTGCACCCGAGAAGAAGGTCAAGGTCAAGAAGGACAAGGGCTCCAAGTTCCCCGGTGCCGCCAAGAAGGATGTTGTTGCTCAGCCTGATGGTCATGTTGAGGGTCCTGGCAGTGCTGAGGTCAATGTTGGTAAGGCTGAGGAAGCGCTGAAGAACTTGGATGTTGAGCAGAAGTAAAATTCAGCCTGACTACAACACTACGGAATCCGATAAACAACATCGCGCATATCGCAGAAAATAAACAGAGGAGGACATTCAAAAATTCGTTGATGCTTGGCAGATCAAAAAAGAAAATGCAATTTGTTTGCCCGCACCCTCACGAAAAATTGCTGTCACCAAGAAGAGAAAGAAGTCACAAACAGCATCTCTGCCAAACCCAAAAGCGATGTCTTTCATATTTAGAGGTCACTCTTTCCCTAAGTTCAGGGCAGAATTGCGTGCTCGACGGATGGATTTACGTGACAGGCGGGGTCACCACATCTCGTCTTCCCACCTATCCATCTAACATCACTCTGCAAAGCTATGGCGACATGTACACTGCTTCCGTTTCGCTATGCCAATCGCTCAACAGACTTTGGTTATCTAAGCAACTGTGGATTTGTTGATCCTTCTGCTGAGGATGAAATGCTTGCGTGCTATGTGCGATATCTGTGAGAGGTAGTATTAATGTCTCCATCTTCTTGCTTCGAGTACATTGCTTTTTCTTTCTTTTTCCTGCTCTATTCGTACAAGATAGAGTTTAGAGATGATGGATGTAAAAACAGTAGCGATCATAGGTGCAGGTGTCAGTGGTGTATCTTCCGCCATCCATCTCAAGAATGCCGGACTTGAAGTTACAGTCTTCGAACGAGGCGATGTCGCTGGAGGCGTATGGTATGTTCTTCACTCTTGAACTGTCTCGGTCCTTTTCTTACCCTCCTCCTATCCGAAGTTGTAGTCAAAGATAGAGCTTACATTTCACATCAGGGTGTACAACAATCGCACAGCACTCGAACCTTCATACCCATCAACCATACCGTCGACAGGCGACTCACCTACTTTCGACGCTCTTCTCAAAGCCACGAGTAGAGGAGCAAGAAGAGATAGTCCAGTAGACCAGGACTCTTTCGACGCCAAAAATAGCGTGGACAACAACGATTTGAAAATCCTCCACGCACCACCCGGGTATGCTTTTTTCCCTTCCTTTTTCTCGTTGTCCCGTAAATACCCTACTGACGGACTGACCTTTATCAGTCCTTGTTACATCGGTCTCCGCAACAATGTCTCGACTCCGGAGATGAAACTTCGTACCCATGATTGGCCACCTCAGACTCCGGACTTTGTGACCCATGATGTGCTTGCGACATATATCCAAGACACCGCTGCTGCGAATGATGTTTTGTCAAACATATCGTTCCGGACTCGAGTGGATAAAGCCGAGAAGAAAGGGAGTAAGTGGGAAGTGCAGAGTTCGAAACTAGTGGATGGGGAGATTGAAAGAGCCGTACAGGTAAGCTCAGCCACGGATAGATAAACGAGGTGATGCTGACCAAGAAATAGCAATTCGACGCCCTCATCGTCGCATCAGGCCATTACCACGCACCCAACATCCCAGACTACCCTAACCTACCAGCTTGGAAATCCGCCTTTCCCTCCCGAATCTCGCATTCAAAAGTCTATCGCTCAGCCACTCCGTTCGCAGGGAAAAACGTCCTTGTCATCGGAGCAGGGGTTTCAAGCACAGATATCTGTCGCGAATTAGGCAGTGTCGCCGCGAAAATTTGGCAATCGAGCAGAGGAGGCGAATTCGATTTGCTGCCGTCAATGTTACCGGAAAACTGCACTCGCGTGGGTGGAATCGCCAGCTTTTCCACCTTAACATCTACCTCGCTTCTCCACAACACAGATCCACTTCCCGGCTCAGTGATCCTCTCTTCCGATGAAAAACTCAAGGATATCCATCACGTTATTCTGGCAACAGGCTACCACATGTCCTACCCATTTCTCCCACACCTTCACGATGACAATGCAACTCCAGAACACGCCAGCGAGAAAATCCTAGTGACAACAGGACAAATAACACATAACCTCCACAAAGACATCTTCTACATCCCGGACCCCAGCTTGGCTTTCATAGGCGTACCCTACCACGTAGCGACCTTTTCCCTCTTCGAATTCCAAGCCATGTGTGTGGCCGCCATATTCTCTGGTTCCTCCTCCTTACCTGGACAGCAGGAGATGAGAAAGGAATATGTTGAAAGGATTGCTAAGAAAGGTGTGGGAAGGGCTTTTCACAGTCTAAAGGATGATGAGGGGGAGATCAGGTATGTGACGGATATGGTGGGGATTGTGAATCAAGGGAAGAAGGAGGGGGAGAAAGTGAAGGGCCATTCGAAAGAGTGGTTTGAAGCTTATGGGAGAAGGTTAATTAGGATGAAAGAGACGAGGGGGAGGAAGGTGGAGGTGGAGGTGAAAGAGAAAGTCGCAGGACCGGCGGAAGCAGTGCACAATGAGAGGGTCAAGTAGGGTCAAACGATAATGTGGAGTGATGGGTTTTCTTTCTAGAATTTGTCTTCATCTCGGCTGCTGATAGATTCACGGAGTACGTCACGATTCTGCAGACTACCCTTGTGGCATACATATGTTGCTTGATTTCCTATTTCTTGCCCGCCGCGATGGTGATGAGAGAACAGATGATGAACCAACGGCTTGGGTGAGTGTGAAGTAATTGGTTAGAGATAGTCTATAGATTTGTCTTTGCTCATGCTTTGGAGTATTCATGATTTAGCCCGTTGGTTTAAGAGTGTATCCATGATTGTGCACATTGTTTTGTGACCTTCTGGTATTCGACTGATCATTCCCTAGGCGCCGTGATGGCAGGGAGGTGTTGGGTGGTGAATCGACCACGGGTCTTAAAGTTTATACCGTCAACTTTCGCGTGCAGTGGCTAACACTGTTCGGTCCGTTCTTTCGAGTCTTGTGTGCCAAAGTGGAGACGATTCTCCTGGAGTCGGACAGTGCATCGACCACAGTAGAGATTTATCGTTTCTGTCATGGGGCTTGTAGCGTTTCCTTCTGCGATTTGATCCTTTTCACATGAGAGGCATGTGTTCGTGCCCAGCTACTCTCACCATGACCCCAATTTGCGTGTAGTACAAGTGTAATACGATTGATAGCGTATAGAATGTGCATACAGCGTCGGCGGTCTCGTGTGGTTCTAAGTGAGGTTCCGTCTTAGTTGTAGGCGAGCAAGAAGTGACGGCCAGAGGAATGGTGTCATTGACGACATTTTACAGCTTTGCGGCAAATTTTGATACACAGTGGAGCAGGTCAGTGCGGACAGACGTCTCACTCAATGGTTTGACCCTCGCGCTAGACAAGGAGCCAAACAAACCATCCTCCAATAGTGTGAACATGGGAGCTTTTCGGTTGCCAGAAGAGAAGAAACACAAATGCATTTTACCAAAGCCTCGTCAGCCTTTGGTGGCCGCCCTTGTCGGTGCGATATTCGTAGTTTATGGGCATGCCATTTTCTGGCCATGCTTTCGCAAAGCAGTTGTGGCAATCATATACTGCAGGCTCTTCTGGTAATGAACCCTTTGGTTCTGAGCAGTGTGACAGTCGTTTCCACCTGATATAAACACAATCAGTAATGTCCCCAATGATGTAGAACGTTCCACGGTTTTGGAGAAATCACAGCCAACACCTGTAGGCGCTCGCTGCAGGCACATCTGTGGCACGCGGACTGCCACAATACATGCTGGGGCTGTACATCCAGCCGACGGCCGACCGCTGCTGGCTGTAGGGTCATGGATACTGTGTCTGATCATACGTACCACAGCTTGACTCCATTATGGTATGGCCTATGGCACGTGGCACAGTCATGTTCGACTCTTTCTGTCGTAATGACTGCCTCGTGAGTCGTCCAATCCACTTGGGTTCCATTGGCAACGACACGAATGACCCAGTTGCACAATGTATGTTTCTTTCGGGTCGATTCGTTGGTAGCCCATAGTTTTTGGCAATATTCACGACCCTTTTGGCGCACTTTTTCGTATGCCTCGGGATCCGATTTAAGTCTTTCCCTCCGCGATCTGGCCCATTCGCGCCACTTTGCACGACGTTCTTCAAGTGCTTCTTGTTGCTCAGTAGACGCAGAATAATTGAACGTGCCAGTAAAGAGACGCCGTGGTGCCTGGGTCCGAGATAGCGACCAGAAAGAAAGTCCACTCCTGATTGGAAGAGAAAACGCCGCGACAGCTCTAGCGGTCAGCTTGAAAGACATCCTCGTTTTCTTCTGTGATTTGAAGGATGGATTCGCCAGGTAATGTGCAGCAGAATCTCCGCAGAGAAGTTCCCCGTCGCGTGACCTTTGAATTAGACAAGTCAGGAGGAGTATTCGATGGTTCTGATGAGAAAGCTCGCTGTAGTGCCGATGCTGGTTGGGAGAAAAGTGTGAAGTTGGTGTCGGACGCCCTAGTACAAAAATTTGATGTTGTTGGTATAGATGAGAGAAGCGCTTGGACAGGCGGAAGCGGAAGCACTTTCCCGAAGTGAGATTTAAGGTCCGACTAGCGCGACTCTCAGCTCGATTACGTAAGCATACTTCCTCCTTTCTCAACTCCATACCATCACTTGAGTCACTTGGTCGTAAGCAAAAGTATTGCAGGAAGATCGTTTAACGTCAAACCCACATCAAGTTTGGAGAGAAGTCCGATCGAAATCATGGCCAACAACAACCCATGGCTTTACGCAGGCCTTTCCTCCTCATTCCCAAATATCGAAAAAGCAGACAACAACAAAACAAGGATATGCCTGCCAACGCCAGATCCATGGGACTCTCCAAAAGAAACACCACCTCAATCTTGCAAAACGTTCATGAAACCTTCATCACCGTCAACAACAACATCACTAGATGAAACACCGATCTCAGAAGCTCAACAAAACTCAATCATGGTCTTCAGATACAAAGAGAGAATCTATGCGATCGAACAGGCTTGTCCGCATCAAGCTTATCCATTGACTAGGGCTTCATTGTCAGATATCGAGGATTTTGGCATTGTGTTGTCGGTGGGGATTACGTGTCCGAAGCATGGGTGGACGTTTGATTTGCATACAGGAGAGGCGGATGTGAGTCGGTATAAGCTGGGACTCTATGAGGTAGAGATGAGAGATGGTGAAAATGATGATGAGCAAGTTTGGGTCAGGAAGAAGGAGAGAAAGCGGATTGGTTGAGGAGGGAGGCTAACGCGAAAGGTTATGCGTGTTGATATGGCAACTGCAAAGCAGATTGGTATTGTTCATCATCTGGATCACTATTCCAGATACTCGACTGTTCTCTGCCTTGGTCTCTATTGATCCCGATGCCTTCCGCCTGAGTTACCGAACCATGAGTCGCAAAGATACTGTAATTATCGGTTTACGCATGACTTTCTGGGAACTGTGCTGCATGAATCACAAGGGGCATCATCGCGGACCTTCCAGCAAGTTCCCACTTGAATCCGTTTGGCACCGACCGAGGACAGGATCTCGTCGCAGCCTGGGTGTCAGTTTCTACGGCACCAGTGTTGATCAGCTTTGTCTATGGCGAGGAAGAGAGAAGCACAACAGGTCAGTGAATCCTTGATGCCCTCCTTTTGCTCTGGAAGATGATGTCGATGTGTAGGCCGTTGACTTGGGTCCAGAGATCTAGACTGGCCTGGAAGTATCATCGACCTCCTCGCTTCCATGCTTCTCGCTGCACACACTTGACATGCTGTTTATGAACTGAAGGCGCGGCATGGCACAAGAGATGATTTCGGCTCATGGCCGAGTCTGATGATCGCCAGACACTCCATCTCTGCCAAACTCATGCATCTCCTACTCCAGAATAATTACAAAACATCTCTACACCTACCTCATTCGCAAGTCCAAGACAAAGTGAAGGCTGACGAAAACCGCCAAGGCCCCTGGACTTTCTCACTCAGACTTTATATAGCCAAAACGCAGAAACAAATCAAATCACAAGAAAGAAAGGGCATATGGCGCAACCGTTAGAGCGGCCGTCATATGCGGTGGGCTGAAGAGACAGTGTCAACAGACATTGTGGACGGAAACCATTCGGGCGGGTTCAAGTCAGTCCAAACTACCGGAGACTGAGGCGACTCGAGAATACTTTCTTTTTTTGCCCTTTTTGTATGAAGACAAGGGTATGATGTAGATCGCGCTATGTGTGGTGATGAGGTCTAAGGTTTTGGGAGTGTAAGGCTTGTGTAGGAGGAAGTGTGCTTTGTTTGTTTGGTATGTGTGGGTGCGAGTTCGACCCACAGATAGACTTTTCTCTTTTTGATCTTTTGGGACCTTTATGATGTTTCTGAACCCGCATTGTTCTTTCCCCTCGCCTGCTCTTATCACTTCCACCTGGCAGAGTTTCGTCTTGTGTTTGTCACTTGAAAGAGACGCTGGTCTAATCCTCCAGCATTGCTGCTCTCCTCGACCCCTGAACTGATAGTCATTGCAAGGTCCAACCCCAAAACCCCACTCGGCGGCGGGAAATGGCAATCTGCTCTTCCCTCTCCCATTCCCTGTCCTCTTCACGCAGCTGCCGCAAAGTCCTGAACAGTCCCGCCTCGCACCAAAAGTTTTCCCGATCAGGCAGTACAATTTGCTCCAAAAACAAAGTGGTCTCTTGGAAAGTGACACCGTCAAACCCTTCCCTTGACGAAAAAGCCTGCATGGTCTTCGAGAAAGCCTCCTCAAAGGGCAGAGGGTCACGGCTGCTCCCTCCACCAAACCTCAACGATACGGCGTGCATATCGCGGATAATCTCATTTTAGTTTTGAAGTCGATGACGGCGATAAGTTTGCACCCTCCCACTCGAACCAATAACCAGTACACGCAATTTCCAGAACCTGAGCTGGACCATCATCCTTTACCCATGCTGAGGCATCGCCATCTCTGTATGTAGCTTCCCGATCCCACAGTACATATTCTACTAATCTTCAAAGCTACCGCGTAAGGCTTCAACGTCATTTCTGTAAACACACCCGCTTTGATGTAAAAGGTGGATTCAGAAGCAGTGGGTTTGTGGACTTTGGTGCGTAGTTGTCGGGGACACGGCGGTGAGACGGGTGATGGGATCGAGATCGCTGGTGGGGTCGAGGGTGATTTCCATGTAGACGGTTTTGTTGCCGTCGGAATGGAGGAGTTGGTTGTAGATCTGGTAGCGGAGTTCAAGGGGTAGATGGAAGAGGGTCGGGGCTGTGATTTGGAGTTGTCGGGATGAATCATGTGGAAGGGACGCGTGTAGGCATACTTTGAGTTGAGTTGTCTGACATTGTAGTGGTGGTGTCGGTGGTTGAGGGATCCATGGTAGGAGCGTCCATCCTTGTGATGATTCTTGAAGCCGATGTGTCTGACACCCTGGTGGTTGAAATATCCCTTGAGTGGATCGTCCATGCTTGTGGCGGAAATGCCTCGCTGATGGATGGTGTGACAAGTTGTAAGATGAAGATACAGAGGAAGGGAGAAGAAGTGAGAGGGGATGCTTGAAAGAGAATTGTGCAAGAGCCTAACACGCTCAGACAAAACTTCGATGGAATCGTATCCGAAAGAATGTTGTGTTGTTTGTCGTCTTCAAAACATCAAGCTTGTCCTTCAGAAAAAGGAAGACACACGGAGATCGAAATTTAACAAACAAATCTACAACACGACATCTCACAAAAATCTTTTGTCAAGTCCGGAACGCTCTAGAAAGGCTGTGTGTTTTAGTAAGTAATCGAACACGAGGGACAGGTAATCGGTAAAGGGATGAATATGGCTGAGAATTTGTGCTTTGTTGAGTTGATCTGATCTAATTGCCCAGATCCACATCCTCATCGCTCCACTTGGCATCTTCGTACAAGTTGCGACTGCTCCCCGAAGGATCCAATTTTTCGAAAAAGTCTGGAGGTACTGTGGGGGTATATCTTCGTTCTTTTTCCCGATTAACTCCTCCGAAGCCTGCACCGTATGTGACTAGCATGTCTGTTGATGTGGGGAGGTGGAACGGCAGTAGTAATGCTGGATCCACCAAGTTGCCCTCTGGTGAGTCGTCCTCGTCCTTTCTCAGAACAGGAGGCGGTGCAGGTGTATTTGGCTTGTCTCCCTTCGCGGCTGGGGCTGGAAGTGCAGGTGAGTTGGCTTCTGCTGCTTTGTGGGCGAGTTGTCGTTTGCTCTCCTCGACATGCTTTAACGCGGCCTTTGGTAGGATCTTCTCACCGACCTCAGCACGATAGTATTTGACAGCATGTAGCAATTGCTTTGTCGTCAATGCAGGCAATTGTTGTAAAGTGGTATCTAGTGCCTCGTCATCTTGACCTAGTGATGAAAAGCATTGCAGCCACTGCAGAAGCTGTACTACCGGCGCCAGGTGCTTGCGTGCAGCTTCAACAATGTTCTCTCCAGTAGCGTTCAAACTTCCGTTCTCGTAGTGCTCCGGAGCTCTGTTGTTTGTTCTAGCCCAATCCTCGAGCTGCGAGATGTTCATACGGATTTGCATTGCTTTTGTCCTCGCAAGATAACGCTTGTTTGACATGATGCGGTTGAAAATCTCAGCACTAAGCCAATACAAAAGCTGGGACATGACTTGTGTGGTAATGACCGAATGCACATCGTACAGGTCGAGCACGAATAGTGTAGAGGATAGAAGAGAAGTGATATTTCTCGGCGACACCTGTGCGCGACGCTTGGGTGAAGGTGGCCTGAAGCGCTTCTCCAATGGTTCCGGAGCCTTCACCTTCGGTTTTGATCGCAAGAATTTCCATTCATTTTGAAACGCGATATCCTCAAATCCTGGAATGGTTTCGTGATCCAGCATGGCCTCATCCAGAACCTTGTCCATCCGTCTTTCGGCATCACGGATGATTAGTACATATATCTCGTGAATCAATTCGGCCATCTTAGCCTGGAATGTTGTGGTTACTTCTGACAAACCAGTATCTTTCTTCAGGTAATACAATAGAAGGGTTGTGTTGGACATCCAGAAAGCAAGCATAGTCATGTCCCACTGATGCTTTTCAACAACTGCGTAGATCTTGTCCTGAGCCGCATTGAGCCACTCACTCAACAACTCTTGGCTAGAGTGGTAGTGTGCATATCTGGCTCCGAGGAAAATAATGTTGGCGGGTATAGGTTTTTGAGATGGCGAGCGCTGAGGGGTCATCTCTGTGACGACAATGTTAAGAATGCGATCCGAGTCGTTCTCCTGGAAGACAAACATCTGGTCATTGAGACATCTGTCCCAAACAAATTCTTGAGGATCTTCAAATTCGTCTGCAGATTCCGGTTGTTCATCCAGGCCGAGGTTGCCGAGATCAACTTCAAGGTTCATTGCGCTCTCCATCATCATGCGACGCTTCATCTCGTTCTCGGCCATTTCCTCCTCGAATCGGTCCTGCGAGAAACCAGCATTGTAGAAGTCGTCAGTCACACCAGCATTTCCGATGGTGTAGCCGCTGTCGTTCAAGTATTCAGACATGTCGCTGTTCGGTGCGACGAAGTCGAGAGCAGTCCTTCCAGTAGATGACTGAATCTCGGTCGAGGCTCCATGATCCAGCAGAATCTTTGCGATATCCTTATGTCTGTTTGTCATGGCCCACATGAGGGCACTCCACTGATTGCGATCTTGCTTATCCACCTCTGCGCCAGCGTCCAACAAGGACATGACTACCTCTTTATGACCGAAGCAACTGGCATAGACCAAGGGAGGAGTGCCTTCCGAGTCCACGGCGTTCACGTCGATATAGAGAGCGGCGCTGCCTCTGACCAAACGCTTTATGCGGCCGACGTCGCCATTGCTTGCAGCCATGAAGAGGAAGTCTTGTAGCATTTGTCGCTTCTCGCCGTCGGACAGATTCTTGTCATTCACAATGTTGTCTTCGGTGCTTTCCACATCATCGTCGTCCTCGTTGCTTCGGACCTGGGTTGCCAACATGTGGGCCAGCCTGGTGTCGTGCTCAGCCAAGTCGTGCTCGGAGGGGTCGAAGTTGTCGGGCTCGTTCAGGGAGAGGTTGAAGTTGTTCGATTGGGCGATGGTAGGCGCGGTAAGGAATTGCGACTGGCCTGGCGAGCGTGGTCAGTGGATGGGATCAAGCAGTTCAGGCAGCAACATACCTTGCCAGGCATCATAGTATTCGGTCTCGACATTGCCGTAGCCAGAGAAGGTCCTGCGGTCGTCGAGTGAGCGAGGTAGGTCGGCGGGCAGCTCGCGTGGTTTGGGCAGCTCATCGAAACCATGTTCTTCCTCGAGCTCGTGATCACGGTTGTTGGCATCCATGGTGACGGGTGTCTATGAGTACAGAGAGTTGGCGGAAGAGAGGGGTCGGACGCATGCGACGCTCATCGCAATGCTGTTTGGATTAGATCTTGTGCGACAAGGAAGATTCAGTTGGCAAGAAGCAACGACAGCGACATGGTGCGACAGAATTGATTGCAGACGTTATACGATAAACACGCAGCTGGCCAGCATCATCTCCCACGCTCGCTTCTCCCTTCTCCCTTCTCTCCACTCGAACAAGTCTAGAGTCCGTGCGGGAGCTGTCTAGACCATCAAGACACCTGCGAAACGACCACATTTCGATAAAACCTCTCACGACTTTTACCTATCTCCTTCTGTCGCATAGTGCTATCACTCGAATAAACCTCTGAGTCAAGGTAAAGCTCTGCTGTGGTGTCTATCATCTCAGTCCGAGACATGATTTGGTCTCCCCGCCATGGTGCATGGCGGGCCAAAGTTCCGGCGCAACGTCACAATTGCTATCGATAGGTGATCCTCTCCGATCAACCATTTCGCATGTGTTAAGCATTTGTCGTGTCTGCCATCGCTCTTTCCTTTCTCAATCACCATCTCACTCTCGTGACCTTCTCAAATTTATACCCCACCATACCACACGTCACCCCAGGGCTCGAGGTCCAGTAAACACCCGAGTGTACGCTATACCAATCTACACAACATGGCTTCAGAGAAGAGAAGCGAGCGCGGCATTCGCATCGCCATCGATCGCGGTGGTACAGTGAGTAAACTTGTCTATCTATAGCAACCTACTAACTGTGCTACCATAGTTCACCGACTGTGTCGGCAACCCCGGCTCTGGCAAGATGGAAGACGATGTCGTTCTCAAGCTACTCTCAGTAGACCCCCAAAACTACGACGACGCTCCGCTAGAAGGCATTCGTCGCTTGCTCTCCAAATTCACCGGCAAAGACATCCCTCGAGGCGAACCGCTAGATACGACTAAGATTGAGAGTATTCGGATGGGTACAACAGTAGCAACCAACGCCTTGCTAGAAAGAAAAGGGGAAGACATTGCTATGATCGTCACAAAAGGCTTCAAAGACTGCTTAGAGATCGGCAACCAAAGCAGGCCCAACATCTTCGATCTCGCTATCAAAAAGCCAGAAGTTCTCTACAAAAGAGTTGTCGAGATTGACGAGAGAGTTACGCTCGAAGACTACGCCGAAGACCCTACAAGAAACACGACGGAAGCTAAGGCCATAAAGGATGCTGGCGAGGACGCCGAGCTAGTCAAGGGTCTATCAGGTGAGGCCGTCCGTATTCTCAAGAGACCCGACCACGAACAAATACGCAAGCAATTGCAAGAAGTCTTTGACTCTGGTCTCAAGAGTATCGCCGTCTGTCTCATGCATGGCTACACCTTCCCACAACACGAGGCATTGATTGGCAAGATTGCTAAGGAGATTGGCTTTGAGCACGTTTCCTTGTCCCACGAGTTGATGCCTATGATCAAGCTTGTACCTCGCGCTACATCCGCCTGTGCTGATGCTTATCTTACCCCTGCCATCCGCAAATATATTGATGGCTTTCAGAAAGGATTCGAGGGTGGACTAGGCACTGCCAGTGTCAAAAAGGAAGAAGGCGCAAGGGGTGCCAGATGCGAGTTCATGCAATCAGACGGTGGTTTGGTCGATGTCGACATCTTCAGTGGTCTCCGTGCAATCCTATCAGGGCCTGCTGGAGGTGTTGTCGGTTATGCCTTAACCTCGTACGACCCTAAAACCAAAACGCCCGTCATTGGCTTTGACATGGGTGGAACCAGTACAGATGTCTCCAGATATGGCGAGGGCAGATATGACCACGTCTTTGAGACCACAACAGCTGGTGTCACCATCCAATCGCCTCAACTAGATATCAACACAGTTGCAGCCGGTGGTGGCAGTAGGCTCTTCTTCAAGAATGGGCTATTCGTAGTCGGTCCCGAGTCAGCAAGTGCCCACCCTGGACCTGCATGCTACAGGAAGGACGGTCCACTTACTATTACCGATGCCAACCTGTTCCTCGGACGCCTGCTGCCAGACTTCTTCCCCAAGATTTTCGGCAAGAACGAAGATGAGGGACTTGATCCCGAGGCAAGCAAGAAGCTCTTCGAAGAGCTTACAACAAAGATCAACCAGGAAGTCAAGGACAAGGACATGTCTGCAGATGAGGTTGCATATGGATTCATCAAGATTGCCAACGAAACCATGACTAGGCCTATTCGTAGCTTAACCGAGGCTAGAGGGCACGACACCTCGAAGCACAGACTTGCGACATTCGGTGGTGCAGGTGGCCAGCATGCAGTTGCCATTGCAGAAGCACTCGGAATTAGCCAGATCTTGATCCATCGCTACTCTTCCGTGCTCTCGGCCTACGGCATGGCCCTGGCTGACGTAGTTGACGAAAGGCAAGAACCAGATTCAAAGGTGTGGTCGGATGAAGGAGATGTCCGAAAGTACTTCCAGAGCAAAATGGAGGAACTCAAGAAGAAGTCGAGAGCCACTTTGAAAGATCAAGGCTTCGAAGAAGACCACGTCCACTTCGAGGAGTACTTGAACATGCGTTACCGTGGTACAGAGTCAGCCCTCATGGTCGTCAGACCAAGCAAAGAGGATGCCGACCAGAAGTTCAACGGCGACGATTGGGCATTCGGCAAGGCCTTTGTCGAGCAGCATGAACAAGAGTTCGGTTTCACCCTCCCCGACCGAGACATCATCGTCGATGACGTTAGAGCTCGTGGTATCGGCAAGACTTTTAAGGGCCTCGAGAAGACCGTTGATCAGCAATTGGAAGAAATCAAGCCAAAGGATGTCGGCAAGGACGAGAAGATCTATGGAAAGTCACAAGTCTACTTCGAGGGTGGCCGACAGGAGACTTCCATCTACAAGCTTGAGGAACTCGTGATTGGTGATAGGATCAGGGGTCCAGCGATCATTGCCGACGGCACTCAAACGATCGTCGTGACCCCTGGCGCCTCCGCTCTGGTCATCGAGACACACGTCGTCATCAACATTGGCGAGAGCGATGGTTCTGAGAAGAAGATCAACACTGAGACCGTTGATCCGATCATGCTCAGTATCTTTGCTCACCGTTTCATGGCCATCGCGGAGCAAATGGGTCGTGCTCTGCAAAAGACCAGTGTCAGCACAAACGTCAAGGAACGACTCGACTATTCTTGCGCACTATTCGATCCAACTGGAGGTCTAGTCGCCAATGCTCCTCATCTGCCTGTCCATCTAGGATCTATGTCCACGTGTGTCAAGAAGCAAGCGAAGATCTGGGAGGGCAAGCTCAAGAAGGGTGATGTTCTGGTCTCAAACCATCCCATGTATGGAGGCACCCACTTGCCCGACATCACGGTCATCACACCAGCTTTCAGTGGCGACAAGATTGTCTTTTACGTTGCTTCTCGTGCCCATCATGCAGACATTGGAGGTATTCTGCCTGGCTCAATGCCGCCACACTCTCGCGAGCTGTTCCAGGAAGGTGCAGCCATCAAGTCCGAAAAGCTGGTCTCAGAGGGCAGGTTTGACGAGAAGCGTATCACCGAGCTTCTTCTCGATGAGCCGGCCCAATACCCTGGATGCAGTGGCACTCGCTGCTTGGCAGACAACCTAAATGACCTTAAGGCACAAGTGGCAGCTAACCAGAAAGGTATCAACCTCATCAACACGCTTATCGACGATTACGGCGAGAGTGTTGTACAATTCTACATGACAAGCATCCAGGACAACGCCGAGCTGAGTGTCAGAAATCTGCTCAAGGAGGTCAGCAAACGTTTTGAAGGCCAAGATCTGTCAGCTGTCGACTACATGGACGATGGCAGCCCTATCAAGCTCAACGTGCAGATCGACGCCGAGAAGGGTGAAGCCGTATTTGATTTCACCGGCACTGGACCTGAGGTAGGCGCTATCTAGTCGAAGCATTCTCCTATCCGCTTACTAACCTGATGACATAGGTCTATGGCAATATCAATGCTCCTGAAGCAGTGACATACAGCGCAATCATCTACTGCCTTCGTTGCCTCATCAGCGAGGACATTCCTCTGAACCAAGGCTGTCTCGCCCCTATCCACGTCAAGATTCCCAAAAAATCCTTCTTGTCGCCTTCCGCGACTGCTGCAGTCGTAGGAGGCAACGTTTTGACCTCTCAGCGCGTCACAGACGTCGTTCTGAAGGCTTTCCAGGCCTGTGCTGCCTCCCAGGGAGATTGCAACAATTTGACTTTTGGTAAATCTTTGAGCTCAATCTAGCCTTTCGAAAGAACTTTGCTGACTCGTCGTTCTCTAGGATGTAAGTTTCGCGCGTATTGCAGTGGATATGAGCCAAGAGTCACCAAACGAGGGTTCACTCTGCAGAAATCAATCTCACGAAGAATCTTCAAGACCGAACTCCCATCGAAGGACCCATCGGAAGGCACAATGTCTTTGAGGCCGACCGAGGCTGTCCACCGAAAGCCACCCGTCTACACGCTCCAATGGACATGACTCTGTCCCAACAGCATTCGTGTCTTTTGATGGACGCACAACAGCTTTGTTTGGGCGCGGTAGTTCGGTCTCGGCGCAATCTTCTGCTGTTTTGAATAGCTCTTTGGTGACGTATCATTTTTTACACAAGAAGCATGCTGACTTTACTCTCTCTTCTAGTTGGCGGCAACGCAGATGGCAAAGAAGCAGTCAAAGGCTTCGGCTACTACGAAACCATCGCCGGAGGTTCTGGTGCCGGTCCCACCTGGGACGGCACGAATGGCGTTCACACCCACATGACCAACACCCGCATCACCGATTCCGAAGTCTTCGAACGTCGTTACCCTGTGTTACTTCGTGAATTCAGTCTCCGAGCTGGCAGTGGCGGCAATGGACAACACAAGGGTGGCGATGGTGTCGTCCGCGACATCGAATTCCGCATCCCTGTGCAAGTTTCCATCCTCTCCGAACGCCGTGTGTATCACCCTTACGGTCTCAATGGCGGTGGAGATGCAGCATGCGGACAAAACGTTTGGGTCAGACATGTAGAGAAAGCACCTACCGATGACGAGAAAAAGGTCAAAGAGGAAGAAGAGGTTAGATATATCAACCTTGGAGGCAAGAATACCGCGGCTTTCAAGGCTGGAGAAAGAATCATCATCAATACGCCTGGAGGTGGTGGCTGGGGTCCCATGGGTGAAGAGAGTCAGGCTAACAAGCATCTCTGGTCCGACCCCAAAAGCCATTGGAAAGGTGGTAGTGTGGCTGCCAGACAGGCTGAGGGTGAAGCCAGTGCTTAGATTAAGATATCACAACTCTGGTAAACAGGACGAAAAGACTCAGAATCGAGTCATCGCCATCATCAAGACTACCTTCTCGGTACACCAATGAAAAGTATTGGAAGATATCCGACAATACATCTTCCACACCACACACTCCTTCATCCTTCTTCAGTACATGAGACTGTTCTGACAATTGACCTTTATTTCGCAAATCTCACTTCGCACGATCATGAATACACCATCACTTGTCCCGTCCTGAATGCTATATAAACAACGTCCACCTCCACCTGTTCTTTCTTTTTTTCCAATCAAGACCCACAACATCCGCTGACTGGTGTTGGAAACTTCCATCGACGAAAGGATCATTGCTGTGTTCGCCTGCGTTGGATGTCAGATATGCATTGGAGGATAGGAGAGGAGCTGAAGGAGAGGTCTGTGTATGTCGTCAAAATGTTCGTGTTGTCTCCATGATGTCGTGTCTCCTTGCCCGGGTATCCTTGAAGACGGACAAGGGATGTCGAGAAAATCCCATCGGCCGCGCTGAAGCTGGAGATGCAACTCCAAATATCGAGTAAACGGTTCAAAACATATTCCCATTCATACAGATAAAATTTACATCTCCTCCGCTCACACTCCCCGCTTCTGCTCCATCTCCTTCCCGCCCCTCTCCTATATCATACAGTCCTCTCCATCCCTACCTCAACGGCAAAACTCCACTCCACCTCAAACTCTGACTCAAAAATTCCTCATTCAACTCCTCAAGCTGCTTAGCCTGTTGTCTCAATCCCGCCAACATTCCCTCCACAGTCCTTGCCTTTTCCACTTTACCACCTTGTCCTTCCACCCCTACCTCACCATCCCACGCCTCTTCTGCATGATCCAAACCAACACTGACGTCAATAGCAGAGGAGAAATTGGCCAAGCGTTCTTGCAAGGATGTCTTTTCGGCGCGGACGGCGGAAAGTTCGGTGCGGAGGGAGGAGATGGTTGATTGTAGGGTTTGGCGCTCGTGGAAGGTTTCCATGCGGGAGGATTCGAGTGCTGCTTCGAGGTGTGCTAATTGCGAAGTCAAGGCGTCGTTGTCGTAGGATGTGGTTGTTGTGGTAGTTGCACTGGTTGGAGGTTGTTGACTGTCTGCATTATCATCTGGCTCGGCGACTTCGATGGTGAGTTGTTTGGACGGCTGGTCTTGCTCCGAGGCGTCTATTTGAGACTCAAGATGTGTAAAGTCCATATCGTAAGATCCATCTTCTGACACAGCATCCGAGTCAGCGGCGATAGATGTCTGCGTATTATCCACATCATCGAATTGAGGTGCGTCCTCGATCTGTGCAACTTCCATCGGCGTGATGAACTCTTCGAAGATTGCGCCGGGGGTCGCTTGCGCTGATTTGAAGTCTCGGTCATCTGCTTCATCAGGTGACTGAGTTTCAACATTGATAGCAGGAGGAGATTGTGCTTCTGTGTCGGCTTGTCGCAGTCGCTGGACTTGCTGCTTCAGTGAGTTTAGCTCGTCGCGCAGCATGTCGATGGCATCGTCGCGTTTCTTCAGCTCAGTGTAGTGTCGCGCGTTCAAAGCGTCAACGGAGAAATTCTTAGACTTCTCGAACTCGGCAGCCTGGTTGAAGAGATTCTCCTCGTGTTCACGGATGAGTTCTTGACGGCGCTCCTCAGCTTGTTGTAACCTAGCTTCAGTATCGCTACGCAGTGTTTCGAGTGTCTCCTCTTGTTGGCGAACAAGATCGCGGTGACGTGTATCGAATTCAAGTACCCTTGCGTCGTAGTCTGCTCTCAGAGATTGGATCTTCTTCTCCGTGTCGGGGGTGGGCCCATCTTGTGATTGCGACCTGGACTCCTGCTCGTGCTGACCTTGAGCCTCGTCGAGTTTCTGCATGAGTTCAAATTTCTCGTCAGTGGCCATTGCCAACTCATTCCTGAGCTCAGTAACCTGCTGTGAGAGGGTTTCATGCGTTGTGTCAGGGGACCCAAGCTCTCTGCTTGTAGGCTCTTTCTGTAAGCCGGCTAATTCCCATGTGTGTGCCTCCTGAATGCTGCGAAGCTCCTCGAGGTGCCTGTCATGGAGCTCCTGCTCGACCCTGGCGATCGCGGCAGCGTGGCTCGTATCCTTGTCGTCACCATCCGAGTTCAACGCATCCAGCGATTTGTGCAGTCCTTCAAGCTCGGCAGTCTGATCTGCCAATGTTCGTGCGAACTCAGCCGCATCAGCCTGTGCCTTCTCAAAGGCTGCGCGGTGTTGCTCGATCTCGGCATTTTTGAGCCTCAGCGTCTCCTCATACTCAGCATGCACGTATTGAATATGCTGCGCCAACTCAGTGCCGGCGGACTGCGCACTCTGCAATGCGCTGATTTCAATCTGTGCTTCTGCAAGAGAGACCTTCAGAGCTTCAGCTTCGGCTTGTGCCTTCTCGATAACTTCATGCCTCTCTGCGAGTTGGCTTCTCAAACCAGTAACTTCCTCCTGAGATGAGCGCAGTTCTGTGATTTCGGCCTGCTTCTCAGCCGTCTTCCTCTGAGCAGCCTCAAGAGACACATTGAGACTGAAGACCTCGTCACTCTTGATACTCAGCTCCTCCTGAAGCCTTTCAGCTTCGGCATACGATTTCTGCAATCGCTGGTTTGTGGCACCGAGCAGATCACCCATCTCGGCGTAATCTGCCTGTGATTGCTTGTAAGACTCCCGCAAGGTGTCGAATTCATCTTGCCTGCTTCTGACCTGGTGCTCAAGATTGGCAAGTTGTTCTTCGAATTGGGTTTCCATGTCAGACATGGCTGTTCGTGCCTTCTCAAGATTAGAAGAGGCGAGTTCACCTCTCTCTACAGACTCTCTGAGCTTGCGGATCTCCGAGTCACGACTGCGAAGTGCTTGCTCATTCTCAGCTCTCAACTTCTTCATCTGACCTTCGAGATCAGAGATGGCTGTGTTGTTTTCACGCAGAGACTGAAGCTCAGCAAGCGCCTCTCTGGAACCTGCCTGCGACTGCTCGAGAGAAGCCCAAAGATCGTTAATCTCTGCGTTTCTCCTTTGAAGAGCGTGCTCGCTTTCAGCTCTCTCGCGTTGGATCTGAGCGAGGAGTTCTTCAGTCTCAGAGTTGGACTTCTGCAAACCATCAATTGAGGCACGCGACTGGTGAAGAGACTTGCGAGTATGGGAAGCTTCAGTCTGGACATTTTCGAGCGTCTCACGCAAAATCGTCAGTTCGTTGTCTTTTGCGCCAAGAATATTCTCGGTGTCTGTGGCTTTGCTGCGGGCCCACTCGAGAGCCTCACGAGCTTCTGAAAGCTCATTCTCCTTGGCCTCGAGTGTACTTGCATGTTCGGAACCTGCCTGTCGGAGCTGACTCTCAAGGTCTGCAACCGTCTGTTCAAGAGCAACGGTTTTGGCTTCAAGATCCTTCTGCAAACTCTCCTTGGCTGACTCAAGAGTCGTGACTTGTTCTTTCATCTCGTCAATCGTAGCTTGCAGGCCATGAACGTTAGTCTGATGGCTATGAAGAGATCCTACGCTGTCGGTTGCTTCAGCTTGCGCCTTTTCAAGAGCTTCGTTCAGCTCCGAAAGCTCCTGAATCTTGTCATGTAGCACGCTTTCATGACTGATGTGGGCCTGTTGAATCTGGTCCTCGAGGTTCGAGATAGTCTGCTCAAGAGCAGTAGTTCTAGTCTGAAGCTCTTTCTCCAGGCTTTCCTTGTCTGCTTCGAGATTTGCAATTTGTTCTTGCATCGCGCCAACTGCTCTCGTGCTGTCCTCGTTCTTGAGAGACAAGCTGGCTTGCTCGGACTCGGCTGTTTTCTCTTCAAGCGCCTTCTCAAGGGTTGCAACCTGTTCTTGGAATCTGCCGATCACAATCTGCAAGTCATGAACCTCGCCCTCATGGCTCTGGACGGGGTCAACCTCGCGAGAAGATTCATCGATAACGATTGTCTTGGACTGAGCTTCGACAAGACTGTCGCGCAAGGCAGAAATCTCATCATCTCTAGTCTTGATCGCACTTTTGTGCTCAGAAAGTGCCTTGTCTTGTTGCTCCTCCAGCTCCGACATACTTTGCTGCAATACAGCAATCTCGTCCTGGCTAAACTGCGCTTTCCGAGAGTCCTCGAGATTTGACCGTGCCTCAGCCAAAGACTTCTCGGCATCTTCTGTCTTCGACTGAGCTTCTTCGAGACTGCGTCGCAATGTGGACAGCTCGCTTTCTTGAGTTTTGATGATTTGTTCATGTTCGGATCTTGACTTTTGCTGTTGCTCTTCTAGCTCAGAGATGTTCTTTTGAAGAACAGCAATGTCATCGTCGCTCAGAGAAGAATTTTGAGCTTCTTCCAAGCTTGTGCGAGCATCAGTCAAGGACTTCTCAGCATCGGTTAGTTTGTTCTGAGCCTCCTCGAGTTGAGAATGCAGCCTAAGAAGCTCGTCTTCTTTGGTTTTGGAAGCATCTTCGTTCGCGGAACGGAGCTTCTGGAGTTGTTCTTGCAGTCCAGAAGTTGCCTGCTTCAGCTCGTCCTCTTTCGCCCGGAGAGCATCTGAAGCATCACTCTTGGCTTGCTCGAGATCCCTCTGGGCTTGCTCAAGGTTGACAAGCAAAACCGAAAGCTCCTCATCCTTGAGCTTGAGAGCACTTTCGCTATCAGAGCGCAACTCTTGAAGTTGTTCTTCCAGGGAGGACACAGTCTGCTTCAGCGCAGCAGTCTCTTCATTTGTAGCATTTGCAGAGTCGTTCTTCGCCTGCTCAAGAGATGTACTTGCTTGCTCGAGTTTATCATGTAGCTCGGATAGTTCGTCATCCTTGGCTTTGAGAGCATCCTCGTTAGCTGAGCGTATCTTCTGGAGTTGTTCTTCGAGATCCGACATTGTTTTCTTGAGGTCGGTAGTCTCGTCGTTGAAAGCATTGGTCGCCTCGTCCTTCGCCTTCTCCAAGGTAGCGACTTGAGCTTGCAAGCCATCGACCACGCCCTTCATAGCCTCAACTTCGCCATCGTGAGAGTTCTTGCTGTCCTCTGCCTCACTGGTTAAGGATTGAATTCTTGAGTTCAACTCGTCAATAGTCGCCGTCAAGCTCTGAAGCTCCTCATTCTTCGCGACCGAAAGCTTCTGCTCGCGAGATTGTAGTGTCGAAAGCTCTTCTTGAAGAGACCCAAGTGTCTTCTTCAGCGTTTCGTTCTCGCTTTCGGAAGCACGCTGGGCATCTTCGAGGTTCTGCTGCAACTCAGAGTTACGAGCTTGCAATCCTTCAATTGTAGCGAGATGTTCCTTGGCATCTTCCTCATGTTGATCTACAAGCTCCTGCTTAGCCTTTTTGAACTCGGCTACTTCAGCTTGAAGGTCCTCAACAAGCTTAAACAGCTTCGAAGCATTGTTGGTGTGTTCGTTTTCGGCGTTTGGTCTTGATTGCTTTAGATCTTCCATTTCCTTCTGGAGAGTCTCGACGATCTTGGACTTGTCACTTCCTTCGCGTTGTGTTGATTCAAACTCACGCTTCAGGCTGTCCAATAAACTGTTAGATGCTTCCGCTTCTTCAGAGCGCTGTTTAGCTTCTTGATCGTGAAGCAATTGGATTGTTTCCAGCTGGCTGTGCAGATCTTCCAGTAGGCGTTCGCTCTCAGCCGTCTTCTCTTGCGCTCTGGCAATCTCATCGGCGTGTCGTTGCTGAGATTGCTGAGCTTCTTCACGGAGCTCTTCCAACGCCTTCTCAGCATGTTGCAGAGCCTCCTTCTTCTCAGCCTCGTCCTTCTCGCGTTCTTGGCGAAGAGATTCCAGTTCCTGTTGTAGCTTTTCGCTGGCCCGCTTGGTCTCGTCAGCTGCAATTTTAACATTTTCTCTTTCCTCCTCGTGGGCTTCGCGCAGAGATGATAGTTCTTCTTGTAGCTTGGTGACGAGTTCATTGGCCTGAGTGCTTTCTGCGGAAAGTCGCTCTTTGTCTTGCGCAGCCGTCTTCCGTAGCTCGGTCAATTCCGCTTCGAGCTTCTTTTTGACACTGCGAATCTCCTTGCGCTCTTTTTCCTGGCGGGCGGCATCCAGATCCAGCTGTTCTTGTACACGGTCAATTTCGAATTCCAGGTCTTTGATCACTTGTACTAGTTGCTCACTGTCCTGCTCCTTGTTCTGGATACTTTCAAGCAGTTTCTTTTCCTGTTTCGATGCGGCGGACTTGCTTTCCTCCAGAGCAGCCTGAACTGATGCGATTTTGTCCTCTACACCAGCAAGTTTGGATGATGCCTTCTTCTGCGCGTCGAGTTCAGCACGGAGATTGGAAATTTGGGCTTCGTGTTCGGATTTGAGATGATCGATGTCGTTAACGGAAAGTTCAGATACCTTGGATGCATTCAGACGGTGCGTCTCGATTTCCTCGCGTAGCGCGGCCAGTTCCTTGTCATGTCCAGCCTTCAGCGACTCGGTTGTCGAAGTACCATGTGATTCCAGCTCTGATCGTAAGTTTTCCAGTTCCTTCGCATGTGTCTCCTTGAGCTTGGCAGTAGACATCGCTCGCTTCTTCTGCTTCTGCAGCTGTGATTTGACCTCTGTCATTTCCTTTTCGTGCTCAGCTTTCAGGTTATCGACTCCAGAAGTGTCTCGGGACTTTTTCTCCATTTCTGATCGCAAGTCCTCGAGTTCTTTGTGAATTGATTCAGTGTGTTCGCTTTGCTCCTCCAGCTTGGAGTTTAGGTCAGCAACTTCGACCTCGTGAGTAGCCTTGAGTTGATCAACCACAGAAGTGTCCTTCAACAAGGTATCTAGTTGCGATCGCAATTGATCAACATCCTCCAATTGCTTCGCATTGGTCTCCTCGGCGGATCTTGCTCGTTTCGTTTGGTCATCGAGTTGTGATTTGAGGTTGGCAATATCCGCATCATGGGCTTCTCTAAGCTTCTCAATTGTCGCTGTTTCCTCGACTTGATTGTCAAGTTCAGATCTCAATTGGTCGAGTGCCTTGGCATGATTGGCCTTGAGCTTGTCAATGGAGTTGGCACGTTTCCGCTGCGCTTCGAGCTGCGACTTGAGTTCCTTGAGCTCGCTGGCATGACTGTTCCGTAGGGTATCAGCAATTGACGTGTGCTCGGCTTGTATGTCCTCCAACTCCTTCGCATGAGTAGCCTTCAGCTCTTTCAACATAGCAGACGTCTTCCGTAGCTCCTTCGACTCGGCCTCGAGCTTCGCATGAGCGTCTGCAAGGAGCTTTGCATGTTCAGCCTTGAGCGAATCCATCTGATCAAGCTCGGCTCTAAGACCACGCATCTCGATAGCGTGCTCCTCTTCGGTAGCACGTCTTTGTGTCTCGTAGTCTTTCCTGATGCCTTGAACTTCTTCCAAATGTGTGGCTTCCATCTCTTCCATCTCGGCGACGGTAAAGGTGCCAGCCCAGGTATCCGGTTTGACAGGACTCTTAGGACGTTGTAACCTCTCCACCTCGGCCTTGAGCTCTGCAATCTCCTTTTTCATGGATTCTCGCATGTTTGCTTCGCGAAGCAGATCACTCATGATACGCATGTCTCTCGCCTTCTGGTCTTGTGTCTCCGGAGCGGTTGAAGGGCGGCCTACGGTGGCAGATTGCGACCGTGCATGGCCCTTTTGCTTGATCTGATCCGTTTCCACATCGGAAGTGGCAGTGAACTTGCGTAACTTGGGCGGTGACTTGAACATGGGGCCTAGCGGGGATGGTGGCCGGTCGGACGACGAGTTCAAATCACTGATGATAGTAAGCTTCGCAAGCAGCATGTGGGATAGAATTTAGGTAGACAGACCTTGTAAGTGTGACAGGGCTAGATAGTGTGGGTCTCTCTAGATTGCCTAGCGAGGTTCTCACCGCCAGTTTCCGTGGTGTGGTGGCCTTGACTTTTGGAGCGGCAGCAGGTACTTTGGGCGCAGTGGCAGGAGTCTTTGGTGTCCCGGGGGCTGGAGTGGCAGCTAGTCTTGGTGTGCGATTGATGGTCGTGGGAGTACCGGTAGCGCGAGGGGTCGCATTCAGGGGAGCTCTAGGTGCGGTCGTCCTGCTGGCGGCTGTCGGTGTTCGTGTCGCGGGGGATAATGTAGTGTTCAGTCGTGATTGAGGCCTTGATGTCGTCGGTACGGCGTTCATGGATGACATGCGCCTCGACACACCATTGAGGGTCGGTCTCTTGTTCTCCTCGACACTTGCTAGTCGCAATGGCTGCCTGGCTGTTGCTGTCGTACTGCTCGTTGTAGATCTGACGGATGCACTGCTCCCCGGTCGATTTGCTGTAGATAGCGTAGGTCCTCTGGCCGAAGAGCTGCCCATCCTCGCCAGCGGAGGACGCGTCTTGTCGGCGCTGCCTCCTGCTGGTGTTCTGCCTGACATGGTGATGGTCCTGTAATTTCTTGGGCTTCGGGCTTATTGGAAGGTGCTTTTCAGCACGCCGGCATGCTCATCGTCTTGTCAAAGTTGTGCGACACTGGGAAAGAACAAAAGAAACTGCCACGATTCAGCTGCTAACCGCGGCAAGACCATGCAGTATGACGGTCGAAATACAAGGAACTCCTAAACTCTGTTTACTGAAGTACCAAGCCATATGGCACTTGCATGATCCACTGCGAATCAGGGTTCAACCGCCCGACCCGCCAACGCCAGAATGGAGCCTCCATCATCGTTTCGTTCATAAGTTACAGTGTTTCACCAACAGATGGACGTGTACCTGGACTTGGATTGGACTTGACCACAATCTAAGATCAACAAAATGTACTTTTGAACTCTCTCGCATGCTATGCAACAAATAACTAAAAACAAGAAAAGAAAAAGATGAGCTCTGTGCTCGGGGTATCCTCTGGTGCGTGACAACGTAGCCTCTCAGACTTCTTACAAAACATCTCCACTACATGTCGCTTTCTATTGCGACTGGAGGTACTGGGCCAACTGCATAACCTTCTGGCGCGTCTCGTCGCTGAGCTGCTCCTCGGGAGGGCTCAACACCTTCTGCAGGACGGGGAGAATAGAGCTGGTCAAGCCCTGGATGACCGAGTTCTGCTGTTGGTAGAGAGCGACGATCATCTCGAAAACGGCCTCGTTCTCCTCGTAGTCCTCTCTAAGGGGAAGCAGCTGGATCAAGACGGGGAGGACGTCAGCAAGGGGGACGTTGTTGGGGTGTCTCTTGATCATGCGGGCAACACATCCAGCAGAGTTGTCGAGAAGACGGGCCTCTTGCTGCTGGTGCAACAAAGGCTCGAGCTTGGCGAGGATAGTGTTGTACTGGCCGGTGATCTCGTTTTCGTTGGTGCTCTTCTCGCAGAGGAGACCGGTACCATAGGCGGCGTTGCTACGAACCTCCGGGTCCTCGTCTCCAAGACGCTTGAGGAAGATCTTCATCAAGTTGGTGGTGTAGGGAGTGACGGATGCACCCATGTTGCCAATGGCCTCGGCGATGGTGCCGACAGCAGCACTACGCTCGTACTTTTCGGTTCCGCTGACGTACTTAACGACAGGCTTCTCGAAGATTTGCCAGAGCTCGCCGAAAGATTCGCCAAGGGCAGCAGCAAGGCAGGTGATGACCTCCATGGCGGTCTCGATAACGAGCCAGTCGTACTCGGATGACTCCAGGTCGACATCGAACTCATCCTCACCGTCGAGGTCCTGCTGGCACACGTGTCGCTTTTGCAAGATGGAGAGGATCATCTCGACGATTTGCTGGACGGGCGAGGCAGCGTTCTCCCCGATGCTCGCGGTGAGAATGGCGGGACCGCAGAGCTTGAGGGTGGCGGCGAGGTTACGGTGGATGTCGGTGACGGTACCACTATCAATTCAACGTTAGTCATTGCTTCAAATCTCAAATGAAAAGCGTTGGTGTAGAAGAGGGTGATCAAGAGATCGAATCAGTAACAGAATCGCGTTCGCATCAAGTGCACATTTGTGCATCAAAGTGAGCTGGGTGTAACGAAGAGTGGTCATCATAGTAGAAAGGATGTGCTGGAAAAAGGGAAATGGTTAGAAACGTACCGGTCAACCTCGTCTTGCCAAAGAGCAAGGGTGGCAGTCATGATCAAGCTGCTGAGCTTCATCAGATCGTCAGTAGCCTGGACCTTGAGGGGAAGGCCAGATTGCCACTTGGCCATGCCGTTGTCCTCGGCCATGGCCCAGAGAGAGGCGTAACCTCTCCAAAGAGTGCCAATGGCAGATCTGCGAACACCCTCGAAGTGGTGGTCGACAAGAGCAAGAACGGCCTCAACGCACTGCTGGAAGTAGGGGAGGAAGTGGCCGCGAGTGTGGGTGAGGACATCACCAATAACCTCAACGGCGATCTCCTTCTCCATGGCGACAGCAGTGACGGCACCAAGGTCGTCCCAGTCATCCTCATCATCATCGTCGTCAATGTCGATGGTGGTGTCATCATCAGCACCAGCGCCAATATCAGCAATCTTGACCTTCTTGCCAGCAATGGTGACCTCCTGGCCAAGAAGCTCTCTAGCCTCCTCACCAAGGGTAACACCATCTTCGCTCTCGTCCTGCTGAAGACACTCGATCAGGCCCTTGACAACACCAGCAAGGTAAGGAGCGAACTTGTCGTCGTAAACCTTGGACATGGTGCTCCAAAGGATGTAGCTGGTCTCGCGGAGTCTGGGATGGTCGAGGTGGAGAGCCTCCTCAGAGGCCTGCATGAGAGGGGTGACGTAAGGCTGGAAAGCCTCAGCGCCGACGGCAGAGGCAATCTTGCCGAGCGAGTCGCAGACAACACCACGGAGCTCGAGCTCATCGTCAGAGTCCTTGATAGAGACGAATTGGCCGAGGGTTTGCATGGTGCCCTCGAAGAAGGGCATGAAAGCCTCCTCGCTGGCAGAAGCAATGGAACCAGTGGCACCGATAGCCGAGATCTGGACCTTGACTTCGGGGTGTTGGAACAGAGGGCTAAGTCTGGGAACGAGCTCACCAACGTACTTGGAGGCGTCTTCCTTGTCGAGACCCTCGATCATCGAGTCGATAGCCATGCAGCTCTGCTTGATGATGGCGAGGTTCTCATCACCGGCAGGGCCGTTCAGCTGCTGCATAGCCAAGTCGAAATTCTTGACAAGAGCGGGGATCAGGCGGGCGTGCTCCTTGCCCATCTCCTCGGCGAGATCGTCGGCGAGTCTGGCGACACCATTGAGAGCGGCAGAACGGACACGGACCTCGGGGTCCTCGAGCAGGTGGAGCACCATGGGGAGAATCTCAGCGAGCTGAGTGCTGATGAAGTCGGGGGCGCCCTCAACACACATGCCGAGAGCGAGAATACCAGCACGACGGTAGTCGGCGTTGGGGTTCTGGACGAAGGGACCAATGGCGCGGAGAAGTGGGACGGCGACTTGGCTGGGAGGAAGGTTCTCGGAGAGGATGTCGAGCAGGCCCAGGGCGGAGCGGGCAGGGGTGATGTCCTCGTCCTCGGCAGACAGCTCACCAAGCTCGGTGACGATCTGAAGAGAGGTGGTGGTGAGCTGCTCACCGATGCGGAGACCCTGAACCTTGAGCTTGCGGTATCTGACAGCTTGCATGAGGAAAGACAGAGCCTGGGAACGCGAGTCGTCGTCGATTTCGGTGTTGGCAGAAAGCTGCATCATGAACTGCATGAGGTCGCCGAAGTGGGCGTTGAGGAAAGCAGACTCGTAGCTGAGCAGCTTGTTGAAGACCTCGAAAGCCTGCATGGCGCGGTCCTCCTCACCGTCGTCGACAGCCTGCTGCAGAACGCGGACCATGTGAGGGATGGTGTCCTGGAAGGCCTTGAGCGACTGAGGGTCCTCGTCGGTGTCTAGAACCATACAGATCTCAGAAAGAGCGAGCATTGTGTTGATTCTGACCTCAGCGTTCTCGGGGTCCTGGATGGTCTTTGTGAAGAGCTGGAGCATAGCGCTCATGTTCTCCTGGAACATGTCGGGCATGGTCTCGAGGAGTGTGTAGATGATGTAGACACCGACTTCGCGGTGGCTGGCGGTCTGGGAGGTCGAGGCTCTCTGGAGGAAGTCGGGGAGGTCCTGCCATTGGCCGTCTGCAAGGTCGATCTGGGCGATCGAGGCAATAACGCGGGCCTTGGAGTGGCGGGCAAGCGACTGCTCCTCACTGAGAGTGGATTGCAGGAGCTGTTCGCGGATCTGGGGCTTTTGGTCGTTGGGAAGGTCGAGCCAATGTCTCTTGACGAGCTTGCGGGACTCGATAGCGGCCAGTTGGCGGAGGTTGGGGCTCTGGTGCGAGACCAAGATGTGAAGCAGCGCGGTGAGCGAAGCGGGCGACGAGTAGTAGTTCTTGTTCAGGGTGGCAGTTGCAGACTTGACACGCTCGGTGTCGGCTGGTATAACCCATTAGTCTCGAAAACAAGTGGCTCAAGTTTGTGGACGACTTACGCTGCATCAGACTCTCGAGGAGTCCAACAAACTGTTGCTCATCCATTTTGACGGGATTTGGGGTATCAAAAAGGAAAAGAAAAGGAAAAACGGAAACAACAAAGGCCGATAGATGTGCCTCTGGGAGTGGATGTCGAGAGGAAAAGCGATGCTGCTCCAAAAACAATTTTGTCGGCTGGAGGTCCGTGCTTTTGAGGGTCTTCTTCTCCAGTCTCATCTCTGCGATGCGCCGACACCCCGACTTGTTCGTCTCAGCCAGCAACCATTCCACCAAGGCCACACATGAATTCGTCAAGACAATGTGATACTTGTCAGAGTGCGAAGCGGGGAGACTGCTCGCTTGTTCCATTTGCATGCATAAATCTGCTATCTCGATACTAATTCAACAACATCTTATCATATGGTCGTCAATAAATACATGCTATATGTCCTTCAAGTCTAAGAGTCCTGTTCTACTGGGGCAGCTGGTCCAGCTTCTCGGCCTCTGTCTTGATCTCCTGGCTAAATTCAATGCCAGCATCGTGGTTGTAGCCCACAGACTGGTTCATAGACTCCAGTTTGCCAGTTGTGTCAAGAATGAGCTGCTGAGCCAGCATTGATCTCGTAGCGATGTCCTGGTGCCGAGTCAGTTTGTCATGTTCTTTATATACTGTCCGCATAACATTACCATCCATGCTTCACCGCTGGGGTTGCGAGGGTTGACAGTAGCTACGAGCATTTGAAAGGTACGGGTAACAAAGTCCCACCTGTTACGGTTAAGTCTGGCTGTCGAAGAGATGGCAAACACAGTCATGTCTTACATGAAGTACACCTTGTTCTTGCTATTTGCAGGTGTTGAGAATGTCTGCTGGCGGTTTGCATCCATAGCAGAGTCATTGATCAACATCCTCATCAAGTTCTGGTGAACATCAAAGAGATGCTTGTACTTGGGGTCAGCTTCCTGAGGACAAGGCCTTTCGAGGAAGAACTCGGTAAATGCATCACGCTTAGTTGTCTCCGGGTTGGGAGAAACGTAGATTGGTCTTTGGGCAGACATATGTGCGATTGACTCGTATGAACGTTGAGGCTCCGTTGGAGAAGCTCTCAAAAGTGTTTGGAGGCTTCAGCGGGCCTCGGGGTGATGTCATTGGTTTGCACGTGAATTCGCATTTCGCATCGCGCTCTTCTCCGGATGTGCCTCCACGGCGCTTCTTGGTCATTGGAGATCGACAAAGACGTTTAAACCACGATTCGGGTGTTCCTGTTGATCTCCCTGCTTTGAATCACCAAATTCGATTGAAATATCAAGCTGTACCATACCTTCGGAGACGCAAACTAGCCGTCCAAAAGCGGCTATTGCAGGTCCCAACCGCCAACTTCCAGATCCGCGAGAGGCTGGGGAGAAACAGGAACCAACTAAACTTCCTTGGATCTTCTTCGATCGTGGTAAGTTTCGCACATGACTTCACTGGTCTAACGTCTCCTAGAAGGTAAGCAGGTGTGTTGGAGGCTTTATTTAGCAAACAATGATTCTTATATTCTCCGATGATCTGCTGCAACAACTTTACCACCTTCGTCGCAATCAACTCGAAAACCACTCTACCGCACACTCACCATGGGATTCCGTTCACTACTAAAGAAGGCCTTGACCGATGATGACAACAGTAAATTCTACAAGGTCGACATTGGCCAGGTCTTCCAGGATCGCTACAGAGTAGAGACACATCTCGGAGCCGGCAGATATGCTTCAGTCTGGCTGGTGATAGACACCCAGTGAGTAACTCCATGATATACCTGCTTTGACCTGCAATACTGACAGGCCACAGAACAGGCGAACATGCCGCTCTCAAAATCCTCAACAGCGACTTTTACAATGGCCACCACCAGATCTTCGAACTCGAAGTAATGCAAAAAGTCACCGCCGTCTCAAACCAGTCACAACACCCAGGCAAAAACCACGTCACCTACCTCAAGAACCACTTCGACCTTGAAGGCCCCACTGGCAAACACGTCTGTATGGTCATGCCTTTGCTCGGCGACAGCATTGCAGAAAAAGCTACAACCGGGCACATCATTCGCATACCACCCCAAACCGTGCGCAACATTGCAAAACAGATACTGCTGGCGTTGGACTTCTTGCACCGTGAATGCGGTGTCATTCACACAGACCTCCAGCCATCGAATATACTGAAGGACGACCAAGGACAAACGCCAAAGGAAATTGATGAGCTAGTTCGTACACAATCGTCTGGTCCGGAGTTCAATGATCCGAACATGCAATTCCGCCTCAACGATCTGGGAATCGCATGTTTCGTAGACCAACATCTGACCGACGACATTCAATCTGAATACCTCCGCGCCCCGGAAATCACTCTAGAGGCACCTTGGGACCCCAGTGTAGATATTTTCAGTCTAGGCTGTTTACTCTTCCAATTCATCACCGGCGATTTACCCTTCGTAGGACGACCTGGCCCTGGAGTTACCGCAGATCAAGATCGCATTGCCACGCTTGTCAGCACATTCGGTCCCATACCTAATGTGGTTTTGGACAATGCTGCGCAGAGGCAAGAGTTCGAGCAACAGAGTGTTAATGGTTTGGGCTTCCCTATATCCCTGGAGACGATGGTGGGTCAGAGTTTTGCAGGCGACACGCAGGGCATGATGCCGATCGATGAATTGGAACTATTCTGCGATTTCTTGAGGAAGATGTTGGCAAGTGATCCTAGAGAGAGAGAACATGCTGATGCGCTATATCGTCATGCATGGTTGGCTTATGAAGGATAGGATCTAAGTATTAATCGAAATCTCCAGACCTTGAACAACACACCTCCCACCTGCCTTCTTTCTCTACAACCAACCTGACCCTTAACATTTTCTAAACTCCATCATCCAACAATAAAACAGCAACGATGGTCTAGTGGTCAAGATACCTCGCCTCCAACACTTGTGACGACAAGGTCCGACCAGGCCACGTATGTCCTCAAGTCTAGGACTGTGAGGTGGTGAAGAGTGTCGAGGAGATCGTGAGTTCGAATCTCACTCGTTGCATCAACCTCTTTGCTCTTCCCCTCCTCTATTCCATTTTGCGACTGTGCCCGTGTCCAGATACTAGAACGATCTTTCTCTATCTTTATTATTGATCACCTACCGTTTTCCACTGTAATACATTCACAGGGCTCGGCTCGAAATCCAGTCGGGAAGGAGTGCATATGCAAGCCACCGGCTTGTCAAAGACAATCGCAGCCCAATCCAGCCTCTTGACACAGCCCTACCAGCCGTCTCATCCATCAAGTCTTCGCGGGGTTCTGAGCATCACTCTTTCGTCTGTCTTTCTCTTCCTCTTGGCAGCACTCACGTCTCTAGTTCTATCACAGGTAGCTACCAAGGTTGACAATGGCGGAGATAATTGGCATTGTCGCGGTGGGGGCGGTCGAATCCACCTACCAGCGCGTCCAGCAGCTTACCAGTCGACGTGCCGGTGGTCGGAATTACGACTTTGGAGCCTTGGAGCAAGAAGTCCATAACGTTGAACAGTCTCTACATAACGCAAGCGAACTCCTCTCGACGACTAGAGGAATCTCTGAGACCGACTTTAGTCTCGTCTTCGAAACTTACAAATCCGCGATAGTACAAGTCACTCTCTTGAAGCAAGACCTTGCTAATGTCAGCCTTCCGATACTCAAAAGAATTGGTTACAAGAAGCGATTCAATAAAGCTTTGAGTGATCTCACCTCCGTCAGCGATGATGTTGAGGATTTGTGTCGGATCCTGACCATGTATGTATGCCTTTTTGCTAGGTTCGGTTTCTCGCTGATGGTGTAAAGGGCATACTGGGACGACGTAGAGCCACTACCACTTCCTCAGCATGCAACATTGAATAAGGAGCTATCGTCCAGCAGTGTTTATCAGAAGGCTATCCCCCCGAAGCATTCTTCCCCGGACGGAATTTTCGACTCGCTCGATGCCTTGGAAGACGAGGATGACAATGTGGACGACACTGGCGCTGGTGACCACAACCTCTGCTCTACATCCGAGGATATTATCTCAATCGCACATTCGGATCACCTGTCAAGTGGATGTCGTATAAGTTCAGGATCCTCAACTCGACTATCAGTTGACGAGGCTCTTGGACTCGTAGAACCGGTGGAAAAAGATGAACTGGCGTCTGTCCTTGACGCAGATTACAGGTCAACTTCGACATCATATCTCTCAGGATCAAATATCCTAGAGGGGCCTGGGAGTGCGCCACACATGTATGTGAAGGTATCCGTGCGAGATGGATCTGGACTGAGCCATCACTTGGATTGCCTACTTGACACCGGAGCATCCGTGGATTGTATGTCAAAGAGCACTGCCAAGCTACTGGAACCTTGTCCTACAGGCCTTATTCGTCGCGCGGAGACTTCCCTCACGCTTCACACAGCCACTAATGAAAAGATTGAGTGCAAACTGCTGTTCAAAGGGATCTGGAACTTCGTGGATAGAAAGGAAGAGTACACTCATCTATTTCGTTTGGTCGATGGACTGCCGACAGACATGGTGCTCTCTCGCCACACCATTTTTCAATATGGCTTTCTGACACAAAACCCCGATCTTTTGTTATTGGGCTTGACAGATAATACCACTACCAAGCAAGAGCTCAATGTGCTGGGTCTTGCAAAGATAAGCAGAGGTTAGTCTTACCTTACAACTGATCTTCTCTTGAGATATTCTCTAATGTCAAAAATCTTATAGAGCAACAAAAGCGACAAGATCAACATAAGATGGAGAAAGCTCTGGGCAACAAGGAAGAAAGGGCGAGGCAGAAAGAACAACTCAAGGAGCGGCTAGCTCAGGTCATGGGAACAAATCAAGGGCCATCCGTCAATCAACAACAAAGTGCTTCTCGACGTCCCCATCAAGGTCTGTAAACAACAGTCAGGATTTTGTGACGGAACTTGTCTTATTCAGCGTATTCAAATAATCTTTCACAATCAATCCTTACAGCTCTAAGGGATTCTGTATAAAATCAATTGTAAGATTCTCTACTTTTCTCATTTACACCAGCCTTTCGAATTCATGAGTCGACAAGCATTAAGCCTGCGGGTGGAATATCAGATACGCAAATGATGAGGCGGTGCTTTGGTGGGCTGGTCCGCAGCAAGCCACCAAGCCACTTATAAAGTGGTACATGCCCACCGCAACCTCTACCTACCGAACATCTGCAACATAGCATCATGACAAGCCAAATCCCTTTGTCCAACATCTCAACGCAGAATGTCCTTCCGAAAGACACGCATGGCTACCCAGAGCTTGCAAAGGTCATGGGTGCCTATAGAGGCATGTCAATCTACCTCCGCTTCGCAGACCTCAACGCTCGAGATTTGCTAGTATACCAAGCAGAGATACTCCAGCTGGAACAACAACTCGAAGTATATGACCAAATAGTTCCATGGAGCAAGACCAATATTCTAAAGCCACTGACTGAGCAAAGAACGGACATGGAGCAGGAGCACTGGAATGCACAGATGGGCTTACGGTCTAAACTGAAGGATTACAGTAACAATCTTTGAATCAACTCCATCAATCCGGAAGTTTAGTCTAACAGAATGAAATCAGACGAAACACTACTACGACAAGCAAAGATCCAAGAACTCCAACAACCAAGTCCATATGACCTCAACATTCTGACCCGCTGGCTAGAACACGAAAAGGGCGGCAACAACTTTTTGAATGGCTTCGAAGACCTTCCATGGACGGAAGAAAGATCATCAGACCTCATAGCGCTGTCAAAGCGCGACCAAGATCACCTCACAACATGGACAGCCGAAAATCTAGTCCCTTGGTTCTTCCGCAGGGGCATAACATCAAGGGTACTCCATTCCTTACAAACAGAACCCATCTCCCACTCCATCACAAACTAATCTCAACATCTCATCACTAACACAACCCTCACCCCACAGCAACCCCTCCCAGGCCAAGAAGAACTAGGCCTAACCCACCACTCCGACACCACCTACACAAAAACCTCCCGCCTAATCTCCATCCTGACATCCTCTCTAATTCCCTCCCTGGCAATCCTAATCCTTTACTTCATACACAACCTCCTCGCACGCATATTCGTCGCCATGGGATTGAGTTTCCTGTTTTCGGTGGCTCTGGCATTGTTGACGCAGGCGAGGGCGGCGGAGATATTCGCAAGTACTGCTGCGTGAGTTGTGGATTTTGAGGTGGTTGGGAAGGGAATTGGCTAATTAGGATGTTTTAGGTTTGCGGCTGTGCTGGTTGTGTTTATTGGGAGTACTAGTACGGGTGGGTTGAAGGCTGGGTAGGGGTGAGTGGTGGAAGTTTTGTATGGGTTTGAAGGAGTGACCTCTTCGTGCCAGCGTCAGAAATGTTTGTGGTTTTCAAAAGTCAAAGATGTATTTGGTTTGTTGAGTCGGCCACTGGAGATTCATGCACCTAGTGATTTTTTTTGCAGCGCAAGCAGGAGTGACAAAATTTGAGTAAAATTGGAGCGATGCCTGTTTTTTCCTTACTTAGAGCGACTATGTTCTTGCAAATAGCGATTTTAATCTTCCATCAATGTGGCCTGCCAATCTATGAGCAACAAAACTCCCGGGGGTATCTTCGCAACATAAGCAGCAAAAGCTTCGAACAATGGCAGCAAAACATAAACACCCCGCACATAAGAGCTTCTCCATCATGCTGTCGTCAACAGCTCAGGTGACTATAGCAGCAACATATTCGACATCATCAATAGTGGCCTGCCAAATGCCCACCAACACAAAAATCCACTTACTCCCTACCCTTGTCATCTTGCCCAGACATCTGCACATCTTGCCATTGTGACCTTTGCCTTTTCCATCGAGAAAGACTCTGTCATCATCATCGAATAACGGGACGCCCTTCTAAGACGCGAAAGTGGCATTGATGAAGGGCGGGTTGTCGTGTGTGAGATCTGCAAGCACAAAATGCTGTGTGTTGTCTCCGCGGTAGGAGGACATGACACGGCAGTAGAATTCGAGCATGATGTTCTGGTCTTCTCGAGAAGCCTGGCAACCGATGTTCAAGGCTTCTCCTAGACAGAAAGAGGTGCGGATACGGAGGGAGGATGTGAGACCTGGGATCGGGGAGTTGGACTTCACGGCTTCGGGGAAAGTACTGCGGATAATACGTCTGGGTATTCCAGAAGCAGGTACAGTGGACGAGGAAGAATCTGGAGGAGACGATGAGACGTCCGACGGTGCAGTCAGGGCCGGGGTTCCTGCTGTGCTAGAAGAGTCGGATCCTTCTGTTTTGCAAAAGAAGTCCTCGAGATCTGCTGTGTCACTGAAAAGATCGTCTTCTGTTGGAGAAGGCGAGTCGGACCGTAGTTCAGCTTTGACAAAGCCATGTGGGCGTGGTGCAGCGTCTTCTGTTGAAGAAGACATTGCGACCTTACCATGGGTCGGCGTGCTTGGAAGAGAGATGCTGTCCCAATCACAGTCGACATCTGCAAGCTGTTCAAGCCATACGCTTTAATCCCGGAACAAGCGTGTCAGCCATGAGAGAACGACCAGCTGAAGTTCGATGCAAATCATACCTTTGAGGTGTTGAAGCCTCTGTGGCACGAGCCATTGGAAGGGTGGAAGATGTCGGACAAAAAACGTGGGAAACGGGCGTGCTGCTGCGTCTTGTATCACAAGTTCATATATGGAGAGGGGTTGCTGCTTGCAGAGAAGTCAAGACTTGACAGGCGAATTCATGCAGTTGCTATATCTGTGCAGACAAGCATGCGGATTATCTCATGCGCAGTAAACGTCCATGCAGGATGCCGATGGGTCGAGTATCGAGGCTGGATCTCCGGACGGATTTGATTGTGAGGACTATGAGTCTCCAGAGACAATGCGGCTTCGAAACCAGATCCAGATGAATGGCAGGTATCAATAGCAGTGGTTGATTGTCGTACAGAGTGAAGTTAAGGTCGAAGGAGCAGCATGCAGAGAAGCATCCGGGATTAACCTCCGCAATCGGGCTGCAGCGGGCCGAAGTTCGAGGCATCGGGCAGAAAGTGGGGCAGAGCATTGATGGAGATGACGGCTGTGCTCACCGACAACGTCCCCCAATCACGAGCTCGCCAACAACAAAACGTCTTTATCCTTTGTGCCATTCCAAGTGAACAAGTCTTGCTGACACCTCCTCGAGCTTGACCGAAACTTCTGTGCAAGCAATCAAACGCTCCTGCCTCGTGTAAGCGCGTATCCTCGGTGAACAAGGGAACAAAGAAGCAAGTGACTGTTCCTGCTTATCGGCTCCTCAGTCTGCGGTTCTGCACCTTCCTAACCCCAGTACGAAGACGCACGACGGAACGCCATCTGACAACACGGGCTGATCTCTCCATCTTTCTGGCTATCACTTCTGTTGTGTTAGGAGCTTTCTCGAGTCCATTTTATTCATTCTGGTGAGTCGCGCTTCCGACATGGCATTGAGTCTTGCGCCATTGGATGATGCCTGCGCCGTATGGTGTATTCTATGGTTCTCTGCAAGCCTCAAGCCAACATACCGTTCTTGCATGAGTTACCATGGGTGAAAAAGGCTGACCCTTTCTTGTTTCTCCTGACAGCTAGGCATAGCAAGACCTTAGGGCTAGACGGCTTCAAGGATCTACGCACCACGGATCCCCCATTTGCCTTCGCACACACACCTCTCTTACCACAGCACGCGGGCTTTTGGTGACGCCATCCTGTTGGTTTAGCTGCATCTCTGTCGATTCTTGTGTGTTGCTACCTCTACTGGTGCATTACCTTGGTGAATCACCACCATGTTGGGAAGCTCATCGGTATGTTACACTCTGATTCTTTGTCCGTTATTTATCACAACTCTGCCCCGATCAAGCACCATGTCTTCCCCATTTCCCTTCTGCTGCAAGAAATCATATCATACCCAACATGGAGTTCTTCAGTTGGTGCATGGCCTACCCTTGCCCATACGGTCCTTGCAACCCTGCCGAGGTGGATGAGTGGAAGAAAGAATGCGAAGCTATACACGAGAAGCGTCGGCAAAAGAAAGAGCTCAAGATGGCAGCCAAGCGCAGAGTTCTTGGACCACCCACTCGTCCACCTCCCAGATACTCCGTCCTTCCATGTCGTCTATCCAGATATTCAATATCCTGCCCTGCTTGCCGTTTGCGTGATCTGAAGTCAATACTAAGACAATGGGTTGTGCAACAGAGAAAGCCATATTCGGCTGTGTCGGTGCAGATTGACCGTCTCACCAGCGAACAATATGAAGAGGATGATCTCAGTGGAATTATTGACCTGGTCGAGGTCATCCGCATCCAGTCCTCTGGTCCGACGGAAGCAGCCAGAGCTATCCGCAAGAAGCTGTGAGTTGGTCTTGTTGCCTCGCACTATGCGAATCGTTCTGACTGACTTTGTACAGGAAGTATGGTAATCCTCATAGTCAGATCAGAGCTCTGAACATCCTGGACGGACTGATTCAAAATGCTGGAAGCCGCTTCCAGAAGACTTTTGCCGATGAACCTCTTCTGGAACGACTTCGTCTAATGGTTCGGGACGATATGGTCGACCTCGAAGTACGGAACAAGTGCAACATCCTCTTTAGGCAATGGGCTGTAGCCTACAAAGATACTCCTGGCCTCCACAACATCGCCAACCTCTACAAGCAGCTGCCTCAGAAGCCTCGCCCTCGCCAGGCTCAGGCAAAGGCAAAGGTCCTGCGCGAAACAGAAGCAGATGTCCATGAGGACCCGTCTCCTACTCCCCTTCCGCAACCCTCTCGTGGTCACTCACGCTCCAGCTCTGCAGTAAACGCCTCGGCCTCCGCCTCACGTCCAGTCACTCTAACGACCACACCCCACTACTCAATCCGCGACGCCGTCAGAGCCTCCACCAAAAAAAAGGACAAGACCACCGCCACAAAGTTCAACTTCGAAAAGGAAAAGCCTAACATGATCCAAAGTATCGCTCAAGCTTCCATCGCCTCTACCAATCTCCTCAATGGACTGCAACTCATCAACCGTGAGAATGAGCGCGTCTCTGAGAACCCTGAGGTGATGAATCGCTTCGAGACTTGCAAACTACTGAGGAGAAACATATTGAGGTATATCCAACTGGTGGAACATGATGATTGGATCGGTAGTCTGCTCTCTGCTAATGACGAATTGGTCAAGGCGTTGACGAGCTACGAAATAATGGATCGCTCGCTTGACGACGACAGCGACAGTGATGCTTGGGAGCACATGCCTGAGGAAGGAGGATCATCGCATGCTACAGGCGCCGAGTCCCAACTCGCTGGATTGAAGTTGGGAGGAGAAGAGGCAGCGCCACCCAAGCCCCCTCGACCTGGTCAACTCGCCATGCCCGCCAGACCTGATTATGGCAAGGCCAGAGCACAAGAGGACAGCGAATCCGAGAACGAGTACGAGGAAGACGATGAAGACAATCCGTTTGGCGACTCAAATGCGGTCAAGACGCCTCACATCGAACGACCCGGCATGACTTGGAAGAACGTCTAGAAGAAAGGCTCCGAGGAAAGCTCAATGAGGAACCCCAGTGAGAGCCCCCCGAGAAGATCCATGGTAGTCTCTGAGTCAGACATCGAAGCCTAGGAAGCTCTCAGGATCAAAAACGAGGAAGCGAAAGCAACCGAGGAAGCCCTCTGGGAACGAACTGAGGAAACTTCCGAAGAACGTCCTCAGAAAATCTCCAAGAAGCAGAAATACAAGGAAAACTTCAGAAAGGGCATGAAGAAATTTGTCACTAAGCTCCAGACCTATCCTTATGATAGGAAGGATTTCGTCTGAGACGGGAAACTTGTCTCCCTGTTTGGCGGATGGAGGGCTTCTATTGTTTTCTTTTTCTTTTTTTGCTGCTTTCCTGCACTTGTTATTGTTGTTATTGCTTTTTCCGTGCCCTAGTTCTTTGTCGCGGTCAGTTGTCGATATACCATTATTGAGTTTTCATTGTTCGAGCGTTGATGGACTAGCATGTTTTCCTCAGTGATCGGGTTGCGACTCTACTACGGTGTTGACATGATTGTCTAATATCTCGTCCTGAATCCGATCGCATCAAGACCAACGAGGATCACTAACAAGTAGAGTAAGCATATAAGTGAAAATTATAGACGTTGCATTCGTAGGTATCCCTTCCATCTCAAACTCCATGTGTGTTTGCGAAGAAGCAAAGCAAAAACACCCAATCCCATAATCAAGAAGAATTCCAAACCCAGCATCACCTCGAGCAGAAACAGAAACCTCAGGCTTCAGTCAGAGATCAAGCAAACGGTGGCACCCACATCATCTCAGATAAAACGTGCCCACCCAACTATCCCTCCTCCCAAAAACCTTCTTGAAAGGCTTCTTGACACCCCTCCTCCAAACCCGTCTGACACTCCTCCTCACACTGACTTCTCCATCTCTAACCCTCTTGCCACCCCTACTACCCCCATTACCCCTACCTTGTCCCGCACACCCCTTTTTCACACATCCAACCCTCCCATGCTCATGCATATGACTCAACATCTCCCCATCCGAGAGGTTTGGCCGTCTGGCACGGTGTTCCTTGCTCTACATGACCGTGCAGGGGATTATACAGCAGGAGCAATCGTCGCCGCACCAGCAGGGGAGCTTCACGCCCGGGGTGACACGTTTGATGGCCTGGTTTGAGGAAGAGGAGGAAGTTGCTGAGGAGGAGGAGGAGGAGGTTGAGGGGGTGGAGAGGGCGGTGGTGGTGGGTGTGGTGATGACGTTTTTGGGCATTGTTGCGGTTTTGTGGTTGGAGGTTTTGGTTGGCTAGGGGGAAGTGTTAGTCGTGTATCTTGATATGTGATGATGAGCATTCGAAGTCGAGAGGATAACTCACTTTTGGTAATCACTCTTCACTGATCTCGATATCTCTGATCCCAGTCTTTGCTCTTTGCTTCCCGTCTCCGGTAATCTCTCAGTCGCAAGTCTCGTAGGTCCACAGTATTCGTAATCTCCTTTTCGCTCGTGATATCGCAAATTTGTAGTATGTTCAGGTGCAAGTTGGGCGGATAGGCAAAGGACAAAGATCAGGAATACGACGCGACAGAGGCGGAGGAGCGGACGGGCGGCCTTGATTTTGTATATACCAAGCCGCGGGAAACTGGGCTGGAGCGACCGGCAGGAAGGGGGATACGCGTAATACGTCACCAGACGCTAATTTTACTCCGCGGCGCTAAAAGGGCAAGAGACACTATGGGGAAGTGGCGTGAGTGGCGCAGTGCTTTGTATACTGTGGCTGTGGCTACGCACAAGAAATGAGGAAGAGAACGAGTTGAATGTGAACAGCTGCTTCCGCGAAGGATGAATATGTGTTTGAGATGTTGGAGTACATTCAGAGTACTCTATCCGGTCGGGATCTCGAGTGGAGAGGTGTGTTCGATACAGAAGTTGCTGACCGGGTCACCCTGCTCGCAAATATCGATGATCATAAAACATGCAAAGATGCCTTTGAACCTCTGGCTGTTGGTTTGTTCCACGCAAGAAGGATGCTTCACATTTCCAAAGTTATAGTGCATATCTTGCAGCCATCTCACATGCCTTTTATGTACATGGAACAAGATTTCACAGCTGAAGCATGCACATCTCGAACCACGACTAGATTTGAGGTCAATCTCATGAATCAAGGTTGACTATAAACGTTTGTGTAAGCTCAAGCTTGTTGGCATTTCAGAGTGGACATCAAGTGGTTTCGAAAGGTACATTCATAATACATAAAAGAAAGAACGCCATTATGCCATGTTACATCTCATGATCTCCATAATCGTTCCAAGCTTAATACTCATCAGAGTAGTACTCCTCATCAGGCATCATAGCACGGTAACGCCTGCTGGCGAGGTCCTGCTCAAGACCACCATCAACATCGGGGTCTGCGTAGCCTGTAAGCGAGTCAGTATTGATTTAAAGATAAAGGTCGAACAAGGCGATGAAACTTACCAACTCCACCGAAAAAGCTCAAGGCAACCGGCAAAAAGACCAAAGCGTGAAGTGCAGCCCAAATGACAAGTGCCAACCAGACTCTGAAGTAGTAGATTTCGAAGATCTTGCTGCGAGTGAAGGCGAGCACGAAAACACCGAGAAGCTTGGTGACTGTGATACCCGAGAATACCGAGGCTCCAACATTGACAAGAGCAGCCCAGGCACGAGCATCCTTCCCGCGGAAGCTATGGCAGCGTTCGAGGAGAGAAGGCGATGGTACTGAGAATGCGCGTGCAATGTGGGCGCAGAACTCGACTGAGATACCAACGCAAATGATGAGGTTGACAAGGGAAACAGCGTTGAGTGATACACCGGCCAAGGAGATGGTGCCGATGATGTCAACGACAGTCATGCCCACGGTGACTGTGACAACAAGACCTGTGGCCAGCGAGCCGAGCAAGACGCTGCTCAACACGAGGATGAAACCAAGGGCACCTCCAATCAAGGCACCAGAAAGGCGGACAATGGACACGTATTGGTCGAAGAAGATATAGAACTTGCTGTAAGGGAACACCTCAACACCTGTGTGCGATGTAATATCTTTTGCAATACGACGAGCAGACTTGTACGCGGCGATGAAGTCGCTCTGGCTGTGCATAGGGGTGTGCGAGGTACGGAAGTGAGAAGCGGGAATGCTCAGACTGCTGTTGTCGACGACAAGAGCGTCACCATATGCAGCCTTGCCAGCCAGGGGACATTCACTGGTAGTGGGCGACTCGAGCCAGCGCTGAAGGTATGAGACGAACTCTTGGCCTTCAGGCATACCATGGAGAGTGACATTCCAGGGAGGGTTGCGGTTCTCAAAGCAAGTATGAGACCCGTCAACACAGCACTCCTCAAGCGAAGGGTTCAACCAGAAGAAGAAATCATCAATCCAGCTGGCAGTAGCATCGGCGATGTAACTGATCTCTGGTCGCTTGCGCTCTTGCTCGAGGATGTTTGCCAAAGAAAACTCCTCACAAGTTGAGAAGCGACCGCAAATCTCCTGCTGATGTACACGAGCAGTCGCGTTAAGATCCTTGGTAACGAAGTAGACCGGCGGTCCAGCCTCAAAGTAGTCGTAGAGATCATCGAAGTACTTGATGAGGTAAGAATCAGAAGGGATTGCAATGCGTTGATCAAGCCCAAGTTCGACACCGGGCAAAAGGGCGAGACCGATGGTGAAGAATCCGAGGAAAATGGTGATGACAGCAGTCTTGGTCTTCTTTCCAAGCAAAGCAGGAGCATAAGTCTTGCGGATGAAGCGCTGGAGTGCGCCTTCCTCCTCAATACCAGCCAAGCCAGGCATGCCGGCAATAGCCATCGAATTAGAGTCAGCACCCTTGACCTTGATGAAGGGGAAGCAGTCTGCGCGACCGGCCTCAACACGCTTTTGATTGAGAGCGAGAACCGAAATGAACATAGTCACCTGCAAGATAGCGTTGATGAAGACAGCTCCAGCTGCGTATGCGGCGAAGTTGCGAACAGCAGGCATACCAACAGCAGCACCAAGAGCAAATGCGACGGTCTCAGTAGTCGCAGATAGGAGAATGCTGGGTCCCATGCGACCAAGTGCTTTTGCGATCCTCTCACTGACTGGCTCATCGGCGTGGCTGATGTTGACACGTTCGAACTCATGGACGATGAGGAAAATGTTGTCAACACCGACTGCAAGAACCAGGAATGGAATGACCTCGGCGATGATCAACGTAGCCTTGACACCGGCGGCAGCGAAAAGACCGACAGATGCAGAGACAGACATTAGAACAATAAGAATACCAACAACACCAAGCATGAACTTTGACTGGACCAGAGCATTGGCGGGGTTTCTCAGCACGTCTCTAACGGTCAGAGTGGTGGCGCCTAGTGCGATGGAAGCATACAAGAACATGATCAGGTAGCTGACAGCAACAATCTTAGCATCAGTGTTGGTCGACTTGTTGAGCTCCTGCTCCAGACTGATTTCAGTGTTGAAAGATAGGCGAAGACCACGCTCAGAAGCTTCATCTTGGACAGTGAGCAAGAGCCCCTTGAGACTCTCTTCCCAGTCCATGGCTCTCTCGAGCTCGAAGGTGTCCTCTGCGTGGTTGGTAACGGCCCATGTGACAACAACTGCTGTAGAGTCGATGACGCTGTTGTTGTAGCCTCCAAAGAGGTAGCGAGGGTTGAGAGGTTGCTGGAAGTCGGGCAGACAGTTTACAGGAGTGTCTGCGCAAGCCTCGAGATCCTCTTGCCAAAGGTCAGGGTCAATGCCTTGGAAATCACCACCGAAATAGCCAGTCAAGGATTGAACAACGCAAGCATCGCCTGTAGGCTTGTAGCAGACGTCGTCGAGCGTGTAACCACCGTCGATCGACTTCATCCTACGAATACGGTTCTCGACATCGAACCACCAGTTGAGTGTATCGTAAGACAGAACAGGACCAGGACCGGTGGGCAGAGTGTCGTTGACTAAGAAGGCTTGCTCAGCTCTGAAGAAGGGACCGAAAGACTTGTCGAAGAAGGCCTTCTCCTTTGCGGCCTCAGAGTCAGGAGACACCCAAAGCTTGACAGGGTCGGTCTCGACAGTAAAGCGCATCCAGCCCAGACTAAGCAATGCAACAATGATGACCGAGGAGCTGATGGTGATGGCAGGAAAAGTGGCGGCAGTGCGACCAAGACGGGAGAAGATTCTGTCACAGACGGTGTTCAGAGGATAGCTTCTGGTGGGCTTCTCGAGCAGGCCAGCCTGGTGAACAATGTCACCTTCGTCTTCATCGTCGCTGGGAGAAGCGTCCTGGAGCAATCTCAAGCGCTCATTGCGGCTCTTGGTGTGCTTAGCATAAGCGACATGGCCAGAGACGGCAAGAATCAGAAGGAACAGGAAGACAGAGTAGACAATGATGACAGCGAAAGAAAGGCAGGGCAAAACGCCGACCTTGCATTCGTGTGCTTCCTTGACAGAAGGCAGTTCGGGGCAAGAAGCGGCACAATCGACACATGCGCATCGGTATCTCTCGTCAGTGCTGTTGCAAGGGTGGGCTTTGTCAGATCCAGGTTCCATGCCAGGGAAGTCAGCCTCGTTAGGAACAGGGAAGTTTATTTGGAAGGGACTGCCGAAAGGCTTCTTGTCACCCAAGAACTTGAGGAATTGGGTGTAGTTCTTTGCGCCACCACCGATCAGGTCCATGGCTTTTCCTCCAGTAGCTCCGAACTTGACGTCCTTGCAGCTGCTGTAGAATGCACTTCCATAGTCTTCGGAGATGAGCTGGTCGAGTTCAGTGACTAGCAGTTTGTCACCCTTGGGAGCGATATTGGTAACGTTGACGAAGAGAGATTGGTCGGGAGAGCAGGTAAATGTGCAGAAGAGGTTGAAGAAGTTGTCCTTGCAAGCAGGGCATGCACCGATGATGGATTCAGCGCGCTTGAGGTTGGAGCTGAGTGCACCAAGCTGCTCATCGGTACAGCACACAGGACCTTCAGCCCATTTGTCACCACAGATTGACATGAGCGTCTTGCGTGTGTCGGCCGAGGGCTCTTCGGCCAGACCATTGTCAGGGCATGGCAACTCGGAGCCGAAAAAGCCTTGCTTGCCACAGTGTCCACGAATGGCGCATCTCCCTGCTTCATGCTTGTGAGTGAAGCCATCCGGCGCGGATGCATCAGCTGTCGCGTCGACTGAGAGGCCAAAGGCAGTTTGATGTTTTTCGGCAGAGGCAGAAAGCAGGCTCAGACCCGCCACTGCGAGCCATGACCGCGTGATTCTCATTTTCCAAGCTTTTGATGTGTCTTTCTTAGTTGCGCTGAGTTATGTTTCGGCGATGCACGAGGTAGAGGAGGTGCTCAAGGCGTGTCGAGCTTGTTAACGGTCAGGCACCGAGGTGGCCAGGATGCGGAGTCGAGGAAACGGTGCGATCAAGTCGTTTTGAAGCAGTCGACAGTAGTCACGATATGGGATGCGAAGACGGAAAGCGAGTAGGTTGACACAGAAACAAACACGCACTCGGGCGTGTCGATGGTCGAACAGAGCAGATCAAGGTGTTGCAATCGACAAGGACTCACCCATACACCCACGCCGAGCGACTGGCCGCCTCCGCATTTGCTTCCCGCGTGCCATGACGAATGCCAAGCTCAGCCACATTTGCTCCCTCCCCCAGCCTCATCTTCCATCCTTTCATCCCTGGCATGACAAGCACAGCACTTTTTAGGAACCGGAACAGCGCGTGCTTATAGTATTACATGTTTGCTTCGTCTGTATAACGTCTCATGTAGCTAGCAGTCTAGCCTCTCGTTCCAAATCGCTTTCATGCTTTTCCTCCATGTGAATTCATCAAGTGCTTTGGCTCATAGCGTCTCCTATGCTCCTCTTCATCGCGGCGCGGCCCCTGCTCCTGAATAAGCTTCCTCTCTGGATAGCATCCAATACTGAGAAGCCGCTCTCTCGCCGCACATGCTTCATATCGTCGTCTGACTTCATGCTTGGGACTCGCCAGCAGGAGCTGCACCTGATGGTCCACGACCGGCACCACCTCTGCCTCCGCGACCACCGCGCTCCATACCGCCACGTCCACGTCCACCGCGCCCTCCACGTCCGCTGCGAGCGCCTTCGCTGTCGGATTGCCCACTACGGTATCCGCTCTGCTGGCCAGATGCATTGCGTGAGCTTCCCCAAGTGCCAGCCTGGAATCCTCCACGTGCCGGGCGTTGCTTGAATTCACTAATTCTCAGCGAGGAGTACTTGCTCTCTGGAGCGGGACTACGCTTCAGCACTTCTTGCATCTCTTCGTACGAGTTGAAGTGTGCGATCCAGAAGCCCTTGCTGGTTCTCTCCAGCTTGCTAACCTTCTTTTGATCATCCTCACTAAAGATTTGACGTACTTCAGCCTCGTCGTCAGTGCCGTTGATGGGAGGAATGAAGATAGACTGGCTCTTAGGAACTTCTTGGGGCTTAGGAGGGCCATCAGCTGCAGGTGCGGCGGATGTCTTCTCCTCAGGCTTTGCGGGTGCGGGGTTACCGTTGGTCGAAGCTGCGGGTTGGGGAGTTGCGACAGGCTTGGTAGGCGCGGGAGAAGGAACTTGCTGAGGAGTAGCAACCGGAGGTCTAGCAGTTTGATGAGGTCCAGGACCGCGCGAAGAGGGCGCGTTTGCGGGTACGGGAGCAGATGCAGCAGCGGCAGGAGGACCTGAAGGTGTAGGAGCGTTGCTGGGAGTGGGTGCCGATGCAGCGATGGGAGCGGCAGGTTGCTGGGGTGCTTGAGTAGCTTGTGCGGGCTGTGCAGGACGTTGAGTGGGCTTGCCAGCGCGGTGCGAGAAGTTGAAGCCCTGGGCCTTCATCTCGGTGCCGATTCTGCCCTGGTCAATATCAAGCAACAACCAGCCGAAAGCGGCATCAGCCAAGTTGAAGTTCCACATGTTCTTGAAGGCGCTCTCATCTACAACACCACCCTGAGGACCAGTGTAGCCACCACCGAAGGGGTTGCCGCCGTTAGCGACAGAGGGCATCTTGGAGACGAGGTCGAGGGCGTTGTGCAGGAGACGCTGTTGTGACTCGTTCTCGGAAACAGCAGGCTCGACCTCGCTCTTAACAGTCTCCCAGACATCGTTGAAGGATGCCTTTGATGCGGCGAGCTTGCCGCGGTAGTGATCCAGTGTGGGGTTGACACTGAACTCGTTGTAGGAGCTGCCATAACGGAAGTGAAGTCCAGCTGAGATGGAGAAGTCGGCCTTGAGGGCCACAGCCAGCTGGTTTAGCAGACCCTCACGGGCAGGCGATGCGTGGGTGACAAAAACGCGGGTTTCGGTAGGATCGTAAACACGGTTGGCTGTGTCGATGAGCTCGCCGATTTGCAGGAGAGTGGTCCACATGGTTCCTTGGCCACCAGCAATTGTGGTACGGCCCTCGCCGTTGTCGAAGAGCTTGTGCATGACAACAGCACCTCCGAGACCAAGAAGACGCAGCTTCACACCTCCAATGTCGAGCAGGCGAGCGTGCGATTCGTCGATGACGAACAAGTTGTTAATCTTGTATTCTCCCGAGCGCAGCTTCTCCAAGACCGAGACGTCTTCGCAAGCACCCCATACTGTGTAAACGGGCTTCTCGAGTGTGTAGGTGCCGTTCAAGAATTGCGGAAGCTCTGATAGAGGCAGGCCTTCGCGTTGGAAGCGCTCCTTGATCGACGACTGTGCAGGGGCGCGGGCAATGTCGTTCTTGACGCCATCATTCAGGAGGGGAGAGTATTGCGCAACGTGCTTGAGGGTCCTGATTCGGATTAGTTGATTGAATAAAATTATTGCGTTTGAGTGCTCACTTCTCAGCGATGCGGTCGAGCGAAGTGTTGTCGTAAAAGCCAAAGTCGCCGGTGTGGATGATGTAGTCGGCTCTTGCGTTGCGGGCGAGTTCGTTCAAGGATCTGAGATTGCCTGTTCCATCACTTCAGCGTCGATTCCTTCCTCTTGCATTACTCCGAAAGCTCACCTCGCACGTCGGCGATACAGAGAACTCTGGCGCCACCGGCCTGGACCACGCGACCTTGGTTAGGGAGAAGTGGCGTCGCTCCGGGAACGGGGCCTGATGCTTGAGAGGGAGTGCCGTTGGGAATGTACGCCTGGCTGTATGCGCGCGGTTGAGTAGGTGGTTGCTAGACAGACATGAGCATTGATTCGTCCAAACCAGCAAACACAATAAGCGCATCATGCGGACTTACAGCCATGAGTGATGTTTGGTGTGATGCGCTTTGTCGGGGTATCAAATTAAGGAAGCAGATGGCAAGGCAGAATTAAGACGAGGAGTACACAGATCCAGCGTCAGATGAACAACGAGAAAGACGGCGGGTTTGAAAGCCAAATGTGAAGGAGAGCTTCCACGTCGTTTACTCCTGCCACCGCGCAGCTGCCAGTCGCATATGTTCGCCAAGCCACTCGGGGGTTAAGTATCCTGCCAAGGCCGAATGCTGGTCTTCCATCTTCGACCACATCCGACCGGTCTTGATCACACCCTCCCGTAGAGGGTTGCAGGTAGATTTTCTCAAGCTTTAATTCACTCCTGGTATTGTGTTACATACTGGCACTTTGTCATCTGTCAAAAGGTATCGTTGATCAAACACCATGATAGCAGCGCCATCGTCCAAGCTCCAAAGCGGCCCCAGCCTTCTCTTCCATGAACTTCTCAATCTTCCACCCTTCCTTCATCTCCATCTTAATACTCCATAGCATCCTCAAAGAGCTGTCTCAGCTGTGCTCTTTCCTCGTCTACGTTCTGCATGTCTAGGCTGGGCGCCAGCATGAGGACTCTGGCTTGAGGCATGGTGCCTTCGACCAGCTGATCCACATCGCTGCTGCCAAAGCCTAGATCCTTCAGACCGCGAGGCTGATCACCCAAATCTACCAAGAATTTGGCCAGCGCTTCACTCAAAACCTCTCCAGCACTCTCCTTCTTGACCTGGCTGATGTCTACACCGAAGCACTCTGCTGCTGCAAGATGTCTCTCGGGGTTGCTTGCTCCAGTAAACTTGAATACGGCCGGTGCGGTGACAGCAACACTGACACCGTGAGGGATGATCGGGTGGTCGACTTCGTAGCCATTGTGCTTGTATCCGGGGTTCTGACCACTGACAGGGTAGCTCATACCATGGCAGAGATGGACACCAGCATTGCCGAAACCAACACCTGCCAGAGTTGCTGCCAACAACATCTTGCTTTGCGCTTCATGATCATCGGGATCCTTGACTGCTCTAGGCAGATACTTGACAGTATCTCTCAAAGCCTGTAGACTGAAAATATCCGAGATGGGGTTCGCACCCTGGTATGCTGGTCGCTCGATTGGGTTACGAGGTCTTGGTGTGCGCTCATGATAGGGAATAGCTGTCCAAGATTCGAGGGAATGGCAAAGGACATCGAGGCCACTCGAAGCATGCACAGCAGAAGGCATAGTGCGAGTATTGAGAGGATCACATATGCCTAGTGTTGGCTTCAGGTTGCGATGCGCGATACCCGTCTTTGCCTTTTTTGAAACAAGATCAAAGATGGCTGTGCCTGTTGTCTCTGATCCTGTTCCTGCTGTCGTGGGTACTGCAACGAGAGGCTTGAGCTTGCCTTGAATTGGCAGTCCTTTTCCAAGAGGGGCATTGACGAAGTCCAGGAAGTCTGCTTCAGGGAATGATGTGTACAGGTTCATGAGCTTGGCTGTGTCAATGACCGAGCCACCACCAACGGCAAGGAAAGCGTCTGGAGCATAAGGTTTGGCGAACGCGATCGCTTCCTTGATGCTGGTTACTAGTAAGTACAGAGCCCAGGTTTTGTGACAGTCGAACTTACGAGTGGTCTTTTGGCTCAACTCGACACTTGCTGTACACTTCGTACTTGATCCCTTCCCTATCAAGACCTTCTTGAACCTGCTTCATAGCCGTCAAGTGCAGAACAGTGCCATCAGTCACGATCATGACTTTCTTAGCTCCCATGTTCTTGAAGTCCATGCCGACCTCCTTGGTGCAGCCAGGTCCGAAACGGATACTGGACGCTGCCATCTCGAAAGCGTACTCCTTCTGCTGCGAGTAATCGACTGGTGTCGCAAGTGCACGTCTTCCTTGAGAAATGCTCAATGGGTTGTGGTGGTGGCCTGGGTTGCTGTGGCATGGGCATCCTGGACCATGGGTGCCTACTGCACGCAAGAGGTTGAGTGCTCTTGCCGCTCTGGTTGGTGCTATGCGTATGGCTGCCATTGTCACGAATCTGAGTCTGGAGGAAATGTACAGAAAGGGGAATCAAGGGAGTTGCGACATGTTTTGACAGACATCATGCGGGGCCATGCGGATATTGCGGGGATCTCGTTGTGGAGCAATACCGATGACCCGCATGAACCATTACAGAGTTGACACTCACCTGCATACTCATGGGACTGGAGCGAGTGTAGTGCTAGAACGATATTATGAATACTACCCTGATAACATCGAATAAAACAACAAATTACTGCTTCGCAGCTTGTTCATCCTGGAAGATTGCACCTCCGAAGCATCACAACTCCGCAAGACCGAGGTACGATTGAGACCCCACAACGCGGCCTTCTCACCTCCGAGACACCCTCGAACATTGTTTCTGTACAGCGATGTCGGCCGGACGTCCGCCTGCCTTACATAAACGTTGACAATCAGAGCATACCTTGATGCCTTACTTGGGCAACAGTAGGAGTCTGTGAGCACAAACCTCGGAATGCAGCGAGATCTTTGCATCAGGAAGTAACCACTATTAGCCGTGAAGTCCGAGTTCTGAACCTTAAATAGTGCCAGCAGAAACTGGCGTCTATTCATTCTTGACTTCACGAAAGCTATCAAATGACCATAAATTTCATTTGGCAACGCGCAGCTCTGCTCATGAGTATAACAGCGAGCGACGCGATCAACTGCACAACACAGATTAGATGATTCACAGGTCTTGGCGACTGTGCCACGGCTATTCACAACAATCCGTCTTTCAACTGAATCTAACCTACTAACCTGTCAATCTCTTCTGTCGCATAAACCATATAGCAAACATGTACAGACTATCCCAATCCAGCTTTAATCTTGGTCTACTATGTCCACTGCCCCCGCCAACAAAGTACGGAGACCGCAAATATGGAGAAGGTGTGTTTGCTCAAGCAAAGCAGAGCAGACCATTGCCAGCTCCCAAGTTCAAGCCATGGTGATCTCCCGGACGAGGGTTCCAACACCCAGAGTGGTATCACATGTGATATACTTGCTTCGGTACCATGCTGTATCAAGCTCTACTACAAGGTGAACGGGAGTTCAAAGTGTCTGTTACTCTTGTTTGAGATGTTCAGTTCAATTTCGAGTATAGTTATGACATGCGACCTTTCTGTCTCAAAGCGGGCAACAAAAGCCAACGGAAGTCAGTCTAGCTCAAAGAAAGACTGTCTATCATGAAAATTGCACCAGAGAGATTGAGCTATAATCCAAGTCAAGTACTCTCCTGTCCAAGTATATTCATCTATGAGCATTATCTTTGGTCTGGCGTCTACAGAGCCTTGCCGACATCCGCGGTGTCCTCCCCTCTAAATCCTTTCTTCTCTTCGAATATGCCTCTGCTCTCGCTTTCGATATCCCTGTCGGGGCTTGTCTCTTTACCCTCCACAACTTCCAAGCTATAGATGGTCTTCGGAATCAGCGCCTCCATCGTCGGAAACACCATGCTCAACACGGTGTATACAAAAACGCTGGATACGAATCCATATAACCAATCGAAGGCGTATAGATGTTTAGCTCCAGCGGAGATTGAGATGCCATTGATTGAGTCCGCCAGGCCAGGTAGATTGGGACAGACGGCAATGAGAAAGGCAACTAGACCTTGCCAATTGACGCCATAGACGTATCTGTAGCGACCATGCGGGTCGTAGAGGGCTGGCACATCGATGTGTCGTTTTTTGATCAACCAGTAATCAGCTGCTATAATGCCTAGACAAAAGTCAGCAAACATCCTTGACATCTCAAATCACCAACACTTACCAGCCATAGGAGCAAGAAACACCGAGTATCCCGACATAAAACTCAAGAAGGTCTCCGCATCAGAAAGAATCTTCCAAGGCACCATAACCCAACAAGAGACCACCGCAGCAATAACACACCCCCTTTTGATATTGATATACCTCGGTGCCATGACACACATATCATTCGCGGCCGAAATCGAGTTGGCAGTGATATTCGTGCCCACTTGCGCGATATACCAACTTAATGCTGCAAAGAAAGCAGCTGCTCTGCCTGCAGATCCATTGTTAAGCCATTGCGCAACGATATCCAAGGGGTTCCAGTAAAACTCGCCGTAGACGACTTTAGATGCCGAGGTTGTGATTACGCCTAGAGCACCACACAGTGTGAAAATGATAGGCAACACAGGCAATTGAATGTATTGCGCATAGTTTGTCTTTCCATCCGCCCTACCCTTGGCATATCTCGAGAAATCAGGGATGTTGCAGGCCAGAGTTGCCCATACGCCTGTGACTGAGGACATACAGCTTAGCCAGAGGTAAATTCTAGTTTCTCCTGTCGCGGTACCGGGCTGAGAGAAGATTGCACCAGTACCGCCGGCTTTGTGGATCATGTAACCGAGAGTTGCAAAGGCGGTTATGGGTGCAGCGATGAGTTTTATGATAAAGAGGTAGCGGAGGCGGGTTGGTGGGATTAGGAGAAGGGGAAGTTGGATAAGCCAGAAGAGGAAGTAGGCGATCATTCCTGCTGTACTTATGCCGCCGCTTCTGGGCAACTGTGAAAGTCAGCAGTTTGTTCAAAGAGGTGCGTATGGATGTCTGGCTCACTGTGTTATTAGGACCATTCCAATCGTAGGACGCAAAAGATGGGCATATCGCCATCAGCATGACTTGCATAGCCAAAGCACCATTGGCACTCTGTATACCCAGCCAGAACATGGCCAAGATACATCTACTTGCAATAGCAAAGTAGGCAAAGTAGTAGCCAAAGCCAGAGCGAACGATGACACTGAAAGGTGCGTGGAGATGAGCACCAATTGCGCCATTGAGGACGACAGGAATAGCGACACAGAGAGTACCAACAGCCATGATGGGGATAGCATCCCGCCAGGTTAGACCGACTTGTATGATTGAGCTGGCCGTCTCCCAAGTACCCAGATTGATCATGTCAGTTGCCCAACTTTGGTCACAGTATTAGTCCAGCCTCTGGTGGTTCATACTGCTGCGTCGAGGCTTACTATGCCACCCAAGTCCACATGCTCCATGTCTGATCCTCGATCGGGACGGGATCCATATCTTTGTTCGTCCAGACATAGTCGGGTGCAATCGTTGAATCCTGCTTGGGTAGAGCCCAAGCTTCGAGAGTCGTGCATCTTTTCTTGATCGTGTCTTTTGACGGAAGGGCAATACTGGGCAAGAGACCCATGATTATGGACTAATGATATATTCACTAGTAGGACAGAAATCAAGTGCAAAACAGAACCAGACTGCAAGGAAATGACGGAAAGGTAATGTACTTATCCAGGAAATTTGCACGGCAGTTGTAGCCTCATATTTCTTTACATGCTTGTTGGTGTAAAGATAACATGCGAATGTAGCTACCCCAAGATATAATCCGTCGATCGATACTGCAGTCTAATGCGGGGGTGCGATTGGTTCTGCTCTTATCTTTCAAAGTCGCATCAGACGTTTTCAGACCACCTGCCTCAAGAGTAGCGATAGGCATCTCGGCTAAGAATAGCTTGGTAGACTTGTCTAAGAAGCTTGTGTACCTGATAGAGACTACTTTAGTCTAACACGGTTTCTGGCTGACAGAATGGTCGGGTTATGCTGCGGTTGATAGCAGAGATGTGAATCAAAATTGTGCCGATATGGTTGTTTTGCAAAGCTTGTGGTAGGATTGCTTGGCGTTGAGAACATCCCTTGCCACATGTTCCAAACATGGAAGGTCAACCTTCGAGTTTGACAGAACGCGTTCTTTGACCTCTTGCTATTGATTTGAACTTTACCATATAATGCCGTAGAGCCGTTTTCCCTTGAGTAACTATGCTTCTTTGAAAAAATCAACCACAAATCCAATGGGGGCTTACTAAAACAGGGCGTCCATAAAAGCGTTGTATTGAGAACAACATCGTCTAGGAAAAGCCTTCATTCCCAAGTCAGACGGTATTAAGGATGCCATGGCCGAAAATCAAGTATGGTGTATTGTCTAGCGACATTACAAGAAACTCTTCTCTAATCTGTTGCATTTCTCGGCCAAGTCTGAGATCCAGCTACTCCAGCTGATAACAAACGGAAATAAGCAGGACTACGTGGCCGCGAAGATCATGCAGAAGCCTTCGGATGAGAAAGATCGAGAAGCGTACCGGACTTGCTTTGGAAACCTCGACACAACCAAGTAGCCGCTGTCATCGGGAGCTTCACAAGCAAGGTTCGAAATGGAGGTGAAGGACCTTGGACGGTTGGACTGTGGATTTGGTTTTCAAGAATTGTCATTTGTGCACTAAAGGTATCCTACGTCTGGCATGTTCAACGCACGATGCAATCTCGTGTGTATATGCCGGGGTATTTCCCTATCGTGTGATGTAAAAACCTGGAACCAAATACTAGACCTTCAAGGAAGACCCGGAACTTCTGCCATGCGTATGCGATTTTCTGTAAAGAGAGCCATAAGGTAGGCGAATAGGAGGAGCAAGGCTAGATGCAGTTAGCCTTCAGTGTCAGATGATGCGCATTGCAAAGATTCTGGGAGGGTTACCGTCTAATGCCAGCCCCGCAGATCAGGTTAAACTTCAAAGTATTGGTGAAAGCGGAAGTTGTCGCTCTCGTTGTTGAACATCTCTCAGGTATCATTGTTGAACACCCTCAGGTATCGTTGCTGAACACCCCCAGGTCTCGTTGTTGAATCCTCTCAGGTAATAGGTATCGTTGTTGAACCCCCTCAGGTATCGTTGTAGAACCCCCTCAGGTATCGTTGTGGAACCCCCTAAGCTATCGTTGCTGAACACCTTCATGGAAGGCGATACTTTGTGGCGTTGCTTGAAGAATGCTAGCCGATTGCAGCTCAGGTTTGTGAACCCTGGCGAGATGCAGCCATCTTGGGGATGTTGCGCAATAACCATGCACAACATGCACGTTTGCGGATTATCTCTGTGTCTGGCGACATGTAGACTTCAAGTCTCGTACCTTGCTCATCGAAGATCCTGAGCTCTTTTTTGGTGCCACTGGGACCTGAAGACGTGTTGTTGCGTGGGTAGCTGGCTCTACGGCCGTCGTTGATGTTCATGTTTCTGCAAGTGGGAAAGTCGGGGTGGTGGTCATAGTGTTCATGTACGACAGCATGGCCGGTGGTGATGTACAAGTGCCAGTCATCAGGATGAGCACGAATGGTGTCGGTGTCGATGTAAGCAAATCCCCACTCAGAAATGTAGTGAGGGTATTTGCTGCCTCTCACAGGGTGCCTGTGAATGGGATAGACGCATCCCTCGCTGAGTTTTCGTCGGTGGTCAGTCGAGAGACATGAGAGAATGCAAAGGGGTAACGCTTACAAGTCAACGGCGAAGATACGAACATTAGGGCCCTTGGGTGGCCAAACCAGGGAACCTTCCTTGATCATAATGACTGTCAGTTTGACAGTGTTGAACGCGTCGTCCTGTGCGTTGTGCTGGACTGGGAAAGACTCTGTGCGAACGAAGTGCTGTCCAGCACCAACGGCAACTTGGTCTAATTCGCTTTGCGTGGTCATTCTTAAGCCAAACTCGCGGGAGGCTTCGATGAGTTCTAAAGCAGGTAAGCTCCTAGTTTCTAGTAGAACTACTGCTGACTTACTGTGATAAGACCCTGCTGGCTTAGAAGCCAGGACACCGTTAGGTCTCAGTTGTCTGGCGATGGGTTGAATGTCAACCATCCTCCAGAAGGTCTGAGCCCTAGAGATGTATGTTAGAAAGCGCGAAGTCGCGAAGAATGACACACGTACATATCAATTCCGGCGTTCTTCATCCTTTGTTCGTCACCCGAAGCAGCCCAGAGACTTAGGATGGTGGGAGTGTGATCGCGTGGAAAGTCGGGGATGTGTTCGATCCCTTGATTGACAAGTGCACAAAGATCGTTTACGTCCTTGATGAAGCCGTCGCGCTCAGTGACCTCGCCTCGGCGAGGGACCCCAGGCGCACAGATCGATGGATCCATGTTCGAGGATGTGCTGAACAAGTTGATTGTTAGAAGCTAGGCACAAAGAAGATTGCTTTGTCTAATGACAAAAAGGAGGGCGGGAGGCGTGGGAGATGGGAGAGAGGTAAAGCGGACAGAAGGGGAAAAAGAAGAGGGAAGTCATGAAACATACAAAAGATCTGTCGACCTAGTAATGGAAGTGAGCTGCTTGTGGACGTAACGCTTGGGTGATTGTACGGTACGTACCTGGATTCCGAGGGCGATGTCAGCGACATTAACAAGAGATGTGGTATGGGCAGGAATGAGGATGAGAAGCACAAGCGCGTTCTACTGGCGAATGCGCAGGCACAACAGTGGAAGAAGCCAGCAGGCTCACCGACGACAGACGGCAAGATTGTCGCAGGCAGCATAGACCAATACACTTACGAGCGATTTAAGATGGCAGGTTCGGGCACAAAGTAGTTGATGATTTTTGGAAAGAGAAAGGTTGAGGATGGCAGAAGCTAGCGTTTGGTCAATTGACATCGAGTGCCTCTCTTGTTCGACTAACCTTCACTTACGGATTTGACGTAAACACCATACTGAAAGCGAGGACCACCATTCACCACCCAATCTGGCCCTGATCCAGTGCCATGTAACAGTTCATGTCAGATAGCTTTCCACCACCAGTAAATCTTTTAACAACTAAAGCCCATATCTACCTTAAGCACTTGCGTACATGAGCACGGTAGCTATCGGCATCAGAGACGAAGAACAATATCTGCTTATGGTAAGCATGTGTTGGTGTTTGCAGCCTTTGCGTGTAAGACTCAACGATATGTAGGTACATGCCCTCGCACGAAGTTGGCTAGATTGAGAGACTAATCCTCCTGTCCTCGGGAAAGAATCTTGTCTCGTCGAGCCGAAGAATTGATAGGTATCACACATAGGAGAAGCCATATTGGCTGCTGTATCATCCCTAGCAGCGTTAACATTGCAGAGATGACAGCCTTCCCACGTTAGCTACGCTTGTCATACGATGCCGTCGGTAAAATCTGGATTTGTGGAGTTGGAGTGTCTGCAGAGGCTGCGTTCCCGGCAAGTGCAACAAATACAGTAAGTCCATAGCAGGATCACTTGATGACTGTAAACTGTACACTTGGCTGGTGATTCCGATGCAAATTCGTCCACTTCTTTCTTTATCGAGCGATGTGAAAGATTAGTGAGAGGCGTCCGAGGTCCCGGTTGACGTGGTCAGAACAGAGGTAGCATAGAATGAACCAGACCACATTCCACAGAGGGTGGTGACGTGTCCCCTTATCCAAACATTCACACTTATCTTACTCCACCAAGACCTGGAACACGGCGGATGCTAATTAGCATACTAAAGTACTCTAGCAGGGTAGATTATACACTGTTTTTCTTATGTAGAAAGTCACAACATGGACGTGTATATATAACGAAGATTTCGTAGACCATGATTCAATTTACGGTACGCATAACGTGGCTGCAAGGACAATTGGAGCTTATACTACGCACAATCATTGCTTTGCAAGTGTGTGTTTTAGACGTGTTCGTTCTTACGAAAGGGCTGATTTGTGCTGGGGATGATAGCAGAAATGTAAATCGAAATTGTACCGATATGGTTGTTTTGTAAAGCTCGTGCTAAGATTGCTTAGCGTTAAGAACACATGATGCTTCGACGGGTTCTAAACAAGGAAGCTCAACCTGCGAGCTCAACGAATCCCAATTTCTGATTTCTGGCCATCAACTTGAGCTTCACCATGCCATCGAAATCATTAGTGATTAAACAACTATACCCTTCAAAGGCTCAACCACAACCTGAATGAAAGCTTGTTGCAGCAAAGCAGCCACATAAGGGTTGGACTCATCGACGCCATCCTGCAAACCGAAAGCCGTCACTCCTTGGATGCAAGCTCTAGTAGCGTCCGCATACCTCTTGCCCATGTTTTTGCGAACCTGTCTGAGTACTGTGCCGCTCTCGATGATGCGCACGCGATCATCTTGTCCTTGCTCGCCTAATGCAGAATCTCGGCCAGAGTGTAGCGACTGTAGGATCTTGTCAATGGGCTTCCAATGGGCGATCTCGATCAAGATGATACCAAGACTATAGATGTCGTATGACTTGCGATAGCCTTTCTTCCTGTTTAGATCAAGATAACCCGGATCGCAGTAGAGCGACCACTTGGTATCGCGCGGAGGTCCGCTTGTCGTGAAGGAGTGATCGGACGGTCTGGAGAAACCGAAACCTGACACTAGCAATCGACCGAAGTCCTCAACTGAGTTGACTGCAGATTTCTCAAACAATATGCCAGCACTTCGAAGCCCTTTATGGAGCCAATTGACAGCGTGCACATATAACAAGCTCTCCGCGAGCTGACGAGCGATCATACATTGACCACCGACACCAATTCGGGGCTCATCGAACCAGGAGAGGAGAGACCGAGAGGTACTGGACATCGAGTGCAAGACGACTCCGAAGCGAAGTCGGTCGAAGTCGTCAACGTATCCTAAACAGTTAGGTAGACGGAACTCGTCAGGTTGATTCGGCTGGCTCAGCAACCAAGTCAATCTCTCAACATTCTGGACGCTTTGAAGATCGGGATCAAAACCAGGCTCGGGAGCACCCAGCGCGCCCAAAACTGGGATGGTCGTATAACTTCTCCATTCAATCCAGACGGGCTTATCGTCGAGGATCGCTAGCGTTCGACAACCGTCGTCTTCTTCCGACATCTGTTGCAGACCAAGCATATTGTGATCACCCAAGAGCATCGACTTTGTCCTTCCAAGTGAGCTCATTTTGAAGGCGAATGAGGCGACGTTGTCGATCGTAGTGTGGAGATGTGACTCGAGTTTGTTGTCCCTGCTCACTAAAGCTGTATCATGGCGGCTCGTCTCACGCAAGGCAGTAAGCATAGCCTTCACATCATCCGCGGTGTTGCTGAGCTGGAGAACGGACAACCAAGTTTCGTGGTTTTGCCAAAGCAGTTGGTCCATCTGGTCGTCTGATACTGTCTCGTGCAAGTGGTTTGTAAGATGCCTGAGTCTGTCCAACCCCTTACGAAATCGGTCCTGGTCCTTCATGGCCCAGGACAGTCTCTTTGGCTCTTTGGATATGATGCGCCCCTCATTCGCGAATCGAACGAGATGATTCAGACCTCTGGCGTACCGGGAAGAAGTCGAAGGCATATTCTCAAGGTCCACACCCTTTGTGAGCTCACCGTAAATTTCGCGGACAGCGGATGACTGTTCCAGTGGTCCGGAGATGTCAGATGAGCGTGCATTGCTTGTATCTACTTCGGACACGACCTTCTGTGGTGATGTAGTGTCATGGATGTTTGCCAGTTGACGCAGATTGTCCAGCACTGTTCTGATCTCCTTCAGGGTTTCGATTATCAATTGCTCGTGTATCCTGACATGACGAGTGTATACTGGCGGATCCATAATCCCGGAAAGTCCAATCAGTTCCCCCCATCTTGCAAGTCTGCACTGCTCCATCTTGAGACGTAAAACAAACGTCTTGACCTCCTGATTTGCATTCGCTGCACTTTGAAACAGATCATAACCTGTTGACTGTCAGCAAGTGTTCTTGAGATATTCATGCTTGATCGTGACCTTCGATGGCCGCTGCGAAGAGCTGCAGCAACAGCGAAGTTGCTCCTAGAGCTATCTCCATAGTTCAAATTCTGCTTCAGAGAGAAAGTGTGCCTCTAAGTTGTTCCTGTACCTGCCAGTCTCATTTATCGCGGATGGGGCTTCAACACAATTGCTAAGTCATCCAAGTCTTGGTGCCCCGATTTTGGCATGTTGACCGACTTTTGGAAAATACCTTGTGACTCTGCAAGAGGTTCAGCCTTTCCATGCCGCAGTAACTCATCGTCTAGACGTGGTGTGCTACCATAGGTCGGTTGCTGAACATGGCGTTAAAAAATCATGCGAGGCGGCCTAAAACGATGATGCAGCTCATCGGGCTGCCACTCATTGGCCAGATATGCTGCAGAAGTATTGTTCGGCTTCTCTATTGGAGGGGGTTGCCGCTGCAACACTGCGACCCCACTTCTCATGGACAGTTCATGTATCGATGCAAGCTGGTGCGGATCATGTCATGTCACAAACCTATCCCGTGAGATTGTTTTTCGAGATTAAAGCTTCTGCGTACCCGGCCTCAGGCCTTCTGCCAGCCACCCTACTCGTTTCTGGAAAGTCCCATCTAACTTAGACCTTATCCATAGAACCCCAACAGGGATCGCTGTCTTTACTGCCTTGCGGTCACTTGTTGCTCAAGACAAACATGACTCTGCACAATGCGGCCTCAGACATTTCACTGGAGGATTTCTTGACGAGTGGACAGAGGTTCCATTGGGTCCAAGGAGACGGCCATCAAGGTCCCGCCGTTCAGATGGACTACCAACCAATTTCTGAAGACATTGGAATTCGTTTTGGCACCTTGGTGGAATGGACCGCCAAATCACATATCGTGATAGTTCCACTCATTACCGATGACGGCAGGCAGGATCGTGTGGCCGCAAAGATAATGCGGACTCCTTCAAATATCCTGAAGTTGAGAAACGAGTTGGAGATACTCCGAGGTTTGCGACACAAACACATCATAGCCGTTCTGGGAAGCTTCTCGAGATCTGGGAGGAAGAACCGACTTGAGTACGGGGTTCTGGTGTTTCCTCTGGCTACTCAAGATCTCGGTGATTTTCTAGAAAGGATCTCGAAACACAACAAAGACTTTGAGGAAGCCCGTTCGGCTTGGATTGCACACGAGGACACTCCAAAACTCCTTCCGTTCTTTGCTTGTCTCTGCGAAGCCGTGCTGTACCTCCATGAAAAGTGCGTCAAACACCGAGACATCAAGCCTGAGAACATCCTCATCGATAGAGCTCACAACGCCATCTTGGCGGATTTCGACATCTCGAGGGCCTACAATGATGTGAAGGAAGCAATAACATATAGCAGCCTGGACGGAACTATCATGTACTCCTCTAAACATGTCTGGAAAGGCCCAGATAATGCAAATCCGAAAGATAGAGAACGAGGGCTGGAATGGGACATCATCAGTCTCGGCTTTGTCTTCCTCGAGATGGCGACCGTTATTTTTGGCAAGGATCTGCGAAAGATGAGGGAGAACATGCATTACCGCCACAACCATGAGACCATGGTGATCTACTCAGAGGCACTGCGCGACGGCAAGATCCAAGAGTGGGTCGAAGTTCTCCGAGCGACAGCAACAGGTTCCCCAGAAAAGCTCCCGGATCAGTTGAGAGAAGTCATCAAATCCGTTCCTGACTATGTCAACCAATTCTTAGGAGCAATCATGGACATGATGTCGGCTGAACAAGACAACCATCATCCATTGAGAGATGCCTACAGAGTCTTCGGGTGTCTTTCGAACCATTGTCCCTGTCCCCAGCCCGGGTGAGTGACCCAAGCCAGCATGTTTGACGTGCCAGTGATCGCTGACGCCTGATAGAGACACTGAATTTGTGCTGAGCTCTCTTTCTCTAAACAACACCTGAATATATCTTCATGTCCATGTTCTGTTTATAGTCTGCTCACTGCAAGAGCAATTGGCTGCTTGTTACCTTTTTTCTCTTCTTTTTCTGACCAGCGTGCAAAGATGAACAGGTCGTGCGGGCTGAAGAGTATTGAGCATAAACTAGAATTTCATCCAACTTTCTTCTTGAATCTTGAACATCTCCGGCGGTTCCAGATCGTAAAAGTCGTGAACGAAGTCAACATGGTCAAAAAATGCCGGTTCATCGAGTATTTCAGGACCGAGGCCCTCCTTGCGGCATACTGAGCACATATATCTGTCCGTAAAGGCGAATGTTTCCCAGTTGAAAGTGCTCGCACGAGCTCGACGGGCTTTGACCAATGATTGCGCGCAACTTTCCAATTTATCACCCAGACCTTGATCCAAGCAGTATCTCTCAGCCTCGGCCCTGGATTGGTTTCTGAGACAATTGGCAAGTTTCTTTAAACCGCTTATGCGAAGATGTTGTCGACCTTCTGCAGACACATCGCCCTTGGCTTCCAAGAAGTGATCAACTGATCGAGCTCGTTCGAACGGCAAGCAAGGCAGCCATCGAGATGCGGGCTTCTTTGGTTGACTGCCTATCTCAAAAAGGTATTGTAAGAAGCTCGTTTCACCGTGCAAAAGCTTTATCTCCTCCTCGATCAGCGGATGATAATCGAATTCTTTGGTGGGAGTCCCGGTCATGCCTTCTGCTGATTTTGTGGCGTCAAGATGAACGTTGACGTATTCCTTGTAGCTCGGATTGGCTACTGAAACACGACAGACGTCAACAAGTGGAAGCAAATGTTTGTTCTCATCCAAGTGTTTGTGACCTTGGTTCGTGGATGCTGGCTGGCGGTAAGATCTCAAGATAAAGACTTTCGAAGGAGAGGTACTTCGAGCCCCAAACACCAATCTGCGAGATTCAGAAATTGCTATGTATTTGGTGGAGACTTCTTACGTTTGACACATTCCAGGTATTGACGCAAACTGCGAAGCGTTCTCCCGGCATACGTCCTGGAGCGGAATGCAAGATTGAAGTGGAGGCTTCAGCGTTTCAGATTTCATCCTGTCGTTCAGCTTTGCACGAATCTGGCGAGCGCGATCCTGGCGGCTTGATGATTTTGAATCGAATGGTTCAAGCACCTCCGACATCTCCTTGGAGACTTCTTCCAGAGAGAGTCGCAAGCGTCCTAGCATGATGGCTAAAAGCCTATGGCAAAATTAGGTCCACGAATCAAAAGACGAAGGTCTGGACTTACCCTCCAGTCGACGTACCACCCACCAAATCAAAGTAATGGTGGAATCGAAAATCGTCGTTATCGCTAGTAAAGGATTTCATGAGAGGCGATGCTTTGCTCGTCGTTGTGCGATGATCTTCTTGCTTCTCAAGTTTTATAATCTGTTTCATGAGAAGGTCCAGGATAAACAAACAAGCAGGCCAGGTTGTCTCATCGGCGGCTATGGACGAGTCAGTAGGTGATGTAGTGAACCGTGAGAGAAAAGGTACTCAAAACTAATGCCCGCTTCTCAGCCCAAGGTGTGCGACGAAATCTTGCCTGGCTGACATCTGAACGTGGATGTGTCGATTTACGACCATGATCGGTCTTCTCGGTAATCTCTGGAAGCGATTTTGTCTCTTTGGTAATTTCACTTCCTGTCCGACTCTTGAGCCTACGAAGTTTTTCGACCAAACTTAGCAATTCCATTCCTGGGACTTGACACCAATGTCGATAAACAAATTTTGGTGAAGAGCATTGAGTAGAATCCAGGCTGGGGGATATTGTCCTAATATGGTAAATAGTGGTACGTCGCAGGATCTGCGCCTCTGTCGTTTACGTTCATCGGTAATCGGTCCAGCGGATTGGCCTCAAACATGGCCCCCTGCTTGAAGCCCCCATTCCTCGCTGTACTACGATTATTCTTCTGGTTGACCAACGACGTGACGCGTACCGAAAGTTTGTGTAAGGTAACCTGGAATCCTGTTCGTAGAGATCAGTTGCAAACTGCTTGAAGCATCAAAAACCCGAGAACCCCCACGTTCTATGATCAATGTATATAGTATGCATGCAAGTTACGGATACATGTGCGCAAAATTGCAGTGCTTCGCTTGCAGGCCGCATGAAATGTCGCCGCTTTAACTGGCTCCAGCCTCTTGCATGGTGGCGGCGACGCGGAGACGCCTGATCCAAGGCTGCGGGAACAACATGCACTGCAGTGACTGCAGGTCATGCAGCTTCAAGTCACGAAACCAATCCAACCAATCAATAAGTATCTCGCCTCATCCCTGTCTTATTGATTTCGTGTATCGCTGCAGCCTGCAAAAACGGTACAGACTCAAATCACATCCGACGTTTCGCCCGCTTTCTTGCATAGCAAGGGTATCTGACCAATGGCGGTGCTTACCAAGGTCGATATAAGCAGTATCCAAAGCTCACACTAACCGTCGGATGCAGCTACAGTTAGCCATGACTGGACAAGGCCTGCATCGTTGTCTCGCTGACAGCGAAGCATGAATCTCTACAATTGACGTGAGAGATGTGCCACTTTCTATACTTCTTCCGGCCCCGTATGAACGCACCAGCTGTCTATGGCACGCATGACCTCTTCTGGTAACCCTATAGATCCAATAAGCCGCTTTCCTTCAAACCGTCTGACCCAATACTACAGATGTAAGCGCCGGCCGGCCTCCGTGCATAGCAGGTAGAGACACGATCAGTCAATCATGCTGACATGAGATGACAATCTATTCATTGTGTCGCTTGCAGGTGTCAAAGAACAGTTCGTCTAGCAAAGACAATTCTTTCAACCTGACAGCTCTTTTGTCGGCCTATGCCAACAGTTTTGTCAGCACGATTGTGGAGTCTACACTGGCACAATGCTCCATGAGCAATCTCGTCATCGGGATAGAAGCATCAACTCAGCTAGCGCACTGCATTCGTGGCTTACATTCTAGTGCTATCACAGCGCATTCAATTTGTCAGCACAGTGGCGAAGTCGAATCTGATGCGAGCCACCAAGACGAGAATGCCGACAGAAGGCGAGACCAACAGACTGAGTATACCTTTCCCCATTGTCACAAATCATCACAGGCAGTACAAGAAACAACCTCTGCGAAAGATCTAGCAAGCAAAGCGGTGAGATTTTGATCAATAGCTGGAGCCACGTCTCACCAGCAGGACGAATCACGATTTTGTGAAACCACTCAGTTAAAGGCATCCAGGAATCTTGCATGAGAAAAGATTACACATGATACTACTCGTCTCCCTTCTCTGGCTTTAGTAGACCGCAAACTAAGTTACAGCGCTGATCTATGCGGGATCTTCAATGGAGACATTTCTCGCCTAGGAACATTGTACGCGAGCAGACGATCAAACAATTCCTTGCTTACAACCATTGGCTATTGAGGCGCTTATTTCAAAGCTTTAGCTCGAGAATATCCGATAAGGATATTATCAGGTATGGTCTAAATGATGTTAAATGCCCTTCTCTTCGCGAGCCTCTCACGACCCTTCACTCGAACATTGTTCTCAGAGTAGGAGATTCAAGGTTTCAGTTGCTTTGTCCCATCGTTCGGACGAACGTTTGCAGATTGCTTGTCTTTTCGGCTTCTTTACTACTCATGCTTGCTAACGTATCTACCCATCAACGATACGTTCACGCAAGCGACATGTTGCTGCAATTCCTCCTTGAAACTCTCCTGTCAAATGGGGGGTTTCACTGACTGGATCACTGGTGTAGACGTATCGTCATGGACTGCTCGTATTATATGCTCAGCTCACAGTCATGACATTTCCTCCAATGTCATTGGTCTTGCAATGACGACAACATCATTATCGAGCAAGCGTTTTTCAAAAAGAAGCAGCGACTCACTGCCGACTTGCTCCCTGTAGCTATCTCGGGATGGAGCCTCAAGGTCCAGCAGACTTAATGTAACATGACACTAGAAGCACATCCAGAAAAAAACGTACTCCGAAAGTCTAGATGTTGCAAGTATTAACAAAGCTTTATAAATTACGCTCTCACCAGATGTTGCTTCTGAGGGGTCTGTATGGAATTTCGTCTACTCATCATCCTCATCATCCTCATCATTCTTCCCCTGCAACCCAGAAAGCTCCAAATACTGCTCCATCAAATCCTCAACCATATCCTCCACCCCCTTCAACTCAATCCCAAACACGCGTTCCGTCTTTTCCTTACTGCAAACCACCGATTTAGTAGGCACGTTTCCAGTACAGGGCAAAACACCGCTTTCCACTTGCTCAGCGAATAGGTCTTTGCAAATGTCGTTTACGTCGTTCCATTTGCATTCTTGACCGAAGAGGTATTCGCCAGCGGGGATGGAGGATTTGTTTAGGGCGGCTACGTGGATGGCTGCTACGTCTTCGATGTGCACCACGGAAGCCAATTCGGCTGGTGAGTTGGGGGGTGTGAGGCCCAGCGCAATGCGGAGGAAGAGGATGTTGCTTGTGGCCATCAAGTCCGCAGGTGAAGTAGCCAATTCGTTTCTTCCTTGGACGTAGGTGGGGCAAATGTTGACGACGTCGAAGTTCGGCTTGTTCTCTTCCATCCATTGTCTCGAGCGGCGGAATGAAGAGACTTTGGATGCCACATAGGCGACCATGTTGCCTGAATAAGGAGGAGGGATTTCAGGATTGACTGTCTCCTCAGTGACAGTGACGGGGACGTCTACGGGACCACCAAGGACGGCGGGAGAAATGAAGATGGCGCAGGAAGAAGTGATGACGACTCTCTTCACAGTGCCGGACTTTTGTGCTGACTTCAAAGCGGAAAGTGTGTTGTTGATGGCAGGCTCGATCAATTGGTTCCACTGCTCTGCAGGCTCCATAGTAGCGTTCGAAAAGGGTACTGGCGATGCAGAGTGAATTATGTAATCGGCACCCACTGTTACTTCATCCAGAGCTCCTTCGGCGGCCAGATCTGGGACGACCCAGAAACTGCATGGCGAAAATTTCCTGGTAAGAGACTTATAGCATGGGTTGTTGCGAACAATATCGGCTTTGGCATCGCTGCGCACCACGATGCGGATGTTGTAGTCGAATTGAAGAGCCTCCTGGAGGATAGCGAAACCACAGAAGCCGGTGGCTCCGGTAAGTACAATTGTGCCGTCTGACATGTTTGAAAGAGTGGTGTCGAGAGGTATAGGTATGGAAAAGAGAAAAACGTGAATTGGAGGAAGAGACTTAATTTTTATGGTTTTCGCCGCCTACTTCCAAATTGTGGATTCACTTTACTAGACAATCTACTAGGCCTGACACCACCCTTGACCGATATTGCAGATAGACAAAAGAGTGAAACCTGTGGAGTTACGAAAGTCCGGCAGTCAGGCCAGAGGCGTCCTTGTGCTGAAACGAGTCGTAAGAAGGGAACAGTGATCATCAAGGGTTCACGGCGATCGACTCTGGAGAGTCAAGCGCCAAGAAAGATCAGCCATGTCGACTCGAAAAATTGTTTCATAGCAGGACCCTGGAGTCAGAATCCACCATTGGATAGTGGACATTGAGTATTTGTCAAAGGAGCATTTTTGAATTTGTTGAGAATCTATACGTCTAGTCGAACATCTTGGTCATGGCCTTTTGAGCCAACTCGACACCGAGGAAAGTGGCAGCGTTGGCGGGGACAGCACGAGCCATGGCGGGACCAATACCAGGGAAGAATGCCTTGTAACCTCCTCTTCTGTAGAGCTCCTTGACAGTGCCTCCGATTGTAGGGTTGCCCTCTGCCGATTGCAGACGACTCTTGATGGTGTCAACGGGGAAGACGGGAATCCACATGGCGATACCGGCAGCACCACCGGCGGCCATGACAGCAAGAAGACTGAGCTCGCCGGGAGTGCCGTCTGCGTTCTTGGGTGTGAGTCTGCGCTTGACGATTTCGTAGGTTGCGAAGTATGCTGCTGATCCAGGGGCGTCTCTGGCGAGCGTCATGGCACTTCCTCTGAAGACGGATCTGACACCGCCTTCCTTGTAGAGTTGACGCACGACATCAACACCACCTGCGTACTTTGGCTTCTCGCCGGGAGCCAAAGTCTTTTGACCCTGGATCTGCAGCAACACCTTTACACGCTCGAAGGGGGCGGTGATGGCGGTTGTGGGGATGGCGGAGAAGGCACCAGCAGCGCATACCTGGCCGACGGTGAATTGGTCGTTGACTACTGTGCTGGTTGATTTGACGAGCTTCTTGCCCAAGTCGTAACCCTAGCTTCTGTCAGTCGTTGCAAGGTTTGTTCGTGGGTTTGGTTCGGTCATACCCAGAAGCTGACGGCGACTACAAGAGGGATTAGCAATCGTGTTTGTCCATGTTCAGAAAGCTGGACTTACACATTGGCGTCACTCCGACCAAGGGAGCCGAGACACCGGCATACAGACCCTATCGCACTGTGAGTTGTTGGACCAGCTTCAGCATAGCAGGCTATAGCATACCCTAACGAGACCCTCCTTGGCGACGGTTCTTCTCACAACATCCATTGCGCCGCTGTAGACGCCGGCTTGAGCGGTTTGCAAGCGCACCTTGACCAAGTCGAAGGGGTGTCCAACCACGACTGCGCAAACACCACCGGCGCCTCCAGAGACTAGCGAGCGCAAACTCGCAAACGTCTGTTTTGTTGCGACAACAGCATCCTTCTTCAGTTCGTCTGCAGACGGCAGGTCATTGACGCTCGGTATGCTTGATTTGGACATGATGTGATGCGGAAAGGATGTGGAGAAGCTGTGGGGGTGACAGCTGGGGATAGAGATAGGTCGGAGAGAGTTGAAGATCAAGGAGAGATGAAGCAAGAGGGAGCAAGAGGGGAAGAATGTCACCAGTGAAAGAAGAAGCCACAAATGTCAAACAGTGAAGCCGATGATGCTGGGCGTGCTCTCTTCATGTGATGCAACATTTCTCAAGCTTTCCCGAGGGGACTCAGCATCAAATCCGGGGAGCCGAGGCTGATCTTGAATGCCGGCCGAATGGACGCCGAGACCAAGCATCGAACACCCACCAGCTTCGCTCTTGTGCACGCAGCAACGGATCAGATGCTTTGGATAGCGTCGATTGGAGCCGATCCACCGTTCTTCCAGAAGCAGCCACGAGGTATGCCAGCTACATGTCAAAGGTACTTGGAAATCTAGTCTTGGTTCATCATGTCTATATTTTTACTATCCAGTCACTGACAAGCCGGCCATCTACTTGATCTCTGCGTAGCGCAGGTAAGGCTTGAGCTCTCTGACGTTGTTGAACTTCTTCTTTGCGTCCTCGGTCGAGACGGAAGGAGGCACAATAACGTCCTCGCCAACTTGCCAGTTGATGGGTGTGGCGATTCCCTTCTTATCTGCCGTCTGGAGAGAGTCGATGACTCTGAGAACCTCGGCGCTGTTTCTGCCAGTAGATGCAGGGTACATCATCGTGAGACGGACCTTCTTCTGGGGGTCGATGACAAAGACGGAGCGGATGGTGAAAGCGATGCTCTTCTTGGCTGCGTCGTCCAAGTCTTCCTGGTTGATCATGTCGTACAGAAAGGCAACCTTTCTATCGTGGTCAGCGATGATGGGGAACTGGAGGCTGGTGTTTGCGATCTCGTTGATGTCCTGAATCCAACCCTCATGCGATCCGAGGTCGTTGGCGCTCTGCGATTATCGGTCAGCCTTGCTCTGTCCATCTCATCCTCTTTCGAATCTCATACCAGGCCAATCATCTTGACGCCACGAGCATCGAACTCGTTCTTCAACTTGGCAAATGCACCGAGCTCAGTGGTGCATACAGGCGTGTAGTCGGCAGGATGGCTGAACAAGATTGCCCAGCTGTCGCCAATCCATTCGTGGAACGAGTTGATGTCACCCTGCACTTGTCAGTATTACTGGTCTGTCCATTCGCAGCAATCAAGCTTACGCTGGTAGTCTTTGCACTGAAGTCAGGGGCAACAGAGCCCAGACGAATGCGAGGCTGCTCCTGGGTTGTGGCAAGACCACGGTACAAGAAGGGAGCAGCTCTGGCACGAGCAGTCAGGGGCTGACATGCCGAAGCACGAGAAAGAGCTCTGGGTACTGATCTGAAGAATGAAGCCATTGTGTATCTATCTTGTGAATTGGACTATCTCAAGTGTTCGAGGCTCGAGTTCGACACCTATGGACTTCGACTTCTACAAAACTTCGGCCTTCTCGACGTCATGCCGATCTCGGCAATTGCTCTCTCCAGCTCGAAGCTTCACCACAAAGCCTTTTCTCTCGCGACAAACATTTCGTTTATCAAGAAGTAGGCAACCGATATCATCGGCGAGTCTACACTCTTGCTTGTCAGATCTGAGGACTACCAAGTGTTCATCAGTAAGCCAGTGCGGAAAGATGCCTATCCCGGTCTTCTCTGCCGCGGAATTCCAGTGCGGAGCAGCTCCGCATATCAAGGTGGGAAGGTAAACACAAGTAGCTACCCCGCGGCAGTCCTTACTAGGGTCCTCGGCCAAGTATATCCTTCTCTGTTATCTGTCTGTTGGATCATATTCCAGTTCTTGATTTTGCCTGCTTCTGCCCGTTTTAGTCCTTGTCACACATTTCGTCTCATACCATGGCTGCAGTACAGAAAGTTGCTCTCATCACAGCAGGCACAGCAGGACTGGGCGCTGCCATTGCCCGAGTCCTGGCACCAGACTTCAGAGTGGCATGTCTTCTCTGCGAGCTCTCTATCATAGCATACTCCTAACAACGTACTCACAGGTGATCAATTACGCAAACAACACATCTCGCGCCGAGGACGTCCTCAAAGAACTCAACAACATCCCCAGTACCGTCTCCTCCCAAACATCCCCCCGCTTCCATGCCATAAAAGCAGACATTAGCAACCGCGATGCCATCACCATCCTCATCCAGGAAACAATCACCACAATGGGCCGCCTCGACGTCGTAATCTCAAACGCTGGCTACACACGCCTAACCAATTTCATGAACTTCGACGAACAGCACTTCGACGAAGACTGGGACAAATGCTTCTTGTACAATGTAAAAGCACACATGTGGTTGGCATACGCCGCCAGAGAGCATTTGGACAAGACGGAAGGTGCGTTTATCACCACGGCTAGTATTGCCGGTGTCAAGCCTAGTGGAAGTTCGCTGCCGTATGCGGTCACCAAGGCGGCGAGTATACATTTGACAAAGTGTTTGGCGAATATTTGTGCTCCGAGGATTAGGTTTAATTCTGTCAGTCCTGGGTTGATGTTGACGGAGTGGGGGTATAAGTTTTCGGAGCAGAAGAGGGAGGCACATAAGAATAACACTAAGCTGAAGAGGCTGCCTGAGGTTGATGTGAGTGGACTCGAATCTTACACCAGAGGATCCAGTACTAACCGTACATTCTAGGATGTGGCAGAGCAAGTACGAACGCTTGCTTTGTCAAAGAGCATGACAGGGCAGAATATCATAATCGACTGTGGTCTGACAAGCTGAGAGGGACGTTTATATCTTGATTTTCGAATTTGCAAGTTGAACATTTCAGGCTTGCTATACCAAAGCCATACTATACTCTACAGCTTAGCATCGCCAGTAATGACATCCCTAACCAATTTCAATCCCTCCTCGGCAAACCTCACCATATTTCCCACTCTGTCCCCTCCCAACCCCGTCTCCACCTCCCTAGTAAACATCCCCTTCTCACAATCCACAGCCAGCGCAACATATCCAGGCGTCCTATTCCTCGTCTCCCCACCCGTAGGCCCAGCAGTCCCTGACTCCGAAATCACATAATCCGCCCCTAATTCCCCTCTCACATGCTTAGCCATCCCAGCAACAATTTCAGGCGTGGGACCTTTGTAGTTCTTGGTCTTTTCGTCCGTCCAGCCTGCGTAGGCGGTGCGGGAGGGGAGGGTGTAGAGGGTCAGACCGCCTTTGTAGACTTTGGAGGCGCCAGGGGTGGAGAGGATAGAGGAAGAGAGGAGACCGCCTGCTGCTGTTTCGGCGACTGCGATGGTTTGGTTGCGTTCGTGAAGGAGGGTTGTTACTTCGTTTAGGATGTTGCGGATGGAAGGTGGGGGGAAGTGGGCGGAGGCGTCTGAGGAGCTCATTCTTGCGATTGTTTTGAGGTGGTTGGATTTAAGAGGTCTGGAGATTGAGAGTGCTCTTTTTGTGAGTAGTTGGGACATGAGAGGTTTTGTTTCTTTTGCGTTTTGGAGTTGAGATATTCGGATTACTCGGGTGTTTGTAAGCAAGAGAGTTGTGACGTGAGCATGGCGGGGTAAATCTGGAGTCAGGGTTACTCCCAATACTTGAGATAAATGCTCGGCTCTTCGAGAAATTACTGAACGCATGCGATCTTTGGTCACTCGTGCGATCTATGAGGAATTGGGGTGATGACCTGACTATTCTCCAGTAATAACAGGCTACTGGCGATATCTTATAGTCATGAGAGCGACCTGAAGAGCAAGTGAACAATGAATTCACCGATTCTTTGACTCAAGCTTTGCCCTCGAAACCTCAGACTGAGAGCATATTCCCAATCATCTTCTACGATCAGACCGACGTTGGTCGATACTTACTTGTGCTTCTCAAAGCCTGAAAATATTCTGCAATCGCGTTGCCTCGAAATGTCTATACCACAAAAGCAATGATGGCATGCCAAGCTACGGGCAAGAGACCGTCATCGCACCTGCCCAAGATGGTTTAAGCTTGGCCGAGAAGTGCTTGATCGACCTCTCTTTCTCCACGCGCATCTTGACGATCATTCCCCCTCGGATACCTCGATTGGCCTTACGCCGTGCCTATCTAACGGCATGGCGAGGTAACATAAACTCATGTGTAACCTCAATGAGGGATGATATTCCGCTCTGCTCGCCGATATCTACGTATCTTTGTGGAGTAGCTCTAATCCTTTGCTTAAGTATTCACGGGTGCCGGGTCTTTTCTTTCCTTGCTGTAATTTTGTTTCTTTGTCGCATTTCTTTTCTGTCGATATGTCTGGTACTGAGAAGTCTTATGATGCGGAGAAGGACCTACCTGGACCTCTGTCAGATGCCATTCGCAATGGCAGTCTAGACAAGTCGGTTTTGCAAAATGCTGGAGATGGTGATGAGGCCTTGAAGGCTTTCGCGTCGCACCAAGGAGAAGTTATTGAATTGGATGAAGCGACCAACAAGCGATTACTACGGAAGATTGACTGGAATCTGATGCCTGTGTGTATCCCAGAATGAACTACGCCTTCATCGAACTCGTACTGATTGCATCTTTATTTCTAGGTCATGTGTATTGTATACGGCTTGAACTACTTGGACAAGACAACATTATCATACGCCTCTGTCATGGGACTGAGAGTAGACACGAACCTAACAGGAAACAACTATCAATGGCTGAGCTCAATGTAAGAGGAAGAAACACCAACACCTGTGAATAGTAGGACTAACTCGCACCAAAGGTTCTACTTCGGATACCTCGCATGGGAATACCCTACCAATCGACTCTTGCAAAGATTACCACTAGGAAAATACTCGGCCGCCAACATTATTCTTTGGGGGGCCACTCTGTGCACTTTCGCAGCTGTGAGCGACTTCGGTGGCGGTGTTGCTGTTCGATTCTTCCTCGGTGTTACAGAAGCCGCAGTCACTCCTGGATTCGCACTTTTGACTAGTCAATGGTATACAAAGAAAGAGCAAGGGTCTCGAACATCAATCTGGTTCTCGTTCAATGGATTTGCCCAGATATTCGGTGGTCTGGTAGCATACGGTATTGCTAAGGGAACGAGAATCCATGGATCCGCCATTGAGCCCTGGAAGATCATTTTCCTGGTTACCGGATGCTTGACCATTTGTGTCGGGGCTATTTTCTTCTGGGTTATCCCGGACAGTCAACTGAACGCACGCTTTTTGAGCAAGGAAGATCGTATCCTTGCTATTGAGCGTGTCAGATGCAACCAGCAGGGTATTGGAAACAAGCATTTCAAGATGTATCAGCTCAAGGAGGCGCTGCTGGATCCGCTGACTTGGGCATTCGTTTTCTATGCCCTGGTCGCTGACATCCCTAATGGTAAGTACAATGGTTCTCGTTGAACGATGAACCTCAGAAGCTAATTTGTCATTCCAGGTGGCATTTCCAACTTCTTCTCTCAGCTCATCACATCATTCGGCTACACAGCAGAAGAGTCTCTCCTATACGGTACTCCAGGCGGTGCAGTCGAAGTCATCGCCCTCCTCGTCTGCGGCTACCTCGGCGACAAATTCGGTCACCGTCTTCTGATCTCAACTTCCGGTCTCTGGATCTCCACACTAGGTATGCTTTTGATCGTCTGCCTACCACTCGACAACAACATCGGACGTCTCTTCGGCTACTACCTCACCCAAGCATCACCCACACCATTCGTCGCTCTCCTCAGTCTGATCTCCACAAACGTCGCCGGATGGACCAAGAAAACCACAGTAGCCGCCCTTTACCTAATCGCCTACTGCGTCGGCAACATCATCGGCCCTCAAACCTTCCGTCCCGCAGATGCACCTAGATACATTCCCGCTTGTATCGTTATTGTAAGCTATGCCCCTCCCTACAAAAGCTTTGCAAACCCACTAACTCTGAATTCCAGATTGTCTGCTATCTTCTCTGTATAGTCGACATCGTATTCATCTATTGGTACTGCAAGAGACAAAACAGCAAAAGAGCCGACATCCGCGCTTCCCCCGATTACGTCAAAGCGGAGAATCAAGAATGGTTGGATCTCACGGATCGTGAGAATCCCGAATTCGTGTATACTTTGTAAAAAAGATAGAGAAAAGGCAAGGGGTTTCTTTGCTATCTATGTAATTTTCAACTTTTTGATCGTCAATCGCCTCTCCCTGCACACCGACCCCCCTAGACGGAAACGCTTGTCAAAATGCGAGATTGGATTCGAGATCGAAGATTTGGCCATTGAGAGTGCGAGAAGCGACGACTCTCACTGGACATTTACAGCAACCTGAAGATCATTCTGCATTTTCACAGACGTGTATAACAGGAGAAATACGATGCCGGGAGAAGCACAGAACCAATCAATAAAGAAGCTTGTAGTGAAGAAAAAGGGTTTGATTACAGAAACAAAAGTGAAGAGAATTTGGGTATAAGAACGATTACAGAAAAGTGAGCTCATGGAAAGAAAAAGGATAAGTCAAGTCCGCAAGAACTATCCTGAGCAAAAGGTAAAGCAGAGAAGAGAATAAAGTGAAAGCAATCCAACAGTGAGTAGCCATGGGTAAAACAACCCAGATAAAGAAGTGAAGCAATGAAAGCGTGAAATGTGTGCGTCGTGTGTTTCTTTTCGTCCCTTCAACCTCATTGATGTCGTGAAAAAGCCACCGCCATCCCCGAGTATGCAAAGTCATTACCACCACCCGAAGCCCCCATTAGCACCGCGCTTTGACGTAAAACGGCACGCTTGCTGTGAAATGCAAGGAAACAGAGAGAAAAATTAAGGAAGAAGTGAGGAAAGGTGCAAAGAAGAGTTGTGAAGAGACAAGATTACTGCCATGCGTTGCTTGAATTCGATCGTAAAGCTCACTCAACCGAGCTTATCACTCGAGCGAGGACGAAAAACGACCTCATCATCATCGTCGTCGCTGTTGAAGTATTGACTGAATAGGTGGTTGCTGTCAGAATCATCCACAACCTTTTCCTATTCGGCTGTGGTGCGACTGCGTTCGTCCTCCTCGAGAACATCTGAGAGGCGAGTGGGATGGTGATGTCTGCTCTGGAGGGCCTCCCAGTCGCCGTAGCCTGCACCTTCATAATCGGCAGGTTCGGCGGCGCGGTAACCGGCAGGGTCAGCATCGTCGACAGTTGAAGTGGCGAATGAAGCCATAGCCTCGGCACTGGTCGTGGGTGCGTGTGGGACCTGGGGAGGGGGCATATTGACACCATAGCGGGCGGCGAGTTCGCGCTCGCGGGCGACATCAGCGGCGGTGTCGTAGTCTTCGGAAGAGACGTGACTGGCGTTGTGCTGTGCGCTACGGCTGGGGTTGCGGTAGACGATGGGACGGCCTTGAGCGTCGCGGCGGACGTTGCCGTGTTCGTCAATCTCATACTCGGTCTCTTCAGTTGTGTTTGATTCGTAGGAAGGGCGCGAGCCTAATTCGCGAATGGTTTGAGTGGTTTCGGCGACGGGGGTCCTTGAGCCCGCACCGGCACTGCCAGGAGAAGAGTGGAGGTAGACCTTGCCAGGAGGTTGCTGGTAGAAGAGTTCAGGCTCGTCGCGAACAGCGCCTGTGCTGGCGGATGGGCTGGGTTGGATTGTAGGACGAGTGGTGGTCACGTTGGGGTGGATCGAGGGAGACACGGCATGGGGGGACAGATCACGACGTTGCTGTTGTGGGGAGATGGCAGTGCGAGCGGTCGAGGTCGAGGCAGGAGTGCTGCCAGCGGCGTATGCCTCGTCGGGACCGAGTTGCTGCAGGTCGGGTTCGTGGTGGAGATGTTGACCAGCTCTGGCCGACTCGGTGAAGGGGTCAGTGTCTGTAGGCGATGGCTCCTCTTCCTGGTATTGCACGTCCGGCACAATGGGTTGGTATTGCTGCTGGGACTGGTGAACCTCTGGAGACTGCTGCGATCTTGCCTGATGGTACTGAGGGCTTCCGCCAGTGGTAGGACGACGTTCACTGCCCTGATGGCTGGAAGTGTGCATAGGTACGACCTGAACGCCTCCAATGACGGTGGGGAGGCCCTGGCGAAGATCTCCTATCCATCCAAGACGGGCTGCCTCCATGGTGCCAAGATCTTCCCAAGCACGCCTGGCTTCATTCTTCGAGATGTTGAGCTCTCTGCGAGCCTCATTGGCAACGTTTTCTTGCTGGCGCGCGTCTCTGCGAGCCTGCACAACATCAGCCAGGGCCTGCTCCTTCGCGTTACGCTCATCCTGGATCTGGCCCAACAAGTCTGCGCGGTCCTCTTGCCACTTCTCCTGCTCAGCTCTCATCTCATAGAACCAGCGCTTAAACTTGCGCTCAGAGCTTGCGCGCAGTCTCTGCAACTCTACCAATCCATGGAAGAGATTGGCTCCAGCAGCCGAGAGGTCCTGGATCTGGCGTTGCATGGCAGCAGCCGACGGGATGTTACGACGGATCTCGTCAGTGTTGCCCTCGATCTTACGGAGCCAGTACGATGTGAGCCCTTCCCAGTGTGATGACAGATCTTCCCATCTCTCGAATGCATGAGGGAAGTTCATGCGCGTTGTCGATGGACGGACTTCCTCTCTGAGATCATCTCCCTTTGATGCTGAAGGAGGATCGGGTGCTGAGGAGATGCGTGCTCCGGACTGGGTGGTCGTGTGAGATCGTCGATGACCAGACGTGGCCTGCGTGTTAGGAGGTTGTTGCGCTGACTGGCTCTGAGATCGTTGGCGGGAAGGGAGGTTGCCTTGAGTCTCCTCGGGGACACGCGCCGACGATGATGAGGCTTCAGGTCTAGCCATACGCTCCGTGGCGGCGGCGGCAGCTCTTCTACGTTCGCGCTCAGAAGATCTCTGCTCTTCCTCTCTCTGCTGGTTAGCCTCAGCCTCCCTTCTTGCCTCCCTTGCAAGTCGATCTGCCATGACGTCGCGGGGTGTACGCATTGAAGGTGTGGTTCTACTGCCACTCTGGTTGTTGCTGCCCAGAAGATCTGACATTGCTTCTCTCTCTTCCTCAAGGACGGGTGTAAAGGGGTATGGCGTGCGAATTGCTTCTTCGATTGCGTAGAGAATCGCAAAGTGTTGACGTCGCGAGATGCGAAGAGCTGGGTGTGGTGTGAGATCTGGGAGATCTATCGAGTTGGGATCAAGTCGCGGAAGCCGGGGTTCGTGGACGTGATCGTTTGCGCTGTCGAAAGAAAGAGATCTTCGTCTACTGACACGCCGAGAGTCGTCGATTCGGGGGGCTCGTCGTAGCCCTCGAGCGGTGCTTTCCGAGGACGTCGACGTCGGGGACGATGCGCTGAAGCTGCTCTGGTCTTGGGCTATTCGCTGTTGCCTTCGTGCAGTCGCCAATGGGTCGTGAGACTCGTGGTAATCGTCAATCGAACTGCGCCGTTGATGCGACAGTTTGAAGGCTGGTAGTGGATCCAGAGCCGCTACTTGGGCCGTTTCCGCTCAAATCCTTCGGCTGAAGCCTATACTCCTTGTTCAACAGCCACCGATCTGTATCGCACAAGATACTTGTACAGAGGTAATATGACGGTAGTCTGCTTCTATTGCGACACTCAGTATGTATGACGATATGGTGTAGAGACATGAAAGAAGGTTTGGGCAGGAAAAAGTGGACCGGCAATTGCAGAACATAGGAATTGAACAGAAAACATGATTTGTGCCGACAAGACAGCGCTTTGTCAAACAGGGATATTACTCGAGGGGCTGGGTATGGACAGCGAACTTGGGTAGACCCAAGTGGCAGGAAACATGCAGTGGCTGGGAAGCAGAAGCACGGTCGTAACCGCAGAACGAACAGACAAACGCACCTTGAAGCCTCGTATATTTAGTATATATTTAACCCAATGCCGGAAAGTGCTGTTGAGGTTGAAGCCTACTTCTCAAAGTGGTCAAACGATTGCGACGAACGAGGCAGACTGATCTGCGTGTGTTGGTTGTCAATTGAAGTCAGGGAAGGCGCGACTTGGGCAGTGTTTCATCCGCGGATTCGACGACCGGCTTGGGGGTGACGATGATGCTGAGGCTGGAATAGATCTGGATCGGAACAAGAGAGAAACCTGACTCATCAAATCCCGTCTCATGGTCCTGTAACTATCCACAAAACTTTAATCACCAGATTTGAAAGAGCTGTGTAGGTTTTGTGACACCGCAGCTGGCGTGTAGCACTGTGGATGGTCGAAACTGGGAGTACACGGTGCGGGAAGCAACTCAAACTGCTCAACAGGCACTCGCAAGTGTCCGCGTCAACAAGGAAGTCGATATGGAAATTCAGTAGGCTGATTGGCGAGGACGACTCGAGAGCAGACTTGCCTTGGGCTTCGAAGAGAAACGAGAACCTGGTCGCTGCCAGCGCATCTCGCGATGCCTTCGGCTTGGCCCGTGGCAGGCGAGTTTCATCCCTCATCAGGGCCCGCGCGAGCTCTTGCCCTTCTTCGCTTCCGGCATGCTCGGGTTGGTGATTTCAGCAACATGTTCTGGAGAGATGAAATACAAACAGCTGAAGATGAGGTTCTCAAGAGGAAACAAGCTAAGAGAGAAATGTTCCTCTCCGACGGACACCAGCATGAGCTCGTCCGGTTCTGGTTTCACTTGCTAGCCAATCGTTGAGATGGCAACTTTTGCCGACTCGCCTAATATTGCGTCTGATAGCCCTAAAGTGTTACGACATACGAGTCTCCGTAACAAGATCGATCTCCGTTCGCTGCTCGAATACGGAAAGCACGACTTGAATATCAGAACTTGTTCCATTCACCTACTTTCTCAGAGGCAATCAGCAGGTGAACGGGTGGCCAACAGCTCCAGAAGCATATGCCTCGATCAACGACTTGACAATCGCGTACATGCCCCCAACACAAATAAAACCTCCAGCAAGTAGAGTTCCAAGGCATAGTATGAACATTGGACATCTTTGCTTGACGGATATCCATCCATTACCGAGATGATGAGTGTCGTGCCACCAAAAGGCTCCCGCAAGGCCGTACGTGTACCACGAGGCGAAAGCTGACGCGACTATGCCACCAAGATATGAGAAGAACTGTCAACGTGTCAATGAAGTGCTCATGCAATTGAAGACAAGCAGAATGGCATACCGGCACACCAGTCGCCAGTACGAAACCGCAGGCATTTGCGATTGCAAGCAACAGGATCCAAACCCCCCATCCGAGCACTGTGTTCTCTGTCAAGTGCCTGCTCTTCCTAAACATCCTCACGAAGACAATCTTGGCGGCGAAATGGTTGTATAGAGCTCCCGCGACCAGGATGTTCGGCAAAAACAAGCCCCAAGCAGCTTTTGCCCAAATCTCTGACAAGCTGAGAAAAGATGGGCTTTGCACCGTGGAGCCGAGATAAAAGTAGGACACTACAGCGAAGATGACATACCAGGTCGTGCTGAAAAGTTGAAGCGCCCATGCTGATTTCTTGGAGTCACTGGGGACTCTCATCTCGGAAATGATGGTAAAGAACAAGAAGTGGCCAGCATAGGCGAGGACTAACTTAATCAGCATCTTTGCTCCCCTTCTCCTCATCCAGCTCTGCTTACCAGGATTTGTGATGGCTAGAAACGCCGTATAGAATGAATTTGGCGCCGTAGCAACGACAATTCGATCGGGAGTCGGCTCAATACCACTGCCAATCATAGCAACCAAAGTAGCAACCAGCACAGAAACACAGGCCGCGACGGAGAATCCTAGTAAGCCTGCCCCAAAAGTCCTAGGTAAAGCAACAAGGAAGGTGATGCAAGTCCAGATACCTAGATAAGACATCGCACACATCCTGCCCTGACTCAAGGTCTGTAATGCCAACTGACCAAGCAAGCTCATACTCCCCACGCCTGTGATAGCAAAAAGAATCGTGCCTGCACTCAATACTTCCCTACCCATCACTCCTAGCCCGAAAGGCGAGAATAAAATGTATCCAGCATCACCCATGTTATGCACCTCCGGATGATTGAGCTTGAAGTCGATGAGCAAGAACGATGTAAACAAAGCCCAGATACCGCAGAAGAGTATAATGATGGTGCCTGGAACGAGACCGACGACTGCGATTGCTTGAGGGAGAGTCAAGGTGCCACCGGTCACGATCTCGGTGATCATGATGAAAGCTGCTGATTGCCAGGATAGAGTGCGATATTTGATTTGGTGGTTCTTTTCGTCGGTGAAGACTTCGCGGTCATCGTAGCTGATATCTGTAGAAGTGGTATTCATGCCTGTCTCCGATTCGCTCTGACGACCCATCTTGGTGGTAAGATAGTACGAAAGTGGTTGAGAAACAACGAACAAGAGGGCACATTCGTAGTAAGATAACGATCGAGGAGAAGTCGCTCGGCAAGTTACCTCAGAAACAGACCTGCGGGGTCGCGAGAGGATTGCATATCGCTAAAGTTGTACGCATACACGATGCGTGATAATCTTTACTATCGCATCGAGGTGCAGGTGTGGACTTGGCGTGGCAGATCTTGCTATATCAATTCGCTTATGGGTGTGGCTGACTGCATATGACCTGCATGTCCGCTCGTACTGACCGGGCAGCTCATTTGCACACCTATTACTAAGTCATGTTGGATCGTTCTCGACGTCAGGACAGTCGTCCGTAAAAAAGGCTCGATCGTGCTGTTCTTGGTGGATGTCGCTGATAATGTGGCAAGAATCGTGCATCTCTGCAATCACACGGCCGACCAAGCTTAGTATATGATGAGGGGCTATCTGTGCACACATGGCTCCGAACATTCAGAAAGATGTTGGAGGTTCTATCGTATAGATGTTCAACGAGTAATCTTCATAAGTTCACGCCATCAAACATGCCTTGAGCGTAAGGAAACAGATTATACTCGGACTGGTGAGCGCAGAGATAGGATTGGTTTATACTACTACTACTACTGTAAGGACAGACTTAGTTTCTACTGTTCGACGTACTAAATGATAATTCCAGTGCCGCATTTCCTTCAGAACTACATATTGAGCGCTGAAGTATAATCGTTGCAATGTCTGGCCTCAAGAACTGATTTGAGGGTCTGCCACATCCTTCTAGTGCCAGCAGTGTCCTTCGACGTCGTTCGGGTTTCCTCCAAAGTTGATTTGCCAGGCCTGTCTGCAAGTGTTCTCCCAGGGCTGGCCATCGATACCTCGGCCTATTCCCTTGTCGACGCACTGCACAATTCTCATGTAAGAAAGTGTCCTTGAATGTGGAAGAAGAGAAACAAGTAGGGATTATGTCAAGGGAGTCAAGCTTACAGAATGGCCATCAAAGTGAGTGTGGATCTGGGTGGCACCCCACAGAGCACAAGTTGCTTGACTAAGCTCTTCGCTGTAGGCGCCACGGACGTTGCAGCCGCAGTTGTGGTGTTTGCCTGCAATGGCACTATTTGAGTCCGTTATCAGTGTATTGTCGTGATTGACATCGTGGACCGTATGAGAAAAAGAGACATACAGGGTGCCGAAGAGAGCGAGGACGGCAGACAAGTATTGCATTGTGTTCGAAATGGTTGGAAATTGGGTTGTTGGCTTTGGACGGAGTGCTGTGAATCAGTGTTGACCTAGGCAGGTGCTCGGGTTCTTATATGTCTTTGTCTCGGAGGCATAGTTGATGCCCAAATGCTGAATGTCCCACGCTCGTCCTCGCTTTGATTGACCTAGAGAAAGTTGAGTTGCCGTGAAGAAAGACTATAGGCTGAGACTTTGGTAGCAGTATCTCCTTGACCCACCGGTTTTACGAGCTCATTTTACCTTGAATCTCCAATCGCGGAGTCGATACCAAAGGTGTGGTCTTGTTCTATCAAGCTATGGTCGATAGTATTGACAGAAGAATGGGCCTGATTCATAAATACGAGATATAGACTTGCAAAGAGAAGCATTGGGACACTTGAGCAAATTTTGGGACATTGCCGTTGCGACTATACGGATGGGGAACTCCTTGATAAAGATGCGCTCCAGTTGTTGAAGGATGTCTTACCATTGGATTCGGCGAGCGAGGATTGAGAAGGTGTTGACACGCCGCCTGTCGAGGTGTAGTTGTTTAAGTCAGCGTGAGCACTTCTCAGATACCGCAAGCCTCAGCTGATGAGAGAACCACATGTTCTCAACTTCCCACATCCAGCTCCATAGATCAAGCAGATGCTTTGCACTGTCAGCTTGGAGCCTCGAGGTTCATCAAGTCGGTTGGAGCTGCATATCATGCAGATATCGTTCGGTTCGAGTTTGCCGTGCAGGAACGATCTCTAGCCCTGACCTGCTTTCATCTCCATCGGAACTTAGATTACGGGTGATTCCTATACACGTGGTGTGTTGTGGTGAGTTTAACATTTTGATCGTGAGAGAGAGAGTTTGGAAGATCACCGCCCGAAGTTCCGCCACGGTTGCAGTTGCCCTTTCCACGCATTGCATCTTCGGAACATCATCCTGCCGTGCTGCTTCTCCCTACAACTCTGGTTATCATCAATCATAGCTCACCTCCTCCACATGCAACAACAGGCTCAGTAAGAAGTACTCAAAAACGTCAGTGACAGCTCCGCTAAGATTGTTGTCTGTTCTCCAGTCCATCGGCACAAGTCGCGTCGATACGCTTCGGTATAGCTATCCCCACGGTTGAATACGCAGGAATGGAGCCTCGGCTCTCTCACTGTTGATGTCTGCTACCACTCATGCAGATCAACGTCTCGTAAGATAGACTCACGAGATTCCAGTACGCTGTGGACCTCGCGTTCACTGAAACTGGTATGCAGCCAACTTTGCAATACACTGCTGGAAGAATACCCGCACTGCGTTCTGAACGTTTCCAAGACTCCGTCCACTTTCTCGTATTTCATCAAGGTGGCATGATCTGACTTTAATGCCACTTTGGATGCGAAGAAAACGTGCCTGTCTTGGTAGCGATACTGACTTTGGCTCGTTCAACGAGCAAGGCTTATGCTATACAGACATTTCCTGGTTGACTGTTCGCAAAGACCTATACTCGGCGACTCGAGACGACGGCATCATCTCTGCTTCTCGTTGAGGAAGTTTATCACACTCAAATACTCTGCTGACAACGCCGTTGGCTGGACCGGGACAAAAGCATCGTACCGGACATGAGGAGGTAAGGTCAGAGTGATCTCTGATACAGGTCGTTCTCTAGCTATCTAGCTATAAAGACCTGCCTCGCATCTCAAGAGAAATCATCTCTCACAAACAACACAAAGTCATCCATCTTCAATCAAGCACATCTCATTCCTCCGACCATGATCTCCCCCAAGATTGCTCTCATTGCTCTTAGCATTACCACTGCCAATGCTCTTATTCAGAGCGCAGAGAACTCTACTTCTCTCAACTGCGCTACTGGAGCTCATATCCAAGCACTGGGCTTCACCTTTGAGTACATGAACGCCAACAACACCGACACAGGCGTCAATCTTCCGGAGATGCCCATCGAGTACGCCGACAACCCTTCCCTTTGCGTGCCCACTTCCCTCTTTGATAGCTACTTCGAGGCCATCGAAGCTCAAGCAAAACTCCTGGATATTCAATCCGACAACGGGCTCTCTCTTATCTCTCGCGCTCCCAAGCCCGATCATGTGTTCTTGGACAAACGCGCCCGCAACTGCAGACAGCTCAAAGAAGCCCAGATCTCTTCGATCCACAAGTACTCCTGCTCTTCCGCTCCTCACGCGGACAAGTGTAGATCGTGCGCCAACTGGGCCACTGGCTCTTTTGCGACCTCGATCGCTGCTTGTGGACTCAAGGAGCAGCCGGCCGAGGCAGTCTCTTGCTGTGCTTCTGCTGCCTTGGCTTTTGGAACTTATTATACTCAAGTCTGTCTGGAGAAGTAGTTGAAGGTCGCCTGTCGTCTTCTATCGCCCCTTGCTTTGAAATATTGAAACAAGGCGCGATGTGTGTAACGGGGGCCGACTGTGGTTGGAATAGGTGATGGAGCTTTCAACATACCAGTAGATAGCCAGCGAGGGTTCAACACCCTAACAGAATATCAAACTTGCTTTCCACTAGATCCTAACTACAACCCATGATCTCGAGCTCTACGCTGAACAAAACAGCCAAGTCGTGACCATGATCAAGACTAGACAATCATCTCGCCATTACCCCGCTTCTGTGTCCCTCTTGTAGACCAAGATCAATGGACTGTGGACGGAAGAATTCAGGATAATAGCAGATCGCTGTAGAGACGATCAAAAGCTAATCCATTTATAGCAGTCGACTGTTCGTATAAAGCCAAAAACCTGATCATGTATAGTCAACAGTGATCTACAATACATATCTAGCGCTGTATACACTATACGAATACGATGACGAGAGGTGATATAAGAAGACTGAGGCCTCTACTTTGATATCGTGTACATTGTGTGAATCGAGGATCAGGACCTACTCATACTTGCTTCAATATGGGGTTCATCAGCTCATCTACTATTCTCCTTTTATATGCCCATCTGGCTACGGCGGACTTTCCTTCTGCTGCGCAACTGTTCCAACTCTCGGGACAAGATACTGTCAACAATGCCAAACTCTCCTGGCAAGCTGTTGCTGGCGCTTCGATCTATGAGGTCGAACAACGCAGTGGCGATGGCGACTTCTCTACCGTAGGAACTACGGCCGGAAACACACATGATGTATATGATCTGCCACTCAACCAACCCCTGGACTGGCGCATCACCGCAAGAAGCAACCAAACCACCATCGATCAATCAGCCCTTGTTTCCCTAACACCCTTCACCCCATCAGCCGACTACAATACCTACGACAACACCGTAGCTTCCGACGCTCTACTAAAAAGCGAACTCGTCTTCAACAAAACTTACTACAGATACGACTACGAAGCCTACTCAAACGGCAGCTTCAGCCGTTTCGTAGAAAAGACATCTTCAGATGGATATACCTATACTGGCAACCGCACAGTACTGACCAGCACAACTCTCTGCGCCTCTGCAAATTACAGCTGCAAACTCGAGCGCCAGCAATTTCTCAAACACCCTGATGGCCATTTCATCATGTGGGCACATTTTGAGCGTAGTCAAGATTACGCATTAGGACAAGTCGCAGTCGCGCATGCAAGTCCCGGTGGCGAATTGATCTTCGATGGCGCGTTTCAACCTCTAGGTCACGATTCTAGGGACATGACGTTCTTTGCCGATGGAGAGGATGCGTGGTTGATCTCTTCCACAAACACGAATACGGATATGAATATTTATTCGTTGACGAAGAATTGGACTGCTGTGGATGAGTTACTCGTGCAAGTCAACAAGGCGGCTTATCGAGAAGCTCCTGCTGTGGTCAAGCAGAATGGATGGTTTTATCTGTTCACCTCGAGAGCGGCCGGGTGGTTGCCTTCTCAGCCGCAGTTTATTGCTGCGAGGAGTATGGCTGGACCTTGGAGTGCTGCTGTGGATATTGGAAATACGGCGACGTTTGCTTCGCAGTCGGGTGTTGTGGAGAGTTTGCCTAGTGTGCAATCTTTTATGCTTGCGGATAGGTGGTCGGCGAATTGGCCTATTGCTGGAGGTCCGAACAGACAGTTGGCACTGCCCATCTCTTCCTCCGGGGCTGAAGGGTTCGCCGCATATCATTTCTACCCGACGGTCAAGTACTCTGATCAAGTCTCTGGAGCAGGTCAGGGTGTTTTCGGCGTACAGGAAGGCAGAATCTTGTCGGTAGGTCGACCTTCAAGCTCGAATGCCGGCAGCTCCGATATCTCCCTCGCCAACGACGGCACACAAGACACCCCGAACGCCTTCTTCACGCCCTCTCAAGTCCCCTTCTGGTACCAGATTGACCTCGGCAACGCTTCAACTGTATCCCGAGTTGAACTGTCGACGAACATGGTCCAGGGCTCTGAGACGTATTACGACTTCAATGTTACTGGTAGTGCTGATGGCAGCTCGTTCAGTCTCATTGGGTCTAAACATGATAATGTCGATGTTGGATTCGTAAGCGTGGCTTCTCAGTCGCAGGAGAAGTTCAGATATGTGAGGCTGAATGTCAATTCGATTGAGAACGCTCATAATGGAAACGAGGCGGACTGGGCAAGAGGGATCTCGGAAGTCACTGTTTACGGTCAGTGACCATGACATGAGGGTCGGAGACTTGAAATAATGAAGGAGCTACCTAGATCAACTTCCTTCAAATTGACAATTTAAGTTGTTCCGAGGCAGCTTGTCCGTGAGGTTTGATTTGCGTCGGTGATTTGCTTTTCTTGTTCTGCTGATGATGTCTTGCTATCTTGCTATCTCTGTAGCACTAGTATAGTCTTGTAGCCAGCTTTATGTGCGAGGAACAACTATGTCTTCATCTGCGGGAGTTTCTTGACCACACGATGAGTGTCCGCAGCAAGTGGGATCCCATCAAAGAGCCATGCTGGAGGGAAAAAGGTCCGGATCTCATGGGCAGCGCCCGAGAAGATTCATGTTCATGGCAAATGCATGCGTCCCTGCATGCGCAAGGCGGAGAGCATCCATTTCCAAAAGCGAAGACCGGTGTGGTGCCTTGCCGAGTGATCTTCCTCGTAGCAGGGGCGCATGGTTGTGGCTCGAAGACAGCATCGAGTCTGTATGTGAGAGATCACTTTGACGCACCCTCCTCGCCAGCCTGCTTAAGGGCGTCCAAACGTTGCTTGTTTCTCTTCTGCAAAATCCTCATAGTGTTCTTCTTCTCAATGTCCGCCATCTTGTCCCAATTTGTGATTCTCGAGATTGTGCCATCTTTGTTGACGACCATGGGGCCGAGGTGGTCGAGCGCAACACCTTCTCCAGATCCGACGTCGAGTTTGATGCCACCTGCAGGAGGCTCGGGCAGGCCCAGAGGTGTTCCTTTCTTCTCTTCTTGCTCTTGCGACTGTGCGTTGGGATCCGACATCTTCTCGTTCGAGGTAGCCGAGTAGTAATGTTTCCAGGAAGTGGGGACGAAGGCAGATTGTTGGAAGTCAGCTAGGCTGGTCAGTCGGGTGCGTGGCAAGTATCTGAAGAGTTGCATTGCGAAGAAGATGGCAATAAAGCAGGGCACTACCCACGTTATAAACGTGCGACGGTTCATTCGGGTACGTGTGTGTCGTCGAAAGGACTTGGAGAGACTCGATGGAATAACATGGAAGCTCGTGCCAAGAATACCATCATTTCTCGGCTACGGATGACATCGCTGCCCGGCTGAAATTTCCTTAATTTCAACATCAATGTCAATCAGTGATTTTGATTTTTTTCTCTTTAGATCTTAGCATAGTATATCTACCATTTTCTGGAGACAAGTTCGAGTACATCAAGGAGTTCAGCAATATATCCAGGCCTTGTCAGCAACATGTCTTTCTTCTCAAGATTCAGCACGCCAGTCTTCAAAAACACCGGATCGACCGCTCGCGATCATCTGGCATCTGAACGAACCTATCTCGCCTGGATGCGCACCGGTCTCGGCTTTCTCGCTCTCGGAATCGGTGTGGAAAGATTCAACCAACTCGACCTTGCCGAGATCCTACCGACCAAGTACAAGAAGCGTTTCCATCAAGACAAGACTCACAATGACAAGTCGGATGCACTTGTAGGTGCTTTGCTGGGTAGCGGAGCTGGAAGTATTGCGTATGGAACCACTAGGTATTTTTCGAATATGCGCTTGTTGGAGCAGGGGCTGTTCAAGCCTGCTTTTCATGGTGCTGCGTTTCTTGCTGTAGGGGTTGCTGGTATTGCTGGTGCTGTTTATTGGTCTACGGTCAGGGAAAGGAAGGCGAACAGGGAGGACGAACAACACGCATCTTAGTCGTGCTTGATCCCGGACGGCCGAATTGAGCTAGAGCGATCGAAGCAGAAGACCGTGTTACGGGGTTCGTGTTGCGGATGTCTTGTGACGACACATGAAAGGCATACCGGAGTGAAGTATTGAGACGTGATACTCCGCATGGTCTCTTTCGACACAACATCCCACTTGTGTCCTCAGCCAGTCATGGGAAACCAGTCGTCACGTAAGTCGTCTTACTCATTGATCAGTATGTTTCGTCCATCAAGCGTTCGTTATCATGTATATCCATCACAACAAGCTAATCATCGCAACAGGTCAAAGTCACGTCAACATAGATCCATATACAACACCTCCCGGAACTCCCTCGGATGACGAACAAAGCCCTCTCCCACCTATGACCATGTCCCCAAGACCTCGTCGCCCAAAGTGTCTGCGAACGGCCGTATTCTGGGAACTTACAGACTGCCGCCACTATCCACCCTCGCCAGGCACTGGTCTTACGCTCATCAGCCCAGTACCTTACCCCTACAAGCCATCGCCTTTGCCAGCAAGCTTTTACGGCGACGATGACAACGAAGATATCGAAGATAACGACCAAATCATGACCTTCGACGGCACCACTTCCCCCCGCGACCCCATGATAATCGACACCAACACACTCGCCCACATCTCCGCCGACATGAAAGAAACCCTCCGCGAGTCCCGCAGCGAAAACGGCTACCCCATCACCTCCTCCCCCTCAACCAGAAAACTCCTCCGCAAAGCCTCAGCCCTTTCATCATCTCCAAACCAATCTTCTCCCTCCAACCCACCACCTCCAGCCCCGCCAACATCTCCAAATCTCTCCCCCGTCAACCCATCCCCTCAGGACCTCGAAGTTTCCACCCATCTATCCCACCACCTCAGCGCTCTAGACTTACATTCCGACATTCGCCCCCATTACTCTCAAAGCGCCGCTCATCTGGCTAGAAAAGCCCGCATCAAGAACACGAAAACCATCCAGAGATCTGCAGTCTACAAACCAAGGGAAAGGTTCAAGGATAAGATGGAAGCGAATATGTGGCAGTTGAACAGATGGGCAGATGGCGATGAGGAGAAGAAGATGACGGTGGCGAGGATATTGCATGGGAGGGGGGAGGAGAGGACGGAGGGGATGGTGGACCTATTCTGAGGTCTGAGGGACGGAAAGGAAGTTGCGGGTTGAATAGAGGGGGGTTGGATGAATGAGTTGGCTGCGCGGGAGGACGATTCTGTGGTTTTGCATCTCCTGAGTCTTGGAGTTGGTATTTTCAGATCCCCATACCTCTGATTTCGTCGCTTCGTCTACTCTCAGAAAGAGTAGTGCAATTGAGAGAACAACTTTTATCACATTTGTCCTTTCAAGAAATTCCCTCTGTCAACTCGTATGGCGGACGAAGCGAAAATGTGCTCGAGCAGTATCACTGGCAATGAGATCTCCATTCAAATGATTGGCTTGCACAGAGCCGACTGCTTCCTAAGCATCTCTTACCTCTACACCAGGAACCACTCTAAACATGATTCTTCAGGAACGGAAGTGGTTCTGTGTTGAGAGTGGCATGTCACTCCAGTACGACTGGCGAGTATTCATATGGATAATGGACAACATCAAGAGTAGTGAGAGTTGCATTTCGACCATGTCATAAGCTACGTGTGGAGTGTATACCTGCGTATCTGAATCAAGAGCAAATAGCATCTAGCAAGTGTTCTCCGCCTGTTCCCAAACAGCAAAACGCTTTCATGTTGTGCAAGCCACAGACAAAACCCTACACCAAGCCATAGTGTCAATCTCATCATCAATCGATATCGCGATATGCATTCGCAGTCGCAAATTCATCTCGACCAACCTCTTCAAGCCACCTGAGGGGATCATTCCGATCCTGTGCCGCTCTCGTCTCTAGCAGGACGACCACGGAGTACGCCGCCCCATCTCTCTTCTCCCTCGATGGCATTTCGCTTTTGCTTTCTCTCTTTGTTGATTCTTCTGCGTTCCTGCCGACCCCTGCGATCCCTCCACTCCCAATTCACGATATTCCTCAGGATCCGTCGGCCTTTTCTGTCGTCCTCCAAGAATCTTCGAAGCTCTCTGTCAATCAGCTCCTCGTCTTCCAATATCTCAGGTGAAAGGGAACCTGCAAAGTCAAAGACGCGACGAGTCAACAAAGAACTTTGAACGAAATTTATGCCATCCAGCACTCGATGTGCTTTGCCCGTCAGACTCAAGGAGCGCTGGAGTGGTGCAAAAGTGCGGACAGCTTCAATCAAGGGCATAATGCTCCAAGCTCCCCACTCCTCTGTTTTAGGGTCGAGGAAGGTGATGCTCTTCATCCTGATCCCGTGGCTTTCGAGGAAGTTCAAGCGGTTCTCAAGACACTGAATAAATTCCTTTGGTTTTGAGTCGCAAACATATCTGACGACATTTTCCACGTCCCAGTACCACACAAAATCATGCATGCCGTAGTACATCGACAAAGTCTCCTGTCTGAGTTGCTTGTTCACTTCAGACAATGGAGGTGGGCGCCACTGCCACTTCGTACGCGAAAGATACGCCGCGGTAGGATACAAATTGACATTGTAGTCCCCGTTGTATGACCAAGGTGGGCAGTCAAAACTCGACCAATGGGTCTGTTCAAAAGCAAATCCAAAGACCATGATGCGAAGCTCAGCAGGCAGATCCAGGAAGCGAAAAGGCTTCTCAATCTGGCGAGGCGGAAGTGCCAGATCCTCAGAGAATCCGCGCTGCACATAACGATCGAGGTCCATAGTAGACTCAGGAACACGACTGGGTGACGGGCTACTGGGCGGAGAGATCAGGTCCATTTGATCCCAGAAAGGGCTACCACTTGGTAAAGAAGGGCTGCGGGAGACTTGAACAGTGGAGACTGATGGCGTGCCGAGTTCGGTGGAAGGTCTGACAATGTCTCGTTGATCTTGTGTAGGCATGGCAATACCGAAGTTGTCTTGGGTGGTCATCTTGGTTCGACACAAGATAGTGCTGGGTTGAGCAGGTGAGACTTATGCCAGAACAAGGCCGACGGTAGGCCGCTTCGGATTAGAGAAGACGCTGGACGGAAGCGTTGATCGTGGTGGTGCTTCGAAGGGTGTGAATTGGCTCGTGATCGAGAAGGTATACAAAAAGTTCGCGAGTGGTGCGGCGGAGGTCGCAGATCGACTGATCGAGGTTGAGACGAAGAGAGGTGCGCAATGCGCTTGCAAACGTGAGGTTGTGGGCCAGATGTGGTGGAGTGCAAGAGATGGTGTAGAGCAGGGTGGTGGATACACGAAGGATGGGCAGTATCACCACGAAGATGGCAGACGATGCAATAGAATACTCGACTGAGTGACGTGCCAAAACGAAAGTGGAAGGTCGACATTGGGAAAGTGCAGTCGAAGCCTGAGGCAGCAGTCAAAGTCGCGTTCTCGGAGTTGAGCAAATCAGGAAGGCACGCGTGAGGTTGATCGAAGTGCGCCGCTTTCTGCAGCTTGACATTGATGGATATCTCTGAGCGTCTGAAATAAGAATGATGAGGAAAAACGAACATGGACGCCTTACATGCTATGAACGCCGTGAAAAAGACACCCCAAATTCCCCTTTTGAGTGATCATGCCAAAAACATATTCAAGAAGATGCAAATAGATCCTTATGCGGCATCTTGCATGTTCATCTCCTCGAACTCGTCGAGCAGTTGGTCCATAGGAATTTGAGGGCCTTGCTCATCCTCGTCCTCATCAGTCTCCATCTCCATGGCGTTAGCCTCTTGTTGAGCCTTGTAGACTTGCATGGTGTGACGAAGCTCCTCATCTTCTTCGACATCACGCAAGAAGAGCTCAAAGTCGCGCTCGAGGCGCTCCTGGTCTTGCTTGCGGGGTGCCATCTCGCTCTCCTCCTTGGCCATACGCTTGAGCTTCCAGTTTCGCTTTTGGCCGGAAGCCTTCTTGCGACGAGGGTAGTGCTTCTTGACAAGAATTACGTCGGGAATGGCGGACTTGTATGTCTTGCTCTGCTCAATGGCCTCGAACTCGTTGTTGTTGAACTGAGTTCCTGCGAGAAGGTAACCCATAACGCTGTCACCAGGGTTCAGAAGAGCACCGAGGTGAGTACGGCAGAAGTATGTTGTGTCGTTTACGCCAAGATCGGCGGCGCGGGCAACAGTGCAGTCGGCGAGAACGAAACGTCCCTTTGTGGGGCCAGTTATCTCAATATCCATGACAATGAACTCGACAAGCTGGGGAATATCTGCGATGGGAGTGAAAGGAGCGCGCCAGTAGATGGGAGTAGCGACCTCGGCGGTCTGGAGAGTGTTAGGGTCGAGCAAGTTGACAGCGGTACCAACACGGTAGCAAAGAGCCAGAGGGAACATGTTTCCGATCTGCTTGGCGAGCTTGATGGGAAGAGCGACCAAGTCATCTTTACAGATGGGCACAATCTCGCAAGAGAAAGCGAACTTGTAGGTCTTCTCGGAAGTGTGGATGTTCATCGAAATCAGCTCTTGCGACTTCTTGCTCTTCATAGGTACGACACTGCTCAAGAAATCCACAAACTTCTCTGCGTGGTTTCTCGCGGAGAAGAAGAAATCAATACCGTCGTGAATTTCCTTGATGTTGATTGCATCGCGGTGAGCACCGTGCTTGAGGATAAGTTGCTCGAGGTAGAGGAAAGTACGCTTGTGGGTGACCTTTTGGCGGACCTGGACGACGGCGCGCCATGTGTTGTGTGTGAAACTCTTTTGGCAATCGGGGCACTGCTGGTTGGCCTGAACGAACTCGACTTCGAAGGTTTGCTGGAGGATGGTTCCCTGGAAAGCTTCTTGCTGGATGGTGATCTTCAACTTGATACGACGAGAGTGAGGTTCGGTCCAGATGAAGGAGGCGTCGATAATGCGGACTTTGTTCAGACCGCGCAGCTTGCGCAGACAGAGGGCAAGAAGCTCACGCGACTCAGGCTGGGCAACGAGCCACTGGTTGGGAGGAGACAACCAACGGTCGCAATCTCTGCACTGGTGGAGGGTTCCTTCTCTTTGGATGCCTTGCGAGACGTCGATGGTGAGCTTGATACAGTCGTAACAGAGAGCGCCGGCTGCGACAGTTCCGTCAATGGGAGCGCCACAGTTGCAACAGAGGATGCTGTTTCTAGTCAGTACAGTCCAGAAATATGAGAGCTCCGAGCGAGACTCACGTAGCGTTGGTCACCTCGCGCTGAGCAGCAGGTGCCATCGACACCGAGTCGAGATCCATCGACATGATGGGTGCTGATAAAGGTGAAAACTGGTTTGGAAACGGAGAACTGCGTCGCTGAAATGACGAGAGACTCGGGTCGGCACTTCAATGGGTGCCTTGAAAGTGGTATGAGGCGACGAAAGGCCAAAGGCGAATGCAGGAAACAAGAGGAATTAATTCTCGTCACCAAAATTGTTCTCGAAGGAACTTCTCTCAGTCAGCGCCGCCACACAAACTTCCCGAGAAAATCCAAGGGCCAACCCCGCTGTGATGGCATGCCAAGGCTTGAGATAAGATAAGACAAAGAGCCAACCACCTCGATCCTTCGTATTCGTATACGCGCGCTGACAGCGTTATGCACAGCGTCATTAATTCCGAGTGGAATTCCGGACCATCGAGTTCCGGACCCGAGAGGAGATGTAGAAATGATAAAGTACTCGAGCATTCCCCTCTCTCACCAATCCCATATCTCTCTCAACCTGTGATACTCTTCAGCCGACGTCAAAATGCCAGACTATTCTCTTCTCGCCATTCCGGTCTACACGATCATGGCCATTATTCCTCATGCGTGAGTAACCTCCGCTCATTCGTTTCAATTGCAATTGCTCAACTATATCAGTTATGCCATCTCCACCGTCTCGAAGCAGACGCAGTGGTCAAACGCAAACGGCAGAGGCGAAAGCAATGTCCAGCACCTGAAGAAGACTCTCCCCGCCGCCGTCTTCGCAACCTACGAGCGTGCTGAAGCTGCACACAAGAACAGCTTCGAGAGCATGCCTCTGTTCATCGCAGCTACTCTTTCTGGTGTCTTTGCCGAAAAGCTTACAAGAACCGACGTTGGCAATGCCCAATTCTCTGCTGTCTTCTTGGGTATCAGAGCACTGTACACCATTCTCTACGTATGTTTGCAACAATCCCGAGGTATCGTGCGCGGTTATGCTAATGCCAGACCCAGATCAACACATCTTCGGAGAAGTACAGTCACGCTCGCTCCTTGACATGGACAGCAGGTCTGGCTCTCTGCTTCTACCAGATCTACAAGGCTGCTGTTGCCCTTGCCTAAAGGATCATCATTGTGAATAAAAGTAATAATGAAATCATATTTACAGCTTCTAATGCGTCCTCATGGCTCTTTGTACATGTTCCTACACCCTACGCGCCGAATCTCCAAACAAAATGCATCATCCGTGTGATGTTCTCCCACGTCCCTTTTTCCTAGGATCCTCCGAACGCCGCGACCCAATGCATGATCTGCTATATGTACACTATTCATATGTCGTTCTACTCTCTTATCTAGAGCTCTGAGGGTGAGAACGGCCAGTCGTCGCGTTTTTTATCGATCTTGGCCTTGTTGATGCTATTTCCTGTTGAGGGCATTGAACCCAGCCAATCCTCGTCATCAGAAAGATACAACCCAGAGACTGATTTGGGCTTGCGAGGTGATGCGTCCTTGGAAGGTTCCGATGTTGGGGAACTGCTCTCAGAGACTTCCTCCGGCTCCTTCTCTTCAATGCTCTCAAACTCAGCTTGCGTAACAGTCTTGACGTAAATGGCAATGTTTCTCCAACCAGGCTCCAGTTGTCGAATCCCAGGCTCTGCGTGCATCTCATGCCTGAACAAGTCCAACAGCTCCTGGTGGCCGTATCTGGCGGCGCGAGCCTCTCGTAGGACTTCATCGAAGCGGGCCATCTCGTTGCAAGCACTGCAAAGTCGCAACATGGCTGAGTATGTCTGCGCGAACAACTTCTCTGGTTGACCCTTCCGTTGACTCTCGGTTTGCAACTTCTTGATCAGATCCCACACCTGACATCCGGCTTCATAATCGGCATTTCGGGCTCGATCATCAAGTAAGGGCGTCAGACCGCGGATTGACAACCCCCATCCATGTTGACCCATGTCTTTGCACACTCTGAGTGCGGCTTCAAAGCCGACAAAGTGCAACACTCCTTGAACGAGCACTTCAAAGACGCCCGGCGTTGGGTATGGCTTCTGGTAAATCTTGCCTGTCTGTGGATCCACGACTAAACGTGCACGGCCTGAGTCATTGACAGTAATACCTGGTCTAGCCATGGCTACACCTCCATGTAAGCCACGCATTCGATCGACGAAGTTGGCGAACCTGGTTCGAGAGTTGATCATGATGAAGTACTTGAGTGTAGCCTTCAGAGTCGTCTCATTCATGCGTACATTGGCATTACGGATAGCAGATAGGGTCGGTTCTACCAAATCAACATTTTTCGCGTCGGTATCCATGAAGCCACACAAGAGAGTGTTCCAGCATTCCAGACTCGGGGGTGCTGGTGAGATGTAAAGATTGTAGGCTATCTTTGCGACCATATCCTTGTATGCCAGTTGACCTGATTGTTTCTTCTCGAACAGTTGACCCAGAGCAGTATTCAGATTTTCAGCGGTACGATGAAACTCCCCCAGATTATCTTGTTTGTATGTGACACCCCATCTATGCTGACGTGGGAGATCGTTGATGTGCGCCCATTGGTCTGGATAGGTAGTGGCCTCCATGTGCTGGTCATTCGTGTAGAGCAAAAGGGCTTTCAGGTTACGTGTAGGAGCGGCAAACAGATTGAGGCAGGAAACCGGCACAGTGAGGTGCATTTCGTCGCGACAGCCCAGGTCGTCCAGATGCAGAAGCATGCGGAGGATCAGCTTGTCGACGGCCAATTCGGTTGTACGCACCTTCTTCGAAGTCCAACGGGAAGCGAGAGCTCTATTTCGGGTGATATAGCCGGCGTAGATGGAGTTCGGAGGAACGAAGCCCTTCTTCAGAGGGGCGCCTGTGTTTGTGGGCCATGCGGGACCATCTTGGTATGACTGATTCTCCAGAATGACTTCTTGCGGATCGTCAAACAGCGGCTTGTATCGTACCGTCTCTTCCTTCTCTGGCTTGGGTTTGACAGTCTCTTCCTGTCTCACGGTTGTCTTCTCTTCGGTCGGTCGGTCCAGATCGTGTTTGATGTCGGCGATCGCGCGGTCCCATTGGTCACGTCTCTTCTGCTTGAAGCCAGCGTCGGTAGTTGCGGCTGCGGCAAAGATGCCTGAGTATACAAATGTCGAAGAAAGAGCCCATCTCACTGGCCTCCTGCCCGCCGCAGTGGTTGTCCGTCTGCCAACTCCGCTGGCACCAGCCGACACACATGACGGGCAATGGCAGCTGAGTCCGGTCTGCGCTATCCGAGACCAAAGTGCTTGCATCTTACTCCAGCTGCATCGCGTCCCCCGTGGAATTGCCCTCCGCCAGTTCTTGGGTATCGCCGGGAGTAAGATCGTACTGAGTCCGTCTTCTGCCGCCCTCTGGTGATTAATTCGGCCGGCGTTTTTTGGCGAGTCAAGCACATTCCCGCTCGGCCTTGGCACTCTCTCCCGCGCTCTTGCTTGCAGCTCTTGTAGCATCCATCATCACGACCATTTCTCTTCGAATCATTCAACTCACATCATGTTGGCTCTCACTTTGACTGCCGAACTCAACGGGTAGGTCTTGTAGTCGTGGCCTTGTGAAGATGAGTATGCGTTACCAACACTTTCAAACAGCGTAACCGATCTCGCCCCCATCGACACTGAAGACAGCCCTTTCTACTACACATTCAAGGTCCAATGTACTTCATGTCGTGAGGTCCACCCCAACTGGGTCAGCGTGAGCAGATTCGTAGGTTTCTTCTGCTACTCAATTTTATACTACGTTCACCAATATCTCGCTAGGAACAAAACGAAGTATCTGGCAGCAGAGGCGAGGCCAACTTTGTCTGGAAGTGCAAGAACTGCAAGGTTGGTTTGCTCACATGGCTTTTTCGAAGGCCGAGGTATTGACTCAACCTCAGAGAGAGCACTCTGCTACCATCAAGGAGGCACCTAAAGCCTACGCCCACAACGACACTCCCAAGAGTCAGAAGATCATCGAGATTGACTGCAGAGGTCTCGAGTTTGTTGAGTTCAAGCCTGATGTACTTTCGACCTACTGAAACTTCCGGTACGCTGCCACTAACAGTATATCCAGGGCGAGTGGAAGGCCACAGGCATCGACTCGAACACAAAATTCGATGCCATCGACCTGACTGAAGGTGACTGGTACGACTACGACGAGAAAGCCAGCGAGGAAGTCAGTATCCAAGGCCAAAAATGGGAGATCAAGCGTGCATAAACAATCCTGCTTCAGAGGATGGGACCTGACAAGCCATTTGGAAAGAGCCTCAATGTCAGCTCACTTTCTCGGCTAAGTACGTCGCTTCTTGGACTGAAAATACAACAACTTTGGATCAAGCTCCGGCTTTACTTCTCCCTTGACGTATCGATTATAAATCCTGCCTGAAGAGTCATGGTACATGTTTGGAATTCGAAGGGCGTTCAGGCAGCCCGGTTGTGCTGGTGATGGACGACCCTAGCGACGAATGAATGCCCACGACTCCGAGGCTTCTAACAAGCGACCACACAGTTCCGAGAGGGCTGCGAGAGAACAGAGGCCAACATCAGCCTTGCGTGCCTTGGGCAGCAGTATTGTCGTGTGCTCGGGAAACTTGACTACTACCGGAGACGGAGAGTCTTCCGCTTCCGCAGGACCCTCATCTTGGCAACATCCAAGCTTCTGTCACCCACGTGCGTGGAAACTTTCGTAACCTTACAACCTTAGCAAGTAGAGTTTGATGAAAAGGATCAAAGATCATCAATTACCAAGCAAGTGCATGATACTGACATCTGAACCTGCACAGAGATCATGATACTTTGGCCGATAACAGTAGATATCCAGGGCAAGAGCGTACCCAACACTCGCCAAGGTGAAATCAATATGCGACTCGGATGCTGTGTCCCGTCAAGACGGGTATCTACCGGGACTACTTTGAATGCGCCGTAAGAAGGCCAAGATAGAAGATCATACAATGACGAGGCTATCAGGCGTCTCGGTTGCTAGAAACCCGTGAAGATCATCGTCACTAGAACCTAACTAATCCTCCCGATCTCCGGCGACCGCACATCACAGCACTCAGGATCGCAAGTCAGGGACCAAGGGTGACTTTTAACATATTGATCAAATCCCTTCCTTGCTTCCTTCCTTTCTTTCTTTCTTCCTTCCTTCTAAACATCAGTAACAACAAATGTCGAACACCTGGTCCAAGACCTCATCACCACATCTCAGCAATCGCGGTCCATCACGCTGCCACTGCTGCTGTACTGCAGCAACGCAGAACAACCACAGATGGAGTCATGGGGGAACTTGCTAAGCAATCTCGAAGGCGACGAGATTGAAGGCATCTTCCAGTCCGTCTCCGACCACCGTTTAGACAATTCAACCGATACCACAAGACCTTCACTCGACGGAGTGAGACATGATAGTGGTGTGTCCGTTATCTCTGCGAAAGAAGAGGACACCAAGACCGCGCCTTCTCCCCAAAACACCACTTCCTCGCATGAAACTTCTGGATCTGTGGTTGCCAAAGCAAGCCCAACGAGAGAAGACTTCGACAACGCCCTCTGGGTGACCACCAAGGTCAATGGAATAACGCAATACCGAGCTCCTCGCTACACCACATCGCCCACGACCAGTCCACCACACATAACCATCCTCAACCCTTCGATCGCCAAAGAGAGTACTGCGATAGATCTCTCCATCTCCCCGTCTTCATTCGCGCTCCAATGCGCAACAGCCGGCTTCTCCAAAACACTCTGCTGGGACACCAACCCTTGGAACATCGAAGGCCTAAGACGAAGTTGCGTGAAAAACGAATGGAACCTCCAAATCCACCATGGCGACGACCGCCAATCCAAGAGACTGAAGTCATCTCTGAGATCCAAGATTGTGGCCTTTGTCGAGGGTCAGGACTCTGCTTCATCGCGGATTGAAAAGATGCGGGATCAACTCCCGCCAATCAGATGTGTGAGGTGTGAAGATTCGAGCACATCGCAAGCGACTGCTGCAGCGGCTTTGGATCCAGCGCTAGGCGGATGGATATACGTGCAAGCAGCTTTTGGCACCGAGTTTGTGATGGCTAGCGCCAATCAGATAAGAGGCGAATTTGAAGAGATGATCAATGTTTTGGACAACACAAGAGGGTTTTGGGAAGCTGTGAGGAGGCCGAGGATAGAGTATATTCAACGAGGAGGATCACATGCTGCTGGCGTGGTTAGCTGTGTGATTGTGATCTATATACCGCCACTTCGAATATAAAGGTCGTTCAAATCGTGGTCTCAAGAGAGCAGACATGCATAATACTGAGAGACATCTGAGAGCCGCATATGCAAATGTGTGAACAGCAATATGACAATGAGAACCTCGTGGCGAATGTGCTCTCGTCACTTTTATTTTGAGTGCGTTGTGCCTCTAGCCAGACATGGCCGCAGTCTTCCATGGTGGGTATTTCTAGTCCATGGCAAGTATCGGGTCGGACCCCGTCTGTGTTGCTTTCATATCACACCTTCTAGACCTTCCTCTCCAGCATTCTCTCCCTCCGCACTCTCTTCCAACTCCCTCTCCCTCTGCCTCTCAAGATACCGACTATACACCGTCGCCCACTCAGATATCTTCTCCGCATGTTCCACGACCTTTTCCACACAAAACGCAAACCGCAAAAAGACTTCCGGGTCCTCCTTTATTTTGTCCGCTGCTTTTCCCAAATCAACAACTTCTGCCAATGATAAAGCTCCCTTGCCCCAATGCTCCTCTGTTCCGTCCGTGAAATAGCAATGTTGAACGGCTCGGACGAAATCATCATGCATATTTTTCAGCTTCAAGGGGTTAGATTTCAAGCAGGGGTGATCGTAGTTTGGATGGGGAAGATGATAGTAAGCCCCGAAATACCCATCGATGCAAAAAGGACACCAGCGATTATAATGATTGACAAAAACCTCTCTGCCTCCAGCGACAATCTGGAATATCGTAGAAATATGACCGCCCTGGCCTAAATCTCCTTGAAAAGTGACGCGGATATCGCGGAAAAGTTTGGTCGTGAGGGGAAGAGAGCGAAGCCATGATAATGTGGTGTCGGAAAATGTCAATCCATAAGTTTTGTCCGAGCCTCTGGTATAGCTTGCTTGAAAGCAATTCACCCGTAAAAACACGGGTAGCACTTCCCGTCGCAATTGCCTGCTCACACAAGCTAAATTCGGCGTCCTTGCGATCTCCAGGTGTAATCGTCGTTGCCGCACCAAAGCGTATTGATATATGCGAACTCTGATTTCCGCGGGCAAATCCAAAAGAGGAAAAGGCTGTGACGGATCCATTCTTGGGTCTTGAACCAGAGGTTCTCGGAGAAGTGCTATTTTTTCATCTTGGATGGCGATGCTGCGGCGGTGTTTTGTAAATGTTCGTGTGCCGGTGTGGTAGGAGGAGGTTATTGGTGTTATGCCCAGTGTGCGGTATGCTTGTGTGACCTGACGAGATTGATTCGCGTCTAGAAATGACATTGTTTGCTGAAACTACAAAGATTCAACAGTCCGGGATAAGTAAGATAAGCTCTGATGGGCCAAAATGTTTTGGAATGGTGTGGATATGATATGCGAAGGCGAAGGTGTAGGAAAAGATGCAGGTGCCGATCGTGGAAAGCGACCCTGGTGACGTTGTGAGGACGGCACTCGGGCGGTAGACTGGAGATACCAAAGCCGCGGAATGCTCAATCTTGGCATCTCGAAATACTGACTCTGCAACAGGCGATTATGATACTGCACCAAACTGATTTTTAACGTATCTTTTAGCGAAATACCATGAATACTGGAGTCCGATGGTACTGCACAGAAATGCGCTTTGCCCGAGGCATGTTGAACCACAACCAAGACTAGACGGCTCTCAAATTATCAGATGCAAAAGAACGCTCACGCTATGATTCATGCTACCACTCATGCTAAATTACAATGCCAAATGCGCCGAAACATACTTCTCCCAATGTTCTTCCGTATCCGCCTGTTTCCAAGCCTCCACACCTCCAGAAACACCCTGTTCATCAACAGTCCAATGCCCACTCTTGACATTCATCAACCAATTCTCCAAAATTGCAGTAAGCTTGGGACCATGGCGAAGAGTGAATGGGTTGATGCCGTGAGCATAAACTTCCGTATGACTCTTTTGCATGATCCTGCCATCACTGGTTCTGGCTTTCTTGTTGCCGCCGACAGCGAATGGCAGCACCAAACGACAAGCATCTTCAAAGGGGTTTTCCTTGTTGGGGTAGGAGTCTAGATATAATCCGCAAGGGACCTCTTGGACCGTGCTGAATGGCCAGCGGAAGTTTGCTTGTTTGGATGTCACATGGCCCTCAGCGCGGAAGAAGAGAAAGGGCATCTTGATGCCTTCGGTTTCTTTGGGGTATTTGGCGGCCACGTGCTTGAAAGGTTGGTTCACGAACTCGGAAGCTTGGGGGAGACGGATACCAGGGGCGATGTACCAGATTCGTGGTTGACGGGCGTGTGAGAGGAGGTCGTAGGCAAATCCTCGAGGCACACCCGCGGCGGAGAGACCGGAACGACTGCAGAGCGGGGTGGTGTTTGGGTCTTCTTCTTCGTCTCTTAGGCCACTTTTGATCTCGATGATGGTGAAGAGCTCTTCCCAGAGTCTCAAGCAGGTCGTCAGATCGCCGTGTGTATAGGATACCAGACTCCAGGGGTGCGTGTCATAACGTGATCGTTTGGCTCCGGTATATGGGTCCACTTTTGGTCCTGGAGGTGCGATCTCTTGCCATGAGGTCTGGCCATCTGGACCTTCCACAGGACCAAGACGGGGCTCACGACCAATTGATTCATGCAAGGCCACTGCTTTTCCAGCTTCAATCATGTCAATGTAGGCGCTCAGAATTGATTCCAGTCTTTGCCAGGGGAGGTTTCCATCGTAAAGGTCAAAAATGTGCAGGAAAGTGGGCATGAAAATTGCCTTGCCAGTTTCTTGGTCATATCTGAGATTCATGATTAGTCAAATCGTCTTTGATTTTCAAAGAACCATCTGCTTGCAATTCTTGTAAAAATTGAAAAAGCGCGTGTTTCCCATCAATGTTGGAGTTTTTCTTACACGATGCCACTCCGTTGACTGACTAACTCCTTGTTTGTCATGTACAAAGTGATGAATCGATGCTTCTCTCCTTTCAGCTTCTTCTCGTTATCGTCCAACAAATCTCCTAGATAGAACATCTCCCTCGTTTTGGCGAGTCTGCTGATGTAGTAGAAAAAGTGACTTCCATCACCTCCATGTAGATCAAAGATTTTCTTCAAGTATTTCACCAGAGAGGGCCGTAATAGGACTTCCAGTGTTTTGGTGCCATGCTTCATCCACCATGTTTTGCGGTCCATATCTGCGACCTTGCGGCCGCTGCGTAGCCAGCCATAGATCGAGATGGTATTGTGTAAAGCAGCGCATCTGTCGAAATCCAATTCTGGTGTCTGTCGCGGTGGTTTTTGAGCAGAGACTCGCTGACTCGCGATTGACGCAAAAGGACTCGCCATTATCCTTTCCTCCTCTCGTCCAGAGTTTTTTCGATGACTTTTCTCTTCGGATCAATTTCCGCAGAAGAATCTTATTCCAAAGGATTGTCCAGCTGATGTCAAGAGTCCAAGAGAGGGGTTATTCGGCAAACGTATACTTTCCAAGAAGCTGAGTGTAGGGTACGAGTGGCAGCGGTACCTATTCAAGTCCCCTTGCCGAAAGATGGCGTTCTGGGGTTCTACAACGCCGTGGCAGAGCAAGAGCCGCGTGCGGCGAACGGCTATGTCGTAATGGGTCCTCGGTGCACTGGCCTATTTTTGTTAGAACGAAATAAGTAAATAAGATGGTCGAAATAACAGGGAAATGTCACTTTGAAGATTGAGGAATGATAAATTTCTTGGATAGGTAAGAGTGCGTGCGTACGTAGTAAATTTTGGCACGAGTTTCCACGCCTAGACGGTGCTTGGTTGTACCGTTGTACCACTCGTATAACAGAACCTGGATCTCTCTCTGCAGGCACCTCGGCTTATGTATTGCTCTATCTAAATCTACTGGAAAATTACTGCAGTACATGATGATGAAGTTGATCAGAAAATTCTCCATGGCTGACCTCCTTCTCCCTTCATAAAAAGTCATGAATGACATAAGATAACCATCACGGTCCCTCCAATTTAGCCAGGTTGACCCTGATGATCTTGATGTGGGCTTTTTGCTTGGAATTGATCCGCCGGGCCGCACGATTGAAATTACCCGGCGGTTGGCTCCTTGACACTTGGTGCATATGCAGGTCAGGCTGTCAGCAGATTGGGTACCTGAAGAAGGCGTACAATCATTCCAAGGTTAGGTGTCGTCCTCTGGGGTTCCTAGGCATGCTTTTTTGTTAGTAAGGACGGGTGTGCGAGCGGGGGTATCTCAACGAAATCCGGCCTCCGAGGCCGCCTGCGACGACACCTAACCTTGGAATGATTGTATGCGAACTCGATGTTTCGCGAGCGCGTGATGGTCTTTGGGCATCGCGACTTGTGGAGGGTTTCTTGACAGCCGTTTGGGAAATGCCAAAACACTCAGGCAGTGACGTCAGAACACGAGGCCTTTCCACGCGGTTCCCGTGTCGAAGGCATCTCTAAAGACGGCGCTAGAGACCGGCAATTCAGGGTCGGATAGTCATGGAAAACGTGTCGAAGAGCACGTCTGCAAGTCTGGAGTTGGACAGGCAAGCCGGAAAGAGCGGACGAGGATTCGTGGTCCCTTTGCAGCCAGAGCATGCAGGCGCAAAGAGTCGGCCTGCAATGCGTAGGTGTGCGAGGTATTCGCTGGACTCGTGTAACTGTGTCCATCACAGCCACTTTTTCTTCTCAAAGGGAGCGGGCTCATCGGTTCTGTCTTTCCAGAAGCCCTTGCCGTAGCTGACAAGAATCTCCTCTCCCGGTCTAATGCCACTCTTCCTCATAGCATTCTTGCCGGGCGTCTTGACAAAGATGCCTATCCATCTCTCCCACTTCTTCTCGGCAGTCTGGACCCAGATGTCGCGAAACTCGGCGTTGGGTCTCTCGTCGATGCCGCGATAGTCGTTGATGAAGCGAGCCTCGTTGCCAGACTTTGCGGCGTCTTGAGAGAGACCGAGTTCTCTGTCGACCGAGATGTCGTAGGTGGATTCTGGATCAGTGTCTTTGGGGTCGTTTGTGTGCAGGCAGCCGATGTAAGGTAGGATGAAGTTGCCAGGGAAGAAGTGTTTGTTGGCAGCGAGACCATATTGACCGTTGGCTGGGTGTTCGGGGTCGTTCAAGGGGACGATGCGGACGTTCGGGTCTGGGAAATTGAGGGCATCGGCAGAGAAGCGAGTGAAGGTAGCTGTTGCTGCCGTCGGTCTGTTGAGTATCTTGAGGACGACGTCAGGTACGTTTGGCGAGACCTTTGGTCGGCGGAGGTATTCGACATCCTCAGGCCAGTTGACAGGCAGAGGCAGTTCTTGCGATGGCTCTGGTGAGTGTTCTTGCGACATGGTTGCTCGGTTGTGGGTGAAGAATTGGGTTGACGCAAAAAGTTCTTCGTCGCTGTTTCTTGTCGCGGAAAAGAGCCGCTTTGGAAGCCCCGCCTGTTCACCAAGCTTCACTCTTGCAGCCCGATCATGTCCTGCCTGTTTCCTGACTCTTACAACGAGACATGGCCCACATGTTCTCGACATCGGCCGTCGATGCCCAGGTCACGGCACTTCGAGAACAAATCCAGGCCACCGAGGACCAACTCTCCCAGCTTCGAGAACAACTAGCTCACGCCGAAGAAGCCCAACACCGCGCCCAAGATGCTGGCAAACTCGAGACGGACTGGCAACAAGAGATTATGGGAGCCTTGAACAATCCACAACATCAGTACTATCAGCATCAACCACAACCGCAGCAGAGATTCTCTCTTAGCAATGCCGAGTTCAAGCGCTATGGTCGCCAACTCATCATGCCGCAGGTCGGCCTACAAGGTCAACTGCGTTTGAAAGCCGCTCGGGTTTTGATTGTCGGTGCTGGAGGTCTGGGTTGCCCAGCTGCTGCATATCTCGCTGGCGCAGGCGTCGGTACTCTGGGTCTGGTAGATGGCGACACTGTCGAGGAATCAAACCTCCACCGTCAAGTCGCTCACTCGACCGATCGCATTGGCATGTTCAAGGTCGATAGTGCTCTGTCATATCTACGGAACTTGAACCCGAATGTCAACTATATTCCTCACCGAGCACATCTTACCCCCTCCACTGCTCTGGACATCTTTGACAACTATGATTTTGTTCTTGACTGCACAGATCATCCGACCTCACGCTACCTTATCTCAGATGCCTGTGTATTGTCAGGAAAGCCTCTAGTGTCAGCATCTGCTTTGCGGACGGAAGGTCAACTGACAGTGCTCAACAACCCTCCTCGTGCACCCGGTGCATCAGACGGCGGTCCCTGCTATCGTTGTGTGTTCCCGCGTCCACCACCTGCCGAGTCGGTCGTCAGCTGCGGCGAGGGCGGCATTCTTGGACCTGTAGTCGGTGTCATGGGTATCTTACAAGCCCTCGAAGCGATCAAGCTTATCACTGCTTCTCCAGAAACGGCGACTCCTCCACCGTCGCTGCTCCTGTTCTCTGCCTACAGCATACCCCAGTTCAGAAATGTGAAGCTACGCTCGCGGCGTGCTGATTGTACCACGTGCTCGGCAAATCACACAGTCACCCCTGCCAGCTTGACTTCGGGCTCAATGGACTACATAGCCTTCTGCGGTGTAACGAACCCAGTGGATGTGCTGCCATCTTCCTCTCGCATCAGTGCTAGCGACCTCCTATCCACTCTCTCCACCACCTCACCACACGACGACGACGCGCCGGTCATCCTCGACGTCCGTGACCCTACTCAATTCGAACTTTGCAATCTACCCAGCAGTATAAACCTTCCATGGCAAGGATTATCGACCCGTCTTCGCGAAGACCCTCAAGTCATGGAAGACTTGAAGGATAGGGATGTGCTGGTTGTGTGTAAATTAGGCAATGACTCTCAATTAGCCGTTCAAATGCTGGAAGCAGCAAATCCAGGCATCAGAAGTTTGAAGGACGTAAAAGGTGGTTTCCGAGCTTGGAGGAACGAAGTAGATCCAGAATGGCCCGATTACTAGATGATTCAATGCTACAAAATCACACTTTCGGTTCTAACTCTGCAAAATCACACTCTCAAACATCTCCCCCAACCCCTTCTCCTTCAACCAATTCTCAATAGCAGCCATATCCCCTCTATTCTGCCTAGCCCCATGCTTCTCCCCAACCGTATCCGTAATCTCCTCCATCCTCTCAAATTTTCTCTCCACCCCATTGCCCCCTTCCTCCCCAACCTCCCTATACCTCTCTGATACTTTTTTCTGGTGCGATGGAATATCTCCCCAGGAAACAGTTTTTATCTCATTCATGTAGGCGTCGATGTTGGAGGGTGTGCCTTCTAAGCAGAGCAGGCCGGGTTTTCCGGCGAGCACGAAACCGGTGAGGTGGTGGGAGGGTGCCCAGGAGACCATGTGGTTGCGCTTTTCGCGGGTGGAGAGGGAGGGGAAGTAGAACCATACGCGTACTAAAGGGGCTGAGGAGGTTTCGGTCTTGGAGGTGGTGGAAGGGGTGGTGAGGGGGATTATTGTTGGGCCTGAGTCGCGGAGGTAGTCTAGGGCGCTGAATATGTCCGTGGGGAGGGAGGAGGTTAGGTCTGAGAGGGAGGCTTTGTCTAGCCAGGTCGGTTGGCGGAGGGAAAAGGTTGGTTCGGGTGGTTCTGGGGGTGATGGCTGTGTACTCCGTAGGGGTGCTGTGATGTTTACTTGAATCGAGTGGGTGGCGTCTAGGGTCACATGTACGGCTAAGTTGATTTCTGATGGTGTCGAGGTGATGCTCTCTGCACCTTCTTCTCGAATAGAAGTTATTAGGGCGAGATCAGAAGGCGAGATCTCGGATTCATTGGCTTCTGGAAACATGGCTAGGAGAAGGTCCACTGTTGATATTTGGGATTCCAGAAGATCCGGAGGCAGAGGGTGGGAAGAAGTCATGGCGATTGTTTCAATCCTTCCAGATCTTGCTGGTCCAGACAGCCTTCTCGATCCGAATTGAAATGTTGCTCTCGCAAAGATCCAAAGTATCGCACTTTCTCAATCACGTTTCGGGTCGAGTGTCGGTACGATGATCAACAAGAACCAGCAAAGGTCGAATTCAGTCAGTGCACTTCCAAATGTCAGCAATACATCATTGGATAGCAGAAAAGGCATTTTGATAATACCTTCCGAATGGTTGTCACAGTGCTGTTAGACTCTTGGAGGAAATATGTCTTTGTCAAAAGAGTCAATTTGGGGCAGATCCGTTTGGCACTAGGATCCTCTGTGGAGCAGAGAAACGATCGATATTGAGCTACACAAGAACGCAATATTGTCAGGATCCAAGGCAATGCTCACTGAGAATGTGTGCAGTCACGCATCAATCTCCCCAGAGCGATGTGTTGAGTTCGCAAAATATTGTGCATTTTTGTGCAATTTATGATGGGAGCAAAGCGAGGTCGGAGCAAGATTGATTTGGTACCTCCCAACCTGGAATCCACACAACACCACACAGATTCTGTCTCAAACATCTAACAACGACTGCTAAGTCGAGGTCGATGCGAATTCGAGCGACTCACCACGCTCTCACTGGATTTGACTCTGGAATTACCATCGTGCATTTCACCAGAGACTTGCGCGAGAGCAATGACTGGTGAAGTGTCCTCCTTTGTCCTTGACAATTCAAGCTCGAGAAATATGTGGTAGCTGATGTCAACAAAGGACCATTTGGAAGGTAATATCCACCGAGTCCGTTGTACAACGAGCAAAGTCTTGTGTGTTTGACCTCCGTGACGCCTTCCTGTTGCTACCTTCTTCCAAGCGCCAGATACTGCAACGAGTTGGCTATAGAAATGCACAAATTCTCCAAGAAATTGAAAAAGATCCAACGAGATAGAAGAAAAGGCCGGCTTTCAGCATACCTTCGTCGGGTTCTCAATATCGTTGTGTATCTCAGTGGCTAACAAGAATATCGCTATTGGGCAGAGCTAGAGTTGGCATGCGTTGTATAAGAAAGATTTCGCACGCTTGATGTCATCTCCCGCATGCCACGAGGTCTAACTCAGCACCTGCCTCATGCTAGTGGGATAACTGGCCTCTTCTTGTTCTGCATCTCCATCTCAACATAACCATCAACATAACCATCAACAAACATTGCATTAAGGCAACATCTTCTAAAAAGCATCATACACTTCAATCGAAATACCCCATGGATCCGATCGACATTCTCCCAGAGGATCAACTAACATAGGCTGTTTCAAGGACAAGATCTCTGGAAATGGTCCGACGGTCGCACGGCGAAAAAGAAGCCTCGTTCATGGAAAACCATTCGGACCTGGACTACATCTTGCTCTACGAAGAAGGTCTCAGAGTCTTCAGCGATATACATGATGTTCCTGCTCTTCGAACGGATCTCTCTAAGAGTAGCCCTGAGCATGAACCGGGCTACGCAAGATGGTGCCGGGATGTCAGACTGCCCGAATGTGATCCCGAAAGTCTAGTCAAAGCCTCGCCTACTCGCTTCACCAACCCTTGGATGGACCGTCATGCGGAACAGTTGGTTCTCTCGGACAATTCACGCTTGCCTTTCACGCCTCTATTTTCAGTCGACATACATCCAAGCCGCAATCACGTTCAATGCTGGAACTGCAGACATCCGGTTCTTGGAAGACTCGTTGATATCTGTGCGTAACTCGTGTTGTGAATCATGATACAACGCTCACTAACCGATTCCAGACTTGACTTGTATCGCACCACGCGATTCCAGAATTGACGCTACAGTCGGGCAGCCGTCTCGACACGTCCTGCTCGACGAACTCTGGCCTCAAGCTCAACAACATAGAGCTCTCTTATTTCCGCTCCTACTTGGAGCTCTCTACTACGAAACCTTCACTAGACAACATCCCCGGGAATCTCATCTCATCACCTATCTCCGCGACCATGCTTGCCGAGCCATCAGCCACCAAATCGAAATGTACGGCAACAACGACTGGATAGCACTTACTGCCGTCAGTACTTTGGCAGCATTCGAAGTCGAGTATGGTGATCTCAATGTTGCATGGATTCTCCTTGAGCGTATAAAAAAGGTGACCGGTATGGACAACGTACCGCCACTCTCCGATCAACCGCCTTGTCTGGATTTAATGTTGAAGAGATCCTGTCACGACGGCCTTGTCTTTGCTAGACATCTCCCTACCTTATTATGGGCTGGAGATCAAGTGTCTTACGCTCAACACAGGTACCATTATGGAACTGTACCGCCAAAATACAGCGAACTTGCGAGTCTATCCATCATGCAGCCCTCGCTACTGAACATACTGGCCAGAGTACGAGAATACTTGAGGGCTTCCGATAACCGACTACAACGCTTTCTGGAGGAAATCGAGGACTGGCATGTGAACAAGTTTCGCGTGCTCACTTTCTCACCTGTGCAAGGTTGTTTTGACGATGAGGTACTCGACACCGCGCACAGACTTCTACACATGGCGGTCTATTGTACGGTACTCCGCAAGCACAGTACATACCACGCGAACAACGAATCGTTTCGAGCTGGATCCCCACAGCCGCCCAGCAACGATCTGAGCATACTCGAGGATACAATATTTGAACCTATGTGTCTTTGGGCCTTGCTTGTCATCTGTACTACGGCTCCATACAGTCAGTCTCTTCGCAAGGATTCTCGAATGGACCAAACGGGCTTCGCCGGTCACGCCGTGGGTCTGCTGCGCAGACTCGGGTACGCCTATGCCATCAGCGCGTCAAGGGCAGGGGAGAAGGTGCCTGCATTTCTCAGGAAAGTGCTATCGTCATACGCACTCGATACTGACGATAGTAGTATACTTGACGAATTGATGCAATTCATGCAAAGGGATTGGCACATGGTACCGGTGGCAATCAAACCTACTATCACTAGATATCATAGGTCGTGCTACCTCGCTAGAATAACTTGACGAATTCATACTCTCACTAGAGACATTATCAATCTCAAAGACGTTGCGCCTTTTTATAGCAGTTTTCAGCCCATACCGGACGTCGGAGAGAGTGAAAGATCATGTCGAACGAAAACAAACATAGCAAAGTTCCGCCTCTCTCTCACCGGACGACTCATTGGTCTGAACGATTTGCAGCCATTTCTCAGCCATCAACAAGCATTGACGACACGTCTTCATAATCTAAGATTCCGGCTCCACAGAATCATACGCGTCCCAACCTCTTCTTTCGGGTCCGGGACGCGAGAAAGAAGAGGAGTCGATTGAGTAAGGAAAAGGGCGCACGCAAGGCCGATATCGCAACGGGTAAATCTTATCAGATTGATCAGGCCATTTTGCGCGATAATCTTGATCTGATAAGTAGTTGTCCATCTACCCTACTACTATTTTGTTTGTTACCTTATTCTTGATCTATCAAAATCACTATCTTCTGAATCTACCTCTCCCGTTTGATACTCGTACCTAACGTTAGAGTATTCGACATCGTTCTTGTTGCTGGCTCCAAAAATGGATTCTACGCTCTACAGCACAAGCACAAGCACACCAACCCTGCTCACTCTACCCGCCGAACTCCGCCTCCAAATCTACTCCTACGTCCTGGGTCCCTCCCAACCACTCCTCCTCTCAACATATTGCGGACACAACACCTGGACATCTCCCCCACTATCAAAAACCTGCTCCCTACTCAGAAACGAAACATCACACCTGCATTTCCTCAACCACGAATTCATCTACGATTTACGCTCCCCTCTAGACGATGGAGTAAAATGTTTGAGAAAAACATTACAGTGGTTGAGAGAGCAGGGGTGTAGGTTGGGGAAACTGAGGTTTAAACATGTCAGTAGGGGTGTATTGAGTATAGAGGAATTGATCAAATGGGTAGAAGTGTTTGTGGAGTTTGCAGATGTACTGCCGAAACACGAACAACATGTCACATTCTGTCAAGGGCCTTTGCGCTACAGGGAATTTGCCGCTCAAGCTGCCGCTGCATTACGCCAGTTGGTCAAATATTCTGGCGGTATCAATAGGGATATCTTGGGTTCTGGGGAGGAAGCGGTGTTGGCGGAGTGGATTGTGGAGGAGATGGAAAAGACGGTGGAGGGAAAGAGTGTTTTGAAGGGGCTGAGGGTTGCGGAGGAGTTTGTTAGGGGGTTCAGGGTTGCTGCTGGGGGAGAGGTTCAGGGGACTAATGTTTTGAGGTGGGCTATGATGAGTGGAGGGATGATTGAGGGGTTGAAGCATGTTGGGTATACTTGATGAGGAGGAAGAACGAGGTGCTGGAATTGAGATACACAAAGAGGATATAGCTTGACATGGACGCCTGCTTGTTGTCCGGTCCCATGGAACAGCATGATTGCATATGAGGGTTACTTCGCCGTGACCATTGGGTGTGAGAGAAGCATTCGACGGAAGACAGAGCTCACCAAATGGCATTGAGACGTTGGGAGAGAAACAATAAGAGAAGTTGAAAACATGCTTGTAGTTTCTTTCTGTTTGAACACACATGCTGTTTTCTTGCAACCATTTGTGCATCCCATTCCTTCTTCATCGTCGTTGTCATAACATCATGCTTCTCGTAAATCCGTCATGTGCAACATCATGCAATCATAATACCAAACCAACCCCTTAGCTTTCCTTTCGTCTTCCATCATCTTCTGATGCTCCGATCATTCCCGTCAATTCGCTTCTTCAATCTTTGACAACATCGAACCATCAATCCTCCTGCATAGCAGCGGCCTCTTCACCTCTCTCGGCAGCCTCTTCAAGTGCCTTCTTCTCATGAGCATGACATCTCTTGTTGCTGACTTCCTTGACGATGATAGAATTGTCCTGCCAATTTGAGCACCACTGCATGTGGTTGGATGCATGGGCTGCGCCCTCTCTGCGAACTTTTGCGCAGATGTCGGTACTGCGTTTGTTGCAGCCGCAGACGGTGTAAGTGGTATCTCTTGCGCGACACATTGTGCGTTTGGTGGATGGGATAGGCTAGGAAGGGTTAGGAATTGGGATGGGTTCGCTGATGAGAAGGGCGTACTTGGTGAAATTGGAGCCGGGACTCTGTTTGATTCTGGAATCTACTCGTCGATCTCTGAGAGTATTGATACTCGATTTCGGGATATCTTGGCGAACGAGTGTCTTGTGCAAGAGACGCTTTGGTCAAGAAGATGTCTTGTTGAAGTCCTTTTGGTAGTGCAAGGAAGTTTTGATGAATGGTTTTGTAGTTATTTGGTCAAGAGAGATGGTCCAGCAATGAGGTCGAGTACCTCAGAGGTTGATCGTGCCTTCTCGTTACTATAACAATGCAGTGCGCGTGCCATCGCACGTGGCATCGTCATACAAGGCGTTGTAGGACTGATGATAGTTGTGCCCTGAGCTGGCATATATATGACAGATCTGAAGCATGTGCGTGGCATGCTCCAAACATGCAGAAGCACGAGTTTGGCCGTGCGTTGATTTTGAGTAATTCATTGCTAGAAGAATTCGGGCTGGAATCATTATGACGAAAAGATGAAATGGTGGTCGGACACAGCGTAAAACTGATTGTGTCGAAAGTAGTGTATGGATGCTACTTACTACTTTGGAAACAAGCCTTTTATCATTTCGCAGGTCGCGTACGCTCCCACATCTCATATATAGTCTGGAAAACGCTCGTAGCCAATTTGAGCGTCTCCTCATCAACATTGCTTCCACCAAAACGACGTTGAAATCTATCAGGATGCCAATTGACACTTTCATCTTTGAGAGTTTTGGTTCGTATCTCTTCGGAATCCAGTGGAGCATTTGAGAAGAAGTCTTCAACATTCTGTTTTGAGACATCTTGGGAGCTGAGGGATTGGACGGGCCAAGGGATGGCTTTGAGTAAATCTTCGCCTTCGAGTTGTGCGGTGTTGGCTTTGAGATGTTGCCATCGCTGTTGGTAAGAGGACCAGGCTTGCTGCCATTTCCTTGCTTCTTTTCGTTTGGCGCCTCGTGCAAGAGCAGCGTCGACATCGGACATGAAACCTTTGTCGCGAGGGACATCTCGAGTATCTGGCTTCGACCGACGTGTCCGTGTAGACCTCTTCTCATAGCCCTTCTCTTCATTGCCGACCCATTCGAAGTCTTCCTCGTACTCGTCCTCGCTGTCATGTCTTCTCTTCCTCGATCTTCCATCCTGGGCTTCTTGTTCGCGCTCCTCCCGAGCTTGTCGCTCCCGGAGCAACTCCGGGTTTTTCTTCTCCCACATCTTAGCCTTGACGTATTCGACATATTGATCGTCTGTCATTTTCTCCAGATGACCTTGATCGTCTTTGACAGAAGGGCGAGGATATGAGTGGATTGAATCCCCGTATACGCCTTCCCAATAAGCGGCACCTTCATCATCTGCCATGGCGTCGAACAGAGATTCGCGAAAGGCAGAGTCGGGGTCTACGTGGTCGTGAGCGGTGTTTGGCTCGGGTTGAGGTGACGCTGAGAGAGAAGGGTCCAGGAATGTAGGATCGCGTGGACGGGAGGAGGGGTGAGCGGTGTATTGCTTTATGCTCGGTTCATCCTCGTCGGTGTGCCTGGATCGGTGCCTGTGTCTGTGTGATCGATGCTTGCTCTTGCGCCTGTCACTACTGCCACTGCTGGTCTTGCCATCCTTGAAACGAAAGCGCATGGATGGTGGTGACCTGGATCTACGTCTCTCGCTCCTATGCTCTCTATGGGTGTCCTTCTCTTCGCGCATGCGTGTTGAACGGTGGCGCGTCATACGGTCATATTCGTCCAGGATGCGCTCATGTTCGCGCTGTGTTTGTTCGTGCGACTGACGCGCATAGTCATGATCGCTGATCTGGTCTTTGATTGAGTTGATGCTGTCCTGGATGCTAGGCATTCCGACCACTGAGTGAACAGCGGCGTGGTTGTGCGAGAATGAAGTTCAAAGATGTGATGCCAAGTTCGGCGTCGCTTCAAGCATGCGGCTTCATTTCTACAGAGCATTGAAATCATGACAATGTTCAGAGTGATATTCAACTCTTTGGAACAAGGCTGTGAATTATCGTCTACATTATCAGATGTGCATCTTGACTTTCTCATACTACTTTTCCAGAAATCTGCCCAGTACCCTTAAGATTGGTCCTCTCCCACATCAACCACCACCACCAACCACCATCGACCTTCCACCAAATCTCACAACCCTGGCACCTTCACCTTCCGAACCACACCCCAACAGTTCGCCAAATCCTAGCCCCTACCTCCCTCACCTGCCGACATTGGAGAAAACTCCAAGCCATATTCTAATCTATCTCACTTTCTCTGATAAAGTGGCTCTCGAACCCACAGACTCTAGGGCTTCTAATGGGTATGTGCAGATGATAGCCGAGAACGAACACCCGTGTGGCAGCACGCCTGGACCGGAGGACATCTCCGGACTACTTTGACAAACCCTAAGTCTTTCCTTTTCTATGGAACCTTTTCTGCCGCTGTTGTTTCGAAGATACAAGACGCCTGATCCCTGTTCGACATGGAACCTCCGAAGCGAAATGGAAGGGTGTCAAAAAGTGTCAAGGTTTAAGTTGACATGGCAGGCTCGCACTGATCGATCGGTAAGGCTTGAAGAAGCCTGTCTGGCTTTGATCAGGTACATTGTACTAACTTCAGGAGAGGAAATAAGAAAGCATCACAATTCGAAATGGGGAAACGAGTTATTTGATGAAGAAGTTAAGATTCATTCAGTAAAGGTTCGTTATACTACATTAAAGTATCGGTCATGACTAATCGTGCTTTATGGGGGTATCTGTGTTGATGTTCCAGAAGTTTACTTCATGAAACCCTTCTTGCCGTCACCGTCAGAGTCCTTGAGAGGGTTCAACTTGTCGAGAAGCGAAGCCTTCTTGTGCTCGCCGGTGGTACCGGTGGTGTTGTGGCCAGTGGCGTGCTCGCCCTCGCGGACGTCATCTCTGAGGCGCTCACCAGTGGTCTCGCCGTGGTGACCGGTGGTGGTGGAACCAGTCAAGCCAGAGCCGGTTGAGCCGTGGTGACCAGTGGTGGAACCGGTAAGACCGGAGCCAGTGGTGTTGTGGGTGCCAGAGCCAACAGCGCGCTCACCCTCACGAACATCCTCTCTGAGGCGCTCGCCGGTGGAGCCAGTCTGGCCGTAACCAGTGTTGGAGCCGGTCAAACCGGTACCAGTGTGCGAGCCAGTAAGGCCCGAACCAGTGTGGGATGAACCGGTAAGACCTGAGCCGGTGTGAGAGCCGGTCAAGCCAGAGCCAGTCGAACCGTGAGTGCCAGTGTGGACAGCACGCTCGCCCTCGCGGAGGATGCCCTCACCAGTGTGGGAGCCGGTCTGGCCGTAGCCGGTACCAGTGGTGGATGAGCCAGTAAGGCCAGAGCCGGTGTGAGATGAGCCGGTCAAACCGGTACCGGTGTGCGATGAGCCAGTGAGGCCAGTGCCGGTGTGCGAGCCGGTGAGACCGGAACCAGTGTGAGAACCGGTCAAGCCAGTGCCGTGGGTGTTTGAACCAGTGAGTCCAGAGGCACCGCCGGTGTAGCCGGGAATGCCAGTGTCTCTACCGCTGGCAGGGTCGAGGAGCTCGCCAGTGCGGGTGGTGTGGTTGTGGCTGAAGTCATGGCCGTGGGAGGCAGTGCCGTGGTGGAGCTGGTGACGCTCCTGAGGGTCAGAGCCGCTGAAACCAGATGACTGGAGGTTGCCAGCATCGTAGGGAGCGCCGCCAATGCCGGAGCCTCTGGTGCCAGAGATGGGCTCAGTGCCAGACTGCGAAAGACCGCCGGTCAGACCGGAGCCAGTCGAGCCGTGGTGGTGAGTGTGGGAGCCAGTGAGGCCGGAGCCAGTGGTGTTCGAGCCGGTGAGGCCTGAGCCGGTGTGGGAAGAACCGGTCAAACCAGAGCCGGTGTGCGAACCGTGGTTGCCGGTGAGGCCGGTACCGCGAGTGTTCTCTTGCTCGTAGCCACCACGGGTGAGGTGGTCATCAACACCGTCATGGCCAGTGCGGCCACCGGGGATGCTGGTGTTGTGCTGACGCTTTTGGCGGTCCATGGTCTCGGTGCTGCCACCCTCAAGGGCGTGTGCGGCAGTGTTGTCTGATCTGGGGTCGTTGTTTCTGCTGTGCTCAGCAGCAGTGGCGCCGCTGTCAAGGCCCTTGGCCTCGCTGGAGCCGAGCTTGACTTCGTGGCCACCAGATCCGGGCTCGTTGCCATGGGGGTGGGCCTCACGGCGAGGGTCATGCTCGCCAAGATCACCGGGAAGATGGGCTGGAGAGTGCGTTAGCTATGAATTGAGGTCTGGAAGAGCTTGAAGCTTGATGAAGCTCAGAGGTAGACTTACCAGGAACGTTCGTCATGATGTGTGATTCGTATGTGGTTGTAATTGAAGAAAGGGGTGTGTGTGCAAGTTGTGTTGATGGTATTGAGATGTGAATGTCAGAAGAGAGTATGGTATGAGAAAGTACCTGATGAAGGGAATTGAAGTCTCTTTATAAATGTCGTCGTGATGGTGCAAAAGACACAGCTAGGTAGCTATGATGTACCTACCCCACTTGGAAGCACACGTCATGGCAGCTCCTGAACTTGCTGCCCCGCGTCCCGGATTTTTTTGGCTGGAAGCTGCAACTTGTGGGCTGAGGCTTTCATCATCTTCCTTCGAAGCCTTTCCATTCAGCCTTTCCTTGATTTTGTGGCTGTGATAATCTGCTTTGTCCAAGTTGTGATGCTGAAACGCGCACCATCATATGGGATTGTCCCTGCTAACCTTGGCTCAAGGTTCAAAGGCAGGAATAGATAGTCAGAGCCTCGTCAGAGCACGCTTCGGTTACGAGAGTCTAGATTTTGGCTTTCAAGTTTTCCGTTTGAATCCTTCCATGTCATTCTTTTTCCCTGCTTTTCGGAGCTCGTCGACGTCAATTGGTCCAGCTGCTTCTTGCCCTGCCACGCAAGCCTCATCTCATGTTGTCAAGCCACTCGAAGCTGCTGGAGGTTGGACCTGTCATCGCTTCAGCAACCCAACGGTCATAAGCCTCAATGACAGAACTCACATGACGACTAAGAATCATGCTTAAAGACACGGCCAAGCAAGCCTTGGCTGTTGTTGTTCCCGTATACCAGAAAGTCTGAAATCAGGGAAGCTTTTGACGAAGTTGGCCACAAATGGCAAACGTGTCCTCAACACGGCACTTTACACGCGCATCGGTCGGTCAGAAACAAGGATGGGTAAATGTTGCAAGCGGCATGCTTTTAGGCCGTTCAATACATCAATTAGCTAGACATAGCAGCGACAAAGGAAATTGCAAGCCCTTCAGGAATCATCGGCCAGCCAGACGTTCCATCGCTTGTCCTTGCACCAAGCCAACCAGTGCGGCATGTATCAACGGCGAATCATTCTTCTCGTAGCTGATTGACACTTCGACGGTACGAATGACACTTTCCGGGTCTTGTTGTGATGCGAAGCCATCTCTTGAGTGATTGCCGAGCGCGGTCACGCCAACACCAGCCCCCGTCTTGCTCTCCACATCTTCTTGTCCCGTGTGCATGCTTCTTAGCGAAATGGTGTCATCCCAGGGCTCTTTAATCTTGCGGTTGATTGATAGAAGTCTAGCCGTCCTCTCGCGTGTTTCCCTAGCGAGCGGGCGTAACAGAGGCAGTGATGTGACAGTAAGCACGACATTGAGCTCGACTGAAACCCATGTTACGAAAGGTGTAAGGTCGTCTGTGTATGTCGTCAGCCATAATGTCATCCTTGTAGACTATGCTATGCACATACAGGTATAGTCACTGATGTCGCTCAGTGTATGCGCGGCTACCGTCCTTACAATGGCAGCAATCATGGCACTGTCGGAGAATATGTTAGTATGTGGTTCTAGTATGAGGTTTTGAACGACTCACATGATGCTCAAACAAAGCAAAGAAGCAACGCCGACTTTGTTTCCCATCCGCATTTTGGTGTGCATGATTAGAATCGCAGGCTGGATAGTCAGGAAAAGATCCGTCAGGGTATTGAAGGCTAGTATGAATCAGTACAGAGCTTCTTAATTGGCTCAATCATGGTTGTACTTACCACCGGCAAAGTAAGCATAGTTGGATTGAATATCAATGTCCAAGCAGTACTTAAAATAGGCTCCAATGTTCAACATCCAGAGGTCCTCAAGATGAGATCCGCAGGTGCTTAAGAGAAGAATGGCAGCCGTGACGTTGATCAAGACCTGGAGTACAATGAATGTCCAGATAGGCCACTTCTTAGCTCTAGGGTCGGTATGGGCAACGCAGAGAAGGAACGCGCAAAAGCTAAGACGGCCGAACATAGGACAGAGATAACTCCATACCAAAGAAATGAATCCATATTTGAGTGCATTGTACCTATGGTCGGGCTCCAGGTAGTAGACATGACGGCCAAGCCCGTTGTTAAAAGAAACTTGTAAAAAGACAGCGTGGACCCAAGCGAGTATCTGGTGATCCGTTCAGTATACATGGCATTCACAGTTGCGCATTACGACTTACCAAAGCGATTGCCATAAGTCCATCATCAAGATAGAGCCGGCGAGTCGTTCGGTACTTGACTGCCAATCTAGTGGTCACCACAAGCGTGGACATCGCAAGCAAAATCCATATCGTCCTGACCACTGGAGGAGCAAGATCAACATCGGGAGTTGCTTTTCTTTCACCTGCAAAAATGCTCTCTAGCAAATTGGCTTGCTGAGTTGCATTCAGCTGAGTGATCAAAGTCTTCAGGTCTGACAAACCCGAGTACATTTTGACGGCCGCCCACAAGAACGCAGTGCCAGCGGGGACCCAGCCCTTATATCAGCTAGAAGGCAAAGAAAGATTCATGCACGAACGCATCGACATCCATGATCCATCTCCACGTGCCTATGCGGGCCGTACTAAACATTCGATCGACGAAACAAGCGAAGGGATGGTTCATGCTCGAGGCTCGAGCAACTGTTAAACGCTTTTTTCCTTCTTCTGGGTTGAGAGGCCTTTGCTCTAGACACTTTTTGCTTGCATGTTTAGATGACTCGTGAACGGAGCACCACGAATCGTGGCACACCATCTGCCGTAGCGTAGTGGATATATTGCGATCTAGCGGCAAGGAGATCCAAGATAAATTGTGGCTGCAATTACTCGCTGATATGGCTGGGCGCGCGGCCTTAGTACTGTACGTAGAGGCTTCCATCATTGATGAGAAGGAGACACCTTGGCGCTGTTGCCAGTATCATATTCTTATAGTTGGCTGTTGGTGAAACCTCATCCTTCTTTCCTGACTTGGGTTTCTGTTTGTAAGAACAGACCCGACTTGTGCTTCTTGTGGCTGGACCCTGAGGTGCCTGTCAAAGGAGAAGGTGCGAACAAGAAGGGCGGACTTTTCGAGTCTAATTTGCTTGACCCCGGCACTCATATCATGCGCTGCGGTAGCGAACACATATATCAGGTCGTAGGTAGATGATACAAGGTACGGAACAGTCATAGCAGAGCCGCCTGAAGGCCTTGCCGTGATCTGTGGAGGAAAGGGCATGAGAGGTCAGTGCAGAGATGCATGCTCTTGCGTGGAGATCTCCCGAAATCTACACTGACACGAGTGTCGCGATTCAATCCTCAACGACACAACTTTGGATGTTTTCATCCATCGCGCTACCGCCATGAGACCGACATTTGGAATGAACAAGTGTAGGGACGAATGTGGACACTTCGTTTGAGGTGATGGTGCAATTGTGAACGGCGTGTCTCACTCTCCAACATCTTCCCCGTCCGCTCTCAGCCGTGACTGCGGATGATGCGCTTCGGAGTTCTGCGCCATCAGGAAGGTGCGAGTCGTGTCAACCGGCTCAAGGACCTGATGGCTAGATGTGAATCGATTACAAAAGTTCGGGTCGCCAGAAAGTAAAAAGCATTGTGTTATGTACTGTAAGATCACGCGGTCTACTCCGAACACTATATCGCGATAAGAATATATTATAAATTATTATGTAGATGGACTTCGTATCTCGGCAATCTTGGTCTATGGAATGTTCATTTAGATCATCGACTACCAGCCGTGGCCATGAGCGGCAACCTGGCCACCGGCAGAGAACATGTAGCCACAAACACCATTGCTGACGGTGAAGCTTCCGAAAGACAGCTTGGAAGGAGTGTATTGCAGAGAGTTTGCACTTTGAGCCGGGCAGGTGTCAGCAATGTAGATCAAACAGCGGCCGCCGAGAGGAAGCAGGGCTTGGTAGGCAGATCCGACACAGTTGCTCGACTGCTGGCATTGTTCGCAACATTGCTGGGCAGAGCCTGCGACGGTGGTTTTGTACTTTGCCTTGCCAGAGATGGAAGTGACTGAGCTGAGCACATTGTTGGTCTGGCATGCAGCATAGGCCTTGACGGTCGATGTAACCTCAGCAGTCACGACTTTGTTCGAGTATGCATTGTAGTTCTTGGTGACAGTCGTCCAGGCTGTGGTGTAGACAGTCTTGCCACGGCCGAACTTTGGCTGAACCATGGTGGTGCTTGTGGTGCTGACAGTGATTGTGGATGTAGGTTGTGCAAGAGTGCTTGTCTGTGTGGTTCCGGTGATAGTGGTGTCAACAGTCTTCTGGACGAGAACACTCTTCAAGCAGTGAACAGCATGTGCAAACTGCTTGATATTCCTGAGACCTCTTGCATCGAGGTCTGCAGAACCATCCACACTAGCAGAGCCACTCAAGCTGCCGCCAGAGGCCGAACCAGTTGAGTTGAACCCGGCAGCAGCAGTGCCGGTGAAAGAGGGAGCAGCGCTCGACTTGGAAGATACAGTGCTGGATGCTGCCGAAGACACGACAATGGAAGAGCTGCTGAGAGACTGAGCCTTGGGGTACCCAGAGTTTGTAGTGTTTGAAACGGGCAGGAAGCCAGCAGGTGCGGGAACAGTGGTGTAGATGTTCGACACATGGGTCTGAGTGTAGGTGTTTACGATGGTCGAGGTTGGCACCAGCTCAGTGTGTGTCAAGTGAACGGTGATGGTGGAAACAGCGGTATCCGTTTCCTGGAATGTACGAGTCCATGTCTTCGTGAAAGGTCGAAGCGTCACGAGATGTTGGGGATGGAAAGTATGCTTGACAACGACATCAGGCTGTTGAACCGTCGTGGTGGACATGGACGTCGACACGCTTTTGACAGACGCAGTGCCACTCTCGGTCACACATGACTCGAAGGCACTCCAATTAACAGCACCGAGTGCCAAAGAGAAGAAGGGGAAGGCAGCAACAGCGGTTCGCATTCTGAATAGAAGGATAGAAGAGATGGGATGGGATGGGATGCAAAGAGAACACAGGACGTAGAGGGTGGTCTTTAATACTTACATCTTTTCGAAAAGCCACGCAAGTAGGTTGCCGTCTACCATATGACCTTGTCAGGGGCAAGCCAGTGGCAGGTAAGATCGATCCCAATGCGTGCTCACTATTGAACTCGAGGCAGGTCTGACTTAGATTCTCCAGTGGAGAAATGGAGAAAAAAAGTTCGAGAAGGCAGTCGATAGAAAGACGTTTCAACTGCCGATCGTTTGTATGCCGAAATGATATGTTGAGGGTAGGAAGGCGGGATGCTGTCTTTAACAAGGACTGATGTGACACACCTTTGTGAAGATTGGCCAGGTTAGCATCCGTTGATTGTCTGTCACACAGGGCGAACGATAATGAGAGAAAGGATGCGGCATGATGGCGCGCGACGATGTCAAACCTCATTGTTGTTGATGTTGATTTCGACGGCCGTTGAAAACAAGCATCACCGTTGACTGCCTCAAAGCTTGAAACCGATAGCCACGTTTAATCTATCCTCGACCATACAAGATGGCAAAACATCTGGCTTTGCAGCTTCGTGGGTATTTGAATGTGTTGAGAAGAGACTTTCGGACGAAGGGACAAAGAATTGGGACAAAAGAAACATGCATTCGTCGTGTAATCTGCCTACTGCTAGAGTAGGAGTAACCCTCGTTCCTTTGCTCGTCAGTGAAAGAAAAATGGGTATCTCTGTAATAAACCGCCATCCCAAAGAGCCTTAAAACGCCAATTTCCTAGTCATGTATGTTGGTCTGCTGTGCTCATGGGACACCACTCGTCTTGCGAGAATGGGTTCCTGCCATGGTGCGTTGCACGCCACTCATTCTTCTGTCGCTGTTGTCCGGAGTTGCGATCATGGGGTCCATGCCGTTGATGAGATTGATGTTGTCTTCTTCAGGAGGGGGACCGGTGCGGAAGAGGCCAGCACCTTTACCGCTCAGAGCACTGCTCATCATCTCTCTGATGCGTACGTATTCGTACTTGCGCCTGCGCTGAACAGGCTGAGATTGCCAGAGTGGACGGGGTCGTGATTGGGCGATGGCGGCAAGAACTTGATCCTTTTCTTCGTCTGAGTCGATGGGGCCGGCGTGGGCGAACTCGTCGTCTTGGTAGGGCTGTTGTGCTTCAAGAGCTTGCTCTTTCGTGGAAGTTAGCATGGATTGATAAGAGCAAGAGTGAGTTGAAGTGCAACATACTTTGTAGCTTGGCTTGGTTCTTGCGCTGGTATTCGGCCAGCAGCTTGTCATAAGGAGCGCTTCTGCCCGGCACAGCGCGTTTGGCACCCATACTATGGGACTTGCATGTCAAACTGCGTGCGCACTGGGCTCCGTTGGCGAGAGGAACACCGCACTGCTTCTCGACGTCGACGGGGGCCTTGGGACGAGGGGCCTTGGCCTTGGGTTCGTCCTTCTTTTTCTTCTTCTTTCCGCCTTCGGTCATGTCTTCGGCCTTGCGCTTCTTGCCTGATGTGCCGTCGTTCTTGCCGGCAGTCTTGGAAGCCATCATGCCTTCTTCCTCTTCCGATTCGCTGTTGTCGTTTTCACGTTCGGCTCTGCGCGCAGCGGCGTCGCGGGCGTCCTTTGCTTCCTTCTTCTTGCGTTGCTTCTCTTGCTTCTTCTGGATGCACTCTTCGATGTGAGCCTTGGCTTTGTGTCGAAGTACGGGGCGCTTGCAATGGTTGCAGCGAACGACGTCGGGGATGTCTTGCATGGGGTGGCCGGTCGCAAAGGCGCGCGCGACATCCATCGGTACGCGGTTCACGACTCCGCTCGTATCCTTCTCGACACCTGTAGAGCGTATCAGTATCCAGTCGACCAACGCAGCGCACCATGCGACTCACCTCCAACGACATCCGAGTCCCAGTTGCCTGGCTTCGACGCCTTGGGCAACCTCTTGACGACATCGTCCTTCATCTTGAGAGTCTGCTTCTTCGCGTCGGTACCAAGAGCCTCGTTCAATAACGACCGCGACACAAAGTCGTATGCTTTGGACTTCCCACCGGCCGGGGCTTTGGTGAGGGTCAGCTCTCGCTCTCGGGTCCATCACTTTCGGACAGCGGCGCTCACCCTTTCGACCCGTGCCATTCGGCGCCATCTTGCGATTTCCAGAAACCCCGGGGCTGTTCTTTCAAACCATCGGGCGCTGTCATGTACCCGGGTGACTGACGATGCTATACAGCAATGACCTATTACGCCAAGATACGTCGTTCAAGGGAGTCCCGCACATCTCTCCACCTTTGGGGGAACTCTGAAGCCTTGCCGACATCCTGCCGATCCTGTTCGGCCGACAGGGTCATACGACCTGCATGCACATTCGACCATCTTCTGCCATTACAGACCTCTATGCTATGATACATGTTTGTCCAACCTCTTCAAGCTTCTCTTTTCTCTTGTCCTGCGTCCTCGTTCGGCCAAGTTCCACCTTGCGCATGGAACGTTGGTGGTTTGGCGTGGTTTCGCAATTCTTTGACAAAAGCTTCGGCTGCAGGCCCAAGGTCCACCTTGAGGACGTGAACCACCAGCAACTTCAATGCACATATCACAATATAGAATGCGATACATTTGACCAGAGTTGCGATTGCGTGTATCAGGTTCAATAGCTCTGCTTGAACAAAGGGATCTCCTGCTTTCAACTACTTGAATTAGCATGGTTATGGTTGTTGTTCAACTAGATACGGCCTCTCTGTCACACTCACCATGCTAGGTATGTTGAAGTGCTGTTGTATACTGATGGAACTCGGGGCTTGATGAATGGCGATAAAAAGAAACAATCAGAAAATAGGAGTTGGCTGGTTATCAAATGTTGACGATCACAGTCCCCGCGGAAGGATGCAGATTGCCTGCTTCCATCGCTCCCACGTCGATCACCTCGGTTTGGATAGCATAGGGTGTAAGAAAGACAAGATGGGTATTGAACAATCAGAGTGGTATTCGAGACATAAAGAAAGTCATGATTCATGAAGAGAGAAGACTCCGTGGTCGCTTCTCTCTACCAGGCTTTCTTGCCTTGACCAGCTGACTCTACACCCTTCTTGATACTGTTGGTTCCATCTTCTACACCATTTCCGAGCGAAGTCAAAGCATCGCCGAGCGGCTTTCCAGCGTTGCCTGTGACTCCAGTCACAGTACCACCAACTTGAGGCATCTATCAGCATGTATCCGGAGACCGAGAAAGGTTCATGACTTACTTCCTCTGGCCGCTGCCCCAGTCACACCGCCAACAGTTCCTAGGAGACCACCAACTCCATTGCCAACTGTGGAAGTAACAGCAGTCACACCTCCAGCAACACCAGAATTCTTGTCATCTCCGAAAGCCATTGTAGGACTTGATGAAATGTTAACACATGCCGAGGTCAGACGGTTGTTGTTTACTTACTCTTCAAGAAGTGATAGTGATGAGTTGTATGAGTATAGAGAGACTTGATAGATCAAAGTTTGAACAGGAATCACTCGCCTTCTGCTCTTGATTTATATATTGCTATTCCGACATGGGTGGTTGGCGAACCGCCAGCCATGACGTCGGCAGGCAGGTGGCTCATCCTGCATGTGATACTAGCCATTGGAGTGAGATGGTTCCATTCATGTCACACAAAAGGTGTACCTTGTTCTAGCAGATACACCTGCGAGCCAATCTAAATTGTGCTGAAGATGTCGAAGTTAAGTGGTATACCCGTTGCACAAAAGTGTTTCTGAGTTTGGTGAGCCAAAACAGTGACGTAGATCGATTTATGGAGTTATCGGCGAACAGCCAGAGATGACTCCTTGACCTCCATACTGCACAGCAAACATGGCGACGAAAGCAACATCTACATTGAGAAGCCTTGCTAGGTCTTCATTGTTATCGAAATGGTGCCAACCGACTTGCTCAGCACAATGGTCGCGTACCTTGATCACCTCCAAGCCTGGCGCGAAACACCCTGACTTTGCCTTCGCTTTTGAGTATGTCGCATACTACGCCTCTCTCCAATGTTGATACTCATGCACCATCTAGTATCGATGGCGTTCTCCTCCGCTCCTCAGATCCTCTACCTCGCGCACACAAAGCCCTATCGCTGCTACAAACCGAACGCATCCCCTTCATCCTGCTCACCAATGGCGGCGGCAAGCATGAGTCGGACAGGGTGGACGAAATTAGCAAGAAGCTGGATATCGAGCTGGACACATCCATGTTTGTGCAAAGTCATACACCCTTTGCAGACATGAAGGAGCTGCACGACAAGACAGTACTCGTTGTAGGAGGCGACTACGACAAGTGCCAATTGGTCGCCCAGAAGTACGGTTTCAAGGCCGTTGTGACTCCCGGCGACATCGTCACTGCCTACCCAGACATCTGGCCCTTCACCAAGATCTTCGCCGACTACTACCAAAAGTTCGCCAAACCGCTACCAGCTCCCATTGATGCCGAGAACCCGGAAAAGTCACTCAAGATTGATGCTGTCTTTGTATACAACGATCCTCGTGATTGGGGTCTAGACACGACGATTATCACAGACCTTTTGCTGTCAAGAGAGGGAATTATGGGAACACTGTCAAACAAGAATGGAGACAAGACGCTACCGAACAATGGCTACCAACAGGATGGCCAACCTAAACTCTACTTCTCAAACCCTGATTTGTGGTGGGCTGCGAAATACCACCTTCCACGATTGGGTCAGGGAGGCTTCAGAGAAGGGTTGGAGGGTGTATGGGCAGCCATCACCGGAGGCCAGAATGCAGGCGTGCAATTGCAGAAGAAGGTTATCGGCAAGCCTTATCACGAGACGTATGAGTTTGCAGAGAAGAGGTTGCGCGCACACAGAAACGACCTGTACACTGGTGAATCGATAGAGCCTTTGAGGAAGGTATACATGGTTGGCGACAACCCTGGTAAGTCAACACATCTTCTACACCGAAAGATAGTGCTAACAAAGACACAGAGTCGGATATCGCTGGCGGTAACTCGTACAAGAGCGCATTCGGAAGCAAGTGGTCGTCCATATTGCTCCGCACTGGCGTGTATGCTGGAGGTGAGCCTGCTCACAAGCCTACGGTCATCGTTGACGATGTCTACGATGCTGTACAATGGGCCATTGAAGACGCAAAGAACTAGGCATAGATTGCTCCTGCTATGTAGATATACCCTTCCATGACAGATAGACAACAAGATAATAGTCATTAGATCATAGAGTATCTTTCCTAGACGTCGACACAAAAACACTACTCAACCGAAAAATCAATGGGTATCTCTCCGCTAATCATCACATCATAAAAGTCATCAACCATACACATTCATCCTTCCAACCCTCTTTCATCGACCCTTCCGCACGTCATCACTTCTGCGGCGGTGTAACCTTCAACTGCGGCGAATGCATCCTCGAGGGCGGCTCAGTATCCACATCGCTCTGTGGCGGCAACGTGCCACTCCTCGGCGGCGCCCACCCCTTCTCCGCCACCCTACCCGTATAACTGGTCCTCCTACCCGCCATCCCTGGCCTCTGCGCCCCCAAAGCACCCTTGAACTCCACATAAGGATATTCCGCATCTTCCATAACCACCGGACCTTGCCAGAACTGTGGAGGAGCGTGTAATCTCAATCGCTGCTGTCCTTGCAATTGTTGCGGTCTGGCTGATAGGATCGGTGGCGGTTGCGTGCGGTCTGTGGGAGGTGGGATGTGAGTATCAGGGAGACGCAGCAGGGGATCGAAACTCCCGGTTAGGAAAGCGGAGTATTCGTTTGCGTTTCCTGGGAGCCTGTTCATCTCTGGCACCCAACCTTCAGGCACGTATATCTCTGTGCCAGAAGCAGTGCGATCGTAGCGAGGTCTGCCAGTTTTTACCCTCTGGCTGTCATCACCATTGGCGACGGATTGGAGGGTAGGGTAGGCGTGGGAGTTGACGAGGAGCGCTTCATTCGCTCTTCTGCGCAAGGCGATCTCGTCGTTGTGGAGGCAGGTTGGGCATTTGGAGTGGGTGTGGTAGGGGATAGGGTCGCGATAGGCCCAGACGAAGCCGTAGCCGTCGCAGGGTTTGTTGCGGTGGCGAGCTTTTGGACAAGGGCGAGGGTCTTCAAGTTGAGTGCAGCCGCAGGTCCAAATGAGGATGCCTTTCTCACACATTGTTGATGTTGAAATGTGTTTGTGCTCGTGCTTGAGTGTCTTTGATTTACCTTCAAGCGCTGGCAAAGATTGTGTTGACTGAGGCTGTGGTATAGAGTCCTTTCTTGTACTCAGAAAGGAGTCTGTTTGCGTCTGTATCGGTGTTTGTCGCGGAACCCGTACATCCACGTTGGAAGAGGGATTTATACATGGCGAGCTGTAACTTCTGCCAACTCCAGCGGTATTGCGGTGCATCATCATTCGTTACACCTGGAGCCTAGATTTGGATGTTGTTGGGCTGCCACTCGTGTCCTCGCTGGTATAAATGACCAAAAGCAGCCAGAGCCAACTATCAGGCTTCTTTGAAATATTGCCTCGTGAAGGGAGAAAAGTGGCAATTGCTGACAAGGACAACAGCTATATTTGACAAGCAGGAAAGAGAAAGAAGATGATAGGAAACAAAACAACCTTGCTGACCATATGGTGGAAGAGCAGCGACTGAAATGGTCGGTCGCACATAAAGACCATGTGCTTTCCGCCCTCAACAACAAGGAGGCCCAACAAACAAACCCTTTTTTCCCTGATCGTTTGACCACCCTACCTACGTACCCTTACCTGTCACAAAGAGTGCATATTTATAGGTCATTTTCCTGTGAGGGATGAAGAAATCAATCAAGCAAGCAGCAGGCAAGAGACCTTGTTCGTCCGACTTTGATTGAACCACACAACCTTACATTCAGGGTCGTTCACTTCCGGTACCCGTTGCCGTGTCTTCGGCAGAACCGCGATCGTTGTACCGGACCACGTTGTTGGGTTTGCTGGACGAAGATGCGCGTGAAAGAGGCGTCTGCAGTAGACCTGTCACGTCACGAAGATCGACTTTGCAGGTCTTGTTACCTGTATTCAATCACAATATGATGTCGGGTTTGTCGCTTTCTGTGGAGGACCTGAATCGTCGGGCGTGAAGATGCAGGCGCTGATTGGTCGAGTGCGATGCGAGATCTCTGGTTGGTCAACATGAAGATCATAAAATCTTTTTCGCGCTTCCAATACGAAAATGATCAATGTTCAGGTAGCTTTTATTGGTGCCCTTTCTATAAATCCCAGGAAAAGTGGTACTGTAGTACTGCTGTGTTAGGTTCTTCTGATATCTCAGGTCGACGGTCTTCGCAAAGGATGAGCCTCTGTGTTCAGGACGAATTCGTCTAGACTGACAAGATCCGGATCGCTGAATATGAGGTAAAAGTATTTTAACGTCTCTCCAGTCCAGAAGCTCTCCATGGTGTCGGTAAGCTGAGACTGTTCATCTCGCACATCTTGGACGACTGCATATGCAATATCGGTCCTTGCATGCGAGTCGATAGCTTGGAACATTTTCCAGGCCTTATCTTGCCATGCCTTGTCGCCAGTAATTCTGTACATATAGAACACTGACTCAATAGCCTCTGGGCGGAGGTAGTAGCGAGAGTCGACAACCTTTGCAAAACCGAGCGGGAGCCTTCCTTTGTCGATGATCGCTTGAGCCTGCTCTTTCAGCGATCTTGTGCTAGTGTTGATGACTCGGTGGACAGCCATCACAAGGCCTTTGTACCATCTCTCTTCGGACCATTTACAATCCTCATCATCTGTACAAGGAATGGCCTCGAAGATCTCGGGCATCATGCCACTAGGTGTTGACTCGTAAGCCCAAACGCAACCGTCGGTAAGCTGTCGTGCTGTATCTAAGTCTTCTGGTGTATCAAAGATCATCGCGCCCAGACCGACCATGCCTCCAACGAAGCAGGTCAGATGTTGACCTTCACTCTTGCGATCGTAGCCGGCGCCGATTTGTCTGACGGAACCGGAAATGAGAAGGTCCAGGTTCTGAGGGTTGAGTGGTCTGTAGAAAAGATGCTCTTTTGCAACAGCCATACTCTTCTCATACATATGTTGAGTTTGCTTGTCTCTGCCATTAAGCAGAAGGTATTGCTGTCTGTATTAGCCGTCATGATGGAGTATTATTTGGGAAGCCGCGAACCTTGGGGAAATATTCGTAAAGCGAGTCGGCCATGGCACCAAGCGTGAATACTCTATCGTTGGTGAAATCCAGTTTACGAGCATCCAATGAGACTGGCCACATTCCAGGAAGTCTCGTGGTATCCTGAGAGGCCTCGAAAGCATTCATGATCCTCTGAATAGCATCGTAATACTTGGGGTCTCCAGTAAGCTGCGTGAGTCTGGTGAACTCAAGCGAAAGTGACCCTATGTCGGCAGAAAGTGCATTGGAAGGTGCCGATTGCAGGTCTCCTTTAGCCGCTCTGTACGGATTGTAAGCCGGTATCTAGTGTCGTCGTGGAAGATACTCACTTCAACCAGTTCCAATGTCCAACGACCGGCATATTGTTTGGAGTGTCAAACGAGGCGTACAACATGTCGCCAAGTTGGATCGCCTTCTCTAACAAGATAGGGTACCTTTCCTCACTCAAATCGTATGCACTTAGAAGACCACCAACATAGCGAATTGTGGTCTCGAACACACTGATCGACTGTGACGGAGACATGGTGAAATCAAGGTGCTTCAATGCATCGACAGCCTGTTCAAATTCCTTCTTCATGTCCATAATCCAAAGAGTGTCAAGGGAGTCGACCAGCGTTGCTCCCCAACCTCCAAAACCGTTCTTATATCCTCCAGACAGCGGCTGGACTTCATCTTGCAACCAAGCATTTTTCTTGTAACCATTCCACGAATGTTTGAAGCTGTTCTTAACAGCTGCCAACCTCTTTTGTCTCTTGAATCTTTCTACTGGGGTTTCCTTGGTTGGTTTGTGCTGAATGCGCGGAATATCGGCAGGTGGCCCGGTCGGTAGTGGGATCATAGACGAATTTAATGGCCATTGTCGGGGAAGGGTCTTCCAGCTAAAGTCTGGCGGTAAGGGAGGGGCCTCCATTGGCGGAGGAGGTGGAGGCGGTGTCCAAGAGTCCTGCTCTAGAACATTGAAGACGAGGGAAAGCGTTACACAAGCCAAGATACAGGTAAGGATCCATCTGCGCGAGACGGAGATCATGGTGGATGAAATGTACAACTAGCTGGGAAAACGACAAAGCGAAAGTGTGTATAGAGAGTGAATAAGAACAAATTGACAGTAATGATACAAGAAGACACACAAAGAAAGACAGCTCTGTCGAGGCTGTGGTCGAGGATATCAAGGAAATAGTAGCAGCAAAGGACGTTCTCGCAGTCTCAGCAACTTGCCTTCTCGTGTTGTCTCTCCCCTGAAACGCCGATCGATCTTGGCAGCGTGTAGCTACGTACTCTCATGAGCAGAGCGAGACGATGCACCGTGTGAGTGAGCAGCATCTCCAAGGAAGGCGTATCTTCTGCATGTGTATACGTGCATGGTCACAGTCGTCCAAAGGATTGTTCGAATCGGTAAACGGCATCCGTCACTTTAAGGACTCTCGGCCCTCTCGGCGGTTATCTTGGTACGTTAAAGCCAAGCGCGTCGGTGCCGCGTGGCGCGTTCGATTCATCGGCAGTCGGTATCTGCACGTGATAGAGATCTGGCCAATACCAACAGAGCTTCATGGTCTGGACGAAGGTCGACGTGTAATGAAATAAATACTGGTCAAACATGTCGGATCTGTATCCATCGCTCACGCAGTGTGCGGTTGTTGCAACGACTTTCAAGATCTTATTATGGCCCGCGTAGTAGGTGCTGGCGATCAATATGATTCGTTCACCCCCTAACACGAACATAGCAAGTCAACAGATTTCGAAGTGCATCGCAATTGGTTAGCCATAACCAATTCTCTTCCTGTCAAAGATTGGTACTATGAGGTATATGTTCCACATAGTAGTAGATGGATTGAAACTCGTACTGATCGGTCTGCCAGAAAACATCAGAATGGACTCTCGATTACCCTCCTTTCTTCGCAGCTTTCGAATGGACTATGTCTCAAGCTGCTCAATTCTTCGACACCGACATGCTCCAAGTCAAAAACCTTGGTCATATGAGTTGGCAAACTGTCTACTTCCAAAGAGCAACGGTAATTTTGACCGAATTGGTACTCCTCTATGCCCTCCACCTGTAGGTAACGACCTTTCTCGAGCGCGCGTCCTATAACTGAGAATGCGGTTAGTTATGTTCGTGGTGCACCCATTACCGCTAAGAAGACATCTCACGCGGCTGCACTCTCGATTCTTCTTTCTCCTGGTCTGCTCATCATCGACCATATTCACTTCCAGTACAACGGCTTCATGTACGGCGTTCTCATCCTCTCGATCGTTCTTGCACGCAGGCAATCGGGGCTTCTGTTGAGTGGCATCACTTTCGCAATCTTGCTTTGCTTCAAACATATCTATCTCTACTTGGCACCGGCATACTTCGTCTTTCTCCTTCGAGTGTACTGTCTCGACCCTCGATCGTGGTTCAGAATCCGCTTTGCCAACTGCGTTAAACTCGGACTCGGGATATGCTTCGTTTTTGGACTTGCATTCGGACCCTTTGTTTATTGGAATCAAATGGATCAACTCTTGAGCCGCTTGTTCCCGTTCTCTCGAGGACTATGCCATGCTTACTGGGCCCCGAACGTCTGGGCTGTGTACTCGTTCGCCGATAGACTTTTGATCTACCGTAAGTAATCTTTACCGGAAGTTTGAGCTTTGCCTAACGTGACCAGTGGCTCCCCATTTCAATCTAGCTGTCAACCGAGAAGCCATCAACAGTGTGACCCGCGGTCTTGTTGGAGACACTTCGTTCGCGGTGCTTCCTGACATCTCTCCAAGGATGACCTTCGTTTTGACACTGGCAGCACAGTTGGTAAGCCTTCACAACGCTAGCACTTAAAAGACGATTGGCTTACATGTATACAGCCACCCCTCGTCAAGCTCTTCTTCCGTCCGACTTGGGAGACCTTTGTGGGAGCCCTTACTCTTTGCGGCTACGCGTCCTTCCTCTTTGGCTGGCATGTCCACGAGAAGGCGATCTTGCTGGTCATCATTCCATTCAGTTTGATCGCACTTAAGGACCGACGATATCTCGGAGCATTCAGACCTCTCGCTGTGTCAGGCCATGTCTCGCTCTTCCCACTACTGTTCACCGCTCAGGAGTTCCCAATAAAGACAGTATACACCATTTTCTGGCTGGTAGCTTTGTTGCTAGCATTTGACCAGCTTGCTCCTGCGTAAGTTACATCTAAAGCAGAAACTGGGTAGCTTCGCTAACAAGAAACATAGTTCTGCGAGGCAGAGAGTATTCTTGCTCGACCGCTTTTCTCTAGTATACATCGTGGTAGCAATTCCTCTCATCGCCTATTGCTCCCTCATCCATCAGCTGGTGTTCGGCGCGAAATATGAGTTCCTGCCGCTCATGTTCACCAGTTCATATTGTGCGATGGGAGTGGTGTCAAGTTGGATCAGTTTCCTGATTGTGTATTTCACCTCCTGAGCATTACAGAACTACATTCACAAGAAAAGCACTAAGATCTGAATTTGCTCTCCTCAAAGTGCTGGTGCATGCTAGAGAGCCATAATGATCCAGAGGTCGAAATCCTGTTAGTATGAGTGTCAAACGTAATCATTCTCAACATACGTCCGAGTTTTTGTCAAAAACACTATTCTGCTTTGCCATGAGATGTTCATGAGTAACCTAGTGTTAGACAAGAAACGAGTCTCGAGGGTCGCATACAGCTAGTCGAGGTTGTCCAGTATAGAAGGCTGCGTAGCGTACAAGGGTATAGAAGTTGGCTAGATCGTATACAGAATTACATGTTTATATGTTTAATGAAGATGACATCAGAAGAGGATCTCGAGACGCGGTGTTGAGCAAGATTCGTGAGCAGAGTTGGCGGTCTGGTAAATAACCATACTCAACAAGAATTGACCGAGCTTGACGATTGTTCGCCGAAGAAGGAGCCGCAGAGACAAATGTGATGCTCGAAAAGTGATATTGGCAATTTTTGATTCAGCATTAAGATGTAGCCTTCCATGCACAGGTCTATCTAGATCGCTGATTTTACGCGACCAGAACAAGTCCAAATATGTGGGTTGTTGCAGAAGTGGCGATGGTCAGGGTCGGAGGGGGACAAGCAGGGAGTGACGGAGCATGAGGAAGGCGTTGCGAAGAGAAAGTGCGGGATGGTCCGCACGCTAAAAGGTAGTTTAATCGTGGTGATGCAGAGGGCAGGTTGGCAAGCTCGTCCTGCCTTCCCCCACGGCTCTTCACAGTCTATGGCTCTTTCTTCTCTCGTGTGCAGCTTTGCTTCCTCTTTCCTTCCTCGCTGAACGCGCCACCTCGTTGTCACCAAACAACTCCCATCCCTCAGCATTCTCTCGGCCACTCTCCCCGCAGACCCTCTCCGAACTCTGAAGCCTCGTCCGCAATTTATTGCGCGTAGTACCCGCGTCTGCCCGCAGCAATATCTTCGTCCACCACCGACAAGGACATTTCGTCGCGTCCGACCCTCCACGTCCCTCATATGAGTCCCGAGCATACACCACACGTTACTTGAGAAAGGCATTGGCTCCTGCTTCGCATGCGATTTGATCAACACTAAGATCGGACACCCCGCCGTGTCTACGCCCATTTCGACTCGCTCGCTCTTCGCGTCTCTCCTCCCCTGGCCCCAAGCTCAAACCACACTCGCTATACCAAGATGGTTCGCTATCCCCCGACCATGGCACGTGCAAGCTGGACATAAACTAATCATTTCTCTCAGGTTCTCTACAAGCGCAAGCCGGTGACGATGATTCCGGTACCCACCAAAGTCGAAAACAACACCGAGGTTAGCAGGCTTGTCTTTGTATTCCTCTGTATATATCCTGACCCTTGTTACTCTAGGTTTGGGTCATGCCCAAGTCTGGCGAAGTCTTCACAGACTATGAATCCTATCTCTCACGGTACGCCCTGTTGTGGTCCTCATTCTAGCTCTCGAGACTAACACAATCACAGCTTCGAGTTCTACAACCGAGTACGCTACTTCCGAACACTTCCAACCTCCTTGTTCCCGTCCTAACTGCCACCACAGAAAAAGTTTACAGACGCCGTTAATGGCAAGTCCGGCTTGACCTACTTCGCCGCGATCGATTCGGAGGTATGCGACCTCTTTGACATGTACAAGATGGTGGAAGCTCACACACGGACAGAACAACAGCTGCAGCGACATCGATAAAATCTTCCCAGACGCTCTCCGCGACCCTATCTTAAGAAAGGTCCAGTTCTCGGATATCTCTCGCATAGACGAGCTGGTGTCTTTCGTGTTTGACGTACGTCTTATGCATCTGACAATTGATTTCTCAGCTCTAACGAACGCAGGAATTCCGCAATGACTTCTTCCCTGGCGAGGAAGTACACGTCTCTCTCGACAATGGCGATCAGTATGAGGGTGTGATTCGCGAAAAGGCGAAATTCCCCCAACTGCTCAACCCTGATGGTTCGATCCAACGCGCCGCTTTCTCTCGCTACTTTGTCAAGCTCAACAACGAGCTGGGTGACGAGGCTCTTCTGGACGACAAACACATCAAGAGAAATCGTAAGCTTTTCACGAAGCAGAATCTTAGATCCTTCTTGAAAAGCTCAATCCAACGCGACATGTTTACTGGTGCCCCATGGTTGGTCAAAGAGCATCTCGCAAGACAATACAGATTACCTATGGAAATCCCCGCTCATCTCGCCCAACGCATGCAAGCATCACCCCAGCCTGGCATGCCCCGTCAACCACAAGGCACTTCCATATTCAACAAAGTCAACGGTCGTAAAGGCAAAAACCTCACTATTGGAGACTTTGAGCTTGACGGCTCGCCGCAAGGGTACACCACACCACCGCTCAATGGCTCTAAGTTTCCTGGTTATCAAACAACAGTCAAGACGGAACCTCAAAAGACCGCCCCTGTGCCCATCAAGTACCCAATCGAGGACTTGGACGTCCCTGCGAGAAAGACTGAGCTTGTTCGCCCGGATCTGAAGTTTATTGCGCCTCAGACCCCCAGCGAAGGCGATATTCGCATGGAGTATGTTGGTCCTCTGCTGGAAATCTGGAACACTCTCAACGTACACTCTGAGGTGCTGACCCTGGACGCCTTCACCTTCGATGACTTCTTGGAAGCCATGAAATTTGCTTCCGACGAGGTCAGGTGCGAACTGCTGGAAGAAGCACATTGCGCAGTTCTCAAGACAATCGTCAATGCAGAAGGCACTTTACAAGTCACTCTGCCAGACATGATCGAAGACGAGTCTTCTGACGAAGAGATGGACGAGAGCGAGCCAGCTACTCCTATCTTAGACGCACCTGCACATGCCACTAGAAGCCGCATGAGTAACATTAGTAATGTCGAGCCGGACGAGTCGAATGGAAGATCCAGCAGAACCCCTGCTGAGGGTCGTCACCGCCCGCATCGCACACCCGAGTTGTTGGCCAGCTACGGTTGGGTCGAACGTCTCCAGGCCCGCGATTTTGTCAACGGCGGCTGGCAAACAATCATGGCAGGCCTGCTGCATCAGCTCTCGCTCAACCCTCGCCAAAAGTCGGAGTGTGACAAGGTGTTGTCCCGACTCGTCCCTTTGGACGAAGACCCAAACCAGGAGAGTGTGCGCATGAACTACAACCGTCTCGACATCAATCTGCGCATATCCGCATTGCAGTTGGTCACTCTACTCTGTGTCAGCACAAAGACTGTCAGAGGATATCTTGAAGATATGAGTGAGGAACAGACTAGAATCCGCAAGGACAAGCTTGAGCATCAAAAGGCTAAGAAAGAAAGGTATGTCTAGTTGTTCCCAAGCCTCAGTCATCAGCTAACCGGCATTCAGTGTTGCAAAACTCTCCGATCTCGAAACTCAGAAGAAGATTTTGCTCCCGGACAACCTCCCAGATTCACCAAAGGAGGAGCATCCCGATCCGATGGATATCAGCATGAGCCATGTTGACGACACTATGGACACCATGGACCTCGCAACCTCAGATGCTGAAGAGGAGGGCGGTCGCTCTCTTAGGCGTGGCAACGAGCGAAAGCGCAAGCGTGACGAAGACGCAGCCAGACGTGAAAAGCAACGCGAGGAGAAAAAGGCAAAGACGAACCCCAAACAGTCCAAGGAGTTCACCAAGCTCCTGAAGGACATCGACAAGCTCAAGATTGAGATCGCCAAGCGCGAAAAGGAGATCGCAACTTGTGATGCCGACTTGCGTGAAGCTAACTGTCAGCGCACCAAGGTGCTAGGAAGAGATAGATTCTGGAATCGCTACTACTGGTTTGAGCGCAACGGCATGCCCTTCACTGGTCTTACCGATGGCAGCACTGGCGAATATGGCTATGCCAACGGTCGCATCTGGGTTCAGGGACCTGACGAAATGGAGAGACTGGGTTTCATCGACTTGCCCGAAGATTTGCAACGCACGTATGTGCAGGACCATGGACTCTCAGTCCCCGACCGCAAGGCCAAAGAAGAGGGCGCCACCAGCCTGCGTACGGCAAATGAGTGGGGATACTACGACGACCCGGAGACTATTGCCTTGCTTCTCAGCTGGTTCGATGATCGTGGTGTCAGAGAAAAGGCATTGCGCAAGGAAATGGCTGCTTGGCAAGAGCCTATCATTGAGCAGATGCGCACTCTCAGAACGCACTTGGACAGCGTCAACCAAGAGGATGCTGATGAAGAACCAGTCACGCGTGTTTCGACCAGGAAGAAGGTTTATGTCGACATCGAAGCATCCAGTCAGCGCTGCCTCAGATGGAGAAACCTAGCAGCTCTCGACAAGAACGGCCACCTTCATTCTGAACAACCCAAGCCCAAGGAGAAAAAGAGCAAGAAGGAAGCCAAGGGCGTTGCCAAAGTTGTTGTAAAGGGCAAGGCCGCCACCAGGCAGGGAACGAAGTACGGCAAATAGACGGACGATCATGTTGCTTCAAGGCGTATTATTATTTTGGAGTTATGGCATGGAGCATGTAGAAGTATTTTATCCTCAGGAGCATAGCGAGATGGTCATGGAAGTGGCGTAGGGATTCGCTCAGGGAAAAAGGCGCCGCAAGAACGACTTGCTCGAGCGCAACGTACATGAAGTTGATAGCTATTGATGAAGCAGCTTTCGTGCTGTGACCGAATGGAACGAACAAAAAGTCTAGGATTATGCCGGTCCTCGGAAGTGGTACAAATATATACATGTCAAACTCGGCCGGGAGACGGGAAGACCAGTGTCTTGATATCAAAGCCTGATCTAGGCAAAAAAGCGCGTCCCAAGAGCCACGTGAAACAGAAAAGTGGGCTAAGAAGAAAGCATTTTCATGTTGTTATATTAAGACACGAAATGCGCGTACCGATGTGGTGATGAATTTTTCAAAGGGATGAGGGTGCCATTGATTGGCGTCAAGCCGTGTGGGTTGATGGTTAATTTGCTGTTTCCCAGGAGTGAAAGTGTATTTGAAAGGATTGAGGATTGGAGACGAGCGGGCACGAGACAGATATGAAGCTGATGGAAGCACAAGGCATTGGTTCAGGTGTTAGGCCATGCGGGAAGCTGTATAACAATGCAAGAATAGGTAGACAGACCCCTTTCTTCATGTGCACATGTGCTTGCAGGACGTTTGGGCCTTCTAGAAAAACAGAGTTAGGTGTGGAGGCTTAATATATGGGTCGTCTCACGCACGGACGTCCTTCCGGTTCCTGACGATCGTTCCCTCAGTGTATCAACGGTTACACCAGAGAGGGCGTCGATAGTTGAACAAGAGTGTGTGCGGTGTTGCACAGTCGGCTCGTGCTGGCTCACGGATTCGTGTCTGGCAGCAGATCTTATCGGACCCCTCAAGCGGCGTTATTACAAAAAGTAGGTGCTGTTGGAAGCGCTGGGCAGGTGCGAGCGAGGCCCGTGTGTGATCAATGTAATTTCCTTTGGGCTAGCATGCCGAGTGGTGGCAGCATCGCGCTCAACCGCCGTCTCTCGCTCTTCCTGGCTCTCTTCTTCTTCACGCGCTGCTGCTCAATTCCTGTCGGCCCCGTCCTGTCACTCGCTTCATTCTTTCGCATTTCTTCTTTCTTCCCTTTACATTCGCTTGGCCGCTTCCCTTCGTTGATACGGCCTCCTTTAATTGCGACGCCTTCGCTATCACTCCCAACCCGACCCCTCGTGGCTGTGTCTTTGACCAGGCTTTCTTAATCTGATACAAAGACAATTCAACAACACATTAAGAGGAGGACACTGCTGCCGGCACCTTCGCTCCAGCTGTATATACGAGCTTTCGATTTGGTTAACCCGGAACATATACCCTTTTAATTACGCCGCCCCGCCGTAGACCTACCAAGTCCGTTTCGGCCACCGACGACTCCCAATCTGAACTTGAGAGTTCTTATCGACGCCTTCCTCACCCCCTAGACCCTACCCATCCTAGGAAATGCAAGTGTCGGAAGCTCCCTCAGGCCAGCCCAAGTTCCACCGCCCATCCCAGTCCTTCTCGACTCTGGGTATGAGCAGTGATAACCTGGGCTTCTCGCACAGCGCCTTCACCACCAACCAGCCCTCTATTTCTAGCTACTCGGACCGTCACCGCACAAACATCCCGTCCATTAACACTGGTCGTATGTCCAACATGGCCTCCCAGCCCGAGCAGACTCCTGGCACTGCCCTCGACATGAACTTCACTCCTCTTCTCCCTTCGAACTTGTTGATTGGCAGCCCCTTCCAGCCTCAGTCACCCTCGGCTTTTGCTTCTCCGGGCTTCCAGAGCTTCTCCAGCTTCCCTCAGCAGCCCCAGCGCCCGCAGCAACAGCACAACCAGTACCAGAACCAGCAGAACCAGGCCATGTCTCCTCCCATGTACGCTAACATGATGTCGCCTCCTCAGATGCACGCTCAGATGTACCAAGGCCCTCAATCTCCTACTCTCGGCTACAACCCTCAGAACAACCAATCACTCAATGGCCTGTCCACCGCTCCTCTGGGTATTGCTCCTGGTTTGATGTCAAGCTCTAGCAGAACCGTCTACCTGGGCAACATCCCTTCGGACACGTCTGCTGAAGAAATTCTCAGCCACGTCCGTAGCGGACAAATTGAGTCGGTTCGTCTTCTCCCCGACAAGAACTGCGCTTTCATCTCCTTCCTCGACGGAAGCTCGGCCACACACTTCCACTCGGACGCCATCTTGAAAAAGCTGTGCATCAAGGGCCAGGACATCAAAATTGGTTGGGGTAAGCCTTCATCGGTCCCTACCTCGGTCGCTCTCGCCGTCCAGCAGTCGGGTGCTTCCCGCAATGTTTACCTTGGCAACCTGCCCGAAGAAGTTTCGGAGGACGAGCTGAGAGAGGATTTGGCCAAATACGGCCCTATCGACACTGTCAAGATTGTTAGAGAGAAGGCCATTGGATTCGTCCACTTCTTGTCGATTGGCAACGCTATCAAGGCTGTTTCCCAACTGCCCCAGGAGCCCAAGTGGCAGCCTCCAAGACGTGTATACTACGGCAAGGATCGTTGCGCTTACGTCTCCAAGACACAGCAGCAGAACGCTGCCCAGTATCTCGGAATCGCCCCTGGATATGCTCACGTTCTGAACAACGCTGATCGTGATCTCATTTCGAACGCCTTGGCTCAGCAATCTGTTGCTGCTGCAGCTGTTGCAACCACCGCTGGTGGCGTGAACAACTTGGGTAACCGCACTGTCTACCTTGGTAACATTCACCCTGAGACGACCATTGAGGAGATCTGCAATGTTGTCAGAGGCGGTCTTCTGCACCACATCCGCTACATTCCTGACAAGCACATCTGCTTCGTCACATTCATCGACCCTACTTCCGCTGCCTCATTCTTCGCTCTGTCCAACCTTCAAGGTCTTATGATTCACAACAGACGCCTGAAGATCGGCTGGGGCAAGCACTCTGGCGCTCTCCCTCCTGCTATTGCTCTCGCTGTCAGCGGTGGTGCTTCGCGTAACGTCTACATCGGCAACCTCGACGAGACCTGGACTGAGGAGCGTCTTCGTCAAGACTTCTCCGAGTATGGTGAGATTGAGCTGGTCAACACTCTGCGCGAGAAGAGCTGCGCATTCGTCAACTTCACCAACATTGCCAATGCTATCAAGGCCATCGAGGCTGTTCGCAGCAAGGATGAGTACAAGCGCTTCAAGGTCAACTTCGGCAAGGATCGTTGCGGAAACCCTCCCCGCCAGGTCGTCGCAAACGGTCAGGGACAGTCTCAGCAAGAAGGCACACAATCGCCTAGCCCCGTGAGCGGCATGCGTGCTCATGACTCCATTTCTCCCAGCGCCGGCGCATCGAACAACTACAGCAACCCTCTACAGGGACCTACTGCTTCGACTATTCTCAACGCTGGAGCCAATAACCCCCTGGCCATGTACCTCGCTGCCGCTTCGCAGGTCCAGTCTCAGCCTTCTTCTTCGCCAAACGACCTCAGCCCGCAATTTGGCCAGTTGAGTCTGTCGCAGCCGCAACAACAGCAGCAACCTCAGATGACCACTCAGCAAGCTTTCTACAGCGGAGACTCTAACCTTCCCACGAGGTCCACCGCGCTTGAAGCACCTTCGCACTACGGTCACCACGCCACTCACTCTGTCAACTTGAGCAATGGTCTCTCGAACGGTTTCGGTGGTGGCAGCGGCGGTGGTAACGGCATGCAATCTAGCCAGAACAGCGCCTCAAGAGGCCAGCATTCCCGCACCGTCAGTCTGCCCGTCTTCTCGCAGCCCCAGCCTCAGCACATTCACCAACAAACCTTTGCCGGTCTCGGCGCTGGAATTGGTGGCTTTGGCAACAACAATCCTTACGGCTTGGCCATCTCTGCTGAGCGCAGCCTGCCTGGCTGGGAAGAGGAAGAGCCCGTCATCTAAAGGGGCTCGACGAAGAATTTCTTGAAGTTCTAATCTTTTTTTGATTATTAATGGTGCCTAGTTCGCCTATAATCCTTCTACCTATATTCGTTCTTCATCCTTTCCATGTCCACTTCGGGCAACCTTCTTCATTCATTTACACTTCTCCTTTCTTCTTCCTTCTTTCTTGCATTTGCACAACCAATCACCTAATTTTGACTCTCTTCTTCGTTCTTGCTATTTCTACCTACTTTGTATTTGTATGCCTTCTTCTTAAACTTGCGATGCGTTTTCGCACAAATTGTTCTTCCCTTCTGGAGTTTTGGAGAAAGGGCACAGGGAAAAGAACAAAACTTTTATCTTTAGAGAGACTGCCAGGCTCGCAACATCTGGAATCACCTGGATTTTGACTGTAATGAAGAAAATCTATTTTTAACAAGACTTCTCTGTTGATTGTGTGTCGAGTAAAGTGATCTTGAAGTATTGTGAGTCCTTATCGGTCTTGCAATGGCTCGTTATGCAGAATAGACTGCCTGCACTTGTTAATGTGACTATACTCACAACAATCTAGAGCCAGAGCTATGTACGTAGGGGTGACTGCAATGTCGCTTCCCATGAATCAGCGCGTTGATAGAAGATATATGTGTGCATCACAACAATGTGATATGCTTGATTGGGCTCGGAGTGAAACAGCAATAGCCTGACATATAGTGACTTGATGAGAAAGTCGGAGTGAGTAGCTGTCATGTTCTCATCAGAGGAAAGTACGACCATCGAATGACATACTTGTTTTCGAAGCTCTGATGATGCCTAGTAAAAGTCGGTGAGTCTGTTCCTCTCAATAGAACCTTTTTTATATCGGAAAATTGTCGTACATTGCAACCATGTATCTTACACTATATATATCTCGATCATATAACCATCCGCCCATACATTCGCATCTCTTCGCTCTAAAACTCACCAGGCCCCTTGCCAAAATGCGCACCCTTAGCAACCTTCAACCACGGCACCGAATTCGCATCATCAGTATCCCCACCCACCTCATTACCCCACCACTTCAACTTGACCCCATGATAACTCAACGCAAAGAAAATAACAATAGTCGCCAATGCAGTTCCCGTATCCATGGCGGCTTGAGTGAGGTAGTTGTACTTCTTCCACCATTCGAATGCTTTGCGTCTGATCAGGAAATTGAAGACGAAGCCGAAGATGAACCAGAGTGAGTATTGGGTCGTGTTTGCTGGGGGTATGTTGCCGGCTGCGTTGAAGAAGATGGGGACGTTGATGTATTTGAGCCAGGAGTTTGGGTGGCGGCGGTAGACGAGGTAGACGAGGATTGTGACGACGGGGCCGATGAGGAAGAAATACATCAAGGCCGAGTAGACCTGTCCGGACTGGAACATGCGTTGCTGTGATAGGAAGACGTGGTTAGCTTTTGTTCTTGTTTGTGGAGTGGTGCTATACTGCGAGGTCTGAGAACGCCAGATCTTGCAGTTGTCGCAATGTGGAATGGTATTCGAGGTCGTGCATATTCCCTTTGAGAGCCTGTTTATCTAAGGCAGTCGAACAGACTTTCAATGGAGGCATGCAGCGCTCTGAACAACACTTTGCAGTTCGACAACTCGAGTTGAGTTAACCTTCGAAACTCGACCCGGAAAACCATCTGGCGGCTTCTGACTTCTGGCATGTGTATTTTCGATTATACTTACTGGCCCGATAACTCCCCATACGACGGAGGCATTGTATACAACTTTTGATCCATTGCAAGTGAAGCGTTGAGTGTTCTTTGGGCTGCAGAGGTCTTTGATATTGGACATCATCCAACGGAGGACTAAAAACGTGTTAGGAAGGAGCGATTGGAGCACGTAACTTGCAAACTTACCTCCGACCTGAACTGCAGTTGCCAGAATAGAGGAGTAGAGTTGTCCAACGAACAAGACCCGTGGTGGGATTTTCTGATTTTGCAGTCAGCATCAATCATTTAAAAGGCACCCTAGCAACACGCACCATATATTGTCCAAGCTTCAAATCCATGGCGAAGTCCAAGCCGTGTTTCACGCTGTTGTAGCCGTACCTAAAAAGAATCGATCAGTAGTGTCAAACCCTTTATCATCAAAGCGACTCACATCTTGACCATCATGTTGGCAATGGGCTTTCCTGGCCAAGCATATCCGGCGATCAACTCGGTGATGATGTTGAGGAAGACTCTCTGATTAGTGGTGCCTTCTAGAATGCCTTCAGGAATGATTAGAACCACACCCATGCCGAAGCAAACTACAATGAAGCCCCAAACAGGCAGACCAGTGTCCCAATTTCTGACGGTGAGGATACCGAGACCCAGGACTATTACGGTAAGCACGCCGTACCACCAGTCCGGAACCTCCTTGTAGGGGCGCATTAAGCGCTTGTGGATGTCTTCGCCGCCGTGTCTTGAATTCTTGAACTTGGCCCAGATTTCGCTACCATTGTAGAGGTATGTGTGAACCACCACAGCTGTGACGGCAGCGAACGAGAGCGCGTAGGATAACGAGTATGACATCGAGATGTACATAGGTGAGTACTTCTTATATTCGGCAATGTCGAAGTCCAGGTGGGCATTGACTACTCGAGTGACGTTGTATGCTTTTCCGGTGTTATCGAAGGTACTCGAAGAGAGTAAAGGTAGGCTATTTTGTTAGTCTTGTATATTACGACATTCAGAGGACGCAGAGACTCACTAAGCACTGTTCCAGACATTGGTGTAGTACAAGATAGGCGAAAGGAACAGATAGAATAGCACAACAACAGCGAAAGCATTGCATGTGATGTAAAAAGGCGTCGTGAGAGGAGTACCGGCGTAGTTGATCTGTGTCCAGTCAAATGAGATCGGCAGTAAACCAAGACCAGAGTTCATCTACGTAACTCGTGTTAGCAAACTCAACGGAAATAGGCATAGTTCTTGAGGACTTACTCCGAATATAGTGTTAACTTTCTGATTCTTAGGGAAAATCCAGGTGATGAACGCGAATGTGCTCAGACTTGTCCAGATGTAGTCGGGAAACCAGAAGATGACAAAGGCAAGGATGGTCAAGTACGCGAAGAACCGATATCTGGTAATCGACCACCCATTGGCAGAGACACGCTTCTCTGGTTCGTGCAGAGCTCTAAAGAGAACAGTACTAGCCAAACTAGACGGCCATATAAGGGCAGCTGGGTAGACCAGCCAACGGCGCGATAGACCAGCAAGACCAAAACTTCAGAGTCGTCAGCAAATCAATTGAGACTATTCATGTGGATGGCAGACATACCCGATCATTTGAGTAGACAGAAGGAACAGGAAGCTGAAGCCTGCTCCGAAGTTCTGACCCCAGAAGACAGGACTAGTAATTGCGACCAAAGATCCAGTAGCGTATGCCAGCTGAGTACTGATGTTGACGCACTTTATGATCATTAGCGTGGACATGTCAGATGAGGAAGGCAGCATCGACTCACGATGACGATCAGAGCATGCTCCTTGATAGTGAACTTTCCCGGATTGATATCAAAGGAGAATCGACCAAGAGGCAGTCGCCACCTAGGCAACTTCTCCCACGCACGTCCAATGGGGAATACCAAAAGTTGAGCAACGACGTATCCAATACTTAACGAAGGATAGCGAAGTCCAAAGAACTGGTTGGCTCCAGCAAAGACAATCACGAAGACTGTCAAAAGGAACCAAGCTCTGAAGGTATTGCAGAGAGTGGTAGGATCATCTGTGTTTGGCACACAAGCTGCTACTTCTGGGACTGGAGGGTGCGTTAGATTTCTGGATTCCAGTTTCGGGAATGAATAGATACCTACATGGCGACTGGTCTCCATCAACGTTCCACTTGAATGCTTCAGTTGGGATAATCTCCTTAATTTCTTCCCCTGTCAATAGCTTGTCCGCACCATGCTCGGAATCACTGCTATTCTCTGCTTCGATATCGGTCGCATATGTCTCAATGTTACCCTTCGTTTTGACATCCGGGTCGGGTTGTGCCTCTCTTGAAGAGGCAGGACCAATCGCTGCACTTGACATGATTTGAGTCTCGGTGAGCCTAGAGTTGCTCTCGATTCTCGAAGAAGGTGTTGAAAATATGAAAAGAAAAGGTAGTTTTGTAGAAGAAGATAAACTTTCATATATAAACACACATACCTCCCAGGATCGTGACCTGATTTAGGGCATCGTCTGTTGGTCTGGCCGATGTTATGGCGTGCGATAGCTAGCGGGGGTTGCGACATTCAACCAACCAGTGCAACTATCCTGATCAAACCCCCACTGTTCGTGAGCCCTTACATGTACCGGCATCCAGATACTGGCGAGAGGGCAAAATCTTGTGAAAGAAGAGATAAAGGTGACGTTAGCAACCCACTGGGTTTACAGTCGAGTAGTGAGAGTGAGCAATCAGACATGCGATTATTGGTCAGTATGCATCTATACAGATGATACCCAGCTGCTGCAAGATAGGCAGAGAGGGTTACACGGCGGTTTCTTTCGGCAGTTACAGGCGAATCCTACAGAGGGCTTCTCCACCCACAAAATCAAGCGTGATTAGCCTGGAAGTGCATATAATTTGGAGCATGCGTCTTCTGCTTTATCTATATTCATATCAATAGTCTTGGCTATGTACCATCCAAGACATCTTCGCTAAAGTCAAGATATGCCAGGAAGTGCTTGACGACCACCGCAGGCTTATCTGCTGTGCTGGAAAGTCCAGTCACACTTGCCGATTTGTCTATAAGCATTTCTGCGAGGATCACGTACCAAAACCGAGCAGTCGTTCCAGGTGGACCACTGTTGCTGAGCCGTCGAGAGGCGAGATCTCGTCTTGAACAACATCCTGGATGTGAGGAGCCATGTGCATTGTAACAGACGCAAAGTTGGGCTTCAGGGTCTCTGTGCCCCTAACTTTACGTTATAGTAGTTTTCGCAAGAGCACGCCATACTGAATCCTGACTGCGTGCACGAGTATTGAGAAAGTCGGAGGTTCACCTCGGGAGTCGGTCTCTTGATTTCTTGAGCAGTTTCCCTTGGCATCAACAAGGTTTGGCCCGTGCACGATGACGACGAGAGATCAGCCACTTCTTTTTTTGAGATCCTGATCATCATGCACGAGGAGAACACGTTGATGATGATTGAAAGATGATACAACCCAGTAGGTCCAGATGTAAGCGTAAGGGACAGGAGCATCATGTCGTTCATTCACACATGCATTGACACGCCATCCTCGACGAGGCACGAACGATAGCACTCTTTGCAGCGAGCATCTTTTGTCTTTGAGAAGGACGAGTTGGGCGCCCGATCTTGAGTATGACGTCGAAGACTCTCTTGAGAATGAACGGTTTCCCTGCCACTAACAATTGTATTTGCTTAAGTCGATGCTACTCGTCGTATCTGGCAAGAAGCAGACCTTCGTTCTTGCCCACTACACAATTCACGAGAATCATCGCTGCCAGCATGTCGAAACGTTCGCAACCTCACGACGCTCACCCGAGTGACCACTCAGCCATCTACCACGAGGACCTAAAACATCCTTCCGTAAAGCGTGCAAAGGAGATCGATGAGAACTCGCCATTCGAACAGCTCAAGGAGATTCTGGCAGAGCAGAAGACCGACCACTCCGTACGAAACGTGTTGCATTGGTTTAGATCCAAGGATGTACGAGCAGACGACAATCGTGCACTCCATGCTGCATCACAAAAGGCAAAGGAGGGTGATGGAAGTCTGATTACCATGTACCTGCATAGCCCAAAGGATCTGGAGTGGCATGGTACCAGTCCTGCTCGATCCGACTTCCTTCTGGAATCTCTCTCATTGTTGCAGAAACAATTGCATCAGAAGAACATTCCTATGGCTATCGTAACTGCTGAAGAGAGAGCGGAAAAGTCTGATAGAGTCTTGCAATTCATCAAGGACAACGACATATCTCACGTTTTTGGCAATTTTGAATACGAGGTTGATGAGATCCGTCGCGATATCAAGGTCGCGCATCGTATCCAGGACGAGAAGGATGTGTCCTTTGAGCTGTTACACGATCAGACAGTACTTGAACCAGGATTACTCAGGACTGGAGCCGGCACACCCATGAAGGTCTTTACACCCTACCACAAAGCATGGCTCGTCGAAACCAAGAAGAACCCTGAGCATCTCGACTTGGTCGCACCTCCCGAGCCCAATGACAAGTCAGCCGCAGAGAAGCTCAAGAAGCTCTTCGATTCCAAACTTCCCTCCCTACCAGAGAACAAAGACTTCATCAACGACGAGGAAAGAAAACGCATCCGTGGTCTATGGCCCGCAGGTCATTCAGCAGGCATGGACCGTCTCGAACACTTTCTCAACGAAAAAGTCTCATCCTACGCAACCCACCGCTCAGAACCAGCACGAGACCCTTCCTCCCGCCTCTCAGCCTACATCTCCGCCGGCGTAATCAGCGTCCGCGAAGCCCTCGCCGCAGCCAAAAAACACAACAAGAACAAACACTTCGACGCCGGGGACTCCGGCATAGCCTCCTGGGTCCGCGAAATCGTCTTTCGCGAATTCTACCGCCAAATCCTCGTCGCCATCCCTCACAATGCCATGAACCTACCCCAGAATTTGAAATTCGATAATGTGCATTGGGAGGAAGATGAAGAGGGTTGGGAAAAATGGTGTCAAGGCAAGACCGGTGTACCTTGGGTGGATGCAGGGATGAGACAGCTGAACACGGAAGCTTACATGCATAATCGCTTACGCATGAATACTGCCAGCTACTTGACGGCAAATCTGCTCATCGATTACCGCAGGGGAGAAAGATATTTCGCTACCCATTTGATCGATTGGGATCTTTCTAATAACACGCAAGGTTGGGAACCGTCATATACCGTTTTCAATCCCATCGCGCAAGCGGAAAAGTGCGACAAAGAGGGCGAGTATATCAGGAAATGGGTCCCTGAGTTGAAAGACTTGAAGGGCAAAGATATCTTCGATCCGTATGGAAGGTTGAGCAATGAAGAGTTCAAAAAGCTTGGGTATCCTGAGCCACATGTAGATTTCGCTAAAAGCAAAAAGAGAGCGACGGAAAGATTCAAGAAGGATCTGGCAGAGGCTGAGGTTTAGAGTGGGGTTATACATGATGGGCCAGATAGGTTTCTATAGAGTAATGTGAACTCGGTGTGCTCTCACTGGAAGTAGTCTCAGTGTTTGGAGGTCAGAGCAACATTCAGCTCACACGCTATTGAATCCGCTGGTAGTGGTAGAACAGAAAAACAGCCTACGATGTAAGTGACTGGTATGTAGAAATATGTTGATGTCAATAGTTTTATACAGCAAGGAGCAAATTTCAATCTTCCATTATCTGATCGAGCAAGTAGCTTCTCCTATCGTACCAGCAAGTAGCTATCTTGTAGCTCTTACCCATCATAGACTTGTAGACATACTACGCTGTCCATCGCCGAGATCACGTCTCACGGGCATGCCGAACCATCTCCTGTTCTTCAACTTCTCGGCCCTTCTCTCCGAATGCAATTCTTCTCTCGGACCCTTCCAACTCCTCAACTCGTCAGATCCATCAGCAGCCTTGCCGATATTGACATCAAAGTCGAAAAGACCTCCGTAACTACCGATGCAGAAACTGGCTCTTACGTACATACCTCCAGATTGTGATTTGGCCTCCTCGCTGATATACGGACCCATCAACGTGACAATTCTTGCGGCCATGACACTGGGGTCGTACTTTTCTGCAAGTTCTTTGGCCCAGCCTGTAGGTTCTTCGTCGTTTGTGACGACGAGAGCTGTTGTAGATGGATCCCTTCTGTTCAGCCAGTAGTCCAGTATCTCGTCGTCGCGGTGATCGCCTTCCCAGAGTGTGTGAAGCCAGAGTGATAATATCAGATGGCGGAGGTTGTGGAAATGGCGAAGTGGTGCCAACATGTATTGTGCGATCGGTGTAGGGTTCCAGAGGAGTGGTGCGCCTCGGTATCCACAGAACTTGAGCTCGGTGATAGTGTTTGCATGATAAGATGCCAGTGTGTGTGTAAGAGGCGGGGACGGCGGCCATCCGTACTCGGCTTCAAAGACCTCATTCGAGTCGACGATATCTGGTCCTGTCGTGCCGAGTCGTATGATCTCATCTTTGTCTTCTTCCTCGAGCGAACCGAAGTCATCAGGATCGTTTGGATCTTCGTTGATACCCAAAGATCCTATGTCGCGTCCGCAAAAACCCCAGGTGTTACCCAAAGGGCAATTGACGCCAATCATGACGACTTTCTGTAGTGGTGACTGACGCAAGGCTCTAATTGCTTCCCTCTTTTCGTCCCGGGGGATACCTCCCTCCAGCTTCAGACTCTCAAGCTTTTGCATACGAGCTGCAAATTCGGAAACAAATCGTCGACGGCTTTGTCTTCGCGCAGTGTCCAGCGGATCAACTGAGTTATCAGTCTTGAACTCACCGCTTCTACTATAAACAGTGTCTACTCGAAGATCCTCTAACGAACGACCCAACTTGGATATCACTTTGTCGACTCTTGATTGAAGCTCTGGTGTTGTCTCCTTTCGGTGTCTAAAGAATCGATCGGCTGACCAGGCTAGGCATCGAAGCCTTGGGTGCATCTCCAGCCAGGCCACACACATGTCTGGCTCAAGAGTAGAACCGGAGGAGACACCACAAGTGTCCAGAAGATAGACGTCTTGTGGTAGCTCAGCCTCCGGAACCACTGCGTTTCTGAATTGAAAAGCGCGAAGGCATGGGAAATGTATCTTGAATAAGGTGTTGAAGAGATTCTCGAGACTGCTTCTTGACTCCGATGATGCACTTCGGTCTGTTCTGCGGAACAACACCCAATCAAGATTCAGAGAAGTAAGAGATGCCGCAGAGTGTTCCAAGATGTGTATGAAGGTGGGAAACGGATCTGTATCAGAAGGCATAAAGTCTGGATCTTGACGATCGAGAAGGTGCCTTACACTTTGTGTGGCTGACTTGTCCGCATCGGAAGTCTCTTGCTGGATGGACGATATCAGCATACCAATGTCAGGCAATTGGCTGTAGATCAAATTGTCAAAGTTGTGGGCTTCCTTGAACAGCAGGTCGAATTGTTTTCCAGCCTCCTCCAGATCCAGTTCAGAGTTACCAGCTAAGACCAGATTTCTGACAGCGGCATCTTGAACTCGAAGCAGCTCGGTCGAGGTCTTGATTGCACCACCTCGGCCATCCTGCCTCATGTCAAATGATCCATCTGTTCGCCAATCTGGAAACAAGCCTCTATTGTACACTTCTTGTGAGTCGTGCCTTCCAGCATAAGTGAGCAGTGGCAGGCGACGCATACGAAGACTCTCCAGCCCTTGAAGGTTGAACGATTGAAGGATCCTTGCGGAGATGCCTGCGATGCTGCAATTCTCAAGCCAGAGGTGACGTATCGTGGAGCCATTCGGATTACCAAGCAATCCAACCAGAAGACCGCGAGTGAGGTTCCAGTGACCAAAGACGATTCTCAGAGTATGAAGGTTGATGAGATTTTGGCAAGCCTTTTGGAGTATCCGAAGCGTCCTCACATCACAGGACAAGGTACGGCCTTGGAAACTAATCCTCGGGAGCTCATAGAATATGGCAGGTGGTGGTAGATGACAACGATGTGTCAGTGAGTGGACATGGGTGGCGATCCAGGAATTGGTGGCTAGAACGAGGAGTTTGCGAATGATGGGTGTGTCGTCGTGCTCGTCAACAAGATCGGGTACTTCGGAACTAGGCGTACGACAATCCACAAGCTCAATGTCTTGCCATAGCAGCGGAATAGCTTTATCGTAAGACCAGCGACAGAGTTGAGCGAAGTGGTACAGATCGGATTGGTCAAGATACTGCAGCGTTTCCTGTAATATCTCCTCTGGGATTTCAGCCAGGCGATTGGAGGAGTTTACCATGGTGTCAAGGCCTTGGCTTGGCTGGTCTGTTCTCGTATCGTGGTGCTTCACTGGGCCTCTCTCATTCTCGGTCGACTCGATGAGTCTAAATGGTTTGGTAGTCGAGAGCCGAGGCGCGTGTCGATTATGACGTAGTTTCAGGAACCAGATGGCAGTGAGAGCGAGGAGAAGAGTGACTGTTAGTTGTGGGTTTAGCGGTCCACTTGAAGTCGGCATGTTTGGCTACATATCGTTGATGCGTCGAAGAGGTGAGTTCAAATGGCAATGAATGGTTGTTCAAGGTCGTGATAGACGGCAGTCACCAGTCACGTTGAGCTGTCGATTAAGGTTACGCTTGCCTGCTTATCGATAAGAAAGCAACCTGGAGCGACGCGGGAAGTTTTTCGATGTCTCAAGCCTCGGACAAAGACTGCGACATTTCAGATCGTCACAACATTTTCGCAACAACAAAATACACAATGTCAGACACAGAAGAAGGAGGTGTTGGCATTCCTTTGATGGAACCCTTGTCGCCATCGACATCCCCGGAACCTCAATCTCGTCCCTCAGGATCAAAGCGAAAGCGCGAAGACGGAGATGGAGATGAGGACGAAGCACCCGCTACACAAACCAAGGCCGCAAAGCGCAAGAAGGCCAAGAATGCAAAGAAGGCAAAGCAGCCCAAGGATATCGAGGAGGACGCTCTGGATCTCGAGGCTGGAGTCAACCACGCCATCGCCCACATGGACAGCCAGTTGCTCGCCGATCACGTTGCACAGCGTACCAAGCGCTTCCACAATGAGTTGAGCGTCATGGAGCTGGAGGACATGCACATCCCATGTATGTTTCTTGTCGATGCGACGACAATTACCGTACTAACAAAGGAATAGCACACGCAATCGTGGATACAACATCATGGGACAAGCCGCGCAACCTGGAAAATATACCCGCCTTCATCGAGCAGTTCAAGGATGAGAGAAGAAGCGACAAACCAGGCAAGACGCTGTCAGATGCAGTCAAGCAAAAGTCAACACCACACACAATCGTTATTGCGGGCTCTGGTATTCGCGCCGCCGAATTGACAAGAGCTCTACGCAAATTCCAGACCAAGGATTCTTTCATCGCAAAGCTGTTTGCCAAGCACATCAAGTTGCAAGAGGCTATCAAAATGGTCAAGGAAATAAAGATTGGTATGGGAGTTGGCACGCCGCAAAGACTGATTGATCTGTTTGATGATGGTAAGTTTTGCGCGAAAGAAGCGTGGATCAAACACTGACACTCCTACAGGCGCCCTTTCAGCAGGTAGACTGGAGAGAATCATTATTGATGCTTCGCATATCGACTCGAAGAAGCGTGGTATCCTTGATATGAAGGATACGGAGAGTCCCCTGATCAAGCTTCTTACAAGACCTAGCTTCAAGGAGAAGTACAACGAGGACAAGATGAAGAAGATTGAGCTGATCTTCTACTGAGGAAAAGAGCCATGTTTTCACCTGTCATGTTTAGCAACTCTGTTCATACCCCTTCGATACCCAATTTACTCATGTCAAAAGAGACGTGTCGTCCAAGAATAAAACATATCTCAAGTATCATTGTGATCAGCTGGGATTTTGTCGCATGCTATGCTCTTCCCTGTACGGAAAGGCAGGATTTGAACATTTACGTGTTGCACTAGGCAGACAGTCTAGTATTGAATTCCACAGCCTCATGAAAAGTGGCAGTACCGTTTGTTGCATTCCCTCCAGAAAAGCCCAATCCACGCCGTGGTAACGCCATTTCCCTTTTGTGGCCTTCTTTTTGGTATATCGATTTGTGTCCAAGTAAGGGGATGCACATTCTTTGGGGAGGTTCGACGGCGCCGGGTGGAGGTCGCATTTTAAAATCGTCGCATCTTGAAGTTATCGAGAAGTCGCTCAAGTGAGAATGACCATAATGACCGAATCGCCTCTCAGGAACCTGCAAGGATAATGCGTCAGCCGATGGAAGCAGGCGCATGTAGGAGCATGGGAACGTACATCTTGCTGATGAAGCGATCCTTGTTGACACCTCTTCCCTTCTTTCCTGAGCTGTTTCTAGGGAACTCGGTCCACATCTCCTTGACGTTCTCAAGGACCATGTTGCAATGTCTGTCGAATGCTTTTACGCGGGCGAGGAGTTTGCGGTTGTTGCGACACGAGATGACGACCTGGTTGTGGTTGCGGACAGCGGTTTGGAGGATGGAGAGAGGACCGGCAGTAAACTCGTGCTCTTCGACGCGAGCAATCTCGTACTCGCTGCGAGGGCGGTTAGTTGAGTGATTCAGAGAGGGCCAGAGGGTATAGACGTACGTGAGCTCGCTGCGCGGCTTCTGCAGAAGGTCGCTATGAAGAAGTTAGCATTGTGGCATACAGAGCGCATATGTATAGCAGTATAGCTCACGTAATCTTTGCTGACTCGGACATGGTTGTGATATGGTATGATGGATCGAATGGCAATGCGACGCTTCTGGTACGAGTAGTCGCGAGTTGACTGTCGATGCGGGCTGAAGCCGATGTCTTGGCGAGCTTTCGGTGACGAATGGCGGCGTTGGTTGTCGCTGTTGCCGCTCGCTGCGACTGTCCATCATCCACAAGCTCTCACTTTATCCCATCCATCAGCCTCTCCCTCCTTACACACAACACACATTCGCCCATCATGTCGGAAGGTCGCCTGAAAGCAGACAGAGATTTTACCAAAGAGGTCGACAAGGCCATTCCCGAAGCTCAGGACCTGGCAAAGGTAGCTTCATCGTGTGCTCGAAACACCCACCAGTCTGACTGACTTTCCCACAGAGCAATGTACAAGGCGCCATCGAGAAGCTCCTCGCTCTTGAGAAGCAAACCAGACAAGTGCGCAACGTCCGACCATCACGACATCAATTCAGAAGACTAACCACAATCAGGCGTCTGACCTCCCTTCCACATCAAGACTCGTTGTCGCCATCGTTACGATATGCAAAGAAGCCGGAGACTGGCCGCTGTTGAACGAGCAAGTCCAGCTTCTGTCCAAGAAGCATGGTCAGCTCAAACAGGCCATCACCAAGATGGTCCAGGTCACCATGGATTTCATTGACGACACTCCCAACATCGAGACCAAGCTGTCGCTGATCGAAACGCTCCGTACCGTCACCGAGGGAAAGATCTTCGTCGAGGTTGAGAGAGCTAGAGTCACACGTATCCTGTCAAACATCAAGAAGAGCCAGGGAGACATCGCTGCCGCCACCGACATTCTGTGCGAGCTGCAGGTTGAGACTTTTGGTTCCATGACACGCCGCGAGAAGACGGAATTCATTCTGGAGCAGGTCGCACTATGCATTGAAAAGGGAGAATGGACACAAGCCAGCATTCTGAGCCGCAAGATCAGCACTCGCTATTTCGCCCGCAAGCCCAAGAAGACAGCTGAGCAGTTGGAGAAGGAGCAAAAGGAACGTGAAGAGGAAGAGAAGAAGCGTGGTCCTGATGATGCCCCTGTGGAGCCCGAAGACGACGTTACAGACTTGAAGCTGCGTTACTACGAGCAGCAGATCACCCTGGCCAAGCACGACGACAAGTATCTCGACGCTTGCAAGCATTACCGTCAAGTCCTGGATACTGAGGCTGTCGAAAACAACCCTGAGCAACTACGAGCTGTAAGTTTATCTTTTCGACCCGTCTATACTAAGTGCAGCAATTGACTTGATGTAGGCTCTTCAACGCGTCCTCTACTTCATCATCCTCGCCCCCTATGACAACGAGCAATCAGATCTCCTCCACAGAATCCACCGCGACACACGCAACTCTCAAATCTCACACGACGCCGCCCTCCTTAATCTCTTCACCGTTCCCGAACTTATGCGTTGGCCCGCTGTCGCTGAGAACTACGGTCCCCACCTTTGCGAGACCGACATCTTCGACGCTACTGAGAAGGCCGCCGACCCCAAGGCACACAAGCGCTGGCAAGACCTGCGCAAGCGTGTCATCGAGCACAACGTCAGAGTTATTGCCAAGTACTATACCAGAATCCACTTCAAGCGCTTGACAGAGTTGCTTGACCTTAGTGAGGAAGAGACGGAGAAGTACATCAGCGACCTTGTAGTGAGCAAGACCATCTACGCCAAGATCGACCGCCCTGCCAGACTCGTCAGTTTCGAGAAGAGACGTGATGCCGATGAGGTGCTCAACGAGTGGTCAGGCAACATGAAGAGCCTGCTCGGTCATCTCGAGAGAATCGACCATCTCATCACCAAGGAAGAAATGATGGCCAGAATCACCAACAAGGGTGAGAAGGCACCGAGCAAGATCCGGTAAGCTCTGAACCGGCTATGTACTAGTATAATTTACTTATAGACCCACGAAATGCACCATGATCCATAATCCATGATCTGTGCTGGCCCGTGATCTTCTATCGTCTATTTTTCGTCGTCTATTCACATCAGAATGGCATGTCCATGTCTTCGGCCTTCTCCTCCTTCTTGTTTTCGAGCGAGTCCTCCGGCGGGCCGCCAACCACTTCCCTAATGAATGCCACGAGCGCCGCGACGTATTGTTTTTGACTGCTGGGCAAGAAGTGACCGCCAGGGTGGTAGACGACTCTAGCAACACCACCCTCTACACCCCTGCCTGTAACGCAAGCATCCACCAGGCGCAAACTCCTAGCCTCCTCGACGACAGTATCTACGCTACCCAAGAAGTGCAGCATAGGTGTCTTGATCTTCGGTTCGTAGAATGCGGTGTACAGCTCATTCGGAGCAGCACCGAAACCACTGTAGCTCACAGCAAACTTCAGCGGCTGCTGAATGACATCCGTCATGAAACCTGTATCCTGCTCGAAGCTCTCGGGGTAACGCATACCGCCCTGTGACTGTTGCTTTTCGAATGCATCTCTTCTTCCCTCTTCTAGTAGCGAGGCAAACATTCCTGCGGCTGCACCACCTTGACTGAATCCGATTGCGCCGTCGAAAGGACCTTTCTCTCTGATCACTTCTGCGATACGCTCGAACCCTTGTTCCAGGCCTTCGTAGGTAAAGGGCTCGCCATCGCCCTTTCTACGCCACCATGCGTATGCCTCTGGGTCTTCGTTCTCGCTTTTCGAGCCATCTACATCGTAACCTGGGATATCCGAGATTGAAAGCTTGAGTGGTGCTGTCGGGTATACGAGTTCGACACCTCCAGGGTAACTTGGCAAGTGACCTGGCTTAGGGGCAGCAGGGAATGCTTTGTCGAGGTTCTTTTCCAGTGCGCGTGTTTTTGCGTGGAATAGGGGTCCGCTTTGGGTGTAGCCGTGGAGCATCAAGATCTTGAGTTTGCGTTGGGAGGTCATGGCGGAGGAAGAGTCGTCGAGGATTGAGAGGTTGCGGCTGGGTTGTTTAGAAGTGAGGTGAGAGGCTGTTAGTTGGGTGCGGCGCAGAGCAGAGGAAGATAGCATGGCTTGGGTCGGTGTGTCACGGTATAGATTGGACATCTCGTTTCTGGAGTAGTTGACCGTGCGCTTCACCTATCTCGAACGATATCGCCGATAAAGTCCGGATGTCTATGACATAGGCGGCTCGTGCTTCTGTATATAGACCTGGTTGTCTCAGAGTGAAGAACATCACCTGGGTCTTCCATATCAAAAGATCTCAATCTTTGAAGCTATCGTACATACAGTCGTCTAGCACTCAACAAGATGCTTTCATCCAAGCATTTCGTGATCCGGTCTTGCCGTGTCACTGCCAATCGAGGCTTCTCTACCCATTCCGCTCTGATGGCTGCTGCCAAACGGAGAAAGGTCGAAGAGATTCACAGACCGTCTCTTTCGGGTTCTTCGGTCGGTCACTTATTCTCTGAGATCAACGCAATGAGACCCGGCATGGAAGCTCTCCGGCCAGATGGACAAACAATGACCGAGGAGCAACGCACATTTGCTAGGAAGACCGCTACATGGTTGATGGGAGTTCCGGTTGTCCTAGGCACTTTGATTGTAGGCGGAAACTGGATTATGAAGGACAGAGAGGACAAGACAGAGTCATGAGAAGTGGATAGGACGAGAAATGAGGATTTGCATGCATGTCGATATGAGTACTACCTGTCATGCATGGCCCCTTAATAGACTCGACTCACACTGCAAACAGGGCCCCTGTCGTTTGACTCCCTAGTCACGATTACATGCCTCTTCACCATTTCGAGACATGAAGAACAGTGTCAGTCGCAAACACTCGAGCAGTTACAATCGACCAAGATGACGTCTCTTATATACGACGATTAGGCGCCAAGCGAAAGCATTACGAAGATGTATACGAGGCAGGCTGGGACGGCATGATTGAGGGGCAAAGTCGTACGGCATAGGGAGTATGTAGGGCATTTTCGTAGATGCAAGTAAGCAGTGTTTGCGTTGCAAAAATAAGAAGATAACTCGATGGATGGCGGAGGAATGAGCCAGGCTAGCTGCAAGGTGAAACCAAGGCACATGTCTGTCGGTGCAGGCTCGGGGTAAATCAGAAAGCGTGGCATCGAAACTTGGTCAACCGTCTTGAAAGAAGGTTGGAGCCCGACTAAAGCCCCCTAGCCAGCCTTTCGCATTTCTCTCAAAGCATATTATTTCCGTCACCTGAGACTTCTTAACCTTTGTCTGACACATCACTGGCCGCGTTGTGGTGTCGACATCCAAGTCGCGACGACCGAAGCGCCACAACCAAACCCCCACGGGCAACAACGGCCGGGGAATCGAACATTTGTTATGCCATGAGAGAGCAGAAGTAGACGATTTTTGTTGGATATGGAACGCCCATACCAGTTTACCGACGACCGAGACGGCGCGCGTTCACCCTTGTACGTGAGATGTGACCTTCTTGACTACGACGACTAACATGCCGTCCAGTAACCAGCAACTACTCAACCCTGTCACACAGCCGCCAGGCACATCCTTCAAAACAAATGTGAATCGCAGCAAAACGCGCAAATGGGCAGAGGCCAAGAACTATTCCTACGACGGCGATGATTGGGGCGGTTATGACCCTTACGATGAATACGGCAGTTACGACGACAAGCAGGACGCGCCCCAGCCTGCTGTCGACCCACGAAGGAACTCATTCGAGGCCGGCGAGGAGGTGAGGAACTTCTCTTCTGGTCAACAACTACCACAACAGCCGCCTCCACCTCCGGCGAATACCACTCCTACCAAGCCACAGCCACTCCAACCGGGTCCGCAACCACAGCAGGACTTTGGCGTCCGCCGCGACTTTTCCCAGATCGCTCACGTTCCACCGCCGCTGAAGACGAATAACTCCCCTAATGTAGTTCGCGAACGTTTTCCTGCCAGGAAGAGCAGTCTGCAATCCAGTCTGCCTTCTTCGCCCGCTCAGCCCTCGCAACAGCAACCCGTCGAACAACCAGTTTCACCGTCTCTGGGCGCTTCGACCGCCGGCAAGCCGCTGCCATTCATTCGTCCCGCCGACATCTACAGACGCATGGAAGAGGAACGTTTGAGGGAGCAAGAGACGAAAAATCAGGTTGGAGTCCCGGCCGCCAGGCACGAAGAACACCAAGCCCCTGCCCTTCAGACTCCTTCTCAGGTCAGAGATGTTGGCTTGGGTTTGGCTGGGACAGAGCCTGAGGGACAATCTACGAGCGCTTCGTTGGGCTCCTCTCTGCCAGCGGTTAATCGTGTAGCGTCTGGGTTCGGCTCGGAGTTCTGGAGTGCTTCTGAGTTGTCTAGTCAACTGAGTGGTACCGATACTCTCTCGCCGACTACCACTAACACGGAACCCGCACCGCCTGCTGAGATCAACAGTCTAGAAGACGCTTCGCATGAGCTGCACAATGCTGTGAACCAAGCATTCGAGCGCCGGGATGATTTGTCCGTTCCTCCCACTCCAATCTCTCGCGACAACTCCCAATCTGGCCATAGTTCGGACACCGCTGGGATTAGTCCTATCATGAGCCGTGTACCGAGCGCTGCAACCGCTGAGGCAAAAGCCCGCCTTGCTGACAACATGGCCATGAGACCTATCGCGGAAGAGAGCAGTTTGCCTGGCAGTCCTGGCTCGCGACCATCATCCCAACAGCAGATCAACTCGAAGAAACGCTCTCCCACGCACTCTCGTCAAGTATCGGCTGAGTCGCTTAGCAACAGCCCTGCCAGGACCCCTCAACTGGAGTACATGAAGAGGCTTTCAACTCCAATGTCTGCAGAGAGCACGAGTCTGCAAGATGAAGAGGCTGCTTCACCTACTGGCCTCCCTACTAAGCCTCTTCCCATAGCTTCAGTCCGTGTGATCGCACCTTCAGCGGACTACAGCCGAAGAGAATCTGACATTGCCGCTGATGCTTCTTCGAGCTCACCAAACGATACTGCGGAGGCCGCAAAGGCTGCAAGAGCGCAATTCCTCCAGACTCATAACGAGCGTGTCGAATCGCCTGCAATTGGAAGTCCTGTCGATCGTACTCCTTCTCCCGTCTCGCGCCGCGGATCTCCGAACCCTAGCAGAGTTCGTGATCTTGCAGACAAGTACAATGACATGCATACTCTGTCAAGAAGCAGTTCTGCCATGTCTTTTGGCTCTCAGAAGAGTGACAGCATGTCCTTGAAGAGGAGTGGTACTTTCGAGAGCACTACCAGCGACACTGGAAATGCCATTGGTGGCGAGACTGTTGTTGAATCCATTGAACAACCTTCTCCGGATCGTCCAGACCCCACTCGTGGTCTTAGCTTCAGACCCCATCTGCCTGGCGAATGGGTGTCATATGCACCGACTCCTAGCACTGAGATGCCCGTTGCACAAGAAGCGACAAGACGTAGCTTTGATACCACAGAAGCTGCTCAGCCTGATGTGAGCACCCCTCGACAGGAAACTTTCCAGACTACCGAAGACTTTGATCCCACGCCTTTGACAGCTAAGCAACCACTTGCTCACAAGGACATTCAACCAAAGGAGAGCAGTCCTGTAGATGCTGTCAGGAATGCAGGCGAAGCTTTGGGTGCTGCATTGTTCTCCTCGTTTGGTCAGAATCACGGCACCAGAGATTTTGCTCAGCCAAAGCCTCAGTCACCAGAGAGGGATCTTTCTGATTCCGAGCTTACTGGGCCCAGGCCTTCAGTTGGCGATGTCTATCTTAGACCTTTGATGGTGGATCGCCAAGCTTCCTCTATCGCATCTAGCGTTGCTCCTACGCCACCAGCCAAGGACACCCCTGATGGGCTCAATCTGCAAAGGTCATCTGGGTACTTCCCTCCGCCGACCTTACGCGTCAACTCCGATGCTATGTCACCGGCAGTCTCTGACTACTCGCCTGCTGATCTGGAGAGTGATCGCTTGCGTAGAGAGATTGAGAGGAGTCTTACTCCCCAGATACACACCGAGGACCAGCAAACTCGCGATCAAGATGCTTTGGACGCACCGGCAACACTTCGAGAAATCCAGAAGGCTGAAGGTGTTTCAGCTGCTGACCACCAACCTACAACAAACTTGCCTGCAGTGACCTCCGAGCCTGATGCATCGTTAAGAACACTTCAACCTGCAAGCTCTGGCCTCCTCGGCAAGCGCTTCAGCTTTGAGAAAGACCAAGGTATGTCAGGCTTGTGGGGCGAACCAGGCGAAGAATCAAAGCGTGCCTCCTACGAGCGACCGTTGTCTGGCATGGGACTTCATGTGGTGAACACAAACATGAGCAGCAGTAGCAGCAGTGAATCGAGTGCCTCTTCCATCAGGGACATTCCAGCCGAGGCTATCGAGGAACCCGCAGGTCCATCTCTTCAGGCTGTGCTCAGTCTGCCTTCGCCCGTGACATCGCCAGATGTTCCTGCAGTGCTCGCAAGAGACGAACCAACACTCGATACAGCCGCTTTCCCCACGGTTGAGTTTCCATCTGAGGCTAAGAAATCCATCGAGGAGCAGTCGCTTCCTGTCCCTCATGTGGAGACTGAAAACCCTTTGGCTCCCACTACAACCACGAACACATCTGCTCGCATCCCTACTGTCAGAGAGGTTATGGCTCTGAAGTCGGTGGATGAGCGCATCAATACCTACAACTCTTCGCGAGAACAAATCGCATCGATGGACACTGGTCTTAGCAACTGGCTCACTTCGACTCTCTCGTCTCATCCTGAGCATGCTCATGTTGTTACAGATGTGAGCAAGCCTGCGAGCACTAATGCTGTCGGCAGCATCCGCTACAAGGCTCAGCCTGGTAATATCATGAAGATGGCCAGAAAGGGTCTCAGTGGTGTCACAAACAGAGAGCCTTCGGGCAGTCATGCATCCGATCCCAGTCAAACGGCCTCCACTGTCGAGCGCCAAAACTCCAACGTTGCTGGCCGCTCTCCCTCAGCACAGCATGGCGGCGTCGAGAAGATGCAGACCAAGGGCAAGGATTTACTGCATTCTGCCGGCATGTTTGGTGGTAAGGCCACCGTAGGAGCCAAAGGCCTCTTTGCAAGGGCAAAGGGAAGGCTCCGAGAAGGCGGAAGTGAGAAGGTAGATTGATTTTCCCTTCTGTCTGTCATACCCCTCCTGATCTTTCTTTGACGTTTTTGATTTTTGCATATCGACGATTCAACCTCATGTTCCAGCAATGCTTTTTTCTGGCGGTCACTGTTCCAGCTGGCGGGCTTGTTTTCTTTGCGACTTCAGCATAAGCGTTGACCTTGGATGGAAGGCATTAATGTTTCGAGTGGCTGGTTGCATGTACCGTTTCAGCTGCGTAATGTTAACTGAATAATCCCCTACCTCGCCAACCCTTCCGATATCTCAAGAATGTATGTTGATGTGTGTGTTCTCACAGGCTTCCGGACGCGCTTCAATCAGCAACGCCGCGCTTGCCTCGCCGACTTCGCCAAATGTTGTGGACGACCGTTCCAACAAAGCCAACAACCGTTTCTCCACAGCGTTTGGCCGTTTTGGGGGCAGCTCTACTGCAGAGCGCTCTTCGTCTCAGCCAGCGAGTGCTGTGCAGTCTCCTATGGAGGGTCCAGAAGCAATTGTTCCGACAATTGTAGAGCAGCAATCCGCGTTGCCGTCAAGTGGTCCAGATGCATACATCGCGCCATGGACGGAGGAAAAGGTGGGTGGTGCGTTAGACGATAAAGACCTCGTCAACGAAAGATTCAAGAGGATTGGCTTGTTGCCGAGTCCTGCATTTGGCGGATCAATGGCCTCGCGCGAGTCTAACGAGAATATCAAAGCTGCAGGTGAGAATGACGATCCGATATTAAAGGTGGAAGGAGCGGTGCATCCGGAAGAGACAAACGTGGAGCAGAATAGTGAAGCTGCGAAGGCAATCACCCCTATCGCTCTTCCGGAGCCAGCTGCACCTGTGGAAGAAATCACGGCGTCAGACCTGTCATCGGAAGTTCCTGCTTCAGTCTCGGACAACGCTCAGCCATTGCCCGGGACCAAGGAAATCCTGCCAGAGCATTCTGTTCGGGTCGAAAATACCTCGAACATCAACAGAAGCCCGACGCGTCGTCCTGTTCCTCAACAGACTGTGGCTGAAGTGCAACCCTCATCTCGCAGGTCTTCCGTGTCAAGCCTCCATCGTGATGATAACGATGTAGCAGAAAGCTCAATTCCGCTTCAGAGAAGCGTAAGCCCTTTGCGTGCCGAGTCAACCACACAATTGGCTGGTGCCGCCGAGCAAGTCGAGCCTGAGAACACAGAGAGCAGAGACAGCTCTAGACCTCGAATTGTCAGCCGCAGCAGTCTTCCATCACAACAACGTCCTCAGTCGCAATCAAGACAGTCATCTTGGCAATGGAAGAGCTCGGGCACATCTCTGGTTGGCCTGAACAAGACACATGATGCGACGGCTTCACCAGTAAAGGCAAGATCTATATCCGGTCAGCACAACGCCTCTGTACCCGTGAGCCGTGCTGGATCGCCTGTGTCTTTCCTCGAAATGGCACCTGCCCAGAAATTGAGAAGTGCGACTACACCAAGCGCTTACTCGACCGAGGATCTCAATGCTGGTCCAGGGGCACGTGCTGAGCCATCAATGGTGGCAGCTTCTCAGAACCTGACTTTGGTGCCAACTCCCTACGAAGTAGGTAGGATGGCTCCAATCGTGCAGTCACCTGTGGAGATGCAGGGCCCTTGGCAGAATGGCCAGTCCAACTTCGCTATGGCACCTGGGCCCTTCGCTGGACCAGCTGCAATGTATGCCCAGCCTAGCACCATGAGCAGCGAACAGATCATCTACGAAGAACCCGTTGATCGCACCTTCTCGCCGACGATTATGGATCCTCGACAGCACGATAGCGAGTATCAGCTTCCCGGCGTCGGACCTCCACCAGAGTTGACTCAAGGGTCACGAAGAAGCAGGTTCTCCATCAGAAGCCCAGGACACGGTCCTGTTCAGGCTGAACGCATTAACCCCAATGCCATAGCACTCAACCATCAACGCACTTTCTCCGGAGACGAAGTTCCTTTAACACAGTCCGCGCAAGAGAAGAGAGAGAAACGCCGTTCTGGAATGTTTAGTGCTCTGAGCCGTGGCTCGAGCTTCTCTGGTCTATCTGGAATGAACTCTGACGGCAGACAAAGCCGTGGAAACGATGTCGGTCAAGCGATTGCGCAGCCTCAAGCACCGGTCCAGCAGGGGTCTGCGGTGCAAAAGGCTAGAGAAACGTCAGGCGGTAGTGCGAGAGGCAACACTCTTAAGAAGATGCAACGCTCATCCACTTCCGCTGGTACACCTAGCACTCCCGGTACACCTGATCCGGAGAAAAAGAACAAGCGCTTCTCGCGTCTCGGTTCTATCTTTGGACGTTCCAACTCGGAAGCAAAGAAGACCAACAAATTGGTCAAGAGCATGCCCAAGCCTGAACGTATTCCGGAAGCTGCAGCGGCTCCAAGAACACAGAATATGCCACCACAGAACATCCCTGCTCCGCCCATGGGTATGGGCTATGGCATGGAAAATGGTATGCAACAGCCGCAGCAGTGGGGAGAGCATCCCGATCAGCAGAGCAGTGTTCCAGCGCCTCCTGGCGGATGGTATGCGCCTACGAGCCGTAGATCCTCTTATCACCAGGATCAACAGGCCAGCCTGCCACAAATTCAGCCGACAATGTCAGGACAATCATGGCAGTCAGGTCAGCTACCACAGCAGCCGCAGTCACCTGTTATGCAGCCGACTCGTCGCCTCCACAGTGAGGGCTATCGTCATGAACCTCGCTATGCACCTCCCTCTGACTACAGATCGATGTCTCCTAGCCCATTACGCGGTCAGCGAGGCAGTCAGCAATATGATACCACGACACCCCAGAATTACCAGCGTGCTCCTTCTTGGAGTGGCGGTCCGCGCCAACAACCACCGCCTGGAAACCGCAATTTCTCGTGGGGCTCGATGGATCAACAGCAGCAACAGCAGCAGCCAGGATACTACTCGCAGAACACGATGGCCGGGTCGCCGAGCAGACAAAGCCCTGCAGGCACACCTACGCATTCAAGAAATGCCTCTTTCGGCAGCATGACCAATATCCAAGCAGCTGCGCCGCCACTTTTCCGTAATCCCAGCTCAGGAGCTCTGCAACGCTCATCTTCTCCCTCGATGTATGGAGCCTCGCAACCCTATCAAGTCCCCATGCCGGCGCCTACAGAAGCCCAACTCATGTCAAAGCAACAACAAGATTGGTATCCCAGATACGCGGTCGGATCTCCAGGACCACCACAGCAGGCCAGCACGCCAGGAATGTACACCAGAGGCTACAGCAACAGCAGACCGGGTAGTGCAAACACCAACAATGTCGCTTTCGATAACATCCCAGAAGCCGAGTACGCCAGACCAGGCTCGGCTGGTGGGATGATGCCACCTCCACAATCCCCTGGAAGAAGCCAGCAAAGAAGGTACTATGCGAATGGCGCGGCAGCCATGGGACCGAGACCTTACCCTTCCGCTCCCAGCCAGCCACAACAGGGTGAATGGCAGGGCATCTATCGTGATGTTTAAGACGTTGATTTCTTGTCGAACGTTTGTGTTTCTTTTTTCTCCTATTCTGTATAATTATTCGTGTCGTGTGGGTTTGGAGATGCTAATGTAAGGAGGGATATTTGGAGATAGGGATCATGGTATATAATGTTGATTCGAATGACATTTGAATATACTGACTTCACCTTGTCCATTCTTAAGCGAGCCTTATCTACTTTGATGATTCGTGCCTTCCTGCGCGTGCACCTCTTCGTGGTATGTTTTCAGTCAAGGTATGCGTTTCTCATTGTATTCTGTTGCCCTGAATGGTTCCTTCTGTCGTATTCCACCGTGACTCCGAACTCATTTGACTACATCAATATTTTCGGTGGCATTTTCCTTTCATTACAATCTCTCTGTTGCTTCTTCTTTCAGACATCTTGGCCATATGAATGTGGGTTGTGCTATTTAATGTGTCAGAATACCCAGGGTTGTCAAGAGGGTTCAGAATCGTTCGCTTGTTGTGCAAAGTCAAATGGATGAAAATTGGCGGATACGGCGACAATGAGGTCAAAAAAACCACTGGATCTTGATCAAGGGATATTACCTGGCTGTTAAACATAGCAGAAACCACGATATACTACTTCTCTCGGTGTGAGTACAGTGTTGTCGCTCGAAATGTATCATGGCAGGGTCACCATTGTGACAAAAAGACTTGGTCGTTATAGAGGAAGATAGACATCTAAACTTGATGTTCGTCTTGAGCGTGAGGGATGATCTCATGTGTGGTGAAGATGGTCGAGTGAAAGGACATAGTATGAGTTTAGAGTCTATACCTTGAGTGCGTTGGGAATTATGAAGGCGGCAGAATACTTATGATCTTATGTATCATTGAAACTCAAAGTCTCGGTCTCGGTCTCGGGTGCGTCGATGATTGCAAGGCGATCTTGTATGTGTTGGGTACACCGGATTTTTCACTGACTTGAAATGATTCGCAGAGTATGAGGATCTGCTCGTGATTTGCATGGTCCCGCGTTCCACGTGAGCTTGACGGGAAATAACCATGAAATGCTTGAGACCGGAGGAAAGAGCACGGTGGAAACAAAGGAAAGGTCGATTGACCGTGGGAGATTCCATGTGAGAGGGACAATTGATCGTGGAAGGTCAAGACCGATCGGCTGAACAGAAGAAAGGCGCAAAGAAGAGTGAAACGCAAGACCGACTCAGGCGTTGTCACCTACATTTGGAAATCTGTTGGCATTTCAACATGTCGTGAGAACATCCTTCTGTTAGAGTTGGTGATTTTGAGGTCAGGGGTGAGCTGTCAGCAGCAAATGAAGCCAAGTCACTCCGAAAGTAACACCCATTCCCTGGTGTTACACTCAACAGACGAGCTGGGAAAATGCAAGAGCTGACAACTGTGATGCGTTTGTTGTCAAGGTAAACATGAACTCATGAGCGCCTGCAATGGGTTCCAGAGCAGAGAAAGTAACAAACAAATTAGACGATGCGTTTCCCTCATCAAAGCAACCGGAAGCGCCGAGGTCACTTGCATGATTTGCATTCTGGACCTCTCACGTCGTCCACTCTGCCAACCTTCCTTCCACCAGGGGGAGGAGGGCCGCCTCCGCGACTATTGCTGCTGCCACCTCCAAAGCCCCAACCAGGTCTCTTGCCAGGTGTTCTGTTGTTGGCATTGAACGGTGACGCGGCAGCTGCAGCAGCAGGATCGAACTAAAAGAGCATTGAATCAGACTAGTGAACCACACGAATTCGAAGGATCGCAACAATGATCAGCTCACCGAGAAGAATGTGGTAACGTAGAGGCCTAGAAAGACATAGGCGTTGTCGAAGAAGTTGCGGATGCGGACCGTGGCTGGTGGTCTGGAAAGTGGAGATTCAGCTTTAGCATGGATAAAGTGCCGAAGGCTGAGATCGGAGCCATTCCACTTACGCTGAAAGCGCCTGGCCGTTGTGGAAGTAAGGCCTGGTTGGTTGTTGTGAGGCTGACATGGCTGAGATCACTGTTGTTTTTTTCGGAAGATGAAATATCGGAAGAGACGATGGTTAATATTGGTTGTTGTACGGATTCTCCAAGATAAGAAAGCGCACGAAAGGGAGATGTCGTCGTATGCCAAGTCTAGGGTCGGGTGGTTTCCAAGTCAATCATGATCCGTGCACGGAGGCTTGGCTGCTGCAACTCGCATGCCCGGCCGAACAAACCCTAAAACTACCCAAGCATTAATTATTTTCATGATCGTCGGTCGGGCTTTCGTGTGATTGAACTTTCCCATTCTTGTTCCAACTTCACGTGAAAGAGATTTTGTTGACAATGTCGGGATATCAGAACAAGGTAGGTTTCGGGGAGTTTCTTCCCTCATTCGTGGCTGGAAGGATTGAACGCTGATATTGTGTGCTCGTGCAGAAGAGGAAGCAGGACTTTCAACAGCCCCAACAGCAGCATCATAGTGCCGATGATGAGGTCGACACTTCGAGACCTTCTGCAGTTTTTACGCCGACAGGTGGTCGTCAGCACACGTTGACCATCGCACTGCCTGGCAGTGTTATAGCAAAGTAGGTGACAGAAATTTTCTTTTCCTCCATGGGTTGTACCTTCCCTCGGTACAACATTGTTCCAGCATCGGAGCAGAAACACTTTCCTTATTCCCGATCTACTTCTCAGCTCTCTCTTTCGCCAATCACTTGGTTGCAATTGCCTTATAGGATTGGTCGGATTACTTGTCTATACTGCCCAGTGTTATAGCTTCCTTCCACGTCACCTATAGCCCGCCCTCTAACCCTTTCTTTCTTTACCGCCTCTGTCTCATCTCAAGGATTCAGCCCTGACCATATTTCACAGCGCTCAATCACATGATCTGAAGACCATGATGGCCGCCCAGGTGGCGCGAGCCTGTGCCGTTTTCCAGGTCGATGAGATTGTCGTCTTCAACGATGGCCAATCACAAAATGGAGCCCGTCCACGGAAAGGATTCGAGGGAGACGGCTACACGGGCTATTCGGACCCTGACGACTTCCTATATCACGTCCTCAGCTATCTGGAAACACCCCCACACCTCAGGAAGACACTTTTCCCTATGCACCCCAATCTGAGAACCGCCGGCGCCATGCCAAGTTTGGATATGCCGCACCATCTCCGCGCGAACGAATGGTGTCAGTACCGAGAGGGTGTGACGATAGGCCCAGATGCCGCGTATGCAGAGCCTCAGCACAAGCGCAGCAAGGGTAGCAAGGGCAACGCCGTCTCAACTCTCGTTGATTGTGGTCTGCCTGTAAAGACGCGTATCCCAGTCGAGGTACCGCCTGGATCGCGCGTCACCGTAAAGTTTGGATCTGCTGATGAGCCTCAAATGGATGGCTATACACCCTTGGACGCCGACGCCGTTTCACCCGACACCCCGAGAGAAGAGACCGGCTACTATTGGGGCTACTCAACAAGAATGGCGTCTTCACTTTCGGCAGTATTCACCGAGTGCCCTTACGATGGCGGCTACGACATTAGTTTCGGTACATCCGAGCGAGGCATCACATTAGCGTCTCTGTTTGACTCGTCGGAGAACGATCCCGATGTACCACCAGTGCCTAAACAGTGGAGGCATATGGTTATCGTTTTCGGCGGTGTCGCAGGTCTCGAGGTTGCCCTCAAGGCAGACAAGAACTTGACGTCGAAGGGCGTCACGGAAGCCAAAGACGTATTCGACTACTGGGTCAATCTCGTGCCTCAGCAAGGAAGCAGAACAATCCGCACAGAAGAAGCGGTATGGCTGGGATTGATGGGATTGCGCACAGTAGTGCAGGACCGGCAAGAAGCCGTGTAAACGGGCTAATCGAAGATTGCATCAGTCGGGATCGTGTTATTGACGAGGCCGAACAAGCCGAATTAAAGGCCACATGGTGCGGCCAGCCTTCCCTGGGGTCTGCGGGGCGGGAGCAAACCTGTTTCTCTATCATGTACCTTTCTATAGCGCATCGATGCCTGCACTACCGTTGGATGGTACATGACTTGTACATTGTCACTACATCAAGTCCATGCTCCAGATTGTCCAAAATAACGATGAGTCGATGGCATGAGCAAGTGTGGATATCCCATCATTGGATCATCCAAGGATATGCAGGGCGGCTCGCTAAATAATGATCCGGCGCTCTTGGTCGACCTGAGATGATGCGTGTGGGGGCCATCCTAAGAGCTTTGAGGGCACATCCCTAGCTATTCGTATTAAATCAGATCATGAGACTTTAGTTGATCAACTAATCAGCCTATAGCTCTCTTTAATAAGCCTGCCTGAAGCAGGAAATGGTATTGTCGAGATCGGAGTCGAAGGATTCGTAAAGCGTGGAGCGTGGATTTTAGGTTCTGGAGCACTTCCCGAACGAACAAAGTCGACGCGAAGTGCAGCATCGTGAAAACGCGGCCATGTCTCCGCCGGTCTCCACAAGTTCGTGTTGGCAGACGACCAAGCACGACCGAGTTAGCGCATCCACCTTCTCTCAACCTCTTCGTGCAGCACGACAAACCCATGAGTCAAGTTTCTGGTTTTGAGAGATGTCTTGAGACCCTGGAGTCGGCGACTCCGGAATGATGCATAGCATCGAATAGCTCTAGGTCTCAGATTCGAGGTTTGGAAATTGGGGGTCATCCGCATGCAACTAATTCGTGCAGCGGATGATTCGTGACGTGTTTCGATATGCGATTGAGATTGATACCTTGGAATTCAAATCATTGTTGCGTTAGCGTAGAGGAGTGATAAGGATGAGACAGTAGGGGCTGGCGGTACTTGCCAACCGCAGACGAGAGCCGAGACAGATCCTCTCAGCCCGCGATGCCGTACTGTTGGCCAATAGACATCGGGGGGGAGACGGGCAATCGTAGATTACAGGTCTGCACGGTAGTTTGCGGCATATGAGCCTTGAAACAAGGTCAAGAAGAGAGCGCAGCAAGGGACATGATATACGTAGCAACGGTCGTATGCAATAGAGGAGACTTTCAGCTTTTGGTACCGAATACCCGGGTATCGCTCTTATAGCTGTTGACAAAAATGAGCCACTCGTCCAAAGAGACCAATAATCATCGAATGCTATCTTTGATATGCCCCTGCCAGGTGCTTAAGGACAATGCATGTGGGGTGTTGCGGCGACTGGCGATGAGCAACGTTTTGATTTGCGTCGCTGGACGCGCGAGGTCCGAACCATTCAGCCGGTAACCGGCAATTGACAGGAGCCAAATGGTGCAAGACAAGGATCAAAAGACAGCTTCGGTTCGAGCATGCAGGATGGCAACACGCAGGGCGTGTGTTTCCTGATGGTCGATAGAGTTTCGGGAAGCGGATTTGAGGCCGAACATGCTGCTTTGATTGCAGCAAGACATGCGCTCATGGTCAACAGTTCTGCAGCTTGCTGCATCAAAAGTAGAATCTGAGTTACAGTGACATTCCCAGGCACCTCCGGAACTGCGAACCGAGCGAGGAACACATGGTACAGTACTGAGTACTCGAGTACCATGCTCAGAGAAGGATCAAATTCGGAGCAGAGACCGAGAAACGAAGGAGGGGTTCGGGGGCACACGCGTGGAGTGATCCACATTGCGCTCTCGAATGGCCTGTTGAGTCTTCTCAGCAGCAGTTGGTGTCGTTACGCAGATGGTTGTCCATACGAAGATGCTCAGTGATCCAACGGTCCCTGGATCGATATCTGACAGAAACCGAGGCCCAAGCCCGCTGACCTCTCAAGGACACGGAGTCGTTCGGTCGGAGGTGACTGAGCGCCAGCCCTAAAGATCATGAGGTTTGGAGGGATGCGTGAGGTTTCTGGATCCCAATGGACGATTTCCCGACCAGAATCAGGGCTTTGGCAGCGACGGTGACCCCGTCGCAAGGACCCTTCTCTCAACCACGCTGGTCAGCCTCTTGTCTCAAACCCCAAGGGACGAGACATTGGCCCCAATCGGGTGTGCTTTCAGAAAGATGACTGGTGGGGGGAGTCTTCGGCATGTGGAGCTGTGGCTTGATTTTCGTGAAGATCTCAAGCCGTGGCCCTTAGCTGGATAGTTACCGAAGCAGTGCAGGTATAACTTACAGTTGCTAGAAGATCATGTGAAATCATGTTAAGTGTAATTCTGTGAGCGAACTACTTGACTACAGTACATCGTTTAACCCGATACTCAATTCTATCCATAAATGACCTGTCTTGAGAAACTCGCCCCCCCCTGACTCCTACTCGAGTATCAGTAATCGAATGCAGGCTGTACAGCGGTCCATAACGGTGTTCGAGCCAATCACATTCAAGAGGTAAGAGTCCGCCTGCACAGAGAAGGAAGACGCGCCACAACGTGCTTGATGGCCCGCAACAGATCGGATCAGCGACGCTAGGCAGGTATGCTTCCATCGAGCTGTCTGACACCGATGTCCAGACTACTGAGTCCACATCAAGCCACGGCCTTCTGCCGTGAATTGATTGACACAGAGAAGCCCCTGCGTCAGTTTCTTGACTCGGACGGCTGGCTGTTCTTAATTCGACACGGCTCCCTGCTCCAAACGTGGAAGCCACATCGTTTGTTCAGAGAAGATCGTGTTTACTTCTATTGACCAGGTCCAGAGGCACCTGCGCGACAACGCATTGGGAACCATTCATATCTTACCTCCTCCCGCAACCAGCATCTTCAGACAAGACACTTTTACCTGCCCGACTCGATTGCTCAGCACTCCCAAGCATCCAATCAAACATGGAATATCAACAAGCCTGCGGCGGAACAACGAGCGCCTGTCACCACCCTGTATATGCAACTCACAATCAAGGTTACACACATGCACATCATATGTGGACGGCTGTACCACAGGTACGTAAGGCTCTTGACTGGTAGCACAAGATATGTACTAATAAGTTATTCAGTATCACTATGGCTACGAGCAACACTCGCTTGCTTCGCCAGTAGGCAACACCTTCACTCAGGCTCCTGTCGTATCTCCAATCAATACCACATCAACTGAACCAATAGCCGTTGACGGCCGGAATGGATTTGTGACAATGCCACCAGGACAGCCCTTAATATATCGTAGCGGAGTCGAAGCAGATTATGGACAACCTACATCTCCGACAGTAGAATTTAACGTTGACGAACTCCTGGAGTACCAAAGACGACGCAGTAGTGCCACTTCAGAGGAAAAGGAACCCCTAACACCGGCACAGCGTAGGCGAAAGGCACAGAACAGGGCCGCGTATGTATCGAGGTCGCCGTCTTTCTGGAGAGACTTCCCGCTAACACGTCGTGGTGGCCATAGTCAACGAGCGTTCCGTGATCGCAAACGCCAACGGGTACAAGACCTAGAAGCTCAACTGTCAGCGCTAGAAGTGCGAACCAATTCTTTGGAGTCAGACAATGAGAGGTTGAAACACGAGCTGCTTCTGACACGAGACGAAAACGAAGTTCTACGAAGCATTACCCAGCCTCAGCATCCAAGCAACACATTACAACCTGATCGACGCAGGAGAACGATGAAAGCAGGCGGAACCGATCTACACTTACCGCTTCAATAACAAGAGATGACGTGGTCCAAGTGCATGGTCGATGTCAAATGGTTGATGTTAAGATATCCTTTTCAAGGCTCACCAACTTCCGAAAGCAGCCCAGACGCGACTGGTATGTAATGTCTTTATTCTTATTTCTGATTCCCCTTTCTGGCGTTATGATCTTGAAAAGCCAGGCGTTTGGTGGATTGGACTCGATGTCCAGACGTCGAACGCCGAGACATTTTGCGGCAGGTCAGACATAGGCCGCAAGATCCAGTCATGTTGGCCGACAGCATCGGTAGAGAGATACCTGCAGCCGTAATGAAATGATGACATTCACCTGTTTGAACAGGCTACTTGATCATTGGGCATCTCTAATTCCAAAACCTGTCGATTCCCAGTCCCTGGCTACGGATGGTAGATCTTCCGTATTCCGGGAGCCATCGACAGCTGTGAAAGGGTCAAGTATCTCTGAAGTACGGACTCCAGAGGTGGGTCCTGACAAGGCTCGAGTCATGCCATGGAGGTGGGTAGGTTAGTCCCAGTCGCTGTCGCTATCGTCATTTCCAAGGCCAGCGCCTTGGCCAGCACTCCTGAGAGTGGATTGCGGGGCCTCTTCCTGGTGGCGAGGACCAAGGCGGGAATCATTAGGGTCAACGGCACCCAGAGAGCGAAGCAAATCCTCTAGGTCACGGATGGTGGTTCGATCGCCCTTCAAATCGCGTAGAGTTACCAGTTGGCGCTTGATGTCGCCATCCTTGTAGACCAAGACAGTCGGAGTATTCTTGTCCGGGTAACCTTCAATACAGAGGTTGGCCTCGATCTGACAGAACTTGATGTCTCCAAACTTTGTAGCCAATTCGCGCCAGATCTCGATCAACAGACGCGATTCGACATTCGTACCTGACGAAGATGTAAGGAGTACGAAGATGAAGGCCTTCTTTGATTCTTCAGTCACATCCCGCGACCAATCGGGCTTCTGTACCGGGTAGACCTGGTTGTAGACAGAGGCTGAGCGGATGGCAGCGAGTTCGTTCATGCGCTTCTGACTGTCGAAAGTTACAAATTAGAAGAGCATGGCGCAAAGGTCGGGGCGCGAGCTTACCGATAGAACTCAAGGAAGTCCTCATCTTCCTCGTCTTCCAACTCAGCCAGCTCATCGAGCTCCTTGCCTTCCAGGCGGTTCTCGTGAGCGAGTCTACGGGCTTCGGTTAAGGCTTCTTCGATCATGGGAGTAGGTGACGGAGGTTTCTCGGGAATGATTTTGTGCTTGCGGAGGATGTCATTCCTGTCAAATTGTGTCAGAAACAGGCAAACCGAAAGCAGTATATACGGATAGAGAAGCATAAGGAGAGGACTTACCACTCAGTGTCGGCATTAGGATCGTCGATGGGCACATTGACGGGCATGTCCGGCATGCCGCCTGGCATACCTCCTGGCATATCCATAACTGCAGCTGTTTGTGAGGAGTATATGGTTCACAGATGGCTTCACATGTAGGCAGCCTTCCAACGAGAGCTGGCTGGAATTAGAAGCACCAAATAGAAAGCGCGGAGAGGGGCCTTGGCGGGGGATGACGGGGTCGCGACGGAAGGTGCCGAGCTCGGGGGTTAGGGAGTTGTGATGCTACGTTTACAGTCGACAGGATAGATATAACTGTTGTTCTGACAATCCCGGCTGGCCATTGAAGAGCAACCATGAGCTACAACAAAAAGGACGAGGACGAGGGCGGCCTGCTCAAGGTCGACCGCACCTCGGTCTTCCAGGAGGGTCCGTACAGTGCTTCGAACAACACGACCATGTCAAGTCGCTAACTCGACCTCGATAGCTCGTGTCTTCAACTCATCGCCTATTTCTCCTCGCAAGTGCCGTATTCTGCTCACCAAGATCTCCCTGCTGCTGTTCACTGGCGAAAAGTTCCCCCAAAACGAGGCCACCTCCCTGTTCTTTGGCATTTCGAAGCTCTTCCAAAATAAAGATGCCGCCCTCCGTCAGATGGTCTACCTGGTCATCAAGGAGCTCGCAAATACCGCTCAAGATGTGATTATGGTCACCAGCAGTATTATGAAGGACACTGCTGTCGGCAGCGACGTCGTATACCGTGCCAACGCCATCCGCGCCCTGTGCCGCATTATCGATGCTTCCACTGTCCAGGCCATCGAGCGCAACATCAAGACGGCCATTGTCGACAAGACTCCCTCGGTTTCCTCGGCTGCTCTCGTTTCCTCGTACCACCTGTTGCCCATCGCCCGCGACATCGTCCGCCGCTGGCAGAGCGAGACTCAGGAGGCTGCTTCGTCGACAAAGTCCTCTGGCGGCTTCTCTCTTGGTTTCGGCTCGTCGGCCTCGCACAGTCTGGCTGCCTCCAACACAAACTTTATGACCCAGTACCACGCCATTGGTCTGCTCTATCAGATGCGCTCTCACGATCGCATGGCTCTGGTCAAGATGGTTCAACAATACAGTGCTGCCGGTGTTGTCAAGAGCCCTGCTGCCCGTCTCATGCTCGTCCGTCTGGCCGCCAAGTTGATTGAGGAGGATGCTGGTCTTCGCGCTCCTATGATGAAGCTGCTTGATGGCTGGTTGCGCGACAAGAGCGAGTTGGTCAACATTGAGGCTGCCAAGGCCATCTGCGAGGTCCGCGACCTGACCGATCAGGAAGTCATGCAAGCTGTTCACGTCCTCCAGCTCTTCTTGACCTCTCCCCGATCCGTCACCAAGTTCGCTGCCATCCGCATCCTCCACAACTTTGCTTCATTCAAGCCCGACGCTGTTCGCCAATGCAACCCCGACATTGAGGCTCTCATCACAAACTCCAACAGATCCGTTGCGACATTTGCCATCACCACTCTTCTCAAAACTGGTAACGAGTCTAGTGTTGACCGTCTGATGAAGCAAATCTCTGGCTTCATGGCCGAGATTACCGACGAATTCAAGATCACCGTGGTTGAGGCTGTCCGCACTCTTGCCCTCAAGTTCCCTAGCAAGCAGGCTGGCATGCTTGCTTTCCTCAGTACCTCTATCCGTGACGAAGGTAGTTACGAGTTCAAGAGTAGCGTTGTTGAGGCCATCTTTGATCTTATCAAGTTCGTCCCCGAAAGCAAGGAAGACGCTCTGTCACATCTGTGTGAATTTATCGAGGACTGTGAGTTCACCAAGCTCGCTGTCCGCATCCTGCATCTTCTGGGTATGGAGGGCCCCAGGACTGCCAACCCGACCAAGTATATCCGTTACATCTACAACCGTGTTGTACTCGAGAATGCCATTGTCCGTGCAGCTGCTGTCACTGCTCTGGCCAAGTTCGGTGTCGGTCAGCAAGATCCCGATGTCAAGCGTAGCGTCAATGTTCTACTCACCCGCTGTCTCGACGATACCGATGATGAGGTCAGAGATCGTGCAGCCCTCAACTTGCGTCTGATGAAGGAAGACGACGACATGGCCAGCAAGTTTGTCAGAAATGGTAAGATATCGCCCAGTCTGATGGTTGTTACAACATGTGCTAACTCACTTATCAGACTCGATGTTCTCATTGCCCGTCCTGGAGCACCAGCTTGTCATGTATGTGACAGCAGAATCATCAGCCGCATTCTCCAAGCCCTTCGACCTTAGCTCAGTTCCCGTTGTCACTCGTGAACAATCTCTGGCTGAGGACCGCACGAAGAAACTTACTACAGCCACTCCTACCCTCAAGGCACCTTCGGCTGGACCCAAGCCAGCTCCCGCCCGCGGTTCAGCAGAAGCCGCCGCCTCGGCAAGTGCAGCTGCACAGAAGTATGCTCAACAACTGCAAGCGATTCCCGAGCTTTCTTCATACGGAGGCGTGCTCAAGAGCAGTGCTGTTGTCGAGCTGACCGAGAGCGAGACCGAGTACGTCGTTACTGCTGTCAAGCACTTGTTCAAGGAGCACGTCGTCATTCAATACGACATCAAGAACACTTTACCAGACACAGTCCTCGCCGATGTGACAGTTGTCTGCACGCCCACAGCAGCCGACGAGTCAGAGGAAGGTGGTCTGGAAGAAGAGTTCACTATTCCTGCTCCTCTGCTCAAGACGGATGAGCCTGGCACTGTTTACGTGTCTTTCAGACGCCCTGAGGGTCAAGAATTCTCAGCGGCCAACTTCACCAACGTGCTCAGATTCACAAGCAAGGAGATTGATCCTTCGACCAACGAGCCTGAAGAGCATGGATACGAAGACGAGTACGAGATTGAAGACCTTGACCTTGTTGGCTCCGACTACATCCTTCCCGCATTCGCTGGCAACTTTGACAGCATCTTCAACGGCATTCCCTCGGATGACGAACATGAGGCCGAGGAGACGCTACAACTCTCCAACGCCAAGACACTGGCAGATGCCACCGAGCTGCTCGTCAAGAGCCTGGGCATGCAACCGCTCGAGGGTAGCGAGGTCACACTTTCTACTTCGACACACAGTCTGAAGCTTTACGGAAAGAGTGTGACAGGTGGCAAGGTCGCATCGTTGGTAAGAATGGCATTCAGCGCCAAGAGCGGAGTCACAGTCAACATCAAGGTCCGCAGCGAAGAGGAGATGTTGGCAGCTCTCGTTGTTGGTGGAGTGGCATGATGGGTATGGGAGACGTGACGTTGTCACCAGGGGCACTGGCGTTCAGGGCGGAGCATGAAGCAGCGTGTGTGCTTTTTATTGTTTAGTTTTATGATTGAGGCGGACGGTAGTCAAAAGCGTCTACGAGTCGTTGTTCTTGTCAATTAGAAGAATTTGTGTACCTTGATATGTGGTTACCTACTTGATCAATCTGTGATATTGATATTCTTCCTCTCGAGATTGCGGGTGATGACGAGGGCTCGAGTGGCTTGGCCGACAGGGGATTGCGGAGAGCGCCTCGACTCTTGAACGTCGACAGCTGGACATTTGACTGAACAATGAACACGCCCTGATTGCTCCACCAACACCTTGTAATAACTCAGATTCGACAGTAGCGACGCTCGCCACCTAAGTGAATATACCCATCGCCGTAGAACCGCACACACGCGTCACAGCCATGTCGGCAGGCACGTCGTCAATCCAGGACCGCACTCCCGAGTTCCGCTCCATCCTCGCTCAGGCCCAAAAACGCCTCGCCCATACGAAGACTCCCAAGGACCGTCAACATCTGCTCCCCAATGCCGGCCAACAATCCGCCCAGCCCACGCGCAAACAGCGCAGCGAGTTCGCGCGCAAAGCCGCCGAAATAGGCAGGGGCATTGCAGCCACCGTCGGCAAGCTGGAACGCCTGGGACAACTGGCTCGTCGCAAGACTCTCTTCGACGACAAGCCCGTGGAAATTGCAGAACTCACTTATGTCATCAAGCAAGACCTTGCCGCCTTGAACCAACAGATCGGCGCTCTTTCTACGATAAACAAGACGGCGCATCCGAAGGGCGGCGTGGACCAGGAAGGCCAACACAATGAGAACGTCGTCGTCATGCTACAGAGCAAGTTGGCAAATGTCGGTGGAAACTTCAAGGAGGTCTTGGAAGTGAGGTCCAAGAATGTACAAGCCAGTCGCTCGCGCCAGGACAACTTCGTCAACACCGTTGGTAGTAATGCTGGACACCTTGTCGCTCAAGGGCGAAGTGATAGCCCATTATACGCCGCACCATCCCGAGGACGCTCACCACAACCGCCCATGCAAAACCAAGGACAAGACCTTCTGACTCTAGAACCGCCATCGTCATCCTCATCAGCACTTACACGAGGCGCGCAATCAGAGCAACAGATGCTACTGCTGGAAGAAGGAAACCAGAATAATGGATACATCCAACAACGTAGTGAAGCTATAGAAGGCATCGAACGCACCATCGCAGAACTCGGTGGCATCTTTGGACAATTGGCTCAGATGGTTAGCGAGCAGAGCGATATGATCCAACGCATCGACGCCAACACCGAGGACATTGTCGACAATGTCGAAGGTGCACAACGCGAACTCATGAAATACTGGTCCCGAGTGCAAGGCAACAGATGGCTAGTCGCCAAGATGTTTGGTGTACTGATGATCTGTAAGTCTCCTGCTATTCACACCTACCATTCACAATACTAATACATCTGCAGTCTTCTTGTTATGGGTGCTCATCGCTGGTTGATTTTTGAATTTCTGTTTATCTGGCATGGCGTATGGCGTTTTTACAGTATCGGGAAGAACAAGGGCAGGACAACTTTACATGGCGGCAATGGGAGGTCATTACAATCACACGCAGGAGGTCATCAGGGGTTTTCTTCTTTCTCAACCCTTTGGTTTTCCTCATACAACCTAGAATTTGTACTAATACCTCACACTTTTTCTCATCCATTTCTCGTTTGACCCAACCTCGATCCTCTGCATGAGTCTTTGTGAAATGCACGAGTTGTTGTGTTTCCGCGTTTGCCCTGTTCGGCTTTGAAGACACGATAACTTGTCTTTGTGATCACTGGGTGCTTTCGTCCTTTCAATCAAGACGCTCTTTCCTTGATTCGTCACTTTTTCACGTAACGCATTGGAGTTTTTGGTAATATGTATAATGGTTTTGTTTGATTCTATGCTATAAAATTTCAGAAACAAGAATGATACAAGGTGATAATATACAACACGAACGAACCCCATGTCCACCTTTTTATCCTGTACTCCTCGTCTGTTCTTCTGTCAAGACAGACATGCACAAGGACTGAGCAAAAAGAGCGAGGACGCAAAAAGAACGAAAAAAGAAAGAAAAACGCCCCTCCAACATGTGAGAAAGAATCTCCTACATAGGAACGATCGATGTCCCTAGAAACCACTAGATCGTTATCTTTTCAGACGAAGAATAGGTTTTCTTCTCTCGTGGCATGCTCCGGCCACCGGCATCTGAGGTGTTTCGACCCTTCGACACGCGAGCGACTTGGCAACCTTTGAAACCACCACTCTCGAATTATTACAATGGATGTATGTCGAAACCCGCGACCCAGAATCATGTACATCATTTTTGCCGATACGTGGTGTTTACCAGACGTACTAAGATCAGGTCAGTTGTGCGATCGAAAGATTACAAAGATAAAAAAACTTACAGGGATGAAGAGGTAAGGGCAGCGTCTCTCATACTCCTTCCAGGCATCGCCGTACTTCTCCTTGCAACGCTGGATATCACGGTGGGCGCGGTGCACAATCATGACAGCGAAGAAAGCAGTGTAGAACCATGGGAAAGGTGAGTTGAAGCCGGTGATCAAGCCCCAGCAGAGAGCAAAGTACATGTCGCAAGTGTAGTGGATCTTGCGAGCATACTTGTACCAACCGTCACAGAGAAGAGAGTTGCCGGACTCGGTCTCAATCTTCTGGGGGTTCTTAACAGCCTTCCAGGGGAGTTGAGGGAAAGTCTTGCGGTTCATCTCATAGCCACGCTCTTGAGCGCGGAACATGTTCTTCTGCGAGTTTCCGGTATCCCAGACCCAGTATGCGAAGAGGTAGCTGGTGAAGAACCAGACGAGAACGGGCCAGGAGTGGGCGTAGACCTCGGGGTCGTGGTTGGCCAAGAAAATGGTGCAGTGGCAGTAAGAAAGGGGAACACCAGCCAGGTTCCAGAAGATGAGCATGAAGCCCCACTTCTCGTAGTACATGTCCCAAGTGATGGGAATCATCTCCTCACCTTTGCAGCAGGCGTTGGCGTACAGGAAGTGAGCCATGAGCAAGAAGGCCATCTCGCCGGTGACGTAACCGTACTGCTCGTATTGACGAGCGCAACCTCCAAGCGTAACAAGGAACAGGATGAACCAAGGAAGACGGACCTCGAAGAACATCTTGAAGTCGAGCCAGCCGAAAAGACGGGGGTTCAATTCAGCGCCCATGAAGAAATCGTAGATGTGGTAGCCAGTCATTCTGTGCTGAGCACCACGCATAAGAGCAGAGACGTAGGCGACAACCGAGACAATGAAGCCAGACAAGATGGCGACTGACATGATGGGGCCGAACTCATCGATCAGAGTGTAGAGCTTGAAGAGGCCGGTGACGTGGAGAGTCAAGGCGACAACAATGGTGAGGTAGAAGGATGAGACACCAGAACAATAGTAGAGAAGCTGCTTGTTGTCCATGTGAGGAAGAGGCTTGCCCTTGCTGTACACACCGGGCATGTACAGGTAGCAGATGCCCTCGAAGACGAAGAAGGTCCAGTAGATGGCCCATGCCTTTGCGTGAGGGAAAGCACCGTTGTAGGCCAGGCCGAAGAGCTGCTTGCCAAAGTCGGACCACGACTGGTTGGAGGACTCGCGCTTAGGGAAGCCGCCGTCGTAGTAAGTTGCGCCAATCCACATGTACCACATGAGAATAGGGAAGCCAATCATCATGGCAGTGACTCCGGCGCTGCCACCAAACTCGTAGTGAGGGTTTGCGTCCACCTTAGGGTCGGAACCCTCCAGCCAGCCATCGATGATGCGCTTCTCCTTCTTGGACGAGCCATTGGCATGTCCATTGGTCTTGACCTCGTTGGCAGGTGCGTCAACAAGGGGCGTTCTGGAGCCAGTGATCGAGGGCGACGGCGAGGCAGTGCGCCCGGTGTTTGCGTTCTTGCGCGTCGAACGCTTTCTCGATGGTGTTTCAACAAAGCCCTCGGGCAATTCTGGCTTTCTGTTGTGTTGTGTGAGTGGCCGCGATTTATTTGATATTGACAGACGCGTTTTGCACTCACCTGGGCGTTTTGCCCGTCTGGCTCCTCGTGACGGTCATGGTGAGTCAATGGCAGCAGCAACTGATGTCCTAGGAAGGATGCCGGTGGCCGGGAGAGGGAAGTTGCGGAGGACTCGATATTCAATCTCCGTTGTTGTTTTCCGCGACCCTCGGACCCACTTCTGACCAAACTTTGAGGCTTGAGGCTTGACACAGTTACATCATCGTCATCCATTTTCTTCCAAATGCATCAAATGCACAAAACGTCTTTAAATTTGTAATTCTTGATCATGTATTTCGTGTCTGTATAGTTGTATGTATATGGACCTTCGCTAGCCGTCCAAGGTATAATCTCAATGCAATGCAGTACCAGCCTTCATAAACGCCTGGAAATTCGAATCCATAAGCCAGTTCTTATCGTCAAGCGCCTCGTCTAGCGTTCGTGCTCATCAGAGTAATCTTCTTGCCCTTCTTCTTGCCTTTGGCGGCAGGTGCAGGTCTGCTAGCAGAAGATGAGGATCCCTCTCCTAGACTTGCTGCCTGTACCTGGGCAATGAGCTCATCATCTTGGCTCAGCTCCCTCTCCCATCCATCGAGCCAGCCGTCGTCCATGTTTCCATTTTGGAGGGCGGCGAGTTCAGGACTAGTCAGGGGAATGGCTGTGGTACCCCATACCGTCCGTGAGGTAGCTGGACTTGTACCAGGTGACGCAAGCGAGGCATAAGCAGATCCTTGTGGTCGATTGCTGTTGCTCCAGGGTGGCGACGACGAAGATCCGTGGCCGTCAAACGAACCTGCTGCATCAGAGCCCCCATTCGCGCTCAAGGGCACGAAGTCATCAGGTCGAAACCTGCTTTCGCTTGGTATGCTGACACGTCTTCGTCGAGCGGCTGCGAACTCTCGATCTTCAGCCTTCTCTGCACGAACACGTTCCTTCTCTTCTCTTGCTTCCTTGTCTGTGTTTCGTTTGCGTCGTCTGTCGATCTCGCCCTGGAACTGTTCGAGGATGGCTGGCGGAACAGTGTCGGTCCAGTCACATTGCAGGAAGCTGACCTCACAACCGTATGGAAGATGTCCAAGGTATTTGACCCTCTTGCGCAGGTCATCGTCGACGATGTGGCCAGTCGAAACACGCTCGACGCGGGGAAGTATCGAAGAAGGGAAGTTGTCATAGTTTCCAAAAGCAGCTTTCAGGATGCGAATGTCCAGGGAGGAAAGGTAATAGTGAAGTAAGCCTTGGTAGAAGAAGTAGGTATCCGGTTGGCGCTCTGCATGCTGTCGGGCACGGAACTCGGCTAGAGACGTCGAAAGGATACTGGTTGTGGTGTCGTCCTTCCTCGTGCTGGCTTCTTGCTCACTGGGCAACGACTCCGCTTGTCCGTTCTGCCCATTAGGCAAGCTCTGGCCTGACTTAATGGCCTGCTGAATTGCGTACATTTCCGGTACTCCTTCGTCGGTTTGGTTGAATTGGATGGCAGGCTTCTTGGGCTCGGGCTCTTCGGGCTTTTTCGGCGCTGCTGGAGGGTTTCCGATGCCCTTGATTCTCTCCTTCGCTTCGTTCAAAGCACGTACAGCTTTGCTAGTCCATTGAGTGTCGTCTCCAAACATGACTTCGTCCTCTTGTTCCATAGCCCTGACATTCTGAATCTCCTCGTCCAATTGGGCCAGCATGTAATCTTCACCGCCCTTCATGACACGAGCATAATCCATAACCTCAGCGGCAAAGTACCAGGGAATGTCGTCTCCTTTTCCAAGGGCGTCGGGGCTCTCTCTGGGCATAGCAAGGGTGCTTCCAGCGGGGCGCTGTATCAAACGCAATACTACGTCATCTCCCTCTCTCGGGGGTTCAAACTCAGCACCGGTATACCAACGAACTGGTCTTGTCTCGGAAACGTAGATAGAATCATAACAGATTGGGCACTTCTTCCAGCGTGCCTTCTTTTCAACTCCAGTAGCGGACCCGTCCTCCGAATGCATGTATCGGATCAAGCAGGGTAGGCAGAATATGTGGCCACATCTAGCCATCCTGGGAGCGGTAGGCGTCCCCAGACAGATTGGGCACGCTGAAGATTGGGACTCGGTCGAGACAAGAATTTGCAGTACGTTGTTCCAGTCGATATGGACATCAGCATCAACGCGTTGAGCCCGATAGTCGGCTCTAGGGTCAACAATGAAGCGGTAGTTGGCGTGAACGTATCTAGAGATGGTTAGAGAGGAGTGGCGATTGAGAGCAGGCTAGATAGAGCTTACCTTGCCTTGTCCACTGCGTGATATCCAGAACCTAGACCCCAAGTAGGGTTGCGTCGAGGACGGCCAGAGGCATATCTGGAATTGTGCTGGTGTGCCTGAGGACGTGGCGGGAGAGAGAAGTTCATGAGGTGGGTGATAGAGGTCTGGCCCTTGCGACTGCTAGTTGAATGCATGGCGGCCTGTAGCAATGTGAGCAACATGAAAGCTCAATGACAACGGAGCAGTAGCACTTACGGATTCAGCAAGAGCATCCTCATCCGCGAGTCTAAACTTCTTCGATTGCTTGTGCTTCGCTTTGGCACTTTGATTGCTGCGCGGGGTCGACGAGGGCTTCGAGTTAGCGGCGTTGGAGCTGCCTGAACCGCCACTTCTACGTTGACCGAGAACTTCTCCAAAATAGGCGTTGGTCTGCGAATAAGAGGGCGTTGATTGATTTGAAAGGCCGACAGATTTCGAGGGGTTCGATGCTTTGGCCGAGATAGTGGGTTGCGGGTTCGAAGACATGACGGATGCACGAGAAGCGGATAATGATGTCGTTAAACGCGTCGAGGACGATTGCCGCGGTCGAACAAGCAAGCAAAACTCGGGGAGAGCAAAATCTGCTAACACAGTGAATGTCGTCGTATAATTGAGCGGAGGTTGGTTTTGCGATCTGTCGACCCGCTAGGGTAGGTAGTCGACGGGATGGTCCAGAGAAAGGAAAAGGTGATAAAGAAGAGGGAGGCAATTGCTCATCGTTCCGAGACACCGAGATGGGCCCCCACGTCACGGGGTTTGATACAGAGCATGTCGACTATGCTATCCGACGCCCGTAGAGTGGCCCTCGATGCTCAAAGTATGCTGTAGGGATACACATAGGATCTTTGCATTCAGCCATTGATGATTAAAATCATAATTGATTCGACTCTCAGTGGACACTGACCTTGGTCTGAAGACACTCCTGCGTTTTCACAGCGATTCTGCGGATGATGCATGATCTCGGATATGCCCCTACACTGTTTAACAAAGCTTGCAACGTTCGTTATTCATCCCACCAGGGTCCAAAGATCCAAAGTGCCTTGTTTCGAGGGCGTTGCTGCAGATACTGAGCATCTGTTCACCAATACACTCCAAAATCATCCGTCAAGATGTTGATCGAGGAATCCTACAAAGATGTCGCTACCAAGAATGGTGGAAGCATGCGTATGTAGAACAGAGAAATCTCGATTTTTGCTCTTGCTAATATCTGTAAGGCATATTCACCTGGCACCCAACAGTTCCAAACTACCCCAAGGCCAGATTTCCTGGTGTAGTCGTATTCAGCGAGATTTACCAAGGTAGGTTGTATTCTTTCTCACTTTCAATGTGTCGAATCCTACAAGTATGCATTGTCTAGAAATTGGAATATGGATTGACGGCATTCTTCAGTGACTGGACCTGTTGCTCGCTTCGCTAAGCAGATCGCTGGTCAGGGATACATCGTTGCCGCCCCTAGCAGCTACCACGAGTTCACCGGACCCGAACCTCTGGCCTATGATGGTCCTGGTACCGACAAGGGAAACGACTGGAAGGTCGCCAAGAAGCTCGCAGCCTACGATGAAGATGCTGAGCTGAGTGTATCGTTGCTACTCGACCTTGAGACCTGCAATGGCAGAATTGGCGCTACTGGCATGTGTCTGGGTGGTCACCTGGCATACCGCTGTGCTCTGGACAAGCGTGTCAGCGCTGCTGTCTGCTACTTTGCTACTGACATCCACTCTCAAACTCTCGGTGCTGGCAAGAATGATGACTCTCTAGCTAGAGCCAAGGATATCAAGGGTGAACTGGTTATGGTCAGTTATCAACCTTACTCCAAAACATCAAAGTTCTAATCAGCTGCTAGATCTTCGGCAAGAAGGACAATCATGTACCCCCTGAGGGTCGTGATCTCATCCGCAAAACTCTGCACGAATCAGGCATTTGCTTCAGCTTCTTCGAGGCTGCTTGGGCTCAGCGTATGTTCAATGACCGAGTGAAGATAGTACGAATGCTAACTATCACAGATGCCTTCATTCGCGATGAGATGAGCAAGGGACGTTACGACCCTGGCCTTACCAAGATCTGCTTCGAGATCCTGCTGGAACTGTTCAACCGCACACTGAGATCTGATCTCGGTCCTAGAGTTGGCGGCGAGCAGGAAATTGAAGACGTATGTTAAGCTATTGACTGACATCTGGTGAAGAATCAGTGGTAGCATCCGTGTAAATGCCAAACAAGACGAGGGACAACATTCTCGCAGACACTATTAGATGTTGATAGCTCGGGCCCATACGTGATTGGATGTATGCGCATTGCTCTATTGCACCGTCAGATATGTCCAGGATAAAACAGCCGCAGCGACAAGTTGGTTATTGTTCACGGTTTTATTTGTGAGCATGAGCATGAAGTGAACATGTCGAGCGTCTGGAACGTTGCGTTGCTCGAAAGGCGCTAGTGGGAAGATTGCCGGTCTTGGCACACAAATGCCCACTGAATTCTCACGAACCAAGCGCATCCAACTTTCTCCTCACCTGACGAGACCTTTCAACGTAAGCGCGACGACTGCCCACGCTCATTTTCAATCACTAACCATTCGCAAAGCCGACCAACGTTAATTCAAAGTCGACAAGATGGCCAGAGGACCCGGGTAAGCACCCAGCACCACCGGACCATGTCGAATTTTCGCATTGGATCCGCGACACACGAGTTGCGCAAACTTCTTACACCTTCTGCAGAAAGCACCAGCACCGCCTGTCGGCACCTTCGCACTGGCTTCTCGACAAATTGTCGGGTGCCTACGCCCCCAAGGCCTCGCCCGGTCCCCACAAGCTCAGAGACTGCATGCCTCTGATCGTCTTCATCCGTAACCGCCTGAAGTACGCCCTCAACGGCCGCGAGACCAAGGCCATTGTTATGCAGCGCCTCATCAAGGTCGATGGCAAGGTCCGCACCGACGCCACCTACCCCGCCGGCTTCATGGACGTTATCTCGATCGAGAAGACTGGCGAGAACTTCCGCCTCGTCTACGACACCAAGGGCCGCTTCACCGTCCACCGCATCACCGCTGAGGAGTCCGAGTACAAGCTCGGCAAGGTCAAGCGCGTCCAGCTTGGCAAGGGCGGCATCCCATACTTGGTTACGCATGATGCACGCACGTAAGTCTGCATCTATCAGCCGTTGGATCAAGATTTGGCGATACGGAAAAAAAGTATACATGGACAAGAGCTGAATTATGGTGATTAGTATCCGCTACCCCGACCCCGCCATCAAGGTCAACGACACCGTCAAGATCGACCTTACCACTGGCAAGATCTCCGACTTCATCCGCTTCGACACTGGCGTTATTGCCATGGCCACCGGTGGTCGTAACATGGGTCGTGTTGGTGTCATCACTCACCGTGAGCGCCACGACGGTGGTTTCAACATCGTCCACATCAAGGATGCCATTGACAACGAGTTCGCTACCCGTGAGAGCAACGTCTTCGTCATTGGCCGCGAGAAGCCTTGGATCTCCCTCCCCAAGGGCAAGGGTGTCAAGGTTCGTAAATTCAGACCGAAGACATGCAAGACCATGACTGACTCTCAATTTAGCTCTCCATCGCCGAGGAGCGTGACCGCCGTCGCGCCCACGCCATCGCCGGCAACTAAACTGGCTGACCAGCTTCTAGGTTCATGGGGTTCGTTGGTTGATGTGTTGGAGGGTTTTATGCATCAGGCAGCAAAAAAAGGCGTCTGGGGAGCATGTTGTTCAGAAGATTTTACGCGATGTGCCATGCAGCACTTTCGTAGCTCTACGACAAAAGAAAGATATCCAAGCTCACAGCCTCGCGCCCAAAATGATTGACGACTTTTCTGCATTCAAATCTTGTGAAACGTGAGCTATGTATTGAAGAAAGTGTCAGCCTGTTTGTAGATGATCTGCCTCGTAAGCAGTGGCCCATGCTGGTCCAGGTAGAAGCAGTAAGATGCAGGATTGCTTCTGGAATGTCATTGTAGAAGGTGCAATTGTTCGGGAAAGCCAAAGTCAGAATGTGAGTGCCTGGCAGGAAATCTTGGGGGTGACGAGTGCGGCGTTGATCGGGCGTCGTCACGGCGGTCCTCGGCAAGCAGCGCGTCGATACGTTACTGAAGCTCGAACTGCTGGATATTGCTGCTTTATTCAACACTCTCCTTGATCCCCGCTTGCCCTCCCCTCATTTCCGCTGCAAGCAGGGTGACATCTTTCGTCTGTTCAGTTGTCTACCTCGAATTGCAGCCCAACACCACTCGAGCATACCGCGACTTCCACAGCCATCATGTCGCTCCATTCGACGCGCAATGTCGACATGGGCAAGTATGTATTACTTTGTCGCTAACTGCAACATGTATACTGAACAACTCTCAGGCAAGAGTCGGAGTTGGCCATCAACATCCGCAAGGCCACAAGTATTGGTATGTCCAGACCCAATGCTTACTCCTTGAATCCATACTAATCCGGCCATACAGAGGAGACCGCGCCCAAGCGTATGTTCACATCGACCCAACTCTCGGACTCGACTGAAGGTTACCTTAGGGAAACACGTTCGCGCATGCATTGTCTACACATACGACCACCGGAGCTCGCAGTCCTTCTGGGCCGGCATGAAGGTGTAAGCAGTAAACAACGCCCGGAAGAGTCGCAATCATACTGAGTCGTTGTTCCAGTCAACCTATCATGGCCGATGAGATCCAGACCTTCAAGGCACTCATCACTATTCACAAGGTCCTGCAAGAAGGCCACCCTGTCGTACTCAAGGAGGCTCAGGCCCACGTTGGCTGGCTCGAGAGTCTGTCGCGTGGCGTCGCTGGTGGTGACGGCATGAAGGGTATGGTACTCTCTCTACATACGGAGACCATTGCTGACCAGGCTCAGGATACGGCTCTTTGATCTCCGAATACGTCTACTACTTGATCGCGAAGCTCAACTTCCACAGAAACCACCCCGAGTTTAACGGTACATTCGAGTATGAAGAATACATTAGTTTGAAGTCTATCAACGACCCGAACGAGGGGTGAGAAACGGTCATCTGAAAGGGTGCACAACATACTGACTAGTATCCAGATACGAGACCATCTCCGACCTGATGAACCTCCAGGACCAGATTGAGACTTTCCAGAAGCTCGTTTTTGCTAACTTCAGAGGCGGGCTGAACAACGAGTGCAAGATCTCTTGTTTGGTGCCTCTGGTTCAAGAGAGCTACGGTATCTACAAATTCATCACCAGCATGCTGCGCGCCATGCACACCGCCCTCGGCGACGATGAGGTTCTTGCACCCCTTCGCGGACGTTACGACGCCCAACATTACCGCCTGGTCAAGTTTTACTACGAGTGCTCCAACTTGCGCTATTTGACTAGTCTCATAACTATCCCTAAGCTCCCTCAAGATCCTCCGAACCTCCTCGGCGATGACGAGGACAGACCAGCTCTCCCGGCTAGACCAAAGAATGAGCCTGTCACCAAACCCGCAGACACTCCTCCTCGCCAGCCCTCTGTCGACCCCGAACCGATCAACGAATTTTGGAAAAACGAGCAAGCGCGCCAACAAGAGGAGTATGAGGCTGAGCAAAGAAGACTGCAGGCACAATGGGATGAGGCGCAAAGACAACAGCAGCAGGCTTCTCTACAGGCACAGAGAGATTTCGAGGAACAACAAAGACTCCAGGCTGAGCAGCAAAGACTGGCTCAGGAGCAGTTGATGCGTGACCAGTACTCGCAACAGACTCAAGGCAGGATGGCAGAATTGGAACGTGAGAATCTCAATGCACGCGCGCAATACGAGCGCGACCAGCTCATGCTTGAGCAATACGACAGACGCATGAAGGCTCTTGAGGGAGAGTTGCAGCAGCTGCAAGTGAACTTTGGTCAGCAGAACGCCTCCAAGGACGAACAGATCCGCGCATTGCAGGAGCAAATCAACACCTGGAGGACCAAGTACGAAGCCTTGGCCAAGCTGTATTCCCAGCTGCGTCACGAGCATCTTGAGCTTCTCCAGAAGTTCAAGGGCGTACAGCTAAAGGCAGCCTCAGCACAGGAAGCCATCGACAGAAGAGAGAAGCTGGAAAGAGAACTCAAGACCAAAAACCTGGAGCTTGCAGACATGATTCGCGAAAGAGATCGTGCTATTCACGACAAGGATCGCTCATCTGGAGGCCATAAGGACGAGCTTGAGAAGCTTAGGCGTGAATTGCGCTTTGCTCTTGACAAGGCAGAGAACGCAGAGAGATCGAAGGGATCAGAGCTTTCATCTCTCCTTTCCAGGCATAACAGAGAAATCGCGGATCTTGAGGAGGCTTTGCGCAACAAGACAAGGGCTTTGGACGATGCCCAGAACAAGTACGGAGAGGCCGACTCTGACCTTGAGAGGCTTCTCCGCGAGAAGGAAGACGAACTTGAGATCTTCAAGGCTGGTATGGACCAGACACTCTTGGAGTTGAACGAGCTCCGTAACGGCCAGGGCGAGACGAACGAGGCTCTCGATGAACAAATCGACACTATGCTTCTCGACAGTGTTCGCAAGATCACTGACATCATTGACTCTGTCCTCCAGAGCGGAGTCCAGCGTGTTGATGATGCTCTGTACGAGCTGGACTCTACTATGCAAGCCGGAAACCAAAGTGCCTCGGGAGCTTACGTCCTGTCCACTATTGAAAAGGCTGCATCAAGTGCGATGGAGTTTTCGACTGCATTCAACAACTTCATCGCCGATGGCCCCAACAGCACTCATGCTGAAGTCATTCGCACCGTTCACACCTTCTCGAACTCTGTTGCAGACGTGCTCTCAAACACCAAGGGTCTGACCAGATTCGCTTCAGATGAGAAGAAGGCCGACCAGCTCATGAATGCCGCACGCCAATCTGCCCTTAGCACCGTCAGCTTCTTCCGTTCCATTCAAAGCTACCGTCTCGACGGTCTGGATGACCTGCAGAAGACCGATGTCGTCATCAACAAGAACAACGAGGTTCAGATCAACCTGAACAGCTTGTCCAAAATTGCTGATGCATTCGCCCCCAAGACTAAAATCACATCAGCATCTGGCGATCTCGGTGATCTCGTCGACCGTGAGATGGCTAACGCTGCTAAGGCCATTGAGGCGGCTACTGACCGCCTCACTGCACTTATGAACAAGTCCAGAGATGGCTACTCAACTTACGAGCTAAAGATTCACGATGCTATCCTCGGTGCTGCTATCGCAGTTACCAATGCTATCGCCAACTTGATCAAGGCTGCCACCGCATCACAGCAAGAAATTGTCAAGGAGGGTCGCGGCTCATCCTTGTCTAAGAGTAAGTCAAAATGAAGGCAGGAAACCACACACTACCTCGTACGCTAACCACATCCTCGCCTTAGGTGCCTTTTACAAGAAGAATAATCGTTGGACAGAGGGTCTCATCTCCGCTGCTAAGGCTGTTGCCAACAGCACTAACCTCCTGATCGAGACAGCTGATGGTGTCATTGGAGGTCGCAACTCGCCCGAACAGCTGATTGTTGCATCCAACGACGTCTCTGCATCCACCGCACAGCTCGTCGCTGCCAGCAGAGTGAAGGCAAGCTTCATGAGCAAGACTCAAGAAAGATTGGAGGATGCTAGCAAGGCCGTCACAGGCGCATGCCGCAGTCTCGTTAAGCAAGTCCAGGCTATCATTGATGCTCGTGCCAACGGCGAGGAGGTGGTTGACTACTCCAAGCTGTCAAAGCACGAGTTCAACAGATCGTACGTTTTTCCTAACATTCTCGTGTATGAGGAGTATGCTAACACGCACGAAACAGGCACATGGAAAAGCAAGTCGAGATCCTTCAACTCGAGAATGCACTGGGCAGAGCACGAAAAGATTTGGGCGAGATGCGCAAGCTCGCTTACCAGGAAGACGAGGATTAGGCGTTTTGCATACAGCCTTTCTTTACCGTCTTGTTTGTGATACCAAATTGCGTGCTCTATTGTCAATAATTACATATGTTTTCTTGTTCAACTTTCTCCCAACCCCTCCTTATTCGGCTCTCAGCCTTGGACTTGCTTTCTCGAATCAGCTGTCGAGATGCACGATGGTTTTGATACTCGGGTTTATGTCCATTGAGAGCTGCACTTATACACGCTCTCTTTGGACCATCATGCTGAGAACAAAACCATTGTGCCTTGCGACAGCCAGAATTTAGGCCTTACTAGGAGGAAGGAATACGGGCACGGTTTCCTCAGGGGCAAACTTGCATCTGCACCAGGCTCTCAGCCTTCTCGGAACTCCCCGATAAACTCACTAGAAAGAGGATATCTGATTTGTATTTATCCGCTCAGATATCTTGTGGCTAGATCTAGCACGCACATGTGTATTATATGCATCTTGCTTCAGAGGACGATTTTTACCAAGTAAATGCTTATGGGATCACCCTGTCATGATCTTTGATCACGCCAGCGATGATACACGTGGCATTAATGAACAAGCTTTGGGTATACTCGTGTTCGGAGAGAAGTTCTCTATTGAATGATCACTTCCTCGTGGTGTTGATATGCTGTGTTGCTGATATCAATGGTTTGCTTTGGATCTTTAACAAAGCTTCAGTCAGAAGAACTCGCGTCTCAAGTCACGGACCGTCGACACCACAAACGATAAACATCTTAGACACAGAAACCTACAAACCATATCACATTCAAGCTCTTACTCTTCCAGGACGTCTATCTAATCAGTTACCAAAAGTCACGATGATTCTGACTTCGAGATGATTGGCCAAAGAGAGGGCGAGGATGGATAATTTAATCAAATAGTACATCATATACAAATATTCAAGTCATCTTTATACATAAGTCTAATCTAAGGTCTTACTCCACAGTGCTCAAATCAATACCATAAGGCAAGTTCTCTGCAGGAGGCAATGGCGGAGCACCAACACCGTCATAAGTTAACGGTACGTTAGGGTTGTTGGGTGGCTGTACAAAGCCAACACCATTGTCAATCAACTCGGCAGGCTTAGTGGGACGCTTAGGGAACACATTAGGCACACCCTCCCAAACGCTAATGTTGGAGAATTTGACACCAGTATCCAGAGTCGAGTTTGCCAAGGTGTCAGGGAATTGAAGGTAGAAGCCCATGCGAGTGGAGTCCTTGTACCAGTAGTAAAGATGAGTAGAGATAGTGAGAACGTCGTTGACATAGACTTCAAAGAAACTGCCATCCATAAAGGCGCGAATGTTGAGAGACTGGATAGCATAGCTCTGCTTGCCCTCTGTGTTTGTGGAAGAAATGTTCCAAAGGCGCAGTTTACCCATTTCAGGATCGGTGTTGACGTTGTCGCGGCCGAGAGCTACCTCACGAGTGATCATAAAGGTCTCGTTGGAGGGGCGGTAGAGCATTGCGGCATCATCGACGGAGTAGTTTGAAGGTGCTGAGGCACTGGAGTGAAGGAGGGTGAAGCCAGCGGCAAAGTCTTCGTACTCTTCGTTGCGCAGAGAAGACTCGGGAATATCAACGGTGGCTTGAAGCTCCCAGTGGCGGCTGTGGGGGCTCTGCTGGAATGGAATGAAGGCGCGAGTCACGCCTTCCTCCTCGGTGAATTCAACACCACTGCAGTTAGACTTGATCGACTTCACATCAACATCAAAGTCAGACTCGGTCCAGCTCTGGTTGGCATGCTTTCTGAAGCCAAGAATCTCACGAGCAGGTTTGCAGCCTAGAGTTGCGAGTATGACGGTATCGTTGCCGTTAGCCTTGGCCAATGCGACTCCGTCCTTTGCCAAAGTAGTGTTCAGGTACTCGGTAGCGACAGACCAGTAGCCGTTCTCAGCAGCGAGATCATCAGCGACAACTCCGGGAATCTCCTTGTAGTAAACCTCACGCGGGATACTGTAGACTCCGCTGGAGCCGATTCTGTAGCCCACCTGTTCGGAGATGGTTGAGTTGAAGTCATCGTTGCTCCAGCAGAATGCCAGACGACGGTTGGTCTTGTAGTCAGGCATAGTTGTGCAGGCATATCCAATTCCCCAGTCAATGACACCTGTCGCATGGTCCTCGAGAATTACGCTCTCGTTGACAGAGCTGCGTACGAATCTGCCCATCTTCCAGAGAGAGTAGTGGAAGCTGTGTGTTTCTCTACCCGACTCGGCACCCATGGTTACAAAGTTGACCCCGTCTTCCAAGTTCTCGCCATTCTCATCAAGGAAAAGAGTGTTCGAGGTCTCGTAGTTCGAACCATCGTTGCCTGAAAAGTTGCCTGCGCTAAAGGTAGTGTTTACAGGAGCAGACACAGAAGGTCCAAGGAACTCCCAGCTGGTGAAGTCGGAGGTGTTCTGTCTGTAAAGAAGAAGACGAGGTCCAACCTGTCTGATGCCACTACTAACTGACAAGTACCAAGTCTCTGGTGTGTCATTCAGAAGCTTAGCAAATTGAGGTGCCTGGAACACCCAAGGGTCGCGGAAACCGGTCACGTTGAAACCCTCGGGTGGACCGGGAATGACTGGTTCAATGTCTGGCTTGATCCATGTGGCGCCATTGTCTTCGGAGTAGGCCAGAGTTTGCACTTCGCTGCCCTTGATGTATGGCTTGCTCCATGAGATCGGAAGGTAGTGCACACCAGTATAGATCAAAGTCGGCAATCCTTTGTAACCTTTGGGTATAACCGAACCGTCAAAGACAGCAAGAGGGTCATTCTCATTTCCAGGACCGATTGAGACACCATTGACGAAAAGAGACGAATTCGTATAGTTGTGAGCATCCACGTAACTCAGGAAGTCTGATGTCAGGGCAGAGCCGATGGAAGAAGTGATAGATATGTTCGGGCCACGCAGGTAGGAGTATAGACCAGAGACATGGAACACTCCTTGCTCATCCTGCCAGAAGGCCGTCGGATCTCCGATGTGGTTCGAGGATGGTCGAAATCTTGCCTTGGTTCTCCATTGAGCGAACAGCGAGTTGTTACCGTAGATGGTAAGATTTTGGGGAGGGAGATGAAAGTCGGGAACTGTGGTTCCGTTGGACGAGATGTTGGATGCAGCGACCAGAGCCGCTGGCAAGCAAGCCACAGTGAGGGCCAAAGTAGGATGCATCTTCGAAGCTTGAGAGTTGTTTCCAGAACATGACTGCTTTCACTACACTCTTTATATGTTTTAGAGCTCGGAAAGTAATGCGTAGAGTTACGTAGCACGCAAAACCCATTGCTCGGCATTTGATGGATAGTTACCCAATGTGTCGTGAGATCAGGCTGTCGATGGGACCATTCTCGGTCCGAGATCTTCGATCGACATAACTGCTTTCCTTGGTGTATGATCAGCATTAGCATGGGAAGTATATCGCACGACATGACAGGTAATCATCATTATTGCTGTAAAAGTGTTTCCAAATTGTCAATGTTGCTGCAAAGTGCTTTCGGTGTGGCGTGTGTTCGATCATCTAGCTGCATTGAAGCGCATAATAGTGCGGGCATTGCGGCGAGATTCACTACGAACATTATTGCGAGAATTGCCGCGAGACGACCATCGCCTTACCTTCTTATTGACTTATGATCTGCTAGAGTCTGTCGTGCGTGTAGCTGTAGAAATACACAATGCTTTCCGGGCTTGAGTCGCGTCCATTGAGAGCGGGTCACGCAGTCCACCCATGGCTTCCGAACAAACGAGCAAGCTCTATCTCCCTGGACGAATGCACCAACCTCGAACGGATTGTGCGTCTCTACAGCTTAGTCACTCGAGATGTGGGCCGCGAGAGAAGGGCATTGATGACGGAGTGTTGCGCCTGGGCAGGATCCAGTAGCAGCATGTCTGTCGTTCCGACACGGTCCGAGATATGTCTGGAGGGAAATCGTGGAGACCGTGTGGGTAAGCTGTGGAGTGGATGCTGGGTAGTGGGCAACGACCATCGCAGTGGCTTTGGCTGTGGTTCTTGCGGGATATTATCAAGAGAGTCGTTCCGAAGCACGACCATTCAGAACAGGTACCAAAGTAGGAACGAGTCCATTGTTGCTTCTAATGAATGAGTATTGAGAGTGAGTAAGGCGCGAAAGGTTTATGATAAGGTGAGAACACATCGGCTCACCTTGATCTTATCAAGCGGCCATACATGGACCTACCTACAAGTAAGCCCAGCGAACCATCGTTCACACTACCAAGGCTGAAAGAGCCCAAATATTTTGACCAAGGCTTTGATGACCATACCACTGTTGCAGATGCTGAACAAAGACCAGGAAAGCCGGCTGTCCGAGTTGTGGATTTGAGTCAGCGGAAGATCGCGAGTGGAAGGGCCGATTCCGCGCTGGCTGACCGCACCCGGCAGGCAAGCTGAGCGAACAAGACTTCTCCGTTAAGAAGAGCTTTTCAGCGAGCATTCAGCGCAGTAAACACATAAGTCATACAGAGTTGACAACCGAGGGTCAAGAGAGCGGAAACATGGCAAGAAAACAAAAGATATCAAAATGACGATGGTCGATAGCAGTGATAAGAAGTCGGGTAGGAGCCAATGAGAGGTCTTGGGGCCGTTTTTCGCATTATGATTCACGCGCCGCCGACAATCGGCGGGCGAGCTTGGGCTTTCTTTTCACCCAACCTTCCTGCCGCTCAAGTGTTTCTCCTTCTCTATCTACAGCTCTTTCAACCCCCATCAATCCACCCGGACTGCCTGTTAGCGGGCTGATATTCGCCCTTATGCGTACTGCGCCCACCACCTACACCTCTCAAGGTACGACCAGACCGACATCTTCCTTTATCCAAACCACGCCCCAGCAGTGACTAACAAGCTGCCAGACTACATTAGCGACCATCTCTGGAAGGCCAACGTGAATTAAGAATTCGCCATTTACACAACCGAACTACCAACTACTACACATATCAATTCAAGCAAACAACCACACACACAACCACAATGATCCCCACCATCTTCAAGTCAGCGGGTATGAGACCCACCTCGGCCTTTGCTAGAGTCGCCAGGCTCGGCATGCAGGTCAGAGGAAACGCTTCGGTTGTCTCTGGCAGCCAGCGTGCTGCTCCTCTTCAGAACAGAAGATCCACCCCGCCTTCATTCGAACGTGCCACCTTCACTATCAGAGTACGCCAATTCTGAAAAATTGAGTCATCACGAGGCAATGGCTGACAACAAGTGACAGGATGGTCCTATCTTCCACGGAAAGAGTTTCGGTGCCAAGACTAACATCAGTGGTGAGGCCGTCTTCACCACTTCTCTGGTCGGCTACCCCGAGTCTATGACCGACCCCTCATACCGTGGTCAAATCTTGGTCTTCACCCAGCCCTTGATCGGAAACTACGGTGTTCCCTCGTCCGTTAGAGACGAATACAACCTGTTGAAGTACTTCGAGTCGCCCAACATCCAAGCCGCTGGTATTGTTGTCGCCGATGCTGCTCTTCAGTACAGCCACTGGACCGCTGTTGAGAGTTTGAGCGAGTGGTGCGCCAGAGAAGGTGTTCCCGCCATCTCTGGTGTTGATACCCGTGCCATCGTTACTTATCTGCGTGAGCAAGGTTCTTCCCTCGGCAAGCTTGTCGTTGGTGAGGAGTACGATGCCGATGAGGATGAAGCTTTCGAGGACCCTGGTAACGTTAACCTTGTTGCCAAGGTCAGCACCAAGGCTCCCTGGCACATTCCCTCGCCCGTTGGAGACATGCATGTCGCTCTGATTGACTGCGGTGTCAAGGAGAACATTCTGCGCAGTCTTGTTGCTCGTGGTGTCTCAGTCACTTGCTTGCCTTATGATTACCCCGTCCACAAGATCGCTAGCCACTTCGACGGTGTATTCATCTCCAACGGTCCTGGTGACCCAACCCACTGCCGCACTACCAGCGACAACCTCCGCAAGCTTATGGAGACCTCTCAGATCCCCATCATGGGTATCTGTCTTGGCCACCAGCTTCTCGCCATGGCCATTGGTGCCGAGACCATCAAGATGAAGTACGGTAACCGTGCCCACAACATTCCTGCTCTCGACTTGATGACTGGAAAGTGCCACATTACCTCTCAAAACCACGGTTACGCAGTTGATGCTACCACTATCCCTGCAGAGTTCAAGGAGTACTTCATCAACCTCAACGACTCTTCCAACGAGGGTATGATTCACAAGCATCGTCCCATCTTCAGCACCCAGTTCCACCCCGAGGCCAAGGGTGGTCCGCTTGACTCTAGCTACTTGTTCGATGCCTACGTCAACAGTGTCTCCCAGTACAAGAAGACGCAGTCTTCTCTCCACCCCAACATGGCCAACCGCCCCAGCCCTCTGCTCGTTGACTTGCTCGCCAAGGAGCGTGTCGGCGTTGCTCCCGGCGTGCCCCTCTACCAGCACCCCGAGCCCGTCGTTGCTTGATTTGGCAGTCTTTTATTCGTGTCTGGTTGCGGGACGGCGTTAGGTCTGGGATAGGGGTATCTCTAGTCATATAGGAAGTATTCATTCAAACGAACGTATTCATGCTTAAGCGAAATATCAAACTTCCAAGTGCACATGTGAGACAGGAATCAAGATGTGGACCGTGATGATACGTAGATCACCTACAATTGACCTGGTTACGATTACGTCGCGGAAAGCCTGATACAGGGCTTAGATATGGCTTGGACGGTGAAGCATTGCAAGCTCTTCGTGAAACGACTTGGCAGGGGAGAAAGCACCCCTTCTTGACGCGCGCAACGGTCGGAAACCACGTCAGCGCGGTTGGTGCTTCGTGCTTTCTCCGTGCACAGCCCGCTCCTTCTGTAGAACCAATTCGTACTCGTACTTTGGGGGTCGAGAGAGGAGTGTTTCTTACTCAGACAAAGAATTGCGCTTGAGTGACAAAGAAGGCTGGAGGCTTTTCTCGTTGTACAAGCATTCAGCATTCTTCCTCCACATCTGACGCAAGCGCATGCCGCGCCAACACCTTGATCTTCAAACTCGCAATTGCGCATAAATTCATACCCAACCCAGGACTGCGTTATGGTGTCTTGTAACACAACACTTGAAGAGCAGACAAGTATGTTCGCTGATTCCACTCGACTCTGGGACACCGTCACTCACACACAATACTACAGTCATCGAAGACCCTCTGTTCTCAAAGGTCACCTTCCACCATGTCGGTCTCGTCGTGTCAGCAGTCTTCGCCCTCATATCGGTCGTCGTAGCCTTCTTTCTGGTTTACAAACATGCGACGCATTATTCGAAGCCATGGGAGCAGAAACAGTACATACCCCCTCTTTGCGACAACCCCACTACTAGCAGCCGCGCTGACCCTCATCTCAAGTATAATTCGCATCCTCCTCATGATTCCCATCTACTCGACGGTATCCTTCCTCTCGTACCTATACTACAAGCACTCGATATACTTCGAGGTCTTGCGCGACTGTTATGAAGCCTTCGCCATCGCCTCGTTCTTTACCCTCCTGTGCCATTACATTGCACCAAATCTACACGAGCAAAAAGACTACTTCCGCCAAGTCACGCCCATCAACTGGTTTTGGAGCGTTTTCGGTCTGCAGAAATGTACAGGTGGAAGAGACAAGGGAATACTTCGCATTCCGAGAAGTGGCTTGACTTGGTTCAATGTACGACTCCTACACCTTGTGTCGATGTCCGACAATCCTTTGGGGTCACCACGCTGATAATTGCAGGTCGTTTGGTTCTCCGTTTTCCAATATGCTCTGGTCCGCGTGCTCTTTACTATCGTCAGCGTGGTCACCGAGGCTATGGATCGCTATTGTGAAAACTCGCTCAATCCACAATTCGCACATATTTGGGTAATGGTGTTTGAGTCTGCCTCGGTCACTGTCGCCATGTTCATGCTTGTTCAATTCTACCTACAACTGAAGGACGATCTTGCTGAACATAGGCCTTTCCTGAAGGTCTTGTGCATCAAATTGGTCATCTTCTTCAGTTTCTGGCAATCGGTGAGCATAGAAAATGTCGGATCCCGATTTAGAATATCTACTGACAATCACAGCTTGTTATTTCATTCCTCTCGTCTTCTAGTGGACCTTTGCAACCGACAAAGAAGATTTCTTATCCGGATATTCAAGTCGGTATCCCTTCGATGCTTTTGTGTGTCGAGATGGCTATTTTCGCTGTGATGCATCTCTTTGCTTTCCCATGGCGCGAGTATGATCTTTCGAAGATGCCCTACACAGATCCCGTTACAGCCCCTGGTTCAGGATTCTCAGGCACCGCACCAAAATATCATGGTGGATGGATGGGCATCAAGGCCTATGGAGACACATTCAACCCTTGGGATCTCATCAAGGCGACTGCACGAGGCTTCAGATGGCTGTTCGTACGTCGCAAGCACAGACACCATGACATCTCATACACTACACCCAAGATTGGTGTCACGGTCGACGAGCCGGCAACCTCGATCCCGGGGCCAAATGTCACGACCCACACTCTGCCTTCAGCTACAGAGCTAGAACACCAAAGACGTGCCAGAGCGGATACAGTCGACGACGCCGATACGGCGGGTCTGTTGTCTAATGCGCAGCACAGCGGACTATCAGCCCGCCCTTACCCATACTCTCCCTCGCATTCACCGATAAGAAATGGCTCGTTTGACGATCGATCGGATCATGGAGAGGCCGAAGGACCCGGTGCTGATATGTCTCTGATGGGAGGTGCGAGGACACATGTGCCTCAACCGAGTGCGTTCGGAGGCAGTGATGCTCCGAGACTAGGCCTGAACCAATGGGATAACGATACCGAATATCATAGTACGACAGGCCCTGCACACATGGGTCCATATGCTGGAGTTGATGGTCATGCCGAGTCATCCGCGAATCAATGGGATCATTGGGCCGGCGCGAGTAGACCTCATTAACGGAGTCACGAGATGCTAGTGCTGTGTGTTTCTCAGTTCACGACTAGACGGCAGTAATGATCCATTGGCTTGGATTGTACTTTTGGACAGGGACTTTTTCTTGCGGTTTTTGTTTAAAATGATACCACATGCGACACGGCGTTCTTGGGAAAATGGATACTTCGAGTTCGTAGTATAGTTTTGAGATTCTATCAGCATTTAACACCGTTCATGATTTTCGACTTTCTTATCCTGAACATCTTCAATTTCATCACGCGAATCTAGCCACAGATACAAATTGGAGCTGAAAAGACTGACCCTGCCCCGCGGCCGCTGAGGGGCAGAATTGGCCTTGGCATCCAATCCTCCGAGTGTCGGAGGAGAAAGTTTCTCCAGCGATGAGCAATAACAGGTCCATCTTTGCTGTATATCGATATTGATTTTTGTGAGATCTAACCGGTATGTGCATTTCTTTTCTTTTGTAATGTATTCTGAAATACTGCGTCGCCAGTATCTTTCGTACATCATGAAGCCTCACTTTCAAAAATCAAGAGTCGTTTGACCACACATTTATTCACACATGCTGCGAGTAATCTGCATAGCATTGCTGTCACTACCACAAGTTTTCTTCAATACACGTCTGAAACTCTGCCTTTCGAACTCTATCGGCTTTTCTCTCTTTCCATTACTCTCCTTGAAATTTCTCGTTACCACAATGAAACATTAGTTCGAACATACAGAACTAGTACTAATAAGACGACCAGATTCAACAACATGTCGACTCCTCCAACCGTCACACAGATTGACTCGCAGGGTACCTATACCCACAAATTTCACATTTAAATCATTATCTGATCTTTCATACAGTCGAGCAGCATGACCTGAAGAAGATTGCCAGCGGCAAGGTTCGCGAGATCTACGAAGTTGATGCTAAGACACTCCTCTTTGTCGCCACAGACCGCATCTCGGCCTACGATGTGATCATGAAGAACGGTGTTCCTCAGAAGGGCGCCCTTCTCACTCTCATGACGGCTCACTGGTTCAACCTGTTCAAGGAGAAGATCCCCGACCTCAAGACTCACTTGCTCAGTGCTTCCGTGCCTGATTCAGTGGCTTCATCGCTCCCTGCGGATGTTAGCGCTCAATTGCGTCTGCGTACCATGCATGTTCGTCGCTTGAAGGTTCTGCCTCTGGAGAGCATCGTTCGTGGTTATATTACTGGTTCCGCTTGGTCGGAGTACAAGAAGACTGGTACTGTTCACGGTATTGCCATGCCCAAGGGTCTTCAGGAGAGTCAGAAGCTTGAGAAGCCTCTCTGGACTCCCAGCACCAAGGCCGAGGTCGGTGACAAGGATGAAAACATCAGCCCTGAGGAAGCCACCAAGATCGTTGGCGAGAAGTACGCAAAGAAGATTGAGGAGCTGAGTTTGAAGGTCTACCAGATCGTGAGTACTTTTGATGGGGTTTGAGAGAGTATGATGCTGATTATCGCAAAGGCTAGAGACTATGCTGCCGAGCGTGGTATTATCATCGCCGACACAAAGTTCGAGTTCGGTCTCGATGTCGACACTGACGAGGTTATCCTTGTGGATGAGGTTCTCACCCCTGACAGCTCTCGCTTCTGGCCTGCAGACAAGTATGAGCTTGGCAAGTCACAAGACAGCTTCGACAAGGTATGTTTGGAAACGAGTGTTACATTGGGCTATCAGATCACTAACAGCATGGATAGCAATACCTGCGTGATTGGCTGACCAAGGAAGGTCTCAAGGGCAAGGATGGAGTCGAGATGACCGAGGCAGTGGTCAAGGAGACAGCAAAGAAGTACCGTGAGGCTTTCGAGATGTTGACTGGCCAGAAGTGGGATGATGTGGTCAAGAGCAGTGCCTAGATGGGCCCTTTGAGCGATCTTCCATGCACATATTCACTTTGATACAAATACAATGAAACTTGACATTTTCTCTGCACAAAATCTAGACTTTCTTGAAGATGGAAAATACGAAACATTTGCGTAGCGTAGAACGGGGAGTGGTATTCGTAAAAAGAGCCCTCAATTCAACATGGCTCAGAGGCATGTACTTTTCTTTGTAATAACGCCTCATGCAGTCAGATCACGACCATTGGTATGCCATTGCTCCTTGCCGGGATGATTGTATGGAAGTGTTCAGAAGACTCGATGCCATTTTTTGGTAAATTCCATAAAAAAACTCCCCACCCACAGCTAGCAAAAAAAGAGGCCCCGGGTTGCTCATCATCATGGTCCACGCTTAGATGGCAGTGTCGTAGGCGATAGGAGCCAGAGTCTCGGGCTTGGCCTCCTTGATGGAGATGGTGCGGGCTTCTCTGGGCATGGCAGGCTGGCGCTTGAGGAAAGCGTGGGAGCCGTCGGTCTTGGCCTGGCGCTTCTTCTCGGCGTTGGTCTTGACACGGGTCAAGAACTCCTCACGGGAGCGGGAGTGACGGACGTGCTCGATGCGGACGTTGATGCGCTTCTCGATGTAACGGTTGCCGACCTGGCGGTAGAGGATGACACCGACGGCGGACTTGGTCACGTTGTAGACGACACCAGTCTTTCCGTGGTAGACCTTGTAGGGCATACTGTTGGGTTGTTAGAGGCGTGGTTCTTGCGACGAGCGTGACGAGGGCGGGCGACTGACCCCTTCTGGACGGCACCGTTGGCGACGACATCGACGATATCTCCGACCTTGTACTGCTTGAGGTAGGTCGAGAGGGCGATGTAACCCTTGAGAGGTGTTAGTTGGCGTGCTCGTAGAATCCAGGAGAATCGATCGGTGTGCTTGCCTTCTTCTTGAAGTCGCGCGAGAAGGCGTATCTGGTACCAGCTCTGTTTTTCACCGCATCAGCGTCCAAGTCGATTGGATTGGCGATTGCGTCTCATTCGAGCGCATGACGGGGCGAGTTGTGTACCTGAGACCTGCGGCGTGACCCATTTTGACTGTTGGTTATCGGAGACTGGGGAGTTGTCGGGATATAGTTGTCGTCGCTCGCGGGAGGTCAAAGTTGGACGCAGCAAATTCAGAAATCCGAAGGTGCGACCGACGGCTTGGCGCGTCGAAGAAGCGAAGCACGGGCCACCCACACTCGGCGACTGCTGTTTTTCACCAACTTCAGTCTGATCTTGACTTCCTCTTTGCTTGCGACGAAGACGACACCCGACGACAACCATGGCCCCCCGTTCTTACTCCAAGACCTACAAGGTCCCCCGTAGACCTTTCGAGTCCGCTCGTCTGTTAGTATCATCCAATGGCCACTGAGCTAGAGCTTGCTCTGTTCACGTCAATGGAATACGTGGTTAACACCCTGGAATAGGGACTCTGAGTTGAAGAGTGTCGGCGAGTACGGTCTCCGTAACAAGCGTGAGATCTGGCGCGTCCAGCTCACCCTCTCCAAGATCCGTCGTGCTGCCCGGTATGTGGAGTCCCTTCTGTTCTGTTTTGCTGATTCTGCATGCGACAAGAGAAATCTTCACTCGTCTTGATCAAATCCTTTGCGCAACTCCATCGCACAACAGCCACTAACGCCCCGATGCAGTCAGCTCCTCACCATGGACGAGAAGGACCCCAAGCGTCTCTTCGAAGGAAACGCCCTCATTCGCCGTCTGGTCCGTGTCGGTGTCCTTGACGAGTCCCGCATGAAGCTCGATTACGTCTTGGCCCTGAAGGTCGAGGACTTCTTGGAGCGCCGTCTCCAGACCTGTGTCTACAAGCTCGGTCTCGCCAAGTCCATCCACCACGCTCGTGTCCTCATCCGCCAGCGTCACATCCGGTACGCGCGACTTCCTGCCTGGCTCCTCGATCGAACAACCATACTAACACATCTCTCAGCGTCGGCAAGCAGATCGTCAACGTTCCCTCGTTCGTCGTCCGCCTTGACGCCCAGAAGCACATCGACTTCGCCCTTACCTCGCCCTTCGGTGGCGGTCGTCCCGGCCGTGTTCGCAGAAAGAAGGCCAAGGCCGCCGAGTCCAAGGAGGCTGGTGGTGACGAGGAGGAGGAGGAGGAGTAAATTACTCGCTCCAACTCGGCGTTATGAAAGGCACATTGGTACGGGTCACGGGTATTCGGGAATCATGCCAGGCCATGATAGCGCCCTTCAAAAGCTCAATTCCAATTTGACGAGTCTCTTCTGCAAAAATACCCCATTCAAATGCGCATTAGTATTACGACCTTTACATTGCTCTTGTGATATTGTCTGTCTTTGTGAACCCCTGCACCTCTATCGAGCAACTTTTTCTTTCTTACGTGCATTCACATAGCTCTGTAAAAGGCATGGTCTATCGACACTTGGACTTGCATGGCTTGCAGAACCCCTCTGAATCACATCATGCCTGGACTAAACTTTTCCGTGTTCATTCTGTGCTGCTCGGCAAGCGAGAGCGACAAATTCAAATCCTTCTGACGTTCACGTTCAACTTCTCGACCTTACTCAAACTTTAACCATTGTATCCAGTATTCTATTCAAAGAACCCATGCACTGGTAGATTTTACGCGGTCTCCACAGACATGCTCCTCATACTATAGCCTATCACAAGTCGTGAAAATGGTCTTTAATCTATTCAAAGATCAGCCACGATATGCATCTACAACACTTTACATTTCCTTCAAGAACAACATATCGATCAACACGATCAACTCCAACAACAGACATACAATCATTGCAGCATTTCTCGAGAAACACACATATCACCGTGTAGGTAGTCCGCGAGGTCGGGTATTCCAGACGACTAAGGAGGAGCAAAAGAATTCCGCAGAATCCTTCCGAACAAGGAAGGCTGTGCTGCTAAATCCAGCAAGACTTTCATTTATCATGCATACAACCACATTGCGCCTCTGATGTAGGGGATGCCGCATCATTTATATCACCATGAACCTCTGCATCTCTTCTGTTTCTGTCTTTTTCTGCTGTTTCTCGCATCTTCGTCTGAGAAGTATGTAGTTTTTGGACGACTATGGCTAAACGAATGTTTTCGACGTCCGAGAAATCGGATACTGGATTAGTGTCAGAAGAATCGTCTATTCGAGATTTGGATGTCGCGAAACAAGTTGGTAGTTGGCGGTTTACTGTAAGAGCAGGAGCTGGCATTGCGAGTGTCGTGTTCTGCATCAACTTGGGTGTTTTGATATGGGCATCGACTATGCATGTCAAAGATGGTTCTGCTACTGTGTTTGAAGGTGAGTTTTGCAAAGTACCTGCAGTTGATAGAGACTGACAAAGAGAAGGCTCTTGTACAGAGATGAAGAGGATAACCTTCTGGGCTGATTTGGCCATCAATATTTTGTCGACACTTTTGCTGGGTGCGAGTAACAATTGCACTCAGTTACTCGCGGCACCTACGAGGAAGGATATTGATGATGCTCATGCTGCTGGCCGATGGCTTGACGTGGGTGTGTCTTCGATGCGCAACATCCTTGCTGTTAGTGGCTGGCGTAAATGGACTTGTGCATGCCTCGTCCTGAGCTCGATACCTTTACATTTGCTGTGAGTTGCCAGTTCCTTGGGTTTTGCGGTGCGGAATCACCATTCTGATGTTGAAAAGCTACAACTCAGTCATCTTCTCAACATTATCTGCAAGCAACTACATGGCCGCAATCGTCACAGATGACTTCTTCACAGGAGCGGCCTGGAACGAGACAAGACTCCAACGTGTATTCGAGGATTCCGAAAGAGCAGACCGACTGCTCACGGATCTACGCGATACCGTCGACAATCTGACAAGGCTGGAGAATGAAGATTGCATCCGGCAATATGGCTTGAACTCTCTCCAGTCCAGCTGGAAAAACGTCTTGCTAGTATCGATCGCCAATGTCACAGGACCACTGATCAGACCATACTTCCACCATGCCGAAGAAAAGTGGGACGATCTGGGCTGGATCTGTGGTAACCAGTCAACAGGAGTCGGTTATCAGGATAATGGACACAACTGCAATACCGCGGCGCTGCTCTCGCATTCCACCGACTGGGTCATCAAGGACTATCTGATCGAGCAACAGAAGATTACGTTCAAGGATGGGTCAGTCGGATATATGGGATCGGATGCTGGAGGCCCCCCTTATGAGGCATCCATCAAGTACTGCCTGGCCGAGCCCACAGAACAACACTGCACGGTTCAGATCAGCACACCTCTTCTTGGTATCGTTCTGCTTTGTAATCTCGTCAAGGTATTGTGTCTGGCATGGATCCTCTTTGTCCGAGGCTTCTATCCTTTGGCAACAGTCGGCGATTTGATCAGTTCGTGTTTGAGCGATCCTGATAGCCATACTCACGGTAAGGGTCCCCTTGCCGCGAAGGATATTCCTAGGCACGACAGCGCATCTTATGGCAAGTGGTTACCTAAGCTGGTCGAAGGATACCGACAGATCCATGTCGAGCACTCGATGTCCTTGTTGAGTCGAAGTCACAATCAGGCTATGGCCGCCGAGGAGTCTCCTGCTACAACCGAAGCATTCGAGAAATCGAATGTGGCGCCTATAAAGTGGAAGAAGCGAGTTTACCGATGGTATCAGGCTTCATCAACACTGAGCTGGGCCGTTTGTATGACATTATCAGTACTCACTTGGCTCACTGGCTTGTGCCTTCTCGTCAGCAGTGTCAAAAGATACAAGCGCCTGTATGATCAGACCTACACACTCTCTAGCATGTGGAGCTCTGGGGTTGGCAACATCTCTACCAACAACTTGATCGATTCAACTGGCAACGGCAGATCCCTCCTCGCCAATGTGCTTCTGGCCAACACGCCTCAGATAATCATCTCGTTCATCTATCTCTTTTACAACAACTGTCTGACCAGAATGTTGCTTGGACAAGAATACACCGACTACGCAAGACATCGTAAGCCTTTGCGAGTGAGCAGGCCGAAAGGAGAACAACGGAGTACGTATAGACTGCAGCTCCCATATCGCTACAGTGTGCCACTCATGACGGCAATGGCCGTGTTGCATTGGCTGGTCGCTCGCAGCATCTTCCTCGTGGAAGTCAACCCATATGATTATGACGGGGTAGTCCTGATCGACAAGATTTCTGCTTGCGGCTACTCGACCATGGCCATTGTGCTGTCGCTTATGGTCAGTGGTGTCATCATCCTAGCGCTGCTAGCTGTCGGCGCCAGAAGGTTGGAGCCTGATATGCCATTGGCTTCCAGTTGCAGTTTGGCCATCGCTGCAGCGTGTCATACGCTTGGGAGAGAGGAAGATGCTGAGTTGTTGCCGCTCAAATATGGCGTAGTGACTGGAGAAGATTCGAACTGCGAAGATGGATGGGAGCATGCATGTTTCAGCAGCAAAGAGGTTACGCCATTGGTCGATGGACAATTGTATGTTTAGGATACGTACTAAACGTCAGCTTGTGTCGATGTGTCAGTTTTACATACTCATCGGTCATCATGAATCTCAATCATCAGACGCAGGTCACGGCTGCTGAATCGGCCATCCGCATCTCCACTGCACCCCGATTCGACAGCGTAAAAGGAAACAGACTTGCACATCAGCACGAAGGCCTCAGCAGGGATACTTGAACGGTACATTCGAGTCTCCCCATATGTGTCTCGTGGGTGTCGCTGATAAATAGTACCGTGACACGATGGAGATGTCGTTGATGAGAGAGCTCAAACGCAGGAGAGAAGTCGGACTGCTAGTGTTGTGGCGTGTGCTTTATTGTAAGCCGATATGGTCTCAAGGAAGAAGCGATGCGCCCATGTCTCCTTCCTTCGTGACGGGCTTTTCCGCCTTCGCCTTCCTACCAGAACGAAAACTTCGACAAAGACTTGATGTACAACCATTGCAAGACACGGTGAACGGAGAATGATTTGTGAGAAACTTGGTATTTTCTTAGGTCTGCTGAACCTAATACATTAAAGAGGCCGCTATTGCCTGCATGCTGAAAAGGGGGTCGTTAAACTATAGTACAGTTGAAGGTATCTTTCGTGAGAGAATCGTTTACTTGGCATCCTTCTTGGCCTTCTCGACGATATCTTGGGCCTTGTTGGACTGCTTTTCCAAGACCTTTTGGAGCTCCTCCATGGTCTCCTTCAAGAGCTTCTCGCCCTCGGTCTTGTGCTTCTCAGCAACCTCCTTGAGCTGCTGGAGCTTGGGAAGGATCTCGCCACCACTGGGGATCATCTTGAGGTACTGGTCCATACCGCCGAAGCCCCACTGGCTGCTGAGCTGGGAGCCCTTTGACTTGGCCTTATCGACTGCTGAGTTGACGTAGCCCTCGAGGTCACCGGTGCTGCCCGACTCAACGCTGCTCTTGACCTTCTCGAACAGCTCCTTGGCGTTGCCTTGCTTGAGAGCATCGGCGTTGTTCTCGATCAACTCCTTGACCTTAGGGTTCTTGTCGAGGTAAGGCTTAGCTTGCTCAAGACCCTTCTGCCAGGCCTGGTCACCAAGCTTCTTGACTTGCTCAACCTTCTCCTCGACGATCTTGCGAGCCTTGCTGATGTTGGAAGCGCTGAGGCCACCAGCCATGACATCCTTGACCTGATCCCAGGTTCTGTCAACCTCCTGCTTGACCTCAGGACCGTACTGGTCACCCATGGACTTGAGCTGCTCAATTCTGGGGCCAACCTGCTCCTTCAGTTGGGGGTGGTTGTCCAAGAGATCTTGGGCAGCATCAGCGGCCAAGGCACCAATCTTCTGGGAAAGGTTACCGAGGGCAACCATGGCCTTGTTCAAGCTGTCGCGGCTGAGGCCAGTCTTGGATACTTCTTGGAACTCGCTGTAGGTCTCTCTGATGATCTTGTCGACGTCATCCTTGTGGTTCTGGCGGAGAGTGTCGAGATCCTTGAAGGCAGTGTCGATGTACTTGCGACCACCGGGGATCCAAGCGACGTAGGAGTAGGCGAACTCCTTGACGTAGTTGATGGCTTCATCGGCGTCGGGTGTGTTTGCTTGGATCTTCTGGCTGACATCGTTGTAGTAAAGAGCAGCATCCTTGGCGGCGCTGTTGACCTTTCTGGACATGCGACCAGCAGGGCTCAAAGCGTAGATGGTGTAACCGACAACGGCGACGGCAGTACCACTGGCAAGACCGGTAACGACATGAGAGTTACCACCAGTCGATGAACCAGTTGATGAGGACTGGAAACGAGCTTGGGTGTTGCGGGGAACTCTCGCTGAGCGAAGAGTTCTGGGGATGGAAGAGCGGGCAATTGGTCTTGCGGCGTACATGATGAAGGTTTGGATTGATTTTGTGATGGAAAAGAGGCTTGTCAGGAACGAGAGGGGTCTTCAAATTTTATAGCTCTCGATCAAGTCAAGGGTCAGGTTGTGACCAAAGGGGACTGGAGCTCGGACCGCAATAATGACTGGCAATGACGTGTGGCTGCGTGACGATTTATGTGGACTTGGTTTCCCACAGTGGGTATTTGCTTTGAGCCACAACGGCCCTGCCATGGTATTTCTATCCGAGAGCAATAGAAGACGGTGGAAAGGCTTGCTCTTCCTGCCGAGTATCGAATAGGTGCTGCTGTGTATTTTATGAACCACATGAAGGTGACGTACTGGCAGATATAGCTCCCGGCGTCCCGCCGTCGAGACAAGCGCCCCGCATTGGATGCGAATGCGGAGTGTCGATCTGTGGGCTTGCGGAGAACAGCCCAGGTATCTCGAGCTGACCTCTCTTTCCTTTCGCTTTCTTCTTGTTGTCATCGTGCCATCAATTTCCAGCACCCTAGCTCGCACAACAACAAAGTCACAACCACGCCAGTGTGATCGAATTTCTCCATCGTCACAATTACTGCACACCACTTGCTCACCATGTATTCACGACGCATCGTATCGCGCCTATCATCATTGGGCACCTCGAACCTGACACGTCCTCTTTCGACCAGCGTAGTGACTGCTGCACCCAAGAGAGCACCTTCGCTCTCAGACGTCGAGCCTGGCAAGGGTCAACTGTTTGACCAGAAATCACAAGAGTTCCGCGATGAGTTGGCTGCTGCCCAGAAGAAGCGTGAGCAGGATGAGAGTTAGTTGATCCGCACATCCATCGAGCTTGGTGCACTCTAACTATGAATGGTGTTGACAGAATCAAAAGTTCGCGAAACAGAAGACGGCAAGAAGGGCGGCCGCCTCTCCAACCTACTCTACGGCACCCAAGAGGGCCGCGAGATGGACAAGGAGATTGAGCGCAGCTTCAGTCAGGTGCTTGCCAGAGGCAAATATGTGCATAGCATTGTTCTCCATGAAGTCAAGCCTGACAAGGTCGACGAGTATGTCGACTTGGTCGGCACGTGGTACCCTCGCATGGCCAACATGCCTGAGAATAAGGTTCACTTGGTAGGAAGTTGGCGAACTGAAGTTGGCGACTGCGATACCTTTGGTAAGTTCTGTTCATTCCACACGGCATGTTTTCTGCAATTCCGCTGACTTGAATCATAGTCCACATTTGGGAATACCAACGTTACGAAGGATACCACGCATCTCTACACGCCATTCAGCACCACCCCGAGTTCCCCGAATTTGACCGCAAGCTCAAGCCGCTGATCAACTCGAAAAAGACATCTCTCATGCAGGAGTTCTCATTCTGGCCCACAACCGCTCCTCGCAAGCTTGGTGGTGTCTTTGAGCTCCGTTCATACACACTCAACCCTGGTAGTCTCTTGGAGTGGGAGACACATTGGCGCACTGGACTGCGCGCAAGAAAGGAGGTCATGGAAGGTGTCGGTGCCTGGTTCGTGCAGATTGGCGATCTCAACACTGTCCACCACTTGTGGCAGTTCGCAGACCTCGAGGAGAGACGCTCGCGCAGAGAGCAGAGCTGGAGCGTGACCGGCTGGGGTGAAACGGTGCACAAGACTGTACCTTTAATCCAGACGATGAAGAGCAGAATCTTGGTGCCCATGCCCTGGAGCCCCGTAGCTTAGAGCCGGGGCCAGCATGACAAGATCTTGAGACGACAGACGCGATCGAGCCACAGCATTCACTGGTCGGGAAGCACCATCATTCACATAGCATTCATCGTTCTTGCAGCGAAGGAGACGGCGCATTTGCCGCAAGCGCTGTACAAACCTCTTTCATTCGATTTTAAGGTAGCCAGTCAATTGATCGTTCATGTTACCAAGAAGTGGTGGGTGTCTCGAGCTCAAAGCGCAACAACATGAAGCTTGTTATCTTGCACGTGTTCCTTCCGCTGACGTCTCGAGGCGGTGACGGTTGACCTCGAAGCAGGAATCGCGCGCACGTCCTTGATTGAGCGCCTGCTTGGCGCGTTTTTCTCGAGGTCTCGATGTCGTCGGCCGCCTTTGCCCTTTTCTCAATACCATTCTTCTCTTTTCCTAAGATTATACGACGATAGATCTCCTTAGTAGATCTCATTAATCATGGTGTACATTCGTCAAGACCGGCTTCCCAAGCTCAAGGAGTACAAGTACTCGGGCGTCGACCACAGCTTGCTGTCGCGCTATGTGTTAAAGCCGTTCTACACGCACGTCGTCATCAATTGTTTTCCCATGTCCATGGCGTGAGTAATTTGAATAGTACCTTTTGATAATGAGAGTGAAGATGCTGAGACTTTTGTTACAGGCCGAATCTCGTAAGCTAATTCACTTGGGAACCTCGAGTCTCACGAGTCTCGAGAACCTGATGCATGTATATCGAAATGCTAAGACCTCGAATGATAGATTACCCTGAGCGGTTTCAGTTTTGTCATTATGAATCTGTTGACGATGTTTTACTACACGCCCGGTATGGACCAAGACTGCCCGTCTTGGGTGTACTACTCTTGGGCCATCGGTCTTTTTACATATCAGACTTTTGATGCCGTCGATGGTAGTCAAGCGTAAGTGACGGACTATCTCATCAGAAGTGGAAGATCAATGTTACTGACACCTCCGTGTAGACGAAGGACTAGACAAAGTGGTCCCCTCGGCGAACTTTTCGACCACGGTGTTGATGCTCTGAACACATCCCTGGAAGTCCTCATCTTCTCAGCCGCCATGAACCTAGGTCAGGGCTGGAAGACCGTCCTGATTCTCTTTGCCTCCCTCCTGACATTCTACGTGCAAACCTGGGACGAATACCACACCCACACTCTGACCCTAGGAATCGTCTCGGGCCCTGTCGAAGGCATCGTCACCCTCTGCATCGTCTACGCCTTCACCGGCTACGTTGGCGGCGGCAGCTTCTGGCACCAATCCATGTTTGCTTCCATCGGCATGCCTCGCTTTGCTTTCATCCCCGCCATCATCTACGATCTTCCCTGGACGGATTGGTACATGGTTTACGGCAGTGTTGTGCTGATCTTCAACACCATTCTGAGCGCCATGAACGTCATGGCTGCCCGTCGTCTTCGCAAGGAAAATCCCATCACTGCTCTTTACGGTCTGGCTCCTTTCTTCCTCACCTGGACTGTCATCCCCATCTACCTCTTCCTTCAACCCGTCATTCTCCGCCAACACCTTGTACCTTTTGTCTTTTTCGTTGGTATCGTCAACGCATACTCGGTTGGCCAAATGATCGTCACTCACCTGACCAAGTCGCGTTTCCCTATGACCAACGTGTTGGTGCTGCCTCTGGCTTTCGGCGTAATCGACAGTCTTGGTCCTTTCCTGCACGACCATATCGGTGTCGGATGGCCCAGCGCTCTGGGTGATGGACAATATCAGATCGCCTTCATGTTCTCTTGCTTGGGTCTGGCTATCGGTGTTTACGGCAGTTTCGTCGTTGATGTCATTGTCACCATCTGCGATTACCTGGACATCTGGTGCTTGACTATTAAGCACCCTTATGTCGAGAAGAAGGAGCTTTGAATGACTTGATGGAGAAAAGAGGATCGACGGAGACGATGAGACTCGAGGAGAATGAGAAGAGTATGATTGGTGTCACCAGTGACACAAGTGCGTTGGAGAAGCGAAGGTGTTGGAGTATTGAACTAGACGAGCGTGGGAGTGGGATGGTTTTGTGATGTACAGTATGACATGGTTTATGCGATAGACACGAACGCACGAAAGAAAGCAAGTGAAAAAGAAAGAAAGAAAATTATGTATGGTAATGGTATACGCTTTTTTACGATCAGAACAACCAAATGCTTTCCTTTCCCTTTCCCTTCCTTTTCTCGAACATGTGCACCTCGAAGACGCCAAAAATAAAACGCCGCAAACATGGTTTCGGATACTGGACAAAGGGTATTTGACAAATCTCTTTTACTCCGACTCTTCATCGCTCTCGACATACTCGCCTGTCGAGGCTAGTCTTCCCCATGCTCTTTCGCTCTTTTCGTCTTCGTTGACTTCGTCTTCCATGTCATCGTCGATGTCTTGTCTTATCTTTGCTAGCAGCTCGACCTTCTCTTTCCGTAATGCTTCCATTTGGATCAAGCTGGCTCTTTGCACGCGCTTCAGGGCGGCGAGTTCGGCTCTCAAAGCTTCATTTTGCTGTTCGACAGAGGGTCCGGTGGATGTTTCGGGGGCGTCGAGGGACATGAAGTCGGCTGTGTCTGATACTTGCGGCTGGGCGGCGGGTGCTTCTGCAGGAGCAGCAGGGGTGGGAACGGCGGCGGCGGCGGGAGCAGCAAGTTGGACCTTTACCGAGCCGTTCCAGTTCGCCAGTTCGGCGAGCGAATCGGCAAGTAGCGATTCAGGGAAGACAGGATGTGTGAGAGCGGTAAGGAATTCAGACTCGACGGTAGCGGATTGCTTCTTAGAGGCAGAGATGTGAGGCATGGGAAGTTGGCGCGAGAACTGCATGCTCAAGTTGTAGTTTCCAGGGACTGCACCATCGAGGTCGGCCTTGTCGAAGGCGGCGTGCTTTGGCTTGACAATGGTGACTTGGTTGATGAGGGCAGGGCGAGCGTCAGGGAAGCCTTGGACAGGCAAGGAGACAAGATTTGTGACGGGGCCCATCATGGGGGCTGCGGTGAACGTAGATGAGTATCGACCAAGAGGAACATCCCATACAAGAACGTTTCCATTGTTGTGACCAGTCATGAGGGTGCTTCCGTCGTAGCTGAGCATGGCACTCAATGCAGCACCCTGATCAGCTGAAGGAGGAGTCCAGCGGGTTTGCGGCGGTGGCTGGACAGGCATAGCAGCTTGAGCAGGGTCGTACAGTGGATGCTGGACCGAGTCGGGGTTTGCGGCGGAGAAGGCATCACTGTAGAAGTCGACGATTTGCACACTTCCGTCGTCGTAGGCTGTGTAGAAAGCGCGGTCGGCAGGATCGAGAGCCAGGCATCGCGGAACTGCGGGTAGCAAGACAGTGCGCAACAGCTGGTTCTCATGGTAGTCCCAGACTATACATGACTGGTCGGCGCTCGCTGAGACAGCAATGTTGCAGAAGCCAGCGCTGTGGCCGACGACCAGAGATGTGATGGCGGCACGGTGGCCTGAAAGAGTGTGTAACGGAGAGTGTTGGCCTTGCAGAGCGGCGTTCGAGAAGGAGAGCAGAGCGGGAAGCGACCAGACGTGAATCGAGGCATCGGCCGAGGCTGACAAAACGAAGTTCGAGGTGGGATCGACGACCAGGGCGGTGACTTGCTGCAGATGGGCTTGCGACGTGATGACGACTCTGCCAGTATGTGTTTCCCAAACGAAGATGCGCCCCGTCTGCGAGCCCAGCACCAGCACGCTATCCTCACATGCCAAAGCCAGACATGTTATCCTCTCTTGGAATGGCACCGTCGCCTCTTGGTTTCCCTTGTCCCGGCTGTAGACGTTTACGACGGCCTTGTCGGCTTGGGCGGCGAAGACATGCGATGGGCTGACGGCCAGACAATTCGGTGCGGTATTGCTCTTCTTGAAACTTGCTCTTTGTCCGGAATGCGGTTGGCTCTCGAAGATGGATATGCCTACATCCTTGACACTGTTGGACGTGGCTTTCGGCGCGACCGCTGCGGCCGACACGGATGCTGCGAAATGCTCACTGAGCATTGTACAGTCAACGGAAAAAGAGAAAAAGGAACAAGAAAGACTGTATCTATCTCCGCTCTCGAATTTCTTCCGAACATGGTCGCAAAATTTCCAGGGTCCAACGAGGAGTCACCCTGTCAGATGAGCTTGTCCGTTCAACACCCCTCTGCCGTGCTCGTACTTTTCCTCTCCAGGAATTACCAAACTTCCATGGACGGATCTCACATCCATGTGCTAAATGTCTCGTACTATAGGCACCGTCCGTTTCTTACTTACTGCTTCTATTGACACTGCCTGTGTGGTGGTCCGAAGGCAGCTACCCGTACATCGGCCATCACACCATCAAAATTTGGTCGCTCTCAAATCTATCGCTGCTTTTTTGCGACTTCGATCAATCATTATGCCAGAGCAATAGATATGGTATAGCTTGCCAATTGAGGTAAAACCCCATGTCATCTCTCAATTGTTACTGCGCCTACGTCACCACTTCTGAGTCTTTAGATACAATCCAACCTGCCTGTCTTTCGACAAAGTAACACATACAGACATGTCACTACATTCGGGAAACATCCCGGAGGCCTCCTCGATGCTTAGCCCTAATCTTCCGGCATTGATTAGCCAACCCGCACCACCCAGAGTCCTCCCGACAGTGTTGCAAGCAAGCCAATTTCTCGCCTCTTTCTTCCCAATACGAACTCGCGATGTCCCATGGCTCTATCATGAACCGAGAAATCCTCGTTACTCGCCGGATACTGCGCCAGTCGCACGCATAGTATGCAGTATTACCCCTACAGCTGGGGTTTATACGGCTATGCATACAGCTCGTACACCACCACCTCTTGTCTTCTTACATCGACCTTTTACCTTGGACAGGAAACGAGTCACTCGTAACACGAATGTCTTGAGCTCCCATGTTGGCTTCGATGAAGTCTTGACAACTGGCTGGAATGAGGCTTTGGCTGGACGTCTTGGCTTATATACTGGCGACGATGCTGTATGCATACAGGGATACAAAGGTGATCCAGATCGTCGTATAGGTCTCGTCGCAGCATCTCGGATGACGACTAAACTCGGCTCAATCTCCGATGCTACCAAACGCGAATTTGGCCAGTGGGATGCTGTATACGGAGTCGATGTTGAAAGCAAAGAAGATATGGCGCAACCCGTTTCCGTCGTCGCCATCATGAACGCGTTCCATCCAGAAGAAGTGCAACGAGTCGCAGAAGCTGCATTGTCTAAAGGCTGGATCTCAGACATTGATGACGGAAGCAGTATAGTCTACCTCACCGGCCAAGCACGAGAACCAGGACTTCTCGCCGCACAAGAGAAGAAGATGAAAGTCTTTTGCGTCGGCCATCGGAGCTGTGAAGAATGGGGAATCAGATATCTGGCTTCTGAACTGAGACGAGAGTTTCCCATGGTTGATGTCTGCGAGGTGTACGAAGATGAAGAGCCGCGACTACCACGAGAGCCGAAGAAACCAAAGCCGGACTTGAAGAGGAATGTACCTTCCTCTACAGCGAACTTGCCGGAGCAAAAGCGTAGACTAGAGGATACACCTTCTGTCGAATAGAGCTAGCGTCAACAATAGAAGTAATCATTCCAATTGATACACAACTATATCGCTCTTTCCGTGACCAAGTCAGGCTTGCTAAGGGTACCACCCTGACTCAAATTTTACAACCCGGTTACGATGATTCTACACTATCAACAGACTGTACATATTCTAATTGACACCATTCCAACATGTAGTTTACCTGCTAGGTATATATAACGACTATCGCTTGGCGGTTGTATCGTGGAGTGGTTCACGACTGAGACCCGAGTCGCTATCCGAAACCAGTCGTGTAAACTTGCAACATTGCACAGATCGACAACACGAACGCGACATCTACTAAGTGTACTTATTATCCAAATCGAATGGTGTATACAACAACGCTATGCTAAATGATCATTATCTATTATCTATGTCTAAAGTCTAATATGCATCATCTTCCTCCTCGACTTCTACTCCTCCTCTTCCTCACCCTTATCTTCATCCTGCCCAGGCATCATCATCCTCTTCGTCAAAACAGCCCTAGCATGCGCATAAAGATTGAACAACCAAATCGCAAACACCAAAATACTCATGATACTGCCCACCCACAGGATACCCTGACTCTCCAACTGCTGCCCGATATTGATGACCGCAATAGTGAATCCAACATTAGGGAACACCAGCGCCCAATTCACCAGCGAAAAGGACATCTGCTTGATACCGTAAAGCACACTGATGGTGGCGAGAGCGAACCACCAGAATCCAATCATCCAGATGAAAATGCTCACAAAGAGGGCCATGGCCTGTAGAGCCGGGATCGCGGTGGGGTTTTTGGCGAAATAGCCATAGCCTTCGGGCAAAGCGTTGGACATGCCTATCAAAGCCAAGATGGTAAAGCCGGCAGGTCCGACGCAGATGAACATGCCAGGACGTGCGTTGGGAGGTGGAAGCCCGTATTCGAATAGGCGGACAATCATTACGGCGTAAATCATTACTGCGACTGTCCAGCCTAGACCTTGACTCGCTACTCCCGCGACAATGATGGGTAATCTTTGTTCTGGGGGCTGGTTGCTGGCGATGATGTTGGCGAGGGTGCCGGTGAGCATGACGGGGAAAATTGGGAGGATCCAGGATGGCGCCATTGATTTTACTAGGAGGGTTCTACTAGCGAATAAGTACCAGTACTGGAAGATGGCTACGAGGAGGGTGCAGGCGAAGTAGATCCAGAAGAGCACTCGTAGTGTTACGATGAGCCAGCCGCCGACGTTTCCGACACCGTAGTTGTTCATGCCGCCGATGATGGTCGGTAGGGAGAGCCAGAATGTCGGGAAGAAGAGGGCTTCCGTAGGATGCTTGAGAGATTTGTGGAAAGAGCCAGGGTACATGATGAAGCGTGCTGTGATGGCTGCGCAGAGTATGACGAACAGCACGAGATCGAAGATGTAGACGATAGTGCCGATAGTCAACAGTCCAGTAAATTTATGCGGTTGTACCGAAAGCAGCGTCGCAAAGCCACCAGTGCTCATCGTCAAGGTAAACCAGGCCCATGTGAAACTTCGAAGTATGTCAGAATGTTGCTTAGAAGCAGCAAGGAAGTGATCAACACTTACTGTCTTAACCGCTCTTTCAATGTAATCTCTCGGTCTGTACCCTCGGGAGCCACATCTGAGATTCGCCTGCGTGCTTGTGGTCTTCGATGCACGCCCGCCTTCTCCAAATCCTTCATCCTGGTCTCGAGGTCTCCAGTCGAGTTGTTTGTAGCTGTAGATCCATCACTGTGGTGGCCTTCATTATCGCCTGCCTGGTTGTCTCGTCGTCGGAATGCCATCTCGGGCAGTGATATGATTGTATCTTGTCTCCTGAGGCTCTTGGTGTTGATTTATACGGCTCCGCGATAAGGTTACGGCAAACGACGCGAATGTTTTCGGACGAGTATAAAGTTATCGATTTGTAGAATACGAGGAAAAGCACTTGAACAGGGAATTGAAGAAGGTAAGAGGATGGTCTACAAGCACTCTTAAGAGCGCTCGTCACATTTCGGCGATACCTACTCCAGAAACATCTCTATTTGACCGGATGCCCAGCGACATTATGATGTCGCTCAGTCGCCGCGGAACCATTTTGCAAGAAAACTGTCAGGGTATTCTTGTTAAAACTTGGGCATGTTGCGTGGAGAGGTGGAGAAAATCGGTTGCGAAATTGTCAGTTATGACGTTGTTGTCCGAGCATTTTTCGGAAGGAGTGCCCGGACTTTCTACTGTAATGCTCAGATCAATCTATTCCAAGCCATATCGCTGTTGATGATCTGATCACTTTGATGACTGTAGCCTTTCTTGAGAGTGTTGTTGCTGATGATAGTAGAGGCAAACCTCTTGATGATTGGACTGATGATGTGTTTTGCGATTTAGAAATACAATTCGCAAACGACTTGGCATCGCGCGATCGTTTCTCGTGTGTATTCGGAACCGATTGGTGGAAGTGAGCGGCATCTTGAGCCTAGACATCATACGAAGCAATGGAAATACGATGAGGGTCCTGATCGTTGTGCTCAGATTGAATGTTGAGTCTGCAATGCGAGACTGCAGCATGCGAATGACTTTGTGTATCGTGATGGCCAACGATCCAGTCTGTTGTGCTCGAGTCAAGAGAATTGACTACACTTGGAAAGCTACACCGGTCTTCTTCACCATGTTATTGCCTCCTCCAGCAAAGCCGGTACCTTCTGAACTGATCTCAACCACGCCTGGTCGAACCTTGTCTTTCTCCTCCTTGCCCTCCTTCTTTTCGCGCTTCTTCTCAGTGACATTGGCCTGGCAGACATAGCATCTCACTATACCAACCTCTGCCGTTGCATCGTGAGCATCCTTTTCAGATGGCTTCATGAACTTAGCAGCACAAGGTTTGCAGAGTACGTGACCACAGGGCTTAGCCAACATTGCTTTTGTCGAATTGGTCAGTGCCTTTTTGCATGAAGGACATGAGCGAACAGATTCATTAGATGTTTCGCTTTTCTCCTCGGTGAACTGAACCGTAACCAGCGATTTTAATGAAAAGTCGTGAGGCTTGTCAGGAGTTGCGGCCGGACATTGAGGGTTCAGCTTGGTAGGCTTCGTCGCCGTGGTTGTACTTGAAGGAGTCAAGGAAGGGATCCAGAAAGAAGTAGCAGCCTTTTGGTCGATAGGGTTCTGAGAGTCCTTCGAGTCTTTCTTTAGCCTGGTATTTTGACCACCAAGGCGCATGAGCTCATCTTCATCAATCTGCAGTTTGCGCTTGGTTCCTTGCTTATCAAGATTGTTTCCTTCCACAATGACTTTGCCAGCCTCTCGGCCAACGATGTGTCGTGTAGTAGCAGGGCCAAGCTTACTGTTCAAACCTTGTTGAACGAGCTCAAAGTCTTGCACAGCGCGTTCCCTCTCTTGTTCTTGTTTGATGTCCTCAGCTTCAGCCTCCTCTTGCTTCTTCTGGACGTATTCCTTTTCCAGGCGCTTGATGTCTTTCTTCTGGGCGAGCAGGTTCGAGAGGGCACATTCTCGGCAGAACAGGTGACCATGAGAGGCGCATGATACAGGATCGCGGGCAGGTAACAAGCAAAGACGACATGAACCGAATGGAAGAAAAGAGTCGCGAGTGAGCCGGGTCGATTGCGAGCCCCAGCGATCGCGTAGTTCGGCGCGTTCATGGGCTGTGAAGAAGGCTAGCGATGTATTGTGCTTACCTTCAAACCAATCAGTTGAGATCTACAAACGAACAAAGTGCCGACATACTGTGCGACATGATTTCTGTGTCAAGTTGGAAGAAGGACAGTAGTCGAGATTCTCTTAGCGAATAATGAGAATTGCATGCGGTCATAGGGCGACAAGCGAAGATGCGGAGCGAGAGACGGCAGCACGTGGGTCAAAAGTTGATCTAACTTTGGAATGCTAAATAATGTTTCTCCCTCGTCGACTGCTCCCACTGTTATGCACTGCTGCCTTGTGACAAGTAGCAATGGCCACTCCGGATGCCCCTGAACAGCCATCGCTGCTATGGCGAACTGGCTCCTCAGTCATCACAGGTGCTACTGGCTTTCTCTGTCGCACATTTCTTGTAGGCCTGAACAGGCTCGAGGTGAATGGCTACGACAAGTTTATGCGCTTGCTCGATGAGCGAGCAGACGTAAAAAGCAGAACCAAGGGTCTGATTACTGGTATGTATCGCTCAATCGCTTTGCGACAAGGTCAAGACTGATTGTATCCAGTTTCCAACCATACTAGCGTGTACGTACGTACATACTTGCGCGAGAGTGCTTGCGACCAAAGCTCTGACAGCAGCATACAGTATGGATGATCCGATTCTATGGGGTGTTCTGCCTTACAGATACCACTGGAACCCCGACAACGTTCGCTGGAGTCTTGCTAGCCACGACCTGGCCTTCCAGAACAAGTGCGACTGCCATTTCCACCTTCTAAGCAGCGACTAATACTCCCATCTAGATTCACTTCCCTGTTCTTCAGTCTCGGCAACACCCTGCCATGCCACAGATTGCAGCACTCTCCCTATGGTGGCCTGTTCCAACCCACCATGACACAAGCCATCCGTCTCCTCTCAGCAGGCCCGTTTCCCGCTCCTACCGCTACTCCCGTATCGCGCTCTCTGAAAAGCCCTGATATCTCTGATCCCTTCTCGGGAGGGCACTTGACCTACAGCACCGATGGTGTCGACACTTTTCCCGCCCCTTCGGCCTATGCTTCAAGGAGACACGCTTGGGTTCACATCTTCCCAGAAGGCCGAGTTCATCAGAAGGAGGACAAGACTATGCGCTACTTCAAATGGGGTGTTTCACGCTTGATTCTGGAATCGGAACCGGCACCAGATCTTGTGCCTCTGTTCATCGAGGGTTTCGATTCGATCATGCACGAAAGCCGTGGATTCCCAAGACCTATTCCACGAGCTGGAAGAGACGTCACTGTTACATTTGGCGACAAAATTGACACTGGAGATGCATTCCGCGACCTGAGAGACAGATGGGCAGCCTTGAAACAACAAGCAGTACAGCGAGGAGCACAAAGCGACGAACTTGGTGTTGTTCGTGACGAGCAGTTGATGAACGGAGCAGAAGCTGTGCGACTGCGAGAGGAATGTACGATGCGCGTCAGAGAAGCAGTCCTGGCTGTACGAAGAACCAGAGGTCTACCTGATGAGGACCCTAAGTGCGGACTCATCGAGACCTGGGCTATGGAAAAGAGCACCGGCGAAGGCAGGATGGCTGATGGGTCATACACGAAAGACACGTAAAATGCTCAAGTGTTGGACGTTGCGCGCTCGGTGTAACACATGTTGGGTTACCACTCTTTCACAGGATAGATTTGTATTATATATTAGAACGAGACACATGTGATAAATGTGAAAGATACATGAGACGTTGGCTTCAAAAAGTGGTTTTGTTGGCGAATAGTAAAAAAGCATACAAAAAGCGCGTTGGTTGACGCGTGTGAATGAAAGGAACGTGTGATGAGCAAACAATTTTTAGTGGCTCGGAAGTGGCTTGGACTCAGCTCAGTCTACAAGAAGGAGCGAGGTCCTCGTCGCACCTTTCTCGCCCGGCTCGCGCACCTTCCTCAATCTACGTTCTCAAATATTCGTCCGGCCCGTCGAAAACGCAGTATCACACCTACATCCCCGCGCCAAGAAGATCTGCCCGCATATCGATTGCTATCCGTACCTGACCTTACCCGATTGAGTAACAGCGTGTCGGAGCTGTGAACAAATTCTAGTCGTCACTGCCCCTAGCAAACCAATTGCTATCGCTCAGGAGCCCCTTGTGGCTGGGGCTCGGTAACACATCAAGCTGCTGCTTGTCACCTAATTCACCATCACACTCTTCACATGGACCAGTCATACGCCCCTCGGTCACCCGAACTGTCCGGATACGCGCCTCGCTCTCCAGACTTGGCCGCCTACCGACCTGTCTCTCCTCAATGCCAGGATCTGTACGCTCCTCAATCGCCTGATCTTTCCGGCTTGCAACAACCTCAGCAAGCCTACGTGCAGCAAACACCTGTTCTGCCTAGCTTTGGTTCAGATCAGTACCAACAACAACCACTACAGCAGCACATTCCGCAAACATATCCCCCTCAGCAGCCAGGTTACACACTAGCTCATCATTCTCCCTCGCAATCCTTCCAGTCCGATCCGTATCAACAACAATTCGCTTTCGGAGCTCAACAGCCTGCCTACCCGCAACAGTACTCTTCATACCCCGAGATGCCTGTCCAGACCCGTAACAGGGGTGTGCGCTCGGCCGCCGAGGTTGGAAGCTACAACTATGACAATGGCGCTGTTAAGGAGGAGGAACCGGCCTGGGAACCACAACAACCGGCAGCACCCACACCCGCTCGCCGTGGCAGAAAGCCGAAAAGCGAGGCCGGTGCTGCTCCCCCGACACCGATGAAGAAGATGGACACTGGCGGCGTTGAAGTAAAGACAAAGTTCCCGACCGCGCGGATAAAGCGCATCATGCAGGCCGACGAGGATGTGGGTAAAGTGGCTCAAGTCACCCCAGTCGTAATGGGTAAGTCAACATCTTTCTCCTTGTTTGTGGACTCCTTACTAATGAATCTTACAGCCAAAGCACTTGAACTGTTTATGATCCGCCTAATCTCCGCCAGCGCAGGCGTCGCAAAGGATCGTGGCTCCAAGCGCGTCCTCTCCCAACACATGAAGTCAGCCGTAATGCAAGACGAACAATTCGACAATCTCAGAGACATCGTAGGCAGAGTCCCAGACGCACCAGCCAAGGGAGCCAACGGCGACGACTCGGAAGATGAAGAAAGCGCACCCAAGAAGGGCGCAGGAAGAGGAAGAAAGGCCGGCGCAGGAGCTGGCGGTGGCAGAGGAAAGAAGAGAAGGGACAGTGACGACTTCTGATGACACACATTTCAAGAACAGCAAAAACAGATAGCTTGTAACGAGCGATTTGCCCAACCCTCTTAGAGCAGGCATAATACTTCATAAACGCCTGACCAAAGTTACGATGACCTGACTACTTTTTCTGCCAACATGCTCCTTGCTTCTCTTGAAGATTAAAACCATGTCTGCGACGAGCTCCGGATGTCCTCCACGATCGATCTGCAGACGGACGTTGACATACCTGCTTGCTAAGCCTCTGAGACACTATATAGTACCTTGGAAGCGAAGTAATATGGCCGAGACACGATGTATGAAAAAAGCAATATAGCAACACATCATATATTCTTCCAGAAAGAACAAATATAGGGCAGGGCTCAAGAATATATTATTAGGGCAAAAAGTACACACAAAAGCAGATCTATAGCTAGGGAGCAAAAGAAGTGAAGTATATTGGGTGAAAAAATAGCTATGGTATCTCTGGGGTGGAAACAAAATATCGACAAAGTAGAAAGAAAATAGAAAGGAAGCCGTGGCACGGATGCGCTCGCTGGGTCTCTCCTGAGTAAGGTACAAAAAAGGCGTATTTCTCGTAAGATGTGGCTGCCACCACGGAACAAAGGAGATGCTGAATGGAGAGATCTGTGTGTTGTAGGTCTTGATGTGCTCAGATTTGCTGGGCCTGAATCTGCTTGGTAGTTGGTTGTAATGTGTTGGAAGGGCGTTGGAAGTGAAGCAGAGCAGACCAATTCTGACGAGGTGGGTCGCTGTGTCGATGTGGTGGATTTGCAGCATTCTAGTCCTCCATCTCCAAGACACGCTTGACGATGGAAACTTCGGCATGTCCACGCATATTCTTCATTCGGTGACACCAGACGACCTGACCATCCTGGAAAAGGAACTCGCCGCCGACTTGGAGCAGGTTGCCGCCCTTGAATCTCGAGGTGCCCTTTTGCTTTGCCATTGTTGTCCATTGCTGCATCTGCCATTTTGTAAGAGGGATGTCCTTCATGTATTCCGGTCTCTTGGGTCCGGACATGTTGAGAGTGATTGACATGCCCAATGCCTTGTAGAGCTTGCGACTGGGTTCGGCGAAGATGGGGAATGGACAGCCAGTGGCTTGCTTGTAGAAGGGAATCATGGATGGCGAGCCACAGCCGATGACGATGATGTTTGTGGGAACAGCCATGGTGTAGTAAGCCTGCATGGTGATCTCTTCGGCGATCGCTTTCATGTAAGCCTGGCAAGCCTGCAGGAACGAAAGTTAGTTTGTGTTTTGGGTCTTCCTATGCTCATTATACTTACACCACAGTAAAAGTGTCGCACAAAGATGATGAACTGTCTGTCACCAATGGCATCCAGGCCAGTGAAGAAGGTGCTGAAAAGTCGCGAGTTTCCATTGGCGTCATACACAGGGACTTGTCCGGCAACAGCGAGTTGACCTCGATCGGGGCACTCGTCGGAGATATCTAGATCCTCACGGAAACGGCCAAACCAGTCATCTGCGTCGGTGAACGAACGTTCGAACGAGTTGGTTGTTGCGGTATCCGAAGTGGCAGCTCCATGGCCAGAGCTGGATAATTGGGTGGGCGAGAAGACAGGCGAAGAGATAGGAGAAATATCCAAAGAGGAAACAGCACTATTTCTGCTGTTGATGCGCGAGAGAGCAGGCGACGAGATGGGGGACACGTCGTGGTCTGATGGCATTTTTGAGGCTCCGCGATCCAAGACCACTAAATTATGATGCACAAGCTCGAAGGATTCAGATTTCAGATCTGTCGCGGGGAAGGCTTCAGATGGCGTTGCTTTGAGTAGTGGCTGCTGTAGGCTTGCTCTTATGACCGTTACGTATAGCGGCGGACGCAAGGAGTATGGATGGGCAGGAGGTAGAAGGGAGGAGGAGGTTGGAGAAGAGCACAAGGCCGATAATAAGTTGGAGACAGAAACGTGCGTCACCAGCGGTGCGGATCAGCAAAACTATATATCGCGCGACGCAGCGTGCTCTGCGTCTAGATCGGCCACCAAAAATCGGGTGCCACCTTCTCGCTCTCGACGGCGCATCGCGGCCCGTCACTCTAACCCTCAATCGTGAGTCGCGCACCTGGCATCTTCAAAAGAAAATCCCGACCGATAGGGGGGCATCAACTGCCCTGCATTACCTTGTACCAGTCTTCCGGTCGACGAGCCTCTTCCAAGGAAACGCTCTGTAGCACAGAGCTACCACTTACATGATACTCGACTTCTGTCACGCTGCGGTGAAGATCTTTGACATGCCATCGTCTCACTTTGCAACACTGGACTGTGGAGTTTATAGCTTCCCGTGCTCAGCGATCCAGGATGCGTCCGTATCTGCAGGTCCGGAAAGGGGAAAAGCCGCGGCCCAGCTGGCTCTGGCGAGGAAAAAATCGATAAAACTGAAATGGCTGGCTCCAACTTTGACTCTTGAGGCTTGCCCCGCATGGGACGAGGGTTGACAAAATTACAAACGGCGACTCTTCTTTCCTTCGACGAGACATCGGAGAAGAAGACGTGGCAGCACATGGACAGCACGCGGCCGGTGTTGGTCGTAAATACCAATCTTGTTTGATCCCACCTAAGAAGTATTAAGACAGCGCTATATCGACTTTGACCGAGCTCCTGGGAGCATCTCCATTTCCCCAAGATTCATCTCCTGTGTTCCAGTCATGGGTTGAACATCACAATTCAACGAGTGCGGTTGTCCCGTTTGGCCGCGCGGGCGGGCACTTCCGCCAATCCCAAAGTCTGCGCTGGCAAGTTGCAACTCCACGGCAGAGAGTTTTGCTGCAAGAGCTGGCTCCCTATCGTTTAGGAGAACAAGCTCAAGAACGGCAGTTCTGTGACAAGCCCTTGTCGAAAGCTCGAGTCTTCTTGAGACTCGTGGTTCATCCAAGCGGGAAGCGGCACGCGTAAATAACTGTCATGCAGGGAGCCCAGTCCAATCCATGCCTTTCCTCACGCCTGCCGAGTGTGACAGAAGCACATATACGACTGGTCCACCGAGTAGTCTTCGGAGAACCTCCTCAGTATAGCTCCGGATATGCATAGAACATTATTGTTAGCAAGGTCATCCGTCTCTCACGTACGCGATGTTGCTCAATCTTGCCCGATACCTAGCTGAAGGTGGCTGACGCCAAACGGAGTCTCCGTCGGTCTTCTCAATGACCAATCGTGAGCCAAAGGTCCGTCCACCTTCCGAGTTCGGTCTCACCTTGAGATATCTTGTAGAAATAGCATCTGAGATACTAACAGCCAGAAGAGATTTAACGACGACCATCATAGGCCAAGCGTCGGCGTGGCACTTCTTGCTACCGTGTATCATGTCACACGCGCTGTGGTCTCATACATGCGAAGACTTCGAAGTTATTCGATCCAAAGAAGCTCCATTCAATCCGCCCCCAGGATGGTTGAAATCCGTCCAAGACGTGGGATACACTGTTCTCCTCATACACTGGGAATTTGGTCTGATTCGGTCAATACTCTACTTAGCTCCAAAATTGTTCCATTCCAAGATGTCCAAAATCAGGTGAAGCACAACGCTTCGCTCTGTCCAACGTAAGCTCCTCCAAGTCATCACCTAAGAAGTCTCCTTCTGCTCGGCGCCAGGAATAGCATCGCACCACGACGGACGGTTCTTGGTGTAGATTTCGGCCTTGGGTTTTCCGAGGTTGTTAAAGACATCCTCATCATCCACAGTTCCAGCCTTGACGATGTTCAGGCCTTCAAGAGCCTCTGCTTGTACGTAGAGGACGGTGGGGCAGTTTTGGCACGAGTTGTATGTGACGTTCTTGCCGCTATCACCCTTCCTCGTGAATGACTTCAATGAACCCGAGAGGATCTTGTACTTGTCGGATGGAATCATCAAGTTGTAAGAGTTTGTGGTGCCAGAGGTCTTGCGACAAGGAAGGCAGTGGCAGGCAGCCTGTTTGAATTGATTAGCTGTTGGTCGTACATCCGCGAGACGTTCTCATGGCACCTTACCTTCATTGCTGGCTCGCCTTGGTACTCGAACTTGACATCACCGCAAAGACAGCTTCCGTTGACCATTGTGTTTGACTTATCGTAGTGATATTGGACTTCGAAAAAGAACGCGATAAAATCTGTTTCAATTGAATTGTTCTAAGCTCTTCATAAAAGAAAAGATGGAAGCTTGGAAGATAAAATCATTCTTATGTACTCCCTCGGTTGTGGTTTGGCTTCCTCTCCACCTTCTCATGACGACATGTGTCCTTTAATTTTGGCAGAGACAAAGTACAACCCTGACCGACTAATAAGCTGACCTTTTCAGCAATAACGCTCACAGTATCTTTCATACTGTACTCAATGATGGCATGTTGATTCTTGAGAACGTGAATATGTGAAACACATGTCTGCACAGTTTCGTAATTTCTGGTTATCACAGGCTTCTAAACCCAATGTTGAATCCTTGTCTGAACAGATCCATCAATTGATGAGCGAACCAGGGCAACAAACACATCTTTCGTTAGAGTATCTCAGATGGTCAGACTGACTGTATTTAAGCGATGACTGCCATAGAGTGGTATATCTTGCCTGAGAAGATGCTACGTACGTGACCATGGAAGACAGCCGTTGACCGTTGTATGGAAATGGATGATGAAAAACTAGTGGAACAAAAGGATGTCATTGTGTCGTCTTCCTGGATCATCAAGGCAAGCCAGACCAACATCTGAATCTTGCCGGCGATGGTGTTTCCGCAGCAAGACGAGAGAAACGCTGGACGCTCAAGAAGCAGCGCGGTTTCGGACTCGGATCCCGGCACCCATGCCCGCTATTTTCCTTCCACCTAACGATAACGATGCCATGCGACTGAATTACTAAGCGGCAAATCTCCCCGTTGATCTCAAATACAGCAGTAGTTTGCTGCAGACATGCACCTGCCACTTCTAGACTGACAGTTGAGTCGTTGCCGACCGGTCCTCGGATGGACGATCTGGCTCGCGAGTGCTCATCACCTCGATTCTCAAATCAGCAGTCGACTCTGCTGCCTACTTTTGTTTTTCTCAGGCCTATCGGCATCCAATTCTGCCGTATACCTTTCTTCCTCGGTGCTCTCTCCTCGAACGTAGCTCAACCTTTCCTGATGGACCATAGTCTAAGCATCCGTTCTTCATGACGACAACACAACAGCAGCGCAATCAGGACGCCCTGAAAGAAGATTTCAAGATATCATCGGACCCGGACGCCGCTCCAGTGGTGCCATCAGGATCACACGAGAAAACAGAACAGAATGTGGTCTCAACAATCGAACAGCCGACAGACGACAATGAAGTCTATTCTGTGTTCACACCAACACAGAAAAAGTTGATCGTACTCACCGCATCACTGGCTGGCTTCTTCTCCCCACTAAGCGGATCCATCTACTATCCTTCTTTAAACACGATAGCGGAAGATCTTGGCATCACAGCGACGAAAGTCAACCTTACAGTCACAACTTATATGATTGTGCAAGGCTTAGCGCCTATGTTGACTGCAGGCTTCAGTGATGGAGCTGGTAGGCGCCCGGCTTATATTGCTTGCTTCGTCATCTATCTGGCTGCGAATCTTGGACTGGCTTTACAAAACAACTATGCCGCGTTACTAGTCCTGAGATGTCTTCAGAGTGGTGGTAGTAGCGGTACCATCGCATTGGCAAATGGAGTCGTAGGCGATATAGTCACATCAGCTGAGCGAGGAAGTTATGTCGCATTTGCCTCTGTCAGTTCGATCTTAGGACCTACTCTATCTCCAATCCTTGGTGGTCTGCTCAGTCAATACTGGAACTGGCATGGTATATTCTGGTTTCTGCTGGCCTTTGGTGGAGTTTTCTTCATTCCCCTGTTCCTGTTTTTCCCGGAGACATGTCGAAATGTCGTTGGTGACGGGTCTATACCTGCGCCTAAGCTCAATTGGAACATCACGGATAATATCAGACACGCCAACCGAGAGAAGGCTGAATTGAGGGTTGATGAGAAGAAACAAGAAGAGCTGCGCAAAAACTATCGCCTCACTTTCCCGAATCCTCTATCTACGCTCGTCGTTCTTACCGACTTGGAATCCGCTTTAATATTAATCGCTTCTGGGCTGACGCTAGCCTGCTTCTATGCCGTCAGCACTGGCGCATCCACAGCTTTTAGAAGCGTGTACGGTTTCGACGACATGCAAGTCGCTCTCATGTTCATTCCATTCGGAGTCGGCGGCATCGTCTCAGCATTTACAACCGGCAAAGCAGTCGACTGGAACTACCGGAGACACGCAAAGATCAACGGCTTCCCCTTCGTCAAGAACAAGCAACAAGACATGACCGAGTTTCCTCTGGAAAAAGCACGACTCGAGGTTGCGCTACCACTCTTCTACCTCGGAGCATTAACTGTACTGGGCTATGGCTGGGTTATGGATAAGCATGTATCTCTGGCCGGTCCTATCATCTTACTCTTCGTCATGGGGTACGCTCTCACAGCGGCATTCCAAATTTTGAATATCATCATGCTCGATGTCTACCCCGGGCGTCCAGCAGTCGCATCGGCAGCAAACAACATAGTCCGATGCGAGCTGGGAGCGGCAACATCAGCAGCTATCGTGCCTATGGCTAAGGCTATGGGCAATGGATGGGCATATACGTTGCTTGCATTCATACTACTAGCTTATTCGCCGGCCTTATTACTGACCATGAAGTCAGGCGTCAAATGGCGACGAGCGAAGAAACAAAAACAGGAAGAGAAGGACGCAAGAATGGCGAAAGATTTATCTTAGTTAGTCGTCATGAGTCTCTACCAATCGAAGCCTGCTGATTCCGCAAACTCTCTCGATCCCACGTGCATCTCATCAACCCTTATATACTACTTACTTTAGGTCCCTTGTAAGTTATTCAGCCGTGGTAGTGTAGTGGTTAACACACCCGTGGTCTTAACACGTGCGCAGTCATTCGTTGTTACTCAACGCCGTGTCAGTCTAGATCCGAGGAGGTCGCGGGTTCGATTCCTGCTCATGGTGCTAATTTCTTTTTTTGTTGTCCGGTTCTTTGTCATGTATGTCGAGATATTCTTTTCACGCCATGCTCGCCGTGAAAATGGATGGGTTCAGAATGATCGCACCTTCCGTTCGACACCTCTTTCCTGACTAGAGTAATCTCGATTGCTTCTCGTTTGGTTTTGTCGTTACTTCTTCCTGTGCAGTCATCTTCTACGGTGCTCGATACCGTCTCTTGAGTGGCTCTTCTTTCGAGGGACTCCAGTTTCAGCAAAGTGGAAACTTCTACACTGCTCAATTCTCTTGCTTTTCTCAGTCGTGGCTTCGACTCTATGAATCCACATGGCTCTCGAACGGCTAGTAGGAAGAGGTTAGTCCACTTCTAGTCCCAGTTCAGGCTGCATCCATCTTGCTTTACTTACTAATTCTCGAGTAAACCAGGCCTTGTCAGTTAGCTACGCATTATCCTACTCTACGACGGCCACCACTACTGTCGCCGAAGAAGTGTGAAGTCGGACAGGAACAAGCAAGAGAGCAATAGGCAAGAAAGAAGAAAGGCCAGATAACCAAAACTGGAGAATCCTCAAAGGCAAGAAAATTCGGGAGTGGCATGGATATATGGGCAGAAAAGACCGCCCGACATCGAGTATCACACATAGATGTGTCAAAAGCGGCGACCTTTGTCAAGAGAATTTTAATCTACACAATCTGACTAGCTAATTTGCAGGCCTTCTTTACGGGTCACAATGCTAGTATTTTGAAGTACTTAGCCATGGTCCGAACCCGTACAAAAGGCTTGAGCGTACATTACCTTAGTTTGAACGATCTCATGGCACGATATCCGAGACTAACAGGGTGTTTTCTTGTAGTACTAGGTCCTTCACTTTTATTCTCAACGTCACTGCTGTATATGAAGTGAAGAGTCGAACGGTAGAGATCCAATTGTCGAACGGCAAGAAGCTAGGACACAAAAACAGCAAGAGAAAGAGGCAAGAATGGTGTCAAGCATGATTGTAGAAACTGCAAAAACTTAGTGTGCAAAAAACGCCAGGGGTATCTCGATATGCAAAAAGAAAGAGACGCCCGGACTCCAATATGTGGAAAAATCCTCCAATTTCATGATTGCTCAAACGCAAATCTTAATGAGCATATACTCGCTGTCGAGCCTTGCCGTAGCTCTGCGCAAGGTAGCATCCTGGTAACAGTTCGCAAAACGTTGCTTAACACCATGTCTTCTCCATGTTCCGGAGAGAATCCTCATTCTCTTTCCTGGCCTTGAAAATCTCGAGGATATTAGCCTTCCATAAAGGATCCATGTTTTTGACATCCTTAATGTGATTCTTGTGAATTGAATGCGCCTTGAATTCTGCACTGAGATTGTGGAGCTTGGGCATGATGTCGCTCATCTTGACCTCGTAGCACAGTGTGGTCGACCATCCATACTGCACGTGGCCTTTGTCATTGGTGGCCTGAATTGCCAAGTCGTGACGCTCGCAACCGGGACAGAGGACGAGTTCATCGGGTATAAGGTTGGTGATGCGGTTGAGTACTGTGTGCATGTGAAGCTCGATCTCTGCATGGTGACGGTATTTCGACAGGTCGTACGAATGCAAGATGCTCTGCGGCGGCTCAATGTTCGGAGACTTCTTGGTCCTTGAGGATACCAGTAAGACGAAGTCCCCGTTGAACAATAGCGCTTGCATTATATAGAAATCGTACACCCTGACCTTTCGTGGCTCAAATAATACGTTGTATCCCAGGGTCACATACTCGAGGAATTCGTGTGCGCGAAGCTTGCCTAGGGAATGTCTTCGGATCCTTTCGAGGAGTGCTCTCTGTTTTTCAATAGAGCCTTCTTCGTAAGGCTGTGCTTGAAGGTTTACTTCGAAATCTGAGACGGGCTCTAGCCACTCTGCCCACACGCGAGGTTTCGGCTGTTCTTGAGGGGGTGACGGAGCTTGGGGAAGTTTTGGCTGGAGAGCCTGAGGCATAACGCGGATGTGGGGCTGTGATGCACTGAGGGAAGGAAGAGGTTGTGACTTGTCCGCGGGAGAAGAATGGGACATCGAGACGAAATTGTTGGAGAGTGACCCTTGAGATGGTTGAGATGATAGAGAAGGCTGTGATGCACCAGGCGGAAGAGAAAAATGCGGCGGACCATGAGGAAGAGGGTTTGAGGTCGTAGGACTGCTCGTCGAAAGGATCTGTGAACCATTACGGCGATGTGGTTGTTGTACGCCTTCCAGAACTCTCGACGACGTCAGACCGTGAGGAAGTGACGAGACGAGGTTCCCGTTATATACACGAGAGCTTTCCGGGCGCTCAGAGTACACATACTGAGGAGTCGAGGTACCAGCACGTGGTTGAGGTTGTGACGTGCCCTGCGGAAGCGCCTGAGGAGTGTGAGAACCGCGGTTCGGTGGTGAGCCATAAGGATGATGGCGCGCCTGATTTAGACCGCGACTACGTTGGACATGTGATGGTTGAGTTTGAGGGTAGTGTCTCTGCAGTGGGTCGGTGTTGAAGTGACGCGCACCCTGACTTGTGCTGCCAAAAGAAGGTGACGAAGTCAGACCAGGTGGCAGCGATCGTTGCGTCGGTTGATAAGGAGACTGCAAGGTTGGCTGTCTGTACTGTGATGGCGAGGAAGTGTTCTGATGAGAAGCGTTCATATAGGGAGAGATGCTTGCGATGCTATGGGCGTTGGCGAGATTTGGAGAGTAGATGGGCGTGATTTGAGCGCTGAGAGAGCTTGGAGAGTAGATCTTGGAGTTTTGTGTGCTGGGCGTGGCCATAGTAGATGCTTCCAGGTGTGTTTGTGCACTCGGCGATGGTTGGCCAAGGTGATACGCCGATAGTACTGGAGAACCAGATGGTGTTGGTTGAAGTGGCGCATTCGGATAGATCATCTGGTCGCCTGTCCCAGGTGTCTTGCAGTCAGGGAGAGGAGAGTCCGGGCTATGCTTTGAGGTGTTTTGCAACATGGCCAGTTGTTGTATCAACCCACGCTTGGTAGAGTCTTCCATGTTGTTGTAGTTGTGTTGATGTCGGGTTGAAGAAGAAGGAGTTGAGAAGTTGGAAAAGACGTGCGGCATTGTGTTGCAACCTAGAGATTGTCGTGGAAGTTCAGCGAGCTACAATAGGAACCAGACAATAGAACTTCCAACACGAGCACACGACAATAGGGTAGAAAATTTCGCAGTGAAGAAGTGCTTTGGAAGTACGGACGGTCTCAGGTGCGGTGTGAAAGTGTTTGATGATAGGCACCGTTTTGATGCATCCTTTCATTGAGTCATGCGGATGAGCATCTAGAAATGTTTGGCAAGAGCAACCCATCAAGACTTTGTGATTGAGACTTCCCCAATGCCTCGAGTCATCTGGTCCGTCATTCGGGAGGTAATATGCAGAAATACAATCCAGCCTTCGAGCATACTACTGCCGATGTCACTCACTAGGTATCTATAATGATTTTCTTTGACGATGAGGTCATCTCTCGTGGGTTCTCCTGATAACACGAGGTACTGCCATGTGGCTATCGTCATGAACGCCCAGAGCATGGAACATATATATCCCATAGCGAAAACTCTTATTGGTGTCCATACTTTTGATGCAATTGACGAATCTGCACATCTGATCAGCCTGATTTCATTTGGGTAGTTTCTGTGGGTGTCATTACCTGTTCCTGCACGTCGGGAGGCTGGTTGCCTGATGCACCAGGTGGACCGGATTGAGACGGATTAACGCCATCATAGCTGCTGAGCTCGATTCTCTTGCGTCTTTGGGCCTCCTCATCGGAGACAGCCTGGCCAGTAACAGGGTCGAAGACATCGCTTCGTTGTGATGCTAGACGCTTAAGGTTATTGGCAACGTCAGCTGTGGACAAGTTTGTGGTACTTGAGCGCTGAGCAGCAATGCGAGACTGTTCGCGCCATCTGGGATCAAGCATTTCAACTGCGAGTGTCGGTCAGTAAGCTAGAAAAGAAGAAGGGGTGGATGATCAAACATACTCTTCATGTGTTGCTCAAGTTCGTTGAATGGAATTTGTTGCTTGCAGTTGGGACAAAGGGCAGTGGCCGCATTCTGTCTGCGAGCCTGTGCACGCGGGACGTAGTCATTACGAATACGCATAGGGCCTTGACCTCTAGCAGCAGCCTGAGCCTGTTCAGCGCGTTGACGCTCGGCAGTTCTTTCGGCGATACGGGCGTCTTCTTCTTGCTCTTGAGGTGTACGTGGAGGAGGTGCAAAACCGGTTTGCTGTGCGGGAGAGAATGCAGGGGGAGCAGGAGAGTATGAGCTGGGTGGAGGCATCTGTGAGGGAGGTGGCTGGTAGTATGTTTCTTGGCCGGGCATAGCCTCCTCGATACGCATGCCTGATGGAGCCAGACTCATCTGTGCCTTCTGCTCGAGCGATGCTGACTGAATATCGTTCAGCGATGTGGGGGGAGGGAGTTCTGTCTGGTCGTCTGCTTCGGTGAACAGGATAGTCTCGACAACGACAAAGTCGTGCCAGTCGATCTGGGCATATGCGAGCTTCTCGGCTTCATGCTCCTCCTCCTTCTTGACCTTTTGTGCTTCCTGGAACTTGACCCATTCGGCACGCTTTTTTGCGCTCTCCATCACACGGTACTTGTTGTCCACGTTCTTCTCTAGCTCAGCGACGACTTCTTGTTGCTGTTGTCCTTGAGTGTTCAGAATCTCGGTATATTGGTCGACTAGTCGCGAGAAGAACTGGTAGAAACTGTGCTGAGGACGGAGGAAGTCGAACTGGGGATTCCTAGCTTCACGTTGCGACAAGGTGGTCATCCAGGTACGGCCGTTCTTGGCGACAAAGATGGCGGTCAATTTGATGACCTCAAGGTCGACAGAGCTGATGTTGGGCATGCGCGCCGAGAAATGGAAGTCTGGAGGAGCTGCAGGTCCTTGCTTCTTCTTTGGTGCAGCGACATCTCCTTCGCGGCCGGCAGCTACATCTGTTCCTCTGCCCTCCTTAATCTCTTCAAGGCGCCATAGATAGAAAGGGTGGTAGGGGTTATCGGGAAGGACGAATTGGAGTTTTGGGTTGTTCTCTGCGCTGTCACGAATACGGGCTTCGAACGCCGGACCATTGCGAACAATGTATCCAGCAGTCTTTTCTAGTAATGTTCGGAACTCCTTGGGCGGTAGGATGACACCTGGCGGAGGTTTGAAATCGGTATTGTCGGGAGTGTCGTTGGGCTCCAGCAGAGGCGCGGGTGCCATTGTGAGTGGTTTGGACACGTCGCGTGCGGTGTTGATGGAGTATATATGTGGGAGGTCGAGTGAAGCCGGGTAATTGTATCCTGGTATGTACAGAGTTGATGCGCACACAGAGAGTGAGTCGCGTTCAGTCAAGTTGATATTTACAGTACGAGCTTCTCTCCACCAAAGACACGGCGACGAGCAGGCTTGAGGGCGCTATGACACTTTCCGAATCATGGCAGCACTTGCAGGATCTCCCTTGGCTCTAGCTAAGCGCGGATCTTCCCATATCTTATCTCCATCATCTCGAGCTAAAGCTTCCCGATGCTCCTATTTTCGTTGGCCAAGCCGCCTTCCGAGCTGTACGTGGCCTCGCGACAACCGTCAGCTACTCGTTTCTGCAGGCCCCTTGAATTGAATCCTTTGCTTGATCCAGACAACCCCCCTTTCCTTCCATCCTCTTCTTCTTTCCTTGGATCCTTCTCTTCTGTTTGTACCACTTTTCCACTCTCAATCGCGCCAGAACAGCGCTTGCATGGAGCTTGAAGTCTAAGCACTGAGTTCCCCGCGACGCCCTTGGAAGCTCAGAAGACCTTCCACAATTATCACCTTCTAATACGGCCCTTTCTTCACAACCACCCACCATGGCCAACCGTGCCGCCAAATCCCCTGCTCGTCAGCCCAACTCCAAGCCTGTGACGAAGCCCAACAGCTTCGCATCCGAAGGTGTCGAGAACTACGATGTCTCGACTCTCAAGGCCAACGATTGGCTGATCTGCAGTGCCCTTTCTGTCGTCGCCCTCTTCGTGCGCCTGTTCCGCATCTCTCAGCCCACCAGTGTCGTCTTTGACGAGGTCCAGTATGTCTCCTGCTACTCGCTTCCCCCTGCAAACAATGAGCTGACCATGTCTCCACAGCTTCGGTGGTTTCGCTTCCAAGTACATCAAGGGCAAGTTCTTCATGGACGTCCACCCCCCATTGGCCAAGCTCCTCATCACCCTCGCTGGCTGGCTGGCCGGCTTCGATGGCGAGTTCGACTTCAAAGACATCGGCAAGGACTACATCGAACCTCGTGTCCCATACGTTTCCATGCGCCTTCTCCCTGCCCTCATGGGTGTCCTTACCATCCCTATTATGTTCTTGACCCTCAAGGCTTCAGGATGCAAGACTGTCACTGCTACAATGGGCGCCGGCCTGGTCCTCTTCGAAAACGGTCTCGTCACCCAGTCCAGACTTATTCTGCTCGATTCTCCCCTGGTCATCTTTACCGCCCTGACCATTCTCGGTTGGACTTCTTTCACCAACCAGCACGAGCAAGGTCCCTCGAAGGCCTTTACACCTAGCTGGTGGTTCTGGCTGGCTTTCAGCGGTCTCTGTCTTGGAGCCACTGTCAGTGTCAAGTGGGTCGGTCTCTTCACCATTGCTTGGATCGGCAGTCTTACTGTTCTCCAACTCTGGGTTCTTCTCGGTGACACCAAGACCGTTACTCCTCGTCTTTGGTTCAAACACTTTTTTGCACGCTTCTTCTGCTTGGTCGTTATCCCTGTCTCATTCTACATGAGCATGTTCGCCATCCACTTCCTCTGCCTCGTCAACCCTGGTGACGGCGATGGTTTCATGTCTTCCGAGTTCCAGTCTACTCTCAACAGCAAGGGTATGCAGGACGTTCCCGCAGATGTCGCCTTCGGCAGCCGTGTCTCGATCCGTCATCACAACACTCAAGGAGGCTACTTGCACTCGCACAGCCACATGTACCCTACTGGTAGCAAGCAGCAGCAGATCACTCTCTACCCCCACAAGGATGAAAACAACGTTTGGCTCCTCGAGAACCAGACTCAGCCCATCGACATTGACGGTACCGACATTCCTACCCCTTGGGCATGGGACAGCATCGAACCTACCTTGATCGAAGATGGCGCCGTCCTCAAGCTCTACCACATCATCACTGACCGCCGCGTCCACTCTCACGACCACCGTCCCCCAGTGACCGACGCTGACTGGCAAAACGAGGTTTCTGCATACGGTTATGAAGGCTTCGAGGGAGATGCAAACGATCTTTTCAAGGTTGAGATCATCAAGCACTTGTCCGACGGTGAGGTGGCCAAGAACCGTGTCCGTACCATTCAGACCAAGTTCAAGCTCGTTCACATCATGACTGGCTGTGTTCTGTTCTCGCACAAGGTCAAGCTTCCCGACTGGGGCTTCGAACAGCAAGAGGTAACTTGCGCAAAGGGAGGCACTGAGCCCAACAGTATCTGGTACATTGAGAGCAACGAACACCCTCAGCTCAAGGAGGATGCAGAGAAGGTCAACTACCGCAACCCTGGCTTCTTCGGCAAGTTCTGGGAGCTCCAGAAGGTCATGTGGACCACCAACGCTGGACTCGTTGAATCTCACGCCTGGGACTCTCGCCCTCAATCATGGCCCATCCTGCGTCGTGGTATCAACTTCTGGGGCAAGGACCACCGTCAGATTTACCTCATCGGCAACCCCTTGATCTGGTGGACTTCTACCGTCTCAGTCGCTGTGTACCTGGCTTTCAAGGCACTGGCTGTCTTGAGATGGCAGCGTGGATACAGAGACTACAACAACGTGCCCTTCAAGCGCTTCGACTACGAAGTTGGCACCAGTGTTCTCGGCTGGGCTCTTCACTGGCTTCCTTTCTTCCTCATGCAGAGACAGCTCTTCTTGCACCACTACTTCCCCGCCCTTTACTTCGCCATTATCGCTCTTTCCCAGACTTACGACTTCATCACTGCCCGCGTTCCTGCTCTTGGTCTGCGTCAACGCCCCGTCATTGGAACAGCCGGTGCAGCCATCTTTTTGGCAATGAGCATTAGCATTTTCTACATGTACTCTCCCGTTGCCTACGGAAATGCATGGACCAAGACAGACTGCAGCAAGGCCAAGTTATTCGAGACCTGGGATTGGGACTGTAACACTTTCTATGACAGCGTAAGTCCACAAACCACATCAGCAGCCAGAGGGCAGAAACTGATCCAACAACATTAGTACTCCGAATACAAGACGTACGATAGAACGATCTCGCCCGCAAAGTCGACAGCAGCTGCCTCGCCCGCCGTACAGTTCTCCCACGAGGAGATTCCTGAAGCCCAGGTGACAAACCGCGTCGAGTCGGGAGAAGAGAGAATCGAATACCGTGATGAGGCCGGCAACATCCTCAATGAAGAGCAGGTCAAGGAGCTTGAGGGCAAGGTTTCATTCTCTACACGCTACGAGACCCGCACTAGATTGGTGGATGCTAATGGCAATGAGGTATATGATGGCGTTGCAAAGGAAGAGGAGAGTTACGCAGGAACAATTGCCGAGGGCAGCAACCAGGAGACTGGAGGTGTTGGCCAGGATGAAGCAAACGAGCAACCTGCTAGTGTCAACGTCAATGACGATGTAGAAAAGGAGAAGAGCATCGAGGCAAGCACAGCATCTGCGGAACCAGAGAGCGATGCTAGTGCAGCGACAGGCAAGGATGAGCTGTAGAGTCGCAAGTTTGATTCACAGGAGTTGTCAGTCGGGATATCAGGCCACGAAATTATGCTAAAACTACAAGTAGGAGCAGGTCTAGGAATATTTGATATCCATTTCTTTTGTGACAATAATCTTTATTTGCCGTCTCGCTCCTTCTTCGATGAATTTACCTAAGTGCTGGTAGTGGTTGTCTTGTGTTTCTGTTGATGTACAGGTAAACGACGGTTGGGCAAGAGTCGAAGTTGCCTTGTTGGAATCAAATTGCATGTGATGATGACGACTTGCGGAGAAGAAATGTTTGGAGTCTCACAACCCATCGAACAACACCAAAGATGGCCAAAAAGAAGAGAAAGAACAACGCGCCTCATGCGAGAAGAGCGGCACCGGCCGAAAGACGTCAAGTCGTCTCGTACGACGATATCGAAGGAGAGGCAGCGCCGCCGATCCCGCGCCAGAGAGTGTCGTATGGCAGCGACTCCAACGACGACGAGGGCGAGCAGGCACCCGATCAGAGACATGCTGTTGTATCGAAAGAGGCTTTGAGAGAGCGCGAACGTCCACAGACAGACGTCACCTATGGTCAACAAGGCGCTTTCCCAGGTCTGGACCCACGCGACAAGGAGCCTTTCTACGGTCCTGCTAACGATGGTCTTGACTACTTGCGCATGGTCAGGTAAGTGACGATCGCCCCTTCGATTGTCATCCTGTTCGCTAACGCATTGTCAGGTCCGAAGCACGCGGCATTCCGCACGTAGTCAGCGCTCCACCTCCCAAGCCATTCCAGCCTACCGATTACGAAGATGACGACTACGAGGAACACGTCGACGACTACGGCGGCTATTATGAGGAAGAGTCGGATGGCGAAGATGAAGGAGGTTATTACGAAGATGGCGCTTATGTGGCTCCCCCGATTGTCGCTCCCATTATCGGTCCTGTCCAGTCAGGCATGAAAGCCCAGGATGCCTTCTACCGCTCTCTCATAACTCGATTCGAGACACTGCGCCGCAATCTACGCTCTCCGCCCTCTGTCCAGTCTGTTCAGGGCTTGGATGATAAGCACCCCATCTCGCTTCCATTCGGCAATAAGATGGCCGACAAGGAATGGAAATACCACCTAGTACACACCACACCACTTCCCGCTCAACTCGCCTCTCTCGACTCGCCGTCTATCCTTCGCCTCCTGAAGCTCGTCGAAGGTCAGTTGGAAAATTGCCGCAAGACCAACATTCCACACAACCTCAGTCTGTGGGCTTGGTCGTTGTTGGCTAAATTGGAAGATGTGGGTTTGTTGCAGACCAGAGATGTCAGTGTCGTACGAGACCTGGCAAAGATGGCCGTCTGGGTACGTATGATGCATCATAAATCCAAGTACGGTAGGTCCAACGATCCTGATTACGAGCATCTCGATCACTACCCTGAGGAGAATGCTGCCCAGCAAGAACAAGAAGAAGGCGAAGTCGTCGATGAAAAGCCAGCTGATGCTGAAGCTGGCGCACCAGAGGTTGAGCCAGTCGGTGCTGCTGAACCAATCGATGCTGCAGTACAAGCACAAATACAAGAGGAGATCACAGCAGAGACTGGAAATGGAGATGCAGCTATGGATCTGGATTCCGAAGACCAACTTCTGGATGCCATTGCTGCTAAGAAGCGCCAGCTGCAGACTGAAGCTGAAGCCCAAGAGAAGGAGCAGAAATTAGATGAGTTCCCAGACACCAACACCTGCGTCACCATCGACATGCTCGTCACAGTGGCCTCTGAATTCTATGGTCAAAAGGATTTGCTCGTCGGTCGTCTGGCCTGGGACCATCCGACCGACTGAAAGCTTACTAATTGTACAAGATCCATCAATTCTTCAACAACCATGTTAATGCTGCAACAGCATATGCATCCACAGCCACTTGCAGCGTCGGCATGATTACAGGTGCAAAGTAAGCACTGTGGTTGATGGGCACATCTCCAGGCCGTCCTTCCGCGGCCGCCTTTTCCAGCAGTGCAGGATCTGTGCCACCATAAGTCCAAAAGCACGAAGGCTTTTCAATTGCAGTCGCTGTGAGTTACCGAAAGTCAGCTCATTGCACACTAGAAATATCCAAGTAGGGGAAAGTATCCTCGAGACTTACCAAGAATACCAAAATCCTCACTTCCTCCGAGCTTCGCAGCCGTGGTCGTATATTTGCCGTCTTCGGTCCCAAAATGCGCCGTGAAGGTCTTCTCCAATTTCTCCGTGACGTCTTCATCGTTAACAGTAAAAGGGAAGTTTCTCGTCGTCACAAACTCCGGATCCCTGACGGCACCGCTAGCCATTGATTCCGCAGTGACAATTCTCTTGACCGAGCTCAGCACTTTTTCCCTCGTAGCTGCATTCACAGCTCTGAGATCTAGCTTTAGTGTTGCATTGTCGGCGACCACATTTTCCGCGTCGCCTGCGATTATGCAAGCGCATGTTACCACTGCATTGTCCGCTGGATCCACCTCTCTGGACACGATTGTTTGAAGGCGCATCACTGTTGAAGCGGCCATTACCACCGGATCAACGAGCATATGCGGTTGACTGGCATGACCACCTTTTCCAAAAAGCGTGACTTCCAAGCTATCAGCAGAAGAAGCCATCAATCCCCTCTTCGTCCCCAGCGTCCCAGCAGCTTGCGGCATCACATGTCCTCCCAACACTACATCCGGGATAGGAATCTTGTCGTACAACCCATCCTTCACCATAGCTTCAGCACCCTGACCTTTTTCCTCTGCGGGTTGAAACAGCGATATCAACGTTCCCGACCAAGTTTCCTTCGATCCGTAGAGTAAGCACGTAGCAGCCAACAAAGAAGTAATATGTATATCATGTCCACAAGCATGCATAACCGGTTTCTCCACCCCATTTAGATCAATCTGTTTTTTCGTACTCGCCCATGGTAATTCGGTTTTTTCCAGTACGGGGAGACCGTCTATATCTGCGCGGAGGAGGATCGTGGGACCGGCGCCATTGGAGAGGACGCCAGCTAGACCGTGGCCGCCGATTGAAGTGTGGAGGTCTAGATCCGGGCATGTGGACTTCAAGATCGAGGCGATTTTGGCCGCGGTTTCTTTTTCTTGGTGGGATAGTTCTGGGTTGGCGTGGAAGTGTTTGTAGAGGGGCACGTAATCCTTTTCCAGGTCCGGACGGTGGGATGATATGATTTCGCTGATGGAAGCCATGGTCCGATGCAAGTTTCCTGGAGATTCGAAGAGACGTGCGATTGGGAAGTGTTTGGAATGGAGGGGTTGATTTGTGTATTCGAGGTAGGTGGTTGTTTGTATACCCCGCTTTCCCCTTCGCCTGTATGTTGGCCGTCGTGCTCGAAAGAGGAAGGCGGCCGGCAATTGGGGTTGATAGGCACTTGATGACTCACTTGCAGCAGCAGACAAGCAACTGAGCTTAGGAAAATTATACAACACATTGCGATTGCTGGATATCTTCAGAGGGAGCTCCCATGAATCACTGAACGAATCACAGATGGACATAGTTGAAGGGATCGAGCAGAAATATAGCAGAGCTCGAGGTCATGAATGCTTGACAAAATGCTACATAACATGCTGCGGCAACATAAAAAAAAGTACAGCAATCCACAATCAAGAGCGCTTGACCCGAGGACGACTTCTTGATCCTGCGTTCTTTCGCCCTCCACCTTCTTTCCATTTTGATCCTGTGCTGCTCTTGTTCATGCATCCTGATGGTTTCCTGTCGTTTCTGTTCTTGCATCCTGATGGCTTCCTGCCGTCTCTGTTCCTGCATCCGGATAGTCTGTAACCGTTTTATCTCTTCCCATTCGATGATTTCTGCGCGCAACCTGATCTCTACTTTCTTTGCCTCTTCCCTACGCTTGATCGTAGAGTTGAGTTCTGATGCGCCAGGATCTTTGGACAACCAGGCTCGCATCGTTTTGTCCAATTCTGTTTCGTCGTTGAGCACAGAAGGCGCGATGGAGCCAGCATGGTCGAAGAGACGATATGCCAAGGAGGACTCGTCCGCGAAGTGTATCTTGTGTAATGCTGAATGTGCCCTCCCAGTCTCTTTGAGGTTTTCCGAAAATGGTGCGAGGAAGCGCACAGAGTTTGTGATATCGACCATTGTATCAGTGGGATTGTCCCAACTAGTTTTCGAGCTTTCAATAGTGATGCTTTTGACCTGGGTATTTTGGCTCTCTACAAAGTCCAGGGCATAGTCCAGGTACCGAAGCGAACGGGTGAGAGGATACTCATCGGGTTCACAAAGTACACTCATAGGGTTCCAGTGCCAGTTTAGATCTTTTGTTGCGTAGTAGAGGCTGATGACTTCCTGTCGGATGCTTTTGTTCACAGCTGCGAACATTGGGGTACTCCACTGAAGCTGCATCGCTTTGCGATAGTCGTTGCATTCGGCGGTGAAGAAGCATTTGCACTTCCAGTTGTGGCTGTCTTCGACGACTCGGGGTACCTTGAAGGAGAATTGGTAGATCATGTTGCGAATCTCGGGAGGGAGATCAAGGAATCGGAAGGGCTGCCCGCTTTGGCTAGGTGGTGGTGCGATGGCCGTTGAGTAGAGCTTCGATGACGACCGCATGCTGTCGCAATGTTGTTGTGAAGAGGGCACGATGCGCAGACCGTGTTGTAGAGACATTGTAGTGGATGGGCTACAAGGGTTGATGGTGGTTGGGATGCGAGTGGTGGACTGAAAGTGAGGATGCTTTGATGCTGGGTCTGGATGAGATAGACGAGTGCGTTGTCATGTACTCGAGCGCTTGAGATGTGCGGATCAAGAAGTCTTGATAGTTATGGTTGTAGCGATGCTCGGATAGTATGACTTATAGCACATGAGTCAAAGGCCCCAAGTTGATGCGCGACAACTGTCTCAAAATACCTCGAATAACTTTCGGATAAATCCTGCAGTCAAAGTCTGGCTAGACATTAAAGAACGTACAGCAATGAGAGAGCTAGAATCGACGTGGTGGCGTCTCAAATTGTCGATTGCTTGGAAAGAATTGTATCTGGTACTAGCAAGTGCTTGAAATACGCTGTCAGGGCGGAATACCACGTGGTTTGTTCCGTGAGACTTCTGCGCTGTATCATAGCCTGAATTCGCTGCCGCTATTAATACTCGCGTTGTCCTAACTTGGGACGAAGAGTACGCGCGCGAAAGGCAGAGTGGGCAGTCACAGAATCTTTCTACGAATCGTCTGTTCCTTTGTCGGGTGCATCCTCCATAGTCGTGTCCTTTTCGGGACTATCTTTCATGGTCGTGTCTCTCTCGATTGCATCCTCCTCTGACCTTTCTGATCCCGCTTTGGTGTCGTTGTCGAGCTTCTTGGTGAGTGCTTCCTCCTGGGGCTCCGAGGCTTCTGCTATCTCCGCCTCCTTGACCTCAGAAGAGGTCACTGCGACTGGTTGTTCGTCAGCTTCCTCTTCTGTAGCAATGGTTGCTGGTTCCTCCGTGATCTCCACGGGTGCTTCCGTTACTTCTTGTGCTTCCCCCACGAGCTCTTGTGCTACTTCTTGTGCTTCTTCAACGACAGAAACAGTCGGCTCATCTTGTGCTTCTTCCACGGCTGCGACAGTCGGCTCATCTGCTTCAACTTCGATTTCGACGTTTGCAGGTGCCGACACGGTCTCTTCGAGTCCAGAGACGGGTTCTTGTTCAGTAACCTGAGGGTCCTCTCCGTCGCTGAGCTCGCCATCTTCACGATCGTCATCCTCGTCGCCTTCTTCGCCTTCTTCACCATCCTCTTCATCTCCCTCCTCGTTGTCATTGTCGTTGTCGTCATTGTCGTTAGCGTCGGGCTTCGGAGTAGAATCAATGTCCATTGCCGAATCATCCGCGTTTGCATTCAAAGTCGAGGGCGTTGCGACACTAACTCCACCTCCAGGAGTCGAAGTTGCTGCGGCATTGTGACCGTCATCAGGGTTAAACATGACCTTCTTCTTTCCACGGCCAGGTCCACCCTTTCTGATTCTGCGTGGAGGGATAGGTTTGCGTCTCATCGGTTGTTGCTGTTGTTGAAGTAGATCGGTGGCGACAATGACACCTTCAGCATTCGCGATACCAACACCTTCAATGACTGTGCCTGGAGCTGCTTGCACTGGTGCAGCATCCGCCATGACAGTATCGTCAACCACCTCGCCTTCAACGGTTTGGCCTTCGGGAACAAGAACTTCGTAGACGGTAGTGTTGCCGTCTGCGTCTGATTTCATAACCTTAGTCCTCCTGGTGGGTGCCGAAGAAGCCGCGGCATTTGCTGCTTGCAATGCTATTTGCGTATGCAGACTAGGAAGGCCCTTTCGGCGCTTGGCAAGGAACTCGCGTTCTGGTTTCTCGAGATGCGATGGCACTTGGCTCCATTTCTTCGATTGCCATCCAGTTTGAACGGCTTCATTCTCATCTTCTTCTTCTGGCTTGTCGTCTTCGGTTGGTTCCTGAGGTCTCTTGGCAAGTCTAGGTCTTCTTGCTTCACGCAACAACTGTTGTGTCCAAGGAGCAAGCTGTGCTGAATCGCGTGGCATAGGTAGTTCTGGCCATGCATTGTCTCCAGTCTGGGCAACCTCTGTTGGTGGTGGAAGACCGACTATTGACTCAGATTGGTGCCATTGACGAACAGGTAGACCTTCGAAGACATCATGATCTGCCTGGGAGCGACCAGAGCGGTTGCTGCGACCTCCAGCGCGAAACTGATGAGCCATCAATGTCAGTTGGAATTCTTGAAACTTGCTCGGCGGTCGCGAAAGCTATTATTGGCCCTTGTGGAGCAGATACGTGGTGGATTGCGTTAGGAGTGCAGTGAAGCTTGTGTGAAGATGAAGGAATAGATATGGGTAATTGAGAAATAAGGCCAGATGGGGGTGTAAGTGTCTCTGGTGTATGAATGTCTTGACTAATGTTGAGCAAGATACACGCAGCCTCAAGAACCTCGTAATCGATGTTCTCAGGGAATACGTTGAAATCCATGTTCTTTTGGAGGGGGATGTGGTCGGGAAAGATGATTGGGGCAGTGGGGAATTCAGACAGTATGACGCGCGGGATTTTAGGGAAGGAACAGTGAACGGAAGAGCAGGATAGAGAAGCGCCGAAAGAGAAAGGAATAAGGCAAAGAGTGGGACAGAAAAGGGCAAGCACGTACAGGAGCCATGACTGTGTTTTTTTACACTTCGGGCAGCGGGGATTTCAACACCGGTCGCGGGTCTCGATCAACTGCAGTACGTATCCCTAGGTTACAAGTCTGCAGCCTTGAGATATTGTCTGATATTAACGCAGTTTTGAGAGTTATTATCGATGGTTTGCTTGGTTGGCGACAGCGCGTCTCTCCTCACGGCCCGACGACGCGACTGATGGACGTTCTCGGGAGGCTCGGCGTCCGGCGACTCCTCGGCATCCTCCGTGTCTATGGCAGCGGCGGTGAGATGACAACAACTTTGGATAGAAACATGAAAGATGTGTATGGAATGATCGTATTGACTCGAGTGATCGTATGTTTTACAGTTCAGCCCAGCAGGGCGATTGGTATTTTGGAAAGCATATAAACCGTGACTCCACCTCCATTAGACCCCAAAGAAGATAAGCTTAGTCCCAACTAGTATCAGATGTCAGCATGTGCATCAAGTATCGAGAGGGATGTTCAAACTCACCCGTGCTCGGTTTGTCTGACGATATCGCCCTTGTTTCCGGTTTGCTTGCCGGTCTTGCCTCCCTCGACTACTAGCCTGTCTAGCTGGAAGAACTGGCTGACGACGGTTTGTCTCTGCAAGTGAAAGTCAGCGTTTGTGACTTGACTTGTGAACCAGGTTGAGAACTATAGGTGCACAGAGATGCAACAATCGTCGCAGAGGCGGATGGCTAATGTGGCTCTCGTCATCTCGCTCTTAATGCACTCTGGCACCACTGCGCGTAGCATCTCCTAGCCCATGTATCTTCCACCAAAAGCTGGAATCCTCTTCTAGCAACTCACCTTCAACATCTGCAACTCTGTGTTTCCTCTCGACAATAGCTCTTGAATTTTACTTGAGTCGGATTCGGCAACGTGCTGGCGGAAAGCATCCTTTGTACGGCGCACAGCATACTCGCGAAAGTTGTATGCGGCGAACTGGTTTCCTTGACGCAGAAGCTTGCGATACTGTGTGTCGAGAGTTTGTTAGCTTGTGGTGCTCTTCTTCTGTTCAGCGGTGATATGTCGTGTCGCAAGATGCATTTGTCGGCCAGGGCTCTTCGCAGTGATCGGGATGGATTGATCGTACCAGGGAGCGGACTTGGTTTGCTGATGAACTCATGTTCGGGTATGTGGTGATGGTGAGGCAAGACTTTCTTTCACAAGTTGTGTCTGCGGCAAATGGTCAGCATGAGTTTTTCACGCCAGCTTCGCGTGTTGCACTGCTTGTGCCGGTCCAGACGCGCGAGTGAAATGACATACCTGGGATATTGATTGACAAAGGTGTGTTCAGCAGTCGGCGCGTAGGTGTAATAGCTATCTTTACAAATGTTCAGCAGCGTTATGTCATGATAAGTCCGAAGCTCCGTCCGACTTTCCGGAGATGCTTGGCAAGGTCTGGACCTCTCTCGAGTACTGAAATGCTCAAACAGAAATGGAAGAAACAACTTCGATTGATAGAAAAGAGATCAAATCGTGCAATTAAAAGACATGATAAAACCTTTGTGTTAAACCACAAAGAATACCCAAAGTGCGTGCCTGAAAACTCCTCATTTGTGATGTGACGCCGTCCAGGTATACCATCCGTTCCCAAATTCCGACCCCCCTTAAAATCACTCGTCCGCGTTGACGGCTCTCATGGTGCGAGCCATCTTGGTTGCATCCTTTGTCAAAGGTCTGACTTTCATCGAGCCCTTGGGTATGCTTCTGTTGTCAATGCTACGACGAGCCGACTTGGTGACCTGAGAGCTACCAGCACCTGCATTCTTGACCTTGGCAGCAGGACTCTCCTTTTGCTTGATGGACGACAGTCTTCCAAGCTTTTGAATCTTCTTGGAGGGAGCCTCAGGGGTGGCCTTGGGTCTGTGTCCAGTCATTCTGGTAGTGACTTTCTGAACGAACCGTCTAGCTCCGTTCTTGTCCTTGGTGACAGCGGTCGTGGTAGTCGTCTTCTTGACTTGGAGGTCTGCAGGCAGGATACCTTCCTTTTGAAGGCGTGCGATTTCCTTGTCCTTGCGAGCCTCCTCGATTCTGGTCTGCTCGATCGAGTCGTCGACGTACACCCAACCCTTGGACATTTGAGGGACCTTGCGCTTCTTAAACAGGCCCTGGTCCACTTCAACAGTAGGTGTAGTGCCGAAGAACTCGCCGACCTTGCGCTTCATACCAGCAGCCATACCCTCCTTCTCCTTTTTGGTTACTGGCTTGTTGGCATCCTTCGGTCTAGGACCCAAGACACCACGGCAGTTGGTTGCTCCACAACGGCACTCCTGAACGTTCTTAACGGAGTAGGGACTGCGGAATTGTTAGTTTCATCCTTATCAAGATTTGGCTCAGCACATACTCGAAGTTGTAGTCGTAGGTCAATTCCTCGCCGGTCAGGATGCCGCGATCACCTGCAAACAGTGCCATGCGGGGCTGACCGCTGACGAATCGCTTGAGCATCCTGCAGTTGGGCTCGCAAGAGTGGTTGACAAAACGTGCGATGGAACCCTTGGTAGCATCAAGAATCATGCCTTGGTCGAATTCCATCTGGTAGTAGTCCTGTGAGATGTCAGTAAAGTGTCAAACATCACTCGTGTATGACCAATCTTACGGCCTTGTCCTTATAATCCTCGCGGATTCTTCTGCCAGCCTCGTTGGGTGTGATGATTTCACCAGTGTACTCAGTAATGATCTGATTGGGCTCGTAGGATCTGCATGCGCGAACACCAAAGCCTCTGTCTTGAGTCTTGACAACCTCTACTCCGGCGTTGAAGAGGTATGATGCCGACTTCTTATCAGCCTTGTTTGCGCGCTCCATGCGGACACCAAGGCCTGCAAAGTCGCGGTTGGTGCACTGGTCTCCAAGGGCGCAATTGTTGGAATCACACTCGTAATCCATGGCGCGGTTAAGGCAGTGTTCGCCGCATCCAGGTTCTGAAGAGCCAGGGACTGGCGGCGTACAGATACACAGAGATCGCTCAAAGTATGGTTTCCTCCAGTAATGCTGAGCGTCGCCGACCAGACGGTTCTTGTGGACCTTGCCCCAGTCCTTTGGCTTCTCCTCACCACGTTGATGGTGCACAGGAGCAAAGACGTCGTAGGGGATGGTGAAGGGTCTTTCTCTCTCTAGATAAGAGAACATGGGTAAAGCCACGAGACTACCGCGGCTCTCAGTTCTTGTGGCATCGGGAAGGAAGGATGTTGACACAGGGCGGGCCTTGCCGGTGGGCTTTCTTGTAGGCTTGGGGATTGATTGGTCGTCATAGCTTGAGATGGTTTGGCCGGCATAGAGACCTTGTGACTCGTAGCGCTTGGTGGGCTTCTTAGGCTTCGATGAGAAGACTTGCGGCATGGTGATGCTGAAGCTCGAGGAAAGGCGTGCGAGCTTGCTGGGTCTTTCGACACGCTCTGCTTGCTCCTCGACTGTGTTGTCCTCCTGCTTTACCTCCTCTTCCACATCCTTGGGCGCCTCAATGGCAAGTAGTCGGCGACTTTGTCTGCGACCGGAGTTATCGCTTTCGCTAATCTCCCTGTCGCGCTTGCCGAGTACGCTCTTCATTCTACCCATCGCGCGACCGGTCGTCTCGATCAACATGTCGATCGAAGACCTGTGACGGCGCTTCTTCCTAGCAGGTAGATCAACATCGCCATCGCCGGGCAAGTTGTCCATCTCCCAGTCCATGTTCAAAGCCTTGACACCGTCGTTCAACAGCTGGCGATGAGGGGTGCTGGATGAAGGCTCGGGGGCGTCGTCGACAAGAGTAGCTCCAGAGAAGTCACGAATGGCCTTTTCTTGAGCCATTTCGATACCGGCAGAAGTACGACGCACGCCAGATAGAAGACCCAGGTTGTATGATGCGGGACCAGACTTGCGGCGCGATGATCTACGTGTCATGTCTGCAATAATTGTCGCGTTTGTGTCTTCCTTGTCAAGTGCTGAGCTGGCCTGGTCTTGCTCGGAGACACTGGTAGGGGGCGTGGACGTGAGAGCGAGAGCAGCAGACGAAAGCGAGCCCTCGCGCGCGCTCCCACCGACCTCGATGTTCGACGCAGCTGAAGACGAGCTCGTCGATCCCGACGAGAGCCTAGCAAGAGGCATACTCTTTCTTTGCCTTGCCATCGTGCTTGATGACCTTGTTTCGAAGTGTGGTGCAGGGCAAGGAACGAGGTAGAAGTAGAGCGATCAAATGGTGGGGAGACGCGAGGAAGAGACGCGCTGCCGAGAGTGTCCCGTTGCGAAGATCTCGAAGCACTCTGTTCGTGACACGGTCTGTTCTTTCGACGAAAAGACGAATCTATATTCGACTATTGTTCGACGATGCTCAAAAGCACATTTCACTCTACAAAAGGAAGGGGTATTCAGGGATGGGGTTTCCGTTTGTTGTGGCACGGTTCGGAGCTGAGTGGGAGTGGAGGATAAAGTTCCCGCGCATCAGTCGCGTCTTTTGTGGCATTCCGCTCCCCTTAGCAACACCCGCTCGACATGTGCATCTGCATGAGTAGTCAGTCAACTCACAGCCTCGACGACATGTGATAAACAAGTCTTCAGAAGATAATTGATTCGCTGATAGGGGTATAGACACAGGCTAAATATATATGTACAATCAGAAGAGAGAGCAAAGACGAATAATAAAACAAATCCGGCGTGGTAAGCGTGAACAATCATCACAGCGGAAGGGCTGTAATGTCATAGAGATTTCTGAAGAGAAAGCGGAGGTGAAGTTGTGAGGCATTCTACCCTCGAGGAGTGTTGTTGATGGGCGTCAAGGTTCTCTGGCCTTGATAGCCAACGTTGCTGTTAGCAGCGCCGGCGTTGATTTCACCCATCTCCACGTCGCCGTCCTTTTCAGTCTGCTTAGGTGTCTTAGACCTAAGCTCGCCAAGACGTTGATCGCCTTCTGCGTAGCGGTGCCTAAAGCGCATGTATGTCGGTGGACGAGGTCTAGTGAAAACACTAGACCAATTTTTTAGGATCGAGTGCTGGCTGAAAGGTCTGTGGCGGTCCTTCTTCTGGAACTTATGGCTGTTCAGGTACTCTCTTGTTGTTTCACCCCTGCCCATGAGGAAGAGATGGTATCCCCACAGACTCAAAGGATATGTGAGGATTATGAAAGAATACACGCACATGGCAGCTGGGACGCGCCAAACATTAAGAGCATGTGCAAAGTCGGAGTTGTTCCGGTGCATCCAAACGAGGATGTGAGTAAGACTGGCGGCGAGAAGAAATAGACCTAGGACGGTTCCAGAAGCGACAAAGGTGAGGAAGTAGCGGTAGTTGCGACGACCAACGCAGTTGTTGAGCCACACACAGTGGTGATCCTGAGTCTCGATACACGAGTCACAGATGCGGCAGTGGTGAGCACGAGGAGGACGCCAGATATTGCATGACTTGCAAAACTTGATGGGCACCTCCATAGCGGTAGTGGTATTACCACCTGCAGATGGGGCAAAGGATCTAACAGTGACCCATTCAGTGGTAGACGGACCGATGGCTAGAGGATCCTCATCCGCTGGGGTCGGCGGCTGAGGATGAAGATTACGTGGGATGATCTGCGTTTAGTCAGCAGGTGATGCTCCATGGTGTCGGAGACAAACTTACCCCTGGTTCAGAAAAAGAGGCATGGAGGTAAGAAGATAGACAGATGAAGAAGACATAAGCAAAGAGGATGGGTATCGCTGGTGAAACATGATGCCATAGCCATGGCGCGCTGTAGCAAGAGTCAGTTGGTTGATCCTCTATGCAGGGTCTTCTTCACAAGTGCTTACGAGAAGCCAAAGAACAAAGCGGCAGGAATGATAGCAAGGAGTGCAGTAAAGACATTAAGTGGCCGCTGGCGAGTATTAATAAGTCTGCCACGCAGAAAGAAGACAGCGTTGCCGTTGAAATATTGGTAGTTTCTTCCAGTGCTCGGTTTGTAGTCGTCCAGAACAGGAGTGGCCTTGTAGTTTGCAGGTGATGGGGGTACCGAAGGAAGCTTCTCGTGGCCGTCTCTATCGGCACTTCGACCGTTCACTCTGCTAGAGCGACTCTGACGACTCCATGAAGCACGCAGTGAGATGGGCGACTTCTGGGCTTGCAGTGAAGAAGTCGATCGAGTGGTCCCGTCGATGTCGAGCGTGGGTGGTTTTCGTAAAGGATATTGACTCTCCTGGCTCTTAGCACTGCCGAAAGGCTGCAAATCTCTGTTGAAGTCGTAGTTTGTGGTTCCAGTTCCCCGAGAAGTGGGCAAAGGAGGAGCATCCGGGTCGATCCTTGGTCTGTTGCTCTGTTCGAGAGTGACTATCGACGCATTACTATTGCGGGAACGGTGTGTTCTACGGCCACTGTCGGTGCTTGGTCTTGCTATAGGAAGCTGCGGTTGTTGTGGACTGGTCGGCGGTGGAGATTGTGGATCGGTACGTCTTGGACTGGTAGGAAGGAATGCGCTCGAGATGAGGTTTGGAACATGGGTTCGTCGAGATGGATCGTTCTGGTAGCTGCCACCACCACGGCCACCCAGTGATGGCACGGGAGAGCCTACACGAGCCTGTGGAGCAGTGGATCGTGTGCGAGATGCCGAGTTGGCCGTGTTTGAAGTGGGACGAGATGGAGGAAGACCTGATTCTCCTACGGGACCGGTGGTGGTAAGGACAGTGGAAGGTTGATGGTCTCTGTCTAAACCTTCGTGGTTGGTAGGAAGTCCAGTGTCGGCCATGATCGTCAAGCGCCGGCGATGATCAATGCATGTCCTATATACGTCGTGCTTTTGTCGCAATTGCAATCCGTGGCACTCAAGTCCCCGCGTACACACCGAACGACGAGATCCTGGACCGGAAGAGAACAAAAGTAGTCAGTTGTTTGCTGTGAGTTGTAGGAAGTTGACGAGGTAAACTGAGATCCGCGCCGTTTCCAAATTGCGCCGCCGAGGGTCAAGCCCGCGAGTCCGTGCCACCTGAACTTTATCATCACTTTAGTCGTCCATTAATTTACCACTCTGGGTACTTCAGGCCGTCTTCCTAACCGGCGGTGTCTTTGATTGTTGACTCGTATCATTGATGGTTGTGAATGTAATCGTATAACTGGTTTGATCTGCAGATACAAGTTTTGTTATCTGTTGTGTCAAGACGCGTACAGTTTGTGTGATCTCATCACGGTAGTCCGAAGATGGAGGTGTGAAAACAGTTATTGCACCTTTGTCGCTCTCTTCGAGTGCATGGAGAGCCGACCTTTCAATAGACCAATGAGACATACTAAACCATATATTCAGTGAATTACCAACTGACATGACCCAACACACCATGTGTTACAGCACTTTCGATGCGAGATCATCATGCTTTGGGGGTAACCCTGGTCGGTGACGATGACCCGAAGACGCCAAGAGTCACGCCAGCCAGCTTTCCACCGGCTCTCTCTACCACAATTCAGACCGCAAGCATCACCAATTGGACTCTCCACTCCACCACACCACACACACCCTCACAATGGCCTCAATCATCGGACGCGCCGCTTTCCGCGCAACTCGCCCTCTCCGCTCTTCGGGCATCAACGCCGGCTCCGAGAGCGCCGCTTCCCACGCCAGCCGTGAAGCCGACAAGAACGCTCTCAAGCAGGGCGCCCGCAAGGACCCCGAGCTCTACGTACGTCGACACTTCCTGCACGCTTTGTTGTAAAGAAAAAGAGATATTGCGCATATACAGCAACCCTCCGTACCCTTCTACGACCACCGCCATCCTTCCCCACACACGCAGTCAAACCAACGACAAGCAATGCGATTACAGTCACTGACAACCACTTCCAGATCCTCCTCACCATCATGTCCGGTGCCTTCGGTCTCGCCGGCTGGCACTTCTCCCGCAACCCCACTTCCTCCTCATCCGAGAACCCCGTTAGCATCGCCCCCGACTCGGAGCCCTGGAAGACCGGCGGCGACGCCAAATACCAGTACCACCCCGGTGGTGACACCTCCAAGGCCCGCAAGGATGCTCCTTCTGCTTTGAACGAGGTCATCGTCCCCAACGTCAACCTGCCCAGAGTGAGTGGAATTACCCAATCTGAGATGTGCTGCTGCGGCATTTGCTGATACCTTGAACAGGAGCTTCACGAGAAGTACAACAAGTGGGGCAAGGAGGGCTACTAGACGGCCAAACGTGGCTACTCCAATACTGTATAGAGATACCTCAAACTTGAAAGCCGCCCTTTTTCTTCTGTCATACTTAAATTTCACGTTTCCTACGAAATCACTGCTCGCTTTGAACACTTGAAAAGTCTTATTTGAATCAGGATTGATCTGTATCGATTCGTCTGTCTACAATACAAAACGTCTTGAGGGGAGAAGAATGCGGGTATGCATCGAGAAACCATAGACCATAAACCATGAGCTATCCGCTTGCTCGATTAGCAGCCAACGACCCACCATCCATGCCCTTTATACGCCATGAAAATGCTTGTCGTGAACGGTCGTTATCATGTTCTTGAAATGCAATAATCATCCTCGCACCAGTTTTTCTTGCTTCAGTACTTCACGTTTGAGCCATATCTGAGTCTTCCGTTCGAAGCATGCAGACCACCGCCGTTGGTTCCACGGTGACTGTCAAACGGATCGAACTTGCTCTCGAAGGGGAGGGGTCTGTAGCGCGAGTCTCTACTAATGCGCTCAGGGGGCTGACCCCACTCCTCGCCGAAGAAGCTGTCGTTACCGTTTGCGCTCTTGTCAACGCACCATTCGGGAGGATCGCAGAATGGTGCGAGATATCCACGACGCTGCTCGGGAGGACCCTGAGTGTACTGTGAGAGGCTCTCGTGCATGGACAGAAATAAGCGCGTCGTAACTTCATTGAAAGGTTCCGACTCTCGCGTCTTGTGAGGTGTGCCGACAGGTCCCGGATTGAGCCTTACTTGTGTGGTAGTGGGTGCCTGACAGTGTGCGGTCTTGATGTACTGGAAGTGCTCATTCTGACGCTCAATAGTCGTGAGACCACTGTAAAACCAATCATGCAGCTCCTGGTCGTGGCTCTTTCTGCTGGCCTCGCTAGGAATGTCAGGACTGCCCATGAAGAATGGACCGTTGAAGTTTTGCGGACTCGGTCTCGAGTAGATTGCAAGCTCTTCAGTGGTCATGTGAGGCAGATTGATGTCAACAATCTCCATAGACTTTGACTTGGGAGGGAATTCGGGCTCGCTAATGCGGAGGTCGTAGGCTGGGTCGTAGGCTAGATCGTCATCACTGGTGGGGGTAGATGCTTGAAGAGTATATGAGCAAGGCAACTGGCCGATGGGAGTGTTTGACCAGACTATATCATTATGTGTCTTCTCCGAGGTCTGAGGACCCGGCAGAGGTGTTCCGAGTGTAGCAGTCACCATTTTCGAAGGCTGATGACTCTGGAACGGATCATGAAGGACGGTTCGAGTTCCGGTGGTGAAACCAGTGTTGCGGAACGCGGCGGCACTGAAAATCTTATCGACAGATGCCTTGGTGAATTTGCGCGAAGCTGGCGAGTCTTCCTGGTCTGGTGAGGCAGTTTGAGGGTGTGCCTTCTCCAGGAAAGCCAAGAAGTCCAAGTTAGGAATTGGAGAATAGAGCTGCGAAGTGGCCATCTGCGGCATACTCTTTGGCAAGAAGGAGTCCAGATACTGACTATGCTCACCCACACCGGGACGCTCCGAAGCGGGCGTCTTGAGATTAGGAAATCGGGAGCTGTTGTCAACAAGGTCATCGTCCATGCTCGTAGAGAAAATTCCGAACGATAGGTTGTTGAGAGCAGTCAAGCTTTGGGGTAAATTGTCGTATGGGTTGACCGAAGGGGTATTGTGATCAGCAGCGGAAGATAGGAAGTCACGCTGGAAAGAGAGGTTGTTGGATGCTGGCGCTCTCGGGACGCTTGACACTTTAGGCTTGCTACGAACACGTGAAGCGTAGCCCTGTAGCCATGGCTGACGATCAGGCCCAAGCGATGATGTGCGAGTTTGATCCTTCTTCTCAGGACGGCGATGTTCAGATTCTGACCCAGCCTGTGTTACGGCAACAGCGGGCATGATTGGCGCTTTACGTACAGTACGGTCGACAGGAATCTTGGGCATTGCGGCCTGCAGCTCTTTCATGCCAAACGGCATCTTCATAATGGCCGCCTCCTGTTGTAGAGCTACTGCTCGAAAGTAACTGAGAGTATGCAGTAGGAGGCTGTGTAGATCGTTCTCGCCCTTCAGTCGATGAGAGGCTAACATACCCTCAGTACGCCTGCGGATATTGGAGAAGAGTCCGATGTTGTACCATTGGAAATCGTTGGCTGACCACTGATGACCACTGATATCCCCGTTGGGATGCATAGCGAATCCAACTTCACCATTGATGTTTCCGACGCTGCTCAGGAAGTGTGCCATAGGAGGCAAGTCGTTGCCAAACACTTCGTTGATCTCATGTTTGTTGCAAGGCGCATCGATTGTAGACGTCTTTTCATCGACCTTGACCTCATGGGCGTTCAGACCGGTAGGCCTGGAAGATGGCTTCGTCTTTTTGCTGGTTACGAGCTGAAATTCCCCGTCATCCAGGCTGAGATTGGCAGAGTCCTTTCGAGGTGGCTCACGGGTACGAGAGATGGAACTGTCGCGCGAGCCGGGGCGGAAGACTTTGGCGTGGACATCCAAAGGGCTTTCGTTGCGTGACGTGCGGCTTGTAGAAGCCATGTCGCCATCACTCGACTCAGGATAGTCGAGAGGCAGTCGCTGTTTTGGAAGCACCTTCCGTGGTATCCTAGGCATGGCGATTTTGCTGATCGGGATGGTGGGATCATTCTCGATGATCCTTCTGCTTTGTCTTTCGAGTCGGGCTGTTGCCAGCTCGGCAAGTCGGAATCGATCCTCTGAAGCTGAGTCTGCGAAAGACATTCTGCCGGTGTCGGTTGAGTTCAGGCTTCTGCTCGAAGACTTGGGCGACGGTCCAGGCGTAGAGTGAACATAAGGCTCGGGGGAAATGTCCTTGTCGGTCTTTGCGTCGTCCAGGTCTTCTGCCTTGACGATGTTGAGATGAGTAAAAGGCTGCTTAGGCTTCGAGGCTGAGGAACGCTGAAGCAGGAGATCTGCTTGAGTGCCCAATGGTAGTCGGCGCTCAGAAATATTGTGCAGAGTAGGTGTGCGCCTTTGCAAAGCTGAGGCAGAAGGTTTGTCAGTGAGCTCACGTCGAGGAAGGAAGGATGCCTTGCACTTACCTCGGGCACGGCGCCCGGAATGAGTTGTGCTCGCCAGCGTGAATTTGTTGATGGATATTGCAATAATTAGAGACTTGCTCGTTAGAGTTAGAGGATAAGACAAGTGTCTGAAAACAGAGATGCGAGTAGTCAATTGTCTGTTGATGCGATTGGAAGAAGTGCGAGACCGATGGTGCAGTCGACCAACATCACAGAGGGAAAGAAGCCGGAAGTCGCGTCGTTGCTTGAATGCGACTGTCTCAGCTTCACTTGGTTTCCTGTCGCGTCCTGGCGTTTCTCGTGAAAGTAGATGTCGACTCGCAACCCCTAGTCGTAGGTTACGAGGTTGAATGTACACGAGCATGCAGACTTCACTCCAGCAAACAGAGTGACGAACAGGTTAAAGACAAAACGAGACTCAACAAGACATTCGAGATTGAGCAGCAACTCAGAAGAGTAATACCGCTTGTCCTCCATGTCTTTGACATTGGACATTCAAGTAATTGTCTCAGTCGGCCCGTCTGCTCGGGTTGCAGTCAACATCACCTGTTCGCATTTCAGCAGTCATGCAACTCTAGTCCCTAATCGATATCCCACAGGTTAGAATATTGTGCAGTCTGTTTTGTCGGTCATTGAGTTTATACACCACGAAATTCAACCTCACCATTAAGCAAGCCTACCACTTGTGTGATCATACTCAAAGCCTTGAGCCCTCTGGTCTTTCGTAAAGATAAGCTCATGCTTCCATCAATTCATCTGCACCTTTACGAAGCAACTATTGTAGTCTTCCGCGAAGACGCGTCTGACTTGACTGCGTAGTTTCGGAACAGACCAAAGAGCCATACAGGTTGAATTGAGCTCGGTCGCGCGTTGCCACCATCGCGATCGTTTGAGAGCCTGGGCAATCAACAAGTTTTGCATTTCAATTGACAAACACGACATGCAGATCTAGCTCTCAGGCGACATCACGCATGCAGGAACGGCGAGGTCTTTGTTTCCAAAACCGATGAATTACCGAGGCTTTCAGGCGAGTTTTATCTTATCTCCTTGGATCAGTAGATCTCCTGATCATCATCATGCTTGATAGAAAGAGAGGTCGCAGAACAACACGGCCTCGAAGGTAAGACGCATGATGATAGCTCTTTCCTGAGATGGTTGAATTTTGGAATACTGCAGATGTCTATTGAGGACTATGGAAGGGACCCTCTCGAGAACCAAACTTCTCTCCTCACAACCTATTCATTGCTTTGACCAATTATCATCGATCGTACCCTAATTCTACACATATCACGAATCAGATGCCTACTCCGATGTATCGAAGACCAGCCGCTGTGATTCCTTGCGCCGTTCTGGTCTATCTCAGCTTGGCCCCTGCCGGACACTTCCTGGCTCGCAAGGGATTGGAAGACCATGAGCCGCAAGATCAAGACAACGAACCTGCAGCTAGCCACAAGCACAAGAACGAAAAGTGTCAAGGTCATGAGCACGCGAAACATGATTTAGGACATCATCAGCAAGCACAGAAGGCAAGACGGAGTCCAAGTCTCAACAACAGGTTGAAGGCACGTTATCGGACGACAAGACGCATGGCGATAGCATTGACTCGAAGGCTTCTGACACTCAACAAGAAAAGAAGAATTAATCGGGTTGAAGTGCTGCATGGCGGAAGAAGGAGAGGCTAAGGAGAGATGCAATAGAGTATTTTGGCAAGTCTCAATGCAGCGATCGGAGGCCTTTGTAATCGATCCGAGTGGCTGAACTAGTCGTTTTTTGCTGAGTCGCACGGATCGACAGAGTTCATGCTATCCGAGCATATCCTTGTGAATTTGCATAACTTCAGCCGTTGCTGCTTAACTAAAGCAGCAGCTACTTTAGTTAAGCAACAACGTCGTTCGCTAAACATAGTATAGCGAGTCTTAATACGTAGTTAGAGAGCGAAGGTTTAATAGATTTAGCGCGTAAGAGGTAGAGCTCGAGCTCGAGCTCGAGGAGCTTAATGTCGAGGTAGTAATAGCAAGGTAGGTAATCTATATAAACACTAATAAATTAGTTATGTCGTTTAATGTCATCTTTGTTAATCCGAGCTAGCTACCTACTATAAGAACTAAGAAGACCCCTAAAGAGAAGCTTACCGCTAAGGAGTTAAACAATCGTAAGCCGTCGTATCTATAGTATAAGGAGCGTAAGAAGAACTTCCTCTATTAATGCCTATCGTTTACTAAGTCCTATATAAAGAGCAAGGATCTTTAGAGCTTTATTAGCTAGATAGAAGAGGTTTAGAGGGATAGATACCCTCTTAAGAAGAAGATTACTAAGACCTGCCGCGTAGTCTATAGTAGCGATAATAGTAATACTCTAGTAAAGGGGTAGTTACTAGAGTTCTCTAATCTTAAGAAGGCGCGCGGATCTAGCACCGGCTTCTATAAGCAGTCTAAATACGAGAACTTATATAAGGAACTGCTATGTTAGGAAGATAAGCGTATAGCCTTAAAGTTAGCTACAACTAAGAAGGATAATGCGTATAAGGACTATAAAGATGCGACGGTCGTATCGATAAAGAAGCGTAAGGTTAGGGACGACAATATAATATCGTTAAAGGCTAAGGGTAAGAGGAAGGCGACCTATAGTTAGTCTTAGTTAAATGCTGCTATTTAGTGTTAGCTAGATGTTAATGCGTAAGAGAAGAAGGATATAACATAACTTATCGTTAGCCTACGTAACGAGCTCGCTAATAGTAATGCTCTAACTCGCGAGGAGCGCCATTATCGCTAGAGTATCGATAGTCGTATTAGTTAGCTTAATAAGCTCGATGCTAAGCGCTAGAGCGAAGAGGAGCACTTATATCGACTAGAAACACCTAAGAAACAGGAATACGCCTTTAAAGTAGCATATATAAGGCTCCGCGAGGATCTAGTTGCTAAGATGTTTTATCGCGCCGAGGTTCGCTATACTACTCGTATAAAGGTAAAGGAGGCTTAGAAGGAACTAGACGATGTTAAGAGCTTCTTCTATATATATAAAACTAACGAGGAGTTTATAAGGAAGAAGAAGTTAGAAGATTTGCTTAGCTAGGTAAAGTAGTAAGAATTTGGCTTATTTTAGTACGTACTTTAATGTATTTACACGCTCGCTCCTATAGCTCGGAATTATCTAACCTTAGTCACTCTTTACTCTTAAACATTAACACTATCTAGATACTCTTCTACACTTAGAGGACGAAGGCTAAACCGTACGTTTACCGTCGTCGGCTTATCTCTACGCATATAGATATAGCAGTTCTTAAGCAACACTACTACGAGGTAGTATACGCTAACTAGTTGTTTTCTAAGGCGTAGACTACCTTTAAAATGAAGATAAGTCTCCTTTGTTATCGTCTCGCCGAGACCGTCTTTAACTATTACCCTTAAGTGTCCTAATACCGTGTTAAATACTAGTTATTCGTCGTTAAGATCCTAACCCTAAGGCCTTCGAAACGGAGCAACTATTCCTTCGATTTTATAGTATACGCTGTCCCTAAGCAGGAATAACTACTAATCTCCTAGAATTAGACTAAGGCGCTCTAGAACACCTAATCTCTTATACATTAAGTAGTCGTTAATAGGACCTAAGAACAGGTTAGTAATAGAAGCAATTAGACCGTTAGGGACTACGATAACCTAGAATTTAACCCCATTTAGGCGGTAGTACCTACTATACGTCTACCTTTAAATAAGAGGATTAGAGGGCCGTCCTATTAGAATAAAGGTGCCGTCGACTACGCCCTAGAGGCTATGTCTATATGCCTCTACGAAGCGAGCTAATATATAACGATCGTTAAGAGGAGGCTACTAATAGAGAAGATCTGCCTATCTTTTATATAGGTATTCAATCGTCTCGTTCGTAACTTTAGAATACTACGTACCTAAGCGACCGAGGTAAGGACTATAGTTATATAAGCGCCCTAGATAAGCTAATCTTTTTATTACTAGGTAGAGAGTAACCTCCGGAGGACATAAATACCGTCGTCGAGTAGTCCTATTACGCTCTCTAAGTAGTAGCGGTACGAGGCGACGAATCTTATAAGGCTAGAAATGACACTACCTTCTACAATTAATAGGATCTAGAAGCTCGAACTTGCTAACTTAATAATAGAGATAGTATCTAAACGCTAGTAATGCTACTCGATTGTTTAGTTGTACGCGAAGGTTAAGTCTCTACTACTTAAGTAGTAGTCGCTCGCGCTCATTAAGAAGCTCTAGCTAACGTATCGCTGCCTCGATTCCTTATTTGTTTATAGTGTATATAGCTAACTACCTTGCAGAGCTCTCGGAACAACACGATTTAGACGCTCGATTCAAGAGCTCGCCGTTACAGCGCTAAAAAAACCAGATCGACACTTGGCCTACTCGATTTGGCCTCTTGAGAGGGGGCAGCTCTTGACGAGCCAAAATACTCTAATGACGGTATGACGAAGGTTCCGAAAGAGCGCTAAGGTCGGCCAAGCAATCGCGGGGCAATGGCGCTAGGGCATGCGATAGCGACAGCATGCCCGCGTGTGCACCGTTTCCACTTCCACCACCACCGACCTGTCTTTCACCCTCGACCGCCGACTTCGCGTCTATACCTCGTACATACCTCATACATAGCTTCGACGGGCGCATCCAGGACCTTCGCCCCAAACATGAATCAATTCCAGCCCAGCCCCTCTTCGAGGACAAACTCAACCATGCAAGCAATGCCCGATTCCAGATCACAGAGCTTCGAGGAGATCTATGGCCCGCCTGAGAACTTTCTCGAGATTGAGGTGAGTCGCGTTGATGTCTTGATGCCCCTACAATCGCTGACATGCGCCCGCCCACCAGGTATGCAACCCGCAAACCCACGGTCTCACACCCTCGTCGCGCTACACGACCTACGAGATCCGTCTGAGCACAAATATTCCCTCATTTAAGCTGCGCAACAGCAGCGTGCGCCGCCGTTATTCCGACTTTGAATACTTCCGCGACATCCTTGAGCGTGAAAGCGCACGCGTCACCATCCCCCCATTGCCAGGAAAGGTCTACTTCAACAAGTTCGACGACGCTGTCATTGAAGAGCGCAGGAAAGGTCTGGAGAGGTTCCTCAAGATTGTTGTTGGACATCCTCTTTTGCAGACAGGAAGTCGCGTGCTCGGAAGCTTTGTCCAGGGTGCGTTCCATTTGCTCTGTCTTGTGCTACATGGCAACTTGCTGACTCTATATCTAGACCCCAACTGGGACCGCAGCGCCTGGTAGACCGACTGCTTTGTCCCCTTTCCATGACGATGAACCCACTTTTCGACTTTTCTGAATACCCTTCCCTAGTTAATGATGTTATTGCCCCTTCCTGCGGTTCAGCGATATGCCGTTTCCCTTTCTTCTCATCAGCACGCCTCTGCTCGCACAGTCTATATTGCACAGCATGTTATGTCAAGATTCGATACCATTTTGTCCCCCAGCACCCGAATACTTTCTCCTGACCATGCTCAGATTATCGAGCTTCTCATGTATCCAAAAGCTTCTCTGACCGCATGGAAGCTCCGAAGAACATGTGACAGTCCACACTCGTGACATGACTTCTGAGGCGAAGATGAAGTCAAAAACCAAACTTTCCTTTTGAATTGGCTCGTAGGTTCGGGACTATGAGCAAAGCCCAAAAAGCAAGAATGCATCTGACCTCTCATTCAAAAGCCTTTTCCAGCATGCCTACCTCCATCCAACTTCACCTTCGATTGCATCGCATGATGGAGAAAACCGATCAAAGCCAGCACCACTCAGGGAGGTACCGATCAAATCATAAGAGCGAGGTCTCACCTCTGATCAGACCCGAGAGAGCAGCTCACACCACCTCGAAATTACACCCAGAGCCTCAATCGCCGTCTTCGAATACCCACTCCATCTCGCCCTCCACTACTCAACAACCATCGAATCTTAGAGCATGGGGCAAAGACGACGACACGACTGCAGTGGTCACCTTTCTCCGTCTCGCCCTCTTGGTCGCCCAGTTAATGCTCGCGATAGGCATTATAGTCAGCTTATGCCAAGTCCACGAAGTTATTGAGAAGTTCACCAATGTGGTGGAGACGTCGACTATCACTACGACTACGACGGCGAGGGTTACTTTTACTGATTGGAGTGCGCCGTTGATTACGATGACCAAGAAGACGAAGACGGTCACAGAGACGGAGACTCAGACGGTGGTTCAGACTGGAAGGGAGGCCATCGATAGGATGAAGAGGAGAAGAGATAGAGCGGCAAGGAAGACAACGGTGGATACGGTTTACACGCCTGAGGTTACGATGCCGATGGTTCGAACACTCATGTTGCTCTCGGGGCCATGATCACGAGGGGTAGAGGAAACTTTGGCATACTTCCAGATCGCCAAAGTGTCAGTCGAAACTTGCTCGACATTAGAGTATCACGGAAGTCAATTGCGAACATGATTTCAATCTCATCACACTCGAAAACTCATGTTATATCTAACCAATCTTTGCCTCCTCGAATTCACCATCATGTCTTACCTTCATACATCCAAGACGCACTCACACGTAACTGATTACTTTCCAAAATGTATCGAACTCAACCCAAATCCGCAACCTCTCCTCCTGTAGCAGCAGCCACCAAACCAGAAACCACAACCCAACCCAATTCAGCACCATATTCTCAATCCACCAACCATCGCACAACAGCATCTGTGTCCAACCCACAGACGATCAACCAACAACCCAAATCCTCAGGAACAACAAACTTCCTCCTCTCCGCTGGCGTCCTCCTCCTCATAGCACACATGATAATGGGTGCCGCCATCGCAGATTACCTCAGCGACGCACGTAATTCGTTGAAGGGATTCAACGAGGTTGTGCAGACGACTACGATTACTACTACCAAAGTGCAATATGTCACTTCTGTGGATTGGCGTGCTCCATATGTCACGAAGACTGCATATGGGGTTACGAAAGTGGAGGCTGGGAAGACTGTTACGGAGACTGTGTTGCCTACTGAGGCGTTGAAGAGGAGAAGGAGGGATGGAGAGGTGATGAAGACGAGTAAGAAGACGGCACGGACGACGATGGCTAGGGTTTCGAATATTTGAGGGGTTGGAGGGTCTTGTGATATCTTGATACTGAGAGGGTACTGGCAGATATGGCGTTATAAAGCTTATGCACAAACGTGCTCATTGTCTATAGAGTCCTGGCATGAGATCAAAGGTCCAAGATACCAAGGCATTCTGGTCTTGGACAGGAAGACATATAAAAATACTTCTTGCCATCAATTCATCAACCTGCACATCACACAGATTCATACACCATTCTTATTCCATTCCTTCCACCATGCAACCCTTGAAGCTCCAACGACTTCCCCTCAAATCAGCCCTCCCACCCACCGTACCCTCTAACCCACCACCACGACCTCAATCCTCAGCAACAAGACCTCAATCTTCCAACACCAAAACATACCCACCACCCCATACCACACCCCTCGAAATGCCCAAAAGCGGTGGATGTAGTGGGCTAAAAGGCATCTTGATCATCTTATCCTTCGGCGGTCTTGCTATGCTGTGTATATATGCTGTGATCAGCAATGTCGCAGTGTCGAATGCTCTGGAAGAATTCAACGAGGCGAAGGATATGTGGATGGTGACGCAGACATGGCATGTTACGGCGACGGCAACGGAGACTGTTGTGGCGACTGTGTTGCCGACGGACGTGAAGGTGGAAGTGGATGGCAAGAGAAGGGCGAGTAGCAATGGTAGACAAGGGAGAAGGCCACGGGTTATGGTGTCGGATGTGTGATTATTGGAATACCTCATGTGTCCTTGTATAAAGCTTGGTGTCACCACTGCCCTTGTATTACAATCAACGGCCTACAACATCTTTGTGATATGGCGGTGACTGAAGAAACACATGTGGAGTTGGTGTTTCGGTCGCAGCACGAGGATGAGTTCGAGAGGAAAGCAGACAGAGAGACACAGGTCCATGACTCTTACCTTTTTATGGCATTGTTCCATCAGCAAATCGTATACATATCTTGCGAGAACGACAGGAAAGAAAAACACGGCATCACGGACCTGACACCCCTCTTTCCATCTCCATTACTCCTTAACTACAGTCCATTACTGGAACTCCTCGTTGAACCTATCTTCCTCGCAATGAGAAGGGGTAGTCAGCAATCCGATACACCGTGCGGGTTTTCGCGTATAGGTGTGCTCCAATAGAACTATGGTGTATTTATACATTCAAGAGCCATGTTCAAATACACCAGTAACAATGTCAATTACTGATAGTGTCTAGTTTTCAAACAACATGCAATTCTCAACCTTTTCGCACCATCACGTTCCCATGCATCTTACTTTCCTCCCATAGTGACGTATCTGTCGGCATCGATCAGCTATTTAAGCTCTACATTCACACATCAGACCAAGAACCATCGGGCAGCAGCTAACACCCAGCGAATGAGTAGATGAGTCAAACAGAGAAACACAGGTCCACGACACCGCTTCTTGCATCCCACCTCCTGACAGCTCCAGAAATAAGTTTCGTTCCCCAACAATTTGTCACAAAGACAACGAAGCTGGAGAGGGCAAGAGCGATGGAGAGTCACGGGCCTGATCCTCTCCTTCATGCTGGTGTCTGCTTGTACTCAGGTACCGTCCACCTCCAAACTCACGGGTAACAAGACTGCTTGCTCGCAACAGGATGGCACGTTCGACACGTTCGGCGGCTTGGTCGATATACTACAAGCAGCTGATGAGCTATTTATACACACAAGCCTCAAGACACATCACAATTAGGTCATCACAGTGTGGTCGATTTAAGCTCGTGGGTAATTTGTGCATGAACATGAAACTTGCCTAACATGTTTTTGAGGCCATCTACGACAACACACTTCCTAACAGTTTTCTCAAGCCTGTTGCGAGCCCATGCTCCTCAACTTCTCTTGCTCCTCAGGGGTCAACTGTGCAAACACCTCTCCGAAGCCATCTTCTTGAGCTTTACCTCCGAACCATTGAAGCAAGTATGCCTGGGTCTCATCATCTCTGCCCCTGTTGGGTGCATCTTCAGCCGCGTAACCCATCAAAGCCTCCTTGGTCATACCGGCACCGAGATCCAAGAAACCATCTTCATCCTCCCAGCCTGATTCGTCACTGGCGACAGACTCTGCCTTTTCGACTTCAGAAGCAGGAGCGAGATTCTCGACACCACGGCTGACAGCATTGGTGAGGGGCGATAGCAACTCGTCGACGAGGATCTTGACGATTTTGAGAGGAGCGGGGATGATGTTGTATTGGTCTGGATTGGCACGAGCGCGGCTGCGGGTCATGATGCGTGTGGAGGTGGGCATGATCATATCGCCCTTTACTTGGATGGTATCAAGACGGGGGTCGTGAAGGTCGTAGAGACGGGAGAGTGCGATGATACTGCGATGGATGTTAATGACTGGTTGCGGAATGGGGTGGCATGGGATACATACTTTTGTCTGATCTCGTCATAGCCGGCGAAATTGACAGAGTTCTCTAGCCATTTGGTCAGGACGACTTGCAAGCCACTCTCCCCGTTGATAGCGAGTTGAGCGAGGAAGTCAATGACCTCTCTAGCCGAAAGCAGAGACAGTCGAGCGAAGACTAGGATCAAATTCTGAATGACCTGGGTCTGGGTGGCTGCGCTGAGTCTGTGAGCAACAGCACTCAACAGCTGCGCCAGATAAGGGCCGAGTCTTTCAGATCCTGCTTTCTCGACCAAAGCAGCAGCGAGACCACCGACTTCACCGGCAGCATTGTCCTCTACAGTTGGACCAAGAAGGCGGTCAATGATGACAAGAACGACTTCAAGACCACTCTTGCCATCATGATTGGCCCAATTGAACATCTGCTCGGGGTCCTTCTCAAGCATATACCGAGTGGCAGAGGTTGCTGACTTAAGCAGCTCTTCGTCGGGTGATTCCAGGAGCAGACGTGTGAGTTTGGGCATGATGGTGACAATGAAGCCTTGAGGCAGAGGTGAGGGACCGTGTTCTGCGAGAGCGGTGAGCATGTCGGCGGCGAGGTTTGTCAAAGAGTTCTCATCCGTCAAGTTGGCGACATCGAAGGCACCCGATAGTGAAGGCAGGACCTTTGCGCAGAGCTGAGTGTAGACGTCAGGACCAGAATCTGAAAGAGTCTCGGTGAGATCTTCGAAAGTCTCAGTAATGAGAATGTAGATTTGGTAATTGAACGAGCACCAACTGGCGATTGTGAAGAGAACATCGAGACCGGAACCTGTCAGACAGATACGAGTGTCAATCATGATGACATCTCTCAAGGTCTCGAAAATGGCAATCATGATATCCTCAGACTCGTCCAGTTCTCCAAAGTCAAGTTCAGTGACAAAGGTGTGGATAGCAGCAATGACAGCAGCTTGCATAGAGCGGGCGTTGTCAGTGGATACTCCAGCAAGGTAAGCTTGCATGGAACGAATACACGAGACCTTGACGACATCTGAAGGGTCGTTGGTGATGGCGTGCAGAGATTGCTCCATGAGTGATGTAGCAATTCCACCAACAGCATCACCAGCGGCGCGAACAAGACTGCTAGCGGTCAAGTGACCACGAGCTCGGAGGAAGACATGTTCTTGTTGCATGGCATATCTAACAAAGTCGATGTAAGCGGCGGCAACCTCAGGAACCATGGGACGATCAGCCTCGAAGAAGTCGGTCAAGAGTTGGTTGAGAATGAAGAGAGCAGCCTCTTTTGATTTCCAGCTGGAATCGGTCGAGTACAATTCGCGAGTGTGATGAAGCAGACCTTCGATGGTAGCGGCGCTCTGCCATTCACCAAGCTTGATGACTAGATCAGCGCAAGCAGTGCGAGGAGTGTAGTTTGCTGTGACATTGGACTCCTCAGCCACGAAGATGTTGAAGTCGATGTCCCAAAGACCCTCCTCCTCAGTAGTGATGTGTGAATATGTGACGGCAAGTTTCATGACTTCTGTGACCCATGTGTCAGGCATGGACTGAGAGCGTAATTGCTCTTCAAGCTGTTTGCGGACAGGAGCAGCACGAAGACAGGCTTGCATAAAGTCAATCTCCTCCAGAACGAGGAAGTCGAGGGTGAAGGGCAGACCGTCAGCATCTTCCAATCTACCTTGACGGTCATGAAGGATGAAAGATTCGTGATATGACTGTCGCAAGTTGTTGAGTTCTTGCCATGTGGCGGCAAAGAGAGCAGGAGCCTGAGGAGCCAAAGCTGAAGGGAAGATTTGACGGACACGCATCAGGACCTTGACGACTTGCAACTTGAGAGCGATGATACCACGGTAGTTCTCGGCGACGGGGTTTTGTGACTCTTCTTGCTCAACGGGGACATTCGGGACTGGCATATTCAGAGTGTCAAGGAAGAAAGGGTACCAGGTTGCCAGAGTGTCCTCGGCAAAGGCCTTGACAGCAGTCTTGTGATCTTCCAAGACCATCTCCAGCATATCAAAACATGAACGGAAGACAGATACAGCCAAAGCACGGAGGATTGTGGGACGAGAGCTGGCGGCCACAGCAAAGACGGATGAGACGATCTGGTGGGCGACGTTGAAGAACTGGTCGTCGTTGAAGCAGTCGTCAATCAAGTCTTGCAGGACTTTGAGAGCACCGTGTAGTTGGCCATCCTGACCGTTGTTGATGATATGCAACAGGGTAGGGAGAAGGTTGGGGTATTCATCCGGGAAGTCGGCAGTAGCAATCTTGCTGACCACGATGGAAGCAGCACTCTTGATCTTTCTTTCCTGGTGAGCGTCGGTGGCCAGGTCGAGCAGGGCTTGTCTGAGGGTGGCGCGGTCTTCGGCAGAGACGAGCACCTCGCCCTTGAACTCTTCGAACTGAGGAGACCATACTTGCTGGACAAACTGCTTGAGCAGGAGCAGGGCAGCTTGACGGGTAGCTAGAGGGATAGATTGGTGTGTGGAAACGGCGACCAGTGTAGGAGCGAACGAGGTGTTCGTGTAGAGCTGGCGGAGCTGCAGTTCGGCATGGGTACGAGGACCTTCGTGTGATGACTGAGTGTCCTGAAGGAGCTGGACTATTTGCTGCTCCATTTTGTGGAAGGAAGAAGGCGCCCTCGGTGGTATGCTTTAGCGTATGGCGGGGTAGCTAGAGCCTGAGGTTGGAGGGGTATCGTGAAAGAGGTCGTTAATCGTCGACTGGGGGCATGTACAAGTAATTAATGTCGACTAGACAGGAAGGTGCAGCTGTCTTGAGATGGTATGGAACAATATCTGGCAGCAAACATGGCCAGAAACATGGGACTGGTTTGCTGCCCAAGAAATAATCACCAGACGCGACTTGAACGCCAAGACGCGTCATGGAACGCGACCCAATCTATCGCAATCCATCATTTTGTCTCTCTTGCCGTCAACATGGACGACAGCGATGTGATAGTCACTTTCCAGACATTCGTCGGTGTCTTCAGTGACTTCTTGATCGTCGCCATACACACTATCCTCTACGAACGCGACATCTATCCGCGCGAATCTTTCCTCTCGGCAAAGAAGTACAACTACAGTGTCCGCCAATCTCGCCATCCCAAAGTCTGCCAATGGATCACCGATGCCGTCGCCGCCGTCCAGACTGAGCTGTTGAAGGGAACTGTTGATCGTGTAGCTCTTGTCATATACTCAGCCCAAGACATGCCGCTTGAGCGTTTCGTCTTCGATCTCAGCCGCTTCCCCTTCGTCCCCAAAGAATACCACTTTACGCCCATGTCAAGAACGACCGATGATGGAGAAAATGTCGCTGTTCTACCTCGCGTCGACTTGGAAGAGCAGATGCGTGCAACCATGAGCCGACTATCGACTTGTGGCTCTCGTCTGAAGCCTCTGCCTGAGAATTGTACCTTCACTCTCGCAATAGAACTGCGTGACAATACAAGCCCTCCTATCGGTCACCCCCAACCTTGGATTCCTGCCCAGCCTGATCTTCGCAATACAAACCCAGAAGCTGCGAGAAATAATAGTCGGACCACACCATTGCGATCTGTAGCTGCTGGAGACATGGTCTTTGAGACCTGGATCGAAGAAGCAAAGGCGAAGCTCGATCCTGCTTGAACATGACTTTTGTCTACCTATACAACAACACCTTAACGCCTCCTCTTCGGATTTCGCCCAGCCTACACAAAAAGAAAAGAGGCCTATCACATCTGCATCTCCGGCTTGTTGACGTCAACAATCTGCCTGCGCCTCGATCCTCCTCCAGCAGTCTTCACAGCTTTTACTTCATTCTCAACAAAGACCACACCCGGGGGTATCACAACCGACGACTCGCTACTCAACGCGATCATCGTCCTCGTCTTCGCACCTTCCACCTTCGATGTCTCCCACACTGTCTTGGTGACCGTCGTCATGGACGTACAAACTCCCACATCACATCTTGCAACTCGCATTGCTTTCCTGTCCGTCTTCGCAATCGCGTCGAAATGGGAGAATGTGGCATCTTGAAGAATCTGGTTGTTTTCGTTGATCAGGGCGAGGCTGAAGGCGCTGACGATGAGTGCTATGCTTATTGTGGCGAGTCCGAGGATTATGAGGATGCTGTGGCAGTAACCGAAGCTGGCACGGTTCTCTGGCATTGTTTCTGATGGCTGTTGTGCTTTTTCGGAATAACGAGTGTGTTCTGAAGTTTGATCAGTTGACTGAAAGACGCTGAGAGGTCTTCAGGAAGAGGACAGGCCTGTATGGATCAAGTTCTCATGTTCATTCAAGTGGAGCACATCGAAGCTGCAGAGCCCCAATTGACTTTTTACCAACTGAGCATGATTTCGAAGCTCAATTGATCAGACCATACCATCCCCGCACATCATGTTCCACCAAGAGCTCACTGGGAAAGTGTATCACAATACCAAGGAAGACAAGTCACGAACTACCAAGCCAGCAAAGTGAGCTTTCTGATCCGATCCGATTTGTGATACCTTCTGTTTACAAAACTTTGCTGTTACTGTCAAATCACTACACTACTCTGCTATCGACTTTCCCGGTCCTCTTCCGTCCTCCAGCTTGATAGCCATTCCTACTGCACTCTTGACCCAATGCACGCTGCAACTCCTTGGACCTTGATTGGTGCTAGGATTCCTCCATCGTCACCATATCTATTGTGCTCCACTGTTCGACCCTTTGTCGATTATTCTTCAGGAAATGTCCTGAGTCAACCACCACGGCTTCGCATCAATCTCAGACTGCGTACCATAGTTTACTGTCCTGCACAGTAAACTTGCCAGGTGAGGGGATATAATACGTGCTGGCAGTCTTGGTCTGTTTGGTAGTAACTCTCTCCGTCATGGTAGAGGTAACCGTACTTGGCTGGAGAGAATATGTCGCAGTCGTGGTAGCCCAAGAGGTGGTGGTGCTTGGCTGTAGAGTAGTCGTCACTGTCGCAGTGACATGGCGGATCAGAGTCTTCGTCTTTGCAGCAGGCCCATCTTTGCTCAAGATACTAGGTCTGAAGCTTGAACTGCCCCACATACTATAGATGATAAGGACGCTCAGCACGATCACACATAGGCGGCCTAAGAAGCCGAGAAACGAATCTTCTGGCTCCGATTCATCCTTGGCGCAGGGTAAAACGCGACACTGGATGTGCGCATCTTTCTTGAGGTGGACTTCGACCTTGCCGCTGTTGAGAACAAATTCGAAAGGTTGCTCGGGAGTGGGAGTGATCCTTGGGAACACCATCTTTTGTGTGATGGCAGGCACAACTGCGGGACGTGTTGGCTCCTGGGCCTTTGGGTCTTCTGGGGCGGTGGGCTTGATCATCCTGACGATGGAGCACAAAGCTTTTTGTTGGAGGAGGTGATGAAGAAAGAGAAGTATGTTTGTGATTTCGGTGTTGATACAGAGATTTCTATGATGTGACTCAGGTGGAGGGAGTCATTATTGGACGTGCACTGCGCCTCACACTTGAGTGACAATCAGCTGCAACGAGGCATGAATGACCTAAGTTTTCAGAGCTCGTCCATCGAGATGCTGGCCATTCTCAAGCTCTCACTGCATGCTCCTTGGGTTCTCAAAATGTGATTGCATTCTTACTGCCAGTATCTTACATGTCTTGCTAAAGTATATTCTCGGCAAGCCAATCTTGTATGCCTGGTATGAGGTCCGTAAAGACTGAGGAAGCAACGTATGAGATCACCGGTAAGCGACTTCCTAATTCTGGTCATTTGAGCAAATATGCTGCTTAGCTTCACGAACAAGCGCTCGAACAATCTTGGCCTTCTCGAAGCTTTTAACACCATCTCGAAGAACTCTCTCATCTTGAACCACGTTGGAGCATGATTATGCCAGGTGACTCGACTGCTCAATGCCGTCTTTGCCGCAGCGGTGCATAAGAGGAGATGCGATAACCCATCTCCTCTCTTATCCACAATCATCGGACATTCTTCAGATGAGTGCCACGAACAACACTCGTCCACCTTCATACCTCTCACACGAGGAACAAGCTAGCGCTCCAGCATATACTGAAGTCTATACTCCTCCCACTCTACCACCTGCTTCTCCTAGACCAGCAGATTGGCCAGACCAATACGGCAATCGGGCACCGGCTCTAAGGACTCTTCCACCTTCTCGGCCCCTGCAGCGACCTGATCGTCTCGAACTCAACAACCGCTCCTCAAGACGAAGCAACATCAGAATCGCCTCTCCCACACCATCCTGGCCGGCTGAAGGAATGGCAACCAACAATTCTGCCGACGACGACTGCAAGACTTGTAGCGTTTATGCCCTGGTCGTGCTTCTCGCCGCAGTCTTCGCTTCCATCGTGTCTTCTGCCGTCTTTGTCAAAAGGGATTCAGTGGCTCTACATCAAAACTCGAATATCCTCAAGGACCTTACCTCTACTGTTTTGACGTTGAGAGAAACAAAGACATCGTGGGATACCAAAGCTTGGAATACAAAGACTGTCACCGAGGAAGGCACAAAGACTGTCACCGTCACTGAGACTGCCGTGGGAGTTTTTAACGCACAGTCGACTCCGGTCGTGACTGGTATGGATGATTTTGATGTGGAGATTCATACGATGGTTGGAGAAAGATTGAGAAAGAGGGAAAAGACTATTGGGGATGAGTATGTGGATGAAAACTTGTGCACCACTACCACTTTCTTCCCTTGGGGTAGATGGCAGCAAACGCCTTCGGGTACTGTTAGAGTCTGTTGTCCGCCTACTGAGACTCCAGAGCCTGATCTTGAGGAGATGATTTGGAGGAGATAATCTTCCGAATTGACCGAAGACGCTGACTCTATTCAATAACAACTTCACAAGTATAAATTCGATTCTCACCACTTCCTTCTTACTACCGGTACGTGTGCTCGTCGTGCCACAGAGACTCTCTCTCTCAGAAGATCTCATGTCGTCAACCATCCCAGTGCCTAACTCGATTCTGACTATCAAGACTGGTCAAGCAAGCAAAGTAAACGAGGGGGTCAGTAAGCCATAGAACCATCGCCTCTTCTCCTAACTGTGCTTCATGTGTCCTCTGCTGTCGAGTCGAGCTAGAATGTCGAGCATCACGTACCTGTCCACCTTTGTTCTGTCTCCTATCTAGACATACTGAGATACCGCTAATATCCATACATTCATACCGTAGCGATTTTCGAGGCTCGAAGACTTCTGACTCCATGGTGAGGCGGTCAAGAGAGCCTTCTGACTTCAATCTGACGATTTGGCGACGGGTGGCTTTTATAAACTGCTTGATTTTGATGATTCGTACGTTGTCAATTGCTGTGGTGTATGGGTTGGTTGAAGGTCTAGATCGCTTGGTGCACTGCAATATGCCATGCAGTGATATTGACCATAGCAGTGGTTGTTCTCATCGCACAGACTCTCTCGATACTGCTATTACCATACTGTCGGATCTGGAAAGAAAAACCATTGCCACAAGTAGTAAGTACAAAGCTTTAAGCAGCCGAAGTACAGAGCAACCCCGTCATCAACGCTATCGCTGCAGATGCTTCGGAAGCAAAGCAGTATAAGACCGAATAAAGATGCGTAACCGTCTTTCCGCCGAATATATCACCGAGGACCACATCATCGAAGTGGCCCGTACGAGCGAAGAGGATCAAGATATCGAAGTGGCCCTGGCAAGACATTTTTCTGTTTTTGATTGCGAGTGGCTTACGTTTTGTGGAAGTCACACTGGCGAACAAAGAAATCAGGTCAATGATCTCCCTCGTTCTTTTCTAATTTTTCATCCCCAGCGATACCTTCTGTGGAGAATGCGATTTGCGCGTCAGACACACAATGCTGGAGACGGAAGAAAGAGCGAAGTATCACAGACCTGCCTCCTTCCTTCCCTGCACCTCGCCCCTATCCCATGCAGGACTTTCCGACGCGGATTACAATCTTGCTACAGAAGCATGGATGTGAGAAGACATTGTGACCAATATGTCAATTATTTTGTTTCCTTTGTTAGGGTTTAATTTGTTGTGAGAAGTAGCTTATGTACTGTTTCAGCTGCGGGATATACCTTAGCTCATCTTGTGATCATGGTCCAGTGAGGAAACAGTAAATGACACTGTAGGCACAAGAAGAAGTCAGATATAAAAAATGTCAAAAGCGATTGTATTATTGCTTGTAGTAAGAAATATATCAAGTTCCACCAACTCCCGCATTCCAAAACACTTGTAGATGATAGAGCGAAAAGCTCCTTGCCCATAAAGCAGACATTAAAGAAATGATTATAGCGACAGTAGTTGTTGTGTTTCAGATCGTTGTGGTTGTGTTGTTTTTTGATATCGTGGATTCGTAAAGTGTGCTGAAATGACTGTGATATGTGTGTGATGCGCTGAAATGACAGTGATCGTCCAAGTCGGTGGACTAGAAACTGCGACTGCGACTTCTATCCCTAGGCATGAGACGTCCAGAATTTCTCGGCAACGGCGTAGGCGTAGCATTAAACCTCCTCTGAACGAAAAGTCAGTAAACCATCGCTTCGAGTCATCAAAACAAACCAGGGCACAACTTACACGCCACTCCCCACTGCTCAAACTCCCCTCACTACTCTCACTACTCGGCTTACTCACAGAACTCGAACGTTCTTCCGAAAGACGACGTTCCTTGGTTTCCTCGATTTTCCGCCTGATTATAGCTTCTTGGACGGGGATGTTGACTGTTGGTCTGAGTCTCGTGTAAGCAAGTGCATAAGCATCGCTCCTTTCTTCATCGAATTTGTATCTCGCAGCTCTGTATGCCGCCATTTCTGCGCGTTGTTCTTGTAACATCTTTTCGTGATCTGGAGCGTCGATCAGACGTTCGGCGGCGCGGCGACGTCCTTCGGCGGTCAAGGGCTCGAATGGCTTGAAGGGAGGGAAGGGTGTTTTCATGGGTGCAAGGGCGGGGCTAAATGGTGAGCCAGCCCCTTTCATTCTCTTGAGCAACTCATGAGGGTCGAATTTGGTCGCCCAGTCGCCTGTTTTCAATCCGCCTGTAGGCAGGGCGCCTGTCAGGAGACGTGGAGATAAGTTCTCTAACGAGGTGATGATGTCGGAAGGACGTGTTTTGTTTGGATTTTTTGTTTTATTTGTGCTGATTGGTGTGGGATATGATGTTTTGACAGTGGTTGTGGTGGTAGTAGTTGTGTTGGGAGCTTGCTCAGAGGTTGGGTCCAGATTATGTTCAAGAGCATCGATTTTGCGTTCAAGTCGTAGGTGCAAAGCTGCGTTTTCTCTGGCTAGGCGATTGCGTTCGGTGCCTAGTCTTCGTGCTTCGTCCTCGGCATGTCTAAGACGAATTTTCATCTCCCGGAGGGCTCGAGAAGATACCTCTAATCTGTTAGCTTAATGCGGTTTATGAGGAGATATAATACATACCTGAAGGCTCAGGGGTAGGATAACCATCGTTCGCCTTGACTGGCGATGAAGGTTTCGGCTCTTTGGGGGTCTTCGGTTCCTTGGAAGTATCTTCGGGCATAGCCTTAAAAGCGACATTGAGTCCCGTATCAGAAAGCTTTGACAACTCCTCAGGCTTCGCAGGAGAGAATTCGATCAGATCTTCATCGTTGGTGACATCCTTGATCTCTTCAAGTTCGTTGCCACTCTTGCGAGGTGTAAACTTGCTCTCAGGCGTCGCGGGGGAGGTAGTACCCTTGGCTTCCTCAACAACATCTTCAGGCTTCTTGTCGTCAGGCTTGGTCTCGAAAGATACAAGATCAACCGGATTGTCAAAGATGTGCTCCATCATCGTCGCAAAAGACTCTGCAGCCTTGGACTGATCATAGATCTTCCTTGCGACTTCTCTCAGAACATCCGCATCACCCGCGGCATAAGCTTCCATCAACGCTTCGAAAGAGTCTGCTTTTTGGGCCTTATCAAAGAATTCCTTAGCGAGATGTTCCTTTTCTTTCTCCACTCGCGCTGCTATACCTTCCCAATTCTTCATCTTTAGTTCCAGCGCTCTGTTTGTTACCGAGTCGTCATCGTGTTGGTTTTTTGCCCTTCTGTATGCAAAGTTTAGTTGTTCGATCGTATTCTCACAAGCTTCGTGACTTGGGTCGGTTTCCGCATGGGCTTCTATCCTTTGATGGAGAAACTTCGCTTCCTTGACTGCATCATCCCTGGCTGCGATAACGGCCTTGAGATGGTTCTTCATGTCGAAGATGATTAGCTGGAGTGACCGAACGTGAGGATCTGCGGATAGTTCTTTCGGTGAGAACCCTGGGTTAGGGTCTTCTCTGTGTTCCCACTCCTCGAGTCTCCTGGTCACCCCAGCAAGTGTTTCTCTTGCCTCGGCGGCATCTTTTCTTGCCTCGTCGGCATCTTGCGTAGCCATCCTGGCTTGTCTGCCGAACATCTGAATATCGCCATCTTTTCTGACAATTTCCTGGTTTCTCTCTTCTACTGCCCTTCTGGCCCAATCGACGTCTCCCTTGATGGCGTATAACTGTCTTTCAACGAACTCACGCTCTCTGGTGACCGTTTCGACTTCTTCCTCGAGTCTAGAGATGTCATCTTCGATGATTAGGCGTTCTCTACCTGTCAGGCATAGCTCGTGAACATCTCCAAGTGTCATGGCTGCCTCAAGTCTGTCGTTCTCTTTGCTGACTTTTTCGTAGTTGTTCTCGAGGACGAGTTTCTCCTCTTGAAGTCGGTTTTTGTCTTCTTCCAACTCTTCAAGGGTGCCGAGGAGTCTGTCGATATGATCTTGCTTGTCTTTCAAACCACCGCCGAACTGAAGTTTTCGCTGTGCATCACCCAACCTTGTTTCAGCGAGTTCGAGGTTCGTCTGTAGGTCGTTACGCATCTGTGTCAACCTATCGATTTGGCGATCACACTCAACGTGATTAATACTACCCGGTGAACCATATGAAGCGGCACTTCGAGGACTTTTCTGGACACTGTTTGATGGTGATGTCGGAGTAGCAGTGTGCTTCACGGGCGACGTATCGTGACCATCGTCATCATCGTCGTTGTTTCCTGCTTTCAAAGCATTCAACTCTTCTGCTGTAGCATTGTATAGATCGTTGGCGTCATAGAATTTTGTTCTAAGGTTTTTGTTGAGCTCGTGGCAATTCTCCAGTTGACGGGTTTTAATTTCCAATTCGCCATCTCTGAGCCTCAAGTTCTCCTTGGCGACGTACAACAGCATCTCGATGGATCCAGGAGGTGGGTTGTCTTCATCATACTCATCCGAGTCTGAGTCGTCACTACTGTCATCATCATCGTCGTCATCGCTATCACCTGTACCAGTGCGGATCTCATCATGTGTTTCCTCCTTTTGTGCTTTCTTTTCCTCCTTTCTCTTTTGATTTCTCAACCATCTGATCTCAGTCCTAGCATCAGAGAGCTGATCTTCGACACGTTTGAGCTGCTCCTTGACATTCTTGCAAGGGTCCACCCAGTCCTGATTCTTTTCGCTTGTCTTGTCCAATTCATCCTTTACGTCCCAAATTGCGTTCTTATCCTTGCGCACAGCTTCAAGCTCATCCTTGATAGTCCTGTTCTGGCCGGCGAGTTCATCTCTGTCTTTGCTTAAAGATGCAAGCTGTGCCTTGGCGGACTCTAGTTCCTTCTGAAGAGCTTCAAATTCGGCGTTCGACTTGGTGCTATCGACAGTAGTCTCTGCTTGCTCGACACTGTCGTCGGTCTCATCTGTCTGGACCTCAACTGAAGCATAGGTGATCAATGGTTGAGTCTCAACGGCTTTGGCAGCTTCAGGCGAAGTTCCGATCGAGGAGATGTTGGAGTACGACAAAGCGGACGTCTTCTTTGCTTCTTCAAGCTGTTGTGTGGTAGCCGCAAGTGACTTTTCATTATCAGCGAGCTGACTTTGTAGCTTCTCAATGGTATCTTCCTGTTCCTTGCAGTAAACATCAAGACCTGATTCGAATTTCTTGCCAGAGTCTTCCGCCACCATGGTGCGTCTAGGTTCAGTACTGACTGAAGTGATCCCTGAGTGCTTCCAAGGCGAAATGGTTTTCCTCTCGGTCTTTGCAACTACCCTGTTTGTGGTGATGAACAACGAGCGGAAGTTCTTGGCGTAACCCTTTGCAGAGTTTCGAAGAGTTTGGGCCGCTTCAGGGACCGTAGGTACCGAGCTTCCATTGAAGAAGGACATTGGGTTCTTGTAGCCGTAACCCTTAGGAGATTTGGCAGAGTCGCCGTTGGGGCTGTCCTTCTGTTCAGGTTCATCCTTGGTTTCAGGTTCGGCCTTTTCTTCGGAACCAGGCTTGCCGTCAGACTCGTCCTTCTTGTCAGAATCCTCGTCAGTCTTAGACGAGTCATCCTTCTCAGAATCGTCCTTGGTCTCGGTCTCGTCCTCGGCTGATTCATCAGAGTTTCCAGGCTTATCATCAGGCTTGGGACTGACATCCTTTCCGTTACTGTCACCACCCATGTCATCATCGCCGTCGTCCTTGTCATCAGAGCCGTTGTCGTAGACATCAGAATCTGGATAAGGGTTGACATCACTCACGCCGTCCCATGCGGCATAAATGATGAACAGAGCTGCAAGGGGAGTTGCAATTGTAATGATCGAGACAATATGATCCTCAAACAGCTCTCTCAGCTCAAAGTATGCAACATGGTACGAGGACATGCCTTCAGGCAGATCTTGGAACCATGAATAGAAGTAAAAAGCGAGCCAAGTGGCAAGAATGGACTGGATGATGAAGTGAGTCCAAGATTTACCTTCAGGCGTCTTGTAGATTACTTCTGTCACGACAGATCCACTGGGTCGTTCAGCTCTGGCAAGGTCGAGTTGCTTTCTGAGATCTTCGCAAAGCTTTTTCTCAGTATCTTGCCTCTTCTCAAGCGACTTAATCATATCGTCCTTGGTCTTGTTTGCGGCAGCGTCTTTCTGTCGTTCTGCCTCAGCCTCTTCAATTCTCTTGATGATGGCGGGATCTGCAACGGCGAGCTTTCTCTTGGCGGCTTCGTGTTCGTTCTTCTCCTTTTTGAGCTCGGCTTCTATGCTTGTGAGCTGAAGACGAAGTGGATCATATAGTATTTTCAAAGCTCGTAGCTCGTCCATGGCGTCCTTCACACGGCGTCTGAAATCGTAAGAATCAGGTGTGGCTTTGAGTACTCGGAGCTCGCGCTCGACTGCGGCAAGCTTGTCCTTGACATCCTTGCAAGGATCGGCATCATTACCTTTGGGAGATGAGCCAGTCTTCTGCAACAGAGCGTTCAGCGTATGTTGAGCTGTGTTCTGTTGTAGAGCAGCAGCAATATCTTCAGGTGTCAAACCAGCTCCAAGACCTCTCGATCCTTGAGTGGGACCTTGTGGTTGACCAGGTCGGAAGGGCTTGCTAGGAGATCCGAAGTCATCGGCGGTATTGCGTTGAGCCTTCTTGTGCCTACACTCTTTTGTTCCATAGCCCGGTTGGACCGGATTATCTAGCCATTTCATTTCCAGGTGTTCCTGATAGTCTTGTTCACAGCAGATCTCTCCAGCCATCCTTCTTGCCTCGTAGTCATCGGTATAACGTGCATCAAGCCGGCGTGGAGGTGTTCTTGGATCGAAAACGCCGCCTGTACCATCGAATGGAGGTGTCTCAAAGCCGCTTGTACTAGGCTTGGGTGGCGATCCTTGAGTGGACGGACCAGCCTGAGACGCACGTAGAGCACTCTTCTCCTCAGACTTGGGATCGCACAAATGTTCGGAAACAAATGAAGCATAGGTCACCTCTAAAGGATCGTCTGGCGAATAGCGAATAGCACTCATGGGACTGGGCTTTTTGGGACCGATTCGAGCCTGTATGAGCTCATCCACGTGTTCAACCCATTTCGAAGGCGACTTCGTGATGTCTGGAGATATGGGCCCCAGATTGGGAGGGTTGCGAGGGTTGCGTCCAGTACCGTAACCCGAGTCTGGAGCTTTAGGCTTTGGCAATGTTTCGCTTGTTCCATCAAGACCAAAGGGCTGGACAAAACCACCAGCGGTATAGAACGGATCCCCGGCAGGAGCAAAGAAGGGAGCATTGTTGAAAGGGTTTCCAGCACTTTGGAAGTCATAGACTGGACCGCCAGATATGGTAGAACCAGGCCCATAAGCTGACCCATAAGTGAATCCTGGAGCCCCGAACAGATCATCTGGCTGAGGTCGTTGCGAACTAAGACCTCCTGGTCCTGTGAAGTCATACTCTGGGAACCCAGACAGTTCCGCGCCAATCTGAGAGGCGAAGTGGACTGAAGATTCGAGAGAGGTGGGGTCAATCAAATCGCCTGTAACTGGGTCGACAATCGGTGCTGTCGGTTCATAACCAACAGAACCAGCGTTCGAGTAATCGAGAGGCGACTTCTTGGTATCAGGAGACCAACGAACCGAAGGTTTCGTCGATGCAGAGGAAGACGCTTGCTTCGCAGCTTCATAACCATCTGATTGTGTCAGGAATGCAGCATCGCCAAGTTTTCTATACTCGTCATAAGTCATAGTCTCGTTCAAGCGAGGTGCTGGGAGACCTGCGTATTCCCAGAATCTGGTGTTTACAGTCTGTCGCCATTGAAGGGGGGTCTTCTTGTCATTTCTCCAGTCAATAACGGTCTTGTTCCCTGCAAGTTGATCAAGAGCATCGACGAGCTTGATCTCTGCGCCGATGAGGTCGTTCTTGACATTCCCGGAAGGAGCTTCGATGTTGGATGCCTCTTGTTT